GAGACCAGCACAACTCCTGAAGTCCCTGTACAGTATCGGAAGTACAAAGCACTATTCGAGGACTTAGAACCTGAGCTTGAATTACCTAAGCATCAGCCCTGGGATTGCGAAATAATCCTCAAGGATGAATCGAAACTGCCGATTGACCCATTGCGCCCGAAATCCGAATCGGAGCTAGCAGCTATACGAGATTACATCAAAGAACGACTGGCTAAACGACATATCCGAGAATCGGAGTCGCCAGTAGCACACGAGACCCTCTTTGTAAATAAAAAGAATGGGAAACTACGAATGTGTGTAGACTTCCGCAAGACCAACGACAACACGGTAAAGAATAGGTATCCATTACCTAATATTGAAGAATTACAACATCGACTTGCGAAGGCCAAAATCTTCACAGCTCTGGACCTTAGAGACGGGTACCATCTGGTACGAATGAAGAAAGGCGAAGAATGGAAAACCGCATTCCGCACTCGTTATGGACATTACGAATATACGGTTATGCCTTTTGGACTCACCAATGCACCAGCAACGTTTCAGGCACTTGTGAACAACGTCCTTAGAGATCAACTAGACATTACCGTCATAGCGTACCTAGATGACATTCTAGTGTTCTCAGAGAACGAACACGAACACCAGAAACATGTGCATTGGGTGCTCCAAAAGTTACAAGAAGCAAACCTACGAGTACGACCAGAGAAATGCGAGTTTCACGCGAAACAAGTCAAGTTCCTAGGATTTGTTATCCGGGAAGGAGAAATCGAGCAAGACCCAGAGAAAGTCAAAGTTGTCAAAGAATGGCCCACACCAAAGAACATCAAAGAAGTACAATCGTTCATGGGATTCTGCAACTTCAACAGAAGATTTATCCAGGACTTCTCTAGGATCTCGATTCCACTCACACGACTTACGAGGAAGGAGGAAACCTTCCGCTGGAACGAAGAAGAAGACGACGCATTCCGGAAACTTCGGGAAGCATGCGCTTCTGCTCCAGTACTAATCATGTTCCAATCAGGAAAACCAATGAGAATGGAGACCGACGCTTCGGATCTCGCATTAGGAGCATGCATCACACAAGAAAAAGATGGAAAATGGCACCCTATTGCTTACTACTCAAGAAAGTTCACGTCAACGGAAGAACGCTACGATGTCTATGATAAAGAATTAATGGCTATTGTCGATTCAATTCAGCATTGGAGAATTTACTGCGAAAGTTGTTCTGAACTATCAATTTTCACGGACCACAAGAACCTTGTCACCTTCACGACCACAAAGGACCTTAATCGACGACAAGTCCGATGGGCCGAGAAATTAGGACAATACCAGTTCAAGATCATACACACTCCAGGAAAAGATAACGGAAGAGCTGACGCTCTCAGCCGACGAACGGACATCGCAGGCGAGAAAACGGAAGTACGACAAGCGATACTTAAGACAAACCAGGACGGAACCATAGGACCAAGTCATTTCCAGGAAGTCAATGTTACCATGCAAATTACCAACGATGTACCAGAAGAATGGCAAGAACGCATCATACGCCAACATCACGACGACCCACTATACGGACATCCAGGAATTAAACGAACCATGGAACATATACGAAGAAACTACGACTTCACGAACATGAAAGAGAAAGTCACACAGTACATTCAGGCTTGCAACGAATGTAAGAAGAATAAACATGATACACACGCAAAGTACGGAAAAATGCAACCAATTCCGGTGCCTACGACACCATGGGAAGATATTGCTATGGACTTCGTAACAGGATTCCCTGCATCACAGGACCCTGTCACAAGAGTGTGGTACAATTCGATACTTGTGATCGTGGATAGATTCACTAAGTACGCACTTATGATTCCATTCCATAAGAACTACTCAGCCGAGCAGTTAGGACATATTATCCTAGATAAGTTAGTACGAAACTACGGGATACCAAAGACAATCATCAGCGACAGAGACAAGCTCTTTACCTCCAATTACTGGACGACACTGATGGCAACAATCGGAACGAAACGAAAGCTATCAACAGCTTACCATCCGGAAACAGACGGACAAACAGAACGTACGAATCAAACCATGATTACGTACCTACGGCTATACAGCAACCAGAACCAGGACAACTGGATTTCCTTATTGCCTATGGCACAGTTGGTATACAACAACAAGTTATCAGAAACAACAGGCGAAACACCATACTTCGCAAACCACGGAAGACATCCAAATCTCTTTGAAAAAACATTTCCAACAATAAAAACACAGAAAGCGTTAGAAAACGCAGAACAATACAAGGAGACATACAAAAAACTGGAAGAAAACATGCGAAAAGCACAACAACAATCAATCTCATATGTTAACAAGAAAAGAAAAATGGCACCTCAGCTAAAAAGGGGGGATAGAGTATATTTGCGAACAAAAAATCTTCGGACAAAACGACCAAGCAAAAAGTTGGACCACGTCAAAGTCGGACCATTTTTAATTGATGCTGTTGTCAGCCCAGTTAACTACCGACTCCAACTCCCAGAAGATGCAAAAATACACCCAGTGTTCCACATAGCGCTGCTGGAACCTGCGAACCCCGGAACGCCACTACAAAATACATTCCACTACGAAACAGAAGAAGAAAACGAATTCGAAGTCGAAAGAATACTACAATGCAAGTTAGACCGCGGAAGGAAAGAATATTTGGTAAAATGGAAGGGATACCCACACGAGGACAACAGTTGGGAACCAGAGGCACACCTGGCGAACTGTCAGCAAAAAATCAAACAATACAACAGGAAAAGGAGACCGCCGCTGATCCAGAACAACTAACCTCAAGAAGCCAGTACGGCCTCGTCAAATAACGGATCACCCTCCAAAACAGAGGGCATGTACGAACTCCAGTCCAGAGCCAGGGTACCAGGCATCAACCCATCCTCAAGGTTGCCCACATCCTTGTTGAGTCCTTCCAACGCCTCAAGAGCTTCAATTTCTTCAACGAATTTTCCTGAGTCATCCATCAGTTGCTGCTCACGACGCTTAAGTCTTTTCTTCTGTTTACGAAGACGGTCCTTCTTCGCTCGCGCCGCAACCAGGGCCTCCAACGCTGCTGCCTCGGCTGCGTCCGCTTCTGACTCCTGTTGCTCGAGACGCAACAGTTCCCGGTCCAGTTTTTCGAAGTTGGGAGGCGGAACCTCCACAGGAACACACGACGTTACGCCATTGCGATAGCAATTCCCACACTCCTTCTTCAAAGAAGACATGCGACACTCCAAACCCTTTTTCGAACAATATTGACAAGATACCATGGCGATTTGTCCAACAGCGTTTATCCGATCCCCAGTGGCGTGACGATGAGCGGTGCTTTTGGAAACCATGAGGTCAGTTCATGAGGACAAGAACTTGGAAGAAGGGGGTAGTGTTACGAACCTAAGAATGGGGATGCACAGGTTATGAAGGAAGGTAATTACAAGAACACTCACGGTCAGCAAACAGGACACTACGTATGAACCAATAGACTTCGCCACCCCGCACGTCACGTGGTCCCACGAGTCTTGGCGGAAAGTTGCTGTGGGACAAGTCACGTGTGTCCCACAGGGTCCTACGAGATCCCACGATATCCCATCTATGAAACCCTATGGGACATATGGGAACTATGGGACAAAATATGTATATAGTCAGTAGACAAGAAGACCTTATGGTTCTTGTATTCACTCTAAGTTACAACCCACTTCTTGGAAATACAATCTAGTTGTTACTTTATACTTCTACCTTTGTTACTTCAGTGTTACCCGCTAGTCATCCGCGAAACCCAACCAGAGTTCTCCAAGATCTCAACAAAGGCATAAGAGCTTATTGCCTGCTTCTATTATTGCTGCGCTTAATTTGCTTTAAAAAAGCGCTAAAAAGATAGCCTATAGAGCTGCGCTAATAGGCAATTAAATTGCCAGCTTTAAGCAAGCTAACCACGCAGCAACAACACGTAGGGCGCGCAAAAAGAAGCGTATTCAGAAGCAAGGGACGCTTACAAAAAGAAAAGAAAAAGAAATTATTGCTTAAAAGGAGGTTAAGCAGCAGATTAAGGGAGAAACGCGTTAAAAAAAGGCTTAATTAAGTATTAGCTGTTAGGCTTTAGCGCGCTGCACCAAGTGCAGAGAAACTAGCTATAACTTACAAACTTGTTAGAAGTAAGCTACAGGCAGTAGCTAATTATATATATTTACTATATTATTCTGCTATACTGCGTTGTTGAGATATATTGCTAAAAAGGCGTAAAAAGCAAGTTAGGGTGGCCGCTCGCTTGTAGTGGCCGCTCGCTTGTAAACTACGTTAATCCAATGCGCTCCATTGAAAAAAAAATCGCAGCCTAGAATGAGTGATTCTAGATTCATTCAGATTACATGCGCTTCCCGCATGGACCCACTAACATGTTATGGACCTCAGACCACTCGCTGGTCCAGATCGATTATTTTGTAGTTCACCGTCATCATTACGACAGTTATGTACAACACAAAATTTGGAGAAAAAATTTGCCTCGACAGCCCTGTGATATGCACATGAGATGTGCACGGATATGGGTGGCCAAAATCAAGGGGTAGGTCCCTCCGGCGCAGTCGACCTCGGGAGCGTTATTGTATATTCGGAGTGTGTTGTTTGGATCTTCTGTGGGGGCTGCGCGACACAGCAATATCCGCAGGGTATCTCAGATCTGCTACACGAAGGCTTTCAAAACTAGATTTGCATGTCTGGAGCTAGTCTGCAGAATCCGAAAAACCTTCTCCTTTTGACGAGGTATAAATTTGAAAGTGTATTGGCATATAAATCGAGATTTGACGTTCTGAAACATCTCGATAACTGCACAAATTCATGTGTGGAGGATTTCTCAACGAACGCATCGTGGGATCATATGATGGGGTGTGATGGCTAACTTGTGCTTGTTGTACGGGCTGAAAGATGAAATGGATCACGGGAATAGTTCAGGTGAGCGGTTCAAAAGCTGCAGTACTGTTTTTTACTACGATGTTTCTTGCTTGAATTGTGTATTTGCTGGATGTTCTCCTTTAGCTTACATTCTAGTTAATAACAAACCTCGACAGGACACCTGTAGCACATCCGTAAGCGTTGTTTCAATCGAGAGTATAGAGAGACTATCTACAGACTCCATTTTAGTACTCGCCTACTTTTTGTCAAATTATTTCTATCAGCCTTTTTTAAGTGTAGGAACCACTGTAACTTCCAATCAAAAAAAAAAAAAAAAAAAACTCTACAGACTGTATATTTGCGTTGCTCAGCAGTCATGAGAATAGCATTTTGCTAGACAAACACACATCATGAGAAACGTCCAGCGCGGACAAGCGGAGGAAAGAGAGGGATGCTGGTTGGTGCTCTGACTTGTAGGAGCATCGAGCTCATTACATCGCTTTCAATGTATTCTACATACTCAAATACTGTATAAAGGAGAGAAGAGCTAGGAAGAGCCCTATATACCGGAACCAGATAGACTGGCTTATCTATACACGGTGTGCGACGGCAAAAAGAGGAAGAAAGGAGCATACGCTGGCAAGGCTGCGGGGTCAAACTGGGTGACAGAGTTTTGTTCGCGGTCATAGCTTTCTGTTCGACCTCCATTCAATTGGTGTTTGAACGCCATCGATGCAGAATAGGGATACGGTGGGCCAATAACCATAGCCAGAATACGACTTTCGGTGCATGCACGCTTGGCGCGCTTCAAACACGGCTCAAAAATGGCGGGTAGCTGTCAATGAGGCTGAAGCGTACAATTAAAATTCAACCCCTCTCTTCCACATGAGTTGATACGCGCACTACGAGCACTTTATCTTGCGGAGTCATTTGTCATGTTGTTTGTGTTTGAGTATAAACTACAACCGATTTGGTGTCAGATGTTATGGCTCCTTGCCGCAACACACAGCTCAGCACAGTCAGGCTGTGAGGGGAATACATCGACCTACAACAAAGACGGCCTGGTAGTGCCATTCAAAAACCTGTGCGGAAGAGACATCACAGCCCAAGTCGACTTTTCCGACCCCACAAACGAACTCGACTGGTCAGCGTGCCTCGACCGCTGTGTAGGAAAAGCACCGCTGTGCTATGGCTTCGATTTCACACCTCCAGGAACCGCTTCGTTCAGTTGTTGGCTCATGAACTCTACTTTCCCGGAAGACTCGGCGGTGTCGAAGCCGTATGTCGTCGACGCAGCTATGTTAGACGCAAATCTCCTATCCCAAATTTCGGATGATTGTATGCAACTTGGTTTGCTGGGATGCTACAAGAAAAATCAGCAATTGGGGACGAGTACTTCGGCGTCAACTACTACTTCTACTCCCCGTAGTTCAGAGTCAACTACTACTTTTACCCCAAGTAGTTCAGTGCCAACTATTACTTCAATCTTGAGTAGTGCAGGTGGGCAGCCCACTACGGTCATCATGACTGTCGTCACCACAGGGGTTGCAAATACAGGTTCTCCCGCGCCAGAATCACCGAAATACGGGCTGTCAACAAGCGCAAAGGCAGGAATTGGTGGAGGAATTGGAGGTGCTGTTTTAGTTGGGCTGATCGCTGGTGGGATATTCTTTCTCAAGCGTCGAAAGCGAGTCATATACGACACTACCTATGACGCTCAAGTCGATGCGTCTGACAAAATTGTTGATGAGCGTGGCTCCTCACAACGTTGGTCTGAGTTGCCTGCTGATTCAAGTCAGCATAAAAGGGTGGAACTGGAGGGATCTGATATGGCCGCCGCCGGTTACCAATTGGATGGCATGGCCGCTATTTCGGAACTTTCGGCCCCCTTTGAGGTGCGACAAGAACGTGTTCACGAGTTGAGCAGCTCCTCAGGGTAGTGCTGAACTATCTTTCCGATCAATAATTTGCGCGACTATTCCTCAATTCTCTCATCGCGACAGACATCATGTACTTCTTTATAATCCAAGCAATGAATTATGATCTATTACGCGGGTTATACGAAGTTTTTATATTCTTGGTGCACATGGGGTGTGATTCGGACTCAGCAAAGTCGAGGATACCCTCGCTGTGAAGCGTGACCATTGATTTTGACATATGCGTCCGACAACAATAGAGTACTACCTGTTTCAATATGTGGAGGAGCGAGTTGATTGATTGAGTGATGGAGCAGCAGAGTAGGCGATGGCCCTTATATATGGTGCATGAGTTGGGTCACGTGACCACTGGAATCGCCCTTCAAACACTACCACCTCTGCAGCAGCATCGAGACGACGACCATTCGCTCTCTGTATGCTTGAAAATTGATGGGGTGCTCACCAAGTGTTCGTCAAGAGGGAGGACAGTTGGATTTAGCGCATCACTATGGATTTTTATTAGCGCATCACGACCCCCACGCTCCCCAGGCTAGCCTCATGTAGTAAGCAGCTTGATGGGGTCAACCATATATACACCACAACAGCAAACAAGTAATCCGCTCAATTCACACATTCTTCTCCATATGAACTATTAGTTTCTACAGTCCAATTGGCCATCAGAAGCTTCATTAAACGACAGACCCGAATGCACGGTGAAATATCGCTCCCTGAGTATATACGCACGAGCGGGCTCACCAACAACATCTTCCACACGCTCGGCCAACATCGAAAAGTTCACTTATCTATGGAACGTTGGTAATTGCGTGATATACGACTGTGTTCCCCCTTATCACCGTTCAAGTTCATGTGTAGACTCTTTCCTTTGCCCGGATCACGCCTTCCAAAATCCACGATACAACACTCTCGAGATGGAGATTCGCATCTTTGAGTCTGTCTCCCTAGAAAGCACAGAGTATACGTTGCAGACATATCAACTTGTGAGAAGCTTAAGGGTTTTAAGAGCATGGGTTGATGGACACGTCCGCAAATGGTGGGATGATTTATTGGCAGTTCAAGATGTGGAAGCGTGCGATGGATGAGGCTCATCACTCTTGTCCACATTCAACCGTGATTGAATACTGCGTAGCACATGGAGGACTTCCAATGCATATAGAGGACTGTCTCCCCTTCCACCTTCCTTCTTGAACCCCAGCTTCAATTCATTTCGTACATGGCATCGCGGCACTCGGCCTTAATGGAAGCGCGAGGCTATTTAGACGAGGCTGAATGTCGGAGAACGCAGGGATTATCATGCCGACCATCAACATTGTCCTGTAGGATCTTAGCCATTCAGCACGCCTTATTGGGTGCATAGACAGTCGAGGCTGTATTGATTATTAGCCGACAGCTTCCAGATGGGTGTAGTATAATCTCAATTCATGCATTGTTCTGCACGGGGAGCGTCGTACAACATCAAACTCGAAAAAAACTTCAATTCCATGTGCACTATAAAACTAGCACTACATCGTCTTGTATCGAGCTTCTCTGAGCGGACTCAGTCTACTACACTCGAGATCCAGAAAGTCCGGATCTGGCACAAGCTTCAAATTTTCGAGATTCAAACTGCAGCGAGCTTCAAACTGAACGAGACCAGATAACAGCATTTTTCACTCCATAAATTGCCGTTGCGTCCAAGGTTTCTCTAAGAGATCGACATGTCAATGGAAAATTCTCAACCCAAAGATGAAGAGCCCATTCGCCCCGAAACTTCAAGTATATCTATTGCGATAGTGGGTGGCGGGGTCATAGGGCTGATCGTCGCCCATGGCCTCCTACAAATCGGCGTCCGGGTTACCATATACGAGCGTGCTTCCAATTTCCACGAGGTCGGCGCAGGCATAAGCTTCCCAAAAGTAGCCCGCGACTGCATGACACGCTTGAGTCCCGCAGTCATTGAGGCCATGGAGCGCGTAGGCCTGCGGAACAACCACGAATTCGACTACTACTGGGACGGATATCACACCAGACGCAACTCTGCCTCATCCGACGCCGACCGAAACATCATTAATGACACTGACCCAGAAGGAACAAGCTGCGATCTTCTCTTCAAACGCACAAACCGCAAACTCGACTACTGGGGCTGCCTCCGCGCCGACTTTCTCGACAACCTCGCTGCTTCTCTTCCCCCTGATGTAACACACTTCAACAAGCAGTTCACCGCTTATACGGATCCCTCCCCTTCTGCTGGACCAGTCACGTTACACTTCTCGGACGGCACCTCCGCAACAGCAGATGCAATAATTGGCTGCGACGGCCTCCGCAGCCGCGTCCGCGCTCAACTGCTCGCTTCCACAGCACCAGAAGCCATTCTGCCCACATACTCGCACCAGCGATGCTACCGCGCCGTAGTCGCGCGGTCCGCCACCGAATCCGTAATCGGGCAGGAAAAAGCGAGTCGTAGATGCGCGCACATCGGACCCGGAGCGCACGTAATGAGCTACCCCGTCAACGACTCCCTAGTCAACCTGATATTCTTCCACGCCGACGCCAATCCCTGGCCCCATACTCGCCATCTCACGCTCCCGGGGAAACGCGAGGATATTGTCAACGCGGTGGAAGGATGGAGTAGCGCTGTGCGCGGGCTCGTGAGTTTGTTTCCTAAAGAGCCGCTTGTGTGGGGGCTTTTCGATATGTATGAGCATCCTGCGCCGAGTTATGTGGAGCCAGGCCAAGGGGGGAGGGTGTGTATTGCGGGTGATTCGGCGCATGCTAGTACGCCGCACCATGGGGCTGGGGCTGCGATGGGCGTTGAGGACGCGTTGGCGCTTACCACTGTTGTCAAACTTGTGGTTGAGAAGTTGGAGGTTGCTAGAACGGGAAGCGGAGACGAACGGGAAAGTCTGGGAAGTTTGATGGAGGTTAAAGCTAAGTGTCTTGCTTCTGCTCTGAAAACTTTCAGCGATGTGAGGTACGAGCGGAGTCAATGGCTTGTGAAGAGTTCTCGCGAAGGAGGGTTGATATTCAATTGGCGGTATCCTGGGAGTATGGATGATCCTGTTGAAATTCAGAGGGAGTTGGACGAGAGACTCGATAAGATCTGGACCTTTGATATTGAAGGCATGGTGGATGAAGTGCGGAGTAGATTTTCGGATGCGTTTGATGGGGTGAAATGAGCGCGCTCATTTGAAGAGAGGATGAACTAAGAAAACTTGTTGGAGTAGTAAAATCGGGTTGTAGCCACACAGTCACAGATCATTCAATGATAGCGATAAACGTCAAGAATGCATTATAACATGATTCCAAACCCAGCAAATCTCAACTCTACATCTCCGTTCCCTCCCCCTTCGCGCCACAACCAGCCAGTCTAACCATCCAGTCTAAGCTGAACACATTGTCAGCATACCATTTACCCTTTCAAAGCATCGAAGGCAGAACATACCTTTGTACCATAATTGATGTTTCCAGTCAGGAATTTATTCGATGGAGATAGTATCGGGGGTGACCTCCACGACGGGAACAGCAGGAGCGCTGCGCTCATGGATCCACTCGCGGACCTGGTTGGTCATGCCGACAGAGCGCTTCTTGCTGTCGCAGAGAGAGCCGTTGATACCGCAGGTGGCGGCGGAGACGGTGGTGGCAATGGCGAGGATGACGAAGAACTGCATTTTTGCGGTTGGATTTGGTTGTTGGTCTGGTTTGGAAGATGGAGAGAAGTTGGTGAAAGTGGAGTGAATGTTGTTGTGGAAAGTGAGCGAATGAATGAATGAATGAATGAGTGAATGAAGCGAATGGAACTGATTGATGAGTTTGAAAGGAGTGTAAGAGGTGAGTGACGGTGGGTTATATACTAGTATTCGGGCTCCTGGGGTGCACTCGATTCCAGGGTTGCTGTCGGAGGTCTTGTGTTGGCGGTGACATGTTCATCGTCGGATGAGGCCCTGATTGTGTTGTCGCGATGTTCGCCTGGTTAGGCGGACCTTTCTAGTCACCTACTCAATTTTCAGGGCCTTTTGTTCCCCGAAACGGCGAGTTTCGGGATAGGTTGATGCAACGCGAATGAATGCGATGCGGTATCTCTCTCTTGAATTGTAGGGCCTAGGGTCGTGAGACCCCCTACTCAGCAATTTCGACACACATCAATGGAAAAATTGCGTACAACAGGAAAATTCATGTTCAATGTTGTATCATGGCAATTATCCTTGCGCATTATCGTCGAATCGATGATTGAGCGATCATGCTTCAGCAAGCCAATGCCTATGCCTACATTGCCGCCAAGTACCGAATCGCCGAGTTCCACTATGTTATTCGCTACCCAAGCCTCTTTGTGGGGTCGATAGGGCTGTGCTGGTTGGTGTACACTTTACCCTTAGCATCTTCATAATAGCGTATGTTTGTGTTTCAGAGATTAACTCCGATCCCTAGAACCGACTAGCGTCGCAAGCCCTCCTAGGGTCAATCGTTTAATCGGCACCTAAATGGTACTTTAGAATCTCCTATTTCGGAGTTTTGCACGGTGGGGGCTACTGGGGTGAAGGGGGCTAAGGCTGTCTCCTTGCATACGGAACTCGAGAGTCGATGAGTGTCACTGGCATGTAACGACAATAGGCACACCGTTTGGATAGGGGCAAACTAGGTAAATGATGCTCTTCTTGTTGTTTCAAGTTTCTCTCGAGTTCCCTCGACCCTGAATTTCTTTCAACGGTATTTCATTCCTTTGTGTTTGGGGAGTTGTCCACCTCTTCGTCTTCTCGCATTGTGCCCCCTGATGTGAAAACGCGGTCACGCGGTTCACGCAAGATTAACCTTTTTCCCAGCCTCGTTTACTACAGTATTCATCTGTTTTTCTTGCGCGATATGCACTTCCTCTCGCTATTCACATAATCCACGCGAACAAACAGAATGCCGGAATATACCCCAGCCACTTCCACACAATTGCAGCCTCTCATTTGGTGCGTGATCTGGATCTTAACATGCTGGATCATAGTATCCTTTCCGCACCGTTTGGATCGCTGGGCGAGTATTTCATTACTTTTCACGGCGGGATACGGCGCGTTCAAAACGTCTGCCGACCTGTCGCCCGATGACACGTTGAATGAGATTTATACACGATTCATCCTGATTGGGGGGTCTCATATCCTGCATCTAACGTGCAAGAGTAAGGGAAGGAATGGAGGTCTGAGAGAGGTATGTCTCTGTATTTTGTGGACTACCAGTCGCATTTTCCGCTTAACTTTGAGGGCGCTGAGAGGAACGTGTGAGGGTCCGGCAAATGAGGAAACCAGCGCAAGGAGCGACAGAGAAATCATAAATACTAACACGTCCATTTTTAGATGGATCACATCGACGCTCAACCGTGTTGGTCCCCTTGGTACCGCGGTTATAAATTAGTCTTCAACTGTAGAGGTGTTGCAACACCATGGGAAGCTCCATATCTATGGCGCGGCGTCAAGCACACATGGGAAGCCGATAGAGGCCTCGATCGTCCAGCTAGATCATCTGCTTCGCAAATCGCACGTCTTAATCCTTCTGCGACTGCAGCAAAACAAGATCAATGTTCAGAATCCTCGTCGCCGCAAACGACAATTCCCAGCGACGCCCACAAATCTCAGCCTCCACGACTCTTCAAGCAAGGTCGGTGGGCGGCCGTAGCGACGCGCATCGCGTATTTCGTTCTCAACTTCATCCTTCTATCTTGCGCCTACGAATTTCTGAATCCATCAACTCTCTTCGATATCGTACCCAACCCCTCTACCGACTATACTCGTGAAAAAGAGGGAATTCTACGACGTTTCATACTACAGTTCTTCTTCCCACACTCCAAATACACACTCCTCACAGCGCCAACACCAGTAACAACCCGCGAAATCAAACTCCGTATCTTTCTCGCCCTCGAATATGTCGTCGGAGACTATCTCCTCCTCTCCCTCTACACCGATTTCTTCGCCATTCTATGGCTATCTCTGGGTATCGACGAGCCATGGGAGTTTCCTCCGTTTTTCGGAGACATAACGGAAGCGTATACGATGCGACGGTTCTGGAACATGTTCTGGCATCGTGTGATCTACAGGTCGTTCAACGCGCACGCGGCACTCATCTCGCGGTATGTGCTGCGCATGAGACAGCGCACACCGGTGACGCGCGTTATCAACGGGTTGCTGGTGTTTGGGATCAGTGCGGTCATGCATGCAATGGTTAGTGCGCGCTTTGGGAACAGCTGTGCGTGGGGCAGGAGTATGCTGTATTGGATGTGGCAACCCATGGCGTTTGTCCTGGAAGACACGGTGCAGGCAGGTTGGAGGCGAGGACTTAGATCGAAGGTTAGAAGAGTTCTTGGTGAAAGTGGGGTCCGGGTCTTAGGGCGAGGAGTTGGATACTTGTGGGTTGTGTCTTGGATGGTATGGGAGGCGCCGAAACGAACGTTTGCTTTAGCGACATGTAAGACATGAAGCTCTGTTGAGCTGTGGAGACAATGCCTCCGAAGTGGCCAAAATTCCAACCCCGAATGTTTACCATCTCTATACTACATTTGTGTACGATTGTTGTGGGTCTGTCTGATGTGACCATCTCGTACTTACCGGTAGCGGTATCATGGCCGAGCGCTCTGAGCGTAATGTTGATTGAAGCCAAGTCTTGATTGCAATAATCCCCAAAAGAAGGCAACCAAGCTTTGTTAGGTTGAACGACTGAGGTGATCTTGGCAATGCACTTGTTAGCGATGCTTCTGCAGTTGTGAGAGCTTTGGATATTCTCGCACATCGATTCAACGCACGACCGGGTTGCCAACGCGCGTGGCTTGTAGTTTCCCAGTAAGCACAGCCAGGAACAATTTTCGGCAACAGACATGCAACGAGATCTAGCCACCCGGCCAAGAATCTTGGTTAAAATTTTGACCGGTCTCTTTTGGTTTGACTATTTGCCTGCTTCTGTTGCGAGCTACGTTGTTTGCCTACTTTTTCAATATAGGCGCAGTGGCTTATCTTTGGCCCCAGGTGAGACTGTTACCCCAGTAAACCAACGTGGATGGACTTCGTATTCAGTTATTCTCTCGCATAAACGACATCGGACCATTGTCCGTTTCTGCTGTTGCTCACTGGTGATCGCCGTCTTCTCGTTGTCGGCGGTACTTACCGCAAATAAGCCATGAACGGCGGTTCACCCGAAATGTAACACCGCAAACCTCGTCATCATGGGGCTTGGATGTTCCGAAGATCTGGTATATAATACTAAGTGTCACACAGGATCTTTCTGGACATTGCCCTGTCCTATAGTCACTAAAACAACATGCGTTTCTCCATCATAAGTTTCACTTTGACGCTCTGCTACACAAGCATTGCAGGCGCATTACCTACAAATTCCGGTAGGCTGAATAGAGAACAGTTCACCACCCTCAAGCGTCATCTAACTATTCTACAGGAGATGGCGGCGGCCCGAATGATGGCTACCTTCCTACATGCGGCGATCCCTACGCACCTTCAGAATGTTAGTTCTCAGCGGAAAAGAATCAGTTTTAATGTAGGTGCGTTTCTGACCTAGTGTAGCGAAGAGACAGGAGCCACCGAATTGTATCCCGCCGGGCGGCCATCCAGGTTGGCAAGGGTTTGGCGGCATCTGGTGGAAGCCAGTGAAAAACGAGTAGTACAATAGCAGACGATTGAATTCAGGGGTCTAGAATCAATTGGAACAGCGCATATTTTGGGCGTCGTATGTAGGGTATAATAAGCACACGTGGCGATGATTTCCAATGAATCTTGATACACGCAGACTCAGGATGTACTGTTATGCAATCGTCACCCCGTTCCTGCATTTCCACCCCAGGATAAAGACTGATGCAGGAACATGGACATACATTGAGCTCACGTATAATCGTATTGAATAATAATAGAAATCTTTGGTACACGAAAAATCAGTCCCGAACACGCGTGAGATCGACGTTCCCCTTTTCCCCAGTTCGTACAGGTATCCCATGGATACGACCACACACGTGCACTTTGCACTATCAACTTTCCAAATTCTCTGGTTCATGGACCGGAGTAGAATACGATCTGTATACGAGAACCGGCCCCCGAAGAAGCTTATTTGGCTGAATATGCGGGGGCGAAACCCCACACACCAACCATATCGCATGGAACCTTGCTTTTCAGCGACCAGCAACTTGTTTCCAGTTCACGCTCATATGCGTGTAAGACGAACTGCTGATTCTGGTTGCGAGCATAGCCTCAGTTTGCAGATATTGATTATCGAGAGATGCAGGATACGGTATCGAGTAGCGACTGGCAATGTTTGAACCTTGACTCAGGTCCGTGATTTCTTGGATTGGCTAGGCACACATGGAGTGCATTTCATCGATCATTGTATAATTACGTCCAATAATATGTATCGCAGTGATCAATGCTATTAACTGGTAGAGCCCCGAGACTCACTTTACGCTGTTTAGCACTCAACAGTCCCATCTTGTCTTCCATCTCAAGGATGGCGTACTACCTCGGTGTACCGTCACCGGCTACGATCATAGGAACCCTCACCTCCCTACTGATCCTAGATATCCTCGCAGTAGCGCTACGCTTCGTAGTTCGAAAAAGCCGCAAACAGCGTCTCCAAGCAGACGATTGGCTGACAATCCCCGCACTCGTGAGTGTCGTCAAACCCACAAACCCGCTCTCACCAAGCTCACCACCATAGATCGTGACAATCGGGATGTCCACCAACTTATTTTGGGGTAAATTTCACCATTCCGGTAACAAAAGAGGGCAAGATCTGATTGATCTGATCTCCCAGGCGTCCGCACGCGGAAATTAGGATACCCAATCCACACAACACTAGATAACATGGCGCCGGGCGTCCCAACCCGCAAGGTCTGTCAAAACCCACACCTTCATACCTGTGATATGGAATTGATCTCTCCTCCTAGCACGACTACGCAGCCGTGACACTAGCACCCGCAGCGCTATCCCTCATCAAAGCGAGTTGTCTCTGTCTCTACCGCCGGCATTTCGTCGTCGACAAAACCAACCCACGCGACCTCCGCAATCTCTTCTTCGCCTTCTCAATCACCGTCATAAGCCTCTGGGGCGCTAGCTTAACCTTGACATACGTGTTCGCGTGTGGGGTTAGATGGGAGCTTATTTCTGCTCCGCCGTGGGAGACGTATGGACATTGCATTGATCCGATGAAGTTGGGGTATTTTTTCATGTACTCTGATTTCGTGACTGATGTGCTGGTTGTTATTATACCGATCCCATTCGTAAGATGTTTCTAGAGTCTGCGTGAGTGCGGTTTGGGCTGATGATGATGGTGAGCAGGTTTGGAGAATGCGGTTGAGCTGGCGGACTAAATGCGCGGTTCTATGTGTGTTCTTGCTGGGTGCTTTGTAAGTATACGAAAATCCCCCAATGGAAACGGTGATCGTTCGAGCTAACCCTCGTAAGCACAACTGTCTGTTCGCTTCTGAGAATGCTATTCATGTTGTGGTCATTCGAGGTTGGCATAGATCCTACATTGGATGAAGGGCGTAAGCACTCCTAGTCTGCCGCATAATGGTCATCGAGACTCACGTACTACAGTCATGACAACGGTAGCAGATTACTGGTTCACTGTCGAAGCGCATGTCGGACTACTTGCCGCATGCCTCCCTACTCTCCCAGGGCTTTTCAAAGGCACTAAACTTGGAAGCTCGTTCAAGAGTTGGTGGTCCTCTAGCACCGGAGCTTCTCGCGGATTGAAGTCTGGTAAGTCTGGTGGTATTCCGGGAATAGATAGCGAGAAGTCGGTCGCTTTCATCAATGAGGATATACTACGTGAGGATTGATAGTGTATATGGACTATGATTGAGATACAATGTTAAGAAATTGCAGTGCATAGACAGTGTGACTTTGGACTTTGCATGTTGAGATATCTATAGTCCGCTGGATATTTGCTAATCGCTAGACGAATTCGGCACGTGATATCTGATGTCTGGCCTCAAGTTCCACGACGTTGAGATGCATATTTCGCCACACTGCACCACTAACACGCCAAACTCAAACAGTATACTCCTCCGATGAGGAATTTGATTACCGCACAGTATGTATTTTCTCCTCAGCCATCGTAATTAAGACCTTTCTCGCCCATCACAGCCTTGACAGCATCCCGCAACCCCTCTCCTGTGTTGTTCGAATCGGGACGTCCGTGCTCCTCCAGCAAGTCCGCGATTTCAATCCCAAGGTCCATATAATCTTTACACCAGGGTATGCCCTTCAATCCCGCAATGTATACTTCACGCAATCTATCCGCTTGTTTCTTGATCTCCGCAGTTCGAGCAGCATTCTGTTTCGAGGAAGACCGCGAAGAAAGAGTAGCATCATGGCGATTCTGGTTGCTGGAGATGGATCGATAATTGCCGAGCTCGAAGGCTGTGTGTGCTTTACGAAGGGCGGGACAGTGGGGGAAGGTTTGCGCAGTAGAAGAGAAGAGTGCGCGTGTTGCATGAGGTTGAGGTTGCACTGTATCCACGATCTTGTGTGTTTCAGTGGGATTTTGTGCATCCCACGTCCCGACGGCGCTGGAAGCAACGAGGGCGAGGGTGCGGGCACGCAATTGCTCGTGGTGGATGGCAAAAGCACTGCTGATGATGCTGGAATCGCTTTGTGAAGTAGTGAAGAAGTCCCGGACGCGATCGTCGAGTGCGAAGCGGGCTTCGTTTGCTGCATATAGGGCGAGGAGGACGGTATTTGAGGGGAACTGTTGGAGAAGGGGCTCGAGAGTATGGCGGAGGAGAGAAGGCTTGACAATTGCCTTTTGGTCTGGGGCAGAGGGAGAATATGCGTGTATGGTGTGATGGGTAAGCAGTGCTGCTATGGATTGCGCGTGGGACTCTTGCGCACTGAGGTGGCTGTCGAGATTTTGGCTTCGGGTCGTCAACTGTTGTGCGATGTTGGAATGAATAGAAAGGGCGGCGTCTATCGATGTCGAAAGATATGCGAGAAGCGCTGAGAGCGATGTGCTCGTTACAGCAAGGAAATGATTGTCGCTGATGAGCGCGCGTGAAGTTATCTCAGAGAGGAGAGTGCGTGCTCGGAGAATCGCAGTTTGTGAAGGCGATCCTTCGGTTGCCGTGGGAAGTTGACCGGTTGGACAAGTAAGACGCCAGAGCGCTTCCACATGATCACCTCTTCTCAACGCCCCCCAAACCCAACTATTGAAAAGAGCCAAGCTTCCCGGAGTCAAAAGTGGTCCGTTATCTACATCTTGCTGTTGCATTGACAAGGCAGTACTGAATACTTGATCTGCCTTGGAAAAATTACCACGCTTCGATTCGACCAGGCCGTAAGCATTATACAGAAACAAATTCGTGGGACGAGCTTTTAACAGCCGTTTGGCAGTCTTAGTGGCTTCGGCAGGGAAGTATGCAGATTCTAGGGCAAGAAGGTATACACCGATGGAATCCTCGGCAGAGTTAGCCGTGGTGAGGAGTTTCAACGCACGCCGTAAGAAGGCGGTTTCGACTACTGGAGACCTCTCCGGGAATGCGTCGTCGAACAAGATCTCTGTTGTAACGTGGCGATTACGGAGTGGACAAGCCGAGTATCGGTGCAGTACATCAACGAAAGCATCTCTGTTTTCGGGAGTGGTGGGCCTTGGTGAAAATACGTGCTGCAAAAATGGGTCGAGTCGGTATTTTTGCATGTACGCGTCTTGAGCGATCGGAGGCATGCCACAGAAACACAAGAATGCGTTGACGAGGGCATTTGGTTGAATGTGAAATGAAAGCCGCTCAAGTATATCTCTAAGGTCGGAGAACAAGACAACGTTGAGTAAATCATCATCTTCAACATCATCAAGGGAACGTCCAGGGTACTTGGGCGTCGTGTCTAGATCAAAGGTGGACCAGCCTTTGGCACCTTCTTCACCGATACGAGCCACGTCGCTATCCCAGAACTCCTCGAACGATAAAAAATTCTCATCGAGAGAGGCACCTGAAATCGAACCAGGTTTTAATAGATGAAATTCCAACATGGCTTGCCAAATCCCGATAGCCAAGCCATGATAGCCGGCTTCATGACACATGCGAGTAAACCGGACGAGCATGTAGAGCAGAAAGTTAGGCTCTGGTTGACTACAGCGAGATGTCAAAGTTTTGAAACAGTTGAGAAATGCGTCTCGACATTTCTCATACGTAAAACCAGTAAAATCAGATTGGATGTCGTCAAGATATTGCGCCCACAGTTTGGTGTCGGAAGGGAATTTGGCGAGAATCTCGGTCCACTTTTCAGCCCACCGCCAGACGTCCCACGCTATGATGGCTTCCGACATTAGACCTGCGTACAGCTTTGCCTGTCTATCTTTTTCGGTGCTGAATTTGCGCAGAGCTTGTTCGTATATAGAGATACGGAGCTCGGCGAGGTGGTGCTTGTCAGAGGAAGTCAATTCAGGGGAAATGCGGTCCATTACCATCATGGATTCCTGGTGTTCGATAAGGCTGATCCAGGCAGTGATATCTTCGGGGTGATCACGGGTCTGACGCACAAGTGCAGCGTTCCGTCGTGTGATCTCTGGGTTAGCAGCACTCACGGTGTCAGACTCGTACTCGGCGTCGGGATCGGCAGGTTGTGTATCGTGTGTATCGAGATCAAGGCGTCGATAATCAACGGTGTGCGGTCCGTGTGCTTCAATATTTGCATCTTCATCGTCGCCGTCATTTCTCCTGTTATCAAGCCTAGATAGGGCGATGAAATCTGCATCCAAGCTATCTTCCTCAGGAGCGACCTTGACGAATCTGATAGTTTTTGCAACATTTTTCAACGCGTGTCTGTCAGACAAGAGCCGTTTCTGTCCGGAACCTGATATAGGCGAAATGACGGTAGCTTTGTCAGTAGAGAGAATTCTGTCAATCTTCCGGTCCAAGGGAAGCCCCATAACATAGCCGTAGCCGCAGCTACGGTATCGGGGGACTTCATAGCGATTCAAGGTACCATATCGTTCAATGTCACGGTCACCACGTCGGTCGCTAAAATACAAGTCGGAGGTCGCATCGCGTTTTGTGGAAGATGAAATTATTTGGGTGGTCTGGCGATCCCTGCTCTTGGACGGATGCTCTCTTTCGCGGGTTCTCGATGAATGGTGGGATGAGTGGCGCTCCCTATCCTTTGATCGGTCCGGTCCGCCATCTCTTGAAGAGACTTTGCGTCTTTTGTGCGATTCCGACGAGGGCAGTTGTTTCGAGCTTTCCCGAGATGTGCGCCCATGTGACTCTTCACGAACGGGTGATGGTGTTGTTGCCTTGGCCGGTCCTGGAGGAGGTTTAGGCTTTGGTCTGAAGCTTGTGAACTTTGGCACATTGGAAGTCATAGCCGGTTGGGGGCAGGGCGTACTCAGACTGATTGAAGAGTGACGATAGAGGAGATACTCTAGGTGGGTTGGCTGTTTCAAAGGGACGATGGATAAAATATGGCACGTGTTTGCGTGATGGAGTGGAGGTTCGAGATGAGGTAAGCATCGGAGGAGCGCACGGGCCCTCCGCAAAAAAAGACGGGCGCGAACTCTTGGCGGCCCGAAATTTCAACTTTTTTCCGAGGATTGGACATCCAACCTACCAATTCTTCACCCGTCGCCCGCCAAACCCGCCATTTCGCGCCCCATGGACGCTCCGAATAGCACGTTGACATAGAAAGAGAAGTGAAGAGAAGGTTCAAATATATAATTGGCAAGAGCACGGGAAGCGCTCACTAAGATACACACCATCATGGCGACTGCGCTGCAGAAACAGCTCGCAGCCATCGCGGCGACGAGCACCCACCAGCTCGACCTCAAGGCGCAAAAGCTCGCCCACGGCAAATCGCTGCTGTTTGAACCGCGCGTGGCCGCGTCGCAGTCCTTTGAGAACCTTTACCTGATATGCTACGATGGCTACCGGGATCTCTGCGCCCTGGACCCGCGCTTCACCCAGTTTTCGCGCAGTCTCTTCAGCGAACAGAGCAAAGTCGAGGATCGCACACAGATGACACAAAAAGAGAATGAGTCCCTCAATGGCGTTTTGGAGGCTTTTATGACCATGGTTGGTCCGCGCATCTTGTTGAAACCTGCCGAGAAGGCCTTGGAATGGCTGGTGCGACGGTTTAGGTTCGTCTTCACCTTCACAATGATGTATATGGGATGAAAGCGCTGACGCACAACCTCCAGGGTGCACGAGTACAACACAGAGACGCTGGTTCTTACTTACCTGCCTTACCACGACACCCCACAGTTCCTGGCCCTTCTATCCATATTACCCCCCAACCCATCCCACAACATTCGCTTCCTCCACCCCTACATCCATTCCCCCACCAATCCTCCGCGCAAGACCATCGTCTACACTGCCGTCAATACCCCCGCCTTCTTCGATGCCTTCCAGAACTATGTCATCAAAGTTCTCAAAGCCCGCCACCAAGGACCCAGCCTGCTGTCTTTCTGGTCCAGTGTGACCACACAAGCGATTGACGGCATATTAGATCAGTCCAAATCGGGACGGAGGGAGGTTCAAGATCAGAAAATTGAGAACGCTTTGTTGCGTATCCTCCCCGTGCTCAACGCATGCATGCGAGCATCGAGCGGTCCAGAGGCTGTCACGGCATGCTACATGATTGTCGTCGTGCTCGTCACCAAGGGACTATTTGAGGATAAGGTCCTCGATTCCCTCATGGAAGCAGTTATTCGAAGCCAGGCACCAGAGACTTTGGACGCCTGCCTTATGTGCCTGGCTATTATTGCTGAAGAACGATCCGAGGCCCAGTTTCCATCCGCCGTCGCCAAACGAGTGATGAGGATTCCAAACTTGGACAGCACGCTGGTCACCCTGGCGTCGCGCTGTCGTGTCGATCGCCTCACATTAGCATCTTCCCTTGCCGCCCTCGACGGGATCGCAGGTTCAGAAGAGAAGCAGAAGCTGCTCCGAGACCTCTTAGACTCGCGCCTGTTGGGTGACTCCCACATCGCCATTGTCCTCACCGCACTGCTGCAAGTAGTTCGCCAAAGCGAAGCAGGGTCGGCTGATCACGCTCATTTGATTGACTATGTATCTCGACTGGGCGAGGAATCTGCTATCTCTCAGGTCATGGTAGCAGCTGCAAAGAAAAGTGGTCTAGATCTCGAATCACTTGGCCTGGCTCTGGGATCCTCGATTGAACAGGAAGAGCACAAGCTTTTGAGCGACGAAGATGCCAAAATGGAAGATGCAGAGGACCAGACCATAGATGCTCCAATTGTGCTTCTACCGGCCATATCGGAGGTCAGTTTCCTCGAATCGGAAAACCAGGAAGCGTTCGAAACAACGTTCGCGGCTTTCCAGCAGGCCGTCGCATCCAGCCAAACAGCAAGCTTTCTGAGCTCGGCCAGTCTTCAACAAGGAAAGGCCCTCCAAACCCCTCTCCATCTCACATTTCTGGCCCGAGCTTGGTGCAGCCCATCTTTACCGGCCCCCCGCGTAACAGCACTGCGATCAGCGACGTCGCTAATCAAGTCGTCCGAGACTTCTGTCGATTTGCAAAATCTCATTCCTTACTTGCTGTGTGCACTTTCAGATCCCGCTCCAGCAATCAGACGTTCGGCGACTGCACTCGTCGCTCAAATTTCCGCGAAAGCCAAGGATGCCAAATCCAACACGCCGGTGTGGGGTTCCTCCCAACTGTATGGTAAAGAATCTAAGGTCCCACAACTTTCCAAAGAGCAATCGAGCAGCCTCATTTCTGTCCTTGTACCTATGCTCGAAGAGTGCGCTATGGATCCCCGTTTCGTCATCGCGTCTCTACGGGATGTTCTTGAAGGCACAAAAACATCGTTGAAGTCTACACTAAAAGGCCCCATCCTCGCTTTCCTGGGTGCTCATACCACTACAACTCCGTTGCTTGCTGTCCGTCTGCGACTCCTTCCACTATTCAACTTCACAGGAAAGACCTCCGCCAATGTTCGCACAAACAGTATTCTGCCAGCTGTGCGAGCTTGGTTCTCGATGTCTGCCGCAGATGCCACGACAAAATGCGCAAATCAGCAAATCAGTGTCTCTGATGCAGATCGACATCACGTGGCTGCGCTATTGGCCAAGGAGGCAGACAGCGCCGCTACGATCAAGGACAGCATATCTGGAAAGCTCAGTAAAGATAGGATGGAGCTGCTAGAAGCCGTTTTTGGTTGGCTCAACACCAACTGGTCGTCATTGCGATCCGAGTCCCGACTATCATTGAGCCAGACTCTGCTGGATATCGCCCTTAGCGAAAGCACCACCGGTTTCAACGGGTCGAGTAGAGGCCATGCGCTGGAAACGCTTCGAAATGTCAAACTGGACACAGCCACCCTTGGAATGTTCCTTGACAGCGTTCCATCTGCTGTACAAATGCCAGAAGAGCCTCCCGCCAAGAAGCGGAGGCGGACCAGTCGCAATGAGATGGTCAGAGCTGACGCCACAACGCCAGAAGAGGTTTCGAGGCTTCTCCGAAGACTCACTCTGGTGCTCGAGCTGATCGAAGGATCTAACCCTAGCGAACATCCGGAGTTGTTCAAGAGTTTGTTCGCTATCCTCGGCGATTTACAGCCGCTTCGACAGCAATCCGGCTCAGAGCTCGTTTACTTACAAGGACTCATTTTGGGCTCGCTCACACCTATGGTGAATCAGATCAAGACCCAGAAAGACGCTGGCGAATACCAAGCGTCTGTCCGGGCTGACCTCCTCGTTGATTGCATCCGGCACTCCGCCAGCCCACAAGTGCAGAACGCGGCCCTTATGCTCATATCTTCCCTGGCCTCATGGGTTCCCGACGTCATTCTTCACAACTTGATGCCCATATTTACGTTCATAGGATCGACGTTACTTCGGCAGCAAGATGAATACTCCGCGCATGTTGTGGATCAGACAATCTCCCGCGTTGTGCCTCAGCTGGCCACTTCCCTAAGACAGAAGCAGAAGAACTTCCTCTCTGGTGTTGCCGATCTGCTTCTGAGTTTCACTGCTGCTTTCGAGCACATCCCCGAACCCCGGAGACTGAAGCTTTTTGCCGAACTCGCGCGCACTTTGGGTCCCGAGGATGCTCTCTCTGCCATTCTCGCGTTATTGGTCGATAGGTACCCCAACAGCAAGGTTCAGCGAAGATTCTCTGTCGAATTGCTGCTCGTTTTCGATCCTATCGTCAGTTTACAGACTATCAAGGGTTACTTGGACCTTGTTGAGGATGCAAGTGGCTCGAAGCGTACAGTGGCCGACACATTGTTCAGCCTGAACGAAAAGCAGCCAGGACAGATCGAGGGCGTGTTGACTAATCTCCTTTCATCGCTGGCTGACCTGGCAGCAGACGAGCGACTCATCTCACACGTTGCCAAAGCATTCAAGCGGAGATCCGATCCTTCCCCGCCGCGGAAACTCTTTGCCAATATTGTCGAATCCACTATTCGTCTTTCCAAGGTGGTAGCACGCCAACAGAAAGTGTACCAGTGCTGTAGCCGCGTACTCGGACGCTGTCTTAATCTCCTACCAACCGCAGACCTTGTCAAGTCTGCTGAATTGTTGCTTGCGAATGCCGATCACGAGGTGCAAATTGCAGCGATCCGAAGTGTGGAGATACGAACCAGTGCTGTACTGTCAGGCGACAAGACGTCTGTTACGTCACTAGTGGCGTTCTTGCCGCTTCTCGACGAGACCCTACAGAAAACTTCCAACCTTGATGTCAAGCGAATTGTCTTGAGTTGTATCGAAAGTATTGTCGGTCGATTCGGAAAGCGAGATCCTTCCGCTGTAGCAACCATTGCCCAGACTGTCTCAGGTCCCAAATCACTATCCAGCGATGATGACCAAGTTCGAATTTTGTCTTTGCTCTGTCTCACTTCTGTTATTGATGTATTGGAGGATGAGGCGATTTCGCTTCTTCCCACAGTGCTGCCTGCTGCGTGCGATTACCTCGGCAAAGCCATTGAAGATGAGAACGAAGGACTCCACAACGCAGTCTATGCCCTGCTCACCAACACGGTACACCGACTGGGTTTCATGTTCTCGCGAGAATACCTTATTCCAGTGCTCAAACTGTCGCAGCAGTCGGCTGTGGGTGGCCTGGAAGACGCTTGTGACGAAGAGCGTACACAGTTTTACCAGAGCATTTCGCGAAATCTCGAGCCTCAAGAAGTTTTTACCGCTGCTAGGGCCACGTGGACGGATGCGATTGCGCAAGGCTCCGAGGTAAATATTCCGGTTATTCTAGACGTGAATGCAGCTAACAACATTTGTAGGCACTGACTGAGCAGCTCAACTTGGTCCAATCCACGATTGAAGCCAAGACCAAATCTCAATTGGTCAAATCCAGCTCCACGCTCTTCAGCCTCTTCCTCGAAGCCTTCAAGTTGCGCGATGCAGTGTCAGAGAAGAGCGACGATTTTGATGATGACGAAGTTGAACAAATGGAAGAGTCCCTTGTGCAAGCAGTCATTTCAATGACCCTAAAGCTGAATGACGCCACATTCCGACCCTTCTTCGCGCAGCTAGTTGAATCTTTTGCCTCCAACTCCCTAACCTTCTACAAATTCCTCGGCGCCTTCTTCGACAGATTCAAGGTTGGTCCCACCCATATCCTATCGCCATCCCTTGAATTGAACACCCTGCTAACACTACCTCTCTAGTCCATCGTCACAAGCTACTCTAGCTACATTCTAGACCCAGCATCCACCCTCCTCACAACCCTCGCCGACCCCTCCCAACCCAACGAACCTCTCCAAGCGGCCCTTCTCACCGCTCTCCAAAACACCTTCGACAACGACCAAGACGCTTTCTGGCAATCCCCCTCCCATCTCTCCACCATTCTCACCCCTCTTCTCTCGCATCTAACGATCCCCCCAACCGACACCAACCCTCTTAAAACCCACACTATCCCCACCATCACATCCCTCGCCGCGACGCTTCCCTCATCTACGGACGCACATCGCGATATTAACGGCGTATTGTTGAAGTACATGCGCGACGAGAACCCACATACGCGGTTCGCGGCTGTGGCGTGCCAAAGAGCACTTACGGAACGACTTGGCGAAGAATGGTTGGGCTTGTTACCTGAGATGCTGCCGTTTATCAGCGAGGCTAGGGAGGACGATGATGAAGCTGTCGAGAGGGAGACTGCCAAGTGGATCGCGGATGTTGAAAAAGCGCTAGGTGAGGATTTGGAAGCCATGCTTGTTTAAGTTCCTAGATGCACGGCAAATTCCCCACGTGTATGTGAATGGAAATCAGCTTTCTTTTTGTAAATCTCGGGCTTAGTGAGAATCTAGAAAAATTACGTGTTTTATGTTCAGTTCAGTCTCGTCCTCGCTGATATGTGTGCCTTTTTTTTTGGTAGTGTGTTGATCGTGTGTGAAACCTTGCACGTGGAACAGCGAAGAGAAGAAGAGAAATTGATGAGAGGTAAAGAAAAAGAGACCTTAGGGGCTAGGTATGTCGGCTGGAGATGCAGACCGACCAGTGCGAATATATCTAACCTATCCAGATTGACTTGGAGTTCAATGGTTACCAGGTCCAGCAGGGGAGATGGTTGCCTTGGTTCGCTAGACAAGTCTTCCGAGACGAACAACTCCAGCAAGGCGATCAAGCTAGACACGGCAAGCGTCAACTAGCTCAATCAGACTGTCAGCCTAGGCGAGCAGAGCGTTTACTACATTGCTCAGACTGTCAAGTTTTTCGCGCCTCATAGTATTGGTATCTTTCAAATCTGCATGAGTGATCCTTCTGTACCATCTTTCTCCCATCCATTGTTCAAGAGACTCCCGCGCCTTATTGATTATCGTGGAAAACCTAGATAGTTGGGAAGGATTGATTCTGGGAACAAATGAGATCCATCTGGTGTAATCAGCTTCGCTTCCATGTGCTTGGTTTTTTTGTTTGCATTGAGTTTGATATTCTGCTGGAAGGCCAGAGGCGAATAGGTTTCCTATTGCCAACTCATCATTCAGGAACGCTCTTTCGAGTTTCTCTGAGTTGAAGTTTCTGGGCATTTTGGATTGGTTGGATCTTTCTGTTAAGGGTTGGTTGGAACTTTGGGTGCCTGTATTTCAGAGTGTGTCAGAGTGTGTTGAGTAACTTGAGTTGGGTTGAGACTTTGCCAGTTGAGTTGGGTTGACATCAAAAAAGCCCAACAGCGGACGGGATTTTATATTTCACTAACCCCGTCCATCTTCACAATGTGCAACACGATATTGGTGTCTGTTTGCCAGCCGTCGACAGTAGACGTTGTTACGCACAATGGATTCCGATCCAACCGGCTCTACAATGTCTCACCTTGTCGTCTCTGGGTGATTCACATTTGTTCACCTCTTCCTATCTACTGTGTTCTAGAACAATCTCTATCATTGAACTTCATAAAATGTGTGTTGGATGTGACGGCTGATTATTTTCATATCGCTGGTGTGTGATGTGATGGGGAGTTGCGGGCTCACATTAGATCGACGGCGAGGGATTGCGATGAGTAGATCAGGACGCTTGGATCCAGTTTTAAGACATGATCAGTGAAGGTTTAGGCGCGCAGATTATCTGAGAACATATTTTGATCCTATTGAAGAGATACAATGTGTTTAGTTTTTTCTATAGCGAGCTCATCGTTAGTGTTGATGCAGTGGAGTTCCTATTCTATCTTGTTACCAGTCGTATCTGAAAGCTTGAATAGGCCCCATTGCTGTGATTTGGTTGTTGGAATAGGGTGGCAGACATTTCCTCACGGTATACGAGTGAGAAGCTTTGCGCTTCATGTCAGCTTATTGGAGACCGGGTCAGCCCTCCTCTGACATTACTTTTCGTTCGTATAATACCCGAATCGGAAAAGTGTTCGCAAATTTGAATGGGGGTTGAACCGCAGTCTTAGAGGATATTTGCGACTTTATCTGTATGAGTATCTCTGATCCATTGTGATCTCCCATAACGATTAACGGCTTATAATATAGGCATTGGAATCAGAACGTTCCTATTTTTATATCACCGTTTGAGTCAACTGATCTCCGAGAATGACTAAGCGGCACGTGACTGGTTCGTCTCCCGTTCCCGCTCCCCTTTCCCCAGAGCAACTGAATCGACTGCCATGAGACTAAGATTAGTGTCAACTCTTTTTTCTCTTGTGTCCAGACCTTTAGATAGCAATTGTGGAGCTATGCAAAACCGCTATTTCCAGGCACAATTCAACGCGTCGCCCGTGACGTAATCATTGTGCCAAGCAAATCTCCTATTTTTGCCCAGTCGGCAGTCGGAAGCTTCCAATGCATCAGGTTTTGTTTTGCAATACTCCTTTTCCACCACCATGGACTGCTCACTAAAGCTTCCAACGTGAAGAAAGAGAAGGAAAATTCCACGATGCTGGACTCCCGTGGAAATGGAAAGTTCTCGCTCGCGAACCTGCGAGCGTTACGCGGCAGACGGCTGTACGTGCTGCTCACCACGCTCTCGGGTCTCGTGCTCTTCGCCATCATCTTCCCGCTGGCCTTTCTGCTGCCAAACGTGCGTGAGAACCTCACACCCTCGACCGAATGGCTGTCGCAGCTGCCCACGACCATCTCCAGCGGCGGCCACAGCAAGCCCGCAACTGACTTTTCCGCCCCGCAGAAGGACAATGCCGACCCCGATCGTGTCGACCTCGATTACCTCTCGTTCCGCCCCGTCAGGGAAGGCAACGTGAAGTTGTACTGGAACATGCCCTACGCTGCGTCAACGGGCGGTCAAAACCGCTTTCGAGGGCCCCAGCCCCCGCCGCTATACAATCAAAATGGCACTATGGAGTTCGGTGGTCAATTTGGCATGTGCCCAAACATCCAGAAGATCGACTCCAAGCTTCGCAATAAGAACGACGTTGCAGGCGATGACATTGCTGGGATATACACCGCACGCACCGAAGACTGCCTCTCGCTGCATGTCTTTGCCCCGTCCGACGCGAAGCCGGGGGACGACCTGCCCGTTCTGGTGAACATTCCCGGTGGTGGTTTCCATCTCCCGGGGCGTGGCAACGGCAAGGATTTCGTGGAGAAGAGTCGCATAGAGAAAAACGGGAAGGTTGATTTCAAGGGCATCATTGTTGTTATGATGTACTATCGAAATGGCATCTATGGGTTTCTCTCGGGTGACGAAATTGCAAAGGACGGCGACTTCAACATGGGCTTCCGCGACCAGCGCGCTGCGCTCGAGTGGGTGCAGAAGTACATTCGTTATTTTGGTGGAAACTCGGATCACGTCGTTATCATGGGCACCTCCGCCGGTGGCACCTCCGTGGTCGCTCAACTCGCAGCCAACCATGGCGACAACACATTTCCAGTTCCTGGATCCGGCCGCAAACCCCTTTTCCATGGCGCCATCATGCAATCTCCAGCATCGCCAACCTATTTCACGAAGGAGCAAGCGAATGACTTTTACGGGCGCGTCGCGCGTGGTGTGGGTTGCGCCAATGACACGTCTATAAGTTGTGTTCGCAACGCCTCTGTCGGCGATCTATACTGGCAAAACTATCCCATGGCCTTTGCGGGGCGTAACACGCCTCCCAGATGGATGTGGGCCCCCACCGCCGAAAAAGGTCCAAACGCGCTATGGACCGAGCCCGGTACCACGGCTCTACTCAACGGCCACTCCGCCAAAGTCCCCACAATCATTGGCTACACGTCCAACGAAGGCACCGATCAAGTGTTCAAGACGATTGATAACGAAGGAGACTTTAAATCATACATCAAAGACCACTACCCGCTACTGACCGACGACGACTTGGACGTACTGGTGAAGAACTATCCTAACGATCGGCACTGGCCCGATTCCGGATCTTGGTGGGACGCCGTATCCAAAGCCCAGGGCGAACTCCGCTACATCTGTCCAACCTACCTCTCCGCTCAAGGTCTCGCACAGCACGGCGCAAACTCGACGGAAAAAGCACCCACCTACACCTACCAATGGGACGTGCACTGGGGCCCAGACAACGTCAACGGCTACGGCACCAAGCACGCCGCAACAGTCGGACAGGTCCTCGCGCGCAAAGACAACGAAATCAGCGATTACTTCATCAGCTTCATCAAGACCCTCGACCCGAATAAAGAGCGTCGCAAAGGCACTGCCGAGTGGGAAAGCCTAGATGACAGAAAACGACGTCTTTTATTCACGAATCGCGAGGATGAAGCCAGGACGTTCAAGATTCGCATGCAGGACGTCGATGAGCAGAGGGAGAAAACATGTGGTGATTTGCGCAACATGATGGCACGGACGCAGCAATGATCAAGTATAGATTTTTAAAGCAATTTGTACTACGGTGGTCTGGGAATGACTGCATCTATCGGCGTTTTGATTTTGCTAGGGTCAGATAATATACCGCTATTTCCTCTTTATACCGTTTTTTATTTATTTATTTTATCCCCGAGTCTTGTTACTCTTGCATGTTTCAGCGGTTCAGCGAGATTCAAGACTGCAAAATAGAGGTTAATATCTATAACTCACAGTTCCACTATAAGAAATCCCGACATTTCGAACTCAAATACACACTGAAGCAGTGCAGGCGCTACTTAGTAGAATCAAAGGCAGCTCCTGACCTGATGATTTGTTTTCCGAGGCCACTGCAATCAATGAGATCTAGCATGAATAAAGTTAGCAAATTTAAGAGACCCAATTTCATCACACTCAAGATTTCACAAAGTGTCTGTGCCGCGTGAAAATGCGATGATTCAATGAAGTGTCCAGTACGTCATGCTCAATCACCTCAACTCTTAGTTCAAATTATCTTGATTGGCGTCAGGGGGGTAAGTAAGCACCAGATTATTTTTTGTCACGATATAAGCAGGTCTCAGAGTAAGGCCACAAGACAGATTGGTATGGTACCTACGCCTCGTTGCCTACACACACAATCAGCGTCTTCGCCCCCAATTACTCTGCCTCTTTGCCACGTTTGTTTACGTTGGCTTGTCTGGGGGAATTGCATCTACACCATCTGTCTATCATGATCCGTAGCGAACCACCCACTACTTCAAATAAGCCCCCTTGAAACCTCTCAACATCTTCATCTATCTCAAATATAGTACAGCCTCGATTAAGCGGTTGATGTTGCTGTTGCGTATGCCTCCGCGTGCGTTTGAAGGATGAGTACATAGTACCGCCCCCAACACAAGTATAGCCGCCGCCGCAGAACTACGCCATCGGGCGACTTGCAGGTGGCGTTTCATAGAAACGAAAGTTCCTCGAATCGCAGGTGAGAGAACTAGAGATGAAGTGTTGGTTTGAGGTGGAGTGTTTTATATAGTGCTGGGTTGGGTGTTGGATAGTGTGTTAGCAAGAACATTCAAATATATAATGTTGTGCGCTTGCTTGACGTTGCGAGGTCTAGGAAGAAGACTCCTTGAATCCCTCTGAAAAACTACTACTTCGAACAGGACCTTTGTTGACTGTAAGACTATCGTTTTGTGGCTCCTATCCGCTTCCTTAAACCCCGCTGTTATCGACCCTCTTTTCCCCAGCCTGCATTGTACCCCATCACCAGACTGGGAAAGAAGGTATTCAGCATTCCAAACTTTCTCATCTTCTCGAACAAGGATATTCTTACAGATAGAATGCTCGCATACACCCCAAACTTTCCACTATCAATCATCGCTACCATCGCATGTACAGGCGTCAGCGCAGCGTATGGGTGGTTGCTCGTCCGGTACCGAGCGTGGCTGCTATGGAGTGTACTCGCTGGATCTTTGTGTATGACTACCTCATCTTCTCACAATTCTCCAAGGGAATATCGCTAAATCGAATTCATGTAGTGGAAACGACAGGTTTCATAGCCCGCACCATCGCAGCGAGAAGCTCGAACGATGGTGGAGCGGTTCATCGGGTGCAGTTCATTCTTCTCCTGTACGTTTATATCTCTTTTCCCATTTCACATTCCCCCTCTCCCGCTATCTTTACGTTTCTTTGTTTGGGAGCTGATGATGGTTGTGGAAAAAAAGCATAGCACCAACCCTCCTCTCAACAACCTTCCTGTCCATGTACGCTAGAATAGTTCTCTGCGTATCCCCCGAACCCCAACGTACGTTCCGCAGCCGCGCACTCTGGCTTCCTCCGAAATACACCGAATCTTTTCTCGTGGCGTTCAACATCCTTTCCCTAGCTGTTCAGACCATTGGCGCCGTCGTCTTCGCTGGCGCGGGCCCAACCGAGAAGCAGAGAAATGAGAACGGGCGTGGCATCATACAAGGGGGTTTAGTGATCCAAATTCTCTGTTTCGCTTTGTTTGCGGTTTTTTGGGTGAGATTCATGGTTGTTGCGAAGAGGTGGAAAGGGGATGTTGGGAGTAGGGCTGAAGGGAGGTGGAGACAGCTTTGTGCCGTCGTGTTTGGGGGGTTGGTGATTGTGCAGGTACGTGTGCACATGCTTCTTGGAGCGCCCTTCTCTCCTTCGAAAAGAAGTATGTTGGTTAATGTTATTGGTGCAGATTCGGACAATCTTCCGCCTTTTCGAGTTCGATGATTCGCGTAATTATGTTTCTTCTCATGAATGGGTGTTTTGGGTTTTCGATGCGCTACCTGTTTTAGGTGAGTATACACGATCCATCGTTGCTCCGGGGATTTTTTTTCTCTCAGGCGCTAATATCTTATCTAGTTGCTTGCGTAGGGCTTTTCGTTTTCCACCCGGCTCGTTACCTTCCTATTGAATTTCTGAAGATCTGGGTGCGCAGCAATTCATTGAGCGATGCTGAGAGAGAGGCAAGTGGTATTATTCTTTGAGGAATATATGGTGATAGAGCGCTTCTTCCTATCTGATGAATGGAGGTTTCAATTAAGTTATTTCTGTTGGAGTAACGCGGAGAAGCAATTGGTGTGGAACGGAGATGTGCTGTGGCTGAGTATCTGTATAGATATAGTTAGTAACGGAGTGCGTTGCTTCTAATACGATTGTCTCAACCATTTCCATTATCTGTGCCTACAGGACCCATGGTGTCGGTTAACCTCTGAATTCCTGTACGCGACGGGGCGTATATCTAAAGGATTCCCAGTCTTTCCGATCCCTCAAGAGTTCTGGATCCTCGTCACCAGCGATTGCAGTCGGGAGATATGAATAATCCATAGGCTAATCATTACTTTATCGTCGCAATACCTTATTTACAAGAGATTATGCCGGCTGACCAGGGACAACATTAGTTGACGAATTGAACACTCAAAGCTCCCGTCTCGCTTCTCATTAGTCTTCCGCATATTATAATACGAAAAGAGCCTTGGGTGGCAGTGCGCCAAGCTCACAACCCCTGGCGAAGTGATTGAACCATGAACACCGTTGCTACGCCTCCCTCAGGATAACACATCATATCTCCGTTCGGTATGACTGCTTTTCGTGCGTGTTGACAATGCAATATCTATTGACCCCTTCCTACTAAGTCTATCATTTGATCATCATGCTTCCATGTCAATTTAGGAATTTAATTCACGGGTCATTACAACAATCACTTCCCAATTTTACGATATAGTGTTAGCCTTCTCCGGGTACTTTCGCAATGTTGCCAGAGTGTATGTAGATTTCAATTTTCGCGCTAATACGACATTGCGCAAGTCTGCATAAAGAATATGAGAAGATGACACTGATCAGAACGCGTAGCGTCCTCGAGTCTATGGACATACTACCCCAGGTTCCCCAGCTTTTGGGTCCCAGTGGCCGGCTCCATCATTTTTGGCCTTGCGACCAGCGCCCATGGATACCTTCTGTTTCTACACCAAGCCTGGTTCTTCGTGCCAATGTGTATCGGTTCCAGCAGTAAGACATCTCTCATATATATCGGCGGAATGGAACTAACTTTGCCCCAGTGGAGCTGATAGGTTTTATTGCCCGGGCTAACGCAGCCACGGATCTGTTCAACAGGGAGGTATTCCTTCTGCAACATTACACGCTCTAGTATGTGATAAATCTGTGCTCGTAGATGAAAGTGCATTTGAGCTGACCAGGGTTCAAGCTTCGGGCCGTCCTTCGTCGCTGCGGCCTGCTATGGAGTCTTTGGTCTAATCGTATCGAGAGTAACCCCCGCGCCTGAACGAACTTTGCGTACTCTGTGGTGCCCACCCCGACACACCAAGCATATCCTCTTGGGAATACATATAGTTGGAGCATTCTTCATATTCCTCGGTGTATCTTTTCTTGAAAAAGCCATGGATAATGATGATCTAGTCCAAAGAGCCCAAGGGCGTATCATTCTTGGTGTCGGGCTCATCTTTCAGCTCATGTGTGCAGCACTGTTTGCGGTCATTTGGGTGCGCTATACGGTTTCCAGCCGACGATGGACTGGGAGTTCCGAACAGCAGGCCCTTCGAGCGAGAGAGGATCGGCTTAGTATAGCCGTTATGGTGGCTTCCACGCTTATCTTGGTATGACAAACTTCGCAATCGGCTCTATCTGCAGCCTGCTGACTTTATCCAGTTCCGTAATGTCTATCGTCTTGCTGAGTGCTTCTCTGGGGAGGAAGATTATCTCCGGAAGTACGAGTGGCCATTATGGGTATTTGATGGGCTTTTTGTGTTTGGTGGGTCAACCGTCCCTGACTGCAAACGTGAACCAGCTGATTGACATGACAATTTAGTCGCTATCGTGGTTCTGGCCATTGTTTATCCCGCTCGCTTTCTACCTTTACAAAAAAATGACTGGGAATCAAAGGATTCCATCGAGTGATATACGAATCTGCATATGAAGCATCGATTCCCTAGCTTTGCGTAGTCTTGTGGGTTGACTGATATTGGGCGATGTCTGGTGAATGAATACTTGGAAGGGGTATATTATAGAGTCTTCGCATATGCCACTTGAATAGTATAAAATTCAAATGAGTCAATCTATCCTCCTGAAAATCTATCGAAAATTCATACTAAATGTTACAAACCTTCACCTAAGCAAGACGCCGCAATGAACAGAAATGTCTAAAAACGCTCCATCCTACCAATCACGTCCACGCCCTAACCAACCCAGTGAAAACTGATCTTCCGGCAATCCCCACCGTCCCCACCCCCCTCACAGCTTGGAACTTTGGCTCAACACCATCAGTAACAAACTTCTTCCTATTCACACCCAACATGGTATTCCCATTGATGTCTTTGATAACCGCCTTCTTATTTCTGTCCACGTAATCGGCGACCTTCTCTCCAACTTCGGTCAAATGCTCTCTTTCCCAAGTACGGAATGCATCGGCCCAATTCAAACCCGCAGGGCGTGGTTTAGTGTCCTTCGCCGCTTCGGTTTCGACCTTAACAAGGGTGTCATGCATACGCTGAGAAGTTGCTTTGTAGATTTCTGCGACTTCAGGACGAGTGAGGTATTCGAATAGCATAGCTAGTTCGGTAATCCTTTCGAGCTTCTTGTTCCACAAGGGGCGATCGCTCAGGTCGTCAAGAGCTAAGACGTTCTCTTTGAGGCCGTTCAGGGACTTTTGGAGACCGATGAGCTCGGAAGAGCCGTCTGGTAATTTACTATCGTCATTAGACAGATTTATTGCGAGTTCATCAAAGGGGCTGTTGTCTTTGAATATGGAGATGGGCGTCTGGGATCCTCGGAACTTCTTATTACTTATGAGGATGTTGTCTTGCATAATCTCCTGCTGCGCACATTTATCTTTGTTTTTGGTACCGTATTTTGCCCATACCCAGTCTAAGAAGATTGGGATTAGTTTTGCTTCAAAAACGTGTTCGGTTTCTAGGGCGACGTTCTTGATGCCAATGGCGGTCCCTGCGGCAGCGGTCTTAAACTCAAAGTCCCAAGTGCAGCTGTTGATTTTGTAAGAGAATCCATAGCTGCGAAATTTGTTATTTTGATTTCCAGTAGTATATGACAAACTCTGAGCATTGATCTTGCAGTAAGGAACAATTTTCTTATCGGTACCGCGTTTGAGGAGATTGTTCGGAACAGGGGCGTCGAGATTTGAAACGGAGCGTTTCGCGGCATCAAGATCGGCGGTGCAACCGACACAGAATGGGCAGGCTGAGGACGACGAGGATGATGCAGAGGAACTTGTGCTTCTGCTGCTTTGAGCAGTGGATGAAGGAGCTTTCGTGGTTTCTGTGCTCCCGGATGGTTTCTTCGTCGGTTGTTGCTGGTTCGATAACTCTTTTGCAGCAGCTGCTGCTGCCGCTGCCGCTGCGATAGCTTCAGCCACTGTAGCGGCGGTGGCAGCTGTTGCTGCGCTTGATTCCAGGGCTGACGCTGCTTCGGTCAGCTTGCTGAGAACGTCGTCTAGTTTCTTAAGGAGATTATCATCGAATCCAGAGTTCTTGGCGTCTATTTTCGATTTTTGGGTAGCTGTAATACCTGGTTAGAAATGACTGTTGTGTGATGTGATGTGGGATTACTTGCCATCCTGGGCGTCTTTGACCGCCTTTTGTACTCTGTCTTTATTGGACTGAGAAGGATCATCCGAGAATTTTTTCGCGTCATCTTTGGCCTTGTTTACTTCGTCGTCTGCTTTAGATACAGAGTCTTGAGCTTGATTAGTAGAAGTGGGTGCTGCTGTAGGTTTTGAAGTGGTTTTGGATGGACTTGCGGAAGCCTCGCTTCTGGGAGATGAGTGACTGCTAGTCGAAGTGTGCGAAGTGCTTGACGATTTTTGCGTGGTAATGGATGAGGATGAATGTCCGGAACTGAAGTGAGAGCTGGAGCTCGAGCTTATGTGTGATGACGACTGAGAGCTCGAAATTTTGGTGGACACCGAGGATTTTGAGGAAGGGATAATCGATGATGAACTTTGTTGTGAAGAGCTACTTCTCGTTGAAGTCTTCAATGTCGAGCTTGGCCTAGTTGTTTGTGACGATGACGAAGATTTCTGGGTAGATTGGGTAGAAAGCGTCGATGACTTTGAACTAGACTGAGAGGATGAGGTAGTCTTGGATGTAGATTGTGACACCCTTTGGGAAGAGCTAGATGAACTTGATTTGCTCGAAGTTCTCGAACTTGACTGTGAAGAGGCTGAAGGGTTGGCTTTGGTAGAAGATGTGCGTACAACAGTCGACGAAGAAGACGTTGGTGGCTTCTGACCAATTGCCTGATAGAATGGTAGGTTTCCTGGATGATCACAGCACTGCGCTCGTCGAATTTGGGCGTTGCAAGTCTGGCTCGCATCACCTTGTTGGTCTGTTTTGATCATAATTTTGTTGTCGGGGCAGCGATTGTCTCCGCAGTCGGGTCTAGGTTATAGTCAGTTGCTATGTTGCATCCATTACGTATTGGCGGACTTACACACTGCCATACCAAGCACAGTTGCCTTGTGAGGTCGCCTGGTCAATGCTCACGACGCCACTGCAGCAGTAGGCCTGACTATCGGAAGTGCAGGTTAATGCGTGACCCAGTCCATCTTGGAGTGTCCCTGCGCCGTAAGTGTCTCTGGTCAACAGCGTTTCACCGAGGCCGCAGTATCCAAAGCATTGAAAGATTGTTCTCGGTTTTCCACGGGGGTCGTTGTAGGCCCAGCGACATTTCTTTGGATCAGGCGCAACAGCTGAAGGACAGCAGAGTGCACGCGGCTTGGCGATATCGCATTTGTTCTGCATATTTGCATCAGAGAGCTTTGTGGTCATTTGAGTCCATCCTGATGCACATTTGCCGCCACACTCGGTTTCGTAGCAAGGAGAATCATATGCAGAGGTGTAACCCAGAAGGGCGATTGCGCTAAATAGGGCGAGCGATCGGCGCATATTGTATGGATGTAATTGAGGTTGAAGACGTTGTTTGAAGAATATCATGATGAGAAGGCATTCCAGTGATTTTATATGCAGTTTTTTGTCGCCCCTGCTTTCTCAAAGAATTCAGATTACACACGAGACAGTGCCGAGCTAGTCTTTCCAGTACGCTGACTGTGTAGCATCGCTCCAATTCGGGACACTGAACGAATAACATCCCTACCAGGAGAAACATTCATGACCGGATTCAGATTAATCAGCCATGCTGGCGTAAAACTCCAAGTCGGAAATAGTGAGTATGAAGGTGCATCAACCCTATAAGCAACATAGGTTCTTTGTGAGGCTCTGCACAGCTGACTATCGAAACCGGACTTAGCAATGATTAATCAGTTACACGGGTCGCTCAAAAAAGCAAAGAGCAGCAACACGATGCTTATTCTCCGGCGGAGGAAGGTGATTCGCGAGCTTGATCGCTTTTAGGCCTGTTAATTAGGAATAAGACTTGAAGGACACGGCTATGGCGTCAGCAGTGTGTGAGTTTATTTTCAGCCGTGGGGGCTGCAACAAGGGTTCCCGCAGTCAATGTTCCTTTCGTTAATGCTTGATTTGAATCATTTGGATGTTTCAGATTGCCTACTCATGTTCTATCTACATCGGTCCACTTGCAATATCTATTCAGCATTTTAATGCTTTAAACAACGTCGTCTATTTAATGACGACCGAGGAGACATTCATCACTTGTATTGTGTCGGAAGTGATACCTGCGAATAGAAGGGTGTCGCTATCGATGAATTCAACACAACACATGTACGACAGCACAGTGATGCGCTCATTGAGCCTAATTAAATCATCTGCTGCCTGATGATGTGAGGGGATCGCGGTCAATAGATCTGGGACAAAACAAGTCGAACACATGTTACGTGATAGCGCAACGCGAAAAGAACACAAGCAAGCCCCAGTGGCTATTTCACTTCATCCCGCGGATCATTTGAGAACTAGCAGAACAATTTTCCAAGTATTTGAAAGGGAATAATCTTAAATTGACATAGACATAATACATCGTGTTGGTATGTGTATGATTCAACTTTAGCCATTCATTCTAGTGGAGAATAGAGAGTTTTTGTAGGAACGTGACTGGCTATTGCAGTGATCCCGTAAAATCTTATTTGCAATTCTGTGACCTTGTCTGGAGTCACCTTGTGGCATGCAATGTGTTATACAGGAACCCAATTACTTATAGACAATCGTCTCTCCTCCGCAGAGGAGGGGTGGGGTCCGCTAAGCCTATTCTGTGTTAGGTTTGAGTCACGCTTACTAGTCGACAGAGGCATAAATGCTAGGTCGCCATTCACTTCCATCCTCCTTCTCCCCTGCGATACACGCTACTCGATGCCACTGATACGGATGCCGACGTTTCACCCAGAAAACATACCTGCCGCTGTTTCTGCTTTCCGACCTTCCGGCGAAGTCCCTGTGCGACATTCACGGTATTTCGATGGCGGTCAGTGTCGCATCTTCAGAGTAGACTTTTCGGACGGAGTAAGTTGGTCTGTACGCATTCCAATCCACTTCCAGAACCACTCTCAAGATGCCATTATTTGCACTCTTCAGAGGGAATATGATGTGCTTCTAGAGATCGGCAGGATGGACTTTCCCTGGGCTCCAAAATGTCACGGGATTAGCCTCACATTTGACACTCTCGTTGGATTTCCGTTCATAATTCTGTCATGGATTGAAGGCTCGCCCCTATTCTGGACTTCCAACTACCCAGCAAGGCCTATTAGGAATAAATTACTTTGTCAGATCGCTGATATACAAGTGACTTTGATTGAGCGCACTACAGAAACCAGTATGTTTGGACACGGTCTTCTGGGTGAAAATTCTTACTGATGATCGTAGGAGGCACCGCCACCCAGTATTTCTCAAGATTAACAGATAACAAGTTGCGCCGAGTTCGTAATGGTGAAATTCCCGGTTTGACCGAACAGGACTGTTTCGACCTAAAAAAACATCTCTTTGAGGTATTGAACCCTGAGCTAGAGGACGCGCCATTCGCCATGGATCATGGGGATTTAGCACCTCTGAACATTATAGTTGACCCGGAATACAACATCACTGGGTAAGCAGACGCCATGACTAGCCACGATGATATTGCTGATTATAGAAGTATCATCGACTGGGGATTTGCTTCCAAAGTTCCAATCCAACTGGCTGGTCGCTTGCCTCGCTTTCTTCAGCTATCAGAACTTGTCCTACCTCCAAGTCCAACTCTGCGGGAAGATCGAAAAGCTTATATTGCTTCGCTCAAGTCCAACTCCTCCCAAGTAGCATTTTGGATGTCACTTATCCATTCATCTGAGGATGTTGATTTTCGCCATTGCGTTCTGGAGTCGATGATTAGCAAGGGTATGCACCTTTCGCTTGCACGTCTGGGATGGACACTTCCCTATGATGGGTCGCGGGATAGTTTTGAAACTGAACTAAAGAAAGATTGACGATAAGGGGAGCTCGTTGATGAAGGTAGAGGTCGATGAGGATGGCCGCGAGCACTTCAGTGGATGTGGAAGCAATTTTGAAGGGAAGGGGAGGGGGAGGCTTGAGAAAGGCAAGGTTAACTGCGCATTTAACGTAGTAATATATATAATACTTTAGTAATTTATTAAGAATATATAAATTTATAGTATCAAAGTTAAAGTTGAAAACTCTAGTATATTTATTACTTTTTATTATAAAAGTTATAGTAAAGTTTTTGGCAGGATCACGATACAAGTTTTTAGGCCACTAAACCGCTTCGCTAGCTGCCGCCAACATACATCATTCGAACATGAAATTGTGATTTTTCACGTCGCATGCCAATTAAAGGACTCACAAAAGGGAGTGCTGTTAGAATTGTCGGTGGCTCCCTAGGGTCCTGAGTTAAGCGAAGAAGAAGCCGAAAGAATAAGTAGACAGATGCAATGATCCCAATAGGAAAAGCTAAGGGTGAGAATATGTCTAGTGTATACTGCTCACTAGCAAGCTGAGCAGAGGGATGAAAGGGTGAGACAAAGACCAGAAAATCTTGTGCAGCAGATCATCTGTTTTCAGACTTCCAGATACTTTCTAGCACCCTCAGTGAATGTACGCATATAGCTCAATTTGGTCATCTAGCGTCGTTCAGTTTTCTCCACGAGCTCATGTACAGATTAATCGTGCCAGGGTCCATTTGGGGGCCGGGAAACGAAGTGCATTGATTCGTGGCGCAGTGCTATAATTTGCATGTACAATATATGCAGTCATCACGTCTTGCACGACCTTGATTGGTTTGGGGCCATCCAACTCTAATGCACGTCCTATCCTCGGGCTCCGAAACATCTGCTCACAAACTTTGGGAAGAGCTGAAGACTAGGGTGGTGCAAAGTATTAGCCGATAGGAGCATCATTTGAACGTTACCTCATGGCTTCCTTATCTGCAGCTTCACCCATATCAGAATCACGAGAATATTGCCAACCATGATGTCCAACAGCCCTACTGGACAGAAAGGCGCCGCCTCTGGTACGGTACTGACCAGTGGAGTTGTCATTCCACTGACTGCCTTCTATGTATGTGCAGCATGCCCCGAAAAACATTTCACGATGTTGTTGAAGCACTCGGGCACGACTAACAATGACATGCTGTCACTGATAGGTTCTGAACTGGTTCTTCAGCGCGCTGGTAATCATCGCCTTCTTCGTCAGGGCATACATCCGATATGCTAGTTTCAAGCACTTGCTTCTCGAAGACTACCTCATGCTCTTCGCGCTACTCCTGCACTTCAGCGGCGCTATTCTCATACAGCTATTCATCGAACACGCGTACGACATCGAAGCCGTCGGGAAAGGCGATTTCTCCAAAATCGGCCCCGATTTCATTCAAAACTCTCAGAAGGCATTTATCGCTACCGGGGCCAGTCTCCTCCTCGCGATGATCGGGGTTTTGGTCATCAAGCTCAACTTCCTAATTTTCTTCCGTCGTCTCGGCCAGGAAATCAATCGTTTCGGCATCGCTTGGTGGTTGATTTTGATATTTACGGTGTCTTGCACAATTGTTTCGCTTGCGATATCTCCGTTTGGATGCATGTTTGGCAAGATTGAGCATATCCTCAGTCCGCAGTGCACCGGTCCAGCCATGACACATCGAGTCCTTGTTTCCACGGTTTTTTCATCCGCAACGGATGCTGCATCGGACCTCATGAGTGAGTTTGCCGTAAATCATGCTCGAGTTCATCGCGCATGGCTAATTATACACTAGTCGTCGCTCTACCCGTCGTAATCCTGTGGAAGAGTCACATCGAGAGACGCAAAAAGGTGATTTTGAGCTTGGTGTTTGGGCTTGTTTTCCTGACGATCGCCATAACTATTGTCCGCGGCAGTGTTTTCAGCGAGGTCTACAGCCAGTCTTCTCCTTCTGGGAAAGCGAAGACTCAGAGCGGATCGTTTACCTGGTTTTGGTTCTACTGCCAATTCAGCGTCGGTAGGTTCCATCCTCACAATACTGTACGTTTCGCAGGCTATAGGCTAATACAGCATACTTTAGCATACTTGATCGCCTGCATAATTTCCTTCCGCACGCTATTTGTGCAGCGCAGAAACGAAGCCGAGAAAAGAGATCAGATGCAAAAGCGTCGCGAACAAATCTACAAAAGTGCCGCCCGGAGGGGGTTGCGAGCTAAAGCTCAGCATCTTCACAATACTCTACTGGAAACCTGCAAGTCGCTTGAAGGAGTGTCGAGCGATGAGGGCCTGTCCATGCACCGGCTGCCAAGTGTGCCAACAGGCCTGATGACTGTAAACTTCAACGACGATGGCAACTGGAGAAGAGCAGCGGAAAAAGACGACCGGAGCTCGCATACAAGCTCCGACTGAAATCCGATTCTCCGGATCTTCACACACGGCATGCATACAACTACTTGTCTTACTCAACCATTTCGCATCGGCCCTAAAGACAGATGATGGGCAGCCTGGTTGCTCAGACCTTTTTATGCTTTATGCGACACGCGATAATTCATGGTTTTAGCGCATGCCTTTTCAAGCCGATGCATAAAAATTTCTTTTTTGCTTTACTATAACTTTCTTCTCATGGGAATATCTTGAACCCGCCTGGAACAGCCGTCTGGAATATTCCTTGAGGATCATACTTCCTACTGGCCTTCTTCATCTTTTCTACATTCTCACGATCGTACCCCCCAAAGACATCTTGTTCGCGGTCCGCATAATTCAGATATTTGAACTTGATATAGTTCCCATATTTCTTCGACGCAGATTCCACGGACTGAATAAACGTCTTCGCGGCCGTACTCATCAGCTCGTCATCGGCGGCGTCATTCCACGTCAGACTCAGCATCGAGATAATAGGCGGCGCACCCGATGCCGCTGTTGGATCTGGCACGATATTTCTCGCAAATGTGCTGTGGCGAGCCGATTGCGTCAGGATAGGGTTGGCGAGCGTCTGGCTGAGCAGCGCATTTGTTAAGCCCGAGACGTTAGCCGTTATGTTGGAGAAGGCGAGCCACGCTGGAATGACATGTTGGTCCAGAAAACTGAGATCTGCTCTCCAAGTGGTAGTCAGAAACGCATTGCGCTTACCCTGACTTGTTTCCGAGTCTGCCACCATATCCGCATGCGATCCAATGCGCGTCGCGTCGCTGACTTGTGGTTTGATATCTGTGAAGCGACGATAGGCTTGCGGATAGGGCTCCGGCTTTGTGTAAATGGGACTGTTGATTACGAGGCGCCTGCCCTGAGTAGCGACGTAGACCTGTATTAGGGACGTATGTTCGTCGTAGTTCGGGTCTGTCGCAAAATCGATGAAAGCTTTGGTTTGCTGTGGGAGTGTGGTGAGGCTGTACATGATATCGCCGCCCCACATGAGACCCTGGGCGAAAGTTCTAAGTTCAAAGCGGGTGACGATTCCAAATGTGCTTGATCCACCCTTGAGCGACGCAAAGAGATCGGAATAGTCTGTACTGCTGGCAATGACAATGGAGCCGTCGGCAAGAACAACTTCGTAGGAGAGAACATTATCGCATGCAAATCCAAATCGCGGCGAGAAATAAGAGATACCACCTATCTTCGTTAATAATCGTGAGGGTTGAAAAATCAGTCTTGTTGGGTGCGGGCAGACGAACCGCCAGTAAGTAAACCGCCGACACCAACATATCTAGATCGGCCCCCAACAACAGTGAGATTCTGCGGATCAAGGGTGTCGTAAACTTCACCCCAGAGAGCACCGGGTCCGACATATGTAGCATCGCCGGCATCGTTGACGACAATTTGGTTCAACCCCCGGAGATCAATAGTGACACCGCCAGCGATATTAGCACTACCTGCATAGGGTGTGTGACCACCACTACGGATAGCAAACTTGCAATGAGTCTGCGATTGATTGAATATTTCTTGTTCGTACGATGCGGTAGTCAGAATCCGAACAGCTGCAGAAACGTCCTCTCTGTCTCGCGGGGCGACAATGCAGCTTGGTCGGATGTCACCTTCTTGCCCAGAATAGTAGCTCCCAACAGAATCCCCATATTGAGATGTATTATAGAAGAACACTATCCCAGGGAGGTTCTTTACGAGATTCAAACACTGCGATATGTTACTATTGGTTCAGCGCCGCAGATGTATCCTGTCCATCCACGTGGTCGATAGCATGTAGTCTTGTGGATTTGCGTTTGTGGCGTAGGCCTTGAAACCGAAAAATGCATGAACATACACATATGTTACCCTGTTTATCCGATGTTGCAGACGCTGCGCAGACGCAAAAACACCACGCGAAGTGAATCAAAATCGCACTGCAAAGACGGGCAGCCGAGTTCGTGTGCATTTTCAACTGCAGTCTCCCATAGGTCATGGACAAGTTTGAAATTGAAAGGGTTGGAACGGACACGATCGGGTTGAAACTCGGTAACTCCAGGTGGCGATATGTTATACTGCAGAGATAAACTCGTCATGGCACTAACAACAACGAATTTCATGTGGACCTGAGCATACACCAACATGGCGGCGTCAGACTCCGTGTTGGTGCTAATCCTTTTCAGAACTCTCTGACCCCTCTGATACCTTCGCTCTAGCTGTGAGGGACGCTATGAAGGACAACAAAGAACTTTGACGGAAGAAAGAGTCACCTGACATCGGGATTCATGTTCATAGGTGATCGCAGATAGGAAAAGCGACTGCCGAGTGATAAACCTTCCAAGGTCCTAAATTTCTCCATGAAGATGCGGGTTGGAAGACCGTGGGGGAAAGAAACAATGCGGAAGAAGGGGCAAGTATTGCTTTTCAGGGCCGCCTGAATCTACAGTCGAGACTGCGATGCTGACCTTCTCTTCAGAGCCTCGTACGCCGCCGCATGGCTGCGTGTACACAAAGGGTGGGATCGTGCTTGGGGCGCCCAGCCAACCATGTCCCAGGAAACCGAGGACCAATCGCTGGAACTGGTTGTATTGACCGGAGCTGAGGGTGTGATGACTCGGGCCAAGAAGTCCCTCACGAGATCCACGTGTACCGGCTGCAGGAAGCACTAGAGCTGGAAAGGTAAGATGTGCGGGTACGGGATGAGGAGGAGGGGGTTTTTGTTTTTGATCCGGATCACTCCCACTCTCACATCTCTTTTGTTTGTTGATTTGATTTCAAATCATTATTCAATTAGAACACCAATTTTCGTTTATAGCCTGTCTTCAGGGGCGGGGTACACTTGTCCTTATTCGAATCTCACTCCCATGTCTTACCATGTATGGTGCGTATTCGAGTACCTTACCGAGATGACGAACAAGCGTATCTTTACGCATATGAGTGGGGATGCGCGCACGAACAATCAGCGGGTGGGCATTCACTATGCAACGTTACTTGGCGTAGCGAACGGGCATCAAGAAATTCCAGCGGCGCGGACCTTCGCAGTTAAGACTGGGTTGAGCGTCGACTAAGGGAGGCGTTAATAGGCTGCCCAGATTACCCTTTCGTTAGGCTAATATGCCCCCTGGTAGGTAAGCACAGCCAGCAGCGGGTTGTACCGCTTTATTCTCCCCCTCTGATTTTCTGCTCCTCACTTGTTTGCCTCTTTACTGACTTGATTGTGTGGTCATCATTTCACCGTTCAAAGCATGATGAGAGTTTTTGCAACAAATGTTCAATGATGCCTGTATGCTACAATGAGACAGGTCGTTTCATCGTGCATCTAATTCCAGCATGAGAGAAAGCTGAGAATAATACATGAATACACTATGCTACGATTGCTTCCCTCTATGATTTGACTTGTCCTGTTCTCTTCGGCATCTCTATAGGCTTATGAACAAAATTTGACTGCTTCTGAGTAGAGTCGACCAATCCAAATGGCTCGTGTGAGTTGCCTGTCGAGATCGAACGGGTCTGTGGCGGGAACAAAATTGAATCGTCCATCGATATAGACTCTTCCAGGGGATGTTTTGGTTTGTTTCGCGCAAACAGCTTTCGGGAATACTCCCTCACACTATACGCGGGCCCAATTAACGGCTTGTCCTCGTGGACAAAGAGACCGCGAAAGGTTCCGAGGCATGCCACAATGACAGCTGTAGAAAGAAAAGTCAGCTAAAAGTCACGAAAATTATGGATGCTGATTTCATACCCATGCTATGTTCAACGGCAGTCCAGATGTATAGCCATGAAGGTTCCGGTTGTCTTGAGTATTTGGTGACCAGAGCCGCGCGTAGAATAGCAAACAGAGCCGTGATCATGACAAGCGAGAAAAGACCCAGTAAAGCCAGCTTTTTCTTTGCTTGAACTCGAACATGCCACAGAATTGTAAATGGTATTGACATAACTGCAAGGTATCAGTATGGGGTGCAATAGCTAATATTGTAAAGAGCAATGGACGTACTCAGAAAGTCTGTTATCACGTCGAATGCGGTATTGAGCTTAAGCACAACAAGCACTTTCTCGATCTCGGGGCCTCCAGAGCACTTCTTTACGATCTCCGATAATGGTGCCAGTCGACACCAGTAGTTGGTATCTGCGAAACATGCTACCAGGCAGAGAAAAGTGAACACCGTGACGACCCACCAGTGGATAGTCAATGATCGTATATCGCTGATAAGGCGCTTAAAAAACACCAAGAAGGCTGCTTTTACAGACCAAAGACCCAGATAGAAGAATATGGTGGCAGCCATGGATCCTTTGTAGTACGACTCTGTATCGGGTACCATATCAGGTGGTGCAGGCCAGACTCGACCACTGGTTACTCCCAGGAATTGGAACATGTGTCCGGACACGACCTGCCAGGCCACAGCGGTGCCGAAAGACAGAAGCCATGATAGAATAACCAGGCCATCATCCCAAAAGATGCGTTTATACTTGCGCACGCGGATATATAGTCGCAGACCCACAAAACAAAACGACACACCAACACCAGCCCAGATCGCGCCCTATGGTCGGGTTAAGTACATCAGCATTTCGCTCGATGCAGAGCTAACTCACAAGGAAAATACTCTGGGTGATCGGAGAAGCTTTTGTTGCAGGTGGTCGCTGACTGAGTGCAGACATCTTCCCACGAATGTATGGCACGAAAAGTAGGGCGAGAATGTCCCACTGAGTGTGTATATAGAACGTCAGATCGACGAGCGATCGCGGCGATTTTTACGGGAACCAACATCAATGCCACTCGAACAGTTGTTATGGGGTATCAGGCCTCCCCTGTTCGATTCCACCTACGCGCACTGATCACCGGGGAACATGGGAAAGCGGGCACCAAACTCGTTACCTGCATTGGTCAGACGCCTGCAGCCCACCCTTGTACATTACATCTATGCGTGTACACCTTGTTTTCTTGAACCCCGAAAATCCCCGCACATAGATTAAATACTTCGCCCTCCTGTGTTGGCTCATACTACCCTCTGCGTTGCGGAGATCAGAACATCATGCGATTTGACAGGCCCTGTGATACCCAAAGCCGGTGAGCTGTCGTCCAAGCTTGGAAACACCTGCTTCCCACCACCTGGACCCTTCCCCTCGGCCATTTTCAGATCAAAACGATGAAACAGGGTGGCCAAAAAACCATACACCTCTTCTTTGGCCAATACTCGACCGGGACAGTAGGTTTTTCCGCCCCCAAATGGCCGATATGAAGCATGGCGAGAGAGCGCTTTGTGCTTCTTGAACCTAAAAGCATCGAAATCTCCAGAATTTTGTCCCCAAACCTTTTCATTCTTGTGCAACTGGCGAGCTGGAATAATGATAGCGTTTCCTGGCTTCAGCTGCTTGCCACCCAGAGTGATTGGTTCCCTGACAATGCGGCTTACCATTGCCCCGCCGTTCAATCGGAGCGCTTCGTTAAAAATGGCTTCGAGATTGGGCGAATTAGTGCGAAGGAGCTTTATGTCCAGCACGCCGTCGATCCACGCCGCTTCAGTCTCTTCCTTCACCATACGGAGCAGTTCTGGATTATGTAGGAGATGAGCAAGCACCCAGAAAGATATGTTGTATTCGTTGGAGTTTGCACTGCAGTTTCGTGATGTTAGTGTACGTCATCTAGAAGCCTTTGTGGATTCCCGCGACTTACGCCCAGTACACCATCAGGAGCACCGATGCCCTGGCACGCAGATCAATATTCATGACTTTCTGCCACGCCAGAATATTCTTGATGGACCAAGCCTGCTCGTGACGCTCTTCATCTGGCATCTCGATAAACTTTTCCAGGGTTTCGGTAATGACCCGTCGAGGTTCGGTGATTGGGGAGTTCCCGAAAAAATCGGGGTACTGGAAAAACACCATCCATGCATTGTCGTTATACCGAAGCATGTACTCGACGATGCGGGGTTCGATTTTGTGGAGATGGCTTCCAAACATAGTTTGCGTCGCACCTTCGACCAGCGTGTATCTGCAAAGTTCCCGGAGCGAAAGCAACTTCCCCTTTTCCGTGCTTTCTACTGTGCAGAAATCGAGTTTGTCCCATTGGAGCGTGTCGAATACGGATCGCATGAAAACTCTGGACATGACGTCCATCTTTTCTCCTGGTAAGAGCTGCTTGCGGTACATGTCTTCTGTAAAGCGATTCAAAGAGGCCAGCTCCGGATTGATTTCGTTGCCAGGGAGGTAGCACCAGTCTCCCGGTTTTGGAATATGCCATGATAGCCTCAATCCCTCTTTACTGAAGCCAAAGTTCTCCAGAAGCTCGTTCAAGTGTCCATCGAAATGCAATGCGGTGTTGTCGTTGAACGCAATCGACACTTCGGGAGGGTTTGTAATGATGTATAGCTGCCGTTTCAACGTCTGGATACCGAAAATCTCGTTGCTTCTTCCAACATAATCTCTACGGCGCACAGGTGAGTGGGGGATTCTTTTGCGTAACAAAGGGTACCTTACAGGCCTCGTTCGAGAAGCTCATCTGAGTTCCCGAAGAACGCAAAGCTGTGACCCAGAACTGCACAAGCATCCTAGTTAGTCTCCTGTCGAGGGTGCAGTGTTCCGAACTGTTGGTACGTACAAGGTATCCAGTAGGGAAGCACGACAGGATCTTGAGGTCGCAGCCATGGCCTGATGGTAAAAGTCCATATCCTCCATCCAATCCACAGCACCGCGATAGAAAAAACGGGGACAGTAAATGCATTAACAGGGATACCCCATCGCAGGTTCATCAAATCTTCAATCATAGTGAAGGTTGCGTTTGAGCGTATGTGCGAGACTGCGCTGATCAATATATGCGCTGCACCCAGAGGTAGGGAATGCCATTCAGAACAGAGGAAACCTATTACATTATATGCGCCTAGTTCAGCCGTTCATCTTGAATGGTTGGCAGCCTACGGATGCCTGCTCGAGCACCCTTCTTTGATGCTATCAGCGCCTGCGCCTCTCGGTGGAAACCACGCAAGGGGCATACGCAAGGCAGACGGTTCTGCCCGAGACAAGCGTAGGGATGTATCCATGCTGTTCACCGGGGCCTGGTATGCACGCCAGCCGTGTGTGTCGGCTCTTTTTCCCTGTTATATCCCAATATCACATCGTCATTTGTTGATACATGCAGAACTAGATACATATAGCACAATTTTATTTCGCGTACAGATAAGCATAGTTTCGGTGCGGAGAACGTTTTGCCGTTGGGTAAACAAGTAAGCGGAAGGACCCGCAGGCGGTTGGCTGGCGCTGCAATGATCCGCGCCACCGTTGCTAATTCATTCATCCTTGTCCTGGTCAGATCTTCCATCCGCTGTTTGCCTTTCTCGGCTTGACCGGGCAGCTGAACGTAAGGTGCGCAGATGAGAATATGACTTACAAGGTGTCATAAGTCTGGCCCAACATCCGTTGTTCTTTTCCTCTTTGTGCGATTCGAAAATGCCCGAAGAATCGCAAGACTCAGCTGCGGCCTTGCCAAACCACCAATCAAAACCCATTCAGAAGAATTTGGAATCGTGGAGATTGACCGTTGTTATTGGCTCTCTTTGTCTGGCCATTTTCCTCCACGGTCTGGATATCAATATCGTGAGCGTTGCGATACCGAAGATAACCACCGAATTCAACTCTCTTGATGACATTGCCTGGTATGGCTCTTCATATTTGTTGACTGTCACAGCCTTCCAACCACTGTTCGGGAACCTGTATAAGTACTTCCCCGTCAAGCCAGGGTACCTAGCATCCATCTTCATATTCGAGATTGGCTCCATCGTGTGCGCAGCTGCCCCCAGCTCGGCAGTCCTAATTCTGGGTCGGTCAATACTCGGTTTAGGCGCTGCCGGTCTTCTCCAAGGTGCTCTCGCAATCATCAGCCTCACCGTGAGACTTGAGAAGATTCCACAGTATCAGGGGATTGTCATTAGCGCTTTCGGAATCAGCGTCTGCACGGGTCCCATCATCGGGGGAGCTTTGACCGATCACACGAGTTGGAGATGGTGTTTCTGGATCAACGTTCCTGCGGGCTTCTTGGTCATCCTTTTCATCACGCTGTTTGTTAAAATACAAGCGAATGCATCACAAGTCAACCAAAGTCTTCCCCTATCCCAGAAGGTGATGCATCTTGATGTGTTTGGGACTATACTGTTCATCGGTGGAATATGCTGTCTTCTTATAGCGTTACAAACAGGCGGTATTGAAGTTCCTTGGAAAAGCGCAAAACCAATCGGCCTGCTTGTTGCATTTTCGGTGATCATTACAGCATTCGGTATTCTTCAGTGGCACAGAGATGAATACGCGACAATCCCACCGCGGGTTTTGATGAAGAGAACTATATACACTGGCTCGTTGGTGTTATTTTTCCTAGGCATGTCTAGCACAACAGTATGTAACCGTCCAATTCAAACCATCGCAATTCTGACACTTGAATCAGTATACGTACTACCTTCCCATCTACTTCCAATCTATTCAAGGCGTGTCAGCTATGGAAAGTGGTATTCGTTTCATCGCTCTGGTTGGTCCTCAGATCGTATTAATCGTCGCCACGGGTGCGGTAGTCTCAAAAGTAGGGGCATATGTAAGTGTTTTGTCTGTCAAGGAAGTACATACTGTTCGCATCAAGTCTGACAGCAACCCAGGTCCCTTTCATCATTCTCGGCATTACTATCGACTGCATTGGCGGTGGCCTTATCACTACCCTCGGCGTTGGCGCTTCTACCGTCCGATGGGTCATGTTTCTTGTGGTAAACGGTATTGGCATAGGAATGGCACAGCAAATACCTTACGCTGCTGTACAAGCAGTACTCGATCCACTCGACGTCGCCACAGGTAACGCCATTGCGGTGTTCTCATTTCAGCTTGGTGGTGCTCTAGGAATAGCGATTGCACAAAACCTGTTCTTGAAGATGTTGACCGAGGCAGTCCCCATGTACGCTCCAGATGTGCCTTTACAGAGGGTCATTAACGCTGGGGCTATGGGCTTGGAAGTACTTGCGCAAACCCCCGAGACGCTACTGGCTCTTAGGGAAGCATATGCAGAAGCGATAAGATCTACGCTCATACTAGCTCTTGTAGCCGCCTGTGCAGCGTTCCCATGCGCCTGGGGGATGGAGTGGTTGAATCTTCGCAAAGTTGCAGAGGCTAGGCGCATAGAAAAGGAACTCGATACGTTGGCACCACCGGAAATCTCGATTAAGTGCGGTAAGACAGATGCAGAGCCGCCGTAACTTGTTTTTCTCGTAAACAAAAACAACGAGACTATATCAGTAGCCATTTGCGATTATCAAATATGCCTCTGTCGCGAACAAGCAACGGTAGGCAGTGGCGCATAAATGTCGTCACTGCCGTCTCTCCAATATCCTGGATATTAGTGCTGCTTTTTGCTCCTCAATTTAACTTTTTGTGAAGTTTGGAACGTGATTTAATATTACTAACTTCAGTTACTTATAGATGCCGCAAGAGAGATAACGATTATGGCATCGACCACACTGAGGATGAAGACCATGAAAATCCGACTGCTGGTTGTACTGCCGATACACATGCCGAATATCAGTGCAAGGAATTCACCAAGGCACCAGTACCACAATGGTCCGTTAACCATCCACATTGTTGAAAGCAACACCACAACAACGAAAACGGCCCCGATCCACCATTTTTCGCGTCGATACCAACCCTTTAACCCCTTCATCAAGTTGTACTTCGGTGGTTGTTCGTCTGGATATGCGTAAGCAATAGCGCCACCCCGAGCTTCTTTCTTTATGCGCTCTTCAAGTTCGCTCTCGCGGAGTGTATGCGGCTCGATGTCGTAAAGCCCGAGCTCTTTCTGCATCGATTCAGCCAACTCGAGCACAGCGCGGTTTTTTCCTGCGACACCGCTCGTTTGCCGGTCCCGTATCTTCATTGTCAAGTGTGCACGGAGCCACATTGCAAACATCCCAATCGTCCACAATAGTAGCATGACAACACCAATGGCTAATTGGATGAGGGAGAAACCCCATTTGTACGTCTAATATATATGAGTATACTTTTCTTTCTTATATCGGCGGATATCATAGACTTACTCCTTGATTTTGACATTTTCCGTTATCTCTGATAGCAGTATTGTCGTAGACTTCATTCGCTCTCCACCAGTACGATGCGTAGATTGGACCCGGGTCGGGAATGTCCTCTGGATTCGCGCACATATAACAGGTGATGTTCAGCCTCGGTGGTCCGATGGCATGTGTGACAGGTTTATTTATCAAGTCTGGGTTGGCGTCATTGTCGTTTGTAAGACTTATTTGGGAAGGCTGATCAGAATTATTGTAGGATTGGCGAATATCTGATCTAGTCAGCTTTTGAAATTTGATAGATGACAAGACTCTCACACACATGAGATGAATGAACGATAGTACTTGCAACCATATTTTGGATTTTCTGGCCCATTGTAACACCGTGAATAATAACTGAACACGGGCTCACCATCTGGAGGTGATATTGAAATTGGTTAGTGCAAATAAAAAGAAACCGGGGGCTGGAGACGAAACCGTACCGGGATCGGGCATTGTAACAACGTAATCATCCTCCAAACCAATTCTCCCCGCATCGTGCACAATCATCGCGAGTCTTGAATAGTCCGAGAATGGTACCAGATTCTGGTTACTATCCATGACATATGAAGCGACCTCAGAGTCGTACCCACTCATAGCGCTAATAATCGTCGGGAACGCTGCAATGTAGAGCAAGACTGACGCAATGAAAATCATTGCGGTGACTGATCGTAACCTCCCACGCGAGAAAAAGTTTTTGATGATGAGATATGTCGAAGCAAGGGACGCATCGTTTTCCAGGAAGACGGAACGGAAAAGTTGGTAGTTGATGGGTTGGACTTCCATGCACGTAGTCAAGTAGTTGGCGAACACCCGCCATGACACGAATGCCAGTGCGAACTGTCCTCCTCGACCAATTATCTATCATGTAATATTAGAATCAATGACTTCACGGTGATGCAGATATCTTACAATGTCCCACGTGACATCTATCGCCTTCGCCTGGGCAAAAGTCAAGGGGCCACCACTGAGGGTGACCTGGAAAAACGCAGAAGGCGACCATGACTTGTAAGTGCTTGGGTCGACTCTAAAATCTCCATCTGGGCCACAGGCTCCCTCATCTGACAGCAATCCATAGCTTGTAACTAGAATTACTACAGCCAGTAGCCCAACAAACCATATCAGTAGGCCACACCATAAAGCCGCGCGCTTCCAGGATGTCGTCTTCAGATCATTCCAGAGGGTCCCGGGGACGTTTTTCCAATTGTCTCGTTTTTGCGATATTGATTCTTCTATTGTCCAGCGGGTCCTCAATAGCGTGAATCCGGTATGGGTTCGCAATTCTTTGTCCATGGCGTGAGGCAATGGACTCAAAACGAGCGGGGGCGGGTTTGGCTAAAAAGCTTTTGGAGCCCGCCCATCATGCGCTTACTATAGTAGGTCTCTTCACGGATGGGGTAAAAAGGGGACAGATCGGCTGCGCCACGCTCGTCATTTCAGGGGGAGGAACGTTACAAACTCTATCACTCCCTTTCGTTATTCTATAATTGCCACCATTGCCCTCGCAACCACGATGCTGATTTCTGAACCCGAACACCTTCCACGCAGTACCATTAGTGAACCAGTTTTGAACTAAAAATGACAGACTTTTGAGCACCTCCTCACTCTCGTTGACTCACTTCGACCACGGACAACTCGCTTTGAAGGATTCGGTCTCGTAAATTGGGGGCCGGAAACAGACCCACAAATCTCCGACCAATTGCACACAACACATCAAAAGTACATTGACGAAGGAATTCATAGTGTACTGCAGTCGGTTATGAGGACACGGGTTTGCCGTTATCCTATGCGCTGCCAGAATACTGTAGACAAGCACACAGAAGTATGCGACGCAAGCATGATACGTCATTCTACTGTGTATGCAGGATGCGATAATTTTAACCCTAGAAGAGCAATCCTTCTCGTGTAAGCTGCATGAACGATTTGCCTTAAAGCTACCTGAACCAATCAGGTTTCGACGAGGTTGCTGCCTACCATGGTCTAAACTGTCAGAAACCGGGTGCTGTTAGAAACTCGATGATGATATAATAGACCTAGATAAACAGCATAGACGTGAACACGTGAGGGATAGAAACAACTCTGTTCTATTTTTAGGGCACAACCAAAAAAAAAAGCCAAGAATTAGAAGGTAGGTGCTGCTTCAATTACGGTTTGAGTATCGTGCCGCGGCCAATCCCGAGCAATCTCCTCCATGTCGTGACTTTTTAAATAAGACAGATAGTTGAGGGGCACGATGGAACTCATCCTTGTCTTGAATTGAGGGCGTTTCGCGGGAACAACGCTTAATCTAGGTTTCAGAATTGTGTAAAAGAGTTTAATGGAGCCTGCAGAGCCGGGCTGTAAGAGCACCCTTTGGTCGTTGCATCTCTGCAGAACATCTCCACTCACACCCAATCTTACATCATATCTGGATATTTGAATATTCAATCTATTCTCTCTCTTCGATTTTCAAGTCCAATCTAGACCTTTTTAGAAATACATATCTCTTTCCTCCACCCTCTCTACTTCTTGTCTGGATTGCTTTTGCGCCGATATCTGAATCCGTGAACCCGTCAATAACTTTTATCGCGTAGAGCATAGACTTGGCTTCCAGGTTCCTTTGATGACTCCCTTTCCTTGGGAAGGCGGGCGGGAAGGCTTGATGGAGATGTTAGGAACGGAATGCGGACCAGAGTCCAGTCTTCAGCCATAACTGGATGGGTACCAATCAAATCAAGAGCAGAAGTGTGTGCGATAGAATTTTGGGTGGATGACACGGTAGGTGGTGTTGGTTCTGCAATTCAGGTGAGGTAAAAAGGGTATTTGGGGCGGTTACACCTGCAAACGGTCTCATTGCGTTATTCTTTCGCGCACTATAACATTCAGTGTACGAAATAAGTTCAAAATTATGCCCCAGGCTAGAAGGATAGTAGGTGGTGGGGACGAATGAACTCAATACTCGGAACACTCCGGAGGTTTTTTCACCGATGGGATTGCTATTGACACATCCGAGGATGATTAGACAGTCTTAGAGAAGAAGTATATGGTGCAGGGATCGACTGCGCTCAGCAAATATATGCTTCCAAAACCACAACACCAGCCTGCCCACAACACGTTGTAAATGCATGTTGCAATTGAAAGTGGGGCACGTCTTTACAAACCCGTCGTCCGTGCCGCACATCTGCTTTTTTTTTGCCTACTAAGGAGAGAGTCAGAACTCGAGCCAGTAGATTGCCTTGCACCCGGTTGAAAATTCATAAGAAGGTGATAGTAATAGAACTAAGCTCTAAACTCGTGACGGAGAGACTGAGCAAGCATGAGTCTTAGAGTCTAAAACGGTTGTTGTCAACGTGAGCCCTTCGATCTCATGTTTAGAAAAGTCAACGTAGTGCATATATTGTATCGGCCGACCAGATGTGACCGTTCTCAGCACCCGCATGGCACAAACTGCATTTCCAGGTGAAGGACTCTCTGGTTGAGTCGTTCAATTGGCATCATCACCCACTGGCGAAGCCCGAAATCTTTCAAAATCGAGCCGTTGCTGCGAGGCTCAAGATATAGTCAAAATATAAGTGAGTTGGAAGGTTTAAGTGGTTGATCTTCGCGTGATTAAGACTTGACGCCAGATTGCTTTATGTTCAATGCCTGTATTTTCCAATACTGTAAACGCACCATAAGTTTGGCCGCAGGTAGAGTGATAGTAAAGTAATATTACATAACGTCTAAGTAAAAGTAAAATACAGTGATGTAACTATACTTTACCTCTTACCTGGCTTAGTGCAGGCTTCATATAGTATTACCTTCCTCTTACCTCTACGTCTAACAAAAACATCTTGACCTTTACCTTCAATTTACCCTGACTTTCTACTACACTATCAACCAACTGTTTGCTTCACCGTATTAGTGTCTGTAGGAGAGAATATCATTGATCTAAAAGGTATCTAGAGAGTCTATATGTGCTCACCAGTTGACGCTTTGGTGGCTTATCAGCAAGAGTGGATGTTCGACGTATCATGGGCATCATACTGTTCCTCTAGTCCTCAATATATTCTGGGTTGCCACGTGTTGCACGTTTTGGCCTTTTGCTCGATGCAGTTCCCCCATAGCGTGCTTCTGATTGGCTGCTGCCTTTATACTCGGGATCGTCATGTGCGACACGCTTTGCCGCCCTTTCCTCCGACTCGGTGATTCTTTCCTCATCGCTTGCGGTGATTTCCTCCGGTGGAGTGCGAGTTCGTCGGTCCCTCTTACCGTATGTGGGAAAATCTTCATCGCTGCTGGCTGTTTCGGCGCGAGAGAAATCTTCCGCGTCATTGAGAAACTGGCAGAGTTGCGCAGCAGATATTCCTATTTGCACATTGCTATTCATCACATCCTTTGTCCATTTGCGACTAGCGAAATCGGAGAGGCGCAGCGAGAAACCCGGATGATTTGTCGCTTTACCCTCTTTATCACGGAAAGCCTCGTCTTTCATCTCTTGTGCAACGAGAAGTTTACAATCGTTGCCTTCGCCAACGACTTGGGGGCGCCACAACGACAAGGTCGCTTCGGGCGTGCTGTCTTTGCCATAGTTGATATCCAAGCCAATAACGGCCTTGATGTTGCTGGATGAATTATGAATGTAGTCATGGGCAATACCCTCAATATCCTTTGGATGTTGAGAGTATGATATCTCTAAAACGACACCTGGATCTTGGGCGCCTTTGTACCAAAATGCGGCGTCCGGCTGGCAGCTCGACTGTCGGCCCGATGGAGTGGTCCGATTGCGAAATTTGACGGTAGAAGAACGGGTGGTGTGTACTTGCTGTGCAAAGAAAGCCTCCTTGCTTGACCCGTTGCTTATTGCGCTTAGTTGTCTGTCGATCGATCTCTCGACATAGCCGATGAAAAGCTCGTGTACTGAGGTTGGCATACGAATAGCCAGTCGATACGTTTCCGCGTTGTAATCGTACCTATCCGAGCCTAGTGATTAGCGAGAACCCTGCAGCATGTAGAGATCTGGATCCATACGAACCGTATCTTATTTTCCACAAACGCCAACAAATTCTCGTCCAGCTGAAGTCGACGTTCTATCTCATCATAATCTCCGGCGTCAAGTTGATATTCTTTCCACGGGTCTTCGTCCGCGGATTCCCCAGCGTACCTCTGCTTGAATTGCGCAAGTACCGCTTTGGCTTGGCAGGATAGCTTTCCACCAGTTGAAGGCGGCGATGGTAACTGATGCTCCTCCGAGACACTCGAGGGTGGTGTAATTTCTTGAACTAGGTGCCGTTTTTCAAAGGCCCAGGTTGTAGGCATCTCCGGAGGTGGTAGCATTTTGGGCTGGGCTGTGAGAGTCGCTGAAATAGTGGTGGTAGAGGGAAGTGAATGCTGGTGAGCAAGGGTCGTCGGATAAGGCGTGGAATCGCTAACGGTTTTAAGCACTAGCGCAGCTGACGTAATGCTGGTGCAACAGACCAATTAGAGTAGTTCCCTTACTACATGTAGGCGTTGACCATTGAAGGCGAGCACCTATTCCTCATAAACTCTCAATCCATCAATCATTACGTGTGTATGTCATACTTAGCTACACTATCCATAGAGTTTTTTCATCGCACTTGCGTTTTCGTTCATCGAATGATGCACATGTGGCTTACGGTGCCTCACGTGATCCTTTCTCAAGCTCTCCCAAGATAGTAAGCTAGTCCCAAACCGGTATCGTCTACACCGCACCGCTCTCAAGGCTTCTGCACATACATTCACACCATTTTTGAAAAACCAGTTTTTACTTCAGTGCTCACTCAGCACGTAAAACTCAGTAGCACATACATTCTAGAAGGCATGGCATAAATCGTTAATATTAGTATCATTTGAAGTGTCCTCAGAGTCTATAAGGTATATATGGTATCTTCCAAAAACTTTGATCATTTGATTAACAACAATCCACCTTCTTCCCCTCTCATACATCATAGGACAGGTAGATACCATCAGTATCGTTCTCAAGCGGAATAAACACCTGATTCTTGCCCGTTCCTTGATCACTACCCTTGATCTCAACTGCAATCTGCTCCGCACACTTCAAAGGAGTAATAATATGCTGCTTGATCTTGAAAGGTTTGCACGTGAAATCAAACGGCTCAGACCACGGCGCAGAAGAATCTTCAAACTTCCTGTATTCTGTCGTGGGGATCTCGGTATCGGGGAGGTCAGTCCAGCCGGTGAGCTGGCGGACCCTTATATTGGCATCTCCTTCGACCTTTGTTTGATCTCTGCCCAACCTGTATCGGCTGTATTGGAGTTTGCAGTTCAGCGCGTTCGGCGGGAGGTTATCGAACACCATTACGCTCGTGGTGGAAACATCCTGGTGTTCGCCCTTGAGCGTCTCCATGTGTCTTGTTCGATCCAGCAGGGTGGACTTGTCCTTGGCTTCTACGAGCGGGTACACGTTCCAGGTCCGCGGTTCCCAGATTTTGTGATGTGCCGTTGTTTCTGCTGCTTTGACGCAATGATTTCCCAAGGGGAAGCCGCATGGGTTCTCGGGGTAGCAGCCGGCGAAGCCGTTTTGACATTTGTAGAGGAGGAAATTCCATGGCGCGTTGTCGCAGTTCTTTGGTGGTTTTCGATCGGGTGGGATGTTTTCGCAGACTGGTTTGATGGGGAATGCGCATGGGCTTCTGTCGAAGCAGCCAACGTAGCCATTGGCGCATTCAAAGTAGAGAGTTCCACCTGCACACTTTGGCTTGCGGGGTTTGGGAGGTTCATCGTCTTTTGGGCATTGCTCGGTGGGGAAGGCGGATGTGAGGGCTAAAAAGCTTGTGAGGGCGAAGAACTTAGCGAGCATTTCAGTCGTGGGTATATAATGTCGTTGATTGTGGTTCTTTAGTGTGAGGATAAGGATGAATTAGAATTAGATGTTGAGAATCCTCAGTGCGCAAGATGGGAAGTAGACAAACAGCTACAAGAAAAGAGACAAAAACGCTAATGCAATAGCAAAATAGCAAAATTCTGATCGTTTCCAAAGGAAGAAACAATCGGATGGTGATGAGCCTAATTTTGTAGGACAAGATTGATAGAATATATACCACGAGTACCGGAGTAATGATCAAGTCAAAAAGCTACCATTGCGGCGTGGTCCGTCAATGCTTCGGTGCAGAATAGCAAAAGCGACTGCGCCCAGTCTAGCAGTGAACGGAAACCGAACAACCCAATTGGAGGAGTTGAGTACCGTGATAATGAAAGGGTATGCTGCGGCCCGTAAGGGTCTTCTTCTGGAGAATGGTGGATCTGTGCTTACTACTTGTCTCTTGTAAGCGAGTGTCCCTTCCTGCGGGCAGTCAGGCGAGGAGGCTTACACGCGTAGCCACCTTACAATTCTTGACTTAGATGGAGGACATATAATACTATTGACCAGCCACATTGCTCCCTCAATAGATAGATTTACGGCACCATCTTCAGCTCAAATATATCAAAAGAGCTACGGTTGTGGAGGTTGAACTTGCCAGAATGAAACTGTCGACAACACCTTCAACAAGTAAGAACAGACATCTTCCAGCGAGAGGCTCGCGAGGCTAGAGTGGCACGGGTACAAGGGACTTACTCGAGCCGTCCTTCGTCAAGGGTTTTGCGGCACAGTAATGCACCTCTAGGGAGCTTAGATAGCTAGAACTTCATTGTACCAAAAGCCAGAGACAGAGATTTCAGCTGAAAATCCTCCTGCAAAGGCGTAGCATAGACGGCCTTTATCTTCGCTCGGTTTCAGGAGAATTCATTGCGTAAATGCGATGCGCCAACCCACGGGCTACAGTTCAACGGAGTGTTACGCCTGTGCGATGGAAAAAGACGACGGTATTCAAGAATTGTACGAGATAGAAATAGGCTGAGGCATATAGGTTAAAGGGCGCCCTAACAACAAGCATAAGACCACGTAGAGCCGATAGAAAAAAAAAGTAGACTTACAGGTCGACGCCGGGCGTAAAGAATCAGCGTTGCGCCTTAGCCGGCGTGAAGAGGGGCCGGCTTATTATGTAAGACAACAATTGCATTTCAACTCATCTCAGCTGGACAATGAATAGATAGTGAAGTGTAGGATCAATGCGACGCAGCAATTTTGGTGCATCGGGCGCAAAGGCGGCTGACTTTTCGTTGAGACACCACTCGTGACTCGAGGGACCGTAACAATCAACGTCGGTGAAGTTGTACTCTATGTACCTACTGGCGGTTCTGAATTGCGATGCCATCTTAGCAGTAAGCGAGTTTGATCATGTCGTAAGCACTGCTGCCCAATCGGCTGAATTGGAGGACTGAGGACGACTTACAAAAACAGGGCGCAGGGCATTGCACCGCTGGGTAGTGTGGCGCCGAGCAAAGCTCTACCCGCCATATGATTTCTCGGTGGCGCATCAGGTGGTAACTTATTCAATAGCTAAGTTAAGGGCTCTGAATACGAGTCAAGAAGTCTTCCGAGATTGCCTGTGGTAGATAGTATATCGTACTGCTCAGATAGGCGCACGCTCCCAACGTACAACCCCTGTATAGTTATTGATGAAGGAGACATAACCCCGCACAGACAGGGCATTAGTAATACAACTCGTAGGTGGTTAAATGAACTTCAATTGCAAGTTTGCAGGAAGTTAGCTACTAAAGCGAAAATTGTCTGTCCAAATCTGTATCTATCAAATAATTTTATCTACAAATTGGTGGTTCAAGTTGTGCAAATCAGTTTCTGAAGAGCCATCCTTGGTGTGAGTTAACAGGCCATGACTCCTTTCTGACACGCTGAACACTCAGTAGCAGCCTTGAATCCCCTCTCAAATGTGTACGCAGGATGTCAGAAGACGGTCGAACTGTTGGTGTACGGTCAAGGTTGGAGGTGTACAGCCTTGCGGGAAAAGCGGATGCACAAGCGTTACAGACAATGTGATTACGGCCTTTTCTGGGTGGTGACCGGATCATAAACCTTGATACGACTTCTAGGGAGACATATTGTCAGTGCAAGAGCTCGTTAAGTCGTTTCTTATCTCCGCTAGTATCGAATGTCTGCCCTCCATAAGCCCAACCTGGAATACAGGCTGGCACCTTTGTACCAACCAAACCACTGCAGCTGAAGTCTATCAATACAATATTTCCTTGAACAGTCTTCATGATGTTGCTCTGACTTAGATCGCCATGTGAATAGCCAGCTCTGTGAAAGCTTTCTACTGCCTGTGAGATATCCCTCGACCGGGAAAGTATCTCATCCCGGCTCAATTTGAAGAGCTCCTCCATCTGATACCCACATATATTGCCATGATCAAAGATAGGTGTGTCGGAGAAGGCTGGTATTGGTAAGTTCAACGGCGCTAGAAGCTTGAGTATCGTATACTCGTATTGAATCAGGTCTGTTGATTGTGTATCGGGATGTGCGAGCTTGACGATCGGGTAAGGCTGTGAATGAACTCGCCGAACGCACGCGTGAGATCCAAAGTCTTCCAGTGTGGATTTCCTGCGGAGGAGAGCTATAGAGGGGCTCTCTTCTACACGGGATACTTCACAGGTCGGGAGGTACGGGAAATTTATCAAAGAGGGATAGTCGAGATTGCCAGTCCATCGCAAGGAGTATAAGATACCCCCATGCTCGATATCGCATTCATATTCGCCAGGTCGTGCACCGGAGCGCGGTGGCGTAATCGGCTGCGCAATATCTATATGCTGTTAGCATGCGGAACAGACAGTCCAACATCCGGGGAAACTTGCCCTTGAGATTCCTTACCATGATGTGTAGTTAACGACTGTTGGATGAGAAACCTCGGGATACCCAAAGGGAATGTACTAGCGTCGCGCTAGATGCATTAGTAATCATTGCTATCACACCGATTAGGTACCTAGGTAGTTACATCACAGTCATTTTTATTTAGAGACTACATGACTTTATCTGTTTCCCTATCTCAACTTACAGTTTTATAAAACTTATTTCTACACACATCGAGAAATAAAAAGCGTGAAATTACTTCACTATTACTTTACCTACTTACTAATATTTTCTTACCCTCACTATACCTACACCAATTGACCGCCCTAATGTACAGTAATCTAGATCTCACATCTTACACGGTAGTAAGCTAAATCAGGACAGAGGACACGATCATGAGGATGGTAAGCGTGGTACAGCAGTGAACGGTAGATTCTTTCCCACCACACGTTGTGATGCCAGGCGCATATCTCATTCAACGGCAGATACGTCAGATGCCATGCTCTATTTAAGTAAGACTTGTGATAAAGGACCATCTCAGTAGAGCGGCCACGTCAGGGAAACTTCTGACGGACTCACCGTTTAGCGGTGGGACCTCAAAGAAGACGGGACGTCCCCAAGGGAGCCTTTAGGTCAGGTGAAAGCCTCCAAATAATCCAGCCACCATCACCACCAATTCAATGAGCCAAAACAGGCAACCGGATCTATTTGGAAGGGAAATCATGCATTAACGAGCTGTCGGCCAACAGACCGTAAGACACCTGGAGTTTGGCAACCCGGAACCGTCAATATATTGCCGTGGATCAGCACTATCACATCGATCCCCAGGTCGGACTATCTGTATTGATAGCAATGTCAATTTCTAGAGGACCCGACAGTCCTCCCGCGCACAAGTCCCATGTGTCGTCAGATCATGCAGGCATTGGAGGATCAACCTTTTCATCCAGGATCAGCAGAAATTCGAGCCAGATGCAGGAACGCATCTGCAAAGTAATTGAAAACCGAACGTCCTCTTCTTCATGTGTCCGTTCTACCTCGTGACTGATCGTATGCGGTGACCCCTATCTGAGGGGCATATGTCAGTCCGCAAGAGTCGCGAAGATCACGCCTAATCCGCAGAGATCTTGAAGGGTTGAGTCATGAGAGGACAGGGGTGACAGAGCGCGAGTCCGGGTCGTAATTTGATGGAGCGCGTACAGCATGGTGGTTGCAACAAGACAGTGACTTGAGAGCCTGAATGTGCATCGCGTCAGACGCGGCACAAACACCCAAGGAACCAATGCGCAGTACGTCCTAGAGTCCGTAGGCGGCTTTTGTTGCTTTACTGTTAGCATCCTGAACACATTCAATCTGCGATGGAGCACGTTAAACCAAACAGCACAATCGACTGCCTGGAGTCACTAGACACCATCTCGTGTTGTAGGTATTCGAAGTCCCAGGACAACTGTCTGCTATTCCCTGTCAAACAGCATGGTAGCTGATGTTGACGCAATTCCAAGGCTCCTTAAATATCCCGGCCATACACACCACCCTCGCCATTACTACCAGGCCCATGGCTTCGTATGATTCAGGTATCGATTCGTCTAAGCGGTTCTGGGATCGATCGACGTTCGGAGGTAGATTCGATGCGATTGAGAAGTTGGCTCACGATGTTGGGCGAGCGGAAGTAGGGCTCGCCCGTGCGAGATGAAATGGATTGTGCGAGGCGTGTCTTGCTTCATTCCTGTGAGTCGTTTTTCACCCATCAGTCAGTCAACGCGCCCTTCCTAAGTACACGCGCTGCGCATGATTACTCCAGTCCTGCTTGGGTTCGCGCCTACACATAAAGCAAGACCTGATCGAGTCATCCTACCACGAAAAGGGGGTGGGTGATAAAATGTTAGCATTATCCCTGGGAGGTAGCTTTTCATCGTCCTTTCAAGCGGTCAGGTGGTTCATCGGCGTCATCCATCACACAGTATATAATGTGAGAAAGAGCGGGGTTCTATAAAGAAGTGGGATTGGGATTTGTTGTGGTCTGGTTTGGTCGGAAGAGCGAAGCACGCCGAAGATGATGTCGACGATCTTACGTAAGTCGAGACTCGGAATCGGCGGCATTCCGGTCGTCTACAGAGTGCGAGCCTTCTGAACTCCACCTCTCTCCATGATCTGCGATGCCGGTTACCGATTGACTTGCCCCCGAACAGTAAATCTATCACAGTATTCTTGAAGGATTTTACAAGAAGCAATTCATCGCTACCCAAACACTTCGGTCACTTGTAATCATGGATGACTCTGCACCCTCGCAATCTACAACACAATTGTGCGGCAGGATTTCCTCTGTACAAACCTCTCGATTGCTCCCTGATCGTAATCTCGCGTGGCAAGTAGATCATATTGCGCTCGAGCGCTCGCATAATACAATCCTTCACGATGTAAGACGTCAATTGATCGCTACATGGCTGACCAGCAATTTTATAATCCCGGGCGTAAAAATTGCAAACGCAGGTGTAGGGAACTCCCTTCACTCTCGTTCATTACCGCAAATAATGCATCCATCGACTATATTTCATTGTGTATGTGCCCCGGATTGAGTCATGGTTCGCCTCAACAGCACTCAATGCGCGCGCGAGCATCTCCGAGGAGCTCCATTCTTCGAGTTATCTAGTGAAACCGTCAACGGTAGGAACATGTTCAAGCTGGAGAGTCTCCACAATCCATAGTATGGGGCAAGAACAGACAAATCCTTCCCGCGTGTACTCGCATCGATGACATCTCGTCACAGACTCACAATACACACGGTCAGTCGTGATCCGCGGGCGTACTCTATACCTATACATGATTCTCTTCCATCGGCCTTCGGTGCCGCACAGCAAAGAGTGCACCCCTGACTCGACTGATTGCTTTCGCCCGTTACATTCTTGGTTTGGAGGCTTGACTCAGGAATTGGTGTGGGGAAAGTGTGTGAAGCTTACGCAAAGGCTCCACTTGCCGTCTACACGGTAGTTCAATATCGCCTCTTCTCATTGCCACATTGGGTCTCCCTGAAAGGCACTTGCTTTCTTGCTTTGCGAGGTTTGAAATCACATCTTCGCTTTCTCGCATGTGCAGTACCCTTAAGCCGCTAATTGACTTGACACCCAACGGCACAGTAGTGACTCCGCGGCATCTAATATATGTAATGACTGCAACAGGAAAGAAACAAACTAGCGTTTCGAAGCAATGCAGAGCTCACTGCATTCATCACTGTGCAGTTCGTGATAGGCTTGCATTACTATAGGCCAGGAACAGCGGGTCTCGTGACATGGCTCCGTATGAAGAATTGATCTTGCCAGGGTCACTCAATGGAGGATTGGCATGCAGCCGAGATCCATGCTATGGGGCACCGTCATGCGCCATAGCCATTTAGGACCTTTTTTTGCCAACGGCATATGTCTTAATGTTCCGCTAGCCTGTCGTTGTTCGAACTAGCCGGATGAAATGTAGGGGTGAAGGGTACTGTCTTGTCAAATTCGTCCAACGGCGAGCAGAGAATGCGAAAGCAAAAATCAATACTGATCTTGGACGTGCTTCATAGATGTCAGATCAATCCACATCGCCGTCCCTCTCCGGTGATCATCCCCAATTGCGACGCGCATCTCCAGTCTGCACTCATCCGGAAGAACACGGCTAACTTAATGAGATCTCCTAGGCTAACGGTAACGGGCAGACGCTCTAAGCTACTCTAGGTAGGAACGAGCTTTCAAGCGTGCTCGCTTCAAGGGTCTGAACGTCACTTGTTTCATTCTAGCAATGGGTCCACTATTGCCAACCGTCTCAGCCAACAGCGATGGCTTGTCTTTCATTGAACCAAAATCTCACATCGATAGATGCAGGACGACAATGGTGAACAACACCGAGATGTTCTGGAAACGAGAGGTGGTAACCAAACAATCGGATTCATGTACCCGACACCAAGGGTGGCTCTGTAGACATGGACACAACTACAAGTGGTAGGTTAAGATCCTTCGAAAGGGTAGATAACCGCCATGAATTACGTGGAGAAATTAATAAAATTGGTATCAAACATCAATCTAGAACCGCTCGTGTGCCTTGCTTCTCTCTTCATAGCCCAGCACGAGATCGTGATCTTCCGGCGTCGAACCTGGCATCCCCCTCTCCAAATCCCGAGGTAAGCCTTGTCGTGTAGTTCGACTCGCCATGCGTTCGTGGACAACCGTAGTTGTTACGCTCTTATTGATGCCCCTTCCACCTCCTCCGATGTACTTGTCCTTGCCCAAGATTCCCTCTTCGTCGGACTCACTGATGCGACCTCCGCTGCTGCCCGTGATAGTGATCTTGGTCTTTCCGCCCGACTGTGTTAACTCGTCGAGTTGCTGTGCCCCCCTCAGATCCCCCAACTTGCTACCAGTCCCTCTGCTCCAAGGCATCGTAGAGCCGCCTCGAGTTGAGCTGAACAATTTGAAAGACTTGACAAGCGGCTTGAGGGTTGCCATGGAACCAGCGGTGATACCAATGCCGACTTCGACGGTGGTCCATATGGCGAAATCGACTGTGTTGTAGAGGAATTCACCCTTGTATGCCCCTAGAGAGGTGGTGTAAGGCAACCGGATAATGGTCGCAGTAGAAGCACTGTGTTTTGAGTCAGTGTGTGTGTGGGGATGTCGTTAATCAGATGAACTCACACTGCAGCGAGAGCAATGACACCAGAAACAACAATCTTTGCTCGTCTCTTCATTTGCAAGTCTTTGACGATGAGAATGGGCAAGAGTCCAAAGGTCCAGTCCGCGAAAGAATTAAGTGCCGATACGACGAAGGTGAAGTTCATGACGAGAGTCGCAGAAAGGCAGGTTCCGGTGTGTGTCGGGTCCAGATCCCACCAGTACGAAGTAGGTCTACACTGAAATATGACCACCAAAGTGTATGTCGTTCCGACAACCCCGGCAACGGCCATGATAGTCCAGATGATCCAGATATGAAAGCGCTTAACGGCGATGCGCAGCAAGAAGAGGCCGACGGCAATCTTAAGAATCGACGTCGAGATAGTGTAGAATATTTCACAAAAGAACCAGAAATGAAGGGCTTGTTCGGCGCTTTCGTCCGTCATCAGATACCGCTTCTTGCCTGTGCCATGCACTCCTCCGCCGATTTGGCAGGACAAGTAAGCAGTGAAGAAAAAGAGGGTGGCAACCATGACATAGTCATCGGCACCAAATGCTTTCACCATGAACATCCTGTAGAAACATGTTAGAGGACGGGAATGAAAACAGATATCGAGGACAAGCTAACCGGACATAGCATCTCAAAGAAACCGTGATCCAACATAGAATGAGAAACGTGATGGCCACGCCCAAAACTTGCGAACTGCGGTCGTCCATGGCTTACCGCGAGCCGAAAAGAATGGTTCGGTCGCAAACGAGGGGATCCACGATAGTTAATGCCAGGGTCCAGTAACTAGAAGGGAACGACCCTTTGAGCTACAGCTGTCAAAACGAAAGTCTGCAAAGTGGAGGATGGGGACAAGTGAAAAGAAAAAAATGGCGTAAAAACTCCACGTTTGAGATTATTGACTGACTATATTCTCATACTTGGGCTCTCTGCCGCCCCTTTGTTGATCTTTGATGCGATTCATAGGTAACGTTTTTAGGCGCACACGGTTCGGGGTATTCTAGCCGAATGTAGCGGTTGAGGCCGCTAAGCTAGGATTCCAGAACTGCCGTGGGGACGTGGTAGCTTGTAACAGAATGTGGGTCTTGCTAGCAGTAGGCCATAGACTTTGCTGGCGTGGTGGCGCTGGGCTTGTGCTCGGACGCAATGCCGATTTTTGTGTTCTTCTCATGCACTGTGATTCAGGTACATCAACCATGAACCCAGATGGAAGGGAAGAAAAGCGGGGGCGGGACAGAACCGAAGGCTCAAGACCAGGTGTTGCGAATTTACGATTCAGAGAGAGGTCAATGTTCTTATTGGCTGGAATCACATACATCTTTCTAGGATCCAGATACAGCAAGTATTGCGCGTTCGTTCCTGATCTGCCGTTTGACACTTTGCCTGGAAGTCGGAAATACCCACTGATGCCCAATCGCAAGGAAGATCGATTTATGAGAAGCATCCAGGAGCTCTAATCGGAGGTTACATCTTGGTTCTTCTCCACGGGACAGCACACGAGTTAACATGATTCAGGTACTGGATGTCGATTTGGTGTGTAGAGGATGACATACTGAGTGGTGACAGTCTGACACAGATCAGAAGCGAGAAATCTTTATGTTCAATTTGAAACTGACACACTTCCAACGTCACAACGTGGAATGTCACTAGCTTTATCCAAGAGACGTTCACGGGTGTAGGGCACCTAGCCTCAGGTACCGGTAAAAGGTGGGGTTATTGACGGATGCAGTCTGCCAATTGAGAACAAAACTACCGTTATCACCTGACTCTACAATACGTGATGGCGGGACGTACTGCATGACCATCTGAGACGTCGTTAATACTAACTGTGCAGTGAAACTGAATAGGTGTTGGATAGCACTCGTCGCTTGCTGCATGCCGGCATTCCAAAGCAGTGCATCATGCTAGTTGCAGATCTTGCACAATCCCATTTGTTCCTGAACACGATGTTTTATGTATTTGAATTGCCAACTGCTTGACAATCTTGATACCCCAAGTAACGGGTAACACGCGTTGTCGCAGTATGATGTCTGACTTCTTTCTCTCTTCTGGGGTGTTAGTGTTTTCACCCCACCCACTTCCACGTCCTACTATTCGGGCCTACATAACGCATTGAGGCATTATAGACATTGCGCACTGCTCAAAAGGGACGCTGAGATGGGGGCGACAACATATACATAGTGGGGAGATTACCTTGTAGGCGAATGTGTGCCTGACCAGAGTGGAGGCTCAATTCGCGCAATGACTTGTGCCCCTTTTCGACCCTACAACTTATTGCAGATCTCCCGTATACAAGCACCCGTGGTCGGCGAAGATTATGGTGGTGGGGATTCGGGCTGCGGTCTAGGATGCCTTCTGCCGTCGTCTCTCCATCCGGCCGGTCCTTTCTCGTTCCTTCTCCCCTACTAGCCCTTGAAAATTTCGTTTGATAGACAGAGGATCGCCAACACCAAATGTTCCTGACTAGCAAGACGGGTCGCTCAGGGGATTACATACGGATGCGGTTGTTTTTCCAATTGTCTCATTTGATGGGAGCCCTTATGGGAAAGTAATATATAATGTCCCAACGTAGATGCGCATTGATAAATCTCTATTCCAACCTCGCCGTTATCGCATTGCCGGCTATGTATTGTTGCCATTGACGGGGATGCGAAGGCTCATGTCCCAGGGATCGAGAGGCAATATACTTGCAAAGATTCTAGCACTTCAGTATTTCCAAAGCTCCACTAAAGCAGTGAGCACGTTAGGGTTACCTTGCGAAACTGCGATAGGTGATCAAGCACATCTAATGCTACAGATGACAATGCTATATATCGTATGCTTCAGCTGTAGCATATTGTCTAAGGCCACATATGTCCAAGTGTGTTTACGCATGCATTTAGGTCTGTCACATTTTCCAATCACGTGACGCAGTATAGTCCTCTACACATACATATGTACAGACACTAGAGATGCAGAAGCGCAGAACATTGAATCTCCCCAAGATAGCATGTCAAACGGTTACGTAGCCGAATATTTCTGTTAATGATCCATTTCATTTGGTTACAATGGGGCATTGTGTTAATATATTGGCTTAGCCAATGCCATTCCATCTTAAGCCCATTGATGGAGCCAATCGGAAGCCTGCAAGGTACCGGTTGACCAAAGTCAATTACAAAACTGACAGGTGTAAAACGGGTGGCTGAGCGTTGAGGCAGCGTGTAGATTCAGGTTAAGGCTGAAGGGAAAACCCCACCTAGGTATCGTGGCAATTTAATCAACGCCGGGGATCGCTGTGGATCTCTGAAAGACATTCGGCAATCTTACTGGTCACTTCTATATGGCCAAATTCAGCAATCTACTATGCTACTGGAGTAGGCTGTGGAGTGTTACCTATCTGCGTCTAATGGTGCAGGAAGTATATTCTTCGCATTCGTCTCAGTCATCGCATTTCCATGCGGCACGAACACTTAGTGTCAAGTAAAATATTCTTATAGGGTTGGAAACTAAGCCAACTAGATTTAAAGGTCACTGAAATAGCTTGAAAGTTGAATAGATGCTTGGAGAACTCTGTAGACGGGTAAAGATTGGGTGGGGCGGTTCCGTCATGTACTCCACGGGGTAGAAAACCTGCATCTAAGACAACACGTTTTTCGGCCCCATCGCCATATTACAGATTCTGGTTCCTAAGGGAGTTGTACATGCGTGACGGGAAAATGACTAAGAAAACTCCCAATTGCTAGATCTATTATATGATCATCGCGTGCTCTGTGAAGTTCTGTTTTCTTTGCTTCGTTCCAACCTTAATTTCTTGTCCGAAAAAAAAGACAAATCATGTCGAATTTACTGCCCCTGACTTCTCATGACAATGCCGTGAGCTAGATTGTTGATGTAGTTTCTCAAACTATAGAGTTCAAATCTTGCAATGTTCAGATTAAATAGATTTCCTATTTGCTAAGCCACTATCTCTTGTCATTACTCGGTGAAGCTGGTCAATGAATGAAGGACTTGGCAGGCTCCCTCCATCCGAGTGACTGCCATCATAGATAGCCGGAACGGTTTTGACTACCAGCCACTGATGTATTTTGAAGAGTTCGGGTACTTGACGTCGTAGCCAGCTTCCTTTGCGACCTGTTCAAGGTTATCGCCAACAAGACCACCGGCGTCTAATACCTTCTTGACAATTGATTCCAGTCGTTCTTCATCATCCTCCTCATTTGTCCAAATTGGAGAGATATTTTCCATTGGTCTATTATTGTAATAACTTAGCTCCGCTGATTCACCGTGGAGTGCATAATTCAAATTGCGGATGTTGAAATATTGCAAGGCATCGGCCTGCAACAGATGATCCAGAACTCTAGCCCAGGTATGATCTAGGAGATGTACCTCGTTCAGGTTAACAGCAAATATGTTCGAGGGTCTCCCATCGGCTGCACCAAGAAGTTTGATGAGCGTGTCCGAGTGGATAACAGCTCGATAAATGTATATATTGCGAAGGCCTGCTGCTGCCGGTTTCCAATCGAGTTCGTCAAGATTGAGATAGTGCGTAGCGTGTAGGCCCAGGGACTCCAAGTTGATGCATCGACCAACTAGTTCGCAGATATGATGCATGTAAACGTGATTCGGGTATTCCTTCTGGAGATTGGAAGGAGGGAAGCTTTCATCGCCATCATCTCCTTCTTCGGCCCAAACCAAATAATTAGAACTGCCTCCTGGCCCAGTTGCATCAACATACTCGAGATAAAGATGTTTCAGGCGTTCGGTGGCCTCGTCTGACATTGCTTTGTTCAAAGCGGCGAAGTCGTAAGTGCATGGGAGTGAAAGGCGAAGCTCTGTGAGGAACCGGAACTTGTGAGCATATGTAGGAGAGAACAAGCGGCACAGGGAACTCCGGAGCTCATTGATCGCGAAAAGATCTAGGTCGGGCGCATATTCATCTTCAGGTTTACCAGTTCCACTATATATGCTTTCCCATGATTCGGTCAGGTTGACCCACAAGCATTCCAATTGCTCCACCTTCTCCAAGGCCGATGGTAGTACATTTAGGAGGGCAAGTAATGACTCCCTATCAACAGGATTGGAATTCGAATCTTTGGGGGCTAGCCAGTGCATGCGTCCACTGTTCCCAAAACCATCCTCTGTCGAGAACTGAAGCCGTAGTCGTCGAAGAAATGGTGAGAAATTATTTCCCTGTATAACATATTTTTTGATGTTTTCAACAGAGTTAGGCTTGATGACTCTTCTCTCTAGATTGTCTTCTGGGTCCGGGAGTGCTTCGTTTCGAAACCAGCCAGTTTTATCGAACGCACGGAGCTTGAGGTATTCGTACTGGAACCAAACACGACTCACGGCGCGATTGAACGCTTTCGAGACCAGGCGGAGTTTGACACACGAGGATGGAAGATAACCCGCATAGTCACGCCTGACCTCTCTAAGATAATCAAGCACGTGGATATCGTCGGAACCGTCAGTGAATGAAGTCGTGACGCTACCCCATGGTGGGTTTTCGGCTGGCGAAATATCTACCACATGGGAGAAAATCTGTCTTCGTCAGCCTCATTCAAGTACTGCGCATGTGATCAACTAACCTCATCATAAAGCTCAGCAGGAAGCTTCTCAAATCCTGACGGAGACCGATGTTGGAGAGCAGTCATATCTGTAGGCTGCTGGCGAAGAGTGGATAATGGACCCTGACTCCTGAAGTTGGAGACGGGTAACCGAAAGGTGGCATCGGAAGCTAGACTAAACCAACATTAGGTAAGCGGTCGATTAAGTAGACTAGACTACATGTGGAAGTAGTGCTCGACTGGTTTTTGTATATTGATCCTTTTATTATCCATCTTATTCCAGTGTACTCCAGATATCTATCAGAAATTCATCTGTTCAGTGTACATCTACTTGCCGTATAGATTTCGTTAGTACCATCCAACATGTTTCACGTACGAAACATTTCTTCACCCAACGACCCTAGGCATTAACACTCGCCATCACGAAAATCGCTAAGACTCGGATCATAGCCTGATCCGAGGTCGAAAACGATGTCGGAATATTCGGGCGGGTATAGCTCCGCTTTCAACAATTCTATCTCTATGCTCCAAAAAGCTGTCCTTCTCTGAGCTAAGTATCTTAACCATTATGTGAGCTTACCTATAGAACAAGCAATCCACCGTGCCACGGCCCATAAGTGAAGGGGGCCACGTGGGGGTTTCTAGTTCACGTCCATACAAATACAACCCATACGGTGATCTTCAATGCTTTGCTACATCCTGTTGATGAGTGGCATCGTGAGGCAGGTAGGACAGGGTTGATGGATGTAGAAAGCCTTATGCAAACTCTGCTCTCTTATAGCAGAGGGCAACAAGCGTACTATAGTTTATAACCTTAACCTTAACACTACAAATCTGTACATCTCTACTAAATTGTTAGGACGTCGTATACGTCACTACGTCAAATGCGCTCAATACATCCTGTTGAATTCGGCCTCACAGATCCTTCATCAATCGGATCATCCAGCCTATATCTTCCATGGGAACTTCCAAAGATGTTCTGTCATTGACTCAGTTGTGTTTGAGCAACAGGCGACGTTAGAGGTCCTTTAGAAGGTAAATTTGGCCAGAATCAGGTACATTCGTTCCACGGTACTTTCGCATCGAGGGTTGACTTGATCTTTGCATCGCAAATATCCTCGATTAATTAGTGGACTGGGGCTGTTCTTGGTAACTGCCTGCGAAATCGAAGAAGTGGCGCGAGGAAATGAACTTCTAACTCAGCATTTCACTCCAAAAATCTAGAAGATGAAGCCTCCCACTTGCGACGTTGTTCCCTTCGTCCGTTGTTGACGTTATATACCCGCATAGTTCAATTGACAGAATTCTGCTCGAAGTGGACAGCTGAACGACCAGTAATGTAAGAACTCTATTTGAGAAACGGTAAGCTTGATAACGGGTTAAACGCGGTGTCATTCAGCCGCTGGGAGCGGCAAGATAATAAGGTTGCAATCATTGGGGGCTCAAATAGAAGACAATCCAAGTTCATCGAAGCCTATCGCTCCACATTTACGGAGACACAGACGAAGCAAAAAAGCGGGGTACTCTTGGGGTGGGCGCGTCTACCCTAAATTCTTCGAATGATATCAAACGTGGCGGAATACAGCGACTGTGAGGGGTCACTCGATGAAGCGGGGGATGGGAAGAAGCCAATTAACGTGGAACGTTCATCGTCGGTGTGGCAGCTCTGCAGGTGACAATCGATGTAGCTCAATCCAGCGATTGCACAGTCACATTACGGTAACACAAAAAAGTGTAACAGGGGGAAAGGAACCAATTGTAAATACGGAATTCATCTTTCGTATTGTACGCTCATCCATGACCTTGCATCAATGCTTATGACGAATTAGAACTCGTATTCTTATCTGCTGCAGGCAATATTGCCATATTTGATATGAACAGGATCAGCTAGTCAGTCCGATCTTGTTTTTCTGCAGTTCCACGGATTACGATATATAAACCCTCGTTGAGAGTCGATAACTTCACCCATTACAAGAACTCTGAGCTTATTCTAGGAATTCAATCCACACATACTATATTTTCGTGCTCAATTTCCTCAAACCGAGATGTCACCTAAGCCAGCCGATCCCGATCACACCCCTAGGGGTGGTTATTGATGCCTCGTGGCTGTTGTCGACATGTACCGACCGGAAATTATTCAATGTCGGCGATACCACGCTCGCTTAGTCTCAAGCTGAAAAAAAGTAATCAATCCCTTCCCCTTTGTGAAACACTGGTCTATACGTGTTTTAGCAGTTGCTAAATCTATTTAGGACTTAAGCCGCAGTCTTTCACCGCGATTTGTGGTTCCATCCAACCAGACTGGTCGGAGGCGAAGCAGTGCGAGATAATCTGTCAATAGTTAGCAAAATGAAGAACTGTTATCATTTTCGAACAATATCATCATTGTTGACTGGCCCTCTGGCGCTGTCCGATACATTATTTAGGGTACTGTATGCTCGCGGCTCGCCCTACGTGTCTTATCTTTCTTTATTGCAATGTGTGACTCGAGGTAGCCTTATTGGTGTAGCGCTACACAAACTTCAATCTGCATGCTGGACGGAATGACTTGCTGGTACAAACACATTGCCCCGCATTAGTATTCCACGACTGTATCTGTCGCATCATCACCTGCAACTACATAACCTTGACCACGCCATATCTCCATAAGCCACAATGGCGGATCTGAAGGCATACAGCGTTGTGAAATTAGGAGATATATTCTACTATGTAGACAATCGGGTCGAAGTATCTTCTCTGATCGTCCACGCCAGGACGCACGACTAATGCAATGCAGCGCTCTCTTCCAGAGGAGTATGACACTGGAGGCGGTATAGTATCTGCAGTCGCATTCAGACTCGAATCTTCCACTATTTCGCCAACCTGGGTTCAGAGTGTATTCGATGACTTTTGTCGACGAGACGACGTATTTCAGCAATCCTTCACCACTCAAAGCGTGCTGATAGCTCTCTCAAGCAAGCTCGAACAACCGACTCCTGCACTTTCACAATCCATGATTGATTATCTAGCATTCAAAGACAGTAAACTGATTTTCTTGACCTTTGATCAGGAGAACCTTGATGAAGGTCCCTACTTTATTCGAGGACGCACACTCCACAAAGCCTGGAAGTTGTATGAAGATGAAAGTCAAGCGTTCACGGTTCCAGTCATACTGTCTGAAGATGGCGATGAGTACCAGTATGAATCACCCAACAAGCTTTTACTCGTACAGCTAACATATGCAGGTTTGAACCACTGCATGCTGCTGCCTATTCTGGATTGTATCCAGTCATCGGGGTACCTTCTCGATTGTACACGCGCCCTAACCCAGATAAGCCTCTCAGCGGGGTCCGCATTTCTGTCAAGGATAATTATGATCTGGCGGGGATTAGAACGACGCTGGGAAGTCGCTCGTATACTAAACTCTATCAAGAGAAGCAACATACCGCTGGTATAGTGAAGCGCTTACTAGACTTAGGCGCTGTAGTCGTTGGTAAGACAAAGATGGGGGCATATAATGGGTCAGAAGTTCCTCCCGATAAATGCATCGATTACTTGGCCCCTTGGAATCCTCGTGGTGATGGCTATCAGGGGCCTTCGGGGAGTTCCAGCGGTGCAGGATCTTCAGTGGCCAGCTACGAGTGGCTTGATGTCGCGCTTGGTACTGACAGTAAGTTTTTGTTTGATATTTTGCGATGCTGCTCACGCCGGAAGGTACTGGAAGTATACGAATGCCTGCCGCGTCCTACGGTCTGTGGGGTCTTCGATCCACCTGGGGTGCTTTCAACCTCGACGGAATCGTTCCCGCTGTTCGGTGAGAAGTGTTGCCCACTGCGAAAACCTAGGCTGAACTATGTAGGAATTTTGACACCCTTGGTGTGCTTTCTCGAGACCCAAAACACGTCGAGAATATTATTTTGAGCAGTAACTTCTCACCCGTCACACCGCCTGTAAAGTCCTTTTTTGCAAGTTTGACAATAGGATTGACTGACGTTCAGAAGCAGGTGGAGGCTCAAAACCTCATCATGCCGACAGATTGGTTCTCAATGAGAAATCCAGGTCAACAAAAAATGATCGACTCATTCATTGAGCTCCTGAGAACTCAGAATCAAATTGAGGTCAAACCTCTTTCTCTAGAATCTGAGTGGGCTAAAACCGGGCCCGAGAAGCATCGGCACTTGTCAATCGAGAAGTTTTTAGACAAGGTAGCGCAAATATCTCGCAAAGGAATGCAAGTTATTATCTCACAAATAGCAGTCAATCTATTGGCCCAACTACTACGACGGTTTCCACAGTCTCGACAAGTTTCGGGCAGATTTTCGAGAGAAGTTTGGCTACCCACCATACGCAAGCCCGTTTATGACGAAAAGATGGCGAGTTGATTTCCAAAAAGCATTTTAACCAATGTTTCTGATAATAAAGAAGGGGCCTTGCAGACGATATCTCCAAAGAGCAGAGAGATCAGGGCTATCAAGAGCTCGAGGTCTATTACTCGTGGGTTGCTGAGCATATATTGAAGATCGACAGAGCAAACAATATGATTGTTTTACCGCTTGGCCGACCAGGCGCGAACTACCGAGATACTCTCCCAGTATCCGAAGGGTAAATATTGAACCCCAATGGCGAACTCACACTCAGTTTTCATAACTGATGTGATCTCAGTGGCGATTTCTCGTCATCAGCATTCGATCCCGTTGACTTTTGCACTGTTTTGGGACTTCCGCAACTTGTAGTTCCTAGTAAGTCGGCAGCCTACTACAGTTGATGCAGGACTAACACGATCAGTCGGGCAAAATCCATACCAGTCGCGAGTAACGCATCGAACGGAATATGCACCTATTGTCGCGACATTGGCTGGACCAAGAGGTGAGCGATCACAGATATTGTGATAAATTCTGCATGCACACTAAGCTATTTCAAGGGAGCGATTTGTCTCTTGTTCGATTTGCAACGTCCGCGCTTGGGAAAGGTGGATGGCCTCTGGAAGTTCTTTCGGGGCCTAATGCGTTCCATCACGTTGAGTAGGTAGTTTAAATACAATTCCAACTTTTCCCAGACGAGATCCATACAGGTAATCCATAGAAGCGGTAACGTAAGCCGGCTAACAAATCTCTCAATGCATGCGTGAGGCCATTCCCCGCGGAGTTGCGGACATCCGACAACAGTCAACTCTTTCTAAAGAATAACGGTAGATCTAGAGTTTAAAACTTCTGTTTACGAACTCCCTAAACCCCATCCACCCAAGCAGACTAGGGATGCCGCACCCCCAGCAAGAAACATTCCAGGCATCAGATCCAAATGCCCACTCATAACCGCAAATGCAAGACTACCGATATCAATAACATCGCATCCCACATTGGCGCGAAGCACTTTCCTCCACACCATCTTCTCATCAAGTGAAGCCATGAGGAGTGAGCCAAGGGCGATACCACGCACTCCAAAGAGGCGTACAACTGTGGCCGTTTCATTGGAGATTTGGAATTGAAAGAGGGAGCAGGTGAAGTGTGGGACGAGCACGCTTGCTGCACCTAGAATGATGCGGGAGTAGGCGAAAAGTCTCGTTGTGATTCTGGATGTTCGTGTAAGGCTGCTGGAAGAAGGATGGGGCTTTGAGGTTGAAGATGCCATGGTTGACAGGAGAATGAGATTGGGAGGAGAGAGGGTATCCTGTAGAATCCACGATTCATCTGCTGAGGGGGACGCATGATTTATACTTGTGATTGAGGGCTGTGTTTCTGACTAAGGATGGTACTTGAGGTCTTGAGTGCCTTTGGCGTGATTACTGAACATGATCAGCAGAGCCCGTGCTGGCCTCACTACTTCACCTTTAGAGCAGCATACCACTGGCGGACACGGAGCAACGTTGTTTCGACAGACCCCGTACCGACTTTCATTCATCCGAGCGATCTCCTCACATGTAATATCGAATGTGATTGTCTCTCCATTTCGCATTTGAGGCGGCGGAGTGTCAAGTCGTGGTGCATACGTCGGGTATAAAGCAATCAATGGTAATTTATCGGCCACTTGTAGAAAAGTAAAAATCAATTGAACTAGTTATATACGTATATCATTAGACAGAAACGGTTCTATAGGTTGACTATGGTGTTGATGAGGTTGAACTTCCCTTACTTCATACATGGACAAAAGCATCATACTAGTGCTCGAAAAAGCTAGCGCCATCTAACGTGAAGGCTAACACCGATCTTTCCGTTCCCCCACAGCTGATCCACAGATCTTGCATCAAGATCACCACCCACATTCAATCGTCCCATTCGGTTTCAAATAGCCATTGAACGCGTCTCAGGTCATGCGCATGTGCCCATGTTGGTGAATGTAGCTGGCAGGAGATCAATGGCGCTGCCCAACAACCCTCCTCGCTTACGATCCGTTCCCAACATCAGCACTGATATCAGCACTTTTCGTCCAATTCATAATCGGATGCTCAAGGACATTTCCTAGTTATGTCAAGCAGACAAGCCGCATGTCTCAGCTGTAGACGAAGTAAAATTCGGTGCAAGAGAGGGGCCACCGGGGCCATCTGTGAAAAGTGCTCGCACTCGGGTGCCGAATGCATCGTACCCGGAGGCTTCCATGTCGGAAGACAAAAAGGTGTCAAGAACAAACGGACTGGACTCGAGAAGGCCATTCACCAAGTCGAGGAAGCATTAAAGAGATCGAGAGCTGATTCCAATGTCAGTACGTCAAACTCTGCAAGCGAGCAACTCCAGCAGCTTCTCAACGAGATTCGAGGAGGAGCAACAGACAATGATGGCGTGTCTGCTCATCGTCGTGATGCTTCATTGATCTCCAATGAGGATGTCGTTCCATCGGCGAATCATGACCAGCTCACACTTGATGATGCGGAGAATCCACTTCAATTGCTCGCGAGAGCGTCAGATCTTCGACTCGCTACACCGCCGCCATTCGACGTTCCATTTACACCCAGTACGTTCCATGGAAGCGACCTTGATTCGCAGTCCGAGGTTCACCGATTTTTCCTGCCACTGAAAGCCACACTCGATCAAGGGCTGGTCTACGATCCTATTAATCTAGGACTTGTCACCGTGGAAGAAGCCAACTTTCTCATGGATTTCTTTTTCGATAATCTGGCGCACACTCGCTGGGGTTTGGACCCAGCAATCCACACCATGTCATTCATCAGACAACAGTCTGCGTTCCTTTTCACCTCACTTCTTACAGCTTCTTCACTATTCATCGCCTCAACAGGAGCTATTTCCAAAAGGCTGCTCGTGCATCGGAAATTACTCGCCGAACAGGTCATCACCAAGAGATTTCGATCGGTTGAGATTGTACTAGCGTTCATGGTAAACGTACCCTGGATGCCTGCCGGAATCCATGCCAGCGACGATGACGCTGCACTTTACATCTCAACCGCCCTGAGCATAGCACTAGACCTTTCGCTCAACAAGATCATCACTCCATCGCAATCTTTTGATCTAGAAGGGTTGAAGAGGGTCCCCAAAGCGGATTGTCTAGACGCTAATAGGGCATTGGCCATGGACGGCTTTGAAGATATTCCTTCAAATTCTGAGTGGGGTCGTAGGCTGCTGCGTAGAAGAGAGAGGGTGTGGATTGCGCTATTCGTCCTAGAACGCGGCATTTGCCTCGCTCGAGGTCGCAGTTACTGCGTGCCTATCACACCACTGCTCCAGTACTGCGATGAATGGCATCGCAATAGCATGTCGACTGTCCAGGATGGTCCGCTTGTTTCTATGGCAGTTCTTCGTCGAAATTTGGACGGTCTCTTTAGCGCCGTACGCTCACGATGCGATGAGTACCGAATCACCGATGTTGGCTCGGAAGTGGCTCAAGAGATCGAGGCAACCATCGAGAGATTTTTTGGCAACTGGCTAGCTACCTGGACCGCGTCTATTGGGGAAGGCGAGCAGAAAACGCTTCCCCCTTATGTAGAGATTCTCGTCACCCACACAAAGCTCTCTACCTATTCCGGCGTTATCAACCATCCGACCGCACCGCTCGAAGTCAAGCGACTATTTCGCGCCTCCGCTCTATCGTCTGCCCTCAATGTGATGAGGACAACCATCCAAGGTGAAGCTCGTTTGAAATCAATGCCTAATAACACGGTCACTATGATCTGTTTTGCGGCCTGTGTTGCTCTCCAGCTCAGCGCGCCCGCTCCCAGCGGCAACCACAGTCTCGCTCCAAGCGTGCGTCACCTCATCGACGAGACCGCCACCGTCCTAGAGCGTATAGGAAACACGCCCAGCCACCGCAACGGCGCATCTGTGGTCTTTGGCAAGTATCTTCGTGAATTGGTCAGACAAGCGCCGGAACTCCCCCGAGCACTTCCACCAGTTCAACCATCAAGCTATATACCTCCAAACTCCACATCGCCTCCATTCGCAATACCAGCCATGGACCTCTTACATACTTCCCCGAGTCATATGAATTTTCCGGTGCCTGCTGCTACCAACTCGGGCACAGACTGGCCAGATCCGTTTCAGTTTTCGGCCATGTCGGATAACGAGATTTTTGAGACTGTGATGAATGTTGGGGACTTTGGGTCTTCGCTTTTGGATGTTTCGGTGCAGGATGCTAACGCGTTTATGTGGATGGATTGGATTAACCCGCTGGACCCAGGGCTTCAATGAGTTGGATTACCAGTTTCAGTATATTCGATGCCTGATGTCACCCAGACATTATATCAGAGCCATATGCTATCACTACACACGCCCTCACGCCCTTGACCCGGAGTCTGGATCGCACCGCGGCTACGTAATCTCCAGTTCGCGGGCAAAAATGGTGGTGATTTTCCACTGGACTTTCATCAATGGCCGATATCTCCCGCTCAGTCAACTCATCGGCCATCACCATGATTATGCGCTACATGGAATGGCAGATGCAGGGCAAAGCAGCTGTCCACGCTCGGAAGTCGGCTGGCCACCCCGCTATTGGGGGCTTATTGGACGGGCGGGCATCTTCGGCGCTACATCTGGATCCGATGTTTTCGAGCGATCATCCCTCGGCAGCTATTGCATCATAAGTAATCCACTTCCGCGTCCAATATTTGCGTCTTCCCTTGGTTGTGTTTTCATCTCTTTTTGGTTGTATTCGCTCCGACGCATGTAAATTGTATCTCTTGGCCTTTGCGAAACCTTTGATCGGGTATACATCATGGACGCCGTACCAGCCGCTTCGCGATTGCTCCTCACATTACCCTCACGGATATGTAACAGCAGACCTATTCCAGCACAATTACGCGCCGCGCGAAGTCTCGATCCCAGATGGCGCATAATATCGCAGAAGCGATACCGAAGCCAGCCGGCACCTCGAGCGCCAGTCATTGATCGTTCGCGATCTAAGCTCTTCGAGTCAGCCGATCATGCTGTCGCAGATATCCATTCAGGCTCAACCATTCTGAGCGCGGGTTTCGGATTGTGTGGTGTTGCTGAAACTCTGATAAATGCTATGAAGAACCGAGGACCCCAATCGCTGCACTCTCTCACTGCCGTATCGAACAACGCTGGTATCGAGGATGTTGGAGGTCTAGCTTTGATCACGAAGTCTGGACAAGTAAGCAAGCTCATCATCAGCTTTCTAGGGAACAACAAGGCGCTCGAGAAGCAATACATGTCTGGTGATATCACAATCGAGCTCTGTCCGCAGGGAACGTTAGCTGAGCGGATTCGCGCTGCGGGTGCGGGCATCCCAGCGTTCTACACGCCGACCGCCGTCAACACATTCATAGAAGACGGAAAGATCCCAGCGCAGTTCGACAACCAAGGAAACGTTATCGGCTATGGTACACCCAGAGAAACACGGGAATTCAACGGACGCAAATTTCTCATGGAGACTGCGCTGCCCGGTGATGTCGCCATCGTAAGAGCGTGGAAGGCTGACGAGGAAGGGAACTGCGTCTTCCGGTGAGTCTTGACCTCGTCACCATACACACCTCAACTAAACTATAATTTGCACACAGATACGCCACCAAAGCATTTGGGCCCCTCATGGCCAAAGCCGCGCGCCTCACCATCGTCGAAGCCGAAGAAATCGTCCCCATCGGCTCCCTCAACCCCAACGACATCGACCTCCCCGGCATCTTCGTAAACCGCATCGTCCCCGCAACATCCCCTAAACACATTGAAATCAAGAAACTCCGCAACCCGTCCCAAGACAGTACCACGACCTCCAGCAAACCATCCAACGACGCTGCCGCCCGCCGCGACCGCATCGCGCGCCGCGCCGCAAAAGAACTCAAACAAGGCTACTACGTCAACCTCGGCGTCGGCATCCCAACCATGGCCGCAGCCTTCGTCCCCCCCTCCACAAAAGTCTGGCTCCAAAGCGAAAACGGCATCCTAGGCATGGGCCCTCACCCCACGGAATCAGAAGTCGATCCGGACATCATCAACGCCGGCAAAGAAACCGTCACGCTCCTCCCCGGCGCATCCACCTTCGACTCCTCAGAATCCTTCGGCATGATTCGCGGCGGGCACGTCGACGTCTCTATCCTCGGCGCGCTGCAAGTCAGCGCTACTGGCGATTTAGCAAACTACATGGTTCCTGGCAAGGTCTTCAAAGGAATGGGCGGCGCCATGGATCTCGTGGGCAATCCCGAGCAAACAAAGGTCGTCGTCGCCACCGAACACGTCGCTAAAGACGGGAGCAGCAAAATCGTGCAGGAATGCGGGTTGCCGTTAACGGGAGCCCGGTGTGTGAGTTTGATCATCACGGATCTGGCGGTTTTCGAGGTCGATAGGAAGAAAGGCGGGTTGACGTTGATTGAGGTCGCACAGGGGGTTAGCGTGGATGAGGTTAGGGGGAAGACGGATGCGGAGTTTGTTGTTAGTGAAGCGTTGGGGAAGTTTGAGTAAGTGGGCTTGTATCAACATGTTTACGCCGTTTCTCTTACTCTCTGTGGAATGATATTATCTATGTTCCCCTTTTAATCACAAGTCAATTGTCAGCGGTGTAGCGCGCGCATTTAAGTGATACGCATTTACATTGTCATTTTTGTTCAGAATATTCCTTGCTATACTTGTCCCACTCAGGTTTTCCTGTTGAATTCATGCATACAATTAAGCCGACGATCTACTTGTGGAGAGTTTGAGGCCATAGCGATAGTGAGATCTGAAGCGAGACAGAGTAGAAGAACACAACAATTTAGTCAGAAGATTGGATACTGCTGGAAAAATCTCAATTCCTTAGTACGTCATCAAAGCACAATACTCTATTTATTCTGAGGGCTAATTAGAGGTCAATCCTTCCATCGCGATTGACAGGGTGAACACTGACAATTTTCTTTTTTATTTAAGTTGGAGTTTAGGTGTCCCTATACACAGCAATAGTTCATAACAATTAAATTGAGAAAAAATAAAGCGGTTACGTCGAATTTGAGGCGATGAGCCTTCACACAAGCTTTTGAGACAAAAGCAGGGATCGGGGGGACACTGACATTTATAGGGTAGGAATGGGTTGGTGTATCTAGAGATGTTACCTGGAAATACAGACTCATACAACTATGATCTGAGCATTTCATGGAATCATTTTAATTTTATGCGCCACAAGCACTTTGTGTACACTTACATAGTAGAACTGCTTTCAAGCTGCAGGCTAAGCACATGTTATAACTGTGATTAAATTTGTTGTATTAAGGATCTTAGATGTAATTCCTACACTATCTAAAAAGACTATTAAAGATTTTAAGCAAAAAAAAATAAACAAAGAAAAATAGACATAGAAGTAAAAGAAAAAAAGAAATACAGCTAAATAGATTCCACCGCAAAATGTCGTGATATAGATAGACACTGAGTAACTAAAGAAAAGCAGTAGAACTTGTAGTGACAGCGTAAAGTTCAGCAACAACGCACAAGCTCCTTTGCGCGCAATAGCCCCACCTTGTAAGAATGATCAAAGATCTTTCCTATCATACACAATCTTATGGTTGCGGCAATACCACTCTACACCCTCCCCCTTCCCGCCATCAGTCACGAGAATTAAACCTGTGCCCTCCATGTATTCCGACTGCGAGATTTTCGTCGATCCAGTCCAGAGTACAGGACCATCGCGGATGGGGTGGAGGGGTGCTCGATCCGGAAGACCAGCTTCCTGCATTTTCCGACGCATCTTCCACTCAGCTGACATCTGCGGTGTTTGCACTTGTACGCCGTAGAAAGTAGGATAGTAGCCCTGGGATTGCGGTGGGAACGGCGGAGGGAACTGCGATGCGCTGTGGGATTGGGGTGGATAGTTGGGTGCATTGTTGGGAAGATTTTGTTCCCAGTTGATTGCGTTGCTAGGGCCATACGTCCCTTGCTGTGCGGTGTATGTCTGCGGTGGACACATTGACGAGGATAGCGATGGTGGGGGCTCGTATTGAAAGCTCGAAGTATTGTCGTCAAAACGGTATCCCAATCTAGCAGAATTTTGTTGGTATCTCTCCCCGTACTCACTGATCATGCGAGAGACTTCCATAGCCATATTGCGGCCGACTGAAGGCGGCAAACCGGGTGAGTACATCGTGTCTATGAGATTATTTATGGTGTTCCAATCTTCCTTGGCTTTTTCCGGGTCTTGCTGCATGAAAGGTAGCATTTTCCTTTCTTCTTGCTGTAAAAATGCAGTTATGCTTCTCAACTGGTAATGCGCCGGGGATGAAGTAAAACCAGGCGACAACCACGGTGGGATAGTTGATCCTGGAAGTCTTCCCTCCAGGCCACGGATGGCGCCGGTCCCACCCGCGCTGCCGAAGGCTAGCGACGATTGCAGAGGTGCCGGCTGTTGTGAAGTTTGTATCCTTCCAGCGTTTTTGGTCGGATGTCTAGCAGAGGGTACTCTAGCATCTTTGTCGCCTCCAGTCGTCGAAGTCAATCTAGCAGACGACTCCACTGATTTTGCTCTCTTTCCCGGACTTGCACTATTCCTTGACCTTGACACCTGCGGTGAATCTGAAACTTGTTTGCTATGAAGCGGGGGAGCCTTCCTGTCTCCCAGCGACGAGGAAGTAGACCGCGAGCGCAGCCTTAGCGCAGGAGATGGGCTGGCATTTCGAGAGGTGCGACCGCGGGGCGTATTCGTTCTCGAGGCTTGAACTTGTCGAACTGCTTGGTTGGCGTTGCTGTGTCTCCCGGTGGAAGGTAGTCGAGTTCTGCTCGTAGGCCTCCCAGTAGGACGCTGGGCGGTGACATCGGAGGTTCTTGTCTTCTGATTCTGCATGTCTATATGTAATTTTGATTTGAAGTGATATTTTGATGAAAATCTCCACTGGATCGTTGGGACGTCGTATACGTCACTACGTCAAATGCGCTCAATGTTGATGAATCGTCGCTTGTTGGGGATAGTGAGATGTGGTAGATTTGCTGGTGAAAAAAACCGTGCTAAAGATACCACGAAGATATCTATGTGTGTTAAGTTGGTGAATCGAATCTGTCGACTCACAGATTGTGCAATGGTCGTCGTGTGACTGTAGACATCTTCGAGACAATGCACGTGAATCAACTAATCCCTTCATTGCTAGATATTCTTTCATATTAAGTCACCAAGTACTTGTTTATGACACTGCTCGGTGAATACCATTCAGGAATCAGGGTGATGAAATTCACTGACTCACAGCCGTTTCACAAATATCGGAAGATGACTCCTGACATGTTTTGTCACATTCGGGCAACATGCGCAACATAGTGATGGCTCACATATCTGAACCTAAACACCCCGAGTTGGACGTGAACAGGTAGACAAATAGCGCATGTTTATTTTACATTTCTAAGCCTTGCTACACTACAGCTTCATCAAGAACAAAGACGTAGGCATACCGGTCTCTTGCGTCGCATCTGCACGCAATCATTTACAAATTAACCGGGAAGACAGCACACTCGGTATGGGGCGCCACGGAGCTGATACAAGGTGGCGACCTACGAAGTTACGCGAATAGGAGGAATATCAAAGTGAAAGAGGCAAGAATCCTCTCAAAAAAGAATACTTCACGCCATAGGGCATGCACGACGGAGGAAATGCCCGCCGCGACATCTATTTAGTGAGTTTTCTGTTCAGTCATAACCACTAAACTGGTGAGGTGGCTAACCCTAATCTCACCACAGAATGTTGAGCGCAAGATGGTCCGTTACTAGTTCACAAGACGTCGTGTGGCATGGCACCCTACATAGCGCCCGAAGTCCTCCAGCTTCAGAAGCCGTCATACGAATAAAGCGCGCTCTGTCGAGCAGATGTAAGTGAAGTATTTTGAGGGTCGCACTTCTATACATGATTACGAGGAGTATGTTGTAGAATGCTGCAACCTTCACCGACACGGGCTTCGCCGTCAACTTTACAAGTCCAGATTCACTCAGCATTTCTCACATTCCCTTCTCCACCAGATACTAGAAGTGGATGCCGCCGCCGGAATCACCGAAGAGACCATTGGGGGATGGATGACAGTAGATCTCTACGAAATTTGAATTCAAATGTTACTACCTTCTTTGTTATATACTACCTATCTTTGAGGCCCCTGACAACTTCGCGCTCTTGATCAATGTCGTTGACTGTGGAGTCACTGACACAGTCTTCCTCCCGCACATAGATTGGAATTTACTCGCCAGAATCATGCATCCACGCTTTCTTCACCTCTGAAATCATCGAATGCAAGATAATGCAATATTCACGAGACACATTCCCTACCACAAGGCTATACAAAACAGCGAAACCCTACCAAGGCGTGCGACCACACTCTAAACTTCAACCTATGCAAGTAGAAGTCCCTAGAACGCAAGTAAAATGCCATACTTCGACCCCGGCTCCCGCACAGCCCAGGAATACAATAGACTCATTCAACAACAGCGCCGAAATGACCAGCTTCCAAGCTACGAAGAGGCAAATCGAGAAGTAGATCCGCCACCTCCATATACTTCCGATCCACACATAGACTGTCAGGCAGGGATGACTATAGGGTCGGGGCTTCGAGATCCAAGTACTGCGACTAGGGCTCATCTAAGGTCATGCCCTAACGCGCGGAACCGAAATCCTGGTACGAGTAGTGCTTTCGCTAGATTCTTCAATAGAACAAGAGGAACATCTAAGGTGGAGAATTATGACCACAGAACGTGTCATATATGCCACAGATGCCATAGATGTATATTTCTGGATGCGCTTGAGAATGAGCGTTGGAGGCAGATGACGACTGGAGATTCTCGCGGTCAGGGGGAGAGTCAGGCTGAACAGAGGGAAGGAGACGTAAGGCCTACATTTGAAGATGCAGTGAGGTATGGGACACGAGGTCCGAACACTAGACCATCTGAACCTGCGTGGGGGATAGAGGAGCGGAGGGATCGGACTCATCAGAGAGCGTTCAGAGGGTGGATGAGGTAAAGCACGATATAGCAATGGCATCGGCACGTTAGTAAGGTATTTTGAATATGTTTCTGTTAGTCTTTGATTCATCTGTGAAGTCAGTTTGTTAATGGGTGTCTTATGTTGCGTATAGAACTGATTCCTCGACATTCAATTCACTTCGGTTGCGATGTAGTGACGAGCCTAGACTCTTCAAAGAAGATCCATCACGATGCAAAAAAAGCCCACTACATTTAGTCACACCAAACGCGGTAGTGAATCTTCGCATTTCTATGCGGCATATTTAGTCACACCCATACATTGAAATACTTGATAACATTCATCACCCTCTGGATATACTCCTCCGTAACCTTCACTACAAGGCCTTACGAACAGCCGTCTCCAAAAGCTTAATTAATATTAAAAAGTTGTACCCCATCCATACGCTATTTCTAAGAATCTACATATATTAGAACATAGAAATACACATACGCACATAGAGATTACACACACAACCCGACAAGTACTTGACTATACCCAACACTTACACAAGCTTCTACTAAACCTGTAAAAATCCCTCCCACCCTAAAGAGAATAGAAAAAATGCCATTCCCTATCTCCTCAAGGCGCAGGCGGGCCCGGGCCGAGAGACGTGAGCAGGCACTGACAGAAACAAACAGCGTCCGCATTCCCATCGTCAACCCCTACGAGGAAGACGCACCACTTGTTTACGCACCCGAACCACCAGACACGTCAACAAACCCATTCGAAGACCCCCCTTCATACGAACGACGTAGAACATTAGATTCGCATACACAGAGACCGCCAGAAACCTACGATTTCGGCTCGAGGAATCCCGAAACGAGGGGTCCGAACAGGGCGGGAAAGGAGTGGTGGAGGACGTCGTCACGAGCATCACACACCCCAGACAGCCGCGCAAACAACCCATTTCTATCCGAAGAAGAGCGAAGAGGACTCGAAGACTATGGACAGCGACCACCAGAAACTTATAATACAGGTGCGAGGGATCCCGAAACGAGGGAGAAAAATAATAAGGGAAGGGGACACCGGATGACCTCGTCACGAACATCACACCCCCCAGACAATCGCATCAATAATCCACATCCTTCTAGAATAGAAAGAATGGCAGTCGAAGTCTACGGACAAAGACCACCAGAAACGTACAACACCGGCGCGAGAAATCCCGAAACAAGGGGCAAAAACAAGAAGGCGAGAGAATCACGCACAATTTCATTAAGAAGCGTTACAAGGGGATCTAGACCAGAAGCATCAGGATCTAACTCTGCTACTGCTTCTGCCGTTGCTTCTGCAGGACTCCGGCTTGCGCGATCTACACCCGGAGCCATGGATTTGAGATCAGGAGATGGAGCTGCGAGCGCTGTGAATGAGAGAGGCCGGAGAAGCGGTAGTACGGCGAGAAAAAGTGAGGAAAGAAGAGTGGCGGAGAGACAGGCCAGGAGTAGGAGTGCGTCGGTTGACTCTCGGTTTGAGCGGGATGTGAATGGGATGAAGAAGGGAGAAGGGTTGAGAGGGCAGAGTGGTGTTGGGGGAAATCCGCGGGATTATAATCGGGGGAGGGCTAGGAGAAGCTCTTCTTCATCGAGGGCTGGATGGGATAGGTGAATTGGGTTTTGCGGATCTGCTTTTGTAGGGGTTTTGGTGATGTTGGGAGGGAGCTTTGTTGGTGGATGGGTTTGGTTCGGGGGAGGGAGGGGGTAAAGTAAGGATGCCTCCAAGGAATTGATGTATATTTATTAGTTTTATTTTGATGCGATATTCAAACTGTGTAGAGACAAAGATCTTAAATAACGGTCCGTTGTCAATCGTAAAGGAAAGATGCTGTTCAAGTTTCATCCTGCCCGGTCGAGTACCAGTCTACCATGTCGTCCATGAATAAAGGGAAAATTCGTGAGATGCAAATCTGCACAGAAAAGTGGAATAAGGCAAAATGGACTTAATTCTCAATCGAAAATTCCATAAGAACTTGAATGTATTCTATCAAGTCTTGATCTGTTCAATCCGAAGAGTGGATGGTGATGTAAGCAAGTGCGTAGGTGAACAGAGGGTGGTAAGTAGTGTCGCTAGACGTCATTGGTCGATGCTTTTTTCTTCCGTCGCGTTCACCTTCAACCAGGTACATGCAAATTAAGTCGACCATCTACAACTAACTGGCCTCCCACGATCCGTATATCCTCCGTCATCACCTCTATAGAATTTTCGACTATCGATTCCAGGATCCACAGCATCGCATTCCCCGAATGGCTCAATAGCCCGCCATGGCCACCCCGACCGCTCGCCAGCTCCCCCGAGCCGTCCTCCGCACGCGACACAACTACATTTATAACAACTACGCATCCACCCGCCCCTTCTCGTCATCGCGCCCCGCTTTTGAAAGCAACCACTTCCATAGAAAGGAATCGTTTCGTTCACGGCTTAATGCAGCGCTCAAAAACACAAAAGTGAAATGGGAGCCCATTCCCATCGCTCTGGGAATTGGCTTCCTAGGCGTGTACCAGTTCTACCGCGTGCAGCGCAGAGAGAAGCACTCGCAAAGCCAGGCCGGTAGCGACACTGAAAACGATGGTGAGGACCAACAGGGCCGCCCCAAGAAGCGTGAGCGTATACGTCCCAGCGGGCCATGGACTGTCCAAATCATGTCCACCCTGCCCCTCAAGGCCATGTCGCGCCTGTGGGGACGCTTCAACGAGCTGCAGATCCCCTACTACCTGCGCGTCCCCGGCTTCAAGCTCTACTCTTTCATCTTCGGCGTCAATCTCGACGAGGTGTCGGAACCCGATCTTCACGTCTATCCCAACCTGGCCTCCTTCTTTTACCGCACCCTGAAGCCTGGCGCTCGCCCTATCGACCCGAACCCGAACTCAGTCGTCTCGCCAGCTGACGGCAAGGTTATCCAATTCGGCACCATAGAGCACGGAGAAGTCGAGCAAGTCAAGGGCGTTACCTACAGCCTAGATGCCCTCCTGGGCTCCAACCGCCCCTCGCAACCCACGCCCGCCGATACGCGCGAACTGTCCGACCACACCCACACCAAGGTAGGCGCCGAAGATATCATGCGCGCCGACGAGGAGTTCGCAAACGTGAACGGCATCTCCTATACCCTCCCGAACCTCTTCTCGGGCCCATGGCCAAAGGGTAAAAACACCCCCGCCGAAATGCCCTCGGACCAGGCCACCTCCCCCCAACCTTCCTCCGAAGCCGCCGTCCGCGAGGACCTTGCTCGCAGCGAATCCTCGCGCCCATGGTGGGCGCCGGCATCTGCGACCACCCCCACCGCCCTCTACTACTGTGTTATATACCTCGCCCCCGGCGACTACCACCGTTTCCACTCGCCCGTATCCTGGGTCGTCGAGAGTCGTCGCCACTTCGCCGGCGAGCTCTACAGCGTGTCCCCCTACCTTCAGCGCACTCTTCCCGGCCTCTTCACGCTCAACGAGCGCGTCGTCTTGCTCGGCCGCTGGCGCCACGGCTTCTTCAGCTACACCCCCGTCGGCGCCACAAACGTCGGCTCCATCAAAGTCAACTTCGACGCCGAACTCCGCACAAACTCCCTCACCACCGACACCGCTGCCGACCGCGCTGCCGAAAAAGCCCGTGCCGCTGGTGAACCTTACTCTGGCTTCGCGGAAGCGAGTTATGCTAATGCTAGTCGTGTGCTTGCTGGTCATGCGCTCAAGCGTGGTGAGGAAATGGGTGGGTTCCAGCTTGGCAGTACTATTGTGCTTGTCTTCGAGGCACCTAAAGGTGTGAGGCCGAGTCTGGATGAGGGGTTCCAGGGAAAGCCTGGGGAGCGTAAAGGCGGGTTTGTGTGGAATGTGGAGAATGGGGGGACGGTCAAGGTTGGTGAGCCTATTGGGTGGGTTGATGATGGGACGGGTGGTAAGAGTCAGTAAATAGATACACAGTTGGAAAACATAGAAAGAGGCAGTGGAGATGTAGGGATATGTATAGTACACAGTTGTAGTTGTAGTAGTCATTTGTTGTATCATCCATGTATACATTCTACTTCCTTTCCAACATGCAAAAGCAAGCACGATATCTACATACGTACTCAAATGAACATACGAATCGCCAGTGTGTATGTTCCAGTCAATTGAGATACACGAGCAACGCTAATACAAACAAACCCCCTCCTCTGCCAGCACCCTTACATCCCCAAACCATCTATAAATTCTTGAGCAACCTTACATCTCCGCCGTACCCTCACAGTCGTCCGATGGTCCTCCGTCCAGCTACCATTACTTTTCGGAGCGTCTTGTTTAAACCAATCGCTTTTGTCTCAACCGAAAGCTCGTTGCTGGTCATCTGGTGAATAGTTGTTGTGGCGGATGTAGTGTGGCTGAGATCTCGAGAAGACGAGTAGAGACATGTACAGAGATTTTGATTAGAAAACTAGCCTGCGATGGGGCTTGAGAAGACAATAGAAGTGTCATTGTGGGTGACGCTTTGTTTTGTTGGTTCGTAGGAAGCTACTGTCTAGTGTTTTTGATATAGGGTATCAAAGGGGATCAAGACCAGCTAAAAAACGCCAGTAGTATGCATATATAAAGGTGTAAATCTGTCATTTATATTTTTATATATGCAGAAAAGAAATGTTCCCCCTTTACAGTGTTTGGGATATTGCTTTCAGACATGTTGGAGATGCGCAGAGTTCAAGTCAGACGGAGGGTTTGCGAATATGGCGACAACTGTTTCTCAGCTTGGATATGATGGAATTGTATGGAAGAGTTTGGATACTTAAGCAGGTAGGCAGAATCTCTCCTTTTCGCATCAGGAGTGCTTTTTATCAACTGGAGATGGGTGTTAGACATGTAGTTGAAGGTGACGGAGATGGAACGGGGAAGGACCAATCATCAATGACGTCTAGGGCTGATGGACACTACTTACCCCAGATAGCTTCATATACTCCGGCTCTACACTTGTCATGTTCATCTATATATATTCTTTGCGCAGATATTATAAGAACTTGTAGATGAACTAGAATCACTCACAAAGCGAAAGTCTATAAATAGTCCAATCACTTTCTCTATGTTGGCGCTGCAGCGCGGGGGCCTGGGAGACCTTATATAATCGGTCCTCTCTACCCACGACAAAGCGCAACGTATACAAACCTCAACACCACCACCACCGCAACCTCCGATCCGATTCAACCCACGACAACCATTCTCTCACCACCCACCACTCGATACAATCGAAACCAGCGGATTCGGTCGGCACAACCACCACAATGGCCGACTCGTCAAGCGGCTCGGACTCGGACTCGACGTCGTCGGCGCAATCCTCCACCACCAAAGTCGGCACCCTCAATCTGCGCATCCTCTCGCCATCCGCCGAAGTCGAGGGTGGCGGTATCACCTTTACCGCTTTGCCCTCAGCCACCACTATTGCCGAACTCAAGAGCAAAATCCAGGATGCCGTGCCCTCCAAGCCCACCGTCGACCGCATGCGCCTCATCTACCGCGGTCGCGTTGTCGCAAATCCCTACGATGCCTTGCTGACCATCTTCGGCGCCGACACAATTGCCCACTCTCCCGACCAGAGCTTACATCTTGTTCTCCGTGAACTGCCCTCTTCCTCTTCTTCATCACCCGCGCCGGCTCCACGAGTGTCGACCGCTCCTCCCCATCCCGCCGGCCCCTCCGGTCTCCCAGATCCCCCACAAAACCCTCTCGCCACAAATCCGTTCCGCAATCTGGCTCCTCCAGGTCAGCAACCGGTTCCAAATCGTCCCAATTCCCAACCGCCGCCGCCGCCTCACTACCATCACCACCCGCATCATCACCATCATCATCACCACCAACCGCCCAACATGGGTCTTCCGATTGCTTTGCCGCCGCTTGTGCAGCAGCTCTATAACCAGGCCCAGCAACAGCCTGAACAGCCCCGGAATGAAAACAATGAATCAGGTGATGGTGCATCAAATTCCAACACAAACCCTCCTCCGCCTGCCTCCAGGATTGTCCGACAGGAGGGTATTGGTCCAAATGGCGAGCGCTGGAGTGTCACGTGGAACAATACACAGGTCACGGTTCCTTTACAAGCAAACCAACAACCACCTTTAATTCCTCGCGCTTTCCGTCCGCCTCCCCCTGGATTTGGGCTTCCAGGTCAGCCCATGCCCGCCCCACGCCTGGCTGTGCCTCCTGTCATGACCCTGGCCAGGCTCCAACGCGGTCAGCAATTGGACCGCCAGAGGCTGGAAAATGCTCGTCTGTTGCTCAGTACCCCCGTTCTTTCGGCCAGTGTTACCCGTCTTGATCAAGCACGCCGGTATTTGGATGAGGTCACGTCCAGCTTAGACAATGCCGATCGTTCCATCGCCGAACTGGTATCTGACCCTTCAATGGTACGTTGTGCCTCAATTCTAATCCCGGTTGAAATATGTGCGTCGTACTGACTCTATTCTTCATTATAGGCGCAGCATCGCGATCTCGTCTCGCTGCAGCAGTCCCTGGCCCAGCTTAGGAGGCGAGCTGAGGAATCTCGACAAGTATTGACAACCAGGTTGACTGCTTTATCACCTAACTCTCCATTATCATCTACAGCTGCGCAAGCTCCAAACAATTCAACACCTTCCTCCAGCGTTCCTCCGGAGCTGTTCATCCTATCCAGTCCCCAAGGCCCTGTCGGACTCGTCTTTGATCAACGCGGTAGCTACGTAACGGCACCTATCGTCCCAACTACATCGTTCCACTCCTTTAATCAGCAATTTGAACAAAACAGACAAGTGCTCGCGGGCATGGGTCAGCGTATTGCCGAGTCTGCCATCGCAAACCCGATCCTGTCTGGTATGGCCCCATCCGCGCAAAATCAGCAGCAGCAACCAGGACAGCCGGCTCCAGCCGCCGATGTCAACGCTGCTGGAATTGCAAACGCCAATGCAAATCCCAATGGCAACGCGAATGGAGACGGCAACGTAAACAACGCGGTTCCTCCACTCGCAGCAGCAGCAGCCGCAGCTCAGGACAACGACCGCGCAAATGTCATCGCAGGTCACCTTTGGCTCCTCTTCAAATTGGCCATGTTCATCTACTTCTTCGCCGGCGGCGGCAGCTGGTACCGACCCGTGATGATGGGCTTGATCGGCGTCGTCGTCTATCTCGGCCAAATGGGAATCTTCGATACGCAATTCAACCGTCTACGCCAACACTTTGAAGCTATCCTCCCGCTAGGCGACCTCGCTGCCGGCCCTAACAACAATAATAACAACGAAAACAACAACAATGCGAATCCGACCCCTGCAGATGCACAACCTGCAGCGCAGCAACACCATCACACCAACCCCCCTAACCCCGAAGACGCGGCTAGAAGGTTACTCAACCAGCAGCAGGAGCAGCACGCTAGCTGGATCCGCGAGAGCATCCGCGCGGCGGAACGCGGGTTTGCGCTCTTTGTGGCGAGCTTGCTACCGGGTGTGGGCGAGCGCATGGTGCAGGCGCAGGAGGAGCGCGCCAGGGCTGAACGGGCCGCCGAGGAAGAACGCCGGGCGAGAGAAGAGCGGGAAGCTTCCGAGCGAGACGCAGACAAGGACAAGGAAACGAATGGGGAAAAGAGCAAGACGGACGGTGATGTGGAGAGCTCGAGTGCGGTCGTGCATGGCGCTGCGGAGAGGGATGGGGAACCTTCTTCTTCTTCGACTTCGTTTCCGCCCGACGACAAGGGGAAAGGGAGGGCTGCTGAGGTCGAGTCGTGATGACTTTTCTCTCTCTCTCTCTTTCTCTTCTGTTTCTTTCTCCCCCTCCTTTTTTTTCCCCATCTATTCGTCTTTAAATACCTCTTTTTTTATCCTCTTATATTTCCTTTCCTCTTCTGCGTTATCACATGCGGATCCTTGCATTAGCTACTTAAGTACCTACCTAGCTAGCTAGTTTGTTCAATCCCTTTCCCACGTATGTATGGTTAAAACTTCTTTAACGAGTCCATACACCTGCTTAAATTCAGAATTCTTTACACTAGTTAATCAATCAATCAACAATGATGTGTATACTCGTTATCTGCTCTATAATCCTCGTATATGTGTGTGTGTGTGTGTGTGGCTTTTGCAAGGCCTTGCACTTGTTCTTCTCCTTTCTCCTCCCCCTCCTTGTGCTTTGTAATTAGGTAATTGTGCTTAATTCTACCTATGTATATAGATTTTGTTAGACTGGGTTTTTTATGCTGCATGGGAAAATGCGATGATTAAATAGATAAGACTTAAAACTTGGTATACAAATTAATTGTTTTTTTTTTGCGTTTCTTAGGTATGTACTGCAAAAGACAGAACTTAAGTCATGTACTAAGATTAATAACTATCAACGTTATATATCCTTTTATTTATCTGAAAAACGTGTACATGTTACATTTAACTGCACTATAATTTATTTAATATAAACTAGTACGTTTTTTGAGGTCAAAGAGCAATTACATCAGTTAAACATGATTACATAGAAAAAATTAAGAGTTAAAAGATTTCTAGAGATTGCTGGATTGAAAGCGTTTTGTTGTTTATTTGTTAGATTGTTGGATAGTTGTTTTTTTAGCTAATTCCCATCACATTGATAAAATAAACATATACAAAGAAGGTATACAAAAAGGGAGGTAGATGGGTAAGAGGTTTTGATTTGATCAAGGATAGACAAGAAGTGAAAAAAAGGGCGGGTAGGGTAGGGTAGCCAAGCAAGGTATGATAGCCACGAGCGAGGAGATGAAAGAAGAGAGGAAAAAAAGAAGGAAAATGCTAAACAACTAAAACAACATGATGGGTAGCTGGGTGAGGGAGATGATACATGCATAAAAAAGAACTCTGTTTGATGGGATATTGTTTGTGGTAGTGGTGGTGGTGGCGGGGTGGAGGGTGTGGTTCGCTATGCAGAAAACTTCGTCGTTCTTCTTCCTTCCTTCTCTCATCTAAGATGCCCACGGCCGCCCCAAAAAAGCAAATGCGCCGACGCTGAATGGATTTCCCCATGCTCAATGATTTTTGTTCTCCCTTGTAAAAATTAACTCGATATCCATAATTTGATTCTCATATTACATCCTCCTCAAGTTCAAGAGCGAAAAGGCAACACATCCGCACCTGCACGCGTATGCGTAAAAGGACGGTGGGCTCGTGACGGGAGATGAAGACAAGACGATTGTGTTAAAACGTAAACGCCTCTTCAATGAACTCGACGCTGCCCTCCTCGACCCACGAGCGCGTTGCAGCGCGCACCGAATCCGCCATACCGCCAGATCCGCACACGGTGACTGCCATGGCGCCGACGCGATGTCTGAACTCATTCTCAATCTCAGTGGCGGCGTTGCAGCGGCCGGCGTACATGACGACGGAGTCACCTGCGCGATTTTGAATGGGGCCTTTGGGGCGCGAGATGAAGAGCTTGATGCGGAGGACCTGTTTGCGACCGGGTAGACGAAGGATCTGATCCATCCACGGGCGGACCCATTCGAGGGATTGTGCGTCGGGAATGGTCCAGCAGAGGAGAATACGACGGGTTGCGGTGGTGCCGCGGTGCGCGCCTTCGACGAGGTGCTTGACGTACATGACTTGGTGCGTTATTCCGACACCTCCCGCGAAGAGGACAGCGGTGCCAAAGGAGTCGAGACTGTGATGGCCGCCGTAGGGTCCTTCGATGAAGCCGAAGGTCTCGAAGGCGGAGCCTGTTGAGGATTGGCATGCTTTTTCGTACATTTTGCGCGTGAAGCCTGTGCGGGCGCGGCAGACGAGGCTGATTTGGCGGGTGGTTTTTGTAGCATGCGGTGAGGGGGCGCCGCTTTCGAGACAGGCTTCTGTGAGGGCTTTGGACGACGTGGTCTCGGTTTCGGCCCAGGCGACGGAGAAGGGGTGAGAGGACCAGAGCGCGAGGGCGGGCATATAAATATGCACGTGGCAGCCTGGTTTGGGATGCCAGTCACGGACGAGGTCGATGGTGAGGCGGCAGGCTTCTCCGGGGAGGGCTTCGACTTTGACGCGTGAGGTCTTTGTGAGGCGGAAGTTGTAGTAGCCAATGTAGAGGCCGCGCATGAGTAACTCGCCGCCGTAGAAAATGAAGAGGAGGTACATCCAGGGAAGCTGGGGGAGCAAGTGCCTTTGGAGATGGAGGTAGAGACCCAAGAGGGCGGCCCAGACCATCAGACGGTGGACGTTGATGAATGTCTCGTAAAAGGCGTGGCGGATGGGCGAGGGAGACTGGAGGAGAATCATGGTGAAAGCAATGGTACCGACCATGCCCCAGCCGTAAGATGCCTCCATGGTGAGGCCTTTCGAGACAGCCTCGAAACCGCCTCCGTGAACGGTATTGTGGAGCCAGCATGCGGTGTGGATGAGAGCCTCGACGATGGTGATGCGGCCGCCCCAGCGGTGGAACAGGTTGAAGTCATCGTACGAGACCTGGAGCAGCGAGATCAGGGGGTTGCTGCGGAGGGCGAACAGGATGGTGGGGATCAGGTTGAGGGCGGCCAAGGTTCCGGTACGGCCACGCAGCGCAGCAACGATGGATTCACCCGACTCTTTCCATGGAAGGGCAAGGCACCAAGCGATGTTGAGGGCTCCATAGATGACGAGCATGATGAAGTGCAAGCGACCGGGGAGGGTTCCATTATCGATGGCGGCGGAAATCTGGAATCCAGCATTGTGTTTGAGTTTGTGCAGGGGAGCCATCATGATGTGGCGGTAGATCCAGGGCCAGATAGCGGAGCGGTTCTCAGCCCAGTAGAGCTGCTTCTCGGGATGGCCCATGGCGGTCAGATGGCGCATGTGGTTCCAAAGCATATGAGTAACGCGCATAATCAGAAGGATCAAGCCGATAGCGCCGAGCATGGTGAGGAAAACATCGACCCAGAGGTAGTTGCCATCTTGGTCGACACCGGTGAGGCCGTGGGAGAAGCGGAGCGAGTCGAAGAGACCAGCATCCCAGCCGGTCAGTTCGGCAGCTCCACGAGCAATGACATTGTTGTTGGCCGCAGTCGATGGCTCCTCCCGCCTTGAAAGGGGGGAAGGGAACATGTGTATATCTATAATTGGATCGGGGAGGGTGGTTGTTGTTGTGTTTGGGCGCTGGGCGGGGACGACAGATGTGGGTTGAAGTTGTTGTCCGAGTCAGCACAGCCAGGTGCTATTATGTTTTTCTTTTGCTTCTTTGGTGGTTTGCGCAACGAGCGAGGAAAAGAAGAGAGATAATAGCGGAGCTGCGGCGGAATGCAGTTTGTTCTTGACAAAGGGCAGGGAAGAAACAATGCGGGTTGTGCGGTCACCGAGAATGCATCACAGAACAATGCGCGTAGCTGTTATTGTGAAGCAGGACAAACAAAGGACGTTGGCACAATAGGATGAATGCGAACAATCCAGGTGAAGGAGTAGTCGTTGTGAAGTTGCGAGTTGAAGGTAACGTGACCCAGCCAGGTATGCTCTGCACAAAGTGGACCAGGTGAAGTGAAGACGGATAGAAAGTATCAAACAGCCAAGCGACGGAACAGCAGTTTTTGAAGATTGCGATTGGGATGATATGCGTAGACGGGTAGCGAAAGTGGTGAAGTGGCTGAAGATGGACGGGAGAAGGGCCGGAGAAGAGAGTAAGTATATAGGGAGAGAGGGAGGGAAGCAGGCAAGCCAGGCTGGAGGGGAAAGAAAACGACAGTGGAGAACAATGCGATGGGGGTGAAGCCAAAGCAAAGCCAGAAAACGAATGGATCAACGCGCAAAGGCGAAAAGGAAACAAAGGGACCACGCGGGGGAGGGTGACGAGGGCGAGGACGTGAGAGGGAGTCGGCGTGTGTATATGAAGAAGAGCAGAACGAGTGGCTGCCGCCGGCCGAGCTAAGCGAGCCAAACGAAACGCTGAAACCGCACGCCGGCCCCGCTCAGCCAATCACCACCGCCAAGCCTGTTCCCTCGCTTAGCCCTCAGCCCACCGCATCCCATCCCCCTCACCACCACTACTACTACTACTACCCATCTGTTGTCTGTACATACAACCCGTCTGCAATACCATCAGATTATCAGCTCTTCCATCCCGTCTTTTCTTATCTCGTCTTGTCTTGTGTCTCTCGATCGTGCCATCCTTCCTCCTAAACCCCCCTGCTCCTGCGTCAGAACCCCCCCTGTCAAAACACCACTCTCGCAACCTCACCACCGCCACCACTAACGGAATCTTGCTTCCATCACGATAACTCCACCGTGGCACCATCGCCATGCCATGCCATGCTTGCATTGATCAAAAAACCCCCCACTTGAAACGCTGCCAAAATGACGTCTTCCCAATCCAGCCATCGACCCAGCCAGCGAGCCAGCAAGCTGCACTCCCACCCCAGCCGTCGATCAAGCAGACTACACATATCCAATACTTACACCAATCATCGCCCTCACACCCTGCGCCACTCCCAATACCCAATACTCTGACAATGTTCTTCGGGAAGTCCGGGCCCTTGCCTCCCCCTTGCCCCATTTCTGTTTGGTTGCCGGCCTGCCAGCTGCACCGCACGCCCCCGTTTGCATTTCAATCTCGTATCTGCGCCCCAAAATCTCCCTCCCTTCTCCAACCGGGGTCCCCCCCTAAGCGACCACTACGGACAATCCAAGAGGTCACCTACGGAGAAATCTCCGCTTTCTTCATTCAAATCCACGCCATGGGCACACATTTTCTCCATGCCCTCTGCCTCTTCTTGGGTTTATTGCCTAGACATTTGCTGGGCTTCTTGGGTCTCGGATCTATGCCGGACTTCTCGACTGATCTTACGAGCTTCTCTGCGTTGCTTCCACGCTACTCACCCGCCCCGATAAACTCCGCACATGAGGATTCGATGCGTGCGACAGCCCTCGAGCTATATCACAAACATCAAGTGAGTTTGGAAAACAAAACATCAAAAACTGCGTTTGTATCCACAATGCCGCCGAGTCTGTCAGTCTGTTAGTGTCAGACGTGTTCACTCGCCATGATGATGCAGCAACTCCGGACCGGAGAATTCTATTCCTGGGGTCATCCTCATAATGCCCTTTCGTCACAGCCTCTTTGCCTACCATTCACGATCATGCTCACCTCCCACCTTCGCATCGCATGATTCAACTATTTCACCTATCAAACTCACTCCATCGCTGATTCGAAACAATGTCATACACGTTCCGAAGCGGGGAATCCAATCCCAGGATGACCCTGTAAACACTAGGTCGGCCTCATAGTGACCTCCCAAGTGACCTACCAGATCCTCGATCATGGTATCTACCCACCTGCCTGAAAACCCCTTCTACTTCGCAACACTACATCGTGAAACACGCATCCAGCGTCTGAAGGCCTACCATTCACTTTATGCCATAGGCCCATAAGGCTGAATTGGATCTCTGTCGACTTCAAACGCAATGCAGAGCCAAAACACGTGCGCACCCACAGAAGTAGTTAGGCTTCTGCCATCTTCTCGTTTCTCACTCGCGCTGTGCATTTTTGCGCACACATCACATCACTCATCACCCGTCACGCACTGCAAATCCCGAAGATCATGGAAACTCGGTTGCGCGCCATCAGAAATCCATGTTTTCGACTCGTGTAACAAGGTTCTAGAAGCAGCACACAATATCAAAGCCTATTATGCCGATCTATCGAATCGATTGTCTTTGGGCCCACTGAGGCTGCACAAGACATTGGGAGCAGAACGAGTCATGTTGGCTCCCGCGCCCGAGAAAACGAGAAAATCAGAAGAATCAGCAATCAGAGAGAAGATTCTGGACTCTCGTCCCGGTTCGCTCGGCTTATCCCGTCTGCACCGCCACATGAAGACGAACAAAGTTATGTAGTGACTTTAGATGAGACACTAGCGTACAAAAGAGTTTACAAAACACACCAGGGGTTCCCTTTCCTGCCACGCTGTTTGCTAGCCGCTCGTGTGTACGTGGTACCTTGCATGAAAGGCACAGCGGCGCGCATAAAGAAATTGATTAATCAACCATCCTTATCCGACCTCGTTCTGGTTGGATGCAATCTATCTACTTATCCACGTTATTGTCAGGAGCAGGAACATCCAGGTACCATTCCTTATTCAATCTCGCATTCATTCTCTTTGCATCAACTAATGCTTGCGGGTCTCGGTCGACTGATGCTTTGGCGGCGCGAGCCAGGAGCCCGTCTGGCCTAGTTCAAATCTCAAACCCAACAAAACAAAATTTCCACGTTTTATCTAGCATTTTCTTTCTCTGCTATCCTAGGCATCCCGCTCTTCTAGAACGTTGGCCCCATTCCGTCGCATAGGGACAAAGCAATATCAAGTCTGACCCGCCAGACGGGTCACGGAGACGGAAAAACTGTTTCCATCTCACCATAACTTCACCCCCACTCCAACTCCACCCGCACGCGCTTGCTCCACCGCATTCAACGTTCAGCTTGGCCTTGTTATAGTTCTCTGTGCCGTTGCGACGCCGACATGGTGGAGAGTTGGTTTACGGCATGTGAAAAGAAGCACGTGGAAAACGTGGGAATGGTTCCTATGCAGCGGTTCTTTACAATCGCCTATTCGGAACGGTTTCCACTACCACCAGTCGATGATACCAAGATGAACCTCGCAGTTCTTTCCAGCGCCGGCGGCCATGAACAACAAACAAATCTGATAAGCAGCGTTGCCCTTCACCGTTTTCATCGTCGTCTACATATCACACCGCATCGCATGACCTCGTATTCTGTTCGAATATCCACACATCCCATCCCGATAATCCCGTTATCCCAAATTTGCGTTTCAAGTAGATGTTGGCTCCACTCAACCTCGCAACCAAGATATTGGAATTTTCCTTCGACCCCACTCGCTCGCTTGCCCAGGACCAAGACCAAGACCAAGACCAAGCGCCACGTTATCTATCATCTCATTCCATCTCACTGCTTACCATTTCGCTTCGGTTCGCTCTGCGGTTCCGTGGCTCGTGCGCGTCTGTCATATATGCGGCTCAATGAATGGGCTAGAAATTCTCAAACGATAGTCTGGAAGGATTCGACCCATCCAACATTGCCAATACACCTCGGCGCAAAGACTCGTGTACGCGAGCTACGTGAATGAGTCGCATGGGTTTGGCGTGAGCATGGGATATATGTAGGGGCCGAGGATATGTATGTAAGCCCCCTTCACATCTATCACATCTTCCCCACCCCTCATTCTTATCGTCTGTCCTCGGATGAAGCTGTAGTAAGGGTGGTATGGTGGAGATGAGAAGTATCACTCCATTTTATTTCACTTCACTCGATTTGACATGCTCCCCCCTCCTGTCAATAGATGTAATCTCCAGCTGCCGTTGCAAATAACAGAACGCAAGACAACATCAACGCAACCCGGACACATCCAGCCTCGGCTTGAGTACTGGCCTCACGCAGCAATTTTTTTTTGTTTTTATCCGAGATTTTGTGATTAGAAGATACCTCGGAGAAATATGCTAGCAAAAAAAACGAAACATTTAAATGCTTACACCTGCTTCAGAAAGCGATGGTTCATTGTACGGTTGTGCAAAAGTATATGTATTCATGTTTGTATATACATATGTATGTATGTACTCTTGACTATGTGAGGTTATATGTGCAATTAGCGCTGTTTATTATGATAGTTCCTCCTCAGTCTGCTCCTTGTACTTGAATGCGGCATCTATTTGTTGTAGTCATTCAAAGCCATGGCGATTGATGGGATCCGGCACAACACAGTGCAAAGAAAACACATGAAACAGCCCTGGGACTTGGACAAAAAAACATGCTCTATAATCACTGCAAAACTGATAGCTATCTGTACATGTACATGAATACATGTACACATTCTAGGTAATTACTAATTACGTAATACATCCTACAAGGCTTAATCCAATCAAGCAACATCTGACTCTACAGTCTGGACCCTAAACATTACAAAAACCGCTTCAAGTGTAGATGGACAAGGCGACGCGCCCAGCCAATGTGATCAATCAACTGTCTTGCGAGTTGGAGCTTATCGCGTACTAGCAAGGGCGGTGACATACAGTCTATACCGAAACAACAACATCGAAGACGGATTAGGAAGCTCAGTAACTCACGACTATGGCACCACCCACCACAGCCGCACTGTCTATCGTGACTCAAAAGCTAGCCATCAAGCCTGCGCACAATTGGGAGACTTGAAGAACCGAAAAAAGATTCAGCACAATCTAGCTTCTCTACAACGCTCTCCCCTAAAAAAAAAGTTCAAATCTTACACCATGATAACAGGAACGGAGAACAAGGAAGAAGAAATGACTCCAGACACCACTCCAGATAAAATCTACGACTTCATCCTCGTAGGCGCAGGCTCCTCGTCCTGTCTCCTCGCCTCCCGCCTCTCCACCAACCTCCCCACACACACCATCCTCGTGCTCGAAGCCGGCCAGCACATCCAAAACGACCCAAAAGTGCAGACCCCAGGGCTATCATCTACACTCCAGTCTGACCCAACGTACGACTGGCAGTACGTCAGCGAGCCGGAACCAGGACTCAACGGCAGGACCGTCAAGCATCCACGTGGGAAGCTGGTGGGCGGGACCAGCGCGATCAACAGCCACAGCATTGTTTTCCCCAACGAGGAATGGCAGGATCGCATCGCTACGCATCTTTTGGGGGATGGGGATGGGGTGGAGGAGTGGAGTGCTGAGGGGATGAGGGGGTGTTATGCGCGGTGGGAAAGGAGGGGTGGGGAAAGCTGTACTGAGGATGATGATGGGGTAGAGGATCGTGTCAGGACTTCTTATCCGAGGGAGCTGGATTTCCTGCAGGAGCAGTGGGGGAAGGTTTTTGAGGAGTTGGGGTGTGAGGCGACGAGATCCGGGTTTGCCGAGAGCGTTGTCGGCGCTGTGACGGTGTCGAATGCGGTTGATGCTGAAAAGGGGGAGAGGAGCCATGCTGGGACCGCGTTTCTAGAGCCCGCGTTGCAAAGGGGGAATGTGACGTTGAAGACGGGCGTTAAAGTCGATCGCATCGTCTTCGACGAGGATGTGGACACCAACGGCAAACTCCATGCCACCGGCGTGCGGTATACCCTCGACGACAAACACCACATCCTCCGAGGCCGCGAAATCATCCTCTGCGCAGGCGTCTTCGAGTCCCCCGCCATCCTAGAACGATCGGGTATAGGCTCCAAAAAGATCCTCGAAGCCGCAAACATCCCCATCTTATACGACCTCGCAGGTGTAGGCGAGAACCTGCAAGACCACCTCAACTGCAGCTTATCCCACGAAACGCTCGACTCAATCCAAACCCGCGATTCCATCCTCATCGACCCGTCCTCAAAAGCCGCAGCACTATCCCAATACCAGCAAACCCGCCGCGGCGTCCTCGCAGAAGGCCCAGCCTACAGCTTCGCCTTCACCCCCTTCCACCACCTCTCCCCTTCACCCTCCACCCCATCCCCCTCCTCCCTCCTCGCAGAAACCTCACCCGCCTTCACAAACCCCACCCTCGCCGCCCAACTCCCCGTCCTAACCCCACCCCTCACCTCCCCAACAGAAGCAACAGCAACATCCTTCCTCCTCCGCTGCCAACGCAACCGCGACCTCGACTCTCTCCCGCCCCACACGTCCCCATTCGTGCCAGGCTCCTACATCACCATCGCAGCAATGCTCGCGCACCCCTTCTCCCGCGGCTCATCACACATCTCCACCGCCTCCCCCCACCACCCTCCTACCATAAATTTCAACTACCTCTCCCACCCCCTCGACACCCACCTCCTCGCCTCCCACATCCTACAAATCGACCGCCTCTTCCGCACCCCTGCCCTCTCATCTATCCTTAAACCGGGTGGGAGGCGCTTACCGAGGAGTTGGCCGTATACGGTCGACACGCTGGATGATGCGAAGGGGATATTAGGCGTGAACGCCGCGTCGAATTACCATCCTTGTGGGACTTGTGCGATGATGAGGGAAGGGGATGGCGGGGTTGTGGATCATAGGTTGGTTGTGTATGGGACGCGGAATGTGAGGGTTTGCGATGGGAGCGTTTTGCCGGTTCTTCCTAGGGGCAATGTTTTGTGCGCTGTTTATGCTTGGGCGGAGAAGGGGGCGGAGATTTTGGTCAGGGAGGGGAGGGGTGGGAGGGGGGTGTGATTTGCTTGTTGTTTTTTTTTGGTAGATGAGGGGGGAGAAGCTGTCGGGTTTTTTTCTGTTCTTTTTTACTGATGAGTTGGAACGAATGTTGGGAAATAGAGGATTGCTAAAAGTAACAGCAGGGCGGGTTTCTTTTTTAGTAACATTAGTAGATCGTGATACATCATGTCAATAATCAGAACATCTACGTACGTTACGCACAGGAGGAAGTGTATAGCTGCAAAAGTAGTAAGATTAGCCACACTGTTTAAAAAAAAAAAACCCTGCATTTTTCAATGTCAGGGAAAACAGGGGGGTAGAAAATCCTAACCCACGTTTTAGTAAGAGCAAAGATAAGAAGTCAAGGTAGTAAGCTGTTTCTTTTTATTCATTTTTTTCCTTAGTAAGCATAGTTAAACGCAAACTGATACATCTCCATATATATTCCCTAGAAAGAAAGAAAATCGAACTGCAGACGCCGAGAAAGACACAGAAAAGAAAAACGAAAAATTCACACAACGATAAGATGATCTCGTATTCGCGACTCCATCGCTTAGAGATATACAATAGCTCATCGTTGACAAGTCAGCGCATAACCACACGGCAGCGAATCTGAAGTTGTTCCACGCAAAAGCTCGCCAGCAGTGACTCAGTCTTCAGCACGTCGACAGAAACGCCGTGTTTTCAGCCTCAAATGCCACATCAGCACACAGCATGCGTCTTCCCATGCTGAGCCTGCAAGCTGTGATCGTCGGAAAAATGTCTAGCGTGTTTGTTCGCCGTAGGGGAGACGGGGGCTTGATTCCCAAGAAGCGTGGAGCGTCTGCGCATGTGGAATTCCGCGGCATGGCTACATTGCGTGGATCGCGTTAGTCACGTGCCAAAAAAGAGATTATGATAGGTATCCGCATAAATATCGAAGAAACAGAGTGTGGCGGGAGCAGGAGATGATGAGAAGAGAGGAAGGGAGAAGGGAGAAACGTACTCTTTCTGTTCCTTCAACCGCTGAGCATCCATAGCATCCAGCGTCTGCAGCGCGAGCTTGAAATCCTGGATCAGCGCGTCACAGCGCGATTTGGTGAAGTCTTCGCGCACGACTACGCGCATGAGTTTCATTTTGTCCGAGTGCGGCGCCATGGTGTACGCGGGGACGACCCAGCCACGCTCGCGGAGTTGGTGGGCACTGCACATGAAATTAGTTTCCTGGTTCATACATGCCCATGGCAAGGGGGTGACGTACATGGCGAACTCGTCGTATTTCTTGCCCAGGTCCTCGTCGAGACTGATGGCGACGAGCGGGAGACCTTCGCCGCTCTTCTGCGATAAGATGAGGAAGCCCAGCTCCTCCAGATTCGCGGATAGGTAGTCGGCAGTGCGCGTCAGATTCAGCATCACCCTTCTGTATCCTCTCTTGCCGAGCCGAATCATCTGGTAGTACTGTCCGATGATCTGACTCGCACCCCTCGAGAAATTCAGCGTGAAAGACGCTTGGTCAGCGCCGAGGTAATTGATGTTGAAGACTAGCTCTTTGGGCAGGAATTCGGGATCGCGCCACACCACCCAGCCGACACCTGGGTATACGAGACCGTATTTGTGGCCAGATACGTTGATGGAGACGACTTTGGGGAGGCGGAAGTCCCACTCTAGACCTGGGTTGACGAAGGGGACGACGAAGCCGCCGGAGGCTGCGTCGACATGGATGGGGACGTCGAGATTTCTCTCAATAAGGATATCGTTGATTGCTTTTACGTCTTCGTATCTGGATTCGTCAGTATTGATGTATGGTTTCAAGAGACATGATGAGGAAAAGCTCTTACTCTCCAGTGTATGTCGTTCCAAGAATGGCGCAGATACCGATTGTGTTTTCGTCGACGAGATCGACGGCTTCCTTGGGATCTATCACGTAGCGATCGGCAGTGCAGTACACATATCGCTCCTCCACGTCAAAGTATCTAGCCGCCTTCTCCCAGCAGACCTGCACAGCCGAGTTCATGATGATGTTGGGGTTATCGTAGGGCTTGCCAGCCGCCTTGCGTTTGTTGGCCCAGACCTTCTTCATAGCCAGCACGCCCAGCATGATCCCCTCGGAGCTTCCGATGGTCGAGGTTCCCACGGAATGAGCATCTTCGGAGCTTGGGCAGTTGAATAGGCGGGCGATCATGGAGACGCATCGGTTTTGGATATCGGCGCTGACGGGGTACTCTTCGTAATCGATGAAGTTTTTGCTAAAGGCATCGACCATGAGTTTCTCGGCTTCGTCTTCCTATTCAAGAGTGAGTAATTGCACCATTCTAATTTCTTGTAATGAAGAAATACAGAGATGTATATCCCTCGGCGCGGAAATCTACATCTCTTGCGTTTGTTTTCCTCTTTTGAACGAATCAATAACCAAATCATACATACCATGTACGTAGTGACAAAGGAAGCAAGATTCAACGTCGGCGTGCCATCAAGCGTCAAATCATCCTTGATCATGCGATACGCCCTACAAACCCCCATCAGCACTCCACTACACCAGTTTCGGTGTGTCCACTTACACTTGCGAGGGCATCTCGCGATCCTACACCTTGCAATCAGCCTCGAAATCACAACCACGTCTCCCAGGGACGGATAAGGGGCGACTGTACTCACGGGCATTTCATGTTTGGGCAAATCTTGCGCGGCGTACTTGCTCCCGTAAACCGTGGCGGTGAAGTCGTCGCCCTCGTCATCGTCGTCGAAAGCGAGCTTCGAGAAGGATTCGACGAGGGATTTCTTGGTCTCGGAGACCTCGAGGTCGGTGGCTACACGGTTGAGGTGGACCATGGCGGATAGCGAGGTGTAGTTGCGTGGTTCCACGTATACAGTGCTCAATTGAAGGGTGTGGGGGTGTTGAACAAAGTCTGTGGAAAGGGAGAAGAACCCAGTGAGAAATTATAAATGATGTAGAATTCACAGAGGCAAGTCTACGAACGAAGAGAAGAGTAAAGGGAGAGATGGTAAGACAGATAAGGTGGGGGGGGAGGGAAGACGGGAGATAGATAAATGGAAGGAAGGGTGATGCCCCGCGTACCGTACAAACACACCAGGGCCAACGACACGCACATACATACATACACACATACACAGCATCCCATCCGTCTCTTACCTAGCTACCTATATGTGCCTAATTCATATGCGTGCGATGACGACGCGGGGCGGCGCACATCTGCAGCTACCCAGCTACCCAGCCAGCCAGCCAACGCATCTTCCACGCCATGCATCAATCATGTCCAGCTCCCCGCCATGTGTAAGCCAATTGCATATCCAACACGGCCCGCTTAGGAAACACGAACAGACAGAGAGGAGGGGGGAGGGGGAATAAATGCCTCGTTTGCCTCGCGGGATAGCTCCAGATGCGGGAATTTCTCTACCCGTGCCCCCCCCTGCACGTCAGATAGCTTCTCGTCATCCCGCAGAGGGGAAGTGTGAAGTGTGAGATATCCTGCCCTGCCCTGCCCTACCCCTCGCTCTTATTGCTCTGCTTTCTTGTTTCCTTGATCCGTATCCAATCGATTCCAATTGGAGACTCGGCGGTGTTGAGGGCGGATACGTGATTCGATCGACAGCGCAGGGCTCGGACAAGCTCTTTTCTGCGAAGCTGCTAAAAAGCTTGTTTTCCCGTGGGGCACATGGAGTGGCTTGCGCTGCGTACACCGCTTTTTGGGGGCTATCGATTCTGGATGAAGGATATGGTCATGATCAAGGTGAGTGGAGGGTGGAGTGATGGAGATGGAATGAGGGGCTGCGCGTGTGTATGATGATGTCATTGGTCGTCTGTAGCGAGGGGTTTGCCGTGGGCTGACATGTTGATGTGCCGGGTGGTGCTATTCTGGTGGCGAAGAGGTGTGAACTGTGAAGGAACTCGGTTTAAAGGTGTTGGATGGACATGATGTGAATTTCCATCATTCCATGCGAATTTCAGGTCAGACAGTGTGTATGGTCGTGGCTCGTGGCGTCCGTCGGATGATCGCCGAGTATGGCTTAGTAGTGCAGTCAGTTCTCTCCATGGCATATAGACATAGAGGACTCCTGTGTTTAATCAGCCAATCTTTCTTGAAGTCTGAGCTACGTCGTCATGCAGCTTCATTGGGTTCCAAAGAAGATGAAAAAACAAGGGTAAAGATGTATGTATACACGAATACCCTCTTTTCTGCAACGAGCCTTTGCAATCATCAGCAAAGAGCACTGCGCAGCTAAAACTAAGCTGATATTAGAAAACAAGCAAACAAATCAACAAAAAATAAAAATGAACCATAGCCCGAAACCCAAACCTTCAAACATCACAAACATCTTATTGCTATTCCAGTCAGAGTAGGGGACTCGATGCCGCAACAACAAGCCACGGAGATGCCTAACGAACGCGAGACCCCTTCGACCGACCAGCCACACTGCATATCAATCTTCCCCAACATCTTCTTAAATCGTATTACACAGATTCATTTGATCAACAGAACCGCGAGCATCATGAATATCCACGCATTAAAAAAAAACGCAGTAAAAAAATCCATCATCCCATTCTCCCCATCCAACAACCCCTCACATCCACCCTCCTCCCTCCCTCCCCAAATTTCTTTTCCCTAAGCTTCACAACCCCCCATCTCAGGACAATTACAAAACCCGGGACTAGCCATATAACACCTATATCAAATCTCATCCATATCAGCAATCTCCCCTCTCTCTCCAACTTTCCGAAACAATAAACTCGCCTCCCTGCGGAATAGTTTATACAACTTACAATTTGTTGCAATTAACGCCTAGAGGCGCTGGAACGCACATTTCGATGCAGTCCTTTGCTCGTCTGTCGCAGCATTCTGGCGTGCAGAGTTCGTTTGATGGGGGTGGGTCTTTGAGGGTAGTAGGAGCGAGGGTTGGGAGGGCGGTTATGATGGGGGAGGAGAGGATGATGAGGGGGAGGAGGGGGGTGGGTTTCATTTTGGTGGGGTTTTTTTTTGTTGGTTGGAGGGGAGGAAGATAATCAGCTTTTTGAAAGCAAGTTGTAAATTTTTTTTTTATTTATTTGGAGAGGGGGTGAAGATGTGAGGGTGGGAGAGGAGGATGCGTGGATATGGTGGGTAGGGCGGTTAGTATTTTATATATGAGGATTCATGGGGGGACTTGAACAGTTGTTATTATCTTCATTGTGATGATAGTTGACTAGAGATAATTTATTAAGCGGTATGTAGTAGCACAACTCGTTCATGTAGCAATCACTCCCGTCCCATCCATCTACTTGATCGCGTCCGAACAATGAAATCTCCCCACGCCTAGTCTTGCAACGTTATATCGTGATTGGATCCCGCCTGGTCACCGGAAAGAGCGTCTTGCCGTCCTACACAAGATACTCTGCCGATTCACATCTATATAAGGAACAAGACGGGTCACACCGTGCAACATGATTGATGTCCTGGGCCCGCTGACATGGATAGCAGTTGTGCAGCGGATCTTGTTGTGCCATAGCTATCTACATCTGACTGTTTTCCTTTTGAACCCGGTGGTATATATTGGATAGTAAGCGGACGCGCCCGCCATCGATCAACTTCATTATCACGGTGGCTAAACGGTACTTGTGACTATTGATAAAGGGTGGAAGTGAGATTCTAGACGATTTCATTGGTGTGTGGACTTGAGCATGTCGAATTCTGTGATCTTGATCTAAGAAAGTTAGGACCTTCGCCCAAAAGACAATACAGCATGCTGGGAGCTATGCAAACAGTCAACCAAAATTCATGTGTAGCGAGCACCTTCTCAATCCCTACCACTATTATCCAAAGCGTTCTCCCTTCAAAAAAGAAAAAAAAAACGTCTATTCTACCTCCTAACCACTCTAAGCCTCACCAACCGGCACCCCCATCCCATGCATCCCACGATACCCACTGACCTCGGGCCCTTCCCACCCCTCAAGCACATCATCCCTCACGACCTCAAAAACCTCGACCCGGATCGGCCGACACGTAGCCTTCATGTCCGGCTTCTCGCCACTTTCATCAGCCTGGTGCCACCCCCATGCGCTCAAATCGCCGCCAGGGCACGTACTCAGCGCACAGAGCAGATCCTGCTCGGCGAAGAAGGTGAGGTGCGAGGAGCGGGTCGCGGGCGAGGCTTCCATGAAGTAGCGGCCTTGGCTGTCGTGGCCGGTGACTTGGAATACGTTGAGGACGTCGTGGACGTCGTATTCGGTTAATGAGTGTGGGAGGATGGCGCGGACGAGGTTTGAGCTGTTGGGGTGTTATTGATTGTTTGTTTGTGTGGATGGAGCGGGCAGGGAGCACGGGGCTTACTGGCAGTGGTAGTCGTAGGATGCGCCGGAGAGCATGTGCGATACTGTGACGACGAGCCATTCCGATTAGTCTCTTGCTTTCTTGGTTCGGTTTATTCGGCTTTGGGGTTTTGGGGCGTTGGTTTCCGCTCACGTGAGGGGATCTCTCACCATATGGATCACATCGCGTGCCTAGTAGATCATGGCATCTTCCTCCCCATTTGGTGATTCCGCCCCTTTCGTCGCGGGTTTCTTGACGCCCCGCATCCCGGATCTCGCAATTGTCGTCCACGATGCCGCAGAGTGGTCGCATGAACGGGAGGTTGGACCAGAGTCTGTCGCCTTCCTGCATATGGCTGCTCTGCAGTTGGCGCGTTCGGGCGGCCCAGAATCGTTCACGCGGATTGTTTTGGTTCCATATATTTAGATCACCGACCTTTCCGGGGAGAGGAGAGATGAGATTAGTGTGACGATTCTAGTCATATATGTGTGCCCGACGGATGGTGACTAAATTGGCAAAGACCGAATGCTCACATTGAGACGATGCAAATATCCGTCATGGTTATAGCGAAGTGAAGAAATCGTCATACCTGCGGTCCTTCGGGCGTACTCAATCTGAACAAGCATCCTTTGCCCACTTTCCACGCCTTGCCACTCCTGGGCGGGATAACGAAATCTTGTTTTTTAACCAATTCTCCCTCCTCTTCACTCAGCCCTTTCAATTTGGCATACAGCTCTTTCGGGGGATGCAGCGGTGACTCCGCCGAGGTGGGGAAGTAGGCGGGAGCTGGCGGGGTGTTGTCTTGGGAGTTTGACGCCATCCTTGTTCAATGGATTCAAAAAGTAGCACAAGCGGGACGATCCGAATGCGCGAAACGGGGCACAAATCTCTGTGGTTGTTCTTGTGTGAGGTGGGCGCAGTGATGGACTTATAGCATCGTGATCTTTCAGGCACACCATCCTATTTGACGTGGAACGTGGGGTGAAGAGGATATGAGTGGGGAATGGTGGTCATTGTGCTAACTCGTTCGAGACTGGATGGAATGGGTAGCTTGAGCTTACCACTACTACCAAGCGAAATCTCCTCGGAGACTACAGAATTGTGGACTCACAGATAACGAGGTGAAGCTATGAGAACGAGATAAGAAGGACAAATCAACACCGCGCGCCGTATCACATTGGTGTGAATGAACTCATGTTTTCATTGTCTACTCTCGGTGCCAATTCAGCATCGTCTCCAGATGAAGCCCATGGCAGAAAAGCATAACAAGCCCAAGAAGAAATCACCATGTTCTATAGGAAAAGGTACATCGATCCTCCTCCTCCTCCTCTCGACACATCATGCAAATCAAGACGGGGTGCCTCCAACCTCGTTCGAGCAATCGGTGTGCTGGGGCATGGCCCTACCACACAACCAAACATTAGCATAAACCCCAAAGCATCAACGGAAGATGATTAAAGAAAGGACGGAAGACAATACCTGTATTCCCAGCCCCGGAGCGACGTGTGGCCGCCATGCTCGCATCCTGTAACCTCCCGTGTGAGCATCGTGCTGCATTCCGCGGGCGACACGCGCCCATAAGGATCGTCGCCGTTATACGTGACTTGGAAAATAGCCCAGGTCATTCTTTCGAGCTTGGTTTTGCCGGCGATGGGCTCGCATGCGAACTTGATGTCGCCTTTGTCGAAGCCGCCGCCGAGCCTGTACATGCACAGTCGGGCGACAAGCTCTTCAAGGTACTCAACATTGAGAGGCCTGATTGCGAGGATTTCTGTTAGTTGAGACCATTGGATTGAAAGCCGGAGTATATGGAGACAGTGAAGAGCATACCAGCTAGCGGCTGAGTCGTCGGTTTTACAATCTGCCCGCACACCAGAAAAGGCAGCAGCAATGAGGGCGATGCCGGCAAGCTTCATGGCTGTTAGAGCAGTGGAATTGATGGGGTGGGAATGAGAGCAGAAGATGGCTTCAGAGCGAAGTGGAGAGTTGGTGCTGGTAACGAGTTAAAGACATAGTTTTATTCACCACTAGATTTCCAGCGGGTCATCGACACCGCTGGTGGGATGGTTGATGGTTGATGTTGAAGACCATACAACAGGTACTATGATGACGATTACATGGCACTTGATCGGCTGCCAGGAGTAACTGGGATCTCGATTGACCTCTGTATATGCGAGAAGCTGCAGTGATCTATGAGTATATTGGCTAGTAATGGGATGTTGAATCATCTATGATGGCGTGGTATATCGAATGGAATCCGCGTTTCTTTCGTGCCGTCATATAGTGTTCCGGGGTAAGCCTAGAGCACATGGTAGTCATATGCATCCAATGACATTACACTTCCCAACCAGCTTTATGCTCCACTTCATCCAATGACAGTACATTTCTCAATCAGCTTTGTATTACTTTTCATCCAATGAAAGCACAATCCCAACTAGTTTTGTATTCCTTCCCATGCAATGACTATCCACATTCAACATTGCTTAAACAAGGCTTTCGGAACGCACTATCTTCCGCTTTTAGACACCAATGCGCAATCAACCGCGCTTGTTCATTCCAGCAGGGATATTTTGCATCATAGCGGTCTAAGTGGTTCAACATTCCAGTATCGAAGTTACCATGACATATCTTTACACTCGCTACACCCATCAAACATGACTGAATGAATTCAATAATCGGAGACATCCCTACCCTCACTGAATGAAAACAGCAATGTTTTGTCAAGATTGCGCCACATAAAGAGTTCAAAATGAATTATGAGAGTACCCTAGTAAAGAATATGAATATCTTCCTGCGGAAGCTTGAGCGTTATCAACCACTCAAGATCAATGCATTATGAATCCGCTGGGAACACCTCGTCTCGTGAGGAATCATCACAGAACGTATCGCTAATCCAGAGAGTTATTACCATTACAAAAGATGGAGAAGAAGGGAGAGAAAAAAGTTTTTCTTCTACATATTTAAACCATACCTCCCAGATCTCCCTCCTATCTCCCCCTCCCCCCACACACACAGTTCCACACACACAACAAACTCCAAACTCACTCACCCACAACTCACCTTTCCAAACCCACCATTTCCAACCTTAACCCCCCTCACAAACCCCCCCAAATAAAAACTCTTACAATGCACCTCACCCCCATCTTCCCCATCTTCCCCCTCTTCCTCCTCCCCACCACCTCAGCAAAATGCATAACAAAAGGCTGCCCAGCAGGCCCCAACATGATGACGTCGCGAATCCCGCAATGGCCAGCAGACCGGCAAGAAGCCAAAGATCTGGCCGCGCACTACTGCAGCACGGTGTTTTCGAACCAGGAGCCGTACACGCCGTTTGAGAAGCGGTGGGCGGCGGGGAAGCTGGAGAGGGACGAGAAGAGGTGGGGGAGCTTTGGGGTGTTTTGGGAACCGCTGAGAGAAGGGCAGGGGGATGTTGGGAGGGGGAAGAAAGAGGAGGAAAGTGGGAAGGGGAAGGATAACAAAGACAAGAAGAACGACGACAAAAAGAACAAGAGCGATGGGAAGGGGAAGGATGGGAAGAAGGAGGATGACGACGACAAAAAGAAGAAACATGACGACGATAAGAAGAAGCACAACTCCACCACAACAACCTCGCGCTCAAAATCCCACAAAGACGACGACGACGAGCCAGACGCGCGCTTCGGCCACTTGAACGAAATCGACTGCGTGCGAGGGCTGTGGCGCGAAATCGAAGGCTGTGCGTGTGGAGGCGGACGGGATGGGGATGGTGGGTTTCATTTCCAGTGAGTTTTTCCCTTCTTCTTTTCCTCCTTCTTTTCCTCTTTTCTCCTTTCTTGTTTATTTCTAATGGATTTTTTCTTTTTTCTCTTTTTTTTTTCGTCTGCTTGTTGTTGTTTTCGGTGGAGGAGAAGTGGAAGAAGAGAGAGAAACGGGAAAGCTGATACAAGAGTTGAAAAATGTGTGTAGGTCTATTCCTTTGGCGTATAAATGAATGGAGAGAGAGAAGGGGAGAGGGAAGTTTCTTCAAGGGAGGTTTTTCTTGAAGAGGAGGGGATTATTTGGACTAGGAATGTTGATTTCTTTTTTTAGGGGGGGGGGGGGGGGGGGGGGGGGTTTCTGTGTAGGAGAAGAAGAAGAAGAAGAAGATGGAAATAGGGATGCTGAAGGACTCGCGGTAGGCTGGGGATATGTCTCTTTTCAAGTTCAATGAGATGAGGTTGTTATTTTTGATAGCTTGAGGGATGTCAGATGGGTAATCGGAGGAGGATGGATCTGCGGATAGATGAAAAAGTGAATTGATGTTAGATTTCTTTGTTGGGACATTCGTTGGTTCGTCAACTATCTTTTTAGCTGAAGTTTCTATATTTTTTTTTTTGTTGATACGAACCAAGTCATCCAAATCATGTCCTCGACACCTCCAGAGTGATGGTCCAAGACATACGAAACGACCTCGGCCTTTCACCGCCGTTATCGATAACTAAGGCACACTACACCACATCCGGCTTAGCTCGGGGTATTGACGGCAGCCTACCTATGCGATGCGATCCTATCACTATGAGGCAATCCTCCGACACCTCCACCTCTCCGACATCCAGCTGTCAGCCATGTCGACGAGCTCCAGCGCGACGGGCGTCGACACAGGCGCCGAAAACACGCCGCCCCAACTCTCCGCCCTCTTCCTAATCCGCTTCGACAAAAAAGTTGGGTACACAATCGCCTGGAAACGGTCCTCGGTCCATGTCCCCCTCGACGGCGCTGTCGAGTTTAAATCGCTACCGTCGGGGCTTCATACGGTCAAGAACGATCTCGTGTATTTTGTGCATCAGGGGTACGCGGGACTGAGTGCGTATGCAAAGGGCGCTGCCAGCGCCGAGGAGCGCAATGCTGAGTTTGTGAGCGTCGGGATACTGGTCAGCCGCGCATATGGAAGGTTAGGTAGGAGTTGGCTGCTGGCAGCACGGTTGCGCAGTATCGCGGCGACGCTGGCTGGTGATCCTAGTGCTACGGCGCCGCTGGAGGAGTTTTGGGAAGAGCAGTCGGCGCATCAGGCCAGCGGCAGTGCACAGGGGAAGACGGACAAAGCGCAGCAGCAGCAACAACAACAACAACAACATAAGACGCACAGTAGAGCGCGGGCGCTCAGCACAATCACAGATGTCACGCCGAGTGACACGTCGCTGCCTCCGTTCCACCCCGCGCTGTCTATGCTCCAGTACGTCGAGATGTTTGGTCCGCTTGTGTTCCGGCTGCAGCAGGCTGCGCTGTTGAGGAAGAGGATTTTGTTTGTGGGCAGCCCGCCGGTCCGGAACAGCTGCGAATTCGGTATGACGTTTGTTGCAGTAAGGGAGGGAAGAGGGAAGCTAATTGATTGCGTACAGTATACGACCTTTCCGTTTTGTCCAGCATCCCGCCGCACGCAACCGAATTCCTCTCGCCAGGCACCGATAGCCTGCTTCGTCTACCTGCCCTCTTCTCCATTGGTGTCAACGACATAACCGAGCTAGAACAGATGAACTCAGCCAAAGCCGGTGACATATCATCGGAAGCGAGCGATGTGCCGGTACAGGGGTGGGTAGCGAACACAACGGACGAGATCATCACCATGAAGAAGCAGCTGTACGACATTGTGGTGGAGATGCCACCTACTTACGATGCGCCGCCTGAACAGCGACAGTGGCCGACGATGAAGACATCGGACGGAGCGCCCATCAAGGCGAGCCAGAGAGACATGGCGCGATTCAAGATGCTCTGGCGCGAGCTGCGGAGACACGAGCAGGAAGTGGCGAGTGCGAGGGGAGAAGGCGAAGACTACGAAAATGACGACGACGACGACGGAAACAACGATGACAATGACGATCAAGCAGCGTTATTGCCAAGGCACAAGACGAGCGCAGGCGATGGCGTAGACAGCAGCATTGGGGAGCAAACGGTGGAGCCAATTACGTGGTCACAGCTCGCATACAACGGGTTCATGTGGTGGGCTTCAGCCGGGGAGCAACACGCATATACGAGCGGAGAGCGCGACAGGGACCTGGACCTGCTGGGGGATCTGTCCGACTATGGGGAGGGGCTGCCCACGGCCATTATAGCCTATTTCCACCGGTCGACGACGCAGCTCATCAACGGCGTCAACAGCGTGATTGAAGGGGCCGACGACGACGACAATGGCAATGAAGACGAGGAGGTGGTTGTGGTGGATAAGGAGGACCTCAGCCGGATGGGGCTAGACACGTGGAGCGAGGCGGATAGGGCGTTCCTGAGCGAGTTTGTGTGGATGTGGTTTGGGCGGATCATCGAGGTCCGGGGTACGAGCATAGATTGCTGTGGCGTGAGGATTCCGGTTCCGTGAAGAAGAAGAAGAAGAGCAATCGAGCCCTGTACGTTGGTTTTTGCTCGTTCGTGTTTGTTAGCCCATACGATGGATGGATGCACCACTGACGTAATGGCATGCTGAAGGTTTGTCTGGATGCTTGCCCCATCGGCTCTAATACGAGAAGACACAGATGCAGCAGAGGTCGATACCTAATGATTCACAGTGTTGGCGTCGTGGTGCTCCGTTCCGATGTCGGTCTAGAGGGAGGAGGGGGGGAGGAGAAGGAATGCATCCCAAGTTGCCCCGCAGTCGACGTTTGGCCGCAAAAAGTGCGGGGCACGTGCAGCTCCACGACCTTTTTTTTCCTGCCCACACCCACCCCTGGACTTCCGGCGTCATAACCAGGTCAACCCGTTGCTTTCCTTCGTTGGCCACGGCATCAATTCCACTATTTATTTGGCCCCAGCCCGTTTCTCTTCCCCTCGAGGCCCCCCGCAGACTGACTGCCTGTGAATCATCATATTTTCTTTCCGATTCAAGTGCTTCGGCAGTGACTCCGTTTGTTTTTTCTTCTTTTTCCCCTTCACTGCTTGAAAAGAGTCATTGATTGACAGACGGACGGACTGACTCAATCTCCTTGGATACTTCATATTTCACGGCAGCCAATCTCGTGCTTTACAATCTATTTGGGACCTTTCTTCTCAACCGCTACTCTTCTCGTTTGAGTCATCCATTCGTACTTTGAGTCGACTACTACTCTTTCTCCTCCCCCTTCCTCTACGCCTCCAATTCGCCCAATCCGCCCATCATGCCCATGCTCAAAGACCCTTCGGTCAAATACAAGAAATTCACCCCTCTGAAACTCGACGACCGCCAATGGCCCTCCAAAACCATCGACAAGCCGCCGCGCTGGCTGTCGACTGATCTGCGCGACGGCAACCAGTCCCTCGTCGACCCCATGGACAGCAACCAGAAATGGGAGTACTTTCTCAAGCTCGTCCAGCTCGGATACAAGGAAATCGAGGTCTCCTTCCCGTCAGCCTCACAAACCGACTTTGACTTCACCCGTCGTCTGGTCGAAACCTCTGGCGTAGTCCCCGACGACGTTTGGCTGCAAGTCCTGTCACCCTGCCGCAAAGAGCTCATCCGCCGCACCGTCGACTCCCTCAAGGGCGCCAAAAAAGCTATCCTACACCTCTACCTCGCCACCAGCCCGTGCTTCCAGCAGATTGTCTTCAACATGAACAATGCAGAGACAAAGGCCCTGGCTGTCGAGTGCACGCGCTACGCCCGCTCCATCACCAAAGACGACCCAGAGCAGGCCGCCACCGAATGGGCCTACGAGTTCTCTCCCGAGACCTTCTCCGACTCGAGTCCCGAATTCGCCGTCGAGGTCTGCGAGGCCGTCAAGGCAGCCTGGGAACCCACCGTCGACAACCCAATCATCTTCAACCTCCCCGCGACGGTCGAAATGAGCACACCCAACGTATACGCCGACCAAATCGAATACTTCTGCCGCAACATCTCGGAACGCGAGAAAATCGCCGTCTCCCTCCACCCGCACAACGACCGCGGCTGCGCCGTGGCCGCTGCCGAACTCGCTCAAATGGCAGGCGCAGACCGCGTCGAAGGCACCCTCTTTGGCAACGGCGAACGCACCGGCAACGTCGACCTCGTCACTCTAGCCCTGAACCTCTACACCCAAGGTATCCACCCGCAAATCGACTTCTCGGACCTCAAATCCGTCATCGACCTCGTCGAGTCGTGCAACAAAATCCCCGTCCACCCGCGCGCCCCCTACGGCGGGCAGCTCGTCGTCTGCGCTTTCTCCGGCTCCCACCAAGACGCCATCAAGAAGGGCTTCCAGACCCGCAAGCGCCTGGGCTATACCTCGGAATCCCCATGGCAAGTACCATACCTCCCCCTCGACCCCCAAGATATCGGCCGTACCTACGAAGCCATTATCCGCGTGAACTCGCAGAGCGGAAAGGGCGGCGTAGCATGGATCATCCAACGGCAGCTGGACCTCGACCTCCCGCGCGGGCTCCAAGTCGCCTTCTCGCGCATTGTGCAGCGCGAAACCGACATGCTCGGCCGCGAGCTGCTCCCGACTGAAATCACCAAACTCTTCGAAGAAGCATACCACCTCAAGCGCAACCCGCGCTTCTCCCTCATCGACTACGACATCACCGCCGACCGCTCCAAGTCCCCCGCGCCCCCGGAACCGGGCAAAACCGCGTCGAACCGCTACCTCAAGCGTCTGTTCAAGGGCGTCATCGAGATCGACGGCATCGAGCACGAAATCGCGGGGACGGGCAACGGTGCCATTTCCGCGCTCGCAGATGCGCTCAAGAGGCTCGGCATCGATCTCGATGTCGCGGATTACAAGGAACACGCCATGGGTGGCTCCGCAAACGTCCGCGCTGCCACGTACATAGAATGTACGGCTGCCGGGTCGAACCAGCGGGTCTGGGGCGTTGGGATCCACGAGGATGTTGTACAGGCTTCTCTCATCGCGCTGCTGAGCGCCGCGAGCTCGGTATGTGACATTTCGGGGTGGAAGATGTAGTTTCTTTTGTTTCTCTTCTTGTTGGTCTTTACACTTGTATTTCTCTTCATCTTGTCCTTTGTTTCTCGTCTTGTGTGTGTGGCCGTGTGTGCGATGGTGACTCTTCTTCTCCCCTCCCCCATCCTCTCTCCTCTTCCTACCCTAACCCATCCTCATCTCCATCTTCCATCCATTCATCCATCTAAACCATGCCCATCATCACCCCCACCTAATCCTACCTCATTTAACCCACCCATCTTATCCATCCCATCCATTTATCTAAAACAAACAAAAATCCTTCTAGTTCCTATCATCCCGCCCCTCAACACCCATCCCGTTCCGTCCAAAACGCAGCAACACGCTCGACGTCCCCTCGCTCGAATCAAGCCCGACCTCTGCGACGAACCCCGCGCAACCGCACGCGAATGGCGATAACAAAAACGCTGCTGGGCACGGCGACCAGAAAAAAAAAAGTCTTGTTGAACGTCTTGAGGAGAGTCTGGGTGTGAATGGTGGTGCTGGTGGGAACTAAGAAGATGGGGGGTAGGGAAAGGTAAGGGGGTTGGATGGATGGAAGATTGGGGGGAAGGGGAGGGGAAAAGAAAGAGCAGAGGAATGGATTATTGGTGGATGTTTGTGATGGGAGGGGTAGATGGTGGTATGGTTTTGGAGGAGGTAAAGATTACTCGATTAAGAAAGAAAGAATCAGAGATGAGATGAGATGACAAAAGGAAGGAAGGATATAGCAAAAGATTATTCGAAGTAAAAAGTTCAGTAAAGGGGACTTGGGAAGTTAGAGTAGTTAATGTGTGCCTTTTATTAACTTTTTTTTTTCTTTTTATCTTGTAAAAATTTCATCTCATTATTATCTAAGAAGAAAAACAACAATATTAAAAGCGCTTTCTGTGCAATCTAGACAAAAGATGTAGCTAGCAGGCAGGCAGGCAGACAGACAAGGGGGGAAAGATGTTTTATCTCTCTCCAAGTTATTATTATTCTAAATTATAAGAATAATGAAAATGATAATGTTAAAATAATAAGGAGAGGGGGGCGGGGGCGGAGTTTCTGTTTTCTTATTAACAAACTTAAAATTAGACAGACAATTGCATAGCATATTTCTTCTAGTTATTATCTTTTTTTTCTTTTTTCTCCTTCTTCTGTTTGAACTACACGTACATACAGACATAGGTAGGGGGGAATATATCCCCCTGTAATCTTGAAAAACCCTAAACGTATATATATATAATGATCTACACACACATACACACGCCAGTTGTTATCATGCGGAACTATAAAAGAAAGAAGACTTAAAGAGACAGCCGAATAATGCAAATGATTGATTGATGCAAGGCACACGCCTCGAAAAAGAAAAAAAAAAACACCTATCCAATGAATACCAACCAACCAACCCATTCGTCAAACAACCCGAACGGCAGTAAAATACGTAAGTACCGGATATACACACGACCCCCCCAGCTACTCCCTTATGCGAACCCGAGGACCGAGGAAGAGGGTTTTAAAAAAAAAAATAAGAACCCGCTTGCAAGATACCGACAATCCCAAAAGACGAAAAGGACAGAAGCGCAGTTCACACTCACAACCGTCCGACGCCCTGCGGCCCATCCCCACCCGCGAAATTCATGCTCATCAGCGCATCCTGTCTCCACTCAGCGTCGCCCTCACTCTCGCTATCGCCGCTAGCCGACGCATTCGCGACTCTCAGTCCTCCTCCGCCGCCGCCTCCACCGGCTCCCCCTCTTAATCCATGACCACTAGCGTCACCATCATCTGATTCGTAAGAGAAGCGGTGTTCGCTGGGGATTGGCTTGGCGGAAGGGTCGTGTTGACGAGGCTGTGGTTCTGCGGCTGAAGGATTCGCGAGACCGAAGTCGAAAGTACCGGCACGGGGATCGTTTTGCGGGGAAGTGGATTGCTGTTGTTGCTGTCCCATGTACGGCTTATTCGCGTATTGGGGTTCAGGGGGACGGTCACCGCCAGGAGGGCCGGGGCGCAGGATGTTGGGGAGGGGAGAAGTAGATAGGCCTGTGGCGCCGTACTGTTGATGGTGGGGGTATTCAGACGACGAAGAAGTAGGTTGAATGGCTGATGTAACGGGGCTCTCGTAGAACACGCCTGTAGCATCCAACGGCGAGTAGTCTGTGCTGTTATTGTACTTGTGGTGGCTTGCGGGGTCTGCGGCACCGGAGAAGTCTTTTCGCGCATCAGTTGGCGTGTCTTCGCCGGAGCGGATGCTGCCATTGCCCAGCTCGGGGATAGAAGGAGGGTAGGATTGCGCGGGGAGTTCGGAGATGGGCGGGCCAAAATTCTGGGGGTGTTGCATGTTTTGGCCGGTTTGGATCTGGAGGTTATTCATCGCAGCGGCGACCCCAAGGCTTGAAGCACGCATGCTACCGCCCTTGATACTACCGGGGCCGCTCGTGCTGGCTCTCAACGTACTGCTTGGGCCACCCATACTCATGCTCATGCTCATACGTCCTTGCGGCTCATCGGCGTTTTGGCCGTCCTGGCCAGGGAACCCAAAGCCGTGAATATCACGGATGCTGTACTGCGCGATTGTGCGCATCTTGCGCGTCACCCAACCTGCCAGTATCTTGCCCCGCTGTTTTTCACCCAGACGCGATCGGTGGAAATCACCACGAATCACGAACGCCACAATGTCGATGACGAGCTGGTGCTCATTGAGTACTGCGTTGACGATGACCGGGACCATGGAAGCGAGGAAGTTTCTCCGATGGATTTCGACGACTACAACCACCAGGCCACCAGCTTGGAAAACAGCACTGCACACTAGTTAGCAAATCTTATCACGCAACTCCCGACTCAAGGGTAACACATACCATCCACCAGGAACAATATTCCGATGGCATTTTTCCACGCTCTGCTCGATATCCATGGAGAAGTGGTTGAGTCCATTGACCTCAAACGTGTCTCCAATGCTACCTAGCACGAACAGAACCTGCATATCCACAGGCGCGCCCCCTGGCCCTATAGGTCTAGTGACGTTGTGGAGGAAACCTAGGTCGCCAGTCCTCATGTAGCGTACATTGGGGTCTCCATCACTGGTCCTGCCATTGAATCTCTCTGCATCGAGTATTTCTTTGCTGCCGTAGAAGCTGTGTGCATTGGCTTCGGACTGAACCCAGATCTCGCCATATTCACCAACAAGGCACAAGTGATTGGTTTCCGGGTTGACAATGGAGATTTGTGTGCTCACGGGAACCATGCCGGAGTCTTGAACGAGAAGCGAATTGGGCTCCGTGTCGGGGTCGACTGGCATGATGAGACCACGCCTCAGAGCAACATAGTCGAGGTGCAGCTCTATAGGCTCGATGCACATGTAGGAGCGTGATGCCACCATGGGATTAAGAACATGAGAGTAGACCGTGTTGATGGCGGTCCTGTCTAGATTGGCTGGCGCAAAGTGCACTCGCACACGTGAGTAAACGTCCGCACGTGGCCGGCCATCCGTCGCTATCATCAAGTTTTTGAGCTCATGAATCGCCATGGCCTTGCCTGCGCCCCTTGACATGGCATGGTCAAGCATTTGGCTGGTCGCGTATGCGTCCTTGATCTTGTATCGTGAAAGCGTTTGGAAGAGGAGGTTAGGGTTCTGTGCGAAATCCACGGGTGACACGAGATATGTGGGTGTTGCCAGGAAAATGCCCATGAGACATGTGTGGATGAAGCCCAAGGCTATCGTGCTCCGCACACATCCTAGAACGGGCCGTGTACTCGTCATCTGGCACGTTTCCTTCTGAACCTTGCACAAAGCCATGATAGTGTCATGACCTAGCTGGACGGCAACACGTCTTTGGTCTGGCGTCCAAAACGTCCAGACGAGCACTGGGTAGCCAGCCTGCACCCAAGCTGGCCGAATGGTCAGACCAAGCTCACGACAACCGTGCGACTGCTTAGGAGGTTTAGTTGTGTTGTAGACGTGTGGCATGTTAACTTTGAGAATGACAGCCGACTGCTTCAGATGCTGTGATACTTGTTTAATCTTGAGCAAATGATCCACTTCGGTATTCACGATGATGGCTTTGACTCTCAGATCGGAAATGATGTGTAGTAGTGCTGGCGCGTCTTCATTCAGACGTAGTTGATCGATGGGAGCCATGGGAATCGCAACAACACCCAGCACAAAACAAGCATGGATGGCGAAGACGAATTCTTCCGAATGCGTGTACATGAGGAGAATTTTGTCGCCGGGTTGTACCTTGACCTTGTTCTTGAGATACATGGCAACCGCAGCCACCTTGTGATCGAATTTCTTCCACGTAACCCCTTTGCCTTCTCTTCCGCGGCCATCGATGGTGCAGTAAGAAAGCTCTTCGGACTGCCGCGACACTCGCCACTGCATCAGATCGTGAATGTTGGAAAACTGGTTGAGTGGGGTTGAAGTGCGATCGTCAATCACAACCTCTCGGTGGTCCACGCCCGAGTATTGTTTATCGGACAAGAGCAAGAAGTTCTGTCGCGCCGCGGAGGCCATGGGTGACCAAATGCCACCAGCGACGTCGTCTCCCAAGGCAATATTCTGCACTGCCCTCTCAATGCCGAATTTGATGTGAACGCAGGGAAGCGACCCGTTGTCGAATTCTTTGCGGCAAAGCATGTTTCCAATCTCCCGTCTACCGTTTTTGATGACGCGCGGAAGAGTGTTGGGTGCTGTAATCATTACACAGTACACGCGAAGGTGATGTTCGTTGTATAGCACCTCCATACATCGATCCGAAAGGGAATCAAGGAAAGGGATATCGAGTTGTCGCGGGGGTCCGCCGGGGTTGGTTGGTGCTGTAGAAGCTGCCTGCGTTTCGATTAATATTATCGGCAAATATTCCCCGTTAACGTGCGCGTCAAATGCTGAGCTGCTCCCTGTTAGCTGATGTGCAGTGGGAATGGGCAGATTCCATACCAATCGTAAATTTTAGGAACAGTTTTCATAATGTTCGTCACAAGGTGTTGTACAAAGAAGTACCGGTGTTCGGCCTCCAATACGCCATGTTCAACCCATTCTACCCGTTGCCGAATGCGATCTTCGTATAAGCCCAGAACAAATATTTTGCCTTCTACAACGCATCCAAGCAGACCAGTGCGGAGGAATTCAAGCTCTACCAACTGCGGCGTAGGGCTCCCCTCAACAAATCTATAGGGCCGCGCGTGAAAGATGGTTTCGGTGTGTTTCTGAAGCTGCCAGAAACCTCCCGAGAGCGAGGGTGAATCAACCCAGATCTCTCCAACGGTATACGGCGAGCAGAGCAGACTGGTTTCTGGGTCGACGATGGCCACGGTCGCGTCCGGGATGGGATAACCAAAAGCACCGACACGCATAGTGCCCGGCTCGTTCGCGCGCTTCTTGGCCTCTTCGCCCATGGCAATCACCACGACCTCGTTCATTTTCAAAGCTTCTTTATCCAACAGAATTTCGGTCAACTCGGTGCGGCTCTTCTTCTGGTTTGTCTTTTTCGTCACAGCACCACCGCCAATCAAACTTGAGTAGCCGTTGGCGGGCGTAGAGTCTTCAATCTTCTTATCGTCATCTTCGTCTTCTTCTTCCTCCATACTAAGAGGACAGCCCATGCGTTCTTCCCCGCCCAGCCAATCTCTGACCGATATTATCATGCCGCCGTGCTCGGGTAAGCACAGCATCGGCGCTATCAACTGATTTGCTCTTGGATTCCGCATGGGCCTTAGCCAGCGGTCGCCAAGAATCTCGTGGAATTCGCTGTCTACCGTGAGCGTATCGATCAGGCATATCCGTACCGAAGCGAAATTGGGTTCCATGTTTTTCTTGAAATTACGCGTCGCCATGGGGTCAGTCTGGTAGTTGTATGCAGCTCTCTTCAATCCGGGGTAGTCGGCAACCATGATGGTCGCTTTGTACTTGGTAATGAGATGGGCGTACAAGCCAGGAGTTTCCACGGTTTGAGCCTCTGTCCAGATGGTGGTGTGTCCCCCGTATACGCCATACAAGACGGAGAGGATCAAGCCGGCGCTCTCGCGAGGATCCAGATAGCTGAGAATAATCTCGGTGGGGCCCGTCCGTGGAGGGGTCGCAATGAAGTTACCGTTGCGATCGCGCAGATTCACGTTGAATGTATCGGAATCGGCGGCTCCTGTAGGAATGGTCGACACCATAGCACTAATACAAGCCATCTGGTGCATGATTGTCCGGTGACTGAGGACGACACCGCGTAAATCGCCGGTCGGGGCGCGCGAAAATTCGATATAGGCTACTTCGGGAACCTGCAGAGGGGGCGTGCCATCGTGCTTCTTGGGGTGGTAGCTGCCGAACTCGTTCGTCTTCCACCATTCGACGCCGCTGGGCCATTTCAGGCGGTTCTGGCTGATGTCGCGGTGGAACGCTTTGAGGTTGTTGTCGGTGGTCAGGGCGAGGTGGGCCTGGGTTGTGGTGAGCAGAAGATTGAGCTTTTGATAGTCGTCGACGCTGTTGATGGGCACTGCGACCACCCCGGCAATAAAGCAGCCCATCAGCGCCACGGCGAACTCGATTATCTCAGTATCTCGATAGACCAAGGCCACGCGATCTCCGCGGTACAGGTTGCTCTTGTCCCGGATGACCTTTGCGACTTTCTCGGCCCGACTTGCTACCTTCTCCCACGTTATCGAGGCCGTCTCTTTGCCCTTGGAGTCAAGGACCCAAAAAGCGGGCTGTCGAGGCTGCACGCGCCCTCGATGACGCAAGACGGCGCCGATGTTGTCGAACTTGGACATGAGGATGTTGGGGTTGTGAGGGTCGTAGACATCAAAGGGCAGCTCGCGAGGCTCGAGGGGAAGCATCGGTTCTATCACGCCGCCGGCCAGATCGAGCTGGTTCATCATGGGTGGGGGGATAGCAGCGGTCGGGGAAAAAGCATCGCCGGACGAGTATCGATTGGGCCCACCGTAGGAGTCGGGATTGTCCTGTATCTGCTGGCCGGTGAAATCTGAGAAGTAGCCTTGGTGAGCATCGAGCATGGTGCTCTGACGGCTGACGTCTGCACCGGGCGAAGGGTAGCCGCCATCATAGGGCTGTTGCGAGTCGGGATGGAAGGCATAGTTGGAGGCGACCATGGTGCCATCGCGCGAATAAGGTTGGTACTCTTGGGGAGTCTGTGGGCGGGGCAGGAAGGTTTCGCTGCTCTGCGAAGTGCGGCGGTTCATGGAGCTCGTCCGGATGCCCAACTGCTTCTCTTGGAAACGGTTGACCTGGCTGGGCGGGTAGGCCATGTATTGCGATTGCGCGCCGCCATTGTTGCCGCCGGCGTAGGGCGGGGTGCGCTCGCGAGAGAGCTCGATGGTGGGCGGTTGCGGGGCGGCGAAGGATGCGGTGCGCGAGGTGGAGGACGGAGTGGGGGGTGAGACGGGTTCATCGTTGGGATCAGAGGACGGGTTGGCGAGGCGCAGTCCGCCCTGCTGCTGCTGCTGCTGCTGCTGAGGTTGTTGGGGCTGGTATTGCTGGTACTGTGAGAGGAGGAGAGTTCTGCGCTTCTCGTAGCTGTGTTGTGACGAAAAGGCACAAGTCCTGTCAGCGCATGCGACCAGCAGCGAACCAACCACGGCGAGCCGGGGAAGCGGAGGAGGAAAGAAGAAGAAAAGAAAAGCAAGGTGAAGACTAACCCCTTCTGCGTGATGTCTCCCTCGTCGAGTTCGTGGTCCAGCTCCGCAAGCTTGGCCTGCAGCTCGGGGGGAAGGTCGGCGGCCATGGCGTGTGGTGTCGGGCGGGAGTGTGTTTTGCTTTAGTCGTCGAGTCTTGGGGAGCTTCCAAAGCTACGGTGCGTACAGCTAGCTGACTGGCTACTCAAGGTGCGAGCGTCGTGGCGGACGGCGACATGTCAGAGGCGCACGGCAATGCAGCAGACAGACGGTGGCGGCGGTGGATGGTGGAGATGTGGTGGATGTTGATGTTGGAGGATGGAGGATGGATGATGGATGAATGCGAGGCGGGGTGATCGGCTATTGATGTACAGGTGAAATGCAATGCATTGATTGAATGATGAAGAGAGAATGCCTTCGTGGTGGCCGTCGGTGCAAGATCAATTGGGGCGTCGACGGGTCAAAGTTTAGCTGTTGGAGGTGAAAATGTTGTTGGAAACAAGGTTTCGGTATGTAGACAAGGTGGAGGAGTGGATAGGCAGCGGTGGCCGTGGACGAGGGAGGGAGGTGGTAGGTGCGAGTGATGTCAGATACACAGGCACATGTATATAGGTATATACTATAGATACATATGTAGGTATATCCAGCGAAGTAGATGGGTCTGTTTTCAATTCATGGCATCAATGCATCTGGTGCCAGGGAAAACTCAGACGTTGAACTCGTCCTAGTTGTTCTGCTCTGCTCTGGCTGTTCACTGGCGATGACGCACTGCGGCCACATTAATACCGTCTGCCCATGTTATAGCCGACTGTCTTGTCCAGCACAACGGCCCCTATCCACTTCTTCTCTTGGTGTTTTTGCCGGGCACATCTGATTCCAGAGTAGGGAAATTGATCTTTGTTGCTAATTGTATTCGTATATATCTGTCTTACTGATCAAACGCCATTCATGTTCGGTCCAGCTCGTCCAGATGCTCGCCGTGGGAGGTTGCACGTGGAAGACTATCCCCAATCGGGCAGCAAACTAATCAGCGAATGCCTCGGCTCGGTACTCGGAACATTCTACCCAGCCTGCATGGCAAGCATTGATGCACCTACAACAATCAATTCATTCAAACTTCGACTGAAGCACCGTCGGTTCCTCAGTCTTTTCTCTTCCCTTTCTTCACATGTAATTCATATACCCCCTTTCTCTTCATACACATCGTTTTAAAACCAACCACTCCTCCCACCGAAAAAAACCCAATCGCCGCTTACATCCCATCCCACCTCACCCAAACAATGTCCACCCTCATCCGCCCACCCCCCGTCAACACCTCCCAGTCCCCCATCGAAAACCTCCTCGAGCTCACCCACCTCCACGACATCGACCCCGACCTCTTCACAAACCGCCGCCCGCTATGGCACCCGCCCGGCGCCCGTGGCATCTACGGCGGCGCCGCCATCGCCCAGACCCTCTCCGCCGCCCAGAAAACAGTCCCTAAAGAGTTCACTGTCCACTCCATGCACTGCTACTTCGTCCTCGCCGGCAACTCAGACATCCCCATCATCTACCACGTCGAGCGCGTGCGCTCCGGGAAATCATTCGTGACCCGCACCGTCCAAGCCCGCCAGCGCGGCCGCGTCATCTTCACCACCACGGTAAGCTTCGTGCGCCAGAATAGCGGGGGCGAGAAACTGGTCCAGCATGCGGTTTCCAAGCCGGACATCCCAGGCCCGGTCGAAGGCATGGATGATCTGGATCAGGGTGGAGCTATGGAGCGGCCATTCCAGAGCCAGCGGGTCGAAATATACAACGACGATAGCAGCGAGCCGCATACCAAGAAATGCCGGCAGTGGATCAAGGCGCGCGGGACCATCTCCCCTGCAGGAGGCCATGAAGCACATCTTGCAGCTCTGGCATACATGTCCGACAGCTACTTCGTCGGCACCATTGCGCGCGTCCACAAACTCACGCGCTTCGCCCCCACCCGCAAGAGCAACGCCAAATCCAGCATCGACGAGGAAGTCTTGAAGAAGTTGCTCGCCATGGACGACAAGGATTTGAAGAGAGTCGGGTATCTGGACCAGCACGACATTGACCGCATCCGGAAACTCAAAAACGGCGAACAGCTGCCTGAAGAGAAGGAAGAGGACGAGAAGCCCGAGATTGGCATGATGGTGAGTTTGGATCACGCAATCTACTTCCACAACCCGCGCGAGTTCCGCGCCGACGAGTGGATGTTTGCCGAGATGGAGACGCCGTGGGCCGACGATGGACGCGGTCTTGTGTTCCAGAAGATTTTTTCAAAGAGCGGCGTGCTGATCGCAACCTGTGTTCAAGAGGTCAGTTCTCCCCATCCCCACATCCCTTTCTCGTCTTCTCCCGCCCATTGAACACAATCTCTGAGAATACTGACAATTGCGTGTACAGGGCCTCGTGCGATTGAAACAACCAAACGAATCCACTCCTCCTCCTCCCACTACTACTACAAAGAGTAAACTGTAGCCCCTTTCTTCCCCCTCATCTTCATCTTGCGCCATCTGCTTCTCCATTTCGCATCCATCTGTCTGCCATATCATCATCATCTTTATATTACTGTACATGTACCACCCCACCTTCCCCTTCACACCTGTATGTACCTTGTCTTCTACCACCATATACACCTCAAATCAAATACGTCCCAACTACTCCCTCCATCCCCTTGGAATTAATCGTTCAGTGAAATCCGTCCTGTCTTGCTAGAAGCTCAACAATACACTGCAGATAAAATAACAAAGTAAAGACGCTGAGGTTTTAAGAAGCAGGGACTTGTACTTTGAAGTGTTGTAAAAGCTATATATATATTTGCGTGTGTAACTTGACTCTCTCTTTGTATCGTATCTCTTCAGTTCTGGAATACGCTGTCATCGATTAACACAGAGACAAAAAGTATTTATATAAGATAGAGATGCTGTAAAAACTTTTTTCTATTTATTTCCAAGTGCGTTATATTAGTAGAATACAGTATAGAGTAGTGGTAGTAGTGTAGGTTATTAGCACTTAAGAATAACTCTTTGCTTACTTACTTGAATTCTAAAAGGATTAGATAGGAAGAAGTTACAAAGTGTAATTTTTAGTTTTGTAGAGAAGGTATACTTACCTCCTTATCTCTGTTATAACGTAGATGTTGTAGGGGTAACAGATTACAACTATGTTATTATTATTTTTGTTCTCTGTTAGGATCAAGGTGAGAGTTAATGTCGGGAGTTTGATTAGAGATGGTGAGATTTCACTTAAATCAAGATCATGTGGAGAAAGGGACGCACGGGAAGGGGGTAGTTGGATATCAAGTACAGTTTGCTGCTTCCTGTAGTTTAGCTAGGGTGTGAATACGCGGGCAAAGCGATTGTCTTTTGTGGGATTGGGGATGGTTAATAGGTTTAATAGATTTCGAGGGCACGGCGAGGTAACTTGCTTTATATGTATGTTGATGAGATTTTGTTGGGATTTGGATATGCTGGCTATTTGGATTGTTTAGCTCTATATAGCAACAGATAATACTAGGGCAACGTATAAAACTGTATAGGATTGTTCAACGATTATGCTGATTTGGACAATGTATATGATAGTATCAGACGGCCTGTATATTAAAGTCGTGAACACTTGGCTGGAATAGAGCAGGTATATACACGTGTAAAACTATTAAATGACTTGCATATGTATGTATGTATGTATGTATGTATGTATGTATGTATGTATGTATGTATGTATGTATGTATGTATGTATGTACTGTTGATACATCTAGCTAGAGGTGTTCAATCATAGCCAGGCTTTCCATATTCTTGTGCATTCGCAATGGAGACAGGTTTCGACACAAGTGGTACTTGGTGCCTGTGGAATCAATCCCACGTTATGGAAGAAGAACTGGAATTGCTTATTCCCGGAGGATGGATTGCGATGGCGTTATACAGACTTTGCAAGAAGCAAAGGTGCTTGCATCCAGGGCCTGGCTCTGTCCATCAGGGGCTGCGGTGTGCACGTTGCGGAAATTAAACTAGCTCGTACGGGCTTCCAACACTTGCAATGGGCATGGAAGTACATTGAGTGATCGGTGAAGAGCGTGCGTGCGTGCGTGCGTGCGTACGTGTTGGATCCATCCATCCATCGTATCGAGGAACTATCCGGCGCACACATCGATCCGAGAGTCACGTGGTCTCGAAGACGGCTTCCATTCACCGACCAATGTCCAAATCCAGTAATAATAACAATACTCACCCCTTCCCCTCCCCCCCCTGAGGCCAGTGTATAAACGTGTTTCAGAAGAGATGGATTCCGATGTTCGGAGCGAGTGCGTTCTCCTTTGGGCCGTAGTTTTACAACCCAGCATGAAGAATTGTGGTCCCCAATGGAGGAGCCATGGCGAATTTACCGCCGTCTCATGGGGTTTGTGCATCACCAGGACGCGGATTTCTCCATTTACCCATCCATCTGTCCATTGCCATCCGACACCTCCATGCGCGTTCCTGGAATCTGCTCATCTCCCGTGAATGCTAGCCATGGGGGTTTGCTCGCTCGCCACCGGATCTCCTCCCTGCACACACACGCATCCACCCACTCACCCACCCCTCCATCCCTCCTCCATCCCTCCTCCATCCCTCGATGGAATGAAATCTCGCCGTGATCAAAATCGCACGGGCCACGAACACGTCCACCCTCCAAGAACGTTTTGGCACGGCGATCTTCGTCTGTCCTGTCCTGTCCTCGCCGCGCAGGATGGGTTTGTGCTGATCGCTGCCTGCCCTCTGCCTTATCAATTCATGGGCAGTCAGTCGAGCAAGCAAGCAACCAACATACATGTCTGTCCCCTGGGTTGAGCCGAGTTCCAGACCGCAAATCAGGAACAGCGCCGTCGCTCGCACACGCAGAGCTTCGAGCATGATCGACCTTGGCTGTCGACGCCGCCCATCTGCGGCAGAGCATGTCGGCTGCCCATCATCGCCATTATGATCCAGTCTGTTGTTCCTCAACTCACCACTCTCCAAGCTGCCATCATCTGTATCCTGCCGAGATAGGCATTCCGCGCGAGTCGATCCATCTGATGGATGATGCACCGTCCAACGACTATCGCGCGCTGTGCTGTGCTGTGCTGTGCTGTACATGTACATGCACGTATAGGCAGAATGCATCACCAGATACATACAACATTCTCTAGATGCTGCCGTATCGGAAAGGAAGCGCTCGCTCGAGGGGACGGAAGCTGCCGGCCCGCTACGCAATTGCAAACGCTCTAGCGGGTGGGCAGATCTCGGTTTCTCACCAGGTTTGCCCAGGGGTGCGTGCGTGCCATGGCTGGCCATGCACCGGCTGCACGTTGAACAAGGCAACCTGTTGCAACCTGAACGAAAAGTACAAGGCGCGCACAGCATCCAGAATCAATACTATACAGCAGCTGCCTCCATCATCAGCCTGTGCCACATGGCACATGTTTCTTGTGCGCCGGTTTCTATTCCTGGCTCGACGTTTTCTCTCTCTCTTTCCATGGCTTTTATGTTTTGGAATCGATGGTTGGAAAGGGAAGCGCAGGCAAACGAACAGACGGCAACACATAGTACATAGTCCATCACAATATCATCACGGCACGTGTTGGAGACTCAGAGCATGTGGGTGCCGACCTTTTTTTTTTTTTTTTTCTTCGCGTCGTATCTGCACGCACGGGCGGACCGACAGCCCCTTGGCCCATGACAGGCTGGTCGAGGGAAACGGATGCCTGTCTGTGTTTTGGGGGAACCCAATCTGGGAGCGAGCACGACATTTCGCCAGCCGCGTGGTCGAGGCATGGGATTCTTTGTCATCATCATCGCCCTCGTTGGTTCCTGGTTGGGATGTGCTCGACGCGCGCGGCGGCAACCGACCCGGAAGACGGCGAGCAAGCTAGGTTGAACGGTCTGGACACTCATGCTTCGGCAGTTGCTTCAAGGGGCGAATCGATGTCTGCGTCGACTGACTGCCTGCCTGCCTGCCTGCCTGCCTGTCACTGAGCGACCCTGCTTTCCCGGCAATATCGATCCAGTCCATCTATGTACGTACGCACGCTGCCAGCTCTCCTGCATCCAAAACACTCTTCTGTGCCTCTTCTCGGCATCATGCAGCAGCGCGCCCAATCTGCGGCCCAGGTGCCACGGAACGCTCATTGGATGTACCGGCCATGGACCCAGTGCAACACGTACCTGTTCTTAATATCAAAAACTGCCGCTAGAATCTCTGCAAAACGTTCTTTGCGAGGCCGGTGGGTCTGCGCGGGTTAGATCTGTACACGAGACATGTTTTAGTGCCGTCTGTCTGTGTTTCCCTTTTGCGCGTGAGAGTGAGACCTGGGGGGGAGGGAAAAGACGACCTTTCTCAGCCCTTGGCGGATCGGGTGGTGCGCAGAATCATTGGGAGGAATGGAAAATGTGCAAGGCAATGGGTGGGAGGACATCACGAACGAGTGAGACAGTGCTCATCATCTATGCCCCCCTCCTCGCGTGTGAGTGGAACGTGGGGATAGACACGCTTCACCTGTCAGAACAGAACAATGCAAGGTCAAGGATTGGTCGGCAGCAACCTCATCTCAGGGCTCCTGTTTCGGCGGTGGCTGGCTAACCGGGACTGTATTTGAAATGCTTTGGACCGCGACACGCAATGCGGCTCCGCGATTGACATTTGCATTTCCTCTCTGGAGCAAGTCCATGATGAGGGGTCGACCACTGCAATCAGCTCGGCTCCATGGCCCTTGGGCTTGCATTGTCTGCTCTCTGCGCCATCAATTCCTGAAATACGCAGCGCTGATTAGTGCCCATTTTCCGGATATCAGCAAATCGGAACCGCTGTCGTTGTCGTCGCCGTGCGCGTTGGCGCATCTGAAGGGGGGCGAGAAGAAGTACATACATGGTATGTAGGTAGAGATGATCGTCACACGAAGGAGTAAACAGCTCCTCGACCCGTGAGCTGGCTGGCTCTAAACGGCCCCGGCGCATTCGCCTCCCTTCTAGATGCTCAACCTTCTCCTTCGACACGCACTTTGTTCGAGCTATAGCTAGTCATGAACGCGCTTGTGCAGTGCGCCTGCATGCATGTCCACCAAGAAGCCCTCTTCCTTTGAACCGTCGGGCGGTCGCTAGCAAACATCTCTGTCCGCTACCGTCTGATTCGGTGGTTTCAGTATATATCAAAGTCTCCGATTGAAGGACAAACGCACGGTCACCAACCGAGCGCCGAGGGTGCGAGTATTCCTTTGAATTCTCAACCGTACCGAGCAGATTGCATATTCTACAGGCTTTAGCGAACAGAGAGCCCTGTAGGGGGACCATCTGTTCTCCTCACCTGCTGCTTGTAGCAACGCCCCTGCAGACACGCTCACCCAGTCGGTGCTACCCGTCACAGTTTTGGGACAATCCCCTCCTCTTTCTCTCCAAGTTGTCTGCTATCCTTGACAAGGGACGAGCCGATTCCCAGCATGCATGGGGTAGTCACGCTCACTCGCATGCACCGCTCTTTTTTTCTCTGCTTGCCACCCTGAAAGACGTGTTCCCCCGTGTTTCGAATACGGCAAAGACAGAGGATCATGGATTAGATGAAATAGCAAGAAGGCGTTCGGATCTGGATCCGACGCGACTACGGAGCTCTCTGCCGTTGCTAGTGACTTTACTAGGTAGCTTAGTCTCCGTACCACATCATGAGCACTGTTTCGTCCCAAGACGGGTGACGATGGACTTGCCAGGGGTCTTGTTTTCGTGTCTCTGATCTTCTTGCCCGGTAGTTATTTGTATACCTCTCTCGTCGCTGGCATTGTCACGCACTCTCAAGTACATACCCCCCTCCCAAGAATACCTACTCGGCTGCTTGACCACCACTCCCAGCCTCAACATACCCATTGTACAGGGTAGAGTTGAGCGGTGGGTCAGAGCTCATTCATCCATTCATTGCACATCAAACCTTGACACACCTCTCTTGCAGGAGTGGAATTTCATTGATCCTCACGCCCACGAGCTCAAAGCACAACCCGAGGTACCGGATATCATCCTAAACTCTATCACCTCGAGTGGATGTGATTCGAGGGCCGCGGAGCAACCCTCTCCCTACCGACCCCCTGCTCGTCGTCTGTATCAAAAGGTATGGTGGCAAACAGACCCTGTCACTCCTCTATCCCACAAACATGCCATCACGGTTCGGATTCCGAGGCTGTTTATCTGGCGTACCACTGAAATGGTTATGTATCCACCGCCTGATCTTCGCTGATTGAGTGATCGATCGTCTTTTGCCAGCTATCCATCTATTTCGCTGCCGGAATCTAGGTGTAGTACCTGATCCTTCCCAAAGTGCTCGCCCTTGTACACCCGACGACGCTGTACGCCACAGCCACCTCGCTTTCCCAGCTGATTATCGACGACAATCGCGGAAACGTTGTTACTCCTGCCCGCAGAGGTCTTGTTCAACCGCCTCGAGTCTACCTGTAAGCCACCTGCCCGTGTCCAGCTCACCAGCATCCGAGAGGTTGCCAATCCTTTTGTGGTAATTTGCTCAGAACAAGTAGTTGTCTGCCGCTTCCCCCCACAGTCACTGCCCGACATCCATCGACATCTGCTGCAGGATTTTGATAGTCTATGTACTTCCTCAGCTGTCTCAACCACTCCTTACTCGCGGCACCTCGGAGACCTACATAGCACAGCCGTCCCACTCCTCCCAACTCGCCCCGAACGAAAAGGGACCAGACTAGCGCTGTGAATTAAACGAGCGGTGCCTATTGGTTCTATCTAGTTACTGGGTATCCGAAGCCGCCGTGGTGTTGGGCGTATACCCGTGCGGCGACATCTTCGGTTGTTACCGAGAACAGCTCTTACTTCCCCCACAAGACTGGCAATCTTACCAACGCCATTTCTCGCTTGCCGCCTTCTTCCCCAGATAGATTCGAACCTCTTATCGCCTCATTTCTGCTGAAGCACCATGGAGATTCCATCCTCGGGCCCGTACCAACGGCGCCTATCCGAGAATCTCTCCTCTGGTCTACGTCCTTCGCCACCAAGCTCCTCTGGAGGTTCTCCAAGAGGAATGATACCGCCGCCTAATCCACTCTCCACGGTCGGGGCAGCCTCGCGCACGCCCGGTCTCAATGTGCCCTCGATGGCTCAGATGGGCCCGCGATCGCCAGGAGGGTACAGCACGACACAGTATACTTCTACTTCACCGAGCACGGCTTCGGGCGGGGCTCCAGATATTCACACCATTGAACCGTCGTACGTTCCGGCTGGACTTAGCAGTAATCAGAAACGTGCGTATCGGCAACGCAGAAAAGATCCTTCTTGCGACGCCTGCAGAGAGAGGAAAGTCAAGGTAAGCTCGCGTTCTTTCATCTGCAATTCCTTTTGAGGGTGACGGGTGGTTTGCTTGGAAGTTGCAGGCACAGAGTAGGAGCGATGTCAAAGAGGCATGATGTTGTGGATGTGTTCATACATACTGAATTGTTTCACTGTGCTGAACCATCTCAGTGATTCAACAAGAGACAGTTGGGATTTCTTGGCTCGCTCGATAGGATGGATTGGACTCGGAGCGACTGCTAATATGGACTACGCAACTTGAACGTTCTTGTTTCGGTTCAATCTTCTAACAGCTTGGTAGTGCGATGCGACCGAGACAACGGCATGCACGGAGTGCTCGAGCAGGAACCACAAATGCCAGTTTACGAAAGAGACGAATAGACGAATGTCTTCGATCAAGTATGTTCGCTTTTTGCTCTGGTATTTGGCAGATTGGTACTCACCACGTTCTTAGACAGGTCCAAGATCTTCAGTCGCAGATCTCCGAACTCACGCAGGTCAACAACAGCCTGAGGACTGCCATTGACAGCAGAGAGAGGGATAGCATGGATATCGATCAACGGCGCCCCAACTCAACAAGGTCCAAGACACCGGGCGCGTCACATAGACCTAGAAGAGTCCCGGCTCCGGCGATGAACAACTTCGAAGCCGTTCGCAGGAATATTCAAATCCATTCAAAAGACATCTTTGAGCCTCCAGTACGGGAACAACAGGACTCGGGCACTGATCATTTGCCACAGCATACTCTTGAGCTTCCTCACCGCGCAGACTTTACCAACATATCGCAAAGCTATCTGAGTTCGATCCACGAAGCCTACCCGATTCTGCACTGGCCTACATTCATGGCCGAGGTAGACCACGTCTACAGAGCAAGAGACTTACAAGTCATGTCGCGGGAATGGATTGGCTTGTTCTTCGCAGTTCTTGGGTGCGGACATCTCAACCTACCAGCTAATATGAGCAGTCTAGCGCGGGCTTCTAGCAATGGACGCAAGTTCTATGAAATTGCTATCCAGTGTACATCCCCGTGGTCCAGCGAACCCAACATTATCCATGCGCAGACTCTATTTTTGATGAGTCTCTACGCAGCGGAAAGCAACATGAGGTCTGCAGGCAACATGTGGTTGGCTTCTGGTATCAGAATTGCGCAGTGTCTGGGTCTTGGGATAGAGGACGACGGGCAGCCGTTCTTGCGAGCAGAGATGCAGAGAAGGATTTGGTGGGCCTTTTACGTACGAGACAGGTAGGCGAGAGATCATTTCCACGGCGTGTAGTCGAGGTCGAAAGGAAGTTCAAAGGCTAACAAACATTCTAGAGTCACCTCGTTCGGAGCTAACTGCCCAATGTCGATATCTGAAGACGATTGCGAAGTTTCATTACCAACTTCTGCTGAGGATCGAGACATGCAGCTGCATGGGTTATTCCGACCTCCAAAAAAAGACGCGTTCAGCAGTTTTGTCGCCACCATTGAGATCACACGCCTCTATTCAGGACTCTACCAAACTCTCAAGTCGAGTTCCATCACCCACGAGTACCTCGCAGCCCACGACGATGACTTGCGCTCGAAGCTAGCTCTGCTACCTCTACACTCTCCCTCGGTGCCAGACAACTCCCTTGATCTCTCGGTCCTTGGCCCTCTTATCGCCATCGACTTTGCCCGATTCCAGCTCTACCGCCGTAACATTTCTCCCGTATGTGCTCCAGCGGACCGTAACGTGGCACTCCACTGGTGCGTTACAGTCGCCCAAGACACTACAAGATATGTCCAGCGCGTTTTACCGCCCGGGCCGTATACCGAATCGTCGTCTTCGCTATCAAACACCCCTACATCAGACAAGGACTGTCAAACCCGTATCCTCCCTCTCGCCAGCAACACCATCTGCCTCCACCTCTGGCGCTGCATCCTGATGCTCAGTCTCCGCCGCGACTTCTCCTCGGCGCTGACCTGCGCGCGACTCTCCGCAGCCATCGGCAGCATCCGCCCCCTCAACACAGCCTGCGGCCACAACACCGTCTTCTTCCTCGAAACGCTCCTCGACCGCCTCCGCTCCCCAACCCCAAACACCATGAACCGCCCCATCCCCGACACCTCCCCCCTCGACGATGAACCCCTCCTCGCCTACGCAACCGGCGACCTCCAATCCTCCCTCGAGCATTCCTGGGCCTGGCCCCCATCCTCCTCTCACCTCGCCTCCTCAACATCCCCATCTCCATCCTCCCCCCCACCCTCCGCAACCCCCCTCCCTCCCTCCTCCTCCCCCTACGCTCTCCGAACCCCCGCTTCCTCCACCCTCCCCCAACCCCCCACAGCATCACCACCACCAGATCAAACACCATCACAAACCCCCCTCCCAATCCGCAACACCCCCGCCGCACCCCCAATCCCCGCAACCCCAACAACCCCTTCTTCTTCGACATCCGCAGATCAAACCCCATGGCCACACATCCAAACACTCCTGCACACCCTCATAGACGAGTCCTCGCGTCGCGGTATTGCTCTCCCTCCTCAGCCTCCCTCTCCTCTCCCCCCTTCTCCGTCCTTCCAATCCACGCAAGCTCCGCAATCCGCTTCATCGAGTTTCGCCGCTACCCTCCCTCCTCCTCCTCCTTCTTCTTCTTCTTCCGCGGCGTCGTCATTCTACCAGCACGGAACCAGCGGGAGTGGAGGGACCACGTATTACGCTTCGTTGCATAATCCCGGGAAGAGGGTGCAGATTGAGGTTTCTAGCCCCAGCCCCATGTCCTCTGGGACGACGACGACGACGACGGCAGCGACCGTCGCGCCGGAGCAGAGTAGTGCTGCTGCTGCTGCTGCTGTTGCTGCGGGGACGAGGAAACGAGATGTTGAAGAGGGGAAGAGTAGGATTAGTATTGCTAATATTATATAATCTGTTTCTTTTTTTTTCTTCTTGTTTTTTAATCTTGTTTGGAGCGGGGAGGCGGAGTGGGTTTAGTTTATGTATACACGAGAGGGGAAACGGGGGGGGGTGGTTTTCAGTTGCAAGTTTTTCGCGGAATATAAAGAGATGAAAGGGGAAGAAGCAGACTCAAGTGTGTGTTATTTCTGCGTGCAGGCATTTTTGTGCATTTGTTTATTCGAGGTTAACTCTTTTTCTCTACTTATTCTATTTATCTATTTGATATCCTATCCTATCCTTATCGTAATTCTATCCACGCATTTATATGTTTTTATATAAACTTTCTAAACTTTATTATTATCCCTTTACACAACTATTACTTTATTATCCTTTTACACAACCCCTAAAAACCTCTATAAAAACGCATTATAAAAGCCTGTATTCCCTCCCCTCCCCTCCCCTCCCCTACCTACTATCAAAACTTATCTCTATATCCCCGTTATTACTAGAGTAGTTAGTTAGTAAACCTCATTGTTACCGCACAAACGCATAAACGCTTGAATGTTTATAGAGAGAGATTTATAAAGTACGGATTTATAATTGCGTGATAGAGAAGTTTATTAGAAGGGGTTTGTTTTACTCTGCTTTTGTTTTGTTTGTGTGTGTTTTATGGTGGAACTTGTGATTATCTAGAGTGTAGGTTAGGCGGGGGATTCGGATTGAGATGGGATGGAGGAGGGACTGCGGATGTTGTGTATAATTAAGGGAGTTTGTAGGTTGGCCTTTGTGGAGGAGTGTTGGGTATAAGTAGAAGAGGGGAGAAGTCTGTCTTTCTAGTACTTAACGTTGATATGAGGCTATGGCGAGTGATGGGATCTGGTATAGCATGATGTATGTTTTGCTCTACTCGCAATATTTGCTAATGTCTCTTCTTTTTCTATATACCTTTTTGAGTGTAGGAAACAGTTTGTATTCGAATCAAAAAGGAAAAAACAAATTGAAAATTGAAAATGGCGCAAGGTGTCTCTTCATATTCTTCTTTATTTGGTATTATTGCAAGATATGTCCTGTCTGGAGCTCGAGGGTAGATTTATCGTGTGGTTTTTTAGTACCAAGTGTTTGTGCCGCATGGAAATCCAATGACTCACTATTAGGCTTGATATCTTGGAGATTATACCGTTTCCCAATTCTCCAATTCTGCATATCTATTTCGTATTTTTAAATTTCACCTGAAAGAGCCAAGATGCCTCTCGAGACCTGATTCTAGGCCGTGTGGGCCAATCTCAAGCGCGTATCAGGACTACTAAAAGTAATAATCATTCATCGCATTTCCATACGGCACAAACACTGGGTATTGAAAATCACGGTATCAGGACTACAAATTAGACTGAAGATCCCTGCAGTCTTCCCCTTTATGCGCTCACTAAGGATGTAAAGAGGAAACACAATGTTTGGTGAAGTGGCTGCCAATGCTTATATAATCAGCTTCACTGTGTATGAACGTAGACGCACTGAGCAAGAGACTCGACTCAACTACTGCTCTATCACTACCTAACCACTGCATTGAATATAGACTGCACAGTCATTACTCACAAACACTACGCAGACTCAAATTTGAAACCAAAACTTATAAATAATACTACTTACTCACTTCCTCTACTCACAACTTCAACTCAAGAGTTAAATCCACAATTGCAACTACCCAACCACAAACAAGCAACAGAACTTATCGAATATCTACACGAAAAACCTATACAATGGAGTCAATGCTGCTAGATGATGTCATGAAAAAGTTGGTCTCGGCTCTCACGATTTCCCTAGTAGAAGCGCTTCTCACGAAGGTTCACATCGAGATCTGGAAGCCAGGCGTCGAAATTTGGGAAAACCAAACCACCTCGGATGTCCTAGATTACATCTTCTCGATGCTGGTAAACCCCAATTTCCTGACATTAGTCATCGGCGTCCTGATGGCGCTGTATGACTATGCGCCGATGCAGTCTTCGGAGCACCGGCCGTTTACAACTGTCCCGACGATGGGCTGGAGGCAGATCACGTCTTACGCGCTCATTCCTCTGTTGTGGGTTCAAGTTTGGGAGCTGAACCGTAATCCTGAGGTGTCGTCGACTATTCCGTTGTGGCAACACTGTCTTTATTATATGATGGTCGGAACTGCTGCATTATTAAGCATGCGCCAAATCGGTTACTTCACTCATAGAGCTTCTGTCTTGAAGTACTCGTTCGCGATTATGGGGTACATTTTGCCAATTCTGTATATCCTGGAGGGTCTTGCGCTTGAACCGCCAAGGGTAGACGCAGGATGCGTGGCACGAGGGGTCATTGTGCGGCGCATGGGATACACGAGACCCACGGCAAAATGGCTCATGGAAAACGCAGGATGCGAGTTATCTCAATTGGGGACCAAAAACTATTAGCGTTGGTCTTTCCTTTTACCATGAGGCTACTTTGAATGGCTGACCAAGGCGTTGGGTTTAGACTTCGCACGGTTTGTTCGTTTTGAATGGCCTCCGAAAATTGCTGGTAGCTCCTCGAGATTTGTACTGTAGGGCTACTCATTCATCTCATCTCATCTCATATCTTTCCTATCTTGTATGAGAAGCACTTGGGATTTTCTTTTAAGGTGTTCTGGTAGACCTAGATAGTACGGCATTTTCAATTACAGCCACAAAATTAAGACGGTTTGCTAGCCAAGAACACACATGGATGTTTAATCATTTCATTTTCATTGCAAACTTCCAATAACATATACAGTAGATCAAACTTAATTCCTACCACATTTAACCATTTTTCGTTCCTAATCAGTTCACACCGCCTTGTTAAACTGAGCGCTAGGCACCGAGTCCTGCGCCGTAATGTACTGACTCCTTCCAGTATACCTCCACCTGTTGAAGTACGCTTTGGGCGCATCTTCAGGGCAGTCCAAACCTGACCCAGCTCCGTTGCAAGTAGCATACACACCAATAAGCGTGCCAACGAAAGATCCCGTTCCACCGCTCAACTCTACACCGGTTCCATTTCCTACAGCAATCTTGGTCGAGTTCTCTGCAGTCAGCGACGCGGAGAAGGCGTATTGGTTGGGTGAAGGTGTCTCGATGTGTAGACGGATTGTCTCGCCGCTCCACTCAGCAGGTAGGGGGGTGGTTGTGTTCTTGCCCGTCGCGTTGAAGCGGAAAGACAACTGGTCTTCTTTCTGGATGATGCCTAATTGGATGTTTGCTGCTTGCGTGAGGAAAGCAGTGATACCGGCTTCTTGCTCTGGAGCGTTGGGCGCAAATGTGAGATCGACGCTGAAGTCGAAGGTGCTGTCGGTTTGACGGCGTCCGATGAAAGAGATGGCTTTGGCGGCGGGTTCAGAGCCTCCAGGGGAGCCTGCGACATTGTTTCTGCCCAAAGAGAGTTGCAGTCCTTCGCCTGTGACTTCGACGGCTCCGTCGCGGGGTACGCGCCAGTACATCAAATTGCGTGGGATCGCAGAGCCTTCTTCGAAATCGTACACGTCGGGATCGCTGTTGAAGGGGCCGTCGCCGGGGATGTCGCGGCTGCGGGCAGGTAGTGGCCAGCCGGTCATGTTGCCACGGACTGGCTGGAAGACGGGCCATTCGCCCTCGTTCCAGGTGACTGGTGTCAAGACTGTCTCTCTTCCCATGGGGTAATTAGATCCGTAAGGACCAACGCGTGTTGCTAGCGCTACCGACCACCATGCGCCCTCCGTATCCTGGAAGAGATCCGCGTGGCCAACGGTTTGGAAGTACTCTTGCGTGCCACGGTTCGTCATATGCGGGTTGTGAGGACTTGGTTCATAAGGCCCGGTAACAGTCTTCGCGCGAGCCATAGTGACGGCGTGGTCCCACGATGTACCGCCTTCTGCGATCATGAGATAGTACCAGCCGTCTCTCTTGAAGATGTGGGGGCCTTCAGGCCACACGCCGCCAGTGCCGTTCCACAATGACGTGACAGGACCCATCTCTCCCGTCTCAATGTTCATCTCCTGCAGGATGACTCCTTGGGTCGCGACGTAGAACTTTCCATCATCGTCCCAGAATAGATCCGGGTCGATCTTGGGTGCTTCGAATCTGACGGGATCGCTCCAAGAAGCGTCGTCGTACGGGTCGGTGGATTTGAACAAGACACCAGCGAGCTGGCCGGCGCCGAGATATTCGCAAATCACGTAGAAGACGCCTTCGTGGTAGCGGATGGTCGCCGCGTACATACCCTCTTGCTGACCCTTGGTGGCGTAGCTGTAGCCGGGAAGCTGAGACTCGCGGTTCCACGCATGGCTGATGTGCTTATAGTCGATCAGATCTTTCGAAGCGTAGATGGCGAGACCGGGGAATGCGATGAAAGTCGAGGTTACACAATAGAAGGTCCCGTCGACTTGAGTGCATGATGGGTCAGAATGCCAGCCGGGAAGCACCGGGTTGAGGTATGTCGAGTTCTGAGCCAGCACGGTGGACGTCGAGGCGAGAAGCGCCGTCAATGAACTACGTAGAGACCACATTGTGAAAGGAACAGGTAGGGCTCAAGTACCACACCCAAATGACGTGCAGTGGGCCACTATATATATATATATCTAAGACATGGCATCTAGCCCAGGGTTCGACCGCCCTCAAACAGGATCTACATCGATTTGTCCCTGGTAAAAGATCGGGTAACCATCTACGATGGCCCCATTTTCATTTAGCCTTCTCCGCGCTTTTCCAGAAGTCTGCAAATATATGCACACTTTAACTCAGTGCTCAAGATGCCACCGGGCTTTGTCGCGTCGCAGAATGAAAAGGTGGCGAGAGCATGGTGCGGGGAGAACATTGCTATGCCGATCTGGTTTCCTTAGCTTCCAGAATTACTCCGTCAATTAATTTTTCCGGGATTTCCACTGGCGTTTTTGACATTTACCCACGTAATGCCTACCTTGAAGTTCTTGGATAGGGTTTGGTTAGCGAAGTTGTATATTAAGGCACCTGCCTTTACGAGGATGGTGGGAGATCGCCGACAGGCTGTATGCGGTCGCGATCTGGCTGGGCAACGGTTTTTATGATAAAAAGAACGAATCTGCGGGTGCATGCCATCGCAGTTTGCACTCTATCGGGCTTGGCCGGGTTCAATCGTATCGTCGGGTCGACAATTCTCCAACAGGTGATGGAATTCAACTCGGGTTCACGATGGCATACTACGTTTGTACACCACCATACGAATACTGGCTCAATTGCAGATGTGGTCACCGAAATGGTGGTGCCTGGGAAAATCCCTCGGTGAGGAGTAGTTCAGCCCACACGTCATGTCTTCATGCACTTCCGTGATCGTAAACGACTTCAAATTGACCACATTACAAGGCGAGTCAACTATCTCGAGTTTGCCTCAAGAAATGTCTACTCGTCAAGCAAACCCAGCGAACCGGATGCGACTACTTCCCGCCAAAATCCACAATCGAAGCAGCATCCTCCCTTACCCCCTCCCATAACCCTTCAATCTCTCCAACGAGATCCTCCGGCAGCTTCCCCTGAGACCTAGAAGAGATATACATCTCATACTGCGCAAGCCTACTCGGTCCAATAATCACACCACTCCCCTCCCACCCAACCAACGACGAATGAAACACCAACCACCGAACACTAGCCTCAGCAACAGAAACCCCATGCGGCTCACACGCCTTTGCCAGTTTCCGAACAGCATCATGCATCGAAGGCTTATCAAACCAATTCCTATAGATCATGCCCGGGATATTCGTCTGCGCGACCTCGAACCTCGTTCCTTTCAGCTCTTCCTCGTCCTTTGCCAAGGTAAGTTTTCCGGTTAGGAAACCACCTGCAAGCGGACTGTACGCGACGAATTCGATGCCGTGTTTTTTGAGAAAGGGGAACAGCTCTTTCTCGTATGTGCGGTTGAGAAGATTGTAGTGGCCTTGGAAAACGGTGGGTTTGACGTAGTTCTTTTCGTCGGCGACATCGAGCCATTCCTGCAGCATCGCGATGCTGAAGTTTGAAACTCCGAGGTGTGCGAAGCGGCCTTTTTTGTGTTGGGCGTCCATTGCGGCGGCTTGCGTGGCGATGGGGGTGGTGTGGTCTGGTGCGTGGACGTAGAATACGTTTAGCTGTTCGCATGGAAATCCGTCAGTACAAGGAACAGATTCAACAGAAAGAGAGCGGGAGTGGTGGGAGTGTACCTTTCCCACCCCTATTCGCTCCAGACTAGCAGTGATGGACTTCTCGACTGCTTCAGGCGTGATATGTCCTTTCCCATCGGCAGCAAACAGCACTTTCGTGTCGATTTTGAAGCCCTTGGAGGCATAGGAACCTGCGCCAATGTATTTCTCAGACGCGCCCTGATTGTGCATTGGATAAATGGGGGAGGTGTCGAGGCGGGTGATTTGAGCGTCCTTTGCAGTTGGAGCGAGCTCAACGGCTTGCTGTTCGGTCCAGGTGGCGCCGAATTGCGAGGCACCGAGAATAAATTGAGGGAATTCCATGATGCTTTCGTTACGGTATGTAGATAGCTGTGAGCGATAACCTGGGATATGGTCGCTAGTCGGGTTGTGCAAGTCGAAGATGAGGGTTGTATGAGCAAAGAATGCACTGCGCATCTGTCTTATTTAAACCATCAACCAACAAGCCTGTGCCGCTCAAGCCAACTCGTGAAACAATGCCCAGCTTTCCTATTCGCTGTCTGTTTACCCTGTATAGATAGAGCATGTTGGTGTTGGCGTAGTTGCTGACGACTGGCGGGCTCTCGTACGTACGAATGGCGGGGCGGCAAACAACAGCCAAGTTTTAGAATTTCCTATTCCAGCAGTCCACTATTCACATTGCGTACCATTGACATGGACATGCTGATGCGCAACAGCATCCGAACTTGGTCCGACTGAGACAGTGAACCGCTTTTCGTCCTTCGCAAGGCGTTATCATATTAGAGTCTGGAGGACTAGAGAGTTGGGAGGACGAATTATGGCGGTGCCACAAGATCGGAAGGCTCTTACCCCAGAATTCGGAGGATAATACATGGATAGCTGCTGGGTGGAGTATGTCTGGCATTCCCTGCCTCTCTGCCTTGACTTGTTGTATACAAGCTCTTGAACTTCACGGAAAATACTACTCTTCATTAGGTGTATAAAGGGGACAGAAGGATGATGTAGCTGGGTCATATTGTTGACTGTAAGGCGCGTCACTACCTGTTATCTATCTCCTTTCGCATATTAAACAATACAGGTACGCATGTGAAGGCAGATACAGCGATGCTCCTCTATAGCACCATCTTGAATTCCGGATCGCGATCGTCACCTTTGCCCTCGAACTCCGCGTACTTCCCAGCCGCCTTGTCGCGGTTGATCTTGTGGACCCAAAGGATGTTGCACGCAATGCTATCAAGAACGAATCAGTACATTTTGCACTATACAACCCAAGGGGACTTTTCAAGAATGCTCAGCTGAAGAGAATGGAAGGGAAATAGTGGAGAGGAAAAAGCAAGACTCACAGCGCCCAGGCTGCACAAAGCAAGCCCAACATAATCCGATGGCTTTTATGGAAATTGGGACCTTCCTTCTTTTGATACACAAAGCTCGCCACGAAGCCACCTGCATTCGCAATAGCAAGCTGCAGCGCGGAAGTGGTCGCCCTTTTGTAGTGCCCTGCGGAGTTGTTGCTGTTCCATGAGAGGATACAGGGAACGGACGCATACATGCCGGTCGCCATCATGAACGTCATGCCATATTGGACCTTCGCATTTGTGCTGACACTAATCACAGCGTAGCCAATGATGGCGATAGGAAGGGTGAGTAGCATGATGGGTCCGCGCAGGGCGAGACGATCAGATATGATGGCGACAAAGACTGTGCAGACGGCTGCTACAGCGTAGGGAATGACAGTCCATAGCTGCGCTTGGTTTGGATCCGACGCGAATTTCAATGAATTGATAATCGTAGGGAGGAAAAGACCGAATGAGTACAGTCCACAGAGGATGGCGAAGTAAGCGGTTGCCGAAAGCCAGACTTGCACGTTGAAGATGCCGCGACGCACTTCGGACCACGAGAAGGGTTCGTGAGATGCGTTTTGCGAGTCCATGCGCTCCCGGGCGTGCGCTCTCTGTGGGGCGCTGAGGAAAGTCGCTGTTTCAATGGAGTTTGGTAGCGCGAGGTAGCATAGCACTCCAGCTAAAACGGTGAGTAGGCCTTCAATGATGAAGATCCAACGCCAGCCTGCTAGTCCTCCAGCATGTCCGATGGCGTTAAGGCCGCGGGCTAGGAGACCCCCGAAGGCTCCTGAGAGTGAGGCCGCGGTGTAAAAGATTCCGATGCGAAGAGCGAGTTCGGTTCGTTGGTAGAAGTGAGAGAGGTAGAGTACCATCCCTGGCAACAGGCCGCCTTCAGCAATACCGAGAAGCGCCCGAACGGCTACGAAGGATCCAAAACTCCCTACAAACCCTAGGCACATAGTCAAGATCCCCCAGGCTGACGTCAATAGAGGTAGCCATATCTTTGGAGACATCTTCTTGAGAACGAGATTGCTCGGAAGCTCGCTATAGCGCATTGTCATCAGAATCATTCTCTCCTTGAGGGTGGACATAGCGCGGAGCGACTGGGCGCACTCACCTGGCGATATAGGTGGCGTAAAACGCACACAAGCCAATCGCATATTCATGATCCGTCATATGTGTATCAGCTTGCAGCCCCAGAATCTTCGCATTGCCGACATTCGTGCGATCGATGAAAGAGCAGAGAAACAAGAGAGCGAGGGACGGTAGGATGCTGCGCGAAACACACATCGTCAGTGCCTCACTTCTCACTAAAGACGATGCGCAGAAGCTGCCAGAGGGAGAGATTTTACCGAACATCCATCTTCCAAAGAACCTCTCGCGTAAGGTGTGTTCCATCTTGTCCCATCATCTCTTCATCTGCGACGAAGCCATTGTCGGGATCGGCGCCATCGCGGGGCGTTCGCTCGATCTTCTCGTCCTGCATCTTGTCTGGTGAGAAGCGCATGTCGGATCCTCTCTGCAGTGAGTGGAACGGACGTAAATTGCTCAACGAGAAAGCCCAAGTTGCAAACAAAGGCGTCAAAGGTGAGAGAAGCAAAGCACGGAAGACATTGACGTCTAATATACGCACCGAACCCAAGCTTTGAGGCTAGCTGTGCCCGGGTGTGGGGGATGAGCTTACCTTTCCCCGCGGGGTGGCAGCACAACGGCGGCGGGTATAGTGCAGCCATTTGTGCAGCTATGCGAAGCTAGGGAGTGCTGGAAGAAGTCTGATTTGGCGAAGATCGTCGTTCGGACTCAGATCTGGTATGCCGTGTGCTGAAACTCTCGTTCCCTTCCAGTCATTGTACAAACACACTGTGTGGGAATACGGGGTAGTTGCTAGAGGGAAGGGAAGGTGATCAGTCACGCGGCATCCTAACTGACCCACAGCTACTACTCGTAGACGTAGCTATCTTCTTCTTATCGCACTTTCGTTCATTGGTGCTGCTCGCTCGCCATTTGGTTGTCCGTCTTCCTGGTTGATGGGAAAAAAGATTTCGGGAATTGCTATTGCGTTGACTAGCGGCTGTGAACCAAGCATGCCGAAGCCTTTTTACGGCGCTGGCGCCCAGAAATGCCAAACTGGCTGGGATCTGGGGGCCACATTGAGAGCTACCAGCCACCTCTGTCTTCATTTAAGGAACATTTTCAAAATACAACTTGTCGCTTCTCGAAGCCCGAGTGAGGGAGAATGGCTCAGTTTGTAGTATGGACATCCTGTGCGCAAAGGTTTGAACTTAGAATATGCGCGGGGCCAGCAAAAACCTCTAATGGATCAACCCGACAGGGGTATTGGCTGATGCTTCACACCAAAATTATGTGCCAAAAAGTCTTATCATAGTCATTTCACACACCCATCACAGGGAAAAACGTAATCAATTATGGGATCCGAATCATCACAGCAGTAAGTTCAAGTATTGTTAGCACGCTTCTCGTAAGTAAGCTGATTAATTGAATAGCGCGATTGTACCACACCCCTGGAGGTTGGCCATAGACAAAAAAGGACAGAAAAAGGCGGGTTAAACTGCTTCCATCTAATAAATTCCAAGTTGGAGTTTGGTTAATCCTATACACGGAGATGGGTGGATAGCGATAGTGACTTGAGTCGCTTCCTACGGACCTTTTATTCTGGATCATGATGAAGAAAACAAAACCCCGCCCGGTGTATCTGAAGTCAATAATTGAAGATCCCATTAGAAAAAAGAAAATAAACATAAGGAAATAAACATACCAGTGCCCCAAGTCTATCATCTAATCATCCCATACATTATACCAATAGTCTAAAAAGATATCTGTCTAAACCGATCACATTCTGGATCCCAAACGCCGTACCTTTAAAAATCTACAATCCAGTCCCAAGATGCTAATTACTCTTGCTTCAAATCAGAAGCTGGAGCCTCCAGGGTTCTGCCAGACCATGTAGCATCCCAGTACGTGAAGAATGTCATAAACTTCAACACGGAGTGGGCATAGCTGAACATCGGCACAGCTGGAATAGGAAAGAAATACAAAAAGAACAACTTGGGGTTCTCCCAGAACCAAGGAATCGTCTTCACCAACTTGGACGACCAGATTAGTGCAACCAAGGCCGTCATCATCAGACGTGAGTGGGCAGATGTCTGGTACATGTTAGTCCGAGTAAGCATGAACAGCATGAGAGGGTCCCAGATAAGTGCGAAGTTCCACATCCATGGAAAATAGGTCAGCCAGACTGTGAGAGGCCATCGCCACCAGATTACACGATCGAGGAAGAGTGCCTTAGGGTTCTGGCGAGCGGTGGTGCGACTCCAGCGCTTACATTGGTCCCAGAACTTGCGCGGGTTGAAGCCAAGCGCAGTGGTAATCGTGGCGTCTTCAGAATACTGTACCTTGACCTTCATGCCTTTTTTGAGGACCCAGCGCAAGATAAAGTTGTCGTCGTCCGCACTAATCGGTGTGAACTTCCACGGACGCCAGGTACGCAAGGCATGCCAGGAAAGCCCGGTAAGCCAGGAAAGCCCCTTAAGCCAGGTAAACCAAATACGCCAGGAACGCCGAGAAAACCAGTCACGCAACGTATCCCAGGTAGGGCGGGAAGGCCAGTGCCGGGGTCCGACAACATGCTCGTTGAGGAACTCCTTCCCGAATTCCTCATCCTGAACAATTGCACTGCGGATCAGCGAAGTGCGACCGGAGATACAGAATACACCCCCGTCTGCAGCATCGGAAGAGCGAATCTCGAAGTTGTGACGGACTAGGTAAAGAGCACCGATGGTGTTCCACAGGCCATGCCAGTATTCCGCGATTGCGTTCTTTGCTAGGACACGACAGAGTTCCCAGATTCCGTTCTCCCGTGGCGGTACCGCTATACGATTCTCGAATTTGTTCAGTATTACCCATTTCCGCGTGCCGACAAAAGCCACTTGCTTGTCATAGAAAGCAGGAAGTGTCGCCTCGAGCAACTTCCGGTTCCATACTGCACTGTCATCCGCCATAGCAATTAGTTCTGTTGTTGCCAGCTTGGCGGCTTTTAGGAATTGCCGTCGCTTGTCCGAAACATCTGCGTTGATGACATCAATAGGGGGTAGCTTGAAAACCCCCTTTTGGGACTTATCTGGTTGCTGATAATCGAAGCCTGCAGGATATTCTTCTCGAAATTTCTGTTTGAATTCGGGTAAACAATTCAGGACCTGATTTTGACTTTCTGAATTGTTCGTCGAGATGATTATGCGGGCAGGTCCATTGACTGCAATGGAGACAAGCATGTCGTAAAACCTGGAGTTGCCGGTGGGTCCAACCGTGGGTATGATTGCAGTGCAATCCAGGCTCGTGTAGAAGTGACCCTTGACATTACTTGTCTTGCAGCTCGATACCGTTGCCAGCTTATAGCGATTCCAGAAATAAACACTGATCACAGTCTTGTAGTATCGGAAGACCATGATGGCGATCAGCCAAACCAGTGCCGAGTCCCCAGAATTTTTGGCCCAGGAAGAGAAAAAGACCTTGACCAATGGGGGAAGAAAGTGAATTAGAAGAGAAAGTTGCTCTGCCTTTGTAGCTCGGGCTTGGGCCGCTTCGTGCGTTCTAGATTCGTACCAAAGGAACAAGATCCAAACTGTGTAGAGCGCCCATGGCACCTTGGAGTAGTGTGCAGATAACATGGTCCACATGTTGTGTAGAGGTAGCAGAGATGCTAGAAATTGGACCGAAGCTTGAGTTGTTAGTTGCTTCTAGAGCAGTGCTTCGAGGTTGAGTTGAAAGTTGATTCTGTACTCGATTTGGATTTCTGGTGAGAATTGTGTGGTTCTCTCGACCTCCCGCTCATATTGATGAATATAAATATTATGAAAGCTAGCAAATATGTTTGAGAACAGCGTGCGTGTTTTTGTAAATCTGATACATTGTTACATTCACAGTAGATGACTGGGATTGGCCTAGTGGTCTCTACGGTATACAATCGTAGCAAGCCTGGGCCGCTATTCGTCGAGCGCCGTCCATTCCCTCAGCTCGTACTACGCACATAATTACAAGAGCTCTTTACGATCAGCTCAGTAGTAAGAAGTCATATGAAAATGCACAAGAATTCCCAGGCCGGCGCCAGCAAGCTTGTTTCCGAAGCATAGAGTGAAGCCGGAAAAGCATTTCTGCTACCACCCTTGGTCGTCGAGAAGCACTGGCTATGATCGAAAACAGCAATATTAATATATTTTCGCTCATGAAAAACATTCAGGACCGAAGCTTAGGTCTCCCACGCCGATAATACGCCAACGCTGAGCGGGACAGCAATGAACAAATGATATATTATGAGGCAGATAAACTGCAGGTACTGTCCTCACTATAAGCTGACGAGGAATTGCGTTGATATAGCGGGAGGTGATTCCAAGCAGATGGTCGTCTACCATATATAGAAAAGTATTGATAGTTTTGGGTCTAAATGCTTCATTTGAACGCTGTTAGTTTCAATTACGGACGTGTAGCCCTGAAGTCTCTAATTATAGGATGCCGAAGCTGTTTGCTGTAGAAGATGTCTCACCCTGAACCCTGGCAAACTTACGGAATTTAATTTCTGTGATAACTGTTGTGTTTTTGCTTCTACGGACCGTGTGATTTGCACCTGGTCTGCATGGGAATCGTATCTCTTAATGGTTCTCATAGTCTTAATACCTCGAATAGTTGATCCGTGTATGACCGCATGCTGAGAGTGTTGGGACCGCTCTCTCGGCTACTTGCTACCAGCACTGAGGGTGGCGGTCTCACTCGCGAACTTGCGTTGGTGAAATGAACGTGCTGTTCAAAATTATCACGTCTCACAGATCTTTGTGTAATGCGGATCGGTACACAGGCCATATGCTGTACGAATGTGACAGCCAATACACGAATAGAATGATTTTATATAAGTAGTATCTACCTTCCCTATGCAAAATTAAGGAGAAACATGCAAATGAGGTTTGCGAGTCTCGCACGGCCTGCCCTTCCCGCGTTTTAGTATGCAGTTTCTTGTCCAACGTCTTACAAACACGCAATTACAGGTACCTGGTAGCACAGGTGACAAACAATGAGCCTCAATTCCGAAACACGGTGGCTGTAAAATAACCGTGAGATTCTGCTTTGTTAGTGAACTCAGCGAAAGCTGGGATATCCTCGCAACCGCCACTGCGCAAGCAGCCTCAAACCCGCAGCGATCACATCAAGATTTCACACATCAATCAAAAGCTAGTGACCACACTCTGCAAATTCATCCCTGATTTTTCCTTCGCCTGCTTTCTCGTTACGTCACTTTACAACTACTTCTATAAAGGGACACGTTGAATAGCTTACTCCGGAGTACCACATTTGCTCTCCACACTTTTAAACTAATTCTATGGAATCTTCGCGGCTGTATCAATTGCGAAATATCAATCAGACTCCAACTCGGAATTAATTACAGCTTATCAAATCTGCACTCTAGTCCGTCCATCGCGCATGTAGCCGGAGCTACTTTATCGTTCGAATCAGACATCCTGTGACTAAAACTGTTTCCCTCTTATTCATGCCCACAACTCCCCTCGGCACGAAACTAGTCATTTCCCCGAGCAAACTAGAATGAAAGCAAAGGCAACACCGAAGGCAACCATTCACGTGATATCACGTGATCAATGCTGCCTAAACTCCACCCCCCTGAGCCATCTCATCCGAAGTCCGCCCAGACACATATAAATACCCCTCCAAACTCCCCCAAAACACTTTTCCTTTTCTCCCTATCTTCTCTTTGCCAATACGGCTCTGATCTGATGTAGTATCTGTTCTTGCACAGGGTAACGCCTGCGCAGCTGGACCACGAGAGCCAGTCAACGTTACACCCAATTTTTTACTCTTTCAGATCGAGACGGCCTGAAGACTATGTTGGAAGGTCGTTTCATGGTCACAGTGTCGCCGCTACCTGCACTACCTGCGGCATGACGCGAATGCACCTTTTATGGGGGAAAAACTTTTTTTCATTGAGTGGGCTAGTCGCTATGCGATGGGCCGCTTGAAGAAGAACATAGGAAAGAACAAGAAAGATTCAAGCTTTTGCTTGTGTGGTGGAGGTAATGCGTTGGTGATGGCATGGGGGGTTGCTCATAATCAATTTACGATAAAATGACCTCATTCAGGGTACTGTTTGGCACCTCTCGCCCTCTTTTTCAAGATCGATTGCCCATTGATACACCGTAAGCCTCCGGAGGCTGTTCATATCTTTCTGAGTACAATAATCTATTCATGAACCAAGTTTAGCACCGCGGGATGTCGTGTTGGCATGATATAAAATTTTAGACATGCTATCCCCTGACTCTATCGTTGACCGGTCACAGAACATCATCTCCCCCATTTACCTCAATGGGGAGAAAATGCATTTCGCTTGAGAAGTCAAAGTTGTCAGGCTCTCTAACAAATGGGTTTCATTGTAATAAAGTGTATATAAGAGGGACCTGATCCAGTCATAAGGCGTTGAACCACTCTGTCCGATTAAAGCCCGGAGAATCGAAAGAACGTTTTAGCAAGAGTTGAGATTTTTATATTCCTCTCTTTTGTCGAAGATATCTAAGACGCCCAATGAAATGGACGATTTTGAAGACCTGGAACCCTCTTGGGATGCTAGGTACTGAATTACTAGTATGATTCAGCAATGCTAGCCATTCTGATATGTTAACCGCGCGTTACCATCGTGACGGTGAAGATCCACCCACATGGGAGACTTGCAGGAAGTATGTTGTTCAAGGCTCGAAATCAGTCAAACTAGCCGTGCTTTCCGGATAAAGGGGGAACTCCCCTCGGCCCTAACAAAAGCCTCCAACACCTCCCCGAGGCCGGCATCATCAATTTCCCAGACAGCGCCACCACCCATCACAGTGCTTCCGTTCTGCTCGCACATCCATCCAGATACTTTGAGTGATTTCAGCCGCAATTCAGTTCGCATCATCCGGAAGACATCTTCCCAAGAGCCATTTGGATCTAGAGTGATGTCTTGTAACTCTATTTCTGTGAGAGTGCGGGCATTGCTCTGTAGGATTCCGACGATATGAGAATAGTCTACTGAGGCTTCCCGGATAGAAAGTCGAGAGAGGTTAGAGAGATCACTGGGAATGATATCTTCAAGATGAGTGTTGGAAGGCTCTTGGGGATCATCCATCGAGTCATCATATATGACACTGTGAAGGCTGATGCAAATTCCAGAGAGAGAAACTAATCCCCCAATGAAAGCCTTGAGAGCTCCTTGCTTCAGGTATTCGTCGAAGTCTGATGGTGAGAGCGCCACAACGTCATTTTCATCATCCAGTACCCTGGTCATGATGTGTAGCTCCAGAAACTTGAGATTCGGTAAATGAGTAGCCAGATCATGAGGAAAAATTCCATGATCGAAGGACATATACCTAATCCCAACAAAGAGCTATTAGTGCAGCTCCGACAAAGAAGTATTGTGGCTCAAGAATTATAGCGCAGCGCCGCCCAGGATTTCGGGTATCCAACGATAGCAACTGGGAGTATACATACATAAGATGATCGATGTGGAGACTTGTGAGAGTACGCCCCATAGATCTGATTCCGCAGATGAGCGCCTTATGTCCAGGGGGTCCAGAGGGGAGGATACCGCAGCTGAAAGAGCACAGGTCAGCAAGGAGAAACAGGTCAATGTCATGAGAGCTGGGTCTCACAAGCAACAGACGGAAAATACACGTACTTTGACGTTCTTCCTCTGGCATGATATTCATTTCCAGGTGTGTGTGGAACTTCACAACCGAATTCGTTCCAAGGCTTGAAGATAGTATTTCCTACGCCCCTCTCGAATCGACCAGTCATTATTCTCAACGTTGTTAGATTGGTCAATCGATCGAGCACAAACTTGGTGGTGAGGATGCCGAGAATGTGCTCCATAAAGTTGTTTTCCTCTGCAATTTTCTGCCGGTAGGTCATGTACTGCTTTGTCATCACTGCCATGTTATCCTTGAGGGTTTCCTTCTCGCCATCGGGCAACATTTGTTCGTACTCAACGACATCACCATACGGCGTCAAGTGAAACATCCGATGGTACCCTGAATGGGTCTTATGCTCCCAGAGTGCAATGTTGTTGAGACCGCTTTCATACATGTTGGCGTCCCACACAATGTCTTTGACGTATTTCCGGAGCACAGGATGAACGGCGACATTGTGGACACGGTTGAAGCTGGCGTAGCTGGAATGAAAGACAAGCTGGCGGAACAACAATGGAGCTGCGGCAGCAGCGAACGCCTTGTTCACCAGGCGGAAATTCTGGAGGTCTTCGCGTGGTAGCCAATCGCCGATTCCCATCAGCGTCTCTAAGGGGAGCTGTTCCATCGTGTAGAGCGCCGAGCTGTGGATGTTATGTGCGAGGGAAAATCAAGGTTAGGAAGACAGAGCCGACGCAGTTGTGGGAGGTGAGCGGTCATTGAAGCTTTCTATTACATAATCGGGACAGTCGTGAGGAAGGTACACGAAAAGCGCGCCAAGACAAATGTCACGTGTTTGACATTTCCAGACGCCACTTGCACACGTGTGCAACTAACAGGAAAGGTAATAGGTATGTATGTACCTAGGTACACACAAGCAACTATCGCTTTTTCTGGGTCGCCCGAGTTTGTCAAAATTGAATAACCCTATAACAACTTTCATCAGTTTCAAGCTTTCGTACATCATGGAGTACATACATCAGTGTTGCGTCGCAACGAAACAGGCGTCTGGACCTAGCCGTCCGAAAATCAAATGATGGATATGCATTCAGCACTTCTGATAAGTAAGTGTATATGGCTCCAAATCATTGATCCGACCAGTAATGAACAACTAAGTGAGGACAGTCTGATCTTCGACCGTATCTCTACTCATGTTGATTCGTACAATACACGCTTCCGCACGAAAGCCGCAGATGAACGACGCGATTTGTAATGATCATCTACCACCGATCGAGATGCTTTTATCGGCATTTAAACATATGGCGTGATTGAATTCATAATTCCTGCACAGTGCTTCAGCCTTTCGTGTGCAACCGTTTCACGGGTGTCGTTGTGGTTTTTTCAAATCATTGTCGGGGTTTTGGAAGTAAACCGGTGAGCCAACGTGCATGGTGTTTGATAATGGCATTTATCTCCTGCCTTGGCCGTGCGACCATTGAGTTTCAATGATTTTCGTTGGTGACGGTGGTAGTGTCATAGTCCAGGCAATCTTTGCCTATGTACTGAAATATTCTTGACTAAATGTTCGATGGGTGGTTGATGTGAGAGCCACAGGTGAAGGGCAGGGATCTTCGTGTTGTAAAATTCATATAGTAGCATCTGAATGTACGTATCATCATCAGTTGGTGTTTGGGCACGTCGGCATATATGGTAAGCCAGATGAGCTGACGGAAGAACCATCAACCGAATCCATATTCCACGTGGATCTTCATTGCATTGTACTGCCGCCCGGTGCTGATTGTATAGTTCGGTCGTTGCTTCAGCTTGCCAATTTGAGAGTTTCACGTCAGATTTGCTGGAAAGCTCTCGCGCTTTGTGGTCGGGGCCAAAAGTTTGATATCTCTTTGCACCGGATGATGCCAGCTTTGAAAGAAAGCTACTCGGGTTGCAGACTTTGGCCGGAGTTTTCAGTTGCAATGCCATAGCCTCCATCGATCTGGAGAGGGAACTACACATTGGAACATCTTCGAAAAAGAAGATTGGGGATCAAGGTACCTAGACATGATTCCGACCATTTGCATAAGATTAGGAGGTCCTCGTATTCGCACCGCCGAATCATACTTTATTTCAACAGACTCAGTCGCTAGGCCTGAAACGTGTAGCGTACATTAGTTTCCGAATACCGCTGACCATCGGAGCGGAGATGGGTTCAAAGCCTCATCGCCTCGCCCAATCACGGCGGCTGATATTGGCCCCATTGCCAAACCACGGCGCCACAGCCCTAACCCCTGGACTATTTGGTCTATCTTTACCATCGACTCCTCAGCTCTTGGGCGGCCTAAGGGCCTGATCTTCAGTGTTCCGAATTAGATGGTGAGATGTTGTAGCAACAGGGGCTGCTAGAGAACTGTGGGATCCCATAAAGTAGAATCTGCACCCACGTAATACGTGATTAACTTTATTTCCGGCAATTACTACGCCCCGCGTATGCGTCAAAGATGCGATTCTCAGTGTTATTCGTAGTAGCCGTCACGGCTCTGCAGAGTGTGGCGGCGGTGGACTCGACACTTCGACATCCTCGCGATGTGGTCCCTCGAGCAACGACCAGTTCCGAGAAATCTTCTAAATCTTCTTCCAATGATTCAAAGTGAGTCTCCTGTGTACAAGTCAACGCGACATTTACTAACGGTTGCGTAGACCATCAACGACATCAAAACGCACCTCTACCGACCCAACCACCTCACCCACCAAAAACCCATCAAAGACCCCGACACAGTCTCCGAAACCAACAAAAACATCATCACCGACCGATTCTCCGCCATCAGAGACTCCATCATCGATCGAAACGCCACCACCGACTGAGACCCCCTCACCGACAGAAACCCCCCAGCCATCCACCGAACCAACAAACACACCACCCCCAACAGCCTCGCCTTCCCCAGAACCCAAAGCAGGTCTCTCAGAAGGCGCAAAGATCGGTCTCGGGATAGGTATTCCCCTCGCGTTGGCCGCCATCGGCGGTGTCGTCGCAGCTTATGTTGTTGGCAAGCGACGCGGCCGACGACGAAGAGTAGACGATCCTACCGCCGGAGCCAGCCAGCGCATCCGCGATCCAAGTGATGAGCTCAATCTCGTACGCACGCCGACGGGTATCATAGAGCTTCCAGCGGCGGTGGCTGGGGGGTATGGCGGGAGCCATCAACGGAACGTTTCCTTGTCTACGTGGTGGAAGCCGGTGGGGAAGAACCCGGAGATGCAGAAGTGGGGGTATGATGATGACGAGCAGAGGCAGCCGCTGTCGCCGCAGGAGATGCCGGCGTGATGAATGTGTGGCTACGTTGCGCCATGCTGCGCGGCGCTGGTACCTGTCTTGTTTCCTTTGTTTGCATTTGTATGTGATTCGCGAGCTTTATCTCGATGCATTTTTCCCGGTGGCATTTTGTTTGGTGTTGCATGATACCCGTTTTCTTTGTTTCTTCTTATCGTCTGCAGGGAAAATGTGCACTCCCGCATGTATCTGCTTTTCTAGGAAGAGCGCTTGGCGTGCGTGGTCGTTTGTTACTTAGGTAGCGGCTTATGGATCGAGTTGGTTAGCCTATTTGGATGAGCTGTCTGATCCTCGCTATTCATATATTCTCTTAGTTGTTGTTGTTGTTAACAAGCATTATATCGGGTCCTCGCAGGACACGTGGGGTGCTTCTGCCCGAATTTCATCTTCTTATTCTTCTCTTGAATCGATATAGCTTGCGAAAGGACACGGCCATCCACACATCGCGCGTGATACAGCTTATCGACCTGATTCTTAAACTATGACTGAGCAGTCGTTGACTTTGGGGTGAAAAGACCGTCCTAGCTGTCGCGGGTGCTTATTAGCCACTCTCCGCCTCGTGCGATGATATTGACCTCAGAAGTAGTAGCAAGTCCATCTGAAGCCGCAGGAAAATGATGGCTCAGTCTTTTGATTTTATCTTTTACATACTAAATCACTTATACATAAGGCTCGCAAAGTTATTATGGGGTAGATGAAATCTGTTCCCATACTCTCATTTCTCGGTTTGGAGCTGATTCAATAACAGGGCACTATCTCTATCTCTTGTAAAGTGTTTTCATACCTCATCCCCTATATATTCAATATCCTGGTGACCCATTCGCGTCCTGCAGAACTCTCATATGTCCAGATCTTTCCTCAAAACCAAATATCCCACCTATTTTCCATGCTTTGGAGGATAAGGGACCCCTCGTTCAATCATTCAGTGCTAGTGGCCCGATCACCAGTGCCCCATCAATTACATCGCTTAAGACTGTGATTGAAACGTTTATTCCGCGTCCTATTGTTTATGACCATCGGAGTCGTCATTTTCATCCCCGGAATCAGAATTTTTCGAGGTACTGCTTTCCCCAGCATTGTGCTCAATACTATTGTCGTATTGGACGGTTGAGCGGGGGTCAGGTCTAATCGGTAAGACATTCATACGCACGCGTCGACGATGGGGTGGAGCGGCAGGACTAGTCGAAGCCGTTCCAGTCTCCTTCAACACATTCTTTTTCGATATCATAGAGCTTGGACCGTCATCCTCTGATTCTTCATTTGAGCGTTCCTCGTCCGAGCTGCTCTTATCAGCAGTTCCGTCACTCTCATTGTTCCCCTTTGAAGTTGATTCAGGAGGTTCCTCTGCACGGGCATACCAGGGAGTGTTAGTCGGCTGCTGTGGAAGGTATGGTGCGTCGACGGTGACTCGGGGAGGTAGCCAGATGGCCCCGTGGTTCCAACCGGAATGCAGATGAGCTCCATACCAGGTCATAATCTTGGAATCTGGATTAGAAGGAGCGCTAGTCTCCACGATCTTGCTAGCATTGGCATCCTTGTTTCCGCCGCCATTGTTCTTGCGTGAACGCTTCCTGTTCGGCTCTTGGTCTGTCTCAACTTGACGCCCATCATTATCATTTTGTGCGGTGATAGATGACCCTGTGATAGACGATCCTGTGATTGATCCCCCTATGATTGATCCCCCTATGATCGTTGACCCCATGATTTTTGACCCTGTGATTGTTGACCCTGTAGTCGTTGACCCTGTGATTGTTGACCCTGTGATCGTTGACCCTGTGATAGATAAGCCGGTACTAGATGGCCCTGCCATAAATAGCCCTGCGACAGATGGGCCTGCTCGAGATGGCCCGGTAGAGGAAGGACTCAGAGCGAAAAAATTGGTTGCATATGGATTTGTCGCAAAAGGGTCAGTCATAGAAGCATTCGTCGCATAGGGGCTTGCTGTAGAAGGGATCGTCGTCGCGGAGGGGTTATTTGCATAAGGGCTCGCAGTACCAGCATTCGTAACAAAGGGGTTCCCTGTAGAAAGGTGCGACACATAGGGATTCGTCGAATATGCCATTGTCGCAAAGGGGTTCATCGCGACGGTGTTTGCGTGAGGGTTTGTCGTAGAAAAGTTCGGCGGATAAGGGTTCGTTGAAAACGCATTCGTTCCATGAGAATTTGACAGAGAGGGGATCGACGTGTAGGGATTTGCCGTATAGTGATTCGAGACATATGGACCTGTCGCATGTGAACCTGGTGCGAAGGGATTTGTCGCGGCAGCAAATGCATTGGGGACAGGGAAACCGATAGTGGAAGGGCCCGCGATAGTTGTACCGGACGTGCCAGCATGTTGCGTCCCGCTCTGCCCTTGCTGCGTAGCGTTGCTCATTTGCCTGCCTCCCGAGTACTGAACGTTTCTAGGATAGGCTGGGTGGCTATTGTAGAACTTTCGGAGGTTATTTTTGTTGTTTAGGCGTTTGGAGATAGCTTGTAGCGATGCCCTACCACCGTAGCGCTCAACATATAGCTTTGCAACAGCCTGGTACGAGAGGGGGCCGGTTTCTGTGGACGTGGATCCGTATGGATTAGGTTTGATGTTATCTCGAGTGACCATTAACCACTCGAACTGTTCATCCCACTGATCCCGAGGAGGAGGTCGCGGTCGGGAAGCTAGAGCTGGAGCTGGAGCTGGAGCATTTTTTGAAGGCCCAGCGGTCGCCGTTGATTGTGTGTTGGAATCGACGTAGTCCTCGTCGGAGTCATCCTCGTTGTTAGCTTCTTCGTCCCCTCCATATAGCTCAGAGCCCTCAATATCATCAGGGTCTCCAGGATCTTCCGGCTCTTGAGAGACTGACGGATCATGCTCCTCTAGAGAGGGGGGGACATCCTCCATTTGGCTGTGGACGTCGGCCGATGGCTGGCGGGGAGAAGGAGATTCAGACTGGTTGGAATCCATCCCGTATGAATTTGGTTTCGGAAAGATAATTATGGATAGACTGGTGCTTTAAGTATTGGGAGAAGTTGAGGTGACTGTGGTTGAGAGTTCGTGGTTGCTGAAGGTAGCTGCTGAATTCCAACGGTGTAGGGGATTTATATCGCAAGAACCTTGGTCGTTGCATGATGGCTTTCTCAGCTGGCACTGCATAATCACGGGTTCAATCCACTGAAGGCAAATAACGCTCAGTCACGCACCAGTGATGCACGCGTGCCTCATTGTGTATAACTAATGCTCCCACCAATACACAATCATGCCACATAGAAATGCAATGATCGAATGATGTACTTAGTTTCTGAGAAAACCATTTTAACCACCTCTAAACACTCCTAATTTCATGCCGTCTTTTCTATTTGTAGTTAAATAAGTGAATTTTCACCAACACTGAGACACTTTGACCCTACAAATATGTAAAGTTAGACACTGAATCACCAAAAGATTATGCCATGATGATAAATGAGCCGCAAAACTGTTCTAAATCCCTGAAATAAATCTTTTTGTCCAATGCAGCGATCAATATTTTCACGATATATTCCCTCCGGTGTATACGACACTTCCTCTTTTGATTCCACATATATTTAATTACATTGAGGTTCTATCTTTGATCATTCAGCATGTATTCGCCCCGTCGGTCCACCTTCCCAGGCGTGGCGGATGTCTCAAGCTGCCATCCATTTCTCAACCATCCATGTCCTCAGACTCCTCGCCGTCACCGTCGTCTTCAGAATCCGACTCATCCCACTCTGGGTACTCTGGGTACTCTACGGTGTACCTGGTAGGAGGGACTCGCGGAGCGCTGTCGGTGGCGGGTTGGGCCGTGGATGCTGCAGCTCGGGTCTTCTTACTGTCCTTTTCCTTTTCCTTTCCCTTCTCCTTCTTCATCTCTTTCTGCCTCGCTTTCTCCAACTCCCACTTCTTGAACATCCCGTCTGCAGGACCTTCATCTGAATCCTCACTGGAGCTGTCTTCATCTGAGGAGCTCTCATCTGAGGGATCGTTGGGATCCGAGCCAGGAGATCCTACTGTGGGAGGGATCCCAAAGAAATATTGGGAACCCTGCCAAACGTTCCGTGCGCGGGGGGTCACTGGTGGAGGAAGCGAGGTATTCCCACGATCCAAGCCGGGCTGTGGGCGGGCTCCATGCAAGCCAGCAGCCTGGTTGGTGGGATGGGTGGAAGGACCTTGGCGATTGTTTGCCCTACTAGGAGCACCTTCGTTCCCATTGGCATCGGCCCATCGCACGCGCTTCTTGCTAGGCTCACCACCAGTTCCGGCATTTCGCTTATTGGGACGGCTCGGTCCCGCATTAGGTGGACGAGCGGTGGCTGTTCCAAGGGCAGTTGGCCCGGCAATGGAGGGTCCTACTACAGATGGACCAGCGATGTTGGATCCCGTAGAAGAAGGGCCGGCCGTAGATGATCCAGCCAATGCTGATGCCCCGACAGCAGCAACAGGCTGGCCAGTATTCTGAATGGCGCCAGTATACTGGATGTTCCGCGGATAATTGGGGTGACTGTCAAAGAACTTCCTCCTGTTGTTCGTATTGTTCAGTCGCTTCGATATGGCTTGCAACGATGCAGAGCCGCCATAACGCTCCATGTACAAATCAGCAACAGCCTGGTATGATCGCGGGCCCTTTTCGGTCGATGTATTTCCGTAAGGGTTCGGCCTCACGTTGTCTCGAGTGATCATGAGAAACTCGAATTGGTCGTCCCACTGATCCCTCGGAGGGATTTTGACCTTGCGACGAGGTGCTCGGGGGTTCTTTGACGGTCCAGCGGGCTCCGTGGATTCAGTGTTGGGCTCTTCATATTCAGAGTCGCCGGCGTCACCGTCGTCCTGTGAGCCTTGTTCGCCATCGTCACTGGAATGCTCGCTGCCATCAATGTAGTCAGCATCTTCAAGGGGGTCGATTGTCTGCTGGCTGGCCTCTACAGCATCATCTTCCTCTCGAGCGAAATAGTTGTCCTCGATTGGACTGGGAGACTCCGCTGGCGTCTCAGGTGAACGGCGGGATGATGATTGTTGTGAACTCATGGTGTTAGAATTCAATATGGTAATGTCGTTGGTATTGAATATGGGAGTGTTTTGAAGATTGATAAGGGTTGATCTCGGAGTTATCGAGTGTTCGAGGTTGCAGGAAGCAGTTGCTGAGGTCTTTGGTCGAATTGGACAAGTTAGAGGAGAATATATACTAGAGTTGACCTCAGGTCATGCAGCCCATACCAAAGACCGTTGACTTTCTCACTAAAAACACTGTTTGAAAACGCAGTAACTACGTGTTATCACAAGCCCCACTCCATGTGAGTGAACAGCACTTTGTCTCGCACCGATTAGGCTCTGGGGCCTAGCTCTAGCTAAACAATGCTGTTTGCACTGTACAACAACAAATCTCATGGTTGAGTTGAACGCCATAATGTGCATGACCAACTCGATTTATAGCTTTGAAACCATGATATCCCATGTGTTCTTCAAATTGCATCGTAGAATCCTTTGCAGGGGATATGAGATGTCTTCTATTTTCGCGGTAGTATATATGAGCGTAGAGGCGCCCAAGAACGCAATTTATAAAGAAATATGTATTTAGATGCTTTTATAATACGGTGACGGAGTCCTGTCCTGATATATTTATATGCTCGAGAAAGCAGTGGTGACGTCCCTTCTTGACTGCGGCATCCTCACCATCGACGAATGAAGGGTGTATTGTAATGTCGAGATGTTTAACTTGGCTTGACAGACAAAAGAAAGCAGCAGAGAATTTTAGTAACAGACCCTCGTTATCTCATAATGGGTTTAATATATTGGAGATCTCGAAGTCGTCTCTAAACCGCCAGTCTTTGTTTACTATTCGATCGTCGCATGCAGGAAAGCATCCGTCCAGAATTTTCTGGCTCTCTTATCTTATTCAAGTGTCTTCCTACGTTGTTAACTGTATGTTCGTTAAAATATATCGTAGAAATGTCTCCCCTAGAGCAACTCATCACAAACTGCATTGTGATGGGTGACGGATGCCAACTACCTAGAAGCTAGGAGAATGTGCTGAAAACTCCGCATTGGCAGTATTAAGGAGGCTTCAGCTGTGTTTTGGAGTCAGTAGTCTGTTCTTTGCCGCTCTATATATAGAGATTCTAGGTAAACTTTGATTGCTCGCACTCTGCTTGTGTTTTTTAATCGGTTTTCACTTCATTCGATTGTCAGGAAACTCGCGTCGCAAACCACTCAAGTCATAGCGCAGTACTCAAGAAGCAATCATGAAGCTGCTTGTCAGGTATTAATTGAAACTTAACTCTTTGTCACGGGTTTCAAATTGATATAATGGGAACATAACAATCCTGAGACAGATAGAGAGGACGACAGATGCAGAGCCCACCACACCAAAGAAGATACTGAAGCTATCATACTACCGCCGCTTATACCATCTACTTGCTATATCTTTCCGGAATACGCTTGATTCATGATCACTCGGCTTGGTGCGCTGCTTCGATAGTCCCGGTGGAATGTCCCGGTCTGTAGAATGCTTGGCACAATCAAAGAACAAGTGGCAGACAAGGCGACATGGCAATTATGCAGTCATGCGGCTGAACGTAAAGAAGACGATCATTTTTCTGCTGGGTATCGCTGACTTTCTGGAATTTTCAGCTGCTTGTCGATAGCTGTCCGGGTCAAGTGCGTTGCCTTGGCTGTTCCTGAGCCGAGGCTATGCAAGCACCGCAACCGCGTTGGTACCGAAGCTGGCATCATGAACATGTAAGTTTCAAAGCCCACGGAATGAGAAAAGGACATCGTGCATCTTGAAGCCTGAATTGTGTCTTTTACAGAGCTTCTTACTATACAGAATATCAATCAGTGCGATGGCGACTCAAGCCCAGAGATCAGCTGACCGCGAACACCTCGAGCAATCGCCCATTTCACTAGTAAACATCTCCACAGGTCACGGCCAACAACACGACGATGCTGAAGCCGGCACTCGAACAGTTTTCTCAGATCAAACACCTGGCTTGCCTGCAGTCGATAGAGGATACGCAGCATGGCGCTTGCTCCTCGCCGCCTTTGTGTTTGAGGCTTTGTTGTGGGGGTTCCCGCTCTCTTTCGGCGTCTTCCAGGAGTACTACTCCAGCCTCCCAGAATTTCAAAACAACCCATACATCTCAGCTATAGGGACTACGGCTTCTGGGATATCGTATCTGGGTGCGCCGTTGGTGACGCCGCTGATCCGACGTTGGGCGCCCTACCGAGTACACATGATTTGGTTTGGATGGCCGTTGTGCATACTTGGTTTGGTGGCGGGGAGCTTTGCGAATGAGCTGGGCACGCTTCTTCTCACGCAAGGGGTTCTGTACGGTGTCGGATTCATCATATTCTATTATCCTATCTTGTCGATGGTAGACGAGTTCTGGATTCGAAGAAGAGGTATGGCGTATGGGTTTCTATGCAGTGCATCCGGCGCATCTGGAGCTGTCACACCCGTCATCGTACAAATCCTGCTCCGCAAGTACGGCTACAAAACGACATTGAGAAGCGTCGCTCTCGCCCTCGTGGTTCTCACAGGGCCATTGATCCCGTTCCTGAAACCCCGCCTGCAGCAACAGCAAACGGCGAGCCTACGAACAGACTGGAGTTTTCTTAAAAAGCGCTTGTTTTGGACGTATAGCATCAGTAACATCCTCATGGGCCTAGGATACTTCTTCCCCGCGGTGTTTCTGCCATCTTACGCGACTCTGATTGGATTGCAAGGATCAAGAGGCGCGCTGCTTTTGACTTTGATGAGCGTTGCGCAAGTCGCAGGCCAGTTCAGCTTCGGCTACATGTCTGACAAAAAAGTGCCAGTTAATGCACTCATCAGTGTGGCATCACTGGTCGCGGCTGTTGTGACTTTGACCATGTGGGGCTTGGGGCGCACAATGTTACCGCTGGCCTTCTTTGCTGTTTTGTATGGGTTCTTTGGTGCAGGATGTACGTATCGCCCCCTCCAATCCTCTCACGAAGCATGAATCTTGAGTTACTGACATTGGTTCTACATCTGCAGATACGGCAATGTGGGCAAGAATGTAAGCATCCCTGGTGTGTGCCATGGTATGCTCATCCCATCAAACTAACTTTCGTCAGGGTGACCGCTGTTAGCGAAGAGCCATCCGCGTCGCAAGCCATGTTCGGTCTATTCTGCGCAGGCAAGGGCATCGGTAATATCCTGACGAGCCCCATCAGTGCTGGTCTTTTGAGATGGTCGACACAATCATCTGGGTACGCGTCTGGAACATACCGAGCAATCGTCATTTTCTCGGGAGTTTGCTTGTTTTTGAGCGCCATCAGCGTGAGCGCAGTATATGTCAGGCCCAAAGCGTATCTAGGAAGGTTCTTCTAGACACGGTGCTTATTGAAGAAGGTCGGATTGTTTTATAGGCAATATGCAGCGTTCTTTTGCGCAGTAAAGCTGAAAAGAACCGGGTAGAAGATCATTGCTACCACATGCGACCATGTCGCGGTAGTACTCCGTCGAATATATATGTACATCTCATGTAGTCATCATGAGAACCTAGGCCTGCAAAAATCACTTGAACCCGATAGCTAGTTAGGTCGTACGTGGGTTCTCGAGAGCTGTAGGCGATATCCAGGGTTCGGGATCTTCTTTTTTCCGCTTTTTCGTCACGTGAGGTGGCCCGCCCTTTTCATTCACCACTGATTCGATTACTCGTCAATGCTCTTATTCGTCTTTTTTCGTCTCTAACCAGCCTTTGTGGTTGTGGTACAGTTACTTCATTTCAATTGTGTCTAGGAAAGCCTGGTCACATCTTCATTTTGAGTAAGAGTCAAGGTGTTGTCTCCACGCAATACGTTATCTTGGACTAGAAATATATAGGAAAAGCAAATACGCCGCCTCAAATGATTACAGTCTTGTGGTAAATATAAGAATCTATCGGGCTCTACATGAATATCTATACCATGGCGCGCGTGCGGCCCGCCATCAATTGATGATTAGAAAATCCCACACGTTAGCCAGTGAGTTAAAAACATATATGATATGCGCATCAAAGCGTATTCTCAGTCACAACGGCCCGCCGTCACAACTACTTACCGCGCTTCAATTTCGCGAACACAGGCATGTTAAGGATATTCCAGTTACATGCGCCCACCTCACTCGAATCGCTGTGTCCCGAGCTAGGCCGCACAGCAGGTTCACGCAACGTGAGTGGCGACAAAGAAGCATTCATCTTATCCGCAAGTGCGCCCATGCGTCCAATCTCAGCGTGCTCTTCTGCATTAGTGTCGTCCGACAGAGCTTCTCGCATGACCTGGAAATTCTCATAATCCTCTGCAGCCGCCCTAAGCTCTGCCTGTGGATAGTGGGTTAGATCAGTGCCGTTGAGACCGCTGCGAGTCAATGCTGTGGGGTTAGGTACGAAGCGCTTGGTGATGAAGAAGTAGCGCTCATAGAAGCTTCGTAGGGGCTTAAGCACACTGATTACCGTGTTATGAGACTGAGTGTGGACTTCTAGCTTTGTGGAGATCTCCTTGGTGTGTTCATCTTGGGCTTCAATGATGTCATCATATCCTTCCTCTATAGCTTCGAGCTCGGCTATCTTTTTCTTCTTCTGTTCGAGCTCTTCGTTGGACGCTTCCATCCTCGCTTCCAGTGCTTCGATCTGTTTCTCTTTGATGTCGAGTATGCTTGTATGCTTAGACTCCCCGCTGCTAATGTGCATTCTAAGAGCCTGGTTATCTTGATGGAGCCGCTTGTAATCGGATAGATGCTGATCACGTTCTTGCTGTAGGTGGATGGTGAGAAGTTTGTTTTCTTCCAACGCTCTGATCTTCTCGGCAGTGGCTTCCAATTTCTTTCTGAGCTTTTCGGTGGCGCGTTCCGATTCTTCCAAGAGGTTCATGTAGAAGTCCCGGGAATGATGCGCTAGCTTCACCTGCTGCAAGCGCTCCTCGTGGTCAGCAGGTAGATTCTTGACAGCCTCCTCCGCTTCTATGAGTTTCTTCTGTAGTTCTGCAATTTTGGATTGATTGGCAACATCGCGTTCGTCAGTTTCTTTGATGTATTCCTGGGCTTGCTTCAGTTCTTTCTGGAAATGGTCCTGCACTTCTTCAGGCACAACATCTTGGAAATTAAGCCCATGAGATTTGGCCTCCGCAAATACCTGAGCGATGCGGACCTGGAAGTCGTGCTTGGATGACATTTTTGATGTCGATGCGATATAACAGTGGCGTTTTCGATTTTCTCCTGATTGTGGTGGATCACTAGGGTTCGGGTGAGTAGAGTATATGTTTATGAATCAAGCTGCGTTGTGCTGAGACAGTAAAGTCAATGCATTGTGAGCAAACAGTGCGTTTCCAATGTCCTATCTTAGATCACATTGTTGGAGCACGTATTGTCTCACAAAACAACATGGACGAACCCTTCCAGCTCCAATGTAATAGATCGTGGGCATGGAGCTATTTGTATAGTATAGTGACCTGCTTATCGATTTTGTGGTAGCGATCGGGCACATAAAAACCGAGTACAATGGAAACGACACCAGTAGCTGGACATAAAGAAAAATAACAACTCTGCATTGTTCACGGGGCGAACAAAGAGTCTCGATAATTTCTACTCTAACAAGGCATGTTTATTGTTGCAATTGAGGTTCTCGTCAGTTTAGTACGGTCTACATGTTGATACCGTCATTAATCTCGACACCACCAGGCAGTGTTTCCAACCCTGTAATGGTTAGTCAGACATCCAAGATATCAAGTTTCAGACGAGACTCACAATCTTCTCCGTCAACATCTTCCTTGACAGTCTGAGCGATGCGACAATTCATTGCTTCCTCGTCGGTCTGGCGTTCCAGCTCTTTGCACTTATCATTGTCGCAACGCGCATCCAGAGCGCGCTGAAGTGAATCGCCTTTCCATCCAAACATGTAGTCTCCATGGTTTCCGTGACCGGTACTGTAATGCAATTAGAATTGATTATTAATCCGTGAGTCGAAATACCCAATGCGCATCCCCAATACTCAATGGTAAAACTTACGCGTCACCCATAGAGAATACCAAAGGCTGTGATCCGTCTTCGGGCCAAAGATCGGGGTCGTTGAACGGGGTGGTGTCGAAGATCACCTCATACATGACTTGAGGCAGATGTACGGGATGTGTCTCTGGACACTTGCCGCGCTCGAGCTCGGGCGTATAAGGGCGGTTGACGACTGGTTCGGCATAAGGTTCGAAGGGAATCGTAGCGTACGCGACATGCGACTGATGGTCGGGCGAGTCGAGGTTTTTGCCATCCCAGCAAGTGGGGAAAGTGACTATGATCGTGTTAAACAACGAAGAACATACATCCACCTATGTAAATACCTTGCGTTCTGATACCACCTTCGCACTGGTGTGCAGGCAGACTCGTCGTGTCATTTCCTGTGCAAGGCGCTCCACCAAAAGGAGTCTGATTCTTGAAGAGACATCTGTGGCAGATACCGCGGGATTCTCCTGTGGTGTTCCTGAGCATCGGGTTGCCAGCTAACATTCGGAAGCCCTGCACAACACAGTAATTAGTCAAGGAAACTAGAAATACGGTGAATGTGAACTCACGGGAGCAAAGGCAGTAACGTTGCTGACTCCGTCGTAGGGAGGAATGTAGTAGACTGTCATGCCCCCATTTTGATGAAGCCCACCATTCTCAACCTGCTTGATACGCTTATATGTTCCATTTCGTGCCCGGAAGTAGAGCGCCGCCGTCCAGTAATTGGAGAAATCTATGGCGTTGTGTCAATCATGTCCGCGACAAAGACGAACAAATCGGTGGGCAGTACCTTCGCTGAAGGTGCAGCTGGTGCAAGTTGACTTGCTTACAAGGTCATGCTCCACCGGAGTCATCTCCGGCTGGAAGGAGTTGCCTCCAACGATCTGATGAGTATGTGGCGAGCCCACTAAGCCTGGATTTACGAGAGGATCTAGTCGCTCAACTGTGAGTTGTGAGCACGCAAAGCGCATCATGTGCGCTACCTGCGCTCTCGCCAACCCTGCGACGGCAAGGACCTGAATAATGTGAGTGCGCATCTTCGATTTAGCTGATTTGGGCAGAGGTTCGTGTGCGACAACTCGGCGACATATATCTACTTTGCTCACTGGTAGGAACGTGCAAGTTATATGTCCCGTTATAAGGTACCACAAGTGCCGCTTCACCAAGTGGTCCAAGTCTTGGTTCATATATTGATTTCCCTTACAGCAAGCAGATCTGCGCAGGATTGAACGCTGTTAGATTTCCTAGTCAATCAAAGAGAACCGGGCTACCAAGCAGGTGGCAATTAGCCGGGGCCGAATATGCGGATAGATACATTGTTTGCGACTCAACAGCCCGGGGCTGTACGTAAAGATATATGAAGTAGTATTTCGCTTCCATAAATGATTGGCGTAGAATTACGCGACCGGTAGTATTATAGGTATCATAGAATAATGTGCATCCCAGGCGCCCAGATGTGGGGCCTCGCCATAGCTTTGTCATGCCCATTCTCAATCTTATTCTACCGTGAGCGAACTTACAGAGCTACATAGAACATTAGAAGTGCGTGATCAGAGAACCTGAATTGGGAGAGACGTTTCAAGCGAATCTTCCATTGCATATAGCACGGATCGGTGTCCTATACTACAATTTTCACTTTGCACATTTTCAGAATCCCAGGGAATAGGAATAGAATATCTCCTTAAGTTTTGTACATTCTATACTATAATATTCTCCAAGCTGGCTTAAGGGACATAATACTGAAGCCTCCTTCCTCTACCTAATATTATATTCAGCATTACGTGTATCCCTGGCATAGTGAATAAGTAGATAGGTAGATAGGAACCAACAAAGATCGTGACAAACCATTCAAGAAACGGAAGAAGTGCGCAAAAAGGATCATGCGATGAATGGAGAAAGGCTTGGGATCTTGTCTTCCCATCCAAAGAACCACCAATTGCCCCAGACGCATGATTCCAATCCGTGTCGATTCGAATATAGATCAGGGGTGCGATACCCCATCTTCCCAACAAGCCCTGAAGACCCATCAGACCGAACACCCTGGGATTCCACACCAAGGTCTTCCAGAAACTCCAAAGGGTAGAATTCCTCCTCTTCGGCGATCTTGGAACGCCCGGCCTCGCCTTTTCGTAGGACTGCGTTCGCCAAGAACGGTCGAATGGGATCAGCGGCGGTGGTGTGGCCATAAAGGTCAACCACGTTCTCAGGTTCCATATCGGGAATTCTCAGCCCAACATCCTTGCTGGAGGCCATGGTGTACCCTCCAGATTGATACCCCTCCAGAAGATCTTCCTCATATTGAATCACTATCTTGAGTGAATCAATGATCTTGTCGTCGACAAAAGAAGATCGTAAAGCTCGCGCACAGCAATACACTCGAAGAATGTTCCGGGCTGTCTTCGGTGTGAGTAGCTGATCTTGACTCTCCTCTGACAGTGGTTTATCATCTCATTTCTGCGCGGCACAAACACTTGATATTGAGAAACACTTTGAGTCTGCCTTCGAGCTCCAGCAGCACACATGTTCCGTGGTTATCACGAAACTGATATTCATGATTAACACGGTCATCTGGAAGCTTGGTAGATCTCAGTATCGGTCGTCAAAGATAATGATTAGAATTAGTCTATATAAGCACAGATTTTGTGGGTCTTGATCTTGAATCTTTGGTAAATGTCGCTTTGTTCTGTGGGTAACAAGATTTTAACTCAAGATACTTTTCGTCTTGGATCCCTGGAAATTGCTGGCGATTATTTTGCATTTTCTTAACAAAAAACCATTGCCAAGGGACGAAAACGTGAAATAGCACCTAAATGCTTTCTTTCCACCCCAAAAACCTGTATTCACCCCAGATACAAAGCTCTGCGTCTTCGAGCTCAAGCCTGAGCTCTTCGGCGGTTTTCGCCAACCTGGTGTGCGTTGAACAGCACTTCAAATGCCCAAAAAGCGCCCCAGGACCAAGATCCATCACGGAATTGGAAGTTTGGGGGTTCTCGTTCGGTTGAGAGGAGACTCGCATCCCAATATCCCAGAGAAACTGTCCGGGGTACCTGCCCAGCTCTTCTCGTACCTTTGATAGGCCGACTTCTCCTTTCGATCGGACGATGTCAGCTAGGGATACCCGGATCGGATCACTAGGCTTGGTGTGAGTATATAGATACGCAATATCCTCAGCCTCAAAATCCATGATCCTTAAGGGCACGTCGACCCTTGACATCACCGCGTACAGTCCAGACCGGTATCCCCTGAGAAGCTCCTGCTCTTTGTAGAGAATGTTCCAAAGCGTCTTGATGATCTTTTCCGCAACACCGTCAGAATTAAGGGCCCGCGCACAGCAGTAAGCGCGGAAAATCTGACCCATAGACCTGCCGTGTTCACCATCCGTTGAGGGCAGATACTTGAGGAAGAACTTGAAGTCTTCAAGTTCAACATTTAAAAGTACCGTATTGGGGAGAGGTTTGGCGCAGTATGGTACAATGTCTTTAGTCGGGACATATATAGTGACAACATTCTGATGTCCGGGATCTGGGCAGCCAAATGGAGCGCCTTCATTTTGTAGGTAGGCTTTCCAACGAGCTTCAGAATGTTCCGGCGTCGGCTTGTGCACACATGGGCACTGGCAAACCTCTTCTCCACAGAACGGCATGTCGCAATCCCCTTCTGGGTCGTCGTCACATCCATGACAATACCATATCTCCCCGCAGCATTGCTTGCAGCAGTCCATAGCAATACTACAGCTGTGATCGTAGCATTTACCGCTGGTGCAGCACTCCTTGCAGCGGTCATTGCATTCGGAAGCGGGTGGTTTCAGAATGAACTGGATCATGGCCTGTTTGATATCCTCAATTTGGGGTCCTTGTCCAACGGGTGCCATCGTGGCTGCCGCTTTCTTCTTCTTCTTCTCTTGGAGTCCAGTAGGCGCTTTTGATATGCCAAACTCCTCTAATCCTGCAGCAGAGTTGGAAAAGTAGACCCCAGTAAGCTTAAAAAGTGCAAGCGTGACTTTCTTAGCACGCTTGCGGACCGCTTCTAGGGTAACGTCGAAGACTTTCGAAAGTTCGTTCCAAGAAGGTTGCTCTCCGTCTTTCGCCCCCGGCTTGCGGCTCTCCCAGGTGGCTACATCATCTTGACGTATGTGTGGAGCCTTGGAAAGGATGAAGTTCCAGTCGACTGGGCACGCATCTTGGTCGCTCATTGCCGTTGTGGGTGCGGGCCAAGGGTGATTCCACGGGGATACCTTGGGAGATATCGGCACGGTGAATGCTTGTAGAGTTAGCAGTGGTAAACATGGCATGAGTTGGCAGCACGTACCTTCGGGTGGCGGAGCTGTGGGTATCAACGGAAGAGTCGAAGATGCGCTGGCGTTGTTTATCGTTAGAGGCGCGGCAGCAGTTGGCGATACAGTCGACGTCGTATTGGTTGTACCGGTTTGTGGCGGCACCAACATCTCCGGTTCTTCCTTTCCGCCAGCCGACGATGGAGAAGGGCTTCTGGTGCCTCGCCTCCTGTCCTGATCTCGCGTGATATGATCGGTCATCGCGAGATCTGCGTCCGCTGTGCTGTGTTCTTTCTGCCTCTTGATAGGCCTCCGATCTTCATTGTAATCCTCCGGGGTGGTGTCCCGCTCGGATGCTTTGCGCTTCATATCGAATGTACGGTGATGATGTTTCTTGTGATCGAGTATGGAGTAAACAAGCTGTCTTAACTAGGAATAACAGCAATGATAGATGGTGCCGTGTATGTGTAAAGTAGAGGAAGATATTTCAAAAGATTGGAGTGGAATATTGGCAAGGAGGCGTCTGTAGAAAGCAAAGGTTATGTGTACCGACCGGGCGTGGTCGCTCAGCCAAAACAAAACTTATACCTCATGGTCGATGCGCTACACGTGCGTTAGGCAGCGGATGTGAGAGTCCTATCGATATACAACAAGCCCCGCCCCTGTCTTGGCTCGCGTTCAGAGAGCCGCATGACCATTTCAAACACTTTGAAGCCAAAGAGCAGACTGGAAAAAGTGGGCCCTACCTTCACATGCATCACATAAGAAAGGGTATTCCCCCCGTCTGGGTCAGTCAGTGCTAAGTACGCGTTTAGAGCAGCCTAGATGCCTTCGTCTCTATAGTAACAAAGTCCCGATAAAGTCTTATCGCAACTACAATTCACCAGACGGTAAGGGTCCGAGGACGCTTGGAAGTAGGTCGACTTTGTAAGACCTGACCAGAGACTGCTCTTTATACTTGGTGGGCTCTCCGCAGTGCTTTGGAGGGCAACCGATCGCTCTTTTATGCTCATATAAGTACCGTTAGAATGAAATCTTATACTGAAATGTCTCGCCATCCCCTTGCTGCTCGCCGGGGATAGCTTTATACAGCAATACCTACAGCTCGCTGACGTCTGTCGCCCGGCTGTGTTATGTTTACTATGATATCTTTTGTCTCCAGATATGCCAAATCCTTCTTCTCTGGATTCTATGCGCCACTAAATGAGCAGTGGCAGCGTCTTTGACTGTCTTTGCACCACCTCATGCTCTCTATAGCTCGTGCCGTACCAGTGTTCATCCAAGCGGCCAAGCCGCAGAGACTTACTCCCAAAAAGAGCTAAAGAGGGCAATCAGCAGCAGTTTCTTATTTACTGACATCAATCATGACATGTCTGGCGATGGTTGCTTGTAAAATGCGTTGTGCAAGATACAATGGGCCGTGGGCGGCGCCGCGGTACGATGCTTTTGACTGTCGCGAAAGAAGTTCTGATCTCGCCATACTCGATCTTGTCGCTTTCTTTTTACTTCAACAAGCCAAGACTATCTCTATACGCATTTACGCCGGCATATTGGTCGTCCGTTTCACGGCTTGTCTGTATCGTTGGTCTGGCGTCTACATGGCGAGCCGACGAGCAGTTCCGCCTCTCCTTCTCCCGCCACAGGATGTCCTAGAAATATCTCCATCTATTTGCAATTTTGATGTCCCCTGTACATAGCAAGAATATAGACGACATCTAGACAGGCATAGGATACCACACACTCGGTAGGTGGGGTTTTTACGAAAACCAGGTAATAACATAACCAGCTCGTGACCACTCCAAACACTCGAATGCGCTAGCGCGAGGAAATCAGCCAATCAAACCCATGTCCCATGAAGTTTAAATTGACTGTGAACTCATCTGAGTGAAAGACCAGCATTGACCCTCTAATGTAGCAAACATTTTTCGTTTGCGAGAGTGAAGGGCGGAACTCGGAAAGAGAATTAGGGGAGTCGGAAGCGAGACGCGGAAGTCGGAACCGACTGCATCCATTGTTTTGGGTAGGGTACTCGGTCGCTGCTCATACTTTCCCATGATTACGATATTGAAATTATTTGCTGATGGAAATTTACATGTGTATGCAGGCTCTGAGTACATGAAGAGATAATCTAAAGGTCGGCAGTCTGCGTTCCCAGCAGACGCTTCCAGGCTACGGCTATGATGAGACAGTATTAGACACGATCGTAGCATAATATGAGCCCGCTATTCCCTCGTTTATAGATAATGCCGGAGAATCCAACTCAAGGGAGGACGAGAGGGAGCGAGTCTGCTCTGGTGCGCGCATAATGAGAGGCTGGCGCACAGGTCGAGCGCTGCATGACGTCGGAATGTTTCGGGCACCAGCACAACGCGTGGCGAGCTATAGTAATGAATTTCTACAACACAGAAAGATGATACACATGAAAAATAGTTACATTGTGTTTTGACGAAGTAGCAAGGGGGAGGGGAACCATCCTCAGCTCGGAGTTGCTGTCGGTGGCCCCCCTGGAGAGGTAAATGATCCTTACTCCCAGCGTGACGTCGAGACACAGAAAAGAAGCTGAATATATAATAGTTGCCATCTAGAAACAAGCATCTGTCAGAAATGTCTAGCTGCTGGGTGGTCTATGGCGTTACGGCGCAAGACGCTCGCTGACTTGCCCTCAAACTTGAACGAGACGTCGAATCTACGATCACAAGGGAAGCGGGTCAAGCGTCCCAGCAAATAATTACTCTGATTTCCATATACGCCTAGACCTCGTGATAATGGCAATAGTTTGCGGTATGAGATCACCATGCCGATATAGCGCGTAGTGGACTGTTCCATGCGCTTGCTCGATGGTTTTCTGTACTCATGTGCAGATTGTCGGCTTCCGAAGCGAACTCGAACGTAGACCCTGTGCCCTCGAAGCAATCATGTTTCGCAACTCCGTATATGATGAAGAACCGTTGGCAACTCGGTTCCGTCAAGGAAATCTTCTATTCTATCGTACAAATGCTGGTCTACACAGCGAGGGGCGAGTGCGGCTACAGGATGGGTCTAAGTTAAACGTAAAATCTTCTATCATATAATCGCCATGATCAGATTTGGGGGCACATCTGTTCCATTTTCGAGAGGCATTCTGAGATGCCGTGAGTTGGAGTGTGAGCAGCTGAGTAATCTACATTGTTTACCCTGGAGCTGGTTGTTTTGATTGTGTCACAACACCCATCAAGCAATTATCGATGAGCGCTGTCGGCTCCGCGCACCTTTTTGCATGATTGCTACAATTTGTTTGCTGGGAGCTCAGAATGGCAGTATAGGAGCGTTCTAGAGGACCATATATTAAAAAAATCCACTGGGTGGCTTCAAAGCTCATGCAGAGCATAGCAAGTAATGCCTGCTGTCAAGGGTTGCACTAGAGCAGCAGGATGCCAGCAGCAAAGACATCAAGAATCTGGCGTGTCTGATTTATGCGCGGCGTGATCAATGTGCATTGTTATGGTTTGCTGGTGTAGCTGCCTGGTTACAAAGCATCGTCCCAATGATGGCATCATGGCCGGGACTATGGCGCGCTCCAAAGGGTCGGCCAGTCTCGATCGCAGCCTACCAAAATCTCCTTTATATTTATCTACTCTAGCAGCTAAAGGGTATGTAACAAGCTTTAGATAGCTATGCGGATGTAGGCGAGGCGAGCTGGAGCTTCGTAGTCCATCGTGGGAAATCCACAGCTCACCGGCGCGACCCAACACCCATTCGTGAAGACTACTCTTTTGTTTCCAAAGAGCTGATGCGTTAAAGGCGATTCATAACAAATCCAGTGATCTCTGGTGAATGGATAAGAGGTTTCAGGCTGTCAGCGAGACACGTGCCCCTGGTAAGACAACGTCTCCCGAGCTCAGCGCTCACATGACCACACGCGTTCGCAAGTGAGTATAATGAGACAGACCCCGCAACAAACAGAGTGAATAGCCTCTGAAAGCTCAGTATCCTGATTTAAGCTCGGCGCTACGGAAGCTTGATCGGGCCGCCAAGCTGAGGAGCCAGCGAGCCCATTGAAGGGGACTTCGACCTACTTAAATGCTCTCACAGTGCGACCACCACCTGGAACCCAACCAAGTCGAAAATCTGCCACAGTGGATATCCAATTACGCTGGGAGCTGATTCGTGTCTCTACTTCTCTACTCTTTCTACCACCCACCTGATTCTACCACGCCAACTTTTCCATTACTTCGACACATCCATAACTTCAAAACCTTTCTCGCTGCAACCTTTTCACTATAGCGACCATACCACGACGACGTCGCTGCTGCCGGGGCCTCCGTTTAACCACGGCATCCCTTTGACCGACACATCCTTGCCACCATCTGCTATCCTTGACCATCCCCTGAGCTTATTGACTTCGCTGTTGCGACCTCACGTTTGCACAGCAAGCTTCAAGTAGAGCTTTATTCTATCCTACTGCGCACGGCCGGGCTTGTAACACAGCACAGCACACGACATTGCTCTTGTGGCGCGAATTTCGTCCATCGTTTCATCACAATGTCACAGGAGGGCGACACGGGCACTATCGCTTCACCGAGCGGTATTCGAGACATGGAAAACTATGCAGAGCCTGCCCATGAAGCAGAACATCGGGACGATGAGTTCATGAGCGACTATGAAGCAAGCATAGTGGAAGAGGAAGAGGAAGCTTCCGATATGGAGTACGACGACCAGAACGCCGCCAATATAGAGGAAGAGGATCAGGAGGCCACCAGTGGAGAGAATGATGAGCAAGACACCACTAACCACGCCGCTACACGTACGCCTCTCATACCTGCTCCTGTAGAGAGCGACTATTCGACGGAAGAGGAATACAAAGCCGCCAAGATAGACTACCAATGGGATCAAGTGGAGTATATTATCCTGGCGCGTGATAACTGCCTGCCAGATCCATTCGGTTCTCGCTCAACAACTGCGGGGCCAAAGAAATGGAATGAGGTGGCCCAGGGGTATCACGAACGCTATGGGGGTAGGAAAGTCATTAGCCAGCAAGCTGCCTCAAAGCGGTACAAACAACGCTTGGATGATTTCCTGGAGCTATATCCAAACTATCCTACAAATATCACCTACAACTGGCGGCCCCCTCCACCTAAACGCCAAGCCGAGGATGATGAAGGCGCTGCTCGTCCTAGCAAGCGGGCACGCACGGAAACTGAGGCTGATGTCACCGAGGAAGATGGTGAGTGAGACGATCTTTCTAGGAATTAGGATATCGATGATGCTGACATGGGTGATGAACAAGAGAAAGAAGATAACGAGAATAACGAGGAGAGTCATGGCGACAACGGAACCGATATCAACGAGAACGAAGAGACTGCTGAAGAGCAGACTGATGCGCGCGAAATAAATCATAGCGAACACCAAGACCAGGAGCCCGCCGATGAGGATGATTATGTCGATCCACATACCGATGATCCCCAATGCTTTGATTCAGACAATGCGTGGCGCAAGTTATGGGCCAATCTAAACGGTCGATTTGGCGAGAAAGCAGAGCGTGTCGACCCGCCTTGGTTCGCACGGAAGGGGAATCAGAATTCTCGATTCGCCGGTTATTGTCCTCCTCAAGAATTGTTGGAACTGCCGTACTGGATTGATGAGCCAATTCCTCGGCACAAAGCAGTCAACGGCGGGTCTAACATCGTTTATACCGCTTCTGGAATCCATGGCGCGAGCGGTGCAGCTCCTCGTTTGCCCATTAACGATCTCGATGAAGAGTTGCCTAAACCGATAATGCACATCGATATCTCGGTCATGAATCAAAAGACCGGTGAGCATCTCGGTCAATTGCAGATACTTAAGACTTCGATCAATCAATATACCGCTCGCTGGCCAATTCTGAAGCAGATGGACTGCACTCAGACTTTCGGTGCTACCATTTGGGCTGAGCGACTGATTGATGTCGAGAGATATGCACTTGGCCTTGATCCGCAGTGCATTACTACTGCAACTCTCCCCGTTGTCGACTCGGAGCGCCGAAATTGCAACAAGATCGACTGGACAGTCACCGACCTGATGGGACTCTACAACGTCGCGACCCAGTTCAAAGACGAATTCACCAAGAACCGAATCATGCGTGCCTGGAAGGACATGTTGCAGAAGGGCGGTGAGCACAGCATTGAGCGCGATACCATGAACAAACTTTATCTGGGTACTCGTGCTGGCGATAATGCTCGCACATTCTGGGCAGAGGTCATGCATTGTACCGGGCTGAGCGAGCATTTCATCGACTCGGAAGATCAGGATGACGGGTTTCTGGGGGATTTGAGGAAGCTGTCCCAGGGACCAAAGATCGCAAACCCATGGGAGTTGGGTGATGATATCTTCACTGCGCGCTTCCTTCATCACGACCGGACTATGGTGGATGAGAGCGATAATGTGTGAGGATGGACTTACCAGCATCACTTACAAAGACTCGTTGATACAAGAGGGATTTCTTGAATAGATATAAAACGGGTTATACTTGATCAAAGGAGGAAATCACTGTATATTTCAAGATAGTAGAGTAGAACTGCTGTCGGTGTCTTACAAACGACAGCAAAAGCTGTTTTGCAAGCTTGTCTTCCAATTTATGCATGTTACTGAGCAGACTTATTCCTTGCTTACTCCTTTTGAATGATGATGGCAAACCCGAAATATTAGATTTATTCGTCATATACTTAACAGGACAGCCAGAGAATACATTCCAAATGACTCCGGCGACAATTCTAGCAAGGAAATTGTTACACTGCATCGACTCCCGCTTTCTCCGTCCAAAATGTCATCTCCCACTCTCTATCCGGTGCTATCTGTCCATTCTGTTTTCTGTTGCGCTCAGAGATATCAAATCCCCATTGATTAGCCATCAATCGTGCCACCCTACTCTGTCTCGCCAGTTGCTTCCCTTCCCTCTCCTCCCTCAACCACTCCGCTCTTATCCTCCCAAACTCTTCGCCATCAAAACCATCCGTTCCCCATCTACAATCTCTGTACAACTTCTGAATTGCTTTCCAACGGTTGACTCGCATCCTCATTTGCGTCTGATATGGACCATCTAACTCTTGAATAGCTTGCGCGGGGTCTTCCGACAGTCGGATGAATCCTGGGAGCATATTCCCGACAAGGACGGGGTTCTCAAGAATCTCACGCATGCGCGGAGTATCCCCAACTTGATCGAGAGAGGAGATATGTGGTACCCAGGCTAAGTTCTTGAAACTAGACACGATGCCGGAAAGAACGACTTCCGCTGGCTTATTGGGCGACTCGTCCCAGAGCTTACCACCGATGCGCGACCATTCAATTATCTCCCCTACACAGCTTGTTAAACTTGACCTTTATGTATAAAATGTATAAAGCAGCGAAACGTTTGGAATAGCTCATTGATTTGGTTGCTAGAAGAATGCATACCATTCTTCACATTATACACCAAATCCACCCCATACTGCCCATTATACATCCCCCCAATCGTCAACTTCAACATCCAAGGCGGCAGCAGTCTATGTCCACTATCAACTGCCTCCCCTTCTTCTCGTCCACGCGCCATCATCGACCAATCACCCCATCGCAGGAATTGGCCCCACTCATCTTCTGGAGTAATGAAGTAGTTCACCAATTTAGACCGCGGAAGCAGCTCTATGCCTTCCTTCTGCCAGCCCCAGACAACTTCAGTGCGCAGAGCGGGGATGGCCCTCATTACGTTGATTGTGTCGATGTCGTAGCCGAGATCTAGGAACGTGGAGTTTTGGATCATGTTTGCGTCGTGCGGGGGCTGTACGATGTCGCTTGGGAGGATGTAGCGCATGGCTGCTAAGAGAGCGTAAATTTCGTGAAGCCCGGAGATCAGGCTGGCGTGTTTCTGTGTTATGGCGTCCATGGTGAGTAGTCCGAATATGGTATTCGAACATCTTCATATTATGTCTCTGGTGTGCGTAGTGGGGGTTGTGAGTTTGTCAGCCGTGCGATGGATCCTACATTACATAAACAGAGATCATACTTCTTGTGATTGGAGGTTGAAGCTACTCAAGCAGAACCCCTCTATCGCCATAGTGTTTATACAATGAAGTCGCTGGTCAGTAGTGGAATGCGCAATCAGATTTATGACCTTGCTCCGGATACGATTCGCGTAGAACGCTAACAGACAGGACAGAGCCAATCGTATGTCGGGAGATTAGGCAAATTCATTCGGAAGATTGGCCCAGTTTGATTGCATTCCTTTTGGCATACAGTAGAGAGGTCGTATCTCTGCGATGATATCGGAGTCATGTTAGTCGGCGAAGACCATCAGCTAAATCTGGGCGGTTGCACGCATCCGTTTGGGCTCCACGCCTAGAAAACACCAAGGCTAGTTTTGTAGAGGAAATTTGGTTGTCGCAAAAAGAGATTTAAACACCCTACCAAGGGTGCGCCCTAGTCTCGGAGAGTCGACGAGCGCAAAGAGATTCCGTCGCGTCGGCTGGGTAAATATCCATCTGTGACTTTGTTTGACGCAAAATCTGAGGTGCCACCCTATGCATGTTCATGAACAAGGCAAACGTTTCGACGCTTTGGCGAGACCTCAGCTAAGGCCCGCTTAACACCAGGATACGCGAGGCGTGGGATGTATCGACGCCTTACGATGGGATGGGATATAAGCACACGAATATACCCGTGGTGCAGCACGTGGTGGAGTGAGACGGCGCTTCTATCAACTGTACTAGAATCAATGGGGACGCCGTGGTCCCAAAATTTCCACCATCACCCCTCGAGGAGATATTAAGTTAATCTCTACCAACTGATACAATTAATGCGCGTGTAGAAGCTTGACAAGATAATTGTGGGGTTGTAAAATGGTATCGCGGAAGAGACAGCCGACCCGCTTCGCGCTCTTTGAAGCTTCAACACCCTAAACGTGGCTGTTCATGCGGTCTTCAAGTTCAGTTGATTGAACACACACGCGGGAAAATATACCCCAAACGTGTCTCATGTTGTCTACCGTATCGTTCAGGACACCCACGACATAGGGGAATGTTGAACGCTAGGTAACAATATTGGTTTGAGAAGCCCCTGCCTAGGCTCTTGTTGGCGTTTTAGGTAGTCCGTAGTGCAGCGACCAATACGAGCGGAGTAGTGACATGCCTTGTGGACCAGAGTAAATGAGCATCATGAATAGCAGATTTTCAACATTGTGTTCAGTTCCAATCAGCTAGGAAAAGGTCTACTTCGGAAACTTCATGAGAAAATCTATCGCGTCGAAAAAAGAGATCGAAAATTGAGCAAGAAATGAGGAATCCATCGGCAATAAGCGAATGTGCAGTATGCTCGATCCGGGAGTGCAGTCAGCCAAGGGTCAATGCTCCTGTCTACTTACACAAAGCTTTACTATACATCGACGCTAGCCGTCTAGACTGCGTATAGGTTGGTGGACTGAACTTACATCTCGGTCCGTCTCAAAGGTAGCATGGCCATGGCACGCATGGCATGCCCGACCCCATAGTACTTACCCAGGTACATTCCCGGAGAACATATAGTTACATAGACTACACAACGTTTCTTTCGTTCCCCGTACCATTCGCAACCCCAGGCTTCTTGACGCCATTTTCGCATTACCATCTAATCCAACAAAACAGTGGGCGGTTTTCCAAAGTCTCCAGGATGTCCTGCTTCGCTCGCAATGGATCATCGTTCGACTCAACAGTCCCGTGCAACCCGGACGCGCTCGCCGAAGGCAAACACACATCGTGCTGCGCTAATGGGGATCTCTGCCTCACCAATGGCATGTGCCGATCGCAAGAGGACGAGAGGTTCGGAGGCAACCAATATTTCCGCGTGGGATGTACGGACAAGACATGGAATGATCCGGCATGCGCCAACTACTGCGAAGGGAGAGAGACGGGTGGAAAGAGCGCCAGAATCTTCAACTGCCTCAAGCCCAAATCTTGGTGCTGTACGCTGCCCACACAAGGAAACACAAACCAAGTGAATCTGGATTGTTGCGATCAGTCGGAATTTACATTCGAAGCACCCGACCCAGTAGCATACACAACGGCGAACCGATCAACTCCAAGGATCAACCCTTCCTCTAGCGTTTTGCCCGTATCACTTCCCTCAGAAAGCCCTTCTCCGGTATCCTCACAAGCTCCCGCAGCAGCATCATCATCCTCAGTAGCACCAGTGGCTCCCTCGTCATCAGCAGCCGCTCCTTCGCCATCATCACAGCTCGACCTACAACAAACACCACAAACACAACCTCCCTCCGATAACACTGGCGTCAAAGTCGGCCTCGGCGTCGGACTCACTCTGGGATTCCTCCTCATTGGCGCACTAATCGCATTGTTCATTGTACTACGCAGAAGAAAGGCAACCGACCGGGGCATGGAGAAATTACCCGATGAACAAAGCAACCCATACACAAACAACTACGCAATGCACGAGGTGATGGGCAACAGCATGGCGTTAACAGATGACGGCCAGTTGAGGGATGTCAAAGGGCCCGTCCCGGTCCAATATTATGCGCACATCGCTCCGTCCGCGAACCCTTATGGTAACCAACCCCAGCGCTTCGAGATGGACGGTCGCAGAACTGATCCCGTCGAAATGCCGGCCACGCCCCAATACGACAAGTTTAAATTGCCCGACAAGAAGTAAAGCAGCGACAGACACATCTCACATCCGCATTGACTGGACGCGCACCCGCGACTTTTGGCTGGTCGAAAAAGTCAACGCGATACACGCACGACTAAGAGTCGTTTACCCTACTTAATCACACGGCCAGGTTATTTTCCTATGTCTCTTCGGTTCAGAATGTAATGCGCTACGTTCTTTCATGCCCCGATGGGCCGTTCTACGGAATGTTTTGTGTCGCCCGGGTGGCGATGTTTGTATATATACCACGACTAAAAATAGTCAAATACCGAATGTAATGTCGAAACAAACCACTCAAGGCCCTCCACCCATATGCAGTATTTGTTTATTGAACCAACAATTGCCCGCGCTGTGCGTCCACACGACGTGCAGAGATGTACGTGTGGGTGTGCAGACGTGCATGTGGTGACATTCTCCAACACCTGAATGAGGTATCTCGACAAGAAAGGCCCGAGCCCCGACTATACAACCCATACCTCATCAGCCAAAGACCCCCGCGATCAATACACCTACACCATAACCGATCCTGTCGCTATTTACCCACCCGAAAGAAGATGGAGAAAAAGTCCGTAAAACCCTAACCCAACCTAGAAGTCCTGCCACTTGTCGTCGAAAATCTGGACGGTTTCCCTCCCAACCCTCGCACCAATCTCGTTTCCAACATCACTAGCGAACTGGAAATGGATGCCCCCGAAGATCCTGCTATCCCCGTTCTCATATGCCGCAGCGGTCAAATTCGTGATCCGCCTCGTGATTACACCAACGTTGTCTAACGTAACGTTACTACTCAAACTCACATCCACAACATCCGAATCGCCATTCCAGATCTTGAGCACAGCGGCAGCGGCACCGCCAAAGGTCGCATGCGTCGAAAGATAGTCCTGGTGATTCGGTGTCGGCGTGAGCAACGGCGTCCAGTTCGGATCCGTCACGTTTCGCCCGCTGGCGAGGTAAGTGTCCGGGTAGCGGATCGCGGTGACGGGGCGCCAGCTGTTGTAGAAGTATTTCGAGTCCCAGCTTGCGATTGCGGCATTCGACAGGGCGTAGTTGAGCTGCGCGTAGAATTTCGCAGACGTGACGACGTCGGTTGCGTATTTACTCCCGATTACGGCGTGGGCGAGGCGGTTCCACGCGCTGCATATCAATATTAGATATGTGTTGTTTCGTGTAGTTGGTGGGGGGATGAATTTGTGTTGGGGGTGTGTGTGTGTGTGGAGATGCTCACATTGGACTGCTTTCCCTCCAAAAGTACGCCGTCTCAGTATCATACGGCGTCCTCACCGTCGAATTCCTCGCACCCTGCGCCTTCACGTAATCCAGATACGGTTCGTACTCTGGACTGGTAGCGTTCGGTGGAGGCGGGGCGCGGAACCGCGTCACATCCCCCAAACCCCCGAAGAGCCGCAGGAACTGGGCCTGCGGAGTATCCGGGATGGGCGATCCTCCAGGCGTAGCTTGATACACGCCGGGCGCAGCCGGTCTCTGCTCATAGTCGACAAAGTAGTTGATCCCGTCGTCAGCTCGCGCGGTTAGGACGGTCCTGGCGGCATCTCTGCCGATTTCCGTTGCGGCGGTGGCTTCTGGGGACGAGGCGTTGAGTCCGATGGGACCGAGCACTGCTTTGAGTTTGGAGTTTACGGTCGCGTATAATCGAGTGCCGTGGAATGTCCATAAGAGGGAGTCGTGCGCCGCGTGAGAAACGGCGAGTTGTTGGAATGCGAGGGATTTGTCCGCGGAATTGGTGGCGGCGAGGTATACGGCGCCCTGGACGATCGCTTCGAACCATCCCGAGGGGGGCGAGGGGAGGCCACCGATTACCGTCCCGTTGACAAGGATGGCGGATTGATCGACCCAGTACTGGACAATGTCACCACTGTACGCCGCACTAGCGACCGTTGCGAAGGTAGCGCATAGTAAAGAAGACCTCATTGTGAATGTTTGTAGTATCTATCGCGATGTGTTCCAATCGCACACCCACTGCAAATGGCGTGAATGACATTCTGCGTAGTAGATCCAAGGCTCATATACGCCTAGTTAAATCTGATGCAATGCACACAGCATATGACGTTCATTTGCGCCTGGTAAATTGCGAGCTCTGGATTGGAGGCACAAAGCACTCGTCCATGAGCGAGTATAACGAATGCGTTCGCCAAGTGGGATCGTACATCGCCAAGTACTGCCAAATGGGTGATGCTGTAGTTCTGCGAGGCCAGGCGTGCCTCTATTCGCTTCGCTTAGTTTTATGTTCGTATACGGGAGCATCATATAACTGAGAATCCCATGTCGTTTAGGCACATGGTACATGCAGGTCCCAGATTATGCCATAATGACCCGTAATCACGATTGTATGGCGTGAGTATTGGACACACGCTCAGTAGGCAGTTGTACAGTGTAGGATTCCTTTTCTTATTCTTAGATGAGGTAGTAAATAGGGAAAGTAGCATTCTGTCTGTTTTCCGTGCCGAGTGAGCACTGAAGTAGAACAAGTTCTAAAAATTGGTGTTGTATAAAGGCAGGCCAACCTGATTACTAAAAAATCACAGGTAAATGCCAAAAAAAAAATACTTGGTGAGCCACGGTAAAACATCTCAACCATCTCAACGACCTACAATAGACATCTCGTGAGTGTCTGCGTAGCATTCTGTTGCAGATTTCTGAGTTTTTCCTACCTTGATCGCTGCTGTGGCCGTAAATAGGATGATATGTCTGGTCTTTTGATTTTGAAGGTTATGCGACTATCAGATAGAATAGGGTGGAGACGAAACACGGGCATCATGACAAGGCCACAACTGAGGAGAGCACATATCTATATACCCTCCCTCACCCCATTCTACCCAAGCTTCGCTCCGCATCTGTGTCTCTGGTCAATTCAAACATCGCTGCAGAAGTGACGATGTTGTCTTGTTCACTTCACCTTGTCCTTCCTCGAAAACCCGCGCAAACCGATGTGGTGGCTTCGTAGATGGCCAATTTGATCGAGTCCGTGTCGCGAACAATATCTTGCATTGTTAATTTTGCTTTCCTAAGCTGTGGATTGTGCAGTGACCATCATATTTCCCTTGATAAACCGAAGATTTGAGGGAAAATTGACCAGGGATATGGGATATGGGCGCCAACTGCGCGTCAGACAACACATACGAGCATATCGCATGCAGCATCATTACAGGACAAATTAAGTCTATCATGTGATCATCGACTATTCTATGCGCCGCAAACACTTTGCGTTGAAAAACCACACGATCAATCTGCCTTTGAGATTTTAAGCAGAACACGACACTGATGAGTCATGATTTTGAATAGCTGAATGCGGATTGGGTCCGATGACCTCAACACCACAACCCAACAATCCCAATCGACTCCGTTGAATGATGAGGAGCAAAACTCTTACGGGACAAAGAAACACCACAAGCGTTCAGATAAACATAAATAGAACCTAACTGTCAACATCGGTACGACACTCAAACCCACAACCTCAACTAAATCTTACAATCGACGAAGAAAAAAAAAAACCTACGATGTGTTACATGCAAGACTTTCGAAATTGGATCGCCTATTACCTGGGCTTTGGCCATAGGGTAAGAGGGGAGTCGTGGATGGAGGAATCCTGGACGGAGGAGTGTGTCGAGAAGAACAAGCCTGGCCACCTCGCGCCTATTTCGCTCGAAGAAGGATTCTCGGACAAAGGAGGGCATTATTCGACCTGCACATAAGGTATGCTTCCAGTCAGTGAGATAGAGTTTAACGTTGTGTTGACTCAATTGATAGATGTCATCGTATCGGAATAATCGTCAACCTCGGTCTAGGCGCGGCAAGGGGATGAATGCGTATGGAAAGCGGTCTGGCGTGTTGCGTAACGGTCAGGTGTTTGTATCGGCAATTGTATAACGCAAGGATGGAAGTTTCATGTACCTGTGTCTATTTACGTCATTGCGAGGGCATGTGGAATACAGCTTTATTTAGCCGGCCCAGACGGTTCACTTGGACACTATTCTTCCCACACTTTGGTGTTGATATGAAGGTTCTCAGCGCTGCGGGGCGCACACTATTGTTTATCGTTTGCAGGACGTCATAGAATGAGGCTTGGTCATGCTCACTTTTCATCTGTCTATGTTCGTAGAGAATACATTGGTGAATCTAAATAAACCGCCAGTTATGAAATCACATTGACGACGCAAGATATGATTCTCGCACGTTCTCCACACGCGATGATAAAAGTAAAGAGCCTTAGAATGGAGTCTTACCCGAAATCTCGACTACGCGTGCAATTCTATACTGATGATACCTCTAAGAGCTGTGTCCGTTCGTCTTGCTACTCTGCCTATCCTTCAGTTCCGCTCTAACACCCGGCAAAATATATCGACCGTAATCAATCGCATCGTTCAAGTTGTCGTACCCACGAATCGAAATGAGCTCAGCCCCCAAATCAACGTAATCCAAAATCGACTCGACAATGGTCTGCGAGCTGCCAACCAACGCCGTTGAAGCCCCCCGCGCTCCCGTCGCCGTAACAGTCGGATACCATAACGCGCGATCTTGCACCTCCCCGCGCGATGCAATCTCCAGCAGCCTCTGCGACCCCACATTCTGTGGCGCTGTGGCGTTGGGATCTCTAACCGGGACTCTAGAAAGACCGGCCGCTTTATTGCTCTCCAAAGCCTCAAGGGTGCGGTGTGCCTTGGCCCATGCAAGCTCCTCGGTCTCCGCAGTGATCGGACGGAAAGTAACCCATATCCTTGGTCGATCCGTGCGGCCCGCTTTCTCGGCTTCTGCATAGATGGCGTCGACCTGCTCTTTGGTTTCTTTGAGTGGTTCGCCCCAGAGTCCGAAGATATCGGCTAGGCTGCCGCCGATGCGGTACGCGTCTTTGGAGGAGCCTCCTACAGAAACGGGAATGGTGTGGCCGTTGACGGGGCGCACGGGTAGGCGGAAGTCTTTGAATTGGTAGTACTTCCCTTCCCAGTCGAAGGCCTCGGGGGTCTTCCAGGCGCGCCGTAGGATCTTGATGTACTCTTCTAATCTTTCATATCGCTGTTCCTTGGTGAGAAAATCGCCCTCTCGCGCTTGTTCTACGTCGCTGCCGCCTGCGATGAAGTGTACCACTGCACGGCCTTTGCTTAGTTGATCGAGAGTGGTGAGAGCTTTGGCTGCGACAGTTGGGTACAAGGTGTTTGGTCGGAGGGCGATGATGACTTTGAGCTTCTTGGTGTGAGCTGCGATGGTCGCGCCTACGGTCCACGGATCAAAGTATGAGGAGTCGTATGGGACGAGGGTGTAGTTGAATTCGTAGTCATCTAGGGCTCGCGCATAGCGTTCTAGATACTCAGGGTCCAAGGGCGCACCAGGCGTTGGGTTGAGCTCGGTCGATGCGTTAGGAAATGCTGGTTGGGAAATAGGGTCAGTACACTCTCGATGATATGCCGACGTGCCATCATTCTATGTTGCAAATACGTACTCGCGCTGATGAATTCGACGGGCATGATGGCTTATTGACACGGATTTAAAAAAATTGCGTTTTTCGGAGGCTGTTGCTTGCAAAAACTTTGGTATCCCGTTTCTTGGAATCCGCACGTCTAGTTATGAATGCATCAAGATCCCATCTCGGCGTCGCAGAACCAACTTATGCATCAGAATACCGGGGCGACAATAACGAAAAAAAGCCCAGATATTGCGCCTTGCAGACGTGATTAGAAAAGATAAGGAGTTAATGAGTACTTCACGGGGATTAGCACCAGTCATTGTGTAGAAACAGAGAAGCAAATCCGCCCCGCCTATTGCGTGCTCGCAAAACCACCAAACCACCACCACGCCGGCAAGCTTCCGTTGCCAATTTTCATCTTCGGCTCCAACGTTATGGCGAAGTCGTTCCACTTTTTTGCTTCCTTGAACTGGGCAGCTCGGCTTTACTCCCAGATTGACCGCCACGCGCTTCTCGAATGCGGAAAAACCCCCTGGCTATCTATCACGCGAGGGGGATGTCGCAACGCAGGGGATCAATGAGAGAAGTACCTTGACGGTCCGATAGATGGTATATGACCCGACCGGCTACGTGTAACATAGACTGCAAGGCTTTGTGCTACTCGAAGACGATTCGATGGGTCAACACCAACAACCCAGAGTAAGCGGTGACGCTGCGGATATCGAGTCCAATGCAAGCAACTCAGATCAGAGCCTCGTAAAACCCATCAAGACTTGGAAAGGATACATTTGGGATACATGGGATCTTCCCAAAGACCAACGATGGCTTCTGTTCAAGGTGGACGCTTTCGTTTTGACCTTCGCTTCTGTAAGTGATTACTGATCCACCATGCGCTTGGAACCTCTGTTAATAAATTTTGACAGCTCGGTTATTTCCTGAAAAACTTGGATCAGACAAATGTCAACAATGCGTTCCTGAGCGGCATGAAAGAGGATTTGAGCATGTATGGAAACGAACTTGTCACGAGTACCTCCATCTGGACGGTAGGGTACGTGATTGGACAGATTCCAGTTAACCTCTTGTTGACACGGGTTTCACCTCGATGGGTCATTCCTGCGGTATGTAATCTTGACTTCAAATCACTGGACCGAGTACTAACAATGCTATAAGCTGGAGGTTGGCTGGGGAATTGCAACCTTCTGTACCGCGCCTGTTCGGAGTGCCAAAGAACTCTATGCCTTACGTTTTCTCGTCGGATTATTCGAGTACGTTTACCCGGGAGTCTCTTGCGATGTCTATCTGGCTGACCATCTCTAGATCAGGGTTCTACCCTGGCATACACTATCTCTTAGGCTCGTGGTATACCCCGAATGAACTAGGCAAGCGAGCAATGATATTCTGGCTAGCGGGATCCGTTGGGAAAATGTTCAGTGGCTTCCTGCAGGCGGCAGCATACACCAACCTCAGCGGCGTCCATGGCCGAGCAGGTTGGCGTTGGCTGTTCATCGTCGACGGCATCATAACTCTTCCAATCGCACTTCTCGGATTCATCTTCTTTCCCAATCTACCTCAATCCGGTAAAAGAACATGGTGGACAACCGAAGCGGAACACGAGCTGTCGGTAAACCGCATGAAAGCTGTAGGGCGTGCCGGAAAGCAACCGTGGACACGGAATAAATTGAAACGGCTTTTCTTGAGTTGGCATACGTACTTACTACCGCTTCTGTACGTCATCTGGAATAACGGAGGAACTCAGACAGCGATGGGATTCTGGCTGAAAAGCTTCAACACGAAACCGTACCCCGTCCCCGGTCTCCATTTCTCTGTCCCGGAGATCAACAATCTGCCGCTGATTTCAACAGCGCTGTTCATTGTGATGGCTCTGATATGGGGGTGGCTATCCGATGGACCGTGTCGAGGTGCTCGTTGGCCTTTCATCTACCTCGGCGCCGTCATAACGCTCATTTTCAGCGTCGCATTGCGGCAAATGCCACTGTACTCCGACATTCGAGGCCGCAAGATTGTGTACTGGCTGAGCGATCTGGGAAGCGGTGCCGGACCCCTGATATTTTCTTGGGTAAACGAGATCTGCTCAGATGACACGGAGAAGAGGGCGCTATTGGTTGCTGCTGGCAATGATTTGGCGTATGTGGTGCAAGCTGTCGCGCCGAATTTCGTGTGGAAGACGACTGAATTTCCGGCTGCGATCAAAGGCTATACTTGGTCAATTGTGCTTCAGGTTCTGCTGATCCTGTGCACTGCCACTATCCAATTGTTGTTGTGGAGGGACAAGAGAAGGGTAGCCAAGCATGCAGAAGGCAATCTTGAGGTGACGGCAGAATGTCCTATCGAGGATCAATCAGCCGAACAGACTGGTGGAGATAGTAGAGAAGGCGGTACTGATAGGAAGGGCCTTTAGCCGTCTCTGTGACACCGAGGTGACAGTACAGTCAGATTGATAGGTAATTCTGAGAGAGAGCATCGCCGTCCAGCCAGGGTTCTTGACGCTACTATTCTTCGCTTCATTCAATCAACGGCCTTGAACTCGAATGAGCCTGTTCCCATTGCCCAAGTATTAAAATCGATTGCGGATCCGCCCGTGCGGAATAGAGGATCATTGGATATATTTAATAACAGAGACAAAGCCCATGTTCCGAATTTCTAGAGTTCCATTAAGTTTCGTCCTCAGAATCCTGAGTCATAGTGTCCTCCATATCGGACGACTCGCCACTCTCGGAGTCCGAATAGTATTCATAACGAGGCGCGTATTCAACAAATTTCAAGTGGCTTGCAGTCCCGGTGAAATAAAGTCTTCTATAGTCGCCATCAGTATAGAACCGTGTAGGAGTTTCCAATAGCATTGCGAGCTCTACAATGAGTTCCAGTTTATGCGTCTGCCAATTTGGTCCGCTCACTTTGACGCTTTGGATAGCTGGGCAAATGCTCGTGCTCAAGTCAATCAAACCAGTGAGCCTCGAACGAGAGATGTTTCCGAATCGACAGACTTCGAGGTTTAGAAATTCTAGGGAAGAAGGGAGGTCCTCTAGCTTATTGAGTCTGTCATACTCGATGGTCAAGCTGGTGAGGCACTTGAAATCGTGGAACGGCGGATAAGTCAAGTACGAGTTTTCCAGCTCATGTTCACCATCCTCATCATCCGCCAGTTGTTCGATGGAGCCCGTAGTAACCCTCATTAAAGGGAAAAAGCTCACTGTCAGTGTCCGCAATGTTTCGCAGTGTGTTTGTGAGATGACTTTGACGAAATCTCGCGGTGTAACACAGATCAAATGGCCAATGTCAATCATCTCACTATTAAATCTGTCGAAGTCTGGCAAGCGGTACACCAAACTCACTAAGGGCGAACATGCCGTCAGGAGTTCGTGCCACGTCGTTTTATTGAACATAGCCCACAACAAGGTGAGTTCGGACTTTGATATATAATTGACTGATGGGTGACCCCAAGGGACATCGGGAACGTCATTCACAGTTCGAAATTCCTTGAAGGTCGGGAGACTGATCAGAGGAATGTAGGCACTAAGATCTAAGCCGCCGCGCTCGTACCGTTTGTGCCTGATAATTAAGCGAATTAGATGATCAATGCTATGTGAGCTTTAGGTGGGCGCTTTGCGTCCAAATAATACACCACAAATGGAATGATTTCTCTTACAATGTAAATGTTTTGATCCTGGACAACACAGAAGGTTGTGAATGCATTTCAGAAACAAGCATCTTCATGAGCTTATCAAGTGGCTGCATCTCCGCGACAAAATAGAGGTGTTCCAGGTTGGGTAGCCGCTTTAGAACTTCAAGAGCATATGAATCATGGATGAACTTGGATTCTACTTGGCCAGGATGACCTCCAATCAGAGCGGAGATTTCCAGGGAGCAATCCTCCTCCAACATGGCAGACCAAATGTAGCGAAGTGCCACAGCATCGTATATTTTGAGATGTCGCGTGTACCTGGCGAGCGTTGGGCGTTGTAGTATAGTCCTCATATAGCTTTTGAGCGACCTCAATGGAGAACCGGACGGCTTCGAGATTTCCACCTACTCGCGGGTATCAAGTGAGCTGGGACTATTCTCACCTCCAACTCTCATGGCGGGAAGCAACATACACTAGTATAAAGCGCCGGTTGAGCGATTTCATAGAAAACATGAGAAGTCCGGCAAAGGTTTACCAGCGTTTGAACAGCAGCACCGTCGCGTTCGCCTTGCGTGGAGTGGGGCACAACAAAATATGACACAATCTCATGGATCAGCTCACTTGGAAGATCCTGGATCTGGGCCATGATGAAATGGATTTATCATCTGCAGACTCGGTTTTTTTCAGATTGTTCGGCGTTGAGGTCGATTTAGGCAGCAGCAGGACCTACGGTGGCGATGGGTCACGTGCACACGCGTCGCGCCACGTGTCATCCCCGCGCAGCCAGGTTCTAAATAAAGAAACTGCTGAACCCATTTCGGTATCAATATACGCGCAACAACGCAATTGACATATGAAAACAGTATGCAGCTCGCGAATATCCAAATGTCTAGATCAAAACCGTCCGTAATCGCGTGTCCGCTGACATATGCCGTCCGTTGTCGCTTATTTCCGCGGGTTTCAACGCCTAGATGGGGAGCGGGGCAGTCCATTTAAACCTCGAACAATCACCAAAACATTTCATCACAATCAACAAGTATACGAGATCAATTCCTCCAAAGCAAGATACCATGGCAGACCAATCAGAATACGTCATCATCCCCGGCAAACCGTCGCCGCAATACTATCGTGATCTTCGAGAGCTCGCCGCTCTGACTCCACCCCCTCCAGATGCGATGAGCGAGTCGGTCCCTCGATCTCTCGAGAATTCTTGGTACATGTACGTAGACTCTCATATCAACGTTGACTCTCACCGTAGTGGCTTTATCGCTCTCCATCTTCTTGCCAGCCACTAACTCCAGAACCCCGGCCAGGCTAGTCGCGTACGAGAGCAAGCACCTAGTAGACGGCAAACCCGCCCCGGGGCAAAACCCAGTGGGAATGGGCCGACTAGTTGGCGATGGAGCATTGTTTTTGATCATGTGTGACATTGCCGTACATCCAGACCACCAACGCAAAGGAATCGGAAAGCGCATTTCTCAGATGTTGGTGCAACATGTCGATGCAAACGCGCCGCATGCCTATGTCAGTCTGGTGGCGGATCCGATGGGGCAAGCGCTGTACCCGAAGTTTGGGTTCGAGAGCGTGGAACCTAGTGTTGGGATGTTTCGCTGTGTCTATTCGCAACAGGATGTGGAGGGTAGGAAGGCGGTGAGGGAGAAGCAATTGGCTATGGCGCAGAGACAGAGATGATGGGATCATGGTGCCGTCTTGCGGAATCTATGTTACGGGGTTCATATCGAGGGTGTCTGCGATTTGGTCGTCAGTTGTCGTGAAAGAGAACGACTGCGCGTAAAAAGTATTTGTTTGAACAATTCATTCAGTTCAAGCTGCATCAAAGTAGATTGTCGTGTACTGTTCTGATCGCCTCGGCCCTCGTTATAATTCGAATCTACCACCGTACCCTCTCCCATTCCAACTATAACGCTCGAAACTGATAGGGGAATGAATATAAATGATGATGATCAATCCGACAATAATGATTCTTGAAAATACTTTGTCCGCCACGTAATTCAGATTTTTCAGCCGTTGCTTCAGACCCGACGCACCGCTCGTCGGCTTCGACGACCTTTGAGCTAAATCGTGACCATGTCCACAGCGATGTTCACCGACGTACCATGATGACAGCCTACTTTCAAACCCCGCCTGGAGTAAGCCTCTGGTAAGAAAGGCTCTATTCCAAGCATTCGACGCCCATGGAGCCGCTAGAGCGATTGGCCGACTCAGCTCAAATAGCTCGACAACCGACACGGCGTACAGCAGTGGCTTCGGCGGAGGAATTCCAATGTACCAGAACAGTATGAAACCGACTATTATGGTGAATTGCGAGGCGTTTTTGTGCTTGGCGGTGAAGGGATACACCATGATGGTCTCCAAGAAACTGAGTACGGTGGAAGTTCTCGTGAGTATGATTATGTAACAGCATCTGATCAAGAAAGGAGAAACTACGGTGCTAAACAACTCAGTCAGTAGTGTTGGAACCACGATCAAACACAACTTACTAGCAAACCAGTGTAGCGAATTTACTATTCAATAAGTCCGTCAATGATCCCCAGAACGCTACTGCAAATTCTGGGGGTATGACTAGAGCTGCGATGGAATGCAGGACCTGTGGTGCTGGAAAGATCAATAACGACATCCATTCGAACAATAATTGGAATGGACTGTTAAGGAATGAGCCCTGCAGTAGAACTTGGTTTACGTTGTGCGATAGTAGTATGCGGAGAAGGAGATTTCGTATATGCCGTTTGGATAGCACTAGTAGATATGCTTGGTTCAGAGCAGCCGTCGATGTTTTGAACAAATCGACATCGAATGGAGGACACCCCTTGCCTTCCGGTCCTACGGCATGGAAACGGAAGAAGTTGTACAGCGCGGTTGCAAAGAGTTGGGAGTGAAGATTGAAGGGATCATATTTGATTCCGCCAATAACACATATGTCTCTGAACATGTTTGCTACATGGAGCTTATCAGTAGAGTGCGTGTGACATGGATTGTGGGGATGTCCCCGTGGAGAAATCGTACCTATGCGACCCAATTCTTCGCGCGCAAAACAAGCCTCTACCTCTTCCAATTCATCAGATTTTTCATATCCAAATGGACCAATCTTAGAAGGCCAATACAAATTCGCAGCCTGGGAAAGCGCCAGAGGCGAACGGTGCCTCTTCGATGGACTGAGCACCAGCATGCTATATGAGCTGTCCTCGGAAAGTGCATCGACCGGACAAATATACACAGCCCAGTGCGCAAATCGATCAGGGAAAAGCGCTGGTCCTGCATTGAAGATGATACGCAGCAACAGCCTCCGCACACTGGTGGGATGATCCCTCACATGGAACCGGCGACGGGCGATTCCGACTTTCCAGATCTGTCGCTCACGCTTGCCTGTCATCTCTTTCCATTGGTTTCCTTGCTTTTCAAAAAGCTTGATGTATTCTAATGGCGGGGCATCAGGTTCGCTTGGTGTTTCGTCTTGCTGGGGATTGTCGGCGGGATTGTCGGTATCTCCATGACCGTCCTCGACATTATTTTTGGCTGAATCTGTCGTACTATCTGTGTCCATAATCTAGCTCCAGAAAGTAGACAATGTGGCTGAGATCTATGTTCTATAACGAGATGATGCGCGGGGCCCATGTGGTTGCCAGTCGCCCATGTCCCGATGAAACTTTGCCACCAGAAATGCTGAATGTGGATTTGACGGTCGCCTGTGCGTAATTTGGGAAGAAAGGGGAAAGAAGATTGAAGTGGCCTGAGATTTGTTGAAGTCCAAGACGCAAGGGTAAGATCGTCCCAGCCTGTGTACTCTATGTACTGCGAAAATGAATACAAACGCAAGCAAAGCCCTCAAATGTGAAAGTCGCGCGAAGTGACGACTCTTTCAGGATGTGAGGAACGCTTTCTTTGTATGATGGATGTACCAGAGTTCTCATTGTCCGATAAATAAGCTATGTAGTCGTTCAGGGGCGGGGTTACAAATCTTACATGGCGATCGAGTTGTCTGACCGGTGAGAGCACAGCCGCGATACTGTCTTACTCTCCTCTCCGTTTCGACCCCGCATTAAGCTCGTTTCCAACCACAGCCATAAGCTTGGCATCTGCTTGTTGTGGGGGCTGGAAGCTTGAAGTATTTTTGTAGCGTTTTGCACGCAATTCGTATTGCCACTTATTTGCATGCCATCATCAGTACTTTACTCCAGAGTGTCCCTGGGAAACCGTCTTGGGTGCTAGGCACAAGCCCCTTGGAGAACGACGTTTAGTCGTAGTAGTAGGATGAGGTTTAATGAGAATCGTGGCGCACATGACCCTGGACTGACAATTCGAGGGGCTAATCGCAGAAGAAGAGATCCGGAGACTTGAACAACAGAACTTTCTTTTCTATAATACCGCCGGAGCTTGCTTCGTATTTTGTCAGACACACAAATACTCACGACGACTGCTCGGACACTAGGTACTGGACGTGAGCAATTCAGATATCGTGCAAGTTCGGACAATGTTTGGACGATGCTTGCGATAGGTAGTCTCAAGAGCATCGAGGTGGCATTGCGCGGCCTCAACAACATATAGCTTTATCAAAATATGTCAGCGCCTCGATGCACCTTCTTCTTCACGTCCGTCCTGTATACGCGAGGTAGAAAGAAACGCGGAGGCGTATAGATGTGTGGGTGGAATGCACAGGCGAGCGACCAGATACTCGCAAACACATAGATAGTCCTTGTACATCTGATGGAGGGAAAGACAAAGGCAAGCTGGCGGGATGTAGTGGTTGTATTAGGTGGCGGCAGGAATTGAGAGGCGGCAGTATTAATAAGCAGCTTAGTAATTCTGCCGCCACCAAAATCCCGCCGTCACGAAAATTCCCGCCGCCACCAAAATTCTGCCGTCACCAGAAAAGCCCGCCAGAAAATCCCGCCGTCACCAAAAAGCCCGCCGTCACCAAAAACTCCTGCCAGAAAACCCCGCCGTCACCAAAAATTCCCGCTGTAAAATCCTGCCGTAAAACCCCGCCGTCACCACAAACTCCTGCCGCCACCAAAACCCCGCCAGAAGCCCGCCGCCGCCAGAAAACCCCGCCGACACCATAAACTGCCGTCACCAAAAACTCCCGCCGTCACCAAAAACCCCGCCGTCACCAAAATCTTGCCGCCACCAAAATTTCCTGCCGCCGCCTAAATCCCGCCGCCACCTAAATCTTGCCGTCACCAAAAACTCCCGCCGTCACCACAATCCTGCCGTCACCTGATTCCCGCCGCCATCTGATTCCTGCCGTCACCTAAATGTTGCCGCCGCCTACTACTAAGCTTCTGCCTGATGCCGCCGCCTACCTCTACCGTCTAGATATCCTCATCTAACCGCAACTTATGCTGTTCAGAGCATCAACTATTGCATTCGCGAACCAGTCAGACTTTCAACGCATTTGTTGGGGATCAAAAACTCAAACAACACGGCTTCGAGTCTAGACATCATACCTACTCTGCACAACGCCAAAAATCTGCGCGGTTCCCACAAAAATGGCAGAAGAATATCCATATTGAGCGATCAGAGATCGCACCGACCCGGTAGTGCGCCGAAAAGAATCGTGGGAATAAAAGAGGCAATAAAGCATCGAGACGATTATGTTTGGTACACTATGCCGCTGTCACGTCATTCAATATATTCATCCATGCAGGAATCGCGCGCGGAAGATTTTTTACTCTCTTCGTCATGCTGTGGCCCCCGCGTCCACGTGCTCGTATCCGCGTATCTCAGAAAATCTCGGTTCAGCATGTAAGATGACATGCAGGAGATCTTTCGTGCAGGAGTGAGATGCTACGATATGGGAAATTTGATCCAATGCGATTTTCGGCGAAGACATCAAGTCCTCTCCGACGCTCCGACAAAGCCCTAATAACTAGCGACATCAAAAAAGCGGGCAGCAAAGGTGGTAGAATGATTTATTGCCGATTATGAAAGGTATAAGCGGATGGAAAGTCTTTCGGCATCCAATTTTCTTGCGCAAGGCATTGCTCAATGTCAAGCCTGGTGATTTCAAGTCTAAACAACGTAGTAATTACAAAACATGCGAGAACGCTACACAATGCCACCTTCTCCGGGTAGCCTACGGTGGTTCGCAGAGCTAACACCAGGGGCGCTGCAGAGAATACAGGGTAACTAAAATTTGACAGCGGCAGTCAAGATTAAACGCCATCCAACGGGCCACGCTCCGCCGCCTCAGACTCGCTGGAACGGTTCCACGTCTCTTTCACCGTTGTAATCCTCCGAAGTGACGGTGATCTGCTGAGACACCACGATGGCATTTGGCGTGGAGTGTCCCGACCGTGAACTTTTGAGGTTCCGCATCTTCACGTCTTCGTCGCCCTTGACAATATGTTCCTCGCTGTCGTTGTCGAACGTTATGTTCGCCGTGATGGGGTTGGCGCTTCGTTGCCGACTGGACGCGCCCTTGGATGCGCCGCCCCCGCCGATGGTCACGAAGCCGCTGCCTGGGTTTTTGTACGCTTTTTGGTTGCTGCTGGATCGCACGGAGCTCTGGATGTAAGGCGCGAGGAAGTTTCGGAGCAGAGGGAATATCATGGGCAGATTGGTCGTGACTACCGCGACGAAGGTTTCTCGAGTACCCCATTGTGCCGCGAGGATGCCTCCATTAACAGGGTCCTGGAAAAACATGAGTTAGACTTATGCCGTATCCAACGTAAACCGCGGTGATCATATGGAAGGCAGTGTTACTTACGACAATAACGTAGATACTCTTCAGAGCCGCGCATACAACGACGAAGATGCCAGCACTCAGCACCAATGTAGAAGCGACCTTCTTTAAGCGCCTCAAACTCGATTGCCAGAGCATAGGTATGGGGATCAATAATAGCGCAATGTCTGTCACAACATTGGTGACGAACATCATCCAGACAATGGATTTCGATACCGCTGGGTAGCAAAGATTGCCTGGGTCTGGACTGATTTGCCAGTAATGATGGAAGGGACGGCAGGAAAGGTAAATTGTCATGATGACCATAACCCATGTGCCAATAATCATTCCCATGACAATGTGGATTCTCGTGGCGTATTGTTTGAGGCCGTTCTATGGAAAACAATTTAGCAAAGGGTGCGGAAATAGAGGCTGTTCATTCTCTCACGGTCAGGCGCAAATAGAATATCGCCATGCACATCTTAAGCGTCCAGAGCAAACATGTCGCAGTGGTCCAGCCGGCGACTTGGATTTTCGAGCCTGTTACTCTGAAAATCCATTAGCTTTGATGAGACAGTCAAAACTTGCATCTCGTCTCTCACGTACCTCCATCCATACTCTGGGTCGTCTGGCAAAAGCGCACTTCGTTCCTCGTCTGTCATGCCATTGTTTGCGAGCCCGCGAGCCAGCAGCCCTACATTGTAGCCGAGAGTACATTGTGTCGTGTAAATCAGCTACGCAAAGGTCAACATGATGTTCATTCGGCCAAGTGAAGGGCGATGGGTCTACGAACCATGGCAAACCATATCAGATAGTCATCAGCACGCAGCTCTCGCCAGCCCACGGCTGTAATCCGCGCATAGGTTCTGAGAATTGTGAACGATATGCCGAAAGCGTACAGCGTCCACAACTCTATGTTAGGGTCGTTGGCCATGTCGATCGTGGTGGGGAGGGAATGGGGGGGGGATTGGCGATCGCTGGCAGTCGGTCAATGTCCAGAATTCTGTTTTTATGTATCCCACAGCCGTGGTGAGCAGGTAAACTCTAAAAACTCTGGAGTTGCATAATGGGTTTGAGCCAGCGAGTACCAAACACCAACGACACGGCATTCTCCTCCTCTAAAACGACTATATAGAGCGAACCCTGCTGCTCGCCTGGATTCTCATTGGTGATCGGGGATCAGGCCATCTGTGTGGAGCGCAAATTCCTTGACCTCGCATCACTCGTTCCACTTTTTGTGATGAGTAGGTGACATCCCAGTCTACCACTGTGGGGCGAGTTGATGTCCATAAGGGAGTTAGAGGTTCCCCTATCCTTTACGCAAAGAAGCGCAATATTTCTAATAATCCTGCATTAGGTTAAACCGGCATTCGAACTAACGACCATCTCCCTTTGATACATTCCCGCGGAGGGAGTCTTCGGAGGACCCACCGAATGGGCCTGCAAATCATTTCGGCTTTGGGCCGTAGCTCCGCACCCAATCGCAACTAAAGGCCACCCGTATTTCCAACACGCAAACCGCGCCACAGCTCGAGTCTTCCAGGCATGGGCATGTCCGTCTACGACGGGGCGCACGGGTTTACGCGCAGGGCGGGGCTGGTGGGTATGGGGCGAATACTATGTACCCTTAGGCAGGTCGTCGCTCTAGCTGCGCTCCCTCATCACCTTAGTCCTGTCGGTGGTGACATTGGAACTTCAGAGTTTCTTTCTCCTTCAGGCTCCTGAATCCTTTCCCTCCACCTGCAGCCTGAAAAACTAACGGTGCGACGCCCTGCATATCATTATTTCGTCTGTTCCACCATGCTTCTACGCCTCCAGACACCGTCAGCTGTGGCTGCACGGGCATTGGTAGCAGTTCTCGCCTTCTCGTCTTGTGCTTTTGCGTTGCCGCCGTCTCCTCCTCCTGGTCCGTCTCCTCCTTCCCCCCCATCACCGAAAGATGTTTGTCCTTCTAAAGCTGGATCAGGACCGGGAAAGGACGTTGATATCAAACCGCTTGTACCAAAGCTCTCGCCCAATACACACGTCTACGTTCCTGGTAGTTCAGAGTTTGGAGCTTATTCGATCCGATGGTCGTCGCTTTCACCTCCGACTCCTAGCGTTGTCATTGTGCCTGGTACTGAGAAGGATGTGTCTGAGATTGTGAGTCTTCTTCAGCTCCAGCTGGGTCAAATAGTCCTTGAGAAATACTGACATCCCTACGCACAGGTCAAATATGCATCTGAGAAGAACATTCCAATTCTTGCGTACAATGGCCACCACGGTACCCTGACTACTCTTGGAAAAATGGATCGCGGAATTCAGATCAATGTCAACCAGCTCAACTCCATCTCCATCGCCCAAGACAGCACGACTGTAACGATGGGAGGTGGTGTCAACTCCAAGAAGCTCATCGACACTCTTTGGGACGCAGGAAAGCAGGCTGGTGAGTACATATCGTTTAGCCAATAAAGTTCCGAGGCTAACCAATCCCAAGTTACCGGAACCTGCGAATGCGTCAGCTACATGGGTCCTGCCCTTGGTGGTGGACACGGATGGCTTCAAGGTCACCACGGTCTCATCGCTGATCAATGGACCTCGATGAACGTTGTCCTTGCCAGCGGTGAGATGAAGACGATTGACAGCAACTCCGACCTGTGGTGGGGGATGCAGGGCGCTGGCCACAACTTTGGAATCGTCACGTCAGTCACGGCCAAGATTTACCCAATTGAGCACACCAACTGGGCCATAGCCACGATGATCTTTGCTGGCGACAAAGTAGAGGCCGTCTACCAAGCAGCAAATGAGCATATCCTCCAGGATGGAAAGCAAAGCGAGGACATTCATAACTGGTCTTACTGGCTCAACGACGACACCCTTGATCCCGAAAACGTAAGATACTCCTCAACGCCTTCTCTATGGCCATTTTTTATACGTAAATTGACACGTGACACAGCCTGTCATCATCATGTACATCATTCAGGAAGGTGTTGATGTTGTCGACTCCAAATACACCCAACCATTCGCGGACATCGGTCCTCTTGTCAACAACCCCCAGTCAGGCACATACAAAGACCTCGCTGCCTGGACCAACATCGCCATGGACTCTCCCCCTTGCCAGGATCTCGGCACCAACAACCCTCGTTTCCCCATCTACACGAAGGCCTACAACGTCTCCACCCAAAAGACCGTGTATGACGCATATGCCACTGCCATCAAGGGCAAGGACTCCCCCTTCTACAACTCCATCTTCATGTTCGAAGACTATGCTAGCGCTGGTCTCCGTAAACGCGACAACGACGCCTCTGCGTTCGGTTTCCGCGACGACCACATTCTTGCAGCGCCCCTCATCATCTCTACGACGGGTGATACGGCACAAGATGAAGCTGTCGAGAAGCTGGGTAACGAGCTTAGGGAGATGCTCAGGGAAGGAACTAACTGCGAGGAACTTCACACGTATGTGAACTATGCGTATGGAACTGAAGGGCCGGAAAGCTGGTACGGGTACGAGCCGTCTCGCCAGGAGCGCCTCAAGACCCTCAAGACCAAGTACGACCCCACTGGAAAATTCAGCTTCTATGCACCTGTGGCGTAGGAAAAAGGAGATGTTCGCCACGATCATGAGTAGAATACACTAATTAATTAATACTTGTATGGTTTTGAGCTTCAGCTGATGGATGGCTAAGAATGGTCTTCCCCGTCGTTCTGGTCACAATTATATTGGATTGTGTCTTTGCATAGCGTAGCCAAATCACTCATTCATAATTGCTAATGTTCCAGAAGATTTGCCTCCATGTCCTGTGGGGCTCGGGGTGTTTCAACGCCACGCTGCAGTCGGTGGTTTCTCATCGCACATATGATCGGATCCGGCGATCGAACCACCAAAACTTACGATAAATCAGACACTCGGGGTCCAATACAGCAACTACACCCTTCAAGCGAGTGCATTACTTACTGAGGTTGAAGCTCTGCCAATGCTGTACCCGACGTGTCACATCGTGTCGTTCGATGCCACCACCTCACCGACTCTCGCGTGGCGAGTGCAAAGCAGAAACGTACAAGTTCATTCCCTGGAAGAAAGTCCTTAAAAGCCTTTGTTATATGTATTTACCAGCGAAACGAGGACGCAGTCTGCTCGACCTGCGTTTCTCATACACAATGCACCAGAATCGTACTATGCGATCGATCCAGACCGCGGAGATGATACCCCCTTGAGAGCACGCTAAGATCACGAACGCAAAGTGGTGCAAGGGCGCTCGCCGCCGCTAAAGCAACAACCCGGTATGTTCGCGGCACATCGTTTCTGGTTCTAGTAGCTGGCTCTATCCGAGGTTCATATGATGATACTGTTTCTTGGTTAACAAGAGGGTTGGTTAGACGACCTTCCCATTCGAAGAGGACGACAAAAGAGGTTGATTCTAGCGCATAAGAGTGTTTACATATTGCAGCGAACCTGCAGCACATGCTTTGCACCTATCATCTCTTTCGATCTCATCATGCGGGTTCCCGAATACGGCCCTAGCTGCGAAGCGGAAACTCTGTTGCTTCATGGAAGCCCCGATGAAGCGCGCTAAGTCGGGTAACCTATCCCCATCGCTTTATCCAGTCCATAGCGGCAGCGGGTCGTGACGATTACCGCGGCGGGATATGGTGGCTGAGATCGGGAAACACTGATTCATCATGGCAGTATTTTTGTACAGCGCAGTTCGCAGGATACGGGATCCGTTCGTTGAGAATTGAGTCGCGCTGCCGAGAGCCGTCTCTATCACGAAAGAGATCTAGTGTGACGGCCAGCCAGGTATAGTCTACGATGTTACAACCCCGGAATGACTCGTATTGTAACCCAAGTCTACATCCCCAAATCAATTAGTGCTGCCAACACTCAAGCTCTGATTCGTATATGACAAAACATCATATAGGACGAAGTGTCGGTGATTGCCATCGTCGTCTTCGAAATTCTTCCATGTTCCTGCCCTCGGCCGTGCCAACGCTCCACTACCTACGCGAACCCTTTTTTCGGTATACTGCACGCTGATCTTTTCTTAAATCAACCTTACACCACCCCCGCTACCTTTATCGATACCAAGTGAAAAGTTTCTACCGAGGTGACCGGGGATCTAATCCATGTGCGGGTAATTCTCGGCGGTATTCATCGGGCGGAGCATTACGCTTGTGCGTCGAAGGATTCACTTGGCATCGATGGAGTAATCGCGGCGTAGTATTCCAATCTCACATGTTGGATTTATCTGTAGGTGGTTTAGAAGGGACGGGAGAAGCATTGAAGCTTGTATTAAATTGTCTTTCTGCCGTCTCGTCCCTTATACAAGTAATCATCTAGAACAATGGCCAACGCGGGATAATCTCTTTGCCTTGTGATCTCACTCGGGGTAATCCGTAATGACTAAACGTTCTTTCGGCTCATTTGGAATTCCGAGCCCTTAGTGGGAGGTTCATTTATCTGAAGCCGGGTCTTGGGGCGAGGCGTCTTCTAGTCATCATTTCGAATCTTCTTCGGCCGACAGCGCTGCACATAAGTGCGGCATGTGCTCGCATTGTCCACGACGCAGTGGAAATCATTTCCCTAGCGGTAGGAGACAAAATAACTGAAAATATGTGTACTCATCCGCGCTTCTCCGTAAACCGTGTGTTTCTTGTTCATTCTTTCAACGACGTCTCGGATAGTGCGATTACTCACGCCATCCAGTCGATTGAAACAAACTGTTGGAGATTGCATGATTTTGGCTGTTCAGTGTTCTGCCAACCAGTCGCCACCGCATAAAACACCGAGTATGAAGCAAATTCGCTCTCCTACATGCTACTCAACACGGATCATCCCTTACAATCTCTACTCTCTTTCGCCGAAAAAGATTGTTGCTTCTTCATAGGTTTTCCTGGATGTCCCCCTGTCGCGAAAGGATACGCCGAATGATAATCACTCCCGAGCTGACTCGGGCCTTGAGTTATGGCGCGCCTAGCGTTGGATCAAACCCATATATGATATTGGTACAAGGATATTCCAGTACTCCATGGGGCCCCGAGATCCAGAGGCTGTACCGTTATGGCGTGAGAGTGACAGATGATAGATCTCGCTTGTCACCACCGTTGATTGCTCATTATACAATCCATCTATGCATAAACAATGATAGCGCTCGAACTGGAATCGCTGGAGACCCAGTTATGTCTCTGCTCAAATATCCCAGCCTTCGCCCTTGACCTTCCGCATCCGGCTCATCATTGAGCTACCTTTCGGTTTGGGAACCAATTGCATTCCCAATTTGACTCCTTCTGTTTCTCCTTCCTTGCCTACAGGTATATAACTCGTGCCAGCCATTCCAAATGGTCTCATGTTGTGATAAATTGTCTCCCAATGCCCTTTCGGTGCATGATATGTCTCATGCATGATGCCCATATAAGGGAAATGTCCCTGATTGTATGCGTTCCAACCCACACGGTGCGATGGACCTTGGGCAAATTCTTGTAAGCCGGCAAGATCCTTCCAGTAGGTCAGAAAGACGACGGTTGTGGACTGTTTATCGGACATGTCAAAGAGAACGTCTGAAGAACCGAGATCTGAACAGTGAGTTATGAGAATATCTAGGATGAGTGGTTTGGTGGAGACTTACAGCTGTATTTCGCTTTTTCCTTTTCTGCTTCACGAAACATGTCTTTAAATACAATGTCGATTTCAGCAAATCCAGGTGCCAGCTTTCCAAAAGGACTACACAAAGTTAGCCTCAGGTACTACCTTGTCCCTTGTAAATGCCATTTACTGGTTATATCTCGCGCTCAGCAGGAACAAAACCACTCCATCGTTGGTTTTGGTCTTTTGATCTCCCACTGGCTCATCGAATTTCGTAGTGAGCAATCCCGGAGTGATACCCATGCTATAACCTTCCTTCCCTGTCAGATCCAACCTGTTCATGTCGGATGCTGACTTCAAAAACCTATACGCTAACCACCCCAGCGGTAGCAAAGCGCTGACACGTGGAGGGAGCCAGAAAGACATAATCACCTGGAACAACGCGCCCAGAGATAGCCATGTGGGAAGAGAAAAATCGCTATGCTCGATGAGGTCATGGTATTGAGCGAAAATTTCTGACGGGCGATTGACGAGAAAGTCGAATAGTGGGGTCATATTAACAAAAGGGTTGGAGTTTGGTCAATTGGGAAAGGAGATGTCTAGATTTACAGCCGTGGGGTGTAGGTGTGTTTGCGTGTCATCGGGAGTGGCGCAGTGCGGCGCGGTAGCAACGGTAATAATAACAGAGCACATTGATGACCGCAATCACGCTAGAGCTAGACTTGATGGAGATTGACGTATCACTTAAGGTTTCCGTTAGGGTAGTACTCGATTTCGATATATTCCTTTCCAGGGCCAATCGAAAGACAGTCCGCAATGCGTGGATGGTTGACCAGGACAAGACACCGGCCTCAATTTTGCATGCCTCCCTATTCTGCTTGATGATGCCTGACAATGTTTCCAGCGCGGTATGTTTTGGTGCTCATGCCCACCTAAAGCAGCTCGCGCGTTGGCAACGTAGAGAGAGACAATAATTCAAAACTGAGACAGAGAGTGATTGCGCCACTTAGATGCGAGACTTGAAATGCAGTTATCAGCCGTGTTTTCTGGGCGTGAGGCTTTCCATGTAGTGGAAAGCCCGTGCCGTCTCAAACTGCGATGATACAATTAACTATTAAGTAGTGGAAAAGTGAGAGTAGGACGACCGTTGTCGGATTTGCGGGTGAAGAATGCGATGGGCCGGGAACGCGTGTTCCGATTTCGTTAAGTAAGGAGATGGACTAGAGAGATGGCATCATCTATCCCGCTTTAGCTTGCTGCAGACTCGTCTTATTTGCATCATTCACAAAAGAAAAAAAGTTGACGTTTTACATGTGTTAGAAATGTGTACTAGTCCGAGTCCCTAGGCAAGTTACTATGCTGCTTGTACTGTGCTGTGCCAACGCTCATCGGTCGCTATAGCCTAAAACTCTTCATAAGTTATGTAAATCATGTTGACTTTGATATGTCGTCCCTGCTATGCCTCGAATATCCCGCTGGAAAGCCGGTACGGTACTATTATCATTGTCATGCTATAGTGACAACTATTGTCCAATTGTGTACATCAAAGACTGAAGATTCATATCCATATCATACCCCCTTCCTTCAGGCTGTACCCCTTCCTTGATATCTAATGGCCAGCAGCTAATTACGAGTATACTATCCCCTGCTGAAATCATTGTACTGGACGTGGTTCTGGCATTGGATTCAATCCCTTATCCAAGCAACGATCTCCCTTGCACCTCTTACACTTATACAGATCTTCCTGGACCTGCAATCCCTTATCCAAATTCTCCGGATCAAAGACTCTAAAGCTATACATCTCATTCCCTTTAAATTCAACACACTCATCCTCCCAGCCAAACGTTTCCACTAAGTCGGCCCAGCAGCAATCTTCTGTCTTGAAAGTTGCAAGCATGTATTTGTTGTCCTTGTCGCCTGTCCATTGGAGCTGCATCTTTTTGAACTCTGGACGTGCAGTGAATCCGTAGCACCCGTACTCGAGATGAGCGTCTGGGTACCCGATTTTGACTTGGTTTGCGTTTGGTTTGTATGTGCAGTCATCGGTTCCGTATACGGTGAAGTTGAAGGCCGTTGTGGTGGCCGAGAGGATGAAGATGGGGAGTAAGATAGTGGTCCACATGCTTGCTTCTTTTTGCGGGGATTTCATTCGAAGAGCAAGAGATTGCAGCCGTAAGAATTACCGTTTCAGGGCATGAAGTTTGACGCAGTCTGCTATTCAAGGTGAAATCGCGAACATATATACGAGATTTCGTACCCCAGTATAACAGGGCGGCCGAAAATATCGAATAGAGCGACAAAAGTAGATCAAACCACGGTAACAGTGCTCACCGTGATCCTAAAACTAAGAATAGAAGTTCAAACCGTTGTTTTCATCACCTCGAAACTGAAAAAACACTACTTCACGATCCTGCTGCCCTGTGGGTGACAAAGTAATGAAGTCGGGCGTGGGGCGGTATATCACTCCGTGACTTTGACTTATTAAGCATCGAACACATAATTTGATTGAGAAGCAGGTTAAATTGAACAAGACTTCTCCACCTTCTCGATCAGTTTGGCTTGCATCTGCAGGAGCCTTCATCAAGTACCGGTCCGTCTCGCTGACAAATCACTTGAATGTTTGTGCCAAGTCCCATCGATTGCCATGATCTCAGACTCTCCACGAGGTACTTGTACATATATAATATTAATTGTGAAGCTGGAGTTAGTTGACCCTATACACCACGATATATGAATATATAAAGCGACAAAGGTACGAAAAACGGGCGATTGACAGAAAGGGATGTGATTTTACACAGACTTGACTGAAAATGGAACTGAAGCATTCATCAGCATAGTGTAGGATTGCGCCCAGTTGTGCCTCGCGAAAGGAGTTGCGCAGGGCGAGTCGGGCGTTTTTTTCCTCGCTAAAAGAGCTGGATGTAGAAATCGGGACTGCCAGTGTCTCCGATGGTACCAAAAGCAGTGAGCTGAGGCTAAATTAGACATATCTTTAGATATAAGCTACAAGCCCTAGCAACAATGAAAAATAAAGGGCTGGATAGTAGCTAACTTTCATTCACTTTAGTCTCATGCATACATTCATTTCCAATTCCATTCAAACATTCATTTAGATGAAATCATGCGATTTCTCGCTTTTTCCCATTCTATTCTTCCCACATTCTTTTCGCCAACAGTGCACCAGCTCCCCTGGCCAATGATGACAGTCCGGGGATCGGCGTCGGACTGGAAATCCGAGGTTTTGAAATCGTCAACAATGACCCCAAAGCTAAAAGCCCACCTGACAAAGACAAAGCTTTAACCGCAGTAAAAGGCGCCGGACTCGTGGTACCGGATCAAAAAACGTGTGGAACGAACTGGGCCTTGACGGCCGAGCGTGTTGGCGATGACATCGAGACCCTGACCTTCCAGTGGGTCATTGATGGAAAGCGCACAAAGCTGAAGGATGGCGGGGACACCCAAGATGCAGACAGTTTAGTTTTACCTGAAATCTGGAAAGAGATCCAAAAATCACTTGTAAGTTGTCCGCGCCCGAGCCAATTGTCCGTACTAACATGAGGTTGTAGGAGGACTGGGCGCCGAATGAAAACACTCAAGTCGAGATCAAAGGCGCCGAAGAGTATGGCAAATGGACAACCTCAAAACCCAAGGTGTTCAACACGCTTCTCTTGAACCCCGGTGTCCAGATTACAGCTCCCCTGCCCTTATCGGGAATCCAGGATCTGATCTCCACTGCAAAGAAAGGAGGCAAAAGCGCATTATTGCCAACAACCATAAGCAAGCTTGACAGGTTTGTCCTGATCGAGAAGAAAGATCTGAAGGATTGGTACAAGCCGAAACGGATTGACGACGATTTGCTGGGGTTCTACTCGTTGCTCCTGTCATACGTTAAAGTAGCGAGCGAGGCGAGCGCTGCTGACATTGGGGGCCCCAAACAAGCGCTTCCGATCATGCCGAAAACGTCTTTCGTCACAATGTACAAGATTTGGGCAGACAGGATGGAAAAGAATAAACAATCGAAGAGGAAGAGAGGCAAGGAAAATACTCGTCTCTACACGATTGTGAAAGCTCTGGCCGAAAAGAAGAACATTCAAAATTTCGACCGCGCCACTTTTCATTGGCCTAAGGTACGAAGCTTGAGCGACATGTATTGTTAACCCATCTCACGTGCTTACCTCTATTGTAGGACGCGAAGTCAATACAGTACAACGCAGTACAACCGGGTGGCGATTGCGAGCCTCCGAGCAACAGGATGACGCTTAACGTCGCAGAAGTCAATGTAGACTGGCCGACTAAACAGAATGATCTCGCAGCGAAAACACTTTCCGTGAATACTTGGATCAACTATCTCGACGATGAAACGCGCCCCAACGACCTCTTTGCCACGATGGACAAAGCAGTTTACGACGGACAGATTGGAGCGCTCGGAACCAGATCGGAGCGAAATTTTTATCTGGAAAAGGAGCTACATCCGCTTTTTACGTTCCGAAATCTTGCAGGAGAGAGTTACGCAAGTACGGGAGACATCCTTAAGGCGATGGAAATCGAAGTAAAGAAGTACCACAGGATGTATCGGTCTCTCAAGCTCAAGAAAAAACGTACAAATAAATCATGCCGCAAGCCTGCAGACGACGAGCAATGCACTGGAAAGCAAGCCAAGGACGAGTCAGGCAAATGCAAAGACTGCCCTAAAGGCACCGAGTCTGACACCAACAATGAGACATGCGAGCGCGTCTCATCTAAAAAAAAATAAAGGCAAATGTGGGGCCGACCAAGTCCTCGATGCGGCCGAGGGTGGACAGAACAACGACACCCCGAATCCCGTATGCAAGCCAGACGACGACAAGAAGTGTCCAGCCGGTAAAAACGCAGCGACTCGTCCTCCGAAGAAACGAAACGACAAGAATTACAAAGCCGAGTGTGCAACCGATGAAAAGTCCGATTTTGAGTGCAAAGACAAAGATACGTATGATCACCGGGTGGTGAAGGATGGCAAAATCGAACACAGCTGTCGAGCAACGCGTGACAAGAAGAAAAAACAGAAAGAGAAAGCCACCAAGCGCTCTAAAGAAGCGAAAGATCCAAAGAAGAAAACCGGCGACAAAATGGACAAGGACAAGAAAGAGCGTGAAAAGAATACGAGAGACAAGAACCGGCGCACTCGATCTGGATTCTGCTTTGCGCTTCTTGGCGGGACCGGCGCATGGGGAGACAAGGAACTCGAGGACCTAAGCGCCGACGAGATCGATGGACTCGTAGATACGTGGCCTGATGATATGCAAGATTCACCTGGGTTCATTCCGGATTGGGTAGTGAAGATTGAGCCACACCAAAAAACCCATTTTGAGGCTGTTGGTGGAGATATGATGATGGCGGGTGCATTCCCCCCCTTACTCAGTGTTGTGAGCTCCATCGTCAAGATGTCTACTGGCTTCGCAAGGGTCGGTGGGCTTACGGCCACTAGAGTATACAGAACGATCAGAACAGGAGCTCGAGGTCCAGCAAAGGCTGTAGCCAAACAGGCAGCAAAGTCATCTAACACGGTTGGAAAAATCCTGAAGGACAAGCGATTTCTTGACTGCCTTTCTGTCGTAGCTTCTACAGCGGGCTCGCTTTCCAGTCGGGACGAGAACAGCAAGAACACGGTTATTGCCGACGTTGGCGATAACGACGTCTCAATCGACTGGTCTCGAAAGGACCCTGGCATTAAAATTCAACCTGAGGACGATAAACAAATCGTGGTTAAACTCATGACCGAAGCGAAGAACTTTTTCACGAACAACCAGGACCCTCAACCTTGGGCGGTCACCTATCCTGATGCAATTATTAGACCCGGCCGTTTGTACTACGAGCAATGCACGAATCTTCCAGATGATTATAAGAACCAAGTTAGTGCGATAGCAGTCGAGGGTGGATGCTGTATAGCCTACGCCGACAGCGATTGCAAGCCAGAGTCGTGGATGTTCGGTATGGAAAATCGAGAAGTTCTGAAGCTCAAGGGTCACCATAATGACAACATTGAGTCGTTTTGGTGCACTTTCTGGAGTGGATTGGATGGCGATGAACTATGTCAGGGAGCACCGAGGACTGGTAATGGAGTGGCTGTATAGCACTAGAGATGCGATTCAAGTGATTCTTGTGGTCTGGCAAGGGTTTGAACCAAGGGCGGCGTCTATGACGCTTTGCGCAACAAGAAAAAGTAGTTTTAAATTTCCGACTCAATCATTTGCGCTATTAGTAGTCGAGGTAGAATCACTCAGTCAAATTGCTCCATCCACACCTCCTGCCAGTGGTCGAAGAAGGCAAAGATGGTCAAAGGCGCCCTATCTGGCGTATCATACCATCTGTCCAGATCCCTTTGTAGGCGGTTCCCGGAACTGACGAGTATTTCTTCTAGGCTAGCAAAGCATTTGGATGAATCCCAAGGTGTGTCTTCGTCGGCAATCTTTTGCAGATCGTCCACATCCACGGCGCCGAAAAGAAACATCGTGAGTTGACGAATACAAAATATCTCTTTGAGCGACATTCTTTCCAACCCCCTTTCTTTCTCTTTCTGCGGCTTCCAAAGAAGTCCCCAAACCTGGGTGAAGGTATTTGTGAGACGGTCAGTTTCGGTAGGGGTGAGATGATTGTCCGCGCGCTTGTGCGGACGAAGGAGACGAGAAACGATCTCTTTTTCAAATATACTGCAACAATTAGCTGCAGACATGATGGAGGTGTGTGAAGAGAGGTGGGATAGATAATGTTGGGTGGTGAAGGGAAGTTAGACGCATGGGGCTGCTCACAGCCACCTTATAGCCCCACAAATCAGGCTACTGCAAGCTAGGCAGCCATTCGCGACGTATAAGCAATACTTACTATGTGTTTGATCAAGACGTATGAAATGATGACTCATCAATTTTTTGATGATAAAGGAACATGTGTTTTTTTAACCGGAGCTCGAAGTCAGAGTTATCGTGCGATTTTATCATCCCAAGAGTTTGTGCCCCTTGAAATGTGCGATGAATGAACACACACACATACATATAAGACCATGATCGCATAATCAGAGCTGAGAGCTCCTATTAAATCGAGTTCCTACTATGCTCCAATCATATTTCACTCCCAGTCTGTGCTACGGATAACGTGTTCCCACTCATTACAAACAACCAGCGTATCCGCACACTTCTTCCTCAGCGTCGCCAAACAATCGGTTCCTATGGGAAACCTATCTGGGAGCATCTTGCCTTCCGCAACGCCCTCTGCTCGAACAAAGTCCAGAATGACCTCGACGGCCTTCTTAGGATCACCGGGCTGGTGGCCGTTCATGCCCTCAACAAACTGCCCAACCATGTTGCGAATATGTTCGTAATCCGCGATACCAGGCGCACGGAACGTTCGAACGTTTTCAGGATGCATGATCTTCGTGCGGAAGAAACCTAGTTCGAATAGGACACTTTTGATGCCGAGATGTGCAGTCTCTTGCTTGAGGCAATCGTGCCAACCCTCCAGAGCGAATTTTGTGCCGCAGTACTACATTTTGTAAGCTCAGCCTGCTCAACCCATATTTTTACTTACTGGAGCTGCACCTGGCTCCCCCGCAATGCCGCCAGAGGAGCCAATGAAAACTATAGTCCCCGATTTCCTTTCGCGAAAGTGTGGAAGAAAGGCTTGCGTAGTCTTGATGACGCCGAAAAAGTTAGTCTCGAACTGAGACATGTAATTGTCGTAGCTGTGAGTCCGTAAGCAAATGCCTAATTCACATTTGGCAACAGATGTACACACCTAGCTTCTTCTGCCAAAGCTGCCTCAATATATCCGGCGTTGTTGACAAGTACATCGATAGGCCCGCCTTTGAGAACTTTGGCCGCTGCTGCCTGGATATCGGAGGGAGAAGATGTGACGTCGAGACTGATGACCTCTGCACCGGCATCTTTGAGAGAGGAGAGTCGCGATACATCTCCGCGAGCACTTGCAACCACTTTATCACCTCGCGCGAGTATGCTTCGCACGAATGCTTCGCCCAGGCCTGATGTGCATCCAGTGATGAACCATCGGAGTTGCGTCATTTTGTCCAGATGTTATGATGTGCCCGATAATATCAGAGTAAGCTAACAATTGAACAGCTAGAATGAGCTACGTAGATTGATGAAGCAGATTGTGTACCGAGGTGAATTTCTGAAGACTTTGAACTCTACGACTAAGGTTTATATATGTACAAGATATCATCGCTGCGCCTCAACTTCACAGTCAATCTACCCGTGGATCTACAGTGCAGTACGTCAGGGCTGAACTCCGTTCAGCAACGGATATATCCTATTATGCTAGAATATCCCATAGAAACATCGATACAACAGCAATCTGCCCCCACTGCCGCTAAGCATTACCGCCTAGATAGGAAGATTATGCCGATTTTGTTAGCGTGGAAGTACCTCGTATGCACACAGGGGCGTGATTTTGAGACCCTGTTCTTCCCCACAATTCGATGGTCACCGCTCGCGGAAATCCCGAATAACTTATGCGGTGATAGACACCCATGATCTTCATTCAAGGTCACGGATCGTTGCTTGTTTGCCCATTTTCTTTTATGATGAAAATTATCTTCCTAAAAACAATCAATCGAATCATTCGTCAAAAGCTGTCGTGCGTGACTATCAGGCCCTGCGCACAACAGAGTCTGATAGACCTAAACCAGAGAAGGGGCATGGATGAATATGAAATTGTGTAATATGCATTCCATTCTTCCACCGGATTTTGGATGAATTACTTATTTCGGATTGCAATGCGAGGGACAAACTGCGTGTAAAAAAACGCCTCACGGATCGCTCGGGTAATCCTACGACTCAAAGTTATTCCAGGCTGCCATCAGATGTATGCTTTAGTTGATTTAAACACGAAGATCCACCCGAATCGCGTAATGCCAGAGGGATCAAACTGTGGCGCAGCAACTCATCTCGCGCGAATGAACGTCATATGTATCAAACAGATGGTCGACACCGCAGATGAGCTCTGCATTGCAACTCTCACTCTCGCGCGAGAAAGAGAAACCTTGATGCAGCATTGAAAAATGAAGTCATCAAATACATAGGCAACGGAGTATTAAGATTGAGCATGATTTGACTCGCTACAATAATGTATATCTCATCAACTCAGCTGTGTACTTTTCCGTCGAAAGGTCTTTGATGTTCAATGAACATATTACTGGTATTTCCGGACAACGAATAAAAGGTACGCGTCGATGGATTCCTTGTCTTTCTCCGGATAAGCCGACTAGACTACCATTTATGGCTCGCTTCACCTTGGATGTTTCTGCTATCGCCCGAGATACCATCCTCGCTATCACACTTAATCAGAACTCCCAATTCTATACATTCTTGAACAGGGGAATTGATTTTTCATTGGTCACGATAGACTACTTAAACGTATACAATGAGAAAGATAATGACAGGTTGCATAGTAGTTTACGCGGATCCATGTTCGTAAACTCCCAATAACCGAGAGAGAGCCAATGATTTGATGTTTCCACCAGCTCCTCGCCAATTCATGTTTACCATATTCGCTCAAATCAACTCAAAATGTTACTAGGGGCGCATGCGGTGAGATCTTAATGCACCACGGAATGGCCAATTAGAGCACTTGTTGATATTGGCCATTGTCACAACAGCGCTTTTGACATCAATTCCATGGCTAGATAGCTAGCTATAAAACTCGTGGTGATTCAAGCGAAAGACACAAATCTACATTGGAATTTGTGCTCACCACGCTGACCACATCATGTTTGTTCACTCTACATTTCCAGTCCTAGCCCTAATGATCCCGGCTTGTGCGCTAGCGAGTTCCGGGTCATCCAGTCCCGTTCCAGACTGTTCATCCTTTCGACCTGTCAACTCCATTTCTGACTATCATGCGACCATCCTAAACACAACATATTATGATATTGGTGAATTGGATGTGCAGGGAACACTCAACGAAGTCTCAATTTGTGAGATTTTCGTTTCCGTCCCCTACGGATCGAATGACACCCTGCACTTTGCGCTATGGCTACCAGATACACAATACTCTTCCCGATTCATGGCGATCGGTAACGGAGGATTTGGGGCTGCGCTTAGCGACACCGAAATGATGGAAGAATTGAATAACGGGCTGGGTTTCGCAGTGGCGGGCAGCGATGCGGGCCACGTGGGAAACGGGTCCGGTACGCCTGGGGTATATGAGCCATTTTTACACGATGAAGACCAAACAAAGGCTTGGCTTCACAACAGCATCAGTCTTTTCACACCAGTCGCAAAAGCTTTGATCAACAATTTCTACGGATACGAAGCGGATTACTCGTACTATCGTGGCTGCTCTACAGGCGGTGCTCAAGGGTTTTCCTTGGCTGAATTCCACCCAGACTTGTTTGATGGCATCATTGCTGGGTGTGCCGCGAACTATTACACTCATCTCATGCTCAGCTTCTTGTGGAACTCACAGCAAACCGATGTACGCTTACAGCCTCGATTGGGAGTTTTCTTGAACTAACTTTTATGCTCCAGACCAATGAAACTTATCTCTCCGAGCCCCTCCTCGAATATATTCAAGCTCGTGTCATCGAGGAATGCGACACAATTGATGGCATTCAAGACAAATTAGTTGAGAACCCGCTTGAGTGTACTTTCAACATCTCCACTTTAGCCTGTTCGGCTGGCGCTCCAGCTGCGAACGTCACATGTCTTACGCCCTCCCAACTTTCTGCCGCTCAAGCAATCTATCAGGGACCTGTCCGCGCAGACTCATCTCGTACATCCATCTTTCCGGGACTCACGCTTGCTTCTGAAGGGGGATGGTGGTTCCCACAGGTGGAAGCCGGACTCTCGACTGCAATCACTACGCCTATCCTACAGAATCTGGTGTATAACGACCTTTCTTACGATCCTAAGACTTTCAATTGGGCGTCAGATATAGACGTTCTCGACGAGCGCGCCGGTCCGCTTATCGACTCCATCAGCACTGACCTTTCCTCCTTCCGTGACGGCGGGGGCAAAATGATCGCATATGCAGGCTGGGCTGATCCAAGTATCGCACCAATGTGGACTCTTCAACATGTGGAAGCGATCACGAAGAGAACCCTGGGAGATGGAGTTACCATAGCAGACAACGACTTTTTAAAGCTTGTGATGGTGCCCGGCGGTGGTCACTGTGGTGCTAATATTGCGAAATATCCATCCGTGCCTGCGCACTATAGCATTTCTTCGGTACTGGTGGAATGGGTAGAGAAGGGGGAGGACGACGTGGAAGGAATCAGGAGTTGGGGCCCGACCAACGGAGACAACAGAACCAGGAAACTCTGTACGTGGCCAAAGGTTGCTAAGCTGAAGGAAGGCGGGGATGTAGATGATTGGGAGAGCTATCTTTGTGCTTGATCCATCATGTCGAACTTGCTCGCCCGTAATCTGTTCGGTGGCATAATCTATGAACAAATAAAATTTGAGTCTCCCCTTTCACCTTCGCTCAAAGATGCCTGGGGGTGGTTCTCATCAACGGCAGTGAATATAATATCATCATCCATAGGCACCATAGCTTCCATGTTCCCTCGTCTGCATCCTGAGTCTGCATGACCAGCGTTCTAACCGCAATCGATATTCCAATCAACATACACGGAAGATAACACACAGAATCTAGATCCCAGTACGTACAACAAAAAATAGACCAGAACATAATCGTGATAGAAACTGACCACCTCGTAGCGACATGGCCGTACACCAAAGGCATCGTTTTCCGGTTTCTCCGACGATCTCCTTCGATATCTGGAAGGTCTTGGATTTGGACGGTAGTAGCGATCACAACAGCGAGGAGGCTGATCCACACATAAACTTCGCGTTGAAGCGTGTAATCTCCAAAGCCAGTAGCCGTCACCGCAGCGCCAACACTGAAGCATGACAGACCGCACGCGTTTAACACGTTACGAATAAGCCAATTCTCATTCGCCCCATCGAGTTCGTTATACATATGAGAGAATACCATTAGCTTCATGGAAGCTTCTGTTCCTCCTAATAGGAGACTTGCAATGTATATTGTTGGGATAGCGCATAAGAGCAGCTTTCTCGCAGTGTTTGATGTCATCCGCTGAGTTGGGAGGGGCCTCCATGGTTTGTTGACGCTGTCTTCCACTATAGAGCCTGGAAGGCGCTGATTCGAGACCACTTCGTTGAGTAGATTGAGCCAAAGCCATAAGATCGTTTTCGGGAGATTACGCAGGACTTCGCAGGTTTTCGGAGCTGGGTTACTGGTGAGAAGCGGCCCAGACAGCGCTACAACTATTCCGAACACCGTTTGAGGAAAGATGACAGTTTTGAAGTCACTCTTCGTGAAGAGCCATAGCGTTCGAAGATGAAAGAGTGCTTGATTTGACATCTAGTACAGATAATGAGTGCTGGAATAGTATTTGCATCTTTTTAAGGATAATATACCAGCTTTATCGAGAATCGTTTGTTCGTGTTAGTTCCATTGCACGACGTGCTTTTCGAACTTCTAGGCTCAGTCATATTCGTTGTGCCCGCCGTCTAAAGAATGAGTCAATAAGAGATTCTGGAAACCGGAAATCAGCCTTCGGGGCATTAGTATGATAAGACAGACAGTCCATCCTCTATCGACTATCCCATAAGAATCTATAATAGGGAGGTGGGGGCGAGATAGAAGACACATTCCTCCTTCATCTTTCAAGTTAGTGTTAGTACACCATCGGGAGGAGTTTGTATATTTATTGGATGTCAGCATTGGTCGTACGCGTAGTGATAACTGATCAGTCACCCGTCTCACACTGCTCACCGTTTAACCTAGGTGGTCTATTGCCTTTTTCTGCAAAACTTTCTCCTGGATCGGTAAATAATCGAACAATGGAAAGGAATAGTGCGTCCATCTGGCGTCGGAAAGATATTCTTCCATCGTATTGCTAACATCATATCGTGTGGTTGGGTCTTGAATAGTTAAAATACTATCTATTCTCCGTTTCTGGACATGTTCGCACTTTCTCACCAGCCATTGATCTCTTATTGATCTCACCAGCTATTAACCCAGCATCGTCGTTGTATTCACACCTTTAGCTATCCCCTTCTTCGATGCTTTTGATGTGGATACTCTACTACGTAATGTGATGTTTATTCCTGTCGCCTTTTTCTTCTGGGTCGATTTGTAGGTCGTGATTCTAGCTATGCGCGCGACGCTGCTTATCTCGCTGAATACGCTAATCCGATTAAGGTGCCATGCTGCGCTTGGTATACCTAACAATAGAGTCTCATAACATCGCACTCGACGGTTAGCCGTAATCATAAACGACGATGCTTTAAGATAACCGTCTTTATTAGTAGGGCTGACCACCAGTGCGTAGTCTGGAAGATACAGTCTCACACCCAACACCTCGCGTCGCCGAATAAACTGTAGACATGAATCTCAACTCTCACACTCCCAAGAAATTTCCTCGTGTCCCGTCATCTCTATCACAGATTCCTTACAGGAATATTCCTCTCCAGATATCCATGCCATTTCGGCAACGTCCTACCACCCCCCATCCCACTACTACCCTGCAAATCCTCAATCGCACTCGCCCACTTCAATAAACCCCCCTCACTCCACGCCGTCCCCATCAGTCCTAACCCAAACGGCATCCCCGTGTTCCCATTCAAACCTGCGGGCAGCGTAATCATCGGATATCCAGCTTGTGCGGCAATCTGATACGATTGCCCTACATCCGACGGGACGAGCAACGCATCGAGCTCCCTCCCCTGATTCGCCAACGCGGCATCGATACCTTCCTCCCGCGTACTGCGCTGTACGAATTCCAGAGCTTGGTAATATGTTTCGTTCATCTCGCCCTTTGTCGCGAGACTTGCTAGGAACCCATCTTGTCCGGATCGAAAGGCGGGGATGCCCGCGGGGTAGGGGTATCCGCCTTCCGAGCCATCGTTGGCGTAGTTGTACGCTACTATGTCTTCCAGACTGCGGATGTTTGTGTTTTCGAGCTCGGATAGGTACTCTTTGATGTTGTTGTAGAAATCTACTTTTACGACTGTGTATTCTGATTCGTTGGGGCGGTTGCGAGCTGTGTTGCCATAGTCCCAGTCCCACCCATCTTGCGAGACTATGGTCTTGTAGTTTGGGAGTTCGGTGTTGTTGATTATTGTGGCGCCGGCGGAGGAGAGGAGGGTGAGGAGGGTGGTGAGGGTTTCGCGTTGGACTTGGTCTGCGTGGATCCAGAAACTCGACCAGGGAACGCCGAAGGTGGCATTTCTCAATGCGGTGCGGTTTGCGAGGAAAGGGATGTAGCCTTGTTCTGGGGTGTTTCCGAGCTGAGCGCTGGTGTAGTTGTCGCGGGGGTCGATGCCGTAGATGGCGTTGAATGCGTATGCGGCGTCGCGGACGGTGCGACCAAATATGCCTACCTATTTCACAATATCAGTGAACAATATAGAGATAGTCTATCGTTTTCTCGAAAATGGGCGCGACGCCGTGCGGCAGTGTTGTTAGCATACAAAGAAAACGCACATACCGTATCCTGATGCACACTCTCAGGAATCACACCCGCCCTCGACGTCAACCCAACAGTCGGTTTAATTCCCACCAAAGCGTTCCTCTCAGCAGGACTAATCACACTCCCATCCGTCTCCGTGCCGATCGAAAAAGCCGCGACATTCGCCGCAACTGCTGCCGCACTGCCCGAACTACTACCCCCCGGGTTCAGCGTAAGGTTATAAGGACTCCTAGCTTGTCCACCTCTTGCCGAATACCCTTCTGAATAGCTATTACTTCGCATATCCGCCCACTCAGATAGCGTGGCTTTACCCATCAACACTGCGCCCGCTTCTCGCAGCTTGGAAACGATGAACGCGTCTCGGGGAACTACGCTGCCTAGAAGCATCCAACTCCCGGCTGTGGTTTCCATTTGGTCTTTGGTCGCGATCTATGAGTTCGTGTAAGTCGAAGGATATAAGTGTAACGAGATATTTTGCGGGATCGTTACATTGTCTTTGACCACGAACGGAATCCCATGAAGCGGTCCTCGCGAGATATTCTGAGCGCGCTCCTCATCCATCGCAATCGCTATATCCTCTGCATCTGGATTCAATTCAATGATTGAGTTTATGTATCCGTCGACTTGTTGGACTCTTTTCAGGTAACATTTGAGCAGTTGCGCTGAAGTCAATTGACCTAAACCACGAATAACAGATCAGTTCACCACTACCACGAAGCATAAAGCCATGCTGTATCTCGCAACAGGGAGTAATGTACCATTATTCATTGCACTTTGCAATTGATCAACCGTCGCCTCTTCCAACTCAACCCCCCGACATTGCGGCATAGGAAATAACCCCGGTGTATCCGCATACTCGATGGGCGGGAAGAAATAAGGATAAGGGTCCTGCAACGGAGACGCGATGCTACTATCCGCTCGCGTACCTCCGACAACCAGTAGCAGAACCACCACCTTCACAAATCCCAGCGCCATAGCCAACATTCTGGACTCGTCTGAAACCACTCCCGAAACAACGGGATGACTGAAACACTTTTAGAGCAGGCGAGAAAGCAACGTGCTTATGTACTGAAGCTTATCTGATAACTTGACAAGGGTGTGGAGATTTGTGACGTCATGTACAGCACGTGACGGTGACATTCGAAAATAGACTCGGTGAATCTGCATGGTCGATGGGGATTCACGGCGCTTTTCACCATTACCAGGTCGTCTGAAAACCCTTACAGCGTTTTTGATGCTTGCGCAAATGAAGTGGTCGATTGCGAGCTCGCTGTAATGAAAATTTCTCAAATAAGTGGGAAAAATAGGCACTATTCTAATGGTATTCATATTGTTGCTACTTTATAAACGTCAATGATATGTAATCACACTGAAGACAACAGCCTCGTCTGTGATACATCAGCCAATCCATATCTCTCACATTCATATAATCACGTCTTAATGTGTAACTGTATCGCTGTTATACGACAAGCCTGGTTCACGCTGGCATGTTTATGTGCATGACCGATTTCTTGATACGTCCTCGAGTAGTGCCTCAAGGGCAAACGTCACTTGTACCTATCATTTGACATTCCATAGAAGCTGAACATTTTTATTTATTCCCGTTTATTTTTTTCCTCTCTTAGTAAATGGATGATATCGTAATCTCTGGCTAAGCCAGCTAATACTTGTTTGTCAAGATTAGTGATCTTACATGCAGGAAAGGAAGCAAAGATGATTGGAAGAAGCGCTACATTCAAACATCAGCAACGAATTTACATGTTGGATTGCTTGCTATTCGTTTAAGAGACTTATTAATGTGTTCTCCTTGCGCAATGAAATGAGCCAAAACATCTATCATTACATAGTAGAATCACATTTTTCAGCTCCAATCTTCACGCCACTTCCAGATTCAGAATGAAAAGACAGCTGAGACAAGTGTCGCCTCTATAGACTAAGGCCGTTCTCAGTGGGTTTATATAAAGATATGCTGTGGATCTCATTTTTTTTCTTCTGTGCACACCTCTGAACGCTACTCATACACACCCCTGAACACTACTCATACCATACCAACAGCCATGGCAACTGCTTCTCTCACGCCTAATAACATCCGGAGTCTCGCCCAGGTTAAAGGTTATTGGGAGGATGAAGCATCAGTCAATGGCATCTGGGCTGGTTTACTAGCGGATGCTTTTCCTGGATCTGCCAACTTCGTCCTCCAGCCCGAGGGACAAGGCAACGAAGTGAGCAAGAAACGCAACGACATTCTTGTCCGCCATATTCCGGACTGCACGAAAGATGAGCAGCATGCCCGCCTCGCCTTCGAGGGTAAAAGCAGCAAGAGCGCAGACACGATGGATACAGCATCAGCACAGCTTCGCGACTTTCTCAACGCTACGCCTAAGATGAGCCCCAACAAAAAGATGTGGGGCATCGTTGCCAAGGGATTGGCTTTTCGACTTTTCTTTTTCAACGACGACAAGCTCGATCAGCTCAAGATTGACATTAATGGCAAACCTTCCCGTGGCGCTGGTGAATACGAGTTGGGTGCTGCAAATAAGCCCGGCTGTGTGGAAAGTGTCACGGCCTTTTTGAACTTTGCAAAAGCCAACCCTGCTTGGATTATTCAATGAGAGGGACGCTACATCTTCAGATTGGGAACACACGCCTAGACCTTTAGTCTATCACTACTACAAAGCTTACACTATGCTATAGTTTGCAATAAAGAGTTGTAGCAATATACTATTATTTATTACACTTTGCAATTAGTTAATTATTACTTCTTCTAGGATAAAACCCTAGCACTGTAGTATAGGATATAGACCCAGTGTATCTGCATGGTTGACGAGTGAGAAATAGTAGGGGTAGGTTTCTTGCAGCGGAGACGCAATATTACTATTCGCCCTTGTCGACGCCATTGGTAGCATTATGGTCCCGTTTCAAACTACCCCCGAAACTATGGAATTTGCTAAAATATCTTCGACGGGGCGAGAAAGCGACGTGCTATGTACTGAACCTTCTCTACTAACCTAACAAGGTTACCTAGGTAAGTAAATTTGTGACGTCATATATATCACGTGACAAGGACATTCTCGTATCTGAAGAAAATTGATGCAGGGTGCTGCATGAGCTGACGTGTTGCACAAGTTGCCAAGCTATGGTGCCTATCAGTAGAAGCAACACTGTACATAATGAACCAACAGCCTATGTTCTTTCTCCTTCACCTCCCAAGCTTTGCTTGATATACTAGTCGCTTGTACTATCGCAACTGGCTCACATGGCCGAAGTAGTAGGACTCGTATCAGCTGTTGCGCAACTGGCTGGACTCGCGGTTGGGTTAACCAAGTTAAGCTATGTCTATGTTTCGGATGTCAGAAGTGCACCCAAATCGCGAAAATTGTATAAAAGGGAAATCTCAGCGCTGGCAGAAGTTCTGCAACATCTCAAATTGTCGATCGAACAGCACGGCACACAGTCAGTTACTCTATCGGAAGCAGACATTAGAGAATGTCTGGAAGAGCTGTCGTCTCAGCACGCAAAACTAGAAAAGAATACGGCTCAGTTTCTCTGGCCATTCCAGGAAAAAGAGTTCAAGCGTACGATAGAACATTTGCATCGTTTCCGCCAGGTTTTCTCAGACTGCATAGCTACGGCTACGCTGTATGTATTCCGTTTCCAACTTGATTGATGTCTCACTGTTACTCCAGGGCGAAAGTGTCTTCGGCGAATGAAAAAATCGATACCCTGAAGCGTGGTAGGTGCACCACATTGAAAATTTTACACCCTAGATACTCATTTTAGGGTCTTAGGTCAAGAGCAAGTTGCATTGCTAGATTGGCTGCGACAGCCAGATGGCCTCTCAAAGACATTGCCCAAGCCCACAAGTGGAACTGGCCAATGGTTTATCAATCACGCCAAGTTTCAAGAGTGGCTTACTGATCCACCGTCACTCCTTTGGTGTCATGGTCCACGTATGCAGTTCATCGATTCTATAGCGTGTATTTTGCTGATTTTCTGGTAGCTGGAGTTGGCAAATCACTGATTGCGTAAGCAACTGTTCTTTTCCGTTGATTACCGATTTATTGAGCATCTCCCAGTGCCATAGCGGCCCAAGAGCTATCTAAGAATCTCAGCAACCACGATTCCTGCCTTGCATATTATTTCTGTGACTTTACTTCTCAGAAACAGCAAACAGACTTGGCCTTACTGAAGTGTCTGCTACGGCAGATTCTACCCCGAGCATCTGAAGATACCCTATCGTTCCTAACCCAGCGCAAGAGCTTGCTGTTCTCGGATCCCGAAGCGGAAGATTTGGCGGACATCTTAGCTGAAATTTGCCGGACGGAGAATAAAGTGTACCTTGTTGTCGATGCCGTTGACGAGCTCGGAGCCCCAAAACGGACGGCGTCCTTGTTCAAGCGCCTAGCATCCGCCGGTTGCAGAGTGCTCCTTACAAGTCGAAAAACGCATGACCTGAGCGCGATGTTGTCAGAATGCAGAAGCATCTCTCTTACAAGGTCACTTCCTGAAGACTTGAGCAAATATATTCAGCGCCGATTTCAAGAAAGCGATTTCGCGGATGTTATAGCGGACACCAGTCCCATCTTTGAAGTTATTTTGAAACGTTCAGATGGCTTGTACGAGGATCGTCGAAATTCATGCGATCATACACTAACGTAGGTACAGATTTCTGCTTGCCAAGCTGCTTATGGACGAACTGCTTGATCTACCTACTGTGGCAAGAATGCGAAAAGCGCTAGATGGGCTACCCAAGAAACTAAAAGATGCCTTCAAGTCTAGTGCTGAAAGAATTAATGCGCAACCGCCTGCGCTTCGCGATATAGCACACAGGCTTATCGGTTGGATTGTGAGTGCGGAGCGACCTCTGTCAATCAAAGAGGTAACCCATGCCTTCGCGATCGAGCCCAACGATGTCGAAATAGATGAAGACAACATCATCATGCCAGTAACCTTGTTGCGGATATGTGCTGGGATAGTGGAAATCGACGAGGGCCGTAAGACGTTCGGCATGACGCACACTCTGGCGCACGAATTTTGGTACAATCATATTGCGGAGCCGGTGAAAATCCATGAGGACATTGCCAGAACCTCCCTTGCCTACCTGTGTCTCAAAAATATGAAATCCGGGCCATGTAAGACCTACGATGAACTGGAGACTCGGCTCGAGCAACTTCCGTTTATGTGCTATGCAGCACAACACTGGGGAAAGCATGCATCCACTGTCGGCGTCGAAAAAAACCTTCAAGGCCCGATCCTAACACTGCTGAGGGATGCGGATCTCCGTGGCAGTGCTTTTCAAGCACTAACCTACCGGAATGAAAACATGAACAAGGATGTTCTTGCTGCCATATTTGAGCATCTACCCAGTGGTCAGAGTGAATTGCATGTTGCAGCTTTTTGGGGCCTCGAAAGTATCGTGAAGAATTTTATACTGAGCGGTATAAACCTCAACGTTGCTGACGATCAGTCGTGGACCTCACTTCACTGGGCGGCATCGAAAGGGCACGTAAATGTCGTTCGAATACTAGCCAACAATGGAGCAAACGTCAACTGCCTCGACGAAAGAGGCTGGTCACCATTGATTTGGGCAAGCTTCATCGGAAGCTCTTCAGCGACAAAATACCTCCTTGAAAAGGGCGCAAATCACCTTGTCGCTGATGCCTATGGATGGACTGCTCTACATTGGGCCATTTCTAGAAGGCTTAGTGAGGTTGTACACATTCTCCTCGATCATCACAAAAGGTTCATGAAGCTTGACGAAGAAGTACGAATGCGAAAGAACTTTACTCCTACACTGAGTGCCAATAGCTCTGACTCATCGATGTCTGCATTGGAATTGGCTGCTGCTTGTGGCGATGGTAAAATATTTGACATGCTTCTCGACCATGATAGTACGAAGGACCGGGAAAAAGACTGGGTTTCTAGTTATGGACTGAGTGATGGTTCTTTTGACCCTCCAACCTCTACCAACATCTGGAGAATCATGAACAAAATGGAGAGGATGAGGGGAATGGAAATCTACATTGACTGGCATGATACCTCCTACAAGAACATTCAGCAGTGGAAAAGCAATATGTTGCACTCAGCAATTAAAGACGAGAAGATGAGTATAGTGCAGCTCCTTACGGGAATGGGGATTGATGTCAATGCTGGCGAATTCCTGAGGCCTGCTTTGCACGCAGCAGCCTGCAAACAGAATGCCTCGTTCGTCCAGATTCTTCTTGATAATGGAGCCGATGTTTCGAGTCGCGACTTTTACGGGCAAACGGCGTTACATCAAGCTATTTTGAATGGATTCGAGGAGACAGTCAAGGTTCTTATAGAGGGCCACTCAGACGTGAATGCAAGGACGCTATACAATCACGAGGAAAGGTCAGATTCGGTATATTACATGCGAGGCCGCCATGATAACGGACTGCTTGGAATCGATTTTAGGGGTCAAGGCACTTCCAGCCTGACACCACTAATGCTCGCTGCTGGGGATGTGGGCACCCCAGGCCTTTTCTCTCAACAGCAATCAAATATTGTTGAACTCCTGCTGTTGCATGGAGCTGATGTCTCGCTAAAAGAGGAAGATGGTGCTGGTAGAACATGTTTACATTTTGCAGCAGCCACCTGCCATCCCGAAACCGTACAGAGGATCATTGCAGCAGGGGCAGATATCAATGCACTCGACGATAGCGAAGCTGCGCCGCTACATTACGCGGCTCAGTATGGGAACCCTGCGGCAATACATGTTCTGCTCCAGGCAGGCGCAGAAATAAATGCTTGTGATTCGTCAGGTCGTTCAATCTTACACTTCGCTGCGCTTTCGTGCAATTATGAGGTCATTCAAGATTTGATAAAGAGCGGTGCGGATAGTAACGCGATCGATAATAAAGGAAGGAACACGATTCACTATCTCGCAGGGAGTTCACTGGCAAAAAACCTTGGCTTCAAAACTCTTAAGCGGGTGTTCCAGCTACTGTACCCAATTCCCGATCCAATTCGGCTTAACACAGAGGCAATCATACGCAATAACATATGCCGACCTGATAGAAATTGTCGACATAAGAGTGGACTAGACAATGTCACGCCGTTGTCTAAGACTATTCTCGATGAGAAATGGGACCTCTTCCATATCTTAAGAGAAGCAGACGCGGAAATATTGTCGCCTTCATGCTATCTCATAAGGGACGCTGTGCGGGAAATTCAGCCGGCTGCACTTGAATATTGCTTGCAACGAATTGATATGGCTGAGGTGGTAGATTGTTTGAAAAAAAATCCTGCATACTTCTTGATTCGAGAAAACACCATTCCAGAAGATCTGGACGCAATGCTATCTATTACATCCCCTCTTGACATGGATATCAACGAAAACAAGAGTTACTTTGGCACCAAAATAAGCATGGCCGCGAAAATATCTAAAGCAGATGGAATGGCTTGTGTCCTCCTGAAACATGGTTCGGACCCTTACGCGCAAGATCCAAACCTGGACCCCTTCCTCCTCGCTGCTGCTTACGAAAATTGGGGGTTTCTACACGACTTGATTGTGCATAGCCCACGTCCAGCGCCTGAAGGACATTGGCTCAGAACCTTCGACGTCTTGAATCCTCCCGAGGGCGGTAAACCAGAGCAGTTTTGCATAGCGCTCCAGCAATCCGGAGCTATAAAGATGCATGGAAGCTTCCTGTTCGCTACATCTCTAGCAAAGGGAAATACGACATTGGCAAAATTGCTAATCTCAAATGGTTTAAATCTCGAGGAGAAAGATACATACGGCTGGCGCCCACTTCATCACGCCGTTTACCGTCAATCCCCTACAATCGTAGATGATCTTCTCGCAGCGGGTGCTGATCCAAACGCCCAAACGAAGCTATGGAACCGCACGTTTTACCCCAAGCCATATAGTCACGAAGAGAGCACGTGGCATGGAACAGCATTACACTTGTCAGCACTCATGGCCAATGTAAGCATAGCCAACGCGCTGGTAGACCAGGGTGCCGATGTGAATGCAAGCGCGGGAACCAACGTCCACGTTCTGTTTGGTCCTAGACCGCTCGATATCGCTCTTGGGATGGAAAAGATGTACATGTTGAATGTTCAACCACTTTGTGGGTCGAGGTTGGAAATTGCGAGATTGCTCCTTGGAAACGGGGCGGATCCAGGTACTGTCGCAGACCGTATAAGGACTAGGGATTTACCCAAGTTTCAAGGTTTTGTGGATGTCTGGGAGCAGATTCGATCTTGGTAGTTAGCTTTCAGTCTGATTGGAATAATTTCATACGCGGTCACTTTACATCCTTTTTTTTTTCTTTTTAGGTTACAAGACTAGGTGATCCTGCACGCAGCCAAAAACATAACAACAGAAATAATAAAAAGTAGGTGTTTACTAAAGAGTCTAGGAGTATTTAGCTTTTTTAATACTTTTGCAAGTTCTTTTGCAATGCAGTTGCTTTGTAACAGGTAAAACTGAGATTTGTAGCTGTAGTAGCTAACAGATGTTTACTTCTGGTTGTTATGTTAACACTATTTTAAATCCCTAAACACATAACGTCGGCAGCGGCGTCACTTTTACAATATTATACAATATGAAAATTATAGAATATAACTCATTAACATAGAGTTGAAGCTGCTTGTTTCTATCGCACTAGGTAACGCCAACTGACCTCTTATGGACATTATTAACACACAGCAAGGTTAAATCTAGTATAAAATCACAATCAAAAGGGATTGTACGCATATATTAGTCTGTATTTCCTCATTTCCACGTAATAATATGTTTATCTATCGCATTTTCATGTAGCACAAACAGTTTGTAATAAAATCACAAAGTAAAGCTGCTAAATAACACTGATAATGTTGCGTAAAATTATTGCTATTGTTAATAGGGCAACAAGAGTATATAAAATAGCCTTACGACTAACTATTGCAGCGTTTTCTACCTATCTCCATCTCTATCGTCATCTAGCCACTGCTTGTTAAATAATTCAGACTAAACCGCACTACACCAACTATCTAATCATGGCACGTCCACCCCGCCGCAATTGTTTTCATTTCTACACTGGATTGTACAGCGTCTTTTAAGCACGCTTACTCCCTCAGGATACATTCAATTCGTAGCCCTATAGTAGAACAAGAGCAAAATTTCCTACAAAAAAGGCTGTAGGATGCATTTTCCATTACTGCTAAGCTTGAAGGTAAGTTACAGACGTGGTACCATACTAAGAAGATTAGAACTGTATATTTCTAGTGATTAAAACTATATGAATATAGTTACGTAACTGTGTCACGTCACTCCAAGTAGTCCAGTGAAAATTATAGGTTCTACGGAAGCATGTAATGCAACAGCTACATTATCTACAACGTTAAAAGTGCAGTACATGATCTGGGTATCAACAAGAAACCTTAGTGATCCACTCTATCCGCGATCTGGCCATGTTCTATTGAGATTCCATGACTACCGCGCCGCACGCAATACTGTCTGAGAGACAAGTACACAATTATAGCGCAACCGGGAGCGGGCAGCATGATAGGTATACTGTCTCTGGCTATTCTCATGCGTGAGTCGCTGCTTACTCCCCGGTTCTGCGTACTGCAGATGAGCTTTCGCCGTTATATCGGCTCCATCGTTCCTCGGTATGGGTTCTGTTCATAGTCTCTGCTTCCGAGGCTGCGCAGACGAGCTACCGAGATTTTGCAGGCAGTCTCGGCGTTGTGACCACATCGAGAAAGGCGATCGGCGTATGTATATGCTTGAACAAAGCATACTGGTGTTTTGGTTGCAAGGTGGTAAAGGTCTTCGAAAAGGCACCGCTCAATATCCCATATCTTCCCAAAACTTCCGCACTTCTTTACTGCCATCTCTTTGTACCCCACCCTTACTTTCCCAGACAACGCCTTCTTTAGCCAGCATTGTCGCCCACCGTCTCACATTCTGGTCTTTCTTCTTGTTCCCCGCAAAGTGCACCAGAAAATCTCCTCTCCTTACGTAACCTTCCCTAAAGCCTCCTTCGAGACCGGTGGTATTCATCCTTTCAGCGTAGACAGTGGAGCCACTATCATGATCGCCCTGATCGCCTTTGTAGCCCCGATTGTTACCTTTTTCATCGCGATCTGTATAGGTATAGCTATTGAACCAGTGTTGCGGCACGATCTGCGTGTGTGGACGAAATTTCGGCGATTTTATCAGAAGCGACATGGCAGTCTGCTCATCGAATCGAAGACGAGTTTTGGGGTGGTGTGTAGGGTATGATAGGATGGCGGTGAGAAATGAAATGGAGACTGATGAGATGCGGAGGATGAAGATGCCAGCATTCAGACCGTTCTTGTCGTTGGTAGCTAGAAGATGTATGTCCTGAGGCTCACTGGGCTGTGCCGAACCAAAGCCAAACATGGAAGCGATACGGGAGAAGAAGCCTCGCTTTGGTGTGGGTCGAGGCGGGTCCCAGACCGAGCGTTCGGGTGGGAGGAATGAAGAGATGGGACGACACTGATCGAGAACCATCGTATCCCTATCGGCCCAGAATATCCTATGATGCGGTGGCACAAATCAGCATAGTTTGAGAGAAATCTTTCGGCGGATTCGCAGAACGCTGGAGACGTCTTCCACACCGGTTTCAATGCACTTATTAAACATACCATTCCAAGCGTTCATCTTTAGGCTTCATCATCTCTTCCATCATGATGTTCAGTAGGAAAGCCGGTTTGTTCCAGATAGCGTCCACAATCGGATCACACAGTACCCTAACCTGGTGCTCGTGTACAAGTCCATGTGTAAGGTGTGTCAGAAGTGCAGGATCATATGCACTATTGGAACCGTAGTGAGCCGTAAGTAAGGCTATGCGCGGGCTCGTGGTAGACGTGGAGGTGATGTTGAAAGGCGAATATTGCTCGCATAGATGCCTAGTTTCTTGGGCTCTGGAGTTGGTGGTGTTCGGAAGAGAGGGCATGCAGTTACTCGAGCCGTGAGGAATGAGAAAGCTTGAGTTGATCTTCCATTCCAATGACTCCACGTTTGCTTTTTCGGGCGGAGTTCCTGCTCCCGGACCCTTGGGTCCATCCTTGACCGGAGTCGATGGGCGATGAAACCAGCCAGGTGATTTAATAGGGCTCTGTTTGGCTGGCTTGTCGTCATTTCTCCCGCTATGATGAAGAACGGTTGAAGAGGCGTGGCATATCCCAGTGGGTCGTGTCAAAAGTAGAAGCTGCACCACAAAAATCGCACCACACAGGGCGACCAATACGCGCATACATCTCGGTCGGTGGAAGGGTGTTGACGCCATGAGTGGCATAATCGAAGGTATTTGGAGAGCGGTCTTCCTTGTCGGTGGTGGAACGGGAAGGTGGATAGGTGGATGGATTTCTTTGTACTCGGAAAGTGCGACTGTGTGGCTACCTCATGTAGTACACGTACGACATAGCAAGGTTTCTGACACTTTGATATTCGGATGTTATGAACGAAACATTCGCGCATGTACGAAAATGGTTCCCCCGGATTTTGGGCTGGAGGAGGATGCTTTTAAGGAGACATGATGGCAGGGATGGCAAGCCTACCGGTGCCAATTTAGGTCATGTATCGCATTCCTTGCATATCAAGTAGGCTGACATAGCTGGAGACGATTGGTAAGACAGAATGACTTAGCACGCAAGAAGGTTAATGCCACGTGCAGGGTATCAAGCATCTCGAATCGAGAGAACTCGGTGTCGATGAGTCTTAGTAGCACTTTAAAGTGTGGTACCCAATAACATCAATTCAACCACGCCCTTGGCTAAATCAATCATAGATTGAGGATTGGTGTGTTCTCATCACTGTCGCAAACACGCGCGGAGTCCATCACAAGCAAGAAGCCTGTACCAACGAAGAAGCTACAGCAAAGTTCGAGAGTCTATTCCTACCCTCATTGATCTACCATTGAAGTCTCTGACATCAGAGACCCGATAATCTTAACTCTGGAGTATGTCACCGGGGATTTTTCGCCGGTATACGCCCCACAGAATGCTTGCACTGCGCGCCACGAGTAAGGAACCCCCGTTCATGGGATGACATCGAGTAGAGCCAGTAGACTAACAGTAGTGTGAACCGAAAGTATTGCTGGGTTATTGAATTGCGATCGTCTCGATTGCGACAACACGACCGCCCGTACAAATGGTCACTGATAGATGCTGTCAATGCTTCCACGTTGCGCATCTGCTTTTTCTTCTCAGAACACCGATGCCGCGATTGAACTCGAATCGTTTAAGAGAAAGTGCGCTGCTTCACTACTGATTTTGATTTTCCGACTCTGACAAGGTTTATGGAAAATCGCCTAGATGGGGCAACCAATTCGTGTGATACTGCGGTGGAATTATTGATCCTCGCGCGTTAACGCGCGTCCTGATAGAAAACACTTGCGTTGATAGGAGGAAGAGCAATTGTACATTGCCAACCGAGAAAGATTTGCAGTGCGAGAGCCAATTTCTGGTTATGCACCACCCCGAAACAACAACGACTCGATACCACCGCTTTGGAGCTGCATTATTGAGAGATGCACGTGCATATACCTGCTGTAGAAGGAACGCAGAGTGGGAGACTCTTTGGATGTTCGTCCGCTGAGAATTACGTCCCTTTCGCACGCGGCTCCAAGCATTGAACCAACTTCCTGTATACGCGCCTGAACTCAAGAAAAATATTCTCATTTCCTTATATTTCGGACAATGTCGTCATGGAAACTCCCGTACGAATGAATTCGCTGATCTTGCAAAAGAATGGTGAAAGTCACTTGACAGACCCAAGTCACGTGGCTTGCTTGGAACAGGAGAATTCCGCCGGCTGAAACGCACGCGAACCGACCATGTCACATGACCCTCCTCCGGCGATCACCCCTCGTGGCTTGTATTGATTCCATCTCGTCCCATCCTTCATCGAAGCGGACAAAACAAACGGCAAAGCGCACGCGATTGATCAAAGTGGCCGCCCACACCACCAGAACGTGACTTGATTACTGGGTGATACAGCCAGCTCAGCCAGCCGGTTGTTGGCATGGCATGGCGGGAAAACCGGTAGTCGAATACGATAATCACCATCTCATCGGTACACAAACAGACAGATGCAGCTGATAAGACCAGCGCATCCCTCTGGATCGATACTTCAGACCCCGCCTTGACTGAACAGCCAGAGCAAAGGAGGCACTTTTGCATGACTACAGCGTCCGCACCGGTGATTTCACGACATCGACGCCCGGCTCCATCGCCTCTTTGCAAGGTCGCCGTCGTTGATTGGCCCAGTCCCCTCCAGCAAGTGGGGCCAGTATTCACCGGTGAAGAGACTCGCTCTGTTCCCTAATTATACCACTTCACCGGTGCGCGCAGACCATCTCCCGCTCTCCCCAAGTCCCTATATTTTTGCGCACGCGAATGATTCCTTCACTTCGCATCTCTGGACGGTGATCTGATATTCCTCCATCTTTGCGCATCTGGAAATATGGCGGACAAAGTGCCAGTTGTGCGGGACCGGGACCACTGTTGGCTACGCGTGGAAGCGGCGAGCTCACTGGAAAAATACCCAGGTAAGTCATATACATGGCATCACTTTTGTCGCATCGCTAACTGACATCGAATAGCGAAACAGCATGCGCAGAGAGTGCGCGACAAGCTAGACGTGGCAGATGGCCTGATCTATCTCCCCGGCGCGCCATCGCGGAACAACGAGGACAGTGATATGCCAGCCTTGTTTCGCCAGCGGCGCTACTTCTACTATCTTAGCGGGTGGGTCTTGGAGCCGTTTTCTGGGCTTGATGACAATCCGTGTACTAATTCTCCAAAGCTGTAATGAACCGGACTGCTTCTTGACCTACGACATCCAGCATGACATCCTGGCCCTGTTCATCCCACGGATCAATCCCAGTCGCGTCATCTGGAACGGACGTGGTAGCACGCCCGCAGAAGCATTGGACAAGTACGATATCGATGAAGTTCACTACGTCGACGAGCTGCAGCGCGAGCTCCTGGAATGGCAAATGCGCTACTCCGGCAGTCTCTACGTTCTACACCGCCAACAGGTCCCTGAATCACCACAGATCTTCAAGGATATCAACATCGCCTCCCTCCAACCGGCCATGAATATTTGTCGAATGATCAAGGACCAGCACGAAATTGATCTCATTCGCAAGGCAAACGACATCTCTTCGGAAGCTCACAAGCGAGTCCTGGCAAATATACTGAGCTTCAAAAACGAGGCCCAAGTAGAAGGCCTCTTCTTGGATGTATGCGTTTCTAAACAGGCCAAAAATCAAGCATATGTATGTATTTCCTAGGTGATGAAGACTCCAGATTTCTTTGGGGTCGTTAGCCCACAGCACGCGTATTACAAGTACCAGCAAACATAACGAGTACACTGTCGTAATACCAGACACCACGCGCAGTACTCTTTGACTAGTCTCTTGACCTCTCGTCATCAAAATAGCGTCAACTTTACTGATTTCGAATCGTCAGGACCCAATTGCAGCTAGCGGCCCCAACGCTGGCACGCTGCACTATGATGCCAATAATGAAGACTTCGGAGACCGTCAATTGATGTGCTTAGATGCTGGGTGCGAGTATGAGCTGTACGCCTCTGACATCACGCGAACATTCCCTCTTGCTGGATCATGGCCTTCTGTAGAGTCGGAGAACATCTACAAACTCGTTCAGCGTATGCAAGAATCGTGTATCAAGCGTCTGGCTCCTGGAGTCAGATATCTTGATCTGCATATCTTGGCACATCAGATTGCTATTGATGGTCTGCTCAAATTGGGTATTCTGCATAATGGCACGAACGAAGAGATCTACAAAGCAGGGACTAGTAAAGCTTTTTTCCCGCATGGACTGGGCCACCACGTCGGTCTCGAGGTTCACGATGTCGGTCAGCGAGAATTGATGTCCTACAATGGAATGCACACAGAGTTCGAAAAGGTGCCGTCTCTCTATCCCGAAGATTTTCATCTTTCGGTCTATGACAACGATAGCGAGATGTTCAGGGCTCCCACGAATCCAGAGAGCCCACACCTTGAGGAAGGCATGGTAGTCACCGTGGAACCAGGAATGTGAGTTGGCCAGCGCGTACGTCTCTACGAAATTCTGACACTAGATCAGCTACTTCTCCACTTACGCCCTGACGAGATTCTATCTTCCTTCACCAGTTCATTCCAAGTACATCAACGAAGAAGTCGTCAAGCGATACCTCCCCGTGGGCGGTGTCCGCATCGAAGACGACATTTTGATCACAACTAAAGGCTACGAGAATCTCACAACAGCGCCGAAAGGAAATGATATGCTCGCAATAATCCGCCAACAAAGCCCGAAATCTTCATCTCCTACCCAACCCAGAAGAAGGCCAGTGATAGACGAGCCTCTATTCCGCGCACCTGGCATACCAGAAGACCTGTATTGCTCCCCGATAAAGCCTTTCTCGAGAGCTTCGACTATGCCTTTACCGAGCAGCATGCGCCGATCATCTTTTGACTTTGAACCGTTTTCTGGACCTTCTTTATTTTCGGGATTCAAAGGCAGTGTGGAGGGCGAAGGCAAAATTCCTCGCGCCACTCACAACACTCCAAAGACAAAGTCAACGGTTTCGGCCCAAGCTCCACCTAGTAGAGTTACACCTTTCGATGGGGTGACGAGCCATCACCAGGCACGACGAAATCTAACGAAACCATGGCAACCAGCGACTACCCAGGAACGGCCAGAGATGGAACGAAAGCCAGTTTCTGATATGGAAAACCCTCATAGAGCTTCGGTTTCCCGGCAGCCGACGATTCCAAAAGACTCCGGAATCCCTATCAAGACTTCACCACATACGTCTCCGCCTCGCGTGACCGGCAGGCATCCCTGGGAATCACACGATTCGCACGATTCCAAGCCAATAACCTCTCGCGTATCTATGCACAATCTCAGACCTATCCGACAACATCGGGCTCCCCGTGCAGAATGTTCATATCCCATCATGCCCCCTCAGTCTCGCGCATCCTTCCAGGCAGCCACCCCTTCCAGGCAGCATCAGCCCGGAGTGGAGTCTACTCATTCAAGACATCCCGAAAACGCTACACGCGACACGCACAGCAGCGCTGCATCAATTCCCCACCGCCACCGCTCACTACAGACTCTTCGGCCCGGAAATCCTTATCGCGACAGCGCACAGTCTTCGCGCGCGCCAGTTGACCCTAATTCCCCGCCACTCTCTGTACACGCTCCCCCCAAAGCAGCGGAGAGGATTACGGCACCAGGACCCAGCGAGGAGAAGATCCCACGCCCGAATCCATATGCCCGCCAATTCAAAGGCATCGATGATCTCAAAAAGGCTATGGAAGACTTATGCCATATCACAGAAAACCTCGATAGGGAATATGGTATATGGAGTGGAAAGAAGTAAACAACCCCCGGTCACCCAATTCTATTATTATTATACGTTTTCCTCATTATTTTTTCAATTGTCTCTGTTCTACTATCTTCTACGTTCCATTATCAACTTTTCTTTTCTACTCTTTGAGCAATCCTTTGCGTGCACATTCTCTTCAACAAGCTGAATACTCTTGAAGGACTTTTCTTCTTTTGCTGCGAATGTTCGGAATTCGTATACGTTTCTTTTACCTCCCGATTGTTATACTCCTCTAGCCGCTCGTTCACCTGCTGACCACGTTCGTTCTCTTCTATCTGCCTGAGAGCGCAAGAACGCTACTTCGCTGCTTGGCTCTTTATATGTCCGTAGTCCATTAGTCTAATCATATACCACGTCATCTTTAGTTACGGCTCAACTGAATATTGTTCAGGAATTACTTGCACGTTCTAATCTGGATAGGCGAGGATTTATTCGAGTTGGATATGGAAATTCCCAATCTCACTGGCGTTTCCTCTGTACTGTGTCTCATTACCTCATGGCACACACTCCCAATAGGTTTCATAAAACAGCACAAGAAAATCGCGAAACCCAAAGTCCCTAAAACACTCCCCGTCTTCCTTAGTTTCCTCGTTCCCTCCCACGTCCCCCGCTCATCCAACTACCCTCACCTTTCCTACATCCCTACCTTCCTCCTTCCTCCTTCCTCCCCAAAAAAGGTAATCAACGACACACCACACCCATAGATAGTAGCTTAAACACATCCACCAGTGACATCTAGCCCCTACTACTAAGCTGTTCCCTAACCCACGAATCAAAATCTTTCGTTGCGTGTCTGTTTCCCGCGTTGAACGGTCCGACACAGCTGCAAACGCAATGCGTGGAAAAAGTTTGGTTTTTTTTCTCTTCGCTGGCGCAAATACCTAGACTGAGGATTTTTTGGTGCTTTGGGGGCCGTTCGCTGTGTGCGGGGATGGGACGGGGTTGGGCGGAACCGAGGATGAGCGCTTCGCCTACTTTTATCGCGGGGTCTTTATATCGATGGAGGGTCGTAAAATTTATTTATACAAAGAGGTTTATACTTTATTCTTTCTCAACCGAGGAGGGTTATACTGCACTAGATTCTCTAAGGTGAATGAGTTAGTTATAACTCCGTTTTGAATCCCCAGTACATGTTTCCAGAGGTCGTGGGACATGATGCGTACCCAAGCACTTGGCTCGTATAAACGAACACTGTTGTTCCTTAGCATTCACTCCATGCTGACATGCCGACATGGGTCTTGGGTACCTAGCCAATCACCACATAGATATAATCGTCATAAGTGGAGGAGGACTCTTGTCCTTTGAGGACGATTCTTCACATTGGAGGACGGTGGCCGACTTTTTGGGTCCCCGCCAATCGTTGGAAAGAGCTCTATGGCGTAGTTGAACGCAGTGCGGATCAAAGCGTGGGGACGATACGTTTATTGGGCAATGTACTGCAGTTCACTGAGGTCCCTCTAGTCGTCACATGCATGTCGTAGAACCCCGTCGTCTTCCAATTAAATATCTACCCGTTCCTGCGGTTCGAGTGGGATGTCAGATCGCTTTTCCCCCGTACTCTCCTCTACGATTTCGACATCATGTCCCCCCACCCACTCCTCGACCCCTCCAACTCCAGAGCTCTTTTCTCGATTCTCGGAGCTATCGCAGGAATAGCGATTCATCTAAGTCTCTTCATCCGCGGAGAATGGCACCTCCAAGCCCCGACCGTCTTGAAATCCCACGCCGCGCTCTTCGCGCTGTCAATGTTCGTGAAGAACGGGGTCTTCTTTGCATCAGCTTACTGCATCTCCCTCTTTACAAGCATCACGACATACCGTTTATTTTTTCACCCGCTCACGCGCGCGGGGTTCGCCGGTCCAACGAGCATGCGCATGTCGAAGCTGGTGCATAGCTGGAAATGCTTGTTCACTTCCAATCATCTCGTCCTGCACGATCTGCATAAGAGATACGGGGATTTTGTGCGCACGGGTAGGAATTCCACCCTATCCCACATTATACTAGAATAGAGGGAGAGTGGAGATGCTAAAACGGAGGAGTCTAGGTCCGAGCGAAATCACCATATACCACCCTGATGCATTTCTAGTATTGGATGGAGCGAAGAGCACGTGTATAAAATCCGAGTTCTACGATGTTTTGCATCCGAACCGCTCGCTGATCGCGACGAGGGCCAAGGATAAACATGCGGCGAGGAGGAGGGAGTGGAATCGCGGGTTCAATAAAACGGGTACGGCAATCCCCCCATCTCTTCCCTCCCCCCCTCCCCCCCCCTCCAAAACCATCTAACAATGGACATGTGCAGCAACGGACTCGTACCTTGCCAAATCCCAAACCCACATCTCGTCCTTGCTCTCCCTGATCCGTGCGTCCGCGCAATCGCATACAGAAGCTGATATCCGCGATCTCATGTACTGGTACGGTTTCGATGTCATGGGCGATTTCATCTTCAATCAGTCCTTCGGGATGCTGGAGAATCAGCGGTGGCACGAAACGGTCCGTCTGCTTCGAAAAGGGTTCGAGGTGTTGGGTCCGACGGCGCCCGTGCCGTGGGCGATCCAAATCGCGTTTAATTGCTTGCCGAGTGTGGGCCCGTTGAGGGAGTGGAAGGAGATGAATGAGTGGTGTGTTAGGACTATGGAGGGGAGGGTTGAGGTGAGTTTCGATGTCTTCTATTCTTCTTCTTTAGGGCCATAAGTAGAGTGGCGAGGTGTGTTTTGAGTGGGGGTGAAGAGGGAAACGCGCTGACTTGAATCCAGGCTTCGGAAAAATGCGAGACTTCTATCCCAGACGTTGCGTATTTTTTAATCGAGAAGGCGAGGGAGAATGGGTTTTCAGAAGAGGATTGGCAGTGGTTGTGTGGGGATAGTTTGCTTGCTATGATTGCTGGGAGGTAACCATCTCCCTCTCCCTCCCTGACTCGAATGACCCACCACACACACAAGTCTCCTCAAATACTAACCATCCTAAAAAATAACTCGTAGTGAGCCTACCGCAGACGCCCTCCTCGGTGCATTCTACTTCCTAAGCAAAAACCCCTCTCACATCGAAAAAATCCACGAAGAACTCAAAAACGTAGATGTCACAAGCGTAGAAGAGCTAGCCGGACTGCGGCATTTAAATGCCGTTATGCAAGAGTCATTGCGGTTGTTCCATCCAGTTCCAACCGGCGGGATCAGGAAAGCTCAAGCCGAGGGCGTAGTTATAGGCGATACCTATATCCCGCCTTACACCACTTTAGTAGCGCCGCGGTATTCGATTTTCCGCCGTAAGTCCCCAAAACCCCCCGCAAGTACGAGAAATAGCCAGTTGAATGCGATCTGATCACGGAAACAGGAGAGGATGTGTTCGAGAACGCGGAGGAATTTATCCCCGAGAGATGGTATTCTAAGCCAGTCACCTTCAGCAGTCAGACTGGATACGCGCCGTTTGGAACAGGTAAAACCGACCACCCTCGATCTTGATCAAGACTGTCACTGATGATGATTGATTATAGGAGCGACAAGCTGTCTCGGTCGTGCGTTTGGACTCGATCAAATGCGGCTTGTGTTAGCTCAGGTGATTCAGAAATACAGATTCGAGATCGCGCCTGGGGAGGGTAAAGATCGGTTCATGGTGGATTTGATGGATCATTTTACGTCGAATCCGGGGCAGTTGAAGCTTGTTTTTAGCGCGAGGAAGTAGGGTTGTAAGGAGTTGGTGTGAATAGAAAATTGAAAGACAGATTTGCGCTATGTTGTTAGAGCAGCTCATCCATGATTAGGAGCTGTAGCGTATTGATATCTAGATAGAAGTGGCACCGTAACAGATGTGGAAGTATTTATGGAGAACCAGCGCGTTTCTTTGACTTTCCGACTTGCTTTCCAGCCACTCAGGTGACGAGTGTTTTCCCAGAGTCCTTCGTCAATTCACTTGTTGATGTACTGTGTTGTGCTACATCTAACGCATCGCCATGGCCTCAAATCATCTGCAAGTTCCCTGGTCATCCAGTCTCAGAGTTGTGCGGAATTAAACCTCCCTTCAAGTTACACTTAATATAATTTCCCTTGCCGCTGAATGCCTCGCCGCTAAATGTACTGATTTTAAGGGTGTATATATCGGATGTTCCCGCATTATGCATGGGGCCAACTACTGGTGATTCGTCCAAGCAGTGGCCGGGGTCTGCTCAGCTGAGGGCGACCTTCCACTTTCGCCCCTTCTATATATATCGGTCGTCTTGATCGATACAGTATCTAATGAATTTCTAGCCCCATTCCTGCATTGACTTCACCTCGCAGAACTTCTTGATCACGGCCTGCTCTCTCTGCCAAATCGACATGGTTAACAAGACTACCCAAGCGACGGGATTATCCACTGGGTTAGGGAAAACGGGATTCGCCCTCAATTTCCTTTTCACAATTATAGCTATCGTTTCATTTTGTCTCAGGGTGTGGGTCAAGATTACTACCAAACGAGACACGGCATCGCACGATGTTCTCAGTTTCGGCGCAGTGGTACGTCTTGATCCGAACGAAGCCAGGCGGCAAAAGTCCGCATGCAATAACTTCGTATCAGGTATTCGCGCTGGCTTTCTCCATCGGCTATTCCTACTGCAAGTATCTCAGTTCCACTCGAGTCCGCCAACCTACACTAACAACACGTCTAGGCATACACTCGGGGGTGATAGGTCTACACATGACTGACGCGATCTACACCGAGCCAAATGTACAAAAAACAACCTACAAAGTCAGTCCTTCTTCCCCAAATCCCCCCCCTCTTTTCTCCCCTCAAACTTAGAAACCCGCACAGCTGTTCTTCGTTGCGGGGTTTATATGGATCCTCTCCACAACCCTCGTAAAACTCTCCGTCCTCCACCTCTACCGCCTCATCTTCCTAGGCGAACACCGCGCATACATCCAAGGACGTCCCTTCAAATACGCCATCAACACTCTCTACACTCTATTAATACTATTCTGCATCAGCCATATCCTCCTCGCGCTCCTGGAATGTCAGCCTATAGAACGGCAGTGGAATAAGAACGTAAATGGGCGGTGCACGGATACGTATAAGCAAAATCTCGCAGATACAATCACCAACATGGTGCTTGATTTGCTGGTTATCGTTTTGCCCATGCCGCTTCTTTGGCAGCTTCAGATGCCGATGGCCACGAAACTCAAGGTCTGTGGGATTTTTGGGCTGGGGCTATTGTAAGTGTACACCCGACTTCCCCCACCTACCTTTTCTTTCCTCTTCTTTCAAGGAATAGTTACGCTGATGCTAGGACAGCATATGCGCGACGAACATCGCGAGAGTCGTCGTTATCGCTTCGACCAGAGGAGCCGATGTCACGTATAATCTAGTGCATATTGGGTTACTTTGTAGGCTGGAGATCTACTTGGGGATTGTTGCGGCGTGTTATCCTTTGTTCAACTCTGTTCTTTTTCGAAGAAGGAAGATCGCGAGTCACCACGCAAAACGGCCTTTCTTTTCCTTCAACAATACGATTGGTGGTCAGCAGAGAAACAGAGGCGTCGACGATGGGTTTTCAACCTTGCGGACTGTAGGGGATGACGATGTGTCTTTGCGCGGGTATGAGCGTACCGATATACCTGGGGCATTTAATTCAGAGTTGGTCTACCAGGGTAACGGTGAGATGTCAGTGGTGAAGTAGGAGATTAGTTTGCCACAAAGCTTCCATTCTACTGCGTCGATCTATACGAAAGATGGAGCGCAAGCCAGACGGAAGAAAAATAAACACGAGTAACAGGAATGTTTGATATTGTTCTTCATCTCAGCTCAGCCAATATTCGACTCTCAGCCCAAGGAGTTTCAGCGATCTCACTCCCAGCATACCTCCATCAACGAGGCAACCGTTCGCCTCTGTCGCCTTCTTTGCCTTCTTCTCCGAAACCGCCATCTCGCAACACACTTCAAATTCAAACCCTTAAAAAAAAAAAGAAAGACGCTTGCCTTCCCCAAAAGCACAAACTTAACATCCGATAACGAGCCACAAGCCAAGAGCGGAGCGAGGCAGAGTACCTCTAGAACATTTCATATATGGGCTCACGTTTACACGATCGTGAATGACGGTAGAGCACAAGTAGTAAAAGTTTCCTCGCTCGTTTATACTAGAAAAAAAAAGATAACACATGGAAAGTGGTTTGATTATATTTTTCTTTGCGTTGCATTTCTTGCAGCTTTTGATGGCAGTATTTTGAGAAGTGGCATGTCGTTCTGGCGGACAGTGTTCGAGACGCACCGCACCACACAAACACTGTGAAGTGTTGCAGGAAAGAAACGAGAATACAGTGAAATGCAGTGATGGCATGCCGACCAATCTCGAATATGCCAGGAGGGTTTTGTGGGGGGTATAACAAAGAAACACGGCATGTCGGTGAAAGTGTAATTCCAGTGAATGAGCCTGTTTGGTCTTGGAAAGCATGGAGTGTCTATCCATTTACCACCTCCCTCTTCCTCTTCCACCACCACTGCCTCCTCCTCCACGATAACTTCCCCCGCCACCTCCACCCCTCCATCCCGAGCCCCCAAAGTCGCGATCACGATCGCGTTCCCGTTCGGGCGGGGCCTCGCCTCTGCGCCATTCTCCTTGTGGCACGCCACCGCCTCCACCACCTCTCCTATCATCCGAGAAGGAGAATCTACCTCCACCTCCGCCGCGGTATGCTCCACCTCCATCACGATATCCTCCTCCGCCTCTCGAAGGACCGGATGGCGGTGGGGGTGGGGGAACATTTTGGATGGAGCCGTCTGGGAGGGGAGGGAGGATGGCAGCGCAGATGTAGTCGCCGATGACGAAGCGGGCGTCGTGCAGAGTTTTGTCTGGTTCACCGCCTGTGAGGTGCGCGAGGGCCTCTGTTGTTGAGTTTATGCCGGATCTTTTTGTTGATGTTGATTTGGTGTGATCGCCGTTTGTTTTCGAGGTCTTGTCGTCTTCGGCCATGATGGTGTCTGTGTTGGCATCCCCCTCGTCGTTGTCATCTTCGGGGATGAGACCCTCGCCCACTACGACGCTCCCTAGCTCGCGACTCAGATAACGCCCCGCCATGCCCGATCGCTGCGACCCTGCCAGATCAGGGTAGACGAGGCGGAAGGCAATGCGGGTTCCTGGGTACGGCTTCTGCAGCAAGTTTGGGAGCGCGGAAAGAAGTAAGGTGGAGAGCTCGCGCAGTGTGCAGGATTGCCAGGTGTAGATTTGCAGCGAGGCAGGCAGGCGCGTGTCAGGCATGAACTCATCGAGGCGATTGAAGGCATTGTGTTTGTAGAAGAGGCGTAAGAGGAAGGGTGGAGTGGTATGGCGGTCGACTTTTACAGGCGGTGGCGCGTGACCAGCCATTTTGAGGGAAGCGTGTGCGCGTTTTGCTGTCTTTCTGCTCTTTTCTGTTGAAGGAATGGACGAGTTTGTTTATGATGTGTACAAGGTAAATGCGAGCGGTGATGCGGCGAAGGCTGATTTGGGAACAGTTTGGATGAGGGATTAGTCTTACCGTAGGTGGACTTCTCACGGCGATTGAAGGTGTTTCGAGATTTAAATTGGAAGACGATTGGGTGTCAATGAAGGTGACGAGGCTGTTGGGGGGAGGGAGAGCTCAAAGAGCTTCTTCCCCAGATTCTTACTTAGCGCGCGCCGGGCCCGGCGAAATAATCAGCCGGCGCAAATGGTTGACAGCTTTCCCATTCATGTTGCCTCCTCTCCCTCTGTACACACACACCCATACATACACCCAGCTTGCATTCAATCGCCTCCCCATAATCATTCAATCCGCCACCATGGACTTTGCAAAGCTCATGTCCGCTCACATCAAAAAGGGCAAGGAATCGGCTCCACCACCCTCTGGCGACAAAAAATACCTCAAGCGCAGCGAACTCGAAGCCCAACGACAAGCTGCCTACCGCGCAGAGCAGGAAGCCGCCGAGAGATCCAGAGAGGAACGGTTGTCAAAAAAGCGGAAAGCGGAGGAAGAGGAAGCAGCCAAAGAGGAAGAGCGACGGGAGAAGCGCCAGCGATTGGCAGAAGAGACAAGACGGCGAAGGGAAGAAGAGGAAGAAGCAGAAGAGAGGCGGCGTCGGAAACGTCTAGGGCTCCCAGATTTGCCTCCAAAACTCAAGGACGGCGACAGCGATGGTACGCCGGTGCCCGAGGACGAGGACATGGCTGAAGAGGAGCTTTTCACAAAGCTACGAGCGCTCAATGAGCCCGCAATCCTGTTCGGCGAGTCACACAGGCAGCGTCTGAAGCGGTACAAGAAACGCATTGGAGCCGACAATCTCAAGGCTATGATGACGGATGGGCCCATACCCACTACGCTGCAGCTCGTACCCGAGAAAGACATGAAGGTGGATGCAAAAGTGCCCAAGGACAAGGAGGGTCGGGAGTTTCTCTTCCGGCAACTGGCGAGCTATTTCACCATGGTGCTCAAAGAATGGGGTATCACACTCGCCCGCCGCGACCCCGAAGTCAAGGCGTCGTATCAGGGCAAGCAAGCGCACGCTGCTATGCTACAGGCCCTTGACAACATGCGCCCGCTGTTCAAGAAGCTCGAGAAGTTTGACCTCGCTGATAGTGTTCTGGAGCCTGTGGTGGAGATTGTGCATGCGGCTCAGGAACGTCGATATGTACACGCCAATGACGGGTACCTGAAGTTGAGTATTGGCAAGGCGGCATGGCCGATCGGTGTCACCATGGTGGGTATTCACGAGAGAAGTGCGCGAGAGAAACTACACGAGAGCGAGGGAGCAGCACACATTATGAGCGACGAAAGTACAAGGAAGTGGCTGCAGAGCATCAAAAGATGCTTGAGTTTTGCCCAGACGAGATGGCCGCCGACAGATCAGCTCCAGTTGATGGGTTGAGTCTCGTCTTGTTCTGCACCTTATTTCGAAAATCAAGTTATACCCTCAAGCATGTACATCCACAGAGATCAAACATGAATATCCATTATCATTTAGTAGTATTCACGATATCAACATTTGAATCGATGCCATTGCAATAGAAAATCATCATTTGGCCATTTCCTTCCTTCGCGGGGGAAGGCGCTACCACGCGCGTTCACGTGCGGGGCAGTTTCCTCAAGACTTGCGTTGTAGATCCAACACCACAAAAAATCATCTTCTGCGCCAGCTCTCCTCCTTTACACCACTCATATCTCCCTGCTTGCCGTCAATCCCACTTGTTCAATCCATTACAAATCTGCGCTGTCTATTATCTGCGTTCAAAGCGCTGCTGCGTAGTCAAGTGGTGGCTGACGTCAATCGCCAAAGAGGGCAATGCACGAGATTGTGACACTGCAATTCGGCAGTCAGAGCAACTATCTCGGGACGCATTTTTGGAACACGCAGGTATGTGTGGGCGGGAGAGAGAGGATGGGTCGACCACGTTTGCCGAAGCCAAATTTTTAAACGTCGTGACACATGTGACTACACGTTCTAACATCCGTCCATGTCTCTAGGAGTCGTATTTCACATACCCTCCCGAGCCCGAGTCACCCGTCAACCATGATATCCTCTTCAGACAAGGCATTGCTCCGGATGGAACCGACACGTTCACCCCACGGACGCTCATCTATGATCTCAAAGGTGCATTCGGTAGCATGAAAAAGGTCAATGCTCTCTATGAACGTGAAGATGAGGTCAATGTCGAAAAATCTGGCGTATGGCCATCCAAACCCATCATCCAGCGTTTAGCTCCAATCCAACAGTCGCCTTACCAGACACACCTGGACGCTGGCTTGGACCCACCGGCTCTGGATGCCTCAACCGTCCGCTACTGGTCTGATTACTCGCGTGTGTTTTACCACCCAAAGTCACTGGTCCAACTTTCCGAATTCGACGTCAACGATAAACTCATGCCATTCGAGAAATGGGACGTGGGTATGGACCTGTTCGAAAAGCTGGAGAGAGAAGACGACCTCGTTGACCGTGACCTGAGGCCTTTCATTGAGGAGTGCGATGGCGTTCAGGGTATCCAAATGTTCACTGGCGTGGACGATGCATGGGGAGGGTGGGCAAGTGGCTGGATGGAGCGGCTTCGGGATGAGTATGGGAAGCTCAGCATCTGGACATGGGGAATTGGGGATCAAGGAGGAAACATGAGCGTACCCAGGGCATGTGCAATGTGCTTGTGAAATTGGACACCGACAACACCAGCTGACATTTCACAGGAAAAGAGGCTGCAGCAGATCGAGAATGCTTCACGGTCACTTCAGGTCCTTGCTGAACAGTCATCCGTCTATGTTCCCATCAACAATATCCCAAGGAACCAACCTGCCTATCTCTCAATAGACTCAAACTCGCCATGGCATGTTGGTGCCCTTCAGTGCCTGGCGCTGGAAAGCATGACGATGCCTTCTCGGCTTCGGAACTCCAACGGCCGGCGGGGTACACTTCAAGATCTCGAAGACACATTCAATAGTACTGGGAAACGACGGATAGCCAAGCTCTCCATGAGTATCGCAGATCCAGATGTGCTGTCAGAGAGGGTGACTGGCGAAAATGTACAAGCGGAAAAGGCCGGATCAACCGGCTCGCACCGGGCCAGCAGCGGAGAAGAAGACGAATTGAGCGAGTACGATATTGACATGTTCTCCAAAGACTACCGTATAGGAGTGGCAAAATCCGGGAAAAAGGAGCACGTATTTGGTCGTGCCGAAGCTTCACGGGGCGACTGGAATCTGGGTGATGAACGGGACCCGCACGACAGGTTTGGTGACGGTCCAGCAATCCAAAGGTACGTTACATCTGGACCTTGTCCCAATCCCAGCACCAAGAATGTCCTACTTGTCCGCCAACTCGCATTCAACAATCAAGTCTGTCTGCAAAGCGAATGCGCTATTGCTGGCGGCGTGACGTGCTGTCGCCAACAAGCAAGTTGGCAGGGCTGCGACATGCGCTCTAACCTTATCTGGGATGCGCAAGGCTGCAACAAACTATTGAAACACATGCACAAAGGACAATCACTAAATTTATTCTTCCGTACAGGTTTTCCACGAGGCTGCTGTTCCCGCTTCTCGATAGCTTTCCCTCTTCTGTCGTCGACGTTGGCTCTGCACCTAGAGAAAAGCTAGCGGTTCACACAGGGCTTACTACAAGCACAGCTGTTGCTGATCAGGTGAGGTCACTCGAGCAAATTGTACGCCGCATGCACATGGTGAGCATCGATGAGCGAGAGGCGCTTTGCAATGGATTACAGACAATAGCGGAGGAATATGACGAAGGCTGGGACAGCGGTAGCGACAGCGATGAGGATGACTGATTCATTGATACTCCAAGACAGGCATCCATCTTGCCTTCAGCATCATGCTTCAAGACTCGCCTTTGGCACTCATCACCACCCGTCGTTCCCTGCAATGTTCAGTTATATAACGACGCATATGTCATTGAATGCGGCTGCAATAGCTACATGTCACCCTGCTATTCGCGAATTCTTGATCCCTGCTGATCTGACTTCCTCATCTGGAGAATAACACCCAGCTGTTTATCGATAAAGCGGATATCATCACTAGGACTGATTCAGACGGTCCAATACTTCCAACACGGCATCGTTATCGACAAGCACCGTGGGTTCCACTGTCTCAACTTTTCGCTCCTTCTTCGATCGTCGTCTTGCAAGCAGAGGCTGTGAAGCGGACCAGCCCAACATAATCGCGACGAAACCAATTTATCAGTACGAACACGCCTCAGCTGGCGGCGTGATGTATTACCATGGTGTTGGAACAAATCCTTTCAATGCGCTTCACCACTTTGCTCCTCTCCAATGATACCGGTAGCTCGCTCAGCTCGCGTGCGCGCTTACTAGAGCCTTCACCGGGTTGTTGCTGATCTTTTAATCAATTGTTCAATGCATCCAGCAGGTGTTTACGGTCAGACTAGGAGCACCCCTCCAAGCATATACAGGCAGCTAGCTCACCAGCTAACTCACTGCTCGGTCAGATGTGACGGTACGCCACCGGTCAGCCATCAGCTCTGTTTCTCCACTTTCTTGATGGCGGCCGCTTGCTTCGGCTGCAGGAACATTGCACTGGACATGTCAAGCTAACATCTGCTCTTGCATTGGCGGATCTTGAAATCTGACTTTCGCGCGACGACGTTAATGAAATTGACAATTTCTCGCAGGCCGATAAGAATGACTCTGCCAGTGGACGAACAGTGATATCACGATTAAACGTGGAGGGGTAGCTACGGTAGCTACCAGCCTCCCCTCACCCCAGTTCCGCCCAACCGTGTCGCGCCGCCACCCACATGCGTTTCGATAAAAACGCCCTGCAAGCCGCAAAGATCATCTTGGCCGGGAGCCAACCAGAGTGCTTTCTGAAAGGCCCTGTTACCGGCCTACCACATTGTCATCCACACACACCCCAGCCATTGCAACAGCACCGAATGTTTTTGTTTGCCGGGAGGCTCCCGGCGCAACGTGGGCGGCCTTGAAGTTGGGTACAAAGAGGGTCACGATTTGCGAGATCACACCCACAACACCAGGAATGGCAGCTCGCAATCTCAACTTTTCACGATCGACAAAAGTCTCCAAATAACAACGACCATGTATCAGCTATATAGAGATCGTCTGGATCATCGTTGGAAATGGCACCGTGTTATCGCGTCACACGGTAATCTCCACCGCATACGTGCTTTTCTCTCTTACGTGACCTCTGAATTGGGCAATTGTACGATCTACTAAGCAAGCGGTCCGCTGTGGAGATGCTGTGGGAGAACAGCCCTTTCGCTTGCAGAATGAGAATGGGCCGATTGGAAGTGCTGAGTGGTGTCACCGTGGTTCGCAACAGGTTCGCGAATACAGCAAAGCAAGGCTGACTGGCGTAGTGGAGTCGGCCATTCCAGCTTTTTGTTTAGAGACCACACAGTCATCAGAACCGGTTGTCTGATTATTTCCTTTAATCGCCTCCCCCGGAGCCGGTTTCCGAGTGAACCAAGAGTTTTTCCGCCGCTTTTTCCTTTCTCATCCTTGCCGAGGACGAGGCGGGAAAAAGATAAAAATAATCCTCCCGTATTACTAGCGGGTTGGGCATAGCTCTAAACGAGAGAAAGCAAGACGGGCAGAAAGCTTGGGTGACATGCGGCGACACTGTTGAGGGCACATGCATCGCTTAGTAGCTTGCTTTGACATGTGCGTGCGGGGTGTGGGTTCTGTTGCTGTTAGCGACAGAAAACATCATACATGTTAACTTGCGCCGCAAGCTAGTCGGATCAGCTAAGCTTTACCGCAATATGGTATGAGCTCACACGGGTGGTATCAGTTCAGAGCGGCCGCTTCACTGACTGACCGACTGATGGGGGGATTTAGATCGTCCCCCGCCTTGAATTGACATCATATCCGAGGCATGGAAAAGGCCGGAGTCGTTGCTAGCCCTATCTCTAGGCCGGTGATGGGATGGTACACCATGGGCCGGCCCCGTGCGCCCCAGACGTGCAATTGTTTGTCCCCAATCGACAGACAACCCTTGTCATTGGTAAAGAGCGCCGCATGCCCTTGCGGCGGTTGCTCTTATGTATACTTTATGCAGCGTTGGGCAAACATCGAGCGGCCGGATTTTTTACACTGACTCTTCCGCGAAAGGATTGGGTGAGAAAGGTGGGGAAAAATTGGTTTTGATATGCGCATTTTGTGCTTGCCCTGGCATTTTCTAGCTTACAACCATGCAGCTTCAGACAAGCTACGACTGCTCAGGCTTCCGACTTTCACTCTGACTTGCGCCCTTCAACCGGGGTTCACAAACGAACTCGAGGCCAAGTATCGAAAATTTCTTTTTCGGATTCGTAGAGCACATTTCCCAGAGATACGAATCAGAGAAGAGAAGGTCAATTGTGGATGATGTCCAATTCGTCTTGCTCACACTGAGTAGCTGGGCATGAGTTGTTCTTGCAAGGCACAGAATCTTATGCGCTGTGAACTTATTTGTGATTGCTAAAGAAGGACTCATTAGCATAGAACATTCGTGAAGGCATCAACATGTCAGATCCCACATGCTGGATGTGGCCGGGTACCCAGCAGGGTCTGCTTACGGAAGCCAATCAAACGACTCGACAAATATTGAATATCTCCTCTTTGGACTACAAACTTCGCCTGGGGTCCTTTCACGGTTGATACATCCAGTAAACAGAGTGGAGCCTAGTCCTCCATGCGCTCTCGTAAGACGAAGATCCAGCTCCTACTGGAGAAGACCAACGCCAAATGCCCTGTTAAGCTTCTCTTGGCACATGCAACGATGCCGTTGTTCACAGCAGCTCTTGTGTAATCGACGACGGCATGGATTGGACGGTCGGGGATCAGTTTCCTAGAGGGCTGGGTGATGTGCTGCTCTCTTCTCCACTACATACTACCCAAGCCGGGATTGTTTATATGCAACTGACGTCGCCCACTTCTACGCTTCCCACCTCCTTCCTTGAGCCTCACCCCCTCGTCTCTGAGTTACACATCTTGCCCCTAGTAAGAGTCAGTCAGAGTTGGGAGTTGGACCCGCCTCCTTGTTTATTTTTCAATAATTCACGCACGGCCTTCAAGCAACTCTTTCGCTACGGTTGCTACTGTCGCTTTTGTACATAAAACAAACAGCCCCGTCAAGCCACTTCTGGTTCCGACTTCACTTGTCGCCACCACACACACCTTGACACAAGAAGCCAATTCATCACCATGAAGGCTACACTCTCGCTCCTCGCCCTCGCGGGCGCGGTCTCTGCCAATGGCGGCTACAAGCCCGTTGAGCCTCCTGCGTACACTCCCATCCCACCACCTGCATACACTCCGGCTCCTCCACCACCGGTCTACACTCCCGTGAAGCCCTCGTACACGCCCAAGGTAAGCAAAACTCCACCATCACTACCCTGGTTCTTGAGACGGTTTCTAATCGATGTTGTGCTGTAGCCTCCACCATCTAGCTCCGTGTACACTCCTCCTGCGTACACGCCTCTTCCTCCTCCGAGCTCGAGTTCGGTGTATACGCCTCCGCCGTATACTCACGTGCCTCCTCCTCCAAGCTCGACGTATACGCCTCCTCCGTATACGCATGTTCCTCCCCCTTCTTCAAGCTCGAAGTACACTCCTCCCCCTTACACTCACGTGCCCCCTCCTCCATCTTCGACTTACACTCCCCCTCCTTACACTCACGTGCCTCCTCCACCATCATCGACGTATACTCCTCCTCCGTATACTCACGTTCCTCCTCCTCCATCTTCGACCTACACTCCCCCTCCTTACACTCACGTTCCTCCCCCACCTCCCTCGTACACGCCTATTCCTCCTCCCAACACGACCTACACGCCTCCCCCGTACACTCATGTTCCTCCTCCATCCTACACCCCGGTCCCCCCTCCTTCCTCAACCTACACGCCTCCTCCATACACCCACGTTCCTCCCCCACCTCCTTCGTACACTCCCATCCCGGTAAGTCTCTCAATCTTCTTTCCAACCATCAATATCGCTTGACTAACAGCCTTATCAGCCTGTCAACACTACCGTGTACCCTCCCGCTCCCCCACCATCTACGACTTATGTTCCTCCCCCTTACACTCCCAAGCCTCCAGTAAGTATCAAATATTTCTATATTTTCCTCCTCACTTCTTCATCTCATGGCGTTATCAGCCGCCTGGAACCGTGACGACGACGAGTTCTCTTGTTATTCCCTCTCCTTCTACTTTCACGTCTATTCCACGACCGGTATGTTTTCCTTTGATACCCTTGTATTCTCATTTTCTCTTTCATCTCTTTCCTTATTCATGATTCAATCTCAGCCATTTTCGAACTTGACGACGATTCCTTTTCCTTCTCCTACTACTCTATCATTTCCTACTTCTCCGCCTCCTGTGGCTACGTCCGGAACAAAGCCAGTGACGGTATGTCCTCCTGACCCTAGTGGACCTTTTTTGTATTATCCTCTCTTATGTGTTTCTTTACTTTCTTACAATTTTCCCTTTGGTGTGTTGCCAATGAATAGCCCGGTACGGATACGGAGACGGTAATTACGATCTCTTCGACTACGACCAGGACAAGGACGAACACTATTCCTGGAAATTCCACTTCATTTGCCTTTTCGACGCCGGTTGTATCCACGCCAGTCGTGTCTACTCCGATTGTTTCTTCACCAACGATTCCTGTCGGCCCTGGAGAATCTTCATCCTCACCCATTGTGCCTGGGAAACCTTCCACGCCCGGAATTCCCATCAAGCCGGTTGAGACTACACCCGCTGTTTCATCTCCGACGGTTCCTGTTATTTCGAAGACGTTTAGCTCGTCGCCCTTTGTGCCTGGTGGACCATCATCTACCCCCAACACTCCTGGGCTGCCGTCTTCTATTCCCTTCATTCCTGAGGTTCCTACGAAGCCGGTCATCCCCTATGTAGTGGTTTCATCTCCTACGCCGCTTGTTCCGGAGGGTTCTTTTTCACCAAAAGTACCGTCTCCTGTTCTGTCGCCTCCAACACCAGGCATACCGTCTCCTGCAGTACCCTCTCCACCTAGCCCATCCGCCCCAGGAATTTCTATACCGAGTGTCGGATCTCCTGCGCTTTCATCTCCAACCCCTGTTATTCCTGGAGGATCGTCTATTCCTGTGGTTCCAGAGTTTTCTTCTCGGGTTGCTTCCTCACCTAAACCACTCGTCCCCGGCGCTTCCTCCTTGCCTGCGATCGTAGGACTCCCATCAAACGTCCCTCCCTCACCAGCTATGCCCACTCCCAAACCGCTTATTCCAGGGCCTTTATTGACTCCGCTTCCATCTCCGCCGATAGCGCCGTTCCCATCAATTCCCCCAAAAGCACAAGAAACCCCGGAAGTGTGTCCATCCCCGGAAGTGTTGACCGTGACCGTTTATCTTCCTTCTCCTACTGTTCCTTTATCTCCTTCTCCTACGACGTCTCCTTCGAGATCGGTAAATATGCCCCGTGGCTGCTTGTACAAGTTTCTTTCCTTTCTCATCTCTCTTTCCTCTCACTTTATTTTCTCTTTCGTTATCTCTTTTCAACCCTCCTATTCCAAATTTCGAAGGCTTTGCTCCAAGGGCAACAACAGAACCCCATAACTTACCAGAAGATCAACTCGCTAACCAACAAAATAGTCCCCACCTCCCTACGTGAACACAACCATCCCTTCCATCCCCGTGCCTCCTCCCCCAGGAACCGCACCCCCAGTCAGCACACCAACAACATACACCACCGTCTCGTCCTCGCACACCACGGTCATCACGTCGACCATTGTTAACCCACCTCCCCCATCATACGTCCCCGGTGTCCCACCTTCCTCTGCCCCTGGCGTGCCGCCAGTCGTGCCAAGTGGAAGCGCACCACCTGCTCCTCCTGCGTCATCTTCTCCTCCGGCCGAGGCTCCTCCCTCGCCTAGTGCGCCGCCTGCCCAGTTCCCTGGCGCTGCTTCGTCGGTGCGCGGAGGCGCTTTTGCCGTGGTCGTCGCTGCTGTCGCCGCTGTCGCTATGCTATAGATCTGCTTAGTGTAGCGTGAGCGGGGAGTCTCACTTGCATGTCAACAATGATCCACCATTCATTCATTTCGATTGGTTGGTTGGTTGTTCGAATTGTGAGTTCAGACTCGTCAAGCCTCACAACCAGACGGCCCACGAAAGAGGGAGAGATGATGATGTATGTATTGGGGTTAATATGCCAAAGTCGGCGGAAGGAGAAGTGCCCTTTTTCTTTCTTTCTATTCTTCATGTCACGATTCGAATGACCTCTTTTTCTTTTCTTTTTTCTTCACGGAAAAAAAACTCCCTCTTTGATATCCACTCCTTGGCCGAACCCTCCCTCCCTTTCCCCCCTTCCCTCCCTTTCTTTATCTGTCAGGGGGTTGGGATTGTGGGGGGATTATTATCGGCATTAATGTGTTATGTTTATTATTGTGCTTTTTTTCTTTATTGAGGGTAGGATGAGATGATGGAAGATGGACTGGATTGACGATGAATGGATGGATGTTGTGTAATGAGAGGGGAAATGAGAGAAGAGAAGGCGGATGTGCAATGACTAGGGGAGATATCGGAAGGGTAGATAAAAACACTCCTTTGTAGAATTAAGCTAAACTCGTTGTTGTTGTCTCAATGCACACATGCATACACATGTATCTAATTGCGCCAATTAAATTGAATGTTGCTTGTAAAGAAAAGTGAGAAAGGAAAAATTGATAAACACTGGTTGGTTGATTTGACATGTTTCTTTGTTGAGGTTCTTGGTCGTTCTGTTTGTCTGCTTAGCTGTTTCTCTAATCTCTCTTATTCTCGACATGGAGGAAAATGGATTACTGGATGTTGGTACTCATCATTCCCGCTTGGTTGATAGTTACTCGACTATATAAGTGCTTGCCTTGTTATCCTTACCAAACAACGACAATACTATATAGAGAGAGAGAGAGAGAAAGTAAAGATGTCACCACATAACACATGATCCATCTTCTCCAAATAAACAATCGAAAAAAGGAGAAAAGAGCAAAAAAATGTTCTTTATATGTGTGCTTTTCTGTCCAATTAGAAAAGAGAGGTGGCAAAAAAGGAAATCTGGCCTGATTGTTTATTGATAGTACTACTATTCTTAATAAGCTGTAATTGCTTTTTCTTCTTCTTCTTCTTTTTCAAAGGTAGTTGAGTATCCTTTTTTTCTATTTTCTTGCTTCCATTCCGGTCTGATTGCTCAGTCCTTACTCTATATTTTCTTCAGCTTTCCTGCCCAGTGACCCAAATCATGTTATCCAGAAAACCTGGACGAAAAAAAGGAATTTTCTTTCTCTACCTAAGGAAAGAAACAATGAATAGACAGTCTCCCATTGCATTCAACCATCATTCTTCACACCCGCTTTCCCGCTCCCCTCATTCTCCCGAATGACTTTATCTGTTCCAAGTCCGACGCCCCTCCGCCTCCCCTTGATCACGGCAACAAGACACTTTCCCACCGCCTCCAAATCGCCCAACAATGTGACATGCCCGCGCTCACTGGGAACCAAGCCCCCTCTGACAACGCTATACCCAGACGGCACCATCGCGGCCTTGGCCAGCACAACGCCATCGCCGCTTGCGAACGCGAGCTCGTCGTAGCAAGATGTCAGCTTGATAGCTTCGCGACTCTCGACTTTGGCGCCATAGACCGTGGGCGTTGATTTGCCGTAGATGAGAGCGATGGGCGGGTAGGCGTTAGCCGCGGTGTGCGTGGAATTGTGGGCGAGCTCCTCCTTGAATTGCTTGATTTCGGCAAGTGTGCGCGAGAGGTATGTCATGGCTTTGTCCTTGGGGATCGTGACGGCAGTTGCGGGGTTAGGTTGAGCTGGGTTATTTGGAGTGGCGGAGTCAGACTGCATGCTGGGTTCCATGGCAGATGTCTGGGCGGCTCCTTCGGCGAATTTCGACGTCGCGTTACGAGCAGTGTCCATCAAACCGCTGCTGCTGAGCGCCGAGGACGAACCAGTCGGATTAGACGTTGAAGAGGAACCCATGGTGCCGTTGGTGCCTGTTGTTCCGGTGGAGTCTTGGTGAGTGAGAGCCGGTGAGCGGGGAGCTGGACTTCTAGATACGCTGGCTTTGCGGCTGGGTCGGGTAGGCAGGGCTTGAGACATTGCGTTCAGCAAGCTGGTCATGGAGTAGTTGGAAGGTTGTGGAAGGTTGGGGGCTGGTAGAGCGGGTGCTATGCAAGGAGACAGTCGATTTTCTTCCCATGTGTTTGGATCAAAAAAGTCTAATGGATACTCTTCTTTCGTGTCTTTATTGATGAAGCACTTTCCGTCCAACGGTAGAAGAGCAAAAGACGTTCGAATGGTGAAGTTGACCTGGGCTGTTAATACACGGGATGAGAGCAGCACATCATCGCCGTTGCGCAGGGGCCCGAGAATGTTGATGCAGTTCTGAGGAACGCCGGCATAGACAACACCCGAAACGAGTTCGGGGCGTTGATTAATTACATGCCGTGTAATGAGACCACCCAAAGAATGCGCAAGAACAATGGCACCACGTTTCTCTGGGAGCACATCGGGCTGATTGCACGGCAGTTCCTCCAGAAATTTGATCATTCGACGAGCCAGGAGATGCGGAGAAAGTCGCCAATCATAGCCATAGTCATGAACTCTAAGAGTACCTTTTCGCGCGTTTTCCGAGGCTCTCAGACGCTTCAGCAAACGCTTGCTGATATCCACAGGCCCGATGTTAGTCAACATTCCCCCAGGAATGATGCGCTCTTCCATGGTGAGTTCGTCCTCAGGCTCCAGGCCGACTTCCAGATCGACTTTACGGAGATTCAGGCCTACTTTGATTGGTACCCACAGTTGGCGGTTTGGAGGCTCGGCGGAACGAAGAATGGATCCACGATAGCCACCCAGAATGACCAGATCGCCTTCAATTTCTTGCAAGGCACGCGTGAAATGCGGATGCGTAACTGAGTTGGCATTCGCGGGGCCCTGGGCCTCGGAGGACGGGTTTACAGTACTCGTATTGGAAGCCGTTCTCTCATTTTCCTGTAGAAGGTTGGCTCTGTTGTTGGACATGGACGCAGCCGCATTATCGGTCGCATTAGTGGCTTGCAGCGAAGGGCTATTCACTCTCGAGGATTTGAACAAGTCATCCCTAGAACCAAAATTAAAATTAGGCAACGAGGGAACAGAAAGTCTGAAGTTAGCATCTTGCCAGCTATCCTTGATGGCCTTCATACGACTATTGACCATCTCCGACACATTCTCAAACCGCGAATCATCGCCAAGAGACGAGGCAATCGACCGGCTACGGTAGATCATCAACGAGCCTTCCGAAGTCGAACGGCGAAGAACAGATGCTGGCCGGGAGAGCGGTTTGGGCTGCGACGGCGCAGCACTCAAGCGCGGAGTACCTTGACCAGTGCTGCTGGGTGTTGATTCGGGAATGGGCAGAGGCGCAGTGGCAGGATGTGGTGGAAGACGATTCAAGCTACTACTTCTTCTGGGTGGAGAATTTCGTGTAGGATGTCGTCGAGTCGATTCAACGTTACCATCGTACTGTACCAAGGGGGAACGGGGCGATCGGTTTGGTAGAGAAGAGGCTAGTTGCATGGGTCGTTGCCGGGGCGGATTGGGAGGTGGACGGCCGCGTACATGGCTATCAAACTGCGAGGGGGAGAAGGAGGGCAACGAGAAATTCAGCAGACCGGAAGATTTGGGCAGGGAGGGCAAGTTGAAATATTTCTTGAAAGACTCGCCCATGCTGCTTCCGCCGGACAATGTACGTCTACGCGCTTTGGTCACCAAGGTTTCGCGAAGCGCCGAGCGATGACTGTTACTCTGGCCGTTGCTTTGACCTTGGACTTTGAGGGGTTTTGGGCCAGCGCGCCAAGGTGAAGGCAAACGTGGGGCAGGTGCCGGTCGCGGTGGAGAAGACGCGGTGGTAGGAGGATTGACTTGTGGGGTCTTTTGTTTCACGGTATCGCCAGCGTCCTTTGGCGGTGGTTGCGCGGGATCGGATGCGGGTACGGTGTCGCTTTGTTCGTCTGCGTCTTGTTCCACAGACTGGTCCCAACCCTCAAAAAGGCCACCACCGTCCACGTCGTCCAGGGCAGCCGCTTTTTCGGCAGCGGGAGTCTTGGGCGACGTTAGACGGGTCTGCTGTTGTCCCATGCTGACGCCAATGGCTGACTGGACCGTCTCCAGCTGCAGCGAACGTTCTTCGGCGGATTCATCTTCGGACGGGGTGAGGTCTGGGTCGACGATTGAAGTGAACTGGATGTGGGCGAGGGCATTGTCGCGGTCGGCTCGATTTTGAACATTGTTCTCGTCGGTGTTGTTGGCATGACGTGCCTCGCTGGCATGGGGCGGGAGACTCGGGGACGGCGGCTTCTCTGGCACGGGCGTGGCAGCGAATGCCGGATTGAAGGGACTCACGTGGGTCACGGACATTGGACGAGGGCGATAGACTTGGTGGGGATATGTCATGTATACGGTATGTATGAGATTGTGTATGTAAGTGTGTACGTATCAGTGCTATTCTCCGGTGTCGCTCAGGATGGACGGCATGGTACTGTAGGACGATAGCGAGGACGACAAGATGACAGGAAACCAATGTCCGTCGGAACCAAATCAAGGAAGCGTGTGAAAAAGCAAAATAGGGATACGGAGCGGAAGTGACAGAGAGGAGGAGCAGAAGGAAACGAGGTAAAAACCGGACAGTGACTAGGCGTGGCTGAAGGCGTGTTAGATAATGGGGATGGTTAGGTCGCCCTTACCCAGAGCGACATCCGCGAGGAGCCGTTCCACATGGCAACTGGGGATCCATCAATCAGAGCGACTCCATCGGTGTTGATGAGGCAGTCCATCCGTTGGGGTGGCTGTGAAGGGGATGGAAAGAAGAAGCCATACAACTGGCCGGAGGTGAGACGGGACGATGGCTATGCATTGTTGTGTTTCGCAGCTTGGACATTGCTTAGCAATTGATGGCGATGACGAAGGAAGGATTGATGACGATCGGATAAACAGGGATAGATCTGTGGCTTGATCCCCCCACGCGCCACACGCCGGAGCTTACAATTCTCCGCGCGCCGAGCTTTTCCCCGTCAAGCCACAGTCTTGGAACCTTCACGTCTGCATTCAAATGTTCGAGCAACAAGCATCACAGTCCAAGACGGAATCTTCGTCTTTTGCACATTCCGGATCATTCAAGCTTTTGTAAAGCATTCATTACCGATTCGACGATCTGCCATCGCCTCATCGTTTATATGTATTAAGTGTATCCTCAACATCCTCTCCACCAACTTCTCCCCATACCACCGCCAAGTACTACTGCTAGCTTTGAAGCATCTAAGCAGGCTGGACGCGGACAGTGCCATCGCCCTTTTCGTGGCTGATGGAGTTCCTCTCGTCGATCTCCTTCTCGACCACAGCCATGGACACGTGTCCGGCAGCATCCTCGCCGTCGAAGATCTTGGAGATCTCTTCGAGCGTGGGGCCCCTGGTCTCGGGGTACACAAAGTAGACGAAGATGAATTCGACCGTGATCCAGCATGTGTAGAAGAGGGCCAGGTTCCAGTGAGCGGGAAGACGCTTCCAGGCAACGGGGTTGGTTTGTCTGGTTCATGGTTAGCTTTGTGCACCAACAAAGTATCGAGCAACATTTCAAAACTTACCCTCCAAGAGCGAGGATGGCCTGCACGGTGATGTTCATGATCATCAGACCCTTGGCACGCAGACGGTAGGGGAGAATCTCGAGCGCGTAGGCGACGAGCAGACCCGACCAGGCAATGGCGTAGAAGATACCGAAGATCCACACAAACGGAATCTGTGCGTATCCGGCGGCTGTGTTGGTTTCGCCAGACTTCTCGTAGGTGGCGCAGGTCACGGTCCAGCAGATGAAGGACACCACCATACCGGCTGTAGCGATCAAGAACAGGCGACGACGACCGACCTTGTCAATCAGAGTGGCCGAGTAGAGCGCAACACCGAGGTAGAGGATACGTTCGGCTCCCGACAGGATCATCTTCTTGTTCTGCGACTTGATGCCGGCACCCTCGTACACGAGGTTGATGTAGTTGGAGAAGAGAGCGTTGCCAGAGTACTGCGAAATGATACCCAGAGAAATGAGAATGGCCAACCTCCATCGGTTACCCCTGGTCCTGAGGAAGTCGAGGTAGCTGGAGTTGGTGTTGGCCTCCTTCTCCAAACGGATGGCCTCGGCCATTTCCTGGTACTCGAATTGGACAGTAGCGTTCTGGTCGTCGCCGTTGGCGTGGTAGTAGGCAAGCATGTGCAACGCCTCATCGTGGCGCTCCTTGGAGATGAGCCATCGAGGAGACTCGGGAACCCAGAAGATGAAGATGATCTGAATAATCGAAGGCAGACCCTGGAGCAGGGTAATGGACCTCCACGACCACTCGTTGTCGGCCTGCGAAGTTCCCCACGCGATCCACGCAACCAAGAAAGCACCTGCGTGCCAGAGAGTGTTGTAGACGGCAGTGAAGATACCACGATGCTGGGGGTGGCAGATCTCGGTAAGGAGAATGGGCGAGCACATCTGCGAGAATGAGTTGCCGAAACCGAGGACAAGACGGCCGGCCATGTAGATTTCCCAGTTGGTCGAGACGGCCGAGACAATGGCACCGACAATCATGATGGCGCAGCCAATGGCAATGGGAATCTTACGACCCCACCACTCGGCGGCGAATGGGACGAGGAAGAAACTGGCAATACTGCCAATGTTGTAGGCGTTGTTCATGATACCCAAGCGGTTGTCATCGGGGTCATTGAAGTAGGCGCTCCAGCGGTCGATCTGCTGGGACGAGTTCATCATCATACTGCAAGACGAGTCAGTCACTGCTCTTTGGATTCTGGGGGAAAGACTGCAACTCACCCATCGTAACCAGTGGTGGCGGAAGCCACGCAAAGAATGGAAGCCCAGAAGAAGAGCTTCCTCAAGTTGGGGTCCTTCTTCCAGTTGACCTTTTCAAATTGAGGCGCATCGGCCGCAGCCGCGGCGTTGGCACTGGCAACGGCAACCATGTTGACGACTTGAAAGTTGCAAGTTCGTTCAAAGGATTGAGTGGATTTGTCGGCGAGAAAACTGTCCCTGGTGTTACACCTTGGAGGGCCAAGAGGCTTGAAGAGCAAAGGTACCCCATGGGTCCCCCGCGTGGTATTTATGCCCGCGTTCACGAAGATCTCGAAAAGAAGTCTCGGAAGTTCGTGAATCCTCGAGCTAGACGGCTCACCGGACGAGGATGCCGGAATGTACAAGGGATAATCGGCAGAAGTTCCACCACTTGAAGGCAATCAATATGGCCAAGACAGTTGGATCCAGCCTCCCGTTGCCCAGGTGAGCATGCAGGCCCGATCAGCCCGGGTCGAGGCCTGCAGGGATATCGGCTATATTCAAAGCTTATGTGCAATTGGATACCGAGGCTGATGGTCTAACGAGTGCACGGGTCGTTGTAGATTAAATCAACCCCCCATGGGGAACACGCGAACCCTATCTCGGCCCCATAAATCGTCGACAACTACATCTCGCAAGATCCCGAAATCAAAGGGCCACATACAAGGCGATGTGTACTGTTGCTCCTGTTTTCGAGAAACGACCGCCCACCCTCTACTCATCCCTGCCTGCCTGTCTGCATCCTAGCTCAAGACTGCAGGCGCGTATGCAGATGCACCATTGCTCGAGTCGGGCGATAACCGCTAAAATCCTACAGAATAGGCGGGCAAGCTTCTGGTGTTTTGCTGGGCGCCTCTAAGCGATGAAGCGAGGGCAATCGCGTGGCTTGAGCTGCCTTGGCCCCCGGCAATTCCATGATGGCCGACCGTGGGGAAAACGGGAAACGGACTTGATCTTGTGCCTCCTCGGGGCAATGGGGGTTGGCACCAAGGCGCGGAAGGGTGGGATGGTGATTGAGCGAGTAGATGCTGTGCTTCGATTGCCTGATATCTGCTGGCGTCTTGGTGGTGAGAGAGTCGTCCTGCTCATGACTTGCAACCCCAAACCATCTCTCGCCACTCCCAGCACCCAGAACATGTGAAATGTTGCTTAATTGCTTATAGCGGTCGGTGCGTTGGTCTGTTTGCCTGTTCCCTCTGCGTCCCATCTCATGATTGCACGATATCATCTAGCGGACCGGGTAAATTCAACTCTCACACAGAAGCGGCCTGGCCTAAACCAACCACCACGAAAACTGCACTTGCTGCTGCTACTGCACTGCTCACACGCCGCAATGCACGCACGCATGGACGCATGGACGCACCCATCCAACGCACGTACTCATCCTCGCATGCACATCAACGCCCTCACATAGTCAAGTCAGGTCAGCAGGGAAGACACTTCTCGCGAGGCGGCCGCCTAAAGTGACATTCTACACATCCTCCCTTCATTTCATCGCCCAATTGAATCCAACACCTAATCAAAACCAAAAAGCCACACGTATTTGCACCTTTATTGCATATCCTTCAACCGTGGTACGGGTTCGCCAATCCCCCTTTCATCCCTCCCCATTCAATCTACACCAGGCAAACACCAAACCGGGGTAAGGGAAAATGTGGGAGGGACAGAAAGGGTCCAATTCCCATTCAAACGGATTTTATCGACCCAGAATTTGCCCCAGCGAATGGGGGATAGTTTGGGTGTGGGATCAAAGCACGGGATGTGGATTGGATGGGGGAAAGGCAAAGGGTGGGCGTGCATCCCGGGGACCTGGTACTATGCACATCATTTCTGGTTTTTCATTCCCTTTTATCCAAGGAAGAAGGTGTCCAATCCCAAACTCCTTTCGAGCGAGCGAGCGAGCAAGCGGGCGTGTGGTAAGGGTCCGGCGGTGTGGGGGTGATTGGCTGGAAACGCATCTTGCTTCTGCTTTGCGGGAGCATTGTTCTGGACGTGTTCTGGAAGCTCATCCTCTCTTCTTCTTACTCTCGTCTTCCTTCGTTCCTTGTTTTTCAGCAATGAGGCTTGGGCGCCGCTGGCTGGCTAACAAGCTCACATGCTCAATTCCCTTTTTCATTGGACCACGCGAAGATCATCGCTTTCGATACTCTTTCATCACGAGGTCGGGGAACCCGTGTTTTCACCTTCTCCGCTGGACGGGGGTATGTTCGGCGCTTAATGGAATGCTGTTGCATCTATATTAAAGCCTGACCACGCTTACCCTTGCCACTACCAGTTCCACTCTACACCACTCAACCTAGCCCGTTAGTCGTATCCTGCGCCCTGGGAAGAGTGGAACCGGTGCCCACTTTCTTCCCCATCTCCCCTCACTTTACCTTTCCAGTTTCGTAAAGTCCTTTCGAGGGTGTATATTTACCATCTAACCACTGTTTGTTTGCCTCTTTTTCTGGACGGGATGAAAGTAGGGATCCTCACAGCACATCCGCTTTTGGAAATTCGGACGAGAAGAGGTAGGTGGGGTACTGTACAGTACTCGCTTGGATTGAGATTCTGAATTATGTCTACAAAGCAAAGTACTCGACCGATCGGTGTACATTCATGTCTCACTCCCCTCCCATCATCATGTTAGCAGAAACATACACCCTCAACCGTCTACTCGATCGATCCGATCCAAATTCCATTATACACTTCACCTCAAGTCACAGAAATCAACATCACCCTTGTCTTCCCTTTTCTTTTCTTTTCTTTCCTTTCCACCTCGTCGAAACTACTTCTTTCCCCCCTTATCCCACAAAACAACTAACAATATCCGCAAATCCCCGAACAAACACTCCCAATCAATCGATTTACCAAGACAAGTAAATCACAGACCATATTCGAACAGCCGTAGCTTCTACCCGGGAGATTTTGTCTTGTACATGTTGCTGCTACTGCTATTGTGTATGACCGACGCCCCTTTCTTTCATCCATTCATTCATATATTTCGCTCATCTTGCCCTTGGATATAGCCGGGGGGAGGGAATGGGGAGGGGGTTAATAAGCACGACTGCTCCTGCTTGCATGATTATCGATCATGTAGGTGTGTTCTAATGGGTATTCTCGAAGCTTATTTCTTCTTCATTTAGTAGGCTGGGATGGGTGGAGTGTAACTTCTTTGGGGGCAGGGCGGAGAAGCTCATTATTCCCCCCTGGTTCTGGACAAATACGGAGGTGTATGGTTAGAGCTGAAAGGAAGGGGATTGGGAAATATGTGATTCGTTCTCTGGTTTGGTGATTTGGTGGTTGGAGGGAAAGGCATGGAGAGTATTCATTGGATAAGTGGGTGGGTATGTGTTATATTGATTTATGCGAACTCCTACCCCGGTCTCTGCCTTCTTTTTCAATCTCCCCGGGATTTTATTGGGGATGGATTGTGGCTTTGTTGGGTTTATTCGTTGACACACTGCCTCTTTCCGCTTCTCCTTCAATGGGAGCGGTGGATGGGTGTGTGTTTGAGTCGCGGGTTCGTTTCTTAGTGTCCAAGATATGCTAACCTTTGCAGTCAAACAGACCTCCTGTACTTTTCGCTCTTTCCCCGTAGTCCATCTATGTTCTGGTATCTCGCTATTATACAATCGATCTCCACATCTATAATCAGCCCTTATCTTCCAGTGACGAAGGCGCCCGCGTCTCACATCACATTCCGACCAGGAAGCTCATGCATCGAGCCCGAATCAATCTCGTGGATAGCAGACGACGTTGCGTTCAACTCCATGCCCCTCGGCTCACCGCTCTCGTGCCGGTAGACTTCCATCTGCGAATACGGACCTTTCGCTGTGTCTAATTGGTGTTGATAATGCTGTTGCGCTTGCTGTTTTCCACTGCGGCGACGGACAAAGAAGAAGATAGCGGCGGCAATGCCAAGCAACAGCGGTATCCCTAAGCCAAGTCCTAGTCCTAATCCCAGCGATGTGGTTTCCGTTGACGAGGAATGAGGTTTTTTAGATGCTTTTGGTGATGTGGAAGCGGTGTTCTGCGGTGTCGAGGTGGATTGCGAGGGAGGTGATGAAGTCGCGCTGACTCCGATGACTGTAAGGGTCGAAACGGCTTCTGCGCTCTCATCGTTAACAACCCACCAACCTCCACAGCGAAAAGAGTTATATGGAGGACTAACCGGGAAATTCAACATGCAACGTCGCGTTCGTGCATAATTCCCCCTCTTTAATGTTCTTCGTCTGGTCGTTTGCGCAGTAATACCGATTCGTCCTCCCCGCGCCATCGCACTGCTTCACCGGCGTGCCACCCTGCCCCAATTTATCGCCCGCAGTGCCATTGGTGCACATAGATGGGCAGTCTTCACTCGCCCATGACTTATCCGTGCAGCTCGAGCGCAGCAGCGTTGGGGAATTCTCCGCGAACTCGGGGGGCGCGTGCGATGTGAGGGCGCAGAGGTTGTTGGATAGACAGGCGTATCCGAGACGGCAGCAAGTGGAGTGCGTGGATGTTGTGCTACAGGGCGTGTCTTGGACGATTGCTCCATTCGGGGCGTAGCATGCTGTTGCTGCTGCATGGATGGATACGGGTATCAAGAACGGGAGAATGCATGTGTATGGCTTCATTTTCCGCGCTGGGGAGTCGATGTGTTGGGAGGGTGTTTCGGTCGCATTGCTGTAGAATTAGACTCAGCTCGGGAATGTTATATTGACTTGTATAAAGAAGGCAACAGTTTCGGCGATCGGATCGGTGGCTTGTTCGTAAGATTTGCTGTTTTCGCGCAGCTAAACGTCAACGACAAGACCACATTTCTTCCCCGTCTCGATCTATAGTTACATAAGTTCCAAGAGGAACGGACTATGTTGCACTGCACGACACAAACCCACGCGCAAGAAAGGCTCAGTACACTGAGCTTCTACAGTTTAATGCGCAATGCGTGAAGCTCCTTGTATATCTGACTAGAGATTTCTCTCCACTTGTGCTCACCGGCGTCTTACACAACCTAATCTTAGCATAAGCAAATCGAATAGGCAACCCATCGGCCCCATCATCGGTTTCATATGTTTTTCAGCCCCAACGTAATACGCTCGTATTCGGATTGATATAGCCGCTCACCTGAGGAATATTGACTGGTGCTCGGCAATTGCCACGGGACTGTGTAGATCATCACGTGCTGCGAGGCAATGGAGATTCCCGTAGGATTCGTGTGGTCGACAGTATCTAGCGTCACGGCAGGCCCTTCCTTCAAAGGTATATATGTAAACGCGTTAGTGTTGGAATTGGAACATGGCGAATCTAAAACCAACACGACGAAATAGAAGACGAGTACGCTGCTGCTGCCCGGTTTCCCGATGGATGATGTTGTTCGCGAAATGCTCTGATGGTGGCGTAGACACGGTCTAGAAGCTGTTTGGAACTGATATGTACTAGAATCGGAGGTGCGCATGTACACGTTCTACTAGACACAGGCCCAGAGGTAGAAGCCGGATGCTTCGGTATGATTCACCAGCTATTGACTATAAATTTCGGTCGGAAACCGTGGTCTCTAGACTTTGCTTTGACTGCATAATGTATCTTCACACAGACTAAACGTACGCAAACTCGCATTATCTGGCTCTAGATCTCATGATGTGGCTGGGACAAGAACTTCCAGGTGTTCTATTTGCATTCTACAAAGTGATTCTCATTTACTCTCGCTTGCCCTAGATCAAGCCTCACGCATGCGCGAAGCCCGTCAAGTATTTTGCACCCCATCCTCTCAGAGCCAACTTCATTCAATCAAAGTCACGCTCCTCATCCTGCACCATCTTCCGCCGCAATCACATAGCCATGAATACCCCCTCGCAGCCGCTCCAGACCAATTTTTGTTCGTGACATATCGTTTCCCGCCACCCCATCCAACTCGATTGAATTTATCAATATTTTCCTAAACAGGAGGACTAAAATGGTCCACCACGCCACACACGAGCGTCGTTTTCTACCGAAGCACTTCCATACTGTTCCACGGTAAATACGGACCGGTTCACCGATACATGGCTTTGCACGGCCCCCAAACGTTGTAGACGAATGTCCACACTAAGCGAGCGGTGCAAAGCGCGACGCTTAACGGCTCCTGGAATATGGTATGGGACGCCTTAGACAGACACCATAGTTGGTTTTGGGTTAGTGGTGACGAGAGATGTCTTGTATGTGCCGATGTCTGGTGGAAGGTCATTCGGACGTTTCTCTTCGCAGGCTTGCTGCGCTGCGCACTTTTTTTTTATCTTTTCTTGCATCCTCTCGCCTATACGAATTCTCAATTCGTTTTTTGCGCGTAACGTTTTTGTCTTCTGAGGTGATTTATATTGTCGAAATTTGTTCCCATCGTTGGTATACAGTACATGTTCGTGGCGGAAACCCTTCCTCTTATCATCCTTTTGATTGATGGCGAAATCAAAGACATGTCAAAGTCTGAGCTTTGATGCGGATCAATGGAAAAGGAAACAACAACGCAATCATTTCTCCCTCTGGATTCGAAGCTGCGATTTTCACTGACGTGTACGCGAACCATAGTTTTGTCCAAATCAGACACCTGAGGCAACAGACCATAGGCACATAAGAGAAGGTTGAACCCTATGTTTGCGAAGGACTCCAGTACGAAGCCATGACGCTTTTGTAATTCGCGTTCTTACCTTTCCAATCACCTCTTTCGGCTCAAACCCACAGATTATGTGATAATTATAATATGACTTTCTCGCAGTCTACATCAACCTCTTTGATCTGCCAAAGTTTTTGCAGCATTCCATCAAAAACAGACCTCGCTTCAGTGAGCGCGTATTGCCATCCAATACATATACGTGGTCCGCTATTGAATGGCGCATAAAACTAAATGGGTCGGCACTTCTCTAATGGTTCTGACACAAATAAATCTACCTCTGCACCCTAGAGACGATGACGGCAGCACAGCACATATAAGTGCTAAAGTTGGCCTTATTAAGAAAATCGCTTTTTCTGCCCTTTCTTTTTTTCCTGTTAAATCCGCCTCTGCAATGGCCTTGTGCACAACCTTGTCTAAGATCCCATTATTGTCCTTTAACTCGTTACTATCGTAAACCTGATACAAATCATGTAGTGACAGTCGCACAGCAAGAATTCGTGGCGCCCTCTCAAACGCGCATACTTAGAAGTAGACTCGCTCGTGCGCAGATTACTGGCTCTAGCAGGGATACAACTGGATTTAAATTTTAAGGAGGTTCGCTCGTGAAAGACTAAGCCTTCTTTTAAGGGACTGGATTCTTTCGTTGAGATGAATGAACATGTACGCCCACATAAGATCCGCTTATGTACACACCCAACTGCGTATTAGGTAGATATTATGAACTTTCGTTCCCCCAATTCCTATTCCCCCAAAATCCTTGAATATGTGTATCGTATACGACGTACCTTTCCCAGTTATACCTCTAAGTGATCCCAATCCTATTAAAGCGAAGTTATCAACCCGAAGAAAAGAAGAAAATCATCATGACCAAACCATCTTCTTAAGCGAATACCCCAACTGCTCCATATAACCAGTGCTCTTCTTCGCATCTGCTGCACTAACTACAGCTTTCTCTTCCACATTCAATCCTCTCTGCTCTTGCTGTTCACCAATTCTTTGGCTGCTCAGCTTGTTCGCCTCCCGCACAATCTCTTCGCAAATACTTTTCACGACCTCGACTTCGTTCTCCGGGGGCACATCCGGTAGCGAGTCTGCAGAGGCAGACATGGATGTAGGCGAGGAAGGCGTAGGTACGACTGTACTACTAGGTGGAAGAGCTTTGAACGCCAGGAAACGACCACCGGCTTCTTGTGTCGAGTTGTCGTTTGAGGCGGAACCGGATTTATGGTCAGATGGCGCGCCTGCGTTTCCCGAGTCGAGCGAACGGGTATTACGGCGGACAAGGTCGGTTCCAGAGGGATCCGTGATGTTGTACCGTAGTACGAAACCGACGTTTTTTTCCTCGTCCATATGACGTTGAGCGAGGGTACTGGTGATGTAGACGCCACGAAAGATGCCGTAGACGTCTTCGAGGGGGATGCGCTCAAATTCGCGGACTTTCTCGGTGCCCCAGTCCAGACGGCAGAAGTAGAGTGCTTTTGCGGTTAGGAGAAGGACAGCTTCTTCAAACGTGGATGTCTTCAGAACGTTGGCATGGGTGGGGACACTTAGGGTCCAGCCATGAATGAGATCCTCTTCTTTGTCTTCGATAACGATACCGGCACTGCGCTCGATGGCGGCTTGTCGCACTTTGCGCAAATCGATGAAGTAGTCTGAGCTCTTCATATCGGCCTCGAACTCTGCAAAGATGGTGTCTGTAGCGCGACCAAGGAGGTAATCGATCAGGGCCTGGGCAAAGTAATCGTTTACAATGTTATTGTAGTACCTCGTGAGCGTGAGTCCAAAATCGGTAAGGGCACCAGTGATTTGTCGCTTTCGGGTGCGTGTAAAGTCGCCCTTGAGCGCTGCCGTGCCCGCATACTGTCTTGAGATGTTATCGCCGTTGTCCGCCCAGAGTGTGTTGAACCACGAAGTGCTTGGATCATTTTGCAGATCAATGCTGAAGCTGCCGGCTGAGAGTTGCGCTTCGAGTGCGGTTCTCGCGCAAGCGGATTGAACAACATTGGTGCGGTCAAGGCAGTCCATGCAATTTGTCCGCAGGATACCTGACTGCTTGTGCAACACCCGGTCGTTGGAGATCTCGGTCCATCCGGTTGTTTTGAAAAACGGCCCCAGTGTATCCATCAGTTTGGACACATTCTCAAAGCGCATGCCGCGGCATACATTGTGGAAGTCGAACCACTCAAAATCTAAGTCTTTTCCTTTTCCGTCCATTCCTCCGTTCTCATTCAAGATCTTCGAATGTCGCTCATATAGTTCGCCGATTTTAGCTTCCGTGCCGTGTTTGTCTACTAATGAGGCACTGTATACAGCGCCATATCGGGAGGAGATGTCGGCAAAATGCCGTTTGAATGCTTTTGCATTCGTTTCGGTGGAGCCCCAAGTCGCTACCTGCGGCTTCAAGCTATATGGTGATTGCGAAAAGAATAAAGGTATGGACCCGCGCAGCTGAGTAAATGAGAAGATGGTGTCTTGCGTTGTGTTCCATGTGGGCGACGAAAGAATTTGCTCGGTCTCAACAGTATTCGCGGTATGTCCCTCATCGTCCACACCACGGCGCAGATAGCGTAAGCCGGCTCTGTTGGTTGATCGTCTGGAGATCAACGTGATCAGGAAGTCCTTTCCGTTTGAGGGTTCGGGAGGAGGTGTCTCTGTGTTGGTGTCTGAATCCGACTCGGCGCCGTTCAGTCCCTGCTGTTTGATATTTTGCATTTCCATATCATCCGTTGTAGAGTCAGGGTCGATGACTACACTGTTGTTATTGGTGTTTACGACTTTGATGCTGAATGCTCGCTGCCCAACAAAGCCCTGTATGATGGGAAGTACGAAGTTGTGCTGGCCTGCGCTGCTGAAAGGGGATGCAATGTGCTGATTGAAGAAATACTGCCACACGTCAATATAGTGTTGCGATGGCAATTGAACCTGCTAAAACTCACCAGAGAATCGAATTGCTTCGACAGAGGCAAACTAGAGCTGGGTTGCTGCTGGTCTACCCCGCGTGACAAGTCGTAATCATACGAAAAGAAAAAGTTTCCCGAAGAAAAGTACATTTTCGTAGTACGTAAGATCTTGGGGAGAAGCGCATTGGTGGTGCTGTCTTTTTGTCCATCCAACGCTTTGGGTATATCCGTAGGGCTGACGGGTTCCGGAACCGTTTTATCAACCACTGGTATCGCATCTGGCAAGGACGAGTTTTTGGGATTCTCGTCCTCCTCCTTCGGCATGGTGGACTCGACATTCTTAGGGACAGACTTGTGCAGGTCTTCTTCGACGCTCAAGCCCTGTGTCCGCCGACTATCCGTCTTCCATCCTTTCCTCGAAAACCATTTGTCAGCAAAACGGCCATACAAGCCCTTATGTTGCATAACATCCTCGGCCACACTAGTACTTCTGCCATGAAGAGGCCCTTGTTGTCCTGTGACGGGGTCCTTTACTTGTGTAGGCGTAGCTGTCGGCTCCTCGACCAACGAGTCCGTCACGCTTGGCGCATCATCGTCGCTTTCACTATCGTAATCTTCATCTCCAAGTCCCTCTGCTTCCCTTCGTCGTTGAACGTGTTCGCGTGCGGATACGATGGCTTTGTCGGCGTCGGTGCGAGAGGCGAGCGGGATCAGGGCGACATCGGTGATCTTATACACGGGCTTGCCGCGAATCTGCGCGACCTGTTCGCGACCACAGATGGATATCAGGAAAGATGATGTTGCGATTGTGAGAAGGCCTAGAATATCGCGTCAGTTGTCGCCGTGTTCACCAAGTAAAATTACTTCTTCTTATACATACCGACGATGCCATGCGTCTCCAGCGACACAGGTGTAGTATCCTCCTCGCGTCTATCCTTCAACAGTGGTCCCACATTGCCTTTGTAGTCAACCTTTATAGCTTGCTGCGTAGCTGGGGGGTGATTTCGCGGCGGCGCAGGCTGGAGGACAAGCCCGTCAACAGCGGCGAATACGAGGATCTTTCGGACCAGACCGGGCATTTCGTGTTAGATCCAAGGGCACATTTATGACTGTGTGTTCCCTCCGCGACGACAGCCCGAAGCCCAAAAATCAATTGTCGTGATGTGATGTCCTGCGGGTTTGTTGTGGAGGGGCAGCGTGCCATGTCCGAATGACGTACATGGATTTTCTTTTTGCGCTAGGCTTGATTGGGACAGTTATAAACATGGGCTCATCTATTGGGTGATATGGAGCTCAACTTTGGTAGAGAATTGAAAATTGAAAATGAAGAACTCAACTTTTGAGTAATGCTACGCTGAATGAACAAGAGAAATCATGGCGAGAAGCAAAATCCCCTTCAGACCTATCACGAGCCTTCTGCTTGAACTGCCATCACTATCATAACGCCTATCAAAAGGAGAAACCCCCCTACAAGCGCTCCAACAACAAGTGCTATCAGCACTTGAACATATACTCCATTCCTCTCTTCCACCTCTCCTTCCCAAGGCGCCGACTCAACATCGATGTCTAACACGTACGGGCAAAGTGGTTCCTCGAGTCTAGTATCCAGCCTGAACCACGAATTAGCAAGTCATCATAAGTAATCAACGATCACGACAGCAGTTCAACGGAAGCAAAAGGGTGTGTTAGTGAAGAGATCGGGATATCATACATTCTCCGAGCCCATACTATATCGTGGACTTCCGCACGCGTGTGGATCACGGCATCACTGTCATCAGAGCTACTATCGTAGGTGGTGTTGGTAGCTTGATATGTCGTAGTGTTGTAGGAAAAACCCGGTGATTCATCTAGGAGCGGCATTTCCACGAGTTCTTGGTCACCCATTGCGTCCTCCGTGGGCATGTTGAATGGTTTGCGTGTTGCTTTGTCGAGCATGTATCGGTAGAGGAAGTTCATTATTGGGATTTTGGTTTGTGGTGTCGCGAGGGATGAAGAGAGGCTGTAATGAGGAAGTTTGGGTAATGAGCAGAGGAGCTTGGGGTGTGGTCGAGCTTTATGGAAGTGAAGTTCGAGTGATGGGTAGAATGTCGTGGGCGAGGACACTGTCTTATAGTATTGGGGGTCAGCAAATTCCCATCGTTCCATACATTGAGCGCAGTACCTTCCTCGTGTGTAGGGCGCTGGTTGAGGCTTCCTGTCCATTGAGACTGACCGCATTATGGGAAAGAACGCGCGGGAAAAACTGTCATCCTAATTCCCTCCACTTCATTCGCGACATGGAAGCTTGGAGACAAGCTGATCAGTGTACCTTGTGGTAATCTAAGTAATTCTATGGCTTCTACCATTCCAGCTATACCAACTGAAAATTCCATTAAGTTGTCCAGCCAATCGTATTTAACCCTGTGGAAAAGGCTACCATTTTTTGTTGTTGTTCCGGTTGAACCATGGATTGGGATTGACAGCGGACTAGGCATTGTAATCAACAGTCAAATACGCATTAGAAATATCAATAAACTACTAAATTGTTCATCGTCTACAACTTTTCATCCCAGTCTGATAGTAAAAAAACGTGAATAGGCAGGCCATCTGAGTGCATAGGCTGCTTTATGAAAAGCGATAATTGGTTTGACAGTTTTTGTGCATGGACTACGGTTTTGAGGTTTTGACCAAATTGAAGGGCCAGAAGAGCATAGAAGTCAAATTTGAAATGTAGCTTGCTGCATCAAGTGATTTGCTACACTGGAACATACTTACAACTTGATATATGAGAACGTGCGATCCTTGACTGCTCGCATTTCCTAAATGAAAATTTTCCAACTTAGGAGATGACACTGGCAGACCTTAATTTCAAGGCGAGGGCCAGCTAGTGTCAATTATTTGGGGGCCGGTATGCCGTTACCCGCCCGTATCATGCACGCCCACTGTATTTGGCTAAGCTTTTTGCAACATTTATACTGTATTAGGATAAGGATCTGAGACACGGACCTGCGATTAAAGGCAATAAGGCAAGCAATGCAGAAGATACGTCACTGACATTATGTGTATTATAAACATTCGTCTCCCTCCAGGGGCGCGTCGGCTAGTTTATGATCTATCGCTCTCATGGCGTCCTCAGCTCCAGGTGTCGAAACGGACGTATTTGCTAACCTCACCCCACTTGCAACAACACCAAGCATATCCGGATGTACTCTACGCCATGATTATAGATTCGACGCATCTGCATGCTGGAGCTTGCCTCCACCGGTCCTCTATTCCCCCGACAAAACCAACATTTCCGTCGGGAATCAAATGGTTGAGTTGACACTAGCCGCCGACCGATGCGAAACTTCAGCAGTAAGAGGCAGATTGAGAACCCTGACGGACGATGGAAAAAGCACTACCGCTTGCATTCAGCGCTTTGGTGTCAACTACCATCAATTCAATCGCTGGTCGACGATTGCTTCGACCAATACATGGAATAATCTTGGTACTACTCACATGGACGAAAGTTATTACGAGACAATAGTAGTGCCCGAGAGTATGAAAAAATGCCTGCCTGGTCCCGAATCATGTCTTCTTCGGTATCAAGGAACGCAGTGTCCTGATGGCCATACCGCTTTAAGTACGGCCGCGGTGGCGGGTGCCAGTTCGTTGTTCTGCTGTCCGCAGTATGTACGACCTCTCACATGAATATGCCAAACTAGACGACTGATTTCGATGGCGGATTAAAATAGAGCTGATAACTTACACAAAACCCTCGTCGTACGTGAGGTTCGGGGTACTGTGTTCAAAAGCGGATCCATTTATCCATATTTCACGGACGGGCCTGCCGCGGTATGCTGTGAGTATCATTCCCCTAAATGCACCCCGCTCTTCATAACCGTACTAATTGCGTGTCTATAGCTTACTCTGGTGGCGATATCACGAATAACGTCTTTCCGACTACATCTTACAGGCCTCAATTTACGTCAACAATGAATGTCTTGGAAATGAACCCAGTTATTGTTAAGATGTCGACCACGAACACGCCTCCAGACGGACAGCTCAACACGGCATCCAAAATAGGTATTGCCGTTGGAGTCTCGCTCGGCGGCTTGATCATACTGATCTCTGCTGTCTTCCTTGTGCTGCGGAGGAGACGGAAGAATAGGGGAATGGAAAATATAGAGTCTAGTGAGAAACCAGAGCTAGATGCTGAGCCCGTAAAGATGGAGAAATACGCAGCAGAAGTCGAACCTGGCGAGGTGTATGAAATGCCTGCTGCGGAAAAACCGGTTGAGGCCGATGAGTCGGGTCAGGTGGTGGAAGTCGAGGCGCAGCATGGTGTTACTGAGCTTATGAATAATGAGATACCCGCCCGGTAAATAGTGTACAATCTGTATGCGAACGTTACGGCAACATCGAAGACGAGTACTTGAAATACTCACGGATAGAGAGTATCTGAGTATATAGTAATATCTAAATGTTCTGATGAACGTGGACTGCTGTGACTGATTTATAGGGCTAAAGGAATATCAAAGATGCTGGGGTGGAGGGACAGTGTGATGGCGCGCATCCGCGACTTACGGGGACAGCATATGAGCTAGAATGGGTGTATATTCTACATCCCGTCCAGCAAATTATACGCCCACTTGATATGTACATTTTTGTTCCTTTGGTCATCGCTCGTTTTTTGGTCTTTTTATCGTTGTAACCCATCGCTGTGTGTAGGATCACCTAAACTCCAACTCAAAATAAATATAGATATGTACATTGTTCTGAATAACTTCGTCGATTAATTCTGAGGACTAGCAGGCAATGCTTTTTGGCTTCCGATTGCTAGTTTCGCGAATGAAATTGGAAAAACAATTTCCAACATCAAGTCTATTATATTATATCAACATCTCTTAACCTGTCGCTACGTGATGTTCACCTATTCTCCTGATGACACCGGAGGAATCATATCTGGTTATGCCTATTCCCTGTGCTTGCTTATGATGAATTAGTTCCGCTCCGTACCTTGGGACTACCTTTGATTGACAATCGGTGTCGTGCTCTGGTCTCGGTTTTCCGAAGTATTGTTCTGCATTTTTGGACCAGAACCAAGTTAAGGAATGGGGAAATATAGGAGAATCCGTGGGGAAGAAGCTGGAGATATTGAGTGGAGTAATACTGGCGTGACACGGGGTTGATATGTCGGTGGGTTAGGTGGGTCAGCAGTGAGCTAGAGATGTACCTTGGAGTGCGGAATTGTGGGTAGCCTTCACCTAGACGGCAGATAGTCATTCGAGACCCTCGCTGTCACGAGTATTGAGCAGTCTCTTGCGACGCAATTACGAATACAATTCGAGGGAAAGTAAGAGTCATGGCAGGACAATAGTAGACACATATACGCAGGCGGTAGCTGTAGTTGCAGAGTTGCTTGCCTCTGGTTTTCGTCATTCAAATCGTAAATAATTTGATCCGGCGCTCCTACAGAGAACACAATGTCTTAAGATATAACTTACTAATGCTTCGTAATGTCGCGTCTTCTTGTATGACTCGCGCTATCTGAATCCATCGCGTTTTCGGCTTCCAGGAATTGGCTAGCAGTGCAAATTTGCGCGGAGCACGAAGCGAGAGTCGGAATTTAATTGGGACATGCGGAGTGGCACTTTCAAGTAGCTGTAGCAAAAAGAATAAACTTTAATTCAGCGTATAGGACACAGGCAAACCGCAGTCAGCCTGTCCACATGTACATCCGAGACCTCGGACTTCGAGAGACTGGTCTGCACACGCAACTCGAGAAGGAAAGGATGTCGCATGCAATCAAGCTCATCTGCCGCGCAAAATTGCGGGAGGGGCGTTGAGCCTCATGGGATCCACGGCAAGGGAAGGGTTACATCCATCCCGTTTCCTCGGCATTTCACTAAGAACACAGGGGGTATAATTCTGTGGACATGGGATTTGTCCATGTTTCGACGTCAGCGGCGTTGGATATGATCACGAGCTGACTCGCGCGTTTTATATGATTCGACGCTGCCGCCGGCCTTTTCGGGGATTTGCGTTTCTTTTTACTTTCTGGGTGGAGAGAGTGACGTCAGATGCCGAAGGATTGTGTTTCTCAATGGAAGACAGCTGGGATGCTCAAGAAATCCCAGCAAAGAATGGACAGCTTCTGGGAGACAGATATTCATCGGGGCTTCACGACCTGTAGAAAGGCTGTGAAAAGCCACGACAAGAATTTTGGCATAATAGCAGCCGCAAGAAAACCTTGATGTGTCATTCATTTCCTGATCAGTTGGACATTTGTGCAGTGCACGCGCCGTTACTGGGACCGTTGCTTCGACCTCAACAACTACCCGCTTTTCCAGATCCACCTGCGTTATAGCCACCAGTAACACAACGAGAAGGCCTCTCCGACGTCCAACAATCATTCCCAGTTTCGCGGGCTCGATACTCAAAGCAGTATGCGGCCAGCGTTGACAACCTCTTCCGCTCCGTCCCTACCCCGTGCTCTGGTGACATTGGTCGGAAGCTTGTGTGCTTATGTGCAGTAGTGCGCTTTGGCACTCGTGCTTGTTTGTTGCGGGGCGCCGCATTAACTTGTCTCTCTGGTTTGAGGGGAATGGGGCAGCGGGGATTGGACCATGGGGTCTCCAAAAACCAAAGTTTGGGTGTGTGCTTGGATGTTGGTCGGGCTGACTGCTGGACGCATATAAGACCGCCTCCGGTTCCCTTATTCTCGGGATTCTGCTCTCCAAGATTCGCTCGCTCTCGAATCGGGTTCCTTCCACTTATTGAACGAAGGTTTGTGAACCAAGATGTATCAGATCGGCAATATCTACGGTATAACGGCCATTGCCGTCATCGGTGGTGGTCTGTTTGGGTTTGATATTAGCTCCATGAGCGCCATGTATGTCGTCGTCGACCAGTTCAAGTTCTGTTTCGTGCAAAGTCCGCTAATATTATATGCAGCCTTCCCACTGACCAATATCGATGCTACTTCAACCAAGGCCCTCACGGTCCTGGCTTCGACGATGAGGTCAAATGCTCCGGCCCAACAGCCAATGTGCAGGGAGGAATTACTGCTGCTATGCCTGGAGGATCTTTCATTGGTGCGCTCTTGTCTGGTTACCTAACTGACATGTTTGGTCGTAAGACAACTATTCAAATCGGCTCCGTCATCTGGTGTATCGGATCCATCATCTCCTGCGCATCGCAAAACATTGCCATGCTCATCGTCGGTCGCTTCATCAACGGTATCTCTGTCGGTATCTGCTCTGCTCAGGTCCCCGTCTATGTCTCAGAGCTCGCACCTCCCTCCAAGCGTGGCCGTGTCGTCGGAGCGCAACAATGGGCCATCACCTGGGGAATCTTGATCATGTTCTACATCTCGTACGGATGCACCTTCCTTGAGGGACCTACTGCCTGGCGTGTACCCTGGGGACTTCAGATGATCCCGGCTGTTCTTCTATTTTTCGGTCTCTTCTTGCTTCCCGAATCACCACGTTGGTTGGCTCGCAAGGATAGATGGGAGGAGTGCAATGCTGTCATCACTCTGGTCCATGGAAAGGGCGATCCCAACGCACCTTTCGTTCATCTCGAGATGGAGGAGATCAAGCAGGCTATCGAGTTTGAGAGACAAAACGCCGATGTGTCAGTGACTGAGTTGTTCAAGCCTAAGATGCTCAACCGTCTTCACATTGGTATATTTACTCAGATTTGGTCGCAGCTTACTGGGTACGTCTTCTCCAATCCCACCATTATCGCACTACTGTTTCTACATATCTACACGCACCATACTGACTCTTTAAACTCAGAATGAACGTGATGATGTATTATATTTCATATATCTTTGGAATGGCTGGACTAAGCGGCAACATCAACCTGATCTCATCCTCCATTCAATACATCATCAACGTATTCATGACAGTTTTCGCCCTCATTTACATCGATCGCTGGGGCCGCCGCGCACCCCTCGTTATCGGCGCTCTTCTCATGGCTACCTGGATGTTCGCCAACGCCGGATTGATGGCTACCTATGGACGACCAGCCCCTCCAGGCGGTCTCGACAACATCGCCGAGCAATCATGGCAGATCACAGGACCAGCATCCAAAGCTGTTATCGCTTGCACCTATCTCTTTGTTGCTAGTTACGCACCTACCTGGGGTCCTGTCTCTTGGATCTACCCGCCTGAGCTGTTCCCTCTCCGCGTTCGTGGAAAGGCTGTTGCGCTTACTACCTCAAGCAACTGGATCTTCAAGTAAGAAATCACCGATACCCCCTCTCTTACCTAAACAATACTGACGCTGTGTAACAGCTTTGCGCTATCCTACTTCGTCCCACCTGCCTTCGTCAACATCCAGTGGCGAGTTTACATCATCTTCGGGTGCTTCTGCACTGCCATGGCCATCCACACTTTCTTCGTCTTCCCTGAGACCGCCGGAAAGACGCTCGAAGAGGTCGAGGAGATGTTCATGCGCGGTGTGCCGGCATGGAAGACTCGTGTTGAGTACAACAGCGTGAAGAAAGCGGAGCGCGGACAACTCGATGACAAAGAGAAGGCTATTGGTCTGCAGCATGAGCAGAGCCCCGAGAGATTGGAGAATGCGGCTGGAGATGTAAAAGCATGAATGAGTGGTTAGCATGAGACTTATTGATCGTTTGGGGTTTCGTAAATAGGGGAGAAGTATGTGCGGTGCTTTATCTAGCTGTTGATGCCATATATTACTTTCAGCTTACACTTTCATTGTATATACTGGTCATCTTGGACTCAATTCAAGAATAGTAACAGACTTTACACGCATTTATTCATGTGACAAACCAGTAAAAACTTTAGTCTGATGATCATCTATGTTCAAAAACTATTGTTATAAATTGCGTGGGTCTACATGAGTGGCGTAGCTGGTTACGGAGTGGAGGAAGCCGGTGTACAAAGAAGAAGCGCTGGGTGAGATGGGAAAAAGCAGTGTAGCTGTACAAAGGTCTTGGACTAAGTATATTGGTCGATTGACTTTCTGGTATCTGCTACAGAACTCTTTGATTTACTTCCACAGAAACTTAACCTGGACATGAACTGGCCTTTTTTATACAAGATCACATAGATATCATGGAAAAGTTATCTTATCTATACTTGTAGCTCCTCTATATACAAGTAGGCAATCATGGAAGCGCTTCAACAACAGGTATGTTTTGATCAATGGTACGCACGATTGGTCATGAGACATATATTAATTAGACATCTCAACACGTTAGAGCGCTTCTCCACTCCAAACCATAGTTGGTCGTCAATCAGCCCCTTCTCATCTACCTCATACATTGGGGATCCTGCGTGAAATTGGACGGATAATTAGGCCAAGCCCGCTGCCACTTCTCGTGAGCATTCTTTCTTGCCGAGTCTTCTCGTTTTAGCTCCATTGTTCTGTACTACTGATATAATAAACCCTTTAACTCTGCCTCGAATCGTTTAGTTCCTTGTACAGCGACCAATTCTCGCAAAATCGCAGTATCCTCACATTTCCCAATTCGGGTGCTGACCCACCCCACCATGATCACAGCCCCGATGATCCTATATTCCACGCACACTTTGTTCACGTCAATCCTCTCCACCTCGCACTTTCTTGATTCCTCTCTAAATCTTTTGCATAAGTTCATCCCAAACAGCTTGAATCTGACTTTGAGGGACTGATCATAGCGGGGCAACACGGTTTCAGCTCTAGGCATCCACCATCGTACTTCAGCCTTGTCTCGGCGGATCAGAAACATAAAGCAGCTTGTTGTTGATTGAGGCCATCGCGATCACTAAGACCCGTCACAGTTCACTCACCACGAAACACGGTGATTCGCCTACAGACTCCAGGACATCAAATGCAACATGCGACTTCTCGACGTGCATACTAAGAAGCTACACACGTTCTACAACGACATTCCGCCGTACGCTATATTATCGCATACATGGCTTTTGGATAGCGAGGAAGTCACTTTCGCCCAAATACAACATCCAGAGCGATGCGCGCGCACCAAAGGCTTCGAAAAGATTGAATTTCTGTGCCGTCAAGCTGCAGAGGATGAACTGCAGTACGCTTGGATTGATACGTGCTGCATCGACAAGACTAGCAGTGCCGAGCTATCAGAGGCTATTAATTCCATGTTTGACTGGTATAAGCAAAGCTATGTCTGCTATGCATTGCTTACAGATATCGATAGCAAAGTGGACAGTTTCCATAATAGCAGGTGGTGGTCAAGAGCATGGACATTGCAAGAGCTGTTGGCTCCGTTGACGCTTATATTTTACGATAAAAATCACGAACAAATCGGAACGAAGGCTTCGAGGGCGTCCGAGATAGCGAAAGCTACTGGGATTGATGAAGAGCTTCTCAAGCTGCCTTTGTATCTGGATATTGGCAGCTTCAGTGTTGCGCAGCGCTTATCTTGGGCCGCGAAACGCGTGGCGACTCGCACAGAAGACATCGCCTATTCGCTTCTTGGCGTGCTCCAAGTCAACATGCCTCTGTTGTATGGTGAAGGGGAGAGGGCGTTCGCGCGATTGCAACGTGAGATTCTGCAAAAAGAGCTGGATCAGAGTCTATTTGCATGGTCATTCGAACGGCATCCCGGACGCAATATTCCAGACAAATACGGAGAACGGTTTAGAGATGGCAACGAAGGTGGCTTATTAGCTTCGCATCCGGCGCAATTTGCAAACTGTGGGGGGATCAGCATGTTGCAACCTTACAGCTTGAGCTCCGAGATCCGCGAGTTTGCTGGCGGTCATCAGTTGGAGATGTACATTTTCCCATGCAAGGTGAACTCTCATCTCGGGCCCTACTATGTCGGTCTGCTTCCGTGTACACATGTTGGGTTCCAGGATAGGTTCGTTGGCATCCTTTTACGACAGCTGGGAGATAGCGCACCGATATCTACAAGCGACAGGACGTCGCCCGTACAAGCTAGCTTCACGCGAGTAACTGTATTGTCATTTCTGGTACACAAAAGCGAAGCTCATGATGCTATACGTATTCCCATTCATATCAGACGCGAATCCCACCAAGGTGCATTCAGTCCCACAATTAGAATGAGCGGCGGAGGGGATCAACTGGAAACGCGTACCATCACGATCGTCAACGGCACATCCTACACATTCGGGGGATACTCTTCAAAAACTTGGAAACACGTCACAAATCAACACTCCCATCAGTATATTGAGTCATGCGCATCTCCTGGCTCACACAGCTCTGTAATACTGGGCTTCCTGAGTGAAGAATTTCCGAGAACTTTGCTGATAGTGATACTCGACCTGGACTGTGACTCTGATGTCTCCTGCGATTTCATATTCGTGAAGTTCTTCCAAGATAGTGACAAACCAGTCAAAAGATTACTAGATAATGTGCGAGATGGCGATCGATCATTGGATATCCATCGATTTGAGGAAGGCGATGTGGAAGTGAAGGTGAAGACTCAAACAATTTTTGGGGAAGTACTTCGCGCTCTGCATCTGGAGCGAAAGATTGTCAAGCTTTCTGCTTATGAATCTTGGGGCATGGCTCTGGAGCTGGCGGAAGAAGATGAGTTTGATTAAACTTGCTGCGGTTAAGAGTTTGAATACCGGGTAGCGACTTCCAATAATAGTGTGATTTGATGTAATGAGCTATCGATCCCAAGATTATATCATTCAAGTATCGTTGAACCCTAGATTTGTCTCTTTTAGGGATAGAAGATCCTGTGTTATCGTCTAGTGACCTGCCTTACTTATACGACTCTCTGGCTCAGGAAATGAAAGTTAGGTATCTTAGGGACTCAAACTCAGCACAAGTATAGGACACAGCATCTCAATAGTATTTCTATGCTATACCTGCCTACGATTTGAATTGATCACCTGTTGTTCATTGCTAGTCGGCAATCTCTCCGCCACATCCATTAGGTCTAGCAACTAGATTACACCTCGTAACTCTTCCACCATCAACCTCGACCACATAATCCCAACCCCACCGAGCTGCCATACCCCAAGCTGGATAATCAGTGCTAACAATCTGCGCTCCGCTCTCCCACGCATTTTCCCTCATCGTCCCATCTCTCGCCAACACAGTCTCGAGCGGTACATTCGCTCTTGTTCTGATCAAATAACCTTTCTTGACCAGCCTCTGGACTTCCGCCAGGTTCTCTGCACCGCGCGGCTCATTGCGTTTCAGCACAGCAGCGTCAGGCTCGCCCTCGACGGCGTTGGTGAATACAGTGCGGTTCTGCAGCGACTCGTGGCCAGAGGATGTATACAGACTTCTGATATCAGACGGATTCGACGGATTCGGATCGTTGTCGAAGAAAAACATGAATTTTCCACGAGATGAGAACAGGCTGGGCCACCCTAACTCCAAAACACTTTGCTCGAGTGTGAGATTGCCTTTGCGCACGTCGTCGGGGGTGAGAAGTTTCTCCCTGGGAATCACGGATTGGATCTCGTCCTCCACACTGAGAATACGGGGTAGTGTCCAGTTCAGGGATCCATCTGTAGGGCAAATACCGCCGATTGAACAGGCGGGAGCGTCAGATTTGAGCTCCAGGTCGATAATGATGGGAATGTGCGAAGGGTGAGCATCAGACCAGACTTTAAGCTCCGTTAGACACTGTACGAAAGTGTGGCACACAGAATCCGGATCGAGGTCTGTCACGTGGAAGACTTTTAGGCCTGAAGGATCAAGAACAGCCCCGTCGAAAGGTGTTGTAGCATTGGTTAGATTGGCGAGTTTCCAGAGCAGCGGCGGATTGTAAAGCCCGCCTTCGTCGTCGGGATGCAAATCGAGCTCCAGTGAGCGCACACCCTGGTATGAGAGCTGATTGGCGAGATTGGAGTGCGAGTAATAATAGTTTTCGGGCTTGGGCATGTATTTTTCGAAAGCTGTACGCTCAGCGAGGGATATCTCGCGATGGTAGGAGTTATGGGTCCCTACCACCTGAATATGGTTGAGACGCAGTGAAGCATTGAGGTCCGCATCTTCGCCCACTGCAGTATCTGTGTATGCGCGATTAGCCTGCGTCCGGGTAATTGGAAGAGGGAATGCTAACAAGCAAAGAGCAAGTAGCTCGCGGTCAACTACATATTCAACCATTCAACAGCATTAGCCCCCTTGTTCGTTCGCCCAACAGACACTACCACGCTGTCTGCGACAACACTCACCGATAATTTTCCAAACATGACGTCCTCAGTGGTACTCCAGGAGCACTTTTTATAGATCCCAAAACTCAATGCGCACAGAACGACGATAAGGATGGTGGAGCAGACTTTATGTATTGTTTTCATAGCGGTGCTTGGAAAACAAGACCATCGTGCGCTGCGGGATGAAATTCAAAGATTGTTATGCCAATGTAATCACGTTTGCGAAGTTTCGTCGATGATTGGTTGTATGCCTGATGCCGATAGAACTACTTTCGGGCTATGGCATAGATGCGGGAAAGTGTCGGTGTTATGTTGCTTAGGTAGTGTTAATAGCAGTGTCTATGATGAAATCCTGCCGAAAAGCCCAAAGCCGGTGAGCTGTGCTCTGTAAAGTAATGTTAAACAGGTAATGCGAAGGGTAAAGCCTGCCATGTGTAACCCAGAACATCATGGCTACCTAGGTAGGTACATACATGTATCTAAGTGTGGCTGAAGCGACATGCAAGGATCCCGGCTCTAGACCTGGATTTGGAGTGGGGAGTAGAAGGACAAGTTCCTCGTGTTTCAAATCATATTCAATTAAATTTTATATTCGCATATGGTATTTCAACATATCCATAAATCGCACTTGGGAAGCCAAAATCCAGCGCAGATGGGTGTTGGTGCAGAAGGGATGGAGAAAGAGATACGCATCAGGGCTGGTTATTATGCATTTGTCGCTTCGGAGATCAAGACCATCATCACAGACACACAAACCCTTCCTTCATGCATTCTTCAACGCAAAGTACCACGCACCACTACCTGCTCTTCGCAGATCTAGAGCCGGTTGACGTTGTCCACTGGGACATCTCGGCTATCGGAACTCCCACTATTGCTCCTCATGGTCCCGTCCACAACATCTTTGTCTTCAGGGTTGTGGTTCTTTTCCCCCGTAAGGTCAGAAGGTGAGGCAGCTTCCATAGAAGAGGCTATTTCTCCTTCGGTGGTATCACGCAACAAGCCTGGTGCAAGGGGCTGTTTCCAGTCGTCACGTCGCTCCGGAACGATGAATGGGTCCAACCAACTGGGCATGACAAATCCGACAATAATCCACACGAGTAGGAAATGGCCGATAACGAAGCCCATAACGTGAAGAGGGTCGTTTTTGAGGCCTTCGAAGGCTGGGTAAGCGAGACTGAGAATGACGGCGAGAATTGGACCGGAAAAATAGCGCAGAAGAGGCGCCCAGATGGCTGGTAGTGACCAGTTTTTGCCACCTCCAATAACGGAGTTGAGATCATGACGAAGTTGGTTGCCCTATAGGTTCATCAGCATAAGATTCAAGGAGATTGCATCGGTGATTCTACATGGAAAACTTACCGAATAGAACGCGAGGTAATACAGACTCGCGGTGTGTTTGGTTTTCCCAAAGAATCTGGCAGTAACCTTAGCAGTAGGAGTTTTGGCCATGAAGACAGCTACGACTAAGGCGACTACGAAGCCTCCAAAGCCTACACCCGCACCAGCCGGTGGACTGACTGTGTGTCCGACGATAAGACTTAGAAGCTGAGCGCCGAAGAATCCGGAGTTAAAGACGATGAAGGCAGGTAGGCCAACCTGGTCCACAACGTCCTCGAACCGATATACTGTGGTGGCGCTGACGCACTCAGCCCAGACGACAAACACCAATCCAACATTATTAATCCATCGGTCGATCCCATCCATGTAGTAATATCCGAATTGCGTGCAGTTGGGTAGAGATAGGAGGAAGACAATGAGGACGAGCGCAGTCACTACCCAAGCACGCGACCAGCGCTTCGCGCGGGCAAAAGCGGAGTCCATGATCAAGGTGACAACTGCGTCGAGCATGACGAAAGTTGAAGAAACTCCAACAACAGCTAGCGTAAAAAAGAAGAGCGCAGACCAGAAATTCGAGCCTGGCATCTGAACGAAAGCCTCGGGGTATGTCATAAAGCCTAAGCTGTAACTTCCCATGGGGTTTTCCGGGTCGGGAGTCAAACCCATGAAGCCGACTATGCCAAACGCAGCAAAGGCGAGGGTTGCTTCTAGGAAGGCATTCGTGAAGACGAGAATTACCGCATCTTGAGCAGCGTTGGCGTGATGATGGTTGTAAGATGCGTACGCAGTATAAAAACCGAAACCGACGCCAGTAGAGTAGAATACCTGTCCGACTGCGTCTTGCCAGATCTTGGTTCCGGAAAGAACCTCGCTTCTCCAGGTCGCAAAGTACAAGCGGATTCCATCGCCGGCATTAGGAAGCGAGGCGCCTCGTCCGACAAGAATGATGATAACAATGAGAGGCATGCCCATGGTGAAGTACACTATGCGCGCTGTCCAGCCGGTGCCGCGGAACATGCAGGCCCACACGAGGAAGAATAGGAACGCATTCCACCCAACCAGACGGCCATCGAAGTTGATTCCAGGATAATCGACCCATGTTCCAGATGTATCAGGGTCAATAGAACCAACAACCTCGTACATGAAATAGTCCGCGGTGTTGCCGCCCCAGGGAAGCGGGCTACTGAACGACTTTTGGAAGAACACCATTCCCCATGCAATGATGGGGATGAAGTAAATGCTGACAACAAGTCCAACGTAGTTCAAGGCAAAACCGGTGCCTCTCATCCGCCGACTGATTTTGTTGAAAGCTGTCACGGTACCGCCGCGATACGCGTTTCCTGCCGCCAACTCCAGGGCTAGGGCTGGGACAGCGAGGAATACTAATGCCAGCAAGTAAGGAATGAACCATTGTAAACCATGATTATTGAACTATACTCAGGTTAGCTAGGACTACTATACCTGTTCGTAGAGGCTAGATGCTTACCACGGTTGATGGATATCTTAGGAAGTTTCCCATTCCGATGACACCACTTAGCGATGCGAGCATGAATGCGGTTCGTGAAGGCCATTGATCACGACCCTCGGCGTCCTTGAGCGGAGGTGGCGCCACAAAATTGCCCACCGCTCTTAGTTTATCCATGTTGTGTATGAACAGTCAGGATCGATCTGCGATAGTTGGCGCAAGTAGAGAGAGGGGCAATCTGGGGTAAGTTTGGGGAGGGGGGAAAGCACTGGTGGATTAAAGATGAAAGGGACCTCCTAGTCTTATGGTCATTGCCAACCAATTTCCCTTTTCCTATGGCGGTCACCTAGCGCCTTGGGACTGAACTGATCCCTTCGTCTGGGTGCCCTGATGATTGATCTATAAGGCTGAGATATTTTTGGGCTTATTGTGAATTTGTACTTGCAAGTCATTCTTCCAAGTCTTCAAGCTGTTCGCATCGAGATGTATCCAAGCATTCATACTTTTCCAAGTCTTAGTGAACCACCTCGTTCTTTGCTCCCTTTTGACCTATTGAAAAGCTCTTACATCTGGGGAAATATTGAGAGTGATTCGAAACGTCCAGCCTGACTGGTATCCACATATCAAAAATGATGCTGGGCGGGAAACCTTAGCGTTGGATCAGTAGCGAGCGGCCCAGCTAACGGAAGCCGATGCCGACTGGGCTCACCTACAAAGTGTGCCGGACGGACCGAGTTTGGCTTAGGAAAGTTGGCACGCGATACTAAATGTTCATTCTTGTAGTCATCACCAAGATTTCCACCCTTGGCGCTCCGATTATCTGGGCTCCGCCGCCCTGGCAGGCAAAGGTATGATGCGGCGCCTAGGTCCAAAGGCCGTAGCCAAGGCTTTTTACGTCATAAGTCAGCATACTAGAATTGACCTCTCCTTTTATCAAGCTGGTGTTTCTTGCCATCGCGCAAACGTCAGGCAAATATTACATGAGGTGGCATACAAAGGGGGACACGAAATTCTGAAAGAACGTTACCCCATGCTGGTACTGCGACGTATACATACCACACCAACAGGGACAACAGAGTTCCTACATCTAGCAAGACTTATAACCACCGGTTTACATGACACCAAGTTCATGCGAAAAAGCCATTCATATTGTAGCACTCTTCTTACAAGAAAACCCGCTGGTTCAATGTTCGCTTGTGATGTGGGCAAAGCGAAATCATCTGCTCAACCTTTGCCCTGTCAGCAAAGGCGGGTCAAAACTACATAATGGCCTTGGTCCGCATTTCCAAGATGACCATATTCTTCTAGCAAGACATAAGGCTGAAAGGGTCCCTCGAAATTTCAATTTGTTATTAGTTGGAAAGTAAGCAACATGCTGGGACGCCCACGAAGTCACTGTACATATATGCTGCTGCTTCCCAGGTGCATTGCGTGCCCCATCGTTGTGGAACCAACTATGGGGCAACGTTTCGATACTGCAGGATAGAATGGTGCAATGTGTCGCCATTCAATCGAGTAAAGGCCGTGGACAGAAAAGATCAAGAGAGGGTCTAACGATGTGCAAATGCGCATTAGCACTGACTATGGATTGCGCACATGAGTAACTACCAACGCTACCAACGCTCGATAGTTGAAAACAATGCGCGACGAACTTCAAAACTCCGAGAGTAAGCTTCGCGCGATCGGATAGAGTCATTCCAGTAGAAGCATCATGTCACGTAACTATGTGACATAACGTCAAACTGTATTTTCCCCGAGACGGGAGAGCACATCATAGACAAAACCATCTGCACAGAATGTCTAATAGCTCAATGTCAGTCAGGCTACGAAAACACCTGGGGAAAGCTTGCACCGAACGAACGTGTTTATTCGATCTGGGTATAATGCTGTGAACGCAGTAGAGTAGAGATAAAGCACTTCGACATCACCACGCATACCACCAACCATTTCGCCCGAGCAACATACATACCTCACCATCTCTCTGCCTGCACAATCTGACCGCGCTCATCTGCGGACCTCCCTCACCGGTACCATCTCATTACCTTCGAACCGCCCATTACGAACCCTACACCCGAACCTTTCCAAATCCCTACACCGGTCCACGATCAGCATAATCACCAGCAGAACCCTGAATATCCAATAACCCAGGGTCCCTGCATCCATCTACATCACGATCACAGAGTCAGGCAAGATTCGCGCACTAACGATTCCATGCACCAGGACAAGAAGAATTGGATCGGGAACGCTACGCCACGTGGTGTGCGTGTCTGGATGATAGATAGGTAGTGAACTTGGGTATTGGAAAAAATTGTGGGTACTGATAGGGGTGGTATCGGGACCCCACTGTCGTACACTCGCTTGATGCTTTTGCGCAGGTTCCGATGTCACTATTGCAAAGCATCCACCGCCCCCAAAGTGATAAACGTGGATATGGGAGGTTGACGGGGATTGCGGGAGTGTATGTGTATGGGTTGGAGAGAATGCGGACTTAGGCGCGCGTGGGGGAGTTGCAGGGTTTTGTTTATTTGCAGTGCTGTTGGTGAGTGAGAAAGTCTACAGTAGTATACAGCCGAAATTGCTTGATGGGACTGTGAACGCCGATTACTAGAAAAAGGATTTTCATGAGTGAGCTCCTGAACTGAGGATGCCTCGTAAATCTAAATTTGTGTTTTACGAAAGCGATGCTGTTTTCCCACGCCCATCATGACGTGGTAAATCGGCGCAAAACACACCACCGTCCAGGTTGTTACAACTCACGAGCTCCGATCCCGCTGCTGGCAGCTGTTGTTTTTCAGCCAATATTATTGTTTTGTCGTATATGCGAGCGCCACGGGGGATAAAATGGACCGGTTAACAACGATCTGCTTTTGCGTAGCCATGGCGACTGTGAGTGAACCGATAAGGAGAATTTGCCTCGCAATCGGGGTAACTTTTGGGTCTGAGAGCGAGTGTTAGACATCGTTCGGTAAAACGGATTATGTCTTCTTATACGAGCGGGCTAGAGAGTGTTTTAGGGGCGGTGGCAGTTTGGTGTCACGGCTGGTGTCAGTGTCAGGCGTTGTCGTTGATTGTTCACATATGGAATGTCTTTGATTGAGGTCTTAGGCAGGAGCAGGGATGTTGTAGAGCTGGGGATTCCAAGTTCTTAGCCTGCTTCGCGAGTACGCAATGTCCAAGGTACATGTTTTCATGATTGGGATTGGAATCACGTGATACAAATGAGATTGATCTCTAGAGTCGCATTCGATGTTCAAGCTTTAAGCCACAGCTATGGAATAGTCGTAGCTGAATCTTTAATATAATCTGAAACACTTCAATTCCAGCAATAGGAACAGAACAGTACAAGATATATGGTTGATTGGCTCTCTGTTATCATGCGGCGTTGGCCTGGATCCATGGTACATGGATTCGATAATCTATATGTAGATCGATGCGGGCATTCAGCTCGAGATATGACGATAGCGAGTCATGCTAGGATATAGATCAAAAAAGAAGTTGTGGCGCTCGTTCGGGTGCATTGTGCTCTGGCAATCTCGGGGGTTGAGGAGAGCCGCTGAGTCATCATCTTGGCGACTCTGACAAAGGAGAGAGCACTGGAGATGTTTGCCAACCTCCGTCATTCTCTAGCCTCCAATGTGTCGGCATGCCAAGCCCACACTTCTACCTATCTGCAAGATGTGCGCACTCGCTCACTGTTGTGTATACGCCTCTGCTTAGATGCGGCCGATCCGATAAGAGTCGATGGCTGGACATGACGTCTTTCTCGCCGATCCCATTCCGACCTGCCACGCAAGCCACGTTCTTTTTCTGCCAGCTCAAAATGCGGTACGCCTGGACAGAGCCTTCGCCGCGGCCTTCTCACACATAATGGTACGATGTGGAGAAGAAGGGAAAAAACTTGTCGGGCGATGGCTAACATGTGAGCATCGACGTCGACACCCGTGAAAAATTGCTGCGCGACGGTTCACTTTCCACACATGAAACAACTATCATAGCCTCACGGCCCTTGATCCGCGGAAGACTGACGGCTATGGCGTGCGACTACCATATGCTATTCTCCGCAGCCCGCCTGTCTTGCATCACCACACTCAAGCTCTCTAGAACTGTGGTGCATTGTTTGTCTATCAAAAGCGTGGCACAAGTCATACATTGCGCAACGCGCTATCCTGGGACGTGCATAACTGCGAAGCTTTCGTGTAAAGCTTCCCGTCTAGAACTGCAACTCGCGCTACCACCCATTCTATAGGATTCGGTGGGCATCAAAGGGCTGGCGTGTCACTTTTCTCTTTCTACCGTGGAGATGAGGTATCAAGGAAGATTTTTCTTTTCGAGGCCCAGCCTGTGTCACTACCCGCCCCTAGCATCCATGTCTAGATTGTTGGACTCGTCCTTGTCTATCAAGAAGTTTAACCCGGCAGCGTATCCTTATCCCCAGCCGAATATAGCGGCAGGCACTCGGCATCTGAACGCGCATGAGATCTTGCATACCCTTCTTCTACATGTTGAATGGCTACAGCGGGACCGCCACAGGAAGTTATATATACATACGGATAGTGTATGTTAGCACGCTTTCTTTTTGCGGCGCATCCAGGCAAGGTCCTCCTCGGTCGCGCAAGGGCGTCGCCTCAACAATCACCCAAATCGCGTTGTTGGAAGGGCTGGCACCATTCCCTTGCGACAGACAATCAACCGAGATCATTCACATAGTGATGCACTCGTCGAAGAACGGATCTAGACGGCGGCGGCCACAGCGCGCCGGAGAGTTTTGGGACTACCTCGCTCTAATGTAGGAACAACCATGTGGGGCGGCAGATACGATTCTTTTTCGCGTGAAAATATCAACCACCAGATCCAATGGTTATGGCCACGACAAAAGGATTTCATACAGGAGACTTGGCTGTTGCCCGTGGTTAAAATTGTGTTGGACGAAGCGAGCAGGCTTATAGATTGCCTGCAGCGAGCCAATGCGGGTGAGGCTCTCTGTCAAGCATCGGGACTTTTTAATAACTAACTATACCGGAGGCTTTCATCAAAGCCCCACAGCGGCATCAACCGACAACATTCGCGGGTCGATGACAGGCACCACAGCCATTGCGCGCCACCTCGACGCGCTGGCAGACCCATGCCTTCTTCTCTTTTCTGCTGGGTATGTGCCACGTCCCTAGCCGGAATGGCTTCCGCACCTATCCATGGACCACAGGAAACGGCTGACAGACGGTGCCTGGCTGATCAGTCTGTCCGACGACCTTCCTTTACTTCTAGTGCTGAAGTCTGGATCTGCCATGATTTTCTGATAAGCTTGTCCCGATGGCGTTCTTCAATCCGGAGAGCTCTTCCCTGCCTAGCTCTCAACACCATCATTTTACGCTGGCTGAACAGTCGTCGCCTGCAGGAACATGCAAGCAGATTGCGTACACATGCACTCACCCTAGCCTATGGTTCTCGATGCCCTTGTCGTCTCCATTTTTCTGTGCATGCATGGTGCCTCTCCATGTCTATCAATATTTTAATTCTCAACCACAGTCACGCTTCCCCGATTTGGATGATATCCAATCTCCAACATTAGCTTAAGCATGCCGGTATGTGCGCCGAAGCAGGGGCCGTTTGTCCCACCACGTACTCCATGAGATTTTTCCCTTTAGATGACATCAAAGGAATTCATCTGGTCTTAAAGGTGACCTGGTCAGCCCCAAATTCTGCTGCCAAGCAAGCCCTTCCCACCTGTCAATCACTGTGTCTCTTTGCTCTTCCTTTCGAGCTCCGGATCAGTGAAAAATGTTTTTTCTTGCTCGTGTCTCGGTTCTGTTGTGTCTTATTTTTTCTGTAGCTACCCTTAGATACGACCCTGCGCACGAAGGCTGGAACCTCAACCTCAACCAAACTGCCACCGATCCCTTGGATTACTGGGGCGAATGGGAGAATCATACCTTTCACCCTTCACCCAAGAATTGGCGGATACCCTTCTATGTCCTCACTCTAGACCGCTATGTAGATGGGGATCCGACTAATAACGAAGCAAATGGAACCAGTTTCGAACATGACTGGACTACTAATCAATTCCGGTTTGGTGGGGATGCCAAAGGGATGATGAATAACCTCGATTATCTCCAAGGCATGGGTATCAAGGTAAAATCCTCCCCTCAACACTTCATCTTGCTTCTCTTTACAAATTTTGGAACAATCACTGACAACCTCAGGCTGTCTATCTCTCAGGAACTCCATTCATTAATATGCCCTGGTCCTCGGATGGATTTGGCGCATTGGATTTCACGCTGCTCGATCATCACCATGGCAAAATACAGGATTGGAGAAACCTGATCGACGAGATGCACCGCCGCGGTATGTACGTGATACTGGACAATACTCTAGGGACCATGGGAGATTTGCTCCAGTGGGTCGGTAGCGAAAACACTTCTGCGCCGTTCAAGTGGGACGAGTACGACGTGCGATACAAGAGCTCGCGGCAGTATCTTGATTTCTCGATCGGCAATGATCGAAATACCACTTGCACTTACCCTCGCATGTGGGGAGCTGATGGCTATCCTTTTGCCAACCAGTCCGTCTTGGAAAAGATGGAATTCCCGTGCAAAGATAGTCAATTCGACCAGGCAAGCGATTCCCCCCATCCAAGTGGCAAACATCTATTAATATCCTGGTAGTACGGTGACATGAAAGGTGTTGGTGAAGTCCCCGTAGAAGAGACACAGCTTGCCAAGTTTGCTGGTGTACAGGACCGCCTCCGCACTTGGCGCGATGATGTCTTAGACAAGGTTATGCATTTCTCTTGCATACAGATTGCCATGCTCGACATTGATGGGTTTCGGATGGACAAGGCGGCGCAGACACCAATAGACGTTCATGCCAAGTGGTCCAACCATCAAAGAGCATGCGCAAAAAGATACAACAAGGTAGCTATTTTCTCACGTTTAAAAATTGCGAGCGCTGAACTTTTGACTAGGAAAACTTTCTCATTGTTGGTGAGATCGTCAGCAAAGTACCATACGCTTCCCTCATGATCGGGAGAGGCAAGCAACCCAACATGGCCTGGCCCAGTTTGGAAGACGCCGTCCGGGGCGACGCGGGCAATGATTCGGCGTTTGTTCGGCCTCCAGGGTCCGCTGTCCTCGACGGGGATGCTTTCGCGTATCCATTCTATGGAGCCATGACTAGATTCCTAGGCTTGGACGGTCCAATAGGTCTTGAGGGTGTTGATTTCGTCGAGCTTTGGAATGAATTACTTCTCCATGAAGACTTCACCAATGCCAATACCGGGGAGTTTGACCCTAGGCACTTGTGGGGATTAACCAACCAGGATGTTTTCAGATGGCCAGGTCTGGCAAATGGAACCCAGCGTCATTTGCTTGGTCTATTCATCGCCAATATGATGATGCCCGGTGCGCCTTTCCAGCTTTGGGGCGAGGAGCAGGAATCGTATATTCTCGAAAACCAAGCATCCGACTATATCTTCGGCCGCACCCCGATGGCATCGCAGCGCGCGTGGCAGATGCACGGATGCTACAACCTCGGTGCTGAAGTCTACGTCGATATGCCGTTTGAGAAGTCCCTGCATGGCTGTCAGGATGACTCTGTCAGTCTCGATCACCGCGACCCATCTCATTTTATGCGCAATATCTTGAAGCGTCAGTACGAACTTAGGGATCAATACCAGGTCCTGAATGACGGCGTATACCTTGAAACTCTTTCTTCACAGTATGAAGACCTCTATCTCCCTGGTAGTCTGGGCCTACCCTCGCCCACTGGTTTGTGGAGCGTTTATCGCGCCGCTTTTCCGAATGTACAGAACTTTACTTCGGATAATGGTCTGGCCAACCAGGGTGTCTGGTTCATCTATTCCAACGCGAACAAAACTGTCAACTATACTTTCAACTGCCAGAATGAAACGGACGGACTTCTAGCACCCTTCCCCGAGGGTACAACGGTAAAGGGGCTATTCTATCCTTATGAAGAAATCACTCTGGAGACATCCGCTGCCAGGCTCAATACATCGGAATCGGATGCTCCCAACGGCTGTCTAAGCAGTATAGAAATGGCCCCCTGGGACTATAAGCTCTTTGTTCCTAAGAATAGGTGGGCCGCTCCTCGTCCGGCTATTACCCGCGTTGTACCAGGTCATGATCAGCGCATTGTCTCCCGCACCACGGATGGCGAGCCGCAGGATGTTCCGATCGAACTTCATTTCTCAAGCGAGATGGACTGCGGCAATGTGGTTCGCAATTTTTCAATCAGATCCACCACTGCCAACGGCGAAGTTGCGAGGCTCAACACCTCTAGTGTAGAATGCACAAGTGTTGAACCAAATCGGAAGCAAGATTATATTGGACAAATCGGTACCGCTTGGATCATGAAGGCACAGCTGGAAAACGTCCATGACGGCGTTCATGTTTACACTCTGAACAACGTGTCTAGCAAGTCAAACGATCTCTATACACAAGCTATTGATCACTTCATGTTCCGCGTCGGACAACATGACAATCCGATGATCTTCCCCGGTACCGCAAACTACTCTTCGTCCCTCCTCCACAAAGATGTAAACACGGGCGTTCTGACGGTGACACACAAAGCCACGGGCGCCGACAAGTGGCAGTACACACTCAATTGGGGCGCAACATGGAGTGAGTGGCAAGACTACACGTCAACAAATGCTACCCTCACACAACAGCCGTGGGCTGGTTCAAAAGACCAAGAATGGGTTGGTGAGCACGTGATGATCCGCTACTGGAGTGAGATGGCGGGCAGCATGGAACACGTGCAACATGGGGATGTCGATTTCCACTCGCCTCGACGCTGGCCGCACATGCACGTCACTGGACCCTGGAACCAGTATGGCTTCGATTCTGGCCTGCCTGACAAGATGCACGACACTGGCACCGGAGAGTGGCATTTCGACATGATGACAGAATACCCTTCCACCGCGATTCTCAGCACCTGGGGCATCAACCCTGATGGCCAGCCAGACAAGTCAAAGATGTATGGCGATGTCGACTTGGATGGAATATTAGATTGGCTTCCTCCCACTAGCTTGGGGAAAAATCTGATTAATATCACGAGCCCCGGGATGCCTTACACCGGAGTCAAGATCATAGCCAACGACGGAGACATGCGATACACCTTCAAACCCGTGGGATCGGCTTGGAGACAGCTAGCCATCTCGTTATTGCTTGCTCTCATTCCTCTTGTCACAGGCGCCATCGCCATCTCCTTGTTCCACAAATCGTTTTATGACGTCAAGTTCAACAAGATTGGCTTCTCTGAGAAAGGAAAGACTCTAATTCCAAACGCTGTAATTGCATCAGCTACTGCTCTACGAAAGCGCGCAACCACAAGCTTTACACCATTCGCCAAACCCAACTCAAAGGACCTCGTCTCGCCAGTTGGTGGAATGGCGGGGACTGTCCAAAGTCGCCAGAGCACTGTCCTTTTGGCAACTATGGAGTATGAGATCGAGGACTGGAATCTCAAGGTCAAAATCGGTGGTTTGGGTGTGATGGCTCAGCTCATGGGAAAAAACCTGCAACACAAGAACCTCATCTGGGTCATCCCTTGTGTTGGTGACATTGACTATCCGGTTGATCAAATTGGCGAGCCCATGGATATCACCATCCTAGGCCAGGAGCACAGTATCAACATCCAGTACCATCGCCACGAAAACATTACTTTTGTGCTTCTCGATGCACCGATATTCCGCGCGCAGACTAAGAGCGATCCTTACCCGGCGCGCATGGATGACATGGAGAGCGCCGTGTATTACTCAGCCTGGAACCAGTGTATTGCGGAAACTTTGAGGCGTTTCCCCGAAATCGATCTATACCACATTAACGACTATCATGGAACTCTTGCGCCGTTGTACATGCTCCCACAAACCATACCTGTGTGCCTTTCGCTCCACAACGCCGAATTCCAGGGTCTTTGGTCTATCAAGCGAGGCAAGGATATGGATGAGATCTGCAGAGTGTTCAACTTGAGCAAAGACATCGTCACCAAGTACGTCCAGTGGGGCGAGGTTTTCAATATGCTCCACGCTGGCGCTAGCTACTTGCGTATTCACCAACGTGGCTATGGCGCTGTTGGTGTCTCTAAGAAGTACGGGAAGCGTTCATTCGCTCGCTACCCCATTTTCTGGGGTCTCACCAAAGTAGGAGCGCTGCCGAACCCCGACCCAACTGATACCGCACCATGGAGCAAAGACGACAAGATCGCCGCCGATGTCGCCATCAATGGCGAATCGGAGGCTGGGAGAGGCCTTCTCAGAACCCAAGCCCAAGAATGGGCTGGCCTGCACGTCGACCCAGAGGCCGAGCTTTTCGTCTTTGTCGGCCGCTGGTCTATGCAGAAAGGTGTCGATTTGATTGCAGATGTTTTCCCATCGATCCTCGAAAACAACGCGAAGACTCAGTTGATCTGTATCGGACCAGTCATTGACCTTTATGGCAAATTTGCCGCGCTGAAACTGCACCGCCTTATGGAATTGTATCCAGATCGAGTGTGTTCGAAACCAGAGTTTACTGCGCTTCCACCGTACATTTTCAGCGGCGCCGAGTTCGCTTTGATACCTTCACGCGATGAGCCTTTCGGCTTGGTTGCTGTCGAATTCGGCCGCAAAGGTGCACTCGGAGTGGGCTCCAGGGTTGGCGGTCTTGGTCAGATGCCTGGCTGGTGGTTCACAATCGAGTCGACAGCTACCAAGCATCTTGTCCGCCAATTTCAAAGCGCCATAAAAGCAGCACTGTCATCATCACGACAAACTCGTGCGGAGATGAGGGCCCGATCTTCTCTTCAACGCTTCCCAGTTGCCCAGTGGCTAGAGGGTCTCGAAACACTGCACGCTGGCTCCAAGAAGGTCCATCACCGCGTTCCCGCCATCGATACCGCCAATCGTTCGAGTTCAGATACTTCAAGCACTGCATCCCCATTACCATCAACTCCTGGTACGGCGCTTCATACTCCACCTGCGACGCGACCATCGAGTAGGATAGGTAGTCGAACTACTAGTCGTGTAGCCAGTCGAGCATCCAGCCCAATCCGCGAGGAAGGTACTAGTCAAGACAATAGCCAACCGCCTTCACTACGCGGCCATCGTTCGGTTCGAGGACGACCCTCTCTTCCAGCGCTCAGCCTAAATTCGACCGTCGCCACTGGTACCAGCACACCTGCACTACCCTCACCAAGCGCAGTTCTCACGCCATCTGGCCGTGGTAATGGGTTCCCACTTCCCCGTATTCCTAGCGTCTGCGTAGAAAATGATGATCAGATCTCCGACGAAGACTTTGCACGGGGTCTACCTATGCCTCCGAGGCCACCTTTTCACCAATCTCAAACAGCGATCTCACAATATTCTTCATACGAGACTCTACAAAGTCTAGACTCCCCTGAATCCGAATCATCCCCAACTCCACGTTACCCTTTGAGCTCGCGCCCTTCCACGCTTAGCTTGCAAGCGGTTGTGGGCGAGGAGAAGAACTATCGTATGCAAAATGTGGACCCATTCTTCACCGACTCCCAGGGTCTCTATACGAAACAGTTCAATAGCCTGCTCGTCAATCTTGACGGGAAGACCTCTACCAACGAGCTCTGCATCGAGGAATTCCTTACCAAGTCTGAGAAGAAATGGTTTGGTCGTTTCTATGATGCGAAGCTTGGTATCAAGTCTAAGAAGGGAACTGAGGTACAAGAGATTGAACTCAGCAGTAGCGAAGGGACTGCAAGCAGCAGCAACACGTCTGTCCGCACTGGAGAAGTTACCTTTGATGAGTTCAATCTGGGCGATACCTTCAAACCTGCGCGAGGCCTTCAGAAGATTATGCAGTACAAGTTCCGCGACTGGCCTGTATTCTCCTTCTGCATGGCGCTCGGCCAAATCTTAGCGGCAAACAGTTACCAGATCACACTGCTCACAGGCGAACAAGGCCAAACGGCAACCAAGCTCTACGTTGTCGCCAGCATCTATCTCGGTGCCTCGATCTTCTGGTGGACACTATTCCGCACCGTTCAATCTCGCTGGGTAATCGCTCTCCCTTTCTTCTGCTACGGAATCTCCTTCTTCATCCTCGGTATGGCGCCGTACGCCAACGGCTTCGTCGCGCGTGGTTGGGTGCAAAACGTAGCCACCGGCTTCTACGCCCTGGCTTCAGGATCCGGCTCCCTCTTCTTTGCGCTCAATTTCGGCTCTGAAGGCGGCACCGCAACTCACACATGGGTCTTCCGCGCGTGCGTAATTCAAGGCACGCAGCAAGCTTACGTAACTGTGCTCTGGTACTGGGGATCAGCCCTCGCCGCCATCAGCGCGAGTGGCGAGAACCCAACTGGCTTCACCTCCTCCCCATACTTGACCGCGGTCACCACACCCATCGCAGTCCTCCTCTCCGTCATTGGTCTCGCTCTCTTCTTCGGACTCCCGGACTTTTACCGCTCCTCCCCAGGATCAGTCCCCTCATTCTACCACTCTCTACGACGCCGCAAAATTATTCTCTGGTTCTTCTGCGTCGTCATCATTCAAAACTACTTCCTCAGCGCTCCCTACGGTCGCAACTGGCAATACCTCTGGAGCTCAAACCTCGTCCCATCATGGTCCATCGGCATTCTAGTCATCGTCTTCTTCGGCATAGTCTGGGTTGCCCTCTTCACAATCTTCCAACGCCTATCCATAGAACACTCCTGGATCCTCCCCATTTTCGCCATTGGACTCGGCGCTCCCCGCTGGGCTCAGATGCTCTGGGGTACATCCGGCATGGGCCTATACGTCCCATGGGCTGCTACACCCGCTGTCGGCGCACTACTCGGTCGCTCGCTATGGCTGTGGCTCGGTGTCCTCGACGCTCTTCAAGGCGTAGGGTTCGGCATGATCCTTCTACAGACCATGACTAGATTCCACGTCGCATTCACTCTTATCGCGGCGCAGGTCATTGGCTCCGTCGCTACTATCGCTGCGAGAGCCTCTGCGCCGGATAGATTAGGCCCCGGCGCTGTTTTCCCGAACCTCGCGCTCAGTTTAGATGGCTTGGGGCACGGCGTCTTTTGGGGCGCGTTGATTCTGCAAGGCGCGGTTTGTGTGGGGTTCTTTGCATTCTTTCGGAAGGAGCAATTGTTCAAGCCCTAATTTTTTTTTCCCGCGTCGCATTGCATCCAAGATCCATCTGCGCAGTTGGATTTTGGGGATGTTGTTGCTATTTGTAATGGCGGCCTTTCTGCTTCTCCCTGTCTCTCTTTGTGGGCTGGCTTGTTATAGATTTGACTCGCTTTTTTTTTTGTTCCATCATCGCTGTCCGTCCTGGGGAATCGGCTTTTTGTGATATCTTAATGTTTGTGGAACCTTGCATAGATGTTTCGCTTATCTTACTATCATATATTCATTGTTTTTTTTTTTCTTAGACGGGCTAGATGGATAATTGGGAATTTTATAATGTCTTGTCAATTATGAAGAAAAGAGCATTCGCTAGTAGTGACATCCGTGCAGGTACCTATGGAGGGAGAGAGAGCTACTTATGGGTTGTGATTGATCATCTGCTTGCGCCCACGAACACCTCCGTTTAATGACTTTCATGTTCATGGGCTTGCGGATCGCAGTTGTAAGGAGCTGGGAATTAGGAAATTCGTTTAATGTCTATCTATGATACTGGCGAACAAACGGGTATCTATCTAGCGGTTCAACCCATACATCCTGACTCCTTCATCCCTATATACGCTGAAAAACCGCAATTGAAACTACAAAACTGAGGAATCTTATAACTTTGACAGGAGATGATGACGGAAACGCGCAGAGCAAACAGAATCTAAACAACGAAAAGAGAAAAGCATACGGAAAATATCTAAATGACACAGAGCAGCTACATGATAAACAAGGGGTATATCCAACACATACACACAGAAACCAAACAAATAGACACCATTTCTAGCCGCGGTCTTGTAGATGAAGGAGGAAGAAAAGATCTAGTAGGATAATATCGAACAAGTGAAGAGAAGAGAACGAGTAGATGAAAAAAAAGGAGGAGTTGATCAACAACAGTCCGGAAAAATATGGATGAATAAAGAATACAAAGAATGGGAATCGTTGATCAAGAAGAAGAATGCTGCGGAAAGATGGAAAAGGGCGGTGGAGGATATGAGAGGGAGTAAGGTAGGTAGAATGAGTTTGAAAAAGAAGGGTAGTCGAGGTCCGGATTGTAATGGTTGGTCGGTATTGGATTCAACATGGACGTGGTGAAGGTAGATGCTGGATGTTGAGTTGACCTTGTGGAGGTTGGCATGTCGAGTGGATCCTTCGTGCGCTGTGATGGCGGTGTTTGACGGTACTCATCAAGGAACGAAGAAGTAAGACGCAGTGAGGATGATCGCGGACGTAGAAAGTGAGCAATTGACGATAGGTTAAAACCCCAGAATGCCGTGAAATGGTCGGAAAAGACGGGCGGACAGGATCGCAAGGAGCAATAGTAGTCTCGTGCACGGATGAGGGAATTGCGCCTTGATGTGCGAATGCTTGTGTGGACGTGCAGGCACACGCGTGCGAAGACGATATAACGCGCAGTCTCTCATCACATCATTCATCATGATCGACCAAGCACTCACACGAGGTACATCAATACGTGTTTGATACCACGCACCCTATCTACCTACCACATCCGCGGTGTCCCGCCCTTCGCCCACGTAATAGGACTTCCAGGATTCGTGTGACTCGAAACCCTAACATCAACAGTCTTCCTGATAGTCGCGAAGTAAACAGGCATCATCCTCAGCTGCGTCGCATCGTTGACCTCCGGCACCGAGAACTCCGTCTGCGTAGGCGACGGCCACGACGTGTTATTCGTTGTAGACGGCGACACCGGGAAATGCGATTGCGTAGGCGAGCCAGGTGAGATGGGGATGTCGTATTCTGGGATACTGTGGACGGGTGTAGAGGGATACGGTGGCGTGAAGGGGATCGGTGGGGGTGGGGGGAGCGAGGCGAGGGCGTCGATGTGGTAGATTGGGGTTCTGCGGAGGGATTTTTGGGGTTGGATTGGGGGTGGGGAGGTTGTGCGGAGAATCGAGGTGCGGGATGTGTTTTGTTGGGGCGAGTCGGTGTAGATGGTTCGTGAGAAGTTGCGTGTTGGGGTTGAGTTGGAGCGGGTGATGGGGATGCGGTAGGTTTTTGCGGAGTTGGAGCGAGCCAGGGGTTGTGGGATTGGGGTGGGTTTGTTGTAGTATCGTATGCCGTTGAAGACTTTTGGGGGCTGTTTAAGGAGCTCCTCGAATTCGTAGTCGGACATGGCTGTCTCGGAACGAGAGTTTTCTAGGTCGTCGATTTGTTTGGTGTGGGTAGGTGGCGAGGGGGAACTCCGTCCTTGGATGTATTGAAGGAGACGAGGGAATGTTGGACAACAGGCACAGTAGATGATTGACGTGAGCTCTCCGATTCTGGCAAGAGTTAGTCATGTTGAGATTCGATGTGCTAGAGATTCTTGACATACGACCACTTGTGGAGCGCCCATACCGTGACACTGAAGTCAGGGCTCCCCTCGACTCGAACGCTGTACACCAATCTGACAATACTGGCAGCGCAAGTGAAGCTTCCCAACAGGAGCATAAGACCCAAAAATACTTGTCGTGTTCGTGAAAGCTGCATCGCAGCGACCCCAAACACAGCCAACACCAAGATGAACAGATTGGAAATGACATTAGTAGTTCCGGAGGTAATCCCGGTAAAGTTGCGAGTGCCGGACAATCCAGGAGCAGTCTTAGCATCCAGGTTGGAGTTGAAGTAGCAGTTGATGGCCTGGACGATGAACACCCCGGTATAACATAGGACATTCAACACAATAAGAAACCTTACGCTCCAATAGACAAGTTGTTTCCGAGCGTGGCGGAATCTCGCCAATTGGATGAGAATGGCAAGCTTTGCAGCGAACATTGTTGGAGCGTATGTGATATCAAGGGCGTCGGACAGTCGTACAGCGCTCTTGTATTGCTGGAGAGAGAGTTCGGCGGTGGGCAAGGAGAGACCCGCATTGGCTGCTGCGAACATGATCCCGATGAAGACAGTGAAGCCAACCTAGATCTGTCAGCGGCTATAACGAAATGGACCATCTGGAACATACTGTCGAAATAATAATTACATCTGATAAAGTCAGTCTTTTCCCGAATCTCTTTTGCACGATGATATACTCACAATCATCGACTTGCACCCGCTTAATGTCAACCGTCTTGGTAAATATCCTCAAGCTCGCCGCCATAAGGGTCAAGAAAAGACATATCGAAGCCAGCGACACAAAGTCAGTCGGAATAGAAGTGGCGATGGGGTCCTGCCCTTCAATCGACGTGCGTAGCTGGAGAGTCGGCATATTGGGCAAACCTTCACCGTCGTCTCCGTTCACGACGAGTGACTCGACATCACCTATATGAAGTTTCTTTCCTTTCCCATAGCAACAAGGCGTACCGTCTCATATATCACGAGTGCTCAAACGTGGCAGATAGACTAATCCTGCCCGTCAGCGCAAATCCGCGCTTGTACTCCGTAAACGTCAGCCCGTCGTATGTTTGGCGGCGATGCACGCTGTTCCAACGCGCACTGACTCACCACTACCTGTCGGTCTTGTGTGTATTCCCGGGCGTATAACATCAGAACAGGGGTATTGGTATGTATGCGTATTCTCGTGTTGACTATCTACGAATCAAAGACGACATCTGGCTTTCCCTGCGTCAACAACACAAACAACTTGGCTTTGCGGGGACCAATCTATTCGATCTGAGGTTTTGTTGGTTTGCTGCCAATGCGCGGCATTGTGCATTTTCAAACAGTTTCCAACGGAATTGCGAAACGATTGGTGGGTCCGGGCTCGACATAGTAACGGGGAGCTGTAAGCGGGATAGTGTGCGCAGGGTCGGTCGCCGAGCCACAGTGGGGAGAGGTAGGCGTAGTAAGACGACAAATAATCACCAAAATCTAAAGCAATTGATTGGTAGAACGAGTTCGCTGAATACTGAATATAGTAATCGAGGATTGCGTCTGGAGATTACCTAGATTTAGTTATCACCGAGAAAGACTGACTCGACTGGAAGAATGGGCATTAAGGCGCTTTTTCGCAGCTCGAACGCCTCAGTCGATCCCACTGGGTTGCTCGTTGGCAAACCGGACAATTGGATCTACGCGAAACAACAACACTAGTTCGGAAAAAGGTTGGGTGGCCGTATCTTGGATTCCGTAAGGCGTAGACTAGGAGGCCGAGTCGCACGAAACTGGAAAATGAACGCAGCATAATTACTCTAATACTTCGTGACAGGGCGAGGGAGCATGACTGTTGAGGCGGTGTACTGTTGGTAATAAATGTTTCGCCTTGCAGGATTTTGTAGTATCGCTTCGCGGTGTGTGCAGTGCGCTGTGAGTCCTGCGTCGCGAGTTTTGACCCAATCCAGTTGATCAGTCAACGTCCATGCAATCATTGTTTGCCGCTAGCTAGTTGAGGTTGTTGATTGAGGGGAATGATCGCCGGAAAAATTTATCTGACACATCTGGTTCCAGAAACTGGGGGACATCTGTGACCAACGCCTTGGATGCTGAGCTGTACACCTGATAGATGCAGTATCGTAAACGAACATCGTACGCTATTCCATATTCCGATCGCAGTCTCTTACCAAGTAAGAACTCGCTCCTCGTCCCACTCATCATGTCCTTGACGCTTGAACCTCACTGTCATGCGCTTCGCCTCCAAAACTTGAGACTTTTCAAACTGCTCGATTCTTGACGATGACTTCACGTCCTTAGCCGCCTTAATGACTCCGCTGCCCGCTCCCTCTTCGACTTCCAACATCTCCCGAGCTAATCTAGCCGATGCGGCACTGTCCCACATTCCCTCGCGGCGTACGGTACTATCCAGCGCCGCGATCGCCTGTCGTCGAAGGACTGGATCCCGACACTTCATTGAGACATAGTGCAGCAGCGGAACTATGGCCATGTCCATAGAGAACGTTGACGTCCGTGGGGCGACATGGATATTTGCACACCGGATGACTTCCTTGAACTCGGCGGTGTACTTGTCAAACTGCATCTGATCGTACGAAAGATCGGTTTCAACTATCACTTTCGCCACGGCGAACGTTGCTTGCAGGAGGGCCCGAGATGACACATCCGAGGTGAAAGAGGAGTTCGGTACGGCGCAAGATCGGGTGTAGCAGTTGAACCATGCTGAAAGTCTGGCGGAGCGCTCCATGCGCGTGATGATTGCTCCATGGCCTGGGGGTAGGTTTTCGGGGTTTGGAGTGGCCATATAGAACCGTCCTACGACGTAGTACAGACTGTCGCGTGCGGCATTGAAGCTGCCAAACGCCTCCATTTCAGGTCTAGGGAAAATGGATCCGTTCCATGGTAAAGGTGGAGTTGTAGTGGTCAAGACCTGAAGCGCCATTCGATTGAAATTAGGGGCGATACTGTCGCGGATGAAATCTTCTGTTGCTGATGGAAGTGACAGGTTTCCGGGTGATCCTTGACCATCGGTCCATTGCTTCAAAAGGGTGAGGCCGTGCGTCAGGTGAATTCGGGCATCTGAGTACGAGCCCCGAAGCCCTTCGAAGCCCACACATAGTAAACAACAAAGCAATGAGATATGGAGGGATTGCCAGCCGCGAGATACAATCTGTGAGTTCAAGATACTGATCGCCTTGACATAGTGATTATTGGAGCGTTTGCGCAGTTGTGAAGCTACAACTGCGGTATGTTTTCGAGTCGAAGCATCGTTCTCGAAAGCTTCGTGGAGGGTAGCTATAGCGATGACAGAATGCAGAACACACTGCTCGTTCGCGCTAACTTGCAGAACAGTGTTCAGCCAAAACTCATGGTCGTGCAGAATGGCAAATTGTGGAGCGGTGCATTCTCTGAAGTACTGAAGTGAGCGTTGCTCGTCACCATCCGCCAGGTTGGTGACCATAGGAGTTTTGATCGTGATTGGTACGACACTCGTCCTTGCGGCTATCAAGTAGCCATCGCATGAGCGACCAGAATTCGTACACTTTTGGCAAGCTGGACGAGTTTGGTCACATTTGACCCGACGTGCCCTACAGCCCAAAGTCAGGCCCGTGAATGGTGTTAGGAGAGACTTGTTCACACGTACCGACACGTTAAACAGCCCAGTTTTGAGCGGTTATGATACGCTCGCGTTCGTTTCGCATCCGAGCTTGGTCCTGCCATTGCATACATTTGTTGACCTGCATTCTGAAGGGAGAAAGATGGAGATTGATTGTCCCGCGGGCACCGTCTGTCAGCGAACAGGTGTCGGATCGTAAGGGCTGAAGGAAGGAAGTGGCGCAATCAGCTGCACGCATTCATTGGTCGCGTCGTCTATTGGCGAATCACAGCCCAGGAGCATTTGGCTCATCCCACGTCACGTGCTTGTCGGATGATCTGAAAATATTGAGACTTTTTTATATATAGCTTCCTTCCGAGTGGGTAAAGTGATTTTATTCAAGCTGTTTTCTTGTAGTGCATGGCATTCAGGCTATCACAAGTCATACTGGACCTCGATCGATAGCATGTATTGCCAGTCACCCACCAAGTTTGGTCAAGGTTATGATGAATGTAAAGAGTAATCATATATTATTAAACAAGGGGTCTCAGGTATCAAAGCTCATACAGTTAAAGGCCCATTCCCGAAAGCAGAAAACAAACAACAAAACCATCACTTCTTCCACGCACTCTCCGTCCTCAACCAAGCACGAAAGTCCTTCAAGAAAGGATATGTCTCCTTGCACTGCTTCGCATCCACCCCAAACCCATCCGTCTTGAACCAGTTGAACATGATCCCAAGCTGCTCGTGAAGCGCAAACTTCAACCCCTTGCCAACAAAGGAAAACGTCTCGGGTATGGTCGACCCAGTCTCCTCCTTGAACACCTTTGCCGCTTCATCCAACGAGATCTCATCTCCCGCCAGCGCAATGGCTTTATTCTTGTACTGCGCCTGGTCGGCCTTCAGGAAAGCTTCCGCCGCGACCTTGCCGATATCCTTGGTACTGATCAACTTCAACTTATTCTGGTTGCCGTTGAGTCGCCACATGGAAATGAACCCTTTGCCCAGAAAATCGTTGCTGAGGTTTTCGTAGAACGCGACGGGACGGAGAAATGTCCACGTGCCACCATTCAGCTTCGACTTCTCCACGATATCCTTCTCGATCTCGAATTTGCTGGCGAAATGCGGAACAGGCGTCGCATCCTCATCGCTGTTCTTCCCACGATCTGTCGCGGTAAACACAATGTGTTTGACACCTGCATCGACTGCGGCTTTGGTCATGGCTTTGCCCTGCGCTTCCTCCTTTTTCGCGTTCATGGGGTTGGTGACGGAGAAGAAACCCCATGGTTTGTCGACTTGGCGGAAGACGGCTGATGGGTTGTCGAAGTTCCCTTCGATGACGAAGACGTTTGGTTTGCTGGAGAGGGCGATTGCGGATTTGGAGGTCTTGTTGCGGGTTAAGGCGTAGATCTCGAAAGGCTGCGAAGGGGTTGAGAGAAGCGAGGAGATGAGTGCGCCGCCCTGTTTGCCTGTGGCACCGCTGACGACAATGCGACGGGTAGTGTTTGCCATTATTTATGCGAAAGTGTGTAGAAGTGAAGATGGGATTGTGGTCGTCAATTTGATGGAGATGTCGCTATTGCTTTGCGCAAAAACCGAACAGGTAGATTGATGATTGTGTGGTTGATTGAATGCAGTGATTCTGATTATCTACAAACAGCTTGGAGCCCCTCATCTATATAGCCTCATGAACTCTAAGTCTGGCCTGACCATGATCGCAATCTCTCAATTCCATGTGTTGATGCCACAGGAACCAGAATTCGTCCGAGTTTAACGCGTTCGTCGATTCCCCACTGTAATCGAAGTTTCGGTGGTCCATCGAAGGCGCCCCCGAGAGCTCAGCCTATGAGAAGACCAGGGGATGTGGGTGGTAAGGCGCCCCAGACGACCACTCAACAATGTTATCTGAGGCTCGCTACCGCGAATCCCAACTAGTGTTGGATGTCACCACCGTATTCATGTTGGCGGACGTTGCTCGGGGGTTGAGGGTGGTGTTTTACATGGGAAAGGCTGGGGTAGAGAATGAGTCGCCGGACGAGTTGTTGCTTGTCGCGCATCTTTTGGGGTGCGCATTGATGACGTTCTCGCGATCGGGACTTGTACTGAGGGCCGCGGAGCTGGGCTTCACGCGTGTTTCGCAACATCCGAGACCGATGGTTACAAACCCAAAGCTCCGAACAAACGAGGCGATGCGCGAAGATGCTTCTTGGAATTGAGGGTAAAAGTCAATTGAGGTTCTCCTTTTGGCCATGTCGATTACGCTCTGTAACGAGTCACATGACTTCATCGCAGCTGATGTCATCTCCAATGTACACCAGTTTGGCGACGTTGTGTGATGTATACAGTATTTTTTTTTGGCATATTAAAGCATTTTGGTCACCGTGCATTTGTACATGGAAAAACAGTTTTGCCGCATACAAATACAGTAATTTAATAGAGTAGCTTAACTGGTGAATGCACGCGTGCGCTTATTTTCGTGATATATTCAAAGTGCGAAGTACGGGGTGCGAGTTGCGAGGTGCGAGTTGCTACAGAGCAGTAAATAGAAACACCACCTCTAAATTCAAGTAATCCTCGTGACCGACATGAAGAATCAAATTGTATAAATACAAACATGAAGTCTGCCAAAAAAAAATCTATATCATCCAACCACCACTTTCCCAGCATTTCCTCAATCCTCCTCCAAACATCATTCACTTCTATCAACAAACACAAAACTCAATACCATCAAAATGTACGCCACCAGCCTCTCCGCTCTCGCTCTGCTCGCGTCCACCTGCACCTCTGCTCTAGCCACGCCCCTCGAGGCCCGCGACGCCACTTCCAACGTCCGCATGTTTGCCGGCGACACCTGCAACGGAGCCACCAACTCATTCTCTGTGTCCGGCTCTGGCTCCTACCGCTGTGTTCCTGTGCCCGCGGCTCGACGCTCCATCTCCGTGACCGGAAGGTACGTATCATGATCCGCAAAGCGGTACCCCTAGGTTTTGCTGCAACGGCTAACCGACATATCTGCGCAAAGTGGTTGCGCGACCGTCACTTGGAGCGGTACCAACTGCCAAGGAAATTCCTTCAAGCTTCCTGACTCGGCCTGCCACTCTATTCTGTACGGCTCTGTCTCGGTCCAGTGCTAGGACTGATGCACTTTTGCTATCGCTGTTTAGGTGACGTGGCTGTTTTGGCTAGGAAAACTTACGACGATGTAGCATGGTAGAAGATACCAATAGTTTGGGGGATATGATAGATTTCATATATAGAATAGAAAAAGTTATGGGTGTTCAACACACCTGTTTCTTAATATTGAATAGATCGATCAATGATTTTAAGCTTACTGAGATCCTGCTATTCCTTGCAAATTGTATATTAACACTAGGCGCCCATTGCCTCTAATAGCAGTACTGCATTATCCTGTAGAAAGCTCTTCTACTACGATCGATGTGAGTACTGTCATCACAGCGCCTGGTATACTTGGGCAAAACAGTGTCTGATTCTTCATCTCCATCCAGCTTTTGAACTCCGCCGAGTTTAGAAGCCATTCTCCAGACCCGGCTTGCCGCTGGTTGAGGATGTCATTCTGGTGAGGAGTATAGTCCGTTGGTGGCGACGCTGTGTGATGTATACAGTATTTGCTGGCATGTTAACGTGTTTTACTCGATGTGCATTCGTACTTCGAACAAAATTGTGCTGCATGGAAATGCGATGGTTCAATGTAGTGTCCTATTACTTGGGGAAATCGATTAATTCCCAGCGCGAAATTCAACCAGTAAAGCCAATCATGCGAGATTTTTCCTTTTCCTTCCCTAGTCGCACAATCTGATTGGCTACTGTCTAATATGATTCTTCTCATTCGATGTCAAGGTGGTGGTACATGCGATGTGTCAGCGGCTTAGTGGACCAGGAAGACACCCAATCATATCCCCGCGTTTACCTGCGCGGTCCAGACCGATAGCTAGCCCAGTAGGCAGCAACCCTCCCTACACACACGAACAGAATCAAAGACAGAACAAATACTCGCCATCTCGAGGCTCATGCACAGCGATCCAACATGAGAGACACGCCTACAGTGCTTTACTCGCTGCCCGCTGAGCTGCTCCTGCTGATCTTCTCCTATTTCATACCATCCCTCGAAAGCACGATCGGCAACACAGAATACGAGACGAATCACGGCCAACTACCACTCTTCTCCATCCGTTATACATGCCGATACTTCTTTTCTTTATCAGAGCGTCTCATTGAGAATGGCCACTTTTACAACCACCGCTCGTATCTGCAACTCATGAATGCGAAACCGGAGTTGTGGGCAAAGGTCAAATCCGCTGTTTTGCAAACTCACCATAGCCCCACGAGAGACGAACGGTTCTGCTCACATCTGGATGCTAAACTCGTATTGTCAAAACAACATTTCCGCTGGCCTGCTGATGAGGAATTCGAATCTGATGAACTAGAGAAAGACAACAGACCTGGTGAACCATGTCGCGAATACAACCACGAGAGAGCTGCTCTGCTCGCTTTGATGCCCAACCTCGAAGAACTGATGTTCTTCTCTGGTCCAGATGAAGACAATCAGCGCTCCCGCTGGGGTGACAACCGAGTCACGTGTGCCTTTGAACCCTTTCATCAGCTCATGGAATTTCGCGGGAGTCAACATTTCCAACATCTAAAATCTATCAGACTTGATATGAGGCGTCTAGATGTTCACGATCTCGAGCCAATCTTTGACATACCCTCGATGCGGCAACTTTCTCTATTCAGGGATCGGAAATATCGACACGGTGAGCCGTTCTCATCGGACTTCTCACCAGTACCCAGGTATCATCACTTTCCGGTCCATCAACACTGTTCAAACATTCATACACTTGAACTGCAGTTCATAAAGTACCCTCATAGAATCATTGAGCGCCTGATAGGGTTTTGTAAGGCACTAATATCTTTTACTACGGAAGATGTATACACACAACGGGCCAGAGAATTTGTTTACGATATAAACACACAGCCGCTCAGAAACTTTGCCTACGCTGATATATTGAAGTATCTCTCAAGGAAACACCAACATACACTGCAAAGGCTCTGCATCAAAGAAACAAAAGCACCCGTCTATGATCTTGCAGATGGGTCTATCATTGTCACGTTGAATCGATTTGAGAAATTGCAGCATCTCCAGATTCCGTGTCTCTTCATGGTTCCAGCTGACGTCTGGTATAACCGTCACTTGAATGACAAGATCCAGGTTCCCGATGATTCATGGATACTGCAGTTTCCAAAGCAAACACAAGAAGTCATTCTGCAACTTTACAAAGCCAACGACAACGGCTTGGGCAAGTACGCACTCCTAGCCGCACTAGATGAACGATGTTCCCCCGCGAATCCTACGCGACTCGAAAAGCTCCACATCATAGAGTATAGGTGTCCGTTGGCGGCGGGCTTTAAAACCCTTGACTTAGAAGCTCTGGAACGAAAATGCAAATTACACAACGTTCATTTTCAATATGAGATACAATTCCACGGCGTTAATAAGGATGTGCTGGTCAAGAAGGTCGCCCCAGCAATTCTGGAGCAGCCAAACGGGGAATATATGTTAGACCGTACGTTCTACTACGAGCAGCTTTGGCAATGCGACATCCCGAAAAAGAGAATATTAAGAATGCTTGTTGAGCAACAGCGGCACATGTTGTTGGGGCCGTCTTGATCGACAGATCCTGCGCGGTGGAACTTCAAAATGCAGTAGGAAGATGCGCGCGCTCAGATACCTTCGGACCAGCCAGTGCTTGATTGTCTTGTACAAGATAGAAATCATTATCATCACCATACTTGGGCATCTGGAACATCTAGATCTCAATACCCCTGTCACAAAAAAATATCCGAGAACGGGAACCGGGTGGGATCTATGGCAATGGATTAGCGCGGCTATCCGGGGCAGACGAGAAGGGTTATGCCGAGTGCTTACAGGTAGGCAGCAGCAGCCTGATCCTGCAAATGATGCCTTGTTGATCAAAATACAGTGCCTAATAAAATACACCAATAGAGCTGCGAGGACTTTATATAGAATAGTTTTCAATCCAATTCACTACGCCACTCGTGTGATATTATTAGTGTGACTCGTTCATCACGGCGAGAAGCAAAAACAATTAGGGGCTACATTGTTCATAACAAGCGATCATTGCAGCTCTTGCTTATTCTTTTCCCCTCTCCCCACAAAAGAAAATCGCAATTGGCGTTCCCGAGGATGGACACGTCTGCTTCGTTTCTGTGCTCCATCGCACCAGAGCTGCTCTTGGAGATTTTCTCTTACCTCACACCCACCGCGGAATACCATACAGCACACCCCGACCGCCCACATGCCCTCACAATATTTTCAGTTCGGCTTACCTGCCGTTATTTCCTCGATCTGAGCGAGCAACTCGTGCACGTGCACTTCTATAACCACCACGTGCACCTACGGATCATGGGCGCGGACCCCAGCCTATGGACGAGGGTCAGAACAGCAGTCCTGCAAGAAACTGAGGTCTACAGAACATCTGAATCCTTCCGATCATACCTTAACCTCAGAGATGTCACAAAGCAGCTAGGCTTTCGGACTGTGAGAGCCGGCGAAACGCTCGGTCTGAATGGCTTGCTACCTGACTACATGTTCATAACAATACACGATCAATGGCCTTGTCCCGGACGCGATACCGAGCAAGCATTGCTATTATGTTTCATGTCGAACCTCGAGGACTTGGTGCACTACTCCCGAAGCTACGATTCCATATCCAGCTCGAATACTGGCGGTAGAGAGGAAGATCGATCTATCCTTGCGCCTATCCTTTTTGCTGGCCAAGGTATCCCGTACGGCAACGTCCATAAGTTCGAGCATTTGCGATCATGTCGGATTGACATGCAAAATATGGAGATCGGTGACATCGCACCTATCTTCTGTCTTCCAGCCATGCGTCGTCTCTGCTTGATGAACTGCCGACAAGGCCGTCGTAGCCACCGTCGCGTTCAAACGGACCAAGAAGTAGGTACCGTGTGCGAAAATTGGTGGTGTCGAGAAGGGACTTCCAACGTTGAAGAGCTGGAGTTGCGCGGAATCGCTGAGCGTGAACCTATCATCGCTACTATGATAAAATGCTGCAAAGCGCTGATATCGTTTATCCTCGATGTTCGTTACTCAAACCAGCTTTCTTCAACGGAAGACATGCTTCATGTACTTTCTGCATCACACCCTCACACACTTCGAACGATCCATATAGAAGAGGATACGGACTTTTCCCGTCGAGGACACACCACAGGCGTTGCGACGACGCTTGCTAAATTCGAAGTGTTGCAAGACTTCCGTATTCCAATTCGATTGCTAGCACCGACTGGTGACTGGGACGAAACAACTATTGCGCAAGCGAACCATCTCGCCGGAAACCTCCCCGCCGCTCTCGAGTCCTTAACACTCGATGCCGCTCCCGTCCACAAGAACGAGATCTACACCAAAGCGTTTCTAGTTACTTTGCACCAGCACTGTTTACAGACGCCGAATCACCGACTCAAAAGGGTTCGTGTAGTCGAGAACTGGGATAACGTAACCACTGGATATGTTGCCGTGGGTCTCGAGGCTGGCGAAAGGTTTTGCGAGGAGAACGATATTCATTTCCTGTATGACGTTGTTTGTCGCAATCTCGGAGGTGAAGAAGATGTCGAGTATAAAGATGATATGATTCTGGATATGGAGAACGGGGAGAAGCTGCTAGAACATACGACGTATTTTAGTCGAGGGTATGAAAGGATTATACCAAAGGAAGGAGTAGAGGAGAGGATCAAGAATTATATGATGATGAAGCGGGGAAAGGGATCTGGACATGGAGTATCTGCTGGGGTTGAACGGGATGAAAGTGCAGAGATGGAATAAGAAGATCGGGGGACCAATGGCGAGCCACCAGGATGGACTGTTCCATTCGACCCCGAGGTGCAGATGCGTCACTCGAGATTTCTACGACAGAGAATCTTACCATCAGTTGAGCAGTCACACGGGTAAATACCACAGCATACATTTGATTAGCGCCATAACACGTTTACACATGCATTTGCTTGACATTTCTGGACCTTTTTGTCAAGTATATTTGATATGGATTCATCTACGTATCGCGCAGACGTACGCCGCTATAACCCTTGATCCAGAGGCCAAAAGCTCGATCCTATTGCCAGGGATTATGTTCGCCATGGCCGCGACGAAAAATCACCAAATGACGTTGCTTCGGTAACTCCCATCGTGGACTGTCGGCTCGAGACGATGCGGTGGTGAAAGGGCTCGAGGGAGGAACACCGCATGACCTGCAAAAACTTCACTGATCCAACGAAGTGACTGCAGAGGCTGTCTGTTGGAACCAGGATGTTTTTTTATTGCAGCAGAGCGTCGCATTATGGGAGAGCACATGGGCATCGTTCACTGCAGGCCACTACACCAGTGTCCGCCAAAAGGTGAGAACACGACGCTCGTTTGATGTCTTTCACCTAGGGGTCCAAAACGTTGGCTGCATAACACCTCGTCGGCGAATGCGGTCTGATATCGGATCTACTTTGACCCGATCCCCGTGTGTGTAGGTGTTTGCGGTCGTGCCTTCCTCTTATAAGAGCACGACCTCACCCTCTCTCACCCACCTCACCCCACCTCGCCACGACGACCACCTTCCCACCTCTCCACCTCAACCTGTGATCCGTTCGCAGCACTCCTTCTCATGAAGAAACTTATCATGAGGTTACTTCTCTTCTCGGCCCTTGCGGCTCTTGTGACTGCCAATTCCGGTGCCGACTTGGCTCCGCGCGCAAACGATCGCGGACCTCCGCTTCCGTACGTCGACAGCAGCGGCGGCAATCAGCTCGAGCAGCCTACCTCCGACGTAAATGCCGGTGCCAATAAGCCATCATGTGGAGTCATGAGCGGCACCGTCAACGCGCGCACCATTGGCTACTACCAAGCTCGGAACGTCCGCACGCGTCCTTGCGACCAGGTCTGGCCGAACCAGCTCAATACCAAAGGTCTCACCCATCTGAACCTTGTGTTTGCTACCATTGATCCCAAGACTTTCAAGATTGGTCTCGACAACAAGGGTGATGATGAAATTTATCGGCAATTCTTGAACCTTAAGAAGGACGGTCTGCAGTCTTGGTTTGGTGTCGGTGGATGGTAAGTACAATATTATGAATCTTTTCGTTTTGAAAGTGCCATGTTACTGACATTCACTTTCAGGCATTCCAGCGGCAATGATAAGACTAGGCATACCTGGACCGAGCTGGCTGCGTCCCCCGAAAATAGGAAAGCCTTTGTCGATTCCGCTGTTGACTTCCTGGAGCATTATGGCTTTCAAGGACTCGATATCGATTGGGAGTGGCCTACTTCAGGCAACCATGGTGGATGTCCGGAGGAAAAAAAGAATCATGTAAGTTAACAAGAAAGAAGACATGTGGTCTCATGCTCACGGCGCCAGGTTGCTCTCATGAAAGATCTCCGTAAAGCCTTCGGCACCAAGTACGGCCTGAGTTGTGTCCTGCCATTAGATGGCCACTATCTCAAAGGGATCGATATCGCACGCCTTGCGCAGCACGTGGATTGGATCAACATCCTCACCTACGATATCCACGGAGCTTCGAAGGTTGATGGTCCTGAAAATGCACATGTGCGATCCCCTACTGATGCTAAGGAAATCGACGAATTGCTCAGTGTATACTGGGATTCGGGTGTCGATACAAATAAGATGAACTTCGGTGTCGCTTTGTACGCTCGTGGATTCACACTCTCCGATCGCAACTGTCATGATGTTGGGTGCAAATTCTCTGCCGCCTCCCACGAAGGCGCTTGCACCAAGCAGGCAGGGATGCTTAGCAACACAGAGCTCAAGCGACTCATCAAGGAGAAGAACTTGCACCCTCAAATGTTAGGCAATGGCGCCGATGCAATGTCGGTGGTCTACGAAGATCAGTGGTTCGGATATGACTCCCCGGAGACCATCGAAAAGAAGAAGATGCTTGCGAGCAATCGTTGCATGGGCGGATCCGCTGTCTGGGCGCTTGACTTTGACTCCAGTGACGAGGGCGAACAGCTGCCATGGCCTTCTCCTAGCTCTTCAAGTCATTCAAAACTTTGCTCCACGGGTGGTGCAGGTCAGTCTTCTGCTTCTGAAAGGTCGTCTCATTCTTGGGAGAGCAATGTACCTACCCCGCCTTATTCTCTCGTTCCGTCATCAATGTATTCTTCGATCTCGAGCATTAAAGCTTCGTCGGGATCAACTACAGAGGCATCGACAAAGTCTGGAAGTTCAGCTCCAGCAACAAAGAGTAAACAATCAAGCGCCGGGTCATCAGCTCCCCAAAGCCAGAGTCAAACCCACAGCTCGTCTGCTCACTCTCAGTCTCAAGGCTCGTCATCTGGATCTTCCAATCGTCAGCAACGTCGAACTGAATCTTCTTCAGCCCCATCACAGTCTCAGCCTTTTGATCAACGTTCAACTGGATCTTGGTTATCGTGGAAAATCTCCAGCAGTTCGTCTCCAGCCCCATCGCAGTCGAAGCCTGATGATCAACGTTCAACTGAATCCTGGATATCTTGGAAAACTTCCAGCAGTTCTTCGTCAGCCCCACCACCGTCACCGTCGAATACTGGTGATCAGCGCTCAACTGGATCCTGGATATCATGGAAAACGTCCAGCAGTTCTTCGTCAGCCCCACCACCGTCACCGTCGAATTCTGGTGATCAGCGTTCGACTGGATCCTGGATATCATGGAAAACTTCCAGCAGTTCTTCAGCCCCACCACCGTCCAATTCTGGTGATCAGCGTTCAACTGGATCTTGGATATCTTGGAAAACTCCCAGCACTTCTTCAACAACATCACCGCCGAATACTGGTGATCAGCGTTCGACTGGATCCTGGATATCATGGAAAACTTCCAGCAGTTCTTCAGCCCCACCACCGTCGAATTCTGGTGATCAACGTTCAACTGGATCTTGGATATCATGGAAAACATCGAGTGGGCCTACATCGACTTCATCTTCAGAGAACCAACAGACAACTGGAGGATCTGAGTCTCTGACTGCCAATTTTCCAATCCCAACTTTATCTTGGATGGGTCAGAAAAGTGAATCTAGCTGGAGTCTGACCCCAGTTCAACCTCCGAGCATGTCTAGTTGGAGCGGGTTCCCCAGCGTAACTGCTCCGAACCTCGGACCACAGCCCACGGCCCCACAGTATGGAGGTGGAAACTACCAAGAACTCGGCTGGCGAAACATCCCCCAATGTGTGGACGGCAAGAAAAACGGGCGATATCTCACGAAGGAATGCTGCGACGGCTGCTGGCACGACGAAATTGCTGAAGACGTATGTATCACTCCATCTTCGTTTAACTCTTTGCTCACTGATTTCAGGGCAAAACTCGGCTGTTGAGGTGCACGAAAAAACAGCTGTTCGGGTGTGGTTGCGGACCATTTGGCATGTCAATCCCTCCATGCACATGGCCCGAGATTGATTGGCCAAAATTCGACATCAAGATTCACATGCCAGAGATTGCACCCATTCTACCATGTGGAATTTTCGGCTGCGATCCCAGTGATCTGTTCGGCTGTGATGGTAAGACCCTGACCTCTAAAGCTTGTCTAGCCCCTGACTTACATGATGTGTAGGTTGCGGTCCAGGACCACTTGGTTTTGGCGGTTTCTGTTGGGGCCCTGGATGCGACAAGCCATGCCCTAAGAACTTGTGCCCAGATGGTAAAGGTTGGAAAGTAGGGAAGCCGCCAAAGCCTAAGCCTGGAGATCCTGATCCAGATACCAACAATTGCGACAAGAAAGACGTGAAAACCATCACCACAGCCGACGTTTCGTGTACTGAGTTCGTCACCGCGTCGAGTACCTCTGTCATCTCCATGACTTCGTCGACATGCATCACGCTGTTTTCAGCAGAACTCACAGGGTGCAACATGCGCGGTGGGGGAACATCGACCCAAACTGGAACAAAGACGAAGTCTGGCTCTTCGATTGCCATACCGACCCTCTCATGGAAGAACGGCGATGCCATCGCTATTCCTACTCTCTCTTGGAAGCCAAAGGTGGCGGCATGTACCAGGGCACCCCTCAATCTTGATGAAGAAGAGGGAGACAATGAGCTCAAGCGGAATATCACGATCCCGACCTTATCCTGGATGCCCAATAATAAGATCGCGATACCAACTCTGTCGTGGATGCCATCTCATGGAAGCTGTACGCGATCGCCTTGCAATCCCGACGAGAATGAGGGTGATAATGAAGGTATTACCATTCCGACACTCTCATGGCAGGCCGAAAAAGTGCCAGTGCCGACTCTCTCTTGGAAGCCCCAGCCGACCAAGTCCTCGTCAAGCCAAGCACCGCCCTCGTCAAGCCAAAAACCGCAAGGAACGCAGCATCCTATACCACGTGGTGGCATGTGGACTGTCGAATTAAAACATGCTTTAGATACAAATAAGCAGCAGGGTGTAGTCCAATGGGTCATGAAAGATTCCAACGGCTTCGAGGCGGGCAAGGGATGGAACGGCGACGAACTCGTCTCTACCAGCGCCCCGTTACCCTTCGCGCCCGGGATCTTTTGCAAGAAACTTGGAGACAAGGAGCTTGGAGAAATCGAATTTTTCTTACATGCCCAGCTTCCGGGGGGTTGCGAGGTGTCTTGGACAACGGGCAACTTGAAAGACCCGTGGCAGAAGAAGCAAATGTGTCCGTTCCAAGGCTATGGAGATGATGCAATTGGGTGCGACGACATTTCCAAGGTCAAGTGGGAGCAGACCATCCACGACGAACCGAATTATTGGGAACGCAACTTCAAATGTTGGTTCCGCTATATGGGCCGTGGTATCCGGGAGAATCCCTGGACTTATGACGCTTGAGAGTGCGGCGCACAAACAAATGTATATCGGTCACCACAGCTGACCTAGAGTGATGGAACAAATGGTCGTAACGAGGTATGGTAGGGCAAAGTCACCCATCTTGAGCGGAGATATCCAAGGATATGTAGCGTACCCAATGACCAATGTAATGATGAACATGGACCACATCTTGCCTCATTCCTTCTGCGTAAAAATATACCTCAAAACTATCTTTACCATTCTCTTTACAAAGACGACGTTAAGGCAGATACAGGCCGCGTATACGCGCTTTTTAATTATCGCGATCGATGATGGCATCAGCATTCGACCATCCATCCGAAACCCAACCCAACATAACCCTTCGCAGATAACAAGCGTGCTCACACATGTCATGACCACGTGCACCCAAGAGAAATCCTCCAAGGAAACATTCTCATCCGAAACAAAACCACTACCCAAATAAAGATGCGCGCGCACAAAATATCTCCTAGCCGCCGAGCGAAGAAGAGTAAGATGGGGCACAGCGCGCAAACAAGACTACCCGGGAGGCTGAGCTGCCCATCCTCGCGCCTCGTGATTGGCCGACATTGTTTCGTTTCAGAAACGGGCTGGGGGCCTTGTTCGTCAGCACCAACGTGCGGCGTATAGTCGTTTGTTGTCGCTATTTATGAAGATAGTAGTCTTTGGAGGGGATGGTACTAAGCTGTTTTGGAGGAATATGTACGATGGGGTTGACGAGTGGGGGATGCTAAGCTTTTCTGTGAGGAGTTCTGGACCAACCGTAGGCACTTGTTTGCGTTGTACACTCTGTGCGCTGGGTAAGCGGATGCCGGCTATACTGGAGTACTGTGGTGATGGTGATGATGGTGACCGTTCGGACGATGAGTCTCCCGAGACAAGAATACGTTGTGTAGAGAGATGGAAATAGAATTGTTTGTAAGTCGTGATGGGTGTTGTACAAGTTTATGAGGAGGCGGTTATGTATATAAACGGCCAACACCAACACCAACCATACTTTTTTTTATCTTCATCACAACAAAGCATTTCCATCTTCAGCATTCAGCGACTCTTTTTTCCTACTTTCCTATCTTCCTTGTTAGGTTTTTAGATTTCAGTGTCTCATTTTTCACACATTCTATCTACTCCACCTCCCAACACCAACACCAAGAAAACATATCCAACATGCACACCACCGCTTTCCTCACCACCCTCCTCACCACCGCTCTGGCCGCTCCACACAACTACGCCCGCCCCACAAGAGACAACGGCATAACCGTAGCCCTAATCTCCATCTCCCCAGAGCTCCAAACCCAAACCGTCCTCCGCGACGGCATCGTCGACAAGTCCCCCCCAGTCGGCTCCCAAGGCCCGTACTCACAAGTCTCCATCACGGTCGGCCCACAAGCCTCCAACAAAGCCATCCGCTGCCAACTCCTCGACACCGCCGGGACCCCGATCCCCGCGCGCCGCAACGGAAACCTCGACACGACCTTCGCTGACGGCGACGCCGGAGCCTGGACGTTCGTAACCCCCGACCAACTCGTATCAGAAATCATCTGCGATCCGTCGTTCAAGAAAGCCGAACCCATCACCCCCCCTACTGTAAACACCACCGCCCCTCCCTCTTCCTCCTCCCCCTCAGACGAAATCCGCGTCCTCCTAAGCAACCAAGCAACCGAAACCGGAATCTCCTTCCGCCTCCCCAACTCGGGCGTCCGCGAGGAACTCGAGGTCAAGAGCACCGAGATGTTCAAGGACGTGCGTATCTTTTCGCCCGCTGCCGTGGAGAATTCGCTTAGGTGCCAGATCCTTGATAAAGCGGGGGATGCGGTGACGGCGAAGCGTGGGGAGAATGTTGATACTACGTTTTCGGATGGCGGGAAGGAGGAGTGGGGGTTTGTTAGGCCGGTTATGACGACGGTTGGGAGGATTGTTTGTGATCCTGCGTTTGTGAAGGCTAGTGCTTAGATGGGCGGGGGGTTTTTGATGGAGGAGGGGGGGTTTGAGATGGTGGTTTGGGAGAGGGGATTTGCTGGTTTTGCTGGTTTGGTTGTTGAGGATTGTCTCTTCTTCTTCTTCTTCTTTTTATGATTTGGTTCTTTTGGATTTTGTTTTTATTCGTTTGCATTGCGCGGTATTTCGAGGGGGGATAATCTTTCTTGACGCTCTTTCATCTTGCATGGCATTTTAGATTTCTTCAACGACGATGATGGGTGGTTTGTGGATTTAGGTTCTTGGGCGATTTACTAGAAAACAATATTGTTGTGATAACCTCTTGGACTTCTGTCTGCAGCGAGTGATGGTGCTTGAGGCATGCTATCGTAATAAGCTTCAATCTGATACTTCGATCTATTCGATCTGTTCCAGGACCACATCATTGGTATTTGGAGCATAGGATACAGACCGACTCTACCAACGGAAGCTAGGTGGATATTCATCCTCAGTCCGTATAGTGCGGTCTAGAGCGGATCCTCCGCCGTACTGTAGCTTGTTCCTCACTTCCAACTATTGACACGATAGCCCATGAGTAACCAAAGACACGCTGCGAAGTAATCCATGGTAACCATTTTGTCCGCAAGTAAAGACACATCCAAAAAAAAAAAGGCGTCGTATATCTCATCAATGGCCGTGGCATTAAATCAATGCAAGCACTTAAATCATTTGTAAAGTGGTTTGACTTGATCTTATTTCAGCCCCCAACTAGAATAAATGGGCACACGGAGCCTACTATATAGATGTTTGTTAATATGGCTATTTCACTCAGCCACTTGTGCCGCCCTTTCGCGAGGTAGAGCATTAGATTTTAGTGCCTAAGTGTCGTCAATGTTTGCACTTAGGATCTGTAGGCAAACTGCAAGGAAATCATGGTCCTTGCCAAATTCAATACTACGCAGATTCCTGCGAATTGGAATCCGAATTGAGAATTTCCCTGTGGAAAAATGGGCGTATGCAAACTCATCCGCACCTCAGATTTTGTAAATTCCCATCCATCGCCTTGGCCTCAAACTTTTTACAAGTTCGCAATGTTTGACTTTGATGTCCAATACTCAGCCTTCTTGTTTGTATTGCGTTTGGTCATGTCGGCTGCGCCCTACATTCCAGCCATGCTTCTGAAAGTGACAATTTGAGCCCATTTTCATAGATGGGAATTTGTTTCGCGCGTGTAGTGGGGCGGATTACTCGCCCTAAGCAGGGCTGTCAACGAGAAGGGCGCCCGCACAGCCACCCAACGACTAGCACTAGTACCGAAAGAGGCGCCACACCGCCATGCGTTGTTTGTAAGGAAGGGCGCTGCTAATAGTGTGATATTACAAAGATAGTTGCTTCTAAGATGATGTGTATGTATAAGTACCGGTCTCTACTGACTGACTAGGAGGTCGGGACACTGGCAGGCATTAAACCGCCTGCTAGCCATTCGCTCCTCAATACCTCTCTCTTGCTACGACGAGCGCAATCCTCTTTTCATTGCCACCGACGATCTTTAACTAATCAACTGCATTCACCATGGCAGCAACCCTCCGGAAACGGTTGTTGGACGATATCCGCGATGTCCAAAACAACCCCTATCCCAACACTCACCTCCACGTTCACGATGAGGACATCACACGAGCCTGCTTGATCCTCGACCCTGAACAATATCAAGTTCTTCATCTCACCATCAAGTTCTCGGAATATTATCCAATCTTTGCGCCTGAGATATCGATTCAAACCGAAATCGAACACCCCAATGTCTTTGGCGATTACATCTGCGCTACAATGCTCAACACGGCGGAAGATTGGACCCCGGCGTACACACTCAGGGGCATCATCATCCAGATGCTGAGTTTCTTCATGAGTGAATCGGTGGAACAGGAGCATTGGATGGGACCTGATCATCATGGCGAACAAGTTGACATATGGAGTTATCGTGACCCATGTTCACTTGATGATCGCCCTGCGTTTCAGTGCAAAACTTGTGGATTCGTTGAGTGGTCTGAAGAATACCCCATTCCGGAGCCCAAACCCATGGAGACTGTGTCATCGAATACAGCATCTACTTCGAAGCGCCAATCGAAGATATTCGAGCTACCGGATGAAGTGATCATTCATCTGATGTCGTTCATGGACGCTACAGATCTAGTTGCCCTCAGTGGAGCTATACCATCTATAAGTCATATGCTTCGCTCCTACGACGTCCTGAGGATCCAAGATCTTAACTGCTTCGTATTGAAGAAGTCGCTCATGGATACCAAGCTCGGAATTGGCGTGTCTGTAACGGGTGGCAGGCGACCAGTCTTCCGCTCAGAATTCGACCTCCTCTCAAATGAAGCATATAATCTCCACGGAATTCGGACATCTGTTCAAGGAGTGCCTTTCGATCGGTGGCTTCCTCTCCCATTATCTCGCCGCCACTGGGAAAAAGTTAGGCTGAACACATTCCACAGCCTCACAGGCCTTCGCACACTCGCCAACCTCCCAAGCAAAGACAACGTATCCGTCCTCTACCACTTCATGAACACCATCGTAGTACAATTCTCCGCCACCGCCGACAACTCACTCAAGAAACCCAGCGCCCGCAGCACCCTCTCCCACGCCTCGGAAAAAGCAGTAGAATCCTACTACGCCCTCTTCCACATTCTCCTCTGCATTGCTATCGAAGACCCAACCGTCGTCCCCTCCGCCGACAAAACCATAACCTCTTTCCTCAACGGTCCCCGCACGAAAAAGGAATTCCCAGACCTCGGCCACGTGCTCGTCGCGGCACTGATCTCTACCAAAGGCGTGACCCAGCCCCTCATCATGGCCATCATCAAAGAAGCCATCCTCCGCAACGTCGTCTGGATGCTCGACTCCAAAGGCGCAGGAATGGCAGAACTAGCATACATGGAGCCCAACGAGGGCTCGCGGTACAGACTATACATGACCTTCTACGCATCAAAAACTTCATACCGCCTCCTCATGTTTCTGAGACTCTTCTTCTCCATGGCAAAGACGCCGGGAAAATCGCTCGTGCAGCTCCGCGATGAGCTGTTCGATTCTCACGGTGCGCCGCCACATGGAATCACGGCGAGCATGATGCCGCAGATCAACAAAATTCACGCCGTTGCGTCGTTCCCGGAGTTTCTGTCGTACATGGGCGTGCAGGACCTTCCTACAGCGGCGCAGTTCTCGGCGTTTCTGAAGCGGACTATTGGGGAGAGCGTGAAGATGGGGTATTCCGCTGTTCCCATGACCCAGAGCCAGTTGTACTTGATCCGGAGACAGCATGATGTGGATGTGGAGAAATCGAAAGATGTGGTTGTCACGAAGGAGCTGGAACAGTGGTTCACGAGAGGGGAAATGTGGTATGATAATGGGTGGACTGGACGGCCTAGTTTCTTTCCGCAGAAGAAAGAGCGTGATGCGTTGGGGGGTGGTAGAGGGGGGAGAGGGGGACGTGGTCGGGGGCGGGGACGCGGTCGTGGAGGTTGAGTGGTGTTTCCATTTTTCGATGGTTAGACTACATTACATCCAGTATAGACAATTAAGCAAATAGAAATTAAAATTAAAAATAGGATTATGTATATGTGTTTACGTAACAGTGTTGGATGTTGCGCAATTGATCTTATGTTTCTATGTGGATTGCACACGGATCGGGTCATACGTTTTGTAGCTAGCCAGTCAGATGTGCGCGTAGCCATCCAGACTGTGATACCGAGATGTTATCCATGGATGGGGTTATAGTGAACCCTCCAACCTTTGTAACGGCTTCATGTACATTGGCTCTGTATGCATCTTCGAGCGCTGTGCTATTCCAGTTTCAGTAAAAGGAGCACGTCACTTCGATTATAAATGAGCGAATGGATAATGGATTGCTTTTGCAAGACTCACATAGTCGACTGGCGAATGAAGGAATATTTGACAATCCCCGATGAAATTATTCTCTACTCAGTCCAACTCCAACGATTGCGCACAGCATGAGTGTTCCCGACGCGAAGCCTCAGGTCAGCATTCCTGCTCAAGCTGCGGAGGAGAACAAATCCTTGGAAAATGTCCCGTCGGCGAAAGGATATGTGGACGCGAAGGAGGAAAGAGCTTTTGTGAGTGATTGCGCCGCTGGGGATTGCTGTATGAACAAAGTTAACAATTTTAGTTGTGGCGGCTCGATGCGTGGTTTCTCTCTCTAGGTTTTCTGGGATACATGTTCAAGTATATCGACCAAACCAACATCGTACGTCTGAACCCCCCACCCCCAAAATACATACATAGGATAGAAACTTACAGACAAAGTCAAATGCATACGTCTCCGGAATGCAAGAGGACCTCGACCTCTACGGCAACCAGCTGAACTACTTCACCACCTACTTCAACATCGGCTACATAATCATGCTCTACCCTTCCTGTATCATAATATCCTACATCGGCCCCTCGAAATGGCTCCCGGGATGCGAACTCATATGGGGGATTCTCACATGCTGCCTGTCTACTGCCTCGAATTACAAACAAATATACGGCCTCCGCTTTCTGATAGGGTTCTTCGAGGGCACAGCGTGGCCGGGTTACTTCACGATCATGAGCCAGTGGTACTTACCACATGAAATTGCGCTTCGCATGGGTCTGTATAACATCGCGCAGCCAGCCGGTGCGATGCTCTCTGGCGCTATGCAAGGCGCGCTATCGGCGAATTTCGAGGGAGTGCACGGCCGTGCTGGGTGGCGGTGGGCGTTCTTGATTAATGGGGTGTGTACTATCGCTATCGCTTTGAGTGCATTCTTCATCATACCTGGGTATCCGGAGCGACCGAATCGATTGGCGAGGTTTTATTTGAACGACAAAGACATCAAAATCGCACTGAAGAGGGCCGAGCGTGTGGATCGAAAACCGCAGATTGGGATTACGGTGAAGCGGTTTTTGAGGTGTTTTACATTCTGGCAGTTCTGGGCCATCGCTAGTAAGTATCCGATGATCAGGATCTATGGCTTCGGGAACGTTGGCTGAGTGTTGCGATAGTATCGTGGAGTATCGGAGCGAATTTCCAGCCTTCAACCTACTTCAATCTCTGGCTGAAGAGCCTGACAAACAGCGATGGAACAAGGAAATAGTAAATCTCACAAACCTCATCATACCATCGCTTTGATGCTAATCAAATCCAAAAGCTCCGTATCGATGCTCAACTACCTACCAATAGCAGGCCAAGCCTCCCAACTCGTCGCCTCACTCCTCTTCTGCGGTCTAAGCGATTTCTTCCAAACGCGCCTCCCTTTCCTCATCCTACACTCCGCTATCAACATAACCTCCCTCGTCATACTTATCATACGCCCCGAAAACGAACAAGCCTACATGGTTGGCTGGTATCTCAACTATATTGGTGCCGTATCGACTATGTTGCTTTGCGCGTGGGCATCGGCGAATCTGCAAGACGAGCCTGAAGTTCGTACAGTGCTTTTCGCGACAGGGACGAGCTTGTCATATTGTAACAATGCATTCGTGCCGCTTGCGGCGTATCCGGCGAGGGAGGCACCGCACTGGAGGATTGGCGCAAAGCTCTATCTTGGTTTTGCAGTGGTGGCGACGGGGATGTTTGTGGGGCTTTGGTACGGATTTCGATGGGAGGAGAGGAAGAAAGCAGGGAAACTTAAAGATGAAGAGCATGTGTCTAAAGTGGAAGATGAAGTTGGGAGGAAGGAATGTGAAGAGCATGTGACGGAGGTGACAGATGAAGCTGGAAGTAAAGGATGCGGAGACCGTGTGACCGAGTTGAGAGATGAAGACAGAGTTGAAGTGAAGGAATCGAAGGACTGAGTAATTTTCATAGTGTGAAGTGCGGAATTTGGGCCGGACTCTCGTGTTTCTTAAGCTGGCCGTTGTTGCATTCCATGGGGAGTTTTGCGTGGAGCCCTTCTAGCGTAGAGTGCTGTTGGGTTGTGGGATCATACTTAGGCACATTCAATCATGGAATGTGATGGTTTCGTAATATGCCTAGTCATGTATATTTTCGTCGTATATGAAGAGCGTGTTTTGGGTCCGTGATTAGGCGGTAACGACGGGATAGTAATTAGAAGTTGATGTTAGTTCTGTTGAGGCTCCGACGTTCGCCTCTGTAGATTAAGCGGTTCTGATCGCGCGGTCGCTCCTCATCTGCCCATAGACCTTCTATCATCCTGTTTATGAAGTATCTTGCGAATGGACGGCAATTTTCGGTGAGAAGAGGATAATTTGCCCATTTGTGGAAACATGCTCCGGATTGCGGTACGTGCGCAGCTGTTCATAGTCTTTCGGGAGATTGTTCATGTGTTGCTTGGGCCAGAGTTGAGCTGATATCGGACAATCAGTCACAACATGAATGAATATTCGAGTTAGCCATACCGTGTAAGATGAACTTTTCGAATGCGCAAAAGACTTTTGGTATTGGTAGTTCCCATCCTTGATCTTGATCAACTCATCCTCTTCGATGTTCATGCCGGTGGTCATCCAACTTAGAATTGACCTGCAAGAATCTATCTCGAGAGACTACCGAACTTGGGCAGTTTGAGTACTGAGGGAATATCCAAATATCATGGAACAGCCATCCAACAGAAACAGCAGTAATATTGTGTAGATATTTCCTGTTAGTCAACGTGCACCTCAGCCTCGTGCGCCACAATTGCAGCTGCAGATACGAAGCCACGACGAGGTTGGCCTGAGCGATAGACCATGTACTGCAAGGTATTAGGCCGCAAAGTAAGGCAACACAGTAAAGCTACGACTCTTGGACAACGATAAATTATGATGATTACCTTCATTTGCAGCGATTTGCGGCTGCAATGCGTTCCGGGAGTCCCCCCCTCGACTATTACCCCTAGACGTCCAAGGAACTGAAGCATCCTGATCCCATGCCGAGAGAATGTTTCCCCCTGCACAAAAGAATTCGCCTGCATACAATAAATTCTTTGCTGATTCTTCAGTTGTGGGAGTCTTTCTAAGCATATACGGCTTCTTTCTCCATTTGGCTATTGTAAACAATGCAAGGGGACGGGTTGCTGACGACAGCGAGTAAAGCGCTTTCGAAGCCGTTGCCCAAGACAGAGATAGTCTTCGCTAACATCTTGCTTACTCAACTGGTTCCCAAGAGAAAGGTGGAAATCCAGGTGCCGTATTGTGAAAGCCTGTATAAACGCTGCTCCAATACTTTCATCTTGGTGGATTATGCCGCGGTTATATAGGCGATGACGCAGTAAAGGAATGTTTAGCGCCTCAGCAGAACAGCCCCCAAGGCTAGGAATGCTATCGCGATGGTTGCACGAGCCAATCTCACATGGTAAAAGCGGTATACTATAGTGTATCGCGTCTATGAACATATAGGGCTCGTATACCAATCTGTAATCGGAGATTGACCATTGGCGGACGTAGATCCACCGGCAGTGACCCCGTATCAAGTGGGGAGCATTCATGGGGTGAGCTTCGTTAACTGATCAGCCTTCGTATAGGGGATTCGCCTTTTCGACTCACTTTACACATAACATCCTCTCAAGAACCACACAAATTTATGTGGATGATTAAGAAGATGACAATGCAGATACGAACTCATCGATTTTACACTGCACAATATAGTTCGTCGAGCGATGTCACATGGTGAATAGCAATCACGGAACGGCGTACATCCGAGAGACCTCGCCACGCACCGACTACCAAAGAGAGCCTGCTACTCGCTGGCTAGTTCGTTGTTGCGTTTCGGCCCTTACCGACCCACTTCAAGACATCACCATTCCAGTCCCACTTCCTCGCGCATTACACTGCGCACCTTCAATCATCTCTCAGGCCTCGTACGTTGCGCGATGGCTGCTATACAATCCGAAGACGGTATCTTTCTGCAGTACCTCACCTGGACCAACGTATTTGGAGCCCTGGTCATCTACGTCGTCCTTAACTTCGTCACCAACATCGTTTTTGCACCCAAATACCCAACAACAGTCCCATGGGTAGGACATGGTAAAGGTTACCTCAATGGTGTCCGTAACGTTCGCGATGGATTTACCCAAAGTAAGCAGTGGATGAGCGAAGGATACAACCAGTATTCGCGACAAGGGAAGACCTTCGTTTTGCCTCCTGTGCTCGGTGCCGGCGCGCAGATCATTATCCCCCGGGAGCAAATGTCATGGTTAGTGGATCAGCCAGATCATATTCTCAGCACGAAAGATGCGCATTATGATATGCTGCACGGTGATTATGCTTTCGCAACACCAAAGTGTCTTCAGGACCCGTACCACGAACATGTTATACACAAAAATCTGGCGCGCAACCTGATTTCGGTTCTTCCTGACCTCGATGATGAAGTCGGGCGCGACGTTGACGAATTGCTTGGGTTTGACACCGAGAAGTGGGTCAGCCTTGACCCCAACAACGACTTTATGATGAAAGTCATTCCCAAAATCACGAATCGGATGTTAGTTGGTGAGCCTCTATGTCGCAACGATGAATACCTGGCCAACATGATGGGCTTCACCATGGATGTCATACGCACTAGCATTCTGTTCGCTATCACGCCTTCATTTCTCCAACCTATCGTCGGTAACATAGCCGGATTGGCTCCAAAATACCACTATTGGCGCTCCAGCCGTATGAGCGTCCCCGTAATCAAACAGCGTCTAGACGACATTCAACAAAAGGATGCTGGGAACCCGGAGTTCAAGAACTGGCAAGAGCCAAACGACTACATCACGTGGCACCTTCGAACTGCCATGGCCGAAGGGAGAACAGATGAATTGCAGCCCAGCAGTGTCAGTCTACGAATATTGCCGTTGAATTTCGCCAGCATTCACACGACAAGTCTCACCGGTTCAGCCGCGCTTCTCGATATATTGGCCAGTCCTCCGGATGTAGCTGCCAGTCTCCGCGAAGAAGCCCTACGCGTCTACAACGAATCTGGGCAGAAGTGGGATAAGCACGCTCTATCTCGCATGTATCGGATGGACTCCGCAATCCGCGAATCTCAACGGTTTTCTGCATTTGCGCTGTCATTCGTTCATCGCAAAGTCATGGTGAAGGAAGGCATCACTTCCCCTGAAGGATTGCATCTGGCCTATGGCACAATAGTTGCAGCCCCATGGCTGAGTCTGTCCACCGATGAGGAGCTTCACCACCATCCAGAAGTCTATGATGCATTCCGATTCTCAAGGGAGCGGGAACGATTCGAGAGACTCAGCCCAGAGGAGAAAGCTAAAGAGAACGGCCTGAAAATCAAGCAGAGTGGACTTGTAACCACCAATGACCGTCATTTGCCATTTGGACATGGGCGACATGCTTGGTAAGATCCTGTCGCCAGTTATTCGCCTTACTTTTGCTAACTTAGACGCAGCCCCGGTCGATTCTTTGTTGCACACGAATTGAAGATGATGTTTGGTCACTTGCTCATTAATTATGAAATCAAACCGCTCAAGGAAAGGCCACAACCGACATGGATTGGAAGGAACCAAATCCCACCCACAGCTAGCGTTGAGTTCCGGAGACGGAAGACTGAATCTGGATAGAATAGCTTTGATTCATGTGTCTAGATTGTATAGAAATGGTCGACGCTAGCCGCGCTTACTTCATCGGAGAAATGGATATGACCTACACTATGCATAAATGAATGGAATTATCGCGTTGTGCTTGCATTGTGCTTGGACCGATATGTATTCAAAGTGCGATCGAGAACACCGAGCAAGCGCGCTTGCTAATACGATTCATAGTACGTTTCCATTAACGTGTAGTTCTCAGATCTGTCACGCTTGGTCCTACATCTCTTTCTATCCACATATATACTGGATAAGGGGAATCTGCACGACACCATTTCGCAATAACACTTGAGCTTCTGCGTGGAAATGACTTCCACCAGTACACATGCACGAAACCTTTTCCTGTAAGATGAGGCACATGATGTCGACAAAAGACCTTCTAGTTTACTAAATAAAGCCGATGTATCTGCCAAACTGTCAATTGAACAATGCATCGTAGTTTCGCACCCTAGTGAGCTACAAAACAAAGTGCCAAGTTTTCTTCACGTGATCAGTTCCACCCGTTATGTCTTCCGCTTTCACATAAGAAATTGACTTTCGCATTGGTGATTGCGCAGCAGTGTAAACTTTATCTTTGCCTGTCCAGGCCATCTGAACTTTATTTCGCGCTACAAGCTTAACGATTTTGTGATCTTTGTCAATGCCTCCAGACTGCCGGCTTCCCCACATTCGCTGCGTGTTGTCAGGCGGGCTATTTCGGATAAGATGAACATGGCATCTGGAATCTGAAACGCGTCTCGGTCTCAGGCTCATACGCGACGTGAGAACCACCCTTGTAGTGCGAACTCGACCGTTGTCGGAGGGAGAAACCTACAGGACGATTTTGGCGTGATTACTGCTGCTTCATTTTTTAAACTCACTCACTTGCAGCTCAGCTTGCGCATGTGGAAATGGAGAGTGCGTACCAAGAGCTTACGACTCTACGAGTCCCACCTAGCAAAGGGAACTGAGTATCTTAGATATATTCGATCGTAATAAAGCATACTGACAAATCGCACAAAAACATACCGCGTTTGACCAGCTGTGACTGGCATCTGTCACCTATCATCGCATTGCTCGGCTGCCACAACGAGCGCAGTAAGCCGGACCGCACTGATTCGTAACCCCAGCGCTGGCGTGCGTTCCTTGCACTTGATGGATGTTGTGTTTGTGATTGTGCTCACAACCCACAGGTCCATTCATCCGCCTCTCAACGTTTCACGGTGCAGACCCGGTTTTGGGGAGGATCTTGAATCGCGTGCGACAGAGGAATATACAGTTCCGTGCACGATATACATAGAGTGAAGACGCCATCTTCCTTGCTGTGACAGGTTTTGCTTTCTTGGATTTATGAATTCATTGTGTGGTATTTGTTAACGATAGCTCTGCACCGACTCCAGTACACGATAGGGGAAGGGTGCCACGATGTCTGACGACTACTCTTTTGCGCTCGACTCGAAGTTATGGCCTGGCGCGGAGCAAAAAAGGCAGAATCTGGCTTTGGGAGGATCCGTCGTGATGACGATAATTGGAAGTGTGTATCCTCATGATCTTTCGATGGGACTGGACTAATACTTTGCAGTGACTGCTGTTGGCCTCCGCATATACACTCGGGCGTTCATCATTCGTAATATGGGCTTGGAGGACTGGACTGCGGTTCTCGCGGCCTTGTTCGCGCTCATATTTCTCATCGTGCTGCTTGTCAGTGCCAAGTACGGGATGGGCTTCAGCATGGTATCGGTTGAGCCGGAAGATGTGGTTGAGAATATCAAGCTGGGTCTTGCGGGTATCGTCGTCTACAAGACGACCGTCACAATCATCAAGATTTCGATCTTGCTCATCTATCTCCGCTTAGGTATGGGATATGAACTGCGCGATGTTTGCAAATTACTAAGCTATACGCACAGCCATCACTAAGACCTTCACATACCTCTGCATGGGGAGTATTGCGCTACTGGGGCTCTACCAGTTTGCCGTCATGATAATTGTGCCTCTTGAATGCACGCCTCTCAAGCTGCTGTGGGATCCGACAGTACAAGGACGCTGTATCGACATTAATCTTTTCTACTACAGTATATTCACCCCCTAATTCACTCTCGAAATCCACTAACGAAATTCAGTCACATCCGCTTTCCATATCCTCATGGACGTCTGGATCCTCATCCTACCATACAACATCATAATTGCCATTCCCCGGCCCTTGCGCGAGCGTCTCGCGGTGTATTCCGTGTTCGGACTCGGTTTCTTCGGCACCATCTGCGCCATTGTCCGCTTTAACTATCTCGTCATCGTCACCAAGTCCAAAGACCCGTTTTACGACTCGCTTCCCATCAATGTATGGTCAGTCATCGAGGTGAACGTCGGCTTGGTCTGCGCGTGCATGCCGACCCTTCGCCCACTGTTTTCCAAAGCGCAACGTGATCGCACGAAGTTGGCACTCAAGAAGCCCGATGACGAAGAAACCCTCATTTCCGAAAAGGGAAGCACCAAAAGAAGAGGGTTGATGTCAGTGAAGGAAATGTTTATCAGCATCAGGACTGGCACATTCAATGATAGCAATGCTTCTTCAACGTCTTCGATGTCTGGTTATGATGACGAGTGGAAGAGAGTACCGGAACGCCCGCCCCCAGTTCCACCTAAAGACGTCAATGTCCCAAAGACGAGACTCCCAGACCGGATGTACTTCCGGATTTAATACGCGAGAGCCGCCATCTGACAACAGTCATGGGTGAAGTCCAGATGGGACTACTGCCGCCTGTAAACACTCTTTAATCCGAAACGCAGGATCAGAACTGTGTTCTGCTGGTCGATTCTTAATGAATCCAGCGACTTGATGTCGCTATTTCCGCTGGACGGCTGGTTTAATGTCTTCCATTTCTTTTGTTTTTGCATGTGTCACGTCCCGCCATTCGGTGTTTATTTTACAATATACCCGTTTCTTACAGTGTTCCGGATCTTGCCAGGAGCATTATGTGTATATAATTCATTAATTCTTTCGACCCACCACAATCCTGCGTTAGGTCGCGAAATTATTCAAAAACTCTATTGTGATGATCAGAATACCCCATTACGTGCGAAGCATATAAAAATTCTAAAAGAAGCCTACATTATCGGTTCGCAACAGATGTACCTATTCTGCGTGTACTGACATGTAACATGGCAGCAAGTCTCGTATCTCTACACCAGCGTACCAAACTGCTCGTATCATGTGATAGAACCTACTTCGAGTTTTTGTGTTTACATACGTAGGTCTGGGACACTAACGGCCCAGCGAAGATTCCGTTTTCCCGTTACATCCTCCGTTCCTAAATACTATCGTCGACCGTAATACCTCTAGATCAATGCGGCATTCTGCATGACCGCACCCCCGATTTCCATATCACAAGCAAGATAATCATAGTTCCTCCCTTTGAGCTACTACTCCAACGAAATTCTAACCAAAGCTGTAGCGATCGTACTTGCTACCTATTCATTAGGTTCCATGGAGCGCGACATGTCATCAAGCTCTTCTGCATAACGCATACCCAGGAATAGTTAGAAGTGGAGGGTACCTGTGTGTAACAGGCCGGAGTGGGCATTCAATCGTCAATTCGCCAACCAGACACAGGCTTGAACACGAAGCCAGAGCCATGTCCTCGAATTGCATACAGCATATGTGTTTCTCGGAGATCCGAAACCAAACACCGATCAGCTGAGTAGAAAGCAGCCCGCAATTCTACCTTAGCATCTTGAAGGAACATCTCCTGGCTTGAATCTCTCACTCTTTTCCCCACCTTGCGCCATCCCCAAGGTACCTTGATTGGTGACTTTCCACCATGCGTATTCTCTTACTCTTTACAGTCCTTGCACTTCCACTAGGTCTCCTGGCTGGCCCTCAACGGGTGCCAGACCATCCCAAACAACCCGAAGAGGCACCTAAACCCGTCCAGTCGTCTCAACCAACACCTCCACCGCAGCAACAAGGGAGTCCTCAGCCTTCACAGAAACCATCATCGGCTCCACCAGCTGGGCAAGGTCCCCCATCGGGGCAACCGTCATATGTCCTCCCGCCCAAACCCCGTACGTGTCAGCAAAATATACTGCCTATCTCACCGTATGAAACAAGGCAGCGGTGGGATAGATTTGTAGTCGCGCTTCTTTACGACAAGAATGTTACTACAGCGTTCAGTTATATCGTCCAGGACTATGTCGTAAGTGTGAAGCTTCGCGTTTTCCCTATTTCTCTTTGTGGTCAAACAAGACCGTGATCAGTTATGCTGTCTTCATGTAGAATTATATCAGAAATAGAACCCTATCAGACTCTACAGATACGTTTCGCTGACATTCGATCTCATACAGAATCACGCTGTCGGCGTCGAGCAAGGCTTCGAGCCCGCTTGGAACTTTGTGTCTATGATCTGGACTACTCAATCGGCAAATATCATTGCAGACAAAACGTGGTTTAACAGATCATCTGATATAGCTTGGCAAAAGTACACCGTGGGGAAGTTCAACATTGTCGATCGGTTTCGCTGGGATCGCGGCTGTATCGTCGAGCATGTAAGTTGGACACCCGCTTCTATGTACTGGAGCAATCAATGACCTAATCCGTGTTTTTTTAGTGGGACGGGATGCCGTTTCCAGATGTGGACCCCAGTTGAGATCATCATGCGGGAGGCAAAGAGCTTGAAGTCAGTGTTATCGAGGAACATATAATGGAAAAGCAGTCGTACTTGAACTGGGTTCGGTACTTGCACCTTACTTTACTGCCGATTCAACAGTTGTCTTGGCTGTTCAGTATTTCATCTTCCTCCATTGGTCTACGGGTCGGACCAAGAGGGCGAAAGTAATAGAGAATCTCGCGGGTAATTAGAACAAGTGTGGGGATAGAAGTCCCCACAAACATCAATCAATCCTATCCAGCTATACCCATGAGCCAGCCAATGAGAACTCAAGCGCGCATTAATATTCTAGCCGTTATGTCTGTAGATCATCTATCAAAGCTAGGGCATAGTTAAGTATTTGGTGTATGAAAATCACCCATTTCCTCCCCACTTCTCCGTCTAACATCAATCTTTCAGTTGCAATCCTTCGTTCCTAGAACTTCTACACAATCATGCGCTTCTCAACCATCATTACCGCCCTCATCCTCCCCGCAGGCCTTCTCGCCGCTCCCCTGGTAGAAACCCGGCAAGCGAGACCCCCAAAACCAAAGCCATGCGTGCGCATGTCTCCACCACCCGACGCAAACACCACCAAAACGCGCTTCGACGCTTTCGCAAACGCATTCATCTACACCAAAAACATCACGAAAGCGTTCGAATACATTGCGCAGGACTACATTGTACACCTTTTACCCCCAAACTCCCTTTTTTTTTTCTCACTCAGACTAATGTTTCACGCAGAACCACAACCCTGCCGCCCAAAACGGCTTCGATTCGGCATGGAATATACTATCGCCTATTTGGGACTCGCAGTCTATTACCCCGCTTCGCACGCTTTACAATGGGACGTCGAATCAGGGATGGGTGAATTATAGGACGGGAAGCTTTGGGGAAGTTGTTGATCGGTTCCGGTGGGAGGCTGGGTGTATTGCTGAGCATGTAAGTTGAACGAGACTCGGATTTGAGATTGGACTAATGAGAAAATAGTGGGATCAAGGAGAGAAGTTTCCATCGACTCAGTAGGGATAGATCGAAAGTTGGGTGTGAAAGGCATGTCAGAGATTGTGATATTGTGTAGATGCCATAATTTACATGTGAGAAATGATGGTTTCGCGTTGAGTGGGTTGCATTTGGGGAGATGATTGTAGTGAGCAACACTTGAACGCTGGGCGATGAGCGCAGGTATCATGTTTTCATTTTACCCCAAATGAGATATTCCACTTCCGAGCAAGCAACAGGCAGCGATACAAGAAGGGCCGCAATCATCGTATGATGCTTGATTGTTGGTGGAGATCGCCATCAACATCAGGTTTGGTGGTGCTCAACGAATACACACACCGCATTCAACCCTCTTTTACATAGCAACTTATACACCACGCATCGAAAGTGAGCTACGATCAACGACGGCCAGACTGACTAAATTTTGGCCGTTCTTGTGCCATACTGTACACCGATGATAGAACGAGAGATGGATAGCCACTATGCCCCTGTCTGCTTACTGCTTTAATCAAGCCCGATCTGTTTACGGTTGCTTTTAACCATGCATGTGGCTGCATCTGTCAAGTACACATTTGGGTTAGAATGATTCTGTGTCACGTCACAACCACAGAAAAACACCAATCTCTGACATGCATGAACTGATACAGCTTTTAGGCTTACGACCCTGCACTACAATCACATTGTGACTCTACCCCGCACAAGGTAGATGGTATAATATCACTTGAAGTAATGTCTTTTGGTGTCAGCGGAAGTGTTTCCTTCGCTTCAAACAATTGTTAGTGATATTTAGGATTACACGGAGATCATGTCTCAAGACCCCGGGAAAGAACTCTTGAACGCAGGTATCCACTGTTCCATCACATGTCTTTACCAAATTTTTGACACAGCAGATTACCCAAAAAAAGGTTTCATACGCTCACCATATAACGCATTGTAGGCTGGAACTTCACCGCCAAACTCCACAGTGATACCTACCCAGCTATCTCCCCCGCCAACTCCGACCTCGGTGGCAGCAATGTGTTCATAACAGGTGCATCGAAAGGTTGTGGAAAGGCAACCGCGATTTCCTTCGCGCAAGCCGGCGCATCCGGGATCGCATTGGCCGCGCGCTCACCTCTTGACAGCGTCGTGGCGGAAGTCCTGGCTGCCGCCGAACGAGCTGGGAAACCGAAACCCAAGGTTGTTGCTGTGCACCTCGATGTGACGAAACGAGAGGACGTTGAAGCAGCGCTCGAAGTGATATCTGGCGCTTTTGGGGGCAGGCTTGATGTTTTGGTAATATTACCTTTCCTGGTCTTCACATCGCATTGCAGGGATTCACCTCCTTCCGTAGCTTGATCGCCTCAAGCTTCTCAACATTCTCTTGTTTTATTTCTCTGCTAACAATAGTTTGTACGACAGATCAACAACGCAGGTCGTCTCTCGAAATCTGTCCCCTTCCTCGAAACAGACCCTGACGACTACTTCGAAGACTACAAAGTAAACATCCTAGGCCCGTATCTAATCACGCGTTTTTTCCTCCCTCTTCTCTTCACCTCTCCCACAAAACTGCTCGTAAACGTAGCCTCCGTCGGCGCCGTGCAATTATCGCCGTACGCCTCCGCGTATTCATGCAGTAAACTCGCACTGCTCCGCTTCGGCGAGTTTCTCGAGGTCGAGCATGGTCCTCAGACGGATGATGGGGTGATAATTGTCGGAGTTCATCCTGGAGCTGTCGATACACCATTGGCTAGGGGTTTGGTAGAGGAGTATCATGGTTTGTTGAAGGACGAGGCGAGGCTGTGTGGCGATTGGATGGTTTGGTGCGCGAGCCAGAGGAGGGAGTGGTTGAGTGGGAGGTATATAAGTGTCAATTGGGACGTTGAAGAGTTTGAGGGCATGAAAGATCGAATCGTGAAGGGAGATTTGTTGAAGAATAGGATGGTTGTGACGCCGTTTTCGTAGTGGCCGATATGCGTTGGTCGCGACAACGATACAGTACCAAAAGATACTTCTACCGTCTTTTTCTTCAACTATTCAAACGCGACAGAGTATTTGAAGGCAACCAGAGACGGTAAAGCCTGAGTTGATTTCAATAGCAAGTTCAGTGTAGGATCGTTGCATCGGTTCAATGTTTGCTTTTTGTCTTGGCGGCCTGTGACCATAGTTGTCGCTTCCCAATCCGGTTTAGGCAGCCATTTCCATCCACGTCCACAACAACATTGAACTACTTCCACTCATCACAGCACAACCTTCACCACGCCCCGATCGTCCATTTCCCGCTCACAGTCAGCACCATGGCTTCTCTCATGACGCTCCCACGGGAGTTGCGCGACCAAATATGCAAGGAAGTTATACTTTCTCCCTTGACGGAACCGCCCGAGTTGGGGCTATCATTCGACGCCATATTGGACGGGCGGAGAAGCTACCAAGAACCTAAAACAGCCGCTTGGTCATCTCCTTATGCAGTCAGATATCAACCCTCTGCCATAGTCGCTTCGGTAACGCCGCTGCTGCTCGTCAACCACCAACTGTATGCGGAGACCATGGACAACCTCAGGACCATGCCTCAAACCCGAACATGCGACTTGGATCTGATTGTTCTAGATGAAATGTTTCTTTGCCCCACATGGATACGAGTTCCAGTTCTTACAAATAACGTCGATCGAGTCAATGTCAAGTTTCGCATCGCCGGTTTTCTCCATCAAGACCATTCGGGGCACGAAGAACGCGAGATCTCCAGATATTCCGGATTCAGAGGGGGATTTGACGCTGTGCCTACAGTGATGGCGTGGCAGATCTACGATGTTCTTGATCGCTTCCTCACCGTCGGACCGGTAGGAGCGCGCACAAACGCTGAGGCGGATCGAAGCGTCGTCCTCAAAACTCTCGACATAGATATTCAGACTCCGCCAAACGTCGAGGAAGAACGGTTTAGTGAGCCCGGATGGGGCCAAGAAGAAGTCCCCGGATTCTATGTCCTGGATCCCAACTATCTTGCTCGCTTTGTCTATACGCAGGTGGAAGGTATGATGGGCATGCACGCTGACTCTCCGGATTGCGGCAAGATATTCTACGAGTTCATGAACGAGGTTGTTGTGAGCAAGGATGGACAAGTGGTCGGGGTGTTTGATGTGGCTTCTTACTTGCAGGGACTCGAATACTCGGTCGGCCTCAGCATATCTACGCCAAGTGGAAAGACGAAGGCAGTATTTGACGAGTGGAAGAAGAACACTATCAAGAAGCGACGAGAGCGGGGTCTCAAGGTCCTGGCTGAGGCTTGATAATCTGGGTTTCCTTCTCGTTTCCTTTGGTGCTGCAAGAGCATGTGTCGTCTTGCTTCGGCCGGTACTACTCGAGGTTAGACGCCCATTTCGCCCGCATTGTCAGAAAGGTCAAATGCAATTATAGCATTGTCCATGATGATGGGTTTTACAAGAAAAATGGATGATTCAGTCGGAAAACAGTACTTTTCATGTCATCCTGTCAGTATTTCCGAACTCTGAATTCTGTTCCAAAGAACCACTATCAAAAGCAAAGTCTGCTTTACACCGCCAGACATACTGGTATGTTCTCAGATACTGCTCGCCTGTACATTACATAACTACAAATATCTATCTATGCTATGTTCTCGTCCACCACATGTGTTGTGTACATTGTATGCGTTAGACTCTTCACACACACCCGTAAGCCCACAATACACAAGAACCTGTGTTGTCTGTTTGTACACAATGTATCCTATGAACGTGAGCACTTCGCTGGATTTGGATATTTGTGTAGGTTTCACTTGGCGAGCAAAACACTCTCTATCTTGGGATTGGTACTCAACTACAAGCTAAAGCACAGAGCACAATACAACCCCGAAAACAACTGAGCCGACAGCCCCGGTCAAACGCCTTTTCCCGCTCAGGCCGAGTATAAGGATGTCTTCTGGACAGATCCCCGCACATGTCCTCCGGCCTCTCACCCTCCTCTACGATATCTACTACACAGCAATATCTTGGTTCCCCCGCCCTCCCGTAAGACTGATAACCCACAACATACACTATCACCCCTTCCCATTGATCCCCCACCCAGTCTCAGTATACACCCTCTACGCCCATTCACGAGGAGACAAATCAGACCCACCCACTCCGAATCTTCTTCCCTCCACCCTCTCTCTAACAACCCTCTTCGTGGAAAAGCGCAAACTCCCCTATCCAATCCAGCTCGCAGACATGCACACACTAATAGAAGCCTACAAGCACATGTCGATGTGCGACTTCAGCGTGCAAGTCTTCCTCCCGCCTCTCCGCACCCTCCTCTCCCCCTACGGCATCGAGGTCCAAAGCTTCTTCCTCGTGCCCTTGCTACATTCCGAAAACGAGGCGTTCTTTTTGCAGAAACACCGCACGGCGGCGTTTTTCCAGCGCGACAAGAAAGATTCGAGCGCAACGGATGGCATTATCTGGGCGTTGCACTGCGTATTCCTCATCACTTTCCCCGCTTCCACGAGCGATGGCAAAGCAGAGGAATACATTGCTGATTTCTCGCTGCCGCAGTTCGGGATCCTGCATGAGAGGAACTGGATCTTACCGAAAGAGGAGTATTTGGAACGGTTTGCGGTGAGGGGGACGGGGGAGGTGCTTGATGAGCGGGAGGACGATGAGTGGGTTCCGGATGAGGCAAGGGATGAGGAGAGGTTTGAGGCGGATGGAGGTAAATCTGCTAGATTTATAAGATGGTGGAGACCGATTGGGGTTGCGGCTGCGGAGAGATGCGGAGAGGAGCTGAAGAGGGGGGAGCTTGGGAGTAGGAAGCGGCAGAGGGCTATGGTGATGGCGGAGGTTACGGGGGCGCTGTGGTATGAGAAGGGAGACTGAGCGGGAGTAGAATGGACGGTGGTGATGGGGTTGTATAGTAGAAATCCAAAGATATGTAAGATGTTTGAAGTTTCCGAGTGTGACAATAGGTGTATGATACAGAGAGGCAGGCAGTAGCTTGGTGTGTGATGATATGACAAAACTGTCTTTCCTGTATGTGGAATTTAGCTTATTTATCACAGCCAACAGCCAGATATGATCTTAATTAGATTTTCCTGTTCGTCTTTCAGATTTGATTATTTTTTTCTTCTGTGGACGCGGGCATTACTGGCTGATTGTGTAGGTACTGTTGTTGTCCGGTGATTAGCAATGCGAAGCCCCCCAAAGAAAAAACCGACCAAACATGGAGATATAGGGAATAAAGAGATTCGATTCCATATTCTGTATTAGGTGAATTGTGAGCTGCAAGTTGGTGCGAAAAGATGACATTGGGACACATATAGAGAAATCAATGCAAGCGTGGTGGGTGGTGACGGGCGGGCTCGAACTCCGGGGTGGTTTGATTGGCCTGGCAGAGCTGTCTCCTTGTCTTGCCTCCCCCCACCATCCATCTGCACGCCTACGTCAATCCAACACCTCTACCACGCCCATTCCAGCTCCTTTACAAATCCAGGCAGGCCGACGCTTCTATCGTATCCCACTCGCCTCGAATCAAGGATACCATCATTTTCATCCTCCTCCTCCTTTTTACCCTCCTATCCTCTCCTCTCTCCCGCCGTCGCTTACCTACCAACGTATCGTCCCTCCCTACGTCGATCAACACTTCTCCACCTCCGCTCTCCGCAATCCCACCCACCCACCACCCACAATACAGCACGTTACATATCCATGCAGCAGTAGATTTGCACCATGGAAGGAGGGTACGTTGAATCTTTTCTCTTCCCCGACATATTGCCATTGCCAAGTCACATTGGTCGGAAATGACGATAAAAGCACGCGTCGTCAACATGTGAATCCACTCTTTTCTCACCCACCTGGATACTGACCCAACACCTTCTGCTCTCCTACAGACACAAGCGCTCCAAATCGGCGAGCGTCAAAAACCTCCTAGGACGCGTATCGTCCAAGAACGACGCCCAAGACTCCACCGACAGCATCGCCACGTCGGCCACGCCCTCGGTCAGCTCCCAGTCCCCGCCCACCTCGCACTCGCTGCACCACCGATCCGCCTCTCTCAAACATCGCGCCCACCTCTCCACTAGCATGTCTAATGTCAACAACGGTCTCGATGTCCCCGCCTCGCCTAGTGCTTCCAGCCCCCAGTCCTCCCCGCTTTCGCCCACGCAGCCCAAAGGCGCTTCCATAGAGCAGTCGGTCAAGCTGTTCCGTGTATTCGAGTCGCTGCGCAATGGTGACACCGCCGCTATCCAGAAAGCTATCCGTGAGCAGGCTGCTGGCTCCGAAGCCGATAGCACTACTTCCCTGACTCTTCCCGGCCGCAGCGAGGGCACCTCTATTCTCCATCTAGCCATCCAGTGCGCCGAACAGCCCGTCATCGAATTCGTCCTTTCCCACTCCAAAGCCGGCCCCGACTCCGTCATCGACATCAATGGTCGCGACAGAGATGGCAACACTGCACTACACTTGGCTGCCACTCTGGGCCGTTCCCCCATCGTGCGCATGCTGCTCGACCAGCCTGGAATCAACGACTCCATCACAAACTACAATGGCCAGACCCCGCTAGATCTTGCTCGTACCCCCGACATCTTCCAACAGCTGCAGCTAGCCAAGTCCATCTTCATCGACGCAAATGTGCGCAAGATACAACAGATGGTGCAGACTGGTGATCTTACTTCATTGGAGACGTTGCTGCAAGATGGTCGTCTGAAGAGTACACTGGATGTGAATGGCGGCGAATTGGTCACAGATCCCGGCGTCGCTGAAGCGGGAGGCACGCTGCTTCACGAGGCCGCAAAGAAGAAGGACGTGAAGTTGGCCCAATTGCTGCTGCTTAATGGAGCGGACCCTTTCCGCCGGGATCGGAAGGGGAAGCTTCCCCAGGATTATACCAAGGACGATCGCACTCGCGCCATTCTCAAACGCTCTCCCGCAGCTGCCGCAGCTCAGCGCGGAATTCAAGAAAAGACCATTTTGGCTGGCGCCGCAACGACCCCGGGTGCTGCACCCGACAGCGGCATGGGTGCAAAGGAATCGCGTGAAATGAAGGGTTATCTCAAAAAGTGGACAAACTATACCAGTGGCTACAAACTGCGGTGGTTTGTCCTCGAGGACGGTGTTCTGAGTTACTATAAGCATCAAGATGACACTGGTTCTGCATGCCGTGGCGCTATCAACATGCGAATCGCGAAACTATACATGGATCCGCAAGATAAGCAACGCTTCGAGATCCAAGGCAAATCTTCTGTAAAGTATCACCTCAAGGCGAACCACCAAGTCGAAGCGAAGCGGTGGTATTGGGCTTTGAACAACGCTATTCAATGGGCCAAGGATGAAGCGCGAGAAGAGGAGCGCCAGCAGAACCGTGACCAGGAAATGCTAAAGCAAGCCAAGGCAGAACAGCTGGACAAGCGCATCCCGAAAGAAGGCGAGGTGGCCAGTCTCAACAGCTCCATGGTGGCCAGTACGAAGAACCTTGCTCCCCCCTCCACTCTCGGCGTCCCGCAGCCCAGCCATGACTCCGCGTCTCGCTCTGGCATGAGCGTTGCCGAAGAACCAGAGAGCAACTACGAACCCAGCATGGTCGGCAATGAAATCGGGAGAATGCCCAGTCACTTCGGCGCAACCACGGTGAATGACGATATGGACGATGACGATGAATATGGTGACGATAATAGCAGCAGTCACGAAGTGCGACCGCAGAATAAGGATGCATTCAACATCACTGCACAGTCAGCCAGGCTTCAACTAGAGCTCCTCGCCCAGGTTTCTACAGCCCTCCAGTCTGAAAAGGTCAAAAATCCCACCCTGCAAATCTCCGACCCGATTATGCTATCTGCCCTCTCATCGTACGAATCAGCGGTCGGCAACCTCAAAGGTCTCATTGGCGACCTTCTAAGAATATCACGAGATAGAGACTCGTATTGGCAATATCGCCTCGATCGCGAGGCAAACGTTCGTCGGATGTGGGAAGAGAGCATGGCCAAGGTTGCCAAAGAGCAGGAGGAGCTCGAGAATCGCTATGGTGAATCAGAGACGAAGCGCCGGAAAACGAAACGTGCTCTTCGCGAAGCACTGGAAGATTACGATACGCAGGAGGGCAAACCCCCGCGAATAGACGAAGATGAGTTTGTCGAGGCCGAAGAGGAGCAGCTGTCTCGCAAACCTAGCCTGAGCTCCCAAGCCCTGCGTAGGAAAGCTACCCTCGCCAATCTTGCGGCAGACATGTCGGAAGACGAATCGGACGATGAAGAGTTTTTCGATGCGGTCGGCGCCGGCGAGGTCGAAGTTGTCGAGATGCCAGCTGCTACCAGCCCTGACGCTCCTGTGGGAGATGGGAAAATGGCGAAGACCGCCGACAAGGACATATTTGACGTCAAACACGACGAGATATCAACTGGGTTTATTGGATATGAAGACGGTCCACGCCAGAAACTGGCCATGGACGATGACGACAGGCCCAAGATTTCGCTATGGGTAGGTTTCGCAGTGCTCGTCGTTGATTCAAAACAGGTGCTAATTATGGACAGGGTATTCTGAAATCTATGATTGGGAAGGACATGACCAAGATGACCCTTCCCGTCTCATTCAACGAGCCAACTTCCTTGTTACAGCGTGTAGCTGAGGACATGGAGTACACTGATCTTCTAGACACTGCTGCAGAACGAGCTGATTCCACCGAGCGTCTCTTGTACGTTGCCGCCTTCGCTGCTTCCGAGTATGCTTCCACCATCGGCCGTGTAGCCAAACCCTTCAACCCCCTTCTTGGCGAGACCTACGAATATGCTCGTCCTGATAAGGGATACCGCTTCTTCATTGAACAAGTTAGCCACCATCCTCCCATTGGCGCGGCGTATGCCGAGTCAAAGAAGTGGGATTACTATGTATGTTTAGTCTCGCAATACAAGGCTACCATGTTCTAACGTATCAACCAGGGTGAATCTGCTGTCAAGTCAAAATTCTACGGTAAATCCTTCGATATTAACCCCCTCGGAACATGGTTCCTGCGCCTGCGCCCGACCTCGGAAGGGGGCAAAGAGGAACTTTACACATGGAAGAAGGTCACGTCCTCTGTCATTGGCATTATCACTGGTAACCCCGTCGTCGACAACTACGGCCCCATGGAGATCAAAAACTGGACCACTGGCGAAACCTGCCTCCTCGAATTCAAAGCGCGTGGTTGGAAAGCCTCCTCCGCCTATCAAGTCGTTGGCAAGGTCCTTGATGCCGACGGCCGCGTGCGCTGGAGTGTTGGTGGCCGCTGGAACGACAAAATCTACGCGCGCTTCACCCCGGGATACGAAGATGCCGACATCGAAAAGGGTGGCTCCAAAGCGTCAAAACACGATGAAAACAACAAAGCTTTCCTCGTATGGCAGGCCCACGCTCGTCCCACCGGCATCCCATTCAACCTCACCCCCTTCGTCGTCACCCTCAACGCCTTACCCGACGCTCTTCACCCCGTCGTCGCTCCCACGGACACTCGCCTACGACCCGACCAGCGTGCTATGGAGGATGGCGAGTACGACCTCGCTGCTACCGAGAAAAACCGCGTCGAAGAGAAACAGCGTGCTACGCGACGCCGGCGTGAGCAACATGGCGAAGAATTCGTGCCCAAGTGGTTCCACAAAGGAAGATGCGAGACCACGGGCGAGGAGTACTGGGTTTTCAACCACGAGTACTGGAAGACGAGACACGCGGTCGCGGAAAAGAAAACAGAGTGGGAAAAGGAAGGATTGGAGGATATCTTTTAGGGGTGGACCCTTGCAGTCTGATGTTCTTTCTCTCCTGCGTTTCTTTGATTGGATAGTCTAGTTTTCTGTGGGTGTGTGGTTTGATAGCTAGCGGGTTCAAGCTCGAGATATACATATATATGTGCATTGGCATGGCCATTGAATTCCCGCTTCTTTCGTCCTCTCTTCACCTTGTGCGCCCTGATGGAATTCTCTAATATCATATTTCAAGGCATTTCCATCAACATCTAACTCATGTCATTCCCCTAAACAAAACAGAGTTGTCGATCCAACATAAATCCCCCCACCCCCTTCTAACATTATCTCCCTTAAAAACATTTGCCACGCCACCTATCTTTCTTATCTCTCCCCTCATCTGATCCTCCCAGAAAACGTATCTCTCTCTCTCTCTCTCTCTCTCTCTCTCTCTCTCTCTCTCTCTCTCTCTCTCTCTCTCTCTCTCTCTCTCTCTCTCTCTCTCTCTCTCTCTCTCTCTCTCTACATATATATATGTAGAGAATGCATAGATACGCAGATCGTAATATCCACCTTCAAAATCGCGACCTTCTTCTTTTGCAGTAAGTGGAATAAGGAGAAAGAAAAGACGGAGAGGGGAGCCGGACGACGCTGAAGAGTCGAGTTGACGATTGCGCTTCTTAATTCATAATGTAGCTTAGATGTATTTGCAGTTTTATTTTGTTTTTGGGTAGGCGTTCTTTCTTTTTTTGGGAATTGGAGTTAAGGTGTTCCTACACACAGCGATTGGTTTTGACGATAAAGATAATAAAAACAGGCGATTACGACGAAATCGATACGAAGAGCCTGTGCGAAGCTATAAATATGGTGTTGGACAGAATAATAGTGGAATGACTATCAAAATTGGTGATAACACGTAATCTGTTTTGTTAATTCTTTCTCTCTTTTCTTTTCTCTTGTTGATTTTCTAAAGGAAACAACCAGCACGAACAGCTTTGGTCAGGTGAAGAAAAAAAAAAAGGTTCGCAGGTATGTAACTCTTCGCGCTCCACAAGTCGTCAGGGCTACGTTGCGCAATCATGTTCATGCATGTTTATGCAAGTGGGAATCACTGCCGGTGCAACACCCCAAATCTCCGCACCTGATCCAGCTTCTCTACCTCGTCACTAGACACACTGAGGTCGAATCTGCATACCAACGTCACGTTGTGTGACTGGATCCTTTCGGCGCGGGTACCTTAATCGACAGGTACCGGTTCGGAATATGAGCCGATCGCTGTGATGTGTACGTAATTCCTGCTACATGGCAAACTCTATTGGTGCCGAGTATCGATCACGCATGGTGATTTGAAGAAGCAGACATATCGGAGAATACTCTCAGACCTTCTTCGCAGCGGATGAAACTGCGTGGTGCGCGGGGAAAGATGGAGTTTTGTGCATCTATGCCATGTTTTCTAGGTGATTTGATCGAGATCGCGATGCTGCATGGGACAGATCGACACCACCAGATTGATGTAATGACAGCGACGCGCACTCTCAAATCGTCGGTGACGGTAATTGCTGGTAGGAGTGTGGATTTTAGGCTTGCGGAGAGCCATTGAGGTGGTCCGAGTCAAAGGGAAAAACATAGAGTACATAAAGGGCCATGAGCAGATACTACTTGTAACCAACAATCATCCTTTTCTCCTATCCAAAAATCGAGAAAAGCTTTTTTTCAACATGAAGTTCACGTCTACCGTTGCTGCGCTTCTGGTCTCTGTGGCCGTGGCCTCCCCTCTCTCGCAAAAGATCGAGAAGCGCCAATGCCTTCCCGTGAGTCAGCCACGCCCATATCGAGCCCCTCCAGCCTGGTACCTGCGTAACGCTGGGGCTACAATTGGAACAAGATGTTAATCAGAATGGAATGGATGATAGTTCGTCGCTCCCTGCGAAACAGATGATGATTGCTGCATTGGCTCGTGCACCAGCGATCCTAACGGGGCACTCCCTGGTACCGTATGTCTTCTTTGAAGAATGGTTCTCTCGATATATGATTACAAGTTACTAACGTTGATCTATAGCACTGTTTTCCTTCCCAGAGCCGTGGGGATAACAGCAACAATTTGGATAAACGCCAATGTAATCCGGTCAGCATACTTCCCCGCCAGCCGCTGGTATAGCTAAGAGGAGATGTTGATTTTGATGCTATGAATGATAGGATTACATTATTTGTCAACAGGATGCAGATTGCTGCAGCGAGTTGTGCAAGAGTGTTCCAAATTTTCCTCCTAATGACCTTGTAAGTCTCTCTTGAACCCTCATACCAATTCATATATACAAATTACTAACGTTGGCCTGTAGTTCTGTGTTCCTCCAGAGGTCGGTGTGGACGGAGGCAGTGAGTTGGACAAACGCCAATGTCGCCCGGTAAGTGACTGTTGCTCCCATACATGGCTTCGAGGAACGGTTATTGATCAACATGGTTGTGGATGATAGGATGATTATATTTGCATTACCGACAATGACTGCTGCAGCGGTTTCTGCGAACCAGGAGACCCAGACGCCCTCGTTTCTGACTTCGTAAGTCGTTGTCTCATTGGTTGTTACAGTATATGCGCAACATGCTAATTCAGCTTAGTTTTGCGTCTCTTCCGAAAAACGCCTCCTCAGGGCCTCGAAACTTGATAAACGCCAATGCATCGAAGTGAGCAGATTTACCTAACCTAGCCGTGGAGCTTTTCTTCTACAGTTTGTAACACAGACATTGATTCAATGTGCATTTTAGGAGAACCAATTTTGCGAAGAGGATGATGATTGTTGCAGCGGCAGCTGCGAGCCCGAAGGCCCCACTATCACTTCTGAATTCGTAAGTCTCTATCTGCTGATTACTTTGGCACACCATATGTGCAGATTGTTGATTCTGCTTAGGTTTGTGTCCCGGAAAAACGCCTCCTCTAGGCCACTAAATTGGCCATACGTCAAGGTCTTGACGTGCGTGGCGTTTCATTGTTGTTCAAATCAATCGCCGCCGCAGTCTCTAATTGAGTCAACATCGGGCATGGTCGGATCGCGTGATCGATGAGGACCGTTAAAAGTCAAGGAGGAACTTTGTGTTTCTTGTTCTTGTTACTGCTTGAACCGTGCGCTCAGCCTTCGTCGGACCGGTTGTACACGTGGGGTGAATAGGTAGTCTGATTGAGAAACGTTTTGTTTGAGGTGGAATATATGTTTTCTTGAAGGATGAGCGCGAATGGCCCGGGAGGAGATAGTAGTCTATTAAAATTACACACTCATTTGTCAAAAATCGCATCCTCGGCTCCATAACACGTTCATATTTCTTCGATGGCCAATTCGTCGCCTCCGGAACTACTTCCTCGACTCCAGTCGCCCTCGTTCGGTTTTCAACTCCCGTGCACGATATTGCGCCAGCCATGTGTTCATGACTTGTTCTAGATTCCACCACGAAGGTAGTTCAATTCAGCATTGCATCTACTGAACATCTTGGGTCATGCATTATCACTCAGCTACGCACGGGATATGTTTTAATCATGTGACGCTGGGGTCGTAGTTCAGTAACGGAGAAAATATACGTCGGACAGTGTTGTATACTATGAAGTACAATGCGTGTTTGCCCTCTTGGATTACCAAAAGTTCATCTCATTGCACTCAATTACCGCCAACTCCCCATTGTGAGGCATGAGGAGTTTGCCATCCGCAATTAAAGCACAGTGCTTTAAGCACTCGATGTCCATCCAATCTTTGGGTAGGAAGTAGTGCTGTTGGGCCTTACTGGTCGTGGATTTGGAGTGCAGCCGATACGAGCAAATCCAATTGCCTTTGTCGAGATATATCAGTCTTTGCTTTTGAAGTATCGCAAGTGGACGTTCTATTTCCACTTGAATATCGTGTGGGACGGCAGGCCCTGATGCCATGATTGGAGAACTCAATTGGGGAATCTCGCACAGGACAGTGAGACGCGTCTCAGACTTGGCTGTTGTGTGAATCAGGTCGACCAGACAGCTCAGCCCGTCTGACGCGACATGAAGACTTTCAACTTTTAATTCACCCGTTTGTTCTTCGTCTGCCTCTGCGTCCTGACCGATACTATGGACCTGTGGATGTTCCATGTCATAGTGGGCGACCATAGCAAGATCCTCAAATCGATGCACACTCAATCCGGAAGGGCTAAAGGCCAAAAGTAGATTCGCGTCTTTCGGATGCTTTGTCCATTTAGTATTGGGTGCTGATAGGGCGATAATCTCAGTTGCCAATCGCGATCCATCGCCCGGTGACCATATCGTAACGTTGGGGCCATTCTTTATCATGAGCAGGCTTCCATTCTTGTTCAGAAGTATACCTTGGATGCCTTCACTATCGACGGTGAGCTTAACCGCGAAGTGATGAGTTACAGTCCACATCGTTTTGGGGGCAAGTTGCAATTTCTTGACAACCACGCGACCCGTCAGTTCTGAACATGCCAGATAGTTGCCATCTTCTGACCAGTCAAGATGACCGATGGGCAGCTTCACTGGCGCTTGCCACACTGCAGTTGCATGGCAATCGGGAGAAGCGGTGTCGACTATGCTTACTAGACCGATTTCGTTGCCAATCGCTTGGTAGTGGCCATTGAATTGAACGCCAATTGCTGTGATCTGGTCTCGCAATTCCTCGAAATTCTCGGTAACTGTCAGAGTCGATACGCTGAGCACTTCGCTTTCCGTTTCGATGTCTTGCTCATTTCGCCCGCTTGCCTGCACCAAAGTTGTTGGTTCCCAGACATTGCAGAAATGCTGCCTGATATCGTACAAGCGTTTTCCATCAGGACTAAAGCATATCCCGTTTATCAAGTGCTCACAGGAGAGTTGGTAGACTAGCACAAATTGGGAGAAGTCGAATATCTTGATGGTACCGTTGCGGTCGCCGGTTGCAAAGAACTGGCTATCCGGACTCGAGGCGAGAATAGTCGCATCAGCTTGGATCTCCTGTTGGGTGTTCTGGAAAGGATCCCATCGGAAAACATGCCCGCCAAGATAGAGGCCCAGCACTTCATCAGAATCTGGATGCCAGATGACTTGATCGACGACAGTCCACGCATTTCCTGCATACTCTCTGCTGCGCATAGCCCGGCCAATCAATTTTGGGTTATCATCATCGAGGGACCAAACAGACATTGGGAAGTCCCGGTAGGCTACAGCAACGTAGTTTGCATCATCGTTGAACGCAATACGCCACGGGACTTTGGAGACAGGTCGATCCAACACCGTGTCGTCTTTGAGTAAATTGGGATGTAAAACAACCCAATCCGGTTCTGGCTCCGACAATGCTGCAAAACGGAGAAGACGGTCACTGCAACCCGCCATCAGCTTAGTATCACCCTCTGTAAAAACCATTGTGAGGGCGGTGCTACCCCTCGGATTGATGATCCTTTGCCTGATCTGTCCTGTATTCACAGACCACACATGAGTGGTCGCGAAGCCGTATGTCGCAAGAAATTTGGAGCTGGCGCTGAAGGCCATAGCGCATACTATGCCCGCGTGTTTCAGTACGCGCTTCACTTCGAAAGTCGCGGCATTGTATAGAACGATCTGGCCTTTCCCGTCTGCAACGGCGATGTGGTCGCCTGCACATGCTACCAACAGCGCTTGCGATCCCGACCCAATGGATAATTTTGCAAGTCGATCATCCCAATTTTCTTTGGAAACCCCGCTCACCATCACTGGAAGTGTCTGTGAGCCTTTCTGCCCAAAATGGCGAGAAATGGCTGAATTTGCTGGGCAAAACGGGGGGATTTGGTGGTAAATAGCATCAGGATTGGCAACTAGATTTGGTCCGAACCTCCCAATAAGCTTGAGAAGATCAGTTGCCCAAGACTCAATCAAATCCAAGTCTTGATTTGGTTGATTGAAAGGTGCTATGTTTGCGTATCTTTTCCGTTCTCGCGCCGCAAACTTCGTGAGGGCTCTAGATGAGTAGACCAGGACTTTCAGCAAGTTCTTATTTGCTAACCAAGCGATCCACGCCAGTACCGAGCTGTTACGGAGGAAATCTGCCATGAGTTTTATGGGGACTTCAGAATCCAGCGCGGTTAAGTTCAAATGGTAGTTCCAAGATGTCATCGCATATCGAATGAATTCGGTGTAGTCGGGACTCTTAGTCGACAGTAGTTTGTGGCTGGAATCTCTTCGTAGACGTTTCTCATCAATCACATAGAGGCATTTTTCAAAAAGAATCTCGTGAGCCTCCGGAACGCGCACTCCTAGTTTCGAGTCGGTTGAGATGATGTGATCTCTCGCTGTTTGATGAACCATTATGAGGCGATTACTAGCGTCGACAACCAGAAATTGACCGCACACCCGATTTATAATGACGTTCAGTTCAGTCATTATAGAGAATTCCGGTCGAAGGGCTTGGTCGAGCTCCTTCAATAATAGAGGTCTTCGAGAACACACGGCCCAGCTTAAAATCATCTGGCCAAGGCTCTGTTGGTGCGGTGGAATCTTTTCGATGATCATCCGTTCCATACGCTCGTAGAGGTTCTCCATTCCGCTCGGGATCCCGCGCAACGTGTCTTCGAGATCTTCTTCGGTGTTACATTTCACGACCTCACCAAGGACGAGGCTAGCCCAGAGAAAATTTCCCTGTGCAGCATTAACCAGTCTTTGGATGATTTGGTCTTTGAAGTCATCATCAGTATGAATGTACTGCACTTCCTTTTTCACACAAATCTGAATATCGCTGCTCGTGTGTTCTATTGGTAAGTAGCATACCCTCATATCCCTCGACAAGCGCTCGAAAGTTTGCACAAGTTCCGATGTCTGCCGGCTGACAAGAAGAATCTTGATCGGAAACGAAGCTTTGGAGACCCCTCGCATCATTTCGACGAAGACTTGAGAGTTTTCCGATTCGTCGAGGGCGTCGATAACCCAGTACATTGTTACGTTGATTCGCATCTTGAACAGGAGGTCTAGAAAAACCTTTTCCCAGATGGTTCGCACATCAGCCTTTTCCAAAGATTTGGATGGGATTCGAAGGTTGCTCAACTCATGCCGAAACGACGGGATGCGCTCCGCAATTTGATAAGCGATAGTTCTGAGGCAAGTGCTCATAGATCTTTTGGATTGGATGCCGAATCTGAAGAAAAAGTAGGCGCAGAAAGAACTTTCCAGCAATTGATCGATGATAAACGAAGAGAGGATGGATTTTCCACTAGCAGGCCGAGCATGAAGCCAAAGTATGGATGTTTCTTCATCCTCATACCAGCTCTGGTAGGAAGCATCCGCGAGTATCCATTGGCAGGTTCCCTCAGTCCAGCGCGTTCTGAAGAAGTCTAGATCATCGCTGTAACTCTCAGTCACCGATAGAAGGGCTTCAATGCTTCTCATGTTGTCATCGGATTGTATTCTTTTCGTGTGTCCTGTATTCTGTTAATACGATGGAGATGGAACATGTCACACCACTTGCTAAGGGTGTGGTGTTTCTCACATACCTCTTGGGAAGATTGAGGTGATCAAGGATTTGAGGGCACTTCTGACACTAATGTAGTTGACATCTTTGACGCCGTCATACTTGCATATTGTGTGATGGTCCGCCACCATCGACTTCGTAATCTCGGTGTTGTGGCCAAGGGTCGCTGAATGCTGCTCAACAATCATCTTCTGCCATTGTTAGCGTTACTTCCCACGGCGAGCGAACTCGATTGAACGCAATTACCATTTTCTTGGGCCCGATCCCGGTGGGCAAAGTTTCATAGAATGAAAAGATATCCAGCTTTGGGGCCAGATGTCTGAACTGCTCATTGAGAGCTTCGATGAGCGGAGATCCGTTCTTCAAATCTGCTACATATTGTTTCGGGTTGTGATTGAAGGTAGAAACAGTCAAGATGCGGCCAAGGATCTTGGCTAGATTTGAGCCTCGATGCGGTGTCGCCAGAAAGATGATCGCGCTAATAGTTTTCACTATCTCTGCATAATTAGGATCGTGCTGTCCCAAAACGTAGGCCTGATTTCCGACTAACGTCAGTACTCTGTGACTTATTAAGGGTGAGACGAGAAGAACATAGCATACCTGCTTGACAACAAGGCCGCCCATGGAATGCACAATGAAAATGATAGGTCTCTGTATTCGAGTCAACCCATGGAAGTTATTGAAAGCCCAATGAGAAGCGACTTACCTGACCCAAGTTCAAGTCCTCCAACTGTTCGTTCTTCCCGAATTTCATGTAGTAGAGCAAACTTTTGGCAAAATTCATGATGCCCGTGGCCAAGGTTGACTTGACTGAGGCAAAGTTGGCATCGTAACCAAAAGTAAGAATTCTAGCGGACTGAATGCCAACTTCGGCAGGAAGCCATTTCTCAGGCCAACAATTGTCAAAGTTCTTTCCTTTCGACCAGGTGGTTCGACTTGTTCCTCCGAGACCGTGGACGAATACTATGTCAATTGAAGGCGAGATTTCGGGTTGATACAAGACGGTGAGCCCTATAGGATCCCCCAATGGCTCATATGTTTGCGAATCGGTTAAATTTTGGTTGGGTTGGGGCAGGCTGATTGGAGTGATACTTGTATCACTTGTTTCTCGCTTCTGGTGGCTTGGAGGAGTGACCACAGCATCTGGCGAAGATAAAGGCGATAGCGTTGTAGTTGATGGTAGTCTAAGGGGTAGTATCGCAGAGGATGAAGTCTCTGGATGCGCTGCTCCTTGGGGGGACAGTGTTGTGGGGCTATGCGCGGATGGAGACGAGTTTCCACTGGCGCCAGCTATATCGCCTGCGTGCTTCTGCGCACGCGACTTCTTTCTTTTGAATCTCCACTGTTGCACTTGTCAGGCAAGAGTTCGAAAAACTGTTCACGTGCCAGGATTCAGGTAGACTTACCATAGTTTGGCGATCTGTGCAAACCGTGTGATAGTGGCTAAAGAGGACGGCAATAATATTAACTAGCGTGAGGAGACACAGAGTCGAAACGAAACAGGTTCGCTGATGGAATAATTTGTAGGGGCATCCGTTCAGCTACCGGACAGAAGCGTCTACGCGACGGAGACCGCAGTCAGCTGCCTTCCCGTCGTGATATCCCTGCTCAAAATCATTGAATGGAAAGATAACAAATCATTCACTGATTGGCACAAATTCATGCTGTGCAACTTCACAGCAAATACGATTACTTCACGTAACGAGGCGTCCAATGACACTTCTCAGCCTTGTGGAAGGACGAACGCAAGCAGGGGTACCGCCTCCGCCGGCTGACTTGTACCAACTTCAATACATTGTTCTCTTCCGAACCACTTTTACATCTTCAAAACATCTTCGCAATGCAGCCTACTTCTAATGTGACTGAGATGTGGACCCCTCCATCAGCCTCACTAGGCAATATTCCTCGGGTGACCCCAGGGAAAAGTGGTAATAAAGCTATTGCTGGTGACTTCCCACTAGATCAGATCATCATTGACCGTAAGAATAACTTAAATCATCGAGGCTGGCATTAATCTGTCAACAGAACTTCCCCAGGGGACCGTGGTTCTTTCCTGTAACCGGTATGGAGCCTCCGCATGGACTGTAACTGCGAGGATCGAAACAACAGCTCCAAACGGAACGTCCAAGTTCTATTTCCTGAAGGTACTCTAATACGATATTTACACATAAATATATAAATTACTGAAGTGAGGGCAGTGCGCAGAGGAAGATCAGGGCAAAGCCATGCTCGAAGGCGAGTTCAACTCCATGTGCGAGCTGTACAAGAATGCCCCGGATTTTGTCCCGGAACCATATGCTTGGGGCAAGCTAAATGTTGCTCATCCTGAAACCTATTACTTCCTTTGCGATTTCATAGAGATGACGAGTCAGAATCCCGACCCGGATCAGCTGTGTACCAAGCTAGCTCGCCTTCACCAGGAGAGTGTGTCTCCCAATGGAAAATTTGGATTCCACGTGAATACTTGTCAGGGCAATCTCCCTCAGCAGACGAAATGGCACGAGAACTGGATGGGGTTCTATATACAACTCGTGAATGGAGCCATGCAACTTAACAGGGAGAGAAATGGGACATGGAAGAATCTGGAGCAGGTTGTAGAACGCTTGATCACGAAGGTAGTGCCTCAATTGCTCGAACCCCTCGAAGCAGACGGACGAAAAGTGAAACCCTGTTTGATACATGGTGACTTGTGGGACGGAAATGTCGGCACCAATTTCGAAACGGGGGAGATTTACGTCTTCGATGCTAGTGTCTACTATGCACACAACGAAATGGAGATTGCCATGTGGCGCGGCAAATTCAACAAAGTCGTTGCTTCAAGGATTTACACAAACACCTACCTGGCCAGAATGGGTATTAGTGAGCCTGCTGAGCAATTCGACGATCGCAACTGTCTATACAGTAGCTACATGTTACTCCATGAATCGGCCTGCCACAATGGATCCAGCTTTCGTGAAGAGTAAGTCTCCGCCCCACCTATTTTGATTCAGGTAATCTGATCTCTTCACAGATGCTATGAAAACATGAATTACTTGATCGAAAAATATGCGCCATTTGGTCCAGGGGAATCGGGACTGCCGGAGACCTAAGTTCCGCCCGTGTAGTAAACCTTCTCTGCCCCGCATTTTGCCCTGATGCGGGATCTGGTGAACATAGAGATTTTTGAGTTCAGGATCAAGGTTCATGATATTTTGATATTCAGAACCGCAATTCAGTGTTTCCATGATTCTCTATCAATTAGTTCATTCCAAGCTCGCTGTTATGTATACAGCATCTTTAAAGTGCATCTCATCCTTAATTCACATTTCCAGTTCACTCATGTTGAGAAGCTGGTGTTTTTCATGCACTTTGATTCAGGGTCACACGATCACTAACCAATGATCAGCTCGCATTGAATTCTGGCGTCCAACATGCATCGACCAATGGGTACTGAGAGGTATGAGATGCTCGTGGGGGCGATCCTAGTCAGCACATCCTCCGATATTACCTGCCTGATAACTGAGAGGGGTATTGAACTATCTGTGGGAAGACAATCCATGCATCCATCACCCCTCATCACCCGCAGAATATGCATTCGGACGCTTTCGTCGATTGCAGGGGTTGCTTGCATTGGGCAGCTTCGCAGCGATTGAATACAAAAAATGCAGTAGTGAAAGGCTGACTGCTACAATATCCCCGGTGGCGGTCACACCACTAAGTGCTGTGTGCTCTGTCCTGCGTCGTATAACTTGTTACACCAACAGTCGCGACCGATCGAAAACCAGAGCCCTTTTCTTGGGGCCACTCTTGCACACCCGCCCAATCCTTTTGCGAAATTCGGTGCATGCCTCGTCCGCGACACTTCAACTCGACCACTGTTTGATGCTACTATATCGGAGATCGCTACTCATACACCACCAAAAGTCACTGCAACAACCCAATGTCTCGCCACTCGATAGAGCTTTCGGTGAACGACAACCTCCCAGTCAAAGATATAAATGACCACGACCCGAACTCCATTGGGGTTCCCGTTAGTGAGCAGGGGGTGCCGACTCCATATTCGCAGTTCACCAAGATAGAGAAGCGGCTGATTGTTGCGCTGATCACTTTTGCGGCAACATTCTCGCCCCTCTCATCGTTCATTTTCTTCCCGGCCATCAACGCTTTGTCCAGCTCACTCCAGGTCTCGGTTGAAAAGATCAATCTCACGGTTACTTCCTACATGATTGTGGCAGGCATCGCCCCGGCAGTCATTGGCGACATGGCTGATACGTCCGGGAGGCGAGTGGCATATCTGACGACGGTAGGCATATATTGCGCTGCAAACGTTGGGCTGGCAGTGCAAAACAATTGGACAGCCTTGTTCCTCTTGAGAATGTTACAGAGTGCCGGCGGGGCCGGTGCGTATTCATCATCGCTTCACCGGCGACTGGAAAGCCTCCGAGATTGACATCACAGCCAGCTACTATTGCAATGGGATACGGAGTCGTATCGGACATTGCCACGCCCTCGGAAAGAGGGGGCTTTGTTGGTCAGTTGCTGCTAGGGTACGCCTTCATTTCGCTGCTCCCCCTCCTCGCCATCTGCTTACGAAGAACATTGCATGATAGACCGAATTTTGCGACGGCCATTGGTCCTCTACTTGGCGGAGTCTTGGCTGCAAAGCCCGGCTGGCGCTGGATTTTTGGGGTTCTTGCAATCGCCTCAGGGACGTGTGTGCTGTTGATCGCCTTACTGTTGCCCGAAACTTCGCGCTCGATTGTGGGGAATGGATCCAAAGGAGTCACAGGCCTTCGGACCGCATTCATCCTGCATCTGATAACAGGAAAAAAGAGGAAAACTCCCACTGCTACCGAAAACAGCCATACTGCAGGGCTGGACCGCGGAGCTTCGCGCAGGTGTTCTAGGATTCCCAACCCGCTCGCGAGTCTGAAAATGCTATTGGCGAGCGACACCATCTTGATAACTCTGATTTACGGGATCAACTACACAAACTTCAGCTGCTTACAGGCCTCCTTGTCAACCCTTGCCATCGATATCTACCGGGTCTCTCAGCTTCAAGCAGGCCTTATTTACCTTCCATTTGGGATCGGATCATGCGTTGGGGCGTACTTGTCGGGTACGTTGTTCATTGTGTATCTTGAATTTTTACAGCGTCAAAGCCGCAGTTAACAATCCGAGCAGGACCAATCATGAATCACGACTATCGTGTCGTAGCACGGCATTGCGGTATCACGATAGACGCAGTCCGGGGTGATGATATGACCAGTTTTCCAATCGAAAGATCTAGATTTCGGACCATCTGGTTTCATTTAGGAGTGACAGCTATAGGAACGGCCGGATATGGATGGTCTCTGCAATTGAAAACGGTGAGTTCGTGTCAAATACGAGCAATTCACTGACTGACGTGTGTTAGCATATCTCCGTACCGCTGGTCATACAGTTCATCATCGGAGCAACGTTGGCTATTACATTCAACTTCTGTGGCACGCTATTGGTTGACATTCATCCAAAATCTCCAGCTGCTGCACAAGCTGCCAACAACATCGTTCGATGCTCTCTTGCCGGCGTTGGGCTAGCCGTTCTAGATCTAATACTTCGACATTTAGGAGTAGGCTGGACGTTCACTTTATTGGCAGGATTGACAGCGGCTTGTCTGGGTATCGCTTGGCTAGAGTGGAGATATGGACAGGCTTGGAGAGAGAGCCTTCGAGCAAAAGGGATTGAGCGTTAGGGCAACTCGAAGAACCCAAAGGCTGAACCTGCTTCACCGGTCTTATCTGTAGCTTCCACCTAACCACACAACTGAATCTTTTGTGTCAATGATATGAAACGTCAACAGTATGACTGCAGTCTCTCAGCAAATGGCAAGACGGTGTAACCCTATTCCGCCCACTCTCTCCAGTCATGCCCTCGTATTTTGAATGCCAATGCTATCTAGCACAATGCATTGAGCACTGATTTCGGGCACATCATACATACAGCATGTCTTCCACGTAGGATCAACTGCCACCTGATACCCTCCCCACGCAGCCACCCAAACCCAACTTCCTCAACTCCATTGGCCCAAAAAATCGCGCAACCAAGACCAAACTTGAGCCTCATCGTCTATTTATCTCCATATCAAACTCAGCTCCACTACAAGACCAATCTATCTACATGCGGACCACAAGCAGGGGGGCGGTACAACGCACATCTCTCACAATCCACCAATCTCCAAACGCACGAACCCAAAATCCAAAAAAGTCACGCCCCCTCCATAATGGCTAACCCGAACAAGCCAAACTTGAAGCGTATTGATAGCAGCATACACGAGTTCGACACGGTTCAGGATGCCGTGGCAGCTTTCAGTGCGTAGTCCCCTCCCCCCACACCTTCCACGAATTTTTTTTTCTTAACGAGTAACAAGGCAACGGGGAATTCGTCATTGTGCTAGACGACACATCCCGCGAGAACGAAGGAGACATGATCATAGCATCGGAGCACTGCACAGCCGAGAAAATGGCATTCCTAATCCGCTTTTCCTCAGGCTACGTATGCACGGCAATCCCCGCGGAGCGAGCAGACACCCTAGCCCTCCCATCCATGGTTCAAAACAACAAAGACCCTCTGCAAACAGCGTATACGGTATCAACGGATGCGGTGGTCGAGGGCATGACGACCGGGGTGTCGGCGCACGACAGGGCGTTGACGGTGCGCTTGATGGCCGAGGGTGATGCGACTGCGGCTGACTTTCGGAGACCGGGGCACGTTCTTCCGTTACGGGCTGTTGAGGGGTTGGTGAGGGCTAGGAGAGGCCATACGGAGGCTGCGCTGGAGCTTTGTAGGTTGGCGGGGAAGAAGCCGGCTGCGGCCCTGTGCGAGATGGTGCTTGATGGGCGGGTGGTGCGTGGGAAGACGGAGTTTGAGGGCGCGGGGATGATGCGGAGGGATGATTGTTTGGCGTTTGGGAAAGAGTGGGGGATTAGAGTTTGTACGATTCAGGATTTGGTTGAGTATGTGGAGGAGCAGGAGGGCTTGTAGCCTTGGTTTTTACGTTATTGTATGTAGTTGGATCGAATGGAGCTTCAGTAGTCAAATTATGGTGGTTTTTCTTTTTTGGTCGTCAGGAGTTATGCAGGCTAGACTATGAGTTACGGGCAAGAAGAGCTCAATAACAACATTTATACAGCTAGTTGGCTTTTTGAAGCATTATGAATCGTTGGTTAGGACTAACAAAGTGCCGTAACATCATGATCCTCCAAAGACAAGAGCACGACCATATGAGGGTAAACACCCACGGGCCCCCGCTCCGACAACCTCAGACTTGCGCAATGCCTTCCTCCAAAGCCTTAATCTGCAAAGCCAAAATCCTCGAAAAATACCGTGTGAGCATGAAATTGCCACCAGTGAACCACAGCCCAGGATGCCCGCTCCTCTGCCACATTGTCCTGATCTCACCCTCTCCGTTGAATCCCCACACACTCTCCACCTGATCTGCAATATCATCACCAAAAATAGTCCTCGTTCGAGTCTTCATGTTCTGATAGCCAGTCGCAAAGACAATCTCATCGGCTTCCAACTCAACGCCATCGAGAAACCGCACCCCACGGGGAAGAACCTGATCAATCTCTGTTTTCTGTAGTTTGATCTTGCCGTCTATGATGAGCTGCGAGGCACCAACGTCGATGTAATACCCGCCGCCGCGTTGGAAATACTTGGTGAATAACCCTGCGTCGTTGGGACCCTTATCAAGACCGAAGCCTGCTTTAGCGAGTCCATCGAGCAACGCTTTATCGTGCGCGTTCTGAGCTTTTGTGAGCTTCGCCTGCTGGGCCTTGAACAAAGCAGACGGCAAATGCTGGAGGACTAGGTCGGCATCGTCCACTGGAGGGCTCTCCTCATCGTACATACCCTTCAGCCCGAACTTTGTCGTCGACTCGGAAGAAATGACGCAGGTGGTACTGCGTTGAACCATAGTCACGTCATAACCCTTGTCGTAGAAGTCATGGGCTATGTCGTGTCCCGAGTTGCAGCTACCCACCACAATCGCCTTCTTTGGGTGTTGGGAAGAGCTTGGGCTTGGGCTTGTGAATTCGGAGCTGTGGCAAAGGCGCTGCCCTTGGAAAGTGTCGATGCCCTTGATTTCAGGGAAGTAGATCTCACCAGAGTGCCCCGTTGCCTGGATGATGTGTCGTGGATGGAAAGTGCGGGTCTCACCACCGTCCACTTGGCCCCTTTGGATCTGGACTGTCCATTGTTGCATATGCGGATCCCAAGTAACAGAATCAAGATTGGAGTCAGACCATACGTTGAGATCCAGCATCTGGGCATAAGACTGGAAGAACTCGGCCAGCTTGTCCTTGGGCGTGAAAACAGGCCAGTAGGACGGAAAGGGTATGTACGGCAAGTGGTCAAACCAAACCGGGTCGTGAAGGACCAGCTGATGATAGCGGTTTCGCCAATTATCCCCAATTTCTTTGTTCTTTTCGATCACTAGGGTCGGGACATTCAGCATTCTCAAGCGGGCAGCGACCGCAAGACCGCCTTGTCCAGCTCCTATAAAAAGGTATCAGTATGTGTGTATAACGAGACGTGCCACTGGTCTTACCTATGACCAGAACCTTTGGTTCGCTATCCACAAAATTGCGTTGAGCATCGCGGACTTCAGCCCAATTCCTCTGCTCCAAAACATCCCCGTGCTGCGTCCCAAAGACGCGTCTCTTGCCCACAGGCTCTTCATAACCAATCAACTCCTTCAACACCATTGATATAGTGAAGATGAACCACATCCCATTCTCCTCCGCTAACCGTACCACGCCTTCACCCCTTCCAACAGCCGTCTCAAAAGTGATGAAGAACTGGATCCCCTTAACATCCCCCCAAGAATCAATAGGCGCAAGACGCGGCGCCCTATACGAGGAAGAAAAATCAATTTGAATCTTCTTCGGCGGCGTCTCGCTGTTTTCCAGGAACTGCACTATATCATGGCGTCCTTTGACGGTTCTCAGCGCCCATGATAAAGCTAGGTGATCTCGCCAGTAGCTGTTCTCCTCTAGAAACAGCTTCGCAATCGCACCGTACTTTCCGTCGCTCTGCGACAGAGCATCGTTGAAAGCGTCGACGAGACCTTGAGCGGTCCCAACGGCATCGACGGAGGCGGATTTGCAGGATGCTGGGAATTCGCCCAACGGGATATTGACCGAGCCTGGCTCCACGCGCTCGGCTGAAGCGGGATCTTGAACGTCTCCCATAACTCGAGAGATCCTGCGTATAATTTTCTATTCCAAAAACAACAACAACAAAGATTTCCAAACTTTAAAGCACGTTGAGAAAACCAGAGTTAACACTCACATGCGTTGACAGTCCCACCCCTATCCTTATCAACAGCGGGCAAAATCAGGCTGAAAGGCTCAGCGAAACGCCAGAGAAGGACCAAAAAAAGAGTTTTTTTTAAACCTCGCAACGCTCCAAATGCCGTGTAACGGTTGGCGTAATCACTCGACATGCGGACGTGCCCTGCTACAAGGAGCAGGTCTGGCCCATCGAACGTGGGGGGTGGGGATGATGTGACGGGGCTTAGCGATGCTGTTTGATCCATTCACCACCGATGACACGGAATCACACGGACGTGTCCCGCTGTGCTGCAAGAACGAGCTCGTAAGTAGGTTCTGGGCTCTCACCGGAACTTGGTACGTGTATGTGCGACGTTGAATGCTTTGGGCAGTGTTGCTGGGGTGTTTGCTCTACAAGGATGGTAAGCAGGATCCATCAACCTGGCAGAGCTCAGCCTCGCGGCATGTATGAACAAGAAATCACATGTTTAAGTGTCTTTAGCTAGATCCTTGTATTATACTAAGCAGATGGCATCCTTACACTTGAACAAATCACCCGAAATTGATCAATCGATAAAACACTTACACCATGAAAAACAATATACCAGAAACGCTAACAATATCCCCAAATTACATGTTGCAGACGATTAGAGATTACATACGTAAGATGTAATGTTGATTTTGAGATAGAATAGGTAATTAGTTATATGTTGCTTTCTATCGCATGTAGCATGCGAGGGGATGATACATGACTAAGCGCAGGAGCAAGATGAATAGATGGTACATGTACATACACAGTCGTATTTGCGAGTATAGCACGACCAGATGTAAATCTATATACACACTCGCATACACTCACACACTCATACGCTTGCACAGAGCAAGATTGAGGGATTTATGCCACAACACTCGAAACTGCCCATTCATATTTTACAGACACCCTTGTTATACACACTGATACATTTAACAACGGCTCAGAGGAAGCTTTATGCAGTTCCACTGACAAGCAAGACGACACTACCGAGCTGTCTCCGCATATCCTCCTTTTCAACATCATGGGTATCGTCGACCTCACCCCACTGCCTCGTCTGCCATCGCACCTCGGTGCTCGACGCTGCCGCCGCTTCCTCGATACCGAATCTCTCGGCGCTAGCGCCAGCGTCGGCCCTCGACATGGCAAATGTCTCGCTCCACTCGTGAACCAGACGGGCTCCGACGAGCAGACTTTTGGAAGCAAGAACGGCGCGCTCCAAGCCAGCGAGTTCGTAGGCTGGTAGGCCAGACATCCAGCCACGGATGACACTCTGCGTGTTATCGGGTTGCGGGACGGGCATGAAGCTATCCGGTTCAAGAATTGGTTTAATCTCCACACCCGGCCAGACCTTTGTCGTCAGTTCGGCAATAATGGGCGCCGAAAGCTTCATCTGGGTCTGACGGAGGGTCAAACCATCTTGCGGGAGTTCATTTTGCACGTTTTCGGGAGCCCAGCAGAGTAGGGTGTCGGTGGAGAGGTAGCGCATCATGACAGTGATGATGGCCTGGCGGATTTTGTTGTCGCCTTCTGCGTCAGCGATTTGGATGTCACGGGCGCGCGAGGTGAGGGACGTGAGTGGGATGAGGTGGGTTTTTAGAGCTTGCTGGGCGCTGACTAGGAGGTCCCATTCGAGGGCGATGGCGGCGGCGAGTTGGGGTTTTGACGAGGGGATGGTGAGGATTTCTTTGGTGGGGGTGCGGACGGGGCGGGCATCGAGGAAGATTTGGAGGCCCTCTGTTTCAACAGGTCAGTATAAGTCAGTCAATTGCAAGGGAGGAGGACTACCTGGAGTTTCCTTGATGGAGACGTCTTTCCAGAAACGTTTCTGCAGCACGGTCTTGGTCTTGGCGGAAGGGGAGCGGATTTCCTTGGCTTGTTTAAGCATCTCGGCCTGCTTTTGCTTGCGGGCAACTCTGTGCAATGCATCGGAGGCGGATGGCGAAGGTGTTTCCGGGGGAGGCCCGGGGACGGAGGGGTGTGGTAAGGGAGTTGCGCATCGCGTGGCGGAGGCGTGGAGACAGCGGTACGATTGTTGCGGGTGGGATGGGCGCGAGACTTGGCGGGAAGCCGAGAGCCTGAGGGCGGCGATGGCCGGGCGGAGGGACTCCATTGATCAATGATGGCGGGTGTTGGTGTTGATGTTGATGTGTGAAGAGATGGATGAATTAATCAGTGATTAGGGCGCTCGGGGCATCACGTGGTCGTAGCTCCCATGCTCTATACTGCCTGCATTATCAGATCTATGTACCATCATCACGGCATACGGCAATTCGTCGTATACACATGTACATATGTTAAGAGGTTTATCAGATTGTCGCATGGCCAGCATGATGTTTTCCTAGCATATGCCTCTTGCTCACTGAAGCCATCTCAGTGAATCGTTCATCGTCATTGATCATCACCTTCTTGTACCAAGAGGATTTGACCAGGCACTGGATCCCCCGCATAGACGATATTCGGCGCCGCAGCCCCGCCTTTTCTCTCTCCTCCGCCCTCCGCGCTTCTCTCCCTTCGTTCATCCATCCGTCCCAACTAATTCCACTCTCCACCCCCATCACCATCAGACTCTCCATGTAGTCATCCACGCCGCCGCAAATCAACTCAGCACACAATCAATCCCAGACTCTATCCATCGACGCATCACATGCTGCCATTACTCATCCCCTCCCCTCCTCCACCTCATCGGCCGCTCTGCTCGCCTCCGCCCTCTACTCATCATCCTTGTTCATGAATAACAACACCTCCGCCAATCCCCCCAATCCGAGGCCCATCCGCTTCGTCACCAACCATGACGGTCCTTACGCCAAGCGCCGCCGAATCAACTCGGCTTGTCTGACATGTCGCAAGAAGAAGACGCGCTGCTCCGGTGAACGTCCCGTATGCGGAACATGTACAGCCAACAAGCGTGCGTACTTCTCATCTACATGCTCATCAGATATACATGAATGCGCTGACGTCCCTTAGATCAATGCGCCGGCTATGGAGGCCCCGACGATCCACCTCCCTCCGATGCCCCTAAAGACGCAAAAAAGCCATCCCTCAACCCTCCCTCGTCTTCCTCTACTGCGCCCGCACCTGCCCCCAGGATCAAACATGAACAATCCTCTCGCCTCTCTCAACCCCATCCTCCCTCGCAATCACCCCCATCACCTCCTCCTCGTCCTCCTCCTCCTTCTTCCCGCCCGACTCATCACCGAAACAAGTCGAGTTCCGCCGAAACTGTGTCGGCCCGACCTCAAGAGTATCCCAATGGCAATGCACCCGGCCAGGGAAAACGGAAGGCACTTCATGACGATGATACCGACGTAAGCTCCAATGCAATGTTGACGCTGAGCACTCGCAACCGCATGCCCTATTTCCGCTATTTTGGTCCGACTGCCATCATGCCAGGCTTCAAACAGATGGTTGTCAAGGTGCGCGGCAAGCAACATGGCACCGGACACACAGCATCAGATCCTGTGGATTCCTCGCCTACCCAGCCTCCGTCGATAGGCTCACCGCCAGAAACCCAAACTCCCGCCGAGATCCCCCTTTACGATACCTCTGCCATGGCCCCAAGTCCGCTCATCACTCACCTCTGCAAATTGTTCTTCATCCACCTCGGATGCAACTTCCCCTTTCTGCAACGCGAGCGCTTCTTGCGCGATCTCGAGGAGAAGCAGGTCGACGCTATCCTGGTCGATGCTGTGTGCGCTCTGGCTGCCAGGTTCTCCACTCATGCTGTCTTCACCGGTGATGCCGAAAACCGAGAAAAGCCGCGCACCAAGTTGCAGCCCTCCGAGTATGGCCAGGCTTTTGCGCAACGGGCAAAATCCGCAATCCCCGATGCCTTTCCTTGTCCCAGCGTGGCTGTGGTCCAGGCCGCGATATTGTTAGCATACGATGAATTTGGCGCAAACCGTGATAGTGGTCTGTGGATGTACCTGGGCATTGCCATTCGAATGGCGCAAGATTTGGGCATGCAGACTCTCGAGGGCCTGAAGTACGAGGGTCGTGATGGACTGGTGCCAAAGTCGGTCAAAACGGAGCCAGGAGTCAAGCACCATCCCGTTCAACCCGTGCTTAATGCTGTGCCTCTCCGACCAAGCGGAACTCCAGATGAGTTGGAGCAGCGCGCCGTGGAGCGAGAACGCCTGGACACATTTTGGGTCTTGTTTTTGCTGGATCGCATCATCTCCTCTGGCACCGGTCGCCCCGTCACGCTACTAGACAGGGACATTGAAATATCCTTCCCCTCTGTGGACGAGGTCGATTCTACTTCGGGCCTGCCCTTGCCTTTCCCGGCTCTTATTCGCATAGTCCACTTGTACGGAAGGGTGACCGATCTTCTCAACAGCATCAAGTCAAGCTCCGACATCACGGACGACCTGAGAAAGCAGCTAGCTTCACTCGAGTACTGCCTAACCGAAATTTACCAAAACCTGTCGCCAAAGCTTCATTTCAACGCCGTCAACTTCCAGCACTACGTCAAGCTGAACCAGGGCACAAACTTCCTTCTTCTACATTGCTGGTTTCACACTTTGATTGTTCTTCTCCATCAGCCGACCTTGCTCAAGACGTATGCCGGCAGCGCTCAGCCCCTATCCAACAACAGCAGAGAGTTGTCCATGTCTTCGGCGAAGACGGTGGCCGACATTCTAGCCTTTGCCGATTTGATTGACGCAAAAACGGGGGTGGGAAATCCTTTTACCAGGTATGCACATCCTTGTTTCTTCATTTGCTGTCCGAAAGCTAACTCGTCAGCCAACCCATCTACATCGCTGCATGTGCCTTCCTGCAGGAGACGGCTATGCACTCAGCTTCATCACAACCCCACACACGACCTCCGAGCCCGAGTGAAAATGACAGCTCGGCCAGTGCCTTTTCCATAGATCATATGACATTCCCCAAGTCCTCCAACAGCGAGCGCGTCATCAGCGCAAGCGAGCGTGAGCAGAAGCAGGCGGCTAAGCACACTCTTCTGGCAACTGCAGCGAATCAGAACTATCAACGTTGTTACAGAGCTCTAAAAACTCTCGAGACGTACTGGGCTGGCGTCAAATATATCCTGACCGTTTTGGAACAGAAGGCCAAGGGTGTCGGCGATCCCTTGTTGTACACGAGAGAAGAGATGGAGAGCGCATTGGAAGCCCCTCGACCGGAGCCCGCGTTCACCAGCCCTGGATGGCGGAGGAAGTTGAGTTGGGGAACATACCTCACTGCCCAAGACTTGACTGATGTCGATACTGCAAAGCTGTCTGCCGCGATTCGAAAAGGAGCAAAGACGCCCATACCTGGGTCCCCCATGAATGCGAGTCAAGGTATGTCGATTGGTATCCACTGTGTGCAGCCAGCACTGACCAAGAACGTAGCCATCGGTTGGTCGCTGACCGGCACAATGAACTCCCCTTCCACCAATGTCGCCGTCATGTACAACAATACCACGCGGGAGGCAAAAGCAGCATTTTTGAAGCCTACTGCCACTGCTGGCCAATCTCCAGCTACACCAGCTCCGAGCATGCCTGCTCCCAAGTTCGAGCCGACCATGTCCTCGCATACTTCATTCCTGGCCTTCGACCCTGTGCACATGCCCCCACCGCTACACGCCCAGAGTCTTACAGCTCCGGATCCCATAATGGTGTCACAAGCCGACCTTTTACTCAATCTCCACTCCCCTTTCTCAAGCGCGTCGCCCAGCAATGCCCGCCAGCCACTGCAGCCGACGTCCTATATGCGCGGCACTTCTGTTGCGACCCCAAATATGTCGCAGACCAACGAGTTCACTGCCGACATGAGCGCTTACCCCTCGGCGGCTGCCGATCAATCTTTTGGGGATATGGTGATTGACTCCCAAGAGGTGGACATGTCGATCCTAGGCGCCGAGATGATGCCGTGGGATCTGGAGTACTTGCCTTCGGATATGTTTTACTTTGGTGGTGGGGCAGGTGGGGGTTTCGATGAGGGGCATGTCACGGAGGATGCTGGAGTTGGGGCGGCTGAAGGGTGATGTGTTTTGTTCGTTTCGTGGTCGCAGCGTTGTTTTGATTATTTTGGAGGTGTTGGGGGGAGTGAGAAATGGGAATTGGGAACATCCTGGACGTTTTGCGCAAATGGTGGGGTCTTTTTTTTTCCTTGGGCCATGTTCCTTTCGTTGGTTGCTAGGTTTGGTCTTTATTCTGTATACCCCCTTTTTTGTTCTTATCTAGTTTCCTTTCTTCTTCTTTTCTTTTCTAGTTGTTGTATATATTACTTTGTCTTGTTTTTTAGCTTACGTTTCAAAGCTTGTGTTTCTGTTGCAATTATTATCCTTTCTTCTTCTTTTTTCCCCTCCCTTTTTAAACTTCTTATCTCTCTGCGTTGTCAACCTTGTTTAAAATAAAACTCTAAATCCTAACAATTAAACCTCTTATCCTCCATCGTCCGCACCATATCCGCCGAAAGACTACTCGAACCTCACAATTCATACAACGCACCCCTTCTTTCTTTCGGCTAAACTAATTAAGTTATTAGACTCAAGGCCAAGCTGGCAAGGAAAAATCCAGGTGTTCTGTGTGTTGTAGGTTTTGCAAAGGCGCGACCTTCTCTCCTTGTCCAACTGGTTGCCTTGATTCTTCTTTTTTCTTCTTCTTGTTCGTCTCTCCTCTTTTTGTTTTTCTTCTACTTCGTTTGGAATGATTTGAGGTAAGTTGTCTATTTAGAAAAAAAAAACTGTTATGGGCGTTTGAAGGAATTCTTGTAGTGGTGTTTTGAATGCTGGGATAGCTGAATTGACGTACGCGTATAAATCAAATAGATTAGTAGAAAAGAGTAGATGATTTGTATGGTAAGTAGGACTTGAAAGATAGTTGATTGATATTTTTGAGTAGTTAAGATGGAATAGGAAGAGGTATTAATATTAATATTCGTTTGGTTTTTTTACGGACTGGATGTGGGGTGTAGGATATCAACGGTACAACTGCTCCGTAACAACGGACCCCTTCCTCCCGCCAGCAACACTGATACTGACTCTCCTGCCCGCACTCGCGGCATTGCTAATCCCACTCATCCCTCCCGTCGTCCCACCTAACCCCCCGCCCTTCCCCCAAGCAGCAACCCCCCACAACCCCCGAACAACACTCTCCTCCTCGCCCTTCCCCCTCAAACTCGCATACCCCAAATCCACCTGCCACCGCCTCAACTCGCGGTACACCAATACCAATCGATCTTTGAACTCGCGTCCAGGTCGTCCTTCCCACTCCCCACCGATCCTCCGCGTACACGTGTGTAAGATTTCCTTTTCTGGAACCGTGAAGGGGAACGACGGAGAGCACGAAACGAGGGATTGCGAAATCAGCACGACGTACAGATGTAAGAGCGGGAAGTAGCGCGGGGAGTCGAGGAGGGATGCGGTGGTGATGTGGGACCAGGAGATTTGCTCGTCGTGGAGAAGAGAGGAGGAAGGAGGGGAGAGGCTGGCGTTCGCGGACCAGAAGAGCGTGTTGATGCGGGGGATGGAAGTTAGCCAGCGCGGGAGCGTCGAGGATGATGAAGCCATGAGCCGCGTGAGGCGCAGAAGCGGGATCGCGACGCCTGGGATAGAAGTGGAGCGGCGCGAGAGCGAGTTCCAGATTGCGAGGATGAGGTTGTGGGCGTCTTTGAAGGGGGAGGTTGGGGGCATGTTGGATAGGGCGGGGAGGAGGGCAGTTTGGAGGAGAGCAGATGTTGTGAATACTGGAGATGAGGGGAGGGTGTCGCTGTAGGGAGTAGATGGTGATGTGGTACCTGCTGGAGAACGGCGATGGGATTTCGAAGTCTGTTTTTGTTGTTGTTGGTGCAGGTTTCGGGTGTGTGAGTCAAAGAGTTTGGTGATGCCGGCCCAGATCCCGATCATGAATTTGTGGATGGTTTCGGCGTCCTGCGAGCAGAGGGCTTTCCAGATTTCTGTGTCGTTGGAGTCCGCGCTGGCTCTGCGCCGTGATTCGACAGCACGGTGAGGGGTGTTGGAGTTAGACTTTTTGTTGTCGTCAAGCTGCGGGAACACTGTTTGGCGGCAGTACGGGCATGTGTTACGGTTCCTTTGGGAGGAAAGCAGCCATTTCTTCATACATGCGTGCCCTACAATATGCGAGCAGGGTAACGAGATGGGAGCATGTGAGTCGCTGAATGGCTCTGTGCAGATTCCGCAGTTTGGCGTGGGGCGGAGCAGCGTGCCCACGAGGGAGTTCATGGAAGCTGGCATTTTCCACTTTTCCTTCGTTTCTGGGGTTGTGGACGCGATTAATTACTTAGGTAGAGTCTGTGGTCGGTTGATAGAGGAGAGAAGTAAAGATAAGATAGGTGAGTTGAAATAGAGGGAAGACGTTTGGGTTGGAGAAAACGCGTCTTTATTGCTAGGTGCGAGTTTGATACGCGGTTTGGTTTTCCCTCTTCATTCACACTGTTTCCGTCTTGCTCTGAGTTGTGATGAATGATGACCGCAAACATCTGTGACCCACACAGATCATTCACACAGCCATGTGAAGAGTTCAAGTGGAGTCTTTCTACCATTGCGTGAGTGACCGTCCATCTCCCAGAAACCATTTGTGGATTCATATGAACAAAGGCAGACGTCAAACGTGGATCTCGATGTTTTGTTATCTGCTCGCCGTCTTGCATTGTGCAGACGCCTCGCGTGGTTTGGCAGATGGGACGTGGGTTCTTTGGTTCATTGTCATGCACATATGCACGCGTGCTCGTAACCGTGTACCATAACGAACTTCTTCGCGATTGTAGCCACGCAAGGTAGACGCTAGGCATGGCACATGCCGGTGAATGATTGCCTTGCTGATCGTTTGGTGAATTGTCACACAGCTCGCGTCCAATCATTCATCCTAGAGCTCGACAGGCGTGGTGCACATCAAATCTAGGTGTTCTTTTCCTCAGTTTTGTTTCAGCGAGAAATAGTGTTCGCTGCCTGCTACCCGTCTCCCTGGGTTTCTCTAGTAAATATTGTGTGGTTATGACAGATATGTCGGACATGTAGAGCTCTCGAGGTTGCGCGCATGCATGCGTTAGTGTACCTTTGCAATACATGTGGGCAGCTGGTAGCTGGAAATAAGAACAAGCCTTTGCGCAGGGTCACAACCGTTCGTTAAGATGCAGCCCAGATTTTGGGGGTTATTGGTGGGTTTGGCGAGTTTTGCGGGTCGAGTGACGAAAATGGTGCGGTTCGGTTGCACCTTCATTCCCACGACTACGACGTCTGTAGCTTGCAGGCAGGACTCTTCTTAGTGGCCTGTAGCGAACAACGTGTGCCATGCTCGTGGCTCATCGAATGAGGCTTCCGCCTAGTGGTGTTTGAGTTTGCTAGTATAATGGCCAGAGGATCGATTTCATTGATGTTCATCGCAAAATGGAGGGCTATCATCAAGCCAAACACTGTTCCATCCGAAATTCAGCAGGGTCCCTCTTCTCTCATCTCGAACCAGCGGCATTATCTGATGGTTCGAATATCGTGCCGCGGCATGTATGTATTATTGACGTCAATGAAAAACCATAGATTCAGACAGGTGAGTTTGACGGGATTGATGAAGCTATGAGTTTCATTGCGGCGGTGTGGGGGGGTGGTAGCACGGCAAAGATTCGCAGAAAGTTTGAGTAGGTAGGGTAGCATGAACGAAGTTATTCGGTGTGGACAGTGTCATGGATGGAGTGGTCAGGGTTTGGTGGTGGTGAATCACTGGGCTTGAAGTTCACTTTTCCTCATTAGTCACCCGCCACGCTAGCAGGTTTTAGGTTTAGCTCTGGAATCATAGACCTTGACTGAGGAATGACATTTGAAGCCAGCTCATGATTGCACGGTAGCATTGAGAAGATTCGAATTCACAAGCAGGTGAAAGCCAAAGGTAAATGGCCGATTGATTAACAGAACCTTGGTACGCTATACTTTCGAACCGTTACAGCCTGGTGCGCCATTCCTCTGTTCCCGATGTTACCGTGTGCACTTTTACTTTTCGATACGACAAACTCGGCACGAATTGCTTGAGAACGAACACCATAGCATGTGTATGAGTATCATTGCCTTTCTCGATCATCGTTGACTTTTTGTACCGAAATCTGCATGGTACCCGAGGAGCAGGGCGAGAGCACGTCATTAATGATGGTGCCAAAGATAGTCGGCATGATGCGGGGTTGATCTCATCCCGTATATGCATAGCACGCAGACCGTCGACAACTTCCTCCAAGCACCACCTCTTCGGCGCCCAACTAATTGCATTCTGCAAAGCAAGAAGCGATAGCAAGCGAAGAGTCATGTCTGTGAAATCTTTCCGGGACCTGCTGGGTATGCCACCCAATACCGCGTCTACATCTGATTCAGCTCTCATCATCATCGACGCGCAAAATGAGTACTCTTCTGGCGCTCTAAAAGTGACAAACGCAAAGGAGAGCGGGGATACAATCGCCAAGCTGCTCGACAGATATCGCAAGGCGAATGGGAAAATCATTCACGTGCTTCATGAGACACCAGAAGGAGCACCTGTTTTTACGCCTGGGACGGAACTGGCGAAGGAGTTTGAGCAGGTCAAAGCAAAGGTTCGTGATATTCCCCAGCTGCGAGATCCCTTTGTTGACTTGTAGACGCTCAGGATGGCGAAACCGTCATTGGGAAGAAATTCCCCGGCGCATTCGAACAAACCGAACTGAACGATACGTTGAAATCCTGGGGTATCGAGAAAGTAGTGTTGGTGGGATACATGGCACACGTCGTAAGCATTCCCCTCATCGATCGAGATCCCCAAAATCCACCACGGAGGACAGCGAAGGGCAAATAAACTCCTCGTTACAAAATTGCAAGCTAACGTCCAACGCTTCCAAGTGCGTTTCGACAACGGCGCGCGAAGCCATGCAAAAGGGCTATCAGGTCGTGCTAGTGGAAGATGCCATCGGGGACCGAGATATTCCGGGCGTGAAGGGGGACGAGGTGACCAGGGTTGCTTTGGCAGAACTGGCCGATGTTTTTGGGACTGTGGTGAAGAGCTCGGACATTAATTGAGGAAGACTTGAGCACTGTTGTAACTTTGTACCGCATTGTTTAGTAACTCGTGGTTCGACATACACGTAACTTTCAGTCGATAAGGGGACTGAAATTATGCTCCGCGCCCCTAACGCCCGTTGATGTCAAATGGTACCATGACGTATTTTTTAGGTCACGCGTTTACGTGTCGAAGGTTACCTATCTAGGTACCCGCTTCTAATGAAGTTCGCCAGCAACGTTTATTTTTCAACCTCGAGCGCGAGGATGGATGTGGGATTGACTGAGATGTGGTGAGTCGGCACTCCCTCCTGAGCCTCGTACAAATGACCTCGTTCGGGCGGAGCTCCACCTCTGATCATCCATCCCGTTCAACACCTAATGTCTGAATGGAGTTATACCATACTGAACGCACATACCCCTACCTTCATCCTTCGCCCTGTCCTGCAACTTAAAAACACGCGATAGACCCGGAAGGAGGAAAAACACGGCAAGCCAAGCCATCCAGGCGCTGCCCGTCGGCAACTTGCCGCTCCGCTGATCAAACAACGGACAGTGCGCTGGTCAGTACAGTCATCATTTTTTTTTCTCGCTGCCATGTAGTGCTGACATCAGATTCTCTATAGAGACGGATCATTAGAGTTGAGGTTTGCACCGTGCCCCTGAAATCCTGCCATAGCTGAGAGGCGGTGTCTCACCACGTTTATTTGGACTTCGCATGACGCGCGGTTGCATCGGTCCCAGGCTTGAATAGAGAATTATGCAACATGCAGGTCTTTTTGAAGCCATTAGAAAATTACCTATAGCAGTTGACTTTATGGGTTCATGATGGTGTGTTACATAGAATGATCAACAAACACGCTCCGCGGCGGCTGTTCCTACGCCAAAGTGACTCTACTACGACTTATCCGCGAGAGCCTCAGCAATATCCATGTATCCGCTACTCTCGGCGATTGTCCTTGGTTCCGCGGCCATACTGATGCCCTTCAGTGTGGGATCTGCACCTTTCTGCAGCAGCCATCGCACAACAGCGACACCGTCCTTGTGCTGCACCGCATAGTTCAGCGGCGTTCCATAATGTCTCCGTTTCGCGGCATCGCTATCGCTGTCTTGCGCATTCACGTCTAAGCCGAGCTCATCCACAAGGTATCGCAGCATTTCTTCTCTTTCCCTCCGACGCTGTAACGCGCTCTTTGAATCTTCTTTGTCGTTTGATTGCTCGGTAGTAGAATCCGTCTGGTGCACACCGCCTGGATTGGCACCAACCGCCGCTGCCTCGCCAGCTGCCAAATGCATCGTTCTCCGTCCTATCCTCGCGCCATGCGAGAGCAAGTACTTGAATGTTTCCACCGACCCCGATGCTGCGCAATTAACGGTTAGAAGTGGAGGTCTGGGTTCGAAGTCGTATTCCTCTTCTCCGTGGTTCACATCCGCGCCGTGCTCGACCAGCCACACCACAAGCTCGTGATCCCCTATCACTCTGTCAATTGTCCTCCTGCCTCTCCGCCAATTGTCTTTTGGACTCGCTTGGTTGACATCCCATCCATTTGCAGCAAGGGTCTCAAACAGCGGGATAGAGGGGTTGTGACCAATGTCTAGCTCATCGAGCGCAGATATAGGGACTCCTTCACTTTCTATCAAGTGTGCTGCTAGGACTGAGCTCCCGGCGCGTACGACTTTGCGTAATGCTTCTTTGGCGAATTCTTCGCTCTTTTCGAAATCGAGATTGTTCACCGCTTCCCAGAGGGCTTTGTCAAGTTGAGATGTTGATTGGGTTTTGATGGCATCTTCGAGGATCTCTGTCGCGTTTGGTGATTCCTTGGTGGGGGCCGTGTCGGACATGATGGGAGTTTTGTGGGACCTGTGGTTGGATAGGGAAATTTTTTACGAAAAGAAATGATCGATCCAACCGTGTATTTGTGAAAGGTGAGTAACAGCTGGGGAAGGGGAGTTCTATTAGATCCGATTATTAATAGCCCTAGCGTACACAGCAAACAAGCGCTGCGCTTCAATGATTGGGTCAGGGTCACGATTCGGACTCAACTCCTTGCTTTGTCGGCGTTAGATAATCTGCCCTACCTACGACCTCCGAAGCAAATCATCATAGCCCGCAATGTAGCCTCGTACATCACCGTAAAATATGTCCTGAAACGTTCCGGTGAACTATGCCATACTTCGGTGGGTCTGCCACAAGAAAACAGGCGACTGCCAGGAGATAGCCACGGGTTAGCGCATACGACCATTATTTGGGGGCTTAATGACTAGCCGGGGGAGGGCCATCAGGAGGGCTGGGTACACGCTACGGACTTCGTGATTGCTTGTGGAATTGCTATTTTCTTACATCCCCACACTCCATGGTAAAGAGGTTTGATGTCACTTTGTGTACATTACCCTAAAAGAGGCTTCAATGCCTGTTCAGGCTATCAGGGGAGTTGTGCGAAGCGCTGGCCCCCAAATCCTTCACAGTAACCGTGCGCAGGTAATTTCCCGGGAACCTCGAGATCCCGATATCGAATTAGGAATTGTGCGATCGGTGAATGAGAGAGAGAGGTCAAGAATCCTCATGAGTTCAGTGAAGACTTCAATAGACAATTGTGCAGAGGGCGTATATTCAAATCTCAAGAGCGAAGGTTTACGAGAGCATCCACGATTGCCTTTGTGAACAAACAACTACCTGGGTAGGGTAAACACGAGAAAGAATGGACACAATTGCCATCTTCGAGTACTAATCAACGACAAGTAGCGCGCGATGATGCTATAAACAGCTTTTACTAATGATGCATCATCCCTGTGCACCCTGTGCAGCGGTACCGGGAATCATTTCACTGGTTTCGACCTAACCGAACAGCCCACTCCCAAGTAAGTATACAACTAGCTATGCCCCAGAACACTTGGCAAGTATACATATAAACAAGGGGTTCAATCGAAAACCCTCTTCTTCTTCATCACTGTACATCCATCTTGCTTTGCTTCTAGGGCTGCTTCTTTCATTTGCCCTTGTCATTCTTTTCCCTTCGAGGCTCTTCATCACTCGTTTTGCGAATCCTCGCGCCAGTCGTTTTCATTACGCAAACCACATACACTTTCTCTTCGTTCCCAAGGCTCAGTCAAGATGCAGTTCAGAGTCTTTTTGCTTTTTCTTCTCACGTCGCTGGTAGCGGCTTCCCCGCTGTGGGAGCGTTCTCCTAAGAAGGGGAAGGGGAAGACTACTACTAAAGCCAACACCACCAAGGCTGATAAGACCACCACTATCAAGGTACGTACAGCTCGAGAATAGTTTTGAATTCTGGGATGCTATATGGAGTGTTGGCATCGTTGGCTCGCTGGGTTATGTGTTCGATTGTACTGACTTGTTCGCGACTTTAGACTACTAGTGCGGCGCCGACGACGACTTCAAAGGCTGTTGAGACTACTTCTTCGTCGTCAAAGGTCGTCACATCTTCTTCTTCGAGCAGCAGCAGCAAGATCAGCAGCAGCACTGTTGTATCAATCACATCTTCTTCATCCTCGGCTTCGTCCTCTAAGCCTTCGTCCTCCTCATCCTCCTCGTCATCAGCTTCTTCCTCTAAGTCTTCATCTGCTTCATCGTCTTCCTCGACGGTGTCGTCTTCGTCTGCCATCTCTTCGTCCTCCGCTTCGTCCTCCGCTTCGTCTGCTGTCGTTACGGGCAGCGCCAGCAGCTCAGCCACCAAATCTGGATCTTCGTCCTCTTCTGGAATCACCTCCGCTGCTTCCTCCTCGAACACTGCTTCCTCTTCCGGTAGCATCACCTCCAGCAGCTCTATCTCCGGCTCTTCTTCAAGCCTCTCGTCTTCTGGATCCCGCAACTCCACAATCTCCGCAACCTCCTCCGGCGTCAGCAGCTCGGCTTCTGCGTCTGCATCCTCCACTAAATTCATCTGCGGTGTTGGCTGCGGAAAGAACGGCTGCGCTTTGAAGCCCAGTGGCACTGCCAAAACCTCCTCCAAGCCAAAGTCAACCAAGCGTGCTGAGCTTGAACGTCGCACTCTCAAGGATGTCTCGACTTCTCAGGCAGACAAATACGTGATTGACACCATCACTGACTTTGGCTCCACCAAGGGTCTCGACTACACCTTCAACAACGATTTTGCTGTCTCCAGGCATGGCTCTTTTGCTAACAAGCCCTTCCCTGACTTTGTTACTGGATTGGAGGGATGCACTGGTGTCGCTGTTGTCTCCGAGAAGGGTTACTGGATCAGTCATTTCGTAAGTTCTTTTCTCCCTAGAATCCGCTCGGGAGTAGTATCCAGGCAGTAGTGGTGCCCATAGAAGTAATTTGCTAACAAATCATGCGTAGATGGAAATCGCTTACCAGCCAGAAGAAAAGGCCAAGTACGAGAACCTCCAAAAAGCAGTCAAGAACGGAAACACCAAGTACACGCGCCCAGAGACACTCAATGATCTCTTCGGAGAAGGCACAAACCCGCAGATCTACGTCATGCGCCCAAGGGACGGCCACACCAACGAACTGCTCTACGCCACCCAGACCCAATTCCTCATGGGCGAAATCCAACAGGGTATCCTCAAGGGATTGACACCTAAGACTCACGAGTACAAGAAGCCAAAGGACGAGAACGAGCTCAACACTTCTTTCGAGAGCACTGCCCGTGGTAAGATGCTGATCGAGTATGACAACAACCAAAAGGTCGGCGATCAGACAGCATCTCCTCAGCAAGCCATCGCCAGGGTGTTCATGGAGAACAAGATCTACAAGCAGGAGTGGGCTGCCAAGGAGAACCAGCTCGAAGGCGCAAAGGACGCTGATAAGCCCGTCGAGGCCCCTGCTCACAAGCCTGTACGTACCAACTTCCCACCTTACTAATCCCTAAATCCTCGCTCGATCTTATACTAACTGATTACCAGACCTGCCTGACGGATGCCGCAAACACTCTTACCGAAGCCGACGTAACTGCCGCTTTCGACTCCGTTTTCAAGAAGGCTCTTGATATCTCTTCGCCCATCTCGCAGACCGGAAAGAGCGGAGAGGTGTCTGTGCAGTTCAACATCAAGAAGTCGGCGGACCAGACGGGCTGCACCGCCTCGGCTGGTAAAGCCATCATGCGCACTCAAGCGAAAAGGATCATGTTGGAGGTGTCGAGGCAGTGCCCCAAGGCTGGAAGCTCGACTGAGTTCATGGGTGTGAAGCCTGATGTGCACAGCACCCCGCTGGGCTGTCTCGATGTGGAGATTTTCAGGGTGTAGATTAATAGGGGGTGAGGGATTGGATGTATTATAACGTAGTGATGTATAGTGTTGAATAGATTACTGAGTCTCACGACATGTTGCAGCGTTTCATTTCTATCGAGTAGACGTAGAGAGCGGAAATGTTCTTACTCTCGGCATGTTTCTGAAAGCTTCTGATTGCAATTTTCTGCTAACAATATACAATAGTTCCAGCGATAAACGTGAATCCTCCTTCTTAAGCATCATCGTCTCCCAAAATAAATCTACGAAGGAGGCGTCGGCCACTTATCCAACACCGCCTCTTCGCCCGTCAACTCGAAGCCCCACGTTGCCTGGACCGGCTCATCAAGCTCCACCTCGTAACTTCCCGGGTACAAAACCGTGTTCCCACTTTCATCATGTCTCGCGATGTTTCCGAGCGTCCACTCCAATCCCACAGCTTTGGTGCTACCTCCCGCAACATCATGCACACGAGCGTACGCAGAAAGTGTCTTCAGCGGATACGGTTTCGGCCCGTTCTCGCTCTTGACGAACGCCAGCGCAACGAAGTCAGACGTGCGGTTTCCGGCATTGGTAATGGAGAGAGACAGTGGTGGAAGAGCGCAAGTATCGAGGAATTCGTTTGAGCAGGAATCAACGAGCTCTTGGATGTTCCAGGTGGCGGAGGAATTGGAAGAGGACGAGTTCGATGCGCCCGCTGCGACCTTGAAATTTGTGTAGTGCAGTCCGAACCCAAATGTCTGGACGGCGTCGGCGTACCATCTGTATGTTCGTCCAGGGTTTGTATCGCTGGGACGGAGATTCATATCGGTCATTGGAACGGCGTCGGTGTAGTTGACGGGGTATTGGGTGAGGGGGAGACGGCCAGCGGGGGCTTTGGCGCCAGATACAATGTCCAGGACAGCTGGGCCGCCGTCTTGACCGGGCCAGCTGGCCCAGAGGATTGAGTTCACGCCCGTGTTGGTGAGGAGGGGTGTGTTGTCGAGCATGTCGCCCATTTGGATCACAGCAAGTGGCTTTCCGAGATCTGCGAGTTTGTTGATGAGGGTTAATTGCGCGGCAGGCCATGCGAGAGTTTGCCTGTCTAGTCCCTCAGCAGCTGCAGAGGTATCTTGTCCACCGAAGTACAGAATGTACTCTGCGTCTTCGGCGGCGGCGAGCGCGTTTTCGGTCCAGGTATCGGGCGCCGAGTTGCTTTGGGAGATGGGACCAGTTACGTTCTTGACGGAGATACCAAGCTGCTGTGCTGCCCAGGCGGGTGAGTGCAAGAATGGCGCAGGGCCGCTGTATCCACCTTGAAGTTTCTTCTGGTCGCCAGCCCAGAAGCCGATCATGGCCACCTTCGTGCCGTTGGTGAGCGTGAATGGGAGAGCATTTTCTTCGTTCTTGAGCAGGACAAGACTCTCGGCTGCCGCTCGTCGTGCGAGCTCTTGCGCAGGTTTGGTGTTGATGTCGGATGGACCCAAACTGGCGTATTTGGCAGATTCACCATCGAAGTACCCGGAGGTTACGAGTCCGCGGTAGATGCGTGTCAAAGCCCTATCCACGATAGTCTCGTTGAGGTATCCGCCACTCCAAGCCCCAGGGATGTCTGATGACCCTTCGTACTCGCAACTAGAGTCCATTCCGGAGTTGAACGCCAAACCGGTGCCTTCAGCATTTGTCGCCACGTACTTGTGGTTGGCGGAGATATCGAGCACAGCCTCACAGTCGCTCGTGATGTAGTTATTCTCCTGCCACTTCCAGTGTTCGCGCAGGATTGTGCCCATGAGGAACTCGTTTGCGCATGCAGGAACACCGTTGACGGCGTTATACGAACACATGAACGAACCGACCCTAGAATCTCTCGCGCATGTCTGGAAAGGCTGAAGGTAGTACTCGGCCAAATCTTGCTGGCTGATGATGGCATCAAAGTCGTGTCTGGTAACACCATTCCAGTTCTCAAGGTCGTTACCAGCGTAATGCTTGCACGTCGCAATAACACGACGCTCCTTCTCATCGTCTCCCTCAAGACCCGCGATAACCGACGCGGCGTAGCGCTTCACTCTCAACACGTCTTCACCGGGTGTCTCGGACCCACGGCCCCATCGAGGATCTTTGAACGTGTTCACGTTGGGAGTCCAGAAGTCCAATGGGGCTACGCCGCCATTGCCGAAAGCGCGTGCTTCGATAGAGATGATTGTCGCTATCTCTTGGATCAGATCATCGTCGAAGGCTGCTGCCATGAGGACGGGCATGGGGAACGAGGTCGCGATCTTGTAGTCGCCCGTGAAATTGATCCCGGGGGCGCCGGCGACACCGTGAAGAGCTTCACCCCACCAGTTGTAAGGCGGAAGTCCAATTCGAGAAACGCCCTTCGATTTGCTGGCGTGACATTGTCAGATTTCCGATGAAAAAATTGTGGCATCAAGGAGATAAGAAAAGAGATAACCGCGCGATGCGACCCAGCAGAGCCGTATCGCATCACTGAAAAGTCGCAGTTGTGAACTATCATCCCACAACAAAGGCGTAACTGGAACCAATTGCATGCTCATAGAAACCACAAGACTCATAGCGAAATTTACTCTGCTTACCTGACCAATTGTCCCAATTTCTCCTCAGCTTCCATAGCTCCAACGAGCGCAGTCGCGCGCTCCAAAGGCGTTGCGGTCACATCGCAAATCTTGTTATCCGCCAGAGGCCCATTGACACAGTCCGGTCCAATAGCAGCGAGGACGATGGCTGGCAAAGCCAGAGCCATCATCCTAGCTGGCGAAGATAAAGAATGCATGGCTTAAAGACGGTCCCGTACGCGACTAACACCCAGCAAAGAAGAAAGGGATGAAAGCAGGAGTAATGAAAAGGTACAGGTCCCTCAGACTTATAAGCCAGATTCAATACTCCATATATGAACGAATCCGAGATCCAAACTTTCCCCCTTTCTCTCTTTTTCCCGTTACTGAGCCAGTCTAGGCAATAATTAATGATGTAAGATGTATAGACCTTTCTCCTTTTCTGCTCCTGCTGCTACCATCCCTCCTTGGGAGAGGAGAAGAGGGGTACATTATTCGGTAGCGCCAAAGCGCCAAAACGCGGTATTAATTTCTGCATCTCTTGGGAGGGGGAGGGAAGACGCAGGTACATAGTACGTCACTTTAATCCTCGACAAAAATGTCCTGTGGGTGGGGTTTGGGGTGAATTGGGGAGTTTATCCTGATCCCTGCACGATTTTATAGCGAATGTTCGATGGTGTCTCGCATGCGTTGTTTTTGTGTTTATCCTCTCATTTACACGCACAGTTGACGGCCATCACGCATACAGTACTTGGCGGACTCTACAAAACGATGTTCGACTAGATGAGCACAGTCGGGGATTGAGAGACAGTCACGCTGCGATTCTGCCTTTCACAAACACAGCGCGAGTATGTTGAAGTTGGTAAATCCACCAATCTGAGTTGGCGATCATATTTCAACGACGCCGATCAACGACACCCCACTCCCGAGATCATCACCGTGCATGGGTGTCATAACGGGCTCTTGGGCTGCCTGTACAATATATGCATAGTGCGCGCTGAGAAAACACACATGCGTAGCGCATCTGCTAAGAGAATACCCACAGATCTTCTAGAAGAAAAGGCTAAATTGCCATGCCCCTGTCTGGTTTTCGCACCGCGAATGATTGGAGATCGAGGAGAGGAGAGAGAACCTGGAGGCGAAACGGTAGGGCGGCTGAACGCATGTTGTATCCCTCGCTATACTGTCTTCTGAGCATGTGTGTTTTGATTTTAGTCCAAGTTGATGTACAGGAAACACGATCGTAGTCTTCATTTTTCCCTAAACATCTGTTCCTCAATACCTACAACTCCCGATCCACGTTATTCATCACCACTCTACGCTTACGTACGGCTTTCCATGAATGCGCCGTCAATCAAATCCGTTCCTTCGCGTCTGTTTCCTTGATTATTCCCAAACATCACCCCATCGCCTGCGTTCTCCGCTCAATCTAGCTCGATCTATTTTACCCGGTACAACCCATGATGCATGTTAACCTCGGGACTAAGCGCAGTGGATAACTTTGATAGTCGAGGTGCATATAGACACTACTATAGTTCGGTGGCTAAGGGACTGGGGGGAAGTGGCAGTGCGGGGAAGGGGGGTGGGTTTGTGTGCGTCGAATTGCTGGGGGATCAATGCCACGTCGTTCTTGTATTAGGATTTTCAGGTCTTCGCAAAAAAAGGGCAGATTCCACTGCCGATATAGTATTGGAAGTCCTTGGGGTGGAAGAGAGCTGGAAGATCAAAAACGGTAAATTTTGCGACTCTGTGGCACGTTGTCCCGATCCTGGATTGAAGGTATAGTACAAGGGTGGTTATGCCTGTCAATGCAGATTAATATTCTAGAGGTGTCGGCTCTTAGGCTTCGATTGTTTTTTACGAGTGACTTTTCAACGTTTCTTCGTTCTTGCTCATTACTGGATCGTGTTGTACGGTACCGCGCAGTATTATCTGTGTATCTCACCTCTAAAATGTATCAATGGAAAAACTGCCAATCCACTGGCCTGGTATACCTGCACAATTTTAGACATTAGTGAGAGAAATAGATGGTCAATACATGTATTTGCAGTGTCGATTTCACGTGACTGAAGATGATGATGAATAACAGCGAATTGATTCAACTGATTGTGAAATATAATTGTCTGTTTTGTCTCGGCGAAAGGTAGGGAAAAATATGTACAATGTAAAAGAATGGTAAGTTATATACGATTGTCACCGACAGTAAAATCCGTCCACGACAGCTCAAGAGAGAGCGCCCTCTACTTCTGGAGAGTAAGAAGACCGGGTCGGTAAGGAAGGGCGTTGTAGTTGCCGCCGGCGTTGTCGTTGGGGTTGCGTCCCTGGAAGAGCAATTGAAGGTTGCAAGGGTCGACGGTCATGGTCTGGTCGTTGGAGGACTTGATCAAGTCTCCGTGCGAGATGTCGTTGGACCAGGTGACGCCTGAGTTGCCCTTGCCGGCGAAGGGGTTTTGCTCGCTTGCGGCGTTGGGAGTCCACGAGCCACTGAGGCTGGTGGCGGTGAAGGAACGGAAGTAACGGCCTTGGCTGCCGATGGCTTCAACAATCATGAGGTACTTCTGCTGACCCTTGAGGGTGTAGACCTGCACGGCCTCGAAGAGGTTGTTTTGGGTGTCGCTCATCACAACAGTGGAGCTAGAGCCAAAGTCGCCGGGGAAGTTGTTCAAGGCCATCTGCGATCGGTAGATCTTGCCGTTGTCACCGGCGAAGAAGAGGTACATGTTCTGGCTGTCACCAATCAGGGTTTGATCGATGGGGCCGGTCTAGAAAGCAAGTTAGCATAGCTCTTATAGATACAACATTGCATATGTAGGGTTTCCATCTCCAATGTCATGCCACGTGATGATCCAACGCGTTTAGATAGAACATTGAATGTTTCTCATAACCAAATGGGGCATACATACACCAGAGCCGGAGATGGATCCACTGAAAAGAGCTTTGTCCGCAGACCAACCATTAGCATTGGTTGGGTCCGAAGAGGTCTTGTAGCGGAAAGCAGTGGCTCCCCATTGGTACGCCAGAACCCAGGTGCTCTTGGGGGCGAAGTAGAAGAGGGTGGGAGCGACGGTAGCGCCTTGAGTCATGCCGGTCTGGGAAGCACTTCCAAGACCAGATACGTTGTCGACGGCGCCGAAGGCCATGGAGCCGTAGGCTTGGCCATTCCACATGGACGCGTAGACGATCTGCTTGCCGTTCACGATAGACTGGGTGAAGTCCTTGAGCGAGGCCCATCCGTTCTTAGGCGTAGCAATGGGAGCATTGGTAGATGTCCATCGGTAGCTCGTAGGAAGATCGCACTGTGCAGTAACGGTGGCGGCCGAGGCGAGGGCAACGAGGCCGGTGGAGAAGATGTTGGCAACCATGATTCTTTCCTGTGAAGCTGGGCTATATCAGACAAGCGGGAGAGTGATGGAGGTGGTGATAGTAGCTGGTAGCGAACGTCGTGGATATCTATAGTCCAAAACAAGGCTAATATCATCCATGGCCGCGGAACATTGTATCCCGCACATATAGCGTCGATGGGAGATGATCATCGTTTTGAGAAGGGATGGTATGGGTCTTCCCAGGATACCAAAGTAGCCATGAATCTGTGTCGTCACTGAACTAGCTTGAACTATAGAGGCGTTTGATTAACGGAATTTCTTTTTGCCAACAATTATAGCCGCACAGACGTGGATTTCCTCCGAAGTGAGGATGAAGGATGACGCCAGTGTTTGAAACAAACGACTTGGTGATGCTTAGCTTGTGGCATTGGCTGCAGTATTTTCTCCGTAACGCGGGGAACAGCCGAATCTGTGGCTATGCGCCGGCAACTCATGTCAAGAACCCGAGAAATTACCGCATCTAAGCCCTTTTCGCCACTCGACGTTCTCCAGAGTGATCAATGCGGCAGCCTGTGGACTCCACACTTGTTTGACCAACTTTCCATGTAGACAAGCTTTTTGGCAGTGAACCATGCTTTTTTTATGTCCAGAGCTGAATAGAACAAATTGATGTTTGATGAACGAGATTAGACCCACGCAGAAAGGCTTCTACGCCCACAAGCTCAAGGATCCCCTCCAACGAACTCAGGTACTCCTGGAGCATGATCATTCGACATCATGTCAGCCAACAAATTCTCGATCATCAGTGGTGCCAAGGCGATATTGCCCGGGTGTTGCGTCGCATACTGTACTCGTTTTTAATGAAATGAAGCCACCAGACAGGGGTCTACGGCTACTTGCGCATACCACGTGACGTAGCAATGCAACGTTCTTTTGAATGGTTCTATATCTGGAATGACACTGAGCAGAATCAGCATAGTCTGCATACACTGTCATTTTGACTTTGATGAAGTTGGTCTAAGCTCTTTTTCTTTTGATTGACTTCACCGCCTGACTACTATAGGCTCAGCATAGATGAAAACAGTCCCAAACTTGCCCCTTGAAATTCATTTTCTTTTGGATAGCATGGACATACACCAGGTATTTGGAATGCGGGGGCGGCAAATGTCATCATTCAAACTCGATAACTCATAGGTCAGACTCCTCACTAGCACTGTATGGAGTGCGGCCCGACACATAGCGAGGTGCATTATTTACTTTGTCGCTCTTTATCATGAATTCCAGAGAGGAATCAAGATTGCGCAGTGTTTGCAATTTTGGAGAAGACAGATAAAGCATAAAGGTAGTGCGTGGTCGAGGTTCTAGCTAATGCAGATCAAGCTTTAAAAACGAGAAAGAGACAACTTAGTTTGAACCAAGCAAATCCGTCGACCTTCAACACCATGAAAGCCACTACCTTTGCACTTGCCGCTTTGGCACCCGTTGCGTTAGCTCAGCAATCCACTCTGTGCGGTCAATATGATTACTATGCTGCTTCCGGTTACGAGTTCAACAACAACAACTGGGGCAAGGGCTCCGCATCCTCTGGTTCACAGTGCACCTATGTCGACAGTGCCTCGAGTTCGGGTGTTAGATGGCACACCACATGGGAATGGCAGGGCGGCCAAGACAATGTTAAGGCTTATCCTTACAGCGGCCGCCAGATTCAGAAGAAGCCTATCAGCCAGTACAGCAACCTGCAGACGAACACGCAGTGGAGCTACGACAACACCAACATCCGCGCCAACGTCGCATATGATCTCTTCACTGCCGCCGACGTGAATCATGCCACCAGCAGTGGTGATTACGAACTGATGGTCTGGTAAGTCTTATACAATTCTCTCCTGCACAGCCACTGTTTCTAACTATCTCCACCTCCAGGCTTGGTCGATTCGGCAATGTGTACCCTATTGGACAGTCTCAGGGTCAGGTCAATGTTGCCGGCCGCAACTGGGAGCTTTTCTATGGTTACAACGGCGCCATGCAGGTCTACAGCTTCATCCCTTCTAGCCCTATCAACTCCTTCAACGCCAACCTCAAAGACTTCTTCACCTACCTCACCAATAGCAAGGGATTCCCCGCCTCTCAACAAAACCTCATCAGTAAGTTCTGATCCGTTTGCGCTTATGCTCTTATAAGTGTTCCTATAGCGACTAACGAGAATCCCTTTAGCTTACCAATTCGGCACTGAGCCTTTCACCGGAGGCAAGGCTACCTTGACTGTCAACCAGTGGTCAGCTGAGGCATCTTGATCCGATTGAAGAACCTTCCTGGTATACTTTTCTGTATGGAGGTCAGCCGATTGACATATGTGACCGTCCGGTGCTGTACATGAACCATACAGCTGCTGTGCAGCTCCGTAATAGTTGAACACTCGCTTCATTATAAAAATCCGCGCGAGACCTGAAGAGCCTCAGGTCAAGCACGTTCATTTATTCATTACCATCTATCATGCGAAGTGTTATAACAAGTTAATAAATGCTACACTGATCTAGAAAGCTTGCCCGTATTGTAAAACATCTACAGGGAGATTATAAGCTTTGTAATGTAATCCTGAGTTTTGTTTCGGGACAGCATTGTGGTTAGTCTTCATGGAATATTACAAACGCAGGCCAATACCCCTGATGAAACGTTCGAAGCATCGGTCTCGCCCTGGATATACTCACTCGCGAGAAAGACTTTCCATAGTTTGACAGCACTATCAATCCAGGGTCTATATACTCGCTTCCGCATCGTCGCACGGTAGGTACTAGCTGGGGAAGTTGACCATATCCTCCCATTAATTGCTATAGCTACTACTTTTCATCCCGCAAGATGAATACTATCTAACTCCCAGTATGATTGCCATTAAACTACTCATCAGCGACAACATGGGAATTTCCCCCTGGATTGATTCTTGAGAACTATCGCTACTGCCAGATCTTCGAGCGCACGCCACTCCCGACCATCGACGACTGCACTCGAACGTCATATAATAAATTACGGGAATGCAGGGCAACTCCAGGATCCAAATAGGGCTTCCAAGCGACCCAGAAAAATACTTTGGGGACGGTCTCTACCGCAGACGAGTCACTAATCAGTGGCGGTGAAAAAGCATAGTCAAGCCCGTCCGTTCTCGTCAGTTAATCCCGGTGGCAATGCTCTCATGTGCTGTAAAGAAAAACAGGATCACCACTTTGATCAAGTGATACCAAGAAATGAGCTACAAACGCCATGCAGGATCAATTTTCTCGACTTGTGCTTGTATCACTACTGCCTGGTATACCGAGCTCGAGGTGAGATAAAACCGGTGGCTGAATACGCACCCTCACCGAAGCGAACAGGACGATCTGTACCAATTCTTCTCCACGCCGGGGATCTAAGTGCCTCATGGAAATATACACTAAGGGTGGGAATATGCTGGGGTAAATTTCCGGTGGGTGAGCAATTAACCGGGCGGGCACCAAACGGTTTTTCTAGTCTTGTCTCGACCTCACCCGCTCGGGTGATGCGTCAACATCCAGTAGCTGGCGAGTCTAATAACATCGACGAATTGCTGTAGATTGCTTACGAGCAGAATGCTCATGTCGGTACGTGCTAGTCGTGATTTTGACTTACGCAATCGAAACGTCCTGACAATGGCTATTGAATCTAGCCACTTCAATGGAATCTTCCATTTCATCTCGGTAGAGAAAGAGAGGGGAATGGGCTTGAAGTGATAGGCACCTGTTATTATTGAGTTCGTCTGCATATTATAGCCAGATATCGATTGTAGTGAAGAGTATATAGAGTTTGTATACGCCTGTTCACCATCAACATCTGTAAAAGCAGGGTTCGATTGCAGCAAACTGTATCAGCGTACCACCGCAAAAATGATGCTCCCAGTTCTCGCTCTCCTTGTCGCAAGCAGCGTCGTAGCTGTACCACCTCCCCCTCCTCCTCCCGGCACAACCATTCTTCCTCCAGGACCACCCCCACTACCATCAGGAAAACCTCCTGGCCCGCCCAAGCCTCCTGGTCCACCCAAACCTCCTGGTCCACCCAAGCCTCCAGGCCCACCCGGACCCCCAGGAAATGGCACAGTGAAGCCCACTCCTTACGGCTACTTCACCAACAACACCATCTACCAGCCTGTAAAGAACGAATCCGTAACTTATCCCCGCTTTGTCGAGCTCGACGACGGCACGACCCTCGCCACAACCTCTTTCTCTGGCCACAGTCCTTCCTACTTTCCAGTGTTCGAGAGTAAAGATGGCGGCGCGACCTGGGAGTACATTTCCAACTTGACGGACCAAGTCAATGGCTGGGGCATGACTGCACAGCCCGCGCTGGCAGTGTTGCATGAACCCATGGGCGGGTATGAAGCTGGAACTATCCTTGGTTCTGGAAACAGCTGGAGTGACAATGGCACGAAGATCGATTTATATGCTAGCCGGGATCGCGCTAGGACGTGGGAGTTTGTTAGCCACATTGCTGAGGGTGGGAGACCGAATACGACGAACGGTGCAACTCCGATTTGGGAGCCTTATCTGCTGTGAGTCTTACCCAATCTGAACCCCAGGGACTCCGCTAATGAATAATGATAGGCAATACGAAGGCGAGCTGATCGCATACTATTCCGACCAGCGCGACCCCAAGCACGGCCAAAAACTAGCCCATCAAACCTCATCCGACCTCAAGACCTGGGGCCCCGTAGTCAACGACGTCGCATACGACGAGTACCTTGCCCGCCCCGGCATGACCGTCGTGGACTACATCAAGCCCATTGACAAATGGATTCTCGTCCACGAACTCCCCGTCGGCAACTCCTCTTCACACGGCGTAAACTACCCCGTCTACTACGTTCTCGCAGACTCACCAAAAGACTTCCGCCTCAACAAAGGTCTTCCCATCGTCATCAATAACCAAACTGCGCCAAATGCTAGCCCGTATGTGGTTTGGACGCCGCATGGAGGCCCTAATGGAACTATCGTGGTTTCCGATGCGGATCGTGGCCAGGTTTATACGAACCAGTTTGGTGGTGATGTGAATAAGTGGGAAGAGCATGGCACCCCTGCTGGCGCAACGTACTCGCGTGCGATCCAGATTTCGAAGAGAAACCCGAATCGGTTGATCATCTATGGTGGTGAGACGTTTGATAACATGCGACTGGGTTTGTTGACGCCGTTCACGTATACGGCGGTCAAGCTGAGTGAGACGCTGGTAACGCCAGTCTAAAAATTTTATTAAAACTGTGTTGAGTTTGGGGCGGCGAAACTGTGGTAGCGGGATATTTTTGTAGCCAAAAATTAGTACATTGATGAATGCAAGATGTGTGATGCACGAATTCGGGGGAGAGTTTGCTTGTTCATGTCGCAGAAGTATAAGATTACATATGTATGGTGCGCCCGCTTAAGTGGCACGAGGGTACACAATTCAAGGACATGTTGCCCCAGTTCATTGTTGAAGATTCTACAAAATTAGGCAATGCGTTATATTAAATCTTATCTCATCTAACTCACATCAACGAGAGTTTAACACTGAGTAACAACACTGTATCAAATGTAGAGTGGGTAGTAGGTGTGCCTTAGCCCGCTGCCAGAACCAAAACAACATGTTTGAGAACGATACAGTACTGAGCGGCTCTTTCTACAATGCAAGTAGCGACGTTTATTGAACCCCATATTGATATTGTCATTATATATGGCTCAAAGACCAAGAGCATTAGGTTCATTATATGTGATCATCGCATATTCACTAAGAGCAGTAGATATTGTCATGTGTTTCAAGGTTGACGATCTTGCGCCAACTTCATTTCTGGGGGAAGTTTGCTTTACTTGATGGTGAGTTGACCGGGCGTACTCTGACATTTTGCGCGGGGCGCAATAGAAAGAAGTAATGTTTTATACGAGCCGAAAGCATGAGGGCGTGAGCCGACGGCGCTGGCCCATGAAAAATGTCCTTGGCCAGAATTAGAGCTTCCTAGGCTGTGTCTCCACTACTAACTAGTAGACTATTCGAGTGCCATGCCAGTTCTGATTGGATAGTATACTAGATCGAATAACGGCATGAGTGCTGGGAGTGCGAAAGTCACGTTCCTCTCGTCTTCCAGAAGAGCTGCACCTTCACGTCATTGAAGACCCTAGAACAGATCATTTACGACAGATTACGATGCGCGATACTAAAATTATCCTTTCCAGAAATTCCAATGAATTCTGTCATTCTAGTATTGGGCGTGAGCCTATAGGTACGCACAAGCAAGGCAAATATTGGGTGCTGCGGCTTACCCTGCATACCGCGTGTCAATACCAAAAAATCATTGAAATATGAAACAATAGTTTTATCGATAAAGATCGGAATCGGGAAGGGTAACGTTGGATTCGGGTACAGCGATCCAATCATGCTGAGGAATGGGGTCGAACAAACGGTCAGATCGCCCTGGTAACTTCACCCGGTTCGGTGCGAAGGAATGTACTGCTAAGAAAAGAAACGAACACGAGGGGAGCACAACAGAGACACGTGCATGATGCGCAACTGCGTTTTGTCAACTTTTGTGCTCCCACAGAAGATTCCTCGTGTCGTGGGGTTCTTTTTGAAGGCGTGATGTCTTCATCGGTTCACGGGGGGTTTTTTCATGTTTGTTTTTCTTTCCACTCATACGCACGCTGAACTACGGTCGTTCATTTTTATGGGATTTTTGTTTGATACGTATTTCTAACAACCGCATCATTCGTCATGAGAGAGCCGATTGATAATGCACTCGCTTCCGACTACTTTCGGGCAGAAGTACCCGATGAGATGAAGGGTGGGCTTGAAACTTCGTGGTGCTTGGAGTCGCCAACGTTCCAAGAGACGGGTTCTGTACCAGAATCCTATCAAAAACTTCAATGTATGTGAATCAAATGGCACACCTTCCACATAAAGTCTTTCTAATCGGAGGAAGCTTCACCACTTGCATCCACCTTGACTTCCTACCCGCTGTCTCTTGATGGCAAGGCAGAGTCGACGAATCACGTTTTTCTCACTCGTGATGAGTCGTCGCACACTAAGCAACTTAGTCCGACTTTCTTGGTACCAAGTCTGGCACATTTTGAATCGAAATCTCCACGCTCGCTTCATCTTAGCAGATCACCACTCGACAATCTACAAGCAGAGTTAAAGAAGTATGGTCAAATGGAAAACAACTGGAATGAGGAGCTGGACAAGCGGCAGAAACCAGATCAGGAAAGCAACACATCTGGCACTCAGGACTGGAGTTTTGTGAAAAGACGATTAGAATTACCTGAACACATTCCGAACCATGATTGTCCAAGTATGACAACGGGTAGTACCCTAAGCAGCCGCAACTCATCTACAAGATCAACTAAATCCAACAAGTGGACGGAAACCGAGGTACCGACGAAAGGCAGATGTCCCATCCCGGAATGTGGTCGCATGATGAGAGATCTCGCCGCGCACCTTTTGACTCATCAAGCCGAACGTCCTGAGAAGTGCCCCGTCGATACCTGCGAATACCACACAAAAGGATTCGCGCGGCCTTATGACAAGGTTCGACATACTCTAACGCACTTCAATGGGATGTTCGCTTGCCAGTTCTGTACTTCATCAGTTGCTGTCAGTGCGAGGACATTCTCACGCTGCGATGCTTTTCTTCGGCACCTTGTCAATGCGCATGATGTTGAACCAGTGTCACCGGGGCGCAGAGACGAATTATGTTCGACTAGACCTAACAAGCCCACTAAAAGATTCGCTGCTGGAAATTCGGTCGTCACATGTACATTATGTACAGAGCCTTTTGATGCGCAGGGCTACTACGAGCATCTAAGAGGATGTGTACTGCGCCATGTTACCAGGAGATTCTCCACCCCGGATACCCGAGAACTTGCCGCTGTGGAGACTGTCGAACGTATAGACCACTGTCCTGACAACTCGATTACTAGCACCTCCAAATCCGGTCGCGCGTCGAGTACGCTCAATCGTGCTAAGCGCGCAAGCACATCCAGTCAAGAAATCGAATCACCTGCCAACCATCACCGGAGCAACTCGCGAGATCACACAATGGCAGAGCTTACTGCATCGTCACGATGCCTATCTCTAACTTCGTCCCACTGTGATAGGGAACTCAGTCGATCGTCAACCGATGAAGAGACCGATTGGACAGATGATGCTGGTACTCCCGATAGTGCTCCCGACACGGAAGACTTCAAACCCATATTATCGCCCGTGAAGACACAGCTGGTAAATTCCATCATGGCTGAGTTTCATAGAATGTTCGACAAAGAATTACGATCACATCACAGCGGGGCAAGTTCAGGCGCCAGCGGCTATAGAGAGTCGAGCGGGTCCTCGAGTTACTCCAGCGCGTCTTTCATCTCGCGTAAGAGAAGCCTGAGTGGTGGCAGCACCCCTCCGGACAACAATGATGGAGACGATTCTCATAAACGGAGGCGACCCGACCCTAAATCGGTTGGTGGCAAAAACGCGATACCAGAGGTAAGGTTTGCTTGTCCTTACTACAAGCGCAATCCTGGACGACATCAAACCTTTACCTCATGTCGCGATCCTGGATTTATAACAGTGGCAAGGCTAAAGTATGTTCAAACCCGGTCCATTCAACCAGTCATCACCATGTCTCTGTACTCCTAGGCTCAGTCTGCTAACAAAAGCCAGAGAACATCTTTACCGAAGACACCTGCTCCCAATACAGTGCAACCGATGCTGTTCCACTTTTGCAAATGAGCCCATTCTTCGAGAACACCAAAGGGACTTTCGAGGCTGTGAAGTCAAAGAACACATACCACTCGAAGGTTTCGATAAAGACCAAGAGAGAAAGCTCAAGAGCAAGAAGCGCAGCCTTGTCTATCAAAGCGAAGAGGATAAATGGAATGGAGTCTACAAGATCCTTTTCCCGGACGACAACGAGGCCGATATGCCATCACCATGTATGCAACTGCCCCACGCTGTCAATATTAAGTGTAGTTGTCATGCTGAGCTTTTGTAGATATTGAATACCAGCCATGCAACTCCGCGCAGATCAACGAAACCCCCAACATCGCACAGTTCCACGAGTTCTCCCGCCTGGAACTTCCCCGCCTCGTGCGCCGCACGCTAGAAGTGGCCGTCGAGCAAGAAGCGCAGCCTCTGGAGGAGAAGTTGAAGGAACGTCTCGTAGACATCGTACGAGACTGCCAATCGCAACTTATATCTCTTTTCCAAACAACGCAGGCGCGGCCGATGAAGGTTTCAGAGCTTACACCACATGCGCTTCTGCCCATCGCCGCGACCGACGAGGATGGCAAACCATCTGCAAATTCTGCCACAGATCAGCACCGCAACCAGGAAAACGCCGGCACATTTCATCCCCAATCGTTTCAAGACTTTGACTCCTTTGCGCTGGCGGTGACCGCGGAGAACTTCATACCGATACCCGCAACACGCGATATCGATCAATATAAGCAGACGACGACCCAGGATTCATCCGGCTCGCCGGATTCAGGCTACGACTCAAACACTGCTTGGCTACCTCGCTCCGATGCATCGAATACAATGGCCGTCCACCAACATCAGCGTCACTTGCAGCAGCCTCATCTGTCTTTTCAGCTGGATGCAGCCACGTTCAATCCTTCGGCGTCCATGTACTCGCCGCAACATCCTTTGGTCGCTACCTCTTTCCAACAGCAAGCAAACATTCCGTTCAATGGGGCAGAGTTTGCGACTGGGATGAATGGGTATAGAGAATTTCTTGGTGGAGCGTGTGATGTGCGATTTCCTGAGGATGCATGGACGGCGTATGGGGAGGACAACAATGGAAACAGGCAGGGCAGTCAAATGAACACACTGCAATGAAAGAGTTGGTCCTGTGGTGTGCGATATCTTTTTATCGGATGCTGGTATGATGGGGAGTGTCGTTGGGCCGGTATCGCCTGATATTTTTGCCTTGCTTTCCGGTTGTCATATCCTTTCTCTTTCTTTTTGCCCTACCGAGTGTTTCTGCGGGCGGACTCAACTCGCTATAGACGTTTCATGCTTATTTGATAATGTATAGTGTAATCCCATGCACTCAATTTGGAAGCTTAATACCGCTCCCTGTGTTTCTGTAATCGAAAGTATGTGACTAGTGTGTTACTTTGAGTACATTGTACGAAGGTCGCTTCAGGATGGGCTGGAGGTGATTGCTGTTTTCATTTTATCAGTTGCAATTGGCAGAATGTCACTTTCTTGCGAACTTTAGACTTGATGCATGGGTGATGTCACTGCTCCTCAGGAGACGTAAGCGACGTTCGACACAAATACCAGAATATCATCGATGCTAGCATAAACTGTTAGATTTCAACTGTCTAAAACCTCGTTGTATGAATCAGACCTTGCAAAAATAATATTATACAGGCTGAAGAAAAATCTTAAAGCAAAATGCATTGGACAACGAATCCACCCACCAACCTTACAACCACCACCCCAAATCACGCACAGATCAAGTCACCAACAAAACAGGCGACCAAAACGCTGAAACATCCAATCTACAAAACTAGCAATATGCAGTTAGACACAACAGCCGCTACACCAATCACATGTGCTAACAAAATTTCCTAATGTAGGAAGCCTTACGTACAGTGACATGAAGTCCGGAGAGAAAAACCCCACATGAGCGATTGCTCTCGAAGCAAGAAGAATTCAAGTAAGCGGTTTGCCCACTTTGGAGCTATCTATTTAGGACTCCCGTTTGGCCATACGCCCGTTTCTATTTCCTTCGTTACTCGTTATATAGAAAGAGAAGATGGTGCGGATTTCAATGTTGTGCATCGCGGCGCTGAGCGCTTGCGCGCAAGCAGACTTCATCGTGGTGACGGATATGCCAGTCCCCACTGCACCCGCGACATTCAACAGCACATACGAAGTATGTTCCCCATCAACTCCATTCCACTGCCCTCCCTCCCCAACCATTCCCCACCCACCCATTCACCCTAAAAACCCCCCCCAAAACAAAAGAAAAGAAAAGATATAACAACTAAACCAACAACAAGTCCGCAAAAGCATCACAATCCCACGCCCTCGCCCTCTCAACCCACATCCTCTGCTGGGCCTCATCCCAACCAATCTCCCTTCTAGCCTCCTACACAGCAGCCTTCTCGTCCTTTCAAGACTTTGCAAAAACAGCGACGCAGTATAGCATCCCACCAAACGTCACAGATACTAGCGTCGTCGTCACGTATACGACCGTGCCGGAGTGGTATAGTGCGCTGCCGGAGAACGTGAAGAGGAATAATGAGATTAATGTTGGGTTGTTGAAGGGGGCTTTTGGGGGTGGTGGGAATGCGACGATCACGACGACGAAGGGGGGTGTGGTGGGGACGGGAGGGGTGGAGGGGATGGGGAGGACGTATTTACCGAGTGGGTTGGCGACGGCGACGAGTATTGGGTCTGGTACACCGACTGAATCTGGGGCGGTGCCGACGGGGAGTGTGGTGGCTTCGAGTGACGCTGTTAGGAGGGAGAGGGGGGTTAGTGTTGCGGTTGTGGTTGTAGGGGTTGTGGGGGTGGTTTTGTGGTGAGAGTAGATGGTTTTGTTTGAGTATGTTAGCTGTGTGAAGGATTTGTGGAGATGGCTGGGATTGTGGGATCTATCTGCGGCGGTAATGTGTTTTCTTTCTTCTGTCAGGTCAATGTTTGAGAAGGAAAGGGTCAGCTGGCTGGCTGGGTTGCTGTCTGGCTGTACAATCAAACGCTGTATATTTGAGGGTCTGGTGCAGTTTACATGTACATTTTCATTTCTGTTCGGGAGTTCTTTGTACGAATCGTTTCCCGTATGGACGACGATCAAGGTGTAGCTATCGTTGTTCCATTGGAGGCAGTGATTCATTTTCCACCCAAGACATTGTCAAGCACCCTTGCTGATCCCGCATTTTAATTGTCCACAAGTGCGTATTCAACATGACACCATGTCATTGAAGGATGAAGATCAACGCCTCACTCCGATTCCGACTCCGAGTCGTCTTCACTATGAAGAGAAATCTCCTCATCTCCATCCTCGATCTCCTCCAGCGGCAGCGCAGAAGCTTCGTCTGCGTGCTCCACTCCATCTTCAACGGATTCCTCGTCGTCACCATCATCATCGCCAACAATACCATCCCAGTCCCCACCATATCCCTCCTCATCTCCCTCATACTCCTCCAGATACCCTCTATCCTCTACGTAACCCTCATCGTTCCGTTCATTCACCACCCAGCGATCAGACCTACCATATTCCTCCCGCTCCTCACAATCCCTCTCAATAAACTCGGCAGCATACTTATCCCTCTCCGCCCCATACGCACGAGAAACCCAATACGGCTCCGAGACCGCGAGCTCAAACGACGCAAGCGCACCTACCTGCATCTCACCACCTTTCTCCTTCACCACCGTAGCAGCCGCCGCGCTAGCCATACCACCGAGCCCATACACATCGCCACCACTACCTTCTTTCAGCCCCTCCACCCCAGCAAGAATCTCCTCCTTCGTCCACGCCGCTTCCCAGTTCAAAAGACTGCTGCGTCCGCGCTCAAGCCGAGTAGCAACGCGCACCACGTCTTCGAAATCAAGGACTCGCATCGTGCCCTTTGGCACCTCGCGCGTATATCCCATGAATGCGCGGGACGCGCGACACGTGTCGCAGAGCCAGCGGCCGTATTGGCTGGACATCTTTGCGCTGCGGGTGAGGCAGTTGTAGTGGAACCAGGAGATGCTGCAGAGCGGGTTGTGGCACTGCGCGAGCATGGGTGGAGGGGGGGCGTTGACTTGGGGAGAGTGCGGGTAAGGAGGGTGGAGGGATTTGAAGATTGGGAGGGTGGACGCGGCGTGGCGGCAGAGGCAGATTAGTTGGGTTGGGGAGGGGGGTGGTGGGTGTTGTTGGGTTAGGGGGATGGTGGATGGGTCTGAGGGTGGTGCGGCGTCCGGGAGGAAGGAGGTTGTGGAGGGGTTTAGATCGGGGATTGGGGATAGGTCGTTTGGGTTTATGAGGGGGAGGGGGTATTGTTTGGTGTGGTATATGAATTGAGGGATTGGCTGCTGTGGTTCTGGGAGCTGCGTGTGCTTGGCTTTTTGTGATGATGGGAGAGTGTGAGGTTCTGTCGCCATTTTGCTTTTTGGACCGGATCGAATTGGCAGCTTAATTTTACGTGCCGAAGAAGATGGATTTCGGGTGGTAGAGTGTGAACGGGGTTGTGAGCGGATTTTAGGGGGGTTCGAAGTTGTGAATACGGCCAACTGTCGTTGGTTGAGATTTGGTGTGAATGGTTGTCCGGGTTCTTGGTATGTTTGGTTTGCAACCTCAGTCGGCTTCTCCCCACCTGCGGTCTTTGAAGAAGCTAAATCGTGAAGGACTCGACCGAAAAAGCGTTTCTTCGTAGGCCTACTATTCGGGGTCGAGGGCGGTATTTGGACAGCCCGGTCGGGGTGTGGTGAAGACTGCTCAAAAGCGAGGTTACTCGAAGTCGACAAAACCGCAGGCTGAGTATCTGTTTGCAAATTCTGTGAATCAGAAATCTTCGCAGCCTTAGACTGGGATATACGGGGAGATCTGCGTGGGCTGGGGTTGGAATCGTCCCAGATGGTGATAGACGACGCACGATCACGTTTCTTACGATCTTTGGGACCATCAAGCTGAGGCATCTAAAATCGTACTTGTTAGCTCACTTCGTTGTTTTCTAACTGTCATCAAGCGGAAAAGGGAATTCACTTACCTGCTCATTGTTTCCGGAGACCTGATGGATTCGACATCCCCCTTCTTGAGAAGTTTCCTCGTCCTGCGCCAACGGCGAAGAACCACCGATAGCATACCCAGAAGAATGCGACGAGGAAGATTGACTCGAGCTGCTCGAGCTCCAAGAATCGTATTCCTTCTGTTCAGGCTCATCTCCATCGTTGAAGTGCCAGGGAGACGCAGTGTCTTCGTCGGCGATGCCACTAAACAACTCCTTGAACTTCTCCATCACACACCACGACGCCACACGCCGATCCCACAAAAACCCCAAGCATCGCACACAAAGCGTGATCCTGGCCTTGTAATCCAGTATCAACCGCCGAAAGTCGACCCCAAAATCATGATAAACGCAGGAATTCCGTCGATACACGAGAACAGAAGCCCGCCTGAACAACTCCCTCAGAGCATCATCATCGTCGTCAACCGTATCCAGCGTCATCCAATCGACCAACGGCTCAAGCGAAACCAAACACTCATCCTCAACCCAGCCCTCACGCCCCAAACCCACCATCCCGCAAAGCGCAAACCCGCACGCGCACCCACACGCCCCTCGTCGTCGTCGTCGTCGTCCAGGCCCACCACCACCCGCAATCTTACCACAGCAGTCCCTCCGAACAAACACGAACCCATCCTCAAGCACATCAGCGATATCCACGACCGCCCTCGCGACCACGACATCGCTCTGCGAAATCTCGTGTTCAACATGCGAGGACAGCTGCGCAGCTGTCTGCGGCCACTCGCGCCATAGCTTCGCTTGCAGGCGCGGCAGCTGCTGCGAGAAGACGGACGCAATTGGAGTCGTGTTTCCGAATTCGTCGTGGATTAGGGAATTCGGGATCGTCGTGCTGATGTGGTTCCGCATGCTGCTGATGCTGGCTTCGGCGGTGCGGTTGACGAGGTCGTTGGTGGGGCCTATTTGCATGGCGAGGAGAGTGCCGGAGAGCTGGTATGGCTCGTCGCGGTCCTCGGACGTGTCGACGTGTTTGCGGTTGTAGAGGTCTGTGGGTATGTCGTTGTCGTTGTCGTCGGAGTCAGAGGACGTTGTTGGGTCGTCTTCTGCGAGGCTGCTGCTGCTGCTGCTGCTGCTGCTTTCCCAGATCGTGTCGCCGTTGTCTGGGGTGGAGAGGTCCATTGTTGCTTGGTGGTAGGGTATTGACAGGTTGGATGGTAAAAGCGCCGCGTTTGGAAGCTTCTGGTAAACAACTCGCTGGTTGACTTTTGCTGAGACACTTGGCTCCTCTGTTGACTTACCTGCGCGAGATTTTCCTGTGGATAGTGAGACACGGGTGCGGGTTTGCTATGTTCTTTCCGCGTGCACGTTGGCAATCAGGCGATTCAGATGAGAATGGCGAAGTTTAGAGGATATAAACACGAAGAGAGGCACGAGGGAAAACTTGGTGGTGGTTCAGTGACGAAAATAACGCCAAGACTTGATAGCAGCGCGAGGGTTCCTCTAGAAGCAGCTTGCATGGCTGAAGCAAAATCAAATCACATGTGGAATCAATCTGCTAACTGCATCGTTGTGACAGTCATCCCGCGATAGTCTTTCTGTCGTATGAAGACACCATATCTGAGGACAATTTCATACTATACATGCCTCCCAAGTGGATATCAAGATCAGATGGAAGCAGGATTTGCATCTCTGAAAATCATTTTCAAACATATACGGGATGAAACATTTCGTCCCAAGATTGTTTACTCACAACACTAGAATCTTGGAGATTGATTGACAATGCTTTTGCAGAGAGTGGCAAACCTTGTAAACTACTACTAAACAATTAGTTAATTAAAAGAAGGAGGAGGAAGAGGAGGAGAAAGAGCAACAAAAACATGAGGATTTGAAGAAGGAAGATAGTAATAAAGAGAGAATAGGGGAAAAAATTATAAAGATAGTAGCAGAGAGGACAACAAAAGGCTAAAAAAGAAAAAGAAAAGAAAAAAGATGTAAAGCGCAGCACTACACACTAGCTTACAATAACATTAACAAGTTTTCTCTACACATACACGGGAGAGAGGCGATAGGAAAACGTACGAGGGGAAACGATAGAAACCATAAGATTATATATTGACTTTCCCAACCGCCCCCTCCCTTCCGCAAGAAATCGAAGAAGAAAAAAAAGAAAAAACTAAAACATCTCATCCAACCCACTTTCCCCCAAAACACTTCTTCCTCTCCCTCCATATGCATACGCCCCCGCCCCACCTTTCCCTCTAAACGTATCCTCGAACCCCATTCCCCCATCTACCTCGTCCTCCTCGTCCTCACCACCGCTACCAACAGCCTCCTCCCAATCCACCTCCCCATCATCACCATCATCATCGACGAGCGGGAGCAAGCCACCCCCACCTTTCCTCCCCGTCAAGATCTCATACAAACTATCGTCGCTGTCGTCCGCGCCATCTTCTTTTTCGAATCGGAGGATTTGGTCTTTACCGTGTGGCCAGACGATTATATACGCGGTCGAGTGTGCGAGAAGGAGGGCTGGTTTTTTTATTTCCATGGATTGGGAGGGAGGGAGGGGAGGAGCGAGCCAGCGGGAGAGCCATTTTGCGGGGAGGGAGGATGGGGGCTTAGGGAGGGATGGGGAGAGGGTGTGGATCGTTGGGGGTTGGATCGGGGATGGTTGTGAGGTGAGGGTTGATGTTGTTGTTGTTGTTGTTGTTGTTGTGGAGGTAGCGGGAGAGTGGGTGCGGAACGGTAGGGAGAGGGAGAGGATGTAGAGGGTTGGGGAGTCGTGGGTTGTTTGGATGAGGAGGGAAAAGGGGTCAGTGGGGTGCCATGTGAGTGATTTCACGGGGGAGTGTTGGATGAGGATCGTTGCGGGTTTGAGGGAGACAAGGTCCCAGATCCAAATCGTGGATGGGGTGGAGTCGTCGCGGGTAGCGCAGAAGGTTCCCGATTTGTTGAAGGAGAGGATGCTGATGCCGTGTTTCATGATGCCTGTTTCGTTTTTTTCGAGCATGGGTTTGGGAGGGGTGGTGGGTTGTGGGGTCAACGTGTAGGTGCGGGTGTTTGTGCTGTCGACGGATTCGGTGTAGACGGTTGCGGTTGGGACGTTGATTTCGGGTGTGTGGTCGAGGTAGACGGTTGGAGTGAAGGTGCGGGTGGAGAGGATTCGTACGCGGCGGTCCCAGCCGCCGACGGCGAGCCATTCGTTTCCGGGGACCCATTCGACGGATTTGATGCCCAGGCCTTCGACGCCCCATTCGTTGTGCTCGACTGAGGGTTCACGGGTGATAGTGCGGTAGAAATGACCGTCTGCGGTGTAGATGTGTAGGAAGTAGCCGCTTGCTGCTGAGTCCCAGATGGCCAGCCACCGTCCGTCGCGACTCCATTTCAAGCCCTGGGCATCCGTAGTCGGAAGATCGACTTTCTTCAACACGGCATACGTTGGTAATGTGAGGAGCAGCAGAATATCTTGTCCAGAGCTTCGACACAGTACAGCCATGACATTCCCTTTCCCATTCCCTTTTCTGTCCACACAGCCGTCGTTTTCCCTACGAGGTCGATACCCCCACCCTCTGCCCATCTTCCCTTCGAACTTTGGATCCCTCACTTCGATGCTCTTTCCCGTTATCAAACACCACCGGACCAGGCGACTCGTAAACGCACTCCAGACCAGTATCTCGTTTTCATCTCTTCCGAACTCGACGTGTACATTCTTCCCCATACTCCCCGATCCATTGCTGACGACGGCGTTCCATTTGTCGTCGCGCAAGTCGTATACCCGTATAGTGTCGTCGTCAGCTACAAGAAATCGGTGGGAGGTGAGCAAAGGTGCGCGACTGCGACTACGGCGCGGTGGTGTAGACGCGGAGGTAGATCTCGAGTTGGAAGCGGGGACGTGGGCGGGCGGTGACCACGCGAGAGTGGAATTGCGCAGGTCGTGTGATGGAGGAAGGGCGATATTGCGAACAATTTCAAAGGTCGCAAGCGACCGTATTTGTAACCGGGAGCCAGATAGGTGAGCAATATGTGAGGCAGTAGACGACGGTACGGGGAGGGAGGTCGCTAGAAAGTTTCGTTAACCGCCAGTTCGGAGTAAAGGTAAACAACAAGCGCATTCGATGTATTGGAGAGGCGCACTCTTGTAACGAGGAGACACTTGTGTGTTCTCCATGCTGTGTGATTTATTTTGCAGCTTCCCTTCGAATTCAGAGCGGCCGGCTGGGATTGAAAGGGTTCAAATGGTCAAAGTTGATGCATGTGTTGATAGCGGATAACCACAAACAATAACATCATCACCGGCAGGGCTGAAACCGACCAATCGGCGACCAGCATCTCCGAGCATTCATTCGTCCTCTCTTAATCCCCGCCAGCATCACCCATTGTCATCACTGCACACTTATCAGGTTCACACGGTATGAAAAGTGACCATGCCAATTATGCAATTACCAAATGCACAATGGCGAACTAGATTTTTTATCTTCTCAACCCAAAGCAACCGGAGAAACAAGGAGGGTATCGGTACACTAAATCAATCCAGACAAACACTCCCTCGCCCTCTCCCACCCTACTTCCAGTCCTGTTTCTTTCGTTTTTGTTCATTTGAAAGATGATGAACAGTTCCCCATACAAGCGCGGGACAGATTCTCAACCAGAGAACAAGACGTGCGAAGAGGGGAGCAGAAGGCGAGAGAACGGAAAACTTCGACAACCAAGAACTGAAAATACGACACGCCATCCACCATGCGCGCGTCCCGTCTATCAATAATAAAAGAGAAAAGAAGAGGGGGAGAAGAAGAAGATAAACTCCGTCGCTGCATGACCGTCATCCCATTCGTCAACGCAAAAAGAACATTCCAAACCAACAAGTGATTTACGTGCTGTACACCGGCGCTTTGGCTAGAATACTTTTGCCCCGAATCTCCACCGCAAAACCCACAGACAGACGGACCTTGGAAGGAGGTGCCTCCTCTTTGGCGGGTCCTGAACTCGACGGCGGCGGCTGCGATAGGCTTTGTTGGCTACCTCCTTGTCCAAGTGCCGACCCCTGCTTACCCAACGTGGCGGGTGTCTGTACAGGCTTTTTCGACATCATGCCAAAGATGCTCGATTTTTTGGAGTGCTCTTTGACGTTGTGGCTTGCTTGCTGCTGCGCCTGCTGTGCCTGTTGCTCCTGCTCGACCACGGATACGCTGGATACCCCGCTCCTCACCGAAGCGCGGTCTCCATCGTCGGGCTGTTCTATCGGGCTCGTCAAAGCGGGAATTCCCGACTCGACCTTCATGAATTCGGTAGAAAGAGGAGATCCAGGGTAAAAGTACTCAATGTGCACTTCTCTGCTTTCGAGGGGAAGGTGCTGTGCCACGCTAATGGCCAACTCAATGATCATGTATGCCCCTCCGTTCAGATCAGGGGGCGCGGGATCATTCATATACATTTGCAAAGAGCCAATGAGCTGCTCGTTCAACTTTTCGGTGAGCGTAGCTCGGTTCGCTGCCGCCGTATTGGCCTTGAGCATGTCGGAGAGACCCTCCAGAGTGGCTAGGCGCCAGTTGATGACCTTGGCAACTAATGCATCCTCATCTTCGGGACTCTGTGCGGGAGGTGCGTTTCTTCGGATGTTGAGCTGTATGGCTTTCAACTGCGTCGACAGGCCAGGCTCCAGATCAGGGTGGAAATACTTGTCAAAAATGTTCTCCACCAGCCAACACGAGATGAATGCACGTCCGACAGCAGTCATTTCCTGTTTGCCAGTTTCTACGGCAGTCTTGTTCACTACCGTGTGCAGCCAAGGAGGAATTGTCTTCCAATCTTTGCGTATAGCGAACGACAGCTGTGCGATTAGCCCGTCGAGCCGCTGGAATCGTGTTCCATATTCGCTATCATCCCAGGATGTGCGTGAGACCGACAGACGCTGGTTCGCGAGCGTGTTTTGTAGCTGGTGCACTTGAGTCTGCTGCTCGAAAAAGTACCTCTTGACTTTTTGGTATTTCTCGCCTGTGCGGGATGTTAGTCTCGCTTATCTCAATTGAAGCCACCGTGGAGAGTACTCACGCAGAACCTCGTGCTCTTTGACCAACGAGCTGATTTCTTCTTCGGACATGTCAGTCGCAGAGCGCGGCGGTGGTGTGGCCCGTCCTAGATCTCCACTTGAAGCCTGCTGGCCCTGTTTGTCCCCGCGGAATGGCTGGCCTTGCGAAGCTGTTGGCACGACGTTAGCGCCAAAAGACTGGTGTAGGCCCGGCGAGACGGGTGGTTGGCCATGGTTCTGACCTTGGGTTGAGGGTTGCGACAGCAAGGAACTTTCTCTCGATGGCGGTCCGGCTTGAGCTTGACTCCCATCGTTGACCTTCCTGAGGGTGTGTTTCTGGGTGGCAGGAGCCATACTGTCCTGGGTTTGCTGCGGGGGAGTCGTGTTCTGAGCGCGGGGGTCGGGATTCTGCGATTGCTGTCCCTGGTGGGCGTCGTAGGGAGTGAAATTGACGCCCTGGGTTTGGAGAGGCGATGGCGGGGCAATGTGGCCTTGCGAGGAGGGCGGGCGAAGTTGCTGGGAATGCTGGGCTTCGACGGGCGGGGTGGGCAGCGGGGTGTTGAGCTCGACTTTGCCTTGGGATGACCCACGGACGTGGTGAGGTTGGGAATGCTCTTGGCCGTGGTGCGGCTGAAGCGGCGGTGAGAACTGGCCCTGCTGGGAGTAGTGGGTGTTTTGGGGGTGGGATTCGTGCGAAGAGGATTGAGACGCAAGCTGCTGTGCCTGTTGCTGGGCTTGGTACTGGTAGTAGGTTTGCTGCTGGACGTGTTGTTGCGGTTGCGTTGGGTGCTCGGGAGGGTGCAATTGGGCGTTGGTAGCGAGGGGGTTCTGCTGACCAGGGAGGTGGAACGCCTTGTACTCGCCTTGACCAGGCTGTTGCGGCGGAGCTGAAGGATGGTAGGTCTGGTACTGGGGCGGCGAAGGGACCTGCTGCTGCTGCTGGGAGTGATTGGGGGAGAGCTGGGGGTTCTGCTGCTGCTGCTGCTGTTGTGGAAGATGCTGTTGTTGCTGCTGTTGATGTTGTTGTTGGTGTTCGGGGCTGTAGCGCGGGTGCTGCTGGTCTACCCCGCCCTGCGCGTGATAACTGCCAGTGGTGCCGTCGGTGTTCACTCTAGCGAGTGGGGGCCGATACTGGTCCTGAGGCGGGTTCTGGGAGTACTGGGCTGGGTGGCCGGCGAAATGGCCGTCTTTGGGGGGCACCGAGGGATTGTCGTCCTGCTGCAGAAAAGGGTCGAGGTTTTGGTCTTCGTTGAGTTCTGGCGACGGGGGGAGGTGGTGGTTGGATGTTCCGTGGCGTGAGTCGTTCCACGGGCTGGGCTGCAATCTGCTCTGATCCGGATGCTGCTGCTGCTGCTGCTGCTGCTGCTGCTGTTGATGCGCCTGGTAATCGTGAGGCTTTCGCGCAACAGAGACGCGGCGCCCAAGCTTCTCGGTCTTGCTGGCCTTTGGCGTGTCTTCCTCTTCTTTATGCGATTTCCCGAATCCGAGTCGGCTGCGCAGGCCCTCTTTGGCCTTCTTGGGCGGCTGCTCCTGGCTATAATGCTGCGGCTGAAGAGAGCCGCGACGCACCGGTGCTTCGTTGTAGGAGGATCCGGAAGCGCTCTGGATCTGGTGCAGGTTCTGCTGGTCGAGGGTGACGTTTGTGGAATGGCGATGGCTGGTGCTGCGCTCGGGGAACTGCTGGCGATAGCCGCCGGGGGAGATTTGTTGCTGTTGTTGCTGCTGCTGCTGCTGGGACAGGTGCTGCTGGGTCTGGGCGTCGGGAGCGCTGGTGTATCTTGGAGGTTGGTCGTTGACTGCAATTGCGTGAGTTGCCAATTCGACTCGCCCGAGCTGAGGTGCGGCGGGCGGGCAGGTGGGCTGGATCCACCGGGTCAACGTCACTCACCGTGAAGATGGTTGCCCGAGGGCACTGGTGACACCTGGCCGGACGAGGTATCAATGGAGTGGTGGGAGCGATTCGATTTTACCCATGACAGTGAAGGCATTGCGAGCTTCACGGGACGCTGGCAGGAGAAACGAACGAGCAAGGCAAAGCAAGCAAGCCAGCAAGCCAGCCAGCAAAGACACGGGATTATGGGGCGGGGCGGCGGTCGGCGGCGGCGGGCGGAGGAGCGTCGAGGCTAAAAAGCAGCTCAATCAACAAGGAGCAAGGGAGCCTTTGGGTTCTGACCTCAGCATCGATTCGAGTTACTGAGTGAGTGTGTGTGTGTGTATGTGTCTATGTGCATAAGCCCCAGCTTGCAGGGTGGGTGGTGGTTGGAGCAGGTCCACGGGTAGGGTGCATGTATGTATGTATTGTAGGTATGTGTGTAGGCAAGTGTTTACAGTATGGCTGGCATGTATGCAAGCTGTGGTGAGTAGACAAAGGATGTAGCTATCTATCTATGAAGGTATGTAGAGAGGTGGAGAGGCAGGCAGCGGAGCATGGCAAGCAAGCATTCAGCTGGATGCGGTTAGAGGCGGACCTTTTCAGCCCGAAGTCTGGATATCGACATGTTTAAAGCGTCGAGTTATATGCAATGCATACAGAAGGACGTGCATGGGTCTGTATGTACCAGGTCAGCAACGTGCGGGAAGAATGAGAGGGAGAGAGAGTTCTACCTACATACTCGGACGACGTATTGGAGTGAGTGTGAGTGGCATCGAGTGTCCAGCTTCAGCCGCACGCAGTCACCAACCCACTCCGTTCCAGCCCTGGATCAATGGCGCACGGGGATGCTTGATGCTTCATTGGAAGGCTACGAGGAGTGCGGGCTAACACGATGGTGGACCGTCTAGTGTAGTGCACCGACCGTTGAGCAATATTGAGCGTGGCAGTGCAGCGCTGTTGTTGCATCCACCTCTCTCTCTCTCTTGTAGCCCCCACCCCTATTCTATCCCATCCTATCCTCTCTCTCTCTCTCTACTATTCATTCGACCACTGTGTGTGTGTGCATACGCCTCCTACAATGCGATATCACATCGCCAGTGCCATTCCAAAATGCAACATACAACCCACCACAACAACTCCCTTCCATTGCCAACGTCGCATTGCCCTCATCCATCACATCTAACCACAACCCCTACCCCCAGTCAGTCAGTAAGAAAAGGCAAGCCCCCGCAAACAACACCATTCTACCAATCCATCCAGCCCCAAAACCCTAGGGAAAAGCACTACTACAAACCCTACCCTCCTACGCCGCACCAAACCCCACGGACACACAAAAAGACGAAACAGAATCCTGCAACCCCACTCCGAGAGCGCGAAAAACATTATAGAGGGAAAGCAACGCGTCAGAATCAATCATCGGAAATCTGCCTTGTTTCAAACATTGACTTTTATTTTCCCCCCTATCCTTCTTCCTTTATATTTTGTTTTCTTTTTTGCGTAAAGGTTACGAGTTTTGTTGTAGAAATCAGACTTGCACCTTGCTATCAACGAGAGACTGTACTTTGTATCTCTCTTACTCTACCTTGCACATGCGATACATGCTACAGCATAACACTTATATACGTTATGTATGTACCTAGGTTTGTACACACGAGTAATTAGCTGCATACACCCTCCCTCCCTCTCTAGTACTAAAAATAAACACAGCCCTGATTCCTCCCTTCAAACACACGACATCTTAGTCATACATACCTAAGTACCTTGTAAATAAGTAGTATATACCCCACAACAGACTACAACACCACACAACCCCCTCTCTCCCATTCCACCACCTCTTCTCCACCTTATCCATCTTTACAGCAACAAACCACAATCACTCTATTCAATCCCCCCTCCTTTCTCCCCCCCCCCCCCCCCCTAACAAAAAAAGAAAAGAAAAAGTTCTGTATAAAACAGTAATAACAACGCGTCGAAAAAGGTGAGGCTTAAAGAGAAGGAAAAGAATAGAATAGAAAAATGAGGCTTTGAGCGCGCGCCCCCAGTTGATGAACACGTTAAGCTGGAGCGACTTGCGGGATGTAAGATAGAATGGGATAACGTGGTGGGGTTACAGTACGTTAAAAGTACCTAGCTAGCTATAGTGTAGTGGTGGGTGTAGTGTAGCTTGCGTTGCGTGTAATAGTCTTTTAGTTGAGGTGAACGAACGGACGGATACTAGATGAATGGATCGATGTCTGAAGTTGAAAGTCAGTCGGCCTTGTTTTCTGCTGTTTTTTTTTTGGCAGCTCGATGATGGACGTTGGGTACATCCGACGGGGGGTGTTGATCTGTTCAGTCGTTCGAAGATCCATATACTGCGTACATGTATATGGATATGTCGTACGAGCTGCATATGGTGATGCAGCACAGCCTTCTTCTGATGTCCAGGGGTTACGACGTACGTACTTTGGTATGCCGAAGAAATCGCTTGCTACCACAGCGGGAAATATCACGCGCGGGAAATGACATGGTGCGTATAGGGTTCGAGAATACTTGTTGCAGATGATACAGTTTGTAAATATACAACAATCGGCTACATATGTACAATAACCACAGCTGCCGTTTTTCCCGATGCCCGTGTACTCGGGTCCACAACAACGGACATGGACTCATATGTTTCACCGCAATGACATGCCACCGATTTATTCCAACACGGGTTCCTACCAGCTTCTGCAACACAAACTTCTACTCCATTTTCCCATGTCGCGCAACCACTAAGCGTACTGTCCCTTGGCGCGCGATTCCACAGACCGATGCGCGCGAGCCCTCCTCCGTTCGCCAATGACGGAAGACAGCACCCAAGCCAGCCACATGACGCCCGCGACAACCCCATATGCAATCTTCTGTCCAGTGCTTGGGGCATAGAAGCCAGTATCGGTTGCGAGAAGCATGCCTAGCCCCCCGTTGATTATTCCGAGGGTGATGACGATGCGCCCGAGCCAGAGATGTCCGTATGACCACACCGTACGACGCTCGTACTTCCTATAGGCATAGTGGTGCAGGAACCCGAGGATCGGCTGGAAGAAGAGCAGGCAGAAGACGACAATGCCAATGATGGGGTGGTGGTGCCCGAGCATGTCGACAGGAATGCTCCTCACGATGTAGATTCCCAGACCAAAGGCGGCGATGTACACAATGTACGCGAAGATTTGGAATAGGCCGTGGACAATCCAGAGACCGCGGAACGAACCGAGTCGAATCAGAATGGAGCCCATAGGGAAGAAGATGACAAAAGCTAGAGATGCGAGGACGCCGTGGGCAATGAGCCGTTTCTCGCCTTGACGCATGAAGCCATCCAGGTCGAAGTTTCCGAACCCGCTGCCGCTGAAACCGCTGCTACCGTCCCCTCCAGATCCAGCGAAAGGGTTCCCACCGCTGCTTCCTGGGCCATATTGTCCGTTTGGTCCGTATTGCGCCGCGGCGATGCTTGCTAGTGATGTGAGTTTAACGTAAGAGAGGGGTGAGAATATAAGGATGACCTACCCAGACCAAGCAGCACTGCTGTCACGTTGTTGAGCATTGTGGCTAGTGAGAGATGTCCACACAAATGGATTCACGAAGATCGAAAGAATAAGCAAATCCTGATAGGAGGGCATTCACAATCTATTTATCCCATCTCGCACGTTGAGCAGCAGCGAAGGAGATGCGACGGCGCTTCTCCGACGCAAGGCCAAGCAGACAGCATGTGAGAAACGTTATTGACAAGCATGAATGACGTGAAAGGCGGTAGCGAAGGAGCGAGAAACGCGTATACTGGCAGAATGCCGACGACACGAGTGGTCCAAAGAGCAGAAGGATGGATGTTGATCGAGTCGGGGATTGGCAGCGCGGAGAGCCGAATGCTAGGGGTCAAGACCAGTCGGCGAAAACCACGGGTGTTGGGACCGATGTTTTGCTATTTGGCTTGCACGCGCGTTTATGTCAAGAGGCATGGAGTTTGTTAAGTGGTAGGTATGTACAAACGCGTGGATCCGAGTGCCGTGCCGTGCCATACCGATGTTATCATCTACGATGGTGCAAGCTACATACCTTGCAATGAACAACCTTTGTCGCCAATGTTCCTCGGGACGAGATGATGAAGGTGAAGAGGTCGCCCTCTAGGTCAGCAACCCTTTCTCTTGCATTGAGTCACTGTCTCGGACGTAGGGCGTTGAAGAAAGAATAGGGCAAGACGAGGTCCGGATACACATGAGAGGTTCTCCACCGGAAAAGCAGACATCTTCCCGTAGCCACAGCCGTACCCGTGTCTGCATTAGATCTGGTAGACACAGTCTGAGAAGTGCAGCGCCTGATGCAACAGGTGCCTTGCAGGCAACCCCGCGGACCGGTTGGGATAAGTAGTTGGGAATAGATAGGTAGATGCCTTGGATCTGGCCGTCCGTCAGTCAGAGTCAGTCAGTCAGTCAGTCGGAGAATCCGCCCCGTGCACACGAGGTGTTCTATTTTGAGAAGAGGTCGCGATGGTGTACACGATAGGTAGAGATGGTGGTGTTGAGGGGGTCGAGGTTGATGCTGCCTGCGTGAACCTATGACCCGTGCACTGCCACCAAAACCGCACTGGATCCCCAATCAGGCCCAAGGAGAGGCCGCGAAGCCACATCACTCAGACGCACACCCGCCGGGCGCAGTGACGCTGCATAGAAAGGCAGACTCACAGTCACCTAGTGGGTGGTGAGTCGTCGATTGTCTTTTTTTTTCTTTCTTCTGTTGCTGTCTCCTATTCTTGTTTTTTTTTTCTCCTGTCAAGAGCCCAAGCAACCGCATGGATTGCGATGTCGGGCCTTCGCCACATCACTGCGCCAAGACGCTAATCGCCCCATGGGCCAATCAGCGCGCCAGTCACGAGGCTGCATTGATCCACGGCTGATCCACCTTTGCTCTCACACCATCGTCGTGCGTGAGTCACTCCGCCTTCTGACTGATATGACTGCCCAAGCGGTGATGTGGCAGAAGCAAACTTGTATCAGGACTATTTCCAGCACTGACATATATATATCTCTTGGTAAGCCGTCTCCTGACCATCTCTTCAGCTTTTTTCTTCGTCACCAAACCCTCGCCTCGGCGAGCGCTTCTTTTCCTTTCCATTCGCCATCACCCGTCTATAACTACATCTCTCGCCCTCCCAGATTTGTTTGATCTTTTCTTTTCTCTCCAATTCAGATACCCTTACAATCTATCAAAACCTTCAAAAATGAGCAAACGTCACAACCGGAAGAGGACAAGGAGTCGCCCCCGCCATCGCGATGGCAACAAACCGCAATCAAATCACAATCGGACCTCGTCTGTCGGCACCAATTCATCTTCGGGATCCATGCACTCTTCGTTTCCCATGCCGCAATTGCACCACTATCCCATCGCAAGTGCTTCGCCCGACCACTGGCATCAAACCTACGCCACATGGCAGAATCGACTTCGCTTGGAGCAGGAGCGAGACCGCGCCGTCGAGGCCTATCGCCTGAGGTTCTTTGGCGGAGAAGCCGGCGACGAAGCCAGTCTCATGGAGCCCATGTTGAAGGTGGTCACTGATCTTTTCGATGGCGACATCGATTACCAAGACCCGTGAAAGCAGGCAGCCATGCCCTCCACTCTCCACTCTTCACTCTCCACCCTTCACTCCTTTGCCCGCCCAGCCAGTTTTCTAGCAAGCTTTGCTGTGCGCTAACTTTGGTCCACCTACTCTCTCTCTCTCTTGAGAATTGTATCTTACGACTCGTAGTTTTCGTACAGATGAGCTAAACTGCACTAAATTGTTCTCCATGAGCAGGCGTTGTGCTGATTACTTCCATCAGGCGGTCTTGGGCATCTGTCCATAGTAATACACTTGACTTTCTCGCCACTGTATCGTTTGGCGCGAAACCATTCAGGAGGGACACACCTCTCCTCTCGTCTGAAGCAGTGATGCTGCTCAGCCAAACAAAGTATCCAGACCTGATGCTCTGGTAGCCAAGCCAGAGGCGTGGGATACTATCCGAGCGAGGACTCGTAGCAGTGAAGGCACCCGCACGGCACAGCTAGGCTTGGCTGCTTTCCCTGCGGTGCTGGATCGGTCCCACAAAGCTCGGCCCTAGGACTCTGGCTACGTGCATCTGTGCCGAGGAAACACGAAGAAGCGGGAACTGACTGAGCATTTGGTCATTCCGTGTAGGCAGCTCGATGCACGCCAAGCGGTATCATCTTCCCTTGGCTCGAGCGTCGCTGCCTAGTCTTTGTAGATGATGGACGATGAAAAAACAAGGCAGATGTTTCGGAGGTGGAGGAGTCATCGGGTTTTGGATCACGGGTTGGGAGTCACGTACGCTTCTGCCTTCAACGGGCGACGATTCTTGTTTCTCTCTGAGTCGTCGCAATTTCCGGGAGGGCGATTGGAGCCTTATAGATTTTATTCTTAGTTATGAATCTTACTTTATATATATCTCTTACCATGTCTCATGCACCGCAGAGTCTTATAGTTGCCTTCTCCCGTTGTCAGGCAAGATCGTATATCTCACCCTCCAACTTTGAGGCGCCAATGCAACATGCTAATTGTGCTGTATTTACATGTGAGACAACTGTAACAATCATCGCTCTATATGTAGTACCTTGAGTCCATGGGTGGTCCGCTTATCTATTTTGTTAACAACATACAGTTAGTTTAGAGTAGGCATGTGTGTTTTGTATTCCATCTTTCCGTATCGATATCTTGAAGCCTAGAGTTCGCTCTTAGTGTGTTGTCGGCATGTTCGATACCTTAACACAAGACTCAAATCTCATGTAAAAGGTAGACGCGCAGAAATACACCGCGGGATACACAACATCTTTCTTATACACAATACCCTATCGAAAATACACTACAGCCCCCATACCCGGCTGCCCTGAACCCACTCTCTTACTAACAAAGACCCCAAACAACAATCCTTCTTTTCTTTTCCCCCTTAAAAAACAAAATCGAATGCAATCCTCCTAACCCCTCACCCTCCTCCCACAAACCAAAAACACGAACCTCCCTCACTCCGTAGTCCACCCCAACGGCCCCACCCCATCCCTCCACAAAACATCAAACCCGCCCACCCTCCCACAATACGGAAACTTGGTATAAGAGAGCTGCACGACCCCTTCTTTGAACCCCGGCCCCTTCAACGCCATCTCCACGCAATGCTCCGTATGATGTGCCGGCATAATCTGCCCATCCAACAACCTCCCCTCGTTAACCGCGCGATGCAGTTTTTTAAGCAGGAACAGACAGTGCGTTATATGGTAGGCTTGCGTTACGAAGACTGTTCGTTCCCCCCACAAACCCATTAGATTAGCTTAAAAAGAGAGTATGGCGGATGGGGGAAAAGATGGGGATGGGGAAGAATGAAAGAAGCGGGGGGGGGGTGAGAGAAACATACAACCCTTCCCTTCCCCACGCCTCACTTCCTCGATAGGAACTACATCCGTGTAATTCACATCGCGGTACAACTCCAGCCTTTCCTTCTCGATGTACGCTAGGAATTCCGCTTCCGTGGTTGGGTCCGCGCATGCGCTGGGGAGCCAGGTGAAGCCTGTTGTTTCGAACACGCAGTTGCGGGATCGCGCTTCGGCGGCTGTGGTGCCGCATTGATTGTATGGTTGGGATTGTGATTGTGTGGTGATGAGGTAGGTGAGCGGGATCAGGAGGATGAGGGTTAGGATGAGGAGGGTTGTTGCGAGGACGTTGAGGGGAGAGGAGAATCGGAGGGGCGAAGATGGTACAGGGTAGGGTTTGTATTTTTGGGGGTTGATGAGGGTTGTTTGGGCTTCTTCGGGGTCGGGGGGTGAGGAGTTCATTTTTTTTTTCTTTTTGAGGGGGGATGGTTTTGGAGAGTGGTGAGGTTGTGGTTGTGGAAGAGATTCGGAATGCAGTACGTACTGCTGCAGTATAGTAGGAGAAAACGGGCAATACTGAATGGGTTACTCTACTCTCTTCCTACACACGACGAGGAAATGGCGTGTACTCCTGTACAGATAAAATGGCCCTGCCTTGCAGCGACATAATGCAGCGATCAATTGATGGTTCCGCGTTTTCCTTCATCATCATGTCTTCCGATGACATTCCAATACTCTTCTTGCATACTCAACCATCCGATCTACATGTATTCGTAGTATACGAGTAGTTGGTCAGGTCAAGCAAATGCCAATCAAAATTTAGCGCGGACGGTCCGCGGCGTAATTGCAGATAAGACTTTAACAAATGGTACAAGATCTGGGCAGCTCGGCTACCGCTGACTATAAAACAGCGGTTTCCAACACACATCCTTGTAATTGTGGGGGGTGTTGGATGTACGAGAACTAGATATGTCTAACTCGAACCGGTAGGTGACTACGAGGTTGTTGGTGGATGCGATTGGTTGTTTGTGGACTACTCGCGTATGCACTTGAACATTACATATCGCGAAGGAGGAGATTACATCAATGGCTTGCTTGGAAAGTGTTTGCATTTTATTTTGACAATTACAAAGTACTAATTAGATCGGAGGATCAGAGTTGCTATCGATTTATACGTGCTGAGTGAGCACTGAAGTAAAAAACTTGTGTTTCAAAAATGCCTGGGCGTCCTCTGATCAGAGTTGCAAACTCAACGTGCATATACCCACTATAGGAAGTTCACCGATCCCAATTTAGACCTAGTATACATGCGTTTACGAACTACACATCCTCACTATCAGGCGCAGTATACTCCACATTCCCCAATGGATCCTCAACCCTCACATGAACATCCATTTCCCCAGCCCTCCGCTCCTCCGCCCTCGCCCAGTCCCGAATCGCCTCAAAGTCCCGACACGTATGCGTCGTCGCTGGAACGGGTAGTGTCTGATGGTACTTTGTGTTCCATGCGTAAGGGATCGGTGTGAGATCGCTGCTGCACATGAGACTTTGGCGGAGGGAATCGATACAGTGGTCCATGTGCTTCATTCCGAAGTCTGGGTTCTCAGCGATAGGGCCTCGGGTGGTTTCGTTCCAGAAGATGCGTTTGCGGAGGTTGTTCTGGGTAAGAGGCGTTAATTATCAGTTTTGGGGAGGTTGGCCTAGAATGGAGAGGGGGAACTGCGTACTAGACAGTGAAGTTGGTGGAATACTGAGATTATGACGCCGTAGTGTTGGGGGTCGCTGGAGATGGGTGACGTGCGGTTGGTTAGTTGTGCTGCTTCGTCGATCGATAGTTTGGTGACTCCGACTACGCTCAACATCAGCTTCAATTCTCAATTTTTAGTTGAATTTGATGGAGACACTCACAGTCGTACAGTCCCTCCCATAATGCGTTGTTCTCTGCATTAGGCAGACCTTGGTAAGGGCTGAGATCGCCATCTATCCCCGCATTGAAGACTATGTTTTTGTATTTGATCGAGGATTGTGCAGGAAGCGCTTGAACAAACATTAGCCCTGATTTATAGCATATTCATTCAAAAACATACTGTAAATCGCGTTGGGCGGTGAACACGACCTTAATTTAACCCAAGTGTACCAGTTTGTGAGTACCAAAGATGTCACAAGCATCCATAGCGCCCACCGAGTCACCGCTCGAGAAAGTAATTTGATCGCAGAATTCTGAGTCGATTGGATGGAATAAGCATCGTTGAGTTTTTCGGAATCTTCAAGGTTCTCAATGCTGTCTTGTTGAGTGAGGGGCCGGTAATTCTTGGAAAACATTGTTATTTGACTTGATACACGCAAAGTTTTGGCGGTTGGTAAATAGCAGCAGAAAATGACAAGGAAAACCGCGTTCATAGATGCAAGATCACCGTGTCTCGATCATCTAGTGCATTCAGTCATCATTACCATCTTGATAAGACCGGTCAGCGATCATTGTCGTTTAGATGCATGAAAATAAGGCAATCAAGCGTGTTGGTAATCTCCATGGATCCTGCAGCGATCCCCGTAGCCAACGTGGCAAAGCAGTGACCGCGCATAAGCACCTAACGCCCGTTTCTAGCAGGTGGTTGTCCAAGATCTTCATCAAGAGCCTCTCAAGCTATATTCTCCAACACAAGAGTTGCAAAGCATACATCATCGCTTAGTTTGATGCTTCTTTGTTGATTTCGATGCGAGCGTTAGCGGGTCGTATTCGTGTTCGTTACAAACACACCAACGATGACGCGAATATCGGGGCAAAACCACCTTCCCGTGCGGTAAAAGCCAAGTCCTGATTGTAGAATCGTATATGAATTAAGGGCGGTGGTTGGGCACAGAGACGTCTCCACCAACTCTAGTCACTTCACGAGCAAGTTAGCCGCATGTCGATGACGAACGTACAGTAAGAGTCCTGCATACTCCAACCTTGCAGAACGTTTCCAAATACGAAATATAAAGCGTTTGAAAACTGCGAATACAATGTCCCATCGCTACCCTTCCAATTCCTTCGTCCAAAGGCAAACACCAGCAACATGAAGTTCTTCGGTGTCGTTCTATCGCTGATCGCAGCCACCACCCTTGCGGCTCCAGTCGCCAAAGTAAGTAAATCCACATTCGTTTTCGAAAAAAAAGGGTACTCATACAAGTGGTTGTAGCCAGAGGCCGACGCAGCCTCTGTCGAACGTGCATTCAGCGGTACCAACGCCGCATACTTTGGTGGATTGAAAGAGAAGGCCAAGCGCGATGCTTCAGCGGAAGCGAATAAAGCATCCGTCGAGCGGGCTTTCAGCGGCGCCAACATTGCCTACTTCGGTGGACTGAAGAACAAAGCGAAACGTGATGCTGAAGCAGCTTCTGTGGAAAGGGCGTTCAGCGGTACCAACGCCGCATACTTTGTTGGATTGAAGGAGAAGAAGTCTGCGTAAATGCGGTTTTTAAGGAGTGTGAACAGTATTGATGGGTACATGGAGAATTTTGAGCATTCGAATCAGGAAGGTTATGTTGATGCGGCGCCGGAGACCAAAGTCTCGATAGGTAGTGAAGAGGGGAGATTTTAGTTGATTATTTTGAAGATGAATGCAATTCTACGAGGAATTCTTGCTTGTAACTGTGCTTGGATAGATTGATATCGAACAACAAACTGCACTGGGCAGCTAAATTGCATGCTTGATGATGACGCATGTGGATTTGGTTTGATGGCGATTGAAAGCCTTAGCAACGAGAACAATTTCGAGGGCGAAGGTTGTGAACATATATGAACTTCAATATTAGAGTCTTGCTATATTACAGTGCGTGAATCTATACACACACATCATGTTACAAAAACTACAACTTGTGATCCACATCCGCACCACTTCTCCCCTCTTCGTCAATCGAGCTGTCCTCCGAAACCTTAACCTCGTGGCTCCCTTCCAACTCACTCAGCACAATCCACGTCGGCACAACGCACAACAATGTCACACCGAAGTTGATGCCAATGCTCACAAAGTGATTTGCGTTGCCCTCCGACTGCATGGCCCAAGCGACTGTCTGTCCCAGTGCCTCCATACCCCTCAGAATTCCAGTGTGATGCGATAGATTCGACAGATCCGTGGCATACTGTCCGACCATCCAGTAGAGGAACTGTTGGAACGCTTGTCCGCCAAACTGCCAGAAGAAAACTAGCGCGTAGGCTTTCCCGAAGCCGCCCTGGAACCAATCGAAGACGGGTTTAGCAGGGGCATCGTAGAACTGTTTCTGCAAAATCGACGCCCAGATCCATGTGCCAGTCAAAATGGTGATGATGGAAATGAACGCTATCCTCGCGCGCATCTTGATGTGAATACCCTGGTTATCCAAAAGCGTGGCGATGATGAAGGAAGAGAAGATTCCTGCGAAGTTGGTGAAGAAGGAGGAGAAGGCTCGCGAGCGGACAGTGAAGTACTGAGTGAGCCACGTGCTCATAAACCCGTTGTAGAAGTAGCTGATGAAGAAGGCAGGGAGCAGGAGGAGAATGCGACGGCTTGCGAAAAGTTTCCCCACTGCTTTGAATTCGGCGCCCCAAGTAGGCGCTTTAGAAACGACGACGCGAGTGCGGTCCTTGCGCCATACTTTCTCGGCGGAGGAAAGGCAGAGGGCGATGGGGAGGCCGAGACACATGATGACGATGAAGACAATGTATGTTGAACTAGAAACGGAGCCAGTGGTCTTGCGATTCGCATTCAAGCCGAGATTGATGGCACCGCCTACGATCGGACCAGATGCTTTGGCAGTCTGCCAGATGGCGAGGTAAAAGGCGCGGTCGCCAGGGCTCGGGTATCCGATGATAATGGCTGCTTCGGCAGCCCAGAAAAAACCAGCTGAAATACCGCACAAGGCGCTGCCGAAAAGCATGAACCAGGTGTTTGCGCTCGTGTTGTTGGTGTACAGGCCAGCTCCATAGAGGGGATATCCGATGGCACCGAGGCAGAGACCGTACTTGAGACCAATTCGATTGTTGATTGCACCGGCGAGGACGCAGACCACAGCGAAGAGACCGTAGACGATTGCGTTTGCGGCACTGACAGCGTAGGGCTCAGCTGCTCCTCCTGCTCCTAGTCCACCTAATGCATCCCACATCTGAGTTTGGTGTCAGCTGGATATGAGTCTTCATGCGCTGGATGTGGAACTTACTCCTGGAGCCGTGAAACTGACACCACATGCCACGATTATGTTAAAGGGCACAGAGCGCAAGAAAGAGTGCTTGACTACCGGGCCCGCAGACCCAGAAGCGTCTACTGATGCAGTAGAAGACATGTCGATAATGCCCTCCTGAACCAGATATGAAAATACTGCAAACGAGAACTCCACAAGCCCGTTTCGCTCCTAACAAAAGAACGATCGTGAAGTGGCGAAAACACGGAATGAGCAAGCGACCGTAGTGAAGATGCTGAACACGGCCGAGGGACAACGCCTAGATATATACAAAGGATCTGTATATCCACCTTAGAATCCTTAAACGCCCGCCCTAGATTCCTCTTACTCCATGTGTGCTTTTGCTCATTTTCCCTGACACACTAGCGGCTCTGCGGCTTCCAGAACGCCGCGCTATGGAATAAACGCGCACGCAGCGAATCAAAGAGTGGGAAATCTTCATCTCAAAAAACCGTGCTCGGCTCAGCTCCGATCATCGTATTGTAATTTTCCACTCGACATTGTAAAGCCAAGGCAATGGCTCTATGTACTTGCCTACTTCGAGACTACCATAGCTCTTAGCTGGGGATCTTCGCCAAATAAGGGGCTTAAATACACAGCGACAATACGCCCGTAACATTAGCTAGACACTAGTCGTAATTAACATCAGCATATGGACGACGTAAACATGTGGGGCGAGCACGCAATCGGCTTCAGGTCAGTATGAGGTAAAGATGGGAAAAAATCTTCCATCTTTTGGACATCTTGGGCCATTCGCGAGTGGCAATTAAAGGGGAGGCTGCCTGAACATTCGTGTTGCATCAGACCAGGGGAGGAATTGTCAAGAGAGGATGAATCGAACAATGCCGATGTTCTTCATCTAGTAGGCTTAGTAATTACTTTGTCGTTACTGTTGCATGTTACGAGAAGGTCACTCGGTCACTGAACGATTTCATCTTCTCGAGCGCCTGTGTAAAATGATGCGTTGGATCACATAAGACGGCTACACCATAGTGTGATGCGTGATATACCACATGTTTTAGCGCATAGTATACGCGGCACAAACACTTGAAGTGCGATATAGTGAACTGCTAGAGAGCTCCAGGTAGTGACATTAATCTACGCGACTCAATCACTTAAAGCACTGACAAATATATAGCTTTCACGTTGAACTAGCCTACGAGATTTGATTCTTAAAGTCTTATTTGACAACATGACAAGAGCAATACAGAACTACCTAGTCCAAAGAGCTATACTGCTCTCGCTGGGAAGTGCGCTTAGCGTAGTCACACAAACTAACTAGACATAAAATGAATGGCTGACACGACCATGTGTGTTGAGGATCACGCCTTCGCTTTATTAGTACTCATGTAAAGCTACAGCCATCTTGGATCTGTGAAGTGATGGAGTAGATCGCGCCCTGGCCGTTGACATATAAGCCACCTCTGCAGCGCTGACAAACTCAGTACCGCTAGAGAAGAGGGCGGTGTTTTGCGTCCAGTATGATTTCAAATCTTCGATATAGGGAATTTCTGTAAGGATAGTCTCTGTAGGATCGCTAGAAAAACAAGCGCACTATCTAAGCTATTGATTTCACTGGGGCGAAATGCATTAATCGCATAGCAAACATACATTGCAAGTTATAAGAGTGATCCTTCCGAGCAAAAGAATTGCCCTCTGAACGTGATATGCAGATGGTATGCTAGCGATGAAATAGCTTTCGTTGCCAGAGTGGGACTGGTATGCTGCAGTAAAGTTCTAGAGAAAATATGTCAATCGCGACGTGCCGCTCCTTGGGAAAAGTCCGGTGCGAGTCGCGATACATCATTCATCTTGATGGTGTGTTCCTGTTTTCTTGTTTGCGTCATACGTTGGAGGATGTTCATTTTTTTCTCTAGAGATTTACTCCAGATTCTTCCGAGTTTGACTTGTCGATCCGTTTGCGGGGTAGATGATGCTTTAGATCGAATAGAAGACGAATGAGGGTGAGCGGGCGAACGACTCGCCATTGTGTGTGAAGTTTGTGGATGATGTTGGGACATTGAAGATATAAGTAAATCACAGGTCAAGTCGCAGGAGCAATCTTGAAGAATCATGTTGTGAAGGATAGCAGCTGAGGATGAAAAAGTAAAGCATCATACATCCAAACATCGGTAACAGTGACTCCTCCATGTCTATTTACGCACATGTAGTAGATCAAAAAAGCACTGTGACAAGTGATCATTAAGGATTTTTCATTATAGCCAGTCCCGCAATGACTCTTACCCAACAACTTTGTCACGCCAGAATTTTAGGGAGTGTCTTTCGAGAATGGAGGAAAGGTAAGAGTCAGCACGCCCGCACAGATCATAACTTCTTCATGTACAAATCCAAATATTGTTCTCAAGTAATTAGTGTGTGCAAGGCTCATCGATTGCCAAATGTGAAGTAATCTGGCGGATGCATCGGGTTCATCAATGATCCGGGTTCTATCTCGTGAGCACATCATATGTCCTCAGGATCATATATCCTGACTCTCTGAATCTGACATAATTCCTCCTCTGATTGCGTATATGCTCATAAAAATTGCATTGAAAAATATCACGAAACGATATTTGGAGTCATTCCTTTGAAACTTACGTTGACGTGCGGGACTGCGTGTGGCTGGACCCGTAAAGGGCAGCCAGTCACTGTCATAGCTTCCATCCTTAACCCCCAGCAACCGCAACTGTAACACAACATCTCCTAGCCCAATTACGAATATGAGTATGCTCGTTTTCTATACACCAAACAATCAAATCGTCTATCGCTTCACCACGCACTACTCACGAAAGGATTCACGGTCTGAAAAAGTACTAGCGGACCAGCCTCCGACAAGGAAAACAGCTCGGCCTACCAATCACAGCGCCGCGAATTCTCCGCGGCCCCAGACTTTTCAATGGAGCTCCAACGGCGATACGAAAATGTCGAAATGCGCACTTCACCCTCGTGCGACAAAACGACTTTGCACTACTAGCTGTGGTCGGTCAAGAAGTCGATACTAGGTATGGATGCACCAGAAGGTCCTCGACGGTTTTCCGCCGTCAGCCCGCTCCTCACGGCTCAGGATGAGAATGTTGGGAAGAGGCGGGCAAGTGCAGGGTATGGGACACTTGCGGATCCCGATGAACTCGAAGCGCTTCTAGGGCAGAACGAGGACGAGGAGGTGGTGACTACTGCTGGGAAGGAAGCGAAGCTGCTGTTCAAGTATTCGCTTCCGTTGATGGTCACGTACTTGTTGCAGTATGGGTTCAGTCTGGTTACTATTTTTGTGGTTGGGCATATTGGAACGGAAGAATTAGGAGCGGTTTCTCTCGCCACAATGACCGCTAATATTACTGGTTTCGCTATCTATGAAGGTCTGGCTACTAGCTTGGATACACTGTGTGCACAGGCGTATGGGACTGGAAAGAAAGAGCAGGTTGGGTTACATCTGCAGAGGATGGCTATCTTTATGATGCTTGTCACCATCCCCATCGGCGCGGTATGGATGTGTTCTGGGTGGATATTGGCGGCATTGGTGCCAGAGAAAGAGTTGGCAATCTTGGCTGGGAGATACCTGAGGATCTTGCTAGCCGGGTGTCCTGGGTATGCCATGTTCGAAGCGGGCAAGAGGTTCACGCAAGCACAAGGCCTGTTCAACGCGAGCTTATGGGTCCTCGTTGTATCGACTCCGATCAACATTCTCCTGAACTACGTCTTTGTCTTCGTTCTGAACTGGGACCTCACTGGAGCTGCATTGTCGACGGTCGTTTCAAACACGTTACTGCCAATCTTCCTATTCCTATACGTCTTCTTCGTCGTCCCGACCAGCTTAGAGTGTTGGCCCGCTTTCACTCGAGCCGTCTTCACGAACTGGGGCCCCATGGTCAAACTATCAGCTTCAGGAGTCATTATGACTTTGGCTGAATGGCTCGCTTTCGACATCCTCACCTTCTCTTCGTCATACATTTCAACCGCACATCTAGCCGCACAAAGCGTTATAATGACTCTGGCAGTGGCAATCTACCACATCCCATTCAGTGTATCCGTCGCTGTAAGCACACGTCTCGGTAATCTCATTGGGGCTGGTGCACTTGGAGCTTCACGCATCGCAACGCGAACGTACATCGTGGTGTTCCTCGCCATCGGTGCAGTCGATGCAATATTCCTTGCATCTACTCGCCACGTCCTCCCGAAAGCCTTCACCGAAGATCCAGAGGTTATTGCAATTGCCGCGTCTGTAATGCCTATTCTAGGGCTATTTCAACTTTCCGATGCTGGCACCGCACTTGCCAACGCGATACTACGCGGCCTTGGGCGACAGAATATCGGAGGATATGTGAATTTGGGAGTTTATTATGGGGTGGCTGTGCCCCTTGCCTTGTTGCTCTGTTTTGGCAAGCCACAACTTGAATTAGAAGGGCTTTGGATTGGGTGTCTGGTGGGTAGCTGCTTGATTTGGTTGACGGAGGGACTGTATTGCAAAATGTGGAAGTGGAACAATGCTGTTGAAGAAGCAAGGAGCAGAGACGATTAGAACAAACACTTGAGACTGTTGGACAAGTTGTTAGTCACGTGTTAGCGATTCGATGAAGCTGGTGGTATTGCTACATGAAGCTGTACATTTTGGAAATCGCATGATAACCTGGGTGCATACCTAGTACTCAGTTCATTCGCTTTCATGAAATGGATAATTCAAACAAGTGTTCATTACATATGTAGATGTTCGACCTTTCAGTACTTGCAGGGCTCGAGTTCTTGATGGGTGATTTCGATGACTAAGCTGATCTCGACGTTCGCCATTGGCTGATTATATTTGGAGACGAAGGCGACAGGCTTGCCCCAAAGTTTGATCAGGGCTGCACCAATTCAGTGTTTCCTTCGTCCAGCAGAGTCTACATCACCCCGTTGCTCCGCCCCATTCTCCTGCTCTATCGCCCCATCATGGCTTGGCCCTATCCATGAGAGTATCTACGGCTTCGATCAACACTCTAATCGAATCAAAATCGTACCGATGGCCACCTCGAGGCTGCTCGTAGATGACGGAGTCATCGTCATCTCGCCCGAAGGCAACCTAGTCCTCGATATTCGACAGGAAGAGAGCGAAGAACAATATTCGTATCGTGTGAAATCGGGAACCCTTCGAGCGAACTCCCGCTACTTCGACAACTTGTTGAGCGACCGGTTCAGCGAAGGACAAAGCTTGCTGGCAGCACTGGAGCATTTGAAGATCTCAGGGCATGAAGACGTTGCTGGTGCGCTGGTTGGAGTTCTTCCGCGCATACGAATAATCAATGTGGGCAAGATAGGGATATCTAAGGGCTCCAACATCCAGAATCTGACCGCCGACTTCCTCAGGGCCATACATGGGCAACCCCTCGCTGTGGCCGTCCCACCGGTATCTAATCTAGCCAACCTAGCTGTATTGGCAGATCGCTTCGATGCCGTCGAGTCCCTTGCGATATATGTGCAGCGGAGGAAATATCTGCTGGCGACGGATGCCAAGTCAAAGAGCAAAACAGGCTCTAGTATACCCGAGGAAAGAGTGCGCCAGAAGCTGCTTGTTGGCTTACTGTTTGACCACCCACCATGGGTAACGAGGTACTCGAAGCATCTAATCATGCGGGACTCGGCACAGTGGCAACCGGGGGTGGAAACGGACGATTCAAAAGCATTGTGGTGGGATCTGCCTTACGGCATTGAGGATGAATTGATTCAGCGCAGGGAATATATTCTTGAGACTATCAACTCGATTCAGTCGCACTTTCTCAAGCTCTACACGTCGGGGGAGCGACAGTGCAAACTCGGCTATGACACATCTCGCGAATGCGATTCGTATCAACTGGGAGAAATGGTGCGCTTCTTCATCAAAACGAGCACACTTCGACTGCAAGGCACTATATATGACAACACCGAACCAACGTACTACTCGGGAGATCTCGATCGCTTGCTGGAGTCTCTCCGCCAATGCTCTTCGTATCAAATTGACCGCAACCACGCTCATTGTGGTCTGCGGAGTCGAATGATCCCTCTGCTCGATCTAGTACAGAACCAGTTGAGCCTCGAAATCGGCAGTCTGGATATCGGCATCTGCGCTGAGTGCTGGAAAAACAATCGCGGGGTATACGCATGGTCTTTGGCAAAACGACCGGTCATGGCACCTCCTAGGCTTCTTACCGTCAGCCGGCCTAACGGAAATTCTCATGGCGCAGGGCATCAGAGAAGTCTCAGCAGTAGCAGCTGCCTGAACAGACATATCCTCGTGCGCGAGTTCTACATGGCCACCGAGAAAAATTGGGCGGCTAGGGACGCCTATTGATGGTCTCAGAAGAGGGGGTGAGAACCCTTGCATAGGCTAAGGTCAAATTTCTGGCCAGGCACAGTCAGGCAGTTCGTTAGGCTGCATTTTGCAACGGTCGCGTGGGGTGCAGCTTGTCTTCAACTGTTGGTCTGTGCCTCGTCTCAGCCTTAACCGCGTTATCAGATGTCAACGTTTTCCGTATGATCAGCCTGGGGCCGCCTGCATTCGGAATATAAATCGTTCTCAGACAAACAGAAGCGGATGATACAAAGCGGTCGCAGAGTGGGCTGAGTCGCTTGTTTGGGATTTTGGTTGGGGGCGATGATCTTGTGCTAAAGGAAAATCACATATGTGAAGGAATATCTAGTAGAATTTCTCATAGACGAATCACGAAACAAACAACATTACATTTTTTGACAACGCGGTACTGTGGAAAAAATCACACTGCCCCTTCAGCTGCTGATACTGTGAAGTGCCTTCCACATGATTCAAAATTTGTGATATTGTAATCTGCTACGTTGTTCGCGTTCCCCTGGTTCAAAGTTGCCATGTACGAGAAGGCGCGCGCATGCGAGCACAGCCTCACGACTCCGCCCCAGGATCAGAAATGGGCGCTCATTGAGCCAACGCCACGGTGTCTCTCCTTGATCTGCTGGCTTTATGCCTCGGGAGATAGGTCAACTTCAAGGCAGACCCAAAGGGGGCAGTCCCGCTCTGGGGATAGTATAAGTCAACCGTGGTTTACTGCTTCTGGATGCATCCTACAGATCTCTTTGAAATCATCATCAGCACGGTCCTTGAGTCATAGATACTCCTTCACAAGTATCAATTAGTGATAAATATTACAGTCACCATAATTGTTTTTGGCCACACACGCCACTACAAAATACCACGTTTGCTCTTACCTTGTGCCACCATGTCACTTCACACAACAACCTTTACTTCCTATCTCCACAACCACAACCACAACACCCCGCGCTCTCGATTCTCTTCCGGTAGAAATCAACAAACCACTGAAATGGGTCTTACCGATCGCCTCAAGAGATCGCTGTCTCGCAGGAGCTCGAATCCGCCAGAGCAGAAGTCTGCTTCAAGCCGCGGCAGCACCTTCCTCTCCCCACAGAGCAACAATCCATTCACATCCGGATCACCACCTACTCGACGCCCCGATACTAATAGTACGTTTTCTACATGAAAATTTCGAGACATGTTTGTTCAGGAAATCAAGAGTCTAACAAAAGACAGACACCGCGAGTCTAAGCTCAGCACACGATCCCCCACCAGCATACACCGCGGCCCAACCCTCTGCGTCTACGCAGTACCCCGCGGCCCCTATAGTGACCTCAACAGCCGATGACGCATACACATTCCTTGAGTCTTTCGATACCATCTTCGTCATCGATGACAGTGGATCCATGGCCGGCCGCGGCTGGCGCGAGACGGCAGAAGCCCTCAAGCTCATCACACCCATCTGCGCATCCCACGATGCCGACGGAATCGACATCTACTTTTTGAACCACCCCGACTCCCCGTTCCACAAGAATGTCACGAGTGCGGGGACAGTCGCGGAGATCTTCCAGAGCGTGCGACCGAGCGGTGCTACGCCGACCGGTCAGAAGTTGCATAAGATTCTCACGCCTTATCTGAGTACGTTTCTCACCATCCACATCCCACTTTCTAGCTATATTATACTGACTTGACTCGTAAAGGGAAATACCAAGAACGTCCCGACTCAACCAAACCCATCAACGTCATCGTCATCACCGATGGCGTCCCCACCGACGACGTCGAAAGCCCCCTCGTCGCCGTGGCCAAGAAGCTCGATAAGCTCGAAGCCCCAGCCTGGCAGGTCGGCGTGCAATTCTTCCAAGTCGGCAACGACAGGGAGGCGCGCGAGCACTTGAAGAAGCTCGACGACGAGATGAGGGAGATCTCGGGTGTGTCTGACCTGCGAGATATGGTTGATACTGTTGCATTCCAGGGCGATGGCGGTGCGGCGCTTACGCACACCGGTGTGCTCAAGGTGGTGTGTGGCAGTATCAACCGCAGGTTGGATAGGAATTCCAAGGAACTTCATCGTGGTGGTCTTCGTGGTGATTAGCCCCAGTTTTTTCTTTTCTGGGGAGATTGGTGGGGTTGGTGGATGGCTTGATTTGCGTGGCCCTCTGAGTTTCGGATTCAGAAATAGAGGGCCGGCACATCCAAAGTTCTCTTCTTGTTCTTCCGCTTCTTGTTATTCTCTTTTCTCTTTTTTTCTTCACAAGATTTCACTCCAAGGGTGGGATAAATTCCCGCTCTTCCTCTTCCTCTTCTCTTTCTTCTTCTTCATCATCCGATCTAGATACGGCACTCTTGAGTATCAGACTGACAACTCAAAGGCCAAGGCATCCAAAGGTTTCTTCTTCTTTTTTACTTTGTTACAAGATTTTACTGGGGATATCTTTGTATCCTTCTTACTCCCCCTCCTCTTCTTCTTCTTCTTCAATTTTTTCATTGGGAGGCAGACCATGCGGTCCATTCTGTTTTTCATTTTCTGGGCAGAGGACATTTATCTCCCCTTGTCCTCTTTTTCCTTAACATTCTATATGCCATAGGTGTGCATTTTGATACCCTGAATTATCTTTGTTCGTAGAAAAAACAAATTGAATATATCATACGTTATTTTGAAGAAATATAAGAAAGTGGTTAGGAAATGTTGAACCACTAACTAACCACGTTGGAAATACATGTATACTCGAGATATAGTGAATAAAAAATCAAATTAAACAAACAAACAAAAAACGCAACTACAAGTTCTCTCCATGAACCCTACTAAAAGAAAGAAGAAGAAGAAAAGAAGTCGTTGAAGCAGCAGCTATCTAAAAACCAAGTCCTTTCGTTCTTCCAGTGTATTCGAATCTTCGCCCCCATTTCAACTCAGTGTTCGTGTTCTCCCGGATCTAGTACTCACCGTGCAGGGGTTCGTATTCTGGCCCAGTGAGGACGTTGGTACATTACTAGGGTCGCTGCTGACTGCAGACACGCTGACCGGTCTACCATCACAAACCTCAAGCCGTTTCCTCAATATCTTCTACCAGAAGAGCATAGTGGAATTGAGATTGCGGGTGCAGATTACCGCAGATCATGGACCGTGGTGGCCTTTTTTTGTGGAGGCGCAATTGTATCAAGCGAGTACATGTATTTAGGGGGCTGAATGCCCGTTGCGACCTTTGTGGTGTTTTCCTGACTTCCCTTTCTTTTTCCTTCTGCTCATTCTTCGACTCGCCACTGTAGAAGCAGGATAAGCAGCGACGCAAGGAAGCAGCCAGGATGGCGGAGATGACAATAGAAACCTACAGCAATTTGCGCACCGTGGAAGGAGTACCGCTGCTTACGACTGTGTTTACACCCGGTGCCTGGTGTGCATCGCGATGGGTTGCAAGTAGCACGGTGGTGTTTGGCCACTCCATCGGCTTCAACAGCGCCGTGGGGAATGCTATGAACTCGGAGTATTTTGATCTCTGCAGTCCCTTTTCACAACGGGCTAGAGAGTACAGTCCAGGGGTCTGTCCTAGTGGACAGGAGGTTCAGCGGATCAGTGAATATCGGGATGGCTCGAAGAGGCTTTGGCGAGGACATTGCTGTTCAAGGTAAGACGGACTGCGGATCCGATCTCGTTTTTTGTCGGGTTTGCTTCACTCTTTTTTTCCGTGTACTGAGATGATACGTAGCTGGATGCGCCACGGCGAAGAGATCCCTCACCTATGTGAAGCCACAATCACCACGCCATTCACCGCCATAGCAGCCTTGACAGAATCAGACACAACCTACTGGGACTACACCACCACAATCGACGGTGGACCAGGCGTGCCTAATTTAGTAACATCGTTACAAAACAAAACCCTCATTACCGATGGGACAGCACGCTCAAGCCCCATGACGGTATACTGGGAGTCGGCCGACCTCAGCCGTTTCCCACCCGCCTACGCATCATCGCTCGCCACGAAAATCGGCGTCGCCTTCCCGGAAACCACATCCCCTTCCCCAGGCGCGTCCAACAACATCGTGTCGTCGACCTCCTCGCCCCAACCGTCACCGACACCCGTCCCCTCTGCACTCAGCAACTCGGCGAAAACGGGGATAGGGGTGGGCTCGGCCGTTGGCGCCCTGGCACTCATTGCAATCGTGTTGGGGATATGGTGGACGCGCCGGCGGCGACGAAGCAAGAACGCCAACCCGCAGGTGTCGGAGATGCCGGATTCCAGTAATCGATGGTCGAATCTGCTGAGAGGGAAGTGGAGGGCTGAGGTGGATGGAAATGCGTCGCAGAGACCTGTGGAGGTCGCGGGGGATGAGCTGCGAGCGCCGGCGGAGGTGGATGGGGAAGATACGCAACGGCCGGCGGAGGTGGATGCGAAGAGCGTCAAAGTGGTGCCGGGCCCGCCCGTGGAGTTGCAGTGATGTTGTGGTTGTTGGGATTTACGTCGTTTTTTGGTTGCACGGAACGGTGTTGTGGGTTTGGAGAAGCAAGCAGTGGTTGCGTTCGTTACGTAAACAATGCTTTTGTAGGAACTGGAGAGGATTTGATAACTGGATTCATATATAATGTATAGTATAGTGAAACTAGATAGTTGGGGGGGGGGTTTTTTTTTCAAGGTGCTTGATACCACTGAAGGACACCTATATCCAAATGAAGAATGTTTTCTTTTTTCTTCTTCTTTGAGCTGGAATAGGGCAAAGAAGTTAAATCTAGTATTGAAACTCTAATTGCTGAAGGGGTCAATTGTGAGATTTACCTTCTTCCCATATCTTTCCTCTGCTCTGATATTATGAGTCTGTTGGTAGCCTACGAGTGTTCTTTTCCGTATTTCGACGATGAATCCAAAAATTCGATCCAACGAAGATGAAGATTCAATGGTGTTACTCTTGAAGAAAGTTGATGCTATACAACTTGAATATCTTGCACTGTCTAATATCAACTTGGACTTGATGACTGGTCATGACATGCGGAGCCATAACGTGTTCGTGCTTGCCAATTGGGTTGATGGTATGCGTTTGTAAAACCCATACCGCTCTAGACAATTTAGGATGAATGAAGCCGTGCAAATCAATTATGAAACATATGTATGTATGTATAATGGACCGAAGCTCACGATGATATGTTGTCTGTGAATGGGTCGAGGCCGATGTCGGCAGGGCGGGGCGCGAGGAGGGGTAAAGCCGCAGCCGGCCCAGGGCGAAGCAAAAACATTTGCGAACCGCGGGCGCCACTTGTCCCTTGATCTGGCCCGATTCTTTATTTCTTGTTCCCTTACCTCGAAGCTGATCGTAACCCTCTTCACGAAGAAGTCTAATTCAAAAGTACGAAATCCAGTGTGACAACAATGCCTTCGTTCAATATTGTGGTATTTGGCGGTACGTCTCTCAGCTTCATCCTACAAATCCTACATCTGCTGACGTCATTTCTCTAGGCGATGGAGTAGGCCCCGAGGTAAACACGACCAATGCATAGCTTTGGGTGCAAGAAACATGGCATGAATGTGGAGCTCATACATACGTCTCTCTAGGTTATCGCCGAAGCAACAAAGATCCTCAAGGTCGTCCAAGACAACACCGATATTCAATTCAACTTCCAAGACCACCTGTTCGGAGGTTGCTCCATCGATGCACACAATAATCCCCTCACAGATGAAGCTCTCGCCGCGGCGAAATCCGCAAATGCAGTCATTCTTGGTGCCGTAGGAGGTCCGGTACGCTCTAGATACCACACTGAATACATGCTGGGTTACAATCGCTAATTAGAAGCTGTCAGAAATGGGGCACCGGAAAAGTCCGCCCTGAACAGGGCATTCTGAGACTGCGCAAAGAACTCGGCACCTTTGGAAACCTAAGACCGTGTTTCTTCGCCTCCGACTCCCTGGTTGACGCATCCCCGCTCAAGGCCGACCGCGTCCGAGGCGTCAACTTCAACATCATCCGCGAACTCACCGGCGGAATCTACTTTGGCGACCGAAGAGAAGACGAGGGCGATGGAAAAGCCATGGACACGGAGCCATACTCAGTCGAGGAGATCGAGCGTGTAGTGCGGTTAGCAGGAAACCTCGCGCGCGTCGAGAGCCCGCCCGCGCCCGTGTGGAGTTTGGACAAGGCCAATGTCCTGGCGACATCGCGACTCTGGCGCAAGACGTTTGAGCGCATCATGAAGGAGGAGTTTCCCGAGCTCGAACACGGCACCCACCTCATCGACTCGGCTGCTATGCTCATGATTCAAAATCCCCGCAAGCTCAACGGTGTAGTGGTCACGAGCAATCTGTTTGGAGACATCATCAGCGACGAGGCCAGCGTTATCCCGGGTAGCTTGGGTCTGCTGCCGAGTGCGAGTCTGGGAGCCATTCCCGATGGCAAGACGCCTATCAACGGCATCTACGAACCCATCCATGGTATGTGCTTGTCTTTCTTTGATATCTCTCACTCGCTATCCTTAATCCCCAGCCCGGGCGTATGATCAAACGTGCCTAACACCTCACCACAGGATCCGCCCCCGATATCGCCGGCCAGGGCATCGTCAACCCCGTCGCAACCATCCTCTCCATGAGCATGATGCTCAAGTACTCGTTATGCCGCCCAGACATTGCGGCAAAAATCGACGAAGCCACCAAGATCGTCATCGATAACAACATCCGGACGAAGGATATCGGCGGCTCGTCCAAGACCTCCGAGGTCGGCGATGCTGTGGCTAAGGAGTTGGAGACTCTTCTGAAGAAGTAAACAGCTTTCTCTAGGCTCTGCACGATGCTGTTCCATGTTGCTATATCTTGCGAATTATTTCTAGTGAAGGGGAGACGTGATGGGGGTGTGCATGGAACGATGGCTAATCTAGGTTTTGTATCTTTGTACTGACGGAAAAGTTATGTTTGCAGGCAATGCATATGAGGATACTCACCCATATGACTGACGAAAGATGTGGAATGATGTTGCATATATTCTTCCTCGACTTTCTGATATGACAAAAATCAATCACATCAACTCTTGTCCCTCTGTTTCGCTTCACTCGATATGCGATATTGTACACGCGCGACTGTCCACTGCAACCTTCGTGATAGGATGAATTTCCCAGCCGAACATTCAAAACCTGTCTGTAACGTCAACTGGTACCTGGCAGGTGTACAAGGCCCGATGACCTGGATCTTGAAGAGAGGGGGAGATGTCTGTGAGACATGGCGTGACAGGTGACACATGCAGTGCACTTGAGAAACAGGCAAGAACAAAATAAACACATGTAATGCACGTCTTCTCACGTTTAGGCAACGATAACTGAGATCTCGTTGCACCAGGAGCTCTCCACCACTTTCTCATCCACACCATTTTTTCTATCCGTTGTTTGGCCTTCGGTCCTCGGGTTGACAGTTCCAGGCCGAATGCGCGCCGAACTAACCTCTGACGTACTTTACGGACTACGCAACAGGAAAAAGCGGCAACTCCACAATGCCATTTACTAACCTATCTAGCTGAGATTCAAAGGTAGAATAGGGGACAGCTACGGAATTGAGAAATCGTTAGTCTAACTAAATCTTGGGAGGCGCGGGTAGGGCGAGTTTGGGGGCCAGCGAAACGACACCTGTCTGCGGGATAATCGGCAGAGCCTAAACCCACATTCCACAGGCGCAATGTCTACTTCGGGACGAAAAAGAAAGGATCGAAACACTACGGAGACTTGTAATATTGTTTTTCTCTTTTTCTTTTTTCTTCTCTCCGTTGGTCTTGGGGGGGAAGAGGGAACGGGAGGAATGGCTGCCGCTTAAGCGAAGAGCCCGCGCTCCCCCCTTCCGTGTGTGTGTGTGGTACTGTACTGTTTTTGCGCGGCTTGGTCATGCGGAGGGACGAGGGAAATGGCATTGAATGTACGTCAATACCAAGATGGATAAAGCATCCGCGTGTTGTTGGGGGAGATTCTTGGTTTGTGCGGGCTTCTATCGTGCGTAACGCGAACATGGGTCTTGGGGTTAAGTTCTCTCTCTCTCTCTCTCTCGTACGACGAAGCTACGGGCTAAGAGTCTTTGTTTTTCTTGGGAGGAAAGCGACTCTTGGAATTAAGAATCTACACAATGACAAACAAAACTAAAACTCAATCGTGAATCGGGAGACGCAATTAATGAAAAGGATATAAAAAGGATTGCAGATGATGTTTTTTTTTTTCCCGCATTTCACCTTGTGTCTCGAGAAATTACTAGAAATTTCAGGTAGTTGCAGTTTCAAAGCAAGGAAGCGAAGAGGTTGCCCTACAAAGATTACCACAACAATGATGTGAAACCAAGGAATCTTAAGCTTTTTGATCCTTACTGCGGGTAGGGAATCCAAGCGCCTTGGGAAATTACCAACATGGGAGAAAGCAGATGCGGGGGCGGGAAATAGGTATCGATAGAGGTCCCTACTCCCTCCTCTCCACTACTACCCTACTATAGCGAGCGACTATAAACCTTGCTACAAATGTCCGCCGGACTTGGCTTGTAGTAATCCTTTGATACCAAGTCTTTCGATTGGTCGGGGCCTGGGACTTTACAATGCCATTGTCCCGAGAAAAGTGGGTGGATAGACGGGCTGTCAAGGTGTCGAACACCGAACGCGTCTAGTCTTTTTCAAAAACCTCACGGGATCGGGTGAGAGACACCAAAATCAGCAGATTGGCGATGATTCAGAGATGGAATCTATTCTATTCGGTAGAGGAGAGACGTTGAAGGCGTACACGTGACGTCGGTTTTGCCGCCCCCTGAAGGCTGGATGGGGCATGGCGTGAAACAAGGCGAGGAGGATCGCCAGCCATAGGCAAGCGAAAACACCATCGACAGCCAAACTCGCGATGTGACGAAGCGCTGACCAGCACTGTTTCGAAACGTCTATTCCGATGCCTGCTTTGGACCCACCTGGGCAGTCCCCCAGCCGCCCGTAAGCATTGGCTGTGGCACTGCCGGGGTTCAACACCAGATCCACTTTGGTAACCCCTCGTCGCCTACTGCGTGGTAGGATTACCACACAAGCTGGGAGGCTGATTAACCTTCGAGGTACGGAAACGCCATGAAAGCTGCATCTCGGCGCTCCCTGGCGAACGGCGTAGGTCATGCGGCACCGCTCCCATAAAGTCCTCGTGCTTCGCCCTTCACTAACAGGCTCCATCATTCACTCACTCCATCCAAGTGCTACTCTTCACATTCCAAACGGGCAAGTCCTGCTGGTCTAGATACACACTCCTTTGTATCTCTCACTCCCTAGACGCAAGGTCGTCAGCCATTCCTTTTTTGAACATATTTCCACCTCACTTCAGTCATCTGACTCTTCAACATTGTTCACACTTGATCATTGTTTACCATCATTCTTTTCTGCTTCTAACCCGATAGAGCGAGCTATTCAATCAATCACCACCTACAGCAACAACACTGCACAACGAGGTTATTGCCAATACATATAAATACCTCCTGAGATCCATCAACCTCACCGACCACCCTTTTCCACACAACCACAACACAAAATGGTTTCCTTCAAAGCACTCGCCTTCTTGGCTCTCTCTACCTCTGCTGCCGTAGAGGCACACATGCGCCTATCCTGGCCTCCACCACTTGCTGGAGACAACAACCCAAACACTGTCAATGCCGACGCTTTCTTGCACTACCCATACGGTTGCTGCGGTCGCGAAGTACCTGGCCGATGCAACGGTCACCTCGACCTCCTGAACACGGACGAGGGCAAGCCTGTAGTCACCTGGGCTCCAGGACAGAAAGTCAACTTCACCCTTACCGGGCAGAAGGCTCAGGCTAAGGCTGACAACGTCGTTGGTGGAACTCACTACGGTGGTTCCTGCCAGGTGGGCTTCTCTACTGACGGAGGCAAAACGTTCAAGACCGCAACTACGTGGCAAGGCAACTGCCCCCTACGAAAGGGCGACATCACCCCCAGCTCGCAGGTTTTCGACTTCACCGTCCCCGCCGATCTCCCCGCTGGCGAGCGCACCATCTTCATCTGGAACTGGATCAACCGCGAGCAGGAGAAATTCGAGACCTGCGCCTCCGTCACAATCTCTGGCTCCAACGGCGGCGGAGACCCCGACAAAGAGCCCGAGAGCTCCCCAGCACCAAGCTCAGCCCCTCAGCAACCGTCAGCAAGCGCTCCCCCTTCAGCGCCTTCTTCGGCATCTACTTCCTCCGCACGTAAAGGCCGTCCCTCCAAGACCCAATCCTCCGCCCCTCCCGCCAACACCGGCACCGGCGACAAAGCGCAATACACACTCGAAGGATGCACCTGCTCCTGCCCTTACCAGACCTGGTCTCAAGCCTGCGAATGCTACGAGTGCGACTCGCCATTGACGAAGCGCCACCTCGTCGAGCGCAAGGCCCTCGAGATGCACAATGAGGCCCAGCGCAATGCCGCAAAGCTCAATGTGCCGCACCGCCGCGCAGAGTCCGTCGCCTGGAGCTCCCGCCCAGACATGCTTCTTGACATCGACTTTGCGGGCGCCGCTTGCAAGTCCCAGGGCAACCCTGTCGAGTTGCAGTTTCCCAACCCGGGCCCAGACGTCGTCAAGGGCGATGGAGAGTACAAACTCGGTACCCCTTCCTGCTAGATCTTTTTTTTTCTTGTAGGGTGGTGGTTACTCTTTCTTAAATGACGCAGAAGTCCCTTGGCTTCTTCTGCGTGATTTGGTGCCCGATCATGAAATTGATCGTGTAACCTATCTTTGACAATTACTTCACTTCTTGTTTGAATATATTTGATTTCCTGGGGAGGTTTGTTCTTTGAATTCTTGATTATCTTTGTTTTTATGTGCTTGTTTTGGGGAGTGAAGGTGTTTTTTTTTTTCTTTCCTCGGGACGCGGGGTTCTTCTAGACAGATCCAGGAGGATGGTTGAAGATGAATCCAAAGATCGGACAAACATTGCGGGGGAGTCTACACGGGATGTTCACGGTGTAGGATGAGGTGTGACCCAACAGCATGCATGCATGCATGCAATACATTTGACTAGTTGGCTATGAACTCGATATAGTCACTGCTTAAAAAGGAGGTCATGTGTCTTAGATGACCTCCTTTTTGGCGTGGCTTTTTGTTCTTTGTGTATGTATTTGAATATTTTCAAATGAATTGAACAATATCAAAATTTGTCAACCTTTGCAATCATGATGTGTAAATTTCCTTTGGTTCTTTGGATGTGGGTTTTTTTTTTTTTTTTTTTTTTTTTACGGTTGGGAGAACAAATAGCGATCAATTCTCTGGTTGCGCTCCAGCGCAGCTGCATTTATGCAACACCACCGTGGTATACGGTAGTGCTTATGTTCGGCTTCCACTCAATACCTCCTTCAGAGGCCTTTTTAACATTGAAACATTACAACAACAGTCCTTAATACAGTTTTCTCTGGATTCCATCATAAAACTCAAAAGATATAGTGTGACAGGAGTACCTAATTCAGTTTTTACCTCCTGCCGCATCGTTGGTTTTCAGTGTAGAGCCCCTTAGAAAGACGCTGTTTAAAAAGGTCTTGGCACGCTGTGCAAAAAGCAACATTTGTGCAGACGCTCCAACACAGACTCAGAGCTAAACATAGGACGACATCAAAGGTTTTGCGGTCGCAACCCATCAGGCTAGGTGCCTCTACAGACATTCTCATTATAATTCAGAGGTACAAGGCTTTGATTGCGGCTCACAGAGGAAGAAGAGATTAGAAAACACATGTACTGGCAAACACGTTACTTCCTGATGCGCCTTGTATATGGGCATATATCGAGGCCAAATAATGCACAGGCAAGAGTATAGCTGGTTACACTACTAGTGTACATATCCATAACCATCTTCTAAGAAGCTCAATCCTGGATTGCCTTGTTCCACCCAAGCCCTACTATCACGAGCTGGCTTTCTGAGTTCCCTAACCTAGGGCCAATTGGATTGTATCGTCGTAAGTTCCATTGCAATAAGTGCAATCTGTGTGACTTAACATGTTATCCCTAGAGCAACGACAATTAAACTTACGTTGTACTGAGAACCGGTACCACTGGCCTTTCTTCATCTGCAAGGGGACACAGCTTTGAGCATCTCTTCTCCGTTGACCGTACCTTTTAAGGTAACAGTTATCCCAGGACTGCATCCACAACTTATCGTTATATGCAAGCATGCCACATGGAGGCTCGTCATCCGAAGCACACCATAGTCTCTTCTACAATCTTAATCTTAGCGAGAGTTGTACCTACACGTATTGTAATGAGCAGGGACTTACACTCTTATGATAGACGAGCCAGTAACCAGTCTTGTCCTTTATCTTAAGCAACATAGCATGCATCTTCTTGACTCCTATGAGACGGGCCAAGTGCCCGTCTCTCTCCACATCAGAGCTTGGAAACAACTGACAATTCATTCGTCCACCCCTCTCAGCGTTTTGTTCGATCCATATCGCGACCTCTCTTATGGTATCTTCTACAGCGGGATTTTGGCGAATACGAATCTCGGGACTGTAGGTGAAAAAAGCACCGGCTGGAAAGGTGTAGCGAACCATCTTGTCGTGCTGTCGTAGCGAACTACTGGCGAGAAAGTCAATTTTAAGACACAAAAGACATAAGTGTAAATTCAGCTCAGGCCGCGCAAACGCGTCGTTTTATACACGCGTCGAAAGGTCAGCACGAAGTCCCGTGAGTGGGGTGAGATCCAACGTCAGCTGCTGAATAACCCAACTCTTTCGCATGTGGTCTTCTATTAGATGACTCACTCAACATACCATCTCGTATTATGTCATGCTGTGTTCGTGTCGTTATAATTGTGTAGAGACTGGTTGACATTTACGGGGAACGAGCTACTTAAAAGCTATAGAGGGCTGCTGCTATAGATGGAGGCGTAATATTGTTATTGATTCATGCTGAATATTGTACGTTAAGATAAAGTACGAAGTCTTCATGATTAATGGTCAGATAACTACATAACTACAGCTTTATGAGTTGGTAGCAAGCTTGATGAGGCCGTAAGGTACTTTCTGAAATGAAAGCAGAAAGCAATGAGACCCAGAAGCCAAATATGCACAACGCTGTACCAGCTCTCTTAAATTATAGAATATACAATCCAATGAATTGCTATACGAATCCAATGAATTACTATATGAAAATGATTGTCTCTTGGCTAAAAGAGCTTCGTGGAATCTGCATTCAAGCATCACGATCACGGTATGCAACAAAAAAATCATACCCAAATATCCCTGGCTCTATTCATGTTTGATACAAGTCTATATAATTTATATACACCATGCCAGAAAAGAAGCTCCTAGCTTCGGGTGCGAAAACTATTCTATATGCGTATCGAGAGATTTTCTGATCTGTCGAAGAAGAATACATGTGGCAGACAAGAGCATCTTTATCACTCCAATTGCCCGTCTGTTTTCGGTTTGGCTAGTTTCGCTACCTCTGGGTCTTTGGTAACTTCTTCGCTGGAGGGGAGGATTAGTATAAAATGCCGATACAGCTAGGAGGGGCAAATAAGGGAGAGAGGGTAACGTACTATTGAGGCCTGGGCAACTCGAAAGCCTCTGTCACGCGTCCGTAAGTGATACCACCCAACCTACCAACCGGTTTCAAAACCTAGAAAAGAGAAACGATTAGTCAACACATCAAATCTCAGTAATTGCACAACCTTCCTCTCTCCCTTCTTTTCAAAACACAACCAGAGAACACCTAAGAAAAGAAAAACTTACAGCAGGATCAATCAACACCCCAGCCTCATCAATCGCGTCTTCCCTAACCCAGAACCTGACCCCTTCCACAACAGCCATGACACCCGTCTTTTTCCCCGGCGTAGCGCGACTCTCCCACTCGCGCGTCTCGACGAGTTTGGCTTCGATGCTGAAGACGGCTTCCTGGACGCGGTCGGGTTTCACCAACTTGCTCTTTGCGGGGTGCAGGCCTGACAAGGGCCATTCGGAGATACCCGGGGGAGCGTTTATAGAGGTGAAGTTTGCTGCTTCGATATCTGTTCCACACAACCCCCCGCCAATCATCAGTATTTCAAACTCCTACTCCCAAGAGAGATCGAACAGGGCAGCAGAAAAGATGGAAAGAGAGAAAGAGATGGGGACTCACAGTCTTCACTGATGATGTTCAAAGTGCACTCTTTAGACCCCAAAAGATTCGCCAGCGAATCCTTGGCTTTGCCCATCCCGCCGCTGAACCCCAGCACAAAAAGCGGCGGATCGTGACATACGAGGTTGAAGTACGAAAAGGGGGCTAGATTCGTGCTCGTGCCGTCTTCGCTGATGGTGCTTAAGAAGCCAATGGGGCGAGGCGCGATGCCCGAGATGAGGAGCTTGTAGTTGTGCACTGCTGGGCGGCCTTCGGCATAGGGATCGATTTCGCGGTGGGGCGTGGACAGGTTCGAGGTGTTGTTTGCGCCGGTTCCGGGGGTCCATGCAGGCTGTGGGGTTTGCGTGTAGTGGAATTGGGAGGTTTGCGAGAAGGGGGGACGGGAAGCTTCGACAGATTTGAAGTCGGGATGGGGGTTTCTTTGAATCGTTGACTCTGCGTCGGCTTTTGGGGTGTTGGTGGCCATGGTGGATGGGTATTTTTGACTTTTCTTTAGCGTCTGATGGGAGATTGAGGATTGTAGAGAATGAGAGAGTGAAGGAGGCGAGGAAACCTATTCGATTATGATCGCTGTAGCAGAATGAATGTGGGATTGCAGCATATGGATTGTTTATTTATTGTGTTTTCGAAAATTATTTGTAAGATGGCACCATCGGATAATGCAGGGCAAACGTCATTGCAAGTACCGATGCTAACCCCGCCATCCATGAAACTACCCCGCTTGTAGCAGCCACTGTCCATCTGCTGCTGTGGCCGTTGATAAGGGCAGATATGGTTGAGGTAATTGTTATATTTTAAAGCTTCTCCAAGCCTGCTATACTTGGATGTATTGCAACTTCCACTTCGTCGCGAAATCGATATTCCATCGTTGCTTCGGTATCTACTCGGGGATCTCTCGGGAATTCGCTCGAATTGGACTACAACATATTCCTGCAAGGGAAACACTGATGTGTATCGAAACATAGCTTCGACAGATTTGAAATCAACGCTGATAAACTCATGAGAGAGAATAGAAGACATACATGAACAAAAAAGGATTATAAATCTACGACTATACCGAGCCCCTGATTGACCAGTTACAACACTTCAAACACACACTTCACAGCAAGATCTCCAAAATGGCAGAAGATTACCAAACCTACAACCTCGGAGACTTCAAACTCCAATCCGGAAAAGTCCTTCCAAATGCCTTCGTAGCCTACAAAACCCTCGGAGATTCCTCGCTCCCCGCAATCATCTACCCAACCTGGTACTCCGGAGGTAAGAAAGCAGCCAAACCATACACTACACCATCACCTCCTCCTCCTCCACTAACGTAAGAACCCTCGACACCCAGAAATCTCAGCTATCCTCTGGCTGACCGGCCCCAACAAAACCCTGGACCCATCAAATTACTACATCATCATTCCCGCCCTCTTCGGAAACGGCCAATCCACATCCCCCTCAAACACCCCATCCCTACGACCCTTCCCCAAAGTCACCTTCTACGACAATGTCCGCGCTCAGCACGAACTCGTCACTAAACACCTTGGCATCACGCATGCGCGGGCTGTCCTGGGGTGGAGTATGGGCGCTGGGCAAACCTATCAGTGGGCAACGCAGTTCCCTGGTTTCATGGACCTCATCGTGCCGTTCTGCGGCAGCGCGAAAACGAGTCTGCATAACCAGGCGATGCTGGAAGGCGTCAAGTCTGCGTTATATGCAGCGCAAGGGAAAAGCTCGTATGGCGTTGCCAGCGGGGACGCTGAAGCCGAGAAGGAGGGGGGGTATGTTGGGTTTACTGACGAAACCAAGGTCGTAGGGTTGAAAGCCCTCGGTCGAGTCTACTCTGGATGGGGATTCTCACAGGCTTTCTACCGCGAGAGGCTGTTCGAGAAAGTGCTGGGGTTTAAAGATATCGAGGATTTTATGGTGAATTTCTGGGAGAAGTGGGCGTGTGGGAAGGATCCGGAGAATATGTTGGTCATGGCGCTGACATGGCAGGCTGGTGATTGCTCGCTGCAGGAGCCGTATAATGGAGATTTTCAGAAGGCGATGCAAGGGATCAAGGCGAAGGCCCTCGTGCTACCGGCGCAGACGGATCTCTATTTCCCCCCGGAAGATTCGGAGATTGAGGTTAAGGCTATGAGGCCTGGTGTTGGAGAGCTGCGAGTGATTCCGTCGATCTGGGGGCATTGGGCTGGAGGGCCAGGGGATAGTAAGGAGGATGTGAAGTGGATTGACGAGCAGCTGCGAGACTTTTTTTCACGTAACTGATATTGTGTCTTTAGTCCGAATTATGTATTCTCCAGTAAAAGCTTCCCGACAGAAGATGCAACTGGTAGATTGTATCGAGCCCATTACACCCTGATGTATTCTACAGTCAATCTGGTTTTCCATCACCATAGCTGGTTTGGTATCATCCCCATCTCGTGCTCGCACATATCTACAAGAGCCATGCTTCAAACCCCAAAAACTCGGAAGTGACAATCCATCAATCTCGGAAAGCCCCTGAACACCACCTAGCCGACAAGAGTAAATCTAGGTCAAACTGAAAGAAGCTACAGTAGTTTGAAAAACCATCATGAGACTTAGCGTCCATCATAACCGGGGTGGATCAATGGGCCAGACTGGCCAGTAATCAACACTCAACAAATGAGTTCCCAGACTCTGACTGAGAAAAGTCAGTAGAACCCAAGCAGCGATCCTTCCCGATATATTCTCGGGGTTTTATCGAACTCTGTACTTACATCATCTACACTCCATATCCCATGGCCCGCAAGATGGCCCTACCTTCCTGCACGTCATCGTCGTTGTGGAGGCGAAGGCCATACGCGTGTAGAAAAGCAGGGAAGCTGTCGTATCCTGCATCTTCAGCCGCGGCAGTGGTACCCGTGATCTTGGACTTGTCGGTGGATGGAGGACGACATTTTCCTATTCAATATTGTTATTATCAATTTTTTCTCTCCTCGTAACATCTTCCGGAAGGGCCTGACTTACGTAGACTTGAAGGAAGGATCGATTTCTTGTTCTAGAATTGAGTTTGGTTGAGGATAATTTACGGTGAGTATGTTGTAGAGAGGAGAAAGGGTGTTTGAGGAAATAGAATCCAAGATGCCGATCTGGGAGGTGACTTTATAGGCAAAGTACATGTGATGGTAAGAGGACGACTGACGACCGTCACCGGATTGGGCAAACTAAGCGATGGAAAACTAGGCGCGAGCAAGGGTGGGCCCTGCAACCAAATATTACCTATATCGTCTCTTACCTCGAAGTCATCGACTAATCAACGAATCGCCCTCCAAAGCTATACACCAGAAAGAACCTCAACATCACAGCATCCGCACTACATAAACACCGCTGTTTGGAATTGGCTATAGAGAAGCACGCATCATGGGCGTGCTGTTCTCTTCAATCCGAGGAGCTCTGAACCTCCTCCTACCCTTCACGAACCCTCAAACCCCGCTCATCCAGGATCTGCTCCACACAGTCATTCTGTGCGGCACACTCTACTTCGCGCCGCAAATCGCAGAACACTACAATGCGAACACACACCACGCGTCTCCAACAATACCAGTTAACAATGACGACCCCCCGCAAGGCGAGAACGCAAACATCGATGCAGATGCCATCGCGCAAGAAATCCATGACAATGACGAACACGAAGGAGAAGACGTGGATATACTACCACAACCCCAAGCCGACCCGATACCGCAGGAATGGCGAAACGACGACAACGAATTCGCTCCCGCCGTAGCAGGAGAAGCAGAAGGAGAAGCAGAAGCCGGTCCCGCAAACGCAAATGAGCGACCCCGACCGACGGCCGCAAACCGCACCGTGGGAACGAAGAAGGCGAAATCGTTAGCGCGCCGCGACCAGCGGAGGGCGTATCACGAGTTCCACCGCTCGCAAGCTGAGCAGCGCCGGTTAGAAGAGGAAGCGGGTCGTGAAGAGCGCGAGAAAGCGCTCGCGGAGGCAAAACTGAGGCGTGCTGAGGAAGAGCGGAGGATTGCGGAGAAGCTAAAGGCAGAGCGGGAGAAGAGGAAGGAAGAAGAGCGGAGGGAGATTGAAGAGGAGAGGTTGCGGCGAGAGAGGGCTGTTGAGAAGGTTAGAGGGGAAATGGAGAGGTGTGGTGCTGTGGATTTAGGGGCGGTTGCGAGGAAGGAGGGCAAGGATGGGATATGGATTGGGAGGCTGGTGAGGGCGAGTGGTATTGTTGAGAAAATTGCCAGAGACGGAGGAAATGATTGCAAGGTTTTCTTCACGGATGGAGGGTGTTGGCTGGTCAAAGTCGATGCTGCGCTCATGAAGAGGGCATACGCAGATGCAGTTCGCTGTGGTGATGAGATGGGAGGGAAGATCAGCTTTGAGCGGTTAGGCGAGATTCTGCAAAAAGCTGTTTTGGCGCGGGCTCAAGGTACCGCCTAATCTCTGCATTGATAGCTACGAGAATACTTGCAAAGTATCAGTCAAGAATTACTTTTGTCCCGCAATACGTGGTGCTGATCGCGAAATCCTCCAACATATGGCATGCCAACGATCAAACAACTGCACAACATTCCAAACTGATTTTTGTATCGAATTGTCCATTTTTATCATGCAACCATGAAAGTGTTTAATCGCCTAGAAGACCAGATACATGCCATAGCCTGCCACATAAAGTCAGGCGAAAGGAACCAGACCAGCCATAAGAAGAACTCCGTCGTCCGGCTCGATCCCAATCCCACGTATATGCACCACGAGCTTCCCAATCCACGCACACGTTTACCGATTGCTCTTTGCCACACGCTCCAACTCGTCCTTCTTCTTGATGGCGTACGAGTTGCTGCTGCCCTTGGCGGCGTTGATGAGCTCTTCAGCCAAGCATTCGGCAATGCTCTTGATGTTGCGGAAAGAGGCCTCGCGGGCACCGATGGTGAGGAGAGCGATGGCCTGGTTCACACGGCGGAGGGGAGACACATCGACGGCCTGGCGACGGACGGTACCGGCGGAACCAATACGGGTGGAGTCTTCGCGGGGACCGCAGTTGACGATGGCGTCCACGGCGACCTGGATGGGGTTCTGGTCGGTCATGATGTGGATCTGAAGCTCTGTTAGCACACACATGCTCCGTATTTCCCAGCAATTTTTCTTTTTGCGATTCCGAGGCGCTGGGTAGGTTCATATGATTGGGAGACGTACGATCTCAAAAGCGTGAGCAACGATGCGGACAGCCATGAGCTTCTTTCCGTTGTTGCGGCCGTTCATCATGAGCGAGTTGGTGAGGCGCTCGATGATGGGGCATTGAGCCTTCCTGAAGCGCTTAATGGCATATCGGCCAGCGGAGTGTGAGATGTAGACGGGGGAGCGGATCTGGATGTAGTCGCTGCAGGTCGTCGTGTTAGCCTATGTAAACACCCATTTTCCGCTGCAATTCCTGATTCTTTGCAGATTTCTTGAGCGGATCAAACTGGACATGGGGAACGCGTACGTGAGGGAGATGTCCCGGATCTCGACGTCCTCGTAGCTCCACTTGTTGAACAGCTTGACGCTGCCAGCCTCCTGGAGCACGTCCTTGGGGAGAATGGAGATGCCGGTGGGGCTCTCGACCTCGACTTCGCCGTCAGACATGATTGCGACTGTACTGAAGGGCGACTGGTTTTCGGTGGGTGGACGAAGGGGACGGTATCGTATCGGTCGTTGGTCGTGGGTCGCTTGAAGGTTGAAGTTCGTGTGCGCATCGAAAATGTGTGCAGTGTTGCCGCTAGTCTCGCTTATTCTTGGCACGCATGGACCACCACTGTCTGGCCGACTCGACCTCTTTTCCAGACTGCTCACCAAACGAACATACGGAACATCAGATGAAAAAGCGATGGAGGTGGAAATAAACAATTCACATTATCAACTATAACCAATGTACTCCAGAAGCGTCGAGTCCGTGGTATATAGCCAAACCAGAGAGAAAGACGCTGAAAACCCAAGACAAAACATCCCAACCATACCACTTCGCTCCTGACCATGCTGTCAAATACAAGTGTGGGAGAGCAAACAAACAATCGATCAACGAGAAACCAACACTATACACAAACTGACTCCTTTTAATCTAAAATTCACTCAGGCTCGCTGCTTCCAGTCCTGTCACCGGTGCAGCCTGGACACAGGTGCGCTGATATCCCTACGCTCTTTTACACCTTCCATCATCTGCTTGTGAGGCGTGGCCTGTCCCGCAGCCATACTCCTCGCCCTGCCACGTCGCTCACGGATTGCTTCGAGGGCAGCCTGTCTATCAAATGGAGCTTTGTTCAGCGCAAGCTCGCCAAGCACCGGCGTGTGTGCGTCAGCTGGGGCATGCGCAACAGTCGAAGGTGTCATGGCCTGAGCTCCTCGTTTCATGGCTGGTGTGGCAGGGGAGAAGTGTAGCGGAATGGTGGTAGTAGTAGTGATTGTTCGCATCAAGTATTGTGCTGGGGTCACTGGGCCGGTGGGGTACTCGCCAGGCGTCCCCGGACAACTATCTTCATCGTCACTATCCATCACAGCGTCCTCATGAACCTTGATATCCGAGGACTTGCTGTGCATGGCGTCGCCAATGTTCAGAGCAGCGCGAGATTGTGGACGAGAGAGAGGTAAAACAGTGCTATGGGCATCCGGTGCCCACGGCGACGACGAGTTGATCTCCGCTGCAAGTCTAGCGGAAAGCTCCTGCGCAGATGCTATTGTCGGAATTGTCTCTTCCTGCGTTGGACGGAACACGCCTGTTGTGGGAGAGAATGCGAGTGCTGGCTCAGGAGATTGGCTCTCTGCACGAACGGCTACCATGGTGTCATCTATAGCTGGCTCGTCCCCAGGGGGGGTAGGCGGTCGCTCCTGTTGGACTGAAGGGGATTCTGTGCTCATCTCAACATCCTCGCCGTGACTGCTGGATGGTGGTGTCAAAGCGGGTACAGTTGCTTTGATACGCTCCATCTCGGTTGCGTAAGTGCCATCGTGTACGTATTGTGAGCCGCTGAAATCGGCAACGCGGCAGGAACAGCACCGGAATTGACATTCCATCTTCATGAAGTCAACCTGATCTTGGGCACGCTCGCGGAGACGCCTCTCCGTGGCCAGCTCTTGTTGTGCCAACCTCAGTTCAACCGCGGCCTTTTTCGGTGCTACATTTTCCTTGTCTTCTTCGCTCCTCTCGGGCATGCGTTGCTTTCGCGGAGAGCGGACTGGCGAGGCAAACTCATCGTGTTCTTCGTTTGTAGCTACTGGAAGTGGAATCTGCCCTTCAGCAGCGATGCGTAGGACCTCCTCTTCTTTTAGGCTTGTTTTTAATGTATCACGTTCACCTTCAACGAGGCGGAGTCGGTCCTTGAGCGTTTCTACTTCTTCTCCTAGCTGAGCTCGCACGGCCTCGACGTCAACCTGTAGGCCGTACACTTGGCTTTTGTACTTTTCAGCTTCGCCCATGTATAGTTTCAAGTCGGATTCAGTTCTCTTGATGGTTCGCTCGAGCCCGGCCACCTTGCCCTGGTAGTTGGGTAGCAGCTTCTCCAGCTTATCTCTTCGGTCTCGAGCATCCTCGAAGCTTTGCTTATAAGTGTGACCTTTCGCCTTGTAGGCGTCGATCGTCCTGTTAAGCTTGTCCTGGGGCATATTAGTACCGAGATCGAGGTTAAACGGGACTGTAACGTACAATGTGGCTTTCCATTTGACCTCGCTTCTCTTCTACACGTTTCATCGCGCCTTCCCACTTAGAGATGGCTTCGCGCTGCTCCTTGCGAGCGGCATCCCAAACGTCTTTGGAAATGCAATTCTTGTGGTTTTGAATCATGTGGCCGAGCTGAGCCTCCAACTCTTCGATGCGCACTTGGCGGCGGCTCATGCCTAGTGCGTAATCCTTCTCCATCTGGCGCACCTCGGACGCGTGCTTTGTCCTTTCCTTCTGGAGGGCATTCGTATACTTTGCTTGGGCCTCCTTGAAGTCCTTAACTTCGAGGTTTTCAAACATGGCCGCGAGTCCATGCACGGATACATCAGAATCGTTTCGGCGGTGTCTGCGCAGAGGTGATGTACGGAGGTCCGGAATCGATGGCGACTGAGGGTTTGATCCGCCGTGTGGTGATCTCATGGCCGCGGCACGTTCAGGGCTGGCGGACAAGACGGGCATGCCTGGAGGAGACATGGGGAATTTGGTGGGGGACGAGGGCGGCTCCATGCCGCTCGGGCTTTCTTTGAGTTTCGCCAACTTGGCGGTGTTGCGGGGGGTTGAGTGAGGTGTGTTTGAGTTGTAACTTTGTAGGTGCGGTGCAGTTGTGCAGTCGCGGTGGAAAGAAAGCGTAGATAAGAATGTACGTATGTATATGCAGTTTGTGTGGTTGCAGCTATAACGAGAGAATAAACAAACCAAGGGCCGCTTTCCCCTAAGCGAGAAGCGACCACACCCCTGTCCCCAGCAACGCGCTCGGGCCCCCGTTCACCAAACGTCATCGCGGCCCTTGCAAGTATTATTTCTGCATGGATCACGATACATCATCAATAGTCGATTGTGGAGCAAAGTTAAGGGTCTAGAATATCCATTTGAAGTCTTATCGTTGTCCTGCAGCTCACTCAATCACATAATTGTGATAGTTGCACTCCGTGGATCCTCACGCGCACCGAGTAAACATTGCCCCATGCTCAACCTTTGACATAAATATCGCCAGTTATCTAGCTCAGAAACACTGAAATCAATAGGTTGAGAGGTGTAAAGATGATATAAGAAATATTTGCCAGTTTGTAAGACTACAGAAGATACCACTCAGTCACCAATCCTCCGTCGCCGATCATCCTCCACCACAAATCCATATTTATCGCCCTTCAGAAGACAGAAGTAAGAAGCAGCAGAAGAATGAAAGAAGAGAGAACTCTACATGTTTCTATCGTAGCCAAAGACAACACAGCGAATCATCCGCACCCTATCCATGATCACCTTATCTGCATCTCGATTCCTTGACAGGATTGGACGCCCAGCAATCACTGCGCCCGACAACATCGTAAGCCCAGATACCAAACCTGTCTTCAAAACCCAACGCTGTTTCAAAAGACCAAACAAATACTGACAAAACCGCGAGTATTTGAGCATTTCTATACGTCTCTTCCCCATCTGTATCTCAGGAGGATAATCTGAGACTACCAGCAATGTACATATAGTTGACGCATACCCATCCCCTTCGTAAACGAGGTTGGAGGGAAAAAATCCTGCTCTCGTATTTTCATATGGAGGACGTAGGATTTTGAACAGAATAGCCATTTCGATAGGAGGACGTGGGTTTCAGGGTCACCGGTTTCCGCCTCTGCCGTCCTTATCTTCCATTTTGTGTCGCTGCTCTGGTCAGGCCCTGGCCGTGTTGCAAGACTACCTGCGTGATTCCATTCATTTGAAGTCTTGTGACTAGAGAGCGTGGACACGGTGATTCGGTGTCGAAGGATGGAAGGAAGGTAGGCAGACATATGTTGCGATGCGCCACCTCATGCATGTTCGCGGCCAAGTCTAAATGTCTGACTGCGAGAACGAATTCACTTCGTCTGTCAACTATGCATAGAGACTCAGGATTTCCACTGTTGCTAAGCCACGAATGTCGATTGTTCAGCCTACACATGGGGTGCGGCGTAGTCTATTCTGTGGAGTGCATAAGATGGGAAGATGTATACCACTGTCAAATATGTGTAAAACTCATAAACACATTTCCACGCCATTCATCTAACTGTAATTCCTCAAACGCATCGAACTCTGCAGCATACATTCGATCTATTCAATATTCACTACTGTTATAATAACGACATCATTTTCTGGGCAACTAACGTTCACAGTCTCATTATGAGCGATCTAAGCAAGAGCTACATCATTTCCAGCGGCCACGACGAATCCGCAAGGTAAAGACCCCCAAACCCCCCAAAAAGAACCCAACGATAATGAGAGATGCAGACTGTACTTCCAGCACTGGATGTGGAGAGCACAGTTAAGATACGACCTCCACCCCTCAATCCAAATCCCTTCTTCGAGCGAACAAATCCGCATCGCAGATCTAGGCTGCGGAAACGGGTACACAACCCCCCCAGGCAAGCAAAAGAAAGAAAATATTGGGATGGTCGTCGCTTACCCAACAACACCAGAGTCTGGTTGACATCCCTCGCCACCGATCCCGCATGGCAGACCAAAACCGTTTCTTTCCACGGCTTCGATATACAGCGCACGCACTATCCAGCCGCCACCAACCTCCCAGCCAACGTAACGTTAGGCTACATGGACGTGTTTGCGGAAGACATACCGCAAGAGCACATCGGCGTGTACGATGTCGTGCACGTGCGAGCATTCGCGTCAGTTGTCAAACACGGTGATCCCGTGCCGGTTCTTACCACCAGTTTCAAGATGCTCAAACCGGGTGGGTACTTGCAGTGGGATGATCTAGACGCTGGCACGTTCCACGCAATCCTGCCCGGGTCCTCGAAACCTAGCGACGCATTAAAAGAGTTCTTTGCTGTTTCGGCGCAGGCGCAGAAAGTAGGGATGGGGTTGGAGTATGGGTGGTTGTGGAGATGGGGGGAGTTGTTTGGGGAGAATGGGTTTGAGATTGTCGAGGATGAGAGGATGGAGGTTAGGAGGGAACTCCGGGATGTGATGACGACGAGTTATGTGTTGGTTCATGAGCATATTGCGAGGCATGGTGTGGTGGATGGGAAGTTGGTTGGGACGGATGCGGATTGGGCTGATGTCTGGGGGAAGGCGCGGGAGGAGGTTGCGAAAGGTGCTTCGCTTGTTACTGATCTTGTGGTTGCTGTTGCTCGGAAGCCACTGTAGTTTTAATGGCTGCATCATGGTTTTAGTCGACTAGATTGGTTAGGTATGGCGATTGGATGTCTTCCATAGCATGGCATGAGAATGGCGTTTAAATTTCGTGACTGTGCTTTTATATGTGTATAGAAGTTCTGGATACACCACATCACGATAAACAGCAGAAGAAAAGTTTGTAAGATCTAATGCAAACATACACTCCAAGACTGATGATTATATATTCTGATATGACACGCTCTATCGTGTGCGGAATGTAGTATAATCTTCCACTAATAGCTGCTACATCAAATCCTTTCACGAAGTTGTTGGTTCTACTCTATTCAAGTGCACATGGAACCTCGCAATCACAGCAGCGCACATCACTCACACATACCCGCATAAAGCTCGCTATACCGAAGTAAACCAAACACATGTTACATAATACACTTGATATATACCACAATACATACGCTCACATAACAACGCGAAGCCGTCACCCCAAAAACCCCCTTCTACTATTCCGGCTTCTCTCCTCACTGTACCCTTCTATCCTGGCCCCACAGAGAACAACATGCATCTTGCTCGAATCTCCATCTGCAAACTCCACTCTCAACCGCCAATGCGCTCTCGTGATGACTAGCTCTCGCTCCTGCTCCTCATCGGATTCCGCTTGTGCAGATGAAGTTTCCGCTCCTCCCCATATCCACCCGTTGTTGCCCGGTTCATTATACTTCAACCCCAGGTTCCCGGACAGATGATCAGCAGCAAGCTCAGATTTCACGTTGTTGATTTCGAGATGGCAGTCGGAATCGATGCGGACGCGAACGCGGGGCTCGCTGAGGCCGGAATTTGCAGCAGAGACGGGTTGCGCGGCGACGCCGCCGCCGGACTGCAGCATCATAAGCCCCAGCGGTTGGTTTGCTGGGAGACCCATTTTCGATGCGATGACAGAGAAGAGCGAAGTTATACGGGCGAGGGTAGTGCCGCGAAACGTTACTCTGGCGTGGAGGGCCGGGGGTTCTGTTGTGTGGGAGGCGTTGACTGATGGCTGTGGAAGATGGAGTGTTGTAGACTCGTTGGAAGAGAGTTCGAGGACCAAGACGTTGCTGTCGGAGTGGTCGTCTGTGTACGGCCGAGCATAGGATACGGTGCCTGGTTTTAATTGTTGCCCACCCACTGACGGGGATGCGCTGCCCGAGTTGGAGGGCGCGTTTGAGTTGTCGTTTGAAGCTGGATTGCTCGCTGGGTCGGCGATGAAAGACACTCCTGATTGTCTTAGATCTTCCAGGCGAATGAGAATTTCAGTCTGTGCCCTTTTCAGATTGTACGAGATATCACAAGGAATCAACTTCTGCTCCAGTCCTTTCAAATGAAAGTATCGCGCATCCCGGAGCAGCTGCGCGCGATGCGCTTCGTTTCGGATATCAACAGGGTAACCTTGCAGCATTTCTACCAACTCCCGAAATATCTTACCACTTCTGTTTGGTACAGATGGCGGATGTATCGATGGAGGTCGAAGCAGTGCATTGCGATCAAGACCTGGAAACACTTCGGCGGGCGTGGAGAAGAACTGGGCGAAGCCAAGGGAGAAGTAGTTCGGGCTGTCGCCAGGCGAAGAAAACAAGTCACGTGGGATTGTGAAAGGTACACCACCAATACGGATGAATATATCAGTGCTGAAAAGCTGTTTTGTGAGACGAGGTACTGCGCGGGATTGATCAGTACTAGATGGAACAATTTCTTCGTGGTTGGACTTACATGAGTAGAATTGCGCGTCCGCGAACAATCGAACAAAATGCTCGCCATCCTTTGGAGTGATGTGATAGCCCTGTAGATGTGCGGCAATGTCTCGAAAAGTGTTGGGATCACGATCAATGTACAGTGTTTTCATGTCACCGGCGCGACCTTGATTGCTGTGAAGTTGCTCTCGAAAGAAGTGAGAGAAGTACGAGGGAGCTCTTGCACAGTTAGCCCCTGTCGCATGAGATCAGAGGGATTATGAGGAGTGCTTACCGTCCGACGACAGAGATGCGCCTGACAACCTGAAGAGCTCTGACCCGAGCTGTATAGGAAAGACCTTGCCCGCCGGCAACACCTCATATCCTCCTGGGGATTCGGGTACCCGCCGAGGCTTGGACACATCTATAACGCGTCCCTGGGGCCCGGTTCCTCTGCTTTGTTCCTTGCGCCTTTGCGCCTCGTTATTCGCGTGATGTTCAGCTTGCGCGGCCGGATGGGTTGGGTCGGATGAGGATGCTGTTGCGACAACGGGAGAAGTAGCGGAGGCTGTGGAAGAAGAGCGGGACTTGTTTGGGCGTTTAGAGAGGTGTTGGTCGGGCGCGACGGAGAGATTGCTTCCGTGAGAAAGGGCAGAGGTGGGTTCATCTGAATCAGCTTTCCTCTTGGACGCCATAGTCACCACCTGAGAGCGTGGTGCGGCTGCAGGAGGATTCGGGTAGTTTTGAGGGGACTGGTACGGGTCGTTATCGGAGGGGTATACGGGGAGCGGGAGGCTGAAGTCGTTGTTGGTGGTGCTGGGCTGGTGAAGCTCGCGCACAAGCTCTCCCTGGGGCTCGTAGTGATGGGAGAAGTCAGTGTAGCCGGTCGGGTTGGCCCAATCCCAGGCCAATGGGGCGCCGTCGAAGCCTGTGAACTGGTCGGGTTCGGCGTGGTGCGGTGGGTCGTGATAGGTCATGAAAGGCTGGTGCTGGGCGGCTGCAAGAAAGGCGGGATTTGGTGTCACCGGAGCAGCGGCGGGCTGGTTCTGCGCATAATGGGTATTTGTAGGCACCGCGACACCACGGGCTCTGTCAGTGCCTGCAAAGTCCAGGTGGTGGTCGAGCGATGGTGTTGGATGCGGTTGGCTGGGTGGAGCAGGCATTCATTCAGTTAGCCTCGGGCCACCGTAGATGCGTCTAATCACGCCGTGCTGCAGGACGAGGGAATCCGCAATTGTGAGTATCAACACACTCAAAAGACTCGTACAGTAATGCTGCTTGGCAATTGGTAAGCTTCGTGCGCTGCGATTGTGTAATAGGGCTGCGGAATGGCTGTGGCCTCTGCCTGGGTGAAGACCCTCCCGGATATATATGTGAACCGCCCATCTGTGGAGCCATCTCAAATCGTCTCTCCTCTTACTCTTTTGCGCCTTGCATCAGCTCGGGCGAAGCGTTCGGACGATGTGCTGACGTGAGTAGGGCTGGCTCCTTTTCCGCCCCCGTCAGACCGCAGACCTACAGCGCCCTTCTCGCGACTCGCGACTCCATCGAACCCGAGCTGCAACTGCTGCCTGCCTAGAACGATCCTGAAGAGTCAACAGATGGCGAGGGCAATGTAGCGGCATAGTGAGAACTAGAGTCTTCCATCGACATTGCATGAGTACTAAAGATTAACTAATCAACTATCCGCCACCGCTTCGGCCTCCATCACCTACTGGCGCCCGGCCTCGGAAAAGGGAACAAACTTCTCTCCACTGGCTTCCGTGACTCGGTCGCCAGCCTTCTTGTACGATTCCAAGCCCTGGATGTTCCTCACATACTTGTACAGCTTTGGGTGACTCGTCTCCGTCAGGAACTTGCCCTGCATCGCTGCTTCGAGAACGAAAATGATCATGATGTCAGCTCCACTCACAGTCGCTCCGCAGAAGAAATCACCCGCCGGCGCTTTGCCCAACATTTCTTCCAGGAATTTGAGATGCGACTCGATCTCGGGTTTCGTATACTTTCCGTCCACCGTGTCCGCAATCTTCCTTGGAATCGGCTTGATGAAGAATGGCACTGGCGCGTCGCGGATGCTTGAAGTTACAAGCGACACGAGCAGATTGGGCATCAGACTGCTCTCCGCGTAATGCATCAAGTACTGTCCATCATCAGCAGGTGATTGTGATCAACGGGCACATTTGCCAGGGGATATCCAGAGTGGACAATCAACTTACTCGATACTGGATCCATGCTTTGTTTTCTGCCCCAAGTTTACCGTCGTTGCCCGCCGCATAGCGTTGGGGAAGCTGTTCGCGACCAAAGTAATCGTAGAGGTACTCGACTATAGCACCACTCTCCGCGAGCACCAGAGGCTGCTCGAGACCAGGCGCCTCGATACTGATGACAGGCGACTTTCCGAGGGCGTGGACCTCCTTCAACTCTGGCGGTGCACGCATGTTCTCATCGCGCTTGTACGTTTTGATCTCATACTCGAGCTTCAGCTCTTCCAGCAACCAGATAATTCGCTGGCCGCGTGACTTGTTCAGCCTGTGTCAAGTTAGCAATTTGTCCAGACTGCTCGGGCAGGCACACTGACCAATGAACAATGATCTTCGCATCGTGTTGGTTAGGCATGGTCGGTTGTGGGGATCAAACACTGTTAGTCGTGACAGCGCGAAGAGCTTGCTAGTGCAACACAGACAGCGGCTGCACCCGCTCTTTAAAGATATTTGGCGAGGGCATGTGCTGTATAGTATAGCGCAGTCACGGCGGAACTGGCGATGTCCGGTCGGTGAACCGTCGGCGACCCGGCGAACTAACTCGGAGACATTCGTCTCAGACGATCCCCTCGTTCTCGTGCGTATTCCAAACCAGGAAGTATACTGCGGAAACGTGATGATATACTGCAAAATGATCACGAATCATCTTACTCAAATAGACTCTGACGGTGCTCGTTTGGATGGTCGCTGTGAATCCTTGCGTCGTCTGCAGCCCCGAATACGAGCTGAGATACCGAGGTTCGCCAATTCCCGGAACACGCGATGAAGCAACGAGATAATTCAAGCGCATGAGCACATGGCTAGCGAGGTACCAGCAGTCAATATCATCGAGGAAAGATGAAGCGAAGGCTTGTTGGATGATTGTGCTGAGTAATCACGCATTGGGAAAGCGGCCCAATATGCGGCCGTCATATTGCAACATTTCACCATCTGATATCACATACGACCATAGGACCATGAAAACAGAGCTTCCCGTCCGCTCAGCTGTACTTAAGCATGGTACCGGCGGATTAGTAGTTAGGTGGGTGACCACTAGCGAATACCTGCTGTTGTATGTTTTTTGGCTTTTTTAATCCCTGAGGGTAATGTGGGCTCACCCCGTCGTCTATTCTGATCTAGCACGACTCACTTTAGCTCTATATTACTGTGATAACAATAATCTAACATAAGAGTGCAACATAGCACCACGCTTCAATATCTACTCCTCATTACTACCTAAGCATGCAAAAACCAACTATAAATACCTTATCCATTCCTAGGTGGATTGTTATTTTTTCTCTCCTATTTCTTTAGCAACATGACACGTATAACTATAAATTCCTTAGACACTGCCTTTATACTGCTTTTCTTAACACTCTCCCGTGCAGGACACTCGCCCGGATATAAGCTAGCAATGGAAATCAAGTAGAGATCTACAAGAACTCAATAACAGTGTTGTTAACTAACAAGAAATAGTATACTCGGTGGTACACTACATTATGCGTTAGGCATATGGCCTTCCCATCCTTAGTTTTTCCTCAGTGTAACTATCCTTAAAAACCATTTGTGCTCTTCTGTCTTTAAGTCGAACCCAAACTGGTTCTTGAAAGACACGGATAGTCTCGATACCTCCTGTATTCGCTAGTCTGCTCGTAGGTTGCGAGTTCATTGCGAGCGCAGTAAGTTCCGAAGGCGATCCCCAGCAGCGTGAATAGTAACCGGTGACAATAGAGAAACCAATATGGCTCAAGGCAAGTAGAACATAGATGGAGAGAGCTACTATTGCCGCAATCTAAGTCTTTCCCTCAGAGCTGTATGCATAGCCTAGGATGTGAACTTGAAGCAAGAATTTAGTTCCGTTCGCCTTTTCGCTCTCTGAGACATTGAAAGCATTGCCACTCTTTCCTAGCATCCCATTTTGAGGGAGGATCTCTTGTGCCCATTCACCAAGGGTCCATGGATCTGAAGGATCATCCATTCCAAGAAGAGTTCTGGCGAGGGATCTCTTAAAGCTTACGTGACTAATGCATTGGAAATCAGTGTCGCTATGATATTCTCACTAATAATAGGATACCACACTAGTTCCGTAGTCGCCATCTGAGCCCACAATCCCGATGTCGATGACAGTGTTGAAAAAACTGTTTCGTTGCTCGAGCTAGCAATTTCTGGATTTAAGTATGCTGCCCATTTGGCACTTAGCTGAATTAGCAGGTAAGTAGCATTAAAAGTACCAACGTTATCGTATCCCTATAGCTCGCTAAAGACATGTGCTATTACTTTTTGTAAAGTCTTTACTGTAGCTTTCGCAAAACGGCTATCAATACTACATGCATAATATGCCCTAAGACCAGCTGCTAACTCCGGAATTATAGCTACTACAAGAAGGGAAGACTAGGTAGCTTCAAGAAGTTCAGCATCGTTAATCTAATACAGGGAAGGGCGGTCGTTCGTAGCAAATGAATCCTTAATTTTAGAAGTTATGTTGGTATTGTTGATCCGTAGCCAGTCTTGAACCTAGGCAACGCTTTCAAGTTGAGATGCGGACCCAGGACCTTTACTTAAGGTAAGATTACGAAAAATAGGGAATTAGAGATTGAACGAATCGTTTTGCACATGCTTAATGTCATGGCATTGTGTAAATACTACTAGTTGTAGAGCATCTGTTGTAAAAGAAGCATCTTGGCAATACTTAAAGCTGCCAGTATCTGCGTTTGCCGCTGCATTGATCTATAGTCTTTCCAAGTCAAATATCACATCTGCAATAACAGAAGTTAAAACTGTCGCTAATGTGAATGCATTGGCCCAAAGCAGTAACGCGCTAGCTTCTCGCACATTCCTAGTGCGAAGATGGAACTAACGTAAAGAGGACTGACCTGGCATATACAGCAATTGTGGGATAGCTTCTATTCTATGCAGAGATCTCCAGTAGGGGAAGTATTCCTTGTTGAGAACTCGCCAGCTACTAGATGGACAAGACTGATTGTTGTTGTTAACTTTGCAATGACTCAGACCTGCAGTATCCTCAATACGCGTAGGATTCAAGGTTGATTCCAGAGCATTGATCTAGAAGGTCGTTCCACCGGCCGGCCACTCATCCAGTCGCGGCCTCATAAGAATACCAGTAGATGGTCCAACTGTTAGTCCTGCAATCGAGCAAATGACGAGCAAGGATATAATGAACCACTTCGTTCGTCTCTTTTCCCATTCATGATAAATGGCCTCTTATAGTTTTGGCGACTACAAAAAGGTAAGGTCTTTGAATTGTGTTGCTGAGAAGACAGTACCGAATGGTACTCAGCACCAAACACCAGCTCTTTCTGAATGTGGGTAATTGCGATGGTACTCAAAGAGGCAAGCATAAACAGTTCATGTAGCTTGGCTGCAAACAAGAGAGCCGCTAGCTTCTGAGTATCTTGTCCAGGGGCTCCAGAAAGTTCGCTACTAATGTAATAATTAGATCTATTAAGAACGAGTAAAGCGAGTGCCGCTGAGAGTGGAACGAGATGAACAACACATTGCAGCGTTGCTTTCAGTTTGTCCTTCCTTATTACGACCTTTTTTTTCTCAGAGACTGGCCAGTTGCATTTTTTGGCTAGAAGATTATAGACAGCTGATAACCCAAGAACCCTGAGAAATTGATAAATACAAGAACGAAAATTGCGACGAGACTGAGAAGTGTCATCAGTGAATTCAAGTATGCGCCTTTGACTCGAAGTTTCCGAGGGAGAAGAAGATGTAGGCGACATGGACCTGGAATGGCTGCGAGGTAAGCGTCAGATCAAGCAATATTGTTAAAAACCAAATACTTACGCAGGAACTGGGATGTCTGAGCACGTAAGCGCAGTTGATAGAGGAGATTCACGCCTGAGCGGCAAAGATTGAAGGATTCCTAGTTCACAAGAACTCGTCATACTGTTCGAGACTGTCACGAACAGGCTAGAGAATTTTAAAGGCAACAATGAGGACTGCAAGTTTGTGTAAGTTGGCCAGGCTTAACCTGGGTTATAAAGTGTATGTAAATCACCCAGGGGCTACGTGAGACATCACATTTGGGCCCCTTTCGCATAGACCATGAGGCACGGCTGCATACTCCAAGGGTGAACAATGCTGAAGAATTGATTGAAACCCCATTGCTGTCATGTATTGCCGAAGAGGAACAACACAGTTTCATTTGGAATATGAAAGAAACTGACCGCAGTCTAGTAGCAAGTTGAAACAAGAAGACTCATGTGCTACTTTCGCTTACAGATATTGAACAGGCGAAGTCGTACACACACGTGGGCTTGACTAAGCCACCAGCGCAGGACGGGCAATCGACGTTGCAATACTTCCCCTGATTTCATATGGAAGCAGCAGCATGCTTTCACTTGTTCTCTATAACAAACAATGCTTTTGCGCTTCACTCGCACGTTCCGTTGCTGTCTGATTAAGCATGTACTTGCCCTTGTTTTCATCCTATTCCACGTTTATAAAGTCGCCGAAGTACTGCGTTGCCAATCGACCCCTACGAACAAGGCTGTAGGCCAACAAACTAAACGAGTATATATTGCCAGCCTGCATTGGAACAACGAAAAGATTCTGCAAAGTCACTAGAACAATGCGTTAGTAGCTTTAGTTAACGCGCTAGGCTAAGACAAAGTCTTTGTTACAGTGTATAAAAGCGGCAGTTAGGACAACAGCAAAGATGCTCTAAAGAAGCTTGATTTAGCTCTAGAGACACGTAGTATTAGGCGCAACATAACACTATTGCCTGCAACTCATCTGGATGAGATCTCTGTATTGGCACGAGATGATGGCTGGGTAGACACACCTCGTGGGAGAAAAGAGCTCAGGCAGATACCATACCTTTCCTAACTTCGTAACTTGGCTCTTGAGCCGCTACAAGAGTTGGCTGAACAAGGAGAAAGATTTGATAAAATTCTGTTCCTAAACGACGTTGTGTTCAATGTACGTTATAAACAGTACCCTGCTTCCAATTGTAAAACGATTAACAAATAGCACACACAGACTGATGACGTACTTCGATTACTAGAAACTAATAGCAGAGATTATTCAGCTGCCTGCTCGTTGGATTTTAGTTCTCCCCCTCAATTCTATAATACATTTGCACTCCGGGATGCTAAAGGACATAAAATGCTTATGCTGACTTAGCCTTATTTTCAAGCAAAGTAATCACGACAAGCTATACTAGCAAACCACCCAGTGCCCGTAACTAGTTGTTGGAACGGTATGGGTAAGTTTCAAAGTTTCACGCAGTTAATTTAATGGGCGTCATTTGTGTAATTTATGAACACAAGCTGATATACTGTGCTTCTTCTTAGTCGCGATGCCTGCTGAGCCATTTATCTCATTACCCCCACTTCGCTTTTAGGGCATCCCTGATTCTCTTGCAAGTTTCTATCTTAAAGGATTAGAGTGTTGCCTAGTGCACATAGATAACCCCCTTAGGCATTACAAACAAATCTATGTAAACTTACAAGTGTTAGTAGGTTACAGTGCTGAGGCATACAATGCTGTTTATCCCTAAGAGTTACTATCATCTTCTTAGCAAATTTCCAAAGCTCTTTAGGAGAACCGCATTCGCTGTTAGGTCACGTCACCTCTGCCTAAGGAATAGATAGTAAAATAGAGAGTAAATAAATAGAAAGCAATAAGCGAGGACTATAGAGAGCGCGGTGAGATTTGTCTTATTAACAAGATGCAGGTTCTTGTTGAAAATGGATGGGCTTATGTCTAGAGAAACAGTATCCTTAACGTACTGCATTATCTTTGATAGTATTAATTATATAGCGCATGAAGTTTGTTAATAAAGTCCAAGACCTCTCTAATGAATAACTACATTAATTAGTCAATTCTGAATTGGAGTTTGGGTGATCCTACACACAGCGATAGTCACAAAGATAGAGGGACCAAAAAACGCGCGATCAACGAAAATTCATACGATGGGTAATAATTATATAGTATCTGCTTCTTCTAATTTATTCGCAACTATGTAATATAGCTAGAATAATTTAAAGATATACTAAACGAGCTCTAGACAGCTCATGGGCGTACACTGAGGGTTACTACAGGAGCAGGAGTATTCAGACCAACATCGGAACCAAGTACAGCGTCTTTGAGTTCAGGTGCGAAAGCAGGAATCGGTGTGGATACCGCTCTAGGGGTCTCTATCGTCATTGGTGTCATCTACCTCCTATATCGCCGTTGAAAGCACAAGAAGGCTACTTCCACACCTGCCGATGCAAAACAAGAAAGTAGAGATGAGGAAGATGCATATAAAAAGCCAGAGCTGCCATCCGAGAATATACACGAGGCAAATGATGTTGCTCGTTTAGAAACACCAGGCAATGGCGATGTCGCTGAGCTTCTCCAGTCCCCGTGGCAGCAACCTCCGGGAGAATTATTTGGTACTCCAATCCAAAATGTCGAAGTCGAGGGATCTGCTCCAGTCTCTGAGATGCCAGGGAAAGACGTAGGAAGAACACACGAGTTAGTCGGAAATCACGCTGTACCTTTAGATTTAGACGAGAGTGACTTATCTCGCTAGAAAACCTGATAAACTACACGTCTGCGGCGTGGAGCGTGTTGTGGTAATCTGTGGACTCTCTGTATCATGCTTGGAGGGTCACGCATTGGGGTGTTGCATACCGCAGGCTAAGCTACACTTTGTTCTCGACCAAGATTGTGCTTTTTCTTGCCGCAATAAAGAATTGGCGATACGCCACCATCAACACACCTCGATATAGCTCCTCGTATATGTGTGCTTACTTATCCCCTCAAACCGGAAGGTGGAGGCGGACGAGGCTGAAAAGAAACAAAACAAGATCCAAGCTCGTCGCCCATCCTTCTACGTCGACACACCGACAATTTCCAATAATGCTAGAGTCTCCAACAAAAGCACAAAGCAGACTTTTTTGTGGAATGTTTTCCGCACCTTCGACCCATCTACAGCATCTTCGCAAGTCTATGCTGCCATTCCTCCTCCTCGTACCGCGCATCTTCGCACAATCGTCAGGCTGCACAGGCACCTTCTCAACCTTCGAACGCGATGGCTACACAATCTCCTTCAGAAATCTTTGCGGCAAAGATATTTCAGCTCCGGTTGACTTCCCGAACCCATACTTCGCGTCTACCTGGTCGACCTGTCTTGAGCTCTGCGTGAACAAACAACCTCTGTGCTATGGCTTCGATTACGGGGTGCCGGTAGACAGCGCGTTGGCCAACTGCTGGCTAATGCAATCGGAATTCCCTGAGTCCTCGGCTATCGAAAATACAAACTCTGTAAACGCAGCTATGCTTACCCCCGACATGCTTGCTAGACTTCCTGCGGATTGCACAAGTCTCGGTTTGGCGCAATGCTTCAGAGAGATGAAGTCGACGTCTTCGAGTACTACGCCGTCCTCATCCTCGACTTTGTCGACTTCTGTGGGCACGCCTATGACAGTCACTACGACTGTTGCTTCTACCGGAACGACGAATACAAGTCCTGCGCCACCCCCGCCAGTCTCACCAAAAAGTGGTCTATCCACGGGCGCAAAAGCAGGAATCGGCGGTGGAATTGGAGGTGCTGCGGTGCTGGGGATAATTGCTGCCGGGGGGATATTTGGTCTTCGACGCCGTCGAAAGCGTGCCATTGTGCCGGAAACTGCGCATACCGGCGGTGCCGCTGCAGATGCAAATGCAGCCGAGGAAAAAATAGTAGACGAAGACGCGAAATGGCGATATCGCTCGGAGCTGCCTGCGAATGAGGGTCTGCATCAGCATCGAAGTGTGGAATTAGATGGAAGGGGTATATCGAATGGTACTCATTAGCTGAACCGCTTGAACCATTTGGGTGGTGTTGAACAACTTGATGCCTTGTTTGAATCGGAGAACGGTCGTAAACGATACGTTCATGAGCTAGGCGGCTTCTCACGGTATGGGCTGTGGTATCAGTAATCTCGCTCGTGCTCACTCGGCTTCATTCGTGCTCTCTTCATCGTTGGCCTCGCTGTCACAATCACTCGTCGCTTACAAGGAAACTACTCGGCCTGATCTAAAGTTCCACTCATACGACATCATGATCTATTGTGTGGAAATCTCAGCGCTATAAAAATCCAAAGTGCGATCTACTTCCTTACACGTAGTCTTCATAGCTCTTCTTCTCTTCGCGAGACCCTTATCAATAAGATTAAAGAATGTTGCTGGAGACCGCATTGTAGCGGGCGGTGCCCAGTGTACTCTAGTGCAACGCAGAAAAGTATGTAATAACGGGGTTACAAATAATTTCGCGGATCATCCATTCGGGTCCTTAGTCAAGCTTGTTCAATATGTGGATCCGGCAAGAAGAGCAAAAAACTACCAAGACCCCCAGAAACCACATTAACTTTCCTTTTCGTTCATCTTCCTTTCCATTCGCTCAAGATATTCTTTCGCCGCGTCGCCCTCAATTCCAAAAGAGAGCCGCACCATCTCATACGTGAGATCTTTAGGTCCCCAGAATCCACCAAGCTTCTCCAAAATTGCATAGATTCTGGAAGCAGGTCCTCGTAATCTTTCGGAAATGGAGGGAATGACCGGTCTCCCTTGCTCTGCTAGATTCCGTTCTGCATCCTGAAATTTTTGCCAGTATAGCTGCTGCGCGGCAGTCTGTCGTGACACGTTGCGGAAAGCTAAGTGCTCAGTGTCCTGCAGTATCTTTTGAATACTAGCTTCAGATGAAATGAGGGGAAAGGGCACTATGCGGTGGATCAAAATTCAGCGAATCCGGCAAAGATTAAGAGTGATTGGAGTTCTGTACTTGGAAAATGGTTGACTTGCACAGGAGCCGACTGTGCAAACTCCCAATCAATGACCGCTAAGAAGTTGAACTCATCGTCCACGAGTATGTTCTGAGTCCCCATATCCATGTGATTAAGATGGAAAGAAGTTTCCTTGTCCTTGAACAGCTCGGTGCTAGCCACGATGTCGCAGAAAACGAAGGTGCCTAGGACACAGAATCTATCAGACTCGTCCGGTTCAGCTATTTCGGAGGCATCCTTGCGAGCAGATGTGTATCTAGCCTCACCCACAGCGGCAAAATACTGCTCACATGTTGCGAAAGGGCCTCCAAATGCGAAACGCTCTGCTGCAGCTGCAGCAAGGGGACCGATTGTCACCACGCCGTCATCCTCTTTGGAGAAGTTTGAGATAGAGCCAATCTGGGGGAAGGAGAAGGTGGCTAGCTCAGCCTGGACGGATGCCCATTGAGATATAATACGTTCTTGGGTATTTGTCTTCTTATTTAGTAGATAATAATAGCAAATGAGCAGTGCAGGGAGGATTCAGTACGCACGGGAAGATCGCAGATATCAAACTTTACGTCTTGCAGAGTGTTCCCGTAGAAGCCCTCGATCAGCATGTAGCATGCGCCCACGTCAACAGCTTGCTGTGATCCTGGCGGCTCGTAGGCGTAGAGTTTAGGCGTGGGAACAGTTGTAGCGTTGTTTTGGAGGAACTTCATAGTCGCTACTTCACATTGAATAGCATATAGCTCCGATTCGTTTGTTGTGTTTTCATTGATGTCCGGGTGGCGTGGAAGTCGAACGCGAGCTATGATCAAACTTTGGTCATCAAGAATGAATTCAAAGCAACACCAGTATTGTCAGGCAGAGAAAGGCTCGCTCATCTTTGCAGATTTTCCAGAAACTCGTTCGACGTGTTTTAGTAGTTGTGATTTATGGATTGTCACCATAAACTGTTCTAGTCGTTGATTCATGCCGTTGTAGTCCCATCCCTCAAAAGACTTCCAACGTGCACTTGGCGGCGTATTTGATGCCGTGGCCATGTTGTAATGTTAAAAGGAAGAGTGGAAAAAGTAGTTCGGAGGTGAATGGAGAGTAGTGGGGGGTTACCTAGAGGGATGATAATGTGGTGTATGACCTCGCTTCGCGCTCCACTCCTCGTTAGCCAATTCAGAGTAGCCATTATTACTTCATTCATTGAGCAGATATTTAATCATCTTCGTTCAACTTGGACGCCGAGAAAAGAAGGCAACCTTTTCGCTATGCCGCCTGGACGCTACGATAGTACAAAGCAGGCGACTACGCCACTCTCGGCTACAGCTAGGCTGGTACTATAGGTAACGATGCTGTTGGTCTAAGCTCCCATATTGCCCAACGGTTTGTGTATCACCCTGTCTCTGCAAACTCTCCCCAAACTTCACCGTCCTTCTAGAAAAATTATCTCACTACTGGGTGCTTCGAAGGATGATACTCAAGCTCATTGCTGGTTTTCTACTTTTCTATTTGTCGTGGAGTTAGGTAGCCCTCGAAGTCAACTTCCGCCGCGCAGCATCAATAGGCATACCTTTGGTCCGACTTCCAATTGACCCCCTCAATCTCTTCTTTCAAGTGTCTGAATCGCACGTATGGGCGCTTATTGAGGGGCTTCCTTTCGGCATTTCACTTCCTACGTGGGCACGATACGCCCGTCGAGGGTGGTATTTCAAAAACGAAGCAGATTCGCATATCCATTATGGGCCCATATGGGCACTTGTCACCCCTTGCGACATCCATATTCTAGTTTGCGATACAGAAGCCGTGCATAGCGTCTTTGCGAGACGTAATGATTTTGGTCGACCAAACAAGATGTACAGTGAGTGCATCTCACTCTGTTCTCGCTTAAAGAACTCCGTCAAACGTCACCCAGAACTCCTAGAAGTCTACGGCCCAGCAATCCCATCAGCGGACCAAACCAATTGGCGAAGGCATCGCAAAATCTTCGTAACACCATATGTTCAGACATTGCTTTAAGTTACTTGTCTTTATTGTGAGCAGCACGGTTCCAATCATTCTTGCTCAGCCTTAAGGCGCGGCACATAGTGTGCTTGGATGATACCCAAAGGCCTTGTTGATTGGATGGTGGGACTTGCAAAAGACATTTGGCAATCGAGGTTTGCATTTGCTGGTATATATATTGGAAGTACACTGCGTTGACCGGGAGTAAATACAAAACAGAGCTTAAACTTGTAATTTCCAGAACACACGAAGCTGGTTAACCAGACTCTTTGTCAGAGCTTCCGATCACGCCCTGTCTGGGGCCTTCAACCTTCATTGACCATCACTCACACGGAGCGCTTGGGTAAAGCATAGACGTTATCCACAGACATGGACGACTTCTTGGACCCTGCAAGAGCACCGAGACTATGATTCTGCTCACTAACAAGCGATTCATCCTCAGTGATCTTTGTGCCTCGCCAACTGACGTGGAATGAATTGAGAAGTGAACCCCCGCGTCCCCCGAGCTGATCCCAGAGCGGTTTTAGAGGTGGAATACAACCGCAAAAGAGCACGACAAAATTCTCGGTACCAGCCCAGATGATGAGATCGTACATTTCCCAAGTCAAGTCTGACCGCGCGCCGAGTTTGGCTAGCTTACTGGTCTTGATGCTTCCGGCCACGGCAGCGCTGATTGTTCAGTTAGTACGGACGAGGGTGTAAAAAAGATGGGAGAAGTGAGACTCACAACAGCCCCAGTCCAAGAAGTATAGAAAGCCCGACTCTTCTCTTGACGGGCATCTGGATTTTCCAAAGAAGTGTCACAGGAATAAATGCCAAAAGGCCGTCGCAAAAGACAGAGTAAGCTACCGCGCGTAAGTATTCTGCACGGTTCATGGCATATCTTGAAAACTTACCTCCATGAGCGATAGAGATGTTTGCTTGTATGCTTGGGTCCCAGCACTTTGCATCGGTGATTGATTTGTTCCATAGCGCTTCTGCCGGATTGCACTGTACGTAGGTGAAGATGCTATCAAGCACGCTGAGGATCACCATCAAAGCAAGCGAAATCCACATGACCCAGTATCTCCATCCGTAAAACGGGCGTATCAAACGGTTTATGAGCAGACCGACTGAAACCTTGGCTGGGGCTACGGCCATTATGCCCCAACACTGGAAGATATAGCTCCAGCGTAGGATTTCCGTCATTTCCTCGGGCTTAAGGTAGTACAGATGCTTTGTGCCTCCAATGAGGGCATATCTGGTGACGAAGCCGGCAAGTACGATTTGCATAAACTATACGTTTGGGGCTCTGTCAGAAAGGGCCTCTCTTGCTGCCGGGCTCTCAGAAGTCTCACCAGTGTGAATAGCATGACCCAATCGTCGGGACCAAAGTTACGGATGACGTGTCTTGCCCACATGCGAAGACACACGATGAGTATGGCAAAGAATACTTCAACCCAGTAGATGGCAAGGAAAGGAGCAACTCTATCCACATCCCCACCAGCTGGCTGGGGCAGTGGGGGAGGTACTTCAGCCATTTAGTCGATAGTTACTGCTTGCTGAAGGAGAAGGCAGATTATTCAAAGAGTGTAAAAAGTCTTCACAGACAGTTCAGGTACATATGGATCAAACCTGAAGGGCATACAATAACGTTGCCAGCTTGTCCTCAATTATATGTGAGATCAACAACATCTCCATGAACAGCGCGCTCAGCAGTGGATACGAATGACTAACCAGTATTCGTATTGACATCTTCGCATCAACAGCGACCTAATGTGCGGGTAAGACGAACTTCGGATGCATCATGCATGACAAAAGATAGCGTCGCAACCTTCGTTTCGATCACGGGTATTATCATTGACATCTCAATGACCAATGAATTGATATTCATTCACGTACGGGGAACTACTGTTCGTATTCAAGTCTTAGCTAATACGGCGACTGAATCTACAGGCAAGGCAAACTTCGCGTGCAGGGCAGGGTGCCCAAACGAGATGCAGAATACAGAGCACTGGGAGCTGTGCATCACCATGCGCGCATCCCTCGTAACTACCATCACTAGTAATACCCTCTTAATCCCTGTGTCTCGAAAAAGGTATCCATGTCCTGTCTCGGTGCACGAAGTGCGTCGACAGGGGTGCTGGTTGCGGGGTCGTCTGCCTTCTTTCCGACCTGCTTCTAGATCTTGAGAACCGCAGAGAAATCGTGGTTGCTGTGCCGCACTAAACTATACCCCAATATTGCAGCTGCCTTGTCTTACTGCTTCCTATTTTTCAGCCAGATTGATTTGCAGTCTGAATATACAAAGTATTGCCTGGTCTTGCATACAATTTAACCCACACGATTACCCACGCAGCTTGCTTTGTCTGATTCCACACTGTGATATTTGCATTTTATAACTCCCCTGTGTTATTATCAATCATCGCAAGCTGCATCATGGACGCTATCCTGCAGAAAGCAACTGATGAGGTGTACAAGCTCGTGGAAGCCGATGATGAGTTCTTGCGAAGACGAACAATCGATAAACTCAGAGATCTTCAATATGCTCTTGAGACGCCCGAAGAGTCTATGCAGAGACTCATCTATCTGGTTAGCCTTTTCATCTAATATGCCTTGAAAAGTTACTCAGAATAGTTTAGGGACTCACCACTTCGTCTATTCGTGTCAGTTACAATCTTGACATCTTCAACAAGCTGGTAGAAGCCGATCATCCTCTGGCACTTGACGAGCTGGCCGAAACCACTGGAGCAGATCCTGTCTTGCTAGGTAAGTTCTGTCAAAATTGGTCTTGCTTCATCCTTACTTTTGCTTATGCTACAGGTCGCATTCTTCGCCATCAATCCTCTATGGGAATCATCGACGAACCTTCTAAAGACACCTTTACTCATTCCCAAACTACGCGCAACATTGCCAAACCCGATATCGCAGCAGGTATCCAGTTCTGGTGAGTCACAGAGCCCCCGATCCACAGCTCAACCAAGCGCTAGTCATACTTACTCCCCGAACCAACAGTGCCGATGTCTTGGGCCCAATGTACGCGGCTATACCTTCTTTCCTCGCCGAACGCTCCTATCAAAATCCGACCTCTCTCAGCGACACCCCTTTCAATCAAGCATGGAATACTAAGCTCCCGCTTTGGGGCTGGCTCGCTGAAAACCCCGAACATCGTGCTCGCTTCAACCGCTTCATGTTTGCGCAGCGCTCAAGCGTTAAGGACTGCTTCTCGTTCATCTCACTGGACAAAGAAGCCGAAGGCTGGTCCGCGGAAAAGCCTCTCTTCGTTGATGTCGGAGGCGGCGTCGGACAGCAGTGTATTGCCCTCAAGGAGAGGTGGCCTGGGATTCAAGGTAGAGTTATCTTGCAGGAACTGCCTGATGTCATCGTCAATGCTCGCGCACAGCCGCTACCTGACGACATTGAGACTATGGAATATGACTTCTTTACTCTGCAGCCAGTGAAGGGTATGTCTTTCTTCATACTTTACCCCGCTCATGACCTCTCTCCCATTCTGCTCTTTTTATTGTATTTTATATTGTTTTTGCCCATGGCTGATACGGTCCGCTCTGGCCTTAGGGGCCAAGTTCTACTACTTCCGCGCGATCATGCACAATCACTCCGACGAGAAGTGCGTCGAAATTCTGAAGAACCAAGCCGATGCTATGGATGAAGGATCTACTGTTTTGCTAGATGAAATTGTGGTTCCGGATACGAAGGTCGAGTGGTTCGTCACGCAGACAGATTTGGTCATGATGGGCCAGTTTTCCGCCATGGAGCGCACTGAGAGTCAGTGGCGGAGCATGCTTGCGCTGGCCGGTCTCAAGGTCAAAAGTATTACGACTTATACACATGGTTTTCGATTGAGCATTATTGCTGCAACTAAATGATCTCGGGTGTAAGAAGGGAAAACCTGGGGAAGCTCGATAGAAGGACCCGGCCGTGTTCATTCTGTCCATCAAATTTAAACCTTTCGAGCTTAATATAATCGTCTCGTGGCATTCTACACAAGTGATCAGTGCATGCTACACTATGGAAGATTTGTGATAAGTAACTATTCACGCGAGATTTTCATGATTTGACAGCGCCCAAGGGCCGGTTCATTGTTTGGAATTTACTGATCTCAAAATCTTTCTACATTTTTTCCACCAATTACTTAATTCTGAGTTGGAGTTCAGGTAATCCTACACACAGCGAAGGGTTACAACAATGAATAGACTAAGAGAACAAGCGATAACTAACAAGTAAAGCAAAAATTGCCTTCACGCAAGCTTGTTGCCGAATACAATTGTATGCAAAAGCAGGGATCAGGCCCTTGGCACTAGTCGAAACCGGGCTAGTGCTGACATTTTTTTACCTCATTCGCTTTGATACGACGGAGGGCCAAATCTCATCCTCAAAGTCGTCAGAAGTGTGCCACTCACGCTGATTGCACAGATAGCGCGGTACTCGCAGGGTTATTTCCTTCATGTAACATGAATTCAAGAAACATATCTTCCATTACGACCTGCTTCCAATGTAACATAGAACATGTTCTATCCTAGTCACGCGTAAAGAAGTTGCATGGTAAGTGGAGTCCGAATCTATCGTGGCTCTTGGCTATAGTGTTCGAAGTAGATGGTGAGTTGTAGGCTGAGTTTGCCTTGCAGCAGGTGCTCCATAATTCTTCGTAATGCAAGCCACACGCACTGCAGGGAGCCAAGTTCCCGTTCCAGGCCCGGTAACGAATGTTACTTCCGATCAGGAAAGGAAAAAGAATCGATCTCGGAATATACGTCAGTTCACCGATAACCTTGTTCCCTCGGGGAGTCCGTGTGTGATGTGGACAGATGTGTCTCGGGCCCAACACTAAGTTCATAGATATTAACCTTGTTTTTTCTCGTTCTTTCTTGATTTTTGACACCTTCCTCATTTGATGCAGATATCAACTACAGTCGTGACTAGATACGCCAGAGACAAAGGAATCGGTTCCGTGCTGAGCAATTGTCACCGACCGCTTAGTTTCCTTTTGATCCCTGGTAAGCGGCAAAATGCGTACCTGTCTGTCTGATCTGCTCGAAGAGCCATGTCTTTGCAAGACTTCTTCCCTGACGGGAACGAGGTCTATGCTGCTTTAACATTGGTTTTCCGTCCCTTACCCTACAACTGTAGGCACTCCAGTCAGACACTTCAAGTTTGACTTTGGTATAGCCAACAAAGCCTCCAATATCTCGATAGACTAGATGTAGAAGAAGCCCTTTGTCCTATGGCTTGATGAGACAGACTGTTGAATGGTATTGAATCGGCCTGGCAGTTGAAGTACAAGCATGTGATGGTCATGCATAAGGAGCAGACCTAATGGTAATTGTGCACGACGAAGATTTCATGTGGGCAAAGTTGCGGCAACTGAAAAAATATGGACTACAAGTATTACTTGTGCTAGTCATACGTCCTGCTGTAGAATTCTTCCAGCTACATCAGGACCTTTTCATCATGTCAAGCTCCCGCTCCTCCACGACCCTCTTTCCCAACGAATCGACCAATCCATCCCAATTATAACATTTGTGCAGCGGTCTTTGTGGACTCAGTAAGGGCTTCTCAAACCTCTCGTCCCACAAAAAAGTAGTTAAGCTGCCCACATCGCCGTGACACATTAGGGCCTGTCTCAAAAGATCCACACAGTGATCCGCATGAACCTGGCGATCCCTGAGTCCTGAATCATCAAGCTTTGGATAATAGTGCTCGCGATACACCATCTTTCGCAACACTTTTACGCAGTGCAGTTCATGGTACACTCCCAACCAGGCAAGATATCCACCATCAGGGAGCGCGACGGACGATTGCTGCGTGGTAGAGAGCTCAGCATCAGACACTCGAATAGACATAGTGCTGAAAAGGTCAATCCAGCTTGCGTCTGTCGCGTTGGATGGCGGACCAATGTATGAACTGTCTCGCATCAGGCCATACTGGCGCGAGGAGAAACTGACATCCAAGTCCTGTAGGGCTGTTTTTTTTTTTGGAAACTCGCCGTCAGAATTCAATCGAAAAAATTGATGCTGGTGTCTCCGTGTATCGCGGAACACAGTACTCACCTGGTCTGAATGGCGTGTCCGACTGAAGTTTCGAGGATCTGACCATGTATAGAGTCAAGACCGCATAGAGTAGTGCAAATGAACAATGCAATAGCGCCACATATGCTAGAGAATGACTCCGTGTATTGTATTGTTTTGGTACATCCTCTTCATCGTCGTTGTTGTGGTCTAGAAATGGGACTTCATCGTCGCGACGAAACATCTTCGAATGCGTATGTCCTTCATCCATGGCTCATTCCTTTGCAAAGGTTATCAGATACGACTGGATACATGCTTAGCGGTCGCTGACTACTATTCATTCCCAGAGCGGCTCGACCTGGCCCCGAGTAAAATCATGACCGGGGGTTAGGCTCTGACCGGCTCGTTTCCATTACTTGACGCACAATTACGCCGAACTACCGCTCTAGCGTCCTGAAGTTTAAATGGTATGCAAGACGGGTTCCGAAGAACTTGACCTGGCTGCTGAGTTGGATGCCTAACAACGGTCGCCTTGTCTCTTGGCGGTCTTGCAGGGATGTGCCGAGAGGTAACCTCATGCAGTGTGATAAAATGCATCTGTCGGGAAACCATCTTAGTTTCTAAAGGTAAAACAAAGAACATGGGCCTGTACTGCTCAAGAAGGGGGCCGAAGAGTTTGGCTGGTCGAGAAGGGTGGGCGATCGTTGGCAGGTAACATGGATTGATGAATCTACCTACTCGAAACGGACAAAACGCTGAGAGGATGGAGACTTGAAATCTAAATGGTCTTGGTGCCCATTGGTATTTCATATCATATATACATCACATGAACGCCCCCCGGACTTCACAGCTGTCCAAACTTCTCGAATTCGCCCTCTTCCAGACGCAAGTGTTTTCATACATACACATAACCAAGATGAAGTTCGTTATTCTATTCATTGCTAGTCTGACAGCCACTGCTGTCGCCCTTCCTACCATCAAGGCTCGCCGTAAGTCATCATACGATGTTTCCTCAGCACTTAACTAATGATTGCAGATGGTAGCATGGACGAGAGCATCGAGTACCCAGACGAGAAGCTCTATGCCGAGGAATATAAACGGGGTATGGTTTGAAGTAACAGAAATGCCATACTCCACGCTCACTTAACTCGTGGTAGCCCCTATTACTGGGGACGAAAAGGTCGAGTACCCAGACGAGAAGCTGTACGCGGAAGAATACAAGCGCGGTATGTTCTCAAAATTCGCCTATCACATCATATGAAAAATTTAATGTGTCTACTACAGCTCCTGCAGTTGCAGACGAGAAAGTCGAATACCCCGACGAAAAGCTATACGCGGAGGAATACAAGCGCAGTATGTTCCAAGTCCTATGTTCCTATAACTCCCGTCGCTCACTCATTTTGCTGCAGCCCCTGTTATGGGAGATGAGAAGGTTGAGTACCCAGATGAGAAGTTGTATGCAGAAGAATATTAGTGCTAAAGAATTGGGAATGAGAGATCAAGGTTTTGTGATTGAAATGAGAACGAACTTGTAGATGTTCTGGGTGTCTGCCGCGTCAATCTGATCCTTCTTTTACTCAGATAGCACGCTTAATATGAATATGATGATATTTGCGAAAAAAAAAAAAATGGTGTTCAGTTTGTCACAGAAGAAACTGCCGAATGATTTGACTGATGGGGCTCGTAAGAAGGAGTTCTAGAAAACTAGGCACTCATGCCAAGTCCATATTGAGAGCAGATATTCGAATTGGAATCCTCTTTGTCGCTGTAGGCGTCACCGCCGATTTGCGCTGTGTGTCTCTATTCATCAACATCGACTCAGCACTCCAGAACTCTCGCTTGTTGCCATTCCTTCACATATTGACTCATGAATTGAATAAGGTCGAGAAAGCTACTTCTGCCCCCGTCAATTTTCGGTTCCCGTAAAGAAGGCGTGAGCCTGTCTGCACAGACGGTGGCTGTCTTGACCCCATGCCGAGCACTATGAAAACGGCTAGGCTATTCAGAAATATGTATGGATATCACAAGGCAAACGCCTGGTAGGAACTTCAGAACGAAAACGTTGTGTATGTCCGGAGGACGAGCATGCATGCTATTGAATGGAAAGCGCGCATTGAGGTAGGTTCCGAGTCCTGCATGCGATGATGTGCTAATCTCGTATTTGAATACGACGCTGGAGATCGTGAGGGTTGCAAGACAAATATACGTACCTAAAAGGTCATTCAAGCGGCCATGCAGTCCGGCCAGGCCCTCGAGGATTGTTTTTCGTGTTCAACTATCCGTCAGCAAACTTCGATTAAACCGGTTATTATAGTGCGAAACTCCTTCCCACTTTTGGTAAAATATGCGTGAATTTGTGAGACATTCCCGCATTGATGCATGTATCAGTTTCGGTGACTGTTGATGTAGGTGCATGCAATGAAATATCAGAGTTCGGGTTTTTGTAAGGTGTTTACCGTGTTCCTATGCCACCGCAGCAGGCAATGTCAGATCACGACGCATTTGGAACTATGGTCTACGTTGGATTCTCAGATACATTGTTACTTACGCTCGTATACAGACGGTGAGAATGCATGGGAATCTATTTAACCGGAACGCCAATATGTCTCACGGAGACTACATACGTTTTCTCGGTCTTTCAAATACTACCTTGCAGAAAGACGACAGTCGGCACGTCATGCGGCAGCAAACAAGAAACGATAAAAATTAAGGCAATGGCTTCTGCAGTAGCATCGACTCGAGCTGAGACGTAGCAGGGATGATGATAGCAATGACATCCCAGTGAGCCACAATCTTACTCGACGGTAGATAATACATGATGCATGACTGAGAATCATGTCACATTCGCATGGTGTTTTCCTAGGGAAGGGCATACCCTCTTTCCCATCCGAAAACTCTCTTGGTCCACTCTGCCATTCACCTCCTACCCAAAGCAAATTGCGAGTATGGCACCAAAAGAGCATCAGTACTTCGCGGTAGGGGACGACGACTCCGACGGTTCCATCCTCCAACAACACCAGCCGCGACCAGTTCGCACACTATATTATGCAGTAACTGGACTCACGCTCGTCACTGCAGTGCTTCTGGGTGCAGTGGGAGGCTTCTTCGCGGGCAGTATGCACAGCCTACGCGTGAGCAAAGAATCGCCCCCCGCGAACCAGGTACCACTGGAGCGTATGTGTCTAACCAGCAGCATTAAAAAAAGCCTCATAGCTGACAGTTTACGGTCTGTAGTTGACCCCGTCACGGTGAAGTTCACTTCGAACCGCGCATTTCTGCAGCACCCATCTAAAGAAACGGAAGAACTCTGGAAAACACTCTACCCAAAGGATACCCACGGCCTATTCGAGTATCCAGACGAGAATCCCGAGCGCTCTGGCTTCGCTGCTTTCCACCAACTGCACTGCGTCGTAAGTCTCTTTCCCAAATTATCCGTTCAATTTTGTTTCACCCTTTCTTTGCCATCCTGTGATATCTGACTCGACCACACTGAAGGACGCACTCCGGCGTGGTTACTATCAGCGCGAAGATACTATCGCCGCACTGACCGAGAACCGCCCCAGGCCAGAGTTCGAGCATGAAGTCGATGAAATTCACTCGCTGCATTGCATTGAGTTCCTCAGGCAGAGCATCATGTGTCATGCCGATACGACAATGCAAACTGAGGCTCAGTATCACCAAGGAATCTTGGCATTTGGAGTCGAGTATCAATGCAAAAATTGGTGGCAATTGGTTGATTGGGTGGATCAGAGGAATAAGAAATTTCCTTCTACCAAGCGTTGATGTGATCTAGTATAAATTGCCAATGAGATATTTGAAGATGGGATGAATCGGGGCAGTAGAGGAGTCAAGAGTTACGTTATGAGGTGTATATAAAGTGCTGTCATTATCGGATCTGATACAATGCTGTTTGCTAGTATTTGAGACGGTGAATCTTACTGCATAAATTTGATTCCATAACCGTTTATCAAATGAAACGACGAAAAGATCGCAAAGAAAAAAACAAGAGAGTTGGGGTCTGGTCAATACGAAATATAATAAAATTATGCCGTGACTATTGTTTGGAGAACTAAAGTTATTACGACATCGTCGCAACCGCCAATTCATTCTATCGTCAAGAAGCAGCTCTACATACAAAGACTTTGAACCCCGTCCGGCACCGAGAATTCATCCATCAGACCCATGCATATGCCCATTAACATGAACAGGGCCTGCAGAAGAATCACTAAGACCGTCAAGCTCGAAATTCTTAACCCAATGAACAAGCTGATCCCAATCATAACACTGATGTACGACGCCAAATCCGCTCACTCCGCCCGTCTCGAGATTCTTCTCTTCAATCGTCAAGTCAGGATTACACATGATAGCCTGCCTTAGCAAGTCAATGCAATGCCTGATATGAGCTGGGCTAGCATCCATCTCCAAGCCCGTCTCGTTGAACACCTCTCCCGAGCGCGCCGCATCATGCATAATCCAGTATCCTCTCCGGATGCTATTCACACAGTGCAGCTGATGGAAGACTGAGAAAGTGGACCTCTTGGGGGCGATGTGCGGGTGCGCGAAGAAGCCGCCGTATGAGGGGAACAAGTGTAGCCAGGTGTAGTCGACTTGAGGGGACGAAGGCGAGCCAAACAGACGTTCATATGTGAACTTTCGAGGTATGAGCCGAACTATGGGTGAAACTGATGGTGAGATCGCGTGGTATGAAGTATATAAGACGATAAAATGTGATAAAATGAACAAATACGATGAATTTCAGATGATAAGGGAGCACTTACGGTGTGGCTCTTGGGTGCCAGTTGGCAGTGGCATGGAGATCCTTCCTACCCAGAAGAAGAACAATGCTCCTATAGTGCCATATATGAGGGTTGTCAAACTTGGTGAGCAGCGTTCGTGAGGCATTTCGTAAACTAGTCGAGTATGCGATGAACTATGAAGGTCTTTTTGAGTGATATTTTGATAGATATTAAGCTATATTCAGGGAATTCCTGGAACTTCAAAAAGCTCTGAGTTGGACGATCAAAGACACGTCCAAATCAAGGTACTTGCCAAGGGGGATAGTGGCAACACATGAGACGTGAGACATGGTATATGATACTAGCCTTTTTTGATAAACGGAACGAAGATAATCAAAGGTAGTCGGGATACATCGCGTATTCATGCGGGCAGTAAACCCTTGGCCGCAGCATGCGTCGCGAGGCAACCGATCTCGACCCCTGCAGGTAGTACCTGCCATGCAGTCAGACGTCAGCATTGCATTGTGCATCTTCGGGTTGCCTAGCACTCGATATGATTGACAAGAACAACGCATTGGATGCGACACCAATACTCGAAGCACCAAAACGCACTAATCTGTTCGAACGCTCTCGGTAGAGATATTGTCACGTGAAAATATCACCATAATCGGCCTCACTCCTTATAAGATACACTTTGTAGTTTCGGTTGCAGACACTGTATCATATTAACATTATAGGGCACGCACTTTGAAATGAGCGGTCCACGGCAATCAATCGGTCGGCTTCGCCAGCTGGCCGAACACATAAAAGTTCATTGTGAACAGCTCGAGCGACAAATTGCAGAACAAGACCTACAATACCCGTCATTCACCTCAGAAGACGTATTTGACCCGTCGTCTCCAGAGCTTCATGAGACTCAACACAGCATCCTCGAAGCCACCGATGAACTGACAGCCCTGGTACAAGGCCCGCGCCAGAGTCTGGCCATGTTTGCTACTGAGGTATATGCATTCTTCCTTTCTTACATCTTGTAGCTTCCCTCTTCCTCACGTGTGCATTTTAACATCTTTCAATTATGTCCCTAACACGTAAAATTTTATCTAGCACAACAAAGCCGCCTCACTCAACATCATACTGCAATTTTCCATTGCGTTCAAGGTGCCTTCCAAAAACTCTATTTCCTTCGCCGATCTCGCAACTCTCACGAATCTCAGCACTCAAACCTTAACTCAAACCCTCCGACACGCAATGACATACCGCATCTTCCAAGAGCCCCTACAAGGCTACGTTGCACACACAACGGCTTCGCGCCTCCTTGTCTCAGATTCAAACCTCGTGCACCTGATCCAGGCGGCACTCGACGAGCTACTCCCCTCATCTGCACACTTGGTCCGCGCGATGCGCAAATGGCCCGAGTCGCCGCACCCACACGAATCCGGATTTCAGCTCGCCAACGCCACTTCTGAGCCCATCTTTGCGGTGCTAGATAGGGACCCCGCGAGGGCGGAGCGTTTTGCGAGCTCCATGCGTGGATTTCTAGAGTCGCCTGGATTTAGTGTGCGGCACTTGGTCGATGGATATGCGTGGGCTGGCAAAAGGAAGGTGGTTGATATTGGGGGGAGCTCGGGGGCGGTCGCACGAGCCCTGGCCGAGAGGTTCCCTGGGTTGAGATGTGTGGTGCAAGATCTCCCACAAACAATCAAGGATAGTGGGGGTGCGGATAATGGTGATGGGAGTGTGAGCTTTATGGCTCACGATATGTTTAGTGCGCAACCCGTCACTGATGCCGATGTCTACCTTGTGCGCTGGGTACTGCATGACTGGAGCGACGAGTATGCTGCAAAAGTTCTTGCTGGACTGATCCCCGCGCTGGAACGAGGCGCTGAGTTAGTGATCAATGATACGTGTTTGCCCGAGTATGGGGCCATGAGTGCGTATCAGCAGCGCTTCTTACGCGCCACAAGTCTGACGATGCGGGCGATACAAAATGGGAGGGAGCGTGATTTGCTGGACTGGAAGGACCTACTGTACATGGTGGATCAAAGGCTTGTGTTGAAGGACCTGGTGAGGCCGCTGGGGAGTGAGCTGTCGATATTGATCGTAGGTATGGTCGAGTGAGGGAATTCGGAGGGTTGTTATTACAAAGTGGAGGCATTTTGATCCCTATCAATACATAGTCGGCGATGATCACTACATAATCATCATTATAAGTTTATATTGGCAATCCGACATGCAGTTTCTTCTTTTCAAGCCATTGTTACTACTAGACATTAGATGGGTATAGAGAGTGGGTTGAGAAATATATGTACCAACATTGATTACGAAGGCCCAGCAAATATTGACTCACTATCACGACCCCAGCATGGAGCAGACAAGAAGATACATCTCATCGACTACTTGACCATCAATTCTGGCGAAACTTGGGTTTGATTGAGTTAGGGTTAACCCTACTCTGATATACACAGCGTAGTGTGGTTGCGCCAAGACATGCTTAGTCAGAATTGCGCGACACCAGACATCATCACACCCGACTGTCGTCTCCCTTCAACGTCCAAGCCGCATAACGTCGCAATTATCCCACCCATAGTCACCGCCATACTTAGTTCAGAATGGCTGGTGGTCACAATCATAATGGTATGTTCTCCGCCCTACCTATGTCTTCAATGGTGCACAATGCTAACTCTCTCCCCAGCGGTCCATATGGATCCCGCACTGGTCAAATGGAACCGTACGCCTCTCCCACCCCCGTTTACACCCGTACCCCACTGGCAAACCACTCGAGAGACAACTTTCATTCGCCTGGATCGCCGACTGCAGAGCTGACACGAGGTAGAAATGACCGTCAACCGACACAAATACTTCCGCTGGACACCCCGAACAGCCTGGATCACGTTCGCCTACGTTGTCGTCGTGCCGGGTCTCTTTGGTATCGCTGGATATATGACCGATGTAAGCTCTATCGCTTGGCTGGCCGCGTTGGCAATGAAGATCCAAACAGTTAATGTGTTTGTAAGGGCAAATGGGAGATGCGTGGGAAGAGAAGAGGAGATCTCATCTCTGAGTTCTAAGCTTTCGTGGCTGGGGCATGAGATGGAAACCAAGACCGAGAATCTTTTTCTGCAATTGGGGGAACTGGGTTGCGTATATCTAGGAATTCAGTACTCCTCGAACGACCAATTACCCGCGCAGAGACAACGTGTGGAACTGGGAGTGATGACATTGAGTTGACTATTTACCTTGGTACCATTGATGGAACCCTTTGATTCTGCGATTTTGCTACCCGATACGGCTTTACTGTATCCATCTTGTAAAACAGCTATGGATGAGCGCTGAACAGCAACCCTCTCCATCACTCGTGGATTAGACATCACCTCGATCTTCCCACCATCACCTTTCGTATTGGCTTTGGGCTCTGCCATGCATGATATAATTATATCTCCCAATGCACGTTCGTCTTCACTTCTGGGTCGGGTTAATCCGCTGTTGAATAACGCGTAATCAAGCACCAAGACCGTAGATTGAGCGGTATCTCTGAAAATCCAATTGCCTGGGTAATATGAATAATCGTGATCATCTGAGGAGTCAAATACAGAACCTGACACGATATATACACGGCTTCTCACTTGGTCCTTCCGGCTTGTGTAGATACTGCTAGTGCGATCACTCTATCTTGATTCATTAGGCGTACGAAGGTAAAGTCAGAGTTTCCTTCGCGAAAAAAAAAAAAAAAAAAAAAAAAAAAAAATCGTCATCACTGTAATGCATTCCCGCCTGAATTATTATCGCACGATCGTCGATTATTAGTGGAGATCAACAACTACAGCTTGATCGCATCGCATTACATCAATGGGTACAGTAGCTATGAGTGGTGAAGCGAGTGAATGTCGTGGGCTAATCTAAAACAGGACTAGCTCGTCCGTCTTGTCTGACTTCATTGGACAATACCTACGCAGGTAATTGATACCTACCTTGTGGATACCTAATGAGAGCTTCCTTCCTACATAAATCCTACCTTCACCTCTTTGAAGCAATACTCAACCTCCAACAACCTCGCACTACAAAGTCATCCGGCCACTGTCTTGCCGCTACAACGAAACACCACCTCGACCGTCACTGTTCACCGATATCATTGCTCAGTTTGACTCTCAACCACAACAACTATGGCTTCCAGTTTGAGACCGCGCATAGTCTCCTTCTATGATCCTGACACTGCAGGCACTGATAGTCGAGACCGAAAGCTCCAAGACATCCTCGGGTGGTCAGACCTCGAATTGGAGCGAAGCCATGATTATATCCAGTGGTTGTTCCCACTTCCTGAGGGCTCCGTGTTCAATTACAACGCCCCCATCATTGACCAAGAAGTTATGGAAGCTTTCCGCGGCCAGCAAAATTTACAGCAGGGACTTCGGTTGAGCTTCAGACGCATCATACAATTCTATGGTTTCACTATCTCGGAAGAAGAAGCAGCCCCAGTCATCACACCTTTACTAGGCAATCAGAACGACACCACCTCCGCCGCTCAACCAGACTTGTCTACACCCCCTGAGGCTACCAGCTCATCATCATTCCCTTCAGAATCAAGCGTATACCGAGTCGTTCGTGGAGACAACTGGGGACTAGCGCATCGCAATTGGACTGCCCCAATGAACCACAATCATCTCCGTATCAGCCGCATCCTGCGTTCTCTGCGCGTACTCGGCCTTCAACGAGAGTGTACTGCCTTCTACACCGCTCTCAAAGAAGCCTTTGACTATCCTGAAACCCGCATTGGCGCGAAGTCGATGATGTTCTGGACGCGCGCTACTGAGCTGCCTTTATGGATTGCGCCAGATGGTGAGAAGGTCGCTTGGTTGAAGAATTGGGAGGAAAAGAACGCATAGTCTGGATATCAGGGGGCTTGGTTGATTGGATGGGATGTTAGTGTGAATTGCTGTGTGCTCGGGCATATACATTTATTCTCCACTTGATACGTCAGTGCTGACAAGCTCTTTGTGGGAGCAGCACTATCTGTTCAGCATTGGCAGACCCCATTCCGAGCAGTATGAAATAGGTTAGCTGAATTCATGGTCCTACCATGATCTTGTGATTGGGGAAGATTGGTTTAGATTAGTCAATGTAACCCAAATGATTCTCAAGGCCATCTTACAGTATTAGTGCACCGGTTTTGTTTAAGTTTTCACAATTCATTGTCTCCATATCATCAACGTATAACACCGAGCATAACCTGAAGCCATTGAGCCAAAAAAAAAAAAAGAACCCGGTGCATTTCACTACACTCTATTGCTACCTTTTTCGATCTGCAAAATAGTGTCGCAGTCGTTCATGATTCATTCATCACGACCTGCGAAAGGAATATGAACCCATGAATGATCAAGTCTTTGCATGCGATTCCGAGGATACTAATGTAGTAAAAATCCTATAGTAGTTATGAATTTCTTCTCATTATATGTTGTAGAGTGTTTGTTCTGAACCTGTGCCGCACAAACATGAGTTGCAAATTAGTGTACAAAAAAGTCAAGCGAAATGCTGCAAGTGAAGTTGTAACATTGTGTAAACTACCATGAATATTATTTCCAGTTTGGTGGAGATTAAAATAGAGAAAAGGACAAGCTTCGATCTAAAGAATAGGTGATCCAGTACCTCGTGGGCCACCCAATTTAACATAGCAGAGGGCAAAATCATCAGGATTCGGACGTCTGCTTCTTGCGCAGCTGCCAATACTCATTGGCATCTGCAATCTCGAGAGCCTCCCAATCCTCATCGGACAACACACGAGAGCCATCGGGCCTGTTGTGGTCCCTCGTGCGCAGAACTCGCAGACGATCGATTCTAATTGTTTGCCACTTTAGAGCCGCGATCTGCTTATTCTTTTCTGCCTGCACTTCTCGCAGGCACTTGATCTCGGCCTCTTGAAGTCCTTGCACAAGACCATCAACCTCCTTGTCTTTGTTCAAGTGTGCAATTTCTTCTTTTTGGGCCTCGATGGTCGCGAGGCAATTCTTCTCGTGCTTGAGCTGCTTGAGCTCATCGTTGCGTTCTTCGAGAATCGCGACTGCATATTTCAGCATGTCCTCTACTAGAGTTTGCTCTACATTTTTCGCCCTGATAGTTTCCTCGAGCTCGGAAACCCGACGGTTCTTCTCAGCGAGATCTTGGATAAGGGTGCTCATATAGGCCCTATCCGCTTCTGATTCTTGTTTGTAGTTGTTCGAAAACATGATTGTAGACTTTCGGTTTTCTTCAGTGGTGTGTTTGGTTTTATCACTTGTGATACTCGGTATTCAGCATGATTAGAAGATTTTATATACTCGAATACGTCTTGCACAACTTTTGGACAGCCATAACATTGTGTGTGTACATAGCTGTGATTTGCGACATTGTGTACGATGGCGGCTAGCAAATATCAAGCTTCCACGCTCATCTTGATCGAGAACCTTTGACCCCGTATCATTCTCAGTCAATGACGCTGCGATGTGTGGACTTGTGGTAAGTCATTAAAAGGAATGAGAAGGGGTGGTGTTTAGACCAAAAGAGAGGAGTGCGAAGAGACAACGAAGATACATATGGCTAATAGAATGAATGAATGGAGACTATGATTTGGCTTATAAAATTTAATTCATGGTTTGACTTGAGGCAGCAATCACTCGTGTCTAGCAAGGAAAGAACGTAAACAAACTAAAGGAGCGGGTTTGGACAGGGAAAACATGTTTGGACGCCCGCGCATGTTATGTCAATGACAAACTGAGGCAAAATATGTATGTATGATGCAGTTTCACAGATCACAGGTCACATCTGAGAGCAGGATTTGTATCTAAGAGATATTATTGATTCATATTTTGAAGAAATAGTCATACCAAGCGGAGGATTAGAGTCCCATTTGGTCGCGAACAGGATATCCTGGGACATTGCCTTGAAACGAACTGAAGGAGACAGTGGTTTCGCTCCTCCCCTTTATCGAGAATGTAGTGCGCCTGTCTATACAATGTTTCCACACCCGACGTCGACCATGGAAGTTGCGAGAACTACTTTGACTTATCTCAAAGTTTTTACCCTAGGCCAAAGATTATGGCATTTAGAGCAAACAATGTTCGTTCCGCTCTTGTTCTTCACCGCATGCACGCCATCGGTTCCAGTGCACTCGCAGGTCCGATACGCCGACCATTGCATGACGTAGATTTCCGTAGCCTCACCGTGCCATTCATCAAGGCAATCTGGAGGAGTCGAGTGGTATATTTCGTAGTTCCGGATGTCGGCCCAGATCTTCCCCCTAGCAAGTAGGAACTCGCGCTCGTCCCGAAACGGTGCAGGCGTGGTTGAAAATGATGGTGCAAGAAGGCGCTGCTTCAGATCGTCGATGGGTTCCAGCACCTTTTCGCGAAACAGGGAGAGCCATTGACGCTCGTACTCAAGTTTCTGCTCTGCTCGCGACTTGACCGCGGTGTTTACTCCTTTGTCGATGGAACCGTTGGTTTCGGCTTTGCCCTCGACGTCTTGGGCCATTTGCTTTGCTAGAACGGCGCGAAGCGTAGCAACCTCGTCCTGCAGCTCGGATATTTGGCGATCCTTCCCTGAGAGCTTCTTCGCCAGGTGCTTTGTTTGCAAACGCTGCTCTTCCACCTCAGTCATCATCTGTAATACTGTGGTAGGAGCAGTGAGACGCTCATATGAGATCTCTTCTGCCATTGCACGTGATTTCTTGGGAAGTGATTGAGATTGAGTTTGTGGTATTCGGGATGAGGTTGAAGTCAAATTCGAAGTTGGAAGTGATTGTGGTGCCGCGTAAAGACCTTTCGCGTGAAGAAAGGGCATTTATATAGTGAAAGGCAAACGAGCATATTAGACGATAACGGGGTAGTGAACGGTCCATATCGTTTAAAAACAATGATTGATAGTGAAAGGCTCAAGCATTATGTCAGCATAGCAGTGGGCTAGTGACATGGTGTTTGTTGTATAACAGATGGCTCTGTGCCGGATCTGGCTACAATCAACAAGTTTAATGGAGAATAGTGGCGCGTGTGACTCGATCTATTCGTAACTCGGTTTTTGCTTTACAGCTTCAAGCGTGCGCTATTGAGGGGTGTCTTGAAACAATCAGCCGTGAGAAGTAGTTCTGCGTTCACGGGACTCGATCGGGCTTCGATGTAGTGGACAAACTTCGTTTACGTAACACTTCTGCAAATAATAGGGGTGGAGATGGAATTACGCCCGCCAGCTGGAAAGCTCAAGTAGGATTATAGATCTGGAGCCGCGATGAAGGGTAGGCTTCACCTGACTCGTTCAGGATATATTCGAGTGTGTTCGTGGAAAGCTGTTCCACACCAGACAGTATATGTGGTCCTTACTTATCCCCATTCTGGAAGCTAAGCAGTTGCATTTAACGTCTAGGTGGCCATAATACGAGTGTGTGATAGTCGAGATGATACAGATTGGATTTTTTTTTCATTCATGACCTAAGAAAGCAGCAGTAGAATCAAGGTGGGCTCCTGCGTCGCATTACCCATCCTGACTTGGGTGACCAATAATGTTTTATCTCTGTATGCTCGTCGGAAAGAGTCGTGCGAGCTTGCAATTCTTTCGACCCAAATAGAAGCTCATTGCACGATCGATTCTTTTCCAAAAGCTCTTGGTTCAGGCGTTCGTTGGCCTTGAGTGCCTCGTCCCTCTCCGCCTTCACCCGACCTAACTCTTCGCTTTTCGCGGAAATCACCTCAACCAAACAGGCAACTACAGTCTTGTCGTTATTCCCCCCCTGGCTTCTGCTTTCGTTTCCAGCCGTCATTGTGTTTTTGATACTCTGCACCCCTTTGAATGTTTGATTACACAGTTTACTGAGTTACAGCAGAACTTAAAAAGGAGACCAAAATTTTCGGTCCCAAAGTAGTTTTTAGACGTAGTTTGACTGCTTGAACGCGGCTTTGCGTATGTTTCTAATGGATGTGTTCAAGTATCCGTTTTGGGTGTGGGTTTGGGTGTGGTAGGTATAATGAGTGGGGAACGAAGTTATATAGTAAAAATTGGGCAGTCAGCTCCACAGAGCACCAACATCGTGCTAATATAATTATTAATCGTTTTCAAACAACCACCAAGTCTACAATGCATGCTAAATTTCTATTCGATTCGCGCTAATCGTACATGTATCTTACATTGTTCTTAAAGAAATAGGCACGAGGCAGCACGTGCAGTGAGCCCAGCAAGGACAACTGAACTGGACGAGAACATACATAACCGTACAAAAGGCTCATTGACCAGATTGTGCCACAAACTGTGAGCAACTCTGATTCCCACATATCCCCAAGCAGCAAGGCGAGTATACTGGTGATCTTCTCCAAGCAGCGTCAAGGTGAGGGCTACTGCGTAAAAGACCTGGGGTTGCTCGTGTAGGTTGTTATAGTTGTCGGCCATGCGGTGCACCCACAGAGGAATCTTGGTATGTTTGTCTTCCTTGACTTTATCCTCTTCAAAGCTGACTTGGTACTTGTAGATGGCGGGGATGCGGGTTGCGTACATCCAGATCTGTTTGTCGAACCTTTGTCAGTGCGATTGGAATTGAGAAGGATGGCATTGAGTTTACCTCTTGAACAAAAGTCCATCCTGCTAGCGCTATGACGGGCTTGAGAAGTTGGGTACGGCCGAGGCCTACAAAGGAGGACATGTCGGTAGTAATGGAAAGCTTTTTGGATGGAACTTGGGGCGGCGAAATGTGAGTTATCAATATAGAGAAATTTGCGAGGGAAAGCTGCTTATAACACTTTGTAACAATGATCTGCATTGCATTGCATTGCATTACTTAATACCGTAAACCCCGGACCAGGGCAGTAGACGAGCCCCACAGTGATATGACAATGGTTAGTTCCTGGTCGTCAAGTTTTCGTGTTGTGTACACTCCTTTCGGCGCTATTGCGGGGATGTACTTGCGACTTGATGCTTTGGCTAATGCAAGTCCTGGCCGCTCTCTCACACAATACGGTAGCGATTGCATCACTCGTTCTGTTAATATGCACATGATTTTGCTGGCTTGCATTACGCTTCAACTCTTTCCTGCAAAACGCCCTTTTGTTAAATACATCTCCTCGCTCAGCTTCGTTGAGTTCATGTGCTAGGACTTCTTTCTTTATGAGTATCCACAATCTTACACATCTTCACCAAAATTTGAACGCTTACAAATCTACATGAGGCTACGGAAAATTATCAATCATGGCGAATCGCAATAGCGTTCGGCACTTTTGAAAATGTCGACGTGCCGACCTTCCTAAGTCCTTGATTTTTCCCTAGTCCTGTGGAGCAACGTACCTGAAGTAAAAGATAACTTTAGGAGTACATTATGTAGCATAGCCCAACATCTGCTTTTCTTAGAATCGTGTTCGAGTAGAGTATTATTGTCAGCATATAATTGATCACTACTAAATTTGAGAGGGAATGAAACATAATCAAACGTATATAAAGATGTAAAGATTGTCTCGGGGATCAACACAATAAAAAATTGGGGATGTTTATATGGTCTTGGTCATTATCAGTCGTAAATTTCATTGGGATTGGGAAATAAGCCAGCCTTGATACAAAACACCAGATGAGGACAAAGCGATTAAGATTGATACCAAGAGGAAATGCTCGGTATTTCCTCGTACACCAGCGAGACTCAAGATGAGAAACAGGAGCGCAACCAAGCGAAACCTGCTGTCGCACCAGAAAGATCCCATCCCAACTTGTCTTTAGTTGCTATGCAAAAACTGACTCATCATCCTCATCCTCATCCTCATCCTCATCATCCGCATCATCCTCATTACCCGAGTTCTCCTTCCCAATGATCTCTGCTCCCAAGATCTCCACCATTTGGAAATCCACGTCGTTTGCCTCTTTGTAGGTCGCGAGTTCTTCCTTCTGGATGTCGATGATCTCGAGAAGCAGCTTGTGCCTATCGTTCGACAGAGATAGATCGTCGTCCTTGTCAGCGACCTCTTCCTGCAGTCGTTTGACTGCTTGTTGGGCCTCCTCCTTAGCAGCATTTGCGAGAGCTAGCTCTCGGTCTTTGGCTTCGAGTTGGTTCTTGAGGTCGGCAATCATGCTCTGCGCTGCCTTGTATTCTGGGGTGTCTTCGACGCGTGAAGTCATTTTTGAATTTCTCAATTTGGTAGTTCTTGTAGATGGATTGATAAGTTGTTGTGTATTGATATTTGGGTTGATAAGTTATTGTTTGTTGGCAGATATATGGTTGAGAATTGCAAACACTTATATATCTGGAAACCATCAAATGTTGTACCAAAGAATGACTCTGTTCTAGCTGATTAACAATGTGAGTCACCGACCTTGACGCAGACCCAAACGATGCTAGATAGATCACTCTGAGACCTTCACATTGTACAACACCCGCGAGCAAACAAAAAGGGTACCCACATCTCCCCAACAAACTCCTGTCGTTGACATCACCGTACTCGCACACGTGCCCGCTTCAAATGGTGGGCCTAGATGGTACAATCTCTAGTCTAATTCAGCTGGGTACTTTTTGTGCAACTTTTTCGTCAGCCGTTTAAATGTAGGAAACACTTCAACTTTTAATTTAATATTTTGAAGTCCCTCGTCCTCGGTCGATTGTAGATTTATCTCTTTCTCGGGCTTCATCAGAGACAGCAAGACCTGCATGTTAGCAAAGAATGCGGTTGTCTCGCCTCAGATTCATGTTGGACATTTCAAATGAAACAAACACAACTTCTCATTATTACAGTGCCTTCGTCTATTGTTCTGCAGCTGGAACTGATCTTTCGCTAGCTAATCGTACTGTTACATGGTTGGGGGGAGATTTTGTCCCGGCCTCTATAAAAAACCAGAGGCAGTGCAAGTACCAATAATCTAAATCCTCATCACTTTGGGCTGCAAACAGATAAACGCAAAACACATGATAAGAGAGAAGAACAAGGAATAAACAGAATATGCAAGAAAGGTGTACAAAGACAAGCCCAGCACTTTTAGGTTTTTGGCACTAGCAGACGCTTTCCCTCCCGCCAAAGCATCTCGGCTGTCTTGGTATCATGAATGCTCTCTCCCATCTAGTCCCCTAGATCGTTCGCGTCGGAAAAATTGACTTATTTGGAGATTTCGACACCGCCAGTTGCCTGTGACAAGATTAGCTGAGTTCCAACAAAACGGGTGGAGGGTACGTACTCCGAGAGCCTTCTTGATGTCGCCGTAGATGGCGAATTGACCGGCAGTGATACCACCAACCATGAGAAGACGGGCACCGATACCACCGAAGCTGCCGCGGAGACCGAGCTCGCTACCGATCTTGATCAAACGGGAGACGGTTCCCTCTCCGGGAAGACCCTGGGTCTTGTTGATCTTGGAAAGCATGGTGTCGGCGGGCTGGGAGATGATGGCGGCGGCGAAACCAGCGATGAGACCGGAGCCCAAGTTGACGGTGGTCTGCATGCCGGAGGAGGCGGTGTTCTTGTCGACGAAAGAGCGGTAGATCTGCTCGCTAACCTTCTCGTAGACGACGAACTTGGCCATGGTGTAAGGAACCCTAGAAACAATGTTTAGTGGCATTTTCGTGATGCTATAGGGAAAATCTCGACGTACTGCTTGAACAGGATGGGTCCGAAACCAGAGTAGAAGGCACCGATACCCTCGTTCTTGGCGATCTTGGTGAAGCCACCGACCAAGCCGTTGGCGAAGGTGGGCTGCGACACCAATCGGATACGGGTGGCCTCGAGGGGGCAGAGGGCGATGTCAGCAATGAACTCGGCGCAAGCGGCGGAGGCGAGGTAGACGGCGGTGCGGTTGTTGACAGCGCTCTCGTAGCCGATCAAGTCGATGCTTCGCTGCTTGAAGAACTCGTATCCACCGAACTTGAAGGCACCCTGGAGGAAGTAACCGGCGAAGGTAGGACCGAAACCGGTCATGAGAGCGCCGGCACCCTCATTGGCAATAACCTGACGGAAACCACCGATGAAACCCTTGTTGTAGGTGGCGGGGTCGAGCTGGATCCTCGTCTTGACGCTGTTGATGGTTGATTAGCATGGCGATGGCAGACAGGACAGATGGCGATGGCGTCAACGGCGGTGGCCATTGGCAGCGACATGAATTGCGCGCCGGAGAGAAAAACATACACATCAACGGGAGTGAAGCCACCGTGTGTGACGGCACAGCAGACGGCACCGGCGAAGGCGAATCTTGAGTAGAGATCGAGGCCGGAAGGTTTTGTTGGGTCGGCAGCGAGGGCCTTGTTCTTGAGGGCGTCGAGCTTGACGGAGCCCGTCGATGAAGGGGGAGTACCGGCAGACATGGTCGCTGTGTGTGTGCGAAGAAAGGGGACTGAGAGGTGAGATGGATGGATGGGGGTGAGTGGAGAGGGAGGGAGAGGAGATTGGTGGTGGTTGGTGATAGAAGGATGAATGGATGGATGGGTGGATGAATGATAAGAGAGAGGTTGGCCGGCGACAAGGAGCTTAGGTGAAAAGTTCGCTAACCACCGCTACAGCGAACCAGCAAGCTTTTTTTCCCGTCCTCACCCGAATGCCGATTATGCGCTAAGTAGTGTCCTCCCCATTCATCCCAACCACCACTCACAGCGTCGAGCACCGGCGCGTGCTGCTTACATAACTGGGTATATAGCATCAATCAATTCATCAACAGTCCATCTCGCTCACGATACCTCCTCATCGTCCTCATTTCCCACCTCCCCAATGGTCCGCAGTCCACCTTCAATGGCCTGATATCTTGTCGTAGCTGCTCCCATCATCTCTTCTAACCCCGTCTCCATGTCCCCCATATGCTTCAGCACATTCATCGACATCCCTCGGATCACCTTGGTGTCTTCAACCACCTTCATCATCATAGACGCCGTGCCAGGCATATCCATTCTCTCCCGCCGAACGCGATTCCTCTCCACTGCATCGACGACGTCCAGCGCAGCAAATTTCCTGGTTCGATGCAGACAGTCGCGCGTAACCTCCAACATCCGGTTAATATCCCCAGCATCACGGTTGCACACTTCGCCGATGCCCTGGAGTCTGTCGTCGCCGTCTTCATCGTCGTAAATTCCCTTGGACCCTTCTTCAATCGTAGACATGATCATCTGCGGAGAATGCGTTTCGGCAGCAACCTCCATTTGCGCTGTCTGCACTACCGCGAGATCCTGCATCTCCATCAGGTACTTGTTGTATAAATCTCCCCGGGCAAACCTGATGCTATCAATGATCTCGCTCGCGCGTTGAGCTTTGTACTGACGCTCCACTTCCCGTTCCTTCTCCTTCAGGCGATGGACCTCGTCCCAGTCACCTCTATCTCTGGCCGACTTCTGCTCCATGCGAAACTCACCCCTTTGGGACCGAAAGGACCTATCAAAGAGCAACCTTACGGTGGCTTCTTTGAACAGCGTCTTGAATATGGCGCATTTGAGATCGTCATCAATGTCGATTGCAACGCGGATGTTGGCTACCATGATGATCATGATACTGGATACGTCTTGATTAGCAAAGTGCGCAATTTCCGGTCGAAAAGCACATAATGCCTTTTGCAACCGGGGAAATGGCTGATTCAACAGTCGCAGCGTGTTTCGCTGTGCTGCCTCGTCTATCAGCTGATCTCGTGCTCTCAGTGCTTCCATAAGCTCCTGCCGTTCCTCGATTAGATCCTGGATAGGTGCAACGTGCCTATTCCAAGCAAGCAAGACTTTTAGAAGGTCTTCATATGTTTCGTGGGCTGCCGAATGCGTTTCGTTACTACCCTGCTCGGCGAGACGCAGCGGTCCAAGCAAGTCTTTATATTGAGCATCGCGGGGGCCTCGACCATCGGCTATGCGTCGCAGTATGCTCGTATCTAATGTGCGTTTCTCGAGCTGGATCGAATGGCAAGAACGCGGAGTTCTCTCGCAGTCTAAGCTCCAGTCGGTGGAGGCACGCTGTTTATCGTAGAGGGCTTCCAAGTTGGCTCTAGCATGCTGTAATGATGCATCTTCGGAAGTTGAGGCATGCAAAGACGATAGCTGCACATGTTGGACCACTGCCGAACGCTTGTCTTCGGGACATTCTGCGTAGGGGTTGTCGTCGGCATCGCGCAATTGGGCTAGAACGGCGGCCCGAGAGATGGGCTGCGGGTTGTGGTATTCTGCAAGATTCTGGTAACGAAGCATGGATATATGCCCGACGTGTCGATGTACGCGGTCGGGTTATGGTTTCGAAACTAAGAAATGGGCGATGCACAGCAATCTATCTCGTATCTACAGTCTACATTGTTTTGGAATCTCGGGCTTTTGATGGGGTGGCTATAAGAAGTCCCAAGGCATGGTGAAGAATGCTTGCGTGAAGCGAAGTGTCGATGTCAATGTTGGACTCTTCCAAGACGCATCAGATTTGTCACATCCGTGGCGGCCTGGGAATATCGTCGACATGATTGAATGCCTGGCATGACTCGGACTCGGACTTGGGAAGCAGGAAACTGGATAAATGAAGTGGAAGGAGTGAAAGACTAGAAACATGAAGTCGTAAAGGTGAAGGCAGTGAGCAGATGATGATTGGCAGATGCAAGAGAAACGGGAATCAATCAAGCTGATTGATTATATATGTGAAGAGGAAAACCGATGGACGATAAGACGTCAGCATGCCAATGGTTGAAATGACGACGGAAGAAAGTTCCGAAGGCGGGCGGTGGACAATGCGCACTGGCTGCACATTGCATTATCAGGCAGTTTGTACAAGAGCGAGAACGATTGGTTCTAGGATGAGGGGGAAGGATGGAAGGATGAGTGGGTCTCTTATAAGTTCATGCATACACATGTATGAGCACGAGGGGGAGAATTCTGGAAGATGCTGTTGACGAGGTGGTTGAAGAGGAGTGGTTCTTGTGGATGGCCAGCGAGCGGGGCGCATTGACGAATCGGGGCATGCTATCCTCCGCGGCGGTCCAGTTGCTTGCTGTACTCAACGGCATCCACTCGAGAGAAATCACCAACTTCCCGTTCCCCTTTAAAAGTCCAGCCAGACTAGCCCACCTGTCTAGCCCGTGAACCACCCGCTATTGACAGCAAATTATTGGTCGATGCATCATGGTTCTGGGTACACTACAGGCTTACTACCTACAGTTCGTTCGGCGCAACGGTCGAAGCAACGCATTGGAAGCAATAGCGAACGCAGGGCAACACAACACAACACAGAGCGCAACGCAACGCAGCCCATGACCGATGCCAGCAGTCGGATATTGATCCTTTTCCACAGCACGATAAGCTGGCAGCAAATGCCTCACGAGCCGGTCTAGATTGCTATCGAGCCGCTGCCTTCTAGCCGGCCTTGCTTGCATCTGCGTGTGACTTGCCAATCGACCCACTTACTCATGCCATGCCAGGGTGCAGCTATCGAACTTACCTAACAGTTATAAACTCCGCCCAAAGCCCGCCCTCTCTTTTTCTTCCAACTTCTTCAACAACCTCCTGCTCCTCTCGATTTTCTGCTTCCCCGACAGCAGGACGACGCCAGCCTTCGCGGGCCTCTCATGTCTCTGGTTCAACATGTGGGTAATCTCGAGGGAACGGATCGCGAGGAGGCCCTAGTCGACCTCTTCCTCCCGCCCCAAGATCGCGAAAATTATCCCGATCATTTCTCTGAGCGCCGTCTCTCCATCGAGAGCGGCACGGCCACCAGCACTAGATCTTTGCGCAGGATTGTCAGCTACGATGCTTTGAAGCCCACAGAGGATACCGTCGAAGAAGATGGTGGTGTCACCCCTTATCATGTGTCCACCAAACGCCGTATCTGTAAGTCAACCCACATACCATCCTTTCACATTCACTGACCAGCCACCCAGTCCAAGTAGCCGTCATCATCCTCGCCTGTTGGTTTGCAAGCGGCATCATTTTTGGCTTCGCCGCTCTCAAGCCCATTCTCATCCGCGAAGGTGTATTTAGAGATCTTTGTACTTCGCAAGAGCTGCGGGACGGCATCGAAGTGTGCTTCGAGCAGGATTTGCGACTCAACTTCTTTTTTTCCCTTGCTTCCACTACTGCAAATGTTTCTGCTCTGCCTGTCGGCGCATTGCTCGATCGTTATGGTCCCAGGCTCTGTATGCTCATCGGCTGTTTGTGCCTCGCTGTTGGAACTGTTCTCATGAGCCTTGCTTTCCAAATTCCCGGCTTTGATGGCTTCACCGTTGGCAACTTCTTCTTAGCTCTTGGGGGAACTTTTGTCTTCTTGCCTTCTTTCCAAATCGCAAACGCTTTCCCCAAGTATGCGGGCATGATCGTAGCATTGGTCACAGGCGCCTTTGATGCCTCGGCCGCTGTGTTCCTCTTCTATCGACTCGCCTATGAGGCATCCAACGGCGCTTTCAAGCCCCAACACTTCTTCCTTGCCTACCTCCTCGTGCCGTGTACCATTTGCATTGCGCAACTCACCTTTTTGCCAGCATCAAGTTACAAGACACAGGGACAGCTCGAGATGAAGATTGAGCGCGCCGCTGATGACACGCGGGATGTGCACAGCTCTGACGACGACCTCCCCAGCGATGAAATGTGGAAGGTCCGAAAAGTCCGCAGCACCCGCCGTCGAAAACGTATGAACAGACTCGACAAACTCGTTGGTGACGAATCCTCCCGCAAACTCCGCGACGAGCAGGAAGAACACCGCCACGAAGCATCCGGCGTCTGGGGTGCCCTCCACGCCAAAACGCCTATGCAGCAAATGGTGACCCCATGGTTCTACCTCTTGACCCTCCTCACCGTTTTGCAAATGGTCCGCATGAACTACTTCATCGCCACTCTCAAAGAGCAGTACACATACATGCTCTCCTCCCCGGCCCTCGCCAAGCACATCAACGAATTCTTCGACTGGGCCCTCCCCATCGGCGGCGTAGCCTCAACCCCCTTCCTAGGCCTCCTCCTCGACAACGTGAGCACCCCCGGCGTCCTCCTGATCCTCGTCCTCCTCATCACCGCTATCGGCATCGTCGGCTCCCTCCCCGCTCTCTGGGCCGCCTACATCAACGTCCTCCTCTTCGTCTTCCTCCGCCCGCTGTACTACTCGGCAATGTCCGACTACGCGACCAAAGTCTTCGGCTTCGCGACTTTCGGCCGCGTCTACGGCACCATCATATGCGTCTCGGGCCTCGTAAACCTCTCCCAGACCGGCATCGACGCCCTCACTAAATCAACTTTCCACGGTAATCCCATCCCCGTCAACGCGACGCTCGCGGTGCTAGGCTCCGTGATCGGTATCGCGCTCGTCGCGTATGTCACGGTGCAGACGTACCGCATGCAGAAGGCGTTGCTCGACGATGATCTCTGGACCGTGACCAACACCGATGCGGATACCGTCAGCGTCATGGACAGTCTGCTGGAGGAGGACGAGCATCCCGGATACGGAAGTTTTGCGCCGCAGGCGCAGACGCAGGGGCGCGTGTCTCATGAGTATTAAGCTTCTTGCGTAGTTTGGATGGGGAATAAGGGAAAGAGATGGTACTGGCACGATGGATTTCCACTTTCAATTTTCCCCTTCGCTTTGACGACAGCTGCTACGACATGATCAAAAGAAAAGGATATTTTCGGGGTTTTATCTGGGATCAATCACAAGGGATCAGAGAAATACTTGTACCACCATATGAAAAAAGGCAACCAAAAAAAAGCTAGGGATATATAGGATGCGGGGGCTCTTGGGTTTTCTCGTTTTCCTTTGGTTTTTCTACTCTTATCTCTGCCTTGTTAACTCGAGCGAGCGAAAGCGTGCGAAAGCGATGAATTTTTTTTTTTCTCTTCTTCTTGTTCTTCTTCTACATGGGATCCTGTTTTTTCTTGTTGTTTGTTGGGTACAGTACAGCATGGCCATCTTCTTCACGACTTGATTGCTTTGACATGCTTTTGCTTTTGCTTTACTTTGCTTTCTTGCGTATATAGCGGTGGTTATTAGCGTGTCTACAAGATACCAGGTTAATTAGCTCTATCCAAAAAACAAAATCAAATTCTATGAATTCAAATCAATTCCTTTGAATGTGTATCATGTAGATGGAGTGAACAAGACGATATTTTCAAGACGGATCGTTCGACACTACTTCAATTAATTATGTGTGATATTGAAGAAGCAAAGACTACCGAGATTACCCTATACCCAAGGTGTGTATACGGATTGAAAAGGAAAACTGGTTGGTAAGACATTTATAAAAAGAGGGGTATAGACAGCAGAGTGTTCAAGAGGGAAAAAAGAAACAAGGGACATCCGCCGAGACAGGGGAGAATGCGAGATGAAAGAAGCACGAACAAGGTATCTCGAGGCTGGCATGGATAAGAAAGATCAGACAACAGGCTAGATGTACGGGAGGAAATGGAAAAAAAGATGGAAAGCGCAACCCGTGCACGACTGACGGCAGTTCTACGCCGGCCCCAACGCATCAATCTTGGCATAAAGCTCACTCGCATCCTCGAAAACGTGCCAAACCTCTCTCGGCACCCCCTTGAACGCCTTCTCGAACCGCTCATCCAGATTCTTCCCCGAGTCCAACTCGGCCACACCCGTGACCTTGCGAATGTAGATCGCGGTAATCCACTTGGAGTGCTTGCGGTACATTTCGGCATAACTCTCCGGGTCCTTCTGCGTGCTGTCGCCGATGCAGATGAATTTGCGTTTGGGGAACCACTCGTGAACTTTGACCATGCGGGAGACTTTGTACGCTTGGGTGCCTTGCGTGAGGTTCGCTAGGAAGCCGGCAAGGTTCATCCATGAGGCTTCGCGCAGAATGAGGGTGCCGGGTGGGTAGTAGGTCTCGCGGAACTGGCGGAGGAAGGGGTAGAGGTTGTAAGGGGAGGCGGAGAGGTAGAAGAAAGGGGGGTTGGCGAGTTTGGATTTGATGTGCTGGTAGAGCTCGGGCATGCCTTTGATGGGCTCCGGGTCCTCGGCGAAAGTGGTGGAGAGGATGCCAGTTGGAGAGGCGGTGAGCGTCTTTTTGATGGTGTCATCGATATCGCTCAGAATCGCGTAGCCTTTGGGTCCTGCGAAAATGGTGTTGACGGAGGTGGCGTCGGCGTTGATTGCTTTGGAGGTGATGGTTTGACCGTCCTGGTGGTCGTGGCCGGGGATGGCTAACTGGTCGCTGCTGATCCCATCGCGGCCACTGGGGCCCAAACGGGTCTCTACGCCCTGCAGGTCGAGCTGGACGGTGTGCGCCGGGAGAATGGAGTCAGCTAGAGGTTGTAGCCTTTTGGCTATGGTGGCCTCGGTCTTGTCGTCCATGTCGCCGATCTTGTCAGCGACCGAGGCAACGATCTTGGAGAGATCTTTGCCGCTGTTTTTGACAAAGTAGGCGGCTACGAATTCGGCTTTCCAGCGGCCGAGTTTGTTCTGGTAGGCGGTGTTGTCGAACAGCCAGACATAGTCGGTGTTTGGATCGACTTTGGTGTAGAAGGGATTCCTGGCGCCCAGATAGGACGTGAGGCTGTCCTTGAGGGAATACTGGAATTTGGCGCTTAGGTCGGGCATGTCTTTTTCACAGTCGGGGAACTTTGCTGCGATGCGAAACTCACGCTCGTCATCGGTTTCCTGGTAGAGTTGATGAGCATGTTTTGCTCCGGCGTGGGCAGATGGAAGAGGCATTTTGAGGGTGGATGTAGATGGCGAGCGATGACTGGTGTCTAAGGTATGTGAAGGTCAGGAGGGAGGATGTTTGGCACGAGAGGCAGCAGCGGAGCGGAGGGGACAGTCATGTTCAGGCTTGGGCGCTTGGCTGGCGAGTACGTGAGGTGGATCCGGTGTGTGGGCATGGTTGTGACGGTTTACGTGACAGCGGTGACGTCTGACCAGAGAAGAGGCGAGACGGAACAAGCATTCGAGGTGGTTAGGTAAGGGAAGATTAACCGCAGGTTAGCCGAGAGCTGCCAACCTGTGTGGCGGCGGCGGGTGACGAGGAAGATCGCTGCTGGGGGGGGTGTGACTGACGCCAGCGTTGATCTCATGTTGAACAAGTTGGTAGGACGTCGGTGTAAGGTTGGATGGGCACGTGAGCCTGCATAGCTTAAAATGTTCAGATGTCCTCAAGTGCTCACGGTTAAGCACGTGCCGGTCGTTGCACTCGAGGGATATGCAGTCTTGAAGGTACGTACGTAGGTACTTGAGTATGCGGGTTCACTATCATCGGCCATGTTGAATACTTGGCTTGGGATCCTGGATGCGACGAAAGATGGCTTAGCACCCAAGACCATGTATCATCATGATGCATTTACCGCGTGCGCTGAGAAGTATGTACATAGATATGTACATGATGTTCTGTCAAGTCATGTTCAAAGGACGAGAGTAGGCATGTACAAGTACATGGTTGTATGGCAATTTACAGGTAACAAGCAGCCGATGGGCATGTACCGATACAGGCACAAAACACCAAGCGCTAACCCTGAATTGATCTGCACGCACGGTCGAGCCTATTATTAGACAGCCTCCCGCTTCTATGAATGCATCGTTTGAACGTACACACATGAAGCTGTACAGTAACGGGACGGTGCATACCCCAAGTGTATACATGTACCACGGAACAGGCAGCATAGGCAGGGCACACTTGCGCCATCACTCCCGTCAAGAGCGATACGCGTAATTTCGTCTTGGTATACCTCCTCACCTCTCTCCATTGGCTGTCGCCACCACTCGCCTTGTACGCGGCCGTTTACGTAGCGCTCCTCTCCTCACTTGAATGAGCATCAGCACCCCCTCCAAATGATACAAGTAGATGCTCTATTGCTCCTCCAAGGCGGAAAAAAAGGGATAAAATCCAGCAACCAGATGGGTCCCCAGAGTCCAGACACGACAAGATGCAGTGAATTTTAGGCTGCACCGCCCCCAACCTTAGTTACCCCAAACAAAGCTCAACCAGTCCGTGCATGGCTCGCATCCCGACCCTTTTGACAATAATCACCGCCGTCCAAATCCAGTCGCTGTCCTAGCAATCCTTCCCCATACTTATTTACCGTAGTAATCTACCCAGACCTCTTCTTCTTCCAACCTCTCTTCCTCCATCCAGCCTCCATCGTCCGTCGCATCCTCCCACTGAACCTCTCTCTCCCACCCCCTTCGACTTGACCCTGTTGCGGACCCTGCCCCACTATCTGCTAGGTAGATTGTACCGTCCTAGGCTGCAGCAAGCAAACCAACATTCCCCTCAATCCATTCCACTCCTCCAGGCGACATGGTTCTCAAAAAACGCCTGACCAACCTCGGGAGTCTGATCAAGCGCCAGAACTGTGAGTCACTCTCCCTCGGACGCTCGTGACGACCAAATCGGGGACATGTGCATCCAGCAGGCTGATTAACACCCTTTGCCAGCTACCGACGATGCGACTCCCACTGATGGGAACGCCGACACGCCCGAGGCCAATGCCGCGAGAGGAGTGGTGAGCGTCCACTCGGCTCCTTGCATGTCTGTGAAATCGGTGGGCTGACTGCGCACCAGAGATCATTCTGCGAATCCGGCGCAGCCAACTCGGTAAGACGCGCCCGCCGCGGTTCCCCTTTACCAGCTTCCTTGAGGTACTAACAGGGCAATGTCTAGGGCGAGGAGGTCTTGCATCTACCAACCATTGTCGAATCGGCTGTCGCGAGCCCCGGCGCAGCTGCTGCTGCAGCTTCCCAGATCCGCAAGTTCCTGTCCAAGGACAACTACGAGCGCCCACATGTCCAATACAATGCCGTCATGCTCATACGCATCCTCGCCGACAACCCGGGCCCTTCCTTCACCAAGAATCTCGACAAGGCCTTCGCCGATACAGTCAAACATCTGCTCCGAAGTGGCCGCGACCCGAGTGTTGCCCAAATCCTGCGCGAAACCCTCGACGCTCTAGCCAAAGACAAGGCCTATGACACAAACCTAAATGCCCTTTTCGCCATGTGGAAGAAGGAGAGGCAGCTCATGGCAAATGCGGCCAAAACGTTTGGTCCCCGCATGAGCGCAGCGGCACCCGTGTGGAATGGCCACCATCAACCGTCACACCGAGGTCAGGGTGGAGGATATCCGCCGCCAAACGGCCTTCCGCCCCCTGTAGAATTGGCATCGCGCATTGAAGAGGCTCGCACATCGGCCAAACTCCTCCTACAGCTGGTCCAGTCTACTCCACCCCACGAGTTGCTCGGCAATGACCTGGTCAAGGAATTCTCGGAGCGCTGCATTACTGCGCAACGAAGCATCCAAGCCTATATCAACTGCAACAACCCCGCTCCGGATGATGACACGATGCTTACCCTGATCGAGACGAATGAGCAGCTCTCGCTCGCTGCGTCGAAACACCAGCGCGCAATCCTGCAAGCGCGCCGAGCACTTGGGGCCTCAGCATCACCCCCCGTACCCAACCTGACGAACAACCCGTTGCCGCCTCTAGGTGTAAGCGCTACCTACATGCCTCCGCAACAGTCCTCTCCCCAACCCGAACCACCCATGCTGCCGCCAGTTGATGTTGTTTCGAGAGAAAAGAATGACATGGGAGACGGTAGTCACCAGACAAGCGCGTCTGCGTTACCCGTCTCGCTGCAAGCGGGCCAGAAGTCATCTTCGCGTCCCGAGCCCGAAGACGATCCCTTTGCCGACCACCACTCCTCTGGATACACAGCACCAACCGGAGCACCCCCTCCGCGCCGTGTGCATGACGACGACGATTCGCCAGTTACGGGCTACACTGGACCTCCCTACAACCCTGGGTTTCAATCAACGCCATCCTACCTGGGTAGACAAGAGAGTTCAGCGAACAACCTGACGATGCACGGGGCCAGTCAGCCAACAGTGGAAGAAGAGTACACACGTGATGATGTGACGCGCAGTGGACCAACGGCAGCGGAGCAATCCAAAGCACATGGACGAGTCGACAGTGATGTGAGCCCCATCACCGAGCGCGGTACAGTCACGTACCGGTACTGAGGGTCAGATGTGCCGTTGAGGGATTGATTACCCAAAAAATGGAATAAGGGGGTGTTTATTTGGAGCAATGGCGGGGTCGCGGGGGTCCCTGGGTTATCGAAGATGAGAGGATGGGGGGCAGCGTAGTCAGTCTGCTGCTTGTTTTGCGTGCGTGCACTATATTTCTGCGGAAGCTTTATACCTGTTTGTTCTCGTGGGGGATGGATGGATGGATGGATTGGTGGTTTATTTTCTTCGTCACATTGTCGTTGCTGTTGTATTTGATCTACCTTGGTTCTCTTTTTCTTTGCTGTCGATTATACCAGGCTCGTTCGTTACCCAAACTCGGTTGGTTTATTATCCTGATGTGACCCATCGAATCTCACCCACGGCTAGACTCAGACCAATGATGACTGGCTGATCGGTCACTGGATTGGTTGACTGGGTCGGTGGTGCAGCAGCGTCCATGTACTGTAGAAATCAATGCAGGGCGGATGCCGAGAGCGTGGGGACTGAAGAAGAGAAGGAGAAGAGGAGTCTGCGACTGGCAACGGCGCCCGCGGCGGCATTACTACCTTAGCGTGTGGATTTAACTCCGTCATGCTGAAGTCTTTGACGGCCTGCTAACCCATCTTTCTCCATACTTACTTACAAAGCCCCACCCCATCTGGCTGATTGTTTCTCTTCTTCTTCTTCTCCCTTTCCATGCCTCGAGGTATTTATGCAAGGCGCCTGGGGAACTTTCCATGGCGCGTCCGCTTCCACAATGCGTCGATACCCTCGTCATAGGTGCGCAGTAACAGTCCCGAGTGGGGGAAGAGGGAACAATACTTGGGAGCTGACTAACCAAGCACATCTGCCTACTAGGAAACGGCCCATCCGCCCTCATCCTGTCCTACATCCTGCATGGGAACATACCCTATTACCGCAAAGAAACACGCCGACACCATGATCCCATTCTAGACCAGAAGCTTCAGAAGAGTGACAATCTTCTGCGCCTCACCCCCGATCTGTACGCCCACTTCCTCGCTTCCCTGCGCTACTCCACCCAAGCCCTGCCAGTCAACACCCTCCTCGACACCCTCATTCGTCCCAACGCAGACACTGAGATTAACCCGACCTCATGTGTTGAATGGCGCTACGAGCCTGAAAAGGCTATCCCACACGTCGTAATTGGCGATACCCCCCAGCCTGGTGGTCAGTGGGCTGAGACCCCGGTCTCTGCGAGCGATGCCATAGGCACATTGAGCTATGCGGAGCAGCTGAGCCTGCCTGGTTACTCTTATGCAGACCATCTGGCAACAAAGCAAATATCGGATGAATGCGACTTCGTCCGTCCAACCCGCTCCGAGGTTGCCGACTATCTGTGTGCCTATCCAAAGGCTGTGGGTATTTCGGATACCATTTACACCAATACACGAGCAGACAATCTCTATAGAGATGAAAGTGGATTCGTGGTTGGGTCGCTGGGCATACGATGTCGCCATCTTGTACTAGCTTCTGGCATTTTCACAGTCAATATCCCACCACCGCCGTTACTCGAGCCAGTCACGCGGCTCGACGCACCAAGCAAACCGCTTCTGGTCATTGGTTCCGGATTCTCTGCGGCGGATGCCATCATATCCGCACCCCTGGACCGCAAAGTGATTCACATTTACCACTGGGCTCCCGAGACACGCCCGTCGCCTTTGCGAAGCTGCCATCATAGCGCATACCCCGAATATGCGGCCATCTATAGGCAGATGAAGTTGGCCGCAATCTCGGATCACAAGAAGGCATCTACAAACTCGTCGCTTCGCCGTCGCAAGTCAACTGCACCCTCTAGCCAACGCAATTGGTCATCGTTTTACAAAGGGCTTCCAAATGCCCGAGTAATTGATGTATCTCTCTCAGACTCCGCGGGCTCGGCGATTGCGACTATTCGGCTTGCTTCAGGCGATGAAACGAAATGCGAGGTCGGCGGTCTTGCGTATGTCGTTGGACGACGTGGAACTCTTGATTTTCTCTCTGCGGCCCTCCGCTCTGAGATCATGGACCTTCAAAGTGTCACATCAACAACAGACCTGTCTCCCCCGCCCACACTGATATCCGGTCGCACCCTGCGTGGCAAAGCAGAAGCCTCTCTCGAAGTCGCCAAACATGTCTTCATCATTGGCAGCTTGGCAGGCGACTCCCTCATCCGCCATGCAGTGGGCGGCTGTGTCTTTACTGCTGGCCGAATTATGCACGTCATCCCAACCACATACTCTCCTCCTTCCACTGTTCCAACGTCTCCAATGTCCACATCACGGTCAATTTCACCCCCTCCCGATTCAGAGCGCAGTTCCGAGTCCTCGCCTACATCAGGCATCGAAGACGGCCACAGGGTCATTGCAAATGGCCACGAGGATCTGCATCTGGACAGGAGGAAGTTAGCGCGCGCGGTCGAGGTTGCTAGTGCGGAGAACAAGTTCTGGGTGTGTTCTGGGTGGTGGGCTGGTGGGCTTGGACCAGGCTCGCTCGCAGATGTGGATTCGTAACGTCAGAGTCCTGTACGTGCAATCGTTATTCTTTGGAGAGATGTTGTAAATATGATTAGAATCGGTGGACGTTTTGGCCCTGTATATACATGAGCGCATGGGCAGCATATTTCGTAGACATTTCTCGCATATCTAGAATCCCGTCTAGAAATACAAATGACGGTGCGAAGTACGAACAACACACTGCATTACTCGAATTCAGCACATATTCTAAGAATAGAGTAGGAGAATAGCAATGTGTTGATATTAATCTACGTACGAGCAGCACCTAAATAAATAGAGGTGCTGATGACTAAGCTGGATATGTGAATGGGGTGGATATCCAGGGTCACATGACCGGGGCTCCCTCTCTCCAACACATATTTCACTTCTTTGGCAGATTCCTAAATTCTCTGTCAGCTAGCGAAATCGATTCGTACACTTGCTGATCCTCCTGCTTAAGCACAAGCTTTTCATGGTAGCGTAAGCACGTGGTAATTAAAAAAATTGATGGATATCAGAGAAAACCCCGGGCTAGATGGTCGATGATAGCACGGGAACGCGATGAAACGGCACAGCCTCTATACTGTCTTGACAGCGTTAGTTAGAGTCTATCTCGATAGCTTGCTAGAGACATCGACTTGGTGAGATGAAGATTGTGGACCTGAGACACACAGCACGGGTTTGCGATGAACCGGTACCTCAGCCTCTCAAAGCAGCCAGATGGGCGTAGCACACATGATGATGGTACTGTAAGGTGCACCACGCATGCTTGTTGTGATGGCTGAGACTAAATTAGTAGATCAACTCACTAGTCGGTTCGAAATCATCATCCGGATGCTGGAGCTCGCGTTCCTCCCCACATCACAGGCCGGAGAAATGTTCTCGTCCGACTGCACGATACGCTAGCTCTTCACCCTCAGGCTCAGCTCCTCCAGTGACTGGAAAATTAAAACCTCCCAGCACCCTCTTTCCCCTCAATGCCAAGCCAGCTGAATCTTGCTATCGCTGTAGCTTATATCGATCGCATCGTTGCCAAGTGAGCTTGTTTGCTGTTGTCATCCAGGCCCAGCCTCAGAAACTAGATGTGTTGATTATGCCAGCAGGGCTCGATTCACTTATCACCAACTCAAACTGGGCCTTTGTTTCGGGTTATAATTTGACTCAACGCTCACAATTGTAAAACAACTCTTGTCTTTCGCACTAAGCTGACCCTCTTCAGACGTGAAAGCTGTGTAGAATGGCAGTGCGGTTCCCATCGTGACGTTCTACCAGCAACGTCTGGCTTTCCAATCACCTGCCCCGGGTCGTTGATTTTCACTACTGCACGCCATCCTTTGTTCGGTAGGGGAAGCAACTCAGCCCCTCTGGTAAGAAGCTCAGCATGCCCGCCCATCTCGGTAGTGTCCTTTGCCGGGAAACGTGGCGGCAGCGGTCGAGTAAGACCAACCAGATAACAACATGGAGGCTACGGAACCATTTTTGGAACGCGATTTGTGATGTGGATAGCGTGCCGCTGATAATAAAGTTGTAACGGGCGGGGCTGAAAGGATGGTGCATTTCGCTCGCGGAAGAACCATCGCGAACTGGGACCGTTAGTCTTGCGAATTATAAACTCGATCGGACCCCCCAAAAGAAAGAGAATGCCTATTGTGCAGCCCAGCTCCTCTACAGCTGGCACTATAAGAACCCGGTCATTAAGATACAAAAACAGCGTATACAAGTGAAAAGATGAGAGTCTCAATCATATACAGCGCTGCTCTGCTCGCAAGCTTCACATCGGCCCTCCCAACCAACTCAAAACGCGCAGACTTCTCCGACTTCTCGCCAGACGGAAAATACTTTCCCCTGAAAAACGGCTTTCCCACCCCATGCAAAGATGAGATCCTCAACATCCAAAAGCAAGCGTTTGGCACTCTCCCCAACGGGCCCGCCCCTCCAGCCCTCAGCCCAGAAGGCGTCACAAACCTGCAGCTCATCGCCCTAAACGAACTATTCGAAGTCGCCTTCTTCACAGAACTCATGTACAACATCTCGAACAAATTCGACGGCTACGACACCGGGTACGGCCACTGGTACGTCATGGACACGCTCAACGCCATTATCGCCCAGGAACAAGAACACTTGCTAAACGCAAACGGCGCCCTCATGTTCTTCAAGCAACCCGCAATCCAGCCCTGCAAATACAGCTTCCCAGTCACCGACTTCCAATCCGCGATCAGCCTCGCCGCAAAATTCACAGACCTCGTCCTGGGCACCTTACAAGACGTCAACCAGATCTTCGCTAAGAACGGCGACTTCGACCTCGTCCGCACCGTGTCGTCCGTTATCGGCAACGAGGCCGAGCAGGAAGGCGTCTTCCGCCTCATCCAGAACAAACGCGCCACCTCGCAACCCTTTTTAACCACCGCCGGCCGCGATTTCGCCTTCAGCGTCCTCCAGAGCCTCGCAGTCCCCGGGAGCTGTCCTAACGTCGATGTCATCAAGCTGCAGACGTTCAAGCCGCTCAATGTGCTGTCGACGGATATCAGGGCGCAGGACCAGAATCTCAAGTTCAGCTTCGCGAGTGATGCCGGTGTGAATGTCACCGACTTGTCGCTCGTGTATATCAATCAGCAGAACTTACCCGTTGTTACTGACCTCATCGATCCAAAGACCGATGGTGGGGATTTGGTGTTTGAGGCAAAGTTCCCGTTTGAGGAGTATATTATGAATGGGCTTACTATTGCTGCCGTGGTTAAGGGGAAGGGTCCTTTTGCTACTGTCGATGATGTTGCAAAGGTTACGGGGTGGGGGCCTGGGCTTATCGAGGTTGATTGATCCTGATATTGGAATGTGGATGTAGCTTTCCTTCTGCTCCTATTATGATTTCAGAGGGAGCATGAGGGGGGTTTCTTTCCCGTTGTTTTGTTCTTTGCTTTGCGGGTTTGCGGGAAATAGGGCGGTGTTGTTCTTCGCTCGAACATTGCGGGTTTTTTCTCGACTTCATACCCTGTCTGTATGTATTTTTTTTCGGGGCGCAAGGCGCTATGCATTTGAGACTCTACATCCAATAATATAATATTATACGCCACTTAAATTTCCTAAATGGCCTGTTGATTCACTATGCTCCAAGCCTCTTCTCGTGTTAGGACTCCCTCTTCAAATATTAGCTCTAGAAAGCAACCCGACCCACCCCTCCTCTCCCGTCCCCTTCCCCTGCTTCTTCATCCACCCATAATACAAGCATCAGTACCACAAAAGTGTTTCGCTCTCTCGCATCCCCTGAAAAGCTTATCTGCATCAAGCTCTCCACGTCAAACCTACCTGAATCGCACGGGCAAGTGGGTACCTGACGAATTCCCTCTGCGACTGGCTAGCTAGCCAAACTACATCTCGTCATTTCTCGCAGATTGTTCGAGTCATACAAAATCAAATCCCCAAAACAGCCAGTGCAAAGAACAAAAGAAGGGCGTCTCCGGCAATAGCGAGAACACAAAAGGATGTTGGTTGGTTGAAGGGAAAGATGTGGTGAGGTTTGAACATGAAACAAAGGATTTTCTTGCGTGGCTTGATTGTCTTCTGACGGGGTTGTGGAAGGTGCAGTCTTCAGTGTAGTTGTATGATTTATGCATGGCGGTACAAATCGATGTTTTTTGATTGGCCGCGAGGTATCTCATATTTTCGGCAATCTCTCTCAGATCTCTATTCTATTCTAGTACTATTGCCCTTTTGGAGTTTCTTTTTAATGAAGAAAGCGTTGATTTTTTTTCTCTCTTCACAACTTATATCATATGAAGCTGTCTTGAAACGAAATCCAAGCTCAATTAGATGAAGCGTCAGTGAGGGCTTACATCATTTTGTCTGCTCCCCAGTAATCTTATCAGTGCAAGCACGTTGAGCTTACCTCGTCCCAACGATTCCAAATCTTCCCCTCACTTACACAACCCTCGACGTCCATGAAAATGCAACTTCATCGAATGCAGTGTAATGCGGTGTAGCCTCCAACCAATGAACTCGTTGCATCGCGCGCCTCCATCATACATACGTATGTAGGCTGACTACTTATACGGTCAATCCGAGATATCCGGTATCATCTTAGCTGAGGAAGCAATTGTGCGATAACCATTATCGCGATTACTGTTGATGTGAGTGGGTACATGGATGGATACGGTGCTGGGAGATAAGTTACACTGCATAGACGTACATGCATATATGTGCGGAGAGAGTGCGGAGTTAGGTGTGGAGACCCGAATGGAGGACGATTATGAGGGGAAGGATAAGAAGGTGAGCATGAGCAGTACATACACATCTACGTCTTGAACTTCGAGAAACAGATTCTAGATTGCGGGAAAGAATTTCCGTGTGCGCAATTGACAGGTTTTCTCTGTGAGTTCTTCCTTTCGTCGAATACAATGGTGATGAGAGTGGATCGCGTAATTCTGGCGTTTTTGTCAGTAGATGACTGAGGTCTAGTCAGTAATTAGTGCCTTTGGTCGACGAGCGCGACAGTCTGCAAGTGATAAAGAGTTATCACGACTATGAATGATTGCAGAATCTGATTTTGGGTCTCACAGTAATGCATTGGCTGACTTTTACGTCTGGAATAGAATTTGAAATATCTCAACGTTCTTCACCCGCACTCTGCAACTTTATATCGCACCCGCAAAATCAAAGAAATAAAACGAATTGAAGTCATACAACTACCCAATCCGATAATTGCTTGACCGAGACGGTTCCAACCCCATCAAAGACTCGCACAAAACCGGCAATGCCAGCCCATTCTCCCCGCAGCCTCGAACTCCTGATCCTTCAAGCGCACCGCGCCAAAGGAGTGCGCTACCCTCTCACCGCTTCCGCTCATAAGGACTGCTTCCGGACATGGTATTCTTACGCGCTTCGTAAAGGAGGTGCCGAACGAGCGGCGACGACCCGGAAAGATTTTGAGGACTATGGGAAGTATTTGAGAGATGCTAGGGACAGGGTGCCTGGGGGAAGAACATATTTGTAAAGAAAAAGAAAAACGGGGAGTTCTGTGGGAACGAAAAAAAGAAGTTGTAAACGATTTGAAAGAGGGAGACAGTAGTGTCGGATAGAGGTGTAGTGCAGAAGAGGGAAGTGACGTGATAATGAGTGGGATATCATTTCATACCGAAACCGAAAATTAAGGTCGACCGCTTTTGGTATATTAATACACTTTAATGGGCTCCGCTGGTTCTGTATAAGAATCCTTTTCGGGGGTTGCTAGAGTATACTCCGAATTGGGTTCTTTATCGTGCGTGCAAGTGTAGCTGCACTCAGTATTGTCGTACACCCAGAACACAAACTTTCTCGCATTTTTTCGAATTGAATATTTTTTCCAGATGCGTACCGAAACAAACTATACGACTTTGCGCACATCAGGACTCAATGTCAACGCTCTATCTAGACTTTGAGTTATGTCTAGTCCCAATCAAATGTCTGGTAAAGGAGACTTGAGATGCTGCTTCATTGTGTGTATAAGTACAAGGTGTGTTATGTGTCCAGTCCTAGGGCTCGCCTATATCTGTGATGTATATCATATTTCCTCACAAAGATACCATGCAGCCAATATACTATACTGCCTAGAGGATCCAGCGACCGAATACGAAGTTGATTGACTATCAAAGACCAACCCAACTCCTCGAGTCACTTTTAGATCCATCTTCATCGGAGCGTAATGTAGTGTTCCAATGCCCAGACTCCAACATGTGTGTGAAAATATACGAACCGTGTTCGTTAGCTCCTCTTTCGACCCGAACAGCCCAATCGCCACCGAGTGCTCCTATTATTTCATCGCTTTCCCCATCAAGCTCGCCAACACAATGAAATTGGGAAGAGAGTGTCCGCAGCTCAATGTCCCCCGATCTTTTATGTATATTCTGGCTACGCAGTAATGGGAAAAACGGCGCGCACACGACGAACTGGCATAGAGCGGCGCCCCCAATACTCCAGATAACGAAATAAGATTCTGTCAATGTTTCAAAAAGAGCGGAAGCCTGTATGAGAGCTATAGTTCGGAGTGTACTCATTGCCATAACACTTCATTGAGTCAGCTTAACGGAAATAGAAAGAAGGAGATTGTATGGACTTGACATACCAGGGTCCCATACTGAACAAGAAGCCCAATGCGAGAACATTGCGCGTACTAACTTCCAGCTTCCAAACCCCGATCGCGCCGATAATCAGCGTTGCGGTGTCGATGACGATATCGCCAACACCCATGACCATGTACGGTATTGTTCGGTCTTCGATGCACTCGGCACTCGCATGTGTTGTTGACGTACTCCATAATCCGGTAAGTGGACGGCATGCGAGTAGCTCGAAGAGAATGGACCCCGTGGACCAGCTCAAGATGACTGCAAGGAGGATCCAGGAAAGGGTATGAAGTACGCGGGCGGGGAAAACTTGCTGGAAGAGTAGGCAGATGGAAAGCTTGATGAGAGCCATGACCAGATGATCAATGACTTGGAAGGCGAGAAAAAGCTGTTCATATACATCTGAGCTTTACCACTATATTGTATAGGAGGAACCCATGGTCTCGGGTAGGTACGTACCTTTACTATCCGTGCTTGCAGCCCGGAAGATTCTTCTCTATCCTGTTGTTCCGCGTTCCAAAAAACAGTTTCTTTCAGATTGTTGTTAAAATATATTGCGTGCATAATTGATCCGGAAGGAGTAAGATGGACTGGAAGACATTCATACCGAGTACTGATGCAGCAACTAGGCCATAGATCAAGAACTGTGCCGCCACCACCAAGGAGTCGTCCGCAAGAAGCACCCTCCTCACGCCTCTCAACTGTTTGTTCTTCTTCTTGTTTTTCTTTCTAGCAAGAATTCGGAGGACCGTGCAGCTTGTGCAGATGACGGACAGTGAGACCACGACTCCTATGACCACTCGGGCTCGATGCGGAGGTGGAGAGGGAAAGAACCGGTCCTCGTCTGGTTCATGCATTCTCAGACATTCTTGGGGAAGATTTGTTGGGAGTTGAGAAGAGAACGTGTAAGAAGAAAGAAGAGGAGAATGATTGAATGAGTGCGAAAGCCTCCGGAACAAGATGCCGAGAGATGTATAAAAATGAGAAACCGAGCAGAGATGAAAAGTAAAATGAGTGAGATCACAGATAGCGTCAGCAAAAAGAAGAAGAGGAAGAGGGTTTATTGCATAGCAAGCCACGTTTGGACAAAAAACAAGCAAGGGGCAAAGGAAAGTGCATAAGAAAGTAACCAGCAAGCCAGAAAAGAAGCAAGGTCCTCGTATAATATAATACATTTTTGATTCGCACTACAGCTTATCTTTCAGAGGCTCTTCCCTCTGGTCCCATTCGTTCGTTGTTCCCTCCATTCTCCCGGTAAGCCACTCCATCTTCACTTCTGAACGTCATCTGCTCATTCGAATCATCGGGAACCTATGATTCCCCTTATTCACAAAAGAAGAAGGAAGACAGGGAACTTGCTTGTTCTCGTGGCTCAAAAACGTTCAGCCGCTTGGCGCGATGCTGCGGCTGAGGAACAATGATTGGTTTTGGCGCGCGACACCCCATGTCTGTGCAATCAGTGTGTGTGGATGGCTTGCTGTGCTGGCTGTCCAAGGAGAGACATAAACGTAGCTCAAAGCAAGGGTACAGTAAAGTTGTGCCGGGCGGACCAATCGGTGGTAAGCGAATGTACAAGGGATGCATGGCTGTATAACTCAAACCAGACCAGGTGGTAACCTCGACTTCACAACGTGCAGCGTTGTGAAGTGATGGGGTATTTTTCTTTTATTCGAACGTAGATGCGCGTATAATCTGTAATACCTGGTCGTTCTGTGTCCCCTATAATCTGGGAAGAAATGCGATGGTTGTTTATGAATAAGATGACGCTTGGTTATCTCTGCCATTCAGCCGAAGTAATCAATGTCGCGTCACAGATTGAACGCGTTGATGTCAGCTGCCTTGTCGCTATCCGCGCTGAACGAAAGCACATGGGAAATCGGTTGACAGATGGGAATCATGTGAGACGGGAACTCCCTGTCGATTATTATATGCTGGAGGTTGCATATTGCCGTTGCTTCCATGATGATAAGAGGCATAAGATCTTCTATGCAGTAAATACAGTAGTATACATCGACGTACCTATACATATCTATAATACATCTATGCTGTCCTGTCGCTATGCACTTCAACTTCCTCCTCCTTCTTCGTTGTCTCGTACCTCTTTCCCCTGAAAGCGTACACTCCCCAATTACTACACGTTACGTCGTGTGGGTCCAGATCGTTCATATCCCACCTCAAGCTCCTGAAAATGTTCTCTCCAGGTGTCAGCAGCATATCCATCTCATTGCCGTAACGGTTCTCAAGATGCTTAACATCTTGTTCCATGTCCCATGGCGAATAGCCTGTTGCAATGATGGGAACCTTAGTTTCCAGGAGAAGAGGAATAGTCTCCTCCCATTCGTGCATAGAGGCGGGATTGCCGAAACCTGGATGGAAGCAGACAAAGCAGTCGAAGTAAGGGTCGTAGGGGTAGAAATGTCCGGTCTTGTGGATGTTGTGATAGTGTTCCACAAAGGTGCTAATCTTCATAGCATTGGAGATTCGGTCTTCGACAACAGCCCCGAAGGGGTTCCCAGCAGATCGTTCGGGAAGAGGAAGTTCTTTCTCTCGGTTGGCCATACTTTCGGGCCCGATAAAGTGCATGGAGAATTGTACACGGTGGAACAAGTATGCTAATTGCATCCAAGTCTCTCTTGGGAGCGACGACTCGGCGCGAGCTCCGAGAATGAAGAGTCGTACGGATGGCGGTGCGATGCGAGGATTGTTCCATGTGTCTCCGCCACCAGTCCGGGGAGGATGTAGAGAATGACGCAAAGCTGAATGACAGTCAGTGTAAAATTCGACACATCAAGTAGGCTTAGAGTATAAATTTACCTGTAAAACTCTTGAGTCCATCAGGCGTCATACGTCCGTTTTTACGGATGTTATACGGGCTCATCTCGTTGATGATACTCGCAATTGTCATTGGGTAAGTTAAGAGTTTCGTGGCTTGTCGCATCTCCCGATCCGAGTTCAGCGCATCGAAATCGCGCGTGTACAGATACGTGTCCCAGCTAGACATGTTCGCTAGAATCTCTTCAATCTGGGGTTGGGCGAATTGGAACTCTTTGAAGAAGCGCCCACTCCTCAAGTCGTGATCGTCCTCATTAGCCTGCCTCAGAACATCGCAGACGTCCAAATGCGCCTCGTAGTCATCTGCCCAGTGTTCCTCACAGCAGTAAACTGGCACGCCGCAGTCCGGGCACTCGAAATCGACGTGGGCGGGGGGAGTGCCCGAGTCGAGCGACTTGCGCCCCTCAAAATCTACGGTATTGTGAGGCAGACGTGTAGCCTTGTGATCGGGATGAGCGCAGTAGGCATGCTGTCTCATGAAGGCCGCGCGCTTTCGTATCTCGGGTATGGGCGAATGCGTGAAGGAATGGAAAAGATTATCTTCATCGAGAACCAGCTTGCGTTTGACACCCTCTGGATCGATGTATTCATATGGCTCGAAGGGCTTGTCGAACTTGCGACTCGGTGTCGTTGAGATCCCCCGGCGGGGTAGGGACAGCTTCGAAGTTGCGGCGGAAGTGGTAGAATGATTTCTGTGAGCGAAGGGATGGTTTGGAATGATGCGGAGGGATGTCGAAGGGCGCAATTGGGACCGCGATGTCTTCAGCACAGTAAGACACCGACCGCAAGTATAAGGAGACCTCATGACGGGCAATTGGTTCTCCGACGAAGCAAAGATGATTTCACCAAAGCCCGGATGGTGAGATGATACGTTCAAGCATCCTATTGATGCCAAGGCTTTAGCTCTCGGAGAAACGGCCGCCGATGAGCCTCTAGACCTCTAGACTACCAAGTACCAACTACAACCATCCCATCCAACATCCTCAAAAATGAACCGATAGACCTGTGCCATTGAACTCGCAACGTGTGCCACCCCGCAGTTCATTCCTTTTTCTACCCCTGTACGCCATGACATTCATCAAATAATAAGGTGGTGAACCACAGACCAAGTTCATGTTACTAATGTCTACCGACAACGGCTCTCGTATTCTGTAAATACTCTCCGCACGCACAGCAGCGTGTACTACCTTTGTAATCCAACGATTCCGTGAGTAATCGACGATCCTTTCTCAAGAAGGATCATCTGTTCGCGTGAATACACCTTTCGTAAATCTGAGTCTGGCCCCATCTGGGACATCACCTGCAGTATCTGCAGACTCGAACGGCTCTCCTGGCCCCCTCCCGTCAAGCACAGCACTGCAATATCCCAAAACGAGGAAATCGACAGATAAATCCAGCCATCTCGGCCCTCGCAGAAATCTCACCCAATAGTGCGCTTCTCCAACTATCCAGATCCGGTCTCGTGCTGCGAGCTATCTCACCTGCATGCTTCAGCCTCGCGCAAACCCCAGTCCAGCTCTCGTGTTCCGATCCTTTCCTGGGGTATATGTTCTTCTTTTATATTCCCAGTCGTGAAGAACTCCGTGCTCTACGAATTCTGGATTGTGATTGCCTGGGTATCAGCGATGGATTGGGTGTTCGACGTGGGAGATGATACCTCGCTAGCATCATTGACATGATAGAGGGTTAGGGGTCTGCTGTCAGTCGGTACAAGGAGTTTTAGGGGCCCCTGTGTGTTGAAAAGCTCGACCGCTTTGATACTTATGATGATGGAGAGAATCTGATCATCTAGAGCCCGCGCAGCTCATATCTCTCTTATTTGCTCTCTTTCTCTTTCTGATTCATGACCTGAAGCCATCTTCGCTCCTGGATGCTCATATAGTATCATTCGAAACACTCTCTGCCGAGCTACGAAAACGTTGCTACTGAGAAAGCAAATCACAATGCATTACTCACGATTCCATAAGCTTGCGCTCACCAGCCTCACTTTCGCAAGATTGGCAAAGGCGTCCGGCCCAACATCCATCTTCATAAACCAAGTCCCAGAGTACTCATCGCTTTCTTCATGTGCCGCAAATGAAGTCAGCACGATAGTGCGGAACATGAAGGATGGATGCGGAGATGGCTCTCGGACGACATCTTTCGATTGTTTCTGCTCAACCAGCTCGTCACACTTTGCAAGCCTAATCGATACTCGCGTACTAGATGCGTGTTCTGGCGAATCTGAAGCTGGACAAAACGGAAACGCCGTCGATGTGTTTGGGAAGTACTGTGAGCTGTCAACATTAACAATGAGTAAGTGTTTTCTTTGGCATAGAGACGTTCCGATACCGAACTCACTTTCAATTACAGAGTCGTCTTCGTCCGATTCGCCGTCAACCACAACATCGCCATCAGTCACATCTTCTACGCCCGTGCCATCGTCACCGACAGCATCGCCAGCAGCAGGTCTTTCCACAGCATCAATCACCTCCGCGCAAGCAGAATCAACATTCACAAACGCATCATCGTCCACCAACGCCCTAGCTTCTTCCACGGGCACTTCCCCTCAGCCCACCGAGAAACCACAAAATGGCACATCAGTCATCACCATAGCAGTAAGCGTAGTAGCCCCCATCGTCGCAATCTCTCTCGGGATCCTAGCCTTCCTACTCTACCGCCGGCGAAACCCACCCCCAGCACAAGAAAAAGCAAGCCTCTCTGAACTCTCCACCGAAGGTCAGATCAACGAGATCAACGCCCATAAGGAAGGGCGACAGTTCGACCATATATACGCGAGTAGGACAGCTCCGGCTCCGGCTCCGGCTCCTGTCGAGATTGCGGGCTTCGAGAGGGCGGAGATGGGTGGGGGCGAGACGAGGGCAGAGCTTGCTTCGCCGACGGAGAAGTCGGGGGTTTCTTTGGAGGCGTATCAAGAGTTCCAGGGCTTTCCTCGAAATAGAGATGGAGTTGCTCACTTGTAGAGAGGGTTTACCGACTGAAAGCGTGTCGTGTAAACCGCTGGCTACACTTATAATATCAAAGGTTGCGCAAGTGCGTTATTGGAGGTGTTTCCAGCGTGAAGAAAGGGATCATGAGACCTGAAATAATGTTTAAGCACAAATGCGGACCTCCTGGGGTTTTATGTATCATTAGCGGCGGGCTAATATGAGATCACGACCTGGCACATGTTGATGATGACTGCCGCTGTAGTCTGCTTCGTTTCTCCGAGAGCTGCACGAACGCTTGCTAGTGTTGGTCTCCCTCTCAATTAATATACACATGGCAGTAGTACTTATCCCCTCTTTTCGTCCGAGAGACCAGAAATACTTCTGTCAACAAGAATTGTAGCGCTCCGAGAGACATGTAGGCACGTTGACAGACAGTTAATTACGGTTTCATGTATTCAATAGCGAGAAGACGGACGTTTGTTATTATACAGTTTGAGAGCAAGTTACAACTGGCAATCTCAGCCCCTGACTTAAAAATCAATACCATCCTAGCAATCTTCCAGAACTTGCTTTATCCAATCTTTACATTCCTTTACACCCAGAACTCACCAGCCAACCACCTCTTGACCATGTCCGAAGAGGCCTCGGGCTGGTCGTATGGCACCATGTGGCCGCCAGCATGCAGCCTCATGAAGGTGAAGTTGCCACTTGACTTGACCTGACCAATCTTCTTGCCGTCACCACCGAGGAGAAGATCCTCCATGTCGGCCTTGGCATAGTCCTTCTGACCGGGCCACTCAAGGGCCTCAGTCCAAGCCTTGTTACCGAGCCAGTTACAGATGTAGTCGGCATCACCGGCGTAGACAAGCACGGGAATCTGCTCAAGAAGGCCAGGAACGACGCGGTGGTAGGGCTTCATCCAGTCACCCTGGAGCAAGAAGTTACGGTTGATGTCAAAGTTGCAGCTGTCGTAAGAGCCAACCTCAGCGCCAACGGCCTTCATGACTTCCTTCTTGTTGAGGAAAGAGCTGATCCAGTCGATCTCATCGTAGCAGAGCGAGTTGTCACCGCAAGGACGACGAACATCGTAGACGTTCTGGCCAGTTCGCTGGTAAGGACCGATCATTGCGTTGTTGCAGTAGATGGAAGCCGGAACACAGGACCAGACGGACTCGGAGTTGTAGCAGTTCTCAATGAGACTAGCGCATCGTGGGTAGGCATTGTCCATAGATGCACAGGAGCTCTCGTCAAGGACGGCTGGCCATCCGCCCTCGCCGCAGGCCATAGGGCGGTAGTACTCGTACTGAGTGAGACCATCGGTCAAACCGTTGCCAATCAGGACAGACTGGAGGTTGATGTTGCGCTTCTTGTGGGAGAGAATCTCGGAGGCGAAGACGGGAATGTAGTGACCGGCATATGACTCTCCAGAGATGTGGAAGCTCTGCTTAGAGTACTCGGGGAATTGCTTGAAAAAGAGGGTGAGCAGGGCATAGATGTCCTTGCCTGCAGCGACGGTGTTGCTGACGGAGCCACCGCTGTACGAGTAGCCAACGTTGACGGGCTGGTCAATGAAGATGACTGAAGCATTAGCGTTCCAGGAGAAGTCATTGTACTTGACTTTGCCATCCTTGGTGATGGCGCCAGGGCCAAGCTCCATGAACAAGCCCATCAACGACGAGCAACCAGGACCACCGTTGAGCCAAAGCACGACAGGGTCGTTCTTGGGATCATTCCGGGACTCGAAGAACCCTTGGTGGCGAATTAGCTTACGACTCCACTGAAGTTTGAGGTCAGGCCATGGAGGTACTCACAGTAAAACAAATGCTTATCCTCCTCCTCGTCATCAAGGTAACCGCTGTACTGCTTGACCGTGTCTACGCCTAGCACGCTCGGGTCCACCGTCTTGGCCCTCAAGTTGTAGTTCTCAAGCTTGCCATCAATCTCACGCTCCTTCTCGCCTTGGGCATTTTCGACCCAGACGCTCTGGATATCGGCACCCTTGACGACGTGTTCCCACTCGCTATCAGGTTTACGGGTGTGAGGCTTGGGTGGCGAAAAGAAAGATGCCTTGTCAAAAGACTCTGGGAACATGAGTGCTACCTCATCCCAGACTCGGCGGGCCTCGCCGGAGAGAGACTTGAGAGATTCCTCAAGGTTGTGGAGTGGCTTCGTCCAAGACTCTTTGTTTGCGACGTCTAGAAGCTGTTCAGGCAGCTTGAGAACCTGCTGTTGGGGGGAGACGGCCGCAGTGGCGGCGCCGACCAGGAGCGCAGAGGCAGCGACCTTCATGGTGGCGAGGAATAGAGCTTCCGGAGCTCTAGCAGGCAGCTACGGTTGTGTGTATGGATGTGGCTAAGACTCCTCACTGGATGGCGAGAAAGTAGTAGATGAAGATGTCGAGGAGGAAAGATGGATGAATGAAGTGATATGGGATGGATGGGGAGGGAATGAGATGGAAGGAGAGAGAGAGGCGGAGTAGTGGTGGGTGTGGGTTGTGTGGAGATGGATGGATGCGTGGATGGGTGAGCTCAGGTACATACATAACCGGGGCAACGAATGACGCATGCAAAGCTGAGAGGGAGCTTATCGGGAGGCTGGGGCAGGCTAATCGTGCATCACGAGACGTTTCATAGCCCACGCGGCAGGTCAACCGACTCGCCTCTGCCTACTTAGGCAACCATTCTGCGCGTTTCCAGATGAAATGCTCTTTAGAAGAATTCTCGGCATGTTGAGGCCCATCACATGCAACGGTGAGGGCATGTCTTGCACGTCAAGTCGAGTTGTAACCTTTGCAGCAAGTAAGCGTCCCGTATGTACCTGCAGCTCCCGGATCGGGACTAGCGTGAATGGAAGGCCGCATTGGGGCTAGTCCCGGATTACGGATGAATCATCCTGAGTAGGCACGTTGGTGGTGGGGTCAAGCTTCCCCACCAAAAAATCATCCCGTCCAGCAACTCGTCCAAGAATCCATATCAAGGCAGCAACCTGAATACTTATTCGCCTTCGCCCATTTGATCACACGCACACACACACACACAAACACTCTCGTACTATACACAGCCATACTGAACCTCCCTTTGACCGTCCAACATGCCCGTCGGCATCAACCAACCCTCGAACCAGATCAAGCTCACCAACCTTGCCCTGGTGCGCATAAAAAAGGGCAAGAAACGCTTCGAGGTCCCCTGCTACAAGAACAAGATTCTCGACTACCGGAATAAGATCGATACAGAGCTCGACAACATCCTACAAATCCACAACGTCTTCGTAAACGTCAACAAGGGCCAAACCGCCTCCAAAGCCGACCTCGACAAAGTATGGCCAGGCAAGCAACGCGATGACATCATCAGAGACATCTTGGAGAACGGCGAGATCCAGACGGGCGAGAAGGAGCGCGGCGCAGAGCTGGAGCGCACCAAGAACGAGGTCATCGACATTGTCGCTTCCAAGCTCGTCGATCCTAAGTCGAAACGAGTCTACACGGCCGGCATGATCGAAAAGGCCCTGAACCAGCTGAGTTCCCAGGCAGCCGCACAACCCCAACAAAAGTCTGGTCCCGCCGATGCCACGACCGACGCCGAGAAACCAAAGGAACTGCCCAAATGGGCGGGTGTGAGGCCCGGCAAGGACGCAAAAACGCAGGCTCTTTTCGCCATGAAGGCCCTCATCGCGCATCAGCCCATACCTGTGGCGAGGATGCAAATGAAGCTGCGAATCACTTGCCCAACCTCCGTCTTGAAGCAGACTGTTAAAACCCCACCAAAGTCTTCACAGGCTGATGATGCAAATGGCGCAGACAAAGGTCCTGCCAATGTCAAAGATACCATTCTGGGATTCATCGAGACTGTACAAAGCCAGGAAACTGAGGGGTCGGAGTGGGAAGCTGTGGGGCTTGTTGAACCGGGGACGTTCAAAATGCTCAACGAGTTCATCGAGAGTCAAACCAGAGGCCGAGGAAACGTCGAGGTATTGGACATGGCCGTCGGCGCAGATGTATGAGCGGATCTGCAAGCGCATTCCCTCCAGGTCATGTCTTTCCCCAAGCGCACGCACTGCGGTCATCGCACTTCCGTACATGGGCAAACAAGGTCGCGCCCGACCCCACGCCCGCATGCCGACCGGCATGTCTATACCCTCACGGCCTCACTCACAGCGCTACGCGCGCCAGCTTGCGTGATCACGAGATTCGGATATTATTGCCACTCTTTGGCTGTCAAGCTCTTATTGATCAATCCCAAAGCTCCCATCATAGGACACCCTGCTGGCACGCAAGCACAGAGAGTGCCAGCGACACCTCGCCCCACGGTCGGCATCATGCATGTACACATAGCGGGCAAAACACACATCTATCATGTAGACAATCATATCCCGTTCTTCACATTCTTTCCTCACAGTGAAATCGTGGATTACCTGAATCGTTCTGGCTTGTCTTGCCTTGCTTTTATCTCTGCCAGTCGTGAAATATTCCCCCCGACAAACAAGTGATTTCCCAAACAAAAAGACCAAGGAACGAAGAACAAACACATCAAGCGAACAAGTCGTGGTGCCCAATTGCATCTCAATAACAGTAGATTGGGTTGGGTTGCCTAAGCACCTAAATAGCGTGGGGGGTAAAATATACATATGTAGGTAAAGTGCACCTCTGTATACGTGGATACACTCAACCTTCGCTTCTATACACTCTTCCTGTACAAGCCTGGCGATCGTATACTCGGCCACTCAGCGCATGACATGTGTAGCTACACCACTCCTTTATATGTACGTAGCTTACATATTCCAACAACGACAACAACGTAGAATGCAGGGTGAGACCTCGCATGCATACATGCATGTGCGTGGGCCGGTAGATCTAACGCCCTCTCGCGTGGCTGCAGCAGTGAGGAAGGGTAGGAGAATGAGGTCTTGTGGGGGGATTGTTTGCGATTTGCGTCGGTAGGTAGGTATGTCTTTGTTAGCTTAATTAGTCTGTGGGAAAGCAGGGTGTGTTTTACAGAGAAGAAATCTTGTTTAGGTTATGGAGGGGGTTTTTGAATATAATGTGGGCGTATGTCGTGGAACATGCGTTATATTATGTATCTTCTTGAGCTTTTCAAAGACTGCGTTACATATACGTGTAGAGAGTAATCACGGGATCGTGATTGAATCAAGCTATACAAAGGAAGTACAGACTTTGTCTTCTCTCACGTACTTGAAAAAGTGCATATAACTCTACAGCAACTTTGCACAATCACTGGTACAACCGAAAAATGAGATGAGGCATTATGTACTTGTTTGAATTCGTTATAGTTCGTAGATGGGAAAGAGAGCCACGGGGTTCTGGCCCCAGCTACATAGATACAGAACTCTACATGTACCTGTCTGCAGCGCCCTCTTTCTATATGACCACATGTGATATGTGCTAGATGCTAATTTTCGTTAAATGTCGTTAAAAGGCCGTTTCCCCAAGATGCTAGAGTAGGAAATATGAGGAGAAACCAATGCCCAGTAGCCCAAAGAATAACAATGAAGAGACTCGCGTGTTGAAGCCAACGAACTGAGAAAGAGACATGAAATAGAAGAGAAGGGCCCTGATCCCGATCTTGAGATTCGACCCATGTGCCCACCGTGATCTTCCTCACCCTACCTCAGGCATGCCTCAAGATAAAACTCTTCGTTTAGGCACCCCAGTCCTTCATCTTTTGCTCGCAATCTCAATCCCACCACTGCCTCCCCACCCTCCCATTCCCACTCAAGATACCCAGAACCTCTGAACTGCAGGTGCGAAACCCCCACATTCTCAACACCATCTCCGCAATGACCGTCCACTCGAATCCGCGAATGTCGTACAGATCCAGAACCACCCGCACAAGCCAGGGGTCATACATGGGCACGCTAACATCCTGATACATGGACAGCGCGGAAGCGAACATGCCTGAGGATGACGATACTGATGAAGGTTGGGGGAGAGGCATGGTTTGAAAGCGAGGAGTGCCGATATCCAGATGGCGCGCTCGCAGAGCTGGGCGCATAGGCTGAATCTGTGGTGATGGTGAGGATGGTGATGGGGAAGGGGGTGCTGGTGATCCCGAGGAGAAGAGTCTGTACTGCGCTCCGTCTCCGTCTGTGCTCTCCCCTTCAGTTGGGGAGCTGGAAGCGGTAGAGTCGGCACTTGATGTGCTATCGGATAGGAAAGAGTCTTTGCTGAGTTTGGTTCGGAGCACCGCTTTGCTCCTCTGGCTCAGGGTTTGCAGCGTATCATAGTGGGGTGGCAGCTGAGTGATGGTGCCGGTGGATTTTGAATAGGGACTGTCCTCGATTGGGGTTATGGATACCCTGGATGTCGGCGAATCGAATGACTGGGAGCGATGAACGCGGATCTTAGGTGAAGGTGTGCGGAGTGGTGGCGGGTGAGTGGCGGCTGCCATCTTTATAGACGGTCGGAAGAGCGCACGCGGAAGGGCAAAAGCAACGGGACAAGCACCTCCCGGGACAGTGGAAACAATCAATTCCAACCAAGCGGCTGGAGGGGTCGAGAAAAAGAAGAGTTTGGGGGTTATATTGTACACTGCAGGCTGGAATTTCAATGTGGTGTGACACCAGATGGGAAGCAACGCCAGTGGAAAAGGAACAAAACAACAAGAGGGTGCAGATGAAGAAAAGAGGCGGCCTAACCGACCGAACTGACGGTCCGCGAGCTGGCAGAGACATGGTTTCCTTATATGACCCGCGACAGTTGCCCTTGCGCTGGTCCTGCATGAAGGATGCAAATGAAAGCTGCAGCCATGCCATGGGATCCGGCTGTACTGCGAGGCCAGGACGTAGTGGAGAGGCGCTCGGCATGCAGTGAGACCCGTTTTCGATTCATCGTACAGGACGCGGGGAAGGGCCGGTCATGTTTGAATGGCTCCCTAGAGGAGAGGAGAGCGAGGTAGTCTTGGATGTACATCGGGTCACAGTCAATGCGGCTGGAGGCTAGCTACAGTGCTCTTTTTCCACTTGGTTGCTTGATTCCCTTGCTTGTAGGAACGTTACGGTCGATATTTGCGAGGCGAGTATTGTAATTGAACAACAAAGTTTCCATACGATCCGCCTGTTGTACAGTCAGGCGACCTCACGCCCCAATGCACAAATTGTGTTGTTCTCTCCAGACTGGAGCGGACTGACAGGGGTGTACGTGGTGTTCGGCCGCATATGCATGAGAAGCCGCAATTCTCCAATCGCCGCGCCGCCCAACTAAAACACCAGTGGGGGATATCCGCCCGTGATCGTCGCTGTTGCACTTGCGTCGTACCGAAACAAATGGATATGAAATGCCGTGACACGGAAACCGGTGGTCGGCCATGGACAGCCTGATCAAATCTTCCGGCCGTCGGGCACATCACGTTCATCATGCTGCTCGGCATCAAGGAGAGAATTGAAGATTGGATCATATTGTGATTTTTTGGTATAGGCTGTGTTACCTAACCTTTGCTATACCTCTTCATGTCGTCCCAAATCGTGGAAAGAGCCCCATGAAGCATAAGCGTAAAAGCCAATGAATGCCCTTGAAGAACTCCGCAGAAGTCATGCCCCACACCACAGAAGCCCCAGCTGCCCAGCAAAAGCGAAAACATTTATCCCTTCTTCTTGGACACACCAACGGTGCGACCACGGCGACCGGTGGTCTTGGAGTGTTGTCCACGCACGCGGAGACCCCAGTAGTGTCGGAGACCACGGTGGGCACGAATCTTCTTGAGACGCTCGAGATCTTCACGGAGCTTGCTGTCGACACCGTTGGCAAGGATCTGAGAGTTCTTGCCATCGACAATGTCGCGCTGCCTGTTGAGGAACCAGGTGGGGATCTTGTCTAAGAGGGTATCAGTTTGGTCGAAAATTTGTATGATGGGGTAGAAGCGTACACTCGAGGGGCTTCTGGAGAATGGTGACGATGCGCTCAAGCTCTTCGGAGGTGAGGTCACCGGCGCGCTTGCTCAGATCGACATCGGCCTTCTTGCAGACCAAGTTGGAGTAGCGGCGGCCGACACCCTTGATCTTGGTCATGGCGTACATGACCTTTTGCTTTCCATCGACGTTCGTATTCAACAAACGGATGATGTACTGGAAGCTGTTCCAAAGTCAGCACATTGTAGTTCGATACTCGTGCGCGAGTATAACAAAGATCGTTGGTGATCGATGAGAGGTGTCGTTTCGCAGCCCATGCCCCCGCAATACCCTCCGCCTTCCGCCAACGATTTCCAGACAGCAGATTCCCCTTTCGACCGGCCTTCTTTGACATGATGATAGCCACGCTCTTTGCGAGTCAATCATAGATTCCTCCCCGCGCGTTTGTTGCTTCATGTCCAAGGGTGGCTGCTACCTGGTTCATCGTGCGGAAGGCGGTTCGATCGCGGACGGCCGGAAAATGCGTTTACGTTCGGAGGTAGTGTTATTGTGCATAGATGGTGAATAGAACATACTTGGACTTCTCTCCTGAGACGAGAGCTATGAGATTGTCAGTCTTTGAATCGGTAGCCAGTGATAAAAGAGCATCGTAGATTCAGAGAATCTGCGACCCCAACGCGAATATGTGTAACAGCACACGGAGTGCCGTATCAACATTGCAATATGAAATCAAGCAGGAGTACTCACACATGATGGCGGCTTGTCGATGGCTCGTCAGTGATGTTGTCGAAAGGGCTTTAGCGAAGTCGAGGTTGATGCGTGAGGATTTTGGATGCCAGTGCCGAGTGTGCGCTCTTGGCATTTAGCTTATGTAACCATGTCGGTCCAATCAACGGTTTGCAACCTCTCGACTACTCGCCAGAATATTATCTCCTCTTTCACCAGCAGGGTGCCGATATTGTTAGATCTTATTGCTCGTTCCACGAAACAAAACTTTGATACCATCTCCTGCTTGACTAGCTGGGATTCACTGCTTCACTGATGCCGCCCGAGATGCCCGCCTTACCTTCGCAGGCTTGTTCGGCATGAACGTAAGATGGATTCAGCCTCACATGATGCAGTATGTTGCCTTTCAATCAAGGCTGAAATGCTCACGAGCGAGAGCGATTGCCTATCCTGAAGAACAGCCCCCTCTTGTGCTTGACGCCCTCCTCATCGCTTGCCGCCGAATTGGGGGCGAGGTAGACCACTGCGCCACACCCTAGAAGCGCATGAAGGCGGCGCCCAGTTGCCCTCCCAGTTGCCTGTAAGCAGGCAAACTGATCTCCCAATTGCCATATTATGTTCTGGTGGCATCGTTTTATGAAAGTTCTCTCAGGGCGTGCCCACCCCACTTCCATCTTGTTCAGCAGAACACCGATCTGTCTGCTGCTCGAACCCGCATATCATCGTTGAGGACTATGCAGGCAACAGGTGCCTTGACAACAGCCTGACCTATCTATACTGTTGTCTGCACCAACCTTTATTTTCACTTCTATTCACACATTAGACATCCGTTTCTGGGTTGCATAACTGAAGCGTTGTCCTCCTTCCCTCTGATTCACGGTTTGCTGGCTTGTTCAGCGACGAGTATCCTTTCTCCAACATGGAATTATACTCAGGACCCTCTCGATTTACATCGAACCCTACCAGGCGAGATACAGTATCCACTGTGGACAGTGATAAATATACACCGATACCTCCTGGCGATTGGTCTTTCACGCTCCACGGCAACTGTGCCAGATGCAATCACCATCACAAATCGGCTGTTGTTCATATCAAAATTCATGATAACTCGTCTGAAGCCAGCCATCTAATTTGTGAACACTGTCGACAGAAGTGGTTAACGATCGGAGGCGTGAACACCACCCAACTCTCCTTGTTGTCCTCCAGAACCACCGAGCTTGAAGCTGAGGACGTAAACTTTCGTCGCGCACTGATCAATATCATGCGGTCTACAACATCTGTAGCAGCCCCCACAGCTCTCTCTAGTGTGCCAGAGGCAACTTCGCGCCACTCTTCCAGGGACAATTCGACAAATCGTGTTGATTCGCAGCTAAACCCGAAGAAGGAAAGTGGTGGCACGCATACTATTCACGGTCATAGCAAAAGGATATCAGGAAAGTTCCTAGGAGGTGTGAAGCGTAAATTAAAAGAAACCTTTCCCATCTTGAGAAACGTTCATATCCGAGATTTTGTTTCGCCAATGAAGCTCAAGTCACCAGCCAGAGATGACGAACCTGAGCAACTCCGTGGCTCTTCCCAGATTTCGCCAGCGAGAGACGAAAGAAAACATGGTCATTCAAACCCCCTGGTATGGCTCTCATAAGCATTCTTATCCCGTATTTCATGGAAATTCTCCGCAAACACATACTGACTGTTGCCTCGTCTAGGAGAAGACGTACCCGTTGGAACATATCGACCAGAAGCAGACTACCGCTTTAAGCCATCAATCGTCGGAGAAATTAGAGAGAGTCGACAGAGAAGCATTGAAAAATATGACGCCACGTGAGCGGCATGCGTGGGTTCGTGACCAGATCAGTGATTTCAAATATCAACGTGCCCGACACAGTAATTCATCGCCGTCTTTCTCCATGGTCGACAGCAGCACCCAGGTGTATCTTGTCCCACCTAGCCCGAGCGGCATGCCTCGTCGACACTCACTCGAGGGATTGGGCAGTCATTTTGAGCATTTTGCTGCTGGCTCGCTGTTTCCGCAAGCTGGGCCCTTTACGATTAGCGCGACGAGAACTTCCGAGGCTGATACAGCTTTTGAAGTCGAGCGTCCAACTTCCAGTCGGCAAAGCTCAACTCTTGACATCTTTCAAGGCCCGCGACACAGATCATGGTCTCCACATCCCAGCTTCCTCTCGAATTCACAACAATCTTGGAGGCATCGTGACTACGCGACGAGAGACTCTATGGATTCGGTGCTGACTGGGGGCATGTCGAGCAGTCTGGTAGGTAGGCGAGGAATAGAGCGGGTATCTGTTGGCTCCCTTACGCATATGACATTTGGTTCCAGTAGAGTCAATACGATGCCAGGTGGCTCCAATCGTGTCTCACAAGACATGACTTCTGCATCCATAGATCACAGCATGGCAGAAACAACAAGGCCAATTACGCCCGGGCGGGCCCCTCAAACTTGACGCACCAGCGGAGATTCTAGCGGCGGGCCCGCTTTTTATTTGATCTTATGTGTTGTAATTTGGGGTGGTCATCTGTGCTATGCTTGCGCGTCTGATCCAACATGTTGATTCTATCACGAATTATTATTTATCTAGCAACCACTTTTCGATAAATCGTGAACCACCGCCTTGCTTAACCAGGGCAGAATGTCTGTCTTCCCGCAGGTCTCAAATTGCGATGCCGTCCAACCAACCGGAGTATTGTTGACACGGGGACTTGGCCGAGATGTTGCCTCGATCTCCATAGACCCCATGTCGGATGTCCAAGCTCTAGTATGAATGATGTATTCTGACCACCCCGTCATTGGCCGGAAGCTTTCCCGGTGCGGATCAGGATGCCATGAATGATACCTGAATAGGTAGTTTTGCGGTCAACTGTGAATTGATGAGGAGAGATACCCCCGCCAATGATAATGATGGGTACTGAATGTTCAGACTGCTGATGATGGCGTTCCGGTAGCGATCGGGAGGCATCTAGTCTACCGCGATAGGGACTTTACATATTAGGTACTCAAGTCACTACATGAGCACTAGAAAGATGCAGGACCAGCTTTTGTGAAAATTTTATATAAGGCATCCAACTACAGTTCAGACGTGCTATATGCGCAATATCCAAGTACGCCCGCTCTAATTTTAAGCCCACGTGTAAGGGTCCTTTTCCACGTTCTCGGGAATAAGGCTGCCTACGTCATCGCGGGGCCGACATATAAAAGTTTTGGAAGGTTCGTAACCTAAAAGACTAGATGGATATCCATGGCCCACATCCAGTCGTTTGATCATTCCAATGTTCGCATGTCAGACAGATTGAAACACGCTACTGCTCTACCGTGCTATCCACTGTGCGTCGCGTTTACCTTGTGTGATAGGTATAGCAAGCCTCTGAGCGCATCGACCTACCTATAGTATACAATTGATCAGCACCCCCGCGTTTCACAAACAACACGACATTCCTCCAAAGGCGCCACGGCGCACGCTTGCAATCAGGACGAGACGAAAAGACCAAGAACCACGCCATTCACCTGTCTTCCAACTAGCACTGCCCCAACGTCTGCTGTGCCCCTCTTACTGGCCGCGCTGAGCACCGCTTCTACCACGTCACCGCCCTCACCACCCTCACCACCCTCATCACCCATCTTGCTTAGGCCCCGCTCAACCCCTCTCTGTTTCCTTACCTACAACGACCATATTCACACTCCCTCAGTATGGCTGGCATCGTCTCCGGATTTGCCAGCGGCAACGGAGAGGGAACCGAGTTCCTTTCTATGCTACCTCCTCCAAAAGACGACCTCGCCCAATACGACAATACCCGCCCACACAATGAGCAGGACATCGAAGTCCCCCAAGTGTTCCACGATGCTATGTCGGTGAGGGAAGAAGTCTATGGGGAGCAGGGAATTCCCCTAGATGCCGAGTTCGACGAAGACGACGCGCGCAGCTGGCACTGGGTTGTATACGCATCCGTCGCGTCTACCGCAAGCCCACCCCCGAAGGACCTGCGCACCGACACACCCACTGATGGTGCCGATGGTGCCCGCCGCACCTCTTCCGTTGGAACACGTCTTCCTGTCGGAACCATTCGCATGATACCGCCTCCTCACGCCCCGAACAAATATCTCGATCAGCCCACCAGCGACAAACACATGGACGCGGATCCGCCGCGCTCGCTGGAGGACCACTCCTCATCCGATAACTCCAAGCACCCCTCAGAACCATACGTCAAGCTCGGTCGTCTCGCAGTACTGACACCTTACCGTAAACTTGGTCTCGCCAAGCTGCTGATCAATACTGCTATCGAGTACGCGGCTAAGCACCCCGACGACATATACGAACCGCCCTCCGCCACCACTGCCGAGAAGGCAAATCTATTCGGCATTCAAACCGAAGAATCCGCGCCCTGGAACGGCCTCATCATGATCCACGCGCAGTCTAACCTCAAACATCTGTGGGAGAAGTACGGCTTCGCTGAGGAGCTACTAAACGATAAAGGCCAAGTCGAGATATCAAAAGAGCCACATTGGGTCGAGGAAGGCATTGAGCACATTGGAATGTGGCGACGATTGCAGCTCGAGAACGCAAGGTTGTAGTTGTTGAGTGCTGCTCTTTCGGGCTTTCTGCCGCGTTCTTTTCTTGCTTATACTTTGCCCCATTTTCTTTGTTTTTTAGGTTCTTTGCTGCGCTTTGTTTGTTCCTGTCGTCGCTCTTTCGCGCTGCTTTCTATCCAAACTTTGAGATACGCTTACTCATCTTTTTGTGATAGGCGTCGGTTCTTGGGTCGAGCCATCTTGCGCGGTTTCAGAAAATGATTACTTTGCACATGGCGAAAGTTTCCATCAACAACCAGGAAAACCATGTTTATCCGGTTACTCCCATTCACTACGACTCTCATATTATCAATACCCTCAGAACTTCATCATTTCAGCACTGCAATGTAGAGGTGGGCAAGTGGCAACAGCGATGAGTGGGCTTGGAAACCAGACTTCCCTTTCTCTATCTCTCTCTCTCTTTTGTTCCTTATACCCCCGCTTCACCCCACCCGTTATGAAGACAACAGTTCATGGCGTGGGCATGAACCTTAACGGCCTTTACTTTTATTTTAATCTTCTCTCTTTATGGTGGCTTTTCCCCGAGGATGCATATGCCTACCCTACCGTCGAGAGCATGACCGCATCGACTACGGATTCAGGGATGGATGGCAAATTGGATATTACATGAAAAAAAGACACGGAATGTCATTTCAAGCACGAAACTTCCTTCTTTGTTTCTACCGTCTTTCATTCATATGCGGAGACAAAATATTTCGGGACGTAGGAGGACGAGGACGTGAACTATGACTTCATGTCACGCCTAAGACACTCGAGGTTCAAGAAATAGATGGATAGAACTACAAGAGGAAAAAAATTAGTTTTCCGATCAGGCACAAGAGCCATTTCCATATTGTTTGATTTTTGGAGTGGGTTTACTGCAGTCCAGTTTCACAGCCGATTCTGGATACTTGTGCGATTTGGGCCATTGCGATAAGTGAGATCTAGCACAACACAATGAAATTCTGTATGCAAGTACATGCACATATCATCCCCATTTACATATAAGATAAAACTGATTTAAAGTGTATATCGTCAGAGGATTCGATTCCAATATATTGGTTGATGAAGCAACAACTTTAGAAGTTTAGGAAGCAGAGGAGATGGTGAAAGAAGAGATAAGATATCCTGACCTTATACTTACGTATTTTCGATAAGGTGCTCCTTTACCATATGTATATATCAGAATGCTGGCCCACGTGAGTCACGCAGCAGCATTATATGTCCCAACTGCCGAGCCCGGACTCACTGGTATGATGTACAACGTCGTCTTGGACACCATCACATCAGCTTTAGAAATATCCAATACCATCATTTATAATTTCTAAGAGAAGCATAGTAGCTACAAGCCCGAATCATCTAGGGGGAAGACCTGGGATCTAGGCAATCGGAAAGACTCGACACAGTTTCACCCGCTCACTGATTTGCAAAATACAAATGGGAACCTCAGAAGCTACATCATGGAACCTTAAGGCATCGTGAGCTGAGTGGCAATATGCCAAGTGCGCGGCGGAATGACAGCTCTGCTGGCAAAGCTTGCACAAGCCATGGATTGGGGTTGGGGGAGCACTCGAAAAGTGTCACCAGAAGCCGCTGCCGATTTTATATCATCTCGCTATATGCATAGCTGCGTTCCTTCCGCCCCTCCCTCATCTGATATCATCGTTATCTACTTGGCGACCGCAATTTTACTCGTCCCTGTGAAACGGAGTTCGCCGAGCTAGGATGTGCATTGTGATGCTAATTGAGACAACAGGATCTTCGCATCATCAAAGTGCTCGGTGGTGACATACAGTTGTGGAGGATAGGAACTTCTTACCCGAGAAATCACATAAAAACGAATGACGATGCTGGAACACAAATGAACCGGAGATGCTGGGCAGAGAAAGATGTTGTCTTCTCGTTTGATGCGCATTCTCCTCTCATCTCACTTACATCTGATAGAAATATCCCATCAAGCGTATAGTGACTATCGGCCAAGAAATGAAAATAAAAACTGGAGTGCGAGAAACTAGTTGTTCGAGTACCCGAGATCACTACATCATGAGCAGCTACGGTATTACTGTCATCCCAACTCCATTTTCTCTCGCTGCATGTTTTTTTTCCTCCCAGTTTTCGCCCCCCTTTTGCCGGCCCGAAATTTGAAGGCAACGAGGCAACCAGATCGCCCTTCCCGAAATGTAGCGGGGAAGCGAGATTTAATATATAAGTAGGCAAACGGTATGTCGACAGCCTTGTTGGAGTTGGATTGAACATAGAAAACAAGCTTATCCGATACTTGAGGTACTCATGCATAGTAAGTGGTGTAGCCAACCCAAGAGGTTTATTGCATGGGGATGTGGCTGATGGGCTATTCGACCATTTTCCACTTTCGGAGTGGACGTCATGTGAGAGGGGTGCTGCGTTCTAAGGTCTTGTTCTGGCAGGTATTGTTTGATTTTCGTCATCGGGCATGGAATACGTTATAACCGTGTAATGTGGTATACGAACAACAGAGCTCACGCAATGCCATCACGAGAGTTTGCTAGTTTAAGAGGATTTGTAGAACCCCATTAACTTACTTCCCGAGGAGAAGATGGAAAAAAGAGAAGCAAACCATCCATTCCAGCAGCTACATACGACAAACCCAGCGCAAAGAAAAATACTCCCCCGCTACTCAAATGCGCGAGAAAACCAGTTTCAGTTTCCCCGGAACCGCGGTGAATTGATCCTTCATATCTCTGCAGACGCGCGTGCCATCTTCGCCCGGTGCAAAGGAGATGCGGTACTTGCTGACGAGAAGGGCGGTCGCGAATCGAATCTGGGCGAGGGCGAGGTCCTTGCCGATGCAGGAATGTCGTCCGGTGTTGAAAGGGTTGAAGGATTTGCGGTCGAGTATCAACTCTGGTTTGGAGTACCATCGTTCGGGGATGAAGGATTCGGGTTGGGAGTACAAGCGCTCAACTGTTCTTGTCAGTTTTGTATTTTTCTTCTGTTTGTTTTCACAGCATGGCGGGATTCTCGGAAGGGTTTCTGGGAATTAAGACTTACGTCGACCAATTGTATATCTCGGGGTCACGACAGTAATGTTCCCTGGGATCCAAGTCCCCGCTATAGACATGCCTTCAGGAGGTGTGTCGCGGTTTCCCCCCGTTGGAACCGCAGGGTGGAGACGGAGAGTTTCGTTGATCACCCCGTTCATGTGTTCTAAACCCTTCAAACCTCGTGAGTCGTCGACAGAGGGGAGCGAGGCCACTTCTTCGCGGATCTTGTCGGCATGCTCGGGACATGCTGCTAGTCGGTAGAATAGGTTGGTCATTGTCGAGGCAACAGTGTCGCTTTCATTGTCAAAATCGATCTTCGCTCATGTGCTGCGGGCTTTGCTCACCTTCCGGCTACTATAACGGCTGCAGAATCTCCGTTCAAAAAAGGTCTATCTTTCTCCACCGTGCTGTTTGACTTCGCATGGCGGATTAAGCAGGACGATATTTGGTAATGAGGTAAGTTTGGTAATAGGATGAACTGAAGAGGCTATGCTTCAACTCACATTTGTGTCCTCCGATTCAACCTTCATATTGTTTACATGTGTTATTAACGCGCCATTACACAAGACCAAGTTGCAAGGCTTACATTGATTTGCTCAGACATCCTGGCTGCGCACCAGGACATCATCTCATTCCAATCTCTGATAATCGGTATAACGGTGAAGCTCAAGGCCAGCTGCGCGAGCCACGGAACAGGGCTGACTGGACCGAGAAGACCTAGCGCTCGTCGCAGTAACATCACCGCATAATGCCACTCTTTGGTTTTGAGCATATCAAACGATGCAGCAAAAGCGAAATCCCCCATGGCATCGAATGCGAAGAAGTAGCACCACTGAGTCATATTGATGGACTGTCCGGCTGTGCGTTCAATGTGGCTTTCGAGATTTGAGACGTGTTTCTTGATCCGCTGCTCGTATCCCGCCATCGCTGTTGTTGTTAGCATTAGAACCGTTTTCCAGAGTGCCATGAACATGTCTCACTCTTGTAAGATATGGCCCGTTCCCATACTTTGCGCCGTTCATTATGCTGTCTTTTGTCCCGCATCGTGCTAAGCGAATTCATAGGCAGAAGTATATCGTACCAGGCAGACTTGGAGCACTTATTCGAAAATCCATGAACCGCTAAGGTAGCTTCCGGATGGAACACTGTGATTTCGGTTGGTCCTATGTATTGTAGAATCAGTAAGCGGTAAACATTGAGCTTATAGCGATATATACGTACCAGTCCTAACAAAATCCCCATATGTTTTGTGAAGCCTATCCAACACGAGATGATTCCGAGAATCAATTGTATGGGCCACGTGCCAAAGTTTCGTGACACTGGCTAAGGTTGGACCGGGAAAATGACGGATTCGATGGAAGTACAGCCGATAGATTGTAATGCTTGATAGTAGAGCAGTGAAGTAGCTTCCAGCCACCGCTCCAGTCTCCCAGATCCCCTCGTTCCAGTTCCCACTTGGGCCTCTGGTTTTTGTGTATCCTAGTGCAGCTGTCGCAAGAATGGGCAACCAGAAGAGAATTGGAGCCTTCACATGGTGCTCTCCACGAATGAATAGAACGAGATGTGACGTAATGCCGACAAGAGCTGCTAGGAGTATTTCTTGACCTACCCTGCTCTGAGCTGCTAAGAAGTATAGTTTGTTCATGTTAACAAATCGTTGTAACGTATCTGAATGAACGACCGGTCTGACTTTGGTTATGAAAGGTTGTCTAGCAAACCGGTTCAACAAAAAAAAAAGTGCTCGTACACGAGTGACTGAACGTGGTGTTGGCGCAAGGAATTCATGTACCTTTGATAACTGATACCAACCCATCACTCGCAAAGCTCGGAGCCCGAGACCTTTTCGAAGACCGAAATTCCAGATTGCATTCCAACCATTTGCTGAAAGAATTCCTGGTATGAACTCAAATCTGCGTTCGAATATCGTTCACACCGATGGAGCAGTGGCGTTACCCCGTCAGTTCTCACGCACTCATATCAGAACTTCTTGGCCTGCATGATGGTTCTTAGCTGAGATAAGATGGAGGCATGTCACTCACTCTATATATTTCGTTGCATGTCAGCATATGAGGAGTATCTCGCCTGCTTCCAGGCACATTTCCGCTCTCGATAGTCCCTCACTGTGAGACATGCGCGATGGGTTTGTTTTCGTCCCCGTGTGTTTCTCAATGCGGGTGGAAGGACATTCCCGCCAAGTGCAGGGGGTGGTGAAGGCAGCATGCTGCTGGAGGATCGTGGTAGATGTTTATGCATGAGCGTCTCAGTACAATAATGGAGAGGAATTTGGCTTTTATACGGGGAAAGAGCTTTGGGACATGGACGAGACAGCTGGAAAATCCGACTTTTATACGATTGACAGATCATCAACTCCATCGCCATCCAAAGATGTCTGAATCCAACGAAAATCACAAAGACTTTGTACGTCCTCTATCATCTCCTCTCTTACCTTGTACGCGTGCGAAGTCAACAACTAATCATTCATGCCAAACCCAGAACAAACCATGCCCAAACAACCGAAAACCCCCAAAAACCCACAATCTCTTATATCATTTACAAACAATCCATCTCTTCACTCGAAGCGACCTAAAAACAATCGTAGCACCCAGCACCTTCTTCGCCCTCATCTGCGCCTTCTCCACCCCAACCCTGCAGCTATCCCACTCCCCACTCCCAACTCTACACATCGTATCCCGAGTCCCCAAAACCGCGTTCTGGGTCTGGTGTAACCTTCTCCCCTTCGCAATCGACAACCAACGACAACCCAGCAGCATCGAAGAAGACAAGCTCAACAAGCCCTGGCGCCCCATGCCCTCAGCCAGAATATCTATCCTTCAAGCTACACATCTCATGGTAGTTTTGTATGCCCTAGCATTTACTATTAGCACGGTGATCACCGGGGGATCTGCGCAGTGTGTGATGCTTATGGGTCTGGGGTATTGGTACAACGAGTTCCACGGCGCGGATCGCGATTGCGTCGTGCGGAATTTCATCAATGCGTGTGGGTATACTTGTTTTCTGTCCGGCGCGCTCGAGGTCATGCTCGAACGATCGGTTTTTGCGTTTCCTGTGTTGGTTTACGAGTGGCTTTTTGTTATTGGGTTGGTTGTTTTCTCGACGGTTCATGCGCAGGATATGGGTGATCAGGAGGGGGATGGGTTAAGGGGTCGATGGACGGTGCCGCTTGTTGTTGGCGATGTGGGAGCGAGGTATAGCATTGCGGGGTTTGTTTTGGTGTGGTCGTGCGTCTGTGTGGGATTCTGGGAGCTTCATGTATATTCGTTGGTTGTGTCGATGTCGCTGGGTGGTGTGGTTGGAGAAAGGTTTTTGGGGTATAGGACAAGAGTTGGGGATCGTGTCTCGTTTCGGGTGTATAATGTGTGGGTTGCGTTTATCTTTTCCTTGCCGCTTTGGAAGACTTGAAGGGTGTATGGTTTGGTGTATGGAAGATGGATGTCTGCTCATTTTAGGGTTTTCGAAACACGGGCTAGGTGGCTGTTTTGTTTGATGTGATTTTCTAGAGACAAGGCGGTCGATCAGATCAGAACGGGGGAGTGATAATGTAAGATGATGATGACATTACAAATCACGATTTCAATAAGTTAGGATGTAGATATATTTGATCTGGAAATTGGACGGTGAAGATCTTGATGGTGATCAGATGATAAAGTACATTTCTCAGCAACGAGCAAAGCGATAGCATGAGGAACCTTCCCCTTTCCCCGGCCTTCTGTTGTGGAAGAAGAAGAAAAGAAAGCAAAAGACAAACAGCCACCAAATTTGAAAGTTAAACATCACGGAGACAAAAATGAGGCACAAGAAGAGAATTACAGGACAAAAAGGCCATCTACAACTTGGCCACGTCTTTCAACCCCTCCGCAACTCCTCTAGAAATATAGTCCGAAATAGCCATATTCGTCACCATGGGATTGACCCCGCTGGCAGAGGGGAACACACTCGCATCCGCGATATACAGACCGCGAGTACCCCACACAGCACCCTTTGGATCGACAACGCCATCGGCGGGACGCGCACTCATGCGATTCGAGCCCATCTGATGCGCAGACACAAATACGTTCCCGGTCGACGGGAAGGCCTTCTTCCGCAATTCATCAAGCCAGGCGTTGAACATCACATCGTTGATACCATCCGCCGCATCTGCGTTGCTGTCGCGGACAAATGTTGGTACGCCGGGGACAATGGTGAAGATCTCGGCAGCGCCCTGCACGTACTGGATCTTTGCAAGAGCCACGAGCCCTTCGAGGATGTGGCGCTTGTCGAAAGCGGAGGGGGTGTATGCGAAGCGCACTCGGCCGTCATGTGGGTCTGGATACACGCGTCCTGAGTCGCGATCGCGGGCGAGCGAGATGTAGCCTCCCATGTGCTTCATGCGGGCTGCGTTGAGCTTGTAGTCGAGGCCGTTGAGCCAATCGAGCCAGATGAGCCATGAGGAGGGAATCATGTTTGTGGCTTCGAGCTTGACGCCGTGGCCGGCGTTGTCTAGGTTCTCGAACTCGCTGACTACGGCGGTGAGGATGGCGCCTTCCCAGGGGTTAGTGGGTTCCGGATGGACGGCGCCGAGGACTGACACTGGGTGGATGTGCAGGTTGCGGCCTATCTGGTAGTTGTTGAGCCCGGAGCGGAGAAGGAGAAGAGGGGATTGCATGGTGCCTGCGGAGACGACGACGCGTTTGGCTTTGATGAGGACTTTGCGGGTGCGTTGTGGGCCCACGACCCCGCCGTGCTCGTCGCGAGATGTCCAGGTTCCTTGGACGCCGACAGCTACCTTTTCGCCCTTTTTGTTGGGTTTGAAGAGAATCTTTTCGGCGTGGAAGCCTTCGATGAATTGGGCGCCTGCGCGGGCGGCATCGGGTAGGAAGGACACAACGGGACCCTGCTTCTCACAGGATCCACATCCGAATGTACAATGCCCGCAGTGGTGACGGTTCCCGCCAGTGTTTTGGGGTACGACCTTGTGGGTGTAGCCTAGCTTTCTGGCACCTTCAAGAAGCATTTGGTTGGGGACATTCTGCTGGATGTGATCGGTCGAAACTCCCATGCGAGTGCAGATGCGATCAAGGGAATCTTGAAACTCGGCAGAGGTGAAGAATGGTAGTCCACGCGCTGCCCACTCCCGACGCACAAAGGCCTGGGTCTGGAGGGATGCCGACCAGTTGACGGTGCCACCACCTCCCCACGCCTGACCTGCTATGATGGTAGAAGAACTGTCGTCGGATTGGATGAAGGCGCCCTCCATGAAGAGGTTATGCCATCCGGTTCGCTCCGTCATGGGGTAGTGGTCAGGAGTCCAATGATAGGCCTTTTCCGTTACTATGACGCGGTGGCCGGCTTCAGCAAGGTTTTTCGCTGACACTCCGCCTCCACATCCACTTCCGACCACAATCACATCTGTCTCGATGACTTCTGGCTTGTCACCAGGAGGGAATTGAATGAATTCGTAGTCAAAGCCTTTACCGGGAACCATACCAACAGGAACCCGCGGGACACCCAGGACAGGGTTAAGGGTAGAAGTGGTTTTGATCCAGGTCTGCTTGGAGAGCATAGTCAACGAGGTGAAGAGTTGACGTAGCATGGGCAGCCTGGCGGTTGCCCAGCCTCGCAGGATAGACTGGCGAACGGGGAGCGGCTGGTGGCTGATGGGGGTTGCATATCCAGTGAGGAGCAGACTGCCGGGGCGAGTGTTCAAGATGGTCAAGACCATCAACAATTGTTTCTTGGGGGCATGAGGAAGGTAGTAGGAGACGATTCTCTGCAATTCTTCCTTGAACAACGGGTTGGCGACAGCGCTATCAGAAAGATAGGCCTTTGCGACGGATTCAGCATTCTGAGCAGGAGTGAGACGTGCGATGGTACTGAGTGCCGTCGAGTAGTCGTTGTCCTTGACGGGCAGATGAGTGGTTGGATTTGCAGTAGCGAAAGGCTCAATTGCTGGGATAACGGTGCCGGCAATGGCAAGGAGAATATCCCACTGGGAAGAGGTGAGTGGGTCCTCGACGGGGAGTGGGGGCAGTGAGGCGGCTTTGGGCGAGACGGACTCGGTGGAGAGAGGCATGATGGACTAGGGGATGGGGAAGGTGAGCCGCGGTAGAATGAGGAGCCAGGGTAGTGGGCCGGGCACGATTGATTGTCGGTTGACTTTTACATTTATCAAAGGTGGATGGATTGCAAAAGCGGACAATTGAAGACTCACGATAGCATGGATGGTGTTGACAGCTAAAGTTGCGGGGACTCCGCATCTGACACGAATAGGGCTGACACATGGCAACGCTGGACCGAGGCTTCGTCGTCAGCGACTAAAAGACGGAAAGGATTCTCAACGAGGAAGAAAGAAGAAGAAAAGATGTCGCCACAGTGCATTGCCACAGCTGAGTGCATGCGCCACAGTCTGTGCGTCATCACGTGGTCGGCCAAGTGCAGGTGGGTGGCCGGGATGGAAGCCATGACTCGAGTTTCTCCATTGGGAGTATGGGGGTCGTCATGCACGACATGCCCTCAGTCGGGGTTATTAATAATTTGGCAGAGGGTCAGGCTGGGCGAGTTTCGCCTCGTCGACCTTGGGGGATTCCTTGTCGTAGGACCCTGAAGGGAGTGGATGAATCAATCTATCAATCAAATCAGAGAGCGCATGGTTGAATGTAGACTCCAAGTCTGGCTGGGGCTCCACCGGTTCTAGCCGCTCAACGCTTACTTGGCCGAGGAGTTGAAGGGAGACGGCTCGCCCGAAGACGGTGGCGGCCGAGAGAGAGAGAGGGAGAAATGACTCGACACGTTATGGTGAGATGATGATGATGATGATGATTGAATTGGAGTTGAATTGTAGACAGCATCATCGTCATCATCAACAACCAAGTGGACAGAGAGAATGGCAGGAAAGGGAACTGGGACGACGCATCGAAATTACAGACAGGCAGGCGGTGATTGGGCACAGATAAGGACCATGTAGCGCGGTGGGGCCGGGCACAGTACAGGTGCAATGCACATCCGCGGCCATGACATGTAGCCTCCACCAACACAAAGTATCGTGTACATGCTTCCTGCCGCCTCGCTGACGGACACAAAATCTCCGAGAGGCCACGGCGGCCAACGGCCCCAATCACTCGCGGTGGGTGCGTGGATGGCGGTGACTGACACGGCGAAGCGATATCGATGGAGGCTTTATATACATACATATGTATATATATATACATTGATATATATAGACAAGTACTTGGCCCCTCCCCAGCAAAAGTATACACGCTGTGATGAAGCAGAAGATGCAACGATCCAAGTACACAGTACACGTCGTCGCTTGGGAGCGTTGGAGCCGGCGCAGTTGAAATAAGTTTAGTGTACCTAGCAAAAGAGTAGCCAGTGCAGCAACCGACCCAAGAAAGACGATCGAGGTCGCGCCGATTAGGACCGAACATGGATCCATGCATGCCTGCCCGCCTCTCTGCTCTGCTCTGCTCTGCCCTCTGCCCTGCCCTCATTTGAACTTATCTACCACCACCTATATACCACCTGTACCTACTTCCTCCTCCACCCTGGCGAACCCAACCACCGACTTCGCTGATATCCTTCGCCTCGTCGTCCTCCTCCGTGCCCAAACAATCCATCTCCGCCGCCTCCACCTCCTTCTTCGCTCCTCCCATATACTTATCCACCGCCATGCTCCTCTTCCCATCATTCACTTGAAGACGACGTTTACACAACACAAGAACTGGCCCCAGCGCCTCGCTGCTGTATCACCGTTATCCGATATTCCTTATCATCCACCGCCTCGACCGCGCTGCCAATCGCCGCCTCGAAACCTCCCCGACCTGCATACAATCATATCGTTGTGCGCCTGTCTGGAGGGAAGCCCTGTCCACATTCCCAGTCGCTTTCGCCAATCTCCCTCCTCTTGCTCGTAAACCATAATTCAGCGCCAATACTGCTCACCGCCGTCCTGACATCCCTTCGACTCTTGCGCCTGTCCACCTAATTAATACTCCCCTAATTCTCCCACCTCCTTCCCGTCGACTCCTACCTGCTCCCACACCAACAGTAGCCCAACCACCGTCATGGCCACCGAATTCTCGAGCGCCAACGTCTCCGCGAAACCCTCTCCCTACCACCACGCATACAGGAAGTCGGCACAATACGCACCCATGAACTTCGGAACCCACACCCCCATGAACGCGTCTCCCACCTCCCCACGCTCGTCCACCATTCTCCAGGCTCCAGCACAACAACAAGCACCAAAACAACAGCAGCAACAAAACGGTCCTCCGCTGCAGCCGCTCAAGACTCCGCTCTACATTCCTGCCGCGCTTCGCCGGACAGAACGAGCGCGCCCGTCTCCACCAAAGTGCGATACCCCCATCGACAGCTGGAACACACAGAGCCCATTCGGTTCGAGCGGCGGCGAGCCCGGTCCTCTTCCTCGCATTGCGACCGAGGACTTGCATAGCATCTACAACGATAGCCCGCTGTCTCCAATCGCCGGGCCCATCACGAGGAACCACTGGCAGGTATGTACCATGTTTGTTTCTCGCTTTGCTCTTGCCCCAATCCCCGCCGCCCATTTGTCACTGTGCCCACGTCTCTGTCTCTGTCGCGTGCCTCTGCCTCTGCGCTCCACTGTTACGTACTTTCTCCGACGTGGGTCGAGTTAGCGTGGCATTGGCACTGGTCCCTTGTCGCCTTATGGCAAGCGGCTCGCGGCATGCGCGCAGCGATCAACCTCAACAATTCCCCTCTTGTATGCATCTCGTTTCTGTATCCGATCCTCATGCCGCAACGGTCGAGGGGCTGGAACCGATTTCGGTTTGTTCTTTCTTTTGTCACTCGAGCGCCATTGCCGCACTGCCTCGCCATCCCAGCGCTTGCTGTCTCTCGGCTCTTGTTGTTCCTCTCTCTGTTCCCCGCGCTAGCAGTCGAGAGCGTGGCAGGCAAGCAGGGGTTGCTTGTCTCGACTCCGCTCGAGACCTTGAACCGACTATTGCCCACCTCCACTCTTGTGGAGCACATTTATTGATCCAATCCATGCTGACTTATTCGATCCAGCCTGATACGTCTGCCACGGAGTGCAGTGCTTCCTCGTGCCAGCAGCCCTTCAATTGGCGCAATCGCCGCCACCACTGCCGCAAGTGCGGCGGCATCTTTTGCTGGCAGCATTCCCAGAAAGTCGTACGACTCAACGAGCATGCCTTGTTCCACCCCGAGGGCGATTGGCAACGCTCCTGCGATCGCTGCCACACCCAGTATCGCGAGTGGGAGCAGCTGCGCTCCAGCCGCACCAACAGCGAGAGCTCTGGCTCCGGCAGCACCGCCGCCGTCGGCATCGACACCCCCCAGGCTAAACGTCCTGAGAACACCCGCGTCGGTAGCCTTGCGACTAGCTTTGGTGGTAATTGGAACTGGAGCACCTTCTGATCCTCTCTCTTCTGCTCACATTCCTCCAACACGGCGGGGGTCTGTTTTTCTCTTCATTCAGTGATATCCACTTGGTCCATGTCTCCCCATCGACAGCATCAACTTTTCGTGCCTGGCCACGGCCTTTGCATAATAGCATTATTTGGCGCATAGCATCAGAGGCTCGGCGAGGCTTCTTTGAGGCTTAATTCAGCGTTTTCTAGTCGGTTTTATAGACGAGCTGCAACCGTAGGACGGACTGCACGAACGGGCGGAGGAGGTATTTTCCAGTTCATGATTTGTTCCCATTTTTAGAGGAAATCGGCCGTCCAGTGCGTGCTCGGGCATGCAATCTGGCTGCCTGGCAGTACCCAGCTCGAGGTGTTTTGGCGTTTTGGGAGCATCTAGCATGATTCGATTGTTTTTTGATTTTTTATTGCAATTCCGGCGCATGCCATATGGGGTTTTGGTGTTGGTCTAAGCACGCAGCAGAGCAGGCTGAAGGTCCGTGTCCAGTTCAATTCGTGGTCGATGGTTTTTGTATGTATTCGAGTAGCCAGCAACGTCGACGTATTGGCGTTGAGGAGTTGTAGTGGCAGTAGTGGCAGAATGCAATGTTCTTGAACTATGCATCTAGCAGACAGCTCTGTGTCATGTGAACCACGGGGTGCTCAAGCGAGTGGCGTAATCGTGGACCCTGATGGCATATGTACTTGTAAGAATGTAGCCGATGAAAGTTGATGCATATGTATACCCGCAAGACGAGATCCAGCGCTTACTGTTGAGGAAGCGAAAAGAAGACAGGCAGGAAAGAGAAGAAGACGAAGAAGGAGAGGAAAAAGAGTCTGTTGTCTTGACAATTAATCAACGTACGACATAGTAGCACGTACCACTATCCACTTATTCTTGTGTGACAACTGGAGATGCATTCCGAGTAAGAAGAAGGAATAAAATACGTCTACGTGTCAGACCATCCATCACGTTTGCTCCATTGACGAGCATCCACTTGTAATTTATCCATGTCTCTAGCCCCTAGGCCCTCGAAAGATTGTAAGTGATTAACGGCTTCCTGGACTAATGTACTATATTCATCCTTCTCCCAACCTGTATCAATAATGGACACTACATAGTACTCAAGTATGCATAAGAACAAATGCTGTCGGTGGTGGAGTTGGCTCCCCGCCGATCCCGTGTCATCCTCGGCTCCGATTGGCTGCAGAATACCTCATGATTTATTTTTTGCGCCGCCCGACGAGTGCAACCAACTCTTTAGTCGATATGACTCCAGTCCTCCAATGAAAACTCACTCACCGCCATAACATTCGAGCCCTGCATACCACCCCTCTCCTTCGCTATCCTCCGAGTGATATCACACCTGGCTTCCCGCCGCAATTCAGACACTGATTCGCGCAGTGGGGGGCGTCACCCGTGTGAGGGCCCCCGTCTTTACCGTCAACAGAGTCGCTTCAAGAGCTCACGGCAACAATAACACGCTCTTCACAATGGCGACAGAGCAACAGCAACTTCGGGAGGTGCAGGAGAATGGGGCTGTAGAGAGACCAGCGAAAAAGGCAAAGCTGCGAGGGAGAGCTTTCTACGAGAGCATCGGGAGTCCCAAGGTCGTGCTTGCGCCCATGGTCGAACAGTCGGAATTTGTATGTCCCCTGCCGCTGCCGATTGTACCAGTACTGATAGACTCGGCATGAATAGGCCTGGCGAATGCTCACACGCTCATTCCTCTCGCCCTCGGAGCAATCCAACCTCCTGTCCTACACGCCCATGTTCCACTCCAAGATGTTCTCTGAAATGCCCAAATACCGCGACTCGCACTTCCAACCCCTTAAATCCGCCCTTCCATCCCCCGTCGACTCCTACCACCTATCCCAATTACCCGAATCGGAATTGAACCTCGACGGAAACCCGGCCTTTGATCGACCACTCACTGTACAGTTCTGTTCCAACGACCCAGACGACCTGCTGAATGCGGCGAAACATGTGGCTCCTTTCTGCGATGCCGTGGATCTCAATCTTGGCTGCCCTCAAGGGATCGCGAAGAGGGGCAATTATGGCGCTTTCTTACAGGAAGATTGGGGGCTAATCGCCAGCATGATCAAGAGACTAGACGAGGAGCTCGATGTGCCCATCACAGCGAAGATGCGGGTCTTGGAAACGAGAGAAAAGACTCTCGAATACGCCAAGACCATCCTGGATGCGGGCGCCAGCATCCTCACTGTGCATGGGCGGAGAAGAGAGCAGAAGGGGCACAACACGGGGCTGGCAGACTGGACCATGATCCGCTATCTCAGGGAAAACCTTCCCAAAGAAACGGTTCTCTTCGCGAATGGCAACATCCTACAGCACGAGGATATAGCGAAATGTCTAGCAGAAACGGGCGCGGACGGAGTCATGAGTGCAGAAGGTAATCTGTACGATCCCACCATCTTCGCAGAGCCGCCCCCAGTAGGAGAGGAAGGACGCGAGTACTGGCGTGGAAGAGATGGAAAGGGAGGATACAGAATGGACGCCGTATTCCGCCGCTATATGGATATCATCCACAAATACGCACTGAAACAGCAACCACCTTCCCGGAAACCTCTCTTCCTGCCCTCCGACCCTGTCGACGTCGCAGATGATACACCCCCTGCTCGGGACACAGACGAGCAAGAAGGCCCTCCTAAGAAGAAAGTCAAACTTCAGCAACTCATAACCGACAAAAAACAACCTCAGATCAAAAACCCAAACCTCTCCGCCATGCAAGCTCACCTCTTCCACCTTCTGCGCCCGCTCGTCTCACAACACCACAACGTGCGAGACACACTGGCCAAGACACGCACAGGCGACATCGAAGGATACGAAAAAGTCCTCTATCTAGTCGAAGAAGCAGTGAAAGAAGGTCTACTTGCATACGAAAAAGAACAGTCCTCTCACCCTTCCGCCTCGACCTCCGAACCCGCCACCGTACCACAAAAAGAAGGTGAAGAGCTAGACGCGCACACATCCTCCCTCGCCACCGTCGCCCGCTGCAAACGCCCCTGGTGGGTCTGCCAACCTTATGTCCGACCACTCCCCGTCGAAGCCATTGCCAAGGGTTCCATGTCCCTCAGCAAAAAGGAGAAGAAAAAACTCGCGGAGCAGCAGGAATCCGCTACTGCTGCTGCTGAGGCTAAAGCCGTGGGACTTCAGCCAGGCGGAAGGATCGAGAAGGAGAGCGTCGCTGATGGCAAGGGGGAAGCCGAGGTCGAGGTCCCTAGGGATGGTGTGGTTTGTGGGTGATTTGTAAATTCTTTTTCTTCTTCTTCTCTGCATCACGAATGGGAATGTAGCTTCTCGGGTTAGGGTTTTTCTTTTCCCCCCTTTTATATATTTTTCTTTATTTGGTTGTTTGTTTGGACATGTGGTGATGAGAGAGGTCGATTGCTGGGAACTCTGTATAGATAGGGAAGCCTTTATCTTTTTTTTCTTCCTCTTCTTCTTCTTTTTCCCCTCTTGGAAGAAGCGAAAGGACACAACTGTGGCGATCTCGTCGCCATGGTGGGACCAAATCGAGTTTTTTTTTTGTTCTTTTCTCTTTCGGATATGCATATTACATCAGACAGAGATAGAGAGCAAAGGGAGCGGAGGTAAATACGATATCCACGCCAATTCAAACAGCCAACTCAGCCGAAACCAACTCGACTCCTCTAACATGATGTACCCGTCCTCAAACCATTGCACGCATACATACTTGCAACTTCCCTAAGATCGCACCAATCCATTCCCTTTTTTTCGGTGGGAGCGGTGTTGATAAACTATTTCTGTTCTACTTTTTTGTCTTGTTACGAAGAACTCCCTGGAGTCATTTGTGCGTGTAGAGATATCCAGAGTCGTAGGATTAGATATCAACGCTCTATTAAGGCCTCTGGTTTGTGTTCGACTTTTATCAATAGAATGTGGAAAGTACGTTGGGACGCTGTCTCAACAGTGTGTTGAAGTAGAAGGAGCGGCTGCTGCTCTTTCTTACAACCTTGGTACTTCCTGTGATGTAGTATATGAAGCATGCCTTTAGGATTAATCAATCATTACGCCTACAATCACGCAAGATTCAGCAAATATGGAACACGCCAATTACCTTTACTAGGTATTCCTTGGGGGTATTCGTATTTGAGGCGAGGCTGACGTTCTAGATCCCGGTCATGCATATGGACTCGGGTGACGCTGCATACGCTCGGAGGTGGACAGGGCCGGAGAATGGTTTATCCATCTTCTCAGCCTCGTCATGGTTGACTGAAAGACGTTATCATAGTTCGTCCTCATCGTTGTTTTGTCTTTCCCAGGGCTTAGCATCTAACTTGACGACAACGGCGATAATTACGATAATTTGACCGACACAATGAACGCCCAAGTCCAGCTCGCTGTGGAGTTGACCCGTATATTTCCCGTCGACCGCATCATTGATAGCGCATACAACTCCATCATCAACTTCGCTCGCGATCTCAGGAAGACAGGCTCAGACCTGCTTGTCGAAGAAGAGTTGGCAAATATATTCGGACGCGGTCGAATCAATGACGAGTTGCGGGACAAGTTCAAGGCTGAGGTTTTGAAGGACAACCAGGTTATCAGTTTTCGAAGTCCAGATGGTAGCACATCTGGACTCGTACTGGATAGTCGTCCTGGCCCAACGCTGGAGAGAGCGCTTCGAAAAGATGATACCAGGGCTTTTTTGGCAACAGTTATACAAGTGTCATTGCTGGTATGGATGCACGAGCGCGAGACGCTAGCTACCGCTCTGTCTCAGTGCATGGAAGCTCGTCACCAGGCTGGGGTATCTGGAGCTACCGAGAGCCCTGGGATTGCAGCAATTCAAGGCATGTTTGAGGCGTGCTCATCCCAAGCAGGGACCTTTCCGTGGAGTTATTACACACACCAAATTGAGTTGTGCATTGCGCAAAGAGATCCGCAATATCGTCATGATAAGTACAATACAACCCTGACGCCGAGGTTACTTCTGGCGTGTATAGATTATCTATACATACTGCAGCGCCTTCCCGAGGATCGTCGAATGGTCGTCAACTCCCGTCAGGGTTTCATTACTCTGATAGTATGGGGTCACTACGTTCTTGATTTGAGCGTTCGAGTTTCCGGCCTTCCAGGTGGTGACCTCATGTTTGGTAACCATCATAAAGGATTTCCGCAAGTTGTCATCAATTACTCGGGATCTGATACATCAGATCCAGATATATGTCTTTTTGACGCCAAAACGCGCCTCGTGCTGACGCCAGAAGAACCTGGGCACACCATCATTGAATCATGCGAGAGGCTACCCTTGAAAGACTATGGTACGACTCTCATTTGGCGGTTGTTCAACGTTCACAACACAACTGCCAAAAATTCGCCAATTTACTCAGACGCTGTTGAGTATGTCATCGCGCTTGCTCTCACGGCACTCCCTAGGATTAATCGCTTCCACCACGATCTTGACACGAAGAACGACGGTGCTCGTTCTTCGCCTTCAAGTTTATCCATTCACCGTTGGCAGATACTCAGTGCGGCTAAGATATGCTTTGCATCTGTAGATTACAGCATACCAGAAATTGAGTCTTATGTCCAGACCCTGAAACGTCACAAACAGATGTTTGCTATCGATCCACCTCCAAGCCTACTCAAGCACTGGGAATATGAACTAGAGATCATCAAAAAGTCACAAAGAGCCGAACCAAAGTTAACTCTTCATGCGCTTTCGTTCCTGGTAATTGTTCTGGCTTCAGTGACAGGTATAGATGGCTGTGGCGAGGTGCCGCTTGTTGCGGACATCCACCCTTTATCCAGCAGAATTCCCTATCACGGGGCTCATCAAGATGACGGAAGCTACGTACTTTCTTCGGGCAGTCTTTTAGACACTCTTGTGGCCATGATGAGTACGAAGCTTCACTCCATCATCCATGGACAAGAGTTCATGGTTAGCGAACACGGCTGGACGGTCTTTTTGAGTAGTTTCGAGGCCGAAGACCCATCACTTGTCGTTCCTGAGCGGTTATTATTGAGGAAAGGTGTACCGACGAAGCATGCAACCCAAGAGCGAAGAACTCGCGTCAGGGACGCCGACGAGCTTCAATCGCATCTGATGTCAGACTTACCGTTTCGACAAATGCTCGACAGAAACACTTACATAGCTCGCTGCGTTGAGCGTGGAGTCAATCGCACCGAGTACTACGCTACTGGCCGCTCCGACTTTCAACTAAGCATTCAGCACAGTGTTGAACGCTATAACGGGGCTACCGGTCCCCGATTTGACTATTACAGTGGGTACCGTGCATATCACGATGGAGTGTGGAGGTCGTTGACAGCCCCAGAATGCGACCACCAAGAGCCCTTGGGTTCAGAAGCAGTGAGACTGCCACTTGGAGTTGCGACTGCGACGGGTGTAGGATGGTATTTTGATGGTGAGCCTGAAAGAATAATCATTGCATTGAAAAAAGGAGATTCGCTGGCTCGATGGATAGCTATTGCTGGTTGTCGGAGCAGAACCGTCGTGCTCCGCGGCAGATCAACGTGCATTTCATGTACACTCAGCTTCACTGCGTCATTACCTGGTAAATGGCTTGTTATTATATAGAATTTGGTTTGCATAAGGCAACGGTGATGGAAGATTTCTCAGTGCGCGCTCTTCATTTACATGATGACCATTGAGCAACAACGAAACACATTTCAAATTTGACCTATAAGCTGAACTTTCACGTTCATTAGCTATACCAGGAGTATTCTAATTCTTCCAATTGATTTCAAGAGTTTACTCCATGATTCAATCTTATCGGTGTTGCGATTTCGAGTCATTGAACGTACGACAGACATTCCCCACCCTACACCATTCAACCTACCAACACAACACAAGCCCACAAAACCACCAATCCCTCAATCGATCTCCGATCGATCCTCTCAATCTCAATCGCAACCAGAAAAAGAAAAGATCAACCCGTCTAGATCAATAATCGCACATCGAAACCATAATATCTAAACTCCCCCCTCACAACTCCCATCCGCAACCCATCCCCACACACCTTTCTTTCAACCTAACATGCCTTCGCACCACCATCCCAAAAAAAACCTCCAACCTCTCCACCTACATACAGTCCGCACTTACCCATCGACCCGCCCCTTCCGTATCCGCATATCTACGAGCTCCCCCCGTCAACCCTAATCCGGCCCCCTCCTTTCCCGTTCAAGCGTTTGACAATCCGCGACGCGCTCTGCCGCAGCGAAGCGGGGCTGCCATCCTCGCCCCAACCAAGGTCGTGGAGAGACATGCACACCCTTGACGGCTTGCGGCCTTCTTTCGTCATGCGAAGAAAGGCCTGTATTCGTCGTAGTACGATATGCCGGAGAATGATGTCCTTTGGGGCTGGCTTTTTTTTTTCTTTGCGCAGGTGGACTTGGTGTTGACGGGGTGTACGTGAGGGGGGGTGCGAGGTAGGTACGTTTCAGAGCGGGCATGTAGCAATTGCTTATCGCTGGATGCGGATATTGTGCTGATGTTTGAGTTGTTTGGAGGGGTGGGGAATTTGATCCGTCGCTTTGTGTTTTCTGTGGGTTATTTGTATGCGTCTTTGGACGAGGCATGTAAAGGGAGTTGTTATGTGTTGGTCGCTGCTCGCACTCTTGCTTTATCTCGTTCGAGGCTCGCATTAGCAGCCCTTGTCAATGATACATAGCACATGGACAATTGCAGTCGTTCATTCATCTGTAAGTCGACAAGTCTCGATCGTTCCACCGCGAGCGCTAGTCAAACGACGACATTTCGCGCCACAAGCTTCGCCTGCACCGTATTCTTCCTACGCGAACGTAGCGCGCTGCTCGATTCACCATTTCTATATTTGCATCGCGGATGGTGTTTGGAGTTGTGACACATGTATGGAAGGAAAGAACTGACGAGAACATCGGTTGTTTTTGGAGGGGAAATGAAGGAGACTTGAGCGGGACGCTTGAATCACGACCTTCTTGCCCAATATCGCGGAAACGGTCCCAATTGGAACGTGAGGCCGATGAAAACCGCACTCTTCAAGAAACGGCGCCTACGTGTGACGAAAGACCTTGCTTAGTGGGAAGGAGTGGGTCTTACGTTCAGCGAAGCTGTTTGTAGAGACATGGGGTGCTGCGTACGTCACGACATAGTCAAGAGTCTGAGGATGTGTGGATACATGTCATGCAAGTTGATTGAGAGGAACGAGAACGCTATTATTCGAGGGGTATTCCGTATATAAACAGATCAATAAAAAAAATCATGATGAAATGACACAATTGCTTGTTCATTTCCGTGTGCGTGTCTTGTTAAAAGAAAATCTAGACGTTGAATATCGTGACCAAAACTTGTTTTGTGGTTGCCAGCGACCAGTGCGCACCAGTCGCTTCTCATATCGTTGTCAAGTGCCAGCCAAGAAACGAGAGTAATAGAAATAGAGCCGTGAGAAAACGAGGGTATCATGGGTCGGTATATAAACAGGAGATAGGAGGAACAGCGAGAAAGTATAGGCCCGGTGATCGATATAATACAAGCCAGCCACCGGAAACCAGCCGAAAGAGGTATATGAACAAAAGTCCGCTGCATGCGCGGTCCGTGGATGACGAAGGGAAGCATGGCGTATGACAACGTGGATACGATCCATCTATGGTGCTCGCAGGTCACCGTCACTGTTGAGCTCCGCATCTACGAATCGAGGCCACGTGTTTGTGAAGACGAGGTATTTAATGCTTTCGTATGCCGTATCGAACACCTCAAGGGTGAATTCGCTCGGAACGATGCTCTTCGTGGAAGACACGCTTGACACCGACTCGATACTAGCCGGTCGATTCAGGGTGTTTTCCCACGGGCATACGACATGTTCTCTGGCAGCGGATGATAGGGATTCGGTGGGCGAGCTGCTTCGCGGCATGTAGGGGTCATATTCCATGCCTTGAAATTGCGACTGCAACGTCTTGAAAATCTTGTATTCGATGTTGATTGGAGTCTCGGCGGTGAAAGGGTCGACAAGCGTAAAGAAGATAAGCGATGCTTCAGTGTGCATCTGCCGTCTCTGGGCAGTCGTAACGATCTTCAAAGCCGACCACTTCCTTTTGAAATTGCACACTTCGCGGAGGAAAATAGGGTTTTCGGCAGTAAATTCGCGCGATGCGGTCCAGTCGATCAAGCGTTCCATGTGGTGTTCGATGCTGTACTCCAATGCCTTCATGCAGACTTTGGGCTTCGCGTCTTTGCTGATGATTGACCCAGGTTTCTTCTCGGATGAACTCGTTGATACGGAAGTGATAGATGCCGTATCACTGGCCGTGGGTGGTGCGTCTTTGTGTAGAGGCGCCCGAGAAAGTTCAATCAGAGGGACCAGAATTAGCACCTGCTGACAGACTACCAGGGATGGTATGAACCTGAACAATGTGTTAGAGAAAAATCTCATCAATTCACACACAGTACGAGATTACTCACCATCCGGCCGTAGGGAAGTACATATTGATGTCCATCATAGCTGGTACTTTGGAATAGGTAAATGCAAGCCAGAGCGGAGTTCCAGGTAAACTATTCGTTCAAGATTAGCTGGATGCAGATGCAACGATAGGAGAGTAACGAACCCAGCAACTACGGCCAGCCTTGTCTGCCATGCCCAAGAGTGAACATCGTTGATCATGCGGATCTTCCATAGAATCCATGGCCCAACGAAGGCAGTCCAGAACAGCTGCACGAGGATGGAAGGAACCCTGCGACATTGGTTAGATTGATCCGAATCGGAACATCTGTCATGATACATACCATTCACCACCTTGACGACATAACCGTGTATCCACGATAGGACCAAAGAAACCGAAAGACGCGTGGAATCGTCGCGATCCAAGGAAGAGAATGAGGGCGGGAACGAACTGAGACGATTAGCTAAACAAGTCTCATCATTGCACTTAATTTTCTTACCGAAAGGATCAATCCAACAACGGTGGCTACTCTGACTTTGGCCGAAGCATCGAGATCCAGCCAAGCTTCGAAGAGGCCTCTGGGAGTGTAGGTCAACCGCTTCTTGCGGGCGCCGGCGAGAAAATCTTTTTGCAATCTTCGTTGGACCTCGTACACTTTGAGCACTCGGGCATTGCAGGCTGATCTTATTAGATGATGACGAAGCGATGGATGGGTGAATCTCACATTGAAAAACGGCCATGCCTGTGGGCAGGAAGATGGACATGACCCAGAACTCGGCCGGGCAAGGCCAATTCCCGTTCAAAGGATACACCAGTAGCACAATGATCAGGTAGACATGAAGCGCAGCCACAGATGTTAACGTGACCTCGAGGCCTCTGATGCGTATGCAGAAAGCTGAGCGGTTTCGATATAGCATGTAGATCTCGCCGGCCAGTGCGAATGTATAGATGATGGCAGCAACGACGTAAGCTATGCCGACGGCGTTGGTGTTGGCACTGCCTCCATCGAGAGCTCTTGTGATGTGAATAGGAGCCATGACGACCATAACGAGGGTGTTGGTCCAGGCAAAGTCAAACCTATGGGCAGGCAGAAACGGACAGAGTAAACAACATCCAGACTCGAAGGCTCGCTATATAGAAGGGAATGTGGGGATGACGGGAGAAGGGACAGAGCACAGTAATGTACCAAGACGGTGGTTGACGGCGGGCCAAACGCGACCCAAGCAAGAGGAGGGACGATGCCTGCGAGGAGTGGGACAGGCGTCGGAAGCGGACTGGGAGTGGAAGCAAGAGGGGAGACGCTGTCAAGTATAGCGGCGCAACGAAACGGAGTGTCTGGCTGGAACGGCGCATAGGCCTACATGGTATCACTTGGTCGACCACGGTGGTGCTTGATGTGACTGAGACGGGTAGGTTGTGGTGCGTGTGCAGGTTTGAGGTATTATCGACAGTGCGCCACAGGGACCCATTCTGCAACGCGACATACCATGGCCATGTCTACAGCAGCGGCATCTTGCTACATACGCATGCACAATCGGCCATGTACCATACACGGTGCCTGTACGTGTGTGCAGACATGCTGCGTTGAGATGCTTTGATGCTGGGGCCGGTTGGGAAAGCGGAAGCTAGATACGCAGGGCTCACTTGGTGGCTGGTGCCATCAAGTGTCAGGTCTGTTTCGGATACGTTCACAGAACCCTCGCCTGGGAATTGACAACCAAGCGACACCAAAGTACATCCACTCAACCGATTTGCTTGAGCGTGTATAGCATCTCGCTACTATCACTGGGTCTGCTGCCATGCTGCCATGCTTTGATACTGCCATCCAAGTAGGAGCAATTCTTCCGCATCAAGCCATGCCATCCGACACTTCCCCATATATGTACCTACCTACAGACACACTGGACAGCACCTTTTCCAATTCGAACAGATAGCCGACCGATCGGAGCAAAATCCAGCAACATCCCTGCATGACGTTTGGGGGAACATACCTTTCCGGCTTCCATGTCATGCACCCAGTCTGCTCGTATCCTCGCAATTTGCCCCAGGTTGCTGCAACGTCTTGAACAAGCCGTCCCCTCGCCCGGTTTCATGTCTTGTCTTCTAGAAGCCGCCTTCGAAATTTTGCACCTGTCAGTGTATACACGCAAGCCGTGTCATGCGATACGGACATACTTCAGTGCCAGTAGACACCCACGCGGACTTTTTGGTGGCTTGTTGCATGTCGTCGAAGAGGCATTTTTGCTCAATGCGATATATAAATTCCCTTGTGTTTTGTTTGGTGCCCTGCACGATTCTTGCAAAGAGTTTTCACTGGTCAAACAGACCAATCAAGCTGTCGGTGAGTACGGTGAGTACTGCTACTGGGTAATGTTGCTGGCGAGGCTGTTTTGGATACTGTTGACATTTTCAAAGTCCATTTTGGTCACACGCCCAGCAAATACCTCGATTGATGCTAAGGAGAGTCCACAGCTTCAATATGAAAGCTAGAGTATCTTCTCAAAATCTTCTGTTTCGTAACACAAGTCGGTTTTCTTTTTCTGTGTTTTCTACTTCTGGATCATAGATGCTAAAACACGATCATGCGTAGGTGCGCACATTGTGTTTTCTTTCCTCGTTATCTGGAACAGCGGAGCCAATCTTGCACACGACGCCTTCTAGAAATTCCACGACACCAGTCCGATACTGCATACAGATACACATTATCTTCGAGTTCTTCCTAGTTTCTCTATGCGTCTTTGATATGCCGGAATGAAAAACAATGTTTGCCGGATCAGTGGCCTCAGGTCGCAGCATACACCGCACCATCTTGCCGCACCATGCGTACGTACTCGGTCCTATTAGGGCAGAGGCTCTTTGCCACGTGGATGGGGAGTCGCTCAAGAATAACCAAACATTGTGAGGGCTGAGGTAGGACTGGCCCAAGTTTAGGTCTACCAAACGAATTACAGAGTCACATTCTTCTGTGAAGATGCATCGGTTATATCTTCATCACCATCATTGCGCAATTAGTCATTATAATAGACGTATGATGTCGCTGCTGATCTGACCGTACGCAAGATTGACATTACATCACAGAAGTTTGAGATTGTTCCGGTATTGACATCTTGTCATGTCACAAGAGCTGTGAAGTCTTCGTATCATAGACAAAATTGCGGTGATCATCAGGACACAGTGATAGTTTGGGGGACAGACATGTCCGCGAGGAGCATTGTATCATGGTATTGTGAGTATTTTGTGTCATTGCATCAAAGTAGACCATGATATTGGTCAACAACGCAAGTTCACAATGGAAAGAGATTCACGTACTATGGTGATATGCAGCAACAATCCTGTATTCACAATGCTACTGTTTAAGGGAGACAATAGAAGAGGATAGCATATAAATTGTTTATAAGAGTATCATTTTTCTACTCTTACTTTTTTTCACCAGAGTTCACATCAGAAACTACGAATCCAGCAACACAACACACTCAGATTATCTATCCGACAACGCAAAGTCGTTCAAAACAACACATCCTTCAACTAGAACAAAACACAATTCATCATCATGGGCTGGCTTTGCTGCACATGTGGCGCGCCTAATCCTGGATTCGGCGGAGGCGGCGAGCTCTGTAGGAGCATTTGGTGCGAGCATCGCTCTTGTTACAATTGCGGAGTGGGAATGTGTGCGCATGCAAACCACGAGCAGGGCAGCCAAGATAAGACGAACAACCACATCCATAGCGATGACGACGAGGAAAAGGGCTAGAGGATAGCCACCTCCCTTTCTCCCCCTTACTTCCCTGGCTAATCAACATCTATTCTACTTGATCATCAGGGGACTTTCGGTCGACTACACAATTGGAGTGCAGCACTCAATCGCTGTTAAATATATATTGGGTTATTATTAGGTTTTTCTCTTTGGTCTGGTTGCTTACATGGTTATGGTCAAGAGATTCTTATGTGAGAGTTATGATTAATTACAAAGTCTTTACATGATTCGATGTCTTCATTTGGGTGATTGTTTGTGTGTGTATATGCTTATAGTGTAGAGCTGGATAGATGCATAGCAAGCTATACCGCATGTGGAATAGTCTTTCCGCAGCCCCAACTCCGTCATTGGTGGGGATGTTCGAGAGACAGGCAGCTGTATACACATTGATATAAGTACTTTCTTCGTCAGCTATCGACACTCTGGCCACCTCCCATCTCCATACACCTCCACTTTCATCCAACCCTACCATACATCGCTAAACGTAAAAGAACCTCGGATTGCACACACACCCAAAGGAACACACCGAGCCCGCCATGTCCGATGCCAGTGCCGAGGTGGACATCGCACAGCTTAGTGAAGAGCAGCAGCTTGCCCTTCAACAATTCACCGCCGTGACAGATCAGGAGCTCAAGGATGCTATTCCGTTGTTACAGCGTTGCCAGTGGAATGTTCAAGTACATACACCTTTTCTCACTCTCCCTTGGCAATCTTCCCTGACCTCATGTAGATAGCAATTGCCCGCTTCTTCGACGGCGAGCCCGCAGAAGACCCCATCGCCGCCGCCGCTGCCGCCGCACCCCCACCCCGAGATATACGCCAACAAGAAACTCTACTCAATGGATTCGCATCGCCTCGTTCATCCACATCTTCGGGTAGATTACGGAGAGTAGAGGCCGCGCCCCGCATAGTACCACAACCCGAGAGCCAGGTCGCAACTCAAGCTCCACTCCTCCTCACCCTTCTGCTCGCCCCCTTCAATCTCGTATACTCTGTCTTCTCAAAGTTCTTCCGCTTCACTGGATGGCTATTTCCTCCGTTGACGCGGTTGTTCAACCCTGGCAGAGCGAGCACAACATCGAGACGCGCCGCGAGTGGCCGGAAAGCACTGAATGTGCGCGATACAGCCGCACGCTTCGCACGCGAATTTGAGGAAGAATACGGACAGAACAACCTTCCCTTCTACGAGAATGGATATGCGCAATCGTTCGATCTAGCCAAGAAGGATCTTAAATTCTTACTGGTCATCCTTATGTCACCAGAACACGACGAAACCGCATCATTCGTCCGCGATACGCTCCTCTCACAAGAGGTAGTTGATTTCATTCGCAACCCGGATAACAATATCCTACTCTGGGCCGGCAACGTCCAGGACCCCGAAGCCTACCAAGTATCGGTGGCTCTGAAATGCACAAAATTCCCCTTCACAGGCGTCATAGTACACAGTCCACAAGTCTCATCGACTTCTATGAGCATCGCAGCGCGCATCGTAGGCCCGACCCCGGCAAACCAGTACCTAACCAAGCTCCGACAAGCCGTCCAGGCGCACAAGGAGCCCCTAGACCGCGTCCGCGCGCAACGCACCGAACAGCAAGCAACCCGCAACATCCGCCAACAACAAGACAGTGCGTATGAGCGTTCACTCGCTACAGACCGTGAGCGCGCTCGCAAGCGCAAAGAGGAAGCCGAACGCAAAGCTGCCGAAGAGAAAGAAGCCCTCGCCCGCAGCGAAGCTGCTGAACGCCATGCTCACAACCTCGCACAGTGGCGCAAGTGGCGCGCCGCCTCCATCCCCCCCGAACCTGCAGCCGACACAGAGCCAAAGGATGTCGTCCGCATCAGCCTTCGCATGCCTACTGCCGACCGCGTGGTCCGCAAGTTCTCCGCCGACGCTCATATCGAGGAGCTCTACGCTTTCGTCGAGTGCTACGATGTTCTGCAGTCTGGTGAGGATGTGAGCAACGTCGAGGAACCGCAGGGTTTCGTACACGAGTACGGCTTTCAGCTCGTCTCGCCTATGCCCCGTGAGGTCTACGACGTTAAATCTGGCGGCACCGTTAGGGACCGCGTAGGCCGGAGCGGGAACCTGATTGTCGAGCGCACGGATCTGGAGTCGGATGATGAAGATGAGGAAGAGCACGTTGCAGCTTAGGGTCAATAGGACGGAGAAAGTAGATGCAGTGTAAGAAAATTCGCTTCGCTCATTATGACACCTTGGCAACCAAATGCAGACAGGGTCTTTGCTTTGATGTCCTGCTGAACATACGTATTCATCTCTGTTTTGTTGCATTATCGTGGCGTTGGCGGGTCGGGCGGTCGAATTAGATACGAAGCACGGGAGATTTGCTTGTGCAAGGAGTTTCGACTTTTCCCCTTTCTCTTCTTTCTTCTAACCGTGGTGAAATGAATATCAGCGTTCATCACATATTATATAGGTCACAGTCTGTACATTGCCTTTGGAGGTCAATGCCGGGACTTGGGTTTTGTGCATAATAATGATAGGCAGAAGAAGGCGATCAAAAGGTGTTGATTGACACACAAACTCCTAATATTAACAAGACATTACAATTTAGAAAAGAGTCCCAAAGTGAACAAACGTATAAGTGCACCCAGCAAGTCGGCAATAGATATCCTTCTGGCCCTGAATGCGTAGAGTTTCAAAAGCACGAGGTTTTTGGTTTTCCTTGTTAATAGATACACATTAGGTGCCAAATGTAGATGAATGGGAAGCAAATCGAAGTGCAAAAATAAAACATGGTTCCCCCCATCGCGCATAATTCCGCCATTAGCAATTCGTCAATCTCAATATCTCTTCTTTTCCCATGGCTTCGACTTGTCTCGCTTGCTCCCAGTCACCGACCATTGGGTGCATATACCGTGCAGATAAAAGCATGCGGTAACGACACACGTCGATGTCGACCAGCACAGAGCTTGGAGAAAGTACCTCTTCGTCGAATACGAGAAATCTCTGGGTGCAGAAATAAGCCTTGGGAAGGCTAGAGGCCGAGGGTTTGAAGGGATGGTTGAGTGTGGAGAACATCCGTGGTAGACGCCGACGCGCTACAACCTCGTCGTCATGAAACCCAACGTTAGAAAGGTACGATCTAGTCAGAAAGTGTCCGACGTTGATCAGATTTGGATAGACAATGCTGTAAACAACCAGTCATGGTTGCATCGCTGGCAAAATCAGCCTGCTTGGCCACCAGGAGGCGTGCGCCCATACGACTGTTGCTCGGCGTACTGGCTATTCCAGCCCATGGAGCCCATGAGGTTGAGCTCGGTGGTGGCATTGAACCCGTGATCATAGTTGTATGCGTTGTCTTTTGTATACCCATTCATATACATCCCGTTGTGGTTTTCATTACTGTAGGCGGATTGCCAAGACGAATCAACGGGATGCCCTGCCCACATTGCGCCGTTTCCCAAGCCACCCGAGAGAGGACGGGCGGTACCGACTGTACTGCCGATACTATAATCGTAGCTGCGGGCTGAGTTCGCCGAATCTCCGCGAACATGGCCATACGACTGCATGCCATTCAACGGAGAATGACCCAAATCGTTGTTGTTTAGCATTGAAGGCGATGCAGGTGTCGGCGTACCATAATTGCGGTTCCAGATAGAGGCCGAGTTCGAGTGCCCATCAGGAAGAGATGGAAGATTAGCTGGTCCTCGCACGGAGGATGAGGATGCTACCCTGTTCATTGGAGTGGACAGGAGAGGCATAGCTGTGGACGGTGAAGCAGATGTCTTCCTGTAATTTTGGACGCTGTTGACAAGATCGTGAATGGAGATCGCGGCCATGCCATAAGTTGCACCTGCATTCAATGTCGTATCCTCGAACGTTTGTTCCGGTGGAGTTGGGGGAACGTTTTCGTCCTCTTCCGGCAGGGGGTCCAAACCATCATCAACGCCAACTAAGTCGTCTACCATGCGGTTCATGGCCGATTCTCTTGCTATGGTAGTGGTGGTCGAAGCAGTTTCAGAGGGTGCTACGACACTTTGCGATTTTTGATCTTCTGCCACGGGCACTTCCGATGGGAACAATGGGAAATCCATGGACTCGGCCATAGGAGCTGGTGATCCTAGGTCGTGATTGCTCGGACTTGCAACAGGTGGCAAATCGGCTTCCCGATAGATGAACCGCGGGCCATCGAGATCCAATGGAGCTTCCGGATTTTGCGTCAAGATAAGACCATCTACGAGCAGATCTCTGACCCGCATCAGCATCTCGATATTGGGGTGGTTGCGCTCAAGATCCGCCCCTTTAGGCTTCAGTTCGCCGTTGCTATACCAGACTTTCAGCGTCTCGTCGCAAATCAGAGGCTCGAAACCAATCGTTTCGACGTCTTCATCGAGGAGATAGCTATCTTCTGGGAGCTGATCGACAGGGAAACTCGACGCAAGAAGCGTGAGTGTTTCAGCATATGATCTCCATAGTTCCTGCACCTCGACCTTGGTCAGGGTATCGGCCAAGTTTGCTTGAAGCACAGGCCAGAAGCGCGCAAACCAGGTGCTATACAAACGGAGCCCAGGAAGTACGCGACGAGCAACCACGGTGATCTTATCCGATAACTGGGGCTCCCGGTCGCCGTGTTTGGTGACGTCGTATCCTTCGGAAAGGCGCTCGAGCTCCGGCTGGATGACTTGGAGAAGAGTGAAGAAGGTTTTAACATTCAACCTCAGGAAATAGAAATACGTTTTCAAAATGTTAGGGGGCGCGTTTTGGCCTGTTCATGTCAGTGCCGAACATTAAGATTGTCCAATCTGGAGTGTGGCATACCCTTCATTTGAAAAGAGGCGAAATATTCAGCGGCAAGGTTGATCAAGATGATCTTCTGCAAAATCGAATCCAAGGAATGCTCTTTCAGTTCGATAGCAAGATGGCTGAGAACCTCTCCCTCCAATTCATCGTGTTCTTTGAACTCCTCGCCCTTGTAGCATTTGCTGTGCAGACGGACAAACCAAGCAATAAGGGCGCGACTGACGGCATTGCCATCGGGAGATCTCTGATTGTTGATCAGCTCGCCTTTGTCCCAAGCATGAACGATGCGCTTGAACTCGACTTCAAGGTTCTGCTTGGCCTGCGGGTATGGAATTTTGCTAGATAAGGAGCGATAGATGTGATAGACGGAACGGAAATGGTTTCCGTCTTCACGGGCAATGACAGCCAGTTGATTATGGGAATGGCCAGAGTCGGGGTAGATGTCCGCGGCTAAGCCGTAATATCCTATAGCGGGGCCCCAGTTGCGGTCCTTGTCGTCGCCCAGCTCTGTCTCTCGATAACGGGAGAGGTCACCGAGCTGGATCAGAGTGTTGTGACATGATTGTAAGACATGGGTCTTTAGGTGGGCGGCAATGGAGCGGCGCGAGGAGGGGCGGGAAGCATCGTCTTTCCAGCGGAGGGCGACTCGTCGAAGCTCGGGAATGCCATCGAATTGGGCATCGAGATTGAGGATGAACAGGCGGTAGAAGCGCTGGCTAGTCTTGATGAACTGCAGGTACGTCTTGTGAAGCTTCCGCAACTCGACGACGCGCTCTTTGTGCTTCCTGGCAGTGCGAAGGTGTTTGCGCAAGGCGGTGTTGACTTGGAGGTGGGCGTTCCACAGCTGCTGCTCGATCTGGTGGGAGGAGGCAGACTCAAAGTCGGCGAAAATGGCGCTCTCGCACGCGGCGCGGTATCTATATCACGGTCAACGCGGATGTCTTTGGAAAGGAGCTTTGGGGGAGATTGCGCACTCGTTCAGAAGAGCAGCGAGCTCATGGCAGGGAGCATTGGCGTCGGCCAATTTGGTGAGCTGCTCTTGGATTTGGCGCACACGGCTGAGGAACATATTAGCATAAAGAATCTCGGAGGCGGAGGACATGGGGGTGGCTTGCCGATGAAGCTGCTGGCTATTTGCGGCCATGATCATTCTCAGACTATCATGTCAATGATGATTCAATGTTCATGCGTAGTCAGAGAAAGGCAGGGGGCAATGGACGGCGGATGATGCGGGTGTAGATGGCGTTATCCATGGGATTTATCGACGGCGGCGCTGGATGTCGCGCGGGGGACAAGCAGCGGGTCTGGCTTCTGGCTGGCCGGGCGAGCGAATGAGCGAGAGGATGTTGGTGAGAGAGGCAAACACAAACACCCCGTAGAGTGAATGACGAGGAGGGGAACAGCGCGCAAGACAAGACAGGCGTGCACTGTCTGTCTGTCTGTCTGTCGTTGGTGGGATGATGATGATGATGATCAATGGCGACGGGCGTGGTTGGTGGTCAGAGCAGCACGGAGCACGGATGCCCACATTGATCCATCTTTCAGGGCTCTTCTCATCGCCCGTTAGTTGCCTGTGGTTAGTAAAGTAGTAGCCACCACATGCGGGCAACGACAGACAAGCCATTCATCCTTCATCATTTTCAAATGAATTTGCATTGTCACAAAAAGACTGACGCTGTTCGCTGGACTTTGAAACTTGAAAGGAATGTACACTTGTGCATGGTCCAACATTCAATGTGCACGCACGGCCAGCACCCTGTGTTCACGTGACCATCCCTCTTGGCAGCCACTTCGGTAGATCTACACCTAAACAACAATGAGTTGAGAGTGCTCCTAGGCGTGATGAGTCGGCGCAATTCATAGTTGCATTTGGTGAGGAACTAATAGAGGTAGATGCTGAATAGAGAAGCATGTCCCTTTGCTATTTGTACTCGTCCACCCAACTGTCGTTGAAAAAAATAAGTCGCGTACCAGGATGGTCCCTGTATCCATCAAATTTTCTATACTTTGTTTGACCATGTTATATATACGGATGCTCCATCTTGCACTAAAATAAATCATATCTTGAGTCTGTGGTGAGATGCGCACGTAATTGCCCTACTATTGTACTTTAATTCACCTTTAAGCTGACTCCCTATATCAATCCCACTTTTTCACTCTCCCGATTGGCGTTTCCCCCCAACCCTCACCGCTACTGCATATCAACGCCGGCTTCGTCATGGGCATCAAACGTTCACGCCAGGATTCTGTTTCCTCTTCAGATCATCTGCCCTCCCTACCAACATCCAGAGAACAATCTGTAGACAACAAGATCCTTCACCTCGACTCTCATCAAGATCGCCCTGCCGTCATGAAATGCTCGCTGCCACCCCACCCCCCGCTCGAGTTTCAGGACTACGATGATTATCATGTCCACTACCAACAATCCCATCTGAACCGCTGTTCTGAATGTCACAAAAACTTCCCCGATGATCATTTTCTCTCGTTACATATCTGTGAGGTTCATGACTCTTACAGAGCCGCTAAGGCCGCTCAGGGAGAGAAAACTGTACGTGCGATTCTTCTTCTATTCGCGTTTGCATGGACTTCAGAGTCGGCTTGTTCACTTCCTCCCCATGTTCGCCCGAGAAAATACGCCTATGGACCTGACTAACTCCTTTCTTAGTTCGCTTGTCTGGTTCCAACTTGCGACCGGTAAAGCCTTGCTTGCTCCCTTCACCTGTCCACGCACTAATTCAAACAGCTTCTGCTCAACCCCGCAAAAACGGCGGCTACACTGTATCGACAAACATCACTTCCCAAAAGACTACGACTTTTTTATTGTAAAGGATGGCATTGATCAAAGGAGCTCCATGTTGCGACCTCATCGCCGACGATCAAGTACAGTGAACTCGACCACTTCGACGCCGAGCAGGAAACGAGGTGATAGTGTGAACGCAGCCAAAGTGGATGCAATGCAGATAGTCAACGATGACGAGGAAGACAGTGATGAGGACGATGAGGAAGATCAAGAGCCCGCTCAAAGCGAAGACAAAGTCAAACGTACGCCTGTAAAACTTCGTGGTCGCGGAGGGTTTAGCCATCCCAGAGGCGGGGGTCGTGGTCGCGGCGGCTCAACATCAGCTCTCGAAAATCCACCACCAGAATCTACCGATCCGATTGAGAGTCTTACCTCGCGTATGTCTTCGCTACAGTTCATACCCCATAGTTTGTATGCTCGGGGTAGAGGAAGAGGCAGGGGTATTTAGTCACGTGCGACATAGCACCGCACGCGGGAAAGAGTGATATATTTTCCATCGTCGGAAGCAGGAAAGCAGCAAATTGTCTTCTTGAAACACCAGCATCGACTATTCTTCATCTTTCACCCATGCAACTATCGGCTCTTGCATCGAAGGTCTTCCCCGCAATACATTTGCTATCCGCCAAATAGCCTGCAATTCATGATGGTCGATGTGTTAATTGCACTTGATTGCTCCGCTTTCAAGCTTCCCTGCCCTTAACCCAGTGAATGTATAACACTGGTCAATTACTTAACCGGTTGAACGACCCGGCAAGTGAAATGTGCTCCACATTCATCATCATGTAGACCAGATATTTACTATACATATGTATGATCAGCGACGGTTCAAAGTGCCAGTTTTGTGTAATTCTTTGACAATTGTCTACTCACTACTTCCTATCTCAAACTTGACGCAAGTGCAAAGATGAAAAACAGTCTGTGCAAAATATGGGCAGTAGTCGCATCAGTGGTTTCCCTTACCACTGCAGCAAACTGCACCCGTGAAGGACTACTCGCAGCAGCCAACAGCTACATCGATGCACAAACCAGCGGCAAGCCGTCCAGCCTACAGCTCATCGCCACAAACTTCACCTACCAGCAAAACAACAAAATCTCCGACATCTCCAAAGGCCTTCTCTCTACTCCTTACAAAATCGACCTCTCGCGATCTACCGCCGACACGGTGGAATGCGCTTCGTACACAATGTGGATCAGCTCGACGGGTTCCAAACCTTTTGTCGTGGGCACACAGATCCGCCATGCGAACAATGATACTTCGACCATCACCATGATTGATACCATTGCTGCTACAACCGGGGATCTCTTCTTCGACGCGAAGAAAACACTCGGGTACATCAAGGCAGAGGACTGGAGCCCGATCAATTCTACGGCTTCGCGGCCTTCCAGAGACCTGTTGAAGAAGGTCGGAGATGGGTATCTGGATATGTGGACGGATCCAAAAGCTGCCGATAGCATTCCGTGGGGCACACAGTGTGAGCGCGTCGAGGGGTCACAGTATACCAATCCATGTGGCAAAGCCCTTCCACATGGGGGGAGTGCGAAACCGAATGGCAACCGACGGTCTGTTTTCTCTGTGATTTCTACCTATCAAGGATTCATTGTCTGATTTATAATACAGTTATGTCATTGACGAAGAGAGCGGGAGTGTGGATGTGCTGTGCGAGTTCTCTAGCTTGGGTAAGTTTTCAAAGCACGAACGGCTACGGTATGGGGATTGAACTGACTATATCAAAGGCGCATGGCCGGATAGCCATGAGATCAGAGTCATTGACGGTAAAGTCAAGTATGTGCATACAATTACCGTCATGAAGACGTAGGGAACCAAGGTTTGATTGTGTCGGTGCAACCTATCGCGCATCCTCGATTTGAATATCTTGGATTTTTCTGTACTCTGCAATATCTCTCATCACCTCACCTCCGCAATTCTTGGTCGTTGCATTCAATAAAAAATGTATGCCAACGTCCCAACACATTTTTTCTTCATCGTAGATGACAGTTCGATCTTGAGAACATACTTCTTCCGAAACATCCTTTCATCTCTGTAATTTGAATACCAACCCTGCAATTTCGTAACAACATCCCTCCACCTTCATTTCGTTGTTGCTTTTTCCAAGTCTGATTTAGGACGCATGCATGTGACGAAGCGACGAGGCATGAGTTTTACACAGCGCCCACAACCAGTGAAAGCGACGAAAATAGTTCATGCTGTGCCCTATGAAGTTCCTTGCAGGCGGGTATTGATTTTCTCTTCTTTTCTTGTTTTCGCCGAAAAACCGATGCAGCATCCTGCATGAAGGAATCGAGCAAATGGTGGCCAACCATCCCCGACCAAGTCCCGGTCCTGTACCACGGTATAAATGTCGATTAGATCCCTTCGTGCAACTGCGGAACGATATTTCGAGTTGATGGCCATCCATCCGAACCAACCAGCTGACCACACCCATGGGGAGTTGACTATTTCACCAAACACACACCTCGCACTCCAGTCCAGTCCAAAAGCTTCCTCGCGAGCGCTACATGACAGTATACACCTCCGTTATTGCAGCAAATGCTCGTTTCCAATTTCCAGCGCGCAGGCTAGTTTACACTTTGAAGTGTGACATCACGACTTGGAAGTGGCGATGTCGTCGTCGAGCAGCACCAGGCTCGCGCGGAAAGGAAAACAGCTGCAGGCGATTGCAATTGTCTTCCTCTCTTTATCGTGGGTCTTTATTGCGCTTCGAGTGTGGACACGAACGAAACTGCGTCCTAACTTCGGCTGGGATGATTGGATCATGATCCTCGCAGGTGTAAGCATTTTGATGATAATTTCTCGCAAACTCCCAGAGTAACTTGTTTCTTAGATGCTCTTCAGTATCTACTGCGCCAGCATTCTCTACATCGAAGGACAAGGGGGAGGACTCCATGTAACCGGTCTGCAGCAGTTGAACGATCTCACAAAGGTAAACTCAAGCGCTCCAGACCCGGAAAATATAGCTCACGGAAACGGCAGTGGGTCATTGTCAGTGAGTCCGCATACGTGCTCACGGTGCTAGCTATCAAAATCTCACTGGCTATCTTCTTCAAGCGGATCGTGGTCAAACAGCGGCATGTACGGATCATCTACACCACTGTTGCTCTAACGACTGTATCCTCAACCGCCGCCTTCTTCTACGCCATATTCCGATGCGGACCTGATATAAACAATTACGCAACCAGCCAACTAGAAAACCAGTGTATGAGCAGGACGGCGGACCGATTTTGTGCTTATCAGCATGCAGCCATCGGTCTTCTGACGGACTGCGTTTTCGTTATACTACCCGTCCCACTGCTGTGGAGCCTCAACATGGAGAGACGCTCCAAGATAATGGTGGGGGTTATTCTGTTCGCAGCGACCTTGTAAGCAGAAACCATACAAAGCGTATGAGCGGTGCTTTAGAGCTGACATAAATCGGAAGAGGCTGCATCTGTTCCGCGATTCGATTCCGCTATGTGGATGGGCTAACAGATGTCCAAAATTTCTTCTGTAAGATTATCCTCAGAATCTATCGGAGCCTGTTCATCGCTGACATGGGCCGCTAGGGGCCGCCACGAACGTATCAATATGGTCGACAGTGGAACCCGGAGGTATGAACATGTTTCTTATATTCCACGTTTTCTTTCCCTTCAACGAAATGACATTCACTAACCATCATTGCAGCTGGGATCATGGCTGGTTGCGCAGCCACACTGCGTCCTCTCCTGAGACTTCTCTTCGCCAAAGTACAGTCCATCCAATCCTTCTCGAGTAAATTCAGTGAATTGCGTTCCTCGAGGCAGAAAGGTAGCGCGGGGAGTCACTACCCTGGCCGGCAAGAGCCTTCCCATCTAAAGGGGGATATCGAGGCGAATCGCGTCGAATGCATCGATTTGCAGTCCGCTGCAAGCAAAAAGAATGAAAGTACCGAGTGTATCTTGTCTGGCGTATCAGGACCATCGACCGAAGTACCGGTCAAACTATACTCGTCGCGTGGGAGCGGTAGTGTGGAGCAATCGATGTGAGCCGGGTTAAATTCCTCATCGAGCGGCAAATGCAAGCGAGGCGAGATTTCTGTTTTTCCTGGGGGGAAAGTAGAACCATTGAACGTGTAGATAACGGCCGTCTCTGTAGTAACTCTGTTTATACCGTAAAAATGCTGGATTGCATCGTTACAAAAAAAGAGAAAACAACAAAACTGTACACTGCAGTGACTTCCAAACATCTATCCGTTGAAAACGTGGACTATGCGTGCTTGTTTCTTTGCTTCCCAACGCGCAACCCTTGACACCATTGCTCCCCTTTTTGAAGAGCAAAAGAGTCTAATGACATCACAAGATATCAGATAACTAGCTGGTATTAAGCCATTGCGTCGTGGTGTTAAGTTTAAGATATGCATTTAGTGTTCGCGTCCAAGTACCCTTTTCACACGAGTGATATGGTCTTTCGTGCACGGTTTCGACCACGCCCAGTGTAGAAAAGTGTAGATCATTTGGAGTATCCATGCGGCGTTCCCTACACAGAGCATGGATCCTGATCCTTCCAAGTATAACTTTGCAACGGCGCATCGTGTGGCACTTGGATCTTATTGTGGGTATAGAGCAATGGAGCATAATCTCTCCTCCATAAATACATATCGTGTCAATCGTTAGGTTTCGTTATGGTCGTTATACAATGCATTTCATGCATTGGTCTGCTCGCTCATTCGCTTGTTGTTCTGTTGTACAGTCGTTGTGACTCTGATTCCACTGTTAAACAAAGGATTTCTCGTGAGTCCTCTCTGGCTATCGGGCGTATCCTCTTCGTATAGTGTCGAGCTGGAAGTGACGTTGGTGCTGTGAGGACGACGCTTCGGAGTGCCAATGGTTCCCAAATCCACATTATCGCCCTGCCTTCGGTAGCCGCGGCCGCTGTAGGAAGCCTTCTTCAAATTGAGGCGATTTCGGATCAGAGAAGCGAATGCAGGAGAGCAACCGACGATGATGGCTACATTTACCGAAATGTTAGCGATGGTCTGCTCTGACAACAGGTATCCACGTCTTCATGCTTACCCATGGACACTTCTATCACCGTCCACAGCGTAAGCCATTTTGGATCGGGTGACACGGCTTTCCCATGCTGCACGCCGACCTGAACAGCACGTAATGTGGCAAAGATGATGCAGACAAAACCTCCACTGAAAAGGATCAAGATTCCAACTTTCTCGCTACGGGCCATTTGAAGGTTCCATACCAAGCGAATGGGAAGGAACATGACTGGGAAAGATCAGCGACTATAGGCACTGAACAGGGAACTTGCTTACTTACCCATGAGGTCCGTGAGAACGTCGATGGCGTAGGCGTAATACAAAGAAATGATCTGAACCTGGAGTTCTTCGGGTGAAGCGCATGAACCATTACGGAAAAACACCCTCATTGACTTGCAAGAGGACACGCTGGTGATGATACAGCCAATCCACGACTAAGATCAGTCAGCACAAGGCAGGAAGGAGTGCATGAGGAGCGAATTCTGAAGACTGACCAAAAACAAAAAGGCGACGATAGACCACCAGATCTTGTAGTAGATTCCACCGATACCGACCAACAGTTTCCGATAGAGCGTCATTAGAGATAGTTTGACGGCGAATAGACATGTGTAGAATAGCATCTGGGCGGAAAAGATGAGCCGAGACATGTATCCCGCATCCTGGGTGATTGTTGGATATATGTCTATTTCACCCAGGGCAACTGCACTGAGTTTGTACAGATAGGGAACCGCGATGATGTACTCAGTCCACAGTCCAACGTACAGGGCGTATGCGAAGTAGATGAAGAAGTCTTGGAACTCGAAGGATTTGCGCCTCGACACATGAATCGCGACACGGGCGATGATGAAAAGAGTGGTCAACACAAAGAGAGCATATTCGGTTCGAAGCACTTCATTCTGACCAATAACGGGCAGTCTGTCCGCTGGAGCAGGTTCCGACATATCGATCGAATGCGCACGACGGTGGAAAGCGGGACGAAGTCATGAGGCGAGACGAGAAGTTGGATAGGACGCAATACGCACTGCCGAGAGGTGCGAATGCATCTCATAAGAATGGCCGCGGATATACCCTGGTCCCCGTATCGCTTACCACATGATGACTGCAGGCTAGCAAGGGACGATACGCGAAGCTCTGTTTCCAGTACATGGTACGAGAGGTGAAGGTAGTTGACGAGGGCAATATGACAAAACAAGATGGAACCCGCGTTGAGCATGGGGGTGGAGTTTCAGACGTTGAGAGTAGTCTCCATGTACAGCCAAACGGGAGCGAAATAAGTCTCCCCATGGCATAACAAACTATGCGCAGGTAGCCGAGTAAGAGAGTTTTGGCCATGCTGATGGAGGTACTACTGCAATACAGGCATAGGCTCAGCGGGAAATTCCGCTTAGACTGTCACCAACGGTTGATAGCGCTCCTCTGTTTAATATCAATCCTACACTTGCGGATGGTGAATGCCGAAGTGAGTAGGTGCTGTCCGATGTGCGTATGTGATTGAAGACGCCTCATTTTAGCCGCGGCGGATGGACTTGTAGGTGAAGGCATCGCGATGCAAAAGATGCGGCACAGGATGGACGATGATTGCCGGTATGGGTGGCTCAGCTGAGAGCGGATGGACTGTCAGTGATCTGTCATTGATGGTTCGATGTCGCCACTCCCACATTTCGCGCGGGATCGTCCACTCGGGCCCCCCACACTCTGATTCGTATGTGACTTGGATCAAAACTGCATTCTCCGATAGGGGGTGGGGAAATACTCTGCGATGGACGTGGGTACTGTTCCCCATGCTGTTCGTGGCTGTTGATGTTACTGTAAGTTCCCAGACATGTTGATGCTGTCGATTGATCAACCTGGTATCAATCTATACAAAGCAGCGGTGGTGTAGTAGAGATACACATTCCAAAACGCGACTCACACTCGGTCCCCAAAAGGCCCAATTGGCCGATGTCGTAGGGGGAGGGATCGAAGTCATTTGCTGATGGTCTGCTCAGCGCTCACACAGGTTCAAAAAGCGGCCCACGCCTCGGCAGACCAACCCCTTCGGACTTAACCCTTCGTATTGCCAGCACCTCTACGAATCACCACCATCGAAATCGCAGCACACAATTTAAACTAACCTCCCGTCCACGCCAGCGTAGTCTGGCCTCGGATTCACCAATAGCCGTGATGGGAACCCTGCCATTGACTTGTTTAAAAGATGCAGATGCATGCTCATCCGTCTCCCTGCCCCCTCCTCTGGATTTCGCCTATGCGCAGCAAAGTGCTTGGTAGCATCCAAACTAACCATGAAGCATGCCTTTCTGGTTTCATTAAGCGCCCTTGCGGCCGGGGCACTGGCGCAGGATACCTTTGAACCTTCCGACTTCAATGTCACCGAGGCTTTGGTGACCGCAGGCGTCAACGTCTCGGATATTCCCCAATTAGCTGCTTTGACCCGACGGTCCTCGCCGGGCGCCTGTAAGATCGCTGTAAGCTGCGCCGTTCGGATCGATCGTATACCCTTTGCTGATCATCCCTTGATAGTGTTCTTCCTTGGCTATCATCTACGGCGCGGAAAATGTCTTGTCCCAGGGTTCTTCCGGTTACGACACCTTCAACGACGCCTACTGGTCCAGTATACAGGGAGAGGTCGAGCCTTATTGCGTCTTCAAGCCTTCAGAAGCCTCACAGGTGGCGGTGCAGGTGCTCATATCACGTCTGACGCAATGCCCTTTTGCCGTCAAAGGTGGAGGCCACGCTGCTTTTGCTGGGGGATCCAACATTGACGGCGGAATAACTGTTTCTCTCGAGAACTTGAAACAGATCTCGCTATCCTCCGACAAGAAAATTGCTGCGGTTGGTCCCGGAAACAGATGGATCGATGTTTATCAAACGCTTGATCCTGACGAGGTGACAGTGGTCGGAGGCAGAGTAAGTCTTTACAAACAGTTTATGATAATCTTCTCTTTCTGACGGCCCGATTAGGTGTCAACTGTTGGGGTGTCCGGATTGACTCTCGGTGGCGGCATCTCCTATCTGTCCTCCAAGTACGGCTGGGCGTGTGATAACGTAGACAGCTACCAACTTGTGACAGCATCTGGTATTATCCTCGATGTCAGCCAGAAGTCTTATCCCGATCTCTACTGGGCGCTGCGTGGCGGCGGGAACAACTTCGGAATCGTGACCAAATTCAACTTCAATGCCTACCCTCAAGGCAAGATGTGGGGTGGAGCTCGACTGTTCAGCAACGAAAGCTTCCCAGCGACCCTCGATGCCATCTACAACTTCGCCACCAAGGGTTCTCCAGCCGACCACGACGCCGCAGCCATCATCTCCTTTGGCTACGCATCCGGCTTCGGCCCCCTCGCATCCATGCAATTGGAATACGCCCAACCCATCGCCGACGCCAAAGTCCACGAAGAATTCAACGCCCTGACACCCGTCCAATCCACCACGGACATCCACACCCACGCCGAGCTCGCACTCATGCTCAACGAAGGGATAGCCTACGGCGTCCGCAACACATACTGGGATGTATCCTTCAAAGTCGACCGAGCCCTCTTCACCTTCCTCATCGACACCTTCTACGAGCTCCTACCCAACATCATCGATGCAGCGGGCTTACTCCCCACCATCTCCATCCAAGCCATCACCGAAGGCCAGCTCAAGGGCTTCCAGAAGAACGGCGGGAACGCTCTCGGGTTAGACCCCGCCGGCGGACCCTACTTCGTCATGAACATGGGCGCCAACTGGGACAATGTCGCCGACGACGCGCGCATCCTCAAGTTCCACGCCGACGTTATCGACGCCGTCAAGGCCGAGGCTAAGAAGACGGGCGTCGATAATGACTTCATCTACATGAATTACGCGTCGCAGTTCCAGGATCCCGTGGCGAGCTATGGGGCTGCCAACCATCAGAAACTAAAGTCCGTTTCTAGGAAGTATGATCCTCAGCAGGTGTTCCAGGACTTGCAGCCGGGGTACTTTAAGCTCGACAAGGGCGCGCCCAATCCGAAATGGCCGTCGTCGTAATTGTAATCTGAATAGCTTTGATAGTTTTCCTTTATACAAAATTTTCGTGGGATTCATGTACAGTTCAATAATAGTCTGGAGGTTCCAAAAATGTGTGATTGCCAAAAAAATTCTAGACGAAGGACGTTCGGGCTGCTTACCTGGATGCGTACTGACCTTATACCACAAGACTTCTCAAGTCAAAGCTTTATTGCTATAAGCACATATTGTATGCATTATAATACCAAAGGCAATACCAAGGATCCAACGCATTGATAAGACAATGTAGATCTACACACAAAGAAGCTTATCAGAATCGCTTACCTGGGGGGACGTCGCGCCCTGATAAGGCAGGTGAGATAAATACTCGTACATATGCAAAGCAAGCCAAGCTAGAACCGATCCTTCTTTCCCCTCACGACTCCCCACCCGCCATCGCAGCTGATTGGAGATAGCAGTCGACCGCGAACAGGGATTCCGGGCGGCATGGAGATAGGGTGATCAAACAGTACGGCGCAACTACAGCTGCGTATATAATAATCAAGCAATGTACCTGACGCATTTAACATCGCTACATAACAGCACTTTTGGATATTCGACTGTTTCGGTATGACGGAGAAATCAACAGATGCAAACGACGTCGAGCATCAGGCCTCGGTGGCGAGTGCGACTGTCGTTGCGGCGGCGGCAGAAGCTGGTCTAGCTAGTGAAGATGATGCTGCGGTTTTAGGTTCGTTTGCTTCTCCTGTCTTTTTTTTTCCTCCAAGGCACAGTACAAGCATGGTCATGATGTTACTGTTTTCTTCGACAGGTTTCCCCGGTGGATATTGTTGATACTCGAGCTGATGCATCGAAACAGCAAAACTCGGATACAAGCAAGAGCTCCGGCGGAACTTTGGTATCATGGAGGTCTTCGGCATCGCTTTCTCCATCATGGGACTGCTCCCATCCATTGCGTCGACGCTTGCATATTCGTTGCCTGCGGGTCCTGCTGGGCTAGTTTGGGTAGGTTTGTAGAAAGCACAGGCTCGATTGTTTGATATGTGGTTTTTTCCAAAGTAAGATATCTAACTTCATTCCCGTGGCAAAACCATTAGGGGTGGTTCACGGCTAGTGCGTTCATCTTTGTAGTTGGCCTCGCAATGGCCGATCTCGGGTCAGCTATGCCTACCTCTGGAGGGTTGTACTGGTGGAGTAAGTTCTGTATCGCTCGGAGATGTCGATCTGGTGACTATGAGTATGTATACTGAGGAGTATGACCAGCACATTATTTCGCCTCGCCTTCCACGCGTAACGCACTCTCCTTCCTCGTTGGATACAGCAATACTCTGGGACTGGTAGGCGGTCTCTGCTCCATCGACTATGGATTCGCACTCATGTTCGTTTCTGTCATCGTCATTGCGCGTGATGGAGAATGGGAACCGAGCAACGGAATTGTTTATGTGGTCTTCATGTGCTGTGTTCTCGTACACGGAGTATTAGCGAGTACCATCAGCAAGGGTATGGCGAAACTGCAAAACGTCTTTGTGATGTGAGTTTTGAAAGCCTTATCTTGAACAATTTCCGCCAAAGGCGTTATCATTCTTGGGGAGATCGAACACCAAAGATATGCCACTGACATATAGAGGGGCAGTGCCAACTTCATCCTCATCACTGCTACCATCATCGCCTTACCCATCGGGCGAGCTAGCCAACGGAACGACGGGGCATTCATATTCGGAACGACCGCGAACCTAACCACTTGGACTCCTGGATTCGCTTGGTTTTTGAGCTGGTTGAGCCCCATCTGGACGATTGGCGGTTTCGACTCGTGTGTCCACATGGCAGAAGAAGCGTCCAATGCCACTAAAGCCGTTCCATACGGCATTTTGCTCAGGTGAGATTTCCGTTTGCAGACGTCTTGCTCTCCATGTGCATTCGAGTTCTCTACCGAGGGCTGAGCTATTGAGCGTATCTGGAGTTGTTCACCCGAGAGGAAACAGATTCGTCTTCAGATGAGCGAAGAGGTATAAGAATCCAGAGCTGACCTAACATGTGCCAAAACTCAGTATCGGAAGCTGCTGGTTCTTCGGGACGATCATATGCATCGTCATCGCCGCATGTATAAGTACGGACATCGATTCGGTACTCGGTTCCTCGTACGGCCAACCGATGGCCCAAATCTATTACGATGCGTTGGGGAAAAGGGGAGCCCTTGGCTTCATGAGTCTGCTTTTCATAGTGCAGTTTTTAATGGGACTAAGCATCCTCGTCGCGGCCAGTAGACAAAGCTGGGTAAACACTTCTCCTAGACCACACCCCAAGGTCCTTGTCGTCGTTTGCAGACTGCTAAATCAAAGTCCAAGGCATTCTCCCGTGACGGCGCTCTACCGTTCAGCAACTTTTTCCGCCGTGTTTCGCCGCGACTCTTCATTCCTGTTCGAGCGGTATGGGGTTGTGTAATGGTGGCTTGCATTCTCGGTCTTCTCTGTCTCATCGCGCCAGCAGCGGCGGCCGCACTTTTCTCTCTGGCTGTGGCCGCTAATAACGTTGCTTGGGGCACCCCGATCTTCTGCCGTCTGGTCTGGGGTCAAAACAAGTTCAAGCCAGGGCCCGTGTACACTGGAGATAAGCTTTCGCGTCCGATCGGCTGGTTGGCGATCATATTTCTAGTGTTTGGAATCACACTTGCCATGTTCCCTGCAACGGGCCCGAATCCAACGCCTGAGTCGATGAACTATACGGTGGTGGTCAACTGCGCGGTTTGGGGGGGATCCTTGCTCTATTATTTCGTCGGTGAGTGACAGACCAGAAAGATGGCGGGCGGTGGCTGTTTGGTGCTGATGATGTGCTTGCAGATGCTAGGAAATGGTTCACTGGACCCAAGATGACGCTGCACGATGAGAACTTGACCGAGGGACAGCAGACTGTGGTTCGCGAGGAAGGTGTCCAGGGAGAGAGGAAACATTAGCGAGTGGTGTTGCGAGGTCTGTCTGAGTGGATGAATCTGGAGATGGATTGAAGTTGCATGGCAAAAGCCAGTGTTGCTCGGAGACGGGCAATAGCAGCCGACAATGGTCAAATCACGTCATGTCTTGAATTGGTTGCACAATGAGGGTGTTGAGCGGACGGTTCGGGGTGGACGAATGTTCCGGATTTCGGTAGGTACGGCGGGAGCGTCTAGCTGGCGCAGGGTCCTCGCGTCCTTTGATAGTGGTGGAAATTAAGCCGCGAAGAAGCCATGAATCATTAAACGTTGATGCATGCCAATTTGATTAACGAGACGGATGGTGAACTCAACGAAGGAGAAGTCTCCAAGGATGCCAGGGGGTGAGGGGGTGAGGGCCAATTGCGTTGAGCGGGATATCAATCGATGATGACCCGACCCGGAAAGATGATGCTCCACGTCCACAGCAGCACAGTGGTGGTGGAGAAAAGAAGCAGAACACAACTTGAAAAGTCTAGGCAGGGCTGATTTGGGCGACGCATTAAGATCACAATCATTTGCATGTGTTTAGTGCGTCCCTCGTTCCCAGTCCTCTGACCATTGTCCTGCGTCCTGCGTCCTCCTCACTAGTCACTATAGCCACCACTAAGTATTTTGTCTGATTTGGGTCTGTTTTATTCATTTCTCTATTACATAATATCGCCGGATTCTGTAAATAGGTACGGCACTTGATTGTATACAGCATCAAGTTGTAGTTGCTGTTTTCCACCAAACACCAAAGCCCGGTTGCACATGTAGCAATCGATTGGGCGGTCCTCGGATACAGCATACTCGGATACATACCTATGTAGATAGCTACTCATGTACTTCTTGCTGTGCCCACTCCCGCAATCAGAAAATGCTGTCAAACCCCCGCTCACGCCTACAAGTGTTTACTCATCATCCAAAACATCACCACCACCTCCTTACCGCAGAACCCGGCATGTAATGGCTGCTTCTAAACTGTAATCGTACATGTCGGATCCTGCTCCATCTACTTATCCACTATTCAAGTAATTCTCGGCCAGCGTTTGGATGGCGTAGTAGACAATTTACCTCTAATTATAGCTTCAACCCAACCACGCCGGGACAGCCTTCAGATGCCAAACCTTGCATACACACTGTGACACTCCATGTGCTTTCAAGCACCTACCGGCTATCCACAGTATTTTACGCCCATCTTTTCGGTACAATACGCTACTCTACGCCATCTCGACGCCGGCCTCTACGCCACTTGTAGTCCCCGCGAACTTGCGACCAACCCACTCCGCCAGCTCCATCCCAGCCTGTCGTATTACTATTAGTACCGCCAGCTGACCCTCCCAGTGGTCTCGCCGCCGCTATCTATCCATCGTCTCGTCTTCGACTCCTTTCTTTCCTGCTTCTTGGAGTTTTTTTTTCCCTCTCTCTTCTTCTTGTCTTTCTTTCGCGACTTCGCCAAATTGGATCCCTACTCTCCTCTTTCTTTTTTTCTTGTCCTAGCTCATGTTGTGCCATCATATGCTCCGCCTGCATTGAAACAAGTTTGGCACATCCATCCCGCTTTATTATTTGCTGTTTCCCGTTTCGGCCGCATCGCCAGCAGATATGCTCAACTACTTCTCGTCAAAGAGGCAGTCGCGGGCATTGCTGCAAGCCTTTGTGGCCCTGACCTTGATTTTGGTCTTCTTGTTCTACACCAACGACGGATACGCCTATGTTCGAGGCACACATGTCGAGGTATTGTCCGACGGAGACGTAGTCGCAGTGCATTCTCCAGTGGGCGGCCATGCGCCGGCGCCCACCAAGATCGCTACTGCGTCACCAAACACTTCATATCCAAAGCCGACGGCCACGGCGCCAGTACACCTCTCCACGCCTTCTCCGTCCCACAAACCTACCGTACACCGCCCGGCACCCCAACTTCCGACTCATCCGCTCAACGATACCTTGTTGGAGAAAGCACCAAAGTACATCAAGGCCATCCTTGATCCCTTCGACACTTCGTTCGATCGCCTGCAGTGCCCCTCCAGCATAACTCTCATCGACCGCTATGCGTACCTTCGTTCTCCTCCCGAATCCCAGGGAAAGGCAGTCAAGCCCAAATATTTCTTCGCGCTGGACTTGTACGAGATTGCCGATCTGCTGCCTCGTCTGATGAACTCCATCATCGAGTCCATCAGATTCCTTGGGCCGGAGAACTGCGTGTTGAGCATTGTAGAAGGCCGCAGTGACGATGGAACGTATGAGATTCTCTACGAATTGCACAAGAAGCTCCAGAACCTCGGAGTCGCATACATCCTGCAGACCAGCGATCTGGATCCCAAGGGGGGAGACCGAGACCGCATCGATGCCCTCGCCGAGCTGCGCAACATTGCCCTGGCCGATCTCATCGAGCACCCCGAGAAATACGATCCCGAGACCACCATTGTCTTCTCCAACGACGTTTCGTTGTGCATGGAGGACGTACTGGAGCTGGTGCACCAGAAGGTGTTGCAGAAGGCAGATATGATGTGCGGTATGGACTGGAACATCTGGGACCCGCTTGCTTTCTACGACAGCTGGGTTGGGCGCGGCATCAATGGCGACCTCTTCATCAAGATCATCCAGGAAGGCGATGTGATGGTCGACAACGAAGCCGGCATCTTCTGGAACCACAAGCTTTCTCGCGAGCGAATCGATGCCTGGAAGCCGCTTCAGGTCTTTGCCTGCTGGAATGGTATCACCGTCTTTACCGCGAAGCCGTTTATGGAGAAGAAGATCAAATTCCGCTACGTCCCCGCCGACAGCGACAGCGAGTGCTACCAGGCCGAGCCCAACCTCTTTGCCAAGGACATGTGGTATCACGGTTACGGTAGGATTGGTATCGTTCCGACCGTCAACCTCGCCTACTCAGACGGCGAAGCCAAGAGCTTGAGGGAGAAGAAGGGTTGGATGCAGCAGCATCTTGTTCCAGACGAAGAAGCCCTGATAGAGTGGAACCCGGAGCCTCCGGCCAAAGTAGTTTGTGTGCCTTGGTTGCGAGGCGACCAAACATGGCACGCATGGAATCAAGGCCTTCCCGGCTATGTAGCACCTCCAGGCGGCGACACTGGGAAGAAAGATGACTATGAAGACGACCAACCCGACCTAAAGGACGACCAATCCGACGAGGAAGAGTCGCATGATACGTGAACGGGTGCATCGCACCATACATAGCTACCGTTTCGCTGAGACCGAGCTCAGCGCTATTTCCACCATCGCCTACCATGGCAAGATTACACCGATCCGAGACAGGGTGGATGTTGACGGATTGTCAAAATGGTTGATTCCTCTTCGTGACAACCTGAATGGTTAGAAAGAGAGCCGCATCAACCCAACAAGTGGAAGAGAGAGCAGCGAGGGATGTCAGATTTGGCGGCTGACAGAGGAATGAAGATTATCTTGGCGCACCGTAGTAGAAGTCCGTGCGGAGTGTTGGATTAAATGTTTTCATATGTAATATCTAAATTGAGCATTGGGGTATCGTAGTGAAATCTGCCAGCTTTTACCGAATAACGATGAATTAAGCGGTAGCGGTAGACAGTTTGGCCTTTCTTCTCTCCTCTTGTTGTTTCGCTTCCACATCGGCCAAGAAATTCATCCTCCCCAGATACGCTTCCTTGGTCTTTCCGTGTGTGTCTAATTCCTCTCCAATGCCTTCTTTGTCTACGAAACCGGTCCAATCCATGCGCGATTTGTCCACCACGTTGAGCTTTTGCGCCTTCTCCGGTCGCCCAGGCTTGATCACGTTCGGCGCTGGAGCATTTTCTTGGCTTATGGCTGCGAGCGCGGCCGTCATCTTCCGGGGCCACGATAGTTGGTGTTCGGGAGGGAGCGCGCGCACGAAACCGGTTGGATTCGGATCAAATCTAGACGGGCGGCGGAGCGGTCGTCGTATCTTAGGCGCATCGTCGTTAGTCTCAACAGCATGTCCGTCAACAGCAGCTTCCTTCTGCCCAGCAGCTTTCCAGCCATCTGCTAAATACTGTGCGAGCGATGAACGGGGAACCTGCTTCTCTTCTGTTGTGTTCTGGCCCGCAAACGTGTAGACTTTTGTAATGGCTACTTGTTCTTCGTCGTCTTGCGCGCCCGGTCCGTTTGCAAGCGTGTCTTGCTTGCTTGTGACATCGACCTGTGTTGCTTCGGCGTAGGAGAGCGGCTTCAGCGGCGCGGCCAGCATCTGCGCCCATAAACCATCGATATCCATAGTTGCCCCTTCGATCCCAGCAAGGGGCTTACGCTCCTTCAACTCTTCCCTGCGCTGGGCTCTTGTCTTGATCAGCCCCCCTTCGCCGTCTTCATTGTCGGATAGCAATAGGTCGGCATCGTCGTCGTCGTCATTGTCGGCTCCCTTTGCGCGCTTCCGCTTTTTCGCTTTACGTTTACGTGCGGTTTCAATCGTGACTTCATCTCCAGAGTCGAGGTCATGATCGACTGGGGCTTTGCGTTTCCTCTTCCCTTTCACAGGTTTCGCTGGTACTTCTTCACCTTCGTCGGAAGAGCTCGCGGACTCGTCGGCGGGCACGTCGGTGGGGTTGAAGTCGTCGTCATCGGAAGAATTGTGGGTTTCGTCTTCAGCATCGGCAAAGTCGTCGATGGGACGAAAGGGCGCCATTGCGATGGCAGCTGGGGAGGTGCCGATGGAGGGGAATGATTCTGTGCATGCATGGAACGGCGAACGGTACCAGACAACGGGCACGCCAAGCGAGATCGACGGCTAGCAGGTATAGCGCCCGTCGCCAGGTATGACGTTGGGGCGGGGGCGCGTCGAAGCACCATCAAAACAAGAAGCAAGCATAGCATAGCATGCATGCAAGCAGCCTTTCCATCCCAACCCTCCCTCGGTCGCCAGCTTATGCGCAAACCACCTTCTATCTGCGCTTCTCATCTCGAACACTTTGGTAATCCGCCACCACCACTATGGCGCCTGTCGAGCCCGATGCAGTGTCGCGCTCCAACATTGGGGCCGTGTCCTTGTTCGCGGGTCAAGTGCTGCTTGTGCTAGGATGCACTGCAAAAGTACTCTTCACTACTCGACGCGCTTCGCAATCTCTTCCACCTACGACCACCACGCGAGGGCAAGAACCGCTCCGGCGACGCCATGCCTTCGTCTTCTCCTGTATTGCTTTTCTGTCACTGGCCTCTGTCACGGCCTTCGCCGTCACCTGGCGCGCGTCGTCGTACTTGGATTGGGCTGAACATCACAAACACGACATCCCAAATAGTCTCTGGACGGGCTGGCGCGGCACAGGCGACAAAGGTGTGGGCATTTGGCGATTCGGCGACTGGTTGAGCGACAAGAATCTCATCGTTGAGTCGGATTCCGTTGCTGTCGCCCGGCCAGAGGGCTTCCTGTTCACAAACGAGCATTTTGTAGGGCTGCTGGCAAGCTCCATTCTCTTTGGTGTCGAAGGCCGTCGCCGCAACCTGTCAGTCTATACAGTAGCATCGTTTGTGATATTGGGCGCCATCGGCAGTCTTGGCTATGCGCTGAGCCTCTTTTTCATCACCATGCTCTACACGCCCTTGTCAGTTCACAGCGGCGATAACAGATACGACGATACTCTGTTCGCGCCCAAGCCTGTAGTGTACAATGTCCCCATCGTGCTTTCCGCCATAGGAATCAGTATTCTGCCATCCCTTTTGAAACGAAACCTACACGACGACATTCTGCGATACGGATACGTTGCGGTGCCATTGTTTTTGGCGTTTGCACCCAAGGTATGATATACTAACAACGCTACAGCGCATCTACATACTGACAACATCCCAGATCGTCCCGGCCAGCTGGGGACGTCATCACGCTTCCAAGTCATCTGCTCATCGCTCATTCAGCAAGGCCTTTTATGTTCTCTCACTCCTGTCTTTCGTATTGCATTGGAAGAGTCTGGCCTTCGCCATTTCGGTGAACACCCCTCAAAAAAATTCGCACATCTACGACCTCGTCATCAACTTGGGAAGGCAAAAAAGCTCTACTCCGGATAGGTTGTTGGCCGGACTTGCCGCCACAGCATCGAACCTGAAGCTTGTGAGCAAGGACCCTACAGTCAGCGTGACGACCTCGGACATCTTCTTCTCCACCATCAGTCTCTTGACCTGGGCATTTACCCGCGATCTAGACGTGAGCAGCATCCTCCAGAACAGTGCTCTCTCTTTTTTGTCTGGGCATTCATCGGAGAAGCACGTGGAATTTGCGGACCAAGTCCAAAAGGTGCCCGAGGAGACTTCTGAAGCAGAGGCTGATTTGCCAGCCACGACGCCCAAGAAGCGCGGCCGTCCAAAGAAAGCCAGCCTCACCAATGGAGCTTCATCAGGTACCACGTCGAAGGGCACGCTGAGAAGAAGCACGAGGAACAAGAGCCACAGCGATTATGAATCCGATGCTGAATCGACGTACAAGCCATCGGCTGCAGAGAGGGAGGTGGTTGCGCAGACAGAAGCGGATGGAGTGCAATCAGAGGACTTGGTGCATGGCGGTGAAGCCACGGCACTTGCCCTCGCTCTTGCATTTCTCGGGGGCCTTGGACAACTTGCAGCAGCTGTGTTGGGGGCGGAAGTGACAAGCACCAACGAATAAGTAATGGGGCATTCGGCTGCTTTGGGTGTGTCTACGCGTAACGTGGTGGAATGCGGGAAATGCAGGAAATGCCAAAGGTTGAACAACAAAGTATGGCGAACATGGGTGTGGCGTGTGTGCTGTCAAATGTTGAATGTGTAACTCGTCTAATTTTCTTTTTTCTTTCTGTTGGTTGCTTTTTCTCTGCTTCGTCTTGCAATAATCAGGCTACAGTATGGCGTGGCAGGTATTGGAAAGCTGGGATAGCCTGGGACAGGATTCCCATAAGGATAGCATAATCAATTTTGGTTTAATCCTTGAGAGCTCCACCACGGGGCAGTGGTGTACGGATTGCTTGGTAGGCTGCAAGCGAGGCGCTTATCGGTTATCCCGTACGTTTGAATAGACCCATCTAGTTCCGTCCGAGGTGTCGAGGTGTAGTTGCACTGCTGCACAGTTGCACAGCTTAACAAGATGGTTGCAGCCGGCGGATGCCTGTGTAGGGGTGCCTAGGGAATTACGTGAGGCTACGTTGAAAGACCCAAGGAGTAGATTAACGGGGCCAGTGTTGATGTTGAAGTGGCGGTCAAGGATCGGATTGTGCGGGCCAGTCAAGCCAAGTCGAATATGAGGCATGTGGAATAGGCATAGTGAAGACGGGCTCATGTTTGGATGTGTGGTGGATGTGGAGGATCATGACTGACTGAGCGGCTGGACGGGGCCGTGCGAGGGACTGGACTCGCTGGGAAGTCGGATCCAACGGCTACCTGTGTATCAATGTACTCGGAAGCACCAGGTGCGGATGCAATGAATTGGTGGTGGTGATTGCGTCGAGAGGGTTGTTAAGTAGGTAGCGGATGGCGGCCCAAATCCAAGCAGGAGGAGGTACTGACTAGGTAGATAACATGGCCTAACTAACCAACAGCCAACGAACTGCCACCACTCGATGCCATGTTATTCCATCCATCCATCCAACCATCCATCCACCGCCCGTGCCTCCACGACCGAAGACGATTACATGTACCCTTCCTCCACCACGCCATCCATGGAGGTAAGCAACCCAGATTTCCATCGCATCCCCCTGTCTCTGCTTCCTTTTTTTCTTTTTCTCTTCGCAAAACATCCCTGCATCGCCCTCTGCCCTGCGCTGCCCTGTCCCTGTCTGTCCTTGTTGTCTGTCTTGCCAGCGAGCCCGCCTTCGCTCAGCCCTATACCTCCATTTCCTTCACCACCACCTCCACTTCCACCACCACCGCTGCCGTCGCCATTTGCAACTCCGCAACCTTCACCACATGGCGCTCCGTTGCGGGTCCACCGTGGCCTGACACCGCTGCCTTCCCTCGAGCACTTCTGCCGGGGCCCGCAGCGCTGCAAGTACCACGCTTGTAGCACCTTACCCATATCGCCCCGTCTCTGTCATCCTTTCACTCCAGTCTCCTTCTCTTCCATCCCTCTGCCAAAAACACATCACCCTTTCCTTTCCCAGGTCAACGCGTTGCATTCTACCGTCCGTGTGCTGGTCGGGAAATAATCTTGTCTGAGCCAAAACATCTACCCATCTCGGTCTGGCAGTGGCACACGCTGTCCAGAACATAGCGGAGTGGAAACATCCAGAAGATCAAAAATAAAGCTCGTGTGCTCTCTATTCCAAGTGCTTGAGCTCCCCGTAAACTGTACTCCCTATCGTCTCTAATATTTCGCCTCGCCTTTTTTCTTCTTCTTTCGTTTCCTTCTTACCCTCATTTTGATTCCTTGACATCTGCCGCCTCGTCATGGAGCATTCCGTCCTCCAAAACATCTCGCACCCCGAGCGCGACGAGCCTTCTCAAGCCGATCCTACGCGCTTGAAACCTGGAGCTCAATTGACTCTGATGCGATATTTGCAGGACCTTCCCGAAGCTGAAGTTCCACACACCGATCCTGTGCCCCCACGCTTCCATACGGGCCGACTGCCCAACAGCAAAGCTGGCGATGGCAAACCGCGACTCCTGCTCATGGGCCAAAGGAGGTCCGTTTTCGTCGCAATTGGGCAATGCCTAGCTAACCCTAAGCAGAAGCGGAAAATCTTCCATCTCAAGCGTGGTTTTTCACAAGTTGCCCCCTAGTGAAACACTGTATCTCGAGACAACAACTCGAATAAAGAAGGAGTCGATGCAGTATGTATATTCCTCCATTATATCATGTCTGTTGCTTATGCCTCAGTTCCTTCATGGACTTCCAAGTCTGGGACTTCCCAGGCCATCTGGACTATTTCGACCCAGCTTTCGATGTAGACAACATCTTTGAAGAGATCGGGGCCCTCATATGGGTCATTGATGCCCAAGATGAATATCTTGAGGCCATTTCCCGCCTCAACATGACTATCCTCAACCTTCAGCAATCCTACCCCAACATCAACGTGGAGGTCTTTGTGCACAAAGTCGACGGTCTCTCCGAGGATTATAAAGGAGATACGTTCCGAGACATCATTCAGCGTGTGCAGGACGAGCTGTCTGATCAGGGTTACGAGAACGCACCCGTTTCCTTTTATCAAACCAGCATTTACGATCACTCCATCTTTGAGGCTTTCTCCAAGGTCATCCAGAAATTGATCCCACAGCTCCCCACTTTGGAAGCGCTCCTCAACAGCCTCTGCAGCACCTGCCACATTGAGAAGGCATACCTTTTCGACATCATGAGCAAGATTTACATTGCAACAGACACGAGCCCAACAGACATTGGTAGCTATGAGATCTGCTCTGATTACATTGATGTCGTGATTGATGTCAGCGAAATATATGGATGGGATCGACCTACTGAGAATGGAGATGCAGAATCGCAGGAAACAGGCAATAACGACGCTGAGAGCTTGATCACTATGGAGAGAAAGGGCAACAACTATCTCTACTTACGAGAGATTAACAAGTAAGTGCATCCGCAAAGCTGTGATTCTGAATGCAAATGCTGAACAAAGCAAGATATCTCGCACTCATTTGCCTCATGGGTGACGACAGTCCGGCGGATAAAAAAGCAGTCATCGATTACAACGTCGGTGTGTTTCAAGCTGCACTCAAACAAGTGTTTCCACGGGCAGAAAGGGAAATCGCCGTCCCCGACCAGCCGTGACAAAATCATAATTCACAATAGCTTGGTATTGGCGGAGTTTGGCGCTTTGGCATAGGTATTCTTTCCCTCATCGTTCAAAAGTTGTGGGCGGTCAAACCCTTGTGTTTACTACATCGCAACAGGCGTAATCAATACATGGGTCAGCGCATCGGCATCTCCGATGTTTTATGAGATACGTATCATAGAGGAGTCGTTTTTTTCCTGTGTGCCATTGGATCAAAGCACCTATCTCTTCCCGAGGTATTCTTCTATGGATTTTCGTCTCATTGCCGGTCCTTCTCAAACTCTTTTTAGAGAAACAGATTTTTGTGTGACCGCACATTGCTACTCAAAATAAAAAGTGTTCTAGAAGAAGTATTGCGAGGATACAAGCTGAATGAATCACATATGTATATACCATAAGTCAATTCAGATTGTGGTCTTCGATATATACATATGTACTTTTCAACCGCGCGTGTGCTTGACCAATGAGAGCCCACCGAAGCCGCTGACACCCGTCATCTAAAATCGCGACTCAACCCCCGTCAAAATCGATTGCTTGGGCGGAGTTTAGCGGGGATGTCATCTTTAGCTGGGCAAGAGGACACCATGTTCACAACAGTCGATTCGTGAACGATCTCCATCCAAGAAAGAGATCTCTTTCCACCTCGATCGTACATTGTCCATATTCCAGAATGGCATCGACTTCAGAGGCACGGCAACGGCGTCCTGTCGCGGACCCTGGGACCCCCGACCCAGCAGCTCCCATCAAACAAGTCGCAGCTTCGGATGCAAAGGCGGCGTCGAAATCGGGATTCTCGGTCCTCGATGTGCTGAGGGTCCTCGGAGGCGTGCTGCTCATGAGCACCGCCGTGAGCTACCTGACCACCAGCGGCGAAAGCTTAACATGGGGATATAACCCCTGGTGGACACGAGCGCGCGAGTGGAAATCAATGTTTGTATGTTTATTTCCCTTGCACACCTCCTCACCGCAAACCAATCGGAGTCGAAAAGCATAAACGCGAATATCGATATCCTCCTCCTCCCCGAGAAAAACAGCAATATTCTATAAAACATACAAACAACTAATGGGGTTGGAATAACAATCAACAGGCCGGCCCCGTCTCCCTCACCGACGAACAGCTCCGCGCCTACGACGGCTCCGACCCCACCAAGCCAATCTACCTCGCTCTCAACGGCACAATCTACGACGTGTCCTCGAACCGCCCAACCTACGGCCCAGGCGGCTCGTACGCCTTCTTCGCGGGCCGCGACGCCGCGCGCGCGTTCCTAACGGGCTGTTTCCGCACCGACACGACGCCGGACCTGCGCGGCGTCACGCGCATGTACATGCCCATCGAGCCGTGGGAGCGCGAGATTCCCGACGACGTCTCGGCCGAGGAGCGCGCCAAGATGAAGCGCGAAGCGGACGTTGCGTTGGAGAAGTTCAAGAAGATGAGTAAGGCGGATATCAAGATCCGGAATGAGCGCGAGTTGAGGCAGGCTAAGAAGAGTATGAGGGAGGGGTTGGAGCATTGGCATGTGCTTTTTAGAGGGGATAAGGGGAAGAAGTATAAACAGGTTGGACAGGTTAAGAGGCCCAAGGATTGGTTGAAGGGCGTGGAGAAGACGGAGCTTTGCGAACAGGCCGAGAAACAGAGGCCTGTTAGGAAGTATGATTGAACAGTGTTTTTTTGATCTGTGGGTGGGATATGGAGGTGTGTGTTGATATCAAGAGGGGGACATTAACATATCAATAGGAAGAACAATTCTTCGTGTAAAAACTTGCACCATTTGAAATAATGCACTTTTTCTCGTTTTGCTACAAACGTGTCTTTTGCGAGCGATGGAGCCTGTTCATTTTCAATACCCTTGACAACTCATACATGTCCTCAATGCCTATGTAAACACTTTAACCCCCGAACTTCCCACAAAGATTCCGAGATGTACGATGTGTAACTTCACTGCGCAACGCAACATGGCCTCTGCCCTCCCCCAACGGCGTCTTCGGGCACGAGTACATTACTTTTTTTCAATCGTAGAAACAGTCATGAATTCCATGTCGTTGCATTGCTAGCCTTATGCAATATAATGTTTCCCAACTTCGATCCCACAAAGACCCATACATATGACCATTTGTACTGGATCCTGTACTCTCAAGAAGACGGTCAAGTAGGCGATGGCACAATCTTTGTCTTTCTTCTTAGTCAGGATTCAAGTGAGCGCCGTACTCAACAATCCAGACTACGGTATGATATGTCTTGTTATGACTGGGCCAATACCGATGTGTTTGTCACCTATGCGTTCTTTGTTGATGCTGCAGTTAACTTTGGCTCAAAGAGTGGGATGTATGACTTGGAGGAAAGAGATGGAACATTCAAAGTGCTGGTGGTAGGTTACGCTTTCATTCCATCTGTCATTCTACGGGATTAGGGCTGCGGTGATGTGGTTTTCCCATGAACCGAGCAAGTGAGTTCGTCTCAGATTCTTTGGGCGAAGGCTGATGGCAATGTTTGGACGAAATCTTGCGAAGTCCAGTTATTGAATTGTTGCTGATGGCTTTCCAGGCGGCTCTCGTACCTGGAACCTTAGTGAATGTACCAAATATGATACAAGCATGGGAGTGATGATCTGGCATCCTACCTCACCGAATCTCCGTGAACGTGTATTCTCGACGGGCAGCCAGCAAAACGGTAAGGGTGAGTACAAATGCGATGGTATCGCTGTCATTTCATGGACCATCACTTAGAATTCGGCACACAGATTTGTAGCAGTGGAACAGTTCCGGATATCTTTTTCATTTCGATACATAGCCATGTCGGACTACAGCCATTGGCTGCAGCCGGGCATTCGTCCTCTTTAAATCATATCCGCCACACGAGCACGCCAAATGTATGAACCTTTCCCATCATGAAAGAATTTACGTACGCCGACCGATAATGGCAGAAGAGGAATTGTTGGAAAGAGATGCCCCAGAGAATTGCATCCTACTAGCTGTTTGACTTGTCTAGTTCATTTGCCCGAAGCGAGATATTTAATCGCCACCAACGGCACGTGCTATAGCGATATTAGCATTCGATTCATAGTTCCTGTCGTAACTCCCACGCTCTAGAGAGCAACAAGTCGCCGATAGCATCAGGGAAGACATACTGTAGATGCTCAACTTGGAGTGTCCAACGACCTTCTTGATCACACCCCTCTCCTCGAGGTCGCCAAGCGCTTGTCGTGCGAGGGAGCCGTTAATCTTGAGACGATCGACAAGGGTGGCAACGGTGATCAGACGGTATGATTGCACATCTTTGTTAAGCTTGTCGGCGATGGTCTTGTCGAGAACGACAGCGTGTTGGGCCTTGTCCTTGACTGTTCGCGGTCAGCGGCAATTCTATCCTGTCTCCTGGGCGGTTGTGCGGATGGATGATTGGTAAGAGAGCGCCGGTGGGCACGCGGGAGGTAATCAGGAAAGTGCACGAGAGGATTGAGGGTGATCGAGGCGATTCGTGATGCTGCGCCGAAGAATCAAGGTGTCGAGGTCACGTACCCTTTCCCTTGGACCACTTCTTCTTTTGCTTCTTGCCGCCGGTTGCTGCAGGTGCCTGCACAGATATTCATTAGTCCTCCATCTTCAAAGAAAGAGCTCTGGCGCTCTTCCCGAGCATGCCGGGACAAACATACCATGTTGTCGGTTGTGGTGGGTGTGCTGAAGAACTGAGTCCTACTGTCGGGAATTTGAAAGATGCAAGTGCGGAGAGAGGGTGGGTTGCTGTTGACTAAGCGGGATAAGCGAGTTCACGTGCCGAGACATTCATCCTGTCAACTCGAGCCAATGCTGGCGGCTTTACATTATCAACAGTTCTGTATACAAAAATACTGCTCCGTGCAAATGAGTATACATACTGGTGCTCTATATGTCGTTTTCTACTCAAGCGTGTGTCCATGATTATCTGGAGTGGTGGCGATATCCGCACAACTACTTCACCACCCGCATGCTCATACTCTCAGTGTGCATGCAAACTTCCGGTCGATGTATCCTTATCGACAAACCTCGCTTCCTCAACCCCAAAGCAGGACAGCGGGCAACTAGACCTGAAACGAACCCTCGAAAACACCAATGTTGATATCGACGAAGCCTTAGCGCGATAGCCCAACAGCACTTGCATGTCTGCCTGCCTGTCCATTCCACAACGTCGAAGATTCATGCACTGGAAAGGGGAGGACATGGCTCGCCTGAGCCCGAGAAACATTGTCCGTATGTTTGAGTGACATCGAACGCTAGAAGTGGAATCTTCAATGAGTGCGGCATTTTACAATTACAAACCAACTTCCTTTCATGAAGAAACTAGAATATGCATTTAATAACATGGTGCAGTATAGTAGGGGTAGGTATCTGGGTTTATGTAGGCAGTTCGATTTGTATATCATATTCACATGACGGCGGATATCGTGGCAGATATTTGACCTGCTACGCCCAGCTCTTCCGAACGTACGAAACAGAATTGCAAGCGAATCGTGGATTGTATGCATACATGCATGCATATGTTCAGGCAACCGATGCCGTGATGCAAGTGAGTATGATGTGCGCGGAGACTGCCACTTTCACTCCGTGGCGGTTGCACTCTAGGTGAAGGGTGTGCGCAACTTGGATGGTGATTCGTCCACACACCAACATCGTCCAGGATGATCTATGCTGCATGTTTGAAAAAAAAGAACCCACCTGTGCAGTTGCCCATGCATCGCGCCATTAGGTCAGTAAGCCCTTTGCTGAATGGAGGATGATTCGATAATGCGCCCTGCACACCATGATGGAAAGAAAACCACTGATCTAGCCGCACTGCCATGATAGCTGCGATAGCTACGATAGCTGGTACACCACTTTTATCTCGAGGAACTTGGCTGCCGAGCAAAGATAGTTCATCAGACCATGTACAATATTCGACACCGACTTTGATTTCCACGGGTCGCTATACAACTAGTCAAGCTACACGATATCCACATAACACCGCTGTGGTTCAACTGAAAATCGACACAATGCATTCGCTTGTTTTCATTCCCGTTCGGAGCAACTACCCCGGACAGTACCAAGATAGAGTTTGAGGAGATAGGAGAAGAGGACAACGAGAGATAGAGAGACAGCCACTCCATACTCCCGGAATACAAAGAAAGGAGAGTGACAATGAGAGACGGATGAAAGACGGATGAGAGACTAAGACCCGGAAACAACACATACATAGCCAAGACAAAAGTGGCGATCGAGCAGTGGAACAAGTGATCTTCAGCTAAAAGAGAAACAAGCATCTTCGCCTTCTTACTTTTCGCTCTGAGAATGTTCCACGCCAATCAAACAATCTGCACGCTTGCTCGTCCCTTACGAGCAAGGTGAGATTGCGCTTCGCTATCTGAGTGCAAATGCTCGCTAATTCTGAGAGACAAATTCATCGTAACCAGAAAATGGAACTGAGCTAATGATCAACTCGTAATGCTGATGTGCTCCGAAATCCCCAAGGACTAAACTGGAAATGTATGCGCCAAGACGCCGCCACGTCCATGTGATGAATGCAAAATCATTAGAAAAAATGAGTGTGTGGCTTCGATAGTTCGTGCACCTCCATCTCCTGTGGCATTGGTTAGTGGAGGTGGAATTCCAAGGCGCGAGCGGACATACCATTTTGAAGGAGTTGAGCTCCTCCTTGATCTGTTGAGCGAGCATCGGGGTGAGCCTGTTGCACGTGGCAATTTCTCCACGTCGATCATAGTCAGAGGCAGACCACGCATCGTGGAATTGGATACGGGGACTGAAGCTGATGTTCCTCAGCCCTTGCGGAGTGGTGGGGAGACTCCTGGTGCTTGGGTTTGCAAGTCGCGGCGGTTTGCCGAAATAATCTGAGCCGGAATCTTGAATGGGTGTGTTAGGGGCACTCGCTTTCACAGGTTCGAAGGCTGGAGGTGCATCAGCCGGGCGAATCACTGGCGAAGATGATCCAGACCCAGTTCCGTTGCCTGTATAATGATCAGCAATCATTTCGACATTTGGTGACTTTGCCAACTTACGCTTCAAGATGCCCTTCTTGATAGATGAAAGCACTTCGGCACGCTCCTTGTCGCTACCGACTATGCTTTTCCTTTGGTATGCATCGTTCGCGGCCCCTGAAGTGGTGTTGATATCTGTGCTGCGTCCTGCATCCAAAGAGTTGCGTTCGAGCCTGGGATAGCCTGTGCCTCCGCCGGTCTGCTCATGGGGGTGGGCGTTCACGTTCACCTTCTGTCGCTCAGCTTCCACCGTGACCATGGAGACTTGACCAACACTCGGTTTGACAGGTCCGTCTGCGGCGGGAACCCCAATCACTGACTTGGGTCTGAACAGACCCTTGATAGATCTTGTTCCCTTCTTCATGCCACTACCCATCTTTCTCAACATGATAGAAGCCGACGAGGCCGTTGAAGATATGGAGAGGTTGTCATTCGAACACGCGAAGCCACCCTGCCCAGAGTAGATACCAGCACCAATACCCGCAGCCTCTTGCTTGGCTACAATGGCAGCTTGCTCTGCCTCTTCTTCGGTCTGGTAACGGTCTTTCCGCAGCTTCGCCCGCTCGGCAGCTATGCTGTTCTCGGCCGATGCGCGGCGGAGCTCCGCGGCGCTACCAAAGGAGAATGCTCGTCGAAGGCGGGATTTCACTCCCTTTCCTCCCTCCTTGTCATTCAGCGCTGTGAGCTGCTTGACAGCGGGGCTTGCATTCGATGTACCCATTTTCTTCGCTGGGCTCGGAGGTTCCGAGGGCGACATTGGCTGCGACAAAGGTGAGGGAGCCATGCGACGGCTGGCTTCCGCGGACTTGGACGTTGGCGTAGTTGATACTGGAGAACGCAGGGCCGAAGATCCTTGACGAGACTTGGTCATGTTAGTGATTGGACGTATTTGGTTGGATCAAACAACTTACAGAGGGCCTATTGGACCCAATTGATGAGGAGCTCCCCGCGCTCCCTTGCCTTTCGTGGCTTTGACTAGAGCTTGGTCGACTACCGTGGCGACTTGAGCTCGACGTCGGTCGAAACTCTTGTGTCGGTCGCTTTGGGGCGATATCAGGTGAGGTGGAGACGGATGGCGTCGGTGCTGTACCGTTTGCCATGGCGTTGCCATCCAGACCGCTCAAGCTACGCCTCCTATAGCGTTTTGCCTGGTCGATGGACCCACCTCGTGCTGGCATATCGTCGACACTGCTTGCCCGGTTGTGGGTAGGCCTTGCAGGCAGCGGTAGGTCGATGGTGCTCAGCGGGGGGAGATTGGGACGGACCGAGCCTGAAGCGGGGGAAGCAGTCGCTGGAGGGGATTGTTGTGTCGGGGTCGATGTGGAAGACGAGGCTGTGCCGCTAGTGGTGGATTCAGATCGACTCGCAGCTCGGCGGTAACGGCCCGGCGATGGTTTCACAGGGGCATCGGAGGTGACAGGGGACTCTGATATGGAAAAAGACAAGTCAGGTACCGAGGTGGACAGGTTGATGGTGGGTGGTGCATCGTCCACGATGGATTTCTTGGCCGAAGCATCGTCTTTGGGGGCGAACGAGGGTGTCACCAAGGAGCGGTTCGAGGAGCCAGAGGTGGACACGGTGGAATCGGAGGAGGAAGATGGATGTGACGGATGACCAAGTTTGGAAGGGTTGGCAGTCGGCTGGGCCAGCTGGTTGTTTGGAGCGGACGAGGACCTGTTCTCCTGACGAAGTTGTGGGGTGCTCGAAAACGCATACGGTGCTATGGGGGCAGAGCTGCCCCTGTACCCTGTTCCGGGCGAGGGAACATTGTACGATTGAGCGCGTGGCATCTGCGAAGATCTCTGCTGCTGGGGTTGGGAGGGTGTGTTCTGAAATGCATCAGAGGAAGAATGTAGCATCGTAATGGTACCGGTGGTCTGGACGATGGGCGCGAGTACCTGAGCCATCGGAGTACTCGTGGAGGCGGCGGGAGGGCAGGTCGATGGTGTTCGGGTTGACACTGGGGTGCGGGTAATGGTGGGAGTGAATGAGGGCGAAGGGAGAGGATGAGGGTGATGATCCGCTTTGGTGCTTCGCCTGGATGCCGAATTGCGCGAAGCCAATTATAAAAGACGGTCGGAGAAGAAAAGAAGAGGAGGCAAACGGAGGATTATTACAAAGGAGGGAAGGGTGGTGTGAGAAAAAGGAGATCAAGTAGTAGTCGTAGTGGTCGAAGAAGACGAAGAAGAAGTAGAAGTAGAAGAGCAAGACAACAAAAGGTCGCTACAAGCTGGAGAGGCTGTCGTGGATCGACTAGCTGGCAGCGTGTACCAAGCCTCCCGAGCACAGTCTCAAGGCTGCATTGGACGGGGGAAGGGACACAGGAGCTGAGGGAGGGAGTCGGAGGGGAGGGTTGTCGTCAAACGGGGCGACTCTCTCTCCAAGGCTAGAGAGACGGGGTGGAGGCGGCCGGGTGGTGCAACAGAAGAAAGAATAGGTGAGTGGAGCGAAGGAGGGAGGGAGGGCGAGCGAGGTGGAAAGGAAGAGAGAGAGAGAGAGAGAGCGGGTGTCGGTGGTGACGGGTGGTGAGAGGAGTGGGAAGAGGACGGGTGATGGATGGATGGGATGGGAATAACTAACAACTGGCTGGCTGGCTGGCGGGTTCAAGCTGGGTGGAGGGAGAGAATAGGAGAGAGAGGAGGGCGCACGGGCCGCGGCGAGGGATTCTGCATCTGTCGTCCACCCACTCAGTCCACTGGCCCTACTGCTGCCACTGTAATGATGTATCCACTTCTTTCCCACTCACCTTGCTCCCTTTAGGACGGCCCAGCCAGCTAGCTGGTTGGATCAAAAATAATCCTGTCTACCGTCTGGTCTCTGATGCCATCGTAATGGCCGTCCGTCTGCCCTGTCTGCCTGTCAAGTGTCTTTTTTATTCTAATGCTGTTTCGAGCCTCGGCCGCTGGGCTGATCTAGTGCTGGAGGGACATGCAAGTGACTTGAACGGCCCCCTCCTCCCTCTTCCCAATTCCCCTTCTCCCCCACCCCCTGCCTGTTGCTACTTTCACGCCATCGCCTCGTTCCATTCAAAGTCTTTTTTCATCTACCAATTCCATCTAATTGGGCGACGTCTTGTCCTTCATTTTCGATAACAACAGCAGCATCATCATCATCATCACCGCATCCAGTTCACCTCGAGCGTTGACGCGCATACGTGATGGGAGGGAGTGAATTGAATGATGGATTGAATGCATCCAAGAGGCGTTCTTGGCCCGTTCCCTAGCAACCCGCCCGTCCCTCTCGCATTCAGACAAGTCCATGGACGAATCAACAACCTCCTCCGATGGACTGATGTGCCTGCCTAGCAGCAGTTGCTATCGTTGGCTAGTCCCGTTCAAAGTTACTCCAGCATTTGGTATAACGACCGTCCGCTCCTTGTCGGTCCATGGCTTGTTCCGCTACCCCTTCAGCGACTGCAAGAGTTGTGTTTAATCAAGCACAACATTCATCATCCTCTACTTTTGAGCGTTCACAACATTCCGCCCGACACCATGACCGCTTCCGAGCAACCAAGATTCCGAAGCGCCGCAAACGCAGGCTCGGCCGCCCGCATTCCAGGGGTCTTTGATCATCATGCGGGTGCATGGGTCGTCGTGAGCTGCTGGGTAGATGGTTAGATAAAAGTTCATGTTGGTCCAAAAGGGCGGTGGGAACGGTGGTGCACGCTGGGTGGAACACCCGCAGAGGACAGGTTTTTTTTTCATGTTCGGACCTGCTGCTCATGGTGTTTGTGCATGAACGATGCATGGGTGCGCGCGTGTGGTTGCGAAGCTGTGCAGCAGTGCAGAAGAGTGCAGAGTGCAGCCATGCATGCACTGGCAGTGGATGAATCCATCATTCAATCAATCCATGAGAGTACCCCGCCACGGTCCGAGGGCGGGCGGGCGGTACAGGCCAAAGTGGCCTCTGCGGGTGCCATGTTGATTAACTGCCTTGGAGTTGACCCTGAATCTCGTGGACCGTCCGCCAAGGCGTGGAGAGCGACGATGCAATAAACTGGGGAAATGAATCGTGTTTGATGAAACAGATGCGGCCTGGTCCTCTTCGTCTCCGGTATATTGCCTGCCTGTCTTCCGCAATTCCAAAGGACGGGAACTTGTATCCACCGCAATCATCCATCGCGATAAGAGACCAAGGCAGAACCCTGATCCGCTTTTCCTGCGGCCCTCCAATGATGATGATGCTGGAATGATGGAATCAACATTTGCACCAATGTCCTCCATTTGCGTTTTATATATAGCCTCGAGCTACTCCTCTACAGGTCCGCTTTCCTCATCAACACAGACTGTCTGTTCTATTCTTGCTAGTCGTGCCCGCCTAGGACGAGACAGAAGAGAATGGATGAATGCAGCCCTCTGTGACAGTAAGCCATGTACCTACCTAGTACCCATCCAGGTAGCAGATGCTCTTGTATGTGCTGTAGTTCCTCCATCACCACGGTCGCATATTAGCTTCCAAGACTACTGTGCGATTAAGTGGAATACTTATCCCCCCCGCCGCCAGTCACCGTCGTATCCCTCCCGTTGCTCCTCACTACCCGTCGATGATTTCATGGCCCGGTACCAAGAAATGCCGCAACCACCATCACCAACGCTCCAAGGCAATGGTTCAGTATTACGCCACATGGAACCTGTCCCCAAGTAGCGTGGGTTGTGGCTAGAAGCTCTTCATCAGCATACAAGACCCGTTCCTCAACATGATATGCCGCGTATGCGACGACAATGACGCGTCCCATTGCCCAACACCGAAAGCAAATCGTTCCACTCACTCTTCAGCTCACTACTGCACTTGTGTACAATGATTGCCATGTGCCGGATCTCACTGTGCATCCCTCCAGCAGAGAGAATTCCAGGCGGTTCGCAGTTCCTGCGTCGCGGCTCGTCCCTTGGCGCGTATACCATAGTAACTGACCGTACGCATACCTCGTACACAATATAAAACATCGCCAATGCAGTCCGATCGTCACTTCATCTGGCAAACGTACCCCTCCGAGCCAGAGACAGGTCCGCACCGTCGACCTGGCCTACTTCGCTACCAGATGGCCAGATGCCCACCAACAGCGATTGACCGTTACCCAATCCCATGCTACTGTCTGTAGCTCCTGCTCACCGACGCCGTCTGCGAAGACGTACAAAACTATGTTTCAGCGTGCACGGCAGCGAACCTATTTATTCCGCCCTCTCGACCTATCATCGTTCGTACGCCTCGGAATTGGCCAGTCCATTGGGCTGCGGCATATACCCGCAATAATCAGACACACCGCCTGCGCAGTTAATCAAGCCTACACTTCAGAGTTTTTGTCCGTCACACACTTACTTGCGAGGCACCACGTCCGACCTTGTTCCTTGTCCTTCATTTTACTCATGCACCCAAACGCAACCAGCAATCGTACGCCGGCTTCTCTGATTTATTCCCGCCGGTTCCGGTCAAGATCAGATAAGATAATCGCTCTGGCCATGCATGCATGCTCAGTTCTTGGCACACATGTACATATATGTATGTATGCGTATATACACGTGTTCGCTCTCTCATACATACATACATTCATACATGTACATATGTAGTCGTGTACCAGGGAAAATTGCCAATTGGCAAACCAAACGAACGAGTAGTTCTAGACCATGCCCGGCCACCCCATATGCTCTCGACTCCAATGGCTCCGATCTCGTTTCCTGTGCCCGATAAACTCATTCGGTAGTTAGTCTTCCCTCGTTCGAGACAACGCTACTCGGCCTGTCAAATTGCTCATGCTTATCATCAACTGTTCTGACGACTCATCGGCTGTCTTGCCCATCAAAAGTCTATTGTCAAGGTTTCACTTTGCGAGCGTGCGCCTAACTTGGTACGCACTTACTTGCTGTCATGTGCTTTTCCATCTACAATCTCCTCATCCTGGTAGGTATAAGGTTATCCTGACATATACAAACATACCATGTACGATGATGAAAGAGGAGGTTGGATTCTAGAGATTTCGACCACTCCGAGGCAAACAAAAGAGTAGATCAAGACGCGAGAGGATGGAAAATGTATCTTCAACACTCTGGAGTGATTCAGCATACCAAGAACCAAACAAAGGCGATCAAGCTGCCCTTCTCCGATGTCTCAGCACCTGCAACATGTCTCAATTGATGGGGAATGCCATGTCTTCGACTACTCTGTAGAACATACACAACTCTACCTTGGTTTGTTAGACGTCTTTGACGCCACAGCGTGACCACGCACAATGACTTACACGCTGAGGCGGTACAAACACACAGTCGAACCCGAACAATGTTCTTGTTGTTTAATAAAAGATTTCCTCCCTCCCGTAATTGCGTCGACTTCGGGAAAAAAAAAGATCCTAGAAACGCTCATGTGAATAAAAAATTCCAAAAGAAGACCTCAAAGTTGAGCAAACCATGCATTCGCAACGAAAACCATTAACCACACGACCAGCAGCCCTGAATGCACTCTATTCCGGTCCTAAAATCAACTCCTTCCGCTCCCTCACTGAACCCGAGATCAAAACATTCTGTCAAGTCCTACGCGGCCCAGCGTTTCCATGCACTCCAACCGAAAAGCAGAACCACGACAGAATGATAAAGAACCGCTTGAATCAACTAGACCAGCGATTCCTCCGCCCTCACCGCACCTTTTCCCTACTAAACCAAAAGGTAAGTAGAACTACCAGCAGCACCAGCAGTAGTAGTACCAGTGTCCAACAACAACCACTATCACCACCGCCATTGTGCAATCTACACAAACCCCTCCACGCCCCTCTAATTCACTCCATCTACACGTTCATCCAGCACGAACTAGATTCCAAAATCGGCACGTTCCTCTTCCCGATCCTCACTCACGCCCAACCCCCCTCACCTTCTTCTACTATAAAGCAAACCAGCAGCAATACCACCACCGTAACGCTCTCCCCCGATAAAATCCTAGCAGCCCGCCGCCTCGAACCAGCCCTCCAACTCACCCACCCAACCTACACAGTCTCAGCCGCGACCCCACAGGGACACCCACCACTCTACATAGGCTACACAGACGTGCACGAGCGATTCGTGGCCAAGTTCTCGTTGCAGGAGGATGGCTGCGAAGCCTGTGTTTTGGCGCGGATAGGTGAGGATGCGAGGGTTTTGAAGGCGCTGCTTGCGGGGGTGTTTGGTCGGCTTTTGTATCGGCGGGGGTTGGGGAAGGAGGGGGAGGTTTTGAGGGATAAGAGGGTTGGATTTGTGAGGGGTTGGTTGGAAGATGGGGGGAGTGGTGAGGCGGTGGAATTGGGGAGGGAGTTGGCGCGGGCTAGGGAGCGTGTAGAGCGTGCTGGTGTGTTGGAGATGGGAGGTTAGATTGGGTTGGGGAGGCGATGAGATTATCTGAGGGTGGTGCCGGGAGGGAGGAGTTGCTTGCTACTGTTTCGCGTTGGGTCTATTGATCGCGATGGTTATATATCGACTTGAGTCACTATTTCGCTGGTGCACGTAGTTGTATCTGGTAAGCAGTGTTTACTCTCCCTTACGGCTATATCAAGGTGCACATTTAGACGAATATTTAACAAATATCCAACGTGCTCAGAGCTATGGTCTCATGTAGACTGTCTACCTACTACACATGTACTTCCTGTGCTTGCGCATGACCAATACTTATCCTTCCCAAGCACGTCATGTAGAGATTCGTTTGTACATGAAAGGGGGAACGAGAACGAGGAATGAAATCCTTGCACCCGTTTTCTCTGGAATGAATATCACATTGATTATCATGAACATTAAACATTTACAATTCGACGTCTGCTCCGCAAGGAAACAAGATGGCACAAGAGAGATGTTGACAAGATCTGTATGAGAGAAAACAAATGGATTGAGTGAATAGTTCGACCCGTAGGGAACGCCAAAGCCGATAGAATGATGAATAGATACAAACTGAACGAGCGGCGTAGCGGTGATGATACCATAATCCACACCGACAAGAAGAAGAATTATTGTTCAATGCTGTAAACCAGATAGCAAGAACAAGAACAAGAAAAAAAAAGGTGAAACGAATGCCGTGTTGCCGTGAATTTTGTACATGAGAATTACTATACATTACTTACGCCATATGAATTCCAAAAGTAACAGGCCGGTTGCAAGTTGACGACTGTCGTTGAAGAAACGAAATTGCTTAATGCGAACTGTCGACGCCCAACACATTCGCCCTCTTGCCATGCAGACTTCCATTGACTTTCTTGCGCAACCCTTTCAAGTTCCCAGCTGGAGAATTCGAGATGCTAGATGACTTCTTCCGCGTGGTGTGAGGCGTAGCCAAGGGTTGGGACTTTGTGGGCTCGTCACCGTCGAGTGCTGTTGCCATGGTGGCTGCCGCGTCGGCGTCCACAGTGTTGTTTTCGACCTCCTGGGCAAACTTCTCTTCCGCAATCCGGCGACTGCGCTCGTACTTCGCTTGGATGTCACCCTTGAACCTGGTGCCGCCAATCCGGTCCCAAAAGGTGAAGAACGGCTGGGAAAAGTTTGACTTGATACCCCAACTCTGGTGGTGAATGTCGTGGTAGGCGGCATTGTTCGGGAAGATCCATACAAGTGGATCATAAGGAAATTCGTAGCCGGAGTGGTCGAGGACCGTCTTGACAGTGGAGGTCGTAAAGAACCACATGCACTGCCTAGGCGTCATACCCATAACCAAAGAGCTCACTCCGGCGCCGAGTGTGTCCAGGATGAGACCCTCGGCAGGGTGGTTGTAGAGGGCACCATACGCATAGGGTACGTACAATCTGTGGTGGCGGGAGTGCAGAGTGACTAAGGTTGTTAGAGTTGATGCAGACGGCTATGGAAACTATGATGCTCACCGTATAACCACTTGTTAAGATGCATAGCACGGTGCCAGAAGTATTCCCACGTATCCATGACGAGAATTGCCCCGACGAATTGGATGGCAGGAATGGCATACCAGTAGAGCAAACTCGCAAGCGTGAGCTCCCACGAGGCGAATGCTGGAGCGGTGATGATTTGTCCCCCAACTTTGATAGATTGCATTAATCCAGGGTATTGTCCTCCAAGCAGGGCACTCGAGAGCATAGGTTGCGAGGTGGACAACTTGGAGGCCGAGGCCACAGGATCCAAGCCCAGTATGGACATGACGAAAGAAATAGCTCGCTGTGCCAGGCGTATCTTCTGCGCGTACCACGCAACGTCGTAATCGGCCTTTCCGGTAGTTGCCGGGTCGTCAGTCAGAGATAGCAACATGGACGCCATGACTTGGATGATTTGCTGGACAAGCACATCGCGGAAAACGTCGTAGCGACTAACGGGGTTGCGAGCCAGAACTTCGGCGGGCGTATGCAGGCGGTACTTCGCGCAGAGGTCGTAGACGTCGATGAAGTGGTAGGTGAGGGAGACGGCCCAGTAGGCTACGACGGGGAGAGCGGCCAGGAGAAGCTCATCAGAGACCCACGAGAGAAGCGGCGATTGCGGTGTGAGAGTGTAATCGGGCAGCGGAGGGAGCTGGTAGGCGGAGGTGGCGTTTGCCATTGTGCAGCGGCGGTGCGCGCGCGCGGATGCACTGAGGAACAAGACGGCGGTAACGGTTGAGCACGAGGCTAGGCAAGGAGCAGCGAGCAGCAGTCGATTGAACGTGTCACTCAATGTTCGGGGTGGGCGGGGGGACGTCTATTAGGCCAGCGCAAGCAGATCGGATGTCGCGGAATGGCTAAGATTAGGGGAGAAAAAAGGGCAGCCGCGATGATGCGGAGAAGGGAGAAGCGGCGTGACGGTAGAGTGACGGATGGATCAATGGGGGGAGAGCTCGAAAGGAGAGGCAGCGGTGGGCGGAGCGGGAGAGCAAAGAAGTCGTGGATGGGGTGAGAGTGGTGTGTGGTGAGTGCGGTGGTGCGGAAAAGGAATTAGGTATTATAATAGTACCCAAAGTAGGTACTCGGCTGGTACTGGACGGACGGGGGGAGCGGAGGATTGATCAAGTATTGTGGATGATGCAAATACCCAGCTAGAAAGAAGGATGACGGAAGAAGGAGGGAACACACAGAGAGAGAGAGGACGCAGACACGGATAGATAGATAGATAGATACTAAGTAGACGCTGAATGGTACATAAGTGAGTAATCTCATCCGCGTCATGGATGCATTTCGCCTCCTTTGCGCTTTGCAATGTTTGCACGCATGCCTGCTGCGGCCCGTGCGCAGATGGCGTCCATGATGGGACTAGCGCCTCGTCCAAATTTCGACCCCACTAAAGTCTTCTCTCTCTCCGCGCCCTCGACGGTTGATTAGCGCAGTTACTGACTGGACTGACTTCTCTTTCTTTCCCTTCGTCCAGTCTTCTCTCTACCAGTCCTCACTCGCCCACCTTACATTCTTTCGACCCTCACCCCCTTCAACTCTCGCCCACCATGATCATCTACACTGTCAGTCTGCCCTGCCTGCCCGCTTCCTCTGCGTTTTTGCGCCCTTGGCGTGCCCCGCGCTGCCTTTCGCTGCTGCCCCACCCCTCCTTTTGCATGCCTTCTTTTTTTCTGGACCCTGTCTATCCATCAATCCGCTTTTTCTTTTCCCACCCAGCAGCACTAACGCCTCGCACAGGACAAAATCACCGGCGACGAGATCATCTCGGACGTTTACGACCTCAAGCTCGTCGACGACGTCGCCTACGAGGCCGACTGCAAGAAGATCACCGTCGGCGTCGGAGACATTGATATCGGTGCCAATGCTTCCGCCGAGGGAGGCGACGACGAGGGCGCCGAAGATGCTGCCGAGCAGGTCATCGACGTTGTCCACTCTTTCCGTTTGAACGAGACTTCGTTCGACAAGAAGTCATATCTCACCCACTTGAAGAGTCAGTGTCACATGTGACCCTTTGCGCCATGTGTGCCTGCTGACAGGTTCCAGGCTACATGAAGGCCGTCAAGGCCAAGCTCACAGAGGAGGGTGCCAGTGCCGACGAGATCACAACCTTCGAGAAGGGCGCCGCCGCGTTCGCCAAGAAGATTGTCGCCAACTTCAAGGACTACGAGTTCCTCATCGGCGAGGGCATGGACCCCGATGGCATGTAAGTTCTGCCAGCTTACATCCTATTTCCTGGACCTCGATGACTGACCGATTCCACCAGGGTCGTCCTTCTCAACTACCGTGAGGATGGCATCACTCCCTACGTTACCGTCTGGAAGCACGGCCTCAAGGAGACCAAGGTGTAAGCGCATTTTCTGGGGTTTGGGGTGGCTTGGGAAAGTAGGCAGGACTCTAAAATATTTACGATCTGTTATGACTTGCCGCATGCATGTTGCAAATAGGGCGGGATGTTGCGGGTATATCCAAAAACATGAAACCACGTAAACCACATCCATCGTGATTAAAAAGACCATCGCTGCTCTCTACACGTATACACACTATGTATGCATGTGATGTCCGGAGGAATAGACTTCTGACCCCTGGAATACCCTGTATGCCAAGGCAACATTGGAGATGAAAGCAGCGTGGAGGAAAGAAAAGAAGATTGTGTGCATCACGGCTACCTGACTGGAGAGAAAATCCCAAAGGATAGCGGTGACAGCCGAAATGTTACACATTGTGGTACATGTGTATCTTTGATAATCACTTAAGCTTCCAGCAAAACGTGACAGCGTGGGAGCGCGTTAGTCTGTCTGTGCGTCAATGCTGCCGCTCAGCCTGGCCTGAGGCATGAACTGTCGAGTCGCAGCTTGTTCACCACCATTGCCTGTTCTTGCTTGTGCTGCATTTGCATAGATCTGGACTGGACTTGTCCCTGCTGTGGTATTGGCTTTGTCTCCCATTTTATTGACCCAACCATGGGTGACAATGCCGCTGCACCAGCACGGGTACCTGGGCGAGGCGTGGGGCTAGCAGCCGTTTCTACCCCCAACACTCCGCGCAAGAACGGCGCTGGGTTAAACCAACTTGTACAGTCCCTCGAGAACAAGTGGCATCTCGGCCTCGAGATTCGCGATGACACCTGGTCACCTGAGAAAGATACCAAACATCCTGCCAGCCAGGTTTATGGACGCCTCAAGCGCCTGTACTATGCCCTCGGGCCGGGCCTCCAGCAGGCCCTGGATACTTTCGATGAGCTCGCATCTGGCTTTGCCCAGGAAATGCAGCTAGGTCTTCTTCACGGAATTCTGAAAAGTAAAATTGACCAAACCCCTCCATCGAAGAAAAGAACGCCGTCGAGCTTGAGGCATGAGTCAAACTTGCCTAGGAAACCTCTGAAGCCGCTGCAATTTTGTGAGTTTTGGAACGCCTTACTTCATTCTCTCGACACGAGCCACGCGCCTTTCCACTCTCTTCTCTTTTCTTTGTATTCTTGGTCCGGTGGATAAGCTTCTTATTCTATATATCAATCTTCTTTCTTATAGATTCCGATTTAGCTGGGACTAGAATTGTGCTTTGCGATGCTGGGTTGAGCACTCTGCAGGTATTCGTGTACTGATCGCAATGACTACGACTCCAAGTGGATGGACTGAAATCTAACATGTGAATAGCACCTGGTCGTTCTCCAGCATCAACCTCACCAACCAAGACGACGAATAGTCACCGGTTTGAATCCCAACCCCTTTACCAGACTGCTCCGGACCCTGGCTCCCCCACCGATGACGATGACGAGGAATATCTCACTCCCCCATCGCCCACTCTCTCCTCGAGATCAGCACAGAGACGTGTACAGGCAAGTTCTCGATTCTGTCTGGATAACAAATCTATCAAAAGACCTTTTGATGGCATTGGCGCCTGTGGATCTTCACCGAAACTTACAAAGACCTTTAAGGATCCCGAATGGCCGCCGAAATCGAAGATGCTGAAGCCGTCTCGGTCCATCACAAAGAAATACCCCTTTGACTCATCCCGATCTTTCGAAACCAATTCAGTGAGAACGTCTTTCAATGGCTCCTTTGGAGCTGCATCGTCTGTCCAGTCAAACCGTCCTGACACTGCCGCTACCTCGTTCGCATCTGACGCCAATGATGGAGATGTTGAATACCCTACACTGCCAAAAAATCTAAACAGTTTGCCTGTTAATGATCAACTTGCTGAGGATATCAGGAGCCGCCAGGAATACGACCCACCGTCTTCGCAAGACTTGGGTGTTGAAAACTCTTCGACTTATGGATCTCTCGACGAGGATGTTCTGGTGAATACATCCCATAACATAGAGATAAAGTCCGTTGTGTCTGCGGGAAGCTCCAATACGGCTCCGCCCCGTAACCCGCCATCTGGAAAGGGTGTCCCTCTTTATCCTTGGTGTGCCAGGAAAGAAGAGCCAGCCAGCTACAAAAAGTCTAATGGATCATCTTCGACACACCGTCCGCAGCCTTCAATCAACAATAACAGCCATCAACCAGCAGCCCAGACATCAGCATCTCCACCCTCACACAACACCAATAAACTTCTGGGTCAGAATGATAACACTTCACTGGCGAAGGGGGAACCGGCAACTTCGGGATTGCCATGGTACATACGAGAAATTCCCAAACAGCATTTGTTTGTGAACCAAATTTCAGAATCCCTGGAAAAATTTCCATACTTCATTCTGTTCATATGCTGTCGTATCGCGAGCGAGAACATAATTCCGATGGAAGATTTAATGCGCCCAATGAACCATTCTGAGGTAGAGCAAGATCCAGAATTCCTATGGGGACGCATCGACCCCGAAATCATGAAGCACAAGGAACGTGACCCTCAGGATGTATGGCCAGCAGCAAGGACTGGCTTTGAAGGCTTTACATTCAAAGGAACGGTTTCGCTCAACAAAAAATCCACAGGCCCCCTTTTCCAATTGAAGCTTCTGCCTGTTGACCGAGACAAGTCATGTAAGCTGCAGCGAAAATTTGGTTCGCATCGTTTCCTGTACCTGAATACGGTCTCTTTAGATTCAAAACCAGATCGATTCACCCAAGAACAGTGGAGAAGTGTCCAAGATCAATGGAAGAGCTGGTACCTCCAAGAGCACACATTTCTAGGAAGGCAGTGGCGAGCGTTTCTTATCGAACCCATTAAGAAGAAGAAGAAAAAAATCGATCGTGTCAATGATGACGACGATTACGACAAGCGGTTGGTTCTATTTGCAACAAACGGTCCAGACATTGAACCGATATCTTTGGGGGAAATGGTTAACTGGCACATGGACCTCAAAGCCAATGAGGACCAGAATTTTTGCAAAGCTTATGCCCGTCTCGATCTCGCACTGTCTCGCACGATACCTACATTGGTCTTCAAGCCTTCACAAATCCGGTTCGTCAAAGATCAGCTCGCAGATGGCGTCGCAGAAGATTTGACTTTCAGCGATCCGACATTGCGCGCTGTAGATCAAAAAATCAGCCATCGCGCGGTTATGAACGACGGGTGCTCACGAATATCGGTTGGCGCGGCTTTGGAGATTTGGAAAATATACCGCAAGGTCACTGGTTGCGAAGAGGGTCTCCCAAGTATATTCCAAGGCCGTATTGGAGGTGCGAAGGGAGTGTGGATGCTCTGTGGGGAGCCTTCCACGACTGACCCCAACGAGCTGGCAATATGGATCGAAATAACCGAGAGCCAGCTGAAATTCAATCCGCATGACGAGGACAAGCATGACCATTCATACGACAAACATAGAACGACTTTCGAATACCTCAACCATAGCTCACGGCCTTGCCCGTCCACCCTCCACATGTCATTCATATCTATACTGGTCGACAGAGGTGTGCCAAGGGAAGTCATTGCCCGGTTAGCAAATGATCGGCTTGACATCGATAGAGCTCAGCTGGAGAGGATAATATCTGACCCTCAAAAACTACATCGTTGGATACATTCACAGTCCCCGCCTCAGGAGCATGTGCTCTGGGAAGCTGCATTGCCCAAGTCCTTATCGAACAAGATACGATATATGCTACAGAGTGGTTTCTATCCTGAGGATGAGCCCTACCTATCTGAGCAGCTTTGCAAATATATAAACTTGCAACATATCCAAATGGAACAGCGGCTCAAGATTCCGCTGGGCAGAGCCACTTTTCTGTTTGGTGTGGCAGACCCGTTGGGGGTACTCAACCCGGGGGAGGTGCACGTGGAATTCTCAACGCCTTTCGTAGATGAGACCACAGGATGTACATTTCGCGCTTTGAACAACATTGATTTGCTAGTTGCACGTCAGCCTGCCTGTCGCCGTTCAGATATCCAGAAAGTGCGTGCGGTCAAGAGACCAGAGCTTGCTCATCTGGTCGATGTCGTTGTATTTCCATCGCGCGGACAGTATCCCATGGCAGGAAAACTTCAAGGTGGTGACTACGACGGTGATATTTTTTGGCTTTGTTGGGAACCGGTTCTTGCTGGTCCGTTCAAGAACGCACCTGCACCGTTGGATGCTCCAGATCCTTCGAAATATGGGATTCGAAAAGAGACGAGGAAGTTACGCGAGGTCATGAACACGCAAGACCTACGCACTGTGGATGGTTTTTTGAGGGAAGCGCTCGATTTCCGCTTTCCACCGTCACTCTTAGGCTTGGTGACGAATTTTCATGAGAAGCGCGCGTACATGGAAAACCGAATACATTCATGGCAACTAGATGCTCTCTGCGACACCCACGATCTTCTGGTGGACGCACTAAAGCAAGGGTACATATTTGATAAAGAGGCATACACAAAACTCGTGGAGGTCAAACTCAGATGTGGCAACCCTGCAATACCCTCGTACAAACAAGCCATGGAAGCTTGTAAGAGTAGGAGGGCTACAGATGACACTGATAATCCCAGAGAGAGGGACTTCAAACACAACCCCGGAAATGTCCTTGATTTCCTCTACTTTGGAGTCGTCCGTCGGCATAATATCGCAACTTTGCAGAAAGTCAAAGATGGTTTCGTCAAAGAAGACTGCAACGACGATGCGCTTAGATATCCTTCCTCGTATTTGTATAAGTGGGATAACCAGGACAAGGAACAGGAACAAGATCAGGATACTCAGAAGGCTATCTGGGCCGAGCTCGCCTCGGCCTCTACTGAATTACTTGAGCTTAAGAAGCTATGGGATCAGCTGAACCGCGAGGATAAACACACTTTTGCTGAGGTCCTTGAGATTTGCTACTCCAAGTATCAAAGCATACTACCCAGCAACCCTACCCTAGAAGTTTTTAAACCGCTCCTGCGTCCTTACCTGAATGATCACTCCAATCTGTGGGAAGACATCCGCGCATCGACTTTATATTCCGCTTTTGGAAAACCGAAGAGTCAGAGCTTCGTCTGGCATATGGCTGGGCGTGAATTGATGAAGCTGAAGTGTATGTCGATACCTGAATCTACGGTGATCACGGCGAGCATTTTGGCCAACTTGAAACCAAAGCCAACGAAGGTACCAAAGCCAAAAGAAGAGGAGGAGGATGATGAGGAGCGAAAAGAAGAAGAATCACAAACGGAGTTCTTGAACGATATGGTGCTTTGAGACGGAAGTCCGTAGAATATCGACCTACTTAGACAGATATTAGAGAGCTGTACATTGCGGATCTACTGATGGCCATTTGCGTCACATGTATGTATCGAGGTGGAGTCGTGTTTTGTTTCTCAGATACCACAATTATGAACTTCATGATCAGTACCATGGATTGAGATCGACACGTGGAAAACTTAGACAATGGTCTCGATGCTGTTCAGTGTCAGTCTGGCTTCTGTCACTATCATGTACACGTTTGATACTGGTAATACTCTCAATTGTTGTCCTTGCGTTACGATATAAAAATCTGGAGGTTTGAACATTCCCTACGCTGCTTTGAGAATATCGCAAGTTTCTGTGAATGGGGAGACAGGTCAGCAGAGGTCACTAACGATATGGCTACTACATAGTGTACATAGACAGGAATAAAATGAGGATGCCTAGGTAGCTTGTCCTAGTCCATATACCTATCATTCAATCGCGAGGTAGGTTATTTTTAAAACTTCTATACAATGACCTACCAAGATGAGAGTGATGTAGCGTGAGATATTTTTCACAAACCGTCCAGGGGCCTCTTGTACCCTCGCATGGCCCTCTGGAGAATTTGTGGGTCGAATGTCACATATGAAGGTCACAGATCTCGCATGGTTCTTGACACAATGTTCATGGATAAATACCAAATTGGCCCGAGGATGTCTGCGTTACGACTTATATATATTGAACATGCTGTACTAATGACGCGTCTCCAATGTTGATACTACCGTGGCATGCAACAGCTACATCGAGTATTAGCAGCAAAACGAGACAATCCGAGTCTGGATCCGAGCGCAATGGGAGAAGCGCAATCAAGCAACAATTTGAAGCTGATATTCGAGAGACGACATGGCGCAGCAAAAAGGTGCGGGGTAGCAAGATGATGTCCCACTTCGATTCACCCACATCGTGATACCCTCCCGCCGATGTTACATGGTTCATTCATATAGACGATCAAATACCTATTGCTGCACTGTTACTGTCACACTCACGGAGGCGGGATTATATATCTTGACAACTACCAACCCATCCTGATACAAAGAGAAAAAGGTCACTCAATTGTCTTCCCATTTGCACCCACCACCCTCATTCCCCTCATTTGACATGGCCACCGCAATCGAGATCCCCGCACAACCCCCTCAAACCATCCCCGAGTCCGCCACAACTCTCCCACCCTCCCAACCCACTCCATATGCTCTAGCCCGCGAATCCCTCGATCGCGATGGCTTCGTCGTGCTCCCAGCCTCCCTCTTCCCCTCATTCGATCTCGACTCCCTACGTGCCGCAGCAGCTCGTCTAACCACGACCGCGCGCGCAGGCAAATGGCCCTACATCCGCACGCTCCCCAAGCAATTCCCACCATGGACGTCGGACGTCTCGCAGGGGATCTGGGGAGTGCAGCACCTGATGCACCCATCTAACCCAGACCATCTCACGTTTGCCAAATCCTACTTCGACGCCGAGCTCCTCAAGTACGTCGCCGCACTCATTGGGTGCAACGAGGACGAGATGGTCATGGAGCTGTACAACATGTTGGTACGGCCGGATCATGCGTGGAGTTTACGTTGGCATAGAGACGACATTGCCGCGGATGCCACCGATGATGAGGAGCTCGAGAGATTGGGAAAACCGGGATACCATGCGCAGTGGAATCTTGCCCTCTACGATGATGCGTCGCTGATTGTGGTACCGGGAAGTCATAAACGTGCTCGCACGGCCACGGAACGGGGCGCGGATCCGTATGAAGCGCATATTCCTGATCAGATGGTCGTTGAGTTGAAGGCTGGCGAGGTTGTGTTTTACAATAACAATATACTGCACAGAGGGGTCTACGATGAGACCAAGGAGCGCATGACATTGCACGGGAGTATTGGGACAACTCTAGGTAGTGCGGAGCGTGCGAGAAACGTACTCCAGCATGGAGTCGGGGGTTGGGTGAAGGACTATAACTTTGCTGATTTTGATCCGGATATGGAGAAAAGGGCAAGAGGAATGAGGGAGAGACTTGTCGAATTGGGAAAGAAGAGTGGAGAAGTAGAATATTTCTCCAAGGATGAGTAGGGCTAGAATGACAACGAAATTGTCTCATACATACTTGTATAAAGGTAGCGATTATCTGGATAATGGAGCGTGGCTGTCACTGTGGATACATTTGGCATTACATATCAATGCTAAGGGTATATAACTTCTCTATAATCATTTGTACCTTCACCATGGCAACTTCCCATTTGTAGCATCGAATGCTACTAAGACGACAGTGAAGTGCTTCGGCCGGGCTTTCAAGCCTTCACGACTTACGACGTGGATTTAGTGAGGACGAATCCGACTCTACAATCCGACTCCTTCAATACATCGAGAAACACATCATCGTCAAGTGCCAGAGCAGCAGCGTCCAGATTCTCCTTTTCGCTTCCTACTACACATTCATCGACCGGGTTATTCCCCCCGCTCTTCTCGACATCACGGACGTACTTCGTGTCAATGTGTCGATACTCCATCAGCAAGGTGAGCTTGGGCTGCTTTTTCGTACGCCGAGCTTCGATACTCGATTCTTGCTCCTGCATGTTGACTTCACTAGCTCTCCTCGGACCTGGCAATTGATTCTGCTCCGAGTCGTCTTCGTCCTCGCTATCAGTTATCTCGACAGGATCGCTATCGGTTATGGGGGAGCCCATGCAGTTGCAGGTACACTGGAGAAGATCGTGCGTTTGGCATGTCTCTCGCTCGTCCAAGCGAAAGAGATCCCTCAGTTCGTCTTTTGAGAATGATGATGCGCTGGCTTTGTTGTCAACAACTGCATTGGCCAGACCCATCTTCATGATCTGCCGCTGGAAGATTTTTTCGTCTAGCCCGCCTTGTACGAGGAACCGATAGACTTTGCAGGGTCGCTTTTGTCCGTCTCGATGAATCCGTGCCATGGCCTGTAGATCGGTAGCGGGATTCCAGTCAATATCGAACAGAACGATACGAGATGCGCCGATAAGATTCAATCCGACACCACCAGATTTTGCGGACAGCAAGAAGGCGAATGCAGTCTTCTTGTCCGTCCTGTTAAACTTCTCCACCATAGCTTGACGTTTGTTGGCTGGCGTGCTTCCATCCAGCCGAAGGAAGGAATAGGAAAGGGAATTAAGTAGTCGTTCAATCATATCGAGAGTCTTTGTGTAGTTTGAGACGATCACAATCTTTTCCTCTGTTGTAGTATACAAGCGGTGGATCAAGCTGTCCAATACACGCAGCTTTGTGCTTGAGGCATTGGAATTTAGGATCTTCGGTGGGATCAGTGCGAACAGCGATTGTAGCATCTCTGAAGGCGTGTCTTCAGTATCTGTCTTAGACTTGAGCAAGGCTGGGCTGTTGCATATTTTCTTGAGGACGTTGATCAGTTGAAGAGCCATGTCTGTATTCCCTAGAGCAGCAGTAAAGATTGGAGAAGCAAGTATACTGCGATAGGCTGCAGCCTGTGCAGCGGTCGGCTTGCAAAATACAATCTGCTCTGTTTTTGGAGGCAGGTATTTGGAGAGCACCTCAGCCGTGCGTCTAATCATAAACTGGCTGGTCAAGGTGACAAGCTCTTGCCAACGGGCCTCGCCCTTCTCTAATTCGGACTCGCTGGCTTCGGGTTGCCGACTCTTCAGAATTGGGCCCTCGAATGTACGTTTGAAAGCCGAACGTTGTCCCAGCAAACCAGGATTCACGAAATCTATAGCGGTGAAAAACTCTCCGAGGTCGTTCTGAAGTGGCGTTCCTGATAGAATTACCCGACGCTCAGTGCTTAGAGACTGTATAGCTTGCATAGCTTTATTGTTAGCCGTCTTCAGGCGGTGCCCTTCGTCCGCGACAACAATATCAATCTTCCCTTTCTTCAGATCATCTTGTACAACACGAAGCATCTCGTATCCGACGACCATGATGTTGTAGGCTTTGCCCATGGTAAAATTCGTGACCTTCCTATTCTTTCCGTCGGCAACGAAAACACCGATGCGCTCATTTCCCAACCACTTGCGAAATTCGCGACGCCAGTTGTCAATCAAACCGGCCGGGCAGACGATTAAAGCTTTGCCAACTACAGGTGGGCTTCCGTACACAGGATTCTGTTTCATGAGCGTCCAAAGCAAAGCGATCGTCTGTAGTGTCTTGCCCAGACCCATCTCATCCGCCATGATGGCACCCTCTCCCTCGCAGCGCATACCCATAACACATTCATACAAAAATTTAACACCCTCGCGTTGATGGTCGCGCAAATGTTTTCCAAGTATGGGATCGACGACTACATCGACAATCTCTTTGCCTTTCGGGACAGACGATGGCTGTTTCATGACGAGTGCATTTGGTTGGTGCGGATCATGCCGAGGTTGCGGTTTTGAGCTGTTATTCTTTGGCATCACGGTACTGGACAACAAGGGCGTCTTGAAGAGCTTCTTGTCCGTAGCACGAGTCACTTCGGGAACATCGCCATCTTCTTCATCTTCTCCCACGACCCTTTTGCGGCTTTTGGGTTTAGCAGCGAGTGTTTTTGGTAGTGAGGACACCTTAGAAGCGTTTAGCGACTTATAACCAGATTTCGAATTTTTCGAATTTTCTTTGGGTGGCGCTGATCCTCCATTCAAGAAGGTACGGCCAGAGAGGTACTCTTCCTTCTTGAGCACAGCATCGACTTCGAGTTCCTTTCCACCAAGGGATAGTGCTGATCCGGGAAGCAGAGGGCGATTGCACACTGCCTTTCCTATCTCTTTTCCCGTGTTGCTATCAGTCAGGGTAGCATAGCTTCCTATGACCGCCAACACACCATCTCCATCCCAGGTTTTGTTCTTCTTGTTCGTGTATTTACGCCATAAAACGGTATAGTATTGCTCGTTCTGGTTGGGCAGTGTGATTGGCGGAGTTATAGGATTCTCAACTGAAGTGAGAGGTTTCCGTTCGCTGGAGGGGGATGAAGCGCGTGGATCGGACGATACACGACGTCTTTTTGTAGCGGGCTCGTTGTCTGCCAATTCTGGACGAACAAAAGAAGGGGGTCTGAATGGTTTCCCAATCATGTCTAATACGGTGTCAGCACCGTGTGGGCCTTGCCGGTAAGTTGTGTTGTTCAGAAGAGGCGAGTGAGGAGATGTGGGCGACGCGTTGGCGGAACACGCTAGAACGTCATCACGTGATTCATATACTTCAAAGTCACTCTCATACGGTCTTCACATCGGGTCAAACGGAAGGTTGACTGTAAGCTAAATTTGATATTAATCAAAACGAGAGCCTGATTATATGGAAATCATCTTAAATTGGTTGCTAGGATTGCTAAGTCCTCTGCCAAATAACATTTCTTTGAACATTCATGTTTGAATGTTTTATTGCATGGCATAGTTGGGATATGTATATATGTGCAAACCTACGTACCTATGTAGTTTCTAAATCTATTACAATTAGTACTACAAAATTTAGTATCGTATATCGAGGGCTTACCGAAATGTTCAACTCTTTAGGTGAGCTTTTTGGTACCGCCTATTTTTTGGTGCAACTTTTGTGTCAGCTTTTCAAGTGTGGGAACACTTCAACTGCGAATCAAAAAAGACAAAACTTACTGAAATGTCCTTTTCACTCCACAATTGAAGTTAACGGAAGTTCTCGCTCTTACAATATGTGTAGTCTGTCAAGCAGGTAATCTCAAATGTCGAACGCTGACTTGCACGTAGGAGTTATCGACTTATGCAAATTTCTTACATGGAATGTCCTTCGAATGTGAGTATCATCAAGCGTTCGAGTACCTGGCTTCTCGTCAATGACGTATTGACTTACACACCCTTTCAGAACCCGGCACTGCACCTACATATATAGATGGAGGTACTCAGAGGAGCGTTGTGTACAAGGTCTACGTATTTGATCCCTATGTATATAATATATGAGGCACTGCCCACTAATCTTACACCTCTCTTGCAAATTCGACTCCATGATTTGGAGTCTTTGATCATGACTTTTAGTCATCCTGTGTACATATTTATGCCAGGTTTGAACACCCTGCAGACAGGGCACTTCCTCATCTCTGCCTTATACCCGCCTTATCGGTGCCATGTTCTTCGGTTTCGATGCGCCCTCTCCAGGTATCTTCCAGTTATTGACACCCCACCACCACCTCCGTATCCTAGCGCCAACGCCTCTGCCACTGAACTTGGCTGTCCGATTCCAGTGTCGCCAGCCACTGAGAACTAAGGTCCACACCACACCTTGAGCAAAGCACATTACCACCTGCCACCGTTAGACACGCTCCATTGACGCGGCATCTCGTGTTGAAAACGACTTACCTGGTCTACCAGCGTGATCCACAGTACACCCTTCCAGTCTTCCGCGCGTTCTATACTCTTCAGATAGCTTTGTTCGAATCGAAGATCTGGCAACGGCGGCATGGTATTCCTCCGCGGGATAGGGTCTAGCACACTGATCGGAATCTCATCTTCGGCAGCATCGGACGTTTCATCGATATCATGGGAGGAAGTTAACCGCACAGGCTGCTTTTCCGAAGCTGCTGTTGAGGGATTGATGTCATGCCGCGGCGAGGGGTTGCGCTTGATATGTGCGGATTGGAGTATCGAAGTTATTTCGGCGGGGGCATCGGAAGCCATGCTGATTTGACTGCTTCCCTACACCGCGGTTGTGCAGATGTAGTGGTGTGTTGTTTGGGGATGGTGAGCAATGATGTGACCGCGGGAGTGATTGTCTTGGGGAAAGCTTGTGGCCAATCAGGAGGCGACCCGGTCAGCGCGCATGCCTTCAGGGCAACCCCAGGGATTCCCCACAGCTTTACCACACCCTCCTGAAACCCATTCACAGACACACCTATCTCACCTACCAATACCGCCAGAATGGGAAATCAAAACTCGGCGATCCTGGAAAACATAGCCTCAGGCTCGAATTGTATGTGCTTGCACTGCCGGTGGTGGGGCAGCTCAGCGTGGGCGACCGCGGGGTTGAAAACTCATGCTAATCACGATATACAGTCGACAAGGAGGAGGTCGATCGCTTGAGGAAGCGGTTCATGAAGTTAGACAAGGTTTGTTATCCTAATAAGAAATTATGATTCCCAAATGTTGGTGCTGACTCTCCTCAGGATAACTCTGGCACCATCGAGCGCGACGAGTTCCTCGCCCTACCCCAGATTTCCTCCAACCCTCTTGCTACACGCATGATCGCCATATTCGATGAAGATGGCGGTGGCGATGTCGACTTCCAAGAGTTCGTATCTGGTCTGTCGGCGTTCAGCAGCAAAGGCAACAAGGAGGAGAAGCTTCGGTTCGCTTTCAGAGTGTACGACATTGATCGCGATGGGTACATTAGCAACGGAGAGCTCTTCATCGTGCTGAAGATGATGGTTGGAAGCAATCTCAAGGACCAGCAGCTGCAGCAGGTACGCAAACAACTGCATTCGTGGCCAACATGGCCATCGTTCAACCCCAATGGCATACTGACACTTGGCAGATTGTGGACAAGACCATCATGGAGGCAGACTTGGATCGCGACGGAAAAATCAGCTTTGAGGAGTTCACCAAGATGGTGGAGAGTACCGATGTTACCATGAGCATGACGCTGGATCAATTCTAGTCTAGCACTACGAGAGTATTCATGATGAAATGCGGAAACCGGAACCTTATATTTTGGCGAGGAGTTCGGGGTTTTCATATCTTTCTCGGAGGGTTTGACAGTGTTCGATATCCATTACTTGAGGAATCATGTTTTTGAACACAAAAACAAATGTGCGCCGGTATCCCTACTGATGAACACACCCTTCCACATTGCTTCATACTTTGAAGAGTGTCAGTCATTGGAGGGCAATGAGGTGGATGCTGGTGTCATAACAAAGGAATGAGCGTAATTAGCTTATCTGAGGTAGGGAAGCAAATGAAGCAGCTTCCACAAAATCCACATGGTTGCTATCAGCCTGGCAAAGCTTTCGACTTCGAATCATCGTGCGCCTGTGAACATGAGGAGAGCTGACATAGGTAGCTTCATGATCACTGATACTTGACTATTCTCCTCGAAAGTGCCAAATGTCAACAAATTGCAAAAAAGGTGATTGAACGGGAACTTATCAAGACGGAATTTGTATTAGGGATCTATGATGTTCAATCATCTCGCAAGCTATGATATCGTGGAAGACTAAGCGACACTCAACCGAAACACATCTGGAAAAAATCCACTCAGAGTGTCGGGGTTGAGCTATCAATATCGCGCGCACCAAACTGTTTGTAGGCCTGACCGTAGCTCTCCTTGACAGCTTGGCTGGCATATACTCTCATCTCCTTTTCATAAGCCTCCGTAATACCCTCCTTGTAGCCGCCGGCTTCAACTATCAATCTTCCCAGCAGTGCTGAGTCTCGCAAGGCAGTGTTCGCACCATTGCCACCTGCGGGCGTCATTGCATGGACCGCATCTCCGAGCAGAGTGACCCGCGGTTCATTGGGCCACTCGGGCACCCCTTCTGGAGAAGAGCACGTTATTTTCCAGAATGCTGCTTCGGATTCAACCATGTTGTCGAGCAATGGCTTGATGCGCTCACTCCACGAAGCTGTAAGTGATTTGGCAATATCTGCCGCAGGCTTTCCTATGATGGAAAAATCATCGTTGGGGGCTTGAATTACTCCAGGGGAACCTCCCAGCGTCCATCCAAACTCCACATTAGGGTCGTTCATCTCTTCTGGGCGTACGTTGGTGATTAAGAAAACCTTGCCTTCAGGGTGTGATTTGTCGTCGTTCATGAGGAAAACACCTTCGCCCAAACCTTTGAAGGCTGTGGTAGGGGCTTGTCCGTGGATGCCGCGCGAACCCAAGTCGTATACCTTGATTCGTCCACCTGAAAGTTGCTTTGATATCTTAGAGTTGACGCCTTCACCGCCAACCAGCATGGATCCCTCCTCCGACTTGGTTCCATCTGCAAACACAGCGCGCACGCCCTCGCCCGTCAATTCGTAGCTCTTGACTTGGTGGCTCCAGCGCACGCGGTCTTCCAGTCCCTCCAGAAACAAGGCTCTCATGTCCCCGCGGGAAATGCCCACCACCTTGCCATCCCGAGATGCCAATGGTTCGGACCCGGGACCGCCAGCGGGTTTCTCGCTCAAGGTCTTGCCAGTTAGTGGATCAAGGAATGCCAGTCCAGCGCCACCCGTTTTGCCACATCTTGCGTAGAAGTTCTGGAATGCTTCGGGACCCAGTACCGACTCGATAGCATCTAAGCCTGCGGCCGAGAGTCGCAAACGATAACCTTGAGCGCGGAATACGATGGATGCATCGCGCTCAAAGACCAAAAAGGGAATTTTGGCGCGGGATAGGGATCGTGCAAATAGAAGAGAGGCTAAGCCGCCGCCGGCGATTAGTATAGGCTTCGACATGGTCGTGACGTGAAGTACAGGTGTGAAGTGTTGGTGTGAGAGGCACGCATCGGCACCTCAGAGACTTGAGGGGTATATATAGGTGTGTGCATCTCTTGACGCTATACAGCCTGCCCTTTTGGCCGTGGGGTACCGAGCATCGTGGTTGCCATACTTGACTGACCACTACGGTACTGCATTGTACTGTACCCTAGTCCTCTTTCTGTAAGCGTCATGGTTTGTCAGCTCGGGCCGCGATAATCCGGGACATTTCCGTCTTGCTTACATACATACATACATTTACAAACGTGCGTACATGTGTATTTGACATGTATGTAGGTGTAGGTGATCACGTCAAGATAAGACCAATCACTCAATTGCCAACTTTGGATGCTGACTTATACATGTGCCCATCTGTTGTCATATCGTGGCTCAATCCAGCAAATCAACAACCGGGGTATTGGCAGGCGACATGGCCCCAGTCGAGATTTTTGCTTAGACAAAACCAACAGTGTCGGACTCGTGAGAATCACCGAGATTGCATCTTCTAGAACCTTTGGCTACTCTATCTCTGGTTCTGCAGTAGTAGTCGTCCACGCACACCCATAACCCGCTGCCGCACGCAATTGCAGCCAACAATCCGCTATTCTCTATATAATCCATTTCGACATGTTCTCCCATTCAGTACGAACCAACTTGTAATGGCCAGTTTCGTAATCTACAGTTGCAAGCAGGATTGATTGCCGACTGTTGTCACTCTGTAATTCATGTGGGTTGCGTGCTTCAAGCGGAGCCTGGGGCATAATTACCAATGCTTTTGCTGCCTAACTGGATGGATTGGCGTGCTTACCTAGGTGCTTATTGACCTCGTCCGCTCCACAACGTACGACCGAACATACTCGAAATCCGACACGTCCGAGACAAAATGGAAAACCTACCAGATGAAGTGCTTCTCCTGATCTTTGAGAATCTAACACAATGCAAGCCCCGCTATTGGCGAACCCGGACCCAAAGGCTTCGACCATTGACTCTGGTATCTCGCAGACTTCACCGCATAGCAACTCCAATGTTGTACGAGCATATCCAGGGGTCGAAATTCTTGGCCTCAGAATCTTGGGTGGGCCTTGCAAAGACTCTACATCAAAATACAAACCTCGCTCAACATGTCAAGTCCATCAATGCCCAGTTTGCCTCTTTTCCGTACAGGGAATACCCTCCTCATGATCTGCTCCTCAACTTGATGAAACTCTGGGATATGGTCCAGAAGCTTCACATAGCGGATATATACGAACTGGAAAAGCGATCGCGCTCATACTGCGACAACATTCTGCTAACTTTCTGGGTTTTACTTTGCGAGCGTTTGGAGACCCTCGTGATGAATCTATCGAATGACTCGTGGATAGGGGAGGTTGGGGGCACTCGAACTGGCACTCTACCTCTCGCCGTTGAGGAGCTTGGCCGTGCTATATACGCGGACTTGGACTCTGGGGGTCGTCGTTACGACTGTTTGCGTACCCTAAACATCTCATTGACCGAATGGTCCTGTTTTCACCTCACTATTGCGGTTCCGTTCCTTTCCCTCCCCAATTTGAAAACTCTCGCACTTGCTGGTGAGGGCTCCTATGCTCGGCTAAGAACACCTTTCTATGGAAGGGAGCCCGAATATCCAGTCCGTAAGTAGTATCCCACCTACCAGGTCCTCCTCAACCACCCAAATATCATGTGATGTGGTGGGTCAAGACAGCGAAAATATACCGAAACACGTCTGCTTTGGTTTTACTGACTCGATGTCTTTGATTTAGGTACTTCGTCGGTTGAACATGTGCATTTGAAATTCGCTGCTGATGCAAAGACCAAGGTGAGCTGGTTTTAGTCTACGGTCCCCATAATGGCCGGCATTGGATGTACTGACATCTGCAAGCCATCCGATCTTGTCAATCTACTTCTAGCTTGCAAAGCTCTTAAAAGATTTGATTGCCTCATTTTCTGGTCTCCCATTCCCGAAGAATGGTTCGAGGCCGTATCGAAAAGCTTGCAGATCCATTCAAACACTCTTCAATTCCTCACCTTGTCATACTCCTCGCCAGATGACGAAAACCTGATATCCAACTCATCATGTCTACCCGAGTATCTCAGAAACATGGACAAGCTTACCCATGTTGACGTTCCGTATGCGACATTGTTCCGTAACCACGATGTTTCGAATATCGCGCAACTGCTTCCCCCTTCCCTTGAGTTCTTGACACTCCGCCTGGAGCCCCAGGTCGACATGGCCGATTGGGCTGCCATGGATGCTATCATCGAGCACACCAGCAGTGCTATCTACATCGCGTATCAAGAGGGCGTATTTCCCAATCTCGAAGCTGTTGAAATAATGCTATACCATGGCAGTTGGTACCACCCTCAACCTCGGCAATTTGCAATACCGAAATTCAACATCGAGCATACAAGGTCTGCTCTCAGGAGTCACGGTGTGCACTTCGACGTGTCCCTATACTACGACTGGCACGAGGGATACGCTGACGATCCCACTCGTATGTCCACCTCGAAGGCGTCTTCTGCAAATCATGCGTGCTAACCCCTCGATAGCGGAATTCCCCGCCACAATCCCCACGATGCGTGCTTTCAAATGGCGGTTCCCCGGTTTCGTCAGATGGTCCCCGCACCACCACCAGCTGCGAGCTTCAACTTGCGAGTACGTATAACCTGTATACAGGGTCCTCATGTGCCAGGAACTAGGTTGTGCAGCGTTTCAATAGATTGACAACCCATTGAAACATGTTTGGATGCAGTATACTGATTTTGTATTCGCAACTTTAGGGAACCACAAATCGAAAGAGATATTTGGGATTGGGGTGTGTATAGATGGTCACCTCATGTACCGCCTTATCAACCATGGGATTGGGAAAATGAAGAAAGCCCAGAGTTGCCAGACACAGCATAGAGCATTCAGTGGCACAGATTTCACGCAGTGGCCTCGAGGTATGACTGCCTCTTCAGCGACTTGGTACAAGTGTTCAAGTTGTTTTTCCAACGCGAACTTTCTCGCTCTATCGTACACATGTTTTTCCCCCAGAATATGAACACCTTGAGAATGACTTCATTTATTTCTCTTGCTTTTTTTGTTCTTCTTTGCACCATGACCTTCATCACCGCTAGCTTTCTTACCGTTAGCATTGATAGTCGGCTGTTCTGCATCATCGTCGTGGTCATCGACTTCTTCCTCCTTGGTCAAAAGCTTGGTCAGCGCGTCGTTGAACTTTTCTAGTTGTGCGATCTCGCCGATCTTGACACGCATATAATCAAAGGCGACGGCCACCTTCATATCTTTTGATCGGACCTTGACGACCTGCTCATGCCCCTCGTCTTTGGCTCTCGGCTTTTCCGATGACACCGCTCCATTTGGTGGTGCAGTAACGGTTGCCGCCGATGAGTGTGCATCCATGTTATCGGCTGGGCCATCGTCTTCTGCCTCGTCATCCTCTTCTTGCACGCCTTCCATAAGATCCGCACTCTGCGTGCCAACCTGTTCGTCATCCTGCACAGTCTCGAGGATCGGTATCTTTTGGTAGCGTTGGCTGAAATGTGTTAACACTACGGCCTTCGCATCCATTTGCGCACCAATACCGAGAGCTTCGGAGGTAGTCGAGTGTTTCTTCGCCTTCGCGTCTCCCAGCAACTCATCATCAAAGGTTGCTTCATGAATTAACACGGTACTATGGCGTCCAATCTGAGCGAAATTCTGACTCGGTCTACAATCCCCTGAATATGATACCTTGAGCGGTTTCAATTCCTCCGGATCGGACTGGGAGCGAGGGAATGTAAGGGAAACCGCCATTGCTCCGTTGCAATGGCGCACGTAACAGGACTGTATATCGGCAAGACCCATCACCTTTTCGTAATCTTCCTGTCCGAGAACGCCTGTGTATTTACCTTTCCTGTCGGGACTCTGGATGAAGAGCCTTGAGGTAGAATCTGACTCTTCTGTTTTGCCCGGCTGTATTGTAAATGGCAGAATGCGACTGTATCCGAAATCTTCGACGGATGAGTATTCCCAAAGCCATTTGATCATACCGTCGTGTGAGACGATTGACAGGCCGTAGTCAGAGACTTCTTCTGCTATATTTGAGATCACTGGCTGTCTGGAGACGGGTACGCTATTATGTTTGAGTTGATACCACGCTTTGATTACTGATACTGTGCCCAAATGATGGTCCGCGTGCAGATGGCTTATCCATATCATCCGCAAGTCCTTGATGAGACTTTTTAATTCTTCGTGATCGAACATTCTCTGCAATTGGCCGAGTGTGTTCTCCCCACAATCAAATAGGTAGTTGCCCACCCCAGGGACCCGCAAGAGGGTAGCAGACACATTTCGATATTTAGAGGGCAAGGCAGAGCCAGTTCCTAGAGTGATCACTTCGGTGTCAGGTCGTGCTAGCAGGCTTCTCCACGTGGCCAAGGCTTGCGCATCATTCTGAACAGCTTGACGTGCTTCTTCGGCGCTTTGAAGCACATCCGCATCCATGCGGGCCATCACTCTGTCGTTAAAGCTGGATGCGACAGATGGCGGGGTTTCTCTCATTTTGAAGGCCGGCATGATGTCGTATGCCAGCCCTTTCCGCGCCGCTTTCACACCCTCCGGCATTTTGCTTTTTCCAGCAGCTTGCATTCCAGCTAAGCTATGTTGGGGCAAGCTCTGATCGTCGGAATAGGGTATGTTGTACCGAGCAGGATCGATTTTGCACAGGCGACCCGTCTGCTCAGCCACAGATTCAAAAGTCAGGTTATTCGGGCAAGTATCCACCGATGATATAATGTGCTCCAGTCGATTCAGCTTCTTCATCATTTGTTGGAGGGTAGGATGTCCCGAAACTCCAGGGCCCAGGAGCCAGAAACAGACCTGGACACCATCCATGATGTCGTCTGATTGTAGTTCCTCTCGTTCAACCAATCGATCCAGGTAATCTATCGAAGGAACATCCAAGATGGCGAATCCCTGCCCAGGTTTGTCTGGCCCCAAAACCATTTCAGGAGTGATTATCTCCCCCTTGTCGTTTGTTATGGATTCGCCATTGCTCAGACGGCCGAACAAGGGACCGGGCTTGATACCAAGCTCTTTTGCGCGTTTGGCATCAAAGGTACCGCGAAACTTTTTGGCACGTACGATGTAGGAGATAGATTCGGGCGCTGGCCTCGTTGGTGGGAGCGCGAGCACTTTCGCACCAGGCCAAGGAGTCCGTGTTAAGACTTTTATGTCAGGGACAGGTTCTTTGCCACCGGGCATCGGTCCGCGGTACGGCTCAATGTGGTGAGTGTTTGGGTTGCGAACGAACAACGTGGCTGGGAAGGCAACCTCGGAAATATGTTGCTCGACCAAAGTATCAAAGTTCCAGGTCGAATTGAACATGTAATCAACCACTGCCTGGCGTATGCGCCCATACCGCAGTTCCTGGTCTTGTCGTGACTCGTTTTCCGGCGCTTGGAATTCCTCAAAAGTGTTCAAGTTAGTATCGTAATTGTTGTATTGCGCGAGGAGCATAGCTTCTTCCTCTGCGTCCAATTTTGCCGACGAAGGAGATAGAGGCAAAGCCCAGACATCGATATAGTCATCCTGCCAGCTGGGTTGTATGCGTCCATTGGTATCACGGGGCAGAGAGACGTCTCTGAATTCTGTAGCAGTGGTTGGAATGCCCTTTCTGAATATGAAACGTCGAGCCGTTGAAAGTTTGTGGTTTAGATTCGGTGGTCCATACATGTTGAGCCTTGGTGGTTGGGGCTCGGCTGCCTTCTTCTGACCCTTGCTCATCTTCCAGGTATCCAAGGAAGTCTGGTACGAAGACGAGGCCGAATCAGCCAACGTCAATGTAAGCCCAAGCAAACCACCCATATTAGCCCAATCCATTCTGCCGGTCAGAAAGAAATCCTGCACCTTGGTCAAGCGGGTGCTCATTTCCACCATAGCCCGCTGGGTGCCTTCCGCCACGCTACCGAAGACATAATTCCGCTTCTGTGTACGAAGCAGGAACGTTGTCCCTGGTGTATCGACAGTGGGGGTGGTGATGACATGGATTGAGTAACTCATTTGGGGGATGCCGCGGTGGATAGGTATGCGGCGTTGCGCCCTCTCCCGTTCAATCTTCTCAGCAAGTTCAGGCAGGATGAGTCGTTCGGGGATGTGCTGGCATTGAATGAGGTGCAATGATGCAGTCGAGTTTCCCCGATGGTTATTGTCAAGAGTCCCGTTGCCAAGTGTAGAAGCCGCCCTTCTATCGCACAGGCAGGCGTTGCTGCTGTCCGATCCGAATATGCGCCGGAGTGTATGTGGAAAGGCCGTCAGCGTCGTGAAGCGTCCCACAGAACGCAAAGGAGGCGCCAACGTGATGAGAGAGAAAATGATTGAGGCTGACAAACTAGTTAACTGAGTATGATTACAAGCGCATCTTAATCACGATCGATGGCATGTGCGAGTTACGCGGCGTCACTTTTTCGACGTCGGATAAATCTTTGTTCCCGCCGACATCAGCATGACTCGCGTCGAAGGCCGTCTTATCGATAAGCAACTTTCTTTCCTACCCGCGCCCAACCTTTTGGTCGCGATTTGTAGGTGAGACAGGCAAATCGCCATGTCGCTTTACTACGAGGCAGCTTCAGTGCTGGCCAACTCCGACAACGCCGGAGGTTCTTTGAAGTCTAGACTATATAGACAAACCGATCTAAAGAGTTCGCCCGCCCAACTGTTTGCTCTGATCAGCGAAGCATCCAAGTGGTCATTGGTGCTGAAGGATGTCATAGAAAAATGCGGTCTTTTACGTGAAGAGAAGAAAGTAAGTTAATCATACTGCATATGCTGAACTCCAAGACCGGAACTTGCACCCATTTCATTTTCGCGCCTCTGAAGCTACTGTTTGACCTATTGGTGGACAATGTGACTGACCACCCCAGCTTACTCCTATCCTCGCCTTGCTACTTTGTCATGACCTGATTGTCTCCAAGAACGGTGTAGCTGCACCTGCCAACCATGTTCTCAAGCTTGCAATCAGTAGACACAAAGCTAGGCTGAGTGCCGAGTTCACCAAAGCACGCATTCGCCGCGGTTATCCAACCCTTGAATCATTCAGAGGCGCTGTGAATGATGGAGCGCTGGAAGAACAGCCGTCTTCTGGTGTGAAAACAAAGCATCCTCGCTGGATCCGCGTGAACACGCTCAAAACCAATCTCGAGGAACTCATCACGACAAACTTTGCGGAATACGAGAAAGCAGAGACTTTGAGCCAAGTCATGGCGGCTTCGGGCTCGACAAAGATATACTTCCGAGACCCTAACATTCCAAATTTGCTGGCCTTCCCTCCCAAAATCGACATCAGCAAGTCCAGCGTCTATACCAGTGGCAAGATCATACTCCAAGACAAGGCTTCTTGCTTTCCAGCCTACCTGCTGAACGTTGCTCCTGGGGATGGGGACATCATTGACGGGTGTGCGGCTCCCGGTAACAAGACCACACATCTGGCTGCCTTGGTATCAAGCTGTACATCCGACAATCAAAAACCAAGCAAAGTTATTGCATTCGAAAGGGACAAGACAAGAGCCAATATTTTGCAGAAGATGGTCAAGTTGGCGGCTGCGGACGGGATCACTTCAGTCAAAGCCGGCGCAGACTTCTTGGCAGCTTCGCCTGGTACCGAGGAGTTCTCCAATGTGGGCGCTATACTACTCGACCCAAGTTGTTCCGGAAGTGGGATCGTAGGACGCGACGATTCAGTTCAAATGCACTTACCAGACGCTTCTTCCCAGTCTGCTGCAGTGCCGGGCTCCCAGAGCTCGAAGAAAAGAAAGCGCACTGATCCATCCAAACCCAAGGTCGAACCGACTACAGCAGTCAATTTTGCATTAGATGATTCCGCGAATGAGGAAACACCTTTGGAGGAGGACAAGACATCTGAGCGCCTCACTGCTCTCTCCACATTTCAACTTCGCATACTTACTCATGCCATGCATTTTCCGAATGCCCACAAGATCACATATTCCACATGTTCGATTCATTTTGAAGAGAACGAAGGGGTGGTTGCACGAGCGTTAGCCTCGCCTGTAGCGCAGAGCAGAGGTTGGCGAATCCTTAGCAGAGCTGAACAGGTGGATGGACTACGTCAGTGGCAGAGGCGTGGGCTATGGGAGGACGAGAAATTCGGAGAGCAAGCCGAGCTGGATCATGATCAAAAACAGCTGATCAGCGATGCATGTATTCGCTGTGAAAAAGGCACCGAGGAAGGCACCATGGGTTTCTTCGTCGCGGCCCTCGTGAGGGATGCAGGCCCCAATTTCAATTCAGGCACTGCGACACTGCACCATACTGCAGACGACAGCGAGGAATGGAAGGGTTTTGACGATGTAGATGTCACGGAGGACAAACCTATTAGAAGTGTATCACCTACGTCGCAACATTCAAAAAAGAAGAGAAAGAAGGCGCGCAAAAACAGGGTTTAAGTCATGTAGGGTGAACAAATCCATCGACCGGTGTCCTAATCTGCTCTGATGAGTGTGCACACGAGCGCAGTTGCATCTTGGATATCATAATAAAACTCCTCCTGCTCTCCTGTTCTCGCTGCCTACCTATCTACCGAGAGGGACCGCTCACTCTGTTTGCTTCGTCCCCAGCCGCGCCTTCCTAGAAAGATGATCACTGCCTTGATCGCTCATGGGAACACCTCGACAAAGCATAGAATCACCAGCAATTTCGTACTTGTCAACAGGGATAGCTCGACCTAAAACAGAATTTACTATTTATCTGCTTTACCGCAGTGCATTACTGAGGCATCAAAAATGTCCTTCTCCCACGATAGCAATGTTGTACTGTCTTCGACGCACCCCAGCGACGTCTGGACGTCTTCACAAGGCGTATCAACGAATGACCTTTCGCGTGCGAGGCTTCGTCGCATGAGTGTTTGGATACGAGACGATCTTGACCCCATCGTGGCCCGAGACGGTCCAGAATCTCTGTTGTCGGATGATGTGCTGTCTTTGCACGACTTCTTTCGATCCCTGCAAACCTCGACCAAGATAACAGCGTTAGATTTGCGGTCAACCGGTATCCATAAAGCTATCTTGGAAATAACAGGTATCGCTACACGGTGGCCCGGTCGGCTATGCGATGATTGCGATAACATTATCGAGATATGGAGCGCCAAATTCGGAAAACTGGAGAATCTCCATCCTTTCTTATATGGCAGAGGTGGATGTTTGGAGGGGATTGCCAGTGGTGGAGAACTGTCCAAAAAGGTGTCTGAGCCTGGCCAATGCACCGCAAAATTGTGCTAACTATCACTGCTTGCAGGCTTTACTGACGCGATGGAAACACGACTGCCCCGACAAGATAGCTCCAGGTGTATCGCATAGAATTGGAGACTTGGGTTTCCGCGCTGGCTCGTAAGACTATTTTCATGCTATAGCAGCCGAGCTGACATTGCACAGATGGTGGATCAATCCTTTGTTTGCATGGCACGCCGGGATCATGGACTTTGATACGATTGAGGGCGGTGTCTGCTACGACAAAGACAACGCTTATGCGTTGTTTCTCAAAGACTCCGGTGAGCTTGAAGCACCAACAGAGACTCACTTCACATACCGCTGCGAGCATGTTGATGGAGGAACGTTTCGCTTGACGGCCGCAACAGCAAGGACCAGAAACCCCATCCGCGTACTGCGCAGTCACATCTTGAACAGCATATGGGGACCTAAGGCTGGAGTCAGATACGAAGGATTGTCAGTGCTTTTACAGCCTATCACTGGCTTCGCTGATAGACATACAGGTACCATGTAATAGGCTGGTCTATACACAAGAAGAAAGCCATCGACAACGCCCAACAGGAGAACCTTTCCAAGAACCTTTTATACGACATTCATTTCGAGCGAGTCGACTCAACACCCATGGAAGAAGTACTCAGAGTCCCCACCTCGTTCCAGGTCGATGAGTTCTCGGAGTACAAGCGCCTACGGACAACCCACCGGGAAACGCAACGAATCCGCAATGCTCATCCTGATCCGGAACAGAGAAATTTCCAATACACAGCTACAAAGGTAGCACCACAGATTGCCGCGAGCGTGCGCACTGCAAATTCGGGATTTGGCTCTTCCTATTCACGAACACCGATACAACAATCATGGGATAACTCTCGCATCACAACTATGCAACGTTCCCCTATGCCAGGGGGATCTATCACATCTTCTGCAAATGCCTCGAAGGGACCCAGCATACATGCGGCTCCATCTTCGTCGACGGGTCATGGAGATGCCATTCGGGCTCTTTCAAGAAGCGACTTTGCCACGGAACCCCGGAGAGACTACCAACAGGCGACTGCCAAGACTTTGACTTCGCTCGCAAGCAGTATCTATACGATGCAAAGCCATGAGTCAAATCTTCGAGAAGTGACACCTTGGATGGACTATGACCCGCAGTTTGCTCTGCCTTTGAGTGAAGCTGCGCCTCCAATCAGACATGTAAGAAGAGTCGCAGTTCAGCCAGCAGCAAAAAGCTCTCAGAGTCCGCCTTCAAGTAAGGGAACTACAAGCCCGGGTATCAAGAGCAAAGCCAAAAGTGGGTCATCGATCAAGGATAAAATTCGGCCTTCAAATACAGCGCACACGACCACGCATCTCGATGGTTCCGAAGATCTGATGGATGACGATGGTATCTTTGACATTGAGCAATCTCCCAGAGCTGACACAATGAGTCCGAGGTATCCAAGATCTACAGGTCAGAGCGGCGGACGAACAATCTCTTCTTTCATTGCAGTTTCCCCGTCCAAATACCACCAACCTATGAGCCGTTTGAAAACTTTCTTCCGCGAAAGAAGAGACGCGATTTCTCCAATCGTTTCGCCAATAGACTTCCGGTCACCACCGAATGATGATACGATTCATCAACATAGACCATCACTGGAAGAGCCGAGCGAGGTGATGGTGGATTTCAAGGATCCTTTCACACTTCCCAGTGATGGCCAGGAAGAGGAGTAATGGTAGATGCCGATGCCCTTTTGAAAGACGAAAATGGGGCGAGACAGGCTGTCTTGGACTTGGCGTACATGTGAGCACCAATGGCTGGCACTAGCGGGTAACTTCTTTTTTATAGATTATTGCAGTATTGATTGACTCTGATTGTCGGTGGCTTGCAACGTTGAACCTACTAGTACTGAGTATCATTCGATGTGTAGAGAGTTGCCGTGGTACTGTACTCCAAGCGCACAGACCCAATTCTTAACGCCATGGTTAACCCCGACAAACACTGCGATGGCATGCATGCGACTGACAGGCAGCACACCAACATGTAATCGCGCAACCCATTCAGCGTCTTTAGACAATGTACCACCTCTTCAAGTCCATCTACTTACATGCAACGAGTAAAGAAGGTATAAACCCTGTTATTTATGACCACGCCCTATACCCCCCCAAACATCACTCCCGCATCACGCTGACACATTTCCGCTCAAACCGAACAGAATACTCAATCCTCCTCCTCGGCCTAGACAACGCTGGCAAAACCACACTCCTCGAACAAATCAAAGCAGCCTACTCTGCATCGAACCCCAACCTCAGAACCGTGCCAACCGTCGGCCAAAACGTCACCACCGTCTCCCTCCCACCGCCGAACCCGCCCATCTACCTCAAGATCTGGGATGTCGGCGGTCAGCACAGCTTACGGGGCCTCTGGCAGTCATACTACACATCGTGCCACGCGATCGTCTTCGTGATTGACAGCAGCGACGTCGGCAACGCGACGCTCGCAGAACTCTCTTCCGCCGCGAACAATGCAGGTGGTGGTGGTGGCGGCGCTAATGGCATCGACGACGCACCGAACCACAATCCGGACATTGACAACGGACGTCTAGAAGAGTGCAGGCTTGTGCTGGAATCCGTGCTGCAGAACGAGGATTGCGCGGGCGTGCCTATCCTTGTGCTGGCCAACAAGCAGGACCGCGAGGACTGCGTCGAGGTGGTGCGGATCAAGGAAGGCTTTGTGCGTAAGGTGTTTGAGGGGGAGAAGGGGGAGAGTGTGCGGGATAGCAGGGTTCTGCCGTGCAGTGCGTTGACGGGGACTGGGGTTAGAGAGGCGGTGGAGTGGTTGTGTTCGAGGGTGCAGTGGAATAAAGAGGGGAGACCACCGGTTATGCGGTAATCTATTTTGTGGTCTCATGTTTGCTGTTATGATTGGGTTCGGGGTGAGACGGGGTGGGAGCGGATTGTGAGGCTGTGTGCTGGTAGTGCATGAGCGTCAAAGGGGGGTGGGAAAAGGAGGAGTCTGGTTGGGGACTGCATGGCTTGTGGCGAGTTTAATATACCCTGTGTTCAAATATACATCATCTTTCGAGAAGGCGGCGAGGTTCGGGCTTGGGTTTGTTGCCTTTAGCTTCTGTGCGTAGTGAGAAAGTCACAATAAGTGAGTACGAAGGGAGAGCATGGCGATTAGATCTGCAAGAGGACACATGCAGTATATCGAATACTCAACATACCAAGCGCGGATGGCAATTCAGAAACACAGTATTGATGCTTTGACAATCACCTGCGATTCGCGATATGGCAAGTCGCGGCTGACTGCTGAGACATTCGTGGGCGCGACCCAAAGAAGAGATAGATCATGAACACTGTGCCTATCGACACTGTCATATGTTCTTCGTTCAACACTATTGGGCCCAGTTTCCACTTGTTCACCTACATACTACTGGAGCATCATACAGGATTTTGTCGAGAGCTTCTATATACACCTCTGTCATCATCAGCTCACCTGTATCGAACATAGGAGCTGTTCACTTATGCGAGAACTATAGAAATTAAGCAACACATAGTCCCGGCACCGCAAGCACGTTATGGCATGTCGAGAAGATTTACGAGGGAATATCTGTCCAATTTGGCATTCTACATATAGGGGGACTTCCTTCCATCCCTTCACAGCCCCAACCCAAAGAAGTGGCTAGCCCACAGCAAGATTGCCGTTGCAAGAATGATAAGCAAATGTACAAAGAAATATTGTGGTGTGTCCACTATTGATTGCCACCCCGATATATACAAACGCCTAGATCCCCACCCACCAGAAATGAAGCCACGGTTGGGCCCAAATAATACAAAAGAAATCGTAAGTCGTGTAGACCAATCTGGAAGGAGATTGTGTTTGCAGAAAAAGAAAAGGTGCACTCTCGAATACCTTTTGAAAGAGCATTGGGAATACCCAGAAAGAGGACAACCAAGAACAAAATGAAGGCTCTTGTAATAGACCCCCGAGCAGTGGGCTTGCGTTACATCGCTATTCAGACAGGGAATGTGATCACGAAATCAGCGCCTTGAAGTAACAAGATGAACATGTGAGAAGAGCTCATGAGTCAAGATGCGAGGTCAAAGTGGCTATTCTGTCACAGATGGTGTTCATACGCGCACATTGTCGTTCGAAGCGGGCCATCAGACGTTCGTCGGCAGCATCGTCGGAGATGAAGAGCTCAAAGTGAGCAAAGACCTTTTCGGGATTGGCATCACCGAACAGTGACTCGGGGTTCTCGAAGGGAGCAGCGACGGTGGTAGGAGCAGAAGGAGCTGGGGAAGAATAGTAAAGATCGAGATCCGGGTCTTGTTCTTCATCATCGGTAGCCTCAAGAGCTGATGTTGACTCGACGGGTCGCTCGATGACAGGGAAATCGGGTTTAACTTCTTCGACCGGGCTGTCTTCTTCCGCCGAGAAAATGGAGCTGAATCCTTTGCCTGAAAGAACGTTGCTATCGATGGGATTCACTGGACCTTCGGGAAGTTCTAGTACGGCGAAAACCTGGGGTTGCTGGTAGTTGAAGCCAACATTCTCCATGCCAAATGTGTTGGAGCCGATGTTCAGCATAGAAATATCAATGGAAGTTTCAGGGACCAGAGTCATTCCAATTTGCTGAGTCTCGGGCTGCGAAGTCATGCTGCCGGACTGCTGAAGGTTCTGGTAGAGGTTTGACTCCTCGCGCACGGGAGCTGGAGTAGGGGTAGTTGAAGCGGAAGACATGGAAGACATGGCCGGTTTCGGTTGAAGGCTTTCGTCGTGGGAAAGGTCCTCAAGGAAGGGAGTGAATGCAGGGTGGCGAAGAAGGCGTTCGATGAGAGCCCTTGAACGAGCGTTCTCTTCCATCAAAGCCATGTTTTGGGTGCGAAGGTCGTTGGCCTCGTTCGTCTTCACAGCAACCTCGCCCTCAAGCTGACCAATGTATTCTGTTGTCTCAAGTTAGATCGATCATGGCGAGTTGGGGGATAATTGCTTACCTTTTCTTCTCGAGCGGAATGCACGAGCAGAGACCTTGTTGCGAAGCTGACGGCGTTCCTTTGAGCTCAATTTCTTGCCCTGCTCCGAAGCAAGGAGTCTCTCGTCTTCATCCATGTCATCCTCCTCTTTCTTAGCCCTGATGACATGAGGGAGGACGTTTGGCTGGGCATCTGCTGCGGCCATGGCACTGTTCTGGCTTTGTTGGCGTATCTGGTTGACGACGCGAGCAATGGTCTCCTCAGTCCTGGCATCACTAAGGGGGCTTGCGCTGTTTTTGGTGGATTGCTGGCGACTGTGTTGGGAGGCTTGCTGCTGCTGTTGCCTCTGTCGCAGTTGCTGCTGTCGCTGCTGCTGTGCCTGAGCCCTTGCCTGTGCAGCCTGAGCCGCCTGCTGTTGATGCATGCCCGGCCACACCCTTACGTTTTGCACCTCCTCTTGCGTGATGGCGGTGGGGTCGACAAAGTCTGAAGCCTGGGACTGCATGGGATCGGTGGAAGGGAACACGTAGGAGGGTTGCGACATGAGGTCCATATCCATGGTGATGCCCGTGTTCCAGCCGGTCATCATGGGAGAATCATTCATCAGGCTCATCTCATCCAGACCAGTGGACGAGTACATGGAGAAGGCCGGGTTGTAAGATTGGCCGATGCCTGAAATAGAGCCCGAAGGAAGGCCGGTCTGCTGCTTGAAGCGGCCGTACTCATGGCTGGGTTTGGCGGGAGTCTGGTGGTCCTCGCCGTCGAGAAGATTGGTGGCCGGGCTGGTGATGTTTGTGGAAACAGCGGAGGATTGTTGCGACACGGCCGTGGAAGGCGATGGCGAGGGAAGTTGGCTGAAGTCGAAGAAGGAATCGGTGTCGGGATCCACACACTGGTTCGTAAACGCAGGCGGCATCGTCAACTGAGACTGGACGGCTGTCGCCATTGGGAGAGATGTGCGATGGGGAAAAAACAAGACGATCAAACGAGGGGGTACCTCAGGCTTGGATGGGATGGGATGGACGGGTGGTGGGTGTTGCGAGGTGTTAGTATGGGGAGAGTGGTGGTGGTGGCCGGATGTGGGCTAGGCGTCGAGAAAGCCGCGTCAGCTCCCAAGTGGTATTCCGGTTAATCCGCCGTTGTGGCTGTGCCAATGCGATCGATCTCGCTCGCTCGCTTGGTGCGTCCTGGGGAGGTTTGATGTTGGACGTTGATGTGGATGGGGTGGAATGGGAAGATGGATGGATAGATGGATGGAAGTGGGTGTGTGTACGTGTGTGTGAAAGTGGTGGAAAGATGATGGAGGCGACCAAAGGTTCTTGAACCCAGACAGTGGGCGCACGAGTGCTTTTTGCTCGGGGGGCGTTTCAGCGTGAGGCGGAGCATGCTAGCCAAAAATACATACATAACCAACCAGCAAACAACAGCACGATACCAAAACCACCCATCATGCTGCCATGCTTCCATCCACCGGGGCTGAGAATGGGACCGGCCGACCCCAGGGCCAAGGGGGATCGTCCTGCCTATCCCTTTCTCGGCCCTTCTTCTCCTGGCCCAGCCGCTGACGCATTTGCTGTGTATTCCCATCCTTATATGCGTAATGAATGTATTGTATCGTATTGAATCGGATCGACTTCTCTACTACAGCCTTGCTCTGAAGCACATCAAGTACATGCACTCTGTACACACACACACACGATTATGTTCAAATGTTGTATACTTATCCCGCGTACATGCCAGCCTCGATCCATCAGACTACACCTGTAGCGACTAACCACGTCCAGCACATACATGATTCATTACACACGCTGCTGGGCCGGCGGTCAAATGAACCCGGCTCCGACAGACAGACAGCTTCAACCCAGGGAGGCTGTGCATCAGAATGAGCGATAACTAACTAGGTACATACGGTACATGGACAGTAGTCTCCAGTACGTGCGAGTGAAGTCGGCTTGCATGTTCCTTAGGGTGCGCTATGCGAAGTGCGTCCAACTAAGTAATCCCTCATCGGTCATCAAGCCCACCGACGACCGTCTTTGGCATTGGGAGAAAGCAGTACTCCTTCACATGAAACCACTCTCTTCAATCTCAGTTGTAGTCGCGACGGCCTCAAGTGGGGCTTCTCCGGTGCCAGGCAATATTACATCACCCCGTCTCTCCTCCATCCGATGGTCGACAACAAACAAAAAAACCGCTCATTCCCCTCGCTCGCAAACCATCGCATAACTACCGATTCCGGTGATTACTAGATACTCACCTACATAGTACATACCCATCACAGCTCCAACGTATAACGCTCATTCACACTCGGTCGTCAGATCCTCACCCATGTATGCCTGCTCTCTGTACCCTGACTTGCCAGTCGTCGAATCTTTGAAACACATTGCTTCACACATCTTGTCGCCGCTGCTCCCCGTTCGGTCCGACCCAGCGCCAGCGCACCGAATCCACTCTCGTTATCCTTCTCGTTGCTCGAGAATGTGAAAGAAAGCATGGCTGCCATGTTTCGCAGCCTCGTTGCCGAACCTGTTGACGCCCTGGGAACTATTTGCCGGTATCCAATCGCACCGATTACCATTGGGTCCGACGTTGAAGGCTGTAGCGCCCACAAGGTGGAATCTTCTTCCTGGCCACTTTTCTCCAAGCACTGGATACTTGACGCTGACTCTGCTCTTTGATTACATCGGCCGTGAGTCTGACCGCATTCTGCATCCAAATCATGCTGTAAAGGGCTATTAGACCTAGAACAACTACATCTGCCATGTAAGACGGACGGGGGTCAGATGAGGCGAAGCTCACAGCCGCTCCTGCGCGCTATAGTACCTGATCAGGAAAACACCCAATGTATTATTTCTCGATTAGATGCGGAAATCCTCCGTGTTGTTCACTAATTCATGTCGGCGACCCGTCAAAGGCCCGGCGTCGGATATCAGCTCCCCTGTATCATGGCCAGGTTGTACGAGAGCTGATTCGAAGTGAAACCCGAACAGGGTAAGCAATAGGAGCTTTAGACAATATCCAACAGCCCCAATCGCAGCATAAATCCCTCCTATGTACTATGTAGGCAATAGTCTAATCTCTCCACCAACTATCGTCGAGGCTTAGATTCGGTAATCAGCTCAATAGCTCAACACCAACTCCTCTCTGTGCTGCGCCCACTTCGGCCGCGTCCTCAATCGATTCCTTCCATTATCGTCTTGACGCATCGGCACAATTCCAAATCACCTCTCCCTGCAGGCTCTTGTAGAACTGAAGCTATAGACAAAAATCTTGTCTTTGCTTCCAGATATCCGCAGTCAAATCAGCTTGTCCTGCCCTCCCTGATGCACCCAGCTGCGGCACGTCCCCGCTTCCGCACTGACCCAACGTCCTTGGCGACGAGAGGGTCTGATGGAATAAACAAAATCTTGGCTTCTCGTGCACAATCTATCTGGGTCTCCAGTTGAGTATCGGTCCATGCTCTTGCTGTCAGTTGTTGTTGTTAGTGGTGGTAGTGCGTATAGCATGCAACCAATAAAAATCCCTAAGATTAGGTTTACAATGGATCTCGAAGCTACTCAAGTACAACACCAAACGCAATACAGTCAACAGAATCCTCTTGCTAGCAGTGATATCCATCACCAAAAAGAAACAATATTCTCACATCAGCAATCAAACCAACCTGACAAAGTCTCGTGCTCCTCCTAACTAATTCCAACATCTACTTACCACATACAAGAAAAAAAAATCTTCTTCTCAACAATTGCGATCGTCCTCGCTCACACCCTCCGAACCGCTGCAAACCCCCACAATCTCCACAATTCCTGACCAAATTGAAGTCTTGTAACAAGAAACCAATCCCCACATGGCGCACAAGAGTGTTCTTCTACTTGTTGTCCTTCCGTCCCAGTTTCCTGGTTTCGTCCCTGTTTTTCTCCAACTCTGACCGGCGCCGTTTCGTCATATCTGGCACATGTGTGGATGCGATCAACAGGAGAGAGGAAAATTACTTCTCGGGTATCGTAAGATTTTTTTTAATTATTGGTGGAGATCAGCAGTAACAGCTTGGTAAACACTTCCAGGGACGGGAATGATACTCTCGTGCATTTGAACGACCCGCAAATAGCAGTGACGTCCTTGAGCTATTGCGTGATTAGTTGTCCATGATCCAGGTGCAATACTCTGTATCATGAAAATGATAAAGGCAAAATGCATCATGAAAGTTGTAGAGATAGATAGAAGCACACTGCATACATTGAATCACGTTGTTTTATTTCCAGTTTCATCTTGGCTTCTTCCTGCTCACAAGAGCATCACAATAAAAAGCACACGTCAGGTCTACACTTTACATGTATAGTGTCAACTGCGCGCAATGCACATACATACCCTCGCTCTTACATCCTCTATTCTCCTCAACTTTTCGTTCTGTTTTCCTCCTAACTTTAAACCCTACTATTCTTCGTCAATGTCCATAACCCCAGGTGCCTATTACCAGACCAAGTGAGGCTGCCTCGTCCCATCCTTCCCGATGCCTCACCCTAGAATCATCAATCATCTATTCGAGGCAAAGGGTACCTTTAATGAACAGACACCTGTGTAAGAAACCGTGGTTAATTCACCCTTCCGCGCCGCGCTACGGATGTTACAGAAAAAAGAATTCGAGGCGGCCTTTGAAACATGCCCGCTCGTGAGACAACGTTGGCGGGAACCCGAGGGAGGCGAATCGGGTGTGCTTATGCATTGGGTACTCCAAGTCTGCAAGTATATCAATTAACTTACAGCATGTATATTACTCTCATATTGTGATGTGAGAGACAAAGTACATGGGGGTGGGTGGATGTCTGATGGTGACTTGGAAGTGGAACTTCAGATAGTCTATGGGACTCATTGCAGCGGTCGAATGGAAACATAGATTGAGGAGCGAGAGCATTGCAGAACGATCCTTGTGATGTGAAATTTGTGGCCATCGCTCGTCTTTGTGTGCCCTTATGCTTCTGATTGCTTTGTGTGCTGCGGTTACCTAAATTCCTGTAACAAGAAAAAAGATGGATTCAGGATACATGTAGAAAGGTCATGATGGAAGAACTCGCAGAAAAACCTGGCGGATTGCCACTGTGCTGCTAGCTCTAATCTACGGCATCTACTGATGTTCTGGTATAGTTTTCAAACACAATTGATTGTGCAAATGACAATTCAAACTCATTTTGTTAGATGTATTGATCAGCTATTGTGTTTTACAGTACGGATTCTCTACCGAATTTCAACTCTGTATCGTACATTCCATCATCATGACATGCGGTTGTTTGCGTATAAACAAATGCCCAATCTTGACAATGCTTGGTATGCTGGTGAGATGACACTGTAACCTTCATAGTACGCCATGTATGCGCAGAGAAGAAGAAAAAATTATCCTGTTCGCAATATCATACAATCGATATTTACAGATGAATTCGCCCAAGCATCTACATTATGGCGACCTGGCTGAACTTGTTTTCTTGATGAGTACCGGCAGGGTGACTCTCCATTTTAGTTGCTGTGGGGAGCAGCGTTTCGCCAGATGAAATCGCCGGATTCCAGTTTCTCGTTGTGCGAGTGCAGTCGCTCTGTACTTATACCGGGAACACTGTTAGTCTCAGTCCGGATGTGGGTGTTTCCCGCTCCATCTTCGCCATGCCCATGCTGAGCCATAGGGGCTTCCAAGAAATCGCCAGCCAATGATTCAGTTAGACCATGTCCTAGACTTTTCACAAGCCGCACGAAAAAATCTCGATGTCTTTGCGAACCAGTGACACCCCCCTGGGCGACACCTCGACCCAACTGCACATCCCTGACTACTTCTCGAGCCCTGTCCCAATCTTCGGCTTGGGCAAGCGCGCGGACAACAGCAGTCAGCGCGGGCCACCCAGGTAGCTTTCCGTGGCTGGACATGCGCGTTAACACGCTCATCATCTTGCCAATCTCATGATTCTCCGCGTAGCCTTCGATGAGGCGATCGAAAAGGTATTTGTCCGCAGGCAAGCCAGCCGGCCCGAAGATGCGCGCAACGAGACTGTCGATAGACGCAATATCAGGAGGTGTTTGCTGGAAGTAATGTGTGATGACAGAGGTGTTTATTTGAGCACTGATGGGGATGCTGCGGGATGCCATGTAGTTCATGATGGCTGTGACAGCCGAGATGTTTCCATACAATTTGAGTAAGCGATCGATGGCGGACGAGCATATGAAGGCATTCAGCTTGAGACCATCAGCTTCAAGGTCGTCAAACATTTGAATAACGCGATCTGTTTGCTCGGCTTCCGAAAGACCATCGAACTTGTTGCTGTTGAAGGCGGCATTGAGGAGCATGGTATGAGTAGACAGGTCGCTTTGAACCCCATTCTTCGTCATTTGTCGGAGCAGATTAAATGCCGTCGCGTGGTCGTTGGCACGCAGATACATGCTGATCATAATGTTATATGTGATAATATCGGGGGCGATGGAGAAAGCGCCACTCCATCGCAGAATCTTTTGCACGTACTCAACTTTGCGGTTGTGACGAAGTTCTTGATCCGGTATGCTGGTTAACGCCGACATGGCGCTGTTGATTAATTCGACCGTCGGTTTGGCGGGCTCATTGCCCGTTTTGGCTTTTGGCAAAGTTCGTCGTGATGTCTTTATGCCCCCCTTTTTCTGGGCATGCGTATTTTGCAAAGGACTCTGCGAAGCTATCCACCCCTTGCCCACCTCATCCATCGCAGCAAATCCGAGATTGATATGTTTGAGAGTGATCAGACCATGTATACGGGTTGTCCAAGCATATATGTCGGGCTCGACACCCGATCTCCTCATCCTATCCCAGATCCCATTAAGGCCATCCAAGTCTCGCGCTTTCACACAGCCATTGAGCATCGCATTCCAAGTGCGCAAATCGGGTTTCACACCACGGGCGATCATGAAATTCCAGATCTCGGCTGTCTTGTCTGGTTTGAACAATTGCATAAAGCCAGATAGAAACATGTTGTAGATAGCAGGTGGAATTTCGATGTTATCGTGATATTTGTACGCTCCTTTGACTTCATCCCACAGCCTTTGCAAAGTTCCAGCATGTGATTGAGACTCGATGGCGCGCGTGATTCGCTTCAAGTAGAACGCTTCTCTGTTTACGTCCGTGTCCTCCACGGAAGATGCTTGGTCGGGGGCGGTCTCCACCGAAGCCTTAGCCGGCTGTGGCCGCGATCCGATGATTCTCATAGCGTGCTGGGGAGCGGAAGTGATCTGCTCTACAAGAGTGGTGCGGAATTCGCTCGGTATTGATCTCAACGGCGGAGAAACTGTTACGTGTCGCAGAGCATTGTCAACGTTGGCGTGAGCAAGTAGATAGGTCAGTAGATTAATAAAGGGACTCGCGTGCTCTCGCAAGACTTGGGGGACTTCAAAGATGCTCTGGTTGACTTCATCGAACAAGTTGAAGATGGTAATGGCAGAAAACTGCAAAGACGGATGCACCTCAGCCTTTGGATGATATCTCTGTAATCTTCTACCAAAATGAGAGTCGTTGAAAGGTTGAGTAAAAGACTGAACATCAGGTATAGACCGCCAGTCGGGGTTCATTGATTCCAGAGGATCCCGGGCTGTCCCTCTGCACTGAAAAAACACGCGCCATAGTGATATGAGTTCCGAGAGAAGCGCTTCCGAGGTTTGCCTGCTCTTGCTCCCGCCGGACACCATCCATAGCAGCTGGTCTGTCATGTAACCGGTCGCGTTCGCCCACATCTTCGCATTCGCTATACCCAACTGCTCGTATTTGAAGATGATTTCCGTAGGTTTTATGTTCTCAAGAGACCCGTTACAGAATTGTAGAGTGGCACTATTCAGGAGACGGCTGAAGACTGATGATTCGTAGAGAAGCGGTATATCGTCTGGCGATGGATTGGTGAAAGCCGGGCTGTCGCGGGAGCTGAATTCCCTGAGGAACATGTTCCAAGCATCGTGCACATTTCTGTTGTCCAGACATTCGCTGATGGCTTGCGCATGGGCCGGGGAGGTAGGAGCTGTGGACGAGGACGCAGTCGGATGCGCTGGATCTATGCGCCCAAGTTCGTGGGACGCAGTGGATGGACTTGCATTTCCTAAGCCTTGGCGAGAATAACGGCCAGATAACTCGAGGCCTGGCTGATGGCGTGTGGGAGAGTCCCCGTGAAGCTCACCTTCAGTGTGTGAGGCTGGGCTGGGCTGCGCACTTTGTGTAGGCTGTGTCTGCTCGGGTGTGGGGCGAGGGGTAGCATTGGTGCTCCGCAGGGAGATGAAAGTGGCTCTCGGTTGCCATTGAGGGTTCTTGGGAAGCGTGATAGAGTTCCGAAGCCGGACGCGACATTGGCGGCAGATGTACGAGGAGATCATGGTGCGAGGGGAGGTTGGGACGAATGGTGTGAGAAATCTATGGGCGACAGTCAGCGCAAGAAAGCGCGCGCACAACTAGTAGTCAGGGCAGCTCCGGCAATCAATGGCTTACCAATAAAGTTCTCCTGCAATGCCTGCATTGCTCAATTGACCACCACCACACGCCTCGCAAACCATGTACATGTGTTCGATACTGTGTCGACTGGGAACATGCGCTATGGATCACTTTTTCGTTGATAGCCCTATCGAACAGCTGCACCTGCACCTCACTTGAGCGCTAGCTCTATCTGGTAACCCAGAGCTGTTAGCTCCGAGCCAGTCCATTGTGATGACGATCAATGTTGGGTGTACAACACCTACTCTACTTATCCATTGTACATCCTTTCCTCTTTACCCCCCTTGATCGTTATTATTATTATCGTTACTTTGAGAGTCGCAATGACTACCTTTGTCCCCCGTCAACCTTACTCCCAGGATGAGTTGTCCAAGCTCTATCCGAAAGAACTCGACCTACAGCTCGTGCAAGTATTGCTTCGCCATGGTCAGCTACCCTCTTTGTTCTCGGTCAATCATCACTAAGAAAAAAATCTAATTTCGTTATACAGGCGAACGCACGCCAGTTAACCCCCGTTTCCAGAATGTAAATCGCCTCTAGCAACACCATGGTTCGACTGATTCTGATACGTGTATCTAGACTGGCCTGTGGCCTTGTAAGCTACCACATTTTGGGTTTGGTAATCCCATCTGACTGCTCCTCAGATTGGCCTTACTGCAATTCCGCGAAGCAATTCACTAGTGCAATCATGGCTTCGACAGATGGCACTAAGTGGGATCAATTGAAGTACCAAAGACGATTAGAGACCTTCAACTCAGATGACAGTCCAGGTTAGCAGCGGCCCATTCATTCCGGGTTCTGTGGTCGTATGTGTATATGTACTGATCCGTCCAAGTATTCGCTTCTGGTGTATCTGGTGAACACGATGCCATTTGCCAGCCAGGTGAGTTGACAGACAAAGGTCGGGAGACCACATTGGTACGTTTCCAAGATTCTAGAGTACATCATGGAATCACGCTGTGGCCTCAATGACATGACTTGAGCCATGCATGGTAATATTCCTGCTCAAGCTATTCTGACCTTCTCAGGCCCTGGGTCAGCGGCTTCGCCATTTGTATATTGACCAGCTATCGTTCATGCCCAAGTCAATGACGGATAGCGACATGATCTATCTTCGCGCCACCCCTATTCCGCGTGCTCTTGAATCGGTTCGTTTATATCCAGACAGAAAGTCGTTCCTCAAATAGAGATCGTGTGTCAGGGCGTTGTGCGACATGCATGGCCTACTCACGTTTGACAAGTACTGATATTGAACCCATGGCATAGGTCCAGCAAGCATTTTACGGCTTTTACCCCCCGAGCGCAAGGAAATCTGATCTAGATCTGACCATAGTTACTCGCACACCAGCTGACGAGACGCTATTCCCCAATGACAGCAATTGCAGACGTTTGGCTCATCTGAGCCGCGCCTTCGCCAAACGTGCCGCAGAGCGTCATAATGACACAGAGGACATGGATTATCTGTCCAAACTCCTCTCCAAATGGATGCCCGGGGAGAACCAAAAGGTGGCTGTGGACTCTCATCCAAGACTCTCCGGTATCATGGACACGGTCAACGCCACCGATGCTCACGGTCCGGCAACGAAGCTACCCAAAGAATTCTACGACCCCAAAGCCCGAAGCATCATAGACAGGATCGCTGTCGAAGAATGGTACGCCGGCTACAAGGAGTCGGCGGAATACCGCATGCTCGGCATCGGAGGGTTGATGGGTGACATCACGAGCCGAATGACGGGGAGCGCGGAGCGCAATGACGGCAATGCTGGTGATCTTGGTCGTACAAAATTTGCACTTTCGGGGTGCCACGACACCACGCTCGCTGCCGTACTAACCAGTCTTGGTGCTTTCAACGATGAGAACTGGCCTCCATTCACCAGCCACATTGCTGTGGAGCTCTTCCGCAAGAAGGCCAAGTCAGATTCTCAGACCGCGGTCGACCCCCCGTCTCCTTCTCCGATGGGGTCAAAATCTCAGTCTTGGTGGACGTCGCTTTTTGGCGCTGCTACGAACGCCTCCTCTCCAGCTCAGGGCATCGCACGTAAACCCCTGGCCGATTTAAGTGCGGAGCAGAAGGATAGGCTCGAAGGATACTACGTGCGAATCCGATACAATGACAAAGTTATGCAAGTTCCTGGCTGTACGTATATCGAGTCTCCGCATCAGAGCATCTTGCACTGTGGCGTTCGAAATTCTGCGACCCCCCTTTTCTTTATTGTAAATCCGGTTTGACTGACTGTGCGATTTGCTCTCCAGGCAAACCCCAGGGTAAACACTTGGAAGGCGAAGAAAGTTTCTGTACTCTGGTAAGTCATGAAAACACCACACGCGCTCTTTCGTCATCTAGTCCACCTCCATATCTCGACGCCTCCGACCCGACTATTTGTATTCTTTCGCAAGTTTCCAATGTCACGGGTCAATAGTAGAGAGGGCAAAAAGAAAACCTCATCAGAACATTACGCGCATAACGCTAACACAAACGAAAAACAGGAAGCGTTCAAGGACATAGTGGACAAATACACGCCCAAGAACTGGAAACACGCTTGTGCCAGCAACGTCGATGCTCCATTCTTCCCGGCTCAACCCGAACCTGCTGGCTTTGCATAAACGAACCCATCTAGTTGAATCAGTTGCCGATCGATAATGCTTGGAATGCGCATACGTTGATTCAAACTGGGTTGTTTCTACTTTGTTCTACAAAAACAAAATGCTTTACGCAGCGGCGAGCTAGGGGAGAGTTATGTCTATGGCATATAGTCACCTTAACTTAATTCTCTGCTGAAGAATGAGTCTGTCTAGAGAAAAATACCAGTGGCATAGAGAAAGAGAAGGAAATCCCATCCCGACAATCGTAGCCATCATTTTGACTTTTTGGAGCGTTTGTACGTAACTCAGAATGCAATCTACCAATACGTTGACATATTGACCTCCCCATTCAATTGCAACATCCAATACTGGTGATGTAGTTGTGTGTGTTCCTGATTTTCACTGTGTGCGAGGGAAAGGAGCAGAATTCTCCCATGGGCTTGTCAGAGGGGGAGGATCGTATGATGCAAGTCGGACTCTGGTTGAAGAAGACATGATCCTTTGGACTGCGGTACATCAGAAACAAGCCAGCCCTATGAGTAGAACACAATCATTCAAACTAGCAGTGTTGCCGTGATAGCCGTTTATCTTTTCTTTTTCGGGTATTGCATCCCTGGCCTCTGGTGCTGAAAGCAAAACTCCTTTTTTGAAGCTTTTTGTGCCCGTCTACTTTTTGTTTAACCTTTTTTATAACCCTTTTTAGGTGTAGGGATCACTGTAACTTCCAATCAAAAAAAAACTTAATCTTTTCTTTTCTTTTCCAACTTGAACTTTTTCTTTCACTCCAGCCAAACTGAATACGGGCGAGACACGATCGTCTTGAAAAGGGAGATACACGTACGATAACAAGGAGTGCGTGCTTCTGGAATACACTGAGCCCCCAGTGTTCAAGATCCACACCAACATATACATGTAGCAGCTATATGAGGCGTGTTCATTATAGGTTCTTACCAACAAGCTGCGGGCGCTACAATGATCATACACGAGCAAGATAAATTCAACTACCAAGTACAATTTTTCCATGATCAATCAGTGGTAAACGTTTTTATTAAATCACATACAAAAGGGGGAATTGTGAACGGGTGGGGGTTTTCCTTGAAACAACGTCATGTTTTCACAATCAAGCTCAGGAAGAACAAATGATAACGGTAAAAAAAACAATCCGTGGATACTCTATAGTTCTCCATGACAAGACAAGGTTCCTTCGTCCTTTCCTTATCCGTCGTACAAGACTTTCGTGCTACATGATTTTGTGGAGTGGTGCTGATTCTGTGCCGGGTGGGGGTTGCGAGGGCGTATGGGTGCATGGGTGCATGTGGAAGGGTCGGTGGTGGGGTTGGGGATATGTACCGAGGTGTGATTCGTTTGGGGCTGAAGATGTGAGCTAACAGGTCCATGGCGAGAATCCGTGAGAGCGGAGAAGTTGAAAACAGCTCGTCAGACTCTCCGCGGGACAGCTCGCAACTCGAGAAGGTATAAATCCTTCCGCCGGCGAGAACTTTTCGTCGTACGTCGAACATAGCAACAATAATCTTTCGATCAGGTTGTATGATGGAAACACCCAGCCCCTTTCTCTGGCACGGCGCTCGAGCACGTCAATGCGATGCCTCGCCCCGGTCATGCAGTATGCTGACCACCAGACCGAAGATCCAATCCCGCGAAAGCAACCTTTTTGCGATTGCCTAGCGAATTAGTCGAATCCAGGTTCAAAGTGATCACGGGATGCCGGAGGAATGAACAGGGCGCTCAAGCCATGACACCTTGGTTGCCACCTTGTAAGGGTCAGTAGTGCATAAAGTATATTTGAAACGAACTGTATGCGAGGATTTCTACGAATTGCGTGCAGACAAGAGCACGGCAAGAGAATGATTGGGGAGGGATCCAGGCATCACATACCGACTTGGCGCTTGATCTGCTCACGTGCCCATCGAGCTGTCTCGCGTGTTCGACCGCCAAAGTCCGCGTTGGCGCGCGTCTCCCTCGTCATGACAGTCAAGAAATCGTGGCGGAAATACTCTCGGACGTCGCCGTTGGGGAAAGCATCGGCGATATCACTGTTGTACGTTAGGACACGCTGAGTAATATGATCAGGGAGGAACGTACCCAATGACACCGCAGCATGATCGCAGAAGGTTCTCCGTGCGGTTGTTATCCGCCTGAATGATACGCAAGAGCTCGAATATCGAGTCCAGGTACTGAACGAGCATTTGAGCTGGTACTATTAGCATGTCGTTCGTATATTCGTTTAGGGTCAGACGTACTCTTTCCGCTTGTCTTCAAGGCGATGATGATGCCATCCCAAGCATCCATGATCCCCTCCCGCAATGAAGTGATATAATCCAACAGCTCAAAGTTGTTTTCTGTGGTCATTGATACCGTAGAGGCTTGCTGCAATACCTGAGCAACGACTGGAAGATATGTCTCGAAGGCACCTAGGATTGCATGCGCAATGTCGCCGAAGCATTGAAGGATAGCGGGCTTGAATGTGTTGCCAAGCTGGTTGCTCTGTCCAAACCATTAGTACGAGTTTAAGCCCCACACGGGTGCAGTGTACTCACGCGAAGGTTGTTCAAGAGATAGTTCATGAAGGCATCGCAGTATGGCTGAATTTTCTCGCCCAGAGCACGTGTGATGTCGCTGACGAGTCCTATCGCCATGGAACACAACGCAGGCTCCTCCTGATTGCCGAGAGCATTATAAAGGAACTTGGAGAAAGCGTCCATGTACTTGATGAAGTCATCTTCCAGCGCAGTAGCGATGGAACCAATGGCAGCAAAGACCGCGTCGGGAACACTCGACTTTGGCGGGAGGCTCGACAGCAATGTGAGAAGAATTTGCATGATGCGGTCAGCCTGAGGCTTGATGTCGCCTTCCAATCGCTGGACAATCGCCTGTGGTCCAATCAATATCATCACGAGTGAAAAAACGCTTTGAAGCACTTACCATGACGACGCTGGCCAAGCTAGTTTGCATTTCCTCGAGAGTCAGCTTGTCTTCAACGCTGACAACCTGCGACTGGAGCTGTATAGACTTCTCCAGACGTTCGAGCACGACGTTAGACAGCGAAGCAACGAGGCTGATGCTGTCGTTGGCAGCGTTGGCGACAAAAGAATTGAGCACTTCGTAAGCAGCAGTACGCAACTGGTTGTCTGCATCGCCTCGTTCGGTGACTTGAAGAAGGTGCTGGATACTCTGCGAGAAGTGAGGAGAAAGAGGGTTCGATGCGCAACCGGGTTCTCCAGCGAATCGCTCCGCGAGGTTCATCAGCGCCCAGCAGCACGATGCAGCCATCTTTGTATGGCTCGACAAGCCGCTGAACAATGCACCGATGAGGGTAGGAAGGTGCGTTGTAGCATCCACAGAGTTGGGCGCTGCTTCGCAGATACGGCCCAAAGCGTACGCAGCGGAATCCTTTACGTGCAACACGGGGTCGTCCATCATGGCAATAAGCACAGGCAAAGCCTGTTTGACCAAGGGGTCCAGGACATTTTCCTCCGGACCTTCCATAATGGCGCCGAACGCTGAGACGGCGGCATCGCGATAGTGCCAGTCTTCAGCACGTAGGTTTTTCTCCACGAAAGCGAGGACCGGAGGCACGACTCCGCTGCCGACGCACTGCGCCCACAGCTGAAGACACTGGTACGCAGCGCGCGAGACGTTGTATTCGTTGTCGTCGGCATCTTCATCTTGCTTGGCAAGAAGCTCGAGCAGCACAGGAACAACTTCTACGGTCGCCACACGTGCGAAGTTGAAGTATTCCCTTAACTCGGTCGAGCCTTCGGCTTGAGCCTGTCGTACTGTCAGCACAAAGCTGTTTTTATTTCGTTAGCCTAGAGAGGTACTCACTTGAGTGTTGTCATCTTCAATGGAAATTTCCTCCTCGCAAACAGTGCACCAGAATTCGACGGCGAGCTTGGCGACGTCTTCCTCGTCGTTCTTCATGCCTTGGATCGTGAGACCGAAAAGAGCCTTCTCCATGTAGAAGCGCATCTTGTCGTAATACAGACCCATTATGCGGTTCAGACATCCGTAGGAGCCTTGCTGGATACGGTTGTCGTCGGCCTGAGTGGCTTCACAGATGACTTGCATAATGTAGTTCCGCTCACCCTCATTCTCAAAGTTGGACCTCACGAACTCGATCGAATCGCCGAGAGCGGAGATGGCGGCATTACGCACATCGTTGTTGGTCTCCTCTTTACGAGCACCCTGCACGACGGCTGTGAGAATGGAATTGGAGTGGTGACCGAGGGCTTCACGCAAATCGGCATCGTCGGTGTCGCAGATGAAACCGATTGTGGTCAACGAGGCCTGCTTCTGGTGGTCTGCACCGTTGCTCACGCTCTCGACGAGGGTTTGCATCAGCTCGGGCCATTGGTTGTGGGGTATCTCGATGGCGGCAACGGAGGCAATGAATTGGGCGGCCGACTGTCCAGCGCGGCTGTCGGGAGTGGCGAGGGTTCGCAGGGCGGTCTGCTTGACGTTCTGCTTGATATCGGAGTTCAGGTTGAGCCAGCGCTCCTGGACCTGACGTAACCGGGCATACTCGCGTGCTGTGAAGGAGTTCTTGAGGGCCAGACCGGCAGCAGTTCGGATGTGGGGTTGCGATTGCTCGTTGGCAAGCTCATTGACGAGGATGGTGAGGTATTGAGGCTACAGGCGAGGAGCGGGCGGTCAGTTGGGGGGTTCAGAGGGCAAGGCTCGAGAGGGATAACTTTGGGTGAGGGGCACTTACAAAGTCAGACTCGGCAGCCTGGAGAAGCTGCTGCTCAGCAGCCTGGCGGACGTTGGCGTCTAGGGAGAGGTTAGAGCAAGGCACGGGACGAAACAAAGTAAAAGAAATTTTTTTGTCGTCTTTGCGCGGCTGGGGCAGGAGGGCGGTCAAGGTACGTACCTGGGGAGAGAGTCCCCTCCAGCACCTGGTTGATATCCATGTTTGCAGAGGGGGCGAGAGAGCGGGGAGAGAGAGGATGGGTAACAAACGGAAAGGGGGGTGAGGCAGACGGGTCGTCGGGGGAGAGAGTGGTGGAGGAGTGTGGTGGGTGGGATGACGACGACGACTTGGTCTTGAGGGTGAAGGAAGGAAGCGTCGAGAAAGTCGGGGCGGGATGTGGTTGCCAGCAAGTGTGGTTTATTATTGTACGGGGGGGATTTTGGACGGTTCGTTAGCGGTAATGGAGCGCTATTAGAGGATGAGCGAGGGCGGAACAAGGCCAAACACGTGAGCGAGCTGGCGGCCAGCTGCCCCACCAAACAATTCGACAGGCACAGGCAGAGACGGAGGGTGGGAACGGAGGGCTTTTTTTTTTCTGGGTCCACTGCAAACGTTGAGCAAACTGGAGCGAAAGGAGATAGACGGGGGGTGTCAAACAGAGTACCGATGTATCTACGTAGGCATTTGTGTGTACATGCCTATGTAGGTACTGGAGCGTGGGGCGAGCATGAGCAGGGAGCAGCAGATTCACGTGTACATATGCAGTATTCACTCGTTGATGCATTCATTCATTTATTTATTTACTCGTGTACCTGCCTGCCTGCAATGTGGTTCCAAGCAGGTGCCTAGGAATTTGGAAAGAAAGAGAGACGCAGCGAACCAAACGAGGGAAATCGCCCGAGCGCCGTCAACAACAACAACAACAACCACGACCCGCCACGCATTGGCTCGCTTGCATCGTGCTTGCCCCAGATTCCCCTCTCCTCGTCAGCCCTACACATGCATACATGTGTATTCATTCCATGGGCAAACATTCAAAGGTTGGCGCATACACAGATAAATACATGGATACTTAATACCTACTTGGCACATCTCCACCATACTCGAGCAGCAATCATCATCATTCGTGTATACAGACATTGGAACATGCGTCACAGAAATGTGCCCACTAGCTACCACCACCACCACTCGTGTACATGCTCAGCCCATGCAATAAACCAACATCAATCTTCAAATCGGTCAATCAATCAGTCAAATATACAAACAAAGTCATCTTCTGCATCTCCCCTTGTTGCCAATGCCCCCGTGCGCCAGTTATGCAATCGCCTTTTCTGTACCACTTATCTTCTTTCCCCATTTTCCACATCACCGTCTTCCTCTCCGGGGGTCCGACGCCTCGTCCTTTCTCCAATCCCGCATCTCTTTCGTCCCCAGGCTCCCCAGACCACCTTCGCTTCTTCTCTCCCACCCTCCTAACCTAACCACCAGCGTCGTGGCATTGTCCGCATCCGTGGCCACCTCCGTTGCAAATGCCGTGACGTCTCGCGCGGCCTGTTCTGGCGTTCGAGCCTCCTTTACAACGTCCACAATCTCTTGATCACTCAGGTGACCCGAGACCCCATCTGACACAAGAACCAGGAACGAGTATTTTGCGGGCGAAATCTCAACCCGTCGGATCTCCGGCTCCGCGGACACACCGATGCGCTTCGAAGTCGTGTCACCAAACGCTCGCGTGTTGGCGAGCCCGGAGACACGCTCTTCCCCGAACGAATCAGTCACAAACGTCGCTGCGTACCGTCGGAGCCTGGTAGCCTCCTCTGGGAGCGAAGGGTGGTGATTTGACGTCAGAGGAATCGCCTGTCCCGTTGCCGTATCGCACAGCAGGATCCTGGTGTCGCCCACGTGTGCTGTAATAAGGGTCGACGGCGACGACGGATGCCAGAATGGGGACGGAGTGGGAGTGGATATAAGTGCAATACTACAGGTGCTTCCACCTTTGAAGCGTTTCGCCCCACCGATGTTCTTGCCCGCTCTTGATGGATGGCCCAGGATATCTTCGTCGTTGATCGCTCGATCTGCGAGCACGGGGTCTTCGTCTTGTTTCACAGCTTGCGCAGACACAAAGTCGAGGTCGGCCTTCAGGAACGCATATTCCAGCACCGTCTCGATCCCGATACCTTCAGCAGTTTCGCCAGAAATGGCTGAGAGGGCGCTTGGACCTTGTTCAGCGAGTTCCTTCTCAGCTGCGTGACCCTGTCCGCCTGCCGATTTGGAAAAGTACTCGGGTTTGAATCGCCGAAAGTATCCTCCAACCAGCTCTTTCCACTTCTTCACCAGCTTCCGCTCGAGCTCTTCAGCCTCCTTGACACTGATGGACTGCTTCACCGGCGGCGCACTGTCCAACGGTTGCTGCTTGCTCTTGTTGCCCGCAGTTGGGAACTTCATGCCCGTGCCGGGCTCTGGCGGTTGGATAGGCTCTACTCCATCAGGTGTGTGTGTTTCAATGGCTCGCAAGCTTTCTTTCCCTGTAGCCTTTTGTGAGCTCTCAGCCGGTCTCTCATCGGGACTGCCCATGCTGCCAGGCCACCCGAGCCTTTTGCCTCTCACGCCACTTGTTTGCAAACTGCTTTCGAGTTGGAAAAGCTTCATCGCCTTCTCAACGTAATCGTGCAGTTCTTCCCTCAGGAATGCTGAGCACTCCATACCCCCATGCCCATCGAACACGCCAAAGTAGAACACCTGAGGGTCTCCGCTGGCGCTATCGGCGGGCGTGAGCTCGTTCTTGACGCCCCCGCTCGCACTGCGCTGCAGAGACATGGGCTGTACTCTCGCAAATGCCGGCACCTCAATCGTGCCGGCCTGGTAGGAATCCTCATTGTATGGACGCGACCCGCGCGACAGAGAGACTCCAAAGTGATGTTTCGCGCTCTTTAGTGGTATCCTGACCACCGTCATCTCCCGCTGGCCCGGCGCGGGGGGAGCGGCGGCCGGGGTTCGGTTCGTACCACGAGGGTCATGGACGGTGCTCTTATCTCTGGGTAACTTGTGGTGGGGACCAGCAGCTTGCCGCGAGTCGGGATGGAGCGAGCTCGAAGGTAGATGTGTGATGAAGTACTCATGGAAGTCGCGACGGTTGGAAGGATGCGTGAAGCATAACGTTCGGGGAGGGCGGCGGCATTGAAGAGGCAGAGGGAGACTGGTGGGAAGCCGTGGATGGGCTGCGTAGGCGCGAGGTAACGCTCTTTCCAACATGGTTTGCGTTTCCGATACCGCAGCGCGGCAGATACATGGTGGTGTCGCAGGCAGGTAGGACCAAGTGGGTGCGAGATGCCGGGATAAACGTTTCCAGCTTCAGTGGAGTTGTGGCAGGCACGGAACACGGGCTCGCCAGCGCTGCAATCGTCTTCAGATATCGCCTCTGCGCTGCGCTGGTCACAAACGGCGAAGATGGATGGATTAATGGTAGCAACCCCGGCAAACGGACAGTGGAAGAGGTGAGGACGCGGAGGAAGCGGGGAGACTGCCTACCTACCCATAATTATCCCAGTACGTACCTAACTACCACGCCGCCGCCGAGCTCAACCTCGCCCGATTGGCTTAGCCATCTTGGTACGTGAGGACTTCATTCTCCGACTACATGTACCATTGTCTTTCTCATATCAGAAGTCGCGCAATGGAAATAGCCATGTATTCATTTGATGACCTATCATCGTGTCTACCGATTGCACAAAGTCCGATTGGTGCACATATACAGCACCATACCGCACATCCATTAATCATTACTTCCCATCGACAGGTCCAACATGCCAACCTTTCCGACATTACTGTAAGACTTGCCTACCCAACTCAAGACCATCAACACCTGGACATCGTACAAGGAAATATACAGGTCGACAAAGCACCAACCGCACGTCGAGAACCCCATCCTCCTATCCTTACACAACTTTTTAACTGGGCAGGCAGCAGAGCTTGGCGTCATCTAGATGACTGTACAAACCAACGACACCCACATGCACCATGGCAAGATGAACAACCTCTTTGACCTCGATTCCAGACGAGTAGTCGTAGCGAGTGAAGGTCGGCGTCAGCGCGAACCGAACAGAAAAGCTTCGGGGATTCTCGCTAAGCTTGTGGAATGTCGTCGTCGCATCGCCATAGAGGTTTCGTGTCTGGTTCACCATCCTGTTCCAGTTGACGTTGGTCCCAGCAACAGGCCACAGAATCTCCCACTTGACTGCCTCCATCCGCAATCGAAAGCCGATACGGTAGCCCTTGATGTAGAGTTCGGTGAGAACATGGTCACGCTCAGGGTGAGCTCCAGCCTCAATGGCACCGGACAAGCGGGACAGCAATTCCTGAGTGCGTTTGTCGGCGGCCTTGGTGCGCCACTGCTTATGCTTCTCGTCATTCTTGATCCGCGAATACAGTGCTTGCTGCTCTAGGCAAGCTTGGTGTCTAAGTCCCAATGGTCCTTCTTTCAGGTTCCTGTATTCGGATGAGAGCTGCTCGCATTGTCTGCCGGCTTCGTGTTCAGAGTGGAGAAGTGCGTTTTCGCAGAGTGTATAAAAAACGATCTGACGGATGATGTCTACCATAAGTCAGCGATGATGAAGCTAGCCGTTACGCCATGTGAATGCTTTTAGTTCCGCGTTGTACCAAGGTTATACGTACAGCCAGTGAAGATGTCTTTGAGCGTCTCGCTATCTGCAAGCATGTCCTGTACATCCGACCGCCCTTCCAGCATGGAAGTGATCTCGGTCAGTGCGGGACACTGCTCCATGCCTCCAGCGCTTGGCTTTCTAATGTAAAAGCCTGCCCACTTGCGAATATCCTCAAAATAGTCGTGAAGGAGACCACGGCTGGATTGAGGATCAATCCCCACTGTATAAACGGGTTTCTGGATGAACGGCTTGAGGTGAAGCTGCTCGGGCGTTTCGGTACGTTTGTGTTTGGGTTTCTGTCGGCCAACAGAACGAGTACCGTCCATGACAGGCTGCTCGATCGGGCTGCGTCGTTTGGTCGGAGACGATGGACCCATTGGGTTGAAGGGATGTACAGGGGAATAGTTGTTGCGTCGGTTCAGACCAGGTGGCAGGTATCGAAAACCATCATCGTTCGGGTTGCCTACGGTTGGAAATTAAGGGTCAGTATCACGAATTCGTACTTGTTTCAACCGGCTGTTATTGTATCGAAACGTCACGCCCCGTGAGTATCTCGGATTATGAGGACTTAGAACCTGGAGTATACGTACTTGTGAACGGATCATGTGGGGTTTGGGTAGCAGCACGTAGTTTAATGTGGACCTCTTCATGCCAGCGTGCCTGGTTGTATTGGAGTAGCGAGACCCGATGGTGGTCTAGCAACTTGTCGATGATATCCCACAATCTACGGATTTCTTTGGCATCGGTACTGAAAATGGCCCATAAGCAACTATAGTTGAATGTTTCGATTCACACATACTTTGCTGGTTTTGCGGCGATGGATGCCCAGATCGCATCTGGAATGTTGATGCTAAGCCCCGAAGCAACATCTTTTGGATGAGCTAGCGGAAACTGCATATAAGCTCTATCCATATGTGACTGCGACCTCGTCTCTTTAAGACCGGCAGAGGCTCCCGGGAATCCCCAGGCATAGTCAGGTCGTGTTTGTCTCCAATTGAAAATCGATTCCATCTTCGACGACCAATTTTGTCAGTGGCGTTCGTCACCTCTCTCGTACAATTCGGTCCTTAAATTGCCAAATTTCCTCTCGTTCGAAGTAAAAAAGTGTGTTCCGTCTTCGTCTAATAGTCACTTGGAAGCGGGTTCGATGGGAGGAAATTGCATTTGCGAGCCGAAAACTGTGTAAGACTGGGAAGTACCAGCATCAGCGGATGGGTACACACGACTTCGATCAAAGCAGCATACCAAATCAAAGAAAAGCTGATATCGAGAGGTAGACAAGGGTATGATGAAGTGGAGTTTTGGGCAAACAGGTGGAAGTAAAATGCCTTCAAGCGCTAGTCTGTTTTCAGAGGACGATCATATATCTGGGTGGCCGACAACCTTCTGTGTGGGAAAAGCGGTGGCGAAAGAATCTAATAGAAATAGAAAGAAAATGTTTCTCATACCTTGATAAAAGGAGTGTCCAACGTTCAAGAGCAATCACTATCAATCAAAACGAACAGCCGGTGTCTACTCTCCAAGTCTCTGAAGGACTGACAATTCAGCATGCAATTTATACATGATTTCAAGACTGCGCTAACTATGGACTCTTACCATTTACTAGCGTAATTGGCTATGTGTGTGCTAAAGCCATCGCGGGATGCTGATAGCTGTACTACCTTCTGAGGCTCAACATGCCCCTCGTCGCCCGGTTCACATGTTGCTGATCTGGCTTCTATCACATTATACTCATAATTCATTGGCCTTCAGTCATTGGGAGGACCCAGGTTTTATCGGCAAGTTTCGAGATTTTGCACAAAGCTATATCCCGTCATATCTCTCCGCTAGATAACGTAAATCAGCCTCATTACTTCGTAACCCTTTGACGTAGTATTGGGCTTTCCATATATCATCATATTCTTCAAAATTAATCGGTGAGTAGCTGCGAAACTCGCAAATATTCTATATCGTCACGATACAGGCTCTCTCTCTCTCCGAGATGTTTAGAGGTCAGCCCGAATATTATGCAAGCTTGCAGTATGTTTAGACAATTTTCATTGGAAATTGAGATAGTCAAAGATTGTATGGCGTTGACAACTACTTCCATCATGATAAGTAGCACAAGTCAGCATTTTCAATAATCAGTGAACAGGGTGGGCTAGATCCGGTATTTGCTCGAGGTTATGCACTTCCGCGACGTGGAAGATTCCTTCGTGAAGAGCTCAAACTTTTCCTAGTATCTGCAGGGGGATGTAGTCATTCTGAAACTTGTACGAGGACTCACTCATACCCGAAACCCTCAATTAGGTCCAACGTGGACCCTGCTCCGTCTACAATGTGGGATGGAGCCAAAAGCAGTACCAATCATTTGTTACTCAGGTTTGCCTTGTGAGTAACACGGAGGTCCATACTGCATCTAGAACACCTCTTGCTCCCGTGAAATCTCTAGCTCGAAAACCTTACCTTTATCATGAAATGGCCCAGTCGACCAATTATTGTACGTTTGCGGACGGGTATGCCTTTACTCGACGTTACACCAGGCCCCAAGTTACCTCTTTAGTCTCACCGATGCCAGCATGACGTAGAATTTCCTTCAGGCAGCCGTCACTTCTAGCACTCGCTCCCAGTTCTAGAACCTTTGACGGCCGTCAGCCATCGTACAAGGTGGCTTTTATACATATTGCTACCATGCAATAGAAACAATCTACGCTGATAATCACAGTAGTACACCCATCCATGCGCCACACATCGAAACAACGCATTATGTGACATTTCGGAATTTTCGTAGCTCATCAAAACATACTTGACTACCAAGTATGTTCTAGAAGGTCTGAGGACCTTATTTTCTGTTTCATTTGCACGTGAGGAGACATGACTTTCAGCCATTGGCCAAATATATTCCATTCTGCTTGTTTGCACACAACAGGAATGAAAAATGTCAACTTGATTGTGGCCTACATCTCCTCTCATGAAAAAGACAACAGACTTTAGGTAGAATTCGCAGGAGACGACATGAAGCAAGAAACCTTCGCACGTGCTATCGTATTCTTATAGTGCAGACGTCGCTACTGTCTGCCGAACCAACGGGAGGATGCCGGCGTGTATACAAGGGCGGGGTGGAGGTGTAGGAACTTATATTCATACTCAATTCTATGGGACATCTACAGCGAACTATCTCTCATACCTGGATGTAGTGATGATGATTGCCTTGATCTGGATTGACTAGATTGATTCCCGCCAGACTAGTTTGTCTCCAATGAGATCGATTTTGCCGGCTAATCCGTGTCCGGGAGAATTGAATAGATGGTCAAATATCGAACGACCTCGCTTTGGAAGGGTAATATAAACAATGCAACACAACGATCATGGGTCGGTATGGATAAAATGGATGCCGAAAGTTTCGATCAAAATGAGCTCATCTGGCTGTCTTCAACGTAGCCAAACATTCAACATTTTCCACACGATGGATTGAGCAGCGTTCACAGTTTTTGACACTTCAACGTTGGAGCATCGCGCAGGCTGGAGAACCTGTAGTTTTGCGATGCAGACGCCAATCTTATTAGGGTTACGCACCGTCTTTCTCTTGTTCGTCAATCTATTCATAACAGATTGTACGGCTCAATCACCAACACCGACACTGAACTCGATATCTTCCCCAACAGCATCAGCTTCCGGCTCTCAACACTTCATTCATCCGGCAGGAGGCGACGTACTTACGCTTGGGACCACGCTCACAATACGCTGGACCGCAATCACAAACTACAAATACGTAACCATCCAATTGCGGGACAATACCTCCCAAGGATTTAGTCAAGATCTGCTTACGCCCTGTACTCCATTTTCGCGGAAATACTGTGGGAACATCGCGACACATGCACCAAACACGGGAAGCTTTGAGTGGGTGATACCTATTCCAGTGAACGGGACCGATAGCACCGGCCATACTTTCCCACGCGGAGAACGAGTTTTCTGGTTGAAAATGTTTGTAGAAGATTTCATAAACGCTGAGACTGGTAACAAACAGCCGGTTTTAAGCTACAGCCAGATATTTGCCTTTGCAAAAGAGGGGGAGAGTGGAACAACAGTGTCTGTTGACGTAGCTACCTTGATGGTGGCGGGAGGCCTCCCATTGGAGACTATAGCGCTGACCGACGCGGCCCCAGGAAGTATTACTACGCAAACTGCTGAGGCAACCACAGTCACGGCAGGCGATACAGCCAAGGCCTCCACATCTACAACAAGGAAAGCATCTTTCAAAAGCAGCCATTCGGTAAAACGTGCCGTAGACGGAGGATTGGTTGTCATGGCGAGCGTATTCGGAATTGAATCTCTTTTGTCATGGATGTAGATGCGAAAACTACACTTGCGTCTCAATGCGCAAATATACATCTCAAAAGTGGCCACGTCTGGAGTTTGCCATGAACAGAGCTTCTTTCCGTCCGCCAACCTCGAATTATATGTAAACGCGGCCATGTGGCCGCCGAAAACACGTTGAGATTTCAGATATCGCGAAATGCTCAATGACTTGGTACAAAGATCCTATATCATATTCAGAAACCCACGATAGCTTGGGTTTGAATCAATCTCATTCTCATGGTTTGAGGTGTAATCGAGGCGTGTTTGATGAGTGACCCCGAACAGCAACTTACGAAAATAAGGATCATAATATTTTCTTCTTCCTGAAGTCCACACAAACACCGCTACTTTCGCCCCAGGGTGTTCTCTTCGTGTAGGAATTGCGCCTCGTAATTGCGGAGACTTGGATTTGGCCAGTGTGCCAATGGCGTTGTAAAGATGTCACTGATCCATTTCTGTCAGCTTACTCCACCCATGCCAATACTTACAGTATCGCCTTGGCCCCATTCGATTCCTCATTCTATGAGATAACAATCAATAAGACATTACTAAATTAGCGTTCCTGCTGCGATTAGAAGATGGTAGGCGTGTGTCGCACATATGTCATAAGCCATGATTGTATGGAGTGACTTCTCAAGCGGCGTGCCAAAAGAAGTAAAAAGCGTGTAACTGCGCTTGATGATTATAGGCTAGATATTGGATAGATTGTTCTTTGGTGTAATAGCCTCTCCAACGTTGACCGCCAATCTTCAATCCCACGTTCTGTTATAATCTAGACTAGTATGTTGTGTTGCTTGAGGAGCAATAGGATCTAGCGTCTATATACGCACAGATCACCCAGTGTGATGAGCCTGCAGAAGTTGGGAAAAATACGAATATCTTTGTACGCAAGAATATCGATATTGCAAGTGGCTTAGATCAGGAAAAAACAAACAAAAACATTGCCGTATCCTTGTATATTTGTATAGTCCTGGGAATTTGTCCAATCAAATCATCCGTAGTTGAGATGCATTTTCCATATCGGTGTTTCGCCACGGGATCGAAATGGCAACTGCACTGTTTGGTTAATCCTACTACCAACATTCCCATGCATCAGGCAACCTCTTTACGATCCAACAATACAGGAATGAGAGCAAGCTGCATATTCTGAAGGTCACCCCTGATTGACAACAAGAATCATTATCAAGTGTAGTAGAAACTATTATGGGTTTGCAGGATGTTCATCTCATTATTAATAACTAGCGATAGAAATACTTGTATCAGTGACCTGTGGGATCCCAGCTTCTGGAATATATCGATACCTCTGCCTTACTACTTACCCGCAATAGGTACATGTAATAGTCGGTATGGACTCCGGTCTGTCTATTAAAAGCTGAGATAACAAGACTCTGCACGAGCCGCAATGTAACCCCCAAGGCAAATCCACCCCACGGATGTGCAATGAAGGTCTGTAGTAATGAAGTTCACATTTCGCATTCAACATCATCGATTTTCTGATACGTTCGTGAAAGCATAATGAACCCCCATTGAATCTACATCACACGATATGAATGCCTTAGTATTTTCAATGTGAAATACTGTTGTCCCAGCTCATCAGTCAAGGAAAACATCATGACCACAGTGGTGAGAACGAGTGATTATTCCATCAGACTATCAAGGCTGTCCCGTCCGTGTGCAACAGTAACACTCCGTGGGAAAAAAAAAAACCAGTAATCTCTCCAATCCCGAAAGGATGATTCGCCGGTTGGTATCGGACCACGCTATACGACATAGCGCTTTGAGACTCAACGCGCAGGCCCGTATATGCTCACACATCCTCCTCAAGGTATATAAAGAGCCTCGAAACTCCAAAAGCACGTAATTCCAGCACCCAACTTCATCATACTTCCCACAGTTCACCCAATTTCGAACCATCCATCACTATGCGTTTCTCTACCGTGGTCCTTGCGCTTGTTGGTGCCGTTGCTGCCCTCGACCCAGCCCCTACTGCTGGAAGTGCATGCACGTGCGGTCAAGGTGAGTGACTCTCCTCCGATCGTACCATGACCTCCCTAGGTCTCATTGTTTCCAAGAAAGAAGTTTGCTGACCGAATCCAAACCAGCCCCCGAAATTGTATACAGCAAGTGCTTCATGAACGCAGATGGTACGAACAGCATCTGGCTGTGCATGGGCTCTTGCACATGGCTATTGGCAGCGTCTCCCGTCCAATGTGGCGTCTGATTGTCTCAGGTAAGCGATACGAAAAGCATCATAGCTTCATTTAAACCAAAGCTGACATGACTAGATATGACGCTAGAGATCCTGTATGATGTACTTCAGGCATCCCAGCTACTTGCTCACCATACTCGTGAGACAATCATACAGTGATGTCATGCCGATCACATTGGGAACATCGCGAACTGTTTCTCCATTTTTGGAAGGGTCTTCTAGACTAAGAATAGGATGATTAGATCAGATTTTGGGTTCTGTGCCCATTGGTTAGACTAAAATAATACATGTTTGAACTTCCACCATGCTACCTTAATGACTATGTTATAATGCGCAAATCCCCTTCGTCGACGCCGTCTTTTGTAACAGTGATTGTTCAATTGAGAAGTTGACCAGAGGTAGAAATGCGCGGTCATGGTATTCAGTCACATGATGCCTTGATCCATCTTCATTGGTGTAGAAAATGATGAAATTATGACACTCTCAAAGTTTACGTCGCATTTTTTAGGTCATCATCAAAAATAAAAATCCCTCGATATGCGTGCGGTTCGATTCGCGATTATCGGCATGGCAGAAAGGCGCATGCATTTCTGTTTTTCATGTGCCAGCTTGCTTCTATGTGTCCAACGAGTCAGATATATTTGGCCCTCTCGAAGCTACCTTCTACCACAGTATACAAGTTTGGGATGTACTTATCAAGAGCTTAGGGCATATTTCAGCACTACACTTTGGTGAACAAACATGTGTTCTCTGAATGCTGTGGTATCGGTCATATTTGCTCTGATGTTTCTGGATGTTCCTGCGAAACAGGTGCAAAAGTACTTACAATATAAATTCTGAGTTGGAGTTTGGGTGATGGGTTTGCAACGATAAATAGACCCAAAAAAACGAGCGATAACTAAAAAGCAGAAGTATTTACATAGGTTGATTCTAATCCTTGCACATATATAAGCAGCCTTATTAATGTTTATCTCAATACAACGAGGAGTCAATCTACAATCGTGTATTCTTTCAGGCCCAGGAGACATAAGCCCGGCTGTGCCTCTGGTGCTTCTCAGGCGGCACTAGCGACTTTCTACCATCTCTCCTCCCAATGTCTTCATCACTGCTCGCCATTTCCGTTTACTCATTTCGAAACTCATTTTAATGTGGTTTACATTGACCCTAGAAACCAACACAAGAAATTGATCATTACCCAAATTTCACGCAACTCAAGCCATGCCGCGAGGAAGATAATATATGGACTTGCAATCTTCCTACGAAGTCATGTCTTACTCGTCCCCATAAACCCTTGAATATGTTAATTCTGGTCACCGCTACAGACCACGACGTAAGATGTGCAGTTAAGAATCATTTCACCAAAGCTAAACGTAGAGGGAGGTGTACATTAATTACTATTGAAATACAAAACGCTGTGGAAGGAAGACTCTCACGCATCAACTTGAAACACAAGGCTTCTGCGGTATCATCACTCTTTTGTCCTGTTAAATGGCACTGTTTATTGTCTGTAGATCGTATGATGTACCTTCGGTCTTAATTACAGCTATGCATGTCTTGGAGATTGTTAGTTGCGCTTCATGTATAGGTCTTATTAAGTACTTCCAGTAATCAAGCTACTTCGCCATAGAGAGCAGAAATTAGACCGCAAATTGTCATAGGACGATGACAAAACTTCTGTCAGTTAGGGATGGACTAAGATACAATCATTATTTCAGTACACCTGTGGAAATACGGAATAAACTTACGTAGGAAACTTCTGGAAGTATCCATCTCAGCTTGAACATCTTTGCAATCAACCGCTTTTTGTTTCATATACCTTCTTTGGTAGAAGCTTGGTAGGAGAGCTAGGTCCACTCCCAAAAAAGGGATATTCCTCATATATATTCCTCATATTCCGGGACAAGACAAAAAGAAGGACTCTAGAATTACGCCCCAGCTCTGCTACAGGCTGATTTAACCTTGGCAGTCTTCCCCTGATACCCCAATCTATATCCGGCATCCCTCATACCTTTCTAAAGCTTAACATTTTCTCTCTTCACTTCAGTCCAGCCGCTTCTTCCGCCCATAGAAAGAGAGAGAGACTACCTAACCCAAGAAACAGGTGACAACCATCTGCAATTACACGAAGCCCTCTACCCCACCCACCCCCCGGGTTCTCAGTTCAAATTGAATCTTACCGCAAACAGCTCAACCACACCAAATCCAAACGCACACATCAGCCCAACGACCCCCTACCATTTTTTTTCACCTCAGCTCACCACAAACAACGCAAAACACTGTTCATGTACCGAACAGTCCAGTCCAGCTTTCAGCTGTACACGTACTGTGACCCAGCCCAGCCACCGTCTTAGCCTCGCTCGCTTGCTCTTAGTACATTCAATCCCAAACACTAAAACACTTCAGCCAACCATGCACGCCACGCTACCGAGATCTCGATCGCGTGCCCATGGGGAACATAACGTTATTTCTTCCAAAGTTTGCGGGAAAACGGGGGCTTGGGGGGAGGCTTGAAAAAAGTATATCGAGACTTGGGGTTATGGGAACGGGGTAGGTAGGGATGTATGACCAAGTGCGAGGAAGAAAAAGATTGGGCGATTGGAAGTAGACTACTTTAAACTCTCGCGATGTTGTTTGACATGGCAATAGCGTAACGCAAAGGTGTATGTATACCTAAATACGCACTGTACTGTATGTGGGTTACCAAAAATAGACCATGTACACAGGATAATTGATGCTACCCAATAACATGCCAAGTTGCGACAAGTCACTTGAGGCGACTGTCAGGTGCGACGTACATACTTAACCCTAACCTCGATATGCACGAGCAACACTTAGTCGCGGTTGCTCGCAGACAGATTGTGCAAGGATGGGGACTGCATTTCTTGATCGCTTCGGCGGGTTAACTCGTCATCAATAAGATGCACTAGCTTGGTGCCCACAGCACAACGTGGCAATTGTGGGGAGGTTTGTCTCGGTGAGATAATCTTGGAAGAATCCTGACCAAGACGGGGAAATGGACGCAAATTTCAGGGAAAAAATGAACAATGTTTTAGGTAACATGCTATACCAAGGCATCGTGGTTGGGTGGCGGCCACACGCTTCGAAGTCTAGATGCCTAAGCAAAGGTTCAAATGTGGCGTACACATTGTGAAAGTCTGAATGCGGGTTGACGCCACTGTATGTGCACATGGAGTGAAGCTAGGGGATTGCGGAGCTTAGTTCGCGGGGTCGAAAGAAAGATGACCATGCAGGGTCCAGTCCGGTCATTCGAATAGGTTGTGGGGATACAGTTTTCGGACGGAAGACGAAGGAGCAATGTAATCACGATCTATCGCTAGTGGTGTCAATCTTCGGAGTAAATAAGCCGTCATTGAAGTAAGCCATACCACATGAACAGACTCAAAGAGAAAGCGGCGAGGGAAGAAAACAATCCAATGTTGGACTGTACGAGTTCATTGCCGTGTGACTATTATATGTAAGATGCTGTTAAGGGTATATATCGAATGTAATCATAGAGCGCAGCCCGCTCTTCTCCACACTATACGCCCGTACGCCATATATGATGTGCCCTCTTTATGCCAAACGCCCATAATGTCGTGTTAATTCCTATGACCATTTTGGGTTATGTATGTTTCCAAAATCGTGTTCGCAATCAAAAGCCGTTAAAAGTCGCAAAAATAAATCGAAAGGAATGTTTAGGCCGCATCGCATCACCCAGCGATCCAGCAACGCCGATATACGGTCATCTTCCTTCTACATCCCTTTTCACCCGGGGGTATAACAGTCAATGATGGAACGGGTAAATCAAAGTCACCGCCGGAACATGGCGGCAAGACTTTTGCGTTTACTGATTTTAGGCTGCTGTGAATTGTCCTGTACGTTGGGCGAGAAAGTTGCTTGTTTATCGGTTGTTCGTTTAGAAGACGGGCTTTTCATGGATGATTTGTTGAGGGGTTTGGTAACGGCGGGATGGGACTGGGTCACGTCGGTGCCTTGGTCGACCGCAACTCCGGAGTCGAATGGGCCAGGGCTAGGAAGTGGAGGGGTGATAGTGGTTCTTGCTGGAGCATTAGCCTTGGAATCATTTCGAGACAGCTGAAAGCTACTCTTGGCTTTGCTAACGGCAGACCGCCGAGAACCCTTGGTGAGAGCGCGCTTCAAACCACCGTTCTCGTCGGCCGATTGCCGCTGCAGCCGCTCTATCTCGCCAAAGAGAGTGGATCCGTTGGTAGCGAAGCATTCGGGCTCAATGGGGAGGAACTTGATGATACCGCGGTCGGTGGCAACGCCAATGGATTCGAACATGAAGGCCTGGATGAGGGCGGCATTCCGCTTGTTGGTGGTAGGCTGCAGTTGAACAGGGAGAGCGGTGATGCTCAGCACGTAGGTGGGCTCAAAGGAGCCGCCCAGCAGCAGACAGGCCGAGTGACTCACGGTGATCATGATGGATGACTCTGGTCTCTGGTAGCGCACAGCGAGGTGGTGCGACAGATCGGTCACCAGCGTGTATTCGTCCTTGATCTGCAGAGAGATTAGCGGGCCGACAGCAGGGCTGCAGACTGCAGGAAGAAGGCGGGTGAAACATACAATAACGTTTGTGCGCAATTCGGCCACAATAGGTGCATCCTTGGTCACACGGTCGCGGGCAGAGGAGACGGTATCATCCTTGTAGGCAAATTGCTCCTCGTAGTACTGAGCACGACGGCGCGACCCACCACCGGTCGACTGCACGACAGGGCCACCAGATGTCGGGGGGTTCCGTGCAGCGATGGCAGCCATAGCAGTGGCCGGGCGGATGATTCTGGCATCGTCATGCTGGACCGTGTTCTCAGCAGCCTGCACCGACTTTGGAGACGATTCGAAGGAGAATGTCGATCGCGAGGGCGAGAGTTGCTCGCCGATGGGTTCGGGAGCTAGCAGGGTGTTGGCGCCGGTGGTGGGCCTAGGAGCAGCAGCGGCGACGGCGACGGCAGCGCTCGACGTCGACGTCGACGATGGACGTGACATGTTGTTAGCGTTCGGGAGTGATGTGGTGTCGGGGATGGCGTGGGGCATGCTCCAAGAAGCCAAAAAGGGAGGGCGACTGAAGTGGTGTGGTGGCCAGTGGTAGCGGGCGAGAACGGGGAGCCGTGGAATCTGGCTGTCGCTTTTGTCGTCGAGGCGAAGAGCTTCGACCTTATAGCAGAGTGATGGCTGAGTGAGTTCCGTAGCAAGAGTCCGTGCCTGCGAGTCTGGACGAGCTATCCTGCTACCTGTCTCTGGCTTGACCCAAGTAGGCAAATAGCGAAGTAACCGCGAGAGAGTCGGAGGGGTGTTTAAATAAGCAGTCGTACGTTATTCCGTGTGAAGGGAAGCCGAAGTTCTAGCCCTTGTTCACTCTCATTTGGGGGCGAGTAAACTGTGGATGAGGGGTATGAATGGTTGGGTAGGTACCAGGGCAGCGGCAGGAGGAGGAGGAATGCGCCGAGGCAGGCAGATGCGAAGTTGAAGAGAGAGGAACAAAGGACCAAACGTCGAGACGGATGAATGAATGAACGAACGAACGAATGAGTGGTTGGGGGGAGACGAGATGTTTTTATTCCATATATTGCGAGGCCAAGGGTGGGCTGCCGGGGGTCGGTCTATGGGTGGTTGCGGTGTACCGTGTCGTGTGCATCAATCAATACAGCGTCGGAGGGATGTTGGTACTTACATCACGTTTGATTTGCGGTGTAGCCGAGTCTGGATAGTTCTGTACCTATCTATGGATATACATGTATGTACAGTGCAGTACATGACAGCTGGAATGATGCTTTTCTGCTCTTATCATGTGCCGTCCGCCGGGGCCTCGTCCTCGTCCTGGCCTCACCACCAACGCCGCCGCCGCCATCATCTCCGTGACCAGCACACGCACGCTGAAGACGAAGCTACCCATCCATCTAAGCCCTCATGGGGAGACACCAAGACCACTAGCCCCCCCGCCTTATCTGCCCTTTCGGTAGTGCAGGTCCGTAGGGCTTGTTCATGGCTTGCGCCTCGGTCTGGAAATGGCATCGATCGTGTATCAAGCCTGCCAACCCGTACTGTCCTGAGCTGAAAAACTCAAAAGCGTCGCCAACCCTCGGCCTGACCCCATGGCCATACCAGACAGTGTGCATGTACATGTCTACATACGTGTGCATCGTGGCATCGGCACAAGTCGACAACAATACTACGAGCAAAGACAGGAAAAGTCCTGATTCAAGCCTCGTGGGCCCATGCTAGCGCTCAGGGTTCTCTTAGTCCATAGCTGTGTACTATGTACAGCACAGATGTCGTCGGTACTAATGGTGACTTAGCAAGCACTACTCATCTGGACCCCATCGCTTAGCTGCTGGAGTGACCAACTACGAAATTGCACTGACTACATACGTTGAAGTTTTTGACACATGGAGGCATCCTGTGAGCACCTTTGAATGCCATCGATCCCATACCGTGGAGACCCGTCCCATCATCTTGACCAAAAGCAACAAGAACGTCAATAACAACAACACTGCGAATTCCAGTCCGGTGCGCTTATCACACGGTGCCACCATGGCACCACCCGTTTTGTCCTATTGGCGCAACCACTCACTTGTTATCAACGCACATATGCAGCGTCGCCGTACAACCACATCAATCTCAATCGCTCGGCAGCTGCAGAGAATTGCGTCTTCGGTAATGCCGTCATACCCAGCACCAAACTGGTGTGCAAACTCATTGGCCGCCGCCATCAATCGACTTGTAAAGTCGAAACTGCTGCTACCGGGGTTGCATAGTACCACCTGCGCAACTTGTGTAGCCCCCGCTCATCAAAACTTCTCGTTTTGATACCTATGTGTATGATCCTTGAGTCTGCCAGTCGCTTGCAAGGAACGGTGCATGATCCCGACAACGTCAAAGGTAGCACGAGCGCTCCCCCCCTTCCCTCGACGAGGTCGTGAGAGACTAAAATCGTGTCCAACTGTCAACGTGCATGTATCCATCCATATTTCCTTTTTCACTAGTGGGTTTACATTCCCCAGTCAGAAGCGTGGGGACGATGACATAAGCAACGCCAGATCACGTGGGATTTCTTGGCTTTCCTTCCTTCCTAGGTGGACCGGCGCGTTGAACGCCATGGTTGGAGCTCACCCGGAGCCCTCCTACCCGCATAGCAACAGGCCAACAAACCTTCTTTGCGCTGTTCAACCACACAGTATGCCGCCAAAAGGTGCAGCAGACAATTCATCGCGCCGGAAAGCTGCCTCTTTCCAGCCGCCGCGACCTGTCAAGGGCCCCGCACAGCCATCTGCCACCACATCACGCTCCAACAACACCGCAAAAGCGGCAACATCCAGGGCAACGGTAGCCAATGCAACCGTCATCTCTTCAGACGAGGATCAAGATGATGATATGGACTTGCCGTCTGATTTTGACGAGTTCATGAAGGATGCATTGGCTGAAAACACCAGACCTGGGCCACCATTACCACCACCACCAGCAGCTGCTTCACTCCTGTCGGAACCACCGGTGCCCGCGGCTCTTTTGGCTAGGCTACTCCATGAGCACTTTGAAGACAAAGACACACAAATCCAGAAAGGTGCAATGAATCTGTTTGGCAACTATCTCAGTATCTTTGTGCGTGAAGCCATTGCGCGAGCGAGGAGCGAGCGCGACAGTGCGGCCAAAACCGGGGTGCGATCGGATGGGTTTCTGCAAGTTGAGGATCTAGAGAAGATAGCGCCACAGCTCGTCCTGGACTTTTGATCTTGTTGGCTAGTATCCACTATCATCGCTGTGGAGTGGCTCGATATATGGGTTCGATTGTCTGAATGAACAGTGATGGCTCGATTCGTTTGGGGAACTGTTCGTGGAAAGAAACGCTGGCCAATATACCCCAATTAACAAACAACGGAACCACGAACCAGAGTTTGTCGCTACTGGGACATGAATATTTCTCGAAATATCCCCCTTGCTTATTGGCTTATGCCTCGTGGTTCAGTCGCGACAAGGAGAAAGCGGTTTCACCATATGTGTTGTGGGTGAAGGAGGTATGTGTGACGGATGGGCGCCGTTGCCCGGACGTTTCGCAAAAACCTGTCACTTGGAGCGGTTTCTGTTCCCAATGCAGTTGACCAGGCATGAAGAACAAGATCGGTATAAACGGGTGGTAATCTCGCAAACGACGCTTCCGAACGGCTTGCACTTGGGAGATCTTAGCGCCGTTGCGAATGCAAGCGACGCGGGGTGGCTGAATCATTCTCAAACGCACATCGAACAGGGACTGTGTGGGCGAAGGACATCCCCCAACAACCTTGCCCCAACTCGAGATTTTGATGAATTTCATCATTGCTGCGCTCAGCGTTGCCTCTGGTCAACTGCACAATAGATAAGCATACAACTCAGCGTCTTATGAATCGATTGAATATAATATGAATACAGCATAGGAAGTGCACTGTATGTTTGCGTTGCATGTCCGGTCGTTGTCGCTTCCCGCTCGAATTCGGATCTGTAACAACCGAACGGGCGGCTGAAGCATGAACAGGTTCTGACATGTCGCAGACGTTGCTGCCCATGTGTCAGACAGGTACCGCTAGGCCTGGGCACACAAGTTTAGCCAACGTTCCGAGCTCAAGTTCATGCCTTAAAGATGCCCTATAGTCTGCTGCCTGACTACATTTTCATCCTCCATCCGCTTGTCTCTGTCGCGTTCTCTTCCATCTCTTCCAACTTATTTTTTCTTTCCACTTCCATTCCCTTCAATTCGTAATACCTGGCCAGTCCAGTTTAGAGCGCTAGCCGCCTATACATCCATTCACTCAACGCATCCATCTTAATAATCCACGACACTCTTTGGCCCAATCGTCCAACTTTACCTCAACCAAATAAAACACAAAATGTACTTCTCAAGAGCCGCCATTGCGTCCGCCCTCGTTGGGTTTGGAGCCGCAACCACACACTCAGCCGAAGCCGCCGCCGCGGCCGCCACCGGCGCAGTGCCAGCTGGAATGGTAGCTACGCACGTTGTTCAAGTCGGCTCCAATGGATCCCTCACCTTCAGCCCGGAGAACTTGAAGGCGAACGTGGGAGATCTCGTCCAGTTCCAGTTCCACCCCAAGGTCAGTTCGCCATCAGTGCGGTCACGACCAACACTTGCTCACCACTAAACAGAACCACTCCGTCGTCCAATCCACTTTCGACCAACCTTGTGTGCCTATTGTCAACGTACAGGGAGTCAACGCAACCAACGCCTTCTTCTCTGGTTTCATGCCCACCAATGCCTCCGTCACCGCGACCTCGCAAGTTCTCACATATACCATCCGTGTCATGGACACCAAGCCCGTATGGTACTACTGCTCGCAAGGCAAGCATTGCCAGGGTGGTATGGTCGGATCCATCAACGCGTACGTTGAGTCCCCATTGATGATGCTTTCCGCAAATGCTAATTGATTGCAGCGCTACTTCCGGTAACAAGACCATGTCAGCTTTCAAGGCTCTTGCAGCCAAGGCACCCGCAAACATCACCCCTAGCCAGGGATCTACCGGTTCCGGCTCCGGCTCTTCATCCAACGGCACTAGCTCTGGAACTCCATCTGGAAGCGGATCGGGAGCTGGCGGAGCTGGTGGAGCTGGAGGTGCTGCTGGAGGTGCTGGCGGCTCGGCCTCTGGAACCGCTGCCAACAGCCCAGCCGTACAAACCAACAACCCAGCAACCAGCCTCCAAGACAAGCAGTCCATGTTTGGTCTCTCCGTCGGTGTTCTCGCCGCGTTCTTGGTCTTGTAGAGTCTGGGAGGTGATTTTGTTTGTAGTTGAACGAGAGCATGGGCGCGAAGTAGCACATTTCGACAGGAGATGTACATCAATGATACCATTTGTGCGGCAGGAAAGGGCAACGCACGCAGTTGATTCAAGGAACGTGAAGAGGTGGAGCGTTCGGGCGTTTTTCATGATACTACTTGCGATTCAGACGTTGCGATTCAAGCGGCATTTATATTCGACGCTCAGCTAAAATCAAGACAGCGATAATAATTAAGAAATTTTCTATGTACAATTCAATTCCCATCGAGACTCTGATTGCCCCTCTCACCCACGTGTAAACGCTTTCTCGGATGACAACCCTCGAGACCAATACATATGTATTGTGGTTTGTTTGACGGTGAGCAGGAGGAGCGCGAGTGATTGGTGGAGATGAGGCCCTCTGGGAATAGACCCTGGTCTATCTCGGCTTGGCAGGCACGGATTGCGTCACACTGCATCCCACCGACCGAGATACAGGACAGGCGCAGTGCCAACGTGCGGCTTCCGTGCTTGACAACAATCGACCCTGCTTCGTGATTGCTTCCCTGATTTCGAGACCCACGTCGAGGGCCGCCTCCAGCGACTATAATCTGCTTGACACCCTCGACACAATGCCCTGCAAGCCCCTGACCCTTTTCTATTTCTCCTCATCTTTCACCTGATAGCTAGTATCCCATGCACACCTTCAAGTCGAGGGCGCGTGTTAGCCCAATCTCTATTGCTTCTACATGGCAAATATGGTCTGCGCTTTTCCTGCTGTCGTCTCTGCTACCTCTCGTCGATGGCATCCACCACATGTCTATCCGGCCACCACTCCGGCTAGCCATGCGGAAAGAGCCCATCACTCCGTTGCTAGTCACGAATAAGTGCCCCGAGACCATCTATCCCGGCATTTCCACACAATCAGGCGAGGGTCCAAAAGAAAACGGCTTCAAATTGGATCCTGGAGAGTCCAGCAATCAGACGGTGTCGGAAGATTGGCAAGGTCGTGTGTGGGGAAGAACAAATTGCTCCTTCAATGATGATGGGTCCGGGGCCAAAGACGGCGGCGCAAAAGCGTGCCGCACGGGCGACTGCGCTGGCATCGTGAATTGCAAGGTGGGCGTATGTTGTCGCCTACCCCAAATACCATTGGAAGTAACTTACCAGATCGTATAGGGCGATGTACCCGTTTCCCTCGCAGAATTCACACTCGATGCCGGTGACGGGCACACCTACTACGATATATCGTTGGTAGATGGCTACAACATTCCAATGGCCATAACCCTTCAGGCGCTTCAGAATGTCACCCTCGACGACATCCCTCCCAATCTGACCAATCCATCCTGCCAGGGCACCGCCGGTCTCCTCGCGCAGAAGGGGTACGACCCATACCCAGAGGATCCAAAGTTCTTGATGACCAACAGCTCATACCCTTTACCTTTCGAACAAGAGGTCGATGACCAGCAGATATCCCGATGGTGTCCGTGGGATTTGCAACAACAACCCCCAGATAAGCCTGGCGAGGGAGTGTATCCATATCCAGACGACAACATCGAAAGACCCCAGTTCAACCCTTGCTACTCGGCCTGCGCGAAGAACAACAAGCCAGAGGACTGTTGCACAGGGGAATACAACTCGCCCAGCTCATGTTCCCCCAGCGACTATTCAAAGTCGGTCAAGAAAGTCTGTCCAGACGCTTACAGTTATGGTACGTTGCACATTGTCCGTATATGAGTAGATTCCCTCGGTTGACAGTTCCGCTACAGCCTTCGATGATCAAACCTCCACTTTCATCATACCTTCTGGCGCTGGCTTCGAGGTTGTGTTTTGCCCTGGAGCCCGTTCCACCGATATCCTATCTACTGAGGCAGAAAAGATGCGCCAGCTTTCGCAAACGGGGAGCGTTTCAAAGGACACAAATGCGCAGTCCAAATTGATGATGTTGATGCCGAAAAGACTTAGAAGATATCTATTCTGAAGAAGTCAAGGGATCCAAAGAGATTAGTCCTTGATAGTGGCGGTTTTAGTTTTGTGTGTAAGCTTGAGATACCCTAAGCGCGCGTCGTCACGACTTCGAAATGTAGTCATTCTTCCCATTGCAATCGCTGCACTGTCAGTATCAATGTGTATTTGTGACTATCCTCCGATTATGATGAGATTGGATTACAGCCTGATGAAATCATGCAAATGCGACATACATGTCTACCTATTATGTCAGACTTTCGCACCTTCGAAAGCACCACCAAGCACAGCATACGGGCCGAGATGTGACGAAATTGTTTGTGTCCCGGAGCTTCTCACCCCGCTTCTCCCCAGCAGCCACTGAGGCTCCCCGCAACAAAATCGATGGCTTCACCACCCCCAAGTTTCTCCTCCGTAACCAAGCGGACTTTAGTACAGAGAAACAAATGCCGTCTAAACTGCATTGAGCACGGAACGAACCAAGGGCCGCGCCCGAATAGGAAATGCAGATGCATGCAAGTGGATTTCAAAAACCGAAAAAGCACAAAAAACAAGCCGTGATTAGAGGAAGACATACAAAGATGCGAAACAATCCGCCATGTGGAGCCAAACGGCGCGTGAATTCATCCCCGTTGTTGCCGCGGGACATGCGCTCGGGTCAGTGGCACCACGATGATGCTCTGCAGCTGGGGGCAGGAGCGGCATATGTAGCGGAGCAGACACGGCTTGGACTTGGAAAGATGCTCTCTTTTAAGACCTTCTGCCCTCGTCTTCCCTCTGCCAGCCTCCTCGTAGTTTCTATCCTCTCTCCTGCTCTCTACTTGACGCTGTGAAGCTAGTCATCTTTGGGCATAGCTCGAGCTTCAAGAACCCCTCTGCCCAACGCCTCGTCACCACTCATCATGACTACCGCCAAGACCGTCGTTGATTTGACGCATGGATGGACCTTCAAGCAAGCCGATGATAGCTCAGACGACGCTTGGTTGCCCGTGAAGCGCGTACCCACCAATGTCCACTTGGATCTCATACATCACCAAAGGTACGTCACAGCCTGAGGGTTGTGGAAACCCTCCCTCCCGGACTAGCAATGCGCTTTCCGATCCGGGAAGAGCACTCGTTGTCTTGTCAAGATGAAAATACAAGACTTGGTTTTTGCAATTGCGCGACTAAGGTCTGTTTGTGCTTTGTGCGCATAGGATTCCTGATCCCTTCCTTGGTTTCAACGAACTCGAAGCCGAGTGGGTAGCGGATAAAGCATGGGTATACAAAGTGACGCTCCCACGCGTCGACCCGTCGCAGCTCCTTCGGGATGACACTGTCCATGTCCTCGCTTTCGATGGGTTGGATACGTTTGCAACTGTTCGCCTCAACGGGAAAACGGTACTGGAGAGCGATAACATGTTCGTGCCGCACCGCGTGCCCATCACCAACAAGCTCGCAAAGGACACCGACAACGTGTTGGAGATTGAGTTCAAGTCGGCGAGACTGGAGGCAATCAAGATCAAGGAAGCTCATCCGGAGCACAAGTGGGTTGGTTTCAACGGCGACATGTCGAGGCTTGCGGTGAGGAAAGCGCAGTACCACTGGTAAGCCTCCCCTTGCTTTCATCGTTCCAGTGCCAGTTTCGTCACGAGATAGGCCTCCCCTCGTGAATTCGGCCTGCTCTTGTTACTGATGAGATCCAGGGGTTGGGATTGGGGACCAATCTTAAACACGTGCGGTCCATGGCGAGCCGTGCGATTAGAAACATACGAGTCGAGAATTTCTGATTTGCGCGTTGACTACGAGCTCTACGATGATCTTCGGTCTGCCAGGGGTGATATATCAGTAAAGGTGGAAGGCCCATCAGCCAAGGAAATGTTATTCGAAGTCCGATACGGAAAAGACGTGGTCTTTCAAGAATCTGCAACCGTGCAGGACGGCGAGGCTCGAATCAACTTCCACGTGGGCAGCGTGCAACTGTGGTACCCGCACGGCTATGGAAAGCAGCCCCTCTATACGGTGACGGCAATCGCATCTGCAGCTGGCACGAAACTTGACGAAGCCACGCGACGAGTGGGATTCCGCAAAGGTGAACTTGTGCAGGAACCGGATGAAGTCGGCAAGACGTTTTTCTTCCGCATCAATGGAATCGATGTCTTCTGCGGAGGCTCTGATTGGATCCCGGCAGATTCGTTCACGCCCAGGGTGACAGAGGATAAATATCGAAAGTGGCTGGAAATGATGATTGATGGTTTCCAGGTCATGATCCGGTATGTACCTAACCTTTCGGTTTTCCACCCTTTTGCCCATTGTTTGTCCCCATGTATTATTCGTTGCTCGGTGGGTTTTTGCAGATTGGCCAAACCGCCTAATGGCGCGTTGTCACTTGGTCCTCAATGGCGGAGCGCGAACCAACAATGCAAGGAACTCAGCATGCATTCAGCACAGGCGATTTTTGAAGCGCAAAGCACCTTGTCAGCTGGTTCGTGAAGAAACTAACCGAGCCGCAGCATCTGGGGTGGTGGTATATGGGAGGAAGACGTATTCTACGATTTGTGCGATGAGCTGGGTATTCTCGTGTGGCAGGATTTTATGTTTGGCTGTGGAAATTATCCAGCCTTCCCCAGAATCTTGCAGTCGATACGGGATGAGTGCACTGCCAATGTGGCCCGGCTTCGACATCATCCGTCTGTTGTCATCTACGCTGGCAACAATGAGGACTATCAAGTGCAGGAATCGTTTGGTCTAACATACAACTACGAGGATAAAGATCCCCAGAATTGGCTCAAGACAGATTTCCCGGCTAGGTATATCTATGAAAAGGTATGGGGGAACCATGTCGCTTCTCGTGTCGAAGCTGCTGACCCAGCATGTTATGCAGCTGTTACCCGAGGTCGTGTCCGCCGAAAGCCCCCATGTCGCGTACCACCCCGGAAGTCCATGGGGAGATGGCCTGAAGACGTCGAATAAGACGGTTGGTGACATGCATCAATGGAATGGTGAGAGTTCGGTTACCAAACGAGGTCGTATCTGAGTCTAATCATACATTTCATGGCTAGTGTGGCATGGTACGCAGGAAAAGTATCAGATCTTCGATACGTTAGGAGGGCGATTCAACAGCGAATTTGGCATGGAAGCCTTCCCGCACATCGACACGATCAAACACTACTGCACGGACTCAACGCAACTATACCCACAATCGCATATGCTTGACTTCCACAACAAAGCAGACGGACATGAGCGACGGATCGCCACGTATTTGGTGGAAAATTTTCGGACACAGACTGATCTTGAGGTAGGCATTGACTGACGCTCACAGCTAACTATGTAGTGAGCGATACCATGAAAATTATAGCTAAGCACGCGACAGGCATTCATTCACTTGACACAGCTTTCGCAGGCCGAGGCGCTGATGTTTGGGTACCGTGGATGGCGACGACAGTGGGGTCAGAAGCGGTTGTGCGGGGGCGCGCTTGTATGGCAGCTGAACGACTGCTGGCCCGTCACATCGTGGTCGATTGTGGACTACTTCTTGCGCAAAAAGCCCGCCTACTACGCCATGCGGCGGGTCTTGGCGCCTGTGGCCGTGGCGGTAAAACGTGCGCATCATGACTGGAGCGTGGTTCATGCTCGAGCACCCAAGACGAGCGATTACGAGCTGTGGGTCGCGAGCAGTCAAGGCGAGGAGCTGACGGCGACGGTGGAGCTACGGTTCATATCCATTGCAACAGGGGAAGAGATTAAAGACAAAGTGGTCAAGCAAGACATCAAGCTGGTGGCGAACGGTACCACGGATGTTCTGGCAGGGTCGATTGACAATGTAAACGAAGAGCCGCACGTGCTGGCGGCCAGAATCTGGATCGGGGACGAGGTGGTCTCGCGCGATACCGACTGGCCGCAGCCGCTGAAATATCTGGACCTGTCGGACCGCGGGGTGCAGGTGCGACCGCAGGGCAACACCATGATTGTCACGGCGAAGAAACCCACCAAAGGTTTGGTGTTTGAGGAGAGGGAAGGGGTTTTGGTTCACGACAGCGCGATTGACGTGGTGCCGGGCGACAGGCAAGTGATTGTAGTGAGAGGGCTCGGACCAAGTGATGGGCCGCTCAAGTGGAGGCATCTGGGACTGGGTTGATGCGGGGGGCGGAAGGGAGGGCGGTAGGAAAATGTGGAGGAGGTGGCCTGTCCGCAGATGCAGGCAGGATGCAGGCTCGACCGAAGACGGCGGCTGATGGACGGCCAGGATGGCAGAAGAGAAGAGAGGCAGTGGTTATTGGACAGGGTATATGTGGTTGAAGTATAGGGTGTGGTGGTGGTAGGTGCCTGGCAGGAGAATGTCAGGGCTGTCATTCGAGGTAGCGTCATGCGGATGCAATCAAAGCGGTGGTAGAGGGTCGGGCATGGCCGCGTGTGGTGGATTTGGGGTGCAAACAAGACAAGGCCCAGCATCGCCAGACCCTCCAGACCTGGACATCGGATTCTTTGGTGGCTGGCTTTACGAGGCCGTGCTGGCGAGTAGCCTTCCTGCACCTGCCGGCATTCGGGAGCGAGGCCCGCCGTTCGCACGCTGCCCCCCAGCAAACCATCTATGTATGTAGTATGTAGGTAGGTAGGTAGCATGCCTGTTATGTATGTACAGTACCTTCGCAGCCAGCCAGCCAGCCAGCCAGCCAGCCAGCCAGCCAGATCAAGACGATGGCTTCCCACTGCGTGATTCATCATCGAGACTGGATGCATGCGTGCGGGCTTGCCTGGGCTGGGTCAGCCAGGTCTCGGGCATATTTTCCTGTTTGTTTTTATCCTGCATCTTCCTCCTGACTTTCTCTTTGGGGGGGTGTTGGAGATGAAGGGTGATGGGAAATGGGACACGGCATGAACGAGGGCGGGCAAGAGTGGATTCACGTCGTGTTCCTTTGGTATGCGCAAGTGCTCGGTGGAGCATGTAGAGACCAAGGGACCAAGGGACATGGAGTAGCAATTAGCAGTAAGCAAGCTCAGCGATGTAGCCATTTGCAGCTAGTCAGCCGGGCTGCCAGTAAGACAAGAAGGCCCAGGGAAGGAAGGAAGGATGGATGGATGGAATAGAAGGAAAGCAGAGGGAAGGGGCGGAAGGCGCAATTCTCAACGGGCTTGCATACATTCCCTCTCCCTCCCCGGTTAACACCACCAACACGTCCATGGCCATGATGATGATGGTAATACGAATAACAATAGCAGCCACCGCCATCATCACGCTTGATTGCCTGCTTGCTTGTTCGGTCGAGGCCAACCAAATAAAAAATAAAAAAATACCAGCGCTACCTCGCCAAGTACCAACGTGTACATGGCCGTCTACACACCACCATGTACCCCCCTTGTACCCATCTCTTCGTCCCGCCCCGCCCATCCATCTCATCAGCCCTTCCGAGTCTAACGACTAGCAACTACGTATGTGTGTGTGCGCGGATGTACTTGGATATGTACTTGGTATGGGTGGCTGCCATATATGCCTGCATACACATGTACATGCTTGCCTGCCTGCTTGCTTGCTTGCTTGCGTGGGCCCTCCGCCCTCTCATCTCCTCGCTTTTCGCCTTTTGCATCATCTCTCCTGCTTCTTTTTCCCTTTTCTCCCTCGCTGCGAGTCAAGTGCCTACCCCCCGCCCCGGTTGCTCCAAGACTCGACTACCCCAGACCATATAAATCACCCGGAGCCTGCCAGCCTATAATGCGGGGATTAAGCATCTGAATTCCCACCACATCAACCTCCACCATCACTTCTGCCCTACCCGTCCCCTACTTTACCTATCCATTGTCTGTCCTCCGCCATGGCCACCCGCTCGCTCCTGCTCCTCATCTCTACAGCCTGAAGACGCTGCCTCACGGATCCTGCATGGCCCTGGGGTTGCAAACATCTGACACCCATTTCCCTGCCTGCTTCACTTCGCTTTCTATATATACTTACCTACATATAGCCGCCCGTCTTTTCTTCTCGGCCGCCCAGCTCTGCTATCTTGTTCTGCTTGCCCCATTGTTTTTCTTTTCTTCTTTCTGCTACATCGAACCACTGCTTGCCGGGGTCTCGCGCTCAACTCGTCCCATATAGTACGTAGTCCTATTTTGGCGACTCTCATCCCTCCGCTGCCCCGGAGCACGTCCTCCAACATGTTCCACACTTTTCAATCATCCTCCGGCCTGCGGTCGCCTGGCACAGACGATGGTCTCTCGGGGAAGCCCGCACGCGCAGCCGGTTCCCGCCGGATTTCAACGAGCAACGCCTGCGTTGAATGCAGAAGACGCAAGATCCGCTGTGACGGATCGCAGCCCTGCGGTCAGTGCCAGTGGTACCAACATCCCGAAGCATGCGGCTACTCCAAGCCTGCGCAGAGAATTGTACCCAGCAGGAAGTAAGCGTCTTGCATCACTTGAGAGTGAACCTAGCTGAACCGAGGCAGGCTGGTCGACAAGTTATCCACCAACATTGAGCAATACAAGGCTATCTTGGCCAAATTGTACCCCTCCAAAGAGCTCGACACACTCGTTGCCTTGCCACGAGAAGAACTCTTGGAGCTGGCATTGTCTTCCCCAGGGTCTGCCCGGTACACCTCTCCATCCACGGCCGAGACAAAGGCCATCTCCGACGTCACTCTGGGGTCCGATGGCGCTGAAAGTCTGGAGGCCCTCGAGCAGGCACCCCCAGAAGACCCATTTTGGGACGAAGCTCGAAAGCACCAGGTCCGTATCCAAGGTATCTCAGACGATGTCAATGGTCTCTCCATGTCTGTTGATCGCATGTCCTCTTACGTTGGCATCTCCTCCATTACAGCCGCCCTCAAAGTGATTGTCAGATGTGCTCCTCAAGTCCGACCGCTCATCGCTCACAGCAACAACGAAACTATGGGACCGAGCAGAGCTGCATCTCCACCACCCGAAGCTGCCGACAGCATACTGGACGCTTTGCCCCCACCTTCCCAGGGCCAAGAGCTGATCGAGTCGTACTTTGAACGCATCCACCCTTTCTGCCCGCTAATTGAAGAACGCAAGTTCTGGTCCACGTACCTGTACGGCGACAGGAGAGACTCGCCGTGGCTGGGTCTCTTGAATATGGTATTTGCATTGGGGTCTCTTGCATCTTCGACAGCAGATAACGAGATGCACTACATCTACTACAACCGATCACGAACGCACTTGAACTTGGAGTCGTTTGGAAGCGGCAATCTCGAGGTTCTTCAAGCTCTCGCCATCATGAGTGGGTACTATATGCATTATTTGAATCGACCCAACGAGGCTCATTCACTCATGGGTGCCACTCTTCGAATGGCAACAGCACTAGGCTTGCATCGGGAGTACTCTGAAGGCACGAAGAGCGATGAAAACAGGCACCTCAACTTGCTGACATCGACCGAAGAAATCTCCATATCACCCGAAATGAGGAGACGGATATGGTGGAGTCTTTTCTGCTTGGATTCATGGGCATCTACAACCACCGGAAGGCCGTCTCTGGGGAGAACGGGACCTTCCATAACCGTGCTGTTGCCCGGAACTTCTCGAAGCTCGGTACGTTGACCACCTTCCCAGCCAGGCAGATCGGTACAGCGATCTATCTACAGGGCAAGCCATCTACCTCATGCTAACCGACAGCAGAACATCGAGCAACTCAAGGTACTACCGCTGGTCCACGCCGCCCAATTCTGCAAGATTTCTACCAGAATCCAAGATCGCCTGGTGGAATCCCCGCTTCTTTCGCCCTCGGAAACGGCGTCACACGATGCTGAGATCGTCAAGTGGCACGATGAACTTCCCATAATCCTCTCGGATGTGGATGAGTCTTGTCCCGAGTTCCTACGCCGTGTGCGATTTGTGATGAAATGGCGGTTTCAAAATCTGCGCATCGTACTCCACAGGCCATTCCTCTTGAGCGCAGCTCTGCGAAGATGCCCCTTCAACGACTTGAGTGCCGACGAGAAGGTTGCGGTAGGCAAGTGCCGCATACTCGCGGCAAAGACGATCGAGGATATGTCGAACGAATGCCAACCCGATCTCATATCAGGCTGGAATGCAGTATGGTTCGTGTTCCAGGCATGCATGGTGCCGCTGGTGTCCTTGTTTAGCGATACGAGCATGCCGGAGGAAGTACGAAAGTGGATGGCCACCATTGAAACGGCGATAGCCTTCTTCGAAAGATCCAAGCCATGGAGTATCGCAGCCAAGCGCAGTATGGACGCTGTAGCTAAACTCTACCAGGCCTACAAAATACAGGCTTCCACGCAAGGCCAATCAGAGCCTGGACAGCCTGCCATCCCTGTCAGTCAACCGCCTCCGTTTGCTCACCACATGCAAGGTCTGGGTGGGTTTGAATTCGACCATGTTCATGAAGGGTCCAACTTCGCGATGCACCCTGGCGCAGTGGGTGGGTGGGGTGCGGATGCGAATGCCGTCGGCACCAACCTCAGCGGTTTCTGGGACGAGATGCTGTGGGACACCAATCTGCCAGACATGATGGACCCGCCATATATGGGAATGACCACAGACTACGACTTCCAGAACAGCGCGCCAGAAAAAGGGCCGCTGTGGATGGGCGGCATGTAGCTTCACAGGGTGCTGGCACACCTCGTTCCGCAATCTTCGGTGGAAAGGAACGCCATCGCCAAGATGATGATGCGGTGGACGCCTTCCCGATCTGGCTTTGTAAAAGCACGGCATGCATTTATAGGAGTCTTTGTTCTGCTCGCCGTTATACATCACGATTTCCATTCACGGCCCGTACATAGGTTTGCAGTCGCTTTTCCATTCTTTATATCTTGGGTATATACGTATGATTTTTGTTTGTTGCGCAAACGTGTTTTTGTATTTCTATTGTCGACGGGAACGATTGTCCACCCGGCTGCATTCTGCTCGTTGGCTTGCATATCTAGAGTGCTCTACATGATAAAAGTTGTTTAGTTTTGGTCCAATGGCCTGGCAATTGAACGCACATGGGTTTTGAATTTGCTGGCAATATATCAGAGGCAGCGTACAAGTGGAGAAACGGCATGGGTCTGCAAACGACAAATACGAACACTCGCGACGAGGGCATACTTAGCCACGGTACACATTGATCTTTTGCGCTTGCTATAAATACGGTGTTGACAGGGGTCTGTCCTTCTTGACCCCAGGGGCCTTGGTGCAGTAGACGTGGTCTTGCGGCAAGAAGCTTGCATGTGCAGCTGGAGCTTACGAGGAATGTTTTACTGCACACTTGTCTGGGCTTATGTGCATGTGCGATGTGATGTAATGTCGGTATATGGGCACGCGAAGCTTACGGACTGGCATCGCGATGGCCTCTTGGATACTTATGCTGTGGTACTGTGATACCAAGGACTCTGAAATGATACCGACCATCTGGAAACGGCATTAGATAGGATGGTATTGTGCGTGCAGAGGAGATGGAGTCGAGGGTTTGCTCGTGTGCTGTGTCGCACTTTACCCGCTACTGTACCGTGCATTCTCCCTTCGCAGCCAAATCGCATCAATTCGCCTGCCTTAACAGAGTCATGATAAGAATGCTCGTAGCCAACTGAAGATGGGCTCTCCGCCTTTCGGTGCTCTACTCATCCTCCTCAAAAGCCTAAATGCAGCAGCATGTGTCGTGGTGGTGCATACTGCTGCGTCGTCGCATTCACCCAGCACCCAGCTCCTTCTCTTCGCCAACTGATCAAGCCGGGTCAGATGGGGGGTGGATATTCCCATCAGAGCGCTCACGACTCGCTGCTTGCCTCATCCTTCCCAGAAACTTGGGCTAGGCAGACAAGCGACGAGATTGATGCATCCGACTCGATATTAACAGCATCTGCTCGTGGGGACCTGGAGGTGACCACGGGCCGGGTTGGGGGGTACATGTGTGATGCTACTCCTCATGTACCGGGAGGTAGTGACTGCAAGGGAATTGCGGGGTGGATATTAAGGATATATGAGATGCACACGCAGCGGAAGTGTTGATGGTGGGGCTGTTATTGCGACCGGGGGGGGGGAGGCGTGTGTCTGCCGACGCGGGCATGTTCCCTGGTTGATATTGGGATGGCTCTTCGACGGGGCTTCTGGAATGAATGGATGAATGAAGGAATGAGCGAGCGAGTGAGTCTGATAGACATGTCGTGGAACCATCAGCAGCTGGTCTCGCCATTCGCTCGTGAGATGCTCGGGCCTTTTGGGCGCGATCGACCGCCTTAGCGGTCGGAAAGCTTAGTTCCCCTCGGAAGGCGGCGTGCTTGTCTCCTGACATTTTCTACTCAAGCTTCTCCTGAATTTGTTTTCAAGTTTGCAGGTGGTCATAATCAGTCGGCGCCCGTCTACACAGCTGCTCGCCTCTCTCTTGTCATTCATTCGCACTGCTGTGCCCTTTTCCCCTTCGACTCCTAGTTTGGCTCTCGCCCCTGTTTGCTTTCCGCCACCTGTGTAATTCGCTTTCCGCGCCATCCGGTTGCAATTTCGCCTCCATCTTTTTTATTGCTACACCTCCTCTACCGCCGCTGCCCTTCGGAATCACCATCCACAGGAATCTTTTTCCCCATCTACAGTATTCTGGGTCCGCGCCGACGAACCGACCCATCAACTGCTGCTGCTGCTACTGCTGCTGCCACCATGCCCGCCCGCACACTTCCCACCATCCCGGCCGCCGAAGTCCAGGCACACAATTCGCAAAAGAGCTGTTATGTCACGATTGGTGCAAAAGTCTACGATGTCACTTCCTTCCTCTCCGACCACCCCGGTGGCGGCGATCTGATCTTGGAGTACGGTGGCAAGGATGTCAAAGAGATCATGGAGGACGAGGTATCGCATACCCATTCAGAGGCTGCCTATGAGATCCTCGACGAGAGTCTGGTTGGATTCATGCCAACGGAACCCATTCTGAACGGCGCTACCAAGAGCTCGAAGCCTGCGGAAATCGTGCCCCTCCCACCGTCGAAACAAGGCCAAGCCGAATTGAGCATTCACGAGCCACTTTATGCCGCCACAGGCATGTCCTCGGCGGAAGACATGGAGAAGGAGACGGACGTGACCAGCGACTACAAGACTCACAAATTTCTTGACCTTTCACGACCGTTGTTCATGCAAGTGTGGAACGGAGGGTTTGACAAAGACTTCTATCTAGAGCAAGTCCACAGGCCTCGACACTACAGAGGTGGCGACTCTGCCCCCCTCTTTGGCAACTTCCTGGAGCCATTGAGCAAGACTCCTTGGTGGATCGTCCCATTGTTCTGGATACCGCCGTCCATGTTCGGTACCTGGTGGGGTAGTTCGTCTTTGGGGTTGGGGCCGACTGTGGGTTATTGGGTGTTTGGTGTCTTCTTCTGGACAATCATAGAATACACCTTACACAGGTGTTTGTTCCATCTGGACTAGTGAGTGCAATCTTCACCCGGTACCAGGTATCGTTGACTGAACGCTGACTGAGAACTAGCTATTTGCCTAACAATCGTGTCGCCATCACCGCGCACTTCCTGCTCCACGGCATTCACCATTACCTTCCTATGGATAAATACAGGCTGGTCATGCCGCCCACACTGTTCAGCGTTCTGGCAGCTCCGTTCTGGAAGGTCGCTCATGGCATCATATTCTGGAACTACCAAGCGGCTATGGTGGCCTATTGCGGCGGCATCTTTGGTTATGTCTGTTACGATTGCACCCACTACTTCTTGCACCACCGCAGGTACGTGAAATTCTTCAAACATCAACTTTTGCAAAACATGAAGCTTACATTTGCCCTAGTCTCCCTGCGTACTACCAATCCCTAAAGAAATACCACCTCGCCCACCACTTCGCCGATTACGAGAATGGCTTCGGGGTCACAAGCCGCTTCTGGGACAGGATATTCGGCACGGAGATTGCCATGCCGGCGCCAAAGGTGGTCAAATCGAACTAGATCTGTTTTATTGACGAATTTTTATGTCGTATTGATTGACCCGGGCTTGAATGGTCGGCTTTTACTTTCAGCTCAGTCATGTAATAGTATAATAGTATAATAACATGAAATTATCTCCATCATAATTCTACCTTGGAACATGTATCGACCTGACTACGAACGACAGACTCTGCTTCTGTCGTCTTCGATAGTTCCCAGAGTGTGTCGATCTCAACACAATCGAGTAGCCCAAAGACAGGAACTCTTAGTGGGCGACAGAACAGCAGGCTGCTCAGCGAAGCCACACGCCCTACTTCTGATTACTACACTTTAAGATAGCAAACCAGTTGACGCCGTTGCATGCAATCGCAAAATCCCAATGGGGTCAGTGGTTCGCCAAATCAGCATTCGATGTGAAGGCAGTTCATCCATACAGCGCCTCGCACTAAGTCGATTAAACAGATAAATGTTACAGTTGTAGGTTTCTGATACGAGTCGTCAGGCACTATGCTCAAGGTCGACCGCTAGATTACGGCATACTTTGATTCACCAACCAATAAAGCGAATCCCAGACCGATGCGTATCTGACTGGACCTTTTTTCCGCCGTCACCTTGAGTCTAGGCGCACGTGCGGGGGTATTCGACGTGACGGGTCGCGCCAAGCCACTAGTGGCAGCTGCCTGTATTACTCCAGCGAAACTTCTCCCCTCGACACACAACAACTTCTCCTCACTGAATTACCCCACCATATACTCAATCTGCCTGCACCCAGTGCCACCACCCACAACAATGGCTACTGCTATGGACATCGAGTCCCTCCTCGACGAGGTCAAGCGCGAGCAGGAAGAGAAGGAGCGAGCCGCCGCAGCTGTCGCCGCCGCTTCCACCAACGCCGACAACTCTCGCAACGATGCACGCCGTCAGGATCGCGACCGCGATCGCACCCGTGATCGTGACCGAGACTACGACCGAGACCGTTCGCGCCGCTACGACCGCTACGACAGCAACCGATACGATCGGGACCGCTACGACCGTGGCCGCGGAGACCGAGCATATGAGACATATCGTGAGTCGAATGGAGAGAATAGTAAATCTAGACTAGGCAGCGAAGATCAAGACAAGGATCAAGAGCTAGGAGAGAAGGAGGAAAGCCGGACTCATTCGAACAAAGGTGCTGACACCGATGAAGACCATGGAGACAGGTACCGACGCAGCTCCTCGCTTGACCGCTACCGTGGCGACCGTGGTGGCCGTGATGACCGTGGTGGTCGCGGTGATCGTGGAGGTCGTTATGATCGAGGTGGCCGGGATGACCGTGGAAGCCGTCGTGACCGTGGTGACTATTACTCAGGTGGAGGACGCAATAGATCCCGCTCCCCTCGTCGTGAGCGCTCTCGCGATCGTGATGAGCAACGCCCGGTCCGCATTCGCGAGCGCTCCCGTGAGCCCCGCCGCCGCCGCACCCCGTCTCCCCAAATGGCCAATGATGAGAATCGCGACAAACGTACCATCTTCGTTACCCAGATTGCTGCACGCGTTGAGCACCGTCATCTTCGCCAGTTCTTCGAGAGCGTTGGAGAAGTCATCGACGCGCAGATTGTGAAGGATCGTGTCAGCGGACGTTCTAAAGGGTATGTTCTTGACTACATCACATTGTTTATTCTTCTGCTAAACATCCGCAGTGTCGGCTACGTCGAGTTCAAGGATGAATCTTCGGTCCTCAAGGCTATCGAGCTTACCGGCCGCCTTCTCAAGAATGTCCCAGTCATCGTTCAGCATACTGAGGCAGAGAAGAACCGCGCCTCCCGTCCCACCGCGACTGGTGAAGGTGGCGCTGCTACCAGCAATAACGGCGCGCCATTCCATCGCTTGTTTGTAGGCAATATTCACTTCAGTGTGACTGAAGACGATCTCAAGGACGTCTTCTCCCCTTTCGGAGCGATCGAGCAGATCACTCTCCAGCGCGACGATAAGATGGCGACTCGCTCCAAGGGCTATGGCTTTGTCCAGTAAGTTCTGTCTACTTGGATATGGAGCCCTCCAAGCTAACGGTTGTGCAGGTTCGCCGATCCTCGTGATGCCAAAGAGGCTCTCCGTGAGATGAACAGCTTCGAGCTGGCCGGACGTCAGATCCGCGTCGGTCTTGGTAACGACAAATTCACACCCGAGTCTACTGCTCAACTCCTACGCAATTTTCCTGCCCAGGCCGCGAACTACCAAGGATCCGCGTTCAGCGGTGCCGGAGGTCGTGGCGCGTATGCCGGAGGTTCAGGTGGTGCCTTCGACCGCACCAACGGCCGTGACGATCGCGGTGTGAGCGGAGCTTCCGCCTTGGATGATACTGATATGTCAGGCATTGACTATCGACACGTCGATCGCCACAAGTTGATGACCAACCTGGCTCGCGATCAGGTCGAAGTCCCTGTGGCCGCTAGCTCCCAGATAAGCAAGGCGAAGGCAACTGTCGTCGAATTTCCCCAGCCGTCCACCGGCATCAAAATTGAGAACGCGTTCGACCCTGAACAGTAAGTTGTTATTCCGTTTCGTAAAAGAACCAAGAGATACTAACATGCACAGGGAGTTCAAGCAGTTCGGCCCAAGCTGGGCCAAACAGCTTGAATCTGAAGTCAAGGATGAGTGCGCCCGAAAGTACGGCAAGGTCGTCCACGTGGCTGCCGACCCTAACACGGACGGCGAGATTTACGTCAAGTTCTCAGATTTGAATGGCAGCAAGAAAGCCCTTCAAGGTCTGAACGGACGTGGGTTCAACAACCGCGTCATTCGAGCGTCGTACGTCGTGGACTTTGTCTACGAGTCGCTCTACGGTGCTGCCATCAAGAAGCACTAGGTCACTGTTCTCAAGCTCGCCTTGGTACGTATGCACTTTGTGTGGCTGGTCTGTCAGTTGCCACCCGACAGACTATGCATCATTCCCCTTTCCTTACACAACACGGCGGAGATTTCGGGTTCGGATGGCGTTTCGGAGTAGGATCTGCGGTGGGTTCATGGCGTAAGTCGCATGGGAACCTTTCTTGCTATCGGGCTGTATAATACTTTAGGGCGTGCGGGTTTCTTGCTTGAGCCTTGTGCTTCCTACTGCACTGGTGAAAAGTGTTTTCGGTATGTTCTGTGGAGGACTCTCTGGCAAGATCTTACGCTTTGCAGTAGGACACTCGCAGACAGCGCATCTGCAACTGGCTACATTCAGCGGAGGATAGGACAGCCGGGGACGTTGGCTGCTAATAGTTTCTAGGCTCGTTATGGCCTTCTATGTCCGGCCGCCAGCAGAATTGATCGATAAAGCTTCAAGGCGTGGGTATATGTATCGTGAAACGTCCAAGGCGGTGGTGTGTTATGACCCTATCCCCGGGACATGTGCCTAACTAGTGGTATACAGAACTACCGTCGTCTATTCTATGATTCCTTCAGAAAGAAGGTGAACACCTGCCTTTGTAAACCCTGCATGCTGATATGCCAATAGCTATATACGTCTCATTTCCGCTGAAGCTAACTCTAGGTCCCACCGGCATCACCTATCACCTCACCGTGTGTCGCCCACCTTGTGCTGCGATGAATACACCACATTGCACAACAAATCTCCGTCTTGATAGTCACTCATTCGCACACTTACCACACTTTAGCCACAGCGGATTGTCACAAGCCTCCTGCACAGCTGGACATTGACATTCATGAAACTTGTCGCTATTCTCCACTTGCTTTTCGGTCGGCCTCTGTACAATACCGTCTCTTCACTGTTTAATGACACGCTGTGTCCGTCGTTTTCCCATGATGGGGCACGAATCATCACTGGCTGCTGCCAACTTATCTTTCTCCGTCCTCTTCATGGAACAGAGTGCGAATCAAAGGGACACTGGTGTAGAATCTCTCTACACCATCTCCTATCCGATTGCTGCTATGGAATCAAGCGAATCTTTCCGTCAGCTGTGCTGTACGAGTGCTTGGAATTGCGTGTCTGGAATAAAATGAATTGGCGAGTTTGTGGCTATTTGCCGTGGAACAAGAGTGGAGAGGCGAAGATAGGAGTAGAAGTATGTAGCTAGCAAATAGCAGATATGTCTGACATTGTATAACGGAGATTTTTGCTTTGCAAGCTGATAATGATTGATCAAACTCGATGGTAATCCTCTCAATATTGATGTTGAAGGGTTCGCGGCGGTGCGTGGGTGTCAGGGTAGGTGCCAGGATGAGTGGCATTGTGGGCAGGTAGGACAGGGTTAATAGAAGTAGAAAGCCTTGTGCGAACTCTGCTGTAGCTCTTATATTAGAGGGCGACAAGCGTACTGTAGTTCCTAACCTTAACATTACTAATCCGTACATCTCCACTGGATCGTGGGACGTCGTATACGTCACTACGTCAAATGCGCTCAATGATTGATCAATCGGTTCTGCTGTAGTGTTGATTATGTGCTTGTCTTGTTTTCCTCTTCTTCCTACTCCCATGGGCATAGCGTTGGGTTATCTCATAGCCACACGCATTGAACAACGACATAAGTTCAGGAACGAGTATATATGTTTATGTGACAGTATTGGAATACTTTTCCTTGTCGAGTTCCACTTGTAACCTCAGTTATTCATCGGAAGACTAGACATGGAGATCATGAAATCACTACACTAACTACAGGGACCTGGAAGAGAGCAGTGACGCTTCGCGGAAGCGTAATTGAATCTCAACTAGACTCGAATGCTGTGAAAAGTGATGCTAGCAATGGTAGGTTTGAAGTTGGTTTGCTGTTTGTTGTTGGTTATGGCAAGAGGCAGTGATGTATGAGTAAACATCGCCGTGTATCTCGCAGGTTAGGTTGGTATGTGGAGAGGGATATCGGGCATTGATATCCCTAGGTAGTGAAAACAAATCTTTGTATGACAGTGGATGATGAGGAGATGATGATAGAACTAAATATCCAGGGTGCTGTTCTGTGTAAGCAGGCTGATATTGATACAAGGTCCATTGGTATATCTGTTGCAATGTACGATCTATTATCTCTTTCTAGGAGGATTTCTGCCTTACGAGATGTGTCTCTTGATCAGACTAAGGGAACTTAGTAGAGGGAGATTGATAGGTAGAGATGGCTCAGAGGTGGAAATTTCCACACGGCATTGTGCAGGGATTTTCCAGGCGCCACGAAAGCCGGCGCGAGAGCAGGACATCATATCGACTGCAGTTCTAAGAGAGCGCATTCAGGTTCGAGTCTTCCGCTATCAGCACGCAAAGTCCTCACAAGACAGACAATTCACTGACTGAGCGAGTAAACAAAATATCTATTATATACCATACCGCACACATACACACGCTATACGATCATCTACCCCACATTCTCAACTTTGGGGCCCAGCTCATCCCTCTTCTCCACCAACTCGGCACTCATCTGTGAGTTCTGCGCATCATTCAGCGCCTTCATGATCCCGCTCTCCATCTTATCCCTCACCAGCTGTCTCAGCGCCTGTATCAAGAACCCTGAAAACACGTCCACATTCCATTCATCCGGGATCAAAGCCAATACGTCGGCGATATCGAACCAACCTCCGAACCGCTCAAGCAGGATCCCTGTTTGCTTGATACGCTGCGCAAGATCTTCGAGGCGCAAGAATTCTTGGAGAAGGTAGTTGAAGAGGCGAGATTGTTCTGCTTGGGAGGGGATGTCAGATTGGGGGACGTAACCCGAGTTCGATGGACGGAAGATGGAGGAACCGCCGTAGAGACAATATGATATGGCCGTGTCAAAGTCGCCGAGTCCATGGGTAAGTAATCTCAAAGCTTCTTGATGCCGGCCTTGTCTTCCGTTTAAGATGATCATCTCGGGGACGAGCTCCTGCTCGTAGGGTTGCAAGCGAGCGAGGATGGAAGGGACATCATAGGAAGATGCCACTGCGTGCTTGGAGCCTAGAAGCTGTAAAAGGCGTAGACGGGAGTGGAACCATTCGACGCCTAAAGAGTTGTCGGTGATGAACTGACGGTAGGTTGGTTTGGGAGGGACTAAGATGCGGTATGTTTCGTAGCTCTGGAGTAGAGTCTCCCGCGTTGACGGCGAGTTCTCCAGTTGTGTGACGACGGCGTCGAGGTAGAAGGCAATGAGTTCATTTGCATATTCCACGCGCTAAGTATGCGTTAGCAACCATATCCATCAAGGGTGAGCCTACGAGAACATACTTTCTGTGTGAATACCAGGTATTCCAGGTACTCTTTGACGGCACTCGGAGCCTTCTCTTTCAATACAGCCACAGCGCGTGTGGGCTCGAATTTGACTCTACTGTTTTCATCGGCAAAGACTTGGACACCAAGTTTTGGATTTCGACTTGCAAGCCAACCCCCGTATTCTTCGACCAAAGCTTGATCTCGGATCTTTATAAGATACTTGCGAACCTCCGCTTCTCCATCCACGAGTTCACCTCCGGTATCTGTCTCGCCTTCGATAATGCGCCGCCAAGTGGCGAGCACCTTGGAGGCTTTCGTATTCGTCTTAATATTGCGTTGATAAAACCGGCTGAGAACGTATAATCTTTTGAATTCTTCAAGAAGTGTCACAGCCCGGTCGAAGCATTCAACGTCGTTGTCTACAAGTTCGTTCAACTCTGCTCTTAATGATCCTGCTGTTGCAGGTCCTCTGGGACTTTTTTGATCCAACAGCAGAAGAATCCGTAGCAAAGCAGCGTCTATACTCTGGAACACATACGGATCGTTTGTTACGCTTGCCATGCCTTTCCGTCTCTTCCAGAATAGCAAGTATTTCTTCACTACATAAAGGAGGTTGTCCCCAAAAGGTCCTCTGGCGTCAGCTGGCATCGACTCCAGGTCATTTTGTTGTAAAAATTGCTCGACTAGATGGGCAATACCGCCAGATATTTGGATACCCTCCTCCCCCTGTAGGACCTCTTGATGTAGGACCGGGAGCACAGACAGAACAACTCGGGGATCAATCTCACCATCAACGAGCGCCTGCTCTGTAATGCGTTTCTCGCTTTCAAAAATGATGATGTTTGTGCTACTCCGAAGGACCAAATCCATCAAGAGCAAGACGGATGCCTTTTGGCGTATATATATGAGACTCAGATATTCGGATTCATTGCGAGCCTGTTGCCCTCTAATGTCCCCAAGAACAGTCTCGAGCAGGTTTCGGACTGGTTGGATGCGGACACCGTTACCAGTAGGAGTAGATTGTGCTTCTTGTAGGCGAGCGTCCAGCCTGACAACTAACGGGCTTCGGACTGTCCACCATATGTGATTCCCTGCCCAAAGCACCGTTTGAGTTTGCAATTTTGATAATCTCTCGCTGAATTCGATGTCTGCTTTCTCTTGAGGGGGTTTCCCTGAACTGATCTGTTTTGACGGATCAGACCGCGGCGTAGACGAGGTTTGTAAACGCTTCACCATGAGTTTAGAGCCAACTTCGGAAAGGACAAGATCGGTGGGTTCTGCTACGGTCCTGAGGCCCAACGGTACATTTACGAGGCCTATTTTGTTCTCCGAAGCAAGGCCAAGTGAGCTAAGATCAAGCCATTCCTTGTGCTCGTCGCCTTCAGCGGGATCGATGTCCCACCTTCGTACCTCCACCCCATAGCTCTTCTTGCCCTCTTCATCGTGGTGAACCACAGCCAGAACGTAGCCTTCTTCGGCATCAGGCTCAGTATCTGGATCCATTGAAGTCGACATGTCAATGCCAGCTCCATCGACCACAATGGCGTCAGGATAGCTATAGAATGAGATGCTTCCACGACACATATCTCCATCGAGATTCACAAACATGCCTACACCTGCTTCTGATGGTGTGGTTCCTACCGTGAGGAGAAACTCTGTGGGTGTGGGCGAGGCAACATGCGGTTTGAGAGGAGTGAAAGATGGAGCCGAAGGCATCGATTCAGGAAGGGGGGCATCTTGATGGGCAGGAGGACCAGGGGGTAACGGCTTGTCAGAGGTCGGCGCGGGACCTGTGCTTGAGAGACTCGAGATCCTCTCAGGATGTTGCTCTGGTTGAGATCGTGAAGCGGACCGCGCTGGCGAATGAGACTGAGCCGGGGACATGGCCCTTGAAAGAGTATCGGGTACATCGAAGCCAAACCTCTGGCCTTGGGGTGGTCGAGGGCTGTTGGCGCGAGAGCTGGGTCCGCTGTTACCGAAGAGTCCAAGACTTGTGCTCCTAGCATGACCTCTCTGCTCTTCCTGTGAAGCTCGAGGCTGGACACTCGCAGACGACACGCTTCTTGAGGGTGGTTGCATGGTGGCTGCAATGTCCTCGGCAGCTCCGCCAACATCGCCAGCTTCTGGATCCAGAGACGATATGGGGAACAAGCCTATCTTCTGCTGATTCTCCACATCCAGGAGCGCGTACGAGTGAGCGTCGGCTGTACAGGCAAAGTCATGGCGGCGAACAGAGACGAGACAGCCTCCATACTCAATTGTTTTGAGGGCCCTGGGAGGAGCGTCTTCCGTTATCCTCACCATCCGGACCTTATTCTTCTGGCCAACCATGACGACCACGCCCTCTTCTCCTGAGCCATAGGCAGCATTAAGATCTGCGCCGCCAATCCATGAACATGTAAAGGGCTTCGTGTTGGAGTCTGGGCTCAGCTCGGGCAAGGTGTAGAAGCTTAGGTAGTTGTTGCAGCGGATGCATGCTTTGTTGACTTGAGGCAACAGCAGGATCTCCTGGACGCCTGCGCCAATGTCGTTGTTGTAGGTGGGTTCGAGGCGCGAGGCGATGATGGCCGTAGGTTCTTCGGCGGGATCGTTGGATTCGGGCGGGAGCAGGACGAAGTGGAGGACTTCTGCGGCCGAAGTGCCTACGTATAGATTGCCATTCCATACCTGCACACAGGTAATGCGCACATCGGCCGACTGGTTACCGTCGGCGGAGAGAGGTAGGTCGGAGACGAGTTTCCGGATCATGTAGGCTCCATGCTGAGATGGGCGCATTGGTACGCTCGATGCTGTTTCTGCCATGGTGGTGGATTATGTGCGCCGTGGAAGTCATGCATGATGGGAATCATGAGGACTTGGACATTGTCATGATGGTTATTACTACCAGTCTGTGATGTAGTGGGATGGCACGGCATGCCATTCGATATGATACAGGGTACTGGTACGTCAAGCTGGCCCCCGACCAATCGGCGCCGCCACCCCCGGACTTGGGAATACCTGGAAGGATGAAAGCTGTTACTATTGTATGTTTGTACGTACATGTGTACTTGACACCTCCATCACCAACCGCACGCCCACACATATCGATATCCACGCCACTCTTCGATGCGCCGTCTAATCCGCTGAGCTTGTCTATAGGCTGATCCCCCGCCTTCCCAAGCACCGCGACAACATCCTCCCTTCCTCCGCTACACCGCGCGGCCTCCGCTTTCCCCGACAAGCAGTTATCACTCAGCCAACATGGACGACGGCATCAGTACCGGGGCCAGGAATTCGCATGATGACGATGCGTCTCGTCCTGCAGAGGACGACAACAAGTTTCAGAAGGCGATTGGCGCATGGCGCAGTATGCTCTAGCCAGTTCATCCGTCAATACCGAGTCTAGCTGACACGCTTGCAGCAATCGATCTCACCACTCTCGTGCCACAACTCGATACAGTGGCTTCTGATCTAGTTGCACATCAAAGGGACACGCTCACGCAGCGGAAAGATCTCGCCCAAAAGACAAAGGACTTCAGAAAACTCGACGACCAAAGCAAGCTAAACGACATCAAGGGCTTGCTCAAATGTGCGTATCGATGAATGCTTTCATTGCTTCACGGAACCACATGCTGACTTTTGCAGCCTACCAGGGTTTCATCGATCTCATTTCCAACCAATCCAAGACAGTCCAAGCCGCTTTCTTCCAACTCTACTCTCCACTCTCCGAAGCTCCCGACCCATACCCCCTCCTCGAAGCCTCCATAGACTCTTTGGTGACCGCAGAAGAGACGGTACCGAAGCTCACATCAGAGAACCAACATCTACAAAAGAACGTTGCGAATCTCACTGCACAATTGGAGGAAATAGAGAAGAAGTTGGAAGAGGAGCGCGCCGCGCGCAAGGCATTGGAAGACACAAGAGATGGAAAGATCAAGGAAGTAGAAGCTTCCTGGTCTGCGGTACTGACCGAGAAGCAGGATAACTGGGAAGCCAAGGAAAAGAATTTGGAAGAGAAGGTCGAGAACCAAGACCGCTTGTTGAAGGAACTCAAGGCTAGCTACGAGGTCTCGCAGAGGTTAGGGAGGGGAGAAGATGCCGAAGGAGAGGCAACCCAGGGCGCCACAGTTGCTGAGTTGGAGATCGTTAGCTCCGAGCTGGAGCGAACGAGCCATCGTTTGGCTGAAGTCGAAGCTCGGAATGAGCAGTTACGCCTTGAGCTGGCCCAGTCTGCATCTGCACCTGCTGCCCAAAATGTGGCGGTAGAAGATGACCCAGCCTACCTCCGGCTGCGATCCGAGAACTCGTCTCTTCTCCGTAAGCTCGAAACCGCAAGGTTCGAGAAAGATTCCGAACGAACGCGCCTCGAGACGGAAACACGCAGTTTAGAGCGCGAGATCAAGAGTCTGAAAGGTGAGAAGGATGCACTGCGCGAGAAAGTTCAAAAGTGGAACGACTATGACAACGTCAAGCAGGAACTCGAAGTGCTCAAGGTGCGTAATGCCACGGTATCGGCTTGTGATATACTAACCTACGTAGTCGATCGAATTTGCTACCGGTGATGACGATGACGAAGCCACAGAGATTGCGCTGTCACAAAACGGTACTATGAACAAAGGCAAAGGCGAAACGCTAGAGCAGTTGCTTCTCGCTCGTAATAAGAAACTCAGCAATGAGCTGACGGTCTTGCGAGTGTCGCACCAAGACTTGCAAAGCCGATTGGAAGCACTGCAAGAGGAACTGTCCACCACAAACATGGAGCTGGAGAAGTCTAGAAACCTGAATGAGACACTAGAAGCAGACCTAGAGAAAGTGCAGCAAGAAGCGTCGAGTGCTTTTGACCCTTCCGCCATGTCTGTGGCCGGCACGTATACTTCCCGATACCCACAGTCTTCTTTCGCTGGTACTCGACGGGGAGGGAGATCATCACCGACGTCGTCCATCATATCTGGCTTCGACCCGGCGCACGCCCCTCAATCGCTATCCGCTCTTCGCGGTGAGCCTGTAGGCGGAGGCTCCGGAATCCTCCCTATGGTAACAGCGCAGAGAGACCGCTTCAAAAAGCGCAATGCCGAGCTCGAAGCCGAGTTGCAGAAAACGTACCAAAATGTATCGTCTCTCCGTTCCGAGATTGCATCTCTGCAGAAAGATAATCTCGACCTGTACGAGAAAACGCGATATGTCTCCAGCTATAATCGCGGTCCAGCGACATCAGCTCTACCTTATTCCACCAACCCGAATCCGTCCAAAATCCACGTGTCGGACAGTACGTCTTCTGGGCTAACAATGGATCGATACAAATCTCAGTACGAATCGAATATTTCGCCATTCGCAGCATTCCGCGGCCGTGAAACTGCGAGATCGTTCCGGAGAATGCATGTCCTTGAGCGTATGGTGTTTCGTGTAACGAAATTCGTCCTTCAAACCAGAACAACGAGGAATATATTCGCTTCATATCTGTTTGGGTTGCACTTCCTAGTAATATGGATGCTATTCAATTATGGCGGCACTCCACAGGCAGTCACAGTGGCATCGGTGGCGAGTGGCCCTCTTGCGGCTACTGCACAAGAGGGGCTTGATACCAAAGGATCGTGAGCATCTGTAGTGGACGATTGTAGGATCATCAGGTGGCGTTTTCATCGCCTTCCAGTCTCTATCCTTGATGGTGCTGAGCGCGATCAGTCGGATATTCATCATAATGGGTTTGGCCGTTTCGGTAGAGGATTGTTTTTCACTGTATTACGATATCGATGCGACATTTCAATATCTCGATGTCTCGGACATCAAGTACGATCAATTTACTCATCCCCATATGTGTTTCAATCAGTAGAACTTCGATTAAATGATTATATATTACAAGAGGGGGTCTCGCAATGGCTTGAGGCGTCACATAACTCTCAAGTTCAGGTTGGTGATATCTGATGGCACGTGCACTCGACACAACCTCGAAAATCGTGCCCCAGATCTAGCCAATACCGTCACTCCTAGGCATACACACCCACCTCAAATTCAGGCCATCTTCAAGTCACGGCGACACATTCAACCTTCCCCACATTCACCGTCTAGATCATAACAATGCAGCGCCGCATGGTAAGTATTATATATTTGCCATCTCCGTGCGTTGTGAAATCTCGCTAATCCGGCGAAAACGCAGTTGACCAAAGAAGAGGAGGCTTCGGCCGGCGGCGAAGATATCCAAGTCAGGCGGGAAGACCAGGAGAAGATCAATAGGTTCAGCTCGCTGCATCAAAAAGAGACGGCGATTGAAGAGCAACTGAGAGCAAAACTTGTAAGTTGAAAATTTGACTGCGGATATGAGCGCCGCACAAGAAAGACGAGCGACGCGTTGCAAGGCATAACTGCTAACCTATTTAAAAGAAGGAGAAGGAAGATCTAGAGGAGATTTCTGGCGAGTTGGAGTTGGTAGACGAGGAAGAAAAAGTACCGTAAGTGCTGTGCATCGTACCCATTCCTTTCTAACGGTCCCCCTCCTCTTTCAGCGACACCCAATATCCGCTGAACCAGTCATATAGATACAAGATTGGCGATTGCTTCGTCTCCTTGCCGCAGCCAGAAGTCCTGGAGCTCCTGGAGGCATCTACAGAAAGTATTGATGGTGAGGTTGAGACATTAAAGGGGCGCCTTGACACAATACATGAAGAGATGGACGGACTAAAAAAGTTGCTGTACGGGCGTTTTGGCCGTAGTATCAATCTGGAGACCTGAATCAACAAGTGGTGGATCTTATCCCCGGTGGTAAAGACATCACCCATTCCTTCGATGATGATGACATTCATATGCAAAGTAATACGACTTCCATTGGCAATGCGTTGGGTCCAATGCTTAGCTGCCAGAATTACGAAGAACCAATACGTACATGTCTGCCGTAGGGCGTGAAAACACAACACATCCCGAAGGAGCTCCATTTTTCGAGGATCGACAGTCCATTTCGACCATTTACTGTGAAGCAATCACCCGCATCCTCCCAGCGCACTGGTCGCAATGCCGTTGCAACCGATGTCAACTTTTTGTTTTCCTAGCCCCGCTGTATCATTTCCGAGAGGCAATGACGATCCACCGACCTCGGATAAAAACAAACGCGCGGGGTTGATTAGCGATCCCCAGAATAGTTTATCCGCAGAATATAAATATGTTGAGCATGAATTTCATAACCTTGCTGATGGTGTTTTTCATCGGTCACGCTGCCTGATACTTGCGATCATGGAGGAAGATGCAAGTGCACTCGAGAAAACGTATTCGAGAGACAGTCGTGCGCAGGAGAATAACGGGTTTCAAGTGCAGAATACCCCAGTATCTCTAGTACGTAGTGTGACGCAACGAAGTTTTGGTACGTCTACGGATCAGCCTATGCGGCGAGGAGAAGCTCATATAGTCTCTTATCGAATAACAAAGCGCCCACAATTAACTTCGCGTATAGAAGCACAATCACGCACAGCATATGTATTGCCTTTGAACGAGGCAAAGTCGACCCCAGACGAGGAAACGTGCAACCGATCTAAAAAGACTGTTGACTCTCCAGCGTCTTTCACCCCAGACTCATCCTCTGGCGAGGATCATGGAATAGATACGCCATGCAGAACCGTTATCCGTTTCAAAGATGGCGATCCTGAAAACCCCAATAACTGGTCGATGGTATACAAAGAATCGAGTATAGTTATACTGAAATCATCTCACTGACGCATGTTTCTAGTGGAAGAAGACGTATGCGCTTTTGGTGGCAATATTCAGCGGTGAGTGTTATATATCCATACAACTATATACAGACAATATTGACCATTTCACAGTGATGAACTCTACGATGAGCTCTTCGTAGGTTCCAAGTCTAAACAATTTACTCTGCTCCCTGACTAACGTCATGCAAGGCTCGCCGCCGGTGCCACCGCCCCCATGTCCCAACACTTCGGCGTTTCCAGTGAAACGGAACTCATCTTGCCCACGTCAATATATCTGGTGGGCTACGTGGTTGGGCCGATGCTCTGGGGGCCACTGTCCGAATCGTACGGGCGCAAATGGACTATGATCGTATCATTCGCCGTCTTCACCATCTTCTCCATTGCATCCGCAGTCGCACCTAATTTCCCAGCGCTGGTCATCTTCCGCCTGTTCGTGGGTGCTGGCGGTAGCTGTGCAATCTCAGTGGTTGGAGGGATCTGTGCAGATGTTTTTCATGACCCCGTCTCGAGAGGAAGAAGCATGGTACGTTACTGGAGCGCAATCTACGCTCGGGCTTCACATCATATCGATCCAACTTTCTATGTTGTAGGACGCTCTGAAACTGTGATAGCCCGCTCTCAAAAAATCTGCCAGCGCTTTACTGACTTCTTATTCCTCCTTTAGGCATTATTCATGGTCTGTCTGCCATATCCAACTTTAACATTCTGTACAGGATGCTAATGAATCTTTTTGTACATAGGCAGCAACCACTTTCGGACCTATTTTAGGACCTCCAATATCCGGATTCATCTCTGTAGTATCTTGGTCATGGGCTTTTTGGATAGGCGCCATTTTTGCGGGAGCATCGTGGCCTCTATTCTTTTTCTTTCCCGAGACGTTCGGCCCTGTGATATTGAAATATCGAGCTCAGAGGCTACGAAAGGAGCGAGGTGATGAATCCATCGTAGCACCTATTGAGCTAGAGAAAACAGATTTCGGCCATATCGTCACAGTGGTACTGACTCGACCGATCCGTATGATTTGTTTCGAACCGCTCGTTTTGTTTACTTGCTTGTATTTGAGCTACGCTTGTGAGTCCACATTTATTTTCCCTTGGAATCTATGATGTTGCAATAGCGTTCTTCGTTCTTTTAGATCGACGCTCCTCCGAAAACGCCAATAGCTAACACGATGCTCTCTCATAGATGCCATATTCTACATATACTTCCAATCGTACCCGTTGATATTCACCGGGATATACCATTTCAATGCCGGGTTAACTGGTCTCACCTTTCTCCCGATTGGCGTCGGCGCCATCATCTCAGCGGGACTGTATCTGTCTTGGGACGCCATACTGCGACGCGCCCAACAATCTCGCAAGCCATGGGCAAGCAACGAAGAGATGCGGCGGCTGCCTCTAGCCTGCATCGCAGGTCCTTTCTTCGTCATTAGCAGTTTCTGGCTCGGATGGACGGCGCGCCCAGAAGTTCACTGGACAGCACCTTGCTTCGCAGGGATCCTCTTCGGCATGGGGTATCTGTGCTTGTTCATGGCGCTGCTCAACTACCTGGTGGATGCGTACGAGATATTTGCGGCGTCTGCTATGGCCGCGGCTTCGCTATCTAGATCTTCGTTTGGGGCAGTTCTTCCATTTGCTGCGAAGCCCATGTATCGTGCTCTGGGGATCCCTTGGGCCACCAGTCTACTTGGGTTCTTCAGTCTAGCGTTGTGTGTTGTTCCATTCGTGTTTCTGAGATTCGGAGATAGGATGAGAAAGAAGAGCAAATTCTGCCAATATCTCATGCAAAAGAAAAGAGAAGAGGCAGAGGAAAGGGAGAAGGAGATGAATATGGAAGGGCAACGAGGGGATCAGGAAAGGGCTCGGGGTGTGTATGAGGATAAGGAGAATGTTTGATTGTCTCAAGCCGCGTAGCCGTGCAAGAAGGAAGGCCTACCTTTCGCAAAAACTTAGAATAGAACCTACGAGGACAAGACGGCAAATTCAAAAACAGCATCTTCAAATGATTGGCCACAGTTGCCATGGTCATCCTCGATCATCCTGAAAACAAGAGCAGCGTTCATTCAGGGAATATCGTGTCGGCGCCTCACATTCTACTCCACTTCCTAAGATTATTGCCGTTTGTCTATGTCGAACCAACCAGATACTGTCAGACTGAAGCGAAGATGTTATTTTCTGCCTCAATATCCCATATCATGAGTAGGTCTACGTCCAGCACGAGGGTGTGCACTGTGTATATGATTTAGGATATACCATTTTACCAAATCCACACCGTATACGACCTTCCTACCCTTTATCCATATCTCGATTCTACTCGCCGTTACCAGAAAACAAAAAAAAAACATACGCAACCTCTTGCCCAATAGCGGTACGCAAGCGCTTACCTCGACGCCACATCCCCATTGGCCGATTACCCAAATAACGCACCACACTCAACGCGGTGATATTAGCCCACATTCCCCTCTTGGCTGCATTTGGTAGGTACCACTGGAGAAACTCGACGTACGATAAAGTTGGCAAATTATTGGGGCATCACAGGGATGCGAGGCTTTTGATTGGACGGCGGAAAAAGATCAATTAGCGGTAAATGTCGATGATCAGATGGAGAAGGTAGGGTTCGTGGTGGCCCGAGATTGGTGTAGTACGGGCGGCTCTGCGGGATGGGCGGGATACTCCGCGCTTCCTGTAGGAATGGCGATGGGTGGAGCAGAATGGGTCGCGTGCGCGGGTTCGTCGCGGAGAGGGTGTAGCTGATATGCGGGAATGGCGTGGTTTTTATCTGGCTACGCCGTACGGACGGTCTATGTGTGGGTGTGGAAGGAAGGTGAGATCAATTGACCGGCTCGGTTTTCTCAGTTCTCCCTGTATATGTGAGGGAGAAGCTAGATGCATGGTGTATGAGTGAGTACACACTCACAGATCTTTACTCACATATCACTTAATTGCATATACTCGACGAGATAACCTTATGACCCAGTCAATGGTCACATTGATGATCCATCTTCCATTCTTCGCGAACACATCTCTTAGCGGTGCATCTGATATGCATCCTCTCCCACGATCGATTTTCCGTAGACATGGATTGATGGCTGGATAAACAAACATAAGCCAACCAGTCCGTTGCCACCATGTACATGGACAGGTACACGAACAAGTTCGCCAACCCCAAATCAAATATTAATATGGAGCAAGCATACATGTACCCTCTCACCCAAAGCGGGCTATATTAAGTGACATTGTGATGCCCCACTTGGGCTAGTCACTCGCACTAAGACCGCCATGCAGCCGAACCGCTCAACGGTCGACCAATAGGAACAAAACAATGCTAATTATGGTACTCGAGCTGGCGGCAACGGTTCTTGGAGGAACAGCGGGGAGGGAAACATCCACTTTGTGGTACGCGCGTGTGTAAATAGAATTTGGACATGCTTGGGTGTGCATATGGGTATATATCTACGCCTCATGTTGGCCGCTGAAATGTTTCTCATCCTCATCTCAAGCCTCCAGTTCGCAAAACACAGTCAAGTGCCTGTTTGTTTCGTTTCCCAGATTCAAACATCCTCGCGGACTATCTCCCTTTCCTACCTCTTCATTTCTTCGCATTTTTTATTCTTTCGGTAAAAGGGATCTGGATCTCTTTCGGAAATTTCTGGTTCCATTGCATATTTAATACCTCTCTTCGATAGAGACTACACATCGAGATCGACACGCAACACATTCTCATCGCACCCACCTTTCACCAATATCCAACCCACAAACTCAAGATGCGTTGCTCATTCGCCCTTACTTTCCTGGTGGCCGTCGCGCCTACAACCCTCTTCGCAGCTCCGACCCCAATGGAGAAGCGCGCACCCGGATCAGAAGTCTGTGATATATCAAAAGCAGTGGTTCCCCAAGGTACGCTCACCACCATTCCATATATCATCATCAGGAACTACGTTACTAACTTCAATGCAGCACCCACACCACTTCCTGCTCCAACAGGAACCCTGGCCTACGTCGCCATCGGTCGCGGCACGCAAAACTACACATGTGCAGCAACTCCAAACTCCAGCGAAGGATCTCCCAAAGCGATTGGAGCCATGGCAACTCTCTATAACGCAACCTGTACGGCAGTACAAGCACCAATGGTTCTGAATGACACTCCTGCCATTGCCCTCAAGACACCGCCCACAATTGGAGTCCCCGTTGAGAAGGAGAGCACAGACGGTCCTGTCTCGGGCCACCACTACTTCAACGCCGCCGGCTCCCCCGTCTTCGAGACCGAGTACGGTTGGGTGCAGGCCAAAGGTTTCGCCAACTCGACAGCCCCAGCCACCGCTGATAAAGGCAAGAACGGTCTCGGCAGTGTGGCCTGGTTGAAGCTGCTCGGCACTGCCGGCGACTGGAAGGAGGTCTACCGAGTGGACACAGCCGGTGGTGTGGCCCCGAAGACCTGTGCAAACATTGAAGGCACATTTGAAGTGGAATACGCCGCTGTGTACTGGTTCTACGCATAGAGGTGGTCTTCGATAGCGCATACCGCGCCACGAGGAAACGAAGCGACGATTCGAATGTGTGCATGAGACTGGCGTCTCGGGTCTAATTGGTGGCACTTTGGCCGTGGCTCCAGAGTGAGATTGTATATAGGATACCTTGAGGATTTTGTTGCATCGTTCTTGTGTGCCATTCCAAGCCAAGACAGCTTGATTTCGTAGCCTTATTAATATAAAATTCTGTCTGGTAACCCTGATCTTTCCAAATCTGCATCACTTCTTCTTGCAAGCACTTGAGGTTGTCGGTCCCTCAGAATCTTGGCCGTGGAAGCTGCGATTCAAACGTACAATGTCCTTCTTTAGCTTCGAATGTGTGCATGGTGAAAACATCATCAATTTCCTTCGCTTTCCTGCGCCTTTCTTCTTCGACGGCGAGGACTTCTCTTTCGAAACATCCCTTCGTTCCTATGTATACCTTTTTCTGGTACATTGGCATTCTGGTTGAGAGCCTTTTTTGGCCAATCTTTGCATATATCGATCCGTTCTCTCGGCGCAAAAATTTCCAAAAAGATGAAGAGCAGATAGTCCACCACAGCACACATGCAAAACAATTTCCCTGCCCATACCCCGACTCCATAGTACCTCTTCAGGCGATCGATGAGTGCCAGGCTACGGGTAGTGCTGACGGCATCGTAAATCTTTTCCGTACGCTGCGCAACATCTGTCCAGGAGTACATTTGCTTGACCTGGTTATGAAATAGATCTGTTCTCACTTTTCCAGATCGGATTTTCGCGATAGCACGATTAGTAGCTGCTACCAGGTCATCCTCCTCGGGAGCGGCAAATTCGGTCATGTGGGAGGGGAGAACTTCAGGAACGCCGCCGACACGAGTGCACACCACATAGAGGCCGCAGGAGGCAGCTTCAACTATGACTGTGCCAAAAGCTTCCATCAGCGAAGGATTGAGGTAGATGTGTCCTTTGACCATAACGTTTCTGACCTGTTCGTGTCTCACTGGACCGAGCAGAGTCACCCGGTCTTGCAGGACATTCCGCTCGACCATCTGTTCAAAATCTATGGCTTTTGGTCCGCTACCCGCTACAAGAAAGCGGACATGAGGCTGGTTTGCCAGAATGCGAGGTATGGCGGCAATCAACAGATCAATTCCCTTATTGTAGAATAGTCGCGATATCACGACTATGGTTATATCGTCTGTGGGTGCGAGAGGTCGTGGCGCACCCGGTGCGCTGGTTTTTTGCGAGTCGATTTCGTTTTGCGAAAGGGGGCGAAAGTTGTCTGCTACTACAGCATTGGGAATAACAGAGACCATGGACGGGTCCAGGTCGGCTCTTAGAACACAATTCTCTTTGCTGGCTGGCGTCAGCAATGGTTCGGCTTTGGATTGGGTTCAAGATCAATAGTACCATGTGTGGCTAACGCAGATGCAGTGATCGACGTCACTCAAAGTGAACTTCAAAAGTTTATTTGTGAGGATGCTTCCCGCATCGGCAAATCCGAATAGACTGTGATCGGTAAAGACCGTCCTTAATCCCATGGTGCGAGCATGGAGGATTGCCTCATGGCACAGATTACTCAAACTGGCATGTCCATGCACTATCTCGATCCTTTCCCGGATGACGATATTGCGGAACATGGGAAAGAATGAGAAAACGGTGGGGAAGGTGGTTTCGCGGTATATGGTCCAAAAGGGGACATGGTATGTCTTGATGCCGTTGGTTAGGTATCGAACGCCTGTTCGGCCGGGGTATGCGTGAGTGATAATGATCACTTTATGCCCACGATCAATGAGCTTCTAAAGGAACAGGTGAGCCGCTGCAGGAAAGCCCATGTGTTTTGAATGCATACGCTAGCCAGTTGATACATGTGGCTCTCCACGCCGCCTACATGTCATCATTCCACGTGAGAAACCGAAGAATCGAATCCAGCAATTGACCTATGGTGGCGTACCAGGTTGTGGGAAAAAGTTATCGCTAACCATACTGTGTGTGTGCTTTGATCAGCTCCCGCTTTCACATGCAGTTGGGAGGGCGGGTAGTCTTACGCAATATTGTAAGGCATCTTGAGAGCTCCGAGATCGCGGATTGACTCGACGTCGTCCCAGTGCGCTTGAACAAATCATGGCAGATCGGACGATACCGAGAACGAAGGGCGAAGATTCTATCTGAGCGGTAGGGTAAGAGCGCAGGAGTGGACACTACGTAGATGTATGCATTCGTGGCTCGCGGTCGATCCTCGCTCTTATTGGCCAGCACCCGATTACCTCCGCGCTTGGCAGCCTGGGAATTTCTGCAAACTTTCAATCAGCATACAGCCCGCCAGCACAATCAACACCATCCGCTTTGACAATGCCGGCTCCGATATACAGCAGATGGGTTCCCCCAAGCGCTGCGACACAGGCTAACGCCCAGTTGACACCATCGTCTACCGCGAACCCCTCGCCGTCCACGCGGCAGAACGAGGCCAGTCCGTCGAATGCGCGGGGCAGCAAGCGCTCGACAAAACATACGGACACTCCGAGAAAGGCAATCGGGAATGACGATTACGATGCGGAGGAAGTCGCAAGCCCAGCACCTTCATCGTCGGCGAAGAAGCCAAAGAAGAGAAAACGAGATTCTATTGTAGACGAGCACCATGGTCCTACCGATGAATTCACGCCCAAGAAACACAAATCCATCCTGTCCAAATTTGAGAAGGTCGCAAAGAAGGCAAATAAAGCCCAAGATAATCGGGATGCTATTGGAGGAGATGAGGATGTGCTCCCAGAGGGCCCAGAAGAGATTCTCCATGGTATGTTGTATTTTCCAATAGAACCACAAGAGGCTATGGACTGACATGGATAGACCTCGAGCCCCTTCCTCAACCTGCTCCTGTACCAGACTCCGTCTTCGATCCAACCTTCTCGGTTCTACCATCTTGGCTTGCGAACCCAGTGACAGTGGAAGCATCCAAGCGTGTACCGTTCGACCAACTAGACGTACAATCTCACTTTGCCAGCAAACTTGAGAAACAAGGGTTCAGTGACGCGCTGGCTGTACAGTCTGCTCTTTTACCGATGCTTCATCCTGGATACCAACAGTATCAAGGTGATATATGCGTTTCCGCAAAAACAGGCTCAGGGAAGACGTTGGCCTATCTGCTGCCAATCATTGAGGCATTGAAGGACCATGTTACACCTGTTCTGTCAGCTATCATCGTGGTACCAAGCCGTCAACTAGTCGACCAAGCGCTGCAAATTGCCGACGAGCTGTGCGCTGGGACTAAAATTAAAGTCGGAACAGCCCTCGGAAGCACACCCTTTGCTACTGAGCAGAAACAGCTGGTGAAAACTACGGCACAATACGACCCCGAAAGAGCGCAAGAGCTGTACAAGAGAGCTACATGGCAAATGAAAACCGGGTACACGGAGCGAGGAATTATTGACGATCTAAAATCGATGCCTACCGACCACATACCTCTATATCACTCCGGCGTCGACATATTAATATGCACTCCAGGACGGCTTGTGGAACACATAGAATCGACTACTGGATTTCTTCTCCGCTCTGTGAGATGGCTAGTAATTGATGAAGCAGATCAGCTGCTTGGTCAGAACTTCCAAGGGTGGTCTTCCGTTCTTATGAAAGCGCTGCATGGGGAGACCGCTGCAGACCTTATGAATGCACGAGAGCGTATTCAAAAGCAGGCAGTGAGATCAGGACAGACTTCTTGCTTGTACAAACGCAAACAACTCACAAAAGTCGTGCTCAGCGCCACAATGGAGACGGACCTGACAAAACTCGGGTCACTTAAACTACAAAGGCCTAGGCTGGTATCCGTGGTCGAGGAACCCGGGTTTCAGGTACCTGCGGGTGCAGATGGTGACAACTTCGAGCTCCCTTCCACTCTCGATGAGAGCGCTGTCTCGGTCAGAGACGGTGGGAAGAAGCCTTTGTACCTGCTTTACCTTTTGCTCCAATACATATTCCCCGCAGATGAGAATGAGGATAACGATGCAGAAGTGGAAAAGTCAGCTTCGGAAGCTCCAGCCAGGCCTTCCTTGCAAAATCAGAGCAGCCGCGTACTGATATTCACCAAAAGCAACGAGAGCGCTTCTCGATTGTCACATCTACTGACTGTCCTTGAGCCGAGTCTAAAGGATTATCTCAGAACGATGACACCGTCATCGACATCGAAAGCAGCCAAAAAGTTGCTCCGTTCTTTCGGTTCCGGCGCTATCAAAATCCTGATTGCGTCTGATGCTGCTTCACGAGGTTTGGATATACCCGACATCACCCATGTCATAAATTACGATATGCCCACCAGCGTCACCAGTTATGTGCATCGTGTCGGACGGACGGCTCGCGCTGGGAAGCCTGGTGAAGCATGGACTTTGTTCACGAAGAGTGAGGCGGCCTGGTTCTGGAATCAGTTGGCAAGAGGTGACAGCGTACGGCGGGGTGACAAGAAAATGAGAAGAATCGAGTGGAAGGAGTGGAACGTGACATATAACAGAAAGAGGACATATGAAGCCGCTCTGGCAGAATTACAACAAGCAGTTGTAGGTGCGGAGGTGGCAGAGTAGGTAGGCGTAGCACTGCTATGCTTTTTACTTGGGCGAGATAGCCGCCGTTCGCTATACAGGAGTTCGCTTGATAGTTACACGGTTACGAATTCTGGTAGATTTAAGCGTGACTGGTGTTGGGTCAATTTGGGAACGGAATATCTGCCCATTCCTCATGCTATGTCTGTTCTCAACTCGACCTCCTTCCCGTTCGGGACTTTGCGCCTCTAGCTGAGTGTCGGCGCAATATTGCTGCGAGACATGCCTATTGCATTGCTTGCACCGGTGCTGAACGGCGCCTATTGCCCTCGAGAAGTGCCAAGTGCTTTCACATGTGGCATTCGCAAGGATAACGGGGTATCGGTACACCACGGTTGGACCGCAGGAGCACGAGGCAGACCCGTTGTGACAAGCTCATGAAGGCGCAGGACCAAGCTCGATCTCCAAAGCTTCTTCAGCGCATATAGAGTGGGGAATCTCTTGGATGTCTTGGAATGTCTTGGTTTTTCTTGGAGGGTAGATGAACAGGTTCATTCGGCATACTTGCTCGCCACATAAGATTGCAGCATCAAAAAAGCTTTCTGCGTCATGCGTTTGGTTGCGATATGATTGCAGGTGATTTGATCGGCAACGGAGTGACAAGGTCGGATTAGGAAGGTGGATGGATTCGCCCGGCCATTGCGAGGAGCAGATTATCACTGGACGGTAATGTTTTGAATTGGACATGAAGTAGAAACAAGGAACCATGAGCAGCCTTGTTGGCCACTATGTTTGCTGGGACTATAGTCAGTCGGCAAGAGATAGACGGTGTAGACGGTCCAAAACAGCTTAGCACCGCACTCGCCGACGACCGCATCCCGATGACTTAGTTGCTTGCTTTACTCATCCTTTAGAATCTTATCACATTGCGCGAGCGCTCTCAACGAATGCTGTGCAGCTGCTACGTTTGTACGTTGATCGACATATCCGCGTAATCCCACGAACCTATGATGTTCTGATATCCCGCCAGATAATTTGCCCCCGGTGGATCGCGCCTTGTCGGCATAGCCTTGCGTGCTGGGGTCGCAAAGCTTCGCTATAACTTTATCGGTATACCGTCACCAATGATTACACAGAGGCTGCTGTAGGCGTGTTTCTAGGTCTATCCGCATGAGGCTACATGGCAGTACAGCATCCAACCTCTCGTTGGTGATGGTCGAACACGACCCCTATAATTCTTATAAACACAACTACGGCATGCCAGGCGTCTTTGGCCAATCTGACGGTATAGTCAGAAGGATCAATGATACACCAAGTTCCTGCAACTACCCGCCATGGTTACTTTGCGGGACCAGGTCTACCATAACACACCATGTGTTGGTATACCTGTTACATAGGTGCATATGTACATGTGTGGTTCTCGCCACGGACCGGGGTCATGGGTAAAGCCAACTCTGTAAGTATCCCATGACTACTGCCAATCGAGCTTCGTACACGCTGCATGTACATCACGATTCCATCTTCCTCTAATTAGCGTTTGACGCCATACAAAGCTTATCTTTCCGCAGGCCGCACTCAAGCCGGTATCTGTTCATCTTACATCCCCGCCAATGGAAAGCCCATCTGGCTTTCCCAAACAGGCATCTCCCAAATATCCATTGTTATTTGGTCGGACCGAGCCGAATTTCATATGCCACTAGACCCATGAGTCGTCCCCTGTATTCGGCTCTATCCAATTGGCAACAAAGCAATATCCCATGCAATTTGTTCCCTCTCCAGCCAGTACGTGCTTGTCAACACCAACTGCATGGGCATCGTTGTTCCGTTTCGTGCAAGAAGTCACCGAAATTTCGGACTTAGGCGCCATAAGCACACATACCCCGTCTACACTACACTCCCACGGCAATGGCCCCAAAGTAGAAGGCGGTTCTCACATGGCCTTCCTACAAATCTCTTCTACCAAGGTACCTGCCAAGAATGGTCTCGCATGATCTGATCGAGTGTATCTGCTTATGGTCTCTGATTGGAAGTGTACGCCTACCCCCGCAGAACAACCTGGCTATGTGCATCGACAGGGTACAATTGTCGCCACTTGCTCTCATTGCAAGCACATTCCACCGCTGTAATGGACTGCTCTCGTCCATGACTATAAAGATTGGACTGTTCCCGCCGCTTCTGTAACTTCATCCTCACAGTCAATCACTCCACCGAGGAATACTTTTCTTCTCCCTCAATCGCCAAGATGCCTTCCTTCACAGCTTTCACGGCAGCCCTCGCTCTTGTGAGCAGTGCTGTTGCTTCACCTGTCGAGCTCAGAAAGCGTGAATTCAGTATCGAGCAAGTGGCCCGCAAGACCTATCTCAAGAATGGTCCTGCTACCGTTGCGAAGACGTACCGAAAGTTCGGCAAAGCTGTCCCTGAGTACATCCTCAAGGCTGCGGAACTCGGTCCCAGCGATGATGTGATGTCGGTTCAGGCTGCCGATGGTGAAAACGGCACCGCCCCTGCGACGCCAGGAGATGAATACGACTCTCTGTATCTCACTCCAGTGACGCTTGGATCGAAGACGGTTCATCTAGACTTTGACACTGGCAGTTCAGATCTGTAAGTGATATCCATACCTCTACTACAACTTCCCAGAACAGCAAACAGTTCAATCGAGGGCGGTAGAGTTGCTCAAATACGACTAAACACTAGCTAACGATACGCTTCTAGATGGGTATTCAGTTCATTGCAGCCAACAACCCAGCTTTCGGGCCACGACTACTACCAGGCCGATTCTTCCAAGCAAATTGCTGGCGCGACTTGGAAAATCTCGTACGGTGATGGCTCTGGGGCTTCGGGGAAGGTTTACGCAGACAAAGTTCAGGTTGGTGGAGTGACCGCTACAACGCAGGCCGTGGAGGCCGCTACTTCCGTCTCGTCACAATTTGCACAAGATAGGGACACAGATGGATTGCTAGGCTTAGCCTTTTCCTCGCTCAACACTGTGAAGCCCCAGCAGCAAAAGACGTTCTTCGATACGGTTCACACCCAGCTTGCGAAGCCCCTCTTCGCCGCCGTGCTCAAGTACCACGCCGCAGGCAGCTACGACTTTGGCTACATTGACAGCTCCAAATACACTGGTGAAATCACATATGTCGATGTCGACACCAGTGAGGGCTGGTGGCAATTCTCCTTCAGCGGGTATTCCATCGGAACCGGTTCTGTCACCACGAGCGAAATCAACGGAATTGCCGATACTGGCACTACACTCCTCTACCTCCCTCCTGCCGTCGTCAAGGCCTACTACGCAAAAGTCTCTGGCTCGTCCAACAGCAATACGTACGGTGGCTACGTGTTCCCGTGCTCGGCTACTCCCCCAGACTTCAACCTCGTTCTCAATGGGGTCAAGCAGCGCGTGCCCGGCAAATACGTCAACTATGCCCCCGTTCAGACAGGCTCATCTACTTGCTACGGGGGTATTCAAACCAACGATGGTATTGGGTTCAGCATTTTTGGCGACATCTTCTTGAAGAGCAAGTATGCGGTTCACGAGATGAGCGAAACCCCCAGGATCGGGTTCGCTGACCAAGTTGGAATATAATTGGAATGACGATGTGGCACAAGTGTGATCGTGTTAATCATTTCTTTTGTTTTTTCAGTATCAACTTGTAAATTAAAGTAATTTCATCACATTCGAATCGCACGTTGTGAAAATAAGCTCACAGATCAAACAAACGCCATGCTAGTAGTTTTCACTCGTGAGACCTTGGCGAGATCGTGCCGATACCAAACTACATGCATCATGTTGACCATGTATAAAGTCGCTGTATGTTGGGAGACTAGGAAGTCATGTCTTTCGCACGACTTGAGCGCTCGTTCCTGCGAGCCATCGAAGCTCGAGTCGTCTCTATCAATATCATGTCGTTAGATAATTTCAAGAATACATTCCTGAGGAGGGTCCAACCAATGATAGGTTGTCAACTGCTCTTTTTACTTTAATTCCCTATTAAATAGCATCTTAACATAGTTTTAAAAGGCTGTCAATAAGATCTAGACATGACATAGAGCATTTTGATAGCTGATCCTAGGGGTGGGCCCGCCCTTGTAACAACTCTAGAGTCTGCCGTCACAGGTGCCTACAACCGGCTCGAGTCCTCACTTGAAACCTCCAACAATATTCACTGCTCAGTGTTTTAACTGACCCAGATCTAATATACTTGGTCGATAAATCAACATTGATACGTACCACAGATATAGTTGAAATCATCCATACCCAGATCTGAACATTTGATACTAGGAATACACAGCACACCAGCAGCACTTGATCCGTGTCATTCGTTATAAATGAATTTCAGAAAAGGATCAATTAGCTACTGGTATAATCAGTTGGTTCATTTTCCCACTTTCTCCAACCTCGAGCGTTAACGTGGGGACCGATATTGGCGCTGCAGCACAGAACGGAAAAAGGAGGGAAGAAAGAAGAACCCGCAGATTCATTGTTCGGAAAAGGAAAACACTCTTATCCAGAGACACCGATTGTGTGACAGAAAAATTCCATACAGACGAGGAAAACACCACTGTACCAGGGTGTGAGGAAGTGGCAGACTCTCGCACAAGACACCATCAAGACCAGGGGAATAACAGAAGAAAAGGGGAACAAGAAAGGAAGTAAAAAAAAGAAAATTCATGAAACGTCCATCTCGTCAGCTTCGGCACCAGCGGCCGTGTTCTCAGCGATATCATCATCTACTTCCATCCTTGATTCAGATTCCACCACAACCTTCCCACCAGCAGCACCGGCAAGCGTCTCTGCAATCTTCTCCAGTCCCCTAACCTCTTCATTTCTTAACCTTGCTCCTTCAACAACTCCTTCGACGCCATCCTTGGTATCGATCCCTCGCCTTTCTAATGCCCTCTTACTCTGGCTTTCAACATAGGTACGGCGCTCGCGGGCCCATTCATCCTTCTCGCTCGTACTGTGTGACGGTAGTGCCGTAGCGGGGATGTGTGGACGCAGCGAGTCCAGAAGTTGGCGGAGATAGGGGAGTTGAGAGGTAGTGAAAGTTGTGTGTGTCGAAAGTGGAGTTTGGGATTCTGGGAGTATTGTTGGTTGTGCAGTACCGCTATCTGTGTCAATGTTTGCTGGTACTGGGACGGGGCCGGATGGGGGGAGGGGTCTTATGCCTAGATCTTTGGAGGCTTGAGAGTGTGTTAGGAATGCAAAGGGGGCTGCTATTGCTGCTGTACTTGGGTCGCGGTTTTGAGATGGTGATTTGGCGGGAGAGGCGGAAGGGCGCGGTTCACTTTTTGTTGATGTGGGTTTGGGCTGGAGAAGGGCTCGGAGACGCGCTATTTGGGCTTCGTTGCGGGTTTTTTCGGCGACGAGGGCGGTGTTGAGTTTTTGAGTTTCGATGAGCTTGCGCCGGAGGGTATAAAGAACCTCTGGAGTGAGGGTATTGTCTTTGGGAGGGATGCGTAGGTTCTGTGAATCAGGAATGTTAGCGATTGAATCTCAGAGGTACAGCCATTCTCTTGCACATGTCCTAGTTCCAGGCCTCGATTCTCATGCAGCTCCAGACAGCCCACCCTTTCGTTTTATCCTTTCTACTTCGAAAAGAAGTTTTTGCGCTTACCTCGTAGCCTCCCAATCTCACCCAGTCGGCCATCCCCTCATCCTTCGGCAGGCATAGCACGTTTCTCAAACACCAAATCTCCAGACGATCGAAGTTTCGATCAACCGCGTTCTCCATAAGAGTCTCTAGCTTCAGCGTGCCCTCCTCAATCTCCAACTTCGCCTCAGGATATATGTTATTCCCGTCTTCATCTACATCAGGTGTGGTCGGCGGCGAGCGCGAAGCGTAGAGGGCATCGAAACCCAGGAGAGAGGGGTCGGCGGAGAGAAGGCCTGTTTCGAAGGTATCGGTGCACCGGTATAGAACTTCATTGACAGCATTTATTATGTCGTCGAGTAGCGACTGTAGTAAAGGTCAGCACATAGTGCCTGGAGGTTATGGAACGGAAATCTATGCGCCGGCGCAACGGCGTCTAAGTGGGGGGGTTTGTGAAATCGAAGGAGGCGCAACGTACGATTGGAGGCCATGAGAAGTGTTCTGTGAGCAGCAAGTTCTCCTGTTGTTTGGGATTCGCCATTTGTTTTGTAGTAGCTCTCGGTTGAGTCTTTGCACACGACCGCTGCTCGTTGCGTATCGTGCACCTCTGATGGCTGGGATGGCGGCGAAGTGAAAGTGACAGGCGCGGCGGAATCGCTTTTGAAACAGCCTCTCTTACCCAATATAGGGCAGTTCACTCAGAACACCAGAGCTAGTCTGTTCTTGTTATGCTGGTAGTAAACAATAACGTATCGTTTGCACTTGAACGCGCGCCTACAATGAGTGTTTACGCTCGTGTTTACTCCAGTTAAGTCTGCTGCGCTCCGATTGGCCGTGTCAACGCGAATCTTGGCGCTCGTTCCACATCATATACAAGTACAGTTTACAAGTATAAAAGATTCTGGGGGCCACACAGAAGCCACCAATTATTGAGTTCACAAAAGAGCGGTCACAAATGCAAAGAGAAAGAGTAGAAAAGCGATCCAGTGTAAACTTGGGAAGAGATTCTCGACAGAAATTGCCTTGATCCCACTCTTGGTTACGCAATATAATGTACAGTATCCACACTTGAAATGGCATCCAATATCTTCGCAGCTCCCTCTCCAATCCGCTAAGTCGCGACTGGGGTATCGGACAATCCCCATTCATCCCTGCATCTGCTTCTTCGCCATATCAATGGCAACGCCAGGCAAAGACTCGATTCTCCCCTCTCAAACACTCTACCACCGCACGGCTCAAGCCACAACACAGAGAGAGATACGCATATCCAACTTTTTCCATAGTCTCATACAATAAGTAGAGCGCTTAACAAATGCAGTTGACGCAGACTAAGTGCGCATGACCGTATGATTCTGGGGGCATGAAACTTGTGGGACGAGCAATGCGTTCCATGACCCATCCATGTGATGATAGAGAGAAGACGTCCAACAAGAATTGTAGAAGAAAGTGATAGCCAAGATGATAACATGGTCTGATCTGGTTTGTACGCCGGCACTCAAAACGCCCCAAACGAGAAACTTACGCTTGTGCAGCCCTTGACTACAAAAGAATGCCTCCATGCATCATGTCGCCGTTCGTTAAATGCCGGAGATTTAATATAAGCAGAAAACAGGTTTCCCTCATGCGCCTTTACCCCTCCCTGTGCTGCTGATATGAATGAAATTGGGGGGTTTGAACATGGATTATCACAAGACTCTTTTCAGTACGGCGCCCTCTCCCGTAGTCGCTGCGCCTCTTCCTGCCTCCTTTGTCTCTTTTCCCTATCCATTCTTATCTTGTGTGCTTCCGTGCCATCGTCCATCAGGCTTTCTTGAAACCAGGGGTGTTGGAGGGCCTGCTTCGCGGTGATGCGCTTCTTGGGGTCGTATACGAAGATGCGCTTGAGGAGGTCGAGGAATTTCCGGTTGAACTCCGTGTGTGGCGGAATGGTTTCCTAGTCAAGTCAGTTTAGGGCGATACATGACCTTGCATGGCACTTACATGGAGCTTCTTCATCGCCTTTACAAACTTTTTGGAACTCTTTTGGGTATCTGAATTGGGATAGTCCAGCTTGTAGTTCTTGAAATAGCGGGAGGCCCTATTCTAGTCAGCATTTACCTTTTCAGCACCGGAAGAGAATAAAACGTACGAGGAAGAGCTTCGTGAGTTGCGATGCTCTTTGTAAACCTGCTTCATTATTTCCCGATCTATCTTGCCACCGCATACAGCCTCCATCATGGCGAGGTGCTCGAGATTGTCATGCGTCTGGAACAAGGCATCGCCGGTGAAGAATTCAACGAGAATGCACCCGATGCTCCAGATGTCACAAGGATAACTCCAGCCAAGGTTGAGGATGATTTCCGGTGCACGGTAGTGGCGAGTGGATACCACCGATGAGTGGTACTCTTCCTGGAAGGTAGCAGAGCCGAAATCGATCAAACGTATCTCTGGGTCGAGGAGAACCTTACGGTGGCGTGCTTGCCGACTGGTCAGTGTGGACGACGAGGGAACGGTTCGATTGTAGGTGAACGTCTGGTAGGCGTTGTTGACGAGAAGGATATTTTCCGGTTTCAGGTCGGTGTGAATGAGATTGAGATCGTGCAGAAACGCGACGCTGGTGAATAGCTGCTTCGCAAACTTTTGGATATGCGAGGATGGGAACGGCACAAACGAGTTGGACTTGAGGAAGTCAAAAACACTCTGCCCGTAGAGGTCGGTAACGATGCAGATATGATTTCGGAAGTCGAAACAGTCTCGAAGGTGGATGCATCGGTTCACGTTCTCCTTGTCATTGGAAGCAAGCGTAGACAAGACTCGTAGCTCAATGCGCGAAGCCTCGCGGTATTTGGGCACCGACCGAATCACCTTGATGGCACATCGAGTCTGCTTTTTTCTATCCCAGGCTTCAACGACTTTGCCAAAGGTGCCTTGGCCTAGCAGCTTGCATATTTGATCTGCGCAGATGTCAGTACGGCGATAAGAACATATGAACAGTTGTATCGTACAGCGTTCGGTGAGGTCATTTTCGGGGCTGACGATGTAGTGCCCGTCTTCGTCGTCGACTTTCTGGTCCTTGGTGTAGGTCCGCTTGGACGAATTAGCATAAGACTCGGCAAGCGGGGTTGTGGATCTCACATCAGGAATAACCTGCACATAAACATCTTTAGCCTTGATGACGGGATTCGGAGGTGGCTGGTACAGAGCAAACGGGTCCGTATCGTCCAGCTCTCTACGTTTGGCCTGCTTGGCCTCGTCCTGGGCGGCGGCGCGAGTGCGCTTCCGCTTCTGGCCCACCACGCTGCTGTCGAGGGGCGAGAGATGTTGGCCGTTGCTCGCTTGAGAGCCCAGGGAAGTGGCAGCTGTATTGGTCAAAGCAGAGGTGGTTCTATCAGTAGAGGCCGAGTGGTTTGGCGAATCGTAGTAGACAGGCGTTTGGGTAGTGGAATACGAAGTATGCTGATTGTAGACGGGATCGTAAGCCGTCGAAGTTGCCGTCTTGCGCTTCTTGTCATTATGGCGGACGGGGCCGTTGGTTGCAGTTCGCGCGGGTTGTGCAGGGCGCGGAGGAGGAGGCCTCGCAGGGTCTTCTTCGTCATCGTCAATCACAATGACTTCCTTGGGTATGCCATTTTTATAGAAGGCGGCCCAATCGGGTTTCTGCTTCCTGCTGGCCATATCGGAAGGGGGCACGGTGTCGGACACGGAGGGCAACTGCTTGGATGGGCGGTGGGTGGTTGTAGTCCGACGCACGTCTGAGTTTGAGGCGGTATTAGGGTAGCCGTTGTAGAGTGAGTTGGCTATGCGGTTGCTCCCGTTTGCGAGTGGAGCATTGGTGGGATTATAAGTTTGATGGTGGGAGTAGAACTGGTGATGGGGAGGGAGCGTGGCCGTGGCCGTGGAAGGCGCCGACATGTCTCTGCGTGTGGGTGAGTCGGCGGCGTGCGGTCCAGGTCTTCAGTGTGCGGTGGAGGAGGTTTGAAACGCTGATCGGTATAGGCACTGGTGGGAGAGTGCGGGTGGAGGAGGATGTGGTGGATGGAGGGGGGGAGTGTTTGCGGGGGGGAGTCTGGCGGGTGAGAGATGCAAAATTGGACGAGCTGGACGGTCCACGGTGGACTCAGTGGGCTCGCTGGAGGCGCAGAGGAGGAGACGCTATCACAGCCAACAGCGGACCGAGGGAGTCGTGGCCGTCGAGGTACTCGAGATGGTGGCTATGGGAGCACAAGCATGGAGGCTCTCGGGCTGGGGGATGGAGTCACAGCAAGAGACGAGTGCAGCCAACAAAACGGGGAAGAATGTCGAACATTGATGCGGGAGAGGAGTGGATCGTGATGAGTGAGTGGTCTCGTTGGAGGAAGGACTGGAAAGAGCGAGCGAGCGAGCGAGCGGAGATGGCACGGGCCTCTGCTAGCGACGTCTTGTCCAGTCTATGTACCGTCATTCATTGCACGCGCCATAGCAACCCACGGCCACAGTCGACCGTCTACGTGCGTACTTTACTTTGCACACCTACACCTACACCTCCGGATTGTCCATGAAGCTTCAGTGATTTTTCTTTTGGTCTTTCGTCGCCGTCTTCTTGTTTCTTTTCAGATACATACATATATACCTATGTCCATGTGCTCTGTCAAGAAGAAACATGAGAAGGGATGGACGGATGCCTCAGCTGCTCCCCCTCCAATATAATGTATCCACGGTGCTGCCAGCATGGTCTCCCTTCCTTTACTATTTGTGCCTTGTCCCAATCTCATTCCCCCTTCTTTTCTTCTCTTCCTGCCATCCCATCCGTCCTTCTTGCTCTGTGCTTACTTGAAGTGGTACACAATTTGCATAACAAAGTCCTGGTGGGTGTGTGCAACCCACTCGCTGGAACGAACTATCAATGGCCGTCACCTGCTCGTTGGGGCGACACCACCTTACATACATATGTACATGAGTACTTGGCCAAACCCCAGTCCATTCATCCGATCAGCAACATGTCATCCCACTTGACAATGACAGAAGAATCGTCTTGGCTGCTGGCTACGTCCTTTCTTCCCACTTTGCCCCATGGCCTTCTCGGTGGTCTTGAGTCCCGTGGTGAGTGAGGCGTGCAAGGAAATGAAAAGGGATGGAAAAAAATGAAGCACCACGATTCCATGCGTCTCGTTGCTGCAGGACTCTGATTCCTGTGCCAAAGTCTGTTGCGTCCCAGCCGTCGGGCTGACAGTCCGATAACGCGCGCACATGTATATTGCAAATTACTCAATGAATCCGTCCCTTCTCAGCAACCTGTCGGGCCCTGCGCCCGCTTTATTTGGGGAAGCCGAAAATCCATCGGGGCCATGCCATGCATCTTGCCACAGCGCGCGGGGGGGGATAATGTCCTGATGATTCATCCTCTTGCTCGTTAGGCGCTGCCATTCCTCCAACGGCGGCTTGACCTCCTGCCTGATGTTGTTTTTCCCACACAATCAATACGTTGCATGTCGTGAGAGTGTCAGAGGAGGGTACCCAGCCTTTCGCTTCGCCACGCCGCGCCCATTCCAGATGCTGCCCGTACATTAGACTGGCCTCCGCCACCGAGATGAGAGGGAGAAGTAACCAAGCAGACGCATCTGTACAGCCATTCGCCAAGGCACCAAAGAAAATTCGAAAGCGCACCCAGCAAAATGAAATCTTGACTGTTTCGAACGAGGACCCCGCCTCGGTAGCTTCGCGTTGATCGGAAATGCTACCGAATCCAGCGGCCTGATTAATCAGGAAACACGCTCCTCGACGCGTCTGACTACACCATCCGTCACGTGCACCATGAAAACGTTTCAGTATGCGCTTTCATCACACAGAGCTATCATGGCCACCACACACAAGGGAAAAAACAGCCTGCACCAGGCGGCTTAGTCGTAGCCGTTGGCGCTCTCTCACTGCCAGACGTTGCAATTTGCCGTATCACAATGATCAACCAATCCAGGCATCAGGCAAACCGTGCCGAATGGTCCATCGGTCAGAAAGGGCACATGTGAGAATAGGGCAACGCCCGCAAGCAAGCAAGCAGGCAACTGGGAGCAATCCGTCAATCAACCGGAATCACCATAGCTGATGTGAGAGTGCCGCCAACTCAGCCTTCTTCTTTTTTTCCTTCTTCTCAAACAATCCCTTGATAGCATCATCATGGTGTATGCAGCTGCAGAAACCCACACGTACCAAATCGCGCGTTGCGTCGTTGGATGCACGGTATCGTAATTGAAAAGCAAATATGAGGTCATACCACCCCATCCTGTCTATCGGTCTGCAATGTACGCCTATCACATCCTGACCCTCCCCCTCCTCGCCCCGTCGTCTTACATGCACCAATTGTTCCACCCCATGCGGTGCTCATGTCGGTCCATTTCATATACGGCCGATAGAAAGGAAGAAAAAGTTTAGTACAAAATGGTACATGTTGGAGCTGTGATAAGCAAGGCTGAGATTGTCTTGTCAGAGCGACGGACGGATGCTCACGTCTAAGCATGACTGTACTTTTGGGTTGACCGGTATTGCAGCACCGTTGACTGCCGTTTTCCGGTTGGCTAGCTATCTAGCTGACCGGCCGTTGTCGGGGGGGTCGCGGAGCGATTTCGCCATAGAGGCTGCGAGAAAAAGTGTCGACGCGCATGAGGGAATGGTATCCAATGGCCGATAGATTTGGGTTTGCAGTCTACGTCGTACCTCGTTCATAAATTAATACGTAGTGTAGAGATTGTCTTTCATAGCAATGATCATTTCTTCGTCGCAAACGCGCTTCTATATGATTCAGGTCGAACATGTAATGTCCGGTGAAGTTCAACATTGGTCTTGATCAGGAATAGATTGAAGATTGATCATTAGAAAATTCCGATATCAGTTCCACTCTACCGTGAATGCCTTAGAATAGAATCGCAGGTCTTTTGTACAGATATCAGTGATGTATCCCCCTTACACCATGTTACTTCAACAAGAGGTCCATATGACCAACCTCCTTCTCTGTAACAGCAGCAGTGTCTACAATCACGTCAGCTCATACTAGGACACTACCCCCGAGAGATAAAACGTCATGTTTTCATTATATTATATTCAATTTCAATTTCATAACCAAGAGCTATATAGTATCCCGGCAACTTACAATTTGGGGGGGATAGATATCGTAACGAGACAAGAAAAAAGAAACTCAACGATTCAAACTCCTTCCACGAATAAGGAAATCGAGAGAGTGGGCGTACAACGAAAAGGAAAGATGAGCCAGGTAATAACCAATGAAACAATAAAAGGGCAAAGAAAGCAAGAAACAAAAAACCACACCGCTGTCTAACATGACTGAGAACGCATTGGACAAAGAGCCCCCCACAATTGCAATCTAAAACCAACAGCAAATTCAGATAGCCTCCCGCGGATGTCTTTTTTCCTTCAAAATGGGTATATCCCAGAAGTCCACCCACCTAACACCGTTTGTGAATTAAAACGAGATGACCGCCCAATTTTTTTTTCTCGCTCCTAGTGAATCATCAACACTGTTCCGCTGTCTATTCAGCATAATCCTTCTATCACGAATTTCCATCCCTATATCGTGTGACGCGTGAGTATGGGAAATCCAATCTAACGTATGGCTTTGAAGTCGCTGAAGAAGGCTGTAAGGAGCGCTTTCAAACGTGACACGATTATCTCAACGTGATCTTCGTCGATATTGAACGCCGGAGCAATGATGAGATAATCGCCGTCCTTGCCATTGGAGCGGCCGCAGGGGTAGAACTGGATATTGAACTCATCAAGTCCTGCCGGGGGTTAGCCTACTGCATATGCGGTGGCATGCTCAAGTTTTGATGACAGCGTACCCAGTCGAGCAATGCTCAAAGAGATTTCGTCAGCCGCACCAAATGATTCTTTGAGAAGTTTGTCTTTGACAAATTCCAACTGGGGGTGGTCAGCGACGCGCTCCTGCGGATTGGAAGACGAATGGCTTACTCCCAAAAACAAACCTCCTCCACGAACATGTCCGACGTGAGGCAGAGGCAGGATCTCGGCTTTGAGCCTCTTCATTAGCAGTTCCCCCATTTCACTTGTGTTCTTGAGCAATTTTTGCTCGTCGATAATATTGAGCACTGCAAGGGCTGCGGCGCAAGCCAGAGGATAATTTTCAAATGTTTGGCCGTGGTTGAAGCCACCAACGGATTCCATGACATGGTATATCTCTCTGTTGATGAGCATACCAGATATCGGAAAGTGGCCTGCCGCCATCCCCTTTCCTGTAAGCAGGATATCGGGCGCTACATTTTCGTGTTGCCAAGCATGGTAGTATGTACCTGACCTACCCATCCCACACATGATCTCATCGAAAATCAGAAGAAGGTCATATCTGTCGCAGAGATCCCGCACGGCTTGCAAGTAGCCAGAAACAGGTGGCATGCAACCGAGTGCCTATTTGTGCCATTAGCAACATGGATCGATCATGCAGGGGCCGATTAGCGAAGGCGTGCTGGTCAGCGAGTGGCAGGCGTGTTAGCCGAACTGCTGTGTAACGATGGCTACCCTGCATCGGGAAGCACGTCGACTACCCGTCTCCAACGTCGTGGACAGCGAAATCAAGACTTACCGCACCTACGATGGGCTCGATAATAACACCAGCAACGCGATCCTCCCCAGCGTTCCGAATTTGAGCTTCCATGTCATCGATGAGACGAGTTACATAGCCTTCGTCACTCTCGTCTTGGCCCTGGCCACGGTACGAGTCGCACGGCATTGCGTGCCTGACTTCCATGAGATTGTCTCGGAAAGGATCGCGGCGCGCCTTGTGACCTCCAACAGCCAGGGCACCGAGGGATATGCCATGATACGACTGCTTACGGCCAATCATTACATTGCGATTTGGTTGGCCTCTCGCTGCCCAGTACTGAATAGTCAGTTTGAGAGCCGCATCAACACTTGCAGTCCCTGCATCTTGTTAGGGAATATCTGGTATGTGATTCAGAGATATACTTGCCCGAGCTGTAAAAGACGCAGCTGACCAAGTGTCCCCAAGTGGTAGCAAGTAATGCCTCTGCATAACGCTTAACAATTCGACATGTCATTTCGTTGCTGTTTACATATGGTACGCGATGTAGCTGCTTCACTATGGCTTTCGTGACCTTTTTGTTTGGGCCGGGTCCCAGGCAGCTCACCGCGGCTCCACCAGATGCGTCATAAATTTTTCTTCCGTCTTCAGATATCAGGTAATGTTTTTCTGCTCTGGTAATGACAATTGGGTCCCGCTTGAAGCTCCTCGGGAAGACACTCCGGTAGGTCTTGGAGACTCCACTGGTAGAGTACCTTCTTGGTCGGGCATCCCTAGACTTGAGGGTCTGCACTGGAGCATCCCTATGGGCAGGGACCAGTTTCGTTTGGAGAGCTTTTGTCCTTGAAGGTGACAACAACAATGGTCTTGGGCTTGACGCAGGGAGCGTACGTGAAATTCTCTTGGGAGTAGGCATTGGATGAGTTGAATACAAGTCAAAGTAGTGAAGAGGGAGATGTGGTTCAGATTGAGTAGCGATACAATGAGTTTTTTCAATGGAAATTGAAGCGATAGAGTGAGGTAAAGGACGAAGGGAAGAGGCAGGGACGTGGGCTTATTTATATATGTAATCTCACTTGCACAGGAAGAGCTCACACCGGTTGCTGGAAAACGCTTCGCCTCATGACACGCAGCTCCCCCCAGTTCACTAAGCAACTAGGTACTTGGGTAACAGCAGGGCAAGTCGTGGTATCATGGAACGAACGGGTCGGACCATGTGAAGATAGAGCGTCTGTCTCGGCAAGCCGAAACTGGAAGCTTCCAGCCTAAAGTCGTTAGTGCCCGAGGCCGCGTGTTGGTGCCTTTGCAAGTTGGATGTCGACCTCACCGTTCTTTCCTTCAATTCGATTGCCCTGATGGGAGGAGGCGACGTGCGGCTGTGGTATTGATTAATGCCAGCTGTTGTGGTCAAGGCCATGTACAAACTGGTACAAGCAGAAAAAAAAAGAAGCCCGTGCCTCACTCATGCCTGCTCGCCTCGTGCTTTATACCGAGCCAATGAATGGGGTTGACGTGCGTAGGGAGAACCAACGTGGGCTTGCCCCCGGACGCAGGTACATGTACAGGGCGCAGGGTTTGGATGGCGTGGCGCTTGGGAGTATGTTCATATAGATAGGCCCTGTCACATAACCTTGTTGGTGCACGAGGAATGAGTATCCTGACTTCTAGATCCAAGGTGGAATCAAGGTAGGCAGGCGGCACTGGAGGCGGCGAGACGGCGATACCGAAGACGGACAAGCACGCGGCTCAGGTGCTGGTGGGAGGGAAAGATGGAGGGAGGGATGTAAGTACAGGTGAGAATAGCAGAGAATCAACGGCTGAGAGCAAGTGAGTATCTATTCCAAGACCACTAGGCAATGGGCAAGGCCTTGTCGCCCTTCCGCATTCAAGGCTCTCGGATCCCGAATTCGGCGCAAAGGACGATAGAGTCATCGGTGAGAGGGAGATATACGAGCATGTTGGACTGTTGCAGAATCAGGTAATGATGATGCCTGTAGCCAGTGACGATAGCTGGCATGGCGTGTGTAGCGTGTGTATAATGAATGCTGTGCAATGGCGTGACTACTGTTCGGCGACCTCACAGCAAAGGCGGGTTGTCGCGACTGCGTGTGATGGACGGCATTGATTGATTCAATGAATGTTCCGAGGTTGCCAGTAAGGCGTAAGCGAATATGAGCAGCGGCTGACAGCTACGGCTGGGCTGCACCCATGCTGGATGGTGATGAATGGTTACCAGTAGACGTCCGACCATGGACGCCCCCAAACCACATAGACATGGGGTATAGTGCCGTACAGCACAGTATGCCGGATCAGATACGCCCGCCACGAACCTCCCCAGACATACGTACATGTTATTTGCTGGTGGGTCACGAGGATCAGGTCGCATTCGTAGTCAATCATGACACGCGAGATGCATTGCAGCCTCATCCATCCGTCCCAAATTTAGTCATCACACGTGCTTTTTGGATTTGCTGCTGCTTGACTCGCCGTGCACATGTTCGGCTTCCCGGCTTGGAGTGTCGGTCGGCTTCGATTGAACTCAATTGACCAACTGACCGGCCGGCTAGGTTGGCCATTGGTCATGGCCAATTGCTGGGCGTGCCATGGTTCTTCAAGGCAGAGAGGCACATGAGACCGAGCCACGATGGAAGGAGAGAGACGAGCCCGTGCCGAGGTGGTGGAGAAGGAAAAATCAACCTGGGCACGGTGGTAGTGAATGGGTGGCAGACAGTAGGTAGCATGCAAACACCTGTCGGCAAGGCGGCGAGCGCCGGTACGGAGGCGCAGTGCTCTGCTGCTGGCATCCCGGCCGACTCGCGCGCTTCCGAGCCACAGACGACCCCAATTTTCCTGGCTCGTTACTCATCACCGTCACCTCGTCCTCTGTCGTCGCCATCACCGTCACCACCCACATATTGTCAGGCCTCTATACTCGGCCCCACCGGAAATCCCTCGTATGCACCCCAAGTCGTGCCACGACGAGTTTCCTCACCGCAATTGAATGCTGACCAAGTACCTAGGTACGCTACACTACACTGCAGCACCTACCCCATTGTGCTAGCTGTCCCCTCTCCTACCCCGCCGCGACTTCATCTTTCACCCGCCTCGCGCTCCTGCCGCCGCCGCCGCTGTTCGCCCACCGCCATGAATCCTCGCGTGGAAGAGGTTTCCGATTCGGATTCGGACCCTGAGGAGATGGACATTTCCAACTTGTCCTCCCTCATGACCCCATCCCAGATCCCCTCATCCTCCGCCATGCCGTCCATGCCGTCCATGCCGCAAGAGATGCTCCAGCCTCAAGCGCCCGGTGCTGTCTCAGCAGACCGCGAAAAGTCAAAACACTATCAGTGCCTGTATCCTGTATACTTTGACAAATCACGGACAAGAGCCGAGGGGCGTAGGGTGGGTGCAGAGCTTGCCGTGGAGAATCCCTTGGCGAGAGAAATGGCCGATGCTGTAGCCAGTCTCGGCCTCAGTGTCGTCTTCGAGCCGGACAAGCTTCACCCAAAAGATTGGAGTAACCCAGGTCGCATACGTGTCCTGATCAAGAAGGATGGACAGATGGTTGCCCCCAACGTCCAGAACAAGCACCATTTGTATATCCTGGTCTCCAAATATCTGAAGAATCACCCCACGCACAAGAAATCGCCCTTCAGGCTTCCAATCAGAGGCGTGCCCATGCCTGAGGAGATGCCTGAGCCTGCTGTGCCAAAGGGCTGGAAAATGAACACCATTCTCCCTCTCCACTCTCCCGCATTGACTGGGGGTGGTGTGAGTGAAAACTTCCTGCAGGACATGATGGCTGAAATGCAGGGAGACATGGGTGCGGGCGCCAGCGCGGGCGCAGTCACAGGGGGGAGCAAGAAAAAGGAAAAGAAGAAGAAATGAGACTCTCCCGTGAGGACGATAGAGCGCCGTGCATGCCAACATGAACTGGAGTGAAGGACTTGTGACCCGGAATCCCCGTGCAATTACGATCGGGGAAACAATAAGCGCTTCCGCGATCCCATCGGAGCATGGGCTACCGTCCCCAAGACGGCATATCATGCATAGTACAAATCGAAACGATGGACTCTATGGATTTGACGGATTTGGCGACATATGCCGTACGCTTACATTCGCGCTCCTCTAGAGATGTTGAATGGCATGGCGTGCCTACACGTGCCGTATAGAGACCAACTTGGTGCGCATGGATTCAAGCATGCACCATCTTTCAAACGCCATGTGTCGGTGTTGAGCAGATAGTCGTGCCTCTTGACGCGGGCTTGAACCCGTTGCCCCGCCATGGCTTGCGGCGCGGTCGGGCCTCTGTGGATGTGATTTTATCAATGGAACCCGAATTTACTCTGAGCTCCGACATAGCTTGCTGCAATATCAATGAGTGCCTACCTTGGTCAGAAACAGAACCCATTTTCACTCTTCATCGTGAGTCGTAACTATAGCATTGATGTCGAGTAATTCAATGCAGTGATGATGTTCGGAGCAATCTGTCGGTCCCTGGTTCCATCAATCTCCGAGCGCGTAATGGATCGGATGCAACCCAACCTGCCGGATCGCCTCGCCAAAGCGTCTCCACCAGAAGCAGTCTCTTGTTTGCATCCCATTCCCACTTGCAGAGTTGCAAGAAACATGATCGAGCGACTAAACCGCCGCCGCTGCTTTCCTGTACAGCGGAGTGAATCCACAATCTTCACTCCGATGATCGCATGGGAGGTGAACGTCCTCCGCCGCACACGCGCCTCATCATCTACGACTCACTGCTGGCGCAGGATCGACGAGACATGACGGAGACTAGCAAAGGTACTTGGGTGCGTAGTACGCAGGTACAGATATGGCGTATCACTGAAATCTTCCATCACACACCTCTTGCAGGAACGGGGCGTTTTCCCAATCAACCGACCGTGTAAGCAAAGCATTCTCGTGTTGTCATGTCATCGTCTTCTCCAAACCTTAATGGCTCCCTCCACAAACTGTGCTCATCCATGGAGGGATCGCTCTTCGTGGCGCTCCCCGCCAAGCATAGATCACGTTGTGGACTCGCGATGCGTGTGTACCCTGCATACCCATGCGAGTGAGGGGCGTCGCCATGAGGGGGTGTAGGCTTTTCCTGCAACCCACTTCCATCTAGGATAAGATTATCGCACGAAAGAGAGACATCCCGTGAGTTTCCTTGTGGCGTGCACCTAATAATGCTCATTCTATACCTTCCCTCGTATTCAGTCTCTCCGGTATTTGATCCCTGGATTAACCCAGATCCAGAAGTCACCACCTCAACATGTTCCAATTTATCCGAACCATACTGCAATTCTATCCGATATCTCTGCCGGGGGAAGGGATGAGGCCAAGAATCAGGGTTGTAACTATTCCGCTTCATTCTGATCATTCGTTCGAGCTGTCTGGCCGCTGTATCTCTTCCCTCATCTTCCTTCCGAATTCGTCCATCCTTGGTTTCCGGACGTCTCGGACATCTCTCGTAAAGAGCGATTTGTGGTTCCTGCTTTCCAGAGCACGCAAGGATGACTCTCATGCACACCGCTCTGCTGGGACAAAATCAGTGCCTCCGACATGTACTTTCACATCAACGCTCGTATCTGGACACGGAAAGACATGCGTCTGTGCAGGGACGCATGATAAGTGCATTTCATCACTGTCATCGAGTCTATGTGGTCTGTCGTGGATGACCTAGGGTGCCCTGCCCCTCCCTATCACGGAATTATAGCTACCGTTCCATTGTGATCAATGACCCAACGAGAAAACCGAAAACGGAGGAGGTGGAAAGGAGAGCAATTTCTCGTGAGCCATTTGCTAATCCGTTCGTCTAACCATGTCCTGCTGACGCTCCGCGGACGTTGTTACCATCACTGATCAATAATCGACGCGGAATTTGCCGCTGCTGTACATCGGACCAGAAGAGAAGGAACGCCGTTTTCCCAATATCCCTTGTTCAGTTGCCGGTCATAGTCAAATGTAAATCATACGCTCACTCCCGAACAGAAGAAGACCCCGATATTATGGTAAAATGATGTTTGATTTCTTTTCGTTTTTTGTAATATCCTTTTTGAATGCAATGCATGGCTGTCTGATCATCGCAGCTAAGCTACCACTACTATTTTAAACTTCGTCCCCACATCCCCGTAATAATTCATGATGCAAAAAATATCATTATCATGTCCTCAATCTGTTTCTCAATGGCACAACCAAAACAATTAGATGGAAAGCCCCAGAAAACAAAAAGTCCAACAACACTTCCGAAACTCTTTTCGACGACATCCTGCGCTGCTTCGTCATATACTCATGTCTTCCTTGGAAAAGGATATTATGTCCCGAGGCATCATGGGATCACCTCATTCGTGACCAAGAGACTACCGCCACTCAAGGGAGAGCTGGGCGGCTAGCTGACAGACTGATTCGTTCGTAGGAGCGAGGAGTGTGCATCTACTCCTGCTTCTGTTCGCCTTGCTGTTGCTCGGCGCCTTCAGCCTGTTGTTGCTCGCCCTCAGCCTTTTGCTCGCCTTCCTGGTTCTGCTCCCCCTGCTGAGCTTCGTTGGCGGCTTGCTGCTCAGCTTCCTGTTTCTGTTGTTCGGCCTCCTGCTGTGCCGCCTGCTCACCCTCCTTGTTCTGCTCAGCTTCCTGCTGACCGAGTTGCTTGTTGAGCTCGTTGTCAGCGGCGTCTTGCTCGGCTTTCTGGAGGTTCTCGATCTCTGCCTGCCAGATGGCACCCTGCTGAGCAGCGGCATCGTCGATGACGGAAGTCCAGGTAGGGCGGGCGGCAAGAAGTTCAACACCCCGGGTCTTGGTGGGGAGGACGGCAGCACCGCTGATGCCTGCAAAGCCGTTTCCACCAACACCGTTCCCAAAGCCCTTGCCGACGATGTCTGCAGCAACGAGGGTGCGGGCTTCAAAAAGCATGACGGTCTCGGATCGCTGTTGGCCACGGTTGGCGACAACGATGCTCTGAGCAAAGACTTCTTGCTGGAATTGGTTGCCACGGCCGTCATCGACGGCTACATTGATCTGCGTGACGACCATCATGACGGTGGAGACATCGTTGCGTTCACGGCGGCGGCCGGTGGAGCGGAAGAGGTTGTTGAGACCGTTGTTGAAGCCGTTCTGTTGTTGGTCGACAACAAGGACTTGGTTGACTTGCTCGACAACTTGGGCCTGGAAGCCGCCGAAGTTGACTTGCTGGATGTTTTGCTGCTGGATCTGCACGACCTCTTGCTGCCTCTGGAAGTTTCCAAAGCCACCAATGAAGTCGAAGCCGTTTTGGTTGCCGAAGACGTTGTTTACATTGAGCTTGTTGACAGAGAAGTCACCGCCGACACCACCAATGTTGCGCTTCTCATAAGAGGGAACAGGTTTGGCAACTACGATGTCCGGTCAGTTTCTGTTCACTCAATCAAGGTTATAAGTTTTACTTACCAGCGAAGCCAGTCGCGAGAGCCAAGATAGCAAAGGATTTGAAAGACATGTTGTTGAAGGAGTGGGTTGATAAAAATCGATTAAAGGAGTAAAGTCGGTAAAATAAGGGTTATTAGAACGTCACAGACGGTATGGTTGAATGAATGAGTGCTATCAAAGCAAGGCTGACTATCAAAGCCGGCGTAATAGAAAGAAGGTATTACAAAGTAATGGGATAACCCGAAAGAATTGGAAGTGAAGGACTGTTGGAGAAGAGTAGTAGTGAGTGGAGTAAAAAAGATACTTGAAGCCGGATCACTCAGGCTTATAACAAATTCCTGAGGATGCGTTACTGACTCGACCAGTCAGTCGACCATCAGCTGTCAGTTCCTCCCCCGTCATGCAATCTGGGTGCCTTTCGACCCGAACACACAGCCGGCACACATGGCACGTCGGCCTCAGGTGCAGCCGTCCCCGCCAAGCTCACGACGATGTCCAGACAAAACGACTGCCAAGAGAGCTTAAAACCATCCGCTCGACTCCTGAGAGGCCTGAGGAACTGGCCAAGCACTGCAGTGGTTCACGGATCCATGGCATCCGATCACCCTCCCTGGAGTCCCACGAGCTGTACCAGGATGCAGAGGTGGAGGATCCAGTTTTGCGACGATCAGCCACGCTCGACCATGGGGGAGGTTAGCTGTGGCAAGTACGAGAAGAAAATCTTGGTCGCGATGGTTGTTTTCATGGTGTTGAGGCGCAGATGAAACCCCTGCAGTCACAGGACCCATGCTCTACAAGGGCTAGCGGCCACGATTAAGGTCGCAGACACTCAAATGTGACTGTATAATCCGTTATGCTATTAGCAAAGGACTACGAACCGTAATGCCTGATCCGCAATTTCGTTAATGCCTTGAGGGAAATATTTGTGCCTGTGTGGCAGCTGAAGATTAAGGATCAACCACTCGGCTGCTCGGTGCGACTCGTGTGAGAGCTCCTCCCTTTCGTGAAAAGAAAGAAAATCAAGGCAAAATCCATTGGCAGTTACGACGCACTCTTGGAAAAGGCCAAAGGTCGTTTGATGATTCAAACTATCACATTGTGCTTGTCGTGGCGTGCATACATCCCAGTTCTTTCACTATTGTGATATTCTTGATATAGATACTCTGAAAATACACCTTTACACAATTATATCATTATGTACGAACACCAAAAATCAATCATCAACCCAACACAACTTCAGCAAAGCATCGGAGTTTTCCAAAAATGGAGGGGACATTACCGGCTGTCAAGCTGCCCCACGATGATACGGTTAGCAGCCAGAATCCAGGACTATGGGGTAAAAATGCCAACATCGAGCAGGGATCTCCATGATCACCCTCCTAACTCGATAAAAATCAAAGCTCCGTGCCTTAGAGCGAAAATCTCCAGCTTCGCACGGTCGCGCACACGGTGCGCGACTTGTCACACAAGCTTGACACGCTCCACCCGTTGTCCCGCACGTCCCTTCCACAACTTCTGCCTAACGTCTTCTTTCGCCTCTTACGCATTTGGCTGTTGGCATGTCTCGATGAAGCTATCGTCGTACCATTCATGTACCTATTCCTGGAGGATGAATCCTTTTTTTTTTCTTCCTTCTCTTGTTCTCCTGCTCGTAACTTGAAACGCGTTGTTGCAGCAATCTAGTGTTATCAATTTTTTTTGGTTGGGCCTTGGTAAGGGTGGAATTGTAGGTGCCGGGTACACGGGTTCTTCACACCAGGGGTCCAGACATAGGTCGGCTACTATACAGTTTCATCATGACTTTCATCACTGTATGAGTTGCTTGTTGACCCCTCCAATTCAATAGAGCTTGTCATTGTTTGGTATTCTATTTCCATTCGAATCAACTAACTATAGGCGCCAAATATGGGAATGCAGTGGTGAATCAGTGGCATTTGTACAACGACACCAAGAACACTTTATCAAGTGAATTACATTACAGGATGGTAAGGAGCGGTGAGACCCAACGAGAAGGGGAGAGAGATGTGTAAGACTCCGAACTGACTCCAGGGCCTGGGATCCTGATCCACATGCTGCCGAGCCACACATATTGGGAATACACACGGGAAACCAAGACAACAAGAAACGGCAACGGCGCTACGAGAGTCGGAACAGAGAAGTAGATAATAACATGTGTGTCATATTGTACCAAGAGAACTGGTGACTGACTCGATCATGTGATTGCCTTGGAAGATGTTCGGTCCAAGACTCCGGTCGCACACTCACTCCTACGTTGTCCTCTCGGTAGAAACGGCACCGATTTGAGCTACTCGCTCGCCGCGGGATGCCTTGATCTCCTGGTATCCTGTCTGCCCAAGGCGGCTTCGGATACAAGCAAGACAGTGTTTCATCATTGTATTCAGTTGATCATCTTTGGGTTTTCATCCGGACGAAAAAGTCGAGGAGGACGGCACTGGTCACAGAAAGGAGATGTTGAGAACTTTCTGTGATTTCGACAGTGAGAATTATACATATTTGTCTTCTCTTAAACCATTTATGTGTAAGAGAACCCGCTCACCCGTCCCTGATATCTGATACCACCTCTTCAAATGACGAAGAGAAAGACGAACAGGAGCAGTGCGGAAAAGATTCGATGTTCGCCCCAACGAACAAAACGCCTGTAAATGCCAAATTCAATCAATCGAACCATTCAATCGAAAGAGCACTCGAGAAAAAGATCCCGAATCTCGGGTATCTTCACATCTACACCCGCCAAATGACACGCTACAACAAGAGAGACCCGGCTCATTGTCACCGAGAAGAAAAATGGTCAAAGAATTAGGATGTGGTCGAGCAAGGTCTACTCCTCGTCACTATCCGTGTCTGTGTCGGTCTCACTCTCGCTCTCAACATCGCCCTCCGTGTCGCTACCGTCGCTGGAGTCATCGTCATTGCTGCGCTTCTTGACAGGAGCACCTCCCTTGAGAGTGCGCATTTGCCCGGCGATTGTGTCTGGACATTCATTAGCTTCGATCCTTGAATCAAGAACGGGGACATCAATAAACTTACCTTCATCCGGCTCGCTAATCTCACCATCCTCCTCCACATTCTCAGCGTGACTCGCATCTTCGACAACGAGTGTCACTTCAGTTTTCGTGTCCATGGCGATGTAACTGTCGCAGATCATGTGCATAACAAAAGTGTAGCTTCCTGGTTGTGGAGGCGCGCCAAATTGCATCTTGAGCGTTTGCATGTTGTACGTAGGCTTGCCATTTTCATCAATGATAGGTTTATCGAAAGTGGTGAAAGTGAATGGAGGGACAGCAATGCGACCTTGCTTGCTATCTGCAAGGAAGATCTGCCAACGCGGAGCATGGTCACGAGCGTAGTATGGGGCGTGAGCTAGCGGCGGTTGAATAGGCTTGTCACCAGAGCGATCATCTTTGCGACCGGTAATGGCTGCAACGTCTCCCTCATCTGGGTCGATGTCCAAAAGGTCCTTTGGATTGATTTCAGGGACATCGACGGCGCTGGCGGGAACAAAGCGAGCCTTGACAACGAATTGGACCAAACTGCTAGGTGTGACAAAACGCTCTCCAACTACTTTGAAGAAAGCCTTTTCCACGTGAAGAACCAAGAGTTGAGAAGCCACGGACATGGCTTGATCGTATTGTTCTTGAGTAAGAAGACCGGGGGCAACAACGCGTGCTTTACGTTGTTCAGAGGGGAGATGCATGAATTCTTGGACAGAGAGGTGGGTTTTGGACTGTTGGGCTTCAGCAGCGGTTGCAATGGATGGAGTAAAGTATGGCAACTGCTCCAAAGGAGAGGCGCCAGGTCGAAGTGCTTGGATCAGGTTTTGCGACGTATGGTAGGCTGAAAGAACACCCCTGGTGAAACCATAGGCCAGCGCGATGGAGCCGTATGCTTCGTTGAGCTTATGTGCTATGGGTGCAAGCGCATACTTCTCCTCGTTGAGAGTCCTGTCGCCCAATTCGACGCGGCCAAGGTATGCCCAAAGAAGCGTGAGGACTTTCCTCCTCCGGCTATCTTCAAGTTCTTCGATTTTCTTACGGTCCTGCTTGGTCAAGGCGGTCGGTACGGGTGAGCCGGACGTCTCAGAAAGCACCTTTTGTTCGATCTTAGAGAGCCCGTTTTCCGCCTTGTGTCCGTCCAGAATGTCGTTGAATTCCTCGCCGGTGCTGAGTGCGCCAATGACGGCACTCTCACCTTGGTCGCTATCGTACTCCCGGAACAGTTTTCCCGCACTCTGTATCAAGATTTTGTCCTTGGTCATGCGCTGAGTGCCATACCACCACTTACCGACAGTGTAGGGAAGAATGACACCGAGCGCGAGTGCATACATCAGGAGAACATATTTGCCGTGACCCTCGGTGACGATCCACTTTGGAAGCGCGATACCGATACTGAAGCTCTGCTTTCCGTCTGGGTGACCAAACTCCAGAAAGTTCTTGCGAACATCTTCGTCGGTGAGTGCCTTGAAAGCCTTTGTGACCTCGACCCAGTGATCATTGATGACATCTGTGGTGATATTCTGTGATAAGTCTTCCCTCCGTTTATCGGGATGCTGGGTAAGCGACAGCTTGCGGTAACGGGACTTGATCTCCTTTTCAGTTGCAGACTAGTGCGATGTTAGTCAAAGCAAATTCATGTGCCTGGTAGTAGGTATGCTCATACTCGCGAGAGATCCAAGATGCTCCACGGATCCCAGATTTTCGGCACGGTCCGCGCAGTGACTGCGATCAAATAGACCATTCCCGCAATTATAGACCATCCCAGCACGCTGACGACTGCACGCTTGATCCTACGCTCTCGCCTTCGCTGCTTCTTGCGCTGGTTATCGATGAGATCGGCATGTTCGGGGGTGAAATCGGACGACAGGCGGGTCGCGGTGCTTTCCAGTTCTACACAAGAATTAGCAAGAAGTGCAGAGTTGCTTAGGCAAGCGCGCACCTTTGCTGGGTTTCAGTAGCGAATAAGTGACTGGTATGGTGACGAAACTCGTCAGGGTGACGATGAAGTAAGGGAAAAATTGACCCTGGGAATCTGTTAGCAGACTATAATCCTGACCTGCCTGGTGCAACGCACCTGCTCGTCGTAGGTGTAGTCGGTGCCGGACATGGCGAATAGCTGTCCTTAGACCAGTCGATGGGGCGACCTCTGAGTGAAAGGTGAGGTGGGCGAGTGGTGGAACCACGCGAGGTAGGAAGGAGTTGGAACCAATGCAACAGAGGGTAGTTGAAGAATAACGAGAGGCAGGATTCTAGGTGCTGTGATGGCGCATGTGTGAAGGAATGAGAGACGGCGGAGGGGTTGCGGTTCAAAGAAGTTGGCGTGGCCTCTAATAATAAAGGCCGTCCGCGATCAAACTTCCGCTACCTGGCCTTTCGCACCACGTGTGGCTCGTGGTGGCGCAGGCTTCGGCTAACCATTGAACATCCGAGTCCACGCCTATTAACTTGTTTGTTATGTACGTCTCTTGATTGGCATTTTTGTTCAATTGGTTGCTTAAATTGTCTGCAGCTTAATACCAGGAGCTGTGTGAGAACTTTACACATGACAGAACATTCACTTGGCCTTCTTCTTCTACAAGTACCCTCCTGATTCTGACATCATTTGTTCTGCAAAACAACCATGCGTAGTAACTCGTACATAAAAAAATCCCTTGAAAACTGCACATAACTACAGAACAACATCATCTGGATCAAACACAAGTTTTTGGTTACTTCACCCCAAGGATAGAATGCTGATGGGTCAAAGAAAATAACGGCATCTAAACGGGCGACTACATATTCATCAAATCTGTTGACGTCTTTCATTACTATCATACTGAAGGCCGGCTAATTCATCAGCTACCATGTACTCGTTCCTTAATACTCAACCGCCTTGATCCTCTTGCGCAATTCCTCGGGCAGCTCATCAGCTTTGATGATACCCAGTCGAATAGCATCGCCCCACAGGAACATGGCTCGATCCTGCGCATACGCTAGATAATCGAATTCTTCCTCCTCGTTCTGCGTTTCGGACGGATCGGCCACGTCTTCGCCCCCATGCTTGGATTTGTCTTCAGCTTTTGCTTCATCCTTGAGCTCTTTAGTCGCACTCTCCAACACGGGTGCCGCTTGGCTAGTAGTCTCCTGTTCGTCCTTGTCAAAGTCTGGTAGGCCTGGCACATGCGCTTGAACAATCCCCCATGCCACCCACATTGCAGAGTTGGCCAGTCTCCACAACCTGGTTTCAGCCATCAGTCGTCTAGCTTCCTCTTCAATGTGTCTCTCGGTTTGTGCCTCCCTCTCCTCGTAGCTTCCCTTCCCCGAACCCGAAGGGATTCGGGAATCGAGCATGAACGCGGAGATAGACGTCGGCGTGGCAGTGGCTGCAAGAGCCGTGCTGCTACCAGATGAATGGAGAGGCGCGAGTTGAGGTGTTGGTGGGTTTGATGCGGATGTACCAGGTGCTTTAAAAGTGGGATTGTGCATCAGATAGGCCCTCAAGAATCGATGTTGCTCCTCAACGGTAGGGTAGAACTGTGTGTTACAAAGATAAGAAAATTCCGGGTCGTGGTAGTTGTAGCACCATTCCGTCTATGCTTTGTTAGTCCCATGTCGTGGATTCTTGCAGGCCGTTTGGCAAGATTGCGAGCACTCACAAAATGGTTGGCAAATTCAAGACCTGGGAGGTTGGCATTTGCATACTCAAAATCGATGACAATGAGTTGTTTGTGCTCGTTGGCAGGCAAAAGAAGGGGCGACTCTCCTGCCGGTGTCATGCGAAGGATGTTCCCGTATTGTGTCTGTAACGCTTGTCAGCCTCGATAGTATGCTACATGAGATCGATTACTCACATCGTTGTGAGCAAAGACCAGTCGCTCGTTGACCTTTGCTATGCCACCATACTGCTCATTCAGCCACTCGCGATACTTGTAAACCACTTCCTTGAATTTTGGCCATTCAACCCCGCACACCAATCCGCGGCTTTTCCATTTCTCGGTAGATGACTCTCCAGGCTCTTGCGTGCCATTGAGGATCTGCTGGTCAAGCCACGTAGCTATTTGTTCCACTCGATTGACCCATTTGTCCCAATTCTGCCAAACAAATGGACCGGCTTCTCTTTCAGTCGCGAGCAAATCTATGCCCTCATGAAGCTCTCGCATCCGCTTTGCAATCTGTCTCGAGGTATCGGAAAGGCGAAGCTCTTGGGGTGTGAGTGCCCTGGCGTGGAAGTACTCTTCGAATCGGCCATTTGTGAAAGTACCTAGTAATCGAGGACCGATTTTCTTGCGTGCAAGTCTTCGGAGAATCTGCAGTTCAGCCTCCCGATCGATGAGATGCTCAACTTGAGGGCCATAGATACGGAGCAGTAGTTTGCTATCAGGTGTCAGCTCTGTAAGTTATACCGAATGGATAGCTCGCTTACGGTGGAGGATTTTTGGGTGCTGGCAGATCCCCTTGACGTCCTTCCTCACCAGGCAGGTCCCTTGGTGGTGAAACCACGTACACAGCGTTTGTCAGTGCACCACTGAGCCGGTCGACGCTGATCTCTCCACTGTGATCGAGGGGCACCCGTCGCCAGCCTTTTAGTTTAAGAGTGTGTGCAAGTCTGACGATTTCATATTTGAAAGTTGCCCAAGCATCTTTCTCTTTCTTTGCGCGCCTCTTACCCACTCCCTTGGTTAGGTCAACAGTACTTTCGGATTCAGGACCACCCGCACCGTACGTCAAAGTCTTGGTGTTGTCCAACGTAGCTTCGCAGCTGGGAACAAGTTGATCAATGGAATCAAAGTGATCCTCTCCAGATGACACGGTGGAATGGCGCTTCATCATGGCAGATAGTTTTCGATGATGGGACGATCTATGATGACGAGACGAGCTCTCTGTTGATCTGACCGACAAGCTCCGGCCCAAAATATCAGCGAGGTGTTCGAGCGCAACTGAACCGTCGGATGATGAAGAGGTGCTGTTTCTTCTTTGGGGTTCCGTTTGATTTGGGTCCTGGGTAGATGCTCCTGCCGTCTCAGTTGCGGCTTTGGCATGTTTGGAAGCCTTTCGTTTCGCTCTGCGGGTTGCTCGTCGAGCCTTTTCACTCTTCAGCCATGCGGTCACATGCTTGACTAGATTCTCATGCGAATGGCGAGATGAAGTATCAGATGTTTCGGAAAGAAGTGAGGAAAGAGAAGGATTGCCTTCTTGGGTGGGAGCTTTTGTATATGTCCCCAATCGTTCGGTGGATGGCCGACCCGATAGTCTTTTACCGGAAACACTGGCACGATACTGCTTGGTGGCTTTGTCGAGGTCGAAGTAATCGCCTTGGTCAAGATCCTTGTGCTTTCCTTTCATCAACGGGGAGATGCTTTCAATCTCAGGGTCGGCAATGGAGACAACTGCTTGAGAGTTAGCCATGCTTGCTGCATAAAAGATCACAGCAGGTATTCTGGCACGTATTGCATCTCCACGTGTGCATGAATCACAAGCACGATAACAAAAGGGTCTGATAGTAGATTGAGTGCGCAGAGGAGAAAGCCACTGGTATCATAGGCACACACTGATCGGAGCAGACATGGATGGACATGCCAGGGCACGTGATCTTCATGGCATGCATGCACGCATGCATTGCAATTGAGTAAAGGACCATGGCGACTAGCGACCATGACTAACCAGGCGGGACAATTGAAGACGAGCAGCATCCGGTACATCTAAACGGGAAAAGTAAACGAACCTCTGGTGAGATTGGATCTCGGTGACGTGGTCCGGTTGACCTCGTCAGGCTTCGATGGCTGCTGTCCTGTACCATGACTTGATGCTGAATCCGCCATGATGTTGCTAGTGCCTCTGCTTTTGGGTTTGATACTACCTGGATGCGCAGCAGACAGATTGGGTGAGATATTAATTCAGGGTCTGGAGGGGTGGATGTTCCGTCGTGGAATCTCGGTGGTGAGTGTGGGATGGAGCAGGGCTGTTAGTGCGTGGCTGGCTGCGACCCGCTTCTTTCACGTGCTAATGGGATTGGTCGAGGTGCCAGTATGAGAACGCCCTGTCAAACAGTGTCGGCCGCTCAGGAGAAAAGCAAAGTCGGTTTCGAAGTGATTGACTGGCATTGGAAAAGGACAGCCCGGTGTGGCACTTCTCGACAGCAATCAGGTTTGCGCGCCCTTGCTTTCGCCTACGCCTAACGGCGGCTTATCTGTCCCACTACGTAACCGCGTTCCAAGGAACAAGACACAGCACTGCAAAGTTTAACATGGGTCTGTCTGCAGTGACGAGCGTTCCTGCTTGTGTCCCTTGATAATTTGGGTCCAAAAACTGGCATGGACAAAATGACATGATTATGTACTGGGGGAGTCCGAAGGGGATAAATAGGTAGACACTACTGGTGGAAGACTAGTGTGCACCGGGTATCTGCCAATAACAACGCTCGCTACAATGCTTGAACCCTTCTAAAGATCGAGGAAAACCAACAATGACCGTGATAATACATGAAACTAACACAAATAACCGCCCGTGTTTTTTTCTTCCCATGACGCAAACATTCGCCGTGCGCCTCTTCTCCATTTTGCCGTACAAAGACCAATCGCAGAAGCTACAGGACAGCCCATTCCAGCGTCTCGAGTGCGAGCATCACCAGAACCAGAGTAGACGGTAGAATCCACACCACGTAACTCTGGAACAACAAACTCGACATAGCCCCCATGTAGACGTTGTTGATCTGGCAGATCTGGGCCAATTGCAGGGCACTCGGGGCTCCCGTGAGCAAAAAGCAAACAACGACAAAGATTGGGTCGTCCAGGATGCTGACCGGGACAAATTTGGCCGTCAGCGCAAGAAGAGGTGCCATGATGATGGTGGGGATCAGCATTCGGCTGAGTAATGAAGCGATGACCAGCTTCTTCTCCAATTTTTGGTCTTCGATGGAGTGCATGTCTTCCTGAGGAAGGGTATTGCGGGCGAGATTGGCCCCCAGGACCACTAGAATGAGTGGAACGGCTACGCCGCCACTTTGGCTGACAGCCCGTGTCACCGAGTTGCTGATAAAGGTTCCGCGATCGAAAAAGGCATGCTGCAATTGGGGAACGGACGCAACGATGATAGCAATCAACATGGCCCAAAGAGGAGGGTTCATGAACTCCCAGCACCCAGCCAGAAATCTGCTCAAGAAGGCGCTGATTGCGGTCAATGACCGCTGAAGCCAATTTGGCAAAGCAGCGAAGCCTTTTTTGGCAATTCTCGCGGTACCGTTACGGGCAGTCTTTGTCGAGCGAGCAATGGATCGTTTGGCGCGGTATATCGTTCCTTTGATGCCCTTGGGTGGTTCATCAACCTTGTGAGGTCCAGCAGAGCCATTGGCATCGCCGTTAGCCCTGGAATGGTCGCGACCCATATTGCCTGTTCCCTTCACCACCGCATTCCCGTTCGTAGGTGTCACGAACGTGGCACCGGCCTGGGCGTTTTCGCGTTGATGGATAGAATCCGAATCGCTGGCGGAGGTTGCTGAAACAGAGGTCGCATAGCTTGTATAGCCAGTGGCATTACCAGATTCGTAGTCCGAGTGTGTGTCATCCAACAAGCGCTCGGCTTCGTCCTCACTGTATTCGCCGTTCTCCATGATGCTGTTTCTTCCTTCATCTTCATCGCGATACGCGCTAGCGGGAGCCAGTAAGACGTTGAACCCCCAAGTCCACCTCACCAATTGACCAAGCTGTTGGAAGATGAGCAGGTATAGAATGCCACGGGCAGCGACTTCGTTGTCGTTATCACCTGGGATCCTGTCCCAATGGAGTCCCTGGAGGGTTTTGGAAAGCGATATGACGAGGGAGATGGGGAGCGAATTGGAATTGCCAAACACAGCCATTGCCACAACAAAGTTCTTGGCCCTTTTTCTGAAACCGCATATCCGCGAGATGAGCAGGGCAGCGAGGTAGGACACGAGCAATTGGACGATGAAGATGAAGGGAATGACGCCGAGCTCGACGAGCTTATCGGCGCTGAGTTGAGAGGCAAGTTTTGTAAAGACTAGATAGCGCACGTCAGAGTTTGAATCTCAGGAAGAGGACGATGCGACTCACTCAAGCAGGGCGTGAAAAGCTGCGTGTTGAGGTTCGCGACAAACTTTTGAGCATTGGCGTCGAACATGCCCATTCGAGCGACTATGTAGCCCGGCAGACTGACGCATACGACCTCCATGACGGCCTCGAAGACGAGCAGGGTGAGGTTGCCAAAGTCGGGATGGGCACTGTGAGGCGGCGGGCGCTGGTGCTTGAGGGCGGCCATGAGGCCATTGGATGATTGGTAGGCATCGGAAGTCATCAGCGCGAAGTTGGGATCAGGGGCGAGGTTCCGGACACGCAGCGACTGAACGCTGGTGAAGAGTGGCATTTTAAAGAAGGGCGCAGCAGCGGGCGGCGATGGACGGGGACGGCGGTGGAGTGGATTTGAGTTGCAGAGTCGACAGTCTTTGTATCGTGAAGCACGTTCTGTCACACAACCGGGGAGGAGCGCGGTTACGCACCACTTACGTCTGGCGTGGAATCGCGGAACCAGCAAGTGCAGGGGGGTCGAGCCGAAAACAATGGGCTGGGGCGGAGGAAACGGAGAAGCTTTGCGATGGGGATGGGGATTGAGAAACAATGGTCTGCGGAAGCCCAGACGCCGTTGATGCAGCGCTGCGGTAGTTATATGGATTCAGAGTTTACTCGAGTGTGCTTTTGCTCATGGTGGCTGGCTGGCTGAAATGCGATAACATACCGCCTTGCCGTTGGCCTGCTTTGTGCTTGGTGCTGCTGGCAACTGCACAGTGCACTGCCTCCGCCGCCATGACGAGGCGTGAATAGATAGTATAATATAGTGCAGCCAAGTCTGCCAGTGTGTATACCTGGCGCAAACGCTAGATGCCTTTTATCTGGTGGAGAAGGATAGGCTGGCCATATCTCCCACGTACCCGTAGTCTGCGAGGTAGCCAGAATGGACGGGCGCGAATCGATGGAAACAGGTGTCTTGCCCGGGTTCAGCTGCTGGCCGGATCGAGGCCGTGTTTCTGCTTGGCCAAACACGCAGTGCTTGTCATCCTCCGTCGTGATTGCATAGGCAGTAAATGACTGTAGTGCAGCGATCATGGCATCCTGGGTAGACGGGCGGATTAATTCATGGGCAAGTCGCGAGAGTCGGAGAGCCAGCCTGTATGCACTCTGTCCTGAAAGCAAGGTCATCCCACGCATGTCCATGATCGACGCTGCCCATATCATCGCCGAGGGATTCATCTTGTTTCGTAGCGTGCGTCACTTCTCCATGTCCCATTAGCCATTGATTGCTACACATCATCATCACCGTCGCCATGGTCATCGCGCTGCTACAGAAGAACCCTGTCTTTGCCTAACCGGCTCGCTCGCTCGCTCACTTGCCAGGCCAGACCAGATTCCCAGATTACGTCACGCCCCGCATGTCAACACCACCACACCACCTTTCACTAGCTAACTGAAATATTGCCTTCTGCTACAACCCTCCGAGTTGAGGCTCACGACTCCCTCAATTCTCTTCACCACCCCCGCCTCTATCCCTATCCTGAACCCATCCTGCCGTCCTCTCCTGAACCTGGCTCCCTGTTACCCCTCCCCACCATGACTTCTCCCGCCTCCACCCCCGGCGACGACTTCGACTCCGACAGTCCCTTTGGCTCCCCCTCGCCCTCGTCGCCCCCGGTGTTGGACGATGCTGCCGCTACCTCGCCTCCGGCCTCGTCTCTCTCGCCCTCCCGACCCCCCGCGCGATCCATATCCACTTCGGGTACCCCTTCCATGACTACTTCGTCAACACCACTGGGTAATATCAATGCCGCGAGAAATCCACGTCCGAACCCATCCACCATCTCCAGTCGCGGCAGCGGCCTCAATGTCTCGCAAGACATCTTGGCGAGAATACAAGCCGTGACTCTCAGAAGTCAGGGTCCTGCCCCTCCAGGCCGCCAGAATGTCATGTCTCCAGGCGCGGGCCCTGGCCCCGCCTCCCCAGGTCCTGCCATGGCGAATCCTGGTGGCGTCCCCGCAAACTTTCGGCTGCCTCCAAAGCCAGCCATGCCCAGCTTCCAGTCTGCGCCTGCCGTACCTGGCGCGGCCCCCTCAATCGCCCAGAAGCGCGCCATGAGGGGGATTCCTGGAGGTTTGGGCGGCGCACCATCGGGCCCGAAGAAGAGGCCGGGTCTCACGCTTTCGCAAATGAACGGAGGTTCCGCGAACCAAGAACCACCGAAGCAAGAGACTATGATGGATAAATATGCCGAATTCATTGACGCAAAAACGGGCACGTTGAAATTCAAAGGCAAAGCAGTCCTCAACTCGGACGGAGTGCAATTCGCAAACGGCATGTCGTTCAACATCTCGCTGGACGAGGTGGACACACTGGACGAACTTGGCAAGGGAAATTACGGAACCGTGTACAAGGTCAGGCACAGCCGCCCGCGCATGAGGAAGCCTGGCCAAGGTTTGGCTGGCAACAAAGCAGCTCCTGGCTCGCCATCTCGCAAAACCTTTGAAGGTGAAGAATCAAGTCCCACGACAGCGAAAACTACAGGAGCGGGAACAGGCATTGTCATGGCTATGAAGGAGATGCGATTGGAGCTCGAAGATGCCAAATTCGCTACAATCATCATGGAGCTGGATGTTCTCCACCGTTGCACCTCCCCTTATATCGTCGACTTTTACGGTGCCTTTTTCCAGGAGGGTGCTGTGTATATCTGCATGGAATTCATGGACGGCGGCTCAATAGACAAGTTGTACCATGAGGGCATTCCCGAAAATGTCCTGCGGAAAATCACCCTGGCTACAACTATAGGTCTGAAGTCTCTCAAAGACGAACACAACATCATCCACCGAGACGTAAAGCCCACCAACATCCTAGTTAACACAAAAGGCCAGATCAAGATATGCGATTTTGGTGTTAGTGGTAACCTCGTCGCCAGTATTGCGAAAACGAACATTGGCTGCCAGAGTTACATGGCGCCGGAGCGGATATCCTCGGGTGGAATAGCACAGGCCGGTGCGAATCCCGGAGGTGGCACGTACAGTGTGCAGAGTGACATATGGAGTTTGGGTCTCACTATTATTGAATGCGCGCTGGGTCGGTACCCATACCCACCTGAGACGTACAATAACATCTTCAGTCAACTCAGCGTAAGTAGTTATGCCCTTTCGCTATTGTTGCGTCTGACTAATAATGTAGGCCATTGTGGACGGCGAACCACCCGATCTACCCCAAGAAGGCTACTCAGATACCGCTCGGAACTTCGTCAGCGGCTGCTTAAACAAAATTCCCAATCTCCGCCCCACATATGCCATGCTTCTCCAACACGCATGGCTCGCTCCATTAGTAAAACCAGAAACTATCACAGAGGAAGACGAGGACGACGTGGAAGCAGCCGTGGCGGCCCCAAGTGGTTCCGATGCTGCCAGCCCCAGAGGCTCTCCTCAGCCAGTCGAAGCAGTGGTAGATGAAGAAGTCGCAGAGTGGGTGAATAGCGTGCTTGAGAAGAAGCGGAACGGGACATTAGGAAAGGCCGCCCAGAAACCAGCTCTCCACGCCGCGCCTCTGGACGCGGTATCCAGTCCGCCGCTCAACGGTGAAAGTAAACTCGAGCTCGAGGCAGCCGCCTAAGCCAGGCCAAACCAGGCCACCTGCCTCATCGTGAACATATATCATCCACATTCTTCCTACCACATCCTCCGCACAGAGTGTCTGTCTTCCGCGGAAAGAACGAGCACACCCCATCAGCCATGTCAATCTTTCACGTCAGCAAGGAATACGCTCTCATTTCATCTCGAAAGTGTTTGTAATCCCCTACCCTCATCCCATCTCCTCCCGTACACATGTAAATCCATTGTCACCCCCCTAGCCTCCGCCTTTTCCTTTACGTTCATCAAAAGAGATCTCTCGACACTTCTTTTCGTCTCTCTATCCCCTTCACCCCTCTATCAAACTTTGTTTTTCTCTTCGCACCTTTTTCCTCTTTTCTTTCTCTCTTGCTCCCTACATTTTTCTTGTTGATGTGATGTTTAGGATTGTTCCAAAGCATATGTTGGCGCTTGTGTGTTTTTCTCTCCCCCCCTTTCCGCTTCATGGAATCCATCATCCGACTTTTCTTTTTGCCTCTCTCCTTTTTCCCTTTGTTGGGCACGTACACAATAGGCATTGATTTTCTTTAAAGAGCATTTCATTGGGGTTGCAGGTTGGAGACGATAAGCCTGCGAACGAGAGCACTGTGTACCTAGGCATTAGAGATATATTGGGAATGAATGGTACTGATTGGGGACCGGACTCATCACTGTCTGTCGTTATACGGTGGGGTGCCATATATACATCAGCTTTGTAATTCATTTCACGGTGATCGCAGTGAAGTTTTTTTGTGTGATGTGCCAGGTTGGATGGTTCTTGAAATTGACGACACGGCTTGTTCCCGGGAGGACAGGAAGCACTGCAATGGAGCATGATGTAAGATGACTGCCAGTGCGACCGATGAGCTTGCGAGAGGGAGTATGCTTGGAAGAAGTGTGCACTTTTGCTAAGATTCAAATTTCTTCACTGCACGGCGTTGCTCAGCTGATAGGACTATATGAGGAGGTGGCGACTACATAGGTAGTCCACCAATGTTGCACGGTGAATCCCTTTATGCTCCTCCATGCATTGTTGCTGCATTTCCCCTACCACATACATGAACTTGTGGGACGATAGCGATGGTATGCCTTGTAGTCTGTTGATTCTGCGTCGACTGACGACTTGGGGTGGGTCATGCTCTCGCGGACCGTCAGATTTGAGCTATGTACCTTGATGAAGAAGTTTGAGCACATTCATGTTTCATGATATATGAAAGGTAGCAGGGAACCGTGCCCACCGAACAAGAGAAAGAAAAAACCTCCACAGATCGTGAGCAGATCAGGACACAGCACACACGACATTCAAAAGAGCTGATAAAGTACCGAGTGTAGGGCTCGTTGATTTCTTCGTCATTCATCCATCATGACGGATCTGGACGTTCTATGTAACCAAACATATGACCAGATACCGGGTATATGCACGTCGCATTACGATAGTAGTCTAGTAGAAGAAACCGAGAACCTTTCCGGCAACGTGCTTGCGCCTGGCCTCCTCGTGGTCCATAATACCAGCGGAGGTGGTGAGGACGATGAAACCGAATTGACGCGAGGGAAGGAGCTTGACGACCCACTTCTCGATATCACGGAGCTGGACGTTGTAGCGGGGGGAGATGACACCGGTCTTGTTGATCTGGAGAAATGTTAGACACAGGTTGTTTGTGATAAGGAATCGGGGGAACGTACGCGGCCGTTAAGCTGGATCACGATCTTGCCGTTGCGGTGGTCATCAACCTCCTCGAACTCGCCGATGTAGCCTGTAATGTGATTAGTATGTTGCGAACAAATAAACATCAGACGTCATGAACAGGATCCGAAGACGTGTAAGTTCTCCGCGAAAATCAATTTACCGGGAACTTAAAGGGCAAAGGTCGTGGAGAATGCGAGACCATTGCCTAGTTATCAACCCGGAAACAAGGGGAACAGAATATTGAGAAGACAGAAAAGGATAGGAAAGGAAAAAAAGTCTGAGAAACGCGAAGGAGAGAACCACAAGTACATACCGTGCTTTTGCATGACGGTCAAGAACTTGATGATGACCTTGGAGGAAGGGCGGATGAGGACCTGGCGCTTGCCGGACTTCTCGGCGTTGTTGATGGCGTTGAGCGCATCGTTGAGGACGGAGGTCTTGACCATTTTGGCGGCAGAAGATTCTCAATGGCAAGTGGGCGACTGAGGTATCTGTATGATGATATGGTTAGCCTCCAGAAGCCAGAGCTTGGAGAGTGCCCTCAGTCTGCGACATGAGGGGTCTTCAGCTCTTGTCGCAGAGAAAATGCAGTGTCACACACACCCACAATGGGCAGTGCGATTGCATCTTCTGGCTATCTGAAGGGCACTCGTAGGAAAATAAACATACCTCTTAGGGGGATCGAGGTGTCGTGGTTTGGAGATTGCTGGGCGTGGCTGGAAAAAAGTTCGCGGCGATGGTTCAATCAAAGGTTTGTGGGCCGCTCGGCTAGACAGACGGACCGAGCGAGGACCGTGCGTCCTTTCCTGCTAATGAGCCCTGAGCGCGTTGAACAACCTCCAGGCCTACATTATGATTGACTACATATTTCTACCTCAGTTTTCAGTTGGTGAAAGTGCGATATATCTCTACCTAGGTTTGCTTTGGATCTGGAAATCTCTTGGAATTGGAAATCTCGTGTTCTTGCGAGCTCAAGCGCTCAAGTGCTCAAGGTCACCACTGGCCCTTAGTCATGACGTACTATCTTCAAATCCCTCCGATTGTACATTGTACATTTTGCCTCCGCGTTCAACATTCTTTTCCTCTTACAAACCGCTTCAAACCATTACTTTAACATCTGTTAGCCCTATAATCATGTCTGAAGCTTGTTGTACCTGTGCTGCCTTACTTTCCTCGATCCCTCCTACGTACGATGAGAAGACGGAGAAGCCGTGCCAATACGAGCAGCGCCTCGAGTGTTGCGGTCGTGCTATCTGCGCTCGATGCATAACAGACAACCCAAGATTCTCTGCTTATTGCCCATTCTGTCAAATTTCGTTCGTTCCCTCGCCGCTTCCGCAAGGCCTTCGTGATCCCCCCGGATACTCGCCGACTGCTGAGGGGCAAGCAGAGGATGGCCTTCCACCCTACTCCCAGCATGCACCAATGCAACCATTATCCGAGAAGGAAAAATCCTGCGTTTCTGCCCCTGACGTCTTGCACTTTGTTGACACCAATAATGATTCCATTTTGTCGCTCTCGTTGCGATACAGCGTTCCAGCAGATGCTTTGCGAAAGACAAATGGACTCTATGCAGATCACCTCCTCTCGGCCCGTAGAACAATCCTGATACCTGGGGAGTATTACAAGGGCGGTGTCAGTCTAAGTCCTCGACCTCCAGAAGGAGAGGAAGAGGAAATCAAAAAAGGGAAGGTTAGGAAGCTCATGGTAGGATGTAAACTTGCTGAGTGCGTATACCCGTAGCTATTGTCCTGTCTTGTTGGCACAGCTGACGAAGTCCATCGCTTCTTGGGACAGGTATGATGTTGCGTTGTTGTATCTACAGCAATCAGACTACAATCTTGAGCAGGCTATAGCTGCATACCGAGCCGATGAGAGATGGGAAAAGGAGCATCCTCTTGAGGCAATTAAGAAGGGAAAGTCGAAAGCCTCATCGGTTGCTGGAAGATCGAGATGGGGAGGTGGCGGTTTGACCGGCCAAATCTAGTGGTTTGCCTGTATCCTGGGACTTGGGGCACGACGAGTCACTACAACAACTCTTATTCTAGGGTTCGGCAAATGGTACTGGAATTCATGAGGAAGATCCATTCTTGTGCTATCTCCCATGTGCCTCACAATCGCATCGGGGTATGTAAGCGCTGAACGTGAGAACCGTTCACGGGTCAATCGTTCATACATTAGCCACCTTTCCGCTTATCCGTAATGGTAAGCGCTCATAGATCTTCACGGGCAATCAACGCAAGTCTGTTTTTGGTGTTCGTTGTGTGCCACTGAAGTTGGGCTGGTGGAGGTGGTGATCTTGGCATATGGACCAATCAGAGACGGCATCAGCAGGAGACCCTTTCTAAGCGCCGAGCCTTGTTCGAATCATCTTCAAGCGCCCATGGTTGTGCACCTGCATATGCAATGGCCGTGTTTCTGATAGGTTGCTATCCATATACACACATCAAATTTGGCAATGACAGCTAAGGTCGCCATAATCGCGGCTGTCATTGGTAGCCGTATTCCGAACCATAATACCAACTACAGCTGCGGGAAGGCTGCAAAGTAGGGGAGTCGATCAACTTCTATTTTCCGAACGCAAGCTGCATGTTACGCGCCCGTCCCCCTAAACCACTGAAGTGTGGAGTACTGCAAAGCTGATTGAGGACCAAGTATCCCTCCCAAGGGCGGCTGCACCATTTGCCATGTCTAAATTAGGACTACAGGTAGATGATGGGCGCATAGAGTGGGGCATGCGGCATGAAACATTGATTGCGACCAGATGTTTTAAAAGACAGAACATCTCCCTCGTTTTGTTTCTGAGCAAGAGTTCCTATCATTCCACCCAGTCGCAGTCTTTGTTTCCTGTTCCATTCTTTACGGGTGCTCCTGGTTGTGTGCCCTGCCTTTTTTTTTCTCGTAACGTCAATCGTTTGTGTCATACCGAGTCTCTATACATCGATCCGAATCACCAGACATATAATCCATTCTCAAAATGAAGGTCAACCCTGCTCCTCTACACTTGGCTCAGACAGTCATCACTGGACTTGTCGTTACCATGAGCCTTGCCATCGTGGGGACTGCCGGACACACCCTGGACGTCTTCAACAAACAACAATCATCAAACCCATGGTGGCTTCCTCTCTGGCGTGACCATTTTGATGTCCACGGCACCAAGGGGCTCATTGCCTCTTCGGTTGTCACTTTGGTCCTGGGGAGTGTCTTCCTCGTTCTATCCGCGGTCCCTAAGGTAAGCATTGAAGCAAGCCATGACGTTTAGAAAGTTGAGATGTTAACTTTGCACAGTTCAACCTCGCCGGCAGACCTACACTGCGCGCCCTTGCTGCCATCGGATCGTCTGCTCCCTCTGCCGTACTGTGTCTAGCAACCATCATTTACGCCTTTGTTCTCAACAACGACGCACCCGAACTTGACACCATCCAGACCTGGACGTGCAAATACAAGAATGGACGGCCGTTGCAGCAAGACATGGCAATGACTACGAACATGGGCAACAGCGACTTCGGCAGGCTGTGCCACGAGAGCAAGTTTGCGCTCTATGGCACCCTGGTAGTGTTTCTGATGTTGATTTTGAGCACCAGCTTAGGCGTGGTTGGTTGGTGCGCAGACAAGTGGGCTGCAAGACAGACAAGGAAGGAGATGGAAACGGCATCGTAGATGATGGGAAGGTATTAGGTGGCTTCAGTTTGCGTATGGGAGACAGTATCATGATGATATGAAACGTCGTGGAGATGGTCGGAGAGTAAGGTGGCAGCGCGCCAGGCTGTGTTTCAGAGTATTCGGCGCGCCGGGGATTTGTTCCATTCGCCTGGCTGAATTCTTTTTTTTCCCCTGCAAAAGGCTTGTCGTTAATGGCCGGTGATGGAGCGTGGAAACATATGTAGCAGAGGTCGTATTGTCCGTAATTTTGGTCCAATGAGCATTCCGTTTCAACGTCGGAAGATTGTCACGCAGAGGAACCAACACACGACTGACTAGTTGGAGTAGAAGATGGCGCGGTAGAGGCACAAGAAAGCGGATTCCTCATTACCGTGTGGTCGCACCTTCCAGCAGGATCCCACTTGGAGGTTTGGCGGACCAGAAGCGTGTCATGTGCACCTGTTGGCAGCATCGGCACAACTGACGGCGGATCGACGTGCAGAACGAACGATGCACCTGGGCGACAGGCAAGATGGATGTTCACTCGCATTGGCCTGGGTGAACGGTGAGAGGCATGGTTATTTTAAGGCACAATCACGTCTGCTTTAACCCCGACGGCCAGCGTCTAGACCGCGTTGGGGGATGGCGCTGATTCACATTGATGGCCATCTCCTCGCCTAGCGATTCCGAGCCTTCTCCACGCAGACGGCGCGTTGACAGCATCAGCGACGCGTTTGGATCCAGAGACCCCGCCGCCGCCTTGTGGTGCGTTGTGGTGCGTTGCGTTGCGCTGCTCCCGTACATGTTTGTGGGCGCAATCATTTGCGACATCACCACTCGGCCATCACCCGAGCGGGGTCGCTGGTCTGGTCGCTGGTCTCTGTGGTCCGACGCTGGTTGGCGCCCTCCTGGTCGTGCTTGGTGACTGCCTATACATGTTGAGATTGCATGTACCGTCGGCAACTTATTGATTACTCCCAAGCGAACCCGCTCATCAAAGTTGCATCTGTGCGCACAGGCAAGCATAACACACGAGGCCCATTTCAGCTCCCGAGGGGGCGGACCATCCCCAAACCAACAGACACGAAGCACAGGCGACAAGACAAGACAAGCCCCTCTAACCTCGAGCACCGTCTCATCTTGCCCCCATATCCCCCCCCCTTCGCCTGCACGCCCACACAAACTTGCATTCATACATACATGAGGATGCGCCCGGGACACGCACACGCTCCTTCAAACAACCACCAGCACAAGAGCAAGAAGCCCTACCAGCCGCCCATCACCTCTTTCTTCTCCTACAACGACTTGGACAGCGACGAAAGCGATCTTGACGAGAGGGGTCCTGGCCCGATTACCCGAGACAACCGTGCCCCTTCGACAACAACAACCGCCACCACAACACCCCAACATCCCCAGCGCCTCAGTCTTGTTCCTCCTGTGCCAGGCCGTGTGCAAGCAGACTTGCTCAGTGTCGGTATGAGAGTCAGAAAGAGTGTGCCCGAGGGCTACAAGACGCACAAGACGGCCACTCTGCCATCTATCCAAACCACCCTAGCCATTGCTGGCAACGGACCAACCATGACACAGACACAGTATAGTGTGAAGCCACCGCAAGATCCAGTGCCCGAAGATTACCAGCACCAACGAGAGCTCTTGCCTTTTTCTGGCCTGCAAAAGATTGGTGGCTACGCTGAACAGCCTGTGACCAACGTCCATCTCTATGGCGACAACTCTGCACCCTCCAATCGCGCCCTCAACATCTTCCCCCTCCCAGCCGAAGCGTTCTCCCAGCCTTTCTCCTCGCAATCCTCCATGGACTCGTCCGTGTCGTCCTCCTCGTTGCGCCCAAACCCCACCAACCCATACAAGCGCTCGTGGCAGGACGAGGATGACAAGTCAAACAAGCTCAACACAGACTTCTTCTTCAAGATACCAGTCAAGGTCAGCGAGGATGAGATCCCCGTGTCTCCGCTCTCCGCGACACCACCCACAGCTATTCATGGTTTCCCGCACACTGCCCTGCGCACCTTTGCCCAGCCCAAGAGCCGGAGGCCGGGTGCTGGGCGAGCCATGGACTTTGATGGTATGGTGGTCAAGAACATGGACATGGACATCACCTTGGAGAATGCCGATCAAGAAGGCCGTCGTAACGACTTCGACGATGCCGACTTCCTGAGGCCGTGGGGGCCCAATACCAATGAGATCGAAATGGACGGTGTTTGAGAGCCCATCCTTCGACTGACGAAACCAATTTGCTGGTAATGACGATTACATGATTTCTGGAGTGGCCCTTTTCCTCTTCTTTTCCTCCCACCTTTCCACTTCAATTTCCCTTTGTTGGTATCTCGGTCCCTCAGCGATCATAGACTACGGCGTTCCCTGCACCCCGCACACACTCTTCCTTTCCCACCAGACCAGCGTTTTGGCAACATAATGGCGGCGGCGTTTTATCTGCTTGGTGTATACCCTGCTTTTGCTTACGTCTTCCTTGAGCTTTGCACCCGCCTTATAATAGTCCCTCGTCTCTACCTCTTCTTCTCATTTGTACATTAGACTTTGCTCCTTCTTACTACGGTTTAAGCCCACCAGGGTGAGCGGTCAGAGCTATATACTCTGTGGACAAAAAAAAACAGAACATGACTTTGCGGAACAGCATTAATGTTATAGCTTTTATTGAGAAGTACTCTACATATCGTGATCAGACCAGTGGATCGATTCGAGGCTTTGCACAACCCACGTCCTGAATTGTCACCGACTTGGACAACAGTGAAGTTCCCTACCTGTATTCCTGTATTGCCTCCTCCTGTGCACGGCTTCGATCAACTTCAGCTGTCCAAACAGAACAAAAAAGTATTCTGACACCTCATTCTCCCGTGATACCAAAGAGAAGTGAAGCCACAAGCATGCCAGAAGAAAAAGCAAAAAGAAAGTTATATCAGAGTGGTCTGACTTTGCCCACTTTGAGAATCGAACTCAAGATCTTCGCATGCCTCGTATGTTATACAAGTGCGACGCATTACCACTGTGCTAAGCAGGCTTTGATTCTGCTCAGTTGTCTGATGACGAAAACGTCGGCACTGTTAGTACTTATAAGCAACGTTTTTTCACTGGAAAAAAAATCGTAGTTCCCCGTTCTTCTTCACCGGACACAACGTGGTTAGTGGGGCATACGGTAAGCGGTTAGCAGATTGTACACTTCATCATCCCGCACTCTATTGGGTTGGTGATCCAGTTCCATCAAGGATTTTGTTCTTTTGCTCTGAGTTGGCGGTTCACAGTACCATCCTGTCTATTCATGCCCAATCAACATCAGACGATGATGCGCTTCACCCAAAATCAGGGCCTATCACCTCTCCATAGCCTGATCTTGGTCACGCTTCAGCATGGGATCCCTGTCGCCATAAGCACTAGTTTGGGCTTAGCGCGGGACCGGAAGTGACGTATAGTGGTGGGGAAGCTGGCGCGATCCAGAAGCTTCCACAATTACCACGACCCTCGTCGTTGCACCGAGAACTCTCATGATGTTTCTGCGGCCCACCTGCTGCTAGTATATAACGTCCTCGAGGTTTCACCAATGTGATTGTTCTCTTCTCTTCAGAATCAACAAACAAATCGACATAGCTATACCCGCTGACTATCGAGCGAACAATTACCTTCTCGCGTTGTCGCTGTGCAGAAACAGCTGCATTGTTTCTCTGCCTTGTTTTTTCCGCATATCCACCATATAATCGATTGATTTCTCGACTTTCCTCTTCTTCACCAAATTCATACACAAATCACAATGACTTCTTTCGATTCATACACAGACCGAGCCGCAAAGGCTCTGGCCGACAGCTTTGACCTAGTCAAGGACTACCAACACTTACAACTCACACCTCTGCACCTTGCAGTCTCACTCCTCAGCCCTCCACCGGACGAGACCAACAAAGTCGACCGGCCGCCGGAGCCACTCTTTCGCCAGGTAGTCAACCGCGCGAATGGGGATGTTCAGTTATTTGAGCGCTCTCTCAAAAAGGCTCTGGTGAGGCTGCCGAGTCAAGATCCACCGCCCGAGCGTTCCTCACCTTCACCTGCAATGGCCAAGGTCTTGCGCTCCGCCGAAGACCTTGCCAAAACGCAAAAGGATGCCTTTATCGCAGTCGAACACTTGATTCAATGCGTCTGCCAGGATGCTACCATTCAAAAATGTCTCGCCGAGTCCAACGTACCCAACACGAAGCTGATTGATACATCCATTCAGGCCATTCGTGGCACAAAGCGGGTCGACTCAAAGACAGCCGACGCTGAAGAAGACAACGAAAACCTCAAGAAATTCACTATCGACATGACGGCTATGGCTCGGGAAGGAAAGATTGACCCAGTCATCGGTCGCGAGGAAGAAATTCGACGAGTTGTTCGTATCCTCTCCAGGCGAACCAAAAATAACCCCGTCCTCATTGGTGAACCGGGTGTAGGCAAAACCACTGTTGTCGAAGGTCTCGCACGCCGAATCGTCGATGCTGATGTCCCTGCAAACCTCGCCGCCTGCAAGCTGCTTTCCCTGGACGTTGGTGCACTTGTTGCTGGCAGCAAGTACCGCGGAGAATTCGAAGAGCGCATGAAGGGCGTGCTGAAAGAGATCGAGGAATCCAAGGAGATGATAGTATTGTTCGTGGACGAAATCCATCTGCTCATGGGAGCCGGCTCTTCCGGGGAGGGTGGGATGGACGCTGCCAACCTCCTCAAGCCGATGCTTGCCCGTGGTCAGCTTCACTGTATCGGTGCAACAACCCTTGGCGAATACAGGAAATACATCGAAAAGGACCAGGCGTTCGAGCGACGTTTCCAGCAAGTTCTTGTCAAGGAGCCTTCCATCCCGGAGACCATTTCTATTCTTCGTGGACTGAAGGAACGCTACGAGACACATCACGGTGTTACCATTATGGATGGCGCCATCGTCTCGGCAGCTACCCTTGCCGCTCGATACCTTACACAGCGTCGCCTGCCTGATTCCGCAGTGGATTTGATCGATGAGGCTGCTGCTGCCGTTCGCGTGACACGAGAGTCGCAGCCAGAAGCGCTCGATAACATGGAGCGTCGGGTCCGCCAACTCCAGATCGAGATTCATGCTTTGAGCCGCGAAAAGGATGAGGCATCGCAGCAGCGGCTCAAGGAGGCCAAAGCCGAGACAGCAAACATTCAAGAAGAACTTGCCCCGCTCCGCGAAATGTACGAACGCGAAAAGGGTCGTAGCAAAGAGATTCAAGAAGCAAAGATCAAGCTCGAGAATCTCAACACCAAACTCGCTGAAGCCGAACGTGTTCGCGATATCCAAACCGCTTCAGATCTGGCTTACTACGCTATTCCAGATCTCAAGCAACGTATCACCGAGCTGGAGAAAGAAAAGAAGAAAGCGGATGCCGAGATGTGGGCTCACGAAGCTGGCGGTGGCGAGGCCCTTTTGAGTGATGCTGTTGGGCCCGATCAGATCAACGAGATTGTTGCTCGCTGGACTGGCATTCCCGTCACACGCCTCAAGACAACTGAGAAGGACAAACTTCTGCAAATGGAGCGTCATCTTAGCGAGATCGTTGTTGGCCAGCGTGAGGCTGTTCAGGCAGTTTCGAATGCGATCCGACTCCAGCGATCCGGTCTTGCAAACCCTAACCAGCCTCCTAGTTTCCTCTTCTGCGGTCCTTCTGGTACTGGTAAAACACTTCTCACCAAGGCGCTTGCGGAATTCCTCTTCGACGACCCGAAATCGATGATTCGCTTCGACATGTCGGAGTATCAGGAGCGACATGCACTTAGCAGGATGATTGGTGCCCCGCCAGGTTATGTCGGTCATGATGCTGGAGGTCAACTTACGGAAGCTCTTCGTCGTAAACCCTTCTCTATCTTACTCTTCGACGAAGTTGAGAAGGCCGCTAAAGAAGTGTTGACCGTCCTCCTTCAGCTGATGGATGACGGTCGCATCACCGATGGCCAGGGCAGGATCGTCGATGCAAAGAACTGCATTGTCGTCTTGACCTCTAACCTCGGCGCCGAATACCTCTCGCGTCCCAATGCTCCTGACGGAAAGATTGACCCTACCACTCGCGAGATGGTAAACAATGCTCTACGCAACTACTTCCTGCCTGAGTTCCTCAACCGTATCTCATCCGTTGTCATCTTCAACCGCTTGACCAAGAGGGAAATTCGCAAGATTGTCGATGTTCGCATGCTCGAGATCCAGAAGCGTCTTACCTCCAACGGTCGCAATGTGCGCATCGAAATGACAAACGAAGTTCGCGACTATCTTGGCTCAGCTGGATACTCGCCTGCATACGGTGCTCGTCCTCTGGCAAGATTAATCGAGAAGGAGGTACTCAACCGCATGGCTGTTATGATTTTACGAGGAAGTATCAAGGACGGCGAGGCCGCCAGGGTGGTTCTCGAAGATGGACACGTTCAAGTGTTGCCGAACCACTCAGACAGCGAGGAGGATAGCGAGATGTACGATGAGAGCGATGCTGCGGCGGAGCTGGATGACGATGATGGAGGTATGGATCTCTACGACTAAAGAACTAGAGATTGGAAATGCTACCAGATGAGCATTGGCCATTGCATGGGTTTCTGCGCGTTCTGGCGTTATCTGCATACAACTTTGTAAACGGGAACATGACTTCATGACTCATGAATAAATGGTAAATGGCGTTTGGGAGGAGTTATGGATCAGGATCGCTGCCATATTTGGCACGATCGGCTTCTGTACATAGTCTTAATTTGATAATTCAAATCATACTTCATATGACATGGGAACTGGTGAAAATCTGTGAGGCCTTTATGATAAGATATGCCGAGTGATAAGTGTATTACCTGTCGGCTTAAGTGTACTTTTCTGGTGAAGTCACAACGAGCTTGATAACTTCTCAAGACTCATGTTTCTTGTATCACTAAATGGTTATACTGTGAGGAAATCGTGACCAAGATGAGCATGAAATATGAGTTGCAGTGTTGGTTCGGAGTTATTTACGCATTCTTCATCACTTCGAGACCTAGGGACGTCTCTCTACTAATATAATAATATGTTACAAATCACTCAACCAGGGAAACTGTTTTCAAGCGCAATACCTATGGCATTTATGCAAAGACTGGTGGTCCATCATGATATCATCTTGATGCAAACCATTGCTTCAATAAGCCAATCTGCATGGGTTCTGATCAAGCCACCTTTCAACCTAACGCCTGTCCGAACACTGATTCGACCCGTAGAACCCCTTACCAAATGTCAATCGAACGCGGTGTAACTTTGCCAAACTGTAGTTCTTCCCAAAAGATCAGAGGATCATCGAGGCCTGTATTCATCGTCGTTTACATCTATTACCTCTGTCACTTCGCGGGCAAGCTGCCGGTAGCACTTGAGTCCGTGCTGCGTGTGCAAATGATACCTCTTACACCACGCGCCCACGGTAGTTTCCTCGCACTTGAGCGTCAGCTTCCTACGCACCAAGCGCAGAGCCGTACACATGATATCGAACTCCAGATCCCGGTGAAGTTGGTGCTGTGTGCGATTGCCAGAGATGACCTGCTCGGGGTCTCCAGACCATAAAGACGATGGGTTGAGGATGTGCTCGAGACGCCGGCCGTGCAAGGCGAGGATGTCTGCCCAGAGCAGACGCACGGGGCTATTAGGTGATGTGTGGTTATAGATGTCGTTGGCAGTTTCCAGAAGTGTGTCACTGCTGTCTTCAAGCTCTGCAGAGTCCTCTTTGTCATGCACGTTGTGGTAGATGAGTGTCACGCTGGCGTCTAGTTTGAGTTGGAGGTTCAGGTAGGACTGCGGAAGCTGTTCACCAGGTGGGCTTGGACCAACGAATGCTTTTTTCAACCACGGTCGCTCCTGCAACAAATAATTGCGAGATTAGTGAAATTCAATATAATAATAATTCACAAGGGTGAATCCTTGACCGCAGTATAACGTACCTCATTGTTACCTCCATCCCGGTCAGCGCTCAGGTTGCTGGTGTGAAATGCGCGGATCCAGGTATCGGCGATCATATCGCAAAGGTTGATAGAGTTGTTTTTCTGGCAAAAAAGATATAGATCACTGAGCTGCTTGGCCGTCCAAGGCAAGACAGCGTCTGTGTTGTCGTCCTCTCCGTTCACGGTGTGAGGCAATTCAGTCTGAATCTCGGAAGCCTGTTCGAGCTTTCCGTAAAGGACCTTGATGAAATGGTCAGTATGTAAGTCGGGTAGAAGACCTGGGAGATTAGGGTTGGCTACCTCAGTAGTCGACAGCAATGGTTCTTCATATTCTTCGGCGGGGGGTGGGGCCCGGAGCTTGAGCTTCAATCGCGGCTTGCCAGTGATCTTTCGTTTGTTTTTTGTGACTTTGTGTTTAGCTGTGCAAAGGTCAGCGCGATCCATTTGCAATTTTGATGTTTGCGACTTGCGTTGGTAGTCTGCAAGGAAAAGTCAGAAAACATTAGGAATGTTCATACGAGGGGTTTGTGAAGTCGGAAGACCCGACCGCTCGAGGTTGATTGAATGTAGCTCAATATCTTCAACTTACTGGCATCTTGGTTTCTTGTCTTGGTTATGCTACCGCTTGGGCGACCGTTCACCGGCTGTGTTGATTGCGTTGTCGCGATTTCATAATCGTCCCCCATTAGTTCATCGCCGTCGGGCTTCCTCTTAGACCTGATCCTTCTGCTTTTTCTCTCTGCAATTGACTGATCACCAGTGAATTGATCGTGTGCTGGAGGGGAACCGTGTGGAGTTGGGTATGCGCTCATCGTGGCGTTGCCAGACTGTGCGCTGAGTGTGCGATTCCTTTTGCTCAGCGGAGGACTTCCAGTTGAATTTAATGGCACGGTGTTTGTTTGTACGGGTGGTCGAGTGAGAGCCGCGCGCTCAAAGGGGACAACTATATTGTGTTATTGTGTTAGGGACCGCTCACTAGTCACGTGCCCGCGCGTTCACACTCAGTAGCGTCTACGGCTTCTCTTACTAATGAAACACTATCTTATCCATCTGAAGATGTGTGAGAGAGGAAGCAGAATTTATCGAAAGAGTGTTGACAACCATGCAATCGCATGGTATCATCTCTACCGCCTACTATCGTTCAATCACGATTGGCTTTTGCGAACATTGGAACTACAGCTACGTACTTGGATCAGTACATTGTCGATTAGAGTGTTAATTTGTATCGTCATGTCTTCGATGAACTATGAGTAGTTTTCTTCGTATGGTTCGCTGTTTTATTGTTGGAGAAAGCGTGTCTCCCTTCAACCATCTGAATATCATTTTTTTTGGTGAACCTGATCACTCACTACACGAGAACGACGTGAGAATTTGCCTTCTTCTCTCTAGTCTGCACGCCGGCCGTCGATATAGAAAAATGGCTAGGCCTATATATCCAATTGAAAGAGGGATATGTAGAATTTCGGTAAGTTCACATATGTATCTGAAAATACTATCTTTTCACTACGTCGTTAGCTGTCCGGATGTTGTATATGAGACTGATCTCGCGATCACCTTTAGGTCAAAACTTCGAGCACACGATGTGTATTCTACTTGATCCTGTTATACACTCTCTACATATACCATTTGTCTGTACCACGTCATGAATCAGAGATACTTCTCCACAGTTCCCTTCTCCGCACTTCGATAGATAGCGTCAACCATCTTGTGCCTCAACACGGCGTCCTTGAATTCGATGACATTATCAGGGCTCTCTGCCCAGACATCCCATGCCTTGCCCACATTAAAGGAGAAATCGCCCTCCTCTGGTTTTCCAGCCTTCTCCACTTCTATATCTTCTACTTTCTTCGCTTCGCCGTCGCCCAGAATGAGCTTGACTGTAGGTTGATACATCTGTACATGTCTACGCAGAGTTAGTTATCACAGCGATTTCAAACGTTTGATGGAGACTAATATGACGCTTACCCTGAATCAGCTTCCAACACCAGCGAACCTTCCGTGCCGTTGATCTCCCAATGGAAGTTGCGATCGGTGCGCGAAAACCCTCCTACATAGGTAACATCAACGATACCACCACCCTCGACCAACTTTCCCGTCACACTCACGGTGTCATGCGCTGTCTTTGCAGACTTTCTCAATTCCTTGCCGTCAGCGTCCACAACCGAATGCTCTAGCCGAGCATTATTCAACGTCGCCGACAAGCTCTCAAACTCGCCCAAGACAAACGCGAGGCCATCCACCGCATGTGCAAAAGGGATGGTAATTAAGTTCGCACCGTTTTCAATAGGGAGCGTGTACTCGTAACTAGGGGGTATTTGTGGAGCGTAGAGCACCCCGTGACCGAACATTGTGCTCTGCATGATCTTTCCTAATTTCCCACTCTTGACGATTTCGCGGGCTCTGATGAAGGAGGGATTATAACGTGCTTGCAAGCCAACCATGGTTTTGATTCCTTTGTCTTGAGCAAGCTTTGTGAGCTCTTCGGCTTCAGCTAGAGTTTTTCCTAGAGGCCATTCAACAAAAACGTCTTTCCCCGCTTCAATTGCAGGCTTTGTGAGCCTGGTTCCCCGGAGATGAGAATGATTATAGAATAGCAAGGGCTCTGGAACGCACTTGTAGTGTTGAGGAACATTGACGCTGACCGCTACAATGTCAACATTTGGATCTTTGGCTAGATCATCCGGGCTGCCATGGGTGGAGACGTTGGAAAGGTTGTATGCTTTAGCGGATGCTTCGGCAGATTCCTTGGAGCTATTTTGTAAAGCTGTGATAGTGTAGTATGGGCTTGAGTTCAAATACGAGAGATGGGATCGCGAAGCCCAAGATCTGACAGTTGTTAGTTCAATATACGTGTCTTCTGTAATGCTAGAGAAGTACTCACCCTCCGGCGGAAAGACCTATGAGACCTATGCGTTTTTGTGGTGCCATTTTTTGCTTGTAATTATGGGCGAAGTTTAAGAGAGACTTGAACTGGTGTTTAAATAGCGAGTGTGAGTGAGTATGATTGATAATTCATGAATGAAACCTCGTGATCCTGCCTCTTTAGATCTTTGTACTAGCCCTAATCTATGGTGCTTATTAAAACATGAAGCTTTCAAAGCACGTTTTGCACTTCCCTATTGCACATTATTATTCAAGCTGGCGTCATCGCGGGGAATTTTGGCTTAGCCGAGGATCTGCAGGGGGAACGGACATGATTCTGAAAACCACATGTGCATGTGTGATTAAAAAAACGGAGGAGACAAAGTCAATGGATCGCTGCATAAGTAAGCCAACTGGACTTTCTGGTTAGCAAAAAGGGGATCTCATGGTTATGTATTCATCTTGACTGTCCGGGCACGGACACAGTGCATTAAGTTAATCTCGAGGGACATAGATTATTCAAGTTCCGGCAAAACGTCAAATCACAATTCGAATGTGATGATGTACGGCGCCTACATTATATAAGCGTAAGTACGAAAGACCCAGTTTCGAGTATAGTTGGTGCACTAGCAGTGTGTGTACAATAAAATTGAAGATGACGCTCCCCCATTTCAACATTCTGAATCGAAGCTCGGAAACAGCATTTGAAGACATAGTCCAAACACAAGACTAACTCTCATACGCCGCCTCACGCATAAAAGGACTTTTTGCTCTGATGTCTTTTCCGTACACCAACAGCACAAGCGGAATGCAGCTCAAAGCGAGCGCCACGAACCCCAAAAGCGAGCTCGCCCATTGCAGCCCCAATGTGCGATACATACTTTGTGTGGCAAGTGGCAAGAAGGCCGCAAAAGTGTTTTCTAAGAAGGCTATGCCAGCAATTGCGCTTGCAGAATATTTTGCGTAGCTGTCCATAATGTATGTGGTTACTGCCGTAACAGCGCAAAACATGCCAGCACCAACAAAACCCAGTGCCACGGTCGGAACCATCCAATGAATTGAAGGATTAGACGTCCAAGCAAACCAGAAAAGACCCCCCGTGAGCCCGAGAAAGGAACCAGGGATACTTATGTAAAGACGAGCTTCTGGTACGGGACGTCCTGCAGTTTCCGTGTTTCGATTCGCGGACCGAAAATAAAGTATATCTTGATACAATGAGCATAGCTACAAGTAGAGACACGTCGTCAGCAAAAGCAATTACATTCTGTCACGGCCGAATCAAGCTCATTGCCAATCTGAGGAGCCACTTACTAAGCCAAGGACTTCACCTACAACCAAGGCACCTTGAACTAAACCGGTCCCATAGAACGTCCAGCCATACAGCTCAGAATATACTTGTACGAGTGACTGTGTGAACATGAAAGCAATGCCGATGCAAAAGGCAGACCAAAGACCGAAGGAAAACACGACAGCTTCGGTGACGAGCATACGAGTCGGTCGGACTAGTGTCTCTCGAAGCACTTCGCTCATACTCGTATGCTGGGTCTCAGCTTTCGCGAAAACATCTATACCTTTGGTTTTGCGAATGTGTTGTGCGCGTTCGGTGAGGATAACATCCTGGCGGACTTCGGGTAAGGCCAAGTAGAGAACAGGAATGAGAGCGCCATAGCAGATGATGTGTATCCAAAAAATCCTACAGTCATCAGATTGGTGCTTAAAACGAGGACTTGAGGGTCAGGAACTGACCATCGCCATGAGATGAATTTTACAATGGCACTCCCAATCACGGGCCCCATACTCAGTCCAGCCAATAGCCCGCAGATATAAAGAGAGGTATTGAAACTCTTGACTCTTCCATTTTCCCATATATCACTCACTATGCCACTTGTGATGTTTGCAAGTACGCCAGAACAGCCTCCAGTGATAATACGGGTGACAACGAGAGTCGCGAAATTGTGGGCCAATGCTTGGGGAATAAGGAAAACGATTAAGCAAATATAGATTGCCTGACGTTGTCAATAGGAGAAAGCAAGGAATATACTCAGGTAGACGTACCAGATAGCTCCACCTGACGCCAAACTTCTCCATAAGCGGCAATCCAAGTAGGGGAGCTGCGGCGCCACCAAGATTCCACGAGAGTACAGGCCAGTAAGAGTGTGGGAATGTTGCATCGCTAACATGGAAGCTCTTGTTGATTTGCTCTGCAGCACTCGTCATGGCAGTACCATTTGTTTGAACTGCAAAGGACATGAAACATGCCAGCAGTGTTACTCTCCATTTCTTCGAAGGCGGCCAGTTGAAAGGGTTGTGAGGATCGTTGGGACCATTCCACTGGGCATATCTGTGTTCTTCTGTCGTGGTTCGATCTAAGTCAGATGTCGATTGATACTGCTGTTCTTCATCCACTAGTGGCGTGGTATTCTGGCCTGTAGCATTTGCAGTGCTGTTTCTATCCACATGAGCAGTCCACATCCCGGAGGATTCGATGGCTAGCAGCGAAATTTAGAGAATGAGTTTGGTTCGTATAAATCTGGGCGATGCTCAAGCGTACAGAGAATCGGAAGTATCTACTGTAAAGTTATATACCATTCTGAAGAGACCTGTTGTCTCGATCAAAGTTTTTCTGACTGCTGTTTGTTTCGACTCATTGACAAGTAAGCAAGCAGTTATGACATGTTATAGGGCTAACAAAAATCGCAAACGCACCCCAAGCAATCAGCAAAGGCAATGTTTTGTATAGAGAAAAAGTAACAAGGGAATCGCAAACACGAGTCTGCCAGTTGTAAATGCTCTGGAAGACAACGAACACGACGTTGGTGTGAAGGCGATAAAGTGGGTCGACCCAGCCACCTAAACCTTTCCCAGTCATGACGAACTTTGCTTGTCACGAGCTAATCGCGGCCGTACCAAGATATTTACATGGTTGACTCAGGGAAATGCCAATGACTTCGAATTGTTGCTTAATTAGGCTTCGCGTAAACGTAAGAGAATTCGAGAAAGCTTCAAACGACGCGAGGAGATGAAGCTAGTCCATTTGGAGAGCTGCTACTACGCTACTTCGGCCCTAGATTAAGCAATATGCTTTGTATGATAAAGGGTAGAAAAGTAGAATAGTAGGACTGAATGCCCTAACATTGAAACTGGTCTTCGAGGTATGCTGAGAGAGTTTGTGCGCATTGACGCAATCTGTGACAGCTGTTATAGCCAGCACGCGAGAGGCTGCTTTCGTCATTCACGTATATCACGAAGAAGTGTTTGCGTGACTGCAAGATCCTAGATTTGGGGACTTACATTGGAAGATATATTGGTTTTTGTAATCGATGAACGGAAAGAATGAATCTCTGCTGCTTGTGATGGCTCACATAGTCCGAAAATTGTTCATCCCTGTGTTCTGTGGTATGTCGGGTTGTTGATTATTTGGCGGCGGTAAATGAAACTTGTGCGACTGTCGTACAATTCATGGCTTTAGGCATCCACCCCCTATTATAATGAGGAGAATCTCGGTGAAGTGTTGTCGAAGACCTCAACGTTCTCAGCCATGGAGATAAGTCCACTTTCTACCTTCCAAATTCATCTCCGATCCCAGACTCTCCCCATCCGAAATCCGCTTCTCATCCTTCGTCCACCTAGCAAATTCCTCAGACTACCGTTTGAGATTCGATTGAACATCTACCGACATGCATTCTCTGGAACTTCTACGCTCAGATATAAGATGGCGCTTCCCATCGTATGCAAGCAAGTTTTCGACGAAAGTTACACCATGGCCCTTTCGAGCTCGATTCGGTTCCGTTCCTCATCCGCCTTTGTCAGATTCTGGCGTCGGACTGAGCCATCGCGACGAGCCCATGTAAAGAATGCTGAGATTGTAATTTCTAGGGCCATGGACATTCATCGTATACCAATGGACTTGCACACAAGATGTGCCGGATTAGAGGGCGAATGTCAAGGACTGCGCTTGGAGAGCTTGGTATTGGCAGTAATCGACGCAATGGATCCCATAGAAATGCTGCAACCAAAAGGAGTGACGAGAATGATTAGGACATTGGCGGAGATCGACGTGGCCGATACAGTTGTGATAGCAGACTATTACGGCGGAGGCAACAGATTCATGATCAGTAGCCTCTGCAGTATCGTGAGGCCTGCATGTCGTGAGCGCTGGCTGGCGGCTCCCTTGCGTCAGGTATCAGGAGAAGTTATCCAAAAACTTGTCAGTGGATCGGGAAGCGTGGATGGAATATCGTTCACCACTAGAGAGTCTCTTCGCAGAAGCGGACTGGAAATCGAAGATGATCTTCAGTGGACTGTAGTAACGGCTGAACAGAGGGTTTGGTGTTCCATCTACAAGGCAGATTGAAAAGCAGATAGCGATGATTAATTGATATCTTCAAACAGGAAGAGCGATTAAAGAGCGGTAAATTTGGACAAGATGAATTACAAGCGAACCATGGTCTTGATGCATGAATTTTGATATTGTGACGGCAGAACAGATGAGCGATTTTGCTGATTGATCATGAAAATGAAGCAATGTACTGGTACTGAGTGAGGTATGAGAGTCGGCTACGTGTGAGCACTTCAGGCCTAGGCCCGGGTAATCTCCGGGCATGTGACTCTCGCCTCACAGACCTCACAGACCCTGTGTCCGTGCAAACATTGATGCATGCATGTAGCATCGCGGCGCGGGGAAATGTTCGGGATTGACTTGTTGACAGTCCCTCTCAGCGCTAATAGCAAGATAGGCACTGGCGTTTCGTTACTATCCATGCACACCTAGTAGGGTATAGGCAGGTATGACTGTGCTCTCCTTTGTAAGGTCGTAGAGTCCTGGCAATCTCCAGTCCAAGAAGACATTCATTTCCTACATCCCTTCAATTACGTCCAACCATGAGCACCCCCAACGACCAGAAATTTGCAAACGTAACTGCGCCTGATGCTAGAAGCTTTGTCGAAGATGTTCTTGCCGGCAATGGTGTTCCTCGAAACAATGCAGTCATAGTCGCCCGATGTCTCGTGGAAGCCGACCTCCGTGGTGTCGATACGCATGGAGTCAACCGTATTCCAAGCTACATGGCACGCATCCGGCAGGGAGTTCTAGACGCCCATGCATCCCCTACGATTCGTCACATATCGCCCGTGGTCGCCCAGGTGGACGGACACAACGCATTTGGGTTTCTTGCAGCACACTTGGCAATGGAGGCGGCAATTAGAATGGCAGATGGACCTTCGGGGATTGGTGTGGTTTCGGTCAAGAGCTCGAATCATTTCGGCATGTCTGCTTGGCTCGTGCAGCAGGCAATTGATGCGGGCATGATGAGCTTGGTTTTTACGAATTCATCGCCTGCGCTACCAGTGTGGGGAGGCAAGTCAAAGCTCATGGGCGTTTCGCCCATAGCCTGCGGGGCCCCAGCTGGCAAGGGCCGGCCTTTCATTATGGACATGGCACCCAGCGTGGCAGCCCGTGGAAAAGTTTACAAAGCACTACGGAGAGGCGAGAAGATCCCCACAGACTGGGCACTGGATAAAAACGGGAAGCCGACAGACGATCCAGCAAAGGCACTAGAAGGTGTCATGCTCCCCATGGGCGGGCCAAAAGGTTCCGCGCTCGCTGTCATGATGGACGTCTTCTCGGGTGTACTCTCTGGTACCCATCATCCCCAAGATACCCACCCGCATATTTGTGAATCTATGTGACTAACTTTTCCGAAGGAAGTGCTTTTGCAGGTCACGTTACCAATCCTTACGATCCCTCCAAGCCTGCCGACGTTGGGCATTTCATCGTGGCCATCCGGCCCAATTTGTTCATGAGTGCCGATCAGTTCAAAGACCGAATGGACTATCTCTATAGCCGGGTCGTGGGGTCGGACCGAATGGATGGCGTCGAGCGAATATATTTTCCCGGGGAGATTGAGCAGCTAACCAAAGAAAATCGTTTGAAGCACGGCATACCACTTGTAGAGGCCGAGATCAGCGCACTCAACAAGGAGGCTAGCCAGGTTGGAGCTAAATCCATAAGAGCCTCACCGCTCCCCGTGATGGCTCGTCTGTAGAACATGTACACATACATGTAGCACTCTTTGTGGAGATCAGCCACGACTTAGCACTGCAACCGTAATAACATCTTGGTATCAATTCCATCTTTCCTGTCACCCGATGTTGCAAATAGGAAAGAATAAGCTCTCCATCGCATGACAATCATCGGGACAGGTCTCTAGTCGCTCAACTACTGCAACTTGGCAAGCCGAATGAGTGCATAGCTCCTGGAATGCGATGTTGAGACCGGGGGCTTTGAAGTGAACATTGGCTCAGATCCACTAAGCCCCGACGCGGGGCAAGCGTTGCAGGCGAACGCTTGCTTCTAGGCCAAGCGGGGGGTCCGTAAGCGTGGCGAGGGAGACAAGCTCCGGGGCGTTTGTGCCAACAAAAGCTTCCCGCTCTTGTCAACTTTCACCACTATCGTCTTGGCAACCCCATGGACTTTCAAACACCACTAATCAGGTTGCTAGAAAGTACGGGAAGGGAAGCACGATGTGGAGAAAAGGATCGCTACACATGCCTCGATGCGCGCGACGTGGAGCCAGTTGCAATCTGTCGGCCTCATTCGCCGGCTGTTGGTTGTACGGATCTGCAGTAGCATTGGTCATGCCATGTGTCTTGATTATGCAGTGCAATCGTATATATGTAGATAGGGTAGACCTGCCTTCCTAATGCAATCTTTCAAGTTCCACTGCTTGTTCGTACGTTTTGTGTCGGCGAACATCAGAGCCCTTGAGGTTGGATCCTTCACTCGCCAGATTTTCTACCCTGAAACTTCCTCCAGCACAGTTCTTTCAAGTCGTCGTCAACATGTGGAACCCTTGGCGCGAGAATTTGAAGGATACGCCCAAGGAAGCATTGAACTGGCGGCTATGGTATGGTGTTTTTGGTAAGACCGTGTACATCATTTGCGCTCACTTCACTGCTAATCATGAACAGTCTTTGGGCTCATGGGCGCTGCCCGAGGTATAGATGAAGGCCTCATTGGCACTACCGCTGAGCTCGTCCCATTTCAAAAGTACAGTACAAGCCTGAATAAACTTTACTGGTCGATACTAACTTTTACTTAGAAAGTTTGGCTTGGAAGACCCGAGCAAAACCAAGCAGCAACAGGCTGAGTTGCTCTCCAACATCACGTCTATGGTCCAGATGGGCTCGATTCTGGGCTCTTTGGTCGCGTTCTTCCTCACCGACAAGATCGGACGACTCTGGGCAACACGTCTTCTTTGCGCCTTCTGGATCGTGGGCATCTCCATCTTCCTCGCGAGCTCGGCAACGGGAAGCATTGGTATGGTTTATGCTGGCCGCTTTATTGCTGGAATTGGTATTGGACAGACCACTGTCGTTGCCCCTACTTACCTGGCCGAGACTGCTCCTCGCGCTATCCGAGGACTATGTGTCTGCGCTTTCGCGGGTGCTGTATACGTAGGCATTATGCTGGCCTACTTCGCATCGTGGGGTTCCTCAATTCACATATCCTCTGCCACTGACGCGCAATGGCTTGTGCCTAACAGCATGCATCTCATGTTCGCTGGCATCATCTTCACGCTCTCGTTCTTCAGTAAGGAGTCGCCCCGTTGGCTAGTGAGAGTGGGCCGCCACGAAGAGGCTCTCGAAGTCCTTTCCCAGCTCCGTAACCTGCCAGCCGATCACGCGTACGTTACTTCGGAGATTATCGATATTAATGATCAGTTGAACCGCGAGCGTGAGGCTACCATGGGCACTAGCTGGCTCGGTCCTGTTCGTGAACTCTTCACCATCAAGGCAAACCTGTACCGGGTTCAGCTCAGCATCATGTCCCAACTGCTTTCTCAGTGGTCAGGCGCTTCATCGATCACAATTTATGCGCCGCAATACTTCGCAATGATGGGTACTACGGGTCAAAATGAGAAACTGTTTGCAACGGCGATCTTCGGTTTGGTAAAATTTATATCATCGATTACCTGCGCCTTCTTCCTGATTGATTTCATTGGCCGCAAGCGCGCACTCTCTTCGGGAATTACTATTCAGTTCGTTTCCATGCTCTACATGGCCATCTTCCTTTTCATGGATCAGTCCGTGAGCGACAAGAGCGCGCCGCAGTCTGCCAGCCAGAAACACGCCGCCATGGGCGCCATCGTCATGATCTACTTCAGCGGCTTCGGATGGGCTCTTGGATGGAACAGCTTGCAATATTTGATCAATTCGGAAATCTATCCCTTGCGGTTGAGGGCCATTGGCGGTAGTTTGGCTATGGGCTTCCACTTCGTGAACCAATATGGTAATTCAAAGGTACGCATCCCCACCCCCCTCTTCTAAGGCTCGCCTTCTGTAGTTTGTAAATTGAGCAGTTCCATCTTCTTTTACAACACTCGGCTAACTCAAACCACAGGCTGTACCCCTGATGTTCCTAGGGATGACCAACGGCGGCACCATGCTCTTCTTTTCCATCGTCACTGCCATCGGTCTTGTTTGGGTGTGGTTCTTCCTCCCTGAAACCACTGGCAAGAGTCTCGAAGCCATTGATGAGATCTTCGAGCTACCCTGGTACCTTATTGGACGGAAGGGAGCAGAGCTTACTCGCGGTACGGGTGGTATCTCGGAGGTCCTCGATGTCGAAGGCGAGAAGTCGGCTACGATGCAGATTGAAAAGGAGAATGTACGAGGAACGGCTGAGGAGACGGCTGAGAGGAGGGTGTGAGTTTGTGGAGTCTGGAAGTCGGATGGTGGCTATTTATTAAGATGAAGCGCAGCAGTACAGTGAAGAGTATGGGTTTGCAATTCCATAATATTGGCTTTGCAATATATATACCTAGGTACACATACGAATAACGATGATGATCAAAACCAAGCATATCACTTGTATTGTGTCACTCATCTACCATATGCTCCATGGCGATGAGGTTGTATTGAAAGCAACCTCGTATTATTGCACCGCAGAAGCAAAAGAGTACACATCACACCGTACGATGACACCCTTCCAAGGCAGAGAAGTTCAATAATGCATGTGTATGGTCGGTAATATCGACTGTCTAATTCTTACTTCCCATATACATCACTAAGTCAACAATATGTCTACTCGGAGGTGAAAATATTTAGAAAGTTTGCGGAGTCCTGGATTGCCGTGAAGCGCGTAGTATACATACTTTCTAGCTAATAGACAGTAGCTTACTAGTCTATCCTGTTAAATCGGGGATCACATCTATCACATCATCATCTGCTTCCGTTAATTCAAGCAATTAGTTAAAGATTAGTTATGTTACTGTTACTCTTAATCCACTGCCCAACTGTTATAGTAGCACGCTTCTATCCCGTGTAGTCATTAATGGCTCGAAGTATTCGTATATTAATTTGTTGAGAAAAAAAAACACACCGCAAACATCCCAGCTCAACTCATGCAGGTACCATACCATCTTTCATTTGCCCCCTCCTTTATTTTCGCGTCCTGTAAATGATAACTAATCTCTTGTACGTGACGTGAGTGCAGGCATCTTAAATTTGGAAGCCAAAGCACGCTGTAGAGCCAATAAATTTCGTGGGCGTTCTGATTGTGGGCTTGGGGGAGGCGCGTTCCCTGGGAGAGGTTAGCAGACATCCATGTGTATCCTTCAGTATAGTACCTACAGTTTGTGTTGAGAATCGAAGGCCGCTGCGAATGATTGCGCCCTTTTAGATGTGTATCAGTGACTGCTTTTGTGAATTCTTCTGTAGCTGCGAATACTCACAAATTTGTGGACCTCGCAGCAGCTGAGTCTCGTGTTCCGTAATGGAAGGCGGCGAAAGGCGCGGGGACGTTAAACTGCTGCAAGTCAGAACAGAGTTCTAATGAAATAAATCATATATGTAATATGAACTTCGCAGATGAGCGCAAACAACATACCTCTTGAGATTGTGACTGCTGGCTTTTGGCAGGCTGTGTTAGGACGGCAGGAGGAACACCTTTCTTTTCCTGCTCCATGCCACCGGCAACAGCACCTGCATTCTCCCCTTCTTTGCCTTTTTATGTATTCTGAGCCTGCTTATCCTCTTCAACTTTGCCTTCATCTCCGTCGGCTTCAGAGTGCTCTCCGTCAGCATCATCGCTGATAGCATGGTCACCCTCCTCCATAGCCCGCTCATCATCAACTCGTTCCTCATTATCAGCCATCATTTTATAGGCTTCGTAGTCGTGCTCCTCTCTTTCTTCCTCGTTGATTACTGAAAGAAGCTCATCCAGCGTTCCACGGATCTCAGCCAAGTATTCATCGATATTGGCAGCCTCGCCAATCGGATGCCATGCTCGAACTTGGCGACATATTGTTTCTATTTCAAGGCGGTAGGCGTTTGCTTCTTTCCAGTCTTCAGCAGTTGAGGCAAGAATAAGAAGAGTCTTCATCTTGTGGTAGCGGGGTATGGCTGAGTCGGAGAGAAGCTCGTGTGCTCCGGCGATGCATTCGTCCAGCTCATCAACATCGTACAGCGCGGTGAGCTCATTGACGGCCTCGGTGAACTTTTTGTCAACCATACACGAGTAAGACATGATGTGTTTATTCAATGGGGCGATGTCCAGCGGGAATTGAAATTAGTGGAGGGTGAGTGATGGGGTGGTTGGTTGGGGCGGCCTCTCCTGGGAACGTGAAAGTCAGATAATATGCGCCGACCACGCTCAGTGCAAAAACACTAGAAATATGCTTAAAACTAGTCGTTTAGTACTACTCGTAGTATTACAATATTATAAAAAACCAAAATATAATTATAAAGCTGTGAATAAGCGTAAATTGCTTATAGAAGTAAGGAATTGTATAGTAGGCGCACGTGCTTTATTATCCGAATAATTCAAATGTTCAAATGTTCGTTCCCGTAAGAGGGCGGCTTCCAATTAGAGGCGTGGAAATAACAGTTCAGAAAGAACAGGAAAGAACGGCCAGTTGAGCTATGGTCTCTCATCTTGTTGCCTACCCGCACACACAAAAATAGGTTAGACCTAGTATATACATACATTCGTTCCTGGAATCACGTCCACTTAGTCACCCTCGAAGCTCATCCCATCACAATGAATCCAAGTTCTCCGCCAGCGCAATGGCTGAGAATCTCAAGTCTCCACCCTTCTCCGCTTCGATCCTCATCAACCGCCCCAGACCCCTCTCCACGGCCGTCTCGGAGAGGACGTCTTCATCCTCCCCCAACTCGCCACGATCTAACGGCCCCGCCCTTGCCCCCTCCAATTCCCACAGGTGTCCATCCCGACCTTTAACGAACGCCACAAAATGTTGACCGAGATGGGCCCCCTCAGTCGGCACAGGCACCGTGGTCTCTCCCAAGCCCACCGCCTCAGCATGCGCCGCCTCAAACGCTTCGTTCTCTTCCAAAACCTTCGCACGCTCCCAAATCGTCTTATCCAGAGCGTCTTTGCGAATCTGATCAAGCGGCGAATCTCGCTGAATATGCCGCGCTGCCTCAGGGCTATTGAGTAGACAATGGACCAGTCCTATAGAGCCGCACGCATTGCCGATAGTCTGCTTGAACCATATGACGGGCTCTTCGTCTCCCTTTCCTGCATACTCTGGCTTATCCTTGTCCTCGCTCGTGCGTGACTCATGCCATGCCGGCGTGAGTGGGATGATGACGAGCAAAGCGTAGACTGGGCGGGGGATGAAGGCTAGCAGATCTTGATCCGTGAGCGAGTAGATATCATAAAAGGATAATCTCCTGCTTAGCCCGAGTGAATGGGCCAGTTGGTTCATCACCTGCGGGTTGTTCTCAAGGGCGTTCCATAGTTTGGGCATTGTTCTGGGATGTATCACGCGAGGGAGGTTGAATGGCCTTGTCCTGTTATGGCAGAGTTGAAATTAAGGTGAAAGTATAAGAGTTCAGCTAGCAAAAGAGAAGGTATAAAGACGTTGTTGTGGTAATGTGGTTTGGCAGGTGTCAGGCTGCAGTCAATAACTGCGAGTGCTTGCGTTCACGCTAGCTACTTTTGGCAGTGGGGTACATCAGGGTGTATGTCTGTTCTAGGATTGCTCGAGTTTTACATCCCCAGAGAAGAATCATTATGCCCATATCTTGCGAAATATTCCATAGAATTGCATGAATCCCAATGATCATCTGAGTATATACCGGACCTACTCATGGGAATAGGAGCACGTCGCGAGATGAGACAGACTTGAACATTCTAGTCGACCGTATAACAGAGTCACCGCATATGGTATTTACGATGGCAGCTGCGAGCTAGAATTAGAGAGAAACTGTAGGTCTAGTTGTGCTGGCCAACTTGAAGCTCGTATTCCAATGTGACAGCAAGACAGGTGAATATAAAATGTGTCTCGGAAACACATGCATGCACTGGGTGGAGAACCACTGGTGTCGTCGCTTGAATGGTCGAATAAGGCAGTGATTCTACATGTATTGAAGGGGTTGAAAATGAAGGTCCGACTGTGCTTCGTGAAAAGTGTGGTGCTGTCTGCCTCTACAAGACGCGCTGTGACCTTCCCACCCTCCACCACGCCACCTTCTTTTCTTCACCTGCTCTCACCCATTACCACCGCCACTTCTGTTGCCTACAAATCCCAAGAACCGAAATTACCTTCGTACTTAAGAGTCGTCGCAATGCCAGTTCCACCAGCTGCACCTGCCTCTTCTCATGCCCACAAACCACATGCACGCAACGTCGAGACCCCGGTCTACGTCATTGTCATACTCGCGATCACCCTTATCATATACTGCTTCTGGCTGGGGACCGTGATTGCTCGAATCTGGTACTATGGAGGCCGCGTGCATGGAGACTTTCAAGTCTACGACATCCGTCCAGAATACGCTCGCGAGCGGACGGCGCCAGACGCAGCGGCTACCGCGGCGCACCGCGAATCAAGCGACGCTGTGGTAGACCGCAACCGCATGGTCGCGCAAGCCCGGCCAGACGTGAACGAAGATGAGGTGGACGATCCCGAAGAGAAGAAGCGAATCAGGGAAGAGAAACGAATCAGTCGGCTGCCTGCCTTTTTGCAAGATGACTGCGGAGATGCGACCGAGTTTCCCGGAGTTCCCTATGGCATACCAATGAATGTTTTCAACAAACGGTTCCAAGTTGGCTTCCGCGAACTGGGACTGTCCAAAGTCGCTGATGGCGAATGGCTGGCCGTTGACAAGAATTTCTCGATCCACGCTACGGCAAGGAAGGAACTGCTGGACCGCAAGCTGAATGGCTGCATACAATATCTGACTGGAAGCCATGAAGAGCCAAGTGAAGAACTATTGCCGGAGGTAGTCAGCTACCTCACTGAACACTTTCCTGGTACGTCTGGACATGAGGGAAAATAGGGCACTGTCGGCTATTCTGGGGTTCTACGTTGTTCGACAGTTTTCAACTCTAGCTATGCAGAGTACCATTCTTGTATCAAATCTACTGACTTTTGGTCCTCCTCCTAGGTACCTTCCGCGAGCGGGAGCGCATTGCGTACCGCGTCGTGCAGAACCATAGCACAGACGAAGAGTGGATGCTGAAGCGCCCATATATACCCGAGGCTATCGAGATACTGGCGAGGTTGGCAAATGAAGACTTTGTATTCTTCAAGCGAGACTCGTTCACAGGACGTTGGCAGCTGTGGGTATTCATTTTCCAAGATTGATGGGCAATGGCTAACGTTTACAGGTATGGAGGAGCTGTTTGTCTGCCGTCGGGATGGAATCTCCGGGAAATACTTGGTGCAAACGTTGACCAGCTTGAGAACACGGTGATATCCTGGAACAGTAAGTCTCCCAAGCTGAGCATTATGGGTGATGTGCTGACTATGTATCTTGACCTGACGGCCATCCTGGACTACGTCGAACAAGGCGAAGACAAAGAAGCGATGAAACGCTCGACCATGTTCATGCAAACCGACCCAGGCGACCGGCGTTTACCTGATATCTTCTTCATTCAAGCACCGCACGACTTTTTCCCGGGCGACGCTAACACGCTGAATCCGGGCGATATGATTGTTCGGAGGGAAATGCAGATGTTCCGGGTGCTGGCCAAATCGAAGTGTATTGTGATGACAGTGAAGACGGAGCTGAACTACCTGACGGATCTGGAAGCCAGGGCACGCGACGAACTGGCCAAGGAGATCCGGGGCTGGCCCAAGGAGATGGCAAGTCGGAAGGGGAAAGGTCTATGGAAACGAGTAGTGCTTGGGTACTTGGAAGGGAAGGCCATGATGCGCGATGATGGAACGGCGGTTGATGCGAACGACTTTACAGATAGTGATTCGGATTGAAGGCAGCAGATCATGTTCAGAAAAGGCGAAGCTACATGGACAAGTTCACGTAATGAAGGCGAGGAGAGGAAAAAATGGATTGTGAGATGGGTCTTGGCTGGCCAAGAATACAAGGGTAGTTGGACTGCTTAATATGCCTACCTACGGTACTTGGAGGAGGATGGCGGTGTGGGAAGTGGAGAAGAGAGAGTCGTATTGGGAAAATGGTGAAAGTAATGGAATACTGGCCATGTTCCGAAGCAGGGCCGGGGAGAGAAGGATGTGCGCTGGGTGGTTGGAGATGGGTTCCGTTGAAGATGAAATCATGTAGTGATTGAGACGAACAATCATGTGCACAGATGAGAGGAAGAAATCAAATGGTGATTTACTTGGGTTACTGAACTTGAGCTCCTTGCAGCCATGTGGAGCGTGGCATTTGGAGGGGGATTCGTGGCTGGTGGATGGACCCTTACGGCAGGGAGCGAGCGAGCGAGCGGGGCAGACGGTTCATTCTGGCTGGCAGCCACGGCGGTGGCAGGCAACAGCAGGCGAATGGCAGCTTTGCAACAATATCGATTGCACGTTTGCAGAAGTACTTTGGTATTACTGTAGGAAGAAGAGACGCCCAGGCAGATGGACACTGGCTGATCCTAGCGCCGAGGGTGGTGGTGGTGGTGGTGGTGGTGGTGGCTGATCTGTCAGCGAGGGCGCGGACTGATGTTTACCCGGGTCGTTGCGGCGCCCAAGCTGCAGCAGCCGAAGACGTATCTACGTACGAATGCCATTGCTGCCCGTGTTTTCTCTTGCTCTACCGACCACGCATGCTACGTGATGATGGCCATGATGGATGCATCCATGACACGCAGGGTGAAGTAAAAGCAACGGCTGGGCGCAACGAAGGACGCAGGATCCAAACGGACTTGTGCGGGAGTGTAGACAAAGGTAAGCAAGCAAAAACCGGTCAGCTCCATCGGGGCATGGTGGGCTGTAGAGAGTCCGCCCGCGGCCGCAGCATGGCCAGTGCACACCAGAATGGCCCCCCTCAGCCTTGTCGGTCGTCGTCGTTGTCTACTTGTCCAAGCACTCGAGCGAGCAAGAGATGGAAGACTGATGGGAGGCGAGCCGGAATGTCTGGCTGTGCTGCGGCGGTGCTTTGTCTGCCTGATCGTCATTCGCTGGTCCGGGGGCCAGATACTCGTGCTGCGTCCATTGATACGCTGGCTGGGGAAGAATCTGCTGCTGCTGCTGCTGCTGCTGTGTCTGTGTCTGTGTGCGCCTGTGTCTTCTCTTGTCGTCGTCTGCCTGTGTGCGGCTGATGGGCTGCCACTGTACCCTCGCAGCTCTTGGTCTCGTTCCCGAAATCACCACCCAAACCCCCACCCCACCTCTCCTCCATCCTCCTCCCTCCCTCCTCCGCTGGTGAAATGAATGCTCGTCTGAAGAACCTAGTGGGTTCAAAGCGAAAAAGTTCGAGCAACGCACCTTCTCCATCGCCCTCTCAAGGAGGCACCACTCCTACCCAGCGTCCCACCTCGCTCTCCCCGCAAGCCTCCAATTCCAGCAGCTCGAGTCTGCCAACCCAAACCATGAACCCCAACAATCAACTCGGCCGCCCGCCCTCGTACTCCTACACTGCTCAGCAGCAGAACTCCCTGGGCCCTGGCCAGCACCCTCAAGGTCGTCCCAATAGCCCGCTGCCCCCCATCAACACCGCTGCCCAACCCGGCTATCCTCAGCAACCACAGCAGATGGGCTACCCTCCTCCGGGAGGCCCGCCTGGATATCCACCCCAGCAGCAATATGGCCAGCCGCCGCCTGGCCAGTACGGTGCCCCGCCTCCAGGCCATCCTGCCGGTCCCTACGCCAACCAGAGACCCGGCGGTGGTATGGCAGAGGTCGCTGGTGAGGGGCGCTCCAAGGCCCAGCTGATTGTCGGTATCGATTTCGTGAGTTACCTTGTGCCCGCCGGAGCCACGTGCCTCTGGGCCTCTACATACTTCCTCGCTGACCAATCCTCTTCTAGGGAACCACTTTCTCCGGTGTCGCTTTCGCATTTGCGACAAACACCGAAGCCAAGGAAGACATCATCACCGAATGGCCTGGCGCGGGCAACCAGACAAAGCAGAAGGTACCTGCCGCAATTCCACCTCGTCTTGCTCAGCTTTTCTAACTCGACTCCCAGATCCCCACTGTTTTGTATTACGACCAATACCAGAAGGTCGTTGGATGGGGTCCTGACATCGCCGACGCCCTGGCCCCCACCGGCTACCCCAAGCCCGGGGTGCAGAAAGTCGAGTGGTTCAAGCTTCAGCTCATGTTGTCCGGCAACACATATATTGATCCCATCAACCTGCCCCCACTTCCCCCAGGCAAGTCGGAGATCGATGTCGCCGCCGACTACCTCTTCCACTTGCGCCAGGCCATGCGCAACCAGCTGCAAAAGACACTGGGCGAGGTTTTCAACAGAGAAGAGCGCAACATCCGCTACTACCTGACTGTGCCTGCCATTTGGAACGATGCCGGAAAAGCTGCTACTCGTGCTGCGGCCATCCAAGCTGGTTTCTTGCGTGACGAAAACGACAACCGCCTGACCCTCATCACGGAACCTGAAGCCGCCGCCATGTTCTGTTCTAAGACGGGTCTCCTGAACCTCAAACTCCACGATGCCGTGCTCATTGTTGATTGCGGTGGTGGTACCGTCGATTTGATTGCGTACGAACTCGAGGAAGAGCAGCCTTTCTCCGTCGCCGAGTGCACGGCTGGATCTGGTGACTCTTGCGGTTCCACCGCTCTGAACCGAAACTTCAGCAACATTCTCCGTGCGAAGATCCGAAAGATGAAGCTGCCTGATGGCTCCAGGACCGCAGGAAAGGTTTACGCCAAGTGTATCATGGACTTTGAGAACAGAATAAAAGCCGATTTCCGTAACAATGGCCAGAAGTGGGCCGTTGATGTTGGTATTGAAGCCGAGTATCCCGAAGCTGGCATTGAAGAAGGTTACATGACCTTCACCAACGAGGAGATTCTCCAATGTTTCGAGCCCGTCGTTAACCGCATTCTGGAGCTGGTAAGGAATCAAATCATTGCCATTCAGGCACAGAACAGGTCTCTCCAGGTATGTTGTCTTTGCAATATTTGCCCCATGCACCATTTCTGACCCATGTAGAACGTTCTCGTCGTCGGTGGTTTCGGAGCTTCCGAGTATCTCTTCCAGCAGATCAAGTTGCACGTTCCGCCGCAGTTCCAGTCCAAGGTCGTCCGCCCCATGGACTCGGTCGCCGCCATCGTCAAAGGTGCTGTTACCGCAGGTATTACCGAGCGCATTGTCACACATCGTGTTGCCCGTAGACATTATCTCATGGCTACGCTCCAGCCCTTCAAGGAGGGTCACCACCCCGAGCAGTACCGTGTGCCTTCCCTGGACGGCAAAGACAGATGCAAGTTCACACGGCAAATCTTCGTTCAGAAAGGTCAGCGTGTCAAGATTGGCGAGCCTGTCAAGGTTTCATTTTTCCGACAAGTCGCACCCGGTGCCACGCTCATGTACGAAGATATTCTCTATGCCTGCGACGATGATGTTTGCCCGGAATACACCAAAGATCCTCGTAAGTCATCACCTCTAGAATGATTTGCCTAAAATGGCACTGACACGATTCTAGGTATCAAGGAAGTTGTCACCCTCACGTCTGATCTTTCTCGCAAAAACCTCGAAAAGGACTTTGAACGCATGGACACACCCCAAGGCACCTTCTACCGTGTATACTTTGACATCTACCTGACCCTCGATGGCTCCGAGTTCAATGCCGAGTTGGTGTGCCAAGGCGAGGTCATGGGTCGTTGCACAGCCAGGTTCAGATAATTCATCGCATATGGGCGCGTTCGGAGTGGGAAAAAGTTCTTTTACATGGTTCACCATTTGTTGGGTAACATGCGGATACCTCATGAGATATCGTAGGAGAGTCGAGAGGCACACAGACGAGTCGGCATGTTTCGATTGCATACGTAAACGCTGGTTCGACGGTGGCGAAGGCGTGGAAATTGAGAGTGAGGAGAGCTGGGAGAGTCTGGAATGGAGAGAGAGGGGAAAGCCTTGACGAAACGAAACATGTGGGAACGTATCTTTCCTTCCATCTACTCGACTATCTTCCAAAGCCATCTTTTTATGTTTCCCAAACATGTTTCTACCATTAGCATACCCCCCCTTTTCATTTCAAGCTCGCGTTGTGCTGTTATCCTTATGATACTTTTGCCTAGGTCTTCGAGACCCCCTTTCTATTTGAGCAACTAGAAAAAAATAAATACCTTTGGTGCTTTCTTCCATTTGATTTGCTGCGGTCGGGTTGGAGTGGCTGCGGCCTGCTCTTGTCTGTACTTCGACATTTTTCCAACACATATATTTTTCGAAATTCGGAGAGAGAAAGAGAGATCAAATACAACGTGGAAACAGGTTCGCAGTCGGAGAAGGCAGATTGTATGTCATTGACCGCTTGAGAACAGAACTGCCCTCGTGTACTTTCATCGCCCGTATATGCATTTGCCCATTCATGGACCACTCACTCATAGTATCGTCCAATCATCAAACAGAGTTTTTGCGCTGCCAGAGAAGCGAAATTCTTTTACTTTGGCTTGCAGAAGGAGAATGTAAGAATCAAAATAGAATTAAATCAGGTTTTGCAAACTACAGAGGCTGCGCCGTTGCCCTTAACTACTAACAGTCTTCCCTCGCCTTATTGCCTTGTCCTCGCATACCCTACCACTACTACCACTGCCCTTCGCTTGATACTCGTGCTGGACAGCAAGAACAGGATTTGTGAGATGCGAGACCTAAGCTCTCTTACATGCTCACACTGAATAACGAGAGAAGGCACAACAACAAATATGTTGGAGAGAAAGCCGTTATGTAAGAAAAAAGAATGAAGACGTGCCTATTAGCCAGTCACCACAACAGGTTTCGTCTTGTTGTGTTTGAGGTATTTGATGTAACCTGCAACACCAGGGGCAACGATCCCCCCAGAACCAAGTCAGCCAACGTAAAGTCTCTAAACCACAGTACACGCCCAACAAATACGCCACGTCAACACCTCCTCTAGCACAAGAACCGCAAAGACAAGCGGACGCACATCCATCAAAATAAAATCGTAAAACAGAATCCCAACGACACACAAAACAAGAAGGAGTATGAAGATACAATACACGACACCCACACAACACAGAAGAAAAATAAAAAGAGAGAGGAAAAACTGACCATTGCTCCCCCTAACCTCAACGTCGAATCCTGCGGCTTTCTGTCCATCGTTCTCGACATCCGACTTGGAGATGGGCGTATCGTACAAGACACACTGGTAGCGATATGTCGGGTCCGGGTTGGGACACGCAGGACCGGGGACTTTGGTAGGGGCGCGCTCAACGTAGAGGTTGAAGGCCCAGCAGGCGGTGTCGTGCGTGTCGCAGAGGAAAGAGCACATGAGGGGGCTGTACGAGGTGAGCTCGACGCGGTGGAGGTAGTGGTCTGGACGGAAGACGGCGGCGGATTCGTCTGAGAAGGTCCGGATATAGGTGTCGGGGGTGAGCGCTGCTTTGGAAATGTTGGTGTAGATTGGGGATGAGGAGAAGGTGGTATCTTCTTCGGGGGGTGGTGCTGGAGGGTTGTGGTGTTAGTTATTTGACTGCTTTCTTTGTGATGGGTTTTCTGTTGGGGGAGGGTGTGCGGTGGGGTGGGATGTAAGAAGGATATATTGAAACGGGGTAGAATAGATGAAGAAATAGGTAAATCAAGAGAAACAGAAGAAGAAAAATACAAGATACTCACCGTATCCTTCTCCAAGTGGGATGCAGTATCCAATGGGCTCCTCTCGAACAAACGTGTCCACATATCCCGAGTCCTCTGGCAATGGAGTAGCGACGGTGAAACCGACGATGGCTGCACTGAGGGCGGCGATGGAGAGCTTCATTGTTGCAGACGGGACTTGGCTTGCTCCTAACTCTTCTTTCGGTCGGTGTAAGATTCTTCAGAAACGACAAGTATAGCGATTCTTTATATCGACTTTTTGCTCCCAGTCTCACTCTGCCCTTTCCTTGGAAAAAATTGCAAGTGTATCGGTTAACGAGTGGTATCCATTGGTCACGAAACAAATATCGGGGAAGTGATTGGTGTATTGTTGTTGCTTGAGTATTCAGTACGTAATCTCGAGGTTGTATATCGTCGCGTTTTACAAAGTGAGGCAAGTTATTGGATAGTTCGAAAACCCATACCGTGATTCGATCTGGAGAGGATGGAGTAAGCATAGCACATCACATTATTGGCTGCGACTGGCAATGGTGACAACAAGACGCGATGTTGAGCCGAGCCGTGGGTGATATGTCGGCGTTTGCGTGGCGGATCATAATGCCATTGCAGATTTCAGTGGGTATCCAAATAAAATGTTGCGATCAGATGGTTAGTCCCTGCACAACGTCTCTCGACGCATGTGAAGATAACCCAATACGCTGAAAGAGGTGAGCGGCATAATTTGAACGCTTGAATGTATTAAATTGGTAGAGCTTGTTCCGAGCCAACCCAGATGAAGAAAAAGTCTGTAGTTGCACCTAAGATGGTGGCTTGGGAGAGGTAGGGGAAATGATAGATCCCACACCCGAAACAAAGTCGTGGTATGACAGATGAACAGGTATGTTCTGACACCTTGCTGCTCCCTCTTACAGGTCGAGCCTGCTTTCTCTCTCGGTACTACTACCGTCCATCTTCGCATAGCCACAAACCTCCAATCTGAGAATTCGTCTTTGGCAGCTGCCGGTGATGATACCGAATATTTGTAGCCCCGCTACAAATATTCATTCGTCGTATACACTTACGATTCCACATTCCGCAAAGACTTCTAAAGCCACGCCGATTCCTCCGAATCCGATTGAATTCAGTTGCATTTTACTGCACCTTCTTCGCGTCCCTCTTGCGTGGAAGTCCCTGTCGTTTCCTTTCCGCGATATCTCCCTCGGCGAGCCATTTGCTAGCCTTGACTAACTGCACACCATTGATGAATTGTTTCAAGGCCATGAAGGGCAAAGAAATCCAGAAGATAACCCATGGGAACCTGTCATCCATTTTGTTTGCCCTGCACCACATGTCAGCATAAGATTGCATATACATACTATAAATTATGATATGACTTACCTGGCCATCTCCATAGCACCAGCGGACCATGGGCTCGGAAACATCTTCGACGGGTCTGGTGCTGCAGGTGAACCAGCTACAAGCGAAGAAGGCGATTGGGGATCTTGCAACAGAGTTGGAGAGAGTCTGGGTGACGAGAACGAAAGAAGATAGAGTGCAATAAAGAACAGCTCGTTCATCAGGCAGAGCGTGAACAAGACCCTCTAATAGGTGCGATCAGTATCTTTCTGCCAAACCACATAAATAGCTCCGTGACCCAATCACGACGGGAGAACTCACCTGGTCCGAGTAGTATAGTTTCAAGAGCTTGCTCCGGGACTCGTCGACCTTCTTGTGGCTTGCTCCATTACCCATGCTCAGGGTCGCATACATGTGCATATAGTGACTGGCCAAATCCAGACTTATGAGGGCCTGGAAGACGATGCTGTACCTCGGAAAGGCGCTTGCCAGAAAGACCATCAGACAAGTAGTTGTGCAACGATCAGTCACCATGTCGAGCACGGCGCCGAATTTGGTGCTTTGTTCGAAATAGCGGGCAGCGTACCCATCGAGGGCATCGAGGAGGCAGGATACACTGTAAAGTACAGTACATGTTCGAGGGTGGATCGGCATATAATAGAGGGAGACGAAGGCAAGCACGACACGGGAGGCACCTAGGGGAACTAAGCTTGCGATTCTTGATTTCACATGAGATATGGGATGGATAGCAACATACCGATCAAGTTGGGATAAAAGAGGAAGACATTCTCCTCTTCCTCCTTGTTCTTCTGGTTATCTGTAGGTCTCATGGCGGCGCCGTTGCCATTAGCCATAGAGCGGGTCTCGGGCATGGTGTTGCTATAGGAGGTGAAAGTGGAAAAAGGTGGGCTGAGCGGCCACGTTTCTCAGGGCGTTTTGATCGGGATTGCTGACAATGCGCACGGTAGGCTGTGGAGTGTAATATTCTATTTGTCTCCTCACGGTGTTTGCCTAAGCTGCCGAAAGATAGACACGCGTGGTATCGTTTGCGCTCGGTTGGAGCTTGTTGGCAGAATGACGTCGGCAAGCAAGGCCAGGCGGGCGGGAGCAACGCGCTTACTTCGGAATTAGATCTTGGAGGGGTTCCCAGGGGGAATGCGCATGCGCCGTCTTTCAATTCGGATAGAAAAAGTTGAATGAGGTGAAGAGGCGATAAGGCGATAACAAGCCAGACAAGACCCGGAAAGGAGCTGTGTGCTGGGGCCTGCAGAAGCACAGTACAGGGGTTTCTTTGGGGACCTGTGGAGCAGCAGTTTCAGCCGAGGGGGCGGCGAATGGGAAATGTGAAGTTTTGGTATTATGAGAACAGCAAAGGAGCGTGAAAGAAGGCGATCAAGAAGATTGGTGTTGATGTCGAAAAGTGAGGAGAGCACGCGTGGAAGAGGGTTGACATTTCTGTTCTGCAGCTGTTGGGCACTTTTTGGTCCGCTGTGGTCCGCCGCCCATCACCCTAGCCCCTACTTGGCGACCCATATATGTACAGCCCTAAGCTGCATCGTAAGCCAGGCATCAGCAATTTTCATGATAATGGAGCTGCCTAGCTGAACCGCATAGCGTCAGGTACATCAATCTGTCCTTTGTCGCTGGATCGTTGTTGCGGTAGCCCTCAAAGCACTTGAGTGCACACACGTTCCACCTCTGACGTACGTCTTTCATGCCGAATAGCCGTTTTTATATACTACGAAAACCTGCATCATCGTTTACCACCCTTTCCAGTCTTCCCACCCTTGCCCTTCTGCTGCTTAGCATCTTTGTTGTCCAGCGTCCTCTTACCTCTATCCTCTTTGCCCTTCTTCCACATCTTGCCCTCTGTCCTCGTGTCGCGAACCTCCAGCTTCTTGCGATCCTTACCGCTGAGCTTCTTCTTCGGTTTGTCCGTTTGGCCTGGCCCATTCAATGCTACCGCTCCCTTTTCCTTGGATGCGAGCTTGTCTTTCTCGCTCTCGAACCAAACACGTCGTGGTCTGGACTTGATTTCATCTTCATGAACAATGAGGTTCTCGCCGCGCTTCAGATCTCGCTCCGTGATGCTCAGCGCCCGTTCTTCCTTTTCTTCGACCAAAACTTCCTCGATTTCCTCCTCGAGGTCCTTGAGCTTCTTGGTCCACTTGTCCATCTCCTCTTGAGGCACCTGTCGACTAACGACCTTGGCACCTTGCGAGCGCGCAGTTTTCACTGCTTGCTTGACCACTTTGCGGTCAGGTTCCGCGGCAATCGTGCATGATCGACCGCTTCGCCCCGCACGGGCGGTACGACCGACACGATGAAGGTAGATCTCGTGAGTCTGCGGGGCTTCATAGTTGATGACGGTAGACACGTTCTTGATGTCAAGACCACGTGATGCTACATCGGTAGCGAGTAGATAGGATGATTTTCCTGAACGGAATGCCTCGACACTTTGGATACGCTGTGGCGATGTTAATGAGAGCTCCAGCATTAGTTTTGTATGATGAACTCACCTGCTCCTGGCTCATGTTACCGTGAAGCTCGCTGGCTTGTAGTCCGTTCAACGCAAAGATCACCCTGACCCTATGCGCTTCCTTCTTCTGCCGGAAGAAAATGATCACTCGATCGGTATAGACCTTGGTACAAATGTACATCAAATACGCCAGCCGCTTGTCTTCCTTTCCGTGTCTCAGACGCACAAACTCTTGCGTCAAGCCACTGACCGTCTGCTTCTTCGCGTTGACCATCAAACGAACCGGTCGGTTCATGCCGATGCGGATCAATTTGTCAACAGAACTGGTCATGGTGGCGGAGAAAAGCATGGTCTGTCGTGACTTAGGGATGGTAGTGAGAATTTCGTTGAGTTGGCTTTCGAATCCTTCTTCGAGCATGCGATCGGCCTCGTCGAGAACAAGAATCTCAATGTTCTCTACCTGAAATCCAGCAGAATTTTGCATGTGGTCAATGAAACGACCCGGAGTCGCAATGACAACATCAGGCTTGGTTCTGAGGACTGCTTCCTGCTCGCGTGAAGAGAAACCACCAGCCAAGAGCGCAAAGGTGATGCCTGTGTTTTCGCCGAGTTTCTGTGCCACGTTGAAACACTGTACCGCCAATTCACGTGTTGGCATGAAGATAGCGACACGCGTTGTTGGAATCTTTTTCGATCGGTGTAGCAGACGTTCGAGAATGGGGAGCAAGAAAGCAGCAGTTTTACCAGAACCAGTCTCGGCACCTCCGACCACGTCCTTGCCTTCAATTGCGATGGGGATAGTCTTCGCTTGAATTGGGGTAGGCTCCGTGAATCCGATGTTTGTAAGATTTCTCAGGATCGGTCGAGAGATGTTCATGGTCTGGAAAGAGCCTGCGCCCTTGGCACCCTTTGTCTTCTTACTTGGCCCGGTTTCTTCCGGAGCAAAGAAATCGGCTGCCTTTTTAGCCTCTGCCGCAGTTTCTGCCTCGTCTTCTCCTTCGCTGTCATCGGAATCGTTACCCTCCAAATCCATGGGATGAGGAACAGGAGCGGCGACAGCATCGTCGTCAGAATCTTCCGCGTCTTTTTCCGTGCCTTCCTCGCTGCTATCCTCATCCTCATCTTCATCCTCATCCTTGTCCTCATCGTCATCTTCATCCTCGCTTTCAGCGCCCATACCAAACCCATCCTCGGCTAACAGCTCATCGTCAGAGCCAAAGCCTTCAAAATCCACGTTGTCTTCGCCTTCGCCTTCTTCATTCTCTTCCACTGCCTTCGTATCTTCTTGCGCCTTCTTCTTGTTCCGTCTTCTCTCAATGATGTCGTCGACGTCTACCGCCGTACTCTTGTTCGCGGCGCTCTTCTCTTGCGCATGAACTGCGCTCGCGCTACCCCAACCATCAAAGTCTTCGATTACCCCAGTGTCAATGTCTCCCATTGCAAACTCGAAATCGCTGGCGATGTCATCGTTGTTCTCGACATCCTCGCCCGGCGGAGCGATGTCATTCGATTCCTCGGCATCCTCGAGTGCAAGCTCAGGTGTAGCTTGCTTGTCCTTCTTTCCTTTCTTGCTTTTCTTGGCCTTTTTACTCGAGGCGACTTCTTTCGGCTTCACATTTTGATCCGGATCCTCTGAGAACTTTCTTTTCTTGCCGTGACCGGACAGTTTCGCTGCAGGTGAGTCCTCGAGATCGCCGTCGTCGGAAACGTCTTCATGGTCTGAAATCGTGAAGACGAAATCGTCGTTAACTTTGGGCGCCATCGTAGCGATTGTTCAGCGCGAAATGGCGGAGAGCTTGAAAAGAATGGCTAAGTTTGAATGTCCAAAATTCACGGCAGAAAAAGTTCAAATCCGCAATCTATTGGAAATCTTGGCAAAGGCGGTGAGCAGGCCCACTTTTCTGCTCGTGAAAGCCCTAACGGGTTCCATGATACGCTAGTTGACTTCTACCCAAGCATTGATTGGTGCAACAGAGCGAAATATGGTTTATTTTTATTTTTATTTTTCGGAGTTTCCATGCTAGAATTCAAGCCTAGATGATTCATCAATGAAATCGCACATGCGGCCTGAGTTGAACACTCGTTTGCCATCGTGTATATATCCCCGTTTTACACTCAATAGCCACGATATCTGTCGAGGTCCGATCGGAACAAGACAATAATCTTGACGTTCACCACTCACGTTCTTGCATAATTGGGACTTGGAACCCTGGGCATGCTGTTGCAGTCGTGATCCCGAAGCAGATAAATATTCCGCTTAGTCTTCCGTTGAATTGGGATACAAGCCTGTGTTAGCAGGCTCCTGAATATATAACGGCAGAGAATCTGTGTGTGATAATGGGTATGCCAGTGGATCGTGGTATGAGAGGAAGCACAGATATCTGACGACTGGTTATCAGCGTATATAACCATTCATATTCACGTAGCCAGGTGGCATGCGTAACCGGCAGATGCACCACTGCCTTCCGGATCCCCCGATACAACACCATTCTTGCAGTGAATTTCCGCTGGCATCCATGCAGGGAACGGATGCGCTAGAGGTGTTGTCAAAGGACCACGGAGAACCGATACCCAACATGTGTGATTGGGTACCCGCAACCGAAGTTTTGACATCATTCAATGCTTCAATCGTCATATGATTGAGCGCAAAAGGTCCCACGGGAACCATACTTGCCGTTCATTAACACGTATCCCCACGGTAGACAAAATGCTATTGCTGTATTTAAAATCCAAACCTTCACTACCTTCGAATGAGCCCGAGCGTTATCCTATAGCCTGATCCCGACCTAGCGCCCATTCATGGACATCTATAATCGTTTATCATATTCTATTCGGGGCCTCAGAAACCCGAACTTGGGATTGGAACGGACGTCGCCCTCACAGTCTCGGAATTCCGGCTCTTCCGACCCTTCCCCTCTGTCGCCAGCAGTTCCAGGTCCACCATTATCATCCGCATCATCGCAAATCTCACAATCCGACAGCATAAGCTTATGGGTAATAGTGGGACAGAACGTAGCCCTTAGATGTTTGATATTCATCACGGTGCCACTGGTATCATGCTGTGTATCCCTCACGGGCACCTCACTAGGATCTCCCATTCATAGCGGGCTGTTCATCTGCACTCTCATCTTCCACTTCATTCCTGTATGTGAGACCATTCCCCCAATTTGCTCTCCCAGTTAACAAATCTGTGGCAGGCAGCAGCTATCACTATAGGGATTACATGCTGGGAAGCCCACGACGGCATTGGCCTTATCAGTGCGCGGCATCTATCATTGTCTGCATTGGCTCCATTATATGCTCAATTTGCGGCGTACATAGTCGTCGTCCTGGCATTCATATTTGGCATGATCATCGTTTATGCGACTTCGAAGCCCGAAGGGAATTTTGAGTTGGACTGGAGAGCAGTCGATGCGAACAACAGGTATCATAGGCAGAAGCTGCTCATGCGCATGTTTGGACAAGTTCCGGTAAGTCAAAGCCCGCTGCGGACTGCGAGTTCATCCGCGAAGAGCCTTGTATGATCATAGTCTTTACTTGACTGACACGAATAGTTGCTCATACATATTACCTTTCTAATCGTAGTGCTTCCTCTTGCTCATCTGGCAAGTTGGTGCACTAAAAGGTTTGAAAGGCGTATGCGATAAACTGCACGAGACTAGGAATTGTGTATGAATGTCAGTAATGCAAGCTTTTATTTGTCAATGCCGCCTGTTCTAATAATTTCTTCAAACTTCTGCATACTAGCTGCGAGGGTCCACATAAACCACAGCCTATCTCTCACATATATCTATTTTATCTATTTGCTCGAGTACTATGGATATGCTTCGAGATGAATCACTCTTCTTGTCACGGATCAACAGCTGCAAATATTCTTGACAACGTGGTCACAGATTCAAATTTATCCTGCGAGCAAGCAGGGCCACGACTTCCAAACATTTACAAGTGGGGAAAATGTTTCTTAGACCGTATTGCATAGTCACAGCAAACCTCTTTCGAAATATCTGCCATTCCCATTCAGCGTAGTATATCGTACATGCTATCATGCGCATCACTTTTCCCGATATAAACACTACTGTTGTACAATTTCACCCTCTCTCGTCCTTTTTTTCTCTTGCTAAGAACAAAGCTCTTCTGACTGCTGTCTCATAGCGTGATTCCAAAGACGACATTTTTCATCATTGACATCGGACTCTAGAATGTGACGGCATCGAAGGAGTAGTGCAAAGATCCTCCGACACGGATCAAGCCATCTCTCCACAGTCATTCTTGGTCATCTTTTCTCGTACCATCCAGCTTCTAAATGCCCTGGCCTTGGACTCTCGACTAAGAGTTTGGTCCAAGTGGCTTGCTGCGCAAAAAGCATCCACAACATTCACAGTGTCGGCCTGATCCTTGTCGTCCCATGGTATCATGTCGAGAAAGCGTTGTAAGCTTATTATACCCAATCTCACCTGTGATTGCAATATATAGTCATCTGAGGTGGGAGGGGTTGTGTCTAGCACTGTGCGTTGAACAAATTCCCAGCCATTAGGATTTGGCGAGGATTGACGCGCGAGAACTTGTTCTGTGGATGCTAGGTGTACAAAGGCTTTGATCACAGTAGACTTCACTGTCCTATAGGTGGCGGAGAACTCGAGTCGATCCAAGAAATCGTCGAGCGAGGCAGTGCCGACGAAAGTGTGCCGATGTTTGTATTCTAAATCGCGCTCTTCTATTTCGAGCAAGGATAGGGCTTCTTCGGAGAATGCGGAATTTTGAACTGATGAATCTTCTGACGAGTCCACCGATGTAGACGTCGTCGCTTTGACGGGAAATTTGAATGACATCTTGCGCCGGTGTTCAGACGCAGGCGAATCGCGCATCTCATCTTGATGAGTGTTAGCTCTAAATTTCAACATCTCACTCTCTGTCCTGCCACGCCCTCGTTTGAGAAGGTAAGACTTACGGAGCCTCGATCCGCTGGAGTAACCATACTGATGAGACCCTTGTGAAGGTGGAAGGTAGGGTATACTGAGTTTGCTATGCGCTACCTGCTCGACATCTGGTTTCGCTAAGTCGGAAATGATACGTCCTTCGTGTTCATCACTCGCGCTCCAAGCGCTGTCAGCGGTTGTCAAAGAGGGTTTGAGGGGACTAAGATGCGGCGACTCTGTGAGTGACGATTTAGTTGTGCTCAGCGACGAAGCCTCTTCGGCCTGGCTGCGAGTGTTGGCATGCATAGTTCCCTTCGGAGATTGGGTGTGCGAATTGGCTGAGACACCGCTATTCTTGCGACGACCATGAAGACTAGTTGAAGTGAACGGATCCACCATACACATGTCTTCTATTTTCTTGGTTTGCTCTTGTGCTGTATGAAGCTCGTTTTGAGCTCGTCCGTCAGACCTGCCTTGCATTCTACGCACAGCTGCTCCGAATACGTCCTGCACTGCTGAACTAGGTCGGGAGTTTAGTGGTTGAGGACCGTCCTGCCATTGATCGGTAGACATATGTCGGAGGGCTGTGAGGATAGCGCTGCCTCGCGATGTCTCTCTTGGGCGGTAGCTGGGCTCAGCGTCGTCTACCGACTGGGGTTGCTCCAATGTGGCATTATCGACTACTAGAGATCAGCATTGGTCTTGATTCAACTGGTAAAATATGGAACACCTTACGCTTAGCTGTAGCGTCTTCCAACAACTTCTCGAGCTTGTTTGCAGTCTCACCCATTGCGTTTCCGGTGCCATTACTCTCGGCATCCGCCATGTACAGAACTCTGTTGAGCATCTTCGTAGCTTCCCTAGCCTTCCTTCTCCTCTCCATCCTCGCCCGCGACGCAGGCATGCTGCCCTCGTCGATTCTGGAAACTTTCCCCACAGACACGCCAGAATAGCCAGAGCGCGTGTCGAGAATCCGATGTGGTCGGCGGCGGCGGCGGTGACGCAAAAATCCTTGACTAATAACGAAGTAAGAAGCAGCCGATACCATACGACACAGGTATCCAGAGGCCTTCGTAGAGAGTGGGAGGTGCAAGTTGTTGCTGCTCCAAGGTGTAGCTGATGGGCGGCGCAAAAAGGAACCTTGAAAAAGAAAGTACCCGGGGCTCACGCGGCAATAGCTGGGAAATGTTGATTGCTACAGAATCACATGAGATTTTTGTATGCTGATTACTGCACTGCGCTTGTAGAGGGGATTGAGCAAGATATGTTCGTGTTACCATCCATGTGCTACCGCGCGGGCTGTTCTCTGCGCATACCAGGATGTTAGTGGTACACGCAAGTAGGACGGACGAGGGGCGACTGACCTAGAAATGAGAACCAAGAAGACTAGGTATTGTGAGCGACTAAACGAGAAGATGGGGTGGCAGATCGTAGCTGTGAGTTGGATGGCTCGATTGACGCATGCGAAGTCCAAGTATAACTGTCGCGCTTGTTTATTTCGGAAAGAGACAGGGCAGGCAAGAACACACCGCAGCCCTACGTAAGTAAGTGTTGTGACCCTCACTAGCATTCCAAGGTCTCTCCAGCAGAATTCCGCCCTACTCCGTCACCCCAGCTTATCTAATGCGAACGAATCGAACAATTTCCATTTTCAACAGCTTAGCCAGTACACAAGTCGGCGTTAGGCACTGAAAAACAGTGTGTTTCTCATTTCGATCCAAGAATCGATCAAACATCCAATCGAGCCCTAGCTTCAAGTGACACATCCTCATCAGGTACAGAAAAGAAGGGACAATTGCCCTTCTCCACCGGCGTTCCCGCCGTCCTATAGCAGTAATCCAGCAAGCCATACCCGATGCATTCTCCACTTCTGCTACACGTATGGGCATAATTCCAGCATCCTTGACTACCCTCACAAGTTTCAATCTGAGGGCAGTATCCGCAGTAGATCCCCACCGGGGCTCCACGCTCGCACTTGCACGCAGGTGGCCACGGCAGAGTGATGTTTGACGTGGAGATGGCTGGAGGAAGTACGGTAGCAAGTGTACCAGTGACGCTGGGACGGGAAGAGGTGGGAAGCAATGAGGGCATAACGAAGGTGGATGCGTGTGATAGAGAAGGGCGGGCTAAAGTTGGTCCTGAGGAAAGCCACTTTCGGTTTGCCGGCGCAGTAGATTGTGCAGTAGATTGTACCGAGAGAGATACTGATCGAAATATCGTTAATGTTGTCCAACCTCGAACCGGCGAAAGGGTGCAGTACTCATTGCGGATGATACATTCTCAAATACGAGCGAATGAGTGATCAATTCGCCTTCGGGAACAGACGTCTGTTGACTGTCATCAGGACCGTCAAAAAGAAAGTAAGCATGTGATGGGGTGTAAAAAGCAGATAGTAGAATCATAACAGACGAGAGAGAAGTGAGCATGATGCAGCTATATTGCCTCGATAATGCTAGTACTTCATTGACACCATCAAGTGATGATATACTTGCGCTTGACGTCTCTGGAATGTCAATTCGTCAACATCAAGGAATGGACAGGCAAAGACAGAAGCAGATTCAGAACGTGGTTCTGGAGTGATCTTTTCAATTGTATCGGCGTCCGTACTTGATTCTAACAATAGTAAATAATATTTCAGACTTCGAAAGGCCTTGCTTTTAGAATAGAGGTGGAATATACCAAGTCGTTCGTGACACACACAACTGAATGACTAACTGGCATTGATTGCATGACTCGTGCAGCATACATTGCGGGGCCACCCACCCCAATGGTATCGGTACCTGGGTGCTTCGACAATTGATCGTGTCAATTCCGCCGATTGAAAATATTTTCTGGGCTGACAGTGGACGACACCTGATAACGGTAGACTAAGCGCGATGAATCCTTGCCGAATGGTCTCGGCGCCGTCATTCACGGCAGAGAGCACATAGCGACCTTCCTAATTTCGACAAGAGCTATACTGCTATCAACCTCAGTAGCATGAAATCGGCGTTATTTGCTGAACTTGTATAAAGGTCAGTTGTATCTCGCGGCTGTTGTGATCGGATTGTTGGACGTCTCTTCTAATCCACCGCGATGCAGTTCCTCACTCCATTTCTCACTGTCTCTACAGTGTTCACGAGCGCAGCTTATGCTCTCAATTTCACGGGCGATATTCTCAATGGTATTCCGGTCATTTCCGCGCTGAATCTCGCCGATGTGCCTGCTCAAAATGTATCGAGATACTTTTTGAGGGTCGGTGACTTGAATGGTGGATTGGCGGTCCATGTGCCCGTTTTTGTTGCCAGGGGACCAGCAGACACTCTACAGACTGGCAAAAGGCTCTCTCTATCGGCAGCCATCCACGGCGACGAGCTCAATGGCATAAGGGTGATGCAGAAGATGTATGAACAGTTGAAGGGACAGGTCGACACCCTCAACGGAACTGGTAGAACGCCCATTGCTCTTTCTTGCCCTGGACATCGCTTACTTCCGTTCAGTTATCGGAATACCGACCGTAAATCCCATTGGGATCTACTTGAACCAGCGGAATTACTTCACATCCCACAACAGTGGTTTTTTGACGAATGTCAATCGAGTCTTCCCTGGTTCACTCCCGTCTGAAGGTGGCAACGGCGCCAACTTTCTCGCGTATCAAATCTGGAACAACGTGTGGGGGAACACATCCCAGGTAGACGTTGGGATTGATCTACACACTCCAAGCTCCGGCGGTCTTACGTCTCTCTGGTGCTATGCCGACTGGAGACTCGAATATGTAGGGCGGCTCTCCAAGCTTCTCCAGCCCGATACCCTCAAGGTTGACCCCGGGGAGCCTGGGAGTATCGAGACGACCTATGTGGATAACAAGATTCCCGCCATTACGGTGGAGATGGGTCAAGCCAAAGTTTGGAACGAGGTACGTACCTACATACAGAAGAAACATAGTGTGCTGGACCTCTCGGTTTTCGTGATAAAAGTACATGTGCCATGCCTAGAGCTTGTATGCTAATCCCCGCTCCTAGACATTAATCGAAAGGGTGTACGACTTCATAAATCGCGTAATGGTAGACCTTCAAATCACACCATCCAACTCCAGCGAGCGCTACGAGCCGGACCTGAGCAAGACATACATTGCCAACACCTTCCATGACTCATACTCGAGCCACGGTGGATTCGTGGAGCGATTGGTACAAGTAGATGAGCCGGTCACGAAGGGACAGCCAATTGCGCATGTTCGGAACGTGTTTGGAGATATCCTGGAGACTATTCTTTCGCCGGAGACGGGTAGAATGTTCCAAGCACCCGGAGATCCCAGCATCGAGCCTGGAGCTAGCGTTGGTCAGATAGCATACAACAGCACTGATCCTGAGTGTGCGGACGGCTGCATCTTGTAGGCGGGCATGCAACTCGCGGACAAATACTATTCTATTAGCTTTGAAGTATATACAGAATCCCAGGATGTGCTGTGATACTATACTATAACTAATGATCTTTTCGGTTACCACCTTTTTATTCGGCACCTTATCGTTGTGCAGCAACTCTAACGTAGAAATTGCAAACATTACCTTGACTAGGTACTTAGTAAACAGGAAATGCGTTTGACCAACTCACTTGGCTACTTCAATACTGTGCCCTGTAGGCCTGTGTGTCTCACTTGTCTGGCTTTCAAGGGTTGCGGATAACAACGGCGGAGATAGCATGCCACCCCACTCCCGCTCTACACTCAGGCGGCTGAATAAGCCGACGCTTAACTTCAAGGAGCGTGCTTGCGGGATAATCTTTTGGCGCGACGCAAAGCATCTGTCATCCGTTCCCCACCGATGACTGCGCGTACATGGGGGTGTTTTCTGTTCGTTGTATATAATCGCGTTATTCTCATGCTTGCTTTATCGCAAATGCAGGACCAGGTTCCTTGAAAAACCCTCTTCCCCTACAATGACGTTGATGACGGCCATGGTGGCGACGAGGGCAGCGCGCTGCCTTCGCATACAACATATACAACATTCCGCGAGACGATCCTTCCGGACCACATGTATCGCCAAAATCACGGCCGTATCGCAGGGGACTGAGGGCGAATCTTCGGTGCCGCCCGGCTTGCAGTCTCGGAGAGAATCAATACGGAACGCGAAGCCTTTCTCGGAATTCTTGACTGATTCCTTTAATCGAGAGCACGATTACCTGCGCATCAGTGTCACAGAGCGATGCAATTTGAGATGTCTATACTGTATGCCCGAAGGTATGTTTCTGTCTTTGCTCATACACTTTGATTCGGCTTTCGTTGCTGACTCTTCACGACATAGAGGGCGTTCCGTTATCCCCACCTGCGAATATGCTGACTACACCCGAAATCTTCTACCTGTCCTCGCTCTTCGTATCGCAAGGTGTTACAAAAATTCGTTTGACGGGCGGCGAACCCACCGTGCGCCGCGATATCGTGCCCTTGATGCAGCAGATCGGTTCACTCCGTCCCAACGGCCTTCGCGAGCTCGCGCTCACCACCAACGGAATCTCCCTGCACCGGAAGCTCGATGATATGGTCGAGGCCGGCTTGACAGGCGTGAATCTCAGCCTGGATACCCTCGATCCCTTCCAGTTCCAGATCATGACGAGACGGAATGGATTTGACGCCGTGATGAAGTCAATTGATCGGATACTGGAGATGAACAAACGCGGTGCCAACATCAAGCTCAAGGTCAACTGTGTCGTCATGCGCGGGATGAATGAGCGGGACATTGTTCCTTTCGTGGAATTGGGTCGTGAGAAGGATATCGAGGTGCGCTTTATCGAGTACATGCCCTTCGGTGGCAACAAGTGGAGCCAGGGCAAGATGATAAGCTTCCAAGAAATGCTCGACATTATTCGCGCCGAGTATCCTGATTTGAAGAGTGTGCCAGGCCACAAGAATGACACGAGCAAGACTTTCGCTGTGCCTGGCTTCGTGGGCAAGGTCGGCTTCATAACAAGCATGACAAACGATTTCTGCGGAACTTGCAACCGACTTCGCATTACCAGTGATGGCAACCTCAAAGTGTGCTTACATGGAAACGCTGAAGTATCATTGCGCGATATTCTCCGCCAAGATAACCAAAACCAACCTATCGACGAAGAAGCTTACGAACGGATCAGGAAGATGGAGATGAATCGCCGCGATGGACTGTTGATTGATGAGCCAGGCCCACACTGGGGAGAGAGAGAGAAAGAGCTTTTGCAAGTCATTGGCGCCGCTGTGAAGCGGAAAGCTGAAAAACATGCCGACATGGGTGATCTTGAGAAGATGCAGAACAGACCGATGATACTAATTGGTGGGTAATTGCTGGCCTTTTTTCCCTTTCCCATTTTCTTTTGTACATATACGATTGAATGTGGTCACGATGTCATGATGGTCGCCTTGCATGGATGGCGTTGCGTTATGGTTATGGTCATCGTCGCTTCCCAAGCATGGATAGTGACGCGTATATACCTCAATATACCCCATATTACCTATGGCATCCATTCTTTAAGTGAAGATTGATGCTAATTGAACATACAGATTCATCAAGTATACCAGAGCCCTCTCGTACACAGCTTCTCAACGTACCCATCACCCTTTCACACGGAATAAACCACAAACCTTACACCCCTTGGCTCAGTTCATGGCCGTCTCGAAACTTTCTGAACCGTCTCCCGCCTGCACCTTCCTGCCTTACCGCAACGAGTAGGTCGTCTGTTCCATCATCTATTCATACTTTCTCTGGGACCGCATCATATTCATCTATAAGTAAACAGTCAGACGCAACACGGGAGGCGCTTTATACGGCCGTTTTGGATAAATCAAAGCCTCTGCGAGCAATCACGGCCTTTGAAAGGAGTCATCGCCGGAGAGAAGCCGATATACTTCGCACTCTCGGCACAGAGAAGAACGATGTCGTCCGAGCTCACGATTTTGATGATCTCTATAAGAGATATTGGAATTTGGTTCTGGCCAGCAAAAAAGAAGTTCCTGATAGGACTGCAGTAGCAAGAAAAGTGTTGGCCAAAATGTGCAAAAAGAGCGGGCAGCTTTATGAAAAAGCTTACGTCAAAAGCGCTTTCCAAGAGGTGAAATGGATGGACGAAGAAGAAAAGGAGGCACTGAGATCAGGGCTCAGGGTCAAGTCCTTCAAGCACCTCAGTCATGCTAACGATCGACCGCCACGGTTTTATAACAACGACATGATCCTCACGAGTTCCAACGCAGTCTTTGTTCCCACTCACATTATTCGGACCAAAATTGCCGAACTGGAAGCTCGCATTTCTTTAGAGAAGACCTACCCACGACCTGGTCCTTCCCCCAATTATATGGACTTTGTGAAAGGGCATTGGTTCAAATTCATCGACCCTGATGAAAAGGCATTGTTGTGGGAGCGCTTTGCAATCTCGGCAGATCCCTCAACAGACAGGAGTATTGCGCAAGCATTGCGGGAACAGTGGTCATCTAATTTGGCACAGATGGAATTCAACCTGTTTCATTTCAAGAGGCAGATGCGACAAAGGCTAGGCATACTGCTAAACAGCGACGCGGAAGAGGAAGCGTTGCTGCATAATGAGATCGGAGCGCATGAAATAAAGGCGAAGGAAGAAGGTGATAAAGCTTCGTCCATACTCGCGACCGAAGTAGAGCCTGAGGCTAAGAGACTTCGATTGCAGCGAGATATCCTCATTGAAAAGCGCGCTGCCATGCTTGGAAAGATCGCAAGTGCTAAAGAGGTGTTAAACAAGCAGACCGCGGGCTCTGATACCAATCATAAAGTCGATGTCGTAGAACTGGAGATTACAAGTACAACCACGGAGTCGCCGAGCGTGACAACAAACACTTCTTCAATCAAGACAGCAGACGCCTCTCAAACTGAAGCGGCAGATGCGTCTCAAATCGAGACAGCAGACGACTCGTCAATCAAAGCAGCAGACGCCTCTCAAATCGAGACCCTCGAAGAGCAGCTCAAGCGGATTGAAGCTGAAAAGAATCAAGCAATTTTAGTACTCAAAGCTCGCCAGCAAGCCATTGCACAAGAGCGAGAGGCAAGATTGAAAAAGCTCCAGAACTACAAGATCCCAAATGTCAGGAAAACCATAGAGCTAAATCTTGATAATTTGGTACCAGAGCTCAAAAGATTAAAGCAAGACGCTGTATCTCTCGAGACAAAACCAGGTTTCCCTAAAGAGTCTCTTTGGCCTCGTCGTGCCCGACCAACAACTCAACTCAGTGCAATGGACACTCTCAAGGGTTATATACCACCCTCTGGATTTGTCGAAATTGATCGCGGCCTGACTGTTAACATCGATGCACCTCCTGCTGAACTGCAGTCTCAGATAAATCAACTGATTGCAAGATTGAAGATCAAGTACCCTCGTCTTAACACGTTACCTTTCGATGTTTCCAAATCATCAAAACCCGAAACGCGCAGACAATGGCTCAAGATTTTAGTTAGGAGATGGCAAACTCGTTTTGACGGGTGGACGCAGTACAATAAGGAGTCAGAGATAAGTTTCTCAAACGCCTATTATGGCAACGCAAAAGTCGAAGAGAACATCAAGGCAGTTCTCGACCAAATGGTCATGGATCACGACCTCAGCATCGACGCAGCGCAACGAATGGCGGCCCGCTGGGAAGATGTCTTTACTCGCAAAAAAACCCTGAAGCCAGAGAGTGACCCCGAGGAAGCTAGAATTGACTGGGAAGAATGGAGTGGGCTGGGGATGGGATGGTTAAGAGACGATAGTGCTCCTGAATCGACGGTTTCCAAAGCAACCCCACGCCTAGCGAGTGCTATGCCCACACCAAATACGGGACAACAAAGCAAGAGTCATACACGGGGCTTGGTTTCTAATCGTTCATTCTCCACTTCCCATAAGCCTTCCGTAGATACCCGACCCACGAACTTAGGATCAGGCGATCTATCAAAACCTGCACCCTCATCATCAGCAGCAACAACACCGACCTCTCTCCCTCATCTGACTTCGGAAGGCTCTGCACACATGGTTTCCATATCCACGAAACCGCACACTGTCCGCACCGCCATTGCTACAGGCACGGTATACTTTAGCAACGCCACCCCCCTCCAGCTTATCCGCTCGAACAGCCTCAAAAAGGGCGATGTGCTGAGTGTAAGCCGTATAGCAGGTATCATGGCGGCAAAAAAATGCCCGGACCTGATCCCTCTCTGCCACCCGATTCCACTTACACATGTTGGGGTGGAGTTGCTCCCCTTTGGCGACGGTTATCCGGGTGATAGCGAGATTCCAAATGCAACGAAAAGTGTATATGGAGGCATCGTCGTCGAAGCGAAAGTTCAGTGTGAAGGTCAGACGGGTGTAGAGATGGAAGCTCTGAGTTCCGTTACGGGCGCCGCGCTCACTGTTGTGGATATGTGTAAGGCCGTAGATAAAGCGATGAGGATCGATGGTGTGCGGGTAGTGTTGAAGGAGGGCGGGCGCAGTGGTACGTGGAGAGACGAAGGGTGGCATAGTGTGATGAAGAAATCGTCATGATGTACCTACCCTATGGGCGACCTGTACGATTTGTTGTAATTCTGGGTTGGGTTTCGACATAGATGTATAAAATGTGTATAAATACAAAAAGCGATAGGTTAGTATAATTTGAGAAGGCGCCATGGTTTGGTGACAAGCTCTGTCCTAACTTGGACGATGAGCCGTGAATACACGCTCTTTCCATTGTTCATCAGCATCGCAACCTACGACCTGCGAAGCACAATTCCCCTCCATGGATACAGAGTCGCGAAATTCAATCGACTGCATATCATTCGGTATCCATACTCCTGCACTATCACACAATGCGGTTACCATCCATCACCCCTCGTCTGTTGGAAGCTGGCCTGCTGACGAAACCCCGCCGGGCCATTCTGGTGGACTACTTCAAAAGTAACTGGTTGGATCTTTCGACCGTACTATCCTGCCTTCTGGCTAGCTTCATGATATATCTATTTGCGAATCCGCTTATGTCAAGAGAGTTTCCTCTATACGCAGGCATAGACCAGACCGATTTCTGGATCAAGCATGGCAAGCACCTCCGGCGGGAATACATCTCAACGCTTGTGAGTGCCGTGGTCAGTTTTGGAGTGCCGGCTTCTATCATACTGCTCTGTGGGATCTTGAAAGTCAGAAATTTCCAAGACACGCACAACGCTGTAAGTTGAATTGATACTCAGTTGTTCGGCCTACGATGAGCACTAACACACAAGTGCCATAGCTCATGGGATTGTTGTATTCACTTTCTGCCTCTTCGCTGTTCCAATCGGTCCTAAAATGGACCATCGGCGGCCTTCGCCCTTACTTCATGGCAGTATGTCGACCACCTATGTCTCTTACCTCTGAAGGACAAATCCTCACATGGTATGATGCCCAAATCTGTACTGGAGACATGAAAGAAGTGCGAGAAGCACAGATGAGCTTCCCGTCTGGCCACTCTGTTGCAGCGTTCGCCGGTTTCGGATTGGTCGCCTTGTATCTGAATGCCAAATTTGGTATTTTCGCCCCGAGACCGCTGAATGAGCGCGTACCATTTTGGCAATTGGGGATGGTTGCTTTCCCAGTATTGGCAGCCTGTGTTATCGCTGGCAGCAAGGTCCGAGATGGATGGTACGTTTTCGCAGCAATGCACACATCAATAAATGATGTTTGTTGCCAGAGGTTCTTGGTGACTCATCTTGATTTGCCGATACATTATGCTTACTATGAGAACTGGTTATTTAGGCACCACCCGGAGGACGTTGTCGCAGGTTCATTAATTGGCAGTGTATTCGCATACATGGCATTCAAATCAGCTTACCCTGCTGTGCGGCGCGAGGAAAAGGTTGGATGATGACGGGGGTATGCCGAGGTATGTTCATCTACTCCCGTTGGCATACAGTCGTAAATTGTTCGATCATGCATACGGCGTGGAATAGAAAAAATTGGGCCAACTATCTTGATCTGCGCATGCCAGATCAGATACTTGTACATTCGTAACAAATTGCATTACTCTTGCACTCTGTATGTTTCTATTTATGTACGACCGTGCTCAGCCTTACGGAGTTGTCAAATTGCTAGAGGGGCACCTGAAACGTCGTTTACTTGGCCGCTGTGCTACGCCCCAAGTCATAGCACATAATCTAGACCCCAGGCCGATGGTTGCCTTCGAGTTAATATGTATATGAGCATGGATGAGTTCACTGGCCGGAAAGTCTACGTTCTGCTTTGGCTCATGACTACCTCGTGGAATTGAGCACGGCATTAACGTTGACTACACACGTTTAGACCGATATCTACCTAACCCCATCAGATCAATTAGTCAAAACAAGGGAGAAAAAAAAATCATTGGGAATAATAACACATCAGAGCGTCTCCCAGATGGTTCGTTTTACGGGATTCAGGGCCTACCTCAAGAGCCCATTCAAATCCTCGGCCACATCCACATCTCCACAACGGCAAAGACAACGTCCATTCCGACCAAACGCACCATCACCTCTTGCAAACGACTACACTATCCACGAGCCTATAATGTCAACTTTTGAGACAGATATTCCCCCATCTCCTCTACCGCAGGAACAGCCCCCTCAATCGCCCATTCGATCGACTCCCTCTCAACAAATCGGCCAGAATGCTCCCATTGCTACTACTCTGACCAGCAACGAGAGCAACGAGCCTCGCACCTTCACAATCTCTATAATCAATCTATCAGAATCTGCTTCCTCCCCACTCCCTTCACCGTTATCATCGCATAATACCGCAAATAAACATTCTCTACGTGTGCTCTCCCTCCATCACCACCGTCGTAACAACAAGCATAAGGAAAAGCTCCAACGATCCTCCTCTCGGGGTAGCTCACGTCCTCGCCGTCGCCTCACCACACGTATATCGATCCCCAGATTCAACTCTTCTTCAACATCACCGCCTGCGCCTGTGTCTGTGAGGAACAATGACGATGTAGGGCGACCCAACTCGTACTTTGGTACTGGCTTTGCCATGCCCTTCGACGAGCTAGAGAAGGCTGTAGAGGAGGTCAATGAGATGAGCTCGAGGCAGGGGGAAGGGGGAGGATGGTGGCTTGATAAGGGCAAAGAGGAGAGCAGCAGGGGAGGGCCTGGTGTTGCGTATGTACCATTATGATGTTAATGGACAAATGTTCTTTTGGTTGCTAGACATGGTCATTTTCTCTATGGTTAGCGGGTTAGGATTTCTCAGTACTCATCGATTGAAGAGATCAGGGATGCTTGTTTTGTTACAATGTTTTTACAATTGTTCTATCAAGATTCAATTAAGCACAATATGGGCATTCAAGGCCCGAAAAACGCCAGGGGTATCATCCGTAGTCCCACCGTACGCCAGAATTCATGTTGGAGACTCAATCTCCACGCTCCCCGTTGCGCCGTTGACGAAAGCGCAAAGCAGAACAAACAAAACATCTCGAAACTCCAAAGACACCGTCGAAATCATCTTCCTCAGTGTACTCAGGCCACCCGGGGAACTCGCGACTCTGCCTACGCAATCCTGACCCTCTTGGGTTGCAGCGTCGTCGCGAAGTTCCGTCCTGCATCTTTCCTAGCCCGCTTGTTGGGGTAGCGAGCAGATACAGAACCCACCGCCGGCTCGAAGCATTCGACATCCGGCATGTCGACATCGTCCTCGTTGCTACGAGAACGCTTCTTACCGGCGGCGGCCGAGTGCCTATCCGCGAACTCCTTGTCGGCTCGCAGCCTCGAGAAGCTCATGTTGAGCTCCTGGAGCTCCATGTCGCGGCCCGTGGAGTCGGCAGCGACACACGCGCGGGAAGAACCGTCGGCCTGCACGTAGCAGATGACCGGTGCGGTCATGTCCCGCGCGGCGTCCTGCGGGCGGTACTCCTTGACCAACTGCACCAAGCGGCCAACGACGTACTCCTTCTTCCCGAGATTCCAGGCCTCGTACAGCTCGCTACGCTGTGAGGTGGGAATCCCTGACTGCACCACCTGGTCAACTGCGGTGATTCAAGAAGGGCAGCTGAACTCAGCGTAGCTGAGGTCCTTGCGCCGACAATTGATCCCACATGGTGCAGCCTGGGAAGTGGAGACGACGTGGCCGCAGGTGAGATGGTGGACCTTGGAGGAACACTGGGGCCCGGGATTGTTGCTTGAGATGGTGAGGCGTATGCTTCGCCAGGTACCGACGTAGCCCGTAGGCAGTGTTCCGTCGTCGTCCTCGAATTGGATCTCGGTGGCCAGGTTTACTGTGGGGGGGATTGGTGGGGCATCCGCCATGTCGATCTCTGGGGAAGATGGAGTGGAGTCGACGGTCGGAAGGCCAGAAGGGACGTCAGTCATCAAGATTTCGGGCGAGTGTGAGGGTGATGAGGAGCCGGACCAGCCATTGCCATTGGCGCGGCAGTCGGTAGAGGTTGCGGGTCGAGGAGTCAAGGGTGCAAAAGAGGTGGGGGGAGGAGCTGGGGTGGCAGGAGAGAAGCCGAACCGGGGAGCGAGCGAGTAACTTGGTATAGAGTAAATACGTGCTAATGCTTGATACTGGTCGGGGACATATATACCGAGTAGCCGCGTTGGTAGCTGGCATCAAAGGGGAGGGTGTCCGGGGGGAGGTTCTTGTTGCTGCTCGAACTGTCCTACGTACAACCACATTGGCTCTACGAGACGCTGGAGGGGTTGCAGACTGAGTTTTGCAGCGGCTATCAGGCCAGAGGTAGTTCGTGAAGAACGAGGAGAGGTGGAAAGTGAATGGAAAATAGGCCATCTTGATCAGTGTAGAGGATGGATTGGAGGTTGCAATTGGGTCTGGGATAGTGGTTTGAGTAAAGAGACTCGCAAGGACAGTTGGATTGTCGGTTGGAATGAGAGACTGTATTTGTGCGAGTGTGGTGGGGTGCGAGGACAGACGCGGTGGGCAATCTTATAGTGAGGAGTGTTTGCTCGCAGGTGGCCCGTGTGCTAGCCCAAGTACTTTGTGCCTCTGGGTGAAGGCGTTTGGCACTGGTTGATGACGTCGGTGCGTTGCTCATTAAAGGCCGGAGCACGATGATGATATGAACTTCTATAGAAATTGGACTGAGTGCTTATATTATGCACTGTGTATCTGCGTTATATAGAGCTTATGAAGGCAATGTTAAAGATACCCGTATAGCACTCTACAGTTATTTATAAGGTGTCTCATCTGCAACTTTGCCAGGCTCAGGCTCAGGAGCAGTGTGAGCCTCCTGGTGAGTCTGCACTGCTTCCAATATTTCGAGGCCGGAATCTGACCGCGGGCCAGTGAAGTTCTTTCGTCCGTCGACGAACCACTGCACCGTGCTGATGAGGATAATGATAGCAAAGGCGACGATACAATAGTCTGTTTACTGTCAGTATGCAGCTTCGACCCCTCAGCGAGACCCACTTACTCATATTGCTTCCCGTCACAGGAAGCTCTGGGGGGAACAAAAAGAGAACCGTTGTCACGATGACATAGGCAACACCTAGTATGTTTGCAAACCAAGCGAAAGCAGTGGGTAGAACGAATGACCTTGGCGGCAGCATCTTTCGCCCACGCATAAGGTTGATGGCCACGGGCATAGCATAACTGACACCCAATGCAACGACCGAAGCCGAGATAAGAGCATTGAAAGCACTGCTTGAACCCAAGAAGATACACCCAAAGACAATCGTCAAGATGGTCGTGCCCAGGAGAGCATTGACTAGATTTGTGGGTGGGATGTCAGCTAGATTCAAGTGGGAACACTCTTGCTGAGCAGCATCATATACCATAACCAAAGACTTGGGGAGTACGTACGGGGTTGGCCAAGTCTCGGGTGCACTCTTGCGAAAAACCTGGACTTTGGAAGTCCTCCATCTCTTGCAAATGCATAAGTCATCCGCGAGGAAGTAGTCATAATAGATGTCGTGGCAAACAAGAGGCAGAGGAGTGGGAACACGAGCAAGCATACGGCACCTGCTCGGTTCTTTGTTGCGTTATCCAAAATATAGACAAGCGGGCCTAATGGCGAAGAGATAATGGCCTCAGCATCTCCTCCTGAAACAAAAAGCATCACCATCAAGAAGATGAAGCCAGTAAATGTGCCGATGGCAACACAGTAGATCATGATCTTGGGACCCTCTACTGAAGCATTGGGAATTTCCTCAATCATGTGCGCAACGGCATCGTAGCCCGTCAGGCCCAGTCCGCCCTGAAGAAGGCCCAGCATCCAGGAAATACCATCAGGCCATCCAGTTTCGTTGATGAAATTGGTGAAGACGAATTTCGCTGATGCGTAGTTGGGTGATGCGCAAGCAAGTACCGTTATGGAGATGATGAGGAAGCCAGAGATGGACCATGTAATAGCTCCTTTGTTGACATACGGCAGAAGGTCGTTCATGAAAGCATTTATAAGGAATGCGATGACGGTATAGGCGATGTATATCAAGAACTGATGCCACCTTTCAGGGACATACTCAGGATCGAACAATGCAATGATGCCGACAATAAGCTGAGACCCCAGTAGTCCTCCAGAACAGACGAGCGCTATCCATCCAGAGACGTTTATCCACCCCGTGATCCAGGAAAGAAGAGGCTGCCAACTTTTCCAAGAGATGACAGCTACCCAATGATATCTACCAAGTTAGCCTCCGACTTGCGAAATCTGGTAGACGAACTCACTGGCCACCTGCTGTAGGATACGCTGAAAGGAACTCCGCAAGGCTAGCTGCGAGGCACAGATTACACACTCCAGCCGTGATTAGGCCCCAGATGACACTGGTAGAGCCACCACTGGGGAGAGCCAAGGAGAGCGAAGTTGAAAGCGCCGTCCAAGAATTTAGGATCGCAAAGGCCAATCCCAGCATAGAGAGGGGAGAGAAGTTTCTTCGAAGCTCGCCCTTGTGCCCAAGAGCTTCCAATCGGAGGTCATCGGCGTTATTCTTGTCAAAGTCGGCCATTGAAAGCACTGAGCTCAGTCGTCTTGAAGATACGACACAAGAAGTGAATAGGAAAAGCGAAACAACATGACGAAAGCTTGGATTAATGAATGTCGACAATGCTATCTCACGCTTGTAGAAACGGCGTGTAGAGCGGCGCGAAATGACTGCATAAAGAGCGATAAGGGTGAGGGGAAGGGTATACCCACGATGAATGATGGCATCTAGCGTCGTCGTCAGCGAGTGCGATCAACGGTAAATGCCCACATTAGGAAAGTACACGCGGTAATTGCCGGATCTTTCTGGGGTAACAATGCTTAATTGAAGCGAGCTGAAGCAACTTTGAACCGCACATCATGGGGCACGCCGAAGATGAATGTATACATATGTATATATCTAATAACAGCGAGGCTCGTTGCTTCTTCATAGACAATTTTCGGTTGTGAGGCATCAATGCGACCAACAAACAGATGGCAAACCTTCTGTTGCCATACACATCGCATGTTGAATCAAAAGCACACGAAACGGAATTGTTGTGGTTAGGTAATGGGTTTCGCTGCTCTAGAAATGATGGTATCAGCAATCAGCAAGGTGATATCAATTTCGTCTTGCTGGGAAGCGTCTGTCGGATTCTAACGTTGATCCGGTGTTAGTTCGGCTGGTTCGTGCCGACAATGATAACGATAGGCATATGTACGTACCCGTGTGATTAATGTTCCGAATATCTATGCCCCTGAGACTACATCTTTGGGCTTGTTCGCATGCGTACCGCGATAGTCCAGCCTGCAATTCTTTGGCGTTGATGAGGGCCGGATGCAGGGACTCCAGGAGGGACTTCGAGGACTTGGCAGATGTCTAGGAGGTTGCCTCGGCAGTGCCTAATCCACTGGCCGTTCTCGACCACAGTCCGAACGGCTCTGTTTTGCCTCCAGAAACATTGATAGTACCATTGCAGGAAGCTGTAAAAACTTTGCTATATCATTATTGCTGCTTCCGCATAGCACACGTGCCGCTGTTCGCAGCTCTTATTGCGTCACGAAACAACTGATCGGCGGTTTAGTCTCACCATGTAGCCGCCATCACGGTGTCTCCTTTCCTATTCGATTCATCATCTCCGCAGCTTGTAACTTCACACCATCGACACCAATAAACACTTCGACGACCTGTTCGCCATCATGGCGCTTCTCTGGCGACGGATAAAAGGCTCGCGCGCGCAGTCCTATGAGCATTTGCCGCTGAGCGAGAACGAGAAAGAGACCCCCTCAACCTCGTCCAAATACTACAAGAACGGCGCACCCACGTTTCGCACCGTCATCATCGCCTTTGTAGCTTTCGGCTCTCTGATTGGTATCTATGGCCTCACCAGGTAGGCTGTCCCGCTTCGTTGCGGCCTCTCTTCTCGTTTCGTTGACGGCTATTCCAAGATCCTCCGCTACCTCCGTGGCCAACAAGTCCTGCGACACCATTGATGATGGCTACCGCTGCAGCCCCGAAACCACGCACTTCTGGGGCCAGTACTCGCTCTGGTTTTCGGTTCCGTCCGAGATTTCTGTCCAATCCCCACCAGAGTGTCACGTGACCTTTGCGTCGGTCCTGTCGAGGCATGGTGGTCGCGACCCCACATCCAATAAAGCGATAGCATACGGCGCTCTCGTCGGGTACATACAGAACTCAACCACTACGTTCCCGGATGAGTTTGCGTTCCTCAAGGACTATCAATATACCTTGGGCGCCGACCAGTTGACTGATGCGGGGAGGCAAGAGATGGTAAACTCGGGAGCACACTTTTACAGGCGGTACGCAGGTTTCCTGGAGAAGAAGACACCCTTTGTGAGGTCATCAGGGCAGGATCGGGTGGTCGAAAGCGCTGAGAAATGGTTAATGGGTTTCGCGCAGGAAGGCAAGAGGGACGAAACGGGCAAAATCGACGTCAGGATCCCGGAGGAGAAGGGTCAGAATAACACACTTTCACATGAGATTTGCACCGCTTTTGAGGAGGGTCCACTGGACAAGGTTGGAGACAGTGCACAGGCGATCTGGGTGTCCAAATTTGTTCCGCTGATACAACAACGCGTCAATGCGAAGCTAGGGATTACTCTCACGCCGACCGAGATTATCTACCTCATGGATATGTGCCCGTTCGACACGCTGTCTTCGCCTATGGCTGCGGTTTCGGAGTTCTGCCATCTTTTCACCGAAGCTGAATGGCATCAATACGATTACTATGAGACACTAGGTAAGTACTATGGCTACGGCAACGGTAACCCGCTTGGACCTACACAGGGTGTTGGATATGTCAATGAGCTCATCGCTCGCTTGACGGAGAAACCGGTTGACGATCACACCAATACTAATTCGACACTTGACTCCGACCCTGCGACTTTCCCTCTCGACCGCAAGGCCTATGCCGATTTCAGTCATGACAACGACATGAGCGCCATCTTTGCTGCGCTCGGTCTATACAACAGTACCAAGCCTCTGTCAAACAGCACCATAGAAGATACGGTCCAGACAAATGGGTTTTCTGCAGCTTGGACGGTACCGTTTGCCGCGAGGATGTACGTCGAAAAACTTCAATGCAAAGGCGACAAAGAAGAATCTGTAAGAATCATCATGAACGATCGAGTCATGCCTTTGGAGTTCTGCGGAGGCGACCAATATGGCCGGTGCGCCCTGAGCAAATTCGTAGAGAGCCAGAGTTTCGCGAGAAGCGGCGGACACTGGGATCAGTGTTTTCCTTGAGCGAATCCACCAAGTTCTGCATGTCTCGATATAGACCAAATAGAAAATGTTAGCATAACCGTAGATTCCTCCAGAGATCTCCTTTGTTGATAGAGACATTGTGTAGTAACAATCCACACCTCATTGGAATGCTTTGTCTCTTCTGTTCTATTTTGACATGCTCATATTCCCAAACAAAGGGCTCAGACAATTGCACTCATGCCGATTGAACTGAACACCAATCCACATTATGTTTGACAATCACAGCTCAATCGCAAACACATATCCTTCACCCATAAGCCGTGTCAGTTATCAGGAATAAAACCAGAAAAGCAAAGGATAGCTGCAACTCCAAGAGCACATCATCGGCATCAAATCATATCATCCGCTACAGTTTACTTGATAAGACATTACGATCCACCACAATACGATAACCACCAAAGACAAGAGTATGACTACCAGCATAAACCCTGCGTCTCCATTCAAAGTCCCAACCACAATCCTCCAGTCTCCAACCCCACCCCTTTCACCACCACCGGTTGAACTCTCCCTCCCCGAAAAATCATCAGATCAGCAATATCTTCAAACACCACCGACATCACTACCATCGCTACCAACAGCATGTCCACCGCTTTCAAAACCTCAAAAACTCCACTTCCCAAAAGCGATATGGAACGACTACCGCTCTCCACGCATTTCTCTAATTCTCAAACCATCACCGAACTCATCCACAGCACATGCTTCCCCACCCCGGTCAACAAAAATCTCAAAACGGACCCCCCTCCGTAAATGCACGTACAATCCCTCACGTGGTGCCTTTCGGTATGCTCGAAACACCATCACTTACTTGCAGCCTTGTCTAAGAAGGGGGTGTGCAAACTGCGATGAATGGTATCCGCATCTGTGGAAGTATGGTGGATTAGAGGGCGATAAGGGGATTGTAGTTGCGAAATTCTGGAGCGCGAGCGGGAGAGAGAACTTTCGGGAGACAGTGGGGGAGCTAGAGAGGAAGTGAATGCTAGGTCCCTGGTGTTTAAATGATCTTTTACAGGTCGGCATCAGACTGGAGGATCTAGACATGTTCAACAGCAGACATACTCTCAAATTACCTGTGATGTGCACTTGATATTTGGTATTCTGACGAATGATGCACGCTTGATACATGTTTGATTGTGCTCGTGGTTGGTATCATCCGATACTACATGGAGACAGGAATTGAGGGTCCTTTGATGAGCTGATACTATGCCAAAATAACTGTAATTACAGCTGGAGGGGAAACCTAATCCAAATGAACTGCACCTGAATCCACCGAGCCTTCAGAACATCTTCAGTCCTCTTGTCACCGTCGACCCGATTCCAATCGTTACTGCACAATTTTCGGTCGTCCCGATGCTTTCCCTTTCAACACAAGTATCCACCGAATGCTGTAACATCTCTTGGCATAGATTTACCTGGCGGTCCATCTGATCATTGTCGCTCTGTCTGGTTTCGCTAACGAAAAAAAAGTGTCAGCAAATGAATCCAACGATGATCGAAACTTGCTGCTTTCTTGATCACTTACGGAAATCATGAAAATCTTCTGGCTTTGCCAAAGAAGCAGAACGTTGACTAGCAGATTGAAAAGATTGATGACGAGATCGCAAATGGAGTCTGCAGAGACGGAAGACGACATGGTAGCGGTAGCAGATTGGTTTTGGATGTGAGATGGTGGCAGATGATGTAGACAACCCTGACATGCAAGCAGAGTTTTCTGGTGGGCAAGTTTGGGATTCTTATGCTCTTGAGATTGGTACTTTTGTCGCGCATTTTGATGGTACTTTTGTTTCGTGTCTTGATCAAGTCACGGTACTTTTGCTGGAATTGTAGTGGTACATATGTACCTTTGCTTGATTCGTTAGATAACGACCAATAGCAAGGCGACACTCATTAGACCAATGAGCTGGCGGTCCTTTTGTTATACGAGAAATTCCTTGGCGGTCCTTTTGTCGAAGTTCAGCCTCATCGGCCTACGACAATCTGCATATGAAAACAACCTCCCCCAAAATGTATCCGAGAATCAAATGTCTAAGGCTCTCAAGTCATTCCTCTTATTGTGATGGATAAGAACACTGCACGGGCACCAGGACACCCATCGCATGTATGGGAAACCCAGCGACATCACTTTACTCGACTGTACACGGATGAAAAGAAGAAGCTGGTTGAAGTGCAGCGGATCATGCAAGATGAGTACGGGTTTTATGCGACGTGAGTGGCGCTTCATGTTTGGTGCGCACGATAAGACTGACTGTCGTTCAGAGAGAGGCAGTATAAGCGTAAGATCAAGGCATGGGGCTTGGAGAAGAACTCGAAAGCCACCGAGAAAGCAAATGCGCTTGTGAGATTGAAGGAAACAGAGGCCAATCTTGACCTTGCGCATGTATATAAATTTCGTGGAAAGGACATTGCCGCCCACAAGCTTCTTCGATACGCGAAGTCTCACGATTTAGAGCCGCCAAACATTGGTACGCTCTATCTCTCAGCTCCAATATTAGGTTGCTCATAATCTTGCTGCAGTTCGAAAGAGGTTAACGTGGCAACGTAAGGCCACCAAGGCTCGCCCACAAGCTGTTACTACGAGCTTGGCTTTCGCAACACATACTGAAAACCAGGATCCTGTGTTTGTTAATTTACACGAGCTATTCGCTTCGGTATGTGACCAGATCAGCGTTCTATCACAAATTGTACTAAAATATACCTCAAGTTCATTTGCTTCATGTGGTTCGAAGATTGGGATTGTATTCAATCACTTTCACGTTCACCTTCGCGATGGAGTCTGTCATACCCTACAACAGGCTTCTTGAAATGGGCATCGACAATCCTGAGCGTTACACGGTTGGGAACCAATCATGTCGTACTAGCAATGCTCTACGTCTATCGTTTGAAATCGATTAATCGGACCGTCGTTGGTAAAGCGGGCAGTGAGTATAGGCTTGCACTAATAGCCTTGATGCTCGCTAACAAATGTACGTATAAGAAAATGGCAAAGAATCTCAAATAACTAATGTATTATATAGATCTGGATGATAATTGCTACACCAACAAGACATGGGCGGAAGTCTCTGGGATAGTGAATCCGGAGATTTGCATAATGGAAGTGGAGTTCCTCTCCAATATGCGCTACTCCCTCGCGGTGACACTGCAGGATTGGGATTTTTGGCTCGAGAGGCTAGGCCAAAGTCAAGAGTTTCTTCTCCGAAAACCAACCGAGGAACTACGAATCGTCGAACTCCCAGACATACCACAAAATGATCAACAGACGGTCCCATCGGCAGTGATGGATACTGAAATGCACGATATCTCCGACCATGAAAGCCCTACCGACTCTGGCAACCAGATCAGCAAAACGCATATTACTCCAGATACAGAAATGTCCGATCTCTCAGATGCCCCACTAAACGATGTCTCAAATCCCAAAGTACACGCGATTGCGGACCCGAACATACAAGGCATTCCAAACCATGAATTCGACATGTCAGGGAATCTGCACCCTGACACCTCAAATGACAGCATCGAAAGCGAGCCTGTAATGTCACTGAACCCCGCAGCATTCGAGCTCATAGACACCTCGTTTACAAGCATGATACCATCACCGCTTTTCCCGAGCACATTGACCATGGAGCTACCCACGCCTACATTGAATCCAGACGACGCTCTCCTCGAATGGAGAGCAATCGACTCGTTGGAGCTACAGGAAGGTCCCATACCGGATCTGGACGAGTTTCTCGATCCTTCAATGTGGATTGAAGACACATTGGAGGTTTCGCAGCTAGAGTGGAACTCTTTGCCGCTCTTGGAGCAACTTGGAGCAGAGGAGGAACGGTCGAAATGTAAAGAGCAGGGCAGTATCGAAGAATTATGAGCAGTATATATAGTGGGTGGCAGCGGGTAGTCTCAGGTTAGGACGAGATGTACTACGTCTTTGTTAGTATATTGATGGACTGGCCTATGAAATACTTCTCGATATTCAACAACCACTAAGAATGATATCAATGTGTAGGCGGACAAGTTTACTAATGGCAACAGTACGTATCTGACCGGCATGATGTCAGTTTCAATATAACGCAATATTTATACAAGCAACGAATAAAAATCTTTAACAACACACATTGGCACACAAACACTACAAAAAAAAAGAAAAGAAAAATACAATAAGCGAGGCCACTCACTCGCGCAATCATACTACCAAAAGCATAATCTTACCCCCACCCTTCGAAGCCCCCCCAAGAAAGGGCCCAAGCAAACACGAGAAACACGGGCTCAAGGCATCACCAGGTGCCTTGCGCCCCAGTCGGGTGTAACCCACCCAATCCGGGCAAAATACGATTACGATTACGAAGCAAACACGTCCCCCGAAGCCTTCCCTTCTGACCTCGTGTTTTTACGCACGCACGGATGGCCAGACCCCAGGGAGTGAGCAAGGCATGCAGGCAAGCATCATCATCGTCATCGTCGTCAGCGTCATGATCCATCTCACCGTGTTTATTCTGATGTCTATTTATATGCATATATGTTCATATAGTGCTGACTATATATATAAACGTAAGCCGATGGTACGGGTACGGTGCTAGGGTCTATCTCCAACATGATATTGATGAGGCGTGTGGGAAAGAAAAGGGTCTTGGCTTCTTTCTTGAAGGAGTGGTATGTTGCGCCGAGCTGACCTTATGTGGAGCACAGGGAGGATGGTGTCGGATTTGAAGTAACTTGGGCGCGTATTCGATTATTCAGTACGGCCGGCCCTTGCTCACTCACTCGTTGCGTTGTCGGGGTATGAACCTTGCGTGGTACTATGATGTCGCACTGCAACTGCAACCATCTTACCTGATGTCCTCCCTTGTTCCTTTGAAAGTTGGGCGATGAGGGTTTGGGTAGTGGGTAGATAGCTCGAACCATGGTTCTTGGAGCGAGTTGTTGTTGCATACAAACCATAATGGCATCCCGGCAGTCCGGAGACGAGAATGACGCGCTCGTCTCCGGCGAGTCAGGATCCATGGCGCTGATTATTGGTTGGTTGGCTGGCTGGCTGAGATGCGTATCCGTCCCAAAAAGCAAGGGACCACATACCCAGAGAGGGATGGAAGACGTAAAGGCAGACGTACAGATTCGCAGATATTCGACCCATTGGTCTAGGCCTCCAACCATGTCAGTGATGGGGAGGTGCTGCATCACGTGTTGCTGGCCGGGCTGTAATGTTCCGTCCAACAGCCATTCGGGGATTAGTCTGCGCACTCCCATCACATTCTCATCACCTCGCATCTCGCTCGCAGCAGCAGGCAGGCGAGAAGCTGCAAGCCATTCAATCAAAATCACGCATACAGAGATGCCGCGTGTCGATCGCCCGTTCCCGCCGGTTTGGTTCTCGGGAGCGCTTTGCCTCTTGCCTCTACCTCACTCTGCCTTTGTTCTGTTCAGCTCAGTTCAAATGCGCGCGTGCGAAGTCCTTTGGGTAACGAGGTCCCACCATGTCGCTCTCCCTTGACAGCAATGACAAGCGTACGCACGCATGCGAGCAAGCATGTTTGCATATGTGAGGCGGGCTCGCACGCAAGGGGGGCGGATCTGTCAAAAAAGAGCTTGTCGATCATCTTCTCTAAAAAAGGGTGAGGCGGAATATCCGCGTCGTGAGTGGGCGACGGCGACGACGATACGAGGGGGGAAGCGAGGACCCCTGTTCGATATCTTGCGCAAGGCACGGCTGGCTGCACATCAAATCCGTATTCGGGTCGCACTCGATACAAGGGGCATGAACAAAAGAGACAGACCAGGTGGGATAACAAGTCAACAAGAAAAGTCTATACTATATACTACAAACATGGCGGCATATTCCTCTCTCTCTGGGAAAGTTGTTGGGCGAGGAAATGGCCTCGGTTGGGCTGGGGGGGGAGGGGGTCAAAGGCAGAGGCAAGGGCAACCAACCATGGGGATACGTGTGCGTGCGCCCAAGAACAGCCCAACCGTGCCTGCCTGCCTGCCCATTCGCAGCTTGCAATGGCCATCGCCACTGACTCTCCCCCTTCCTTCGCCCAGGTGCACCTTCCACATTCAATCCGTGACAAATCGTCAAAGGTCCCAAGTCTCGCCTCACCTTCGTCGTCGGCGACTTCATCCTCGGGTCCAATCCATACCCAACAAAACAAAGGAAACGTTGCCCATCATCTTCAATCATCTCCGCTTCCGTAAATCTGTCATTACATCCTTCCCACCCATGGAAAGAAAAGCCTGACCGACGCCTGCACCGGCCCCCTTCTATTGCTGGTATTACCTCATTCATGCCGTTGCCCCTTCCCAAGACCGAAAAAGTGAGGAAGGATTAAGAAAGACAAGGAAAAAAAAAAGAAATCCCGCAAAGAAAGCAAAAATCCAGAAACATGCAAATGCCCCACCCAGTTGTGGCCCTCCCCCACGCCCAACTTTTTCCACATAGTGATACATGAAAAAGCCCCTTCCAGAAATGCCCCAGAGCTCCGACTTCTGCTCTGTGAAATGCCCTGTCTAATGCGAAAAAGGAAAAGAAATCCCGGAATATGAAAAAGGTGAGGAAAAAAAAAAGGACCCAAGTGATGGCATCACAAGTAACAAAGATGATCTCGGGCTCAACGCCACCGAAATGCCGTTGCGCCGTAGCCACTATGCTCTGCCAATCATCTCGAGGGCCATGGAAGGAAAACGGACAGAATGCGAAAAATATACACGAACAAGAAGGGTTAGAACCTCAAGTAGTTGAAATCAAATAGGATATGCCAACACCTTGGGAACATGAGATTTGTGGTATGAGTGAGGAAAGCGAGACATGGTGACGTGGCCTGGGTTGTTTATCGTCTTCGGGACGATGATGCTGCAGGTGTGCGCTGTGAAGAGGAGCCTGCGCCCATTTCATCCAGTTGATCGAGACACGCGGTTATCACTGCAGGGCGTAATTAGACCACCAAAGCGTCATGACATGGGTGCTAGATTGAAACTCACTGGCAATAATCTCCTCTTCCCAGACGCCCATCTGGTAATCCACCAGCCCATGCTTTTCCATGTTGTCGCAGTTTTTCACGAGTTGGGTGCCCATCTTCTCGAGGAAATCGTAGTCCACAATCGACTGCGGCTGCTGAGGACGCTGCCCGGTGGCGGCCATCTTCTCCACCAGCTCCTTCTGCTTCTGCAAGAGGGACAACCAGCAGTGGTTAAATTCCTCCCATAGCGTGAGGCGTTGGCTATGATGGTTCTCGTCATCGCGTACTAGGCCTATAGTCAATTCTCAGCTGCTCGTCCCCACCCTGTGCGATAGCGGTACTTACCCAGTGTTTCGGCCCAGTGCAGCAGCCAGTCGGAGAGGCGGAACAGCGAAGGGGCAGCTTCCGCCAGACGGTCGTCGCGGATGTACTCGAACGTCTTCTTGAGCTCACCCTGGTAGTTGTTGTAGAAGTCATCGTACTCGTTGCCCGAGGACGACTGGCGCTGCGACTGCTGGTCAGCATAAGCAGCAGGCTGCTGCGAGTAGCCGCTCGAGGCGGTGGGAGGGTGCGGGTCTGTCATGCCAGCGGCAGCGGAATAGGTGGGGGCAAGCGACTCGCGTCCGACGGGGGCCTGCTGTGCTGTTGTATAAGCCAGCGAGGGGTACTGAGAGGGGAGGTTCTGCGGCGTAATGGCAGCGGTAGGCGCGCTCGTGGGACCCCCCTCGCCGTAGTATTGCGGTTGTGCTACTCCAAAGTTGGTGCCCAAGACCTCAATGGCCGATTCGCGGTTCTGCTGGTACGGTTGTACTGGCTCATACTGTGACGCGGATCCTGCAGAGCCCGGGTACATGACGCTCTGGCCGTACTGCTGGTACTGTTGGGATGCGCGCTGCGGTGTCTGCTGCTGCTGCTCGCCCGCTGCATAGTCCTGCGCTCCGTACGAGACGCTGGGCTGCTGGATGGATGAGGGGACAAACTGCGAACCTTCTCCGTAAGCGTAACCGTAACCCGTGCGACTTCCAGATGCCGCCGACGTAGGCGGATGGGCAGTCAAGGGCGCCTGCCTGAACCGGTCGGATGCGCTTACCACGGGATAGGAAGCTTGTGGCTGGAGCAGCGTGCCTTGCTGGCTCGCGTAACCTGACGACGGGTTCTGCCGTGCTCGTCTCTCATTGTCCATCCCACCGAGCCGGTTCTTGAGCTGCAGAGGGAAGGGTGCTTCGACGGCCCTGTACGCCGAGGGCGACACTGGCGGAGTCGCGTAGTTGGCCAGCTTGAGAACGGGTGGGGGAGAAGTCCTGGCGCGCACTGCGGAACGGAGCGGACGAGGGAAGAGTGATGGAGGAGACGGTGAAGAGGGGAGGATATGCCGGTGAAGAGGTGGATGGGTCTGAGCGTAGGTGCCGCGGGGTTTGCGGGTGGTTGTTGGGATGGAGATGGTCGAGGATGAAGATGTGGGCAGCGACGATGACCTAGGAGAGCGATACCCTTGGAGAGACGGGCGATGAAAGGAAACAGGTATTCACGTGAGGGGAGGGAGGGCAAGAAAAAAAAGAGGTGGGGTTGGGGTCGCGGTATAGACAGGATGAGGATGCTATGGCGAGGAGGGGTGACGTTGAATATGTGTGGATGCTCGAAGCTTCCAGCGAATGAATATAAACACGGTCCTGGAGCATCACTCGCTCAAACAGCCAATGGAGCCCAATGCCTTTCCAAAAAGCAGTGGATGCCAAAGCCTCACTGTGGATTGGACAAGGGTCCCCTAGGTTGGCTGCGACGAGGATGTCGGGCAGGTGGTCGGGCAGGTCCCGGAAGGCGGCGTCCCGATGAGGAAATGTTGGAGAAGCAAATACGGGCAGCGGTGGCCGAGGAGACACGTAGGCAGGCGATGACAGGACGGCGGCGCAAAAAGGAAACGTGGAGAACCCTGGCGGCGATGGGCGTGATGCGAAGAGCAAGTCCAGGCACAGAGGATGGTTAAGTAGGGCACTCCTTGCACAATCTCCCAAAGAGCCCAAACGCACTGGGCCCCACAGGCAGTCCGGTCAACTAGATCGTCTCAGATGATGGGCTCAACGCCTTCGTCCAGCCCTACAATATGCGCTGGCGCCTTTCACGATGGTCGCGCACAGGACGATATGAAGCAGGTGCAGGGCAGTGGTGAAGCGTTCGGACCGAGTCAAGACAAAAGTGCGACAGTGGCTCTCTATCTGCCGGGTATGGTCGCGCTCGACGTCGAGGGAAGCAATTAAAAAAAAAAGATGTTCCCCAAGAAGCCTTCAATGAAAGAGGTCGAGAGGTGGTGGTCTCATTGGACAGGGGACGGCGAGCGGCTCGACGGCAGACAGGGTAGCTTGCGTCACGATACAGGAGCCTAGGAGGGATATGTAGAGAAAAGAAGCAAGGTCCCGATATAGTAGTGGTAGTAGTAGAGGAAGAAGAGGCGGAGGAAGAGGTGGGAACGACAGAGACTGGACGGATAGTGGCTGGAGTTGAAAGTTGGGTTAGAGGACGAAAGGGAGAAAAAAAAAAGAGGCAAGAAAAAAAAAGCTATAGGGTAGATGGGTACGTAGGCAGATGGACGGGAGAGATGGTCAGGCGGTGCAGTCAAAAGAAAGGTGCGCCACTGCGGCAACAATAAAAATAGGGAACTGGAGAAGGAGCCGGGCAGGCGGCGTGCATATGGGAAGACGAGGTACTTACCTGAATGGTGGGTGCGTGTGGCTTTGCGGCCGCAGAGTGAGTGGTGGTAGGGAGGGCGACAGAGCGGTGGGTGGTCAGGTCAGGTCAGGTCGATGAGAGATGGAACGAACGAAGGGAACGAAGGGAACGGAGGATAGACGCGGCTTAGGTGAGTGTGTGAATTGAGTGGCAGACATTCAGTGGGAGGATGACAGACGGCGCAACAGCAGTGTTCATGGCAAAGCGTCCGAATGGGAGCAGATTCAGGTGCTAGGCGTCAAATAAGCAAGTAGTTGAACTAAGTAGTTGGTAGTGTGAGGAAGGGCCCTGGTCGCCATCCCATCAGTGGTTACAGGATCGCCGCTTTGATCTGCGCCCATCGCATGGCTGGAATATTCAATCTATGCAGGGCTTGCTCAAGCCGCATGGGATAGATGGCTGGTTTCTTTTTTTGTGCCTAACTGTTTCCCGGCTTGCCTCTTGTCCTTGTGCTTGTTTGTGGCTGTTCCCTTTTGCTCGTCTGCCTGCTCCTCCGTCTGTTTCTTCTGGTCTTCCTCCTCGTCCACCACGCACGGCGTGTCAGCAATCATCCAGCTGCCCGGCCTCGTCCTCGATTGGGCTGCGAAAGGTCTCCCCTTTCATGCGCGCGTGGGAGACCTTTTGCCCACGTCCAGGCAGGGCCCGGCGGCGTCTCCGGCCCCTGGCCGACTGACTGACCTCATTGCTTGACTGAGTGACTGACTGACTGACTGAGCGACGGAGCGGTTGATGGATTGAGCAACTGCCCAACGCAATGGTGCCCGGGCTTGGGTACAGGATGGCACTTGGCGATGGGGCCGCCAGCGCAACCCAACGCGGTCGCGATTACATGAGCTGAGTAGAGGAGGAGAGGAGAGAGAGCGCAGAGGGGCCGTTGCTGCGTGACCACCTGGACGGTATCGGCCACGGGCCACTGCATGTTAGAGACGGGTTTCATGCAGCAGTGGGCAATTAGTGAGTAAAGAATAGAAATCAATCGAGGGACGTGCTGGTCCGGGTTGGCTGGGCGAGAACCCCCATGGCATCAGGCCTCGGTCGTCATCTCAGTATACCTACCTACCTCTCTCTGCACTTGATAGTAGTCGTCTAGGTCAGTCAGTAGGATGCTGACATGACATGGACCCATGAATGATGGAATGGTGCTCGGTCCCATGCGCTCTCGAGGCCTGTCTGCCTGCCCCGTGCGTTTCAGGGGGGGGTTCGATTCTCGCTTTTCTTCTCCACAGCCTCACTCGCCGATCCTCAAACACGTCCCAGCCAGCTAGCAACCATGTGGATTCGCATGTGTAAACACGAAACTGCTTGCTTGCGGCGGCCCGCTCATGTATGCACTCCTGATTTGCCCGCCTGCCCGCCGCCTTGCGTGCTTCTTCTGCGCCTGCATGGAACACGCTTACGACACTTTGGTTTCCCTTTTTTTTCTTCCCTCCCTTCCTTTCTTCCTGCGCTTGCTTGCTTGCTTGTTGACAGGCAGGCAAGCAGGCCGTGCCGGCGAGTGGGCCGGCGACATGTGCAGATTTAGTTCCTTAGTAGTTGCTCTTGGTCTTTTTCCTCCGACGCACGGCATACGCCTGGGCTACAACGCTTGTTCTAGTCGACCTGGCCACCACACACCATGACCACCCAATATGGCCCCCTCTTCCTCGTCTGCTTCTTCTTTTCCTCCTTCTGCTCAAAGGATCACCATGCCTCGCATCCCGCCCGCGACCGAGTGCTATGCGGTGGTCGAGTGCTTGCTCGCTTGCTCGTATCCGCTGTCCGTCTCGGCCTCACGTGGCTTTGGCAAGGGTCTCCTTTCTTGCAACACTGTGTACACTCGACTGTTTCTCGAATTCCCCTGGAACGCGTAATGGGAGCCGCTACTGAATCGCCGTCCCCGCGAGTACCACACATCTGCCTGGGCAATCAAACAAAAAAAAAAAAAAAGACTGGAAAGAAAAATAAGTCGTGAAACGGGAGGCGTCCTGGTCGACAAGATGCATCGCAAAGATCAAGGGGTGCACGTCATTCGATCCAATCTGCGTCGATCCGGAAACTAGGCCTCTTTTTCTTCAGTCGCGCCCTCCCCTCTCCCTCTCCCTTCAGCCTCACCTTTTGTTCCCCTTCCCCCCGCATCGTGTCTTTGTTTTTTAAATTTGACCCCTAACCGTCCAAAGCACACCATTGCGCGCCCGACAAATCGGCGCCCGCGACCCCCAATCCTTCATCTCCAGCAGCCTTCTTTGGGCACCTCGTCCGATATTTGCATCAAGCTGGCTGTTGACAGTTGACGTTGCATTTAGGGAGACGGGCCTTGTGCCAATTCTGGCCATGTGCAGCTTCGATTCATGCTTCATTAGCCGTTAGGGCCACAGCGCTAAAACATGCCGGCCTTCAGATCGCTCTTCGACGATGCGGAGACTGCACTCGTGATTGGTTCCTTGCTTTGATTTGCAATCCATCAAAAGACTCTCCAAGGGAGCGTTTGCCAGAAAAACACCGTCGTGTCCTATCCTGCGGTTCCACCAACCATTTCGCTGTTGCATCCTGCTCTTTTTATTCCGTGCCGACTATAGTTCCCCCCCTTTCGCTAGTCTTCTCATCTAGAGCAGTTCCCCTGGATTCCAATCAGTCCATCCAAACACTCGCTGCCAGAGAATGCCCTCCATTTCCCCTGTGGGCGATCACTTGTTTCCACTCAATCGGCCCAGGGATAGCACAGTAGCCGCAGCCTCCGTCCCCATCATGGCTAAGATTCATTGCATTTGCCTACCTATTTGCAATTGTCCGCGTCCATATTCACCTACTATGCGCCTCTTGCATGGTGGGTCGAAAAAATCCCAGCCCGGTCGTTCACGGCATCTATTTTTATCCGCGTCTGTGACGTTGCAACCCTGACCCGAGCTTTTCGATGTTTGATAATCACACAAAAGCAACAAGCAGCAGAAACCAACTCTGCAGTCATGCGAAATGCATCTTCAGCCCTAGCGAGAGCAGGTTTTTGCCATGGTACGACAAAAGAACAGGGTGTTTGGTGCGGCTAAGGCACATGTTACGCGTTGTTTATGCAGCAGCCGACAGGGTGTTGAAACATCACTTCTCCAAAAATAAACCCAAAAGCAGAGAAAAGAAGAAAATACTTCAGTTGGGACAAAAAAAAACCATGTCGTCTTTCTCGTATTAACCATCTGTTATGAACCGCATCGCCCGACTTATTGCCATTCTCACAGATACGATGTTCCGTCACTACCGAGAGCAATGCGTCACCACCACCCTACATACGTATTCAAACACTCAATCCAGTTTATCAGCATCCAATTCGACGACGGCTCGGCGTACGCGCATACTTTCAATATCCGAGCACAAACATAGAGTCTCCCTGGCTTTTCAATATAGTGCATATGCAAGCCCCTACACACCTAACCTGCCCAATGCCGCAGCACATAACGAGTTGGACCCACACAACCTACACGATGATATCCCCGATGGTATTCTTCAAGGGAGATGAGCATGCCATGCTTTGTTCAAGGGATAACCAAATATTCCCTCATCGTTACGATCCGCCTACCCACCTACCCGGATCCTCTGTAATGGCTTTGTGTAAGGTAGACTTTGGCCGCACTAAAAAGGGGAACCTTGTATACTATTCTACCTTTCCCTCCTACATGGGATCATCGGTCATCTCCGAGGATTCGTCCAGCTTGTTGAAAGAGAAGTAGAAAGAGAGAAAGAATTGAAGCGGCAGCTAGTAGACAAGCGAAACCTCTTTCTCTACACATAAATACCTATCGTTTTACTACTGTCACTTCCTATCAACTACCAACCACGGACCATGTATCTTTCCTATTCATGTTCCTTTTGGAGGGAAATTTTATCAGCGAAGTACTATTGCTGCTAACCCACTGGCTCAACCACTGTACTTTACAGCACGGTGTCACAACACTCGAGTATCATGACCCCAAATCAACTTCTGTGCAAAGATCACAGCGTATCTTCCTATACCAATAGTCTTCAACTCTATATGTGACAGAAGGCAAGGGTCTGTCTGTTTGGCCATCACCTGTTTATCCGTACTGTTATCGCTGGAACTCATCGATTTGTGTATGAATACTCAAACTCCAACACTAAGACTTGTTTATTGGAAGGAGACGCGCCACCTTGTAGAGTACTTCTTCTCTCCTCCTCCAAGTAGCCCTGTAACCCTTAAACTGCTCAACGAGAAACAATAATGAAATTTGTTGCTAATGGCATCTTCGCAAGTATATTATTAAATAATTTCTGCATTAAGTAGGACATTCACTTATTCAGGTTCGTGTACATAGTAATATAACAATCGCTTACTCTATTCGCATTATTTATGAACTGACAATCTACTGAAAGGAGGTTAGTGGTGATATTCCAATCGCCATAAATACGCAAGGAATGTGGTTTTCCGCATTCTCGGAACTGAATGAGTGCATGCTTACACCGTCTTTGAGAAGACACGCACACGGACAAGATACTATTGTGTACTAGTCAACTAGGATCACCTAAACTCCAACTCAAAACAAATAAAAAAAAAGTACTAGTCAACGTAGCGAAAGGAAGATGCTACAGACTTGCTTGTGTATCATGTTGTCTAAATCTAAATCAGGAGCACAAAATCCCGAGCACGTCGCCGCCCTTCTGATGAGTGAACTGATAGAAGAGGAATAATGAACCACGCTATAGATATATGCCAAAATCTCAAGAGAGCGAGTCACAGTTATCCCCAGTTCAACAGAGACGAGAGGATTGAGGAAAAGGGAACCTTTGGGAGTAGACATGATGAAAATGAGATGGGTTATAATCATGGCGTTCTAGTCTTTGCGAGTCTTTGCTACTATATGTGTTTGAGTGTCTTGTTCTCTGTTACTTGGATCTCAATGTGTATACCTTCCCCTTTCCACTCTTTGCTTCTCTTAGGAAATAGGAGAATCCCGTTCGTCTTAGCTAACCATCTTGTTACTTGTGTATATATCTTTGGTATGGCTAGTCCTGGATCTCTCTCTCTCTCTCTCTCTCTCTGTTTCTGTTTCTGTGTGCGTTTGTGTACTATACTCATTTCTTTTGTAGTTTTCAATATCAGGGGCAACACTCCAATGATATATCTTCCACATGCACATATACACCTCAACACCCACATCACTCTGATCTTCATCAAGTAGTTACTATATACAACCCTCCCGCATAAGTATAGCCCCAGAAATAGGTACATAAAAAACCGAGAAATCGCAAAGTAAAGGCTCTGAAAAGGGGGTGGGTATCCATCAATGTGCACATTGCGAAAGGCGGTGTCTTCTATGCAAGTGACACGCGTGAACAGAGTAGATTGGAAGGTGGTATAACGAGTATGGGACTTCAAAGCAAATTCGAATGAATTGAAACGAACCGACTGCCTAATCAATCGATAGGTTCTGACTCGGGATATGAGGAACAAGCCGGGATGTTGCCATGCCGTCATACTGTCATGCTACTACACTCTCACTCAACGATCCTTCCCCCGTTTCACTTTTTCAATGTCTATCGAGACAGGAGGAAAGAGGAGTAGGAGAGCGGAAAGATATGACATGAGATGCTTGTGAAACTAGAAACAAAGCAATTGTCCACGATCGCAACGTCACCAAGATAATGAAGAGCTCATCACGTCTTCACACCGACCAACAAGAATCTTGTTCGTCTATACTTATTGCTCTGCTTCTTCATCTCTTCACTACACATATACATAACATAGTACATACAACAGGTTACGCTAAGCAGCACAGAATCCTTGCAGCTGTGGTCCCGATATACAAAGAAAGGTGGTAATGTACATAGACAAGGATGGAAAGAGGGTGGCGAGTGATGAATGAAGTGGTTTGTGGAAACAAGCAGCTTTTGTGCCTTAACGCTTGACCCAGGTGGGCATCTTGCGTGCTTTGACGTGACCGGGCTTCTTCCTCTCCACTTTCCTTGGGTCTCGTGTGATGCAACCAGCTGTAGAAGATGTGTTAGCGTAGGTATTTCTCATAGGAGTATTAGAGCGAGGGTATATGCGTGGGTGTTTGTTCAAGCGGCGGGAGAGCCTAGACCACAGGGGTGGATGATACGAGCTTGTGCAAGGAAAAGCAAAAAGAAAAGGCCCATGAGCATCTTGCAGGGTTCAACTCACCTCGTCGCAGGGCGGGTTTCAACGCAGGCTCGTGCACAAGCAGCGCTTTTGCAACCGCCAATGTCATGGCTTCCGCCTGACCAGTGGAACCACCTCCTGTAACCCGACCAAACAGGTTGTACTTGTCCAATCTATTCGTCGCTTTCAGTGCCCATACTGCGCTCTCGCGGTGATGAAGGCGGTCGAAGAAAATGGTGAGGGGCTTGCCATTGATCAATACCTCGCCTTCTCCTTCGACGAGAAAGGCAATGGCTGATGATGTCTTTCTTCGACCAATACCTCTTGATCTTCCCCACTCGTCCAGCACGCCGGGAGGTGATACTATGTCACCCGGTTGGCTGTCCTTTTTGAATCTCTTCATTGCCTGCACCACCTCATCGGGAATGAGTGTCGGATGTATGCAGTTCAGCCTCCGTAGCACGTGCAGCATCTTGTGGAAACGCTGTGTCTTGACAGGCTCGTTGGTCATGATCCGGTACTGGTCGATGGACTTCCACGCGACTCTGGGAGCTTCGGCAGGGGTGACGGTGGGAAGGGTGGCCGTCTTTCGAAGGAGGGCCGTCAGGCTGATGTAGTCATCCGTGAAGGTAGGCTTTGCGCTGAAGTAGGATGGAGATGCCGGTACAATGCGTAGTCCCTCCAATACCTTCTTATTGCCCATTGATGATGGCTTATCGGTCTTGGAGAAGTCAATCGGGGGAGCGGCAGTGAATGGCTCGAGGCTCTGCGAGACGGATTCTAATTTCGGCGTGTCATCGATGCCAACTCGACGTGATGGCGTGGTAGACAGGTATCGCGAGGTGGAGGGTGCAAAGGCTCTTTGGGCGCAGCGCATCGGAGCGCAGTATCGAGGTCGTGAAGCAATGTTGAGGCACTCGGCGGCCGCCTGGACCCCCCTCGAAAGCTCGCTCCGTGCCATGGTGGCTCCAATGGCTTGTTGGATGCGGATTGATGATGATGATGCCCTTTCTCGAAGACGAGCCGTGGAAATTCTGGGAGCACATCTGCCCGAATTGCCCTAACCTATCTAGGATTAGCGCGCCCGGAAAAATCGAACAAAAACCTTTGCCCCCATCGCACCCCGCCTCGCCATCTGTCAAACAGTCAAAAACTTTGTCAACCCACGACTTTGTCATTCGAGCTGATTGCACCACTTGTTCTCTTCATACACCGCAATCATGTCCTTCGGCAAGCTCTACAGTTACTCGGTGAGTGCCCGTCGCACTCATTTGTGCCTCGCACGCGTTGGATCCGCCTGCTAACGCCATCGGTAGGGCAACCCGCGCACCACGTCGCTGCTCGCTGTTGCAAAGGAGAACGGCCTTGACCTTGAGTTCGTCGAGACAACGCCCTCCGAGGCGTCTGCTGAGTACCTCAAGCTCAACAAGCAGGGCAAGGTCCCGACCTTCGAGGGCGCTGATGGCTACGTCTTGTCCGAGGCCATCGCCATCGCGGTGTACTGTAAGTGCCACCACGTTTTTTTCTTCTCCACCCACCCCCCGCCTAAAAAGATGATGTATTTTTATACAGTTATCCCTGTCTAAAGAATAGTGTTGACGACTTAATACTCTGATTACGTTGCGCACCTCGTTCTTCGCCTTTGAATTGTACTTCTACGGTGACTCAGACTGACGCTCGCAGTGACCTCCCAGAACGAGAAGACCAGCCTGCTCGGAAAGACCAAGCAGGACTACGCTTCCATCCTCCGATGGATGTCCTTTGCCAACCAGGAGGTCCTCACCCCTCTCGGTGGCTGGTTCCGTCCCATCATCGGCCGTGACCCCTACAACAAGAAGAACGTTGATGAGTCACAAAAGGCCGCCCTCAAGGCTGTCCACGTCTTTGAGGAGCACCTCCTTACCCACACCTACCTCGTCGGCGAGCGCCTCACCCTCGCTGATATCTTCGCCGCTTCCATCTTCGCTCGTGGCTTCCAGTACTTCTTCGACAAGGCATGGCGTGCCGAGAACCCCAACGTCACCCGTTGGTACGAGACCGTCTACAACGTTCCTAGCTACACCGCTGTTGCAGGCAAGCTTGAGTTCATCGACGAGGCCATCAAGAACGTGCCCCCAAAGAAGGAGGCTGCCCCCAAGAAGGAGCAGCCTAAGGCCGCCCCCAAGCCCAAGCCGGCTGCCAACGACGACGAGGAGGAGGAGGACAAGCCCGCTCCTAAGCCCAAGCACCCTCTTGAGTCCCTTCCCCGCGCTACCTTTGTCCTCGATGACTTGAAGCGCACCTACTCCAACGAGGAGACCCGTGAGGTCGCCCTTCCCTGGTTCTGGGAGAAGACCAACTTCGAGGAGTACTCGCTCTGGAAGCTCGACTACAAGTACAACGACGAGCTCACCATGACCTTCATGACGTCCAACTTGATCGGTAAGCAGCCCTTTGCATGCACACGTCTACATGGTACTGACAAGCGCAGGTGGATTCTTCAACCGTCTTGAGGCATCCCGCAAGTACATCTTCGGTGCCGCATCGGTGTACGGTGTCACCAACGACTCCATCATCAAGGGTGCCTTCCTCGTCCGTGGCCAGGAGGCGCTCCCCGCTTTCGACGTGGCCCCCGACTACGAGAGCTACGAGTTCACCAAGCTCGACCCCACCAAGGCCGAGGACAAGGAGTTTGTCAACGACCAGTGGGCGTGGGACAAGCCCCTCGTGGTTGACGGCAAGACGTATGAGTGGGCCGACGGCAAGGTGTTCAAGTAGACGATTTCTCTTGTCGAGACGTGTGTTCAAAAGATCAGTAATGACGGGATGAATGTTACGATTTAGTGACGGGATATCATGAGGATGGGTGGGACGGATGGCTGTGGGCTGGAATTTTGACAGCATGTTGCGTAAGGTCACCAAAAAGGTTACAAGACGCTTGCACGGGTTTTAAAGATGACACAATGAATCCTTTGACCCATATGAAAACGACGCAGAGAATGAGTGCATGTGCGTGTGTGACGATTGCTGCCTGTTTTGCGCTGGTCAAGTGCTGGCGACAGGCACGAGGAGGAGGAGGAGGAGGAGTACATAGCTAACATGGGTAGGTAGGTAGGTATGGGTTGTCTGCATGTCTTGTGTAGGGTGGGGCAGAATGAGGGGCAACTAGGCAGGAACTAGGAATCCAACGGCGAAAGTGATTTGGCGGTAGGGCCGTCTTACAGCATGCATACAGACTGCACCTACATACAGACAGACATGTCCACCGGGCAGCGTATGTGCATGGAGGAGTACCGATGGAGGTTACGTGATATGGCAACCGTGTTGTCTTGATTGGAGTGACGGAACACGGAATACGACCCAGGATTGGGGCCTGGGCCTGCCTGCATTGCAGCAAGAGGCGACTGCTGCTGTGGCTGGACGGCGGGAGTTGGGGCGCTAACTTTCCGGGGTCTTGCGAAGCTCGGGGTTGCTATTTCTCTCTAACTGGGAGCCCTCTTCCGTTCCATTGTTCGTGCCTCCGTACCTCCATCCATTCAGACTCCGCATTGCCTTTTTGCTGCTGCTCTGTCGCCTGCGGCTGCTTGCTTGCACGCTTCTGGTTGCCTGTTGACAGTGTTGCGCGCGCATTCAATCGTTGTTGCGACGACCGGCCGGGAACCATTCAAGACAAGGCCCCATCGCCATCGCCAACGGCAGCAAAGAGATAACAACAGACGACGTTACATACTTTGGCTTCGTGTGTGGCTGGCGCATTTCTGAGCAACCGAATAGCCAACAAAAAGCACGTGTCACGACTCGACGTCTGACGTACCTGAGAGTGTCCAAGTTCGTTGCCCGGTCCACCAACCTGGCCGTCCATTGTCTGTCTTACCTTTGCTTGGGGGGTCGACCATTGCCGCTGTCAAGCCCTCCTTTATTCTGTGGGCTTCTTCGCAAAGTTTGAATAAAGGAACAATCCGAGAGCCCGTTGGGAAGAAGACAATATCCGCAGCAAATAAAATTAACAACGAGGGCTGTCGCAACAAAGACTTCTCAGGCTACTAATAACTCTCTCGCGCGCGCACACCCTCGCACGCGGATTGTTTTTCCTCTGAACGTCGCGCTTCGGGATTGCTTTGGGGCGTTTGTCGCGCTGCGCGTACCCTTTCTCTCCATCAGGTGGGCTTCCGCATCTTGCATCCGTGAGGACCCACGAACGGAGAATCCCAAGCCACGGAACGGACTCGACAGCGTAGCGCCTCTCGTCTCCCAGCTACCCTACCCTACCTTACCCACTTATTTACGCTCTGCCCCGGGCGCCTGTCTAATATTATACTTCCGTACCGACTGCATTTTGTTTTTCGGTCAACTTTCGATTCTTCTTTTTTCTTTGTGGGAAAAAGAAGGGAAAGGCATCACTGTGTGCGACACCACAAAGGAGAAGCATCTTCCGCTTTCTTTTGCGCGCACGTTTGAGAGGGTGGTAGAAGCCAATCTGTCCTGTACATCCCTCGGGGAAAGAAAAAGAACCCCTCCCGCACACAGAAAAAACCATCTGAAGACTTCCTTCTCCGTTCCCCTTTGATTCTTGTCGTAGAAGAACACCATTTCCCCAGCCTCCCGTCATATGTGGAAGCGAAGAATAGAAGATTTTGGACCCCAACGAACCTTTTGTCCATCTTAAACGGGAGATATTATTTGTTGCTTGGATCAATACTTGAAAGTATATCAACGTGGTTGTGGCGCTGAGACAAGCCAGCTTCCTCATTCATTCTTTCCCCCCTTCTGCTCTATGTGGCAGCCAACCACACGGCAACGGTAGAAACGAAAACGGTTTCGGGATTTCAAAGGCACAACAACGCTCAAGGCGCAAAATTTCCGGAAGTCTTTAGGACCGATAAAAGTGTACTGCAAGGAATTGCATCCGGATCAGAACAAAAATTGTGGGAGAGAATTCACAAGTGTGGGAGTTCGGTGTTCGGCGCGCTGTAATGAAGGACAGCGAGGCCCATGTGCAGCTGAGGCGGGCGAGCGAAGCTCATATACAACTGAGACGCTCGAGTGGACATGGCCACTCAAACGAGCCTGCCATCCAAGTCATATGTTTGGTTTGTCTCTCATTCTGGGCTCCACCCACCCTCCTACGTGTTCGGCCAGCAGCATGAGCCTCTGATCACCAAATTATGTGTGTATGCTAACACGAAAACCATTAGGGCTCTGGCGGTGGACCAAGCGAAGACAATGTCACAGGTTTCCTCGTCCGTTCGACGGCTGCAAAGTGGGCTAAAAACTCTGTCCTCGCCGTGGACGCAGGCTCCCATCTCGCAGCCATCACGCGAATTCTCGAAAAGGACTTCCCGCTCGTTGCCGATCCCGTTTACAAGGAACTACCGGCGCCACACAGTAACGGAAACGGAATCGGGGATTCGACGCGAGACATCGATACTCCCTCACCCGGAACTGCGCATCCTTCCAATCTGGATGAGGACTTTTCTTCCTCAGGGCTAGATTCCCCTCTCTCGGATGCAGCGCCTTTGCCGGTGTTGACTACACTTCAGCACGGCGCCTTCGCCGGCCTGCCTTTTCCCAATGCCAGCGCGAGAGCGAACGCACTGCATGTGGTAAGAGAGCACGTTTCTACATATCTCATCACTCACCCCCATCTCGATCACGTATCTGGATTTGTTATCAACACGGCTGCTTTCCACAACACATCGCGGCCGAAACGACTTGCGGCACTGCCCTTCACCGTCAACGCGATCAAAACCCACATCTTCAACAATATAGTTTGGCCGAATCTCACGGATGAAGACGGCGGCGTGGGTCTCGTTACATTTCAGCGTTTGGCCGAAGGCGGCAACATTGCGCTCGGGGAAGGTAGCGGAAGAGGGTACATTGAAGTCTGCGATGGATTGAGCGTACGGGGCTTCAAAGTAAGCCACGGCCATTGCATGCGAGTGCCCGCCCACATGCACCGCGGATCAGTACCCAAAATCACAGAAACACCAAGCATGGGTATTCACCGTGCATCCACGCTCCACTCCCTCGACCACAATATGCCCCTCCCCGAAGGCCGCGAGCAACGCTCGCTCAGCTTCTCACATCCCACGCAAAGCACACCAGGCACCCCGCTCTTTACATCCGCCCAACAAGACTCACGAGGTGCCTCCAACACCGCGCCAGCCGACCAGTGCGTAATCGACTCGACGGCCTACTTCATTCGTGCTGAAAGCACCCCGTACACGCCCACCAAAGAAGTCCTCATCTTCGGGGACGTCGAGCCAGACTCCATCTCCCTATCCCCACGCACAGCCCAAGTCTGGGCCGAAGCCGCCCCCAAAATTGCCGCGGGAATCCTCGCCGGCATATTCATAGAGTGTAGCTATACCAACGTGCAAGGCGACGCCGTTCTCTACGGCCACCTCGCGCCACGACATCTCCTCGCTGAGCTTTCCAACCTCGCCGAAATGGTAAAAGAAGCGCGCAAAGGCCACGAGCGCGATAGGGAAGAAGCCCGCAATGCCCGGAAACGCAAAAGAGCTAGCAACGGCTTACTCTCCGGCATCACCTCTGCTAACTTCGACGCATCCTCCTCTTCACACGCGGCCAGTGGTCAAACAGGTACAGACCTATCCCGAAAAAGCTCCCGCTCCCGCACGTATAATGCACATAGAGACGGTGGCGACGATGAGGTTATGACGGATACGGCTACCGCTTCTCCCACCCCTGGACGTGTGAATAGTACGTCGACGGGTACACACACGCCCAATAACAATCACAACGCGCTGCATCTCGGTAGCGTGTCGACTGAGCATAGTAAAGCGGTACTTGCGGCGGCTTTCGATGCTCCTCTCAAGGGCCTCAAGGTCGTTATCATGCATGTCAAGGATAGCTTGGCCGATGGGCCATTAGTTGGAGATGAGATTTTGAGGGAGTTGAGGGAAGGCGAACGCGAGATGGCGGAGAGGGGCAAAGGACTGGGGTGTGGTTTTGAAGTCGCGACCAGTGGGGGGAGTTTTTGGTTTTGAAAACTTGGAGTTTGGACATCTAGTTTTGGCTTGGGAGGTTACCTTGTCTTCCCATCTTCTTTTTTTGTGGGGACTGTATTCCCTTTGAATTTCTTGCGGAATGCCTTGTATCCTGGTGAGGGGCGTAGTGGCGCACGCTGGAGTTTTCTTCGGATTATGTTCGTTGTGGGCCTTTTTTTTTCCCTTTCCCCCTCTTTCAGAAGATGGGCAGCGAGTGGGTGATGCGTCACCCCCCTCTTCTTTTGTTCGGCTTCTCTCTGTTTCTTCCTTTTACGGTGTTCTAGCTCTGCACTTTTGCAATTGTCAGGTTTGTACGGCTTCGGCCCTTGTTGTCTTGTAACCCCCGGTTCGTGGGCTGTAAGTTGGAATCTGCATGTCCATTCGTCTTTTCATTTCTAAAAATGGGAGACTGTGATTTGTACGGTCTGTCATGTAAATGAATACATTATGGACCGAGAGGGAGAGGTATGATGGAGAATTCTGACCGTCTATATTGAACCAAAGAAGCCTTTCAATGTATTCTTCATGCGGCCACGAACTGTGGGTTGAGATTTCCTGCGTGGCACATTATCACTAGGAACTTGTAACTCGATTCTCTGTGATGCTATGCTGCTGCTGCTATTGCTTGGCACTTTCGTCGTGGGTTTTACAATTGGGGTTGGGGCAGGTACACCCGACTTGAGTCGAGCTATCTCTCCATTTAGCAGTCGTCTGATCCATCTGCCATCAGAATCATTATTAGCATACGGCATTGCTGTTTTACACGTGGCGATCGTCAAGGTTCCGGTCTTCAGTATAGCTTCCACCACGTCGGTTTCTGATTGCAGTATGGCGTCCACGATTAGCAGGGTCCCGCGGCGGTTGCGAACGTTTACATTTACACCGTGCTCAATGAGTGACCAGAAAAAATCACGCCGGTCGAGACGACGAGCGAGAAAACATAAGGGCTCTCCATCGAATCCAAAGGAGTTGGGATCGGCTCCATGTTCGAGAAGATATTGCACAGTTTGATTGACAAGCTCGTAGCTTTCATCTTTAGAAGAAAGCATAGCCTGTTCAAGGAGTTGGCTACCATTGACTTTGACATCGATCTCACAGTCATATCTCTGTTTTATCGAATTGTATCAGTAATGTCCTCGTCAAATGTGATCAGCACCACTTACATCTATACAGAGTTTGGCTAAGGAAAGAGAACCAAAGTGGAAAGCAAGTAAGAGCGGTGTATACCCTTCTAGATCTGACTGGCTTTCTGGCATTAGAGCTTGGACTCTGGAATGGATGTTGGCACCACGTTGAATCATTTCCGCCAAGATTGTACGGTTCTTCGCCTGAATCGCTTTGTGCAAAGCCGTCATACCATTTGCCATCCGGTAATCGACCACATCTGCGCCACGATTCGCTAGATCTATGAAGATCTTCGATTGCTTTGCATGACCCATGCTAAGCCCCCACGAATATGCAAGAATCGAGATATGTGGACAGGCAGGCTCGGTGCTTTCGTCATCATTGCAATAGTACGATAGGCTGTTAGGGTCGAGACCAGAATCCAGCAAATATTCAATTATCTCTGGGATATCCGATTCTTCAGCTCTGCGAAACCATTCGGTAATTCTGGCTCTACGCAACCATTCGGATATATCCGCTTCCCGCAGCAGTTGAGAGATCTCGGGGTGTGCCGTTTCTAAGCGCTGTGTGAACTCAACATGTTGCCTCACAGCATGTACGAAATTACTTGGTGATATCCAATCCGTAGCATGTAGCTTTGGCAGTGTGACAGGATATGCAATTGGAGCCATTGTGGGCCCGGGAGACTTTGTGGCTGTGGTTGTGGAGGGTGGAAATATGTGTGTTTCCGATTTTCTACCCAGGGACTCGTTCATTGTGGGGAGATTATTGATCTGTTCTCCGGGAATGGTTAACAACAACTCTTTCGCGTAAGCAGCTGCTGTACCAGCTGCGTATGCTTGCCATGTCTTGTTCTTGTGCGAATCCGCGTAGTCACAGATTCCACGAATGACAAGACATTCAAAATGATTCATTAGACCTGCTGCCTCCATTTCAAAGCATAGAATGCCACCCAACATCTGACTAATTCTGTCTCTTTCAAGTCCATCCTTGATCACTTTATTTCCGGAAGCAATGTTGCCATAGTGCACCAAGACTTCACGCCCCTGTTGTCGTTGCGGCCGCTGCACTATCATATCTCGTGAGCAGTTGCGACATGTCTGACCTCCTTCAGAATGATTGTAATCGGAGGAAAACAGGACATCTTCGGTCGTTTGATCGCGGCGGAAGATATTGCTTCGTGCAAGGCTCTCGAGTTGGGCCATGTGATGGTGCATATTACTCAAGCCGCCTGCCTCGTTTGCCTTCATCAGTGCGATAGCGCTGAGCAAGATGGTCGGTGGCGAATTAAGTTGCGCAGTTCTGAGGAAGCCACCCGGCGTGACTTTGCCCATATCGTACTGTATGACACCACCGAAAGTTCCCAAGGGCTGGCTTACAACCACGTCCCCGAGCCGAACGCTGTTCATAGCCTCCGCATTGGAAGGTACCCCGCCTCCGATGCCAACCATCAGACCGAACTTAATGTTTGGGAATGCGGCGCGCGTTTTCGATGCAACGACTGCAGCAGGGCTGATACCCATCTGTCCAGCTGGTAAACCTGTATCGTGGGTATCAAGTCAGCTATAATCAGACGGGAACGTTGTAGAGGCTCGATAAGTTAAGCTGCGTGAAGAGAATGACGGACATGCGACTACAATATTGTGCCATGCGACTGAGCCCAGTGTGAAGATGCAGCCTCCCGTCTCGTATTGTTCGTGTACTTCGTCTAGTACCCCTCTTGCCGCCGCCAGCTCGATTGGTATTGCGCAAAGCCATCCCACCGTGTATTTGTCGTGCTCTGGCCGCCGTGCCATTGCCAGATTAATTTTTGAGAAAGAAAGCGAAAGATATGATGAGAAATGAACAAACACAGCGTATGAGGGTGAGGTGGAGGAGAGGTGAATGTGGGAGGTTCGTGAGGCTGTGCCTGCTGTCCTACAGATAAGTTCAGCCTCGTAGCTGGCCTGCCTTGGGCCGACTGGAATAAATGAATGCCAAGCATAATAATACGATATGACTGGTCCTCTACGACGTAGACATCTGTCAACATATGTACATGCATTACAAGGGCGGGTCCACCCTAGGATCAGCTATCCACACTCACTCAAGATTTTACATCATGCCTGGATCCTATTAACGTCATGTAGAAACTATGTTGAGATGCTATTTAACGGGGTATCAAAGTACATCTATAGAAAGAGCAGTTGTCACCCTATCCTTGGGTGGGCCCTTCCCTGCAATGCGTGTATATTCACACATTTACTCGTGAGACAAGATACGCGTTGCCCTTCATCCATCATCAAACGAGCAAAATGCAATTCCATGAGCAGAAAAGAGTGTATAGGTTGTTAGAGGATGAGGCGATATTACTACACAACAACAGACTATACTAGTTTCGTAGAGTTTGTAATCATAAATCAGGAGTAGAGGTAGACGAGAAAGCAGAAACTCCAACACGGAAGCCAAAGATATGTACCCTGAAAAGTGATGACGATCAGATGGAAGTCAGAACGGATGAAAAAATAATCAGAGGCAAAGTGAGCACATGCTGATAAACATCATGAAAGAGTAATTCATTACGTTTCCCCAGGTACTTCGTCATTCTCACTGTCCATACCCATCCACCCCGAAAAGCCGACCGTCGTCTATATTTATGCATTAAGAAAAGAAAAAGGTCAGGCATTTAAAGCGCCACCCGCCCACCATGATCATGAAAAGGACCGCGCCGCGCTAGAAGAAAATGCCACACAACACATCGATCGACAAATAAACACCCTAATCAGACAAATCCGTCAGCGACGCGTCGCCTCGATAGCCTTTTCCAGCCCGACGATCCTCAAACTCTTGCCGCGACCTAATTTGCCGCTCATGAGCCCAGCAGCGGGGATCTTGGTATCGCTCCAGAAGCGGAACACGGCCTTCATGTCGCGGGGCGTGCCTTCGAGGACGATGGTGGAGATGGGCATGAAGGGACGGTCTTCCTCCGAGACAGCGAGCATAGTGTACTCTTGCACGAACATGAGCGCCGTGGAGAAGGCAGCGGCCTGGCTGCGCGCGAGGGAGCCCACGATACTACATAGTCAGTCAGCAATAGAACTCCCGGTTATACGAAAAGTAACAGGAAGGAAAACTTACATGTACGTTTCGAAAAAGGCATCCAAAACGTAGATGTGCTCGGGCTCCAAGTCTCGCTGACAGAAGGGCATGACCTCGACCACTTTGGTAGTCGACGGCGGTGATTTGGGTGTTGCGGGCGTCTGCGGAGGTTCAGTTGATTTGTTCCATGATGGTCGCCGTAGCATCGCTGGCAGGTACGAGCTCACCTGGAGGCTAGCCCATCCCGAGGATTGCTGCTGCTCGAATCTAAACAGACGAGGTCGGTAGCGGTCTGCCGTTGCCTTGTATCGCCAGTGGTCTGCTGAGCGGGGAATGGCGGGACCTTTGCCTTCGGCCGGGGGGAAGAGACTGATGAAATCTTGGGACTCGGAACCCTCGTCGATTTCCAGGTTCATCTCACCCGTCGGGGCAAGATCCATGCCCATCAATCGAGCGGCGGAAAGCTCTTCTTGTGAACAGCCCCGACCTTTCCACAGATACACCTGATCAGATTGCGTCGAGATGATGAATGCGTAGCCAGAGCATAGACTCTTGAGATTGTAGTCAACCTCGTCAAAGGCAACGTGGCCTAGATGGCGACGTCCGCAGAGCATGTACTCCTTGGGTGCTGGGCGAGCTCGCCTTGTGATTACTATACCACCAAGTGCGTCGAAGAAATTCGGTGTCTCCTTGCCTTGTCGCATGTGTACAAGCTTCGCCTGATTCTGCTTCGCATGATTGCGTGCAAAGACTTGCACATCGTCTACGACGGATTCTGGGACATCATCTCCAGACCAGAGATAGGCATCCGTCACCCTGGCACCTTTCGAATCACCAAAAGTGTGAATACACAGGTACATTGAATCCTGGTAAAGAATGTGTTCTTCCTGCACCGGGATCGATATCAATTTACCGTCCCCGGTGACTTCGTGAATCTGCTTGCGCAGTGTTCTGATCTTGCCGGATGGTTTGAGATCGAAAGGAGGGTTTTGGAGAATATGATAGGTATCAATGTTGTCAGGTAGTTGACCCGTCGTGACTGGGGGCTCGTCGAAGAATTCGTCGAAAAGTCCTTGCGGCTTGTCTGGTGCGGGTGATGCTCTGAACGGTTCGGACTGCGGCCTTTCACTGGTGACGGGTGGTGAGATGGGGGATGGTTTGGCAGAAAACGGTTTTGGTGGGCTCGACTCTCGTAATTTTGACGGTACAGCTCCACCCAACCCCATGCCACCTAGGCCAAGCCCGACCGGTTTCGGCTTCGGGGTTTGGGTTCTTTGCTGCAACGTATCGAGCGTTCCTGGATTTTGCCTGAGACCAGCATTTTCCATGGCTGCCTCTTCATCAGCCTTGGTGGGCAGTTTTATAGGAGATTTCACTGGTGTCGATGCTGGAGAAGACGCGGTGGACCGCCTACCCCACGACGCAGATACATTACGCACAGAGAATGGAGTCTTTTCTGCCGCCGGAGTTTCGTCTTTCTTCTGTGAGGAGCCACTGTTTGGCGGAGAAATTTCCTGTAGAGCTTTGGGCACTGGCTTGTCTGGAGAATTAGGAGAAGATCCTTGCCTTCTTGTAGCCCACGATGGTGATTGTGATGGTGAAGGTTGTGGACTGTGGAGCCTCGCTGCCAGGGGTGACTTCTTTGGTGTCATAGAGATGCTTGGGGAAGGCTTGTTCTCAAGCTCTAACGAGGCAGGCTTCTTCGGGGGCTCGGGCGTGGGCGATTTTTCAATTTTCTGGACTAACTGCGGAGATTTCACGGGTGTCTGAGGTTTCGCTTTGAGGGAGTCCCTGGCTGGCGTCCTGGTCGTTGGGGGATCCTCTGGGGTATTGTTAGTCTTGTAAGACCCAGGACGTGAACTTGGAAGTACGTGCTCCGCTTTGACCAGTGGAACCGCACCTGCTGGAGCCACTTTTTCTACAATTGCTTCCGTCGCTGTCTCGGTCTTTGCAGGAACGTCGCTCGGTTTGGTGGCCTGTTTGGACGTGGGTGTCCTCCTCTTCGGGCCGCGTGCTCTGCCTTTAGTCATATGAGTCAGCTCTGGAGCGGGACCTGGCTTTTCCTCCGAGGGTGATTGAGTAGTCGCATTGCCTCCAGAGGAGCCTGGATTTGTAGCCATTGGTGGCGGGCCTCTCGCAAGTAAACCAGCCAGCCCGGGATTGAAGCGATCAGCAAACTTGTTTGGTTTTGCAGGCTCTTTGGATACGGGAGAAGATTCTGGCAGCACAGGCTTCTCCGGGACGACGGGTTTGCTGGCACGCATGCTCTGTATCTTTGCGAGAGCTTCAGGTGTAGCCTCCCTCTCCCTCTCCTTGGGAGGAGGAGGAGCTTTTGATATGGAATCGGAGCGGCCTAGGTTCCTTCTCATGGCTAGTGCTTCTGGGGTGGGTGCAGACTTCGCGGAGCTATCCGTTCTCTTCAGAGCAGAACCCTCTTCCTGTGCTTTGGCCAACATTGCCGTTTTCTTGCTCACAAGACTGTCGCGAAATTCGTCGCGGTGAACGTACGGTCTTGGTCCACCGGTGACCGAGAGACCACGTTTTCCACGCATTATGTTATCCTTGAATGTATCGGGAGCAACATAGTTTTTTGTTTCCGTCTTTTTGAGTTTCCCGAACACGCTCTGAAGCTCCGACACTTCGTTCTTCTTGGAGTCATCCGCGTCGATATTTCGTGATCGAAGACTTGCACGGAAATCCTTCTTTACAGGCGTCTCGGGTTTAGGTTTAGCCGCGGCAGGTGAGATTGGAGAGTCTTTGCTAAATCGGGCAGTCGATGACAGCGGTCTCGAAGTAATTTCAGGAGTAGCCTCCTCCGGAGCCGAAGAGACTTCGTTATCGTTTGGCGTCTCTTCTGCATTGGGTTCTGGTTTAGCAGCCAAAGAAGGTTTCGGAGAAAGCGCAGGCTTGGTTTTGGGCGAAGGTTGGGCAGGTTTTGTTAAATCTGAATCCAGAGGTTGCTCTTCCTTCTTTGGAGATTCAGGCCTTCGCAGGCTGACGGGTCGTAGCTGTACATCTTTGAGGGGAGATGTCCTTCCGGAAACCGGTGAGTCGGCAGAAGGGCTTTGAAGAGGATTCCCCTTGCCGAGATCCACGCTGCCGCGCTGCTGTTTGATCCGACTGAGCTCGCTCATCCAGGCAGGCTGCAGGGGTGGGGCCTGCTTCATCTTTGGCGATTCAGGCTTGCTCAGAGCGCTTTCCAACCAACTCGACTTGGTAGGGCTCCACCTCTTTGACGGACTCGATGCTGATGGCTCGTCATGTTGGCGGGTGCTGTCGCTGAAGGTGGACGCAACCGATTTGCTTCGGCTGTGACGTGGACGTGCAGGCTTAACAAATTCCTCTCCGGAGGTGCGATCTGCCGCGTCTCTCGAGTCTCTGGACATGGGCCGATTGTTCGAGCTGGAACCAGGGCGTGATGATGGCTCCATTGAATTGTCGCGACTCAAAGTGGCGGGTCGAGTTTCGGGTTTGGACAGGGTGCTGCCGTACATGCTCGCCCTGTTGCTCAGAGTAGAGTTTTGCCTGGACGGAGACGGAGGGGCTTGGGTGCTCCAGCGCTTGCTCACACTGTCGCTGCGCTTCAGCATGGCACTCTGTACAAAGCCCCCCATGCCTTTGGTGGGGGACGTAGACCTCTCGCGTTCGGGTGATATGCGCCCTTGAGTGGGCGACATGGCCAATGCCCGAGCAGAAGTGCGATCATTGTCTCCATCGTCCACAGCCGATTCGTGTTCCGAAGGCGGAGCAAACTTTTGAGCCTCCAAAACCGGCAGAGGCGATCTGACCCGTTTTGAGGGATCAGAATCTGATGTTGCTGTAGTGGACAGGCGATTGCTCAAGATGGCGCTACCACGGCTTGAGCCGGCAGAGCGAACACTTTCGGGTGGAGGGCTTGTCGCATCAGGTTCGTTTGTAGATTCGCGAGACATGCCCGGAAGCTGCCTTCTCCCAGATGGAGAGGTTGCAGCAGAAGGGTCGCTGTCTTGGCTCCTCCTGTATGCGGCGGACCCAATGCCCCGGTCTGAAGTCTGTTTGAACCACGAAGGGTCCTTCGCGCCGAGCGATTGGGCGATGGAATCTCGAGAGGGTGCGGGTTCGGGGGAGGACTCGGGGGAGCTGACAGGTGGAGCATCTGCAGATGGAGAGGCCAGCGACAGAGGGCGGCGAAGTGAGGCAGATTGCGGTCTCCGCTGCTGCCATGAGAGTGTGCCGGATCGAGACAATGCTGCAGCATTGGGGGCAGGCTTCTTGGGCTCGTCGTCCCGGAGGAGCTGTTCGGGCTCCATGGCGGGTGTGGGGGTACGAGAGGCGGCTTCTTGAACAGCGTCGGCGGTGGTGGAGGACTGCGGCGTGGTGGGTTTGTCGGGGGAAAGAGAGCGGGCGCGTTCTGTGTTGGGCGGTGCCGTGTCAGCGAGATAGATATCAGAGTGGAGACGGCGTAAACATCAACAAACAAGCAGCAAGCAAGCCAGCCAGCAAGCAAGCAAGCACAAGGAAAACAACGAAGGGGGTAGAAGGAATTGGAAGAGGACGGATTGGCATTAGCATGTGCATGTGCATTTGCTATTCTGTGGGTAACATGAACGTACCAGCTCGGCGGGCAAGGCGTTCGCTGCGGCTTTTCAGCAGGTCTTCTTCGAGCTTTTTGACCCGTTGGGTGTCTTGGGAGTCGCGGAGGTCAGACATGGTGCGCATGCGCTGCAAAAAATCTCCCACCTCTTCGGGCATGGCGGGAAGAGCAGACAAGAGAGACAGGCGCCGGTGCCGAGGGATGGGATGGGATGGATAGCGGTAGTGCTTGTATTATCGGCGTGGGGAGTGGGTTCAGGTACAGGTAGTGTGTATATTACAGGCGGGCTTGCCGTCCAACCGCCTCTACCTATCCTATGTATATAAGTACTTGGGTAGTTTTGTTTGAAATCACGTCAGGCGTGTCAACAAGCCGGCGGCGAATGCAAATGAAAAGTAGAGCAGCGCAATGGACCGTGAGCCCGACCTGAATCTTGCGAGGACGGGTGGACGGGATGGGCGAGGTTGTTTTACACTCCACACTCGAGTGCTCGGCTGCGAGAATTACGTGACCCTGCTTAGTGCACATGCACCCCTGTCCATTGCATTCGAAGATTGTTTCAATCCAATGTGAAACGCAATCCACAAGATGATGAGGAGGAGGAGGAGTTCTTGCACAGCGTTGCTCAGCAGCGACGGAGAGGGGTAGAGCACTCGCAGCATGCTGTATACCAAACTCCCCCAGACGATGTAGATGCAGACCGTTGTATCATCATGCCCCCGATTGTTTGTTTGTTTGTTTACTGGAGCATCTATTTGTTTATACACCAGCCCACGAAGGAAAAAAAGACCGTTGCTCAGTAGTTCGACAGCCAAGGTCAACCGGTACCAACATGGACCCGCCCGAGGTCCAAACAGCCCGTCATCCATCTCGTCCACGGTACAGTCGCCAATCTGCCCCATCCTTGCTTGGCCAGCACATCCAGACGGCGCATCAGGGTTTCCTTGCTTCAATACAGGAACAGCCGATTTTTGGCGTCTTGCACCACCCACTGCAGCCCCTCGTGCAGGCTCATACCCGTCATCGCGCTGCACGCCAGAATCGTCCACTTGTGCGTCTGGATGGCGTCCAGCCGTAAGCCCTGTTGTGCGTTACTGAGCCCGTCGTTCAATCACCAATTGGCCCGCCAACCTCGATCCCATGTAGAATGAATGCTCAATACACACCTGTCGAACTTCGTCTTCCGTCATCGCTCCGCTCACGTCGCTCTTGTTCTTGAACACCAGCAAACTGGCTCCCGTGAGCCGCTGTCGTCCGTCAACACTCTGTCTCGCTTTGGTGGACCAAACCCGCTACCGACCTACCTCTTCCAGCAGCAGGCCTTCCAGTTCGACCCGGCAGTCGTCGATGCGTTCGCGGTCCGTGGCGTCCACCACCCAGATCAGCGTATCAGTCTTCTCAAAGTAGTTTTTCCAGTACGTTCGCAGCGTCTTCTGCCCTCCCACGTCCCCTGCCATCCTTGCGTCAGTGAAGCGCTTGCTAGCCTTCTTTGGGTCGGTATTACATATGTTCAACTTGTACCCATCGTATTCAATCGTCTTGATGATGAACCCTAGAGTCGGGCTGACGCTGTTGACATCTTCGTTCATAATCTTCTTGACAATCGTCGTCTTTCCTGCATTGTCCAACCCTCTTCACTGCTGGTTAGCCAGCCAGCCTTGCATCTGCCTCCGCGTCACTCACAGCATCAATATTCTCATCTCTTTGTCTTTCAGCCGTGCTTTGCGCAGTATCGACAACATCTTGTTTCGTTTCCCAGAATCGTGATGTCCAGGAGTTGTATCGATGCGTCAAGGCAGCCACTCATCTGCGTGTGGAGCTTCTAGTAGCCCTCGGCTAAACTTGCCTCATCAGTTTACTCTCTACATAAGTCGCTGTATGCGGCCAGAGGTACAGGGCAAAAAAATGATTCTTTGCATTTTCAACTGTGAGTCAAGACAGCCATGATTGGTGAGGTGAGTTCGGCTGGTCAAATCACAATAGCTCAATAACTACAATAAGTGAGACGGGACAATATGATTGTCCACTGCACCCATCCACCTGGTCCTCACCTTTACCTTCACCCCGACATCGACCTCCTGCTCACCCCCTCTCCCCCTCCCCCGTATATAATCTACGTCTCTTCTCCCATTGTCTCCTTCCTTCCCTCTTTCTACACATCTCCTCCGACACCTCTCTTTCCACTGACGACACTGGTCTGTCGCACCCCACATCCCACCCACGATATAGTGGTCGCGCCTACCCTACTACACATTCCACGTTTTCACATCTTCCCACCTCGTATCCTCACTCGCCAGACACGAAAAAGGCAGTCCTGGACAAACTATTGAGGTGCCAACCATGGCTGAACTAAATGCACAGATCAAGCCGCCCTCCAGTGGCTATGTCCCTCCTTACAAGCGCAAAGGGTATGTAATGCCTCTTCTGCGCGGCAAGACGGAACAGCCAGAGACAGAGAAGCCGAAGACAGAGCAGCCAGAGATGGAGCAGCCGAAGACTGCACAGCCAACTGCGGACGACGACGAAAAGAAGGCCGACGTCGCACACGCGAGCCCAGCTAAACCCAGCGCCGAAAAGGCCACCCCCAACGGCAAGAATCTCCCCAATTCCTCACCTCGGACGTCTGCTGGTACAGGCGATGGAACCAGTGAGCACAATTGGACTGGATGGCATTCTTCTTCCGGTCCACCCAAGCCTGCTGGCTCTGTCAAGACTGCGGCTACTTCCAAACCTACCCTATCTCAAAAATCTACTCCTTTCAAGACAACACACAAGGATAATGCTACGCCAGCTGGATCTGCCAAGAACCGAGCTTCTCCCAAGCATGTCTCCTCTCAAAGATCCACGTCTTCAAATGCGCCTGCTGTACCTCCCATGCCTCAAAAGTCCAGAAGTCCTATCGGCAAACCCTCTCAACCTGCGTCAATGTTCCCATCACACAACAAAAACAAGGCCTCCCGCGTCCATTCAACAACACGCTCGCGCGCATCAATTTCCACGAACAAAGCTCAAGCAAAAAAGGAGAAGGAGGCACCCGAAATTGTAGCCTGGGGCTCGGCAACCATCAAGGTTGATCCGCGCCTTGAGAATGCAAAGGAAATCGTTGGCGAGTGGAACAACGAGTCCAACGTCCCAGCTTGGGGAATTGACCCTGACTTTCCTCAAGCACTGGACGTTGACTATGATACAATGATGAAAAACCACGAAGCTGCCATCGAGCACGTGAGCAAACATGGGCCTAAACCGGCTAGAAGCTCCCATTGGAAGGCCAACAAGACGGGCAAGCGGCCTTTGAGGGGCGAGAAGGGGCAGCATCTCTTTGGCAATCCAGACCTGGTGAGCTATGGTAAGTGGGATGAAGACAAACCTGAATCTGACCACGACGATCCCTACTATGATGTCAAGAAGCTCGCCGGTTGGGATGGTAGATTCCAAGCTCCACCTGAGGATTGGGCCGCAAGGGATCGAAATGTGTTCAGTCAAGACAAGGTGGTTAACCAGGTTTGGATATGGATGCTTACCCTGGACGATGAAGCCTGCACTCCCGACTTCACTTCTTTCACAATCGATATGCAGTTCAAGAACAATCAAGAGCTTGTCTCAAAGACATGGATTCTGGACAAAATAGAAGGCCAAGACCCTCGACTATTCTGGAATTCATTCGTATCGCGTTGCCCCAGCCCAGTGGACACTGAGGACCTGAAGGACTCAGAAAATCGACCATATTGGGAATTATACGACAAGACGAGCCCTTTCATGCCTGAAATTGTCGCTCCCAAGGCTGTACTTGATCAAAGCGACTTCAACAATCGTCACAGCCGTGCCCTCACAACGGCGAACGAGCTGGTTCTGCGATGCAAGAAGCACCATCTGGCTAAGATAGAGCTTGCCCACGCGTCTGAACCAATTTTCACCCCATTAGAGCAGGATGCCATGACACGCCAAGCCCAGAAAATGATCCAGATTCGACAGAAGACCGCTCTTAAAGAGCCCGAGGAGGTGCTCGCTGATTCCAAGGCCATTAAACTGGAATCAAATGTCTATCTTCGCCCAGTCAGGCCTTCTGATGTTGTCAGTGTCCTTGAGCTGTACAATCATTTCGTGGCCGAGACTATCAGTGTTCCTGAGTTTCAGCCAGTGAAATTTGAGCACATGGTTGATCGCGTCAATACTGTCACTTCACAGAATCTACCCTATATCGTCGCCGTGGCCAAGAACTACAAACCTCCTAAAGGCGTCTGCGTGTCAGAGAAGGTTGTTGGCTTTGTCGCACTAGATGACTTTTGCGGCAAACGCAGCATGTATCGCTACACATTTGAACTCGAACTCTTCGTTCATCCAGAGTGGCAGAGACAACACATTGGAAGCTGTCTCATGGACTGTCTGCTTAATTTGGCGTGCAACAGTTACATGCCTCGAGGAGGCTACGAGTACCTGAAGCGTGACGAGTATCTTAAGAACGGCATTGGTCGGGCTGTTAAGGTCATTAAGGCAGAGGTCGCTGCAGATTGCCGCAAGAAGCCCCAGTGGGTGATGGATTTCTTCGGGAACTTTGGATTCCGCAAGGCTGGACACCTGCGCGAGGTCGGATACAAGTACGGTCAGATGTAAGTCCAAAATCACCAATCTTGTCGTTATGTGCATGCTAACATGAATGAAACAGCGTCGATATAGTCAACTTCCAGTATACGACCGACGAAACAATCAACAAAGACCTCAGTCCGGAACTCTGAGTAACGCCACCGTTGTCAAATAGGAGTATCAGGATGTCAGCTTAGTCCTCGCCTCTAAGATGGACAATCTCGTGTACTTGTGTACCTCCTCACAGAATTGTGGACTGTGTTGGGAAAGATGATTCTCATGACGGACCGATTCTACTCTGTTGATCAAACCTGGCCATTATTCACGGCGGCAGATCTTGAAGATCCAAAGCAACCGGGCCGCAAAAAGTCCAAGTGTGACTCCCTTCATACCCTTTCTTTTGTGCTTATCTGCGTGCTTCCCCCCACCCCCCGAGGATTCAAATCTGGCTTTGAAAAAGTCTCTTCAAGGTTGTTTTTCGGGGATTCTCCTTTCTTGTTCTTTCGTTTGGCTTATCTTCTTTTCTTCAACTGCGGAAGAAGACCTCCTATCTCCTTTGTTTTCTGCCTTTCGAATGAAGGGGAAGAACATGAAAGAATGGACGCCAAAGTACATTCGTTCGAGATTATGGATAAGGGGATTGTATTGTGTCTCTCCAAAGAATCATGTAAATCACAAAAAAAATCGGATAAAAGTTTGGAAATTTTGTGTCTTGTCAATGTAGTGTACCGTGGTAAAACGCGTGAGCCATTCTTGTCTTGGTGGTTGTGATGAGCTAGTGATTCCAATTATCAAAATTTTTGTTAGATACGCCAAGAGAGAATGGCGATGTGTAACTTGGAAACAGTATCTTCGATGAACGGATACAAGGACCTCGAGAATGTTGGGTTCTACTCGTTTTTACCATCTACCCAGCTTTCCCTCTCCCGCCCCAGACTCACAAACGGGTATGCGGCACAGATCCACTGATATCAGATATCTTGAACCCACGCTCACACATGAACACAGCAGCATCAAAAGATCCAAACAGAAAAGAAGAAGTTTGATTCACCACAAGCATACCTAAACCCAAAGAGCACTCCAAGATAGATCCCCCCCAGCCTACGCACCCCCATCCCTCCCCTCTCCCAACAAGAAGAAAAGCATGAACACGAAAGAAAGTAAGCCTAAGCCCAAAGCCCACTAACAGTCTCCACCCCCCTCTCAACAACAGCCCTAACCCTAGCTTTCAACGGATTACTAGCACACTCTACGTCCAAATCCTCCAGCCACACACGCGCCGCGTACTTCCCATCGAACCTTATCTCCACGCCTGGAACCGGGATACCGAGATTGTTCAAACGTTTGAGTTCTGCTGTATCCGCTGCGTCGAGAGTAACGCCTTCTGGTTTCTCTGCATCCTGCGCTTGCTCGCCGTCGCCATCGCCGTCGGAGGATGAGGAAGAGGTGGTGGGATCCGGTCCAGCAGCGACGCTGACGGGGGGTGTAGACGGCGCTTCTGTGACCGTGGTGGTTGGTTTCTGCGCTGGGAATTTCGGACCCGTTGCGGAGAGGGGAGGAAGCGAGGTGGAGTTGCGTGGGTAGGGGATAGGAGAAATTGCGTCTTCACCGAATTGGGCTTCAAGGAAAAGAAAGAGGCGGGCGAGACGTGTGGAGGGGTCTGGGGTGCGGTGGGGGTTGGGTGCTTTGAAGCGGTGGGAGAGAGTTGACGGTTTTCCACTGGCGTCGTCGTCGTCGGAGAGTTTAGTGTGAGAGTGAGAATGTTGGCGGGAGGATTCTGTGTATTGTGTAAGCGGGAATCGCACAGCTTTTGAGGCAAAAGAGGGGAAGATAATGATGATTAACTTACGTCGAACTGCTGCAGGTGAGCTTTCAACTGTGAAGAGCACAGCTAGAACAGCGTCAGCAATGCCGTCGTTGATCACGTTCCCTTCCCATTCTACTTCTACTTTGCCGCCAGGTCGGCATAGCACGTTGACGCAATCCATAACAGTGTACTTCACGGTCGTTCTGCTGACTTCCTCGTCGGCTTTCTCTTCGTGCACGCCGTCACCATTGACTGCTTTGCCATCGATGGCGCTGTCGCTGATGTTTTGTTCTTTGATGGCGCCAAAGGTGCCCTCAAGCGCCCATCGAATGAGATCAACGCCAGCGGCGCTGAGCGTGATGTGCTGCCGGCAAACGATCGTGGTAGTCGTGAGACCAGCGTACTCTTTCAAATCTTCGGGCGCCATGAGAGAAATCTTGAAGTCGTTCTGCACGAGAACGCCTTCGAGCAACGTCAGATCCTGGGTAGCCTCTTCGTCGTCTATGTTCTCTTCGCCGTTGGCTTCGTCCGACTTGGATCTTGGGACAGGTGGCGGTATGGAGGCGAGCTTCCCAACCACCTTGGCGATTTTGTCTGTTTTGAAAGGGATGCGGAGCTCCTCACAATTTCCGGGCGAGAAAATCTTGACGGGGACGGAGCGATGCGCGTTGAAGCTAAGAAGTTTAGACTTCAGGCGCGTCATATTACCTTTTTCGCCGTGGACTAGGATCTGTAGTACGATTAGTCAATTTGCGAGGAACCCGAGTGGACAACAGCAACTCACCACAACTGGAGCATTAACTTCTTGCACAAACTCCATATTCTCTTTTCCGTCGACGTGCGCGGCAAAACTGTATTCCTGGATCGTACATCGGCGGGGGATCATGATCTGCTCGCCTTCCTTTTGGCCGGGTCGGCGCGCTGTGTTCGTGTTACGTGTAGTGATCGCTGGAATCTGTTCCGGTTCGTGAACGATATGCTTTGCCATTGTTCCTTCGACTGAATAACCAGTTATGATGACTCCGTTGCGGGGATCTGGAGCCCATCGCTCGAGAAGCTCGCGAGACGTGCCGGACTGCATCATACCAGGCGACGCCAGCATGACGCAGCCGCCCATGTCATCAAAACGATCCAACGACTTCAGACTTCGTACGAAGCGGAAGTCCCAAGGCCCTCCTTTACCAACGTCGCCCGCTGCTTCGGCCTCGGCCATGCGCTCGCGAAACATGCGCTTGATGTTGTCATTCATGGCAGAAACGTAGGTCTGGTAAACCACCATACATTTCCGAGCTAGACTGGAGTTGTAATAGATAGGAATCTTCTGGTACTCGGGATGTTTGGCCCAATACTCATCCAGAATAAGAAGCAACTCTTGCGCTCGCCCAAGGGCAAAGACAGGAAGCAGAGCACGACCACCGCGGTTCAGTACGTCGGTGATGGATTTCATAAGTTGTGTTTCCCGCTGTAACCGTGGTGTATGCGTAGAGATTCCAAATGTCGATTCCGTGATTAGGACGTCAATCTTGACGTTCTTAGGAATAGACGCAGATACCAAATGCCGATCATCTTCTCTCGAGTAGTCACCCGTGAACAAGATGTTCAAACCTGCAATCTCGATCTGGAACATGGCGGCTCCCAGAACATGACCAGCAGGGTATGGTGTTATCCTTATTCCAGCAATCGTATGTGTAGTATAGAAATCTATGGCCTCGATTCTTGGGAAGGTATTTAGATGGTCTTGTTCTGTGTACATCTGGACCTTCATCTCCGAAGAGCTCGATATATTTCCGACACGCACGGAGTCTTGTATGAGCCATTTGTATATAGCTTTGGTAGGATGCGTCATGAAAACGCGGCCCTTGAAGTTGGTCTTTGCAAGAACATAGGGCAATGAGGCGGCGTGGTCGACGTGGAAACTTTCGAGAGTTAGTAATTGGGACAAATGCTGGGTTGGAGGATTCTTTGTATGAACGAATGACAGAGATCCAGAAGAAGGCATCACCGCGGTCGAACAGATATGAAGCAAATATATTCCATTGTTTTTCAAGTACAGATTCGAGGGTTCCTCCATGTCCGACAGCAGTGATGCGCCCGTCCAGTCCCCCACAACGCCAGAACAAGCAAGAGAGAAAGAAGATGAGTCATTTCAACACTTACTGTGAGATGAGCAGGAGGTCTACAGTGCTGAGATCAAATTCATCGTAGAAAGGCATGGCGGCCAGGCCTTCGTGAGCAGGGTGCATACCCGCATCGAGCTACTTTTCGTCAGCAAGATTGTATGGTACATGTTGCGGGGTCCATGACATACCATGACCGTTTTGCCTTTGTATTGAAGAATGTGACATGACCGCCCGACCTCATTACCGCCACCAAGACACAGGAACAAGAGCTCATCGGAAGGATCTACAGGGTCATCGTCGGCACCCATCGCGTCATGTTTTCTCTTTGCTGATGCCATGGCTATATCGCAAGCCTAGATATGTATATTAGGAGTGATAGCGGACTGCGTGCCGTGCGGAGTGCGTAGCTGTATATAGCCAGGCCAGGTGAAGGCGGCGGAATGCGCGACGGGTGGTGCACTACAGAGCTCAGAAGACTGTCGTTAGTAGTAAGTGGCTGAGACAAGAAGTACAGCAACCGTTTGAGTGAGTCAACGTAGTGATGCAGTGATTGAACCAGTCGTGAACAATCGGATCGGGTATATCGGTAGGTAGGGACTGATGCGACAAGCGGTTGTCTTGACGTTGACAAGTGAAGAAGGGAAATAGCTCCCTGCCCTGCCCTGCCTGCCATTGTCGCGTGAGTGCCGAGATTTAGCCGTGACCGTGCGGCGTCGTTGTCGTGCGCCTTCACCACTTCACCACTCCTTCAACCCCCAAAACCACCCCGCGTGTCTACACCCCTATCTATCCAACACCTCTCCTCTGCCATCCAGCGTGTTCTAGCGCGCGTCCGATATACCCTGCTTCGAAGCCGCCTCCACCCGCCCGGTCTACGCGCATCCGTTGATGATCCACCCATAAGGATTCGCGGCCGACGCCTACGCACACCTCTTCGGGGGAGAGCCAACGCGCTCGCTGCCTACCACCACCATGTCGCAGTACAACCAGTTCAATTCCACGGCCCAGGGTATGCCGCCGCTGCAGACGCAGAACCACATGCAGAACCAGCCGCGCGCCTACTCGCCCCAGTCCTACCAGCATTCCCCCGGAGCCCTCTCGCCCACCTCCACCGGCATCCCGCCTGCTAAGAGACAGCGGCTGTCGCCCGAATCCCCCGCATATTCACCCTATTCCGCCTCTCCATATGCGCCTTCGCCTTATGCCACCTCTCCTCCGGGCCAGCCCTATCACAGCCAGCCGGGCTCGCCGGCCATGGGTGCTCCACCTGTCCAACCTTTTCACCAACCTCAACCGTACCAGCATCCGAATAATGTGAACCATCAGCCAACGCCTCAGGGCTCGCTTATGCCTCCGCCGAAGGTCCCTTATAGTAAGACTCAGGACAATGCCGAATTGGAAAAAGCCAACCCCCGTGACATGGACGTGAATAATATCAGCGACGTTTTGACGGGGTCCGGAATCGATTTGCGCGCTGAAGAGGAGGCTATGCTGCACAATGTTGGCGGTCGGAACAACTACAATGCATCCTTCAATTCCCAGACTTCTGGGTCTACTATGTCACCGCATGGCAGTTTTAATCAGTGGGGGCAGCAAGCCGGCCATGGAGCTTTTCAGGGCACCGGTCCTCTAAGTCAGTCCGTTTCCGAGGAGCAGCAGCAGGGCGAGCTTTTGCGAAAACACGAACAGGCTGCACGTGCGCTGAATCAGTCGGCTGAGCAGCCGCTCCACGATCCATTTCTCATGGCAAACGCCCTCCGGCATCGGATGGCCAAACGCGCCTACGACCAAGGCGTATCCGTGAGCCTCGAAGGTTTGTTTGACAAAATCCCAGAAGCCCCCAGAGAAGTTTCGCGCACTGCGTTGCCCGGGTCTGATGGCGAAGCGATTGTAGTTCTACAGGCAAACAGTATTCTCAACAGAGATACCCCCCTCGTTGAACTCATCTCTCTAGTTTCTCTTGCCGCTCAAGAAAGGATACGTACTGTCCTCGAGGATGCTTTCGCTCTATCGCAGGGCCGTCAAAACACGTCTACCGGAATTGTCCCCCCGAGTTTCGCTGACATTGCCGTCGCAAACGGCGAAACGATCGAAAAGACCGTGGCGCCTGCAAACGTCACCAAGACCACCTGGGAAGCAGTACCAGATAGCGCGGTCAGTCCGAAGGCTAGCACTGCATCGAAGCGTAAGTACGGCCATGGCAGTTACGCACCCTTTGCTAAATATGTCCACAGACCCTCCAAATGCTGCTCGCTTGCCTACTCCTCCTTCTGAAAATCCATCCACCCCTAGACCTACAATACAAATCAAAACAAACCACGTGACCTTGGCACTCAAGCGCAAAATTGAAGAGGATGAGCGGTATGAAAAGATGCGCATCCAGAAACGTCAGAAACGCCAGCAAGGAAATTCCGCTACACCAGCAGACACTCCTGAAATTACCCCACTGCCCCTGCCTGAGAGGATGACCAAGAAGGAGCGCGATCGCCTCAACAAAGCTGGCCAAACTGACGAGGTTCTACATCAAGCAGCCAATGTTACGGCCAGTTTAGCTCTTGGGAAAAAGAAGAAGTATTCTTGGATGACTAGTGGCTCAGGATCCGGTGCAGCGACACCTAGTCGAATGAGCACCGCAGCCAAGGGACCCAGCGGTACCACTACACCCGCACCTCCTGCTGTTGATCGTAGCTTGCTAGCACGCCGGAGGCAATTTTTGGGTGGCGAAATGGAGAGCACAGATATGGGCAAGAAGATCCAGCTCCGAGATTTGGTGCATGTTCTCGAACACGATGGAAGGGAGCGCAAGACGTTGTCTCAAATACTATCACGAGTCCGTAGTGGAGACAAGGACGAGAAGAAGATTGAGGACCGACGCACTACTGCGGCGCCTCCGCCACGCTGAGCGAGCGACGGTTGAATGCTCAGCTCAGAACCTATGTTCACAGATGATGTGTAATCTGGTTTGTTTTCTTTGCTATGGGTGAAGAATGAAAAAGATTCTACTATTTCTATACTTTTTCCATCAGCGACGGCGTTTCTTCACTGTGGGGTAAGGTAATGTGGGGATTATTCGAACAGTTCGATTCCCGAGAAAATTAAGAATTTGTGGTGGAGGTTCTCTTGTATCATTTCCACTGCTGGGTTTCGGGTCCTTTTATCGGAGGATTGATGTGAAGAGACTTATTCTTTCTTCTTCTGGGACTCTCTTCCCTATGCCATCCACAAGGAACTCAGTGTTCTATGGGCGACGGTGGAGGGCATGGCACTTCTGAGCTGTTTGACTTATCAAAATAAACCCAACCATCTCCTCTGGTTATTGGGAATCTGTCGGGAATCGTATAATACAGCCCGATCAACAAAAAGAATGTAATGGATGTATCTCTGTAACGCAGTGCCCCACCAATCAGCCTGTCCCACCCCTCTCACCACACCTTCCTTTTTGTTCTGCGGGTCACAGATATACAATGGAAGCTCAGACCTGAATGAGAAAGTAATGATAAATCCGATTTCAAATTAGTGTTACAGTCTTCGAGATATTACGACAGAATACAGCGGTCAGGATATTATAGCATGATGTGTGACACTCGTTGAGTATGTGCATAGAGTCGTCTTGACCACGCGAGTGTAGTACAAGGACAAGAAGACCATATACCCTCGCCCAATAAGCGTGGTATCTTGACAAGCCATCAAAGCAACTCTGCCTATTTTTACCGACTTCATTCGAATTAGTAGTGGTTTACAGATACCGCAATGCAGGCTTATCATGACGGAGGGGGATTGAGATCCAGTCCTTCAACGCTCAGTTTGAAAGAATCCAATCTCCCATAACTTCCTGCGACATCCATGTCCAATCTTCCTCTTTCACAGTCCTCGAAATCGACTTCAGTAATGAGTAGCTCGTCTTCCTTTTCCCAGAGAGGACCAGAAAGCAGCTCGCCGAAGGGAGAAACGATGCATGACCCCCCGCGGGAGACAAAGTCGTCGTGGGCGGCATCAGTGGATGTCTGGGTTTGTATATTAGACAGTGGAGAAGGTTTCGAGACCTGTGATTGCTTGGTCGTAGTAGGTGAAGAGGGAGAAGAATCTATAGCAGAGGAGTCGCCGGCACCGTTGGAGAGACCTGATGTTTGGTCTTTGTTGTCGACGACAGGCCAGCAGATCTCGTGATGATCCTTTGTGACTGTGATGATACTTTGTCTTCTGTTCCTACCACCCCCGTTCTCCATCGAGGCCACTTTATCAGCTCCATTTTCCCCATGCCCATCAGCGCGAGTTTCCGACTTGGAACCATTGATCCATTCAGGCAACTGACTCTTCCTCACACACTGGTTCGCACTCAATACCACACACCTTCCCTCAATTCCAATTGTCCTCATCAAGCTCGCCCAAGTATCTCTGGCATCTGCAGTCGGGGCAAACCACAGATTCACATTCTGTGCATACAAGCTCTGCCGTAGCAAAGGCATGTAATTCTCCCAGCAGATGGCAGCCGCCATGCACAACCTCACGCCCTTGATCTCGGTAGTCACAGCTCGCAGCGTCGAAGGTGAGCCCTGCCCCCAGATCATGCGTTCCGCACCCGTGGGCATGACTTTTCGTCTCTTCCCCAAAACTCCTAATCGCGGGCACACATACACGACTCCGCAGTACAACGTCCCCGCGCACCGCTCAACCAATCCCGTGACGATGAAAACACCAGCTTCGCGCGCGATGCGCTCAAGCTCTTCGCGAACGCCATCACCGCGATACTTCTTCCCCGCAGGAAGCGGAAGTTTCCGGTCTATCCAGTCATCTCCCGCACCGGCAGGCGTATCGCCCAGATCGACGGCTGCGTGAAAGTACTGTAGGAATTGGTCTCGTCCTTCGGGAGTACGTCCTCCAACAGCATTCCCGAAGGAGCATGTTCGTGGATAGCCGCCGAGATAAGCTTCTGGGAAGAGGATGATGTCAACGCCTTGTTGCGCGGCGCTCTTTGTGGTCCTCTCTAGCGCGGATAGTGTGGAGGCGGTTGTGGAGAGGGTTCGGCTTTGTGCCGAGGCGAGTCTTAATTTTTGGGGCATTTCCGGCGGGAATGTGGCGGATGGAGTGTCAGATGTAGGTTTGGATGCTAACGTGAGTCGTAGAGATGTTGGGTGGTGAGTAATGCGTGAGGGGTGATGGAACTGTAGTCGGAGCTGTTTCCAGCTAGCGTATGGATGCGGGGAACATGCGGATCATCGTCAACGTCGTCAAAATTTCGCTCCCCATCTCAAATGGCGTTCTTTTTTTGTGTGTATTCACGCAGAGGCTGAGATATCGATCGGTCCAACATAATACTTGGAGTAGCCCCGGATGTTATGCTGTGTGAGAAACATAGAAGCATATGATTGCATACGCTAGAAGACATGAAAACCTGCGAGTCCTCATGATTGAGGAGCGAGAACGATTTGAGTAGATGGTATCTTTCAACCTCCATCTGCTCGTACCATAAGCACACAGAATCTTGATTCAGCTGTGTATCAATCTTCAACGTTGATGATGTCAGTCGCGCGGATGAAGGTTCACATGAACGAAGGTCAGATTCTGCGTGGCCGGTGTAGAAGATCGATTCAGTTTGACGATCTAAAATAAAGCTCAGTAGGGTCGCACATTCATCTGCAAAACCAGAGGAACCCATACGACTTTTGCATCCATTCTGCTGCGGGCGCGAGCTGTGTACGACGGATCTGTCAACGTCAAACGCCCGCACCAACACTGTACGGGTGCCAATCATCGATGACGGGCATCTGCCCACACATCAGAACACGAATGCGCATCATATTGAAGACAGTTGGGTTACACATGTTGACTTTGTCAATTTCTCATCCGGCTACTTCAACGACATAATGTCACAACATTAACGCCCAAAGACACGGGAGGAGTTAGTCGCAAGGATAGACCCGAACATCGCAGCAGGGACACCGAGTCAGTATTGTAGATCCAATATCCCTGAGTTAATCGCCGAAGTAGATTTTGCTCAGTCTGGAGTGCCCTAACCAAGCCTCATATGTAGCAACTGAGCCGAGTTGTACTAAAGTCACCCAGATAAGGACAGCCAATTGTCTGCGTGGTATTCGAATGCCCCTTTACTCCAATCTCTAGTACAGACTCAAGGGGCGAGCGGGCTGATGCAGAAGGGCTACGGATAATTTTTTTTTTCCTGATAAATTCTGTGGCGTCTGATCGTCCATTCCCTGCGAGATGCCGAGCTGAAGATGCTAGGCCCGTGCCAATGATGTTAACATGCGGCATGTCTCCCAACCAACTTGCCGTGTTCACTACAAAGTTCCGTGGTGGTTTACATGCTACTGATGGTGCGACACATTCCCGCGAAACTGTCCCGTTCAAAGTTGCGTTTAGAAGCGAACGCTGGAGCCGACGACGTCGGAAAACATAACTTCCTGTGACTCAGGGGTAGGCTTTTGTTTACCACTAGTAGAGAAACGCCGATGTAGTGATGGAGCCAGTACTTTCTGTGGAGTTTACCTGTGCATGGACCTGGAAACGTGGAGCTTTCTCTGCTGGCAGAATCGGCGTGGCCAGCTAGACAATGTGGCTTCGCACCACTCTATCAATTGGATTCGTGTGGAAACAAATGGAAATACTGATCGATTACTGTTAAGCCGGGATACGTTTACCCGATAACTCATCGTGCGATTGCACCTGTCATTCTCTCCATGTCTGGATCTCCTTGACTGTTCGAAGATCGCTTGCAAGTTGTCCGACTCCCCACCCAGTTCACCGGAGGCTCTTCCGAGAATGTCGGCGACAGAGGCGGTGCCCTCAATATGCGCGTACTCGACTGACTATCCATACTCGATCGCCCTCCAAACTCATCCACCCTGATATCAGTGTGACTTCTGACCTGAATCCGATCCAAAGGTATCCCTTGACAATGCAAACTATCCTTCTTGCTCTCTCCATGTGATCCGATGGTAGTCACTCCAGCCGAATATTGGCCACTAAGCTGCCCGTATGGTTTTTTGAAACAGCCCATGCTGGATAGCGTCTTGGGTTTCGTAGAGTTTCGGGTACCCTTAGAGCCGCTCTGGGTAGTGTATTGGAAGTAACGGAGGAAGAAGACCTTCATCGCTGGCGCGCAGGCGCAGATAACACCGAGATCTGACTCGATTGCTGTCCATACCCATCCGTAGTACGCGTACCAGGTAATGTCGTAGGTGAAGAAGTATACGTAGATGGCGTAGTAAGTTCTCATGATACCGCAGATGCAGGTACTGTCTAATGTTAGCATCAACTCCATTGCATCTTTTGATGACAAACTCACAGCACGCCCGCTCCGAAAAGAGCAACCAGCGCCATTTTTTGCCGCTTAGGAATTTGCAAATTCCATACAAGTACAGCAGGCAGAGCGCAAATGATAAAGTCCTGCAAAGTACTGATCACCACGATCGTGACGATGATGACACCCTCGTCGTGACAGTGCATCTCATTTTGTGTTCTCCAGACGAGGTCGTAATATCGCCAGAATCCCTCGACCGGTGTGCATGTGAAGATGATGACGAACGCGAAGACTATGAAGTAGGCGACGACTGAAAGGATCAATCCCCAGACTCCATAGATGAACACTCGGCTGATGGAACCACTGGACATTCTGCGATAGAAGCAGAGAATGGAGATCTTGGTGAGGGCTGTTGCGCCCATGTACAATAACTCGATTGAGAGCGTGATCTATAATCGGTCAGTGACATCCAAATAAATCAAAAGGGGGCTGACATACTTCGCGCGTCGTGATATACGTGGTGGCAGTTTGATCCCAAGCATGCCACTGAAATCCGTATATCCTGATTCCTGGTCCAGAGTTAACAATCAGTCTGCAGAAAGACAGAAGTCACATACCTAGAACAGCCGCGATTGTCAGCCCAATGAGAGGAAGCATAGCCGCTGAGATGAGTATGTCGTCCAAGCCGGCATTCTTCGATATCAGAAGGCGAGCACACAGTCGTGCTCCGAATACGCCGATGGTGAGCGACAGCAAAACGATGAGAACGATAGCTCCAGACCAGTCGTGTGTTACGGGGTTGGCATAGTTGGGAGCTGGCCACGACAGTAACACCTCAGGCGGTGGGTTTATTCCACCACCTCGCCTCATGTGAGGACTGTGAGGCAGTGCGACCATCTTGCGGGTAGAGGAGTAGTCGATGGGCGCGAGGTTGGACCAGCAAGAGTATTATTTAGACCATGGGAAGATGATGAGAATGTGGCCTGCGTCATCAAGTGCGAGGGACCGGCTCAAAGTATACTAATAGTCGACAACCGACCTCCGAGATTCAGTTCGTGTCTGCATCATTTCGGGTCCGTGAGAAAGTTTAGACACTGAGACTAAGGCATAAGGGCTGGAATATGACCGGAAACATGTCGCCTATGCTCCACTTTGTGTAACGGGACACACCCCTGTTGGCCGCGTGTGTTCGAAAACATACTATACATCAACATTTTGTGTGGAGCTAATGTGATTTAGTGTGTTGCCGGCAGCTCAGCATGTGTTAGAAAGTTGCGAGGGTTAGTTTTCGCATTTGCTCCAACCCCTATCCCGTAGTAGCACAGCATTCACTCGAGAACGAACGACGCATCTCAATAGTGAGTCTGGGTTGTACATGGATCAGAGAACCAGTTACGAACAATCCATGTTCAGAAAATTGCAAGGTTGCTTCGCGTGGCCTGCATGCTTGTCTGTTTTATGCTAACGGGACGGAGCATTTTGTGAACAGGCCCTATCATGTCTCCGTCCAGAAAGAAGTGTTCGACATTGATCCAAGATGTCGGGAGCACAAGGTCCAATTCGTCATGTCAACTGTAGGCTCAAACCAACGAAGATTGATATATGAGGGTTTCTCTTCGGTATTTCTTGAAGCTGAAAACGCCTGGACCTGCATAAGCCAATATCGGGTAGCTCTTACGCACTAGAAGTATCAGGACTAAGAGCTTATTGCCTCTTTCTCTCTTCGTCAAGGTACTCATAGCATTTATCAGTCAAGTAATATTGATTATACCATGCAGATCTTGAGCAAACCATTGTTTGAGTGATCCCTATCGCCCCTATTAGAACGTAGAACCGGCTCTTTGCAAGACGAATCGCGTGCTTATAATTGCCGCCCCGCGCGCTTCTAGTCTGCAGCTACAACTTAGCGTATAGCTCGTTTGCTGGGGTACCAGACAGGCAGAGTGCATACGGAAGTTATCTTTCTAGACAATTCACGTGGTTCGACTCCAGCATGAGGATAGCAGGAGCGACAGGGATCTATTTAGCCAGTCAACCAGTCGAGGAAGGCGTTTTTGGACCTGACATACTGTTTGGAAACAACGGTGTACGCGATCATGAACCCTGATTTGAGAATCGTGGGAAAGGGACACATTGGTTGACGTCTCGGCTACAACATCAAAAGCTGTTCGTTGAACTGACGTCGGATCTGATTCAGGACATAACGCATCCTTGCTCTTTTCTTTTCCCACATTCTATGGTAGTAACCACAGGGAGTGGTTTCTGTAGGGATGCTGATTCTTGTGCCGTTTGTCTGTACGACACCAGGGTCTCCAATTTGGGATTTAACGCGATCATTGAGGTATGAAACACTACCTCAGGCGCATTGCCGCGAACGGCCGGATAGTTGAATTTCGCGACAAGCACTCTCATGCCGTCCCCACTGTTCGACATCGAGCCTGGCGAAGTGCAAACCTCCGCTGTCAGGCAACCGTGAAATGGAGAGCGCATGATGGAAAAGGCGGGGCGACGGTTCGGGTCTCGCTACTGCTCCCAACATGACTAGAAAGCGACTTTTGTTGTTTTCTGCTCTTTAGCTCATTCTCCATCATAGACATGCCCCTGAAGATCGCGTGTCGCTTCACGCTAGAAAGTGACTACCTACACACATCCGTTCATTGTTCCGACAACAATCTTGAGAATCGAGTCAGCATCACGGAACGGTTGACCCATCGTTTTGCGCATGTATCCACAGCATGTCGAGGACGCGCCATACTTGGCATGTCAGGGAACGGCCACGTGGATGACATTTGCATAACCTATCCACAGTGAATATCATATACCACGTTTGGGAAATGTTGTGAGTCGGTATCAGGTGCAAATCGCCGAAGTACCGCCATGGACTACGGCACGGTCAATCAATGATCTCCTTAGCCGGGCAGACAGACAGATCATGTCTGCACAAGAACATCTACGCGCTGATAAGAAGCTAGCCGAATCATCATGGAATTTACAACAGTTGATGTCTCCACAAAACTCAGAAATCCATTGAAACTCTTGTCGCGCATGACTATCAATTGACTTTCTTAGAAAAACAATTGATAAAACCCGTGTTATATGCCCACAACAATTGCCCATGACTACATGCGGCAGAAAGCTCGTGATGGTAGTTCGGTGATGCACCTGCTTCTGTGTGCCGTGCCCACCGGGATCTTCGCATGCTTGAATCGCGCAAACTGATGACTCGCCGTACGTCTCGGTAAAATTCTTGGAAGGATTAAGGATTTTTTTTGTTCACGCCACCTAGGCTGTGGAAAAAGAATGGAAAGAGACGCAAAAGTTTCATGTCAGCAATGGCGTTGATGAGATGATTTGAGAAACGCGCGAAGGTTCAAACATCGCGGGGACGTGACGGGGAGTTGCGACTAATATACTTGTTGATTCGTTCGCTCAATTCAGCCGACTTCTAATATCATTATATTAGCAATGTATGGGTATATGCCTTCTGACTTTTACGCCCCTATGTTAAATCTCCCTTTTATGAGCAGCGAGTGCTACTTAATATGCCCGCATCTCTAGAAAAATCTCTTGAATTCTCTAGATATCACCAACAACATTAGCTACATTACAAAGACAACTTTCTTGGCACATTTTTTAATAGCTCATGCAATAATAGTGCATTTTTAGGAAAGAAAATTTTATAGCAACATCTGATGCTTTGCTAGTTACGTTTAAGAGGGAAAGTTTTATCGCAAACCCAATTTCCCTTCGCAACCTTGCGATGCTTATGACGTCTTTCTCTTTATTGTCTAGGTAACCGATAAACACCCACAGGAGGGAACAGATTTTCCGGAACCGGAGTCAACGACCAAGAAAATCCTACGTCTTCTTCGACACGCTATCATTAGGTACAAGTCCACAAGCCCATTTGAGATTTTGATGTGTAATGATGGTGCGTAATTGATCTAGAATAATGTGGCGTGCTGTCCATCACTTCCACGAAACCCGGGAATCTTGTGGCGCGAATGTACTTTAAGTCCTAGTTTATTGTTCATGTTCAAAAGGGGGACGGAGCAGGCAAAGACTTCACTGCTTTCTTAATTGGGAAACAGCTGAGGTGCCATATTAACTGGCATATCAATGACAGCGACTCGTATCAACGATAGACCTCAGTGTTAAAATGTCCAAACCAAAGTAAAGATCGTAGCACGTTATAAAAAAGGAAATGTCTACTACTCTAATTCTCGAAAACTCCGTTAGACATCTCGTACTCGTACTCAAGATCAGGCTGGAACTCCCAGTAAAGCGTCTCAGCATCACTGCCCATCTTGAACGTATACTCCGCAGCCTCATCATCGATCAAGATCTTCTTATTCCCACTGAGTGCGGCAGCAGCATCGGTCATAAGCTGGATCTCGCAGGAACGTTCCATAAGGGTGTACAGATAGGCTGCTTCGTCAACGGTGGTACCAACAGTCTACGAACCGTTAGCCAAACTCAACCTTTCGAACCAGCCCGTCGTTTTCCAAGACAGTGAGGCAGAAACTCACCAGTAATCCATGATTCCTCAAGATCATGCCCTTCCCCTTCTCACCGAGCGCAGCCGCCAACCGTTTCCCCTCAGCCTCACTGAAAACCACACCCCCGAACTCTTCATACACAGCCTGCGCATCGCCATAAAAGTAGCAAACATCCTGATTGATCATCTCTAGTTTCTTTCCAAACGCGCTCCACGCTTTCCCAGCCTTGCCGTGCATGTGGCACGCGGCATGGACGTCAGGCCTAGCTTTGTGGAGAGCAGAGTGGATCAAGAATCCTGCCCCGTTGGCAGGTCGGGTGGTGTTTCCGCCGACAACTTTGCCGTCATAGTCTACGAGCACCATGTCGGATGCCTTGAGCGTTGCGAAGTGTTTGGCGAGGGGGTTCGTCCAGAAGGTGTGAGGGTGCTCAGGGTCACGGACTGAGATGTGACCTGACATGCCTTCTGTAAAACCTTTGCGAGCGAAGACGCGGAATGCGCCTGCCATGTGGGAGAGGATCCATGCGCGGTGTTTCTCGTAGGAGGAGAAGCTGGGTATGCCTGGCAGGGTCACGCCCTGGGAGATTGCTTCGAGGGGGCTCAATTCTTTGCTTGGGTCATCTTTGGATTTGGGTATCAGCTGTTTTGCCTGGGTCGCTGGGATGACCTCTGTGGTGACGGCGGATGGAGCCATTTCTCGTTATACAGTACGGTTGTTGGTGCTCAGTGGTGTCTTTTCTATGCGGTTGCAACGAAGAGGAAAAGGTAAAATCAATATAAATATATCGATTGACCTTGCGTTTTCCGCAACCAAATTTTCCGGCACCGAGTTGAACACGCCCTATAATCTTCTGATATCGCTGAAGCCAAAATCACCACCTCGATTTATACGTCCAACACGCCCTATAGCAATCAATCGTTGTCTGTCCGATATGCTCAAAGTGGGATGGTCTCCGCAGTCGGTCTTGTTAGTGCGGGGCACTCAGTCACCTATGCCGCGGTAAACGCCGCCTACATCTGCAAAAGATAGTGAGGAATTGATCAGAATTGATTCGATTGCAATATCGGAGTTGACTAATATCCAAACAATACACAACTTGTGGTACAGATGGTAGGAGAGAGAAAGAGTAGATTATCTAATCAGATCGTGGATATTTTGTGGCGGTGTATGGATAGAGACCACTAAGCAGCTTGGCACACTGGACCCTTGAAACGTCTCCTCATCAGTCCACTTTATCCAGGTGCTGCTATAGCAACTCAATCCGCCGTTTGCAATCCGTCTCAGCCCGCAACCCTCGAGCGGGGCACATGTTAGTGAGGGGTAGGTGAAAGCTTCTCGGAGTGAGGTCACCGATATCACAGAACACAGAGAGCAGCCTGAGTTGAATATTCATGATAAGATTTCTGTTCATAATTTTTCGTCAGTTGTATAACTCATGCTATCATTGGCACAGATTATCCATATCCGCCCAACCGGTCGGACATCCCGTCATCTTCAATTGTGCGCGGTCGATGTAGTTGATCCGGATTCACTGGTACCGTCGTTGGTCGCTGTTTGGAGGCGAGAATTCGTCCGTTCAAACTATGTTTTGTCAATTCGACATACCATATATCCGGTGGAGTGAATGACCACGTACCGTAGATGAATCGTCCATTCTCATTCTGGATTCGCTCGGCCAGGTTGACATCGCGAGCAAACTCCTCGCCCTCGCTGTCACGGCAGAAGCAGCGGAGGACGGGCACCTCGCCACCACCCTCGATGTGGAACTCGACGTTTTCGACCGAGTCGGCAAAGTTGACCCCGTCCCAGTGAATGCGGCCTACTGTCGTCAGTATAGCAATGGAAGCTAGGCTACGATATGGCTACTGACCCTCGTCGTTACCCAGAACATCGTTCAGGTTGAACTCAGCATCGCACCAGTCGCCGTCGACGTTCTGTTGCCTATCAGTGGAGTTCGAGGAGAAATGGTGGAGCACCAAAAGGATTGCTCATACCAGGAGCCGAGCACGGAGCATGTGGTTATCGTCGATACGGACGTCTTCGGCGGAGAGATGGAAAGACATGGTGATGTTGTATCTGGATGTTTAGGTACAAAGTCAGCAAATTCCAGACCTCGTGTTCAAGAAGCCAGGCAATGTAGGGTTGAGAACGATCATGAGCCAGTGGCGATACGTACAGGTTGGTGAAGCTGTGAGTTGATGTCTTGGTGCAGTGAGAGTCTGGAGACGCAATTGAATGGTGAAGGAGGAGAAGTCAAGCTGTCGGGCTGGAGCAGTTGCACCTTATATAGTGCACATTCGGAGGAACCTAGAATCAATGCGTCAATCCAAGTAAAAACGCAGGCACGACCATCCAACGCAACGACCCCGCACAGCCACATATCAAGTGCGACGCCCCAGGCGGGCCCTGCATACATTGGTAGTACATTAGTGAACTACCCCTTGCACTCTCACTATACAGGTATACGTATGGCGACAACGCCGCGACGCCAAAAAGGTTAACAACATGAGGTATTTAAACCTCAGCTGCGTATCTAATTGGCTCCACAAAAGACGGGTAGCCCCGTTGAAGACTACTGTCTACTAACACTGTCTCTAGACGGGTCTAGCCGAATGGTACCTTTGTGAAAATTACATTCGTCAACACCGAAGCATTATCCACCGCCCCACGGATTCCAAGCGCTTTCGTTCGGCTAACACGGCACGTTTGGTAGGCCTCGACCAGGTCACATCTGCTCTTGTTCTTGGATGAGCAAACAACCTCGTTGTGCGTGCATGAAGATGCTCGCTCTCGTTGGCTAACCCCGACTCCGTTTTCTTACTTGCTTGCGGCGTGGGGAGTTCTTGGATGCTCGTCACACTCAATGCTGACCTCTTGGTCGTACAAATTACTTCACATCAGGCTCAGCTATGCAAATTCGACAGTCAATGGTTCTTTGCGTCTGATTTCCGGTCAAAGCTGACCCTCGCCGCGATTCTTGGGGTCGCAGGAGAGTGGATCAAATGATGTGACACAATCGTTTTTTTTCGAACATCATTGCTCAAATGAATAACCATTTGATTGTCGTCAGCAGTTCTTGGCACTTGGGATCATGCACCTGGTTCTGGCATCTTTACGATAGGTTATATGTGAGCCTTTGCCAAAATTTGTATGTAGATCATATGTCCACGTGTGGCGGGTGAGGTTGTGCGTGTCTAATTTAGGATTAGTGCACCTTCTCAGGATAGGCTTACCTATTCCTGTGTGGGTGGTTATAACATTTGAGCGGAAAGACCGACATCGTAGGACCAAATGGCAGCCCGTTTCTACTAACTTCAAATGTTACTTCTATCAAAATGGGCTGCTGCTTATACCATCCACTTGTAATTTGAAGTCCGCTTCCATGTTATTTGACGACACGCTCAGATCGTAAGAGCTGCCGAAACCTTCGCACACACTGCAGTCGTGACAGTTGTACGTATAAGTATATCAGTTTCCTTGGATAGAGCTTTCCAACCTGAACCGCCTATGCACCTAGATTCAGGGTTTTCGCACTTGTGATTTCGAGGTCTAATGCGTGGTAGATGTTCGCGGCCTCCGAGAACCCCGAGAGAAGTATGATGTAACTTTAGCAGGACTGTGCGTAGCCTGGCACGTAGATTTCTTTAAGCGAGAGGATCCTAGCAAATGCTACACATTGATAAGTTGCAACTGCTTGCATTTTAGAAGTCATAAGTATAATTTCATACATGCCTAGTGGAGAAGGACACATTGTGAGCCGCATCAATTCACACTAGTATTCTATTCACCGAAAGAGCAAGTCAGTGCCCCAATTGAATGTGACAAGTAGAGGGTACAGCACCGCTAAACAAAACATAAGCGGAGGCATTTCTAAGATTGCAAATTCTCGGGGTAGGCATCAAAGAGATCTGAATAGATTGGAGGAAACTAAACCCTACTCCTCGATCGGAAATGCATCTAGTCAGTATTCGATAGTTGCGTGTCTATGATTGAACTTGCCTGGACTGGTTCCGTCACTGTTTCCCTCCTTCTTAGTGCGAGCCAATCAATGTGGAATACTACTGCTCTTTTCTTTTTTTGAAGAAAAAGATCCAGCCCATATCAAGAAAGCAAGCCATACGAACTATTCTAGGAATTATCAAGAGATGTGCAACATACTTTCAATGTTCTAGAAGACCTGTACGCACATCCTTGCTCACCTTTTCGTCATAATCTAAGGCATAGTGACAAGTAAGATGTACGATAATCGAACACGATAGCTTGAACGACACAATATTTATGCATGTATTTGTCTGTAAATGTATAATCTATGAGTGAGTCACGCGCGTTGTGTACACTATAGGGCTTACCGCACCCTGGAGTTGGCTGGTGACAGTCTGTCAGGGTCGTGATTTGTTTCTAATTTATGTTAGATCAAATTCAACAGCTGTAGGAGATATGCTGGTACGATGTTTAACAGTATGTTCATATAGAAAGTGTAGTCAATACACTGTCCTGGGGTGCGCTAAACCCCATAAGCCAGGGATCCATGCCGGATTGGTCGGTTGCACCGAAAATTTAATATAATTTCCTTCCCTTCATTTACACGATACAAGCCAGCGCCACGATCACCAAACACCTCCCCGCCAAGTACGAAAAGCTTTCCAAGACACACTGAAGCCTTCCAGAAACTCTTGTTCGCGAATCATGCATATCACAATTGCAGACAACCAATATGCATTCATCACCTTGTACGAAATCTTGCTCCTAACGATATAAATCTTCGCCACACGTCTCAGCGATCAAGCAAATCATCTCTCTTTCGGAACACGGCCGATCGTCCTCCCCGTTGGTTTCCCGACCGTTAATTTATCTCACTCAAAACCACTCTGGAAAAATGGGCCGGGTCTTCCCTAGCAAGGACCGCAACAATGCGCAAACACAAAAAGAGAGAATGAACGAGATAGCCCCAATCAAAGCTAGATCGTGGCGGTAGGTAATTACACATGTCGTCAGTTAGACGGAAAGCAGGGAGATGAACACTTGGGATTAATTACCCCAAGTACCACAAGTCCAGGCAATGGGGAGTTGAAGGGAAATGAAGTGCACACGAACGGAACGTATAAATACTCTTCTTCCCTTTGATTTACACATAATCTCCAGCCAGCGCTGCTCATTTTCTCTCCGTCGCCAGATTATCCCACCCACCCAATCTATCTCCACATATCAGCACTACAATGCACCACCACACCTCCCTCCTCGTGGCCCTTGCCAGCCTTCTCCCCTCCGCATACTCCCAAGCAAATGGCACCACCGTCAGCGAAGGTTTCGAAAGCGGACTCGACGCAGCCGCATGGCCCACCTATGCTGTAGACTGCAGCCAAGGCGGTAAAGTGACGCTCGACTCCTCCACCGCGCACAGTGGCAAGAACTCCGTCCGCGTCGACGGTGCAGGAGGCTACTGCGGACACATCTTCTTCGGCACGACCAAGATCCCAACATCCGGTGATATCTACGTGCGCACGTGGCTCAAGCCCTCGAAAGCGCTGACAGACTCCCACGTCTCCTTCATCACGATGCCGGACTCTGGACTTGGCGCGAAGAAACATCTACGTATCGGCGGCCAAAGCAAGATTGCGATGTACAATTTGGAGACTACCGATGCTACATTGCCGGATCTGAGTCCGAACGGAATTGCTGCGTCGAAGCCGTTGAAGGCGGGCGCGTGGCAGTGTTTCGAGTACCATTTGGGCGCGGACGGTACAATCGAGACATGGTTAGATGATGTGGCTATCGAAGCATTAACAGTAAAGTCTGGTGTAAACAATCCGAATGCTGGCCAGTGGACGAGGGGAGGGTATAAGCCCAAGATCACGAGTGTGAACTTCGGCTGGGAGAGCTATGGCGGAGATACGAATACGGTTTGGTATGATGATATTGCGATTGGGTCATCCAAGATCGGGTGCACGTAGATAAATACGTGTGGGGAATATTGAGTTTGAGCTCCGTAGGAGCATTTGTATATATTTTCTTTCCGACGATTGGGGTGGTTTTGAAGTGGGAGAACTACATATGTATATACATGTATTAGGCACTGCCACTTTGCACCGCCACAGCTTTGTGGCTGCTCGCCATTTCAGAGTATGAAACACTTCCAACTTTAATGTGTTTTTTGAAAAAGGCTTATAGATTAAACACAAAACAATTGCTAAGCTGATGGGAACACTGCTGCTTGGTGAATATCTGCAAGCTTTAAAACTGTTGCGTACGCGTAGAACAGAAACAGCAATGGCGTTTCAATCGCTGGTGCATGGTGATCAGCGGGCTTCATATCTTATGTACTTACCTACATTACAAGCGCGGGCCTACCCTAGGACCAGCTATCAACCCTCATTTAAGGCTTTATGTTGTGTCTAGATCCTGTTAACAGCCTTTTAAAACTATGGTAAGATACTTTTAATAGGATATTAAAGTAGAAAGAGCAGTTAATGCTATATCCTTAGGTAGGCCTTCCCCTGCAATGTACCTACATATGTAGGTAGGTAAATTACCACGCACCAGTGATCCAGATGTCGTTGCTATTGTTGTTCTAAGTACGATAAAGTGAAAGCGCATGACTTGCGTCGTAAGAGAACACCCGTTCCTCTCTCGAGCTGAGAAGGAGAGAGAATTGCCATTATATTCCACTATGAATCTATCTACCGCCAAGATGATGCACTATAGAGCACCGGTTTCAAGCGGTTGTCCCCTCGGCATTCTACAGTTCCTTCTTCAAGAAATGCTCCGGCGCGTGATCGGTTTCGTAGTCCACATGTACATATGCCCTCTCGACATCCGGCAGACTCTCTAGTTTGATCTGCAACTCCTCAGCCACATCGTGCGTACTACGCAGCGAGTCATCAGGGTCCATCACAATATCAACTTCGACAATTAGGCGGGGCCCCGAATGGTATGCGCGGACTGTGTCGATCTGCCGGATGGAGGGCGAGTGGGTCATGGCTGCGGCATGTGTGAGTGCGAGGTCGTAAGAACAGGAAACGGGGAAATTAGCTTACAGATATACGTGATGAGTTGAAGTGTAGGAGTGTCCGCAGTCACGCCGATGAGAAGCTGGAACTCAGAAGTAGCGGTTCTCGACCACAAAAAGATTATGAGCACGGAAAGAATCAATGCACCCATTGGGTCGAGCCACCATTTGAGCTTCGAGCCACCGACGCTAGTGAGCACACCGAAGCCATTGATAAAGAGATCGTTGCGGTGGTCTTCCCATAGAATGCGAACTTGGCTGTATTTATTTCGGAGAGCCCAACAGTACAGAAACAAGCTGAACTTGGTCGCAAAGGCGATGCACACGGCGATGACAGAAGGCAGGTAGAAATTGTTTGTTTCTGACCCACTATGTTCGGCGAATTCACGAATGGATTCGACGATGATGACGACGCTGACGCAGATCATAAGAAAACAGAAGAAGATATTGCCGGCGGTCTCAATGCGGGCTTTTCCGGAAGGAAATTTCCTTGGGTCGACTCGTTTAACCGCACGACTGGACATGATCAAAGCAAGATTGGACAGCGGGTCGAACAGTGAGTCGGCCATGGTGGTGAAGAGACTCAGACTTTTGGAGCTCGCTGCGGCATACAGCTGCAGGATAGCGAGAATAATGTTGGCGGCAAAGCTGCCCATGACGGCTATCTTGAACTTCATGTGGTTCGCGCCTGCTTCCTCCTTCGCTTCCAGACGGTGGTCATCGACAGGTTTGAGCAACCTTTGTATGTTCTCATTTTGGGCCTCGTAGAACTTCTCGAGCCTGCGGGCTTGGCCAGCCTTCTTGTTCAAGGTGATGGGTCCGAAACCATCGCGCTTCCTACTGGTGTTGGCGCGAATCTTTTCAATCTCGTGGGTAGGCTTGATGGCCGATGCGAGGCGGTAGGGATCGTTTTCGGAGGTATATTGCGGTGGACTTTGGCGCTCGACGTCGCCCTCGCTCTCGCGTGTGGCAACATTACGAGCGACGGGGTCCTCGGTGGTAGAAGCAGACGTCTCGACTGCGGTGCTATTGCCGTCGCCTTTTCCAATTGGAGTATGCGTGGGAGGATGAGATGGGCGTGCTTGTCCATGTGTTGTTTCATGGCTGGCTGTGGCTGGGCGGCCCGGCGACGGGGATCGTGGCCAAGGAATCGGCTTCAGAGAAATAGCCCGATGCAAATCCGGTTCCGAACTCATTTTGGTCGACTGGAGGCTCACCAATGTAAGAATAAGTGAGAATACAGATCTCGTCAACCGTGGAGAGGGATGAAATGGGAGGGACGGTGCGAAGAGATGCAAAGAGATTCAGAGAGCTTGTTGCTTGGTCTTGTCTTGGTAACGGCGCACGTGGAGGTCGAGCCGGGGCTTCCGAATGTGTCGATAACAGTCAACTGGTCGCAATTTACGTGCACAGGTGCATTTGGATAGATTCGAACTTCACCGGCAGTACAGCAGTGGACGCGCAGCAGGACAGCCCAGGAGAGCAATTCGCATCTTCCTTGAGTTTTATGGCATGTGTGCAGCTATCCGTGTTCAATGTTCAGACTTCTGCATTTCTCTAGCATCACAGTACTACACATCATAGGCGGTTGGACTTGCCTCACGCGGAGCCCTCCCGCATCTCCAAGGACTTGGTACTTCCATTCAACTCCACATTCCATCTCGCGGCGGAAAATAAACGGACACGTTTATCCGTCCTTCGTTTTCTCTCTTGTTTTCGCCCTCCCACAGTTGTTATTAGAAGGCAAGAACTGTGGGCTGAATCAAGTGCTGCTTCCAAATCATGGGCGTTCCATTATAATTTCCAATCTAAGCTTCACGACTTTACGGATGACCATTTCTGGTAACATGCCAACGACGAATAAGACATCAAACAGCATGGCACAAAGGGAACCAGACGTCATGAATTCCTCACTAGCATTCAGCAAAAACGACTTAAAAGCTACAACGACGGAACCATCCTTCAAACAAGGCATCACAGCCTCACATATCTCAACCCGTTGCTAGAGAATAAATCCCCACTCCCGTTAAGGGTACGGTGCGGATGCCTCCTGACACCAACCACACAAATGATGTGAGCAATAGGCGCAAACTCCTACATCTTCGAAGTTCCAATGTTCGCAGCTACAGCACCTCCAATAATCCTGGAGTGAGGGAGGAGTTTCCCCACTGTCCGGTACGCGGTTGAACATCTTCAGGATGTAGGTGGTGACGAATCGCATTGTTTTGAGTATTCAAGATGGTTGTTTCTGACTGGTTAATCTGATCGAGACGCCGATGGAATTGAGCTGGATTTTTCAAGTATTCTTTTTCTGTTGTGGTTTGCTTTTGCGACCGAGATTGGATTTGACTAGAGGAAAATGCATGCAGAAGCCACGCTTTAAATACTTCTGAGAAGCATTCACGTTGACTGAATCGTCTTGAATGTCTTACAAGGATGATTTTGAGGTACAGCTGGATACATGATACTCATGCTGATTTCGCTTCTTGAAGACTAGATTGATTCGTATTGAATAGATCGGCTTACACGTTGTGCAAATTCTTCCTCAACTTCCCTCTCAACAGCGCGTGGCAGATACGAACTACCAAACAACTCGAACCATTCTAACAAACTGGCGATGAAGAATCCGTCGAGTTCCTCCACCCATCAAGTCAGCAAACCTAATGGAAGCAGACACAGTCCTAACAACCAGACATTATAAGCCCGATACATGACACTATCCAGCCACGCATTCCGCTGCCCCAAACCCTTCACAGTCATGAGCGCAACAGAGCAACCCGACCCCGCTACTATTGTCCCCCCGCAAAATTCAACTCCAATCCAACGTGGCAAGAAAAGCGACCAGAAGACCGTCATCACTGAAAGAATCCAGCGAGCGCTTGATTCACCCACCAACGTGGTAATGGTAGATCGCTCTCTCAACTCATCACCTTCGACATCCCGAAAGTCCTGGGCATGGATAGTAGTCAACAAGGCCAAAGCAAAAAAGCCAATCCACTGATGTACCATTGGGCTCAGTGGGTTTCCAGCTCCAATCACAACCTTCAAAGCGCCAGAAAAGAAGCATACAAATCCAGCTGCGTTCAACGCGTTTCTGATAACGCCGTGAGCATCACTACCTCCAAAATCGTTATGGTATACAGCAAGGTATGTGAAGACAGCGTAATGTGGGAACACTCCCAACGAATAGCTGATGAGGCTCGTTACTAGGAACACCACCGTCAACAGATCGGTGGCTGTCGAGGGAGTGATTCTTCCAGATGATATCGGTCTCCATGGCTTGTTTTTGGCGTCTTCTTCGGCAGAGGACGGGTGTCGTTGGTTTTGTATACAGAACTGGAGAGTCAAGAGCCACATCCATAGCAGAACGAGTGGCGTGCGTACAAGCACCCGAAGCGGAGACTGATGCTGTAGACCTAGGTGGTGGCCTGCGAGCGCGGTACTTACGGCGAATACTGTGCAGGGCAATACGACGTCATAGATCTGTTCGTAAGGAAATAGCCAAATTGTGTAGAGTTGAAATCGGACTCGCGCGGTAAGGGATTCATAGTTATTTAATGCAGTCTGGGTAAGGGTGAGCAAATTCCCTCCCTTCTCAGTCTTGCGTGATATCTTACGTTGAGTTTTTGAGACATGATTGCGATGAGCACTCAAGTAGGCAATGTATTGTGATTGATATGTTTCTTGTGAGACCTTAGTCTATGAATAATACAATCAAACATCTGCACCGGCGAGTGGCTTCTTATAACAGCCCAACATAAAATCATATTCTATACATGACATGACTTCCCTTGTTCGCGAAAGATTCCGTGGTAGATCGTGCGATCATGCCGATAAAGCTTTGCGTGGTACGTGGTGCGTGGACAAATGTGCTGCTAAAACTTCTGTATCTGACTCAGATACTCACAAATTCTTTTGTGGTAAGACATTACGAAAAGTCCGCTGCTTCTCTGTACAGTTCTTTTCGAGTGTGTCGGTTCTCCAGACCATTACCAGTTGCCAAACCATCACAGAACAAAGCGTTGGAATGTGGCGGCGGGGCATGGGAGTACACAGACAGCGTCGACCTGCAAGAAGTCGACCATGGATAAAATGGATCACAAAAACCATTGGTCTAGAATAATCTTACGTTGGTTTTTAGTTGTGGCAACTTAAGGCAATAAACTCTCTTTATCTTGCTCTGAGGTACTGCTGCAACCACAAGAAATTGCTCATTGTCGCTATCAAGACATCAGTCAGCACGCCATCGAAAGGGGAAAATATGTGGGCGATACATGCTTACCATTGAACAATTCCCACTCAAAACTTCCTAAACAAACACCTAGCCGAAGAATCTCGTCCGCAAAGAAAGACCGGTAGGCCGGTTGGTAGGCCGATGCCGCCGCGCCAGTGAGCAATCTACACCGGTTCGTACTCAGTTACCAACAATCGTTTGTTTAGTATTACACTCACATCCACAAGTATATGTAGCTCTCTTTATCCCAACAATCATGCGCGATCGCTGTTGTGGCTGTATATAGTCTTTCCAGCTCCGCAGCATTGACGGCGTCGCTGTGCGCAATTTGGAGTGCAACAGCCCGGAAATGAATAACCGCCGCAAAAGTGACTGCTTCCCAGATATCATCGTCTGCGCTTTTGGACACTGAGGTTTGACTTTTTGTGTTGCGCATATCCTGTAACCGGCACCAAGCTTCCGCCTCGCGGGCTTGGAATAGACATGATGCATCAGCTGCCGTGTCAGGGTCAAATGTCCGGATGCACATAATTTCGAAGGCGTCAAAAGCATCTACGAGGACCTCGGCAAGAGATTCGAGATGTGGGCCCACTGTTTCGTGCAGACTGCCACTGTTCAAGATTCGGAGTGGCGATTGCGGGTGATCGCTCTCTAGACTGCTAAAGTCAAATTGTACAGCTCGCAGAGTCGGTTCTGTGATCTTGAAATGCGTTGGCGGTGAGTTGGAGCAAGTTGAATATATAAAATCTTGCCTAATGCACTTTCAATCAGCAATTGTGAACGATTGTGTTTCAATTCGTTCATCTTACAAGCGAATCAGATTTCCTAGGTATTGATCGTGTTCCAAGACATAATTTTGACTGGGTCTCATGCTAGTAAGCTGATTTAAGCCTTGGAGATGGGTGACGACAGATGCACGACCACGGAAATTCTAGGGAGCATTAACGACCATGTCTAGATAATGTCCAGGAGTAGATGGCGTACCTCGTACATACAAACTGACATGATGAAGGCTATATCGTCTTCAGACAAGCCTCCATCTGTAATCATCATGGATTTGTTAACCAACTCCAATACATAGCCTGTGAAGTGATCTTGATGATCATCATTACTAGTAGCAAATTTATACATGCTATACAGCAGTACACTCCCGACAAGAATCTTTGAGTTTGCGGGGGTGTGTTCTGAGTCCCAGAACCGCGTCGGATCCTCGAATGCATTTTCCGGGTGTGCTTTGTAGAAACTGGTTGCGTCTAAAGCAGTCAGTCATGTATAAAGTGTGGAGTATAGGAGATCCTACAGTGGGCGTAAATCTCACTCAGTCGTTCGGAGACATTTTCAAGTATCCAAGACAGGTCTGGAACACATCCGGTGGGGCACGGATGGGGTTGCTGACTCTCAATGTTTCCTGAATACAGATGTTCTCCAGGATCCAGTTCTGACGTATGTGGCTCTGGTTCCTGATGAATCTTGGAAGATTGAGCATAAACACTGGTAAGATATACTCGGAGCCATTTTTTCTTTTGGTTATTCTGTATGGCTAAGGCAAAACTCCTTCTGGGGACCATCTGAAAGTTACTCAACTCCATTTTTGATTCGTAATGCGGCGAATCATAGTTCGATATCACTGCCCTAGGGAATGAAGAATTGTTATCTGCATTAGTACCATTTTTGCTGAAATAGCAGTTCGTGTTGACATCTGGTTTGAGCTTGCCAGAAGATAACGCGCTATCTTCTTCACCTGACATCGCATCTACCTTTCGTTTCTCTACCTTCGGAGCGAATAGTGATAACTTGGATTTTCCTGATGCGCAATTAGCAACTCCACGCCTTTAAGTTATTTGGGCATCATATCTCGTAGCAAATATGTCACTTACGGGCGTGTTGCTGTTGTTTAGCCTCTTTTCTCTTCTTCTGTGACTCTCGCATCACGTGCGACTTTACTAACCCACGATGCTCTGGACGAGGACCATTGTGCGTTACAAAAGTAAAAGTAGACATGCTCTTGGTATATACGTTCGTTCCTGGCCAATTTTCAAGGGAATCTTCGCTATCGTAATGGAGTCTTTTCGGTCTTCCAGAGCTGGCGGAGACAGGTGAAGTATTGTCACCACTTTGAACAAAGTAGTACTTTTTATGGTTCGTATGCTTCTTCTTTGAGTATTATATTTGCTGGAATTGAGCAAGGTGGTAAATAGTTGCCTGGTAAGTCGGAGTTTCACGGATGCAGCTAAGCAAGTACAGAAGTCAATCTAAGCTCAGTCCATACCCGAGCTAAAGAATGCCCCTATATTTGATCATTCTCCACATCAACTTGATGTATTCGTCTCGAAAGTGAAATATTATCAGTATATCGACATCTTTGAGCCAGATCAACCACTGCCCTATACATATTATCCTACTACAATAGGATGACCCCATGTCGCGGCGGAAGGACGGAGACAAATTCTTGCCATCAGTCGGACAGGTGTGCGGCCTTCAGATATTCACAGCCAGCCCCCATTCTTTCCTAAAGCTGAGAAATAGATAAATGTATATCTGTATAGGTCTCAGCCTCACGCTTACGCATCCATTTCTCGGCCCCCACTTGAGCTCAGCTCGCGACATGATTCCCGAATCGACCACACGCGATACATATTTGAATAGATAATAATATAGGAATTTCAAGGAGTGAAAGGCAACTAGGTAGAAGAGCGACATGATTCGTGCCATTGCAAATGTGGTTGGTGGAAGGCATGAGCTGAGGGCCGGGGTGGTTGCTGACGGAGCAAGCTGACCATGTAGATCTGAACAATGCACAGCCCTAAAAGGAAGCCCAGCTGAAATCGGTAGAAGAGCGGAGAAAATTCGTCCAGATAACCGTTTCAGTGCAAATACTAGAGTTCCTCGTAGAAAGTGAATCAGGCGCGAGTAAATCGCATCACATCCACTGTATACGCATGTACGCCTAGCATCGGTTATAAAGTCGACACAAAAGTTTCAAGTCTAAACAGTTGCCGTGATCTTGCCCACTGCTTCAATCGCGTAATTGTTAAGGCACGTCGCCTATCAGTTCTGGGGGAAGAATTTGCCGCCAAGCCGGACGAGGCCATCGGGGTGGTATTCAGTGTGTCTTCTGCAGGTGATACCATGTGATAAAATCCGTAGCTTCGAAATGCATCCAGGAAAGGAAGAACTGTGTGTGTATGGACAGGAAAAAGGTTATATATCAGGTGCATGAATCGCTTGGTGAACGTAAAGAGAGGTTGATGAAACGACTACCGAAATCTTCTCGCCTTTGATTGATATTATTACTATTATGGGGTGATGCCGAAAGGTGAAGTGCTCGTGAAGTGCTTTAAGACGTGGCTAGCTATCCTGTTTGATCTTTCTAATCCATTCTCTGAAATGTGACGATCCAGTGTCAATCGGGGAATGGTGATGCGGAATCTGGCTGCAGTTGTGGTGGTACTCGAATACTGCCAAAAGTCCGATGCATCAAACTCAGTAGATCTCGGGAAACAGCATGAAGCTCTGTTGTTCCGGAATGCGGTGTAAGGAGGAGATCACCCAGTGAGATATCTTTTGCGATTTCTGTCGCTCGGTTTATATTCACCGTCTTCAATATCTCTTCAGCAGCCCAATGCTTCTCGTGAGCCTGCAAAACAGTGGTGAACTTTGATAAGGGTAGTAGAAGAACACCGGAAAGCTCATCTTTCTGTGCACAGCAGGAAAGAATGCGTAGACATCTCAAAATCAGTTCGACGTCCTTTGTTACGTCAAGTCCGTTCAGTGCTTTTTGCACCGCGCAATATGTGATCATGATACATGCCGTGTAAGCAGTATATCGGTGTCTACTCTTGAAATCAGAATTGCTTGTCAAATTTGGGAGGAGTGGCTTACATGCAAAGCCAGCATGCATCAATAACGCTTCCTTCCGAATGCATAAGATCGAGCACCCGCGCTGTCATTTGCGCCGCCATGAAACCCTCTTCGACTGCGAGTCTCGACTCCATCGGCGAATCGAAGTTTCCCGCAGATTGCTTAGAAATATGTGCAGCTAATAGTCGGCGAGACAACGACATCATTGTCGACATGTAGAACAGGTGCAAATAGAGTACAGCGCCATGTGGATCCTTGGACATGCCTTTTTCGCCATCTGCAATCAACTGATTCAAGCTCATCCAGTGTGGCAGGTCTTTACGGTAGGAGCTCAATTTTTCACGATAGTGGGCCGCAGTGGGCTCTAAACTAGTTGCGACAGAGCCGTGGAGTATGTTTTGTTTGATAATGGTTATCTTTACGACTTGATGCTGAAGTGCTTTCCATGGTGACTGGGCCTTATCGTCGATAGTCTGTTCGGTCATAAGCACTAGGCTATTGTAGAGACTTTCCGGTACAAAGTCCATCGATGCGCTCAACCAACTATGATGAGGGTTAGTATATTGAAAGCGGATTGGCATACCACTGACCACTGAAGATGAACCAGCGTTCGGAGCATCTGTTTATTTTTAACAGATTCGTGGGATATATCTGAAGAGCATAAAGAGGTATCGACACCATTGTCATGGGCCAAGTTCAACCCTAACCCTAGTTACGATCAGCGTAATGTCATCCTCCGAAGCACTAGCAGTACACACCGATATATGCGGATGCAACACTGGGATGAAGGGAGAGGTTGTAGAAAGCTAGAAGCGCACATAGTCTCATAGCTCGTAAAGGACTGTACTCGATTGCGCTATCCAGCCCTTGCCTTCCAATGCTATAGTAGAATGAGGCCACATCACTCGACGGTGCTGTTTCGGAAGCCTCTGCTCTCATATACAATATCCCTACGGCAAGCATACCGGCCAGCTCAGACAGTTCTGTCGTGGCCTCCAAACTGACTGATTTGTTGTAAAGCCCCAGGAAGGTGGGACCAGCGTGCGAGGCAATGTTGTCCACCAGCCTGCCCACATTTAACTGATCGAATACGAATGACATGCTGCTAGCACAGGTAAAGAACAAATCAAGAGCAGCTCGCATAGTATCGATCGATAAATCGTGTTCTGGGGGAACTTGCACTATTCCAAAGCACGTAGTGGCGTCTTGACACCGTGTTGATGAGGGTGATTGTGGATAGTCCGTCAGTGTTGTTGCAGAGCTCAGCCTTCTGGTTAATCCATCCGCATCATCCATATCTATTCCAGATGAGAACGAGTGATCCGTAGAAAAGGACTCCGTTTGGTCCCGCCCAATGGAGGCCAGCATTGCGTCAACATCGCCGGTCTTGATAGAACGAAGTTGTTTGAGTAGTCCCCCTGCCTCGTCAGATGAGGTCGTTTGAAGGTGACAGAGAATCGTCAGCATCACCCTTTTATCGTTTTCGAGTTCTTGCATTTTCTGTTTCCTGGCCTGCGAGTGAGATTGCCCTGCTTTGGTAGTGTATCCACATTCTGACTGTCTCAGTGTGCACGCTCCACACTGAGGCCTTGCGCCATCACACTAAGCTTGTCAGTCAGTATATATACGAATGGTTTTATCAAAAGCCTCTAGGGTTCATTCTACAGGGTAAAGAATATATTGGGCGAGTACAATGGCAACGTTGCCGTGCTCGAAAGGTATTGTGCACTAACTTTTGTACGTCTTGCTTGGCAGATTCGACAAGCGACGCTCACTTTCCGTTGGCTTGTCAGTTTGGCGCTGTACGGATGATAACCAACGTGATCTGCACCGGCAGTGGGGGAATGAAAGAGTCTGGGGAGGATCGGTCGTCCGTCTGTCATGTTGCCCTAAGACTTGCTGGCATTCTTCGAATCGAGATAACGGCGAAAACAACCAGTTGCTAAATATTTGATGACGAAGGGGTCACGGGCGGTTTTCTACCTGTGGCGAATGGGAACACATCAGATTTGTGTTCGCCAATGATGCGTAGTGCACATACAACCACTTTCCGTGAGGCGTCGAGAGGGGAGCGAGACTACTTGCGCATGCGATCGATCGACATGGGATTCATAAAGTCCATTTTTGGCGGTTCCGGTATCCGGGCCAATCAGTTGGCAGATGTCCGCCGCCCCGCCGTTGCTTTTGTTTTCGTCCCCAGTATCGTTTTGCCAGCAACAACACAGTCTTGAACAAATCCAGAACTTTTTTTAATACGAGGTAAAGCACGGTTCTTCACTGATGAATCGAAAATAATTCAGTGAAACGATGCGCGAAGCAATCAAGCTGTCATGTAACAGCGAAAGTGATATCATTGTGGGAGATACGGTTTCTTGACTTACTCTGGATACAACACGTTTGTTGCACATGACGAATATGCCATGGATCAAACCGAACCGGAGCAATGATCTGAGCTTTTCAATGTTTCGCCTATGTTAAAAACTGGTCGCACCGTACTGGAAAAACTTGCGGAAACATGCGTTGAACAGTTGGGTTCCGAAATTCAAGCACCCTTTGTGTATTTTAGTTGACTAATGACTCTGTATATTTGCCCGCAGCTATAATACGCACGTATGCTTCTGAAATTATGGAATTCAAAGCAAAGCTTCACATTGACCGCTGTAAACGAGGTTGCCCTGCATTCGTAGTAGCGGCATCGAGACCGACACCCCCGCCCAGTCATCCTGGCAGACAGGCGTGTAGGTATCCATCTGCGAACACTCATATGAGATCAGGATCCACCCCACGGCCTTGGGTCACCCGGATTATCAAATTAAGTTTGTATGAAGTTATTCCGTATCGTGTACTACACAACTGCGGGCTCGGTCAACTGTATTCCACCTGAACGAAAACAGTAACACGCGCGAACGGAGCAAGGCTGATATCAGAGTCCAAACTCCATCAGATTGCAGGTTGCTTGAAGGGAGAGTTGTCTACAACATTCCCTCTCACAACTTATTAGGTGCTCCAGTGAATCCCCAGTAGCATTATCCGCTCGTGAAAATATGCCCATGGTGGGTGTACTCGACGAAGCGAGACAGAGCGCTGCATCGGTACTGTACAGTCATACTATCGATCATCTCCGCAACCTCGATCCGCTTGGCCTAATGCAGAAGTCGCCAAGGTACATAAACTTTCATCGCTCGGTAATGAAAATTCTGCTTCCCTCTGTATGCTGCGACACCTCATTTTTTCTATGCGCGATCGAATTGAGCTAGACGCGTTGACCGGTGTGTTATCCACCTGGGGTACCCAGCTCCATGGAGCTAATGATATGTCTACGAAGTATGGTCGTTTCGAGATCCAATCATTTATGAAAGATGGAATAGAAGTAAAGCACGTGTTAATATTAAAGGAGGGAAGGAATGAAGACCTGCTGCCCTTTAGGAGCTGAACGCACAAAGAACACGACGAATCACGAGCGTTCAGAGCACAACCCCGGATGCTGATGACCTGCACATAGTGCCGATGTCGTATATCCTGCGGTTGATTGCGAGATGTGACATATAGGCCCCATATGGCATGCAGAAAACCTGAATCCAATAGACTGCTTCTAAACACGAGGGCATTCGATGGCCTGGTTCTTGCTTTTGACAGACCGGCCCTCATCCAATCACCGTGTGATGGAGGTCTAGAGATAAGGTCCCTCTTTGATTCCGATCAGTAACCCGTAGAAACAAAAGCTTGGGGGTAAAGACCACTTGTTGAGATTGGAGGTCATGGTGATCGATTAGATCTGGCACAACACAGTACGAAATTGGAGTTATGTAAGTCATGTTGTACAATTCCGGCATGTATTGAACCGATATAGTGGAAAAGTTTGGCATGAACCGTACAGAGCGGAGTGATCGAAGATGCCCGAAAGGCAGAACTCTTGGTTTTCAGCACCGTTTTTGAGAAGGTTGGACATTCGTGTGGCTAAAATTCCTTTGAGTGAGAACAACAGAAGAACGAGAAAATGAAATACGGGATATGCACCTGCACGAATGTGTCTTGGGTTCTGATCGTCTAACGGTCTACAGCCCGCCGGTACGGGGTCACTCCAGTGGTGTTGCTTCAAATGTTCGTACAGGCGGTAGACATGACATCTCTGCATCGTCTCACCTGCGCTATTTTTTCATTCCCAATGACGACTGTGCTACAACCACGAATATTACATTAGCATCCAATTCCAGCTCAGCTTGATATCGCCTCGATACGACAATAGGACCACACCCCTTTTCTGACCTATGGTCACGATAATGCCCGAGAAACTGCGAAAAGCTACCGGGTAGCAGCGATGCGCTAATGCTTCATCGGTACAGAACTCGCTTTGCATCCACATTCGCTTAGCCTAAGATATCAGATCTCGTAAAGAGTGAGTGTTATCTTGACTGGGGGCGAGCTATGACAGGCATGAACCCCGGGAATCACATACTCCGAATCAACGCAGGGTCTGAATATTCTTTAACAATCAATCGATATTTCTTTTCACATTGGAAATACACCTCACAAATATATTTGGCATTTGGCATGCCATCACGTACATGGTGATTCATAATTGACTGTCCCACCTGCTACCATGTCGCTTCATCTGCTTTGAATGCGGTACCTCAAATTGAAGATGTAAGAGTAATCTGATGGGGTACGGGTCCTATAGATACGAGGCTTATTCGCCCCCGAAACCAACAATTTCCATGTATTACGAATGCAGGCAAAGGACGGCCCTTCAGCTACTGAATCTGCTCCACAACTTTATCCAAATCCAAGTAGTCCCAAACAGCAGTAAATTTCCCGTCCTTAACTTCGTAGATTGTAAACTGAGTGGTTTTCACCCGACGACCCGTCGACGCAATTCCCTGGAACTCGCCCTGATGGGAGCCGGTAATCTCGAAATGAAGGTATAGGAAAGCGCCGTCGGCACCCATATGTCGGACACGCCAGCGGAAATCTGGAAACGCCACCACTAGCGGTTTGAATTGATCCGTTACTTGGGAAGGTGCCCAAGGCTCGTCGTTGATAGTGATGGGCGATGTGTAAAGTTTTTCCATCCCGTCGAAGTCGTGGGCGTTGCAGAGTGACAGATACGTCTCATATAGCGCTCTGTTGGCATTTTCCTGGCTAGCCATGCTCGAAAAGTGTTTATTATGTATGTGCGACTGAAGTGGAGCTATTCTAGAGTAATGGGAAAGGTCGGGTTGGTTTGTTCTCAAAAGACAGTGAGGGCGCACAGGAGAAAAGTCTTTACTTATTTGCTGGTTGAAGATCTGAAAAATGGTATGGCACAGCATGAATGCGTCACAACAAGCTAAATATATATTGAAAGTTCTGTCTTTGGTATCATTCTTCGAAGGTAACAAACAATGGCCAAGCCATTTAGGATGCTTACTACGCACCCTTTCCAGTCGCCGCGTTCAACTACCTGCAGAGCTTGGCGAAACTAAGCCTAGTAGGTGAGTATACGGGATGGAACTCGCATGCGGTAGAGATGAGTAATTCGGCTTGCATTTACAGGTACGCGAGATTTCTTATATCGGTGTCAATTTGACCTACTCGTAGCAGGGGATTGCATTGAGCTAGAAAACCGACTTCCTATACATGATTCACCAAGCGCAGTGGCCACCGTCCACCCGCAGATCCTACATATACGTTAATTGTAAATTGAGCAATCATGGGTTGACTGAACTTACGGCACCAGTCCTGGAGTGTGCACATGGTCGTCAGCAATCACTCGCGTTAGGCAGGCTCATCACTTACATAAAGCTGGATCCTGGGGCCAATAGGAAGAGTATGGGAGCTCTGTATTCTTCGGCTTGACTAATCCTTCCGAGCATGTTTTGTTTTTCCCATTGACTTACTAGACCCCTCTGTTTTGCTGCACCCGTGATTGGAGTCTCAATATGCCCGGGACTGACTGAGTTCACTCGGATAGGTGGATACGGCTTGCGCTCCTCATTGGGGTTCGGATTGGCGTCACCCGGGGTTCGTCCAGGGAACGTGTTTTGTGGATGACCCCACTCAGCGGCAAGGGAGCGAGTTAGTTGATGTATTGCCGATTTGGACGCGTTGTAAGGGGCAGTATTTATGCCCTTCCCATATTCAGTATTAGTCCTGGTGGTTTACAGTTGTGAAGCGATATACTAACCTTATTTGCTACCAAACCACTCATACTAGCTATCAGAACCATACTGCCAGTCACTTCAGCCGCATGCATCTCTTTCGCGACGGCTTGCGTGATGAGGAAAGTTCCTGTGAGATTGACATCTACAATCTTCCGAAACACGTCGATAGGGTAATCGCAGGCGTCACACTCGCCAGAGATGCCGGCACTTGATGTTGAGAAAAATCGTCAGTGAACAATGCATATATACATTTCTTGCGCAGCGCTACTCACCAAGCTACAAGGCCTCTAAATGGAAAGCGAAGCTCTTTGCGAATGTCATCGAAGACTTTTGGGACGCTCTCGGCATCAGTGATATCGAGTTGATGATACCATGCCTTGGTTCCGTTTTTCGTGGCAGTATCTTCTAGACTCTCTACGCTCATTCAGCTTTCATCAATTTCGAGGTTTTAAGGTAAGCGATACTCCACGTATCAGGGTCCGGGGAAGACACCATGTCGGAGAATACAGCATCTCCTCCACTCTCGAGGATTGCTTTGCCGATCGTCGTTCCTACCGCGCCAGCTCCTCCGGATACTACTTTTGTGAGTCAAAAACCTCGGAACTTGAACGTGGAGCCGCACTGAATATGGATCTACCATCTAGTCGGAACAAGTCCTGAGTAGGAATTTGCACTTCTGCAGGGAAGGTCATATCGAGTTTTCGAAAGCTGAAATACTTCAAATTTGGAGCACAGATAAGTTTTATCTGGAGCTTCTAAGCTATAGACTGGGGAACAGTGTTTGTTTGCTACTCCTGTCGCTTGGATCTGTTTGATTGATTGACTCATGCGGGGCAGCAACGACGTCATAGGGTACATATAAGTCGGTTCAACGTACATCGGGAAATTCGTCCAAGACGTACGAAACATTCATCTTGGGAAGAATACGACACATTTTCGATACATTGGTAGTGGTTTTCATAATAACATCGTTGTTGTTGCACAAGGGTCCAGTGCTGAAAGCAAAACTCCTCCTTGTGCAAATCTTTTTGTCCCTGCCTACTTGCTGTCACTACATTTTTATCTGCATTTTTAAGCGTAGGAAACACTGTAACTTCTAGTTCAAAGGAAAAGAAACTTACAATAACATCTAAGCAACCTTGGAATATACCTTTGTTTGTCACGTGTACTCACAAAATCACAAAACAAAGAAAAAGAAAACGACCAGCGGGATTCGAAGGGAAATGAATCGAGAACTCTACCAGATAGGAGAGATCCAAATGCAAGGCTCGGGCATCTAGATGCATCGATATGCTTTCTTTTTCTCTGCTTTTGACGGGGCCTAAAGCTGAGGTTCCATCTTACGAGAGGCTAACGCATTGGGGACTAGGCTCCGTAACCTCACATCGCGACATTGTTGTGGGCCACACAAGATCCCCTTCTCCCCATCAGTGCGCATCACATTCTATGGTGGCATTTTTAAATACGCCTTCAAGATGGCAATGCGATAGGGGTGGCTCGCTTGACGATGATAGTGAGTGCGAAATCGCCGTTGGCTACCGTATGATACCCATGATATTACGCAATGCATTAATACAAGTCTAGGTCGTTGAAGTGAGACTAAGGATACAAGAAGATTGAAAATTGCCTGGTATACATCGGAAAACAAACAAGAAACATGACCTGCACTTGAAGCAGACTCATCATCTGATTGCTCGAGTGGTCCGCCCAGTTGCTTCCTCACCCAATTTCTTGTCAATGGAAGCGATGATCTTATCAGCATGCTTGCTGACCTCGCTGTTCCCCCGCAATATTTGAACGACAGCATCCCGGGAAAGCTGCGTGTTGCGTGCGCAGTTACCTGGGGTGACATGTGTCAGCCAGTGCGCTTTATAGTTGTCCATTCGAAATGGTCCTTTGTCTTTGCATTTATCGATGACGCATCGAAACATGTCCTTTTTCAAGTGTACAGTTTCTACATGACGCTTTCGGTGTTCTCGACGCTGGTAGCTTTTACCACACCCTCCCTGCCAAGTGCATGAGTAGATTGACTTCGGAATGATTGCGGGGACGGAGCGGCGTGCATCGGCACGCCTGCGGACTCTGGTCTTGGGCTGCTTCTTCGCAGTATCTGGAATCGTTCGTCCCTTCTTGGGCGTCTTGCCTCCAGTGGGTCCTACATAGTAAGGTTCGCCTTCTTCTTCGGGGTCCGACTCTCGTTTGAATTCCAGCGGCTGTTCTCCCTTTCTCATGACCTCCTGTGGGGATGGAGGGAATCCTGAGTTGTCGCAAAACGCCTGCGTGACGAGTGGTGTGGATGATACGTTTGTATCTGTGAAGCCGTGGAGTGCCTCATCTGACATGCAGCGATCATCCAAGTTAATTGCAGGGGGCATGTTGGGGTCCCATATCGTCTGGGGATTTTCATTCCAGCTGGGAGTCAGGTCTGCAGAACCCCAGAGAGGGTTATCCAATGAAATTATATTGGCATCCATATCGGTAAGCGGATATACGTCTTCATGTGTGTCGAACTGGTACTGCACGAGTGGTGTAGGTGTGAAGGCGCTTGGATTTGTAAGATGAATCGCATCCCAGGAAGTAGTGATTTTAGGCGTCACAGGTTGAACGTGTAATACCTGCTCGAACCGATGCTCTTGATGGAAGAATGAGCCTCGTTCGTCGCTGATTGGCGTCAACGGCCCGGAGTAGTCGGACATGCAGCTTCCTAACGAGGACATAGATGCTTGCGAGGAGGCCACCGAGTCCCTTCGACTGTCAAAACTGGATATGCTGGTAGGAGTCCAAGGTCCTGGCGAGGGCGGGGGCGGGGGCCCGAAAGAGGATTGGTATCTATTCATGGTCTCCCTCCGGCAAGCCATATCGACAGGATCGAGGCGAAGAAACTAGATGTTCATGTCAGTCTACCGATATCCGTAGCAAGATATCAGGACATAACTTACAGTCGAGGATGAAAGTGTGATAAAATCACAGAACTGATGCAAAGTTAAGTTCAGTTCGGTATAGGATGTGGAGAAAGGGGCGAGTGGGATAAGAGTGTTGTCCACGGCTTTTGAATTAGGGTTTTTGGTCGACAGAAAGAATTGCTCGAAGAATCCACATTAGCCTTTGTGGAACCACTCTACGGTCACGGCCGCGACTGTGGAATGGGTTGAGCTTCGCGATGTGCCTCGACCGTATCAACGGATCGAACACCAGAATCGACCACGCCAAACGGTTGGGGATCTGCAAGGAGAATGATAACTTTGAAAGAAGTTGAAAAGTGAAGAAAGATACACGAGTGACCTTGCGGCCAACCGCGATTACGGCGACATTTTGAAGCAATACCAAGCTACACGAGGCTAGATGTCAGACACAAACCGGTTTAGCGGAGAAGGAGGGTCTGTCTTGCAACATGCAGCTCATTGCAACCTCAGTCTCTAGCCAACGCCTCTTTTACCTCAGTGCCCTACCACAGAGTAAACGCCATTACAGCCGCCTGTCTGCAGGCACTCGAACGTCTGGTCAAACAAGCCTCTGGATATGCATGTGCATAGCTAAGTTTACTCGCCACAGCAGTCTATACCGGAATCTGGCTGCTTGCTTCCCCATCATTGCAAGAACGCACTGTCAGATACATGGTAACACAGCTCCGTCCAATTTACTTCTCCTATGGTCTTGTTTGGTACCTCTTGCACTGCGATCCAAGCAGTGAGATGACGAGAGCTTACCACATGATACCCATTGTATCTCCGTATCTCACCTCATTTCTACCAAGATCTACATTCTTGGAAACTGGAGTTCCGTCGGATCAAACGTCTTTGTTTTCATCAGAAGAGAGAGCAAAGCTATGAAGCTATGGGCATTGCGCAATCGAGCGTTGCACAGCATCAACTATTGACTGGGGTCATCATGACCAGTAAAATCTCCGTAGTGGGTCTTGACGCCAGAGTATGATTGGCTTGCTTCAGGGGGTGGTGCCTTTGGGACGATTTCCAGAGAGTCTGGCACTTCACCGATCTCGGTCTCGATTCGAAATCTCAATCACCGTTTTCTGGACTTTTGCCGGGACAACGCTCTTCACCTGGATTCCGGTGATTATCATTCTTGGGAAATATCAGCCCCAGCTCTTGTACCTGCTTTGACGGGCACCTGCTTTAGCGACTAAAATGAAGTGAGTACCCACCAACGATCTCTCAAATACTACTTGGCATGTTTCAGCAGACGCAGCCTCGTACAGCGTCTATACGCGTCGGAGAAGCTGCATGCGCGACGACCTGGATCCAATATCTTTTCGTACAACCTGAGCATTGGCCTTCATCAGAATTCCGGAAGTGGAATAGCGGCCCCCACTGCTCAAATAGTGTACACGAAGATCTGGTGGACAATCACTGGATATGAGCGATATCTGTGTCACATCCCAAGGCCAAGCACTTTGGACCTAAACACGTCTTTGCCACTTTGGAGCATCAGCATGAGATCACCCAGGATATTCGTAGGTTTGTTCTCGGTTCCTGGACTCGGACCCTGCGGACTTGGATGAATACGAACGAGCGAGTTGAGGGGTGGTCAGGCGACGATCGTACCGTGCAATATCTGAGATAGGAATGGGCTATCAGTCCTCTCATGGGCACTTTTTCGGGGTTGAATGGGATACCGCGGGTTTATGGAAAGACTGGGAACTTCTCATCGGCGTCTCGCTACCGCAGCGCGCTGCGCTCGCGCCTTGAAGAAAGGGAGATTTTCGTAATCTCGACACGAAGACAATGCTACGATACTTCCCAATGGACGTCTCATTCCCTTGCCATGCCGTGCGTGGTTGATAGAGTCTGATTTCGTGAATTGCAGAGGTTACGCACACATCATGTCACTGACGGTGTATACGTCTGACCGTTCGCGCCCAGACGAGCGACTGGTCGATATTTGATCCAACTAATTGTTCGACTTTGATGAAACTCTCTTTCCATCCACGGCCTCGATCGGCCAACTCTTAATCCCGTCTGCCAGACTCGGCTGTCAACGGTTCGGCATCTACCAGTACAGTAAGAGCCCCTGGTGAACCGTGAGTTACAAAAGATGCAAAGCTAATGTACATTGGAGATTCCTGTACAAGGATCGACAGCAAGTTGTGGAGACGGCCAAGAGCGTTGAAGATCTGGACGGTAGACGTTAGATGGCTAGTGCGTTCCGTCATCACGGGCGCGATGCTTTTTGAGGGGGTAGTTGCATCGCAGTTTGCGCTCTACTCCGAATCCGGGTGCAATCATAGGGAATTTTTAACGGTCGCTCGTTGCTTGGTGAGCCAAGTTGCTTGGCCCAGGTCTTGATTAGACTTTGACAGCGTACAAACTGGGGCACATTCCAGGCTTCCATCATCGAACCGCTACAGCCGGGTGACTGAAAGCATCTTTGGATCCTTTGACTTGTGATCAGGCAGGTTCTCACCTTGACTTCGATCGAAAGTTGACGTGGTGACAAGTAGGTCGACGAAGGGGGTGGGGGGCGAAGCAGAACAGAATGTGACTTTAGATCCGCCACAACCAGCTAAATCAGGTATGGATATGGCGGCATGGTCGGTCTATGCGTTGTTCCTCGATAATATTTCCTTTTTGCTTGCTGAAGAGACCGGACGCCACCAAATCCAACACTTACCCACCTACCCAACACCCCGAATCACTTCGAAACAGCCTTGCTTTCCCGAAAAGGATACAGACTCCCATCGCCAGACATTCGAAGCGCTTTTACTAAGTCAGATCTTCTAAATGTAGGTGGGCGCGTGGCAGTGTTTTGACTCACTTTTTCGTCCACGCACCCACCAAGCTCCGGATTCCCGCTCTCTCAATCAATCACGCGATGAACAGCGAGGTAGAAAATTGGGGATGAACGTCCGATCCTCTTCATATACCAAGATGCTGAGATATCACCGTCACATTCACTCCGCCTCCGCATCCAATAACTCTCCTCTCCGTCCACACAAGATACCCGCCACGGTCCACCCTCACACCTCTCCAAGCCAATCTTTTGCTTCAAGACAGACAAGGCAAAACACCCATCCAATACAACCCTCGACAGTGTACCCAGTAAGTCACTTCCACCTGTCCCACTCCCGGGACCGTTAACCATATTCGTCACCCATGGCAGTGCCAAGAACCGGGCATGTTGAATCTCATAGAAACCGCTCATGCTCCATCTTGTACTTTCGTCCGGTGAAAGGATGGGGATGCGATGCACATGCACTCGCGCCATTGATCGTCAAAAAGCAATGCATCAGGAGGGGGCCAAACAGTGTGGTGTCACATATAATCCCTGTCTGATAGTATCGACTTTGGGCTCCGGGCAGACAAAGAGAAAATATAGCATGTTGTTTTCCGCCTGCCTGCTCGCCTGCCTGCCTACCTTGGCGATTTGCAGCTCCCTCCTTTCCTGACCCTCGGACTTTCTTACACATGACCGTGTCTAAGTTACTTTTTCCAGCTTTTGTACTTGGAAGTATCTCTAGTTCTGCTACTGACGAACGGGACATGCATTGTTGTCTGCCAACCCCACTCTTCTCCCCCCACACACACCCTTTAGCCTCAGCCCCAGCCGGCTCCCCATCAACGCAAGCAAACACACGAGTATGAAAGACATGGGGATACCATTCCCCTTTTCGTAATGCAAGCTCGATCCACAATAAACGAAGAGATTTTATAGAACATGCGCTACTATCAACGGACTTTGATTTGTTTGATCAAGACAGAAAGTACCAACAACAAAAAGAGAAGTCGTTCTTTCATCTTTGTAGAAATGAAAAGAAACGATGAGGTATATATAGTGCAATACTGCAACACAATCGCATACACATTCAAATACTGGAAAGTGAATCACCTCCAATACCGAAAAGTAGAATGGGAGGGGGGAGATGGCGAGGTCAGAGTATCTATCCATCTCACGCCTATGTAATGTTCAATCTTCAAATGCGATATAACATGTTGCGCAACCATTCTACAACTCACAGCCCCCTCACCCATAACAACAATCTTCTCTCACGCGTTGTAACCAGAGCCCTCCAAGATCTCCGCTATTCCCAACATTTTACGCAGCCACAGCTCCCGCATGCCGCCACTTGGCTCACTCTCCAATCGGGATCGGGGGACTTCGGTGTAATAACAAGGCCGAGAGGGAGATTCATGCACTAGGTAGAGTGAGGGAAAGCAGCGAGGCGGGGCGGTTGGCAACGGCACGGCACTAAAGTAGCAAGAGAGAGAGAGAAAAAAAATGGAAGAATTCTGGAATCATGAGCGATCACGGAGAGTGAGAGATAAAGTTCGGTTTCATTGATTCCTACGTATAATCGCAGTTGTTTTTCCGTACGTATGGGCGAGGAATTATGTAAACAGGGACTTGGAACAAGTCTTGGGATGACGTATGATATGATGATGTTTTGTCAAGTGACAAAAACTGAGAACCACCCCCCTAAGCAAGTGCGGGGGTGAGGAGAAAAACGCCAGTGAAATGCACAATATGTACAAATAGCAGCGCAAAAAGAGAAAGACGGACCACTAAAAGAGAATAAAATGGAAAATATTCTTTTGACCGACTTGGTCGTTGTTTTGAACAGACGAGAAGAGAAAGGTAATGAAAATTGGCCAAGATGCATGGAAAAGAAGATGCACCGTTTTTTGTTCAAAATGCCATGACCCAATGCAGTTGATATGGAAGGAGGTCCATAGGAAAATGGTAGAGAAAATGGGAAAAAGGAAGTCATATATACATGGTTTTCATGACTCGGGAGTTGTCGGGCATCGGTCGGTAGGTGCAGTCTATGGGGCCTTGTGGGTGAGGAGGATCCATTTACACATCGAGCATGCTTGGCAGCGGCTTCGCGAATGATTGCCGGCTACTTGAGGTGAAGCTGATCATGCGTTCTCGGGGCCTCGGTTCCCGCTCGTAGTCCATGCGCCAGTGCTCGCTGTCGTCGTCATCGTCGTCGTCATGTTCATCGTATTCGTCGTCGCAGTCTTCATAATCCGTGTATAGAATACCGGTGACGCTATCAGTGTGCTCCTCCATCTTCTCGGATTCGGGTGCTTGTGGTGGTTGGGCAACGGGAGCGGGGACGGCCTTGATTGTAGCATCGTTCTCCTCCACAGCTTTTGGTGTCGCGGCTTTGCTGTGTTCAGACTCCTCCTTGGTGGCTTCCAGATTTGATTTCTTGAGTGCAAGTTCGAGGTCCTCGGGTGAGAAGGGTGCGTCGCGCTCGCGTTTCGAGGACGATGGACGCCTGTTGCGATCGGACGTGGGCGGGCGTGAGGTGCTGGGCTTCACGGACTCGTGGATGGAGGAAGATTTACGGCGCGGACGCTTTGGGTCTTCTGTAGGATTGCGGGATAGACCAACTACAGCGCGAGGACAATCAGTCGGTTGGGCTTTGGATTGTTGAGAAACGAGTGGTAATGAAATATTGAAAAGGGAAAGAAGAACTCACCATTTGTGACATCGCCCTCCTCGTCGCTGCCCTCGCGTAACCGCTCGGGACGCTCATCCGAGAGACTGGCACCCACGCCACTATCGACGGCACTTCCGTCATCACCGCCGCGCGACCGGCTCATGCTCCGACGATGCATACTCCTGCGGGAAAACGAGCGGTAACTGCTCTTGCGACTGGGAATGCGACTGCCCATTGGGCTGTAGAGACTGGTCTCGCTCCGATGGCGCCATGCCTTATCCCAACTGAAGGATTCGAGGAGGGCCTTGTGCTCGGGAGCGACAGGGCGGCGGTATTTCAGAGGGGGCATCTTCTCGCCGGGCTGGTAGACCAAGGGGTCGGTTTTTGTTTTTCTGGGGCGGTGGAAGCCATGTGGTTTGCTAGGGGCATTGGAGTCTTCGGTGGAGTTTGTGCGGGTGAAGGCGCGACGCAGACGTGAGCGGAGAGGCATTGTGACGTGTGTAAGGGGGTTGCGGTGGTGGTGGTGCAATAGGAGGGGGAGGTTGAGGGAGGAGAGGAGAGAGGTGCAAGTAGGTAGGTAAATGAGGTAGACAGGAGCAGGCGTTGTGTTGTGGGTGGGCGTTGGAGGGTTGGCAAGGCGGCGGCGGGCTAGCGGAGATAATGGGTGGGTCGTCGATAGCTTCCTCCCCGGTACCTGGGCTGGGCAAAGAGTCCTATTCCTGTTCCTGCGGGTATGTGTGCATGTATAATAATATATTGGGGGGGGGGATTGGCGATGCGTCACCTGTACGCGAGCAAGGAACGGGGGTCTTGGAGGGCGTCGAGGTCGAGGGAAAGGGAAGAGAAAGAGATGGGTGTAGGAGGATAGGTTTTGTCGCGGCGGCAGTAGGTGAATTTACGCCGAGTTTCTCTCAGAAACAGCAGATGGCGGAGTTCGGGTGGAGCTGGTGCTGGGTGCTGTGGAGAAGCAGATGCTGGAGGCGACCCAAGCGCCAGGCGGATCGGTGTCTCAGGTCGATGAGAATGCGTGGGGTTGGCAGCCTCCAACGTCTGGAGTCTGCGACGACTTGATTGGGGCCAGGAATATATTAAGACGGAGGTTCAGCGTGTGTATGCAGGCATGCAAGTCAAGTAAAGTTTGTTTAGAGTAGTCCCAGTCGGGTAGGGAGAGGGAGGGAGAGGATTGGGAAAGCCAAGATGGCAAAGGCGTCTAAATAGAAAGCCTTGGTAGAAGGGCATACACACTTCGGCACAGACCGGGTTGAGCAATAATGGCGCGTGAAGCGAGGAGAAAGCGTTGACGTTATCCGTCTGCCAATGCTACTGGCATTACGCCCACGATGATGCGCTCCAGAGCAGTTATACCGTGTGGACTAAGTAGGCATTGTATGTGCATACATACATGGCACCCGGGTAGCCAAAGTAGGCAGGCCTACACACTCTCTATTTCCATTACCTAGCCCCAGTATGTAAGACGAAACCTGAGGGCAGAAAGCACAAGTGGAAAAAAAAAAAAAGAGTCGCAAGACAGCCACCCGAGGGCTGTCACCATGGCTCCTCGCACCATTTGGGCTTCGCGTGCAAAGAGCGCGAATTATCTGATTTGTGCAAAGCGCATCAACGAACCACCAACCCGCGGGCTGGACGTCTGGCGGTGCCTTGTTGGGCCAGCCCGTCCAAATGCTTTTCCCGCCATCACCACCACCTCGTCGGCGTCGGCCTGCTCCAGACTCGATGCACCACCAAACAAGACTGGTCAAACCATCCGTGAGCCTCAACACGCCAGTCGCTCCCCAGTACGTATGCCCAGAGAGGGCTCTGACGGCTTGGTAGCAGTAGCACCTGTATACCCCATTCCATGCAGCACAACGTCCGACTTCGCACAAGGTCCAAGGATGAACCGAGACTTCACAGGATCAATTGACTGGCATGCATCCCACATGCCATGAAGCAACTGATCAATCTCTCCTGTGTGTATACGCGCAACATGACACCCCAAAGGCTGCGATTGAACGGTAACACCCCCACCACGACGCCTCTGTGACAGCCCGCGTCTGATAATCCCCATGTCGGCCTTATCCTCGCTCTACCCCTCTCCGCTCCCTTCCTTCACACGCAGTCTCAACTCCCATACGTCCCAAGTCGGCTGCACCTCCTCTTGCCTGCCCTTCTTACAGGCCACTACAAGGCTTCAGAAAAAAACAACCATGACTCGGTGGCTGAAGATGCCATGAAAACGGTGGGGTTTGGCACCCAGCGGCGGGGTCCTTGGTGGGCATTTGCACGTCATTTGGCCTCAACCCGTCAGCGCCGGTCCCTCTTTTTCTTCTGCGCTCCCTCTTCGCCTCTCCGTCTGTTTGTTGTCATGGGAATAACTAGCAGGCTGACCATCGGGTCATGAACGAGCGAGCGAGCGAGAATGCAGCCAAATACGCGCCCTCGTACGAGCTCGACGGGAGCTGACAGTTGTCATCAGCCACGCTGTTGAAAGTTCAGGCCGCTCTTCTTTACGTGCGCCTGTTCGGAGTGAGGCGGCGAGCGGATGGCACGGCAGAAAGGCACGGCAGCTGGCCCAGCTCTCACCGACCTTCGTCTACCACCCACCACCACCACAACCGCACTCATGGCACTTGGCCCGCCCGCCAGCCAGTCTTGCTCGTTCCTGTCCTTGTTTCCCTCGATGCCTCGAAATCAAGGCCACAGCCCCCAAATCTGCACTATTCTCCAAATAGCATCCCGACCCACCAATCCGATCTGCTGACAGGGATCTGGGCGATCCGCGGAGACTTCAAAAGCTTGAATCCCAACCCTCACGCGCAATGTCGAGTGGCGCCCATATACAACCGCAATCGCAAGAGCAGTCGTGACTCTCAGGTTCCAATTGGAAGGTCGCGGCGGGGGCCAGACAAAGCCACGGGAGACCACCAAGCTATGAGGTCATTATGTTGTTGTCCCTCCTCACTTACGTATGTGAAGCACTTACGTAGTAGACCAACCCCTCACAATACCTGATTTCTTTCTGTGATTCAATCCTGTGTGCCTCTCTTTATAACCCATGCTCTGCACTCAATTGCCCATCATCAACGGAACCCTGCAATATCTAATAATATCAACTCGCCATGGAGAAGATCAAGAGCTTGATGTGAGTCGCCTTGTCCAGGCTGTCTACGGATACGATGCTCCACGACCCTTGTTCTCTAACAATGCATACTTGACCAGTTCCCACCGCAAGAGTCAGGACGAGACCCCAGATCGTAACCCTGCCGAACCTTCTGTAAACGTGCGGAAAGATGGGTGAGACCACACCATCCCTACCCTGTCTACTCAGGGTTCACCATCCCCGCTACTGGAACTAACCACCCACTCACCGTGATAGCGAACACCCCATTTACGACCAGATGACCAACCACCCTCCTGCCGCTGCTTCCACTTCCTCGCAGCCTTCTTCGGCTTCTGCTCAGGCACGGGACGGCGAACCCCACCACTTTTCCAGCGGTCACCGATCAGCCAAGACGGATTCGGGCAGTGGTCCAGAAGCAGCCCGGCAAGCCCAGACGAGTTTGCAGCCCGAGAAGGCCCATCATGCGGGGGATTATGCGAGCGCCTCGAGCATCAAATCGGGTGTTGTTGGGTATCCTCCTTCTTCACTAGACAAGCACGCTGCCTTGACCAACAATAATCCCGCTGAACGTCAGCTATCCGGTGATCAGATTCTCGGCCAGGGAAGGGCTGAGCACGAGGACGCAACCCGGAGTGCTGGCCGCGTGGGAGAAACGCAGTCATACGAGAAGCCACTCGGTCAGAGCTCATCTCCTGCTGCTGTTGGCACCGAGAGATCTTTCCCATTGACTGGCGGTATCAAGTCTGAACCGCAAGCCCAAACGACCACAAGGGAGCCTGTTACCAATCAAAGGGCAGAACGCGATGGTCAAGGTCGTGGAGCATTGGCTGGCGCAGCTGCAGCGGCGACCGCAACTTCAGCTATCCCTTCTTCTCGTCACACTAAACACACCACCTCTGAACCACTTCCTGGATCAGATTCCAGCCAGATTCGTAACGAATATCATCCAGATCCTGCCGCAATCACTTCGAATACACAATCGACATCACTGGCCAACCAGGAACGCAACAATGTGAGCTCTGCTACGAACAATGACCAATCGGGTGCTTCCAACTCATCGATCCACTCACTGCTGTTCACCAAGGGCCCTCATCCTACTGATGCCGGGAACTTGTTTGATCCCAAAGTTTCCAACCCCCACTTGCATATTCCCGGCGAATTCCCCACTCTCACCCCGGTAGAAGAGTCCCGTGAGCCTTCTTACAGTTCCAACAAGGCCAATTCAAACGTCGACCCTACGACTATTCCCGGAACACACCAGGAGCTTCGCCACACACGTACGCTGGACACATCACAGACACAATCGGCGGATGGACAGTCCACTGGAACCACTGCCCGAGATGGTACTGGTGCTAAAGCGGCTTTCGCCGCTGCTGGTCTGGGTGCAGGAGCAGGAGCAGGTGCTTATGCAGCGGGGAAGCACCACCAAGAATCACCACAGCCTGGCAGTGAGACTTTCAAATCGGAGCCGAGCCCATATAGTTCCCACAAAATTGACCCACGAGTGGACTCCAAGCCTCGTCAAGACAAGAGTATCCCATCCGCTGGTGCTGGTATTGCGGCGCAACCCGTTTCCGAAACCCAGAAGAAGCCGGAGCATCATTACGGTCGAGATGCCGCTCTTGTAGGTGCAGGTGCAGGTGCAGGCACAGCTGCTGGACTTTACGCTTCCCAGAGCTCAGGCCAGTCAGACACTGGGCCAGCGTCATCAACTATTGGCCCTCACAAGAGCAATCTGGCCAACATACTTGATCCCCGGGTTCAGCCCGACCCAGAAAAGCAAAAGTCTGCCCACAAGCAGGAACACCAGGATGGACAAAACACCTATACTGCTGCCCCTGTTGGTAAAATTCAATCGGAGGCTAGTGGCACCGCAAAGCACGAGGCAGCAGAGACTTATGACAGCCACCGTCTCACTCAGCCCGCAGCGTCCATGAACGAGCAGCGTTATGACCCAAACTCTCCAAACGCCAAATCACCCTCTCCTGTTCCTTCCAATATCCAAGCCAAAGGAGAGCCACAGAGCTCTCAGCAACACCATTATGGTCGAGATGCCGCTGTTGTCGGTGGTCTAGGAGCCGCGGGTGTAGGCGCATACGCAGCCACACGTGGAGATGATCGCACTAAACAGCAACTTCCCCCTTCCGCATCTCAACCCACCACCCTTGCTAGCAAAGAGCCTACACACCAACGCTACGACTCCGTCCAGCAGCCATCCCAAGACCACGACAAGCGTAACCTGGCAGTCGGGACCGCCGCTGCTGCCGGTGTCGGAGGAGCAGCATATGCGTACTCTTCCCAGCACGACGACGCCATGAAGTCCCAGGAACAGCAGCTCAAGGACCAGCAAAAAGCCTTCGACGCTCAGCAAAAGCAGCAGGACAAAGATCTCCACCACCAACAAAAACAACATGCCAAGGACCAAAAGCATCACGACAAAGAAGTCACTGCCGCGACCGCCGCTGCTGAGAAGGAAAGACAGCATGCCCAGCAACAAGATGCGCGTCACGCTCGCTCACAGGAAGAAAACATGGCTGTCAACAAGAACAGAAGCTTGGAAGACGGCAAAGATGAAAAGAAACACCGTCTCCTTCCTTTCCTGAACCGCGATAGGGATGCGGATGAGACACGCACATCTACCGACCAATATCAGAATGACTCGGATACGAGTGAAGGGAAGAGGGAGCGTCATAGGTTGCACAAGGACCCCCCGCCGGGTCATCCCGCTCGCGATGCCATGCTTCACCAGCAGAAGCAGGGAGATGATGGCCGGTAAGTCCTCTGTTTAACTTCCATTCCCTCGTCACACCACTCCCATCTTCAATTTACTGACCCTCTTATTTCACAGCGTGATTGAGCCACACACCGGTCTCCCCATGAACGTAGCGAAATACGGCACTGATGGGGAGGGGGGAACAGATGGAAGTAGTACCGTGCACGGGTATAATACCCATAAACAGATGCATCAGGGTGGGGGGCAGGGGAATGGTAAAGGTTGTATCTGCTGATCTCTTCTTCCCTTCCCTCATCTTCCTGAGTAATGAATGTCTGGGTAACGAAAATTTCTTTTTCGTGGTTCATGGAAAAAAGAAAACCTCTCTTCTATATCTGTTTCTTTTTTTCTTGGGTGTGTATTATGTGAAACAAATCAAGTGGTTTGTGGGTTTTAATATGCGGCATTGGTATTTCCTACAGTACATAATATAGTCTATAGTTTTTAATAGTAATTGAAGCATTGATCACTATCATATTATTTAGTCCTTAGATAGGCTTGTGAAGAGCTATGTACGATAGCATCTTTAACCATCCATCCTCAAAATGCAGATTCTGGCTCCCGCCACCCCAGAAGCCGCATTACTTGATAGTAATCGCAACGTCTCGCAGTAACCCGTAGTGATTCAGAAACTTACTACTACCAGCACTCAAACGAAAACATGTAATACAACATCTCCAAGAATGGATTTCTCAACTGATTGATCGATTTCTACCAATCTACTCAATCCAAACAGAATATTGTGAACATTCAAGCGACAGCCGCAGAATCTTCCACTTTCGTTCTTCCCAGGCCCCCGCTCCGCCACAAGCGAAAGAAAAAGAGGGAAAGGAGAAAGAGATGGAGAGGGGTAACACAATCAAAAATGATGATAGGACCGGTGTATGCAACACGCGGTTGAAAAGAAGCATATACAGCAAGATGAATGAGTTTGACGCCCAAGCGCAGCAAACAAACAAGAAATCATAGTTCAATATACCGAGTCAAAAGCTACCGGATATCTCAAACTTGTACTCAACACCAAAAATAGCGCCTTTGCTCGATGACTAGAGGAACCAGAAGTTGAAAAAAAAAACAAAGGTCCAACAAAATGAAAAGAAGAATGTTCCATGGTATCGCTGGCTAAAGTCGTCTGATCGTCGGTGCATAGGTGATAAATGTATTCCCAGATTCCAACCCTAAGAAAATCGATAACAGAAAGTAAATGCCTCGGGCACGCAGCCAAGGACGAGTGTCACCATGTAAGACCGACGCCACGGTCACGGCCTAAGCGACTAGAGGCTGATAGTCAGGTGGTTTGCTACTGTCGTTTATACTGCCATCATGCATGCCACCAAGGCGTCCGTTTGCATGCGCGAGCCCGGATTTCGCTGCTTCTTGCAATTGAGCTTGCACGTCAACAGAGCGGTCCCTTTCGTGCTCCCGGTGAGAAGGGGAGTCCCGACCGGGCGTAGAGCTGGGCTGTTGCGGATACGTGGGTGTCGGTTGTGGGCGTATTTGTAAAGGAGGTGCTGTAGCCGGAGGGTGGCTTGCGGGTACTGATACAGGGCCGATGGGACTCCCGATACCCGTTGGACTGTCGGTACTCGCACGATCGGGATGCCCGTGACCGTCGTTCTCTTCGCTTTCGCTATGTATAGCACTAGTGCCCGAAGTGGGATACGAGAATGTGCCATCCCTCAATTCACCCTCTCGCACTTCCTTCCAGGAGCACTTTGCGTGCTTCTTGGTACATCCCATACACGCTGTCAGGTTTTTGAGACAGTCCATATGAAGTCGGCGACACCGATCGCATGGGGGGAGTATCCGTTCTCCCTTGAGCAAGCTTTCCATGCGCTGGACCATTGCAAACTTGAAAGGGCCGCCGTCATCTTTTTCCTGGGACTGCTGAGTGCGCTGGCTGGTAGCCGGAAGCAGATTCGACGGTGTATTGGGAATGGGAACAGGCGAGTTCATTACGTGGTGAAGTTCCGACTCCGACATGTGTTGTGGGCGTTGCATCAACGCTGGTTGGCCAAGTTCAATCGGTTTGGGGGGAGGTTTGGTAGCGTGAGGGACAGGGGTCGAGGAGTGAGAGTGACTATGGGGCGCTATCGAAGCACGGTTGCTATCCAATGTCCCATTGACAGGCACTGAGGCCTTTCGCTCACTCACGGTTTGGAATTTGGACATGAGCTCGTGGCGCGTAGATGACGAGGCACCGTTCTCGGCGTGGGAGCGAGAATTGACGGCCACAAAAGATCCGGGCGATGGTGCGGAGGGCTGCGCGTGGCTACTCGCATTCGCTTGGGAAGTGCTCATCAGAGCCACATTCGAGGGGCTAGAAGGGCGGACGGGCGGAGCAGGACTGGCATTTGCTCTCCGGTCCAGGATGGCCTGCTTGCGTCCCTTGAGGCGATGGTTGAGCTGGCGAGTCCTGGCAGCAACTGTTTCAAGTCAGTCAGGAACCGGCATAGCTCAGATGTGACAAAGTAGCGAACAACAACAGAGAATAGATTTACTTGCCTTGGTCGGCCAATTGACAAATCTGGCCCAAGTTCTTTTCCAAAATGTCGAGGGTGCCCAATTCCTTCTCCTCATCTTCGATGATTGGCTGTGGGGGGATCATCTTTTGTGGAATGCCCGAAGAGATGAGAACAAAATCTTCTTCGGAGATCTGAACTCGGCATTGTTTGGTGTAGAACTGGCAGACGCGCACACCTTCGCTCATTTGGCCGAGCTGGAACTGTTCGGGCTTGTTGCGGGCAAACTCGACCACGTCCAGCCACGAGACCGAAGTGCCATCTTTTCCGTGGCTCTTGAGGACCCGCGGCGGACCATCAAACAGCCTTTCGAACCTCTTGATCAGGATGGGGCCGAGGGGGCGTGCGCCGAGGTTGCAGGCCATGCTTTCATGGCGGTCCAGCACGCCCTGGTAGTCACTGAGCAGCGACAGGATGTTGGGAAGGGTGTCATCGTTGGTGATGAGCGGCAGGTCGTTCTCGCAATGCCTGGCGAGGTAGTTGATTTGCAGGTGGTTGCTGGTTTTGGCTTGCTTGGGCAACGGGGCAGGGGCGGGATGGATGTGCTCATGTGAAGGGCTCCGTTTGCGCTTGAGGTCGGCGGTCGGGGCGGAAGGCGCAAGGGGAGTGGAGGCGCTCATTGTGCCGACAGCAGGATCAGCCGAGGTCATGACGGGCAGCGAAGAAGCGAGGCGACACCGAAGACGCGGCCTGCTGGGAGGAGAGATACGGGTGTTGAGGTGCGGCGATGGCAGGCAGAGGGGATCGCGACAGTGGGTGGAGGTGGTGAGGATGAGGGAGAGGGCGGTGGACGGAGGGCGGGAGGGGGTGGAGCGAATGGCGGAAAAGCAGCGGACTGGGTGGCTACGAGTAGCGCGACGCCAGAACCCGGCGACTCGAGCGGCCGAAGTGGGAGCAGCGGAACAGGCTCTGTTAGAGTGGGGACATGATGTCGCAAGGAGCGGGTGAGGAGGAGGAGGAGTGGATGATGGAGCGGAAGATGAAGGACATTTCAAGGAAAAGGAAGAGGGACGGGTGCATCAAAGGAGGAGAGGGGCAAGAGAGAGGGTGCGCGGTTTGTTGCGTTGCGTTGCTTGCTTGCGTTGCTTGTTGGAGGAACCAGACCAGACCGACCTGAACATGGGCGGCTAGTGGGAAAACATGGACATGGACAGGCCGTGGGCAAGACGCGCCAGCGCCCGCGCCCAATGACGACGCCGGGGAGCGGCTGGGAGGAGCTGGCTGGCTGGTCTGGCCTCCATCCTCAATGCCTCTGATCGGCATGTCCTCGATCCTGAATATACATATACAGGCCGCATGTATCGTGCATACATACATAGATGGCTATATGTACCTTTTGCTACCAACTCGCCATCTCTCGGATCAATACTGGCTATAGATGTATGCCAATACTGAACAGGCTCCTCTCCCATCGATCGCTTGCGGCGGCACAGGAGACGGAAGGCACTGAGCGGAACCGGAGAAGTTCCGCCCTTGCAATCGCGTCACGTGCTTTTGCGCCTCTGCGCACGAACCACCCTCGACTTTCCAGCATCGATTGATTGATCCTACACTACTGTGAGCTCCCCCACGTCACGCAACCTCTCCACAACACAACCCGCACTCACCACCTACGCTCCTTTAGCTTCAACTTATCTCTCACGACCAATGTCTGAGCGGGCCGCATTCAGAGGTGGTCGAGGTGGCGGTCGAGGCGGCGATCGCGGCGGACGCGGAGGTAGAGGCGGCCAGGGCGGGGGAGCAGGTGCAGGCCAGACGGAGCGACCCAAGAAGGAAAACATCCTTGACTTGAGCAAATACATGGACAAGCGCATAACTGTCAAGTTCAATGGCGGCCGGGAAGGTACATACGCTTTCCATCGCCATTCGGCATCTTTGGCAAATTATCGTTACTGACCTGTTCTTATAGTCATCGGAACACTCAAGGGCTATGATCAACTCATGAACCTTGTGCTGGATGAAGTCAAAGAGGCCATGACGGGTAGGCCCACCTCCCAATTCATCCACCCTCCAACACTCAGTCATTGGCGCTAACGGCTTGCTGTAGACGAGGATGGCAATGTCCAATACCGAAAACTCGGCCTCATCGTCGCTCGCGGTACGCTGCTCGTCGTGATTTCCCCCGTCGACGGGAGCGAAGAAATTGCGAACCCCTTCATACAAGAGGACGAATGAGAGCGAACATGATCGGAATACATCTCTTGCAAATTAACGATATATACCGCCGTTTGGGAGAAATCAAGGCAAAACATACCTGAGGGAAACGCACCATCACAGGCATTATTACGCACATTGCCGGTGTACAGTTCGGCCGATACGAGAGCGGCCCTTCTCCATCAAAATGCAGATTCAAATCACCGTAGGAACCAGAGTACGTTGACATGAGAGGAATCAAGGAATGAAGCTTCGGCACCCAATAGCGCGAGCATCAAGACAGTCAAAAACAATAAATAAAATGTTCTCCAAATAATTCCATCTTCAGCAATGGTCAATGGATACATACATCGGACGGGACACTAGTTATAATACAGAATGAGCGATTGTCTTGTGAGTCTATATACAAAAAAGGCTATGGTAAGCGAAAGTACACCCTGCCAAAACCGATCCAACCCCGTAAACTCCCCCATATCAAATTAATTTCACCTCATTATATCCCCTCAGCAACTACTTGCTCTATTTCGGCCAAGCCTCTTCTCCGCAACCAAAATCGAAACACAGTCTTGGGCGTAACGAGAAAAGGGAAACAAGGATCTTTCTCACACCAACGTCTCCTCAAACTCAAAGTCGACCCCATAGAAGCTCTCCTGGAAAGCCTTCCAATCTCCACACTCCCTCTTTATATCATCCAGCCTCTCAATACTTCCCAAGATCTCTTCCTGTCGCTCCACAAACTGCATGCCAAAGCCCTGGCCCACGTGGAATGGGATGTGGCAGTGCATGAGCCACACGCCTGGGTTGTCGCTCTCGAACGCGAGCACGAGATACCCGTTAGCAGGCAGAGTAGCGGTATCACGGCGGATCGGGTTATCGGTGCGAAGACGATCCACCTGTGAAGCGTTCCCGTTCCAGGTTGCGTCGCTGACTTGGTCGAGGACGTAAAAGTCGTGGCCGTGGAGATGAATTGGGTGCGGTACGAATGCCGCCATGTGGTCGGATTGCTGTATCACCCAATATTGGAACTACCATCCCCCAAAACGTGTCAGCCCCATCTGCACTGCGTTCATCCACAAAATGGAAACAATATATGAATGGTACACAGGGAAGTGAAACAAGAACTCACAGTATCTTTCTCTCCAACTCTGTACACATTATTAGTCCCTTCGAACTCCCATTTACCATCCGTAATTTGCATCAGCGTAGGCTTCTTCACATCGACCTTCATCGGCTTCCCATCGATCAACCAATGCACACCATTTGTGCTCGCATTGGTCGTGTCGAATCCCACCAGCATCTCCTGCGGGATATCCCGGGGGACCTGCGTCCTTTGAACGGGCACTAGATTCTGCTCGTCCCAGCAACCTTCCATCAGGTGCCCTGCGGCGACCGAGACAGGTTCCGCAAGAAGATCAGGAGCATCGGCGTAGCGGAAGATACCGCGAGCTTCCGACGCGGACGGGTTGGGTCCATCGCAAGATCCACCTGTGCCTACGCGGAAGTAGTAGGAGGTTGAGGGTTGGGTGGCGTGAATCAGGACGTCGTATCTTTGGCCTTGGGGGTTCTAGGTTAGTATCAGGATTTCTTTGAAATAATCGAATGGGGAAAGATGTAAATTGCGTGTATCAGAAGCCCAAACACCAGTGATATTGACTGCATGATAGGGAAGGCTAGAGCTAAATAGTCCGACTCACCAATAGCAATTGACAGTTCTGTCGTCTCAAACGGTTCAATCGGCACAAAATCCGCGGCAATTACCGTAAACGTATGGTTGTCAAGCGAAGCGTGGATCCAGTTGTTGATCCCCGTGTTTACGAGTCGCAGACGGTGCGTTTTTCCTGGCGTCAATGTGGTTTCGGGCTTTGCGCCACCGTAAGGAGATGTCATAGTGCCGTTGATCAGAATGTTGTCTGCGATAGGGGGACCGTGGGCTTCGTGGTGAGCTGCTGAGTTTACCGTGAAACTACGGGGGTATAAGTTAGTTATCCAGTCCTGCGTGAGTTCAAATCGAGGAAAGAACAAGATTGATAAAACTCACATAGGCGAATGAAACCAGTCCGTCATGGGCATAATCCCAAGATCGATATCGTAATTCTGGGTCGCTGGGCCGTGGATGATGATACCGCCCAAAACGCCATCGCCATACTGCACGGAATAGTGGCTGTGGTACCACGATGAACCATACTGCGTCGCTCTGAACGTGTAAACCTTGGAGGCGCCCGGTGGAATCGGGCATTCAGTGAGACCACCGGTACCATCGTACTCGTTTGTTTCCAGCTGACGGATGCCGTGCCAGTGAATTCCAGTGCCGTTGGCATGAAGTCGGTTGATGACGGTAATCTGGAGTATGTCGCCCCAGTTTGCTTCAATCGTGGGACCTGGGTACTGCCCGTTGACGACCTGCATGTCCCGTGGGAAGCCGTCAGGTGCCATTGTGGCATTCGTGATTTCTAACGTGTACTGTGTTCTCAAAGGTCAGTACACCTGACTCTGTTTGTTGGACTTGCGGCATTCCAATCCGTACCTTTCGGTATACTCCTGTATCCGGCCATACGTCGTCCATGTCTGTTAAAACGTCCAAGTCCCCGGTCCAACATCTTCTCGTTTTGGGCCCATGTTCACAGTTTTGCGATGGTTTTGGAGTCCAGTCTGCATTATGTTCCAAATGCGCCCGTGACGCGTTGGTGTCTGCGTCGGCATGTGCGGGGAAAGCGTTGACTGAGGAGCAAAGCAACGTGCCCAAGAAGGCAACATATGTAGAGCCCCGCATGGTGATATTACTGTAACGAATGAATGAACACGAAAAGAAACGATCGGTTCCTTTTCAGTTTCAGAAAGAAGGCCCCGGAAGGATAGAAATACGCAAATGAATGCGGGTAGGAGAACAACAATCTATTCCCAGAATGCGATTTCGATGAAGCTCTAGTCAACAGGAAAGCTTATGGGTGTCCATAGCCATGGCTATATACGCCATCCTTCTCAACAACAGGGAGTTGTCTGGCTTCGGCACAACTGGGATTTGGTGACGTGCAGTCAGTACATGGTAGTAGCCGCCAAGATGACATATGTCTACTTGTATGCCTAGGAGAGATCGGATCGGGGCAAATATGATTGAACCTTGGATGGGCGTTGTAGCAACAGTGGACAGTGACATGCGTGCAGACGGCAAGAAAGACCCTATCGATACCAACGCTGACAATTCCATGTTCGAATGAACTCGGATGACAGAATTGCATGATTCTTTGGGCCGGGCGGCTTGAATACGGTAGGGCATGCCATGCAGACCTCGTCGCCATCGTGATCTGTACCGAGGACCAGTATCATATTGGCATTCCACGACTCCAAATGATATCCAGCGATTGTGTGTCTCCAAAGTGAATGCATCACCCGAAATCCCAACATGTTCAAGGCCATCAACTTTTGTGGTAAAGCAGAGTTTGCCACCTCCCCATGAAGTCGTCATTATAGTCCAGAGTTTAACCAATATGGCGTTTACTGAGGCCCATGCTCATTCAATTCGACCATAGGTGGGTATCCGAGGCGTTTGAACTGGTGAATTCCGGGGTATTTAACCGTATCTACATCGATTGGAGCTGCGATTGAAAATTTAATCGTGAACAATGTGTGAAATGAAGCATTCTCTGCAGGGAAGGTTCGAAGAAGGTTCACACCAACCGCAACGCTAGCCCTCATCAAGGGTGGCTTCCCACGTACCTGCCCTGAAAGCCTCAACGTCGCATTGCCGTGGCCAGCATGGGGACCCGGTCTTCCTGCTGATCTGCGCTGTGGATGCTGATGTCTGTAATCGGGGTGGCTTGCCAATTGGTCCTTATTGCCGGATCCTCACACTCACTACCGCTTTTCTGCCAACATTTGGTTTTCTATGCCGATCTGTTCGTGATATGTATATGCAGTCTGCCACATGATTTTCTACACATCCAACAAATTCTGGTTTCGGATCTTGGTATTCACCATCAATCGATAGCTACGCCTTTTCCTGCATATTTCTACCGCACATTGGCAGAAATAAATCACCCACTCGAAAAGCAACGGTCAAAGGCTGCCCCAGATCCTCCATCCACTTGCAAACCAATGTTTTCTATGACGATTTTCTGTTTACTCAAGACTGCCTTACATTCCTGGAAGGTAAGTCGGAATTTTTCTGTTGAGAGGATACGAATCATGACCCGTTGAATCATGGTAAGGAAAAGAACGGGAGCCTTGATTTTTTCCAATCAGGTGCACTATAGAACATGGTTCCGAAAGTATAACAATGCCAGGGTCGTTTTCTGCTAAAGAAATGTTAAGGTCACTTTCCCAACAAGGTTCACATCTCTTGCATACATTACGCAACTGCCAGATGCCGAAGCAACGCGAGGCCCATGCAGTATACAAAGAAGAGGGATTGCTGCATTCTCAGAAACCACGCAATGATTGAATCATTGCATGAGAGCTTCCCGATTGATCACGGCCTCGTGGCCTTTTGACCTCGTGTTCACGGCTATTGTATGTCGCTAGTTGGCGAAACTCTATTCCAGGGATCTTTGGGTGGGACTATTGCTCACCACTTTCTTCTTCACCAACACGACAAGGGTTGCCATTACATGCAAACGCTTACCCACCGATAGGATACTTTACGGATAAGACACATCACCAAAGACGACAGTGAAAATGTCGACCAACCGAAGAGCGGGTTTGTTCAAGAACGAAAGTCTATGTCTATTAGACTATGAAAGAGCGGGAGCGAGCGAGGGTATGGGGAAGATCAGAGCCACTAATGGTATACTCGTGGAACCCGCTCCGTAACGACAGCTTTGAAGCCCTTAGCAAAATGAAGAAACACAAGTTCTAGCGGCAAAGACAAAAAACTCGTTAGCAAGCGCCAAAATAACAATCAAAGTTCGCTTTAATTGATGTAGAATGACTTATGGAGGTGGTTCATCATGCTTCCGCGGGTGTGCCATCCTCATTCAAGCAGGGAATCTGAGCTGTTCTTGAAAGTGCCGTGCGGCTTATACCACTTGCCAGTGGAAAGGAAGACACTCTTAGTGTGAATGATCCTGTCATCCTAGTATTCGTTCATGGCAAACTTTATCAGCCGAGTGATGACGCGATCACTGGTAGTTTGATCGAAATCTACAACCACATAGTCCGTGACACTCCCATGAATTAATCCTTGGTGATATCTCATTGACTTGCCTCTCCAGATGATCACAGACCATGAATCGAAATCAACTGATCAAGATGATACAGACCACGGCGAAGCAACCATGTCTCCGGCGCGCAAAACTGAGTTCTACAGGGAGGGACCGGGATGGTCCGAGCTACGGGAGGATGTAGCATCTTCAAGACAGAAAAGATCCGTCATCCCCGCATCCCCGTCTCCGCAAAACTTTTGTGAAACAGGTTGTAGCGCCAGCGCATGAAAAAGTACTTACAGCGCTGGCCACCCTTACGACCAAGACTATGAACACAAAGCTAAGTACAAACCTCTGGTTTATTCACCCATTATAAAGTACAGCACACAGGCGCACACGATGTGTCTATAGAACAATGGAACTTATATAGACGTATCTCTCCTATATATATGACCACGAAGTAGATAATCTCTTGAGCCAAATTCTTGATTCTGCCGTCTTGACATCCACGCAATTCTGCTTCACAAATTCGAATTGGGACTGGTACCATCGCATGTTTGCCCCAAACCTTCTATTACAGTACTTCAGCTCCATCGTTTTCGGTCCGGTCTCCTCCAAAAGCGATGAATGGATCGAACTTGCCAACTGGGTTGACGTACGCAGCAGAAAAAGCAGGGGAAAGCGATACACAAATCGGCACACTGTAGCTGAGGTCAACAAGGCAGGTTATCCGTTCAAATCTGATCATAAATGACATTAATAAAAAGATAGTCTTTAACTATTCGCTTGTCCGAGTCAGCAGAAGGAGCTTGGGGATCGCCACGGGCTGGGCGAGTGGGTTGTTTGTATGGTGGGAGCATGTAGATTCAGGGTTTGATATATGTCGAGTTGAGACATAGCCTTACTGCAATGCCATTGTCGATTCGGTCCAGTTATATAAGGCAATATTCGCTGTCGGACGTCTTGACCAAATATGAAATTCTATTGAGATGGTGGGCTGTCCGTTGGCGGAAAATGAAGATGCGGAAAACGACTTACTGCAAGATTCACTTGAGAAAGATTCCCTGCTATTCTGAAATCTACTTTCAAAATTGAGAATTTCTACCGATATTTTCGGCTCGGCTTGTACAACAGCTACAGTGATGTGTGCCTACTGAACACTAGGCTGTCCTTAGACTCGAACACTGCATTGTGCGACTGTAACCAGACCACCTCTTGACAGCTTGTCAGCGTTTCTAAATCAACATCCAGATCAATTCCAAAATCACTCGAGTTTCTAGCGATACGATTGTCACCCCACTAACCACATGTTGAGAAAACATACGCTCGATGGGGAGTTCGATTTATTTCTACAAATTCTCATAGGCATGTTTCACACTGAAGAAGCCGCAAGGAGTATGAACCGGCAATGTGATACACATGTGTCACACTATTCAAGCCTCTGCGACGTACTCAGCCGCTATAAGGCCGCATTTTGCTGCATTGGGGGATTTGAAGACACTTGGTGAGTTCGCCTCCTTCTCCCTGCAGCGTATCCCTCACATACGCTTCCAAGAAACAACTCGTGCAATGGAACGCCCAAACACCAATGCTTCCTGTACCTTTTGCACGCACATTTCCGCCAGCAATCGACGCCACCAACGGTAGGTCCGTGTAATCCATCTGCTCTGCGCTTTCAAACGTCCATTCCGCAAAGCGCCCTGCCATATGCTTGATGGAAGCCTGCCAGTTTGGATCATCCTTCCGCGTGTAGCCCTCGCGGCCAAAGAATGCGATGTAGTTGTACGCATCTTGAGTAATGGTGGGTATGCTCCCCGAAAGGTTGATCGCCCATTGGAAGCGATCATCGAGTGCTGCAGCATACGTCGCGACGCCACCCCCAAAGCCGTGTCCGACTAGGTGCACAGAACTGGTATCTAGCTTTGACGTGAAATTGAAGTCAGGAAAGTGCTTCTCGAGGAAGCCGGGCTCCGAGATTTGATCGAGCACGAAGTGGATCTCGTTCTTGCGGGAGTGGAATGCATCCATTAAAGTTTGGTTCCATTCTTTGCTGACAGAGAATGCATCCAGGTTCAAGCCACCCTCGTTCTTGATCATGCGGTTGCCTGTCGAGGGCACTCCAACGCTGTCTTCGAACTCGACGACAGGGGCATCGTGAGGGCGATCAATTGTCACGACAGCGATATCTAGGGAAGCAAGCTGTCGCGCTAGCTGATTGTATATCATCCTGCTAACGTTGGCGCCAGGCTCGAGAACCAAGACTTTCATTTCCCTCGTCTCAATCGGTGTAGATCCCGCGCAGCATGAGTCGAACGTGAGGCTTTCAAAGACGTCTGCATTCTCGTTTCCGAAAAATTGGGCGTTGGCGGCTTTGGACGTGTCGCGGGGCATGTAGGCGTGTTCGCAGTACTTGGTACAGTGCTTCTCTAGAAGAGGTATGAACAGCGAGATGGCCAGTTTCGAATCCCGGCGTTCGGTTTGCACAACCCAAGAGCGCTGATGAGCCACCGTGCGATCGCGCCCGTGAGGCTTCGGTGCCGGAATCTTGGTCGCAGTCGATGGGGACAGTAACACGACCAGGACAGCCATCGTGGCCATCAAGAGAGTAGTTGCGTACATCGTGAGGGCGCAGGTTGAGAGAAATTTGGAACGCGTGGGAGAGTGCAGGACCATGCGGGTTGAAGGCAGCTTGGTTATTAGCGTGTCGCGATGTGAGAGAAACTCCCAAAGCGGAGTTATAGCGAGTCGAAGACAAACGTACATAAGGTGCCCGTGCACCCTCTAGTATGTTGCCGTCACTATGTATAAAGAACAAGTAGAGCGCGTTAGCCTTTTGCAACCCCTAAATTTTGTGAATCGTAATCACTGTTGAGAAGATGAGATCGCGAAAAACGTCTACCTCCACTCTTCGCCGTGCTGACTCGTCCAATCTATTGTACTCAATAGTTTAGAATGAAATCAGACGATAAGCTCAACCGTATACAATACTATAAGAGAGCTTTATGTTCTGGTTCAGATATAAGTGCGGCATCTTAATCCTGTTCTTGATGCTTAAAGGGTCAGTGGCAGCTGAACAGTCAATGAAACACACGAGATAGAGAACTCCGAATAGCATCTTGATAGCTCATTAGATATTGTGCTATCCTAGCGTGTGGTTACAACAAGTACCATCCTTCATTACAGCGACTATGATGAAAGCCTTACTGTCTGCACATCAATCGGCATCCATGTACCCCCCGAGTCATTCATTAATAGGGCGAATTGTAGTCGTTCGTCAGCTAAAGCATAGTTACAATTTGAGTTCAGAGTGCAAGATCAAGGGTATTTTTCCATCATTCAAATATCTCAATTGCATTGGATCCTTCGTAACGTAACAGTTGATTCGAAGTTAAATAGAATTTACAGATACAGTCGATCTTGCACCGCCACTAGTGCTTTTCTGTTTCATTCTTCATCATCTTTTAGAGATAGGCATTGTAGGAAGGACCCAGAGTAACCATTGTAATTTTGCCCGTCAATCGTACCAGAAAGTACGTAGACTGCAAGCCACAGCTCTACTTACTATCCCTTTCCGCGCAAACCAGCCTCCGGCCTTTTTTCCCAAAACACGCAACGCCATCGTCGTTTACCTTCACCTTGCCAGCATATACATGCCCCTCACAGTCTTCCCGCTTGCAGTGCCATTTACTAATCTTCCCACCCTTCTCGAGAACATAACATCCTTCGTGGCACTCCTTGCTGTTGTTCCCCGCACCCAGCACATGATCGCACCGCATATCGAGGCTGAATGCTTCGGACTTGATTTTAATGGTCTTTGTCTCCATATCGCAGAGGCTCTTTTCGTCAAAGTAATCGTAAGTTGGTTTGTGTTGTGTGTGGGCATCGTCGGTAGGCGTATTGTTGAAGGATTTGGTAATGAAGATAGACGGTATACCCCGCAGGGGTGGTCGTGGGGGCGTGTAAGCTGTCAAGGTGTAGACTGTGTCTTTCCATTCATACTCGTTTTCCGGGTCCCAATAGGGATTGATGGTAGCCATTTCGTGTTTGTGACTGGTTATAGTGTAATCTGGCTTCGGAAACTTCTTGACGTAAATGATAATGAGGCACATGGTCGGTAGGGAAAATTTTGGTTACTTGAAGGGTTAAGGATTGGGGGTTGTTGAATTTAACAATGATTGCTTTGTCACGGGGAACAGCGCGTGTCTTATAAGTGAAGACGTGCACAAAGACATTGAGTGTTAGTGAACGAATTCAGTTAGCGTCGTTTGTGGTTTGTGAGACAAACATCTACGAATACTATCAGATTGTTATCGGGGGTTTAGATGATGTGAGTCGATAAACAAGGAGTGTGAAGTAAAGATCTCTCATGCCATATTTTCACTATCATTTTGGATGCTGTCATGTAGCACAGTAAGAATTATTACGAGATGCTATGCCGATACAATTTGTCGTGTCACAAAGTTGGAAAACGAACGCCGAGAAAGCAAGGCGCTATTCGACTGAAGAAGCCAGTCACTTGGATTCACGATAAACCACCGGATTGCAAGGTAGGAACAAGTCCACAAAACCGCGCATCTTAGTGCTGGCTTATGAGGATGGACAGAAGCAGTTTAGTCACATGAGCAGGTCATTTCTTTCAATAATAGGGGTAAACGATGAACGATAGCCTTGATTGATTGCATTACTTTGCATTGGGTATAACATTTAACGACATGACCGCCCTCTCCCCATACCATTTCCTCCTAGCTAGAAGTATCTCCATGCTTGTGAGTTTCTTTCCAGTGTACCAATGCTGAAACAGCATCTACAGCATGACAGCAGCAATGGCGGCGCCCAAACCTGCCATAGCAGGGGCGAGTGTGACCATAGGGGCGGCATTGTTCGCGGGAGGAGCTTCTCCGGATTGAGATGGGTTGGGCCCGCCAGTGTTCTGGGGACTTCCAGATCCGTTGTTGGAGTTTGTTGCGTTGGTACCGGTAGGAGTGGGGCCAGCAGTGGCGGTAAGTTTCTCAGCAGCGGCAGTGACGATAACGTCGTAAGTCTGAGGTCTCACCGTCATGGTGGAGCGATAGATGCTTTCAGGAAGAGTAGAACCAGACTGGCAGTAGCTGGGAACCCTGGGAGTGTAGTAGTTGTAAGAGTCGTCTGTCCAGGTCTCGATCGATGTGACGGTTTGAGGAGGGTTCGAGTAGGTGTAGACATCGGTGAATGTGTACGTTTCCGGCCCATATGTGGACGACGTGGCGGTGTAGTAGCTACAGTAACTTTCGTAAAGACCTGAGCCTACCATCCCCATATTGCAAACAGCCTTTGTGCTCTCAGCCAAGGAGCATCCCATGCTGTAGGTCTCCTCGTGGCCGACGTGATAGTCGTCTACGGAGACGAAAGCAAAGGACGTGGTGCCGATGAACGTCACTGTTTGCGTGGACAGCCTATACGAATCTTCGCCGCTGGTGGCTGCGCGTATTCCGTTCAGCGCCATGACTGTCTTATCACCGTCCTTTGACACAACCGATCCTTCGAATTTCTCCACAAAGTCGCTCGAATCACCATAGGAGTAGGAGTCGTAGTAGAAATCCGAACCGCCAGGTAGCCAGACGGAAGTGGTGACTTGGGCAGCAGCACCGGCCGCGAAGAGGAAGATTGACTTGATTGAAGGCATGTCGATGTAGAGGTGTGATGAGTAAGACCAAAGTCTTAAGGTATTAAGATATTAATTAGTATGAGTATATGGTAAAGGACGACCGCCAAAAACGAGAGAAGCAGTGGAGGTGGGTAAGAAAAAGCCTTTCTAAGATGAGGGCATCGCCAACTACTTATCTAGGAAAACTATCACTGGCAAATATTGGTAAAGGCTTAGCACGGTGCGTTCTGCAGCCCGAGCCAGGCCTGGAGGGATTCTCTTGGCGTAGGATTTCATGTAAGTTAGATTGCTTTTCATGGAAAGTGTGTGATTGGCAAACGGGCTAGGCAACCGCGAGCATTTTTGATCCAACTTGTGACGCTACTGGCCGTTGCCCAAGCCACTCTTTTCACCCCTGAAGTTGTGTAGAATGACGAACATTGATCAGCACAGAGTAGCCTTGCTGATCAGCCACAAGGCTGTCTTGACAGAATAAGGCATTGAATGTAGAATCGATCTCTTGAGCCTCCAGAACTGATCGTGTGTGTCAATGCGTGGCAAATATCATGGGCTGTTTGGCCCCCAAATGCATTTTTCCATGGCCGAGGCACCGTCTATTTTGGTAGTCAACTCGTATTCAGGCAGGGAAATGAGGTAGTTAGCGTCCAAATTAACAAGCGACCAACGATGAGAGAGCAACGAATCGCTTGCCATACATGTATCGTCAAAATGATTCTGGGTTCAAGGAAGTCTTAGAAAAGAATTCTTCCAGTAGTACTACAGGAGTTCCATCTCACGCGGCGTGCAAAGGGGTTGTATATGGTGAATTCGTCAATCGCACGAGAACAGTGATGTACGAACCGTAAAATCACGGTAGCAAATACTAGGTCGCGACCGAGGTTGCATTAACAATTCGGTTCCACCCGGTTGAGTGGCTCGTGTGCCTGGATGCCGGCTTTCCCGCTCGGCACCACAATGCTGACTGGCCGTCCTATGTACGTTGGAGGAGTCATTCCATTACACCAACCCTCTCGAAGCCGGACTGCCGCTTTATAACCAATTGTGTTCAGTGTGAGGTGGCTGAGCTTCGCATTAGGAGGTGCAGTTTTTCATACTCTTGATTTCCCCACGCGAGATCTTCCGATGAACACCATCAGATGCCCATGTAGGCGACAGGGAAGGTGAGCCGAGGGCATGCGAACCCGACAAAGGCTGTACATGATCGTGGAATGGTATGTAGAATGGAAGAAATTTGAAGTTGGCTATACCAATGGAGTGGAATTTCATCTAAGCTGCTCGACATTGAGCTTTGCGTCGAGGGTCCCCGCCCGCTATGTGCACCTCCTGGCTGACCCAAAGGCTGATCTTCTCCACACTCCCAACCGAGTGGTAGAGTTTGCTCTTAAATGGGTGCCTGAACCACTGTTGAATCTTCTTCGAGTGGGTCTCATTTCCATCCACTCCTCCATTGAAATTTGCGATGTGTTCGACGAATGCGATGGTCCGCGATATTTTCACCGATGCCCATATGCGCTTTCCTGTCCCTTCGCCCTGACCCACGGATCATCAATCTACACCTCAGGCCCACCTTTCTTTTCGGCCCACCGCCCCTCCACTTCAAGTTCATTCAACGAAAAGGCTTGGTTCGTTTGATTCAACCTCGTATTCTTCAGTCATGACGCCTGACGTTCAATTCCGGCATGCCCGCATCGCCCCTTCTCTTCACAGGCGGAAAGTTGTAGTCATCGTCCAACCCCTGGCGAGCCCACAACGCTTCCTTCGACCAGCCTTGGAATGGCTTTTTCATGATAGCTTTCAAAGGGAACCGCGTTGATGTCTCAGAGACTAGTGTAGATAAGGACGAAGAGCGCGACGTAGACGGCTTGGTAGACATGGTGAAAGTATGGACAAATTGATGGGGGTCTTTTATGGATTTTATGTCGATAATGCTGTACTAAGTAATAGTACGAACGACTCAGGGGTATAGTGGTATGTTTGGTTTGGATGCTTGTGATGCTGATCTTCTTACCCCGATGAGTGTAGGTGTACGCGCTTTTATATGCGAGACCTCCTCTTATCAATTCTTCACGTATCTGTCTCAATGCACAATCTGGAACGCGCTAATATCACCAAGACTGCTATCTGTGTTTAGATATGAAGAAAAATTGTAGCAGGTGAAAAATTGCTCCTCAAAAAGAAAATTTGACGGCGTATCAGGAGGCCATTGGCTGATGGTGGCGTGGCGAACGGATTTGGCTCGGTGATGGCGTGGAGATTCGGGAACAACCGGAGCGAATCGCGCTGTCTTGGTGGTAATTGGAGCCACTCGCCCAAAACGATTATGATTGGTTGTGAACGACAGGTATTCCGCGCATGATACAATTCTGATCTTGTATAGAATGACTAAAACAAGGAGCGTAGACCGAGTGTTCTCCGTGATGTTGAAAGCTGTTAAACTCTCTGTTGGGCGAGTAAACTTATCGGCGTCGTCCTATAGGACAGGACCATCTTGGTGTCAAGCTTCACATGCGCTCGAGCAAGGTTGTTTCAATGGACTTGTATCATCCCGGCATGTCACGTAGGAAACAGTTGAGAGTGGTGTATCTGCTTAGAGATCCTGCTTTTGATGGTTGTCAACAGACGTTGCTTCGAATGCTGCCCGCGCTGGAACACGCAAACTCGAGGTAACCTCTGACGTAATTTGATGCCCAAAATCTCCCATGATGAAATTCACTTCTGGGGACACCTCAAGTCGCATTCGATAGCGCATCCCGCGATTTTCGAATTTGAGCGTTGGGGGGAGTGACGTTTCGAGAGATAGGTCGGCCGTAGGATCCACGATACCATATTGGTACGTCTCATCCGACTGCTTCACAATGACAGGCTTGCCTACAGGACTACCAGTTCCATCTTCAGACGCAGTAGAGTCCACAGTCTCTGTACCACATATATCCAGATAGATGACCGGATGACCATGTCGCTCTGTCAATCGTAAGATACTGGTATTTGGATTCCAGTCCCCATATGGAGCATCGGTAATGATAAATCGATCCTGCCGAGAGTCAAAACAGTGCGCGAGAGCTGCCTCATTCGAACTAGACACCGACGCCCATGTAGTTCATAATCGACAGTAAAAGCGAAGGCTTCGAAGTGGCACAGAAAACATGACCTTCCCAATCAATCTCAAAGATCTGCACAGCTAATCAATTCTCGGTTTCCGCGACACATGAAGACTGCAAAGTTGATTGACAGGTAACGTTCCCGACACAGTGGTAGCCTCGCCTCACAGCCGCAGTACGCCATGACCGCATCATGCGTGCTTATATCACGTCGCTGTGATGACCCAGCGATCAACCTGCCCATATCGCCTTAATGATCTAGCGAATTCCGCCTGCTGGCTTGTTAGCCCCTATATATTAGTATTAAGCGTCTGCGCAGCAGAATAATTCTAGCTATTTATCTTGCTCTCGCTGCTGCGCGTTCAGAAGCTGAAGCATGCCAATGTCTATTTTGCTGTATCATTGTCAGCTAATACACTTGTGTAGACCTAGTAAAACGTACATAGCTCGCTTTGCATCCAAGCTATTCAGCGTGTCTAGCGTAGGCAAAATCTGCTTATAAATAATAACCTAAGCACCTTTTTTAAGTGCCAAGATAAGCATCTGCAGAATCTTAATGCAGTACTTATCTAACTAATTATAGAAGATAGAGCAGAAGTAGTACACGTCTAACTTAATAAGTTGCAGTATAAAGAAGTCGCTGCAAGCAAGGTAAAAATAAGTCCGTTATCTGCACCCAATCCTAGACAGTGCATTAGATATAGGGAAATTAATGAGCTAACCCAATAGTAATACTGCTGTGGGATCTACTAACGTCAACAAATGTTTAGACACTGTCCTAGTTGTAGTTGTTAATAAGCATGCTGAGGGGCTTATCCTCCTTGCTGAACAGCATACCAAATCTCGCCCCGCGGGAAACATCTTCTGCAAAGATATCAAACATACCCTTGTCGCTATTGTTTGCCAGGGAGAAGCCCTAGGGTGGTCAGCGTATGTACTCGGCTCTCAGGAAAGGGGAGGCTACTGTTTGATTGCTTTCCTCGGAGTTTGTCCATTTTTCCAATGCGTCGGCAGCTTAGATAATTAGCAAGTAAAGAATATTTGGAATGATTCATTCACCTTAATTCCGGCGGGCAAAAACTCTTCCAGCTGAACAACCATTGCGTTTCTTGCAAGTGCGTCTTTCGTCAGGATAGCTGTAAGTGCTAAATGCATAATAATACCCAGAGTCTTTTCTTAGAAGAAGCAATAATTCAAGATTACATGTCGCACAATCCGTTTAATGTTTATAACGCTCAAGCCTAAAAATCTTAACATAGCTTTAAAGGTGCTTGACTCGCCTACTGCAAAAGATTTGTCTAATTTGAAGCAAAGGATAATGCGGATGCTAACATACGCCGTGTACTGATTCAAATCAGCGATTATTCCAATGTAGAGGTCAACTCCTCACATCGACATGCAGACACTCTTTAAGGCCAGTCACAAGTGCTTGGAGCTCTGCGCAGGCTTCGATGAGTTCCAGTTGCGCTGCCTTGACTTCTTTGAGATCGTCAGGTATTGGCAAAGATGACAGCGCGTCCGGTTCGAACGAGGGTGTTGGCAGCTTGCTCTCGACAAAGAATCTATCAAGATTTGCAGTATACTGAGCGATCAACAGTGCGAGTTGCGAGATTCTGGTGGGAGACGACATCTTCGTAACAGTCCAGTGCAAAAATCGAGTCTAGGAGGACGCTGAAAAGATTGTAAAGTTTGAGGGACATATGTAGACCTCAGAGTGGGGCTAAGATTTCAAGGGTTGGTACTGTGCGCTAGTCCTTGCTCGGGTTCACGTATATTGATGCATGTGGGCGATGAACATGCTTCCGACGATGACTTTACACTGGAGAACGAGTTTCCCGCTCTTTTGTGTAGCAGGTTATCTCTAAAGTTCTGACACCACATCGAAAGAACGTTTTCATGTTCAAGTTCCAAGCAACGTAACTTCATGTTGGATTCATCATTGTAACGATAAAATGGAACCTTCTCTAAGCTACAAGTACGGATCTTTCTCAGACTCTGCAGAAAATTTGGTGTATTATCTTGGTTTGTTACTTGATACATCATTAAAGCATACTACGTTGGGTCAAATCCGCCCCAGTCTTGGTAGTGCCGTCGACCGTTTCATTTAGTGCACTGTCATAGTTAGCAGATAGCCACACTTCATAATACTTTCGTGACGCACCTGTTGTGGTAGTTTTTCTCAGAATCGGTATCGTGTCGCGCAGCATTCTCGAATAGGCATTAATTCGACGCAACATTTCTCTCTGATCCCCTGCTCGAGCCCTTTCGCGACTTGTTGCTCCAGCTGATCCTCGACAGTGTTCTACTGGAGACTAGTTACATGTTTCGTAGGGAGTAGACGTGACCTATGGGGCGAAGCAAGGGAAGACACATCCCAAAGATACCGAGAGCTGATTCAATGATTGACCAGTAGCTAGTCGGAGAAAGATAGTAGGTGATGCCGGTGTTGTGTTTCTCAACTGCAAGTTCGTCAGAATCGTGTGATCTGTTTGGGAGCGGAACGAGAACCTACACTTTTTGGCAACGCCATAATGAACAGCGGTTCTGGCAGCACTTTTTCCCATTGTTAGCGCGCTCCGAGGAGAAAGATGCAGCTGATTCCCACTTTCTTCGATGTCCATCTGCAGTTTCCAAACCACTCAGGTTAGCAATCTGGCTTGTCTATGAGCAACAGTGGACTTAGAGAAATGGGGACTGCGATGATAACAACGTCAAGAGAAACTTCTGCATACGCCTGGGCCAGAAACATCTTCGTCAGAGACTTCAAGGTGCTGTGCGCCTCTTTCGGGTTTGTAGCCCACATGCCTTGTAGCTTAACAGGCTGTGGCTGGAGGTTTTAGCGCAAGATTCAAAACACGTGATACATCAACATCAGCTACACATGAGCGTCTACGCCGTGGCGAGGTGCTGTCATGTCCCCGTTCATACAGTAGCAGGCAGGTTCGGCTTCCGGTTCTTAGGCGACACGCACACGCACATACATACACAAGCACAGCCACCTTTATCATATAATGGCTCATTAATACTGCATTATATTTGATTGCAGTCAAAAACGCTGGAATCTGGCTTTCACATCCTGCTTTGTCTGCAACGATTCTATCTAATGGATCCTCCCCTTGGACAATATCAACCTCAGTTCCAAAGTGCTAAGCTTTGCACATTTTAGTCCGATGATTTTGGTCCGGAAATTGGCATCGTCGCCGACTAATATTGCAATAGCAAAACAAGTGTTTCACTAACTCAAGTAGTGGAGTTTTGTCGTGCACTGCGTACGAAAATCTACGGACGATATAGGTGTAGCGTTCCTAACTTAAGCAAACAAGTCCCGCGCACCATCCGCATCAAGCGTCAACTGTTGCGCATTTATATTTGACCGCATGCCCTTTTCATCTATCTGTTCGTTTTGAATCCCATTTCATCAGTTGGAGAAAATGACCTCAAAACTCAAGATAGCAGTAGTTGGCGGAACGGGAGAAACAGGGGCCTCAATTGTAAATGCGCTACTTGACAACCCTGAAGAATTCGTTCGTCATTCCCCTATCCATAATCATCAAAAATAAGTGTATCTAACCATTCTAATAGGAAATTTCAATTTTAGTGCGACCAGCCTCAGTCGGTAAACCAGCGGTGGTTGCATACGCTCAACGAGGAGTGGCTGTAAAGACGATTGAACTTAGCGAGGTTACTGATGCTCTCACCTAAGTGCTTAGTGGCCTGGATGTTGTCGTCTGCTGTTTGACATTGGCTCAGGCTAAGGAAGAAATCGTGCTTATCGAGGCGTGCAGCGCGGCCAAGGTGGGCCGTTATGTGCCCAGCTTTTTTGGGCCAGTGTGCCCAGCTTACGGTGTAATGGCAATGAGAGAAATGGTACGTATTACCTACCAGATATTTCTCATACGGGTCTACAAATTCGTTAACAATGAGTGACATCAGAAAGAGCACAATCTCAATCTAGCGAAACGCCTTTACCTTCCGTATACTGTGATTGATATCGGTTGGTGGTATCAACTGGCTTTGCCAGAGCTTCCCTCTGGAAAGCTTCAAACAAAGAAGCTTGCCCTTCATAAAATTGTTGGGGATGGAAAAACCCCTCTAGCATTGATCGATAACCGCGACATTGGTAAATTTGTTGCGAGAATCATTTCTGATCAAAAGACGTTGAACAAGATGGTTTTCTGCTACAACGAAGTGTTGAGCTTCAATCAAATCTGGGACGTGCTTGAGGAAGTGTCCGGGGAAACGATTCCGAGAGCATACGTAAGCGTTTTATTTTTTGTTTTCTAATTTTCTACGCGACCTTTGGAGCTTTTACGACTAACTTTTGGATTAGATCTCAAAGCAGGAATTGGAAGATACAATTTCTCGGGCTGCAGAAACACTTGCGAAGTCTTTCGATAGTGCAGCCCAGGTCGATCTGAGCATGGGCCAGTACATGTACACATTAGGCATTCGAGGCGACAATACTCCGGAGCATGCGAAGTATCTTGGATATCTTGATGCGGGGGAGCTATACCCAGAATTCAAGCCTACACCGCTCGCCTCCTATATAAACGGGAGGTTGTCAGGGATAATTCCGAACGTCTACGAGGGTAGAACCGATCGATAAACCAGTCATCATACAGATCTAGTAAGGCGAAACTCAAAGATAGCTTTGTTCACCGAGAAAAAGTTTGAAGGCTTGTTCAGATCGGTTTTTCATATCGCATCACTGGAAGATGTCGCGTAGCACAATGGCTTCGAATAAATGTCCCTCTTCTCTAGAAGGAGTCCAGCTTGCGATGAGTCTGTAAGAACAGCCATGTGTCACACCTTGATTATATACGGCTAGCTCGACGCGGCACGATGTACGATACAGTATGCTGTCGTTCACGGCGCCTGAGGTAGCCCGGAATGCATGCATGGCTGACTCAGCCAATCGATGAAATTCATGAACGATTGCTCAGTGGGGCGTCAGTGATAGACGGCAGCGCTTGTAAAGAGGAGTGATTCGAACACGCCCTTCGTTTACTGAGTACAGCTTTCACTGCAGAGCGACCGGTGTATGGATCGAGGGGTACGCTTCAGAAGCACATCACAATGGATGGTGAACGCTTCCATGGCTGGACATCGCTCATCAGCTCATTTGCGCAAAAGATGATGCTCGCCGTTCGTTGTGAGAAGTGAAAAGTACACATGTACCTACCTAGGTAGGTAGTCTCATTCCGGTGGAACGGCGCTCCGAGATCTATGACGGGTTCATCCGGAGTAATCTCGGCCTGTTCCGGACACGGCAGGTAGGCAGAGGTTTGTTGTTGCCCCTCCGTCTCTCTTCACTTTGACATCAGCATCATATCATGGCGAATGCTACGTCCAAGAAGGATCAGCTCAATTTCTGGGTGCGCTTTTCGTTCGTTCGGATTATCTGAATGCGTACCGGTCTGAGCCTCGATATCCCACCTTGATGACAGATCCCACAGAAGTACCGACCCGGAGAGTGAAGATGTCGCAATCAAAGCCCGCTCTACTGAACATGCCTCCCAATTTCCAGCTAGAATTGGCCCGCCTCGACCCCGACGTTCCTTTCCGCGCCTCGCAGTCTCGGATTCACCACACATGGGCGCGTACCTTTCACTCGCGTCCGGAGTTGTATCTTCGGCCGCAGAGTGTTGCAGAGATACAAAAAATAGTCACCCTCGCGCGTCGTATGCGTCGTCGCGTTGTAACAGTCGGAAGTGGGCATTCGCCCTCTGACCTTACATGCACTACGGCGTGGATGGTAAATCTGGATGACTTTGGACAAGTCTTGAATGTAGACAGCGCAAGGAAAACGTTCACGGTGCAGGCTGGAATACGTATGCATGATTTGAATCTGGCTGCGAAAGAACACGGACTCACGATGCCTTCTCTCGGTTCTATTGACGTGCAATCTATTGCCGGAGCCATCACAACCGCCACTCACGGGTCGTCTATCGTACACGGCCTACTGTCCGATTCGGTCCGAAGCTTGCGTATCGTATTAGGGAATGGCCAAGCAGTCAAATGCTCCCCTTCGCAGTCACCAGACCTATTCCGCGCAGCACTGGTTTCCCTTGGGGCTTTGGGCATCATAGTTGAGGTCGAGTTTGAAATGGTCGAGCAAAGTAATATCGAATGGAAGCAGACCATATTGCCCATCGACGATGTTCTTGCACTCTGGGACAAAGATTTATGGACATCACATGAGTTTGTCCGCGTATGGTGGCTGCCGTATATGCGCCGCGCGATCGTCTGGAAAGCAGACAGGACAACAAAGGAGCACGTTGCGCCCCAGTACAACTGGTATGGCGGCAGCGTCGGATTTCACACGTATCACATTCTGCTCTGGATATCACAATATGTTCCACGTGTTCTACCTTGGGTAGAATGGTTTGTGTTTGGAATGCAGTATGGCTTCAAAGACGGATCAGTCATTTCTGCCGTCGAAGAACAGCGCACCGGTTTGCTCATGAACTGCCTTTACTCGCAATTCGTGAACGAATGGAGCATACCTCTTTCCAATGGACCAGAGGTGCTGATGCGTCTCACCAACTGGCTCCACGGCGACGAGAAATCTACAAACCTTCCTTTCAGCACGAAAGGCCTCTATGTCCACTCACCTATTGAGGTCCGTGTTGCAAACACTGTGGGCAAAGACCCACGTCCGTATCTCGACACTTCCCACGCAAACACACCATCACTGTACTTGAACGCCACCCTCTACCGTCCATACAACCAAGACCCCCCTTGTCGCGAACGTTACTATGAGGCTTTCGAACATCTGATGAAAGAATATGATGGTCGACCACACTGGGCTAAGAATTTCCAGTCAGTCGATAACCAATACCTTTCCAAAGCCTATGGTTCCAACCTCGACGAGTTCCTTCGGGTTCGCAATGAAGTCGATCCCGATGGTATGTTTCTCGGTGCCTGGCACCGCCGAACACTTCTTCCTTCGAAAACTGAACTCTCTACTTTCCCACTGGAAGAGAAGGAAGTGGTAAGGAGAGAGCGCAAAACTGGTGGTGTGGACTGGATTGGCGAGCAAGCGCGGTGGTACGATGGTGGCATAGATGTCTTTGAGAAAGGCAGTGAAAGCGGTGAAAGCTTTGACTTGATGGCTGGTGCAGAGGCTGAAGCCAGTATTCTTCTGGAAAGCATGAGAGAAGATGATATGATGGAGGAGGTGGAGAAACGGAGGAGGGAAGGTACGGAAGAGTTCATCACTGGAACTAATGTGTTCAACAAGATGTGAACAATCGTGATTCATAAACTGCAGACAGAAATGATGACGCGGCAAAGAACAATCAGCAAGTAATATATCTCGGCCCTATGGTATCTCACTCCTCACTAGCTCTCCTTCCAACCGTGCATTCACATATCAATATAATTATGATAGAATATGCGCTTCTACAAGATTATGGCGCACGTCACCTTGTCCCTCAAGAAGAGAACCACTTCATCAAGACTGTATAAGACGGGTCTGCATCCCTTTCTCCTCCGCTGAATTCATCTTTGCCAACAGATACTCCCCAACAGCATCGTATTAACCACAACCAACACTTGCTTTGCCCATCTTTTCCTGGGCGATAGAAAACAGCCTCCCAACACAATATCTATTCCCACACCGCACTACCATCTCTCAAGCCCTGCTAGCAAGCCACACGCCAGACACAACACCACTCACAATTGCGAACGTCCATCATCCCTAATCAATCGCTCATAATTCTCTCCAATCCCGTATATATTCTCGAGTGAAGAAAGCGAGATAGCTTTGTCTGAGGTGCGAGAGGCTAGAAAATGCCTGGGCCTAAAGGCGCATTCATCGAGGTCGTAGTCCAAGAGAGAATCTAATAGGAGTGTTCTTGGAATGGGAGATCATAGGAAGGCAGTAATAGTGGGGTGAGTACGTAATGTATGAATGGAAAGGGTTCTACGAGAGAGGTGGGTTCAGTAGCATTTTATTGTGTTCCTTGAGGTGGCGGTTGCTTGGCAGATCTGCGGCCCTTCGACTTGTAGAGTAGGTATGCGATACGATAATAACGGTCTCAGTGCACATGCTTGTAGTAAAATCCTGGCTGGCTATGAATAGGGAGACATTGAAGAACCGTGGTTCTGATTTTTTCCATACTGACTTTCCAAATGAACACATTATTGGACAGGCTCTCAGTAAACCGAATCCTTAAATTAGCTAGCATGTGTTTGCATCGATTGAGTACTTAGAATAACGGTATGCATACATATATATACATATCAGGTACATTGGTGGTGATGGAACATTTCATTCAGGACTTTGGCCGTTTGCATTGCACACAGAGTATGTACTCAAGTCGAGAGCGATTGGAAACATTTGTTATGCTAATACGAAGAGTTGTTTCCCGTAATTTCAATGATAAATCTTTATCGATGTTTAAATCCTTGGTCAAGCTGTGTAGAGGGGTAAAAAGGGTGGATAAGTAATGTACATGTGGAGAGACGAAGCGGCGACGGGGGATGAAACATGACTAAGCTACAACGAGGCTAGGATAGGCCAACCTCACCACGTCGGGACTCCAATGCATGCGCAAACAACATTTGAAAGCCGACGACGATAATACGCGTTTCTTGTTGTTTTTTGGGAGGAGTATGAGAGCGCTTGCGGACCGGTCCACATCTCGTGTCGCTTCTCGCCCTTGAGGCTGCCCTCTACCTTCAGCTGGTTCAGCAGGCTCATCTCCCCGATATCATCCTCATCATCGACATCACCACCACTCCCATCGCATCACCAGGTAGCACAGCAGTTCGGCGCCTGGCCAGCAACCCCACCATATTTCCATCTCTAGACGCGCCCTTGATCTGCCAAAGAGAGCGCGCAGGCTTCACCGCCTTCGATACCGCTTGCGCCTCGATACCCCCCTCCCACTCCTGCCATGTCGACCGTCGCAACTGCTCGGCCTATGCAGGCCCTACGCCAGCGACGCGAATCCCAACGTCCCAACGTCGCAAAAGTGTCGACACGCATCAATACTATGGATAGCACAGCACCTAAGGAGGAGTTCAAGCGCTATCTCTATACTCAGCAGGATATTCTAGCCAAGTTCAAGGGCCACCCGCCGTCGCTTCGTGTGTGGCTACACCAGAACCACTTCCGCCTGAACGATTCCCAAGAGACGCTGTCATATGCCTCACCCATGCGCGAGCTGCTGTTGCATCTAAGGGAGAAGACTGTTCCACACAGTATGCTGGAGGAGTTATATGCACTCAATGTCCCCTTCTACGACAACTGTCTCATCGTCGAGGTTCACGACCTCCGCCCCGCAGGCGTCAAGGCCAAAGATGACACTGCCACTTCGACCGACGACAATGGCATGAAACCCTTCTCTATCCACAACTATCACGAATATATCACTCCCTCCCCCAATGTACCTTATCCCAACCCCAAAACCCCCTCGAAGCCCAATCAGACCGACTCGGCAACCAAGCAAGACAAGGATGCGAGCAAGGAGAACATGCCAGCCCCAGGCCAGCCCGCCTCCCAGAAGCAGCCCAGCAAGCCAAAGGTGTCTACCGTTGTACTTTTCCCTAGCCCGCAATCGCACTACACCGACATACAAATACTCGCAGCCACCCCAGCGTCAGAGGCCGCCCTCAATCGGAGGAACCAAGTGGCAGGGCGAGCTTCCGGCAATCCACCTACCCCATTGACGGCCGTTCCGCCCACCCCCGGGTTATCTACTGGTCGTAGCCCTAAACGCCAGAAAATGGTGATAGACGATAGCAACGTCCACGAGTTCGAAGCCGCCATCCTGGACGCTCAATGTCCGAAGCTCTATCTTGAACCTACAAAAAACTTGATGGAGTCCGTCGCGCTGATAGAAAAGTGGACACATCCAAACAACAAACAACCATCGCCAGAGCGGAAGAGCCGCAAGAGGACCACTGCGGAATTGGCCGCAGATGAAGCCGAAGCCGCCGACATCCAACGCTATCTGTTAGCGGGTGATGAGGGTCAGGCTGGTAAGACAGCGGCTGCATCGGGTGACGATAGCCAGCATGCGGCGCGTTCGGGAGCAAACCAGCAGACGTTTTCCCGCTTCAAGACTCTAACCACCATCAGACTGAATCACGAGGAGGCTGAGCGGAGGAAGAAAGAAGAGGAAGCCAGAGTGGCACAGGCCAAGAGACAGGCTCAATTGGAGGCGGAAGCGCAGAAACGCCGGGACGAAGCAAACCGCCAGGCTGAGCAGAATGCACAAAACGCGGCCATGCTTCGCAATCAACAGCAGCAACAGCAACAGCAGCAGAACCAGCAATTGGCTATGCAACAGCAGGCTTCTCAGGCTTCGCAGGCCCAGCAGATGGCGAGTCAAACACCGCTTTCTGCTACACAGCCTCAGTTTTCCTCGCCTGTTGTGCGCCAGAATACGCCAATGGCCAACGCAGCATCTCCTCTTGTCGGCGCGCACGTGACCCATCCCATGGGTGGCACGCCGATGGTTGCCACCTCATCCAACCACGGTGCAGGCAGTCCAGCAAGACCTCCTTCGGTTATGTCCCAGCACAACAACGCGATGGCACGAAGCGCCAGCCAGCAACAGAATGGCTTGAGTCGTACCGGCACTCCGCAGATGGTCCAGGGCACTCCCGTGATGAACTCTGCCATGCCCGCCCGCAATGTTTCTGCCACACCCACCCCGCGCATGAACCATGCCAGTCCAAACGGCGCAATGCAAGGCAACACACCCATCATGATGCATACCCCCCAGTCGAACGGCATGACTCCCGAGCAAATGCAGATGGCGCAAGCCACCCAGCAGAATCAGTTGCAACAGCAGATGCGCATGCGCCAGCAGATGACACAAAACATGTCTCCTGGTAACACCTCGTTGACTTTGCAGCAAGTGGCTATGCAGCGAGCTCAGTTGCAGATTCAAACCAACGGCGTTCCCCAGGGCCAAAACCCAAATACATACCGACAACTGCTAGCTCAACAAATCATGAGGCAGCACCAGCAACAACTTGGCGGGTCGCCTGGCATGGCTCAAGGTGGTGCTATGCAAGGTGCTAACGGCACTAACGTCGCCGCCATGTCTTTGCAGCAACTCCATCATCAGCTCCGGGTCCGGAAGCAACAGGTATTCAGTCAATACGGACAAAACGTCCCGCCACAAGCCATGGCGAGCCTACGTCAAATCGAGATGGTAATAGCTCAGCGAGAGGCGGCCACCCAGCAACAACAGCAGCACATGATCCAGCAACAGCAGCAGCAAGGCGGCCAGATGAACATGAACCAAGGCATGCAGCAGCAGATGAATATGCAAGGTGCCAACCCCAACAATCCAGCTCAACTGCAGCAATATCAGCAAGCTATGCTGGCCCAACGTCAACAACATCAGCGCCAACAGCATATGATTGCCATGCGCCAGCAAATGGCTCAACAGCAAAACCAAAACAATGCTGGCAACGGCATGGCGCAAGGACTCATGAACAATATGCAAGGCATGAACATGAACATGGCAAACATGCAGGGCATGAATATGGCCAACATGCAAGGTGGCGGTGGTGCTGGAGCGGGTGCAATGCAGGGGATGCAAAACATGAACATGGCGAACATGGCAGGCATGCAGAATATGCAAAATTTAACCCCCTCGCAGCAGCAGCAGATGCGCGTTCATATGATGAGACAGGCTCAGTTTAGTCAGATGAGCCAGCATCAGCAGCAGCAACAACAGCAGCAGCAGGGTCAGGGCCAAAACGGCGATGGAGGCTTCAATTTCAGCGGTGTTTAATTCGACATCCCTAGGGAGTTTGGTATACCCATTTCTGTATCCTGGCCATCTTTTTGCATGGCGCTCGTGGCGGTGGTATCCTTCGTACTGTTACCTTCTTCCTTGGTTTATGGCTTGCGTTGCTTCTTTTTTTTTCTTGTCAATATTCCGACACCTTTCCCGTCTTTCGGCGTTCTGCGGTGTTTTTTTCTACGGGGGATGACTAAAAGATTCAAGACTCTCAAGTGGATACCCTCTCTTTCTTCTTTCTATATTCTATTCTTGCATATCGGGTTGAACATGACGGCGCAGAGAGAAATATTGGAAAACAGTTGGGCCCGATAGTGCGCTACAATGCCTGCATGTACGCACGCGGACGGTGTTTGGGAAGTGAATATTCATCCAGTCTCTCATATTGAAGCAATTGGAAAGAGTATGATTCCAGTTGCAGTGGTGCGGGTGGATTTCGGGCATTGTTGTGCTTTCCTGGCCTATTCATGTACTATATACATACCTAGGTATGTATTTAGGTATGTATGCAGCAATCGTCACCATACAACGCAACTACCAAGATTATTCACAATAGTCATTGGTTTTCATTTGAATGTGATCTTGCCAGTTACCTGGTGTAGTGGTTCCGACTTGAATTGCCCCGATTCTTTTGCATTAATTTTCTGAATTTGAATTTTCCCGTTCCCACACAGATGCTTCATATCTCAGAGCACGTGCTATGGTGGGCCATTACCAGCAAGACAAGTATCTGGAGGTATGGTATACAGTCTTGCTAGCCTTCCATTATTCTTGAGCTCATAGTGTTGTTCTTCGATATCGTAGACTCATTCTCCAAAGAAATTCACCACAACGTCCCACTACCAATATTGACGCTCGATTCCTTATATTCACCACCATTCGTCCGTTTCTGACAACGTCTATTTCTTGCTACCAGAAGCGGCGGCCTTGGCGAGATCAGAGAGGGCCTCACGGCGCTTGAACTTGGCGTCGGCGATGACACCTGGGTACCACATATGTTAGAACCAGGTATCAATAATCACGACAGAAAACAGAAAGGAAATGGAAGGAAAAAAGTGACAACAGAGAGCGAGGTCAGGGAAAATTGGCGGAGAATCCACGTACCAGCATCAGCATCGCTGGAGAAGTTGCCAGTCCAAGTGATGAAGGTCTGGCCCTCGTTGTCACCCGAAGTGATGGGGTAGGCGCGGATGGTGCTGACAACCGACGTGTACGATAGGGCGGGCTGGGAGGAGATGACCGAGTAGGTGATGAAGTGGTCGATGCTCTATTCGACTGTTAGCTGATACGCCAGTCTTCTCCATCTTTCCACCAAATACTTATTGTAACAGCAGATAAGAGAACAGTCGAGTTGGGGAAAAAGACGTGTAGACTCACCGAGTGCTCCTCCTGCTTCACATCCAACACGGTGCCATCCTTGAACGTCCACTTGACAATGTCTGTCTCCTCCGACGCGCCCTTGACCTACCAGCACGCCAAACGTCAGCTAATTCTCAATCAACGAAGTACACACCAATCACGGTCGGTGTGTTAGAGCACTGCTCCTAGTTTGTAAGTAGAGAAAACATACCCATTCGCTCTTCTCGAGCTTGCTCCAGAACTTGCTGAAGTCCTGCAACTTGATCAGGTGCCAGACAGCCGAGAAGGGCGCGGCGATGACGGCGGACTCGCTCACTGAGGTAGAGGTGGGGATAGACATTATTGGGTTTGTGAATTGAGCAGCTAGAAGCTTTTCTTGTTGCTGTTGTACGTGTGGAAGTGACGAAGATTTTTTTTTTCCCGACAGGTGTGGAGAAGCGTGGAGCTATGGTGTGGGGATTGGTGGATCGATTGATGGGCTGCTCGCTTTGTTGCTTGATTGTGGGGTGGGCAAGATAGTTGGAGTGAGGAAGGCTTGACAAGCTGTGTCGTTTGATGGGGGATGGATATTGTTTGCGATCATGGCGTCATCGTGTGGTGGGAGGGTGGGAAGGTGCAGATCGAGCGTTGCCCCTCCCCCGCACTCATCCTTGCTTTCATCGTCAACCGTGGTACGTAGCCTTGTAGCATCGCAGCTCATGTTTGAAAGTTGTTAAACACTCCCGCACGTCAGGACGGGCACATGTGTCTCTCACGACACACAGGTGCATATCTGTAAACCAAGCCCAGCTTCACCATCTGTAGCTCTTGTGATGATGGTGCCATGCTTGTGCTTGGATGGGTTGCACAACTCATGCGAGGAACCGTGAGAGACAGCAAACAGCGTATTCATCGAACCGCCACAGGATCTTCAAACCCGCAAACCACTTTGCATCACGCAAAATCCCACAAGACTTCATATTACTCCAAACATCCCCAAGCTCCATCTCCAGACATACCAGAGTTTCCACGCCACATCACCTCGCCACACGGCCTTCTCGGACCTCCGATTCGTCCGCCCGACGGCCTTTGCCAACTCTCCGTCCATGACCAAAACGCCGACGCGTACTCAAACGTCTGCCTACACACATTACCAACGAAACCCCCATATTCCATCACATTCGCGAAGTTTCCTATGCAACCAAGCTCATCGCTGTATTTGTACTGTGATTGGATCTCACGGGTGACACTAACGTTCCAGTAGACTAAGTGGTGGTGGCGAACTCTTGATTTCATGTACGGTAGGACAGGTGACGGACGGGTTTTGGGCTAGGAAGTGTAGTTACGTATGCTTTTATGGGTGCCTAGATTTCTACTTGCATTTGTCTAGTTGGTTGGCTTGGGTTGTCAAGGTTGTATAAAGAGCTTAATCACGAACCGCGGTTTTTCGTTTCTTCTTACCATCTTCCAACCCATTTTTATTCTAGATTTATCATCTGTTTATTGCTCTGCGTCATCGATATTAAGAAACGTTCTTGAGATAACGGCTTCTTCACTACTATCCTAGCACACGTTGTACCTACTTCCAACTTGCCACCTCATAAACTCATCCATCTCCCACAAACCCGTGGCGACGAAAGACCACCATGCCATCAGTACCCTACATGAATCATTCAGCCCCCTTCTGGGACTTCTTAGCAAGTCTGGAGCAAGAAGGTACTGATCACCCAATCTTCAGCCAGTGGGCACCCCCTTCAAATAACCGCTCCTCCTCCTCCGACAACACCACCGCCAACAACAACAACACAAGAAGCAGCGATGCCACTACTGAGTCCGCACGCGAAGTCCCTCCCTTTGGGCCTTGGACCCATGGAAGCTGGCCATTCATGTTCGGCGGCGGACAAGGAATCCCCCACCGTGGAGGACCTGGACCGCGCCGTGGCCACGAACATGCTCGTCATGAGCAGCACGAAGACGAGGACCGAGACTTCGAGAAGGATTTCGAGCGCGAGTTGAATAAGGAGTTCGAAGACGAACACGACAGTGATGAGAGCTCTGAGAAACAGAAGGAGAAAGAAAATAGTGGCAGCTCCAACGATAACGGCGAAGGTCCGTCGAACACCAGCGGACGTGACGGCACCGAACATGAAGGATGTCGTCGCGGTCGAGGGGGCCACCGTTGCGGTGGCGATCGGGAGCAGCACTGGGGAGGACCACGACGCGGTGGACGACACGGCCGCGGTGGTTTCGATGGACCCCGAGCTTGGGGCCCTCATCACCCTCACCGCCCTGGATGCGGTGGCTACGGACGACGCGGTGGATTCGGAGGGTGGGGTCGCGGGGGGCCATTCGGAGGTGGGAACCGCTCCTTCGATCCTATGAGCTTTGTTTCGTCGTTGTTCGAACAGCCTGGAAATGCCGATGCCAGAGAAACCGCGGCCACCGAGAACGACGATTTCCGTCCTGACGCCGATGTCTTTGATACGCCCGCGTCCTTTGTGGTGCATGTGTCGCTGCCCGGCGCGAAGAAGGAAGATGTCGGTGTGAATTGGAATGCTGAGAAATCTGAGCTCAGCATTGCCGGTGTTGTGTATCGCCCTGGTGACGAAAAGCTGATGGCGCAGCTCGCTATGGCTGAGAGGAAAGCCGGGGCTTTTGAAAGGAAGATTAGGCTGGGTACGAGGGCGAACCCAGCCAATGTTGATGCGGACCAGATTAGTGCCAAGTTGGAGGATGGGGTACTGAGGATTGACATTCCGAAGATGGGGGAGAATGGCTTTGTAGAGATTAGGAAGGTGGACATTGAGTAGACGATCTCATAATGCGTACCGTGCTGATCAGAGGTTTGCGATACGGTAGATAGCTTAGGATGCTTCATTGGTGTATTTTACCTTGATAAATTACAGGAAAGACTAGGCAAATGATTGAGAAAACCCCAAAAAAAACTTCTCCAGGCAATTGTGCTGGCATGAAATAACTCCATAATGCAATGTATGGTCTCCGGTTCCGCCTCTTGTGGGAATACTGCAAGGCCTCACATTGTTCCACCACCGCCACCTGTGAGCTACCAAAAGGAGAGCTTGCCTGTAACAATTCGTCAGCGACTCTTCAAAAGCTTTACGCAGTCGATGTTGACAGAATGTTCAGCGCATCAGAGAGAAGATTAATAGTCCACATGCGAACCCATCGCTCCAGACCGCCCTCCCCCAGCTCATCTCCGCCAAGTTACCAAAGCACATTGCAGTCCTACACCGACTAGCGGAGAAAGAGCAGAAGCCCTCGCCCCGCGTTGACATCGATAACTGTGTTCTCCGTCTTTGGTAGAGCTTGGCCTAGGAGCTGTGAAGTGGACGGAGCTAGCCGCGAGGGTGGGTCGGACTAAGGATGAAGTGTAATCATTGGCAGGATGGAGAAGGGAAAGTGATTTCACGTACCTTGCAACTTCCAAACGAGAGTCAAAAGTGATGGAGAGTGTTGGTGACAGAAGCGACCGGGTCTCTCGCACCCATTTAGAGGTCATGAGCGCACGGACCACGCGCTAACTTTGAGCAAGTCTTATTCGCGGGTATCAACTGTCCTTGTGCTAAAGAGCATTGGGGCAGGGTTTGGACGACTGTGGGACAAACAGACGAGGCTGGCAACCTCTCTGTAAAGGGGAAATGTGTACCTACGTTCAAAGCGAGCAAGTTCGATACTCGTGCGTATCGGTTGTGTGTCAGTTCAAGATGAATCCCGCAGCATCGTATAGGCGCACATATCGCATTGATTCTGCACCACTCGCCCCGCCGAGTCGATCTAGCGACATTCTAACAGGGTGACTGCTAGGAATCAAAACACCGTACTGTTGTACGATATCTCGAGCGTGAACTCCACCGGTGGAGGCGAATTGAAAATACACTTTCTCTGCCTCGGAAACGCACTCGCGACAAACGATAGCATCGTCCAGTCTAGACGCTCGAAAACCGAAGCTCGGGCAGTGCGATTGTTGTTTCTAAAGTCGAGTATGAGAAGATAGCATTACGTCAAGCACGGGTACTGAGGTGGGTACGTACGCAGTTGGACGCACAAGAGCGAGGGGTGGCGCAGAAGACTTCGTGGCCGCAGAGAAGACGGTGTATGTATTGGGGATTGTCCCTGTGACGACTCAACCTCGCGAAGAACGAGGGGATCGCCAGTTCTTGTTCGTCGTAGTCGGTGTAGTGGCCGATGACGATTTGCGTTGGAGACAAGGCTGGGCGTAGATGGTGTGCAGGATGAATAGCCTCGTAGCTGCTAATGGGTAGGTTTTGGCAAGACTCACAGTAGATGTGATTTACGTCAGGCACTGAGTCAGGCGAAGGGGAGGCGATGCTGGCAGTATAAAAACAGTTCAACGCGCAACTCCAATCGGCGCCATTGACAGCGGCCAAGTGCCCGCATGAGAGGATGTGGAAAGGGGAGATGTTCTTGCCAGTGATGGGATTGACATTGCACGGCCTGATCTTGGTTTCCTGACTGTGTGGGAGCTTTGCGTATTCTTTTGCGGACATCGTACTCGGCCAGTGGATCGGGGGTCCGTGGTGAGTGGATAGGAAAGGGCCAGGAGTTCTATCTGAGGAGAGGGAGGCGGGGCCTACATCGCGAACGCACTTCACCTCGGATTATTTTGGAGGGAGGCATAAATCCTTAGCAATAACCCTCTATGTGAATGAGAAACCCGGTGAGGGTCAACTGGACGCAAGATACCTTACGGAACAACCGTAACTATTCAGTGTTGCTCACTGGTACCCAGCCAAGAAAGGCATCACGCTGGAAGACGCAAGGGCTTTAGAGGGCCCAAAACACGGGGTTTGCAGATACATGTAGCCATTCGAGATCCCATGACTTGAATCATTCCTAGCAGTGTCATTAACACGAAATTTTTCTTTTTGGAGGGCTGACGAGGGCCCATGATTGATTCAGACTTCTCACAACGCCTGATATGATGATGGGCAGTTCGTTTAGCATTCGAGGCATGCATGATGCAGTTATGTCGTTGATAAAGCATGCTGTGACTTGCGCGCATGACTATGAATTCGTTTATGAATGGATGAATGGATGGATGGGCGGCGATACAAACATTTGATGGAATGAATTGGGATGAATGTTGATGCGTGGAAGGTTACTGGAATAGTGGTAGATGATTAGTAACCAGGATGCTAGGATGGAATGACTAAGCACGGCAGGGATACGATGATGAATGGCTGTTGGTCTGATAGGGAGGAGCATGGCTTTCCAAACCACATTGAATTCATCCCAACGCTGGCAAGCAAGCAAGCAATCGATGGAAAAAGACGACGCATAGAAACGATTTCCTTCTGGCAATGGGGTTCACGCTGTGAGCAAGGCACAAGGTAAAACAGTGATCGATTGATAGTCCAATGCCTAGCTGGGTAAGTACTTAGTAGCGGTCGTTCCCCTCCCCTCCCTCCCAAGCCGCCGCTAGCCTCCATCGCGCCCATCGCGCCCGCTATGCCATCCATTGCATACATTCAAAGATACCTAGCATCCGCCGTGTTGCAGTGCCAGACCTCCTCCTCCAGCACGCCCGCGGCCGCGTCGCGAAGCTAATGGACTCGACGTCTAACGTGCCCCTCGCAGTCCACAACAATAGCAACCATCACCTCCAACACGACGGGGCCATCCCTCCACTGCACGAATACACCCACGCACACCCACGTCCGCCCGCTCCACCGTCCTCATCCTCTTCCTCCAAGAAGAACAGGAACAAAGCCGCACCCGCTGCCTCGAGCCGCCGCCCAACTACGCCGCCGTCGCCCTGCCACCCGCTCTCTTTGTCTTCGCTTGCGACGCCCTTTCATCCACATGCGAGTGCAATTGCCAGCGCCGACGCCCCTTCCACCAGCTCGAACTCCAAGTTGACGTTGACGTCCTCCCCGCGAGACTCCGGCACCACCACCACCCCTCAGAAGCAGCCCAAGAATTCACGACGCACCAAAGGTCACAAGTCGAGCAAATGGAGTAGGGGTGGCGCTGGATCTTCGGATGACACAGGCTCGTCGACGCGCAAGAAGTCTGCCCGAAACACCCCTCACGCTGCTGCCGCTGCTGCGTCCCCCCAACAGCACCACCAGGCGTCGCTTTCGCAGTCCCCAATTCCCCCCTCCACCGCCGCCGCGCACCAGGGACGATTGATGGCGGCGGCCTTCGCTGGCAGTTCGGGAGATTCGCGGCGGGGAGTATCTTCTCCTCGGCCCAAAGGTCGCGGTATGCTTACACCCCACACGCTGTTTGCTTCTTTGCCCTCTAACGAGCCCTGCTAGAAGCCAAAAACACATTTTGCCGCAATGTCACAATCTACGGTCATTGCCGATATGAGAATAGTGAGTCCTGTTGCACCGTTGAGCCTAACCGCTCTGACACGGCCAGCTTGTCCGTATATCCACGACACCTCCAAGTTGAACCAGAACGAAAATATGAAGAAGCGCTTCAACGTCGATTCACCCTCCTTCACCCCTCTCCAAAACACCACCAATGGATCTATGACTCCCTCGTCCCGCAGCGCCGCCATATCCCCAAAGGCGGCCAATGCCGCTGTCTTCACCCCCAAATCACAGCGTTCCAGTGGGATTACCCTTCCTATCTCTACCCGTCACCGCATTACTGACCTCGACCTCTGCAGCTACGAGCACACCGAATTTGCAAAACAAGGAGCCTGTCCCGGAATGGCATCCGCAAGAGTTCCCCGAGTTTGTGCCGCAGACATTTGAAGCTCAAATGGTATGTATGCCCTCGGGCTGTGGACACGGCAATGGATCGTTAATGACTCCAGGTGGACTCGAACGCTCAGGCGCATGCTCTCGGTTATGACCCCTTCAGCACCTCTTCAGCCCTCTCCTCCATCACGGGAGCTGCACATCAACCTTCGACCATCAACCCTTACGCCCAGGATCCAACCCTCTCTGGCGCTTCCTATTACCAGAACGCGGCGGGCTTTCAATCGTCCCCTGCATACCATCTTTATTGGCCGGTTGGCCCACAGCCCACTGGGCTGCTCGCATATCAACGGACCGCGCATGACTTTTTCATCCCCGATGCGTTGCGGGAGGAGTTGCAGAAGAAGGCCGAGATTGCTCGACAGGTCGTTCCCAATTCGTCGATCCCGCCAATCGAACAATTCCATTCGCTTTTTTGCCTGGATACATCTGCCCAGAAGAACCAAACGCTATTCGGGTATTCTAGCTGGGTATACAAGGCAGTGTCAAGCAAGGATGGGAATACTTATGCGCTTCGTCGGTTGGAGAATTTTCGTCTTACCAACGAAACAGCCATACGATCGGCGCAGGCGTGGAAACGGATACTAAATGGCAGCGTGGTCACGGTCCACGAGGCCTTCACCACGCGGGCGTTTGGCGATAGCTCCCTGATCATGGTAACGGATTACCATCCAAACTCCAAAACCCTCGCGGAGGAACATTTCAAACAGGCACCCATGCAACGCTTCCACGGTCGGCAAACGACCTCTTCACATGTACCTGAACAGGTTCTTTGGGGCTACATTGTCCAGCTGGCTTCCGCACTCAAAGCCATTCATGGTTCGGGCTTGGCTGCGCGATTGATCACACCCTCTAAAATCCTGCTTACTGCCAAGAACCGGATACGCCTGAACGCTTGTGGGATCCTGGATGTTGTTCAAGCGGAACCGACGCGTTCGCTCGCCGAGCTCCAAGCGGACGATTTGCTTCAACTCGGGCGACTTATCCTCAGCATCGCAAACAGCCAACCTTCTGCGCATTTGAATATGCAAAAGTCAATGGACTACATCACTCGAGGCTATACCGCGCGGCTCAAGGAATGCGTACAGTGGCTACTGAATCTCCCACCGGCCCCTAGCACCCCTTCCTCCCCCACGACGCCAGGTGCCATGCAGAAAGACATTGATACTTTCTTGGGCGGGATCGCTGATCAAATGGCCACCGTTTTTGACAGTGAGCTGCATGCACAAGATACTCTCGTAAACACTCTTGCTCGAGAGCTAGAATCTTCACGCCTCGTTCGCCTCATGACTAAACTCAATTTTATCAATGAACGTCCAGAGCTGGATGCATCTCAGCATGTCCCAGGCAGCACTGGGCCCGGTCCGTCTGCGATGTGGGCAGAGACTGGGGAACGTTATTACTTGAAGCTCTTCCGAGACTATGTCTTCCATCAAGTAGACGCGAACGGTCATCCCGTCATCAACTTGGCACACGTCCTTGATTGTCTAAATAAACTGGATGCGGGGGCTGACGAGAAACTAGCCCTCATCAGTCGGGACGAACAAAACGTGCTTGTGGTCAGCTACCGCGAGCTCAAACGTGGCCTGGAATCGAGCTTCCAGGATTTAGTAAGGGCTGGACGGCAGTCTGGCAAGTAGCACTTGCAAGGCTCGAGACCGCCCAGGAGGCCCAGGGGCGGTGGTGGGGAGGAAGAGGATGAAGAAAGCAGCGAAACATCTTCAGATTGAGATGAGTTCTTATGGCTGCCAACAATGACAGTTTTCGTTGTTTATGTTATCATTTGGAACGGGGATCGGAAAACCCTCTGGCAACGCACTTATAGTAGGCTATGAAAATGAAATACAAAATCAAAAATGAATGCTTGTCTTTGTCATACACAGAACAACCCATTAAGTTTCGGCAATGCAACTATTTCCGGCCCACCTGCGACTGCCGGACCGTAGGTATCCCTACCCCTCCGTCAGAGATTCTTCTGCCCCACCTCCATCCACCACGAGTCTACTTCCAACAACATTACACCAACCCCAAAAAACACGAAATGTCTGCACAAGGAAACTTCGAATTGCTCGCTTTGGAGAACCCACTTCTGGACATCCAAGCGTTCGGGTGAGTGTGCATATCGGAAAGTGCGAGAAGCCACACAGCAGAGGGCATCATGGCTGACGGAATGAATCGGCAGAGACGAGAAACTCCTCCAAAAGTACGATCTCAAGGCCAATGATGCCATCCTCGCCGAGGAGAAGCATCTCGGTATCTTTGATGATCTGATCCAGAACCACAAGGCTGTGCTCATCGCTGGCGGTGCGGCCCAGAACACTGCTCGCGGTGCCCAGTACATCCTCCCACCAAACTCCACCGTCTACATCGGCTGCGTTGGCCGCGACAAGTATGGCGCCCAGCTTGAAGAGATCTGCAAAAAGGCTGGCGTGAAGACCGAGTACCGCTATGATGATGAGACCCCCACTGGCCGCTGCGGTGTGGTTATCACTGGCGAGAACCGCTCCCTGTGCACCGATCTGGCGGCCGCCAACAACTACAAGATTGAGCACTTGAAGCAGCCAGAGATATGGAAACAGGTCGAGAACGCAAAGGTTTATTACGTTGGCGGTTTCCACTTGACTGTCTGCGTCCCCGCTATGTTGGCGATTGGCGAGGAAGCCGCTGCAAAGGACAAGGTGCGATGAATCCTGAATGTGCTCAAAACCAAAGCTGATACTTGTAGACTTTCATCTTGAACCTCTCTGCACCCTTCATTCCCCAATTTTTCAAGGATCAGCTCGACCAGGTTCTTCCTTATGTCGATATCCTCATCGCCAACGAGACCGAAGCCGCTGCATATGCCGAATCCCACGGTATCTCTTCCAAGGACGTCAAGGAGATTGCCAAGTCTATCGTCAGCCTCCCCAAGAAGAACAGCAAGAGGGCCAGGACCGTTGTCTTCACACAGGGCACTGAACCGACAGTCACCGTTACTGCTAACGGCAGTGATGTTGATGTCAAAGAATACCAGGTTCACGCGATTAACAAAGAGAAAATCACCGATACGAACGGTGCCGGGTGAGTTGAAACGTCGGAAATTGGACAGACTTGATACTAATACGCTTGCAGTGATGCTTTCGCTGGAGGTTTCGTCGCGGGTATCGTGCAGGGCAAGCCCCTCGACACCGCTGTCGACATGGGCCAATGGTTGGCCAAGTTGAGCATCCAGGAGTTGGGCCCTTCGTACGTGTTCATGGTGATGTACTGCTCTGAGGTAGTACTAACAAGATACAGATACCCCGCTTCTAAACAAACCTACACCCAGAGCTGAACGCTCGATTGCGGAGCGTAAAAGCTCGTGAATTTCAACAATCTACGAGATCATGTAAAGCATAAACTGCTGTACATGTATTCGGATTGGCCCGCCGTAACAAGCGTGCCTCAGGCCTTGACCCGTGCCGGTGTCTCTGGCGCCCAACCCGCGAGGAACATAACAAGCCATTCAACAGAAATTTGGCCGTCGACAGGAATGAATGTCGAGTTAGCGAAGATGACAAAGAACAACCAACAATATACAATTGCGATACAATGGTGCTGCTTCTCTTGATTCATGTGCTTCAGTGAACGAAATTCATGTTCTTGGCGTTGTCTTTACCCAATTCAGTCGTTGCCGTGCAATCGTTCGTGACTTTCGCCTCGGTCCTAGTCTCCTTGTCAACCAGCATATATGAGCATATCTTCCTCTGTCTTCCTATACCTAAATGCAAAACTGCTATTAGTTGACGATCGCGAGAGTGGGTCATGCACAATCCCTAGAACCAGAGTGTCGATTCCAGCACGCGCTGTTAGAACATGGGCGATCCTGCATATGAATTCGTGTCCGAGCCCGGCTCCTATTTTGTTTTTATTTTATTTTTTGAGTTGGAGTTAAGGTGATCCTACACACAGCGATGGGTTACAACGATAAATAAACCAAAATGACGAGCGATTACCAAAAAGACTACCCGGCTCCTATTAAGACAGCAATGTCAGACGAAGGCATACGTTACTAGATTTATATTTATTAGACTTCGAGTTGGATAAGAGAACGAATTGAAAACGATCAACTCATGCCCCACGGATACTTCGCAGCACATCAATTTTTCGTAGCAAAAAATAGAGAAGGGCAAATTCAAATATATCCTATGCTTGACAGATGTCGGAAGTCTGTCTCGGACTCTTGCATGTGCGTACTTAATGTTTTTGTTCCATTGTCTGATTCATTTTCTAGGTGGCTGGGAAGGATGCGAGCGCGTGTCCCCTGCTTCGCGTAAGTGTGTGGCGGGTCGTGTCTACGCGTGTAGCTTGACCTATTATCCCCATATATAAATGGTTCCCACGATCCACCTACACAGTAAACTGCGCTGCTTTATCACCCCAATTAAAATCGCGAAAACTCTCGGCTACGTTTGTCTTTGTTACTTCAAAATGACATTACCATGATCGTTTCAAAATTACACCATCTATTTCTGGAGAAAGACAGGAATCAGCCGCGACAGCGACCCGCCAACAAAAACCCGATTCGCGTAGCCGACAAACCGCCAAAGAAACCGAGAAAAGATCGCACGGTGACTTTCTGGGACGATGAATGGGAAAATTTCAGAACAACCACCGTCACAGAATACGGAAAGTTGAAACGCAGTGGAAAAATCCAGGATTATGAGGATGACTTCTTGTACGACAAAGACGACGACTGGATACGCCCTAGATACCACAAACCCGAGCCTGAGCCCAAAATCCGCAAGGCCAAATGCCATCTCCAAAAAACCAGCCCAAACAGTGAGATACATGGACGATGAGGAAGGATGCTATGTCTCCCTCTCGGGCACCCGTTACAAGCAACTCTTCATTTCCGGCGCGATCCCCGCTCCCGACCATGACGACGACCACGGCTCTACCTGTCGCCGTGAAATCTGGAGCGATAAAGAAGGCCCCCAGGTCACCTACATCCATCCCACACAGCCGAAGCATTGTATTACCGTGGACTACGACGACTGGATTGAGTACACGCAAGAGCGCACAGACACACTCAAATCCCAAGGCAGGTTCGATTATGGGCACCAGCGGCTTCTCAGCGGCAAATGGGGAAATGATAAGCAGAGTTTTCGCGAGTTCGCGGCGCTTGCGAGGCGTGATCACATGAATCGATATGGTGATTCAAAGTATGGGTATGGAGCTATAGGTAAGGACGACGAGATTGGTGAGGTGGTCGTGCCGTTGCCGATGCCGCGGGCGAAAACGACGAGGATTGATGGGGATGAGAAGAAAAACGAGTTGGAGGAGGCGGCGGCGGATCCGAAGCAGCCGTCCATTATTGGTTTCTTTCAGAAACTGGGATGAGTCGATGAAGGAGACTCTTGATATGCCGATGCTTGGGGGTGAGTGACGGCAATTGATGGTTGTGAAATGTATAGGTATCGGTTCTCTCTGGTATTTTTTGCTGCTATACCCCTTTCCTCTCTGTACACCTTCTAGTTGTAGAGGTCTTTTGATATCAATTCCCTTTTTACGTTAGTAATAGTAGAAGTATTATTTCATTTACAGTCAAATTGGGTGGGATTTTCACCAGTGAAGGCTATCCTTGGTAGTCTAACCACCATTGACGGTGGCGCTAAGACCTGATCCCCAAAGTTTGGCGACACTGCTGTATACCATCTCCTGCGCTGAACTTCATGTTAAAGTCCACCAATTCGATCGTTCTTCTACTCATGATCACTGCATCACCAAAAGGATATGAAGGCTATACCAAAAGCACCCCGCACCGCAGCCACACCCACGACGCCCTCCATCCTACTCACCCTGCCCTTCTCTCTACAAGTCCGCATCTTTAGCTATCTCCCCCTCCCCACAGCCACAAAGCTCCGTGGCACCTGCCGCCATCTCTATACTTCAATCCCGCGACCATCCCATGCTCAACTCCTCGAAGCCGAGAAAACCCCTTCAGCCAACCCCAAAAAGAAATCGAAAGACACATATTACTTCCCCTACCACGTCCAGCCCTCTTTTTGGTCAAAGCCTCTCCGCAAAACAACGACATTCATCACATGTCGCTACTGTGTTTGTATGTTGCCGGACCACTTGTTTGCAGACAACATGGCGGTACGCGACAGGGCGCCCGGTGGTGTCAACGCGCATAAGCGATTTTGCATCCAATGCGGTTTGAAACCACCAGCAACGACGGGTGCAAAACCAAAGTACCCGCGAGGTACAAGATTTCGAGTTAATGGAGAAGAGTTAGTTGTTTGCATTGGATGTAGGAAGGTATTCATGTTGGAAAGTAAGAAGGTGAGGGGGAAGTGTTATGCTTGTGGGAAGATTCAAGAGGTTGATGGTAGTGATTGGGGGGCTGGTGAGGTTGAGAACTTGCGGACGAAAGCATGGAAAAGAGCAGATTTCAATTTTGGAGCTAATAGTTGAGTGGATCATGGTGAAGTTCTTATGGTTTTCAAAGTAACATCTATTACTTCACTTTCGAGGCTTTGATCTGGGAGCGACGCGACAGAGTAGGTGGACTTATTGCTAGTCGCGAGCCGTGACCATGCATTCAGACATCTACGTGTAATACACGGGCTTCCAATCGTTATAAATTATGGCTAAGAGAATGTAGAAGACGTAATTGACTTCGCAAATGTGCGGGCAGTGAAGAGGAAGAGGAAGACGCAGACAATGAAGGGAGCGGCGCGTAAAACCACTGCATCTCGAACAATGCAGCCGCCCGGAGGATACCCTAAGTATAGATAGCTAAGCCCCCCAGGAGGGAATCCTTCTGTCAAATACATGCATGAATATTTTCGTCGTCTCTTATCTCATCTTTTTTCTCACAAACTACCCTCATGTCTGCTTTTCCAGAGACCACCACATTCTTACGTCCATTCATTAGGACGCTACAACCATCGCTAGCGCCTTTTCGCGCTCAGTGCCTTGGAACATGCATGCCAGGTGTACATTAAGGGGGTATGCAGAGTACGTGCTTCTTTGTATTCCACCTGGGCAAGGTTCACACTTCCAAAAACATTTAGGAATTTGATTAAGCAAAAACTGACACCTGGTGACAGCTAAGTAAGATTCGCAAAACGCGCTTAGTCGCTAGCGTCAAGTTCCAGATCCGCGAGGGATAAGTGCTGCTGTATGTCACGTGACACTCAGTCTTCACCACCCGAACCCAAATCACCACGTCCACGGTTGGGGCAAGAGCAAAAAATTGGAGATGCAGGGAATCGAACCCTGGACCACTCCCATGCTAAGGGAGTATTATACCACTAAACCACATCCCCTGATGCTGTTCTCTCAGAACTCATATAGTAGACGACCCGTCAATGTGGTTTATATGTACACACTTTACTTGGAAGCCTTGATGTGGGAGACCGTCAGGACATCGGCATATGTCGCGCGTGAGCGGACAATGACAGAATTGGAAATGAATAGTCGGTAAGTGGATTGACGTGTGGGGTGTCCTTCGCTTACCGGCGGTAGTATGCTCCCGTCAGTAGTCAAAAGAGTTCGCCGCTTTCGGACAAGCACGAGAGAACCCTATAAGATTGTTGTTTGCTGAGCTCACGGAACGACAGCTGTACATCATCGATATCAGCGGATATCCATCAAATTGAGCCACTCCTAACCGGTCAGCATGTCTTGCTGGCCACAGAATCGTTGCGGGTCACCTGCGATGTGAGTTAGGCGTTGTGGTGTCCCCCTCACCCTTCGCGTCTCGCCAATGACATCCATTCTCAGGTATTCCAATCAGTACGACTACAACTTCGATCGATTGACTTCTAAGCACTCAGCTGTAAGGCCAGTTAAAATGAACAACTATCATGTAGTTTCAATGGATCTCGAACTCGGTACCTAAGTGTCAGTTTCCGAAAGCAAATCCTAGTCGCGTGGAATGCGGCTCGTTGTATTTGATCATCGGGGCCAAATCGTATAATTATTCCTAGAGCACTACATCTAATCGCAGTATATGCTTACTGATGATTCCATCATTTATCACTGCATCTGACAGAAGGACATTGTGTGGTACTTAAATACAGCGAACGCCTCACAATTTCCATAATACCAGCCACCCTTCCTCTGAAACTTTTATCGTTTGTTATCTCAGCTTCGATTCATGATGGTCGGTTATTCCGGTTTAGAAAATAAACATATCCTTGTAGCAGGCGCTGCCCGTGGCATTGGGGCGGCTGTCGCTTTTCGCCTGGCCGAGGCAGGTGCCCGCTTGTCGTTGTGCGATATCAACCCAGACACGCTCAAAGCAACATCAGAAGACTTGAAAGATCAATTTGGCCAAAAAAAGATTTTTACTAAAGCTGTGGATATCAGCAAATCCAAAGAGGTTGAGCAATGGATCAATGTTTCTGTCGAGGCTTTTGGAAAGATTGATGGCTGCGTGAACAATGCCGGCAAGTGGACGGATTCCCTATCACTCCTTGATGTTAACGATGTTAATCGCCAAATCTTACAGCAATCTTCCCTGAGCCACATCTTATCGCAGATACGAGCTTTGAGGCTTGGGATAGAGTGATGAACGTCAATCTAAGGGGCGTTTTTGCCTGCCTGAAGTATCAGCTCCGAAGTATCGTTGATGGCGGGAGTATTGTTAACGTGGCCAGCGCCGCCGGTACTTACGGTGGGCCGATGATTAGCCCTTGTAAGTATTTATTCGACCCTGTCAGAAAGATGTAGCTAACTTGCAGAAGACATCGCTGCAAAGCATGGGGTTGTTGGACTCTCGAAGGCAGCCGCTTATGAATACGCAGATAGAAGCATTAGAGTCAACGCCGTTTGCCCGTAGGTTTTTATTTTTCAGGATTGATCTTCTCTGATATTTGGTCTAATTCACGCAGAGGTTGGACGGACACAGTCCTCGCTCAGGAGTTCATCGAGTCGCTCAACGGCCTGATCACACCTAATACGGTTCCTCAGCTTTTCAAACATTTCGCAAAACCTGAAGATGTTGCCGGTATCATAGTCTTTTTACTGAGTGATGACAGCAAATTCGCAACCAAGGGCGTCTTCGCAATCGATGGTGGATACGTGGCGTAGACCAATCGATCTGCCAACGATAATTAAGTCGAACAATCCGCGATTTGCTGGTGTACCTGCAGTCAACAGTATCGCAATTTTACCTAAACAAATTTGCTGTGTATTGTACCTGTGACATCCGCAACTCATATGATATGAAAATTTTGCTAATCTCCTGCTTCATGGAAGCTGACATGAAACTAGTTCGAGACAATGACCCCTGTACTTTCCCCTAACGCTATTACTCCAACGACATCGTGCAAGTGGAGTATTCACATAGACACAGTCATGGCGCAGTATTATGTCTTCCTCAAACATTTGCCAGCCTAGCCGTCAAGAGTCTTGTGAATGCTGCCTAGCATCTGTGAATCAATGTGATTCAGAAAGTATCCCAGAAGATTAATACAAAATTGGGGAATGTAGGAACCACTGTAACTTCCAATCAAAAAAAATCAAAAAAATTAAAGACTTTGCAATTGATAATCGAAGTAGTCGACGTAGTTTTTCCCGTATGCTCCCGTTTTCATATTGCACTGAAGGTTATTTCGAGATTTGCAATTAACCAAGTACGACTGATCTCCAACATCTAGCTGCAACGGCCCAGTCTCTCATATAAACCCACCCCAGTTCTTTCCGATACGCAAGATCATTCTTGCGCTCGATCAAAAGAACGTTTACGATAGGTATTGCATCCAGATTAGCACCTTCTTTGTCAACATAGTTCTTCGTTGTTCTCTCTTCTCCGGTATACGGGCGAATATGGAACCCTGATAAGGAGATCGCAACAAACTCGTGCTCATGGCTTTTATTTTCAGGATTAAGAGCTTCCTCCTGGAATTTTGTGAGTCCTCCGCATAGTTCACCGATGATTTGATCGTTTGCATCGAGAATCCCTACACCATATTGGCTTGCTTTACGTTGTCCAAGCCTGAAAAAGGCTGCCTGGGCTATGGTATGAATGTAGCCTAGTCCCATGATACCGGTCGCTGGATCTTGGAGTCGAGGTTCTCCCGGATTCGGAATTGATTCCCTGCAGAAGCTGTCATAATTTGACCAGCGGGCACAAAATCTTTCATGTACAGTAATGCGGTCCGAACTTCGTAGAAGCTTCTCTATAGGAGAAATCCGAAAACAACCCGCTCCAATAGCGATTGTCATGTTCGTCTCCCAATTTTCATCTACTTTTGTGCCCGCTTGAAGGTTGAGCACTTCCCATCTCTCCGGATCACTAGTTTTTGCAGTCCATAACGTCAATGTCCCGTAGAATGCCATATCCTGATATCTCACTTGTTCCCCTTGTATCATTGCAGACGCCCAAGACCAGCTTGGGCAGGTAAGGGTTGAGGACTCCGCTCTTTGAATGGAGTTCACACCGTTCCAAGCATGCCATCTAAGCGCACGATCAAAGTCGATCTTTGGTAGACCATAGAAGAACAATTGGTTATAGTTTGGTCCGTACAGCAGATTTGCAATGCCTATAAAAGCATTGTAAACATCTGACGGGAACGAGAGTTTCCGGGAACTGTAGTTTGCTAGATGCCGCTCAAATGCGTCAAACACCAAATCCTCGCCATCCAAGCGTACACCATAAGTAGTGAATTCATCTATCTCTGCTTCTGGATTATACATGTCCTCGTAATATGTTGAAGTTTGGCATTCGTAGTATGCTCGTGTGTTCGTAAAGTGGAGCAGCCGTTTTGCACAAACAGCTTCTTGGTAAGTCCATCCTCGTGTCTGCCATAATGACAGAGGATCTTCCGCCGATTCGCGGACGAGATTAGTCAGTCGAAGACCTGAAACATCTATGTGGTGTTGGGTGACAGATCTTGATCGGCTCACTCCATCAATTCCGAAGTCCATACTATCACCATAAGCAGAAACCAGTACCAAGGACGCGGACTCGTAGATGTCGTTCATCGCCATGATTTGATGCATTTTATCTTCCGGATCGTCCTGTATAATGCAGAGTCGATCTGCCCACAAGTAATTGGTCCCAAGCTTGGTACAAGCATTCATGGCATCTTCGATGGTCTGAGGCATATCCGACGCTACAAGGCCGCCTTCCTTTTTGTACGCTTCTATCGTCTTTCGGGTCGCGGTCAATAACGAGGCTCTCGTGTCTTTGCCCCATACGTAGCTCAAAGCTACGAAATCGACATCGCTCGTCTCAACGATACACCTTCGTGCAACATCTACAAGCCTAAATCCCTGCGGTAGGTTCGCATTACCGTCTGATTTACACCCAATATGATCTGTTGTACACTTGTTGATCGCCGCTCGCAAACGCGGCCAGTTTATCTGTTCACCTACGCTGGAGATGTCGGTCTGTATCTTTCCCACGTCTGCCACGTGGATGTCACCAATCCACATGTTCGACATGCCTTCATCACCGTCTTTGAACTGGAGATATATATCTGCGACGGTATTGTATGATTTTGAATACTCTGAGCTGAGAAATAGTGACAAAGACCAGTCTTCTGGCATCAAATCTGATAAAGGGTTTTCTCCAAACGCTTGCGAAACCATATGCTGGATTAGGCGACAACAAGGGCAATCCACTGTTGCATTCTCCTTCCGGTCTGGGTATAGGTGGAACAGAAACTTCCGACGGTTTGGCAGTGGCACACAGCTCACGAGATGTCTCAATCTTAGGTGCTGACAAGTAGAGCAAAGACCTTGCTCTTGCGTAGAGAAAGGCGGGCAGGCCTTGCAAGGCTGGTGAAAAAGCTCTCGGCCCCCCGCTATTGTAGCTTCATCCTCGTTTAGATTGTAGGGAGAAATAGCTCCGGGACAGTGAGGACAATCAGCGGTCATATTGCGCCGTTCAACATTTATGACGTCTGATCCTGTGCGAGGGTGGGTGCGTGTGAGAGGGCACAAGGTGATAAGAAGTTTTGAGGTGTCTACTGCGTGCTTACAACCGGTTGTCGCTCTTCTCTTGGCAGGCGACTTCCATCGCGCCTCTTCACGATTTCTCAACAATCGACTTTCTCTTGTTGAAGTTTGCCCTTAATAATATGTGCTATCTTCGTCGCTGGTGTGTCCTCCTTTCATCGAGTCAGATCGTATGTTAGCAAATTTCGCAGAATTAGAATTCTCCGCTATCAACGGTACACACGCTTGTACTTGTATCTATACTTCGCACCCGAATCATTAACAAAAACATATCACCAAGCAACGTAGAAGCAGTTCTGTACTCAGTACAATGTTGAGATCCACTTATAAATGGAAAGTGTGGAGACGCGTCCTTCCGTGGCAAGAGGTTAAATGATACTCACAAAACCTTGAGCACCCAGATTTAGATATTATTATAGTGGCCACCCAAAAGAGAACAATGGGACTATGAGAGTCCTTGCATTCCATGTGAATTGTCAGTAGCTAATCCGAGGTAGTGCAGCTATCGGCTGATGCGTTTTATTCCACACGCGCTAGCAAGCCTCCAAAACAGATCGGCACGCTCGACAGATTTGACTGTCACTCAGCTTTCAGCTCCTTCATCTAGCTGGTTCGCTACCATTGAAACACGCGTCCCTTAATAATGCCAATTCCTGCTGATCCGCATCTCTGGTTCCATGTGATGCTTGACAGCCTCAGCATAGCTTAGCATAAACTCCCCATCCACCGTAATGTGTTCGTCACCGCAACGAACAACTATGAGCACATCGTACGTTGACAGGCACCCAAATTATTGCAATCAGCTAGGTGAAACACCACTTGAACTTTCATGGTCGAGTTGATATCTATTATTCCAGACAGACCGGTAAAGCATACGAGGAGTCAGCATCCTAGCATTTGTGTCGGTGCCAAAGACCCAAATTCGTTTCTAGTGATAGCACAGCCGCACAGCACTCATCAAGATACAATAAAAGCAGAATTGCAAACACCGGTTTACGATACAGATTTACTGGGACTAAACCCTGAACAGTCATTATGCGTTCATGGTTGACTCCACTACCGGGGCTCCACCTTGTTTCAATTATACCAGTTAGCGAGATGGACATTGACATGTCCAAATAATGGCATGAAACAAATACATCAGCGACTGGAATTTAGACGACCAAAGTAGGGATATATAAGTAGCGATGCGTAATGCCGAGAAGGAAGATCACGACAAGCTTTCTTTAAGTTTTCCACGCCTACAGTCACTCGCTCAGTCCGATTCATACCAACTCAACCATTCGCTTGTCCCCACCATAATCATGAAATTCTCTTCTGCACTTCTTAGCTTCGCTGCCACCGGCGCACTCGCGGCTCCGTATGTTGTTGTCAATCCAGACAATGATGTTGCGCAGCCTATGAGCATCAACAAGCGCGCCGGTCTGGACTACGTTCAAAATTACAATGGACAGGCCGCAGGTTTCCAATCAGATCTCAGCACCGGCACGTTCTCCGCAAAGTGGAACGGCAACACCGACGTAGTCGTCGGTTTGGGATGGAAGACGGGTTCTGCTCGGTAAGTGTAACCCCCTCGAAGGTCGGAACTGATGGATTGCTAACGCACACACCCGCAGCACTATCAATTACGAAGCACAGTTCACACCAACGGGAAGCTCGTACCTTGCCGCCTATGGTTGGATCAACCAGCCCCAAGCCGAGTACTACGTAGTCGAGTCCTTTGGGCAGTTTGATCCCTGCTCGCAAGCCCAGAAGCTTGGAACAGTTTCTTCTGATGGCGGGTCTTACACTGTCTGCAAAAGCACTCGCACCAACCAGCCGTCCATTACAGGTACCAGCACCTTCACCCAATACTGGTCTGTCCGCACGAGCCCACGTTCTTCTGGAAGCATCACCATGAAGAATCACTTTGACGTCTGGGCAAAGAATGGTTTCGGAAACAGCAACTTCAACTACTTGGTCATGGCTGTTGAGGCGTTCGGTGGACAGGGAAGTGCGTCCGTCAAGGTTTCGTAGAACTTGATAATGAGGCGGATGACTTTATAATCGGCCTACTTTTTTTGATCGTGCGACATCAGCCAATTCCTTTGTATATATTTAAATGCTAGCTGTTGTGGAAAGTTATACCAATTGTGTTCTTGCCTTCTTCGAGTATGTTCCAATGTTCCATAGGCGTCTTTGGCTTTCATTAGTGATAGCCAACCACTTTTCCATAAAATCCATCAACGTGAGGGCATCCCATGCGCGGCAATCTACCGTACCAACGATCTGTTCGTATAATTGATATCACGCGACCGCCAATATGTTAGCAGAGCCCTACCCCACTGTCGCGAACTCACTTAGCGTCTATTGAATGAGATTCGGTATCAGTGAATACTGAATGAAGTCTCAGGTTGGCTCTATAGCTGTGTTCGTTTAATATTTTAGTACCTAAATAGTGAATTCTCGACATGTTTGAGTGAACTGAGTTTGGAATCTCAGCAAAAGTGATTGGTGTGTTCTCTGTCAATATGAAGATGATTTAATATAGAGATCTAGAAAAGCAAACTTGTCAATATATAAATCAGAGCGCAGACCTGGGTGTATAGAGAGACACTTATCTCCAGCCCACCACAGGTACAGAGCACTGGCGGCACAGAGCCAGTATCCAACCTGTCATCGGTCAACTCCGAATAACCAGCAATCCAACAAGTCTTCGCTATTATCTGTGTTAAAATGCATGGGATCATTGCCCCTAAGTGAAATTATCATGTATAGGCTGTCTTCTACCCAAAATAACATTCGCCTTTCCATCACCATTTCGGAGGTGCCAAGACATTTAGCTCTGCTCGTACCACGCCGAGACAAAAGTAACGACAAGCGAATCTCGAACTTTCGAACTTCACATTAACACAACACTCGATTAGCCATGTCACTCTCAAAACTTCCAAACGAGCTATTGGATAACATAGTACTCTATTTGGATACCGAAAAGGATATTGCGGCAATTGCAAGAACAAATTGCCGCTTCCATGCCCATCTAAACAGCTACCTCTACAGCTACAACATTCAACACTCCAAAGCCTCTGGGCTTCTATGGGCCGCTGAGGACCAAAAGTTGGAAACTATTCATAAATTCTTCGCTGAGAATCAAAAGACAATTCCTACGGAATATTTGACAACACCACTATGCGCGGCGGCTTCGGGTGGGCACGCGAAAGCCGTGGCCTGTCTGCTTGACAACGGAGCCTCAATCAATGCCCGTAAACCGAGGGAAGCAGATGCTGGTATGCAGGCAACTGCATTGCTCTCAGCTTGTTCAGCGCAATGCATGGGTGTGGTGAAAGTGCTGCTAGAGAGGGGCGCGAACACTCACCTGGTTGATTTGGGCGATGGGGAGGAATGGTCCCCACTGCAAATAGCCATCATGAAGAAGAATGTGGAATTGGTGGCGCTGCTTCTTGATCACGGCGCAGACGTCAATGAGCCGGTCAGTACAGCAAATCGTGATGAAAGCAGCGATGAGGACGACTGGGTTGACGATGATCCGGAGGAGGATACTACAAAAAGAAGTATTCCGTTGAATTTGGCGTGCGAAGAAGGCTTTGAAGAGATTGTTAGGATATTGCTCGCAAAGGGTGCGAAGACTGATGGGGTGAGCGGCACCTACGGTACTGCACTTCAGGCTGCTGTAGATGGGGGCCACGAGGACATCGTGAAGCAGCTCCTCGACCATGGAGCCGACGTCAATGCTGAGGGAACATACTACCTAAAGTCGGTATACGCCCACCACAGTGACACTCCGCTTTGTGGAGCAGCAGAGAATGGGTTCATGGGGATTGCAAAGCTTCTCCTGAAGAAGGGAGCACAAGTCAACGCGAATGGGGGTCTAAATGGCAACCCTCTTCAAGCAGCCGCACAAGGTGGCCACACTGAAATGGTCGAGCTTCTTCTTAACCATGGAGCGGATGTCAACGCGCAAGCTCCCTACTTCGACTACGGCATGTACGAATTTTGGCAGGTCGGTGCTCTTTACATCGCTTCTTTGGCAGGACACGTGGATGTAGTGGAGCTGCTTCTTAGCCAGGAGGGTATCGACGTCAACCTTGCTGGTGGACACTATGGCAACGCCCTTCAAGCCGCTGCATCACGCAACTGGGTGGGTATAGTCGAACTCCTGCTAGAGAAGGGAGCTGATGTTAACGCGCACGGTGGATATTATGAGACAGCCGCCAAGGCTGCTGCAGAGCAAGGTTTCGATGAGCTGTGCAAGATGCTTGAATCCTATGCAAAAATGAACATCGAGCCTGCCTCCAATCACTCGTAAAGGCTAAGGAAAAAGGTCACGCCTGCTAGATCAGTTGCTCCCTCGTCTGATGGATGTCTCGCCAGTTGCTTCTGTGTTTGATACTATGGCCTTAGAGCATTTCACGATAGATTCTTCCATGAGCTGAGAGAGCAGGAGATTCTTGGTTCCCACACAGCAACTTAGATACCACAGTGTCCCACCATGCTTCCAAGAATACATAAGATAGAGATTATAGGAATCAAAGCATGATCCTCATTGCGCCCACCCAAATGTATTATCATGAACAACTCACAGGAATGAACAGTTATACGTCCTGTCACTACATCGATGGAGCAGACGAATTGGTCTTAAGTATCTCGGCTGGTTGCTATGTTCATCTATCGAGGGTTGTGCTAGATGTCATTGAACGCCGCACCCTAACCAAATAAGTACTACATCAACGGACAACCGTGAGAAATGCACATATTAACATGTCTTTTTGGTTATCGCTCGTTTTTTTTGGTCTATTATCGCTGTAACCCATCGCTGTGTGTAGGATCACCTAAACTCCAACTCAGCAAAAAGAAATGCACATATTAATGCTAACCAGAGACTTCGAATGATATCAACAACACAATCTGTTCCCAGGAAGTGCTCAAGGAAAGGAAGAAAAAGGCGAGGCGAGAACTTGTCGAAACAGAGCGTTAAATGTCTTGACATCGTAGCAAATTTCTATCATCAAAATTCGGAATTTCAGGAGACACATTAACATTTGTAACCACGCTGATGGTTCCTGCAACCTAAGCACCCCCAAAAGAAGAGAAGAGAAAATGACAGACAGAAAAACAACGGTTCATAAAGCAGATAAGAAGATTCGCTAACTACATAGGTACTTAAAGTAGGTACTTGGGCAACAACAACAACAACAACAACAACCACCAAGAACAAGGGTAACAGCATTTCACATTTCACATCCAAAAAAGGGGAGGTCTCATGCATACATAACAACAACAACAACAACAAGTGCATAAAAAGCCTGCCCGAAACTCCGGCATGTTTACTCGCGCCCAACCACCCTCCTCTCGTAATCATCGGTAAGTCTCGAGGCATCGACGACTTCCACGCCCTTGCCCAGCCCCACGACGTCTGTGTTCTCCCACCATTTTTCACCATGGCCTGCATGCTCTGATACATCCTTGGCAGCAGAACTCTCGTCGTCCGTGTCGACAAGACCACCAAGACCGGTGCCGTCGCTGCCAACAACGACAATAGTCTGGCCAACCCAGCGTCCAATGTCCAGAATATTGCGGCCGCTGGGTCCACTGAGGGCATCGACAATGTATACGAGGTCAGGGGAGAGATGGCGGAGCATGTGCACGTGGCCTGCGGGTGTGGTGAATGGCATAACCATGGCAGGGTTCTCAACCAGACGCAATGCTTGTGCGTGTAAGGTGTTCCAGAGGACGTTGTCTGAGCTGCGTGCTGAGAGGGCGGGTGTATAGACGGTGCCTTCGGGTTGAGGGTCTACGGGTTGAAGTTCCTCGCCCGGAGTCTGCACGGGTGTGGAGATGGCGGAGTAGGAAGAGCCTAGAGAGGCACCTCCGGTGCGGGAGTTTGGCCGCGAGCGGAGGGAGGGAGAGTAGACGAGAACGAAGAGCTTAGTTTTGGAGAAGTCGGTGTCGGGAAGGTGAGACAGGACGGTCTGTGTTCAAGTCAGCTAGTGGTTCACTTCTAGTTGGAGTAATGGCAGAGTAGACTCACCAAATTCTCTTGGCGATAAGAGCCATCTTCTTCCTGCGGAATGTCCATGAGGCTTTCGGCAGAGACAACAATGGCTACGGTCCTTCGGTGGCCGGTCGGGTTGGTGTTGGGCCCAGCCTTGACGCTGGCGGCGAAGCTCCTTGCCTGTGTATCCACAGCAGATCGGCTCTGCTCACTCCTTGCCTCGACGTTCCGTCTCATTTCGGCCTCCTCAGTCCACCTGTCGTGGTCGGCATATGCATCCTTGTCCTCCTCTCTGATACTCGCCAGCGCAGCGCCTGCAGCCGCACCGGCGGCGGCAAACCCGGCGACGGTGCGCTTGCTCACGGTGTCAAAGAATTGTTGAGGGCTCGGGGTGCGCCGCATAACCCCTTGGACGCGCTGCATGATGCCCTCATCTTCGTGTGCCACGCCTTGCGACTGGGTGTCGAATGCGCGGCGGCCCGGCTCAGGCATTTTCCCTTCGCCATCCTCGCCATAACTCAGATCCGCATCGTCTGATTCATCGTCGTCGCGGCGCTCACTCCAGACCCAGGCGGCGACTCCGGCGGTCGCGACAGTGACTGTGAAGATTAGGGGAACCCAGTAGCCGAAGGTGGAGCGGCGCGACGAGGGCGATTGACGGCGGTCGTAGCGGTCGTAGTTGAAGGACATGTTCTCAAATCATCCTCGGGGGTGTGGAATGCAATTGAGAGCTGCTGGTGCTGCGGTCGGCAGTCGTGGTAGTGTTGCTGCTTGTTTGTTTGGTGATGGTGGTGTTGTTGATGTTTGGTGCGGGTTGGGACGGTGAGTGGCTGGGGAATCTTACCAAGGTCGGGGGAGATGACGATGGCATCCCTGCAAAGCCGAGGCGAGTAAGAACGTCCCTTGGTCACTTTGTTAGCTCGCTGTCTGCCATTTGTTCCTAGTGCCCCGCCAAAAGTTTGGTTTCTCTATGACTGTTAACCACAAATCCACCCGCCCACCACCCCCCCGTTGAAACTCACTCCATTCGACCGCACCACCATTTCTGTACGCCCCTACTATACGCGAGAAGAAAAGGAAACAGACTGCGTCAAATCAGACTGTCTGGCATGCCGCACGCGACCATGCCCTCACCGGGCTTCCAGGCCGTCATTCTGTGCGGCCCTGGAGCTTCGTTGAGCACTTTCACCTCGTCGCCCAAGGACATTCCTAAAGCCCTCCTGCCCGTTGCGAACCGGCCCATGGTATGGTATCCCCTAGATTGGTGCTATCGCATGGGTGTCACCGACATCACCATCGTCACTCCTCCCGAATCGCTAGAGGCCATCGACGCTGCCCTGTCTCAGAATCCTCACCTCACATCTCTCCCTCGGCCTAAGCCCGATCTTCTTGCGCCCAAGGAATTGACCCACGAAACGGGCACGGGAAACCTTCTGCGACTTCCCGAAGTTCAGAAGGCCATCACGGGCGACTTCATTTTGCTTCCCTGTGATATAGTGTGCGAACTCGATGGCACTGCGCTGGCTGATGCTTGGATGGTCGAAGAAGCCGGCCTCGGTGCTTCGAATGGAGGTTCTACTGTGGGTGGGAAGGTCTCCCCCCGTGCTGGTGGTGAAAAGCTCGGACGAAGAGGTGGATTGGGGGTATGGTATCAGACGAAAGGCGAAGGAAGCAAAAAGGGCGAAGAAACCGATTTCATTGCGACAACCCCTCTCCCGTCACCCATTGTACCCCCGCCCACGGAATCGCTCCGTCGCAACATCTCCAACCTCGTCTACACAGTACCCACCGACACACTCAAAGACATCACAGAAGAAAACAGAACCTTCCCTGTGCGGCACTCGCTTATCCGTCGCCACGGTCGCATCAGAATGTTGACTACACATCGCGACGCACACATCTACTTCTTCCCGTACTGGGTACTTGACATGATCAACAAGAACGAACAATTTGAAAGCGTGGCGGAAGATGTGCTTGGGTGGTGGTCCAAGGCTGGCTGGCAAGAAGGCCTAGGCGACAAGCTGGGTTTGCGGTCTATCTTCCATCCTGAAGAGGAATCAAACAGCGAGTCTGGCTCGCAGGTTGTCGAGGAGGAGATTGATGTTTCGCGATTCAGCAGCACATGTTCCAAAGGCCACGACATCAGCAGCCTTTCCGCCGCAACAGAAGTACTTGCATCACGCGTGCGCGGATCCAGCATCTCCGGAGGTGCCAAATCAATTACCCCCGACACGAAACTCACAGTACCACCAATCCTGTCCTACATACAACCTGCTGATGCCTCAGCGGCACTGATCCGCCGTGTCGACACCGCACACCTCCTCCTCACCATCTCCCTCCGCCTCGCCAAACTCCCCTCCATCGAAGACGCCGACGGTGCCCCCACATCTCCTTTCGCCCACCAAGCCAAAGTCGCTCACAAACACCTGGTCCCCAAAAGGTGCCGCGTCGAAGCCGAAAACTCGTTGCTCGCCGAAAACGTCACTGTCGAAGAGAAGTGCAACATCAAGGAGAGCGTCATCGGGCCCAATTGCAAGATTGGCGAGGGCGCGCGCTTGCTGCGGTGTCTCTTGATGGAGAATGTCGAGGTGGGCGCCAACGCGCAGCTCACGGATTGCATATTAGGTAGAAGGTGCTTGATCGAGGGGGGTACAGCCAAGGGAGACGGCAGGACTGTGCTGAAGGATTGTGAGGTCCAAGACGGACAAGTGGTTGAGTGGGGCACGGAGAGCAAGGGCGAGAAGTTTATGAGGTTTGAACTCCCGAGCGATGAGGGTTTTGGAGGCGATGATGACGATAAGGGCTCGATTGGGGGTGATGAGGGGTTCTCAATCTAGATGTTGAACATATTTTTCCCAGGATTCTGCCATGCATGGAGGTCGGTTCGATTCTCACTTTTTAGTCCTTTTTTTCCATGTGTGTGCTGCAAATCTACTTATTGGGTTCAGCGTACACTTTATCTCGGAGAAAGCAAAAAAGCAAGTGATTGGAGCATTCGCATATCAATCTATACATTTAAAAATATGTGCAAGCAAGTGGCGGGCTTTACTAGAGAGCTGTTTCAAGTTGAATATATCAATTGATGTATCTGCATATACATGAACACATGTACAAACCAACATCATGATTGGATCAACGACACACCGAGTGGAAATCAAGTCCGCACGCAAAAGAACAAGCTGGAAATCCATCCATCATTCCACAATCAATTTTTATGTACTTTTACGCTCTATATATAAACGCCTCATCCCAAGTACCTATCTTATCGGTCCAACGCAAAGGTCATCATGTGCCCTCCCTTCCTTCCATCCATCCGCATCCTCCGATTCCTTCCTACAACCCAATTATAGATTTTTCTTCTCTCTTCGTTGTTAGGTTAGACGGATGGAATGTCACCTTTTTAGTTTGATATAAAAATAATGGGAATTCTAGACTAGTGCAAGGTTACGGCGCGCAAAGGAACTGTGGGGAATTGCGGCACGGGGTGGACGTGAACGGGTCAATTGTCTGTGTGTGAGAGAGCTAGGTGATGAGCGCGGGCTAGACTCGGCGGGGGACGCCGCAGTTATACATGTACTATTGCGTGCTTGCATGTGAGATTTCTCTTGTCGGGGGCGTGGTACGTTTGGGTTTAGAAGAGAGAGAGCAAGGAAGATCGTGAATGGGATCAAGCAATATAACGATTGCGTTTCAGGTTTCATTTTAGGGAAAGAGTAGGAGTCGAGGATAGGAAGACTCCGTGAGGCTTTGATGTACATGTTGATTTCCAGAGTATTACGCAAAACATGGAGATTTTGGCTAGATGGAAGCGCAATCTACGGTATCCGGGCTTTCTCAACCATCTCGTGTGTGTGTTTAAGATGAGGTTCATGACCATTATTCAACGGACTAAGCAACGTACGTACAGTAGTACTTTTTGGAGTTAGGCGAAAATGCGCCAACCAATCGCGAAATCTGCACGCAATGTCTAGCGTAAGAATGGGACCACGCTACGCTACGCTATACTATAGTCCATGGGGGCCAGGGGGTGGTGGTGGTGGGCTAGCGGGGAGTGGAGTACAAGAGAACGGGATGAAACAGGCGATACGGAGATTCGCAACGCATGAATGAAATGATATCTCTGTTCCAATGCGATTGCAGGAGATTGGATGATTGGGAGGAGGGTCGGTTCTAGACGCGACGGCGTTGCTTGAGCACTCAGCGTTTACGACTGTTGCAAATTTCTGATCGGATATTTTCAAAGAGGACGCCGCCTGTCATACGTCATTTTGCTCATCAGGCTGACTTTTGGGACCTGGAGCACTTTCCTTTTTGTGAAAGGGGATGCTGGAGTTCCGGGTAGGTTGTAGGTGGAGGAGGAGGTTGGTGGTGGTGGAATGGAGTTGGATGGGGAGGCTGAGCAAGTGGAGGCGCGGCGTAATTATACTGCTGTGTTACTGTAGCTGCGGTGGACCATTGATGGGGCCGGGACACGGATTCGGGAAAAGGGTGTTGTTGGCTGGGGGGTTGGGAGAGGAGGAGGCTGAATGGGAGAGTGAGATTGATGGTGTGGCGAATTAAGATGATCATACTCAGCAGCAGGGTGCTGTGTGTACCAATGAATTGGAATTGACTTTTTGTTTTAAATTTGTGGTCTATATGGTTTTATCCCGGCGCCCTTGAAGCGAATTGCTGCAAAGGAAGAAGGGGGAGATGGGCAATGGATGCCGAGAGGACTTGTTGGAGTCGCAAGTTGCAAGTTGTAAGAGATGTGGAACATGACGAAGGCCTCGGAGCAGCGAGCATGAAAAAGGCGTTGGATCCGTGGCACAGCTGTAGGGCAGGTTTGATGAGCGTGTGAATGGACTGTCCGGCGATCGTGGCTGAGCGAGCGAGTGAGTGAGAGCGAGTACGTGCGGACTCGCATCCTCGTGGTTCACGGGCCAATGCTCGCTGTATTGCCAATGTCACCGTGACGGGCATCGATGTTGAATATTCACATGGATGAATGGATGATGGGGAATGCAAATACGACGACTCCATCTGCCATCTACACGGCTGCTTCCACGGCACACAATATATACCTAGATAGCTCTATATATATGTACATACCTAGGTAATGTAGGCACACACACGCTTCACGAACAACATGCAACAATGCATACAGGTATTGATTGAGACCATGCGACAAACCCCCATACAAGGTCGCGACTGTCCGGAGTTGTACAGCAGATGGATTGTTCGCAACCAACTGGCGTGACTCTGCTTGTGTCAACTGCTGTGCCGCACGGGATTTGTACTGACATTGACGCATCCCCGAGCCCGCTAGACCCCAGCCAAGCAGGCGAGCTCGTCTACGAGATGGCATCCATCCATCCATCTCATCAACTCGACCCGTCTGCCTGCCTGCCTGACCCCCTCGTCGGTCAAGGCTGAATCCCTCGCGTCTCCAGTCCAGTCCAGCCCAGTCGTCCCTCTCCCAGCGCGCACACTCCTTCAGCCCTGACACGCCCGTCTCTGTCTGTGTGCACTACTGTGTACATCACTCAACTGCTTACGTCTCCGCCGCTTCCATCTCATAATCCACCTCCACACCACACATCACACCCCATCCCCTCCCATCACATCCCACTCGCTCGCTCGCCCACCCGCCTCTGCCTGCACGCTCGTCCGCGCAACTACACTCGTTTATCCCCACCCAGAACCGCTCCGAGCACCCGCGCAAACCGTCTCATACACATATGCCACGACCATCCCGTGACTTTGTTCGCCTTGTTCTTCTCCCAGCCTGCCTTTAACTTGGATCCATCTGCCTTGTTCTTCTTGCACCACACCACTACCGCCAGCGTCGCCGCCTTTTGCTGCATTGCTCTCCCCCTCATCCTTCGTCGTCAGTCGCGCTCGCTAGCTCGCCTGGTTACGTGACCGCGACCGTCCCAATGGTCCAGCGTACCGAATCAAAACGCTACATCAACCTCGACCAGAATGCCGACGAAGGTACGGCGTGGTACTGGCGCTTCATAGCCATGGCTGCCTCGTGGATGATCCTGGGCGGGTATGTCTCCCTACCCAGCTACTAGCCAACGTCGCAAAGCTAACGAGTCATTTCTTGTAGTTATCTGATCTTGCCAGGCCTCTATTCCAAAGAACATGATCTCCGCTTCAGCCAGGCAGTTCTATCCGTCTTCGTTGTCGCATTACTCACAGCCGGCTATTCTTTCACCGCACTGCTCTGCTTCGCATGTCGCAGCGAAGTCTTCCAGGCCGAGTCCATCTTCCTGTATGCTATCCTATGCCGCATCTCCCTCTGACTTGAGCCCATCCTACGTCTTCGTACATGGCTTCACATGCTAATGTTGCACACCAGTCCCGCTCTCACATCTTCCGCCCTCGGCCTCCTCGCCCTGGCCTACAACTTCCTATCCTCGCGCGCCTATGTCTGGAATACTGCCGCCATATCCGCCACCGTCATATCCGCCACGTCCACCGTCATGTACGCTTGCCTACTGCTCTGGACTCACCGTCGCATCGTAAAACTGAAAGAAAATGCCTCCAAGGATTCCAGCCTCTGGTCCGAGCGATCCTACTATTCCAATTATGTTGCCAACATGTACCCGACTGCATCGCGCTCGCCATCTGCTGCCCCCGCCATCCCATTAAGCGAAGACGACCGCATCAACCAACAAATGGCCCTCCTCCTCATGAACAAGGAACCCAACCCGAGCCCTGACGCAAGCAGCGCAACATTCAGAATCGACTTACCAGATGATAGGGAGGAAAGGGAGCGGTTAGCAAATAGCCAAGAGCTGAACGGGTCCTTTTCTCACACACAACAAACCTCTCAATGGACGCGCGAGCGAGCGCACAGTCGTCCAGACAGTTTGGGAGAAACTCAAGCTTGGACTGTATGGCAGGATAGAGGACGAGCACCCAACCGACCCTCAAGCGTCGGTGGGCAAAGCTCTCACTCGCGAGGTCCGAGCCGAGAAGAAAGAAGACGAGAAATCGAACTTGGCCGGTACAATCCTTGATGACTACCGGTTTTCCATTCTCGCACTAACTTTCCTCGACTTCATCGGCCAACGGCTATTTCGGTTCCATCTACTATTCGTCCTGTCTCGGATTTTCATTTCCTTTCCCTTTGTTTTCAGCGTCGGTGTTTCATTCGGAATAAGTGGGTTATATCAAGGAGTTATCATGGACTAGGCTGTCCTTTTTTGGGGGGATGATTTCACGGTCTGCGCATTCTTAGTGTCCGGTTCGAAATGTGAAGCAGCGTTGGAATACCTGCTGCACCAGGAAGAGGTGGCTTGCTAATCAGTCGGGAGGTGAGACGAAGGAGAGTCTGCTTCCGCGATAACTTGTCCATTTGCGAAGGCCCTTCTCTTGGACCATGTCATCTTTTTCCCTTTGACATATACCATCATACTCTACACACATCGCACTTTGTCCTGTCATACTATATCATATCATACTAAATAAAATAACTTATACTGTAACACTCTGCTCATCTTTGTAGTTCTCTACGGGTGTCCTCCGATCACTGCTTTTGCTTGTTGCAATCTTGCGACTGCGTTGTAAAAACTGCAACTTTTTTTTTTAGTAATCGCTTTGTTTTGGGGTGTCTTACCATTGCAGTAAAAATCGCGTTGTGAGAACACACAAACTCCAACCCTAAAATCTATTTATTGTAGTTCGATACTGTAAAAACTCCGTAAATAACGATATGCTACCTTCGTGTCGCCCCCAGAACAAGATGCGATTTCTTCACCCACTCGTATCGTCTCCTTTGCCTTCTTCAGCCCATAATGTTTCTCATATTTTCCCTTTCTCTCTCTCTTTTTATCCGTCTCTCACTTTCTTGGTTTTCCTTGATTGGAAATCGAATTGTTTCCTACACTCGAATGACTGATAAGAGATCACTTTTCTAGTCTTGTTTCACTCAGAGGTCATGCGAATATGGCACAATGCTCGCGCAGATAGCTGTTGATTATAAATTGTTTGAAAGTAAGTCTATCTGATCTAATATTGTCGTAGCTTTTTGAATATATACGTTGGAATAGGACAATCCAAAGAAGAAACGAGTAACCCTTATCCACGCTTTTGCTTATTGCAATAAGCTTGTTTAAAGGATCACCCAAACTCCAACTCATCATTTTTTACAAAGGACCTTTTCACCAAGCTCCTTAATCTTGCTATCCACCTTGGTCAAATTCGGCACAACGAGCTTCATGGTAGAGGTAACCATGGCCTCGACATACTCGGTATTCCTCTCCCAGACCTTGCCAATCTCCAAAAGATCCTTCATGGTCAAATCGCCGCTGTTCGCAGCAGTCCACTGCTTGAAGAACATCTTGGCGTCCTGCTGGTCACGAGGCTTGAACTGCCCATACGGCCTATTCGCCTTGATATCCTGGCTGGAACGCACCAAGCGCATCTGGTACATGCGCGTCATCTTGCCGAAAATCTGCACAAGCCAATCGCCATCGACAGCCTTGAGATTCTTGCCGTCATACACCACGTTACCGTTTGCATCCGCCAATTCAGACCACTTCTTGGCCTTGTTCGGGTTCCCGTCGAACTCGAGCGAGTTTGAGATGACGGTTTTCTTCTGGTTGAGCTCTGGGAACAGTGGGGTCGTGGCGTCGATGGCTTCCTTGAATAGCTTCTTCTGGTTCTCGGTGCTCGAGGTGTGGTACGCGTAATCGATGTCAGCGGTTGCGCCCTTTGCACCGCGCGACTTGAGACGGACGCCGGAAATGCCGCCGGCCCAGATGATTGTGACTTTGTCGTTGGGCGTGCCCGCAGCAGCCAGAATTTCACCAAACTTCTCGTCGAGTTTCTTGACGACTTGTTCCCAGACGTCCCAATTGACGGCCCCTTTATCGCCAGAGCGTTTTTGAGAGCGGGCAGCGGCTTCGAGAGCGTCGATACTGCGGCCACTGGCGCCGTTGCCTGCGCAGCCAGTGGTGACATCGGAGGGGTCGGCATTGGCTTCGATTCGGGACCATTCGTCTTCCTGGCAGGTGGAGCGGGCGCTGATTTTCTTTCCGGGAGACCAGGCGCAGGCATCGGTTGGCAGGGCTGATGCTGAGGAGGATGAGGACATCATGGATTTGCTGGAGGAGGATGGGACGGTGGAGGTGGAGTTGCGGCTGGATGAGATGGAGCTCATTCCTGAGGAGCTTGCTGTGATGGAGGAGCTTGCTCCGGACGAGGTCGCGGTGATGGAAGCGCTTCCGCTAGATGAGGATGCCTTGCTGCTGGAGCTGGCGCCGGACGAAGATGCTTTGGAAGAAGAGCTTGCCGAGGATGAACCTGTCTTCGAGGTTGAGCTGGCACTGGCACTGGCGCTGGCACTGGCGCTGGATGAAGAAGCTTTGGAAGAGGAGCTGACTGCTGACGAAGAGGAGGACTTAGCAGTAGAGCTAGCCGATGATGAAGACGACTTAGCAGTAGAGCTAGCCGACGATGATGAGGATGAGGATGAGGACGAAGAGGAAGTCTTGCTCGAGCTGGTCGTCGTTGGTTCGCTCGCCTTGGTCGATGATGCCTTTGTAGAGGTAGTTTTGGCCGTTGTCTTCTTCGTAGTCTTTGCCTTTGGCGCCCTCTTCTCCTCTTCGTGCGAAGAGGCTACGTTGTTCTTGTAGATTTCATACAAGCGTCCATCAACTTCGCTCGACCCGCTCAAATCGCCGCTGCATTGCTTCAAGATGTCGACGAAACGATCCACGCACTCGTCAGAGGACAAAGGAGTAGATCCCTCGACCTTGGTGACGCTGAGAAGAAGACCGTCCGGGCTCTCCTTCTCGACGTACTTGGAGGCACCCTCGTCGTTGAGGTGGGTGTTGCACACGTCGTTGGCTACACTGACGGTGTTTTCTGCGTTCCATGGTGTTTTAGTTGCCTTGGCTAAAGTCAGTAACTTGTTCCACGGCGACTTCAGAGAGGCAAAAACTTACGATGCTGTTATCACAGGCAACGCCTGCTTGGGCAGACACTCCTGCGGCATAGAAGCCTAGGAGCGTTCCCGTAACCGAGAGGCCGACTGATCGCATGATTATAGATGTTGTTCACGATGAATGAGTGTAGTATCCGAGTACAATAAAACGAATGAATGTACTGGAAAAGTAACGAAAGAAGGGATGGAAGTAGAAACTACCAAAGAGCGGCTATGATAAAAGAGTGAATGGAACTGACTTCCTGATGCGAGATGCTCTTTTTGATGAAGGCAGAACCGGCATATATATATGCACTGTACAGGTACAGCCTTGCGTGCTTGCCAATTGCCTACGCGGGAGCACCCCCATCCCGACCTCAGCCAAGCTACACAAAATTGCAAGTTCGTACTTCGGGATTGCAAAATGGGGCCAGCATAAAGTGTCGATTAACTACAAACTGGGATAGTAAGCATTTTCGCGAGACACGGCTGATCGGAGTTTTGACTGCCAGTAGTGACGTGCCTTGGAAGAAAAGCCCCAATACTACACTACGGACTTCAGTTGCTATAGTGCATACTTTGTTAGTCGTAGTGCATGTGGAGACACAGCATTTTGGCGCTTCGATCGACTCCTAAGGAGGATGGGGGAAATGTGCACTGTTGGAAAACATCATGCGACACCGATGGATAGTAAAAATAATTAGGCGCTAATCTTCCCGTACGACAGTATACTGTTACGCGGTGCTTGTCGACCCACAAGTTCCTTCTGTGTCGTAGGGGCTTGGGAGCATTTACTGGGAGGAGAACACCGAGATTCCTCCTCATCTTAGACTTTTCTTTTCTCGAATGGTGACGATGAGATGACGACACGCTCATCGTCGGCTCTCAATTCATTGTCCCATTGATGAAATAGGAACAGCTGGACGTTGAGCAAACTTCGCAAACCCTTGAACTTTTTCTTGTTCCTGTCATCATGTCATTTGTATTCTCCATACTATTCCCGTAAAGGCATTCTCTCAGCTCAACCTACGAGTAAGTTATATGCGCCATGTGGGTCGTGCTTTTTTTAGTTGGACCTGTCCCCGTTTTTCATCCCTTGATAGTGCAGATTGGGGGCTAAATGCGATACTCAAGACATGCTAACGAAGAGACTAGGCCAGTTGAACAAGCGCCAGCACATCTCGGTTCCCGGCGTCAGTGTTTGTGTTCCCCCGGTTGGATAGTTCACTTTCTTCTAGAATGTCCAGAGTCCGGATGGGGGCGGGGACTCATCGCATCGTTCGTAGTACATGTTTTAGGGCTGAATTACACGCATGCATCAACATAGGGAGCTAGGTGTTCGGCGAAATTTCTAAACATGGGGCTGAATTCAGAGTTTAATGAAGATGCCTGATCAACTCCATCGCTCCGGAGAAACCCATAAGTCATTGTTCAACGCTTCCCGTGCAATCGGGTACCGCGTAATCCTACAATTGATGGCCTGCTCACAAACCTTGCCGTACGCCAATTGCGTCTGTTGGCCACCTCTCGCAATGACTCCACAGGTTTACTCGGTGCCAGTAGTGTTGTCGAAAGTGTCTTGCGGATGATGGAGAGATGTCGAATTTATGCTTCTGCGGCCTTGTCGTTTCTAGTCTGGCCGGTGCTCAAAGCCCTTGTTAATAGCGAAGGCTGCTCCTTGCCAAGCTTAAGCCACTCACGACCTTTTGAAACAGCTTTAGTGGGCGGTCTAGCGACAAGGTAGACGAGAGCTGTGATGGGAATTGCAACCGCGAAATATACCCAGAATCCTTTTGCGCCAGGGGCCACGTCATCGTTCATACTGAACAAGGTGGACACGAAGCTCAAGGGGACAAAAATGAGCGCCAGAATGGTCAGTCGACTAATGTTTGTCGTTTCAGCGAAGGACTGTCGGGCATCGATTATTTGGACGAGTGAAGTTACGACTGGTAACATGTTTTCTAATCGTTTGCCAGCGCTTTTGATGTTGTTACTGATGACTTCAAAGTCTTCGATTAGAAAATCGAGGTCGGGTTCTCTCTTGGTCCCCAGTGTATGACGAGCTTTGAGTTGGCGTATGATCGAGCGTACCTTTTGCTGCGATACCATGCTCCGTCGTCGCCAGCCTTGAAGCTCTCTTAGATCCATGTTGAACTGGTCGAGGTTTGGTAGCTGGTCGCCTCGATATTCGTACATCTTTATGCAGTGTTGCATGACTGCTACATACTTGACCCATTCTCCAGCGACTACTCTAAGGGGGTAGTAGGCCAGAGATTCGAGGCTTGGGTCTCTTAAGTCGAAACAAGGCGGAGTGGTACGCTTCCAATACTGCACGATCTCAGATGCCATGCCGTCACGTGGAGGGAAATCATCCATCTCTGCCCAGTCACTCGAATATTTTGGCGCGTCCAGGAAATCTTCGTGACTCCCTAGATACGGTCGTAGCGACAGGTGTATTCGAGGCCCATTTTTCTCTTTCTGGCCCGAATGATAGTGAATGCTGCTGATGGGTGGATCTACGAGCAATAACGCTACTAACATTAGCCCTAAGTACTGTGCATCCTCGGAACGTTGTGACTTTACCAATCCAAAAATCACTATTTTCTCGCACTTTAATTACAGACACAGAGTGCTGAGCAAGGCCGATGGGTGTAGAGCGAATGAACACCGATTTTCGGGTCACAGCCATGTCCCGCTCGAATTTACCTCCCAGAGTAAACTTTTGATCGCAGATAAGAGGTCGATGATATGTTGTTGTCATATAATTCTGGGTGACCAGTCGGGAAGGCAATGTTGCATCGTCGGGAGTTTGAGAGCGTGCGTCATTTCTTTGCGTCGTGTGCAGGTGCAAAGCAAACATGAGCGGATCAATATCCAGAGAAGTCCCGACCAGCTCGATGACCTCTGGTGTAAGATCCTCTATGATCAAAATGCGTCCTCGCAGCGGATGTCGATGTTCCGATTTCTCGCCCGAATTTGCTCCTCGTATTCCGTTTAGCTCTTGGGGGACCAGATCAATGTCAGGAATTCGCCGTGCTATCGGTCTCGCTATTCCCTCCCGAAAATCCAGTGCAGTGAACTGACAAATTCTTTGATATGTCGACGATGAAGACAGGAAGCTTTGAAGGTTGAGCAAACATGGGTTTCGTAAGCATAAAGTCTCCACATAGTCACGATAGGTGTTTCCTTTGTGGTATTGTTTATCTGTCCTGGACACGGGCGAAAATTGCGATGTTTCTTCGTAGCTGTAACTGTCCATAGCATATGACTCTAGTATACTAGAGCGTCGTCTGTAGCGTCGTGAGCTGCGACAGCAATCACTCAGCAGATGTTTAGGTAGCGAAGGGAGAGGTCTGTGCAATGTACCTAGGTATGTGTTCGTGGCTGGGAAGGAGTCACATTCACCACCGGATCAAATGTGAACAAGAAAAAATTGAGACAACAGATCGTATTCGCTCTCGAGGCTGAGTGCTAAGCCACATAGGTGTATCGTCAGAGTGCTGATAAACTCTTGCCTGAGGTTGCGGTTTTCAGGCGCTCTACTCAATGCAGCATACTTTAGCGATGGATGACCCTGCTCCAATCATCGACCAGAATTCTCAGCCTTGTCAAGGGAAACTTATCCAGGCTGCCTCTATCTATAGCTTTGCCCACAATATGTATAAGATCCGCTTTCCACGTTGATGTCATCTGGGCCTGCGACTCGTCAATCGCCCATCATTCGTCGCCAAAATTTGCATAATTCAACTTGTCACAGCATGGAAAAGCAGACGGAAGATAAACCTCTCAAGTTCCACCAAAGAAGTCAATCCACATGGGTATCTCAACAAGAAACTCCTCCAGTTATCGAACACTTTCTAGAAAGATATAATCAAACCCATTACCACTTCCTCGCCAATCGCGCCAAAGAGTTGATAGAAGAAGAACTGGCCAAGCCCGCATGGAGCGACGTACACGTCAACGTCCGCTGTCGCGCCAAAGAGTACGTATGGTCGCAAGATGAAGCACTAGACACGCTGTGTTTAAGAGCTTGATCTACTTCATCTCTATTCTACATAGCACAAGACTCAAGTGGAATAAGGCAAAAGTGATCAAGTTTCGGATTTGCTAACGGTATTTGCAATCTTAGGCCGAAAAGTCTCCGCGAGAAGCTCAAGCTAAGGCACACTGATCCACATTCTGGGACAGTATATGAGACGGTAGATGATATCTGGGACGACATCCACGATCTCGCCGGGGTCAGAGTTATACTGTACATGCCTAGTGAGGATCAGCGCGAAAAGATCACTCAGGTTATCCAGGCTATTTGGGGTAATGATGTACAGCCAAAGTATCATCAAGGCTCAGAGGATCGGATAAAATCGGATGAACGAGCAAGAATACTCAATCCGTCAGAACGGCAGCAGATGTCTAAGAAAAAGTACCGACCGAAACATTTGGGTGAGTTCGCTGAAGTTCGGAGTTTGTGCGGCATTATTCTTGAGTGAGCTTTGCTGACTTCGTATCCCATATCTATAGGCTACATCGCAGTACATTATCGTGTCAAGATGAAAGAAACGCAGGGGAAGAAAGATTACTATTTCCACAACCAAAGAGACAGAGTGGAGATCCAGGTAGTTTCGGCACTTTCGCACGCATGGGCTGAAGCAGGACATGATATACTTTACAAAAGCTATGCATACGGGCCACCAACACTACAGGAAGAACTTCTTCTTGATTCGCTCAATGGCATTGTCTTGTCTGGCGACCTTCTTCTCGAGCAGTTCCATGAGCTGGTGATGAAGCGAACATACGCTAGATTTCGCGATAGTGGAGACTTCCGCATTTTCCTCCGGGAATTAGATGTCCTCCAACCGCAAGAGGGTAGCGATGATGTTCCTCTAGAGTTCGATGCGGAGGGAGTAGACGTACTCTTCCGCTTCCTGGCCAAAATCGAAAAGAATTACCCTGTAGCCGTGAGAAACGCTTTCAAAGACTTGGGCTTCCCGGGCAACTCAAGGTTAGATTACGTCATGGCTGATGGCTTCAAGCCGAGCTTCGATCCTGCGAAAGGGATGAAGCCGACCATATGTCTGTTAAGACATCTGTTGCCACAATATCTTTCTGATATTGTATCCCCAACAGTAGATCAAAGCCCCAAGCAACCAGACGAAACTGAAGCAAGACCTGTTTCTTTAGTTGAGCAAGGCGGAATCATGATGAGTGCTCTTATCCTTCTCCAAAACTGCTTTGATCGTGCAGACCACACCAACAAATTCTTGCGCGAACAGGTCACAATGTCTGAGGAAGACCGCCGGTCGCTCGATTTTGTACTGACCCATTGCCACCGACAACTTCTATGGGATCGAGACAGTGACGGAAAAGGTTACGAGGGGAAAATCGAAGGGAACATCAAACCGGCATGGAAATGGTTTGAGAACGAGGCCCGCAATCCGAGGAGCATTTGCGGAATGGTGTTCCAACTGGCCAAGATGGGGGCAACAAAAGAAGTCGGGTATACTACGCTTTTGGAGCAATTAAAGATCGGGCATATTATCTCGAAAAATGCGGATCAGGTCATGCGGGATTTGTAACTCGTTGCGCAAAAGGCGCTTGTACATAATCTTGCATGTGATTACGTTGCCCGCTGAGTCTAGTACTCTGTTAGTGTATCAATCCTAATCTACAAACATAGCAGAACTTCACTACCTTGCGCGCCCCCTACTCGTACAGCTTTGAAAGACCCGAGATTCATCACGAGACCCCAGGTAAAAAACAACCCGAGTATATAGTGAAATCATCAAGGCAGAAAGACCGAAGCCATGGACCTCAATGAGATAACGTGTGATTGACATTCTAAGATAACGTATTTCTATCTTGCTCTTCTCTCTCGCGTAGTGGTGTGTGAGACCTATGATACTCAGAAGTGATACGTGGTGAAACGGGAGCACTTCCAATAGACCGCAAGCTAGCTCCTTCTGCAGCAAATATTGGTTTAAGGATTGCATCAGAGTTGCTTCGATGTGTCTTGACATGTTGAAAAGCTTTGTCCTTCCGACTAAAGCCTTGCTTCGCAAAACGGCACTCCAGAGCTGGGCAAAACCAACTTGGCCGTCTATCGTGGATAGAGAACCGATGTCTTTCAAGATCCTTTTTGTATCGAAATGGGCGCTTGCATGTATCGCAAGGGAAATTGTCGTTTGACTCCCTAGGCGTTGCCTTGCTGAGCTTTAGAGGGTTGATGCGGCGTTTGAGGGTCTCGGAGGCACTAGAACGCGATGAAATTTGACTGGTTGATCTGGACATTCGACTTGAGTTCGAGTCGCGTCTTGGCCTCTCACGTTCATATACAGAGGCGATGAACAGTGGCGATGATGGCGTAGCCGGATCGGCTGGGTAGGTTGGACTCATAGACTCATAGCTAAAATTAGAGAGATCATTGGAGTTATTGTTTTCTGTCCAAGATGGTGCAGTAAGACTTGTTTGCTGGAGCTGGGAAGAGTTCATTCCATAAAACGCACTCTCATCCGTAGTTCCGAATTCATATGGCCAGTCTTGAGGCCAATCGTTGGAAGTCAGAGACGCTGGGTGCGACTCTAACGAACTCGTATCCAGAGAAAGATGCCCCAGGCTCCAAATATCATCAAAAGACATGATATTCTGCTGTCCATCACTCCATGACAGACCTGTTATGCCTGCCAAGGCATCGTCATCTGGCACGGATCCTTGCAGTAATCCAGCGGCTTCTGTCTCTTCCGCAGCACCAAAGGAACTGGACGGCAGCTCATCGTCCGGTCTGCCTGTCGAGGCTGAATTGGTATTTTGTGGCGCGATACGGCTCGAGGGAACATTTGAAAATGACGACTGAAAGGCTGGCTCTGTGGGAGTCGTCGACGAAGCATCATGGTGTAGCGAATTCAGCATAGGTTTGTGAAGAGTAAGGCAGATGAACCTATGTGAAAAACATGCGAAGCCGGAAATAGTGTGAGACGATGGATAGAAGCTGATGAGATGTAACATTCAATCGAGGAGGGCGCTTGATGCTCGGGTCAGCCCACCTTATCCGCTGCACTGCCACGTAATGATAATTTTCACAGCCTGAGCAGACGCAACACTGGCCCTGGCCAGGATTCGCTGACAAAAGTCAGCGTGCCAGTGTAACTCGCAGAGAGATGCAACCTGAGTGCGAGGCCTATACTCCCCGGGGTTGTCCGTGGAGGTGTCGGTCCTTGAGGCAAATTCATCATAAAGGGTTAGGCTAGAGCACGAGTCATACCCGCTATCGATAGCACGGAAAGGATCATGTGGGTTCTAAGTTTGGTAGCGACCACTGCAGCGGGAGCTTGCCACGAGCTAACTCCGACGTCAACTCCATTGACCTTCCATCTCATGTTTACTCAATGATTATTTGGAATAACCAACAAGTGAAGGAAGTTTCCTTCCAAGACAAACTGCAGTTATCTAGTGAGCCTCATTCGCGCCTTGCCATGCCCTGGTCGCGAGCATCCAGCTGACACGTGGCGATCCATTCACAGCCCAGCTCCCAAGGAACACGAGCAGGCCAATCATTGCCCCATCTCGATCGTGGGGGGCGAGTAAGATACCTGACGGACTAGATTGCGCGTTCCCCGTGCTGGGGTTGTATCTAAAAGCATGACAATTATGTACAGAATCCAGACCGGCAGGTTACTGCGGGCAACAAATCGCCGCGCGTATCAAAGTATCTTGCGCCCTAAATGGCTGCACAATACCGCTGAATCCATGAAATTCAAATCATCCGTTTCTCATAAGCCAGCCAGCCATGTTCCAATAGCCTGACTCGAGAGGAAAACGGGAATTGATGAGCTCCGAATGCACTGCTGATTTGAGCTATTCACCAGAAGAAGCAGGCCTCGATACCGTATAAAGTCCTGCTTCCCTTGCCGACGGTCCCCACGAATGAGAGAGTAACATAAGCATGAGCTAATTCAGGTAACCTTGGGCCGAATGATGTTATTCGAGTGTACAATCTCGGTTGGTGTCCAGTAAGCCCAAGGAGCCGATTCAAGCCCAAAGGCTCGATGCTGGCTTGTGCACTGCTCTCGTCACTCGCGTTTTTTTCTCCCTCGTGTACCAACGGAACGACACCGAGCGTTCATCGTGCCCTTCATTCTCTTCATTACCTTCACCGCCCCTGCGGTATCTATTCCTGAGCACTTGCATTTGTACTTACATTGGTTTGCGTTGTCCAACCTGGAGTTACAAAACTACCCTTGAAATCACAAGGAAGAACAAGTCGGCTTTCGCATTGTTACCCAACGTGTATTCTGGATAGCCCAACGACTAAGCCCCGTTTTTTCGCCGCTTCCATCCGGAGAAAGCAACCTCGCAACTAATCTTCTTGTTGGTATCACTGATAGACGACTTGAGCAACAATCTTAGAGGCTATCTATTCACATTCATGAGCTATCGCATAACTAATCCACGTGAGTCATCTGCACACTGAAGCTCCGTCGTCACTAAGTAGTCGCACCTAGGTCCATTCCTCTTGCGGCAGATTGCACTCCATCCAGAGGATCCAAACGGATTACATCGTGTCTCTAAAGAGTCTACATCCACCAGATGGAAGAATATAAAATATCGCGCATAGGCGCGGAGGGTGCGTATAGATCTTTCATATGACTCATAGGCTGAAATGTGTCACTCCGTCGCTCCAGTCGAGTGACATCAAACACCAGTATATGCAGTCCAGCAATCTCCGGAGTTTGAACAGATGTTGCGCCGAAGAGTGACCGTCACTCTCGGGCCCATGCGCTGGGATCGCCGGGTATTGGGCAGCTGCAGCCCTTTCGCCAGATGCCGGCTCTGAGTCCAATATGCGTCTACGTAGCAACGCTACTATTCTGGAGGACTGTTGTGTCTTGTTGTTACGGCTTTACATGGCAAGCATTTTGCTGACAACTTGGATAGACATAGTGAAAAATCACCTTGAGCTTATCGATCAAGCTCTGGAGAAAAATCACGCCTCCACGAACTTCGAGAAGCTGGTTGTGAGAGTCCATTATGCGTTGCCCGATAGCGTGACACGAAATGGGTTTCCAAAAGACACACAAGTCGAGATCATCGCCAAAATCCTCTCAAAGCTGAAATCCGAACGCTTGAGCCAATGCAGGGATGACGAAGAATATCTTGAGAAGGGCAGTAAATTCCTTCAAAGTAGCGAAGGAGAATCTTGGAGTAAGTGGAAATTTCTCTTGGGGAGTCAGAAGCCCGGAAGGTTGATTTTGATGGCTCTCTGGCTTCATCAAATGGGTCAATCTCTGGCAGATCGGTGGAGTTGGCACCAAAATGATTTATTAGACTGAGCATAAACTCACGGGTCCGCAGTAAATGGATGGTTCTCTCCAAAAGACGCGAATATTGTCGAGGCTTCCAAGCGCAAGGGCAGCAAATCAATAACAAAGAGATCCAATAGACCCAAGGGCATAGCGATTGACACTTTTTCCGAGGAAACCGGTGCATCATCCAGCAGCAAAGGCGTTCGCAGAGTACCTCCCGCTCCTTCCTCCTCTTCTATCAATAATATGCGTGAAATTGTCTCTGTGACAATGTCATCGCCTCATGGTTCAGCGGCATCCCCCAAAGAGTTGCCTTCTTCCGCGGTCTTGCCAGAATTATCGCCTGTAATTTGCTCCACGCCAACACCGTTCCAGGTCGGGGAAAATGTATTGTACAGCACCAGGGGTGGTGGTCTAGCTCTTTGTCTCCAATGCTGGACGATCCACGATAAAACTATCGGCGGTCCTTTTGTTGATCTATGGCCCTCGTCTCATTCAGGCCCTCTCAGTACTGTTTTGTTCGGTAACCACATCGAGGAAATCAACCGGCTCAACCAAAGACTATCGGCGAGAAGGGTCGTTGGCATGTTCGCCATTGGCGGAGCTTGCGTTTTCAGCACTCTGGTCTGGCTCCTTAGTGTTTTATTTGGCTCGCAAGCTCGTCAACAATGAGAGTGATCGATTTCGGACTGTCTCCAGGCGTTAGTTTTAGCATTTCCTGCGGTGTATAAGGTCGGGGTGTCTATAAGCATCGGTCGCCATGATAGGAAAACAGGATAACGGACTTACGGGATTTCCTTTACATTCTGCTTGTGGATAAAGGCGCTCAGGGAAGGGTAGGGAGGGACTCGTCGTTCATTTGTCTTTCATTTTGGGATAATTTTTCATCTTCTTCGAGATTTGCCAGCAAGTGCAACAAGGGCACCAAGGGCAAATGTCCGCCATCTTTCAGGCTATGTCTCCTATGTATATACTGTGTAGCGAAATGGTCATGCTTCAGCCTCGCCCAATCCTCAATGGGGGCCACCAATCACTTGCACGCGCTAAGTGCCAGCAGCAAGCCACACAAGCCACCATGTGCAGATTATTACTGAGCTCTCGACCTTTTGCAGGCACAGTGTGACTGCAACGGGGCAAAGAGTGGGCATTCCTGCGTAAATCGCGCGTTGTCCTGCGACTAAGCTATGCGGGCTCCGAGAGGTCTGTTTGGTAGCACAATATCAACACCTGTCGGGTTTGGAGGGGCTGAGATCTTGCGTTAATGCCTCACCACCTTCAACAACGTCGACATCAACCCTTCTGGTTTGATACACGTATATGTCTGTACAAGGTCATGAGAATGAAGCACAGCATATCTTACTCTACACATTATCCTGTGCTGCACAAGTTCGTCACTGCGATTCCTTATCAACCATGCACAGCCAGCCAACGTGCGTGAAGCGGCCATCAGCACACCTGCAATTATTAAGTCAAGAACCAGCTGGGAACTCTCTGGGTCACGCACCGACTTCATTCGACTGTCGACGCATGTCTGGCCTCGAGTTCTACTCACCGGCTCTGACCGGAAATAATATGATTGCATGAGCTGTGCTGTGCGCTCCAGCTGCCTTTTCTAGCGCGCTGGGTTCGTACGAAGCTGGATATGTAAGTCAAGATTTGGGGACAGCTCAGCTGAGGCAATGCTCTTTGACAACGGTAGCACGGAACCATTTGAATGATTCTCGAGTGCCAATGGGGTAGTTCTACTTTGTGGTGTCTACATAGTGCTACGTAGTAACGTTGGAGGGTGAGGTTGCAGTCGGCCCTGTTCCAGTTGAGCCTGGAGTCTGGCCCCAAACTATCCTTCCAAAGGGGCATATTACTCTATTTTCTGGTAACAACTCCTTCCCCGGAATTTTTCGAGTGGTTTTAATGGACGGATGGATCACGGCCCCTTTCAATCATGTTGGTAGATTGGAAACGAGCGCTGAATGTAAGATGTACCCTTTACTCACCTGCTCAGTTGAGGGTCTCCAAAACCTCCACAAATGGTCGGTTTCTAAACAAGTGAGAAGAATTCGCATTTACTTGTTTCTCAGCTCTAGCGCAACACGCAGTAATCTGTCATGAATGTCGATGATTTTCAGGTGTTCTCCATATCGCTTTGTAATGAGATAGAAGTACAATATACACTCTTTGCGATTGGTTTCAGTACCTCGGGAGTACATCATGGGCATGCTGCATACCTACTGAATGAGTCAAATCAGAATCAGCGATCGAATTAGCTTCTGATACTTTTCATCACTACTGCAAATTTCTCGTGTTGTCGATTGCCTCTGTTCATGTGCATTCGTAACAAGAATCGACATGAGGTCAAAATCACGGGAGTTTTCATGTCTACATAGATACTGGTAGAAACAGTTAAAACAATTACGAACTCCTAACCCATTGATAATCGACGAAAACTAATACTACTATGCTGACCGGGAGTGAGTCGCGATGGAAGATCAGGATGGCGTAGACGACAGCAAACAAAATTAACGAATAGCAGATCGCAATACAAAAAAACTACGAATGCAAAAACATATCCACATGGCCACCATACCCCTCAATAGTCGACGGAAAAACTATTCGTTATTATTCCGAAAGCTACGGCATCTTTCAGATTAACCTGTCCATCAATCACCACCGACGAGAGTGGAAAAGAATGCGGAGAATCCATGCAGACCCGCTACTACTAGCATTGGATAAAGTACACCCTGAAACCGTGAACCCGCTATACCGACGCCCATAGACGGGCTAAGCCTTGCCAGAAATGCTTATTTGCCGTCTCTGGAATTTCTCCGAGACTACGGAAGCTTTAATGTGGTGTCGAATTTCGCGTTCGACCGAGCGCGTGTTTATATATCTCTGTTGATAAGTAGTTTGGTGATATCCGCATTGGTTTTGTTTTATTTTACATCTTGCATGATATTTGTGCCGTCTTAAAATTTGGTTAACATGAAGGTCTCAACTGTATTTGCGTTGTTGGGTTCGGCATCTTTTGCCCTCGCTGCTCCTACTTCGGTGATTCAGAAACGCGCCGATTACTGCGGGCAATGGTGAGTAGAACTCTTCAGAGCGAAGCCGAACTCAAAACCACCGATTCATATGGCGTTCTTCGACCGCATTCGCTAACTCTGTGTCCGTACTATAAGGGACTCTGCTGTGTCTGGCGATTACACCATATACAATGTATGATTCCTGTTCCTATCCAAGGATATACTGTGACCTCCCAAGTTAACACCCTGTAGAATCTCTGGGGCCGCGACGCCGCAACTTCCGGATCTCAGTGTACAGGTGTCGATGGAATCTCCGGAACGACACTGAAATGGCACACGAAATGGTCGTGGGCCGGCGGACCTTATAGCGTGAAATCGTACGCCAACGTCGTGACCAAGATCTCGCAAAAGGCGTTGTCTGCAATCACATCGTTGCCATCAACATGGTAAGATAATCTAGCACTTACCGTTCTTTTTGAATATTCTCTCCCCAGACAGTACTCCTATAGTGAGCATCTTTCTAATATCTGCGGTGCATAGGACGTGGACGTACACCGGGTCAAACATGATTGCGAACGTTGCATATGATTTATTCACTTCCAGCACGGCGTCCGGAGACGCAGAGTACGAGATCATGATTTGGCTTGCAGCTCTTGGAGGTGCTGGACCAATCTCCGCAACTGGTCAGCCAATCGCAACAGTTACTCTTGCTGGAAAATCATGGAAATTGTACAACGGAAAGAACGGGAACATGGTGAGTCGCCCTTCAACAGAGTTGATCAAACAAGTAAATCGAGCAGGAACTAACGTAATGTGTTTGCAGAATGTGTTTAGCTTTGTCGCTACCAGCCAGGTTTCGAGTTTCAGTGGTGATTTGATGGAGTTTGTGAAATATTTGACAAGCCAACAGGGGATGCCGTCTAGCCAAATTCTCACGAGTGCCGGTGCAGGGACTGAGCCATTCACGGGGAGCAACGCAGTGTTCACTACGACTGCGTATAGCTTGAGCCAGAAGTAGGCGGTGGGATGTTGAAGCTGTTTGTTGATTGTTCAGATGATTGCCAAACAACATGGGAAAACAGTGGAAGTCACTACATAGGTGTACATAGGTGTATGTAGAATAATGTATTCTGCGCCGTGCATCTTGCGACTTAATTACTTGAACAGTTTCACCAATGAATATCCTGTGTGCACTGCAGTTGAGACCAATGGATGCGCCCATGGTGGGAATTCTGCACTGGCATGCCTGCTGACATATGAAGCAATCCTTGATCGAGGTGCGCCTTCTGTGAACATCATATCGTTCATGGATCCTTCTGTCAATCCTGCAGCTTCATGTGCAAGGTCGAACATTTCCGCTTCGTACTTTTCGATATACGACCCAAGACCTTCACTTGCTCCCGACTTCATGTACTCAACGATTCTACGGCACAGTATGAGTGCGTCGTTGAAGGCGCTGTTGACCCCAATGCCCGCAAATGGAGTCATTAGGTGAGCAGCGTCACCGATGAGTGTGACACCATCTTTGTGTTCCCATGAGAAAGGTCTGGGTAACATGTACAGGTTGCGCCAGGCCACAGGATCTCCGGATTTCTCAAAGATGGCTTTCAGTTCGGGCGACCAATCGCCTAGTTCTCCTCTCAAATGCTTCCTCATGTCTTCCGCATTCGTTACGTCAAAGCCGCACGTTTGCGCGAAGTCTTCCGGAAATTGCGCGTAAGATGATGCGTGAAGAGTACCATCACCCATTTGTTGGCAAGCAAGCGATCGTTTGTCGCCGAACGCGAAGATGCTCCCGCGATTGACAAATTTGTAGATTTCTGGGACGATTTTTTCTGGATCGTTTATCGTCATAGAATATCCTGCAAGCCCACTATAAGTGGGCTTCACATCGGTTAGAAACTTCCTGGCTTTGCTCCACGCACCATCGGCCCCGACGACCAGATCGTATCCGCTTTCTGTCTTGCCGTTTTCGAAAACCAAGCTCAGATCGTCTTTGATGGTATTGAGCTTGTATCCCCAGTTTATGCACCCTTCCGGCAAGCTCCGCACTAGCATTTCTCTCAAAACTGGACGATCGATCTCAGGTGCTTCCATGGTCAATGGTTTTGGCTTCTCGTTGGCATCTCGACCCGCCCTCTTGAGCCAAATTTTCTGGTGCTTATCACAAATGATCAAGCTTTCACCATCGTACCGGGCATGTTTCTGAAACTCATCCCACAGACCGGCCTCTTTCATAGCTTGCAACCCAGTCCTCTGTCTGAGATCTAGAGTGCCTCCTTGGGAACGAAAGTCGATGGATTTTTCGCTTTCGAATATTGTGCATGGGATGGAGTTTTGTTGGAGGAGTCGGGCGAGCATACATCCTCCCGGTCCAGCACCGATGATGGCGATTTTGAGCGGCATAGTGTAGGGAAGTGAGATGACAACAAACTGGTTTGCACGGGTGTGTAGAAGAATGGATGGATAGATTTGTTGTTTCGGATCCAGACTTTATACACAAGCCAATGGCTCTCTCCCACAGCCTCAGATGCTATGACGGCGCTCTAAACCTAATAAAGTCTGTATTGCGATAGGGACCTGAGTATTTAGCGTCTGGCTATGTCGCACATTAGGCGTCCGTGTTTTCGCCCTCGAGGGATCAGTCGCGCTTTCCACTTCGTCATCTTTCTCATTGTAGCCATTCAATGCGCGTGAATGAATGAATGAATGAGTGAATGGCCGAGGAGGTGGAGGTGAAGTGTGCTGACAGCTACCAGAAGCCCAGAACCAAGGGGGTTGGACGGAAATGAGCGGTGCCATGCAAAGTAGCAAGAGAGTAAGAAGCCATGTATGAATTGAAGAAGATTTCAGGTGAATATAAAAATAACGATGGAGATGGCGGAGATGGCGGAGAAGATGGAGATGAGGAACAGCCATTGGGGTTGGGAGGGGCGAGTAGATGGGTAGGTGGTAAATAGTGTATAAGCGAGCAAGCGGCCAATCGTCTGTCGGCACCGAGGCACGCTTTCACTAAACGCTTTCGTCCCGAAGCTACAGCAACGGCAGACTGCCAGGGCGTTCGCAGCAACAAATCACGAGAGACTCATTTGTTGACGACATGGAGAATCATGCTTGTTAGCCTTCTGCGGCTCGGAGCTTGTACTTTTTGTCCACCGCGGAAGCACCCAGAGCCAGGTTCTCCTCAGAGCATGCTTCTGCTTGGCAGCCTGATTGGAACATCAGGTTATACTAACAGCCGTGCCTGCATAATATGACGGCATCAACTATTGAGATACCAAGGTAGCTCCTAGAGCTCGGGGGTCTGGAGTCATCATTACAGAGATACAAAAGGCCATGAGGAGCTATGCAATCCCTTCTCAGGCTGCTCGAGCTTCGTCAAACCTAGCAACGCCGGATCCATCATTCCTACCATGAGGCTTCAGCTACTCTCAATCGCTTCGCTGGTGGTGAGTGTTGGTGCGAGTTGGACAAAGAATATCAATTACCGCTCTCCGTCGGAACATCACCCGTCGCTGGGCATCTCGATTCACAGAGTGGTCAAGCGCAATGATCCTCAGAGCTCGTGGGACCAAGCAACCTTGAACTTCACACATGGCGTGGCTTCGGGAGATCCCTACCCTGACAGTGTTATTCTGTGGACTCGCGTGGGCCCAACCAGCGACAACGACAGATCAAATGTGACGGTATCTGGCTACGTTCAATTGTTCGACCACGACAATCAGAAATTCGTATCCATGTCTAAAGCGCCCGTGTGTGTCGAATATAAGATTGCCACTCAGAAGGATCTGAGCGACGTCGTGGATTCTGGCAAAGTCTTCACGAGTTCTGACGTCGACTATACAGTCAAGGTAAGCTCTCCTATTGGTGCTCCAAGGGTAATATGTTGATGATAAGATAGGTCGAAGCCAAGAATCTTAAACCTTATACCACTTACTACTACCAATTCAATGTCTGCGACTCCGATAACAAGAGCCCTCTGGGAAGGACAAAAACGACTCCTCATGCCGATGACGATGTTACCAAAGTCGGAATCGCAGTATACTCCTGCTCAAACTATCCCTTTGGTTTCTTCAACGCATACGGCAATTCAGTGCGCAAGGTAGTTTTTCTTCCAAAAATGACGTGACGAGTTCTAACAGATTGATGAAGGACTCCGTAGACTATGTCGTCCATCTAGGTGATTACATCTACGAGTACGCTAACGGGGAGTACGGATGGGGTCAAAGTATTGGCCGTGTTCCTTTGCCAGACAAGGAAATTTTCAGCCTCTACGATTATCGGAAACGTCTTGCAACGTACAGGACCGATCTTGATCTTGTTGCGAGTCATCAACAATTCCCCTGGATTCCCGTTTGGGTACGTGTTTATGTTGGCTTTTGTGAGCTGACTTCCTATTAACTGAACTGCTAGGATGATCACGAGGTGGCGGACAATGTTTATCGTGACGGCACCTCTAAGATGAACAACACCGAATCTAGCTTTATTAAAGATGGAGAAGTGAGCTTCGATCAAAGGAAGATGAATGCTGTCAGAGCTTATTTCGAATGGATGCCCATCAGACAAGTGGAAATGGATGACAAGTAAGTTGATTGTACAGACACAACATCATTGATGCAAGGAAATTCGACCAAACTCCCTTTTGGCTAGCTTGACACATAGCCACTGTGGCTGTGCACCGTGGCGCATAGCCCTGAAGGCAAATAACTCCTTGAGTGAACGGTTCTAGTTACTGCATCGTTGAATCAACGAAGACCCCGGAATGGCTTTGCTTGAGCTTTACTGACGATTGACCTCCAATTTTAGTCTCCGTATCTGGCGGTCCTTCAGCATCGGAAAACTACTCGACCTTGTGATGTTAGATACCAGAAATTATGACCGTTCCATCACCGATCTCTACTGGAATACCGATTACGTCCATGCCATCTCAAACGATGCCGGCCGCTCTCTCATGGGTCAACGCCAGGAACACTGGTTCTACAATACCCTCTCCGAGTCCGCCGACCGCGGCGCAGCCTGGCGCATTATCGGCTCCCAGATCATATTCAGCCGTGTAAACCAGTCCGCTGCTTTCGGTGACGATAATCCTCTGAATTACGATGCTTGGGACGGTTATATGTCGAACAAAAACCGTACTCTCAACCATCTATACAGCAACAACATCGGCAACAACATTTTCCTAGCGGGAGATAGCCACGCTTCTTGGGTAAGCGACCTAGCCTGGCTCGGCGAGAAAGAGTACAACAAAGAGACCGGTGAAGGTAGCATCGGTGTCGAATTCGCAGGTTCAGCTGTCACTTCGCCTTGTCCCTACGGCGCCAATATCTCTCTCGCGACAGCGAACAACTACTCGGGTATTCTGCAGGCTTCCAACGACGAACTTCAGTGGCAAGATCTGTACTACCGTGGTTACTACGAGCTGCACATCAGCGGCGAGGAAGTGGTCGCGAACTATTTCGGCATGCCTACTGTTGTGACGAGGAATAGTTGGGAGATCCCATTGGCGAATTTCACTGTTAAGAATGGGGAGAATAGGTTGCAGAGACCTGTCGCTGGTGGGATTGTGGAGAGCGGGAGCTTGAAGGCGGGAAGAACTGTTCAGACTAATGCTACGCATGATACTCTTAATGGTACGTGGTTTGTTAGCCATGCGCCTTTGGAGGTTCTGTAAGTATGGTGCCGAACATTCTAAACCAAGAGATATTTCATTTCGTTTGAGCCATGTCTTTGTAAATCATAGTAGTCGTAACTATCAAGACAAGCCAAAAGGTAGCTTCTCCCCGAACTCGTTTCATACCTTCAATAATTCTATTTCACTTGTCCGTGTGATTTCTAACTAACATTCACCACGATTCAATACTTCAAGATCTGGCATTTGATGGCCGCACTGCCGCATTACAAAGTAGCTATACTAAGTAATATATGTACATAAAAAGAACTTCAGGGACTGATTAGGAGTAGCTACTTAACAAACCCAGGATTTCTAGACATCTAGTAGTTCTTAGTACTTCAAGGACTTGTACTTACTCTAGCTACCTTATTGTGCGGCGAAGAGTAACAGTGTAGCCATCAAATTCTAGATCCTACAGTGATAGAGTGTCAAAGGTCCTGTTATTAGCTTGGACATACATATGTATTCGGAGTCCTGATGTCGCTGGATACAATCACGTGATTCACACCTCCACATGTCCACTCTGGATTTCGAAGCGACGACATCATATCAAATCATTCGCATTATCGCATCAATACAAGTTACATAGCGCTTCATTTGATTGGTAGTTTGACGGATTTATATGGAAAATGTGGGTATAATGCAGTGCTACTCGGAACTGTGTATTACTACTGACCTCAAGATGATGTCAATCATCCTTCAAGATCGTGCTTTTATAAGAGTTCAATACCTACATCCAGACTCTTTTATATTCTGATACCATTCAATCTTAAATACTAGATTTCATCTCGAAGTACTTTCAAAGCATACATACGCTCTAACTCCCATATTTGAACTTCCAGTTACATACCAATATGAGCGCTACAAAGAACCCAGACTCGGTCGCCAACCAACCTGGTCAGGTCGGAGCGAAAGTGCATCCTTCAGAGCCAATGATGCAAGGCGGAGTAAGACTCCCTATCTCCTTTGTGTCTATTCTACCTAGCATCTCCAAACATCCCTTCACTCTAGACTATCATTCTGACGCATGCTTTAGCACCAACCTGGACAGAAGGTCTCACCAGCTGACCATGCCCCTGAATTCAGCGCCCAAACCCTTCCCGCTGGCAGTGCCCCTGCTTCATCAACATACAAGCCAAACCCCGACCTCAACAACCAAAAGATGTACCAAGCCGCGTCGTCGACGCTCACAGGCGCCGACAGCAAGGACGTTCACACTGGACTTGGACACCCCGGGCAGGGACAAACGAGCCAAGAGTTGCATGACAAGAGAAAGGTACCAGAAACGGCACACGTCGGTCAGAAATCTACGAGTGTGCAGAATGACAAGGTTACCGGACGGGACCCGCACTTTGCGGATCAAAGGAATCTGGACGATGTGCCCACGGGACAGAGGGGCAACGTTGGTGGTCCACCTGCTCAAGACAGGGTACCCGAGAGCGCGGAGACAGTTGCGTCGGAGAACCCTTAAAGGGTCGCGTTACTGTATGGTAAGATGCGCTGGATAACTATTGAAGTGAATGAATGTCTTATGAATCACTGAACTGGTTTATGGGAAAAAGGATAGCGACAAAGCTGGACGATGCTGTCTAACGAATCAATTCATTCCATCTATTTGTCCCCAATATATGCATAGGGATATTTCGCCGTTGGCTTGCTTGTTTGCTCCCAACGATCTGCCATGCTGAGCAGTGACGACACGAATCATGTTGCGGAGGCACAAAGCCCTTTTCAGGGCAACTGATAGGTGGGACTTGATGAAGGTGAAATAAGAAGAGAGAGAATATGTATCCCTATACCGATGATCAAGGATCAGTGCTGTCAAGTGTGAGGAAACAATCATGAAGACGATGCGCCAAGATATTTGGTGGATGTTCTTCCGGCCATTCCACTAACGGATTAGCCGATGAGGGGCAAGCAGTTACTCGTTCGCATTTCGATTTTCAGTGACATCAGCTGGCAGCTTCCTTACACACCAATTGCTCCCCGCGACAAGGTTCATTCGTTGGGATGCTTCTGTTGACCGTGCCGTGTGTCGTGCAGCATGCCGAACATTCCCCCACGACGGGACCGCCTCACTAGGCTTGGCCTTGTCCCCGTGTTATCCTGTTACCTTATCACACTCGTAAAGCCGTTGCATCCCGTGCGACTTCAGCGAACAAGCACCTCTCCTCCCACTGGGTTCAGCGACCCTAGCAAGCCATCATGGACCAACTAGTATACCTGACCCACACATGCCCATCGATTATGTGGGCTTGCTTCCAATCCGTCGCTGCTTCCGTGTCCTACGGGCCCTGACTTGCTTTGAAGGAATTGCTAGTGCCCGCAAACTCAGTCGCGATTGCCCTGGTCGGCCCTTGATTCCAGAGTATATCTGACCCGAGCCTGCCACCGACACTGCCTTCATACTCTTTCCCTTCCTCTTGGTGTTTTGAACAACAGATCTACGAGCTCTTTTTTTTACTCCGAGAACATAACTAAGTAGTAAAACACAATGTCGAACAAACCCATCTTCGTGGCTACTCATCCACGAGCTTGCTCTACGGCCTTCGAGCGGGTATGAGCTGGAACCCTCACCTTGAAGGATGCAACACTGACTCCCCAGGTCTTCATGACACGCCGGGACACGCTCCAAACCGTTCACGAACCCTTTGGCGATGCCTACTACTTCGGACCAGAGCGACTCGCAGAACGGTACGAGAACGACGCAAAAGCTAGGCAAGAGAGTGGTTACGCGGACAGCACTTACCGAACCATCTTTGACGGGATCCAAAAAGATAACTCAGAGGTCCGCTTCTCTCCTTTTGTCTTCGATCCCTCATCGTCACTAGCATTGCATCGGCTCTGCCCAATGAGCACCCCTCTTCCCCCATCTTCGGTGCACTAGGTCTCGCCTCACGCTTGACGTTATATCGTGGCTTTACCACGTCAGACACGGACGGCACCACTCGTCAACATACACGATGGCAGTATTCTAGCTTGGGATTAGCAACTGTTCAGCAACACTGCCCAGACCCTCACGCGACCTCGTTGACATGCTCTACCATATGCTGTCGTCGCCACTTGCTTCTCTTCGCGACGTTTCCCAAACACTTTCCACTCACATGTCCCATCCTCTCCATGCAATATCGGCGCACACATTTCCTAATGGCAATGCAACCTGGCGTGAACAGCACGTGCTCACAGTCAAATAGGGCAAACGCGCATTCGTCAAGGACATGGCACAGTACTGGATACCACCCAGCCAGAAACCGGCGACCATTGCCCCGTCCCTTGTTAATTACAAGCCCGGCGTGGGAACTGATACCACGGCCCTCTCACCTGTCGCCAGTAGAACCGACAAAGATGCGCCCCTGTACCCATATCAGACGGAAGCCGAACCCGGCAACCCAACCGTGATCCCAAAGGCACTGCTCGCGCAATTCCACTTCACGTTCCTGATCCGTCACCCCAGGAATAGCATTCCCAGCTACTACCGCTGCACTGTCCCACCTCTGGACAAAATCACGGGCTTCTACAACTTCCGTCCCGACGAGGCAGGATACGTCGAGTTGCGCCGCTTCTTCGAATTCTTGCGCGCAGAAGGCCAGATCGGACCCCATGCTGCGACTGGTGTTTCTGAAGATGTCCTTAGTACCGCTACCAATGGCACCAATGGCTCATCGACGGGCGTAGAGATCTGCGTCATCGACGCAGACGATTTGCTAGACAACCCGTCTGGTATCATCGAGGCGTACTGCAAGAGCACGGGCATCAAGTACGAACCCGAGATGCTCACCTGGGATACAGAGGAGCATCACGAGTATGCCAAGGAGACGTTTGAGAAGTGGAAGGGTTTCCACGAGGACGCTATCAATAGCAAGGAGTTGAAGGCTCGCACACATGTACGTATTTCTCCCGCCCTGCCGATCTTTCAACCCTTTTTCCCCTGTCGAAGATTGATTGCTGACGTTATTTTCCCCTGAAGAAGAAAACACCCAAGAGTGAAGATGAGCTGTTCAAGGAGTGGACAGAGAAGTATGGCGAAGAGGGCGCGAAGATCATCAGCGATTGCGTCAAGGAGAATGTGGAGCATTATGAGTACTTGAAGCAGTTTGCTATCAAGGTTTGAGTGGTTATTTTATGAACTCGTGGCTATGGGATTTGGGTACCGCGTGCGGCATACGTGGTTGTATGAACGTTATTGTCCGCGAAGAATCGGTCGTGTAGGGTAGATTACGCATGAATTGAACAAGTACAGCTTTATCATACATTATCTTTCTGTCCGGTGAAGATTAAGGAGCTGAGATGCGTGATTGGCCTGCGGGATCATGGTATCTATCAGTGTGAGGTCGATGCGTCTCAACAAGAAAGACTGTCAGTGGAGAATTAGTGAGCAATGTCATTGACCGCAGAAGCATATCAACACAAACAAGCCACGTCGTCAAGAGGAACGAAAAATTATACGATCGTCTAAATGTTCTTTTCTCATGTCACATCTACTTCACGCATGCATAGACGCACGATTCGCTACAACCACCCGCTCCCAAGGACCACCTAGATAGCCCGTCAACAAAAGATCCCCACTTGCTCCAGATTCGATTGCCTGCATGCTGTACATGCATGCATCGCTGTGCCCATTTCGAGCCGTCCTAGAGATTCTAGACTCCCCCCGAATCATGTCGCCAAAAGCTTTCAACAGCGCAGTCGAGAGAGACTATACGATCTCATAAACGTCTGCAACAGACTTGATATCTTTTGTGAAATTGATGTCCTGGTTCATCGAGAGCAGCGTGACGGAAGCAACCTGTACACAGAACCATTAGCTCACAATCCTTTTATTGTATTTTTACATCAAGGGAGAGAAAGAAAGAAGTTTAAAAAAAAAAAGACTTACATCGACGTCCACAAAAGGCGAAGACTTGTTGAAACGCACGCGCATGGGGAAAAATTCGGAATCGCTCTCAGCCTGGGCTTCAAACTCGAAGCTACCAGAGCTGTGCTCGTCGTCGACGGTGCCAATATTCCACTCGAGACTGTCGCCGCTGACCTCGTAGACAGCGTCGTACGAGGAAATGTTTGGCTCCTCAGTTTGGTAGGGGATGGTGACGGCGACATCCTTGAGGGCATCGCCGCCTGTGAGCTCGTACTCGACGGTGATGTTAAACATGTTGCCCGACTCCTCGACCCAGACACGGAAGGTGATGGGCGGGTCTGCCACATCTTCCGGCTTCGGCGCGAGCTTCCACTTCATGACGCCAATGCCCATGTTGGAGGGGAACCCCTTGCTCGTATCGGTGAGCTGAATGACTTGGTTGTTGCGGAAGACGGCCTTGTCGACCTTGGGATGTGTCATGAGCTGTGCGCCGCGCGTTTCACCAGCTTGGAGGTCGAGCTTGACCTGTGTGAGTGCAGGGTCGGTGATTTTGAGTTGCATTTCACCCTTGACTTCGAACGACTTGAGGAGTCCCTCGCGATCTAGACGAGCGGAGATTGATTCGTTGGTGGTGATGTGCACGGCTTCGCGATCCAGAGACGTGGATTGGCGCGCGCTGGCGGGAGCTGCGGCGGGGGCAGAGGTCTTGGGCGAGGAAACGAGAGGCTCTGTTTCTGCGGGAAGATCGCCGGCGACCTGCTCGAATAGATTGTTGGTCTGTTTCTTCTTGCCGAGCTGCATCCCCTTCTTGCCCAAAGCCAGGGGTTTGCTCGCTGGCTTCTTAGCAGCTTCGTAGCTGTCGTAGGTGTCTGGCACGGTAGTCGGAGCACTTGGGGTGAAAGTGGGATATTGCGGTGTGCGTGAGCCCCCTCCCATACCGCCACTGCCCATGCCTCCACCCATTCCGCGAGAGGATCTCGACATTTCCTTCCTTTGCATCTCGAGCTGCTTGGCGCGACGTTTCCGCTCTTCGGTCGCCTCCAATTCCTTGTTCCGCGCAATGATTTCTTGGATTCTCTCCTCGTGAGACTCCATCTCCAAGAAAGTCTTGATCTGGGTCATGGTAAGGTTTTCTCGGTATCCCATGGTGACGATCTCGTCGAATGCAGACAGAAGCTCAAAGGCATTCTTCAAGATCTCGCGCTCATCCAGCGACTTGCATATAGACGAGACGACCTGGGCAAAAAGGTGCAGAGAGTTGATGTCTTGCAGAATGTTGGACTGCAGGTTGGTGATGAGCACCATGTAGAGCTCATCGAGCGGTTGGTACACGTAGCGGACATTGTCCTGTTCGACCGTGGTGTGTTGCGAAGCGCCGTCGGCGAGCTTGGGGAATGAGGCAAGGAGGGCTTCGATACGTGACCGTTGCATCTCACGGAACTGGCGAGAGAGGACGGCCTTGCCGCCACGAGTGCATATTGAGGCTGCGAGAACGACCTAGAACTCCTAGTAAGCTACCAGCTGGGCATTGGGAGGTGCTGGCAGGGCCCAATTGTACCATTGTGAATGTAGCTTCGCAAGCAGACGTGTAGTATTCAAGTGGCTCTGTCTATGGGAGGTGAAGCGCACTGGGTGGATCTTGGTTGGTCGGTGAAGTCGGTGGTGGAGGGGGAAAGTTGTCCAAAGTGGAAATTACGAGGGGTGAGGCCAACTGTTCCAATGGAGGAGTGCAGGAAGCGGGAGTTCGGAGGATGGGGACTGAATATCAAGAAGACCGACTAGAGATATTGTAGAATCGTGTACAATGTGCCTGTAGTCTGGCGTACAGCTTTGCTTCCCGCCGTGATCATTCCGTCTCCAAACCCACGATCAATGTCCAGGTGTCATCACGTGCACTACTGGCTGCCTGGTCGCTCTAAGCCGCTTACAGCCTAGCACCCAATCACGGCAGCTCAAATCCCTTTAATAAATCATGCAGACTTGCCCACACTTTCTCCCTTCCCAACTATTTCCTACGCCTCTCTCCCCTCACTGCAAAGCCATCACCTGCGTCGTCCGTACTTCTCGTCTGAGACATTCCTGAAAAGACTGTTTGGCGTCAAACTCGCTTTGCAAGTACCCGTCCCCCTCTACGCCAGGTTTCCGCTTCCGTCGACACTTTGCAGTTACGGCCAGCTCTCTTGGCGCGCTGCCCTTTGTCTCCCACCCTACCACCACCACCACCACTTCTCATTTTCCCAATCCACCTTCGAATACTTCACTCTGCACAACTTCCCGTCACCACCGCATCTCCGCGCAATGCGCTAGTAGGCAATATCGTAACCCCCTTAGTACCACTGCGCGTCTCACTTCGCCACTGGTGGCCCACGTTAGCATCTGTGACGCGCTCCCGTCAACCCCCGAACGACCGAGGCGACTGATTGTCTCCATCTTTGCGCTTTTCACATAACTAAACTACAGCATGACGACCACTGCTTGGCCAACAACAGGCCTTGAAATCAACCCCCCATCCGATATAATGGATATACACTCTGATCAAGAGCCTGATTTGCCCAACTTCGATGTTGATATCGATTTCGACTTACCTCGATCCCCCGTCGCGTATAACGACGACGTCTCCTTGAAAGACGCTGTTCTGGATGGTGAGGTCGACGTTCAAACTGCTCCAGCCGATCAAGACGACTTCATGGTGGACAACGAAGATGTCATCGAAGAAGATACTGTTGCATACGACGAAGATGCTGTGATCGTTGACCAAACGTCCACGAACCAGATTGAAGCCGAGCAACATGCTACAACACCCATCGAAGACGACCTGATCGATTACTCTGACGATGAAGAAGAACACCCAGACTCGACTGACATTACCACCTCTAAACCTAGCGGTGGGCTGGAAACAGCGGAACCGGACGTCTCGATACCTGCTCCTAGCGCAGCGAACACCGGTACCGAATCTGTGCCTGGTGAAGCTGAGGAACAGGAAAACGTAGCACATGAAACGTCTGGCGATGCTGGGCAAGGTTGGCAAGAAGTTGATGCCCATCAGGATGAGTCACATATTGACCCCAATACCAAGCCGTTGGATGACGAGTATCAAGAAGAAGCATCTAATCAAGCCGAAGTCGACCTTAGCACAGCACATCCGGAAGATGACCAAGGCTCGAATGCGGGCCAAGAACGGCAAAAGCAGGATGATCCCGAAGCCTTGACGTACGCTGCGCCCGTTTCTGATGAGATACACAGCCCGTCTGGAGAAGAAGTAGAACTTCATCCTGTTACCATCAACTACAGTGGTGCTGAACTGTGGCTCTTCAGACATCACGATTACGAGGACAGCGGTGATTTTCTAATTGAGGATACATCAACCACAAATCAACCGATCAGCAGTGTCCTGGAAGCCTGCCGGGCAGCTCTCGGCTCCGCTGTCACCGATGATATCGAATTGGGCTTTCGTTTGGACAACTTCCGTGACATAGAATTGTACCAGGACCATAGTTCATGCGCGTTCATCACATTAGAACACCTCGTGGGACTGTATCTTCAGCTCCACGCGCAAGACGGTGTGTCTGAGCCCGAGTCTTTCTATATGACTCTTTTGTCTCGCCCTCGGGTGTCTGCACTCTTCACTGCGCTGAATGAGGCTGCTACAGAAGGCATTGGACACACTGGCCTAGAAAAGGCTATTGCTGCGGGACTAACATCGTTCAATGCCCGTTTGTCGCACAATCCAACAGCAAATAGCTACGGTGACTGGGAGAATGATGAGCAGCACCAAGAGCAAGATGCAGAAGTCGTGAATGAATCCCATGACGACGACGAAGAGCACGGGCAAGAAGAAATCGAGACTGAGCAAGAGCACGTGAGAGCGGGATTAGACCAAATCCAGACTCAGAACCAAGAAGGCGATCCCCAGGCATCAGAACAGACTGTAGAAGTCGAAGAAGCGGCTGTACCACCGCAAGGCGTGACAACAGTAGACGGCGCATTGCCGGAACCCGAAATCGTGACACTGAATGCTACAGATGACGCCGATGCTCAATCTTTTGCGATTACTTCACCCCAAGGGGACAAGGAAAACGCTGGGGATGATAAGGCGCAAGGACCCCCGAGTCAGCAGGAAGAGGACGATTTCGTTGATTATAGCGATGATGAAGGCGAGAATGATGCCGAAAATGAACAATCAGCACACCATATTTCTTCGGTCTCATCGACCGTGCAAGGTGACGAGGCGTATACTGGTCAAGATGTTGATCAATATACATCTGGCCAAGCGCTTTCTCAGCATGGTGAAGAGGCTTCGAATGAGTACCAAGACGATGCAGATGCCGGAACATATGCAGAGTACAACACTCTCGACCAAGGATTCGATGCTCAAGCCTACGAAGAAGAGTACGGCGAGCAGTATGGCGAGCAAGAGCATACGGATATCTATGGTGCTGAAGACACGTTCCCATCCCAGTACCACGAAGAGAACGATGATACTAACAATTACAATCTTGGGCCCGAGGATCAAGCCACTGAGTACTATGACGACTCAACTGCAGATGTAGACGGCAGCTACGATGCTCAAGTAACAATCGCGGGAGGTGATTCGACCACCGTGGAGGACTTTGATGACTTCGACCTCGTAAATGCGACTGCCGACGTAAATTCCTATGCTGTTGTCGATAACGACGAGCAAATCGACGAGTATCACCACAACGACGAGGATGGTGGGAGCAGTCACGCTCCGGTCGCTACCGCGTCTGTGGATGCAGACCCCGTTGTAACCTTGTCTTCGGAATCATTGAACTTGTCTCCTCAAGGGCAGAAAAGAACCATTGACGAGGTTATCAATGATGTGGGGGAAGCAACCGACCCGTCAGGTGTGTTATTCTTTCCGAACTCGAGCTACCCTTGGACTTGCGCTGACATATGCCAACCAGATGCAAAACGACCGCGAGTGTAGACCACTCCCCCTGTCCTCGTCGACACTGATGGTCATGTTTACTAACACCAAGACCCCTTGCATGATGAGACTTCCGTTGTTTGTTGCGTCAGCAGCAAGATCGGCGTGACTTTTGTATACTAACTAGCAGCTTCCATTCCAAAGTGTGTCGACGACATGTTTGGGTGCTTCACCAATCGATATCGCTTCCGCGTATTCGAAGACGATGAATCACGGACCACAAGCAACAGGTATGTAATTGATTTCTAACACTCGGCCATCACCAACGACTCCATTTATCTGGCGTCGTGTGTATCAAACGAACGATTCACCGCCTCCCGGCGCTCACTGGATGGCTCATGGATTTACGTTGAGGGGGAGCCACTGAATCACCAGAACGGTGATTGGCTGATGAGCATGGAGATTTATGAAATGGAAAGAGGGTGGTTTTTCCGCGGCGTAATATATATACCCACCTCGAACGATTTTGCATTGGACATGGCGTAAAGAAAAAATGCTTCAAGGATTGGGATTGCACGGTGTGGAGTATAGACTCGTTTCTGTCTTGTTCCTACCAACGGCGCAAGAAGGGGCAAAGTGGCGATTTGAGCAGAAAAGCATTCAACGCATACCTTTGGCTGTATGTGTATGGGAGGGGGTATTACAGCTCCCGATTCTAGCTACCTCACCAGCCCTAATACAACATGACGACGTTATTGATGATTATTTTGGTGACGATGCATCACGAGACGCGTAACAATAGCCTGTAACAGGCAAATGCAACCACGGACAATGGCACTAGACTGACTCGTGGAATGTGTTGATGGGCGGAAGAATACTGGAAGCTATACAAGGGAAGGTTAGATAGGTGGATAGTGTATGTGTATGGAAACGAAGCGGAAGAAGTAAGGCGAAGCGAGAGAGGGTGGAGAGCTGAAAGGACATGGCAATTAATATATTTGCTTTTTCTATTTGGGTATCCCAGTCCGGCGTGGGACAGAGGGATGCAGTCTCACGGCGAAGGGCTGACGCATGGGATCCACATGGACTGAAATAGGTACATGAGATATTGTACTCGAGTAGGAGGAGTACCCTAAGTAGAAGTGGAGTGGCCCATGCTGCGACAGGCCGGCCATGTCAGTCGATCCCGCCACGACGACTACTACTACAGTGCGACGACGAGGCCGTGTCGGAGGCTAGAAAGCGTGGCCTTGTATACACACAGTAGTAGTAATTTGGCGGATGTGTGAGAAGGAAACGGAGGCCGTTGGGCGCGGCGCCCGTCCCTTGCAGCGTGATCTGTCTGGATGGCTGTCTTACGGAAGAGTCCCCTGCAGGCCACGCAACACAGCCCTCCTCCCATCCTCGCCGTCGTCCGCCTCTGCTTATCGTGTCGCATTGCATCCTGACCCTCTACCTATCTCTCTCTCTCTATCCACCACCACCACCACCCAGAACAGCATCTGTTCGTCGCTCATTGTTGCTTGTCGCCCATCGCTCTTTTTCTGACTAGCCCTCGCTCGCGCCATCTGCTGTCTAGGGCCGACGGGTAAGCGTTTTGTGAAACGCCAAACGATTCTGGGCTGTGCACCTCTCCCCACAGATTCCACTACACTGCACGGCTTCCTCGACGAGCTCGCGTTCAGCACACGTTGCTATTTTTTCCATGCGGTACCTGTTTCATCCATCTGTGTAGACGCATCCTTGCCCAGATTTTGTCGCATCTCTCCACGGCAGTTTTGCCCTCAACTTGACCACTACCGCACCGCTTGCCCATCTACCAACCCTCCGCCTATCGATACCGTACCCTCAACCATCTCTCATCCATCCATCCATCCCCGGACTCCGCCGCATCGCATCCAGTCTTCGACTCTTCACCACCCACCGCCACCACCTTCCGCGACACACACGCCTCCTCTGCCAATCCTCTCCGTGTGCGATACTCCACGGCACCTCTATTCTTCGTTCGCGCCTCGTAAATCGATACGGTCCGAGGACCTTTGGTGGCTGAAATGGAAGACAAGTACGCAGCGTGGACGCGTTGAGCTGCCCAACCATGTGATGCTGATTGTCCACAGATATATCGGTCTAATACTGGCCATCTCCTCTTCACTCGCAATCGGTATGTCGCCCCTCTGCGTCCTGCTTCAACCCTCTCCGAGTCTCCATGCTAATCCTGCTGAAGGAACGAGCTTCGTGATAACCAAAAAGGTCCGTGGCCACGCGCCCACCTCCCAACATACCACTCTCTTCCCTACCTCGCGCATACCGTGCCCACGTGCCAACGAGCAAACACTGATACTTTGTGGGGATAGGGTCTCACCGCTTCGGCTGAAAAATATGGATTCGATGGCGATGGCTTTTCGTATCTACAGAATCCTACTTGGTGGGCTGGCATAGTCACCAGTAAGCGCCATCCGGTCTATACTCTGCCATGGCACCGTGCTGACCTACTGCAGTGGTTCTTGGAGAGATCTTCAACTTCGCCGCGTACGCTTTCGCACCCGCAATTCTCGTGACGCCTCTCGGTGCCTTGTCCGTGCTTATCAGGTACGTGACCCAGCTGCATTTCCCCAACCGAGCCGGCGACTAACAAGAACTCAGTGCGGTTTTAGGCTCGTATTATCTGGACGAACATTTGGGAGTTCTAGGCAGGATTGGATGTGCAATTTGCCTCATAGGATCCGTCATCATCGTACTCCATGCGCCCGCAGACAAGGATGTCACCTCGGTTGACGAGATCCTCAACTATGCGATCCAACCCGGTAGGCACTTTTCGCAGGAAAGCTGGGTTCTCTGCTAATCGCAATTTGCTAGGATTTCTCATGTACTGCACTCTTGTCGCCATCTTCTCCGCCTTCATGATCTACAAGGTGGCGCCAAAATACGGCCGCAAAAACCCGCTCATTTATCTGTCCATTTGCTCCACTACGGGATCCGTCTCCATCATGGCCATCAAAGCTTTTGGCGTCGCGCTAAAGATGACTTTCGAGGGCAATAACCAATTCACCCACCCCTCGACATATGTGTTCATCATCATCACAGTCGCCTGCATCCTTACCCAGATGAACTACCTCAACAAGGCTCTCAGCCAATTTTCCACAAACATGTACATGGCTTACTACTCCCGATCAAATGGCAAAAGGCTGACTCAATCACAGCGTGAACCCGCTCTATTACGTTACTTTTACAACGTGTACGCTCATCGCTTCCTTCCTCTTGTTCCGCGGGTTCAACACCACGTCCCCCGTGAACACAATCTCGCTTCTCTGCGGTTTCCTCGTCATCTTCTCGGGTGTCTATCTTTTGAACCTGTCGCGCGAAGACCCAGATGGTACAGGTAGCCTGGGAAACACTTTCACCGATGCTGCTCCTACGGACGCCATTTCTGGGTTTCCCACTCGCCGCAGCTTGCAGTCTCGGAGATCAATGGATTCTGCCGGATTCAGAAGCCCGTTTCTGGGAGGCAACAACGGGAGCAGACACAACCTTGCCGAGAGAAGGGCCATGATGCACGATTACGATGTCGAGAACAATCAATTTGAACTGGGCGATTTGGCAGATGACAGCGACGAGGCCGAAGAAGGCGGGCGCAAGAGGACAAGCTTCGATAATGCGCGCGCAGCCAACGGAAGAGCCAGTTCGCAGAGCAGAGTGCAGACGGAATCAGTGCGTGAGTCCAAAACCCTGGAGCGGTAATCATCCAGGACGAGGGCCAATGCGATCTTGGCTCCGAATGAAAAAGCTTTCTCTTAGAAATCGTCGTCACTGTTCATCTTCCTATTAACCGCGAAAAACGATTGGGTCTCGGAGTTCTAATTTCCCTAATATTTCCGGGTTCTTATCCGTCCTTTTTATCTTCATCTCATTTTTGCATCCCATCATCATCTCCGCGGCGTTGTTCGGGGCTGGCCCGGTTTGGTGGGCAAATGAGAAAGAATACCACCCCTGTGGTATGCGTTTCTGCTTCGTCTTCCGTTATATTGCATTCTTCTCGTGGGCAGTATCACCCTCACTCCCGCCGGTGCGGGCGTTACCATCTATGTATTTTTATTGGGGAGTTATTTCTTTCCTGTCGGTGTGTCTGGATTTCAAGGTTTTAGACGGCTACACGTGTGTCACTCACGGTATTGCTTGTGTTTATATCCTCGCCGGGTTGACGGAGTTGAGGCAGGCAGGGCTTGGGTTGCTTGCTTTTCCGTACATGATGGAGCGATGGGATCAGTCTGTCCGGGCACGAGACTTTTCTGTCGTATGTGTGTTATGTATGCTATGTATGTACGTCACGTATGTATGCATGCATCTCTCTTGTAAATAGGGTTTACCATGAAACGATGTATTTTCCAAATTCTGTGTTCACTAAGTCTCTATGAAGTCTAGAGAGAGTAGGTACAGTAACAGAAGTCACCTAATCATGATATTGTTGATTTTCAAAGCTTGCGGCGGGAGTTACCCGTACTGTTCTGTACATTATATGTTCGCATCAGCAATGGACGGAGTGAGAACATTTCCCTTGATTGCCTTTTCTGAGTATATATTTATCATCACCCATGCAATCAATATTTATACAAATCATGCCGAAAGGCCCAAACATGACTGCGTCAACGTCAACATTCAATATTTGAACTGGTGAGTATATGACGCTAGCCTGATGGAGCTAGCTAAACTGATCCACCCTAACAACACTTTCCACTACACGACTAAAGTACGTACATGCATGTATAAGTTTCAGTCGCCCCTCAGAGACCTCCAGGGAACGAAAGGATAGGTCAAACAAAGGAATAATGGCAGTCAATAACTCCAAATCCGGACCACCGGATCGGCCCTTCCCTCAGCTTCTACAACAGTCTGAGAAAATACTTCTGCACACCATTCATGCGCATTTGATCTCGTACTGCCCAACCATGGATCTAATTGCCATTGTATCGTCTGAAGAAAATCTGGACGTGTACCGGATCAATGGACAGCGGGCCTTTGGGCTCAAGAGAAAGAGCGAGGATGTACACGTGATGACGGTGTGCTGGCAATGGAACGGCGCTGCGATTGGGGTTTGTTGGAGCGACGGTGCCGTGGATGTTGTCGCCGTCGAGACGGGTAAGGTGGTACATCCGGACATCAAACTGTCTGAGGTGAGCGGGGAGATTGGCGATGATGCCGGGAAGCGGGTTAGGTGCTTGGGGTGGGGTATGAATTTTATCGATGTAGAGGGGGTGAAGAGGAGGGTAGGTGCTTCGAGAAGCAAGGTTTCGAAGAGGCATTCTGCGGACAGGAAAGATGCCGAATCAAAGAGTCAAGCGATATCTCCAATTGCTGCCAAAACTGCAGCGAAGAAGACGGTTATCGACTTTGATGACGATGTTCCCACTACCGAGGATTGGGACGCGTTCAGGGACGACACGACGTTGGAAGACTTTCTACAGCGGCAGCCTGACTTTGAGACTCTGGATATTGCGCCTGACCTTCCTGACCAACTGGCTATGATGGATACTGAGTCGCTGCTTCCTAAACTGCCCCCTATACCGCTGCCACCGGCGAATCCGTTCATGATGAGAGCTGCGCAGGCTGATGCTGGGGCATTTAGTACGCAAGCTCAGGTTGATTCATTATTACATACTCACCATCTTCGGGATCACAATAGCGTCGACATGTTCATACGGTGTACTGAGAAGGGAAGTGTGCATCCAAGCATCTACGACTCGATGGAGACGGTCGACATACGGCTACCAGAAGCCTGGGGTGTGCAGAGCACGCCGCTCGCGCATACAAGTCATCCGTATGCTTGCACACATGGCTTACTCATGGAGATCAAAACATCGGAAGATGAAGAAAAGCACATTGCCTACGTACCGCTGACTCTGGGTTTCATCCCTTCGGCGGGTATCTATCTCCACCTCATCGCGTCCAAGACTGCGCAGCTGCAGAACCTACTCTCCTACCTCACCAACACTCTAGCCCGCATCCGTTCTTACTTCGCGCACAGTCAAGATCTTCCGGATAAATTCATGCGCAATATTTCTGAAACCCTTTCGGATTCTGACCAAGGCGGGCTGGTCGAGAATCTATATCACCTCGCCTGCACCGGCCACTGCTCGCCCGCAATCCATGAATGGCTCGTGGACGAGCTCGCCGAGCAAGGTCATAAACGCTGGGATAATGCCATCTCATCGAATCTTGCCGTCGTCATACAACTTTTGCACGAGAATTTACTCCCGGCCATCGACCGCTGTTCTATCATCATTTCGCGTCTGCGCGGGCTAGCCGCCTATCACGATCGCGATTGGATTTTTAGTGGGCCACTGTCGGATTTTACATCTCTTCTCGAGCAGCTCAAAAGCTTGCGTCTTCTTGGTCATACTACGCTGCTCTATGCGGCGGACGAGAAGCGCCAGTTCACTTGCTTCAGCAAGTGGCTGCGGTACAGTATCGACTTTGAAGCCACTGAGCCCGAGAGCACAAGTAGGACTGAGATGGAAGCTAAAGATCCAGACGTGCCTATCCCGTCCGTTCTATCTTACATAGAGCATAACATGGCGCAGTCAGATCTCACTCCGTATTTGAAGAGCAGCAAGGAGGTTGATGGGGGTGATGCGAGCTATGAAGAAACAGTCAAGGCTATTGAGCAGCGGCGAGAAGGTGTGGCGCACAGGGAAGATACACTGTGTTTGGAACGTGTGTTAGTTGGTATTGGGGAGAGCGTCGGCGGTCTGCTGAAGCAGGTCAGTCGTTGGCAACGGGAGAATATCGGCATGGACTGTGGTGTTGTTCTTCAGAAGGGCGAGGTGGGCGACGAGCTGGATATGAGGATGGTGTACGAGGTATGTTTTCGCCCTTGCTTTCTTGACCCATCTTCCCATTCATTCAGTGTCGTATACCTACCAGATTCACACTCCTTGGAAACAATCTCTGGCTTCCATGATCCCTCACAAAATAATATTACTGACTCCATCTTTTCAAAAGCCAACTTCCGCAGCGGAACCAACCATCTCAACCTACATTGCGCTCACACCAGCCTCTGCGTCTCCCTCATCACCAACCCTCCAAATCCACCGCCTCACGCACGCCACACACCTCACCACTCCCTCATCCCCACTGACCGCATACGCCACCACCACTATCTCAGTCCCAGGCTACAGAGTGCTAGACGCGAAATTCGCAGACGACACCGATCTACTGATTCTTCTAAAACCCTCAGCTCCCACCACCGACACCAATGAAGAAACTCCCCCATCGATCCTCCTCTCCATACCATACACCACAGCATCTACCTCCTCATCCTTCCCTCCACATGCGTCTCCCTCTCTCTTACGCATCCTCTTCTCAGAATCCCCCAACTCTCCTCCTCTCTTACCCTCCACATCCACAACCTCTTCCTCGGCGCCTCAATCTTCCACCCTCACACTCTCCCCACCTGACATCGAATCCCTTACGAAACACGTCTTCACACCTCGCTTCTCCCCGCTGAAAATCGTAGTCAATGGCCGGAAAGGACGTAGAGTTCTGTGTGTGGTGGGCGAGGATCGAAGACATGTCAGTGTGCTGGATTTGGATTATAGGGAGGGTGATGAGAGGCTGGATGATGACGATGATGATAGTGATGAGGGTATCGAGGGGGATGGGGATGTTGTTATGGGCGGCGTTTAAGTCTGGGAAGCTTTTGTGTTGGTAAAATGGGTATGGTGTGTAGGCGATTGTTATTGTGGACTAAGGGATACGTTGTACTCTTAGATTTTGGTTCTATTCCGAATAGACAGTTTTCTCTGATGGTCGTTCTCTCGTTGCTAGGCTGTGTAGCAACTCTGAATTTAACAGAGTAATTTATTTTTCTTCCTCTTTACATATGAAATCAGTGCCTTGGTGAAGGAAATCCAGAGGTTGTACGCATTTCTTCTACAGCATGTAGCATCTACAGAAGTATTGCTCTCATATAGAGAAATGAATTTCACTCGTTCGACAGCTGTTGCGGTTATTCTTTGAAGCCGCAATGACATTGCGTTGGGAGAACCCGGCATTTGGTGATGAGAATTCGGGAAATATAAGGGCGATAGATTCTTCACTTCTAGAATATGTTCTGTTGGTGCTGTTGGTGTTGTTTGAGCTTGGGGAATGTGGTGACATGAAGATGTATCTGCATCAAGAACTAATCCGTGAGGCTTTGACTGGAAGTGGCGAGGTTTATGTGATGCAACCACTGCTATGACATTTCTTTTTTGTGTAAGAGTCGTTTTGTTGTATAGGAAGTGTGGATATGCTAGGAGGAGGTAAGGGGCTGTGTTAGTCTGAGATATTCGCACCCTCTTCTTCGTATTTGTCAAGGGTATTTGCCTTCTTCTTCGTCAGAGTGGTTTAGGATCATCTTAAACTCGCTCATATCGTATTTTATTTCATACCGGAGGAATCTACTCTTCCTCGCGACCTTTCTGATTGTTATCTATCTCATATCTGATGTGAATCCAGCAGATAATCACCACATTGAGGGTCAAGATGAGGTTGTAGTTATCTTCGCGCATATGGTATGTTGAAACACAACCAATCAACAGCATCATGCACCCACCATCGGCTCAGCCACTCCGTATGCAGACTTGTGGGTATCAACAGGCAGCCTTAGACAATGGTTCGCGTTCTTGTATTTCCTTTGCCTTGCGCCGTCGATGCAACCCTTCATGACCGAGTTGCAACAGATAAACCCCTCTCAACGACGGCATAGCAGGTCGTTCCAGGGACTTTGAGAAGATTGCTGCTATCGCCGTTTTATAAGCTATGTCTCGGGTACCTGATCTCGTCGCCGACTCGAAATTACCGGTAGTGTTTCGCGATCTCTTAACAGTTCACTTGTACCGGGGAATCGACGAATCCGGTCGACGATCCGTCGAAAAGCAGCACTGGAAGTGGGACGAGCGGCTTGGACGGGCTGGGTATGGGCAAGTGTTTTTACAGAAGTGTGTTACGAATGGCGCCAAAAAGGGTTCAGTGCGCGCGGTAAAGATTATCGAGAAGAATGTCTTGGGCTATGTTCGGGAGCTGGAGACGATTGCCAAGTTCTCGAACGAGTGCGTGAGTTAGGCGAACGCGTAAACGACTCCAAAGCTGATATATCAGGATAGTTTGCATCGTGGTTCGTCAAGTCGTTTGGCTGGTTTGAGGACTCGAGTTCGATATTTTTGACAATGGAGTATTGCCGCCATGGCAATCTTCGAGATTGTTTGAAGGATAAACGTTCGCTACCTTCTGTGGAAGTCCGAGATCTGGCGTGGCAGATATTGGGAGGTCTTCATCAGATGCACCAGAATGGGTTTGTCCATAGTGATCTCAACCCCGGGGTAAGTTTTCTTGACTTTCTTCAGATAATCAACACTCTTAATAGCGCAGGGTAGGATGTTTATATTCACGGGGCGACAAATTTACTAATAACATCAGAACATTCTCATCAAATCGAAACCACCAGATGACTGGTGGATAGTTCTCTCCGACTTTGGAATCAGCAAAAAGGCAGAAGAAAACGAAGGGCTTTCCGCTGCGGTCAAAGGCATTACCGAATTTATAGCGCCAGAACTACTTGGCTATCTGGAGGACACCAGGCCGCCGCCCAACTCGGTTGACAGTCTGAGAGCAGTAGATATGTGGGCCCTAGGAGAGATTGTTTTCCAGATGCTCGTCGGCGAGGCTGTCTTCCAAAATCACGATGAGATCATGAGGTTCTGTTCCGGACAGGGAGAAATACCCTTGAATCGGCTTCCAATGTCTGATACAGAAGACTGCCGTGATTTCGTTGCTCGTCTTCTGAAGGCGTTGCCAGAGCATCGAATGACCACCGCCCAGTGTGTGCAGCACCTCTGGATCAAGTCACTAGTAGGGGACGAATGCTTCACTACGAATCTAGCACAGATCGACACAGGGCCACTGGATTCCGTCTGGAGCGATTCAGCTTCAGGTCAATTGTCAGATACACCAAACTCCGAAAACAGTCCCGTGCAAATGACAGGCGAGCGCCACAAACCGTATCGCGACAAATTAGCATTAGTCATGGAACGGAAGGTCCAAATTCCAAAGAAACATGACAACGAGATGCTTCGTTTCGAGGTCTCTCCAAACGGTATGCTGTTGATGGTTCGTGATCCAGACACGTTGTTCTTGATAGAGGTCATGTCCGATGTGCTCATAAAAACGATTCAAGCTCCTCGATCTAGTTTCCCGCGTATAAGATTTTCGCCGGACAATAAATATATCGCATTCTACAACCACGCAGAAAGCTCGGTGCTAGTCTGCGGTGCCAGATCAGGAACCCTGGTGAGAACACTGGAGGCTCCATACGATGCCGTAGCTGGTGTTACGTGGGTGGAGTTCTCACCAGATAGCAAATGGCTAGCGATGCTATCCCAACGTTCGACTGTAAGGCTCTGGGACGTAGAGTCCGGCGAGGTGGTGAGGGAGTTCGACAAGGGGTCTGGATACGAATATGTCACACGGGTTCTCTTCTCGCCTGACAGCAAGCGCCTAGTTTCACTAGACACTCGCCACGGGATAGTCTGGCTGTGGAATATTGGCTCAGGAACGCTGTTGAAGAGACTCGATCCCAGCGTACCGGTTTCTGACTTAAAAGTCCGGAGATACAAGATCGCCTCCGCTTTCTCACCGGACAGCAAGTGGCTTGTAACAAGCACTAGCCCATGGGACCCGGAAACGAGCACGGGAGTCACGATCCTCTGGAACGCTACGTCTGGCGAGCTTGTAAGGACATTGGATGGCACATGGTACCACGTTGCGTTCTTGTCGGAAAGCAATCTGCTAGTAGCAGTTGGCACTTTTGTAACGCCCCCGGTTACGCAAGTGCGGGTATTTCATGTCAGAACCGGAGAGGTGTTGCATGGGAGGAAAACACGAAGTCGCGCTCGCATGTTCATATCCCCGGATGGTCGCATACTGGCTGTGGCTAATCCAGGGGACGCAGTGCAGTGCTGGGACACTTTAAGCGGGACGCTCTTGCAGACGCTTAAAGGAACAAAATCCGAGTACCAACAGATTTCGTTCTCGTCGGACAGCAAGCGAATAGTTATTCACCGCCGCGGTAAAGTAAGTGCGCAGGTTTGGCGTTTAACAAGGTGATTGCGGATGATGAGCATGTACAAAACCGACTTTCTTACTGTTCTTCTCAAAATTGTCTTCGCGTAATCTAAAGTCGCATCGTGGATCGGTAGTTGGAGTCTACATGATCCTACACAGCGATATCGATGACGATAGAAGTACTACAAACCGGTGAATACCGAAAATGAGTTCGAGATATGCCTTCGTACAAGCTTTTGAAAAGCAGGGGTTGGGGGGCACCCATATTCCTTTATCGTCAAATCTAATCACCCAACTTCGCCAGCCACAGGATTCACTTATCATTTCCAGAAAGTACCCAAGTCAGAACGAAATCAAAAGTACCAAGCTTGAATACTTCCGTACTCGATTGTAATAGCAAACAAAATGCACTCTTAGCGACGCGAAAAGGGAAACGAAAGAAGATAGACGTATATAGAGGGTCCGAGACAATGGAGGTGCTCTAGGAAGAAACACCCGATGGTCGGTCTTGGGACCATACGCTGGGTTAGTAAAATGCAGGTTGCAATAGGGCCATGCAGTTAAACAAGTGGATGCGGCAAGCAAACTGTAGGAAGAATCGAAACAAGACAAGACTAATTCACTACTATCCGGGTTGGTGATGGTAGTGGTCAACAACCTCGCAAAGGGTGGAATCAGAGAGAGAGAGAGAGAGAGCAAGACGCATTACCACGGATTCGCAATTCCCTATTGTGGTCCCTAGTCCATGCATGCATTCAATTCACGTTCATGCTGCACAGTGAGCAAGGAGAAAACCCCGACAAATATATGCCAGTAGAGAAGATTTCATAACGCCCGGTCCGCCCCTCCGCATAATGAGTTTACACTTATGAGTGAGAATAACCGACATCATCGTTTGTGTTTTTGGTTTCGCTATCGTCATGCCCGTAGAATAGCCATGATTGCCAACCACCACCACCATTGGAGAAAGTCCATACATGCACGTACACCGACGTCAACCCATCTAATCCTTGGTCTTCTGGGTACCGCGGAGCAGACCTGTCCTCCTGGCGGCGATGAGACCGGCCTTTTGACCTTGTGCGGCCTCGCGGGAGATGGTCGAGGCTTTACCGATATGCTGGTGGTTACCACCACCGTGAGGATGGTCGACGGGGTTCATGGCAACACCACGAGTCTTGGGCCATGAGTTGCGCTTGGCAGCGAACTGAATCATATTGTCAGCATATCTTTCATATCATGGCACCGTTTCCCGTGCAGAACTGGAGAGATTGGCGTACCTTGTGCTTGGCACGCGAGGCCTTGAGGAGGGGCTTGTCTGTACGTCCACCACCGGCAACGATGCCGACCATACCACGGCAGGAGCTGGGGAGCACCTTCTTGGCGCCGGAGGGGAGCTTGACACGAGTGCGGTTCTCGTCAGGGTTGTGGCCGATGACGGTCACATAGTTACCGGAGGTACGGCCAAGCGCACCACGGTCACCGGACTTGTCCTCAACGTTGGTGAGGACGGTACCTTCAGGGACGGAGCCAAGGGGAAGGACGTTTCCGACGGTCAGAGCGGCGTGCTTTCCGGCGTAGATGAACTGTGCCAATGTCAGTCCTCGTTCTGCCTCGTCTTGCGCGATATCCTGCAAAACTGACCTGGCCAGTGTACATGCCCTCGTTGGCGATGAAGGTCTGGGTGTCGTGCTTGAACCGGTAGGGCTGTAAAATTGTGAGCGAAAAGTCTCGTTGCTAATTCGAAGGATCATATCGTACGTTGCGGAAGGTGACTTTGGCGAGAGGAGCGCCTATGGTGAGATTGTCAGAAATATGTCCCAGAGCGCCCAAAGTTTCGAGGCAAAGCACTTACCACGACCGGAATCGTGGACAATCTCCTTCACGACACCTCGAATGTATCCATTGCGCTCAGCCTGCTTTGATTAGCCCGTGTTCTCTCGCTGTCTCCAGGTGGTGATTCGCAAATCATTCGGGGCGGCGGCCACGTACATAGTCGAGCGTGCGGAACTGGGCGGGAGCCTTGTTCAAACGGGTGTTGGCGGTGAAGATAGAGCCGCGACCCTTACGCTGGTTCCTGATAACCCTACCCATGGCGACGGTGTTGTGGTAGAGGGAGTTTGTCGAGATGAGAAGATGTCCTGTAGTCGCGGGCGAGAATGTGGGCGGATCGAAAAATTCGCTTGTCGGTCTTTCTCCGGCTAGCGCGCCAAGAACGCGCACTGCGACGGCCAGCACCACCAACTCACGTCATGTAGCTTTTTGTATGTATGTACCTAGGTACGTTTTACATTGGAAATCACACTTTACACTGATTATGGCGCACAAGGACTGTAGCTGGAAACTCAGTGCATAAGTCAGGAATCGTGATTCCATTCGTCGGTAGTTACATGTCCACAATGTGTGCACTTAGAATCCTTGGTCACGATACAGTCAAATTCCACGCCGAAATACTCCCCATCCTACTGCTAGACTTGTTATTATGCTATGATTAAGAGAACAACATCTTCAGCAGCTACGAACTATAGAAGGCTCATGTGAAGATCGTCATTATCATCATTCATGTACTTCGCTTCCAAACAGTCAATTCGCCAATGAACCTACCATGACCACGCACGTCAGATCATATCGATAGAAAACAACTAGCATATTTCATTCATGCTCTAAGTTTTTAAGTTTTTTTGATTGGAAGTTACAGTGATTCCTACACTTAAAAAGGATGATAAAAATGATTTGACAAAAAGTAGGCGAGACATTCATGCTCTTTCCTCCATTCTCTGGCACAGTCCCTCATTCAACCCCTCATTCCTTTCTTGCACTTTCTCGTGCAAAGGATCAGCACGTACACGCAGAGAGGTGTAATTATCTGCAGGAAATGTCTCCAGTCAAATCAATGATTATACCTTCATTCATGTATTCATTTCACGTCATAAGAAAAGACAAACCAGTGATCATACATGCATCCCTAGGTATGTAACACGTAAAACAAAGGGATGGCTGAAAATACAATGCTACAGTTATATCATACATAGAGTCATTGGATGCCTTTTTGGGTCGTCATTCCGACGCTCCCAGATCAAAAGAGCAATAAAAGAAGAAGAAGAAGAAGAAGAAGACGGAGAGAAGTTGGAAGGAACAAAGGAAGATGCATCCTGAGCCCCCATGCTTGGAAAGGAAAGCCAGATACAATCGACCTAGAAATATCAAAATAGAAGATAGCAAAGTCCCCGTGTCAAGTTGACATATGGGAAAAAAGCAAGCAACTTGGTCCGTGTTCTCAGTAAACAGTCGGGTCGTCGCTCCATCAGGTATTTCAGTCTTTCAGACGTAAAAACCTCGCGAGGTCGGCATGCTCGTTACCGTAGCCCTCGTCGTAATTGTGTCCCACATGGCTTCCAGCGCCGATAGCAACTCCAGAACTGCCCCAAGGCTCATTGTCGGAGCTATTGCCAGAGTTTTCTGCGACTTCATCTCCAGAACCGTCTCCAGATCCATCAAAGTCCCTTTCGAAGACATCTTCATTGTCGTGGTAAGAATCATTTCCACTATCCACTCCACCATTCTCATCTACACCGGCAGTTAGTAACCTACTTCCCCACTCAAAAAGCAAAGCACGCCTTCAACTAACTCGCAGGCGCTGACTGAACCCGGTCATCGCGCCGCACATGCCCTGTGAACCTTCCCGTTCCACCAGGAGCTAATCCGTCGAATTCGACTGCGTGGGCCTCCTCGGCATTGTCCCATCCCGTCTCGAGAAACCATCCTGCGCTCAAGGCTGCAAGCTCATTCTCATTCATGGCCTGCACAATCTCGCCGAGCAGCTCGTACTTTGAGTTGGACAACATGACTGCTGACAGAGCGGTGTGTCGCTTAGAGAACCTCGTACTGAGTTCCGACCGCGACGCTTCGTTGGTGGACTCTAGACCTAGTTGCTCGAAATCGGTCCCACGGAGGCGGACGTAGCCACACGATAAGAACTGGATTGATTCCAAATTGGTCTTGCGGCTGGCAACGGCTTTCGAGAATGGGGATCCAAAGTCAGAAAGGTTGGGACCCGGTGTAATGATATCGATAACGTTGACCCAACAGCCAGTTCGAGGCTCGAGCTGCAATAAATCCCGAGGGTTGAGTGCAAATTGAGTATGCAAGCTGACTAGCGGAGCAGCCGGTTGCGGTGGTGCTTGAGTCTGCTGCAGCTGCTGTAGCATATTCTGTATAGAGTTGACTTGAGCGTGAAAATTGGCGAGTTGATGCCCAGGCCCCATCCCAACATGTGTATTGTGGTTGTTTGGGTTGTGCTGTGGACCAGGTTGATGTGGTTGTGGCGGGTTGAATTGCTGCAGCTGGTTGTGCAGGGCGGCTAGCTGGCCTTGGAATGCGTGACCGGGTGTCATTTGCATTTGGTGAATATGAGCTTGAAGCGCTTGAACATGAAGCATCAGCGCTTGTCCCTGGTTGAAAGGTGGGACATGGTTAGGGGGTGCAGGTGCCGCTGGAGGATTGGCGAGCGGGTTCGGGATGTGGAAGGTTCGCGGCCTTAGCATGCCAGTCAGAGAAACAGAGTCGAGGACCAGATGCTTCAATTGGAAGCAATCATGGTTCTGGACGAACTGGGTCAATGTTGGTGGGGTTAACCAGCAGTTCTTCAGCGTAAGTTTCTCAACGAAAGGCAGTTGCAAGAGCGGCGGCAAAGCGTCGAGGGTCGAAGTGAGAGGTTTGGCTCCGTTCGTCAAAGGTGCTGGCAAAATAAGTTTGTTCCTCGCGTATATACCTTCAGCATGCTCTCCACCTGTCGCCCAGCCAACGGTGAGCTCGGTGATGTTGCTACGTTGACTGATGATATTGGTCAAGATCTGATAGAAGGGAGCGATTGCGTCCTCCGGGCTGACTTTCAAAGTTGCGACCCAGCCTGCTTCGTCTTTGCTGACATCGCGCCAGCTCGGTATCACCATCAGGGTCACTGATTTCAAATTGGGCAGTGCGTCCCAGAAATCGGGACGGTTCAGCAGAGGAATGTACCGGTCGGGCATGCGGGGAATTATGAGAGAATGCACGTTACGGAAAGTGCTCGGGTTGTCAATCACAGAGAGCATGTACGAAGACACAAAAGCTCTCTGGGCCCACTCAGTCTCCAGAAGCCATTCTCTCTGTGCCTTGGTAAGGCAATTAGGTATCACGGGACCTCTAGGAGAATCATACTCGGAAGGTACTTGTGCGGAAGTGAACAAAACACCGGTAGAGGGTGACGGGAACGTCAGTTTGGCAGTGGGATCATCAGTCAGCGCGACAAGGCTGTCAACAAAATCGCATGAGACAGCGTGATCAAGGATATGCGGATCCAAGAAAGGCAACTCGGGTTGGTGGTCTTCTGCGGCAAAAGCTTCACGCATATGTGAGAATCCATCGTTAGCCCCCAGCCTGTAGAGATGAGCGGATTTAATATCCGAGTCTGCAGCCTCATGCGAAGCTTTAATATGCTCCCAAAGTTCATGTTGTGCCTGGGTTCGTCGATCAGGTATCTTTTTGAGAGTGCCAAAAACTTCGGGCGGCTTCTGAAGAATACGTGCACGCAGTGACCAGTCCGGTCCGTTTAACCAGCCAAGACCGCTGTCGATAGACAGAGCGAGTTCCTTGACCTTGGAAAGTTCCGAAAAGGCGATGGTCATCCTCGGTGTCTCGTCGGCTGTAGTCTCCAGTCCAGCAACATCAGCAAAACGGCGATATTGCTCGAATGGCCAGTCATAAGAGCCCCAGAAGCTGACGTGTTGCTCGGTCGAGGATTTTTCTGGGGCATTTGCCAATGTGTCTTCGCTGATTTCGAAGCTCATGCCGAATCTGGTAATGTGCCGACCAAAGCCCCGGAACACATCTAGGCCATGGCCGTCGTAGACATCGCCGCCACTTCTATTGTTCCACGTGTAGCTCAGGGCGTCACTGCTGACATTTTTCTTGCCCTTGATATCAGGCTGGCCTAGCATACCGTAAATTTCAGTATTGAAAGGCACCACCACCGTCTTGAAGAGAATCTGTGAGGTATAGTGGTTGAGCTCTTGGCTCACCAGGCGCATCGACTTGATATCGTCTCGATGGAGATAGTTGGCGATGATCTCTACGAGCTCTACAGGAAGCTGCCACTGTGATCGATATATAGGGTGGTAAGGTCCTGCTTCTTGTTGATCACCGCTACCCAGTTCGGTTGGCTCAATTCCAGGCTCCGATGTTTTTGGAGGAAAAGACTGGGATTCGATGGGGTGTTTAGGGTCCAGCTTTTTCATGATGTGATAGCGGACAGGCAGTTTCGCTACATCTCGAATATTGGGCCATACATCGTTTGCTTGCGCATCCGCGACACCAATACGATAGGCCAATGTTGCCACGGCTCCTCTCTTCTCCATTAATGTCGAAAAATTCCCATCCAACCCCTGGGATTGGGCGCGGGCACGCTTGAGTTGACTCTTGACCATGTGTAGAAGGTCGGCAAAGGGGCGATCGTGTTGATCATTGGAAAGAGATTGGCCAAGAGGTGTAGAGCGTGAAGAGCGGTCTGGCGTAGGATCCATCAATCCTAAAACAGTAGCGACGTCTAGAGGAGTGCTATGGTCCAAATTCGCAACTAGGAGTTCCAGGAAACGTGGAGGAAACAACCCAGGAGCTGATCGGCGGACCAAGGGGCGGTTATCGGCGTCGTCGTCAGAGTCAAGCGTCGAGGGCGAGCAAAGTCTCCTGGGATAGTGACTGTCGTCTATAGGTTGGGTATGGCGACAGCGACGGCGGCCTCGGTCATGCGAGGACGAAGCGGGTTGTTGGTTCGTGTTAGGCGGATCGACATGGGGTTCACCGAAAAGCGAAGAGAAAGTAGCACGAGCACCGTGGGCCTGGGTAAACATGATTAGCTGGGCAGAGAGGAGAGGAAGCGTTGAGGCGGGCGTACCGGATCCAGAGCAACGCCGCCTGGTTCTTGATCACTGGCACTGTCGCTCATGGTGGTCGGAGAGGCAGCCTCTGGCGGATCAGGCTGGGTGGTTTTGGAGAAGAGGGCATCCGACGACGACGCGTTCTGGGCCATTGTAGGAGCTGGGCAAATGCTTCCAGGAGCAAGTCGCACTTTGTGTTGCTGGCTGTTTTGCACTACCCGGCCAGAGCAAACATAGCGCGGGGGTGGTGCAGTCAACTGGTTGTGTTGTTTGAGCGTGGTGAGCTGAGAGAGCTGAGAGGGAGTTCAACGGTTGTTTGATTACTGTGCAGCTAGCGGGCGTCTGAGGGCAGGAGCAAACGGCCTTGTGTCGTCGTGAAGCGGCGCGAGTGTTTGTTGCTGCCTCTTTCTTTCCTTCTTTCTTTCTCCGCATTGGCCGGCTACGTCTTAGCTAGCACCGCATGGGCGTACTTACCGAGTTGGGTAACCAGCTAGCTAGCCCCGTCAAATCCTGGTCTGGTCTGGTCCATCCCGCAACATCACGCGTGGAACCCCAGAAGCTGCTCAACATATCCCTACATAGGTATGTACCTATATAAATATCCAGGCCATGCGTGCGTTGTGCATTTACTGCTATAAAACGTATATAGTAAAAGACAACAACACTGCACTGCATTCTGATCCGCTACGACCAGATATGCGTAGCTGCGCTTGTTGGCCAAATGTAACATGTGCGTGTACATATATCCATCCATCCGCTAAGCCGCTTGCCTCTCCGTGCTTGCTTGTCGAGCATCTCATCCCCCATCATTATTACAAGAAAAAGAAATCGACGCCACAATGGCTCCATCCGGAAGCTGTTCCACGCTTCGTATATGCTATGCCCAAAACTTGGAAAAAAAACAAAGGAGAAGAACACAACATGCGTGTGTGTGTGTGGTATCTCTGGTTCTAAAACGAGGGAGAAAAAAAAAACAAATTGTTGTAGACGCCGTCGCTAAGTGCCATGCCATGTAACGTACAGGGTAACAAGGAAAAGAAAAAAGAAAAAAAGGACTGCGAGTCCTACATGTGGTGGAGAAAAGAAAACACAGCTAAAAGCGCCACGGATGTTCAAAATGGCGTCGGTTAAGTGGTACGCAAAATTCTGCTCCAGTATGCGAACGGGTGAAGGATCCGAAGATGCTTAGATAATCCCATGCTTCTTTAACAACCAAATGGGGTAAATCTGGCTTGGGGAAAGTCGATGCGCGCGGTCCAAGAAGCAGAAAATAGTATGCGCAGGTAAAAGGCATAAATACAAAAGCGGGGGCCGATCGCGATCGTGAAAGTCCAAATCGCATCACACGACGGACTCACCGAGGAATCCAAATTCATCCATGAGCTTCGCAAACCCACTGGCGGAGCTGCCGCGGTTGTGCTGTATTTGTGGACCAGATTGCAGTGATGACTGTGTGAGAGTTCCCTTGGAGTTGGTCTCATCCTCCGGGAGCTTGTAGCCCTGGAATCCGAATCCGAAACAGGCAGCCTGTCGACGAGGACCCGACTCTTCGTACTGTATATCAAGGAAGAGTCCCGGCTCGAAAGATGATAGACGGATCGAATCTAGCTTCGGTGCTGGTATGACGTCCGATGCAGGCGGCTCTGCATCCAAATCCCCGTCGTGCTGATAGACAGCGGCTGCTTTGCGGCCTGGGCTGGTCGTAAAACTATCCCCGGAAAAACGTCCAGAGAGCTTCTTGGGGGATTCCCAGTCACTGAACTCGCTCGTGAGGGCGCTCAAGGTGGGCGAGTTCACTGCATCGTCGTCTACGGTTGGCGATCCAGACGAAAGTGAGTCTGAGCTCCAGAGAGAGAAGTGGCTGTTCCAATCCGTAGGCGGAGTGGGGGAGTCATGAACATGTTGGGTTTGTTCTTCTGGTTCGGAACTTTGCGGCTTCTCTTCGACCTCGGATTCGGAATGCAGCGATGGCTTGGGGCTAAGTGCTTCGTTGCAAGCAAAAAGGGGAGCGGGGACAAGGAAACGAGGCAAGGGTGGAAGCTTCTTGTCTTTGTCGAGCGGCGCTTTCCGCAGAGTAGAACTACGGTTACCCCCGTGGCTCGACGTCGGGCGCGCGCTAATGGTTGAGGGGATCGAAGGCCTTTGCAGAGGTGGCGCGGGCGCGGGCGCCAACATGAACCCAGGTGACGTGTCGTTATTTTGGAGGTAGGAAGGTTTGGGCGAGTCCGTCCACGGCTCGTTATGGGATACTGCAGGTCTTTGCGTCTCCGCAGACTGCACTCTATTGAGAATGGGCTTCAGCAGGATCTGTTGCGTCGTAGCTTCTGCCGTATACGATCGTGAACGTGGTCGGGTGACACTAGCTATTTCAACGTCCTTGACAGGATGCGACCGAAGTGGAGAGAATGCCCGCAAATTGGCCGTAGCAGGTGTCACAAAAGATGACGATGCTTCCGATTCGATGCTGTAGGGAGACGTCGGTAGTGGCTGCAGCGCTGCCAGGGGAATGAGGTTCATTTCCTCTGCTGTGGTACTGATAAGTGTTGGAGCTCCGATTTCCAGGTCCCGGGCACTGCTCGATCGTGCGTGCGCTGCTTTCTTCTGCGTCAGTTTCTCTTTGAGGCCTTTGAAGTCGCTGAACACGGCCGTTGACGACATGCTCGGGGAAGTGGATGCGCTCCGAGCATGCTGTTTGAGGTTGGCAGGTGAGGGATGGCTTGTTGGCGGTAACGTGGCTGAGCGCGGTGGGCCATAGTTTTGCATGGGAACCGAGTATTTTTCTTTGCAAAAATCACCCAGTCGAGGAGAGGGCATTGGTTTGGGTGGTACTGGGGTAAGAAATTTGTCTTGGGGGTTACGTGTAAACGCACCCGACTCCTCTGAACTGCTTCTGCTCCGGGCTTCCAGTGGGACCTCCAAAACATTCAACTTTTGACCGGGGAGCAGTGGGCACGATGTTGTTGTTGGCTCCGATGGATTATGAGACTCCTCATCGTCCACTTTGTACTGCATAGCAAGTCAACGGGAGAGCTCGGGAAAAGTGTTTTGGGTGTGGCCATTCATGATAGCAGCAAGTGAGGACTTACGTAGTACCAGTAGGTGCCGCCCATTTTGAGAGCTCCGGTACGTTTTTGGCCGAGGTTGTCGAGATCGCCGTCGCAGATGATGTCCTGGAACGTGTAGCAGCCAGACCAGATACCGTGACCTCTTCTTCTGTCTCGTTGTAGGTGATATGGTTTGGTGAAGTTGTCCCAGGAACCAAGCAGTTCGATGGTGCGGGCACGAGCAGGACATTCACTAGAGGAAGCGGGGTTAGAGGACTTTTATGAAGAAAGGCCGGCAGGAAGGGCATACAAGAGGAAGGTGACGAGGGTTTCTGTCGCCATGGCCGACATGCTGGGAACGCCCAGTCTGATAAACGCGAGAAGGATGTCTGCTTTAAGCGAAAACGAAGCGTTTACCCTGGGAAAGCCAGTCGCATTGCATGAAGTTGATAATCGGGGTCAAAGATAGAGTGGCATAGCAGGGTGCCTGTCCATATTGGTGTTAGCACAGGCATTTTGTTTTGAATAAGGCGGCAGACGGACCTGGTAGCAAGTGCAAGGCGGCTATGGGAGGACGAGAGGCAGGCGGCAGGCGGTTGGCTGGAGTGTTGAAACAGGACCAGGCTGCGTTTGAGAGCCTGGCTGGCAGGCTGACAATCAAGTCGGACCAATTGTTGCTTCTTTGGATCTGCAAGACTCAATCTGATGCTTCCGAGTAGGCGATAGACGATGTTTGAGAGTGGTCCAATTCGTGCCTGGGGTGTGTATGAGAGGGGGGACCAAGTCCAAGCGCTCAATGCGGAACGAGGCGGTATAATGGGTACTCGTCTTATACGAAACACAATAGCAGAAGAGGCGGCCAAAAAAGCATTGAATAGTTGGGTATTATTTGGATTGTAGAGAAAAGAAGAAGAAGAACGGAGGAAGAAGAAGAAGAGATGCAGATGCAAACGAATACAGTTTGGGTAGGAGCTGTCAGGCTTGACGGGTGGCAGGTGGGCGTGGACAGCTACTGCTGCTAGTTGAAGGCGGATCAGTCAATCAGTGGAGAACAGCGGCTTCCTGGCCAGAGAGTCAAGCCAGCCAGCCAGTGACTAATTGGCCAAGTAGCCAGCTAGTGAATTGTCAGCCGCAGCGGGAGATTTGCTTGGAGGATGGGCGTCATTCGAGGACGATTGGCGATCCGAAGCCTCAAACGCGCCACGGCGACGGAGGCTCTACTGATCAATGCTCGAGCCCATCCTCCTTGCTTTCTTTCCTTCTTTCTTTCGTTGGCCGCCGACGTTTGCGGTCGATGCGGGGCCAGTTTTTTTTTTCTGCTTGCCTGCTTCATTTCGTTTGCGTGGCCTGGCCGAAGGTATGCCGGTCCCGGGTGGGATCAAATGAAGCACAGCATCGCGGACGGTTTGGTTCGGCCAGCTAGCACGTCACAGCACGCAAGGTGGTACCATGGAAGGGCGTGCACAGCTGGATTCATACAGATTCACGGCATGAGGAGGAGGAGGTGTGGTCGGAGGTCTGAAGGCGACCCGGGCTGCCGGAAGCATGATTGAGGGATGATGCGTTCGGCTCCCACATGAGCTGCATCCCGTGTCTGACCAATGGCGGGGCCAGCGTCCCTAGTTTGCCGCTGCTTGCTTGGGTGGCCCAGGCCGCAAGCGCATCCTGGCCGGCCTTGGCCCTCTCCTAACCTAATCATCACCACCTATCCAGCACCTAAAGGTTCCGCCAAAACCATTCCAATGCCTTGCTATAGTCGCATTCCCACTCAGCGTCATCCTTCATCTGTGCACTTGTGCATCTGCGCCGACTGGCCGGGCGCTTGCGAATATATAGCACTTAGCCGCTTCGACAACGACGACGACGACGACGACGACGACGACGATGCGCTACATGAAACCCTACGCCCCTTGCTCAAACAGCTGCCTTAATGCCTCATCCGACCTGCCTTCGCTCACTGTACCGTGTCGATAACCACCATTTATCCAGCGCAGTCATCTTTCTTTGCTTGCTGCATGCGCTACGTGCCATTGACTGCCAAGTTCGTCCGCCATGTACTCATCATTCTGTAATTCAATCGATCCCAGGGCTTAGCGCCGATGTTATGTAAGCCAATTTTCCCATCCAGTCCATAGATAGACCATCATAGACAGATCCTCTCATTCATTCATTCATTCATTCATGGTCGAACAAACCTACCAGCATATTCAGTTCCCCCCAACCTTTTTACCCGTTATTCCTTGTCTCCCCAGCTGCCCCATCCAGATGCCATCTCACATGCATGCTTGATCCTCATGCCATCCGTTGATCGGAACCACATCCGCTGCCCAGTTCGCTTGGCTTCATCATGCCTTGAAATCCCGTCCATCTATCACCTACCATGGTACACAAAAGCAACCCACTACCTCCACATGCCCCCAATGCCGTCGACCCGTCGGCGAAAGAATGGCACGAGACGGAGCCATTGCCTTCTTTTCGCTGGGCCCGCCCATGGCTCAAAACGTCCAGAGTCACAAGGGCCCCATTTTCTCTGGGCCGTCCACACACCTTCTCCCACGAGTTCATGCCTTAGCTCCAACACTCTTTACCTGTTACAAGAGTCATGTGCCTTATCATCGCTGGTGCCTTGGGTTATACTCACGACAATTGTCCAGGGCCTTTGCCATTACGTGAGCACTAGGTAGGTGAATGCTAACGACATGTGGTAATCAATAATCATCAAGTAGTCAATTCCAGTTTGTCTGGAAAGGGAGGAAGAGCCTCTTCTCGGCTCATCCGCCAACCGGGAAACAAGCTCACGAAATACATGTACATACCTAGGTGGGTAAGTTAAGCAACCTCGAATATGTGAACTCAACGCCAGATACCCAACACAATCGACACCAACAGTGATGTTCCAAGTCATCGTTTTTCCTTGTCATTTTCCATTTTGCAGAAGAAGAAGAAAATTCATTTATGCAACGCAAGTGATGCCGTATTCACCATGTTCTATCCTGTGTAAGATGCATGTCATGTGCGAAACCCAAACTCTCCGGGTGCCCAACGTTGAACAAAACAAACTTTGAAAAATAGTCAACCCCATCATTGCTTTTTGTCGCCTTCGCTATTGCCGGATCGTTGACCTCATCATCAAACTTCACCTACCTTAAACTCTAAATCTTCACCCCGCAACCCTTCCAACCTACCGATCAATCTGATTTCTTGTAGAACGATGATGGGGAATCAGGCTCTTTGCGCCAGGGAATCTGTGTGCAGATTTGCTTGTATTTGTACGGAAGCAAGTACCCAGCGAGATAATCGTCAACACGTCAACACGGCTAGTAAAGCAGACTATTTGTTCAAGAGCTACTCAAGATGTACCCGCGCCAAATATTTGTAGGAAAAAAGAAGGGAGGAAGGGAGAAGTAGCTAGTTGTGTAGCGAAACTCTACACAAGTACCCTTTCGAAAAACCACCCCAACGACGCTATTTCACACCATCCAGCCAACACCACCGAACGAGTAGAACAACATTGAATGCACGAACCCCCTCACCCCCTTTCTCAATCATCCTATCCCATCTAATCTTGCCACTAACATGAACCCTCCTTTCTCCCTCTCCGTCTCCCTTTAATCCCCCTTCATCCATCCCATCACAAACAATACCGCAGACCCTACAAGTCTCGGCTCGCCTCACGCCCCAAGTACGTATCCGCGTCGCACAAAGCAAGCAGCGCTCGCCACGTTGATCCATCCTATTTTTCTTCGTCTAGATTCGTGTATCTGTTACACCGTCTCATCCCTCCTTAAAAAGAAAAAGAAAGGGGGGAAGGGATGAAAAAGTGTACGATAATGACAGACGACGAATGGGGCATAGGATGTGATGCAGCATGCTGTGCAGACACGAAAATCCAACAGCATGTTCGAGGAAGGTGGTACAGAATGTGTTTTCCGTTCTTCTTGTGCCACGTTGGATGTTGTGTTTGGTAGTGGATTCTTCTTCTGGGTGGGATGGGCAGTTCAGACGAAGAAGAAAGGAGGAGGAAGAACCAACGAATGGAACATAGTGCAGAACATTTACAGTTGGTGGAAGCTGCTTGGATAGGCATTATAATTATTCGGTATGTATTTATGTATGTACATTCGTTCTCGCAAGCCGTCTTGCGCTCTCGTACGCCCCCGCCGAGACTAAACAACAAAAGTCACCGATACTACCTATCGCTGACCGCTTATTCAAAGGAAAAGGGTGACAAGTGGACGAGGACAACACCGCTATTCCAAATTCAAAGATCATTAGAAGACAATTCACGGGAAGAGAGGAAGCTTTGCCACTATTGGAAGCTCGTCGCCAGCAGCTCAGGCTTGCGCTGCTCGAGATCCAGAATCATTTGCCCGAACAAGCCATTCGCCCACGAGAACCATGGCCGTGTATAGTCGGTTGCGTTGAAGCTGTTGATGCTTTCGTGAATGAGTCCTAGTCCGGCCGTGCTAGACACGATTTCGCGCAATTCAGCGACGATTTCGTCGTCATTGTCGGAGGTAAGAATGCGCACGATGGACGCCATTGGCCATGCCTTCCCGGGCCCTTGGTGCGGTCCGCCCACAGAGTTGATGACGGGCCCGCGCATAAAGTACGGGTTTGTTGCGCCGAGGACGAGGGCACGAGTATTTCTGTAGGTTTCGGGATTCACGTTATATGTGTTGAAGGGGGCCGAAAGGAGAGAGGGGATGTTGGCGTCGTCCATGATAGTCTGACCTCCAAAGCCATCGACTTCGAAAGCGTAGACTTGGCCATAGTCGGGATGGGTCACAGTTCCGTGCGTCTCAATGGCATCCGGAATGGACTGGGAGAGAGACTTCATTCTCTCCGCGAGAGCACCCGAATTGCTTGTGTTCAATTTAGACATGATGTCGGCGGTTGAGGACAAGTACGCGCTAAACATCATGTTGGCAGGAATGAACAGCTGGAAGATGGTAGAATCGTCGCTGGGACGGAAGGCACTACGGACCAGACCCGTGCCATTAGCCACAGGGTTTCCGATACCGTCGTTTGCGAGTGTCTCGGTGGCTCGTGTGGTGTAGCGGACGAATGTGAAAGGCTGCGCCAGAACTGCACCATCGGGTCCATATGTCGGTGTCATTTGATCTTCTGCAACCTTAAGGATTGCTTCAATGGCTTGTACCCATTTGAAGCTGCCAAAGAAGGAGATGTCCTCGGTCGCCTTGTAGTAGTTTTCAGACACTTCCAGGAACGCTGCAAGCGAGTCGAGTTCGTACTTGCACTCGAATACCTTTGACTCATCGTATCCCGGGAACACAACGTCACGGTCCGCTGCGTCGTTGACCGCGGGTGGGATCTTGCTCTCGACCGGGGGCTGGAAGGAGTTGCAATATGGAGAGGTCAGCAGATAGCGAGCTTGCAAGTTTATCACCCCTCTATATAAGCTTGCAATCGAATCTCGATCGCTGGTGGCTTGAAGGAGTGGAAGGTAGCTCTGCATCTGGTTGGACGAGTCTCGCAGCCACATAGCATTAATGTCTCCAGTTATGACAAACGTGAGCTCTTCATTCGGATTGTCGTCAGCCACGCCCCTCCATTTGATGGCAGTATCGAGAGTGTTGGGGTACGAGTTCTGGAATAGCCGGTACAGATCTGGGTCTTTGATCACAGATTCCATACGTGTGAGCGTGTCTTCCACGTCCGATGAGTTGAACGTCCGGCATGACAGTGTTGCCCGCTGATATGCAAGCTTGTACTGTCCAGAACTGAGGGGCTCGTGAGATTGCCTGTAGTAGTCCACATAATTGGGACAATCTTGTGCAGACGCCAGCACCAAAGCTGATGCAGCGACGAACAACCAAGAACCATGCATTTTGGTCAGCAGCTGGAGATGAGCGAGATGGCCGAGGATGAGCACTTGTAGAAGAGCAAGTCACAAAGCGGCGATCTCTGCGCAATTTGTAGTCTTTTGGATCAAGGTGAATGAGGTAGGCAAACGGCACGCACGTGCAGGCAACCCTGGTAACGATTCATGGCGTTTACCCCGCTGTTGATCAATTGGGTTCCCCGTTTGATCACCCGATGTCATGGCTCTGAGGCGGGTAAGAGAGCCAACGCAGTAGGAGTAGTCTTCACGACGTCATTCGGCGTTGGAGCGGTGACAGGGTCAGCAAGCATTCACTGAACAGGCAACTGGAGTGTGAATTGCCTGTAGCGTTGAGCTTAGGGAGCCATCTCAACAAGTAAGCATCCGATGAAGGCAGGCATGCTGGTTCCCGTGGACCTCTGCAGGAAAGTTTTTCAGGCACACGACTTCCAGGCACACGACTTGTTGTCCAGGGTGTTTTGCGGGGTGGTGCTTGCGAGCGGGCTGGTCCTCGGCGAAAGGTTTATTGAGATGGAGAAGACTAGAGTTATGACGGATAGCGAGCCATTTAGCGCAAAAGGATCGTCGCATGAAGCCATCCATCACCGGCTTTATAAAAGCTCGAATTTAGCATTAGTTGTTGACGTCTGAGGTGAGTTGATGGCTGGAGGTTTCCTTCTGTTACAAGTTGAAGCTAGCCTATAGGGGCTTAGCCGCAGGTAGATGGACTCGGCGCTGTGTCAGATGTTCACGACTGCTGCATACTTCACATCATACTTCTTTGTGTTTCCTACCAAGTAGCATCATCAGCAAGAAAATACGAATGCCAGTACGGAGGGCTCATAGGAAATCAGTTCTGGGCTGCAGAACATGCAAGAAGCGCCGTGTGAAGGTCGGTACTCCAAGAACCGGCGCTTACTGCCATCCATCTGTACACTCAGGGGATTGACTGATCCTCCCAGTGTGACCTAAACCGTCCAGAATGTCTGAATTGTACAAGGCTTGGCCGCGAATGTGGCTTCCGATTTTTGGATCCAGCTCCTAGGTCGCTCGTCACTGTGAAGCAGGTAAACGTGGCACCACCACCACCACCACCACAATTTATGCCGGATCCATCGTTCTTGGACAGCTTTCTCGAGCCACTCCCCCCGGCTTTGCGCGCTAGGTTTACACAGTTGATCAAGTACCATGCTACGCAGACGAGCGGCACAATTACCCACAATGCCGCTGCTCAATCAACTTGGTGCTCTCTTGTCCCCAGGCTGAGTTCGAACCACGAGTTTGTCTCACATGGTATCGTTGGGCTCTCAGCGCTCCATCAATCGCATTATGTCAGTTCTGAAACGGAGCGAAAAACACTGCAGGATATCGCCGCCGTACAGATGAACACTGGACTGGCCTCATATAGGGAGTGCGTTGCTCACGTCACCCCGGAAAACGCAGCAGCACTCTACACATTTTCCACTGCCACCACTGCTTTCGTTCTGGCCACTACAGTCGAAGGGTGTGTCCCGCTGCTACATTCTGCACGCAACGATTCTTTGTCTGTCGACGAGTATAATTCTACTATTGAGAAGCTCGCAAAGGAAACAGCCAAATTTATGACCTGTTTTAGAGGTGTGATGGTTATCATAGTCCCCTGCTGGCGTGTTATGGTTCAAGGTCCAATGCGTCCCTTGTTGGATCGAGACTGGTGGCCTCGCCCTTTCCCGTCCTCTGCGCAGGCACTCGAAGAAGACGAAAAGCTCCACGACCTCGAGAATCTTTGGATGAGGCCTGGTCGCGATTATGAATACTGGTTCGATACACTGATTCACGCACTGAAAGACATGAGAGATGCTTTTGCTCTTGTGTCCTTACTTACGGTGAGCGATAAGCCGAACGACACTATAAAAGGCAGTCGGTTGCTAGATTGGAGCTCTGTCTTTGCCTGGATCACGAAAACGCCACCAGGTTTCATCATGCTTGTTGAACAACGCAATCCGGAAGCCTGGATTATACTGGCGCACTATGCAATACTGATATTCCGAGCTGGCGACCTGTGGTGGACCAAGGGATTTGCGGATCACCTCGTCTCAGCTGCGGCTCTCGTCATAGGACCCAGTATGCACAGTTGGATCGAATGGCCAGCTTCAATCATAGGAGTAGACTTGAGTAGCTATGAACGGCGCTCTAAATGATATAGTTCTATACTTTGTAACCGGAACCATGGGGCGGAATCCGTCCGTCAATATTCTAATCTAGAGCGATTGTGCACAGGCGTTCCTCGATGGTATATAGCAGTATGCTACTGCGATTCGTATATGAATACGTTATGTTTCTCCAATGGTGCCATGCCGCCATTGCCAACAGCGCGACCTCATTACCAACATCCATCGATGAAGAAAGCCTTCGCCATCGGTATCCCTTTCCAACCATGAGGTATTCTTGTTCGGGAGCAAACATTCGAAGCAGCCACTTTTATGATCATCAAAACCCGGGTTTCTATCCTCGGGCCTTCATTGTACCGGAGCCTTGTAGCTGGGGTACCACCACAACTTTCTCGTGGTCCAGATGAACAGCACTGCACATTCTTCATCGTCTATGGCGAGGATCTTCCGACACAACACTACAAAACGCATTAGCCAACTGCAAGTAGTAAGCACAACAAGCAAAGACATCTCTTTCTTACCTTGACCCGTCCATCCGTGTAGACGCTCGACCATATCTAGCTGCATGCCCCTCGGCCATTACCCCGTCCAGATTCCGTGCCCGTACCTCGCGCATATAATCATGTTGTGCCGCAGACGTCTCTTTTATCGGTTTATCCATTGGTCCTGCGAATCGTGCGATACCGTATGCCATTAGGATGAGGAAGCCGGCGCCCACCATGACTAGTACGATGATGGCGAGTGGAGGTAAATCGACCTGGATGCCCGAGCCATTTTGTTCTCGCTTGTGGAGCAGGTTATTTGCGATGAGTGCTACTGAGGGTGCCATGGTAGGCTATGCTATGGTTCGGTGTTGGTCTTGAGAAAGGTCGAGAGGGTATGTGGTGGTGATGGAAGGAAACGCCTTGGGTTCGGCAACGATACGGTACGTCCTTGTTTTATGCTTATGAAGGGCGGCGGGATTGCTCGGATGGTGATGAGATTGAATAAAAGGTTTTCCTTTCGTCACTGATGACAACGAGTGTGATGGAAGATTCGAGGACAGACTGAATTCCCAGGCAAAATGAAATGAAAGAGAGTGTAGAGTAGGTATTCAACAGTATGATATAAGCAGCCAAGTAGGTATCAGGAGTATCAGCGAATATTCATGAGATATAACCACTTTCCAAAAGAACAACAAAACGAATTCAACGATCGTGGGAGAGAAAAATAGGGTATCAGAGGAGCGAAACAGAAACAGCGTCTACCCCGAGCCCTTTATACGTACCAATCCCTCCCTTTTCCAAGAACTAGACACAAAACCAGCCCGACCCATCCCTCTTCTTCCGTCAACTCCCCAATTCCCGCATCGGACCAATGCCCCATAGTCCATCAAACCCGTCGCATACGCAGACCTCGTAGCGGTGGCGCAGCGCGCTAAACCGGTGTAATCAGCACGACCAGCATCGTTTATGCTGGCGCGTGATTGGCTGGGTCGTATGAAGCACGTGACTTGTTACGACGTGCATTGCATGAGAGGTGTGAGATGGGTTATAGGATTATATTGACGGGGTGCCTGCGCGCGGTGTTTCTGAGTGAGCTTTAGCTTGAGCTTAGAAGAGCGGGTTTGGTCGGGGGAGTATGCGATTGGGTAGAGGGATACTTGGTTGGTTTTTATCTGGTGCCTGATTTCAAGTGGTGCCCTTTTTGATTTTACATCGCTCCTATAGAAATGATGGATTCTAGAACACTTGAAATTCTTATTCTTCAAATATCTACGGTTCCTTCATTTCTTTTCCGTCTACTTTGAAAATAGCCCTACATCGTCTTTCTCTCCTTCTCTCAAATCACAACCCCATCCACATACTCATACACATATCCTCCCAATCAAACAGAAGAAAAAAAAAACCCCTCGAACAAAGATAACAAGATTCCAAAACCACATACCTAGCCAACCGCATCAAGAAAAGAACACAAGCTGAGCCACAAGCAACACCGTCCATTAACCCACATCCGTCCAACTCTTACTCTCTTCTTACAAAAGCACACCCAAAAACAACCGTGCTCCTCTCTCTGCTCTCGCACATTTCCCAATCCAGTAACCGCCATACCAGAACAAGTATCCTCCTAGTCCATCATCTCGGTAAAAAATATGGGGGTACCCTTGTTTAGCTAACAACAAATCGGTTTCAAGTTTTCCAAAGAAAAGCATTCTTTTTTCTTTGGGAGGGTGGTACTTGAAATATTTAGGGTGGGGAGGAAGTCTGTGCTTGAAGACTTAGTTACATACTTAAGTAGTTAACTTGTTAGGAGGACCGAGAACGAGTACGAGAACGAGAACGAGAGAATCTGGATAGACGTAAAAAACATGTTTGAAAGTTTTACAGCAAAAAGTGATTTGTTTTTTTCGTGTTCGAGTGATAGGGATAAATCAGTCTGATAAGGCGATATACATGGTATTGACAAGTACACAAACTTCTTAATACGAATTGCGTGTGCAATCAAGCGCACTTTGCCTTCTTAACTGGCACTTACACCTAAACAACCACAGACAAATATCAAAAACCATGCAAAGAACCGTCATGTATACATGTATTTGGAGTTGGATGGGGGGGGGGGGGGGGGGGGGGGGGAGGTCAAGTCCGTTCCCGAGAGAATACAATCTTGAATGGAATCATTGATGAGAGCAGAACATGAAGTGTCAACAATACAAGCCCCACAAAACGGTGGATCTACTAAACAACAGCGATCAGTAATGGGGCAGAGGGAAGGGGAGAGAGAGCAAAGGCTGAGTACTTCATCGATACCAAAGGACACTAATCTTGGGTATAGGGAACATCATGTACATGAGGCTGGGTTGAGCTAGGGTATGATATTTTTACTCATATTTCCCTCTTTTATTTTGGGGAGGGCAAGGAAATAATCCCCACATACGCCCTTCCCCATGCATTGCTCATCCTCTAGTTACCATCCCACAATCCCCATCTCGCTGGGACCCTCATCGCCCTTCTCCTTGTGAACGTCGGGGTGTTGCCAGCTAGCAGACGAACCGTTCCCCATATATCAAACCGCAACCACCCTAGCGACCACCAGTAAACTCAGGCTTATACGCCTTGAGCCCACCAGCCTTCATAAGCTCCCTCAGAGCAATAGTCGCGTACTGGCTACTACCCAGCTGCAGCTTAACAATCGTAGCAATTTTCTTGCTGCCGCTGCTCTTGTTGACATCTTCTTGCACTCCAGCAGTAGCAGCGGTAGCAGCATCCACCATAGCAGTATCCTCGCTAGCCTTTCCGACGTCCTCGGATTTAGCAGCATCTGGGTACCGCGGCGCAGGTCCAACGCTGACCCCCGCCTGCTTGACGCGCTCGAGATCCGTTTGTACGAACTGCTCCTCAGGCTTCTCGTACTCCTTGACTTCGTACTCAAGGGGTTGGAGAGGCTTGGCAAGGAACTTGCGGTATCCGCCGCTAAGACTGACCTCGCGCCAGGCGCGACGCATGTTATGCGGGTCGAGACCACCACCTTGCTCGCTAGCCATGAAGGTCTCGTAGAAGGTGCCGATATCGTTGCGTGGGTACTCAACATCGAAGCCAGGCTGTGGGAGCACCACATCGTAGACAGTATACAGGCCGCTTGCGGCTTCGGCGGCGGTCAGGTGTCGGGCGCGCTCGAACTGTTCTTCGGCGGCTAGCGAACTGTCGGCGCCGGAGGGGTTGATGATAGTCTCCCCGTTTTGGTCGATGGTGGTGTTTTGGGTGACGGATTGTGGTTGTTTGTCTTTGTGTTCGTTGACAAGGACGAGGTCGCCTTCGACGACTTGCATACCATAGGTAGTCCAGCGTTTGCCAGCGACCGTATTCCATACAAGACTTTGGTAGGCGTGCACATACATCAGGCGGAGATTACGGGGGATGCACATGAGGGCTCCTTGCCAGTCGGTCTGGCGGTCTCGCACCCCGCTTTTGCTATTGCGAGAGGTGAGGTGCTGAATGATGTTGCGCTCGGCAGAAAACTTGCGTGGGAGGATGTTGAGAACGTCATTACCGGAGCCTCCGTTTTCCCAGAGGTGGATAGCTTTGGCACGGCTCTGGTCGTCTTGAGATACCATTACCGTATTGTCTTCCGCAGTGCCGTTAGCAACTGCGAGCGCAGCATCACTGTATGCCAGTAGATCGTATACCGCGCCTTTTTGATCTCCTTGCAGCATCTTCAGTCCAACGGTGTCAGTACTAGCGGAGAAGGAGCCGAAGCGTTGCAGGCCATAGTAATTAATGAAGCCCTTCTCAGAGAAGTCGGCGATGGCCTTGGAGACGACCTTGTTTGCCAGCTCCAATCGTTGTGTCGAGTCGAGGCCTTCTTCGCCCTGGAAATAACAATCTCGGAGTGTAATGTGGAACTCATTCCCTTTCAGATCACCTAAACGTAGCTCATGGGTGTGGTAGGTGAAATCTCCAATCGCAGCATTGTACAGTATACGGTTGAAGTGGCTCATACGCTCCGCAGTCTGGCGCCGCACGCAGACTCGTTGAACAGTGCAAGCACGCCTATCTTTAGTTCCCGCAAAGTTGAACGGTTTCGCACCACTGCCGAGCTTGCTGCCCAAGAAGCCAACAACTTCCATAGTGTCCTTGTTCTCCTTGTACAGCGTGAAGTGCAAGTATTCTCCGCCCAGTTCATCCCAGCCTAGGTTGCCCCTTCGACGTCCCGAATCTTCATCACGTTGTTCTCTCGCACCCCGATCCCTATTGTTCTTGCCCTTTCGCTCTTTGGGGGGAACGGCTTTGATGCGGATAGATTGGTCCGCTTCCATGCTGCTCTCGAGGAGGTTGGGGAACATGGTCCGTAGCGATCTATGCGCCTGCGTGCGAATGTCCTTGTCGGTTATGGGTGGCACGATAACAGCCTTGAAGTCCCTCGCCTTCTTGTGATCGTGCTTGCGTATCGTCCGGACAAGCGCGAGAATCTCCTTGGTAACCTGTTCACCGAAGATGGAATGCAGCGTCGACATATCTCCTTCTGAGAGTGGTGCATCGCCGTCAACTTCGCCACCATTCTCTTGCTTGTCTTCCACCGCCTCCACCTTCTCAACAGGCTTCGCGGGAGCATCATCATCATCCTCTATCCTGATCTCAATCTTCTTCTTCTCCTGCTTGACAGGCGCGCTTTCGTTCCCATCTTCAACCAAGAGCGTGACCTTGCCACTCTGCTCAGCAACTTTGGCCTCGTCCTTCTTCGGCTTCTCTTTCGCGGGTTCGTTTTGCTTTTTGCCCTTGTTCTTTGGCGCTCCGACCACTTTCAACCTCACTACCTCCCCATCGAGACCAATCTCGTTCACCAGGAAATCCGTGTAGCGCTGTTTCAGCACGCCGTGAAACCCAGCGTTGTCTGCGCACACGTATTCGGTGATGCCGGCGCGGACTTCTCTTTCCAAATCATCGTCCGGCGAGGAAGGTTTGCTGGAGCCGAGAGGCGCAGGTTTCGCAGGTGTCGTGGTTGAGTCGGCGGGGATTGCAGCGGAGGACGACGGTGAGTCGAGGCGGGCGCGCTTTGCGGGGCGCGTTTCGTCGGCCATTGTTATCAGCGGTGACGGTGTGGTGATGTTATAGCGAAGTCAATTGGCACGGTGGGGAGCGGTGCGCAGTTATTTCACACCTTGATGTTGTCGAGGAAAAGCAGTGCAGCTAAGCTATTTTTTTTAAAAACTTGGGTAGGAGCGAAAAGGTAGTAAACACAGCCCGGGAAGGAGCCGAGGACCACCCCACCCACCTGCCTACGGTGGCACACATCTATCCACTATAAACACTAAGATGGTAGTACAGCATTTGCAAGCGATATTGCATGGCATATTTCCAAAGTAAATAGGAAAAAAAGATCAAGTTTGGAGAAACAGTACTTCACGAAGTTCACCAAATCATAGTATTCTATTCAAAAAGCATGGAAAGATCATCCGCATTTCAAGTCACCACATTCACCAACCGTTATGCAAACAAAGGAACCAAGCAATTGTCTTTTTTTTTTAAAAAAAAAATCATTTCATATTGAATTCATTCTCATCCGCGATTGCATGATGTTACGTCTCTTCCAGCTATTCTAGAAGGTAAGGAAGCTTGTTCCATACCATCATCCATGACAGTGTAAAAAAGAGATAGAGGAAAAACCTCGCCTGCCAAATTCCATCCAGGAAATAAGAAAAAAAGGAAAGAAAGATACCATGGGTATAAGTTCTGAAACATGCCAGAAACTAAAAAAAGGAGTCCCTTGAGATCAGGGATAAAGAAGCGAAAGAAGAAACAAGGTCCTCTAAAACAACAAAGTTGGAGTGATGTATAGAAGAGAAGGGTATATGTGCAAGCAGCATCGCATCCTAAAAGAAAAGAAAAACATCTTTAAACGACTGAAGGTCTCAAGACTTCCGAGTTTGATTACTTTACGGCTGCGCGAAGATGGCGAGCGTAGAGCAGAAGTTGGAGCGGTTGTCCTTGTCAGTCGCAAGACCCTTGCCGCCAGACGTAATCATGTTGACCGAAGCCTTGGAAGAGAGGCCGAAGAAGTTGACATTGGTAGAGTTCTCGACCTCGTTGATATCGGTCTGGCAGTTCTGGCCCGTGACGCACTTTTGTCCGTAGTTCTGGAAGAACGAGTACGTGCCGGCTCCGTAGCTCCAGATGGATGAAGAGTCGACGACGCGGACAGCCCAGGCTGTCTTGTCTGACTTCTTGCTCATGTCTGGGTCGAAGTACTTCTCGTTGGTCTTGAAGGGAACCATGGCATCGGGGTTGGGCTGGTAGTAGGGAGTCTCGGTCTGGATAGCGCCGTAGAAGATGTCCTTTGCGCCCTGGAACTGGTACTGGTAGAGCTGAGAGTGTTCAGAGGCAGTGCCGTAGAACCAGACGGGACCTTGCGACTCGACGAGCATGCCACGGCCGTTGTAGATGTCGATTTGGGAGTGGCTGGCCTGGTCGAGCTCGTGGTCAGCGGTCCAGAGCCAGACGTTCTCGAAGTAGCCGTTGGACTGCTTGGTGACGTGGAGCTGCATGAAGGAGCCGATGCACTCAGGGTTGGCCGTGTGTGTGGAGTTGGGGTTCTTTTCGCAGTTGGAAGCTTGGAGCTTGGTGCCTTCGTAGCCACCGACACGGAAGTGAGTGTCCCAGAGGGCGGCCTCGCCAGGAGCAGCGTTGATGTTCCATTCCATGAGAATAGCGCCGGGAGCAGGACCCTGGGTGCCGATGATGCAGTCGGACATCTCGAAAGCGCCCTTGTCACCAGACTTCTCACCAACCTGCCAGACAGGAACGGGGTTCTCCATGTCGCCAAACTTCTCACCGGTGGCCAAGAAGGTGGAGTAGATCTCGCCGACGATCTTGACGTTCTTAGCGGCGGGGATGGTGATGGTGTCGGAGACGATGTAGGAGCCGTGGTCAGCAAAGAGGATTTCGCCGTCCTGGAGATCGGCAATGGCCTTCTTGATAGCTGCGGTATCGTCCGTCTTGCCGTCACCCTTGGCACCAGCATCCTTTAGAGACTTGAACTTTGAGGCTTCGACGGTTTCGTACTGGGGCTTGCTGCGCTCGAAGAAGCGACCGTCCTTGCCGAGAAGAGATTCAGGCTTCTTGGGAGCATCAACGACATCACCCTGAACACGGGTCTTCTCAGAACCGGCGGCAACGGCGTGACCTTGAGCCCAAGAAGAGACAGTCTTGCCTCCAGCAAGGATGCTGGCGCCCTTGAAGTCCTGCACAGCTGTCTTGGAGCCAGCGAAGTCGACATTGTCGATGATGAGAGTGCCGCCGGTCATGGGGATGCTGTCGGTGGCGAAGGAAGAGTTGACGCCGATGGGGGTGTTGACAAACTTGCTGTCCATGAGGATAACGGATCCAACAGTCTGGTTCTCAGGAGCGTTGGCCATGTCGAGCCCGACCTTGCAGTTGTTGAAGGTGTTGGACTTCATGGTCCAGAGCCAGTTCCAGTTCATGTAGATGCCGACGTCGCAGTCGTTGAAGGTCATGTTGCGGGTAGTGAACTGCTGGCTACCAAGGAAGGCACCCACAGCACCGCCGTTGAAGACAAGATCGGACATGAAGCCACCGGAGCCGTTGTCTTGGAAGATACCCTTTTGGTTGGCACCTTTGGCGCCCTTGGCCATGTTGAAGACGACGTTCTGGATGCTAGTAGCCTGAGAGACTTGCCAGTGGATACCGGCAGCGGCCTCGGGAGCGGAGATGTCGATGATCATGTTGCGGATCTGACGGTAGAAGTTGTTCTGGTTCGTAAACCAGTTGGCACCATCGGCACCAGGGATATAGGGATCAGCGTCGATGAGACCCATGCCTTCGAAGTTGGCAGTGGCCTTCAAGGTGGGCATCTGGAGGGCATCGCCCACGAAGGAGGTGTAGTAGTACTGAATAATGGGCTCGCTAACCATGTAGGTACCGGGAGGGAAGTAAACAAGGGCAGGCGAAGTAGTGGAAGAATCGCACTTCTCGCCGCAACGGCTGCCGTCAGAGACGGCCTTGTTGATAGCGACCGTGTCGTCGGTGGTGCCATCACCCTTGGCACCATAGTCCTTGATGTTGCGCCAGACCTTGTAGTCGGCGGGCGTGGGGTTGAAGGCAGCTACACCTTGGTGCTTGACATTGGCGACCCAATAGCTCGATTCAGCCTTTGCAGGAGTCTCCGCCTGAGCGACCGGCGCAGCAGACGAAGGGACTACTGAGGAGAGAGTGCTCAGTGCGAGAAGCAGTGCGCTAACACCGATTGCAACCATGATTGCGGTTGTGTAGTCGAAGAGAGTGCGAGCAAGAAGTTGGTGTTGTTGTGGTAATGGAGGTGGAAACTTGAATGGAAACTTGTTAATACCGGGAAACAGTCAGTGCCAGCAAACAGTCAAGTGTCGGGAAACAGTCAGGTGTCGGAAAACACAGATTGCTCAAGATGCTCTGGTTTGTGTGTGTCGTCAGGGCAAAGTTGCGCAAGGGGAGCAAAGAATGCAGGTGCGGAGTGCGTCTGTTGATGGAGCAACGAAAAAGAGGGCTGGTTGCTATTGTTTTTAGGATTGGATTCCCAATTCAATAAGAAAGGACGTCAAGCCCCTGTAGAATAGAAGAGAATGAATGAAGGTGAATAGGAAAGAAAAAAGGTCAAGGGGGAGAAGGCAGCAGGTAGAAGGTGAGTGAAGTAGGGAGGGAAGTGAGGGAGGGAGGACAATATATGTGGTTGAATAAAGGGACCAGTTGGGAAAATGAAATTGGACAGGTACCTTGCAAGGTTCGCGCCAGGTGGAGAGGATGTTTGCTCGGGTAGATGTTTCACGTTTCTGATGGTCGGTATGTAGTTGTGGTTCTGGTTCAATGGAATTACAGTGGGGATCAATACATGGGCATTTTATATCAACGACGTGGGCTGCGTTGTGCAGTCGTTGTGCAGCCGCGTCGGGCTCGGCCGCGCTGCTGTTGCATTGTGGAGGCTTCATGGCGTTGCGGGCTTCAACAATGTGAAGAGTGTTTGGTGAGCACAATAGCAGAGCATACCTCCGGGCGGCTTGGTTGAGGACGCGGGCGAGGAATGCGGCGCAGGTGGCGATGGGAGCGACAGCACATGCTAGAGAGGCAGGGCAAGGTAGGGCAGGGCAGGGATAGACTCTCTGCGCGGGAATGGCGAGTGAAACATCAGACGGCGATTGGACTATAGGAGGGTGAAACAAAGGGAGAGACCCGCGGCCGTTGGCTGGCTGGCAGGCGGTTGAGTGTAGAGCAGAGAGGCGGAAGGGTATACAGTTTAGGTGTTGTAGCAAGTAGAGGCGATGGTAGCGAGTGACAGGCGTGGTGAAACAGGCCTAGTTTCAGACTCCCCAGCTTCGCACTGGATGCCCGCCTGTGACTGGCTTCGTCCGCCTAGGGGTCCACCGCGTCCCTAGTCAGCGCTTCCCCATGGCCATATCCCACCATCAAATCAACTTGCCAATTCTTTCTTGATTTCTTTCCTGATTCTCCTTTTTTGATTTATTATGGGGAGGAGAAACAAGAGTCGCCTTCCACCGGACCAATCAAGCCCGCCACCCGCGGCATATACTCATCCGAGCAATCTATATCCAATCTGTGATATACATAGTATATGTACCTAGGTATAGAATGATGATGATAAAGATCTACACGTGTGCCTGTGCGCGGAATCAAGAAACGGCCAAGGGGAAAATCATCGCGAATCATTCATTTCAAATCTCGCCTCGCCTCGCCCGTATCGCGCGAACTAGGGGCCTTCAACTGCCGGCCACCATCAGGTTTTTTACCCTTTCTATATTCCATTTTGCCCTGCTTCATATCGTCCGTCGTCTAGAGAGACCCAATCAACGACCATGTACTCTTGAATTCCTGATTTCCTTCATTTCCTCGGCATCATCGTCATCATCATGTCGATATCTGTCTGCACGTGTACAGTGACTCTCTCTCATTCTCCCTCTCGCGCGCGCATGCACGTCGCTTCGCTTCTTTTCTTAGTAGCCAACTAACCCATCTGCAGCACAGTACACTGCAGTACAGTACCTTGCAGACACCTAAAAAGCACAGGGGAGAAGGACGGCGGTGTGTATCCATTCAAAACAGCAAGCCAATCGCATCCCCGCAATCCTCCTCCACCTGCCTCATACCCGCTGTGAAACCAATGACAATCTCTCTCATGACTTCTGTCCATTTTTCTATTGAATCACCCAGTTAGTCTGCTTCACATTCCGTGACTTGCACCTTTTGTCTTTCAATCATGACCTTGATTTGGAAAGGTGAATAGCGCATTATTCTTTCGTGTGTGATGGTGGTGGTGTTGGTGGAAGACCGTTCTCACTTCACTGCCACCACCACGGCTGAAATGCCATCTCGATCCTCTCTTTCCTACTTGCCTATTCCACTCCCCCATCATTCAATCTACTTGTATGCGATGTGGAAGGTCGTGGACTCGGGAACCTACCTAGGCAAGTCACACACACCTTTTGCGACCTTGTCACAGCCGTCCGTTATGTGTCTATGTGTCTATGTGTATGCCGATGCCATCCGTTGACTGTCTCCCCTTCACCCAACTCATTCGACTAAACAATGACATACCGCAATCACTCTACCCGAGTCATCCATACCGCGAGTTCAACATGCGCATCACCACGCATCCTACATCCTGCAAAAGCTACATACATACTCACACTCCTGTAACGAGAATAAGGCAGCCTTCAATTGCACTTGCCCGCGCAATCAAAATCCTTCATCCTCCATCAGAAATTACTGGCAGTAATCTACGTACAAGTGCAATTAACCTTCCAACTCCCAAGGCACACATACATGTACATAGCACATGGTACATGGTACATATGCATATACGGAGCGGTGGCGCCTTCCTTCCTCCCCTCCCGACCCCCCGTAAATAGCGCCATTCGGAAATTGACCACGTCTCGGAGAAAGACAGGACTGAAATGAGGGGTTTGGAAGAGAGAAAAGGCGGGGTTGAAAGGGAAATGTAGGATTTTCGGAGATTATTTTGATTCTTTCTGGATTCGCTTGATTCTTCTTCTTCTTTTTCCTTTCTGGATAATGACCCAGGTCGCTGGCCGGCTCTTCTTTCTTCCCCCCGCGCCAGACACTCATTGCACGTGATGGAGCGAAGCATCAAGTTGCCGAGATCATATCCTCAACTGACTTCACATGGTAGCCCTTTGGCATATAAATTGTTGTTGATGTTTATATTGTTTCCGCTCTCATGTTCCGCGAAATACTCGAATTGTTTCGTGCTGCTTATCCTTTGATGGGGCTATTTGACTACAACTATTTTTACGTCAAACCGTCACAATAACTCGTATACTTCTTGTGATAACATAAGGACTAATTCAACGTAGATGGGTGTTGACTCCAGTGTTCGCAAAATCCAACCCGCTCTACCGACCGTCTCACTGGCTTCCAGAACCAGCGCCTCGCTACCGTGCCTCACCAAAAGTCCTTTGCGCTGTCCTCTGTGGCAGTGGCGTCGCTGGTAACCTGCTGGTGGCCGTCTTGCTCGGCCTGAAGCTTGCGAATGACGCGCGCGAGGCGTTGCATGCCTTCAGCCAGCATGTCCTCGTCTTCCCACGCAAAACACACCCTGCGTTGGGGTTAGCCCACGTTTGAAAGGCAGGCCAGTATGACGGCGGCCTCACTGCTGCCTGCACGTGGACTGCGGGGGGCGCCGAAAAAGACGCCTAAAAACGAGGAGAAGAACGAGGAAAGCGACGAGTTGACGCTGCGGTGAGAAGTGGCTTTGGAACAGGGCTTCATACATACCTTAAATGGTTCTCGAAACGGGTACCCTCATGCTCGGTATCGCCGGGCACCTCGAACATCTCACCCTAGAAAGGTCAGCGCACTCACTTGAGATGATAGTTCATGCCCGAGCTTGTAGGCTCGTTCCGTCCGCTTACCTGTGCGACTGCGAGATTTTCTTCGTCTTTGGCACGTTGTGCAACTACAGCCCCTTTGATGGGGGACGGCAGGGTCAGCCAAATGAAATATCCGCCAACCACGTCCCGATCTGTCTGCGGCAAGCTCACGCCCAGAGGAATTAGTTCTTCGTTGATGGCCGTGACCATGCGCTGGTAACGTCGTCCGAACGCTGGCTGCAGAGTATCATAGACGTAACGTTGAAGCTCTCCCGATTCGAGTGCCTCGGCCAAGAATGTGGCTACCAACTGAGAAGGTGCGCCGCCGGAGCGGGACGAGCCCCTATCGGGTTATGTTAGCTGTTGTTACAAGGCTGAGGCTTTGCACCGCAGCTGTTTGTTTCGTAATCAAGATCGTGTTCACATGTCACCAAGGAGCATGGCTACACATTGGAGAACGCAAAAGACCGGTGACTGCGCACTGGGGCTGACCTACGTCTGTGATACACCAAATGCAAACTTCGAGGTCCCTTCGCACCATCCGGTACGCAATCCAGGGCCCGCCAATTTCGACCAAGAAGCGTTAGAGACAGAGTTTCCGAACCCATCGGCACCAGCTCTTTCGGTGCCACCATCCAGATATCGATCAATGTCAACGATCCGAGGTAAAATGGCCCTTTCCACACTGAGTGACGTTGCGGTGAGACTGGATGGCCATTGCAGGAAGTCATAGACATCGTCCGTGATGATGAGAGCGTTGTGTTCTCTGGCTAGCCTTACCAGTGCCTCCCGCCTCCTCAAAGTCATTGTCTTGAATGAGGGATTTGAGAAGGTGGGAACAGCATAGATAATGTGGCGGTATATCTTGGACCATGGGCGATCAGGTTTGAGACGCTGCGTAGCAGGTTAGTTCTTTTGAGTTAGTAGAGGGTGTGGGAGGGAAATGCAGAGGATCACATATGGGTACGTCCATAGATGGTCTGGAGTATCTACGCCTGGCGAGTGCAATAAATGTCTTGGATGTATCCATTCACTCCTACAACAACAACAACTTACCGAATTGTCATGGTCTGCACTCTCGTCACTCTTCTTCAGCGCTTGGCGAAGGAATTCGATATCGATACCTTCTTCATCCTCAGGCACGGACCGTAGATTGAGAGCACTGTCTTGGAAGATACGAAAAGCAAGCATGTACGCGGGGGAAACTATCCAGACATTGCGCGTGTACAGTGGGTCAGTGAACACCTGGAGAAGACATGCAAGATTCTGAGAAGCCCCCCCGCTGACCACGATGCGATCTTTGGCTACGGGAGCGACAGGCTGGAAGAAATCGGTGAGCCAGGATGCGATGCAGGCCCTGAGCTTCTCGCTGCCATCGTCTGGACCATACAGCAAAGCCGGGTTGGCAAGAGCTGGACTATGGAAGACACGCTGCGACGCCCTCTCGAGAAGAGATGTGGGCAGAAGCGAGGTGTTGGGCCATCTATAAGGCAACTAGTCAGCCGCGACCCACGGACACGAATCCAAGAGGCCTATCAAAGGCAGGCATTGCGGCGGACGTTCAGTAGCTATTCATAGAGCACCGGGAAAGGTAAGAAGCGACGGGAAAGGATGGACGGATGGATGGAGATTCAAAGGAGATGACGAGGAATAGGCTGACGTGCCCTCTCAATAGATTGATGAGCTTTTTGGAGCTGTCATTTCCGACGAATTCCGAAAAGTTGCGTGCGACCATGTTTCGTAATGCGATTATGTATTATGACTGTGTTTGACGGCCACCCCTGTGCTGTGCAATTGGAGCGCTGTTTTGGGCAGTTGTGACAGAAAGCACAGGCGAAGAGAAGACGATGGATGGATGATGCATGAAACGAGACGATGGCCGATAGACGAAGCGATCGGATGCGAAGGATGGAAAAAGTGCCTCAGACGAAAGAGAGCTATGTAGCTAGCTAGCACAAAAGCGGCTGGCGAATGCAACCGAAATCGACGAAGTGGCGACGAGGCAGGCTGAGCTGCAACGCAGGATTTGCTAAAAAGAAAAAGATGTGGGACTCGTCTTGCGGATACCCACATTCAATGAAGCCAGAAAGGAAGAGGTCTGGTGCTTACAACACAGAGGCCAGGCGATTTCCGGCAAGCCCACCACAGGCCCCCCCCCCCTTTTTTTTTTCTTGCTGCGCTGAGTTGTCTCGGTGGTTGATGGAGGAACAGGAGACTGTCTCCTCCGGCCGTTTGTTCGCCCGTCAGCGTACGTCCGAGTGAGAGTCGATGGTATGAATGCCTGTATGGGAAACGTCGGTACAGACAGGTGGCAGGGGACAAGCGAGGCGCGACGGGAAAGACGGCCCCCTGTACGAGTAGGAGTTTTTACTGTACGCCACGTAATGGGGTTATCGATAGAGAGGCGTACGTCATCGGGAATGGGTGTGTTTTACTTTGCACGACATGTCGCCCTCGCCCGCCCGTCCTCTGCCCGCTCCATCCATCTCATGTCTCTACAGGTGAACAGAAAAAAAAAAGGGGGTAGAAATAGAATGTTCCAGTGATGCACACAGGCGCAAACACAATGCAGGCGGGAACTCACCGCTGCCGTGAATGTTCCCTAGCGGCCATCACGCGTTCAAGCTGAGTGATTCTCCAATACTTTATTTATTGGCCGCAAAACTTTGACGTACGGGGTAATGCAGGGACACGGGCGACGGCCCCGAATCCTTCCCGGATGCAACTCGTTCAATAGTCTGTCAATGAATGAGTGAATATTTTTTCGAGAGAAGAAAGAGGAACGGTTCAAATGCGCTGCTGCAACAGGACAGTACGGTACATTGATGCTACTGGTGGTGCGCTGCGGGCTATTTCCGTCCCCATCGGACATGACGGCTGCCCATGCACAGGGTCCCTGACTTTGATGGATTTCCATGGAAGGGCCTCCCTCTAGCCGTAGCAGACGTGCTATGTATGCCATGGCGCAGGGTGTGACCCTCTTGGGGGGGGGAGAGCATGACGCCGCACGACGATCTTGCTTCCCTGCACCTTGCAGCAGCAGTACTGGTACTCTCTCGACTGCCTCCAGCAGCTTCACCACTTCCCCTTCGTCCCTTGCTGCGCACGCACACACATGAACCCGCCACACTTTCACTCGCACCCCTGTCTACATACATGAAGCAGAAACCAATGCGTGGCTGCACGTGTTTGTGATGTCAGCACGGTCCTAAAACCTTGTCTGCTGCTGTTCACCCACAACCACTACTTATATCCTTTAGGCCCACCCAACGCTCATTTCTTAGCTTTTTGGCTGCCCCTACTACCCTCCCACTAACCACCCCCTATGTGAGGCTTTCTTTGTTGACATCAACTCACGACCCCCGCCGCCTCCTCCACCAACGACTCGTTCGTTGTTTACCCGCCTACGTACCTACTCAAAAATTATATCACCCCTACCGCTCCTCGACTCTGTCACTTCGACCCGACCTATCCGCCCTTGCATTCACTATACTACCTGTACTGCCACGTTGGGCCTGACCCTCTCGCTTGTGTGTCACCATGTTGAGCTCCAAGAAGCGGTCGACGCACCGGCTCTCGTCGCTGTTCATGTCAAGTCATAACGACTCGAGTGATACAACCTCCAATGGCTCGTCTGCTGGCTCCGGTCGTTTAACCAAGCTCAAGAACCGAGTTTCTTCCTCGTCCACACATCTACCCATTGATCAAAACCCACCGCCCGTACCAAAGCTTCCTCCGCAACATGCTGTGCCCATGCCGCCACCCTCCTCTCGTTCCGCCCCGCCCGTGCAAGCTCCAGCGAATATCACCACCCAAGAGCCTGATGCTGTACTCCAACCACCTCCCTCCATCGTCACCATGAACAGCCCTCGCTCCCGAAGCTCATCTCCAGGTCGCTTGAACAAGTCCCGCCCAAACACATCGCAGGGCATCTCAAACGGTAGTAGTATGCTAGCGCCCGCGGATGCTTCTGCCAAAAAGTCCAGGCGAGCAAGTCGCTTCTTCGGCGGAGGAAAGAGCAGTGATGATTCCCTGAAAGAGAAGAATGTGCCCCAAGCTTGGGTGGTCGGGCACAAGGGAAAGGTCCCTTACGACCTTGCGCCCCTGATCACTGGTGCACCGGTACGTATCCGTGTGCATCTTTAATGATTCAAACTGATGCTTGACAAAGGTACCCGAATTGTGGGACGAAGCAGGAGACACGCTCGTGTACCTGCACCCCCGAACCTCAAACAAAGGCGCCTCTTTCCGCATCGACTCTTCCGTGTACGCTTCTTCCCGGGCCATGACTCGCTTGATTCACGGTGGCCTGTACAGCGGGCCGACTCTCCCTGTCGACGACCTAGCGGATCGATCAGTTCGGAGTTCTTATGCCGGCACTGCTCCCCCATCGCGAACCAACTCTCCAATTCAGAGCGGCGCTGGTAGCTCTGATGGCTCCAAGGGGTCTCGTGCACTGAGCGACGCGGTCGAAGATGACTTCAGCGAAAAGCACTTGTATATGCCTATTGCTTTGAGTACAGACCAGGAGCCCGTTACACCTGGCGGTACTCAGCTGCCATCATCAGTCGAGGATATCGACGTGCTCATCTCTTACCGAAATTTCGTCGCCTTCTTGGTTGGACAATCCCTAGTTGCCACACCCCGACATGCTGAGATTTTCGACATTTTCTTGAGAATATCTGAAATTCTCCACCAATACAACTTTTCGAATGTCGACTCATCCACATTCGGCGAGGTTGCAGCTTCCAGCTTCGACAGCTATGTGGATGAACTTGGTCTGGCTGATGTCCGGCACAGCCGCCAGAAAACCATTGAGGCCATCGTTCTGGGCGAGAAGATGCGGTCCATGACGTTGTATACCGAAGGATTTGTGCATGCCGTTGGAAAGTACGACGAGATTCAGGAACTCCGCCATCCCAAGTTCCAATTGATCAGTCCCATGACCGGCACTCGTCTTGCTCGCTCTGCGCTCGATTTGGCGAACAGGGAGCAAAACATCAAGAATAAACTCAAAGATTTCGAGTTTCCTGCCATCTTCGCAGGTCTGATGAACAGTGCTATGGCGGATGAAGGCAAAATGATCCGTTTCAAGAGCTGGAAGAGCGCTTTCATGAGCACTCGGTCATTCCTCCTAGACTATTACAAGTCGAAGTACGGAAGTTGGTTGCCTAGGGCACGGAACAAGAAGAACGATCTCACAACGGATGGGCTTAATCGGTTGGTGTTGAAGGAGATCTACCGCGATCTCACCGATCTTTACGACATGCTTGTTGACCGTACGAACCTCACCAATCGTACCCAAGATGGTTTCCTGAATGAAGACACGCGCACTGACTTCGAATCGGTTGGAAACCGTGCCTTGCGCATGGTGCTCAGCGAATATGATCGCAGTACACCTCCTGTGCAGCCGCCAATCCCATTCGATGTGCCTATATCTCCGTCTCTGAAGAGCCTAGGAAAGGCATATCCGTCCGGGGACTACAAGAAGGATCAGAAGGCGCGATCTAAGAAACTGAAGAAGGACGAGATCGCGCAGGCGCTCAAACAGTCATACAACCCAGATGCAGACAAGCCTTCCCCATTCCTGGATGCCTTTCGAAACTTTGAGAAGAAACAGGCATCGGGAAGCACAATGGAACAGCTTTGGGAACTCAGGTGTGGACAATGGTTGTTTCTGTACGCTGTCATCCAGTCACTCCCCTTGATGGTGGTAGATGCACCCGGCATTCGCTTTGCTGAGGGCGTGGAATACTTCCTATGCGAAATTCCCCGCTCTGGCGCCCCTTGGTCAAGGGAGGATACCAGTCGCGCACGCAAATGGTTCGGTATCGACGGAGGCAAACAAGTGGTCAGCCTGCCGGCAGACATTGTTGACAACGGCGTGGAGGGCATCTTCCGTCGATCACACTGCTGGAAAATTGCCGAAGCGTGGGCAAAGAATGATACAATGCTCACGGCAGCCATGCAGGAGATGAATGCAGACCCGTTGCCTCCTCCTCCAGGCTTCCTCGACCCTAGCAGCGCCGACAACCGTCCACGCTCGTCGCACAGCACTGACCGTAAACGCGAGAGCGTGATGGATCTCGGCCTGGAAGCCTTGCCTCTCCCACCTGGCTTTGCTCCGCCTGGTACTCCTGGCTCGCGACCCGTCTCTCTCCACGATCCTAACAAAACGTTCGACTCTTTCCTCGGTTCCACCCTGTCCGAGAAGGACAAGAAGAAAAAGAAGAAATGAGACGACCAACTCAAGCATCATTTCGTTGGACTAGACCAATGTTCTTTCTTTTCTAGGAACGACTTGCATTTCTTATTCAGCACATTGTAAAGGCTTCTCCATTGAACGACAACCAAAAAAATTCTCTTTCTTGGATCTTGCATAGCGGCTGCTTTTCTCATCATACCACGTCTTGTAATGCCCTTTTCTGGCCACTGTTGTTAGTACTTCTAGCATCTATACCTTTTTTTCCTTGCTTTTACTTTTCCTTCTTTCGCCAAACTGCATGGGGAATCATGATTATGTTTTATCTGGCTATCAAAAAACGGGTTGCGAACGAGGGAGGGATGGAAACCAAAAATGGGCGAGGAGGGCACAACGTAATGAACTGGTACCTGGGATTTCATTTCCTTATTATAGTAACCCGAGCAAAATCCAAATGTATATAAAGATCCCGTTGTATAATGCATTGTACAAGCAAAATGAGCCCAATCACGTCTATATTTTATTGGCGGTCTGCATGCGCGTTCTGTACACTCAAGGGGATAGGGCGTGCGTGGTAGGGCGTGTACCCTTCGGTTGCATGCGGCGTTCGCGTTCACCGCCCGCTATCGGCGGTGGATCGGCGGTCCTTTTATCGTTTGGCTTTCATCCCGACCACCTTAGTAGAACTACACATCCGCAACAGCCTTTCAACTCCCCCTCCTCTACCTTGCACCAATTACAAGACAAATCGGTTCTCCAAAGAAAAAAGAGGCAGCCATCATGACGTCCTCTTTGCCCGGGACTCGCGACCTACCGTCCTCCCAATTCGACCTCAGCACGTACTGGGGTCGCGTGCAGCATTCTGCCAACATTTCAGATCCCAGGTGAGAACAAACAGCTTCGCAATGGTGGTTTGGAGCTTCGCCGTAGCTCACTTGTACTTGTCAAGCCTGGGTGCGTGGTGAGTACCACACCCATCAGCTTTCATCTATTGTAGAGCGGTTTCTGTTCGCCGCAAGTGGGGGTCTTGTTCAATATGCCTTTTCTCCAACCTCGTCGCGAAAAACGATCGTACGCATGATATAGCGTAACACAATTGGCTGATCATGATGGTTGTGTACTTTTAGAACCCTCCTCACATCCTCCGCCGGCCTCGAAAATGCGAAACAATTGGTCACCGCGTATAAAACGGGCAAGATACAGGATATGACGCCGGAGCTGTGGCAAGCAAAGAAGATCATAGACTCGACGATACACCCGGGTACGATATGCTAGGCGCTTCTGCGCAAGTGCAGGCCAAGCAAGACTCCAGGCTGATTGGGCTGCAGATACGGGGTTACCTGTTGTTTTACCGTTCCGAATGTCAAGCTTCGTGCTATCGAATTTGGTCGTCACAGCTGGCATGCTCACGCCAGGCCTCGGGGTAAGCTGCGCAGAACTATACCTACAAAATTGGAATCCGCTGACACAAAGTAGACTGCGGGAACGCTTGGATGGCAGGTCGCTAATCAGTCGCTCAACGTGGCCATCAACTTCTCCAACGCAAACAAGTCCACGCCGCTGTCCACACAAACCATCATCAAGTCATACTGCCTCGCCGTAAGCGCATCCTGCGGTGTCGCCCTCGGTCTCAATGCACTCGTGCCACGTCTCAAGAGCCTCTCGCCCAATGCGAAGCTGATCGCCGGTCGCCTGGTCCCTTTCGCCGCCGTCGCAAGTGCAGGTGCTCTCAATGTGTTCCTTATGCGTGGAGAAGAGATACGGCAGGGGATCAACGTGTTCCCTGTTCTCACAGAGGAGGAGAAGCTCAAAGTGGAATCTGGGGAGCTAGAAGTCAAGCCTCTAGGCAAGAGCAAGAAGGCCGCGACGCTCGCCGTGGGCGAGACCGCACTCAGCCGCGTGCTCAATGCGACACCAATCATGGTTCTCCCGCCGCTCATTCTGGTCAGGCTACAGAAAACGGAGTGGCTGAAGAGGAGGCCTCGCATGGTGCTGCCTCTTAACCTTGGTGAGTCACTCGACATTGTCTTTGACACGTAAGGTAGTATCCATGTGCTGACGGGCGATGTGTTAGGACTCATTCTCACCACGTCCATCTTTGCTCTACCACTTGCCCTAGCTGCATTCCCCCAACGCCAATCTGTCAGCGCGACATCGCTCGAGACGGAATTCCATGAGCGTGGGGGCAGGGACGGGCTGGTGGAGTTTAACCGTGGGATATGAGAGAGCGAAAGTCTACCGCGGTCTAGTCATGCATCAACCAGCGTGACCTCCCAGAATGATGGGAGCATGATATGAAATCTGCCAGATGCGAGTCGAGGGAAAACGTTTAAAACAAGCTCAATGTCTAATCAGCGGACACTGGAAGATATAGACGACAGAAGATTCGCAGAAGAAGAATGCTTTGCGTATAGAGTAGTCGTAGATGGAATGGTGGATTTTCGGGGAAGCTGTGTTCTGATTGGCCAGAGAGCTCGAGTATCGCGGAGGCTACACGAACACAAGTATACATCGTACACCAAGCTCGCCAGAGCCAAAGACACAAGATGCAAATAGGCAGCAAATTGATAGCGTCACAATAGACAATCTCGAGTTTTTCATTGACAGATGGCCTCTGGTAGAATGGCGGCTGCTTTGCTCTAGGCGGACGGGGATTAAGGGTAGATGGAACAAAAGGTGTCCTCCAGGTGTCCTCTGGCGCATAGAGCTTTTTTGACACTTGGTCACTTTGATGTCGACAGGGTAGCTCCCACATTTAAGCACTTTACATCATGCAGCAGCTGCCTCGCCAATAATCTCCACACTTCGCCTGATGTATCCTTAACTCTCCAAACCTTTTGTCTGTTTTCCGCTCTCTGCGTTGACTGTGATCAAACGACTTGACGTGCTGGTTGCTGGTTCTTCCCACGAGGCAGCCCACTTCTTTGTGTACATAACCACCCACCCCCACAACCCTACCACCTTACCTCTCACCCACCCTCTCAACCCCTCCACCCTCCCTACATAACGCATCTCACGCCACACCGCCTCGTGCTGTACTTGACTGTACTGTAGCGTATTCAACCTTTCACATTCACACGCAATGGCGCCTCCAGGACGCCGGAGACACTCCCTCTCCCCCGCGGCCATCCTTCTCGGTCTTACCTTCCTTTTCGCACACACCGCATCCGCCGCCTCGGCCGTTCTGGGTGTTGATCTAGGCACCGAATACATCAAAGCCGCTCTCGTTAAGCCCGGTGTTCCACTCGATATCGTTCTCACCAAAGACTCGAAACGCAAGGAAGCATCGGCCGTCGCCTTCAAGCCGCTCAAGAGCGGTCCTCTGCCCGCGGGAGAGTACCCTGAGCGGTTTTATGGCAGCGATGCTGTGGCTTTGGCTGGCAGGTTTCCTGGAGACGTGTACCCCAATCTGAAACAGCTGTTGGGCATATCGAGCGCGGACGACATAGTACGGACATTCAATGGAAGATACCCTGCATTAAAGACGGAGGCCCTGGAAGGCCGGGACACGGTTGCACTGAGGAGTGGCGTTTTCGCAGAGGAGGAGAAGTCCTTCTCTGTGGAAGAGCTGCTCGCTATGGAGCTCAAGAATGTCAAAGAGAACGCAAAGAACATGGCGGGCAAAGGCTCAGACGTCACCGATGTCGTCTTTACTGTCCCACCTTTCTATACCGTGGAGGAAAGGCGCGCGCTCGAAGTGGCAGCTCAACTGGCTGGCCTCAGGGTTTTGAGCACTGTCAGCGATGGATTGGCCGTCGCTCTCAACTATGCGACCGGTCGTACATTCCCCGTAGTGAGCGATGGAGCCAAGCCTGAGATCAACTTGATCTTCGATATGGGCGCGGGGTCTGCCTCTGCCACCGTGGTCAAATTCCAGGGTCGCACCGTCAAGGATGTCGGAAAGAGGAACAAAACCGTCCAGGAAGTCCAGGTTTTGGGCGTTGGTTGGGATAAGACGCTAGGTGGCGACGCGCTCAACAACATCATTGTCGACCACATGGTTTCTGAATTCACCGAGGACGCCCTCGTACACTCTGCCGGTATCACTGCCGAGAAGGTCAAGACCCACGGTCGAACCGCTGCAAAGCTCTGGAAAGAGGCAGAGCGCGTCCGACAGGTTCTCAGCGCCAATACCGCCACTCAGTCTTTCTTCGAGAGCTTCTACGATGAGAAGGACTTCGTCTACAAGATCTCCCGTGCCGTTTTCGAGCCGCTTGCCAGTGATTATGCTGCTAGGGTCGAGGTACCCATCAAGACAGCTCTAGAAGCCGCCGGTCTTACTTTCGATGACATCGACTCTCTTATTGTCCACGGTGGTGCTTCGCGTACGCCCTTTGTTCAACAGCGTCTCGAGGCTCTTGTAGGGAAATCTAAGATCAAGGCTAACGTCAACTCGGATGAGGCCGCCGTGTTCGGTGCTGCCTTCAAAGCTGCGAGTCTCAGCCCATCCTTCCGCGTCAAAGAAATCCGGACTACCGACCTCCAGGGATACAACCACGGCATCAAGTACATGTTCAACATGAAGGATTTGGACCAGAAGATCTTCACGCCAAGCACTAAGATTGGCGCGACCAAGGATCTGCCCTTCCAGATGATGGGCGAATTCGAGTTTGATCTCTACCAGGCTGTTCCCGGCGCCCAGGGCGCTGTCAACAAGCCGAATGTCTTGAACTTCAAGAGTGGAAACCTGACTAGGGCAGTCACTAAGATGATTGATACCGATGGCTGTGACCGTGATTCCTTCAACAACTACGTTCAGGTTAGGCTGAGCCCAGTCACCGGTACCCCTGAAATTACTTCCGCATGGGTTACCTGCGAAACCATTGATGAGAGCAAAGGAGGCATCGTTGACGGAGTTAAGAACTTCTTCGGTATGGGTGACAAGAAAGACCAGGAGCCTTTGAAAGACGGCGAGAGTGCTTCTGAATCTTCCTCTTCCACGTCTTCTTCCAAAGCCTCCAAATCCTCTAAAGGTTCCAAATCATCGAGTGCGGCTGCAGCCGAGGCCTCAGAGGACGCGACACCCAAGAAGAAGCTGATCAGCTCCCCTATTACATTCACCGTGACTCAAAAGGGTTATGAGAAGCACCCCCGTAAGGAGTTCAAGAGAATGCAGGATCGGTGAGTCTCGTACATCTATTGTGTTCTTTCGTCCATTACTGACACTCACAGTCTCACCGCCTTTGATGACTCTGACAAATCTCGTCGTCTCCGTGAAGAGGTGCTCAACTCGCTTGAAGCATTCACCTACAAGTCTCGCGACTACCTCGAGGATGAGTCTTTCATTACCGCATCCACCGCTGATGCCCGTTCGACACTTGAGAAAAAGCTCAACGACATCTCTGACTGGATCTATTCCGATGGTCCCGATGCCTCTCAGAGCGTTCTCAAGGCAAAGCTCAAGGAGCTCGAAGATATTGTGAAGCCAGTTCTCAAGCGTAAATCCGAAGCTGTCGAGCGCCCTGAAGCTATCAAATCTTTCGAGTCCAATCTTGGCGATGTCAAGACCGCCATCGGCATGGTCAAGACCCAAATCGACGAGCAGAACGTAGCACTCTCCAAATCCTCCGAGGCAGCCAGCAAAGCCTCGGAAGCCAGCACCGAGACGCCATCCCCTTCTTCCGACCCTCTCGATGATCTAGACGAGGATGCCTCCTCGTCATCCGAATCCTCCGCCGCGCCCGAAGCCACCGAAGTCGCTATCATGTACACGGATGAAGACCTCAAAGTCGCCGAGGAATCCGCTGCAAAAGCCACCAAGTGGCTCGAAGAAAAGCAAGCCGCTCAAGGCAAACTCAAGGAGCACGAAGACCCCGTCCTCACCATCAAGGATCTCAAGGCCGAGACCGAGAAACTCAACCAGGTCCTTATGAACATCATGATGAAGAAGATGGCACACCTCAACTACCCCAAATCCGGAAAATCCAAATCTAGCAGCGGCAACAAGAAGAAGACCACTCCCCCCAAGAAGGACAAGAAAGCCAAGTCTGGTGCTAAGTCCGATGGCCCTACACAAGAAGAACTCGACGAGGCTCTCGAGAAAGCCGGGCTCAAGAAGGAAGGTATCAAGCTCCAATCCGGAGGCCCTAAGGGCGGACCCAAAGAAATCCTCGACAAGGATGGCAAGTTGCTGACGCAACTCGAGCTTGGGGAAGATGCTACTGAGGAGGAAATCATCGCAGCTATCAAGAAGACGACGGAGCAGGGGAGGCAGAAGCTTGAGGAGGAAAAGAAGGAGAAGGAGAAGGGTGGGCAGACTACGAGTATTAGAGATGAGTTGTAGATTTCGCTCTCGTCATTGCTTTGACATTGAGGTTGAGGGAGGATTCGGTGTTGAAATAGCGCAAGTATAGACGGGAACGAGAGTATCTGTGTGTGTAAAGGATGATGGGTAGATAAGTAGAGTCTGTGTTTTAGGAGAGGGGCTATGTGAAGAGCACAGCCTGACTTGTGTTGTGTGTGTATGTTCTTTTTATCAATTATGTATCGAGCGAAATGGAAACGAAATCAAACGAACTCATTTTATTTGAAGAATTATCGGAATCTAGATCAAACATGTCTATACTCCTCTACCTAACCCGTATGCGTCACCCTATTCTATCCTTTGATAGAGAAGGGAAAAAGTTTGAGAGATAGCATGACGCAGTCTTTTTTTTTTTTTTTGCAACTTGCGTATGATTCGAATTCTAACATATAATAGAACGATAAGGGGACGTAAAAAAGGGGGGGAGCATCAGACTTTTTGGTCGTTTTTCTATTCTTCTTCTTTTCTTAATCTACATGTTTAATCAAATCAAAGTCATACAAGACTTAGTACTTCTGCTACGTCTCTATTTCCTGGAGCTAGGTTTACCTTTCCTTACGTCTTACAGATAACATTTTATCTTCCCTGTCTTTGTCTATCTATCTACTTTTAGGGATATACTTTTCAAAGATATATCTGTGTCTGCAGTGGAGAATAGAAAATTACTATGTGATTTAGCTTTTTTTTTTCAAAAAAAAAAAAGGAGGAGGAGGAGGCTATTATACAATCAAAGGTAATGCAAGTATTCCGTTTCGATTTCTTTCAAAGAAGCAGTTCCTTGGGCGGGCTACAAGAGTATGAAGAAATATCTCTTAATATATCGTACATAGAATTGGACACCCTATGTGACGCGAGAAATACGTGCGACGGTTCTTCTTCTTGTTATTGTTGCAAGTAGAAACAATGTAGGTAGGTAGAAGTCTGTGTATTGCTAGACTTTTTATTAGAATGTCAGAGGTTAAAGTGAGATGGAAATCGTATGATTCAAACGTCGCCCAGTATCTTGTCTTTGATGCTTCAAGTAATAGTGAAATACGCTACTCGTTGGTAAGTCTTTGATGTGTTTGCTGTACCATGCCGTCCTGTAGTGTCTCATAGCTAGGCTCATGCATCGTGTATCTCCGCCACGATTATTTAGAGAAGAAGAAAGAAAGAAAACAGATTGTTCATGTGCAGTTGAGATCTGGTCGAGATCCTATAGAGATGGTTGTACTTACGGAATAATAAGTGAGCCCATGCGTACGTCTGTCTCCCCGCCGTCCATTCACCCTTCACCACCCTGCAAAACTAAGCCGGTATCTTACCAACAATAAAAATACTCTTGCCCGCACAAACCAACGACACGACTCAACCATCGTATTTGTCTGTTCCTAGCAGGAATATTCTCTTATGATTCCATCTCACTCACTCTCCACACCACACCACCCACCCCAAAAAATCTCCCCACCTCCTAAGTTTTAAGGAGGTAGGGGTTCATCAAGACAAAAAAGAATCTCTCCGACGGGGAATCGAACCCCGGTCTCCCGCGCTTGTTAATCCCGTTGGGACTTGACAAGCGGAAATCATGACCACTAGACCATCGAAGATGTTGAAGCGCCTTGTTGGAGGCGGATGATGTGGTTTTGATGAAATTTCGATTAACTTTTGTTCTTATAAAGCGGCGGAATGAGGGGGACAACGATACGTACATGCAGCATTCGCTAGAACAGAAGCATGGTGGGCTTTACTAGGGGGAAAGATGGAGCGGCGGGGGCATGGTGGGGGGATAGTGGAACATCGTTTCTCTTCTTTGCAGGCTAGCGTTAGTTGGGTATCCGTCATCATCAACATCTTTGTGGCATAATCGAGGGGAGAGGGTATTGAATAGAACTGTATATATCATGTAATTTTTTTTTACTTATAGGGAGACAGATGTTCTGTATAACTAAGGCAGCCAAACACAATTAAAGAGCAGAAGAACAGCTTATAACTTCCCATCTTATTTTCAGCGAGATATCTTCAATAGAGACTCTAAAGGATTGTATATTGGAATTTACATAGAGCTTAAAACAGTAGAACTTTTACATTTAAAGAAAAAGAGTTATATGTAAAGTTAATCTCTTGAATGCAATATAACAAGTACTATTTCATTTTATTGTGAACTAGGCATTTTGTTGCGTTGAATTAAGGATAGTTTTGACGTCGACAATTATGCATTAAACGTTACTTCTAGGATCATCTCATCATCATCACCATCGCCGCCAGAACAGAACTACAGACGATCCAACCATCGACTAACCTCAAACTAGAGGCTGCTCCAGTCGTGCTAGAAGACGAATCCGTAGATCCAGGTCCTTCGCTGCTGCCTGTCGGCGTCACTCCATTCGTCCTGGATGAACCGCCCGTTTGCGAATCCTCCGAGTCTCCCTCACCGGCCCCACTTTTCGAAGATGAGGTTGCTGTAGCTTGAGCTACATTCTTCGATCCGCCCGGCGATCCACCGGAACCGCTCGATGTAGGTGAAAGTGCGATAGCCGTTTTCGAGCCATCAGGGCCGGTGACGTAGATGTTCCCAGATGAGTCGGGCGTGGTGTCCCACGTGTAAGTTTTGCCATCGACAATCATCTGTCCGTTCGGAGCCAGGGAAATAGTGCGACCGTTGACGGTGATTGCCGGGCCGCCCACCTGCAGCGTTTGTCGTACTCCGCCCGCAATAACAGCAATGGTGCCATCTGGATTCAATATCATTGGGATATCGGCGACACGCACGGTGGAAGACTGTTGTTGCGAGATACTGTGCACTTGGCCATCCACGACTAGCTTGTCTCCAAACGGAGATACGAAGACGGTGTGTCCGTTGACGGAAATTTGGTTCTGCCCCGGTCGAACGGTTTGTTGGTTACCGTTTGGATCGGTGACGGAAATACTTCCATCCGGTTGGACCGTCACTGGTATTCCGTTGATGGTTGTTGGAGTTCCCACTGTCAGACCACTACGGCCTGAATCTGAATTCGTGCCTGTTGCTTGCGCTTCTGTTTCAACGGACTGAGTGGGGTCGATGTTGATGGGCTGAGGTGTTATGGTGGTGACGGGTCTGTTTCCACCGCCATTACCTCCTCCGGGATTGCTTCCACCAGGACTGCTGCCACCAGGATTGCTTCCACCACCGGGATTGCTTCCACCACCGGGATTGCTTCCACCGGGATTGCTTCCACCGGGATTGCTTCCACCGGGATTGCTTCCACCGGGATTGCTTCCACCGGGATTGCTTCCACCGGGATTGCTTCCACCGGGATTGCTGCCGCCAGGATTGGTAGGATTGTTGTTTGAGGGGTCTTGAGGTGGCGAGCCTGGGGTAGTTCCTGTACCCCCAGACGGATCAGCAGGAGAGTTGGAGCCTTGAGGGGGCGAGCCCGTAGGTGATCCCGTGTTCCCGCCAGGCTGATTGGAAGGCCCATTGTTAGGCGGGTTGTTATTGGGTGGACTGTTGTTGGGTGGGTTGTTTGGCGGATTAGAAGGCGAACCAGAAGGCGGGTCTGAAGGGGGATCAGCAGGTCGTGTGGGTTCAGCAGTATTTGGACCACTGCTAGGACCAGGTTGGCCATTTGTGGGTGTGCTACCCGGCGCAGGCGGGGAAACAGGCGTGGAAGTAAGGAAGTCGGGAATGGCAGTCAGTGCAATGGGCGGATCTTGGGTACCCTCAAAGTAGGGAACGCAATCAGCCCACTCTGGATCCAGGCCCCTGACTTGGGGTGGTACAGCCAAGTTGGGTTGGAAGAGAGTCTGCACGATGGAGTCACATCCACCCTGAAGATCGCACACTGACAAACAATTATAGGCACTGCTTGGCACAGGCCCCGACAGATCGGCGAAGTTCATCGGATGAGGTGTGGCAGCAACAACTAGCCCTGCCAAACCCATTTGCCACCCGCACATGGTGGATATATCGCGTGATTCGACTTCGACGTAAGCGTCTGTATATGTATTGCCAAAAGGCACTGATGTCTCTCCGATTCCACTTCTATAATCGCACCACCTATATGCGGAGACTGTGTTGTAACGCACGTAGGCTTTGTCGGCCCAGAAAGTGGTGCCGTTGACCACAGCGCTCTGATGAGGTTGAGAGTAAATACTTTGCGAGTAACTGTTGTAGCCTGGGCTGGTGTTGGCACACAAGTCGCTTGAGCTGCTGGGCGGAGGAAAGTAAAGCAGCTCAACACTCTTTGCTCGTATGGTGCACTGCCTGGTCTTTGCGCATAGCTCTAGATCCGGCGTACTTGGTAGACCGTCGTCGCAACTGGGACCAAAAGGTTTTTGGGTTGTTTCCCAGACATTGAACGTGAAGGTCACTTGTTGCCCAGGAGCAATGGCTGTTTCTCCGATATAGTTGAATGCATCGCCGATGTACCAGGCACTGCCGGCATGGCCGTCCCGGGGTAGATATGTACTACTCAAGATGGGCAAAGGTGGCAGCTGACCTGGTGCTGCAGTGATCAATGGCGTGGACTGGCCGTTGACGACCACGGCTGTGGGCGTCGCAGGCACAGAGATTGTCAAAATGTTCTTGGATGACCAGGTCGACAAGCTGCCCAGCAATGTAGTGGCAAACATGTTCCAAATGTTGGTGCACTCCGAGGTACCGTTGACCTTGCAGGACGGCGCACTCCCCCGTGGATATGGATTGGGTTCCGTCACGCGCCCTCTGCTCAGACGGGTACGGACAGTGCTTGTCACGATGGGGGTCGGCAATGTAATGACTTGAAGTTTGGATGCCTCTTCCGCGTCTGTGAAGCGTGGTAGGCCATCGCAATAGGTGGTCCAACTGAGATTACCTACGCTGGCGTTTCCGGTCACGGTTGGCAGAGGAGGGTAGCCAGTTGCGATTGTGAACGTGGAGGTAGAAACTATCCACGAGGTTTCTTGGTGGGAACGATCCCATTCATCTGAAGCCAGCGAGTAGGACCAGGAGTAAGACCAGCACTCGGTTGCATTGTTGAGATCTGGAGCTCGAGTGGTATTGGAGCTGGCGAGGCGGAGAGACGGCGACGATGTGATGTTTGCAGCATTGGAGGTCAAGGGCAGTGTGGCATTGATAGTAGTAGCAGGTTGTAGTGCACTAGATGCCGTCGAGTTCCTGAACAGAGGTGCTTCGGTCGGCCTTGAACCCTGCATGTCTCCGGTGCCGGTGCCGGTGCCGGTCCTCAACGGCGCTGTCAACGCCAACGATGCCACAATGAAGTCCATCCTGCATGTGTGTACCGAGTAGTGCAGTGTAGCAGCCACGCAGCATTGCTCGAAATTCCGTGCAGCATTCAGCAAGATAAGTCACCTTGGGCATTCAGCCCCCAATGGGCAACGGCAAGGCTGGGCCGAGATCAGCAAATGGGTGGGTGAAGCTTGTCCGGAAAGGGTGAATAAAACGATTTTTTTTTAATATCAAGCAAAAGGTAATTGAAATAGACTAGGCGTACCACGTGAATCGACCAATGTTGGGATAGAGGGAGGTGCAAAGGCTGCCAGCCAAGAGTTGCCAATAGGGCTGATGGGCTGATGGCCAATTACACGCCAATTCCACGCTGACAGGTGCGAGCAACCAACTTTGCAACTCTGGGCAACCATCCTTCATGGGAGTTGAACCTCATCTTCACCAATCCTCTGCTGTCCACCCTGGGCAGAAATGGCCCCTTGCTGTCGACGCGCGGGCCAATCGGGCCATTTCGAGCAGCTGCCTCGGTACGCAATAGCTATAAGCAGTCCACCGCCTCGATCGCCTATCATTGGCGAAGTCTCCTATTGCTACTGCTGCTGGTGAACGGAATGGCAGTGAATCGCGCCGCGTGGTGCGTCGCGTTGGTGTTCTGTACGCTGCCGCCTGCCCTACACGCTGCTGGCAAGCCGTTGAGTATCCCTCCAAGCCAAAACTGGGAGGGCAAAGACGGGCCCTGGAGCACATTTCGCGCCGAAGTGGGTACCCCATCGCAACAGATTCGCCTACTTCCTGCCCATGACCAATCTTCAACATGGACCATTCTGTCCGAGGCATGTGCTGCCAATGACGGTGAGTGCGGCGAGTCACGCGGTCGAATCTTTCACCGTGATGATTCTACCACTTGGGAGAAGTTTGGAACCTACGACACCAAACCAGTGCTCGAAGAAAGAGTCGGCTTAAAGGCCCCGGGCCTGTTTGGATGGGACGACCTCACTCTGGGCTGGGTTGGCGACAACCTACCCACTATCAAGAACCAGAGCGTTGTGGGAATCACGTCCAATGATTTCTGGATTGGGTCACTGCCGCTGAATCCACGGCCCATCAATTTTACAAACTACAATAATCCCATTCCCAGTCTCATGGAGAACCTGTGGAAGAAGACTGAGGACCCAATCCCTAGCCTCAGTTGGTCCTACACAGCAGGTGCATATAACCTGGCTCCCAAAGTCCTCGGCAGCTTGGTCTTGGGTGGCTACGACACCACCCGATTCCGCCCAAACTCAATATCCTTCCCCTTTGGCCAAGACCAGTCACTCGACTTCCAGGTTGCCATCCAGAGCATCACATCCAGCATGGAGAGTGCATCCCTTCTCGACCGCAAAGATGCCATCATCGCCTACATCAGCACCATGGTGGCCGATATCTGGCTTCCAATTAATGTCTGCGAGAAGTTTGAGAAAGCTTTCGGTCTCACTTGGGACAGCAAAGCTGAGCTCTATCTGATGAATTCGAGCTTACACCAGTCCCTTTTGGCCAAAGACCCTACAGTACGCTTCACCGTTGGTCCAGAGACCTCAGGCGGCGCTGTGACGATTGAAATGCCATATTGGAACTTCTACCACACATCAAAAGTCAATGCGACCAGCTCCTCGACGGACCAGATGTACTTCCCTCTTAAACGCGCCGCAAATGACACTCAGTATATTCTTGGTCGAACTTTTCTTCAAAGTGTTCACATGTCCGTCGATTACCACCGCCAATCTTTCAACCTGTCCCAGGCTCTCTACCCGTCATCTTCAACCGAGCAGGTCATAGTCGCCGTCGACCCCCCTCCCGGACAAGAAACCCCAGGCGCTGGTGCGGATGGCGGCCCTGCCGACGGCGGTGACAGGAGCCTTCAACCCAGTTCGGGCGGTCTGAGTACTGGCGCTATCGCAGGAATCGCTGTTGGTATTGCCATTGTGGCAGGGGTGCTCGCCGCCGTGGTTTTCATGATGTACCGCCGCCGCCGCCAAAGCAAGGCGCCTGCCAAATCGTCAGAACCCAGTGTTCAAGACCATCTACAACACGAGGTATCCGGCGAACAACTGAAGGTGGAAGCAGGCGATGGTCATTTTCACGAAGTTGCGGGTGACACGAGCTTCATGCCAGAACTCGGCGCTCACGATAAATACAACAAACTGGCCGAAGCAGAGGGCAACGCATATCGCATCCATGAAATGCCTGGAGATAATACCAATCCCGCTGAGATGTCTGACCATGGGAGGAAACTTGCTGAAATGTCTGGTGAAACTCGGAAGATCTCCGAAATGCCCGGGGATACTAGGAAGCCAGCAGAAATGTCAGCAGATGCGCCACAGACGGATCAAAAGCACTACCCAGACTTTCACGGTTCCTGAGAAAAATCAGGTGCTGGATGCAATTGGACCCAAACCATGACATGGCTAAGGTACTGGCCGAGAAGAAGCTCAGCTGCGATGGCTACAGGGACGCGCAAATCACGGGCCACAGGAAGACTGGAAACAGCTTTGATATCAGCACAATGTACACGCAGGGCACGCGCAATAGAACATCCTATTCAGCGTATGGACGAGTGCCTTTCAAAGATTACAAGACTCAGGACCCACGATCGCATTGATCTATAGAAGAGTAGCATGGAGAGAGGGTGCTGCAGACACTTGCGTGCGATGCAGCAGCTTCAGAAGGAGTTGCATCCATCTGCCCACGCCTCACTCTCAAAAAAAAAAAAAAAAAAAAAAAGTTCAAACTCAACCCAATACTTCGAGTCTCCATCCATTCTTTTGCGGTGACAAAAAACTAATCACGGTAAACGTGGTAGAAACTACTCTAATCCGTGTAAAGCCCCCAACTCAACCTCCTCCCGTCGCATTGCCCTATGCTCCCCTCGTTGAGTGGAGGCTCGATCTTACCATCCTGGTGTTTGTTGTTGCACAGCCTTAGATGCGCACTGCGCGAAATGGAACAGATAATATGGCCTCGTTTGCGCTCCGAGAAGTCGCCTTGAATCGCGTCACCCAAGGGGGAGTTAATGTCGTTGATCCTTACATGCGTCGATACACGCTTTAAAGGTCGCGTCGGCGCGTTTAAATGGTTCGACGGCTATGGCGTTTTAGCCCTCTTAGGCTGAGGCGACGGTCGTAACGTGGGAGAGCTTTGTAGTTGCCCTGCTTACAGAACCACGGACCACAAGTTAGTCTCTAAAGGGCTATTTATTCGAAGGTCGTTTAAGCAATGACAGCGGAATATATTTTTTTTGTTGGGGAAAGCGTTCAGCTCAAACTTCACATACTCCTGATATCCAAATATGCGAGCAGACTTCGAATGGAGACCTGTACGTCCCAACAGATTGTCACCACTCTAACAGGTTCACACTAAACCAACCCAACTTAACTACATATGTACCGACTGGACAGCACGTTTCTCTCTCTTTACCTACGCGCGCATTGCGTTCTCTCTCAAACACACACATACCCCTACTCATCAAAAGCAACATGCCACATCCCTCAACCAAGACACCAGCAAGATTCTACATTAAATGTCTCGACAGAACAATTACAGAAATCCAATACTTATAGTAGAATCGGTCCCGTACTCAAAAATCGTCGAGATGGTTCGTTCTCGTCTATTGGAAAAAACAACCTAGGTAGTTTTTCCATCCAGCTCAAAGTCCGTCTATGTAGTGGGAGACTGGGGACTGAGCGAGGCACAAGACTGGTATTTCATATGTGTATATAATAGGTGTTTATGTGTGTGTGTGTGCGCGCGCTTTGGGTATGTTTTTTATACTTGATGAAGGGGGGATGGGTAAGGGAGGTGTTGAATATGAGGAGCTCCAGAAGGGAGGCGGTTCTAGCAGCAAAAGCCAATATTGGTCAAGCAACAGCTCTCTTAGAAACATAATGAGAAGCGATGGCAATAATGATGGTCACTGCGATGGCAGACATGCGAATGTCGGGCATGTTAACGCGCTGTAGAGTGTCACTGAGACGATGTCTTCTCTGCGACGAGTTTTTTCTTGTGAAGCGAGAGAGTATGATTAGTCATCTGCCAAGCTAGACTAAGCCTGAATCTGCACTAGCTCATTACTCTTGCTATGTCTCAATCACCGTTTGAAGCGCGTGAACGTGAAGTGTGAGTTACCGGATGAGTCGATCTGTTAGTTGTGATATCGGATAAACATGCTTGAACACAAAAAATTCAGACACAAAACGCGATGTAGTTTCCTTGATTAACTACCGTTATGGATACCGAGATACCTTATTCAAGATCGACATTGGAGACTTAGAAAAATATAATCATATACGAAAGCAGCGAACCAGCAGACAAGATTGAAACTACTCCAAAAGACATCGTCCTCGCAGCCAGAAACGCTAGAGTTCCAAAGACAGAATATACAATCGCTTCTTGACCGCAACACCAACGTAGAGACCACCGGCCTCGAAATACAGATATGACGCCAATTCCCTCCAATAGAGTGTGTTGTATGGGTGGCAGCACAACTGCCTTCTGTCACCCACAGGAAAAGAAAATGTGTGTACATGGGCACTGCCATTTCGTACTAACCCCGACCCGAGACCAGAATTCAAAGTACCCTTCCCAATACCGGTACCGATTTTCATGATAAGACATAGGAGAAGATATGCAGGAGAGATTGGGTATAGTTGTTACTCTTGGGTCAATGAAAGCCCAGCGGATTGAGACCGTAATGATGATAATGATGAAAAATAAGAGAAGTAGAAAGGGGAGAGTGATCGGATATGGATGCGCTTGGAGAGATAGCTAGGCGAAGAAGAGAGTATGTTTCATTTTGTTTTATTCTTCCTCTCAATTTCTCGGCCGGCCCCTGCGTGTCTCCGTGTCTGCACGCACCCTTATCCGCGGTGTTTCAGGCGCAGGCGAGTCTCGCACGGCGGCGTCATAGGTAGGAATAGGTGGTTCATTTTGCTGCTGTGCGTTTTGCAACAGTGGGACATTGTCTTCCCAGAACCCAAATTCATGGCTCGCAGTTCGACTGAGATTGGGAGAGCCCTGAGGACTCGTGTACTCGGGCGGAAGTTCACCAGGTTGGAGGAAGCCGAGGCCGTGGGCTCGATCTTGTGTCTGTGATGACGATGCATCTGCGCTGGTACCTTCTCCAGCATCATCGCCGTCATGGGAGTCAACGATGCTAAATGCTGCAAGGGAAATGTCGGTTGGACTTCTTTGTGGTCCTGGGCTCGTAGGTTGGTTTCGCCCCAGGCGCACTTGTTGGCTGTTTGATCTTCCATGACCATATCCATGGGACATGTAGTTTCCACCCATTCCCTCGCGAACACCTGCACGACCGCTGTCCAAGAGGATTGATCCCTGTTCACTTCCATAGGGCGGTGGAGGCGCCAGACTCCCAGTCATAGGTGCCAATCCCCACTTCTTTACGTTCGCCTCGATGAACACGAAGCCTGACTGGCCAAAGTTGACGTGAACCTGGCAGGGACCGTTGGATCCAACAGTAGGGAAGAAGTTCTGTGTCTTCATTCCGTGCACCACGTCATCCAACTTCTTGCCGTTGCGTGTGTAGAAAATGGTTCCCGTCCGAGGCCTGTATCCGACGCCAATGACATCTCCCTGCACATATGCAGGTCCATAGACCACGGGTGTAAAAGGCTGGTTGTGTCGACGCGCGCCATAGGACATGTACGATACGGAAGATTTGTGGAAGCCTATTGCGAATCAGTTATATCCAAACGTACAGTTCTGATATACACCCACCTGGTAGTCTGAAAAGAGGATACGGTTTAGTAGTCAGTCCAATTGCAATATCTGTATTTTCCGGTTTTTCGTATATTTTAGCTTCCCAGTAATAAACCTCGTTTTGCTTGGGTATAGGCAGGTTGCTCTGTACGCTGCAGACGGAGTCGAAGAACTCAATTTCAGTACGACCCTCGACAAAGCAGTTTGCGATCTCGAGTTCGGGCTCGAATTCCCAAGCTGACACACCCTTTTCTTGTATTGCCAGAAACTGCGACAGCGAGATGTCAGTTTGCACGGACTCGGGAGGGTTTGCCTGGATGAAAGCTGCAACACGTCAGCACATCGCTCTATAGTCATGTCGCGCAACCAAGTTTGCGACTATGGCGTGGCAAGCCTGCGATCCTACCTTTAGCCCGCAGATACTCCGTCCTTTCTATATCATCCATGTCTTCCAGCGCCTCTGCTTCCTCCTTTGCAAACTGCTGTTCATCATCGTATTCTCCAGGTCTCGTCAGACGATCTAAGAATATGCGGCCCTGCTGCGTATATCGAAAGTAGTAGACGATGGCGGCTACAATGAGGATAAATCCCGCAGCGGCCAGGACGGAGAAGATGCCGATCATGATGCCCTTGGCGGTGGAACTGAAATTATCATAGCCGGATATTTGCGCAGAAACATGTTGGGTGTGCTGTGTGTCTTGGGCGGATTGAATAGCGATACTGGGTGGCGCTGAAGAAGGCGCGTGGTCGTGTGCGATGTACATCCTGGAGAAGGTGGTTGGCGGCGAGGACTTCCACCGGCCGCCCCGGCTACGATAAGCCATGGGGTGGGTGTATGTGTGCCGGATCGACGGCGGACGAAGAGCGGGAAGGCAACGAGGAGTGAAGTGAAGAGCGCTCGAAGACCAGGCCTGGCGACAGTCTCGTGCACACGCCAGGCAGTGACGGGGAAGAAGGCCAGCGGGGAGCGGGTGGATGAAGTCGGGCGTTGGTGACGTACGCGATGGGTGGTTGAGGAAGAAGCGGGAAGACGGTATAACGATGTTGGCAGCGGCGGCCGGGAAGGAGTCGGAGTGAGGAAGAAGTGCACGAGTTGGAGCGGGGGGTGTATCGGAGAGGCGTGCGGGTCAGGAGGGAGGAGTGGGTTGTGAAGTTGTCGACCAGCAGACTGACTGATTGATGAGTGAGAGAGTCTGAGACATGGAACCGCCAAGCGAGACCAAACCACCTTGCCTCGCCACCTCCGCTTGCGACGATGGGATGTCCTCACTCTATGCGCTTCCCGACACTACTCCCTCGAGTGGAGCATCTATCCGAGCAAGAAGCCTGTTCACCAGCCGTCTTTTCCGGCCCATGCGCCGACTGTTACTTTAGTTGCCGCTACTTTGTTGCTCTCGTAGCTACTGATGCATTGCAAATGTCATCCTCCTCTGTACACTATTATTACATGGCCCTGTAGTATAGGTGCCTGTGAGATGACGGATTCGCAGCAGGCAGGTAAGACGGCAACGTCTAGCAAGGCCCGACACCCGATGCATTCAATCAGCCTATCTTACTACTCCTTCTTGCATGTACCTCTACGTGGTCAGCCTTTGCTTTGTCTCTGTCGGGGACATGTTGGAAGGAATATGCCAGCACATCTGCCCCCACATGCATCTTTCATCTCTCATCGCCAATCGTCTACCGCGCGGTCCACCTCGCAGTCCATCTATTGACTTCATTCCAACCACAATAGCAGACGCGCGGTACGAACTTTGCACCATTGCAAAAATAAATCGATATTGATACATACCTAGCGAGGTACAAACTCTGGCGAATTCATCTCGTCGAGCTCCGCGTCCAATCGGTTTCGTCTCCATACATTAGCCATCGCACCTTGAGGCGGTTGCGCCAAAGATGAAACACAGGAGCTGAAGGGGGCATGCACATCATTGGCAGAACCCCCATTTCCACAATCCATGTCTATGAATAGAACATGCATCTTGCCCTTGCTTACATGTACTCATGTACTGTGTATACAGATATTTTCCTGTCGTGCCCTAATCTTGCTACCTTCTGTCACCATCTTGTCTTGTCGCTGTTCTCAGCCTTCCATCGGGACCGTCATCACAGCTGCGTGTGGGATGGAGGCACCTACATCCAGATACACACATATCTGCTCCGTTACACGCATACAGTCTGGCTTGTGTGCTAGTGCTGTCAAGCCCATCTTTTGTCCTTTTTGACATGCTGCACGTAGCAGTCCGGCACAACGCGGTGCTACAAGACTAGCTAACTAGTCAGTGCGAACGAGACGTTCAACGCCTCCTCCCATCGTTCCCAGAGCTAACCGTTGCTTGGGTCTGGAAGGCCTTCAAAAACATCTAAAGTCGTTTACGCGCCATACTTTATTGTCCTTGAAGCCGGCCAAGAGCTCGGTTTACCTACCCTTCACGACCTATACGCACCATTCGAAGACGTGCCCACTCGCGTGGGAGTGGCGGTTGACTATAATACTGAAGACAAAACTCTCGCTATCTTTTCAGCCTGAAGGAATCTGCTTGCGTTCAGATGGAGTATCGCGAGGTACTGTCAGAGTGGCAGAACACCATGCCACCTGGATAATGCAGCCAATCTCACACCGTTTACGACGGCAGTTTGATTTCCATTCGATTTGTTCGGCAAACGGTTTCGAGGATGGCACACGCTTCAAGTGAATTCCTTTCCTTCACTAGGCTTTGTGCATGGTTCTGCGATAGTCTCATCGACCCACATCGACGCCAGGAGCTTTCCCGAGAGATCAAGCAACCAATCTTGCTGGTCGCTAAGTATCTAATGAAATCCAGACACTCCATTCTCTTTCGAATCCGATGTCCAGTACTCGATATTCGTATACATGTGGGAATCTACCAATTACTGGTATCAAGGAAATGCCGGTCACTATTTTGAACAGTCGATAAAAAAGCTGCATTGGGATGCCCCAACGAGGATGAAATGGCCGGTACACTAGCACATGCAACCCCAGCACATGTATACATATGTCGGTAGGTGAGAAACCTCACGACTTGTATAATCACATGGAGGGGACTGCACATGTGGTTCAATGTTTCCAGGTAGCAATCACGTTGTGTCTGCCATATGGAGTACGAGGTTGGTTCAACATGGCCATGGGAATGTGCTCGAATCGGATTTGATGCGCCACGTCTAGAGTATGGATGCTCAATATTTGACAATAGTTTGAATGCTCCATTGAAGGTTGCATGTGTACATCGAGGGTCAGTATCACGTGACCTGTGACATGGAATCGACCGAAATGCATCACATTACCCTGGACAAACACAGCGAGGCGCACAAACTCGGGGATATGGGAGCAGAGTAGTACGAGCTGACATGGCCTTGGGGTATAAGCACATGTGCAACGCAGATCAATGCATGTATCGACATGTGCTTGAATGGGCGGGCTTTGTCTCGATGCAACATTTGAACATATGAATGAATTGAAATGCTCGGTCGAGTCAATCTCGCGTGGCTTCGCCCTGAATTATCGATAAGAGGCGGCGGCCAGCAGAGAGCGAGCAGAAAGATTTGTTATGTTTCAATGTTTGCATGCACACGGTCCTTCTGCCTTGTCTTGTGTCTTGTCTTGTTTGCTTGTCTCGAATAACCTGGGTGGCCAATTCGCCCTGCTCTTCTCGCTTGCATATATACACACACTTCTCTACTTACCTACCTAACCAGGTAAACACACCTGCATTGGACCCAGCAACGGCCCTATTACCCACCCAGCTCTACATACCATTATTCTCTTCCTCTTGGAAGACGATTAATATCCATATATACTTGATACCACCACATCCTCCATTGCCCTGCCTGGCTGTCTCTAGCGGCGACGACTCCTCCTTTGATTTGCCTGCCTGGCCGACTGACTGACTTGACTGACTTGACTGAGCGACTGCGCCTAGCCGTTGGTTGCCCCGCGCCCACCTCTGCAGCAGCAAACTTGCGGCGGCGCTCCACCTCCAAAATTTGATCCCACGCACTTTTGTATCACTGCGGCGGAAAAAAAATGTTCGAGCTCCTCTAAGACCACCCGACATCTCCAGTCGGTACGTATGTAACCTCTCCTGCCGCCTGCCAGCCATCCCCTCCCATCCCATCCCCTGCCTCGCAGCTTTTGCTTGCTTTGCTCTGATCTGCCCCACTCCCAACCCACCACCATTTGCTACACTGGCCATCGCTACCTATCGACTGACAATGCATCCCGCTGCCAGACCCAGCTTGAGCCTTGAGCCTCTGCTACTCCCGCATTCTCCTCCTCCTCTTCCTCCTCCTTGACCATCCTCCTCCTTCCCCTGCTACTTCGCTTCCTGAATTGCCACATAGCGCTGCCTCTGCGCGTCGTCATCCTGTCTTCCCCACAGCTCTCGCACTTTTCCAACCTCCTCCTCAACCTCCAGAGCGAACATCGCCCTCCCCGCGCCGCCCCCCGCCATATACCCCACCTGCAGTCCGTCATGTCGTGGGAGCCTCAAGAAGAACCCTTGCGGCAGCTTGTCCAGTGTCTGCGGGACACCGTCGGTGCCCGCGACCAGGCCACCCGCGCAAATGCTGAAACGGTACGTTTGTCTCTTTGCGCAATAGCCCTCCGCCATCACTGACTTTTCCAAAATGATTAGATGCTCAAATCCGCCAGGGCCTCTCCTGACATTGACAAATATCTAGCCTATGTTTTCGTCAACAGCCAAACACCGCCCGCCCTCAATGTTGACCAGCAAGGCTACGATCAGGCTCGCGCTGCCGCTGCTACCATGCTCAAAAACGATATCAAATTGACCTACAAACAAATGCCCGACGACTCTAGGACCTACATTCGATCCGTTATTATCCTTGGATTACAGGACTCTTCCTCCCAAATGCGAGGCTTTGCTGGAAACGTCATAACTGAAATCGTACGGCAGGGCGGCATAATGGGCTGGCCCCAGGTTCTTTCGGACCTAGCTGGCATGGTTAGCAACACAGACGGGAACACCAGTCAGCAGGCCCAACAGGGTAGCATGGGTGCGCTTCTCAAGATTTGCGAGGACAACAGGAGGGCCCTCGACAGAGAATACCAGGGCCAGCGACCTCTAGCCTTTCTATTCCCAAAACTTTTGGAATTCACCACTAGCCAATTACCCAAAGTGCGCTCAGATGCATTGGCTGCCATCAACATATTCATACCAGACAAATCACAGGCGGTCGCGTCCAACATAGACCCTCTGCTGCTCCAACTCTTCCAACTAGCCGGAGACCCAAGCGATGAAGTGCGCAAGCATGTCTGTCGTTCCTTCGTTCACATAGCCGACCTGGCCCCGGAGAAAATTGTGCCTCATATGCAAGGTCTGGTCGATTACATGGTGACACAGCAGCGGAACGTGGAGAACACCGATCTCGCTTTGGACGCCGCTGAATTCTGGTTGTGCGTGGGTGAAAATGAGAATATGCGACAGCACCTGGGACCTCATCTCGCCAAGATCGTGCCCGTTCTGCTAGAGAGTATGGTCTACTGTGAGGATGATATATTGCGTCTGGAAGGAGAAAAGGAGGACGCCGAACTCGAGGACCGGGAGCAAGATATCAAACCCACTTTTGCCACGAGCAAATCCGCTAGGCTGACAGGCAATGCAAACGGAACTGAGGCACCGAACGCCAATGGCGGCAACGGCGCCAACCCAGAGGATGACCTAAGCGACGGTGAAATCGAAGATTGGGATGATGATGACTCAATAGGCGACGACCCAGAAGACCAGTGGAATCTGAGAAAGTGTTCTGCTGCTGCGTTAGACGTTCTTGCTTCCGTTTTCCACGAGCCGGTATTCCAAGCTACCTTGCCGTACTTGACAGACAACCTCAATCATGCCGAGTGGCCCAATCGAGAGGCGGCTGTCCTCGCCCTCGGGGCCATCGCCGATGGCTGCATGCCTGCAGTTGAGCCCCATCTGCCCATGTTGACACCTTACATGATCTCACTTCTCAGCGACACAGAACCTGTTGTCCGCCAAATAACTTGCTGGTCGCTGGGCCGGTACTCGGGATGGGCATCTCAACTAGATGCGAATGGTCAGCAGCAGTTCTTTGTGCCCATGATGGATGGTATATTGCAGAGGATGTTGGACAACAACAAGAAAGTGCAAGAGGCCGCTGCCTCTGCATTTGCCAATTTGGAAGAGAAGGCCAACAAGCATTTAGTCGGGTACTGCGCCATCATTGTCCGACAGTTCGTCCAGTGCTTTGCCAAATACAAAGACCGGAACATGTACATATTGTACGACTGCGTCCAGACACTGGCTGAACATGTGGGCCCCGCACTTGCCGAGGATGAACTCGTTGGCATGCTCATGCCCGCACTCATACAACGATGGAACAAGGTCTCGGACCAGTCGAAAGAGATGTTCCCTCTGCTCGAGTGTCTGTCCTACGTCGCTACTGCGTTGGGTCCTCACTTCGAACGCTATGCGCCAGGCATATTCACACGATGTGTCCTCATCGTACACCGCAACCTTGAAGAAACTGTGCTGGCTGGCGAGAACCCAGGTGTGGATATTCCGGACAAAGACTTCCAAGTCACTAGCTTGGATCTGATCAGTGCCATCATTCAGGCCATCAGCCTACCTGCCAGTGCAGAACTAGTTGGCAGAGCACAACGGTTCTTCGAGTTGCTGGCTTTCTGCATGAAGGATCCAAGCAACGATGTTCGACAGTCAGCCTATGCGCTCCTAGGTGACTGTGCCATCTACGTTTTTGACCAGCTGCAGCCCTGCCTTCCCGAAATCTTTGAGATTCTCATATCGCAACTTGAACTCTCACAGGTCATGCTCGATGGCGAGGAGACGGGCTATTCTGTCATTAATAATGCTTGTTGGTCAGTAGGAGAGATTGCTATGCGGCACAAGGATGGGATGCAACCATACGTGGAGCGTTTGGTCCAAAAAATTGGCACAATACTGTTTAACGACAAAGTTCCCGAGTCTCTCAACGAAAACGCCGCCATTGCGCTCGGGAGACTAGGCATGGGCTGTTCGCAATACCTAGCGCCCCATCTCGCGCAGATCGCACCCCCCTTCCTTCAAACCATCAAGCACGTCATGTGGACGGACGAGAAAGGCCACGCTTTAACGGGCTTCATGCACATCATTCTCGCAAACCCTTCCGCAATGGAACAGAGTCTCCTGGAATTCTTCAACGAGATGTCCGACGCCAACGTTAGCCTCGTCAAAGGACCCTCTGCCGATCACAAAGCCCTCCGCGACACATTCCAACAGGTAAGTCGAGCCTCATATGCGAGTCTGTGCGGTAATCCAAGAACATCGCCGACTAACACGTTCAATAGGTTATCGAACAGTACAAGGGTATGATACCCGACTTCGACGGCTTCCTGCAAAACCTTCCCCAACGTGGCAAGTTCCAAGCGCTGTATGGTGTCTGAATACGATGACCCTCATTTTTGTTCTCGCTTCTCGGCTGCCGTCGTTGCCACCATCTTCGTCGATCGCTTCCATCTCCCCTTTCTCAATCAGGCATCGATCAACGACCATCACGGAGCGACTCAACCGAGCAAAACAAAAAAAGAAACACCATCAACCAGAGAACTCAATATTCATGCTTGGATATTTTCGGTGGTGATTCACATATGTTTTTTTCTTTCTTTTTCCTTCTTTGTCGATTACCGGAAACGATCCCATGAGAGAGAGAGAAATGTCGTACATGAACGGAGGAATGGACGGTGGACGGTCAAAGGGGGCATGTGTGATATTTTATCCCCCAAAGTTCCTATAATGGTATTCTCCCTGAACGCGAAACAAGAAAAAAAGAGATTTCATGATGTTTATGTTCGAATGGGGAAGCAAGGAGGTGTATATCTGTGAAAGTAGTAGTGGCAATGACTGCCTGAATGACTACCAAAGGATTGCAAATTAGATAGCCAGCGTTTTCTTCTTCTTGGTGTTGACAGAGAGAAGGTGGGGGGGAGAGAGAGAAAGGTGGAGCCACTGTAGTGTTGCAAATGACATGTCAAAATCACAATTCAAGGTACCCGCGTGTTCAAATTGACGTTCTGATGAAGAGTAGCTGTGTGTTACTAAATTTTATCGAGTTGTGTTCATGTGTGTACATGGTCATGTTTTATGGAAAACGTGCATTCCAAGGCTCTCATCTACCAGCTTACTTCACCCCTCTCTTTCCTGCTGCTGCCATATTTTTAGGGTCCTATTGTTTTTTATTCCATTTGCTTGTATTCATGAGATGCGGTGACACGACGTATGAACACAACGCGGGCGTAGGTTCTAGGAAATGGGGTGTATGTAAGAGAATATAGAGTTTCGTCTTTTGTAATTTCGTTACTTTTTGCATGATAGGTAGGTACCTAGCCCCTACTCCCCTACTCCCCCTTCTTCTTCTCCTGTTCTCCCCTCATCACATTTGAGTATCATGCATTAATTGTCCAATTTTTTTTTTCGAGTCTGTTTGTGTGTGTGTGTGTGTGTCCCATGTTTTGTTTACTGCGCTGTGCTGTGCGAGACCCCATTGATCGATCGCTGTGGAGTCGAGTCTTCAACAAAAACTCACGCCGTAAACAGCGGTAGGAATTAGTGTTTTGTATGTTATTTCCACATTTCTATCAAAGAAAGATATCTTTCTTCTTAAGAGAGAGAGAGAGAGAGAGGAAGAGGAAGGGGGGACGTCAGCGTCTTTTCAACTTGCTTGCCATTTACTCTTCACTCCGACAGGAAGGCTTTTCTAATCTTTACGATGAAGCTTTACATGTCTATCATTCTACCCATCCAAACCAGCGACTACAGATATCCATGAGCCACGAAATTAACATAATGAAGAATCCCCTGCAACACTGCACCATACTATACACTATACCTCTATCCATCTCCCCACCCTACCTCGGTTCAAATGAAATTCTATACCCCGGGTTTCTATATCTATTCTACGCACCGAGTGAGATAAGGATATCCAGAAATAAGGTCGACTGCACTCTATACTTGTCCACTCTGTCTGTCGTTCTATCGGTTGGTTTGCATAAATAGATATTTTTCGTCAAGGTAAATCAGGTTTTTGTATGTACATACATATGTATGGGTGCGTATGGGCGTGTGTTAGATGCGGATGTCTATTTCTGTTGAATCGGTGACATGGGGATTGAGGGAGCTGAGACAGGTCGGGTTGGGGGAGCAAGGGGGTCAGGACGATAGGGAAGGGTTGTATATATTTATAGATCACAATATGGTGTAGTGAAGGATAAGAATAGTGTAGAGAGAAGTATGATACCAGTAAAATATCTGCATTTTGTTCAGTTCTGGATACTATCAGCGTGTCTGAACTTTCTGTCCACAATTGGAGCAAAGGTATAGATTTCCTAGTACAGGAAAGATTACTTGATGTTTTTGCACTACGACGAGGAGGAAATACATCAAGCAGAGTCAAAGGAGGGAGAATGAATGAATTTGAGTACCTGCTGAAGAACACTGATATCCAGATGCAGCTTGTCAGCTTTGTTCTAGATGAAACTCGGGTCCTTTTTTCAGCTCCGTGTGTCTTGGTAGAAATCTTACTGCCCCGTCATCTTTCAGCGTTCTCACTAGACGTTGCGGTGCCAGGATCATCTATTGTTTTTTTCCACTTCGATTCATCCATTCAGCTCTGGAGCTGAAAACTCAGTCAAAGCTGGGTCCGTGAACTTTTTGTTTTGCAAACGTGCTTGCGGCATCGGCTCTTGCTAAATTTTCCACTTGCTATGGATGCTCATAGATAACACGGCACGATATGGTTGTGTTACATAATTGTTCAAAGATTGCAAGTGCAGGGCTGCATTCTGGTTTGAATTAGGAAAGTCGCTGTAGATGTGGGATGAATACATATTTCGGCAATTAAGTAGGCACTTAAGGAGGTAGTCTAGCTTCATGTCCATGTTCATCTGTCTATCAGTTGAGTGGTTCAAGTATGCAATGCACATGCAAATGCACAAGTGTTCCAGTCGCCGTCCACTACGGGAAACAGAGAAACGAGACTATGTCGGTTAACAGGGAGAAAGCAGAGGATTAGTCTTTCAAGCATACGACTGCATGTCAAAGTGGGTGTTGGGTTGAACCGCGACGTGGAAAAGAGACTGATCAGCAGTAACACCACAGGGTCAAAGATCTAGTTGGTTGATTATTTCGCCCCAAGCAAAACCTTCGGAGTCAGTTCCGTTCCTATATTTATCGTTCAGGGCAAGCAGGTTCAGGCAGTCAGTCAGCATGGGATATGATAGGAACGATATAGCATGCATGCGACACGCCGATTCCCATCCCCCCCAAGTCAAGTCAAGTTCGGTTCGGTTACAAAAAGGCTTGCTTGGGTGGACATGTGGCCGCGATATGGCGTTGGCGTTGGGATACGAGAGTCGGGGTGGCTGGTCCGCCATGAGATATGGATAGACAGATGTACGAGTGAAAGACACAAGGAATGGAAAGAGGTGCGTGCGAGCGTGCGTGCGTGTCTACACACGCGTAGAGTTTGATGGAGATGGAGAAGTGGAGGTGGATATGGCGTTCGTATGCCTGGGAGAGGCGTCTGCGGGGGGGTTGGAAGAGGGAAAAGTCAGGGGCTCTTTTTAGGGTCGGGATAGGCATGTTAGTTATCATGTATGCCATAATGTTAGGTAGGCAAGCTAGATTTCCTTTTTTTAGGAAAGGCGGGGATGGGTTGGTGGAAAAACAAGAAGCATATGGCGGGTCGGTTCGGGTCTGTGCCTGCCTGCGTCGCGTGGCGACGCGGTTTGGTAGAGCATTGATCAGAGATGAGAGATTGCGGAGTAATGAGCATCCCACGCCAGACTGTGGTGGAGATGAACGTGCTTGAGCGGAACAGTGGGGTGGACTGGGGTGTGTGCTGGTGGTGTCGTTGTCATGTTCGTAGTCGGATCATAAAGGCGGGTTGAGGTGGGTTGAGACGGTACTGGCGATGGCGACAGAAAGAGTGAGGGATCACGCGGGGTTCGAAGTGGGTATTTCTTTCTGTTTGGCATAGTATCATTGAATGAGGTTTCAAAAGAGTGAAGGGCGAGCGAGGAGCAGGGTTAAGAACGGCGATGCTATGTACTGATGTACATCTGGTACGTGATTGCGGGCCAATCGAACAAGTACACCTAATAGGCATGGATGAACAGGCAGGATAGGAGACGGAGATCGATGCAAGCCCAGACCGGCAGGTACTTGAAAATGGAGAAGATCGAATGTGGTCCTGTACAATGAGGGCTATGGGTCTGTTCATTGTGGCCCCAGTCTGTGGGTGGAATATTAGGGTTGAAGTTGAATCGAGTGGCTGGCGGGCAATGGTTGGTTGGGAAGCAACGGGGCAAAAAAAAATAAGGGACAGAGCACATGTGCTTCCGTCGGACATGAACATGGAGATGGCATGGCTCGCATCTTGTGTGCACAGTTGTCGCCTACCCACGCTCTTGACCGGTAGTCGACCATTCTGTCGGTACAACAGGGTTATACTTATTTTAAGCCTGGTCGGCGACCTGGAGAAGATGTCAGAGCCAAAGCGGTCGCACTGAAGGCGGTACCGAACACAGAACCAGAACATGGTACTGTAGGCCGTTCTGGAGCTGCAAATTTGCAATGCCGTGGCTTGCAGACATTTGCTTGAAACGGTTGTATTGCGCTCACCCGCTGGCGGTGGCTGCATGGCTGAATGGTGGCAGGCGGCTGGAAGGATGGGGGGCTGGCAAACAAAACGTTCAATCTGAGGTTCTTCTTACCGGCTTGGCTGGACGTACTTAATGTACATAGTACAGGGCGTCAGATTGCAATGGAAGAGTGTTTGCAATTAGTCGGTCATGGAGCGCTGTGTATGCAAGATGAAAGATGGCGAGCTGGACTGGACAATTGATTTCGTCAGCCCCCGGCTGTCACCCGCTGCTTCCAAGCATTCAGCCAACATGGACCATCCTGGTCCGTAAATCTAGGGTTAAAGAGTCCATCACCTCTAAATTTAACCCCAGTGATCCCGTAGAATGTCGTCGCTAGCCTGACCTCGTTTTGGGGGAGGTTATGAATGCTTGTCCCTGCGTGGGCTTTTCTTACGTAGCCGTTGGCGGGTCTGCAAATAGGCATCATTTGTTATGATCGAACCTGCTTTTGATAAGCATGATGACGATGATGATGCTACCTGGGACTGGTGTCGACAGACAGCTGCTCGGGAGCTAATTCCCAAATAGCTGCGGAGCTTCGTACATCGTGTCCATTGCTGTTTTCTTTCGTGGTCAAGAAGAACGGAGGGTGTGCAAAGCAAGGCACCTACCACCAACCAACATGTGGGCGCACGCGGCGCATACCCTTACGAACACGCATGGATAGCCGTCGGGACTCGTCCAGCACGGCAGCGGAACGAGGAGACGGGTTCATAGCGCAGGAACGGTACATGTACGAACCTTAGTCAAGCAGGATGCGCTTGTCTGGAACTGAACAACAATTCCACGAGCACATCATATTAGGACCAGTGGATTGCGATGATGTAGGAGGAAACAGAGCGTGATGCGAACCGCAGCCCGGCCTCATTCACGGGGGAAATTGGTGGGCAGACGAGCAGCCGGCATAAGGTGGCTCGTGGCAGGTAGGCTTCGCACTTTGAGGACAGATGTGGTCACCCCCCCAGGCCAGGCGCGGTCAAATTTTGCCAGGCTGTATGTAACAATCAACAAGCTGCACAGCGAATGCAGACGAAGGAGTCTAGGCTGGCGTTCAATGTACAGTTTGAAAGGATGTATGTGCTGAGCGGGTTTTTTCTATTTAGCCAACACAGACGGTGGTGGCAACCGACGTGACGGCTGGGCTATTGATAGCATCATACTCCTCAGGGCTGGCTCACCGTGCCATTGTCTGCTTGCTGCGCTCCTCGATAGTCGGCCAGCGACATTCAGTAAGCAAAAGTTCGGAACAAGGAGTGTTGTTTGCTCTTGGTGGTGGTGGTGGTGGTGGTGGTGATGCCGTCGTCATGGGCTGAAGAGCTTATGAGCAGGCGCGATGGGATGGGATGGAACGCTTTCGGCACCGCGTCGAGGCTAGGCAGGGGTCTGGGGCTAGTGCGGACGCTAGCCGCACATGGGCTGCGGGCCTATTTTTGGTTTTTGACTTTCGCTAGTCAGCATTCGATCTTTGGACCCCAGTCCGTGCGCCAGAGCCAGGAGCCAGGAGCGCTCGACGAATGAATGACATGCACCCATCCTCATCGCTTGGAACGAACCGAAAGTGAATCATATCTGCACCCACCTTGCCTTTGTTTGCCTTTTTTCCTTTTGCTGCCCCCTTCCTGGTCACGGTGCGCACCATCTGTCCGGCGGTGGGCTTCAGCCCTGACGTGCGGTTTGATTGGCACTCTCTCATCACCTCATATTAGTTGGCCATGCTATGTATGTGTGTAGGTATGGCGCTGGCCTCTCAAGAGACGGACAGATGACTCCACCAACCACACCACCTCCACATCACACGGCCCAAAGGAGGGTGCTTGCTGGAAATCGGATCAGTCGTTACGAACTGCACCGTTGCAATGGTTCAACCTGTTCGATTCGTACCGCACGCACTGCATCGCCCACGGCCCATCCGTACAAAGGATAGCTAATAAGTATTACCACCACAATCAGGACCGCAATGATAACCGAAACACCAAGCGTGTGAACAATGCTGGGTAGGCAGATGGATGGGCGAGCAACAGCACCCACCACCACGACAACAGGACCCTCGACGCCACCACCGCCCGACGGCCTGCTAATCATCGCTATCCTCCGCTACCAGTGCCTTCTGCCGTTCGCACCCCAAGGCTGGGGCAGCACAAGTACTGTACATATATGCGTACAGTGATAGGCTGGCCCGGGTCACGGTGTGTACCGCTGTATGTGCGCGTGGGTGTATGTAATGTATACTGCCGGCTCCACAAACTCTACACGCTCCAAAGTTACAAGCTGATGCTATAACCACCACCATCACGAGAGAGCTTCTTTCTCTCCTTCGGCAGCCTGGCGCGAGACAGACTGCTGGACCAGCCAGCCGACGAGGCCGAGGGTCCAATGCCTTGGAATAAGCTTGCTGCCCCACAGGAGTTACACCGGGGGGCTATGTCATACGAGCCAGCAGGAGAGACTCGAGGCACTTGCATCGCATTCGCGTTGAGCGTAATGTATGTACTGTGTACACACCCTCTGCTATTCATCTGTACAGCAGCAGGACAGACCTAGGGACGCCCAGTACGTAGCTCCCGCCTACTTACATTCACCCCCCTCCCCTGCTAGCCCCAGACTAGCCCCCTCCCGTCTCACTGTTTACCGGCCGCCCATCTGCCCCTCCTGGTCTCCCACGCTACTCACCTGGGGGCGTCTCCTTCCCGCATTCGCTGACAGGGTTCCCTGACTTCCACCTTCTGCACAGAAGCACAAGTCACTCTGCTGTCTCCTCTAGACTGAGGCCTGGTCCGGATATCGCATACATGGCATGGCATAGGCCATCGTGCAGGGGCTTTCTTTCTACCCTGGCCACAACCCATACACAGACACTACACACTCGACAATCCACACTCACTCCGCTGTCACCCACCCCCCTCGTCAATACTGCTGCTTCCGTGCTCGTCACTCGCCCTGCCCTGTCCGACACATACTTGGCCGACTCTGACTGTCAATTCTTTCTTCTCAGCCCAAGCCTAATCTCCCCGATTCGCCCTCCGCCTTGTAACCTATATACATATCCCCAAACATCCTCAAACATTTCGCCATCAGCCTCCAACTCCACCACTCTTGTTCGCCCCCCTTTGCGCCATCCTCCCACGGTTCCGCCCCTTCTCGCCTTCATCGCCTACCAAGATCTGCGACCCGCATAAACTCAGCCTCCCCCGCCTGCTACCAATCCATTCCCCATCTCTCTAATCATTCACCTTTGCTTTGCCTTGCCCCTCTACCAACCAAGTGGTTGCCTGAAGCACAACTCCTGCACGCTATCCAATCCCATCCCAACGACTCGATCCTTTCTCAACCCCGACAGATCTTGTCTCAACCCCCCAACTATCTCGACTCCCATTCTGCCCTTGAGCATCCACTGTCCCAATTGTCGCAATGGCAGGTCCTGGCGGTGGTCCATCGAGACGCAGCCACACCAAGTCTCGCAAAGGCTGCAAGACCTGCAAGAAGAGGCACATCCGCTGTGATGAAACCTTCCCGCAATGGTAAGTTGACAAGTCAAGCGCCCTCCAAAACTCATCTTGCTCACTACTGTGGTAGTCGGAATTGCACCAAGCACCAGGTTCGCTGTGATTACATGGACAGCCCGACGGCAATGATCCCAGAGTCGCCAAAATCCCCTCAACATCCTAATCTACTATGGACCCCCGAGATCGATTCCATGATTGAACTGTGGCGCCAGACAGGCGAATTCCCGTTCCCAGAGTTGAGAGTATACCCCCAGCCGCAATGGCGGGCTTTCCACAAGACAGATCTTCGCCTCATCCACCACCTTGCTTCCATCTCTGCAGAAATGTTCAGAAATCGAACTTCAAAGTTCACCCTGTGGGCGGATATGCTGCCAAAGTAAGCATTTTATTTTTCGTATTCATTTTCGAATTCTCGTGTTCGGCAAAGTACCGCACCAGGGTTTTTCTGACCACCGCACCCCAGATTCCTAAGTATTGCTGCATCTCACCCCTCCGTAATGCACTCCATTCTTGCATTCTCAGCATCGCATCTAGCGTGGATCGGCAAATCAAATGAGACGCGCAGTTTAGCTTTCCACCACGCAGGCATCGCCCTGAAAGGGTTGCATGATGGCATCGCGAACTTCACGAAAGTGAATTCAGACGCGGTGCTCGCGTCATCCCTACTCCTTGCTTGGCAAGCTACGGACTGGTAAGTTGAATTGAAGCCGCCGTTCCTTCGTCGAAAAAAGAGTCATCACTGACATGGGAATCGAACAGGAGAGGATGGGCCTCATTGGTGACCGGCACAAAAACCGTTAGTACCTTCACTATTTTCTCACTTTCTCAATCACTAACCCACCAATCACAGGTCATCCAAGCAATGCAGCAATGGCGACATGAATCAATCTTTGCAGATTACATCGCCGAACACAGTCCCATGCCCAATAAGAGTTTCATGGAGCCCATCACCTCTCATATCACCCAGGAAATGCGTAGAGATCACATTCATGTCCTCTCGGATATCCAAGACTCTCTGCAACGACTGCAACCATATCTCAGTCTTAATCGGCATGAGCAGGAAGGCAAATGGGTTGATCAGCTTCGGGGCTATCTCGACCGGCTTAAAGCGGCCGGTACGGCCCAGACAGCGGAGGAGCAGTTCAGCCAGCTCTATGCTCTCCGCAAATGGTTGTTCTGGGTTCCCATCACCCTTCTCCATGCAAAGCGCGCCGACGCCACTGTTTTGGTTGTGCTTGCTCATTTTTACGCGACTGCTTTGGCATTGGAGCCCATGTTTCCCGACATTGGGGCAGTCTTTTGCGCCAACCTATCTCTGGGACCTCTTGAAGAAATCAGGGCCATCGTACAGAGCTACCAGGACCCCAGCTACGATGACCGCACGCAATCTGTCTCCTACCTGATCCAGTTCCCCAGCAGCATCGCTGCGTCATATAAGAGCCGACGGGAGTGGGCGAGACAGCAGGCCGGCGAGCCATCACCAGTGCAGCAGACGCCTTATGGTCTGGAAACACTGAACCTGGACCCTCAGAACCAGATCACTGCGCAATACAGCTACGGACAAAGCTTGAGCCCCGCATTCGCACCCTCACCGCTGAGCTTCTTCCCCACCTCAAGCCTTCCGTCGGGGCAGACGTCACCCTATTTGGAAGTGCCTCGCACAACCGTCGAGCAACAATACGTCAGTAGCAGCGCGCCATACACGTCTCCGCTGGGGTCACCGGCAACGGCATTGCCACCCTACCCGCCTATGGAAGAGCACGTTTTCAATTTCGGTATGCCCATGTACCACCCCAGCGGGTTCGTGACGACTCCTACTACCATCTGGACCTAAAGAACGCGAGGCTGAACGATCGTCCAGGGACTCAACGATGAAACCTCAGCCTCTCCCCCATCCTTCCAACACCTCATCGCAGATGAGACCAGGTCTTGGGAAAGCACCGGTTCTGCCCCCGCTTTCCACACAGGGTAGCGGCAGCATTCCCTACCAATACCAATCGCTGCAGTTACCGCCGCTTCCGCTACCACAGTATAGCGGCGCATGAGAAGGCGTTGTTCGAACCATTTTCCACTATTTCCTTGACGACATTCACGACTTCTTTTTTCGCCATCTCGGGCGCTCGATTTATTTCACGTTTCCACTTTCCAAGAGCTCTATACCTATCACCATGATTGTTCTGTTTATTTTTCTTTTTCCCTTTGTACGCCTCGCACGATATCCACAAACACGACATGCGCACTCCGCACGGCGCTCGGTACGCCGGCGCGGCCGTCTGACATCAGCATTTCTGCTGAGGCCTTGCTGCAACGAATGTCACACATTTATTTACACATGTTTTGAATTCCATGTATGTAACAACATCGCTATCTCGTGTCCGCGAACTGTTCTCTCGACGGTTTGTTATCCGCTAGTCTATGAAATCAGTATATGATGCCATTTTTGAGAGTTTTGTCATGTCTTGCTTTTGGTCTGCTTTTGGGGAGCCAGGGCTGGGTAACCCTAGGGGCCCCCCAGTAAGATGCGGAGTTGGTCCTCTTTCCCAAGCTGAACGTGTACCCTCTCCAAAGAAGGGAGTGATAATTGAGAATTTTCTTTTGCTCCCATCCTTTCAAGGGTTTCAAATTCGATACATCCATGTTGAAGTTGGAGTCTATTCTGTGAATTCAAGTTCGACAAACGATCACGGGACATTGGGTACTGAACAGCTGTACCGGTAAACCTATCGCTCATAGAGAGACCTGCACACTTTTCGATGAACAATGCCTCACCCCCTCCATGGTACCCAGTACGTGGAATCCCATTCAATCTCCCGGCCCAGATAAATATAGCGCATCTACAATGATGTCTACGGGTGCTATAAAGCAGGCACGTGCATGGAAGCAAAGCACCACCCAGCCGGGCCGTAATATGTTCAACTCTGGTACCGAGCCTCATATACACCCAACTAACCTTCCCCCCTCCTCATCTCCTCCTGCATCATTCGATGCAACTACCTCCTACGGCTACTAACTCTGCTCATACTATTTCGCATTCGGATTCATACCTTATTCACTCAACAAGTGTGCGCGCGTGACGTTGTTATTGACGTGGCGGGCTGATGATAACTTGAGTTCGTCGCCGATGGTCACTGTGTTTGCGATGGGTTGGAGGATCGATTGCCAAAAGGTTCGCCCCGCCGCGAGCCATGTAGCGCACGTTGAAATCTTGCGCCAGCTAGACCTTGCTGCTGCACAAAGTACATACAGTACATTCATCCATCCATTGCAAGACCGATGAAAGCCGCGGAAGAGTGGCTGGCTTTTCCCACCCAGATAGATCAAAACAGAGCGAGCGAATGAGAGAGAAGACGACAACCACAGGGAACAGACTACGCGAACATGCCCACCAGCAAAAAAGAGGTTAGAACAAGGTACCATTTGGAACACCTAACTAGGCCCCCCTCTCTGAGAAAAAAGAGGGAAAGAAAGCACGGAAGTGCCACCACCAACAGATCAACCAACACCCCTCACCTTGATAATCATGACACATCAACTGCTTTCATCGATTAGAGCCTCATTCCTTCCCCCTCCCTTCCCGAACCCCCCCGGGCCGCCGGTGTACATGCTAGGAAATCCACCGGGCAGACCCCATGATTAGCCAGCGCCCCCTACCTACCAACAAGCAACCACAACAACCGAGAGACGACACCAGCGAGTAGAGACTGAGAGAGAGACCAACCAGGGGCGAGCGAGCGAGAACGGCGCGGCCCCAGAGTGGCGGGTCTAGCGTACGCTTACTGACTGACCTTGTCTATGTAGTCTAGTCTCATGTGCGTAAGTGCTATGACCCCCATGCAGCAGCAGCAGCAGCAGCAGCCAGCAGAGATGCGTAGACCGACCGACCGAGTGACGGACCATGACGGCAGGCCCCCATACGCACGGAAGCGGGTGCCAGTGAGCAGACGGCACAGCGAAAGCTTCGATCCTGCACCATCCCATCCTTCTATCCGCCTCCTTACTTATGTAGGCAACAAAAGGGGCGCAAGGAACAAGCGCACTCTTGCAAGACCGACAGCTCACCCCCCAAGCTGACAACTCTGTCGAAAGCGTGTGTAATTTTTGTTGGGTCAGAGAAGAAAAACCAGAGAGGGAACCCCCCTGCCATGCATGTTCTCTGTGTGATTTATTGGCCCCTCTTCCTCCTCTCCCACTCTCCCTGTGTCTCTTTTTCATCTCCTCTTTGGGCACTAGCTCCACTGCAGCCGCTGCTTAAAATAAGGGTATCGAGGATACAGCCGCTTTCCCCCATCGGGCAGCGAGTGCGAAGTTTCCACGTGACGTGCTGTGCTTGCGTTGCTACCTACCTGTGGTGGGTGGATGGGTGGTGGTGGTACCGAGCGTGCATTTTGGGAAATGGTGTGTGGGTGTGCAATCCACGTGCGTGCAGGTGTATACATGCAGACACTGCAGGAGTGCGTGTAATGGAAGAAGAAAACAACAGCAAAAAGAAGCATAGGTACAGGTGAGGATTCCCGATCGTCGGTGGTCCGTGGTTCCAAAGGTCAGGATTGCACGGTCAACAGCACATGGCTCACTTTGGCGCGAGAGGAAAAGATGGAAAAGGGAACTTTCCATGACTAGGCAGGTGAGCCGTGCCATGCGATGATTAGGGCGGATCGGGGATTGAGGATGAGGATGAGGATGAGGATGAGAAGGGCACGAAAGGGGGGCTCAACGCACAGCCACAGGAGGCTGGGTGCGCGGGCTTGGTTGGCTGGTTGGTTGGCCGGCCGGTGAGGACTCGGGCTTGGAACTTGTTAGTATGAGGTTGACTTTGTGTTAGGTACGAATTTATTGGTGCTGAGCGATAAGGATATGGAAGCCGTGGGGTAACGTGTGGTTCATTCCTCCATGGCTGTGCAGAGAGCTTCACCGGTAGAATGCGCAGGGCGGTGTTGGGGTGAGGTGTGCTGTGTACAACGAGGCAAATCTGATGCTGATGATAACCGCATCTGAAAAGAGGCCGCTCGTCCTATGCGAACTGAAACACCAATAACTATTAGCAAGAGTATTATACCGCGAATCCATGTGTTGATCCCGTGATTCAACCCCTTCCGGCGGAAGCAACGTATAGCCAAGCAGTGGCGAGTAGACTATGCTTCACCAGCATCATGTCCGTCATCTCAGAGGAACAGCAGCGCCTCAATAGGGCATTTGGACCCCATTTTTTTCAATGGCAGATGAATCCCTCCGGTAGTTGCATTCATTGGGTGTGTGATGTGATGACGGGCGACATCTAACTCAGATCGTGCGCTTGCTCCAGTTGCTGCGCACCGCGCTGGATGGGATGAGGGTCCTGATCGGCTCTTTTGGCCTGACTTCCCGAACCCTGAAGGATGATGATGATGTCCCTGCTGCCTACTTGTCTCGCTCTTCTTCTCGTCTTTTCTCCTTCGAGGGAAGAGTCTGGGATCTCTAGCCACGCACGCTCCGTGCGTGCTTTGGTGTGCGGGAGCCAGAGGTTAGTGTCATGCGAGATCGTCTACCCCTGCATTGTGTCAAAAGACTATTCTATGGGGTGGATTTGGCTTTAGTTCGAACTCTTGGCCGGCGTGTGGTTGGCGGTGGATGGACCGAGGAATAGTGGAGATTACCTAATGGATGGCCCGAGTGGGAGTGGCACGCCGTTGCCTCTGCGGCCGTCTGTGTGGTTGGTTGGACGGAACCCAGAGTTGCCGAATGGTAGGTTATTGGTGGATTGAATATATTGCGCTGCTGGCGGACTACACTTGTACATTACTACAGGAATGGCTCTGTAGATCAGTAGTAATAGGATCAAGTTCGATTCTTCAAAAGAGGTATTGTGAAAGCGCTCGCTAAGTAGTAACCAGGGCACACTTCCTTCCGCAATCACCACTTCACCCTGCTGCCCACAAGCGACTTTGTTTTGACCCCCAATCCATCATTTTTCTATTCCGACCCAAACCCTAAATAGCTACTAATTCATATCAAAATCTTCGAGTCCGGCCAATAAGAAATGCTGCAAATTGACGGCGCTGACCCAGTTTTCAACCCCAAGTGGACCATCCTCAACCTACGGCCCACTCCCACTCCCACCACGTTCCAAACCAAAAAACCCAAGCCCTTATCAGATCCGAGCGCGCGGATCAACCTCTCCTTCTCCAAGTTTCCATTTAAACTGCACGCCTAACAAAAGCGTTGGCGTCATTCCCGGGTCTTGTTTTGCTCACTCTCTCCACTTAAAACTGTACTTAGAAATTCTCCCAATCATTAGCGCTTCGCCAATTGAATGAACATCAGGGCGTCGTTCCCCACTATCTACATGACATCCCCATCAGGTATTAGATAACTAGTCAGAACCCATGGGAAAAGTCGTACCATACTCGCAGGAAGTTTGCAAAAAAGTAAGCGTAAAGGCCCGCCAAAACGGCGACAAAGCAGGTTTTCCGTGCTACAATGAGATTGGGATGACGTTTCAACTACGGGGTCTGCAAGTTTTCTCGTGGATTTAGAGGCATGTAAGATCGTGACAGGAGGCGGTCGGATCATGAGTAATTGGTTTGATGATGATGATAAAAGCCATTGAACGCTTAGGGCCAGGATATGGCGATTGATATCACGACTACGGGAATGATGATTTTGCGCTCATGTAGTCATAATTCACGTCGGTCATTGTCTGAATCTTGCGAAACAAATCTACGGCAATCACAAGCACGGAACTTGGCCAGGTTGTAGAATACTGTCTTTTGCAGTATTTCACACAAAACCAGCTTTTTGGTACTTTCATGTGTATAGATGTGACCCTTCTGCTACGAGGGATGCCAGTGCAGATGGTATCAATAGCGATTCGAGAAGAATCTCGGATTGGCTTTTTGTCATGTAAAGATGAGCTGGAAAATCACGGAGCTCATCTGTAACTCCCTGTTGGAACTTGATGCTGCTGAAGTTCAAGATGTGTGATTAATATATCAAGTCAATGTGAAGTTGTGTTCTTGTGTCAACGCGATGAACCACAATTACGATTTGATCCATGTGGCTTGATCAACTCGAGCAGAATACCGAGAATACACTTGAATACTATCAGTTTATTGACAACGATGCTTCTGATTGAGCAGCTGTCGTCACTAGGGATTCTATTAGTATCGGCTTCATCTTTGATCACGCAACTTCAACATTCTTTGGACAGTCGCCGCAAGCAGATTCCACGCAAAGAGAACAATAGTTTATTCATTGGTTGAAAGGATATGCAGCATTTATCTGATGACCCTGGGGCGACTTTTGAGCTTTTGCTGGCTAACTGAACTTATAGGCTCTTCTTCTATTTCCATACCGCGCGCGTTATGGCTTGAAGATCAGCACCAACAACTGAAGAAACTCTCTTGAGATCAAAATCTGGTTCGGGTAGGATTAAAACTCATGTGCTCATGAAGCATAGCTGAAAGATTTACACCATTGATGGTTTTCTGGCTCAAGAAACACATCTAAACGTTCAATGACACGATATCGTATCATGGGAATGTGGACCAGGAAATTCTTGTCCAATTCTCACTATATGCTCTGAGAGAAACAGTATTGTTACACCATCAGTGTCTGCTGTATATTGCTAGCACACTGTTCTCCACTGTTTCCTTATTGGACGCTGTACAGAGCCACCCTTTGGGTGAATCCCTCGACATCTCCATCGTCCGGAATTTTGATCTCGCCGATCACTTTGTAGCCGAGACTGACGTATAATGGCTCCCCTATGTGAGAGGGAATCACACCCTGGTTGACGCTGTCTGCCTCACATAGACGCAGTCCCCATTGCAACATGAACGTGGCATGGCCTTTGCCTCCGTACGAAGGGTGAACCACCAACTTGTTGCAAGTCATGGATCCCTCAAGGTATCTGAGGTGGGTATCAGAATATCGGATAGCTGCGATCTAGATGACTGATTGAAGATTATGGCTTACTTCTTCTCTTCTACCTCTGTGATGCGAGTGAAAAGATTTAAGCGGTGCTGACACAGATCCCGGTCAGGTGATGGCTCCAGATGGCCGACATCTGGCACAACGAATTGCCCTGCGCGGCGCGAGCCCTTGGGAAGATTCCAGCTAGCTACACCCACTACAACCCGCTCTGCGGCCGGTGGATCGGTGCGTTGCGGAAAGTCAGATAACTCATCAGGTACGCGCCAATCCTCAGACACAATGGTAATTGCTAGAGGGTCCGAGAGCTGGCTGCGATAGATATTGGCGAATGAAGTTAGTGCGTCTTGAGGGTATTCTTTGAAATGGGGTCGCTCATAACGAAGGATTTCCGAATCCTTGAAACCCAATACACTCAGGCCAGCCATTCGATCGATGTCTTTGGCATTGGCCAATCTGAGTGATGGCAGTGTTGGATATTTAGGAAACTCTGTTGGTGGCATCTTGAATTTGAGGCGAGGTGTCAGGGTCGCTGGGGGGATTGGTGAAGAAGCCAGCATGAAATGAGTTTATCTGTGACTATCTCTACCTCGAAGAAAACCGGTCTTATATAGTCAGATTTTGGTGCTTTCCGCTCATGGTCACTCGCGGCTGCATGTCTCATGAACATCTTGACCGTTGGCACTCTCGAACTTACCGGTCGGACTCTTATTGGCCAGCCCGCAACTTGCTACACTTACAACGCGACCTTGCACTATTGTCCCGTTGCTGGTCGAGCCCCATTCACCAATCATGGCCTGGAACCGGAAATTGGTAGTAATAATGAACCGCGCTCCTCTACTTGACAGCTAGCTCCATATCTACTGATAGAGTGGCGCATATGGAAACACGGGGCACGCCGGCCGCAGTCAAGCGCGTACTGATACATAAAGCATCCGCATACGTCCATGGCATCAAGCGTATCGTGGGAGAGAGAAATGGTGAGCTTCGAGGATTGTGCGGGCGGGAGGGAAGGAAAGGAGGCTTTCAATTGGTCGCCTTGACTCGAGTTCGGGCTTAGTAGATAGATATACCCGATAGGAAAAAGATTCAAGTACTCTTGCCTTTTCTTTACCTCCTTCGGTAGACTGTGTAACGTAGGAGGTAACATAGAGCAGCTATTGTAAATTTCAAGTCTCGAAAGCCACTATATACCATTGAAGAAATGCTGTGGAAGTTAGCGAGCGACTTGAATTCATTTATGAAGCCCAGCTTCCAGTGTATCGTAGTACAGACCGTGAGTTTTTTAAGTCACAGCCATGATTCAGTCGTGCCTGATATACTAAACCTCTCTCGGTGATTTTTCGTACCGTAATCGGCAAGGCAAGTTTTTCTAAATTCTGCAGGATTGGGTGCAGTGAGGAACCAAAGATAGGTGTGCCTTTCCTTCTGACCACGAGCCCAATTATCAGTCGTTGTTCAGGAAAGGCTAATTTTTAGAAAGATCATGTATGAAACAGCAAGCAAGTAGAACTTGGATGTGTTTGATAGCTTTCGTGAAGTCTATCACAAGATTCAAGACTACGCAGCCACATCCCCAGCATACATAAACCCTAACTGAACCCGACCAACTTCCATACTACTAAACGAACAATGACCAACTACATTCTCGTCCGCGGGAATTGTGACGCCCCATTGGAGCGGGCGATTCACAATATCATCATCTCCTTGCTCTTCGTGCTTTACATGGCAGGCGGCACTGATGACCGCGCTATTCGTCCCGCCGATCGGGAGTCCCACAGGGTAACTCCCCGCATAAGAAACTATCCCAAGAACAATGAGAAACCCACACCCCAAGGCAAGAGTGCAGATGATGGCGGTGTTCGAGTATCCAACAGCCGTGCTGGGCTCCCTGACCTCTGATGGGGCACGACCGGCTATTGGTTCAGTGAATACCGCGATGCGTGCGAGGAAGATTGATTGAGAGGTCAACCAGTGCAGGATGATGGATGAGAGGAGTAAGGGGATGCTGAAGGTGAATGGGAGTGAGAGGAAGTAGGTTGAGCGTTGGCTTGGGGATGGGAGTGTTACGCGGAGGGGGGCGCGTTTGATGGCGTAATTGGAGAATTCGAGTTGTGTGAGCATGGCGGTAAATTGGCCGTTGTATGTGAGGAATATGAGGGTGATTATGGCTTGCGGGGTGTTGGCGAGAAGAATGTAAGGGATGATGGATTCGGCGTAGGGGAGATCGATGTCGATTAGGGAGTCTGCGTGGGTTCGTTAGTCTGGATCGAGGAACGAGTGATTAGAGTGCGCAGATTGAATTGGACGTACCTGGATTCACTCGACCGAAACTGTTGGAATAGTCTGTATCCCACCGGTGGTGCATGAAACCAACGAGGCCGGCGACCACGGCGATCACGCTTATGTACCTATTCTCATGTCAATGACAGGATTGTGAAATGACGGAGGCGACACCCACAAGAAGAGAGAAAGGATCCAGCGTCTTCTGCTGCAGCCAGAAATCCATCGATGTCTTCTTGTCTGCTCGAATCGCTGCCCATGCCGCGCTTCTTGCTTTCCTAAAACCCGACGCACATCCCCTCTCGACATAAGACAACAGTTGTCCGTGGTAGGGTCAGGTGTCTCAAGGAACGACTGGATGGCATCACCAATTGTGACAATTGTTTTCTGGTCGAGGCGCGAAAGAATGTAGATCATAGCCCCCAGTTTGATCGCATTGCATACGACGACAACGGCCAGAACAGCTTGACTGAACTCTATACTGCAGCGCTGGGGTGGGGATTTCAAGGACAAGCAGTCTTGCACTAGTCAGTCGATTGTATTGATGCTGGATACACCAAGAGGATGTGAGCACTTACAGAAGCAGGGTGGGCCAGTAGAACTCCCAAGAATGTTGCTGCTCCCATGTTCAAAATACTTCACCAGAGAGGTGTCGGGAAAGTCAGGGTCTGGCGACGTAACGCAGAAGCCTGTACCGGCGCTAATAAACTGCTGACTATAGCGAGACTTACATTCATCTGCAGTGATGTTCTCGACCAGATTTCTATCAAGATACTTGCCATCCAACAATGCGGCTTGGTAAAAAGGTGTGGGGTCGTTAATCATTTCATGACTGATGTGATACCAACTATCCTTCACTTTGAAGAAGTCCTCAGTTATTTCAAAGTAATATGCATCGTTGGCTCCAACTGTTTCAAAAACAACGGAATTGTATCTGAGTTTGATTAGACATGTGAATAGACTGTGTCACCCAACTTGAGCACTTACAGAAGGTGCAAAGGAATACTGGATAGTGCCAACAGTGTCCATATTAGTACTCGGCGTCCATTGATAGATGCCAGGTTCCTGAGACTTGGGATTCCAACATCCAGCCATCTCTTTTGAGCGTGCGTCTTGTCTATTTCTTCTCTTGTCGGGGCCACCAGGCGTTGCATACAGTAGTTTGAGGCTCCTAGCAGCCCACTACTGAGCAAATTGATGATCAAATGCAATGCCGTGCTCCATCTGCCTGCCAAATCGCAATCACCAGTGAATGCAGTCGCAATCCCATCAGTCTTGATCCAACGAGTAGCAGCCACTATTGATAGAATAATGTTGAGAAGCAAAACGAAGGCTGTGAGAACGCTTGCGGCAAGAATCCCTCCCCTCCAGCCTGAGAAGCGCTGCTTCAAGGAAAACTCTGACGGAGATTGTGGAGTTTCGGCGGCGGTTTGGTCAAGCAAATCATCGTTACGGTCGATTTTAGGAAGCAGTTCATAGGAGCTCATTCTCGCTAATCGCTGTCATGTGCTGCGGAGCTGGAAGAAATACGATGCGAAGCGCCTCCTCCCCGGTATTTGAATGCGATTGTGCGGCGCAACAACCATGTAGCGCGCGCGACTGTGGGGGCCACTTTACTTGCGATATTCTTCGGGGCAAGCCACGAAGGGCCGAAGCGCGTTTCGCTTTGCCTAATCAAGGATAGGATCTAGAACAACGGTTTATTCATATCTTTTTTTCCTTTGAACCCTTTACTACAGCTCAAGCGTTGAATAGCAGGCGGTATTCTGCATGCATGCTATGGGTCGGTATCCTCAAGATGCACATCGTCGTCATTGGAAAAACCGGATCCATCGTTGTGAATCAAGTTTGTTTGAATTTTCCGAGAATTTGAATTTTGCGGATAGCGAGGTTGCGGATCGGTGGCATTTGTGTCATGGTGAGAGAGGATAAGTGAGGTGTCGACAAAGTTGTGGCGATGCAGAGGCGCAGCATCTCCTTAGTCTACCTACAATCTCAAGGCAGCGACTAAGCAAGCCATCTTCATGAACACACACATATACACGAGCGCATACCATTTCCTTCCCCCTTCCTCTTTCTATGTATTCCGCCTCATAGTCATACATATCGCTGGCCTGATGTTCTAAGCTGACCGGTTATCCCTTGTTCCCCCTCACTATCTGCTACCGATCAGAGCTCCATCCCGCTGGTCACGGCGTCATCAGCGACTCTTTCTCGGGCGAGTTTTGGTTCAACGACTCCACGTCGAATCTTACCAGCAGTATATTCGAATACACCTTGCATATCTAATTTGGACGCCATACCGCGAAGGACCTTGGACCCTTATTGCCATTTGCCACTCTAATCCCGGTCCCTTTACTCTATGCATACGACCTCGACTGTACGACCACTACACCCTAACAACCCAGCACCAAAACATGCTATCAACATTATCTTCCGCTAAAAAAGCCGCACTCCTAAATCCCTCCAAACACTTACAACATCTCAAATCTTTCATCACTAATTCGCACATCCATGTACATAAGATGATGACAGCGACGACCACCAACCTCATCACCACAGGGCTCCTGGCCCTCCTAGCAGCCCTAACCCTCTACCTCCTCCAAAAACAGAACCTCAGACCATCCCGACACCCCAAACACCCATTCCCATTCCTCGCCTTACCCCCAGAGCTGCGCCTGAAAATCTACACATGTTTCCCTCCCGGAGAGACGGGAAATACAAAAATCTACCTCATCAACAAGCAAATCAACGCAGAGTACATCCACCACCACGCAACAACAACACGAATCCAACTCTCCGTCTCAGCAAAAAACTACACCCACCCATCCAAACCCACATCCTCCCCTTCTTCTTCTTCTACTACTCCCCCACCAACCCAAGCGTTGCCACCACTGTGGACCCTCTCCCCAACGCTGACCCAGCACCTGCAAAAAGCAACAATCCACCTCACGCTCACATCCCCGCTCCTGGGGTACTCGTCACCGCGGGATATTGTGATTCCTTCTCCTTCCCCCTCATCTCCGTCTTCCTTCGATCCAGCAACGCAGTTCCCACTCACCCAGCACCTCACCACCACGCTTTGCTCCAGCGCCTTCCCATCGTTGAAAGATATCCACGTCAAGATCCGCGCGATCCCCGATCCACTGTGGAATCCGATCTGGTTCTGGTACCACGTTAGCCAGGCGCTGAAATCGGTGGCAAGGATCCGGAAAATTAGTTTCGAGGTCGAGGGGTGGAGTCCTGGGCAGCATGGTATGGAACGACGACGACGGACGAAGAAGCCGTTGAAAGATCTACCACCCCAGAAGAAAGAAGAAGAAGAAGATGAGGAGGAGGAGAAGTGGACATGGGTCTGCGAGCGAGGTCACTGGATGGCCGACGATGGCCCCAACGGCGGCGGCTGTGGAAATGTCAAGGGAGGAGGGAACGCGGGAGAAGGCGTCATGGCGGCGATTGGTGGGAGAGCGAGGAAAGGGGAGTGGGAGTTTTCGGTCAGGGAGTTTTGCATGCGGATCCTGTATGATGAGTGTGGCGAGTGTGTTGGGCCTGTGGAGTGAGGGTGGCCTTAGAAGAGAGAGGGGTTTCCCATTCTGCTTCTTCTTTGTAGTTCTTCTCCCTTTCCCTCTTTTTCTTTGGGATTATATTTGGAGAGAGAAAGGGGGGTTGTTTGTACGGTAATTACTGTTTGGGCAGTTGGTTCTTGTTATTTTTGTTTAGAAGGAACTTGGGGAGAGTACTTCTTGTTTGTATACCCATTCTAACACTTGTATCTTCCCTTCTTTTCGATGTCGCCTCCATTTCTTTTTTCCTTCTTTCTTTGCGCCATCTTTAATGGGAAGAAGCCCCGAATCTTGACTTCTTTCTTCCTTTCTTCACTCTTGATGATATGCGCGTTCATGCGACCACGTGGACTGATCTCACCCAACTTGCCACGGTACGATGGAATGAGGGCGAAAGATGCTTGGAATTGGATATCATGAATAATCTCGTGCTACGCTACTGGTACATGGAAGAACCTTTCCTTCGCGAAAAGGGGACACACGCAGGGGCCCATCAACTAGTGAAACCCCCCATCTGTGGTCAATGTCTAATCTCCTGCTTGTGCGGTAAAAAAAACCATCTGTTTCCATTATGCATGACAACCATTCCGAAAATCCCATGTCTATCCCTTAAAGTTCCGATTGATGCTTTGCGTTGTCACTTGCTAATCCGATGGCTTATGAACTTCTTGTCCCCATTTCCCCCCTTGTACTTGCATAATTTCCTTTGCTGCTGCTTTCTAGGCCAGACGAACCTGCAGAAGTGCTCGGACGACCAGGTGACCCGACGCTTCGTGGGCGGTGCATGGCACCGATACGCTGGTCGCCCACTCGGGGAAGCCGCGAATCTACTTGAGGCCAGGAGGCTTGTTCTCTAAACCGCGAGTTTTGGTCCACGCATAACGTAAACGTTGGAGTGGCTCGGGATAGATTGAGTCGCGTACGAGCATGCCGATGTCAGTCTTGTCGAAGCTACAATCTGGATCAGCACTGTGTCCTGGGTAAGGCCTGGAAAGAAGACATGGTTCCAATGATGCAGCGTGTATAGTAAGAATATCCAATGCGAATATCCTTTACCTGTGGTTGGTTCCCACGCGCTCCATGTACGCTTTCCAGCCCTCCAGGCGGTATCGTTCGGCCTCGGCAGTCCGGTCCGGCGCGCGGAAGATGCCACGGCCGACGATGATGACGTCGCACCCTTGGTCCAGGATGAGTTTGCGCGGTGTGTTGTACTGCTGACCGAGACCATCCCCGAGCTTCTGGCCTTCCTGGCCGGGTGGGGGTAGCTTGCAACCGGGCGTCATGGTGATGAAGTTGTCGCTCTTCTCCGTGTTGAGACTTCGCTGCGCAATGAAGCCCATGACGAACTGGCTGTTAGCCCGAGCGATTTCCACCGTCTTTTGTTGGTATTCAGGCGTCATGAGGTGACCTTCGGAGCTCATCTCGGCCAGTAGGAGGAGCTGTCGAAGAATGGGCACGGTTTCGAGGCGTTTGAGCATGGTGTCCTTGCTCACGATAAAGGCTTCGTCGTTGCTGAATTCGGGGTCCGGGCGCGGGGATATGCTTTCGTGGCGGAAGGAGATGGTGGTGCTGACGCTCACCACGCTATGCTTGCGGTCCTTGGGTTGGGCTGCCAGCTTTCGCTCTTCGAACTCTTCGTTGGCAGGAGGGGTAGCGAGGGCCACATCATTGTCTTTGGCGTCTTGCTCTGCCTGATCTTCCTTGTCTTTTGTGATTTTCTCGTCGTCGTCGTCATCATCATCCTCGACATCATCCTCTTCTTCGATGCCAGCAACGCCGTGGATTTTGCGGGGACGGGGGTTGGAGGAGATGTTGGTGTAGACACCGGTATTGAGTTTGGCTATGGTGACATCGGCGGCCTGGTGGAGGGCGGTGACAATGGCCGGGCCAGGAAGCACGTGGGCATTTGTGATCTGGGACCAGTAGGCAATCCTGTGGTAGCCCGATGTGTACTGCTTCTGGACGGTTTCTAGTAGGGTAAATTAGCAGGGATGGTGAGAATGGAGAGGGGGGGGGAGAGAGACGACGTACCGCCAATGTCGGCAAACTTGCGATCCTCGAAGACGATGAAGAACTTGCGCTGGGAGATTTCGGTGAGTTCGCGGGCGGTGCGGTCAGACCAGTCCGTCACGATGTCACAGTGGGTTTTGAAGATGCAGATGGAATCGCCCACTTCCTCTGCCAGGGCCAGCAGCTCAGCCGAAGTCTCGACGTCAGCGGAGACGCAGAGATTGGTCTGCTTGATTGACATCAAGCGAAACAGGTAGGAGGCAAGCGGGCCGGTGGACTCATAGGCGGCGCGAGCACGGTAGGTGTCGGTAGTTGCGGGGTGAGCAGCGGCGGCCATGGTGGATGGGCAGGCCTAACTCTTGGGTGTGGTAACCAATTGATGTTCGCGGAGGTGGGCTCGCTGCAAGGCCAGTCGATAGGCCAGGTGGGACGAAGAGGGGGGAAGGAGGGAAGAAGGAGAAGAAGAGGCGGATGACAGGCGTCTAGACGAAGCGTAGAAGACGGCTATTTGGAAGAAGGTTGTAGCGGTTGTGGTGGTGTTGTTGTTCTCGTCGTGGTGGGGGGCGGATGTGAGTAAATAAGTAGACAGGCAGGCAGGCAGCACGGATGGAGGGGTATGTAGATTGGCTGTCGTTGACTGACTGGGCGGTAGCAGGCAGACGAGTGGGGAAAGTGTGGGGAAAAGAGGAGAGAATGTGAAAAGAAGAGAAGAAGGAAGGAATCGAGGAGAGGTGAGGAATGAACAAGTGTATAGTAGTGGTGGTGGAGGAGTGGATCAGGCAAATGGAAGAAGGCCAGGCAGTGAGTGGGGAAGAGAGACAGGTAAGCGACAGGCAGGCAGGCGGGCGGGCAGCCGTTGGTTGTATGTAATGAAGCGAGCAATGAATAAATCAGTTAAAGAGAGAGGAGTCGGCCGGGCAATCAGCGAGTCGAGGAAAAGGGCAATGGAAGATGAATGGTGGGACAAAAAGTGCAGCGAGCGAGCGGCAGGCGGCGGGTGGTGGTGGGAGTGCAGGAAGCGAAGCGGGATGGGCGCGAACATCGCAGAGGAAAAAAAATCAAAAATTCCTCGTCGGGCCTAGTCCAACGCCCGGCTTAGCGGTTCCGAGGGGGGGAAGCAGTGTGCAATCCAGACCACTGGCGCTGTCTCTCCGTCTTTGCTTTATTCATATCATACATACATACCATAATGGCCATGCCATGATATTGGATACACTCTTGTTTCACGGCAGAAAAAAAAAGGGCTGAATGGATTCGTCTTCTTTCTTTCTTGGGCAATAACGCCGATGTATGTTATGTATGCATGCTTATGCCTTCCCTTCCCTTCCCTTCCGTCCCTCCTGCTCCGGCCTGCCCTGCCCTGCCCTGCCCTGCCTAGACCCTTCCCCCCTTTGCAGCCAATCCACCACAGCGTCCGCCGGTGTATGTATGCCGTCCAAGACATAGATACATAGATACATCATCACCATCTCCCTTCATATTGGCCCGCTCCACTTTATTGTTCGCCTGTTCTGGTCACTGTCTGGGAACCAAAGGGAGTCCGTCTATCCATGCACCCGTCCATCCATCCATCCATCCATCCATCCATCGCACGTATGCAACTGCAATTAGAATCAACAATCAATCATTTCAATCAACGAATGAACGCACCTCGGGCGCTGACTCGTCACATTGTCGCTCTGCATCTGCGTCTGCCTGCCTCGCCGACGTGTCCTACCAGGAACCGTCACGCAGCCTTGCATCGAATCCATACATGATGCATGACCCAAGTGAGCAAAGCAGTAACAAAAGGAACGAGTGACCTGTAATGTGTGTGTGTGTGTGTGTACGCACTTGGCACATCCTGGCCACCGGCTTCGTATCCCCCGTTGCCTTTTCATCGTCTTGTTTTTGTTTTCTGCCCGTCCTCGTAAACCACTGCACATTAGCTGGGTGCAGGACCCGAGACGCCCATTGGCTTCCACCACGCCGGGAGCCAGCAAGCGGCCGGCCGGCCGGGGCGCGCGCCCAGGACACGATCGGGTCCTGCTGTCGTTCGCTTACTAACCACCTAGTTAACCGCCGCCGCGCCTATCTTTCCCTCCTTTCCCTCTCTCTCTCTCTCTCTCTGTCTCTCTCTCTTCTGTAACCTTCTGACCTCCAATCTCCTTGTCGTGTCACACCTTCAGCCTCTCTCCCCTCGCCGTCGCACCACCATCATGACAGTCGCCCTCATACAACTTCCAGTGATATCCTGACCCCGTAGTCATTCTCACCCCTCATTACATCATCCCCACATCAGTTTGTCTGTTTGTTTCAATGTTTCTTCAGCTTCCAGCGCCGAGTCACATGATGCATCTCTGCACCTGTCAACATTGAAGTTACCTTACGAGCTTCAGCTGAGTTTGGAACAGGCTATTAGTTGCTCTTTATAGTTCCACACACTGTTTAATAACCTTTCAACATGCCTTCCTTAGGCTGTAAATATTGACTTGAATACTGACAGAGCGTTGACAGCCAATTCTAGAGTGGGCTAAACCTCATAATGTATATACACGCCAGCTAGGCACACCAGGTCAATCCGCAATGGACACCACTCAGCGCCAATGCATGCCCAGTGCTAGTGCGTTACCGTAAAGAGATAGAGTTGTCAAGAAAAGGGTCATCAAGTAATTCACTCGATAGTATCATCCCAATGCCAAGGTCTATTATTTGTCTGTATCGCTGGTGTTGAGCATTGCAAAGAAAAGTGGGGCGGCAGTTTGCTTCGCTCTATAGTCTTTCTCTCACTTGCAGCCAAGAGCCAGCCAGAATATCCAACTTCACCTGGATTCACTTTCCTCCCTACCAACTGCCTATTTCAACCCACCTCGCTCTTCCCTCTTTCTCTTCTTCCACCTCCCCCACACAACCATCTTCCCAGCTGCAACTTTTCCTCTCCCTTCTCCACGTTCCCCTACGTGTCCCGCAATGCCTCCCAAGAAAAACGACGCCGCCGCTGGCGCTGAGCAGGGAATCGCGGGATTCGATGCAAAGGAGACTAAGCTACTGGCTGCCGCCTTTGTCTCGTCTATCGGCCTGGATAAGGTTCGTCCTTGCAACATACATGTGTAATTCGCTTGACACGCCCTGACATGATCAGTACGACTACGACCTTTTCTCTACGTTGACCGGCAACACAGCGGGAAGTCTCAAGAAGATGTACCCTCCCATCAAGCGCAAAGTCGCGGAAGCCCATCCCTCCTTCGCCACTTTCATCGGCACTCCAGCTGCAGGTGAGAACGGCAAAGCAGCTGCTCCCAAGGCTGCCACCTCCAAGGCCGCAGCATCCAAGGGCCAAGCCAAGAAGCGTAAAGCGACTGCAGATGTAGACGACGACGATGCCGACGCTGCAGATGGCTCGGACCAGTCCGAAGGCAAGCCTGAGAAGAAGGCCCCCGCCAAAGGCCGTGGCAAGAAAACCAAGCTTGAGGCCGAAGACGACAACGAAGATGCTTCTCCAGCCGCCGAACTTCCCAAGAAGCCTGCTGCTACCAAGGGACGCCCCAAGAAGACGAAGAAGGCCTCCACTCCCGATGCCGACGCTGACGATGTTCCCGCGCAGCCCAAGAAGCCTAGGGGCCGCCCCAAGAAGGTGAAGACTGACGACGCCGACGCAGGTACGTACCCCATCACATTTATCATCCCTGGAAGACAACTGACCAATCGTTCAACAGCCAATGGAGACGATGCCCCCGCCAAGAAGCCCGCTCCAAAGGGCCGCCGTGCTAAGGTGCCTGAGCCTGAGCCCGAGGCTTCCGCTTCCACGGATGAAGGTAAGCAATTGCCACATGAATACAAATAAAGAATTCTCAGCTAAGTCATGCATGTAGGCACCAACGACGCCGACACCGAGGGAAATGAGCCATCTCCCGATGCCGAGACGACCCCAGCTGAGCAGGACGACGAGTCTGCCTAGGCTCTTTCCGAGATTTCTCAATCTCCTCCCATCTTCCTTGCTTTTCTTTACTTCAATCATCCCACCTTTCCTGCTATTCTGGCTTCCTTGATACCCCACCTTGTTTTCTCCCTTTTGCACTGGCTTCAAGTCCAAGTCTATCTGGCGTTTTAGGGAATAACGGAATAACGGAATAATTAGGGTCAATTCGCCGACAGCGAAAGAAAACCCCGGGCACATCACACGAGCATGTTATTGGGTAACATGGGAAATGCGCAATTCAGCGGGGTAAATTCCTTATCCCACCAAACCAGCTTTTCAGCATCGAAAGGGCTGGGATCAGGAATTCTGGAGTAGCGTAGCGTAGCCGCTTCACGTAGCTCACCCCTTTTCCCGCGAGTACATTTTGCATGGGGGGAAAAAGGGGGATAACTTCAATCGGAACAAAACCGCTTTGGGGAATTTGATATCATGAACACCTCATTCCTCTTTGCAGAAGTCCACTTTTTCGTGATGTGAGATTCTTTCAAAACTATCCGGTTTTCTTCACCCTGCTTCTGTGGAGTTGGGCTTGGACTTGGCATGTCTATGCTGGATCACGAAAAGCAGGGTACGTTGGATGAATAGTTGATTGGTGCTGAATCGTTTTCAATCAGCAAAACTGCTCAAGTAAAGAGGGAAAGTGAGACATTATGCTTGAACTTTTTTGTGTATGACAATACCGTCTCTCTCAATGTCTACATACTATTAATCGTAGTTGGATGTCGGAGGTTCGGATAGCGGTCTTCCGAGGCTGGCTGCGTAATCAGATCGGATGACACACTCGTAGCTATCACTAGGAAACCACCAATTCCGCGCCTGACAAATTACCACCAAAGCACCGAACACAACATGCGAAAACCAAAAGACGGACGGATAAAAAGGGTGCAGAGAGCGATCGTCTGCACCGCTTGTAACCAACCAGGGACATGAGAGTCCAACAGTTCCTGCAATTCGCATCCCAGCAATTCCCCTTCTCATCCATCATGACGAACAACACAACAACCTCGCGTCTCGCGCCTGTCATTACCATTTCCCACGGCGGCGGGCCCATGCCTGTTCTCGGTGATCCTTCACATGCTGCTATTGTGAATTCGCTGAAGACGCGCGTACCGAAAGTTCTTAAACTCAATACCCCCGACCAGCCTCGAGCAATTGTATTGGTGACGGCGCATTGGCAAACTGATGTCGTGTCAGTGAGCAGTGGAGAGAAGCCCCAGCTATACTACGACTATGGAGGATTTCCTGCGAAGGCCTATCAGCTCAAGTACGACGCACCCGGGAGTCCCGGGGTCGCAGCGGAAGTAATGAGGGCATTGGAGAAAGAAGGGGTGAAAAGCGTCAAGGATGAGAAGCGAGGTACGTACAATAGCCTATCACCCGTAGTCTGGAGATAGACCAACACATGTCGAAACCTCAAACCTGACGGCGGTGATGCATCTAGGCTGGGACCACGGCGTCTTTATTCCCATGATGCTCATCAACCCCAAAGCCGATATCCCCATCGTCCAAGTTTCCATCCTCGCCTCCGAATCTCCCTCGGAACATTTCGCCTACGGGCGCGCACTCTCCTCTCTGCGCGCAGAGAATATCGCTATTGTAGGCTCTGGGTCCCCCTCTTGGCACAATCTGCCTTCGTTTGCGGCTCTCAGCACCCCCGGACCTGGTCAGCGGGAGATAAATGAACTCAATCTAGAATTCAACAAGGCCGTCTACGATGCAGTCTCGACAGCCAACGAAAAAGAACGCGAGAAGAAGTTTGAAAATTGGCGGTCATGGCCTGGGTCGTATAAGATGCATCCGCGGGGCCTTGCGGATCATTTCATGCCCCTTAATGTGTGCGCGGGTGCTGCGGGAGAGGGAGCCGATGCGAGTTTCTATAGCGATGAGTTCCTGGGACTGTCTATTTGGAGTTTTGTCTGGGAATAAAATCAAAAAGAGGAGGGGGGCGGGGTGGGGAGCATTGTTTAGCTAACTATTGATAGATATGCCATGTGCCCACCACCTCTGGGTCTGAGTTGTGAAGTATGATCCTTGGGGCATGTGTGGCATTCTATTTATTCATTGTCCCTGCAAGATTGAGGGATTTGCTGATATTCAAGGCCTAAGTAGGGGTGCCCCCTGGTCTCTTCTTCTGCTTGCTGCAATACGCTTGTGTGAAGGCATTACCCATGACTCTTCCTTGGTAACATTCTTGTTACAACTATATCGCTGTGTTACAATAAAAAAATTAAAAAAAATTAAAAGAGTTGAGAATTTTTACACGAATTTTGAACCTGCTTAGACGCGGAAACAGACCAAGATTCCATCCAATGCTAACCAAATCATCAAAGAACCACATCAAGCGGTACATTCAATAGATTCTCAAATGTTTCCATGTAGAGTTATCTAAACGCCTTACTCTTGCACGATTACTTCCAAAACAACAAGGATCTACTCATTACATGGAAGATGCTCGAGTCACATGCTCCTCATACAATCCGCCCTCTGGGGTATCTAGAGCTTTACGAGCATGTTGTAGTCAAGCCTACCTTCATCCAGATCGAGCCTTTTGAATTATTAAACACAGTCCAGAGATTGCTGTAGCTCGGTGCTTACGGCTCACTTTTTGCGTACGCACCTCATGGTAGTACATCCGCACCTCGTATTCGTATATCTAGCCGCGAACCCCACTTGCCTATTTCCAAGTCTGATCTTTGTGCGAGTGCACAGCCTCCCAGACTCTCGCTGACGGCAAGACGGTAATCTTCTTGGAGATTCTGTCCTTTTCTTCTGTGTTCGTTGGCTGCCTACCTTTCTACCTCTCTAACCCCTCGAAACAGAGACGCTCGTGGAGTTCATTGTCTCTTGTGTACCAACATTGCATCCATCGATTACTTAACACGGCTGCCTCTCCGCGTCGAGGACTGTGTTATGGAAAGACTCATAATCATCCATTCTTAACTCCATCGGTCCAGGCTCCGACGAGGACTTCAGTATCCTGGATTTCTAAACGCTCACTACTCACTGGCGTGAGGAACATGTTCTAGTAACCAGCGCGCCTGACCGGACTTTAGAGGATATATCAGCTATCCTGACGCTTAACGGACGCGATAAGATTTTTCAGCTGATGGCGTATCGCTTCTGGCCCTATCTCCTGAATACTTGTCAATGTAACAAACCACGAACATCATCAAATACGCCCAATACTTCCCTCGGGCTTCTCCAAGAATACAACTTTTCCGCTTCACATATGTGCATGGAAATACATACGTTCATACTCAATCCTCAGCATGCGCCTTCTGACTACCAACTCAGGCGGTAGTCTTTGTCTGAAAGAATTCGTCGGTAGTAAAATACCACATTATGCCATCCTCTCACATACCTGGGGCCCGGACGAAGAAGAGGTAACCTATCAGGACCTAAGAAGCGAAACACGCCCGGTGATCTCTGGCCACAGTGTTCCTCCCGGTCACTACGCATCCAAACCTGGCTTCAAAAAGCTCAATTTCTGCGTCAAGCAGGCGGCGGCCGATGGACTGCAGTATTCGTGGGTTGACACATGCTGCATTGATAAGAGTTCAAGTGCAGAGTTGAGCGAGGCAATCAACTCCATGTTCCAATGGTATCGAGACTCCACTATCTGCTATGTTTACCTTGCCGATGTCCACAATCGAGACATCAAATCCAGTCGGTGGTTTACGCGCGGCTGGACCCTTCAAGAACTGCTGGCCCCTGCCCGTGTGGAGTTTTTCCAAGCCGACTGCTCGCACCTCGGAAACAAGATAACAAATTTCAAGACTATCCTGCAGCGGAAAACGCGGATCCCGACTGGAGCCCTGGATCATAGCAAATCTTTACTAGCATTCACTGTCGAAGAGCGCTTATCTTGGGCTGAAGGCAGACAGACGAAAAGAGAAGAAGATATGGCGTATTGTCTTCTCGGCCTATTCGATGTTCACATGCCACTCATATATGGGGAGGGACGCAGGAAAGCGTTCAATCGGCTGATGAAGGAGGTGAGGAATATGGCGGAAGACGCGTATCTTCAGTCTCCGTACCCACGTAGACCTCCGTCGTTTCCGTCACCGCCAGCAATGTTGCCTTATCATGAACACGCACCTTCACCGTACGGCCCGCCTCCCCCTTCCATGAATCAAGCCTATCCCTATTATGGGCCTGACTACCCATCACGTCGGTTCGCAACGCCAAAGTTTTATGATCTATCATCATCTAGTGAAGAATCACCATCCCCTCCTCTAAGACGAAGTTCCTCAGCGGCCGGAAGACAATCATCGCCTCCTCTCAGAAGAAGAGGTTCGGTAGCCAGAGTGGCATCACCTCCTCTCCGAAGAAGAACGTCATTCGGTAAAGGGCCAGCGGGCCCAACTGCCTCATCACTTTCCTTTCGCCCCCCTTCGCCTCAAATGAGTTCTGAGTCAAATGTAAGTCATCCCCTGCAGGTTCAATGGCATAATGAAAGCTTGTTAACCCTGATCCCAGAACACTGCTTTGTCGGTATCAAACAATCAGGAGCTCCGTCTCCAGTTTGATGTCACTCAACCTTTGAACATTACATTGAAAGGTGATATGGATGGCCGGACATTACAGTTTGTACCCAGTGGAGATGGGAAAGCAGAAATCATCATCGGCGGTGCATCGACTACTAGGCCCACAGTTCCAAGCACCGCAGGCAGAAGCCGGAGGACCGGAGCCCAGCCAGCCAGTCGCCCTACGCAAAAGAAGCCAACGGTGATGATTGAGAGTAATTCTGGTAGGAGTCGGCCGTCGAGAGACCCCCACGGCTCTTCGAAGTTGGAAATTGGAAATGGATTGAAGGGGGTCCAACTAGCCAATCGCCCACCACGCTTGACGCAAAAGACGTCAACGGTAATGACGGAGAACAACCCGGTAATGGGGAGCAACACTCGATCTCCACCAGAGATAGATATACATGGATCTCCGGTTCTTGGTACGGGGGAGTGGATTGGACGGGGTCCTGTATTTGGCTGAGGCAAACGCTAGAAGTCGACCCACAGAGAGTGCCATGGTTGCCGGTTCCAACGCAACGCGAGATACGGGATATCATTGAACTGGACCGGATCTGCCTTGAATATCTTCAAGAATACCTAGGGCTTTCTTCACTTCCAGGTATAAGAATTCTGCAAGTCAGTATGTCTAGTTCCCGCAGATCTGCTGGAGGCAGTACGGCCCAAAGTTCTTTACTTCCAATACGGATGGGAATAGGAATCGAACATCACTTTGTTTCTATTTGGCAGCTACTCATACAAGAGCCAGAAATACCTCTTCCAACGGGGGAGTAATGATACATGAGCACGCGACACAGTTCTTCAAGCTTCTACTTTTATTAAATGCAGATAGTCGACCACAAATTTTGAGAATTCGATACCAATCTATACGAACTTCAATCATAATCCTAATATCATACGCGCTATGGCTATACCCCTCTTTTCATAGCCATAGATCGCTATTCGGCGTTCCTCTTGTAGAAGGTCACCGAACTCCCTTCCACGAAAATCCAAAAAGAAGCAGTCTCATTCATCCTCTCAAACGTCAGGACCGCAACGGCAGCCACTACAACGCTCTGATCTGCTCGACTTCAAAGAATCCTTTTTCATTATCAATCTCCTTCTACGCGAGAAAAAAACCCTATCGAAGAAATGAGCTTCAAAGAAGTACTTAATCACAAGCCACCTAGTCACAAACCCGCATCGGAAAAAAAATTCTTGAATAAATATTCTATCTCATGGCCCTAAGCATCCATACGTTTCTCTTTTCCCATACTTCCCTTCTAATTCCACGAAGAAGTTCTGAAATTTTGACCTTGTCAGCTCGATCCGGTCGCCACCTAGGGTTCAATCAATTTGGTGAGGGGGAGCAAGGCTGAAAGGGGTCCAGTGTCAATATCTACGCTACAAGTCGGCGGGAAATGACCCTCTAAGCGGCTCGACTCGGCAAGCGCCATTTCCCATCTCTCTCCGCAAAATAACGTCCTTATCACAAACAACTCAGCCTCTCATTAGCCCAGCGAATAAAGGATTCGAGCTTCTACCTATGTAAATACTAGCGTGACCAGTGGAAATGAACGCTTTGGAGATTTTTGATTTGCGAAGTCTTTATACTTTCGAGGTAAAAATTGCTTTCTTAGTAATCTCAACCATTGTAACATCGCGAGATGAGATTTGGTGTTCTGAAATCTGGAGGCCGAGCCAAGGCGCACATGCTACGCTAGTACCCCGCACGAAGCTGAACACAAAAGGCGCACACAACGCTCTGAGGGTTAAGGACTATTCTCTCGTATAAATTGATATATATATTGTTGAGTCGTCTTTCGCTATCTACTTGTGGTGTGAAGCAGATACTATTGCCTATAGCCACGCCTTGCAAACATGGCACCGTATCTTTCATATGACTCATCGAAAGCTCTCTTTCTACTCATATAAAGTCGCCTCTACTTCATGCTCTAACAGACAAAACATACCCTCGCTTCAGCAAGCTATTGGCCATCACCTGAAACAGAGATGCTTAGGATCTATACTCCAGGAGTCAGAACGAACTATTGAATTTCAGAAAGATATTTCAACAGAAATAGAAATTGTGTATTTCGGAGATGGCAGGAATGCTCGCAAAGTCAGTTTGGCGAATGTGCTCTCGACGACCGATTTCACCACAAATATACCAAAAACAGTGGCGCGAGCTTGACCCCGCCCAAGATCAGACTAAAGGCTTAGAGCGCGATAGCCTGCTCAAACTTATATCATGGAACGTTAATTTCAACAACCCAGCGCCGAAAGAGCGTGTCGCCAAAATCATGCACTATCTTCAAGACAACCTTGGGGATAACCCGACCCAACTAGTCATACTTCTACAGGAGGTATCTCCATTGTCGGTTCAGCAAATTATGCAAACCAAATGGGTACAGGATAACTTTATAGTCATTGGTCATGAACCTCCGATGATTATCCAAGCAGGAATTCCGAGGCAAGCAAGTTACTATACGATGGCAATGACACCAAGAAGCTTGAGACTCCACAACTCCTTTCGCATGCCTTTACCGTCAGAGATGGGAAGAGACGCAATATTCGCGGATTTGCATTTGTGCTCTTCGAAAAAATCGCCCAGCGGTGTAAAAGAAGTCTTTCGCGTCAGCACAACCCACTTAGAGTCACTCCAAGAGGGAAGTTCACTTCGCGCACAACAATTGGGACTGATTTCGCAAAGTCTCGGGGGAGTAGAAAACGAGGTTAGAGTTGTTGCTGGCTTAGTTGGGGGCGACATGAATGCAATCCACCATTCAGACTTCACTTTACACAGGCGAGTGGGACTGAGAGACGCATGGGGTGATCAATCTACAAAGGCCGACAAAGGAGATTTACCTTGCAATCGAATCAACGGACATACCTGGGGATACCAATCGAATTCTACACAATTCCCTCCAGCTCGCCTAGATAAATTTTTGTGTAGCGGAAGCGTCAAGACGGCCGACCTCGTCAATACCAAAGGCGATGAAGAAAGGATTAAGCGGCTTGGTGTCGGATTGACAGTGAATGTATCTTCAAAAGATCCGTTGCAAAAAACTACAGCCCTAGGTCTCGAGAGAGACTTGCAAAAGATATGGGTAAGTGATCACTATGGGATTGCGATAGGAGTCAAGATTCCCGAGTAAATCAAAACATGATACTTTATATTGAATGGGTCATCTACCATGAAGCATGTCGAGACATTTGCGTAAACATGAGTAGATGTTCAAACCTCGTGATCCTAGACATCAAAATCTCCCTCTTCCCCCCTCCTGCCCCCACTTTCAATTCCCATTCTTCCCCTCCGCCTCCCTAGCCATATCCTCCAACATCGGCTTCGCCGGCATCGTAGCATACCTGGCCATAATCTCCAAATTCTTCTCTTTACTCATCTTCACGTCCCCTTTACTCGCCAGCGCCAGGATCTTGAAATAATCAATATAAAACGCTGGGGTGCACGTGAAGAACGTGCGAGCCTCGACGTCGAAGGGGTTCGAGAAGGTGTGCGGCGCGCGCGTGGGCACAGTGATGTAGTCGCCCGTCACGGCGTCGCTGTGGGTGCGGTCCGGGGTGTGGAAGCGGATTGTTCCTGCGGTTATCAAGAAGGATTCGTCGTGCATTTCGTGCCAGTGTGCTGGTGGGCCGGAGGTATGAGGTGGAAGGATTAGCTCGGCGGCGCCGAGGCGGTTGTCTGTTCACGCTCGACGATTAGATCGGGAGGTGAATGGGTGGGTGAATGGCGAGTGGGGTTTTTAGAATGGGATGATTGTTGGAAGAGGGGGTAATGAATTGCGGAATGAATCCTTTTCACACCTGTTTTTGACCCATCTTCCAGCACTCTGCAAGTAATGTGACCCAGTTTCAACACCTCTCCTGCTTTTGCGGCGACGAAGTTGATGGGGCGGCGTGGCATGTCCATTGTGGCGAGGGCTTTGGCGTCGTAGTCTTCCATTGTTGCTGTCCTTTTCCCTTTTGCTTCTTTTTAATCCTCTTCTAGATTCGTTCTTTGCTTTAATCCTCTATTCCTCTATTTTGGAAAAACATAAGAAGTATATTCAGCTCTTTAATATGTTGTTGCAGGAGGGCGAACTCCGAAAAAATATATGTACCACAACAGAAATGGTGGGGTAGACCAACTACTTATGATTCATTCGAATAAAGGCAAGGAGGGGTAAATCACCAACAAGCATGTCACAGAATGAATTAAAGTCCGACCGAAGCGGAGAATTGATACTCGCTGTGCATGTCTGCTGTTCTCGTACGTTAACAAGGATGGTGATAGGACCTTCCGTCTCCGTAGCGCGCATCCAACAACCCATTGCGGAGAGCCGATCGGGCTGCTCCTTTCCAGCCTCCCTCCATCCCAATTCAACCGCATATAGGAAAAAGGGGACTCTGGTATTCGATCTAGAGGTCGTCTTGATTCCAAGTGTTGTTTTTGTATTGCGATGACAAGCTTTAGCTGTGAGAATTTAATCCAGTGGCATAATCTTAGTCCTCAAATTGTGCAAAGATGTAATGGGGTTTGCCCCACCAGATGTTTTGAAAACATACCAACAGCTTACCCTAGTTACTCAAGTTGGCCTACCTTTCCTTTACCCCGGCACTTGTATGTACTAATAATCGGTGTTCGGTCTAGACACGTAAATACCTACCTAGGTAGGTAGCTTATCCTACACATGTATGAATTTCACAAGCTCCGATTCACATGCGCCGAATCACCGTCAGGCAAAAGACACTCTCCTTCACTCCAGTTCAGTTCATTCGAGATTTTAATATGCAGGAGTTGAATATATAGGAGATATTGCGGCACGTAGCGGCACTTGTATCTTTCGCCAGGCAGATACTGTATTTTGTTGGTGCTAGTTCTCGCCGAGCGAGTCACACATAGAACGCGATTTTACAGCACTTGTATTGTCAGAAACTTTGTAGATTTTTTTTTAATTCTCAACCTCTTTCAGAGAAGTTCTTCTTTCAAACGTCCCGATTCACTCACTTCCAAAGACCTTTCGCGTGCCAGCCCAGTCATTCAACCATTCGCTTTGGTGGTGGTATTATTACAAGTCAAATTTGAAAAACACCCCCCATTCCAGGTGCCAAGACGCCCCCAATGCGTTATGGGGCAATTCCCATCCGTTGATTTGGTCTGACCCCTCTTTGTTCCAAACGCCAAAAAAGTTCACCATCCCTTTTGGTTTCCAGATCGCTCGCCTGCCCCAATATGCATGATGACCCCCGGGGGGTAATGGGCTCCCAAATAAACGCCATGTGAATTACCATTTGGTAAGAGCAGATAAAAAGGTACAAAAGAGAAGTTCCGACCAGTTCGGGGATTGTGAGAGGTGGTTTAATGACGACGATAACCAGTTGATGCTGATCGACTTTTGTGTTGGTTTTTTTGTTGCACTCATCTGGTGCTGCTTTTCGCGATGCAAACGAGTGAGCTCGTTATCAAGGCTTGTTACGTTTTCACGTTTTTTTGTTCTGTTTTGTGGCTTTAAAGGTTTCTCTACAGCGAGAACGCTTGAAACCTTGGTGACTCATATGGTGGCGAGCATGTAGAACTGAATACTCTGGCAAACATGTCATGGCGGTCGGTGGAGTGATGTTCTTGCCCTCGCAGCGGTGTAGTAAAACCGTAACTCAGATGAAGATGGTGCTAGAAAGCGCGATACCTCCGGTGTTCCAGGGATGGGAAAGAAAGGCGAACGAGGGTCTCGAACTTGCCCCAGCCGATAAGTCAGCATTGCTATGCTTGGGCCAGCATGGACAGTGCGAGGCCATAAATGCTGGTGGTAGCTTGTTTCTTTATAGACCTTGCGCTGTCCTAAATTAGCAAAGGTCAGCATGAAGGTATGCACAAGCTCAGTGACCCTCAAGAAGTACGCGGTGTCTTCGCAGGGCGCGAGCTACGCACTTCGGGCTCATTTCCGTTGTGCTGCCGCTTCCTAGATCTCGCCGTTGCGCCGTTGGTCCGGTGCGGCTTCTTCTTCTTCTTTGCAGGCTTTGTCTCTCCGTCGAGAAAGACATCGTCAGGAAGATCGACGCTGAAACTGTTAGCTATGACCATGTACACGGTGAAAGCTGCACTTACTTGCGCGTGTGAACGATACGACAGAACATCTTCTCGGAGTCCCAGTTCTTGTTGTTCTCTTCAACCATACTCCTAAACGATGAGACCGGGTAGGATATGTCGAGAGTCTTGGAGCCTGAGCCGGAAGTCAGTCAAAGTGCAAAGATGAGAGATCGTAGTTTCCTACCTTCGGGCACATAAAGCCCAATGTAAAGCGTAGATGTATACACTAGGGTGTTTGAAGCATCTGCGGATGTCTCGTCGTTCTGGGAGTCACCCTTCTTTACCAAGTAATCCATAGACCCCTGCTTGACGCGCTCGATCTGATCGGCGTTGACGCACCGATGGACGCGATCGAATTCCTTCATATACGGACGAGCAGTTTTGTCGTTTGGATCAGTATCTTCGATAGCTCGAGAAAGTCTCGTGATTTTCGATTTGACGAGACCCTTGAAATTCTCGTCTGCGTCGGCAGTTAAGCTAGTCGCGATGACGCTCAGATAACGGGGATAATCTTTAGTAAAGAAAGAGTGGCGCTGTAGCAGCTCGTCCCATGTGCTTGTTCCGTTTTGAATCTTGGTAGTGATGTCGGCTCCGCGCTGAAATTCGTCCTCCATGACGGCCTTGGTGCTACGCGTGACGCCATGTGTGGAGCACATTTGGGGGTAAGCGGGGGTGATGACTGGCATGATGTGACCTTTGGCAACGCGGTCCTGGGTCGGATTCCAGACTTGATGATTTAAGGGATTTTTGGTATCAACCTCCTTCAGCATGACCGGACGGGGCCAGGGCCATCGCAACATCAGGTTGAAGAATTTGCACACAAGCGTCGCACCACAGGCCATGGGGAACAATTGGGCGATCCGGGCAACCATAATGGCCCAAGCGATACCGCCGGGAAAGCCAAACACAGCACCGTAAATTCCTCGCTGATTGGCCCAGAGTTTGATGGTTCGCAGTGCGAATCGGAAAGACTTGAGTTGTGGAACGGCTTGTAGCATTTCTTGAACCACACGGGGGCCGTTGATGGTCCGGATATCCACATCTTCCAACTTCTGCAAGATGGATGTATCGCCAATGAGATCTATGTCATCCGCAATGGTCGCCTGGGTGCGAAGAGAGCAATAGACCAAGTCAATGGCGATGCCGCGGTATTCGATCTTGATGATGGGGACGAAGGCGTCGGGGACCATGACGAACTCGGTGATGTCTTTGCTGTCGCTCATGCCGTAGAAGATGTCCCGAAACTCGTGGAAAAAGTCTTCGCGAGACACAGACTTGGGGCCGACTATGCAAGTATCGATATCGGAGGAAGGCCCAAAGACACCGAGGGCGTAGCTGCCGAAGGGGAAAACCTTTGCGCCGAGCTTCTCTGCGGCTTCTGGCGTCTGGCCCTTTTTGATGGCGACGGTAGCAACGAGCTTCTTGGCGGCTTTGGTGAAGTGGGCAAGAACCTGCTTCCTGCGCAGTGTCAGTCAATGTAAGGTGGATGGGCGTGCCATATCATTCGTCAAGCGTACCTGGTTTCCGAGCCCTCGGGGGTCTCGAAGTTCTCGCGCGCTTTCAAGTCTTCGACTAAGCGATCATTGAGTTCGAGGTCGACTTTGGTGGGCGCAGCCATGGAAATGGGTTTCGTGAGGCCCCATTGCTTTGTTTCCTCCATGGCGAGTGAAGGGCGCGACGGCGCGGGAGACCTGTTCGGAGGTGCTGCGGAGGCCGAGGCGCTGTGCTGAATGGGGGTGCACGCGCGGAGCGAGTGTGGGTTTTTAGACGGGAGATGAAGCCGAGAGACCGAAGTCGTGGGTGAGTGGGCAGGTTCACGGCTCCAGATGCAGCACGGCGATGTACCCAGCAGTGAGCGGTTGGGTTAAGGGAGAGAGGTTCCAAGGGAAGACAAAACAAGGTGAACAGTAGCTGCTTTCTAGAATGTTTATGTTACCGCACGAGCCATGCGCTAACCAGCCACGACGCCACACGACGCGACAGGGATGGCCAAATCACCATCTGAACATTTAAAATCATAAAACACCATTCCTCTCTAGAGAGATGAATTGCTAAAATGACAGCTCAGCTCGCCCCTCATCTATCACACAAAAGCGCTCTTGTATTACTGCCCTCTTCGGCCATAACATCACCCATTGAATTGGTGCGGCGTGTCCACGATAGGCACTTCAGACGCTGGCCGCCACACATCAACCTCATCTACCCGTTCCTTGCGTTCCCTTCAGAGAAACAAGAGACCGACGATGCTCAGAACGCTGCCTCGCCTCAATTGAAACAGCATATAAGACAGCGCATTGAGAAGGCATTAGCGAACACTTCTCCGTTCCGCACTTCGCTCTCCGCAGACCCTCCTGGTATCTTTTCCCACAGCAAACGGAGCAAGACAGTCTGGCTGCGTCCTGCCTCGGAAAACTTTAGCGCTCTCCATGCAGCACTGCAGGCTGAGTTTCAAGAGTGTGATGCAGACCAAAGACCTTTTGTACCCCATCTGTCTATCGGACAGGCCAATAGCGACCCAGGCGCACAGAGACTAAGCGAAACCATCAAAGCTCACGCCCTGGAGTTCACCAATGATCAGCCTACGCTACAGTGGGATGTTGATCAGGTCTTTGTGATTGAGCGCAGAGGTTTTCACGACCGCTTCCGGGTGGTGGGCGCGGTCAATATAGGGGGAAAATAACCTGGCGATCAAACAATTTCATTTGCCGGACACTACTGCTACAAAAACTTCCTCGATTCCACCACAATGAAAAAGAGTTGGTTCTTGTTGAATTCAAGCAAACATATCTTCAAAAAAGCCAACAATGATCAAAAAGGGCAACAGTCTTGTAGCTGGCAAAGCCAATGCGGCATTTGATGGACTGGGAGACGATGCACCCGAAACACTTGATTCTGACGAGGAAGGAGTCGATTCCTCAGTATTAGTCTTGAAAGCCGTTGAACTAGATGCTCTACCAGTTGTCGACGTAGCAGATGCCGTTGTTGGGGTGGCGGTAGCCGCTATCATTCACTCACTTATCAGTATCATTACTTACAATCATGTCACACCCAGTACTCAAGAACGTTGCAAAGGACTTACAATTGTTTACATCTGTTACGAGCCAAAATGCTTTGGTCCCAAGCCCCGTCGCCCAACATTCGATATTCGACACACCTTGCTGCTGCGCGGTACCTGTCGAAGCCACAATCACGCCTGTATTGCAAATCCCCTGTTCGCATGGCACAGACGTCGAAGGAGCAACCAGCACATTGCCAGAGCACGTTGTATATAGGTTACATGGTACTGAGGCCGCACAGCACTTTGCATAGGCGCCGCTGCGCGAGACTGTGGATGGGAAGTCGCAGACGCGTTGATCGGAGACTAGGTTGCTTGTAGTCAGCCATCTATGTTCCCATATAGAAGATGTGTAAAGATATAGAATATTTCATAAACCAACAATAGACCACACTTGCATTTGGACGCGCCGCTTGTGCTGACCCATCCCAAAAGCGTCGGATCCGCTTTACTTTCCTGTCGCACGGGCAGCGCTGGGCCGGGGGTTATCTGGGCCTCGACCACTCCAAGCAAAATTTGGCAGAGAATGCCAACAGTGCTGATTGACAACCAGAGCCACTTCATCATTTGAAAGTTAAATCCGAGAGTTAGGTTAGCAGACAGCGAGGAGAAGATGCACGGCGTCGCGTAGCAATGGCGGGAAGCTCAGGGGAAATATTAAATCCTCTGAAATCCCGAAGGACTCATCAGACCTCGTATGGCTCATTTATACCCGAATCAATCAATACTTCCACTCAACGAGTCACTCAACGAGTGTGCCTGAAAATGCATTTGGATTAATTGACCCCGTTGTCTTCTGACGATAGCGGGCGATTCGTAGTTCGCATATCCCAAACGTTCGGATAGGGTCCCACAAGCGCCGCACTAAGACGTATTTAGTCCGCGATCGGCAACGGCCAACGTCAGGGTCTCCCCGTTACCAGAATCTGACGTCACAGACACGAGAAAAGCTTGGATATGGGATTCCTCTCCCGACGACCTACTTAACTCGCAACCTTTGTCGTTCTTCTAGCAATTCGTCTTTTAACAAAATCTCGCTTTACTCGAATCTAATCTCTCCGATTCTCGTACTATAAAGAATATAAATCCTCTCGTAACCGTCACAACCTTGAACCTTCAACATGTCAGAAAGCAACAACAATAATAACAAGGAACACATCCCAACCACCAACGAAGAACCCCAAGAGCAAGAAAGCAAAGGCTCAGGAGGACTTCTCTCTCCTCTTGGTGACCCACTCGGTAAGTACCCATCTCCTCTTCTCCTCTTCTCTCACATAAGACCATAAATGTCTTCCTAACACCCTCACAGGCAAAGCCCTCAACAAAGGCCTTCGGCCCATCGGTGCGCCATTAGAGAAGATCACAGGCCCCCTCGGCAACGCTGTGGGCGGCACCACCCGAGGTGCCGTGGGCCCCCTCCTCGGCAATCAGGAAGAGCGGATGGAGGTTCTGGGCGGTGATAACAAGGATAGCTACGAGTCTAAGCCCGAGAAGATTGCAGGCAAAGAACAGACTGGGGATAACCCACTTGGATTGGATCAGACTGGGCGATGGGGATTCAGGGATGAGTAGGCTTGACGTAGGAGGAACATGTTGTAAGAGTATGACCGGTTTCTGGGAAACTATGCATCACGCAGTAGATGCAACTAATGAGAAATGATTTTCTTTTTGTTTGATTTTCGTATCTGCGTGTCGTGTGTGCAATGATTCGTAATCTCGGTGCTCCCAATAATTGACTTTAGAACCCACATGCATGTGTCAACTCTGGTGTCGGATCACGTGATGTTTACTTCCACTGGGGTGCCCTCAACATTACATGTATGGCGGATGGTACAGACTGACTCAGTCTTATTCAAACCAGACGCTTCTCAAAAAAAATTAGACAGACCCTAGAATCCTGATAACTATTGTCTACTCACTTTTGTGATTCCCCGCTACTATTGTTCAAATCTCAATAGCCTCAAACTTTCATCTTCACCATTTTTCAGTCAAGGAGTTGCTCTTCACCTTCACCTTCCTCTTCCCCTCCACACTCATCAATCTCGTATACATAAAACAAACGCGCATCCAGCACAATGCCTCCTCCACTGGATTTCTTACCTGCAAAAGCGACACTGAAAGCTACTTCAATTTCTCCTAGCATATCCCCGTCGTCAAGATGGCCGATCTACCGTCAAAACCAGCAATCCGAGACTATTACGCCGACCTCGAGGTCTCCCATAAAGATAACGTCGAAACAATTGAGAAAGCTTACAGCGCTTTGAAAACGGACCTCCAATCCGACAGTACACGCTCTATGGTGAAAGCAAAAGCCGTGCAGCTCCGCCAGGTACGTACCCTCATCAAATCTCCTCTCATTCCTTTCTAATAACTCCGAATAAACAGATCGAGGAAGCATGGGCCTGTCTCAGCGACACCACCAAGCGCTCCACCTTCGACACTCAACGCGCAGAGATCCGCCGCGAATGGATAATGTACTACGCGCTGCTCACCGCCTCATCATCAGCGCCGCGACGAGGACGAGGACGACCACGAAACCAGAACCGCGTTCAGCGCCCCCAACAGCACAGTCGCCCCTATCACTCCCTTCACCCCAAAACCCGTGCCGCTCAATCACAATCCCGGGAAGAGAAACTCGTCGCCGCGGCTCAGAAAGGCAAGGTTAGAATATTCAGAATTTGGCTAAATCGCGATACCCTCGCGGAGAAGTATCGCCAGCTTGGTATCGACTTCCATGAGCTCACGCAAGCTCTTCCCCTTGCGCTTGTCGAGAGCTGTGAGTGTGATGGATGTGAGATTGTGAGGGAGTGCAAGGTTGATGAGGCGGAGGAGATGGATGAGAGGTTGGCTCTCGGTGTGTTTGCGGAGTATTTGGCGTGGAAGAGGAATTTGGTGGGTCGTGAGGATGCGGACCAAGAGTTTGAGGACGAGATGCAGAGGGGTGTTGATCGGATGTTGGAGGTTGAGAAGATGGCGGAGAATGCGGAGAGGGTTGATGAGGAAGTGGAGGACGAGTGTGAGGTTTTGGAGTGAGTTGACAAATGAAGAGGGAAAAGGCATAGATAGGATGCAAGTCAAACATATCAGTGTCTAGGTGTTGAGTGTGGTTGGAAGATTGGTTCCAAGGTCAACACAGGAAGCCATCAGATCAATTAGGCGGAGAAATGGTTCAGTGGCAATTGGAGAGGGTTACAAAAGAAATCTTTATTACGCAAGACCAACATAGTCGCGTGATTCTGTCAACCTTTTCCCCGAGTAGAAGAGTTTGGAAGATAGCTCGAAGTGAAAGTTGTTTCTCTGTACTCTCTTCCCCGAAGTTTCTGTGCCTTTTTCCTCATGTCGATCCTAGCGTCAATATGTGCATGAATAGACCTCACGGCATTATAGACCCCTCAAGATAACTTCAAGTCTTCATATTTCAATATCTCTTAACTCTTAAAAAATGTGATCAGCTACAGGGCGTCACAGTGGTGGTTTGAAAGCTCGCCATGTTCAAGCACGCTTGACACATACCCCCACTCGAGAATTCTCAAAACTAGACCAAGACTTCCAAAAACTGATAAAAGACTACATACAAAAGCTCACGAAGTCCACCAACTAAAGTATCGAGCAACTACCATTTATCGGACCAAGCACCTCGTACCCCTCTTCGTCCGCCATTGGTCCGCCCTAACCGCATTAAACAACACAATTACCTCTTCCCCCCTTCCCATACCCATACAACTTCTCAAAGTCAACAACGCTCAAACAATGGTTCAGCTCTCCGTAATCCAACAAAGCAACGCCCAAATCGACCAATCCCACGCACCGCGCACAGCGGTGTTCATGGGCGGGACGTCCGGCATCGGCAAGATTACTCTCCAGGAGATCGCGGAATTGGGATTTGATTTCACAGCATACGTCATTGGCAGAAAGGAGACGAAGGAAAGATACGAACCGTTTATCAAAGAGGTCGAGGGCGCGAACCCAAAGACGAAGATCGTGTGGGTGGAGGGCGAGATTTCGCTGTTGGCGGAGGTGAAGAGGGTATGTGATTATATCAAGACGGTGGAGTCTAGGATTGATTTGTTGTTTTTGACGGCGGGGTATTCGCCCTTGGGAGGGAGGGATGGTATAAGCTTCCCCTAGTCCTTCATTTTGGTTGGAAATATATTGACTTTTGTTCATAAAGAAACGGCAGAGGGATTGGATACCAGTCAAGCGTTGCAGTACTACTCCCGGATGTGCTTTGTTCAGAATCTGCTTCCGCAGCTGAGGGCATCAGGTATGGCGCGTGTCGTCACTGTCCGTCATGCTGGGGGAGAACGCGCAAACATGTTGGACGTGAATGACTTGAATCTGGAGAAACCGAGTAGGCTTTTCGCGATTTGGATGACGTTCCACGTAGGTATCATGAACACACTATTTCTGGAAAGTCTCGCGGAGAAAAAGGAGAATGAGAATATTGTCTTCATTCACAGCCATCCTGGTGCTGTTAGAACTGGGAACGTGTATCGTGGATGGAAGGGATGGTCTTTGGGAATGTACTTCGCTACTTACGTCATGGATCCGATCATGATGCTTGTTCAGTTTAGCTTGAAGGAGTCTGCGGAACGGTATCTGTATGTTGTGACGAGTGGAACATTTGGTGGGAGGGGACCTAAAATAGCTGGTGTTGAAGGCCGAACAACAAGAGGTCGGGCTGATGGAGGACTGTTTCTTTCTGGGAAGAACTGCGACACAGTTACGAATGAAGTGGAGATAGCGAAACTTCGTGGCAGTGCCCAAGATGCTGTTTGGATCAAGACACAAGAGATCATTGGACCATATGTTTAATGCGGAGATATATGTATACGTTGGAGTTATATTAAACACTTCGCTACAGCAGATGGGTTGGAAATACTTACTTGATACCAATCAGACATACTCGTGACATGATTCTTTAGGCCATGCTCAGGCCAAAAAGAGTAAGAGAACATAGTATATTCAAAATGCAGGCACAGTCGGACAATATCTGCACAACAATACCGAGACCACATGTTACACACCAGACCCGTTTAGAGATTGAAACGTCAAGCAGACCATCATCAACAAATAAGCTCTGGGGGATCGATAAGGGTCCAAAGCAGTATTCCAAAAAAAAAAGCATCTCTGTATGGCAACGACAAATCTGGTAATCCGTCCATCTACTTTGATGACTGACAGTCCAGAACAGCGATTCGTATGTTTAAGTACATGAGTTACCTCTACCCAAAATGTGGGAAGTACCGAGACCATTTCAGAACTAGGAAAGGGGGTTCGGGGAGATGAATCAAACCCAGGAAGCTTTCGACAACGAGGTAAACTCGAGCTAGGACGTATATGCCTGGTAAAGCAAGGGGCCACCGTCAATAACACAATTGCCACAACGTCGTCAGCGGCAGAATCGGGTCTTTTAATCAACCTTGGTGTCTTCTGCAGACTCTCGCTTTTCAATCCATGCCATGAGCTGGAAATAATAGAATAGAGGGTATAAAATCCAGCCGGATGCTGATGTAACGAGAGCAGATCCTTTCCAATATGATTCCACGGTAGCTGACATTCAAAAATCATTATTAGGTCTGAACCACTATTCGCTCTATTTCAGCCTAATCGATTCAGGCATATGCTGGCTACTGCCTTCCTGGAGCAACAACAATACTTCTTCATTCTAGTCTGTTCCATTCAACAGTCGAACACGCAGGCCATTTGATAGGAGCCGACAGTACAACCGCCTTTTCCTATAAAGCATCTGAAACCATTAGATACCTCGCATTCTCAAACACTGGTTGGATATAGTTAGAATACAAGAAGTAGCACTACCTAAAAATCCACAAATATTCCCTTCTCGGGGAGGATTCACCCAAACAGGTGGGATGCATCATCCCGCCCTGGTGTTTCACGCACATCATATAGAGGCAAAAATCTTATCGCAGACATGTATTGGAGTTTGTTCATTTTATCAGTCGTCAGTGTTTGTCGTACTTATTATCCACTATCCACTGTCGTTATCCATTCCTTCAATTACAAAAAGCAAATGTAGAAATGGCGAAGTGCGGAATGTCAGGCCCCGACGCGATCCAGCTCTTGTTTAGATTACCACAAAATTCTTCCAGACAGCAAATTCAAGTAGTGTTTGAAGCGCGATCGATCCACGAGACCACTTAATCAATGCCGTCACTGGCGATGCCTTGTTTCTTTCGGTCTTCTACCCTCTTCCGTGTCTTCCCCTTTGCGTCCTCGATCCATTTATCATATACGCCGTCGCCCTGCACCAACTTGGCCTTGGTGACGCCCTTCATAAGCTCGCCCACGAACCCTACAAAATTGTGTCTCCTCAACGCGTTCTCCCACAGCCACGCGCTGCGTTTGTCCTCTTGTTCCTCAAGCGCCTCGGCATCTCCTATCTCGCGCGCGCGAATCCGCTGGTCCTGTACGCACGCTAGAAGGTTGAAACGTATCTCCGTGGCTGGGTACCGCGCGATGCGGCGCTGGAGGACAGGAATGATTTTTTCGGGAAATTCGGCGGGGGTGCTCGAACCGTGGGATATAGGTGCGGGTTGGAGTCCGTCGAGTTCGTAGAGAGTGTTGTTTATAGAGGTGTAACTGAAGAATGTTTGTTAGTACTAACCACTGAAGCTTTTCTCGTTCTCTTTGAGGGATCGAGTGAATATAGGTGTAAAGTTTAGTAAAGTGGGACAATGGTATATGACGTACGCAATGAAGTGGTATACGTCGTCGTCTTCCGTTGCAGTTCGCTGTGTCTCGTCGATGAAGGGTGATGACCGGGCAAATGAGTTGTGGACTTCTCGAATGACATCCGAGTTTGAGAGCGTCTCGCCACGGAACTACACCAAGTATTTCAGCATTTGAGATAAGTGGGAATACATCTTGCAAACATCCCAACGTACCTCCGGTGGGAATTCGCCAGTGAATTCCTTGAACTCGCGCAAGTCCTTCCCGATTTCGACCTCACCATCCTTGTTTAGAAGCACTGATAATAGCGCTTGTGTCCCACACGCATTCTGTATTGTTTGTGCCGCGAAGAATATCTTACTTGCCGCCTCATGGTCGAAAGTCCCGTCCTTTGGGGTATCGGTCCGCTTCTCGCCGGTGGGGTATTTGAACAGGAAAATGACGCCGTATATTTTGCCCAGACGCTTGAGCTCCTCCGATTCAAGTGTGACGAGCTCTTCGAACTGCACATCCTTGACGCCGAGCTTCTCGATCAGGTATGTGAAGACGCCCTAGTGGTAAAGTAAAGTTAGTTGTCTGATGGATCTGTGAGACTTGGAGAACAGACACAAGACACGTACCGCATCGCTTTCTATCGTATTCCAGCCTCCGGACATTGTGAACAGAGTCCTTTACTATTTGTGGGAGAGATTGTGTGCTTGTGAGGTTCGTGTTTGTATTTGTAAAGCTTGCCCCAGTCGGAGGCGTCACGTAGGACCGGCCCGCTTTACATGTGGTGGTCTGTGCGTCTTTCGGAAGCATTCCGAAAGATTCATCTTACAGGAATGCTTGTGACGCAATCCTAGTCGTTTCGGACTATAGCGGCCAAAATGCTCTATAAGATTTATTTATCAGGAAGATTTTGTTGTACTAACTAGTAGTGTTGGTACGCCGGATATCGTCCAACATTTGAGGATTTAGGACTTTTTCCCTATACCTGCTGCGAGAAAATCACGATGCCCAACACGTATGCTTTCGACAGGTTGACAGGTCTTACTCTTCCGCCCTTTGCTATAGGATGCTAAATGTCTGCAATATATTGGCATATAATTCGTCAAAATCAATTTTGTCTGGATGCAATACCGTTCGACACCTTGACAGACCTTAATTTTTGGCGAACAGCATTTGTTCATGTGAATCACTGTACAGGGTCGTCACCGGTATCATTACACACGACTATGTGATATACTTGATTGTATTGATAATCTCTTTGTTAATATCATGTATTTTCGTTGTTGGTTAGTGACATTGAGAAGCATGAATCGCGTCCACATTTTGTAGATACCCCAACAACAGAGTCAATTCATGATTTTTCTCGCCTTATGAAGAAAGCATGTCCTTCACGGTGCTTGCTACACCCGATTTTTTTATTCCGTGCGCGAGAGGCATAAATTAACCAATATTGATGGGCCTGTCATATGAACGATGCACACACACAGCTATGATTTCTCACTGGAAGCCGAATCAGGCAATGAGGCTGAAATACGAAGTAAGGCACACATGCTGCGTCGTGAAGGGTGCTCAACCAATCAGCCACGTCCATGTGGTCTTATTGAGAGGGCGTTACTTGCATATTGCGAATCAGGAGGTGAAGGGCGATTGCCCTTTCTGTCCCTCCTCTTCATCGAGCTTATCATAAATAATGCAGGTGTCCAACTGCTATGTTCCCACCCATCGACCTCGGATCACTTTCCAACAACCACACGTTGCTTATCTTGATCATCATGGATTATGATTCTCTCGCCGTGAGCGACTTTACCATGGACAACGTAGTGTGGAACCCTTCCTTTGTCATGTCCATCACCGAACCTCCTCCGTCTACTGGAATGATAGTATCGCAACCATTGATTCCAATCCTGACTGGCTCCATCTGGGATAGTGGAATAGTGTACCCTCCAATAGAATCTGGAACTGCGGATACTTGCATACTGGACTCTTATGGATTTCCAACCAACGAGACAGCATCTTCTGGATCAAACATGGCTTCCAGGGCTTTCACTGGACGTAACAATCAATTAAACCCCTTATCCGATCTTTACGCTCAAAGTCTATTGTCATCTTCTCTCGATACAAGACTTGTGGCCCTCCACACCAATCAGAGATCTATAAGTCGTGAATCGAAGAGTCGTGATGTGTGAGTGATCCTGAAAGATTGAATTAATCTATTTGGTGTAGGCATACTGACATGCCTGGATGGGGTACGATAATGATTATATGTAGAGGCAAAAAGTTGCATGCACGTTCTTACAGCTCTTTCTTGCCTACCGGATGCCCCCAGGACTCCAAGGCCGTTCTCTTCCCTACTGGCTGGCTCCAGGACTCCAAGGCTCTTCTCTTCCCCACTGGTTGGCTCCAGGATTCCAAGGTTCCTTTTTGCCGCCCGGATGGTTCCAGGACTTAGGCCTCTGTTGGCCGCTGCCGATGGATCCAGGCCTTGGCCAACCCTGTTACATATACTGGATGACCCAGGACCAGAGGATTTCACCGTTTTATTATTCGTGACGTTCGTTGCACGCTTCATCTCAAAAGCATTTGGTCTTGTCGATACCCCATCCAATAGGTCACAGATACAGAATTATACCTCAAATCACATCAAATCAAAACAATTTGGTCAGCTCACAGATTATAGACGGTAATGATAAGGGCAACAACATCGCACCCCAGCCCTATCTGTCGCAAAGCGACTATAACAGCCAGGAACCAATTACCCCTTCATCCCGACCCACCCCATTCCCGATCACAGATGAAGAAGCACAATCTATCGAAAGAAGGTAAGCTTGAAAGAGCTTACAGCATACTGTCATATCTTTCATATCAGCTCCTGCTTACGCTGCACTCAAACAGCACCTCCGATATACAGTGCCACTTCCGAACGATCACGAAGACCGCCTACCTCTGCACCTTCCAGAGGTGCAACAAACAGTTCTCTCGCATAACCGATCTTCACCGCCACCACAGAACCATACATATGGGCAAAGAAAAATTTCTATGTCGCTCGGATGGCTGCGGTAGACATGTTCGGCCTTTTGCACGCAAAGACAAACGCGACGAGCACGAGAGAAAGATGCACGGTCCTGCTCGAAGCAGAGCTGATTACATGGCTGGCAGTGATAAAGGATTGGTGGTATACAAGTGAGATAAGCAAGGATAGGAGACACACGGTCATTTTCAGAGGAACGCCAATTGCAATGATGACAGGGCGTTTGTATGTCAGGGACATACACTTTCAGTTGAGTTGGTTATACATGGAGTCTGGTTTGTAAATTCTTCGGGGATCAGTTATTTCGAATCTCACATTTTCCTCTCATTCATCAATATGGTACCAATCTCATACAGTTTCCCACAAACAGCATTTCACCATTCAATCAACACTTGCTTTTTGCGAATGTGTTGCGATGGTCATTCGACTTCCCGTACCTTTCCCCCAGACAAGTGCATAGTACAGACAGCTCCAAAGTACACTAGGAACATAAGAAAAAAAAACTTTTACTTGACAAACTATGCTTCTTCAATATACCCAATTCCAAGCCATCCAAACCCCAAAAGTGATGCAAAACCAAATCCCATATTCCCTTTCGAACCAGCGCTTCAGAAAGCAAGCAAGCATCCTAACCAGCCCAAACAAATGTAAATCTATAGGTATCGTAAAAACACGCCCCTTTTATAAACAACATCCCACAGCTCGAACCATATAGTCGGCTTATCTCCGTCCCTGCACGCCCAAAACCGCAAACAGCGCCAACAGCGCCGCAATAACGACCAATGCCATCGACACAATCACAGCCGCCACAATACGTTCGACCGTAAACCTCACATCATCGACCCTCGCAATCTCCACGCCCGCCTCCTCATCCACATCCGCATTCTCGCTACTTGTCGTATTCACGGAACCTCGTGGTAAGTGGGGGACCAGCGTCTCGCGGAAGGACTCGCGGACCACGACATCGTAGGACGGCGGTGCTTCTGGCGGGTATGTGTAGAGATGCGCGAGTGGGACGTCGTTGGCGTGTGTGGGAGTGGCGTCGGTGTATGGGGAAGGGAAGGGTGAAGGGTTCGGTTGTGTTGGGATAGATATTGTTGGGCGGCGTGGTGGGGATGTTGTGAGGGTGTTTATTTGTTCGGTGGGTGTGTCGGAGGGGTCGTCGCGGTAGGGTTCGAATTGCTGTGGATTGGTGGTGGGATTTGTTGGGGGGAGGGAAGGCTTTGCGGTGGAAGCTCGGCTTGGAGGTGTGCGTTGCGGTGAAGGACTTGGGGAAGAGGACGGAGAGTCTTGATAGGGTGGTTCGTTGGTTGTCATGATGTGGCCCTGGTTGCGGTTAATTGTCTGTACAACTGGTGGTTGAGGTTGGGGAGGATGCTTACGTCCATGTTGCTAATCCTGCGCAACCGAACTGCTGTTTAGAAGAAAGGAAGATGAGTGTTGTGTATCAAATGCACGGATGTTCACGGAGGAGAGGAGGTGGGGAGAAGCTCAACGGATGTGTTGGAGCTGAGGATTAGTGAGTCGAAGCTATGAGTTGACGAAGAGAAGGAAGAGTGATGACAAGTCCGATGCAGTAGGAGCAGGAAGCACAGCCATTTGAAACCGCTGCACAGCTCATGTCCTTTGGACAAGTAATTGTGGGCGTGCGCAACCACCGACGCACCCGCCCGCAGTTGCCTGCTTGCTAATGTGATGAGATGACGAGGATGCTTCCGGAAGCCCTGCAAAGGGAAATGTGTGGCTGGAGTTCCACCAGCGCGAACTTGGACCTCATCTCGTTTCCGGCGGCGCAGTAACCCTCTCTCCATCCTTCTGCTCATCCAATTCTTATCACCATCACTAAACTCAAGTCAGTTTCTGCTGTAACGAGCTGGCTGGCAAACAATCCCGACAACCTTCTGATAAGCAAGGCAACCATCCTCCCCAAGCAACATGCTGCATTCGGAGCATCAAACGCACAGCCACAGGCAGACATTATTGCCTTGGCCCCCAAACATCAAGCTGACACCGAGACTTGCATCACAGAACCATAAAACCAGCGGCTCGTTTCACATTTGTGGACCGGCGAAAATGGGAAAGAAACCCTGGATGCACGATGCAAGAGAACACTGCCGCACTGAATCGTATGGTCCTATTTTCGGCGTATGGTCGGTTTTGGCATTGTGCACGTTCAACTCTATTGTGAGGCTCAACCGCCATCTGCTTTCAGATGGAACGTGCTGTGCATGTGGTCATCTAGCCAAGTCGGCGTACTTGCATGCATATTTACCACGTGCATGCAAGATTATCGTTACTGTTTAACGCCAACGATTAATCTATCATACGCGTTGTAGTAGGGAGGTACGATGTCGTGCTAATGCAAGCCGCAGTATCTGCGTAAGAGCTCGTGAAAATTTGGATCTGCCCATGTACTCAACGGCTCTATGCCTACCCGCGTAACAACCCAATAATAAGACAAGCAGACTTCACCATGGCAGAACTCAATTGGTGAACGATAGATTCATGATAGATCGTCTAAATTCGCTTTTGGAACGTTGGATATGATCATCTATGTACAACCCCAATAAATACATTAAGTCAGGGGCAAGCCAGTGCCCTACAGGCATGCCAGTGCCGTACCAGATAGGATAGATATAACAACGAGGGTATCGTGTGCGTTCGACGCACTGTCTAGGGTATTAAGTAGTGTCAACACCTCCAGGGCTGTGCTCATGAAAATTTTCTGGGGGATAATATGTCTCCCGCCGCTACCGTGATGGTCATGGGTCGTCCCACACCAACGTGTGCCATCTCGTACGACGTCCGCTCTTCCCACGTATCATCCGTAATGGATGAAGTGGTAGTGTTCAGTTTCGAATTGTTCGCCGTGTCCATGGACTTCGAGCTGCTCATTGTATCAATGGATTTCAGTCCTACCACGCTTTCTTCATGGTCTGTGACGGGTGTTTCATCACCGGCTTGAGTCTTGTCGTTGCTCATCTTGCTGCGCACATCCGAGGCAATCTTGCGGAAGAGCGGGCGTAGAATGGCGACTGAGGAGGCGACGATGCCCGTCCCTGGCTCCGCAGTTGCCCAGATGGTAGCCTTGATCGAGTTTGCTTCAGATTTTGTTAGTATCGGGAAGCAATAAACGATGCAGAGGTGACTATACCTGTGAGGCCTTCCCTGAAAACCAATGACTCCAGATATACCATGCGCATTATGCTAGATATCGAGCCAATGGCAGCGAAACCAATAACGATGCTGATGGACAACTTGGATCGTCGGTCCATGTCACTCTCGATCAAGATGAGGATGGGAACGAGGGTGAAAGTCCAGTCTGCGAGGACATTGATGATGCCATAGATGTACCCAGTGGCCAGCGTGAACGCAGTAGGAGCGCAGGTGTCCGACCCGACAAAGCTGTCCGCCATTCTCGAGGGGTTGCCACAGACAAAGACGGTGGTAAGAAAGTAAAACATCCCGTATACAGCAGATACTATGAGGATCGTATTGAATAGATAGCGTTGCCATGGCTTGGTGAGCAGGCGTAGAAAGAAGAGCCCTAGCGAGGTCTTGAGGAATGTAGTTGTGAGAATGTAAAAGATCTCGCTGAGTTGAACCCACTGCAATCATTCTGGTCAGTGCGTGCGAAGAATGAGGACTGTAGTGAAATCTTACAATGAGACTCTGTTTGACTTGCTCAATTGTAACCGCCTGTGTTGCACGCAAAGAAATGATGACGATCAAGATGAACGTCACATAGCAAGTGAAGAGGCACAGAGTGAAGACCATAGCTGCATCATCCCACCCGGGTGACTTCGTGATACCAAACCGGACCCATACGCGAAGACTAACTGTTATCCACGAGAGAGCGAGGAGGGCAACAGCAACGATAAATGTGAGGTCCCCCAGGGACCCGAGCTCGTTGGTTGGAGGAGCCATGTTGGCGGTCTTTGAGCCAAAGATGCCCCAGCTTGAGCTGCAGAGCAGACGCCTGCATTTATCTCATTCCAGTAGACTTAAGAAATCGTAGCTAGGAAACAGGAGCGACCGGATCAACTCAAAGCCGCATTGTCGTGAGGTTGCCCGTATAACAACATTATAAACTTAATTGCTCAAAGGGGTCTCCTTGTAGAGCATGCGATTGGGTGGTGAGGAAAAGCCACTGCCGAAACGTTGCAGATGCTTGCATTCAGACGTTTTAATGTGGAGCTGGACACTGGAGGTGGAGAATAGCCCGACGGTCCTGTTTTGCGAGCCACCAGGAAGTTACAAGATGTCGTGTGTTGCACTATGCTCGGACACGAAGCCCTGCAGATTTCGACAAGGCCCTGCTTTTCCAGACAGGGCTGCCCTGCATACTCGGAAACATCAAACGAACATTTAGGGAAATATCTGGGAAGCGCGATCGCTGTTTTGGAACGCATGGAAACACATGACCTTCATGTGGGGGCTGCCCGTTTCATACCAGTCCGCACGTAGTTCATTCGGAGAATTGGAAACTATTCGTTGCCGTGAAGACGAAACCGTGGGGTGAAAGCTATTCTTTCTTTGTAGTCCTGTTAGTATAGGATGGTAGGGATGACTCTAGAGAACTAATAGAACTTCGTTCTTGCTGGTGATGTTGAGGCCTTCTTGACAATGAGATCTCCTAAGATAGCAAAGTTCGACACTACTATCTGACATTTCCCTTTCGAGCCAGGCTTGATGCAGTGTGTTCGGGAACCTACATGAAGGCGATGTCGTTTCAACAGTGCTGCAGCAATGCCTGACTCGTGCGTTTCGAAGGCTCGACATTAATTCTAGCTTGGACCTGGTTTCGCACACGCCAACAGAGCGAAAAATACTCAACAGAGTCTCCTCTGGGACCCAGCAATCTGGAGATTGAGGCTCGAGCACAGAACACATGGTCGTCGCGTTGTGTAATGTGGATCGGTGAAGTCTGAGCGGAAACTAAACCGTAAAGAAGAGCAGGCACGATAATAACAATAGATTCACATCAGCATCAATACAAACCATCACAGTATTCATTGAATACAAACAATGTGGGTTGGCTTGATATCAAATATTTGGAGTGCACTGCGTACGAAGAGGTGAGGTGAGGCTCAGCTGGATCTACCCAAATCGGCTTAGCGTTTACGGGACGGAACATTGTTTCGCCTTCGCGTGTTAAAAACAATTCTTCTCGTGTTTCGTCTCAACACATATATCTACTCCTCCATCATCTACAACCCTGAGTCGATATGGTGGTTTCCTGCCTTTACTTGGCCCAGCAGTTCCATCGATTCTATGGTTCATACTGGTTATTGTCATGAAGGATCCCTTTTACAAAGCAAAGGATGGGTGACGCCATGAACCTTGAACTTTCTCAAGGAAAGCGCATCCATGCCTGGTGCTCGTGAGGCGACCGAGTCAGACAGATACCCAAATTAATCCTTAGGAGTTGCTGCATGGTCCGGCCGACATCTTCCAGCGTTGATGCTCATTCTCAAGGTACGTAAAACTCTTTGTTCTTTCCTCTCATATGATGATATAAGCAAAAATCACAGACCTGATCTGAATGTATTACTACATATGTTGATGCATTGCTTGGAGACCTTCTGATAGAGATTTCATCATCTTGTTTCATGTTGCTGTTTAACATGATCGTTTTGGCTGACTTTTCGCAGACGAAGCCTTTGACTTTTTCAATTCACGCCATCGTAGAGACTCATTCGCTCGCCACTGCACCATCACCCTTTGATCGGGATGTTTTTCATTGTTGGTTTCTTTGATCAGACATTAAGAGCCACATGTATAAACTTAGGTATGGCGCGCATTGTTCCCTCATGCTCGGATTCATTGTTCAAGTACCGTATACATAGTTCTGGAGAATACAAAGATGCTGTTCATTCATATCGACGTCGTGCTTCCCTTGCGTTTCTACTTCTATAGCATTCACGTTTGCGTTGTGAGCTAAATTTGTGGCACACATGTCATAACATCACTCAACCTTGAAAGTATGCCAAATAGTACTCGAAAAACATCAGCTTCCGGCTCGGCCACATCGCCGGGTCGACGCTCAACCCGATCTGCTTCTCGCACTGCATCGGTCAATTCCAAGACGTCCAAACGTTCAGCAAGCACACCCAAAGCCCTGAAGGACTTCGACTGGGATTCTCTTGACCCTGCACTATTCAACGACTTCGACTTCGACCCTAATCTCTGGGCGGATGAAAACTTGGCTGCAGGCAATCTTCCAACCACTCTCGACGAACCTGTCGTCCAAGGTGAAGTCAATCACTCGGATCTGCAACCTTCTTTCAATCTTCTAACAAATCCCCTGTCTGCCGTACCCGGACAGAACGGGGCTCAATCCGATTTCCTTCTCGAGCAACCTTGGGACTACAACGCCCCTTTCTATGAGCGGCCAGATCTTACTCCTGTACCCGCACATCCGAGCTACTACGTGGCGCAGCCCATCCAGCCGTCAACTCCACGTAGGTCGTCGCGAGGTCCGTCTAAGACTCCAGTCCGGGATACTTTCAATGGCCTGGACCCTAGCTTTTCATATGGTCTCCAAGATCACCAATACCCGGAGCCCATCGATCCTCGGCTTCTCGGCACCGGCCCGTATGGTGCAGGCAATGCCACTCGTGTTCCCTACCCTCAATATGGCACCGATGACTCTCTTTTCATCCCCGAGTCAGGGCCGCCATCACACCCATCACGACATGCCCGACAGTCACCCATCGATCCCACGGGTGCCGATCGTCGGCGCAGGAGCTCTTCTTCGCATCCTACACTCCGGTCTCGATCATCACGCAGCAGTGGCGATGAACGTCCAAACAGGTGCAAGTCGGTTTTTCAAGAAACATTCAAGTACGAGCAGCCTAAGACCGACCCGCAAAAGCCATGGATTCGTACAAATATAACTACAAAAGGTGTTACTACTCGCACTGCGAAGTGTAACAGCTACGACCCCAACGAGTACTATGTTTATACTCCCAATCCACTTGGGGACTGGTCTACTAGGCACAATCGTTTCGAGTACACTAGGCATGGCGAGCTGGCGGAACCTACTTATACGGCCGCGCAGATCCGAGACTTCATCCTAAGCTATCCCGAAGACCGCGAACGCAAGATCAAACTGCAGCTCTTCATCCAAGTTGGGCCTACTGATTCTGCTCGTCGCTATATGAGCCAGTCATGGCCTAAATGCCGCTTCAAAGAATGCCCTGTTGTCCGATACGAGAAGGGCACGATTCTCCACGGCCACTACCGTGTTGCATTCGATGAGCGTTCATTTGGCACCGGCAACCGATACGATCCGCATCAAGCAGCTAGCGCTTATGTCCACCTGTACTGCATGGAGCGTTTCCTCGACTTCGAGTATATTTGCCGCAAAGCTCATGTATACGTGGATACGCGCCAGTTCAGCGGTGAACCTCGAGGCAAATATGCGGCCTCCCTTGCCGGTCGTCCGGAATGTGCACTCGCCCAGGACTTCGTGCGATATGCTTCTAGGGACAACCTTAGGGCGTTGGATGACTTCTCTAACTACCCGAGGCATTCAGATCATGCAGACGGCAGCAGCAAGCCTCATGAGTACACGCTGACGGCGCAACTGCATAAGGTCAAGGCAGAAACACGATCTGCAGCCCAGATCAGGCAGTTTGAAGAGCGTGGTCTCGGCCCTTCTCACATCCTTGTGAACAAAGGCGATCTTGAAGTTCTCATGGCAGAGAAGCGTCGCATGAAGACTAAGGCAGCACGTAAACGCAAACGTCAGAATGAAAATGCGGATGACAACGATGATGACGCCGACGAAGATGATAACGATCACTACAACATCCAACGCCGCCGTCTTGTCAATGAAGCTAAGAGCCAATACGTTGTATCGAAGCGCCAAGCGCCCAAGCGCCCGCCCCGTAAGACTAAAGCTACTGTTCGTCCGCAGCGGGAACCCTGGGAAGTAGATGACGACGAGGATAGCGCGGACGAGCATCGACCTGTCGCTTCACGCTCGCCAAACACTCGTCGTAGTCCACGCAATGCTAGACAGCGCATCGACTATACGGAGCCTTCCAACGACCCCTTGTATGACTCACGTAACGAGCAGGCCTATCAATCAGGTCACCACCAGAACGCTTACCAATCCGCCTATCAGCCTGGGTATCAACCTAGATATGACCTCTTGGCTGAGTATCAGCCAGAATACGAGCGCGTCTACCAGCCAGAGATTCCCACTGGCTATCGGCCGGTCCAGGACTACTCTCGACGTACGCCTCCCCCAGTTCCGTACGCAACCAAGCCTAGGTCCGGGGCCCCCGTTACCTCTGGAGACGTAGAGTTTCAAGAAGAAGAAGGACCACCACGCCGTCGCGCCGGTTCTGTCTTCATCGATCCGGAGCTTGAAGAAACCAACTTCGACCGCCTCTTCCAGGAGACTCTGCAGCGCCGCTCTTCAAGCATTGGATCTTACGCTCCCCTTCGCACCGGTAGCATTCTGCGCCCATCATCATCAGGCCTACGCTCAGCAGGCCCTCGGTCAGCAAGCACACGCTCGCCCCGTTCAGCGAAGATCCGCTCTGCGTCCTCTACAAATTCCCGGGTATCTTTCGCTAGGCAAGCTTCGACGCGCACGTTCGATTCGCAAGCGCCACCCCAGGACGTAGAGGAATCGGTCCAGACGCCCCAAACGCCTCGCCGCACGCGGCTCCAGTCAAAGGCCATGCAGAAAGGGAACGACGCACCAAAGAACGTGCTTGGCGCGAAGAACGCCGGGGTCTCAAAGAAGAGGTCGAGATCGTACTAAGATGTGGTACGTGCTGAATTAACGTTTCGAGAACAAAGATAAAACGGTGGGTGGGTCTTTTGTTCCATTTCTTATTACTTATTTCCTCAACGGCGCAAATGGCGCTCTTTGTTTGTTTAAACATTCCCCGGCTGATTAAGACTGACACACAACTTCGGAGTTTTGGAGTTTCTTTATATATGGTTTTAAGACTGGAGGGACGTGGCGCAGGACGCCCACCTCCAGATCCCGAGTAAGAAATTGGAGTATAACATCCCTCCCTGTGTCACCGGACACACTGTGTATTTGGACAAGACTAGTATTTAGACACGTTAATCTTTCCCTCGCGAATCTTTGCGTTATAGCTATGAAATCATTCTATTCTTACTGTTTTTACTCCAACAATTGCCTTGTAATAATAAAATTACTCTAGTTTTAACTGTGTTGCTGATAGGGTACTAGTGAGCTCTTGTTTCTTCCTCTCATACATGTTATATGGGCGGGTCCCTTTGCCAGCAGCGAGTGGACAGAAGCCTTTATCCTTGAGCATCATGTGATACTTTTCCCGCTTGTCGCGAAGCGCAACAAGGACAGGATCATTTCGTACCTACTTTTGCTGGTCGTCGTCAAGTTCAGTTGGTGATTGGCGGTCTCGTGACAGGCCCATGCTCGCAACGGACCTTGAGCACTTGAGGTCATCCCAAAATAAAACGCCTGGAAGGCACGTGGCCCATGGTCTGTTTACGATCTACCGCATCAAGAGCGCCGTAGAATGCAATGCACGGCAGGCAGTGAAGCGGAATCGGTGGTACCATTATTTCCGTCAATCAATCACCACCCACGAGCTAACTTTGTTCAGCAGGCGTGCATTTGTTTTTGTTTACTCATCAGTGTGCAGCGGGGCTGAATAAACTGTGCTTTGGAATAAACTGGATTTTTTAGAGGATATGGACATAGGAGGAGAGGTATGATCGGTCAGCTAATTAGCCAGTTACCTACGTAGCTGTTATCTCATTACTCCAACACTCTACATACCCACGGCCTGCTTCCGTAAGACTACTGAGAGGACGATTAACTTCAGTCCTACGTTCCATTGGCCCGGAAGTAGTCGGAAGTAGTTAGAAGCGCAATTACTCATTCGTCCAGCAAGACGCCGTTCCTCCAGAGCCCAGCTCTTACCTTCCATCTTCCCCACTCCATGCGACCCTTGCTTCAATGTGATGATAAGCAGAATGCTCCCAGGTCGCTGATATATAAGCCATTCATTCGGCCCCATCCAGAACCACATCTACAGAGCTTCGCATTCACAAGTCCTTCAACCAAGAATATAAACATTATACATTGTTTCCATCTCGTGCAAACATGGCCGACGGCTTCGCAGCAGCAGACAAGTCCAAACCATTCATCGCAAACAACAGCCTTGCCAAAGACCGGGGCTACAAAGATGGACTCCCAACAGCAACCTGTCTCTGCGGCGGCGTGCAATTAGCCTTCGTAAGCCCATCCGCATTCTCCAACCCGCATCACTCTATTCACTAACCCGCCCACCAGCCCGTCGAAGGGCCCGGCCTAATCAACACTTTTGTCTGCAACTGCACCGACTGCCGCAAACTCACCGCCTCCATGTTCGCATCCAACTTCGCCATCGACGACAAGTACCTGGTGCACGTGCGCGGCCGCGACAATCTCAAGTCGTGGTATAATCCCGTCACCCCCGTGCGCCACGAGGGCTCCATGACAGACTACTTCTGCAGCACGTGCGGGACCCTCATGTACCGCGTCAGCTCGGCGTTTCCTAATGTACCGATTTTGCGGATTGGCTCCGTGGACGATTTGAGTTTGCATGAGACGAAGCTGAAGCCGCAGTGGGAGCAGTTTACCAAGGATCGCGTGAGCTGGTTTGGGGGTGTCAGTGGGGGTGATGTTAGGAAGATTGAGGGCAATTCGAAGACGTATACGCTTTCTGGGGGATAGCTGCGTATCGTTTATTGGTAGTGTTGGCCGGGCGTGGGAGAAGCGCTGGTGGTGGTGGTGGTGGTGGTGGCCATCGACTGTGAGTACAGTACGAGACGGCTGCTTGGTTGTGTTTTGTATGTTTATTCTCATGTACACGTTATTGAACGTTCTATGTCTTTGATTTATCTCGTAAGTTCAGTAACCCAGACTTTAGCATTCCCAAGTAAACACCTTGAATCATCAAATCCGTACATCTCCACTGGATCGTTGGGACGTCGTATATGTCACTACGTCAAATGCGCAGTCAACCTTGAATCATCAGGCCACACGGTATATTGAGATTCTTTCCCCAGCAATCTGCAACATACTGTGATTGATCCAGACATAGTGCTTACAGCGTTCATCGATCAATGATGGAGGTATCTTTCAAAGAAACTCTTTCAGAGGAGGGACTTCAATCAAGATGAACAGCGAATGCAGTTTCTTCTTGACAGAAAGTTTCATTGGCGCATGTTGCAGCAGTATGATATCATACGGATCCGGAAGAAGCGGCATTCGTGAAGAGACTGGAGATCCAAGTGAGTGGCATAATTCGAATTGCTTTTTTCCTGCTACAGTTTCTATCTAAATGATACTTGTTAGCGGCGGCTGGTAATTATCCATATTCAGAGGACATGTTAGCCTTAACAGAAAACGTCTTTGAGATCAGCAATTGCTTCCTCTATCCAAGTTAAAAGATTCGAATTTAGTGTGTGCGGGTCGGTCACCCCCGTATGGGACTCTTTTGGAAAGACGATCGGTGCTGCTGCTGATGTTGTTGTTCTCTTTACTCAGGGAAACATCAATGAAAACAAAAGAGAGGCAAAATTATACGAACCCCGCGATTGCCTACTCACAGATACAAATATCCATCAAAATATTATCTTTCATTATGGTCTACGCGGAAGAAACAGTCAATGAATGAATCTCCTTCAAAGAACAGGCATTATTGTCAACGCCATGACATTAGCCGCTTGGAGTTTACTAGATGCGTAACACAAACACAATACAGTCTATATACGACTATCCGAATATCCACAGGCGGAATGCGAAGTCTTTGGCCGAAACGTCCAGATAGCATACATTCAAATGTTCGCAACTGGCTTCTTATCATACGATAAGGCCTGATGACGATTCTCGATTTCCCATGGTTGTTCCCCCAACAACGTTTGTTCCTCGCTGCCATGGCCCTTGGCAGCAGGCTATTTCTGCAACATATATTGACCTTCCTATTACAGAAGCTACAGAAAGCTTGCACGAAATATCGCGGAGGCATATCAAGTACGCGATGGAGCAGATAACCTGATGTCGCCTAACTCATTCCGCTGAAGGAAGCCGTCAAGACATTTGCAAGACGGCTAGCAGCGTCATGCAGATTGAGAACTATAATGCAGAAAATATAAAGACAGGCACAAATATCCACCTGCGAGTTGCCTGGTTCCATCCGGTTTTCGATAATCGCCCCGCCTGTGACGATGTTGACCGCGTCTTCTGCAGCGCTGCTACTGGCTTTCGCCAACTCTGCTCTTGCTCAATTCCCAGCAGAACCTCAAGGCCGGACTGTTCTTGAATCGCGATTCGGCGAAGGAGTCACGATCACTTACAAGGAGGTATTATTTATTCAATATCACTGCACATAGATTTCGCTAACGGATTCCAACAGAACAGCCTCTGTGAGACTGAGGATGCCAGGTCGTATGCAGGACACGTATATCTTCCTCCGGGAACAGCGGACTTAGGCCAGGGCCAAGATTATCCTATCAATAGCGTAAGTAGATTCGAGTTATCTGTATATTCAGGTTGCTAACATGTTTCAAGTTTTTCTGGTTCTTTGAAGCGCGCAATGACCCCACCAACGCGCCTCTCACTATCTGGTTGAATGGCGGTCCAGGGAGTTCGAGTATGCATGGATTGTTTACAGAGCATGGTCCTTGCCATGTCAATGCGGATTCCAACAGCACACGACCAGCACCATGGAGCTGGAACGAAAACGGTAGGTTACAGCATATGCCACTAGTCCATTGGAATATCATTGACATCCACCAGTGAACATGCTTTACTTTGACCAGCCCGTTCAGGTCGGCTTGTAAGCTTTTGTTCTTTCGATTTTAGCCTATCAGCTTGAAAACTAACAGTGTTGAAGCTCGTACGACACACTCCAGAATGTGACAAAGAATCTTATCAACGGCAGAGTGTCCGAGCTGAACGAGTCGACACCAGTGCCAGAGCAAAATTCGACCTTTCTCACCGGAACATTCCCCAGTCGCGAGCCCAACAACACTGCTTTCGGATCCGTCAATGGCGCCGTGGCTTCCTGGCACTTTTTGCAATCTTGGTTTCAAGAGTTTCCGCATTATCTACCGTGAGGATATCCTATCTAAACACTGTGGGAAAGTAACTGACATCTTCCGCTCACGTGAAGAAATGACACACGTATTTCTTTAGCAGCTCAGTCGTATGGAGGTCGTTACGGCCCAGCCATGATGTCTTTCTGGGAAGAACAGAACCAAAGGATAGAGAACGGTACATGGGAAGGCGGCGATGGTGAACAATTCATTTTGCACCTCGACACTCTCATGATTGTCTCGGGTTGCGTTGACCGCTACGTACAATACCCTTACTACCCCCAGCAAGCTTTCCGCGATAATGGCTACGGAATCGAAGCCGTCAACGAAACCGTCTATAACAGCATGGTCGCAGCTATCCCGGAGTGCCTCGAGCGAATTCAGACTTGCCGTGATGAAGCCGTATTTGGGGACCCTGAGAATCTGGGAATCAACGCAACTGTCAACAGATTGTGCGAAGGTGCTGAAACGTTCTGCCGCGCAAACATCGTCTCTCCGTACACAGCTTATTCTGGGCGTGATTATTACGATATTTCTACGTTCGAGCCGGCTCCATTCCCCCAAGGTTTCCATGAAGGTTTCCTAAATCGCGAATGGGTACAAGCTGAGTTGGGCGTCCCACTCAACTGGACGGGTAGTTCCCCACAGGCATCAAATGCATATCGTGGCATCGGCGACTATCCCCGCGATTCGTGGCTGGAAGATCTTGGTTTTCTGCTTGACAATGGTATTAAGGTGTCTCTGTTGTACGGTGATCTGGACTTCGCCTGTCCGGTACGTCTTCTTTTCTTGACTGCGTTATTAGACGCAACTGACTGACCCGCATAACTAGTGGGCGGGAGGTGACGCTGTTGCCAAAGCTATCCCATGGGCCGGTTCTGAAGGCTATTCTACAGCGGAATACGCCGAAATCCAAACCAATGACTCGTATGTCGGCGGTCTTGTGCGACAGTGTAAGTATGACCCAGTCAACGAGATCCTCATCACATACCGCTTTCAGATCACCACCCGGACACTGCTAATTGACACCCAAAATTCAGATGGCAATCTGAGCTACACCCGTATCTTCCAGGCAGGACACTCCATCCCCTCCTACCAGCCCGAAACCTCTTTCCGCATCTTTGACCGCGTGCTCTTCAACTTCGACATCGCCACTGGCACGCAATCAACCGCCGGTAGCGTGGAAGACGGCACTGCCTACAAGAGCACAGGGCAGCCGACTCCCGAATCGAACCAGACAGCTACCGGCCAAGACCTCACCTACTGCTACACGTATGGGCCGGGCTCTTGCTATGATTGGCAGGTTGATATGATTTTGAACGGGACAGCCGAGATTTGCAATTGGCTGTTTGTGGATAAGAACACAACGCAATTGTTCCCGGATGTTATTGCTAAGTGTCGTGCGGACTGGGCTGGAGGAAATGGCACTGGCAATGCGTCTTCTTCTAGGCTGACCGCCCGGTCAACGACTTTTGAGGGTCAGGCCGCGTCTCTGGCAGGATCTGGATGGGTGTCAGTCTGGGTTGTTGTTGCTTTTGCTGCGTTCGGCATTCTGCTATAGACCTGCGCAAGCTTTTAGCTAAAGCTGGAATAAGTGTTCAATCTGGGTGGTAAACGAATAAATACATGCTTTTCCCATGATTGTAAACCTATTCAACTCAAAGAGAGTCCTGAAAGCTTGGTGTTCACGGGGGAGGCTCTGTGATGCTTCACAGACGAAACTGTTCGTATTTGCGATTTGTAAATGAGTTTTGGAAATAGTGATATGTAGATCTGAGCCTTATTCATGTGTTTATTCGGAAAAGAGGCGATAAAACCGATCACCAGAAGAAAACTCTCTCTATGACAAATACGGAATAGCTAAGTTGAGGCACACATACACATACCCTGGAATCAGACTGCCCATGTGATTCCTCCATCAATGACAGCTATGCGCGCCGCTACCCCATTCACCAGTCATTCTGTTAGTTAGATCAGTACCCACACACCAGCTAGCTCATAAGACAGACCATCACCACTTTCACACACATTCCTCAAATACACAGTGCATATGCGACTGTGCCCCTAGAAGGTCCGCAAGAGAGAAACGTGTTGATAAGCGACCAATCACACGCTCTACTCGCCATGGTCCAGGACTTTGTGTAACCCTCATGTTTGCTGCTAAAGTCACGTTACACAGTCGGATTATAGTAATTGCGGGAGCTGCCCAAACTGCTCTGCACTGCTCTGCACTGCACTGCGCTTGCACACACATTTCCTACTCACTTTGGCAATCTTAACAATACGACAAGGTGCATCGCACTATCCACTTGGGCAAGATGGATTTAAAGACGCTCGACGGTAATAAATTGATCGAGAAGATCAAAGCCCAGCAAGAAATGCTCAAAAGCGCGAGCGAACGTCAGGGCCAGCGTCCACAGGATCGAAAGTCCAAAGACGAGATGGTGCACTCATTCATGATCAGTTCAATGATGAGTCAAATTCAAATGGCAAGCCAGCGAAATGTCATTCATCAGTCATTCATTCCACCCGCATACCGGCCATCTATCTCACCATTAGCTGAGCTGAGACCCATTTTCATCCGAGATCTACAACTGGAGATTCACCATCGGGGCACCTACCTTCTACTGAAGGCTATCACGCCGGCCAGCCGGATGAATGCAGTCCTTGTCATAGCTGAAGATGAACGTGACGAAGCTATCATGGTTGAGATCTATCATCAGGAAACAGAAGATGTTCGCGAAGCCACATCTCTGATTGGCAATGACGCAGTGCTACTAATCAAAGAGCCCTACTTCAAAGTTATGGCGTCTGGCGAATACGGTTTACGCATTGATCATTTGTCCGACATTATATTCGTCGACCAGACGAATTCTATGATACCCACTGCCTGGAGAACAGGAGGAAACATTCTGGAGACGTCGGCAGAATCGCTTAAATTGAGTGGACATAAGGCAGTGCGGCGCGGTAAATACTGGGAATCGATCACGATGTAAGTATCTAGTGTCCACGATTTTGGAGTCGACTGACGGTTTATGAACAGGTACACGAGAGCCATTGCCCATGAGCGAGCTACTGGCGAAGAAATTGAGGTCATCTTGCGAAACCGCGCCTTCGCATTTCTCAAGACCCAGCAATATGACGCCGTGCTCACTGATCTTGGTTATCATCCTGGCTGCAATCTGAAATTCTCGGAAAAGGCTCTTTATCGGACTGCAGAGGCTCTTTACTCCCTTGGCCGTTTTAGCGAGTGTCTTGAAGTCACACGGAGGCTTCACATCGAATTCCCCAACAATCAACAGGCGATTGTCATGCTGGACCGTGTCCAAAATCGGTGCTCTGAGCAACAAGCTGGTACTTACAAGTTCAAACAACTTCAGCTTGATGCCAAAAGATTGAGTATCCCACAGTTGGACTACGCTACATATGTTGGACCTCTCGAAGTGAGGAACAGCGAAGGCAAGGGTCGTGGTCTGTTCGTGACCAAAGCTGTGAAAGCAGGCGACTTGCTGATATGTGAGAAGGCCTTCGGTTACGCCCACGTGGCAGAGAATAGTGAAGAAAGCTCCTCTTGTACCCTTCTGGTGAACACAGAGACAGAGCGATGGTTCATGGGTGGCCATGCAAATCTATTGAGAACCCTTGCACAGAAGATCCATAAGAACCCATCTCTGGCTCCATCCTTCAGCGCTTTATTCCACGGGGATTACGAGGGGCCAGGAACGCGTGAAGTGGACGGGGCGCCGGTCGTTGACACTTTCCTTGTTGAGCGAATCGCGTCTCTCAACGTCTTTGGATGTCCGCCCGATTCCAGCCTTCACACCCACCAGCGCATCATACAAAACGAGAATATAGAAGAAAAGCCGTACCAATCTTGTGGTATATGGATTAAGGCCTCGTATATCAACCACAGCTGTGTGGGCAACGTAAGGCGCGCGTTTGTTGGCGATATGATGATAGTGCGTGCATCGCGCGATTTAGAGGCGGATACAGAACTCGCCTTTACCTACAAAAAGCCCTCTGATGAAACTGCCGAAGCAAACAAAAAGTTTCTCAAGACCTGGGGTTTCACTTGCCAATGTTCTTTGTGCCAGGACGTGCAAGATACTAAAGAAAGCGTTCTTATCAAGAGAAGGAAGCTCTTGCGCGAGCTGGAGAAAACATGCGGCGCGTTTCCATTCCAACTAGCCAAGTTCGAACGACTTCTCAAAGATGTGGACAAGACCTACAAGCAGCCTGCAAATATTGTGCCCCGGCTCGGGATTTGGGCACCGTATATGTTGCTGCTTCGCATGTACGCAGCTGAAAAGACGTCGCGCGAGGTCCTAGTTGGCGTTGAGAACATCCTGAATTCTCTCGGATTCGTCGTTCATGGCGTGAACTCTACTTCTACTGCGTTCGAAATTGTACAGTGGGGAGTAACACAAAATCATCTGGTGGAAGTCTTCCTGCATGCTCGCGATGCATTCCGGACTCTCCAGCTGCCGGATGATGCCGAGCGGGCGACAGCGTACGCGCGACTAGTATTCAAGATCGTGGTTGGCGAGAATGATTCATTCGAATCAGTCCATGGGATCTGAAATAGATTGGAGATGGATTTGGGTCGGTGGATTTGCTGCGGTGTGGTAATCATCTTGCTGTAGGGCAGTTGATCTTGTTTTGTATCGTGAAAGGGTTTTCCTAGGCTGCGAATAATGAATTGGGGTATGAATGGATCGGTTTTACGGTCTCGGGGAATACTGGGAGAGTAAAAGCAGGACGAGCTTGAGGCTCAATGGACACCTCTAATGCAGAAAAATGAACGCCGATATTCCGAAAACGCCAATGGGCAGATGCAACCCAAAGGCGTTGTAATGTCGAACACATAGTTCTATGACACCCCCAAATACTCATGATATGATAGCTGCAGGCCACTCAATGGGTTCAGAAATGTATGTATGCAAGAGATGTGAGATTATTCCTCCAATGGGCAGTTTTACTAATTCCTCTTCTTTGTTCCGCGTTATATACAGCTCCACTTTTCTATGTCGCCCACTCCCTTTGCTGCAGAAGCTAGTGAGCCTCACCTAGCGAGGAAGCTATATATGCACAGCATGACCGTAAAACACTGATCATATGCAGAGACTACTACTAGCTATCCCATCCCTCGAGAACAATACATCACCCCACAACAGATCTAGGGCTCCAGCATCCAAACGACCCAAGTTTCCCAACCTCGCAAGACGAGCGCAGCAATTCCATTACAGCACCTTGTGTCACTGCAGTACTAAACGCCACCTTGTAACACGAATTTTCCCTCAACAAAACCCCAGAAAAAGCAGCTCGTTTGAAACGCTGGATCTTCTGTTCTGTCTTTGACGTATCGCGCTGTACTCCTTCTCCCTAGTCGCAAGCGTTGTTATATCGCTCATCCCTATCGATCAACACCATCGGCCACTGACACTTCGCCATCCTCGGAATCCCTCATAATACTGAACGAAGAAAAGGAAAAAAGCCTCTATCGAGTACCAGATCGACACTGGGAGCACTGAAAGAGCTCAACACACGAACGATGGAGAAACGCCGCTGTATATGCGCTTCAGGCAGACTCGCTCCCCCGGACCAGGATCTGCAACAAGGCGTCAACCTCCCTTGCCATTGTCGATACGCGGGGTTTCATCGCGCGATCTCTCTGCTAGGCGCGTCGTTACGGTCGGCAGTCGGGGGTCGAGGTATGAATGGGGGGTACTGGGAAGTCCCGAGAGAGGAGGTGGACTAGGGAAGGAAATGGGCTAAGATGTTGTGACGGGTGAAGGGGGTGTCTATGGGGACCGTTGCTTGTATTTTCGTGGTTGAGGGCACGAATCTAAGGGGAATTTCTGATAGTATGTTTCCTGAGTTTTGTTATCAATATACGCAATTCTAATCACGCAAAACCTTGTTTAGTTTTGCCATTATCAACGAATACTACGTGTGCATGTAGCATTACACACCTGGCAGTTTATTGCGTCGCATCTACAATATTAGCCTCCATTTTTCTTGAACGGTTATCATTTTGACTTCGACTATTCGTCCTTTACCTGTCATTCTTTACCCTCGTCTTTTTGGTCTCGTGATGGACATGAATGGTGTTGCAATATCGCGTGTGTTACGTAATCGCAAACTTTCCCGGGTACCTGGCTCCCACAATTCAATCAACCTTGTACTCGACTTTGTACATCGACAGATTCGAAGGTTGACAACACCAGGGCGGAAACTTCATCTCGGTTATGCTTCCATTTGCTGGATGATGCGCCCTGTCACTCCCCAGCCACATACGTGCGTGAGCTTACGAGATACTAAGGAAAATGTCAACACCCCAAGCCTCACGTACATGATGACCTACATTTTCGATGACTATCGACGTGCGGGCTAGGAGCTTTTGCGCGACACTCCCAAATCGGACGGAATTTCTGGATATGGTCCACCCATCGATTTTTACAAACTAGCGATGCAGCAAAGATGTTTGTATTACAACATCATGCTTCCTTGCAGGACGGGGAACGAACAACGACTACGGCGGGGCATCCGCATCATGCAGTTGGGAGGTCAGCTTCGTTCGCTGAAACAGAGTAACATGCACATGCAGGCTTGGGCTGCCACATCGGCGGTGCACTAGGCTAACCTGGTTATTGCCGCCATCCAGGACAAGCCTACGGTTTGCTTGCATGGCTGGTGTTTCGCTGTACATGTACACTTGTATGTACAAACAGGTAATGCTGGCCATGAACGCATAACGACAAGGACAACTCATCTAGACTCGACGGCCCACGAAACGATATCTTGGCGAATTCATCGTTCGTCGGTGCAAGGAGCGTGTTCTTTGTCTGCTTCCGTGTCTGGGGTCGTCGTAGCACCGTTGGGGCGAAGTGGCTTGGTGGGCATGTTTTGTTCCCGATGCACAAGAGGATCGACACACGCTTGCCGTAATAGTTGGGACGGATGCCAAAAATAATGCCGTCAAATGCACCCTCAGCTCTACTCCCGCGTCTTTTCCTATCTTGCCTTGAAGGCTAGCAGTCACCAGTGGCTCGGAGGCTGTGCCAGCCACCAAACTGCGACCGATGGCTAGCCAACTACAAAGGTACTCGTATGTACCGGGCCCAGCTCGCCCAGCCTTGAGCCCACCCATCAGTTTTTTGGCAGGCGGAATCGGACGGAAAGGTGATTTCTGCTCAAAACCTACCTCGACCCCCATTCCCTCTCCACGCACATTTGTATTTTTTTCCGTCCAGCGTGCAAAGCGTTGGTGTGACTACCTAGGCTGAGGAAGCTCCGCCTACTACGACCACGTCCGACCAGCCAACCAACAAGCTGCAATCACACCGTCAATCGGCTCGGCCCCGCCATTTAAACACAACAACAACGGCCATAACTTGGTAGTCAACGCCAATCTGGTTTCGAAGTCGAATGCCTTGGCCCAGCTGCGAATAGCGGCGTATCTCAAAGTAGCTGTGACCTATCATAGCCGACGCTCGACCATCCTCTACCCGGATCGAACCACTGACGCACTTTTGGCTTGCTGCTACTGCTGAGCACGTTTGCCGTATATATACACGGGTCTCCACGAGACCTCCCCATGCTCCCTCGAGATGTACAGTGGCTCCACGCTCACCAGGGCAAGAAAGAGGAAGGGGACGACGACGACTCTGGACATCCTCCCCTCGTGACCGGAGACATCCTCACCAGCGGCTCTGACGACCACCGCACTTCCGCGCCTCCCTCTTCGCCTGCCATGAGCTTTCCAACATCTGCGGTCGGCCCGAACCCTATCGGGCAGAACAGTCCCATAGGACCGCCCATCAACAACAACAATCCTTGGGCATCCGCGGCATCGTCCTGGTCAAAGTTCCAGGAGTCGCAGCTTACCAAGTCGACCCAATCATCGCCCCCATCCACGTTTCAGACTTTGACTTCGTCGTCCACTTCCAACCAGGCCTACTCAGAGTTGAACACCCCACCCGTCACCAAAACATCTTCATCGTCTAACGGTGCATTCACCACGTCAGGTGCCGATGACGCTGCCGACACCAGACCCGGCTATGACCACAAAAAGCATGCCAGCCAGACGCCCATATACGCGGCAGCTGCCGTGTCCGTCTTGACTTTCGCCATAATGGGTTTTATCATTTACTTTTGCATGCGCAAACGCAAGAGACAGAATCAGGCCTTGGCAGCAGTTACAGTTCCCCAATCTCAGATGAAGCAACGCGACGGAACTGCTCAAGCTCTTGAGATCCAAGCCTACATGGCAGCTACAACCGCCCCTCCAACATCGCTCACCCGAGAGCCCTCCTACACAGCGCCCCCAAGCGGTTCCCCTCCCCCGCACACGCCTCCCCCCGTCATCCTGGGCCCCATCTCAGCAGGCTCCAACGGAAACTACTTCACGGGAATCGACACCTCTGACCTAGTCTCAATAACAAGCAACGACCAACACCGTCCCGCCGACCTCGATCGCAGCAATGCTGTGGGCCTAGGGAACCCATTCGCAGATAGCAACAGTCTTAATGAGGAACCCCCGCCGCCGTACCGTCCACGTAGCGTGTTTCTAGCATCGTCGCGCGGGTCTCTTGCGCCTTCGTCGTCTTCCGTAGCTTCGTCTTCTCACAACCGTGGCTTGGAGGGGGATGGCGTCGCAGGTGTGCGCTCGCCTTTCGACGATGCGCATGGTGTTTTCGATGATTCGGACTCTTTCGTGTCGACCAGGTCCGATGCATTGCTTCGCGGTCGACCGTAGAGTGTTTTAATTCTCCAGCAATGGGCATGGATGCTTTGTTGCTCGACTACATCCTTTTCTTGTTCCGAAGTTTGGTCACTTAATCTTTTCCTCTTATTCTTTTCTACTCACTTTCCTTCGGCTCGGTTTTATATTTTTCTATACGATGATATGATGGTACGAATACTGCGTAAGGCATGGGTTTTTGTATGTGTATATATTGAATTCTCTTTCTAGGTAGCTCTAGGTAGCTCTCTGTTGTAGGTTCAGTGCGTAGGGTATGTCCTGAGATAGCTTCTCACCGGCAAACAGACCCTGATAAAAAATAGTATGAAGTATTGAAAAGGTGGAATGTGATGTTAGTATACATTGAATTCATGATTGATATGGAATAGTTGATTCTCATTCCCCTTTCATCTTTCGGATCATAGTCGGGCACCAGCACTGAACACCTCTTCAATCGCATGAAGTAAGGGAGTGGAAACATCATTGGCTCATCTGCCTATGGCCCTCTCTCCTCTATACCTTCTGTTCTTCCCCCTCGCTCATCTTCTCTTTTCCCTACACCCCTTCTGATCCGAATACCACTGACCTGAATAACTCCCCATTTTCCCATATTGCGTCCATCTCACCCCGACTTTATCTCGCACGCTTTTCTCTATCATAACATGTATTTGCTTCTCATAACTAACCGAATTTATCCAGAATCCACAGACAACTTGCGTCTAAGACAAAAGAAGATGATTCTGTAGTGTATATACAAGCTACCGTGGAGTCAGTACTTAGGGAAATGGTGTGAATAGTAGGATCGAAATCAGCCGTGCTTAAGAGAGTGATATGTGTCTTTTTCGCGTGTACTGGAATTTATGATTTTCCTCTTTTTTCCAAATGTCGATATTATACTTCTAACATCAATTACACATATCGTACAATCTTCACGCGTATACGCATTTCATCGCGACGCAACAAATAGCAAAACAACAAATCAAGTCTCTCTTTTCCCTTCTCTCTCTCTCTTCCTCTCGCTCTGCACAGCACCTCCATCCTTATTCTCCCTCTGATATACACCAACCCCCTAATTCTCATCAAAACAAATCCCTTTGTCACACTCTAAACAATCAACACTCGTTCTTCATCGAGATCAGATCAAAATTGCCAATAACACATCCCCCCAGGGTTCGAAAGTCTGTTTATTGCGAAGATTAAGGGGGACAAAAGGGTGTAATGGGGATATAAAGTTTCCAAGCGGATTTGCGGTTGTGTCATTTTGATAGGGTTTGAGGTGGGCAAGTGAGTCCCTGAGTCTAACCTACAGAATGTTTTGCTGTTCTGAGGTGAGAATGTTTGTAGGGGGGGACGCTGAGAGGTTAGGTAGGAAGAGCGTGTGTTTGTTCGTGTGTAAGTGAGATGGAAAACTGTTGGTTTACTTACTTATTGATTGCTTGTTAGGTAAGGGCTGTTAGATAATTGTGCAATATGTGCTCTGTTCTACTTTCTCTATTCTAGTGAGATCCTTTCAACATTTAATATGTAGGATCAATAAACACGGTTCTTCGGATCGTGCATGGAAGGGGAGCTTATCTATATGCAGGTACCGATTTCTCAAATATTGCGATCGGTGTAGGGAGTAAGATCAGTGACGTTTACTAAACCATCGATCACGTAGCTATTTTTGGGGGATTCTTGTTGCCCTGCCCACCCCCATTGTTTTGTTTTGTTTCGAGTGTGAAACGTCTAGATTAAACAAGGCCATTGCACGTTGGCTACTGAGTAGCTGAGTTAATGAGAGTGGGGGATTGCAAATCATGGTGATTCCGCGGAAGGCGTTGAGCTTTAGTTGTGTTGACTTGTTCTCCGATTCATTGATTGTAGACGTCATGTAGGTACTTGGGCTGCGCACGCTTGACTCAAGGGAGACAGCGTGTCGTGATCCAGACCGCTGGTTGCTTGAGTGGTAATAATGAGCTGTTAGGCTTGCTAATATTGATCATTTACCGCATGGCGAGCATGGATGTGTGCTGAAAGCATAATGGCGGACGACGAGCTAGATGGGAGGAGTTGGAGATGGGGCCAGGTGGCAGCGTGCACGGGACGCGGAGATGACTGACTACCAGACATGCTAGTTCTAGCCTTTTGATAAGCGGAGAGTAGGGTTAAAGACTGTGGATGGCGTTTTTTTTTGGGGGTGCGTGGGATGAATGAGAGCTGATATGGGAAGGAGAATGGATACGAGGAACGGCTGGTGGCCTCTTGGCGGTTCAATGGGGATTTTCAGGAGATGCCATGCTGAACGAGATACGGATTGGAAAAGGAGAAGATGGAATGATACGAGGCCAAAGTTAGTGCTTATAACGAGCAATACCTACCAGTTGGATATGACGATGGATCGATCGAGGAGCCAAGACGATGGGCCCGGGGGATGGTGGGTTTGGGTTTAGTGTGTTGGATGATTTTCATGGGTTGGAGGATCCCCCATGTTCATTTCCCATGCATTCTATCAGCCAGCTATGGCTATTATCATCATGCAAACAACGAACCGTTCCTGTTGTGCAATAGCAGGAGGAGGTGATTGAGCGAAGTGATGGTAGCTGACTGGCTGGCGGATGCGGACGGACGGCTGAGCTGGCGGTGGGCCCCCTTGACCTATGGTTTGACAAGCAATGGCTCCGTCGAGCAAGGTGTTTCTTTTTAGACTCGCTCGTAGCAAAGGACCGTCCCCCCGCAGGAAGGAAAAAAAAGCACGGACGCGGGTACCTGGAAGAGGCATCGAGTTGATCAGACTGAACGGATGCATGGTTGGATGGTGGAATCTGGTGGTTGCATGTCGAGCTGTCTTCATTCTTACTCACTCCCTAAGTTAGCTCGTGTGCATACTTGGGCTCAGGAGGTATTCCTACGAACGCTGCTGGTTGACTACATTCCTGGCGTCGTCGTCGGGCCATCGTCCAGCTCCTGTCCATCCCATCCCATTGTCCATTCATTGAATTCTTCTCCCACCGTCTATTACCCACTTGCCCGTCGCGGGCCCCACCGCTACATAGTACGTAACGAGGAAAAAACGATTGCTCGATCTGCTCGTGCGACCATACTACTGTTGCTTTGCTGCTGCTGCTGCTGCTGCAAAGCTCGAATTCCTCCTCTGCTCCTTTCTCCCGCCTCTTCTTCAATCAATAGACACCAGCAGCATCCACGATCCTTCTTCATCTCCTCGCACGCACTTAATACACTCCCTCTACCATCTTCACTCTCACTCTCTCTGTCTCTCTCTACTGCATCTAGGGTTACTACTGCATGTATGTACCTTGATTAACGGCAGATTGCTACCCAAAGCTGTACCTGCAGCACCGTTTGTCCCACGACACCCATCTCTCGCCCTTGAGTGAGCGTCATCGCTTCGATTTCAGGTGTTACCCTGTCCTGCCCTATCCCTCGTTTCAGAGCCATTGCGAAAGAAAAGAAAGAAAAGAAAAATCTTTCCCATCCTCGCCTTTGGGAGAAGTCTTTTCTCTACACATCCCCACATACAATCTTTTTTTTCACCGCCTCGGCCGTCGCTCCAACGATCCACCTTCCGCTATACCGCTCTCTCCCTCAGTGCTCGACCGCCCGTCACTCACGAATACCTACATATATACATACATACATACTACACGCTGCATATGGTGCTCGTTGATACGATATTGTCGGCTTTGCTATGAGTCTGGATCAGCAACTTGATGGGTAAGACTTCCACCTTCTCCTTGTGTCGAATTCAATTGTCTTGTTTGGGGTCATGGTGAGCTTGAGCTCTGGTGTTGTGGGGTGTCAGAGAGTCGGACTTGAGCGATGGATGACGAGGGGGCCAACCACCGGCGGACCGCCGCAATGCATCCATCAATCATTCAATGCGAGTGGCATTGCACAACCACAACGGCTTGAGCAGAATGGATGCATCATCTTTTGCCTGTGGCGGCAGTCCCCGACAAAGGATGCACTCGTCCACTCGGCTCCTCACTGGCTGAGCGACTCCATGCTGCTATCGCCCAGGCGGCAGAGGCAGGCAGCACTCAGCACTACCCACTACCCATGCAGGGCCGGCCATTAACCACCCTTCCATCTCAATTTAAACGACACCTCGTCCCGTCTCGACTCCCATACTCACGTACTGACGCTTCGTCACACCACAACCTTTTCTTCTTCCTCTTTCCTTCTTCCTCCTTCTTCCTTCTTTCTGCTGCTTCTCTACCATTTCGCCGTTGATCGCATCGCCACCAACATGTGTCCCACAAGCTAACGTGTGCTTCCTGTCTCGTCATTTAGATGCACGGATTGGCACTTCCCCAGTCCCACATCCACGCCAAAGTCCCTGACGTTTCCCGACCCGTCGTCCCTCAAGACCCCAAAGACTGAGGCATTCCCTCCGTCGTATTTCCTCGACGCCTGGGCTACGCCCAACGTCAATGCTGGCCAGCAGACCCCGGCACAAACGCCCTGCTTCACCCTCTCCACCCCCTCCACATCGTACAGCCCGCAGGTCCGCACTCCAGAGGACCCCGAATTCCATGTCAACCACTTCATCGGCCCCAGCCTCGCTCTCCCACCCGTCGAGCCTGCACGCAGGTTGTCGTCTTCGCCCGACCCCCACCGGCTGAAACACGCCATCTTTGACAGCGGCGACTCCCACGCCTTACGGCCGAGGCCTCTCAGTATGGACACTTCGCAGATGCAGACCCCGCCACCCACAAGGCATGCTACTTCGAGGAGGAGCTTGCAGCTGCAGCAACAGCAACAGCAACAGCAACAGCAACAAAATGATAGTAACGATACAATCGTCGTGGCTACACCTAGGAACAATACAATCGCCGTGGCTACACCTAGGAACGATACAATCGCCGTGGCTACACCTAGAAACGATACAATCGCCGTGGCTACACCTAGTAACGATACAATCGTCGTGGCTACACCGAGAACCGTGATCCACCGAACTCCCGCACAAATGCCCTCTATGGATGATGGGCTGTTTGGCCAGACTCCCATGGGTTTTACTGCTCTGCAATTCTCGCCAGACATGACACACGATTTCTCCAATACGGGCCCAATGTCTGCTCCCCTTTTGCTCCCTCAATCTCGCCTGTTCTGGGACCAACCAAACAGTGGCACGCATATGGATGTAGACGTTCCTCTCACTCACGATCTTTTTGGTCCCACCCCGCATAAGATGGAAGGCAGTCTGGACTGGGCTAACTTTCAAAACACACCCACCGCGAACAACACGTTGAACTCGCAGTCGTTTCAGGCGCTTCATGACATGACTTCTCAAAGCGGACCAATGGATTCTTTTGCGTTCAGTAGTGCTTACGGTGATGATTCGGGGTCAGGCTCTTTCATGTCGACTGCCGGAGGTGTTGATCCCAACATGCTGTTCAGCTTCTCCAGTCAAGGCCCTTCTGCTTCGTTTGACACTTCGCTGCACATGCCATCGAAGACCTTTGCAAATAGGCAACCATACGAGAAACAGCTCGAGGACTCTCTCAGTGAGAGAGAAGCAGTCAGAAGATCCAGAAGCCAGCACTCTAGAACCAGCACAAATTCTTCGTCGTCAACTGCAGCTTCGAGACCAAACCTACAGCGCAGTAACACTGATAGCGGGCCCCGAAAACCCCGACCCGTGTCGATGGACTCGCGGGTACCCGGACCAGCTGCAAGCTACAATATACCGCGCCGATCTTCACCGCTCAAGAGACAGAGCGGCGGCTCGCTCAAATCCATTCCCGAGATTCGACGACCAAAGACTCGCCTTGTGATTGATGAGAATGGTCGAGCCCGAACGGAAACTATTCCTGCAGGCATGGCTGAGACCACAGGGGGAGGGGAACCCCGCCGAAGCTCCGAACAAGATCTCAGGCGGCAATACCCCGGCCTATGGGCTGATGATGACAGTGACTCGGACGATGAGCCGACCACGCTCAGTAGAAACACGTCCCTCAACATGCCCCGCCGAAGAACCTCAAAGCACGCCCGCATCGATCACGACGACCTCATACGGTCCGACTCTTTCAAGATGCCTCGGTCGTCATCCAGACCCTCCTCTGGCGCTTTTGATCAGTCATCATTTGAAACCATCCGTCCCTCAAGAAGGGCTGCAGAGAATCCCAATCGGCGGTTCAGCATGATGGATTTTCCTACTAGTTTTGGTGATGGGCATGGCAACCAGGATTTGCCCATGCCCGACTCTCCAGGGGATGCTCTAGGCGCGCTGAAAAGAGTCGTGGAGGGTCGGCACAAGAAGACAGGTACAATGGTCTACTGACACTAAGCCGGCGCACCTGCTAATCTTCGTAGATAATTCTGCCCAAAGTACCCTTCGAGCTCATAATCAACGTTGGGCTCAAGCGTCCGCCGACTTTGCAAGCGCTAATGCCTTGTACGACCCCTTCTCCACATCTTTCTCGGCATCGCCATCCAATTCTGCCGAAACTGGTCTGACCACCCCGTCCACGGACCGCAGCAGTCTATCCGGCGATAGTGTCCGCTGTGTCTGTAATGGTGGGGATGATGGCGTTACCATGATCCAGTGCGAATCTTGCACCAAATGGCTGCATATGGGCTGTGTTGGGCTCACTCAGAACAAAGTACCCCCCGTGTACGTTTGTGTATACTGCACCGGTCAGACGCCCGTTGCTCGTGGGGGAAGAGTACGAGGCCCCGTTCCAGCTCCCTTCGACTCGCCACTCACGCACAAATCTATTTTCCGGCGATAATCTCGGCCTTGCATACACAAGGCCCGCTCCCAACAATGCACTTGTCCTTTTAGCATAGCTCCCTTTCTCTTTTTCTCTGCAAGGTTTCTGCCTCACCGATGATCCTACCACCATTTTGTCTAGCGTTTTCGTTCCCAGCAAAGCAAAGCATTTCATACATCTGCATAGACCTTCACAGGTGCTACTCTTTCGCGATAGTCTCTATCCTCCTCGCCTAATAGCACGTTCGGATCTTGCCCCAAAGTACCTGAAGACTGATATACCTACACACGCAACACGAGTAACTTTAATGTCACACCAAGCGTCTCTCCATACTCAACTTATCCGCTGGCTCTGGAGGGTTGAGTTTGCTTACATGGAGAATGAATGAAAAAACTCTATAATATCTTTATTTTGCGTCCCCCTATTTGTCTATTTGCTTTGATTCTATTGCTATGTTTTATCTGTGGTGCTAAAGAGGGTTAGGTAGTGGTAGTATTGATAATGTGTAAAGAAATCTTGTTCGCCCTTCCCTGTTTCACTTTGTGTTGCTGGCGCGTTTCTTCTTCCCTTGAATATTGCTATATACATGTATACATGTCTTGCTTGGTGATTTGGTTCTCACAGTTCCTCACATGAAGAATGTAGCAATCTGTGATACGGCGTGTTGGAGTTTACCTGTGGTTGATGGAGGTGCCTATGAGGCTGAGCTGAGAAATATTCGATTCCCCTCTATTTCTTCTTATCGCGGGGGGAGGCCCTGGGAGCGGAGGTTGTTTCGAGTAGTTGGGTGTATACCTAAACGTTTTCCACTGATATATGAGTAAAGGAGGTGAGGGAGAGCGAAGCTTTGTTATTTTATGGATAGTAACGGGAGAAGAAGACATCAGTAGTTTTTAAATAACGGTCTGCTGCATACTCTGTCGTAGTCGTATTGTGTGTGCTTCACGCCACATCGGCGGGGCAGTTTTGAATGGATGAGAAAGATGTGTGGAAATAGGATTGTAAGCTTCTGGTGGAAAAGTATAAAATTTGGGAATAAGAGAGATTGAAAACCGCAAATCAGAAGACTGAATGTATACATATCTTTTCCGATCCGGTTTCTTACTCTCGAAACGTGAGGCTCCGTTAGAAACTTATTCGAATAGGTCTGATGCTAATCTATCTATACCACGAATCTACGAAACCGCCTCAAGCCCAGGGCTAGAAAGACGAAAGGAATTCGTAGCGCAACAATGAGGAAAATGGCTACAGGTCTACTTTTGACTAGCACCAAGGACAGAATATCCCACTCATCTCAGCACAGGTTCCCCACCCCACTCAAACTCCGAACCACCTATCCTTCCAAAATCCAACTCATAATCATCCTCCTCCTCGTCGTCATTTTCCCTCACATTCTTACTCTCGCGCTTCTCGCCGTTCACATTGACATCCGTGTCCCTCTTCCCCCTCCTGTTCCCCGCCTCCCCACCACGCTCATTATCTAGCGCGAACACTTGCAGCCCCCTCAGATGCGTGTCCTTGCCATTCTGATGATTCTCTAGAATCTTGATCTGCAAAAGGTGGCAGCGTAGCAGCGGTGGGTTTGGAGGTTTAACGGGACGGGTTCGGCGACGACGGCCGTGGGCAGGTGGGGACGAAGTTGTGGGATGGAGCGGGGTGAATGGATGACGGGGAGAAGGGCGGGCGAGGGTATGTGTTGCTGTTGCTGGTGTGAGAGTTGTGCCTGTCGTTGTAGGGTTCGCGGGTGTGAATGTTTGAGGGGGTGGGAGGGGTGTTTGCTGCTGGATGATAGGTTGAGGAGGGGGAGGGGGTGCGGCGTTTTCGAAGTCGGAGGATGGCTGGTCTGAGTCTCGAGGTTCGGGGGCGATGTTGCGAGGGGTTGTAGTTGCATTTTGGGGTTGTGTAGGGAATGCGGGCGCTGTGGTGAACAGGATGTTGTCGTCATCGCGGTCCATGGCATCTTCATCGTCCGAATCAAAGTCGGAGGAGTCGGATGATGAACTCTCGGGATCTCGGACTCCCTCAAAATCGGCCCAGATCCACCCTCGCGGATTCTCTAATCGCATCTCGCCCCACTCGACAAGGTCGTTCATCCCGCTACCGGCGAGTAGCACGATGCGTGTCGGAGTATAACTCTCATCGGCTTCAAAGTCAAGAAAGAGGCGGAGTCCGACGATGCGCACCAGCTTGAAGAAATGTATGTTGAGATAGTGAGGTTGTGGGCCATCGGATTGCCAGAAAAGTGATGTAGAGGGGTGGCGAAGTTGAGGGATGCTGCAGCCCGGTTTAGATGAAGAGACAGTCCATGATGCTAATGTTGAGATTTCCCGGAAGTTGGGAGGTGGGGCATTGTTGGCGAGAGTTGGGGAAGGTAATGGTGAACCTGATACACGTTAGAGATACAGCTTTGGATGAGATGCGGCGATAGAACAGCATTCTTTAAATCTAGGATGGGGTTCATGACGGCGATCAGAACCAAGGATATTATGTGAAGTTGAGTATATGCATGGCAGTGTATGGTAGGCTTCGAAAAACATGACGGTAGTAGTGCTGAAACAAAAGCCACCCATGGAAATGGGAGATGCCAAACAAGACAGAAAATCAAGAACCTTGACAATTCGGAAACTCACCTAATCCATCGTCATCGTCATCATCATCTACTTCCTCCTCGTCTTCATCAGGAGCTAAGGCTTCTTCCAATTCGTCCAGCTCTTCTTCTGCTTCGCCAGCGTCTTCATCGACAGATTCTTCCTCGCTGTCAGAATAAGGATCCGCTTCGGGAGGTGATACTGGCGGTGGCGGTGGCGCACGTCGACGATATCCAGGTGGCATTTTATGATTACGACTGTACTGTTTATGATAGCGGTATAACGGTCTTCAGTGTAGGAGGATCTGGTCACGAGATCTTAGGCGCGTTTCTTGCAGCGAACGCCTATCTCCCGTGCAGCAAAAATTCTCGGACTGATAAAATTGATTCGAACTTAGATTAGAGACAGTCACGATCCTGCGATACAGGAAATCCTCCAGAGGGTGATCTCCAAGAACGGTAAGAAGTGGGTGTGAAATGTATGGAGGCGCGTGTTGAAATTTGGGTCGCGTCGTTGCGATGTTGCTCAAGCTCGTAGGTGAGACAGCAGGGTGGTAATTCTTTTAATCGGTGTCGGTAGAAGGAATTCACCAACAAAATCTTCGTCACCTATGTCTTGTCGGGGTGATGCTCTCGGGTCTGCAAGTACAAGGTTGTGGAGTGTAAACGTTTGGAAGTTGCGCTATGCCCGAAGTAGAATAGCCGAGTCAATGTATTCTCAACCTTCTAGCAGCATTCCCAATCACTTGTTTTTTTGCTTCCATTTCTCAGGATCTTCAGCATAAGATTCTGAGTGAGTAGGCTGATTAGGAGATCGGATTTGGTAGAGTTCTTCTTTCATTTGTACGATGGGGGGATTAATCATCAGCATGTTCTTGGGTCATAAGAGCCCTTAGTATTGAAAATGGTGTAGAGTGTAAATATGTGTACTGATATATATCTTTTCACGAGGCGATTGGATCTTGCGGGCAAAGATAACGTCAATTTCATAGTAGCTGCCAAAGCTGGTAGCTGCGAAGCATAGTGACGGCTAAACCTCACGGCAGACTAGCATGACAATTGTCAGCTCTTGCATGTGATGTGACTCTTTACTTGATACTTGATACTTGTACAGTACAACGTATCAAGCCATGTTACCTCTCTCCTTATCCGAGTGAACACCATGCAAGGGCGTATGCTTACAACCACGCGAAGAATGCAAGACACCCCAACAAGGGAGGAAAACCTATCGCCAATATATGAAATTGGTGACAGACATAGCATATCAAAATCTATGCACCAAGACTACCAATCTCCAATAAAACCTTCACATCATGCAGTTCTCACTCGCTCTTGCCATCTCAATCTACGTCGTCTTTGTAGCAGGCGCACCCATTATCTCAGAGTGACCAGCTACCCGTACGAGCCGCAAAACTCATGAACATTCACTAATCAACCCCCTCGTAGAGATCCGCCCAAAACATCACACCTCTATCTCTGCACCGACGAAAGCTTCAAAGGCCAATGCGAGAACTTTGAAGTCGAGCCGGGGAAATGCTGTACGCTTGTCTACCTCCTCACACACCTCATGTCTACGAGTCCTTTCCCACTGACGATGAGATTGCGCGCAGACAATGTTCCCGAGGGATACAAGAGCAAGATTAGCTCGGGGGGACCGGATAACGGGACCTTTTGCGCTGTGTATGGGAGTGACGAGTGTAAAGGGAAGGCGTTCCCGTTTACGTTTCCGGGGGTGATGAATTTGACTAGGTATGGGTACGGGGATAAGGCGAGCAGTTATCGATGTGATCTGCTAGGTGGGTTGGATGAGTTGCACTGAATGGGAGGGCGAAGATGGAATAGAAGTGGAAAATGAACAAGAGCATCATACACGAGCATCATAGAAGAAATGGCAATTAACGTGAAAAATTCAAATTTTTTGGTGTCCCCAAAAATAAAACGTAATCAGTACCCGAGGAAGTAGCCCTGAAAGCGCCTGCAACGCCATTTCGCGCCGAAGTTTAGCGGTTGTACACATGTCCATACATCTTGTCAGGCATGAAAAACCGCGCCCCTGCTCATCGTACCCTTGACCTCTATTCCGGCCTTTGGTAGATGGCAGCTACGATGGCGTGGTCACGCTCGAAGGGCTCGAGGGTAAGCTGTTCCTTGGGCTTGAGACCCATCTCCCTCATCTTCTGGACTTCTTGTGCGAACACAACCTCAGGCTTTGCGGTACTGTCGATACAGTTGGCCTTGATGGAGATGAGAACACCACCACCGACCTTGAGGAAAAGGCTGGCATTGAGACCGACAATACGTGCTTGATCGGGCTGGGCAACATCGGCAAAGATGGCATCGACCATGGGCAAAAGCATTCTGTACTTGAGAGGGTGACGGGCATCCTCAACGATGGGGATGACGTTGGTGCGGTGGGTTGCCATGTTGATCAAATCACGGCCAGATCGGTGGGAGAACTCTACAGCATAGACTGTGCCCTCGGGTCCAACGATATCAGCTACGTGGGAAACACTGTGAAGAAAGTTAGTCTATCTTGTGAGTTACACTGAGTAGTGTAAAAAAGCTTACCTGGTACCGGAAGCAGCACCGAGGTACAGGACCTTGGCTCCAGGTCGGACATAGATGTCGTCGACACCACCCAAGATGGCGGCAGCAAGCTTGCTTCGGAACGGATTCCACACACGGTATTCGACTGAGGTGGCGGGAGCATCGTCGCTAGTCTTGTCGCTGCCAACGCTGATGCGCTTCTCGCCGTAGACGCTCTCTCCGGGGGTGATGTTCCTGGTGAGCAGAAGATCCTCCTTTCCGCGACCAACGAAGACACCGGCGTGACGGTGGGGTTCAACGATGACCTTACTGGGAGAGATATTAGGATTCGAGTCTGTTTGAAGTAGGTCAAGTGGAAGAACTCACGCTCCTCCTCTGGCGCCAGCAGCACCTCCACGTCCCCCACGAGCACCTCCTCGTCCACCTCTGGGTCCTCCGCGGGGTGCACCGCGACCACCGCCACGGCCTCCACGATCACCAAAACCTCCACGACCGCCGCCTCGTCCACCGCGGTCACCAAATCCTCCACGGCCACCGCCGCGTCCGCCACGGTCGCCGCCGAAGCCTCCTCTACCACCACCACCACGTCCGCGCGGTGTAAAGGCCATTGTATGCGATCTGAACGCTTTTGTGAGTAAAAATTGGAGTTTTTGCGGAGTAGGGTTGGAGCGTCTTGAGAGGGAAGCTTGTCGCAGATGTAAAAGTCGAGAGCTTCGCAAAAATTGTGCGGCAGCTAGCGCAGAAGCTGCTGATTGGGCGCGCCCACGGCCGAAAGTTTTTGCGAAGAAATCTTGGCAAGGGAGCACGGATTCGGGCTAGTCCGCAACCGAGAGCCCACAACGACGGTTGATTTTGCACCAGGCGCTCGAACTGAACGACTTCAACTAACCACACAGGATTCACGCCTCACGACACGATGGTATGTTGGCCTCCTCTGCACATGCCGCCCTCATTTTGCATACGTTTCCGCCATCGCGACACCAGCTAATCGGCGTTGCAGGTCCGCTACGCTGCAGAAATCGCCAACGAGAAGTCCGCAAGGGCTCGCGGCAGCTACCTCCGCACCTCCTTCAAGAACACCCGCGAGACGGCTCAGGCTATCAACGGATGGAAGCTTGAGCGCGCTCTCACCTTCCTCGGAAACGTCTTGGAGCACAAGGAGGCCGTCCCCATGAGACGGTATGCCGGCAGCACTGGCCGCACCGCACAGGGTGAGTGCACCCTGCATTTTTATTCGAGATGGGTCATGAGCGAGGAGCATCAGCCGCTGGTGGCATTTGCATAGGGAAAAGAGATTGAATTGGGTGGTGGGGGGGATTGAGAATTGGGCGCACATGGAATTTGTCAAAGAGGTCAAATTGTTGACTTGTAAACACAGGCAAGGCTTTCGGTGTCTCCAAGGCCCGCTGGCCCGTCAAGTCCGCCGAGTTCCTTCTCGGTCTCCTCAAGAACGCTGAGGCCAACGCCGATACCAAGGGTCTCGACACCAGCAACTTGATCGTCAAGCACATCCAGGTCAACCAGGCTCCCAAGCAGCGAAGGCGCACATACCGTGCCCACGGTCGTGTATGTAGAGTCTGAATCCTCCACCTGGTACCCACTAACAACGCCCGCAGATCAACCCGTACATGTCGAACCCTTGCCACATCGAGTTGATCCTCACCGAGGCCCCCGAGAACGTCGCAAAGGCCGACGACTCTGTTGGTGCCCGATTGAACAGCAGACAGCGCGGTCGTGAGACCCGCAAGGCCATCACCGCTGCGTAGAGGGTTGTTTGGTCAAGGGGTGTGAGTTAGCGCAGGAAAAACGGAGATGGCATGGGTACGGACGGTCTGGAGTCAATGAGCGAATGATCATCGGGCATTTTCCATCTTCATGTGTGTCCCGGTATGATTGGGACTTCATTTCTCGGTGTCTGGTCGTAAAACATAAGGCCTCTTTCCACAAAAATCGAGAAATCACTTTCAATGCTCTCTCGCTGTCTCTCTCTCTCTCTGTTCTGTATTGATTTCACGATTTATAATGTGCTGAATATCCCAGCTGCAAATGTCAACGATAACAACAAACTCCAGCTTATGCGTGACCGCCTCGCACCGTCTTCGTCACCTCCGCCTTCACCTTCACCCTGCTGTCCTTCCTTGAACCCGTTCTTGTCGCCACCCATATACAACGCCCCCAACTTGGTCAAGCCACCATCACTATTGAACAGCGCGACCCCATCGCCCGTCCATTCATTCGCATCCTTTGGTCTAAACGCCCCGAACCAAGCGTACTTCTCCACGTAGTCTAGCTGATCTAAATACGGCAGTGTTTGATTCATCATCTGCGTGTTCGCATCTGCGTCCATTTGCGGGAGAGCCAATTCCGTGATCCAGATCTTGAGCGGAGGATCCCTCGAGGTGTTCGTATTATAGAATTCGTTCAGCGTCCCCAGCCAGCCGGCCAAGCCCTCGAACCCGCCATACCAGTGCGCGGCGATGAAGTCGGTTGGACAGCCATTATCTTTGTCGATGTCGTAGCACGATTCGTTGAATTTGCGGAGCCATTCTAGGCCGTTCCCGGATCTATGTGGTAGGGTCAGTGAGAACTCTTACACATACTCGACAATATATCACGTCCAGGAGCAAGGAAGCATTGAACCATTTGAGAGAGAGAGAGAGAGAGAGAGAGAGAAACATCCCTCTCAATCTCCTGCCACAGACCTCCCCCTAACCCCCGCACAGAATCAAGAAAAACAACAAGACTTACCCAGTAGTACTAGGATGGCTAATCTTCCACTTTCTCTCCTTTTCCCGCAAAGGCCCCAAAAACTTGACATAAGCCTCCGCCGCATCCTTCGGCTCAATTGCACTCCCTCCACTCCCCGTACTACCGTCCGGCTCGTTAAACGACAGCAAATGCGTGCTGGACTCCGGTAACCGCTCCAGCTGTCTCGCAGTCTGCTCGTCTTCCGCGCCATCGACCCCGTGGATCAGCGGCACGAATTCCATTCCCTCCGAGGGGACTTGGGACGGTGGATACGGCGACCAGTTGTAGTACCAGGTGAGTGGAGAGGAGGAGCTTGTTAGGAGCGCATTGTCGGAAGTGTGTGTGTTTCCCACGTATGCTATGCCTCGTTTTGATTCTTGGGACAGAGCTGTTGGGGGCAGGAGAGTGAGGAGAGTTAGGAGGGTTGTTGTGGGTGATAGGCGGTGGTTTCGTGGCATTGTGGTTTCTGCAGATGAGACTTTTTTTGCTGGTCTTCTTCTGATGCTTCGCCTTTCCTTTGCGAGCGTATGTATAGTCGTGTGTATATATGTACAGTAAGTATATGAGCAACTGCTATGGCGAAGGTACGTATCCGCGAACCGGGTTCAGGGATTTTATATATCGGGATGTTGTTGTCACATCACGTACTATTCCCAGATCTCACTAACCGTCTATGTACATGATGTTAATTTCCTTGGATTGCATGATCGAAGGCTGCTTTTGCCACGATTTTCTACTGCTGTGAACTCGGCCTACGTCATCCATCGAACCTTGGCAGTTGGCGGCAGAAACAACGCGCAAACCCATGTCGTCGCGAGATTATGAAATGCTTGAACGAGAATATGGAAACTAGCAGAACTATAGCTGCTGCTGTTTCTAGAGAGCACAAATATCGAGTCTAGTTCATGCTTTCTCGTTGTACGGTTGTGTTGTCAGTCTAGCGCTTGTATTTCACGGGTCATATTTCACAGCTTTATCATTATTTTTTGGTTTTTTACAATATGTTAATACTACTTGTAATACAAAACTACTAGTTTAAAGCGTACTTTGAGTGTTTTTGCATGGAGCGTGGCGCTTATTACCTGACTTTCACGTTCCCAGGAGAGGTGGTGCTCGTCGGCAGTCTGGGCCACCCTCGGTAAATCGTCGGCAGTCAATCTTCGGTAAACCCTCGCTGGCAGACAACCTCCCTAGGGGATCAAAAAGACCAAAAAACCCAAAAACACCACTGGATATGCATCTTCGGTCCCCAAAAAAGATGTAGGTACTTAAAAAACTCCAAAAACGAGGAGCATGGGGATCGAACCCACAACCTTTGGTGTTTCCGCTTGAGGGAACGAACCCCATACTTTCGTATCCGAAAACCAACGCGCTACCATTGCGCCAACTCCCCTTGTATTCTACGAGCCGAGCTCGTCATTTTGGTAGTTGTTTGATGCAAATCCGTCAAAAAATGAGCAACATATAGCCAAAACAAGAAACAAAATGAAATCAGCCGTCCAAGTGAAAATTGGCGGGAATGTGGGGGTACAGCGGGTCCCACCCTTCCTGGTTCAGACTAGCAGCCTCACAGATGGCCCCATAAGCAGCAGAAGACTCAATTGCTACGGGCTCGCAAATGGTTACGCCGAGAAATTCTGCCCTGAATTTTGACATTGATGTTTGGGACAGCTAGAATTTTCAGCGGTAACAGCACGTAGCCAAGTACAACATGTCACCTGGAGCGACGGCAACAATGAGAGTAGTCAAGATGAGTATCGTGTGGTTTGAATCGCGTGGAAGTGCTTCATGTGTCTTCTCGTAATGTGGATTCATGATTCAGTTTGGCAACACTATATAGCGGAGGTCTGGGGCAATGATGGTGTTCAGTAGGAACGCTCAAGTGATGAGAGCGACGACGATGAGAGGGTTACATCACGCTCTGTTCTATCGGTTTTGTGGCAATACTGTGTCACTGTTGTGGCTGAGCATGTCCTGTGCGTCGAAGGATAGAGGATCGATTTACAAGCATCAAGGAGAGATAGATCTAAGTGCATTTTATTACATACAGCACAATCTGCTCATCCAAAATCAACCTAGGTAATTGCACTTTCAACTTTCCTCTCGCGATAACCCAAGGTTGAGGCCTACCTAGTACGTACATTACTGAGGAGGGTCAACTAGGGATGGAGTGTCAAGTAGTGTTTCTACTTTCATACTCTGTAAAATAGCATCTTAACATAGTTTAAAAGGCTGTTAATAGGATCTAGACATAGCATGAAGCCTTAAGTACGTGTTAATAGCTGATCCTAGGGTGGGCCCGCCCTTGTGATGTATACTTTCGTTGTAACTAATATTCTGCAGACCTGCAGTCGGCGTGTCCTTCACATTTTCGTCAAATGACGTAAAACCGATCGTACCAAGGATCTTTCCACATCAGTATACTGACTGCGATGCGGTCGATCTCGGGGATATCCTGACGTTGCAGTACCGACTGCGCATGAGCAACCCATCCTCTCTGCTCCAACATACTCATGATCCAAAGCGGACTGCAAGAGAATAAAAGCAGAACTAGTGGAAAGGATATCATGGTTCGACCACTCAGGAACCATCGATCCCAGAACCGTAGTTTTGACGGGAGTGTCTTGCCCATGACTCCTCGGCAAGCGATGGAAACGATACCAAAGACCCAGTGAGCCAGAATTCGGGCAACTCCGATAGTAAATAGTAAACCGCATATTTCCAGACCTCTCATGTAGCGAAGGTAGTTGCGCGAACGGGGGTGATGGGTGAAGTTGGAAGGATCCCATATGTTTGCACGGTCAGGGCAAATTTCAGTCCAGTCGAACGTCGAGCTGGCCGAAGAAAGAGAATGTAGAATAGGCGGACAGCCGTCTGGGAATCGGTGGTGGAGGGTGTAGACAGCTAGTCCATGAGCAAAGACACGTTGAAGGACAATCCCGAGCTCGAGCTCGTTTTGCAGTGAATGTGGGATGTAAAAAGCCAGGCAGTCACTGAACCAGCCGTTCCATCTTTTCATCTTTTCACTCAAGGTGTAGCTCAAGTCCGGCATTATGATCTGAATCTCGGGTGGGTCATTCGGGTAAGGAGGACGAAGGGCGTCTTGCGATGTCTCGGTTCGTTCGAGAGATATGCCTTCGCTGCTTGTGTTCACCATAACCCACTCATCACTGACCACGAGAATGAGCAAGCTACTCATTGTCGCCAGAAGGCCTCCGACCACAATTTCAAAGGTACGCATGTCGATATGCCAAAACCAGTGACTCCGATCTTTCAAGTAAAATACCAATCTAATCCACAGCGAAACACTGGCCGTATATTGCACCAGGAAAGTGAGCAGTAGACCAATTCTACCCATGAGTAGAATCCCGAAGTTTCTGGACACAGGGCGGACCTGACGTGAACAGATAGCGGTTAAGGGTACGTCTTTCTTCGGATCTGCTGATAATGTAGAGGAGCACCCTAGACACGCTGCAACGAAGAATCGCTTCGACATCTCTTCATGTTGCCAGAACCGTCGCACAGTCATCGTGAAACACCGAATCAACATTTGGGCAAGCAACACCTCGGGGAACTCAAAATAGCAAAAGAGCAATATCAGATCGGAAAGCGAGGTAGTGCGCCCTTGCAATGACATTAAATGCCCGAAGGAAGCTAAAGCGGCAATATGAATACCAAATGAACGCATCCAAACCTCATCCACACTTCTCATAGTTAGTATATCGGGCGTGTGACGACCTCAAGATCACTGACCTTCTGACATTTCCAGAGTCACGCAACCCGTGGGATAAGCATTCAGAAATCTCTGTTGAATTGTGGCCAGCACAGAATTGGGAGACGTAATCGAGACTACCAGACATGATGAGATCGGCAGAAGACGAGAGAAGAAAAGAAAATGAGTCTCTCGTAGTGTAGATCCGGGCCAGGTTTTTAAATATACTACCATATCTGTACGGCCAAGGGGAGTTCCGAGTTGCACAAAAGCAACTTCATCTTGCGATAATTTATTGGTCACTTGCTACCTTCAGCTGCCAACTAGGTTTTCGTTCCAGTGGGTTTGTGTGGCTGAGTGTATCCGATTTCCAACGTTCGGGAGAGGCTGGGTGTCGATCTTCTCCTGCACCATGCATATTTCTGTTGCCTTTTTTGCCTAGTTGTGCATGCATCACCAGAAGTTGGCAAACTTGAATACCCATCGCTCTGAGTGATGTCGAGAGACTCTTTGATGCTAGGCGAGATCTATACATATGTAGCTATGGAATGATGAATAAGCGATCTTGGCCGCGTCATACCTTTCTCCACAGCCAACTAAGAGCTTAACTAGATGAACTAGCAGCACAATGAGGGGACTCCACCACCTACTACCACCATGAGCGGATTTAAGGATATTGTCAAGGGAGGATGGCACCCGGAAAAGAATCGAGCCAGCTCATCATCCGGAAGCAGCAGCACTGGCTTGAACAAAGTGGCACGTATCCGCCTCCATCCACATTCCCACAGAGACTGACACTCGGTATAGAGAGGGATGGTCGGGCGAGGAGGAGGAGATGCTACCACTGCCGCACATAGCCACCAGTCTGCGCCTCTCACAACTTTGGTAGATCCAGCGTCTTTTGGTCCACCTCCAAAGCATATTCATTATCATGGAGCTGCTGCTGCTGCAGCAACCTCGAACTCTGCTCCCAGACCCCCACCACGAGCTCCTCAACACCCTAGCCCACAGCCGTCGCCGTCGCCAACAGCTACCGGGCCTCCGAGACTGCCTCCCAGGCTTCCTCCGCGACAAAATTCAAACCCTCACGAACTGACCCCTGCCCCTCCACCAGCCTATCACGAAATCGACCAGCCCGTTCACGCACCTCCCCAACAGCCCGGACAACTGAATCAGGGTGCCCTTAGCAGGCTTGGAAATGCGGGCGTCAACGTCCCAGGGTTTAACATCGGGCACTCTGCTTCCCCGCCCATACCCTCGCGACGGATGGCTTCACCTCCGCCTTTGTCCCCAACCTCGAGCAACAATGGAGCGCAAGTAGGCGAGCTTCAATCACGATTTGCAAACATGTCAACTCAATCCTCTGATTCTCCCTCAACTGGAACTACGTGGGCCCAGAAACAGGCGGCGCTCAAGACCGCCGGCAACCTGCGACAAGATCCCTCAAAAGTATCTGTCTCCGATATGCGCAGTGCCGCGTCCACGGCCAACAATTTCCGCGAGCGACACGGCGAACAGGCAGCGGCAGGGTGGAAAACGGCCAACGGTTTGAATCAAAAATATGGTATCTCCAATAAGGTCGGCGGTCTTGCATCCTCTTCAGCGTCTACCTCCAACACCCCGCCGGGACCCCCATCGCCAGTCGGCAAGAAGCCACCGCCTCCACCGCCCAAAAGGAAAGGACTTTCTGGGAATACCGTCGCTGCAGAAGCAAACGAACCTCCTCCAATTCCCTTGAGCTCCAAACCCAAGTTTTGAGAACTTTGACCCCTTTACTTTGCATTAGTATACCCCTTAACCTATTACTATTACTTGAATAGAGCCATTTTTTACTTCCGCCTTATCGCAAACTCCACATATATCTTGATCCGTGTCAATGTGTTTACCGTACTTAGACAGTTCTCTGTTATTCTGTGTACTTGTGCGGTTGTAATGATATTTTTGCCCGACTGTCTTGTGACTGAGAACTTCCGCATCGCACGCCAACCTGGATTGCCTATACAGCGCTAGAGAGATTGTTCAAAGTGCAATGGGCGAATCCATGTCGGTGACGAGCGAGGGTGGTGCAGTATCGGACAAGAGCTACACATTTTGAATTGCAAGCTGCGAGAGAAGTCCATACGCTTTTTCAACCGCTTCCTGCTCCGCCTTTTCGTCGGTACCCAAGTCCAGCTCCACGTCTGCTAGACTGTCATCCCAGTGACGAGGAAATCCATTGCGATAAATTGTTTTCAATTCGCGAACTTTATCCTCTTCTAGCGTGGATGACGTGTTGTGTCCCAATTGCTTGGGGTCTCGAATAATTCGTAGCTCGCGCCTCAACTGTATCTCGGATAGTAAACTATTGAATTGAGACAAGCACCGTGCTATTTCGGGATGCCCAAAATCTAGTTTTCGGCGGTAGCTGGTAAGCGCTTGCTCATACATGGCTAATGCCTCTTTGAAACGATGTAGTGAGTGGAGTGTGATAGCCCAGTTGTGAATAGAGCTGGCACGCAATTGATCGTCCTCGAGCAGCATTTTCCCTATCTCGAAGGCATTGCGACTCTCTTTTTCTGCTTCGGCGTATATGGCTGCGCGCCTTAGTATTTCCGATATATTGATTAGAAGCAATACCGTCACAGGCTGGTCTTTGCCCGTCCTTATAATCTGTTCTTCCAGTGCTCTCCGCATTGTCATTTCTGCCTCTTGATGCTTGTTTTGTAGTGACAAACACTTCGCTAACAGTTCCAGGCTTGACACCTCGTGGTTCTGGTATTCGATTTCCTTCGAGCGTTCCAGCTGTTGTCGACATAACAGTTCCGCCTCTTGATATCTATTCTGCAAGTACACAAGCTTTGCAAGGCAGAGTAAATGGGTCAATGTAACGGGGTGATTTGCCCCTCTTTGCGCCTGTGATTCAGCCCACATTGTACGGTATATCTCTCCAGCCTCTTTGAACTTTCCCTGGGCCTCCAACACCCAAGCCAGACAACTCCAGCTATGTCCTTGTTTGGATCCGGAGCCTTCTGTCCCCCCAAGCGCTCTTCGCATTATCGCTTCTGCTTCTCCATGCCTTCTCTGGACGACATATACTAGCCCGATCCCCTTTAATATGGCAAGAGTGTTATTACCATCCTCTCCTTGAGTCCTGATGCTGACTGCCAAAGCTTCACGATAAAGGTTCAACGCCTCAGTGTGCTTGTACCCAATCCTCAAACACTCCCCTAGGCGCTCCACACAGGACAGAGTTCTGACGTTCCCCTCACCCAGTTTCTCTTTCAACCTAGCCAACAATGGTCTGTAAATCTCTTCCGCTTCAACATACTTGCCTTGCCAAAGCAACACTTTGCCGTGGTGCCACATCCGGTACAGCGTCTTTTTCCCACGGTTTCCCCACAACGTTTCTGAAACTCGTAGCGTCATCGATGATAATTTCTCTGCTCTTCTGTATTGCCATTTCTCGAGCGCATACTTGCTGACGTGCATCACGAGATCTGCGTAGCAGTTCATTAACTCGGGGTCTTCAGTGGGCTCATCGTATAGAATTGGTTCGATATGCGGCAGTAATGCTCTTGATCTGGGCGAAATGGCTTTTGCGTCGCGGGGGAATTTTTGTTCCATCAACTTCAAGAATTGAGTGGCGTAGAACTTCTTCTTTTGCGGTGAGAGGTAGTTCTGGACGCAGGATCGTACCATGGGGTGTATGTCGAAGAGAGTGCGGTGGTCATTGGACTTTACCAGCGAATACGCCAGCAAGAGCTCAATGTCTTGATCGTACCTGAACTTTCCTTCAAAGTCGTCGTGGCCGGAGTCGACGTCGGTTTCACCGCCTTCGCCATCACTTCCAAAGCTTCCCCGGCCGCCTGCGGCGCTTTTGGGTGAGTACCAAGCCCGAAGCGCAAATGCTGGTATGTTTTGGCCATTGAAGAAACTCATGAGTGACATCAGATCTGCCGCAGACCATCTTTGCTGGTAAATTTGCTCAAATGATATCTCCCACGTCGACACTATCGTATTGAACGCGGTGAAATCCCGCTGCAAGTCGCCCGCGTCATTACTTAGCCGGTTATTCGTCTTGCCATCACTCGTGCGGAACTCATCTAGGTAGCGCGATACCAATGTGTGGGCGCTGCGGTTGATGTTTGCAGCTGCCTGGCTGATCGCCAGCGGGATGCAGTCGAGCGTGTTTGCTAGATCGAGAAGGTCGGGTTCGGGGGCAGGTTCTTCAAGCTTGTTACGTAGAAGCTGTACAGCTTGAGCACTGGTCATGGCCTTCACTGATTTTGTAAGTTCTTTGCTTCCGACTACTCGAGTCGCTACGTCTCTGCTTCGCGACGTGACCAAGACGAAGCCGTTGTCGCTTCGGGGCAGGAAATTTGTCAATGGCAGCTTGTCATCAACCATCCTAACCGGCGCCCTTCCGAGTCCGAATTCCATATAGCGGTATTGCGGCTGGGGTAAGAAGACATCGATATCGTCTGCATTGTCGAGCACCATAGTCCACGGTCCGATCTTCTCATCACTCAACCAGTCCCTAACCAGCTCCAGGATATCCACGTCGGGATCATTATAGCGCGGTATTTGAAGCGTGGCTGCAATCTCTCTGTATCCTTCTTCGAACCGCGCCGCGGTCCCGCCATGGACCCAGAAGATCGAAGACTGCGGCGCAGCCATCTTGACATCGAGGTAATATTGCAGTGCGAGGTGCGATTTCCTAACGAATCGTTCAGCCAAAAAAACCCATCAAAGGTTTCCGTCATTTTGACAAGTTGAAGGCAGATGTTTACATACCCGACACCTCCAGGTCCAACGAGCGCTGCACGACGAGCCGGCGCCGCACACATGTAGTGTATCCAATTCAAGATCCCAGGGCGATCCACGGAATCAGGATCCGTTGCTGATGGCATGGTAGAAGAGGCTTTTTTTATTCGGCTCAAGATAACAGGAGGATCTGCGAGGTTGGGAGTTATCAAAGTTGGGACTGCAGTGGAATACCGAGTGGTTTCGTAGGCGCCTGCCGCATGCATGGCCTTGGTGGTGGTAGAGGAGATATGGCTCATGATCCTTATAAATTATTTTGCATTTGTTCGGATGGGTATATGGCTGAATTAATGTGTGTTGAATAATTATTTCTGCTATGTTTTCCTCCTCCCTGTTGTATTTTCTCCAGCCTTCTCTCATGTATGTATATGTCTATGTCGCAGCGTTGCCTTATCATCTATTCTATTCGCCTCCAGCGCCCCTCCCTCCCTTTCGCCTGTCTAAGACGTGCATGCATGAATGCGCATGAAACAGGCAACTCCGGCAACAAAAAGGGTGGCTTAGAGCACAAATTCTGATGATGAAGAAGGTGCATACCGCAGCATTGAGTCTTTTGGGGGAGGGTGACGTGTTTTCCGGTGAAGTTTGGCGAAGTCTTGTTTCATGGGGTAAGTTGACGAGCGTATCAGGATACACAGTCAGCTTATGAACACATCACAAGGGTATTTAACTCGGGGGTGTTCGGGAGCCTGATCTATCAGGTGTGATGTTTCGCCATGACGTGATGGGACTTTTTCTTTGTTCTTCTTCTCTTGTTGATTGGTACTCTTGGGGTGAGGCAGTCTGCTTGTTGATGTTACAGATCCAATAGTCAATAAAGACGATAAATGTGTTTCTTATCCGTGCAAATATATATTCCTTCCAAGCTGTAACAAAATAAAACCACCAGTCCGGTAGCTAAAAAAAACTTTTCCTCAAGTCAACGTGTTCATGTAATCGCCTACATTTTTAGTGCAATTATGATATCAGGTGGAGGGTTTTTTTTTTAAAAAAAAGATCAGGTGGAGGTGCTGCTGCAAGTTCGAATCGAAATAAGAGTAGAAGACAAAATCATTGGTCTATGACAGACAGTCCAGCAGGAAATAATTCTCCATCATACCTGATTTCTACCCATTTACATGAATCATATCAAAAATTCCACCATTCCTTCAACTGCGCAAAATTATATTCAGTACTCTGTCGATAAACTGAGTTACACCCCTTTGATGTCAGGCATGTTCCGCGCGTACTATGTTCTACTTATTATCAATGAAGCAAATAAGGAAATCTCTGTTGATATAGGAATGCCATCCAAAGGTTTGAGTATGCTTGACGGTTGGTGAAATCGCAGGTCAAAAAGCCCCATTCCATGGCGAAAGGATGAAAAGTTTACATAGCACACACAAGACCTGTATCATATCGTACGCACCCTCAGCTTATCCGAATACATACCAAACTCAGAGGAAATATGATAACGCTCACACACACGCATCTATCGAAACACCCCACTCACCCCTCAACAACACGTCTTCCCTCCCTCCTCAACACCCGCCTAACCGCAAAAGCCGCAGCAACAGCCACCAAAGCCGTGGCACAATCCACAGCCAACGGACGCGTCAAATCGGGCTGTCCACCTTCCGGCGGCTGCTCATACAAGAAACTGGCAAACACGGAGCTTGCGTTCGCGACCGCATTCACCCACGCCAACGCCGCAGCCCTCTTCTCCGGCGGATGTGGGATACAGTTCGAGATCCATGCTAGTGCTACAGGGTAGCCAGAGTACACACCAGGCACCATTACACACATGGCAATGTACCTCGGGACGAGCGCGGTTGTAGAGCCCGCGAGGATGAAGGAGAACGTGGCGAGGAGGAGGGGTAAGGTGATGGGGAGGACGCGGGAGCCGGTGCGGTCTGCGTGGCGGGCTGTTAGGAGGGTTGAGAGGACTGCGAGGAGGTAGGGGGGTGAGGTCAGGAGGAGGGTTTGGATTGGGGGGAGGGAGAGGGTTGCGACGATTGTGGGGAAGAAGAGGGTTATCGAAGCGGTTGAGACTTGGGCTGTTAGGAGGAGAGTTAGGAGGTGGGTCTTTTGGTCGGAGAGAGCGATTGTAAAGCCCTTGAAGAACGGGGTGGGTTTACTAGGGGATATGGATGATATGGTTGAGGAAGGAGAGGACGAGGCGATGTCTTCTTGGAGGCGGTAGATGGCCAGTTGGCGCTCTTCTTCGGTCAGCCAGGATGTGGATGTAGATGTTGTTGTGTGGGGGAGATTCGGGAGGATGGAGAATGCGATGAGAGCGATGGCGATGGTGATGGCGCCCTCGATGAGGAAGACCCATCTCCACGCTCGTAGCCCGTGGGAATAGTCCATGTTTCCTGTTATCCCAGCCGTTACAAGCCCTCCGAAGGCGCCCGAGAGGAGGGAGCCTGAATATAAGACGGCCGTCCTGAAGCCGAGTTCCTTCCGCGTGTACCATGACGAAAGGTAGAAGAGACACCCGGGGAAGTAGGCTGCTTCGACAAATCCTAAAAGGAATCGACAGGTCACGAGACCACCGAAATTGCGGCATGTTCCTGTCAAGGCAGAGATGACGCCCCAGATTACCATGCAGGTTGGGAGGTAAATGGCAGGTCTTCCGCTTTTTTGGAGAAAAAGGTTGGATGGGACTTGCATGAGGAGATATCCGATGAAAAGGACGGAGACAATGGTCTATGCGTATACCATTGTTAGCACCGATCAAGTTCCACGCGATCGAATATCATTTGATGTCCCATTGATACCGCACGATTATCTTGATCATGAAGGGGGACTGCACCTGATATTCCCTACTCGACAAACTCAGCTCCTCTTGCAGTCCAGCGAACCGCACGGCAGCGATATTATTTCGATCAAGATAGTTCATAATGTACATGAGGATGATCATGGGCAGCAGTCTGGTATCGATCTTCCTGAGTATGCGAGCCTCAGTTTTTGAACGACATGTCTGGGACATGATGGCTACCAGAGGTGGAGCCTGTAATATGTTGGGGGCGGCATTCTCTGATGTGGTAACAGCACTCGAAGGGCGGACACCATCGTCGCTGTATACTGAAGTTTGATCTGCCGAGGCCTGTTCAGGGATGGAGGGATTTGATCCTGACCCAAAAGTACCATAGTCCACCATAATGTGTTTGGTTCTGGTGTTTCACATTAGTAAACGAAAAGAACAGGAGAGTAGCTTTGTGTGGGATGAACTGTGGCCATGCATGGTCTTGAATGCAATCTATCTTACGACGTCGGCCTAACTGCGTGCTGAATACATACATGATAAGTAATGAGATGCGGTTTAGTTTTCATGAATTATCCCCTATCCAGATCTCTAGGACTTGGTTGCGTTGTGGCGTTCAAAGACGTTGATCAGGATGTGGATGATGGTGAGGGTGGGGGGCCGGCAGGAACATGGCTGTCTCTTCTCTCGTCGCTTATTGGATACGCTCCCGACGACAGTTTGATACTTATGATGAGCTCAACTCCTTCATCACTGATTTGTGACATTGAGAATCTCTAAAATATGGAGTACAAATATCATGAAAGTATGTAAAAGCATAGTTAACTGCGAAGATTCTATTGTTCGTGATCGTTGTGCTGGTGTTCTACAGTTGACCATTTCGCCACGTTCAAGCGCTTAACGTATATATATAGCATGCACAAAGCAGACTAGAATAACGTCGATACAGACATAAACAGACAACAACACATAATAAAACAACAAAGCAGAATTCGCCGGATATTCACTTGATCTACGGATTCCAATAGTGTGTGAGTGTCTATAAATATTGCACAGCGCAGGCCTGGCCTCACTCGAAGATTCCACGCGTTACGTCACACTTTTCCCGTTATGGTTAGCGCACAAACAGGACCCTGATGCGCGCTGGCTGGGGATCTTCGTCTTCCCTTCAGACACCAACCGCGCGTCACGATTCATTCTTCCACTCGACTCCCTCACTTCTCCTCCACTATACTACTCACTTGCTTTCTTTCCCCTGTCACCCACTACGGCGCTTGTGCATACTGGTTCTGGAACTCGACCGACGTGTTTATCTGGCCAGGAACAGCGCCCAGGCTGCAAGAGACAGAACGAGCGTATAGGTGCTGCTGTCTTGGCATCGCGCGTAACTTTGGAAGAAATTAGCGTGTGAGCGACAACAACGGCAGACGGCGTGTATCCTGGGAGGCTTGTGTGCACCGGGGCGGCTAAGCACGACCACCAGTTACTCGATACTCAGTATCGTGGAGCTTTTGAGGCTACAGAATCTTCTCTCGCTGGAGAGCAGGAATTCATCGTTGGGGACAAACAGGCAACAACTGCGCCACACACCCGTTAGCGCCGTCTACCGTCCATCATTGACAGACATCCGCAAGTTGGAATTTCTTCCAGTGAACCAGTCCCTCGACGCCACATATATTCCCCCACAACAACATTGTGAAGACACAACGAGACGGCTACTGGTTATTGTTATGACCCCTTTCCTTGCCGTTCTCTGAACAATCAACAGAATTGAGCAGGACTAGCACACACTCTAACAGCAGACATGGATTTCTCCAACAACGCTTTCCAAACGCGGCCATCATCCAAACTGTCCGAGGACAACATAAGTCACACCAAGCTGGTCCAGTCGTGTCGGTTTGGCTGGTCGGTCGGACCTAGCGACTCTCAATCCGCCATCGCTGCTCCAGTCTCTGCTCCCGTCTCAACACATACAACCACCAGTACATATATTGACAAACGAGCCAAGAGACTCACTCCCTGCCGAGGACGGTTATACCATCAACTCACGTGCGCACATCGTATTCGAACGGATCTGATAGAAGATTGTGGGACTAACTGTCTGGAGCCATACACCACTACTAACAATAGTCTCTCGCCAGTACCTTTCTACTGCCAGGAGTGCGTAGATCGTGACTCAAACCAATTTTGGGAGACGCGGTCTGCGGAGCACGATGCGCAGTACCCTTCCATAGGCCAAATGACGCCGGACCAGTACAACCAGTGGTACGAAGAGCATCAAATTCTGCAAGCTCAGTACGGGATTGATCGTAAGAAGTACGAGATGCAACAACGCGCGGCGTCGCGGCCTTCGAACGTGTGCTCTGCACTCGAGATGAGTAAAGAGGAAGAGGCGTTTGCTAAAGAACTAGACGGGCTTTCTCTTTCGCTAATGGCGTCTTCGTCTTCATCGTCGCCGTCACTCTCGGTAGCTACACTGCTATCGCTTTCGACACCTGCGTCATCGCTCGGAGAAGACAGCGTCGCTGCTGTTTCTAGGGAGTCTCGACGTCCTTCACACCCACATTACCACCCTTATTCGCGGCAACGCACTACGCTGCCTACGGATGCCTCTGAGCAACTTCACTGGGGCCTCAATTCATTGAACATTGATCGCGGATCGTGCGGAGTCGAGTACTCTGGGGGATCACCGGTGCAGTCACCGTCCAGACCACAGCAGATTGTGGCGAAGGAAGACGTGTGGCGCCCCAGGGGCCCGGCAACGAGAAAGTAGAAGGTGGACGATTGAAGGGGGGAATGGAAATAGGACATCAGAAGATTTTGTACAGTGAGGCCCGAAAGCAGGATTAGGCTTGATAGATAGTCGGGAGCACGTCCTTGGCTAGATGTACTTTGTGTTTAGTTGTAGGATTATCATTGCGTGTGTATGAATTACGAAAAAGAAGCATTATTTATTTGACCAAATCAGTTTATCGATGGTGGTCAGGGAGTGAGTGAAAGTTGAAATGGGCGGTGATGGCCAAAGGGTTTTGGACTAGAGGAAAAGGGGAAGGGCGAGGGGAGAGGCAGAGGGAGTGAGGGATGAATGACACAAATGGCCGACGGATGCAAGCCAACAAGCAACAAGAGGGAGGTTGAGGGGAAGCCGATGGAGAGGAACGGGGAAACGGGGGTTTGGTAGCCGCCGTCCCCGTTCCCGGACAAGCGGGTTTGACTGCTTGGCGAGACGAGGCTAATACGCTAGACGGCGGCAGACGACAGACAATAAGTCGAGGGCCAACAAGGGGTTTGCAATGTGTAGGATAGTATGATTGAAGGTGTATAGAGGGGAATATGTCGGCCGGGCGAGCGAGAGTCGCGCTGAGCAGTAGAGAGAGGTGGTGACATGAAGAGGCGAAGAGCCATGTGGGAGCGCGTAGAGTTGAATCCTTCCCAGATGCAGGTGTGCGATACGAAGAGGTACCAGATCAGAGGGTACCTATCAGTGGTGGTGTAATAGACCTCGGTCCTGCCTGATTGGGCGCCCTCGGCAGCCAATCGGCGGGCGGGCTGACGCCGCGGACCAAGACAGGGCTCGCCAGTAACCCCCCCTGTTCGTTTCGTTGAGAATTCATTCCATCACCAAGACAAGTCCATTTCTGGCGCCGCTCGCGAGCTTTTTTTTTTCGACGGGGGTCCTCTTTTATTTTTTTGGCCTCTCGTCTCTTGAATCGACTCTCGCTCGTCAGCCAGCACTCACTCTACTGCCTGCTTCTGTATACGCGCAGGCCTATCTGAACTGGGAAGTCTCCCCCGGTCCCTACTCCGTCCCTTCCTTCCCTTAAGACCACCAGGACCCTTTTTTTTCTATCTCACCTACCGTGTACCCATCCATAAAACCTTCCTCCGCTTACTTGCCTGCCTGCCTGGCTCCTCTCCACTCCACAACATCCACCTGCTTGCTTGCTGGCTTGCTGCTGTGCGTGCCAACCATCAATTGCCTGTGTGTGTGTGCGTGCTTGTGTGCCTGCTGTACTCGTGCTCGTGTGCCGCGACAACAACTCATTTGCTCACACTACCTTCTCCTCCCTCCTCTTTTCCACAACAACCCCCCAATTCTTCTTTTTGATCTTCTTTCCCCCGCCTCATAATCCAACCCACCCCGTCTCGCCATCATGTCTGGTGCAGGCCCTGAGCTATATCCCGGCGAGTTGCCCTCGTGGGCCGTCTTCAAATTCCCCCCAGACTCTGCGCCCGCCGCCCTCGCTCCCCCCGTCGCCGACCACTACAGCTTCAGGAACCCGATTCCCATTCCAGAGAACGTCTACAATGCCGTACTTCACCCATACGTGCCATTGACCATCGCCACCACATACGCCGTGTCCATCTCCACCCTCAACTGGTGGAACCGCAAGCACGGCAACAAGCCCTGGAAAATCAGCAAGACGCGCGCTTTCCACGCCTTTGTCATCTTCCACAATGTCCTTCTCGCCGTCTACTCCGCCGTCACCTGCTGGGCCATGGTCAGGTCGCTCAAGCACTCCATCCCCCACTACACGGAGCACAATGCCGTCGTGGGCGCCGTCGATGCCCTGTGCAAGATCCACGGTCCCCGCGGCCTAGGCGATGCGGTGACGTACAGCAACAACCTCAACCGGTGGGAGAGCAAGAACGCCAACATTCGCATCGATTCCTCCGGTCTCCCTGAATCCACCGATGTGGGCAGGATCTGGAACGAGGGTCTCGCATGGTGGGGGTGGGTTTTTTACCTGTCCAAGTTCTACGAAGTTTTGGACACGGCCATTATCATTATGAAGGGCAAGCGCAGTAGCACTCTTCAGACCTACCACCACGCCGGCGCCATGTTGAGCATGTGGTCCGGTATTCGCTACATGTCTCCTCCCATCTGGATGTTTGCTCTGGTCAACTCTGGAATCCACGCCATGATGGTAATTATACCCTCTTCGACAATCACAAACTTTTGAGTTTTTGCTAACACAATCGCAGTACACCTACTACACCCTCTCCGCCCTCCGCATCCGCGTCCCGAACCGCATCAAGCGTACCCTCACCACCATGCAAATCACCCAATTCCTCGTCGGTGTCGTTTTTGCCGCCTGCCACCTTTTCGTCTCCTACACGGTCCCCGTCTCGGTTCCCTACAATGTCGCCGAGAAGGTCCTTTCCAAGGTCAATGTCTCCTCCATTGCGAGCGCTGCCTCCTCCGCTACTAGCTCTGCAGTAGTGGCCCCAGCAACTGGTGTCGCCATTGCATTCCTCAAGAAGATGATCTACCGCGCCGCGGGAGACGAGGGTCTCGCTGAAAACGTTTACCAGCCTGGCTCTTCATCGCCTGCTAGCTTCTCCGGAGCCACCTCCAATAACAACAACCAGGCACAGCACCCCATCCACGACACCGTCAACCGCATCGTCTACCGCACCGAGTACCAGCACGTTCCTTGCATTGACACCTCCGGCCAGGCCTTTGCCATTTACCTCAACCTCATCTACCTCGCCCCTCTGACTGTCCTCTTCGTCCGCTTCTTTATCAAATCCTACATCAAGCGCACCTCCCCCAACGCCCGCAACCCCACCAAGCACGAGGCCATCACCAAGTCGGCCCGCGACGCCATGCGCGGCGTGGACCGCGAGGTTGAGTCTTTTGGGAAATCCGCCGAAGACGGCTTCTCCACCGCCATTATGAATGGCGCATCGGCTCTCCGTGGTCGCGCTACCAAGCCCAACGGTGATGTACGCAACGGTTCTCTGAGCCCAGAGAACAAGAAATTTATTGACTCGTTTAAGGGAAGGGTCAGCCAAGAGCTGGAGAAGATTGGTGAGGATGAGCAGAGCACCAAGCAGCGCGCGAAGAAGATCGCCAAGGATGTTGTTGGAACTGCTGAGGCGGAGGCCGAGAAGGCTAAGAAGGGCGGCAACGCGTAAGAGCGGGATCGGGCGGAGTGTGTCGGTTTCAATCTTGTTGATTTAGGGTGTATGGGCGGTAACATTGCCTCGGTTTGGGTGTGTTCTCCCTCTCATTTTTCCCGTCGAGAGAAGGTGGGTGGGGCAAGGATGGGAAGGGCCGAGAGATGGGTGTAAGAAGGTAGATCGGACCCGCGTCGAGGGTCTTTTTGGACTTCCTCCCTGCTATCGTGGGTATACCGCTCACAGTGATGATGACGAGGTGGTAGGGATTGATTAAGGGATTGGCGTAGCAAGAGGAGTAGGGGGGTTCGAGGCGTTTTTACATTTGACATCATCTTTCTATTAGAGGGACGGAAAAAGTTTCTTTTTGCGGTTTGCTACTTTTTCCGCTGTGTATCCATCTTTTCTTTCCCTTTCTCCCTCTCTCCGTCTTTATCTTGCCATGACTGTCATGGCTACGTCCTCCCCTGCCCCCCCCTCCCTGGAAGATGAGAGAAAAAAAAAGGAAAAAGTAAGAGGAAGACATGGGATAGATATAATTTCAATATAATAGAGAATGAGCGTTTTCGAATAGGTCGAGCTTCTACTGTTGTTCAGTACCGTTGCGATATTGATAATTTGGCGAGAACAACAGCAGCAGCAGTAACAATCATCGTGACTTGTTGATGATGGAGATGAAGAAGGGCTTGGTATTCATTATATTTGACTAGCGTTTTCCATTTTCGTGAGTGTGTTTCCACAAGCAAAGGGGGCTTCGAGCTTAGGGCTCATGGTTTTAGTGTCTGTTTTCCATTTTCAATCACAAATGCAGTTATTGCTGGTCATCGCCGTCGTAATTGTCATTGATGAAGACTTCTTTCCTAATCCCTTGTGCTGCTTCTGCTTCTACTTCAAGCGACAGGTACCGGATCCAGCGATTCCTTTTCTCCTTCTCCTTGCTCTTGCTTCTGCTGCAACACAACACCATTTTCCTCAATACTTGATTGTGAATTCTCATCATCGTCATCATCATCGTTGGGTTCGTTACGGTCGTTTATTTCCGACGAAGACAGTGGAGAAGGTGGGGAGGATAATTCCATCTCGGTCTCGACTTCTCTTTCCTTGTCCAACTCCACGTGGACATCGTCATCCATATTCCCCTCTACTTTGCTCTCGCTGTTTGACTCGGGGTTGGATAATGGCTCGGATGGTAGTGCTGTAGGAGCATCCATGACGTTGTCTAATTCATTGGTGTCTTCATCTCTAGACGTAATGACATCTTGCTCTTCCTCGATCATCGGCTCTTGAATAAGCGTCTTTAATTCAGGTTCACTGGCGAGGATCGATGGTGCTGCGGCGTCGACGGAAGGTTGTAGTGAGGACGGGCTCGGCTGCGAACGTAGTGTTTCTGTTTCTGCCTCTACTTCTGTGGTAGAAGAGGAGTCATCTTCTTCCGCGGGGATGACATCCGGGTTTGAGAGGGTAGCTGTAGCAGCAGACGAGGAGGAAAAAGAAGGGGTATGAGATATACTAGTGGACTGTTCGATATCTTCTTGCGGATGAACTGATGGCGTGGGTTCAGGTTCATGTTCAGAAGACGAATCAGCGTCTGGCGTCTGCGAGGAAGCAGCACGGGTAGAAATCGAGGAGAGGGGCGTAGCAGGGTCATTGGGCAACGAAGTCGATGATGTCTCGCTTTCTACTAGCATCTCTTCGACTAGACTTGATAGAGATGTTTCCGCTGCTGGAGCTACAGTGCTCAACGAAGACGAGAGAGTGGGGAGTTGTGTGACTGTTAGAGTTTCCACGGAGATGGCGGTCGTGGTGATGATGACTTGAGGGGCGTCACTGCGGTCTGCAAAAGTGGTTAGGTACCATGATAGAGGTTTGCTTGGATCCATTGTCATGGCGAGATAGACGACTAGAGCGGTGAGGGCGACGAGGAGGACGTTGCTGGAGTCGCGGATGAGGAGGAGTATAGAGTTTTTGAGGAGGGTGCCTAGGGGAACTTGTTGTTCAATCTTCCTAGGTGGGAGATTATGCTCACGATATTGGGGAACGGGGGAGTCATCCGGTGGTGATGATGGTTGCGCTATCTTCTTGTCTTGAGCCTGCTTCAACGCGTCTTCCATTGCGCGTAGGCGTTCAGCCACGGCGTTGGCTTCGGCCATGGCTTGGGCTTCGAATTCGAGACGCATGGTTTCCTTTGCTTCTTCGATTTTCTCGTAGACCGCGTCTTCTAGCCTTTTCTTTTCCGCGGCTTCTTGCTCGAGTTTGCGGTGGAGCTCGGCGGCTTCGGCTTCGATGCGTCTTTGGACTTCGATTTCTTCAGCACGACGTTTGATGTCCATTTTTCGCTCTGCTTGTTTCTGGGCGGCTGCTTCCTGCTCGATACGACGCTGTAACTCGGCGGCGTACAGCTGCTTGTTGCGCGCAGCTTCCTGTTCCTCAAGCAGCCTTTTCTCCAACGCTTTCCGCACGTCTTCCGGAATCCAGGGAGCAATCTCCACGTCGCAGCTCTCCATCTCGCTCCATGCCGCCAACCACGCGCCCGCCCGCATCAGCCCGTTGGCGGCGTAGATTTTGAGATCCCATCTCTTGGTGCCGGCTCCGACTCCTCTGCCTGGTTTCTTGACCGGACGGTGGCAGTCGAGACACGTACTTTCGTCATCAGCTTCGGATGTCTGGTATCGCCAATCGCCCTCCTCGTCGACCGTGATGGTACCACCGCTCATACTGCTGCGACGACCCAGACTCCCATCCACCGCACTCTCTTCGTCCTCGTCTTTCTCATCGGTCGAGTCTTCCTCTGGGGCGACAAAGTGCCCGCACTTCAACAACCGCGGGATTTTCAGCTCGAGAGACTCCAAGATTCGCTCCTCCAGCACCTCGTACTCGTCCCGGGGGTGTGGTATCAGAAGGCCTCGTCGCATGAGAATAATGTCTTGTAGCTTCTCTTCCAATATCCTGTAATTCTCCACCAGCCATTCCGGCATGACCTTTTTCATAATCTCATGGGAATATGGCATCTGCATGGGCAAAATAGTTACGTGTAGCAGTACCAGAGGAAGTTGTTGTGGGGTAGGCGTATGTCGGGCGCTTTCCACGGCGAAAGACTCTCTATGCGACCTCGGTCGCCTTGAGCTCGCTGTCGACATGCTATCAGATCTTCCGCTCCTGGCCGGTGTCGTGAGCTTGTATTGGCCCTTGAGTCGTTCACGCGAGGCTTCAGCAGCAGGGAGAGGCGGCGGCGAGGACATCTGCATGGCGCGCACCGACGACGGGTTCCGGAAGGGCGGACGCTCCCTCCTCGGTGTATATCTCGAGTCGAGATTATTGGCCGGCGGAGCAACGGGTTTGGAGGCTACCGAGAACTCGGACGGGAGCGACGAGATGTAGCTAGTGGACGTGATGCCGGATGTGCGACGTGACGATTGTGTGTTGGAGGAGATGGAGGGCCGTGACGTATATGACGAGCTGTAGCGGTGGAAGAGGAGACTGTCCTGCTCGGGGTCTTGCTGCTCGAGCTGGTGGTGGTTTCCCTGTTCGATGCTGGGCATGGCGTCGTCGGCGCCAGGCATGGACATGTCGGATTGGAACGAGACATCGCCCTCGTAGACGTCAGATGGGGAGGGCGGGTCGTGATCCTCTGGATCTTCGTAGATGGCGAATGGAGTTGCGCCTGGCGGGGGCGAGTGGTGAACTGTGGTCATATCGGGTGTATTGGATTGTGCCACGCCCGTGCGATGCTACAGAGGCTGGGTGGGTGTGGATGGTAGGTGGGTGGAATCAGGGTTCAGTGGAGCCGCAGTCACAGGAAAAGGAATTTGAGTTTTGGCGATTTTCAGGGTTTCGATTGGAAGAGATTGGTTTTGCTTTGAATTTCTGGAATTATCTATGATTTTGGGTCTTGAATTGGTTGCTCGTGAAGCGCCTGCCATGGGCCGTTGTTGATGTTTGGTCGGTAGAACGTTGATCCCCGTTGAGGGGGTAACGGTTAGTAGAGGATGGGACTCAGCAACCAACAATGACAGCACATCTTGCATACCAACCCAACCCGTTCGGCTCTGGAGAAATGCGATTGAGGTCCCGTTTAATGGACTGTAGCTCCACATGGTCGATATTGTTGCTGCGTTTGCACAAAGCACACCGCCACGTCCAAGGCCACGTCTGACCGACTACATGCCACGCGAGGGAGCAGCCAAGGTCGACATGTTTTCTTATCGTCTGTTCTTTTATACCAATTATATCACGTCCTTCTATCGACCAGATTGTTCGGTCCCGGGAGGATGGAATACATGGATGGTTATCGACGTTGGTGGTAGGATGGATTTTTGTGGGATTTAGTGATGGATCTGCAGCCAGGATGACCCTTTCTATGCATTATGGAAGTAGGCGAGTCATTCAGAAGATGTGTAAAAAAAAGGCATCTGAATAGTCCGTCTTTGACATCTTATATAAGTGCTTGAGTAGACTATCAACCTGCCGGGAAATGTTTGAACCTTTTTCTCGCCAAGCACAGAGATATACTTTGGGGCAAACCAGGAGTGGGTGAAGATGCAAGTAATTCGTACAGTTGAAACTCTCCGAGCAGAACCTTCACATGCAATCGCCCTGCTCAGTATGTGATGACGATATCCACTGTTCAACGGGCGGTTTGCGGATTGATTATGGGACTCTGGCGATGCGGGGATCCGAAGAGCAAAGAGAAGCAGATACATATGTATAGTACGGATGGAGACATGTACCTGAGCATCCATCGTCATGTGGTTCCTGTGACTGGCTGGACCAGTTAGCCATGAAGGTTCATCATGTCAAGTGTGTGGTCAGTCTCCCTGTATTCTTCAGTAGCCATTCGAATATGCTATATCCAAGCATCATCCATTCACTCTGACATCCGTCTCGCTTAGCCAGCAGACTCCAGCACCGAACGACAGCGGCAACCAGACCAACCCCTCTCTCTTCCTTCTTCCCCGCCAACTCGCACCAGCAAATCTACACTCACACCGGGGCAGGCACTGCTGGCTTCTTCAACCACCCGCTCGCTTTATTAATCAACCACGGCGACCACCATGGCCTCGCCCGACACTCTCCGCTCCCGCTCGCCCTCGTCGTCCAGCACCTCGTCCAACACCACCATGAACGACGCTCCGCCCTCCACCCCCATCCGCCCGCGCCCCCAGTCGCAAACCACGTCCACCATGGCCCGCAGTTTGGAGCCCGCCTTCCGCTTCTTCGATTTGCCTCAGGAACTGCGCGACCGCATCTACACGTACGCTCTGGTCTCGCCCTATCCCTTCTGGTGGCCCGCCGCATCCACCCCCAAGCACAATGTCGCCCTCAGTCTGCTGCGCGCCTCGCGCCAGACCCACGACGAAGCCGCGCCTATTCTCTATACCCACAACAAATTCCTATTCACCCACCCGAGCGACTGCAACATGTTCCGCGTCATCGCCTCGCCTTACTCGCAGCACATCACCACCGTATACCTGCGAATCCGCGAGAAAGAGATGGGCTTGTGGACCAGCTACCTGAGCTCCACCAAGGAAGAGCGCAGCCTCAAGCACGACCTGCCCAACCTGAAGACGCTGTGGGTCTTCCTGCGTTCCGGCTCTCTGGGCGCCAATCCGCTTATGATGGGAGGTGCACTGGGCGGCCTCATAGCTGCGGGTGGGGGCGTCGCAGCCGCCGCAGGAGGAGGAGGACTCGGAGGACATGTGCAGCATCTCAACCCCGCCCAGCTGGCCGCCCACATGCACAATGTCCAACAGAACCTCGGTGGTCAGATAAACCACCAATTGACTGCCTTCCACCAGCAGATCCACAATCAGATCCAGGCCCTGCACAATCAAGTCCACAATGCTCTCGGCCAGGGCAGTCCATTCGCTGCCGCCCTTCAGATGCAACACCCCCTCCCACCACCTGCTCCCCTCACTCCGCATAATGTCGCAAACGCAATGGTCCCGCCTGTCCCTCCTCCGCCCCCTCCTCCCCCCGCGTACCCCCAGCAAGCCATGCAGTAAGTAGATCCCTTATTCCTTCTCTCGCTGTAATCATTGTTCTAACGAGGTAATCCAGCCCGACGACATTCACTGCACTCCCACATCCCTATCCGCTGTTTGCCTCTTTCCTCCGCTGGGAGCGCGAACTCGGACTTGACCAGCTCTGCCTTTCCCTCCACGAAACTTGTCCCCCAACCGCCGACGTCAAGATTGTGGCTATTGTCAAACTGCCAAAAGCCGATGTCACCCGTCTGCTCGAGACGTACCCGGATGAGCTGAGCGCGGATCGAAACGGCGATCTGAGGACACGGTTCCGAAGAGTTAGAGGCTTGGATGTTTGTCTCGAGGTCAGTGGCGTGGAGCCTGCTTCTGCTGTTGGTGTAAATGCTTGATTGGTGTCAAGGTGGCACTGGTCGAATGAGAGAGTGAAGTGTTCACGCATATTCTATTTCTTCGTCTTCTTCCACTGTTTTCTTTATTCCGGTACTTTTTAACGATGGTCTTAGATGGTTTGTATGATGAATTGTTCATTCTCATCCGGGAGGCTGTTCTGTTTCTTCTAGAAGGATCATCTGCTTTCTTTGCGGTTAATATCACCAACCTCCCTTTTTAGATATTGTCTACGTTTTCTTCTTCTTTTTCAGATAGATACCACCATTGTCGCCTTTTCAACTACTTTCTCCTTTCAAGAGGGGGGTTTTTTCTAACCGCTAGCAAATGCAAATGCTGCAGTATGTAGTTGACGTACATTCACAACTCCCTGTATTGCAAACGTTTTGGTTGCGACTCTCGCTTTCTTTGTGTTGTTATCTTTGTAGACCTCTTATATTTCATTGTCATTTTTGATTAATTGTTCTTTTCCCATCTGGGTCCCTTTTCGCGGGAGCAGTGTCATGTATAGATAGAAGAGGAAATAACGGTTTCATGTCGGCCTAGTAATCTTTTTGCTCTTTGGTGGCAAGGAAAGATAAATGATACCTACATTGTTTCATTGACGCTTTTATACAAAGACTCATTCACATGCAAATTATCTTGTTAGAATAGCAAATAACATCAAAGTACACCCCTTCCCATTCTCCCCCTCCACCCCAACCAAACCCATCATACCCCATACCTATACCCAAAATCATCACTAAAACAGCTCTGCCTCTTCTTCCCCAGTTATATCTTCTTCAGTTGTACCCAATCCCACATCCCCATCCTCGAGTACGCCCTCTTTTCCTCCCTCGACGAATCCCAGATCCCCGCGATGATGAAGATAGCGGTGATGTCGATGTGGTGTTGACGATTCTCTCCCCATCCACTCAGCCATCAAGCGCGTGGTCAGACGTGATAACTGTTTGATCTTATGCAGTATACCATCTTTTTCTTGGTTCTGAGAAATGCGGTGGTGCTGGAATTGGGAATAATGAAGAAGAAGACGTGTTAAACTCTTGAAGCAGTTTATTAGATATTGTAGGCGTTGGGGCTGTATTAGGTTGATGGCGACGGGTAGTGGTGATGGAGTGTTTATGCGGGAGGGGATATTGTGTTCATCCAAGGAACCGCAAGGTGAACTGTGAGCGTGAGGGCGAGGCTGATCGACTGAAAGAGCAGGGATTTGGAATTCGGTGGCCAAAGAGGAGGATAGAAGGGGAGTTGAAGGTATTTGGTTGTTGTTTTCGGTGTTTGGTAGCTTTGCTATCGTATTCGGCGTTTGGTCTTCAGTCTTCATGCCCGACGAAGATTCAGGGAATTTGGGATGAGTAGATGAGCCGGGCGATAGTGTTATGTAAGGAGATCGTAGTAAATCTCCATCTAGCGATCCTGCAGAACCCGTGCTAGAAACTGGTATATCAGGCACTACATCAGTGTCACCTCTCGAGCGTCGGGGAGTCTGCATGTGCGATCCCATCGCCCACGATTCCGCAGTTCTAGAAGAGGTATTGCGTTTTCGTTTTCGTTGTCCTACCGCTTGCGCTGCTGTTCTCCTGAATCCAGTGAGTGGCCGCGAAGCCATGTACCGGGCGATACTGGAGGCATAGATTAATGACCCATCTGGAGTTACTAGACTATGGCTCTCGCTTGTTGTTTTGAGTCGTTTTGGGGGGTTTAAGGGTTCATCGTCGTTGGTGGAGGAGTCGGTGATGGTAGAGAGGCTTCGCTTCTTTGGTGGAGATGATGCTGAGCTTATTTTCGTGATGAATGATGGGGTTGGGGTGGGTGAAGTGGTGTGCTCTTGTAGGAGGTTATGTGTGTGGTTAGGGGGAAGGGCGTTGTAAGTTGTTGTAGTGTTGTGTGGATCAGGGGGGTTTTGCTTTGGAGTCGGAGGCATTATTTTCGTGGCCTGTCTAGTATAAAGAGTAATCTGAGTTTAAAGGTTTATTCTGGAGGATTGTTTCTTTGCTGTGATTTTTTACGGAGGGGGACTATCACCAGCCTTTATAGAAGCTTGCCTGGTGGATCTATAGCATTTGGAGACCTTGTGACTCGTGATTCAATTGGATGCGTCATGGCTACTGGGTCTGATTCAGGCATGATAAGTATTGTTGAGGCGAGTCTGATTGACTCACTTTTTGATTCCCTATCGTGGCGCCGAGTTTTCCAATTTTGTAAGTCACACATTTGGGATCCGGCTTTGCATTAGAACATGCATATAATGGTCATTACTGGGCGAATATTCTGTGCAAAACGTCACCTGCTATTAGAATACTCAAAAATATGTCCAAACGAACAGATATCTTGCATACCCAATGGTTAAAGATCAGGTATCAGTTGGAACAGTCGGAGTCTAGAAGACGGTTGATCGACATAATAACAGCCATGAGTCTATATTTAACTCCAAGAGAGGCTTATGGGTGGGAGAACTTATGATCAAGATCTGAATATGAGTAGGAGTAGGAGTTGTTTTGTCAATGGAGCTTGCGATAACTTAACAAGAAGACTCAGCGACTAATTCACCCATGACACCAAGGCCTTGACTCATCCTTTACAGCCTCCCTCTATGAAGGAAAGTCACAATCTAACTTCATCAAAGTATCCCCAATACCCCATGATTCAAGGAAACTAAACCGCATCTCTGTCCATCCCTGAAATCTCTTCCACCGTCCGCCTCTAGTCTGGTGGGAGTTTCAAATAGACAAAGAGCTGTTAAACTATTAGTTTAAACATAAATGAGAAATCTCATAGAAACTTACTGTAGTTCCGATAAGCCCTATAGCACTAGTGATGAATGCATAAACGCCAGTAGCAGTCCACGCTATCCTAGTCTCTAGCTTGTCCAGCTGCATCTGGTGTTTCTCCAGCATTTTTGTTTGTGAATCGAGCAGGAACCGAATTGTAATTAGCTCATGATAGAGTATGCTTGGCTTGCGAGAGTACACTCGGGTTGGTCGACCGGTGGCTGTTTTTGATCTTGATGAGCTTGATCGAAAGGTGGAAGCGACAGGTGGTTGACAAGGTAGGAGACGAGGTAGACTCGTAGACAACAGCGATGGTGGTGCGCGGCGTTGTGCAAAGAGATGGGTCCAGCATCGTGAAGGCGTCGACATTCTGATTTTCCAGCAGCGATGGCAAGGTAGAGATGAATTGGATAATCAGTATCAACGGTGTTTTTTGAGCGCATTTGAGGTAGTGACGTATACGACGTCCCGACGATCCAGTGGAGATGTACGGATTTGTAGTGTTGTTGAGGTTAGGAACCATAGTAAGCTCTTCGCCCTCTGCTATAAGAGAGCAGAGTTCTCACAAGGCTTTCCATCTCCATCAACCCTGTCTCGCTATGGCACCCACATTGACACCCACGCACCGCCACGAGCCCTTCGACATCAATGTTGGATGTTGAGGTGAGAAAGAAGTGGGAGGGAAGCTGGACTTAAGTAGGATAATAAGTCAACACCACGCACGCTCAATCCAAAAACACTAAAAATACGTTAAAATTTAGTTGTTTTGTATTTTAAGCAGTATTAACACCTTATAAAAAACTAAAAAAAAAAACAATAATAAAGCTAGAAATTAGCGTAAATTCTCTATAAGAGTAAAGAATAATATAGGATTGTATAGTGGGCGTACGGGCTTTATTATCCGAATAATTCGTTCCCGTGGGAGCCTGGATATCTCCTCAACCAACCCCCAAAAACGCCCTCAAACAAGCAACCTCCTCCCCATCAGCCCCTTCCTCAACAACCCTATCAATCTTCCCCCCATCCCAAGCAAACCCACACCAAAGCAGCACCCCAACATCCCTCATAACCCTAATCTCATCCTCCCACTTCCTCACCTCCGCCCTCTCCCTAGTCAGTGTATCCCAAAAGACTTCCCTCAGCACCTCCGCATCACCCGCATACCGAAACACACGCTCTCTCCCATCTTCCGCATCAGAATAAACAACCTCCCCAAGCAACCGATCAACCCCATAAAAGCACACCCCGAACGGGAGAACCTCTGCTTCCGCCCAATCCACAAGACCAGTGAGTTCATGCGTCCTCGGATCGACGAGGATGTTAGACGGGATAAGATCGCCGTGGTTCAGCACCGTTGGGTAGGTATCCGATACATTCAGCACTGCGGTAAGCGTTTCTGCCGCTTTTGCGCGTAGACCGGGAGAAGGGAGGGATCGGGAGAGGGTGTGGAGCTTGGGGAGGATTTGTGAGCCCACGGGGCCGGTGCAGGGGGTGAGGTAGACGGGGCCAGAGGATATGGGGGAGTCTGCGCGGGGTCGTTGGGGGGAAGATGGTGTTTGGATTGAGGGTTTGGACGGGGAGGAGGGCCATGTAGCGGCGAGGGCTTTGGCGAGGGATGTTATGAGGGTGATTCTTTGGGGGGATGGGGTGGTTTGTTTGGTTGATGGTGGGAATGGGATTGCGGATGCGGGAATGCCGGGGAGGAGGTTCATTGCGAATGCTTTGAGGTTTGCTGGGAGATTTACAGGGAGACGGTGGATTGTTGGTGCGAGAGTCCCGTATGTTTCTTTTGCTTGGGCTACTATGCTAAGAGAGAGGGAGTGGCGAGACGGTCTAATTTGTACAATTGTTGTCAAATTCTGTGGTTCATTTGCGATGGTTCTAGAGGGTTTGAGGCCATGCGCGCTGTTGATGGGTTGGTGGGTTACGCGGAGTGTGTAGCTGCACCATCCTTGGTATGTGAACTCTTCGATCTTGCATTCTTGTTGGAGTGTTGAGTATAGCTCTTTTATCGCTTTCATGCAGGTTTCTTTTCCATTTTGACATTTCTCGTCTAGGCCAGCGCGTGTCCAGAAATCTGAAGACATTGATGTGTCTGGTCTTGTTTCCCAGCTTCTTCTCTTCGCATAAACCGACGCGATGCTTTTTGCTACAAGTAGGTAAACTAGAGAAACACCAAACCGTCCAGACAGCGGCTCCAGATCACCACGAGGGTAAACCGAACGTGATGAACCAGAAACTTTGAGGATGAAGTGAAACTTCCAAAGCCAAGAGGGTCACGTACACATACCTCCACACTCTACATATATACATGTAATCCGCTCCAAGTCACGCGTCAACCCACCCTCCGATCCAACCAACTCCGCACGCACGAGTGCGCAGATAAGCCGCGCATTAGACTCACAGAAGCGAGCAGCTTGAACATGGTGGCGTCATCTACGCGATCTGGATTGGATAATTATAGATGAGTTGGGAGGGGAATGGCACATGGCGAGAGGGGCAGTCGAGGTGTGGTGGAAAGTGTGGGGTAGCTTTCAGGTAAACGCGGGAAGTATGCGTTCCCCCCGCTCGTGTCTCCCGCGCTTACGGGATCGGCTGAGAAATAAGAACGGGAAGATTAGATGGGAGGGACGATGTGTAGATATATTTGTAGGTGGGAGTGTGTGTTAGTTTGGTAGAGTTTGAAATGTGAGAGCAAGATCGAAATATGGTTCCCTCTCTTTCAGGCACTTTCCTAATAATTCTGTTCGTTTCGCGGGTTAATGAAGTCTCTCAGTCCATATTGGTGTTAATGATGTGGAAGCATCGAGGTTTCTACATGTAAAAGATCGTGCAACAAGGAGATAGGAATCGAAGAGTGAAATAGTAGTCTATTGATCGTTTCGTATATTTTTTTCTCACCCTGGCCAAGAATGAGCTATGCAGATATCTCTACACAAATCTATGCATCTATCTTGAATCTCATATGACGGACCCAATAGACATTTTCCAGGATCACCCAGTCCGGATTTTTATACCATACCCAAAAGAAGAAACATTTGAAAGAAGGTGAAGAAACGGGTCTACCCGATGTTACCTCTTTTACCACCTCTCTTCCTTCGCTCCATATCTCCCTTCATAGTCTTTTTGATGTCCGTCAAGCTCCTCTTGTTCTTCCCCTTGGCTTTGCCCAAAGTCATCAAGAAGTTCTTCTTCCTCGCCTTCTCTTTATTCGTTGTGCTCTTGCCTTCCGACTCCTTCTTGGCTTTGCGGATCGCCGTGGTGGACGAGTGCTTGCCCGATTCGCGGTCTCCTTTGGCCATTGCGATCTTTTCTTCCTTGGTAGACTTGCGGCCTATTGCGGCGGCAGCTTCGATGGTTTCAGCCGTAATGGCTTCGTCAGCGTGACGCGCCGCGAGGAAGGCGGCACGCTTAGACGAGGGGAGGTTGGAATTTATCGCGGAAGAGGCTTGAAGTTCCTTGAGACGTTTCAAATCGGCGGGGGTTAGGATAGTGGTTGTGAGGAGTTTGGAGAGGGGTTTTGGTTCGGATGGGTTAGTGGTTGTGGTGGCGGCGGAAGATTCTCTGGTGGCAGAGTTGGAAAGCTTCGCCTTTTTGGCGGCGGGTTTCTTGGGGTCGGTGTTTTCGTCGTCTGAATCGGAGAGGACAATGTCTTCGCCATCAGATTCGACGTTGATCCAGCCTTGCGAGGAGTCGCTGTCGTCGGACTCGACGTCCCAGTTCTTCCAGTCGGCAGCCTCGTCTTCTACTTCTTCGTCGGTAGCGGCGTCGGCAGGTAGGCCTGCAGCTTCGCGCTTCTTGCGACGCTCTTCTTCCTTCCATTGCTCGAGGAGATCGATACCTTCGATCTCGCCAGAGGCTTCAAGTCCGTAGCGTCGATCGCCTGAGTCACCTGCGCGCAGTGCGATGGTCGCGTCCTTACCGCGGTCGCGCTTTTTGAGCAGCTCCGCACCAACTTCACGGTAGAGACTGAGCAGTCCCCGAGCCGCCATTTGCACTCCCTTGTCTTTACTCTTACGATACATGACCAAATCTTGCAGCAGCGTGTCGTTCATGGCGAGCGGTTGCCGGACGCATACTTCGCGAATTGCGTTGAGACCGGCAGCAGCGACTTCAGAGGCTGAAGCTTCGCTAACGAATTCGTTGGCGATCTTTTGCACAAGTGGTTCCAGTACATCCGGAGGTACAAGTGAGTGCGTGGCTTGTGCTAGAATGGCGAGGAAAGACGTGACTGAGTTTTGACGGGGAGTGAGGTGCTTGAGGAGGTACGAGTAGAGAGATATGACTGTGAGTTTATGTAGACCCACAAGTCGCGACACGAGTTGCAGAACAAGTAGTTTGGATTCAAGGGCGATTTTGGACTTTGAGTTTTGCACATGCTTGGTGAAGAGGGTTTCGGCGAAGCCTTGAGGGTCGTGGAGGAGGTGGAGAGCGGAGAAGTTGAGTGGATGCGGCGCATTCTTCTTGCGTTCCTTCCGCTTGACCGTGGCGGCTGCCTTCTTGAGCTCGCGGCCCTTCTTCTTCGTTTTCTTGTTGATGCCAGCTTGGTGACGCATCTTGTTCATATCTATCTCCCCGTCTGAATCACTGTCCTCTTCGGCCGCTTCTTCTCTCTCTTTGTCGCCCCCGAGGAAAAAGCGGGTTCCTCCTGTCATGACCTTTTCGTTCTCTGAGAGACAGGCCTCCTTCATGATGTCGACGGCCTTAGCGTCGGTCCATATCTGGCGCTTCCATAACTCGCGTGTGATCTTGACGGCCCAGAGTCCCTTTGTTGTCTCGCGATCTGAAGTCAAGAGGTTGAAAAGAACGGTTTGGATCGTGCGGTTCAAGCGGTGGTTGGTTGCTTTCGAGTTTGAGGAGCGTAGGTCGGATATGATTTTCTGAAAGAGCAGTGCGCGGAGACTCTTGCTAGTGGTGGAGACAAGGATAGGGAAGAGCGTGTTCAAGAGAACACTAGAGTCTATTATCTCCTTGTTGCGCAGAAGGACCAAGTTGGATACAATCTTATCCCGCAGATCAGGCTGAAGCTCATCGTGATGCTGGGAGATAATCTGGATCAGGTCGTTTTGAAATTGCGTGGTAGATTTGGGGAAGCAGTCGGCGGTGTGCGCAAGGAAGTCGATCAAGTCGCCAAGGCGAACAACACCAGTATTGTCGCTCGTTGAAGGGTTCTGGAGGAGAAGATCTCGTTGCGTCTCGTATTGAACGTACTGCTGCTGGTGGTCGTCGAAGTATGAGCCCGGGTCGCGGCGCACCTTGTACTGCAAATTGGTCAAGTCGGCATCGACCTTTTCCAAGGCTCCGAGCTTTCTTTTCATTGTATTTATTTTATTTTTACCGTTGTTGGTACTGTTCCCATGGAGGCGCAGATGGAGAGCGACGAGGAGAATTTCAGCGGGGCCGCGGGTAAAGGTTGTTCCGAGCCGGATAGCTCTAACTGATCGAAACTTCATCGTTGGTCACCAGGCAAACCTCAGACGTCCTCGCCGTCGACAATCCCCATTGTGCAAGCAGCCAGCTCTCTTGCCATAGTCGACGACGCGAAGAGGAAATAGCTTCCATCTCTTCTCTGCCCCAACCCCGCGTATGTCGTAATCGGGGCCTGCGCCCACCGCCGCCATGACGAGCTTTTCCACGCTCTCGCTTTACTCCCTCACAGTCAAACCCCCCTCGGCGACACAAGACGCGATCTCGGGTGACTTCATCGGGAGCGGCAAGCAGCAGATCCTCACCGCCAATGGCTCGCGCCTGACGCTGCTCGAAGTCTCGCGTAGGCAAAGTGGCTTCCAGGAACTCTACTCGCAGGATGTCTTCGGCATCATCCGCCGCATTGGCAAGTTCAGGCTTGCTGGTGGCACCAAAGGTATGTCAACATCTATTACCCCGAGCAAAGAAAGCCATTTAGTGATTTTCGAAAGCATCAGCAGCCACGAAACGGCGACAACATGGCAATTGGGCAATTAATTGATTACATGTGCTGAACAAGAGTTTGTCTAGATCACATCGTCGTAACCACCGACTCGGGTCGTCTGGTCACGTATGAATACATGCCCGATGAGCGTCAGTTCAAGACGGTGCACTTCGAGACATTTGGCAAGTCGGGCGTACGACGCGTTGTGCCCGGCGAGTACCTGGCTGTCGACCCGAAAGGGCGCGCCATCATGATTGCATCGACTGAGAAGAACAAACTTGTGTATATTCTCACACGCAGCGGTCAGACGGACATCACTATCTCGTCTCCGCTTGAAGCTCACAAACCCCAGACGCTCATCTTCGACCTCATTGGTCTCGACGTGGGCTATGACAATCCCATGTTCGCCGCTCTGGAGCTAGACTTCTCCTCGGCTGAGTCTGATTCTACCGGAGAAGCCGTCGAAGAGCTGCAGAAAGAGCTGGTCTACTATGAGCTGGATCTGGGTCTGAACCACATCGTCCGCAAGTGGTCAGAACCTGTAGATCGAACTGCCCACAAACTTCTCCGCGTCCCAGGTGGCCCTAATGCCCCCAGTGGAGTACTTGTCTGTGGCGACGACAACATCACGTACCATCACATCAATAACACGAAGTCACAACTCCGCCGCCTCGCCATTCCACGAAGAGAGGGCTCCACAGAAGACCCCAATCGGAAGCGGCACATAGTCACGGGCACTCTGTACTCCCTCAAGGGTGGAGACTTCTTCTATCTCTTACAGACCGAGGATGGCGATGTGTTCAAATTGACTGTTGATGCTCCCAAGGGAGTTGTGTTGAAGACCAAGATCAAGTATTTCGATACTCTGCCTCTTGCTACCAGCATCTGCATTCTCCGCGCCGGCTATGTATATGCCGCTTGTGAGACCGGTGATCGTGTCTTGTACGAGCTCGAGTCTCTTGGTGACGAATCAGACGACCCCGTTTTCGACAGCTCACAGTTTCCTACCAACCCTCTCGATAGGGACTTTGCGCCACCCTTTTTCCGGCCGCGAGAGCTCACCAATCTCAAACAGATTGAGGCAGTGGCCAGCCTCAATCCTGTAATGGGTATGGAGGTGGCTAATCCCGCGCTGGAGGATGCTCCGCAAATATACACAATCAACGGTGCAGGGGGACGGAGTACTTTCCGAAGTACACGCAATGCTCTGGAGGTTCTGGATCTCATTGAATCTCCTTTGCCCCAGAATGCTTCTGGCGTTTGGACGACGAGGCTCACAGCGGAGGATGAGACTGATACCCTCATTGTTCTCTGTTTACACAGCAGAACCTTGGTCTTGAAGATCGGTGACGATGTTGAAGAAGCCTCCAATACTGGTTTCATGCTCGATACCAACACGTTGGGAGTGCAGCAGTTTGGTGAAGACTGTGTAATTCAGATCCATCCCAAAGGTATCCGTCACATACAGAGCATTCAGTTCGCCGAGGGTGAAGCGGTTGCTACTCATCAAGAAATCACCGACTGGACCCCCCCTGCTCACCGCACCATCGTTGCCTGTGCAACAAACAATCGGCAAGTGGCTATTGCTCTTAGCTCGGGCCAGATCCTGTACTTCGAGTGCGATTCCGATGGTTCGCTGGCGATGGCGGAGGAGGAGGTTGCTCTCGACTCTTCCATCAACTGTCTTGCCATGCCCGACGTACCCGAAGGCAGCGTCCGGGCTTTCTTCATGGCTGTCGGATGCAACGACCACACAGTGCGCATCTACAATCTCAGTCCCGATATGGAAGGAAACATCCTACGAAGCATATCTGTGCAAGGTCTCTCTTCACCACCAAGTGATCTGACCATTAACTCAATGACTGACAAGTCGCCTCGAGGGTACAGCCAATATTTGCATATTGGCCTTATGAGTGGTGTCTACATTCGCTCAGTGCTTGAAGAGATGACCGGAGAGATAGGCGACACCCGGAGACGCTTCTTGGGCCCTGAACCCGTCACTTTCACTCGGATCGCCGCAGGAGGCGAACCAGCAGTGATCGCAATGACCTCCCGACCCTGGCTCGCCTACACTCATCCTCGCACTTCGGTGCTGCAACTCACACCACTCAACTATATACCCTTTAAGTCCGCCTGGAATTTCGATGGCTCTGCATTCAAAGGTGTAATCTGTGTCAGCAGCAGCGAACTACGGTATGTACCTCTTCTTTGTTTACGCTACACCACTGTTATGATGATAGAAACATCCTTATATATATCCATGAGGGTTTTTATACGCATTTTCCAATTGTTCCTGCTGAAAACAGTCTTCGTTTTACTCTTCAACTCAACTCGCTTGTCTTGTGCTTATTGCTGACTTGAGTAGTATCTTTACGTTCAACAACCTTCTCGATAACACCACATGCGAGTCGATCTCGTTGAGGTATACCCCGCGGAAATTTGTCGGCTATCACGATCAAGGGACGTTCTTTGTTATCCAGAGCGAGAAAGACACCATGGGCGCCTCGTCTCGCCAACATCTTATTGATCAGGCCGACGGAGCCATGGATCTAGAACACACAAATGGCGACACATCAAACGGACAACCTGAGGGTAATGAACTGCCACCTACAGAATTTGGCTATCCCAAAGCGACGGGCCAGTGGGCTTCTTGCATTCAAGTCGTCGATCCTATTACAGAGAAGGCTGTTGTGTATACAGTCGAACTGAAAGATAACAAATCGGCTGTCAGTGTTGCTCTGGCATATTTTGAGAGCCGTGGCGAGAACGAGTATTATCTTGCCGTTGGAACAGCCAAGGACTTACAGTTCACACCCTACAAGTTCACGTCCGCCTCTATCCAGATTTACAAGATCTCCCCTAACGGAAGAGAACTTGAATTCATGCACGAGACAGACATGGATGATCCTCCACTGGCATTGTTACCCTTCAAGGGCAAGCTCCTAATCGGTACAGGGACGGACTTGGCCTTGTATGATTGTGGTATGAAATCCATGCTGCGCAAGGCTTTAGCGCCCAAGTGTGTACCCAATCGCATCGTTGGCCTCAAGACCCAAGGCAGTCGTATTATTGTATCCGATCAGACTGAATCCGTAACGTATGCGGTCCACAAGGATCAAGTACATCCCAACCGTATCATACCCTTTGCTGATGATACCGTCCCACGACATACGACATGTACGGAGATGGTGGATTATGAGACCACGGTTGGCGGTGACAAATTTGGCAACATCTGGATGGTGCGATGTCCAACCAAAGTCTCTGAAGCAAGTGATGAGTCTCCTGAAGGCTTGAACTTGATACAGGACAAAGGCTTCCTCGGTGGTACACCCAACCGCGTGGATCTCGTTGCCCATTTCTTCGCAAACGATATCCCCACCGCCATTCAACGTACCGTTCTACTGTCTGGCGGTGAACGTGTAGTGTTCTGGGCTGGCCTGCAGGGAACGCTGGGTGCTCTTATCCCCTTTACTTCGCGCCGTCAACACAAGATGTTCCAGCAGCTCGAGTTGCATCTCCGCAATGAGGACAAGCCTCTCAGCGGCCGAGATCATCTATCCTACCGCAGTTACTTCACGCCCGTCAAGGGTGTCATTGACGGTGACCTGGTCGAGCGCTTCCTGGTGCTTGGCCGTGACAAGAGGGAGAGCATTGCGGGTCAAATACAGGGTGCCTGGTCGAGCGAAATGATAGACGAGGCGATTTGGAACATGAGAGCTTTGTATGCATTTTAAGCGATGGTCATTATGATAGGAATGCGATATGGAAGGGGAGCAAAAAGTCACGGACAGCTCTTAATGATACCTCTTGTGTTTTTTCTTTGCGACTGCTGGGTTTGTTCCTCTTCTCCTGACAGAGAGATAGGGTGTGATGGAAGTTGCGTTTACCTTGATAACACGGTAGTGACCGCCTAGCTAGCTAGCACACCACCCCCTTCACTTAAGAACGACACTAATCAATCCAGTGAACGGTCATTCCTCATATTGTAAGGGTTTGCGTGTTGTTTCCGTCACTTCTGTCTTTCCCCTGCATTTGTTACCGGTTAGAGATAGAGTGTTAGGCCGTGTGATTTGAAATAGAGCCGTATTAACAGGCATAGCGCCCGCTTGAAGAAGGTGCCACGCGTTCCCGTGTTCTAGGAGTTTCAATTGATGTCTCTAAAGGATCAGGATCTTAACGTTCTCAGTCCTCAGCACAGACGCACACGCAACTCTTACAATGTTTTACTCGCACAACGCCCTGATAGGTCAATCAACGAGAGGTCATTTCTTCCTTTCTTGCTACTATCGTAAGTTGCTCAATTAGGCCAATTCCCTCCATATCCGATTTTAAGTTCTTCAGGACTATGAAAAGGTATAAAAGTTCGATCTCTTTCCTCAAAGAATCATCATCTATTCACGTAGAGTCCTCTTCATCTTCTGCATAGCTTGATTGCCTCTCACGACATCAAAGAAAAGTAAATAATGAAAATGTTTCCTCTGCTCATGCTCGGAACTCACTTTTTCACTCAAACTTCAGCATGCGGTAGCCACTACAACTATCCTTTCCAAATTCCACCTTCTCATCACATCCGCCGCACCGAGCCCGCAGCCCTCTCCAACTTCGCCATCGAGGATGTCCGCGTCTTCAACGGCACACACATGACACCTCCTCAAACCGTCCTCGTATCCAACGAACACATCGTCTCTATATCCCATATCACCTCAACTTATCTCCCTGACACCACCAAAACCATCAACGGCACCAGCCGCTTCATCATCCCAGGCCTTATAGAAAGCCACGTCCACCTCAACACCGTCCAAGACCTTGAAACCATAACCTCCTACGGCGTCACAACAACAGTAACTTTTTGATGTTCCTTTTCTATCCAGAAGAGTGGATCCCACATAATGATGTAAGAAAAGATAGACGAACGAGTAGGTCGGGGAGGGGGAAACCATGTTTGGATTGTCATCGGGACGTAGAGATTAGTCACAAAATACTAGTTGTTGAGTTTGCCCGGCGAATCCAGATTTGGACGGCCATCTACTGACTTATATTGTTCATGAAAAGTGATGTTCGTGTGTCATCCCTCCTGTTGTTTGTCTATGTATCAGCCTGCACACGCTTTAGATCGTTTCTGAACGAACGCAACATTATTCACTAATGTGTAAGAATACCCTACTGTTATCAAACACGAGATGAGATGAAACCCAACTAGGTAAGCAAACAATGCCCTCAGCGCCAGTTCTTTAGCGTAAAACTCACCTTCCAGCCATGAGGCCACGACCAGACTTTCACTTTAATTCACCAAGCGACCCTCCACTACCATACTCTAACAACGAGCAATCGCCCTTCACAACTAAGTTTCACTCAAGCGCCAACTCCAAAATATAAAAAGATCTTCTCGAAGTTGGACTCAACGCCAGATCCGCCACAGCTCCACATCTACCCCCGCAATTCAACCTCAATTTCTAGAGGTTCCCATACAATGTCATCCAGACTCCCTCCAAACGAGCTTAACAGCGCAAGCCACGAAGATCTCAATGATGATAATAACCGCATTGAGACTACTAGCAGCTCCACAACCATTACCACCATATCGACTGCGATAACGATTCGTTTTTCGACCGTTGGACAAGTCGAGGAGTCCTTCAGTCGTACGATGACGCAGGATACCTACAACAGCATTTCCGGTCTCGAGGACGACAACACACCCTCGACCCCTCCGACAGGTTCCCTGCCCTCCGACAACACCTTTTACTACTTCAATCAAGCAACATACTATGAGTCTTTAGGTCTTGAATGGCAGGGTCCTGATACCGAAACGGATTCGGAAGCACCGCAGCTTCACTCTCTGCGCGGTAGACCGGACGAGCATATCCTCCTATCAGAAATTTCCAGTAGTGACTCCTCTTCCGACGATGACTCTTCTCCCGACGATGACGATGAAGCCGAGGGTAGCCCGAATTCCTCCTTCATCCATCTACTAAACCCTGGGCGGCTAATAGCAGCACTGATACGCAACGAGGGAGCCGAGATCCTCGAGAACTACCCTCGATTTCGAGACTTAGCCGGTATCGACAGCGACAGCGATGACGATTCTGACTCTGAAGATGAGCTGGAACCCACGCACACAACGCAACTTGCTACACGCCGCCTGGAAGAACTCGATTCATTCCTCATGACGCTCCCGTATGCGCGTCCAGGTGGGAATTGTATATGGAACGAGTGCTTCTGCGCAGCAGAATATGATGAAGATGAGCATGTTGCTGTTAGCCTGCCTTGTCGACATGTATTTGGTAGGAGCTGTATTGCTCGGTGGTTTCGGATGAGGTTAGATCGGCAGCGGGAGATGGGTCTGCTTGGGGTTGAGGGAGAGGATGGTGATAATTGCCCGATGTGTCGGACACCGATGAGCCGGGGAGAGGAGCAACAAGAAGGTGAGTCTGACGGGGAGGAGGATTCAGACTCAGATGAGGAGTTATGAGGTTATGGCGTGGGATGGGGTGATTGGAATGGTGGGACGAACCATTCGAGCGACGGGTGTACTATGAACTTATTCGACGTGGAGTACATTGATACTACACAATGAGACATACCAATAGGGAAATTCAAGAGACATTGCAAGGATAGATCTTTGTTGACCAATATTCATCTAGACAGCATCAGCATTATATATTCAAAGTTGAATTGTTGTGTGTTGTCTAGCAATAAACCCTAATCTACAGAAATCACTTCCAGCTTCGTGTGAAGATCTATCCTCCTTTGAATATGTCTTATGTATCCAATTAGAAAACGAATCTATGTATCACAAATTTGTTTTGTTGTTCGTCGCCGTATGTGACTTGGCAATGGGTATTTGTCATTGTAAAACACTGTATGTGGCAGAGATAACTGCAAGTAGTATTGATATTTGCTATCTATCCCTGAATTCAAATGGGAAACTCTAAAATGTAGATAGAGCAATCGAACTGGAATTTCTCGAAGGATTATTCTTGCTCCTCATTTTTAGCTATGGCTGGCGGTATTATTGCAGTATATACATCGATCGTGCTTTAGTTGATTGAGAGATATCATAGAGAAAGATCTTCTCCTGTAACCGAAGGATATGTGATCATGAAATATGAAGACCTCTCTTCTCCAAATCAGTTCAAATATTCATGCTAGTTTTCAATAGTTACGAGTGAGCTGGATACTGAGGCTCCATTCAGCGTTTGACCAAGTTCAGCACAGTACACGCACACCAAGAAAACGCCTGATACTTGGACGACATTCACAGTCAATTCATCTAGATTTTGGTAAGAAAGAAAATCCAAACGCTGACAAGTGCAAACGTGGCAACGGGACGTTATTATAAAGTCTTCTCCGACACGTCAATTTCCCCCATCATATATTTCCACCACCGGCATTCACTCATTCAACCTGCCAACACTTACCTTCTCTCGATCTTTTATACAACTTATAATTATACTCCCAATTTTTCTCTCTAAATCTGCACGACATGTCCGGATCAAACAGCACCGAGCAAGCAGGCAGGGACAAGAGCCAGCGTCCATCAACATCACCCACCAACAATCCCCCCAGCCCCTTGGCTTTCCTAGAAGCCCGTCTAGCACGTCTAAGCGAGGCACAAGAGACTCATGCAAGAAATTTCATATCGAGTCTATCAACCGCGACATCTACCACAACGCAAACAATACAGACCTGTTTCTGCGGATCCGACTACAACAACGATGAGCCAGAGCACATCCCAGTAGTCCTCCCCTGCAACCACATCTTTGGAAAGTCCTGTCTCCTCGAATGGTGTACAACTCGGAAACCCAACGCGAACCGCTGCCCAGTGTGTCGCGCACATCTTTTCGAGGACGGACGCGCTTCCATGACTGACGCCCAGCGTGCGGAGCTGGAGGCATACTGGGAAAGTATGCAGGCGGAGCAACGTCGAGAGGATGGAGTGCCGGAATTGGCTCCAAGTACGACGATGCAAGATCAGATAGAGCGGGAGTCATAGGGGAGTCATAGGGGAGTCAAATATGGGAGTCAGATAGGGGACTATCTGAGGTGAACAGCGGATCACATGATGAGCTGATAGGGTCTGAAAAGAAGGAGAAGATGACCGGGAGGGAGGTTTAAAAAGCGTTGGAACGATTCTCCGTGATTTCTGAAAGATTGTATTGCAGTGATAATGGCGGTAATGCGACGGGATAGAGCGTTGTGGAGCCAGAGGGTTATATTGGATGTAAGTGAATTTTGGAATCTCACGAAAAGCAAGGGAACCTCAGATCTACTTCAGCGGGAGTCATCAGGCTATCATCAGCTTTGTTTCTAGTATATGGTTTGGACATGTAAGACTGTATATGTAGCAAGCAACACAATGTGATTACATGCGGCATCTTCGTTGTGGAGCCGCATTGTTAGTTTGAGTTTGCCGCTTGCTCCTCACAAGTAAGGCATGTCACGGTTTGCACCAACGGTTTGCTCAACAGATAAGACGATATGGTGAGACTGACCCTCAAAGTGTTTGTGTTGCATATGATGTCTCGGATTTTCCAATCGTATTAAGTGGAACTGTCGATTATCTCGAGCAAAGACACTTCCATTGCCATCCCTTAGATTCCTGCGTTATTCTCACTCTGCGGCTTTGAAAAACTCGCTGCGATTGTGGTGTAACTCTGGATTGTATACTGAATCCAGTGTCTTTCCAACAACAATTTACGTTACACGTCAGTCTCAGATTCTTATACTGATCATCCACTTAAAATGTGCTTCGCCCACAAGATTCCTTCGTCCCCTAATGACAACAACCGCGGCTTTTCAGCTTATGCATTATTTCCATTCACGCCGAACTATGTCCCTCCATTTACATTGGAATAGTACCCTGGCAATGCGTTTGATGCGGCTTTCAGCTACATGAAAAAGATAGTCGTAAACTCATAGCACAACGAACTGAAGATGCCCAAAAGAGAACCCCGGCCGACGGATCGATTATAAACAATGCAAACACCATGAATATACAATACTCTTCAGATACTACAAGCAAAGCTATATATTTCTCTATAAAAATGTTCATACGAACACATGAGAACCACTCTAGAAGGCAATTTTGCAGCAAGTTACCAGCCATAGCAACAACTTACTACATAAAATGCCAATCATAAACGGTGCAGGTGTTCCGAGCGGGCACAGGTCACTGAGGCTTCGAGTGAGGTTGAACGACTCACCGAGCCCAGATCCTAATGCCAATCACGACGAAAATGCTCCGAATATCCCACAACACACACACTCGCGCGATGCCCACTTGGCTCACGTAAACGCATATGTATCGTCTTTGCAGCCAGTCGACAGATCGACCTTTGATGCGAGCGATCATGACGCCTGCTTCTGTGGAGGCGATTACGAATTCGACTCACATGTGCCTGTCCGCCTTGCTTGTGGTCATACATTCGGCCTCAAGTGTATTAGAGAGTGGTGCATGAAGACTGAGCAAGCTAACTCGAATTTGTGCCCCTCCTGTCGGTCGGAGCTATTCAACAGCTGCAACGATTGTCGCGAAATGCCCCCAGATACCACCTCTGGGGTAGCCCGACCCCAAATGGATGGGCTCATTACCGCACTGACCGGATCACTTGCGCAGTTGAACGCGATCGCAGATCGACACCGGAATGGGGTTCGACTCGCTCAACGTAGACTGCGGCGAGCTAGGCGCCAGGGACGTGATGTGGCGACAGCATCGAGCGAATTGCAGCAGGCCCAAGATCGTCACCGAGAATCTGAGGATTTAAGGGACCAAGCGCGTGCCATTCTTGAGACTGCTCAGGCAAACTACGATGCTAACAACGTAGAAGCGGAAGACTGATGTACTTTCAAAGAGCCGCACGCTTAGGCTCTGCCGAAGACGAGGTGGAAAGTGCTTACTGGGCTTTGATATGTTTCAGTCGCAAAGACACGCATCCGCATTAACTCGTTTACGAATCTGGAGGAGGCGATGTGAAAATTTTATATCATTTTTACTGGCACTGGAATAGATCACTGAATACGATATATCATTGGAATACAATTTTTTTTTTCAAAGCCTGCCATGACTGTTGCGTGATCCGTATATGAGAGAATTTTACTACATGTACTATAGGATGAATGGAACGTGCTATTGAGCCAAGGCAGACACTGTTGTGGCCGGTGACAGGTTTTGGAATAGATTGAGCTTCGGGCGGAGAGCTTGTAGAAATTTTGGAAGTGTGATTAGCTACGCTAAGGTTGTGGGTTTAACGGCCTGGGCTGGAGCTATAAGAGACTCAGCGCACGTGGCGTGTCTGCATTCAGATGTTCCAAGGTTGGCTTCAAGAGGCTAGTCAGCCTGACGATAATGGTATACAGCTCCGAAACTGACTAACGGCTATCGCTACAAGTCGCCCAGCCGGCCCGTTACGAAAGCCGACATGGAGCACTCCACTTTGCAGGCCCAAAGATACTCTCATACCGCGATCAGAAGTCAAAACAGCATCCGCCTGCTGAAACCGCGCCCCAATAGTGCGTACGTCACGCCGCTTTGTTATGACCTTGTCGACTACGAGTTCGATGACAGCGAAGGTTATCAGGCGTTGCCCTATGTATGGGATTCTCAAATACCAACTTCCACCATACCCTGCGACGGTCGGTATCGGAAATAGAGCAATGGACAAGTAAAATTAGGCTTTAGATAGATTAGAAAGCTCTATAGCAACTACTAATCAGACTAGGATAGCTAACTTATACTAACGAGGTGACCTTTGCCTACATGGCTGAGATATTTATAGAAGGCTAAGGGAAGAAAATCAAGACAAACATGTACAGGGTAAAAAGCAGAGAAACATTGAAATGATAGCCCGCAAAAAACAGAAATCTACCACTTCACATAACATCATTCTTCCCACGTCTTCCCTTTGCTCTTCCCACATACAATCTTTGCCAGACTTTCGATACTTCCACTTGCGAGTAATTCCAGTACCTGCAAATTTGCTTCGAAAATTCTCGTGATGAAATTGCGCACCTCGATAGCCGTCAAGGAATCTAGTGGATAATGCGCCAGCGGTCGCGTGACGTCCAGCTCCTCCTGCTCCATTGATATGACTTCTGCGATTTTCTCAACGAGCGCGCTGCATACAACAGTTTCTCCATCTGCTCGGGATGCAGAGGCTTTGAAGGCAGCACCCCAGGAAACCTTAACCGCGGCAGAGAAAGAAGAAGCAGAAGCAGCCTCGGCAACACGGAGCAGATGTTTGAACTTCGCGTCGTTGGACCAGAACGGACGCTGAGTGGCTGTGATGCGCATTCCAGTGATGGGATGACCACCGCAGGTGTCCACGTTTCTTTCAATTGATGCTTGTATCAGGCTTAGGACTTCGGCCTCGCAAATGGTATCCCCTCCGAGATTCCTCGCGACTTCGGCAGCCTTTTCGGCATCTTCAGCAAGATACCCCGTATCTGATACAGCGGTCAGATCAATTGATGTAGCTGATATACCTTGACTGCGAAGCTGCTGCACAAAGCCGTTGAGGAAGGTGTTAGCTGCCGCATAAGCAGCTTGGCCGCGATTCCCGACAGCGCCGGCAGCTGAAGAGATACAGATGAAAAAGTCCAGTGGGGTAGAATTAGCGAGAAGGGTCTGATGGAAGTTCTTCGCTCCCTGTACTTTGGACTCGATAACGGAGTGATATTGCGCAAAAGTCATTTTCTCGAAAAGAACGTCCTTTCCATTTGTCAGCAAATCATTCTTGCATTTGAGAAGTCTGATACTTACGTGAAGCACCATAGCGCCATGAATTACTCCTCGGACGGGCGGTAGACCTTCCACACCCGTTGAAAGGAGATGCTCAACATCGCCTTTGTCCGCCACATTGCAGCGACGGACTACTATAGATGCTCCAGATGCGTTCATGTCGTCGATCTGATCTTTGGCTTTTCCTTTGACCTCCCCGCTACGCGAGAGGAGAACAATGTGCTTAGCACCTTTGCCTAGCATCCATTTGGCCATACTGCGACCAAGGCCGCCCGTGCCACCGATAAGAACATACGTCGCATCGCTTCGAAGAAGAAGTCTCTGCTGCTCGATGCGAGGTGCCTGTCATATTGTTAGAACGTAGCTTTCATTTTGTGTGAGATGCTGGGTACTTACCAAAACGGTTTCATCATCGCGCGGCACGATCACAATTTGTGAATGGCCGACAGAAGTGTGAGCAGCATGAATTGCTGCAGCAGTTTCCGCGACTCCGTATGTCTTGAAGTTGAAAGCCGGTCGGACTTTCCCATAACGAAGTAGTTGTTGCAAATCCGCTATGAGACGCTCCAAATGCCGAGGCCGGTGTTGAATGAGGCTGTTGAGATCCACGGACAGAGCTGTTACATTTTGGTTGGACAGGATGTCACCGAGGGCGAGTGGCTGAGCACCGACATTGATGAATCTCCCAAACGCTGCAAGACATCTTCCTGTTGCACGCATCAACTGAGAATCGGAAGTCGTGTTAAAGATGACATCCACGCCATTCCCATCCGTATCGCTCATGATACCATCAGCGAAGGACTCGCTTTTCGCATACCAGATTTGCCCATCGTCTATGCCACGTTCGCTCTTGAGCAAATCTTTCTCTGAGGCAGTCTTGACAGTGACCCATATATCAGCCCCGATCATTTGAGCTAGTCCCAGAGCAGCCTGGCCCACCGCGGTTGCAGCGTCATGGATAAGCAGGCGTTCTCCCTCAACCAATCGAGCTTTTTCGATCAATGCATAGGATGCCGTGCAGTAAGCTTCCGGGATCGTCGCAGCGGCGTCGAACGTGATATGACCCGGAAGTTTGAACAGAAACTTAGAGTGAGCTCTTGCGACCGTGGAAAGAGAGCCTTGAGGCATTAAAGCAGCAACGTGATCCCCGACCTTGACGTTGGAGACATTGGCGCCGACGGATTGCACGATTCCGCTGGATTGAAGGCCAACACGGGAGTGGGTATGGCCATTGGTTGCATCAAGTCCAATAGCTTTTACTTGGAAAGCGACGTGATCGGCTGGAAGCGGTGACTCGCCACTCTGATCATCTTTGAAGACTACACTTTCGGGGACCCCAGGTACATTGAGTGTACCACAAAGTGGACGAGTTGCACTTGTAAAGAGTGATGGTTCTGATGCGGGAGGATGGATGTGCTTGTTCACGTACTCATTCATCGTATCGTCGTTGACAATACGGGGAGTCAAGAACTTTCCATCGCGAACTGTAAACTCTGTTTCTTCAACCTCGCTCCCGTTATGGAATGACTCAGTGAAGGTCTGAAGAATATTTGTCGCATCAGAAACACCATCTCCCGAGTCGTTGACATCGAGATCCAAAGTAACAAACTTCATGAGAGTTCCCTCTGATCGGATTGTGCGACTGAGACCAGATACCATATTTGCGTCCGGATTGTTCGCGTTCATGTATGCGCCACGCACGACCCATAAGAGTCCCTGTGTGGAAGTGATGAGAGATTGCAGTGCTTGGAATTCAGACTGGTCAAGATTCGCAAGGACCGGACTGTCAAGTTCGTTGAGAAAGATGCAATGTTTTTCTTTTGCGGAATCAGCGATCGAGGTAAGAGTTCCGGTCGTAGGTTGGCGTCCAGTAAGGTGTAGCAGTTGCTCAGAGATCGTGGCCGCCAGTGAGGTCTGAGATTCAGACTCGCCATGCACGACAACAACATCAGTATCAAACTGTGGAGCGTTTTTATCTCCAATGCTATCATCTGAAGCTTGGAAAGCGGGCTCCCACTCTGTCTTGTAGCAAAGCTCACGGGCGGACAGCTCTTCTGTATCTACTGCCTTTTCTAGAATGGGAGAGATGATCAGATCTTCCACTGAGATGAGGGGCTCGGTCGAGTCGAGAGAGGATGTCGCAAACATTGAAAGTGTGTTAGAGCTAACATGCGATATTGTGGACGATGGTTGACAATGTGCTTGTAAGCTACTTCCGGGCTCAGCTGAAACTTGGAGAAGTTTCGCTGAAACGGTGATCTTTCCAATTGAAGATGGCAAATGAACTGTATCGAGCTCCCCATCCTTACTCACTACTGGCCAGTATAATGAAATAAGTGACTCTAAGAGTGTCGGGTGTAGAATGTAGTTTGTTTCGTAGTGATGTGGCATATCAGCGGTGGTGTCGACGCGGACGATTTTGGCGAGCGAAGCTTGAGGAGACGCTTGCGCATCTCGCATGCCCTGGAAGGACGGGCCATAGGAAACGCCGATGCTAGACAATTGGTCATAAAGCTGTGATATATTGACTGCTTGAGTAGCAGCGCGGTCGATATTGACCAGTCTAGCTGCGAACGCAGATTTTCGCAATTTCTCCGAGCGTTGACCGTCGACCTCGTTCAAATCTGACACGCTGTCTGCATGTTCAAGTCAGTATTTCATACTTCTTATAGAAAAATAAACAAATTGCCCGCGATGGTTCAACTCACAAGACACGATTCCAGTGCAATGCTCCATCCAGCCTTGACTCTTTGACCAAGACCGGATACGAAAATCATGGCTGCTGTGTGGTAGTAATTTCTCGTGATTCTCGCAAAGCGTGATGGTCATCTCCAACTCTTCTTCGGTGAGCATTATGGGATGAGGAACATGTAGGTTTTCGATTTGCAACGCGTCGTATTTCGTATTCTTGGCTTCCAGAATTTGAGCTTTCGCTTCCAGTGCCATGGCAGCAAACCCAGAGATAGGGAAGATGGTCACGCCCTGCATTTGATGGTGACGCAACCAGGGCAAATCATCAAGTCGCACGATGTTTCTCCACGTAGGTTCAAGATCACTGGAATATGTCGCCAACACGCCGATTATATCATTCCGAAGAACGTCGTGGTGCTTGTGAATTTGTGTCAACCTGGACTCATGCCAAAACTTCGAGGTATGATTCCAAGGGTAACCTAGTGTGTGAGAAGATCATTAGCTTGTATTCGTAAGTACGTAAAGTTGATGGGAAAGACACTTACGTGGCATATCCGTAAGCACTTGTGGTAATCTATCCCGGGGCTTAGGAAAGTTGATAGCACCCATGTTCAGATTGGCGCCTTTCACGAACAGTGTTCCGGCCAGGGCGAGGGCAGTCTGAACCGCGTTCTTCTTTCTCCCAAGAACAGAAGAATATCCCATCTTCACTGCTGATCCACCAATGCTCTTGAGGATCTGCTTGATAGGGCCTTGCAAGGCTGCGTGGGGGCCTAGTTCGATAAGGAAGTTGACATCTGCCTTGTTGTCCACGGTGATTTCACACATGCTCTGAACAGCATCGTCGAAGCGTACAGCACAAGTCAGATTTTGAACCCAGTAAGAAGCATCCAGCTCGTTGCTAGTGGCTAGTCGGCCCATAAGTGAAGAATGAAACTGGACCTCTGTGGACTTGGGCACATCCAGTTGGAGGAGCGATTCAGTGTAGTCCTTTGCGACAAGATTCATGTGATGCGAGTGATAAGCAGTATCTACCTGAAGCTTCCTCGCAAACATGTCTGGATTGACCCGCTTTATGATCGATTGTAAGTCCGAAATTGCAGCGGTGTCTCCGGAGATGGTGACACTGGAAGGGCTGTTGATGCATGCGATGCGTGCTTCTCCAAGAGTTGGATCAATTTGATCTAGCAACGGGGTAATCTCAACCGGACCTGCGCCCACAGCAAGCATACTCCCGTCAAGATTAGGGTACCTTTTCTTCAGGATAGGTATAAGGCGTCCGCGATGGTAGGCGATAGTCATGGCATCTTCGAAAGTGATGATTCCGGCGGCGAATGCGGCTCCAATCTCGCCAGAGGAATGCCCAGCAACAGATGTTGGCTGCAAATCCCATGACTTTAATAACTGTACTAGAGCCAACTGCACGGCAGTACAAGCAGGTTGGCTGATGTGTGCAGCATTGACTAGAGTCGTAGCTTCGTCCTTCTGCAACTCTTCCAGTAAGCTGAACTCCGCGCCAATCGATCGTAAATGCGCATCGGCTTTCTCAAGCGCAGAGGCGTAGATAGGATATTGTAGATACAATTCTCGTCCCATCGCCCACCACTGCGCACCTTGCCCAGTGAATATCCAGCCAAACCGAAGTGGTTCAAGATCTTGTTTGGCCGGGAAGATCTTTCCGCTGGACATAGCTTCTACCAACTCGGCAGAGGTTGATGCTGTTATCGCAAGTCGCCATGGGTGTATGGTCTTACGCTGGCCTAAAGTGTACGCCAGATTGCCGAGAAGGTCGTTCTGGAAGACTTCCGGTCTCTGTTCCAGGTAAACACCCAGACTTTGCATTGTGCGCTCTGCACTAGCTTTGTCGTTTGCAGACAGAAGAAAGAGTTTATCGGTGGTGGTTGTGTCAATCTCCTCACTCATTGTCTTCCGCTCGAGGGGCCCTCTGGTCATTACAACATGAGAATTGGTACCGCCGAACCCGAAACCGTTGATGCTAGCCCACTTCTTACCAAATGGCCAAGGTGTCTGTCTAGTTGCGACCTTGAAACCCCATTCGTCCAAAGGAAGTTTTTCGTTCGGGACTTTGAAGTCATAGTTAGGGAGAATGAACCCGCGTTCCAGCATGAGTGCAGTCTTGATGACTCCAGCGATGCCTGCAGCAGCTTCCAAGTGACCAATGTTAGACTTGACCGAACCTACAAACAAGGGTTTCCTCTTGTTTCTACCCTCTCCGAAGACACTGTGCAGAGCGGACACTTCGATAGGATCGCCCACACGAGTTCCCGTACCGTGTGCCTCCACATATCCAGTCTCTCGGGGATCCATTCCTCCCAGCTTATAGACAGATCTTATCAGAGACTCCTGGGCAGAACCGTTGGGCATTGTGATACCAGGTGTTTTTCCATCCTGGTTTATGCCTGACCCAGTTATAATCGCTCTAATGGGATCGTTGTCTTTGATAGCCTGCTCCATTGGCTTGAGAAGGACCATGCCACATCCTTCTCCGCGACCGTAGCCAGTCCCTCTTTGATCGAAAGCAAATGAGCGACCGGCTTCCCCAAAAAGCCTGGACATGGACATGGAGATCCAGAATTCGGGTAGCATGTTGAGATGAACGCCAGCAGCAACAGCCATGGTCGATTCCCCCAGTCGAAGACTTTGACACGCGTTATGAAGTGCAACTAAGCTTGAAGAGCATGCTGTATCCAAAGTAAAGCTTGGACCTCGGAAGTCAAAAAAATGCGACACTCGATTTGCCTGCATCGCCATGTGACATCCAGTAGCTTGATGCATTGGGATCGTTTCTGCGTCTCTGAATAAATCGGCATCGTAGTCGGAGAATGTACCGCCGACAAAGACCCCGACATCTTTTCCAACAGCATGCTGCTTTGGGATACCCGCACTTTCGAGAGCTTCGAACGTGCACTCTAAAAGAAGCCGCTGCTGAGGATCCAAGCTAATTGCTTCTTGTTGGGTGAACCCAAAGAACGGGGCGTCAAATACCTCGAGTGGTTGGGTAAGAAAGTTTCCTCCTTTGGCATTGGTTGTCCCACTCTTTCCGGGGTTAGGATGAAAGAAGCGTTTGCCGGAAAAGCGAGAAGAAGGGATTTCCGAAAAGCCAGTCCGCGACCGAGCAAGCAGCTCCCAGAACTCATCGGGCGTGCTCACGTTTCCTGGAAAACGGCATGACATGCCAATGATGGCAATAGGCTGGTGCTTCAGCTCAATGTGAGACTTGGTATAGCCTTCTTTGTATCCATGTATGTAAGCAGCTTCATGAGAGGCGGCAGATGTGGGGGTGCTGCCACTGGAAAGATCGCTCGCATGGCCATTGGTTCCGTTGATGTGATGAGTAGCATTGGTAGTGGATGGGATGGTGGTGTCAAGGCTATTGAGTTGACTACCTCGCTCCGATGTGGGAGTAAGTGCATATGGAGCCATTTCGTGGGGCACTGGGCCTTCCAGAAGAAACTGAGGGGAACAACAAAACGATCTGCCAAGAGCACAAGTCAGGTCCGGTACAAAGATGCTTTCTCGAGATGTCACTACATCGGCAATTGAAGATCAGATAGCTGAATCTTGGAGTAGTGATGGAACTATACGTCTAGATATGATGATTGATCACTGGATAAAATGGCCCCTTATATTGCGTCACCACGTAACCGCAGCCCTCAAAGCTACATTTGCGTAGCCGTGCCATATTGCTGCTCCCTTTCCACCGGCCCTGAATTAAATTCAATCTTGGTAATTTCAAGATTCTGGCCGATAAGCTCGCAGTGTTAAGGGGATCTCGATAATGCTTAGCCCACTAGATTGTCTACGTTTACAGATATTGAGATCGGAAGTTTCCGCGTCATGTTCAGAATATATCATGTCATGTCCAGAAGCACAGTGAAACATGAATACAGGGACTCATTTCCGTTGGTCCACTATTGATTGTTTACAACGAGTAGCGCGGTCTCAACAACGTAGTAAATGTCACCTAATCTGTAAAATAGACGGAACTAGAGATTGAATATCCCGACTACTATGTCACGGAAATTATATGGCGTAGTTGGTCCTCGAGAATCTCTCAAGGACGAATGGCGAGTTTGGTTATTTAGCCCAATGTTTGGCAGTGATGCAGGAGCTGATTTGCAGTTCCCGGCCGTTGGCCGGTCTCATATCCTATCATATTCAAGTCCCCCTCACACGGTAATCCATCTACAGTGTCCGGGAAGTAAACAATATGAGAGCTTCAAGTCAGATAAATTGTTTTGGGTCATTCTTAAAGTACATGCCCAGTCCGGACTTGGTGATCAAGTCGTTGAAGAAGAGATGCTTCTTTCCGAATCTGGCTTAGCTCGCAGAGAGCCGGCGCCAAATAAATTGAATTATTTCTTCACATTACATGGTCTACTGCATTAAGCGCTTTTCTTATCGCCTATCTATCCCTGGGTTGTGAGAGTTAATATATTATTGTCGGTGACTTCTCCATCATCGTACAGTCCCGCGAGTGTTGCCCGATCGACATCCCGGCACGTGCCCCGGCATTTCAGAAATTATCCGACGCAGGCTCTCATGCATTGTCACTTCCAGACTCGGTCGTATGCATGCATGACGAGCAGCTGGGACCCACTGCAAGCATCTTGGTGCACGGGCAGTATACAGCTCCCGAGTCCGACGTTGATCATCCGCAAAAATGATTGCGGTGCGCTCCATTTGACAGTCACCTATAATCAATTATCTGGGGTAGCTCCAGCGTGTGAACACCCAATTGGTCGAAGCAACCCGCCGGAGGTGTTTCCGGGAAATCAATTCTAACGTATGTGATTGGGGTCATGGCGATCAATGCAAGTCGAACATGACAACTGTGTTTCGAGTTCAACCCTGTGGCACGCTTGAAGATCAACGAGCAGCATGCGCAAGCACTTTATCTGATTTATAACTGTGTGTGCCTAAACACTACAGCAATGTGGTAGCTAACAATTAAGGCTGATATCAGGTTGCGCACTACTTCTCATACACTAGAGTTGGGTTCTTTCCTATAGCTGCTGGTGAAGATACACATTTGTGCTTCAGTACTCATCCAAGTCTTATTTGCTCGCGGACAAAATGCGCTTTCTTTGCCTACCTGGTGCCTATGGCAGTATAGAGGTCTGTCATGCATTATACAAAATTCGAGTAGAAGCTGACCAGAAACAGAAATTCAAAGTACAACTAGCGCCACTCACGAAAGAGCTGGAATCTGATGGAAGCGCTTCGTTTCACTTCATCCAGGGTCCCTACGAAGTGGCTCCGCCACAAGGCTACGAGGATTTCTTTGGGGGGCCTCCTTACTTCAGATTCATCGTGCCTTCCGACGGGGAGAATGATACCACGGATGTGATCGAGCGAATCCGCGATTTCCCACAACTTGAAACCCCAGAGATGACCATGAGAGAGCTCATGACCTATGGAGTAGCCAAAACAGACGACAGCGCCAGAAAGACTTTGGACTATCTGTACGAACTGTTGGAAAAGGAAGGCCCGTTCGAAGGTATCGTGGGCTACTCCGAAGGTGCCACTATCGCTGGAACTTTGCTGTTACACGAACAAATGAGAGCCAAAGAGGAGGGAAGGACCCCCGTAATCAGATGCGCTCTGTTCTTTGGAGGATGGCCGCCCATGAAGCCAACACTCGATGGCATTGTACTCTCGGACGACAGCGACTTAATGATAGATGTCCCGACGTGCCACATTAGTGAGTGAATGCTCCTTCAATCACACGGATCGTTCTTTAACGCAGCAATTAGTCGGTTCGCTGGACCCGTATCTTCACGGCAATATCTCCCTTTACAATGTATGCGATCCCGATACAGCTTTCATATTTGACCACGCGAAGGGACATACGCTTCCTCGGGATAAGCACATGGTGAAGGAGCTCGGAGACACCGTACGCATGATGATAAGTGAGGTCAACTGCAGCGCACCTTCTACCCCTTGAATGTTGCGGGCTAGATCGCCATGCATCGTTCCTTTCGGCCGGGTGTCATTTTGTACTTGATTTATTCAATATACACTTATCTTTTCAGATGAATTCAAGAGTGCTCAATGCAAGAGATGCATCAGTGGAGCATGAAGTGCATTGGGCGCTTCAAAATCGTGATACAACAAGCATTTTCTTGGAAAAGCTTCTGTTTCGCAAGCTTTGAGGTCTCATAAATCGTATTTTATCCATAAATGGTGCAATCTAGAGGTTTTACCACCAAGCAAGCTGTTATGTGCAAGTTTGCCTGGCTTCCGGCTACCTGGCGACTAGGGTAGAGTGTGTGGACTTGTTTTGTTAATTATAAAAGTGTTCAAAATACAGGGTATCAAACCAGGTTGCTACCAAGCTTAAAAAATCGGAAAAATGTTCCGGGTGAACCGTTGAATGTTTCTCTCGATCACCCATCTATGCACATGTGTGCAATCTTGTGAGTTGCACGCGCAATAACTGGTTGAATGCACGGCAGTGATTGCGGTAGAGCAGGCTTCAGGCACCCAGTAAACACCACTATAGCCTGCCCAGGGTATATCAATTCCAGCTTGAGTAAATTTCCGGGAGATCCCGCATGGGCGGATGGACGATTTTTGGTGCATACTATGACCCGCAGTAGATTCTTTTGCATGCAGAGTGCATCGGGACCACATACATAGAGTTTCTCGAACATTCGTGCCCGTGAGCTCGAAGCATCCCCTCAACGAGTGATCGAACCTTACCATAACATGCTTGTGTACATTTACCAATCGTTACACCACCTCACGTGATGAGCTTATCAGACATCCGGGGCTGTTGCACACATCAAAAAATCGTCACTGAAAAATTGCGGAGATGATGGAACCAGCGTATCGTACAGCTTGGTTTAAGGGCGTCAGACTGTGGATACGCGAGGCAAAGGGGAGTGCGAAGACGTTCCATGTAAGAGACACCTGCACTTTGTAAATATTCTCTGACTCTGTCGGACTAGAGAGTATTCTCTTACGCTTCGAGAAAAGACATAATATTTCTTGCAGGCTCCATCGCGGCATCTATTTGCGCTGGGGCAACACTCCCGCTTATGAACATCATTTTTGGTATGCTAGGGAATCGGCGGAGAGACATTTATTGGAGCGCCAGACTTATGCGTACACAGCACGACTGGTCAACACATTCAATAGCTTAGCGACTGAGAATCGATCCCCCGAAGAACTTTCGACAAAGGTTACATCTACAGTCAATCAATTTGTGTAAGCTCGGCCTAGCTGGACGTGTACCAAACCAACTAACACTGGTATACAGACTATACATCGTCTACTTATTCATCGGTCGACTGATACTTGCCTACTGCGCAATAGTAACTGCTCATAATCACCATAGCAGCTCGTCGGTCCCTAACTAACATAAAATAGCTCGGTTTCCGTATAACCAGCCTCCGCATCTCCGCAGCCATCCGTCTACACTACCTTACTCGAATTTTCTCGCAACCAATCTCAACCCTCGATGCACTTCCTCCCGGTCAAATAACGTCTATAACAACTATTACTGCAAATATCCTTCAACTCGGCATCTCCGAACGCTTGTCGTCGTTGATCCAAGCACTTACCGTAATAACTACTGCACTGACGATAGGATGTGTGTTCAGTTGGGAATTGACGCTTGTAACGAGCACGGGGCTTGTCGCAATCGGTACATGGTACACATTTATCACACCACGGGTGGTGAAGAAGCAGGGAGAAATGAGAGAGGTGGAGCTAGAGGCCGCGGGTGTCGTAGGAGAGGCTCTGGGTGCGATACGGATGGTGAAGGCCTGCGGGGCTGAGGAGAAAATGGGGAAGATGTTTGATGCTTGCGTGGAAAGGTGGCTTCAATTGGGGAAGGGCATGTCGGGGTGGTTGAGTATCATGCATGCTCCTGGTGAGTAAAATAAAATCCTGCGCATTGATTTTTCACTGATCATCGAGCAGTATTCTTCACTATATTCGCGTAAGTAGTTTGCAGAACATTTCCATTGGATGTTAGCTCAAAAGGAACAGTACATTTGCCTTGTGCTTTTGGTACGCAGTCAGACTGTATTTGCAGTATGAATTTGCAAGCGTGCAAACCATGGTAGTGTGAGTGTGGCCTGGATTGCCTCTTTGCTATTGCGCGTCTAATTTAGCACAGAGTTCTCATGTCCGTTATGACAATGCTCGCGCACATCAACGCGGTTTCTGTCCCCTTGTCAGCAGCCTCAAACGCAATAAACGCTGCTTCCATCTTCTTCACCGTAATCGACGCGCCAATTCCAGATACCGGCGGCGCAAAAGGATCTGAGGTTTTCTTGTCTGCTGATATTGTGCTTCATCGTATTAACTTTGCATATCCAGCGCGCCCTGAGATAAGAATCCTCAATGATCTTACCCTGGCTATCCCTCGAGGGAGGAAAACCGCTATTGTAGGTCCCAGCGGCTCCGGTAAAAGCACCATTGTAGCGCTCATACAGCGCTGGTATGATCTCGGAGGCAAAGATCCTGTCACGAATTATCTGCGAAACGGTGAAATTAGAATTGGCGAAAAGCCTCTGAACCAGATTGACATGCGGTGGTGGCGCTCGCAGATTGGTTTTGTACAGCAGGAGACGTTTCTGTTCAATGATACAATTTTTAAGAATGTCGCCTATGGATTGACGGGTACGGAGTGGGAAGATGTGCCTGGTGAGGAGAAACGGAAATTGGTCAAGCAAGCATGTAAAGAGGCATACGCTGACGAGTTCATCGAAATGCTTCCAGAGGTACGTATTCCCTCAAATTTGGATCTTGCATTAATCAATTGATATTATTTAAGGGCTATGACACTCCCGTTGGCGACGTGGGCATCCAGCTCAGCGGTGGGCAGCGCCAAAGGATATGCATAGCGAGGGCTATCGTCCGTCGCCCCAAAATCCTAATATTCGACGAGGCAACGAGCGCCCTCGACGTCGCAAGCGAGCGCATCGTACAACTTGCCTTGGAAAAAGTGTCGCATAATCGCACCACAATTGTAATTGCGCATCGGCTTTCCACGATCAGAAATGCAGATAACATCATTGTCATGAGTCAAGGTAAAGTAGTGCAGATGGGCACCCACGAAAGTCTTCTCGGTGAAAAAGGCGGCGAATATGCCAACCTAGTGCACGCTCAGCAGCTCCACAGCACAAATTACAAACACTCCCTCGAAGATGGAGAAGATGAACTAGATCTGAATATGGAGGACTACAAGCTAATAGACAAGTCAAGTTACGGGACCCTTGACGCGTCAGAAACAACAGCTGTTGAGACCGAATCACCTATTCCAGTAAAGGGTCCCAGAAGCATTTTCAGAAGTATCGGTATACTTCTGTATGAGCAAAAGCTAAATTCAATGGGACTTCTTCTAATTCTGGTCGGTGCAATGGGCGCCGCCTGTGAGTGCTTTTCCTGTACCGAGATTTGAACGCCGCTTATGCGCATTTAGCAAGCAATCCCATCCAAGCATACCTCTTCGCGCGACTCATATCATCCTTCGCATATTGGGGTGATTGGTTACGGGCAACAAACACATTTTTGTGTCTCATGCTGTTGGCAGTTGCTACTGGAGTTGGGTTGAGCTATTTCACACTTGGCTGGGTGTCCAATACTCTTTCTATCGTAAGTGCCTCAGATCCATTCAATGAGGGCTTGGATCTAATTTTTCTGTTCATAGCGCACGGTGTCCTCTTATAGGAAAGAGTATTTCAACAACACTGTTGCAAAACCTATATCATTCTTCGACGAGCCGTCCAACTCCATTGGAATATTGACCGCAAATATCGCGAGTGATCCCGCTCAGCTTCAACAACTTCTCGGAATCAACATGGCAATGGTTTTAATTTCGTTCTTTGGCTTGATAGGCTGCATTGCCATCGCCATGTCTTTCTACTGGAGATTCGCGCTCGTCATCATAGGATCATCAATGCCCATCATTCTTGCGGGAGGATGGTATAGAGTACGCCACGAGGTTAAGTTCGAATCACGCAACAATGAAGTCTTTGCCGAAAGTGCACGATTCGCCACTGAAGCCATTGGGGCGATCCGAACAGTGGCATGTTTGACGCTAGAACAGTCGATATGCAAAAGGTATGATGATTTATTGAAGAAGCACATTGATAAATCTTTGAAGGAGGCTAGAGTAAGTGGTATAGTGTTTGCAGCGAGTGACAGTCTAGTCTTGTTGTGCATGGCTTTCGCATTGTGGTAAGTTTTGATTCCGCACAAGTTTCTCGGAAGGGATGCATTCTAAGAAGTCTAGGTATGGGGGAAGGCTTCTTTCTCGGCTTGAGATATCCTCTTTCGAATTTCTCGTTGTCTACCTTGCGGTGATTCAAGGTACGCTAGCTGCTGGACAGTGGCTAAGTTTTGGTCCCAGTAGGTTTCCATACTCAAAGATTTCCATTGCAAATCTCACTAATAGTTCATAGATCTAGCACAAGTCTCACTAGCGGCGACGCGCATTCAATCAATGCGACCCAGTTCATTTGAAGATGCACCTTTAACCCAAAGCTCCGGATCGCTGTCATCAAACTACACACTACCCATGACAATAATATATCCAGGTGCTGCCATCGAGTTTCGGAATATCAGCTTCACATATCCATCTCGAAAAAACGTCCATGTCCTTCAAAATCTCAACCTTCGCATTCAAAACGGACAATTTGCTGCTATAGTGGGAAGCAGCGGCTCCGGAAAGTCTACCATCATCTCACTACTCGAACGCTTCTACAAGGCACAAAGAGGCCAGATCCTCTATAATCAGGAAGACATCACGAAAACACCCTTACACACATTCAGAAAACGACTGAGCCTCGTGGCACAAGAACCATATCTATTCCGCGGTAGCATTCGTGACAACGTTCTATTAGGCATGGAAATAGCATCTCGTAGTGAGAAAGACATGAACGAAGCTATGTATCGCGCATGCGCCGCCGCCGGGATCCACGATTTCATCACATCTCTTCCTCAGGGCTACGCCACGCCCATCGGCAACGCAGGAATCGCATTATCTGGAGGTCAAAAACAACGGATTTCTATCGCCCGCGCATTGATCCGCGAGCCAGAAGTGCTGTTATTGGATGAAGCGACGTCTGCGTTGGATGCGCAGACTGAGAAAGAAGTCATGGGGATGTTGGAGGAAACGAGGAAATCGAGGACAATGGTGGTCGTTGCACATCGACTTGCAACGATCCGTAGGGCAGATGTGATTTTTGTGATGAACCGGGGACGGATTGCTGAGGCTGGAAGGCATGAAGAGTTGGTTGCGAAGACTGGGGGGATCTATAGTGAGATGGTTCGGGCGCAGGGGCTGCTGTGATCGCGCACAGAGTTGGTTTTTGTGTTTGGTGGTCTGAAATATCATGTTCCTACAAAGCTAGGCGCTCGATTAAATCATCGCGTTTCCATGCGGCACAAACACTTGGTGTAAAATCGTTTCTGCAAAACGTCTTGTTCCTAACCGTTTTCGTGTGACGTACACAGAAATACTACTTGTTTTGTGCTGGATGTATTGACCACGATGCTCACATCATCAAGTCTACGTCAATGCTATGATAGCTATCAATCTCACCAGGTCTGGGACAAATTCTGAAATTCTTCCTAGTGGGTACAATTTCACAGTCCTGTTTCACCCCTGAGCTTCTTCTCCGCTCCCCCACCGGGAAGTTCTAGTCACATGCATAGAATCTCTTTGATTTCCAACTGCCTCTTCCTTGGTTTGTTCCAGTGATGTCGATGATTCGAGAATTGACCCGGCAGCACTGACGTTCGGGTGCATCTTTCCGCGGGGCTACAGCCTGACCGTTTTGCTTTACCGGGGTGGAAGCAGGAACAAGCAATTTGTCTCGAGCGTATGAGAATGCAGAGTTCGTTATCGGACAAAATTTATGTCGGAGACAGGGGATGTGTTTATATGCAGGGGTGTTGCAGGCAAGAAATACGGATGCGGGGAACGGCAACAGCCTAGAAGAGTGCAGGGTTGCCCACATGGTCTAGCATTGCCTAAATTCTATCCATTCCCTGTCGTCCTCCTACTTAAACAACACTTTGGAAGATCAAACTCCATGTCATCCAACAAATAGGTGGACACGCATCCCCTTTTCCCACTGATTAATATCAGAACAATCTGCATTCGAACAGGAGAATTCTACTATGACCGTGTGTGGATCCCGCTCTTACGACCCGAGACAATCGGCTACAAGGGTGTATAGTCCCGACGCATGAGATACTTGCGAGTTTGCTTGTTCAAGATAGAACATGTTCATGGTCGCGGTGATCGAAAATGATCGAGATTTCAGACACATTTGGCATTTAGGAATTGAAGCCGTAGGTCCGACAAAAAAGCATTTGGAGCTCAACACACGGCCCAGACCATCTCGCATCTATCCTAATCACGCAACGTCTCTGATTGTTTGCGGATCACAGAGTGCAGCGTGCCGACTATTCCATACAATTCCTCAACTTCATACGCTCAGTTGCACACATCACGTATCTTTACCTAAACCAGGAAGAATTGATCAAGTAGTTCACGCGATGCAGTTGCGGCAGATGGATGGCGAACTTATATATGAACGAACGGCAATAACCACTTACGCCATTTCATTGAATATTGAAAGGAAATGGTCTGACCTCTGTACCCCACCACCAAGCTCTCAATTGAGAGATACAGCCCCAGACCACAAAGCAACATGATGCCATTGGGAACCGCAACTGCCGGCGTGTGCCACAGACGATCTCCACTTGCTTTACCTTTTGTACCAACAATGTACGGTCTTGTCCAATCGTTGCTGGTACTGTTGTGTATACCGCCTCTCCTGGTCCACGCCGCCCCCAACTGCCCCTTGCTTGGCCCTGAGTACCCCCCACCGAGAAACCTCGCGAATCACCCCGTATGGAAGGCTGCCATTGCGAACATCACTTCCGTCTTTCAGTATATTGACACCAGCAACATTACAGGTATCGACCTTTTCTCCTACTCCATTCAGGTGTTTTCCACAAACCCCGGCTCGCCGCCCGTTCTTTGGGAGCGGTACCGTACGCAGAAGAACCTCCCTGCCAATACAACGGGAGTACGAAATGTGGATGGTGATACAGTTTACAGGCTAGGCAGCGTAACAAAGGTTTATACCGTACTAACCTGGTTGGCGGAACGAGGCGACGTGGAGTGGAACCAGCCCATCACAAAGTACATTCCTGAACTGAAAGGCTTGGGCGATGATGGAGATAGAGTGAGGAAAGTCGACTGGGAAGACATCACCATTGGGGCTTTGGCGAGTCAGGTATCAGGTATTGGGAGAGACTGTAAGTGTAGCTCTGATGTCTTGAGGATTACATTCGCTGACAACACATGATAGACGGCGTGCTTGGTGAGATCCTGGAAACAGAGGATTCGCCGGTCAATGGATATCCTGGATTTCCGACGTTGGCGAACTCATCGATCCCGCCTTGTGGAACTTGGCCGCTATGCACCAGGGAACGTAAGTGGAGTGCTTCTCAACGACACATAGAATATCGACTTACTCACTGTGTATAGAGTTTTTCCATGGCTTGGACATCATGTATCCGAGTTACCCGGCCTATCAAACTGCGACGTACTCGAACGTTGCATACCAGCTGCTGTCGTATGCGCTTGAGAGTATCACCGGCAAGAAATTCAGTGAAGTTCTGAATGATCGGGTCATCAAGCCGCTGGGTCTGAATCGAACCTACTACGAAACCCCACCAGACTCAGTGGGAATCATACCTGGAACAGAAAAGGAAACTTATTGGAATGCCAGTCTTGGAGATTCCAACCCGTAAGGCAACGCCCTTCACTTGCGCAATCACCACCAGCTAACACACCCCAAGAACCGGAAACATGTACGCATCAGCAACCGACCTATCGACAGTAGGCCGTGCAATCCTCAGCTCCAAACTCATGAAACCATCCCTCACAAGACGCTGGCTCAACCCTGTGACCTTCGCCTCCGACTTCCTAGCCTCCGTCGGCGCCCCGTGGGGAGTCCGCCGCATCCAACTAGCAAAAAGCACGCAGCCACACCGCACGCTCACCGTGTTCACAAAAGCAGGGACATTCCGACGCTACACGTCCTTCATCACGCTGCTGCGCGACTTCAACATCGGCTTCACCATCATGATGGCCGGGCAGCCGGCCATCGGGAACTTTTACGGCGCAGACCTGCTAGGCGCAGCGCTGATCCCGGCGTACGACGCAGCGGCGCGCGACGAAGCTGCAAAGACGTACGGAGGGACGTATGTGCTGCGCAGCGACGACGGGACGTGGAATAACACACTCACGAACTCGTCCCTCACCATCACCTCCTCGCCCGACAAACCCGGCCTCGGCATCGGGACTTGGATCAGCAACAGCACTAATATGCTCAACATGGCGATTCAGCTGGCGAGTGGGTCTCCTTACACGCCTGCTCGCGCTGAAGGGAGGTTGTACTACACGCAGCTTACGTCCAAGACTGCGGACGGTGGAGAGAGACATGCGTGGAAGGCGATTTTCGAGGACACGGGCGGCCCGGCTGCTGGCCAGCAGCTTTGGAGCACGGACTGCGGGGCTTGGGTTGGGGTCACGGGCGTCACGTATGGCAGCTTGCCGTTGGACGAGTTTATTTTCAATCTGGATGCGAGTGGGAAGGTGGTTAGTGTAGAGAATTTGGCGTTGAGGAGTAAGCTTTGGAAGGTCTGAAGGGTGCGTCAAGATTCAGATTTTTTCTTTTGTTGTTAGTGCCTTGCCGAGATTTCAGTGTCGGGATTTCCATCTCAAGTGGTTTTTTCATCTGTGTACACATGAATCGTTGAACATGTTTGTTGCTGTAAATAGTCAGGAAAATAGGCCCTCTTCGATTCTAAAATTCCGTTGATGCATAGTCCTATGCGTTTTTGTTGGAGTGATGAGCCAGTCCTTCTGCGCGAATGAAGCGTGGAATTGTCTCCACCACGCTTACGCTCAATCAGCCTTCGCCGTTTAAGTGTTCCACAGGACGCCCCACTAAGCTTCATGCTGTTCAGCAGCAACAGCTTTTTGCGTAGCTATAGATATTTTTCAATTCGAGAAATCCTCCATCAACAGCCTATCAGAGTTGTAAGTCTTCTCCGTTATGGTGTATCGGCTAGCATCCGTCGCTTTCATCTTGCCTCACAGCATAATGTCAGCTACCGACGAGAGCCGGGTTCGACTCCCGGTAACGGAATAGCATTTCTTTTTGCCTTTTTCTGTGTTGATTCCTTTTCGCGGTTGATCTAGCATTGCGGGTAGTGCAATTGACTAGGTCATTGATTTTTCGCGGTCGAGTGGATCCCCGAGGAACAACATCACAAATATAAGGGCCACAGAGATTGAATACGTCTTCAACAGCAATAATTGCTCCCCTACGAGCAGGTTGTTATGGAGTGCATTACTCTTCCGGAAAGCTGCATATTGAAGAACACCGTGGGTTTTATTCTTGTTCTGGTCGAATACTACGTCGAGTGAAGGAAGCATCAGGTTTGTGAAGCCCGCTTATCTCTACCAAGCATTTCATTATGCTATGAGAACCAGCTAACTGGGCGAATCTTCAAGCTATGCAATTGAATGCCTCAATGCAAATCTCGCGCTTGCTTGTTGCCTTGATGTTGAGGTCTTCAGAACAGAATCGAGCTAGTTGGACAAATACTGCATCTTCTATCTCAGCTTGATCGATTCAGGATTTGAATTTGGTCCGACATGTTGGCTGGGGGCCGATGAGGTTTCACAGCGACCGCCTGCAGCGTAGTAAAAAAAAATGCGCATTAATCACCGGCCGATCTTCACTGAAACGTATACTCGAATCATGATTTATGAATAGATCGGGCTGGAATAGAGGAAGCGGTCTCGTAATGCTACCTAGCTGTCAGTCTCCTGTTCCCTTGAGCCCCGGCTGCAGCGACGAGAGTAACAACCATTAGATGACAGTAGCCTAGATTATTACGAAAAAGCCAAACGAATGCACGGCCAACCCAGAACTGGCTAGCTAGGTTGCTGTTTTTATTTCCTGCTAACATTCCTACTTCGTGCAGCCAACTAAGAAAGACGACGATGAAGTGCTGTGCGATTCTCGCTCTATGCACATTGGGGGCCATCTGATCCTCGGATTTTGATTTTAATTGAGTCAGCATCTAGGTTTCACGATCGTCAGAAAAACACAGTACATGCAAGTCAAGCAAGAATATCATGTATGCAGTTCTACCCAGATTGAGACGTGTAGATTGAGCTTACAGATCAGTACGCAGCTGCTGTAGACAAGGAAACATATTGCATTAGCCAAATACGTTATCGTGAGAGGACTTCGTGTTTTATTGAAGCACCGCAATGAGTACAGAGCTGCTGCGGGAAGGACGAGTATACTGCGCCCCGAGGGACTCCATGTCATATTGAACTATCACACTTGGTACGGAGTTGATATAGAAGGACAATACAGTCATCAAGCCACACACTAAGCTGCTAGTAGCTTTATGTCATGTGCTTATGCGGCGTCCTACACACAAAGAGTGGCGAGATACCGGTGCTTCCTACAGGAATTGCAGTATTCTCCCGTTGGTATTGGACACTGATAAATTAGTGGATACTGTGTATTCACGTTTAGATGTCCTCCGCATGCATTGATCCGATCAACTTAGCCACCTTCACGTGCCGATGCCTTAGTCACTCAACTTAGCCCCCTCCAAGCTTTTCTTTGCCTGCAGACTGCGGAGTGGCTTTGGTTCAGCGCTGGTGTTCAGCCCCATTGATACTGGGGCTGGTTCATCATGCTCGCAGATGAGGGTAGTCAAGTGTAAGAAAAAGAAGACTATAAAGTGTGCGGAGGTAGCCTCCATATCCAATTGCAGACACAACCATCTAATTACCCATTATCAGTTCAGCGCTTAGCATTCTTAACAATCGATCATCTTATATTTACATTTTAAATACTATTTCATGCCTGCGCATTCTCAGCATCAGAATTCCTCTCCGCGCGTTTTTTCTTGAAGTCAATCATTACTATCCGTTTATTATCATCGCCAGCCAATCCACTAAAGCTCGACCCTTGCCTCTTCCCATAAGTCAACATGGTTTCCAAGGACGTCATGCTGTCTTTGGCTCTCGCCTTGGGGCTTACAAGTCTGAGTGATGGAGCGCCCGTTGATGCAAACAGTGCTATGAGCACCGGAAGATCGTCTTATGGAAAGAGAGTCGAAGATCAAGCCACGACTATGATGTACGACTTCGAAGACATTGAGGCCTCGCGGGAGCTCGAGTGGACACCATGCTTTGAATCATTCCGATGTGCAAAGCTGACGGTACCGCTACAATATGACGATCCTGCGCAAGGCGACATGGATATCGCGTATATTAGATACGACTCGGTGAATGGCACTGGTCAAGATATCATGTACAATCCAGGTAAGAGACAACGAGAACATTGGTAAATCTCGATAACTCTAACAAGGGTGATAGGTGGCCCAGGCTCATCGGGTGTGTCTGGTTTGATCGGGTCCTTGAAAGATTTCATCAAGACTTTTGGCAGTGAATACAACTTCGTCAGCTTCGATCCCCGGGGTGTTAACAACAGTGGTACGATTCTATCTTGTGAGAGTGGATATCCGCAGTTTAGCTCGCCGGCGCCGATAAATGTACTATGGGCACAAACGAAAGTGAGTGGAGAGAACTGCACGAGGAACAACGTCAATACCACTGCCAGATTCGATGGAACCGTTGCAAACGTGCAAGATATGATTCACTTCACGGAGCTCCAAGCAAAGGCAAATGGGAGAGATCCAGCCAAGGAAAAGATCTGGTACTATGGCGTTTCTTACGGTACGCTCATGGGGCAGACGCTCGCAGCACTCTATCCAGATCGCCTGGGCCGCATCATTCTAGATTCGAATGTGGATGGTGTCTTCCAATACGAAGGTTATGACCCAACCCAGTTCGAGGGGCTGGAAATCGAGATCAAAAACTATTTCTTCAAATGGTGTTCTGAGGCTGGTGCAGACTTCTGCCCCTTGGCTGCCAACACGACAGATGCTTCTGGTGTCCAGCAACGCTATGATACTGTGCTTAAGAAGCTAGATGAGGAACCGTACATCCTGCCCGACAGTAATCGCATCATCACGCGCGAAAGCATGGAAGACTCGAACTTCAATTCTTGGTATTCACCGCCGTCGGGTTTTTACGGCATTGCAAAGCGAATTGCAGAAGCTTACTCCGATACCCTGACCGAAGCAGATTTCCCCACGGAAGACGGGGAGTCGTTGGGCGACGCAACGCAGATGGTCAATTGCATTGATGCAGCTGGTCGCTTTCCCTTCAAGTCAGCGAAAGAATACGAGCAAGCCGTAAATGCTGTACGCAACTCGTCGAGCGAGTACTGGTGGAAATCATTTGCGTCAACTGACGCATTGTCTTGCAACGGCTTCAACATCCTACCACCGAAGTCGCAGCTCTTCCCGGGATTCAAGGAGACAAAGACGAGCATTCCCATTCTGTTTATCAACGATTTGGGCGACCCAGTTACACCTTTGGTGTCGGCCTTTAGAATGTCTGCATTCTTTCCAGGATCTAGGGTCCTTACTGTGGACGCACCCGGTCATAGTTTCTTGGCCACTGGAAGTCAGTGCGTTGATCAGCATGCCAGGGCTTATCTGAAAGATGGGACCATGCCTCCAGAGGATGCCATCTGCAATATTGATGTGACGCCCACCGAAGTTTTCGCGCGTGGGAAGGATGCCTTCGAGACGATATCATCCCCGCCGGATGAGAGTTGAATGGTCTTGCATCATCAAGTATGAGTCGATCGATAATGTCGAATGTTTCTGTAGGGGGGTTTTTGTTTTCGTCCTTCTCTTTAGCATAGCCTCGTGTTGAGAATCGTGCCTCTCGTTTATCAATCCGTGCGTCAAGAGTTTTGGTAGGATAGTTGGCGAGGCGTTTTAGGTGTTTTCCAATAGATAATTTCTAATTTTACACTGCTTGTCGACGGAAGTTGCCTGACCCTCTTGAAATCAGTTTTACCCAAAGCGGCGTATATACAGCAAGTTGGAAAGTAGTCTTCTGTTGCATCGAATATTCTGCAACAGAAATTTAATCTGTTCCAGAAACGGTGCGCCCGGAGTTGAGAATTCACGATTATCACTATGTATGAATTGGATTTTAAGCTTTTGGCAGGTGGCGTTGATTTCGCTGCTGTGGGATGTATCTTGGATGGTTGAGATTCTTAAGTTTATGATTTGGGCTGTTGAGTGGATTTCGGAAGATTGTCGGAGATGATTCACACAGCAGCAATATATGGAGTATCGTAGACTGGCACTAGCGTGGTATGATTCAGTGATCCAGCAAGGAATTTTGGTGTCATTCCATGTTCAAGATTCTAGTAAGAGATAGTCACGTGATATCGGACTCGGATACGCCGCAACGCGGAATGATTCGAAAACCCAGATTATTCAATCATCAAATAAAATAAAAGACTGGTTCAACTTACGCCAGTCATGCACAATGTCCTTGTATGAAGGACAGCCTTGAAAGGTACTCGAATCAAACATTCGAGTCCTCGTGTTTTTGCACGTGTCATCAGCCGAGACTTCAAAGCCCAATAGAGTCTAGCTCCCGTGGGGTGAATTCAATTGAGACTACGTCACCAGTCAGCCAGAGGGCGAGTCGCCCCTCTCTGTACCAGACGAAACCAGCATCCATCAGCAGGATCCAGTCCAGCTCTTGTGAAGCCACACGGTTTTCTCCACATATATAACATCCTACGCCCCCCACTTGCTTGAGTATGCCATGCCCTACCTTGCAACGAATGACTTTGACTCCTTTTCTGCTTCGCTCAGCGCCTGGTCGCCAACACCATCATCACCATCCCCAACTTCCTCGGTTCCACGCCCTGAAAGATCCTTGATCAATTGAAGCTTCGGAGAAACTGTCGTATAATTCCACTTATTGATACCCAATCGCAAAAGCGGGAGCAGGATCCCGAGTTGATACCCAGCACTCCTCCCGCACGCAGCCGAATACCCCACTTCCTCTCGGACGAGAAAACAACATGGCATTACAGTATCTGGCCAACAGCAACGGCTGGTTGTCCTTCAACCACAGCACTCCTGTGCTTTATGTCACGGCTGAAGACGAAGAATTCGACACTGAAACCCTGCGCGCATGGCGGGACGAAGGCTTCAATGTCAAGTACGTGCCCATGGGAAGCGGGGGCAAGACATACGTAAACACGTTACACCATTTGGGCGATAACATGAGCATTGGCGAGCGTTATGCCATCGTAGGTATTGCGCCCTTTCTTTGCGCCAGTACAAATGCGCCTCCACTCACTGGCACGGTCGCGGTTACTGTCACTGCGCTGTCACGGTAGCTAGCATGAATGTGTGCGACCACAGGCTGACAATATTTATGCGCTATGTAGCTTTCGGCGACGCCGCATCGGTGTGCTTGGAGGTCTACTCGGAACCCAAGACGGCAACCGCGAAGCTCTGCTCGCTGATTGCATACTACCCTTCCACTATTCCCGACCCCCACAAGCGCCTGTCGGCATCTTTTCGAGTCCTGGTCCACCTGGCACTCGGCACTGGTCAGGAAGACTCTACTGTTGGTGTCTCTCGGCGTACCGAAGCTCTCGGGATACAAGGGAGGAAACGAACGGTTCAGAAGCGCATAACTCCTGGTATAGGCACCGGGGGTCTACAAAGCAAGATTGAATACCCCGTTTACACATACGAAGGCGTAGACGCGGGATTCGCTGAGCACGACTTGGATGAGTACGACGGTGTCGCAGATGCCTTGGCCTGGAGCCGCAGTCTCAGCATGGTGCGACGCGGCTTTGGTGCAGAGGTAGAATTGGAGCGCATATGGGAAGAAAACACTGAAAGTAAGTCGATCACAAAAACAACAACCACTAGGTCGCGTGGGAAAACTAGTCAACTTATAACTTACTTCACAGACAAATACAATACACAGAACACCAAAAAGGTCATCGAGACATACACCACGAATCCAACTCCCATCATAAACTTTACGCCAACATTGACCGGCGGCAAAGGCCATGAAGAGCTCGCTCGATTCTACGAAAATTACTTCCTACCGAACCACCCTCCCAGTTTCCACATGCGCCTCATCTCCCGCACAGTCGGTGTAGATCGAATCGTCGACGAACTCTACATACAATTCAAGCATACCTGCCACATGCCCTGGGTACTCCCCTCGGTGCGACCCACCAACAAGAAGGTTGAGATTGTTGTTGTTAGTATTGTGGGGATGAGAGGTGGGAAGATCTGGAGCGAGCGCTTTTATTGGGATCAAGCGAGCGTCTTGTTTCAAGTTGGTTTGCTCGATCCAGATGATGTTCCTGAGGATCATAAGGATTCTGGATTGGAGATGCTGCCTGTTGCGGGGAGTGAAGCTGCGAGGAAGATAATGGATTTTGATAGTGAGGAAGGGAATGACATGATCGATGATTGGTGAGGGATGGTGTACGAGTCAGATCTCTAATTTCATTAGATTTAAGTGTGGGAAATGGTCGATATATGGGAGGACGCTAAGGGGAACACGTCCTCCTTTGGGAATTTCTTCGGAGGACAAGGACTGGCTGGCTGGTTTTGTACGATTTTACGAATGGTATGACTCTCTTTCCTAATTCCTCTTTTCTTTACCTGGTTTTCTACGACTTACTTGATACCTTCCTGCTTTGCTTGGGTTCGCGCTTTGCTCCGCACTAGTCGCTCAATTTAAGTTTACTCTGCTCGAATCCTTAAGTCGATCCCTTTTGCTGCGCCTTTGACGCTCGCAGCCACTATTACGAAGCTCGGCTTCGTCAATTTCAGGGAATTCTGTCTTTCCATCTCTATAGACTAAGGCGTGACTCGTATTATAACCTAAGGTGGGCTTTTGATCATTTAAGTAGATTGTCGCTTTATCTGTGCTGTATTCATCCATCTTTTCACTTCACGATCTATCGGTCGCTCTCTAATTTGAGTAATACATAATCATTTTTGATAGACTCTGTAGAGTATCAACTACTCTTAACTGGGGGTTAGACTCAATTTTTTTAATAACTCCAGGGATTCCCACCACTGCGACGAATTAGATCTATACTCCGGTCGTGGGAGACGAATCAAGTACTACCAATGAATCGTCACGCATCAAACGCAGCATCTCCATGCGCTGATCTCGATAAGGCTCTTCCTGCCTCGAAGTTTCATACTCGGCAAGGAGGGCTGTTGCTGCAGCGTGGTTACGGCGCGCGTGAGTGATCTCGTCTTCAGGGTGTTCCTCGTCTTCAAGGTGTTCACTGTCAGGTTGCGCGGATCTGACATATGGCTTCATGAGGAGCTTCACGTGAATGAAGTTTTGCAGATAGTACTCACCCATCACCAGTCGCACGTCTATGTACTCCATGCGGTTTTGATACTTGCCGTCGGTTTCTCCATTATGACGGAATCGCGCCTGGGGGTCCTGCGATTCCCAGCGATTCGGCATAAGGTAGAGTAGGCCATGACCATATTCACGGATCTGGGATGGAAGATGACGGACATTGAAACAACCGTCCGAAATTGGTTCATTTCTTCCGATGCTTGTCACAACGCGACGTTTCTCATACTCGAGCAGAATGGCGGTGGAGCCGCGAAGGAAAGAGAACATGTGCCTCTTGAGCGCTCTCCGCAACTCTCGTTTTTCAGGATCAGGGATTTCAAGGCTTCTTATGTACGGGAGAGCATGTCTGAGGCACTCAATGATATCTTGGTGGTGACGTTCGGTTTCTCTGTAAACAAAGTCCGCCCACCCGGCTATGTCGATCCAGCCTTCCCGCTCTACTTCCTCGGGTGATTCCGGTGAGCCGATTGTTCTTGACGGCACAATCTCGTGGATAGCGTGCCTCGGTAGAGCTATGTCTGCATCGCTTGCACTTTCGGGACTCTCATGATTCCATAACTCCCAGTAACCGTCGGCATCAGCATCCCGGTTCCAGAAATCGTCGACATCATCCGTAACAGAGGAATCATCGTCGTCGTCGTCGTAAGTTGAATCCCAGGTACCATCGTCATCATTACCCCAATCCCGGATACCGTCGTAGTTATAACCCGGATCCCAGGAATCGCCGTCGCTATCATTCCAGTCCCTAACACTATGAGGATCTGAAAGCCCATTCATGTCAGCCAACGCACGACCGTGAGTGAACAAATACGTCCTACACATAGGGCATTTATTTGTGTTGCCTTCGGTGCTAGATGTGCACCATTCGAACAAACACTCACGGCCGAATATGTGACTACAGTGTAGGCGAACAGCACTATGGGTGGAGCTCCAGTCTTGGCCACAAAAGCAGTCGTGGCCTTCGCGCTCTTCTTCAGTTGCGCTGGGAACCTCGTTTATGAACTCTATGGCGCAGGCGAAGGGCGCCATTTCGTCTCTATCCATTCTTTCTCGGGTTGGTTTTGTCTAGCGGGAAGAGAATATTCTTTTTTACATAAGGTAAGATTTATCTCTTGAGGTGTGCTTGTTTAATGTTTTGTAGTTCAGATATGGCTCGTGGGAAAGGTGAATTGATATACTATGTGCAGAAGGCTAAAAGCATTGTGCTTCAAGAAAAATCAAATTGTAAATAACGCCATGCAACTTTAACAATGCTGTTGTGCGAACAACCGAACTTCTTGCTTTTTCGTTGTCCTTTTCCATGCGATGGCTTTGGATAGCGGGTACTCAGGCACCAAAGATAGTATATCATATTGGTAATTGGGTGCTCCTACAATATAAAGAATGTTCTAATTGAATTAGGGAGGTCTTACAGAATAAGCTTGTTTTATAGTTAGTATTGATCAATCTCAGTATTTGATATGCTTCCTGATTTTTCTATATAGGACACCCGCGCTACGTCGTTCGATCGATCTCGTTGACATTTGTCGAATCAAACTTTTGGCATCTTGAGGAACAATCTCTTTCAATATTCTTTGATGTAGAAGCTTGGAGATTCATAGGACACATTCTAGGTAAGATGATAGAAGTTCTAATAAAGTAATTATTTGTGTAAATCAATCTTCTGGTGATCGCTTGAAATCAGCAGGGTACAATTCCAGATTGCACATTAGCGATAGGCTGCATCGCTGTTCTGGCTTGTATACTCTTATAAACATGACTCGAATCCTTCTGATTCTCGATCAGATTCGATTACAAGAGATTCTTAACAATGGAAAGATCGAATTGAATCAGCTTATGCACTACGTTGTTCTGAGCGATCATGCTCATAAAACTCATCGATACCTTCGCATATAACGGCGGCTTCCCATTGGCACTGTTCACGCAGATGCAAATCATCGAGATCTTGCAGGCGATATGCAGGGGGATTTTCTTCCTGGAAATATTGGATTACGCTGTTAGTATGTTCCAGGATGGCCACTCTCGCATCAATCTCACCGCTAACAGCTGAAGATTCTTGGTGCGACAAGTTCACGTCAATTACCTCAACTTCTCTTGCGGGGAATAACTCATATCTGCACAAGGGACAGCTTTGCGAGGTTTTTAACCACTCCCTTAGACAATCTCGCCCAAAAACGTGTGAACATTCAAGCCTGATTGCTATATGTGCTTTAGAATCCCAATATTCGGTGCAGAAGCACTCGGCGTCTTTGCAATCCTGCGCTGTCGCCGCTGGAACGGATCTGATAAATGTGTCTGCGTCTGTCATGGTGAATTCGTTTGAAGAAACTTAAAGACCAGCTTGGCAGACTTTCAAAAGTGTAGTGCAATGTTAGGGGGATGCTTTGTTTGCAAGTAACGAGAGGAGTGTATCATACATCATCATGCTAGGACGAAGTCCATATGTTGATTTTAGAAATTTACTGTGTGGGTGAACAATACAGATTGTAAAGGCAGTAGCAACAATCGCCACAACGATGGTTGCAAGCGATATATTATTGGCCATATCGATGAATGATGCAGTTGCTAGACTCCTATATATTTGGTTTAATACAAGAGTATATAGCACGTCACCATGATAAGACTGCCTATGTGGCGGCTTACATAAATCAGGCAGCTCTCTTCTCCGCATAATGTAATTGATAAGCGAACCCGACAGCGCCTAACGCGCCACGTCTACCTACATATGTATGCTTACATATATGATTATCAATACTAGCTCGGGATTGAAGAATATAGGCCTCGGGGAAAGAGGTTGGAGTGACTAGAGGTATAACCTGAGAGGGTCCTATCCAAGGACTTTTAAAAAGCTTTTGTCAGAGGACTAGGGAGTGCTATATTTTGGGGTACATCAGAAATGCTTCTTACATTCTGGAAGGTATTATAGTTTAAGTATTGTTGAGCAGATAGTGAGTAATTCCTATTTAGTTGGCGAACTGTTTGTCATTGGAGACGACCCGGTCGGCCAAGCGTCACAATTGTACCTCAATCTAGTATTCTGTAGCAAATCATTCATTTCTTATTCATTTCTTATTCATTTCTTATTCATTTCTTATGCATTTTGTATGTAGTTTGTGTTCTTGGTGACTAATTCCATCTGATCTTCTTGGCGAAATGGGTAATGGAGTATCATCATCATACAAGTGTAGAGAGTGTTAGATCTACGAGAGCAGGGGTAGGGGCAGGTTACTGGCTTCGTAGAACTCGAATTCACGGAGACGGCCACGAAGATTAAGCTCTGCTTCTAGGATCTTTCTTCTAACCTCGTTACGCATCTCGCGCAGTTGGCGTTCAGACTGATCGCGTGAAGAACCCGACGGTAACGGGTCTTGGCTCATGTCGAGGGCTGCCAAGTCAAGTGCAGGCCCAGCAGACTCGTTTTGTGGGTTCCTTGAAACCTCTACCCGTCGCCTGGCTAGTGCACGTGTCCCGTGCTCTAGCATTAGTTCTAGTACTGCACGGTTATCTTGTGCATATGCAATGTAATTGATTTCGGTTTGAGACAGACGACTATTATGTTGTTCCCGCACTACCCGCGCATTCTCTTCCAGCTGGCGTATTTGTTCAATGACTGCTCTGACATTTCGCTCGTCGTTCGCTAGAAGAACATTGTCAAGAGAAATACTGAGGCGTTGTGCGCGCGATAGAGTCAGGTGCGGGCTATCAAACTGCGCGCGAATCCAATCTAGGTTTCGCTGCTCACGACCAAGACTCGTTCTGACTCTATTCAAGTCATACTGACGACGATCCTGATCCAGGGCCTGCTGTCTACGCTGTGAACGCTCCGCTTCAGTCTCATTCCGAGGATGATCACGCACTCTCCCGTGACGCGACGAGCCTTCCATTCCATTTCCGCCAGCTCGAGCTGTCGCATGTTGAGTGTTACCAGACTGTGGAACTGGAAGCACTCTCCCGTGGCGCGACGAGCTTTCCATTCCATTTCCGTCAGCTCGAGCCATCATCGAATATGGAGTACTACGGGACTGTGCGACTGGGTTTCGAATTTCGCTGAAATCCTCTTCATATAGTCGTCCAGACGAATCTTCATCCTCAGACAGCATAGAATCGTATCTGAGCCCGTCATTCCATAGACGGGAACGGTTTTCCATGTAGCGGATATTGTCTAATACAGCTTGCAGTTCTGCCCTTTCCTGTTCGGCGGTCGGTCGCCCATCATCGAAGAGTTCGTGTCGGCAGACAGGACAGCGGTTGTTGGCACGCTGTCCAGGTGTGTTGAACCACTGTCTGAGACAGTCTTGGCCAAAAGTGTGGGAACATGGAAGGGTGACGGCCACGTGTGAACTGTCGGCCCAATTGTTGCCGCAAAAGCATTCGCTGCTGGCTTTCTGCTGTGCGCTCGCACGAGGAAGTGAGTTTATGACAGTGTTAATATCCATAGTTTTGGTGCTTGGAAATTGTATGTTTGTAAGGTTTGGTTGGTGGATTAGAAGATTCAATTGCTGTTCCTTAAGTACCTGTGGATGATGGACGGTGATAATCATTAACAACGAAGGCCCGAGTAAACAATCCATTAGTTATTTCACAATGCTGAGATACTGGCTATGCGACTTACACCCTGGCTTGTATAGTATCCGGTCAAACTAAGACATGAACATTTGCATACGTTCGATCAAGGTGCATACATGCATGTAATCAGGAATCCAACTTTGGATGTCAGTAGGAAGTTCACATAACGAACAATTTCTTGGGAACAGCCTCACAACATCAATGATTTTGCAAGTTTGACACATGGCCATTCCTATCAATCAACTTCAGAAACTCTGAGCATGCGTTGAACACCCCTTCATCTTGTGTTCATGCCCTATCAAGAACGCATCCAGTTTTGATTTTTGTGGGTGCTGTTGTAGCTCATCACGATCAAAGGTAGTAGCATGTGGAAATGTTTTTCAATTTCATTTATTCAATCATTCGTTCATTTGTACTTTTCAAAATAGTAATACAATCCTACCGTGATACACCGGTTTTGAGTGGACGTTTCGCAAGCGAAAATACTAGATTATTCGCTTTTGTGTTGAATCGTAGGTTCGTAACGGTTGTTGGCAATCACAAATTGCCATCATCGACTTGTTGCGATGCACTATTGCCTGCCTCGCGCGCCTCGTGGAGTGCGCGCAGTCGAATTTCTCGAAGCACCCAGGGTCCTCGATTACCGTGTCCGTGCGCGTGATGCGCGGATTCGCGTAATGCGCGGGCAACACCAAAACACCCTACTTTCAACACGCAATAACTCCACTGTTATAGATCTAATTAAGGCGGCAATTACTAATATTAAATTGTTAGGGCTAAGAGAGCCTTTCTTGTATACAGCTTTTGCTACTAAATATAGTGTTGTACAGTCTACCTTAATCTAAAGGCATTATAGGGTAACGCGTCCTCTCTAGGTCAAGAGCTCTAATTAGCAAAAGCTTACCTTAGAGGAAGAGCTAGAGCTTGTACAGTATATTAAAAGACTTACAGAGAGGCACTTCCCTCCTACTAGAGAGATAATATAAAACTTTGCCTCTACAATAGCAAAGGAGCCAGTTAGTAAGAGCTGGGTTACTCGCTTTATTAACTGCCACAGTATCTATTTAATCTCTTGCTAGACAGCTGGCATAGACAGCAATTGCCACAAAGCTAATTTAGAGGATAAATATTGCCTCTACTTTGACTACCTGCATAGCAAGATTAATTAATACTAGATAGATCCTTGTTATACCTACAATATAGATAAGAAAAGCTTTCTAATTAGAATTATTAGCAGATTAAAAAGGATCTTTAGCAGGCAAATGTAGGAGAAGAAGGAGGTTACTGCATTACTCTAGGATGGCAACTAGGCATAGATTACGCTCCTAGCATGTATCTGTGCTAATAGATTAGCTCTGCTACTAAGCCTTATTTATAAGGCTGCTAACAAAGCTATCTAATTATCCTGGGTAGAGGATATTAAGGCAGGAGAACATAAAGTCTTTATTACCTCATTATCCTCTGGCTAGACTAACAACAATATTAGGCTTGCCTAGCTTAAACAGGTATTTGATCGCTGTACAAAGGAGAAGGCCCGACGATCCTATTAACTCCTAGTCCTTGATGGCCATAGATCCCATATTACTATAGACTTTATTAACTACTGTGATTAGAATAGGATCCTCCTTGCTATCCTACCTCCTTATTTAACTTATACGCTCCAGCCTCTTAATGTTGCAATGTTTAAGCCTCTATCAACAGCCTACTCAGCAGAGCTCTCAAATTACCTCTACAGAAGCCAGGGCCTAGCTCCTATTACTAAGAGTGATTTCTTTCCCCTATTCTGGAATGCATAGAAGGCCTCCTTTAAGGAATTAACTATTCTTAGCTCTTTTAGCTTAACAGGCATATCACCACCTGATCCTACTCCTATCCTTGATAGGTTCACCTATAATAAGGGCTCAGGTCACAGCTCCTTATCAGGACTCAGCAATCATGACTGGCAAAAGATAGATAGGCTAGTACGATCAGCTGTTAAGGATCAGGGTAGTCAGGATGCTTAAAAGCTACGCCAATCACTTTATTACCTATCTGTTTAAAATAAGCTACTTAAGCATGAGATAGATAAGATTAAGCAGGTGCTATCTACTAAGCAGAAGCGTAGGAAGAAGGGCAAGACTCTAGACCTCTAGCAGAGGGAGGAATATTATAGTAGAGCAGTCTTCTAGTCACCTAGAAAAGTAAGGGAGGCACGTACACGTTAATTAATTAGAGAGCAAGAGGAAAAGGATTAACAGCTTTAAAAAGCAAACAGAGCAGAGCTTAAGAAGGCAGCTAAGCTATATAAGGAAAAGATCTAGCAGGAGAAGCGTGTTGCGCGCAAGGCAGCTAGAAAGGAGAAAAAGAAGGAGAAGGCTGAAAAGGCAGCTCAGCGCGCTGCCCTAAAGTCTGCCTGTAACGCTAAAAAAGCTCTATAATTATCCTAAAAAGGTAAGAGAAAGGCCTCTTAGGCACCTCTACAGAGTAGAAAGCGTTAGAAACGTGTTGTTAATGCTCTAGATACTAGAGAGGCTCTACAGGGCGAATCTGCTACCCTAGCAATCTCTACGCGCTGCGGCCGCAGCGTCAAGCTTCCTAATAGATATAGATAGTACAAATTAATCGCAGCTACTAGCTTTGTACTCCGCTAAAAAATCTTGTAATACTATTAATTGTAGGTAGCTTTATTGCCTCATTTCTAGTAGAGCGTTTTTGTTGTTGCCCGCGCATTACGCGAATCCGCGCATCACGCGCACGGACACGGTAGGGCGACGGTTCTGGCGTTCGCTTCCGTTTTCGGCTTGCTGCGGTGCATAGCTGAGAACTGTACGCAATCGAAACTCCCGCAGCAACGTCTGGGCTCGATTGGAGCGAGGCTCACGCTCATCACTTTGAGTATCGCGTCGGCGCTGAGCTGCCTCCTCGTTGTCAGGAACAGCTCCGTCCGTGCGAGTCAGTCTCAGTGCGGCGTCATGGAGCGGGATGTCAGCGATAGGGACGTAGTTCTAGTTCATCCGTCGAAATTCGTTGCAAATCTGGTTGGCGCGTCTTCGTGTAAGGTATTGATCGTGAATGGTTTGCTCCATAAAGCTGAAATAAAACTGCCATCGGTCAAATCGCTGTCGCACTGCCTCAAGGGCTTTACCACGTTCCATCACCAGAGTGGGTAGGTCCGTATCATCGATTTCGGCGTGCTCATCGTCAGTGTGCTCATCGTCCATCGAACGGATCAGTTCGCGGATTTTCTGCATCCCTTGTTCCGAAATGTCTGGGTTGTTGAGTTCTCGCTGGATCGATTCATGCACGAGTACCTGCTGGCTGAGATCCTGTTGTGCTGAGCGGAGGGTTGAGACTTGCGTTGATACCGCCCCAATAGCACGCCATCGCTCTAGCTCAGTACATAACATACCTTCTTCATACAGGACAGCTCGGCACATTGGACAGGTTTTCGTTTCTGTAGCGATCGACTCACACCAAATCAGAAGACAGTCACGTCCAAACACGTGTTTACAGCTAGTGACAATGGCCACATGTGTGTCATCGTGACTCTCCTTGCAGAAACACTCGTTTTGCTCGCGCTCTTCAACAGTTGCTTGTCGGGCGTTGGCGGTGTATACCGCTCCGTCCATCATATTTGTGGAAGCCATATTTTAGATGCTTGCTTATCTTGCGGTTGGTTTGATAAATGATTCTTGATCGTTCTTAGTAAAAGTTGGAGATTGTTTGTTCTGTATGAGTGTGTCTTCTGTACATCGAGGGGGAAACATACGCTAATTCATGGCTGGCACGAGAGCTCGTAATTGAACATGAACATAGGGTGTTGGTGAGCCATGTTGCTCGTTGTTGGAGTAACAAGGTATGAATAATGTTTTGTCTGTTCTGCTGTCCACCCAGATTTTACAACTGAGTGTGTATAATCTGTATCGCATTGTTGGGAAAATCATGATTATTGTATGTTTGGTAGCTGCAGATCTACTGCGTTGACACTTTTGATCGGCGCATGTTTCCATGTGATTTGTGAGCGTCCTATCGTCTTCCAAGGTTGCCCAATGCTAGCCCCCATCAGCAAAGGTCCCATAAAGCTCACACTCTAATTATAGTGATTAAAATCGGTGAGCGCATTTTCAAGGCATTTTTCAAGCGACCTTGTGATTCTTCAGGTCTTATACATAGTGCCGACAATGATATAGGAACCTAGAATATCGTGAATCCCAAGCACCAAATGAAAGGCAGAACCAGCGTCGAGGCGTACTACTAACGATCAACACTATGAATTTTGATGGGATCGACGGATCATTCAGTACACATAGGATACTATACTGTTACCGATGTCAAGCTGCGCGGTGAACTGTCCCTAGGCTTTTCCGAGAGCGGGCGAGAGAGATCGGTGAAGCCTGTCGGCTGCAGTAGCAGTACTACCCGAGAAATCAATTTAGAGCCGTCCGCTACCACAGGAAGATCCAATCAAATACAATGTATAAGTAGGAGAATACAATAAAGGCAGGTGAATCATTTGCCAAGTCCCAAACAGTTGCCCTACTGGAATCCAGCCGTGCGCTATATTTTGCTTAAAGGCAAGGCGCATCGGTACTATTCATGTCAAAATATTGAATTTCTATCTGCAATTTAACAAACCTATCTTATTTTCATATCTACTCGTCCTTTTGGTGTCGAACATGGCAAATGTAGCCAACGCGTACCGAAGCAAATCGCTTGTTTATCGTGCCGTAGAAGACAATGAAGAGGACAAAGTATTCCTACATTCGCTCTTGCTCGATCCACAATCTTTCCACCAAAACAACTACGATGATTTACTCCGACCAATCAATCGAAAAACCTCCGATTTGCATCTCAAGTACAAAGAACCCACTCGTCTCATCCATGTGTTGATCTGTCTTCCGGCCAACGATGGAGAAATCAGTGACCAAGACGATGCTGGTTCTAGTGCCAAACAACCAGTGCCCATTGGTTCCTTAAATTTACACGGGGTCAAAGAGGGCCAACGCCACCACCGAACTCTTGACATCGGAATTCTGATTGCTACCGAGTACCAAGGACGAGGATATGGATCTGAAGCTATCGAATGGATTCTCAATTGGGGGTTTGAGGTTGCAGGCTTGCATCGAATCGGTTTGCAGAGTGCGTCTTTCAACACTGGGGCGATAAAGCTTTGGAAAAAGTTGGGATTCCAGCACGATGGAAATGATCGCGAAGCTGTGTGGTTTAATGGTGGCTGGCACGATGAAGCTAGGTTCTCCATGTTGGAGAGTGAGTGGCGCGCCAAAGTGAAGCTGGAGACTGCAGCATGATCTTACAGGAAGCTTACTTCGTGCGCGAACGGCATTGGATACCAACTCTTTGTTCACGCATCCAAATGCGTTTGATATAATATATTACTCAAATCATCTAAGCTTCACACGCATAATCCTCGAAGGCTTGGAACGCTGTATAACAAATGGCAATTTTGATTGTCATTATAGTCCACATGCATACTTCTTATGCTAGCGACCTATCGGTCCCTTTCCAAGCTCAACAATCTTAAGTACTGTGCAACTACATCTTTGAATGAATCTTCAAAGCTCTTGAACTTCCACCCAAAATGTTTCTCGGTGTCGCTTGCATCCACTCGCCATTTGATCGTAGGTAGCGTTCCGTTCAGCGGTAGCTCTTTTCTTCCAATTTCTCCCGGGAAATGCTTCTTGACAACATCAATCATACTATCCCATTCTACACCTTCCGGCCCCTCCGCACACAGAATATAGTCGCGATTTCCGGGAACCGAGGGCTTGATAGCATCCACATGCGCTTTCGCGACATCCTCAACATCCACTGGAACACTAACCAGAGGCTCTGGCTGTTTTGTTCCAAGAACTGGTGACATTCTGTATGCCCATTCAGGTGTCTTGTTGAAAAGATCTTCCGCCGTCTGTGCGCGATCATCCACGCCCATCACTGCACCGGGGAGTAACTGAACAATATCGAAATTGGGTTTATGATCGGACAAAAATTCATGCACCGCTTGGCGTGCGAACGCTTTTGAGTTCCAGTAGGCTTCCATGGGATTCGATACTGAGCGGGTTGGCGCAGGGTTCATGTCGTTCGCAGTGTATAACTTCGTTGAGTCCGGATTGGATAACCAGTGGAAGGAGACAAGAGTGACCATGGAGGACGTGATGACAACCCTCTTCACTGTTGGGGCATTGAGGGCAGAGAAGAGAATAGATGAAGTCATATCCACTGCAGGATTGAAAATGTAGTTGTCATAATCTTCGGTCTAGATTCGAAGCACAAGATTAGCTTCAATGTTGGCCAGGTTACTCATGGAAGAGGTTCTTGAGATTTTTTATGAATCTCAAGAAGATTTAATATCCTACCTGAACCATCAGTGGGCTTGCAATGTGCAAAATAGTCCCGATGTCATGGAGGACGCTGTCGAATGCCCCCTTCTTGGCTAAATCGGGAACAACTACGTAGTCAACTTTCGACTCAAACTGGCAGATCTTGGGGTGGATTTTGAACTGCTGGATTTGGTCTGGTTTGCGTATGACAACCTTCACGGTGTACCCTTCTTCCAGGGCTAGCAAAAGAGTCTGAAACCCGACAAAGCCGCTCGCTCCTGTGATCTGCATGTCTGTGAGCTATGTATGCGTGGCGTCAAAAGGTGTACTATAGGTGAGCACAAACCAGAACGGTTTTTTCCATAATGAATCTTATTGCGAAGGTGTTGAAACTTGAAAACAGCTTATGTCTCTGATAAATCTTTCGTTGGGAGCATTTTGATCAAATCACTGGAGGCGGACACGCCTTAAATACCCCCGATTTTTTCATCGGCAAGGTCAGGAACTAGGGCCTGCTTCACATCATCCCGGAATAGGATTTCTATACGCAAATGCGCGGCGAAATGCGAACATACATTGACAAACACTGTTGTGCGTCAACCCCGCTGGTAAGTGGACACGGAAAGTTCCGAGGATACGGCTTTGCAGGGTTGGAGGCATGAGCATTCATCGTCATGCGTTTTTATGGCTCTAGTCTGATTGACAGAACAACCAATAAGAGCCAAATTCATCGTCTTGAGGGGGTAAATATAAAAGGCAATATTCTGACAAACTTATGCTGCTCTGCTGACGGATTGGAACAACAAGGAACTCCGGGTTCCGATGCTGCAGCAAACTGAATTTATCCGCTCGCTTACATCCGTCAACCGCAATACGATCCACTAAACAACATACCTGCAACTCAGAGCTCGACCAAGCCATCTGCATGCCACTCTGTTGTTGGGTTATCAGACGTTTTTTCCGGTACCAATGACGTTGCAGAGCGAGATAAGCACCCGGCGCTGCTCCCACTGTTCTCGATCTTTTACCCACAGTAGGTATCGATACAGGCTTTACCATCAATACCGCTTTCTGACTCGATGTGAACGACCTAGAATCTTCGCTCGTCAGGCATTCAAAGCGATGTCTGCAGGATATAAGAGCTCCATCGCGCCAGAGGTCGTGTCACCACTGTACACTTGCAAAAGCTGCTTGTGACCGTCAACGTCCAAATTGTGGGAGATGTCGAACCCGTTCTCTGGATTGTGTGTTCACAACGTCACTTGGCTACTGGGGTCAAGAAGGAAATTTTGAGCTCCAGCCCCATAATCGGGCACCGCCAGCTCAGCACAATACACCCTTGAGGCAGACCACAGAAAAAATCACTGCAAGCTCGAATAGTGATGACGAGTCGCGCACAGTCGTATCACAGAACCAAGGGAACATTGCACCGCAGTTAGTCTTATCCCCTCAGCGACGCCAGGTTTTATTGGGTACAGCACCAGGTGTCCCGACTTCCGACGCAGCTGTACGACACACAATGCATTTCGTGATCCGGGTCCTGAAATCCTGGCCACGGCTGATTGCGATTCATAATTTTGCACTCTTGCCCCCGGTCATCCACAGGGTACAAGTGAAGGACAGTCTGCCAGATCCACTGGCAAATTGCCATGCTCTCGTCAGTATGTGGGCTTCACACAAAGTTGATAGCAGCGTTTTTGTACAAGAAACGATTCAACGAGAAGTGAAGAGGCTGCTCGACCAGGTACTATCTTCCCGGGTTTATGAGCCCGTGCAATCTTGTCAAACATGACTCTCTGACGTGGTAATCAGCACCAGATGTTCAACGAGTTTGATCTTCTAGCTGCTGCTCAGTCAATACTGATGCTCTTGATTGTACTGTATTTCGGATTCGAACTGACTTCAGAAAGAGATGCGAGACTACTTGTCGCTACGTGGGACGTGAAGCACGCTCTTGCAGCCACGGGCTTGTTTCTCGAAGAGGAAGCCAGCCACGACAAAATACCGCCGTGGAGGAACTGGGCTATAGTTTCGGCTAAGCGACGCACTATTCTCGCCCTGAATCACCTCGAGTGGGCTTGGTCACTCATGCATGGCTATCCTGTGCTTACTTGTTTCGAACTAGGCCCCCTGCCAGCCCCCGCGGCGGGACATCTCTGGAGAGAGACGGAGGAACGCACGTGGGAGCATCTTTACAGAGCTTGGGCGAACAAGTGGACCTCGGGAAGCTACAAGATGGTTGAGCTTTTCCATATCAACCCCAAAGGCAAGCTGGACGAGAGAAGTGAGATGTGGCTCGCCGAAGCGGATGAGTATGGTATAATGCTCATGGCTGAAGGTATGAAAATGATCTTGCACGCAGTTCCATGTATACTAATATAAGCTAGTAAATGCTGTCGGAGATGTGCAATGAGGATTGGCTAGCGATAACAGATATTTCCATACCGCACGAACATCAGTACATTACAAGAAGTTCACGTTGCAGAGTCATCCAAATATAAAAACCTTTAAAACCGTGTTGGCCGAGTAGAATATTCGTCAATAATAAATCAAGTACTCTTGCTTATTAGTAGATGAGGAATGATAGATGAAACACAAAACAACGTGTAAATATCGCAGGTTGATGACGCGCAAGTACTATTAGATATCCATCCGGCCTTAGCAGCTCTCAATTCCCACCTCGCGATCGTCTAAATCCTATAGCCTGGGGCTTCCTGGACCATGCGCAGCCAGTCATAGTCCACAGGCCTCCACCCGAGTTTCCTCAGCTTATCTGCTTTGACCCGCGAACTACTGCAAAACAGATATGACGCAAATTCCCCGAAATTCCCAAAATCTTCATGGAACTCCTCCATCGTCTTCAATCCCACCTCGGACGTTGCTATTTTCCCCTCGCTATACAATCTCTCCGCAAACGCCTTGGCCCTTTCCGCAAGCGACAGTTCAAATGCTTCAATGAAATAATATCCATTCTCCCCCAACTCAATATGACTATCATTCCCTTTCATGGCTTCATTTAGCAAGAAGACGCACGCGCGACCGAGATCCTCAATCGAGATAGTACTCCAAGCATTCGTGCCAGCACCACCCAAAAACACGGAACCCTTCTCAAGAATGAGGTCGTACATTGTACGCTGATGAGTTTCCGTCTTTCCGGCACCGAGGCCGCGACCGAGAATCGTTGGTGGCGAAAGAACAAGGGCGCGAACATTGTTTTCTGCGGAAAATTTGCGGATGGCGTTGTCGGTGCGAACACCGATTCGCGTCTCATCAAGGGCCTTTATGTCTTCCCAATCATCCACATCGCTCCAAACTCGGGGAGAGTTCTCGCCTAGTTTACTATAACCCACATTACTGGCGCCTGCGATATGCATAAAGATTGGCCGTTCTTTGATGTCGGCAGACTGATGTTTCGGGTTCTTAGTGGTACCGTTCAGCAGAGCCATGACAGCTTCTCTGTTGTCGCCAGTTGCTTGGATCACAATGTCTGCTTTTGAAGCTTCCTCTTGAATATATTTTAAGTCGTCTAGTCGGCCGATAACGGGTGTGACGGTCCACCCGTAGAAGCTGGACAAAGTCTCTGCTTGTGATTCGTCACGGACCAGGGCGCGCACAAGGATTGACGGATGGGATCGTTTCAAGACTGTCAAAAACGTTCCTCCAATGTACCCAAGGGCGCCTGTGATAAAAAGAGTGGGGAGTGTCGCTGATGTTGTTTGTGACATGGCGTCGGATCGGAAACTCGATGATTGCTTGTAGACTGAGAATTGAAGTTCTTGTATAACTATATCAAGTATGACCTTGCTGCCTATTTATTCCCTATTTTCGACCTCATCAAAATCTACTAGGGCATCTGGATTGGAAATCGAGGTATGAACGTAACACCGTTATTGCACAGATGCCTAAGTTACAAATCCAAGGACGATGCAATGGCATAATAGTGGCATAAGTGCAGGATATTGGGAGTCATTGGCAAAGTTCTTTCTAATTGTCTATTCTAATCCTTACTAATATTCTATTCGAAAACATTTACATGCGTTGATCTATATCGCCAGAGCGCGGAACTCCGAGTTATACATGCAGGGATAGACGCTCCAACACCCCGGTTCAATCTCACCCGAATGCCCCACTCTCCCGCCATACTTCATCTGGCTGGTATACGTGAGGCTTCTCAATAGCTGAATTAAATGTTTCTCTCGTCACAGTCGTGACAAATCAGGTGGACTGTTTGTAAAAAGCTCACTCCGCAATATTGGTCTTTGCGACATATGAGTTGAGTCACGGTACGCACTGCTGACGCTCCAGAGCTAAACACCGAACTTCTTTCATCGGGACTACTACATGAGATAGTTGTCGCGTTGTTGTCCCTTACATGGAAATGCGATGATCTAATAATAGACTTAGTTGTCCATTGCATAATCCGATTTATTATATTATGGTTTGACTTGATCTCATATGATTATAGGAAATAAATGGCGGCTATCGAGTCCAAAGCCTACGCTGTGGCTTTGGCATACAACCTCTCTGGTGCTCTGTCGCGCACTTTTGATGTTGAAAGCTTTGCAAACACTAGGCTGCATCTCTATCCGTCTACGGGTTTGACACATAATCTTTGGTCGATTGCGCTGCCAAGAAGGCTTTTCACTATCGGATTTCAGCGCGATGACCATCCTCCGGAAAAGGTATTGCTCTGACTCCTGTCGAGTGGACAAAATGTGGGCAAACATGTCTGTCCAATCTCACGTAGGCAAGGAAAGACTTAATAGAAAGCATATTCAGAGGATACTGCCTATGGAATATATTCCTGCTATACTTCGCCGACAAAATTGTTTCATGCTTGAGTTGAAGAAATATTTCCGCCATAATACAGTTGATCTCTCCGTGCAGGCATTTTGAATCAGCAAAATAGCTTGAGATGACTGACAAATATTGAAAGAAAACCACTATGAATCCCCTCCTAGAAAAGGGAATGAATTTTGAAGATGGAAAGGCTGTGTGCTGTCCATCCGAACGCGGTGTGGCATATGCGCCTTTCATACATCCTCGCTACCAATGAGGGTCGCTTTCTCATCGGGCATCACAAGCACGCAAGCAGATATGAAGCGTGGTTACGTCATCATCAAACAACAACACCCCAGATGTTAACACCCGTCCTCCTCTCTCTAAGCACAGAACCTCAAACACTCAGCACCGTCGCAAAGAAATATCTTGTCGATATGCCGGTTGTTCTCATTGTAGGCGCGACCCGGGGTCTAGGAGCTAGCCTCGTGAAGAGTTACGCCAACCAGCCTACCAATCAGATTCTCGCAACAGCTCGAGCATCAAGTCCCCCCAAGGATGGTAATTGTATGGAATTCTGCGTGAATCAGCGTCATCACTAATTCTTGTCCTAAGCCGACAACATAGCCTATATCCCGAATATTGACATATCGTCACCGGAGGCTAGCAAGACGCTTCTGGACTACCTTAACGCTCATTCAATTCGACACATTGACATTGTGATCGTTACTGCGGGTTACTTTGCAACCGAATCTCTCAAAGAACCTTCCTTCGAAGCTCAAGAAAAGATGTACAAGACTTGCGTGATTGGTCCTACGATCCTCGTCACCGCGCTCGCCAATCATTCCCCCGGCTTGCTGAACTCTAGCTCAAAGGTGATCCTGGTGTCCTCGGAAAGTGGCAGTATCACGCTTCGTCACGAATCCGAGGGTGGCGGCAACTATGGCCACCATGCCAGCAAAACAGCCTTGAATATGAGTGTGAAGCTCCTTAGCCTTGACTTGAAGGATCGCGGTGTTGCAGTCGTGGCTGTACATCCCGGTTTCATGCGAACGGAGATGACGAAGAATGTGGGCTTCGATAAGTTCTGGGATGATGGCGGCGGTACATACCTCTCATTTCACAATTTACACGAAGATGCTGACGTGTCATGTAGCGGTCACCCCTGATGTCGCGGCGAAGTCTCTTGCGGAATGGATTGGCACATTTGATATTTCGAAGACTGGACAATACTGGGCGCCTCGGGGAGCTGCGTAAGTTTGAACCAACCGATAGTGTGCGATGTTTTTTGACATTCCATGCTAGTGACATTGGCACTGCCGAGCCTATTCTGGGTCCCAAAGAGAAGCTTCCCGTTCCCCTCCAGCTTCCGTGGTGAATGTCCACTGGAACCCCCCTGTGAGATGGCATTAGCATACCATTTTTGACAGGGTGGGAAGATTGGAGAATAATGACAAAGACGCGCAAAAGGACTGAATGAATGATAGAGAAATATATGGATTGATTGCAGCACATAAAGTGCATATGTATGCCTCTGACAATGTCCACAAACAAGCTATCCACGAGATCCAAGAAGAAGTCTAATCTCGTCTAGTTCAACTCCAAAACAAATGCGATACGCTCTATAATATGACAGTTACCCCGTTGCTGGTGGGGTATTGATGGTATTGATGCTTTCAATGACCTTCGCTGGACTTCCTCGCAGAAAGAGGCACCCACTTCTCAGAGTCGCCCAAACGATCAGTAGTCAGTCCGCTAGCACCAGGGCTCTTCATTCCAGCCTCGAGCTGTCGCTGGTAACTAACATTGCGAAGACGCTCAGCCTCACGAGGAGTAAGATGCAACTGTGAAAATCCAATGTCAGTCTACATTCTCTCCAATAACGACGTAGCAAGGTAGGTTACTCACGTAGATTTCGACACCCACAGCATGTATGGCCATTGCAACCCAAAGCGCCATCCCGAAAGTCATGTTGAACGCTGCGCCGATCTCAGCAGCGCTCGTTTGTTCGCCTCCAAACCGTGCGCGCACGGTGGAATATTGCTTTGAATCTGTTCCGTTCAAGTACGACGCGCACTCCGGGTATAGCCTCTGCGTTTTCGCATCGTCGGCGATGGTGTAGGCAATTTTCGCACATGGCCACGCAGTGCGGTAATCGCCTACCTTTGAGATGATTATCGTACTCAAGATGAGAATGATGCGGTTCGTGATGATGCAAGAAGCCTAGCATGACACTGTTAGCGCCGTGATCTTTCGCATTCAGACGGTGGAAAGTAAACGTACGTAGAACCACCCTCTAAGCATCCACGCTCTGTGCTGCTCGATCTGAAGCTTCTTGATGTTGATGTACGACAGCACAAAGCTGACCGTAGTCATGAGCGCGAGCACATAAACCGCAGACTGCACATCGATGCCGCCTCCGAACGAGTGGCGCGCAATCATCAATGCGCCGGCCAGAGACGTAAAGTAGGCAAGCAATGCAATATATCCGCCGATACGGTGCACGATAATCGCTTTATGTCTGATGACGGGTGTGAATTGCAGACACGCGATGATCCCAGCTGGGAGAACGCCAGCCAAGTGCAGTGTGATCCCGACTCGCGCGGTGTTGAAGTTGGTGTAGTAATAGCATTCACCTGGCGCGGCGCCTCCGCCTGGAGCACCGTAGCAGAAGGTGTCGAAGCTGAGATACATGAACCGGGAGAGACAGACTGGTAAGGATCATTTAGCATTTGGCCAGACGTCATGACTGATGGGGGCGAAGAGTGGTGGTGGATTGTTACGTACAGCCAAAAAGCGCTCCCGCGAAGATGAACCATAGCACGAAGTTGTATCCTTTGCTGAACCCGAGAGGGTTGTACACTTTTCTGGCGTACGCGTTGAACGCATTCTTTGGTGGTGTGGTGGGCGCGACCATTTTCGATGCCCGGATTTGGTAAATGGTGATGCAACTATTCTTGGACCAGTAGTCTATCGTTCACAACAGCTAGATGAAAGTGGTATCAAATCGAAGAAGATGAAAAGTGTTTGATGAATGTTGGTAATACATTTTTTGACCTGCGAGGAGTTCGCACTTATATATTCAGGCGTGTGCGTGGTGCCCATCTGTGTGTCTTGGTTCTGGCACCTTGGCCCTACTAGCTCGCATAGTCGGGGGAATATTTTGTCGTGCGGGCTGAAGTGAGCATCCGTTCCGTCACCAAGCCCCCAGCTCTTGGCGCGGGTTAACGGCCGTACTGCGCCTTTGCCTTGAGCTACGCTACGTATTATGACGGATAGACTATGGCGGTGAACTAATTATCAGTTCTTCCGATACATCATTCTCCTGGAACTCTGTTGGTGACGTCCCTCCTGTTAATACATTTCTCCAGTGTAAGCAAACATCAACTCACTCTGCGACCTAACATTACTTCATATTCTGACGAGAGAAAACAAAGATATGACATGTCAGACGTGTCTCAGATCTCCAGCCCTACAATATCAGATCCAAAAATCCTAGATGACTAGGACGTTATTCGCTGTACTGTACCTTCGATTACCTATCTGCGAATCAGTCCTTCGCGCGAGATCTCGCAGACACTGCTACAACCTGTCGATCAGTACTTAAGCGAATGCGACACTCTGAACATCAGCGAATCACAAAAGAGAACATATAGTCCCTACGCACTCAATGACGGATGCGCTATACGGCCGTACTCAGGTTTACGTCCGTAGCAGCGGATCAGGTCTAGAGTGCGCTCCTAGCGTTTGGGGCTGTTGGCTACTTTTCTTGGGAGACGGAGAGATTTCACGAGACGATTGCGAGATCGACACTCAAGTTGCTTTTTAAGGATAAGCTTGGTTTCCACGGAGCGTGAATCACGTGCTTAGCCCTCCTACTCAATCTGCTTGTTGCTACATGATTACTATAGCGTCTTGAGTAGCTTTTGAAAGAACCATCGTTGCGCATCTATTTCGGCGTGTTCATTAATCGGGGGAATAACAGTGCTCTCAGCACTCACTGATCTGACTACATGATTTTATCTCTTTACAGTTTGGATGACGTAGATCTGGGCATTTTGAATAGGAAAATGGGCACCACAACCACCATACTAAAAATCCACCCGAGAGTTTTAACTACTCAACGGGGGTGCTACACGACGAAATTCCCGCCAACACTGCCCAAGACCGCTGCATTCCGCGTTAACACATGGAGATCAAAGGCCATTGGCTGTGAGCTACAAATCCTTCCCTTCGTGTCGCACGTTGGTTTTTACTGCCCTAATCATCAATTTTCATATCCAGAATTTTATATTTGGATTGCTTATCATGTCTTTGGTCAGCTTCAAGTTAAAATAACCTTCAAATGTCCGCTTCGCATGACTAGGTGCCCCTTAAATGGCCCCAATCGTCGGGATCTTGGACTAGCTACGCCACGGAAAATGGTATATATTCTCACTGAGAAACGGTTATCAGGGTATGTGGGGTCTTTGTGTCGCGCGAGAACTGTATAGACATAGCTGAAGAGATGTGAATATCGCGAACGGGGATGCTGGACCCAGCTGTGTCGTAACGGTGCAGTCGAGCATGTATCCAGATTTCGCAGTGTATTTCAATAAGCGAATGTGATTGCCACGAAAGAAAACATGAGTGTACTGCGCTCTGAGCAAAAATGCAGCATGTCGGACTCAGAATATCTGATCATGAAATCTCAATGTGCCAGAGTGTAGAAATCCACGATCAGCCCCCAATCACACGAACTCGCCAAGATCCCAACAACCAACACAGCGAAACCATATTCATACACGGCTTTGAGGGGTGAGCACAGGCATCTCGCGTTACTGCCCTTGAATTGCTACACTCCGGCGATCAGTTTCTTCGGGTCCACTCGCTACACTAGCGCACTGCTGCCGTACTAGCGGGTGGTGCCACTACTGACCGGTCTTCTCGCAGCTTATCCAAAGATGCTGTCTTTCGGGATGTGGTTCGCAGCAAGATTGTCAGGGCCATGTGTAATACGAGCTAGCAGCACGTTGCTGGAAGGGGAAGTCAAGATTGTGGCGCTTATGGGGCGGAATTTACCGTTTGGACTCAGTCTTGGTGTTGAGGCGAGAGTATGGTGGACTGTGCTGCGTCGAAAAGGTCCTCTCAAATAATACAGTCTACTCGAGTGGCATATCTTTTGCCAGGGGGGACTGCATCTTTTGGGTGCAGCGTGCTGGTGTGATGAAACAGGTTCACGATCAATCATGCGGGGTCTTGGTGGCTCGCATCGGGGGTTTTAGAGGATGGTTCTCATCTATCTCTTTGCCTCAACACTTCAGACTTTGTCAGTAGACTAGGAGTGTGCATCTGATCTGACGCGGTACTACACATATCTTGAGCGGCGATAGTGCATAGCTAATCCATCAGAACACGAGCTGATGTGATGTTGAATTTCCAGCAAGCGTAAATTGGCGCGGAGCTAATGAAGGATGATCTATGTTACTACTATCCTGGGCAACTTGACAACTGTTGTATTCAGCCGCTTTCTTCGCGAATTTAACAGGCTCATATCTGTTTGTAGGTGCACCAGTCAGGTTGCATCTTGTTCTGATTGTGTTACATTGGGCTATTATTACTGGAGGGCCGCAAATTCCACAGTCGTTTCATAATTACAGAATAAACAATTCTCAATAGCTCCTCTGTATAACCCTTCGTGTACATATAAACGAGATTTATCCACTACACAATTTCCACTGCATTATTACTCAAGATTCGGTCTCAGAAGAACTCTTGTTCGCAATCATGAACCTATGGTAATCCTCTATGAATTGATGGGCATAGTGATCCTTGATTATAATTGTATCAGCGTCGGAAACAGCAGGAACATTAGTAATATTCCCTTGTAGATATTTGATGATCTGCATATCGTCCTTCAACCCTTTCCAGTGCTCTTTGTAGTGCTGGGCGATGATTTTGAACAGCTCAAGATCCGATATCCAATAGTCGTTGACTTTGCAGAGTTCAAGAATTTTTTCGGTTTCCGCTCGCTTAAACCATTTTGAGAATGAAGACGTCGTCTCAACATCGCAGAATTGAGGATTCGTTTCGGTCTTAGCTAAAGCTTGCATCGACCCGTTGAATAGAGGAGAAAACTTCGTCTTAACATCGCCCAGACCGTTTCCAGAAACAACGTTGAGGTCAAACAGCGTTTTATTGAGGTTTTGGAGTCCATTGTTCAACGCAGCAGTAGCGCTGTAGAGTGGCTTGAAATCCACCTTTAAAGGTCCAAGGTGCTGAATAAATTGCTTCACGAGAAACTGTCTTTCTTCAAGTCGTTCGATTCCTGGGTAGATCGGCACTGGACGTGGCGTATTGTTGAATTGACGGAGAGTAAACAGTACATGATCCTTTCCTGCGGTGACGTTCCGGTCGAAGTCTTTTAAAAACCTACATCAACGCCCGGAATTAGCCTCCGCGACCCATGAACATATTGAACAATTCTTTTGAGGCAGACATACCCATAGAATGAATCGACTGCTTGTGCAGCTTCGTAAAGTCTATCCGCTAGCTTTCCATTGCTATCCGAGTCGTTTCTTCGTACGCGGATCGCGAGCCTTTCCAAGGCCTGCCGACCATTTTGATACGTAGCTGTATAGTTCGATAAATCGGGAATCTCATTGAAATCTCCGATGAGACATTTCAACGGATCGTTAATGTGAATTGCGTTGATTCTTTGGACGGGACAGATGTACGACATTTGGCCAAGCTGACGGACTATTGGAGCCCTGCACGAGCCCGGAGCGAAGTATGTTATTGCCACCAACCAAGCCAATGTAGTTAGAATCCCAGATATAAGCCATTCAAACGTGAGGTAGCTCCTGGGGAGCTGTTTGTGTCGACGCTTGCGTGGATAGTATGGGCCATCAGCTTCGTGGGGTCTCTGGTCGATGCTTTGCTTTCTGGCTAGGCCCGCCCCGGAGTAGGTTGAATGGCTTATGGGGACATATCTAGGATATTTGCTGTCCAGCTCGTAAACAACCCTGTTTTTATCGTTTTCTCGCTGTCCTGTATTGCTGCGACGGGCCAAATTCTGAGCGCGCGACATCTTGTATACAACTAGAAGAATATGCGCTGCTTGCGCGAGCCGGGCGTGAAACTAGGTTGAATAGATCTTATGGGGTTATCCGGGAGCGTGCGTTAAAGTTATCTGACTCCTGTTCTTTCATGTATGTGAGTCTTCTTTGTCTTGGGCAAACATCATCCGCCCTAGGACAGAAACAGCGCCCTACTGTCTATATTCAGTTGTGTTGCATCGGCTTTCAATGAAATCACAAGATGACTGTATTTTCAGAACGAATGCAGAAAGTGAAGAGCTTGGCGTCGTGCATCTCTGACCACTGGAAGTGAACACTGAGGTGGAGTGTATTACCGTTATTTCGACACACCCTGTGAATCGAGACGATAACCCACCCTATGAATCTCTCATTCAAAAACCACATTTTCTTTCCCATCAAAGATATATACCGATCTAATTTGTGCCGCCAGGGCGCTTGGTGCACTCCGGCGTCTTCAATTGAATCACGTGACGTTCAGCATGGAAGTTACATGGGTCGCTGCAGAATTGCTTAAGGGGAAGTCGCGGCGCAACATAAGAATAAAGCTCCTTCGTTAGCCCATTCGATCATGGGAATGCTCCCAGGATAACAGAAACGGTACCAAATTCGTGTCGTTGATCCCCTGTGTGGAGGCGGCATTATTCACGATGGTGGAAGCAGCACAAAGAACCAGCAATGTGCAAGTCTCCACGTTCTGGGAGCTGTGATCATAATTCGTTCATTTTAACCGTGCCGTAAACTCCAGAATTCCCAAATTTGTAAAACCCCGTGGCTGGAGTATCATGCTTGCCAATCGGGCGTATATACATTCGACACATCAAACTTACTTCAACACATATACAAAATCCACCCTGCCTCATCAGAGGAACATTCACATTTTCGACGTCCGAGTCGCATTTTGAATCTCCCTCATGCTTGTTCCATGGATGCTTCCTGTCTTGCGCGCTTCTTTTCCCTTCTCCTTACAGTAGGCCTGATGGTCCCTGGCAAGCGGAGGAAAGACGGCTCAGGCTCTGGTGCTCTGACAGCCAACTGATTGCATGCGTTGTTAGCTTTATACTTTCCGTACATATAGTCAGATACCTACGTTTTCTGTGTTGATATTCGTAGACGGGGTAGGGGAGGCCAGAATTGGTTGCGCAGTAAGCAAACCGAAGAGGAAAGTCGAAGCTACGGATGTGAAACGCATGATGATGGTTGGTGTGAATGGACGCTGGCACGCAGGCAAATGTTACTTGGGAGTGCTGATGCGATACGATAGTGATGAACACAGAAAATTGCAAAGGCTTGGTACCAGACCGAAGATATCAAGAACTGAAATGTAAGGTGGTGGTATGAAGAGGTGTGTCTCCCAGAGATGGACAATGTTTGGACGACGGGAAGGCCGCCTTATAACAGAAACAATGTCTATTTTAGTTCATCAGGGAGGTTGTCCGCAATAAGTCATAGTCATGCGAAAACAGTGCAACGCATGTACTCGAAACTCTGGCTGCATGTCGCCATGGCCCAGTCAAGACGAAATAACATCATCGATAATGGCAAGGTGATGTGATTGCGGATACATGTGTCTCATTTAGGTGGAAAAGACGGGCGCTAAGCCCGTATGTCATTGGTGGTCAGCAAACAGCGTTTCGACACCAGGCGCTTCAAAGCTGAAGATCGCTCCAAGTAAAGACAGCCGGCCGCGTGACTAATCGGCGTGAAACATTGTCGGAAATGTGGGTCCGGACAAAACAAATTCAGAGGGTACATTCCGAAGCATAACCTGACATAGCACGGAATTTCAAACAAAGTGTTCGAAACAAGGGTCCTCTTTACAGTTGATTGACTGCGACAAGAAACAATATGTGATTCATCCAAGCGACTTGGGTGGAGGCAACCCCACTTTAACCTGTCATGCGAACGATGTGCGACGGACACAGTCGCACATTGATCGGAGACAATTGCGACAGGCTGTGACAGCTTTATCTCCGACGTCCAGCAACAGGCAAGATGCTGTACAATTAACCTGCAATGCGCAACTTCTTTCATATATCAGTTCGTCTTCGGCTTTTTCGAAGAGCGTGTATGTGCAAGTAAACTTCGTAAAAGAAACAAAAAGCCCTATGCTCATGAGGAAAGAGAGGGAACCATCCACAAAATGAAAGTGATACTTTTGGCCCCATGTCAATGTGTCAGATCGTGCGCAGTAGAACAATGCAAAAGCTGGGCGAAATGCAGAGAGTCACACAACCGTCGCGCTTCTATAAATACAGATATATCAAATAACTCCACGAATGCATGATTCGTTAATGTTTCCCCGTCGCGACTCCCCAGAAGTACGCGCACCAGCTCCCGCAAGTAAGAACCAGCAAAGCTACAAAACATCCCAAGGAGATTGTCCTGCTAATCTTACTACCCTTGTCGAAAACCTCTTTCCTATCAATCAGGATATTCCTACGGGTAATGCGCAACTTGCGCGACCACTGCAGCTGGCGAAGGTCAACAAATTTCCATGATAGACCCAATAAGGCAATCGACACTGCGACGGCCGCTCCTACTAAGGCGACATATACTATCGTCACGCGGTCATAGGAGTTTTTGTCGTGATCTTGAATGACACCAGTGACTATTCGAACAATGATGTTCATGCTGTCATTCGAGTCAGTCGTGCCTCTAGTAGTTCGTCGTCGGCGTTCAACTTACGCATTGTTCATGGTGATTTTGAGAGCGTAAGCGGTTCCAAAAACAGATGAATCGAACATAGAAGTCCGAATACTGTCAATGATGGGAGTGGGGCCCAAGTTCACTGCAAAGGCGAAAACGCCAAAGCTCGCTGCCGTGCCTTGAACAGTGTTTGCGAAGCATACCAATGACATGGCTAAGAACATTAGGATACCGCAGACAGCCAATGCTGTAATGCGCTGTCCAAGAAGGTCTATGAAGACCCCCAAAAGGGGAACGAAGAAGAAGCCTGGATCTCGGTAAGTTCATTTCCGGGCAAGGTATAAACTCGGAATACCTACCAGCATATTGTGCAGTAGCAGAGTACCATGCTGCTACGATGGAAGTGGTTCCAAATCGCTGCTCAGCCAATTCCGTCGCGTTTTGTAGAAAGACAATGGAAGCGCTAGTCTGGAACATCGAGAAGGCCATGACGGCCCAAAATGTCCATGGCAGCTGCAAGACTTTACGTAGTTCAAGTTTCTTAGACTTTTCCGCTAGTTGTTCGCCCGTCGCAGGATCAACGGTACCCTGAAATCTCTTGTTGGCTATCCTCGTGAACCAGTAAAACAGAACCGTCATCACGTTGGTGAATAGATTCATAAACACCGCAATCCAGAACACCCACGCGAAATCGCCCGTTCGCTTCGCGATGATGTTGGCTGAAGACTTTCCAGCAAACGCACCGATTTTCCCAATTCCCAGTTCAAAACCCAAAGTCGATGCGAACCCGTTTCCAGGTGCGAACCAGGAAGAAAACACTTTGTATTGAGCGACCTGGGTGGCGATATCTCCAAGAGCGCGGATGACTCGTCCGCCGATCATGAACTTGTACGATCGAGTCTGTGCCGCCCCTGCAACAAGAATTGATCCCACGGAATAAATTATATTACCGTAAAGAATGGCATCTGTTCTCATGTTAGCTGCTTGAATCTAATCAAACAACACTAGTTCTTACTCGCGCCGCCAATCCTATCAGTAACCACGCCACTGAACAGCATCAACACCGTCACCATGAAATCCTCGCTAGCTTCCAGCAATGCAAACTGCTTGTTGTTGACCTTCATCTCTTTCTTGATAGTACTCTTCATAGCGGACGTAATGCCAGAACTCCACTGGGATCCAAACCCGATTGCGGTAACGAGGACAATTGCCATGAGTTTCCAACGAAGTGGTGGTGATTCCAGACCCTCAACTGAGCCTTCACTTCCATTTCCATTGCGGACCGTTACAGCAGCGTTTGTTTTGTCCTTATCGTCGTCTGCCAATCCTGGAGTGGTATCCGGTATCCGGTTAGTTGATTCCATGATAGCTTGCGAGGACAGCGAAGTTCGAAACTATACTGGAGCTACTTGTAGGTTTCGAGGATTTTCTAAGAGACCGTGAAGAAAAATTGATCTCTTTACGATGCCAGCCAAGAGAGAGGAAAGATGTCGGAACGTAAGCAGACACGCAAGTGATCACAAGAGGTATAAGAGCAAACTCGAGAAGGGGGACACATGCATCTGATAAGACAGATTAGCACCATCTGATAAAATTTTCACTGGGACGGTCTAACGGACAGAAGAGTGCATAGAGGATAGCTTCGGGCTGCTAGTCTAGTCCTGGGAAAGTGTGGTGGACATCAAGGTCAAAGCGTATTGATAGTGCGGGGATACTCCTTCTTGGAGTTGACCGTCACGCAGCACTGAACACCATTCTCAAATAACTTTTTGCAGCAGAATTTCGATATTTAGCTTGATATTGGTTGCAGTACAGGAATCGGTGACAGTATTGTGACGATAATAAGAATTTGGGGTGTACATGATGAGAACGCGCTTTCGGGCCGTTTATGTATTCTGGTGTCTTAAGGTGGGTCATTGAGATATTCAATTGCTTGGCCTCCGCCTAAAGCACATGTCATAGAAATCATCCACAATGGCATAATGAGAATAAGATTCGTTGACATACTATCAGTCATCAGGTTTCGGTACCAAGGTCCAAATATGGGTCTTTGGCTGTTTAGTGGTGAAACGAGGTGTCACGAAGCCATTCTTGAACTCGACATCGCGCATGCACCACTAGACCAGCGAGAGTTCTTTATTCGTGTGCGATTCATTTATACAGTGACCAAGTTTCGAGGCCTCTTCAGCGAAGCAGTCCGCATCACATGAAAGACACCACGCAGTGTTATGACCATTCAAATTTCTCACGGACATCCCCAAGTAATCATAGCAACATAGGATTTTTTCAAAATAAATCTGCGAACATTGAACAAATGATGGCGCACAAACAGGTATTGCAAAGCCCTACCACCCATAATGATCCTGACAGCCTTTGCCATCCTCATACAGAGATTCGGATGCTTGGTGCGCAGGGAATCTGGTGTGATGGAATGTCGCGCAGTCAACAATTGGCTGAGCACGCAGAGTTTCTACCATCATGTCTTATCAAAAGGAACGTCGGGATCTCTGGACATACATTTAGCCTACTCTCATTTTGCAGAAGAATCTATTCTACGGCGCGATCATGACATCATGCTGTTGCCACCATAAACCAAGAACAATGTTTTCTTCTACAATTGAGGGGACGTCATCTAGAAATGACATCGCAAGGACCCTTGACAACCAAATTACCCGAAGTTCTATCTTTGGTGACGTAAGATATTGCAGAGAACGACTAGTTTAGTAAACGGGAAGATGGTCGCTATGATATCCATTAAATGCGAGCATCGTTCCCGTCTCTACGAAAGTCCGGATAGCTACTAACGTTTCTTTGTCTTTCTCAGAAAACTGGTGCTGTTTCAACACAAGGTGAGCTTACTACGTCATGGTTGCCATTCCCTTTTGTGTTTCCCTTCGCTTGGTCCTGCATTTTGTCTTTCGCGGAATTCCGCATCGAATCACATGGTACACCTCATTTGTTTCCTGGTATCTCATTACGATGGGGCTGTGGTTGGCCGACACAAACTCGGTGCACTTCCCTATCCAATCTATTAAACTATGCGGCGCAGATTGTGCCAGCCAACAGCACCTGGGTAGATTGTCAAACATGTTCCAATCGTGCAGTAATCAAACAAACACCAAATCAACAAACTTATAATCCAAATATGGGAACAATCGCGTAACGCTGAATACGATATATAAACCAACACATAAGTTCGCTACTCCTGTCTGGATAACCCTCCGGCCCTCAAAATGAACTCCCCAAAGGCAGTCCAAGAAGTTAGTGGTCATTACTACATCCGGATCCATGTGATCACCGACAAGAATCCGGATCATGATCACCAAATATCTGCAGGCTATCGAAACCCAACACTACCGAGTGATCGAGGGTCCAAAAATAGACACAGACCATTAGATCGAAGAAGAATTTGACAGAAGAAAGATGGAACATCTTGGGGAGAAAAGAACAAAAAAGACGTCCGATGAAGACACCCGGCACACACACACTAACTCCGGAGACACAAAAGCCAGCAAACCTCCCTGTGGTCGACCCGAGGTTATATTATGGTTTTCAAACGCCCTATAAGCAAGTAATCACCCAATTTCATCTCGCTTGGTCAACATTGGGCACTCCAGATTGAATCGACTGTTATATATCATGAATCGTACAAAGCAATGATCTGCTTTATTCAGGGGTGTGATAATAGCGATATAAACGAGAATAAAATACCTGTATACAGCGAAACCACCGCCTGTGTTATCTTGGTACGTACTTTAAGATAAACGCGAAGGCTTCAAGATGCGATTAGCGTGCGGCTCTACGATGTTAGCGAACAAAAGGTGTGTTAGTAGCATTGACGAACAATGCTCTCTCAGGAGCATCAATGTTGCTTTTACTGTAACTACAACATTAATAACTGTCTCTACTACTACCTCTTCATCTGATAAACTCAAGTACTATCAACTTCGAGCTCTATCCACCTTGGCCAAACTCGACCACGATCAATTCCAACCTCATCAAAACTCATATCAACTCAACTCAACCTTCGGCCACACCAACCACAATCCACGATGACTACTCGAAGCTCAAGCCGAGCTCCCCTGCGCAAGCCGCTAAAGAAGAGGGACTCTAAACCCAAGGGTCAAGAGCAGACAAGCACCGAGCCGCAAACTGTCCAGTCCTTCCCCTTCATGCGTCTTCCCCTAGAACTGCGGTACATGGTATACGATCACCTACAAGTCATTCACACCCAGCATCACCGAGTTGTGAAGAATATGGATCCTCGAAAAGTAGTGGCTCGGTCCTACAAGAGACCCCAACCAAAACCTACTCAGATTGTTCTAGTAGTCCGGTCGCTACCGATAGTCAATCTCCTCCCTGTCTCGCGACAAATTAACGCAGAGGTTCAGACCATCCTCCGCCGGGATATCCATTATTCTCTAATGGCTGAAAATGTACGACTAATTAAGCACCACGGCTGTATCGAGGACTTCCATTTCTGGGCCTGCGAATATTTCTATAGGCGACTCAATGCTGGGCGATATATAGCGGAAGACATCTCACACGTTCAGGACCATCCCTTATTCAGGGTGTGGCTGGCCAAGTTTAAGCTCAGTTACCACCAGAGCAACGAGGCTAATATCATCGACACCCGGACTTTGTTCAATGGAGAATGGTTGCCGAGTATTGAGGGAAGCGGAGGCTGGGAGGAGGATCCGAAGAAAGGCAAGAGGCACTAATCGACTTTTGGGCAGATTGTGTCCATTGGTATCGATCGGCACAATCAGACCATTGACTGCTCTCTGCGAACGTTGACTCTCAGCCTACTATAGATTTTCGATATCTTCGTATCATGTTTTATATATTTACCATGTAATCGAGTCGATCTTGATGGATGTGTTGTGGTTTGAGCCTAACCCGCACTCGGCTATCTAGATGTATGAATTGATCAATTGTGTGGTATCACGAAGGTTGTACTGTATGCCAGCTAGGATGATCGGACAAATTGCTATATCGTTGTGCTTCTCCGGTTTCCAGATCCTTTAAGTTGGAACATGTTCATACCATGACCACACCAATATACTCCTTGTATATACAAATTTAGATGTGATTCTGAACTCAGAACTATATATTTTAACAATGATTTCACCCATGTACGAAAGCGTGCGGCTCCACGTGTGTAGTGAATGAACAGTGTTAGCAACGTGCACTAACAATGCCTTCTTGGCGTTGCTCTCACCGCATCGCCTCTTCCATGTAAATTCTTCAACTGCGACCACGCTTTTCCTCTACCACTACCACGATTTACATCAACCACAACCGAGTTCTATCAAGCTCTACGAATCTCAACTCTCATTACAAATTACTTCCAAGAACATTGACTCCAACTACAATGAACGCCAAACCCGACAATCTTGCTGGGCAGTCCTCAAAGACAACCCCAGAAAACATGCAAGTCGCCATGATTAAGCGACGCAAGAGGGATAACGACAATCCCGAAGCCTCCAGCAGCGGCATGGACGGGTCAGGAGACGATAATCCCCAAGAAGACAAGTCAGAAGAGGTTAAGCCATTCCTGCTGATGAAGCTGCCTCTCGAACTTCGATTCATGGTGTACGATTACCTCCAGGAAATTCACACCCAACACCATCGAATCGTGAAGATCACCGATCCTCGACCGGGTGTAAAGACTCGGGCATACAAAGGACCACGAACGGTAACGACGCAAATACTTGCAGTAGTGCGATCGCTACCAATTGTGAATCTCTTGTCCGTGTCCCGACAAATCAACCTGGAGGTCAAGAAGGTGTTGAGAAAGGAACTCTACGACACCATGAAGAGAGAGCCAATCCGCCTTCTGCACGAGCTCCGCGCAGACGACCTTCGCGCCCCGCTGATCACACAGCCAAACGTCATGGGAGACTTCCTCCACATCCTCGAACGTGGGAAGTTCAATGCTGCGAACATCTTGCATGTGCAAGACCATCCTCTGTGGCGAGTGTGGATGGCCAAGATGGAACAGGTACACCTGGTCCGTGACGTGCGCCCTAGCGACATGTACGAAACCCGTCTCGTTTGCTATGACACGATTGATCCCGGCGCGCAACAAGCTGAGATGCGTGACTTTCTCATGCAAGTCTATAGACAATTCTGTCTATGGGGGAGATCCTATCATAGGCTCACTCGATCCCCGCGAGGAGTGACAGCGGAGTCCAATCTACTGACTCGGCTGCCAATCAATCTCCGGGGGTCTTTCCAGGATCCGGAATGGATAGACGGCTGGCAAGAGAACTAGATCTAGGATCTAGCTGTGAGACTGGGGCAACTAGAAGTTTCTTCCGCTGAATACAAAGTCTCTGCAGTCTGTTTATTGGGCTTTTCAGATCCTGTTGCGGGGAGACCATGCGCTCTGGTCAACGGAAATCTCATAATTGTTTCTGTGGGATGGTTACATGACCGATCCTCCAATATTAAATATATCAAATGTCAATGGATATCTACCAAATTCGATTAGTATAATTCGTGCAGACATTCTTTGAAGTGACGGGTACCACCGAGTGTTACCTGCTGAGTGAGCACTGAAGTAAAACATGTTCTGAAAGTTGGTGTAGTGACGGGTACAGACGAGTTCTAGACCTTTCCGGGGAACAACCGACAGCTATTTGGTTCATTTATTTTTATTAACCCATCGCTGTGTGTATGATCACTCCCACTCTAACCTACAATCTATATCCATTCAATGGCCAGGCGTGGTCGGACGATGAGAAAATATGTAAGAGGCTCCAGTCGGGGTTTAGGCACACTGTCGTTCAACCATAATCGGCATAAATCAATCATGGTTTTCTTTGCTACATGTATATATTGCTATCAATCACTTCTTTTTTTCTGTATATATCTACCGTGCAATCGATCAAGATTCAAATTATTATGGAGTACTGGAATTTAGGAACTCATGAGCTACATGTCATCACGTGGAAAGTGTCTTTATTTGCTGAAGCTTCTTAAGCAAATTGCAGTATTGTATTTATGCCTACGCCGAATCTTGTTGATCGCAAGTCTCCCCACATCCACAAGTTCTTTATATACATACAAATGAAGATGCAGTTCTAACACTCGAAATTGATTGTCTACGTAAAGAAATTAGGAGGAGAAGACAAAAAAGAGACTCGATCTAGAAAGAGGGCATGCGGAAGCTGGCATCCCCTAGATCTTCCTCTCATCCTCCTCCCAATTCTCCTGCCACTCCGCGTCCTCGACCAAGCAATCCACCAACGCCTCTCCCGAATCCCGCGTGATCCACCTGAACAATTCAGGGATTGCACTCGTCCCTCCAACCCAACCTAGCCGCTCCGGGCGCCTCAAGTCGTGGAGGTTCCCCATCGCCGTTTCAGACACCTCGGCCATCGCTTCAGCGCGCCTAGACGCCCCACTGGAGGTTTCTCGGAAGAGCTGACGAATTGCGATCTGTGAGTCCTTGGCTTGGGTACCGTGGAGGGCGCGGTTATGGCGGATCTTTGCGAGCCAAATGGTGAGCAGAGGATGCTGCTGTACTCGATGCAGGTTTTGTGGTTCGTACGCTGCCCGGCCGAGGGTATTTAGAAAAGCCTGCAGCCACCATTTGCAGAAGGTATTATTGAATTTGTCCTCGAGAATGAGACGTGGAGGCTCTGCTTCCAGGGCTTGTAGCTTCGGTGCTGCCTTCTTGCTTCGGAGGTGCTCCGCGACTTCCATTTGGACCTGCTTGCAGGTGCTCAGGAGGTTCACTACTGGGAGTGAACGGACTACGATCAGGAGATTGCTCGGAGTGGGCTGAGGACCCTGGTAAGAGCGGGTTCTGGGGCCCGGTCGATCGAGGATGCTGACCACACGGTGATGTTTGGTGTGGACTTCGGTGAGCTCGTCATATATCATGTACCGGAGCTCGAGGGGGAGATCGAGAAGACGAGACGGTTGGGGCTGCATGCTGGCAGCGGTGACCGATGGAGGTGACGACATTCCTTTGCAGGAGAAGAGATGTTTCAGTTTTGGAAGTGGGTGGTAAATTCTTCGAGAGTAGAGGAGTAGTGTTGAGAAGATAAAGCTACTTTGCTCTGGAGCGAAGTTTATGTGTAGTGGGTAATGTAAGCGGTAGCTGGTCGAAGTTGAAGTGAGTAGTCGTACTTGTGGTAGAGAAGTCCAGTACCTTGTGAGAAGGAGAAGACTAAATAAATACGAATTACAACTTGGTTAACACTTGACGATGTGGATGTACCTAGCGCATTATAACTAACAATGCTCTAGAGCAGTAAGTAGTGAACTGCCTGAAGCTAGTACGTTGAGTGAAAACAACGCGCACGTGATCCATTTATCGCAAATCGTCAACGACCATTCATTGGGCTACCACAGTTTCGTTGAAGCCAAACCTTGGAGAACTATAAGGTTGATTATAGCGGAGACTAGAGCATGGCGAATCACTGAGAAGGGGATGGAATATGTCTCCCAAGCAAACTGCGATGTAAATGTAGAGCAACCTTGCGTACGAAAGACTGCCGCAGTAGCCAAACCGTAACTCTGCAGGCTCAAATCACCTACTTGCTCACTCCCCTAGAATCTTTCCAAATCTTCCTTTTGCTTTAAATTCAACTTTACAACTGGTAGCTCCTGAACCTACCAAGTGCGGCACGCGCATAGATTTGATATATAAAAGTTAGGCTTAATCCCTTGTAAAAGAGCGTCAAGGACACATCACTGTTCAATCTCACAAACAAATAACAAGAAAGTGATGGAGAGATGGTACCATGAATCTCTATATATTGTTTTTCTATATGGTCTGTTCTCCAATCTACACAGATTGACAAGGAAGGATGGAAGGGGACGATGCTATAATATACGATGAGAAGTCAATACACATATACCACACCCACCCCCAATCTTTCTTCGTCTGATCAATATTTACTATTGCGACGTAGCTATATGTAATGCGCTTCATGGTATGCAGATGTGAAGGAATGATCAAGTTCACGCAATGACATTAATCTCCTCCCCAGCAACCCACGCCTCGACCGTATCCTTCAGGATTCCACCCAGATTCACCAACGTCCGCTGCGCAAACCATGCCAGGTGTGGACTGACAGTGATATTCAACGCTTTTGCGTCGTCGCTCAAGAGGGGGCTATCCTGCGCTCCCTCGGCGGGTTCCACAGCCAGCACATCGGTAGCATATCCTGCGATGGTGCCGGACTGCAGGGCGGAAAAGACGGCATGCTCGTCGACGATACCGCCACGCGCAATGTTCACGACGACGGCGTAGGGGTGCATCTGTGCGAATTCTGGGGTGGATAGGAGAGAAAGGGTGGAAGGGGTGCGGGGGAGGGAGATGATGAGGAGGGTAGCGCGACGCAGGACATCGGGGAAAGGGGTACGAGGTGGGTCTTCTGGGTTTGAAGGGGCTGTGGCAGCGGGAGGGAGGAGAGAATTCACGTTATCAGTTGGGGAAGAGGTAGAAGAAGGGGGTTTCCTCGCGGCAACAAGGACCTGCATGCCTAGAGCTCGACCGAGACTCGCAATGCTCTTCCCCAGCGCGCCGTAGCCGACGATGCCCATGACCTCGTCTTTACACGACAACGGCGGTTTTCCATCTTTGTAGCGCATGTAGGTATTGAGGCTGCGATTGGCCTTCCATTGGCTGGGGACTTCGCGGGTGAGGCGATCGAGCAGGACGGTGCGGCGACGAGCGGCGAAGTAGAGGCTGATTGCGTGTTCGCTGACGGCGTCTATGTTTGCGGCCGGGCAGTTTGTCACGCGAATGCCACGGGCCTTGCAGGTGGCGAGATGGACAAGGTCGGTGCCTGTGGCCATGACGGCGACGAGGCGGAGGTGCGGCGCGACATCTGCGGAGAGGGTTTCTGGATCAAGAGTGATGGTTGTGACGATGACAATGGTGGCTTCGCGGATGCGGGCGTGCAGCAGGTCGCGAGTGGGCGTTGTATCGTGGGTTATTAGGTCGTAGGTGGCGCCGGGGCCAAAGTCGAAGGCGGAAGGGAGGGGCTGGTGGATACGCTCGAGGGCGACGATGCGGTGGTGCATTGCCATTGGGATGCCTTTTTTTTTTCTCTTCTATTTTTTGTGCAGAATTAATTCTCATGCAATCAAAGTTTGGTCCGGCTTGGGGTTAGAATGGCGGGCCGGACGGCTGGTGCGATGCTTGGAGGAGACTGGCGTTGAAGTGGGTGTGGGTCTAGAGGATAGTGGGATGGACGGAGACGGGCAGTGTGAGAAGACGATGAGGGATAATTAAAGGGCGAGTTAGTAGATTGGGGGTTATGGGGGCGGGTGTTTCGTCCTTTTATAGACGTGGATACTGGTAGACACGACGCTGGGTGACATGAGGGGGGTGATGGCAGTAGCAGCGAGAAGGAACGACATGTACATGTATAGGGCGTGGATGGATGCAGTGAGGTAGTCTGTGGTAGTAGCAGGCCGTCTTGTTAAGCGGGTGTCGTGGGTCGCAATGCGATGACTAAGTTGCGCCTAGCCCCTTTCATCCGATGTCCCGTGATCTCTGTCATCAACTTTTGGAATCTGATCATCGAACCCCATCGACTACTCGTACAAATCTAGGTACCTAGGTAGTATGGATATGCAGCTGAGGTGGTATCGGAGGCCTTGGAGCATCGTGAAACTGATATACGAGAAAACCGGCTAGAGTTTGAGTCGAGGGTGGCTGGTCCTGTTCCTGTTTGGGAAACATCAAGGCGAGAACAAATCCAAAACATTGACATAGACAGTAATGTAACAGGAGGCAAAACAAAAGGTCAAAGTCAAAGTACCATACTGGACATGGGTAGCATTGCAAAATGGACTTACAGGTGCTACAGATGGCCTACAGCCGACGACATGCGTGCTGAGTACCCTAGTAGCGGCCGCCTCCAGCGCCCGTTAGTTGGAAAGCTGCAACGGAGACAGACAGCAGAAGAAAAAAATCTCATTCGCTGACGGCTGGCAATCCAATCAACGCCATGACGCTACCAGGAATGCGCCAAATTAGACTTTGGTGCCTGTTTTTTTGGGGAAGCGGATGCCGGGGCAAAATCCTTCCTTGCTAGGCTCGAAGACACCAACAGCGACTTGTGAAGATAGCAATCTGCTGAGTGACGGACACCACGCAAAGAATGTCAACGCCAAGGTCGGTAAGCCGTGAGGATGCATTGATTTCACCCCATGCGCAGATATACCCAGTATATGCACATCCAGTGTACTGAGTGCCCAGGTACCTAGGTATGTATCCCATGTCGGCATGTCCGCAGCTCAGGCCTCCGAGCGCCCGGGTCAAGCAAGGGGTGGGCGTCTGGATGGGTAACATGTCACGTGTCTCCCTCGTGGCCTTGCCTTGCTTGACTTGAGCCGCAGCCCTAACGGGATGCGCACGAGGATCGATCGGATTCAATTCGACAAACATTATTATCTGATGTGCAGGTATTGCGACAGCGCCCATCAGGTGTTTGCTGCGCCGCTTCGCATCATCTGGTGGGCGTCAATCTCTGAATGTTGATGGCAGTCGAGTCTGACGTCACTTGGCAAAAGACAACCAGCACACATACACAGTAGGTACAATATCAGCCATGCTATGCTTCTGCTGTTACGTGAGTGGAACCTCGGTCATCCCCCAATGGACAAATACAAACGAGAAGAATCAAACTGTCGGCCCTTTTCTTGTGGCTCCATCTGCCTCCGCCTCAACATTCGTCCAGCCCGACTTCTATAGAGACACGCTCTAGTCCCATTTCGGCCTAGCCCACCGGACCCGCCAAGTGCTTAACGCGCTCCTCATCAGGGTTTTTTGTGGGTTGGACCTTCCTAAATTCTGGTAGTCGGGGGTGGCCCTTGCCCATTGGCCCCTCCCTGACGTCCGTTCCTTCCCCCCCCCCCATGCCCTGCACCTGCCGGCCGCAGAGGCCCACGCGATCTAAATCTCTGAGCGACCCAAGATGGATCAAACCTCATCCAGCTATCCGTCCCATCTCTCCTCCTCCTCCTCCTCTTCTTCTACAACCACCACCGCTACCCCTTCTCCCCCCCTTCTCGCTGCGCCCTGCCCCCTCCTCAAACTCTCCCGTATAATATAATTCTACGCGAGCCTCTCTTCCCCCCGGCTTCTCAGCATCCTCTCTTTTTTCCTCCCCTTCTCACCCCTCCCTTCCCTCCTCTTTCGCGGCGCTGTTGCTTGTTACTGCTCTGTCTTTTTTCACTCACTCTCACTCTCTCTCGTTCTTATAATCAATTCTTACCCGCCCCCACCAACCTGTCGCGTCAGTACTTCATGATCTAGACTGTGTATACTGTTATACATTTGTGAAGAAACCCCAACAGCAACAACAATGGCCGACCCTTCTCCTAGCGGTATGCAGTCAGACGCCTACGCCGCGGACCACGGCCACTCCTTACAGCACCGCAATGTCAACAAGGAAAGGAAGCTGAGCATTGGCGCAAAACCCTCGCACGACGACGGCGAGGTGGTGGCCGCCGACGACCTTCTCGAAGCCATGGGCTACAAATCCGAACTGGTTCGCAATCGCTCCACCCTTCAAGTCGCCTTCATGTCCTTCGTCCTGGCCTCCATCCCTTACGGTCTCTCCACAACCATGGTTTACCCCATGATTGGCGGCGGTCCTGCCAACATCATCTGGGGATGGTTCGGTGTATCGCTCATTATCCTCTGCGTAGCCGCTAGTCTTGGCGAGATCACCAGCGTCTATCCTACTTCGGGTGGTGTCTACTATCAGACCTGGATGCTTTCGGCTCCTTCCTACAGGAAGATTGTCTCGTGGATTTGCGGCTGGTCTTTTGTCGTCGGCAACATCACCATTACCCTCGCCGTCAACTTCGGTACCGCCTTGTTTCTTACCGCCTGCATCAATGTCTTCGAGAGCGTCCCTGCCACCGAAACCGAGCCCGCCGTGGGTATTTTCGAAGGCTCTGCCTGGCAGGTCTACCTCATCTTCCTCGCCATTACCATTGTCTGCAACTTGGTGTCTGCCTATGGTAACAAGTGGCTTCCGTGGTTGGATGTGAGACATGCCCCTTGCCGCCTTTGCGTCACCAACCCTTCTTTGACCCGTTACTTACTCGTGCTAGACTTTTGCCATCTTCTGGACTTTTGCTGGTGTCATTTGCATCGTCATTTGTGTGCTCGCCATTGCCAAGGAAGGCCGCAACTCCGCCAAATTTGTCTTCACCGAATTCGACCCAAGCAACAGTGGATGGATACCCGGCTGGTCCTTTATGGTCGGTCTTCTGCAAGCAGCCTACGCGACATCTTCGACTGGAATGATCATCTCGTGAGCCTCCCTTCTGCCAGAGCGACAAACCCAATTTCTTTTGTACCCATGCGCCAAAATCTCCCAGAGCGACCACCTTCCCCCATTCCTCCCATTGCGCCAATCTCTGCCGCGGTAACGTCCCCCCTTAATGTAGTCTGATTGCTGACTATCTATAGTATGTGTGAAGAAGTTCAGCAACCCGCGACACAAGTGCCCAAGGCCATGGTCGGAACCATTCTTCTCAACATGTGCGCCGGTCTCTTCTTCATGATCCCCCTCATGTTTGTCATGCCCGACCAGGCCACTCTCGCCGCACTCGCATCCGGTCAACCCGTCCCTCCCATCATCAAGTCCGCCATCGGCTCTTCCGGAGGAACCATTGCTCTCCTCATTCCGCTCCTTGTCCTCGGCTTGTTCTGCGGTATTGGATGCACCACTGCGGCTTCGCGCTGCACCTGGGCTTTCGCTCGTGACGGTGCCATTCCCGGCTCTCAATGGTGGAAAACCGTCAACGTTGGCTTGGATGTCCCACTCAACGCCATGATGCTCAGTATGGGTGTGCAGATTATCCTCGGTCTCATCTATTTTGGATCGGCCGCTGCCTTCAACGCCTTCTCCGGTGTTGGTGTCATCTGTTTAACTCTGAGCTACGCTTGCCCAATCGCTGTGTCTTTACTCGGTGGTCGCAAGAAGATTGAGCACGGCAACTTCTATCTCGGAACCTTGGGTCTTTTCTGCAACGTGGTTGCTCTCTGTACGTGTCCTTATTCCCCCGTGCCGTGTGGTCGTCACTCCCGTCGATGTCGCTAATCAATACATCAATACAGCATGGTCCCTCCTCGCCATCCCGCTCTTCTGCATGCCCTCGGCCATTCCCGTCACCGCCGATCTCATGAACTATGCCTCAGTCGTATTCTTCGCCTTCTTCGTCATCGCTACCGCTTGGTGAGTTTGTTTAAATTTCCGAGGGGAGAAGAATTATCTAGAGTTCACAGTTGCTAACATTTCCCGCGTCTAGGTACTACGTCTGGGGCCGCAAGAACTACCAAGGTCCTCCCACGCAAGATGATGAGATTCTCCAGGCTCGCCGCTCCAGCGTCGTGAGCGCCGAGCACGGAAAAGTGTAATTTCAGGGCACCAGCCCTTGGAGATTATGTTCGTTCCATTTACTTTCAATATTAGACCTGTCTTACTTAGTAGGGATTTGTGATTTGCAGAGGGATTTTTGCCAAGATGAAAGAAACTACTTGTTTTGTATTGTATATATGCAACTTGAAAGATTTTGAACAAAACAAGCCTGATTTTGATGACAGTGAGTGAAGTGCGCAATATGTGATGCAGTGATATCCGATAGGATGTATAGATCTTTGTCCGTTGCAAAGAAGGATTATAGCTAAAGTAATGAAGTTCAACCATCTAAACCAACATCAACTGTCGTTTCTCTATACTTTGTTGCTAAGAATCATTATAAAATTATAGAAGCAAGCAAAAATAAAAAATAAAAGTAAAGGAAGGAGAGAAGTAGATTGAGGAGCAAGTCTAGAAAGGGGCAGAGAAAAAGTAAAATATAATATGTAAGATAAGTTAAGAAAAAAATCTAAAAGAAAAGAAAAGAATAAAATAGTAAAAGAAATTAAGTACACGCGTAGAAAGGAGACAGGGAAGAGTCTTATATTATTATTTATTATAGACCCTAAGTATGCTTTAAAGTTATAATTGTAGCTATAATAACTAGTAAAAGAAGAGTAAGAAGTTATAGATGTTACAGGTACATAGTAGAGAGTAGAGAGCAAGAGAAAATAGAAAAGAGGGGAGGGAAGTTGAGAGAAGGTGTGTAGGGAGTGTATATGTGTATGCATTTATGTGTGTGTGTGTTTATGAAAGAGTGAATTATTCCTCTTTGGCATTTCAGACGGAAGGTATGAACTTGACTACTAATTTCCTTCCCAGGAAAACTTATTCAAATCAGTGTGGCGTATGTATATACTATACGTCTCTTTCTCTTCAATAGATCAAAGTTCGTGAGAATAAGACGCGGTAAAAGAAACGTTTCGTCGTGTTCACGATATACGTGAGAGAAGCAAGTGTACGACAGTGAGGTCGGAAGCCCGAGATACAAACTACTACCCCACTGACGTACGACCCCGTCAACAGTTTTCCGCTTTACTTACCTAGCGGATATTCTTTCAGTGGTACCGATTGGCAGGAGCTTCGCTCCATCGTTCGATGCGGACAGGCATGACGTCAGAGCGACGTTTTGCGGTGCCTGGGGAGGTGAAAAAGCGTCTCAACGATTTACAAGTCGTGGTGCTTGGACAAACGAGAGGTACAACACTCTCTTGTCATTGAACTATCAGAGCATACGAGAACGAAGAGCAATTGACAGTGCGATTGAGGATTACTTGCACGACATGGCGCAAACCAGGAGCACACCGGCGCGGAATGTCATCGTCTCGGGCGGCGCGCGAGGGATCGGGCGAGCGATAGCACGGTATTTCCTCGAAGCGGGCCACCGCGTCTACATCTTCGACATCATGGAAGAAGAGCTCGAATATACGGTGAAGCAGCATCTCAAGAAGCACTACGACGCAGGACGCGTGCAATCGTCCGTCTGCAATCTGCGCGACGTTCAAGACATCCGCACCAAAGTCGACCAAGCGGCCAAGTTCCTGGATAACCGCATCGACGTGCTGATCAACAACGGCAGCATCGCGTCGCCGTACTGGAAAGATGGCAAGACCATGGAGGATCAGGCGACGTTTGAAGAGTGGCAGGCGTACATCGAGACGAATCTGACCAGTCCGTTTGCGACAAGTCAGGCGGCTATCCCGTATATGAAGACGGAGCAGAAGGATGCCGAGACGGGTGCGCAGAAGCTGGGAGGAGCTGGGCCTTGCATTATTAATATTGGGTCGTTTCGTGCGCTGCAGAGTGATCCAAACCAAGAGGGGTATGCTTCGAGTAAGGCTGGACAGCTTGGTTTGACGCATGCTATGGCGGTGAGTCGAACATTTCTTCGTTGAATATTGCGCAGAGCATTAGTCGTACAGTACTGATGATGGATTGTTCGTTTCAGGTCAGCTTGGGACATTTGGGAATCCGGGTCAATCTCGTTGCTCCTGGTCGAATAAAGGTGGCTCACGAATCGAGAGAAGGTGATGAGAAGGGGGAGAACTGGGAGAAGCAGGTCTCAGAAAAGGACGTCGACGACCACCCTGTCAACCGTGCAGGACGCCCACGAGACATTGCAGACGCCTGCTTGTATCTCATGGATGCTGCGTTTGTGACAGGTGTAAGTTTTGTTTCCCTATCTGACTGTGTTGAGCTGACAATCGCACAGCAAGACATTACCGTAGATGGAGGGGCATCGCGCCAGAAGTGAAGATGTGGTTGGGGTGGTTAGTGAATTTTTTTACAGTCGGTCTGATGAGAAAGTTGGATCATTCTTGGACGTCGCAAAAGTGAAGAAGTAACGATAGATGAAAAGACCAAGCAAAGGACCAAAAGTATGCCAAGGCGCTAAACCGGAATGATGTCACGGCCAAAAATGTAAAATCCAATATCCCGAGCCATATCCCGAAATCTCGGGCGCCTATTGTCTTGAGAATCAGGTATAATACAAAATTTGGCTATGAACCAGTATTAGTAGTGGCTTGGTGGTTCGAGAGTTCGTAAGGCTCAGCCCCATCGTTGTGTAAAATCACGGTTCGATCGTACGACAACCGATCCTTCACCAACGCCGCACAGACCCCTGCTTAGTTCTGTGGGGTGACACTTTGTTCCGGTCTCACCACCACAGCGTCCAGCTTGTAGTCCAGTGTGGCATCACCAGTGCCAATCTCACCCCTTTTTCGTTCAGTTAATGCCCTTTAGCCAATCGTTACTCTAGAAATCTTACTTAGCTTACATTTTGATCTTCTGAGATGGTAAGTCTGCCTGCGGTTCAAAGGCGATCGTTCGGCTGGCTCCTAAAGTGATCACGCTACCTTGATACGTCGTGTACATGTTTAAGTGGGATTCTATCGGCGGGTGCCGTGGGTGTGGAGCGTGGGGAAAGTATACAAGTTATGGTACCTTGCTGTCTTGTGCTACTGCATCAGCACCTATCTACATCATCATCATCATCACCACTTACAACCAATTCAAACAAATCATCGCATCAATCAATCCTCACACTTCTTAACCTGAGTGATTATCTACACTACAACACCAACTATACAATCGAACCCACCGAGCATATTCCGCGAACTCATTCGACTTCTCATCTTCACCACCCATTCAAATCCTAAACAAGCCACCACAAATCAATCAACCATGCCAGCGGTAGCAAAGTCATTCTGGCCCGCCCTCGCCACCTTCATCGGTAAGCTCTAAGTCATCTTATCCCAACCCACGATACGAGATGAAAATACTAATGACATGGAAAAGGCCTTTCTTTCACATACACCTTCACCGCCGCGCGCAGCGAAGGAAACAGCATCGACGCTGCCCGCACAAGATGGCAACAGCAGATGCAACGAGGGAATCTTGCTTTGTCTGGCGGGGCTACAGACATCTTGGAGGAAAAAACTACACAATGAGTTCGTTTTGGGGGAAATTTGAAAGGCTGTGAGGCAAATATGGTACCGGCGTTCTTTTGGGTGTGCTACTCTTCTAGGGGCAATTTTTCCTATTCTTCCTACGAAAAGTCTTAGGTCATGTCGTGGGCTTTTCTTTTCCTTTGTTAATATTCATAGTTGTCGGTTCCCTTCTGCTTAGAATTGGAAATACTCGCATTTTGCATCTTCTCTATCCATATATTCAATGAATCTTTTCATTTACTTACTTATATGATTAATCATGTTGACCTCGTCGCATGTTTCTGCAGTGTCGCTATTCCGTTAGTCCAGCCACATTTGAATGGATAGCGATAACTAGTTCCATCACCACGGGACTCAGTACGGTGAACAGTTTTGCCCAATAAGACCTCGCTTCGAGGCGAGCTATGATTTTTTGGAATTGTATTAAAATCATCTTTAGTTTAACCATTGAACCAGACAAGTCCTAGTTCATGAAATTTGCAATCAAGAGTCTTCGCCGCTATTAAGATTGTTCTCGGCATACAACACGGATTGGAATATCCATGTAGCTCTTAGCGTGTACTACTGTCGTTGATTTCCCTGCAAAGCGTTGTGGCTAACCTCACTCACTTTTCTTTTAGTTATCTTTTACAACCATTTCTTGTACGTTTAGAGACGCCTCTTCGAGAAACTTGATGTCGCTGGACAGCAGAAGGTGTGTGCGTATCGGGAATTGTACTAGCATAGTGTCGGCTTATTCACAGCAAGCTTTCTCGGCTCGGCTCTCTTGCACCGGTCAGTCCGGTTCCGAGGTCATAAAAGTGGAACAGGTAGTGGGGGAAGACGCAAGCGAGGAAATTGTTCCCAGAAGTGGCGATTGCCAATTTGTGAAGTGTAACTATCATTCAAATAATACCGAGAACAGATGGCCTGCATATAAATATTTTGGATTGATCAAACTAGAATAGCAGTAGTAGAATCGAAATCATATGATTTCCGAAAGATTGGCCTATGGACGCTATAAAGCTTCATTTTTGAATGGGAGCTTGTATACCAATGCAGCGGTGAACTCTCAGCTTCCTCGGTGCCCGAGTATTGAGGGTCTCCGATAGTCAAAGATTCGACTAAAAGTTCGGACCCCTATTAGCTTCAACCAATCACGAGGAACATGACTGTCACTAAGGCGTAACGCTAGGACGATACCGTATGCAAAACACCTTGCATCGATGTAGGCGAACACGTCCAGCCCGAATATCAACGGCGCGGACTGTTTCGCAAGTATGATTTACACTGATTTGCATTCAGGCGCACCAATGCATCGCGGAAAGAAGAAACGAAGGTGCCACTCTAACGGTGCTCCAGAATTCCTGGCCCACTGTTTACGCATCAGCTTGGTCAGACGAATTGTCGTATCATTGAGAGGTCAAAATGTATAAAAGGGTCTTTGAATAGCCTTAATCTTCTCATACTTACTTCATTCAAACCCTCTTTTCGATCATCATCTACAACTACCACCCTCCAAACACAGATTCTCGCCCTTTCCACTCACCATGAAGTCCGTCGCTATCCTCGCCACCCTCTTCTTCGCTACCACAGCCATGGCAAACTGCAAAAAAGGTCCTTACATGACCGGAACCAGATGCCCGAGCGAGTGTGACGGTAAACTGCGATGTGGAAGTGTCAACCAAGTGGTAAGTTTGCTTCGAAATCCCTTCCTTAGCTCTTGCAAGAGCTATGATGCTACGCCCATCGGTTATGACAGTGCGGATTGAGCTTCTGATATTGATGCTGTCCTTACACAGATCAAGTGCCAACGCGGTGCCTGGGATGAGGTCCAGAAGTGCAACCATTGCAAGGACGGCGGCTGCAAGTCGTAGATACTATTAGAGGGTTGCTAGATGGAAAGAAGCATAGAATCGACGAATCATGAAAGTGTTGAGCAAAGAAATATCCAGCAGTATCAATAATCATGACATAATTTCTACAGCAGGCTTCATGTGGTGATGCTCTACGCTAACAACCACAGTGACTGGCCTACATCGCCAAGAAACGATCGGCAGGAGATAGCTACAGAAGAATCATGCTGGAAATCTACAAGATGCCATGTGCTCTAGTACGATCGGTCAGGACGCAGTACAGAAGCAGCATTTGTCAGCACTCTCTGACCAAAAGCGAGAAAGTCGAGATGACGTTGAAAATAAATCAGCACCATTCCGCGCGCTAACTGCGGCTAGTCTAGCGGTTGCCTGTTATGTGATTGCTAAGGAAGACGGGTGAATGTACCCACCAACCATCGTCGCGGTTCGTATAATGTGGGGAAGAATTGGAGGAGAAAATGCAGCAATAATCATGGCGCGTATAGCCTGCTGTAATGTCAGACCGTATGTTTATATAGTACGCAAGTCGATCTCATAAACTCTGCTTCGTGCACGAAACTCCCACAGTCGATAACTGACGTACCGAATTGACAAGACAAAGATGTCTACGACAATTACAGAAGAGCCACATACCGAATTAAGCCACCTCCCACAATCTCACTTTCGCACCCTAACGACTACAACAACAACCCCAGACCCTCCCCCATCAACCGTCCACGATAACCCCTCCACCGAACCCCCAGATGACGCAGTAAACACCACAACCGCCATCCCAGACGGCGGCTACGGTTGGACAATAGTCTTCTGCTGCGCCCTAACCACATTCTGGAACACCGGAATCGGCAACTGCTGGGGCGTCCTACAAGCCGCGCTCCTCTCCTCCACACTCCGCACAACCCCGCCATCAACCCTCTCCTTCGTCGGCTCGCTCGGCCTCGCAGGCGCAGCAGCCTGCGGCCTTCTCGTAATCCGCCTCATCCGCGTGATCGGCTCCCGCACCACCGGCGTCCTAGGGGTCCTCTTCATGGGCGCAAGTTTAATCGGAAGTAGCTTCTGCACCGACAATCTCGCGGGCTTGTTCGGGACTGCGGGGGTGCTGGCTTCGATTGGAGTTGGGATGGTGTATACGGTTGCCAATGCGCTGCCTATGCAGTATTTCTCGGGTCATCTGGGGCTCGCCAATGGGTTGGTGAAGCTTGGGGGTGGGATTGGCGGGTGTGTGATGTCTGTCGCGTTGGAGGCTTTGAATCGGAGGGTCGGGATCGCGTGGACGTTTCGGATCCAGGGGTTGCTCACGATTGGAACGGGTGTACCTGCGGCGTGGATGTGTGTGGATCGCGTGTCTAGGAGGAATACTTTGCCTGTTGTGGATTTGGGCATGTTTAAGTCTGTGGCCTTTTTGGCCTTTTTTCTTGGCGGCGCCATCGGAACATTTGCGCTTTTTGTACCGCCGTATTTTTTGCCGTTGTTTGCGAGGAGCTTGGGGTTGAGTTCGGCCACGGGTGCTGGGTTGGTCGCGGCTTTCAATGCTTGTAATGCTGTGGGAAGGTTCGTGGCAGGCCCGCTTTGCGACAAGATTGGCCCCATCAACACTTTGCTTATCTGTATGGTTCTCAACGCTGTCAGTATGCTGGCCGTCTGGACAGTTGCGGACTCGCTTGGCCCGTTGGTTGTTTTCGCCATGCTTAACGGTGTCGCGAACGGGTCATTTTTTACTGCTCAGCCGGCGGTTGCTGCCGGTATGTTCGGGCCTGGAAGGGCTTCTGTTGCCATGAGTATGAGTGTCACTGGGTCGACGGCCGGATACTTCATGGGCGCCCCTATTGCTGGGTATCTGCTTCAAGCGGCAGGAGGTAATCCACAAAGTGGCGACGAGCAAGGAATCGAGGTCTACCGACCGGCAATATTCTACGCTGGGGCGGTAGCTGTGGTTTCTTCTTTGTTCATTGTATGGGCTAGGACGCGGCTGACGGAGAAGTGGATCAAGAAGGTATAGCCCCGAGTTGAGCAGATATGTGATAGTGAAATCCTGCGTGTTGAGAGGGGCTTGCGGACAGAAGTGAACATTAGACCATTGGATCTATTGACATGGAGATGATTTGAAAATGGTAGATATGAATGTTAGGCGTACTGGAATGAGCCCTGTTAATTTGATTCAGCCTGCGCATTCATCCTGGAAGCTAAACTTCCCGCAGCCCTTTCATACTGCACCTTTTTGCGATCGCGCTGTCCATCTTCCTCAATAGGATCCAGCGTATCGCCTTCGAGCCCCCAGCCACCACCCCCAGGTGTATAGATGATGCATCGATCCCCCTTTCCCATTGCCACCATGTTCTTAGCTCCCATATTGACCCATCGGTCCACAAATTCATCATCCTTCCCATCTTCCTTGGGCACTTTCCTGACCCAATAGTTCACACCCTTCGCACCAGTGCCACCACCTTGCATTCCATACGGCGCAATGGACCTGCGCTCTGTAATGACACTGAATCGAATAGGCGCCCTGCACTCAATATCTCTGATCGCGCCATCTCCGCCATTGAAACGACCCTTCCCACCACTGCCTTTGCGTACAGCAAACTCGCGGAGGATGACGGGATACCTACGTTCTAATGTTTCGGGATCGGTGATGCGAGTGTTGGTCATGTGCGTATGAACAGCGCTGGCACCATGCGCATTTCCAGTTGCGCCAGACCCTCCACAGATAGTCTCCCCGAAGGCATACGAGTGCTCTTTGCCAGTTGCGTCAGGATTGGCCACCTCGCCGAAGAACCCAAGGCAGTTCATGCAGCCATGGCTTGCAGCGGCGGCGCCGAAGGTCTTGAGGATAACATCACAGACACGCTGTGAAGTTTGCGTATTGCCCGCGCATACAGCAGCGCCCGCAGACGGGTTTAAGAAGCTGCCTTTTGGCAAGATGATCTTGATTGGCGAGAGGCAGCCTTGATTGAGCGGGATGTCGAGGCCAATCAGGAGGCGTAGGGTGTATATGATTGCCGAGTAGGTAATGGATGGAGGCGCATTCATATTAGAGTACATCTCTGGCGCTGTGTTGGTGAAGTCGAAGATCGCCGAGCCGGAGTCGTCAATAGAGACAGCAAGGTGGATCTCGGAACCATTATCCATCTGGTCTACGCCTTTGAAGTGTGCGCCTTTCTTTGACAAGGTTTGTCGGAGGAATGCGCGTACAGCTATCTCGGCGTTGGATTGAATGGCACGCATATAGAGTTGCACGACGTCCTGGCCATACTCGCCCATCAAAGCCTGAATAAGTGTCATGCCCTTGTTGTTGGCAGCCACTTGTGCTTTGAGATCAGAAAGGTTGTCATCAAGACGTCGACTGGGTGTACAACCAGGGAGGTCGCCGGGTGCGGTAAGAATTTTCTTGATTCCCTCTTCATCGAAGTGACCATTACGGATAAGACGGAAAGATCTAATGGCAGCGCCTTCCTGCCATAGCTCGGTCGAATTCGGTGGCATAGAAGTACCACCTAGACCGCCAATATCTGTGTGATGACCACGCGAGCCAACGTAAAAAGCGATCTCGCCAGATCCAGAGAAGACGGGAGTGATGACGGTGACATCTGGCAAATGTGCGCCGCCGGCTTCAGGGTGGTTGGAGACGAGAACGTCCCCAGCCTGAAGTTTGCCCTTGAGGAGCTCGTGCTGATATTGCACCGCGTAACTCATGGAACCGAGATGTACAGGAACGTGCGGGGCATTGGCAACAAGACCCCCGTCTGGACCGAAAACTGCGCAGGAGAAGTCGAGCCGCTCCTTGATGTTGAGGGAAACGCAGGTTTTCTGAAGGATGCGACCCATCTGTTCTGCTATACTCATGAAGCGATGAGCAAATACAGATAGTTGGATAGGATCTACCTCTGTTGATGAGGTTCGAATGGCAGAAGTCTGAGGTATGTCGAGGACGACATGCGCAGATAAAACTCTGGCTTGCGCGCCGGGTACGACCACAATGCTTTGTGTGTTATCTAGGATCATTGCTGGACCAATAACAGTCGTTCCAGAGGCGACTTTCTCTAGGAGGTAAACGGGAGTGACTACCAGGCCGACTCCAGCGAAGTACGTTTTCACCTCACGCTCGACCGATTTGGCCTCCACTGGAATAAAACTGGTTTGTGATAACTCGTGATGCAACTTATCCGCGTCCGCGGTAACGTTTCCACTACCACCGACACCTCGCACTCTGATGTCGTCCACCAAAATAGAGCGGTTTTCTGGGAAAATGAAATTGAATTCGCGGAGATGTTGTTCCAGGAACGCCTCTTTGAACTTTCCGCTCGAAGGGCGCAATATCATCATCGCCGTTTCTGTTCCTTGGTAACGCATGTTGAGATACTCTTCATAGTAGATGTCACCTTCTGAGATATTTTCGGCCAAAAGAGCTTTTTTGACGCCTGATCTTAGCGCATCGATACGTGAGTCAAGTTCCGTTATCGCTGATCCGGCGTAAATAACATTTACGGGTTCTTGTGCCTCCTGAACGATATCAGCAAGCGCCATTCCTGCGACGAGTTAGCTGAGTATATCTGAACAAGAGGTGTACAAGTCTTACCGTAGGCAGAAAGAATACTAGAATACTTGTGAATGATAGCAGTAGAGATCCCAAGCTTCGAGGCGATCTCGCAAGCATGCTGCCCACCAGCACCACCAAATACTGCAAGATTGTGCTTCCCAATTTCGTAGCCTTTTGCTTCAGTTAAAGCTCGGATCGGCCTGCACATGGCCTCGTTGGCTACATCCAAGAAGCCACAAGCCACTTCCTCGGGACTCATACTCTTACCAGTCTCGGCGTTGATGACCTGGGTGAGGTCCACGAACTTCTGGCGGACCACTTCCGTATCCAGAGCCTCGTTTTCCCTAGGCCCAAAGATTTTGGGAAAGAATTCGGGCACCAGTCGGCCGAGAAAGAGGTTGGCATCAGTCACTGCGAGGGGACCACCTTTACGATAACAAGCAGGTCCCGGGTGGGATGAAGCACTCTCGGGGCCAACCGTCAGCAGGCCGTTACGCCATTGCAGAATCGAACCCCCGCCAGCAGCTACAGTGTTGATATCTAGCTGTGGGCTTTGAATTGTTACTCCTGCGGTGGTGGTCTCAAAAACGTGTTCAAACACGCCACCGAAGCGGCAAACATCGGTAGATGTGCCTCCCATATCGAGCCCAACGATTGGTACGTTGTTCTCGGGAACGTATGACGTCCTGGAGAAGCCTACTACACCTCCAGCGGGGCCAGATAGTATGCCTTTGAGGCCGGTGAAGTTTTTGTGGCTGACGAGACCTCCGTCTGATTGCATAAAGTCCGTCTTGACATCGTCCAGATGGCCACCCTCAAAACTCTGCAGAAAACCTTTCAAATATTTCTTGATCTCGGGGGTGAGGTATGCGTCAGCCGATGCGGAGCTGCCTCTTGGTACCATCTTGATCATATTCGCGGCCACAGCCGATGATAACGAAACATGCGAGAAGCCCTCCTCTGCGGCTATTTCACCTACACGGGTTTCGTGGTGGGGATAGATATATGAGTGCGCGAAGCATACAGCAACTGTATCGACCCCTCGGGAACGTAGTTCCTTCAAAACTGATCGTACTGCGTCCTCTTTGAGAGGAGAAAGTATCCTGATCATGTCACCACTTGTGCCTTTGACCAAGACCCCAGGAATTTCTTCTGTCGCCTTGTGCACGCCGAATACGTCTTCATCGAAGCCCTCAATAGTCACTCGCTCGTCGATCTCGTGAACCTCATCATACAAGACGTCGGGCTTGGTGATGTTGAGATCAAACAGTCGAGGGCGTGACTGGTAGCCGATTTCCAGTAGATCTCGGAGACCTTTGGTGACCAAAAGAGCATGCTTTGCACCTTTTCTTTCAAGTAGAGCGTTTGTGGCAACGGTCGTTCCCATGCGTACGTACTCGAGATTCCCCTTTGGTAATAAGACTCCTCGGGGCACCTCCTGTCCGCGTACGATGGAAAGCACGCGACGAATGCCTTCTGTTGGGGCATCATCATAGTTGGAAGGGTCTACGGAGAGCAGTTTGAGGACGATGTCATCTTGGCCTTCTACACGGGCCCAGACGTCGGTAAAAGTGCCGCCACGATCTAAGACGAACATTAGTCAAATGGAATAATGATAGAGGTGTGGGGATATGAAAGAGCATTGTACCCACCGATTGCGATTTTGACGCGCTTATTGGGTGCAGATAGAGAGGTCATGATTGAGGTCGAAACGCTTCCCGGTGACGTGTATCAAAAGAAAGAAAGAAGAGAAGGAGATGATTTCGAAAAAAAAGAAGCGGTGCGGTTGACTCGACTTGATATAGGATTTTGTTCTTCGCCCTGTTCTGTGTATACAGATGCAACCCACATGGTGGTGATGCACGTGGTTCACTCACCCCCTCCCCCCCACTGCTCTAGAAGAGATATTTGCCATCCACTCCTCATTCGGGACAACATGTTGTTATCCAAGCCCCACTCGATTCGCCCTCGTCTGCATATTGGAGCAGAAGGATGGAAGGTAGATACGGCTTAAGGTCATCGGAGATGAGACGAGTGGGGACGTTGACAGGAGAGTGATAGCGCTAAGCCTGTCACGCGTGTTAGCGTGTCTTGGCACATTCTCGGCTGTCGGGATCATCGTATCGACCTTCCTCCGACTTTGCGACCCGTCACACTACCCGCTAAGTGCCATCTCGAATGCTTTCCGACCAATGTCTTTGCTCCACTTGCCGATAAAGTGGTTGATGCGAGTCAATATGGGGTGGGAAATCCGGGGAAAGATACCCTTATCTCCTTGGGAATATCACCATTGAAGCCTGCTTGCTTATCGCCTCGACGCCTCCTCCAAAGTAGCAGAGAAAAGTTGGTATAATAATACACGGCCAACTCCCTCCTGCCGTCGTTCTTGCCTCTCACCGCTGCAATCCTTTCCTGTCCGTGATTCTGCATCTGCCAGCCTACCAGAGTTTTTCTTCTCTTCTCTTTTCATTGTCATCTTCACTGCCACTTGAAGAGTTGAGGTCGCCACTCGATACCATGTCTTCCAACAAGAGGGATGTCGGTATGGACGTCGAACGCAGACCGGATGAGAAGATTGCCCTGGATTCACAAATCGACAAAGCTGCCAAGTTCCTCAATGAGACACAAGAATATCCTCCTCTGACTCCCGAGCAAGAGAAAAAGCTGATTCGGAAGGTCGACTGGATCATGATACCAATTGTAAGACACATATGCTACGGCCTCAACATGACAAAAACCAAGTTTATTAATCCTCGTGGACAGCTCTTCATCACAGCAACTCTTGGTGCCGTGGACAAAGTAGCCCTCGGAACAGCAGCCATCTACGGGCTGCGGACAGACACCAATCTCGTGGGTCAGCAGTACTCGTGGCTTGGCTCCATTTTGTCTCTCGGAGCTTTGGTTGGCATGTTTCCGTCTTCCTATCTCATTCAAAGGCTGCCCTCTGCAAAATATCTCTGCGGTTGTAGTTTGGGGTGGGCTTCCATGGCCCTTCTTATGCCGGCTTGCGGGAACTGGAGTGGCTTGATGGCTGTGCGATTCTTCATGGGTGTTTTCGAAGCCATCATTGTACCTGGCATCTCCATAATCAGTGAGACCTTCCCGCTCTCATGAATTCAGTAACATCCACTGATTCTCGCTAGTTGCTGCTTGGTACAAGAAGTCAGAGCAACCTCCACGCAACGCTCTAGTATTCGCCGCCGCTAGTTCAATTCTCAACGGCTTTCTCTCGTGGGCTGTCGGTCATATCGATGGCCATCTTTCCATATGGCAGTACCTGTTCCTCATTGTTGGATCTGTCACCTTTGCTTGGAGTCTCTTTGTTCTTTGGTTTATGCCAGCTACGCCTATGGATGCTATTTTCTTGTCACAAGAAGAAAAGTATCATATGGTACGTCGCGTAGCAGAAAATAAGACTGGAGTTGCCAACAAAGAGTGGAAGTGGTACCAAGTCAAAGAAGCATTCATTGACCCAAAAACCTGGATCATATTCTTCTTCAACGTCGGTCCCTCAATTTCAGCAACTGAAGAGGAAATGAGCTAACGTAACACCAGATTGCCATCAACATCCCCAACGGTGGCCTTACCATCTTCAATGGCATTTTGATCTCCAATCTCGGCTTCACTAGCGTCGAAGCCTCCCTCCTCAGTATGCCAACCGGCGTCATGTCCACACTCAGCGCCTTCGTCTTTTCATGGCTCGGCGTCCGCTTCCACAACCGTCGTTGCCTTGTCACAGTTGGGGCCTGTCTCGTCCCTGTCATCGGCACCGTCGTGGTATACGTCGTCGACCGCTCCAACATCGGCGGTCAGATGGCCGGTATCTACCTCCTATACACTTACTTTGGCCCGTACGTAGTCGGGATCGGTCTGGCTCAAGCTAACACCGCTGGCAACACGAAGAAAACCGTCGTATTTGCTATTTTGTACATCGGCTACGCTGTAGGCAATCTGATCGGACCGCAGACATTTGTGGCGAATCAGGCTCCGGCGTATACAGGTGGCGTTGTGGCCATGATCGTTTCCTACGGGGTTTGTATTGGGCTCATTTGTGCTTACTGGGCGTTCTGCATGTACCGGAATAAAAGAGTTTCCGGCATTGAAGAGAGGAGGGAGTCCACCGCGGAAGTCATGGACAATCTGATGGATCAGACGGATTTTGAGCAGGAGGGGTTCAAGTACACCATGTAAACTGATGGTAACAATATGGTGTAGGAGCTAGCAGGTCGAAAGCTACTTTTCTAGTAGGCTTTACGTGGATCTGCATTTCAAGTTTCCGCATTCGACATATTCCGTTTGTGCCAGCTATGCACTTGCTGCCTTCAACCATGGAGCGCGATTCCTCGCGTATAGGGTGCATCCTTTCTCCTGCGAATGCTCTCTTTAGGTTTTGCGCGTTTTTAGCAGGCCTCGCATCGCTCTTCAATACAATACCCGGGAAATGGAAGCAGCGACGTTGCCGGAGTCCCTGCTGTGGATCAGAGTTCTTGCGCGTACATAATCACAGCAACAAAAGATGCATCTTCACCAGAAATATAAAGCATGTCACACCCACTCTTTGCAAATCGTGACTCAAATTGTGGCTAAATACCACCGCCAATGGAGGAGAAAACCTCGTATATTTGTATTTTCTATGCAATCCAGCATGTGCCAAGTCTGCACTCCATCCGGATGAGGAAACCGTTCCGCTTGCAATGTGGTTTGGACTATTGTTGGCCTAAAATTAGAAGACCAGAAGTGTTCTTCCCGGTGTTAGTGTACGGTTAATATACATGTAAATGAAGGATCGTGTTGCTTGCTGACTGCATCTCGCTCCGAGAGGCGAACGAAATGGTATTTAAGAATCGTCAGAGTCGACGGTTGATATCTTGGTATTTTTTATTGGCGCAGAATAGTTCCAAAGAGGCGTCGGAAACATGACTTTCTACGATTTGATATCCTGCGTTTTCGCTGTTCTGCTTCTCCTCTTCTTCCCAATTGCTGTCAGTGCAGATAGCGCTCCAAGAACATCACAGGATGGTTCTGGAAAAGAATTCGCCCCGGCAGCCTTCACAGACATGATGCCACGACCGGATCTATTCAGCATCCCTTGCTTCGCTTGTCTTATGGAGGAATGTCCCGAGGTTCGCAGATATGCCGCAAACACCACGATTTGGACAAAATGCAATCTTGCCGGCACACTGTACCCTGGGTTCCGCGAGTAAGCAATTTCTTTCCCAGTTTTGAGCCCGAAAGACCGGAAAGTAACCGTTGTTTAGCAATTGGGTTGAGACGGTCGATGGATGCTACATCGTAAGTTCAACTCTGCCTCGCATTTAGCCTACCACTATCCCAAGCCCTAAACACTGAATCATTGCAGAATGATTGCGACTTCTCATACTATCCTCACTGGACAAAACGGCAAGTAGAAATATCAGCAGACCCAATATGCGACAAGGAAAAAGCACTCCGCATGCCCAATACCACGCAACCACACCACATCTCAGCCCGGCAAGATCCCGAACCCGACCCAGAGCCGACCTACACCCCTGTCACAATCGACCCGCAACACGACATGCAATGCCTCGTCTGTGCAGACCGCCAATGCGCAGTCGAAACCACATACACACGCAACACTACCGTCGACCTCGAATGTTGGACTGTCTCCACCATGGGCCCAGGCGACGTGATTTCATTCCCAAGCTATGACGAACGCTGGGTCATGACAAAAGAAGGGTGCTACCTGGCCATTGGCGATGTCAGTACCCCGTGTCCAGGGTGGTCAGACACAGTGTCGTGTATGGAGTACTGTGAGCCGCCGCCGCATTACTGGGCCAGCGTGAAAGACTGGACGTTGGCGAAGCAGTGTGCGAGGAATTGCTCGGATGCGACGGGGTGGACGCGGGAATTGTATGTAGTTGATCTTGATTGTTGGGATTATGGAGATGAGGTGCAAGGGAGTGATGTATGGTATCGGGGGACAGAGTTTGAGTATGTTAGTGACTGGTGGCTTGTTTGGTGGCCGAGGGCTGCATTGGGCAAGTTTGGGGGAACAGGCGAACCGCCTCAACAGTGTGTTGAGGATGGGAATTCTACTGAGATAAGATCGCGACGGCGGTCGGGTGCGGTGGGCGATGCGCAGAATGTTGAGTACGAGCGCAGAGGCGAGACCAAGGCGGTTGGACACGCGGAACCTAGAGGCTTGCAGACGGTGTATGCCTATGTTAATGAGGTCGATACTCGCTGTCGTCTCTGCGCGAAGAGAATCTGCCCTTACTACACCGTCTACCAACCCGGCGAGAACATGGATTTCACGTGTTTCGTCTACGGCAGTGTGGTCGACGGAAGCGACATCTGGCTGAAATCCGGAGAGGGAGTTCGGTGTTACGTCCCTCGACGCTACGTTACGCTCAACGGAGGATCTTCGATAAGTTACTGTCGTGATGACTCGCGAAACTCGATATCGCCCCCGACAGAAGAAGTGATATCCCCTTCTGACGTCGTTGCTGGAGATGAACATCCAGTCTCCATCGCTGAACGAGCACCCGCGCCCCAGGTTTCAGATCCCTCACAGTCACCGGATCCTCCGGAATTGGATCAGTGTCAGCGATCTCCAGGGTATTGGGAGCAGTGGTGTTATAATCAGGCGTTGTTTTGCTGTGTGAGTCGGACGCCTGTGGACTTATTTTGGGATTGTTCGAGTGAGAGATCAATTGCTGCGTGGAAGGGAGCTTGTCGGGACTTGAAGACCAGAACCGAGTGTTCGGAAGCGAGGAGGATAGGAAATATCATGGAAGGGTGCGAGAGTGGCAACGTGTAGTGGAGGAGTTTGAGTTAAACAATGTTTTGATCTAGGTACCAGAATACGAGAGACGATTGAAGACTTATACATTGTGAACACCTGAATATGATTAAGCAGCCTGGCTCACACTTGAAGACAGCTTTGAGTTGTCAAGATGATTTCACAACTGCTACGGTGATTCATAGCCCGCGGGCACAGGGTTCTGAACCGCAGACTGACTACATCGAACAAATGTAACAAAAAAACCAAAGCAAAAATCAAAATCATCTACCAAGCTTGAGACGACTGATCTTTGACCTTCGTAAGCTTGTTCATAGTACACAGTGCCAGTTTGCCGTTGCATATCCTCCTACAAGCCGCTCCGCACAGCGTAATCGTAGTCGCATCAGACGAACGTTCGCCACCATAATCTGCACGTTCTTGAACACATTAATTTCGAGAAATCCACGAGCGGTGGAAACAACACTTTCGAGAACATCTCCGTTGATTTCTTCCTGGATGTCATTGACGGATTGCACAAGGATGTTTCCGTTGAGTGCTAGGCTGCGTTGAATGGTTTTGGTGATCTTGATAATCCTATCACGGTACTTTGAGTCCGAACGATCAACTTCATGATGTTGAACCTCAAAAAGGCAAAAAGAACCTTAGATAATACCCAAGGTCGTGGCGATGTCCCCTGTGAGTCCCCAGGTGTGTGGCTCCGCGGAGTCTAGCTCCATATAGTTAGCCAGGTCCTCCACGATAGCCCCACGCGCATACCGGCTTATCTCCCTGCACATTACCCCAGCTTTCATCCCACATGCTGGGGACACAAGCTTCAATCTTCCTCAGTGAAGAATTCTTACCGAGTTTCCCATCCCTGGAACATACCCACTATACCCGATGCAACGTCAGCAGCGTCCCAACGGCGAGGCACGTCGCCGCTCTGGGTGTTGGTCGTGTAAAGCTAGACACGTACGATGTACGGAGGAACGACCATCATGTGCCCGATGCGTTAGACTGGGATCCCAGTGCAAATATGGCATGCGTTTGTTGTGGCAAGAGGACGCCGTACAGAGAGGTATCTGTTTGGGACGAGAAGGCACATGGTCTAAACGAAAGAAACCCGTCAAGGACGGCGATCAAATTCAATTGAGACCGAAGCCCTATTTTGTGAGCGCCACGGGAGATCCTATCTTCTTACACACTTTTTCTCGGGACTTCGAAGGCAAAATCGACATGGACATCAGCGACGAGGACGTCGAAGAAGAACGGAGAGTGCAAAGGATTGACTTTCCTCGTCCAACCAAAGCGTTGTCCTATTTTCACCAGCTTTCGGGTCACGAAGCATATCTTCTCCAGTTCTATATCGTTGCGATATGCCCCAATTGCTCTCTGAGTCCTATCGACAATCCTTACCTCTACTACGTCACTCCTATGGCGACCATCTACCCACCTTTACGCGACGCAGTCATCTCTATCGCCGCTACTGAACGACGCTTGGTCAACGATCGCCGCTTCGAAAAAGAGTCGTGGCTGTATAAGTCACGTGCCTTGAGAGGCCTTCAAGAAACCATCACCTCCGGTTCCGTCAGCTGGCCATTCATTGCCACCGTGCTCATGCTCTGCTTCAACGACATCGTTGATGGATGCAGCGAATCATGGATGACGCACCTTCGCGGGGGTCTTACTCTTATTAATACCCTCTCTCTCCAAGCGAATTGCACCGAAAGCCGCACCCTCCGCAAATTCTGTCTCATGTACTTCGTCGCGCACGACATCATGGGACACACCGCAGGGTCTTCTCCAATCTCCTCTACACCCTACGCCTGGCTCGCAGACGACGACGTTCAAGAAATTGACCCGCTTATGGGATGCTCACGGGGCTTACTAGACCTCATCCACGAGATTTCCACCCTTGGGTCTATCCTTGACACTCGCCTGGCCGTACGCGCACTGACAGCCCTCGAATCGACTCAACTTGACAACAACCGCTCGCGACTCGAAGATGCGCTATATAACCTCCATCAATACCCCCCTCGCTCTACACCGAACCCGAACATTGCCTTCGTCGCAGAAGCGAAACGAACAACCGCCCTCTTGTATCTCCACCACCGCCTCCCATCGCAATCATCCACCACATCGCACCCCTCTCCCCGCATGGCGATCTTAGTAGATTCTCTCATAGCACAGCTACAAGACCTTCCCGTGACACCAACGCTTCTGTGGCCGCTATTCATGCTGGGAAATGCGAGTCCACAGAACGAAGAGCATCGCCGTTTTGTACTAGAACGTCTTGGGCGTATCTTGGAAGCGAGGAACCTGGGAAGTGTGAGATTGGCGCGAAGACTTGTCGAGAAGAGGTTCCGCGAGTGGGATCTTAGGGTTGGTGAGGTGGGAGGAGGTTGGAAAGTTGGGGTTGGGGAGGCGGGGTTTCGAGGGAAGTTGGTTTCACTGGCTTGATTCTGAAGGTTGAATGGCAAAGCGAATATTTATCTGTAAAATATGGCGCGTAATTATTTGAATTGGGTAACAAGGTTGATTTAGGTGTTTTTGGCTATCGGGTCGGATTAGGGCAGATTTATCTTCGTCGAATTGAGAGCGGGGCGTTATGGAGTTGTTGTGCAGTGCAAACTAGAATATGTCACAAAGCGTATGTTCTTTCCGTTCTGTCTGAAATTTTAATACTCTAGCTATACGTGTTGTTCTAGTGTTTCTCCAAAGCGGTGATATGTACAGTTGTTCTTCTCGTTACGTCGCCTTGATTCAGATGATTTGTGAGGTCTCTTCGACAGTGACTGAGATGGAGGAATCTAAAGTTGAACGAGAGGATGAGAGACACCGCCGTGGCTCCGTATATACACCAAGAAAACGAAAGTGGGTAAGCAGTAGACGAAGATGGACATTAAACGGTGTGGGGTTAGGGCACGTAGTCGGTCATTACCGATTGTTTTCCGTTGAAAACTTAACAGGTCACATAATTTCGGAGGCGGATTATTGAATAAAACGTACTACTCTATTACAATGTCCAATGAAGCACTTTCACACAGTAAAGCCCATGGAGGACTGTGAATCCACTCGCAAAAAGTGCTTGTCGACTAAGTTTCTGGTTTTCCAAGCACCGCACGCATGCTACGCACTTCATCCCTGTCTTTATGCTTGTCATCCTCCCAATTCGAAACCCACTCCTCATCTGTGACCGCATCTTTTATAAACAGCAAATGCTTGTCCTCAAAGTCCTCCTCATGCTTGCCCCAGCGTGTCTCCGCAAGAACTCTTTCTGTTATATCTTTTTTGATGTTATTCCTGATCCATTCCCCGGGTGTGAATAACCAGAGACGATGGAGGCGACCATATATCATTCGATTGAGCGTATTGAAGTTGAACGGTTCATTGAGATCGATCAATGCGAGGAACGTCCAGACTTCAGCCCAACCGGAATAGGGATCATTGGGCACGCCCATCAATCGAAGGTTGATGTATGGGGATCTAGCGGGTGGGAGCTCGTGTGTGATAAATCGTGAATTTAAGGTGGTGTTATCGGCTCGCAAATTGTGCAGATAAACATCCTGGTGTTGCTTGATCTTGAGTAACCAATTCCGCAGTCGAGGATCACTCATAGCTTGAGAGACCGTATTTATGTCGAAACCAGTCGTCACAATCTTGTTGATAAATGTGGACTCCCAGGTAAACTTGGTGTCTCTCGTCGCTGGGTCAATTATCAATCGCGCCGGTTCAGCGTGTAGGGCTTTGAGATCGGACGTCAATGTTGTGCCAAGCTCTTGGTAGATCTGTCGACATGTTCTCGTCAAATTCACTGCTGGGATTGACTTGACCACGAGTATCATATTGGTGGGCGCCACGGTTTGCGAGGCATCCTCTTTATCGATCTCGTTGGCATTTTCAGTGTCTTGCATATCTTCATGGGGGGCATGAAGACGATGGTGTTTTGTGTGTGTAGGTCGAAGATAGTCATAGATCATGAGGCGTACCTCTGTAGGGAGGGCGAGAAAACGAGAACCCATTTTCTGGTAACGGGATCTGCGAAAGGTTTGTTCGTTATTTTTCATGATAGATAATTCAGGGGAGGTTGAAAGATTTATGTTCGTAAAGTCCTGCCATTGTTGTATATGCACCCGAGTGGAACATTACTCACTCTCATTGTTACTTCACAATGCAAATGTCGCCAAAGGCTGCATAATCAATGTTCACATCGAAATTTCTGGAAAACAACGATGTATTGACTACAAAATTTACAGAGGTCTACAATTACGCATCTGGACGCTTTGTGTTTGCCTCCATAAGACTCCAACCGAAACAGAAACAGAAAGAGAATCTCGCTATTACAAGGCATTATACACAAGTCCTAACCCACCTCCATCAACTTATGGCGTCCTAATGTGACACCAACTCGCGACGTTCTTATATTGGCTTGGATAAATGCGGTGTATGAAATGTGAGCGAAGAAAATCGCTACGATGCTGACGATTTCAGTAACAGTAGTCCCTAAATTTGGGCAAGAGTTGAATAAGCCCAGCGTAGAGGTCCTGTTGGTCCGGATGCCAGTATTTGCAACTTCCCCGAGCGCAGAACGAGGCGATGCATCGCTCCGAATACATCGGAGGCGACACAATCCTGTTCCCATGCTTATCTTGAAGGTCAGAGCCTGAATCGCGAGCGCGCCCGTTTTCAGGCAAGAGCGGAATGAGTCCGGCATACATCTCTTGCTGATCAGCATGAACAGATCCACAGTCAAACATGGTGCAGCTTGGATAGAGACAAGGCTTCGAGTATAGTGGGGGCCCAGATAACAAGTTCCCATGCCTATCCTTGAGTCCAAACTCCCCGGTCCGGTGGTTCTGGTGCTGGGGCAACAGAGGAATTAATCCGGCATAGATGGTCTGCTGGTCTCCGTGTACGAATCCGCAGCATTTGTTCTCGCAGTCCGCGTCATCTGGGCAAGCGGTAGAGTAGAGCGGAGCACGCGGAATCGGGCCGTTAGCACTATCGATATGTGCGACACACCGCATTATGGTCCCACGAGTTGGTTCTGGGCGTGTCACAGGCGCAGAAGTCGAGGCCAAGGAAGTGTGGTCTGGCGCGAACCACTCTGGATCTTGTGAAGTCTCGCCGCCATCGGCTCCCACACCGTCATGATCATCTATTCCACTGCCCTCTCGGAATTCTGTACCAGTGTTCAGAATGTCTTTGGACTTATCATTTGGCTGAGCTTGTGATTTGTGCGGATGCATCTCAAGGCCTGCTTCGAGACTCGCGATCTGAGCCTGTTGAAGTGCAATTGTTTCGGCGTACTCGTGGCTCTGCTTCTCTATTGTCGATTGCATCTCTTCGATTCTAAGCGCTTGCCTTGAGATCTCTTCCCGATACCCCTCTGCGTCTCTTATCATCGCCGATTGAAGATATTCCCATTTATTCTGGTAAACCTTCAATCCATTGTCCGAAACTCGGGAGTTATATTCGATGGTCGATTGGAGCCTATCCACCTGTTCTTGCAGCTGCGCTGCTTTCGTTTCTGCGTTCTCAATTTTCGACAGAAGCTCGGCCATGATGTTCCGTAATCTCACAACAAGAGATTGGGGCTGATCACACTTCAGTTTCCGGTCCTGAGTTTGTATTCCCAGATCTTCGATATCCTTCTGAAGGTTTTTCTCCCTTGCAGCATGATTCTGCATGAGACTATCATACTGGCTCTGCAAATGGTTTACCTCTTGCGTATGAGCGGCTTCTTTTGTGGCTAGTTCCTTCTTGAAAGTATCAATCTCTCTCGAAATGCTGTCGATTTGGGTCTTCGCGTTGATCCTCCAGTTTCGAAATGTAGTATCCTCGCAAACGTCATTGGCCTCCTCAAATTCCTGATTCATCACTTGTATGAACTGTGACTCCATTTCTTTAACCCTAGGCGACCCTTTCTGGGCCATGCGACGAATATAATCAATATCTTTCTGGTGCTCGGAATGAGCTTGGCATAGACCATTTGCAGATGGATCATGCGCAGAGCCTGTTTTGGGAGCACAGAGTCAGTCAAGTCCAATAAGGCAATATTAAGGCAGTCGCATGTATTGTTGCCATGCGGGCCGATATCTGGATGATACATACATGTTGGAAGGCTTCGCTGCTTGTTGACCATCGTGACAGCAATGCAACAGAATTGACAGCTCGAGTATTATTCCAAATCTCTATACAGAGAAGGAGATCGCAGATGAAGAAGGTCGCAGGCGAAGGAGGTCGTAGATGAAAGAGGTCCCAGTTGAAGGAGGTCACAGGCGAAGGTTATTCCGTTAGAGAGTCTGCAGTGGGTGTTGCTGTCCGGCCGAAAGGGTTGGGTTGTGGTAGTGGGTTGGAGAGCTCCATCTCCATTTGAAATAGTCTATGCCTTCGTTTGTAAACAAAGCTCTATGACGTAAGCCCTTTCTATATCAAAGCAGACGGCATAGTGCATTTGGATGCGCTTCTACCTGGTGAGTCAGCTTAATTCACTCAATCAAACCCGAACGCTGTTTGCTCTGGAATTTTACGCTTTTTTTTCCTCAACCTACTACAGTGCAGGAAATCCGATAAAGCTGTATATGGATCCTGTCAGGTGGATTGTTTGTTTTGAAGCATTATCATCAGCAGGGCTCTTAAAAACAACCCTTGGGTCTTCTGGACACGTTAACGAGATTCCAATAACACACGTCCCATCAGGAAACAGTGAAACGCCCCGAAAGAGAAACGCTTAGTATGTGAGAGAAACAAAAAAGGATTGCGCAACATTGCAGGAATTCCAAGCAAATTGCTTTGAAGAGTTTATCATTGTAGGCTACGGTAGGCACTTATAATGAGCAAAGTAGTGTGCTCGGCCAAAAATGGGTTCCCTCCGGGAAGTAAGCTTGTTATGCAGTCCATCCCTACATCCCGGGCGGTCGTCAGTTGCCCACGAACAATCCATCACTCCGCTATTATTCCATCCTCAATCCATGTACCATCAACACACCGACAGGTAATCTGGCTGTGTGCCATTGAATCAGGCCGAATGATTCCAGCAAAAATGAAGGGGTGTTGAATGACCGGTCAACCATGGACCTTGAAGCCAAGTACCGGTGGAGCACCTGATGTGAGGTTTTGCTAGTGCAAGTACGGGCAATTTTTGCGCTTACAAGCAGGTCCCCGCCTGCAGTGACCGTTGACAGTCGAAGGATGAGATGCGGCGGACGGAAAGGAGTCCTTGAGGAAAGGCTTAGTCTGAGATGGCTCTGTACGCGATCGAAGCGGAAGGGTGATATCGGCGTTGGTAGGAGCCGGAGCGACGATGGAATCGTTCTGAGAGATATTTGACTGGGTTTCTCGCAACTTCTCAATCTCCTCCTCGAGTTGACGACGGGCGTGGTACTCATCGGCCCACTGATCTGAAGTGGTAGACACCATGTCAGCATAATCCTAGGATAGATATGGTTCAGCGGAGGCAAAGTAGAGAAACAGCTAGTGGACCTGATAGTGAGATATTTTGATTCGAAATTTACGTACCGGCATACTGAGAAATAAGGTCTTGGAGCTCCTCTACTTCTTTGCGCAGAGCGTAGATCTCAGCATCCTTGTTTTGAACAAGGGAATCAAGAAGAGCCAGACGGTGGTTCTCGCATGGCATGTTGATGAGCTGTTCGAGGGTGTCCTCAGTACCGCGCGTCATGAGCAGCTTGGTGTTGTGGATGTAGGCAATCCGTGTTTTTTCGAGGTGATGGATGTGCTTGTGGGCGCCCTCGATGGCAACAGATCCATCCTTAACCAAGTCACGAAGTTTCTTGGTCTCATGATCTAGCTCATTGTTCTCCTTGTTCAGCTTCCTATTTGTACGATTCAAGTTCTTGATGTACTGCTCCTGGAGCTTGATCTGCTGCTCGTTGGTCTTGATCTGCTGCTCATGGCTCTTGAGCAAGGCCACGAGAAGATCGCGAGGAGCAGTCTCGAGAATCAGGGAATGATCCATTGTCACTAGACAAATTTAATGTCAGCACTTTGACGATATGACTAGTAGATGCTGTGACACGCCACGTACAGTGCAGGCTGGACTAGAGCACTGGTGACGCGGTCGACGTGGGGCTGACCCTGGGATTCCAGCGTTAGAGCGATGTCTATTAGACCAAAAAAACCAAGACACTTACAATCTCCAGTAGCTAGCTAGTGGATTCGTGTCAGATGTGCCACTGTATTGGTGGCGAAGGCGGGTGAAATTTGGTTGTGGTGTGCGTTTAAGTGGGATGTGGGAGGCGCATCTAAATAGGACGCAGACGCTCCTCGTTTGAATGCTAGACACCATGAAGTAATTGCTCACGTAAGAGAAAAGTAAAAGTGAGAGAGAGAGAGTGGGCAAACGTTGAGCCTGGTGTGTAACACATCACGTGCTATCTATTCACTGAACTAAAGAGACCGTGGCTATGACAGCGGCGCTAGCGCTAAAGTGACTAAGCGAAAAACGCCCCTCCTAGCCTGACTATCTATAAAACTGCCCTTCCTCTCGCTTTCTCCCTCGCTTTCAACCATCACCTCTGATGCCTCTGCATCAACCCCCAGGGCGTTTGCCTTAGAGTCATGCCGTGGCTACCAGACTCGAGAGTTCTGAGTGATGTCTTCATCCATTCAAGATTTTCTGCGCCGCCTCGGCGGATCAGAGAAACTGAATCAGATGCCAACAGATATTGGGCTGCCGCTTCCGATTACCTGTTATCAGCAGTTATCAAGCGAGCGTCCTGACAGGCCGCAAGGTCCATGGCAATCCCCTGGTGTCGCAGGCATTTCCGGACGCCAGGGAGCTCAGTCCGCTTAAGCCGGCTGCACTTGTTGTAGTCGCCGGTTTGAAATTCGCGCCGAGGCTACCGGAATGGGTACTTGTACTGGTTCCGGTTCTTGGGTAGGGTACTTGCTGCTCTATCCTTCCTGAGTCCCAGAAAATTTGCTGGCGCTCGGAGAACCGCTTGGCTTGAGCCAGAATTTTTCTACTGTGTTACCGATCATTTGGTCTGGTATCTGCGTGTGGGTGCTGGGGATTCATTTCCGCAGCCTTGTCTACTAATACAGTCATGATTCAACGACGCCGCATCGATCTCGACCTGATTTTAGGATTCCACCACCACTCTCGACCTCACCACTGACAGCATCCCTATACATACGAACAATCGAATCACGACCCACGGTAAGTCGGCTTACAACGACAATCGTCACTATAGGATCGGACATAACACTGCTCATGAGAGTCAGGGTTTGTTTGTTTTGCTTCCATTTTCTCCCTTTCCCTTGAGTCGACAGAGAAACGAAATGAAAAAGAAGAAACAATTTTTGGGAAACCACCTCTATGGTGACGATTACTTTTTTTCATTGAGATGGGTGCTCAATTGGAGTGCCGTCTTAAGGAAGGAACTCTATCTACACATTTCTGGGATGTCCTCCCCCCAACGACGAGTTACATCGACCAGTCTGCATGTCTTAGTGAACCGGCCAACGAGCCTGATTGTCTATCTTTGGTCTTGAGTCTAAGTGAAATCAATGAATAGCGTCCTTTTCCCAGTCTCAATGACCTGAGTACAGTATTCGTTTTGCTATGATATTGGTTTGCTTGGAGCGGTACAAAAAGTGGGTGTACACATTCAAACGCATTTTACTTGTGTGAATGACGTAATATTTGACAGAAAAACGTCGGTTTACGCCTGGGCTGTGTCAAGGCCCTCGATATCTGTATTCTTATCCGCGTGGTAGCCCACCTCCTCGCAACCCGGCTACCGCATTGTGACCCTGCAATTCAACCTTAGTCAACAGCTTCCTCCGCTTCCCCCGCTTCCCCCTACGCATTGATACGACACAACTTGTTCAACCAGTGAATTGGGTAGCAAACATTTGGCGGCTCTCTGCAAGCTAGTCGAGGCCATAGACATCTTCTGTCAATGTCGCAAGCCTACCAGAACCCCTCCGACAACCTGCTGGACACAGCACGCATGAACCGGCAACGTGCAATCTCCCGCGATGGGATCGCCGCAACCTTACACAGAGATGATGGAAACGAACCCACAGTCAACTCCACCGGGCTACTCAACTCGGATACGGCGATGGAAACCGCCCAAACCACTAACTCCACCACCGGTGAATCTGCCAACCACCCCGTGCTCGCCAACAATGGGGAGCCCTCAGACACGATCTCCGGCCCATCACCTCGTCCGCTACCTCGTCGGCGCCGTCCTCAGCCTCCCGGCGCATATCTCAGTGTAAGCGACAAACATGACCGTCTGATTCCCGCACCGCCTGTGTATACGAAGGTTTGCTTCCGCGACGCATTCGACGCTTGTAAGCGTCATCGCTGCAAGTATCTGCATGAGGACCAGAAGATTCTGTATGCGAGCCTGCTGCCGTTTCTCAAAGAGGACGCGAGTGATAATTAGGTTTTGGAATATCGTGTGAGTGGGGGCCAGGCTCTTGGGAGCCGTAATTTGTGTTAGACACGGTGATTGTTGGAGGTATGGATCGGGTCTGCTACTGAGCTCATGGCTGTCAGAATGTCGTTGTGAGCATGTCATGGTCGTCTCCTCGGTTGTTCGACGTTTGTGCCTACTGTCTACTAGTTGATCAATTCGATAACGACTACTGACAAGTTCGCATGAGAGCCGGCGTATTGATTTCAGTGTTGACAGCTATCGTAACTACTAAGAGCTCACGAGACTGATTAAAGAGCACATGCGTTCCTCGTATCAAGCAATGCATAAATTGATCGACTCATTCACGCCCACATGTACACTTGATCTGTGCACACACAAAGATAATCGTCCGCGCAAGTACGGATCAACGTGGTCGTAGCACAGCCACGTTGTTGCCTGCGCTAGTCCCAAATAGAGCATACTGCGCCACAACTCTAGCCGCTAAGGGGCTGTAGATAACCCTCGGACGGGCTGAGACGAGAAATGGAAACAGAACTCTGTACTATCATCTGAGATTTCGTGTACCTGCAAGAAGCATGAATCACATCGCCTCCCTCGCAAGAGCAGTCTTATCACGATTGAAGCCCGCGAAGGAACCAACAGAGAGGCGATTCCCCTCCAGAATCTTACGACATGTCCCCGGCGAGTGCACATACTGCAGGAAGATATTATATGTGGCCGAAATGAAGGTTGCCGATATCAAAGGTTACACAACGTTCAAGATCGGGACCGTTGAAGAGGTGCTCACCTCTGAGTGCAAGCAACACCAGGAGCTGCTTTATATGTACCGGGAAGAGCTAGAATTGAATGAGAGGGCTGGCCAGCTTTGGATGGTGAGACGTTACTTTGATTTTCAATCCATTTTTCACGTCATACGAGAAGGCGGCCAATTTCCGTATTATACCGACAGCACTCCCGACATGGACATTCTCGGAGGCGATGGATTGGGTGTGGAGTTGGATCCGTCGTGGATCAACGAGAAGGCAGTGATTGGATGGTATGAGAACTGTCTAAGAGAACACGGAGATAAATGCAGTACCCCGAAGTATCTTGACCTACTTCCACGATCTAAGCCCACGTACTTCATCGATGTTGAGGACAACTGTGTTGTAGAAGCACCTTGGCAGGCATCATACGCCGCTTTGAGCTACATATGGGGCCAGACAGCGATGCTCAGATCAACAAAGGCGAATATCTCGCGTCTGCAAGAGAAAGGAGCTCTCATGGATCGAGAAACGCTACAGAATGTCCCAAGAACGGTTCAGCATGCGATGTACCTGACGCGGAAGTTACCAGGCGTTAGGTATCTGTGGGTAGATGCTCTATGCATTTTGCAAGATGATGATGCAATGATCGGCATGCATCTGCCTCAGATGGGGTCTATCTATGCAAACGCGAGTGTAGTGCTCACCGGTATGGACGGGACAGACGCCAACTACGGCCTGCGTGGGTTAAAGAGTGCACCGATTGCGCAGCCCCGCCAAATGCAGCAGGAAATAATCCCATTTGGCAAGAAGAAATTTGTTATCCGGCATGGCAATGGCCGCGCGGCGAAGATCCGGGCGGCCACCAAGCCCATCGAACAATCTATAGCATCATACCATGCTCGAGGATGGACGTTCCAAGAGCACTTCTTCTCCCGCCGCTGTATCTGTTTCGAGAATGACAGCGTCTGGTTTCAATGCTGCTCGTCAGCAAACTTTGAAGATCGCTCGATATCCGGGCAACCAGATGATCAACGAGATTGGATCTTAGACGTTGGTTACCCATCCATAACAGTCCTTTCTCGTGTCATACATGATTTCAATCAGCGACACCTATCCTTCCCTCAAGACTGCTTACTGGCGTTCTCGGGCGTTACGCCATGTTACGCCAAAGTTTTTACCGGTGGATTTGTATGTGGGCTACCGGAAATGTTCATCGACGCAATGCTACTGTGGCAGCCGGGTGGCAACTTAGTGCGAAGAGTACCACAAGTCAACAAAAACAAATCTCTCGATCAAAATACAGGTTTCTGTCTGCCTAGCTGGTCGTGGGTAGGATGGCAAGGCGAGTTAGACCTCGCCGGATGGGAAGTAGCCAACGAATTCGTAGCCGCATGCAGTGGTTGGATAGGTCTGAGTAAATGCCAAATCAGAAAAGGGACAACGTGGTATACTTCCGCAAACGGCGATGGATCTGAGCGGCGCAAGCTAGATTCTCTGTGGCTCGATTGGCGCAAGCGGTATATGGACCCCAACGTGAAACTACCGAGTGGTTGGATCAAATGGCGGAAGAGAAAAGACGAGGTACTCACTTCCTCAGACGCTCCTGACGGATTTGGCAAATACGTATACGCAGCGAAAAAAAACTCTGTTCCGACGTTCTGGTATCCGTTGCCACTCGACGACCCGCAAGGCGTGCCACGGGTAGACGCAGATCAGCCGTATCTGTGTGCGAAAGTGGATACAGCGCATGCATTCTTCCTCGGCGATGTTTCGATCGTTCCAGCCTCCCACGAAAAAGATGGTGAGATCGCTCGTATATCGCTGAGCGATGCAGAAGGGCGATGGATTGGCATGCTCAGGCTACCTTCATTAGACTACCTCAACACGAATGGTCTCGAAGCTCGAAAAGAGACTGATTTTGTGCAGTTGATTGCAATATCGGAGGGCTTTGTGCCGAACGGGATGGAAGGGAGATGGGGACCGGCATGGTCGTACGTGGATGAATATAATTTGGAGGAGAGGCCGCGTGATGGGATGAACTATGAATTTGTCAATGTGCTGTGGATTTCTTGGAATGGAGGAGTGGCGAGGCGGGAAGCACTCGGAAGAGTTGAGAAGAAGAGGTGGAAGGAATTGGGACCGGAGCCGTTGGATGTGGTACTGGGGTAGAAACGCGATAGTTCTATTGTTGTGATGTTTTGGTCCAACTGGATAATCTTAGGGTATGCGTTGGATTCAAATTCAATGCGCTGAATGGCTGGTGCTCCAAGAGGACGCTGCCACCCATTTTATGCCCCCAGCACTAGTAGATGCATCGTAACCTAATGAAATCGGATCCCGGGGAAGCTTACTCTATTGCGTGGTCAGATGTACCGAACATGTACGAGCGGGTTCCCCCAGCTATACTCATGATCCTTCTGGAAAATTCCCCTCCAGCACCTCGAGCCCGTGACCTGCTTTTCGGATCATTTACGGCTGCACCAACTTCATCACCGCTTCAACGACCCGCCTGAACCCTTCCATCTCCTCCTCAACCGTCCCTCCCATCCCCGCATTCGCAAAACTCATCGAATTCCCCACATACACCGGTTTACCTAGCTTCCGCGCCAGAAGTTTGGCTAGTCTTGTTGTAAAGTCCAGAGTTGAGCTTTGCGGGAATAGAGCCGTGCTGAAGGCATCCGAAGGGGATACTTTCTGGTATGGTATCAGCGGAGATTGACCGCGGGGAAACTTCGGGAAAAGATATCAACACACATTGGGCATGGCATATACAAAGCTTCCCAGCGGTGCGGTGGTAGGGGCATCGGGTGAGGCGGTTGTGAGGAAGAGTAGTATGTTGGGGCCGTTGTTGCGGAGCTGGAGATGGATGTTTGTTTGTGGGGCTCGTGGGAGTGGGAATGAGACCTCGATGGGCTCCGAAGGGGGTGATCCAGACGGATTGGCTGTGGCGGCTATAGAAGCCATTGCCATCTATCTCGGGAATCAAAAAGAATGTGAGGGTTTGATTGTTTTGGTTGTTGGAAGTTCCGCCTCAGCACGCGTCTTCCGGCATCAATTTGCGTGAAGCTTCAGGGCAGGTGGGGTTGGCCAACTGGATTTAGCTCGGGGATAAGTATTGTACCAGTAGTGCCCGCTTGGCGATGTCGATCATCGGCATGTCACCACGCTATTTTCCAACCTCACGTCAGACTTCGTGATCAGCACGCTCGTGCAATTGACAGATGATGTCCGGTGCTTGCTTCAGCTAACATCTTCGGTAGAAATAGAGGGACGGTACTGGTATCTCACGCGGGGTTTGCTGCAAGCTGTTGAAAAACTTTGTTCATAGCAAAGGCAGCATCTGAAGACAGCCAGAAACCTGGATCACGCGACAAGACCAATAGACATTTACGGTAGAAAGCATGGCCAGCAACGAATGGGAAGGCGACTTCGACCCTATGGCGGATCCAGAAGAACAAAAACATCTCCTTTCAGTCCTCGACTCCTTTCGGTGCGCTCCTTACCACTCTTCCGCCAACGCACTACTTCCTATATCCGCCACACTAACATAGCTCAAGCTCTTATCGTCGCCTCGGTCACTGGAATGCCGCACATACTAGACGTCAGGCATTTTACTCGCTTCCATCAGCACACTGGACTCTGCTTTCGCAGCCGCCGTTTTCGATCCTCGACACTTTCAACAAGATAGATGACCTTGTTGATTCAAACGCTTCGCTCGCAGAGGCCATCTTTGTTACAGGCTTCCAAGCATTCATAGCTCCCGGTCTCGATAGCGAATGGGTCACCCAAATTGTCCCGGATCATGCTACCCGCGATGTGTTCGATGTTTACTCCACCGTGATGGACCATCTTAACGTAACCAGCACGCAGAACGACCTTGAAAAAGCACGTAGCTGCGTCAATCAATTCTATCGTGAATGGAGTGCCGAAGGGGCGGTCGAACGCGAGAAATGCTTCACACCCATCATCTCTCAGTTGCAATCCGAATTCGATAGTCAAAAGTCTAACGATCCTTCCCTGCAGAAGTCGCACATCAAGGTTCTCGTGCCCGGCGCCGGACTGGGCCGTCTCGTCTTCGACATCTGCCGTGCAGGCTTTGCAGTAGAAGGGAACGAAATATCCTATCATGAACTAATGGCGTCCTCGCTTGTCCTCAACCACATCAAAAAACCAGGCCAATTCACCATTGCACCCTTCGCGCTTAGCTCGTCCAACCACCTCTCCCGCGCCGACCAGTTTCGCACCTACGCTATTCCAGACGTACATCCAGGCACTGAGCTTTCCAACACGAATGATCCTATTCCTCCATTCGAGCGCATGAGCATGGCCAGTGGCGATTTCTGCGTCTTGTACACACAGCCCAGCGCCCAATCCACCTTCGACGCTGTCGCAACCGTCTTCTTCATCGACACTGCGCCAAACCTCATCCGCTACATCGAAGCCGTGCAGAACTGTCTTAAACCAGGTGGTCTGTGGATTAATCTCGGCCCACTGCTATGGCACCACGCCTCGCGGCCCGTGCCCTCGGCTGAGAAAGAGCATGGTGCAGACAGCAAGATGAAGGATGCGAGTGAGGGCCAGCATGTGGATACAGGCATTGCGGATCCGGGGTCGGTGGAACTCACGGACGATGAAGTGGTGGCGCTGGTGAAACATTTTGGATTTGCTGTGGAGCGTCATGAGCCGGGGAGTGTGTGTACGGGATATATCACAAATACGGGGAGTATGCTACAAAGCACATATCGCGCTACATATTGGGTCGCTCGGAAGACGTATTAGAGGATAGAAGGTCCTGTGGTTGGTTGTACGTTTGAATCTAACGGCTAGGAATGTACATATGTATGGTTTCATGTGGACAGATGGTACATACATATACAGGCATGACGCTCTGGTACGTCTCATAGCCTCAAGAGTAAAATATCAGTTTCATTCTCTCCCAAGATTAATGGCGGGCATAATAGAACATTCGAAGGGTTTAAGAATGTCATACACGTTTGGAAGGTACGCCGACACGAGATAAAGCTTGAAATTCAAATGCTATGGACACCATGGCTCCTCCTTCCCCAACCTTATCTCGACGACGTTCGCATCACCGACTTCGTTGTCTCCAGCCCGAACGACCTGAAAAAACCCGCAATCCCGTCATATATCAGCATGAGAGAAATGTCTACGCATCTGATTAGTCGAACACTCCTTTGCCGCTCCCAAAGATGCCGATCTGCGCTTTAGCCTTTCTCCCAGTCGTGATATCTTGAATATCCATGTTTGCCACTTTATCGGCGGCTGACTCAGGCATCCCAACCTGCACCTGCGCTTCTTCGTGCGTGTTCACATTCTTGATTGTCTGATTGAGCTTGATCTTTTCGAGCTGCGTTCCCAGATCATGGGTCTGCGACAGGAAGCCTGCCAGAATGTCATCTTTCTCTTCCAGCGCAGTCTCTGCGTCGTCGTCATCGTCCACAGCCACCATTCTTTCCGCATTCTGGTCTTTTTCATTTTGCGCTTCGATCCTCCACTGGTCGATCTGCTTGGTCAGACTTTCGATGTTCGTTGTTTTTTTCCTGCGAATAAGGTTCAGCTACAGTATACCCAACTGGAAGGCGCACCTTACAGCGTGAGGATGCCAATGGCTGAGTCAAGCATGCGGGCTGTTGTCCACATTCTAGTCGTATATTTCTGGATGTTCGAAGCATTCACGAGGATTCTCGCCTTGTCCCTAAAACTGCTAGGACCATGCCTCGTCCACTTCTCGAGCTTGCGCTTGAACTCTTCGCAACTGGCGGCGCAAGACTCCATGTGTTTATCCAATCCAAGTTTCCGGACTTCTTCACGTGTTGCTTCGTCCGCGGTTTCGAGGTATGCCAGTCCACCTAGGTTGGACTGAAGACCAGTGATTTCCTTGTGGAATCGCTCAAGTTCTGCGGGAACTTCCTGGTAGGCTTGGAATACGTCGTACAGGCCTTTGATGCTCTTCAGGGTGACATCGGCAATGCCGATAATACCCGCGGCGACCTCTAGTCCTGACATGTCGGCCAAGGCTCCTAGCTTCACAAAACGACGAACGTGTGTTGACTTTTGGAATATGCGAATGTTGGATGATGTTAGTGTTTAATTGAAAACACTAGAGACGGTTCTACGTTCAGCTATCTGCGAGGGTTAACTCATTGGGGGCCGAAACACTGCATAGCCAGTCACGACAGCGGAATTTCTTCCACGGATGCAGGAGCGGACATCTAACCAATAATGCGGATCGCCGAGGCAAGGTTTAATACGAATTTGTGCGGTCACGTACCCTTCCCCCTCTTCAGCCCTCCATGGGATACATTCTGTGTAGGCAACTATCTCAACAACCTAATGGCTGTGCCTCGCAACTTTGTCGTTCGAGAAGTGCATACAGCACAGGACGGGGTCACTCAGATTGGCCATGGAAACACCATCAACTACGCAGATCCAGGTTTGTAGCTTACCTTGCAAGTATATTGTAAACCTGACAGGTGCGCACAGTGGAAACGCAGCGCAATATCCAGAGATGGTTTGCATCATGGCTGTTTGATGACCCTAATTCGACACAACGTTCGCAAGCTAGGATAGTCCAAGAAAAGGGGCGTGCTATCAAAGGTTGCGGGGAATGGCTAACGCACGATCTTGTGCCGCAGTGGCTTGCAGACGGTTCAGATTGTCTATGGATCTACGGTGATGGTGAGCTTCACTCCATGATTTTACATACCTTTAATTGAGATGTATCAAAGTGGGCTCGGGTAAAAGCATTTTGTGGTGAGTGCGTGCTTGCATCTTAATTACTACGACTGATCAATTCTTCAAGTTCTCTCCTTATTTCGGAGCTTCGTCGTATGCAGCCCGAGGTTGGGACCTTGCTAGTCGTTCCCGCGATATTTTCATTCGATGTCGACTACACAGCCCGATCTGAATTTCTGCCAAATACCATTCTTGCTTGGCTTTGTTCGTTCGATCCTATACCAACACCGGTAAAGCGTGCACGAGAGACACATCTCAACGCGTCAGAAATTCACGACATTGACGCTTTGATTGAAAAGACGATTGCCGGGCTTGACGCACAGGGTGCTGAAGTCGGTAAAGGATCTCTCACTATCATGCTTGTCCTCGATGCCATCGACGAAGTTTCCTATGACCAACAGCGACGCACTCTCTCTTTGATCAACGCTCTTGTTGAGCAGAACAAAACCTATACAGCGGTTCGATTTCGAGCGGTATTATTCACCCGCAATGACATGCGCGTGAAAGAGCTTTGCCCCACCGAGGAAGGCTGGACACATCAACAAATTCCAGAGGATTCTTTGGAAAGCGATATCTTGACAGCTGTACAGGGCCGCTTGGCCGAGTCAAGACTTCGAATGTCAGCATCCGAGCGTCATTCCCTGGCAAAAACCGTTGGAGACAGAGCCGGCGGCATGTTTCGATTAGCAGGGCTGTACGTGGACCACCTCTTGAAACCCAACCAGCGTAAACTCTCCTCAACACAGCTGCAGACCATTATCAATGCGCTCCCAAATGATCTTTATGATTTTTATGATCGAATCATTTCCAAAATCGAAGATCAAGAAGCACGTCGCTTGAGTTTCAAGTCGTTAAGATGGATTTTCTACGCGTCGGGAGTCATGTCATTAGGTGAAATAGCAGAGGCATGCTCGCGATCTTTCCCAGGCGATAATGAGTACGTGGAAGGACTCATTTCGGAAGTTGATCCACTCGATATCGTCGATCCGTTAAGCGGCTTCATTCATATCAACCCACCCTTGCCAGAAGATACAGACGATCTGGATTATGAACAGCATCGGATTACTATCGCTCATTTCTCTGTTGGCGAGTATCTTATGAATCGAGTGCACTTATCGTTCGACGTACGCCCGTCTTTCTACCAACAATACGACGCCAGTCTATACTTAGCGCAGGCAGCTTTCTGCTATCTCGGCAGCTACCTTTCAGAACCGGAAAATACTACTATTGGAGCTTGGCCATTGTTGAAATACGCCGCTGACCAGTGGCCTTATCATGTCGCTGCATCTATCCATCCTTCCCATCGAATGTCAGAATGCTGCTCCTTGAATATCAACTCGCTGGCACTAAAAGTTCGAAACTGTTTTGCTTATCCGGATGCCGATCTTTACACGGATGCAGAAAAATTGAGACAGCGCGTCAAAGATTATATGAGAGCAGTGCTGAGTGAGAAGCAGGTTGCTCTTTTGTCCAGTAGACTGCTCGGCTCTGCATCTCTCGCAAGTATGAACGAGAGTGACGCGCCACCGTACAATACACTTGATCTGGGACAGATCCGTTTCGTAATGCTATATCCTAGCTCAGAAGAGAATGTCAATCCTCGATGTGAACTATTCACATGCTCTCTTGATAATGATCCAAATTACGATTTCATTGCCTGGTGTTGGCAGGCTTCGGCGCCAGAGACAGAGATTCCCGTTGCTGGCCGGAAGGTGAGGACGAAGGCATCGGTTATTGATGCTCTAATTCATTTGCAATGTCGCTTGGAACGGCCCCAAGCCATCTGGGTGGATATGCTGTGTATCAATCGCGATGATGATGCAGAAAGAACAAACCAAATACAACAGATCAGTTCAACAGCCACAAACGCGCGGCAAGTCATATGCTGGCTCGACCGCAAATACAGCGCTCCGCCATCTCTCCCATCATTCGATCTGTACAGCAATATGTTTTGGCGAAGATCTTGGGTCATTCAAGAACTAGTCCTTGCCAAACAAATTACGATCATGTTTGGAAATCAGAGCTGGGATTGGCAAATGGTGGTGCCTCTCCTGCAAAGTTTCACTGACAACGATGTGGTGTCGGCCCGTAGATCGCGGCCCGACCTTATCACGGATGGGATTGCAGGGGCAGTCAAGGCGGGGATCAAGACAATCGATTCTGTTCAGGTCATACGTAAACGTCTAGCCGAAGGCGAGGTGGTCAATTTAGAAGAGCTGCTCAGCACTTTCTGCCATATGAGGGCCCCAAACCTAACAGACAAGATAGCATCACTAGTGTCTTTTAACACAGAACACTACAATGAGTACCAAAGTCTCATCGATTACTCTGTGCCATTTACCGGCGTATACGTTCGTCTCGCTGTCACAATCATGGAGTCACGCAAAACTCTGGATTTGCTAGCCTTCAACAACATTGAAAGCTGCCCACATGGCTTACCTACGTGGGCACCATGCTGGGTTGACCCCATATTTCGCGATCCGCTTGCCCCCGGAGTCTTCAAGCCAGATCAACCACATCTATTCCAAGCTAGCAAGAAGCAGCCTCGCTTTGACTTCCGCGAAGCTATTAGCGAATTGCACATCTACGGCCTATTGGTCGATGAGATCGCGACAACTTGGACAAGAGATGATTACATACGACGGGCGTCCACAAAAGGACCTGATGGCAACCCAATACTCTCCCGTCTCCCACTCCCAGAATTTTCCGAGGTTTATAGCTGGACTGATAATCATGTCCCTATCTCTTTGGATTTTCAGGAAGTCAAGACCGTAAACTGCGAAAACTCTGAAATCGCTCGTGCTCTTACCGAAGGACGGACTATCCACCATTACTCAAGGGCAAGCTCCATACTGGAAAATGCCGACAAACTCCGGCTGGATACTGAGTCTCTCCCTTTGTCCAGAGCAGACCGTCTCATATGCGAGACAAAAATGGGTAGACTGGGAAACGTACCCAAGAGGGCCCGTAAAGGCGATGTCGTGGTGGTTCTAGAAGGCGCGCGGACTCCGCATGTCTTGAGGCCTTTTGGCAAGGTTGGCGGGAAGTGGGTGACTTATGAGCTTGTTGGGGAATGGTATGTCCTGTGTCTTCTCTCTCCTTCTCTTTCGTCTTGTTATCCTTGGACTGAATGGTATCTAGTTATGTTGATGGACTGATGGACGGCGAAGCGGAGCAGGTGAAGGAAGGCGAGCAACCGGTGGAGCCTGTGAAGTTTGTCATCGAGTAAATCAACACGAGGTGATTTGCGTCGTGAGAGACAAAGTCGATATAGCTAGACATGTGATTAATGCGCGAGCATCGCGAGCATCGCGGTCAATAGATCCATCCTCTACATCATTTACGAGAAATTGCATGACATGTGCTACTGCTAGGGCCAGAAATTCGCCCCATCGCCTCGCGTTCTGCAATGCGCTAGATTGTTGTTATTTTCCCAAATACTTTCAATCTATAAAAACATCATAGACTTACTTTCTACTTTTCTGTGCCTCTTTAGTACTAACTGATCGCTTACGCGCTGAGATTAGCTAGATGTAGCCAAGTTCATTTCCGGATGGCTGTCAGCGTGCAGGATGACTGTACCTTCGTATCCCGACGAGCTCCATGCAGCCAATACGCGTACATCGAAGTAAACTAATTTACAATAAGGCTGATACCGAAGTTAATTGGAAGTTAGAACTGTGCAATCTCGCACCCGGAGAGAGATTTTATCATGCTGAAACCACACACCGAGTACCGGTATTAAATTTTACCACAGACTGGTGAAATGTTCCGTTCTACTGCCAATTTGAGTTTTTTTCTCAGCTCGCGCAGATCTCCTATTGATGCAGGTGCACCGATACCATAATATGCCCCATATCTGGTTGATTTTAGCAGCCTATTCCAGACGAGTATCGACGCTTGCCAAGAGCGGGTTCATACGACTCAAAGAATACCCTTGATTCTATGAACCCATCCATTGTGGCTGCTCAATGACCGCTAGCCCGCATGCCACCAAACTAGGTCCGAATTGAGGAACAAAAAACAAAACAGCTGTACGTGTACTAACCCCTCATGTCCGCAGAATCTTGTTGGAGCGCCGCGTATAATCACCTATGCATTTAACGATTCAATGCCTCTATTTGCACCTCTATTTTTAGAGGCGTAAATGCTATAGTCACCTGACTGCCCATTACCTACATCTGTATAAGAGCTCGCCTCTTGCATGTTCTGCCACATCACTCTATCAATCAAATCGTGCACATCAATCCCTCCATTATCCATTATGAGACTTTTTGGGGTCTCTACTCAAAGCATACCGGCGCTACTTGCCGGTTTGCTCCTCCCACAACTAGCAATGTCTAGCCTGACTCCTGCCACCAAGAATTTAACGGTCTCAGGTGGTTTCACATATTCGTATGTGTTCCAGCCTGCATCCGATCAGAAGCCCACATTTCTCTTCGTTCACGGGTTCCCAAGTGGCAGCCATGACTGGCGACACCAGATCCGCGATCTCAGCAACGCTGGGTATGGAGTCATTGCCCCCGACCTGTTGGGATATGGTGGCACAGATAAGCCTTCGGAAGTCGAGGAGTATTCGGTTTGGAAAATCGCCTCCCACATGGCCAACATTCTTGAGCATGAGGAGATATCTCAGGTCATTGGGGTTGGTCATGACTGGTATGTTTTCGGCATGGTTCTCTACCAGATTGCGTCTCGGGAACTAACGGCGACGGAACAGGGGATGTAGTGCTCTTGGAATGCTGGCAAACCGCTACCCTGAGTATCTGTCAGCATTGGTCTTCATGGCCGTACCCTACTCAGCGCCAGGCCCATTCGATCTCGGTAATTCCACCTACGATACTTCACTATCTCTGCTTATCACTTCTCAGATGCCATCAATAACTTGACCGAGGAAACTTTCGGCTATCCGAGCTTTGGCTACTGGAACTTTTTTAATGAATCCGACTCAGCTACCGTGTTGGACGAGCACGTGAGTACATCATCTCGTCTTCCTTCGATCATTCTGACAAATCCGCTACAGGTTGAATCTTCTGCTTCAATCACTTACCCCAACGAACCCTCTCTCTGGAAGACGGACCTTTGCCCCTTCGGAAAAGCACGCGAATGGATCACCAGCGACAAGAGAGCGCCCCTTCCATCGTGGCTCACGCAAGAAGAGTCAGACAAACACATTTCGATCCTACGGGATGGCGGATCCACCGGCCCACTCAACTGGTACAAAGCCGGAATGAGAAACATCGACGTTGATAAATACGACCAGATTCCTGCTTCTAACCTTATCATCAAGCAACAGACATTATTTTTGATGGGTCAAGACGATGCCGCGAGCAGACCGGAGCTAGCGAAGTCGGCTGCCGAGCAAGGGAAAACCGAGGGGTACTTGCCAAATGTTGAGGTGCAAGAGCTGGAGGGCTGTGGGCATTGGATACAGTTGGAAAAGCCGCAGGAAGTCTTTGTTGCTTTGGAGGGCGTCGCTAAGAAGGCGTGCAAGTAGACTTCGCGGCTTGTATGAATGGGTTGTGTTTGCAGATGTGTTTGAGATGTTGAGGTTATTAGCTAGCTTTAGACGTTGGTAATTATTAGAATTGGAGGGATTAGCAAATTTTAGACACTGGTGATTACTAGATTTTGAGGTTTTCCTCATTCATGGAGTCTAGTACAATCACCAAGTACACAGAGATACCATGATTTATGCGTAGAATGGAGGCCACGCACATGGTGACTGATGAGGTACCAGCAACCAGGTGACTGTGACTGGAGTACACATCTAATGGGGATAAGCCGGGTTTCATCCATTATAATGCAATGCCATTACAGGGAGATCATGTGCGGTTCGTCAAATTACTGCCGCATCCAGAATCTCATTACAAGGTGAATGTTGGGGGCCAATTCTCTGTTCGAGTATATGCAAAAACTTGGCGCAACATGTCCAACATCTTAAAAATGACAGGGTTCCGGGACATCGTCCTACTTGCTTTACCACATTTCGGCGGAACCCAGGGATCCCATCCCCCACACACATGACTGATGCCCGGTGGTATGATGTCCGATAGCTGGGGGAATTGTCATGCTATCTTGGGGGCGGATTCACATTCGTTTAAAGACAACCACATTCAGTTCCCTTTCTGGGGAGAGAACTCTTCGCCCCCACCCTCCCAAGAACGTTGACGTGATCTCATGCTTTGGCCGAGACTCACCGGGAATGTGCAACTACCACCTTTTTTTACCTGCACATGGCCTTTCACCTTGCACATGTGAAATAACATTGACGGTAGCTCGTTTTTCGGGCTTGTCAGTAAGCTGACGCACGGCGCTCAATCCGGAAGTAATGAAAAGAGATAGGTTAGGCTGTGCAGTTTCCCGTGTGATTTGATGAACTACTATTCATCAGATCGGGTTTTGGGTATAGCTTTCCATTGCTGCAACTGTTGAATGTGAGCGTCTCGTTAAATGGACTGTGAGATCCCACTATGAGCGAGATGTGTAACAAAAAAATCAGCTTCACAAATTTTATGAGATGGGCAGCGAATCGCCTGCGAGATAGGTATCGCATCGGGTATGTATTGCTTACAGTTAATTGCGTGTAGAATATTGTATCACAATGAACAATCAAAGCGTTCTTGGGGTGAGTATGGAGCAGAGGTTCCGCTTCAAGAATGCGCTGATTCGATCTTTGCGCGCTCTCACAGCTGTTGCGAATAATTGTTGTGGACAAATACGTGTTACGTTCATCGAACACAAACTTTGAAATGCATGGACGCCTGAGATCTGGAGTGTTACGAATGACATTGAACTACGCCAGCCGCGCTACGCTATCCAATAGCATGATGAGCTATCGTGACTCTCTTCCCGATCATTGATGCTATGCCGCGGCCGTGGGTCTGCAATGATATAGGACAGCTTCCGTTGGGCACTGATCTCAATAAAAGCAACAGGAATGATGCCCGAAAAATCTCATGTCTGCCTGATCTTGGCGTACAACTTGAATATATATATATCGCCTCTCTGTTCCTCCTTCCCGTGTCTTTTTCCTCACACTACAGAACACCAGCGGCCGCATCATAACCTTGCAGCAGCACTATTCATGGGATCGAGACGTTTGTCAGGGTGAAAAATACGTTACGGTGATCTCGGAATGATTATGCAGTGAACAATGATGATAATGATAATGAAATTTCATGATGCGCATTGCCAGCAGGGCCTTTACGTGTCTCCCTACAAATCACATGACAGATTATTCGTCAATCCCAATCGACTGCGCAATGCATATTCATTCAGTCCAAGAACTAGAACTTTCATACGCCTTCCATACTACCTTTCACGTCGTCCATAACACGCCCTGCACAGCCTCCAGTGCAGCATGAACCTCTCCCAGCCCCCCAACCTCAACTGTAGGCGGCATTGCTCCCATACACCATCCATCAGGCGTGTTGCAACTCTTGTACCACTTGACATCGCAACCAATACTTGCGCCCTCACCTTCCCGCGGGCGACACCGGCTCGCAGCAGCTTGAGCCGACGCGTCCACGATGCGCGTTAGGCGCTCCTCGGCATCCGTCAATGACGACACTAAGGATGCGGCGCGTCCAAGACTACGGATCCAAGGCCCTTTTAGAGCTCTGTTGTCGAACGGGCATTGTCCTGTTGCACCTGATTCGCAACCACGTATTATGTAGTCTACAGTTTGATCTTCGCTGTCTGTGGCTGCGGGGCGACACTCGGGGGAGTCGGTAGCGCAGAGCGCAGATGTCAGGGAAGTGAGAGGAGCAGTCCAGGTCGAATTTTCAGTAGAAGCGGCGGTCTGGGGCGGTGATGGTTAGTATCTTTGGGAAACAGAGTAGCAGAGGAGTGTATAAGAAAACGTAGGGAATGCAGTGCTTGATTGAGTCTGGCGGGCGCAATATCTCATCGGGGTGTAAGAGCTGAAGAAAGGATGTGGAGAAAGGCGAAGAAAAATAAAAGCACTTACCAAATTCCACAGGTTTGCAACTCCCTCAATTAGAATAGCACGATCTCTATACCCCCTAAACCATACCCCATCAATCTCGCATTTTCCATCACTTCCAACGCTCAGATCGTTCACGCTCCAACTCTGCTTGTCCACCATCGTCCCTTCAATCCACGTCCATACCTTCTCGGCCCATTCCACAAACACCGGATCCTCACCACCAGTAGCCAGCGCAAGTCTCGAAGCAAGGAGGAAAAAGTTTGTGTTCGCAAACGCAGGTTTTCCAGATCCACCATCGCTGCCTCCGGCAAAAAGCCCGCCCGAGCATGCTGCTGCACTGTCTTCGTTCCATCGCGTAACCTGCATTTCGAAAACACCCTTCGCAAGATCAATCCATGATTTACTCTCGTCACTCGGTTCCTCAAGCCCAGTCTCGAGTGCCGTCAGCGCGGCGATCGCCCAAGAGCTCATCTCTACATTGCTGAGTTCCGGCTTGGTCCATCCGTCTGTTGCTGTAGCTTGCTCTTGAAGCGCAGACGCGACGAGTGTGTTGAATGATGTGTCACCGGAAAGGTGCGCATATTCGATAAGCGCGGTCCACGCGGACGGCGGTACCCAGGCTGGATATGGATTGGGGTTGTCGGGTAGGGGAAAGGTTGGTTTGGAGGAAAATGTGGTGTTGTAAGGGGTTGTTATGCTTGAAACGAGAACTTTGGCAGCAGCTTCAATGGTATCTAGTACGACGAGTCAGATAATGCGTGGGCCGAAAGAGATGGAAGAGACGGACCTGGGTGGTTGAGATCAAAATCGAGCGCCGCAACACTTTGCGTCGAGAGGAACAAGGCAAGGGGTAGTGAGTTTTGAATCCGCATCTTCGCCTTATCTTCTTTTGTATTTTCTCGAAAATCTGCGTTCTTATGTTCCTCTTCTTAAGCTTCGATGTCAGTCGCACAAACGTCAATGGCGAAGACGGAGCGGGAAAGAGTCAGTCTGATTTGGAACAGTCGTATTCGAATTTGCGAGGAAGATCAAGGCTTCTTATAAAGTCGGACTTTGAACTACGTCAAGGCACTCCTCGTATTTTACATATGCAAATATTAATTAAGTCGCATGGCCAATACTCCAAGCTTAGCGCGAGATCTGTCGATCACGTTCTCGAAGCAGTTAGGTTCTCGTTTTCTCCACATGAAACGTCTGCACCGCCCCTTCCTTCGTTCGCGTGTCGTGTAGCTGTAAAAAAACTCAGATGCAAACAAAAATCAACAGACCAATTATCTGCTTGCCGTTTGTTCTAATCGAAACTGAAAATGTGGGGAACGAGGCTGAAGCGAGCAGCGCAAGGCAATATCTAGGCAATTCGCCTTACGAGGATCCCGAGATAAGTAATTAAGAGGAATAGTACATTTCCCTTCCTGGTAGAGTCCGTTTACTCGTTTAGGTATGCTGTTTGCTAGAGAATAATCAGAACTCATGATCTTTGTTTTGGCCCCCATTGGATGGCCCATGTCAAAGCATCCTGTTCATTTTAGAGTACCGATAAGATCATGCTCTTCCGATTCTTAATCTCCTTATCGAAATTTCAGATCGCCGATAATTTATGGCAATATGCCCCATGTCCGTAGCCTTGAATCATGCGCAGTGAGAATGAAATTGTCCACGTCTACAAGCAAGTATCGGGCCCTCCGAGGATCATTTAATGAGACTGAGCATTTGTCCGACATGAATACCAGTATTCCAGATATAATGTAGCCCAAGGATATACTTCACAGTCAGGTCGAAGTTCGTGGCTAGTATTCCAGTGGACTAGACGTTCGGCCACAAAGAACACCACGAACTCGACATACGAATGAAGTTGACGCTAGAATAGAACGAATAGCAACGAAATAAACCTAGCTGCGCGAGGTCTGTCGAGAAAAATCAAGGCAGGAACATTATGTTCCCATAATGCAAAACTCATCTTCATCATCGCTCATGACCCCCTCAAAAGCCTGCGAAATGTGTCATGTCAGTTTCGTCCTATGCCAAGCGCTAGAAAAATCGCGCGACTCCCCATATCTCATCTGGAAGTTCCTTGTGAGATGTTATGAACGCCAACCCGCGACAATGCTGCAAGTAGAAAAGACAATCGTGGAGGTCGAAAGACAAGTTTATATATCAACATCCTCCGACGACGACGCTAGCCCTTTTAGAGTACTCAAACCAGACTGAGATGGGGGGCAAGGTGGGACGCCAGTCCTCGATGAAAGCACTATCATGACCATCATCACTATCGCTAATATCCCAGCATTGACTTGAAAGCATTCGCAGCTGGACTCATGTGCTTCTACAACCAACCACCAGCTACGAAAGAGAATCTCAAATACTGACGTTTCATAACAGAACATCTTCGGATTATTTTAAGGGACGAGAGAGCTGCAAGGAATTGTATGCGATGAGAAGATGAAAGAGTTGAGAAGTGCAGAGGGAGATTATGCATCCTTTTTATACACGACCCACACTTCCCCATCCCATATAAGATAGCTATTACTTCCTGCCCTCATCATCACTATCACCAGTAGCGCAATACTAATCTAAAGTATTATTCGGCAACGTTACAACAAATTAAAATAAATCAATTCTAGCACATTCTTGCTTCCTTCATCATCTAGGTGTCTAGAAGGCTATGTTATGATCAATCATCCTGCTTGTTTCATCCGAGGAGAAAGTCGATGTAAAAGCAGGAGAAGATAGAAGCATGTTATCTACCCTTCACTGGCAATAATGCTACTCTATCCCCAGAAACCTCATCATTGTTTCTCTTATAGTAATTATTGTCATCGGCATCATCGTTATCTTCGCTAGTTGCATAAAACCCCAAAACAACATGTACCTGCCCAAAGTTCGTGTACACCCGCGGGCACTCTCATTTCTTCTCCCATTTTGGGCTGATTTTCTGCTTTTATTACATAAACAAGCCAACCTGCGCGGTGTAGAGAAAGAAAAATAGAAGGAAGGGAAGAAGAGGAAAAAGATATTACTATATACCCCTCTCCTAAGCTAACGCTACTTCGTATCTAGAAACGTCATCATTATGATCATTATCGTCATCGTAAGTATCATTTACCCCGCCAGAGTCTCGAATCTTGTGCACATAAGGAAGTCCTTTGAATACACACACACACCCACTCACTTCCCTCCCATCAACAGGACGTCGGATATTTTAGTTGCACAAAGGAGATAACGTGTGCTTCGTAGAGAAGAAGACGATAGTATAAAGAAAAGAAAAAGAGGGTTTATATACCTCATCTTCTGCGCACACTAGTCACTGCTTCATGACAACCACCATTATTATCATCGCCTATCAACTAATTCGAAAGAAAAAAAACCCTGGTCTATATGACTACATGTTGGAAACGCACGCACGCACTCGTGCGCCCATGGGGTAGGCCGACATGACTTTTAGTCAAAAGGCAAAGAAGACAGTGCCGTGGAGAGAAAAAGAAACAGAAGTTTAAGGGTAGAAAGGAGGCTTATATACCTTTTTTTCTTGGTTGCGCTAGTTATTGTTTTATCATGATCGTCGTTATTATCATTCTTCGAAAGCTATCCAAAAAGAACATCAAATTAGTGCTATGTTATCCTGAAAAACACAAGAACACGCGCGCACTCATTGAATCGATAGCGCGGTGTTTAGTGTCAAAAGAGGAGGCGACATATTTTGCGCGGAGAAAAGGAAAGAGAAGTGGAGAGAAGAAAGGGATGTATATACCTCTTCTCCCACATGCACTAGGCGCTTGATAATGAGTATCTTTATCATTGTAACCATCTCGCAACTCCTAGAAACTCTACCTAGATTTTCCCATGTACGCGTATATGAAATGCGTACGTCCGTCTCAACGCATGAAGCTTGGGCGGTCGTCTTTATGGTAAAAGCACACTATCTGGTGCCGCGCAGGGAATTGAGGAATCTAGAAGTCAAGGACGGACAGTGAAACGATTTATCTACTTCTTCTTCCCCGTGCTAGTTGATGTATGATGATCATTGCCATCATCTATTTTCAATTACCCAAGAAAAACCTCTCTATTCTGTCTCGCCATGTCGACTCGACTCACCCACAACCGGCCCACATCCACACATGCAACCTTGTTTTGTCAATTTTAGTGAAATGCAAAAAAATTCAACAAATGGTATGTAGGAAAAAGAGAAAGAAAGAAAGAAATAGAAAGAGAGGAAACAGACAGCCATTATATCGTTCCACCAACACTAGTACCCTCCTCCTCCTCCTCCTCCTCATCATCATCATCATCACAGTTCTAGTCTACTAAAACTTCTATCTAAACCTTCCTATATCATCTCGCTCCACACAAAGCACTCGTCTGCCCACGCATAATCCGAATGTGACCATCTTTTTAGTAATAAATAAACACTCAAGTACAGTAAAGTGTAAGGAAAAAAGAAGAAGCGAAGAGAGAAGAGACAGCCTTTTACATATCCTCACTAACATGACGCAGACCAAATCATCATTATTATTTTAATCATTATCATCATCATCACTACTCTCCAAGCGATCTAAAGAACACCTTCCCACTCTGATAGATACTACATATACGTAAACCAACTTCGCGCAAAGCCCGCCAACAACTACTGTTGGCTTCGCAGGCATTTTAGTAAAACAACACATTATAGTGCAGTGCAGTGTAGAGAAAAAGAAAGGGAGGAAGCCAGAAGGAGGTTGGGTGCCTTTATATACCCGCTGCGTTAGCACTAGTACTGTCTAGTTTAAGCATTATCATTGTTGCTAGGTTTCGTGCAACTCAAGAAGGTCTATCTGATAGATAGAATGTTAATTACCTCCTCATTTTCATCATCATCATCATCATCATCATCATCATCATCACCACTTCTTTCCCAATCAAGACTACCCCTCGTAACTAAAGGTATGTGAACCTAGCTAACGCAGAGCACGCGAACACATGTAGTCCGTTCTGGTTGGATTTAAGTGTAACTTCAACAACACAGTGTAGCCCAATGGAAGGAAGAGAGAGGAAGAAATAAGAGCGAAGAACGGAGGCTTTATATATCTGATCCAGGAGATTAGTCGTTACAAAACGTGAAATTCCGTCACCACTGTTGGTATTACAATCATCATCATTCCTAAGCTCACATCGGATATAGATAGCCAGATATTTAGTATTACGAAATTGCAAACACCGAGGCAGCAAGGCCGGCCGACTAATTGCCGCGTGAATTGTTCATTTTTTCGGATGCCAGCCTGCTAGTAATGGAAGAGAGGGTTTTGTTTGGCAGCATGGGGCATTCACAGGGGGAGGATTAAGGGAAAGGGGGATTGGCGTACACGCCCAATCGTAGTAAATACAAACAAAGGAGAATAAGAGGGAGTTTCAGAGGGCACAAAGGGAAAACAGCACCAAGACGAAGCAAATGATAGATATAGTATTGGCGGAAGACCAAAGAATCCAACAATAGATAAATAAATGGTACATCCTTCTACTTTGACCAACGACACAGCATACAAGGTGACATCGTGTCCCCAAAACAACTCCCCGATGAGGCTATCTCTCCCTCCACATGTCAATTAGACGACGAGAAAGAAAAAAAAAAGCCGTGGAAGTATATCACAATGCACCACAGCTAGCCCAGTTTCTCTTCCAATGAAGAAGACGAAGACAAGGATGGGATGGATTTTATACAGCGCTATATCCACCACGACTACCTCCACCCTGCGTTGAGTTCACAACCTTTCTTCCAAAGTCCTTGAGGATATAAGGGATATCGCGGATGGTGTCGCCGTGGGGGAGAAGGTCCCAGCCGCGGGCGCCGTAGCGGTTGTAATTAAGCCAGGAGCCAAAGATGAGGTATGTTGCAGTTGCAAGGAAGAATCTGTGAGAGTTTTGCCTGGTTAGTACACGTGCGATATTTGTAACATCCATGGGGGAAGAGGGGAGAAAGGTAGGTGAGGGAAGTGATAGGAGCGGAGACGTACATGATGATGAACCAGGTGAAGAATCCCCAATGACTGCTCGACGACTCTTCAGGCGCATCCTGTTCGCAAGCGTGCTTTGTGCGCCATTCCAGACGCAAAGTTTGTACTTCTTTGTCCTTTGGTTTTTCCGTCTCGTACCCGCAGAACCGCAGACTGTTCTCTGAATCCTCACATTTATCCGCCCGACGCACCAACTTCTTCTCGCTTTTATCATCATCACCATCGTCTTTCTCGTACTCGCCGCCGTCCTTCTCCTCGCCCTCGAGACCCGAGCGATCCGGATCACAGACAAACTCAATGATGGCGCGCTGGTCGAGGCCGTTCTTCTTGTCGTCAGCGGGGAATCGGCCTCCGTGCAGCTCGATGCGCACGCCTTCTTTGTCGCTATCGGCATTGGATTTGGAATCCTTTAAGCGAGTATACTTTTCGTCCATAGGGCGGCCGTTGCCGTGGAGTTTGAAGGAGCCGGCGATGTCGATGGGGGTGATGGTGGCGTTGTTAGTGCCGGAGAGGTCGACGTTTTCACGGATGCCGCAAACTGTTGGGTTCGTTAGCACTGAAATCGATACTGGAGAGGATAGAATATGATTAGGGATGTAGGGGAGAACGAACCCCTGGCACCGTGCTGGCATTCCTTATGCTTGTCACCACCTTTGTGATGTTTCAGAAAATCACATATGTCGAGAGTGAAGTTGTAATTGTATTTGACGTCGGCTTCTATGTCCGTCCGACTCCAGTGCACGATGTGGGGTCCGCCGAGCTCTTTGAAGTTGAAGTGTACTTTGTTGGTGAGAATATCGCTGCAGTCCATGGCCCATGACGCAGGAACCAGCGATGAGAGTGTGAGAAGGGCCGCAAACGAGAGCGGTCTCGATGTTTGTGATGATGGCGACATTGTGGACGTTGACGTGAATGAGGACGGAGAGGGAGAGGTCGAAGCAGGAGGAAGACACACGACCTCCGGGGGTGGTCTCCTAAGGGGTGAGAAACAGCGAAGGCGACGAGGCGTGAGCAGAAAACGTGACGTGTGACTGTCGCGTGGGAGATATCTCGAGGTGAGCCGTAGCCGATCGGACGGGCTGATGTGAAGAGTGATGTATTGGGAGGTGACTGATTGATTGATTTGATGTCAACTGACTGACTGCCTACGGCTCTGTTTGGTCTCTACGTGGAAAGCTCGGCGGTGCCGTCATCAGTCACCATTTAGGTCTAGTCCAAATGGGTATTAGCCCGTTTGTGTCAGAGTCACGTGGCGTTCCTTTCACGCGTGAGCCACACGTGTGGCTTATGTAATTCCCCAGATCGACATCCTGCTTTCTACCCACATGTGCAGTTACTAACTCTTCATCAGAGTGTGTACTGCACTTGGCAAGACTACGTCTACCTGAAAATACTTATCAACGCACCCAAAAATATCGATTCCCCGCAAGCCACTCCGGCTGTCCGTGACACATCCAAGCGCACGACTAATCCTCCGACACCCTCCCATCTCTCTCGCCCGTGTACCATACAACATGTACTACATGTTGCACGATCAACTAAATTGTAGAAATTGTGAGCTGAAAGATTTCAATGGGAATCATCAATGATGCTAGAGAAATAAGAATAATATATGTGACACTTTCTATCTAACCTTCGTTTCCCGACCAAGATAAATGCTATGCCATTTCATGCGATGCGATGCGATGCTGGATGTTAATGTTGGAAATGCAAGGAGTTCTAAAAACAAAACGCCGGGGACATGCAGCTGAAGACAACCACCCACAGAGCAGATGCAGACAAAAGATATAAGGAGACCAGAAAGTCGATACTAAACAGAAAGGGCTAAGAAAGGGTAAAATACAAAATGAAGCTTCTAGAGTAAAATGAACAAAAGAAAAGTCTAAAAAGGCTGATGCAGAACAATATAAAGAAAGGGGGACAGAAAAGAAAAACAAAAAAGAGGAGCTGTTATACAGAACAGCGGAGGAAAAAAAAGCATCAAAGATTTTGGAGTGTATGCTGAGTATACAACTCTGTCCGGAAAAAAATTGCGCGCCGAGGCTGTGCGAGAAAGAACGTTGAGAAAAGCGATGAAAAGAGAAACCATCAAGGGGGGCATCAAATTCATCCATCCCGAGCAAGACTTTTCGGAGAGAACAAAGGAAACCGCAAAGAAAGCCGTACTATTTGCACAGATGGATACAAATTATCTTCCTCGTGTCGTCTCAGAAAACGTCTATTTTCCAGAGCCGCCCTGCCCGTTCCCACCAGACTGTGGCATGGGGTAAGGGAACGGCGCATAGGGGAGCTGATACGACGGGTTGCTGCCAGACGAAGAGCCAGCAGTCGACGTGTTGCCGGAGGAAGACGAAGAGGAAGACATTGCGGCTGGCGTAGTAGTGATAGTGGATGGTGTTGAGCGAGGCTGTGAGTGCGATCTTCGAGTAGTCGAGGCGCGTGTGTAGTAGGGTGAAAGGCGATGGTGTGATGGGTTGGAGGAGCGGCTGCGGAGTGTGGAGTGACGCACTGCAGATGTTCGAGATCGGGGTTGGGTGGCCGTATGCGCTGAAACGGTGATTTGTGGTGATTGAAGATGGGTGTATGATGAAGGGGTCGAGGTCGAGGTGATATGTTGAGATGAGTTGGCAGGTGGTGAGGTAGTGTTGGTTGATTGATATAAAGCTTGTGAACTTGTTTGCGTACTCGACTCAATGGGCGAATCTGCAGTCTGGGATGAAGAGGGTTCGGTTTGGGAAAAATCACTCATGCGACGGTGGTCGTTGATTACACTGGTACTGTGTGATGTTGTGGGTGCAGGTATTGCTGAGTGATAAGTTGTTGTTGGTAGAGTGGCAAGAGGCGATGGTGGTGGATCTGTTGGATTGTCGGCGTGGATGTTTTCTTGACTGTCCATCTTCGACGCTCTTATATATGCCTCAGATATGAGACTGGATGTGGCCCGTTCCTCGATGGAGATTTCGTTCCGCACTCTGCGTGTCCACGATGGACATAGGGCTGATGACTGAGTCGTTAGATGGTGACAGCAGAATAAGCTTGACCGGTATCAACTGCGGTAATCGTCTTGTGTGTAGCCTTTTCGAGCTCGGTAAAGCGTACGTGTTGCTCGGCACGAAGATAGGTCTACAACGGAGCCGGTGATGGATGGAAATGAGTAGTGAGATGGTCAGACTGCGAGTGTATACCAAAACATCTCCCCGAGGATTGGATAATGTCCACAGATCCTTTTTTTAGAGCTTGCCTATTTTTCTCGGTTTTGATGTGGGACTGCGATGTGGCGTCGAGACACATTCGTTGATTTACGCGGGAGGCACCCGTTTGAGGCTCTAGAGAAGGGCGGCAGGCTGTCGTAAGAAGAATGCTTATTCGAGCCACATTCGATGCACGAAGCCCCGTGCGCCACATCGTTGCCTTTATACTCGCCACTTATTGAGTGGTGTTCATCTATATGATGGCATGTTGCGGTGGATGTTGCTGAGCAATCGCTTGATACTATCATCACGTAGCGAATGGCAGCGTAGGGCTGGGATTTGGAATTGAATGCCATATCGTCAGCATGAAGATGAATTCGCTCGAAAGTCGTCGAAAACTAGCAGATGGAACTGGCTAGTTGTTCCTGGCGCATATAGGAATCGTCTGGCCCAACGTTGCGATGTAACCAAATACACGGCCCACATACTGCGCTTATTGGTGGCCGCTATACAAGGCTGCCGGATATATCTTCGGATATCTCTTGGCGATATCGACGGTAACTCGGCGCAAACCATGCGAGATGCTGAAAGCGTTGGTCAGCCGATTTCCATCCGAACTTGACTCGTACTCAGACAAAGGCGTCGAGGAACCCTAACACATAGTCCAAGAATAGGCGTGCGCAACGTCCAACTCGAAGGGTTTGCTGGGAAAGTTACTCAGCCGTCACTATCGCCAGCATTTCCGTCGACCCTGGTCCGCGCGCCAGTCATGGAGGAGCCGCATTGGTTCGGCAGCTGATGCAGGAAAATTCCCAACACATAAGCGTGATATGAGGTCATAACTCAGGTAGCAGAAGCACCGAAGTCAGCGTGCGTGTGCAGAGACGAATATACTCGACCCGCGTAGTCGTCTGGTGGGTAGGTCGGAGAGTTTGTCAGCGGGGATCGACCGGGGTCCTTGGCCAATCATCGCCATCAATGTCCCTTACTACTCACTCCGTATTGGGGCTAGTCGTACGGTCGCTGTTTGAGTGGTTTGTTCATCGCTCCATGTACGACCAATGTCTATCTTCAGTAATATTTCGCATCGCTGGCTCATGTGTAGACATGCGTCAGAAAGAAAATTCACACATGGTCCTTCGAGACCATGCTGTACTGTACACCTGATCACATAACCGTTGTTGAGGCTTGCGTTGTTTTCGAAGCACTGATCTGAGTGTAGTCAATCCACATACTCCCCAACCACATCCGGTCGATGCTTGCTCGCATCATCCAAGACTTACAATGTCTTGACTGCGAATCGTCCAAATGCGCAACCATGTTGCGGGGCTCGCCTTTTTTTTTAATGGGAATGGGGGCCGATGCGCCACACATCAATACGTGCATACCAGTGTCATGACCTACACATGCTCTTTTCCGGAGTTGAACCAAAGCTGGGAGGTACCAAATTAGCTTCTGCTTAGTCGTTCATAATGAGGGTTAATTAACGGACTTTTTGTCTTTTCCTTTTTAACACTGATTAGCCGATGCTGACTGAACCTCCAGACCCCCATCGCGGCCATCCGATTGCGATCCATCTGGTATCCTCTAGCCTCGTTGTCTTGATTATGGGGAATTTGAAGTTGCTGACATGTCTTTCGCTTTGGAGCAAAAGTACAGCAATTCTCCATCGGGATCGTTTCTGGATCCTGTTCGCAGTGCGACCCCGCGCGTACTAAAGATGGGAACGGGCTGCCGTGGTTTCACTTACTGATTCGTTCGTTATTCTATTTCTGAAGCAACTTTTGTATCATCATCACCGACTCCATGATGACTACTCTTTCTAATCGTGCTGCTCGTATTGCTGAACCGGGAAAGAGTCTCGAGTTGGTCGATGTCGAAGCTCCCCGTCCGAGACCTGGTCAGGTTCTCATCAAAAACCATGCCGTTGCGATCCAGCCACTGGATGTCAAAATGCTGTTGACGGGGTATGGGCCCAAGTTGGGATATCCTGCCGTTCTTGGAACAACTGGCGCAGGGGTTGTCGAAAAGTTGGGAGACGACGTGACGGACTTGAACGTTGGCGATCGCGTTGTCTTCGATACGACCGCTTATATCGCCGTGAATAATAATTTGCGCAGCGGCACTTGGCAGAAGCTGGTGATTGCAGATACCAAAACAGTAGCAAAGGTGTGTGGAACCGGCAGTGAGAAGCTCCTTGGTTGTTCCATATGTTGATGAGGAAGCAGATCGGCGATACACCCTTCGAGCAGGCGGTCTTGATCCATTACCCCTTGCAGACGGCGGTCGCTGCTCTCCATATATTCCTGAAGATGGGAAAACCAGGAAGTGGCAGCTCTGAAGACAAAGTTCTCATCTGGGGTGCTGGCGGCGCGGTCGGTTTATACGCGGCGCAGTATGCGAAAAGTGTAAAGGCTCCCGAATCTCTTGGAGACAATAAGAACTAACATTATCCAGGTTGGGCACACTGTAGTCGTCACCGCGTCGCCACGCGATAGCGAGCGGCAAAAGAAGCTTGGTGCAACAGCTGTGGTCGATTACAAAGCCGCAGATGCTGTTGAACAACTTCGTAAATTGGGCCCTTTCCGGTATCTGTTCACTGCCAGCGGGGATCCAGCGTCTCAGCAGACGCTGGCGTCATTGATTCCGCCCTCAGAAGGTGGGCAATTTGGCAGCGTGCTTGCCGGCGATGTGGATCTACCTGCCAACGTTCAACGAATCTATGGATTTTTCACTGGCGCATCCCAGGTAGACGAGAACACTGACTACCGTGATTGGTATTATCAAAAGTATCTTCCAAAGGTCTTGCAGGAAAAGCTTGTTGAGCCCGCACAATTCACCATAGTAGAGGGTGGCTTGGCGGCGTTACAGCAGGCGTGTGCAGACGTTCACGATGGAAAGGTTCGGGGCAAACTCATCGTTGACCCGCAAGAGTCACACTGTATATAGAATGCCATTGCCTTTATGAGCTCTCATACCCTGTATTTCAGATATTCGCAACATGAAATCTGTCTATATGTATGACGTTAGTCATTTGTAACGTATGACCAATCCTGGCCCGTTGAGTCGGATAAGCCTTCTCCAGAACTTTCTTCAATGGCAATCCCAATGTGGAAAGAGCTCCACTGAGGAAGAAAGTATATGATGATGTACCTGCCTCGGAGAATTCCCTCGATTCCCTGCGGGGTCTCGGCTAAAGTGTTCTAAGCTCCCTCAGAAGTATACAGAATCCCCTCCACCCCCCTGTTCGAGGGTATATTCTCAGAGGGTAAGTATATCTCAATTGGCGGATAAATAAATGGGCGCGGTCGAATTACTCCAACCGTGCTAAGTTCTTCGCATTCGGATTCCATGATAGTGGTCAAGATCAGTTGTTTTGCATTTGCCACCCTGCTAGAAACCCCGTTTCCTCTATTCCACGCTTCAATGAATCTACAATTCATTAATATGCTAGTAGTTCCGATGCCTAAACCCCGCATTTCTACATCGTGTGAACATCCGATCGAGCTCATCTATATCACAAAGTGATTAAGTCATGGATGCTTCGCGAGTACTTAAGTTGCTGAGGAATCCTTCTCAACTATGTCCAGATCATCAGCTATCTTCAACTTCAACCTTCTGGTAATATCAGTTTAGGCACGATGCGAGCAAGATCAATACTAGCATTATGTGCCCTCGGCGCATCGCCATGTGCTGCGCAAACCATCCCACCCATTCTCGTCCCGGAAGTCGGGGTTTCGGTCCATCCTTTTCCAATGACCCAAGTAAAATTGAGCGACAGCCGCTGGATGGACAATCAAGACAGGACATTAAACTACGTAAAGTCCATCAACGTAGATCGCCTCCTCTACAACTTCCGCGCGTCACATAAACTCTCCACCAACGGTGCGCAAGCTAATGGAGGCTGGGATGCGCCCGACTTCCCCTTCCGCACCCACGCGCAAGGGCACTACCTTACCGCCTGGGTAAACTGCTATGCCACGCTCGGAGACGCAGACTGCAAACAAAAAGCGACTTACTTCGTAGCCGAGCTAGCCAAATGCCAGGCCAACAATGCCGCTGCCGGTTTCAATACTGGGTACCTCTCTGGCTTCCCGGAGTCTGAATTCGAAAAGCTAGAGAAGAGAACTCTCAACAACGGCAACGTTCCTTACTACGCTGTTCACAAGACAATGGTCGGGCTCCTCGACGCATGGCATATCATGGGCGATGAAACTGCCCGCGATGTCCTACTCAAAATGGCAGCCTGGGTCGACGGCCGCACTTCCAAGCTCTCCGCATCTCAGATGCAAACCATGCTCGGCACGGAGTTTGGAGGCATGAACGACATTCTAGCGTATATTTACCAATATACAAACGATCAGAAGTGGTTAAAAGTCGCCCAGCGCTTCGACCATGCAGCTGTTTTCGACCCTTTGGCTAATAAAGAAGACCGCCTAAACGGAAATCACGCAAACACTCAGGTTCCGAAATGGATCGGCGCTGCTCGAGAATACAAATCCACAGGCCAGACCCGATATCTTGACATCGCGCGGAATGCGTGGGATTTCACCGTAAACGCCCACTCGTATGCAATCGGTGGCAACAGCCAGGCAGAGCACTTCCGTCCCCCTAACGCCATTGCTGGGTACTTGAGAAACGATACCGCTGAGCACTGCAACACCTACAACATGCTGAAGCTCACGCGGGATCTGTGGGCGTTAGATCCAGAGAAGACAAGCTATTTCGATTTCTACGAGCGCGCGTTGTTGAACCACCTCTTGGGCGCACAGAACCCAGCTGACCAGCACGGCCACATCACCTATTTCACGCCTCTCAACCCCGGCGGGAAGAGGGGAATTGGTCCAGCTTGGGGAGGTGGCACGTGGAGTACAGACTACAACTCTTTCTGGTGCTGCCAGGGAACGGGTGTCGAGACAAATACCAAGTTAATGGACTCCATCTACTTCTACGACAACTCCTCGCTGTATGTCAACTTGTTCACGCCTTCTGTGCTGAATTGGGAAGAGCGTGGGGTGCAGGTCACACAAACTACTACGTATCCCATCAATGACACGAACACATTGAAGGTTACTGGATCCGGAGACTGGACTATGCGCATCCGCATCCCATCCTGGACCGCAAACGCCGAGATCAAAGTCAATGGTCAACCCGCAGAAAACGTGAAAGCAGATCCCGGAACATATGCATCGCTAACGCGATCATGGACATCCAACGACACAGTCACGGTAAAGCTCCCCATGAAGTTGAGAAAAGTCGCCGCGAACGATGATCAGAATACTGCAGCGCTTGCATTTGGACCGACGATTCTAAGCGGAAAGTACGGAAACACTGTGCTAAACTCTGTGCCGAAGCTCGATCTGGGGTCAGTGACCCGCGCTAGCGGGGATGATTTGGTGTTCTCGGCGACTGCGGACGGGAAGAAGGTCGAGCTGGGCCCGTTTTATGATGCGCATGGCTTCAATTATAACGTGTACTGGGCTACGAGCGGCTCACTGCCTAGTACTGCATAGTATATAGATGTACTGTTAGTGATGGAGGTATGAATGAGGAGCGCGTTTCTAGTTTGTGGACATTGCAGCAGCTTTACATTTGACTGGAGTGATTCGTTTCTTTTTTTTTCCTTTTTAATAAAATCAACAGCAACGATGGAATCATTCTCACTCGCATTGCAGTCTAATCGAAGATCTAATTCATTACGATGATCATCGTGATCACCATTACTATCTTTTCCGCTCTCTGCAACACACGACTAAAAACGCGCCCGCCCACCAAAAGCAACATGTATCATGAACTGTACTCTATTTAGCCTACGGACCTGATGAAGTTCCAAGGATTGATACGAATATAGTAGAATAGTAAAACTCACAAGCTAATATACCCCACGGACAACATCCTCTAGTTCGCTTACCTAACTTCTGATCACCACAGCAATAATGATGTGCATCATCGTATGCGTGCTACTAGAAACCGCATGGAAATTAGCACGATGATCAGCATGCTGCCATCAAACACCAAGCCGGACTCCGACATAGTATGGACTGAAAGCTTTGTTTCGATCTCACCTGCGTTGCTCACAGGGACAATGTAAAGAAGAAGGAAGAATAGAGAGAGAAAGTGATGGGGGTTTATATACTTAATATATTTCGCGTCTTTATCGTGAAACTACTTTTTACAGATTATGATGATTAACATCATCACTTTCTATTTCACTATTGTTATATTAAGAGGGAAATGCACTCAAACTACCCTCGCATGTAAGTTGAAAAGTCGTGACTGAAGGCACATGATGAGTGAATTGATAAAACTTTGATCCTGGTTTTCTCCGCAGTGCTTTAGTGAAGGAAGAGAGAAGGGATAGAATGGGAGATGGAGAGCCTTGAATACTTCTAGTCCGCCGCTTAATTTGCTTGTGCTACTTTCATCATCATTACTATTATTAGCATCATAACCCCTTAGCAAAAATAAATTATATGGTATTGAAATTGCAGCTTCGTCCACGTCCTCACATTCCCACGATTCCATGACTTTTTTGGTCCTTTCCCCGTATTACCTAAACAAAGCATGTTTGAGGGAGAGAAAGGACAGAAATTCGAGACCTTATATACCTCGCCCATTTGCTTGTCTTGGCGCGTTTGACTAATCACCATCACACGTTTCGTCAAAATCATAAAATAATGAGATCAAAAGGTCTCGTCATGCGAAATACACATAGTTCTTCAGATCAAATTATATTCAGTCGATCGACACAGGAAAGCTTCGACATTTTTCTGGTATCCAAGAATAATTTGTGTCTACGTATGATAGCGGATGGTGAGGGAATTGGAGGTGATGAGAAAATTGAACAGCTTTTATACTTATCGTTGTACGCGTGCTTAGGCTATTTTCCGGCCGCGCTTAGCTTTCATCATCACTATCACCATCGCTGACAATTTTCAAACCTGGCACTGTTCTCTTCGTTTTCTTAGCGTATCCTGAGAAGACACACGCGCGCATGGATTTGGATTCTTTATCTGTTCAATTCCATATGACGCGTTCAAGGCACGTGACATGGGCCGAAGGACCTCCAGGCAGCAACGTTTGAAGTCAGGCCTCCAGCTCGCTTAACGTTCTGATGCAGTGATACGATCTTGTGCGTTCACTTCCCCTCACTCACGCGGAAGCAAAAGCTACACCATCACAACGATGCTACAGTCACTGCCGACCGAGCTGCTATACCATGTTGCTGATTTCGCCGCGCCTCGAGATATCCTCGCCCTGACCGAGACATGTTTGGCGCTTCGGGATGCCTATGACCACAGCGCTTTCTGGGAACAGTCTTTTGCGGTGCTTGTTTGTGCCCTCACCCCGAGATCTCGCACACACATTTGCTGATCTATATAGGTGCCCACGGTGTCTTCGCCTTTGATTAAAAACGATAAAGATTTGGTCGCAAAAATCGCACATCAGATGAGTGATGCGGATGAAGAAGCAGGACTTTCTCGACCGGGCCAACAACGATTGATGTGGAAATGCCTTTTTGTTACGGCAGAGCGATTGCAACACATGAATGAAGAATTGAGAAACGATTTCGAAATAGCTTACGGATTTACAAGGGTTCCTCCCGAACAGCGAGAAAAGAAGCTTGTTAGTCTGCATGATCAGCCTGTGAATCGATTCGACGGGAGTGAAGACGTATCAAAAACACCTATTGTACCGCCCTTGGCGAGACCAATCGAGCGAAACTTGAAGCTTTTATCCATGGCGATTGTATGGGGCTGTGAGTCTCATTGCATGCAATCCTTCTTCACGTATTAATAGTTCATAGGCTCTTCGATCGGCGACAATCACACCTTGGCCACTCTTAATAAATATCACAAATTGGCTTTTAGCCACGGAAAATCACCTGACCTAAAGCACTATCTTGAATCGCGTAGTTTGGAGATCTCATTTTGCGCGGTAGCATGCATCCTGCACAATGCTTGGAGAAAACAACATGACCTTGATTCCGTCGCAAACGATATCGAAGGCGAAGATTCACATGAATTCATTTCGGATTTTGAGCGTCACTACTATATGAAATTCTTCCCGAAACAAACCGAATTTTCTCAAGACGAATCGCACATCTGCTTCCCGCAGAGTCTGGCGTTGGCGATTTGTGCCTATGTGGGGCGCGATTACCCCAAACCGCCGCATCTTCATCGGATCCCATTTTTGTCTCAAAGCAACGAGGAACAATCTCTAGAAACTACCGCAGTTCCTGACGAGCCGAGATTTGGCGGTATTCAGAATCTTCCTCTTCCGGACATGTCCGGGATCCCTATGGACCCTTTAGCATCATCGCTTTATAACACCATCAGCTGGAATGCCTGGTACACAGCTTGCGCTCAATCACTAAGACACGAGCTCATGAATGGCTTGTGGGAGGGGGTCTATACGTATGATATCAGCCAACCCATCCCTCTCGTCGATCCCATGATGGAACAAATACAATTCCAGATATCACACGAGAGCCAATCACAGATATCATTTCAAGCAGAGAACTGCATAGATGGAATCGGTGCTTTCAGACTGTTTGGGCGCGTCGATATGGAGAATGGCACTTTCAGGGCAGAGAAGCGGTATCTCGGTCGTCACGGTTTTCTATGGAAGGGGGCTGTCACGCCAATGGGGATCGCGGGGTACTATCACAATGTGCCACGTCCCGGTTCTTGGTATCCGTTGCCGTTGGGGAGGTTTTGGCTTTGGAAAAGGGAGTGGAGGACCGCTGAAGATATTTGACAAACCCTTCTAGCAAGGTGCATCGGATGCGATTTGGATATGAGACTGCCAGTGGAAATGCGTCTGAAAGCAAAGACTGGAATTACAAGTATTCAACGCGAGTTGCTCTTCGTCGACGAGAAACCTAACAACAAGCGCCAACCCGACAATCTCAAAGCTTCGGTGCCGGCGCCAGTGGTCGCTTAACATCAGACCTCTCCCTCACAGCCTTTTCCCACGTCTCCGAAACTACGAGCCCCCCTCTAGCCGACTTCCCAGAGTCATATGTCTTCCAAAACCCGACTTCCTCGCGATACTTGATCAAGCACATCTCAATCTGCCCGCTCATCAAACCAGCAGTCTCGCTCACCTTCTCCAAGGGGAGCCCATGACCGGCCCCGTCCACAACCAACGAGTTCACACCCGCACTTCCTCTGACTGAGCGCCCCGTACGCGCTACTAAATCTTCTCGGTCGGCGCGGCTGTTGATGTAGCTCTTGCTGCCAAAGATCCATGTAGTGTACGGGTAAAGCGACGGTAGAGATTCCGACGCGATGATGGATTCCGCGCGGTGGAACTGATACTGTGCTTGCTCTGTCGGCATATCTCCCGCAATCAAGCGTTCCTGCTCATCGATTCGACCGTCCGCTGGACGAGCAGCGAACAGTGGACGGACGTACGACCACGCTTCTTGGTGTTTGGTGGTGGCGAGAGTGACGGAGCCATCCGCAGCGTCTGGATACAGCAGCGTGGGCGTTCGGCGCAGTCCGTACTCTGTATACTTGTCTAACACGCGCTTGTCCCAGGATCTGTAAAATTTGCTGCGTTGGAAGTCGGATTTTGCGGCGGACAGGGAGCTCCATAGGTCCGGTCTGTTGGTTGCCATGAGGGCGGCGTTGGGCCCTGCCGGTATCGTTTCTCGGATCACTGGCTCTATGAGGATTAAGCTTTGGAATAGACGCGGGTGCATGGTTGATAGTTGGACCCTATCTCTTTTGTGTTTAGTATCGCGCACATACGTATGATTCGATGTTAGCAGGATTGACATACAGCTGTGCACAGCCCATGCTATGCGCTACACCAACGATAGGGGGCTGAATGGGATCTTGGAATGCATGTACCAGCGCAAGTAAGTCCCGTGAATGATCAAACCAGTTCGCTATACAAGTTGATCAGCAGTGTTGATGAAGAAAGAAGCTACAGTTTACAAAGTCGAGAAACCTAAACACGGTAGTGAATCATCGACTTTAAGTCGACAAGACAATGTCAAAAAGCCCCCCCTTCCCCCAACAAAACTGAAAAAAAGGGAATAAAACTCACGATCATGCCCAACCAACCCCTCATTCAAAACCCCACTCTCCCCCTGATGCGCACAATCCGCAATCCAGATCCCCCCCAGCGAATCCCCCAACCGCCATCCCAGCTCCTCCCAAAGCGGCTCGTACGCTTCCTACTCTCACACCTTAGCTTAGCAAATCCTTCATACGTCCAACCTTCAAAAACATCTTACCTTAGGAATCCCATTAGCATGCGCGGCTATGATTGTCACGCGTGTCGTGTTCGCATCTCTCACGCGATCTGTTTTCGGGATATACTCTTTCACGGCTAATTTGAGCGATGCTGGCTGTGCTGCTGTTGTTGTAGCGTGCGCACCGCCGCGGATGGACTGGCAGGTTATGATGTGTTTTTTCACTGTGAACATGGTGGAGAGCTGGAAGTGTTGTAGTTAAGTAGAGGTGTGAGAATGAGATGGAGAAAGGAGAATTGTAAGGGTTTTGATCGCAAGATGGGGATGGTGAATAGAGACTAGGTAAGCGATGCGGCGTAGTTGAGGAGGACGATATGTGCATAAATCGCATTAGGTTTTGTGATGCGCATGGGATGCTCTTGCGTGATTGGTTGGATTTATCCAGAATGGATTGTGAGTTGAATATTCAACTACATTACATCTTTCTGCGGGCATTGCTCATCTCGCGATGTATGTAAGAGTAAGATCTTAACGCTCAACTAATTAATCTTTAAAAACTGCATCTTAAAATTGGTAACTTTAGCAGGAGGTATGACTATAATAACTCAAACGCTTAAAGTAACATAAACAAAAAAAAAGAAGAGTAGGGAAGAGAAGAAGAAGAAAAGACAAAGCTAAATGCTACACAGACAAGACCCCGACAAACAGAACAGTAATCGACAAAGGAGACAAGAACGGAGTATATATATGTATATATAGAAAAAAGACCGAAAAAACCAAACCAACCACCCATCCATTTCTCCGACTCCCCCCACACAACACTCTTTCTTCATCTCATTCAGGCGCTACAGGATGGGGATCAATACCTCATCTTCCCCAACAGCCCAAAACACCAAGCACACTCCCTCTCGCTCTTGAGCTGCACCATAAACACCCTCGCCCTCGCACTGCTGATCCCACCGGTTCTAGCCGCCCTTCCAGCGACACCTTCCTCATCAACCAGATCCTCCCAAACGCTGATGGCAATGCCGAGTCTAGCCACACGCTCAAAGCACGATTCGCTAAGCGTGACATCGAGCAAGGTTTCGTTCGTGGATTTGGACGTGATGAGGATGCGTTTTTCTTGCGTGGGGTCGCGAGCGCCGGGACTTCCTTTGCCGTTGCGGGTCGCGGATACTATACCACCGGCGTTGGGGGTGGTGTCGGGGAGGAGGATAGTGAGGCGCGCAGCGCCCATGTCGCGCCATTTCTTGAGGGTTTCGCGCTCGTAGAGGCGGCATTTGGAGTTTGTGATGCCAGCCGAGGCGACGTTGAGAGGTGTGCTGGTGCCGGAGCCCGATCCGCTAGAGCCTGTGTCGAAACTGTTGGCGGCGCTGCGAGACCCAAGGGTCGAGTCGCGGATGTTGAAGCGCCCGTGTTTGGCGAAACTGAAGCGGCCTAGAGCGCTGCGCAGCGCCGTGTTCATGGTGCCGACTGATGATTCGGTCGCGGCGGAAATGGAGGCTGCGCGCGTGCTGGTCTTACGGTACGAACTGCGTCGTCCTAGTGTCCCGCCAAACCATCCCGAAGAGCCACCACCGCTGGTGCGTGCCGCGTTTTGTCTATCCATGGCCTCCGCCCAGCTACTCTGTCCATACGGTCCTCGTGCATTTTGTAGGGCAATGTATGTGGGATTGTTGATGCGCGAGTGATTGATCATGGCATACAGTTGGTCGCATTCGGTGGCCGTGCGGCTTCGCAGCATGGTGTAGTTGCCTGTCTTGATACGTGACTCGGATGTAGGCGGGGAACGAATCTCGATATCAAGGCCGGTGGACTTGCGGAGAGGCACGAGGGGCGTAAGCTCAACCGCAATAAGGGGAGCTCGCCCATCGGGAGGGATAATCTCGTCACCATCCGTCATGAGCAGTTTTGGTGTGGATGTGCTCATTTCGAACATTTGTATCTTCCCAGGCGTGACAACGATGTTGCACTCGCCGGGATGTAGACTTTTCCATTGGCCAGCATCGTCAGACCACGCCATAATAGATGCAATAGCTTGCGATGCCTTCTTCGTATTCTTGGGTACGGCCCGGTAAGGTGTGTTTGAAGCTGACTGGGACGGAGTTATAGAGCCGTTGCCGGTTGGTAATGTGTAGATGGAACCGGGGGGAGACACCTTTGGCAGTGATCTGAGCTGCCCAAGAGGCATTAGCGGGGTAGGAACATCGTCTTCGAGCTCATCTTCAGATGAATCAGAAGTAAGTGATTCGTCTTCCGAAATCTCCAGCTCGCTTTCGCTGGATGACTCGGAGCAGGTAGAAGGCTCGTACTCGTGTTTGAGAGGTGACGAGGAGCGTCTCTTGCCTTTCAACCCAGAGGTGAGAACGGGTGTTTTCGAACCTTTCAGAGTGACTGGCGTGGCAGGGCTGGGTGATCGGTGCTCAGGAACCGGGGGAGGCACGTCGTCGTCGTCGTCTTCAGCGACACCATCCTCCTGAATAGGCCCAATGCGGCGTTCAGCGAATCTTGGTGGGGCCGAGGCTGGAGGCTCAGGTGCGTCCACAGGCTCTTGTGTTTTGGCAGGTGTAGTCGGCTGACTTGATTTGCGCTGTCTGGGGATGGTGGGCATTTCCATGGTCGGGACAGACGATGCTCGGCGATGTGCCTGCGGCCTGGAAGGCGGTTCGTAGTCGTCCTCGGTGGAGAGGTCTCCCTCAGAGGACTCATCCGAGTACTCTGCTTCCGAGGAGTTGGGCAGCCACACGCTGTATCCCTTACTGGACTGCGTCAACGAAGACGAGGTGATGGAGCCCACAGATTGCGGCCGGTTTTTCCGTAGACGCTGAGACTGTTTTCTGGGCGGTTTATATTCTTCCTCAATGGGATCGTCGAGCACGATCTGCCTCGATGGGCGTGATCCTGTTGGGGAGGGGGCATTTCTCGACATACGCCTCGCGCGCGTTCTCTTCAAAGCGATTGGGGAACCAGAGCCAGATTGTTGCATAGCTTCATTGAGGCTGCGTGGAGTGCGCTGAAGGTCATCTTCAGAGTGGCCCTTTGATCGTGGGGAAACTGTCTTCCCATCTGTAAATCGTTGAGAAGCATCGAGTGGAGACGGTGGAGATGATGGCCGTCCAACCTGGGAAGGCTCGGTGCTGGGAGGCGTCACAGGTGACACACTGCGGCTCGAGTGCTCAAAACTCCACCGTTTGGACGACGACACGTTGGCCTGCTCACCAATGGGAATTTCCACTTGATGCGGACTCGGGGTGCGGCTCTTGCGCGGAGGAGTGGAGCCGGTGGCAGCCGAGGAGACGATACTGCTGGAAGAGGGTCTGTGTGGCGCCTCTCTCTTCAACGTCAACTCGCGTTTGAGGTCGGTGATGTGCGGCGGGATCGGGTTGAGGCCGAACATGTGCACCCAGTCGAAGCCGGCCTGCTCGTCGTCAATGGTCAGGGACATGACTTCAGACCATTCGCTGCCGTCGCCGTGGTTTCCGCGGATCATGACAATGATTTCGCCCTTGTGGTCTCCGTTGCGGGCTGAAATGCGACTTTGCTGAATCGGGGGAAGAAGAAGCCAACGTCCCGACTTGTCGACTTCGCAAATCAAGAGATCACCACTGGAGCTGCCACCGGCAGGGTTATCGCGGAGCAGTAACTCGACGCCGCAATTGAGTTCCTGCCCGCTGGAATGGTAGAGATGCAGGTCGAAATGATCTCTGGCTCGCACGCAACGAGTCGGATCAATGCGAACGCCAGCCAAAGGAGCCAAGCTCCTGGGATCGCGAGCACGAGTGGGGTCAATCTTCGCAGCGGCCTCGTCTTCGAGCCTGGCGTGCTCGTCGTTGGATCGTTTCCTAGCGAAGGTGACAAGCTCTTGGAAGGCTGTCGACATTTGTGCAGCTCGGTCGGAGGGCTTGATATGTTGGATTCCCTACAAATGAATTAGCTCTGTGACTTGAAGACATGGAAGCACCAAAATCAATAGAATAAGCATCCTGAAATTCTATCGATCGTTGGCTAGAAGAATAACCCACCTTGAGCGATTTCGCCAGATACTTTAAGCGCACCAGCGGCCGCTTCAACATGTATGCAACATCCACACGTTCCCCATCGCCATTAACTACATACCCCTCCGCATTACGGGGCAACCCCTCATCCCACGGCGAACCGTCCTCTGGTCCATTCACGACCTTGGCTTGGGTGAACGGATCTTCATCGGCAGAAGCAAGGCTGACAACCACATCTTGAAATCCTAGCCGCCAAGACTTGATGTAATCGGAGTACACACGTTGTGCGCTCTGGGCCCAAGAAAGGAGAGCATCTGGGTCGTCCTTGGGGATACGTTTGTGTAGGGTTTTGAGGCGCTCAAGAGAGACGCCCATGTCAACTATGGGTTTCGTGACGTGCGATGGGTCGGATCCGGCAGAGGGGCTGAATAGGCCAATGGCGACGGCGGAGTCGGTTTTGGATAAAACGCAGCTCAAGAGTACGGGAATTACACCGTCTACTAGGGTGCGGAGCTCACGCATGTATTTGGACTCGTCCGAAGCAAGCTCTTTCATAATATCGCCCATGGTGGCAGTGGCCAGGCGGCTTCTGTTTGTTCGTATGCTCCGCGCGGAAACAATGCTTTTGGAACCTGCCTTGGACATAGATAGTACAGAAATCAAGTCGGCGTGGCTGGCGAGCCGTCTTCTCGTGCTCCTACGGCTGACAATAGTGGAAGTCTCGAGCTTAGATCCGATTTGCGAAGCTTTGGGCGTTTTCGCGTCATCTTCCACCACGGTTTCCCCGGCCTCTGAAATAGTGGCTTCTGAAGGAGCCACGGGATGAGCTCTGGCGGAAGTCTCGACGGAAACAATTGTGGAGAGCTGTCTGCCAGTGGATGGGAACATGCGGCGCATGGTTGGGCTTTCGAACGGAGACATGAGCTGACCTTTGTCGACCTCCGACGAGGCACTGGAGTCGACCGTTGATGTCAGCAGGGAGGACGATACGTCGCTGTCTTTTTCTGATCCATGACGGGAAGGAAGCGACATGGAACGGTCCTTGGTGGGCGAGTGCTGGGTGCGCTTAGCACCGCGGCGCTTCAAAGTCGGGGTGGGGGACAAGTTGTCTGTGGGAGAAGAAGTATCATGGGCCGATCTCGTGGGAGTCGCAAGGGCTGGCACATTGTCCAAGTCCAGTGTTGGAGAAGCTACGCTGGACGTAGGAGGGCTGCGTCTTTTGCGCCGCCGTTTGCTATCACTGGTGCGCTCTGGGGTATCATCCGCCAATTTTTCCTTGGAGTCGTTGGGGGTGCTTATTTCTGAGCGTTCTTTTTCAGCCTGCAATTCGAGTGTCGAAACAGACTCCTTTGATTTGCGCCTCCGATTGGAACTTGATGCAGTTATAGGATCCGGGGTGGTCTGTAGCCATGCTTCCAACCGGCTGCCCAAGCTTTTGGGAGGGGTCGCGGGTGCGATGACAGGCTCGAGGGATCGAAGATGAGCGTCCTGGTCCTTCTCCACCAAAGTTCGTGACCTGCGTTTACTCGAGGTAATGGGAGATCTCTTTTCTTCTTTTGGTGAGGGATCTCGCGAGTTTTCGTGTGAAAGGTCGCTAGACCCATGCCTCCTGCTCCTCCTCCGCCTTCTCCGTGATTCATCCTTCTTTTGCAGGTCCACTACGCTGGGCTCGTCGTACTCGACTGTGATCAGGTTGGCAGCCGAATCTTCACTTAGCGATGTGCGTGACTTTTGTAGTGAGGACGGGCGAACGAGGGAGACATCTTCGGTGGAGAGCGAGGCACGTGGGGAAGTCTGGGCGCGTCTCCGACGCATGCGCACAAGTTCTGTTTTGTCCTTTTCCTTCTCTGGGCGGAGCGAAAGAGAGGAGGGGGAGGTGGCGCCGCCTTCGTCCGCGCTTTTGGTATCTTTCCCGCTGGCAGAGCCACGGCTGAGGGGTCGCGTGTCGGCACTGTCTACGCCCGAGCTTCTGGGTCGCGAGGGGCGGCGTTTTCGCTCACTGCGCGTTCGGCCGGTTGCGCGTTTGGTGGGCGATGGGATCGCTTTGGGCTTGGGTACAGCTGGTGACTTGGCTTCTACGGGCTCTGCAACATTATCATTGTCCTTGGGATCGGAGTTCTGGGCGCGTCGGACAGCAGGTCGGACCCAGGCGGTGGGGATGGGTTTTGGGGAGGAGGCATTCTTGGGCGGGGATTTCTTATTGCGCCAGTGGGAGTCGCTGACGACACGTTTCTTGGGAGCGGTGACGACGTGGACGTCTTCGTCGAGTTTGTTGGCGGGCAGCGGGGCCTTCTTTGCGCTTCGCGGTTGGGATGGGCTAGCGGCAGCATTGTGGTGAGTTTTGTTGTTGTCGGTAGTCGCAGCGGCGGGTTTTTGTTTTGGGGTGGACGGCGCGGGTGTGGAGGGGGCTGGGGCTGGAGAGGCGGATTTTGGTGTTGACGGCGCATTCGTTGTCTTGGGCGGTGGCTTCACTGCTGTTGTCTGTACTGTTTGTGTTGTTTGTGGTGGTGGTGATGTTGATGCGGCAGCAGGAGCTGGAACTGTAGGTATCGGAGTTTTGGCGGGGGACGACGAGGAGGATTCGGGGTCGGCATCCAGCTCCTGCTGCCATTTCCTGATCTTGTCTTTGACGTTGGCAGGACGGTCGATGCCGATAGCCTTGCCGAAGTCGGTTCCCTTCATGACTTGAACGAATGTTGTGGTTGCGGGCGGCTGATTGGTGATGTCGATCGCTGCTGCGTCATGGCGGGAGTTGCGGGCAACGTCGGGAGTGAGACTTATCGAGGCGACGCGGGCATCCGCCGGGTAGGCGCGCAGGAATCAGGGCCGGACTGGTGAATCAGTAGGGGGGACAAAGAGAAGGGAAAAAAGCGAGAGTGGGTGAGTGGGCGGGTGGTGGTGGCGGTGGTGAAGGAGTGTTTGTGGTTTGTTTTGTTTTGTTTTGGTGGAGGTGAGATGGGATGGGCTGAGAGGGAGGTGGTCCCCCCGTCGCAATCGTTAGTTCGTTAATTCGTCAACGAGAAAGAGAGAGACAGAGCGAGTGTGCGCGAAGATATCAGTCGGGAAACAGGGATACAGATGGATGAATCGAGTATGAGCTGGAGTAGATAATCAACAGAGTGCTCTGGGCCAAGGCACAAAAGGCCAAGGTTCAGAGGTCGGGCAGCGGTAATGCTGGTCGAGTATCAAAGCTTTGTCTAGTCGTGTACGCAAGACTCAAAGCATGATGATGGATGACCTGCAGTAGCTTTACTGTCGATCCCGCGTGGATTTAACAGCACTGCAAGAGAATACTGTAGCAGGATGAAAGAGAGGAAAAAAGAAGGGCAAGTAAGGGTAATAACTGGGGAGAACGCAAAGAGGGTTTGCTACTAGATACATGTACTTGGCTACTAGATTGAAGAGTGCGCAGTACAGCGCAGCAGAGCACAGCAAAGCACGGTGGAGCAGCAAACACGATCCATGGCGGGAATGAGTGGATCAATGATTATACATGTGTGTACGTACGTGTATGTATGCATCCACCCGTTTCGCACCGTTGCCTCTATGCACCTAACAATCCAATTCACTTGTTCGAAGACGATGTGGGACCTGTCCGGCCAGAAACAAAAACAAGGAAGGTTGCTGGTAGCCTTTCGGGTTGTTTACTCACGCTCGCACGTGCTAGCTTGCCGCGGCCATGCCCTGATTGGCCCACGCCATCACCCATCTGTCCAACTACCTGCAACAGGGACAATGTCTGGAACATTCAAACATGTTGTCTTCACGTGTTGGACGGATACAAACCGATTGTATGTTTCATGTCAAAGTGTCAATGCATCTGCTCGCATCCATTGACACACTTCTACACAAGTACCCAGCCACATATATTTCCCGAACACGAGTCTATTCCTGTCTCACTCTTCCGTCCGAACCACGGTTCACCCCCATCCCTCAACACATGCCATACATCTCTACAAAACCTACTTTGCCTCCACTCCAGCCACCCGCAGCAGACAAGCATACCAAACACAAAAGCAAAGTCATGCATGCAAAAAACACATTACGATTATTCTTGTCGCTCGCGTCTTTTTGTGCGATCCATCTAGTCTACTTGCTATGTGAAATAATAGTGGTACAAATCTCAGAGAGGGTTGCTTGCATGCCCCAAGCACCTCCGAACCTCCCAATGTTACCTTTCACCTAGGTGGCCATGACTGTAAAAGTACATGTCGCGGCCCCGACACACACACACACTTGGTGCAGGACACACTACCCCCACCTCAACCATGTGAGAGGAAGAGAAGAGAAACCTTATGCGTCCCAACCGCACCTCTTCGTCACCCTGCTCTACTGCTTCTTCTTCGCGCCGCCGTTGGCGTGCCCATTGGCAACACCGCCCTTCCTCAACAACCGCTCGGCCTTGTTCAACGCGTCAAATGCTCTCCACGTCGCCGCAACACCGGTGCAGATGAGGAACAGAGGAATGACAATCCAGAAGGCGTTCATGAGCACAAAGTAGCACCAAAAGTAAAAAGCTTCGGGGCGAGAGTAGGCCCGGTCGAGGAGGTAGTGGTCGAACATGCTGGTAGCGTAGTAGAGTACGTCACCGTAGAGCTGGCCGAGCGAGACAATGATCTGGAAAGCGTAGCGCAGGGGGTGGTCGGTCGCGATGAAGCCGGCGGTGATGAAGGACATTGGGCCCCAGCAGACCTGGTGTCGTTTTTAATTAGCAACTGGATTTCTTGCATGGGAACTGTATGCGCAGCAAGGATGCGCAGGCACTTTTACATAAGGAGAAGGAGAAGGAGCAGGAGCAGGATCAAAGTGGAGGACATACAGCGGTGATGGTCTCCATGCACAGCACAAAAGCGTCCTGGGTAAGGTAGCGGGAGTCGGACAGGGCATATTCCTTCCACAGCTGGCCGAACAGGTCCTGCATGCCGCCCATGCTGCGGAAGTTGACGGCGAAGTAGCCCTCGAAGAAAAAGTGGATGAAGCCGCACAGGACGAACCACAGGATGGTGGTCAGGTCACCCATCGACAGGCCGGGGCGCACGCGTTTCACGATTAGGTAGGTGATGGCGAAAATGACGGCACAGCCGCTGGCGAACAGCGAGCAGAGCTCGAGCGTATTCCATTTGTTTGCGGCGTAGCCCACAATGGTGGCCTCGACTGGGTAGTAGGGGTGCAGTGGGAGGGCGTTTTTGGGAACGACGGTCTCCGGGAGCGCAGAAGAAGGGGTAGCGGCAGCAGGTGGAGGGGCGGCGAGCACGTCGGCCACCTTTTTGAAGAGCGACGCCATTGGTGGCTGTGGAGAGAAAGGGAGGACTAAACGAATGAGTGTTGTGACGGTGGATCGAATAGAAAAAAAAAAGGAAGGAATCGACAACAGACAAATCGGGGAATATCAAGTTGGGAAGATGGGGGAACAAGCATAAAAAAGATTCAATTGACCGGACGGGCATGAGGCGGAGAGCGGGCAGGGGGGGGGGCGGAGGACGGGGTTTCGGCCTCAGTTTCCCCGGGCTCACGTGACTGTCCTCTCCCCCACGACAACGACCTTCCAGCTTCTGCGTACCTACAAACCTTTGAATGTATGGGAATGTAACCATCCACGCCCAGCCATCACTAATCTCCGAAATCCTACTACACTCTGCGGATCATGTCCCCCAATGGGGCCTTGCCCATCTGCGGAGGACGATGCCGCCGCCTGCGCATCATGACCACGCCGCAGCATCAGCCTACCTACTAGGCCCACTCGATGCCATCTAATTATGAACTACAGAGTTGAAACTGACCACGCCCCTTCCTCCAACCTATAGTCACTATACATACTCCGAGCAGCTTGCGTTCTTCGTCTTCTCCATACGTTTCCTATTCTCTTTTTCCACTATTATCTGCTTTTCTTTCTGTCCTTCTGTCGTTATCCCGCTTCGTTGTCCCCAAAAGAAGTCTGCTTGTTCGACACACCAACTCCCTTTTGGGTGACGTTTTCCGCCTTAGTCCCTTGGGTACGCACCGCCCTTGTTTACTTCCCCACACTCACTTCCCCACAACAAACAGCCACCACATCAAAACTAACACGATTCCTCATGTCAGTATTGCTATTGCCACCCATAGCACTATCCATATACATCACCACATAGCCAGTCCCCAGCAATGCCGTCCATCACCGCCCGCACCGGTGCTTTGCTCTTAGGGAGCCACATGATCTCCCAAGGTCTCGCTCTCGTGCTCGACGACAACGTCGGCCGTCTTCCAGCTCTCGGTGTATGTACCAACTCCCAGTCATACTGCTCTTATAATCTAATACCCCCGTCAGTGGAACTCTTGGAATCGCTTCGGCTGCGACATCACCGAGTCTCAGTTCCTCACTGCCGCCCAGAAGTTTGTCGACCTGGGTCTAAAAGATGCCGGCTACGAATATGTCAACATTGACGACTGCTGGCAAGTCAAGGACCGTCGCGACGATGAAGGTCGAATGGTTCCCGACCCCGAACGCTTCCCCGATGGCATCAGTGGCACTGCCGACAAGATCCACGACATGGGCCTGAAGATCGGCATCTACAGCAGCGCCGGTGACAAGACCTGCCAAGGCTACGTAGCTTCCATTCGCAACGAGGAGACTGATGCCGCAACATGGGCCGAATGGGGGGTCGACTACCTAAAGTATGATAATTGCTACATTCCTGGCGAAATGAAAGACGAATGTAACTATTGCGTCCCCGAGCTGACTAAGCTCGAAAACGGCACCTGTAAAGCTTCCCCCTGATCTTCTTCCTCATACACGGCTCATTGCTAATTCCTGTACAGGCGTCGACACAAAAGGTCTGTGCCCGTCAGATTATGACTACCACAAATCCAACTCGGCGAAACGCTTCACGGCTATGCGCGACGCTCTCGCCAAACAGGACCGCACCATTCTCTACTCCATCTGCGAATGGGGTACAGCCAACGTTCAGCAGTGGGGTAACGAGACAGGTTCTTCGTGGAGAATGTCCAACGACATCGACCCCTCATGGAAACGCATCCTCGACATCTGGAACCAAAACTCCTTCCAAATGCATTACGTCGACTTCTGGGGCCACCCAGATGCAGACATGCTCGAAGTCGGTAACGGCATCACACTTCCACAAAGCCGCTCGCACTTTGCCTTCTGGGCTGCCATGAAGAGCCCCCTCCTCATCGGCTGCGATCTTGAAAAGGCCAAGCCCGAGGAAATCGAGGTCATGAAGAACAGACACCTCCTCGCCTTCAACCAAGACCCCGTCGTCGGCAAACCCGCAGCCCCGTACAAATGGGGAACCAACCCGCAATGGACCTTCAATGCCTCTTTCCCCGCTGAGTTCTGGAGCGGTGCTTCCAGCAACGGCACTTTGGTTCTCATGTTCAACCCTCATGACGACACCAGGTTCAAGTCGTCTACCTTCTCTGAAATTCCTGAACTCGCTGGCGGTGACGCTTACGAGGTTCTTGATGTCTGGTCAGACAAGAGCTTGGGTTGTGTGCGCGAGAAGCTGCAGGCTGATGTAGAGGGCTTCGATACCGCGGCTTTCTTAGTCGGCGGTAAGTGCGAAGTCGATGAGGTTTAGAAGACTAGTGGGCAATCTGTTTCAACCGCCAACGCAATCGAGTACTAGAAGTAGAGGAAGAGGAACAAGATGATCCAGCCAATCGTCAGAATTGTTTGATTACCTTGTATTGAATGCCAATCGCTTTCCATTGTGACAAAGAATACTTGATAGCATTGCTTTTAGACTTTACCCTTTTTTTTTTTCTATAAAATATGTTAAAAGAACATGATTTGCCTCTCTTATCAGATACTCACATCTCACGGTGAGAGTACAAAGGACTTATCTCCCCTTCTCTCTTTCTCTCGACGAATCTTCCTTTGATAACGATGATGATGACGGTGATTACCACCTTACTCACGCTACCGCTTCCTCCTCTTATTCTTTCTCTTCCAGATGACCTTATCCCTCAACCTTACCCCGCTTAGATAAGAATGAACAGTATATAAACCCTTGCTATCCTTCTTCTTTTCTTCTCTTTCTTCCCTACACAGACGAAGAAAATTCTGATATTTAGTAGTAGAGCTAGAAATTCTTTCCGCAGCTTTGCTATGTGGAGGAGCAGAGAAGAGCGGGAATGCATAGCGTACATGATATGTCTATCTTATTCTAGTAGTAGTGGTGGTGATGATGATAATGGTTGCAATATACTAGCGTAGAGAAGTAGCTAAGCAGAAGTATTGGAATCCCTCATCTTCTTCCCTTTCTCCTTCTTCTTCTTCTGTACGCAGATAAAAGCGAAATTCTAATGTTTAAAGCTAGGATCAAACAATGTTTAAGGGAGTTCTAATGTAGAAGAGAGAGTAAGAGATCAAAATGTGTGCTACGATTTACCTGGAATATGTGTGTTTTTTCTTGTAATAATAGCAGTGGTGGTGATAATAATGAGGAAAGATGACTAACAATGTACGTAAGTAAGTAAGAAGGGGGTATATAAGCCCCTCTCTTGTCCCTACTCCTTCTCTTTTTTTGTCTCTACTTCACACAGAAAGAAGTGAACTCCGATGTTTTGGGGTGGGACTAAACATGAAAACATTAAAAGCGAATGTGGGAGAGAGAGTTGGGAGGAGATTAAACATGTGTCGCATACATGACGTGTATATTTTATACTCGCGTTGGTGATGATAATAATAATGAAGGATAAAGGATGACTAAAATCGTACGTAAGTAGACAACGCGAGGATATATAACTCCCCCTCTTTCCCCCTTCCTTCTCTTCCTTCTTTTCCCTCTACTTCACACAGAAGAAGAGGAGGACTACAACCTCAAAGAGTTAAATCTCATGTGGTAGAGGGAGGAGGAAGGGGAGAAAAATAAAACTAGACAACGCGGGCTTGTATGTGTGCTCTGCGTAGCCTATTATTTCTTATATCTTAGCAAAGGCTTTTGGACAAAGACACGCAATGATAGTGGTGGGGTGGATGATAATGATAGTAATAAAAGAGTGACTAATAGCGTAAGCGAGGAAGGGTATATAAACCCCTCTCTTCTTCCCCTTCTCACTGTCTCTTTCTTTACTTCTTTACACTCACACTGTTTTTAGTGTAAAGAAGTAGTAATAGTAGGAAAAACTTAAAATCTTTTGCGTATACAGCGTATGCGGTAGAGAGAAAAAAAGAGAAAAGAATAAAGACACGCTAGGAAGCAAAAGGCGCATACAGAGAAGGCAAATGTGTGGATAATAGGTACATGTTATGACGCCTGCGTCTATGTCGACTTTTTTTTAAAAGGGTAATTCAACTGTAGCGATAATGATGATGACGACAATAAGAACGATTACTGTGCTAAAGGCTGCCTGCTAGTGCAAGTAGTAGGGTATATAAACCCTCTTGTTCTACTCTGCCTTCTTTCTTTTTTTATTCTTTTTTTCTTGCTACAATCGCACGGCTTGCGTAGTCAAGGTACAACATTAAAACTGGAGCTGAGAATCGCAGATGAAGGAGTAGGAAGAGAAGAGGAACTCTTAGTATTTTCTTAGTATGCGTGGCGATGATAATGATGAAGAATTGATTTTAGCGCAGGTAGTAGGGTATATAAAAACCTGCATTCTTTTCTTCGCTGTCCTCTTCTTCTTCCTATTCTTTAGGAGGCTATATAATATGTGTCTGTAGCAAGGGGGAAAAGACGAGGGGACAATAAACAAAGATACACAGATGATATGTAAAGAGAAGGAAGTAGACGTAAATATGTATATACTTGAGAAATTTTTAAGGGAAGGCAATAGTATTGATAATAATAATAATGCAGGCTGCTTGCTAGCGCTAAGTATGTAGTATATAAGCACTCTTCTTTATTTTCTTTTCCTGTATGTCTATAGGATTGTACTACTTCTAAAGTTATGGAAAACAGTATTACTTAAATGGAAAGAGATCTACAATGATGTAAAGTAGAAGACGAGGGAAATAAAAGAGGGAAAGCTGGTATATTTAGGTTACATACTGCGTGAACTTTAAGTGGATATGAAAATGGCAGTAATGATAATAATACAGAATTTTTATTAGCGTAAGTGCTAAGATATATAAACCCTCTTTTTTCTCCCGTTCCTTTTGTCTTTTCTAACCATTGGGCCACCTACGTAGTAAGAAAATATAAAAAGCACTAAAATATCCTGTTCATACGATACACGTGGAAGAGAAGAAGAGAGAGGAAATTTCGGACATGCCAGCGTACATATAGCTTTTACATGAGATGGTTCTTAATACATCTTAGTAGTGGAATGATGATAATAATTAATGTTGCTTACTAGTGTAAGCGCTAAGGTATATCAACTTTTCTTCTATCTTCTAATTCTTCTTTCTTTGTAGGCACACTGCTACTAGTAGCGCAGTGAGAAAGTAGAAGAACTAGAAAGAGATACAAATACTTGCTAATGAGATAGAAGAGAGAGAAGAAGGGATATTGCGTTGCAATAGATTAAAACAAGAGACTTGTGTTAATTTTTATTATTTGGTAATTAAGCGTAATGATGATTTATCGCATTTCCATGCAGCACAAACACTGGGTATTAAAAACACGATAAATCTGCCATTAGGCTTCAGGCAGGACACATGTTCTGTGATTCACGAGTCATTTGGTAATTATAATCTTAATAATAATAATGTCAGTAAACACTTCCAGCTCTCGACTAGATATCTTATCTACCCTAGCGTGGTTGATGGGGTATACAAATCTTCCCTTCTTTGCTTTCTCTTTAGCTACTCTTCTTGACACTTGAAATCCTTCTGTAGGAATGAAAGAATGACTTGAAAATAAATATGTTAACAAGGTATGCAGCAGAAGTAGCGTGCTGTCTACGTCGTAGTAGAGAGTAAATCCTTTACTTATTTCAGAAATATAATGATAATAATGATGGTGCGAAAGTCAATTTACATAGATAAGTAAGCTTATCCTATACTAGTGCAGAATCTCATTGATCGCGACACTAATACGCAATATAAAAATATTTGAGAACGATTGCGAGCGTATATACAGTATTTGATACAAGAAATGAGCAAGGACTTTTTGAGTAGCCCCACTATCGCGATTTAAGCTGGCCTCCATCTCACCCACGACATTACTTCGAGTCCCCCAAGACAGCACTCCTAGCCACTCTTCCTCTTCTTCCCCTTCGGCACGCGACAGAGCCAATAGAAGAGCAAAGCGCCCAACACATTAACCCCAACATACACCCAAATCAAGCCCAAATCCCTCCACCTCGTCTCCCACTTCACATTCACACTGCGCAGGAACTGATCCGTACTCTCCAAATGGCAGTAATGGCACTGGTCCATCGCATTCGCATCCCGCAAGTATCCTCCCGCAAACCCAATATACTCGCGCATATACTCGCTACAGCTCTCACCACCGGGCGCCTCGAACGTGACAAACTCGCTCTCTGCGCAATGCGCAGGCGCCATCCCCATCGTGGCACTCAGAAGACTGCTAACAATGTACGTGAAGGGGTTCGCTCTGTACATGAAAATCCAGAAGCGCGGGAGTGCGTCAGGACCAGCGAGAACACCACAAAAAGCGTATAGAAAGATGGAAAGTAGGGTGACGATGCCCGAGGCGATTTCTTCGTTGGGCGTCCCGGCTAGAGTCATATGAGAGAGGGTGGAGGAGAAGAAGAAGGCGCCGAGGATGACGATGAAAGAGTGGAAGGCGCGGATGTGGGTGCTGTTGGTGGCTTCGGCGTTGCGGTAGAGTCCCATCGGGTAGTACCATACGAGGAAGCAGATTACACCGATAAGCTGGCAATATCATTAGTTTCGCAAGAATTGGTTGGAGTACAGGGTAGTGTACTTACTGCGTTCCAAGCCATCTCGATGACGATGTTGGAAATGATAAAGGCCTGCCATGCGTATGTTTTGGACTGGCGTTCTCGCGCTTCGTAGAGGGTCCTTTGTTTGATAAAGATTGGAATTACTTGGAACATCATCTGGATGAATGCGAACAAAAATATGAACACGCCAAACATCTGATTTTGAAGCCCTTGCTGGGTATTGTCGGCATTGAAGAAAGAGAAGCTGATGATGATGGCGGAGCCCACAATGAGAAGGATTTTGGAGTAGATGTAGGATGGCGATCTCCAGTATTGTTGACCACAACGAAGGGCAACGGTCTTGAGTTGGGTGGCCATGGAAGCAGCAAAAGCTTGGTGGCTGCCGTCCGTTGATTGTGGTTCACTTCCTCTTCGGGATTCTTCGAGCGCTCTGAGTCGGCCAAGCTCGGTCTGCATATCGGTGTATTCTGGACTGCTTCTCCAGACCCCCGGCCAATCGATGCTTGTCTCAGTGCCTGGAGCTGCGCCGATTGCGGCTAACATATACTCGGCTGGGTTTTCAGTAGTGTCGTAGGCTGGGCCACCGTTGCGGGCAAAATAGTCAAGAAGAATCCGCGAGTGTTGACCAATATCTCCAAAATAGACTGTTCGTCCACCCTTTGCCAGAAGAAGCAGGCGATCAAACCTCTGGAACAACAAAGATGATGGCTGGTGAATGGTGCAAAGGATTGCTTGTCCATTACGTGTAAGCTTTTCCATAAGGTCACAAATTGACCAAGAGGTCTGACTGTCTAATCCGGACGTGGGCTCGTCGAGAAAGAGAAGTAGTTTTGGGCGGGCAGCAAGCTCGACCCCAATTGTCAATCGCTTGCGTTCTGGAAAGGGTCAGCTTTGATACAAATAAGTATATGACGGGTATCTCACGTTCAACATTGAGACCGGACCCAGGCACTCCGACTACAGCGTCTGCATACTCTTCCATATCCAGAATGCTGATGACCTGGTCAACGTACGCTAGTTTTTCGGCACGCGTGTATTCGGGAGGTTGGCGCAAGATAGCCGAGAATTCTAGCGCTTCTCGCACAGTAGACGTAGCCAGATGGATGTCCTGTTGCATCGCATACCCGGTTTTCCGCTGGAAAGAGGCATCGCGTACATGGCCATCTACAAAAATGTTGCCGCTGATGACACCCATCGTTGTCCGACTAGCCAGAACATCGAGCAGGGTGGTCTTCCCGGCCCCAGAAACGCCCTAGATATTTTAGCAACTTGATAAGAATCAATCTGCGACATGAACTTACCATTAGGGCCGTGAGAGTGCCCGGCTTGATCCATCCGTCGACAGAATCTAGAATCTTGCGCTTTTCACCTTTGATGTCAATCTCGTAGTTGACATCTTCCCAGTGAAAGATGGAACTCTGCTTCTGTACTTGAAGATCCGAATTGGAGCTTGCGCTCGAGGTCTCTCCTTTGAAGACGGCATTACTCCCGGATTCTTCGTCGTTTTGATTGCGTTTAGGTCGATTTTTCATGGTGGATCTGCGGAAGACCAGAACCTCCCCTTTCGAGCGGGCGGCCGCGACGTACTCGGTCATGAACAAGTGCGCGACCAGAAGGGCGATGGTCAGAACCACGATTATGCCCCAGTTCCTCCACCGATTAACCCATTGGTAATCGTATGCGACATCAACGAACGCAGTGCCGCTGACGAAATCCACGCCAGGCTGTGATCCCTGCGCAGAGCAAACGCGCTGATTTGCGCTGATATTCTCGTAGGAGGGACCTGATGGAACGTATGCGGAGCACTCAAATGTCCGGTTGTGGAATTCGTTCACCATAGCGCTCTCGAACCCATAGGAGACAGGATTGAGCCAACGAGTCCACCCAGCCCATCTGTGAATGTTAGTATGGCAGTTGATGATACTTGCTACGGAGAACATACCCTTTCATGTATTCAACGGGGATGACGAAGCCAGTGTACAGAATGATGAGCATGAGCAGCAGAGACGCAGGCGCAAGAGCCTGCTCAATACTTTTGCTCATGGACGCAAGCAACCGAAATAGCATGCTCATAGCGACAAGCATCGCGAACGAGACAAGCCAGAAGAAGAAGAAAGGACCTGGCTCTCTACGGAGGTTTGCCATGAAATACAACGTACAGTTGACGAGTGTTGAATTGATAACTTTGTACGGCATATCCATGATGATTGACGATAAGGCTTCAGCACTCGGATGGTAGAGAGCGTATCGGTTATGCTGATAATTTCGATCAGAACAATATATTCCAATTAGCACAGGTTGAACGTACCTTTTCAACAATGGTGCGCTTCGAATACATAGACATAATCTCCACGATACTCGCGAAAGCGTTTAGCAGAACCTAGAGGGTTAGCAAGATGCAGGGGGCGAAAGCGTGAAGGGGAGCTTACCCCCATGAAAACGACTGCTCCTCTAGAGAAGAAAGCTCCGGTTGTTTTGGGTAGATTGTAGAAAATGCTGGCGATGATGAGAGCCTCGAAGAAGTTCATTGTAAGCATAGCAATGAAAATACTAGGATCATTCTTGAATTTCTGCCACTCTCTCCACATGCAAAGCTTGATTTGGCCCATGTACGACAAAGTGTAAGGAGAATTCGTGCGTTGGCGCTTCGATTTCTCGAGCTTCCTGGAAAGGGCAAATTTTTCGTAATCTGATCCGGCGATCGGGTGTTCAGTGTTGTACCGTTCGATGTCAGATATCAACTGTTTTCTGGCGGCACTCTCCTTCCAGCAACGCGCAAAATCATCGGCTGTTCGCGGGGTAGCATTCTCGAAGCCGGTCCTAATCCTCCGTTCAGATGGCGCTGTCATCGAAGTGAGAAAGTCCGGCGTGGTCTGCGATTCTGGGCATTCGAATCCTAGGTTCTCAAAATAGGCACGAGCTTCGCCCGCGGGCCCAAAATATATTTGGCGCCCTTCATACAGCACCGTCACCTTGTCAAAAACCTGTAGTAATGGTTAAATAAATGATTTTTACGTTTTGGAAGGATATACTCACTTCGTAAGCAGCCTGGGGTGCCTGGTAGATCGCGACACATGTAGACACACCGAAAATGTCGCACTGAGTTCGCAATGTTCTGCAAAATTCCACGGCGTTTGCTGAGTCGAGTCCTAACACATGTCAATTTAGGAGCAAGACGTATACTAGGCGCGAAAATTACCTCGTGTAGAATTGTCCCAGCATTGTAGCGGTGCGAAGCTCAGGGTGGCTTCGGCAATAGTGACTCGTTTCCGCTCACCCCCGCTAACACCCCGCAGGTACTCATCACCAACACGAGTATTGACAGTGTGAGAGATTCCCAGCATTGCCATTACGACATCGCGCAGGTGCTCCGCATACTGGTGGGATGATAGTCCTTCGGGAAGTTGACGAGGAGCGCGTGCGCGGGCGGCAAAATAGAGCGTGTCTCCCACGCTGAGCTGAGGGAAATGCGCGTCGACCTCTGCAGTATATATCGCTTCGCCCTTGAAGGTAGTGCTCATCTCCTTTGCAGACACACCCTGATAGTTGATGCAGGAATCCGGATTGACCTGAAAACCATGGGTTTCTCCAGCGATGGTTTTTAGGAGTGTCGAGCAACCTGACCCGGGAGGACCTAACACACACAACTGCTCCCCTGGAAGAAGCAGTCCATCGACGTGTTGTAGGATATCAATTTTTTCGGTTCCCTGGCCAAAAATTGAGGGTAGTTTCAGGATGTTGTTGCCTACTGTAGACTGGAAATCCGTCGGAGATCCTTTGCCCCAAACATTCAAGTCTCGCAAAGCAACACCAGCTACACGAGGCAATGCATCGTCGCTGCTATAGCGCAAATTGTAAAATGATTTCGCCCAATCTCTCGCTCGAAAAGATTCGCTCTTAGGATTCAGTCGACTCTCTTCTGTGGCGGCGAAAGGCGATCCAAGATTTCGTATTTCTGAATGTGCAGTGAATTTGCGCGCCAGATCAACAACGGTGTGGTCGGGGTTTTCCTCTTTTTCCAGAGCATTGTCGACCGTGCGTGGCATTGAATGCACGAGTGCAGAGCTGTTTTCTTGCGATGACTCCGGTCCAGACGACATGTCGTAGTAACTGACCGGTAGAAGTGATTGTTCGCAAATTGAATGCGATTTATCACAATCAGACAGGTGAGTTTTAAGGTCTTCTATGCAACAGCAAAGAGACCTATTAAAAAATGGACCGGGTGCTGCAGCAGGCGTGCGTTCGCGAATGTCCGGGGAATTGACACTGACTACGCCGTGAGTACCTTCAGCTCGCGTTCCGCGGGACACTGCGGTCTCTTGGACTACCAAGGCCACTTGTGCTGTGTCAACAGCAAAAAAAGGAATGGAAGAGACATCGAGCAAGTATCCGCGATTTGGCCAAGGAGGGTGGAGCCCACGTCCGCACAAACGGAAAATGGTGAGGGCGAAGCATCTTCGCACTTCAGGGCAGGGTATTGCTTGGAGTAACCAGGTGAGTTCTCCAAAAAAGTGACGGCGGTAGGAAAAACTCGGACTTCCGGACTTTTGAGATGTGCGCAGTCTTAGCCAAGGCTTGTCAGGATTCTCCCCGATTGGATGAACCGAGTCAGATCTCTCGGTCTTTCGGCGGTTGGAAAAATCATCGAAGCTTATCTCTTGGCTCACATTGACAAGAAGTGTAAAGAACCCAGGCGCCGGGTTCATTTTCATGGACATTCGGTGCCACTGGCTTCCGTTCTCTTCCGTTTGAATGTTTGCCAAACTTTGCGATGAAGCTCGCTGTATGATAATACCCACCTGCAGTTCCTATACATCTCCGCTGTCGCTAATCTTGGCCGTAGTGTGTGCGGTGTAAGCGTAAGAAGGTACACACTTCTATTCAATCTTCCAAAATGAGAAGGTAGTTTGACTAAGACTCATCATAGGTCAAATGCGACAAAGGCGAGCCGAGTTGCAACCACTGCATCACTGCGAAAACAAGCTGTGAGTATGTGAGTCGGCGTCAACGTCCTCGGCTTGCACAGCAAAGGAACGCCGTTCAATACCTCAACCGCCGATTAGAGATTATAGAACAGTCCCTTACCCATTCGACACATGCTACTCCTGAAAGACAGTCATCATCGCCGCAAACATCTTCAGCAGCTTCTGGCGTGGTTTTGCCTGACGATGGCATTGATGCGGAATCAGTCTCCGAGGTTCCTTTGGCAGCTGAGAATGGGCAAGATTGTTGGTGATGCGCGTTCCGCAATCTGGGACACCACTGACCATTTTATCAGCGTGGATCTATCGCATGGCCACCGATGCGCAACGAAACTTCCAGACACAATTGATTCCGGACAGTCCCCTGGCTGGAATTGATGATGCCATGCTTTCGTTGAACGAGGCCTTGAAAGATCTCGGAAAACTCCGCATTCGCAACAACGTGGGCAATCAATATGCCAGCCTCAATCTTTCGGCAGCTGAAGCCACCGAGTGCATCGACGCTTTCTTGGATCTGGCGCGCAATATGGTGTTGCCCGATTTTGACCACACTTACATGAGTATGGATCTGCTAAGAGCACTTCCTGTTGTCATCGACTCCCCCTTTGTCAATATCGACCCTGTCGTCAATGTCATGTACTACAATGCGATCTATTATGGCATACAAGAAATTTACGGATCCAACGATCAACGGGTCCAGGCTGCATACTTCAAGGTTCTAGAAGCAGTACCTGCCTGGCTTGAAGCCCCACCAGAGAGCCCGCTAAATGGCTTCACGGCCGCCTTGACGACATGGACGACATTGACCAATCACGACTATCAGCTGGCCTGGAAATTTCATTGCAAAGCATGCCAACACATCAAACTTGGGAAAGTGGACAGCATTGATGCCATCCCTGCGAAGACGTTCAAAGATGAGAGTGATAGGAATGATGGGAGGTTTTTGTACTGGCACATTCTTTGTACTGATCTCACTTTTCGATTGTTCTTCGGGAAGCCTACTGTGGTATGTACCTTTCGGCAGTCTCTCGTCGGTTATAACACGTCGATGGTGCCACATTACGCACCGTGTGTGTTCTACTTGTGGACTTCATCTAATGAATCGAAAATCGTAGGTCCGGTGGGTGCCAGATAAGATTAGGCCACCGAGTATCTTCAATCCCGACCGGATGCATCCGACCGCAGGGTTCGCTATGATCCTAGTGGTGTGGGTGCGATACACCCTTATCACAGCAGAGGCCGTTAATTACGTCGATAGTATAGCTACAGACGATCGCAATGCAACCTTTTATCAAACCGTCGACGAATACTGCATGAAGATTGAACATCTCATGAAAGACTGGAGGATGGAAGCTGAGATGAAGGCCATCACTACTCCTCAGAGACATCGGGCCATCATGGCTGATCACTACATGAACGCCTACGCCATGATCGTGGGAATAAGACGGCTGGCGCGACCACCTACTCAGAACAATCGGGTTGACGACGTTACGCTCCGTGCAGCACGGAATGTAGTCGGCTTAACTCTCGAACTCAGCAACCACCAGTCACCAGAAGACGCAAAGCTGTTCGCCGCACAGTAAACCTACCCAACACCTTACAAGACCACATACCATAGTGCTAACATAACCCGAAGTTTCATCTCGTTCTATCCCTTCTGCTCTGTCTTCTCCCTCTACGAACACATCATCACAAGCACCGACCCAGAGCAATGCGAGCAAGATACCATCGCCCTGGAGAAAATCGGCGTAGTCATGACCCGCGCCTCCGCCGCACGACCCCATTTCGCAACTCTGGAACGCACTATCAACGCGCTTAATAAAGTCGCGCGGGCGATCCAGAACGAGAGGCGCTCGCGGCATACTTCGAAAACCACGACGCCGTTGTCTTCAAATACACCACGGCCAATACTGGGTCCTTCAACCACGTTTGATACGTTGCAGGACTTTGCTGACTCGATCCCGAACTTTGATGCGGCGGCGTTGGATGCGTTTGGGGAGTTTTCTGGGGCTGAGGTCGGTGGGGTTGGGGGTGGTGCTGGGTTTCATCCCATGGGGTTTGTGCGCGCTGTGGAGACGGATTATGTGGGTAGGAATTGGAATGAGCAGTGGTGGGATATTAATCACGGTATGTCGTGATACTGCTACTTTTTATCAAACATACCTGGTAAAACTTCTTTGGTAATGAATCGAGCGGCCAATTATCCCTGTGAACGCTTACTTCTTCTATTGTTGTCTCTCATCTTAATTTGCACTATGTAGAGATGCGATTTATTCAATAATGTAGATCGCACAAGGATCACAACCTGGCAAACGAATAATAAGAGGGCGTCTTAACGTAGACCTCCGGACTCGCAGCGTACGGATCGTGCCTCCATGCCACACTCGCGACTTCGCCATTAGAATCAATCTCAAAGCGGAACAAATGCCAATCCTTGTACATGAATCCCCACATTCCCTTCTCGCACATCTCCCACTCCCTGTTCACCCGCCAGTAAAACGTATCGCCGTCGTACGGCAAAAGCGAAAATCCAGATTTCCCATGCTGCATCCTGACGTCCAAACCTTCGCCATCGACGGTGACGGACATCACAAAATTATGGATAGCGTTGTAATAGTCTCCCTGATATGCCGCAAGAGGTTTGGTTGGTGGAATACCTGTCTTGCCCTTATCCACAGCTTGCTCCAACAACTTGTAATTCGACAGAGTGATCGATCGCGCTAACTCGGCAGCCTTGACAAAATCCACACTCGGTGCTTCCCCAAGAAGCACCGAAAGCGCAAGCTGCGCTACAAAATCGACAGGGTCCATGAGCGGCTGGGAGTTGGTGAAAGAGACTACTGCGGTCTGGGTAGAGGGTACCAGAAACATGGCACCCGAATGTCCGAGCGATGTGCCAGAGTGATGGAACACCTCGGTACCTGCTAGACTCTTTCCGTAGACACGCAAGTGCTTTTTTCCAAGAGTGTAGTAGAAGTTTGAGCTGGCTAAACTGAGCATGCCAGGTAATTTGGTACGGTAAATTCCTAAGCAGTAGGCTACGTAGTCGATGCCGGAGCGCCCGGGGGGTCCCATTCCAACGTGTGGTGTGAATATTGTTCTCAGCAGAGGGAAGATGGAGTCTGGTGTGGAATCAACGTCCCCTTCGACTTGCGCCTTGTAAGACTGTAGCAGGGCTTGCACGAAGATGAGGTAGTCTTTCATGGAGCAACGCGCACCGCCAGCGGCTGCTAGTCCAGATGCAACCGCGCCGGAAGATGCGTCTGGTTTTCGAGATGATGTCCCATCGTCATGGGTGCAATGTGTGTGCGCGACATTGATTTCGGAATCATCGAGAGCACCGAACGAACTACGCGCCATGTTGAGAGGTCTGAATATATTTTGCGAAATGTATTGCTCGATGGGTATTCCGGTCACGTGCTTGACAACATCCGCAAGAAGCGCGTAATTCCATTGCGAATACACGAATTGGCCATAGGGTTTGCTGGTGCCGATGTACGCAGACATGGCGACATTCTGGGATCTATCAAGGAGAGCCTCGTTGTTTTGAAACCCCCAATACGTATTCGCAGGTGAGATGCCTGTTCGGAGGGATAAAAGATCCCGAATGGTAGCTTTGAGACCGGCTTCGTCCTGGCGGATGCGAAATTCTGGCAGATACTCTCGAATAGGCGTATCCCAATCTAGCTTTCCTTTGTGCACGAGCTGTGCAATGGCTGATGCCGTAATTATCTTGGTTAGGGACGCCATACTGTGGAGAGTATCGTCATTTGATGACACCGCATCGTCTGAATTCCGCCGTCCGAAATGCGCTGTATGAACGACATTGCCATTATGCACCACACCGAGGGAAAGACCCGGAGTACCGCTGATCTGGGCGATGCGATTGATTTGCGGGCCTAGAGCTTGCAATTTCTGTGTAATTTCTGACATAATAAGGACTGCGTATGAGCAATTGAGAAGAGGAAAAGCGAGTAGCAATATAAATGAACGGCTTCGCAAAACTCCCATCAGCACGCTAGCAGAAGTGCTGTGCCGCATATACACATGCGGTCGTCCTTCACCCAAGCCGCTAAATTCTTACTCGTCCTGTGAAAAACAGCCTTATACAGTCCTGCGCGAAAACAAACATCAACAGTAGATCACCAAAACCTAACTTTGATACTGCGCAAATCAAGCATCGATGTCTCCCTTCATTAGTTCCATATGCTTGGCAGTATTCGCCTACCTGGAAGTGTTACCAGCTGTCAAATAGGTAGAGAGCAAGTTTTTTGACATGCCGGTTAATCACGCATGATTTCACATTGATCCTTGTCAGCATCACTCTATGCACGAGGCGCTATGGAACCGAGGCATGCTCAACGTTTCAAAGCGCAACACGAGACTCAGCACCCAGAAAATGCTGTTTGGCAAGATAGGGCATTGAAGAAGCCCAATTGCGGGAGTGGGATCATGCGCCAAAATCACATTGCAAGCTAACGACTCAGAACAATCTATATCTTCAAGGCATGCGGCTATTTGATGATCTGATGGTTCGTCCTATGCAATGAATGTAACACGTTCTGCGGAATCACAAGTCACTTGGAATCAACGTTGAATCGCATCGTAAGGTTTTCAGGATGAGTGAAAGTCATATGCCATCTATGTATTTATTGATAAAGCCCTAAGGAAGCACCCATGATCATTCCCGTCTAAGCTAGTGAACGAGGTTAAACAGGATGGTTGCTGATTAGAATATAAAAGAAAATAGATCGTATAAGAAGAGAATCAATCAAGCACCTTAACTTTACTCTACCGCTGTGCCCACGTCATGATCCTGCGCAACCTCGTCTTCGTCGTATTCATCATCTGCCTCTCCATTGTTGGAAACTGGAGACGGCGAGACAACAGCAGTGACCAATGTTGTTGGTGTTCCCTTCGAGGAAAGTCCTGCGAGAGAGCTAGTTGCTGAAGCCTTAGCGGTCCGCAAAGACGTGCTCAACTTTGACTTTGCAGAGCTCAAAGATGCGGTAGCGCTCATTGTGCTGTTTTTCATTCCTCCCGAGATGGTAGATCCGGACCCCGCACTTTCGTCCTCATCCTCCACTTCTTCATCGGCGCCCTTCGATGGGCTCGGCTTGGGAGTGGTAGATGCTGCTGAAGAGGCGCTGGATGCTGTTGTCTTGGTACTGGCATCATTTGGAATAGTCGAACCTGCTGCGCCGGTGTCTTCCTCCTCGCTGCCTGTGGACGGTGTTGAGGTCGGCGTTGGCGTCGATGTAGGGGTCGTAGAGGTGGAAGGACTTCCAGAAGACGTTTTGGTGATACCAGCGCCCTGAGAGATAGTCGAATCGGTGGCATCTTCCTCTTCCTCTTCTTGGTCCTCTTCGCCCTCTTCGATGCTTCCAGATGGAGTGGGTGTTGGCGCGGATGTTATGGTAGCTGACGATGCACCAGTAATTGTTGACTTGCTACTGGAATTTTCATCATCTACTGCTTCATCATCTTCTTCCTCCTCCTCCTCCTCCTCCTCCTCCCCTTCCTCCTCTTTGTCCTCTGAGATGGTTCCAGACGGAGTGGGTGTTGGCGTGGGTGTAATAGCTGCCGATGATGCGCCAGTTATTGTTGACTTGCTACTAGCGCCCTGAGAAATACTTGAGCCCGCACCACCCTCTTCATCTTCATCAATATCTTCATCTTCCTGTCCTTGCTCGTCCTCTTCTTCCTCTTCGTTATCCTCCTGGTCTTCCTGCTCATCTTCCGGGCTTCCCTCGGTGGGGGTGGAAGTGGGTGGGGGCGTGATAGTTGCCGAAGATACGCTTGACTTGCTGCTAGCACCTCCAGAAATAGTAGCTTCGGCATCTTCACTATCGCCAGAAGAGGACGTCTTTGTAGCCTCAGAAGCCGAGGATGCACCGGAACTCTTCGCTGTGCTCTTGGAAGCTTGAGATGAGCTGGATAGGTTCTCTTCATCGCTACCATCAGGAAGGTCGTCGCCTTCATCGCTGCCACCAGTAGAGTTTTCGCCTTCATCGCTGCCACCAGTAGAGTTTTCGCCTTCATCACTGCCATCAGTAGAGTTTTCGCCTTCATCGCTGCCATCGGTAGAGTTTCCGCCTTCATCGCTGCCATCAGTAGAGTTTTCGCCTTCGTCGCTACCATCAGTAGAGCTACCGCCTTCATCGCTGCCATCTGTAGGGGTCTCTCCGTCTACCGGGGTATCATCTTCGTCGTCCCCTTCGGCAGGAGTTTGTTTTTCATCGTCATTATCCGAAGTTTCGTCCTTACCATCGCTGACTTTAGGGTATTGTTCTCCGAGAGGACCGTCATCTCCATCGCTTTCTTCGGCTTCTCCGCCATCGTAGTCAAGGTTAACCTCGACAGGTGGAGGCTTGTCTGCTCCCATGCCGATACAGGCTTTCCAGTCCAGTGGCCATCCCTGGTCCTATGAGGTATTAGCTACGTTCCATGTACGATAGAGTAGCACTGTACATACGAAGATCTGCTGGTTGAAAATTGGCTCCTTCTTTGTCATGCCAGCTCTGATACTGACAGCAACACCGGCTTTGGCACCGAAAGAGATACCTTTCGTCTTCTTCTTGTCTTCGCACACACCCTCGTCATTCTTTTCCATCTTCATACCAACCTCGAAGTATGGAGCTTGCGCCTCGATCTTAGCTTCCACTCCATCTGTGAATTGTGTCAGTCATGGTTTTCTAAGCGTGTTTATGGCTCACTTACACCTCCCGTCCGCGATGGAAGCCTCGAGGCCAATGCCTAGAACGACACCAATTCTAACTTCACCCTCAAGAGTACCCTCGAACTCTGGACCCATTCTCTCGAATTTTGGTTCCCATCGTTCAAGTTTATTCCCGTTCCTGTCGTTGACATCAACTGAGATGACAGCGTTGTCGTCAAAGACAGCTTTCGTTCCGACGGAACCTTTGGCTTCTCCTTCGATTTTGCTGGATCTAAAGAATAGACCTCCCTCGACTTTGGGTCCCAGGTGCATGAGCTTACCCAGGGAGATAGCTGCGACTGGAATCTTGACGTTAGTAGGCAGCTTGTAATCGATTTCCTTGCCGAGTTTGCCGTTCGCGATAATGCCAATTGAGACTGCAGCCGAGAGACCTCGTGGACGAACACTCATCTTCGCCCTCTCGAGTCCATGCGTGGTTGCCTTGATATCAACCTCAAGTAGCAGCTTTCCGGCTGTCTCAATCTTGGGATTGATCTCAAGATCGAGCCCTGTTTTCGATTTTGTTTCTTTGATAAGGTTTGATTCAAATTTCCATTCCATGTTCAACTCCTTATTTTCTTTTTTCTCGATGAGCTCGATACCGGGTAAGATCTCCGCTGCCTTTTTTCCGCCCACGATAGCACCGACGATCAAGGGTATAAACCGTTTTTTTGCGGGCTTGTGAACCTCAGCCAAGCTCGTCGTGTTCTCTTCGGGCTTGCGAGCATCTTGGAAGTGCTTGGTGGTCAGGGTAAAGTCGTGGGCCGCATTCTTCCATGATAAACGCTTAGCAACTAGCGTAGCTTTGAGACCTTCTTTGTCGAATACTACTTCGCTGACGGCGAAAGGATCACGTTCCTCGTCCGGATCGCACTGTCCAGGCTTTGTGACTAGAGTCATGCTGTGGTTCTGGTTTTCGTTCACCCATTCCCAAACCCCAGAGGCGTAGTTGTAGCAATCATCGGAGGCAAATTCGATAACAATGGAATCGTTTGTGCACGTGATAGTCTTCAGTCGGTCTGCAAAATTCTCGATGGGAACGAGCTTCTCGAAGGCGTCAGGGGCTTCCATTGTGAAATTGGCAAGCACGACATCGTCGCCGGCTAATTATTCTCGATTAGCTCCAGTGATGTGTTTTGAAATCGATGCTTGCACTCACTGTTTTCGCCCCAATAAAAAGAATGGTTATCAGTGGGATCGAACACCTCATTTCCTGTAGCCGATCGTCTTCTCGGAATACCTTTGATCAAATCTGCAGGATCACTGATCGCTCGAAGCTTCAGTGGGGCTGGCTCAGAGTGACTGCCACCCACTGAAGCTTCTGCAACGACAGCTCCATGAAGAAGAAGCGCGCTGGCCAAGAGAACTTGTCCAGCCTTTAGAAACATAATTTATGGAGTCGACTTCAGTAAAGCATGTGGGGGGTACTAGTTGTGGAAATAGTATATGCGTGTAAAGAATGAATGACAAGATTGCAGAATAGTAATGAAAGAATGGATGGAAGCAAAGCTTTCCGCTTGAATGCAAAAGTCACTAAATGAGAGTGCTGTAAGAAGAAAGTGTGAAAAGAACTAATATCGTTGGTACTAAAGACTACAGACAGACATATTTATATCATGAGGGACTCCGTCGGTACTGAGCAGCAATTGATTGAATCAACGGAAAGGATTCGAGCTTCACCACGCCGCAAATCGGGCTGCATCGGATCACCCAACAAAGCAAATGCCTTCTTCATTGACGATGAACTCAAGTAAATGCGGAATAAGTCGCGTTGTAACCACGCCGCGGATTTCGGGCTTCCAAGGAATGTGGATGGGGCTGAATGCGGCGTATCACGCAGTCGTTATTTCGGGCGACCACGACTTCCAGAACATTGATTACTTCTGAGGCACAGCCGTTATCCAAAACTATACAGAATCTGCACAATTCGATATTGATTGTGAGCCCCCAAAAAACATCTTACGCCCAGGGTTGACCAGCCAATCAATGTTCTTTCTCCATTCGTACTGCCCATGTTTGTGCCGCATATAATACGCGACGAAACACAGCTTTTCACGTTACGCGCCGACTGCCTGAAAGTGAACACGAAATTTGAATTGGCAATGTGGCGTAACATATCTAGTGCGACAAGCATAGCAACACAATATAATCACTGTGCCTCGTCAGCGTCACTACAAATCTGAGTTTTCCGCCGCACTCGAATCCTTTCCACCCGCGAGTCTTCACATCTGCTTATCGTGGTCTACATAGTATTCGGCTTACAACATCTTTCCATCGCCCTGTGGCTTACTAGCGTCGGGTTATTACATTCGTCCTCCTACCTACACAACCGCATTTCTTCCCATCTTTGTCCGTATTATATTTCTCACACGATCAGAACAACAATGCGTTCTTATATCTTTTCCACTCTGGCGCTCGCCGCCGCTGTTTCGGCGCAGAATTCCACAGCGGTGCTCCTCAATCCTTTCTTGGATATGGAAACTGTCACAGCGATCGCAGCAGACAGCACTGCTACCACGTACACGAAATCCTGCTCCGGAGACGGTCGTATACCAGATTCTGCCACAAGTGGTCCGGCTGGCTATATTACGTGTGAGCCGTTGGCCTTGACACAAGGCCCGTCTGTGTGGGAACTTCATCAGACAGGCCTAGGGCCAGATCCAGCGGCATGTGACATGAAATGCAAATTTGGAGAAGGTGGCTATGAGAAGGCCGACGCAACTTGTACTATGTCGTTCTCAGGCATCTATACGTCATTGGGTTTCCCAGAATCTTCGACAGAGACGGTTTTAGGCCCTTCCAATTGGGCTTCTGGTATGCAGGGAGATGCAAAGCAAACAGTCGCTGTTATAAATGCAATCTCATCTTCCTGTAAGTACATTCATTCAAGATCATTATAAGATTTGCTCACATCTTTATAGCGAATCCTTCCATAACCTCTGCGCCTGGAAAGCCCCCTGGTGCCACTACTCCAGGTGCATCGAGTGCCGGTGCCGCTGCACCTTCTGCTAACTCTACTTCGCCTACGAAGTCCAGTACAGGCAACACTCTGGCTGCTTATTACAAAATAGACATACTTGCATTCATTGGAGGAGCCACTAGCATTCTCGCTGCCAGCATTCTGTTGTAGGTAGTTTCCCCGATTTCACCACCACTGGGGCTGTTTTCTCGATCCCTTTCATTCACAGCCTGTCCTAGATGGAGCAGGACAAGATGTAGTGTTTTGGTTCCAGTTGTCATTGAAATCTACTTTCCCCTTTAATATAGAAAGCCTTTAATACATGTATCTGAGTGTTCCGTCGGTTGCGCCCTCTTTCTATGTTTTGACTCTATGGATCGCATACTCATTTCCAAAAAATGGACATCTTTTTAGTCATACTTCACCTGCTCGAGTGAAGCACGAAGTCGCCGCATTCGGGTCATTCTCCCGCGGTCTCACGTGCGAAGAATCGATTGCACTCCGAACCATCTAGAACCACATCTTCATTGTTGCGGCGTGGTGTTTCAAGAGAGGAAATTGTTTGTTCGACCTGATTCACCCAAATACACTATTTTAGGCGTCCGCTAGGCGTACCCTTGAGTAATGAAACGGCGTGACAACGTTGCGCCGCATCAGCCTCTGCCTTAGTGTTGCTCTCCCTTGTCAGTCACACATCTCGCGTAATGATTGGGTGGGATAATCACTACCAGTAAGCGAATCCGTGCCTTCAACCACGCCGCTCCAGGGGAAACGCACTCCCTCGACTGAGCACGAGGTCGGCCAAATTCCGTGCACAAAATGTACTGGTCCTTTACATTCGGACTAAGCTCAGGGGCAGGTAAGGTGATACAATGCGTGTACCAATAGTTGAAGGTCCCCAAATTTGAGCGCCGCAGCTAATTTGCAACGAATCGACAATGATTTAAGACCTTGAGAGAGTTCAGGCGTAGGCCAAATATATACCTCCATCCTACGATTCTACATAATGCCATCAAGATTTGAATGTCGAAATACAAAAGCGCCTATTAACGCGGCAAAGCTCGAATCATAGATGCCTACGAAACCCCATCTACAAGATAGTCACGTTCCGTACTAGTACGCAGCAGCACCCAATGTCTGCGACAAATACTCGAATCTGTCTGGACGGGTTCGTATTTGTGCTTGGTACCAGCTTACCAAGAGGTGCAACGACGTAGCTAAAAAGACAAGCTGTGGGTGAACAAGATCATCGCCTCCAGCGCATACTGTCTCTTTGAAAAAAAAAAAAAAAAAAAGGCTGCCGAGCTCCGTGATGCTGCACAGCATTTCATCGTGTCTTGCCGACTTTTCCACCCCGCGCGAACGTGCACATCAAACTGGTATCAAGGTGGCTTATAAAGGTAGATCTATTGAAAATAAATATACCATCAATCCTGGTGACCATACATACGCACGACGTGGGGAATGAGAGGTCAAAACCCAGCCAATCAATGCAGGTGTTGCGCTGCACTCTCGTCACGTGAATGGTCAGGAGACTTTCACGATCCCCCAGAATTATCTAGTGGGTGGCATGTGTACTTTTGATTCGTATCGTAAGCTTAGTTCTGAACTATCGATAAGGATTGCTGGAGGAATAGCACATGACTGTGATTCTTATAATAAGTCGTCATTGCGGCACAGGTCTGTTCAAACTGTATGATAAAAGCAGCTGGAGTACAATCTTCAGATTCCAGTTTCAAGCGCACCGGGAATCAAAGCATCAAACACATTACGAGTCGAATCTTCGAAACACAACTAGAAAACGTGGAATAGATACCCCACATCAAGATCAGCAAACAGCGGCAGAATGACACAAAGTGGGAATGGAGGTCGTCAGTGCATAACACTCAGTCAAACATTCCATTGTGGTACTATCCGTTAACACGACTCCAGAATCGAAGGGCGTTTCAAAAACCGCGATACCCCGCCTACCACATCGCGAAGCCAAAGACGGTAAAGGTGGCACCGATTCCACTTTTTCTCTGGGGTCCCATAAACTAGATGAGCGGGATGAGCAAACTCTCAACGACAGTACGTATACTGATAAATCTTGCAAATAGCATGCAATGTGCTAATTACATTTAATTTTTAGAGTTTGGGAGAGATCAAGGCCCATTCTTTAGGCAAATGAACAGCTGGTTTGATAAACCCAAGAAAGAAGGCGGACAGGAAGCGCCGAAAGAGCAGAAAGAAAAGAAGAGTTGGAAACCGTGGGGAAGTAAGAAGGGCGGATCTAAGTAGGAAATCGCATGGCGACGGCGACGGCGACGGCGACGAATGTTTTCCGGTATGACTGTATGGCGGCGACTCTGCTTTATACCCCCCCATCAACAGGCAACAACTTTAGACTTTTTCCCCCCATCATTCAATAAGTTGATTTAGATTATTAAGTTGTAGTGTTAAGGTCCTCACCTAATCTGCACTTAGCTATTTAGAATAATAACTTATTAGTTTTGTAAACTACAAAACATGTTTCCTGCCTAGAGCTTAAAGGCAAATTTATTGTGTAATTCTTTAATACCTAGTGTTTGTGCCGCATGCAATATGCGATGATCAAATAATATACTTAGTATGGCGGCGATGGTCCGGGGGAAGCAGGATCCGATGTTCTCATTGAACGAATATGGCGACTTGTAATTGACTAATCTTATGCCATTAATTGTTCGAATCAAATCAGCTTGTGCACCTGTCTATCAAATATTGGATGTGAGATGACACGGAACTTCGTAAGTTGCGCTGCCTTTCTTCCTCGCCTCTACCAATTCCATGCCAGATCTATGAGCTGAAACTATTAATAGGGGCTTTAGATATTGACTGCGCATTTGACGTAGTGACGTATACGACGTCCCATCGATCCGGTGGAGATGTACGGATTTGTAGTGTTGAGGTTGGGAACCAGCTCTAGGTATTTTGATATAGGGATACGCTAGCCTCAAGATCTTGCAGAATGAAGACTACTATTTACGGGACATGACCTTTCGTCTCGCACAATATTGTGTTTGTGCATATAGGAAACATGTTTCATTACCCGAGTGGTTGCCACAAGAGAACGATACACGTTGGATATAGAAGCAACAGCGTCGCAGCAATTTACTATGGCAAGTAGGCATGCATTCAACAACAAAGACAATTGGTATTCAAGTCTATTGGGTATATAAAACGCACCGACCTATCCCCAAACCAATATATCATACAAAGAACAGAGTATGAATTGTAAGCAATATGCAGGAAAGCAAACCGACCGACTTCGAACCAAACGAAGCAGATGATCCAGAGGATCCCAAGGACGTTTGAGAAGGGAATCCCTGTGTTGTAGGAGTCGATATGATCACGATTCTTGAAGTGGGTGTCATTCGAGAACTATCGTCGCCCGTTGTTGTCGCAGTCTCGGAACCCGTAGAGCTTGGAGATGATGTAGTTTTCGCATCGGGCTGTGAACTGGGCGTGTCCTCTTTCACTGTAGTTGCGGCAAATTTCACAACCTCGGGACCATCCGACGATGCGAAGCTGCGTGTGCAGTAGTCTGTGTTCTTAGCTGCTGTACGCGCAACCTCACACCAAGAATCTTCCGACGCAGTGCTTTGTTTTGCACACTTGGACGTCGCCACTGCGCACCCCGCAGCCAGCGAGTTCCATTGATCAGGAACGTAGTAGGTCGCAGAGTAGCAGGCGCAAGCTTCGCCCCCATCTTCACCGCAATACCCAGCGAGAGCTGTGAGAACACGGCATGCATATTTAGAGTGCATAGGCATCAGCCCCCGGGAACGTGGCGGGTCACTGGCTAGATACAGTTTACGAGCATCAGCGAAACAACCAGATGTGGATGCTGATTGGGTGGTTTTGGCCCCCAGACACCACGTTCGAATTCAAATCGGGCTCAGACCTCCATTGCGGGGGGCCTGACTGTAGAACACACAAGACAAGCATAGTGCTGAGTGCCACATGAGCTTGATTTCCAATGCACCTTTTGGGGGCCAGGTTTTCGAGATCTATCCAAAAATCCGCTTGGACGTCTTTCTTCTGGAGCAGGTTCTATTGCCCCCTCGTTAGCAATGGCCATCGCTTACCGGCCCCTGGATCAGACTCAGAAAGAGATCAGACTCTTAGAAATAAAGTCCGCAAGTCGACTGGACAAGCCACTCCGTGGAACACTGTTCCATGCCAGGTTGCCAGAAGCCTCCTATACTGCGCTCTCCTACGTCTGGGGCCAGCCTATACACGACAAGTCTGCTATCGCCATCAAGTACGCAAAGCCAGGCGCGAGACTATTCTCAACTAGCGGGTCAGAGACGTATGATCATGAGATCGGCAGTAGCCTCTCACGCTCACTCAGACACCTGCGACAAAAATACGGGAAGTTCGTCATCTGGACCGACGCGCTTTGCATAAACCAGACCGACAATGAAGAGAAATCGTGGCATATTCCGCTCATGAGCGATATTTACTCGAAAGCGAAAGAGGTCCATGCTTGGCTAGGCCCCCGATACGATGACAATGACAACCTGATTCGCAACGTTCATACTGCTTTTGAACTGACCAATACAGTCTGGAGTCTTGCAGATAAAGTTAATAAAAGTCACAGTCTACTTCCAGAACAAGACTGGCTGGAAGCGTGCTTCAAACTTGCTAGTGCAGACGAACAATCCGACAACCCCCAAGACTCGGATGGACAATGGCTCGGATTCTCAAATCGCTTGCGCAGCGTTGCGCTCTCTTCACGTCAAGTTGTCGACAATCTAGCATCTGTCATGGATCTCGCGGCAAACGACTATTTTGCACGGATGTGGATTCTTCAAGAAACGGGGAGAGCGAATAGACTGACTTTCCATTATGGCCTAAGACAGGCACCGCACCGACGTGTTCTGCTCACTCTCGCAGTTGCGAGATCCCTGGGGAAATCGTCGCAAGATCTTCCCGTCATCGAAACACTGCAGAGCCTCGACGCTCGATTCCTGAACTGCCTTTTAGCACGCACGACGTGTGGACAATCTCTCTCTTTCCAGCATGTGATGAGAGGCGCATATTTCACTGCGCCACCTTTGCCCCGAGCGACGAACATGCGCGACCTTATATATGCGCGATTAGGACTTGCAAAAGACCCCATCGGTATCACTGTCAACTACGACTTGAGCGTTGCGGAGGTGTTTGCCGATGCATCTCGCTTTCTCCTGCTTGAGGGTTCGTTGGAGCTCTTGATCACGTTCAAGCCATATGCGAGGCACCGCGGGGAAGTATACACAGAAGACAAAATGCCATCTTGGGCAAACGACTGGTCTATTGCGGGGATGGATTCTTTCGTCAGATATCGAGCTGCCAAAGACACAACTCAACAACTAGTCTTCACAAATTACCGAGATGCGACGGTGAAGCAAGCTCTCAACATGTCAGGTGTCAGTGTTGGGAATGTCCAAATAACTAAGGAGAGGTTCTCCTGGACTGTACTTGAATCTGGCCTACACCGAAGCACAGTCACCCTGGGAGATTTGCAGGCTGTGGATAATGTCCTTTCAGAAGAGAATAGGATGGCACTGGTACAGCGGATGGAATACATCTACGAAGAGCTGGGCTTGGAAGTACCGCATGCTCACATAGGGACGTTCTTTACTCAGCACTCATCTCACTTTGCGCCATTCTGGTGCTGGTGGTTATACTGGGTCGCATCCCTCCTAGAACTGATTGGAGAAGCCGAGCTCCTATATCCAGAAAAAAAGTCAACATACAACATTGCTGAACTCATCTTCCGGCACGTTCCACAAGAACTACGAGGAAACATCAGAGTAGGCCGATTTGGATCGAAAGAAGGGCTTTTGGCATTGATTGATTATGAAAGATGGTCTAGCCTCGTGACTTCGCAGGGACGGAATGATAATCACCCACAAGACGAAGCTATCATGCAATTGGCGGAGTGGCTGTTCCATTCGGCGTGGGGAATGCGGCCTGCCATGCTCGCTGGTGGCAGACTAGCTTACATACCCGAAGATGCCTCACCGGAAGATGAGATGGTGATCTTCTACGGAGTGAAGGCGCCGTTGGTGATACGGAGATGCACTGAAGACACATATCGCATTATTGGGCCCGCACACGTCTGTGGTGCGATGGAAGGTCAATTGATGGATATTATGACCACTCGAAATACTTATAATTTGATCTAGAGAAAGTTGAACAGTCAATCTGTTCCCAATCATATAATGGCCTTATTGCACTGCCTTTCCTCTGTCTTGGTGTTGCTCTAGATTATTGTTGCCGACAAAACTGGCCCGTCTACTATATGCCTTTTGTCCAACCTTGAAGACTACATGTGGAAGTCCTTGAGTGTAGTGTTGAATCATCGCATTTTTGTTCGGCACAAGGAGCAGCCAAGGGTGACCCACCCTCAGACTAATCCAAATATGGATAGGTGGGGTGAAGCTGACAGCTGCAGCGGCGCAGCGATCCCAAGGCCACTCTTATAAGAAGCCACATTTCGGCCAACCTACATCACCCAGCTTCATTTTATCTGCTTTGCTCGAGTAATTGCCCTCTCTAGGGTGCGTTGCTTCCGGTTTATCTGACCCACTCACCAGAGGGAAACAGTGACAAAAAGATGCCGTCCGTGGATCTCGCTCATGACTTGCCAGAAGAGGTTCTGGCTAACGTGGTATCGCAATGCGAAAGAGGCTCGCTTCTAGCACTGTGCCAGTGTTCAAAGACATTAAACCGCCTAGCTACACCCTATCTCTATTCTCATATCAGACTTCGGAAACAGTGGAGCCGGTTTGGCGTATCGGCTCACCTGCTCCCGCTCACCTGGCTCCTGCTCACGTCTGCACCGCACGCAGAGTGTGTGCAATCATTGGCAGTCCAGGTCGGGAAGAACGATTGCCCGCCGGTAGAGCATTTTGGTAATGATGTGACCGCGCCCGAGGGATACTCGCCAAAAAAGCCATGGGGCGTGCCAGACGGGAAACGACTTGAAATGAGATTGAGAGGTGCGTGCGGAGAGCACACGAAGAGCGAGGAAGATGCAAATGAGCTGTATGAATTGATCAAGGGAGGGGAGAAGGAAGGTGCTATTGTGATTCTGCTCCTCACGCGTCTGCACAATCTGCGCACCTTCGATTTCTGCGAGTGCATAGGAAGCTGTGATGCAATGGTTCGCGCGTTGGAGCTGGTTTCGGGGGGCAGCTGGGGCCGTTTGGGTGGGGATATTGATCCTTCAACAAGCGTCGACGATAAGACGACCGTTTCCAGAAAATCACTCGCTATTATGGTCTCCGGAATCGAAGTCAAGCTTCCCAATAATCTCAGGCACGTCCCTGCTTTCCTCAAAATCCCGACAATTCAATCGCTGTACGCATGGAAACCTGGTGAATTCAGAGACGTGGGTGAAGAACCCAGGGACAACCCTTTTTACCGTCTTCAAGAACGCTCTTGTCGGACCGAATACGTCGAATTGCGACGCGCGAAACTATATCACACGCACTTCGATAAGCTCATGAAGGCCTTCATACCTGGTACACTCAAAACCTTAGTCTACGAGGTTGGATGCACCTGGGTCTGTGTAGTAGTTTCCCACCCAAGGATCCTAAAAAGTCTGCGCCCGCACTACCAAACCCTGGAACGTCTAGAATTGAGCCACGAGGACCGCTATCATCAGTTCGACGATGACACCGACCATCTTTGGCCCATCCAATTCACGAGTTTCACCAATCTTAAGAAGCTCAAGGTAGCTCCCGTGTACATATGGGGTGTCGACGGCACAACCATGGAATGGAAAATCAAGGACCCTTCTCTGATAGGCATGCTTCGCGATGCGCTACCACCGACTCTAGACGAGCTCTGGATCACAAGAGTAAACACCCATGGCTACCATCCAGAATACATCTCCGCGGTACTGATACCCGCACTGTACTCTTTAGTCGAACATCGCGAGTCGTTCCCGCTGCTGAAGAATTTGTACATCGCTTTCAACTCGAATATGGGGGAACTAGACTGGCTCAACGACATACACGCTTTCGCGACCTTTGCGAGATGCTACGGCATTACACTACGCGCGAAGCTTACGGATAAGGTGGGTCTGGAGCGTGGTTGGGGATGGGATGAAAGTGTGCAGTGGGAGACATGCAACCAAAACTCTGGCAATAACTTCCCGCTGATAGTGGTCGCCGAAGAGAAGGATATGCATGAAACGCTAATGAACTTGGGAGCCAAAGTCAAAGATAGGGACAGGGAAGGTGAGGGCGGAGAAGCGCCACCACAACAGCTTGGTTCGCGGATGAACAACAATGACTAATCGGAGTATCTCTGTAGATATCTACCATCCTTCAGTACTGTTAATTCCGCACGTATCTCGGTGTCGACCAACGCTCATTTCGAATTCACTACTCCCATAATACGTATATGATGAATTCGTGGCGGAGACAATTGAAGAGAAGGATGCAAAGATGATCATCTAAGTTATAATTTTGTTATGATCTCCGCAGAGCTGCGGAGAAAAGTGTGCAGGGACTACAACTTCGCCTCTATACTCCTCTTGGCCGTGGCATCTATCTGAGCGCGAGAACTTAGAACTTGATCGAGAACGGACATAACATGGACAAGTTTTGGTTCCTGCAGCTTTGGCGCAACAATCTGTATACATAACGGGGAGTCAACGTAAATTGCGCGATCGAAATTTTTCCCTATGCGCCGTTAGCGAATCCAGATTAGCAGACACTTTTCGGATAGTGATATGGATCGCTGCATAGTGAAATGCTATGAGAGAAAGTGTGATAGGTGGCAGCTTACAAAGAGTTCTGTTGTACTTATCCCAGCGTCCAATGGGCGGCCCATCATCTAACTCCCCTGTGATATCGCTGGACGTAAAGCGCCGCACCGGGACAACACCGGCAGGGAAATCCAGCAACACAAATGAGCTCGTGTAGCTGACAGTGTTGTATGTGTCAATCGGAGGCACGGGATGCGGTGCCACTGGACAGATAAAAGCGTCGATTCCCTCGCCGTCCTGCGTCTTCCAGATCGAGAGGAACTTTTTCTGCAGAACGGTTCTCTTGGCGTGGAGTTCCTGCAGCTGATCGAGGTCTTTCGAAGGGTTTCTGCGAAGACGAGATTGCAGCCAGGGGGATAAAGGCTCGTTGAAGGATTCGAGGAGATCAAAAATGGTGTTGCCTCCTTCCGCGGAAAAGAAGGCATTGAGGAGCGATTGACATTGCGACAGAAGCGGTGTGATGTCCATCTCTACAACCGTGATGTCGGACTGAGCCAGAGTTGTTGCGACTTCATCAAGGAGGTTCGCAATGGGAGGGTGGGGAGTGGTGATCCCGTCAGTTCTCACCACGCCAATAGTGAGTTTTCTCTTTTTCGGTATCGCTGGTCCAGATGTGGATACCGAATTCCAAGGCAAAAGTAGAACATCCGGATCATGCTCCCACGGCTTCTGCTCGGCCACAGCCGCGAAGAAAAGTTCGACATCTCTCATCGAGTGCGCCATCGGACCCGCGCTCGCCGGAACGCCGATTTTGTCGTGGCCGCGCTTCTGTCCATCTTCCTGGCCCGCAAAGGGGACCCGTTGCCAGCTGGGCTTCACGCCGTATAGGCTATTGCACATGGACGGGATTCTGATGGAGCCACCTACGTCCGTCCCAACGCCGAGGATACTCCCGCGCATAGCCAATAACGCACCCTCGCCGCCAGATGAGCCACCGGGAGTGAGAGCTGTGTTGGAAGGGTTAATAGTGCGACCGAAGACGTTGTTATGTGAGTCCAGCGCCATGAGCGTCTGCGGAACATTGGTTTTACAGTACAGTATCGCGCCGGCGCGGAGTAAAACGTCGACTAGCGATGAGTTCTCGGTAGCCGGGTTGAAACAGAGCGCTGCGATCCCGATAGACGAGTCGTATCCTTTGACTTTGAACGTATCCTTCAACGAGACGGGCACGCCGTGGAGGAGTCCGAGAGGTGGATTTCCAGCATCAAGATGAGCATCCAACTCCCGCGCACGATCCAGGGCGTCGTGGAAGAATATCTCGGTAAGGCAGTTTGTGAGTTGATGGGCGAGAGCTGCTCGCTTGCAAAAGGCCCGGGTAACATCTACGACTTTAAGCTTGCGCGTGCGGATGGCGGCGGCGAGAGCTGTCGCATCGTAGTTTTCTGTGATATCAAGTTCTTGCTCGGTCAAGATATTGCTTTGACGTATCAAAGGGAGAAGGTTGGTGGTTTGTTGAGGGGGTGGGACGGGCAGCCGCCATTCCGATGGAATCCGTTTCCACTGCTCTTCTTTCTTTTGCGATGAGACAGTCTCCCATTGCTTCTTTTCAGCTCGGTTCATGGCGCTTATGCGTGTGAGTTGTTTCGCAATGGCAGCTTGATAGATTGCAATGGAAGAGTGACCAGGTACGTAGATGATGGTTTCGTGCTGGGCCGAGGTTAATCGCATTGGAGGGGTAGCTTGGTTTACTTACATACACAGCTGCACTCTACCTATCACAACCACACAGAGGAAAACGGGTTGTCTTCGACATTCTGGGCATCGTGAGTCGTTGAATCCTGGCCTTTGTTCAATGCAGATATTTGACATGGCTTCTAATCTCCCCATTCTCAAAATAGTATGCCATCCGGCCCACAAGCTACGTTAGTATCACATATCGTAGAGCAGTTTGTATTGGAAATGTCGAACTTGTTAAATTCATCGCTAAAAGATCAGATGCAACCAATATAATGCATGCTATGAAGTTTCACGTTTCCAACATGGAAACCTACCATCTACCATATCTTCTCCCATTGCCGCCTCACAAACGGCATCTCGGCTATCCGCGCCTTCTCAACCTCCTCAATACCGCCTTCCTCCCAATGTCTGCACTCCGCATCGACCTCCGCCTTGCCACTATACAAGTCCGCATCCTTTGCACTGACAAACCCTCCTTTACCCTCGCGCTGGTATTTGATGGTTCCGATCAAAAACATGACCGCGGCGAAAGCCAAAGCAAAATACGATGTGATGAAGCCTCGAAGATCCCACGGAACGAAGACATCGAAACCGACAAATATCAGCGCCAAGCAGCCGAGGGTGAGAGCGACGATGGGACCCCAGGGCGTAAAAGCTGCGACGTAGGGTAGTTGGTCGTCGGTAAGGCCTTGGGCCTTGCGGGCGCGATACCAGAAAAGGTAGGTTACGAGCATCATGGTGTATGTTGCGATGAGAGCGGTGGTGGTAAGATCGACGAACCAGAGGAAGACCTCGCTGGCGGAGTTGCTGGAAACGAGGAAGGTGATGCAGGTGATGAGGGAAACAGTCATGACGGAATAAATGGGGACACCGGTTTTGGTGCACTTCATGAGGTATTTGGGAGCTTGCGAGTCTAGCAATTGTCAGTACGTTGGGACGATGTAGGGGTTCAGGGAGTTAGCGGCATACCTCGAGCAAGACCATAGAGAGTACGGCTGGAGGAGTACAGGTAGGCATTTCCGCAGGACCAACCAGACAACATGATCAAAGCGTTGATGAAGTGAGGAAGACCGTCAATACCAAGGTTCTGAATACCAATAACCCAAGGACTGGCCGCAGCGCCGGATTTTCCATCTTTGATGGCACCAAGTAGACCAGGATCGGTGGAAGAGCAAATGATACCGACTGCAAGCACACCGACGACGTAGAAACCGAGCAGACGCCAGAAGATGAACTTGGTAACGCGAGGAATCGTTCGTCGGGGGTTCTGGATCTCACCAGCAGCAAGGGCGATCATATCGGGGCCAGTGATCGTGAAACCGGCATATCGGACGACGGCCCAAAATCCGAGGAAGCGACCGGTATCTCCCTTGGCGTAGTACGAGTGCATGTAGTTGCCCCCGGTCCAGCTCCTGAAGCCATACGTATCTTTCTTGGGATTACCGCCGACCATGGTGATGAAAGTAATCATGACGAGCATGACAAGGAGAATGACTTTGGTCGAAGCCATTACGAACTCAGATTCGCCAAACCATTTGACGGCGACGACGTTGAGGAAGATGCAAACGATCATAGCCATTGCGATCCAAGCAGCGGGATTGGTGTTTGGATCCCAATATTGTATGACTGCCGCAACAGCAGAGTATTCGACGCAAACAAGCATAGTACTGTGTCGCGTTAGCTATTTCCCAGAAAATAGAAACAGATGGAGCGACTAACCCAGCGAAAAAGTATGTCCAGCCCATAGTGAATCCCATGGCAGGGCTCACCCAACGAGACGTAAGCTCGAAAATGGATCCACGAATCGGCAAGTATGCGCACATCTCTCCCACGCAGAGGAAGAGAGGCCATGTGAAAAAGAGACCCCAGAAAGCATAACCAAGGATGAGGTTGAGAGGTCCCGCTTTGCTGAGAACACCTCCGATACCGACCTATAATGTTGATGTTAGCGTTGGCACGCGGTTTTTCGTATCAGTTTTGGCGAGAAAATGGCGCATGTTTCGAACCAAGTCAAACTGATCGCCATGAAGTAGACGTAGAACAGGAGAGGCATACCCAAAGTCCGATACCAATGGCACCACCTGATCAGAGAGTTAGCAATTTATGACTTGGAGGTGAGTGTAGGAAACTTACCAATGGCCATTAATTGCACGTGTCTCGGTGATAAACCGCGCTGAGTTCGTCCATATTGGTTGGTGAGAACATTTTCCCGGCCTTTCTCATCTGCGGCGTCAAGTTCGCCTGGTGAGACATCGTAGCTAGGGACTTGCTCAACATCGAGCTTCTTGCTGGTTTCCGCCATGCCGACGACTACCACAGTAATGGCGCAGAATCAACAGAAGGGCCGATAAGAGGTAGATCCTGTGCAGCGCAACAAGAGAATGAAGTTGACGAGATGGTCTGGAAGCTGTTCAAGCAAACAGACACCGGGGAAGATATATGTAAACGTCCATCTACGTATCACCGGCGATAGCAATCTCGGGCCATGGCGGGCGTCAAGAGCGACTATCGGGGGTTTCGTATCTCCACGAAATGGCTATCAAAGCTACTTTCGCCTTAGTTCACCCCCCCCACAATCATGATCGACGCCAAGGGCATCCAAAAAGATAAGAACAGGAAAAATCCAGGAACGCAAGCCGCAGCCCTACTGCTCTCAACCCCCAATGCAGGCAAAAGGATTCTGTACTAAGAAGGTCTGCCACAGCGCCACTGGTTTTGTCGCAAAACCCTCCTCCGTCTCGACTTTTTCCATGAAATGGATGGCTTCTACCACGACGTCCATACAATGCATCTGTCCAATGGGGCCCCGTTCCGCTCTCGGCACCTCCGCACCATTCTCCACCTCCACTTTTTCGAATCAATTAGCCATCTGCTTAGGTTATGGAATGCCATGAATCTGAAGAGACTCACGATAAAAGACAGTGGGGCGGAAGCTTGGCAGGGCCGGTCCAGCTCTTTTGACCCCGGCCCGGCTGATAGTCGAGATGCTCTTAACCGACTTTTTATGTCACGCGCAGATAGCCCTGAGACTACAGATAGAGCATTCGGGCCTTTTTTTGCGATTGTTTTGGCTCTTCAGCTTGGAACTGGCTCTACCCCACAAAGCAGTTAGGTAAGTGTTTGATAATGAATCGATTTAGCGCATTAGATGCGGCGTAAACCACGTGGAGAATGGGACGGTTACGTCGTCCACTACACATAATATCACGTGATCATTGATGAGTCATCAACTTGGGCATTTAGTTGCGTAAACTAGTGAGGGAGATACTAATCAACGACTAAGAACGCTCTGATCAATTCGTTATCTCATATCAGGAAGAGATCTAGCTGGCGTATGCTTCGATTATGGACCGACTATCGATAATACCCTTCTTAAGATGAAAATCGAATCCTGATTATCGATCTTTCACGAAAAAGCGTACTATTTACACGAAACATAGCAGACTAACCCTAGACTAGTAAGGACAAACCAGGTCGTCCCATCAGGGAAACTTACGCGATGTATATTTGTTGCTAATTCAACAGTCCCTCTGACATACATATCTAGGCAGTCGGAAGCACAAAAATGGCATGACCACGATTAGCTCCTCAGAAGCTTGTTCCATCCTGTCGTTCTTCCGACTACATTCTTTATTGATTTGCGCAACAGATCCAGCAGCTCCTCATATCCTCGATCCTTAAAGATGATTTTAGCGGCGTGAAGAGTTGCCGTATACCTATTCTAGTGGAATCTAAACCCTACCCAAGCACCTACGAACCCTACTATTCCTATATCATTCAATTGATCCAGCCGCGGTATCGTGGCCATAATTTCTAGGGTGATAAGAGGATAATTGTGCCTCTGGCTATTGGTGTATCATATTGGAACGCGGAGATGCATTCATTGGGGCGAAAACGCATTCAGGACTACTCATAGCAGATGCGTCTGCAAGAAGAGAAATCCGTTGAAGCTTCAAGAGTTCACGTAAAAAGCTAAGAATACGTCAATGTAGTTCCTCCAGCCATTTTGAGAGGTCGGTATCAATCACTCTGTAGGAAAAGTGCGTGCAAATTCAATTGAGTTGATGCTGCAGTGCGCAGCGAGCATAAGGATGACGAATAGCCAGAAGAACTGCGTCGAGTAGCTTTGACTCATGAGATAATCTTTTACAAGCCCTTCATCTATTTTAATTTGTGTTTTTCGTTCCCCACCTCGTCCAGCGAGATGCCAGGTGACTTGGGGACATGGAGTCTGCGACAGTACTTGTGCATTATGAGAACTATAGACTGCGAACGGGAGTTTTCAAGGGTGATCCTCAAATGCATTCTTTCCAACTTATAACAAGAATCAAGTAAAATCAGACAATAAGGTAGTGACAAGAGGAATCGTGCATGGTAATCTAGATTTTAGAATCTGATCTCCTCACTCGATCTGCATCTTTGGGGTTTTCTCTTGCCCACTTTTCCTGGAGCGCTCTCGCTTTGGAAGACTTCTCGGTGAAAGCTTCAAAGAGACTAGGCCACCCACCACCAAGGGTGCGAATATCCACTGGGCGACCACTTTTGACATCCATGTAGGTGCCAATTCCCTTAACCTCGGCAACTATAGCTTGTTGTTGGAGGGAGAACAGAGATGCAATGCCAGTGACTCTAGTCGGTTCAATGCTTTGGTGCAGCCAGGCGACAATCAGCTAGATTTCGAGTTAGTCAAACGAGCTGCTGCATGAGGGTGGCGTAACTATTTCATCTCGCTTACTGTGTCAGGGTACATGACCTGCCGGCGAATCTCCAGCTCGTATTTCCGTACTACAGGTACAACGGTCTTTCCGTTAATCACGCCGCCGTATTCCTCTGGAGAAAGGTAGTCGTCATAACTCTCCATAACGCGATGAAAGCAAGACCCGAGATAGGACATGTACTGGGCTTGCATGACGTGACCGAATGGATCCTGGTGTTCGGCCCATAGGACACCCTGCTCGACCATAGTCTGCGGATCATAGCCCATGGCTTCAAGTTTCGAGAGTGCTTTTTTGCGCAACGGAGCGTATATATCCGTGTTAGGGTGCGGCGATGGGGCACCGGTGCGTGAGTAGGGTGAGTTATAAGATGACTGCCCTAGGCGCGATATTCCACGGTCGGCCATGATTCGTAGTTATCTATTTCGGTTGGCTTGAAGTGAACAACAAGTATGTAAAGGCGTGTAGTGTGTATTGGTGCGCGAGCGAATGCGAGCGTCACGATGAAAGTATCGCTATATATACGAGAGAGGGGTTTTATGAGCGAATACTTGGCATACGGAAGCGAGTGAGACATTGCGGCACAGGGCGAGCCCTTGTATTCCTATCTCACATCTAACCCGGGCAGGTCACACCGACAGTCCATTATGTGGCATTAGTCTGAAGTCAGCAACAAGATAAGACAAGGCAGGAATCGATCCATCAAGCTATACAAATCATGACTTTGGCCGTACTTTTCGATGCTCTTCTACTACTTCTGAAAAATGTTCCCATCGCCCCCATGTCGGAGTGGCACAGTCCCCTTACGCCAGCTACATGTTGGGGATCATAATGCGGCTGTCTCTCTTCTACGTGCTCTTAAAACTGTTAGGTTCTTTTTCTTAGTCTAGGTAGCGATACACCTAGAGAGGGGTCTGTTAGCTCCGTCAATAATTCTTTTATTCTACCAACAACATTAGGCATTAACCCAAAGCGCCCAAGAAGCATTATGCACATCACCAACCTTTGAGATTTTTCAGTTCCAAGTTACGTAGTATAACCAAGATAGTAACAGAAGAATTGTAGACCCTGCAGTTTTGAATAGCTCCACCAAGGTCGAGGCGAATCTTAGTAAAGGATGCTCTTCGATATCTGCCCCTTTCCGTAGTAGAAGGATTGCATCTATTCAAATAACATTCAAATATTTCCATCGGCACGTGTGATCATCTATTAGTACCTTCCAGTATAATCGTAGCGTCATCGTGCTTGTGACATGACAGAGATATTGCTTATAATGCCTTCGTCCTAACGAGTTTGAAGAGAGCTAATCATTTGCTTTCTTGAGACCTTTGTTGTTTTACATATGCAATAATAAAGGTATAAAATCTCTACGCATAAGATAGACTGGGCCAAGTTTTGTAAGATGTCTCTCTCCATAGTTCTGCCTGGCGTTCGTACGACTCTTATTGCAACGTCTCTCCTTCCATCTAGAAATCAGTTGATTCCAGCCTTATATACTGAGGTTTAACCATTCCAACGCGTAAATAATTCTCGATGTCGTAGGCAAGTATCTACCTAGATAGTCAGTGAAACATAAATACTTTTATTACTACTACGCAAGATGCTTTTTTTTCGGCGAAGATAAGTATAGTGTTTCTTGCTTATCTTCTCAGATACCTAGCGATGTAACGTACTTTAGGATAGATATCCTTTCCATATTGCATAAACACTGGGTTCATCCCCCCCTGCTTCCACAACCTCACCTCCAAATCACTCAATGCGAACCCAAAAGAGTTTTTACCTACTGTGACAACGCGTTCCTCAAAATCCACCTTAATCTTTTTTTCATCAAACGCGAATTCAAAGAATCGCTTATTATTCATGACAATACCCAGCAGTCCCTAGTTGGGTTAATTACGAGCATACATGAACGCGAGCGATCTCGCTATCCCACACTGCACACCAGTAGTCGTTAGTGCAATCACTGCATTCTCACGAGATGAGCCGACGCCGAATGGCTTCCTCGCGACGACAATACTTTGCCCATTTTTACTAGTTTCCGAAAACTTGGGCCTGTGTGATCGAGGCAGAACTCGTCAACCTCAATACTGGAGAGATCACTGACGGGGGCTTCTGCAGGGGCAAGCGCGCCGGTGTCGATGAAGTCACCTATGCGTCTGTCCGCTGCCAGAATCTTCGATGCCTATGGACAGTTCGTACATGTTAGCCTGCATTCCCAGATTAGCTGCCATGCATACAGGACTGCATAGACCGTCTGAGTTGAGTCACTATTATCGCCATCGATCATCACGAGGCCGAAAAGATATTGATGAAGCTTTCGGACTATGGTACTGTCTTTATATTGCCGTAGAAGAGTGTGTCTTTGCTGAGCTATATCCTGCCGGTTTTTCTAGTAGGTACTAATGTGGGAATCATGAAGTAAGTGTGCTTACAGCAAACAGTCAGGTGGTCCCGCGCTGCAGAGATAATCAACGCTTATAATGTCGCTCTTCAATCTTGAGAGACTACGAAATCCAGTCTAATGACGGCCAGTTGTGAAATTCCTTTACTCGTTCTGCGCATTGACTCGAACGCCGGAATCTTTACACCGAAATTTGTTTACTCGAGCTACTTTGCTTTCATAGGCATGAAACGCGGACAGGATACGCTAAACACCGCAGTACTTATATGCAAACAAGCCCTAGTGAGAGATAATGACATGCCGGGACGAGCTACTACGGTCCCTCCTCAGCTCTGGAATATGCACTCGTCACAGCCAGGAAATGATCAGCGTCGTCCCACAATCACTATAAAATCTCGGATATTCTTTAGTATAACGACGGACGGCCCTGGGCAGTGGCGCGAATAATATGCGGGTATACACGATAATGGAGCACCGGGACTGCTAGCTCCTCTGATTCAAGTGTCGCTGACAGATTTTGAATCAGGGATGACGTTGGACACATGTGTTTTTCACTTCAGTGCTCACTCAGCACGTAAAGATCGATAGAGATGACGTTAGAAAATGAAGACATGGGCTCTACAGCGCACCCACGTTGGGATAATTTTGATTCCCCGGCAATGACCAAAAAAACAATTCATCTCAGAATAATACGGTGCCTTCCCAATTTACGCCAATCCGCCTGTGACTGCTGTAAACTCTAACCTCTTGTTTCCTGAGACATTGACAGACTTCTTTGGAAGTGCCTGATTATACGATTGAGGAGGACTGATCTAAGACACGTTACTTTTTTCGTTCACTTCAGCAAAATATTATCCAGTCGCATCCTAGATGGATAACGCATAGTCTGTCAGAAAACTCGATTTCAGTGTTTTTGATAGACACGTGCTACAGATTCACATCTTTTTCTTCAATTAAACACATTATGAAATTCATAACTCATGATATAGTACATTATCCAAAACATTGCAGCCAACTTCTCCTGAACTTCTCAAGTAGCCGCTGCCACGGCTTTCCGATCCTCCACCTTCTTATCATACCGAATCCAATTAACAGCAATAGCAAGAATAATATCCATGCCAGGAGCCACGTCGATGTGACATTGACTTCGCGCATGTTTCCAATCGCTTCCATCTTTGAACGTAACGGCGGGCTGTCCGTTCAACATGACAGCAGCAGACTTCCCCATGACACCCTTCTCAATCGGCATGGGCAATCTTTGATTTGGGCTTGGATAGGCGGTGAGATCTGCGAGTCTTGTCAGTCATCTGATTGGTCAACCAGGGAAGAGATGACATACCATATCCGGTCCTTATAAGCCCGCGTTCTAGCTTTAGGTAAAAAGCCTCTGTGCCATCTGGTCGTACCCCGCGATACTCGCTTCCTCTTCCACTGAAACTATGCTTCTGTTTCATGATTCTCATGACTTCCTGCCCTTTTATTGTGCGAAAAGAAATCTCTTTTCGGTTGAGACGAGATACCTTTAGGAACTCTTGCCCCGAGGCGAAGGACACAAGAAAGTCATCTTTGAAAGTCAAGATCTTCTCCTCTTGCATGAAGAAGGTCTCTGGTTTTCTGGCGATGAAACCATTGATGAGAGGGACACCGGGTTGCGGGAGGGGTGGGAGGGACATGTCGTTCGTTCCACTTATGCTTCTGATGTAACAGATATGGAAGACAGTAAAAATTGGGGTCAATGACTCCAAGTATCAATCGAGAGAACTGAGTATGTTTTTATATATGAGATGCTAGAAGTACTCATCGCACTTCGATGCAGCACGAATGTTTTTATATGTGTGATTCCTGCGCATTCAGTCCCCCCCAGATGACGTCAGAGGCTGAGGGTGGGATCGATAGCTGGCCCCCTCATATTCACTCCGTCATAATTTCCCTGCTCCAACTATTCCATAATCAAATACTGTCAGCTTACCCGAACCGTTCGCTCAGGCGAAAATGGGGGCGAATCGAGCGCAGTGAATTACCTTTATGGATAGAGGATACAGTGTGCAGGCCACTATTGGGCAGCGTCCTGTCGATCAAGGCGCGACTAGCGTCTCGGCACACCGCGCTCGCGGCTGACAGACTGCGCCCCCGTTACTTTTACACTACTTTGGACACTGGACTTGCCCTCATTCGGCGAATATGAAGGCCAAGCCTTTTTAGACCTTCGTCGTTGATCGTCTCGAATGCCTTGAAGCTAAATAAAAATAGTCACTAGTTTTCACAACTCTACAGCAGTGCCCACTGTCCAATGCGGTTACATCACAGCCCGGAAATGATGTAAATTCGAATGGAATATAAATGTCCCCAACCCAATCTTTGCACTTCTCTATATCAGAACGACAGTTTGTAAATTATCATGATTTCTAGAACCACACTCTCGCTATTATTTCCAGCGTACCTAGCTGCAGCATTGCCTTCCAATCGTAATTCTTCCCTGACTTGGGCCCCTTGCGATATAAACTTCCCAGAAAGCCTAGAGTCTGCGATCACGACACCAATCGAGTGCGCGAATTTAGCGGTTCCCCTGGATTATACCAACCCGAAGTTTGGGAAAACAGTCCAATTGCAACTGGTCAGAATACCTGCTACACAACAGCCGGCGAAAGGTAGCATTATCTTCAATCCTGGTGGACCAGGTGGCTCGGGAGTGCAGGAAGTCTCGACGGAAGGCCAGAAATATCTCGATGTGTTCAAAGGACAGTACAACATCGTAGGATTCGACACCAGGTATATTCATCTTGTATTCTTGTTTGGAGCGTATTGCACTAACATCTTTGCAGGGGTGTAGGCAGAACCATTCCATATACCTGCGGGATAGCTGGTGGCTCTACTGATGGTCCCGATCTCAAACGCCGGGCAAACATCACAACTCTGCCACAACAGTCTGGCGACGATGTTTTCGAATTCCTCAAATCGAAATCCTGGGACGATAACCGAATTTTCGCAGACAAATGCGAAAAGAGTCACGCAGACATCGGGCGCTTCGTCAATACAGCGTTCATTGCTCGTGACCTCCTCGCAATTGTAGACGCGTTGGGCGAAGATGGTCTTCTGAGATTCTGGGGCCGCTCGTACAGTACCGTTCTTGGCCAGACGTTTGCTGCCATGTTCCCCGACCGGGTTGGTCGCCTGCTTCTGGACAGTGTCGTGAAAGCATCGGACTACAATGACGGGAGCTGGCAGTCCGCTATTCACGACACCGACAAAGCCCTTCTCAACTTCTTCTCGGAGTGTATCAAATCCGGTCCCACTAACTGCCCGCTTGCAAATTTTTCAGGCCCCGCAACCACACCTGCTGATCTGATGAACGGTCTTAGCAACATCTTCCAAGAGCTGATCGAAAACCCTATCATTCTTCCCGACGCTTACCCCATCGTTCCCCCATGGTGGCAGCCAGGTGGAATTCCACTTTACCACGAAATCAAGTACACAATCTTCACGCAGCTCTACAAACCAAGCAACTTCGGAGCCCTCATAACCATCCTCGGTGACGTATACCGCAAAAACTGGTCAGCATGGACGAATCTCACCGCAGCCGACCTGCCATCTGGCCCTGCTCCAGAAACATGGAACCCCCAACAGAGTATCGCACTCTTCGGGATCGCCTGCTCGGACAGTACATTCCGCGCAAAGAAACCAGAAGACATGTACAACCTCATTCAAGCACAAGCTGGACAAGGTGTTTTCGCTGATGCATCCACCTCGACACAGTTCTGGACGTGTGCGCAGTGGCCTTTCCATGCTGCGGAACGTTACGAGGGAAATTATCGCGATATTTGCACCAAGAATCCCATCTTGCTTGCCAACAACGTGTTTGATCCTGTTACACCGCTTACCAGAGCATGGGATGTTGCGTTTGGATTCAAGGGGAGTAGGATGTTGGTACAGAATGGACATGGGGTGAGTAACACTATCCTCTTGTTAACTTGAAAGAGACATCAGCTAATCGATCTACAGCACGGTATCATGAACCACCCATCGAACTGTACAATGGAAGCTATCAATAATTACTTTGACAGCGGCGTTTTGCCTGATCATGGTACAGTTTGCGAGCCTAATCAGTCAGCATATGAGGTTGCGCTGGAGGCGGCACAGGCGGCACTAGCCGCACAGAATGCGACTGGAGGCATCTAGCTTATGCATGTTTGTTCTCTGTAAATATTACCAATTTTGATTATATAGCTTTTGGAAGCATCCTCATTGTTGTATCATACTACAGAATTGTACATCATCGTTCATCATAGAAAAGGCAAATTTGACTAGTGGTCGGGATTCGTTACAGCTCGGAGTCGACCTGCTGGCAGTGTACCACTTGTTTTCTCAGCACTTTTCAAATCTCACTTTAGCCATATCTCTAAGTGAACCTTTTTTTTTCAACTCAACTCACCTCGATGGATGGTCTGTTAGTAGTGGCTGACATACACCGAGCCAATAGAGTTTAGTGCTGGATTCTGATTCGTCTGCTGTACTTGGCTACCCACAGAACGTGATTTGTCAGCTATGCGTACAAACCCATCGTGCAAATGGATACTTTGAGCCGGCAAAGTCAAAATGAAGGAACACGAAAAATAGCTGGAAATCGCAATGAATGATTCGCGACAAGTGCGTGCACCAGCACAGATGGAGTAGGAAACAATGCAGTGGGCAAATCTGTGATTCAAAAGACATCTCGAAGTATCCGCCACTACAACACAATGATAATTCCTTTTCGTATATATCCGACGTGGGAAATCAAAGTCGACGTTGATTGATCTCTACTACATGGAACTTTTCGACATCAGCTGGCACATCAAGTTCCTTCTTGCGCCTATTATAGTCCCACTGTTCACCTTTCACGACAACAAGAATCTTCAGCTCTACTGTCGCTCTTTGCACCAACCACGCTAACACCGAAAGATATTCGGAGCAGCTTTCCTCTTCGCCATTGCATTGATCCGGTCGGTTCACGATAAGATGCACCGTTCGATGATGGATATTGACGATTCGAAGCAGGGCATCACGGAGCGACTCGACTCTCACTTCGTGATTACCATCGGAGCAGTTCTGCGACTTTGCGATGTGCGACTCAACGTAATCAAAATCGTGGGCTAATCTCAGAAGCTTTGGATTCCGCTGCAAAAGTTGAAAGATCAGCCTCGATAGACCCCCGTCAAGCGTACTTCTCTCGTTGCAGTCTTCGAATGCGATGTTGTTTCTTGAATCGATGACAGTTGCTGACTGTGTGTTCCGTCCAGGCTCGGTGGTCTCCTCTGATGTCAGCAGCGATTCAGCTACTTCCATGAGAACAGGAGACAGCCACGAATGTCGCGTTGCTTCTCGACTTTGTTCGTTTCGTCCAAATAATAAAAGCATACTTGATTCTGGAGCTCGCCAGGCTTTGTATTCGGGAACCTGGTAGAGTCTTTCCAAAGTCATACGATCGCGTCGCCTATCATTGTCAAACTGTGGTTTAATAAAACGCCTGTAGTTGTCGAATATGCGCAAGGTAGATTCCAACTGGTATTCTTGGACATTGAGTAGGTTTCGTATGTCTTTGACTAGGCGTACGTCGTCTCTTTTACGAAGCTCTGTGTTGGTATCAGTCGCTGGGTACACCCGGCTTGTCTGTTTGTACTACCTTCGTTATCTTTTTCCAGGCGATCGACCATCTCAGCAAGCAAAACATCGCTTCTTCTGATGACTCGGTTGGAAACCCTAGTCATGTCCTCACACATAGCCTCAAATTTTCCGACGTGGACCAACTGGCTCGTGAATCTCCCTAAATGTGTTATTTCCGAGCACGATATTCTCGATTGTGTCACTTACATATACCATGACCTTGAAGATATACTGTCACATTCCTGGCGAACTTGATGATTGTGCCGTATGCATCCGCTAGCATCTTGCCAAACTCCTTGTCTGGAAAAATCCGCCCATAAATTCTATACTCAGGTAATCGATCAGCTATATCCATCATTGCGTCCCGGATGGATCGTTCGGCGTCAACTTTAGTTATTATCATCTGTTGGATGTTAGCCCCTCGCGTTTGGAACAAGATTGATGATGATTACCGAGTAAAAGAGGGAGAGTGTTGAAGATGCGACATTGCCATATTGTGCGTCCGCTAGGTTTACAATATCTACCACACCAGAGTATGCTTTTAGAAAACGATCGAATGCAACGGTCAGGCTTTGCGCCCGTGTCGCGACTCTATGAAGTCCTTTTGATCGCCTACTTTCCAGATGATCATCGGCTATCTTCATCATGGCTACTTGATCGTTGACGTAGGAAGAGAGCTCGTCTAAGGAGAGCTCTTCCAGTGCGTCGAAAACTCCGATCCTCGATTTGGACGGGCTTACTTGACCTCTTCGTTTCGAGTGCGATAGAATCGTCGTGAGTGCAACTGATTCTTTCCTCCCCAGCTTCCGCAATCTAGTCCGGAGGAACTCCTTCGAATCTCCCACTACTTCTCTTGCGGACTGTAGTTCAGGGCTAGCCAGTATCTTTAGCGGCGTACGACATGGTGCGGAGTGCGAGATCAAGATAGCGCAACATACCACGTGTGACTCTGGGGGAACCACTGAACCCAACCGCTCTCTCCCTTGAAAGATTGCGACGACATGCTGTGGATGGTCGTATTGTTGAGGTATGATCTGCTTTGTGGTGGCTGTCATTGTTAGTAACTTTCCCAGCTACTGATATTGCTTTGGAAGGTAATGCTTTGTACCACGGTAATCGGTCGAAACTTTTCTGAGACGACCATCCTCCCCGTGCATTATTAATTTTCTAAAATTAATCCTTCGGACAACTATTCATGTTGTGTAACACATGGAGTCACGCTGTACAGTTTGTAGACACTTGTTGTTTATAATAACATATATTTAGTGTTAATTAACATTTTATATTAAAATTAACATATAATGCATATATCCTATTTTTTTATAGCTAATAATTAAAAGCTTATGCAGCTGCTACTAGAAAAATAATAAATTATTTTAAATAACTTTATAGCTATTACTATATTTTTTACTTTTTTATTATAATTTATAATATATAAAAATTTTAATATTTACTTTAAGCTTTTTTTTTTAAATTTTTATTTATATTAAAAAGTAGTTTTTTAAAAGCTTTATTTTTTTTTAACTATTACTACTATATTTATATAAGTATTAGTATTTAGTTTAGTTATTATTACTTTTTTTATTTTTTTAATATACTAAAGTAATTACTTTTAGCTTTATTAATAAAGTTATAAAGCTTATATATTATTTAAAATAACTTATTTAATCAAGTTTAAAAAGACGCAAATAGTAATACTAATTACTAAAAAGCTAAATAACTTAAAAAAATATTTTATTACTTTAAAAAAAAGCTTTTTTTTACTTTTTGAAATAATAAGTATTATAAGTTTAAAGTTAAAAACTTAGTAAGTATAAATATAAATTATAGCTATAAATAAATTTAATAATAAATTTATAATTTTACTACTAAAGTAGTATTAAAGTAAAAAAGTTATACTTACTTACTTTATACTTTTATTTATTACTTTTTACTAAGTAGTAGTTAGTTATAAAATACTTATTATTAAAATAGTTAAAATAGTTAAAATAGTTAAAATAGTTAAAATAGTTAAAATAGTTAAAATAGTTAAAATAGTTAAAATAGTTAAAATAGTTAAAATAGTTAAAATAGTTAAAATAGTTAAAATAGTTAAAATATTATACTATAGTTGAAAAAGATATTTTTTTAAGTAGTATTTAACTGTGTCTTTTTAGTAATTAAGTTAGCCTGCCTTTTTAAAACACCTACTAGCTTTTTTAAAACACTAAGTTTTTTACTTTAGTGCTTACTTAGCACGTAAAAATCAATAGTGTAACACATAGAAGAAGGCTTTCAGCAGATTTTCTGACCCCAAGGCTGAGTACATACATGATTGTTCTGTCGTGAAACAGAGCATACGTGCTTCATAACTCATGCAGTCATCAAGCTTTACAGGAAAAGATTATCACACCACCCATATGTTCGTGTCTGGAAGTTGTTGCATCGTCCTTCCATATCTAATTACCCAATTGGTCGTTGTTGGCCCCATGACCAGGGTACGCGAACTACCCGTTCGGCTAAGTGAGAACTCAAGAGATCAGCGCCTCTCTCAGATAAACAAAGCAATCGGTTGGTCAGAAGGTTGCGGAGTTGACTTCAAGCTGTGAAAAATGATTGAGAGTTTTCAAACGTTGTTTTGTTTTTCAAGCATATCCCCATCTCTTGTGATCCGTGGATGATATGAGCATGCACGTGACTGGCGGAAGCACACCTGTGCAAACCCGTAGGTACATAGGTATGCTGTCTGCATCATCACTCGATAGCTCTTTCCTAAGAGAAATATAGACTATAACACAGGCTCCAGCCACCCTGTAGTAGGTATACATCTAGATGCGCTCTATGCCAACCCGCGTAGACAGCCTGCATATGCAAGCTGTCTATCGTGTGGACATTCAGCTCGTGTCTCGCAAGGCTTTCTAAGCAATATCGACGAATAATCGTTCTGTAAAATCCACACCAACCTCAACGCGGCTTCTAGCAGCTAATCTCACCGGAATTTTGATCCATTTTTCTGTCAAGCAAGAACCATGCGAAGCAATGGCCGGAACCATCCTTTGGAGTTCTATGCAGATAGACTGTGGTAGCCGTATCCCAACTGCAATAGATATGCACATAAGTTACTTGCTGTTACACAGATCAACCGAGCCGTTATGAGGCATTCATTTGTATTTTACTACCCGGTTATAAATACCCTCGATAGGCTGAAACATTGCTCGCTGATTGTTTCACCGCATTTGTTGAGCTGCAACTTGAGGTGCGAGAGTGAAAGGGGTGCGTCAAAATCGGGTGTGGGCCACCGTGTGACAACTGTCGTATCTTATCCTTGTCGAATTGTCGTGCATGAACTTATGTGAGAAACCAGGCTGAGACTCGATGGGGGCGGAGTTTTGAGGTACTATAAGTGTCTTGCTTTCGATATCTTCATCAAAATGCATCCTGGCCGGCTTCCATCAACTGAAGCTTATTGCATCCAACGATTGAAGGGAAAATGGAAAGCAACGTGAATACTGCAAGAGCAAGCATGGTAAGATTGATCTCTTTACCTATCAACGGTAAATCGTTGTAGTGACCAGTCGATACAGGAGATTGACAACGGCCGAAGACAAAAGGACCTGGATTACGAATACATCAGAAACCTAGAGCTGAGAATTCAGCGTCTCGAATTACTACTGAACAGAGACACGAAGGATGAAGATCCGAATGGCGATACCAATGTTTGTATTTGGATGTTCAGGCTTGTTTGATTAATCTTTTTCCTGACTTCTACGCGAAGGTTTCAAGCACCGGAGAAGTTGATCCAACCCAGCAGTTTCAAGATGCAACGATGCGGTCAGATGAGGTAAGTGTGGCAAATATTCAGGGATGCTATTTTGAGTGAATTGGCTAACCATATTACGCAGAAACGTCGAAGCAAAGCACCCATTGAACCTCTTTTAGAAATTGAACCAAAAGAAGAATCTCGGTATCTGGTCGTTACTAGCATATGGGACGCAAGCAAAGCGGAATTTGTTGATAACTCCCACACAATCAAGGATGAAAAACCCACAGAAACCAAGGAAGAACCCAATCGCGCGTTTACTTTCAGAAAAACAACCTTTAACTCGTCGCTAAGAAGGATGCCCTACGGATCTTATACAAGTTCAGAAGTGATAATTCACTATCCGGCATTGCAAGTCCTACTTGGACGGCTGACAGCAAAGTGGGGTTGGGGTGACAAAGTGAACAAGTGCGTGTCACCATACACTGCTCTTGTGTATTCCTGGACAGATGCAGAGAGCTTTGCAAACAATCCCGAAGGAGGAGCTGATCTTGAAGAACAACAAGCCCGTAAGGATCTTCGAGAGCTCCTAAAGATGATAGCCACCTCCTCGGGGGATTTGCATCTAGGGAAGTATTTCAAAGACAGACCTACACTTCTGGAAGACGAGGCAATTACCCATAGTGCACTTTGGACTCTGTTCCCGCCTGGCACGTTGGTAATTGGGCGACCTTGCCATGAAGAGACTCAGGTCTTCTTCGTAGATTCCTGCTACGGGTTTGTGGAAGAAGATGAGAAATTTGTGGTCGTTTGCTACGCTTACGACTGGAATGGGACTGTCTTCAAGAGAGTGCCGTATAGCATAGAAATCCCTGGGTGGGGTGGTGAGCGGAAGAGTATTGTCGAACTACCTGTGTATCCACTGGTTTTCCACCGAGAGGGGGAGCTGGACTCAATTGACTCAATATCACGATTGAAGGACAGACTGATCAAGAGAGGCAGACGTTTTGTTCGGCTATGTACTGCCACTCGAGGGAAACAAATGTTCAAGTATTCCGAGGGTCCAGCTTACTTCGCGAGAAGCACAGAACCCATGCAAAAGAGATCAGATAATAGCGACTTATCTTCTGATCTTCAGAGCTCTACTTCTATATCCTCTGGCGAATACGAGGGTCCGGGTGGTAGCTATGGATCAGGTTGGAAAAGAGTACGCTCCAGAACATCTGCGCTCTTGTCTGTGAATTTACTCATATCGTATAGGTTTCAGGGGGCATGATCGTTGATTTCTCGTCCTACCTAGCATACCAGTCACCAGGAGAACCCATTCTTGGATCTTTGGCAGTTTATAAAGGAGGCGTTGTCGAGCCCACCCCTGAAAGGTCCAAGCCTATCTTTCGGAACATGTACCGATTTGACTGGGACAACCAAGATTTGCACAAACGGAATCGCCATGTTGATAACGAAAAACTGTTGTGCTGTCCACCAAGAGTCTTGGGGTACTCTTTGAAACTGAAAACTTGGGTTCAGCTACTTGTCAAGCATGTGCAGGAGCCGGACAGTTTAAATGCGGAGACATTCAACTCGAAATTGCAGCTTGATCAGGATGCGAAAGATCTAATCTTCAATACTGTAACCGCGCATGAACGGGGCAAGCAACAGAAGGATGGCAAATCAGTAGGTCTAGATGACTTTGCCCCTGAAAAAGGGAGAGGATTGGTCATAATGCTCTATGGAGCGCCTGGAGTGGGCAAAACATTAACCGCAGAAAGTGTCGCGGACATGACCGGAAAGCCTCTTCTTTCTGTTGGCGTCTCAGACATTGGTATTGATGGAGATAAAGTTGAAATGAACTTGCAGAAAGTCTTTGCGCTCGCTGGACTTTGGGAAGCTGTTTTACTCTTGTAGGTCCCTCCTTGTCGTGATTATAACACAAATGTTGGCTAAATGGTTTCAGCGATGAAGCAGATGTGTTTCTCGAGGCGCGAGGAGAAGGCGATAACGATCTGCGACGCAATGCTATGGTGTCTGGTGAGCGATAGAGAAGCTTTCAAGCGTGCATGACAATTGCTAATAAGTCTAGTCTTACTCAGAGTCCTCGAATACTACGAAGGAATTCTCATTCTGACTACAAATCGAATGAGATCTCTAGACATTGCAGTTCAAAGTCGAATTCGTAGGTGGCGACTCAACTTTATCTATAAGTAGAAGACTCGCTCACAATCATTAGATCTGGCGGTAAAGTTTGTGGATCTCCAACCGGATCAAAAAGTGTCCATTTACGAGTCTTTTTTTGAACAGTTGGCAAATAAAGGAAAAGTGGATGATCTCGAGGCGCTGAGACGCTGGGCAACGAAGTATGGTAAAAAGTTTGACTTCAATGGTCGACAAATTCGAAATGTCATCTCCACTGCAATGAGTATCGCGCTGGCGGAAGAGGTTAAGCTGAAGACAGAGCATCTTTCAATTGTTTCCCGGCAGACTGATGACTTCAAACGAGATCTTTCAGTCCAAGAGGGGATCTACAAAGACAAGCAGATTAGGTACTAGGCGCACGAGTTCTGATCAATCCAGTAACCGGACTTCGAATGTAATGAACTATTCTTTTTCAATTTCCTTGGTGTCTGCTAGTGAACAGTAGATGCTGAAAGAAGCAGTGTTCGTTCCACTTACTGATGATCTTTACTAAGCCTACATTTCCATCTTCAATCGCTGACAAACATCCGATATCCAGTTTTCGATCGTGATTCCATCTTCTCGCAGGTCATTCCGCACCTCATAGAATTCGTGATCAATGCACTCCTTCGTAAACTTCTCAATTCCCTCCCAATCGCGACTCTCATACTGCGCAAAGTTCGAATAACACTGAACACAAAGATCTATATCTCGACATGTTTTGCAGAAGAACCAGCTATCATCGTGATAGATATCTGCGCTGCACACATCGCAAGTTCGGAAGGAATGCGTGTGATCTTCTCCAGTGGAGCATTCTCGCTTCTGAGGTATGCCGATCTTATCCCCATCCTGCTGAACTGTATTTGCGAGCCTGAAGGCCATGTCTGCATCGTGACTCTTGCCCATGAAAATGAAAGACCGACCTAAAGCTTTGAGATGAAATGCGTACCATGATGGTAGTTCAGATGCGACAAGAAGCGCATCGCACATATATCGTATTGCGATGTTTTCGGATCCTTCTTCACTGGGCCTGCCGGCTTTCTTCTCGATCTTCTTAGCATACACCCCTATCAGACAGCTACTCAGATGCTCGATTCCTAGCGTTTCCGTGGGCACGGCGCTTCTTGCCTTTTCCAAGGAGATCAATTCGAGAAGCAGGATCTCGGCAGCGTCAAATTGCTCACTCACAACATACGCTATAGCAAGAGTCTTTCTGCACAAGAGAAATTCCTCGGGTTTGAGAATTCTCTTTGAATTGATTCCGTTTTGGACGTAGTGCTCCTGGATCTGCATCGCGCTCTCTAGACTTTGTGTGGCCTTTTCGTAGTCCTTGCCTAAAAAGTGAAGCCGGCCAAGCTGTGCATGGGACCAGATCACTGCATCGCTGTCTTTACCTTCTTTAGCCTCGTGGGCAAGTATAAGCTTTCCGAACATGTAAATTTGGAGGGGGTGATCGTTTTGTGCGATGGCCGCTGTCGATAGTTGGTTGATAGCCCACCGCACATTCCGGTCGAGGAGACCGATCGCAACTTCACATTCTTGGAAGATCTCCTGGACGTCCGATAGGGAAGGCTTCTCCGGTAATCGAGCCCTGTCTTGCGTCCTCCGGCTGTTTGTATGGGCTGCGGTGTCGGCGACGATCTGGCGCAGCTTGACGATCAAGGTTAATTGATCAGCGGTGAGATGACCCTCATAGCGATAACGCGCGAAGGTCCAGTACAGCCAGTTCAAAAAACTTAGAACAGCAGCAATGCATAATGCAACAAACAAGCTGTGCGGAAGTAAACGTTTGACGAAGATAACGGGCATTGTCAATACCATGATCCAAACGCACATGCCGGCAACAGTGCGAGCCGTTTTGACGAGCCCGGGGAAGAGTCGCTTGGATGTATTGTGGAACATGGTAAGAACACTAGCTGGACGAATTTCCCTAACTTTTTCTATGTCATGGATGGTTTGTGACCGTTTGTCGATCGATGATGAATCATAAGTATCGAGGTCTTTTTCGTAGCGTTTCGCATATTCCTGTCTGAAGACCCTGCAGAAGCAGATCCCAAGTATGGTAAATGGAATAGTCGAGCATGCTATGAACCAGGAGCGTGGAAGTAAGGCATGCATCAACATGAACGGAGCTGCGAATATCGCAAGAGAAAAGAGGTAAGTGACAGCAACTCCAAGCGCGTGGTGCAATTTCTGAAGTCGCTGCGTTGCCATAGTGAAGGACGTGGCGCAAAGAGTAAGCAGATAGTGTACCGATCGCGGGGTCGGCGAGGTGCGTTGCTCATATAGGCAACGGGGGCCAATTAATTAGGCGTGCTCTAAGCCTTCGGAGTCTAAGGGAATCATGTTAAACGTAGCCCCGACTAGGTCGAAATATAGTCTTGGAAACGCCAATGCAGAACGCCTAAACCAAATTGTGGGTCTGCACGTTTTGCCCTTTCTTAGGGTGCCTGTTGATAGCTCGGCTAGAACGTGCACAAAGTCATGGAGTGAATTTTGAACATACGCCAACTTCAAATGTTGGTTCGACCATTGAGCTGAGTAAGTTCCTTCCCCCGCAAATCAATTTACGGATAAATACCTAGGTAGGTACCTAGGTACTTACCTGGGCAGGAAAGCAGGAAAAAAGCCAGCATGTGGCTCATCACGTGATACTATCATATGATGCCTCCGGCTTGTCTCTTAGTCTGAGTGTTGGTGTTTGAAACTGGAAGAAAAATGATTGTTAAATACAGGCAGTGGGTTTCTATGGCCGATACAAATGCCATGACTGTGCTTTTGGTCATGCATGTCGTAACCGCAAAATATTTCTTTTCTTCTTGTTCCACGATTGGCGCTTTTGCACTTTGGACGTGACTGGTCCAGTCTTTCTTGGCAACGGAACGACCAGCGGCCTGTTGGGGTTTGACTCCACAGATTGAATGAAGCCCTGCCTGAAGGTGAAGATTGCAACTTTAATTGCGACTTCCGGGGCGTTTTGAACAAATTGCTGAATGAGTCCGAAAAACTCCAGCCAAAATGCTGCCTCATCATTCGTGCGGTACCCCAACGCTTCCATATCGATGATGAGATAAACTTCAGACAGCCCTATGAGTGTCTCGGATAGAATACCTAACCAATCGTTTTTACTTGACGCGGCTGAAATTCGCGGCGCATTGAAGTTGGCTGATATGTGATGTGCTACCTGGTGGTGGTTGAGTTGGACCGATTGGTGAACCAATTGTTTAAGTATGACAGTATGAATGCTATCTTCCGGCACGTCCCTGTTTCGGCCCTTCAAGACCCATAAGACGTTCTTCTTCACGTCTCGAAGGAGATCCACCATTTCAGTGGCGAGGTCTTTGGTCTGGAAACGAGTCGATCCGGAGCCCCCAAGAACAATCAAAGAAGAGCGCAGTGTGTTCGACCAGCTATCAAGAGCAGGGAGAATACCAGCCTTGTCGATATCGTATCTATGCATCCTCTTATGTCGTATTGACCTGCAAAATCGCAAGGTTTCCACGGGGTCCTGGAGACCTGTATCTTTTGTTGCCTTGAGGATCAAGTCCGTTTGGATCTGATTTTGGCCTCGATCTAGGCCAGAGAATCGAGATAAATACACCAAATGATTTTCTGGATGATTGTTAGCAGGGATCAATCACGCAGGCTAGGGAATAGGTACCATTGAAGTTTGTATTTAGCTTGAGAATCAGATCATACATTTTGTTGATTGTGTGATGTGACAGCGTATGGGCCATGTTGTCGACCCGCCGGACGCTCTCGTCAATTTTGTCCCTCAAAACTTTGAGACGAAGCTTGTATGGCTGAGTGAACGCCCTCCAGGCGCGCATTAGCGAACCTTGTTGATACCACTCGAGGGTCACACTTAAAAATGTGAGAATGTCTGTATACAGTATTTCCACGGCTCCTCTCATTGAATCTGCGCTAAAAATTTCTAGCTGGAGTTTGGCGCGAGGAAGTACATCACCAATATTCGCGACCGCTTTCGCGAGTTCCGAGGTGGTCTCTTCGTGGTTCAACACAAGCTACAACACAATATCGCTTAGCCTGGCTCAGCCGTATCTTTGGCAATGATCGTCTCAAACGTACCACGAAAAGAAACTTCAACGTCCCCCATGCCAAGGAGACGAACTCTGGATGGTGCTGTGAGATGACATCGAGAACGTGTCCATAGTATAGCACTCGCGATGAGACGGCCGCTAGACGATCCCGCACTTTGGAACCTGTCCGTGTCGATTCGTACTTTGCCTGCGCCATAGCGACAGCCTCCAGAACGTCATCGATTCCGTATGAGTCTTCGATCGGTGAGACATTTACTACTGTAGTCGCTTTGACCAGCTCCAATGCTCTCTCAAAAACCGCATGTGGTGTGAACAATGCTCTTGGCGTGAAACGTCATCGTCAGCCTCGCATGAACAACGTGATCTTAAGATTTACTCACGGTTTATTACAGCCAGAATCCATCTTGAGAGTGTTTCAAGTGGCCTCACTCCCTCCCTTATTATATGCGATTGCACCGGAAAGAGATTGTATGGATTTGGCGATCTCTTATACGGTTTCGATGTCCTTCTTCATTCAGCCTTACTCCGCCCCGCAGTGGCGTGCAACACTCAGCTTCCGGTGAGACATCCCTCGTATTTGGGGTCCCTACGTGGCATCTCGCTTGTGGAGTACTATGAGGGTAACTCACAGTCAATGCAGGGTTCATCTGAAATCATATAATCAGCGTTCGCCCGGTATGCATCCCACGCTGGATAGATGCGCAGTGCACCGTATACTTTGCCTACTGGCACTTTAAAAGGCCCCAGCTCCTGATCTCACCTTCACGATACAATGGATCTCACCATCTCCAAGGACCATACCCGAGGTAAGGAGGAGGTTGAAAAGAGTATCTTGCAATTCGGCGTTCCGGTTAGCCTTGGCCCCAGCTCGAACTCTATGGTTTTCAAAGAACCTTGGGAATATGCAGCTCCAAACCCGCCGACGTGGAGAGACCCATATGCACAGAATCCCGCCGGGTACACGCAACCCGCGAATCCGCAAACTGGCCAAGCCATAGAAGATCGGCCTTGGGTTGATCCAACGGCCCGGATAGGACCATTGAATGGGTGGACACCACAACCTCTAGCTACCCCTCCTATACATTCTCCGGCACTCCCTCCCGGTTGGATTTCACAATTGGATCGCAACCGTGGACAATACTACTATATCCATCTCCCGACACAGTCCACGCAATGGGAGTTTCCCAAGGCTGCTACGCAGCTTTTCAGAGACAAGTCACCTGACTCAAGTCTTGACAAGGATGGTTTCCGGTCTGAAAATAGCAACGACCAGCAATATCAACTGCAGTCAGGGGGTGAGTCGGCGCAATGTAATGAATAGTGATTATGTTTGTGATACTGTTCTTCTTACAAGAGGTCTAGACCAGCTTTCCACTGAATCCAAAACACAAGCTCGGCTGCAAGTACCGAGCGAACTTTCGCACAATCTCAAAACTGTCCGGCAATCTTTATCTATGCAACATCCATCTAGACTGCATACACCATCAATTTCACCGCAGTCTCCTAATCCTTCTACATTTCGTTCTCCATCCCGTGTGTCAACTTCACATACACCACAGATTCGTGGGCAGCAGCAAGTTTTAGCACACACGAAAAGCATCGATTCGACTCAGGCAATGGCTTCCACATCTCATGAACAAACAATTCTTGTGGAAAGCCCGCGCAAATTGCAAAGTCAGGGTAACACTACACAGTCAATCAGATTTCCAAGCCACGGGCCACCATCGCGTCCATTGGGTCAGGGTCAAACATCGAGGGCAAATTTTCCCACAAAGCTGCATGAGGAGCCAAAATATGCATCAGCACGTCATGATATGGGGCCATTCTTTCACCGAGGTTCCCTGCGCAATCACAACCTCGGAAACCGTCACACCGGGAACAACTCTCTCCTTTCTAGTCCATACAGGGGCACTCCGATTTCTCCTTTGCTCAATACTGAAGCAGTTGTGCGCAGCTCTAAACATTACACTACGGAAGATGGTACCACAATCTGTTTCTTTATCTCACATCTTGCTCCGTCATACATATACTGAATCACTACAGAAATTGATTTCACATATTTCGATAGATTTGAGGACAGTGCTCTCAAAATCACCGACCCAAAGCAGCTACGCTTAGAGCAAGTCGGGATAAAAGCACTACGGATCGGGCCAGCTCAACAGCCGGAAACCAACACTTCACATGGCATTGAATTATCGGTTCGTCTTCTAGTCTCGAGAAACGGGCAACCAAGCTGCTAACATCCTACATTAGGTGTTCAATCGCCCGCCCAGAAAGAGGCTATCAGAGACAAGTGTTGCGTACGCAGAGGATTCTCCAGTTGCCAAAAGAAGGCGAACCAATAAAATGCATGATGATCAAACAAGCTTAGGTCGAACTAATTCCTTGACACCATTTAGCACGCTTGCCGACATTGATGGTCTCACAACTGATACTCAGTCGGGAGATGTCAACAAGCCGGACTATGCTAGATTACGCCCCGAAAATACTGTATCGCATTGGGAGAAATGCTCAACCGAGCCAGCAACTCGCCTCAAAGGTGATCCGATACAGGACAAAAACCCAGTAACGCGTTCTTCACAATTTATAACCATGCCAAGGAAAAAACAATCGTCGAAAATGACATCCAATACTCATGAAATTGAGTCAGTCGAAATGGAACTCCAACGACAGATTCAAAAGCAGCGTCTTGAGATCGAGCGACTAAAGAATGTGAACGAGGATCTCACCCGAAGTTCTAAGGAGGATGCAGGTAAGCACTTGGCCCCTGCTTGGCTTACCATCCACCGGGTAAAGTATGGCAAGTCCGAACGATTCTACGAAGACTGTCCGCAATGGACCTGGACCGGAGGTCGCTATCGCATCGAGGGGATGCGTCCTATATCGAAAGTGAAGAGCTTTGTGGCAAGGCGCAAAGCGGCACCTACTGCTTTTCTCGTACTTCATTCTTATGATCTTTCTGGAATGGAAGATTATGAACCGTCCGATGATAACGAAATCGAGCTCATAGAGGAATTTCGGGACAGTACCCACATCCAGTTTCTATGTCGCGCGCTCGCGTCTGCCTTTTATACAGTACTGGAGAACAACGAAATTCTGAAACGCAACGTTAATTTTGACGAAAGGCTTGGTTTGGGCGATGAAACAGATCTTGAGGATCAGGAGAACTGCCCTGTAATCACTAATATGGATGTGGTCTTTTTTCATTTCCGCCATTTGTTGGTGACGGCGCCTGACCCTTTGGACGAATCAGAAGGGCAAGTCTTGAGATGCTTCTTTGATTTCCTCATCACAGAATTTGGCGAAGCGCATCAAGCAGCCACCCAGTCGCTTGCCGAAGGATTCGTCTCAATGATAAACCTCAAGTACCTGTTCAAACGAGAAGACATTGTCGTATTCAGCGAGGAGGGACGAGTGTGGGGGGCAAAGTTGAAGTCCTTTCCGTACACTGCAAACGACAAAATGGTCGTTCATACTGATTCTTATCAGTTCGATGGAAAGTTCAGCCTACGACATGAGAAGCAAGACCTGCCTCTCCCGCACTCCATACAAAAAAAGCAGTTGACAGAGATAAGGTCGCTGCCGTGTTATCCCCTCTCGTTTGCAAGCAGTGAAATACAACAAACTCTGAAAAAAAGAGGATATATCTTTTGGCAATGCCGACACATGGCGTATGTCGCCTACAACGGACCCAACAAAGAGCATGATACAATTTATGTAGGTCTTGGAGTGGAATTGCGATGTTTCGATGCACTGACCAAAAGCGCCGCAGACAAACACGAGGTTCTTGGTAGATGTTCGCACATATCAGATGATGCACGGCAATAAAACGTTACGATATAGTCCGGTTAATTCGGTCGATGAGAAGACCATGTCAGAGAAGGAACCGCGAGCTGATCTGGTTTATATGGTTCCGGAGAATATCTTTGGTTTTGACATACAAGAAAAGAAATGGGGTAAGCACCTGGCTCACACGCACGTAGAGCATCCAACTCTTACTTCTGTCAAGTTAATATAAACGTGGATGGTATTTCCAGTATACAACGGAACAAGAACGCTTTCGAAACACTTGCCATCGAAGAACAAAGCAAGGAGCTCGTGAACGCTCTAGTCAACAACAAGATCAATGCGCAAAAAGCCACGGATATGGTACTGGGCAAGGGCAATGGATTGATTCTCCTTCTACACGGCGGACCAGGCACTGGAAAGACACTAACAGCGGAAAGCGTGGCCGAGATAGCTGAGAAACCTCTCTACAGAGTCACGTGTGGTGATATTGGAACCGAGCCGCGCCAAGTGGAGGAATATCTACAGAAGGTATTCCATTTAGGCAAAATTTGGGACTGTGTTGTGCTGCTTGACGAGGCAGATGTATTTCTTGAACAACGCACGCTCGCTGACCTCACCCGCAATGCTCTGGTTTCAGTGTTTCTTAGAACACTTGAATACTATGATGGGATTCTCATTCTCACGAGCAATCGTTTCGGCACCTTTGATGAAGCATTCAAGTCCCGGATCCAACTAGCGCTACACTACAAGAATCTAGATCGTTCACAACGCGAGCACATATGGACGAATTTCATCGACCGACTCAAAGATCTCGGCGAGGAGTTTGATGACACTGGAATCAGGAATAAGATCAAGCATCTTGCCAAGTATGAAATGAATGGCCGACAAATTCGAAACGCTATAACGACGGCAAGGCAGCTCGCACTATTCCGCAAAGAGGATTTGAACATGGACCACCTGGAGCATTCGATCAAGGTGTCTGGCAAATTCGACAAGTATCTAGAGGAGGTTCACAATCAAATAAAAGACGATGATATGGCGCGTGAAGAAGGATGGAGATAATGCGTTCTGTAGCTGGGTAGGGACTCGTTGTGACAACGCTGCACCCCCTTGCAATTCTTGTGTGACTGGGAAGAATTTAACCACATGCATTCCAGAATGTATGTCCTTGTCCAGCTCCCATCGCTTTCATCAGCAATTGGCCGAATCTGTAATCTTTGTGGGATCAGCGACGGAAAAAAGCTGTAGCCATGTCGAATACTCACAACGTCACAAACTCTTCTCCCTTGCTTCCTGTCGTACTTTGGAACACAGTGGCTCTTAAAACTGTTCCCGAAAAATTAATTGAGAGTTAAATAATCGATTGAAAGCCAATCTTACCATCCATTGTCAGAAAAGATGTTGACTAAGCCCTTCCCATCGGCGTTCAGCTCGACATAGTAGCCATCGCCCTATAAAGACGTTTAGCAGAACTCTATTTGCGAGGGGGGACGCAACATACAATCGCCAAAGCGTATGGGTAGCTTCAAGAATTAGCTCCGTGGTTCTCTACGGTAGTATAGGGTTTGAAAGCTCACTCTCGCCACGAACCCGGCAGTGCTGCAGTGCAATAATACCAGTCGTTGCCTTCGTGGAAGCACGCTTGCGTCTTCCCACCCTTTTCCTAATTTGTAGTGAGCATAAGTTTTCTTGATGGTATTATCGCAAACGAAAGTGAAGATTTGATGAAGTGAACGACGTACTCTGGTCCAGAATTCTTCTCCGTTGAGGGCCGCGTTGACCACGACGGAGCTGGTGGCAAGTATGGTGCAGAGGGAGAAACGCATATTGTACTAGTTGTATGAGTGGAGTGCAGTCTATTCCTGGAGGTGGGATTTTTACTGCTTTATATCCTATCCGAATGGTATGGTTTGTTAATCGTTTATCAAGCAGGTGGTCAATAATAGGTAGAGGAGTTCGTACAATTTGGTGCTCTACTCCGGTCTCGTATGGCATCTTTACATATATTGGCGTTGCAGATACGAGGCGCACCTATCGATCTATACTGAGGGGCGGGAATATCGCGTCGTTTGCGACCCCAATGTAATTTTTTAGCCGAAAACGGAACTATCGTTCGGGCCTATGAATCAGGTATCAGCCTGTGCGAGACCATCTAAGATACATAGGCCCATCTATTCTCATCTGCTAATCAGTAGTACCGTGTGTCAGATCAGTATCTCAGATACTGTTTTTCTCGAGTTTGATCTGAACGCGCGTACAGAAGACTGGAAATGTCTTCATTGAGTCACTAGTTCCCGAATAATTGACTGCTCTTGTAAGTTTCATCGTTGGAAGAACAATTAAATAACTTAACAAAACATAGGATATCCGGTATCAATCAACTACGCAGCTACTCGGTGAGTACCACGTGTGCTAGCTTTTATCTTCAAAAGCGACGGATCGTCACGACCGGGCAAAAATGGGCATACTTATGGCCCAGCAGCGCCGTATACGCCCAGCCCAACCGCTGACCTGGCAATGCCCACCCATAGAATTCTCGTCACAATGGTATTGGTGCAGTACGGACGCCGATCTGGACAACAGAAAATAGATCTCCAGGCAAGCTCTGGCGACTCTTGTCCCCTTAAATTCTCTGTTACCTATAAGCGGCAGTCATGCATAAAATGTGCAATGAGGTTATAAGGATCCATGGAATGATATCACCAAGATCCAACTAATGCCCCAGTGCGCTCCCGACAAGCAACAACATATACTGTAGTACAAAGAAACTGGATTGAACGCAGAATACTTTTTATGTCCGGACTCTGCGTACATAGAGCACTGATTTCTGTTTAACTGCGCATCCCACTAGATTCTACTTTTTGTTGTTTTTTCCAGCGTGCGCATTTCATTCATGCATCCTATATGACAATCGATGCAGCGGAGATGATCCGCCAATGAAAGCCCTCGAATGGCGATCGCAAGCGAAGATACGATGTACTGATCTCGCTGGGCACTTTCAGCCCTGCGCACGCGAAATCTAGATTTTATCTCCACCTAGTTCCATTGTGAAGAGATGCATAGTAGTTACGACATTAACATCTTGTTGTGCAGTTTCTGCGTTGCTATGCGGATGTACGGGCCGACGCGCAATGCTTTCGGAAGACCGATTTACGTCCTTAACGTGACTAAGGCAGACTTGAAACACGTCTTTCTTAGGAGATATTTCAAATGCTTACCCGTGCGTTACTGTTGACAGATGGTTTTCTAGAGCAGCGGTATGCATGCCCGTAGATGAAGTTTGGAGTTTCTGTTTCACCGGCAGAAATGACGGCGGGGAGCCGGGGAAGCTTGTTTTGATTGTAGATCATCTCCCCAGCAACATTTTGTGTGGTGGCGAAAACGTGAACTGCATAGGCCTGTTCAACACCGTTATTGGTGGACTTGCGATGATTAGAACATGATTAAATAGCGGCATGTTGGTCGCCGTACCTTTTGTTCTTCTTCCATACTCTTCTGCTTTCTTTACCACCTCTTCAAACCAATTCTTTTCCTATCCAACCTTATCACCCACACACAAAATGAACATTGATCAACGAATCGCGACAGTGACAAATATGTTCGGACATATCTTCGTGCGCAAGAATCTTTGCGCTGAGGCCTTGCAGATGGCCGGACCCGTAGCTTGTGTTATTGTAAATGACGCTGTCTCATGGGTCCCCAAAAACAACCGTCTCGCGATAGTAGGCGATGCGATTTTGGACACTGTACTGTGCCGGAAGTGGTACGAAGGCAGTGATTCGGCAGGTATGCATTTAAACGCAGCCCAAGACACGAACTTTCTGACCATCAATATAGGACCCAGGCCTGCCCACGCGTGGTCGTCCGCACGACTACAAATCGTCGGGAACGAGGCTCTGAACGTGCGCGGCAATGCCCTGGGATTGGGGCCAATGATAATTGCCGGCGGTGGCTTCGCTGGGGCAGCTACTCCCAGCATGATCGCCACAACCTTTGAGGCGGTCTTTGGCGCCATCTACATTGATGGCGGCGAAGCAGCGGTGTTGGACGCGGTCCAGCATCTCGACCTCCAAAACCATCCTTCTCTCATGGTAACGTTTACAATCCCCATCCCCAACTATATCGAAAGCAAAGCAGCTTTCGCGCAATTAACATACAATCTTTTAGATCCCTAACACGGGGGCCCCTAAATTCCCCTACAAGACGGCACCAAGCATCACCCAGGCGATGATAGGATACGACGATGTACGCTGATGCTTTTCATCGGCACCCGCTTGTCTAGCTAGCGGTAATTAGCGTGTTCTCACTGTAGAATTCATCGCCTGGGTGTATGCCTAGTTGGCACTTGTAGGGGAATTCAGGGGCCCCTGTGCTCGGCTTGGATCTGCAAGTTCGCGTATGCGGATTGGCAACCGAGCCATCATCGTTCGTGACTAACGTATCGTCTCCCTCAACAGTGAGCGGGTGTCCTTAAAGAAACGTTGCGGGCACAGATTGCAGACTTCAACAGTCTCCTTCGTGTGATATATTATTATTGGAATGAGTCCACGTGAGTCTGAGGGGAAAGTCTAGTCTTTTCGAATTCCGGTCCATCGCGGTTACATTCGTTGATTTTGTTAGTGGGCTGCATCAAGTCCCTTGGTGAATTTTACCACTCTGTTTCAAGTTCCAGGTATGGAATTTAACATTCCAAGGTCTTTTTCTGGATAGTGCAGAACGAATCTAAAATTTTGATTCTTATTCGCTACCATCCTATCTCAAAGATAAAATCTATGTATAGTTATGTTCCTGTCCGAAATATTTTTGAAAAAGTGATGCAGCAGTATCTTCAAGAATGGGCATTTTGAAGCTATAGGGTAAGTAATATGGAATATCTCGTAGAGATATGCACGTGTTCAATTCTTAGTGCAGGAACGAATCGCATTTCCCGAGAGGAAATTGCGAGAATTGTACGGCCTAGGATTATTTATTCACACCTACATATTATAATGACATTAAACACAAGTCTTTAAAGCACTAAAAAATTTCTGAGCCTCTACCTCCTCGTGATCTTAACATAGTCGTGAAATGACCAGAATAGATACTCCAAGTTATCAAGGAATTCATTCATCTGCTCATCGTCTCCACCATTATTGACATCCAACATCCTAGATATCGTCAGATGACCAATCCTCCACCCAGTCCTCCTCAAAGGCCAGATTGTTCGCAACGCCACTCCACGCGCCATCAGGCTCGGCATTCCCGTTGGTAAGAGGCAGGTATAAGCAATCCGTCACATCGCCTCCTGTAATGCTGTATTTGACGTCCGGGCTCTTAAGCATTTCAATGCCCCACTCGAGATCGGAGATGAGGAAAATCTTGGGAGGTAGGGTTGGGTCGGCGTAGAAGCAGACAGTGGTGGCGTAGTAGGTGCCGTCGGATGTTTTGGCGACATAGATGGGATCGTCGTCGGAGAATATATTTTGGTCATCAGGGGAAGACGAAGGGTCGACTTGTGGGAGTTTGGGGGCGAAGGATACATATTCAGTGTTGAGGGGCACGTTTTCGATCGCCGAGTGGCGAAGACGCGAGACACCGGTGATGGCCATTTCGTCGGTGTAGAAGTAGAAAAGTTGGGAGGAGCCGTCGGCGTAGATGAGATCGGTTGAGGTTTCATATGCGAAGAGGGTACCGCAGCCTTGGGCGGCGAGAGCGGTGAGATTCTCGTTGAGCTGCATGTACAGGTTGCCGTTGCCGCAACTGGTGAGGAGGAATGTTTGGCTAAGGTCATAGAGACTTATGTAGGAGGTGCCATTGGTGTCGTTGTAGGCTGTGGATGGGATTGCCGGAAACATGAAAGATTCTATGGGGTGGTTTGCGATAGCTTCGAGGGTCGTATTGATGAGTTGGGTGGCGTTAAGAAAGTCTGGGATAGTTTTGGAGTCGGTAGGGCTTAATTGACGGTCGATGAGATGTCTTGGATTGAGTAGAGACTGGTATTTCCCCCCACTGGTGATACACCCCTTGTGGATTGGTTTTCTAAGGGCAGCGATTGTTTTGAGAGGAATCTTGACGGACTCTCCAACCCGGACTGAGAGGCCGCAATCAAACTTGAGATCGATACCGGTTTTGATGAAGGGGCACTCTTCGTCACCGACCGTCGTGACGAAGCCACTACCGGAGGTTTTGGAGATGGAGCCTGCAATCGATGCTTTGGTCTCGATACCAGGGCGGGCTTCGATTGCAAACCCAACGGAAGCTTTCTTGCTCTGGGCCGTCACACCGATAAGAAGTTCAATCGGAAGGCCAAAATCGAGCCCGACGGAAAATTCCCCAGAAGCATTGAGAGTAGGCTTGAACTCAGGAGTCCAGTTACTGGCCATCTCTATTAGCGAAGTGTGATGGAAACAGCATTGAAACTACAGACCTTGATGAGGCCGTGCCCTTATTAAAACCTAAACGTGCCCTTGCTCCCTTCCTTAAATCAATCATTAGAATCATATCACTTGATCAACGATACGGGAGAACTCACCAGATCAACGTTCCACCAGCCAGAATTTTGGCATCTGCTAGCCCAACCTTGACGATCATATCGATACTAACGGATAGCACGGGTCCAATCTCAATGAACGGCGGTATTACTATAGGGGTCATGGGAATACTAGCAAGCTCCGTCGAAATGGGTAGAGACGCATCGATGTTACCGGAGATACCAGCGTACATGCTGGTCGTCTATGCTTTGATCAGTATGTCTTCTGTAGGCATTAAGTGCCTCACTCACCAGGTCCATCTCTGTGTCCAGAACTATAAAATCAAGAGATGTGAATCCGATCTTGGCGGTCCCGCTAAACTTGAGTCTACCCTTTACACCACAGTCAACGCAGTGAACACTCACGGCTGCCTCTACAGCACCACCTAGCTTGGTGTTCTTTCCTTTATCTGTCTTAGCATTCTCCTTCCCTTTTCCAAAACTCGTGAGCTCCTTCGATAGTTCTGTCTGCCTGCCTCTATACAGTAGTCTTGCGTTGGGCCAAGGCGCATCTTTGTCCACTTTCTGATCGCGAGGCACCTGGAACTCAACGGTGCGGCTTCCCAGGCTAAACTCTATGCCCAGATTTGTGATGGCAGGGATGATCTTTTCCGTGACGAGTTCTTTTGCCCCATTGCCGATCTTCTGTCCCGTCTGTTTTATAGCGTTGCCGATTCGCTGTCCCGTTTGAACTATCCCATTGCCGACCTGTTGCCCTGTTTGTTGTACCCCGTTGCCGACCTGCTGTCCAGTCTGTACTATCCCGTTGCCGACCTGCTGCCCCGTCTGTACTATTCCGTTGCCAACTTGCTGCCCCGTATGTACTATCCCGTTGCCCACCTGCTGCCCTGTCTGTTGTACCCCATTGCCTACTTGCTCTCCTGTCTGTTTTACGGCGTTAACTGCCGTCTCTCCAGTCTGTTTTACCGCGTTGACTGCTTTCTCTCCCGTCTGCTTTACCGCGTTGCCTACTGTCTCTCCCGTTTGTTTCACCGCAGTGCCGATCTGCTGTGCCGTCTTTGCTGCCGGAGCGATAACTGCATTGTTCACAAGGCTGCCAAAGCTCTTGAAGCCATTGCCGATGCTGCTCCCCAAACTCGAGAAAGCGCTCCCGAAATTGAAACGTTTCTTTGATAATGCGTGGCCATTCCCCGGGAGATCATCTGAGTCAACCGTGTGAATGGAATTTTGGACTTTGGAAGCCCATGAAGACTGGGTACCATCCTCGTATCCGATGATATCATCGATGTCCCCATCAAAGTAGGGACCCAAACAAGCGGTGGGGAGGTTGAACTTATCATCTACGGGAGCGTGGCAAGCGGGAGGGAAATTAGCTGTGTCTTGATTGTTGCCGGTATCGCCATTAGGATCAATCCAGTCATCGGTACTTTTTCCGAGACCAAAGTACTCGCCTGGGTCACCGTGCCCGAAATCAACCTGGTAAGTGTCAACGACTTCATTCATAAGTTTCGGTGCCCCATAGCAGGTTATGGTAGTGGTCCTGTCGTCATAAGAGAATTTGGTTGCGGAAAAGAAACAGTATTCTCCGTCGGCGTAATTCCCGCAGCCAGGTGTGTGCGTCAGAATGTACAGCTCGTTAAGAACTCCCCATTGGTTTTTGGCTGCAGTGTAGCCCTCGGGCGACGTGAACTTGACGATGAGTTGGCCGTCTGAGTAGACAGCATCAGCATAGCCGCAATGGTCTATCATCACGGACGGAGCATTGAAATTGGCCTTTGTTACAGCTGAGTAGCCGATCTCATCACCTGCAGGCAATGGTTAACATATGGAAGGTGCATCGATTCGAGAAAGGGACTAACCCCCACTGCCCTGGAAATAGAGACTGGTTGGCTCGTCGATTGTTGGGGCGACATGCTCAAGGGAGTTTTGATTGATATTAGGAGGAACTATGGGCGAAAGAACAATCGGTGTCGAGGCGGCAGCTGAGACAGGAGTGGAAGAAGGTGTATTGCTTGGGGCGACAGTTGAGGCGGAACTGGAGGAGGGCCTCTGTTGTGCATATCCGAGGAACTCCTGCTGCTCACAGTAGTTCCTTGGAGTTGCCAGAGCCGAAGCAAGAGCCACAACACTGAGCAGGGCCGAGAGCGCGGCGCTTCTCATGATGCTTCTTTCGGGTACGATATTCTTATTGGACTGTGAGAAAGGGTGGAAAAGTTATCAATGGACAATTGCAGACATGCATAATATATACCGGGATCCTTTACCATCGCGGAACCCCCTCTTGAAGTCCATTGATAGGTCTCTGGGCGCACTGCGGTCGGTTACAAGTCGTTCGTTAGTCGTAGGGCATTACCCAAGTCTACTTTCAGCTCAGCCCCGCGTGGTGGCCTAGATCACAACTTCAGCCAGACCACCTGAAGACATGCGCATGTAAAGGTCTACACTAGGTATTTCACCGAACGGTAGACGCAGGGAGCTCGTAGCGTGGTGACTGGTCACACAGCTGATGGCGATAATTTGGGCTGAGTATTGTACCGGCCAAACGCCATCGTTGCAAGCGTATACGTGGGTGAGTGCTCTAACACGGTTTAGTGATACGGTTCCGGTACGTTGAGCAGCCAGCGGTTCCTTAGATGTACATAAAGTGCAATCTTTAGGGCTAAAGAGAGGTGCTCCAAGGTTTTTCACGTTTGGCGGTACCTACATAGTAGTGCATAGCAAGAATAGACACTACCCGAGCCGCATACAGCGCCCTTTTCATTAGTTCTTCCTCCAAACTCTGGCTTCCGGCGCAAGGTCCGTCTCAGAGCAGGTCAGCTCCTACACCGTCAAGAATGATTCATAGGTGGGTGGCGAAGCCCCAAAGGCTTTCAACGCTGCGCCATGGTAAATCGATTGTCGGACTGCGTGGAGACTGGATGTACTCAGCAGCATTGTAGGCTCAGTCGAAGATGGATTGAGAGCCCTCTCCCTTCTCTCTCGTCCCAGTGTGCTCGAGTTCATCGGAGCGCGGGGTAAGCCCGGGGTTTCTCCGTGATATCTGATAGGCCAGTGCGAACTGTGAGACACAGCTAAAGTTGATGATGTGATTGGTCCTCGTGGTGGATGACTGATCTATCGCCAAGAATACGATGCAGCTACATTACATAGACGCCGCCTTTGATTCACCTCCCCATGCCGTCGGATTCGACGTCCATACTTCTCCATCATTACAATTGCAACGCCTCGTTCCGCCGTAGTAGCAATGCCGCGAGGCCGCCAGCCACCACTGCCAGTACATGTCCCACGTGACACACTACTTCCTTTGTACACGCAACCCTCTCCTTTTGGTGATTCCTAAGCTGCAATACTCCACTGGAACTACCAACTCTCAAACAGGAACCGAATTATCAGAGTGCTACATTTGACCGCCCCCAAATATCGGCTACATATCGTGTCAATGGACCCTTAGAAGACGACAAGCTTTCATCAAGCCTCGGTCTAGATGCTTGATCCTACACTAACGACTCCAAGCACCACGCTAAATTGCAGTCTACTCAACTGTAGCATAGCGCGAGTGGCTGCCTGACGACTTAACCGGGATCCGGAATGGTTTGCGAAGGAACAGTGCCCCTCCAATAACCCCTCTGACCCTATCACGACCCCTCGATATGTCACAACTGCCATATCAAATAACCAATATGCTCACGGGAGGTTTAGGGATGGAATTCGGGGCGACGGGCCTTCGGGGTTCCAACTTGCCCGACTGTTTCTGGCCCCGACGACTGCTTTACGCGAGATATTTAAGCGACGATGTACCCGTCTGAATACGGTCGGAATAAGACATCGTAGGATCAACAAACCTCGCTATATACCCATCATAGATATTCATTTCTTCCCCGCTTACATATAAAACCCATCGGGGTGCTCTCGAACAGTACCTGGGAATTTCCGGTCGTCCCAGTCTAGAGGTTACACCTCTTCACCACCATCGCGTTTCTCCTCCCCAGCAAATCAGGCAATCCTCCCAAAAGAGTAAAACAAAATGTCACAACCCACCAAAATCCTCATCGTCGGCGCATCGATAGCCGGGCCCATGGCCACATACTTTCTCTCCAAACTCCCAAACTCAACAATCACAATCATCGAGCGCCACCCGTCCTTCCGCCCGGGCGGACAAAACGTGGATATTCGCACCGCCGGCGTAACAGTAATGCGCCGTATTCCGGGTATGGAAGAAATGGTGCGAGAACGCATGATTCATCTCCACGCTTTCCAGCTGGTCGGAAATGACGGAAAAGTATTCGCGAGCATGAAGACGAGCGGGAACGCGGAGCAACAGAGTCTCGTGAGCGAGTTTGAGATTTTCAGGGATGAGCTGTCGCGGATTTTGTTCGAGTTGACAGAAAGGGAAGAGAATGTCGAGTATGTGTTTGGCGAGGAGGTTGCTGCGCTGCATCAAGGTGTGGAGCGTGGGGAGAAAAAGGTCACGGTGGAGTTTAGGAACGGGAAACTTCCTACCGGGGAATACGATTTGGTGGTTGCATGCGACGGCACGAACTCGAAGACGCGAGCGATGGGGTTTGGTTGTGGTGTCAGGGATCATGTGCTTCCACTGAATGCGTGGGCGGCGTACTTCTCGGTGGAAAAGGATTACGTGGATGGGGAGAGGGTAGGGAGGATGCATACGAGCGTCGGTGGACGCTCTTTAGCATGTGGTCCGACACTGTCGACTGGGAACAGAGTCACTGCGTTTGCAGTTCACCCCAGGCACGACAAAGAATCAATGGGGTTATTCCGGGCAGCGCAGAAGGCGGGAGATGATGCCCTCAAGGAGTATGTAGCGCGGCATTTCAAAGGCACAGGATGGCACAGCGACGAGATCCTCGAATCCATGATGCGCTCAACCGATTTCTACGCATCCGAATGGGCGCAGGTCAAAGTGCCAAAGCTCTATAACGGTCGCGTGGTTCTTGTAGGGGATGCGGGATACGCAGCGGGACCTACAGGAGGAGGAACGAGCCTTGCCATGACAGGAGGATACTTTCTCGCGGGCGAGATATGTGAGGGTGGTGGTGACATCGATGCGGGATTGGAGGCTTATGAGAAGCGCATGGCTCCCATCATTGCGGATTTGCAGAAGATACCCCCGGGGATCCCGGGGATCATGGCGCCGCAGACTCGATGGGGCATCTGGTTGCGGAACATCATATTTGTGTTGATCACATGGAGTAGTGGCTTCTTTGGGTGGCTCAGTAAGCAATTTGCGTCTTCGTTTGGTAAAGACAAGTACGGGCTGCCGGACTACAAGTGGAAGCGGGTGTGAGAGACAAAGGAATAATAAAATCAGCGGTAAGTATATTCCGCATAATCCAGTATCATAGATATAAAGATTCATAACAACAGAGAGGAAAAAAAAACACGTTAGAATCGATTTACCTCCGCCCTGATCTCCACAACCTCTAGGCAAGAACTCCCAAAACCTCTTCCACCAAATTTTCCACCTTCCCTTCCGCATCAACGGGCAATACATCTACCTCCTCTAAACCCATCTCCTCATAGACCTCCAGCTGTCCCCCAACCATCTCCTTACTCATATAATGCCCCTCCCTACTCTCTATTCTCTTCACCAGCTCATCGGCTCCGATCTGCATATCCACAAATTTGACCTCAACACCATTGTCACTTACACGGCGGAGCTGGTTGCGGTACGATTTCTTTAGCGCAGAGCAAGATACGACCACGGTATCGTATTCCAGGTCTATAAGCGTTTCGAGGATACGAGCGCGGATGCGAGAAAGCCAGGGTGTCCTGTCAGTGTCGAGGAGGGGAATGTTGTTGTGCATCGAAGCAATAGCGGTTGACGTGTGAAGAGCGTCCCCTTCGATGAAGGTTGTGCATTGTAATGATTTAGTCAGGGAAAGGCCGAGAGTAGATTTTCCGACCCCGCAGGGTCCCATGAGAACGATTGCGCGCTTCTTCTTCTGCTGCTTGTCTGATAACGTGGATGCGGAGCTGGGCTGTTTCCAAGCACCGGTCTTGAATTTGGACACGAATTTTGCGACGTGCGCGGGGTTCAAGACGGGTGCATTTTGGAGCGTAGGTGAGAGTGCGCAAGCTGTGTCGGTGCTGTACGTTCGTGGTGCGGGGAAAGTATCGCGGTTGTATTTGGATGCGAAGAAGTCAACAAGTTTGATGGGAGGGTTAATGACGGGATCGGGGCTTGATCGCTGGAGACGTTTTACCCATTCCTTTGGTGGCAGCTCTTCGAACTCAAGGCCTGCGCTGCGAAGTGCTGGGAGGAGATCTTTTGTCCAGTCGAAAGTCTTCGGATTGGTCACGTTGGCGATGAGAGATCCGGCGTCTGAGAGTGCGATCTCGGAGATGGCTCTGGCGACGATGTTGACGGGGGTCCAGGATGGTGACTCTTGGAGTTGAGGGAGTACGCCGACCGTGACGGCTGTTTGCATGATGAGTGGAATACCCTCCGTCGCGTTCCAAATTCCGTGGACTGTATCAGCTATAATCTGGCCAACCCGCAGTATTCTTGCCTTTATGTTGGTTGATTCCGCTGCTTTCATGCAAATATGCTCCGCAACAAGTTTGCTTTGCGCGTAGCCCATATTCTGTGCCCAATCGTACTCGGGCAGGGTCTCCGGGGTATGCAAGTCGGGGCATCGTGCGACTGCGCTCACGGAAGAGCAGAAATCGAACGAAGCAGGTCGAGACGATGAAACGGCATTGCATAGGTCAAGTAGGTTTCGTACCCCCGCCAGGCAGTCTTTCTCAAACGAAGCAAGCCCGAGATTGAAATTCACTGACCACGCACAGTGGATAACACTGCGGAGGTTGCTGGACACATTCTCGTAAGTATCTGAAGCGAGACCCAGTTTTGACTTCGAGAGATCACATGGTAGAGCTACGATCTTTCTCCGCGCGCTGAGAGATATTGTGTGGTACAATTGACGCTGGATAAGTGACATGCGTACGCGATGGGCGGCATCTTTAGGACTTCGGGCGCGGACCAAGGCGTATACGGTGACGATGTCCTCACGTGCTGCAAGCTGGGCTAAAACGTGCGCACCGAGTGAGCCAGTCGAACCAGTTACGGCAACAGAATAGGTAGACGGTGTTCGATTGAACGTTCCGTACTTTTGGATCAGATCCTGCATGTCATCTTCAATGACCGTTGTAGTGGCCGTTTGACCTGTGCGCAGGTTATACAAATAAGCACTGAGTGCCCTGATGGAAGAATTCTCGAAAACGACATTCTGGCCGAGCTGGTTGTCGCCGATGCTGATGTTCTTCAAAATCTCAGTGCGCATCTGCAGCGACTGCAAAGAGTCAACACCTAGCGCAAAGAAGTCATCGTCCGGAGAAACGTCCTTCGCCTCGGGCATCAAGCTTATCAAGACGTCCCGAATAAAGTCTAGGAGCTCGTTTATTGACAAAGACTTCAAGTCACCACTGGAAATGGCGGCCTGATCGTACGCATTGTCAATGACCCCGCGAAACGTCTTGTAGAAAGCTTGACGGATTATACTGCCCTTATCTGTACGCGGGAAGTCGCAATTCAGCGGTAGCACCTTGATCATGTCGCGCGAAATTCGGGCATAAGCCTCGCTCGATCTGTTCAGTTCCTGAATGACGGGGTATATCTGATTGACGACTTCTTCCTCGGATGCATCCGGTGTTGCAGGAACAACAAGAACGCCGAGGTAAGGACGACCAGCGCCAAAGACAACTGTTTCCATCACGGCCTTGTGGGATCGAATCGTGCCTTCCATCACGACTGGGTTGAACTTCTCGCCGTTGACGAGCACAAGCGTGTCGTCCAGCCTAGCGATATACTTCCAAGCACCGGGTATCGTAGGATGGGGTTCAAACAGATCTTTCGTTGCGTAGCTACCGTCGTCGCAATTGGACGTTACTTTTGCGGGCCACCCATCGGTGACTGTGCATTCGAAGAGGTTCGGGCCCCGCGGGATCCAACGAAGATAAGGCTTCAATTTTTCATTTTCGCGGACGTAGTTCCATGCCTTGTCTTCTGCTGGGCGGAACGACGTCATGAGCTGACCGACTTCTGTCCTGTTCTTTCGTCAATTCTACGATCTGAAAGTGGATGGAGTTCTACGTACGCCCCGTAGTGTCCCACTAGGTTTACTCCATTCTCAACCAGTAGCTCACCCAGTGCATCCGGACATGCGCTACCGCCGTACATGACTATTCTAAGTTCTCTCAATAATTGGATGCCCTCCTCGGTTTCTGCAAGCAACTTGAGAGCGTAAGGAACACCATAGAATATCTCAAATTTGTGCTCTTGGAATATCTTTGTGAGTAGAGGCTGAGTTAAAGGCAAATCTGCGTTGTACATGTGGATTGATTTGCGTGAGTATACCGCTCGAAAGAAGTTGCAAATGCCGTGATTATGGTAAAGAGGCAAAGTTATGAAAGCCTTCATGTCCATGCTAGTCGCATAGTTTGCAATGGCGCGGAAATGTGGCTGATAGATTGGTTTTGGAAGACCAGTTGAACCTGATTGTAATGAGTTTTCTGCTTCATATTTTCTCGCACATAAGTGAGCACTTACCACTAGAGTGTATGATGAAGATGTTGTTCGTTGTCTCGATAGCAGGATCAAGCTGGTAGTCCAATCGAGTATCCGCATAGACCTCGATCGGAAATTCATAATGTACACGGCCAGCGATCTCAGCAACGTTAAGTTGCGTTTTCTTTGCCTGAACTACCAAGGCCGTGTCCAGGTATCTTGAATCAGCTAGGAGATATGTCGCTCCTGTGGTTTCAACCAAGGATTCAATCGCTATTGCAGACAGCCTTGTGGATAAGAACAGGACTGTGTGGCCGAGCTTGGCCAACGCCAGCATGGAAACGAGGTAGTCAAAATTGGAAGGCCCAAACAATGCTACCGTTAGCTGTTTGTCGGCAGATGATTTTCGTGTAGGAATCCATGTCTGGAAATGGCGTGCGACGCGATATGCGAAGACATCGAGCTGTTGCAGAGTATACTCTACATATTCGATCCCGGAACGAGGATAAGCCACCGCTATCGCGTGCGGGAAACTTTTCGCGCGCTGACGTATCAGATCATCGACAGTGTGAATGCTGTCGTCGCAACTGTCTGTCGTTTTGCTGCTTGTAATTTGGGTTGTTGAACTAGAAGAGAGAGATGGTATAGAAGCAGGTAATGCAACTTGAGCAGGTGCCATGCTTTGAGATGTATCGATGATGGAGGAATGTGGTGTACAATGGGTGTCGAAGTACGGGTAGATAAATCTTCCCAACTACCTTCAGCGTCCACGCGTTCCAACATTTCCGGTCATATCGACCCTCCGGCCGTCGAGCCCCTCCCCCTCTTGCTATGGCAATGTGCATTATACGACAGCCTGCATAGAAGCCAAGAACGGGATGGGGGCGGAGGCGGATATGCGTATGATTGGACGGGAAAAGACGGATTCTTGTCCGGCCCCCTCGGTATTCGGCCAAATTTGTATTTCCCCACAAAACACCTCGCGACCGATCAGGAGGGAGACTCCATACCCCAGATTTGACCGGGTTTCTCCGCAAAACGTTGAACAGGGCACCGAGGTAGTCGTGATGATCAGGCGACTATATAGCGAGAGGCAGTGAACTGCATTCGACACTCACCTCTATAATTCGTATGGGCCGCGTCGTTGCAATCCATCAGCACAAAAAAAAAACAGCTCTCCTTCGAAACCCACGCAATCATGTTGACTGTCGAGGAAAAAACTGATATCCAGCATGTGGACGACCGACGCGATTCGATTGACCCACCAAAGCCGAACCAGATTGTTCACATCGACAATTTCCACGTCTTGGGTTTAAGTCCTGAGGATGCCGAATTCTATACCAATTTCTCGGAAGTGAAGAGAAAAACGGTGATTCACAAGGTAGACGTTCGGCTAGTGCCTATGTTGGCGGTGCTTTACCTCATTTCCCATATTGATCGGGCCAACATTGGTGTATGTCCTTTTCTCCGATTCTTGCTTGCAAGTCTGACAGATTCATTATAGAATGCAAAGATTGAGGGTCTCGTTGAAGACCTTGGGCTCAGCGGCGTACAATGGAATATTGTACTTTCGGTCTTCTTTGTACCCTACGTTCTTCTCGAAGTCCCCTCGAACATGCTCTTGAAGAAGTTCAAGCGACCCTCGGTATACCTTGGCATCTTGATAGTATGCTGGGGTATCATCATGACTATGATGGGTGTAGTAAAGAACTTTGCTGGACTGTTGGTGACTCGGATTCTTCTTGGTATCTTTGAGTAAGATCCCCCTTCACCAGACCATTGACAGACTTCTCACATAACGCAGAGCTGGCTTCTTTCCGGGCGCGATCTATCTTTGTTCGGCTTGGTACATGCCCAAGGACCTCGCAACGCGCATCTCGTATTTCTACTGCGCTTCAGCGCTGTCCGGTGCATTCAGCGGACTTCTCGCAGCTGCCATCGCCAAAATGGACGGAGTTGGCGGGTACGAGGGCTGGCGATGGATCTTCCTTCTCGAGGGTATCGTAACTGTCTTCTTGGGCGTTTCGTGCTTTTTCCTGTTGATTGACTCGCCAAAACTGAGTTCACGTTGGCTTGCGCCCGAGGAGATCCGTTTCCTTGAGCTACAAAAGTTCATCAAGGATGGTGGTAGGCTCCAGGAAGAACAACAACATTTCCGATGGAAAGATCTCAAGATGGTTTTATGCAACTGGCGGTTGTATATGCAAGCTTACATCTTACTCTGCATTTCCGCTTGCTCTTATGGTAGGATTGCCTTCCTGTCCTGACTGCCTTGCGTATACTGACATCAGATAGGTACGAAGTTCACCCTTCCAACCATAACAAAATCCATGGGTTTCAACAACACAAATGCCCAGCTCATGAGCGTACCGCCTTATGTTGCAGGCGCGATCAGCTCAATTGTGTTTGCTCGCCTTTCTGACCGATTCTACTGGAGATTGCCGTTCGTTGCGATTCCTCTCTCTTTTATCTTCATCGGTTACTCCGTAATCATCTCGTTTGATGGTGAGCTGGCCCAGAACATTGGTCCTGCATTTTTCGGTATTATTCTCACTTGTATGGGTATCTATCCCATTCAGCCTGCGGGATCGTCCTGGGCTGCAAACAATCTCGCGCCTTCTTCCCGCCGCGCAATCGGTGTCGCATTCAACATATGTGTGGGCAACATTGGCGGTGTCATCGGTTCGTATATGTACCTGGAGTCCGAGAAGCCCAAGTACTATACCGGTTTTGGCCTCTCCCTGGCGTTTGGTGCGAGTGGGTTTATCGTCGCATTTTTGCTGGAGTTGTCGTACAAGTGGGGTAACGCGAAGAAGGCCAAGATGACGGAGGATGAGATCCGCGCGAAGTATACGGATGAAGAGCTGATGGACATGGGTGATAAGTCGCCGCTTTTCAAATATGTACTGTGAACAAGCATGCGGTATTAATCATGGATCCACGATTTTAGTGGAGACGGAGCATATTGTACAGATTCTTCATCCAAGATAATACTGGGGTGTCAAGCTTAGATAAATGTCTACGCAAATAAGAATCGCCGTCTGGATTTGAAGTGTGCGGATCGCCACCAACTATCTATCTTCACTGATTCCACTCATCCAGTTGATCGTATTGTCTTCGAGCACTGGAAACGGTCCAAAGGCAGATGAATCGAGATCAAGCCAATCGGTTGTCTGCCAGCCGTCAAGGAATTTCGCGATTTGTGGGCTCGTAGATTCGGTGGAACTGCGGAACATGGGGTTCCAGTGATCGATATCGGCATTTTGATTGGTTGATATGTTGGTGGTCGAATCTGAAATGCCTTCACCCTCGCGATGATTTGCGAGAACATCGGCTGTTTCCAGACGACGTGCAATCTTGCGTTTTGCCTCTGATCGGAGTTCTTGTAAGATGATGCTGTACCGTCGCGAGGGCGAGTTGCTAGCTGTGGCTTGGGCAAGATGGTTCAAACATTGTTCGGCCCGATTAAGGATCTCTTCATGAAAACCGTCTACGGTCTTCAGGTCGCGGCACCGTTGGATGGACCAAACATAAACAACGGCGAGTGCGCAAAAGGCGACATAGTGAGTCCACCAGAACGCATGGAAGAGCTTGCCATCTTGCGCAACCCGATCAACTATCACGAGGACCGACTGCGCTGCCCCAATACATTCATCGATACTTTCAGAAGCTAGTTTCCGTACCTCTGCAGGTTGTTGGCTGACGTTCTTCAAGAGAAAGGGGCGGTGCGCAAGTATCACGGCATGACAGTATGAAAGCTTCAAGACTGTAGCTTGCCGCCGGAACGCTGGAATAAGGCTGGAAGGATTCACTGCACCCAATATAGGTGGCAATGAAGCTTTCCATTGCCGCAGTTGAAGGCCGAGCTCATGAGATGCTGCGACTTTTTCATGGTCCGGGCTGCGTTTGATTGAGTAGACCTGTCGCAAGATTTGTTCCCCAATTTGTGCAAGTTTAGCATGATAGATGAGCGAGTTGATATGGCAGTCATCGGTTACGATATTTCTCGGTCCGTTGACAGTCATGTCCTCGTCATTGACGGGATCAGGCAGATCTTGATCTATATCGTCATCGTGATAATGCCGCGGGCGCCCAAACACGACACCGAGATACTTGTCGAGTGTATACGCTACCCAGAAAGTTCTCTTTCGGCATTGTTCCTCGATGAAATTTCGAGGGCTCACTCGTCCTCTACGATGCTCACGGCGATGCAAACCCAGGGTAGAGATAATAAGCAGAGTATGCCCAAAAGTGTACCAAGCCTGATTCATACGACATGAGGTGAGGAGATAAAGAACCTGAATTAGTCGTGCTTGTGCGGATTCTAGAGTAGGATACCCAGTCTCTGTTTCCACCAGGTGGGCGGATTCGGAGAACAGTAGATCACAGTGTAGCAGCGCTTCGTCGGTCTCTGATGAGCCGTCTGAGCCCTGAGCTTTCGCCTCGTGAAAGCTAGCGACAGCAAGCACGGTCAAGACGATGGACGCTTGAGCGTTTGAAATGCCTTCAGCAAGATGCGAGTCTTTTTGTGCGTTTCCCACCACTGTTGGTAACCATAACTCAACCGTGGGCCGATGGAGGATGCGGTAGGTCGCTATGCAAATATCGAAATACAAAGCCAGTCTAATCATACCGGTATCGAGTCAGTTTTCTTGGGGGCAGAGCATGATGATTCGGAGAAGTTGTGTCATAGTACCCTGTGGAAGAATACGATGGATATCAATGAGATATCGCATGGTCAAGCGATTCTCTTCGGGGCATACCTACAGCTCGTGGCATTTGGAAAGAGGGGGTATTCGCAATTTCTCAGTGCGCCTTTGGAATGGTTTATCGCCTGCTGAGACCAGTAGTTGGTCATCCACAGAGGTTTCCAAGGCCCCTTCCGCAAGTTGGCTGTTGCGATTATCGTGCAGACGTGTCCAAGCACGGTGGAGAAATGACAAGCCCGAGGTCGAGTCGGAGTACTGTCCTAGTATTTCAAGCTCGGGTGAGGCCCGCGAGGGTGCCTGTATCTCTTGGGTATCGAAAGCTGGGGAATGTGTCGCTTGCATATTGCCATCAACATGGAGATCAGACGGACCGAGTCTCGCGCGAGCGTTGGAGAGAGGTACCTCCGGAGGTTTCCCACGCGAGTAAGAAGACTGATAGAGACAGTCCCAGCCTCTGTTCGCACAGCTCTCGCAAGGCTGGTTACCAGAGCACTTGGCTTTCTTCGCTTTGCAAATGTCGCAGGCGCGTGTGACTTTACGCTTTTGCGGGCGCGAATCATTTGCACCATTGCTGATGCTTCGTTTCCTCGCAGATCCAGGATCCATTGCATTGCATGGACGTTTTTCCGGGTCGTTGTCGGAAATCCGGGGTTGTGGAGTGGTAGAGGGAATGGTGTTTGTGCTCAGCACGGATCAGATGGTGCGGGGCGGAGAAACCCCGACCCGCCCGGATTATTCGTCATTCCCATTTCCGTTTAATCCGTCTCCACAACAAACAATCACCATCACCACACCCCTCGCTGATACATCGGTATCTCGGTGCAATATGTACGGGAGAAAACGTAAAAAACGATGACGACATATATATCTTGTCCGTTCCCGGGCGAGACAAGTATATAGATATCCTTCCCCGGCTTCCCCCCGCTGGGTTGCCTATAGCACCTTTTCCCTATCTCTCCAAAGCCAACATGACTCTTCCGACTCACTTCACACTAAACACCGGCGCTGAAATACCTGCCGTTGGCTTTGGCACATGGCAAGCAGCTCCCAATGAAGTGGAGCGCGCCGTAGAGACCGCGCTTCAAACAGGATACCGACACATTGACTGCGCAGCTATCTATCGTAACGAAGCTGAAGTAGGCGAAGGCATCCGAAAAAGCGGCGTCCCTCGCTCTGAGATCTTCATCACGGGAAAGCTATGGAACACGAAACATGCACCCGAAGACGTCGAGGGAGCTCTGGATCAATCGCTCAAAGATCTTGGGACTGACTACGTGGATTTGTTCCTCATGCATTGGCCTGTGTAATTCGCCCCTCCGCTCGTGCACACTAAACAGTAGCTTACTTGATTGAACAGAGCTTTCAATGGCGCCCCCCAAAAATGGTTCCCCCTCCGCCAAAACGGCCTATTCGATCTCGTCTCCATCGACCCAGCCGAGACTTACAAAGCCATGGAGAAACTCCTCTCCACTGGAAAGGTACGCGCAATTGGCGTCTCCAATTTCACGGCAAACCGCCTCACCAACCTCCTCTCTAAAATCAACGTCGTCCCCGCTGTCAACCAGATCGAAGCTCACCCTTACCTCCAACAACAAGCGCTCTTCGATTTCTGCAAGGAGAAAAACATTCTCATAGAAGCGTACTCCCCTCTCGGTAACAACCAAACGGGTGAACCTCGGACAGTGGATGATCCGTTGGTTGGGAAGATCGGAGAGAAGTTGGGCATGGATGGTGGACAATTGTTGGCTAGTTGGGGTGTGCAGAGGGGCACTGTAGTGCTACCCAAGAGTGTGACTCCGCACCGGATAAAGAGTAATTTGCTGGTGAAGAAGATCACAGATGGGGAATTTGCTGAGCTGAATGGATTGGAGCGACACAAGCGCTTTAATGTACAATCGCGATGGGGCTTTGACATTTTTGAGGAGCTTGGGGATACTGAGGTGCAGGAGATCGCGAAAGGTCTTGCAGAGGAGAATCTTACAAAGTTTACTGTTTAGGTTCCTAAGAATTAGGCTGGCATAAATATGCAATCGCAAAAAGATCATGATCTTTTCAGATATTTTCCGGGCGGTACGCAGTAGAGATTATAACTAAAAACAGATCGGCCTTTATGACTCGGTATGAGACGATCTGGGGGTAGCATTATGCCCTCGTGATGAAACATGGAATCGCATGTATCCTCCAGCGAAAATACAACGACAAAGGCAAGCCCTTCGACAACACCCCGGGACGGTCCTGGCAGAATGGCTGAGACGCATTACTCTGACGGATCCAATCTGCCATGCCAGGCGCATCATTCAACGGAATCAAGTTACAGAAACAATTCATTCATAATTATTATTGTTACAGATACGACCACACGACTACAATTCCGCTACAAATAGACTACACATTTCCATTTGTTGCGCGCCGGATTCTTTCAATTCGCGGTCCGTTGTCATCAAACCGTGAATTTGAAAAATCTGGTATTCAATAAGTGGAAACGAATAGTGTACCCATAGAAGAAGTGCAACGTCCTATAATACAATAACTTACTTTTCTGGGGTATAAGGGTACAATCACATGTATACTGCCTCCATCTCCAGCACAGCCTGTCGAACCACCGAGCAGATATGCCGCACCTGCTCCTCCGTAACAGTATACGGTGGAGCAATCAAGATGTGATCTCCGCGAATACCATCCACAGTCCCCGCGCCAGGATACACATCCACACCCAAATCATGAATGAAGCGTTGAACCTGGATCCCATAGCGCAACTCTGGCGGGAAAGATTCCTTGGTATCTTTGCATTTCACAAATTCGACAGCCATGAAAGTCCCTCTTCCTCTGATATCTCCGACTGATTTGCAAGGGGCAAGCTGTGAACGGAGTTCAGCGTCAAGGACTTTTCCCATCGCTGCACTTCGCTCGATAAGGTGATCTCTCCGGACGATCTTCTGCACTGCCAGCGCCGCTCTACACGCGGTAGCATGCGATTCGTAGGTATGTCCATGATTGAATGGTTTCGAGTTTTTTCGGAAAACATCAACCACTTTCTTATGGATCAACACCGCTGCAATTTGAGCATAGCCACCTCCGAACCCCTTTCCGATCGTGACGATATCCGGTACGATGCCCTCTTGCTCAAACGCGTAGAACGTTCCCGTACGCCCAACCCCACACATGACCTCGTCCAGATGCAGCAGAATGCCATACTTGTCGCAAAGTTTTCGGACACCGCGGAAGTACCCGGTTGGCGGAGTTATGCATCCTGCTGTCGCACCCCCCACCGTCTCTGCCGTAAACATGAGCACTTTCTGTGTTCCAACACGCTTGAACTCATCGTCTAATTCTTGTATCAGTCGCGTTGCGTACTGATCTTCCGTTTCGTCGCTTTTTTGATACTGATATGCATATGGTGGGGAGACATGCGACACATGGGGATACCCAAGACCTTCAAACCCTTCTTTTCTCGCCAAATTTGTCGACATTGACATCGCGCCCATTGTACTCCCATGATACGCTTGCCACCGTGACACATAATGCATCCTTTCCGGCTCTCCTTTCTCAAAAGCACACTGTTTCGCCAACTTCATCGTGGTTTCGGTAGCTTCACTGCCCGAGCTGCACAGAAATACCTTCTCAAAGCCATGGGGGTTTCCGTCTAATAGAAATTGGCAGAGCTCTCCGGCAGGGGTCGTGGTGTAGGCTCCCGGGTGTGCGTAGGCTAGTTGGAGGCCTTGTTTGTGGGTCTGAAGGGCGACTTCTTCGTTGCCATGGCCGATTATTGAGACGGCTGCTCCGCCACAGCCGTCGATTATGGTTCGACCGTCGGATAGGTAGAGCTCGATGCCTTTCCCTGATATAGGTATGGGCAGAGTTTTTGTTAGAGCTAGATTGATGAAATGGCTCTCTCGAGGCGCGGTTGTTGTTTGTGAGGAGTCTGGAAGTGTGGTGATGGGAGATTCCAAGCGACCGGGTGCCATGGTTGAAAGTGAAAGCTAAGGTTGACAGGTGAGGGTATTGCAGTGCTTTCATAGGCGAATGGTGTTCCTTCCGTGGCGTTTGATTTTTGCCGGGATAACAAGCGTTCTCACGTCATTTTATAGTCTCCAAACCCCGAGGCCTCCACATCGCCGAGCCGTGGTTGCTAGTCGCAGCTAGCTTCACTCATGAGCAATCCTCCGCATTGAATGGTCATCATCTGATCAGCTAACACTCAACGGGCGAATTTTCGCGGCTCTGGAATTACATATGCCGCGCCTATGACTCGTGAAAATTTCCTCTTTCGCTTCAGCCGCGACTCCGCCTTGAATTTGGTTGATCCATCAAGATAACCTATGATATGGTCAATCATGATAGAAGGCTCCTGACGATGAACGGAGGGAAGCAATAACATAATTGGAATCCATCTCGCTGCTCGGTGGCTTGAAGGATCTAAGTGTACACGAATCTGACATACTCACCGATGTGCGGTGCGGTAACCTTGGCTGCTGATCCCATGTTGGAGCCGATGAGACCTTTTTCATCAGTCTCCATATAGGTAACTCTACCAGCTAGGTAGGGCGCCTAGTTGAACCATGGCCATTGTTTTGTACCGTATATGTAAAACAACAATTGAACAGATTGACGTTTAGCTTGAAGGTGCGGGGACGACTGACGAGATGGCCCCGCTTTGCGCTATTCCGCATATGGGATAGAGTTTCTTGGCTGGCCTCTAGACTCCTACTCTTTCACATGCGATAGATAACGGTCAACCGTCATATAGTGTACCTACTAGTGTGAGTCTTGAGATGACCGTATTGGATAAGCTAGCTGAAACCAACGGGGACAATGAGTTCAAAGCTTGGCTGTCCAAGGTCATCGATGCAAAATAAGAGAATATCGCTTTTGTCGCTTCTCGGCGACACGGCAAGCCAACAGGAGAGTTTGACGGCTACCTCAAGGGCTCATTCAACATTGGCCTCGTTTTCAGATTCAGTGATGGAGATCCCAAAGATGTGATCCGCTTCCCGAAGCCAGGTCAGCCACAGATTTCCGCGAGGGAAAGGGCAAGAATGAAGTCCATTTCTTGGAATCCCTGGGCGAGGAGAGGATACTGAGCTGGGGTACGATACAAGGCAGTCCTCAGCATCTAGGTCCACTCATAATCATGGATTTTGTTGAAGGCATTCCACCCGTGACCCTTTTGAAGCAGCCACCCGAGACTGATCAAGATGAAGTGATCCCGTCCGCTGACGCGGACGACGAAAAATTGGACTGTGTCTACGAGCAACTTGCTGATTATATTAATTGATGTTACAACCCCCCCCAGTAAGACAATTACGCGATATTAGAAAATGACAGAGAAGATGTTAAGAAGCGTTTTATCGCACGCTATCGATTAAAAGAGCTGATCTCTCGCTACTGCCCCCAAGATGATACCGGTCCTTTCAAGCCCAGAGTTGAATGTGACGGTGTGATAGATACACACGGCCGGAATGACGATGCCGGAGACAGCGGATTGGAGATTGGATGAACCAGGGGTTCAAGTCTCAGATTACGAAAGGATCGGCCATTGCGGGTGATTTTCAGTAAGTGGCCCTGTCGTGTCAATCTGCATCGTCCTGAAAGTAGATATAACCATCGATATGATTGGTAAACGAGATCTACTGCACGTGGCAAGGGCATGGTTGGGAGACTTTATTGGTGATACCTAGGTAGGCAACTACATGACCAGTACATGAAGAGTGAGCGTGTGATGAAGTTGTTGTCGTACTCGCATTTTGTCTGCTGAAGCGGGCAGAAACTTCAGATGATTGGTGTCGAGCAATGGTTATCCGGTGTGTCGGAACCGAGCTGAGATTCGAAATGGCAATGATATTCTGACTTGTAGGATCTTTTGCTTTGTGAATACGAGATACGTAATTTTAGGTTTGAAGTTCTTGGTAACGCCAAGCAACAAACTTTGTCTGTTGCGTATGACTCCGTTTCAGCCGACATTTTCTCTATCCTCATACGTGACCTTTGCCGGTGCTATTGTATCAGTCCGAAAGTTCGTCGAGGCGGTCAGAAAAACTCGTATTTAACGTTTGCCCAACACGAAGGTAAGGCCAGTGTTCTACAGCGGCAAAGACGTACCCTGGACTATCTCCGGAGTCTCTCTATAACTTACGTACTACATATTACCCAACATTTTCTATTGAAGACCAACATGTACTGTTGATGCTGTATATCATCCGCCGTGACCACGTTTTCACCGGATATAAGATGAATCATTCCAAAATACGCGATTTTTTTTTCCATGGTGAGTGATAAGATTCGACGCAAACAACATTTTGAATGGGTTGGAAACATAGTGATACGCGTGCAGTTGGGCACATTCTGTTCTATCGAGATGCGAAAACCATATGACAATTATGATTGGAGACCTTCCACCGCTGTGCGAGCAGATCCATCGACATGTAAGTAAAATTCACCCTGAATATCCGACCTCAACGCCGAACCATGTATCAAAAGCAGCCAAACCCCCGTTGGAAAACTTCCACCTCGTGGCCTCCCAAGAGACTCCTTGGATCAGCCTCGACGCACGTCAACACATTTATAGTATGACATGTCAATCTGCGTATCCTGCACCTCCCATTCTTGCAACGCCCCAGTCTTCGCACAATGCATAGTATGGTTCCACTCACTAATCGGCTCGACCGCCGGCCTCCCCTCAATAACAGCTCGATGCATCACCTCATAACAATACATGCAATGAACCAGATGGAAATGGTGCTCGGACCAAATTTTCGGTGTCCGCTTATACACTTCGATATCCGTCGGCAGGACCTCTTTGTACTCGGCATCAGCGTATAATCGTAACGGACCGTGCTCGTTGACTTTCTGCCAGTACCTCTCGTGGATTTCCGGGAAGAAGCACTCCGGGCGTTGCCAGGAGAAGTTTATGACGTCAAACTTGCAGCCTAGGGCGATGGCTTCATCGGGGGTAGTGCCGCAGGGATTGGTGAGGGTGCGGATAGGGGCGAAACGGTAGTAAAGGTTGCCAAAGGCTATGCCGAGGATGAAAAAGCATAGAAAGGCTAGTACGATCATTCGAGTTGAAAAGATCTTGGATAGTTGATTGCGCATTTGAGAGAGGGCGGTTTGGGGGGTGTTGGAGTATGGTGGGGGTTTTTCGTGGAAGGCGTTGTAGGCGTGATCGTCGGGGAGCAGTGTTTGCTCATCGTCATTCTCAGACTGAGTAGGTGGCGCCATATTTGATTCGACCGGATGTGTATCGAGATTTTTGTTTCGTGAAGGTGGAATACGCAAATGTGGATATGAATCATGGGTGGGACTGGGTGATGGATTCAGTCGCGCAATCCTTGGTCGCGCGTGGAGTGCACTTCCGGAAACTTAGATACGTTTTGCTGACTTGTATTCAAAGTTTTCAATATCTTTGTTCGAGCTTCCTATTGAAGCACCTTATTGACTTTCCTTGCAGGCACCCGTGCTTTGTCGCATTGTTCTATCGCCTCCTATTGAACACCCAAAATGGAATCGATCACTTAAATAAGTCTGTTTCCATCACGTTCAACATAGACGGATACGAGTCGGATAGCGCAGTGAGTTGCGCTTACAGAGGCGGGGTATACTAGTTGTTTGTCTCCTTGAAGAATTCGCAGGCATTAAGCTTCCAGACGATGGGCATCACTTTTTATGAAATTGCGTATTAGTTGAAGGTATCATAGTAAAGAGTCATGCATTTCAAATTGTACTTATCACCTATCGCTGCTGTAACCGAAAGCAAGTGCATACCCAATTAACAGTATTGAGAGCCACGATTCCCTTAGCATGGCGTACCGGTAGGATGGGGTTATGACGCGCATGCTGAAGTCCACGAAATGGAAACCACCGCATTTGCTTCACGACGTTGTGCTATTGATTTGAGTTCCCCCTTCAATCGTGGAAAATCCCCATTTTCAGTTTTTGGATCATCCACAGCCTACTCCATTTCCGTTGCTCGAGTGACACCTTCATCAGGTTGATGGTACAAACCACCGATACGCGAGCCGCACTCAGGGCAGCTAGCGCGCTCCATTGGCATTCCGCATTCACCAACAGCAAACTACAACGTCAGTTAGTCCGTGTTCAAAACTCAGCGCACGCCACAGGCTGGAACTTACCGGATGCCCATTGGTACAACGATACCAGTGACCAGAATTTGTGGCGAGACCACGCGGACCTGTCACCATGGCAGCTATTGATTTCTTCTTGGGTAACCTCCTGGTAGAACGGGAGCTGAGAGATCCTTATAGCTGTTTTGACAGCCTGTCCCAACTCTTTTGAGCCCTGAAATCCCTTCTCGCAATGTACTTCGGCCCACTTCAAGTACTTGAAGCTTCTTTCGTTGCGATCTTTGCCCTCAGTTTGCTCCAGATTTGATTTGTGTTTCAGCGAGGCAAGTCGTAAAGAAATGCGATAGTAGAATAGCGCAGTCTCAACCAACGGTTTTAAGAGCTTCACTTAGTAGCAGTCATTCAAAAACTCTTCGCAGCGTTGAAGAGCCATTGCAGCTTGAGCTTTAGTATCTTCCAGGGAAAATTGGGCTAACAACAAGAACGAAGCCTTAGTCTAAATTGCAAACTTGTCTTCGAGCGCTAAGCAGAGCACTTTGATCTTCATCACCTCTGCAGAGAGCAGGATGCGCCAATCAATGTCTAGCTTATGCGCAGCATAGGATAGAGAAAGCTCGTTAAGAGCGGCTTCCACGTTCAGCTTTCTACGTTCAGATTAAACAATCGCGTCGTGTAGCATTTTGTTTGGCTGGCGTTGCTGAGCAAAATCCTTCTCCAATTGACGAATCTCCTTGATCAATTTTTCGACCTGCTCGTACCAAGGTTTGATAGATTCCACGAGAATACATCGGCGAGGTTGATGTTCATCCTCATCCTCCTCATCCTCATCAGACAGGACATCTTTCGTGAACGAGTTCACTGTACTCTCGAGTTTCTTTTCTAAGGCGGAAATCTTTTCATCCAAATTTCGAAGTTCAGTCTGTCCATAAACAATGAAACGTTTCAACACCTCATCCATGACAGCTCGATTGACAACCCGGTTGTAGCGCTGTGTAGCATATTGCATGATTAGGGATTGACAATCAGGGCATTGAGGTATTTTCACTGCCAGCTCGTGCGATAGATCCTTCAGTCCGGTAATGACGCCGTGTTTGTCGGTCTCATATACATCCGTCAATCCCACAAGCCCATCTAGTGTCTCTGCTGTGAATAGATGACCGCAGTTGAGGAGTACGACCGGAGTTTCATCAACGTCTATCTCGGCGTAACTCTTCATTTCGAGCAGGTCAACGCGTACTTCGTCTTTTTGTCCGCAGGTGTGGCAGAATTGTATAGGGCAGATTTCACCGCAAAGTCCAGGGCATTGATGCCCACAAGGTAAGATCTTGTCGCATCGCTCGTCGCAAGGAATCCAATCGCAGGGCGCAGCACAAGGCATTTGACATGCTCCCTAATGATCGCAGACCCAGGCACAGGACTCGATACAAGGTGTGCACGCTTCGTGGCAGCTTCGATCGCATCCAGAATAAGCGCAACGGATCTCACAATCAGAGTTGCACAAGCCACAGTCTATTCCGCTATAACATTCTCTCAGACAGTTATAATTGCAGGTTGCATGTTTACGGCCACAGATTTTCCGGCATGATTGATGTTGAACCACCGTACAGAACACCTCAGTGGCCGTTCAAACCTTCCCATTACATTTTCCACAGCTGCCAGTGCATGAATGACTGCAAGGAAGTACGTGACTGCAAGGTTCGGGGCAACAATAGTCCTCCGAAACTTCCGTAGAGCATTCCACCGTGACTCTATAATTGCAATCCGGCACTGTTTTCTGGACGAGAGAAGTGCAATGGATGGTGTCGCGGTGGAAAGTTTGACCGCACGGCACACCAGAGAGGGTGTGACCGCATGGCAGTTCAACATCGTCAATCGGGATCATGCACGGTCCGCAATCTAATCACTCGTTAGTTAATCTATACATTGCTAAACAGGGATAGAGAAGTTCAAAATTAACGTGTGCTTTATTTACTTACCTTCACCACACGTTGATTTCTGGCAGGCATGATGGCACGGTTCATGCAGTCGCTCACAAGGCTGCATACAAACATATGCTGTGTGCATGCTTGTTAAATGGCACGCAGAATAACATCGATGTCCGCAATCAGGAAGCCGTCGTTCACATAGTAACTGGCAGCCCCCTTCGGGGCTTTGGCGCTCAAAGTGTTCCGGCTGCGAAACCTCAATAGTGATTTCCGGGTGCCGCGGGCAACATAAGCCGAATAATGTATCCAGTGATTCTGTAGCACGCAGCATTTCGATGACGTCCCGCCACATCGGAACGTTGGAATATGTCTCAGTATTTCCAATCAAGTACATTCCATGTTGCGCGCGACTCAGCATAACGTTAATTCGATTAGTTGTCCGTAGAAATCCTACTTTCTGCGACCCATTGCTTCGAACCAGTGAGATGATAACGACTTTGGCCTCCTCGCCTTGGAAGTTGTCAACTGTCGCGATTCGCAGGAATTCGGAAAGCTTCTTCTTCGAAAGAGCAGACCGATGGTTGGTTCGGGGAGGATTATCATGATCTGGTCCAGTCGGGGTCGTCTCTTTTTCGTTAAACCCATCTTTTTCTAGCGCATCGCGGTCCCGATCGCTTAGTACAATCTCGAAGTCATTTCGCAATGCCGTTTTCAGCTTCTGTAGTTGACCAGTGTAAGGTGTCAGAACGGCTATCTCACTGCTAGTGTACTTCCCTTGGCGAACAATGTGTCGGACCAATGAATGTACGATTTTGACCTCCCAAGAATTCGATTTGGATTTTGCGTGGTGGTGCTCAACTGCCTGCGTATCCTCGGGAATTTGATGGTCAAGCCAGAAGACATTCTTCCTCATCCCAAAGACATCTGGAAATTGTAGTGCAGTGGGATGATCTTTAAATTCACCGTATATGGTGTTCCGGATCAACTTCGAGATCTCTGGCTGCATACGTCGTTGAACATTGAGTTGGGCAACAGGTATTTTCATCCTCCCAGGTTCACCAACGGCAAGTCGCTCGAACTGGCTCCGATCCAGCTTGTACTGCGCGCCCTGATGACTCTCCACTGACAGACTGTAGTTGCTTACAGAAGGCCGCAGTTGCTCATGATCCCCAATCTGGACCAGGTGCTCCACGGATGGCAGCAAGGTCGACAGCATATGAGCTTCCAGAACCTCACCAGCTTCTTCACATATGACGACTTTGCTGTCGATATGCCTGAGTAAGTTGATGTTCTTTGCCAGACCCGTAGTCGTGATCCCGATAACATCGGCATTCTGTAGAACTCTGCGATCTCCTTCTTGGTGTATGTTTTGGATGGCCGCTTGTGTTTTCCTGGTGCCATCAAGGACATCGAAAAGCTGATCACAGTACGCAGCTCGTAAATCTTCGACCCAGATTCCCATAATGAACTCCCTTTCGAGTAGTCCTAGAGAGAAAATATTGGTTTTGGCTTGCTCTTGGATTCTCTCACCAATAGTCTTAGGTGGGATGGGCGCATGCGGATCGAGAACTTGTGGTTTCCATATATCAAAAGGGTGTAGGCCGATCAATTGGAATCCATCCTCGTCCAAAACAGAAAACTGTTTATGAATTTCGGGATGGTTGTTTTCCAGATGATCTTTGACGTGATTCCATTCCAGTATCTGGGCAAGAGCATAAAGGCTACTCAGGTCGGAATTGATCTGCTTTGCGGCTTTCTTCAAACCAGCGAAAGCATTACCCAGGAGCATCGTTTCAGATCTCGTTCGCTCTTCCTTCTTTGCGATCTCACGCAAGTTATGTGTTCTGAGAAGCGCAGATTGGCTCTGTCCGCCGATCCGAATTACTTTCTTTATGTCGACTTTGATAAGGTGTTCCAAGAATTGGTCCAATGCGTGGTTTGTGTAGCACACTACAATGATAGGCCCAAGCCTTGCCTTTTCTGCGATTGACAAGAGAACGCGCATGATCTGCACACCCAAGTACGATTTCCCTGTGCCAGGCGGTCCTTGTATAAGAGCAAATTCTCGGGTGAATGCAGATACAAGGGCCTTACTCTGACCATAGTCTAACCCAGTCCCGTTGACGATCTTCTCTATCAAGTCGTTATCATCAGAGGACGAGTTGGAGTCCAAGCTAATATTCGCAGAGTCATCGTTGAGAATGGCATTTAGCGGGATGGTAAACCCGTGAGCTTGGGCATAAGCGGGCATCGAAATCTTTAGCGTGTCGTTTCCATGGCTTGCTTTCTTCTCGGGAAGAATACAATTTTGAAATGGCAGGTGTCCCTCTCGTTTCATGTATTGTAGATTCTCCAGAATTGGTTTGAAAGTTGCGGGTATAATTGCAGGGAGCTCAATCAATACACCTTGCTCCTCTTGGAAGCTGGCTGTCAGGATAGAGTCAACATTTGACTGGTCCTGTATCGCAAGTTGGGCTCCTATACTGGCAAGATCTCGGTGGCCTGTCAAGCTCAAATCCGCTTTAACATCGGTGTTTCGGCTTTGAACTGTGAAAAAGATAGGCTGAGATTTGCCGTCTTTCACTATCAAAAACGACAGGAGAGTTCCAACTTGAAGTCTCCTAGATTCCTCCCACCATCGGACACGGGCGGATGTCTTCTTGTCCCGCAAAACATGTGGCTGCGAGAAAGTGATGCTGACCTCCAAGCCACGCTTTTCGTGGAAGGAAACGTCGCTGATAAACGCTGAAGTATAATACTTTGCATGAAGTTCATCGAATCCCCTCCATGGCCGAGTGAAGACTTCAGGATCATCTCGAGCGGCCTTCATCAACTCAAAGAATGCTTGCTTGAGAGCACCAAACGTCTCGTATCGAAGCAATCGAAAATGGGTATCAATGTGCCGGGCCACAGGATCGGTGATATAGTGTACCTGATCACGATCGGCGAATGGAAGTACCTCTTTTGCATCGCTTGATAACTCCTCTTGGGTGGGAAAGATGGATATATTCGTAATGTCGAGATGATCATTGTCATGTCGATTCCCTGGCACTACTACATCTAGTGGGTACGAGGAGGCCGCTTCGGGTGGATCAGTACGAGCTTCACTGGGGGCGGTTGTGGCATGGATCACGACTGGGCGACACTCCATCAGAATGCGCAGAGCTGCGCGTGCTGAAAAGGACTGGTATGTTTCGACGAGGGTGGTAGCAACAGCGCCAAGGGAATCGAGGAAGGTAGAGAGATCTTCATGCAGTCTAGCGCGTTGCTCACGACGCAAGATTTGCCGAGTTGCCTGCGTTATCAGCAAGACTAGGTCTTCTTTCCTGCCTGGCTCCAAATTAGATGTGTCCGTTCCAGAGAGGACTTGGCAGAGATGATGAAAGTATGGGATAGCACGGGAACCATTGTGGCCAGACATAAAGTGGTAGAGTCCTGTCACAAATGGATCTACTGACATGGATTCCAACAAGGTGGGATGTGTCATCACCTGGAGGAAAAGGTATGGCAGATTGAAGAAGGTGATGTGCGACTCGAGCTCGCCTGCATATCGCTTGTCCGTGATGTGTTTTATGTGCTCACGACCATAAAACGCATCATCTTCGAGATCCTTTGCGAGCTGCTGCCTGTGATCCCGGCTGTCACCCTCAAGAACAGTCAACGCGGCTTTCCAGAAACGCGAGGTGGTTGTATTATCGTGAACCGGAGAGTTTCTGAGCAGACGTTTCCAAGAATTGTAATCTTTCCGGGCTTTGGAATCATCTGCTTTGAACGGCGTTTGGTGGATGCGAGGCCCATTTTTGGTGAGCTCGAAATCAGAGACATCCGGTTCGTGCGAGAAGCGGCATTTGTCTCCGTATGGACAATTACCATCCTTTGCAAAGCTGCGACAGGGCTTCATTCGGTAGCCGCTTTGGCCTCTGTCTCGTCAGGGTTTGCCCCCGTTAGACATGTTGCTTGTCAGACATGTTGCTTGTCAGAGCTGAGTTGGTGTTGGGCAACGGACTAGCAAAGGTTGTACTGGCTTTAGGTCTTCTAGAATCTTCACCGGAAGCGGGCAAACCTTTGTCCGGGTAGTCGCCTTATGTAAATAGACGGACTTGAATACATACCGCAGGTCACAAAGCAAATGCATTTGCCTGGGAAACTTGATTGAACGTGGTTGGCCGGGTGTACTTGCTGAAGAATCGGATTTCATTTGCAGACGGCAAATACTGGTGAATGCGTAGGTCATTGTCAAGCCGGATATCAAGTGTATTGAGCGCATTTGACGTAGTGACGTATACAACGTCCCACGATCTAGTAGAGATGTACAGATTAGTAATGTTAAGGTTAGGAACTATAGTACGCTCGTCGCCCTCTAATATAAGAGCTACAGCAGAGTTCGCACAAGGCTTTCTACTTCTTTTAACCTTGTCTTACCTACCTGACTCTACCTACCTCGCTATGGCACCTGTTATGGCACCTACTCTAACACCCACGCCGCGCGACAAACCCTTTAAAATCAACGCTAATACGCTCAGCGCCGAGCGATATCAAGTGTGTCCATGACTTCAAATGTTAATCCGCATGATTGTGGCGTCCAGCCGAACGGCAGGAGCGCAATCGATAGTCCAAGGTTGCAACAATCCAGTCGGAGATTGGGAGATCAATATATAAAGCGAGACCTCACTTTCATCTCTTAGCTGGTTGTCCATGCCTGCAGCCGTTCCATCCTGCAAATCACATGTCTCATTGGTACTGTACCTACCTACCTACCTAGGTAGGTATGTACAGTATTGCCCTCATTCTTTTTACCATGTTCCCGAGACAGAATTTCGACCCAAAGTTTCCTTCGCGGTCCGTTCTTTCAGGTAAGTGAAATCCAGCAGCAACTTCATTGGTAAGTATTTGTTTCTGCTTGAGGTGTTTGCTCTCGGTGATTGCTGTCTCGGTGCCATATGAGTCACGGCGTCACGCCCTTTGTTCCTCGCCCCAACACCGCCCTTCTCACATATTGAAAAGCGGCTCGAAATCGGCTTGCACAAATTCAAACTGCAGTTTCAATTTATACTGGACACCATTCCATTCTTGCCTCATCGTGGTGGTCATTATGCAGGCCTTGGGGTGAGTGGAGCTTGATTAGTCAGTGATTATCTTACCGACCTGGGATAGTTCCGCGCTAGGCCGACCGCCCATCACAACTCACGAAGAGCTGCAAGTCGAGCAATTGAATTTTCATCAAGAGTCGGTCAACAATCCATCGCCCGCCGCCTTTTCCTGACTGTAATAGAGTTGCCAAACTTCGTCGGAGTCTGCGGATGCTCGATGGCCAAATCGGACCCAGTAAGAGTATTACCAATACCAATGGAAGCCAAACAGAGGAGACGAAGCGCTTGATTGCGCAGCGGAAACACCTTCATGTCAAAAAGCTCTTACCGAAACTTCACCGCTGCCAAGGCGCCGAAAGATCCATCCAACAGATGTTCAAATTGAACCATATGATCTTCTTTGAGTACTCCAAATCATTTACTCGGTATTTTACAACACAATTTTATGAGAAATTGCCCCGCGAACTTCGCGACATCTGTTACGACTTTTTGCTGGACGAGGAAACCGTACATCAGATCAGCGTGGCGGCATTGCATCGATATGCTCCGCACCAAAAGGATATTTCGACGGGTGCCATTCATCTAGTTGACCCGCAATTCTCACATCAAAAGATTGCTGCTGAAATTCTCCTTGCAGCAGTCCATAAACCGGGGAAGCGAGAAGGCATGCAGTTTCGCGAGTTCGACGAGCCTAATCAAATCCTACAGACCAAGCTGTTCGGCTCGGACACCCCCCTCGGAGCGTTTTGTGGGACTAATGAAATCGTATTTGGGCGAAAATTTGCCAAGACAGCAGAGTTAGTTGCACGAATGAGAGAAATCGGTCAACTATGGACGCTCTTCGAGACTGGAATTGTCGAAGACGTTCGCAGTGCTCTTGGCGCCATTCCTGGGGGTGGCGAGTGGGGCCTCTCTGTCCATATTGAAATGAGAGGTTTTGGACAGAAGGAGATCTGGCAATGCGCTGTTGATTGGGTCAACGAACTACACCTGATTTCTGAAAAAAAGTTCAAGTACATCAAGTACAATATAGGCGAGAAGGGCGTCTATGCGCGTTACTCGAACTCACTGTGAACTCAGTTTTGCCTCATTGTAGAAGTACGAACGGTTCCAGAGGTGTCCGAAATTCCTAATTATGTTACAATAATCAGTATCTGCTGGTGAGACAAAGCAAGACCGTGATTGGCTCCGTGTGTAGCGTGCAACGCGGGTAGTGGTGAAGCTCGTTGGAAATGCAGCTTTTCTGATTAGCTTACGAGACCCGACTCTCACCAGTTAACGCACAAAGGTGTTGAGTACTGAACAGTCAGCTACTGGGGATTCATATAACGCTACACCTCCAACTGAATTTTTCTCCAGGCCCTGCCGACTGTCATCATGCCTACTCATCGACACTATCTAACTCGACACCCAAAAACGACGATGGCACTTCAATCATTGAGATACAAAAACGCAGAACTAGGGGAGAGCTGGCACGAGACTCATCTCCTGTGGACAAACACTTGCGTGCGCGTCTTCCGTCTTCTCCGAGATTTGGGAGTGTTTGATAGAACGATGGGGAACGATACAGAACAATGCTTGCACACGGACCTCGGAAAAATTCTCTTTCATGAGCGAGAATATCTTCACAAGAAGTATCTCTGGCCGGTGCTCCGGAAAATGTCTAATCTGATCAGGAATTGGCATGCACTCAATGACAGAATCAACGCAGATATCTGTGAGTTTGAAAAGTCCTCGCGTCTCAGCGTTACGACAGACCTGGTGTTACGATGCTCGCCGGAAACCCGAGAAATTTGCTACTCTCATCTTCTCAGCACCAGCTTGGGTTTTGACATCGGAATCTATGTTCGGAAATGCGTACTATTACCTGGAGAACTTGACCCTCGTCCAATGACAGACCGAGAGAGGGTGGAGCGCATAATTAATCCTTTATCTGTCCATCCTATCGCTTGTAGGGAAATTTTAAGGGCGGCAGCACGCCAACAAAAGAATCGTCAGAATCTCTTTCTCAAAAGTTCCCAACACCTGGAATATAAGCTCAGGACGGATCCTTTCAAGTTAGGTGTTCTCACAGGAGCCTTCTTCAGCAACATAGTCATGTCTATCAAGATCATGAAGCGAGTTTCAAAAGGGTCGAGAAGACTTATCTTTCAATTAACATATGTTGGCGAGATCCGAAAAGCATTGATATGGATTTCTGAACGGGAACACAGAGGAATTTCGCTATCCTTGAACGTCACAGAGGCCACTACTGAGGAAGCAGCAAAGTGCTTCCAGTTTCTGCTCCCGGCTATGTATTACCTCAAAAAAAGGAGATCTCGATCAATTCGTTTGCAAGTCTATGGTGTGGACGTCGTTACGGGACAAAACTTCAACAAAATCTTTCAAAATCCGTAGTCGGCACGAGTTCGTAGGTGCCAACATCCTCCGAGTATGGCGTTTCAGTTTTAATTTTCTGATCCAGAAATGTTTGACGGGGCCCCAGAAGTTCAGTAACATCATGGGAAACACATTTAGGAGGCCTTAGGGGTTCTGGTGCTAATCAGTCGTTTCCGATTAGCATCAAACATTGAGAATTGAGCAGTGTTTCTAATACTATATATATATACAAACGTTTTCATACTAGTGCTTGGTTCAAATACCACTAGCTGCACTGTGTGAGTACATTTAAAATTCTTCGACGGCTATCGTAATGATTGCAACCTCGCCACGTCGATTCTAGCTCCCCATAGCCATGACATCGGATCTAATATGATTATTAGATCACAATTGCATGAGCCCCCAAAAGAATCAATCAAACTACACAACTTATTGAATTGAGACAACCACCGGCCTTTCACTGCACATAGTTTGATACCAGCACTTTGTGAAGGTACAGCGCGCGTGTTTTCTGACGTGTGTGCACAATGAGCTCTCGCCAGGCAAAGATATAACTAGCCCATCATCTTCTGCACATGTCTCCTTCTTTTCTATCACACAAAATCTTCAAGATTCGCATTTCCATCCAAATTCATAACAAGCCAGCAGAATCCTCGACTCTTTACCTTCACAACGACACCCAATCTACAATGTCCTACAAGAACTCCGACCTCGCAAACCGCTTGCATGCGCTTTGCTCAAAATACAAGGGTGAACTCGATTTACAGACGCTGAACAGTCGTATCGAGGTGATGAACTTGGTTCTTCCATATCCTTTGATTAGCCCTTCAGATCAGCAAGATCGCATTTCGCCCAACTTCGATCAGCTCAATGATCTTGGGCGGGAAGTGGAGGCTACCCGAGCAGGCATCGATGCCGACATCCTCGCCTACACGAAGGCTTCTTGTCTAGAACTGACAACAGCCGTGATTCGTTTACCGCGTGAGCTTCGCGAAATCATCTATGATGAGTTCATCAATGGCCTAGATGGTGGAAAAGACGATATCATCGAGTGCGTTAAAGACAAAGCAGAGCCGAATCGAGAGCACGAGAAGGAGCCCAAACGTGAGGTACCGCTGCTCGACTTTGATCTCGGACACCCACAGTTCATGGCTGAGCTTGTTCAGATAGCTATGAAAGCGGCGGGTCGAGCGAGGGATATCCTATCTCCATCAAACCCACACCAAGTACCAGGAATCCTTGAGTCAGATCCATTTAACTCAGGTTTCCGCACCGGTACTTTGTACAGGCGAGCTATTATGGCTTTCAGTCTGGCCAAATCCAGGGAAGACTTTGTCAACTTCGACGAAAGTTGCTCAATCTGGGATCCGCAGTTGGTCGAGACGATTCAATCTGATTTGCAGCGACTGTCCTCTGAGACTTGTTCGTCCTTATCGATGATATTCCACACAAAGGGCTTCACGGCTTTGGAGCTCGCCAATCTCTTTGAGAAATGTATTGAATCCTTACAAAGTGTTCATGATCGGGGCATCGAAGTATACTTTCTCTACATGAGGGAGGCCGATATCGAAGATTACGATGACGGGCCTGAGGTTCTGTTCAGTATTGAGGACAACAAGGAAGACATCAAATGCCGGAACATGAAAGGAGTCTCCTTCAGCTCTAGGGATGAGAGACCTCGCTCATTCGAGAGATTCCAATCATGGAAAGATCGGTATCTTAGTGGAATCAGAGAAGATGACTCAGATAAGTGCGTAGTTTCCTGAGTCTTCGGGAGTGTTACCGTCTTCTTTTGCAGTGTTTTGTCTGATCTAACCAATTCCCATGGCCTCAAAGGTACTGGCATGATGGACTATTGAGTGTCGAAGACTAATTGCCAAAGGTCGCCAACGATCGTAAAGTAACAATTGATTTTTTCCATATGTATCAGGATGACCATATATGATGTAACACGGTAAATTTCTTTCGAATCAAATCGGTTCATGTACTGAGCCGTCTGAACTGATGTTTCCATTTTCATTCCGATGGGTTCACCATTCAAATATGTGAACAAATCGATAAAAACAAATCTATATATGAACTTTTCATACATGTCACGCCCGTTAGGGACCTTTTGAAGTCTTCCGGTGAGAATGAAAGTCGCTAAATCGCGTCTACATAAGGATTCAATCCATGCTCATATAGAAAACGGCGAAAACAATGTGCAAACGTGCCATGGTTCTATCTCTCAGATTACAAATTTTGAGAATGGGGTCTATATGGGCGATTGGATGACATTGTATTCACTTGTAGTAACGTGATTATAAGCGACGAAGACTTTTTAGTCAGAGTACGCAAATATATAAACTCGCAGACTCTCACTGTACTTATCAACCATAACACTAGAGTTCACGAAATCAACCGACAGTCTCAACTATTCAAGTCAATCTCATCCTACAACTTCGAAATTTCTCAAACCATTTTTACCAATATACCAAAAGCTTTTGTCATCATGCTAAGCCTTCCAAAACCTTACAACAACCCAGATCTGGCAGCGCCCTTACGCAGGGCTCTCAACGACGTACTCAAGTCACAAGAAGAAATCAGACAGGAAATCATGGAATCAATCCTGCCATTTCCTTTGACTGGGCCATCAGACCAGTACGATCGATTTCCGCCCAGTACCGACTTGTTGCGATCGCGACGAGAAAGATTCCGCGCCGTCAACGCAGAACTCGATGCCGACATCCTGCGGCATGCGCAGACATCCTGTAAACAGTTCACGGAGGAGATTCAAGGACGTTTACCACCGGAACTGCTTCTCATGATATTTCGAACATTCATCGAATTATGTTCAACCAGGTATATAGACGGCGCGCGTCACGTTCTGGAACACCTCCGGGAGCAAGTAAATCCTCCACCCCCTACAAGGAAACCATACTTTGCGCAGGGTGGCGACATCAGACGACTTGTGCGGTTATTTGACGACCAGTTCATGGATTCCAACTTCCTGACTGAGTGGGTACGGGAGGTATTGAAGATGCCAAGGCGTTGGTTAAGGGAGGATTATTACGAAGTCTTGCTCCCCTACGACCCCCGGGATATCAACCGAATCCGACGGAATGAACTGTTAAGGACGGGTGTTACTGCCGATGAGCTGTACGATGCGATCGGAATCATGGCTTATATTTTCACGACCAATAGAGTGAATCGCCCTTCCTTCGAGCACTTCTGTTTCCGTTATAGCCCGAGGGTCATAAGAGAGATCGAGTCTACACTTCTACAACTTGACCCCAAAAACAACCCATATGTCGTTGGATGTTTTCGCATGCATGGTTTTCCAAACCAGTGGATGAGTAGAGTCTTTAATTACATGATTCCGACTTGGCAGCACCTATTGTATCAGGGGTTCAGGACGCCAGTGTTTCGGATCATTGGTGAAGACAACAACGCACATTTCGAGTTCATATCCTACAACACTCATAGCATGTTTATGTGTAGAGGATTGGAAGGTAGGAACTCTATTCAATTCGGGGTATCAGCCGAGTTTACGGAGGGCCTCTTTCTGTTTCGGAAGTGGGAGGAGGACTACTTCGCTAGTGACTAGTCTCTCCTGTGCTGTTGTTACTCGTGCGGTATTTGTCATTGGATTTCTTTGCCAAGGTGGACTTGAAGTCGAGGATTCTATAGCTTCCATAATGAAATGATGCAGGTATGCTTTTATACCATGACATAGACACTCGCGATGCAGATGCTCTTACCGTACTTTGATACCAGCTTTATTCGTAAAAAAGGGGCATACATATGGAGTGGGAGCTTGCAGTGTATTATGTATCTAGATAGATCACCAAGACACCTATCGGAGCAATTCCCATCTCATTCGTTACGTAGATTTCCCTCTAAGTGTTTTTCCGTCTACCCGGATCATACCCTTCCAAACCTCCGAATCGGTAGTCGCTTGCGCACACGTGCAATCCCGAGTTCCCTTCACGTTGAATTCACAACTCCTATGATATCACGCCCCGCCGTAAGCGCCCCCAAAGTAACCACAAACAACACTCCAAGCTATTGCCACAGAAAAGTAGTCTTTATGCGAAGAATGTACTATTTCCCCTCGAACCTCTCGCGAACGTTGCTCGACTCCACGTGTTTCCACGTTCCCAGTCGCGCTAGTGCGGATGGGGAAAGTCATCTCCGAACCGCTTTATCGACTATCTCGGCATAACGGCGACAATGACGATCCCTGGAAACATCGTGGGGATATATATATGTGGAGGGAGGTGTGATCATGGGGTTTTCTCTGTGTGCGCAGTATTCTTCCAGGCAGATATCAATAAGCAACAATGGGTCGCTTCACCACCTCCCTCGCTGCAGCAGTCTTTGCGACGGGCGCAGTATCGCAAGACTTCAACGTCCTCCAGCACCTTGGAGGAAATGGTCAATGGTTCCCTGGTGCGCCCTCTCCCCCATATCTGACATCCTTTGAGATGTACTAACAACACCTACAGGCCCAGAAGTCACAGGGATCTCCTCCACTACACCCCCAGGATGCACCGTTGAACTCGCCGCCTTCGTCTCTCGCCACGGGAGTCGCTATCCCGACCAGGGCGCCTACAACGGATGGGTAGACTTTCAATCCCGTCTCCAAAATCTCACCACCAACGATCCAACTCTCGCTTTTCTGTCTACGTGGAAACCTGTGCTCTCCTCCCCTGACCAGCAAATCGCGCAAATTTCCCCAACGGGGTACAAAGAGCTGCACGCAATGGGCTCTTCCTGGCGCCTTCGTTACGCGGATTTGTATGATTATGAGAGTCCGTTTAGCATGTGGGCGAACTGGTATAATTCGTCGCCCAGAGTAAGAGATAGCGCTAGATTGTTTGCGCAGGGGTTCTTAGGTCCGAATGCGACGGAGCTGGGGACCGTGTATGCTTTGAACGCGAGCGATCCAAGGAGTTGGATGAACTCGTTGGGCACGAGTGATTTGTGTCCCAAGTATGCGGATAATGGAGGGAGCCCGTACACGGACGTTTGGGCTGCGAATTACCTCCCTCAGATTGCCGAGAGGTTGAATGGGTTGGTTGACGGGTATGAGTTTACAAACGATGATGTTTCGAGCATGCCTTACCTCTGTGGATTCGAAACGCAGATTACGGGGAGACGGAGTCCGTTCTGCGATATCCTAACTGAGGAAGAAATCCTGGGATATGAGTACGCGCAAGACCTGCGCTATTGGTATGGTGCTGGGTTGGGATCGGAAGTGGGGAAATACACAATGCTTCCTGTTCTCGCGGGCCTTGTGGAGCGTTTCGTCGACGGGCCGAATGCGACATACACTACATCCTCCAACACCACGTTCACCCCATCGAAAGTTATCGCAGGATTCGCGAACGACGGACAGATCAACCAACTCATCGCCGCATCGGGAATCTTCGACAACGAGCCCGCGCTCTCCGCGAACACTTCCAACCCGGACCGCATGTTCAGAGCTAGTCGTTTCATTACTATGCGAGGAACCATATCCTTCGAGCGCCTCTCATGCGCTGCTCCTGCTTCCAACTCGACTACATATACCTCTTCCACCAACAACACGACCCCCGGCACAGAGACATACATCCGACTTCTACTTAACGACGTCGTATACCCTGTTGCGAACTGCGCGGACGGTCCCGGCTCGTCGTGCGCTTTGACTGAGTATCAAAGCATCGTACAGGGAAAGATGGATGCGGTAGGCGATTTCAAGGAAATGTGTAATGCGACGAATGAGGAGTGGGATAGTAGGCCGATTGCTTCGTTTTGGAGGGATGACACGTTGGCGTGGGGAAATGTTGTCAAGCCTTGAATATAGGACTAGTGGATACAACATTTGAATGCATAATTCGTAATCTGAAGTCGACTTGCACCACGATGCGGAAGATGTGTTTTGGTGACTGTCTGCATTGTGATCAGTTGATGGGGCACAAGTCGCACGCCAAAGAGCACTTGAGTGCGAAGGCCTTCCGTCGAATCACGTGATACTTCTGACGTCATCATTCCGCTCCCTACCAAAACCGTCCCGTCAACATCACCATCACGACCGAGAAAGCGAATTTCACATGTAAGAACAATTAAAAAGCTTTTGTATTATACCCAATCCCTGGGCCCCTCCTGAGCTCACCCCGCTCAACACTATCTCCCGAAGAATTCTCTCGCAGAAAACCAATATCAATCCAACACACAATATTAAAGCATCCAAAAACCCCTAATCCGTGCCCATAATAGACGCCCATACCACACCATCCATCTCAACCACTTCCCCCAATGATCCAAAATGAAAACCTTCTGTTCTCGAGCACATCCATGGCAACGGAGGAAAGAAGGACATCTCAGATCATCAGGGGTTAGGGAAACGGAAGCGGTGTAGTCGGGGGATTAGAAGGTTAAGGAAGAAAGAAGGAAAAAAGAAAGCCACCACACACAGCGTCCATACCACACCATCTCACCCACTTCCTCTAAGAACGAATCCAATTCATCCCTCTTCTCTCGAGCACATCCGTGGCAACGGAGAAAAAGAAGAATATCTTGGGTCTTGGAGGGTAAGGGCAAGGAACGGGTTGTGGATGGGGGGTTGTGGGGGCTGAGAGAGAGAAGAAAGAAATAACATGGAGGGAGATAGAGCACATAATAGAGAGAAACAAACAGGTCCGCCAACACCAACGCTTGAAAACAACCAGAAGTAAGGAAATAATAAGGGGTAGAGAAGAGAAAGGACGGCAGGATAGCCATCCTTGGTTCGAAGGAACCACCATCCCTGGTTGAACGAGGGGCATCTTGTGCAGACTGCTACGATTTAGGACGACGAGCCCGAACGTCCCAGGATGAGCAGAATCCAAGGTGATGAAGAGTGGCAGGCTAGCTCGTCTAATGCGGAAGCCGGTACCGGATGGGAAATCCAAGGGCGCAGAGTCAATCGGATGAAGATCGGCTGTGTTGGCGAGGTGTGCATACGCCCTTGGATCAAGTAATGACGACCGACTTGCTCGTCTATTGCGGAAGTCGGTGGTTGGAGGGAGGAAGAGGCGGAAGAAGAGGGGGGTCTGTCTCATCGATGATGGCGGCGGACGTGCTCGTCTATTGCGGACGCCGGCGCAGAGTAGAATCCAGGAGTTTTCGGAAGAGGAATGTGTGGGTTGTGACGGTGGCTTTGAAGGAGGTCCTGGATCTTGGAAGTGTTCGACTTGCTCGTCTATTGCGGAAATCGAATATGTGCCCGTGAGATGGGGTGAAATGAACTGTCATCGATGGGTTGGCTCGATGACATGTAGGAGAAGTTGCCGGCTAGCTCGTCTGGTGCGGAAGCCGGTCAACAGTAGGATAGTGGGAGGTGAGCAGGAATTGGATGAAGGAGAATGAAAGAGTCCTTCAACGACGGCCATACACAGAGGACTCCGGCTTTCTAGCCGGTCGCTTTCGTTTGGGCTGGCTGATTTCTTTCTCCTCAGCAGCAGGCTCCGGTTTCCTGGAGGACGATTTGGCGGTCTTCTGGCGTTTAGGCTGCTCTGGTTTGACAGCCTCTTCGCTGGGATCCCGGGTCCTCTTTCGAGTAGATCGCCTGGGTTGGTTGATCCCCTTTCCCTCCACAGCAGGCTCCGGTTTTCTAGAGGACGGCTTGGCGGTCTTCTGGCGTTTAGACTGCTCAGGCTTGGCAGCCTCTTCGCTGGGATCCCGGGTCCTCTTTCGGGTAGACCGCCTAGGATTCCCCTTTGCCGCAGGCGCTGCAACCGACTTCTGACGTTTCGCTCGATGCCCATCATTCTCTTTGTCGCTATCCTGGGCTGGATTCTTGCGACGTGAAGGGCGCTTCAGTTGCTCGTCCTCGACCTCTTCAAGGTCAGCCGGCGCTTTGCGCTTCCTGCTGGTCTTGCTTTCTGTCAAGAACTCCACCTCCCCATCGGAGACCTCGAAAGGCGTAGAGGACTTTCTCGGACGACCTGCCCGCTTTGTGACCATCGCCACGCCTCGTTGGCCTGCAACACGTGGTGCTGGCTTTGCTCGAGCTCCTCGCTTGGGTTCCGGGATGGAAGCAGCTTTGTCTTCTTCGTCGCTGCTGTCATCATCAAAGGATGCACGCCGCTTCTTTCCTTTCGATCGAGATTTCTCGGTAGCCTCCAAAGGTACTGATGGTCGCTCGACTGACATGATCGGATGGTCTGGATTTATGTCATGGGCGCGATTGCGTGGTGTGGCGACAGAAGCGGTTGTGACCGGGCCAGCATTTTCTCGTGGGGATTCGCGGATTTCACCCTCCTCCAAGTCGCTGTCTTCCTCTTCTTGTATGATAGAAAGATCAGGCTCCAACCTCCGGCGCTTCTTGCTGTTCCCCGCCGTCTTCGGGCTCGCCCGCCCGCTGTTTTCCTCGATGCCTTCAGAGGAAGGTTCTTTCGAAGTTGATCGCGTCTCCTTGGTACGCTCGTGCCGCTTACCAGCAGCAGGAGAGTCTGCGTCATTGTCTTCAGCTGCGGCAGACAATTCACGAGTTCTCGCCCTAGTTGTCGGACGGGAAGACTCAGATCCACTAGACACTAGGGGTTCCCGTGAAGTCTTTGTGACTGCTTTGCGCTGCTTGATTTTTGCTGCGCTGGGAGTCGGATTCAGGATACCATTGTAGTAGGCAACCCCAGGTGCCACGGAAGAAGCCGGCTTCTTTTCAGAAGCATTCTTGTTGGCTGGAGCAGATTCTCCACCGAGCGCATGTTGACGAGTGGTGATGGCACTCGAGACCGATGAAGACTCTTTGGTAGGAATCTGCTTCTCCGTTCGATCTTGCTCACTTGAGACCCTGGGTACGGTTGCTGCGACAGTGTGAGGACTGCTGATGGTGATGTCGTTCGCACGCTTCGACAAATTCTCTCGAGGTTTGGTCACAATGAACGCTGATGGGACAACCAGGGTAAGCTTCTGAGAGGGTTGCTGCTCATTGGGGACTCGAGAACCCGCTAATCGACCGATGAATGGGAGCTCTGGCTCACCATCAGATGCAAGGTTGACTTGAGTGCTCTCATCGGCGTGGAATCGCGAGTTTTCCTGCTTATCTTGGTCATCTCGTCGAACCCACTTCCCTTTCAGTTCCCGAATCTGCTCAATTTCATTGAGCTTCTCTATCACTGCTGGACCTTTTCCTCCAAACACAGGGTGCACGTTTAGATGTGCAGGAACTGTGACGGGTTTTACAGCCGACAGGGAAGATTCTCGAGAGAAGTGTGGAAGGAACTCAGAATATGCATCCGTCTGAGCCATTCTGGAACCGATCATGGTGATTGTCGGCGGAGAAGCAGGAGCATGTGAAGAAAGTCCAGCGTCACTCTCGTCACTGTCGCTATCATCTTCTTCGTCATCTGTAACCGCATCGAATTCCAAGAGCATCGAAAGTTGCATCAGGAGCTCGCTCATAGGATGCGCAGATACAGCTTGATTGACACTGTAAACCCCGTCTCCAGTGCTTTTCGCCTTTTCAAGCCTCTCCACAAGCGATTTGGCAGCCGTCAGAACAGTCTTCTCCTCGCTTCTTGCCTCTTTGAGGGAGTTATGAGCCGCCCTGATCAACCGCACACAGTACTGCAAGCGGAACTTGGTAACTCCCAGATCGATGGCGTTACCATGTTCGTCGAACGCCTTGTTTGGTAATCCTGAGACGAGCTTTTGCTGCCAGTCGATGCTGTCACGGATTTCGCCGAGGGACACCTTTCCTTGCAGATCTTTGGTGAGGGCGGCGTCCAGTGCAGCACGTGCTTTGGGGATTGAGGCTGCCGGGTCTTGCGGCGCAGGTGAGCTGCTCGACGATCGCGAAGGCGTACTCTATATGACAAGGTCAGTAGGGTTCCTCATTCTCAAGGCTGCTCAAATCACATAGGCACATGTCACATATGACCGCGTGGGTATAGAAGCGGGAACAACAGTGGCACTTACGCTCTCCGTGATGCGACTGCTCGGGGATGTCTCCCGTTCGGGGTTTTCGTAGTCAGACATGTTATCGTGCCTTTTGTAGACTCGACGCAGACTGAAGAATGGCGATGTACGTATTTGAAAGTAGGATACGAACAAGGGGCAGCAATGTTGTTGCACAAAGAATGGACCGAGAGAAGGTTGCAGGTTGTGCTTTGCTTTCCGTGGGTGGAGAGAAACAACAACAAGAGCAAAACAGGGCAGGTGTGAAAGTATAACAGCAGGCGGCGGGTGGGGGTACCAATGCCAAGATTTCCGTTTGAGAATCACGATGCGTTTGCATCTGCCTAGTGCTTTCACAAAGTGCACTGTGTTTGTTTGCTACTCGAAATTTGGGTGCCGCACCTAATTTGCGACCAATCAAAAATCGGTCACTTCACAGTGTTGATCATATGGCCGGAGCTATATACTGTAAGAACTGATAGTTGAGGCCTTCGTAGTGCGGGCTAATGGTGTATCGTATATGTTTCGTGAGAGATGTATCACGAAACATTTCTTCTTTTGAATTATATATCTTCCCACGCCAGCTCTGGCAGACACTTGCGGTAGTTACTGGATGTGTTCCTGACCCACCGAGTCTTATATTCCTATCTATATTTGATCTAAAGCAATCGTATAGTTGCGGCTGTATCCGTGTTTATCAGAGCAACAAAGCTCGCGGTCGCCATGTAGCGGGCGGTATGTAACTTCTTACTGACTGAACGTGGCGCGACGGCAATTGAACCACTGGAAATTAGTCTATTGTTCTGTGGAGAGAGGGCTATCTGTGTGGAACGTATCGCGTGATCATTGATTGAGTTATATACGGAGGATGGATCAGTTGGTTTGCGAGAGGTTGATGGACATATACTATTTTCTTGGTTTCTACTTCTTCATTCCAGTCCGTTCCGACCCAAGATATATATATATATATATAACTGATACTAAAACTCATACTACTACATTTTTCTTTCAACCCAATTCCTCCAACGATTGAACAGCAAGTCCGTTCAATGTCTGAGATATATATACATGTATATATATATAATAAGCAAGAGCTGTACGCACACAACCGCACCAACATCCATGAATACCAAAGATGCCAATTTCTAGCGTCGACCGTAGACAGAGGATTCTGATGCTTTCTTCTTGACGGTTTTCCTAGGCTTTGGCCGGTTGTTTTCTTTTGCAGCGGGCGCATCGTCCTTTTGCCGGGTAGAAGGCTTAGGAGCTTCCTGCTTTGCACGCGGTCCCGCTGTCTTCTGACGCTTAGCACGGGGCTGATCAGCTGGAACCTCGCTGGTGGCGCGTTTTTTCATCCGCTCTGAGCGCCTTGATGGTTCATTCGCAGGACCGACTGCGGATTGGGCTCCGTCGGTGGTAGGTTGTTGAACCTTCTTGGGTCTTCCTATTGCCTTCGGGCGCTTGGCCGGACGCTCCAGGTTCTCTTTATCGCTACCGACGTCCTTCAACAGACGACGCGTCGCGCGCTTGGGCTCTGATTCTTCAGACGGATCGCTGGCCTTGCGTTTTGAATTGCCCTGTTCTTCGAAGTACTCGACTTCTTCGTCTGGAACTTCGAATGGGGTAGATGACTGTCTACGGCGCGCCGGCGCCCGTCTAGTGACAGTCGCTACTCCGCGGTGGGGATTGGCGCTCGTAGTCGACTTTGTAGGACCCGTTTGGTTGCGAGCCGCTGGAGCTGATGTCGAAATTGCGGCATCTTCTTCCTCGCTGGTATCGTCATCGTAAGGCACCCGCCTCTTTCGGCCTTTGGTAATGGGTGCAAGCGAGGTCGTCTCTTGCTTCTCAATCGAGGGAATCGGATCGTCCGGTGCAAGGTCCAAAGCACGATTTCGAGGTGTTGCTGGGGGAGCAAAGCCAATTTTCTCTTCGAGAGTTTCCCTGATCTCGCCCTCTTCCAGCTCACTCTCCTCTTCCTCAATGGTCGAAAGATCGGGTTTCGCCTGTGTTCTCTTCGGGGGGTTCTCTTCGATTTGACGACGCGCTGGCGAAAGGGTCCCGAGGTTTTGTGAGGACAGATCTTCCTCAACCGATGATGAAGCAAGTTTGGATGATTTCTTAGGGGGTTTAGATTCCGGTTGTCCTGTGGCTTTTGAAGGACCGGCTTTCGCAGTATCTTTGGCGTCCTTCTTCGACAGTTGCTGAGGCTTACACCGTGCCGAAACTGGCTGCTCCACCTCAGGGGTAGCTAGTTTACGGCTCTGCGAACGTGTCTTCCGCGGTGAAGGTCGCTCGGTATTGGATACTGAAGCCTTTCTTGTGGCCGTCTTCCCTTTCACAACTCGCTTGCTGACCTTGTTTGATCCGTTCTTCAAGACATTCTCGTAGAATGCCACGCCTGGTGCCACAGCCCGATTAGACTGGGGTGAAACCGGATCCTTCACAGCCTTTGACCTGCTGGCTACAGTGGACCTTTCGAAGCTCGGTTGTGAGAATGTCCCATCAGTCGTTTCCCTGGAGATTATATCTTCCAAAGCATTGATCGGGTTGCTGGATTGCGCATCGAATAAAATGGGTTCAGTTTGTGTTCCAGTGTCGACCATGATAGTGCGAGCCTCCCCAGCGACCTGATTCGAAGCTGATGTATCCTTACCCATGTATTCGATCTCCGAGCTTGATTCTCGCGAACTCAGATTACCTGCGGATGTTGGAGAAGACTCCCTGGAAGACTTCTCATTATCATTGTGCAGAGTGGCAGCGGGAGCTTCAGGTAAGGCCGGGTGTTTCCGACTAGTGAACGGGTAGACGATTGTCTGCGTAGTAGGGGCTACCCGGGGATACTTGGAACTCACTTCCGATGGAGCCTTCCGAGGATGTTTGCCAACCCCAGTCAGATGACGTGCTGTTGGAGCTGGTGAGTTTTCGATCTCCAAATCCTCTCCGTCACTCTCATCATTGTCTTTTAAATACTTCATCAAGTGCTCGAGGGCTCTGCTGATATGGTGTTTGCCCACAAGCTTCTTGACTTGAGCGATCTCAGTTGCATTCCATAAACCTGGCTCGTAGCCGTTCAGAAGGCCTGCAATCGACTTGATGAGAGCATCCTCTTTGTTGCTGGCATCGGAAAGGGGTGCCAGTGCTTCTCGCGTACGTGCAACCCTTGCGATTGCGCTTGTCTTGTCCGTCACTAGGTTGATTTCATTGCCGTCATGATCATATACCTGGCTGGGCAAACTCCGCAGTGTTTTCTCCAACTCTTTCTGCTCATAGAGAATTGTTTGAACGCTGTTTTGAGCGACATCGTTATAGTCGCGGGCAGAATTCCACGCGAGTCGGACGTTTCTGTCTCGTCTAGACGGGGCGACAGGAGAGGATGATAGACTCGACGCAGGTGATGGAGTCCTCTGTGTGGCTGCGTTAGCAATTTTCGATAGAGCCAGGAGATTTGAATTGCCCTGAAATGTATCCAGAGTCCCGAGTAATTGGAACACTCACGTCGTAGGGCCTTGGTGTAGCGCGGTCGCTTGGTTGAGGTTCTTTCGGCATGCTGCTTTATGCTGAAAGAGATTTCCGTGGTGTCGGGTATTGAAAGCTTTGAAAGATTTGTGGTGGAAAGCAATTGAGCTTGAGCAAGAAGCGCAAAGTATTGGGGTTGTGAAAGAAAACCTGAGGGTAGGTTGAATGTGTTGCTTCACTCGCAATGTAGAGAGGAAATCTGTAGTGCAAGAGAGCACTTGTGAAAGCAGGTAGCGCACTCTGGGGGCAGCCTCTCGTGCCAAGAGCGCGCAAGTTACGTTCTAGAAAATGCATTGCTTGTTGACTAGTGAATGCACGCGTTTGTTGTGTACCTAGTGCTATCTTTATCCCTACCGAACAAACGCGGCGCGATGTAGATTGACACCATGATTTTTAAGCTACACAACGCGGTGAGGTTGGATTGTAGTTTATATCACACATGTCTTGAGTTCCTATAATAGATATACTCACGTAACTTAAACGATTGGGGAGGCATGGAGATCCACGGGATCGCCCACGAACACTCCGCCTCGATCGCCTTGGCTATGATATTGCCCGAAAGCTCAAACTCTCGGCGTCATAATGTAAATATCGCCATTATATCGAGATACGTCCATCTGGGATACACGGTGTGCACGTAGGCAGTAAGTTCAAAGTAGCAGAAAACTCAGTACTAGGGAGGGTGGAATAAGATCAGATGCACCGCAGCTGCGTCCCCTCCACCCAACACACGCTGGCATTTTGAGATATCCACGTCCTAATGAATCAAGCTCGGTATGAAGATGTGGAATATAGATGGCTTTTCTCTACCGTACTTTAACTCGGCATTCAACCAATTTGCGTTTGTCATCCGCGCTTGCTCAGTCCCATGATCTGATTGTAGTCATAATCGAGTCTGCACAATTGGTTGTAATTGCGAAGAGCCGAGTCATTCAAGCGAACATGTGTTTCACCGAAGAACTGCAATCAAGCAGAACGAAGATCGCGTTGCGATGGATCAAGCTGCTGGCAACGGACGTCATCGGGCAATCTAGTGGATGACTCAACGCCTCAAATCTCCGACACTTACAGCTACCAAACTAGTGTCAGGTTTCGTTTTTTATGCAACAACCAGAATTCCAGCATTGCAAGGAAAAGTTTAGCCACAATGCATTGATGTTGATAGCAGATGAGACGGGACGTCAAAAGAAGGTTGAGCCGCTATCCGGGTATACCCCGGGGATAAGAAGACGGGATGGAGGGGCCACATATCCCTCTTCCCCACATCCCTTCCTAACGTCAAGTGTCAACATCAATACGACGACCATCATCCCTCCTACACATCTCAATCCTTCCAATTGGCCCATCAAAAGACCCTACAATTCCCGATTCCATCTCGTCAGCTGAACCACCGCAAGGATGAAGCTCACTATCCTCCCCCTCCTAGCAACCCTCTCCCTCGCCACCGCCGAAATAATCAACAACGAATATCTTAAAACCGAAGTCACCACCCCCGCCACCTGCACCCGCAAGACCAAAGCAGGCGACAAAGTCGATGTACACTACCGTGGCACCCTCGAGAAAGACGGCTCCGAGTTTGATGCCTCGTACAACCGCGGGCAGCCGTTGAGTTTCTCGGTCGGAACAGGCCAGGTCATCAAGGGTTGGGACCAAGGATTGCTGGATATGTGCCCTGGTGAGAAGAGGAAGTTGACGATTCAGCCAGATTGGGGGTATGGAGCTAGAGGCGCAGGGCCGATTCCCGCGAATGCGGTGTTGAGTAAGTCAGGTCCTCTTGAGATATCAGGGACAATTGGACGGAGATTGTTAACGTCAAATGATCTAGTCTTCGAGACGGAGTTGGTTTCTATCAATGGGCAGACCAAGGATGAGTTGTAGATGCGGGATGATTTGATGATGAGGTACAAACCAAGGAATGAACGGATACGACGGAATGATTGATGGATTGTTTGGACAGAACTCGTCGCCACCGAGTAGCGCTTCGCGCGCTGAACATGGCAGTCATGAAGGGTATATATAATACGAGATGAAACACAGTATATGCTATCCACCACAGTCTTATACAGTGCCCGTAGCGTGTACAGCGCGCCCCCGCCTCCACCCATGTTCAATACTTGGGCAGGACAGTCGCTGAGTGGATAACATACAAACAACTCGACGCGTCACTGATTCTCGAATGTCAGTATGGTACATAACATGGTACAGCAGCTCTCAATAACGTCGGATGAGATCGAGGCGTGGATGACCAAACCTGTGGCGATAATGGAGAGAGGGCACAGTTGCGCCGCATCGCACTACTTCCGGCTAACCACGCCGGAATAATGCGCCAAGCACACTGGAGTAATCTCCTACGAATGCTGTACAGCAGGAATGACTTTTAGGTCAATGATCGTCTTTGCGCCGCCCGCATTGAGATTTCTAAGGGATACCGCGAGCTCGGGAAAGTAATCCATTGAAGAAAATGAAAAGTATTGGATGGAGGAGAGGGGTGAGTGGCTAGTTAAATGTAGATGTCTTTGGTATCACACCATAAACGAAGTGGGGGCTAAAGCCTTACCCGCACGAAATTACAATTAGGCAGACACAGGATCCCGGACTTTCTCAAACACCCAAATCCAACGGAATTTAGAGTAGACAAATCGGCACACGGTTTTCGCGACACTCATTAATGGAGTCCAGAGGCGCAGCTCTCGTGGCACGGACCATCGGTACGCCGTCTCGCGCGGTATCATGTATAAGTCTACCATTGCGATTACAGAAATAGAATGAATACGGCGTAGGCCGCGATGTTTCTGGGGAGATGAGTTTCTCTGTGGGTGAGATAAAAGCGTGATCGTCCTTGGTACTCTGATGATCTGAAAATTTTGTTCCTCACTCCTTATTTTCCTATCTTGCGAAATTCATACAGAAATTCAACCCGCACGCACAATAACCACCAATCCCCCCCCCCCCGCCCCCCAGAAAAAAATTCCTACACAATGAATACCTCAAAACCCGCAGATCCCACATCCTCCTCGCAGACGTTCCAACAACGCACATGTCCCAACATGCGCTCCTGTTGGAACTTCTCCTACCACTCCTTCAGCCTGCGCACCTCCGACCGCCGCACTCTCTACCGACGTATCAGCATGATCGTAATTCTTCTTACTCGTCTCGCCCTCTCTATCATTTCAATCTTTTTCCATCTTTGGGGTGGGGAGTTGATCAGCGTGATTGTGGGATCGATACTAACAGTGCTGGGGTTTTTGTTTGTCGCGTGGTGCTTGACGGTCATCGGAGAGGCGCAGGGAGGGAGAAAGGTTATGGGGCTGATGATCGTAAGTACATACTCAGTCTGGTTTTCTATCGATTTCTGGATAAGCGCGATACTAATGAAATGATATCATAGAGACGAGGCGCGCTCGACATCTTCCTTTGGATTGTAGCGGAAGTCCACGTTGCGCTGCTGATTATTGGCGCATTCTTCGGCTTTGGGAATTGGATGGTAAGTTCCTATCAGATTTTATTGTTTTGATATTGATGTCAATTGGCTGATTGAATGGCGATAGAGTATTACGTGGACTGTCATGTGGTTGGTAATCTTTGGCGCTGCTTGGGTTTGTACCTGGACACCGGATGAGGCGGAGAGTCAGGTTTAGAATCTGCGGGCGAAGTCTGAACGTCTCTGCGATGATGGGTGGAGAGCTGCAAAGGGAGTGGATGGTAATATAGGAGACCTGCTAGAATGTTGGACGGCCTAGACTTTAGGAATCTGATGATACTAGGGGCACGTGAAGGGAGGTTTTTGCGGATGTAACCGATTCGGCGGGAATGATACCCGCCATTCTAGATGTAGCTCTTTACAATCTTCCATCTTTTCACCGTGCAAGACCTTTCCATTGACATGGTATTTCGTACGAAGATATTGGATAATGTACAATGTGTAATGAAGACACACAGAGTTCGAACAAAAGAAGCTATCATGGATCTTTCGGCTTAGTCACTCGTTTTGCTTAGCGATAACGAATGAGAGCCATGGGTTTAATGATCCGTATCAGTTTTAGGATGGTCAACATCATCAACATGAGTCAAATATATATGCCGCCCTACTGAATGGCATTCCGCCGGTAGCTGTTGTCGAATTACAATACATGAGTTCCTACAACCCATAAAATGCATGCTCAGCTCCTAGTCGTTTCCGGCTGAGGAACCAACTGATAGCTATTATATTCCGCGTCAAGTTGAATGTAATCCATGTACCTCTCGATAGTATAAGGTATCGCTAATTACCTACCAATCTCTTAAACCGATTTTTCTTGCGCATGAATTTTCAGGGTTGGGCGGACGGGGTATTGCGCAAGTCAAGAAGAAAAGGCGTAGCAGCAAAGCAGCAGATCATAGTGTTAACTTGTGAGCATTTCTTTGATAGTTCTAATACAATTGCTGACCTCCACCTCCAGTGCCTCCACAGATTTCCGGAGCAAGACGACCGGTGCTTGACTGTAATAAACAAATGGCTTTGCTGTCCTACTCAGCCTACTTCTCCGCAATCACAATCAATTTCGGGCTCTTCTTCTTTCATACAACTGGGCTGATATTAAGCTGCTCATCAACAGGGGTGGGTGCGCGATCTATCGGGGTCTACATGTAGTTTGCGATCCGGGTCACGCACTTATAATTGTCAGTCCGTGCACAAAATTATTGGAAGACCATTCTAATGTGTTCAAGATGTGAATTCTATACGGAATATCATGTGATGTATCCAGAAAACGGGACTGGCTAAAATTTGATAGATGTTTCCAGGCAGGCAGAATTTGCTTTAGCTTTGTACAGAACCTGGAATGCAAAATGCAAACCTGAGCAAACAAAAAACTATCATATGTGATTCTTAATCGTTTTCTAACTCAACTAAAAGGGCTTGTATGCGTAATTGGACACTGGGGAACAAGGTGCCCCGTCTCACCGAGCGAAACCCCCGTTACGAATGGCCACAAAGTAGGTTAGTCGTACGGTAAGATATATACATCAAAACCAGATAGATTGGAGCTCCTTGAAACCTGTTACTTATCCCATTGATATCTATCAACTAAACCCTGATATAGGCCGCGTTTCTCGTCTTTCATATAACCTGTCTTCTGACTCCTGAGTATGGGAAATCCTAGGTAGACGCACGGCACAGCCAGCAGCCGCCGACAACATTTGGAGGTACCTGAGTCACCTCAAATTGTATGGAATTCTATCTGTTTCAATACTATACCATTATGTAACAAGTGTGCATGCATGATTGGGGAGTGAACGGGCTGCACTGACTTAGCGTCGCGCGTGACGTAATCTGGTCTACCTAGGTATCTACTAAGTCGACGGGTCGACCATAACACTGATCCCTCAACTGCGCTCCAGCACACCATCTTCGACTCAAGCAAGCTACTTGAATACCTCACATTCGATACTTCTGCGCTTGAGGCCCAGGCTAGCGCCAATCCGCGCTCTTAGAGAACGATCGCTAGCTCGGTACATCTACTATTCATTATCCCCCGGCAACGACTGCCCTTCAACCCCACCTATACCATAACGACAATGTCGTCCTTCTTCTTTCTCCTCTACGTCGTCGCTCTTGCGATAGCCTTTCAAGGCCTTCTTGAGTGGGCAGTAGAACTGGACAACACCCACAAACAGCCGTCGGACAAGGCGTCAGCAGGTGTGTTTTGCGAGCTGCGCTGACCATCAGTTGATCATCTGTGCTAAAGCAATAAACAGATTCCCAGCTTTTTGGTCAAGAATCTAGCGCAACCAAAGTCGCCGTTCAGCCTACAGTGGAGGACATCAATAATCCGTCGTTTTCGCAAATCAACATCCCTTGTGAACGATCCTCGCCCACAAAATCAGCTACCACAGCTGAATGGCCGCGGAATTATACTCTCCCTTTACGTCCACGCCAGAAGCCTCCTGCAGATGGTCAAGCTGCACTGAATGGTCGACCTACTTTAACCATTCCCACTCAGACATCCCCGTCTGGATCAATTACCAGCGCTAAGTGGCCGCGGGAGTTCACCCTCCCCTTTCGCCCATGCCAGCAGCCTCCTGCGCAAGATGAAGCCGAAGCTGATTCTCTCCCCCACACCCCCACAAGCCCGATATCGACAACTTCGACGTCAGCGACACTTATCTCGAACACTGACTTCCCCGCAACCACCGTTTCTTCTGTGAATGACCTCCAATATTCCACGTCCTCGCCGCTTAACGCGATCGGGGGAAAGAATATTTACGGCTCACAAGAGCATTTGGAGGTGCAGGCAATTTCTAATGATACTGACCCAATGACACTCTTGAATGAACTGCAGTCCGAGCAAGATTCGATCCACCGGACCGTATCCGAACTTCTCACCATGAAGCAGTTGTCGGCAAAAGCCAAGGCTCTGCTGGAAGGATTACGCAAATCTTCATCAAAGGTGGGTATTTCGATCGCTAGCATGCGACAGAATGCTGTCGAGTGGTCCAAATTGGAGAAAGGGCATGCTTCGAAAGCAACAAAGCGGGACTCAGACACCGACAAGGGTGCTGAGAAAGGATTCGCGAAGCAGTCTAAGCAGCGCGAGGCCAAGTCGAATCGTAAGCGTACTGCGGTGGATTCGAATATGGAAGAGACAGTGAATCTTAGCACCTCTTCCCTTCCCGCTGCATATTCTCATGCCGCATCCCAGCGGACTAAACGACCATTCGTCTACACCGATGAGGAAGATTCCGCCGATGTTAATCTCGCCAAAAAGCCTAAGGTTCTCAAGGAAGAGGCGAGCATGCCAAAGGCGGAACAACAATCCCTTTCTAGCCACCACAAGGCCACCTCCAAGCAGTTTCCCAAGCCTTTCCACGCTGGAAACAACCACAAGAAAGATCCCGAGCCGACTACCAAGAAGCGATGGGCAGGCGCGCCTCAGGAGTCCACTTCCACGGCCAACATACAGTACAACAAGCAAGAAAGCCGAGTTCGGAAGCGTCGAGCAGATGTTCCCGTCTTCAAAAAGCGCAAGGTCACCGCCAATGAAGCCGATATCGATGCTGAGAGTGGAAGTGGGGTTGGAATTGGGAAGCGAAAAGGTCCAACCACCGTGAACGACTCCTGGGCATCCGTGGTGAGGACTGAGAAGAAACGTCGCTTGAAGTGAGTTGGCTGGCCTGCATATGGTATTCGAGGAGGATAGTTGGAAATACAAGGGGATCTGTTTACGAAGGAGGGATACCGGCATTTCAGTTCGAGCTGGAGTAATATCCCACGTTTTCAAGGTTGCTCTTCATATCATGGAGCCTCAAATATGCCTACTATCAAGGCAAGATCGATGATTCCTCATGTTTTTGATACCCACACTAGATATAGTTTACTTTTCCCAATTCCACGATGACCTTTCACACTGTATAGGAATACTGCATTGATTCTAAATAAAGAATACCATTCTATCTCCTCAAAGCCTCTGTATTTGCCGAATCATGTCGCTTTCATCATATTGACTGCTTTGCGAACAGGATGAATGCGGGCTTGGCGTTCCCTGCAGCCTGTACCCCCGCTTGCCAGCTCTCAACCCCCTTCCCCCCTCGCAGTTCCCTTCTCAACCACGATTCACGATTATCTAATCACGATATTCAACTGGCATCCCTCGCCTCTATTCTGTTGAGAGGACATTTTTGTTTGCTATATTTTCAAGGAAACGAAATCCTTCCCTTCTTCAAATTTGGAGCCCCAAATCCCGTTCGCCGACCACTACCTATACACTTAAGATGAGCGGCTTCGGCATCTTCATAGATATCATGGAAGAGGTCAGCAAGGGCTACAAAGAGAATATGAAAGACTTGAGCCCGTCACTTCCTGAGAACATCGCGGCGGTGCCCAAGTACATCCCACCGCACAAACGCCGCCCGTTGGAAGAGAAAGCCCGCGCCCACACCCCGATTGCGGACACAACGGCAAACAAAGCAGCTTGCCCGCTGCCGTTCACAAGTTCGGTCCCCAAAGTCTCTGATACAAAGAGGAACAAGGTCATCAATTCCTCCTCCCACGCAAAGTCAGACGTCAGTACATCTCACTTTACCAATATTACGTCTGCCACCGAAGTCACCAAAACGCGTCCTGCTTCACGATCTGTGCAGAAGCAGAGGAAAACGACCGCTTCCGTCATGAGACTTTCAAACGGCGTTACCAGAAGGAACGACACACCCACTGCGAGGAAGTCTACCGCCAAAGCATCTACAAAACCCGTAAAGCTGAATCCCCCGTACAACAACGACGCAGATGTCACAGATCTGCTGCCAAAAAGAAACTCTACTATCTCTAAAAAAGCATATGATGCTAATGAGCCGTCCCCAAAGCGCAAGCGAAACGTCCAACTGGACAGCGACGAAAAGCGCAACTCGGCATCTAAGCCGTGGTCAAAGCATGAGAGATCATTTCAACAGCTGGATGAAAATTCGACCGAAGACCGAGCCCAAAGCACTTCCCGCGAGCTTCTTCGTAAGAAAACGAAGCTCACTGATCCCAAACCCCACCTTGCCGTCATATTCGCATCCCACGAAAATCTACCTACTCCTGCCGACCACATCGATGACGTCAACGCTTCATCCATCCCATCCCTAACCACCAGCGCCAGCATTCTCAACCACGACCGACCCCTCCCCCTGAAGCGGAAAGCCGAATCAGAGCCGAAGCTTTCCTCAGATCTCGATGGCCCCTCAGCTACGAACAAGAAGCGCAAGGTGGCTGATAGCCCAAAGCATGCTGATACAGCGAAGCCAGGATGTGATAAGTTTGGACGGAGATTGGATGGCCGGGGCATTGCGAGGGTGGTCAGAAAGAAGAGATAACAAGGTTTCAGTGGCAGAGCACCCCGGGCGAGGGGATCAATTATAAGTGCCACTGGTCCGGATGAATTATATTTTATGGATGTTATGTTAAGCTTGTCTGGGATATTCCTTTCGTCCTTGGTATCGTATCCAAGCATCATGGTCTCAGATGTTTGCAGGGAGAGCATACTTTGTCTTTCTACCTCTGCAGAGTACAAGAAAGGATTGCCTGTGCAAACCTTTCTGTCGTGTTACATAGTATGAGAGACACAGATTCGGGATTGCAATGAGGTCAGGCAGAATCACGAAATGCGCTTTGCGTGAATGATACATCTGACCCTCGTATGTTCACTATTCTCATCCTTAAATGTTTATTGAACAATTATTCGTTCTACCTGGTGAGTATATTTCCGAGGAATAGTTTATTTCAGGTTCTGTATCTTCTTCCGTGTAAAAGAGGAGAATCTGAGTTCTAGATATGTCAAAGACTATCATGGGATGCCAATGACTCTCCAAGTTAGATGGGAACACACATGATACGTATTAACATCTCCATTAGATCAAGTTTGATCATTTTATGGCATCATCAAGGTACACAGAGATAACCTAAGTCAACCCAACACTCCGAGTTCGAAGCTTGCTTCTGTGGATGCTTTGTGAGCTACAGTTCAATCACAAAAGTGAAGTGCCTATGAATGATTTGACATCCAGTGTTGATGATGTAGCTCAGATTGATGGCTCATGTATTACACGGCATAATTTACTGTAACGATGGTACATTAGATTTGTAGCTAGGCTTTATGTGCAGGCCATATTTGCCACTATGATAGGTCGGGAATGTAGTTGTATTGTTACCAACGAAAGAGAATGGAGATAAATCATTACCTCACCGTAGACGGTATTGTTCAAGTGTCAAAGTATGGGAATGTCCCCACTCGTAGCTGAATTTCTAGGAGCCATGGACTCGACAACACCTAGATCTGATGACTGAGATTATTATTGTCATCTATTTACATCGATATAGGCGGTTGATGATTTCTGTACTTCACCGCAGCTACGCAATTATTATCATACTGTTTGTTTTATAGAAATCGCGCTGCTGCCGCTATTGTGCGAAATGGAAGTGTTTGTATTGTAGTCTGGTCTTGGCCCTATTGTTGCCATCAGAACCACCACCGATTCCGCCCAACCCCTCCAGACCTACCATTGCTACTACCACCATACAATTCTGTCTTCGATCCAACAGAGACTGCACCTATCAAATACTATCGTCATTCTATAATCGATTCCAACAAACTCTACAATGCCTCACTCTTCCCAAGACGCCGCTCCGCAAATCCGCAAGCGTCCCGCGCCGACCACCGAGATCGGAGAGGATGCGCTCGGCGAATATGTCTCAGGACTTCTCAAGAAAGCCGCCGGCTCACAACTTAAGAAGATAAAGACGGCAACTGGCGCGAAAGTCACATCCGAGGCGGCACCAACGGCGGTCCTCAAATCCACTCCGAAGCCACCACCCGCCATTCTTCAGAATGACTTCCTCAACCCTCGTAAGATTCTCACGCCAAAGTCACCAATCAAAACGAAGAAAATTGCGGTCGGGCCGGTGAATCCCCCCAGTGCAAGTGCTGCACGCCCAACAAAGCCAGGCAAGCGATTCAAAGACGACGAAGAGCTGGAAGCACACTACAAATCACACCGCAAGACTTTCGGCTCCCAACTGGCAGTGGAGAAGAATTTGACCCGGGATCGAAATGTAGAGATCATCAAACTCCCTCCAAGCGTCAAAGCTATCAACGTCACCGAGTTCGAAAAGGCGTACATCTACATGATTGAGAAAGACCCAAATCATTTTCCCAACATCAAGCTCCTCGGTACAGACAAGCGCGGATATACTGTCGTCCGCCGCGAGAAAATGCCCAATAAGAGGATCGCTGACATTCGAGAGATGGAGCGGAAGCGGAAGTTGGCCAAGGCGCGGTCGGAAGCTCGTCGAGAGAATGCTGACCTCCGTGAAGCGAAGAAAACCCGGCACAAGAGTAAGTTCTCTATATATCAGATAAAGTATGATTCAGCAACTGATAATGAGAAGGTGCAATCATGAGGGCCCGGGTAAAGCTCATCCAGGAAGAAGAAAGGATTCTTCAAGTCGGAAGGGAGGTCGAGGAGAATGGTGCACGTCGCCGAGCTAAGATGTTGGCCGAGAGGAAGGCGAATGCCATTACGGAATAGAGGACCTCGGGAAAAACAACGGCAATTTCACGCAAGTCTTTGGCTTAGTCCATCGTCCAAAAGAGTGCTGTATAGATACATATGTAGTAGACGCTCCAGTGGCCCCCCTCCAACAGTATGCTCATGTCTTAATAACCCGGTAACCTCTTATGCAATGAAACTAGGAGACGAATTACACATAAAAAACTCATGATAGAAATCTATTTCTGACCGTATGATCATGATCTATCTAGTCAGTGTTGTAGTCTCGTGGCTGGATGATGATATTCTTAATCATGAACCCCTCACACGTAGAGCTACAAATTACCGTACGCTTTTTTGCCCACACATGCAGTCAGCGCAGGGGGTAGTATCCATCGGGTTCGTTGATTATGTTTGTTTTAGCAATGTTTCCAGTGCTATGAAGTTGCTTGTAAGATATCATTCCCAATGCCGTGGTCCGCCAATGACGTCCGCATCATTTTAATCGGCTGCACCTCATCCTGTGCCGGAGTGACCGCGTATAAATACCTAGGGAGCTACCAGCCGGAGGAAGTAGCTACCTGCTACGAAAATGCATATAAAGAACGAAATGATCCCCCTCATGCTGGCTCAGAACAAGGTACGAAATGTTCATGTATATGCGAACTCCGAGTGAAGCCTCATCTGAGCTGGCCGTTGCTGGGTCACGTCATTAGGATGGGTCAGTGTGCGTTTGTAAGTGAATAGGATTTAGTCTGTATTGTTTGTTCGCTACAATAGAGACGTCGGATTGTGCACGAACTTAGCAACAATAGCACCCCGCCACCTTATTTACTCTACAAATACCTCCGCACCCTACCCCACGCACGAATATTCCCAGTCCTCCTCATTGCTACAACCCGTACCAACTCTTTCGACACATCAAATTCACACATCTCCAATACTTCCCTCAAAAATCGCCTCTCGAAACAATGTCTGAGCAACAAACCCCTCAGTCCACTCGCAAGCGGACCGCGCGCCATATCGCCTCCGACGACGAACTTGAATCGAGCACTGCCAAAGCTAAGAAGACTGCCGCTGGCAAGAAGCAAGTCGACCCAAAACCAGCGCCGGTCAAAATGTGCCCATCCACCGCCGCAAAGCCCAAGCCAGGCAAGCTCGCAAAGTCCTTCATGGCCCACAGGAAGATTGCCATCCCGAAGGCGCCTCAGATCACACGCAACTCCACTAATGTGGTTCTCCCTGGCAACCCCGTTCGCAAGCAGAAGGTCTCGGTCGGTGCCAACATCGAGAAGGGATACGATCCTTTCCGCCGCCGCGACATCATTGACGACGCGAAGAAGGTCACGGCCGAACTCGCAACGCAGCCCGTTCTTCCGGAGGACAAAATGGACACATTCATCGACAAGAACGACCCAGAGTACGAGATCATCCACAGCCCACTCCGCATTCGCTACGTTCGCGTCACCACCAAGCCGATCAACAGTGGCGGCGAAAAGGCTCTTCTCGACGACGTCCGCAAGAATCCGGGTCACTACCCACACATCACCTTTGAGCAAGAAAAGGACGCTCTGGGCCGGCTGGTGTATCGCCGCCGCAAGATCGACCCCGAGCACCTGGAGGAGCTCCGAGAGGCCGAGCGCGAGCGTCAGGCCGCTGCCTCCCGCGCTGCCTCCCGCGCCAACAAGCGCGTCAAGCAGCGTAAGGACAAGAGTAAGAACTTCAATCAATTGAAGATCCTAGGGACATCTGCTAATACAATGACAGGCGCCATCGACCGAGCTCGCAAGCTTCTCACCAGCATGCAGCAGAAGGTGTCTGACGGTCAGCAGTCCGCCGGCCAAGCCCGCGGTGACTCTTCCCTGGAGCACAAGTCTGCTCATCACGGCGGCTCTTGAGTTGCCAGTGGAAGGCTTGTCGGCTCTGCGGATAGCGCATCCGACAAATCGCAGGTGCTTGATCGGTCGGACTGTTGTCCGTTATCATCTGGTGGTATGGAGTGGGGATTTCATACTGAGGAGGAGATAAGAAAGCTCAGAAACTGACAGACAGAGAGCTTATTGAATGGTTGAGAGGAGGTGCAAGACGACTGGGAGCTGTGAGATGGCCGCAAGCTGCCGCCTCTAGCACGACAACTGTGTCTTTGGATTACCCGATTGATTGATAGATTTCTTTAGTAACAGCGAGCACTTTGAGAATTTTGATCACTGAGAGAGCCCTCTTGTACGTCTGGTATATGTGAGACATGAAGTCAGTAGAGATGACTTAGTCACTTGATCACGTGATTCAGACTCTCCTCACCCCAGGCCAGTCATATCAATCGGACTCCGATCCAGGGGCCTGAGAGAACATGAATAATTAGTTTCATGGAAATGAATAACAGATTAAGTTCACTAGAATTGGGACGTTCGTTGGTGTTGAGACATGGGGCGGGCTGACTCGTCTGAAAGGAGATCAAACGGACGACATATCTTGGCACCACAATCACGGATGACCGATTTCCGGTATCAGCATATTTATCTAGTCAAAATAACTTATTGAGGCCAGGATAAACGTTCGTCGCATGCTTAAAGGCAAGAAGCGCTCTCAACAATAGATCTTCTGACGGAGGGGACCGTGAAGTATGGCCGCGTGCGTTGCGCACATGAATCATTGGGAGAGCATACGGTAATCAGAGAATGACATGATGATTTGCATTTGAGAGGAGATAGATGTATCAGCTGATCTTATGTGATTTGGAGAACATCTTAGTGGTACAAGTTTGCTCGCGCTGTGGGCGTGAATTAAAAAAGTGCGAATCGCGACTTTGGGAAACTAAGCGCAGCGCGTGTCTCCACCGACGTCAAAAGTAACACAACGATCTGCGATGTTTATTTCGTAGATTTCTGCGACGTTGCATGAGATCCATGGAGGAATGCACTCTGCAAAGACTATGCGTGTTACCTTAAGGGGGTTGCGTAAAAAATCTTGGATACGGCAGATTACTTGTACCTAGGCAATGATTCGCAGTGCGAAAGTCGTGTATGATCCACTACGAGTAGGTTCGTCATCTTACGGGCTCTGAGCCCTATATATCTATACCAAACACTGCAAATGCATAATGATTGTTCGCGAGCAAAATTCTCCATAGAGAAAATGTCCATCCACGCTCCCCAACCTGGGTCGACCAGAGTCAGCTTCACCAGCGAAATGTTCCTACAGTCACTGCGCCCTACTACGCCCTTCGAACCACTTAAGCGAGTGAATAGCTAAATGGGGAGGCCTATGAACACACACTGTACTCCGTTTGCGTAGCTGGGCCCAAGCGCAGGCAGCAACTATCCCTGTCCGCGCACCAGTTGTGGATGAAAGGCTGGTCTTGGCGCGTGCGGAGTGAACGACTACCTTCGACCACGCTGGCTCCTCTACTCCCCCTTCTGGTTCTCTACCGCGCTCACAGTAGCTCAAATTCAACCTTGCTGATAACTTTTATCTTCGACACCAATTGTCAGCTTACCACCTCTTACACACGACACCAATCTTTTTCCAACGACATTGTCACTGGGCACCCTCCGCCTACACAATGTTTCCCTACAACCCAAATCCCGCGGGGCTTCTCCCTGCCAACCGCGTCTACGATGGCGCCAATCGCCAAGACGGCCAGAAACAGACTGCTGAACAGGTAGGTATCTGGAGTTGGGAATAACGCCGCATCTTATTGACTGACTGGCTGTAGTTTCAACTACCACAGCACTCACCCTACCTCGCCGCCGTCAATGACACACTGAGCCCCGTGTCCCGCGGACGGCAGCAAAAGACTGCCAATTCCCTCTCATACTACAGCTGCTCTTACAACTTCTCCCCGTCGGCCGGGACGAATGTTGTCTACCACCCTTCGACCTCTCCGACCGGTTTTGATAGCGGTGGATATGCTTCTGGGCCCGCGCAGATGATCCACCTCCCCGAGCCTAACCCCCCCACGCCATTCCAGACAAACCTTTTGCGATATGGGGAATCAATTGGGAGCTCGCAGACTTACGGCTCACCTGCAGAAACCCCAATGTCGACTTCCGCTGGAAATATGGCCCAAGTCAACTGTGGCAGATACGGCACCACACCCATTAACGACCATATGGAGTTTACCACTGAGGATCTCGAGAACGTGAACTTCGAGGACTACGATCGCCCTCCTCAGATCAATGATCTGTGGTCCAACGCTACTCCCCAGTCCGCGGTGGCTCAATACCCAGGCCCATACATCCATTCTCCACCGCAATCAGGGTATGGCCAGCTACAAGGACCAAGTCCATCTTCTTTTCCCTCTCGACAAACCCATTTTTCTCGGTGCCATTATCCAGCCGTTGCATCGCCAGGTCCTAGCCTCACGTCTCTACCAGATCTAAGACACTCCAAAACCCCCATGACAATCTCAGGGCCACCAACTCCACGAGAGGTCATCACTATCCACGACGACAAAGAAATCGACACTCCAACTGCGAACAATCAGCGGAGGGATTCAATGCCCGCCGTGATTGTTATCCCTGACGAAGTCGTCGCTGATCGGCCTCCTCTGCGCAAAGGAGCAAATCCCAAGAGGTTCGAGCCGAGCGCTCAAGAGTTGGCTCGCAAGAAGGCCTGGGAGAACCCAGAGTATCGGAAGCGAGAGCAGGACCGGGCATACGAACTGGCCCTCCGAAAGAATCGTGGTCCAGCGATAAAAGACACTAAGTCCTGGATGCAGCAAGGTCGCGAAGATCTCTCCAAGCACGAACGTCGGAAAGAGCAGGAGCGATCGAAGCAAGAGAAGTTCTTGAGGCAGCAGATGGTAAACTTCAGTCTTGAAATCGAGGCATGGAAGCACGATCTTAAGGAAGGCAAATACAAGTGCATGCACCAAGGCCACGGCCCCGTCAACCAGGGTAACTATCGGTGTCGAGACCGGATCCATAGCAGCAAGCGAGAGATTAAGGGCAACTTAGAAGGCCGCTCCTGGGAATGGAAGTGCAGACATGATTGCTGTCATTTCGGAGTTCGCCTTGAGCAGTTGATGGACAAACTGCGCCAGCTGGAGAGGGAGTGCATGAAAACTCATCCATTGTACGAGCCAAAGTACTACCAGCCCGTGAAGGCTCTCGCACCATCAAGTCAAGCGGGAGCAACTTCCATCGCAGCTCCTCCTCCAGTTGATTCGAACTTTGATGAGCAAGCAGAGTTGGATGCACCGGCATTGGAAGGAGAAGAGTTTGCCTCTGCGGTGTGGGACAGGTTTGAAGCATCGCAGCCGCGCTCTCGTCAGAGGATCAACCGCGTGACTGAACTCACAAAGCCCGCGCAAGCCCCTTCAACTAAAGCCAACTCTCCAGAACCAGAGGGCGAGGATCCGGCTGCTGCCGAACTTGAAGCGGCCTTAATTGAAGGACTGGCAGCATCGGATGATTCCGAAAACGAGGGCGATGATCCGACTGCTTCCTTCCTTGAAGCCGCCCTAATTGAGGCAATGGCGGAGCAAGACCCGACTGATTCTGAGGGAGATGATCCCACTGCTGCTCTCCTTGAAGAGTTGACAGGACCTGACGCTCCCCCTGCTTCGCCTTCAAAGGACGCTGAAGAGGCTTCGCACCGGCCTGAGGTGGTGAACCCTAGCAAAATGGAGCTTGATCAAGAGGATGTCTTCGATGATCTCTTCGAGGATCATGACGACCCGATCATCACGTCCCACGAAACCACCTTGGATGCTGCTCTCATTACGTCCTCGAGCGAAGCTGTGGAACCACTTTCTCGGGTCATGAGTCTTGCAGATCACGCAGAGCTCCACGGATCTGACGCGGAATTCGCTGTTCCAGCCTTGTCCGGTCCGAAGCAAGTCGCCGGCAAAAAGCGAGCTCGGCCAGTCGATGTCATAGATTTCGGACCAGAGCCCTCTGCCCTCGCTGCTCCTTCAGAACCAGTTCCTGCCCGGGCAATTAAAAAGCAGAGGCAATCGAAGAGCGAAGCCAAGATCACCCAGGTTGCCAATGATACAGGAAGTTCTGGAGGGTCTGTCAATGCTGCGAGTGTCGGTGCGGCGATTCCGGATAACGACTACGGAGTCAGCCGCAACATCGACAACTACCGCGATTCCAGGATGCCGAATGGGTACACTTGTGCACACAAGTGTTTTCAGAAAATGCAGAAGTGCTTAGATGGGAAGTGCGCCCGCTCTAAAACACATGCATGCTGCGCCAATGGTCTGACGAAAGAGAGTGTGGTGAAGATGATCCACAACCAGATCTCGACCAGGCGAAAGAAGGGTGGCGCCAACATCAGCAGACGTGCAGCCACCGAGAAGGTCAGGGCCGAGAGGAGTGCCGCTGCCGCCGCCGCTGCTGCTGCCACTGCGAACGAGACGACGTTTGATGTTCCAGCGTCTGTATCAACTGCGACAAGCATCGTACAGACCGCGACAACTGCTAAGCCGGCAACCAAAGCCTCGCGCAAGAGCGGAAAGAACGCCGATGGAAAGAGCAAGGCGACTCTTAGCGTTCGAGTGGAGAAGACAAAGCCGAAGAAGCCTTCAAAGGCTGCTCAGAGTTTGGCGTCGAAGGTGCAGCAGGCAGTGAACAAGCCGCCAGCGTATTCGGAGCCTGCGTCTACCGTGGACGTGGCACAATACGAAGAAAAGCTGCCCGAAAACCTGTCTCTTGATCAAGAAGCTGACATCTATAACAGCTTCTACGCTTCAATTTCACAAGAGCAGAACCAGACAGGGGTCACCAGTGGTCAAGAGACAGTGGAACCTGCGTTTCCAGTGGAAGAGGAAGCTGCACCTGCAGTGGAGCAGTACGACGATGACGAGTCTGAAGAGTCCGAAGAGGAGTGATTGGAGAAAAATTCTATCGATCCATATGCCACTATCAACATCAATCTCTGGGTGGCTCCTCAGGTCGATACTCCATTCCAATCCTCATACCGGCTCTACTCGATCTTCCGAGTCTTCTTATGTCAGCTCGATTCATCTTGTTCGTTCTCTATCATACCTCCTGGCTTGTTACCTCGTTCCACCATTCGGCAACCTTGCTCATCACTTCTCCTGGAACCGCGGTATCTGCAGCTGAAGCGATCACCAAGATTCGGCACACAGATATCGTGACAAGAATTTGTTTCGCATCTCCAACAGAGCATTGCATAAGGATCATGCATACCCTGCTTTTCTTCTCTTTTCTTCAGCGTGACTAGCAGTCGCGCATTCTACGGGGGTATCTGCTGTTCTCACGTTACAATTGCATTTGGGCGTTCTGAGCGATTTCATGTCTGTTTTTATATCTTTTTCTCATCCTTGAGCCACGAATGAGCTCGAGTTTCCTTTCCGCATCGCAGGCCATGTACCGCTCATGAGTACGTGGTCTGCGGAGTTGTAAATTACTAAATTTTAATAGTCTTTTCATAGCGATTGTTTGATTGCTTTATGTGGCATTGCATGGATGGGACGGTTCTGTTGTTGGCATTTGATACCCCCAATTTCTTTCCTTTGTTTTGTTGTTATTAGCGGAAGGTCCGCTGTATGATAGTTTCATACCTGGGAATGCAAAAAGTCATTACAAACATTACTTGATCATTGCAGTTGATTCCGTGTGACGTGATTTCATCGGGGCTCCGATGGGGTGATTAATGATGTGCGGCCATTGCGATCAATTGTATTTGTCACGAAGACCCAACACGAAAGGACATCCAGAGCTATTTATGTGAACAAGGCAGTAAACATGTGCTAAAGTCGCGCAATTATTAAAACGGAAACAACGTGATTGGGCGTGTGTGAGCTGATGTCCCTTTTCCTATTGGTACATAGAGTTTTGCAAAAACAGTGACGTCAATTAGAAGTTTTGTTACCATATTTCAGAAATGAGATGTTAATCCTTTACAGGGGTCTTCGTGGACCCTGATTCTTGCTAACGTTTTCCTGACAGGGAGACTCTCAGACGATGGACCCTGAAACTTCAACTTCAATGTATTGACTAGAGCGGTACGATTGCACATTTTTGGCTGTGAATATTTTTATGTACTTCTACCGCCTCAGTTATACAGATTTCCAATAGATGAGAAAAATTCAAGATCCGTCATATTTCAATAATTGCAATGTACTTGCCTGTATGGGCACAGAATCACAACAAGAATCAGAAATTTTTCCTCAAAGGTATCTATGATACCCCAAGATAACCTATCCCTACTATTAATATGTCAATCCGTCAGAGAGAAGGGCGATTTGTTACACAAGGATGTTAGGACGCGCTATACACTAACTTGTTGAGCTCTGTTAGAAGCGATGATGTATTTTGGGGCACAGCAGTAGATACGTAATTAAGAAGATGATCATTGAGTCGTGTTAATGCACCGTGATTCTCTGCATCCCACTTTACATTGCATGTGAAAATATCATTTGTGGGATTCATTTAGTGCACCAAAAATACGAAGAAAGATTCATTAATTAACACTCAACTCAGGATACTAAACAGAGCAAAATGCGCAAATCAACAATAAAAAAGTAAGAAAAGATAAGAGAAAACAAGAAAAGAAAGAAAAAACTATGAGAGAAACAGCAGAGATCACTCTCCCCCTCCGTCAGCAAACATCGCGGCAATTGCATCCTCATCCCATCCCTCACCATCAGAGTTTTCTTCCTCCTCCTCTTCCTCCTCCAGATCCTGCTCCCTGTTATCTGCCTCGAGTTGAGCGAACATTGCATCCGCGTCAATTGTCTCTTCAAGAACTACAGCAGAATCTTCCCTCGTATCCGCCCTCAGTTCCTCAGCCTCAGAAGCAAGTTCTTCTTCACAATACCTCATCAGCGAAATAGGCTCCTTTCGCTGCCTTTTGGCTTTGGGATCGATAGTATCATCGCAGGTGCGCTTGTATTTCGAGACAGGTTTGTAAGGCCTATAACCCCCAGCACTATCGGGCTCCACTATCTCGAATTTGGCGAAGGAAAATTGGTGCGGCTTTTCCTCTTCCGAATCCGATTCGTAGTCATCCGGCTGTGTGCCGTCATCTGACTTTGTGCTCTCTGGTGGGGTTGGGAGAGAAAAGGGAATGGGAGTTGTGGACGAAGTGGCTTCCACATTAGGTCTAGACTTCTTCTGGCTCTTTTTTCGTGGAGCTTTTTCGGTAGCTGGAGGAGGAGATTTTGCGGCTTTTTTACCGGTTTTCTTACCGGTTGTCTTCTGTTCTTTCTTCGGAGGCGCCTTCCCCAACAGATCGATGGTGGCCTTGGGAAGGGTATTCAGGGTTGCCGCAGAAAGCCCCTTCAGGACCCCATTGGTGGACTGATATGACGGGTCGGCCCGCTTAAGATTCTCTTCTTTCTCCGAAATCCAAGCGAGACAGCGATCCCTAGTTACGCCCCTTACGCAACAGGGGTGTTTGCAGGTGGACCTGTTGCATTTTCCCATGTTGACGTCTGACTGATGTTGGCATTTGTACATCTCCTTATTGGTTTGGTGGTGATACTTCTCTGGATCGGTCTGGAAGTATGGAATTGACGACGCCAGTTGCTTGCGGCCAGTGATCATCCATGAGTACTTGTCGCGGCCGACCTGTCCGGTGTGACTGACGCGGCTGGCGAGATACTGCTCATCCTGAATCTGCTTTCGCTTGGCGGGATCTTTCCAGGCTTCCTCAACGGCAATGTCCTCTTGCAACTTGGTGATCTCCATGATGATAAGTAGGAGTGTCGGTAAAATAGAGAAGATGAGTGTGGGTATCTTGAGTAATTGGTGAAAGATGTAGGAAGATAGTAGACGTCGTGGCCGAGTAGAAGTGATAGAGAAGTAGATGTATCTGAGCTGCAACAAAGATCAGTGAAGTGAAGTGTAATGGGAGTCTGAAGTCAGAGCAATTGTAGCAGGGAGGAGGGGACTTTATACTCTCCATCTGCAGCTTAGATCCTTTTTTCCTCTTTTTGAATATTTAATTCTTCATAACATCTTCAAGCTTCTAGAATGTTTCTCCCAATATCTATTGAAGAGATGGCGTGATAGTCATTGTTGACAACTCATAATACAAAACTAATGCGCTCCGATAGGTAGAAAAAACCTTTTGTGGGATAACTTCTACGGTACAAAGGAACGCACTGACTAATTCCAGTCCAGTTCAGTCATCTCGCGAATCATTGAACCTCTGTACTGTCTTGGTGCTATATCAATTGATCGCAATCACTCCATACTAAAACGTTCCCACGAATCGAAGGATGATTTACTGTATATCTCGATTTCCATGGAGTCATTGAATGGGATACTTGAGAAGATTCTAGCGATAGAAAATTGGGCGGGATGGTATAGTCACAGCGGAAATCCAATGGATCGGACGACCCCTTTCCGACATCGTTTGATATGTGGCACCTGATTCGAAGTTGCACGTTTCAGGGTCTCCAGTGTAGCCCTGTATCAAGCAGGTTCCATGGTTAACTTCGTACGAACAAAATAATCGTCATGGTCGACTACTCTCATGAGTAATACTTCTTAGGCTCTATCGTGGTTCGTGGAAAGAAAATCAATATTTGAGATGGCTCAAACCAATGTCCGTACATAGTCCATGATTCACAGCTTCATATCATGTGGGAGATAGATATGACATTAGAAACGCTACGAATGGCTGAGACGTTAAAAAACTCATTTTTCAGCGCACTTCCTAGACCGTCCACGACCAATGTATCCCCACACACTCCAAGTTGGAAAGGTATAAGAAAGACCTCAATCCCCCTAGGTAATCCGTCTTTCCTTTCTTCAGACATCCCACATCCCAACCCATCACCAGCAATCACAAAAGATTATTCAAAGTCACAATCCAACTTACCAACAACCACACCAATTACCAAAATACATCGCCACTCACCACTCACGCTCACATCAACCATCTCATAACAATCTATCGCCACCCCGGACCTTTTATCTACCATCACAAAAATGGCAAACCGGGGCACAAAGAACATGTCCTTCGCCGTCCTGGTTCGTCGGTCGGAAAACTACCAGCGCCCGCACATGATCGCCCACGAAAATCGCCTGAAGGCCATGGAGACGGGTGCCCGGGGTCCTATGCCAGAAGGATCCAATCCCCCCTCCCTGCCGCAACTCCTAGCACGAGCGAAGAAGGATCTGGAGGCGGCGACTGCTGCCCGAAATTCTGCGGCGGAGAAGTCGCACACACCTGCGGGGAAACTGGCCTATGAGACGAAAATGGAGGAGGAGAAGCTCGTTAGGAACCGGGTCAAGAGTTTTGAGGAGAGGATTGAGAGGATGGAGAAGAGGGCAAGGGAGAACGAGGAAAAGGAGGCGAGAAGGCAGAGAATTCTGGAGGACCAGAGAGAGGCGAATAGAGAGAAGCGGGCGGTGAAGGTAGCAAAGTTGAAGAGGGAGAAGATGTACAAGGGTAGTGTGGTAAATGGGAAGAGGCTATTCGCCGCGCTGGAGGATTCCATGTAGTATAGTCATTGCTTTCTTTTGTTGTCTTTGTTTTCATTCGTGCTTTGTTTTGATTATACCTATCAAGTTAGAAGGGGACGCTCAGTACTACCAATAATATAGCCCGCATATGTGCATTACTTCTTATTCTATGTCTCGGTTCCAGGTTTGCTCCTAGTTCAATCCAATCATGATACAGTATTTCCCTCCCTCACCCTTTAGCTGCTTCCTGTAGATCCTTGGCTTCTGTGCATGGTCTGTTTTATCGTCAAGCTGGATATGTTGATGCATTGCCAGCTTCAGGAAGTCTAGAAAGAAATTTCTGTAAGATTGCCCTTCGTGATAACTGTCTGTATTAACTCAATCTTAGCTTAGATTTTAAATGTTTACCAACATGCTTCTGGACCTTCCGTGTGTTAAAGATGGCAGGTTCTTTTACGGAGTTCGGCTGCCAGGTTCATGATGGCTGAGAATGAGGAAACTGCCACAGGAGATCGTCACATCACATGTATCGTGCACACTTTCCAGCAGTCAATTGATGGAATGAGACATGTCGTCTCAATTTCACTGTAATTTTATGAATACCTCTCAATTAAAAAGCCCACCGACCGCCCCTGCAAAAAAAAAAAATCGTTTTGCAACATCCAGTGCAATCGAGTATCGTGGGATACTGCTGCACATCTGTAACCCTCACACTCACTCAAGCACACTCGTTTATCTACCCCCGATCTTTCATCATGCGTCTGCATGCTTTCTTCGCCGTAGCGGCGTGGGTCACTCATCTCGTCGTCGCTCGCCCAAACCCCACTCGCGAGCACATCGCTCAAGCCGCCGATGGTTTGAGTGCATGCCTCAAGAGCGCTGACCACAACGGACGCCACGGTATCTTGGCCGCCCAGCGCGCAGCAATGGTCAACGATATTCGCAAGACCCGAGGCATCACAATCTCACCTTGTACGTTCTCACGATTTTAAGGGCGAAAAACACCAGCAGAGTTGACGTATATCAGATCCGAAGCGTGGAACCAAGGAAGACGTCGAGCACCGGCTCCGCCTCAGCCACGAGCAAGATCTTAACAATCCCGCCTGGCGCACCAAAAACGACGAATACCTATTCAACTACCACACCTCCGATACCCTCGGCGTCCAGCAATCCGCATGCATCCTCACTCCCGAGAGCATCTACGGGCCATACTGGCACGACGGCCAGCTCGAGCGCAAGGATATCCGCGGAGGGCAGAAGGGCATCTACATGCGTCTCGCTGTTCAAGTTATCGACCTCGCAACGTGCAAGCCGGTTCAAGGCGCGCAGGTTGATGCATGGCAGGCGAATGCTCTGGGAATCTATAGTGATCACGCTGATCAGTCGCTGAGGGGCTGGCAGAAGACGAGCAAGTGGGGCACCGCAGATTTCGATACGATTTTCCCTGGTCATTATCCTGGCCGAACGACGCATACGCATGTTGCGGTGCGTGCGAAAGACGACATACATATGATGCATGTAGGGCAGATCTATTTCGACGACTGGCCGCGGATGTGGGTTGAAGTGAGTGCCATATCTTCCTCTAACGTGATTCTGCTGTGCCAAAGATATGAAGATGACTAATTGAATACGGATGCAGACTACGGCTCCGTATCGCGATAACCTGAATCCCGTCACGCCCAACATTGACGATGGCGTCTTCATTGAGATGGCGGCTAGCAAAGACTACGACCCTTTCGCTAAATGGGCTTGGCTCGGCCCAAACTACCCTCATGGTAAGCATGTTGTTGACAACACCTGTCTGCGTTGAAGAAACCGGCTAAAACAATCGAATAGACGGCTTGATTGCGTGGATCGTCATGGGCGTCAACACGACTGCCACCGTCGAGCAGCCACCGCACGACGAGAAACGCGACGGTGGACTCTTCAATACCAAATTACGGGAATAGGTGCACGGCGCGCTGCATACATGCTTTCGCGTTGGATCTTGTACGTCTGAAAGATGCGTCTTGTGTTTTTTTAGATAGCAACATCTTTTGGAATGCGTTGGTATGTTGGTCTTACCTTGATCATTAGATAACTTCCAAAACTACACTGCTTGATATTTGTATAGAGCTCTAGAATCAAGACTTGATATATACATCGTTCATCGGGTTTCTTTTGCATTTGTCTCCTGTGATTTTTGGTGTTGTTTTTTTCGGTTCTTCGCAAGCGCTGAATCGGATCCTATGAGGTGCACAATTTGAAGAAGCATCTCAGGCATGCGCAACGCTACTGATGTCATCGACTGCATAGCACCAAAACATCCATTCCGTGGATGCGGAGGTATTTGCTATATGAAGATGTATGTTTAGAGTTTTTCAAAGCCTGGGTGACGTTGATAGGGTCTCAGGTATTTAATGCAGGGTCTCCATTGTGGATCCCCAACCTCGTGGGGTAGACCGTATTCCAGGGTTTCCGTCAATATGGTGACCATACCGATCGCGTATCCGTGTGGGGGACATTAAGATCCCAGGTACTTTCTAGCAATGCTGTTTAGTATTGAGTTTTAAGTATATATGTGATCGAATATTTATTTCACGTGAGTGAGGGAGTTTGGAGTTCCTGAATATGGTGAGTACGGGTGGGTATGAGGGCATCGCGATCTACAGATCTGACACAGCTCGGGTAAGAGGACACAGCGATTCACCGCCGGAGAAATCGGAGACATCTGACATGAGTGAATGAGTTTGAGCAGATGCATGCGATACTTCCGATCATTGGCCGACCATGGCCGAGAGAAAGAATGTGTTGCAAAGCTCAACGGAGAGATAAGAGAATGGAATTTGGTATATTGGAAGCCCATTGAATCGAAGAACTCGACGCTCAGCCTGAATGAATCTTCAATGAAGATAATTAGTGTTCAAATCAATGATTGCAACATAGAGTTAAGAACTTGGATCTCATACAAGAATGATTTGAAGCTTGTTAAAAATCAAGTAATAGAAAATGAAAAACCACAGACGTGCAACAGGGGTGAAACATTGATGGTTGTGACTATCATAAACAGCCCCAACAATTTAGTGGCGTCAAAATCCGACAAATCTCTAGCGATCGTAATTGCGTGACGTTTTCACGTTCAGACTCAGCGTCCAGAAGATGCTCACGTGATACGTGGAAATCGCGCTAGGACGTAAAGGGAAGCTGGCGCACGGGTACGTATCACCCCGGCCTGCCAGGATTCCACTCACAACACGAAGCAGCAAAGAGAAGAAAACGAATGCACAAATCATCCTCGGTGATCTGGACCTCAAGCCATCTTCAGCTGTGATCGTATTTTGGCGCAGTGGATCCCAAGTGGGGAACCCGGAGAGAACAACCTGACGTCACCACGCCGCGTCATATATTCCCGCGTCAACGACCTCAAAGCACACCTTACTGTTTGCTACCAACCCCATACATATACGGACCGGAGAATAGATTATTCCCATACACGACACCCCTGCATCACATCATCAGTCGCCCGATATCGCGCCGCGGGCTTGGGCTCGTAATCTCTCGTATCCCGCGATAGCTCACACCAGTATTTGCCGGGCGGTCCAAAAGAGAAGGTCTGAAAAGACAGCAAGATTGGCGAGGCACACGCGCTCGTCTATCTCAACGCCAAAACGGGCATCGCTAAGAGCCATTGCGGAAGGTGACAACGCTTCGTAAACCAACAGCGCAGTTGATAACGGTTTGGCCTTTGCACGCTTTGGGGCTGGCGGCTGGTAAACGGCCTGCAGCTGGTTTGCAGGTTGGGGTAGGGCCAGGGCTCTATGTTTGGCAAACTGGGCTCAGGTTTGGGTTGACGCATGTGGAACCGAGGAGTCGACGTCCATAACGATACTCAACATCAGGTTCGTTTGCTGTGCTTCCTGCCTGTGACGGTGCGGGGTCGGAAGCGCTGAACGGCTGAGACAGCTGTGCTGATTTGCTTGCCCATGTAGGTACTTACTACATGTACGTACATATGTACGTATCTTTTCGCAACCGGTGACGGCATTCTCTTTTCATCTCGATTAACACTCTGTGAAGCATTTCCGGAACGGGAGAATCTTCTGGATTTCATCCCAACCTTTTTACCCTTCTTGCCATTCAACTCCTGCATACGCACTCTTCGTTTAATATACAAAATCAAGATGTCATCGATCGACGACACAGCTGAAGTGCCTCCATTGTTCACTTTGCCTTCTGAGCTGATCCATCACATCTTGTCGTTTCTACAGTGGCAAGATCTTCTCGCCGTCGGCCTGGCAAGTCGCGCGCTACATGAGCACTCGCAACAAGACACACTTTATCATCAGATTGTTCAAGACAACGTACCCGACTCTATTGTGCGCAAACCGGCAAACCTATCATGGCGCGAACTCTTTATACAGCACCACCCGTACTGGTTCATCGTGAAGAAGAGAATATGGTTTGCCGACAATCCCCACACGGGGAAGCTCATCGTTGCGCGATACGACCACCGCATTAATGCTATAGAGGCATACACTCTCATGGCAGAACGTCGTCAACCCGCGTTTCAAACCTGGGAATGGAACCCCGATGCCATCATTCACACCTTCCACCCCCGTATCCAACTTGATCTGAACCAGCCGATGGTGCGGCTGAATCAGTATGGGTACGAGAATAGTGATCGCAGTATTCAGAATCGACTCCAACGAGAGATTCAGATGCATCTGAGCAACGAGTCAACGCGACCTTCAGCGGGTCTATACTCATCCATCATGCTCGCGAGACCATGGCCTGCCGGCATTACGACAGAGGCAACACCCATATGGCCACTGCTTACCATCCCCAGCTCATCACGAACCCGCACCGACTCGTCGACGCATTTCCGCAACATCGGGAACAGACCGTCGAGTCTGTCTGAGCTGTCCACGGGGACATTCAGAATGCGACGGTGGATGGAGTTCTGGTCGCCGCGTCAACACATAGGCTCTGTACGGGTTGGTGAGGAGATCACAACGTGGGCAACGCTACCAGAGGAAAGCTACACCCCAACCCCGCAGAAGCCATGGCAGGGAATCTGGTGTGGTGACTACGCTGGACATGGATGTGAGTTCCTCGCGATCATGCAACCTGACGAGCCGCAACCGTTGCCTTTACAGGCAGAGAGAGCGATGCGGTCGAGGGAGCGAGAGGGAAGCGTAAGTAGTGACGGATCATGGAGCACAGCGCCTACCGACGCCACGGAGGAGTGGGAGGACGAATTTGGGGACGACTTCGATCACTCTTCTGCAGATTCATCGTCTCTAGGGGACAGTGCCGCCACCCTTCACGCTGCAGTCAATACCGCCGGTGAGAGGAAGGGGTTCTCACAGGACTCGTGGTCATCCTCAAATGACGAGACTAAGTACCGCGGACGCATCGAAGCCGTCAAACTCACGGGCGACCCCAATATCCCGAGAGGCGAGTACACCTTCATCGCACCGGACATCGGGCCTAATGGGCTGATTCGAGTGGCGACCGAGGAGCTGTTCAAAGGAGCTCGCATCGTGAAGAGCGTAGGACACATTGCTGCCAGAGGTTTTCGAGACCGTGAGTAATCATGGACTGCCAGTATTTTTCAGGCGTGGCTAATCAGATGATAGAGGATTACATGCCGTCACAGCTTATTCTCATCTCGCATGATCGGCTGGCACAGTACTGGGAGACGTTTGGGCACGTTTCTTTTTACCAGCGGGTCAATGTGGAGGAATTTACTCGGATCCCGTAATCCCATCGTAGGTTCTGAACGCTTTTTGGGACCGGAGTACTTGGTATCGTATGGGTTACCGACAGGTCGTTGGCATGTTATTTTACCCCGTATGCATTTTATGAAAAAAAATCAACATTCTATTCTATGAAGTCTGGCTTTTCCCATCCTCTTCTTTCCCCTATTCTCCACTTCCACCCCACACAGATCATCAGTACACATGTTCCCGGGTATCAGTCACGCGAGCGAAGTCAGATGCGTTGGGTGCTAGAATTTACAGGGACTTGTAGGTTGCATGTAATTGTGCATAATCTCACGCACAAAGGCACTATACAAGCTTCTGCTCATGTACTAATGGAGAATCCCCGTATTCCCCTGCAGTCATCCAATAAATGTAACCTCCCTGGATGCCACACTATTTCGGTAGATGACGAAAGACATTGATAGCGCTGCAGCTCCTGATGTAGCTTAGCTTCCGAAGATCGGCGCCCGGATAGAAAACACCAATCACACAGTAGAGAATAGATTACGGGATGTATCGAATTTTGCTCTCCACGCCAATCCTCCGCATCCGCCAAAGTTTCGTCGGATGACTCTTTTGACAGAACAACAAAGAAGGTTGGAAGGGGTATCTCTATCGACTCAATGGCTGCACGACGCACTCTCCGCATTGGTACGTCCCCTCAAATATCCATCAAGAACCTTTTCACAACCAATTGCCCCAACTAATCTACAATCTCCAACGTTCCACACCCATGCCCAATACCACAACCACCACTCCATTCCATCAACTTATTAACACCATACTCTCAGGCCTCATCCCCGGCGATGGCATCGGCCGCGAAGTCATCCCCGCCGGTCGCCGCGTTCTCGAAGCACTCCCATCTTCCCTCGGCCTAAAATTCTCCTTCACCCACCACGAAGCCGGCTTCGAAACCTTCCAAAAGCGCGGCGCCGCCCTGCCTGACTCCACCGTCGAAGAACTGAAGTCTTCCTGCGATGGTGCGCTCTTCGGTGCTGTCTCTTCGCCGACTACAAAGGTTGAGGGGTATTCCAGTCCCATTGTTGCTCTCAGGAAGAGGCTGGCATTGTATGCGAATGTACGGCCTGTAAAGAGCATCCGGACGGCGAAGAGTGGCGTTGATTTGGTCATTGTGCGGGAAAACACCGAGGATCTTTACGTCAAGGAGGAGAAGAGCTACAACGCGCCTGATGGAAGCAGGATCGCGGAAGCCATCAAACGTATCTCCGAGACCGCATCCGCGAACATTGCAGCAATGGCCGGTGATATCGCGCTGCGACGTCAACGCGTCCGTGACGCCGGAGCGTCGTCGATCCACAAATCTCCGCTGGTCACCATCACACACAAGAGCAACGTGCTGTCTCAAACCGACGGGCTCTTCCGCGAAACCGCCCGCAAGATCCTCGCGCAGCAGAAATACTCTCCCGCCGTGTCAATCGAAGAGCAAATCGTGGATTCGATGGTGTACAAGCTCTTCCGCCAACCGTCCGATTACGACGTCATTGTCGCGCCCAACCTCTACGGTGACATTCTGTCCGACGGCGCTGCCGCACTTGTCGGATCCCTCGGTCTTGTTCCCTCTGCGAACGTAGGTAAAGAATTCGTGATCGGTGAGCCGTGCCATGGAAGTGCGCCGGACATCGAGGGAATGGGGATCGCGAACCCGATTGCGACAATCAGGAGCACCGCTTTGATGTTGGAGTTCCAGGGCGAGGAGGAGGCTGCGGCGAAGATTTATGAGGCCGTTGATGCGAATTTGGAGGAGGGGAAGCTGTTGACGCCTGATATGGGCGGCAAGGCTAAGACTGAGGAGGTTATTGAGGATGTGTGCAGACGGTTGTAAGCGTCTGTGGGCGTGAGGGGATGTGATCTATACATTGTATATTGAAAATTTGGCTCGATTGGGGACAATATTTTGGGTGGATTCTCATCGTTTCATTAATACACGCGCAAAAGCCTTGTTGTCTATGTATCGCAAAAAAAATGTCTAGAATATCATGAAGGTGTACTGTCCTCAACCCCTCTCGCCCTCTGCTCATGATCTATTGGTCTCTCCTTATGCATCGTTTTTGCATCTCTATTGATCGAATCTCTCCTCTCGAACCCAAAACATCAAGGCTGATTAGTCGCGAAGACAATAAGCACAGCACTGAGAAAAACTGAACGTCCAAATCAAAAAGCAAAACAAGAACATAACATTCAAGAGTGGGGATACAATTCGCATCTCCCCTCCATGCAATATCGAAAGCATTCGAGTCTATCCAAGACTCATTCCCAATCCAATTCCAGCATTGCTCTAACCAGTTAACCCCATGTACTCCATCCCTCCCCCTTTAATCCAGATCCTCAACCTCCTTCTGCCCCTCCGTCACCGCAGCCGCGGCATCATTCTTATCTTGACCCTCAACATCCTTGACCGGGATAAGCGTGAAGACAAAAACCAGTAGTTCCTGTCCGCTGGAGCGGTTCTTGAGCACGTATCTAAGGGAGTGGGGGCTTAGCCTGCGTCAGTCTTCTTGATAAACCATTTTTGAACAACATCTCTTCTCTTCTATTCCTCTTCGCCGTCGCCGAGAGGGAAACGCTCGCGGGCGGTGGATTGAAATAAGGAGCCTCGCGCTCTCGCACTCGGAGGGTAGGGGGAACTAAGACTTACCGCAGATCCTGCCCATCCCAATTCCCTAGAATTCCAATCGCAGGCATCCCGTAGCCCAGCTTCAGCGCAAACTCATTGAAGTCGAGATACGGGTTGAAGAAATCGCAGTGGTACTCTTGATCCTTCTTGAACACGAATTGCTCACGGTTAGACGGTGTGAGGAAGAACTTCTGCCGCGCAGACGACGTCTGCGGTATCGCCACACTCTCCTCCGCTGATGTAGACTCCGTGAAGATGGGGAAAGCGTCCTGCTTTTTCTCGGCCTCGGAGGGGGAAGCGGAGGGAATGGAGAGGACGTTGATGCTGGAGAGTAAAGGGCCGTAGAGGTACGGTTCGTCTGCGAGGACGTCGCCTTCGAGACCGGGATCGATCCACCATTTCACTATCCCGAATGCCTTGTCGAACAGCGGGGGTAGTCTATCCCTGATTGGATGGTCGAAGTCGTTGCCGAAGACTAGGTCATCGCCGCCGATGTCTTCCTTGGGCGTGAACGAAAACGAGATGGAGTAGCGGTCGTAAGTGTGCGCTGAATCGGAGAAGTAGGGCGATGTTGAGGGGGAGGAGGATGGGAGACCTCGGTAGTCTTTTATGCGGACTGTGAGGGAGGCGTCGAGATGGGGCGAGGAGATGTGGATGGGGGTTTCGGTGTTCACGGGGATCGTGGTGTTGGTGGAGGAGGCGTAGGTTGGGCCCGCTGTAACCTTGAGGATGTATTGGGAGTGGTGGGGTGGCATTTTTGCGTGGTTTGCAGGTTGGCCTGTCTCTCAGGGCTGTTTTTTTCCTCTCTCTTGGTTCGGGGGTTGGTGGTGTTTTATATATCTTTTTGTTTTACGTTGGAACGGGGGGAGATGGTTGTAAAGACGGGAAGAGAAGGAAGGGGGGTGTTTTCCGCGAATCGAGCGAGTGTGCTTTCGTTGCTTGGTTGACAGATGCGAGAAAAATTGTTGATCAATAAAGTGAGGTATAATGACGTTCGGCGATGATCTACGCGGGGAATCCATACCAACACTAGTCCCGATCCGGGCATGGGCATCTGTCTGGCCAAGTGCTTGTGCCGAGGTCAGCAATTAGTCCTTGACGAGATGCAGGAACATGTATGAGAGATGAGCGATGTTCGAATGTTTTCCCCATACATCAATTAGCATGATGAGGAATTGACGAGGTGCCTCCAAGGGTCAGCTCATGTGAGAAGTTAATTATAAACAGTTCGCTCCCGACAGGTCGATGACTCGAGGTGGTATTCAATGCACGTGAGCAAGTATGTAGAATTCGAGTTTGCTAGAATAATTGACCTGAAAAAGAGCTGGATAAATACTATGGCATATTCCTAGCCACTATACCTAACTTTTCGTGTCCGCTGCTTCCGCCTGCCACCGACTCAACTTACTACGAGCAGAAATTACATCTGGAAAATCCGACCCCAAAGCCTTTTCCTGTTCTTCGACGCAACATCTCATCATGGAGATAGCTTCTTGCGCACGCCCCTGCAAATAAAACGTGGCAGAAAGAGTGTGCTGAGACTTGAAAGTCTGTGGATGTTCACTCCCAAGAATTCGTTGTCTGACCTCAACCCCCTGAAATGCGAGGGTTTCGGCTTCGACATACCTTTTCTGGGACCACAACAACGGAACAAGCCTGTCGATAGTGTCTGCGGCCTGCAAGTTCCATGTCACGGGACTCTTAGCCAGTCTTTCGAGGATCTCATGGTAGATTACCTCTGCATCTTCGTATTTTTCCTGCCATTCTAGTGCAATTCCCAGATTGTGGCGACATGCGACAGTCTTTGGATGCTCGGGTCCGGCCTTCTTTTCAAAACTCTTGACCGCACGGCGCCACTTCTTTTCCGCCTTAACGAGGGCTCCCATCTCTTTGAGAGCTAATACAAGATGAAGAATGTATGGAAATGTGTCTGGGTGACCTTTACCATAACCTGAAAGCTTCTTCAATCCGTTTAATGCTTCTCGGAGCATATCTTCAGCTTCCCTGAATCTACCGGAGTTGCTAAGTAGTTCTCCAAGATGGCTAATAGCGTAAAATGTGGTAGGATGCTTCGGCCCATGTCTACTTTCGTACCCCTGTATAACACGACGAAACGTCTCTTCCGCTTCTGCAAACTTTTCTTGTACCCGGAGTATGTGACCGAAATCTTGCAAACGTGAGAGCGTCTCATCATCGCTAGGGCCTTTCACGTCTACCAAGTATCCGACTTCTCTATGCAGGTAATCTTCTGCGACGCTGAACTTCTTCTTGAGAATGAAAAATCTCCCTAGCTTGCGGCAGATCTGGGCTTTGTTGAGTGCATCTTCTCCATCCCGGATAGAATGCTCGATCACCACTGTCGCATGCTGGATAAGGGCCTCGCAAGTTTTCCATGTTCCGTATTCCCCACTTGGGTATACATTTACCATGATACGAATTGATTCTTTTTTCCACTCCTCCAGGCGAGCGCTCTGTTCGAGCCACATGTTTGCCGAAAGGCGCACCAGTTGGGGGACTGTGACCGCATTCCTACCCTCCGTCATTTTGATGAGCGAGAAGTCTAATAATGGCCTGAGCGCCCGATCGATCGGTATTTGGTCTTCTCCCTCTTTCAAGATAGGTTTGAAAAGCGAGGTCGGAATCTCACCGTCCCCATACACGCTGATCAATGAGAGGATATCCGCCGCTGGTGTACAAGTGCTGAAAATGTACTTAAAAGACACCAACCACGTCTCCAGCACCGAATGCTTTTTCATGCCAGCGTCTTTGGGATCTTTCCACTGTTGCTTTAGGATGTGTTGCTTCTGTTCTTTGAATTGTTGAAGATCGTATAGCCCAACTGGCATAGGCGAAGCACTTTCCTTGATGCTGGCACCGGCCTGACGGATCGCGTAAGGCATGCAGTCGACCGACAAAACGACCTTGATTACTTCCGGGCGGTAGATCTCAAGGAATGGCGCGCATGATTTGAATAAACCAACCGCATCTTCGACTTCTAACGGGCCAACTTCGATGACGTTCTCGTGTGATCCAGCGAAATTGGATACTGATACTCGGTTTCTCGATGTCACAATGACAGTTCCGGTCGAAGAAGACGGGATGTATCTCTCAAGCGGCTCAATGCTGTCGTCTACTCCGTCTAAGATCATCACCCATTGCCCATTTGTAACATCACTGAGCCAATCATGCATCAATTGTAAATGATCCATATTCGAATGTCTCATCTCCGGGGACAGAATCTTCTCTGCGGCATCTTCGAGGTCTCGCTTGAACTCAGTTGGATTGCTAGCGTGGATCCACAAGATATGAGTGTGCGATTCGGATTCTTTGACATGGTGCGCGTATTGGAGTGCGATGTCAGATTTTCTAGTCTGAATCAGTTTTCCTACAGGTCACTCTTCGAAATTGTTTACTTACCCAAAGTCTCCCAGCCCTACGAGCGCTGCGCGCGCATGTGTTTCTGTCTGTTCTCGAAGTTGATTCAGAGCAGACATGATTCCATCTCGTCCCACGAAAGGACCGTTGTTTCGAGGAGGTATGATGTGATGAGCTTCGATCGGCACTGTTGTGATTGTAAGCGACTAAGCATTTGTGAGCCTCGCCATGAAAAATGGTATAACATACCAGGGAGCTCAACCGGAGGCGTAAAGAGACCTAGAGATTCATCATTTGCTCCTTGTAATGTCAGTTCACACATTGCTTGCAACATAGAGTAAATGAACTTACCCGGAAGTTCTGCTATACCAGATGCGTCGAGCTGACCGGACTCTAAGTCCCTCAGGAAGTTCTTCAGTACTTTATGAACTGCCCGGTAACCTTCGTCGTTCCTGGTCTTGTATTTGATCATTTCTCGGTGATTCGCAGATATGGTTTCAACAGTTTCAAACCTGTCTCCCAGGTCCAAGACGGAGGAGGAATCATCGACAATCTTCTGACGTTAGAATGACATATGCACTGTACCAACTGTACAATACCTTTTTACCGCCTATCGCTGCACACGCTTCCTGGAAAGAATGAATCTTCATTGAACCGTCCATTCCCAGAACCAGATCCCTGAATCTCTGGTCAATGTCGCTCAATACCCAGTCATTCTCTCTCAAGCCTTTCAAGACTTTTCTGTTGGTCTCAGGCATGAGTAACTTGACGAACCTCGCGGCTGTATCCCCCCAGCTCGCGAAATCGCTGCCGATGTGGGGGGTTCCAAAGAACATCACGAGCCTCGTATTTGCCTCTAGCATTCTCGAACGCGATATAGCCTTCCATTAATCGGTTAGTTTGACGTAAATATCCGTTGCTAACCATATCATCTTCACTCACATCTTTAACAAGTATACCACCAAGATTATGCGCCAAAAAGACGATAGGCTCCTGTATCCCCCGATCAGCTGTGGAGTTACTATCATATCGACAACCCGTCATCTCACCGTCATTCCGACATATCTCTCCACCTTAGCTCTCAGATCCCCACTGTGCTGAGAGATATTGTTTTGATTGTTCGCACGAAAAATCCGCACGGGATCCGCATCGTATCCGTACATCCAGATCCTAGCTTTCCGAAGATCGTCCGCTAAATAATCCTCAGGCCAGAACACGGTAGATGGAAACGGCTGCGTGATTTCGGGAGAGGCATCTGGTGTGCTACAGGTCGAACTGCTCTGCTCTGAGTTTTTTCGTTTGAACGACCAGTTCGATTTGCTTCTTTGTTTCTCAGGTACAGCTTCCCATGTTTTTCGGGGATCACCTTTGAAACCGTGAACGAGGATGATGTTGAAGGAGTGTCAGTCTTGTTTGGCCAGGGGATATATCGGTTGATGCCAGCGTACTTCAACACCCCTTGTCCATTGTCTAGCGCGGTACCCTCTGAGATCTGGGTTAAGCCTAGCCGATGCACAGTAGCCATGCGGAGAGGTTTATGTCAGAAGCACTTAATATAATGAAGTGGATCTGTCCGTACAAGAGTGAATATGTTGAAAGGATGTCAAGAAAGGAGATGTCTCAACCCCAGCGATATTAAAGTATTGTATTGTTGAAAAGCAGTCCCGGATCTGCCTTGCCATCCCCCTCACAGTCCTCAGCAGCGAAGAACCACGAATAGCGCCAGGCTGAACCATTTGTCCTCCGAGAGCATTATTTGTTGGGGACTTATGTGTGTCTCGTGTAAGCCATGAATCGAATCACTTCTCGAGCTCATGTACCCTGTTTTACACAGCATCGGATAACTGTATAATTTTGGAAACAGGGCTGTCACAGGTCCTAAGTCCAACACGAGGGACAGAATGAAGACACTTGCATGTCACATTGACGGATGATATCATTTCCAGAGTAGTGAGAGGGGTATTTGGGAGATGTCTGATATCCAATCGCATGCACGTGGCGGGTGCCACAGAATCCCAACGCTTATGCGGGAGCGATGCGTTCGTTACATGTGTTGCAGCTGTGTTCAGGTCTAGCGAACCTCTGTATGCCTCTTGTTGCTCGGAATCGAACCTTTTCGTTTTATTTGTCAAATCTTGAATTTCGAACCTCTTGTACAACAAAGGCTGGGTTACCCTGCTGTCACCTAACTCCTACCGTGGAATCGGCGACGTTCCGGTCATATACGTGGTGACCTCCTGATCGACAGGAGGGTATCAGGCTGTTTGATCTCGCAGCCATCTTTCCTGCATGCGACTTGTATTCTTCAGCCTTCCCTCCGTCGTATTCAGAGCTAGCGAAAATTCAAGTAACGACATCGATGAAATGTATGCACACTAATCTAGAAGAGGAAAACGCAGGACCACAGCGCCAGCTAAGCCCCGTCCAGATATTTATATTGGTCAGTGTAAGCTCCCTCACTGCACAAGAGTACGTTCGTAGAAGCCCCTTACAGCCTTTTGGAGCATATGCCGATGTCGTATTCGCTAGAGTCTGATCGCATTTTGGGGCGGATCCGGAGGAATGCTACGAAACTGTAGCTGTTAATGCCATCGGCGAGGTGTTGATTGCCGAGGCGCTATAGATCTTTGGCCTTAGCTGAAGCGCGCCTGATCTGGCGGATAAGAGGAGTATGCTGTGTCTGCGATGAACACAAGGCGTGGTATGCGATGTCGGGCTATTTCCTGCAGGAACAGGAAAAGATAGAGAAAGAGATGAAGTTGTATGCTAACCCCCGGCGACGCTACTGATACAGTCTTCTCCTTATCATGATCAAAGATGACTGGGATGTCTGGAAACTACAATGTACGCGCACAGAGGGAGCATGCCAAAAATCGACAACGATTCATCGTGCGAGGTGGCATTCGGAAAAGCGAAACCGGGCTGATCATCAATACGACACATCAGAGAAACATTACTTGGCCGCCCCCACGATTTCCTCCTTCCTGCTGGGCTTATATGAAACTCGAGCTATGATTCGTAGCCGAGTCGGACATCGATTATTGACGGAAGTGGTACACTATTTCATATTTATGATTGGCCCCAAGCAGTGTCCAACCGAAAGTGGCTGCCTCGTATTTCTACAAAAACATATCAATGTAGCCTGTACCAGCAGAGCGGCAGGAGAGAAAGTATGAAGACATTTATCTTCCGATACCACAGCCCTTCTGCAGAAAGTTCCCATGTGAGCAGACCACATGCAGTGGTCAATCATATTCCACACTACGCCATAGCTCACGGACAAGCGCAACATGTGAGTGGGCTCGAATTAGACATGCGCGAGACGGTCATTGTTTTGACACTATGATAGATGGATCCAAATGCGCTATATCCTACACCAACTTCAGATCTAGAAGTGTACCATAGAAACACATTTCCAACCTACCCTGAATGCGCGATCTCACCATCTGACAAGGAAGTCTTCGAGCATCAACCAAAGAAGAAAGAAACGATTACACAAAAGTTGCGGAAGCGGAAAATCTGGGTGATTGTGGCAGTTTTCATCACAGTGCTCATGATCTTAATAAGCGTTTTGGCGGGAGTCCTCGTATCCAAGAAAAGCAGGACTGGATCCTCAAGTCCAACAGTTCAGCAACCCGAAGATCAGGCTAGTGCAGTCTCCAGCCAGACTCCCAGCACGACATCGAGCTCCGCAGACGCCATACAAACGAAAGTCGGAGACAACGGTGTAAACGCGTACCAAAGCTGTCCAAGCAGCGACGAAAAGAACTACACAACACTCGCCACGCCCGGGCAGAGAAGCCAAACATATCGGATACGATGTAACTGGCTACCCAGATACGAGTATCGCGAAGGTGCGAAGGGATATCCGTTTACAGAGTTCACGGACTCGCTAGAGAAGTGCATAGAGATGTGCACGGATTACAACAACAAGAATGGGACTTCGTCGGGAGGCCCTTGTATGACTGTAACTTGGCGGCCAGATCTCAGGCAGCCGTTATGGAGGAAGTGTTGGGCTGGGTTTGAACCGGCTGACAATGATAAGTTATGGCAGGGGCGGTTTACGAATATTACGGGAAGCACTGATGTGTCGGTGGATAGCGCGATTTTGCTTCTCTAAGTGGGTGGTGATATTTCTTTCTAATACAGCTCCCAGGGTCTGAAAATCATCCCACAAGTTCTTTCATGCACTGTAAATCCATTCCAGATCGCCAAAACTGGGGGTTAGGAGGCTCTACAATATAGTTCGATAAACTTGCCCTCAAGAGGTCCGCCCACGAACATCTCTGCCGCGGTGTGCATATCGGCTACCCCAAGCGCATTTTTCATCTCCTCAACAACGGCATCTGGCTTTCCAGCTAGTCCAACGTTCACTCTCCGCAGCAATAACTCAGACAAAGGATTTGTGTCTTCGGAATTTTGCACATTTCCAAAGGCTAACGGCCAATCTGTACACGCGCCCCACACAGCTAGCGTGGCATGGGCAGATAGTCGTTGGTGTTTGCGAAGTGGCAGTCTTGCGAAATATTCTATAGACATAACTATGTTCTTTACTAAAGAACGGACCTCGTTCTCCCGGGGGCTAGGGGTAGGGGTAACAAGGTCACGGGAATCGGAGTTTTCTACGACGCTGGCTTGTGTATCGTTTGTCGCACAAAGGTATTGAAGACGATTCTCCAACCTAAGAAGCATGAGACGGTTTTGCCAATAGTAGGTAAGTGCTTCAAAATCATCGACAGACGCAAACTCCGAGCTTCGCCGAAGTAGAGGCGAACTGGAGCCAGGGCATGTTGATGAGGAAACAGTGACGTTTTGCAATATTCGAACCTCAGTCTCATAGTCCTGCAGGGCGAGGAGTGATTCCAATAACGTGAACGCATCTGCGAGTGAGTGGCGATGAATGCGTTGAGAACGGACGAGGCCCACCAATCGCGGAATACGGATGAACAACTCGCTACCAAGAGCTTTGAATTGTGCCTGGCCGCTCCCACTGCTGCCTTCCTTGTCATTTGCATAGTAAGACCTGGGAACGTTTTCGAATGGCGAGGCAGTGCCTTGTATGCATGCCATAATAGCGGAATCGCAAATGTGGAAGTCAAGAATCTGCCTCGCAAGTCGAGTTACTGGGTATCCAGGAGGTCTCGCTGCTAAGATAGCTGCCAACCCATGAACGTGTAACCGAGTCGGAATGCCATGCTTATGAATAGTAGCTTCCAGATGCGCGAGCAGCGCCGTCGAAGCCAGCATGTTATCGTCAAGCTTTTCAGGCGAATGGTCAAAATTCCGTCGAACAGCATTAAGAGCCAGCGCTAAAGCTCGATAGCAATCATCGCGCGTGAATCTCGCCTCGCCTCGAGCATAGAAACATGCTGCGACCATTGCTTTGCAGGATAGATCCAAAGCTTGCGTGTTGCCTACGCGGGCGGGGAGGTGTCGAAACCATTCCCGTTCTACTCTTTGGAAGCGGATGATATCGAGGGATTGGACAATTATGACTGCCTCGGTTGAGAGGGGCGTGTGATGGAGTTGAGCTTGCCAATTCCAATGCCTGATATTCTTCTGACCAATCGCGGAACGCTGTGAAGAGTCTATGCTGAAGAATCGCGAAATAGTAGAATTTTCTGTTGTATTTTGCTCATCTGGTAAGGATGACGTATGGCTGTGTACCACCGCTGATCGAGAAGGAAGCTCGATGATAACACGCGAAACGTTGTTGCCGACATGTGCATGTACAGCATCTGATGCTGGCTCCGGCTTACCATCGGGACTTGGTCGTCCCAACACAGTCTGCCGGATTTTGCACGGTATACCTAATCTTTTGCATCGGTAGCAAGGTGTCTCGGCCGTCGTGAGCTCACCCGGCTCGGGGACTTCGACTCCGCTGGGCAATTCGCACCGTATTCGTCTCTCTCGGCACCCAATGCAGATCAAACGGGAATATGCACCTCTGGAACGCTTGCGACCTTTGTTTGCTGTTCTGACATTTCGATTGATGATTTATCTCGAGCTTTCGGGTCGTCTTAATAATGGAGATCGATGATTCGATGGATGACGCCTCTCGTGGAGACCCATTCGGTATTCTCCTGACTAGACCCTATAAATCAGTTATGCCTCTTTCTATTGGTTCGCTTACTACATGTCTTGGCAAATCTGCACCAGCGCTACCTGTTTTGGACTAGTCAATCAAGCATATACTGCGCGCTCATCATTTCATAGCGGACCGCACTGCGCAGTGCATAGGGAGACATGACAGAATTGTAGCTTCAAGTCGATGAGCACGTATTGAGGCTGGGGCCAGTCCATATGGGGATGACATAGTCGGCTCTACCTGGCACACATGCTAATGAGGGATGCTTACGTTGCAGGAAGAGGCTGAGCTGCATGCATGTCTTAAATGATCAAGTGTTATAGACAGTACGTCAACGTGCACAAACAGGGATAGCCATTTCGCATATGCTACACAAGATACAACGCCGCTAGTACCAACACGGCGCGATTCGTCGTTCCGCGCTGAACTTCTAACTCGTCACTTCTCGTACGGGAATGCATTTGCATAGTTAGGAAATACATAGAATGGTGGAAGATGGTGTATATATATCGCTTCCTATGTGTAAAGAATAACATATATCACATCAGGATATTACATTGACTGCCTCATCTGGACAGAAATACTGCTTGAACATGCTATATCTATTCACATTGCTTCCACTCTTCATAGCCAGCAAGGCTGAGGGCTATGATCTTCCTACCCCGGCCGGAAAATACAACATCAAATTAACAAGCGGCCCCCTCGTCGACTACTCCCGCGATGGCTGGAAGTCCATGATATCAGTCTTTCAACCGGCGCATTGCAAGTCAGTTGGCACAATCCCCAACATGCCTAATGAAACTGCCAAAATTTTGGAATCATACACCAAAGAATATGCAGGATCGTTCGGCAATACAACTGTTGACATTGATGGACTTTTTCAAGCTGCTCGCCTCCCAGTCTGTGTGGGCGATGCTTCCAGCATTACCCCCGTTCCAGACAGCCCCATCTTGCTCTTGTCTCCCGGACACGGGGGCTCTCGACTCTGGTTCAACGTTCTTGCTTCTGCTATCGCCAGCGAAGGTTTCACGGTCATCTCCATGGATCATCCTGGGGACTGTAGAGTCATTGAGTTCCCGGATGGCCAGCTACTCGAGAAGAGTCCTTTGGATGGTAGCTTACCTCCAACTGACGAGCTGGTTTATCTTCGCGGTAACGACACTACCTTTGTCATAGACCAGTTAAGCAACGCATCTGCTATGGCAGAATTGGGTCTCTCAACTTTCCAGTCCGATCGTATCGCAATTTTGGGACATTCCCTGGGTGGGTGCACCGCGCTCCAAGTAGCGGCGCACGATCCGCGTATCGTCGCAGCCATCGACTGGGCGGGGCCTGTCGTGACAGACCTACCACCATCCGGGATTGCACAACCAGTATCATTCGTGAGTTCGGAGAATGAAAGTAACTGGACTGTCGATGGTATGGAAGTTGGCTGGGATCTAATCCATGGTCCCAAACTATGGACTGAGATTGCCAATTTGGAGCATACGGGTTTCCTGGATATGATGAATATGCTGAAAGCTGCTGGACAGGATCCAGCGCAGTTTGCAGAGGTGTTGGGGACGATTGATCCGGACGAGCAAAATAAAATCCATGTGGCATATACTACTGAGTGGTTGAAAGGTGCTTTTCAGGGCAAGATTGGGGGTTCTTTGTTAGAGGGTGAGCAGCCGGAGAGGTTTCCGGAGGTGAGGGTTGTGAAGAAGGAGGGTTTCTGAGCTCATATCTGGAACTGTACACATTCTGGTGCGCTTTTTCCACGCGTGTTTAGCCTCTAATTTGGGTTCGATGGGTTTGGGCATCTTGGTTTGATTCCTCCAAACTGTCAAGTGCCCAAATCTGGCAGTCTGGCTGAATTTGCGAATTGGATCATCTATAGCTCATTCCCACTCCTCTATATACAGGTCCTCTTGTTTCAATATCAATCTAGATTTCCCCGGTTTCGATGTAAGCGGTTTCCTCTTATGTTTCGCTTCATGGTCTCCAAAAGTCACCCAATGAGCACAGTAGTCCGCGTTGTTCAAGTTTTCCACCCGTCCCCCCCACTCCGTTACAATTTCCGAGCTCGTGATGGCCTCATATTTATCATAATCCCGCTCGTCTTGATTCGGATTAGCATCGTAAAAGTACAAATGCTGCAGTAATTCGCGATTCTCCTCGCCGATCAAGCGCAGCCATTCAACCGGCCGCCCAAGATCAGAGACCTTGACTTCATATGCACCGGTTGACCATCCAGAGTCGCAGTAACCCGCTCGGAAGATGTTTTCTCGGTAGAAGATGGGAAGAGCGATTCGACGGGCTATGCGACATGTGCGGGCTATGGCGGGTTGTTCTGGGGGTCGTTCTTCGTTGCTGTTCCATTTATCCCTTGCTTTTCGTTCCTCCACGTAACGGCCATGGAAGGAGGAATCGCAGGGACAGTTCAAGAGCAGCGGTTCGTCATGAATGACGACGAGCTCGTAGATTTGGATTTGGAGCTCGGTTGGGAGAGTGGTGAGATAGCAACGCGAGATGACATGGTTTGCTAACAAATCCGTGACGTCGCTGGGTGCTGCCATGTTGATATCGAGGGTGAAGATGTTTCTTCATGTTCGCGATTTCGCCAGCTTTATGGGAAATGCTGAGTGAGCGCAGGCAGCGGTGCAACTCAAGGCAGCAGCCACTGATCCCGGTGAAATAGAGATCTCCGCCAATCAACCGCGCTTACTACGCCCCACATCCTGTACATCCGAGGTTAGGATACTCGCAGGCATCACCAAAATAGACAGAGGACTGAGGCTGAGATACGTATGAAAATGTCATCCCAAAGCAAAGGTACATACACAGTATGCAATTTTCATCGGACTCTGGAAAAGGAAGCATTGATCTACGCAATGGGACTTTTGAAGTTGCCACTGATAAATGTGTACACGCGTGACTACAAGTCGGCCCCCAGAACCAGACGCAAATCTGAAACAAACCTACCTACCTAGATACCTAAATAAGCATCCAGATAGTATAGCGCGGACGTACAAGATGAGATGGAAGATGATTGTCCGCTGCCACACCACTGCAACTGAGTGGAAAGGCAACATTTGAAACTCAGTCTCGGTCACTTGCCAATTTTACATGATGCGAGAGGATCAATGAATTTTCCCTCGTATCCTCACAATCTGTAATCCTCATGATAAAAAGTTTCTTTTCCTCATCGTCTTATAAGAGGGCCAATCGCGCGACTCTCAGTTAACTACCTCATACAGGCTGAAGGAGCCACTTCTGCTGCGACTCAGCCCCCCAAGTCCACTGAACCACAGGCGCACCATTCGTAGAATTCGAGGCTCCATCCAAAGATCCGCCACTGGCCTGGTTTTTAATCTGCCACGCGCCATCCGATTGCTGCTCTAGAAGCCACCGCTGATTGGAATTCCTGTTGCGCGGCCACTGTACCATCTGCACCCCATTCCCAGGTTTCCCTGCAGGACAGTCCAGCGCATTGAAGCTCGACATGCTGATGATATTCCACGAACCATCCGCGTTTTGCGAAAAATGCCAGCGCTGGTTCTGACCGCCGTTTCTCCCCCATTGCATAGCGACGGCGTCTTTTGTGTCCTTGTTGCCATTGTCGAGGAGAAGCCCCGTCTTCTGGTTGACCACGTAGTGTAGCCCTGCGATGGATCCTGGCTTGGTGGTTGGTGTGTATTGCAGCCATGCGGTCGCGCTGTCGAACTTATTCGCGAGCGCGGTATTGTCGTTGGGGGTTTGCCGGTCCCATGCATTGTCCGTGATACCAAGGTCGGAGCGACGGTTCTTCATGATCGCATCAGCATTTTGGACCATCCAGTCGTAGTATTTGTCCCAGAGCTGGTGATTGCGGATATAGTTGCCTGCGCCTCGCGCCGCTTCGTCAGCCCAGGTGTGGTCGTTGTTACCGCTGAGAACGCCGTTCTTCGCGATGTTCGTCTTTAGGTAGTCGAGTGCTTTTTGACCAATTGCTCTGACACTCGTGTTGCCTTTGCACATATACAACGTTTCAGTAAAATCTAGGAACGTGCCTTGATTATATGCTGCGGCCGCTTTGTTGAGTTTACCATCCGGCTCTACGCCTGTGTAGATCTGGCCTGTATCGGCGTCGTAGATGTGCGTTGTTACCCAGCCGTAAATTTGCTGGCATTTGTCCAAATAGCCCCTATCGTGCGTAGCCTGGTATAGTAGACAGGCGACTTTACCTATACAAACGTGTTAGAGATGTGGAAGTGGCATTGACATTCAGTGATCACGTACCCAAACTGTCATTCGCCAGAGCCTCCTTACTGAGCTTATTCCCATCCCCCACCGTACCTTCAGGGTTCTCTTCCCAAATACCACCCCCATTATACTGAGTGTCCCAACCTCGCGTGAACGCAAGATCAAACCCATACTTCGCTTGGTCCAAGAAACTTTGGGTACCAGTGATGAGGTAACCACGTGTAAGCGCCATTGTATACCACCCCAGATCATCATTCCACCAGTTCCACGTCCACGGTGGCGGGTTCTTCTTCAGCCAAGTCGTGCAAAGCTCATTGACCAGTGGTCTCTGGGCCGCGTCGCCGGTGCGCTCGTACGCGTCTTCTGCGACGAGGATGTTGAGGGCACCGGACCACGATGGGTCTGGCGTATCGTTGTTTAGGCTGGTTTTGTAGTATACATCGCTCCCTGATCTGATGAGGAGAGCGTTGTTGAAAGACTGAAAAATCGTGTCTGGGTCTCCTGCTGAGATCGCTGAGGATATTTGGGGTGCTGCTAGAAGGATCAGCGCCATAAAGCGCTTCTGTGCAGTGGTAGCCCTCATGTTGGCTTATAATGATATTGCTTTGAGTACCTCGCGAGGCAACTTATAGATCTCTAGAGATCTCTAACTTCATAAATTAGTCAATAACTTCATTTCCTTTCTAAACGGGGCGTAAGTTCGAGCGTGGAAACGGAGGCATGTGCGCGGCCATGGGGCCAAAAATTACGCCCGTAGGAGCTAACCTTTCCTAAAACACATTTATTGACATTCGCCCCACCCCCTTTCGAACCTTTTCATAATCGCAGTATCTGCTAAAAATATCTTCATCGCTGCTGAGTGTTGCTGTCAAACATGCATAGCGTTGTATCGGCAAATACGGTGTCAGGGATTGATCATTGAAGAAAATGTTGAATCCGTGAAAGCATGACCTTTAAATATCCAAGCGTCTGGGAAACTCTACAACCGCCCTCAGTATCCTAAATGAAAGGTTCATCCGCATCCAACACCGTCATCCTTGAAGCCCCTGCCTGTTGACATGCTTGGATATACAATGTTTCGACAACTTCTTCGACAGCAGCGTGCCCGCTGTTTTTTGCTAACCAAATTGCGTTCTCGCGCTGTGCACTTCCATCGCTTATCAAGTCCAGCCCATTCTCCGCCAGAAAATATAATGTGTCAATCCGCCCATTCTCCGCAGCCGCCTCAAAGGCTGTACGTCCCTCTATGCGGCAAGGTGATTCGTTGACCGAGGCGCCATGGTCGATTAGTAGCGCTACAATTGCGATATAACCCCCCGCGGCGGCAAGTTGTAAGGCTGTACGTCCAAGATGATGTGCAGGTGCTTCATCAGTTCTCGCACCCTCTTTGAGCAGATATTCCACCACATGAATTGCTCCAATTTCTGCGGCAGTTTGGAGAGCAGTTCTTGAACATCCCCATTTTGCTTGAGCATGGATGTCCCCTCCGCCTTCGACCAATATTTGAACTTTCATAAGATTGCCCAGCGACGCAGCTGATGCCAAAATGGTCGTGCGTCCAGGTTGCAGGAATGATGAATACGTCTCTAGATTGTAAATATAGTTAGGGTTCGCTCCATAAACTAGCAACGCTTGCGTCATTCTCAAACTTTCTTTACTGTCTTCTCGAACCGCAAGGCTTAGACCCATGCTAAGAACCTCTTCCCTGACTTCGATGAATGAATACCTCTCGAGTGTACAGGGACTTTGAGATTCCACCCCATCATCCATGCAAGCAAGGACAATGTATAAAACAGTGGCGTCTTCAGTTTCTATCGCGGAGCGAATGATATCGATCTCCAATCTCTTTCCTGAGTCTGCGTTCATCGTTCTCGCCGCTTTGATTAACAGTTGAATCAAATTTTGATTCCGAAGGATGGATAGCTCTGAACTGATACTTTTCGGTCCTCGATGAGGGTTCCTCTGAATGTGAATTTGAGCGCCTCGACTCAATAACTTGGCAATCAGCCCATGATCCCCAATGTGGATCGAAGCTCTCAACGGAGAGACATAATAAGTCGGTTCAGCGTGTGGCTGCTCCTTTTGGCCTAATGAAACTCCCATGTCCAGCAGAAAATCGGTCATGAATTGATTTCGACTGTAAATCGCAGTGGTGAGAAGCGGGCAAACTCCAAACAGATTGTACCGCTGTTTCCAGTCAACGATCTCGGGAACAGGAGCCCATGACGTACTCAATGGAGCCCCCGCATGTATGAGGCGCCGTACCATAGCCAGATTACCGGATATGACAGCAATGTGAAGTACATCATGGCTACGTTCCAGATCGTATGAAATATTCAGGAGACTGTTCGCTAGCTCATACTCCTTCAGTAGAAGAGTAGCAGACAACAAAGAATGGCTATAGATGATCTGAGAGCGTACAAGACTCTTGAGAGCATTGTTTCGGTTGCCCATATAGAGATAGAAATCTCCAAGGTCGATGCGAAACATTTCGTTAACGGCTAGCTGTGAGATATCATATCGCCTTTTGCATGTTTCCATTAACTCATCCATCCAAACGCTGTCGCCGATTCTTAGTGCCTGTGAAATTTTTGCAAGAAGAACCGCGTGGTGGTTCACGACCTCCTCGTAAAGCCCCCGTCTGCGGAAAATCGAGCTTGTTTGTTCGCATTCAAGACCAACAAGGAGCCCCGACACTTCTGAAAAATACGCTTCAGGGTTTCCCAAGACGTCATTGAAAAAAAGAGATTCCTTTTGATCCAAAAATACCTCAATAGCATGATGGCTGCTCGCATGGACGGACTGACGGAAAAGATGGGGAGATGACCGCGCGCCCAACTCGAGAAACTTTCGAACTGTTGTATCATTATGGCGGCGGATAGAAATGCTCAAACATGTTTCCAGGAACGACGTGTCATGTCTCTGCTTCTCAAACCATGATTGAGGCATGGAATCCAACATGGAATTCACGCGTGGGGTGTCCTCGACTGATACATAGTCTTGGAAAAAACCAGCTTCAGGGAATCTGACACCGGGTCTGGGATCAATTACTCTTATCATATCTAAATGATGGGATTCGAGGATATGTTGTCGCAAGGACGGCTCACATGGTATCAGATTTTCAGCAATGAGTAATCTGATGATATCAGGTCTGATTTCAGATATCACATCATTCGACCACAGATCATAATGCAGTTTTCTATCCCCGTGACGTAACAGAGTAGTGATGGCGTCAGAGTTGCTACTCTGAATTGCGTATGCTAAACAGCCAACAGGTAGTCCTGGTGGTAGGCTTTGACGTGAAGGGACCCAAATATGCGCTGGATCTAATCCTCGACTGAGTAATACTCTCATCGTCTCGTGCGCCCCGAGGATCACAGAAGCACGAAAGATACCCTCTTCTAAGGCTGCCCCGATATTATTTGGGAAAGATCTCAAGAAGGAGCAAAAACGTTGTTCGTTCCAAATGCTGAAGTGGCGGATAACAAGTTTGCACAGTTCGCTGGCAGGATCATCAGAGTCGTCCACTAGAGCTTTCCAATTAACGAGATTATTGGCGAACGCGTGTACCATAAAGTACAAAGCTCTAACACTCTGGGTCTGTCCCAACATAAGATCCCTAGCTCCCGATGGGAGTAGAATACGAAGTGGGGCCTCAACAGCGTCAGAGATTTGTTTTATGTTTGCTGGTAAGCTCAGGTGGAACTTATTTAACGCCGAAACGATGGAAGTGAGAGTTGGCGAAGATTGAGATAGATTTGATGCAAAATCCACAGGGGATACAAATTGCGTTGCCACAGTCGGGATTGGAGATGGGTAGGACGACCACGAGTCGTGGGGAAATCCACTGAAAAGAGCCTGCCATGGAGACGGAGTGCGGTTCGGTGACCATGTCGAATTCGGAGCATATCCGCCAGAAGTAGATGGAAAAGGGTATTCAAAGGGCGTGTAATTAAACTCTGGATGTCGAAAAATCTCCTCGACTTCAACAGGATCATGTATGCTTTCTGTGAGTGCGGGTGATGTTGTGATGCGCTCCAAGAATTCCCCAGTGATTGTAGAAGGATTTGATATTTCCAAGACGTCTGTTGATTTCACCTCGATCCGGAAACAGGGGGGGATCGGGATGTTGTCTGCGGTAGAGCGTGAGTAGACCTGTGTTTGCGTGCTTATTGCGTAGAAGGACATACCTAATGAATTCATATCATTCACGGCATTACCCGCGTACGTGCTTCTTTGTTTGTCCAGCTTTTTATGGGAAATCTTCCCACCATAAAGATACACTGTCAACTCTTGTTCAGCGACTCTAGTGCTGTTCAGGTTACGAAAAAGAGCTATCCACTCTTGCTTAGTGGCATTTTTACGAAAGCCCCAGTGTCTGAGCTTCGCCTCGTACTGCGCTTTGCTACTTTATTGTCAGATACGAACACTCTATGCACATTCCTCGTCTAGCAAAGAATGGGAGAAAACAACCTGGCTGTGAGACCGTGCTCTCGTTTCATGATATCGATGATCCCATCTTTGCCCCTGAGAGTCTTTCCCTCGTCAATGTACAGCCGCCTAATAATGTCCTTCTTGGCTTCCCAAGTCTCAGAGGTAATAATTCTGGATCTTTGTCGTGCGTCCATAGCTGCCAACAGTGGATGTTTGATAAAATTGCTGGGCCGCCGTAACTAGTGTTGGACTGGAAATCAGAAATCACAATTGATTCAAATCACTTAAGCAAATGCTCTGAATTGAGAAAAGTAGAGACGAGTTTGTTACTATTCAGCCCCAGTTACGGTGGGATTGGGGTTCGCGCTGATAACCATGGCAAGCGAGCAAAGCTCGACTGCGGGACATGGCCCAAAATCCTTTCAGCCTTCCCAAAATCGTTTCAACCTTTCCAAAATCTTGATACGCGTAGACCAACCATAGGTTGCCACAACGCCTCAAAGCGACCGGTCAAGACGGGTACGAGCTGATCTGCAGTCCAATCTATTGGCGGTCATCATGAACTGCATGGCTGGATCGCACTCGCATTGCGGTGGGGCAGCGACACCTGATCGGCATCTGCGAGGCATAAGCGAGCGGAGTTTGGGAACGGTTTTGGGGAGGATTTTGGGAAAGACTGCAGGAAAGATTTTGGAATTGGGATTTTGGAGGAAGATTTTGGAAATTTACGTGCGAAAGTCTGAACTGCAATAGTATTTTTGAACGAACTCTACGTCGTCGTATTCTGCTAGGCCAGAGTTCCTCAATTCGATACCTACTTGTGAGCATGATCTGGTCACGTGGCACCATCATTTTTTGCACCGTGGCTGCATCGTTTGCATTATGCGGTTGCATTGCTCTATGTTACTGGAAAATTAATGCGCACAAGAAAAAATCTAGTCAATCTCGCTGTACGTTCTGGAGCCATAATGAACAGTCAAATGTGGGTCGGCTAAAGGAGGACACAGTGGATGGGCGGGATGTGGAGAGCTCAACCATCACCGAGCTTCGAACCCATCCGGCCATCACCGAACAACAAAGTATCGGGAGGGCTACTGAGCCCAATCACCACGCATCTCGAGCCAATTCCCCGGCCCCTGATCCGGGCGTCGCATATACCGATGTCGCCTTTCGAGTGCAAATCGTCCCATTACCGATCTTGCCGCCCATTCCAGCTTGGTCAACCAATGAAATTCGCGAAGACATGAGCAATTCAGAACACATCGAATTGCCCTGAGAAAGATTGAATCATGACCGGAATGAGATGCACACCTACCAGACTTTGAAAGAAATCTGGTTCGTTCCACTAGTCTTTCATTGCCCAACAAAGCATCAATGGTCGATGCAAACCGCTCTCGACTCACAATAAGGCGTGGTCTCGTTCACAGCTGAGAAGCTGACTCTTGTTAGAAATCAATTAGCAATTTCATTTGCTGTTATTTTTTCGATTCATCGGATTTCCATGTGCCACAAACATGTGGTATATGTTGAAACGATTTCATGATGTCTGAGTCGATTCTAAGACTAAAGTGTCGTTCCCTACTGGTGTTGTACCTGATCTTGCTGATCGCTATGCCCTCGCACAATCAAATGCTGCCCCACCCAACCAGACTCGCTTAACCTATTCTCATATGAGCGAACAGAATTGACGTGATGTCTACGCTTTGATCCTGGTTTTTTGCGGCTTCAAGCCGTACCTGTTGTGAGATCTGAATAGCTGCTCCATGCTGACTCAGAAGAATGGACATTATCTCCTTTCCCTGGTGGCGATTACTTGCAGCTGCCAGCAGCACTTCTTCTGTGATCTCGATGTCTGCGCCGTAACGATCCAAGAGAAGTGATATCAATGGGCCGCCATTCCTGTTGCCTGCAGCTGCAACTACCACGTCCTGTGTAATTCGCATATGGGCGCAAGAGCAATCTAGTAGAAAGGCTAGAACATTCTGGATATTATGAACCCCAGCTGATTCTGCTATTTTTTGCGTAATTTCCAGTGGTGCTCCCTGCTGATGCCGCAATAAGAGCTCGAAGATATCCTTCCCACTCTGTTTGTTTGCTACTGCAGCTGCCACTAGTGAGGGGGTTAGCTCAACATTAGAGAGGCCTTCTTGGTCCAGGAGAATTGTCATAATCTCTCTACCATGCTTGCCATTTGCCGTGGCTGCGACGAGCAATCTGTCGAAAATCGCAACCTCCAGTCCTCGTGTCCGCTCAAGGAGAAGTCTCATCGCATCTTTGCTACTAAATCGAGCCGTAGCTACCAAAGCCTCTCTTCCGATCCAATCACCCTTCCAAGGTAGCGTCATGAAGAGTTCGATCATCTCTTGCCCAGTTCGTCTGTTCGCAGCAGCCTCTCCAATCACTGCTTGGGTAATTGGAACACCCGAACCATATTTTTGCAGAAACAACTCCACAATCTCTTTTCCGCTTCGAGTGTTTCCTGCTGCAGCACTAAGGGTCCCGGAAGATACTCGTATCTCGGGTCCGCGATATTTCAAAAGAATTTCCATCAGCTGCTTTCCGCACCGACGATTGCTAGCTGCAGCAATCAATACTGCATCGGTAATTTCGATTTCTATACCGCGCTGCTGCAGTAAACATTCTAGAATCTCGGGTCCGCATTGGTGATTCTTTGCTGCATGTAGTACTGTCGTCTCTCTTATTGGAATTTCTGAAGGACCGTAAGACTTCAGAAGCTTCTCTAGCATCTGTTTCCCATTGGTATCTGAAATCGTATAATTGAGTGTCTCGAGAATAGGTAAAGATATTTCGGGGCCGTTACCGCGAGACGTATCTCGAAGTGCGTAGTACGCTTTTCTCAAGGACGGAAGCCAGCGGATCAATTGCTGGAGTTTGTCATGAGAGACTTCAGAGCGACCTAATATGAAAGAGGCAGTTGTGCAAACAACTTCTTGGCTGCTTTTTGTATAGTCCGGCTGTAAATCATGAACGTGTTTTGCGTCTGAGGAGATACCGAGTAATGCATAGACCAAGTCTCTTGGATCGCTAGCTTTACTACCGCGGAACTTTTGAAGCAGGGTCCGTAGGTCTCTACTCTCATTCCACCATGAGCCATTTCTCGATGAACCCGGCATGATATCTAAGACGGCCTGGCAGTGATGTGGGAATACAGGTACGGATACCAACAATGGTGCCAGTGTGAAGAAATAGGCCGGAATAGATTTTCTGCCACTGAGTATCGTGGCTCGCTGCGCATTGGCCACTTCTTGTAGTATCCATACTCTCTCAAACCAAGGTTGTCTCAAAAGAATACGCAGACCTGCACTTTGGTTTTCCGCCAGGTCGGAGTACCTGTATTCTAATTTAGACTGAATGGATAACCAGAGACTGGTCCACCGCTTGTCGGTCAGTTTCCAATCTCTGCAGGCATATTCCAGGCTCCGTTCTTTGAGTTCACTTAAAGAGTCCATGAGAACGTCCGTCTCACTTGTTGCTGGGCCTAGCCAAATAAGCACCTCTTCGGCTCGAGAGTATATGTTCCCCATCTGCTCGACCTGATGCCCACGCTCTTTCAAATCCCGTTGATTGATACAAACTGCGTCAATCCAGAGGATCACATCGAAGTCTGGCTTACGCAAGCGATGAAGCGCGATGTATAAGTTTTCTGTGACACCAAGCATCTTCCCGTCTATCTTCACCAAGAAGGAAGTGTCGGTCCCGCCCCATGTATATGATAATGCCTGATATGGTATCATATCACTACCATCCAGATAAGCTTGAAAGAGCACACCACTGATTCGATCTCGCCAGTCGCCTTTGGAGAGTCGTAATAGTCGTAATGCGGGGCGTTCAAGGTCGATTGGTTCGTACGAGAAGGCCTCTAAATCCTCCATGTTGCGTTAGAGTTATGTCGATGACGCGATCAAGAATTCCGAGAGTGAAGCTTGGCGGCCAATGTTCATATGTTTTATAGCAATGAGAAGTGCAGAGAAGTAACATTTTGCAGACCTTTGAGCAGTATGTCATATTGTAATTCAGATTTGAACGACGTCCGTGGCTAGGGAGAAGAGACAGAATCTGAATAAGCTTAACAAGACAGGGGTCATGAATGCAAGAGCTCAGCCCGGACGCGGGGCTCACAGTGGCTGGGTCTGAATCTCGTCAAAATCTACTTGCCACCCTCATTGACAACAGGGAAACTAGCTACGCACACAATGAAGCACGGAATCTCTCGTTATTTGTTTTACCACTTTCTAACTATTGAACTCGTAACTGCGTGCCGTCACAATCATGAATTCAGGTCGTCGTGATGAATCACATCGATGACTGGCCACTCTACTACCACGGCAATACATCGATTCACCGGAAGACGCAAGGCTAAATACGTCTTCAGGTTTGCCACCTTGCGCATTGTAGAATTTCAATGAACAAAACGATCAGGGTCTGCTCAACGTGGTCAGGTGTGAATGGCGGAGGACAGGTATCGCGCAAAGCATTGGGTTTCAGCCTTGTGATGCACCCAATCCGCTTCCGTAGCAACCCACCCCTCGATCAGTGATTGCTCTATCATCCCAGAAAATATTTCACCGGTATTTTATTATGTAGACTGCCAATGAAACACAGACATGTAACGTGTGATTCGGGATCGAACATACATCTCGATCGCGATTGGACGTTCGAAACTCTCTGTTTTCTTTCCTCGGTGCGCGATATTCGCCTAATGAATCCGATAACATCTATGGGTATTCTCACTACTAAATTCAAACCGTGTTCGTAAGTCCCATAGAGACTGCGGATCCTTCCCTACCACTTCTCACAACCTGTCCAGAATCCACGACTTAACGAGCTTCGCAGAATCGCTCTCAGTTCTCTCTCCATCCATACTTTCCATGAAAAGCTGATCATCCGTGTCCCTAATCACTGGATGAATCTCCAGTGTAGGAAAGCTTTGCTGGTGGCTACTGAGCAATCTCGTACGCTTTCAGGCTGGTGAGTAGACTAACCTTTAACATATCACTGAAATCCTGCGTGCCATCGAACATGATATCTCTTTCTCGAGTTACCAACATAACCTCGCCTATTTTGGTATCCATGCCATCCCACCAAATTTCACCTTCAGGTCCTGATCGGCTGTAAGCGTTTGGTGGGGACTCTCCCATGTAATAACGTCCCCATGTTGCCAGAACATGTTGGCTGATGAAATCTTTCTTCAGGGTCGTCGTATATGATGGTACAGTGGGGTTGAAATTCGTCATTGGGGTCATCAGTGCCACACCCTTGAGAGGGGTGGCCGTGTGCAGTGGAGCAATGGATGGGTCAGGGAGCGGATGTAGCAAATGTGATATGACGCCTAGAATCAGATTCGCGCCCGCCGAGTCGCCGACGAGAATGATGTTCTCGGGTTTCTTGCACGCCTCGTTGATCAGGTAAGATATCAATGCTATTACCTGCTTGAGCTGATGTGGATATTGCTTTTCGGGAGCAAGGCTGTAGGAAAGTACAACTCCCGCGGTATTCTTGCCTGCTTTTTCCTGTACGTCATACACAAACTGGAACTGAGTGATCGCCGAATAAAAAATACCACCACCTTATTCGGTCAGCGTTACCGACAGGTGTTATGCGAGCTGTTCACGCTTACCGTGGAAGACCACCAAGACTCTGTCCGCATCGGGCGAACCTATCCAGTGCGCAGTTGCATCCTCAGGAAGACTCGTGGAAATTGGTTCGAAGTTATTCGCTTTGGCGAATGCTTCGTATGTCTCATCGGTTGATGTCATCATGTTTCTACTGTTTTTAGTTCGATCTTTATTACTACAATGAAATGGGGAGGGATGGACCCACTGAAACTCCTTCGCGGAAGTTCTGGCGTTCATTACGCGCAGTGCTGAATGAATAACATGTTTCATGGATTTTGGATGGCGTTCTGAGCTTCGGAACGGGACACTCAAAACAAACATCATGAAATAAAAGATCGCCTTGAGTAGAGAAATAAAGAAGTCAAAACCATGCAATATTGAAAGCGTTGTGCGGCAATGCGCCATGATGAAGCCAGCCGATGCTGTAGATGGGGATCCAAGGGAAATATTGATATTCCCGAGCATTGAATAATAGAGGAGATGAGGGATGAGACGAGAATTTCAAGTCATTTTTGCTAAGGATTGCGATTTCTCATTTAGGTATCAGGGTGCGGCGTAGGTCACGTCTTACTCTTAACGAAGCGTAAGCCACCTGATGTTTGTCCTTGTCCATCAAGCTATTGGATGCGACACAAACACTTGGAGGAGGAATGGAACAGAGACTAATATTTAAGAGCGAGCGCAGAAGGATGAGTCTATATGCCTGCCTTACCGACATGCTTAGCCTTTGTTTTCCCATTTTAATAAGAAAAAAAAACCTGCAGAGCGTGAGGGGGTTGTTCATATGACTAGTGCCCAGACTTCTACGCCACGCCTAGGTGATATTTGTGGGTGATAACATCAGAATCGGCGTGAACTTCTCATCTTTACGTCGAGCCCGGCCATGAGCCCAAGTAATACTTTCGAAACCTAATTCTGTGACTTGTGGGTCGGAAAGCCGAGCAGAATTTACGCCACCTATAAAGCCAAAAGCGCGAGGATAACAACAGCACCGCTCATCAAACCAACAGAAAGGCCAGGTCGAGGCGCGGCACCCGGGAAAGCGGCAGGTGGAGATTGAGTATTATTAGTTGTGATCGTGCCGTTGCTGGGCGGGGATGTAGAATTGCCGAAGCGCGACAACAAAAAGTCGGCAAGCGCCGAATCCTTCTCACCCGTCAACACTTGCTTGCTGATTAGCTCTCCCACAAGTGCCCCGTTCGACACTCCAGAGTGCATGACGGCAACAGTCAAGCCATCTACACCAGTCTCGCCGAGAATGGGGAAACCGTCCTCTGGCGTTGGTCGGTATCCAACGGTGAAGTAATCATACGCGATCTCCTCTCCGTCTTTGAATGCCGCTTGTAGTTTGGCGTACAGGTTGTCTGCGACATCTTGCGGGTTGTCGCCTGGATCTGCCCCAGAATAATCAGAGCCAAAGCGAATGCGACCATTGTTGGTTTGTCGCAGATGCAAGTCATTGGTGTAAGCAATCGTCGATAAAAGTTCCTTGTCCGTGGGTACCGTGTTTACTAACAGGCCGGCTTTTGGTGTCAGGGCTGCGAAATTTTAGTGATTGCGCAAAATAGTGTTAACACAAACGGACTTACGCAAAGCAATGTTTTCGGTGGCAAGCAAATCCACGCTCCCCAAGCCTCCAGCCACAACAACATGGTCAGCGTACACCTCCTCGCCGCCCTCCAAGACTACACCTGCAACTCGGCCATTCTTTTTAACGAAAGAGGTGACATTCTTTTCGAGAAGTCCTGCACCTGCAGTTTGGGCCGCTGCGACAAGCTTCTCTGCGACAATCTCGGCTTCCATCTGCCCTTCCTCGGTGTACCGTAGCGCCCAGTTTGGCAGGAAGTCATCTTCAAACTCAGGCGCATATTTTGATGCAAGCTCCGTCTTGTTGACTTCGATGACACCGTAGCCCCACGCTCTCAGTTTCTCCCCGTACTCAGATCGCTCAGTCTCATTCGCAATTTCCCAGTTCAGCGAACCGCCCCAATGGATGTACTCAGAGAGCTCCGGAACTGCTTCTTCTATCTCATGCCATCTGTTCATTGATCGACGGCGGAAGTCGTAGTAGAATTTGGAGTCCGTCGAGCCTGCGTTTACCCATGCGAAAGAGTTTGGGGTCGCAACACCGCCGACCTTTGCCGCAACTATGGTGGTGTTTGTGGTGTTAGACTGTGACAAGTGCCAGGCAATTGAGGAACCAACTATGCCACCACCAATTACCACGACGCTCTGCGGTGCTTCGAAGGTATTCATCTTGAAATTTTCTATTCGCAAAGGATTGAGCAGGTGCTGCTGGAGGGCAAATCCAGCGGGGTTCATCCTGCTTTTACGTTCAACGGATAGAGTCACGTGCGTGTCTGATTTCTTGTCGCATCCATACAGTATTACCTGTAGGATATCGCTTTTCCGGTGTCGAATGAGTATCGAGGACGCAAAGAGTATGGTCTACGGCAGAATTGATGCCGATGAATGGATCTCGCGATAAGATACCCAGTTCAACGTGGAGACAAAGCAGGAACTACTACTTTACCCTCTTACTCTCAAAGGTCAGTAGGCAAGTAAGCTTTGCAACATCGTTGTCGTGATCCTATACGCCAAGGTTCTAGCAATCGCCACCTTCTATAAAAAGTGGTGATCGTCGCCGTCGTACGGTTTTCCAAGAGTGGGGAGTTAATGCCCCGCGTTTAGTGCCATTAACGGTGCGGAGAATCGCGCAATTGCCGTCATCGGCTTTTGATGCGATGTGTTCTGGTATCTTGAATTTGGCGAGTGATATGGAGTGAGCTTTCGCCGAAAGGCAACCGTCCAGCTTCTGATGTTTTCTGCGTTTGGTTCTTGATGATTGTCGGATTATCAGTAAGCATACTAATTTCGACTTGATTAAAATCTACCACCGAAATATTGAACGTATATTTCGAAAGATATCTGGCAAGCATCTGTCGTTTCTGTTTCGATGTGGTCCGGTTCGCGTCCTGCTTGAGTTCCAGCGCGGAGGCTGCTTTGAGCATGTAAGTTTCATCGTAGGGAATTGAAGTAGGCATAATAATTTCGGATTTTGTATTATCCTTCCCAATGTGAAGGATAGATGTTGTTGGTATGATTGATACGAGCGATTCCGTGATGTGTGCGAGCAGAAGAGCTGGTCAGTATACATATACAGCTTAATGATCCACTGGCGCGGGGTCAGCATCGTACATCCCAGCATGTTGAACACCGCAAAACTATTCGCTCTGGATCTCTCATGTTTCCATTAGCTAAGAAATAAAGCTCGTATATATTACTATGTTCAGCGTTTCGCAACACATCGTTCTGGGCAACTAACATGTGGAGTGTTTGGCTTTCAGCCCCCGGCATGATATGGAAATATGCTAGCTCATACTGGGTAGTAAAATTCTCTTGGATAAGTGAATACTTCGTATGTACTTCCCAGCTGTAGATCAATTCATGCGGATGCGCTTTTTCGGTCCCCTGACCTTCTTGACCACACGTATAAAAACTTATCGGCAGCGCCCCTAAAGTCCAGCCTCCCATCACACTTGTCGTCCGCATAACTGCTATCTCCATATTTTTGTCCACAATGCAATTCTTCAAGATCACGTTCGCCTTCCTCACTGCTTTCGGAGCTACCGCATACGCCTCCCCGCGTGCGGACGTGCAGCGCGTCACGACAGCCAAACCAGACCCCACGGCCAAACCGGATGAATTTCTTCCAATCTCACAAACCACTGCGAAGCCTTAGATTAGCATCATGACGCCGACATTCGTGCCCGACAAAATCATGGTCTAATGGAATCTTTTTGTGATCGAATCTGAAGATCTGCCGCTACTACATGGATCGCTGTAAAATGACGACTTGATTTTGTCAGATCTGATTCGGGAGGGATGTGGGTACGCAAGTGGTTTTCCGCAGTTTTCCTCGGCTTCGACATACAAGGTCAATCTGTTTGGAGTGGTCATCGGCTGCTCTGCAGTAAATGGAAGGCTGAGACTCAATATTACTACCCAATCTATCTACAATCTCTCGGACCGTCGACGTCTTGCTTTTTTTTCTATTTCCGAGATTTCATGATCTGCAAGCTATACTACTGTACAGAACCGAATCCACTCACTGCGTGTGCAAACTCTCGTCTTAGTAGTCTCCTTAATGTTTGCATGTTCGACCCTTACTTCCTTGTCTCACCAATATTATCGACGCGTCTGGACTTTTTCGAGTCGTTGCACGCAGAAAGTTGCAAGCGTTTTGTTCAAGCTTTCGGATCTACTAGAATCAATTGGACCAGACAGTGAAATTCAAATTTTGCTACGCATCTGAACTTATTTCCCTGCATAATCTCCAGACTTTTCTGGGTGGCAAGTCCCATGCCCTTCCGCACTCCGCGGCCATTCGACAACAAACCTCCAACACCCAAAAGAGAAATATTAACGAAGAAGTAAAAAACAGCCCTTTCTTCCACATCCGCACTATTACCATATATCACATCATCTCATTCCCCCCGAAGACTCCAAGTCTCCAATTTCCCTAGATCAGCTCCGCCTCACCAGGAATGACAGTGCCGTTTTCGATAGCGGCAGCATGGCCCCTAGCGAGGTATCCATAGACGGGCATGTAGCGGTCAAGGTAAGGCAGGACTTCCTTAGCGCCGGGGGTGTTGCGCCAATCGCGCATAAGGTCGCAGACGATGCTGAAGAGGGAAACGAGTTGGACGCCGGCTTGCTGCATGCGGGAGTTTGCGGTGTCACGAATGAGAGCGGTGGTAGTTCCGCTTGCTTCGATGTTTGCGAAGACAGCTGGGAAGGGTCAGTGAGTGGAAAGGTATGGTGGCATAATTTTGGAGAGGTGGAACGGAGGGAGGAAGATATATGTGAACAAATGAGGTTGAAGACGTACAGTATCCCTCTGCACGAAGAGAGAGAGCGAGGAAAGCAGTGCAGACGTCGGTGACGATTCCAGCGACAATGATTTGCTTCTTGCCCGTAGCTTTAACGGCTTCACGGAACTCAGCGTTGTCCCAGGCACTATCGTCATTGTTAGTTTTTCCACTCCAGATTCTGATCAAGAATTGGGAACTACATACTTGACTTCTCCCTGACGCTGGATGAGGGGGGCGTCTGGGTACATTTCCAACATCTCCTTGGGTAGAGGGCCGTTGGGTCCCTGTTGCGCAGACGTAGTCATGACGACGGGAATGTCGAACAGTTTGCCCAACTCGGCGTGTGCGAGCATGTTGTCGCGGTAAAGGGTTGCGTCCCAGTCACGGCCGAGCTGGTAGAGACCAACTTGGAGGTCAAGGATGAGGAGCATCTTGTCGGGAGTCAGTCATACGAGCTTTGTCTTGTCGATAGACAGAGCAGCATCAGTTGGCTTACGGAGTTGTTCTTGTCAATGCGCTCCCATGGAACGGCTGTTTAGTCGTTAGATGACGAGCTTGAGAGGGGGTAGGGAGGATCTTACCATCACTACGGACAGCGGCGACGAGGGAAGAAGCCAAGAAGGCAATGCTGGAAAGGAACTTCATCTTGATTGAAGGCGTTTGTAGAGTCTTGTATGAAGAATAATCTTGAAGCCGATCGATGAAGAAGAAGGCAGAAGTTCAGTGAAGCCGTGGTGCTCATATTGTTGGACCTGCGGCTTCTACTTATACTTCGTTCGTCTCTTATATGTTCCCACTTACAGTTAGGGTGCATATTGATTTCAGTCCCTCGACAGAAGAAAATTTGCGTGAGAATTTCCATGGAATACGGGCCAAAATCGCCTCCTTCCCAAATGCAGAGACTCGCCGTGCAGAAACATGGGTGTACACCTCAAGAAAGGGTCCGGAGTACCAACATCGTTCACAACGCATATCGTTAATCTCTATATCAAAGTCCTGACAAAGGCCTTGGTCATCCATGACACCTCCGCCACTACCTTTGGATTGGTCAGTTTCGGCGCGAGGCTGCAAGTCAAATCGCTTGGTAGCGTCACGCCGTAGTATCGCCTTTCGATGACTGGAGCCATCGTGAACTTTTCTTAGCGAACGAGCCACAGGCCCTGACCAGCTATGCAAGCCATTCCTAAAGCGGTCCATGATAAATTCCAACCCCACACCCGGGGCCCGGAGCGCGCGAACGTTTAATCGGTTTTTCCTCCGACGCTTTTTCGTTTTCCCGTTAGCGAGGAACAAGATTGCACGGGAAGTCTTGGAGGAGGCTCTCGACCCCGGACGATGGGTATGCAGAGGCACTTCGGGATTGGTTGTTGGTCGCCAGCCCTACGTTGGGTCAATAAATGGTATGCATGTCAGCAAGTTCCTTCCTTACTAACTAACCTCGCGGCCAGGTATCTCGGGAGCTACTGTGAGCTACACAGTGGGCGCGTGGGGTGGTTGAATGGTAGCTTTTAGCCGCATTCGCTTTGGCAGTGCTTTGTCAAAGCTTGGAAATCGCAGTGAATGACCAATTTCACCGCCTATGGCGGCAACCTCAGCATCGCAAAAGTTTTTCTTCGACCATGCATTGTGCAATCAGCAGTATAGGCTGTTGTGGAGTCAATTAACCTGTTCGCTTGATGGTGGTGAGCTGGGCAGAAGTCATAGATTGGCGTTGGAATGATGAGATGAAAGGGTCGTGCCAAGCAAGGCCCGTGCGAGGCGAATTCTTAGACTGTGCTTACTCAACACCTAGTCACCACGTCACGACTCGCCATTCATGCTGGAAACCCATCCAGAAGCTTCCTCCAGCGACTTTTCTCTCTTCTTCATTCAGTGAATCCTGAGATGATCGTCTATGCGGGATCGCCCTCCTTACGAGCTTGCGAAAGACAGCGAGCACCATTCGTACTTATGAAAATCAATAACATCTCTCATATTGACAGTAACAAACGCCCACTCTTCCTTTCGCTTTTTTGATGGTGTAGGCGCATCGCGATCAATCCATCCAGCACAACACAACCCCGACGACCGTGTGGCACTCCCCCTTGTTATGGCTACTCTACAGCAAGCTCATTCTTGCCCAGCCAATTCTGAATGACCTTATAGCCCTCGGTGGCGTTATAATGCATCGTCAGGGCATGGCCCGTATTCGGCTGGATGTACGCATCAAACGCCGTAGCGTTGGGGAAAAGCACATGTGCTTCACTTGGGATGCTTGGACGGTTCGATGACCCCGATCCGCAATCACCACCACAGAAAGGCTGGTCCGCGATCCCGTCAAATACTAATACTGGGCCCGCAAACGATGAAGTTGGCGGAAACCCCGTAATGGTCAGAAGCTCTCCTGTAGTAACGGGTTGCTTGTTGCGCTCAGCCCATAGCGCAAGGCCAATATCGTAGAAGCCTGGGTTGAGGAACACGTACTGTGAGGCTGTGAGGTCGGATGCCACCATGTAACCAGGGGGGTAATCGAGCGTTGGCTCTTCCCTATCAATTCCGGTGACTAGATTGGCGACTTCGGTGGTATCAATTAGGTACGTCAATTCCGGGCCCGTGAACTCCAGGCCCATCTTCCGCAGACTCCAGTCGATAAGCTTGAGGCGCTCGGCATTGCTTTTGTACTTTCTGTAGAAATTTCGAGGCCCAGTGGAATTTTGCTTTCCTAGCCGCATTGGCTGATTCAAGTACGTAGCGTGCAGATTCCACGCTGCGACCGTTGTACCGAGGAATTCGAGTCGTGGTGAAAACCCCGTGAGTACAATGCCATTTGTTTGGTGGGGATACAAAGCCGAGAACCAATACGTCAGAATGGAACCGTAGGAGTGGCCGACATGGATAACTTTGTCGAACCTGCGACTGATTCCTGGAACTCCGCCATTTCGCAACTTTTCCGTTACGCCGCGCAGGACTTCGATCTCGGGAAGAGACTGGACGGAATCGAGTGGATCACCGTGAGCAGAGTCACCAATGCCGAATCGGTCGATGGCCAGAGTACTGTAACCCTTGGAAACGGCCTCCTTTACGTAGCTGTATTCCCAGTTGTTATATGGAATATCCCAGTATCTACCACACCCATTAGGCCGTGTACATGAGTTCAGTGCAGGAAATAGCATACGACTTATCAAACCCTATACCATGGGTCAATAACTGTACCGCGGAGCTATGGCCCTTGAATGGGCGACAATATCTCGCCGAGATTTTGTACGCGCCACTCAGCTGCTGCCAGCCTTGAAACAGCTCTGCCGAGTAATTATGGCCGCGACGAGTGAAATCCTGTGCGAAAGCCTGTGTGTCGATATTGGTTTGGATGGGGAATTTTTGGAAGCGACTCTGCCTGGCAGATATCTCGACGGTTAAAGTTAGATTGTTGCAGGCTAGCGCAGATGCCGAAGCTGCGAAAAGTGCAATGAAGATGATCGAAAAGAGAGACATGTTGACGACAGCACTCTGCATCCAACCCGGAAAAAGTCGATTTGGTTTCAAGTTTTCTTTATGCGGATGGATGGCAATAACTGGGGATCGCAGTAGGATTTATACGCTGGACAGCTATGCTATCTTGATGTGTCCGATTCGTGGTCAACAGTGTTGTTGGGTCTCCAATGGTCTCGATGTCGCACGTCATTTCAGCACGAACTTTTCAACAGAAAAATGACATCAAAAATCAGTGTACCAATTAGTATCAGCAAAATAAGATGCCTCTCTTGGGGTTTAGACTGCCCGGATAGGTTAATTGTCAATATGAGGGATAATCGACCCGCGATATCCCAACGTACAGTGGCTACGAGCGGCCGTTGATTGATCTGTTTTGAGAATCCGAAACACCCGATTGGGTATGTGAATGCAGAAGATCCTACTTGAGCCGACAGTGGAGCGCGTAATGATGCTACGTAGTACTATTTCCGGTAGGGCTTCTAGCTTCTCCCGTGGGTAGAAGCCTGGTACCGCTCGGAACACCTATTATCGGCTCCCCCGGCGTTGGAACATCCGCCTTCGATCTTACTGTTATATTTGTTTACAGGTGTGTAGCACCATCTTGCTCATCCGCGCATATCGCAGGATAACAAAAAGAGAACAAAGAATTGTTTGCAGTGATCAAGCACCTCCTTGATTGGCGGTGGAAAACCCAGCAATGAAAAACAAATATGGCGAATTCGCGTAAGCCACACTCATCTCTGCGTGAGCTACAGACACTCTTTGCCAGTGATTCTGACGTAATCCTTCCGAACCAAATTCCAAGGCCACTCTCCGCTGTCCAGCTCTCGCGCTTTCTTCAGCATCTTAACAGTATAATCCCCGCCGCTCTCACACACCTCATTCGTGCAATACACTCCGCTCCCGAAAACCCCATCAGTCCCCATCGCAACCTCACCATCCTCACGAACCTCCAAACCCCTATCATGCACCCCAGCAAACCTCCCAGTCGTAGCAAGAAACAAATGTCTCTCCCCACATTCCTCGCTCCCTACGAACAAAAACGGTCCCAAAACCCCTCCCACAACAGCCATTACTGCGCTCCTAACAATTCCACCACCCCTTCCAATCCCCGTCTTCACGAACCCAGGATACGAGTGAACGAATCCCACTTCCGGCGCGCGTCTCTTTGCTTCCTCCAGCAACATGGTCAGCGCGCAGACTGCCTGTCCCCTCGCTTTCATCGGATTCTTCAACTCCCGCATTTCTATATCGGTAGGCGCGAACACAGGTCCTGCTTTTGTTCCCGCGAAAACGGTGACCACCCGTCGAAGCGTTGGTGCTGTGCGTAGTAGAGGGAGCAAGTTCAGGATAAGCCGCATTCGCGAATGCAGTATCAAACTCGCGGGGACATGCAAATCTTCCTTCGATACCTCGCCCATCGTCATGACTCCCTGACTTAGGAACAAGATGTTCACATGCTCCTCTTTCTCCATAATTGTCTGACATATTCTGTCGACCTCTGTAATAAGACTGACGTCTGCACGGAGAAATAAGTATTTCCCATTCGCATTGATGTCGTGGAGGAAAGAAAGGATGTTGTCCGCGGCAGCTTGCGAGCGGCCGATTATGTATATTTTAGGGCTGGGACAGTATTTTGCGAGGGAGGTCAAGGTGTAGAGGCCTATTCCCGAGGTTCCACCTACGAAGATCGCGGTCAAGTTGGGGTGGGTGGAGGCCAGGGATTTGTTGGATTGTTGGATGAGGAGTTGTTGAACCATGTTTTGGGTGTAAGGAGTGGGTGGATGATGAGATGTGTGAAAGACGCGATGGCGGTTCGGGTGGGATGGATGGAGCTTTATATGTACTTGTCATTGATATCTTCCAGTACGTGTTCGAGCTCGCTTTTCCACTCGCATTCGCGTATTAATCGTATTTCCCTTATGTCCCTCAATCGTGCGCCGCCATCGACTCCTTTCCAGAATCCTACATACAATCACCCGATCGACACTCTTGATCATACGGACCACTATTGCTGATTTTGTCCCATTTCGATTCAGAGCTCCTCATGGCTTACATCACCCACAGTTCTGGTTTGGGATAAGTGCTGTGTAAGGTTGGGCACAGTGGACCAATCAGACCACACGTTTGATTCTAGCCACATCTACTGAGGGATGGTGGCCAATCACAGCACTGCAGACTTCGCATAGTCGGGGCAAGGTTCGGCCGTCCAATGAGTGAACCCCGAGTTCTCGACGACTCTGTGAGAGAGACAACTTCGAGGGTGTTTTGCTTCGCATGTTCGGAGTTTGCAAGACTCCGATGATTCATCGGTTCGGCGGCTACTTTTTGGTGCCTGGGTAGCCATTCAGATGATTGTGCGGCAAGGTGGGCGATGATGCTCTTTCCTGCTGCGATCACGTTAACAGTCACCATAGCTACACATATTTCCTCGACTATAAACAACTAGACAATATAAAGAGACACTTTAGTACAAAATATAGTCACATGATTCAAGGATTCAAGCACGAATCATCACAAACCTGGCTGGAAAGGCAAAAGCCACCGAGGATCGACCAGTCGAATATGAATTTAGTGTCCTATTTCTACGCACATACCCGAACTATTCAGAGACTTCGGAACGGTCACTGGAAAGCTATTGTGCTCGAACAAGAGGTTTCTGGTCTTCATGCCATTGTCCTTCGCCTAACCCATCCAGACCTTCGGCCCAGCACCCTGCCAATTCTTAAGCTCATCCATCGGCTGAGTGGGACGGCCCAAAGCGCTGGGTAGCCAGATCCCTATCTCATCATCAGTATCTTCGTTTTGTAACGTATCCCCGCTGTCTCGCTCGGTTCCTACTCACCAGGGTCGCTCGCTGTGAAAGCGCCAGGGAACTTGGTCGTCGGGCCGGGAACTCCTGCGAAAGCATTTAGTACATCGCGAATGTAAAAACGATATGGAGGTTGCGCACCTTCACCAGATCCAGTGACTTCAATATGTGCACAGTTGATAAACATCTGCGTGCTCTTGTAGTAGGTCGCGATGTTGAGATGTTCAGCGCGCATGAGGTATTTGCCTGGGGGCGTGGATGCCGGGATGGTGAAGTTCATCTAACCTAGCATCAGCAAGCATACATGTATGCGAAAGCTACAGTCGGTAGTGCTACGCACGATGTTGACAGCTTTGGCTGCTGCATAGTCCCAGGTCAATCCGTCTTTGGCGCCAACAACCGCGATTTTGAACCTGCGTATGGATTTGTTAGCCACTCGTTGCGATATAAAGAAGTGGAGGTACGGTTTACCAATCACCATCGCCCGCGTATTCGTTCAGTTCTCCAGGCGATTTAGAGAGGTATGCTGTAGCGGGTCCGTCGTGGTACATGTAGAAAGAGGGGTCGAACTGTGTTCCACCGACGCGCGCCAGTCAGCAATACTCTAGCCTTCTGGTGCCCTAGAGCAAGACGAGCTGCGTAGCTTACATCGGTGAAATCGGTGTGCTCGTCAATGTTCCCATTCTTAGCGCTCATGTACATGGCACCAAACCCAACAGTGCTCCCTGCTTTCACTTGAACCGTCTTGATGGGGAAGAGTGGGAGCGTCGCATTAAAACCGCACGTCGATTCCGGACCGGAGTAGTCGTAGTTTGGAGCGAAGCTCGTCGTTGGTCTGCCCATCGGCGTTAGCTTGATCCAGATAGTGATTGATGAGCCAGCTTTTCTCAAGGACGTACCGAGTGTACTCCCAGCGCTTGGAGATCACACCATCTACTACGACTACGGGGTATCCATCTTGAGCGCTGTCAGTCTCATCTTGGTAGGTGTCTATTGAGGACTGGTGTGACTTACAGTGACAGTTGGCCTGGTGTAGACCACCTAAAGCGAGGAGGATGGTCTGCTGGAAGGTGAGTTTCATTCTGTTTCCGGACGAGGAGTCGTATGAATTGGTCTGTATGACAGGTTATGTCGTTTAGTGTCGTGTTTCTGTGGCGACTGTCGGTCATATATGTCTAATCGCCTGCGATAAAGCGCTGGTTTACCTCAGGTTTGCCTGTTTGCACATTACACGCCTGTCCTAAAACGGTTCGGAGAATAGGTAGAAGCTACCCGTCTCCACAATACGATTTGTTTTTATAAGTTCTTGTGCGTAGATTGCAATTATCAAGAGATCTGCGCGAACCAATGTTGCAGTGCATATCGGCAGGCGGCACTAACTAGCACCCCCGCAATCAACAGGTCTTTGCTGTATCCCAGTCACATCTTCGAGGATATGACCTTGCATGCTTTCAGTCAAACCGAATGTGGTGCATTAACCTTTGATACTACGGGAGCGCTGAATGACTAGATAATTTTAGGTAGGCCAGAGCACATATTGCATGATCTATACATTTCAGGGCCACGGAGCGAGACTCCTATTTTGGTCAATATGCACTACAAATGATTTAACCAGATTAATGTGATACCAATATGCATATTCAGCCCTCGACTCTAGATGAGATGATTCATCGAGTTTCTTCCGCTTGGCTTGCACACGTTAATCACAACACTGCATCGTCTCTGCACCATAGCCGAGAATTGCTTGATCAGGAATCTGACAGAACTCCAGACACACATCTGATTACGTCTTGCCGCTTATCTCGATCATCTCTATGCAAATGGACGATATACATGGATCATTGGTTTTGGCAGACATGATGCACAGAGTAAATTCATAATTTGCATTTCATTCGAGAGCTTGGTTGTAGAAAAAACAACTATCTGCAGTGTCTTTCAGAATTGCTCCAGATGCAAATCAACTGATTGCTCTAAACTTTCCAAAATCGCACTCTCGAATCCCCATTGACGGTCGCCAACATGCCCTTGCTCTTGAGGTAAAAAAGACTCTCTTCACCCCAGGTATGATCCATCGTACTAGGTGACACCGCCCATTTTGTGTTCTCTTCAAGATCGTACAAGTACGAACTAAGATTGTACCTGAAAGAAAACTTCTTGCCCCCATCCAGCCAAGCAAATCCGGTATTCTCATACACCCCGATGGGATCGTAGTTTTCTACCATCCAAGTCTGAACCAGTTTGAATTCAGGCAGCTTCCAGACTTGAACCCGGCCATAGTCTCCAACAGCGAGGTATTTGTTATCGGGGCTCCATTCCAGGTGTCGAGGCCAATTTCTGAAGCCAGTGATCTCAGATTTGGTGAAGTTGCTGAGTGTCCAGAGCTGGACAATGTTTTTGCCGCTTCCCAGGCCGTATGCGACATACATGCCATCTGGAGAGATTCTAGTCACCCAGTTCTGAGCCTTAGTTGGAGGGATGTCATATATTCTTTTGCCTGTCGTAGTGTTCCAAATATCGGCGGTTTGGGCGTTCCATTCCACCGAGGATAGCTTATCACCGTTTGAAGAAAAGCTCACAGAGTACATTGTGATGGTTTGATCAAGAATCACCGTGCTGTTACTCGCATTGTCCAACTCGTAAATGTATCCCGACAGAGTGGCATATTTCCCTTGCTTGCTGATCGCGCCAAATCCTCCGGTATAGGTAACTTGTGATCCTACACGTTCGAAGTCTGCCGAAAGACGTATGCGCGCTGATCGGACTGGAGTATCATACTGCCTCCGGATGAAATTTACGAGTACATCGTAACCACCTTGAGGTACATTTCGAAGGGTCAAATCCGAGGCCATGTACCCTTCAGGCAACTCCCAGCCAAGTGTAGTAGCAGTAGCTTTTGTGTCAATGTCCACAAAGGTGACGTGGGTTCCGTTCACCATGACTAAGTACTTTTCATCACTGCTGACAGCAGCACTAAATGTACCCTCGGGGTCTGGTTCGCTGAACTGTAAGCGAAAGTCTTCAGCGCCCCATTCTTTAGGAAAGCCTGGGGCCCATTGGGAAGAAACATTATTCTTGTTGAAGTCTGATGAGAGTTTTGGGATAAGACCAGAGTCTGTGTTGATGGAAATGATTTCCCTGGGGGCTGCTTGAATGAGGCCGGTGAAGGCCAAGAAAAGGAGGAAGTTGAACATTCTGGGCCAAAGCAAAATCCGCTACGAGAAGTCAATACAACAGCATTTCACAGTCCGCGCACCATTTATACATGCAAGTGACTGTGAGCCCGATTTGCACCCCGTCTTTCACTTCATAGCCGTCGCACTGGAGGCCCGGTATGTATCGCAACGTGGCCGGTCCCCCATGATGCTGCAGCTTCAATACCAGCCCTCACTTTATCACCACATTAGGCGCCAATTTCCGCCGCATTTTCTTCAGAATCAATCATAGATTCTCATTGCATTCTGCAGCTCTATCACCCCTGTTGACTGAGGTTACATTCGTGTGCTTGGACGATCGGCCCATACAGTACAGTTCCACGGTTGAAGGGCTTATTTTGCAATCTTTAGATTCCCTAGATATTGAGGTGTAGATCTCGAGGATAATGCTGCATGGGCTGGCTTGGAATCAAGACCGCTATGATCTCTCTGGTAGGCGTTACATCCCTTGGCGGATCAGCACGGGTTGTCTGCTCAGGAACACAACGAATCAACAGCATGCGGCAGCAATCGAGAGATAATCATTCTATATAGAGTCTATTGAAATCTTTATCGTGCAATTAACAAAGCCTGCGACCCAAACAGCAGTTATAGTAAAGGAGGGGCTTGCATATTTCCGTATCGTATTATCGCCGTTTTTGGGGCGGGCCGGTGGCGTCCCCGCAGGTAAGGGTGTGCTTACGTATTGTTTGGTTCGACTGTGTGGATGAATCTCACAGCGTGGCACTGCTTTCTTTCCGGATTTTCGCACGAGAAGAGCGGGGAATTTACGTCTCGTGTTTCGACATCAGCACTGCGACCACACGCTCGTTGATTGCGACTTGGCTTCACGGCGACGTCCAAGTTGCGCTTTCAACAATCAATAACTGATGGGTCAGCGGGGGAACAACACCCCTTGGCCTAGAGGGTGAGATGCGGAAGTGTGGCTGTCAGAAACTGTGGAGTAGGGCCCATGCACGACCACAACGGGGTAATGGATGGAGGAAATTGAGGACATCCCGGTTCTGCCTATTCAACGGAACAAGTCAATCGACGCTACAATGGTAGCTGTTCTGTCTCTTGTCGGTACAGATGATGCTTCACGTCTACCTAGGAGATTGCAGGCATCGCGAACAACAAAATCGGGCACAGGCACAACCACAGCCAGGTGACGATCTACTCAAGACATTCAGGTGGTGCTCATGGTTCTTGAAATGCACTTCTAAGTCTACAATTTAGTTCTTCCATGTTCTGTGCGGCACGAACACTAGATATAGAAAATTACATAATAAATCTGCCTTCGAGCTCTAGGCAGAACACATATGTTCTGTAATTATTACAAAACTCATAAGTTATTATTATAAATATCTGAGTGCAAATTGGGTCCAAGGACCTTAACGTTGAAATATACTTCAAATCTCTAGCACAGGACGCAAACAACTTTTAATTATCACGCAGCCAGTACATCGTTGGCCGAATTAGATGCGTGCGGTTAACGTACTCCTGCTCTTCCGGAAGTTTCCTTGAAATGTTGACTTGCGAGATTATTAGAGCCATTTCACAAAATCATAATTCGGAATTATGATGGTTGATTTAAATACACGTAGGCACCAAGTAAAAGCCTCTAGATATATTATGTCGCGTCACTTGCGCGGAATCACGTTTATCGCGATCCTCCATTGATGATTTACGGGATTTATACAGCCAATAGACGTACACCGAAGTAAAATGTCTGAGTAAGAAAAACATATTGCCCAAAAAGGCGGGCTCACCCGAACAGCAGAGCACCAAGTAAGATAAAACACTATCACGCCTACGATGATATTATAGCCATCAAATAATAGACGCAGCCATATTTCTCAGAGAGCAAGCATATTATGATATGCCTAAATGATCTTACATAGCTATCTTTTTTGTGAACCGATATAATCATCACATTTCACTGCGACACAGCCAGGCATGTACACGGACTGCATTGAGGTCGTCAAAGGAATATTCGTGTGCACGATATGTTATGTGATATCACGATACCGTGCGCCCTTCAAATCAAGGAGTCACTAATCGAAATTCACGATTACGCGTTCTTTTCAAGCCTTTACAGTTCCTCAGCCCCAAATCCTGTCGCCAACACTGCCATCAAAGCCCACGAGTTCTTAGCTTTCCGTTGACGTTGTAAAAAAGAGGTCTGAGCGGCCCCATCGGGGCTTTGCATGTGGAGCTAAAACGTGGTTCATAGGCCGCCTTAGATTTAGCGCCTCTTACTAGCCGCTCTCTCTCTAATTACAGGCACGGTGACAGCTTAACGTGAAAAGTGACGTATACCTTTTGGTAAGACTTCTCGAAGTAACGCGTAAGCCAGAAAGGGTCCAGATTTTCTTCGCGGCAAGGGAGTGAGTACTATTCTTTTTAGATCGGCGAGATCGATATTCGCGATCGTAGCATGCGGGCAACTGGATGATACGGTGTGAGTTTGTATAATGACGGCTGGGTGTGGTTTGGGAAAGAATACATTATTGCACGCCAAATTCTGTGGTTGATTTTCTTGCTACTGCTAACTTTGTACAATTGTGAAATTTCCACGACGCTGGATCCAGAAGGGAGACCTCGTGGAATCACTCTGCTCCATGACTCAAAACTGTATATATACATATCGCTACTCCTTCATATCTGGTTCTCCACTCATAAAACCGCTCTTGTTATCTCTACGAAGATTCAAGGGCAGCAGAAGGGATAGCAGTACCAGAAGGCATAGCACCAGAAGGCATGAAACCAGAAGGTGCGGCACCGCCAGGGGGGCCACTGACACCGTTAGGGTTCTTCACACCGCCGTTCTCCGTGTAGTACACAGCAGGGGTGACACTCTGGTTCGCAGTCGCGTCCATGCCGAACGCGATCCACGCAAAGATACCTTGACTAATGTCGTCGCCCAAAAGCACGTAATCAACAACGGGATCGACGTTTTCAGCTTCTTCGGCCATGATGAAGTCATCGGCATTGGTGGTGAGTGTTTGGGTGTTGGTCAGGTAGGGTTCTTGTTGCTCGGCGAGAGTGATGAGGTCCTGGTCGAAGAAGATCTGGCCGACGTGCGTGATGTTTCCTCCGGCGACGGTGTTGTTGGGGAGTTGTTGGGCGCCGACGTGGGTCATTACGTGGATGTGGGTTGCGCGTCCAGTGTCTATAGTCTGTTAGTGAATTGCATTGATTGATTCGTTGTCATGAGTGCACTCACAGTGACCGGGGAACAAGGTATCGAATGAAACAACGCCGTCTTTATCGGTCAACTGAACACCGCGAAGCATGGTGTTATCGAGATTGGCCTCGTCATCCGTGTTACCGTTGCCGTTTGCGACGACGCCGCCATAGACGCCGGTGGAGTTGCAGTGCCAGATCTCAGTGAAGACCTGGGGAACTGGCTCGCAAGTGTTCACATCGACGACCTGGACGTCCAAGGTCATGGGAACACCAGCTTCACCATCGACGATGTCTTGACGGATCAACTCGCCTTGAACCCAGTAAGGACCCTCGGTGGTTTCCGGGGTGAGGATGCAGCTGGCGTTGCCAGTGAACAGCTCGGAAGGGTCAGATTCGGGGGTGACGGTCAAGTTGGAGTGATGGTCGGTGTTGAGCACGTCTTCGAAATCGCGAGCACGCAGGAATGGCTTGTCTACATCAATCTTTGTTAGAAATTGCGTCGAAGTTCAGAAGTTTGCGATGCTTACTTTGAGTGATGGCCCTCTTCTCGCGCAAGGCTTCGACCTTGGCCGCCCGACGAGCGGCATCCAAGTTTCTAGCTTTGAGCTTGGCTGCGCAATGCGCCAAAGACCTCTTGTGAGGAGCGGCCTTGCTCATGTACTCGGCTCTCTCGCGAATCTCAGCCTGAGCCTCAGCAGCGCTTTGTCCTGGGTGCGCAACACTCTGCTGGACGAGCAGCAGAGAGGCGAGAACGGCGGAAACGATAGTAGACTTCATCGTGAAATTTCGCGGCGGCTTAGAGGTGATGGATAGAACGATAGTAAATGGATGTCAAGCTGATGTTGATGTCGATCTCAAAGTACTACCTCCGGCCTTTTTATATCATGTCGAACCTACAGCCTACGTACGCCGAAGTCAACATATTATACAAGACTAACCTCCATACGGTCCCAAGCCCGTTGTGAAGCTCCCAGACGTCAACGCCCTCGTCATGCGTGTACACGCACGCCAGCAGTTATTGCACCATCCCCACCCGCCATCCAAATTGCCAAGCCCCAAAATGGGCGGAGACCTGCATACGTACCTCGAGTAGATGGCGCGATCTGCACTGCTCTGCCAGGCACCTTGGTCCTGAGATAAGAAAACACCAAGCCCACCTCCGAAGCCTGAGCCAATAGCGAAAACGCATTACTACACTACTACACGGGGCAATTGGCAATCGACCCAAGCTTTTTTAGACAGCCACTTGACTGACTTCTTGTCCGCCTTGCTCTTTTCACGAACCGTGCACGGACCGGCCCACTTTCCGGTTGAATGTTTTGTTTGCTTCGGCTTGAACGCGGTTGACGTATAGGTAGAGCTTTTTTGTTTCGGAGAACCAAGAGCGGAGGCAATTGCGCGGCCCTTTATCAAGCTTCGCAAGAAGAGATGTTGTTTCCCCCCCTCCCCCTGTAAATATATTAGGTTGCGGATCCTGAAACGGGACCAGCCACACGGCAACTTCCGCCTCACGGAAAACTTCCGCGAGGACATTACTCGGGTATCGAAGATTCTGTTTTAACCGCTTTCGATGGTTTGTGATATAGGAAACGGCAGTTCAACGATTGGCTGAGCTTGGGAATCCCTACGGACGCGCATGAATCGATCGCGATTCAGCTTCCTGTATGGTGAGCTGTTGCTATGCTGAGCCACGCGCTCTGCCACTGAAAGTTGGGTCACCCTGGGTTTTCGGCATGGCATTGTTGCTTGGTATTTCACATGCTTGTGTCATGTCCACTTGTATGTTCACGGCAAATGCTTTTCTCGAAAACGTTTATCCGTTTCTCCTCTAGGGGAAGGAATAGGCGTGCTATATGATCTCAAGTCGAGTTATGACCCTTGCATCAATTCATCTATCTTTTGCCGTTACCCGGGAAATTTCAAAATTGTTTCCTGGCTACGCCTCCTCTTTGTAGTAGACATCACATTCACTCTTGATACTGTCTAGCCATTTTTTCTTTTTCGTGAAGCCATGCAGATATCAGGAGCGATCTTTATCAGCCTTCAACCAAACAGTCCGCATTTCTGCATGGCGCATCGGTATGTGGAGATGCTCCAGCTTCACTCGCGGATCTCAGAGATGACCGAATTATATTTTTCTCTATATCAAGCGAGTGTGTAGCTACTCGTCGTGAACGGCCCATCTTTCCAAGGGGCGGGCGGAGCTTTCTCTCCTTCACGATCTGGAGAATTCCTAGACGCTGCGTCTAGCTTCGTGGAACGACCCGCTCTTTCAGATCCCTGGTCTGGTGGAGGCACGGCAGAGTGGAGTTTGCATGGAACTGAGAGGGCACTGCGTATCTCTTTTTTTTTCTCTCTGCACCCGATGTTTGCTCCGAAAGTTTTAAGAGTCATGACGAGCACTGGAAATCGAGTGGAGTGCTGAACAGAATGATGCCTGGTGTCTTCAGCTCACCAACAGACCTTGATATATGGGAGGACTCATCCCGCCATGAGCCATATCAACTGTCAAATGTGGTCTAGACCAAGCCAATCCTTGTGTTTCTGGCCCGACATTCACCGTATAAGGAAGGCACAAAGAGAAAGTCTTCGACCTGTAGAACGGACAAGGGATTGCGTCACCCTCCCTACATGAGCCGAGCCGAGTAGACTTGGGGTTCCCAAGCCCCTGAAATGTCAAAGTAGCGGCAGATGTTCTGGCCCCATCAAACATGCGGTGACATGGAAGTGGCAGGTGGACTTCTCGGAGCCCATAGGCAAATCACAATGTTTGTATTAAGTGTTTGGCGGTTGTGCTGAACCTCACAAGTCGTGATGACCTCGCATAGTCGAACGCGTATACGCAATTTCGACTTGCGTGGAGTTGAAGCCGTGTCCATCAGTGACATCTCTATCGACTGTTCTTACGTGATCTAGACCGTTACAATCAGTGCGATCCAGCACAGCGCAAAGTACAAGAATCACAGCAGTCACTTCAAGGACTCAAGGCTGAGGCTCACGAGCACATGTCAATCTCGATCATGGAGAAACATTGTACGTCTTCCCCGACCATGACATATCTCTACAGTTCATCCCTAGCCTCGATTTCTTCCTCCCTTTTCCTCCTTTACCTCACCCCCCTTCGCCTCCCTACACCAACTCAATCCATTCTCCACTACACTCACCTAACCCACCTTGTTCCAATAACTTTCAGGATAACCATATTTGGGGGCGGATAACGGTATCCTCACTCAAGAAGCTACATCGATAGTGTGTGTGTATGTACCCCCATAACATGCGATTAAAAGAAAGGGGATACCAGAGACTGCTGCATCAATAAATCAATTCATGAATGAATGCGTGCAGAGGAGATTTTCACAAGGTTGAATAGTGGGAAAAGGAGGTAAGTAGTAAGAAGAAGTAACTGGTCAGAAGCAGCATGTGCGTAGGTTTCTAAGTCGAAAAATGATTGAGATTGAGAGGAATAGCGTGTGAATTTTTCAAACATTGCCATAGTCGGGACTCTGTCGAAAGCCTTTTACCTAGATAAAGACCGAAACACTTATAAAACGTGGGCATGGTGCATGTTAAGCAGAAATGATGAAGAGAAACCGTCGTGCACATGGCACATACACAAGGGACTACATGAGTTCATTTAATGAATTATCAGAGCATCCATGTACGAACACACAAGAATACCTTGGTACTCACTTTCTCCCCTTCCAACAGATCTAGGGTCTATTTCGACTTCCCATCCCCTTTAACTCCCCATTTCCCCATCACCTCTCCCTCTTCGAACCTCTTTGTCTTCCCCCTTAGGTACTCCGCTCTCTCCTCCAGCGTCATACCCATCTGATGGTCATTAACCGGGACCAAGCATCGCGCAAGATGCATATAGTCCTTCCTCAGCAAACTGAACGTGATCATGAGGTAATCGATGTTGTAGAACACGAGCGCGTGCTCGGCCGCGTATTGCGATTTTTGAGCGAGGAAGGCGGATGGGTGGTCGCGCCAGTGGCGCAGGGGGTTGAGGTGGTGCGATGTATGGTAGCCGTCGTTGAAGCAGTAACGGTTGCTCTGTTTCCCCACGCGTTAGTAGGTGTTTAGAGTTTTATTTCTTCACGCGTAATGGGAGTAGGAGGAAAAGGTGACTTACGGGAACATCAATAACCGTAATACTGCTCCTGAAATCGGACGTAGGCTCTACCTCATCCACAAAGGCATGTTGTCCCCAGTTCCCAATCATCATACCCAACCGCATAATCGCAAGCGGAATCAAAAACACAAAGATCGTAGCGCGCTTATCAACCTTTGTGAACATACTCCACAGGAACGCGTAACTCGCCATCTCGCACCCTCCAGCCTTGAGCGCAAGCTCCAATTTCCGATTCCTTATGAAATAAAGGGGCAAATCCAGCCAAATCAAGAAGTAGAATCGACCCACGTAGTGCAGGAAATGCAGAGGATCGTCACGTTGGTAGCGAATGGTAGATGAGAGGTCGTTGGGGCCGTTGCCTTCGACGTGGTGGTGTTTGACGTGGTGGAAGTAGTACGAGTTCCAAGTATGTCCCATCAACGGATCGAGGATATAAGGAAACGCCGCATCGATGAAAGAGAACTTCTTGGAGAGAATACCGCGCATGTGGATGTGTTGATGCATCATCAGCGTGTAGGAGCCCATGTAGTATAACTGCATGGCTGCATGGAGAGGTGCGTGCCACCAGTGGAAGTTATAGAAGAGGTAGAGGGCGGAAGGGATGCTGGTGAAGAGGTAGAGGAAGAGATGGGTCAGCATCACGACGTCAGTTTCGACGCGGACGACTGTGCGGGCCCAGCGGGTGTAGGGTTCGATGATGTACTTGCGGAGGAGAGGGGATTGGATATCGGGGTAGTCGACGGAGACGAAGACGGTCGGTTCGAAGGATTTGGAGGACGGGTCATTGAGGGCTTTGAGGTGGGCGAGGGTTTGCGTGGAGAGTTCTTGGATATCTGTTGGTAATCATTCGTTAACATGTGTGCTATTCGTCGTCGATGGGTAGATAGCAGAGAGAGAGCGCCCTATTACCTTCTGGAGAATCTGATTCAAACCTCGTGTGCTTCTTAGGCGACGACGAAAGCGAATCGTCCGAGTCTTCACGTTTCGGTTTCGACGAGTCCTGGTGCTGGTCGTATTCCTTCTGCAATATGTCCATGACCATGCGGTCTGGCACCGTCATTTGGGCATCTGGCTGGAAGTAGAGGTTGACCATGATGCTCAACGACCGGGAAGGATACAATCGATGCGAAAGGAAGTTTCAATGGCGCTGAAAAGTGGCGCAAGCAGGTCAGAAAAGAGGACGAGCAGAACGATTGACACCTGATCAAAAAAAAAGAGTGTACAGCCGAGCAACGGCTTTCGGAGGCGAAGTTTAAGTGATAAGTCGGAGGATGGGGTGAGGTGGGGGTGATCAGGGACCGAAAATCAGCACAATGCAGGGACCACCGCGGATCTAGAATGGATAGGGCATGAAGGGACAGCTTATAGGTTAGAGAGGGCGATGGGATCGAAACTGTGGACGCTCCATATCAACCTTGGATGGGGCTCGCCTCGGCTCGGAGCGCACTAAGGTTATTCCGGGTGGCGATATCAGGGGCTTAGCGGGAAGATAACACATCTTACTCTATGCTTTATTCTTGATTCAAGGCAGTATAACATAGGGTAAAACATAGTTGATCAGAAAGTTGATTGGCTTTTTTAACGTTACACCAAGAAAAGATTTTTTCCAGAGCGGCCGTTGACGATCCGTGATATACGTACGTACATGAATGAATAATATATGCATGATTGGTACCCAATGCCAGAAGGAAAAGAAAAGAAGAAACATTACCCATCATGTACGTCCTGTGTCCAGGAAACAAAGACATGAATACCGAAATTAATGGAAGGCGAAGAAGATATACGCAGCCTTGAACCAACCCTTTCTCTCTCTCTGTCTTCACCAATCCATATAATCATATCCAATTTCTCACAAGAAATCGATATCCAGAAATACCATATCAACAACAGCTCATGCGACCCCTTAAACAACGACCAATCCGTCATCTTCACCATCGACCAAGCCCTCATCGTCATCGACAACAGCTTCGTGGAATCCACTATCCCACTGTCTCTTGGCAATTTTCTCCTTCTTGCCCCGGCCGTTGACCTTCTTTCCGACCTTGACCTTCTCGCTGACCTTGCCGATTTTGCCGCCAACAACACGATGTAAATCGCCCTTGACACCATTCGTGCGCACAGCCACACCGGCAACCTTCATCTCCTTGACGGCTTTGACAGCGTCGGCATTGCGACGTTTGAGCGCGTGCGCGAGATCTTGATTCTGCAATTGCAGCTGGCGTTGGGTTTCAACTAGGGCGTCGATGGTGTTCCTAGTGTCTTCCTCTGCCGCAGCGAAGGTTTCCTTGATGACATCGATCTGAGATTCCAGTTCGACGATGGCAGCAGCACGCGTGTCGCCAATGACCTGTAGGCCTTGAATCTCGAGTTCCTTTTCGGCAATAAGTTCTACGTGTGCCTTTTCACGCGCAGTGGCTGCGTTTTGAAGGTTGACAATGGTGGCCTCGTGTGTCTTGATCGCGGCGCGCAGTGCCGTGGATTCCTGGTGATGAAGATCGCTGATTCGCAGCATTTCCGAGGCCTCCTCCTCAACGCGCTCCGAGAGTGACTTGTTCTCACGTTCGAGCTGAACGTTCTTGGCTTGGGCGTCGGCCAGGTCGGTCTCGAGCACAGTGATTGTATCCGCCTTCTCGGCGATCTCTTCCCGTAGCATCGTCTCGTTCTCGGCAGCTGCAGCACGGACCCGTTCCAGCTCAGCAGCCTGTGCGTTCACTTCGTTGGTGAGATCCGTGATGTTGGCCTGCAATGTCGTAATGGTGCTGTTGGTGGAATTCTCTAAAGCGGCGTATTTGTTGCGGAGATCTGCGAGTTGTGTGTCGAGTGTAGTGACGTGGTTGTCGCGGTTTTCCTCGAGGTCGGCGAGATCGTTGCGCAGGCCTTCCATACCGCGCTCGAGAGCATCAATCTCACCTTGCAGGCCTTCGACTTTGGTAGTGAGAGAAGCGACCTCCGCTTCGGCAGTCTCGCGTTTCTGCGCCTCCTCCTGCAACGCATCTTGGTCGGCTTCCGCTTGCTCGCGAGCATCATCTTCAAGGCGGATGATAGTCTCTTCCTTATCTTGCTGCAGTTGAAACAGCTTTGATCGAAGCTCGTTGGCCTGTACGCCAGAATTGTGCAGCTGCTCTTCCAGCTGGGCAATCTCATCTTCGGCGCCATGCAGGCGATCCTCAGTCTCCGCCAGCTTCGCACGCTCGCTCTCAAGGAGTTCCTTCTTGGCGGCAAGCTGCTTCTCGACATCACTGAAAGCCTCCTCCAGATTCTCAATTATATTTGCGCGGTTGTAGGCCATGTCAGCTTGGGTATCACGCTCACCCTCAACTTCCTGTCGGAGTTCTGTCTCCTCGGATAGACGTTGTCGGAGCTGATCCAACTCGCTCCTAAGCGTCTCGAACTCGTTCTCCATGCGGGTGACGCTTTCCTCCAAGTCCTCGATGTACGCCTTCTTGTCGAGCGCATCGTTCTCAGCGATCGTACGTCCTTCAATCTGCTCTTCAAGGCTGGTCTGAAGGTTGTTGATTGCGGTTGCATGCGCCTCTTCCAAGTCGATCAGGGTGTGGCGGTGGGTCTCTTCGAGGTCCGTCACAGTCGTTGTGAGCTTGTTAACTTCGTCGCGATAGTTCTCGAGGGAGTCGCGGAGTCTACCCAGCGACGTCTCTTTATCAGCGATTTCGACTTTAAGGTCATTTAACTCAGCCGATTGGTTCTGGATGACATTGTCCTGGGTGTCGAGCTGTTCGTTCAACGTAGTGACTTGCTCACTAAGATCGTCGACGTCATTCTGCTTGATCTCGTTTTCTTGCGTCAATTCGGCCACATTCTCTTCCAAACTGCCGATGCTCTCAGTGGAACGTGCGAGCAAATCGATTACATGCTCGTACTGCCGCTGCAGCATTTTCTCATTCTGGTGATGGGTCTCTGCGGCGATGACCTTCTCTCGTAGTTCTGTCAGAGCACCCTCGAAGAGCTGTGGAATCTTGCGCAGTAAGTCGCTGTTTGTGAGCCCCAGCGTGCACTTGGGAATGAGGTTTTCTAGCTCTTCACGCAGAGCGTCAAAGCTGTGACGCAAGGCTGAGATGATAACATTGGTAGAAGCACCCGGTGGGAGGACGTTGAGGTTTTGTAGCTCAATGGCAACGACACGAAGAGCACCTTGGGACTCGGACAGCTGCTGAATGAGACGCTCAATTTCGTTCTCATATCGGGAAACTGCCTTGTCGGAGATTTTGTCTGGGACAGGAGACGAGGAATCCACCTGCGAAGGGTCGGCCAGCGAGTCGTATTGTGTCTGGGAGATGGTTGCCAGAGAGTGTACAGTGACCTGACTGGATAGTTCGAGCGCACGTTGGGCGTAAATGCCATTGACCAGCGGAGCAGTCTCAACGGGTGCGGGACCATCGCTGTCATCAACATCGATGAGCATCAGGTCATTATCCTCACCGTCGTCGTACTCCTCCATGATATCTTCAAAGGCGCTCGGCTCGCGAGAATCGCCATTGTACAGCGAGGAGCGACGTAATTGATCCATTTCGTCCTTGGTCTGGTTCAGTTGTTGCTCGAGCTCCTGGACACGGTCCTCTGACATGGTAATGTTACCGATGCGCTGGGCCTCGAGCTGGTACTCCAAATCTTTGATGGCATTGTCCTTTTCCTGCAGGAGAGCCTTGAGCTCTGCGAACTGCTTGCGGAGTTTCCTATCCTCCTTTTCATGCTGTTCAATGTTGTTGACCTCTTGGCTGAGGTGGCTGCGGCGAAGACGGCGACGGATACGGGAATCGATGACGGCTTTGAGTGGTCGAAACTGGAAACGCTGACCCTTGCTGTCTTCGAATTCTTCATCGACATGATGCAGCTGGGCAGGCATTGACATGCGGGCACGGCGGACACCAGAGGCTCGACGGACAGGGTTGGGCCGGCCGGCAAGGGGAGCTGTGGATGGTGGAGGTGGAGTGACCTGGGAGTCCTCTGGAGCATCCTGGGCTGCTACTAGGGGGTCTGAATGGCGGCGGATGCTGGGGTATGCTACGATGCCGGCACCGTCGTCGTGGGATTGAGAGCGGGAGACAGCGTCTCGTAGCTCGCGAGCCAGCTGGTCCTGGGTGCTCTCGTCGTCGTCGTGGGTATCGTCATCATCCAGACGGGTGCGTTTGACCTGGGGGACGGCAGGTGGAGGAGAGGCAGCACGCTTTCGACCCTTTTTGCGACGGTGGGCGTCGCCGGGGCCCTGGGGGTGGTGCTCAGAGGCAAGGCCACTGATTCGGGCCATTGCGGGGGTGAATCGAAGCTGCTATGTGTGTGTATATTTCAAGGATGACGACAAAAAAAAACTATGACGAGGGAAGGGTGAGTCGACGTGGCGGGTGATGGTTGTTGGTTTGATGTAAGGGCTACTTACGTGGTATGCAAGAAACCAAAAAAGGAGTTGTGCAGTTGTTTGTAGTTTGGAGCGTAATGCAAACAACAAGGTGGAGGGTTGAGGTTGGGAATGGGTGGGTACCAGTGTGTGGATGGGCGAGTGGAGCGGTCGGTGGGTGGGAAAGAAAATAAAAAGCACGGGCTGGCACACAGACAGCTAAACACCAAACACGTCAGGCAGCAGGGCGGGCTAGCCAACTCTGTGCAGTCGACCCAGGGAAAAACAAATCGCGTCTTTCACACACAATGGAATGATTCGTTCCAACACAATGTAACAGGCCGTGATTTCGTGGTAGAAAGGTAGAGAAGGAGGAGAGAGAGAAAAAAGGTTTGGTGGGATGAGATGGGGTTCCTCGTCGTTGTCGACGATGACGGTGGTGGAGGTTACGATGATGAAAAGGAAGGAGGCTGGGCGACCACTTTCTCTTCTAACAAAAATTAAGTAAAAAATTAGAAACAATTCCTCCGCTCTGAATGGTTGATTCTTTTTATTTACGTCAATGCCTTGTGTTTGACCCAATCGGAGCCCCAGAATTTACCACAGCGCTTTCCCTGCCAAGTGACGTCGACGCGTTTCCCCATCGACGCGTCGCAGCCTATGAAATCATCGCCGCCGTCAACACCTGGAACCCCGCATGCTGGGGGTTTCTTTTCTATATGGTCGATCCACGTGCAGTTCTCTGGTGAACTGAACCGATATGAATGTCCTGCTGTGTTTTTTACGTGGTGGTGGAATTGGTTCATCGCGTGGGGCGCCGTCATTTCGCATGTGACAACGTGGGCGCACGGGCCCCCTTGCTCGCCAATTTCCATCCATCTCATCTCTCCTCACCCACTGTTCTGTTGCCGGGAAAGGGGGATCTTCATAACATTATATCTACCTTTACCATGTTCCAGTGTCTCAAGAGAGAATGAAGGAAAAAATTGATCATGACGTCATACTGTTTGTCTGGCCCTGGAAAACCAGAGACAGCATATACTGCCCCAGTGGCCATGGAGAAACTCAGCAAACATCGTTTGGTGAATGGGCATCTGTGTTCGTACCTTTGTCTATGTCTACAGTGATGAGAGGTACTCCCCATGCCAGGATGACTACCAAGTCTTTTTCTTCTCCCTAGCCAACAAGTAGTCCCCACCCCATACAGCCTTGTACACCCCATACACCCCACTCAAGAACCCCGGATTCCTTCGAATCCATCTCTTTACCCACTCTCTCCAGCTCTCTCCCTTCTTACTGACTTCATCGTCCTTCCCGCCTGTCCCCCTCTCTTTAACCTTGTCCCAAATACTCGGCAGTCCACTTGCTCCAAACTTCTCCCTCACAGCATCGTAGCTCTTGCTATCATATATACTATCCCACTCTTCCTCTGTATAGAACACACGCCCGTACAGCCATTTCAGCCCAGATAGCTTCTGCACCTGAGCTTCAAGCGCGCGGTTCATACGGATGTATTCATGGGTAGGGGAAGCATAAGGACCCCATACGCCGATATTGATCAAACCCTCTTCCTGCTCACTTTCCCTTGTGGAAGTAGGCTGGGAAGGAGAGTTGGAAGGAAGAGGCTTAGCATACCCCATACTCCCCCGCCCATCCTCCCTCAGCGGACAAACCCACAACGGGTACAGCCCCAACTCCCCATCAACCCACTCCACAAACTCTCCAGCTTTGGAAGCAGGAAACGCAATATCTTGGATGATGAATCGGTCTGTGTGTCCGGACGCGTGGAGCGCGTGGTACATGATGCGGGTGTGCATGAAGTAATCCAGTAGCCAGCGAGTGAAGCGCGTAAACGGGACATGGAAATACTGGAAAGCGTAGAGTCCTGTCCAGAAGGCGCCGCGGTCGTAGCGGAAGAGATAGTCTTCTATTGGTATGAGCTCCGTCCGCGGGGAGGAGGTGGGTTTTCGACATAGGGATTTGGCGTGGATCCAGAACCATTCGTCGTGTGCGCGGGAGAAGCGTTGGATACGCAGATCAGGTGAAGTTTCGGGTGTTTTATGCGTAAGCTTCCCACTCACGATAACGCCTTCGTTTTTCGCGAATAATACTCCGTCCAGGTAATCCACTTCCTTCTTCTTCGCTTCTTCTTGTAGGGTCTGCATAGCGTGCTCAATGGAAGTAGTAGGTAGATACGTGACTTCCACGAACCCACCTAAATTCTCTACCAGCCGCAGTTCAACTAACGTTAATACACCGAGCGTGCCGAAACTCCCCCTCAAACCCTCAAATAACTCGCTGTTCTCGTGCTCGGAAGCTTGCACGATAGTGCCGTCCGCGAGAACGACCTCGGCGCGGATAACGCTGCGATCAAAGAACCCGTGTTTAAAACTGCTGCTTTCCCCCGCGGTTCCTACGAATCCGCCACCTACTGTGATCCCAGGGAACTCCATCACAACGGGTGGCAAGAGACCGGATTTTAGCGTCTCGTGAACCAAGGCGTCCATGGGAACATTGGGCTCGACGAGTGCAGTTTTGGACGCGACATTGATGGCGATGATGTTGTTGAGATTACTCACGTCTACGATCTTGTCGCGGGAGAAGGAGGCATGGCGCGTGCTGTTTGTGCTGCCGTGGTAGATGCGAAATGGTTGATTGAGAGTATGGAAATGTTGAACTTTGGAGGAGATGGTGGCTGTGGATCTGTGATGCTGTTCCATTGTCTCTTCTTTTTCTTTCCCTACGGAGAGATGCACTGGGATGCACAACCGCGTGAATCTTCCTTGCCTCGTGACTTTACTATCTCTTACGCTGTGGGATTGTCGCGTGGGAAATGACGATGTGATGTGGTCGAAAGCTAATCACAGGCTAGGGTGATGAGGTGAGGTATACGAATGCCTCTGATCGATCAAGCAGCCGTGCAAGCATCTCACTCCATCGAAGTCGTCGAGGCGGCGCAATGCGTAAGCGCAAACATCCACAATGCTTGCCGTCCGTTGCCGAGCGGGCCGAAAGATTACCCAAAGGGCGATGGTTGGGTGTGTGGAGAGAGGAGTGGAGCGGGCGGAAGGCGGCGGAGCGGGAAAGCGAGGAGGCAAACTGTTCATGTACACACGTACAAGGGGCTCAAAATCGTCCGCACCAGTCAGCGATTACATGCAATGTACATCATTAAACTTAAAAATGGGGAACGTCGAATATATATCGGTTTACCCCGCTTGTTGTCGCTTTACCAGTTATTTGCAGTCTCTTTGCGTGAATGCTGTACCTTTTCTTTTGACGACTCCCATCCTTCGACTTCGGGCACTATGGCCTGATACAAAACGTCTGAAAATAATCAGCAAAATAATAACAGAAATTATAATCAATTGTGACCCTGCAACGGTTTAATCATCCCGGGGAAACATAGGAGGGAAATCAGTCAACATGGACACCACCTCCCACCCAACCCACGCCTCGATCCTATCCCAAATATCAGCCCAAGTCTCCACCTACCACGAAACTTCAACCCCTTTCCGCATCTACCACGGCTCTACCCTCTCAACCCGCACCTCCCCGCGAAAAACCACCGCTCTGATAAACACCTCCCCACTCAACACCATCCTCTCCATCGCACCATCCTCCAAAACCGCCCTCGTAGAACCAAACGTTCCCATGGACGCCCTAGCAACCGCCACTCTCGCCCACAACCTGCTCCCGAAAGTCGTCATGGAACTCCCGAATATTACTGTAGGCGGGGGTTTCGCGGGAACGTCTGGCGAATCGAGTTCGTTCCGGCACGGACTATTTGATAGAGGGGTACGCGGGATTGAAATCGTGCTTGGGAATGGGGAGGTAGTTTGGGCGACGAGGGAGAATGAGCATCGGGAGTTGTTCTTTGCGTGTGCGGGGAGTTGTGGGAGTTTAGGGGTGATCACGGCGTTGGAGATGGAGCTAGTGGATGCGGGGGGATGGGTGGAGTTGGAGTATGTTGCTGTCCGGAGTGTGGAGGAGGCTGTGCGTGTTTGCGAGGTGGCTTGTGCGGATGAGGGGGTGGAGTATGTGGATGCTATTTTGTTCGGGCTGGGGAGGGGGGTTGTTATGGTTGGACGGATGAGGAGTGATGATGGGGGTTTAGAGGTTGTGAGGTTTGATCGGAGGGGGGATCCGTGGATGTATTTGCATGCTGAAGAAGTGATGGATGGGCTACTTGGTGAAGAGGGAGGGAAGGGTGGAGAGAGACGGACTGTCAAGGAGGCGGTGCCAGTAAAGAGTTATCTATTTCGCTATGATCGGGGGGTGTTCTGGTCGGGACTGCGTGCGTTCAACTACTTCATGACGCCGTTCAATTCCTGGACGCGATATCTCTTAGATCCGTTCATGCGATCGCGGACTATGATTCACGCGCTCCACCGCTCGGGGTTGGCCTCACAGGCACTGATTCAAGATCTAGCAGTGCCGTTCGACAAAACAGACGAATTCATAAGGTGGACCGATGAGCGGACGGGCATGTGGCCGTTATGGCTGTGTCCCGTGCGCAAAGCGCCAAAAGGGGAAGAGAGCTTCAGTATGGGTGTCAGCGTTGATAGAGATGACAATGAACTATTGATGGACGTAGGAATCTGGGGGATGGGCCCGAAAGAACCTTACTCTTTCATCAAACTCAATCGGGACTTTGAGAAGAAAGTTGCGGAACTCAATGGCCTGAAATGCCTTTACGCACACGCTTACTACACTGAGGATGAGTTCTGGAAGCTCTACGACGAGGAAAAGTATAAACGTCTCAGAAAGCAATACCATGCGCAAGGTTTACCGAGTGTCTATGAGAAAGTTAGGGTCGATCTTAAGGGTGTTGCTGGGCCTGCGGCGACGAGAGATCCAGAAACCTGGGGGGCATGGGCGTCTCGAAGATTCTGGCAGACCTGGCCGATGGGAGGGCTGTACGGTGTTGCAAGTGCAACAAAAGGATTAGTAGTGGAAAGCGATTTCCTACTCAAGTAGACTAGCTCGGTTTAGTCCGTTGAAGGTTTCAAGTTACTTGCCTTCTTGTTTCAACATCCAAGCGTCCCTATGCTTGCCCAACAATTGAACCTGACGCTAGGGCGATCTCACGTTTCGTTATTACATCTCTTCGTCTTTCAGCTTACTCATTCCCTTTTATCACATCAACCAACGATAGATGACACGATATCGAGGCTCAACGATAGACAGGGCAAATTGATCACGAGCTCAACCTCAAGCGAATGATTATGAGGTACAATGTATCCCGATAACGAATTGTGAAACTTGATGAGAAACACGAGAATTGATTTTGATGAGTTGTTAATGTGTGATGGCAGTGAACAGTGCAGTACATCCTTCTTTCATGATTTGTTACTAAACAACGAACGGGTCGGACTAAGGCATTGAAGCTAAGAAAACGGCATGATCCAATCGTTTCTTTTCCCCGTAAAGTACTTTTTCATCTGCTAATGTATTCATGTTGAAAGCAGGGCCGTGGATGCGGAGAATAGCACATGACAATCGTGATGTATCGCGGGCAAGGGTAGATTGGTGATGTTCATGCCAAGGTACCATAAGCCCGTTCGGATACTCAACATTTGGATGTACGTAGATCCGATCGTCGGGTTCTATATTGTACCCCTGTACGATCTCGATGTTCGGCATCGCTCACCTTAGCCATCATCAGCTTTGGACGAATCGTTCATCCCGCAAATGTGGGCTTAATATGGTTCAGGATCGTGTTAAATGTTTCGACTGTTTGTAAGGATGGCGGCTTCGCATACGAATTGCCGTGCTTATTCTCATCGTAGGCGACTCTTCGACTCGGGCATACTATCATTCCACACGCTAGGGTTTATGATGTTGATCGTCAATGATTCGTCATTCATGATTAATGCTCACATCGACCTCAAGTAAACTCCCCAGTTCGAAAAGCGTTGTTAGATGAATGCGATATGCATATTTTTGCTACCGCATCCCGAAATCAAGAAGACCCCAAGTTCTATCGTTAGAGTTAAGATTACCCAAGTCTGATTTGTCGCTCTTCCCAGTCCAACCACCAAGTATGCTCAGCAGGTGTATCCGGAACATTAATCCATCTATTATCTACTCGTTGGTAAATGGAAGAGCCTTGAGGTAGATAGAGTATCAAAATACTGAACGTGTCCAGAGACTCATGTAAAATGAGAAGAGTGAAATTGAGACGACCATCCCGATCTGGTCGCGCTTGATACTCTTGTTGCACCAAACGAACAACTGGCACTGTGTACTCACAGGAGTAACGCTCCAGATTGGCTTGAGTGACAAGTTTGTCATTGGACTCACTGGACTCACTGCTTATAGTGCCGTCCCCATCTATTTTAACATCGAGAGTCCTTCCACGCATGGAGAGCACACTGGGAATGTCTCCCATCTTATCACGGGTGTGTACAGAACCTATTTGCGTTTCGCAATTCAATGTGGTACCGTCTGCGTACTTCATTGTGACCTCCAATATATGACCATCAACACTCTTCACCCCGCCAATGCTCAATAGCGTGCTATGGCGCAGTCGAATCGCGGAATTTGTCCAACCTAGCCACGACCAACTGGGAAATTGCCCCAGTCGCCGTGGGCAAAAATCTTTCGAATCATCTTGGTGGCGAAGTTTTGCTCTCCAAGAGAGGCTGTCTGAGAGTATATCCCCGATATAGGAGGATGTGTTAAACAGCGGAAGCCCACTCAGACTACGAAACGTGTCCGGAAAATTGCGCTCATACGCCCTTAAAACCCCATTGAAAGCATCCATGAAGTCTCCTTGGTTGGTCAAAGATCTGATAAGATACTCATTGATGCGAGCTTCAATGTCGAGTGAATCCTTACCAAGACCCAAGATTGGGTAAACCCTGGAAAGGCTTAACGAGGCTTTCATCTGCGTCATGTTGGGTATGTGCGTCTCTTTGTATGGTAGATTGACACTTTCGAGGCAGTACATGCCATTGCATTGAAAATAGACTTGTTCGTCTGTGAACATGAGCTTTCGATGGGCCAGCAGCCCTTCTTGAAATGTCCATCCCCGACTATTCCATTTTGAACTCAGGATGCTCTCTTTTGCGTAAGGAGCGTAGACATATCGATTTCCCCCGAGGTCGGCGCAAGGCTGGGGTGATCTTAGTTTGCCGCTTATGCCGGGCAATCCATAATGAGGGTCACTCCCCACAGCAGCCACGATCGTAAGAGCAGATTGTCCGTAAATTTTATCCATGTTCTGGATCTGCTTTGCTTTGTTCACGGGATCGTTCTGTGGAACACAATATCTATCGATCCAAAGATAACGGAGGCCGAGTTGTTTCGTTATTTCAATGCTATTCTCGATTGTGCGCGGAATGTCGCGTGGAATGATATAATCATCAACTATGTCTTGTCCAGTATTTCCCCAAACATAGCTGAGCGTCACATAGTGTTGGCCATCGCCAACATGCTCCCAGAGAATAATTGTGCGTGTAGTGCAGTCGATTACACGGAATCCTGGCGGGACCTGTGGATCGAGCTCTTGCTTACACAGCGAAGTGTGATTGTCATTGCAGAAGTCGAGCCAGTCTGAAATTAACGAGAGACCAATGGTGGGCAAGATTCGTCGCCCCCCAAACCCCCCCTCTTTTTCATCGAGCTGAATCGTGATGCCTTGAGTACCGTGGGGATTGTCGTTTGAGTGCTTGAAGTCTTTTGGCAAAACTCTAAAGACTGGGCCTCCTCGGCCAGTTTTGGAGATGCCGAATAGCTGGCTCGCCGTGTAGAAAACGTGAAGTGCATAATCTGGCTCTGGTTGCTAGAAATGGTAGTAATAATTAGTAACGCGTAACCTCATGAGGGGTGAGCCAAACTCCCTTTGGACCCCAGAAACACCTGAAAGCATATGACCTACTCCAAGATCAAATGATGGCGGTCGCTCTCTAGTAACATAGAAAAATCGGCAAAGTGGGCACTCCGAGTCTATTCTTAGGCGAGGCAGCGGTACTACCGTGTGACCCCAACCTGTGCTCGGTTTGGGTCCTATCTTTTTCCTAGCGATTATTTTTACGAAATCAATGTCGCGACAGCCCATGCACACCAGATCGTTATCTTGCATACTGGCAGAGTGTTCGGTATCGGCTCGCATGATGACGTGCACGACTGAGTGTGCTAGACGCCGCGTCGTCCGTGGAGGTTAGACGGTATGCTTGAAATAGGGTATGAGCCGCAGCGCTTCTTAAGCCCCAAATATGCTGAATGTTCGTGAAAGACAGGTTCTCATCTGAATAGCGATCGCGAGTATGAAAACAGAAAAGGACAGAGCAGAGTACTTTGCAAGTATGCTGATGCCAATTTGGGGGCCTCGATAGAGGGGTCCAGGCCAAATCCTTCATACCAAGATCGAAAAACCTAGGCTTGCGCTAGCTGCTGGGCTGATGGCGAAGGGGAATGTGTTTGGACTCTAGGGGCTTTCCCAGGAAATATTTGAATGTATCTATTGTCACCCATCGCGGTAACATTCAAACTCTGCAGGCAACCTGGCCTTGATCTTGAAGATGCTTCTAAAGAAACAAGATCACATGATCAGGCGAAAAGCACACAACGGGCAAAATTGGGGGCGACGAACGAGGGGCCATTTGCGCAAACCCAAACACTTCGCCTGGCAAGTGAATGCTCGCCAGCAGCATTGTCAATCAGTCATTTCGAATGAATAATTGTCTGTTTTCTGTCACTGATTACATATGTAAGGATGGAATGGCTCCTCGGCATACGTTTTAACTGTAAATGCAAATGTCGACATTGATGACTCCGTCGGAAGCAACCCGACGAGTTAGCCGTGATTTCGTCTGAAAAGGTAATTATACCGATACGAGCACACATAATAGTGAAACATGGTGAATATAAAGATAAACGACGAGGGTGAGGATGGCTGCATGTTCTAGACATCAGGAAAGGATCTGCTGTCACGTGAACAATAGGCCTTCGAGCAGAGCACCATCACATGGAGATGATCCAGCCAGCAGTTCTGACAAATGAGATATCTAGTATATTTTCTCCGTTTTGTACTACAGATTGATATACTTTGACTGAACTGGCCTATCATGATGTTCTTAACTAGGGCGCGGTATGCTTGCACAGATTAGAAGAAAATCTCAAGTTTTTAATTGGTGGATCTCGGAACCTAGTCCATAAAAGCCTTCAACTAAGCCTTAATATACAGCAGCGGAACGCGCATTAACGTTACCCGGGTTGTATCTTGGCTTGTCTCGTACATCCAATTATGAACCTGTATGAAAGCCACAGCAGCAATAATTAAAAGCTTTAATCTATCTACGATCCAGTAGGTGCTTGATAATATCGTCGACCCTCTATGACTAGGAAGCCTTTTCGGTCGAGTGTAACTCCTGCTAGGTAGGTTTTGAAGCGCCGTGAATGTCTACTGAAAAATTTGTGCATTTTGCGACTACTCACACTCTATACCGAGTGAAGTAGGACCGGTTTTGTCGGGATGACGCTCACCATATTTGTTTTTCCCAGTGTCTGTGTCACATCGGATAGCATGCGATGAGACACGATGGACATCAAGTAGCACTAGAAGTATATTGTCGCTACACAGATCATCTATCGAATACACACCGTACAGGAAAAGCAAGTTTGCAAGACGAGTATACAATAACATGACGTTGATGAGTATGCAGGCGGCACCACGGCCAGTCCATCCAATGGCGCGCAGATCCGGCTAGCTGACCCAGGTTCCGTGGGGGAGTCTCACAAGACCACTATACATCACGCCCAATTGACCGCTTGCGAGTCCAGAACCAGGAACAAGCCAAGTGCTTGCGCCGCGGAGCATAGATAGAAACAATCAAGCCAAACACGTTTCGCGAGAAGTAGCTTCCTCGCTTCCCCGGATTTGACTTTCCTAAACCGTCCGCGTCTATATTACAGCTGAATCTATGGCATCTTGGTATCATTTGGGTTGATAGGTCATGACCGGAAACCTGGTTGCCACACCCATTTCCTACCGATATTGCCCATGAGGATGCACGTATGCCCATATCCAAAAGGATAGTTCAGTGCCGACTTGGCGCGGCAGTAACTTACGATAAAAGCTCTGCGCCATCTCGTGTTTGACCACCATCAAGCTACTCATCCCTTCATTCTTTTTGATCTTTGGTTTTCCAAAACATACTTTCACTTTCTAAATCAAGATGAAGACCTCTACGTTTCTCACCCTCGCCGTAGCTGGCAAGCTTGCCGCCGCCCATGCTACCTTCCAGGAGATACTCGTCAACGGCCAGTCGTCTGGCAGGACCGGTGTTCGCGGCTCTTCCAACGCAAACAACCCCATTTACTCTACATCTGGCAACCTCGCCTCCGATATGATGATCTGCAAGGGCGGCTCCAAGGTCTCTGGCACCGTCAACGTCAAGTCTGGCGACAAAGTCACGCTACAGTGGCACCACAACGACCCCTCATCTGGATCTGGAGACAAGGATGAACCCATCGCTCAAGTATGTTTCCTCAAACACAACAAAAACACCTTGCTATGAAATCTTGTCTGACCTCACTTCTAGTCCCACAAGGGTCCCATCATCGTCTGGGTCGCCACTGCCGCCTCCGAAGGAAAGGGCAACGCCTGGGTCAAGATCCAACAATCCGGCCTCAACGGCGGTCGCTGGGCCGTCGACGACTTCATCAGCTCTGGCGGCAAGATCGATGTCACCATCCCCAACCTCGCTGCCGGAGACTACCTCCTCCGTTCCGAAATCATTGCTCTTCACGAAGCTAGCAAGTCTGGAGCCGCGCAATTCTACAACGGCTGCGCACAAATCAAGGTCACTTCCAGCGGAAGCCTGGCAATCGGAAGCGGTGCCGCCAACATCCAGAACGTATACAGCTCCAGCGATCCTGGCGTTCTCTTCAACATCTACGGCGGATCCTCGAGCTACCCGATTCCCGGCCCAGCTGTCAACGCTGGCTTTGGAACATCCAGCGGCGGTGGTAACGGTGGCAACGGTGGCAACGGTGGCGGCAGTGGTGGAGGCAGCGGAGGCACAGTCGCCAAGTACGGACAGTGCGGTGGAAGCGGATACTCCGGTGCTACTCAGTGCGAATCTGGCAGCACTTGCACGAAGGTCAACGACTACTACTCCCAGTGCTCTTAGAAACGTAATTCACTTGGGGTGTTCTTGTATATAGTGATTGGAAATACTGAATAAACGTCAGGCTTGCATTTTCTTGTTATGGCGAGACTTGGCCGAAATAGAGCAAGTATTACAGATGGGAATATATCTTATGCTATTACTCACGCATCTCGGTCCCATCTTCAGTATCTCACTCCGGCTTGCTTGTTCAATCATTGAGGTTTCTACTCGAGCGCCGTAAAGAATTTGGTTCGCCCCATTCTCTTCCTTGCCCCGGATTTCCCATCCACCGAAGCCTGACCATACTCATTCCCGAATCCAAAGTCAAAATCAAACCCGCCATCCCGAAAAAGCCCCCCAAATCTACCATTATCTCCATCACTTCCGATCCCCAGCCATGCCTCTTCCTTGTCAAAAAGAGACACAGTGTCAGATTTACTGTTATCGGAGTTTGGACTACGAGGGTGACTCCTGATGGCATCTTCGAAGAAAACATTCCAGACACTCATCTGCTTCTCGTCAAGATCCAGTTCAAATTCCTTCGCCTTTGTTCCGTCGGCCCCACTATGCGCCGCTAGGCGTGTTCCAGAGAAGCGGAAACGGTGTGGGGATAGTAGCAGGTGTTTTTTCTTGATCACACTTCTTGTCTGCATTCTTACCCCTGTTCGAGGAGGGAATGGACTACAAGAAGGAGTGGAAGTTGAATTAGGATCATCAAATAGATCCCTGGTCAAGATTCCTCTTTTATGGGGTGAAGTCTTCTTTTCTGCCACGCCCCTTTTTTCTATCTTGCTGACGTGGATTGGATTTGAAACGTTACCATCGCTGCTGTCTTCTACCAGTCTTGTCTCTCTTCTAAAAGAGCTTAGGGAAGAGGAGAGGAGCTTGAGTTGTTTATGCTTCGTGGGGCTCTGTTTTTGGGGGCATTGAAAAAGGGATGTGAGAGACCGAGAGCGCGCTTCCATCGGCGAAGCAGATCCAATAGAACGACTTGGTGGCGCACAAAGAAAATTCCTTTCATCTTCACCAGAATTTTGAAATTTTGGAATTTGAGAGTTGCAGTGGATTGTACTGTCGTGAGTGTGGTCGTTGCCGCACTCGTTCCCGGCATGGATGCCGTCGAGGAAAGCGATACCGGGTTCAAGACCGGTATTTGGCAATGCGGAAAGCACTGAATCTTTTTCATATGTTTCTTTTCGCAGCTGCTGTTTCGATCCCGATTCTGTGAAAGAAGATCTATCGAGAAGACTTGTGAACTGACGTTGTTGAAGCTCCGGTATCACTGCGAATTCCGGGTTTTTGTTACGCTGGTCGCGATGGATAACGATGGACCCAGAGGCCGACCCAGCGCTATCTTCATCCTTATTTCTCTCAGTCAATCGCCTTCTGCTGTTATCATCTCCTCTTATCTGCTTCTTGTTATCGTCCCAGACTCGTGTAACATCGTTCGACCGCCTCCGTAGAAGCGCCGTCCACCTATTTCTTCGCTTCGCCAATATAGACGGGCCGTCCATATTTCCTTTTATCGCCTGAAGAGCGATGATGGGAGTAGAAGAATCGCCGACTTCAATGTCTCGTACCCATATCCCAACACTATCATACACCCTGACTTTACACCCTTCCGTTCCAATCGCGATGAGATAATCCGAACCTTTCTCATCCGTTTCCCCATCGGCTTGAATCAGACGAGGAATTATGCACAAGGAAGTTGCGGCAGCCGATACGTGCTAAGTTCTCAGCACGCATCCACTCGCAGAGGATAGCAAAGGATGAGAAGTCGAGGGCGCAAGGGACACAAGACGGCATCGTCCATCCAATCCGATGGTCACGATGCGCACGGATGAGACTAATTCATGGGGACCAGATCTGATTGGAGGAAGAAACGCTACTGCTTTCACACCTCCGGTTGAGGCTTTGTGAAGATTTGGAATCGCGTCAAGTAGTTTTGGCTGGGGGTGATGTAGCGAGGCTGTTTCAAGCGAATTTGTGGTGAGATGATACTGATGATACGACAAAGAACCATCTTGAAACCCTAATATGTAGCGCAATATCGTAGCCGAAGAAGATATAATCTGGGAACATTCGTATGGCTGGAAAGCAGCTTGGGTGATGGCGGAACTGGCATGCGGAGGATATACATTGAAGGGAACGTTGTTTGCTCCCTGGCGCAGGTCATGAATGAATAGAACGGGTGGGTTTGGCGAAGCAGATATCATGATCTCACCACTCGGCGAAATGGCGAGAACATCAGGCGGGGACGGATGGGGGAGTTGCGGCGAAAGCAGAGTGTTTGTCGGGATCTGGTATGCTTGGATAGATGTATTCAACGATGTGTTGAAATAGAGAACGCGCGGGTCGGGGGAGAACAATAAAAGGCGTGGGACTTCCTGCCATGAAATCAACCATGAGATGCTTTCTTTTCGGGAGAACGACAGCTTACATTTGCGCTCGAAAGTTGATATGTCTTTTTCCCACTCCGATTTGGCGCGGTATCATGGAGTATCACTAGATGACTGTCGGCCACGGCGATCAACCCGCTGCCATCGCTCGCAGCGCAAGCATTTAATGTCCCTCTACTTTGGCATCGAAGAAGTGTACGAGATGTTCTAGCTGTTTCGCTGAGCGTGCGGAGCTGGATCGAATCTGGTGTGACGATGAGGATGTTGGCGGATGAGGGTTCTGCATGAACCGGGTTGTCCATTTCACGTTGTATTATTCGTCTCATTAGAAATAGTGAGCATACTATGTCTCTGTGATGCTTGGGAATTTTGGGAGACAGATACATCATGGAAGGTTAGTGACGGCAGTTGCGAGCAAGGAAGGCAGGACATCCTACCGGATTCGGTGACAGTAAGCTATCACTCGCAGCCCTCATAAGTGTCACAGCGATTCTTTTTCTAGATGTCAGACTTAGGCGCAGCTGAAGTCACATAGATGCTTCTACAATTCAATATTTTTATGTGATTATCCAAATAGTTGCAATGAACGAAAAACTCGACACCAAACTTGGACGCTAGTGCAGCTGAGAGAATTCCTCTCTCATACATTGTTCGCCACTTAAGATCACCAAACTCAATATGAAGCAAATAATGACGCTTGATATAGCCCGCTACTTCAGAGCCCTTCGTAACTTCGACACCTGACAGCTCCCATGCCGCGCAATTATTGTCTACGTCTCGGCAAAGACTCCTACTACTCTCTTCCCCACTGCAAAGAGACATTTTTGTTTCCTTTGCAAGCGCCGCTGCGAAATAGACGGCCAGCAAAGTAATGCGAGACAAATCCTACAGATCAAGTGTCGACACTTGATATGTGAGAGTTGTTTCCCAGATTTCTTGGCCATTATGCAGACCGATCGAGCGCCTTGGGAATGCTCACTGTGCCACTGCTCTCCTCTAAAAGACCCAAGAGACCTTTCGCTCGCAATATCCGCGAGGTAACACATCTGACAGTATGAATGATCAAGTCAAGCCTTGAAAATCGTATAGCGCCTGAAAAGGGAACTAAAGTTCATCACCCCAGCCTCCTTCTCCTTGCCGGCCTCTCTTCATCGACATCCCTTCCATCATGACCTCCCTCAACATCCAGTTCGCCAGCATTCACATCCCGTAAAGCGTTCATCTCAACCTCAAATCTTACCACTCCACTAACTTCCGCAACAACCGACCTATACACTCTCGTCATTCTTATCCCTTCCTCAATCTCTGCATCTCGTCGTCGTCGTCGTCGTCTGTTGCCCCCTGTATCGTTACTGACTGTGGCCAAGAACCCACTACTTTCGCTCTCCTCTCGAGTTTCGACAATCTCCTCTTCTCCATCACCGAGGGCAGCCCATAAGACCTCGCCTTCCTCTTCTTCAATATCTTCCAATTGGTAGTTCTCTTCCTCCCAGCTCGTGACTCCGCTGAACCACCCCGCTCGACAGACTGGGCATCGTACAATCCCGTCTCTACTCGCAACCCCGGCTCTGCCACTTTGGCTGCGAAGGATGTATGTTTCGAAGCACTCGACGCCAAATGCATGTCGGCAATGTTCTAGATTTACGCGGATGAAGCGCTCACGGGACATGCGCTCTGATGAAGTGGGAGAAGGAGTGGTGAAGCATATGGGGCAGAGAAAATCATCCGCAACAACTGACGAGAATGTGGGTGACGGGAAGGCGAGATAAGCGATGTTGTTGTGCAAAAAGTGAACAAGAGGCCGGAATGATACGGTGAGTGGGCGACGCTGACGGTTTGTGCGCGAGGGGACGTCGATAATGTGGGGTCGTGGGGGTGGGTAGTTTGGTGGTATGGCGTTGACAGTTGAGCTGCTGGCTTGGGTGTCTGGGTCGTATGCAGATTCTGTATCCGAGTTGAAGTCGAAAAATATGATGGTCTCACTGTCAGAGAAATTTGAGTTCGAGTTGTTGTTAGTGCTCATGATTTTGGTGCTATCCGGGGACAATTTCAGAGGCTGGGTTGGTGTAGTGTAATGCAGAGGTGTGGAAACTTATCACTGGCGCAGATATATAATTCAACAGTGACATTTTAATTCCGTGGAATGAACCATCATTCGTGAATTTCTGGCAGCCCTGACCCTCATTCCATTGCTGTAGTTCGATCATGCAGTGTAATTTGTGGTGTGCATGTACATATTCAATTCCAGTAATTTCCTTCACGAACAGTGGATATAGAAGGTTTTCGAAGGACCCCGTACGACCCCGCGCAATTCATAATCAACATCTTGAAAGTGAAACATCTCTGTGGCCAAACTTGTGCCCTAGATGGGCAGAGAAGCCCCCGAGATTTGTAACCGTCCTCTTGCGATTCCCCGAAAATGATTCTCATCCCACGCAGACAAACTCGGCTGCAACCCATTCGCTTCAACTTCAGAAATACAATCTAGTCGACTGGGCTAGTCTGTACGCGACAGATTTCCCCAATCTGTCTGGTCCAGCTCTCCAGCCCACACTCGAACACCTTCCAGCCCAATGTTCCGCATATCAAGCCATGACCCTCAAGAAGAAAGCGCTTCATCTTGATCGCGACGAGAACAGTCCAGCAAAGCTCACCGGCCAGCGTCCTGAAGCTCAGCCAAATGCTTCGCGGTCGCAGCACCTCCTTTATCGACAGCAACACCGTGTTCACGCAGGTCAAGATGTCGGGCGATCCATCAAGGTAGGGAGAGATCTGCTGAAGGTTGCTATGAAAAGCAGAGCTGATGTAGGTCTCAATAAGGGCACAGTCGGATTCATAAGATGCGGAAAGAGATTGGACCATCTTGCCAGTCAGTGAGTCGGTGATGCGAGCGTGGCGGGGCGTAGGTTCGAGCATGGTATCCGTAAAGACCATCATGTGAGGATTGAGATCACCAGCTTGCGCGACATTTTCGGTAAATATCAGCCCACCGTACTTCTTGAGGTCGGAGAAGTTGCAGTCAGGAATGTCAAGCCCGGTCCGAGTGAGCAGCGTCAAAGCCGTGATGCCCTCCCAGATAAACAACGTGATGCCGCACCCAGGACAGCGATAGCCAGCCAGGTCGCGGAAAGGCTGGCAAGCACGGCGGATGAAGCAGCGATAGTGCACCCAGCATCCACATGGAGTGAGGGGCAGGAAAGTTGAAAACTCGGGACACTTATGACCGAGGCGCTGGCAAATACGGCAGGTGGTGTATAAAGGGGAGGGAGGGAGGTCGAACATGCCGTGGGCGCGCATGAGGTAAGAGTCCACATACTTGAGAAGTGATGGGAGTCCGTCGGATGGAGGTGCAGGGAGGAGAGTAGTGGCATTTCGTGCAGGGGACTTACGGGATGATGGAGGCTGTGCGGGGGTACATGATGCCGACGGGTGAAGATCGGGTGAGACGTAAGAGAGTGCCGCGTTGGCCATTTCGATGGCGGCACATGTTTGCGCAGCCATTTTTGTCGATTGTAGTTGGCGCGAGAGTATCAGTTAAGAGGTTGTGGCTCTAGCGAGGGCGGTGTCGAAGGTTTGTTGACGTCAAACACGCGAGCTGGAAGCAGTTTTTAGACAGCTGGCAAACGACTGGCTAAAGTGTGCCTGTGCGTTTGTATGTATGAACGGGGCAAGTTACAACTGATATTTTTTTTTCACTTTTCTCCGTCACGTGACGCTTTTTTCTAACATAATGTTTGAAATGTTGAATTGGATCACAATGAGATCTCAGGAAAACAATGTGTTCATCATTTTCCGTCACAGCTATAGAAGGATAACATACTTCATGTGAGATTAGCTACCATTTACTGGTCCCATAAGTATTTTACCTCCCTCGACGGAGTACTAACATTTGAATACTTGGATGTCTGTAAGCACACTGAGACACCACACATGCTCTATCGCTTCAAATTGCGCTGCTACGAGTATTCTTCTCTTCCATGGTCCCTCAAATCTCTGCTTCTTCCTTAATTTCAATCATTCTAATACTACCATTACGGGCTAGTAAATTGAAGAAGCGGCATAATGTTCGTGAATTTTACGTATAATTCTGAATACAGACATCCATTACGATCTTGTAGATTAAAATGAATTATCTGTATGCATATGTTGCTCTGTAATTTGGAGGCCACGACTGTTGCTGAGATCTGACACTATTTCATGCAGTCTTTCTTCAATCATGGTATTATGCGCCTTCGAGTCCCTCAATAGACTCTGGATGGCAATTGCAGCAATCCATTACATAGGGCTGCTACTACATGATTTTGCCTGTCTCAAAATTTCCCAATGCTGTTTTAAGACTCTCGTAAATTCTTCCTCATACTTCCTGGCGCACCCCTTACATATCCCAATTGATTAGAAACAGAGGGCTATGAAACGGTGGCAATGTAGTAGCCAATCAGAGTTTGTGCAACCTGCCAAGACAATAATATTAACAAACTCCTGTAATTTTTGTTAGTGCACGTACTGACCCATGGTATATGAGAACGAATACGTGTGTACTGATCTTCAAGTGATGTCGTTTGTGAATTGTTGGTCGACATGGTGTGTAAAGACGCGCTAAGCCTTTTCAGGACTAGCTATTCATCTGCATCTATCCGCTGTCTCGACAAGCCGTCCCAACCGGTGAAGGAGTACGCTAAGTGAACGGACAATGTGCAGTGAAATATTTATTCCGAAGGGCGATGAGGCAACTAGTGTCGCCGGTGCCTCTATTCGCCTCAATTATCACTGCGACAAGTTCACGTGGTATCTTCCCTACAGTCAACTGGTGACACTGAGACAGCGTGACTTGCGCTTCAGCACGATCATTCCCAGCCTTGCCAAAGTACCCAATACATGACACGTCTCCATGCATGAATTGCAAACTCAAGCTAATTTATGGTTTCTATCATCTATATAACTATGATTCTGTTCACTACGCCGCAACATGCTCGTGTCCACCTACGCACCACGGCCGAACCACCAGCATCCGATCTCTTGCGATAATCATTCGCAACAATATGCCTCGTTCTAGACAATATTCGCGTCTGACGCGGATTTTCAGGCACCACTCTACACCTGCCTCGCCTCACCACCCCTCCGACTCACCTCCAGCGCGACCACATGAAATGACAGCGATAGCGCCAATACTCTTCTCACCTACCACACCCAGGCTTACCGATACTTGTCCTATATGCACCAATAAACTGAACTCAAATCCCTCAAACCCGCCGTTCCGCATTGTCTCTAAGAACTGCAATCATGCATTCTGCGAAAACTGCCTCATGGATCTGCTCAAAGGTGGTCACTCGTGGAGCAATAAATGCCCAGTCTGTCGAACGACATGGGTGGATCCGTCGCGCCCCTCGCGCTACTTAAATGAGATCGAGAGTTTTCTAAGAGAATTAAATGTCCGGCTTGATGACATTCCTTGTTCGGATGCAGTTGAAGGGCTTTGGAGGAAGGGTGAATCGATGCAAGATGTGCTTACTGTGATACGACGGAGGAACACTGTAGTTCTTGGAAGAGCGTCAAGAACACAGGAGAGGATGAAAACGTTGATTGTGTTCATCGAGATCATACTCGATTCGTGACGGGTGGCTATATTTGCAATGAAAACAGTCAGAGAACTCTTGCAAATATGTGTTGTTGACTAGAGTAAGAAATGAGTGTATGGATAGGAGCGTAGAGATAGGGGTGAGGGCTTTTCAAGCTATTGACGACACTATGTCATATGTGAGTGTGGTGCATATATCTAATCATTTCAGGTCACATATCAATCACATCTCACAAACCGTATATGATCAATTTTAACAAATTTATTATCGTATCTCATGTAGAAGAAGACATAGTACAGGGGTCAAGGAAAGGGAGTCAGCAGTCCTATCTACCTGCAGATGCTAGGGTCTTCATGGCAATGCTATGTGCATCCTTAGCAATATACCTGCCCCTAGTCCGCACATCATTCTGCTCCCCCCATACCCATATCTGTCGGTCGAAGACCTCTTTCGCCAATCTCAATCGGCTTCTCAGCCTCTCCAAATCCCTCTTCGCCAACTCCCATTCCACATCTGCACCAGCCTCGGCGCGCTCGCTGTAAAGCGCCCTCAATATCTCCGAAAAAACCAGAAAATTGAAGAAGATATCATCATCAACCACAAAACGAAGCTCCAGCAAAGGAAAGCCGCGGCTTCGAAACCTCCTCGACGCACTCGTTGTAATGTTCCCCCAGCTCACTTCTCCCCCCTCGCTTCTCCAGCGCTGTAGCTCGCCGGCCAAACTTTGGCTTACATCAAACTTAAGAACCCGCATAAGCACTGTGCCTACTTCTTCCTCGCTGGCGCAAAGTATCGTATCTCCGATCTCAACTCCACCATTCTGTGCAGTATGTGGAATGAACACCTCAACGACTCCGTCCAAGGATTTGAATCCGCCGACTCCAAATATTGCTTCTCGGTCTGTATCGAGGCGCTCCGCAAGGCTGCGCGTGCACACTACATCGCCACACTGAGGACACAATCCGACGCTGCTATCGCGACTGCGGAAATGGTCAATGAGGCACTCGTAATGCACGTAATGTGAGCAGCGCTGGATTTGCACTGCCTGGTTCGTTTTATTGCGGAGGTAGAAGGGGGCCCGGCAAAAGGGACAAGCGAGAGTGGATGGGGGAGTCTTGGTGGCAAGAGGGTGGGTAAGATAGGATTTCAAGAAGATTTTCTGGGTCGGAATCGCGGGATTCTGACGGCGAAATGACTGTGAGGAGTTTCGAGTGGAGGCACGGCGGTTCGATGTGGCTGCGAAGGAGGTAGAGGAGCGGGGGGTGCCGAGAGTGACGTTGCTTAAGTTGTTTTGGAGGTGTTCAATTTGACTCAGCCTTGACTGAACAGCGAATGAGGGCTCCTGTTGGGCCGATCTGCTGTACGGTGGGTTATCGTGGGTTGGAAGCTGAGCCTCGGGCTGTTCCATGCGCACCATATTTGGCAGAGCTTTCTCTTTTCCTTTCACCGTTTCTTCGACGCGAATTGCCTCTGGGGTAGCTTCTTCTTTCCCTTTTACTAGTTCCTCGAAGCGCACTGCCTTTGGCAGAACCTTCTCCTTTTCTTTGACCGTTTCTTCGAATTTCACGAATTCTAGCACAGCTTCTTGCGCAGCCTCTGGCAGTTGTTCCGGCACATGTTCTGGCGCAGCCTCTGGCAGAGCATTGTCTTGACCTTGCTTATCTCCCACTGTCTCCGTGGCACAGAAAGAATAAGGTTCCTCTGGACAAGCGCCAGGCGTAGTCACAAGCGTATAACCCGAGTATGAAGACTTCGGCCGATCCTCGTACTGTACTCTAAGTTTTCCTTCATCTACCGAAGCCCTTTTCTGAGGGAGGTCGCCGTACCAATCTTGCGTCTTCGGGATATATGCTTTCTGGACAAATGCTTCCTTTCCTTTCTTCTCCGCCTTGGACATTTTAAAGCCTTTGTTGAACCTGTCTACAGCCTCGGCCCATCCTGTACCACCTCCTGCTTCCCACTCCACGCGAGTGATAGTATTCACTCCCACCTCTGACATCCAATCACACACCGCAGCATCCAATGACGGAGACGCATCAATGATGGGGTACCAACGTTCATGATTTTTAGCGTTCGCGCAGTAGCACATAGTGCTTTTGGCTTTGCTGGGAAAGTGGAGGTAGGCTCCCTTAATGAAACCCTTCCTGGGTACTATTGGTGGCATATTTATGGTTCGGGGTGAATAACCACCTTCGCTGTGGTATGCCGGTTGAACTGTTGAACGAGTAAAGGTATATCGTGCCCTTGGTCTGTTTGCGGGGCAGATCAGTGGAGTTCAAAACGTGTCAAGTTCTTTGTATCAATCCCTTTATTGGGTTTCTCTAAGACACAAGTTTTTAAAAGAAATCCGATAACTTTACCTCTGTTGTTCGCGAGTGTGTTCCTTTGTTCCTAGTTCGCCACCTGTGGTTAGAGTGGGTACAAGAATTGCTATCAATCGCTTCTTGAACAGTTAAAGCCCGTTCCAGACGAGTTTTTACTTGTCAGTTGCAATATCCTGCACTTGTAAAAGCGTGATATTAAACTAATGACCTAAATTTTACGTATGGAGAATTATATCGAGTTGATCTCTCTTTTATTCTGTAAATGTCACTGGACTTTGTTCATTGTGTTCCATGAACCGTGAAAATGGGTTTCGAAATATTGCTTTTTACAAGATTCTTACCATCACTATAGAAAATTGACACAAGAACAATGTGTTACACATTGTGCAATCGATGTTAATGTTCAACTGTATCATCAGGGTTTTCAGAAAATTTAACGTTCACTCAACATGAGGCAAGGTGGTCTTAGGAGGTGCTAATATCACTATGAAACTTTGATATGGTCTTTCTTACTTAGATTATTCTATTTGAGTATCACGTGTTTTTTTCAAAAATTTTACTACATATGTAAGTTGTGCCTGATCTCAATCATCACTATAGCCTCGAAACACTTACACGTAGTAGTGTTTCGAGCGCATGAAGTTTTCACCGTGACAGAAGTACTCATGCGGATACCTGTTTGCCATGTTCAGATGCTGCACGGGAATGGATGGGACCGAAACTTGGTACTATTAGAGTGTATGGTTAATCATCGCCAACGGAAAGATTTATGAGCATCGTAGCTGATAAGATAACATTCGAATAATTGATAGCAATCCACCAACCAAATTTGATAGATCTATCTAAGTCTTGGTCAATAGCAAATTGCTTGTTGCACGAAAGGTTGCTATACTCCAATTGGTAACTTGGAACTAAGTTATGTTTGCTGCAGTTGCAGGCTCATAAAATCATTTTATGTACCATTCTCGCAACACTAAAGGAGCCGATTGTTCTTCAAAAGTCAATCTCAATACGTTAATGTAACGAATTATTTGTCTCAGGATAGTGCAACCACTGTATTTCACAATCTCTCAAATACAGGGTCCTCCGCGTTTGTACAATGCAGTTCAATGGGATTTATATAGTTCTCCTGACTTTCACTCCAACCCTTTCCCTCTACATATCACCATAATCAACCGCATACGGGAATGAACACAGCCTCCGCAAACGAACATACCAGCCAATGTCTTTCGAGACCACTTGGTGAGGATGTCGAAGACTACGGTTGAAATCCAGCTCACTTGCCATCACCAAACTTTCAAACGCCGCATTGTGACCACTGGCGAACCATATGTTGAACCAATAACAGAAATCACACGCGTCCTCAAACATGATTATTGCCTTGTTTGCTTACGGTATTGGAGTATATCAGATATTCCAGTTCGATCTGGGTTCTGGCCAACCCACCGAGATCGTACTAAGACCACCGAATTCAACCTGTCGAAGCATAAAGTGGTTGCATCTACCGCGAATTGTTTCTTACTCCGCAGCTTGCCCGTCACAATTCGTCTTACTTCAACCACGCTTTTCCGAATCGACAGCGAGATGTACACTCAATACCCGGAGAAGTCTAATTCGGACATTGGAAAATTTGTTAGGCTCACATCGTGCGGCCATCTATTCCACCATCAGTGTCTCAAGAGACATATAAAGAACTCTCATAGCTGTCCTGCCTGTGACACTAAGCTTCGCGAGATTCCAATGATCAGCAAAGAACTTTTGTCAACAAATCAAGATGTACGAAGAGCAACCCCTAGCGGGACCACCGAGTCTATTGTTCCTGGTGAACGAAAGCAGCTTCGGTTTCCATATGTTTCACTAAGAAGACACACGACTCTCAACCGGAATGGACATGAAGGGTGATGCATTCAGGACTTCGGTTATTTCCACAAGATCCCTACTACCAAGTAGTGCTGTTCTGGAGTTTTGTTCTTGAAGACGTAATAACACTGAGAGAGTTCGAGAAATCTTGATCATGGAGAAAAAAAAGATAGGTTTAAGTTTTGGCTTTGAAATTGACAGGTCGAAGATAGGGCACGATTATCAGCAAACGAACAGAGGATCAACCGAGGCAACAAATGAAAGACCTGATTGATTGAGCGCTATGATGTGTGATAAGTCCTGGATAGTCAAAGGCGAGACGTTTAGACTCAGTGTGCATTCCGTGGTTGAAAATCAACAAGATTCCAGTCCATGAATGCGCACACCGTCTTTTGTAGGGCAATAGGCTCACGATTCACTCGCTGCCAAGTACAGGTATATATTCATACTATCACAATCAGTAATAATTTAAGTAACAGAAGGAAAGCAGAAGCAATACAATATCTAGCCCAAAAACAAACACTACATGATAGCATGGCAATTGTTTTCATATCTTACGAACCATCAATAGCTATATGTGAATATTCGCCTTGATTTCTGAAAACAGTAGCATCGGTGAGCCTTTACCGTCTCATTCCAACGTCTCTCCCTATCGCAGGGCTCCACTCTGTAAGGCAGACCGTTTTTAAACCTGGATTTATCTCAGAATCCCCGACGTTGATCGATAATTCGACCGATTCGGGCGAATTACATGATATCAGAACACCCCAACCTTTCGAGTGAATGGTTGCTTTGTGTACGTCCAAGTCTTATCAAATCAGCATTGTTAATGCATAAGTCAACTAGTGGTAAAAATACAAACTGGGTCGCAATTGCCTTATGTCTTAATCTCTTCCTCTTCTCTCTCACTCGGAGTAGCACAACTGGAATCACACTCAACAAAGAATCCACATTCAACCTCAACATTGCCCTCATTCGACAATCGGAACTTAAATAGTCTACCCACAAGATGACGAAACCAACGCTTCATATCCGCTTGGCTATGTATCGCTCGGAGCTGGATCGGCTCAAGATAGCTACTGGCACCTCGATCTTCGAGCCCGTCACGAGCATCATACCCGAGAACGCCGGCCAGTGTGCTATTTGTCTGGAATCATTGGGTGAATCGCAAGATCTTCCTCCTGCAGACTCCTGGGATTGGGATCACGATCAGTATGAAACTATCGAATATGTATTGGCACGTCAACGCGGAGGCAAGTTGGAAAGATTGGCGGATCAGCTGTCTCGCGTGCTTCCCTTCAAAATCTGCTTGGAACAATTCATAGAGGTCAAGGTTACAAACTCACTTACCACCAGCTACGACGCCCCTATCTTAGACCGTCAAGCACAGCTCCTGAGGGTTGCCGGTTGTACGCATATCTTCCATCACGTGTGCCTGACATCCTGGCTTTCGAGGAGCCCTAGCTGCCCTCTTTGCCGCCACGTGTTGCGCAATGTCCCCACGATCGATGAGTTGTGGGGTACTTCACTTAAAAACATTCGAGCGAATGCTCTGATCCAGGACTCAAAAGCTACCGGGGCTGCTGCTGCAGTCTACAGCTCTGTCGAATTTACTCCCCCGCGCCTTAAAATCCCCAACTTCCAGTTGCGCATCGTTCAAGGAGAGCAATGAGGTGCAGGGACTGAATCAGCATATATACAAGGCGCTTGTGTCGGCTATTCTATTGATCTGATGAATTGCCGGATGCAATTTCCCTCGATGAATATGAATATATGATATAGCTGGGGGCAAAGGTGAGAGGCTGTATCTTCAATTTCCAAGTAACAACTTATAAACTACGCAACAAATGTCGCGGGATTTCATCTTGCCACCTGTACAAAACTTCATGTTACTAGATGTCTTAAGTATTGTCTTATAAAAATATGGTCATTGATGCTTGACCTTCAGATGTTGCCTGCGCAATTGACGTAGTGACGTATAGAGGGCGACGAGCGTACCATGGTTCTGTTCCTCAACCTCAACACCACAAATCCGTATATCTCCACTGGATCTTTGGGACGTTGTATAGGTCACTACTTGACTGCGAATTTGACGTAGTGACGTATACGACGTCCCAACAATCCAATAGAGATGTACAGATCTGTAGTGTTATAGTTAAAGAACCGTAGTACGCTCGTCACCCTCTGCTATAAGAGAGCAGAGTTCTCACAAGGCTTTCCACATCCATCAACACCTATCCACCTCACTATGGCACCACCCTGACACCAACGCCGCGCAACGAAGTCTTCAAAATGCCATGCGGATGCCACAGGAGCATGTAAGCTACACCCACTCATACTAATCGCCCATAGGACTCTTGAACTGGTATGAGGTGGAGGAGGAGGCGATTCTCATCCTCAGAAGGCCAATAGCGCTACTAGGCTATTGCGAGAAGAGGATGACTTTATAAGCTTCTAGATACAGCAGGAGCATCTTTTTGAGGCTTTCTTCAAACTCGGCGATGAGCGTCCCAATATTGATTTTGAAGGCTTCGTCGCACGGCGTCGGTGTGAGGGTGGGTGCCATAGTGAGGTGGGTAGGAGAGGGTTGATGGAATCATTAAGAAGCTGCTCCTGCTGTGTCCAGAAGCTTATAAAGTCTTCCTCTTCTCCTAGTAGCTTAATAGCGCTATTGTCCTTCCGTATGAGGCTAAGAATTGCCTTCTCAGATGTGATGCAATACAACAGCGGTGTTGTCCTATTTTAGGGCTTTTGATTGTTGGCCATGTTTCTACTTTGTACTATGTCAGATCTCGCTGATTTATAATACCGATCGCATAATTTCATGGGGGCCTGTGAGCGAACAACAAGCGATAGTTGAATCGAGATGATTCCGATACAGCTATGAAGAATGTTTGGCAAATGATTTTAGATGATGCAGTACTTGTTTCAGATTCAATTACAACGGAAATTATATAATGCATCAACATCCTGCACAACCAACTCTCGCTACCATATTGATCATCTTGCGCCTTAGCAACACCAGCTCATTTTATCTTTCTCGCTCAGCTAGCAGTGAGACAAGATATCTTCTCTCCCTGATCGAATATATATTCCTCATGGAACGCATGAGGAGTAGCAGATACTGTGATCAGGGACAACGAGATTGAGCTAATATTTGCCCGTCGCGATTTTCGGTCTATGACAGCACAAGTACAATAACATTGTTTTTTTGCACATAGCCCTCACTATGCATATTGTTTTCTTTTTCTTTCGAAAGTCTATTTAACTGTATTTTTTTGGGGGATTCTATATACTAATATTCTCTTGATAAAACCATTACATACCCCACTTCTGCAAATAACAAAACAAATAAAACTGCCCATTGGAAATGGCGGATCCTTTTCCGCCGGAAGATGCAATTTTTTACCGTTTGCGCATTGAGAAGCTCCAGTCTGCAGATGCTGCAACCAAGGAGGATTGCAGCATCTGCAGGCTGGAACCAGAAGAGACAGAAGGAGACAAGATCAGGATCAAGCAGTGCCGTCACATCTTTCACGGGCACTGCTTGAAAGATTGGGCTGATCACCGCGTCGGGGAGAAGCAACACCCCAGTTGCCCGATGTGCCGAAGGCAATTGTTCACTACAATTCCCTTCCCGCATAAGATCAACAACTTCCAGATCTGGCTGTCAGGATACCTACACGCGATCTACGGGTTCCAGGAAGATGATGTCTCGATCTACGAGCCTCTGATAACAGAGCTTTGTACAATTGTAGAGGACATCAAGCCTACGCGTGAACAGGTGGATGCGTGGCGCGCGCCTCTTGTCGCGCACATGAAGTGGCGGGGCACGATGTACTTTGCCCAAGGGGTTATGCTACCTGGCGCAAAGCAGATCGTTGTCAATGACCCCGATGGTAGCCAGGAAGTGTTTGATCTGGAGCATATGGGTATCGGTCTCGTTGAGGTCTCCTTGATGAATCCTGGCCTCGATTATGCTCATCTTGTACAGGCGTATCGCGATAGACCCGAGGTAGCGGGAGACTAGAAATCGGTCTATGATCAGATCCTGTCTTGGTTCAAATTCAAAATTCTATATCGTAACAGCATGCTTTTATCATCATTTTCCTATACAGTCTGATTCATTCAAGGACTGAATATGTAGTCCGTTTCATCCGTAACACGTCTGGTTCTTGCCATCCACGATATAAACATTCTCTGTGATTTCTATAGTAATACTCAGCAATATTCAAGACTGATGCACTCGTACATGGAGGACAAAACTCGAGTGGCACGCCCACCGGCATTCGTAATCATCGTCTCGCCGCTTACCATCTGATGTTGAGTAAGCCAAACTATCCAGCATATCACTACCTCCACACAATCTTATGAAACCAGTACTGGATGCACAGCCTGATGTTTCGTCACTTTTCAAACCCACGTTGAAATCACCGGTTGGTCATAACCACACGGTTCAATCGCTTTCACCACCACCAGTCATCTAATTAATCGTCGACTAGTTGACGCATCGAGTGCCTATTCACGAGATCTAGTTCACGACCGCGCTAAATTTTAGTCTTGTGAAACAATATGATTTCGTACTATTAACTGCACCACACATGAATAAGAATTCGTTTTGATACCGCTGCGAAGCTACATTGCGCTACGTATACACTGTAACTCCAGGGCAGTGCGACATAGCTGTAGCACAGTACACTTTCCTTTAATTCGTTATTCCACTGGACGACCTGCGACTATATCTTCGCCTCTGCTCGACATATCAACGATTGACATGGATACTGAAATACCAAACCCCACGGAAAATCAACCTACACACCCCGCTTTGGAGATTCGACCAACGCGACGCGATACGGATGGTTCTCTCATTCCAACAGAAATACAAGATCTTGATTTAATCTTTCCGAACTTCATCAATGATTTCGGTTTCTTCTTCCTCGCTCGGGTTGAGCAAATTCAAGACGCAGACCCGTGCAGTATCTGCCTTGAGGATGTAGAAGATGATACCATGATCACGAAAATGAAGATTCGAGACTGCGGACATAGTTTCCACCCAGGTTGCCTGGGAACCTGGTGTTTACGACAATGGTCCGAACTTCAAGAAGGCACCTGTCCGCTATGTCGCGAGGTTCTCTTCGATGCCGTCAATCAAAACCTGCTCCCGACGGTGAACAATTTCCAACGTTACATTCATCGCATTGCAGACACTGTATTGGAATACTATGATAAGGAACGAAGTTTCACGGATGGTGAATTGAAGCAAATCACCAATATGCTGGAAGAGCTTCGAACTGTTTTGACCGTCACACAACTCAATCATGAACAACGGCTTGAATGGTATGAAGACCTCCAGTCGTTCTTCCGGACTGACTACTGGGTTGAGGGTGACTGGAAAGGCGGGGACAAGAAGGCACGTTCTGCCTTCATGGATCTGACTAGGATCATCGAGATGATTCTCATTACTCCAAATTCTCCCAGCATCAATCGATGGCTTGCAGATTTCAGGGCGAAACCCACGAACTTCGTGCTCACGCTTTGATCTCAGTTAGGTCATTGGGTATTGTTGTGCGATAGTCGTGATTGGGCCAAAACTCCCACAGTCAACATCGCTCTTTTCGCAAGAAGCTTCCATGATTTTGTAATCGGGATTTAACCCCCATCACATTTTGGCAAGGCGCTCTGTCTGGATATAAAAAAGGATAGTGAATTCAACTCGAAAAATGCGTATTATAACCAAGTTATTGCAACTTACGATATCACGTGGGCTAGTAGCGTGATGCATTCAGATGTTCAAAATAAATCGTGATAGATCTTAAGAAGCGACCTATCGCATCTTGAATGCTGGCTCATGCTTGGTGCAGATTTTTGGTGTCAGAAGTGAGATATCGCAATTTTATAATATTAGGTAAGACAGCGGCGGAGTCGCCTTAAAGCCACCGGGCTGTGTGGCAATGTCTCTACGAATTTTCGAATTCGATGAAACAAATCTTCGGCCCTTACGCACGGCTCAGAAAACCCTTTATCTTCTTCGCGGACATTGCAAAGTCGTACGTACTCACAAGCGAGCTACATACCAATGAGATGTGATAGGCAGTCAGGCAAACGCCAAGATTGGTTTCTTAAAGGCCCCCCGAGCTACTCTTGCTCCGCGCATTAGCCGAGTCTTGGGCTGTATATGCTCCCACTCTTTTTTTTCTTTCATATCATTCAGATGAATTTGATGAATGGCTGGGTATCAGAGAATAATCTCAACAGTAGCATACAGCTGAGCAGGTACTGAAGACAAGATTTTGTCCTGTCCACCCGGTGTATGTTTGGAAAAGCAAAGCGCAGTGATGGCATAGAGGTAGTTCGATGCTGTGGCTTAGCACTTTACTACAAAACACTCGAATCGTGTCATTGGTTAGGCGTCACATCCGCACGCTGTCGGCCACCGAGACAGGGCTATGCAGACAGGCATGGCAAGCAGGGGTCCAGACGTTATCATAATAGAGGCACTGGATCTTCTTTTTGGTACATATACAATCTTTTCTTCGATCCACATCCACGTTCCCAATTTCTTTATTTCTCTATTTCATTTGCACTATATTCGAAATCGACTCGAGCTGGCTCTATTTCATATCACAGGGAGGGACAGCACGCGCAGATAAATCCCACTTGACAAACTCTACCACACATACAAATGGCACTCAAAGACAGTCTATACGAACGTAGCCACGACTCGGGGTCCAATAGCGTCTGTTCAAAGGCTTTCAAAGACACCAGCACAGTAGTCTACTTCGTCGGCTATGTCATTTTCTTCGTCCTATCTCTGCTAGTAATCGCTGTTCAATTCTACCTACGAAAGCGCTACAACAACCAAACAACCCGGAAGTTGCTGGGACTTCTCTATACGGCCGCAATTGTCTGCGTTAGCATCAGTTGGCTCCTCCAAATCATCGGTACCTTGGTCACACAATGCAATCTACGAAACAGCCACCGATATTTCACGACGTTCTACAATCTTACCATTGCGAATTCCGTTATTGCAAACCTAGGGGCATTCCTTACCCTCGCTGCGGTTGTCTGGGGTGTGAACTCAATGCTAAGTGAGCACCTTGGGCGAAAAAATAAATCGGCTTCACATAGAACAAGCAGCATGGTGATCATCATTGGCATGTGCATGTTGACGATTGTTCTTATCATCATGCAATGTGTGTTCTATTCATCCCTCGTGGCTGCTATAAGGGGCGCGGCTCTTGGCTGGTTTCCATATGGCTTCCACATCTTTCTGATGTTATATTCGGTGGTATGGATTGTAAATGTTTTGGTGGGGCTGGGGCTGGCGATTCATACACTGCGCGCGCTAAAGTCGGAGTTGGGCGTTTCAATCACAGTACGTAACAACAAACTTCGAGAATCTGTCCACCAAACTAACATTCCATTCACAGCGCCCTCTCATCTGGATCATCTTCGCATTCTCCGCTCTTGCCTTCTCCGTTCTCCTCGAAATAGTACCCCTCACAAACGCGTTTGAGGATAACGAACCAGTCAACGAGCCAGGGCGCCAGGCCGTCTTCTTTCTCGCCACTCTATCGCAGATTTTCTCTTTTGTAGCCGTGGCAATGCTCGCTATCAACGCACCTTGGAACGATTCAAGCGGTGACAATTCTGGTGAAAATGGTGGGCGCTACCAGCCGATGGGTGATTATGGGGTGGATCTGAGTAACCCGTATCAAAGAAAATAAATCGGTAAAAGTGTTTGGAGACTCGTGTACAAATAGGCCTCTATTTTGACTAAAAATAAGAGTTCTTTCACTTGCATATGGTCCTCATAATGGACTGCATCATTGCCTGCGTATACGGCCGTCAGCGAAGAAATGTTGTGAACAATATTACCACCACTTCAATAAATCTATCATAAGCTAAACAAAAAATAGACCAAAGGGTCCACTTCGCTTCAGCAGTCGTTACTCTATAAACTTTGCAGGAAATTCCAGATCGCTTGACACATGAAAGCAGCAATTACATTGATCTTGGATTTACATGATCATCGTCGTGTCTTTCTGATAACCGTCTCTTTTCTTTTTGGTCCATTTATCGCTATATACTCATCCCTTTGTGGGGATCACCCAAGCTCCAACTTATAGCTTATAACTTGAATAATCATCGTAGACACAAAAACCCATATACAGTCCCAAAATCAATGATCTGCCTGAAAATCCAGGTAAGAGGGGTTTGATCACAAGCTTGAGACCTTCTGATGTCTTCAGTTGATGCTCCGCATCAACCTTCACAACAGTATTCATTTCCTGGGCTTCTCTCATCTTCAGCGCCATCAAAATGCCATCTGTAGAGATTCTGATATTCCTGGCATGATGACCCAAGCGTGTGCCGCAGATGCACTACTTTGTGATTTTGTGACGCTACTGCAATCTTCGTGCTATCTGGCGAAAATCCCTGGCTGCGCCTATAGCAGAAGATCGAATTCAGGGTTTCGTTTGACTTGATTTGATGGTAACATATGTGTTGTTTCCCTGTTCAGATAACGTTGCAATATTTGTCCCAGCATCTGATTCTTCTCGATCCCGCGCTAGTCTCTCCGTATGAGGCAGTACATTTGGTTCGAATATCCTCGGCTGTGCATGGGCATCACCAAACGCCAATGCTAGCCACCTTCCATCAGGCGAAAATGCCAGATTGGTACCGTACCGACAGTCAATGATTTGAACCTGCTCATGAGATTGGACGTTCCAAATGAACACGTTATCTAACCTTACACACGCCAACTGTTTGCCATCAGGAGTAAAAGCCAGTATAGAAACCATGTCTTTCGGGCGATCGTGCGTAGAGCTGAGCCTCAATCCGTGTTCTAACAGCGTATTGCCAGGGCCTTCTCTGACAACCTCCTCAAGGTCATTCACCAAGAGCAAGTATATACTCAAGCCTCCAAGCGCAATTCTAGTTCCATCTGGGGAGTATTGCGCCTTGTAGAACTTCTCAACTAGAGAAAGCGCGGTACGCCACCAAAAGAAATCGATTTGGACGAAGCAATTGATGAAGTTGAGACATGGCAACGTCTCACCTTCGACCCTCTATGGTTCGAAACTGTGAAAGCCCAAGCCAAACAATTCGACGCCATTCTACAAGAGACTGCAAAGGATAAACTGACATCAACGGCCATTTCAGTTCGCAACCCTCTAAGAAACCTCGCTTCCAGCAATGTCTTCTTGCCTGCTCATCAACTAGAATCCGCCGAAAAGGCCAGGGCCGCGTACAGCACGGTCGAATTGATTAAGGTAGACGACAAATGGCGCCTCCGCGACAGCACCCGAAATCTACACAAAAACTTTGTTCGCGAATTGGCTGTGAAGCTCAACAGCGCCAATCCAGCAACTTTTGGTCTTTTGACCTGTCTTGGTGCAGCCCAACACCAACCTAGCCTCGCATTTAGCATCATTTTTCGCATGCCCGATAACATGGCTGCACCAGAAACACTGCGTGCAAAGTTACCGTCTACCACCCCATCTCACTCTCTCTCAGACAGGTTTCGCCTCGCGATCCAGCTAGCGCGCGCTGTCTTCCACTTCCACACCTTCGACATGGTGCATAAAAGTATCCGACCGGAGAACATCCTTCTCTTCCGCGACTCCGAATCTACGCTGGGTTCAGCGTTTCTCCTCGGATTTGAAAGAGTCCGTCGTGATGAAGACGATACGCGACTAAGTGGCGACGAAGACTGGGCAAGGAATCTCTGCCGTCACCCTCAACGACAAGGACCCAGACTTCAAGAGCGCTACATCATGCCACACGACATATACAGCCTGGGGGTTTGCTTGCTAGAAATTGGACTCTGGAGCTCCTTTGTAGATTACACGCCAAGTAGGACACCAATTTGACCCAAACACTCTGATCTTTTCGAAGCTAGTGCCACACCAGGGGACTCTACAGAATCGATCAAATCCGGGCTTTTGACATTGGCGTTGCATGAACTACCTAGGAAGATGGGGACCAAATTTGCCAAAGTTGTCGAGTCTTGCCTCACATGCTTGGACATTGGAAATGAGGATTTTGGCGACGAAGTGCAGCTACAAGAAGAGGGTACGAATGTTGCTATTCGATGTATCGAGAAGGTATGCATGTTTCAACGTTTGATATATGCCTTTGCTGACTATCAAATAAAGGTGTTACTTCAACTAAGTGAGATATCAGTCTGACGATACTCGGTCTTCACGCTTACTTCGTGTTCCAACTCTGTCTGCATCGTCAGACCAATGTTTTCCTTGCTCTCTTTGTTTTGTTTCTCGTCTCAGTCTCAAAGTAATCACAACAACTATGCCAAATCATGCCTTCGTCTAACATACCCCGCCTACCCTAAAATTCCATGTCGCGAAGACACGCCAACAGTGTTTCTCTACTAGCATCAAACAAAGTTGGAAAGTTCTACTGTTACGCTCTTGTATGATGGACATGAATCTTGCGATATTATTGTCATTCCCACTAAATCCACAATCAAGGATATGTATACCACTGTGGTAAACAGAACGTCTTTTGTATGTGTCGGATCTCATTGGTCGTGATGGCTCCAAATCGCATGAACACGTGTGCCCTACTCCTTTTGTGTCCCAATTGACTTGACAAACTTCACATACGTGCAAATGAAAGTAAAAGTTATACTTTGTCCGGTTTCATTTGATTTCGGTCCTTCTTGTCCCACTCGATAAGGCACGATACAGTACTGTTTAGATGAGAAAGAATAAATACGAGAGAAAGCTAGTAGTACAATTTCCTGAAACCAAAAAGCGCAGAAAGGTCCTATGAACGGCATCCACTTCCCTAGTAGCCGCTCACGTGGGAAGCCAAAATGCGACCTTGTATAATCCACGGTTCATGAATTCCTCTCCTCCACGAATGCTCACTCATGAACAGCACTATTTCCCGCCCAAAGCCCTCTCCTTTAATTCCGCCGTCTTGTCCCTCACAGCCTCGGTAACCCCCTTCCCCTCGTCTTCACCGCCCAAACTCACACCGGCGCCACCACCACCCCTCCTTCTTCCCAACCGCTCCTTCCACGCCTTCTCCTCCTCATCTCTCATTTCCAGTTCCTTCAGCCATCGTTCTCTCTTCTGCATCCTCTCCTTCTCCGCAACCATCTTCTCGTAATCTTTCCGCTTCAAACGATCCTTCTGCCAATACAAATTTCCAGCGACGAGGACGGCGATGGTGAAGGATTGGGCGTATAGACGTCGGCGGAAGTAAAGATTTGTGGCTTTGTGGTCGCCTTTACGCATTGAGCGCGTTGCGCCCACGATTGCCCAGACTGTGAGGCCGCATCCGAGCGGCACGAGGGGTTCTTCGCGGAGACGTCGGATGATCTTGTCCCAGCGGTTCTCGTTGTAGAAGTCACTGGGAGATTTCTGTTAGTTTTCTGCGTGTCTAAGAATGGGAATTGAGATTGAGGCCTACTCGTTGCCGTCGAACGATGAGGGGAGGGGTGCGCTGTTGGGGGAGCTCATGGTTGCGGAGGGGTGCGGAGGTGTCGCCGGGGATAAGTAGATAGATGGTGCAGGCCAAACTGATTGGCTGAATGTATTCAAGATTTTCTCTTTTGCTCAATTATCGTACTTTTGCATCCGTCTGGTGTCGCATTGAACCCACGTGGGTGGATTTGCTTTGGTGACGTCGGGAGCTCGTGGGAAGCTTGGGGTCAATGGACGGAGCTTGAAAATGGATTATCTCACCACTTCTCCACCTTTGGCTCTCTCGGCGCGTCGGTGTTTCTTGTTTTTCCAGACGCCGACTCTCCCGGCCCCGGACCCTTTCCACCTCACATGTCATCAGGGACCTCCTGCATCATCCACAATAACACCAACATATAACCCCACGACCACGATATGTTATAAAGTCCTTGCAACGAAAGCTATACCAGACGATTTCTGGCACGCTCACGTGCTCTCCACCACCACCCTCGCGCCTTCATGACCGAGATAAGCGCATCCGACGCTGCCTCGCCGCGCCATGAACGATGAGGCCGAATCCTCGCGCGCACAGGCAGCACGTCATGGCCAGAACCAGCATGATGATGATGAAGAAGACGATTTGAACCATGAACGTACTCCGCATGATCTCGGAGACGACGGGAACGACGATGACGACGATGATGCCGAATACTATGTGCAAATACGAAAAGAACGCCGACTCGACGCAAAGAGGAAACGCATCGTTTTCCTCGAACAGCTGCTACGGGAGCTTGATGGCCTTGTCTTCCTGGAACTCATCACTCTGTACTATCTAGAGTACGTTCACAGGATCCAGAAATCATTTATTGGTTCTCAAACATCTGAATTGAATACTAACAAAATCCAGCTGTTCCTTCTTCTGGTTCGTCATCCGCGCCATCATCCACGGCTCCCTCCTCACCCCGCTCCCCGAAATGGGCCTGACTCGCCAAAATGACGAACACAAACCTTACCTACCCATGATCCTTTTCACCTTCGCCGTCAACTTCCTTCTGCATCTGCTTTACGCCGCCCCCTCGGCTGGCGAGGAAACCCGCGGGTACCTCCATGGCGGCCTAATGATTGACTTCATCGGCGAGCAGGGGCCCACAAGCAAGTGGAAGCTGGCATTTCTCGACATCGCGATACTGCTGCTTGAGATGCTCATGCTAGCCGTGCACGTCAAGCGGCGCGAACTGAAGAAGAACCTTTCCCTTATATCCGCAGGTGAAAACACCACGGACGCCGCTCCCCAAATATCACCAGCTGCCCCTACCACATCAACCCCAGCAGCAACAACTACCCCAACTCCCGCTTCTGCAGTCAACGCTTCCACCACTACCGAAGCCCTCTCCCGTCCTCAAGACGCCGATGCCGAAGAACGCGGCGTACTCCGCCGCACAGATACCCTTTCCGACATGGAAGCCGACGCTGACCCCAACGAACACGTGGACGAAGAGGACATACTACTCCCGTCCTCGGAATCCCGCCACGTTGACGCCCTCGATATGCTGACGTCCGGTCAGTGCGTCGTGGCTGATTTCACCCTCATCGATACTCTGCTACAGGCTCATGTCGACTACAATGTGTATCGTAAGACGCGCGCCGAGTCTTCGTCATCATCATCATCATCCTCGGCTCCGGGGACGGCTGGGTCTGCTGTTCCGTCTAACACACTGAGGCAGATTCAGGCTATCCGGGCGAGAATGGGCGTTGGTGGGGGTATGTAGTGGGTGGGGCTGTAGTTGTGTATTTGTATATATTTCTCTTCAGAGCTTTCAACTATATCGCACCTACGTTTTGGGATATCAATCATCCAATCAATCAACGATGCACCTGCATTCATTGAAAGGCGCGCGCGTGTATCTTGCATCGCGCTTCCGCGTAGTCGGTCCGTTTAGCCGGGCTTTTGGAGTCCAGTTCCAATACATATTATGGACCGTATCAAGCAGATTAAATCAATAACATCCAGTTGATCGAAAAGTCAAAGAAGACTGCCCATAAGATCAAGGCAACAGCACCTTTTCTCTCCTTGGATTGCGCAAACGTTCCATACTCTATTTCTTTCCTCCAAAAAAGCATCGCAATCACTCCGTCATACCAACGGCATCCCGACCATTGTGCTCCCGATCCCCCACTTTAAGCTCCCACCCTTAAGCTGGAGCTATACAGCTTCAACGAATCGGAGTCTCGCAATCCTCGAAGCTGTGGGGCGGCCCTGACATCGCTGCGGGTTAAAAGTAGAAACAACGCCGGCGCCGCGGGAAAGCTGGTCCGAACGAGCTCAAACGACAATCACCTCTTTACTCTCGGACGTGGTTTGAGAGCTAATAACAACAATAATTCAAAGAGAAGAAATTGGACGGAAAGAAACAATGGTTGAGGTTAAGAAGTATGAGATTAAAGAGGTAAGTTTGATTTTCTTTGTGCCGGTTTTTTTCCTGGTGTGGTATTGAGGGGGATGGAGAGATGAATGGTGGGGTGGAGGGGTAGATTGGTGTGAAGTCATTCATTCCTACACCTATCAAGATGCGGGTTCATGGATACGAGGGGTTGCAATTGACGACGACATTCATGATTATTTCCCTTTAAATCTCTCAGAGGGCGCTCAATCGCCCATATACCGCAAGAAACAGAGACCATCACTGAGCTGACGTCTTAACAAACAGCCGTGGCTCAAACTAAACTGCTCCCTGGGCGAAGCCCCCTTCTACGAAGAATCCACAAACACGCTCCGCTTCCTCGACGTCGAAAAACAACGCATCCACTCCGTCTCCCTCTCTGAAGGTCCCTCGTCCCACAAAGTCATCGCCGAAACAGACATATCCATGGGCTGCACCGCCGACATCGAAGGAAACTCAACGCACTTCATCTTCGGCGGCAAATACGGCTACGGCATCTGCAACCGCTCCACGGGAGCCTACTCGTGGGTCAAAAAAGTCTGGTCCGATGAGGAGCACGCAGCCGGGAAACCCAACAAATTCCGCGGCAACGATGGCGCAGTGGACTCGCAGGGACGGTTCTGGTGCGGCTTCATGTTCGATCCCCTCGTGACGGATATGAACAACCAAGGCGCGGTATTCCGTCTCGACAGCGATGGAAGCTTGCATCGGCCCCTCAGCGATATCACAATCCCCAATGGCACGACGTGGAATAAGAAGGATGATACTATGTACTTTGCTGATTCCCCGTTCAAAACAATCTATGCGTTTGATTATTCTGCGTCTACGGGCGCAGTGTCAAATCGTCGTCCGTTCTTCGTCATGCCCGAGGATAATCGATATGGCGAGGACGCGGTGCCAGATGGTCACTGTATCGATGAGGAGGGCTTCATGTGGACTGCGCTCCATGGCGGGTCCAGGGTATTGAGGATCTCGCCGGATGGAGAGGTTGTTGCCGAGATAAAAGTGCCAACGCTCCAACCTACATGTCCTTGCTTTTGCGGGACGGAGCTGTTGATTACGAGTGCTGGGGGAACTAGTGGAGAGGACGGCAAGGGCGTTGATGAGTTTGCGGGGAGCGTGTTTAGGATCGACGTCGGGGTTCGGGGGTTGAAGAGATTCAAGTGGAAGGGTGGGGTTGATGTTGAGGGGGGGATGAAGGACGGGCAGGTGGTCGCTGAGTAAAAACTGCTGTTGTGTTGTAGTTCCGAATATATTATTTAGAGCAAGCGGATTTTCGGATGTTTGGCTTGATCTCGCGCTCTTTTCTTCTTCTCTTCGTCCCTTTGTTGGCTTCTCTCTGTCGCTCTGTTGGTGGAGGATTGCGAGTGGGAGGCGAATAATATCACGGGGAAGTGCGGGTTTATAACACATCGCTTCTTATAGTATGCGATATCTATCAGAAGACTCTACATTCTACACCACCCCAGTCAAGAGTCTCAGAAACAAGTATTTTCCTGAAGACATGAGGACATTGCGATCAATGAGATCGGGCGCGAAAGAAGTACCACGACTGTAATGAGTCGAAGGACCAAAAGTAGGACTCTACACTTCGCTACTTCTAATAGCGGTCCCCAGCGCTCATCACCTGCATCAAATATCTGCGCGCCGATCCCGCATTCACATACTGCAACGCTACGCACATGAGCTGAAACCCACACAAGCCCCCGCTTCGCCAGTCTATTCTCAAAGAACCTCTCGTGAGGAGGTGCTATATAAGTTCATCTCCACCCTCCTCCACTGTTTATGAGGCCTGCGCACGCTTTGTATTTCAAAAGATCAATCTTGAACAGACCGAAGCTTGAAAACTCATGTTATGAGGACAACTCGGAAGAGTTGAAAGCTTTCACTAACCCGGAAAATAGCAGTCAGCATTCACTCTGCTTACCATGTTCGCTCCAACTTGATGTCGACTTCCCCCGCAACCACTTAATCGTGGGTAGAGAAGAATCATCACATTCGACGTCTCCCGCATCAAAACTGAGCCTACGCTTACCTCTCCGCTATTTCTCGCCTTCTAATGTACTAGTATTTCCTGAGAAATGGAGGTAAAAGATCAGCATTCCCTGCAACACGTTTCCCAATGGCCTATTCACATAAAGCAAACGCCAACTCGGCCAACCTGGGCTAGATGCCCGCACTCTCCTCAAACATTATTTCCTCATTCAACATACTTCACAGTCGTCGCAGGCTCGCAGCCCTACATCCGGGTGCAGAACTCTTTGAAAGCAGGTAGAGCCAAGGTGACTTGCGATGCGGTGTCGCAACGCCCTACGCACGTTCCACATGTTTGTTTGTCTATCTATCATATTGTACCTGCTTGACAATAGACCCACGGTTTGCCAAGTCTTTCCCTGTGACTCTCCTACTTTCTTGACTCCACTTCTCTTCGTCGTACTACTCACCCCAGTACATGGTAACCCTCAAGACTTTCCTGCCCTAATTGCCCACCATGGAATACCGTGCTGCCCAAGCCGCCGCCGTCATCTCCGTATTCTCCATAGTTGGAACCCTCTTCGTGTTTCTGAGGCTGTGGACGCGGTTCGTCCTCATTCGAGCTGCTGGCTATGAGGACTATGTTCTCATCCTCTCGTGGGTATGTTGGAAATGTCTTCTCGGATGAGCGTTTCCGTCAAGATTGCCAGTGTCTCATTGATATATCTACAGTTAAATGCCGTCGTCGCTGTGGTCTGCATCGGTATGCAGATACATTATGGACTGGGAACCCACGGGGAGATGCTGTCGGATCATCAGATTGAGCGCCTATCATTCGTGAGTCCATCATCCTATGACGCTTGTTTTACCCCAAACACGATTGCCGTGACTAACTCAATTCTCCATCCGCACGGGAAAGAATATCTACATCAGCATCATCACCTACAGCGCTTCCCTCGGACTCACCAAGCTAGCTGTTCTCATGCAGTACCGACGCGTGTTCCAAACGCCGCGCTTTCAATTCTGGAACTATATCTTCATCGGCGTCATCATGATTTACCTCATTGCGACGGTCTTGGGATGCATCTTTGTGTGCTACCCTGTCCAAAGATTCTGGAAAACTCACATCACGGGTAACTGCATCGACACTTTTGCCTCGTGGTTGTCCAACGCAATTCTCAACATCATCACGGACCTCATGATAATTATACTGCCAATGCCAGTCGTACGAAACCTGCAGTTACGGCCGCGCCAAAAATTGTTGCTGATGGGCGTCTTCGCTTTTGGTGCTCTGTAAGTAGCCAACCCACTCCGACTCGTTGCCAAATCCCCTACCCCAAAAGATAAGCACTCCGCCCGTCCTTTCCCCCGTTCCCCCCTCCATGCGATCATATCCCAATCGCTATTGCGAACACTACCCCGCCATCTCGAATTCTCTTCCATTCTACGGTCGAAGAAATTTTTTGCCATCGAAAACTTGAACTTACCCTTCCCTCCCCAACAGCGTCTGCGTGGTATCCATACTCAGACTGCGTTCCCTCGTCGTCATAACCCACTCCGCAGATCCATCCTACGATAACGCCCCTGTGGCCGTCTACTCCGTCGTCGAAAATTACGTCGCGCTCATCTGCGCATGCCTCCCGACACTCCGCCCACTCCTCTCGCAATGGCTTTCGGGCCTCGGTTCCAGCGGTCCCCCAAATTCTAACCCGTTTTCGGGCGGTACGTATGAAACCCACAATGGGTCTTTGCATGTCGATGAAATTCTGCAGTCGCGAGCCAGTGATGCTAATAGAAAGAGAAGGAGGTCAAGCATACCGTTTGGAAAGGAGATCGCGCTCAATGGCTTGGGGGGGAGAAAGAAGGGTGTAGAGAGATTAGGGGATGGTGGGATTGACAATCACGAGAGAGAGGAGATGGGTAAGAATCGAGCTGGAACGATTGTGGTCGAGACGACTGTCGACGTCGTAGTTAGCGAGGATAACAAAGGAGATAGCGGGAAGAAGGAAGGGCGGTAATTTAGGGGACGAGGTGCTGGGATTAATGATAGAATGGGTAGTGCGAGGAGTCTATTTGTGGACACGGCGAACATTAGAACTGGAGTTTGGAGTTAGGCTAGGAGGTATTTGACTTGTTCGGCTTCGATACCTACCCATGCATATACTGCAACTACAGTTACCACTTGGGTTTTTGCCTGAGAACTAGGATAATGTATAGAGTAAAACGCCCGTAGCTCCGCTGGCTTCGGGTTATAGAACCATGAGATAAATCCCGACTATTTCCCTTTAAGTGTGTTTCACTCCAAAGCTTTACTGGCTATACCTTTCTGGAATTTCAGGCCGGACCACTGGTTCAGATGTCGAGCAACGAGGATTGATTGATGGCATTTGGGGTCGTATATCACGTGATCGTTCTTCCAAACAAACATTCCGTCGAATGCCATCTAAACCTGAAGTACCGAATACTCAAAGTACCTACAAGTATCAATGGATGAAATACCGAGCAATCGAAACATTATTCGCTGATGTACTCAATAATGCTTCACCGTTCCATGATGAGAAGCAAGGCCGTGTGAGAACGTTCAAATGTTGAGAGAAATGGATCGAATCGTTCACTCAAGCAAAATGGAAAATTCAGATTGCTCGAGTTTATCAACGTGCCCGTTCTTATAGAGCATAGTACTGGGATGGCACTGAAAGTTGTGCGAGCTGGCTGGTGATGGCGTTGCGGGGGATCATCAAGAACGCGTACATTAATACCGAGACAACAGAACAAACGCGTCATCCTAGATGACGATCACAGACGAACCGCGCAAACATCACCACAAGCACGATTTGATACATCTGAGGCTGGACGACTGGGCAAGCCACACTTTTCCTTGGAAATGTGAAGGCCCGACTGTGACGCCCAGCCATTGGCAACCCCACTTCCAAGCTTTGCTACATTCGGGTACGTACCTCGAACCTTCAGCAACTTGCAACTGAACCTCATCCTCGATTTGATTATCCATTGTCATCCATCACCTAATCTCCAGCACATACTTCCATCATACTTTCAACGAGAAATGCCCTCAGAATCAACTCCTCTACTCCACAATCTCCTCCCCCAACATGTAGAGCCAGATGGTGAGAGTGGCCGTACGGGGTTCCACCCTTCGCATTTCCTGCAAGTTTCATGGAACAGTGGCTCCAACGCAGCAAAATATGTCAACGTGCTATGGCCCTTTGTTCCCGTAGCCATCATCTTACACTTTGTCCTGCCGACCCATCCTCTCCTCATCTTCGGCTTCAGCTACGTTGCCATGGTGCCCGTAGCCAACCTCCTCGGCTTCGCAGGCCAGGAATTCGCAAGGAAAATGCCAAAAGTCTCCGGAATCCTCATCGAAACTGCATTTGGCAGTATTGTTGAGATCATCCTTTTTTTGATCTTGCTCGCAAAGCACGAATCGGAGAGCGCCGGGGGATCATCCGAACACGGCAATCTCATCCCCGTCATCCAAGCCGCGATCCTGGGCTCGATTCTAACGAATTTACTTCTTTGTTTGGGCGCATGTTTCTTCGTCGGTGGTTTTCGACAGGCGAGGCAAAAGTTCCATGCGAGCATCAGCGAAGTCGGTACCGGTCTGCTCTGCGTAGCGGCCTTTGGGCTGCTGATTCCCAGCGCGTACTTCTCCGCGCTCAAAGGCGAGGCTAAACCATCTGCAAGCAAACACGGAAAATTCACAAACGAGGTGTTGCAGAACAACGTCCTGCGCATCAGTCAGGTGACATCCATTCTGCTCATTATTGCGTTTGGCATCTTCATCTGGTATAATGCGCGCTCGCAGCATTCCATCTTCGACGAAGTGCTGGAAGCGGACGAGCATCGCGATCTCGACCGTCATGTCGACCTTGCACGGCCCAAATTCACTTTCACGGAATGCGGCGTCGCGCTTGTATTATCGATTGTACTTGTCACTTTCCTGGCTGTGCTGCTCGTGGAACGCGTCGATGAAGTGGTCGAGTCCGGTGTTCCCGATCAATTCTTGGGCTTGATTCTTCTACCACTAGTTGAGAAAGCGGCAGAACACTTGACAGCTGTGGATGAGGCTTGGGATGGTCAGATTGTATGTTGTCCGCTTTCGCTTCATGCGGAACCTTTCTACCCTCGTTAAATGGTACGGAAGCGACCGAAAGCTAACTTGCTCAGAATTTTGCTCTATTTCATTGCATAGGCCCATCCATCCAAACTGCCCTTTTCAACGCACCCCTCGTGGTACTCGTCGGCTGGGCACTCGACAAGCCCATGGATCTCAACTTCGAAATCTTCATGATTGTTCTCCTCGTTTTGTCCATCGTGGTAGTGGGCAACTTCCTGCGCGACGGCGAGTCAAACTACTTGGAGGGTGCCATGCTTCTGGTGAGTACCTATAATTCTTATGTGGAATGGTTGGAAAACTGACCTATCTTCTAGATCATTTACATGATTATTGCGGTTGCTTCGTGGTACTATCCTAATCCGGATGTAGCCACGTCAAATGGATTGGAGAATGGGGGAGGCATTTAAGCTTCACATTAAAGTATGCTGCGTAAACCAACGCCAACTTGTGTCCTGTAGACGCGAGTCTTCGATACGTGTACCAGACCTATGGACATCAACTAACATGCTGTCGTGTGTGTTCGGCAGGCGGGGTCGAGGAAGATCACACATATCTTACTGTAAAAATTCAATTTGATTCACTCTTCACGTAGTATAATGTCTTCAAACTAACGCGAAATCCCACTCTTAGTGCACAGCCCCTCGATATAAGGAATCAACATCACTATTCACTCTCCACACCCCCACCACAAAGCGTACCGACCCCACGCTCCCTCACACTCAACACAACCTCCAAATGCCTCATCCCCAACGGCTTCTTCTCCCTCGCAGCAAGAATCCTCGCCGTCTTCACCGCGCTCTTGATCTGTCTTCCATTCAACTCCCTAACAGCCAATTTCTTCACTTCCTCGGACGATACATTCACCTTGTCCCCCGGCAAAGTCTGCAAAAAGTTCTTCCAGACTGTTTCGCGTGCATCTTGGTCGAGAGCTTTGTAGTTGAGCAGGATGTCGATTCTTGATTCGAATGCGGAGTCGAGGTTGGTGGGGCGGTTGGTGGTCAGGATTAAGACGCCGCGGTAGTATTCTAGGAGGGTGAGGAAAACTGGGGATTCGTGAATGATTAGCATTGGGCAGAGTAAAAACTAAACTTGTTGTAATGCGTTGTGAAAGAATGTAAATGATTGGCCGACCATAAAAGTTAAAACAGTGTACTCTCGGATGGTCGTGAGACAATACTTGGAAACGAACACATGACAACTATGAGTCGTTGATTCATCTCGAAAATCGAAGTAGCGTCAAGGCAGCGCGGCAGACGAGATTCTACAAAGATGAGAACAAACTTACCAGAAACAAGCTCATTGCGCTGCAGTTGATCATTTGAGCGCTGCTCCAGGAATACATCAGCTTCGTCAAGGAGAAGAACTGCGTTCCATCTTGCGCAGAGATCGAGGACGGTTTGCAGCGTATTCGATACGACGCTTGCGACTTGACCTATTTCTCCAGCACCCATTCGGTAGAGGGGCAGCTTGATGTGTTCGGATACTGTAATGGTGCAGTGTAGGTGTCAGACCCGGACATCACAGGGTTGAGGTCAACGTACTTGATTCAGCGGTCAGTGTTTTGCCAACACCAGGCGGGCCGCTAAGAAGGAGTATGATTCCTTGTCCTGAGACTAGATTCAGCAACTGTTCTTATGGCCTTAGCTCAAAAGCTTGGGGAATCTACCTTTCCCATCAATGAAGTCATCGAACTGCACAATATCAGATGTCGTATCCGAGTCTTCCTTGACATCGATAAGAGCCAACAGAAGTTCCTTTTCTTCTGCGTCCAGGACCAGATTATCAAAGGCACTCGCACTCCAGGAAACTGGTCTGATATTATCCACTTCGAAAAGGCCTTTGCGATTTTGTTGTATCAGCGTAGAGATCAATGAGTATGATGTTGTTGTCTGTTCGCGGAACACTTACCCCATGTCTTTTTGAGGAGGGAAAACCCTTTGACGTATGGGACGGTTAGCATGCGTTGCTCATCTGTCAAAGGCCTGCTGTCAAATTTGGGCTGGTATCTTCGAGTATTTGCAGCTTGATAAGGATCTGGCTGCTCAGGCATACGTGGTGGTGGTGGCAGTGGTCTGTGGCTGGGCATTTCAACTGCATAGTCTATCTCTGGGTCGTGAAGATAATCAGATGAAGTATCCCCCTGATTTGCAGCATATAGGGGCTTCAGATTGATTGAAGATGAGCCCTGGAATAGATAGTATGCATGAGCATCTATCATGATACGCCCGTCCATGAACGATGACATCTGTTCACAATTATCTCCTGCTCCATTGTTGCCATGATGCGAGGGAAGAACAATTAACTTACTGATCCAGATATTTCATGGGGCATCATCCCATACCGATTCAACGGACGGCTCGTCTGAAACTCACCACAGAAATGGCTGTGGTGCATTCCACGTAAAGTTTCGAATTTCTTGCCACGCTCTATCAAAAGGGATTCAACTCGATCTTGATCCTCGCCTGATAGAGCTGCCATGGGGAATATATCCATCGACCTCAATAGTTGAGTGTCTTCGTAAGAGGGCACTATCCATTTAGTTCGATTGAAACCAGTCGTTTTCCCATCCCAGTCTACCACTTCAACTTCAAGACTGTAACGATCCATGCCTGTATTCGAATCGTTCTTGACGCGACACAAACGGCCCGCTGCGTATGTATTCTTGTGCTTACGGACGACGATCTCGCCAGGTGTAAACGTGAATAAGAGGTCAGACCATGCGATGTAGCCGGTCTCATGGTATTCCTTCATGGAATCTAGGATAGTAGATATCTTGTCCTTCAGTGTGTCAATGAGCAACCCGATCAGGTTTCCATCTCTCTCATTCTCGGTGTTTTGCTTGAATTCATTGAGGGCATTCCACTTATGCACAAACGGAGTGAATGGGTAAGCGAATTTTGGCCTGGATTGCCGAAGATCAATGGCCGGGTAGCCTTCAAACACTGCTGTGAGAAGTTCTTTGAGACGTGCGCTGTTGATTTCGACTGAAATCGGAAGAAGCGAGTTTCCATGCACACTCTGCCGATCGAGAATTGCAAACGTTTCGTCAGATCTCTTGGTCTTTCCTGACTTGATTTTAATCTCTGCGTCTCGGAATAGTTTGACAGAGGTCGGAAGCTCATGTGTCCAGGTAAAACAGCATCTGCAAGAAGCAACAGGCTGTTGATATAGGGTGCGAACTTCGCATCTGCCGCCTAATTCTTCCTCCTGATCCAGCTCTGGTCTTGTATTCATCTGAGGATTTGGAGTGTGAGGTGGAACACCTGGGGGATGCCCGGGTGGGGTAGGGTTCCAGTGTGTTTGTGGTGGATACATGTATGTAGTAGTATATGGGGTAGTGATGGAGGACTCTTCAGTTGCTGTTCCGTGATCTCCCAAGATTGGTACATGCGCTTTTCGTTGTTTTGTCATGATAGAGCTCCCCGGAGGGGATCTGTCATTTTTCTTATGCACGTTTTCAATAATTTGGCTCGTCAGGTCTCGCCTCTTCTCCGAGGGTTCGCCAACAACATCCTTACTGCCGATATCTTTGTTTTCTGGGCGTAGAGCCACATGCGCAAAAGCTGGGTCATTAACGGTGGTCTGTATCTCTATCAAGGGCTTGTCCCCTGATTGAACTGTGTCATTTATTGTGTCGCGCATTGTTACTTGTGGATCCTGAGAGCTTAAAATAGTGCTGGGAGAGATCTTAGACTATAGAGTGATAGGACTATCGAAAATCTGGTCTTTCTGTCTTTGTATGCGAAGGACGGTGGTCGAAGCGGGGTCGAGCATGCACTATACACTTACTTATATCTACGATACGAGTGCCAAGGATTGCCTTCTTTAACACACCGGTAAACCCCCGCTGTGTGATCAGGCAAGATGGTGTTGGGTCTTACTGCAGATTCATTTGAACTATTAATAGGAATCCGTTGTCTATTGTATGCGCAATGAACTAGGCTTACAGGCTTCATTGAGATATTTTGACGGAAGAAGCAGCACAAGATTGTAGATCAGAACAAGGGAGAGAAGGCCAGAGATCTCGAGATATGTACTCGTGTTTTCTGAGAAGCGCGAGTAAGGATAGTTGTGCACATGTGCTGGGGGAAACACCTCGAAGTGACCGGACTGGAATACAAGGATTGTGTTTGATCTGTTGGGGGCGGTGCTCGCACATCCTCGGGGATTATTATCTAGGAAAACAATAAGTACATGTTTTTGTTTGTTAATCGCTCGTTTTTGTTTTTGATTTTTTGATTTTTTAGTCGATTTATCTTCATCAACCCAACGCTGTGTGTAGGATCACCCAAACTCCAACTTAGAATTTACACAGTAAGTACCGTACATCTTTTGAATCATTGGTTGATGGGAAACATGTCTCTCTGTATTCTATTTTGACTTATATACGAATATGTAGACCTGGATTGATGTGATATTCTTTCGGAAATTATTTGAACAGATTGATCCTCGCTGTGCTCACCCTGAACACATAACCAAATCTTCCAAGTTTGTTACGATATATGATCAAATGAAAGCAATTCAAGCTCACCGCACAGTGCAAAGAAACTCATGGTCAATGATAGTAGTGCCAAAATGATGATCATGAGGAAGTGTAAAAATGATTAAATATATGCCTTCGCCAATATCAAGACTACTAAAAGGATGAAGTTTTTCTCAGAGCTCTTTCAAAGTAATAACTTCGCCTATATCAATCACACAGACATGGAATTCAAGAATGTATATTTTAGGTCACAATCATGATTCCACGTCGATAAATATAATGCTCTCTGCAAGAGTTGTAAATTTGGCAGATCCGACCCCCTTCATCACTTTACCTGATGAATCAGCAGATTATCGTAACCATGTCACATATTCAATGAATCGCATCTAAAAAGGAACTTTCTGTCACCGTATCAACGGATTTGCTACTCGAGTGATTGGAGTTCTCCTCAGAAAAACCTGCAAGTTGGCACAAGACAGCAACACACAATGCATGGTGCCAGATCCGCTACCATGCAAAATCTATTCTCTTCTAGATGCTGTGATCTCTTCTGCATTCACAGTATTGCGCAGTGTGCAACTCTTAGTCACAGTATCGAACAGTGAAAAGTTTTTCCACTTTTCTTGACAGGTGTCAAGACCCCTATCTTCTTTATTCCAAAATCTCAGGGATAGGTCGCTTCAGAGGAACCGAGACGGTAGCGAACCATGGGACCAGAGCATCAGTAGTAGGAAAAAAGTGCGTGATTGCCCTCTAAAGAACTGTGATTACGTTCCATAGCGTACGTTGCTGCCGTCGAGCGCAGGCCAGACTGAGATCAGGGGAGCAACGGTTTGTCGTGATCGACGGCTGCCCGAGAAGTGAGGAGGCCAGAAGGTTCGATGTCACGATTGAGCAAGTTTTCGAGTTTTTGTTTCTGGTGGAATTAGGTTCGACGGCTGGGCGCGAGCATCCGCGAGCTCTTCGGAGATAGACCGCTTGCTTTAAGTGGATCGTCTTTGAGAGTTCTCGGTGCTTGCCGCAGCGCACTGGGAAAATGTGAAGACTGTATGTGAGCTGAATCTGGTACTCGCAGCGGGAGGGATGACGAATGTGCTTTGGTGCGTGCAGAGTGGAGAATAGCGACGTGTGACGCTCAATGTTGGTCACGAGTACCACGACTTGTTGGAATAGTAAGTTTGCGCATGGGCATGAGATCCAATCTTGTGTCTACATCGGTCTTTGTCCACTAGAAATGCTTCTAGCGCGTCCGATGCCAGCTGAACCGCTGACGCAGCGCGTAGAGTGGGTATCCAGAAATCTAGGATGAACAAATAGATGTAGCTGAGATGCAGTCTGCTGTGATATCAAGAAAAAAGCAACGTTTTTTTCTCCTTCTTGACGCGACATAACATTGGTATTGGTCACTATTTCTGCATAACATCCTAGAAAAGGGATAAACACCGCGTTTGTAGATATTGTTCGAGCACCTGCATCCCCAACCATCTTCCGCAAGCTCATCGTCACCAAAAGGCAACGTGGTGTCTGACGATTGGTCTTCTTACACAGGTAGTGAGTTGTCATAGAAGGTCGAATCTTGTCTGTTGGACATGAGCGATGCACACGCATTGCGCGCGTGTTGAAGACGACACTGGGGTCGTGACTTTGTGAAACTCGTTGTGAGTTGATACAACAGCTATTCACACAAATTCCCGTGATATCGGTCCTACTTCATAGATCTGGCGACTAATGATGCTGATTCTGAAATGGAGGCTGGATGTCGTCGTAGCAAACATAGGCCTATGGGGACGCTCGAACTCTTCCGTTTACTGTCATTGGCGTTCTCCTCTTTCACAGAGCGATTCAGTCTCTGACACATCCTGTTTGTCTTCCTCTACTCCAAATAAATCCTGGCCAGCAAGTGCGGTCACCGCCTCTTCAATAAAACGAGCACAGACCCAGAAGCATCTGTCGGAAATGCATGCAAGACAGATGCTGGCAATCGCTCCTCTTATCAAGGTAAGGCAGTCGAGTCCCGAAGTTTGAGCAGGTGCAGCAGTAGTACATTCGCAAGGCCAGGTGAGAGATGGCAAAAGATCCGGTTTGACCGGATCGCAAAGCCGGGCATACATCGTGTTTTATGCATTCAACCTCACCACCGATCCCCAGCGACTCGGAGATTGTACATGAGACATAATTGCAGCACGGTTGTCGTGTTGCGCGCGCGCATACATATAGTGGGTTGAAAGAGTGGGAACGGAAGAACGACCGGTGTGATCCAGAGCTTGCGCTTGGTCAGATAATTAGGTGTGCTGTTAGAAGTTTGTTTTTCGTCTGCGGACCCGTGCAGATTGGAGGGGAGAAAAAGAAGGGTAGCATAGCTATTGACGCGCAGGGTTCAGGGCTAAGCAGCATGTAGGTATCGGTGGACGTATATGCACACGTATGTACATCGAGCAGGCGTAACGCAAGATACCATGTATATGATCATGTACGTTGCGGATCATGAACCAGCGATTGCCTGGAAAGGTAGGGATTGGACTTGTCGCAATTCTTGATTCCAATATCCTATCATATTGATTCTTCTCATAGCGGTCCGTGAAGGGTTAAGGTTCACGTCTTCACCGCAAAGAATGCAGCAACCGACGTTCCGACGCCTGGAAAAGTGTACGCAACAGCCAATACGTCGATTGCTCTTGTTCACAACACGCTTTGCGCTCTGCTTCGAGCTGCCCCGTCGTACATGCCGCAGCGGAGCTGTTGACGTATGGGCTTCTCCGAACACACTATTTGGCTATCTGAAGCTTCGAAAACATTTCTTCGTTCCGCCATCGTCTTGCGTGCTCGTCTCTGCATAGACTTTGCTAGGGTCTACCCAGAAAGACGTTTATGATCTCCACTGTTTCAACTGTACCCAAATCAAGTCTAGTATACCAGAGTGATCGACATGGAGAACCAACAACCTTAAAATAAAATATACATTTATAGTTCCTCAGGTCCAAACCGGGCGCTCCGAGAAGAAGAAAAGAAGGAAAGACCGGAGTACATGGAGGATTGAGCCATGAGCCGAGCGCACCCCGCCACAACCTTGTCATCGCCAAAATCAAGGTCACGAAGAAGCAATAAGGATGGGGAAGTACGAACAGCGAATATAAGGGGGGAAAAGCAACTTACGCATCAAGTAACGGACGGCAGTGGAAAGACGTTCCTAACCAATCAATCATCAGTCACGCCGTTGTAGAGATCCCAGCCTGCATAAATTACAACGCACATCACTGCGCGCCGCAGAAGGAAAACCATGGCCGAAAGAAATAAAGAGAGAAGAGCATTGCAAAGTCAAAATTCTCGAAGGAGGCGAAAGAGCAGGAGCCCAGCCTCCTCCCTGACCTCAGACCGGCTCGACCAAGGTCTTACCACAAGAGTCTTACCATATTATTACCAGCCATCCCTCCATCAACCATACACCCCGTAACCACGTCAGGCATCAGCTTACAGCCAGAGAACCATCCTCCCATCAAAGCGCAGCGGCCCGTCTCCTGCCTCACCGACCAATGCAAGTAACACTAACGTTATACATACAGACAACACCCACCCTTAGCGCCCTGCTCACCCGTCAGCGGCGAAAGGGAAACAAAGGGTCAGACATAAACGGCATCTCGCCCATGATCGGTGAGCATAGCCCGGGAAGAAAAAACAAAGCGAGAAGGTGAGAACGGGCGGAAGCGTTGCCGAAACCATTTTCGACCCGAATCTTACATACATGGACGGGGTCAACAATGTCTGTGTCTCTCACGAGAGTAGCAGGTGAAGACACAGGAAGGGTGGCGGAGTGCGTTGTTGATAGATGCATCATGTATGTTATATGTGTGTGAGTGCATGGGGAGCAACACCGGATGCGGAATGTGAGATTCACTCAACTGGAGAACCATCACATGACTGTGACTTCATGCCCGTCATCCATCAGCTCTAATCTCCACATGCCGACTTCCCCCTTACACTACACGACACTGCGCGCACGCGCGCACGCACGCTCGGGCTCGTGTTGAGGCGTCTATCGATTTTTTTTTTGCTTTCGCAATCCCATCCCCACTTCGAGATTCCTGATCCTCCGAGTCCGGGTCTCGGAAATAGATTGCTACAAGACATTTGGATTGCATGGCGGGCGAGACAAAAAAGCGCTCATACTATAAGATGAGCCGATGTCGCCGAAATAAGCGCACACAACACTTGCCGTACCGTGCCGTGTCGGTATGGATGTCGTGATTTGCACCAGTCCATCCAGTCACGCGGGAATGCGATCCCATTCCCCCTCTCCAACCCGCCAGCCAGCGCCCACAGGAGTCGAGAAGGATTCGGTACAACCCAACCCAAGCCACCCCCATAAGCACACCTAATTCCCAAGCCAACGCATCGGTTACGATATCTCCGCCTCCGCCTCCCAATCCCCCACCCACGACCAACTGACCCGGTGGGACATGTCGCACGAGCGAGGGGTCACTTGGGTACCAACAAGCACGCATGCATTTTTTTCCCTCTCTTGTCGATCCCTCTTGATCCCTCGCGTGCTGGAACAGAGGACTGGGCCGCGTGGGCTGGGATTTTTTATTCTTTCTCGTATATTGATTGGATGACGATCCTTTGGATGTAACGAGGTTAGGCGATCATTTCGACCCGTTGGGAATTTCCAACGCAGGGAATGTGTTGTACTATGTACATTGCCCCCCCTCCCCCCATCCTCGCCTTCATTTCTTCCAGCTAGATGAAAAAATAGGAAATTCCGCTTATGTGGTTGCTCTCCGGGCTTCGGCACGTATACTATGTAGTATGTAGTAAGTATATGAGATTGCGCCAGAATAAAAACCGGGAATTTATGTTAGCTTTATGCAACAGAACGAGCATCACGAGACCACAACGATCAACCACGATACGATGACGATTTGCATATTTTATCTCTTTTGGTCGACAAGATCTGATCACGAGACGGTGAAGCGAAAGGTAAAACCTCATTCTTACTTGGATTATGAAACCTGCAAAGAACGATACGATTCACAAACACCGTCGCCCCCCCCTGTTTTACCCATCCTTCGCCTCCAAATTCTAGTCGCCCGCCCGTTATTCGTGATGGATGAGGGTCAGCAGAGCCCAACCCAACGTCGAAGACGAGACGGGTGAGGACCCGACTGGCCGGGTTTGTGTGGATTTGAATGTGGGACTGATTGACTTGACTGACTTGATTGACATGCTGTCCGTGCAAAAGGTCAGCGGTACCCGCGCACGATGATGATGACGGTTGGTTGGCAGTTCATTGTGGGTACGTGCTACGTATAGTGGGTGGATAGGCGTTGATGTTGTGCATATGCAGAATAGGGATGCAACTAGTGTATATATCTATTATTTCTTCGCACTAAGTCACCAAGTATATGCGGACGTGTTGGGGGATCGCAACTCTCTCTCCCATGATTTCTGGCAGATATTCTGCTCAGGCATAACAATAGTCGACCAAAAGAAATGTATTTCTCCTCGAGCATGACAAAGAAGAACTATCTTTCTTCTTTTCGAGACAGCAAAAACCAAAAATTGGATTGCTTCTGCGCTCTGCCCGAACCACCGGACCCTGACTCTCTCGTTGCACAAAACGGCCATCGCAGCGCAATCAAGATTCCAAATACGAACCGCCCTAGAATGAAAGATCATCGCCCATCATTACCACCACCCACCACCCGTTCACATTTCCCTTCCCTCTTCTAGCGGCCGATCTTTGTGAACACACACTGACGGGTGCTTTGACCTCCCATTTCCCGAGAAATTTGCTTAGCTTAATTTTTCTTCGGTGCCCCGAGGAAAATCGTACGATGTTTTATCCCTGATCGGGATGGTGATGTGCGCAAATTACCTGGAATGAAGAGGGGTTGCAGAAGAGAGACAAAAAGCAAAGAAAAAAAAAAGAAACCGCGTGATACACGGCAGATATCACGTTTGCATGGGGGGTTGGGAGGGGGATTCAGGCCGGGAAGGGGAGAAAAAGAAAAGAAGGAAAACACGAATGCGATAGCGAAATCGATTGGATGTTAAGGGCGGGAGGGGAGGAAGGTGGGTGAGTCCTGGGGGCTGTGATGATTTGTGCACGTGAACGGGTTTGTTATAGGTACATATGTACATACATAGCTATGTATATAAATACATACGTACATAGATGAGAAACATGACTAACATGTACATAGACTGGATTATGTATATGTGAGCAATTGATGTGATGTAGAGTGCACGTGATTCCGCCGCCTGCGCAACAGAGTGAGTGATTAATCCCTCGCGAATATATCAGGGTACAAACTCAAGCCGCAAACCATCAAGGTACCAACAAAACCATCGCATTAATTACCTCAAATATCCCCAACAAATAATCGGACCTATATACATAACGGAAGCGAAGTCTTTTTTAGAAATGACGAAAAAGAGAAAGATGTGCAAAGAACACATCTGACGTGCATCCCGTCTCCAGTGCCTGCAGTGCAACACACGTCCCTTACTTATATCAGCTTGTAGGATATAGTTCCATCTCGCCTCGCCTTAAGGCGCCCGTTGAGGAGAACGCAACAAACTTTGAACGTTGCAGTGCAACGGCCGTCCGTGTACTGAGGGGCCGCGCACGCACGCGCGCGCGCGAGCCCCTTCGTTTAGAGAGAGAGAAAACACACCCTTGAGCGAGGCAAAACAGGAACGCTGGAAGGGTGCATTGGGCGAGTTGAATTGTGTTGGTTCCTCGCGAGGCTGGCACAAGTCCGCGCGCGAGAAAGAGAGAAGGAGGGAGGGCTGTGTTTTGTTTTGTTGTGTACAATATAGTGAACGGGATGGATGAATGGTCCGATGGAAGAAAAGGGCCGGTGGTTCTAAGAGAGTGACAACTGCATGTTTCTCTCCCCTTTTTTCTCTCCACAGCGGACAGCTCTGCTGTTCGAGGATATTACATCACATGTGCACACACACACACACACACACACACACACACACAATCACACATGCAGGCAGGCAAACAAGCAGGCATCGGGAATCAGAATACCTATAAGCGCTGCCTCGCTCGCTCGCTCGCTCATGTATCATGCCTGTCATCTTCCCATGTGTGTGTCGTACATGTAAAATACGGCATGTATAACAAACGCCTTGTCGCCTGGTATAACCCCACGTCCCCATGTCCTTAAACCTCCCACGTATTTACTACGTGCGACATGTCAAATCACGCAAGCTCCGTTGTTCCAGGCACGCGCGCGCTCGCGCACGTAATAGGAGCCAGGAACCTGAACACACAGGAATACTTGGATGTCATTAATGGTAATTGGGATCGTTCGTCATTAGCGGCTCCGGCAGTTGTTACGTGATGCTGAACCCCTCTTATTATAATGCAGTTATGAAGGAGTGGTGTACCGGGATGATGCCCGTTGAGTTGAGACGAGCAGGTACACGATTGCCATATTGGTGTCGAGTGCCCGTTTGCTATTTGCGAAGTAACGCGGGAGCTGCGAACATGGAGAAAAGCGAGAAAAAAATAAAATCAGGAGGCCAATAACATCAACCGGGCGGAGAAGGCACCAAAGTAAATTAGCAAGAGCGAGCGGGTAAAATCAATCAAACCCACCTACGGCTGTAAGCGTAACGGCTTTTTTTCTTGTTAAAAGTGGACAAGTAGGTCACCACGACTAAGTCAGCAATTGGCCAGACCTTGGTCGGAGGAAGAGATGGGGCGAAGCACCAATAAGCGCGCAGCCAAATCAGCCAAACAGCTGGAATAAGGCAAAATGCGCAGGACGGGAATGGACAGACAGGGAAAAATAGAAAGAATAAAAAAAAATAGAGAAGAGGAATGAGGAAGAGGAGCTCCGGGGCAGCGGACTGGGTAGATCCTTGCCGCGGAAGGCCGATGGTTACCAGGGAGTGCCCGGTCAGCAGACAGGGTGTTTGCGTCAGAGGAACAAGTCGCGGGTTGCATTGGAGGAGAGAAGGGAACACAATGTGGCCTTGGGTGTGAATGAGGCGGGATCGGTTTGTTGATGAAAAGAGGGTGGGGTGGATGAATGAAGTGACGGGGCAGCCGCCGTTTCCATGTTCCAGAAGTGCAACTATAGGTCGCATCAAGTATAGAAGAGAGGAGGGAGGTGGAGTTGTTTGACGTTGCAGTCGAGTGAATGATGGCATGACTCTCTCCTTTTCTCGTGATTTAGCAACGGGCCAGGGGCGCACACGGCTGTATGTGAGCCCGAACCCGAGCGAACCCCCCCGGAATCCGACCGAGACTCAGACAGGCAGACAGACAGACGGACAGATAGGAGCACACCCGAGAGAGCGACGGCGGCGCTGGGTTACGCGATTGGGAGATGCAAGCTGCAGCTCGACATGACTTGCACGGCTTTGGCTCCCCACTCCCATTCCCTCGTTGCCAAGGATCGCTCGCACTTGTACGGATTCGCAGAAATGGCATGATGTCCCCTGCTCGCCATCGCGCATCCATCGAGCTTTCTCATGCTGATTTGATGAGACGGGGGAAGGGCCAAGGTGGGCAAAAGAGGCAGGTACATGGCCACGGTGAGAAAAGCGACACGGAGCATCCATTCGACGTTGTTGGTGCCAGAAGGGGTGACGAGATTGTTGACTTGCATACAGCCAGGCGGCTTGCGAGGTCCCGACGGTGCGGAACGCTGGCTGACGTGATGGCACTGGAAGCATCTCGTTTGCGAGAAGAGGGAGGACGGGTTGGGGCTTACATCAGTCTTGTGTAGTGAGTGCTGTGTCCATGCGGGCGTTGCATACTTGTGTGATGGTGATAGGAGGAGCGTTGTGATGCCAAGGGCAAGTTGTATACATGCATGCCGGTGTAGACGGGCTATCTATGTATATGTAGGTAGGTATATATGCATTTGCAGATGGACTCAGCCGCAGATTACTCGGTGCAGATGGATATTGATTGAATACGCAAGTGTTTATATCTGTATCAATTGATATACAGACCTACATAGGCACTTATGTATGTATGTATATATGTATGGTGTTTTGTTTGGCAGAAATGATGCAGATGGACAGACGATGCCAGTACGTACTGGATGCTGCAGCTCATGTACATGACATCTGGCGAACAAAGGTACATACGTAAGAACATTCAATGTTCATTTGAATTGATGGAATCAAATCAGCAGCAGGCTGAAGCTGGATGCACGCGATGGGACGGCACGTGCGCACCGAGTCGCTGACACGTGAGCCCTGTACACGTGCATGGCTGGACCCTGGAACCCTGCGCTTGTCGCCACCTGTCTGCTGCTCGCTTCCATCTCTCTCCCTCCCTCTCTGTCGCCATCTCCCATCCGTCTCTCTCGCCCAATTTCATCAACGTTGCTCGTTTCATCCATCACCACCATCTTGACTCGCGGCCTATACGTGCTGCCCGTTATGGCCAAGAAGAGGCACGGCGCCTGAGGCAATCATCCGGCCGGGCCTAGGCTACAAGCGGGCGGGGGAGCGTTGCAACCTTGGCTTACCTTGCCTTGCCTTACTTACCTTGCACAACGACGACACGCACCGTCCCGACGCGCTGGAGCCGGCCTGCCTGCCTGCCAGCCTTATTTGAGCCCCCCTGTTGGTCTCGCTCCCTCGCCCGCTTGCAAGCAGCCAGAGCCAGCCCGGCAAGCTCGCCAGTCAATCAATCACTCACTCACTCCCTCAATCAGCCAACCCGTCTCAGCAGTCAGGTCGGCTGTCAGCCAGCCAGCACGTTTTGAAACGGTTAAGCCAGGCTTCCGATCGCCCAGCAGCCCGCCACCGCCCACTCCAGGCCATGGCCCCGGTTTGCGCTACTCACGCACCCAGCCGCTGTCATTCACCCTCCTCTGCTTAGACGTATACACGCCTACATATCTACCATGTACGTGAGTAGGCAGCTACATCCGTTTGCGGATACAATGGCACCAAGCGTCACAAACCTATCTGCCAACTGAGTTTGCTTGCCGCCAAAGACGGCCCGTCTGCTCACGGCCGCCGCTGAGAAGTCTCCTCTCGTTTTGCTTTTGACCCTCCTATCTGTACCATGCCATGTATGCAAGCCGGCTGCAGACCATATGCATTGGCTACTTGTTCAGTCTTTTATGTTATCTGTGCAGACACCGCCACTGATCTTCCCGGACCTGGGTCCGATGGACGCGGATAGCAAACTCTACGTCCACGACCCCTTCGCGGCACAAGCAGGTGCTGAAGACAGACTTCGACAAGACCTGTGAGATTGTCGTCATTTCTCCTGTGAAATGCCTATTTCCCGTGTGCACATCACTACCATTTTTCATTTTCGCGGCTGCGGGAGGGTACAGGAGAAAACGGGACGGCAACAAGCGGAAATGGGGGGTTTCCGAAGGCAAAGGAAGCAAAGCAAAGGTACACGGCGGCGCTAGCTATCCACTCCCGAATCTTGATCTTCACGCTTGTTTGATCATGTCCAGACATGTCGGCCTTTTGACGCGGCCCAAGAAACAGCTATCACTGTTTGGAATCCTACCAAGGAATGCCGGACGAAAAGGAAAACCAAACTACTTGCTTCTCTTTTTGGGCGAGACCCCGTTCGGACTATCATGACCATAGTGAACGATAATGTCCGGTACGTATGAATCAAGTCACCCCCAAGGAACGGGGCCACAGTTATGCCTGGATTACACGGCGTAATGCCGTGGAGCTCCGCGGCGGAAAATTCTTTCCCAGTCGCTCGGGCGGAGTATTTATTTTCCTTTTCTCGATTTGCTCAATCACACAATTCGCGAGTCACAAAGCTGTCGCAGACATCCATCAAGAAGCAGAAGGATGGGGGCTGGGCTCTCTCGCGGACAACATGGACCATGTTTTGTCCTGTTCGTTCGGCCAGCCTCCCCATCTCTCAACAAGACGCGCCTCCAATTGATACGCTGGACACTGTGTGATTGTCTCGATGCCCCATCTCAGCCTTACTAGTGATTGATGGACGATACCCACCTCGATCCCTCTGTCTCACACGGGGAGCAGGAGGTGCCATTGTTTGAGTTGCCTGTCATGCAGGACAGGAACAGCGTGCGTATCTAGATGGGGCCAAGGGGCCAATCTCGTAGCGTTCCATGCCGTCCATGGCAATCGTTCACACTTTTGTATGTATAGTTGCAGCTGGCATGCAAGATGCAAGATGCAGCCCAACCGGCATGGGCGACATATGTAAGTATGTACATACATACATACATATGTACATGATTCGCGTGTCCCCACTCAATGAGCGTCGGGCATTTTGGCGGGGGCGGGCAGCGGCATGCTCATCGATTGGCTCGGAACACCAACAACAAAAGGCAACGGAAGCAAAAAGAACAAGAATGCGAATGTTCAATTCATTAAACGCATGCATACCGCGAGGGGACTCTACTGGGGGACTGCATAAATCAAAAGTCGATTGGTTTTATCTAGAACACGCACAAACTGACAGTTTGGTTGACAGAACGCCCGCCCCAACGTGGGCATGTGGTGGTGGTGGTGGTGGTGGCGCGCGTATCCGGTTGTTCCACCCACGCACTCAACGTATACGCTAGAGCTACATCGAGGAACAGCGGCGGCAGCCAAGCATCTCAAGCTTCTTTTTTTTTTCTTCTCTTCTGTACAGTAGCTGCTACTGAAAACATAGAACGGGTTTCGGGCCATTGTTAGTCTGGGACTCTGGGACTGTGCAGTGCAGTAGTCTTGCCGAGAGAGGGAGCGAAAGTGGTGGAGGCGCGCTGTACTGGAGGGAAGGCTAGGGCTAGGGCCATGACGGACGAGAGCGACGACAGCAAGCTAGCTGTAGCTGCCGACTCCCCCATGCACGCATGCTGCTAGGGAACGGCGTGGGGCTGGTGGCACTGCGACTAGTTCTGGGCTACGTATGTGGATGATATTAGGTATACAGGCGGCGTCACAGAGTGGCTGGCGGCGAATGAGGGAGCGTCGATGCGAGAGGGCGCAATGTGTACCATGGAGTATGTGTGTATGAGGAGGCTGGCCAACAGCGCGATGTTGATGACGAAGTGTGTGATTGCCATGGGCGGCGATGGCGGCACATGGTTACTTAGTCACTGGCTGATCTACCTCGGGGCTTCAGCGAAAATCGACGGGCGATCCGCCATGCATAATTGAAACACACATCCGAGTATGTTTGATAGTGGACAGGGGCGCCAAACAAGACCGGGGCACCACAAGAGTCAGTCGGTGCCAAAAAGGCCGAGGGAAAATGAATTCATGGAAAAAGGGGACGAGACGAGACCAGAGAAATCAGGGAGAAGGAACAAAGAAGAAGGCTAGAATGGAAAGGAAAGGAAAGGCGCATCATCCACCGGGACCGCGATGGCAGCTCCCGTCTCCGCGCGCAGCCAAGGCTTGATTGGGGTGTGCTGCTAACGACCAAGTGTTTCGCACTTCAGACATTGATGCAGATGGATGGACGAGAGTGTATACACATGTGGTATATGTGACCGACCGACCGATAAATCGGAATAAGAATTCTTAGGGCCATGTACGGACTAGAGAAGAAGAAAAAAAAAAGGGTTATGGAGAGAGGAGAGAAAAAAAAAACAAGATTCAAGGTTTGTAAGGTGAGGCGCAGTACCAGACTATACACCAATCTCAGAGGGTCTAGAAAGATGCAAGCAGGATACACGTAGGTGTCAACAACATGGCCGCCCCCCTTTGCACAGTGAAGGTGTACGGGACACATGCATAGGCAGCTGGACACGTGCATAACGAGCCTCTGGTTACTCATCAAGTCTGGCTGTATTGGAGCAAAAAGAAGGGTGTGTGTGAGTGAGTGTGTGTCTACATATACGGGAGGCTAACCAGCGGGGGGCATCGGCAGACGAGATGAAAATGTGCATTCGGCAGCACAACGCCTTTTGAGATCCCTGCCGCCCCATCGCCCAGCAGACGAAAGACGACGACGAGGAACAACAGCAGCGAAGGAGGATCAGCCCGCGAGTGGTTAGTGGGATGCCCCAATGCCCATGCATGCGGGTACCCTTGTCGCCTCTACGATGACGGACCCCTGAACCCTGGCCGCCATCTACCCATCCCTCCCTCCCTCCATCTCCCCATCCATTCCCCCATGCATGTATGCGTGCTGGAAGGATGCTCGTACCCCCTGGCGCCACTACTGTATGCCCCATGCACCATTCGCTCACCCACCTCACCGCACATTCTTTACTTATATCATCCGAGGCCCATGCTCTCTCTGTTGCTGTCGTCTTGTCGTGTCTCGTCTTGTACAGCCCGACGTCTATCAATCATATCGCTCCATCATCCTGTCCGTCTTGCTTGCTTGCTTGCTTGCCTGCCTGGTCTGTCTAGCATCTTCGTCATCCTCGTCATCGTTGTTCGCCTTTGTGCTTATTTACCTGCCTCCCTGCCTGTACAGTACACGCAAACGCATCATCACGGCCCGACATAATCACGACTTTATACCTCGTCCCTGCCACCATCAGCTACTCACTTAACCTCTGGACATTGTTGCATCTTTATTATTAGCTCCAGTCCGTCCACTACACAACTCAAACAATCTCTGCCAGGTCAGGTGTTGTCCGCAGACGGCACCTTTCACACCTTCAATCTGGCTACTCAAACTCTCCCCGCTATCCAGACCACCCACGCTCACTACCCATTCCAATCGTCCCTAACTCCTCCCTACGACCAGATCAAAGAATCCTACTCGGAACAACCATCCATTTCCAGATTTTCCGAGCTGGACCGCTCATGGTCGGCTCCTCGTGGCCAGAGGGGATCTGACGAACAGATCCCAATGTCTCAACCACCAGCGTCAGGTTCCCACACCACAGCCACCGCCGTAGAAAATGGTCCTGTATCACTTCCTCCGTTACGGCACATGTCCAAAAGCCCCACAGCTTCCTTGACCGACCGGAGACAAGGAAGTCTGCTAGGTGTGCAGCATATCTTGAACCCTCAGGCCGATCTGGTAGAGCAGGAGCGTAACCGGAGACGAAGCGCTTCGCAGCAGTTGGAAACTCCCTCTCCCATTGAATCTCAACCTTCTCAGAGCCTTCCTTCCATTAGTCGCCCCATGAGCGTGGATTCCACCCAAGGAGATGCTGTTCAGGCGAGGCCCTTTCAACCCCCAACGGGGCGGCCCTCGAACCGTCACTTGATGAGCCCTCGATCACCCACAGTGCATCGCACTTCTAGCATCAGTGTCCTGGCCCGTCCAACGGGTACCATTGATGCTCACGCTTCTCCTTTCCTATCGGCTTCTTCCGCCGGCGCTGGACGAGTCTTAGGTCCTGATCCCACGTCACAGCCAGCACTGCCAACACCGCCAGGTGGTGGGCGTAGCACTGGCTTCTACCCTCCTCACATGCCTCCTACAGTACCTACACCTCCCCCTGGCATGAGCCGCATGGGCTTCCCTCAGTCCGGCAGTGCGAGTCCCAACCCGAACTTCTCCCCCTACAGTCAGCCCGCGTCGGCGGCCTCCAGCCAGTACGAAGGTCCCAGCCACGCAAGTTCCTACCCACCAGCTTCTATGCAAGAGCAACAGCAACTTGCTATGGCAATGGAACGCAACGACCACAACCGCATGTCCATGGGCAGCTCCAACTCGGGCCAATCCGCCATTCAAATCATGACCATCAAGTCCCAACAAGGCCAACACGTCCGCATCCCCGTCGAAGTCCACGCCGCCTCCAAAGTCGCCGACGAAAAACGCAAACGCAACGCGGGAGCCTCGGCACGCTTCCGTGCGCGCCGCAAGGAAAAAGAACGCGAAGCATCCCAGTCAATCTCACGTCTCGAAACCCAGCTCCGCGAAGCTATCGAGGACAACGAGTACTACCGTAGCGAGCGCGACTACTTCAAATCAATTGTTTTCCAGCAACCGGGTGCAGAACGCCACTACGCTCGCCCCCCTTCCCCACGCCTTCGTCGGATCTCCGTCGCGCCTTCCAACCCAGCATCGTCCACCACCGGCGGCGGATCCCCGTATTCCGCGTACGAGGACGACACTGGAGATTCGGATCGCAATGTGCGGCGCAGAACTTCGAATTACCACCCCGTGCAGGGACAGGTCTCGACGTCGCTCAATGGAGCTCAGACGCCTGGATATCCGTCGTCGGCGTTTGCGTCGGTCAATGCGGCGCCGCATCACCATGCGTCGAGGCCGGGGTCGTTTGATTCTAGGGATGAACGGTCCATGTCGTTGCCGCAGGTTCATCATCATCAGCAGCAGCAACAGCAGCAGCAGCAGCAGATGATGCAGCAAGCACATCGCCCATCTTTGCATGATCCGTTTACGGGGGGTGAGGCTACGAGGTATGATGGGAGGGGGTGGGAGCCTCAACGTGGGTGAAGACTGAGGACATCGACATTCTACGTGTTGTACCGACTTTTCACCCCCTACCTGAGACGAGACATTCCGCTCTCCCAAGCCCATCGCGCAAAGAGCCAGACAGCGTGCCTTCGTCGCTCTCGTTCATCCACATCGGTCGTTTAGGTTGCAGAACCCCTTCCCATATCGTGGACCTTTCCCCCGACCATCCTCGCCCCCTCAAAGCCTCGATCAGACTCCCTCTCTCTTGCCCCACACCACAAAATTCAAAACTCCTTCCTACATGATACCCCTATATTAGAAAACACACCCTTACATCTATAACCTCTCATATCCTTCCTATCTTTTTTCTCTTCTCATCATAGTCATCATAGTCATCATCTATCGGTCAATTCATCAATCTGTCTATATCTCTGGAAACACAAAGGACGGTTTTCCAGGGAGTGGGAGGCGTGGGTTTCCTTGAGCTTGTATTAGAAAATTCTAGAAGAAGGGAAACAGAGACACTAGCGCAAGCGCCTTATATCAGCATCATCGTCATCATCATCTAAATAGTTTACATTATCCTTTAGTATAGTTACCCTCATCGCGATGCGGATGATAGTATACAATGTCAATATCAACACTTTAAAAGTCTGCATATATTGCATCTTTTTTCTTTCGTCTGAGAAGTTTGGTTTGGTTCGTTCGGTCCCGGTCTATATTTCTAAGATGGAAGAGTCCACACGTACAAGAGAGAAACATGAAGTTGTCCTTCCTTTTCACCATTGAAGTGTTGGGTCTACATCGCAAATAGCAGGCGGACTCGACGTTACTAACAAGACATTAGAAGCCGTTTATCTTACAGCACAGAGTAATAATGTGTCACCCTGTTACTTCTTGGTGTTTCTTCCTTTGATACGATACTCTACATTCAAAAAAGAATATAAAAATAAATAAACATAAAAGAAAGAGAAAAAGGGAATATTACCTTACACCGGCATATCGCACCAAGCAAAGGCAGGCATCGGGGGGCACTCCTAGTAGAGAAAAGGAAAAAAAAAAGGAAAAAAAAAAACAGTCAAACCCCCTACAGGAACGTCAACCCCAACGGTAAATCACACTCCCACAGAAACTGCAGCAATTCGCGGTTGCACGGTCCCATAGCCTGGAGCACAGCCTCACTGAAAATCTTCTTATCCTTAGGATCGTCGAATTCCGCAGCCTGCGGTATAGCCCAAGGTTCCATAAACGCCGGCAACCAAGCCCCAAGCTCCCAATCAATAAACACGATATCGAACTCGTTCCCACCTTTTCCATTGCCATTCACTCCCTCTCCACGCGGCGTAATCATAATGTTCCTTGGCTTCAAATCAAGGTGCGTGAAAACCGGTTTATAATCGTCCACCGTCGCCGTCTTCAAAACGGGCCTTAGCCGTTCCAACAGCTCCGTCGCGCGATCGTTCCAGCCTCCATAGCCATACATCATACACGCCTCCCGCTCCCCCCTACACGCAATCTCCTCCACAGCGTCCTCCCACGAATCAATGGGCTTTTTAAGCGGGTACCTAGGATCACCGAAGATGCCGCCGACTGTCAACATGCGCTGATACTCTAATCTTCCATAGTACCAGCGTCCCGTGGGCGAGTCGAGCGGCTGCGGGATGCTGCGGAGCTTTCGCAGTTCCGAGCCAATGATTTTGCAGATTTGGGAGCGTTGTGTGGGATTGAGGCTCGGCCAGACTTCTGATAGGGGGGAGCCGGGGATGTATTCCATGATTAAATAGGCGTAGGTTGGTGGGGGCTTGTTTGGGTTTGGGAAGCGTTTGAGAGGGTCGGCGCCTTGGTGGAGGAATGCGGCGTAGAGTTTTGGGGTGCGGATGGTAGCATGCTGGGAGAGGAAGAGGAGATTTTCTGCTTCCTGGGTGGTGTGAGTGGTGTGGCTTGGATGGAGTGTTTAAAGGGGGAAGAGGAACGAGGGGGTAATATATTGATCTGGATTGAGGTCTTGCGGGTGAACTGTACATGAAGAGTCTTGAGAAGAAGAAGGAATTTGTGCGTACCTGCAAAAGGTCAAAGCTGGCCGCAAACTTCACCACGTACTTCCCGCTAATGAGACGGACATTGTTGAATATTTCACTGGAATTCCCAATCTTGGGTCCGCTCGCTATGTCTTCTGGAGTCGGGAGAGGAGGGTCGAATTCGCCCGGTGCATAGTATGGAAACTTAGACCAATCGACTATCCACTCTTTGAGCGTCTGTTCCGAAGTGCATTTCAACGTATCGGCTTCTTCCCAGTCTCGAGTCCCGAAGTGCTTAAAGCGGAGGTCAAGTTCGTTGAATTCGCTCATTGTGGTTGGTGGGGGAAGGAAGCGGATCTATGACGGAATGAGGGTTTTGTTTTAGATGGTGTTCATGAGAAAAGATATTCGTGATTGATGTGGCTCACTATAAGTGGTGCGTTTTGTACACCGATCCAACAAAGAAAGATCTGATGACGCATGTAGTTATTCTATCTAGATGCGGCATGACAAAGATACACATGGCCGACATTATCCATAACGATCCGTCAATATGGAGACAGAAACTAACAAAGGAAATTTTTCGCACCACTTCACACCGAATGCAATCGTATCAGAGAATAACAGAGACACAAATGGTGAACTCGATTGGATGTATACAGCGGTTAGGTACGTAGTCGCTACGAACTTCCCTGTACGCTTTCTGCAAGAAATACGTGTTAACTAGCGAAGCAAAAAGTATAGGCCGGGTCCACTTACTTTCGACTCCGAGTTTTAGGTCGATTCGTCCAAGATCCCCCGCTCTCGAAGCTCGTCCACCACCATATCTACCCATTGATAAAACAGCCTGAGATTGGCATCTTCTGCTTCCCCGAGAATTACTCGCAGAGCCACTTTCGAACAGATTCTTTTACATTGTTCAGGATCTTGAGCATGGCCACGCACATCCTCGTTGATGCTAGGACTTTTTGCAGTAAGTGCGCAAACTGGCCTGAGCCCACCTTTCCACTTCTCGAGGTAGATTGCGTAGTATTTACCATGGTTATCCACAGGCTCGCCACATAAGTGAATAAATAAAGCTCTTTTATTTCCGCTTCTATCGTAGATTGCGATAGATATTGAATGAGGGCCGTTTTTGGACGACATGGTTCTTTGTCTGGTGTGTGGGTGAGGTAGACTTGACGAATAATTCATTAAAAGTTGAATTGGTGATTGCCGATTCTATATTTGCAATGGGTAGGAAATTGAAACCTACTTAACTATAGGAGCTTCGTGGAAACATGAGTCGCATGTATAAGACATTTTCAGGACTCAACGTTGTCGAATATTGAATTGTATCCTTCTCATCCATACAAACTGATTGCTTAACGACTGGTCTAAGACACTTTACCACCCTTGAGATGCTACACCAGGTAGCATCAACAATGAGATATTGTTTCATTGTCATCATAGTAATACAGACCTAGACACAAATGTCATACACCCACACCTAATCAGACAAAGAGGAAAAGAGGAAGCACAGATCAAGAGAAAGAATGAAAAAAGACGAAAGTTGATAAGAACAATACTAAGATCTCTGTATCTCGGGCTGGGTCTATTGAACTCCCTGTCTATCGTGCTCAAGGACAAAGAATCATACATAGGTAGCTACATTTACTAGTACATATGTATGTAGCTTATGTCTACCCAAAGAAGGCAACATTTGAACTCACTTCCCCCAACGACGAATACTGGAAGATAGCGCATGGGACCAAAACGTGAACTTTGAAAGAAACTGTGTGCATTGAGCCAGCGCTGTGACGGTGACCCAGCCTACTTCAACAGTAGAGTGCAAATCGTGGTCATGACAATGATCACGTGATCGCGTTTGTGTCATGTACAATGTATGTATCTACTACCTAGGTACCTACCGAGGCAGGTTCCTGTGTACATATAAGATAATAATTCACTATAGATACTGATGACAGTTTTTGGTTCATCGATCTGCCACGTTTTAGGTATCCTAGACAATCTTGACATGGGATTTATCTATTCGGTTGCAAAAATAAACATGGCATTTGTTCCCTGTATTCAAATTCCTGCTTCACACATATAGGAATGAAATCGTTCTTAGCTCGAAAATAATGCGCCTATGGCCATCGGTCAGGGAAGCTATAATTCAAGAGCAATTTGCATGTAAAGAGTCAATCTCTACTTTCGTATCCTTGAATAGCGCGATTCAGGAACATCTTCATATAGTGTAGATATGTTTCTTTGTCATGCCCCCAGCTATGATCTGAGCATTTTCAAAGCGCAATGACGACTGCAAACTGCACTGCCCGCCTCCTATTCCAACTTCTTGCTGATGTTCAACTCGGTCAGGTCGTCTTGCTGGCACACTTTTATGCGACAACCTTTGATGTCTGGGCGGGCCAAAAGCTTCTCGTAAGCTAGAGCAAACTCCGACGCCTTCATCACCCCGGCTTGTTCTGCTGCAGCGCCTGCCATCACAAACAAACCGAGATAGATTTCATTGAAGCGGATATTGGTGTTCGAGTTTTCAAGACACGCAACATTCGCTAGAGAAAACAGTGCGCCCTGTGTTATGCTAGCTCCTGCAAGACTCCCGTTATCCCCGCTTGCGCCTGTACAGAGCGTCCAGGTGCTTGTAGGGTCGTTCTGCTCTAGCAGATAGGGGATGGTTGCTTGATAGGCAACTATTGACACGCATTAGCTTCGCTGTATCTTTCAAAACCTGCAATACAGACACACTCACGAAGATTTGGCTCAAAATTGACCTGCATATACTTGCGGATGTCATCGGTGGTAAGATCGAGGATGGACGTGCGGTCGAACAACCCGCCAGCTGTTTTATCACACAGTCGCCCTTCCCGTCAGCCAAAACTTGATTCCACCAAGAATTTGAACGAGTCATTAACTTGCCTGCGGCATAGACATGCTGGAAAGCTGGCAATTCCCCCTTCCGCACCTTCTCCACCACATTCTTCACCCCGTGATCAGACAAGATGTCCGCCTCTACCGTCGTAATGCCTTCGCGGGTCCCAACATTGCTGAAGAGCTTCTCCGCCGAGGCTTGATTGCGCACAATGGCGAGGACGTGGAGTTTGGACCGCAGGGCAGCGTGAATGGCCGAGGCGCCGATGTTGCCTGTCGCCCCCACGATCAGGACCGTCTGCATTTTCATATGTGGCGGTGGAATTTTAGTACTCGACTTGATCTAGTCTTTGCTTAGAACAAATCTGGGAAAAAATGTCGCTTCCCTTCTCTTGCTGTGCCTCGAAAGTGCTGGTGCATGCTTTGTCCTTTTAAAACAACAGGAAATAATTTCTACATATGGTGTTCTTGTCGGTGTTAAGGACGCAACTCCGCAAAATCGCTGAGTTAGTAATTGGTATTTTCATCGCGAGATGTTTTTCTGTCGGGTTCACCATGTGCTGTTCCATTACTGAATTCCGCAACTCGGAGAACTACGGATCCATCCCTCGGAACCTGACATGGGATGTTCAGGGTGAAAATCCAATTCAAGTAAGCCAACACAGTCGTGGATACACACTTCACTGGCCATGCGATTTCTCAACGCGAAATTGGGACACAATTTTTAATCCCATCTCATTGCTGCACGGAATCTGAGCAGCCACTGTCATCAAGCTCGAAACGTCCGAGGAAGTCATGCTCCGAGCATTCCAGCACGGTGGTGAGATGCGGAATGAGCCTAGTCGGTAGCACTAAAATGTAGATCCTAGTGATCCTTCTGCAAGGAGCGGGATGATCTAGGCCGGAGATAGTGACAGGCGAGTTCTTCTCCGATCCGAAGTGCCATTGGTTTGATGGGAGGGAGGGTATGTTCCCACTCCAATGGTAGGGAAGGCAGGCGTACAATCCCTGTCGTCCGAATTGAAGCGCCGTAGTATTACCCACTTCCAGTGGTATTCGGCTCGATATTCAAGCTTTCTATGTCAAGGAATTGTTATGCTTATAAATGACCACCAAGCTGTCTCGCAAATAGGATCCCTTATATGCGGTGCAGTCGCAAAGCTCTGTCTCGCAAGTATTATTCCATAAAACGTGTATCTACTTGAGAAGTCTGTTTCGACATATCCCACCTCCAAACCCTCTCAAAAATGGCAACTGTACTTGGAAAAACAGTTTTGATCACAGGCTGCAGCACCGGCGGCATCGGCTGGGCACTGGCCAGAAACTTCCGCCGACGAGGATACTACGTCTTCGCCACAGCGCGCGATCCCTCGAAGGTCACCAATCTCGCCGAACTGGAGGATATCGAAATTCTCGAGCTGGACGTGACTGTTCCATCAACCATTGAGAAGTGTAAAGAGATAGTCGCGAAACGCACAGGAGGCACACTCGATCTCCTAGTGAACAACGCTGGCATCGAATTCAACAGCCCATTGCTAGACACGGATATCCCTGAGGCGAGGAGGCTGTACGATGTCAATGTTTGGGGCGTTCTGGCGATGGTGCAGGCGTTTGCCCCCCTACTTATAGAGGCCAAAGGAGTGATCTTCAACCAAAGCTCTATTGATGGAGAGCTGAATATGGTGTGGGCAGGTAAGTTGCGTCACTGTCAGCCAGCGCGTGTAACGCTCGTAAAAATACAAGCCAGCTAACCTGGCGGCAACGCGCGCTCTTGAACAGGTATTTTTGCCAGTTCCAAGTCTGCGGTGGCGCGCATCTCGGAAACTCTGCGGATCGAACTTGAGCCGCTGGGTGTGCGCGTCTTGACGTCCATTTGTGGCTCCGCTGATACGCCTATGTTTGGTAAGCCGGGTGGCCCTATGGAACTGCCGAAGGCGTCGTACTACCACGGTGTCCAGGATGCGGCGTGGAAGGAGCGGATGGATCATCAGCGTCAGGCCATGAACGTCGATGTGCTCGCGGAAAAGTTGGCGAAGGACATTCTCGGCGGAACCAAGGGTGTGACCTGGCATGGCGCGTTCGCTCCATCAGTGCGGTGGGCGAGCTGGCTCAATCTTATATGGTTGATGGACAGGTTGATCAATTCGGCAAGAGGCTTGAATTTGGTCAAACGGCGTTAGGAATGGGATAAATGTGGAGGTGAGCGACCTGGATGATGACGGGGAAGCGCGCAGCTCTAGATTATACCAAGAATTATGGGATGAATGAAGATTCTACCACCTTGACAGTAGCTGAAATGAAAGTTTAAAATCCCGAATATACCGGTAGCGGCACGGGGCGATCTCATCGCCCCGACCCGACACAAACTAACTTCATACGCCGTCTCCGCTCAACGCCAAACTTCTTTTGTTTAACAAAGACATACTAGCCACACATGTATTGGCAAGCAAAATACCAGGTCGGCACGGCGAGCATAATATATCCGTGCTGGTAGGTGAGGGCATCGCAACCAATAAGATCCAGCATGATACTAGGGCGTAGTACATCCGTCCCGACTATACAACAATATTCTCAAACTCCGCGCTCTCTCCTACGTACGGAGTGGCCCCTTACCAGATTCGGAAGACCATAACACAGCATATAAAAAGTCAATGAATCTCTCTTGAAAAAAGCAACATAAACAGACAGCAACAGCCAGCTCAGCTTCCAATCAACCAATCTCAACATCCAAGTTCTAGATTACTATCAAAAAGATGTCTACATTCACCCTTTCCAACCCAAACCGCACCATCCATGCGGGTGTCATCCTCCTGGGACATATGGAAGTCCTAGATGTAGCCCCCATCGACCTCCTCCACAACATGGGAAAAAGATTCATGGAAATGCTCCCTGTCTCCGAAGACATCAAAGCCAAAGCATACGATATCGAAACGCACTGGGTCACCGAAAAAGGCGCGCCGGCAAGACTATCCGCCAACATGACTCTACAGGCAACGGTAAGCCCAAAACTCACACACAGAGAGAGAACAGAGACGGTCTGGACCAAGCTAATGATAATATGATGGTGGATGGTAGGATTCTTTCGATAGTTGTCCAAGGCTCGACATCGTTCTCATCGGTGCTTGGCTGCCAAGCTACACCCCCAACGAAGCCGAGCTCGCCTTCATACGTAAATCCCACGAAGATTGCTCCGCGTTCCTGACTATCTGCGGGGGTTTCACCGCCGCGCAGATGACTGGGTTGCTTGATGGGAAGATGGCGACGGCGCCGCGGTTTATGATTCCCATGCTCAAAGAGCAGCATCCGCGTACGACGTGGGTTGATAAGAGGGTGGTACGGGATGGCAAGATTTGGACCAGTGGGGCTTTGTTGAATGGGTTGGATTTGATGAGGGAGTTTGTCAAGGAGACTTGGCCTGAGATCGCGAGTGTTGTCGTTCCATTGGGCGGGTGGCCTGTTAGGGGTTTGGAGTATCATGGTACGGATGGGATGCCCGTACCCATGGAGTTTTAACTGTAGTGTATGGCCGTGTTCAACTTGGTGGAGTTGGGCTGGATTGAAGGATGTTGGTGCCTCGAAGAGGTCTGTTGCATTAGTGGGGTGTAGATAAATTGAAAGAGAAACAAATATACATTATATCTCATATCTCATTTGTCAGCCTCAAAACGACAGAGTTGCGGTATCATCGAAAAACCGAGCATCCACAGCACCCAACTCGTCACACCACGAAAAGTCCAGATTGGCACCATCCCCAAATCCAAAATCCATTACGTCAAAAGACAACCCAGACTCCGGTACCTTCGCATCTTCGTCCTTCAAATCTAGGATAGCCTTCGCGATAGTGCCCACGGCCTTGTACTCACGCTTTCCGGCTGGCCAGAATTCCCCTAGCATCTTCAACACGCCCATGTTTAAACGAATCTTCTCTCGTTCGACCGAGAGACGAGGTTCTGTGAAGATGTACCGACACGCTGAGAGATGCGCGATGGTCATGTTAGCGATCATGCAGATGATGAAAGGGGTGTGGGTGGCGAAGCGAGTTGGGAGAGTGAGCAGTGTGTTTAGTTTTTCGGTTGCGCAGAGGATCTTTGCAGTGTGCATGCGGGCTTCTTCCTTGATAATGTCATTGGCTGTAGGTGGCGGCGGAGCGCACAGTGACGCTGATTCAACGGGACTGTAGAGGAGAGAGGAGAGGCGACGATGGAGATCGACTATGCACCTGTTTGACTGTTAGTGAACCAGAAGCTAGCGGGCTATTGAGGGACAGTTGAAACGCACGTCTGCATGACGATCATTGCCTTGAATAGAATTTCATCTACCTTTCCATCATCGCCGAGCAGCGATTTCTTGGATGGTGGCAGCAGTGAGAACCAAGCAGTCATCATTGTATCAGCACTGACACACAAGGCCTGCACACCCACGAGATCGTCTAGACGCGCGAAGGCAAGCACTTTGGTAATGCCTTGGGAAAAACCGATCAGCTGGGCAAAAGAAGAGAATTCGATGTCGCAGAACTCGCGGTTTTCGTACTGCTTGAGCGTGAGTGGTTGCGGAATCTCCTGTCTAGTGTCAATATTATGACGTTCATCAATGTGCTGTAACCATCTTACCCCCCTCTCATAATTTAACTCCTCGCAGGGAAGCTCGGTAGTAATAGGAAACTTTGTTGAAAGACCTTCGTATGTATGGGTGCTGCCAGAAATATGGACATCAGTGACGTGAATCTGCCACCAGGTTCGCCTCCAAGACTCCTCTAGAACCGAATCTCCGTAGCCGTACTGGGAGGCAAACTCCTTCCGGTGCATGCCCAGCAAGAATGCAGCCTCAATGGCTTCATCTAGATACATGCGGCCAATCTGGGGCGCATTACACCAGTACACCGTTATTGAATACAACAAGATTGCTTGAACGTGATACGGATTCGGTATACCTGAATAGCTCCGACCATATTCAATCGCCTGCAGAGCAGCGTCCGCTAAAGGCTCTGAATCAATGGAGTGCATGAAAATAGACCCAATATATAGTAGAACGGGAAGGAGATGCTCGGACAAGGCGGAATCGGTACCCATCCTTGCTTCAAGGGACCATCGGGGAAGAACACATGGATGTGCGGCATGGAAATATGTGTAAAATTGAGCCAGAAGCTGTTCGACGTGGCTCTCTGCGAGATATGAACCAATGGAAGGGATCATTGAAGGTTGCGATGCTAGTTCTTGCGCATCACCCGTTCCTTCGGTCGAACTCGTGGGGGAAGTCCTGCGGTGGCTGATGGATGTTTCATTTTCAACTCTTTCCACTGAACAGTTTGACGGAGGTTGCTTCCGGGGTCGCCCTCCTCGACGTGACTTTTGGTATTCACAGACTTTTTCATCATACTGGCATCGGTTGCAGACCTAGGATGACCGGAACAGTCTCAGCAAAGTTCCAGAAGCGGCGAAATGGACCATGGACCTCGTGAAACGCCACATAAAATGGTGTTCCATCAGTGCAAAATTTTCTACATTTGATAAATACTGACCGGCTGTGTGGAGTCGCAGCGAACCTGGTCGCACCAATATTAGAAAACAATCGTCGAAGACAAAGGTGCAAAGGCACGGTGCTTACTTTGCGCGAGCGACAAGGTATACAAGCCAGCGCGACGCGACGAACGCGCTTCTTAGTTGACAAGGTAGAATCTTGAGCGAAATTGATATGTTCCATTGCGAGAGTGGGAGCGATCAATTCAACGAACGACCCGAGAGGCCGTCTTTTACATAACTAGCGGCATTCGGTTTGGCTGGAGGTATGTCAGATGCCGCGACGGCATTACGATGACAAAGCATTAGATCGGGATACCACGGGAGGAGAGTCGATCGATCTGGATTGTCGTCGAATGACAGCAAGGCGAGTCCGTAGATGGTGTATGATCGGGATGATTCCGCGTGGATAAATGGCTGTTGACTCAGGTGCAGCCCGCTGCACGGCGTTCCGTGGGGCCGATTCCGCACTCAACTAATCTTTGAGATGCTTACATGCAGCATTCGATATAAGAGCTGAAAGGAATGTCGAAACATCTCCGAGGAGAACGAGTACATTTCATGGATACTCCAAATAGCGACGGTGAGGGTCGGTGAAGGAATGACGTTACCTATCAACTGCGGGCAAGGGGGAAATGATGCGCGTGCTAGATTAGGAAAGTCCAAGCGACAGGGAGGATGAACAAGACGAGGGAGTAATGTGAAGACACAAAGGCTCAAGACCCGGAATGTTTATGACAAAAAATACAGCTCAAAAGGCAGAAAAGAAGTCGATAATCATCCCTGAACATCGTCCATACGGATACACGCCGATACAGATATGCCAAACCATACGGAAGGGGAGAAGTGAGTGATGGAGGGAAAGAAGAAATCAAGAGATATAGGAAGGGAAATGTACAAGAATCTGGTGCGTCGGATGCTACGCTCTTTTGGCATTTGCATCCGGAGCGACGCCATATGTTTCCCGTGCTATCGAAGTGACTGACAAAGTGTTGAATGGAAAGGTGTGCGTATCGGAACCAGACAAAAGCGGTTCAGAAGTGCGAAAGAAACAAAGTCCAGAAAATAAAGAGAACGGCGCAATGAAAAGGGGGGATTTCGAACCAAAACAGTCCGATTCAATCTACCTAAATGGCCCGAACTGACCAGCCCTTTCCAAACAAGCAAACAAGCGCTTCGTTTTTCGATGCTGATGCAGGTACCGCATCCTATCATACCTTAAATCGAAATCAGTCAACACTCATTGTTAACACACCGGGTATACTTACCGCCAATGCATACAAGACTTCACCTTCCTCCTCCTCTTCCGCCTCCGAGCGTTCACGGATGTTATCCCACCAAGGTGCTTCATACCCATCGACGCCATGGCCTGGCAGAGATGGGGGCCGCTCACCTTTCTTGGGTCCCTTCGGCTTGGAGCCACGAGGCCTGGTTCCCTAGACGATATTAGTTTACATCTCCTTACCTATGCTGCATTGCCAAGCTGTCTCATCTTCGATTGACCAGGGTGGATTGCGTGTCGTAGTCGATTATGGAGGTTGATGGAAGTGTAGCAGTAGTGGTGATGCGAGTACGTGTGCTTTGTTCAGATTGCGATGGGAGATCATGTCCAGTGATCGGGACAGCTTGCGGATTTATAGTCAAGAGGCGAAGGTTTTTCGGATTGGCGTCGGAAGAGCCGGTTCAAATCCAGCAGAACTTGTGCTCGCTCTTGAGTCGTCCTGTGCATGATTGTACAAATCGTTTTCGAGAATGATAGTTGACACCATCTCGAGGCGAACAATCATCGCTTCCTGTAGGGTATGAGTCGTTGATAGGCAGCGAGGTCTGCGATAGAGGGTTAGATATCATCGGTGCGTGGAGTACATCCGGAACTTACTAGATGAGACAGTGCCGTATGCAGTTCTTCCCATGTCGCTCTCCTGTTTTCCGACGTCCCCACATCTCCAACAGCCACTTTCTTTCATCAAGTCCAATCACGACGATTTCACGTCTTGAATCTCGGCTGGGCCGAAGCGCAGACGTACTTACCATACTCACCCTGGATCGAAACAAAACAACAAACAATTGCAGAGCATAGAGCATTCGAGCCTCAACGAGCAACGAGAAAAACATACCGAGCCACCGCTCATTTCCCAGACATCCACATAGTTCTTTCCTCCACCTCTCTGTTGAGAGTTTCCACTGGCTCGACTGGTACACTTGGCCGGTTCATCCGTAACGGAGTAGTACAATTTGTTCGAGCAGCGACAGTCTCTGCCGTACTCGATGCCAAAGTACTTCCATGGCTTGCCTCCGTTGCTGGCGGTTTCAGTGCGGCAGAAGTTGCGGCAGGATTGCCAAGTCAAGTCGCCGACGCGTTGTTCTTTGGCGGCGGTGCCCAACAGACGCTGGGTTTTTCCGCCAACGGGCTTGCTGGCAACGAAGCATCCTCGGTGCTTGTTCCCGCTGAAGTCGAGGCCGGAGTCGCCACCGGAGCCTGAGTCTGAGCCAGAACCGCTACCAGAGTCCTTTTCACAGAGTTAGCGTTTGTTGCAGGGCAAGCTTTTAGACAATGCTCTGTGTGCTCGAATGCTCTGTGCTCTGCAAATGAAACAAAAAGAAAACTCAAATGAAGCAGAAAAGGAAAGATAGAATAGGAAATGGCTTGGTTAGTAGTAGCTAACTGTTAGCACGCCATTAAAAGATAGTATCATCTGTAATTGTCAGTACGTCAGGAATCCTTTGTCTGTCAGTGACCCACAGATCCTATCAACATGTTAGCGTCGCGTTCTGCAGAACATACAACATTTTGTGCATACATACATGAACTATGGTTCAGACAAAAGATTTGGGGACGTCGCAGTATATAAAGAGAGGGTTAAACTAGAGTGTGTTGACACGTTACATTGAAATGGAGCTAATCGAGATGTCAAGTCCATGGAATGTGGAACATTCCACAGAGAAAAAAAAAAAACAATCATGGTGAAAACCGTGGCATTTCAAGAGTATTTGTCACGACGAAAAAAGTCTCAGATGCTCACTTATGTCGCCTCAGAAGCAGACATCTTCCCAACCCCCAACCCTCTCCTCCAAGGCACAACGCCATCCAAAAACTCCTGCACAAACTCTTCTCGCTCAATCTCATCCATAACTTTCAAGTTTGTCCAGAAAGGTACACAGACGCCACATTTTCCATCTCCCTTAGCCCCAACATTCTCAGGCGGGCCCTTGCATTCCTCTTCAAAGCATCCAACATGCATGTACATGCCGCATCCAAGAATCTTGATCCCAACGCTCTTCATCCGCGTTGTGGAATGGAATGAATTCTTGCAAAGAATACATGTGATGGAATGCGGCGGACGATGGATGTAAAGGAGCGAAAGGGGGAGTGGGTTCGTGTCGTCTGGGTCCTGCGGTATGTTCTGTGCCGGCCGGTGTTTAGGAATGTCTGATGCTCGGCCTGTCCATGAAGCTGTCAAGTTTGTGTTTTGGAGGTTTGGAAGGGGTGCGCCGAGGATTGCGCGGAGGGATTTCACGCGTGCTACTGCTGCGGGATCGGATTGGTGAGACGGTGTGTTTGGATCCATAGTTTGGGTGTGTGTTGTTGATTACTGGATCTTCTGAGCTCTTGTACAGGAATTTGGATTTATGAGTGTGTTCCGTGAAGGTTTTCTCTCTGTGAAGATCTGAATTATGAATTCTTTGCATTGTGTGAGACGTTTGAAAATTGAAGTTCTATCATTTTGGTCTTGCGATCTGTTGTGCGTTGTGAGACTACGATGTATACAATGCTATTATTCAAAATTGTGCTACACTATATCGCGTTGATCAATGAAAGGGTTGGCAGGACTGGCAGGTCGCGTGCTGCGAAGCGTGGGATATCGGTGCTTGGACGATGTCAATCTGAATGGAATCAGAGGCTCTGAGAGTTGGGCGTTTTCATGGGGTCCTATAGATGCTATCTACCACAGTCATACGAGACGTTTGGCAAACATGGACCGACGTGTGATTCGAACCTTCTTGTCCATTACCACCGGATCAGCATCGATTGTCTTATTCACTCGTAATTAACTTAGCTTTGATATACTGATCTTCTGTCCACAATACATTGAAGCCGTGCGTGAGGCAATGAGTACCATTCCCTTTGTAGTGGCAGTATATGTAGAGCATATCCAACAGGAAATCCCAGAAAGGTGTCACTTATTTCTATATTAGGACCTTGCTGATGTTTCATATTGATTGTACGTAGTATTTAAAGCCCATCAGATGCGTGAGATGTGTGCTACCTCATACTGACGTTCAATACATAAACAATGATACACAGATCTGGAGGAATCTCTCTTTCAAACATATCATCGATACAAATCAAACCCGTCAAATAAAACTTAGCCCAGCTTTTCCATACGTACAGTCCCAAATAGTATATGTCCATGTTTGTATAGCTCGAAATCATTTGAGAATCAATTCATTACAGTTTTGATCTAGGTATTAAATTTACGAAAGCTTGAACTAAGACCAAATATCAAAACACAATATTATCCACAAACTCATTCATCATCAAGTTCAAATAATTTGTTATTTGGTAATGGCCTGCTTTTAGTACTTTTATCAATTTCAATATCGCTATGTGTAAGATCACCAAAACAAGAGCTAACAATTTATTGTTAAACTCAAATCAGTCTACACTTCAACATTTGTTCTCTCGCTATCACCCAGACTATGTAGCTCCCCCTACTAGAAATAAAAACGAGTACAATATTGAGAAAGAATGAGTATAATATTCTTGTTGCAATAAAGAGGGTAGAATGATACAGAATTCAGGTGTATCTTTGTCAACTTCATTCATTTCCCATACCATTTTCCTCCATTTTCTGGCATTTTTTCATTCACGCTTCTTCCACTGAGATACACTCTCTCTCATGAATTAAAAAACTTTCCGTCTTACCTGGGATGTCTACAATACCGGTTTCAAACGAAGAGAAAGAACCAAAGGCTCTCCTTGTTGTCGTTCAGCATGCGGTGATATATAAAACCTGAGTAATTTGTAGGTTGAAAGTTCTGGGTGCGTTTTTTTTCTCGCATGTTATACTTTTAATAGTTAGGTACCAAGAGCGATGATGTGTGGCTACAAAGATTTGGCTCTAGATGCTGAAATAAACAAAAGCAGGCGAAAGGTGACGACATGAGCGAGTGAAAATACAATGTCTTGACGTCTCCTTGTACTGATCTGATGGCAAGTTTGATACAGACATAGACATGGAAAAGATGTGAGACAGATGATGTACATTCATAGACCGATGAGGACGAGAATAGGGCATGAAAGTCGTTAATGTATACTATTACACAAAAGATCGTACACACAAATTCTACAATGACACACTCGATGCCTATCCAACGTGCATGAGAGAAAGAGAAATAGGGCAAGGTGGTAATCCTGTAACATAGTGTTATATGTGTTTTCCCCATTCAATTGATCAATCCCACCCCCAAGCGCTCTTAATTATATCTCCAATGGTAGACTGCCCCGCCTCTTTCCTCTTTAGCCGATTGATCCTCTCCTCAATAAATGTCTGCTCAACGCTCCTGGCCATGATATTTTGACTCTTAAGTTCACCCAGCAGTGCTTTTCGCTCCAAGTCCTGCTCTTCAGGCGGTAATTTTGCGATGTTCTGCTCATAGAGTTTGCGAGATTCGGGTTTGATGCGTGCCCAGACTTCCCGTTCCTCTTCTTCGGAGATGACTTGGCCTGGGGCAGGAGCGACAACTGAAGCGCCGTTGTTCATAGCGCGGGCGATATTCGCTTTGGAAAAGATGGAGTCGAACTGCGGGGGAGGCAGTCCTTGTTTCTTAGCTTCTTCGATTTGTTGTTCCTGCGCGAGCATTTGCTGGTATAATCGATCTGCGTGCATCTGAATCTTCTCGCTGTCCTCATCGCTGCGGTAGTCCATGGTCATGTAGCCCAGAGCTTTGAGAAACTTGGATTGTATGTCGTAGCAGCGGTTGAAGGCGCGCGTCTCGGTGCGGCACAGGGTAGCGACCTGCCCCCATTTGGGATTGCGATAGCAGTCAAATTGGGCTATGTATTCGAGAGCGCAGTTCTCCATGGCCACGCGCCCAACTTCGGCTTTGCGGTCGTTGTAGGCATCGACGGCGTCGCGGAGGCGGTCTTGCTCGTTCTTGCCGCGGTCGTCGATTTGGCGTTGGGGGACGTAGTTTTTCCAGAGATGGGCATAGCGGCCATCCTGGAATTGGGATTGAGGAGGGACTACAGGCCCTTGGTCGGCTCGGGTGGGTTCAGCTTGCGAGGCTTCGTCGGGCTTTTCGACAGGTTTGGAGGGGAGCGAAGGTTTGGGGCCTGTGGGGTTTTCTTTGTCGAGGAAATCGCGGAGAGATGGGTCGAGTTGATCTTTGGCTCCTCCGCCACTACCCCATAACCAGCCCATGTCGGATTAAAAATTCTAGGTTTGGTGTTGAACAATTGGCCGTTGGAATGGTTGTTGCTTGATGTTCTAGAAAGAAGTATGGGAGCTTGACCGACAGGGATCTGAACGCGGAGCCGAGTGTCACGTGCTACCGTTTGAGCGCGTCATTCACCATAACACAACATGCAATATAGGACCCGCGAACACGACATTCATCGCATCTCCAACTCCCAAAAGCACACATACTTCAACCGTCCTCGCCATGGCGCCTGTGGGTCAGTGAATCAGGAATACCTAATAGGTCAATCAATAATGGTTAACAATAATTCAGATCGCCACGAGCGGAGACAACAGCGCGTACGCGGCGCTGGGTGAGTGCTTTATTGCTCTGCATGTCGTACAGTTACTGACTCCGGTTCGAAGCCCGTCTGCAGTACAAGCAAACTTTGGATTCAATCTCGCTGCTTTCGCGCCTAAAGTCAAACAAGCTCCAGCGCCGCCACAATCGTTGCGTCGAACACGAACCCCCACACCGTCGCGCAAAACGCCCGGCAGCTCTAAAGCCTCCGCAAAGTCTACAAGACGGCATAGAAGTGTCTCTATTCCACGAAGCAGCAGTGTCCGACGCAGCGTGACACCTAGAAACCGAACAGTCACCCCGCGCACAAGCAACAGGAAGCGCGGCTCTCAGTCTGCGCCGTTGGACGGAGATGATGGTGAGCTGGACGAGCTGAGTCCGGAGCACGGCATAGAATTCCCTTCGGTGGAAAAGAGTAGAAGAGTGGCCGCGGCTGTTTCAACGATACGAGAGGAGCCCGACGATGCGCCCGACGAGCTTTCGATTTTGGACGATAGCGTTGGAAGCGCGCGCAAATCCATAAGAGACCCGTCGGTCGCGTCAGGGGGGACGCCAGGGTCAGTTTCGAGGATTCCGCGATCACCGGTCCAAGACAAACCAGAAAAGACGCCTATCGCGGAGAGGGTCGGGAACATGTCTATTACTATGCGCAAGTCTCTCGCGCGCAGGTCCAAGTCGTCAGAGCTGCAAGTCACACCCAAAACGCTACCGAATGGCGGCCCGCGCCTGTCGACCGCGTCTCATTTCGACGAGTCGTTTAACACACCAAACGGCGGCCCCGAAGATGAAAGTGAAGACGAACTTACACCCCGACCAAAGGAGAATGCAACCCCTCGAAGCGTAGTGTCTGTGACTACGGTTGATACTGCAGAGCAAGACAATGGAGAGGCGGACGAGCTATCCTCACCCTCCCAGCCAGACAAATCACCGAGTCAACCTCTCGATCGAACAGAAAAACTCTCGAGGCAGACCACAGTGGAAAGCCCTGTTCAACAACCAGAGTCTGCACCTACGCGGAAGCGAGGAAGACCGCGGAAGGTAGTGTCAGGGTCCGAGGATGATGCGCAGGTAATACCTGCTGTTGGAAATCAACCTGCACATCATCAATCCGATCTCAACAACAAGATACGGGCGGATCCAGATGATAATGACGTGCCCGACGAACTTTCCCCAGCAAATCGTACAAGGGACAAACCTCGTACCGTTCCAACAATACCGGAGAGACCCCAACCCACGAAGAAGAATAACAAGCCAGAACCGAATCAACCCATCGACATCCCATCCGGCTCCGAAGACTCAGACGATTTCGATCCAGACGACCAGCCGGACGAAGAAGAATACGGCCAACGAACCCGTCCCACATTACCTTCAAAACCCACATCACAACCCTCGAAAGCCAAACCAACCTCCTCGCCCCCCCGCAAACGCCAAAAGACCGTTCACGAAAAAGATGGCAACACCGCCCCAAAACAAACAATCTCCGTAATGCGCCTTAAGCAACCCCCATCCAACAAATCCAGGAAAATTAAACCCCTTCCAACCGTCCGCGGCATCTCAGCAGCAGATATAACGCACGCCCTCCTCACCCAAACAATCGACACCCGCATATCCCGCCTCGCCGCAAAATTAAACTCTCTCTCTTCTTCCTCTTCTTCGTCAGAAATACTGTCGAGCCACAAAAAAACCCTCCGCACACAAATAAACACCGCATTATCCTACACCGAGACCCTGGCAGAGAAATTTCTGGATCTACGAGACGCAAACGACGTCCTTTCCACCTTGGTCTCGCGCCGCAAGGCGCTACGGACGCAGAACGCGTCGCTGCGGTCTGATTTCTTGGGTCTTCAGAACCAGAGAGAGGAAATAGCCCTACAAGTCGATGATGTAAGCCTGGAATTTGAAAGTCGGAAGGAAGAAGGAGAGAGGAAAGACGGGATTAGTAAGCGGTTGTGGGATATCCAGGGTGCTATTAGATTGGGTAAGGAGAAGGCAAGGGAGGAGGGGAGAGAAGGGGAGGGTGCGAGGTGGGATTTGGGGATGTGGGTTAGGGATTTGGTTGCGGGTGGTGGATTGGTCGGGGGAGATGAGGATGGTGGTGTAGGGATATTGGAGAGGTTGAAGAAGTTTAATGGGGGGTTGGAGAGGGCTGCTGGGTGGCTTGAAAACAGCGGTGCTGGGGATGGACAACGGGTATAAGAAGATGAAGACGGATGCTCAGACTCTCACTTCTGACTTCTGCTCTCTTTTACTGCACTTGCTTGCCCTGCCCTGATTTGCTTTCGACCAAGGCGTTTAATTCGGCATGTTTCCACTATTCTTATTATACCCCAAACCCTAAATAGGCACAAGAGATGTACAGTATCGGAGATAACGTTCCGCGAGGAGATTATTATAATTTATTGATATCAAAAGTCGTTCTCTGTTCCTCTCCCCCTTACTGTCGAAGTGGCCAACACGCATGACACCCCGGTACACCAACGACGACGGCTTGAGATGTCTACATTCTTCTCCCTGCAATGGCAAACATGGAACAACCCACACGCAGACTCCAGAACAAGAAAACGAAAGCCTCGATGATATGCTGCTCCCCCTTTCTCTAAGAAAAGGAAGCTCAGACGCAGGAACAAGAAGAAAAAGAGGACGAGAAAGGGGGGTAAAAAAGGGAATTTCTATCCAGCTGCAACCGGAAACTATGTAGCGCTTTGCCTGAGCGCGCCCTGCCCACTCGGTGCAACAACCATTCAAACTCACACATCCCTGTATACTATGACGTTCCTAGCAGTTGCATCCGCCAGGCCCTTGGGTGGTGTTGGGATCGGGTCGTAGGTTAACGCCGGGTCGCTGCTGGCCAGCCCTCAGGTTCCGTGGGCCGCCCTGGTCGAGCGGTAGCTTCTTTGCGATGGCGGTGAAGAGTTCGCGCACGTTTTCGCTCGTCTTGGCCGAGGTCTCGAAGAAGAGGAGGCCAGCCTCTTTAGCGTATTGTTCGGCGTCGGCGGTGGAGATGGCGCGCTTATCGGGGGATTCGGTCACGAGATCGAGCTTGTTACCGGCGAGGGCGATGATGATGTTTTCATTGGCCTGGCGCTGGAGTTCCTTTACCCAGGCCTTTGCCTTGTCTAGGGAAGACTATATCTAGTTAGAGGATGGGGTAATCGCAGGCAGGTATCGGAAAAAGACGTACGGCTTGTGTGATGTCGTAGACGACGACGGCGCAGTTTGCGTTTCGGTAGTACATGGGGGCTAGTGACTTGTATCGCTCCTGGCCAGCGGTATCCCAAATCTCGAACTTGACCGTGGTGGATTCATCGAGGGCAATAGTCTGGGTCAAGAAGGCGGCTCCGATGGTGGATTCTCGGTAGTCGTCGAATTGGTCCTGTGCAAGTTAGCGACTCGCGGCCGAGAAGTCTGGTGGGGATTTATATGCTTACCTTGACGAAGCGCAATACGAGCGAGGACTATTGTGAATCATGTTAGCTGATATATACTGGCGCCGAGTGCGGGCAGACGATGGTGAATGCAGGAAGACGGAGTGGAAGCATCATGCGCACCTTTCCAACAGCAGATTCACCTGACGTCGATAAGTTAGTGGAAGATTCGATATGGATAGATAATGTATCTCTAGAGACAAGTGGATGCTCACCTAACAAGACGAGCTTGAACTGTGCAAATCTAGAACCTCCGGGACGTCCGCCGGCGCCGCCTTGCTGCATTCTTGCTGCCATAACTAGCTGGGAAGGGCCGCACTTGGGGATGCCTGGTGGCTGTTGTTGAGGGGGTGGATAAGGCGGGAACTGGTGGATTTTTCGGCGGGTCTAGGTATCGTAGATAGGAGAGAGGGGTGTTCGGGGCGCGATGTTGGTGAATACGGCGGTGGTGGAGGGGAGGTGGTGGGGGGTGGTGTAAATGGATCAAAGAGAGAGAAAGAGAGAGGTGTGGTGGTGGTCCAGGTGGTGGTGGTGACCTTGTTGAATGATTGGCTGGCAGCCTGGCTGGCCGGAAATGTCTTGGCATGGGTTTCGTCATCTTGTCAATCTGTTTAGTTAGTTAGTGGTGCACTTTGTATGTACACACACGCCCAAACTAACATGTACCTGGCAATATAATCCACCGTAATACGGCCCACCCCAGGACAGTACAAACATTGGAGAAAGAGCAGGAGATAGAGTGACCAAATCGACATAAACCCCTCCCCAGCGCCATCATGACGCTGCTGCCATTCCGCGACATCAATGTCCACTCGTCGCCCTCGCACTACGCTTTCTCGTCGCCATCCACCCCATCCGCGCCCACGCTGGTCATAGACCGTCCTGGCGGTGACATTCGTTTACACGATGGCAAACTGCTGGGCTCGAAGCGCGTGTCCAGCATCGCTGGTATTCTGGGTATCATCAAATTACGCCTAGGTCAGACATTGCGATCCCCTCCATCTCCCCCCTGCCCCCTCATCCCCACTCCCAATTCCTCCCACATGGATCCCACGCCGGACCCCACAATTCACCCCAGACTGATATGTCTTTGAAGATAAATATATCATCGTCATCACAAAGGCCCAGCCTATGGGACGCATCAAGGGTCACATGATATACAAGATCATCTCCACCGAATTTCTGCCTCTACGCGAACGCCCACTGCACGACCCAGACGAGGACAGCTACCTCAACCTGCTCAAGTCCTTGATCAAGACCTCGCCGCTGTACTTCTCATACTCGTTCGATATCACAAACAGCTTCCAGCGACAAGCTCACGCCGACCCCTCGGTGCCCCTGTGGAAGCGCGCCGACGATCGCTTTTTCTGGAACCGCTTCGTTCAGAGCGACCTGATCGACTTCCGCGGCGGCCTCAATACACGCTTTAGCCGCCATGCCTCTGGCCAGCAGCCCGATGTAGACGGCTATATTCTGCCCGTCATGTACGGCATGATGGAGATCAAGAACACGAGCATCAAGGGGAACCCTCTGACGTTCATTCTCATTACTCGGCGGTCGCGACTCAAGGCCGGCACGCGCTACCTCTCGCGCGGCATTGACGAAAACGGCAATGTTTCCAACTTTAACGAGACGGAACAATCTATCATCCTCAACGACCATGCTTCGGGTGGGCTTGGCGGATACGGCTCGGCTGAGAAGGGCGCTGCAGGGGCGCCCGCCGGAAAGGAAGCACAGGTGCTTGCTTATGTGCAGACTCGCGGCAGTGTGCCCGTATACTGGGCTGAAATCAACACTTTGAAATACACGCCTAAGCTACAAGTGCGCGGAGTGGACAGCGCAGTACCGGCTGCGAAAAAGCATTTTGCTGAGCAAATACGCTTGTATGGGGACAACTGGCTCGTCAACCTCGTCAATCAAAAGGGCAGAGAAAAGCAGGTCAAGGAGGCATATGAAGAGATGGTCGAGCACCTCGTCAAATCGCCCGCCGAACACGTGCAGTCCGACCAGGTCACCGACGAGAAGTTCCATGTCATCGAACCTCATCAAGCCAAAACATCCTTTGATCGTATACACTATGTATACTTCGACTTCCACAACGAGACGAAGGGTCTGCGCTGGGATCGTGCGAAGCTCCTGCTCGACCAGCTTGAGCCCCATCTCCTCGAGCACGGCTACTTCCGCGGTGTAGATATGCCAGGCGATAATGGCCGTGTCGAAGTACGGCGACTCCAATCAGCAGTGGTCCGCACGAACTGCATGGATTGCCTGGACCGCACCAATGTCGTCCAGAGTATGCTGGGCCGCTTCATGCTATCTCGCATGCTGATCGAAACCGGTCTGATGCGCCAGGGCGAAAGCGCAGAAGACGATCAAGCCTTCGAATTCCTATTCCGCAACGTCTGGGCCGACAATGCTGACGTAGTCTCCAAGTCGTACTCTGGCACGGGCGCGCTCAAAACTGACTTCACGCGCCTCGGTGTGCGCACCAAGCAAGGCGCCCTACAGGATCTGAATAACTCCATCACCCGTTACTTCCTCAACAACTTTGGCGATGGCCCGCGCCAGGACGCCTTCGACCTATTCTTGGGCACCTACCTGCCGTCAGACTCGGGTATCGGAAGCCAACTTCTATTCGCCGACCGCCGACCCCTCATCATCCAGGCTATCCCTTACATCCTCACCGCGAGCATCTTCCTCATCCTCGTCAGCCTCTTCACGCGCCGCGCTCCCGACGCCGCTGTATGGCCACTACGTCTGCTTCTTCTTATCTCCGTCATCGTAGCAGGTGCATCCTTCAATTTCATCCGGACAAACGGAACGTTATACGTAAGCTCTCCTCCTTTATTTTACTCCCCTTTCTCCCCACCATTCAAGCGGTTTGATATCCAAATGTCGCTAACTCCATGACTAAAGGTCAACTGGCCTAAACTTAATCGTCCTCCTCACGCCATCGAATCCTACCAACACGCTCTCAACAAGGTCTCACACAACCCCGTTGTGGGATCACTGGTAGGGACCAAACATGAGCGGGGCAAGAGCGATGCTAGATTGTTGGGTTTAGAGGAGGGGAAGAAGAGATTAGAATAAATCTTGTTTGTACTTCATTTTGGGGTTGTGCGGCTGGCTGGGTGTAATGCGTTAAGACGGAAGGGGAATCAGTGAGGCTTGGGAGGGATGTTTGTGGCGGTGGTCAGGGTAGAAGTAGAATTGGAGAGGTGGTGTGAATGATGGCGAACGTTAGATAGAAGGTCATGGGGTTGCTAGAACATTTCTTTTTTCCTCTTTTTGTTTGTTGTTTTGGTTAATCAAGTGCATGACTAGGTATTCTGGTATCCAGTCCATCATTTCCGTCTGTGATAATCCATCCTGTGTATTCTGTTTTCCCCAACTTCACCTTCCCTTCGTTTTCCCTTCACCTGGAACAAGAATACAAACAATCTTTGCGATCTCTGCTTCATTTCTCGAAGAAGAGGATGCGAAAACGCAACATGTCTTTTGGTGGCTTCTAACAGGATGGGGATATTGATATCTGAGGGACATAAATGAGGTGATATATACTAGGCCTTCTCTAGAAAAAAATTAAAAGAGGAACAAACAAGAAAGGCAGAACTCTGTAATTATAGGGTGAAAATTTTATTAGCAAGGTGTTTGGTGGGAGAGTACAATTGTGTGGAGAAGTAGCAAAGATACAGACAAGGGAATGTTGTAAAAAGTGGGCGTTTTACACAGAGAGAATGAGACTATGCGCGTGGAAGGGAAAAGTTGTATCTATGTGTAAGGAGTGGAAGGTGTAAAACGTTGTACACGAAGAATCCATTGCGTGACATAGCTTTTCCACATCCCTCGAACAGGCATCGGAAGGGAAGTCAGAAATCATTAAAAGAGACAAGGTATTCAGCGTCGTCCCAGGAAAGAAAGATGGAGAGGAAGGGGTATCAAGCAACGCCGGCAACACGCGGTAAAATAACAACATCAAACTCCTCATCAACCTTCTCTTCAATCCTGCCTTCTTCCACCACATCCTCCGCATACCTACCCCGACCCACAAAAGCCCACCCATCGCCTTCAAGCCTCAGTCTCAACCGCTCCTGGTTGGACCTTACAGCGCGTTCAACGAGGGGAGCCCACTCTGCGCTCTTCTCCGCGGCACCAGCGCCTCTCCAGGGTTCGCGACGGGGTGACGGCGACGACGGGCTCTCGGCTTCGAGCTCCCAGTCCTCGAAGTCTGGGAGCACCCAGGGGTCGAGATCGGGAGGGGAGATGCTGTTTTGGAGGAGAGCAGCTGTGGCTGTGCTGTCGCGGTAGCATCCATCGAGGGGCGGATTTTTCTGGTCCTGCGCGATCACTACAGGCATGGGGAGGTGGTTGTGGTGACTGTGTTTGCGCGTAGCAGTAGTAGGAGTCTGCGCGACGCGGTACCCGCGGGTACTGAGAAGTCCCGGGGAGGGCTGCAACGGGAACGGAAATTCATTGAGGTCGGCGCCGGAGCTGCGGGTTCTCTTTGCTCGAGCGTAGGAGCGGTTTCGGTGCTGCTGCTTTGCCGTTGTGGGAATGATGCCGAGGGCGCGTGATGGGTTGGTGTAGAGCTCGGTGAGCATAGCTAGGCGGTCACGCGCGAGCCGGGTGGTAACCCCCTCCTCGTCCATGATGGCGGAGTTGCACAGGCTGTGCAGGTGGGTTTTGGTTTCCAGAATTTGATTAAAAGAAGTAGATGGAAAATGGGTTAGTTGTAGTAGTTTTTTGGGGTGAACGTAAGCTGGAAGTGAAATGTGGAATGCGCAAGTGATGTGTTGTTGGGTAATGGCAGGTGATGAGATAACGGGGGCAAACTATTACAGCATGCGCAGGCAAAGTCGAACAAGTTTGCCAAAACGGCTGCCTGGTGGTGTGCCGTGGGAGTCATGCTGAGATGACGTGGTGGTGTGAGAGTAACGTGGCAGTGCGTAGTAGTGCGAATACAGTGAGACATGAATGAGCAAGGAGAAGAATGATGTAACTGGAGTGAAGAGTAGCGTGAAGAACTAAGATGGACGTAGGTTCGAACAATGGAACAGTGGGAGGAGAGGCGAATGGTAAAAGCTGTTTCGTTTGCCCTCGTCGCTGCATACCTACATGTGTATGTATTTATGGTGAACTGTTCAGTAGTGGTCAAGGGAGGTTAGCCAAGTTGTCAGTGGGGAATGTTCCAAGGTTGTTTGTGTCGAGGGAGACAAGAGGGGATGCTTGTGACGACGACTTGAATTGAACCAGCATGTGAATCATAATTGCCATCATATGAGTAAAGATGAAGAGAAAATGAGGGTGTCAAGGTGGGGGACCTGTAAGAGAGGTGAGGCGGAGGAGGGATCGGAGAAACCAACGACCGACGACAGGTCACGTGTGTTCAGGTTGGGCAGCCCAGTCCTGATTCTTCGGTGCAAGCTGTGAAGCTCTCCGACTCGGCCAGCCAGCATCATCACGACCACCTCCCTTCTCCCCCTCCCTCCACCCCGCCATCTCGAACCCATTGGAGGCTGCTCACCATGCTGCGCGCCTCAATTCTACGGGCTCGGCCAGCACTGCGCCCAATTGCTGCCCGCACCAGCCCGCAATGGCGCGTTGCCCAGCGCTTCTATGCCGTTGACCAGAAAAACCTGGGGGAGACGGCCATTCCCAATCCCGCTCCCACCACATCGCCATCCAACGCAGAGCCCATCTCCAATGCCACAATAGCCCCATCCGACATCCCTAAACCGCCCCCAGCCCCCGAGACCTCGGCCGCATCGACATCAACATCATCGCGAGCAGCTCCCGCCATCCCACCTGCCACCACTCCTCCCACTGGTCCCGGCTCTGCCAGTGTAGCCCCCGATCCAAAGCCCCCCAAGCCAAAGCGCCGTCTCCGCAAGTACCTGTTCCGCCTTTTGCTCTTGTCTGTTCTCGGATACGCGGGTGGTGTGTACTACTCGCTTGTCTCGGACAACTTCCACGACTTCTTCACCGAGTACGTGCCCTTTGGCGAGGATTCGGTCGCATACTTTGAGGAGCGCGAGTTCAGGAGACGATTCCCCGGCCGTGCCGGCGAGCCTCGTCTCCACCCGCAGATCACAGGCGAGAGCAAAGTCACGATACCTGGAAAGAGTGGCCTCACTTCGCGCGTGGCAGAAGAAGGCTCTGATCTTGCCGTCAAGGGTCCCCACGTCAGTGCTATCGGATCCAACGTCAAGTCTGGCCCCGCTGCCGAGACACAGGCACCAAAAGTAGGAACGCAGCAGAAGCAGGAGAAGAAGCCTGAACCTACCCGCAAAGCAAAGGCTGCCGAGACATCTACAAAAGAGGTCAAGAAGGAGAAAACAGTCTCTGCTCCCGCTCCCGCCAAACCCATTAGCCAAATTGACCACCTCGCCGTGTCCGAGGCCAACGAGCCAGTGGTGCAGGATGTAGTCAAGATTGTCAACGACATCATAACCGTCATCAACGCCGACACCACGCGTGAAAGCAAGTACGATTCAGCACTAGAGAAAGCCAAGTCAGAGCTCTCTAGGGTCGCCTCAGATATCAACTTGCTCAAGACCACTCTGCAAAAAGAGTCGGAGAGCAAGATCCAAGCGGCTCACAGCGAATTCGACTCGGCTGCCAAGGAGCTCGTGCAACGCCTGGATCACCAGATGCAGTCGCAGGAGACACAATGGAAAGAGGAATTCGAGACTGAGCGCGAGAAGCTCGCACACGCTTACCGGGAACGGCTGCGCGCCGAATTGGAGGCTGCTGACAAGGTGTATCAGCAGAAGCTCAAGAACGAGCTCCTCGAGCAGAGCATTACTCTCCAGCGCACTTTTGCATCGACGGTCCGCGACCAGGTAGAGCAGGAGCGAGACGGGCGGCTGGGCAAACTCAATGAGCTTTCTTCGTCGGTGCAAGAGCTCGAGAAACTCACTGCCGAGTGGAACTCTGTGGTGGACGCCAACCTCAAGACGCAACATCTCACCGTGGCTGTGGAAGCGGTTAAGTCGGCGCTCGAGAACCAGGTTGTGCCGAAACCCTTCATCACGGAGCTCGCAGCTCTCAAGGAGATCGCTGCCGATGACGCCGTGGTCAGCGCCGCCATTGCCAGCATCAACCCCGCGGCTTACCAGCGCGGTATCCCCAACTCGGCACAGCTCATCGACCGTTTCCGTCGCGTATCGCAAGAAGTCAGGAAAGCTGCACTCCTCCCCGAAGATGCGGGTGCCGCGTCGCACCTTGCCTCGTTTGCCATGTCCAAGGTGCTGTTCAAGAAGAGCGGGCTCGCCATCGGTCAGGACGTTGAGGCTGTTCTCGCCCGCACCGAGTCTCTTCTCGAAGAGGGCGATCTTGATGCTGCAGCACGTGAGATGAACGGGCTGCAGGGATGGGCCAAGGTCCTGAGCAAGGACTGGTTGGGCGAGTGCAGGCGGGTTCTTGAAGTCAAGCAGGCGTTGGATGTCATTGCTACCGAGGCCAGGCTACAGAGCTTGCTTGTAGAGTAGATGAAAAACGGTTGTTTTGTTTGTACTGTAATATCACGCTTTGCATGGGGAGCGGGGGAGAGTTTGCGCCATAGATGGATGGAGTGGTACGGCAGGAAAATTGCGGGTGAGCAAAGCCATATCGCTCTGCACTTTGTTATCCTACATTAGCTTCTACCCTTTTCCTTTGTGTATGTATCTATGTATCTGTGTGTGTGTGTGTGTGGAATCAAGACAAGAATTCAAATGTATCGCTGGAGCAGTGTTGTTTGTGAGGTGTCGAAGTACATTCTCCTAGCCATGATTACGATGACAACAGAACAACATCATTAACCAACGTTCTCCGCATGCCATGCAAGAGAAAACAAATCTCACATGATGTCGCCTACCCCATAAAGTCAAAAATGATGGCGCGGGCCGAGAAAAGGTCACACGCACGAATCGACGAGTCAGTGGCCCAAGGGCGTCACGAGCGCAAAGAGGCCCCTTGGCCCCCAAGAAGAATAGCGACAACCAACCAAGGTAGGGCCCCCCCAGACAGACTCCGCCACGCATCATCATCATTGTGCCTGTACATGCAGTCGCCAATTGCAGCTTCGCACTAGCTGTTGCTCCCAATCTCCGAAGCGGCCGTCGGAAGCTTTGATGGCAGTGTTTATTATTGGTGTGTGTTAAGACGTTGGATCGGTGCCTAAATTCTTAGGTTCAAATACATGTATAACTTGTTGTGTCGTCCGCCTTGTTCTCGCCTTCAAATGTTAACACTCGCTGTCTCTCTCGCGCCCGCTTTTCACCTACAATACCCTGTGCCATCTTAAGGAAATACTACAGGCTTTCCTTGCGCAAACACATATACCCGTTTTGGACCTCTGCTTTGGATCGCGACTCGTACATTGACATCCCGCGCAAATTGATCGCGAGAAATCCGAGGTGGAACGCCCAAAAGAAAAGGATCAGGATCGATACATATCGTAACCATCACCCAGAAGAAGCACCTTTTGAACCAGAATCAAACGCGCAAAAAACCGCAGCTTTCGTCCTCAATCCAAGTTCAACAGAACACAACTAAATCACATCATCCAAGTAAAGAAGAACTGAAACATGCCGCCACCCCAAACAACCCCATCCCCATCCCCCTCCCCAACACCAGCCCCCACAAAAGGAAAACAGCACAACCCCCATCTCACATGGACAACATACTCCGTGTCCACCACATCAACGCACGGAGAAGGCTGGGTGACGTTGAAGCCGTGGCCGCGTCCCACACCGCACGCTCAACCCCCATCGTCACCACACGAGCAAGACGAAGCGTTCCAACGACCTGCAGCCGAGGCCCAAGAGATCCTAGACATTGTGCACGGTAGCGACGACGGGAAACAGAAAATGTCGTGGACAACGTTCTCGGTTTCTACGACGGCGACGACGCATGGCGAGGGCTGGGTCACGCTTACGCCGTGGCCGAGACCTACGGGGCATGCATCCGGTGCGGAGGAAGAATTGGAAGGGGAAGAAGGGAGGGCGAGGGTGCTGTATGAGCATGACGTTTCTGCGCTTCCGTCTTCTAGTAGGATGATGGTTGGAGGTGGAAGTGGAGGGAGCGGATGCGCACATTTATCGTTGCTTTTGCATCTCATGGGAATTGTTGTTTTTGTGGCGGTTGTTGCTAGAGTTTTGAGGGCGAGTAGGGAAAGGAGGGATAGAGGGAGGATAGTGTTGAGGGATGAGGAGGAGAGGGGGGGGGAGAAGGTGTGATGGGTGGAAGAGAGTGTGGTGAGAAAGATAGAAGGGTAGTTGGATGATGGCGTGGGAATACCGATATGATACCATAGTAAAGCGAATAAATATTTTTTTCCAATTCATAAAGAAAACAAAAACATACACACAAATAATGACAAACAACTACATTTCCCACCCCATCTCCTCCTCCCTTCCTTCCACCGTTCCCCTCCCTAATCTCGACCGATGTCTACCCAACTCTCCGCCCATCTACCAAACTCAACGTCCTAGTAACCGTGCTCGTAACCTTTACTACTCCCGTGGTCGTCACGCTCGCCGTCTTGGTAGTTCCCGCCGGCACAGTGCCCAGGTAGCAGAAACACGCCGACGAGATCTTAGCCGGGTCGCTGATGCCCAGCGAAATCGAGATCTGGCGCTTTTCAGCCGCCTTCTTGCGGACGGGGAGCTCGACGGGGCAGGCGGCATCGTAGAAGGTGTAGGGGGATTGCGGGTTGTAGTTTGTGTTGCTGGTTCTGTTTTACTCTGTTAATCAACTCATTCTGGAAATAGAGGGGTTGGAATGGGAGGAGGGAGTATGGCGAATGGAAATGGGGAAGGAAGGACTTACGCATCGACATCGAACAACATGCAATTCGCCTCGCCGTAGCCGAAACTCTTGCACTTCGCATCCGCTTTGCACGCTGCGCTGCACAGCGCGAACGTGTTCTGTGTGCCCGACGAGTCAAAGTAGTATGCTGCTGTGTCCTTTGTGTAGCCGACGATGCCGCAGCCTGCTGTTGGTGTGCTGGATCATGATATGTCAGTATTCTTCTCTCTATCGCAACATATCCACACTCTGAACTTGTTGATTCAGGGATATACATACGGGCTAGGCGACGAAGTGGGTTTCGTAGGCGTCGGCGTAGGCGTCGGCGTTGTAATCGGGGGCTTCGGTGTGCTGGTCGGAGTCGTGATGGGGGGTTTAGGGGTAGATGTTCGGGTTATCGTGGTAAAGACAGTCGTCGAGACGGTTGAGGTGCTGCCTTTGCTGATTGTCGTTGTTACTGTCAGAGTACCTGAGACGAGGATACTGCTGCAGAAGCGGTTTGCTTCATTTGGGTGGCCGTCGAAGGAGTCGAGGCCGCATTTGCCCACTGCTTGACGGTTAGTTGATGAGTTCTGGACAAGAGCAGAGATGTTGGGTTTGGTATGAGATGGATATCAGACTTCGAGAGTAAAACTTACAGTCTCCAGTCGCCGCCGGCGCTGGTGGTGGTTTCGCTTGTCTGCCTTCAATCACACGGGCGCTCGCACTTGCGGCCAAAGCCACGGTCAGAAGAAGTTGCGACTTCATAATATGAGAATCTGTCGATGATCCGTTCTCGGCGATGCACAGAAGGATGGAGAACTCGGAGCGAGGGGTCCATCGCTATAAGTACTCTGCCCATCCCCGGCACCCTAAAGCGGGTGCAAATCTTGCGGAGGCTGAGATGCAAAGTATCGAATGCAATATAGGGATAGATGAGAATGACTAGAAGCGCCCCTACGGTCGCATCTACATGCCGGTAGCATCGCTGAGAGCCCACAGTAGTGGAATACAAAGCACCCCTTGCTGACCAAAATAGAAGGTGTGCTCATTCTGTGCGGGTTAGATCAGTTTGCCCCATGTTGAGCGAGTTCGCGATGTTTCTCAGAGGACGAGAATGGTGTTCTAGCCAGACAGCAGCTAGCCCAAAGTTGCGGCAATACGAAGTCGAACAATAGCCGCTTGGGGGGCGGCCAAAGAAAATTAAACCATCGCGTACAGAACGAATATATCCAAATTGACAATAAAGTGAAGCTCGGATGAAGGATCTAGGTACCGGTGTCTGGACCCCCCGCTTTTTCGCGTGCTCGGATGATATTAACCTGCATTTCTAAAATAAGAACCGACATTTTGAACCCAGAACTGCGTGTGCAGAAGTGAAAGAAGAAATTCTGTGGGGATCTTTTGACCTAGCATCCATGTAGGAACAGAATATAGGAAATGGTCCAGACTCTAATTGAGATATATGTACATGAGTTAGGGGTGAATACGAGTCGCCGGGCCGAACATTGTTGAAATGCAGCTTCGAACGGTACCTGTTGATCGACTACCGTATAAAGGGCTTACGTATTCAGATATGCAGGTGCTTCGTATCGGGTGTGACATATCCCGCTCCCAAAAGTGCGACCTCAACGTCGCGTCGCAAAGCAATGGTAGTAATGAGATCGAGAAATGCAACACCAAAGCGGCTACTCTTCCCTCCTGACGACAAATTTCACCCATCCCATACCTGGATCGTTGAACTTTTGAACGTCTTCTTGGAGTTCTGAGATGGAAGCCTGCACACTGAAGGCAACCCCGAGTTCTTTACCCAGGTCGGCCCACATCTTCTTGAAGCTCTCGGGGCTTTGGTGGAATCTGTCCTTGGAGGGTTCAAATTGATGGGGCGCTTCTTCCGCAGTCACAGCCCCCACCTGGCGGCCCAGGAGCATTGAGCCTTTCTTGGGCGACAATAACTTGGCTACGGCGAGTGAAGCAGCGTATTGCTGCGAGTAATTGAAGAGATGGAAAAAAGATCCCGTGTAAACTATATCCAACGTCCCTTTCAAGGTCGAGAGCTCCGAGTCTTCCTCAAAAATGTCGGCAGCGAGGAATCGTGCCGATAACCGATCGCGATCTTCGAAGAGCTTGTAGCCAAGTTCCGTGAACTCCTTCTTCAAATCGCATCCATAGAGGTTATCCGCTGGCGCGCCGTCACTAGATTCACGGACGTAATGTCAGCGAAAGTTCAAGGGGTTCAGTGTCAACGGCCATCTGTTTATCAAGATGCTACATCAAAGTATCGTCTCATCACAGATTGGTTACCAGGCATACGTACGCGACCAGCTTGCGAATCTCCTGCCCAAAACAACAGCCCAGATCTAACAGACGCTGACCCCCACGTAAACGATCCAGAACCTCTCCATATTCCTCGAAATTCACCAACCCGAGATCAAGAAATCGGAATCTCCCAATGCAGGGATACGGATACACCTTCCAAGATTCGTTGCGAACATTGACGATATGATCGGCGATTTTTTCTCTGGGGATGTTGCTGTACGTTTCGAACAGATCGAGAACGGTTGGAGTGAGATACTCATCAGTAGGTCGGTCCACGAACCAGGCAATATTATCTCCTGGCTTTTCACGTGCGTCGGAGGACATTGTATGGCAAGTATAGAGGGTTACCGATGAAGATCTCGTGGCTGGATGAGAGGCGAATCTGATGGGAACCAGAACGATCAAATAGAGCGTACGTTTCGATATTTATCTCGCATTTAGTACCGAAGACCACTGTTCTATCGGGCGTGGTAGCTGATGATGCCTACCGTCAAGGCGTGGGGCGAATGATGACGATGCGACCTTTTAGGACAACGTACTAACCTGTTTGAGACAATGCACTATCCTTACGCAATGCTATGGGAAGTTAAGGACACCTTTCACGATTAATTTTTATATTCTCGTCTCGAATAGGCTCAAGCTCTGTTGGTTTAGGCTGCCATCTGCGGAGATAAAGGTTCTCGGGGAGCCGGTATCAGCGAAGCCAATCACCGACGCGCGTGAGGTGCAAGTCCATCATCTAGCGCTAGAGAGAGCTTAACACAGAGAGACTGCCTCGAACTGTCATCTCTTATGAGCGACGACGAGCGACAATCACTAGCAATATTCACACGACTCCCATATTCCCCAATAGCGTCTCTTCTCAGATTGAAAGAGAATCGCATGGGTTTGCATACGATTCTGGGGGTCAAGATCCTTGACTTCTTCATCAACATTCGCCAGACCGACACGAAAGATGACTGGGAAAGTCTTCAACTGACACTTTATTGAGGCTGTTGGTATTGTCAAGCATTCCTGCTCCCAACCAGTAACGTTCTACTCCGAGCATCTGGTCAAGGAAATATTTCCGAGAAGCTTCGAGTCTACTTTCAGAGCTTCATTGCTCAGCAGCTCCATCGCCCTATCCATCGACATTAGCATCGAACTAAATCAATCTGTGAACAATGCCCCTCTCAAAATTGCATGTCCCATTTGACCATAATTTCGCTACAATGATTCATTCCAGCTCTCCATCCCTTGATCTCTACGCATACGGTCCCCTTCCAGCACTTCTTTTTCGTCTTGATGAAGAATTTTCATGTCCAAGCTCTTCACGTCCCTGGTGTACAAAAGTGCTATTACCCGAAGTCTCGCGCAGCAACGACATACATTCACCATCGATCCATTGCGAATTCCGGAAGCTGCGCAACAGATACAATTCTCGCTCGGGAAACTACATTCATGAAATGTGTTCATAGTCCCACTGACGTGGTTTCCGACTATCCTGATGTCAAACATGTCACTGCACAACCTGATTATGTCGGGGCGCGACATCGTACAGCATTTTACTCTCCAGATAGCGTGCATATCATTGCATTAAGCATCGAAATATTGCTTCCGATAAGAAGAAACGTCCTGCCTGAGTACACAACATACCCGCCTTTCCGCATCCGCCGTTGTGACAGGTAGGTTCCACAGGAGCGGGAGTGCTCCGCATTATGCCTACGTGCATGGTGAAGCTTGTTCTATTCGGGAAGTAGCTATCATACTGCGATGGTTGGTTGACGTATTTGTAGTGCGTGGAAGTTAGCTAGAGCATGATTGAATGGGGATAAAGATGAAGCTGATCTTTGATGGTATTCAATTGCGAGAGTACTTTAGTCTGGTGTCAGTTGGAGAGCTTGTGAGTCTCTGATCGCCCGCATTCACAACGTCTTCAGACCGTAATGTATGCTTGTTGGATTCTAAGCAGATGCAGTTCATTAGTTAACTTGCATTAGGAGATTGCTCATTTTATCCGCAACAACAACAATGTTCAATTTGGGAATGAGATAGAAGACAACACATATGCAAAATCCCGTGTCGGATGAAATTTCCGTCGCGTTTAGGGATCGTCCTGCTCGTCCAACGACTCAAGATATGCCATGTCACGCTTAGTTGTACCGTGGTGATGGCTCAATTGACGTCAAGGGTGTATCTAAGCAACAGAATCATATATTATCTACGATCAATTTCGCCCAGGGTTCTTGGTTCATATCCACTTCTAAGCACGAAAAATGACCCTGATGATGCCTACGGCGTATTCTGAAAAGACTGGCCGTCCACGTCGGGACACGCAGGTATCGACTGCCAACTCAACTATCTCGATCATCGCGAAAGAACACGATGTTAATGAGAACGAAGCACAAAAGCAGAAACGCGAAGCGTGGCTTACAGCGCTGGGTTCATTCCTTATCTACTATTCATCCCTAGGCCTCCTCAATACCTTCGGCTTTTTCCAGGAATACTACGAGAACCAATTTCTCAAAAATCTCCCTGTATCGCCATCCACCATCTCATTCATCGGAACTTTGCAAATTGCGCTTTCCAACAGTTTAGCTGCCGTCTCCGGTGCTCTCTGCGATTTCTATGGTGTTAAGGTAGCGTATCTCACTTTACTGTGGGACAAATCACACGCTAACAACACATCACGACAGTATCTATACATGGCATCCGGTATCAGTCTAGCGACATCCTTCATCGGTCTATCATTCAGCAAACCCTTAATCACCCATCTCTTTCTCAGTCAAGGGCTCTTCATGGGTACTGCTATTGCATTCGGTGCACAGCCCGCTTTCACTGCTGTCACACAGCACTACAACGAGAAGCGCGGGCTGGCGATGACGATCGTGTACACTGGCAGCGCAATCGGTGGGTTATGCTTCCACCTCATGTTTACGACTCTTACACCCCGCATTGGATTCCCCTGGACGATGCGCATAACTGCGCTCAAGATCCTCGTACTGTACGCTATCGCAATTGGAATCTCTACCAGCAAACCGAAACCTTTGATGAAAGAGAAGGTTTCGCTAGGTATGCTGTTCGACTACAGCGGCTTCCAAGACGGAAAGTACGTTGTTCTCGCTGTAGGAGCAGCTCTCGCTTTTCTTGGGCTATGGGTGCCTGCATACCACATCAAATCGTATATGGCGGCTATACATTCCGGAGCAGCGATCGGAGAGTACCTCGTCCCGATCATGAATAGTTGCAGTATTCCCGGTATGGTGGCCGCTGGATACATTGGCGATCGAGTGGGGAAGATCAATCTGCTCTCGCCGCTGGCGTTTGCATCTGGGAGTTTCTGTTTGGTGTTTTGGCTACTAGATCCATCCGTCTCGGCGCTCACTGTCTTCGTGGCGCTTTACGGCATCTGTTCGGGGAGCTTCATGGCACTCTTATCGCCTGCTGTCAGCGAGATTTTGAGGAGGGATGAGAGGGTGGGGGCGAGGGTAGGTGCGTTTTATAGTGTAATGGCTGTTGCTTGCTTGGTTGGGCCTCCGGTTGGTGGAGTGCTTATTGGGCATGGCGGAAGTACAAAAGAAGATTATAGGGGTCTTGTGCTGTTCGCGGTAAGGCTCAGTCTTTCCAAGTTTTGGTGTGCATACTAACCACTCGATTCGTAGGGGGCTACAATGGTCACGGGTGCTTTCATTCTGTTTGCTGCTCGGACGTCGCCTCTCCGACAAGGTTCTAATGGGAAGCGCAGAGTTCATTCGGAATGGGTGCAAGTGTAGTCTGAGTACCTAGAGCACTTGTACACAAACAAGGTTATAAAGACGAAAAGTTATATGGTGAAAAGCACTCAATTATCTGGGTTCGCCATAGTAGAATCCCCGCAACGTTACTGTAGAATAGCGTGCATATTCAATGCACTATGATAGCTGAGTACAGTGCCCCTCGATTGCAGTTCTCTCTTCTTCTGTCAAACCAATTCCAAACCACTTGTCGAGTGCCTCTATTCTCTCCGCTTCCGTTTCGCACTCTTGGATAACCTGTGTTCTACCACCCAAATTCTCTTTGATGGTCCCATTCACCAACATGCGTTTCCCATAAATTTCCTCGCTACCCCCTTCTTCTATCTCCCGCCGCAAGAACTTGACAATCACCATTCGATAAGTCTGAAACGACTCCGGCGAGCTTCCCGTGTACCAATTCATAATTTCGAAATCCTGCTGGTAAAATTCAAGCTCTGGAAACGCGTAGAAAGAGTTCCACGGCTTTTCAGGTCCATTGCGGTACTGGTAGATCCACAATTTGGCTTGTTCACTACGGTTCGTAGACTCTGGGATGTGATCGTGGACTAGACGAATTTCTTGGGGGCCAAGATTGGGGATTGCATGACCGGATATCATGGGTACGGGCTTTGTCGCGCCATCGCCGCCGAATCCCACGTCGACCATGTAACGATCGCCGTTTTGCAGTGTCACGATATTGACGATATGTCTCCTATCACAATCATAAACGGTTCGTTCGCTTTCAATCTTGCGAAACAATTCACTTACCATCCTGTGTATGGACCTTTGGGTACACCGTCTTCCCTCAATCGAATCCGTACCCCCGTTAAGTGCGCAATGAAGCCTAAGCCCCGCAGAACATGATTGAACAGTATGCTAAGTTCCATGCAATACCCACCACGGCCGCGATTCCAGTTGACAAGCTTGCCATAGACGACTTGAGGATCGATTGAGATCTTTCGAGCATTCGAGTAATGCAGTTCTAGGTTTTCGTAGGGAAATGTGGAAATTGTGTGAACGTGGAGGGCGGTCAAATATTCCAGATCATTCTGAGCTTGGCCTTCCGGGATATGTCTTTCTGGAAGTCCAATCTTCGCGACGAATTTGCGCAATTGTTCTGAGCTCAATGCGGATGTCATGGTGAAAATCTTTTGTGGAATTTGGATGCAGTCTATGTAGAAACAATGTCGACGTCGCTTTTATACCAATGTCACTGGGATGAGTCGTAGATGATCATAAGGAGGGTTTCCGTGTTTGAGCAGAACTATTCTGATATGCACGGCAAGAAGTCCGCGATGTTTGACTCACAATCAATGAGATTGCACAGAGCGGTCACGAGGGTAGCACGTTATTCGCCAAATTGGGCCAATCAGGAGCGCAAATCGTCGGTATGGTACGGAAAAGGTGCCCGACTTCTTGGTGATTATCGGATATCGAAAACATCGTCACTTTGACTCCTAGTGATTAACGCTCTTGGAAATTCAACCATGTCAATTATTCCTCCTTGAACTTATCACGAAAGTGTTTCAGAGTTGCATCGGTGAATCACGGTTTACTCAGAACTTCATGGTCACGAATACCCAATCCGCCTTTAGAAAAGCCAGATCACAAGAATCATTCCTTGAATTTCGAAGACACACTTGTAATGCAAGAATCACTGAAACTCATCTTTGTGTACCTCAACCCAAGCCTTCAATCCCATGGGTTCTTTCCCCCCGAACTTCTTCAAATTTCCCACAGCCTTCCCCCAAAACTCATCGGGATAAAACGTATTGGGCGGTGTACATTTCTTGGAAAGGATAGTCATAGACTCCAACATGTCCTTCCCAAAGAATGATGACTCCCTCGCAAAGTCCTCCTCACTTATATCTTTGACCTCGATCTCTTTTCCCAACACCTCCCCAACAATCCCAATAGCATCGCGGACGCGCATCAGCTTCGGTCCGCAGAGATAAATCGCATTATCTGGCTGCTTCTCCTCTGGGGGCGAGGTGAGCAAAGTACCAGCCACAGCACCGATATCCTCCGGCGCGATGAAATCGTTGACAGCGTCGACACCGTACGATCTGATAACGCCAGCTTTGTACCCCTGCATGAAGAAGAGATTGGTGTTGAAGTATGCAGGACGCAGCGATACATAGTTGATCCCGCTTTCGCGAAGGTTGATCTCCATCTCTGCGTGCATCCTGGGAAGCATATCGCGTTTGATGGCTTCATCGGCGGTTGATTGGACCGCGTAGGCAGACAAAAAGACGACAAACTCTATTCCTGCCTTTTTGAGCGTTTCAAACGCGGATTTCATGCGGTCTTCCATGGACTCGACGGCGTAGACGAATGCGATTGTTGCTCCGGAGGTTTGCACGGCGGTTGTGAGGGAGGAAGGGATGGAGAGATCGGCTTGGATGCGCTGGAACCCCGCGGCTTGCTCGGCGGAGGCAGTGAGGCCTGGGATGGTTTTTTGCGTGTTGCGCATTGCGAGGAAGACTTTTGCGCCGTGGTCTGCGGCTGATTGCGCCGCCCAGCGACCGACTCCGCCTGCAGCGCCAAACACGAGGATGGTGTTGGACATTTTTGTCTTTCTACTTTGAATGAAGCTGGTGTAAATGATATATAGAGGAAGCTGAAGTGTGGTTTGATCGATGTCCTTCAAATGTGTTCAAAGGCAATCTTTATATACATGTCGATTTTATGTATCATGTCCGCATTGGGAAGAGAATCGGGCTTGACATTTCTCCGCGTTGCTCCGCCCTAATCATCAACGCGCCTTCGTCAAGGGTCGGTCAACGCCAGTCCCGAGGCTCCGCGATGCCATCTGCAGTTAGGTCAGACCGACCCACCAACGCTCTGCGGTGTTCCCATGCAGAGACGTTCCCACTTACTCTGATGAACACGACGATTGATTCGATGCTGTCATTCGTTGCCAAGAATTCAGTCGTGCGGGACTGGGTAGTTCGGCGTGATGATCGGCGTAAGTGTCAAGTTTTGGAGATCCTGATTGGGAGGTGTAGTTGTCATTGAATATGCATCTCATGGACTCAAAGGTGAAGCTGGATCTCCCGTCACGTGCTGTATTTGCCACGATGTGTGCTACAAATTACTATATTCCCTGCCATGTATATATTTCCATGAATCAATACGGCTGTTGTAAACAACTACTTTCGATCTTTAAAGCGATCTGTGGATTAGACACTATGCCATACACATTATCTAGAAGCAAAACCACGTCCCTATCCTCTTCCCCTTCGACTTCCAATCTTTTTCTTCAGGATCCATTTGATCTTTGGTATACACGTCCGTTTCAAGATCCATCTCATGCGCCTTGACAAACTTCGTCTTCTTGATCAGCTTCCATCCGATGATCATGAGAATGAAAACCGGGATTTCCACGTAATAGCTGACGAAATCGATAGGTGCGAATTCGGGGCTGAACGCGGTCCACCCTTGCACGAGAACGATGAATGAGTTCAGAACGACGCAGATGATAGGTCCCCATGGGTATGTCCAATTCTTAAATGGGAGGAGATGCTCTTTGCCTTGAGCCTTGAGTCCAGCTCTGAAGCGAAGAGACGCGATCCCGATGGATATCCAGCTCAATTGATTCGAAACGCCGACAATATTTTGGAGCCATGTCCATACTTGTCCGGATCCCGCGAAGGACAATGAGAAGAAGACGATCGAGAGCACACTGGTCGTGAGGACCGAAACCCAAGGAACGTGGTAACGAGTGAGTTTAGTGAAGACTTTGGGGGCGTGTCCGTTCGATCCGAGTGTGAAAAGCAGACGGGATCCAGCATAGAGAGCATGGTTACCGGCAGAAATTACGCTTGTGAGTATAACCGCATTTACAAATGATCCAGCAGCTTTGGACCCGGCCATTTGAAATGCAATGGTGAATGGCGATGTCTTGCTCGACTTGGTGCTGAGACCTGGGTAGTCGTAAGGGATGTTCAGGCCGATCAGGAGTGCCGAAAGGAGATAGAACAGCAAGATGCGCCAAAAAACATTCTTGACCACACGAGGAAGGGTCCGCGCCGGGTCCCGTGTTTCTCCAGCAGTGATCGCAATAGATTCCGTGCCGCCGTATGCAAACGATGCAGTGACGAAGACGGATGCGAAACCTCCAATTCCTCCTACGAATGGCGCGTCGCCAACAGTCCAGAATTTGCCGCCGATATATCCGTAACCTTGGTTCCCGCCTGCGTTCACGGCAATGCTCAAGATGATGAAGATGATGATAGTGACGACTTTGAGGAGGGAAAGCCAATACTCAAGCTCGCCATAAGCCTTGACGTTGATGATGTTGGCCAGCACGATCAAAACCCAGACGATGATACCTATTGCATGATTATGAGTTTTTGCTGCTAAATCACGTGGAATATGGCACTCACCTAACGCATACCAAGGAAAGGTATCGGTCCAGTATTGGACAAGCAACTGTAGAGCTACCAGGTCGGCGGCCGTAGAAACCACATCATTAAACCAGTAATTCCAGGTCAAGGCGAATCCGAAGGAATCATCAACGTAGCGCCCGGCGAAAGTGCAGAAAGATCCTGCGACGGGAACAAAGGCTGCCATTTCGCCAAGCGCAAGCATCGTCATGAAGACGATTCCCCCGACGATGGCATAGCAAATTAGCAGACTTGCAGGGCCTCCCGTCGCGAGAGATTTGCCGGTACCAAGAAAAAGTCCAGTGCCAATGGTACCTCCAATTGCGATCATTTGAACCTGGCGGGCAGATAGAGACCGTTTCAGGCGGTCCTCGTTGACCACATTGGAATGGGTGTGGTCCAATGACGCAGGCGGGCCATTATCGTAGGCGCCCTTCTCGGCGTCGTGCGAGGCGGACATGTTGAATGAGAGGCTGCGGCGGCGCTGGATGGAGTGTAGGAGACAAGCAACACCACGAGCGGTTGGCTGGTGAAAAGATTTCCATGGCGAAAGCTTGTCAGCGCAGCTGGCGGATGATTACAAGCGTTTCGTTCCTAGTGAAGAAGGTGGCACCCGCTGCATCGTTTCTGGACGTGGGAGGAGTTGAGGTGACAAACTCGATTGAGCACGCAATTTGCCTGGAATATGATTGGTTGTGCGTTTTAAGCGATCTATCAGGGGTCTGGCAACCGCTTCTGCCCTGTTTCGGCGAGAAGGAGGATTTTGGTGTGGATTGCCAGAGGAAAATCTCTGCAAGCTTTTGCAGAGGATCAATCTAGGTAGGCTGACAAACATGGAAAACTATAAACAGTACCAACTCATAGAAACAATGACACGTATTGGTAGCTCCAAAGTCTGACAGCTGATCCCGCGCTATCGAGAATTTGTGTCCAGCAGTAGAGTAGATCCATATACATGCCAAGTATAAGTTCAAAAACCGTTTACGATGATCAATGTACCCCACAAGGCCGCCAAAGAACATTGCAGATAAGTGGGACCCATAGCTATTCGCTAACACAATCTAGAATGTAAGCCTTCTAGAACAATGTCAACGTGTGCGCGAGTGATAACAGAGAGTTAGCCTCCATTCTACTATCATGCGCGTCAGTAGAGACCTGCCCTCCTTCAACATCTTTTCCCTCACATTGATAGTCACACCTTCCTGCATGCCGTTTGGGTGCGCTTTGAGGAAGTCCTAAACAACATTCAATGTTTGAGCTTTGCGTCTATCACGTGATAAGAATGGTGCATGCTGCACTCCACACCTGTTTCTGTCAGTCAAAAGCCATAATCTCTTTCTGCTCCTTAATTAATCCGTATAAGTTTCTATCTGATATCCCGCTTGACAGAATACGAGCATGGTCGTCTTCGATATCACCAGTTGACTGGACTTTCGAAGTCTCACTAACGCGTTCATGGTTAGCTCGTGCTGACATATCCCATGTGATTACATCAGCCGAGATCCGATATTCATACCACCGAAATAATTCCACGTAGCAATACACATGTGCATTGCTGCATTCCATCACCGTACTTCAATCACTTTGTACTCAAACGCATCTCGCATTGAACTGTTTCATATTCCTCAACCGAATGCCCTTGTGCATCTTACAACTCATAAAACGGACCTATAGGACTTAACGATAAGAAGCATACGTGGAGAAAAGCAGCGCTGGCATATTCAAACTCATCTTCTGCTGAATAGTAGAAGTCTTTCCCAGGGTTTAATAAGGCGTTTTAGGTTTCCGTTCGCTACCGAAATCGAATTAGAGTACCATCGAGCAGTATTGAGCAAATTGTTGAGCTAATTGGGGGTACGACATCAAGAGGACCTTGCTGGCTACCATACCTGACAAAGCATTCTGTTAGCAGGGTGACATTGGACTTCCAAGATGCGGAGCATAATGAAATCCTCAGTTGCTTTTGTTTCCTTCCTCTTCACCACATCAACTATTGCCTCAGACCAACAGCCTTTTCAATTCGAAGCTATGGCCGCCCCATCACACACTCTACCGGCTCTTCCATACGCCTACGATGTTTGTTTGCACTCTTCTTCATTCTTACAGGAACTTTATTGATCAAAATTCTAGGCACTCGAGCCTCACATCTCAGCTCAAATCATGGAGCTTCACCACTCTAAGCACCATCAAACATACGTTACCAATCTGAACGCAGCCATGAAAACCCAAGCCGAAGCAGTGCATACATCCGATATTCCAACTCAGGTCTCACTTCAAGCTGCCATAAAATTCAACGCCGGTGGTCATATCAACCACTCTCTGTTCTGGCAGAATCTCGCGCCCGCCAGCTCTCCCGAAGCAAAGCCATCTTCAGCGCCATCACTTGTTTCCCAGATCAAGTCAACTTGGGGTGATGAGGCCGCCTTCCGGGAGGCTTTCAAGGCAGCTCTATTGGGAATACAGGGCAGCGGTTGGGGATGGTTAGTAAAGGTCGAGACGGGCGCAGAACAGAGGCTCGCAATCGTGACGACTAAGGATCAGGATCCCGTGGTAGGCAAAGGCGAGGTCCCAATCTTCGGTGGTGCGTATTCCCAATGCAATTTTAACATGAAGACACTACGTGATATTACAATTAGACTTTAGTCTCCCGAAATCAGTTATTTTTGAATCATGCTAACTTGCTTGGCTTCAGTTGATATGTGGGAGCATGCGTATTACTTACAGGTAAGCTAATTCTCGGCGATTGAGGGATCCCTCGTTCTTCATCCAGCTTTTGGGGGCGTGTTGAAATGAGCAAGAACTTATCCTAACGCATAATTAGTACTTGAACGGCAAGGCCGCGTACGTGGAGAATATCTGGAATGTGATAAACTGGAAGACGGCTGAGGAGCGTTTTTTGGGTACGCGCGCAGATGTATTCAAGCTGCTGAAGACATCGATCTAAGCTGTTGTGCGCCCATCAAATTGTAGCATTCCTACTTTTTACGGTCATAAAGTTTAAGTACAATGATGGCTTGCACCCGCAGTTGTTTCGTGGTTGAGCACGGACCCACGACGATGCGCTATCAACATTGTACTCACTCAAATATGCTCAAATAGCTCAAAGCCGCAATACCGATTTGTTTCATCACCACTTTCTTGCTCGTGCCTTTTTGCAAACAATAAAGTATATGGTAGCTAGTTCAGCCCTCCTCAACATCCTCGCATCAATCGACATCCTCACTCTCGCTTCCACTTCTCCATATAGATCTCTCCGTATCAGTTTCTAGACTATAGCGCCCACAATGTGTAACGGACACTCAGCAAGAACGAGCCAAGGCGGTTCCATCGCAGTCCTTCGACCTTCTTCTCCCTCACAAAACCCATCTTCGGATTCCGAGATCAAAGTCCTCTTCTCAAATTCTTTTGCTACCTCACTCGACCAGCCAGGAACTCAAGTCCAGTTTCACGGACTGGAAACCAGCAATTCCCAGCCAAGTTACCATCACTGGCTTATTATACAGTATATCTTCACAGGACTCCACAAGCTCCAACACGATTTGCTAACACAGCCTCAGTCGCGATGGCAACCTCAACAATTCGACTAATCACTCTCTTCCTCCGGTCGATCCTTTCTTTTCATTCGCGCTTAACAGTCAGGATGATTCTGTCTTGCAACTGAACCGGACGCTGGATCTCGGTGTGGGTGAAACGGGAATCATTGGGCGGAGGATCTCAATGATGGCAGGAGAACAGAGAGGGGAAAGGGTCATTGCCGAGGGAATTATTGGTTGGAATTAGAGGGCATTTCTGAGTCCAGCATTTTCGACGGGCGTTTTGGTATGGTCATCTGGTGTTTGCGTGTCTTGCTTTTTGTATTGGTGTCTGAGATTGCACTACCACGAGTACGGTAATAGTTCTCCCACAATATGCATTCGAGTCGGTTTTTCCTCTAGAATTGCAAAGTAATATCAACAACAAGGGCATTGGTTATTGCAACCGAGCTGAACCTTTTGTTTGCTGCAATGAATTCGGGTATAAGGCGGATGAGCCGAAACGCTAGTGGGAATAGTGGACGTCTAAAAATACTTGGTCGGTCCTGATCAGGCAATGGCGTTCACGCTAAGACGTCACATATATTACCTGATGCTACTCCATGCAGTGGAAGGATTGGACGCTGGTGGTTAACAAGAGCGCACGGAGAACAAAGTTGTCAGACTGCTCTGACGCCTTAGAGGAATCATTGGAGTATGCGAGTCGGAACAGTAACACAAAAGAACGATCTATAAGCACATAAACAAAAATACAAATCAGGTTATATACTTCAAAATTTCCCATATTATCAGCCAAAGAACATATTTTATATCAATTACACACCCTAGTACAGTTTTTCCATCTTGTAAATGTCCTTCTCACTGCATTAAAGTTTTAGGAAGGCTCATACAAACCGGAATGTACGTCATGATTATCCTGTACAGGACCTTTCCCGTAGCCAACAAATACTATGAGACAATCTAGTCAGCAATGGAAGCATACGTATGTAGATCCTTCATGAATCTCGATACACAAAGGAAGAATCGTGATTGGGTGGGCAATTATGCCATCAAGTCAACTGTTAGGGGCGGAATGATGATCATCTTCAAACCTTAATCTGTTCTGGCTTTTCTCAGTCTTCTCGTGTAAGCGCTCACTATTGCTTGCTATATCCAGCGACCGTGCAACATTTCTTCCCGATCGAGTTAGACAGTAAGAAAACTGCTTCAATGATCATAGGATTCGTGAACTGGGTGTGTTGTGGATTTCGTCTAGCATTCAGAATATAGCCCGAATACGGAAGTATCCTGATGTATATGGAAACATATAGTTATTGCGAAACAAAGTTGATATCTCAGAACTCCATTCATTGCAGCTGCAATAATCATTTTGAACCACCTCTATTATATGCGACCATGTGACATACACCGTTGATGACGGTTCCATATTTTTGTATGGTGCACGCCCATCGCTTATTTCCCCACAATCCTTCCTCGTAAAAGATTCTCTATTCTGTCCTTCCATCCTAGGGTTATGGACATGCGGGCCATGGAATTTTGTAATGCGCCAGTCCATTGTTGTTCACCTTAAATCCTTCATCGTAAAATATACTTAATCTTGTCACCTGTTCTGGGATTGCAAAGGTCGCATCCCAGGTAACTACAGGGAAGTGAATCATCGGGCTCCTACGGTTGAGCAGAACTGGCTTTTTACTACCAAACACAGTGAAAGCTGAACACTAGAATCGTTAGTCTCTTGAACTGTCATGATTCCAAGTGTGATCGCCCTGTAGCCATGCCCCATTGTCTGAAATTCTCGGCCTTGGCCATATTATACGAGAGGACTCCATACCAAATTTCGTCATTTACTCATACCAAGCAAAATTTCATGGTGAATGCCAATTTTCATCAGCTTACGGGGTCAGGAGTATAACTAACAGCAGTTGCTGCTTCCAAAGAGCTCATTCTCCTCACCCACCCTCACACAATCTTGCCTCAACGCTCAATTTCCTGATAGCAACATGAAGTTCCCTGCCACTGCCGCCATCAGTGCCCTTGCTGTACTAGCCGGCGCCTATATAGTTCGCGCAAACTCGTTCGAGAGCGGCGTATGTACTCATAGCCTCCCCAAGCACATACAAAGCTAACATCCAATCCCAGGATTGTGCACCACCTGGAACGTTTCAAGGAGGAGATAAATTTGGCAATTGCATTGGTGAAAGCAAGGCTATGAACTGCAGTGAAGCTGAACCAGTAAGTAATTTTGCTTTCCAAGACCAAGAAGAAAGAAACTGATATTCTAGTGTCAAAACATTGGAGACTTTTGCGGATGGGAGGTGGATGATAATGGCGACCTTGTTGGTGACGGCGCTGATTGCAGTAGTTAGAGAGTAGCTACCATGATGCTGGGGCCGATGACTCCGGGTCATGATTGGCTCGAAGGGTTTATCCTGCGCACCCATTCCAAAGGATGTGTATGCTAGTCACTCATTGAATTTAATCACCATTTGAATGAGATCATATTGACAACCGGTTGTTATTTCGATATTAGTGATCTCATAGTAGCAGTATGTGATCAAACCATTCTCATTCATCTCTAATACAGCAACCAAATAACATTGTTTACTTTTCAGCAGATTTTAGCATGTGCACAAATCTCTTCTTCAACCCTAAGATCTGTCCTTTCTTTGGACCATCAGCTATATCTTCTAGCGATCGATTATCATAGCTGGAGAACTGCTTGATACTTGCGGCGGAATTATCGACAGGGTCTTGAACTTCTGGGATCCATATCCAAGCCACCAATGCTCCAATCAACATCAATGGCGCAAAGAAGAAGAGCACTCCAGCCAGAGGTTCTTTCTTCGGCCCCCCTACCCCTAAGCCCCATAGTGCGATCTGCACGAGAATCGCTCCAAGCTTTCCACTAGCTGCTGCAATACCATAACAAGTACCTCGGTTTCGCGTTTCGAAGAGCTCCGCAGGTAACATGAAAGTAATGGTATTGGGTCCGACATTGATGAGGAACATCGATATGGCATAGAATACTATCGTTACCCCATGATCTTTTGTCTCGTACACCCTGAAGAGACTGCTTCCAACAACGGTAAAAATTGCAGCCAGGAAGACAAATGTAGTCACCATAAAGCGTACACGGGGGACACGGTTAACAAATAGCAATATCACAAAACACCCAACTATCGAAGCAGGGACGGTGGTGTATAAAGCATGTCTGAAATTCGTCTCGAGAACCTGATATATGGCTTGATTTCTCTCCTTGGGTAAGGGGAGAAGATTGCTGTTCCAGTCAAATGGAGGGTTGGGAGACGAGGGCTCCTCCTTCTCTTGTTTCTTCTGGCGCCATATGTTTCCAAGAAGCTGTGGATTGTCTAGCCCGAGGCCGTAGTAGGCAATGTCGAGTAGAAACCAACAAATCGATACAGCTACGAGTATGGAGCCCGAAGGGCCACGCATGAAACTTTTGATGTCGGAAGATGACCTCTGGAGCCATTGTACGAAAGATTCCTTATGATTGGGGCGGTTCGCCTCTCCGGAGTCTCCAGAAAACTGGCCGGTGGTTTTGATACGATCTTTGCGTATCCGAGAGGTGGGAATATGCGAGGGCTCGGCAAAATCCCTATCTTCGGTGTATTGGGGTACGTTGTTGTTTGAGACTTCAATCTCTTCCCGTAAGGGAGATGACGGATCGTCAGGTTTTTGGGCCCGATGATCATCCTGTGCTATTTTAGTGGTATTGGTGGAACTTTCCGCGAACATGGTCAATTCCACATCAGTTGTCGAACCTGGTTTGGATCCAGAGTATACTTCATTCGTTGATTGCAATGCTGCCGATGGATTTTGTTCGATCTCTAATAGCCATCGAGGAGTCTCAGGTATCGTCAATCGTCCAATAATAGCAAGTAGGGCGGGCACCGCTCCGAGACCGACCACAAGACGCCACACTTGGTCGATGACCCGAGAAGCTGCATCGTGATCGGTTCCATCATGGAGTAATGGTGGTTTGTGACGAGCACTAATACTCCATAAAGCAAGCAAACCCACACCATGCGCGGCCAGCTGTGCTAGGGGCTGAGTCATAAATACAGCAACCAACATTCTTCCTCGATGGCTGGTTGCGGACCATTCTGAGGCGATGAGAGCTGATAGAGGATATTCTGCACCCACTCCGATCCCCAACAGGGTCCTCCAGAAGACTATCCAGGGATAAATGCTCATCGAGCTGTCGTTGTACCCTTCAGATGCTTGCGTGAGACCCAGTGTGGCGACGATGACGATGACGAGCTCAACTCCATACAGCTTTTTCCTCCCAAAACAGTCGGCAAGGTAACCGAAGATAATCATACCCGCGCAGGTACCGACGAGGGTTGCAATGTTGATGCCGAGGCTTTGATCACCTCTAGTCGCTGTGGGCCAATAGACGTATGCCCACGCTGGAGCGATGACATTTGTGCTGAAGATGGTATAGGCCCCGGTGAAAAATCCTGAAGCAGACACGAACCAAATCCGTTTGCTGAAATGGCTGGCTTCCACTATCTTGAGAACAAATTTGGGGATATCGTCGAAGTCGCGCTTTTCGATGCGAAGATGTGGATATGCATCAGATACGTCCACATCTTTCCATAGCTGCCGTAGTCTCCCGATAGAGCTCATTATGGTGGATCGAGGAAGAAGGGAAATTGGTAATGCAAGCCATGGAGTTGATAACAAGACATAATTGCAGATATGAGGGAGGCTGTGTCAGGAAAGAAGGCTGAGGTTCGGGTGACGACGCAATCTATAAGGCAATACGAGGAAGCGCTTAGAAAGCCGGGGTTGATTATTGCAGAGCTTGTATACGGGGCGGGATCAAGCACGTGGAGTATATCATTGGCTGAGGGTGATATCGACCATCTGGCCGCTCGATCACGGTGATAGATGGGTGCCTGGTCATTTCGAGTTTTTATGGCGAGCAAAAGACGATCGATCTTCCATCTTCGAAACGTGATTATCTTTGCGAAGAGCCCGTTTACACATTAAGTTGGACCGTTAAGCGTGGGTGGTGCTTCATACTATAGACTATACCTAGCCGAAACGAACCAATGGAGCAGCCATCGAACGAGCAGATACTCCATGAACAGGGATTGGCGCCTCGGCTGTAAGTTTCACCTTAACCGATCTAATCAAGCTACCGTACCCTACTGAGTCGCGAAATCAGTGAGCTTCTCACCAACGGGGTGCCCAGCTCCAGCTTTACACTGTACAGCTTCCAGGTCTGTGAAGAGCGACATGAGCGTGTCATTAGTTGGTTTGACCAGAGTAACAACCTGCTTATCAAGCACCTTGTTCCTCGCGGGAAAGTGCCGTATACCAAGAATACCAACGACTTCATGGTCACCTATCGTGACATGAGAACGAACATTGGTCGTGTTCACGAACAAGTCGTGATATTCCACGGGTTCGAGTTCCCCGCCACACCTAGTAGGACTCGCATGCTCATACCTCGCTATTACTTCTCGACTGAACAACAGAGCGTTCGGTTCCAATGCGCAGCACGTCAAAGGCAGCTGTTGCAAACATTCGAAACAGACAGTATAAGAGCACATGGATACGTTTCACATGGTCAGCAACTAAAAGTGTGGCAAAAGTCTAATGAGCCCACCGTCACCTTCACCTTCTTTGCACATCGATCCGTTGAGCCTGTAGCCCATTATGAGTTTGATCTTCTATGGTTTCGTCGAGAGGTGCGATGTTCAGGGGCCAAAGTGCTGATTCTTACCTTCTATACTCGAAGCGACGAGAGAAGCAAGTCTGTGGACAGCGGGATAGGAAAATTATTCTCTTTGTGGGGGGGTCAATCGACAAATCAGATGCAGAGTGATGGTCATTCCCGTCGCCCTTCTTTCAATTTGAGGCACCCAAATAGCGCTTCGAGGGACTTTCTACTTCCTGGGGGTGAGAGGGTAGTTACTGAAAATCTCACGTACCTCGATTGGAAAAGACTTCACATTGAGTTTATGGATGAGAATGGTAAGAGCCGCAAAACCTCCATCACCCTCCTGCTTATGGTTCCATAGACGTAAGCCGTTTCATAGATATCTGCCATGACCCAGACATAGCACCTGGTCCCCAAATGGCCCCCGAATCTTTATGGAAGGTCAGTCCAGGATCGGATGACACGTTCCATCTGCTCCAGCCCGTTGCTGGTGCTTTGATCTCAACACGAAGACCTCCATTCAGGAGTCCCGCAGACCCTGATGAGGAGGATGCAGCTTTGTAAGTCGCGTTTATTACTACAAGACTACAATGAATCTAATTGCTACAGCGGCCAAGCACAAGACTGGCTAGAGCGCCTTCACGGGATCAAAGGTCAATTGTTTCATGGCCCACTCGACGATGGTGTTCCGCCCGTCAAAATCTGCGTTCTTGACACGGGTATAGACAGCAAAAATCCATATCTTGCGGCTTGGAAAAAGAAGTCTCAATCTACCGAAAGATATCGCAACTTCTTAGAGGATTCTACTGTCGCGGAAGATCTATCTACTGAGCCGTACAGCGAGGCCTACGTCGCTCAAACTGTTTCTCGAGTGCGAAAAAGACCGCGCGATTCACCACAAGATAATACAGGACACGGCACTCATGTGTCGGGGATCATAGTGGAGCTCTGTCCCGAAGCAAATTTGTTTGTCGGGAGGGTCCTCGACGAGAACGTGACGGAGGAAGAGAATGAAACAAGTGCAGCTGCTAGGAGACTCGCTCTGGTATGTTGGCACCACTGTGATGCAAAGATTCACTAACAACCCGCAAGGCGCTTCTATACGCAACTGATGTATGGAAGGTTAAAATCATATCCTTGTCTATCGGCTTTCGGAAAGCACTTCTCAGTGAGCAAGATAAGATGATCCTTCGAAACGCCATCAGATACGCCACGAGCAAAGAAGTGCTCATCTTTGCAGCAGCATCGAATGACGGCAACCGAGACCGTATATTATTCCCCGCTAGTGAGCCTGAGCCCTTTTGTATTAATTCCTCTAACGGAAATGGCCACGCATCCGCATTCAACCCACCGCGCCAGGAATACGACGAGAACTTCAGCATTCTCGGGGAAGGCGTAAGATCTACTTGGCTCCAGGAGATGAAGGACTTGAGTCCGGGCGAAATCATGCAGCCATCATTGAAAGTACGACGAGGCACATCTGTCGCTACACCCATAGCGGCATGTGTCTCGATCATCATCATCCATTTTGGTCGTCAATGGGAGCCGATTGGACATGAGAAACTCGAAACACGACGAGGCATAAGATGTATCTTAAGAAGTATGGTCCCACACAGAAATATTGAGAAGTTCTATGATATTGTACCCTGGCTGGGTGTATTTGAACTGCTAACCACTCGGGATCAGAAGGATCCTGTGGAGGCGGCAAAAACCCGGATTGAGGAAAGGCTGGAAGCCGCTTATTGAAAGCAATACATGGTCAATAAAACTCGTAAGAAAGATTTTCAGGCACCTGTAGAAGGCAGTCTTCTTCGTCCTGGTCATCGCGCACCCTCTTTGGCGAAAATTCTTCGACGTCATAACCAGCAGAGCCATAGTCCTTCCCTGATTGCTCAACCGATTGGATTTGGAGATTTTGAGCGGGCCCTTGAGACGTTGTCCTGGGGGTTTCGTATGCGGCTTTGCTAGCCTTCGGGCCTTCATCATGGGCCACGGTTGCGCCTTTTACGTAGTCGTTACTCTTGGCCACAGTCTGCCTCTTAATAATGATTCTCCTCAGCCGGTATGCAAATACAAAATCCGAAGAGCCAGAGAACCACGTAGATTCTCCCTTTTCACGTCCAGCACCCACAAGCGGCCCTCCGGAAAGCGGTACTCCAATGAAAGGTGTCGCCTCGATAGCTGGCTTCAGATCAAAATCAATGCCGCGTGCACGAGCCCGCAAATGACTTGCACCACGCGCAATCTTCAATCCTGTGATCATGTATACGCTCTTTCGCGGGTTCATCTTTATCCAGTCCGCAACTGCTTCTCTCTCTTTCCCGATTACGCTCCTTTCTACATAATCTGCTTCTGGCTCGAAGAAAGTGGTTTCCAACTCATCGAACTGGAACACTTCACTGTTCTTGCGTGACCAAGCGACGATTGCATCGCCTCCAACCCCGAGAATCATGGCTGCAAATTGCGCCCATATGCCGATGCGTTGCTCGTGTTCGCGGTAGACTTCGGTGCCCCAGTCTGTTTTGGAAGACGTTTGGATCTGGTATTTCGCGACGGGAAGACGTTCGGCGATTTTCTCCCATGGCTTGCTTGGATTGGTGATGATTTGGCCAAGTTGGATTGAATTATCGGGAGGATAATCGAAGCTAGATAACGCGAAGTATGTTTTGTGTGCCATTTGTTTGTTGATGCTGTTAGGGATACTGTAGACGATGATACGGTGGATAGTAGTGCAGATAAGTGGCTATGGTTCGGTGAGAGCTGGTTGTCGACACGAGTCGATCAGTCTACATATATCGGTTTTGGGAGACTCTCAGGCATGCACCATCACTTCAGCCTACGTTTTCTTGGTCCACTCGATCCCTGCAAGTCGCGCACGAGGTGTGGCGCCTCAATCGCACTGCCACGTTCTCGTAACACTCGAGGCGATTGCGTGTCAGAGACAGCATAGCCGCATGTTGTCATTAGGACCATCGTAGACCCAAGCAATACCAAGCTCTCTCGAATGACGTAAGATATTAGTCTATTTTCTTCCGATCAGGCATATACATTTGAAAACCCAGAAAAGTGCGGTACAACGTAAACTAGATAACGTCACGTGACTGTACCACCTACATGTGATTACGGGTAGTCGAATACATGTTATGGATCAGAATCGGTCTCCATATACGATATACTATTTTTGACGAATTTCAGCGCTGTATCCCTGAGAGCTTTGCTGATATGTTGATGAGCATCAATCATCGAGTACTAGAGATACACGTACATGTTCATATGTTCATTTCAGAGCTTCTGCAAATTCCTAAGCCATGCAGTTAGAGGGATAGCCATCTTCGGGTTATCAAGAATGGTCGGTATTCTCTTCGAATCGATCATAGTCACACGTCTGGCTTCCAGATATGCGGCAAACAAGAAACGTTGTAATCCATACGGCAGGATTCCAGAAGCTGTGAATGAGATTGTGGTTCGAGTAGTATATTGGAGGGTAGGACGTCAGGTTTCACTTCTGGTTCCCGGTTCTTTGTGCTCGTAGATCACTTTCTTCATGTTGGAAGTAATGATTGCAATCTGATAGATCGCATTAAATTTCTTATGGATGCAAAGAGTGATCTTTAACAGAGCGGCATCTTATCTTTCAACCCCACCGCTTGGCGCCCCACCGCTTGGCATTGTACAGCTTACCCACATTGATTCACCACTGGACGTCATTCCACAGTGTCCCCCTCCCCGATTCATCGCCTTGATTTGGTAATGTTCGATAGTCTGGAGTGACGTTGATTTAGCTCGCTCCTGCGCAGTAGTACAGCGGCATTCGACCTTCCTAATTCATGTCTTTGTTCATCCCTCTAGCGCCGATAAAGACAGCATTCTGCTCCTACGCTGCAATCCGAGAAGATGGGATTCCAACATGACTCGACAATCGCGCATACATTCTGGTTATTGAACGGAAGGGGAGATAAGCAATACATGGGGTAATATCCCAATTGATATAAAGATGAGGTCTGCGGTCTTTGTGCACGCTCCCACTCTAGTGTTCGCTCTATAGGTCCTGGGAGGTCGTTCGTCACAAAAATAGATTCTGTAATGCCCACAATGCGATTCTATCGTTTCGCGATCGCTGCGTTAGTAGCTTTTTCGGAAGCTACTTCTCCAGCTCTTCTCCATCAAAACACAGCTCGACAAAATGTCACGACATCAAGCCAACGACTGGGTCTTCAATGGCTCGGAGGGAATAGTACTCTACCAAAAGTCTTGTAAGTTCATCAACTCATCACCGCTTACAACGACAAGTACTTATAAACTGACCATCGGCCCATCACAGAGTCCTTTTTACTGGAGGCACCATCTCCGGAGGATCGATCTACGGAGCCCTGGACGACACTCAATACGGCCAGCTTAGCATCAATGGAGAGCAAATCATTGCGCGAAACCCATATCTTCTGAATCACACGCAACTTGCAGTATCAAATTGGACATCGGAAGATTTCTCTACTGGCACCAATGACGCTCTCGTAATGAACATGACCCGCTTTGCGCACGATGCTTTGTGTTCGGAGGACAGTGACATCGACGGGGCAATTTTCACGCACGGCACGAATTCGCTCGAGGAAACAGCTTTCCTCATGGATCTCCTTGTCAACTGCGGCAAGCCAATCGTAGGGATTGGATCGATGCGGCCGTGGACCCATCTCAGCTTCGACGGCGATGCCAATTTTTTCGATGCAGTCATGCTCGCTGCGAGTCCTGAATCCCGGAATCGCGGTGTTCTTGTTGCTTTCAACGCGCGGATTCTTTCCGGCTTCTGGGTCACGAAACTGCACTCGACGAATCCGGACGCTTTTTGGAGCACTGCGGGAGGTGATTTGGGGATCTTTATTAACAGCTTGCCCGTATTCTTCAATTCTCCGTCACAGCCACTTCATAAACACGTATTTTCTATCGATCAAGTGTCGACTCACTCGACTTATCCCTCTCTTCCAAAAGTCGACATTCTCTACGCGGCACGGGGGTTTGATGGGAAACTAGTTCTTGATGCCCATGCTAATGGCGCTGATGGCGTGGTTATTGCCGGGACTGGAAATGGTGGGATTCCAAGCGGGAGCGACGAGATCAAGGAAGCGCTTGACCAGGGTTTGCAGGTCGTGGTAGGGACGAGAAGCCCGTATGGCCCGAGTTCGCCCGCAAGGACACCTTCATATGCAAAGAGTGGTTTCTTGCATGTTATACAGGCGCGCATACAGCTACAGCTGGCGATTGCTAGCGGAATGGGTATGAATCAGACAATTGATCTGTTTGAGGGCAAGTTTAGAACAGCTATCGGGCAGGAGTGGACGCCGAAGCAGTAACCATATGATCTCTGCGGATGAGTTGATGAATGAACGAAAATATTGACCAATGACAGACGCCCTTTATGCTTGAAACTGAACTGTGTACACGGTCTATCCCCATCAACAGGCAACAACTTCAGAAACTCTAGACTTTTCCCCCCCATCATCCAATGAGTCGATTTGGATTGTTGAGTTGTGGTGTTGAGGTCTTTACCTAATCCGCACTTAGCTATTTAGAATAATAACTTATTAGTTTTGTGAACTACAGAACATATGTTGTCCTGCTAGGAGCTTAAAGGCAGATTTATTATGTAATTTTTTAATACCTAGTGTTTGTGCCGCATGGAAATGCGATGATTAAATTATAAACTTAATAAACTTAGTACACGGTCTATCAAGCTGTCATACCTAGCCTTTGCTTAATATGCCAAGATAACCTTGGGCTAGACAAGATAGCTTTCATTGAAGCTTACAATCGGAAAAACAGCTATTGCTTCTGCTCACTTCTCTCAGCATTCTTCAAAACCTCGCCATTGCTGTCCACCTTCCTCCCAGGACCCCTTCTCAACATTCTCGTCTCACCCACTGGCTCAAATCCCCAATTGAGATAAACACCGCGTGCTGTCGGAGCACTCTCGAGCCACAATGGCATGATAGGGTCCGCCTTGTCTGCCTGGTCAATTGCCCACCTCAACAGCCTACTTCCTACCCCTTTGCCCTGCCATTCTGGGAATATCAAAAGCGGCGCGAGATACCAATGTTTTTCGTCGCCGAGAAATCCTTTTCGCGCCTCATCATGGCGCGCCATCTCGCCATCCCACGCTTCGAAGTCGATTCCAACCCACAAGTCTTCTACATCCGCGTCGGTCCAATTCATCAATGTTTTCCAGTCGTAGTAGTCGACAGCAGTCCGCCGCCAACAGTTGTGGACGGGATTACCTGGAGCCCACCATCCAGCAATACCTATAATGGTGGAGGAGGGGACGTGGATTGCTTTCACCCAGTCCACATGCACTTTTGGGTCACGAAAGGTTGGGAGAAGGCGCTGCGCGAGACGAGCTTTGCGTTCTTCTAGAGGGGGAAGAGTTGGTGATGGTGGCTGCTTCCTATCCCACCAAGCTTGTGGGAGGAGGTCGTAAATGGCTGATGCCTGTTGGGGTCGAATTGGTCAGCTGGCTTCATGCACGTTCATGGAGACGTGTCACGTTGTATCACGTGAAAAGTGTATCTTGAGTTCCAAGGTCCAAGTTGCCGTTGTTGATCTCTACCGATGATCAAGGATCGTACGATAGTCCACTTGTGACGTTTTAAACAATGAAACACGACACCCAAGCTTTACAAGCTCGCTAAGCTACGGGGATAGTGGGAAACGAAGTATTGGCGACGTACAATTGTGTTGACGTCTTCTTCGACGCAGAGTTGGAGGCGCACTTCTGATTCAGAGAGGCGTTTATCTGGTTCAGTAGGTAGTGTCTGCCACCCCACTTCCGTGTGCACCTTGATAAATTCGGCCTTGTATGCGGTCATCTTCGTCCTCTTTTGTTATTCCGTGTATCTGCTGATTTCAAGGATAGTCGGTGGAAAGTAGTTGGAGGAAGAGCGTTCTCAGGACAGGCATATGTACTGATGTGTAAGATCATCTGCCTCGCACATCTCGCATCTTGTACTAAAAGATAACATGTGGGGAAGGAATGAAGCTAGACCGGGATATAGGCGCTTGTAAGCTAAAAGAGCGGTGGGACAATCCGGAGAATGGATAGGCTTTCTCTCTGTGTAGAACTGCACTTCTCATCGGCTCTTAATAAGCTTAGCTGAACAATTTACAGGCTGTTTTTCAATGTCGAAGTGAAGCAAGGAATATTCTATAGCATGCAGGAATTCGTGCACAGGTACTAATGCTATGTGTAGCGTTGGATTGGAATGCGGGGGGTTTGAAGTTGTGCTCCGCTGGTTGACGAGCGTTCGTAAGCTTTAACCCTTTTAGGTCTGGGGAGCAATGTACAAAAATTGATTCTTGTTTGTTGAACATGATCAACCTCTTCATAGTTGAAACATTACGGGTATAATTACACGGCCATATTCAACTCACTTATACTTCAAGGTAAAACTGCCTATTTCACTATTCCGAACGAAAGGAACACCCATCAAATGATATTCAAGTTGCTTCCTTCCGCTAGGTGCAACACGAAACATTCGATAATGCTCAATCGAACACTGTCACTTCATGGCTCACGTGTTACGTTGTTCCTCAAACATCTGGTATTTCGTTTGTTTCATCATATGCATCCTGCTTAATGTCTTTTGATGATGTCCGACGCCTTCTCGGCGACGGCGTAAACCGTTGACATGATGTTGTTGCGAGGGATCAAAGGGAACAAACTAGCATCGGCGATACGCAGGTTGTTAGTACCATAGACCTTGAGTTCCTGATCAACTACACCGCCCTTATCCCTGGGTAACATGGGCGCTGAACCGCATCCGTGGTAGGTTGTCAGCGCGGTGTCGAGAAGATACTTCTTGGCGCCCTCGAGGTCCTTGATGTTGAAAGCGTCCGGATGATTCCGCTTTCCATCAGGCTTGAAGTACTTAGCAAGCTCTGGAGTGTTCCTCAGCGTCTCCATGGTTTGTACATGGCGCGCCATCAGTTCGAGATCGATTGGATGCGAGAAGTAGTTCGGGTCGATGTTTGGCGTGGCATCGACATCTGTGGACGAAATGTGAGTCCAACCACGCGAGAAAGGGTGATTCTGCGCGCATCCTAGACTGGCGAAATTCTCTGGCAGTAGTTGCGTACCGACAAAGCTCTTGCCGTGCTCGTGAAGGTTGGCCTGGGCTAGAAACATAAACCAGGCACCGGAGCCTTCTTCGGGACTCTCGACGATGGAGCGAACGAGGTTGTAGTATTCGGCTTCTCGGCTGTCCTTTGGTGCGTACTTGTCGAAGAGCTCTTTCTGAGCCTTCTGGCCAGCGGCATCGGCGAACTCAAGCACTGGCATGAAAGCATGGGATTGCACTCCGCCCATGGTGAAGGAACCAGCTTTGTGCTCGGCATACAGCTTCTGGGCCTGTTGCAGAGCTTCGGGTTCTTGTCGCATTAGCGGATCGCCAGTGATGACTCCGTCGACAACCTCGAAGCTGACTCCAGTCATGAGATGATCTTGTAGGTTCTCGCCGACACCAGGATTGTTGATAATAGTCTCAATGCCATGCTCCTTGAGAATGGACTCGTTGCCGATGCCGGAAAGCTCAAGAAGCTTGGGCGTGTTGAAGACTCCTGCTGATAGGATGACTTCCCTGCTTGCGGGGAAGGTCTTGGACTGACCGCCGATAATGGCCTGTACCCCTGTCGCCGTGACGCCGTTGGGTCCTTTGCTAAATAAAAGCTTCTGCACGGTCGCGCCAGTGACGAGATGAAAGTTGGGTCTCTGTAGTGCGGGAATGCCATAGGCCGTAGCAGAGTAGCTGCGGGTCTTGGTTCTTGTATCAATTGTGGCGGCATTGCTGTAACCACCGATTGACTTTCCGGAGAATGGATCACTAGTTGCGTTGTAATTCATTGCCTTGAAGGCATCAATCCAGGCCTTGATCATTGGATTTTGAAGCACACCGGGAAACGAAGCCTGGACTGGGCCGTTGGTACCACGAGTCTCGTCGTCGAGCCAGTCAATTCCTAGGTGGTCGAGAGTCTCCTTGTCCGGTGGTGGAGTCAGTGTGTAGAATTTCTTGTAGTATGGCAAGAGCGAGGCCCAGTCCCACTCTGGGTTTCCCAGCTTGGCCCAGGCGTCGATGTCGGCCTTTGAGGGAGCGATAAAGGCTTGACCGTTGATGGCGGATGAACCGCCGAGCAGCTTTCCCTGCGGTTGCTTGACTTGACGTCCGTTGAGAGTTGGCTGGAGGCACGATGTCAACACAATCTCGACGTGATAATGGAGAGATGTTGTTACCTGTGGAGTGGTCTGATACTGGAAGTCTGCTTCCGAGCCCATCAGAGTGGTGAACAGGGCCGGGATGTTCACGCGTGGATCTTGGGCATGATCTTGACCAGCTTCAAGCACGAGAACGTGGACGTTGGGGTCCTCGGACAGCCGATTAGCGACAACGAGACCTGCAGTGCCACCGCCGATGACAATGTAGTCGGCTGACGAGACGTTGCCGTCGGATGCCATGATTGTGTGAGAGTCGTTGGGTAAGTGAAAAAAGGAGTGGTTTGCCGCCGCTTCGGCCCCCCATGGCACAAACGAAGTGTTTTATATGTTCTTCCTTCATCTTGAAATCACACAGTTGGCGTGAGCGCTGCAAGAGCACGGCTGCATGATTGCGCTGTTGCCACCGTCCACTAGGCGCCGAATTAAGTCAATGGAGAACGAGAATGATGGCATGGTAAGCACTTGAGGTTGCGCACGCTATGTCGACACTAGCCGTCTTGGCACACGGCTCCAACCAGCATTTTTCCCATCGGCCGTGACAATCTCGTCGGCGACCAACACCGCTCGATACAGTACGATTCCAGAATCCCAAATGTTGCTGTGGATATGCAGTGCGCGACATCTGTGCGTACATGGTCCTAGTTTGGCTCCCTCGTGCGGATCTAACGCATATGTACCGTAGAGCCACACTTACCATCAATTAATGTGACTGTGCTGCGAGTATGGCGGACAACGATTGCAAAAGAGCCAAAACAGTTCATGCAGGCTTCAACGAAGATGGATCCCAGAGACACTACTCTCAAAAGACTCACTTTCATTGAAACTGTGCTTCAAACGCGGTGGAAAAAAAAAAAAAAAAAAAAAAAAAGTCTGTTGTGCTCTCGCAAACTACACGCATCAATTGATATCTACACAAGATTGCCAGTTTCTTTCTCCTATCAGCGTACACGGATTTCAACCTGAGCTCTGTAGAAAAGAAACGCTTTTACTAATATAATCTGAGCACTTGCAAATTCATAGCGAGGGTGTCATCAAAACCGGCCGACAACCTTTATGATGAGTCAGGTTGCAGCACTACTCGTAGGCTGGGGGATTCTCAACAAGCGCGTATTTGCTCTCTGTGAGTCTTCCCCTCGTAGGTGATCCATTCCTGCTTGCCATTCGCCGCGCCTGGTGGCTAGGTATGTCGGCTTCTTGGCCTGGCATCAGCCTACCCGGATGGTAGATATTCAGGAGGACTAGTCCCACAAACATGGGAAGAGAATCTAGAACGTATTCATAGGCCTCGTTGTTGGAGATGTCGGACTTGAAACCTTGACTGTACTGAACCAGGCGAAATACAATCCGTATCGTTATGAGCACGATGATAATGTACTCGACGAATATTAGAATAGTCGCACGGCGCTTCGCTTCGACTTCCTGGATGGAACGCAATCGTTTGTGCAAGAGGGCAGCGCACGTGAGGAATCCGAGAATGCAAAGCTGTTGGAACCCACACCCTCCCATATAGATATCCAGGCCGACAGAGCCAAGATTTCCGCCCTTGATTGAGGACGAGGCCGCGACGATAGCCCCAATGACTTGCACGAAGAAGGCAATGATATCCAATACCACAAAGAGCCTGCCGAATGACCATGCTTTGATATTAAGTAATGCGGCGTCCATCTAGAACACCGATTTTCAAAAACGAAACTTCTAGTAAGACTTAGAGGACCATGATAAAATGTTCAAAACTTTTTAGTTGCATATGTATAAACAACTAACCCTTCTTGATTCACCTCGGCTGGTTCTTACAGTAAGAATAACGTTGGGACGTTGTGCAACACATTCCTGTTGCGAAACAAGTTTGGCACGAATACGAGCTCACCGAACAAGGCTTCCTCATTCGCCGCTTTCCCTGTCGCATACGATTCAAGTAGCTTTTCTCGTTGCCCCGCCCAGCCCATCTCCGGCATACAAACAAAATGATAGCCTTACATTCCATATGATCGCGCCGTAAGCAGACCTCTACTGATGTACGTTTTCCCTCGTGATAAGGTTTTTTCATATGGGTTAATAGATATCTTCGCTACGCAACAATGGTAACCTCTGCATTCGATGATGATTGCGCATGGCACCGACCCCTCTTCCACATCCTCTCCATGACCTCTTTTAAATGGGAGCCCGACAACATCTACACGGTAGCACAAAATTCCCACAATATGCAGCCGTATCCTATACCTGGGGCGGATGCCATATCACCGACCCAGTAGGACATCTTGGATGAGGATCGCCAAATTGTCATTTTGATCATCGACCCCGATACCAGTAGATTCAACATGAAGTTCTGCTATTATATTCCAATTGAACCTGCTTATTCCAATCTCAAATTACATTCTTGCCAGTTGACTGTGGCGATGCCATTCGAACCGCTGTCAACGTCTTCCCAAAGACAAAAGCCAACCCTAGAGTACCGTGATGGATCGCCAGTGGCATTTTGCCGAAGAATTAGGCCAGCAAAAGACCTGGTAACGCGTCCTCTTTTAATGCCTTTGTAAGATCCCAGTAAGCCTACAACCAAACTACTCGGAATAGCCTCGATCAGCCAGCGCGAGATATCATGTTGTCGTTCGTCAAATCCCAAATCCAGAGACCAGCACCACCACGGTAAGCGATCTTCCAGTTCTGGCAAATAGTCCAGATGAATCGTCTGTACGGGAACATTTATCGCGCGCGTTGGCGAACGCGATACCTCCCTCCAATACTGGCTCAGGGCAGAGAACCCACAACTCTTGCCAACGAATCTGGAGTTTTCGTTGTCTTCGAACACAATCTCACAATTAGGCTCGGGCCTAGTAATGCCACCACGAGCTACCTCTGGGACTGCAGAATACTCGCTCACCTGCCAAGATTTCCCTGCATTTGATGCACCAAGGTGAACAAAAGTCTGGGCCAAGAATACCGATCGTTCATTCAACGACCTTGAAAACTGGTTCTCCAGTTCCTCAACGCCTATGGTTCGATTGGGGTCGGCGCTTTCTCCGAGGACTAACCCGAACACTTGCATGATGCCGTAGATTCGATCAGATGGTCGTGAAGTCTTGCGGTATCGAGCAGCACCGTACAAAGCGATAGGGCTATTGGCGGACAGAGCATAGCAGCCGCTGGCTTCCACAAGCTCTAGGATCTTCTTCAAACAGGGAACTAAAGGCTCCCACAAGATTTCTTCTTCTGCCAGTACCGTCACAATTTTTCGATATATACTTCCGCATGCGGTGTAAAATGAACTTAGAAAGTAAATAACAGTCTCCGTTTTGACTCCTTCTCGGCCCAGTATATAAGCGTCGGTGCGGAGGAATGCTTCCTGGAGAGTCCAAAGAGACGAAAACCAAGGGTCATCGAATACCGTCTGAAGCGAATTTAGGACCGTTTCCGACCACAACCTTCTAGCCTCTGCGCTTGTCAATTCATATGACATTTCGAAACTGAGTCGTGAAGATTGTTCAGACAGCCCTCTAATTCAGACGTGCGCAACGTTGTCCACCACGCAAAAACCCGATCAGCTCGGCCAAATATAGCGGCTTGTCGACCAATCTCCCTCTTCTTCATCGCCGAATCCTTTCGCTGGTCGATACACCCAACATCTACCCATACCCAACCCGATCCGTAAGTGCTGCCAATGCGCTTGATAAGACTTGTAAACTCGGCCGAAGAGAAGTGGTTCCGCGATATCGTCGGAATATCCCAGTCGATGCCGCCGATGCTAGCGTCTTTGGTCGACTCATGCACCTCGAAACGCCCCCAGGTATATGTCAAAATGCTGTACTTAGGCTCCTTTTGCAGGTGGTATACATTTTCGGGCTGCCTTACATGGGAAATCATGGTCTCGACCTCAAGAAGCCTCTCAGGCCAGACTTCGGCCACTTGACTCAAGGTATTAGAGCCCATTTTCAGCCTCTGTTTGAGCGCATGTTGATTGAAAGAGGGGCGAGGAAGGCGTGCGACTGTGACTCCAATCGGATATACAAATGCGAGGCTGATGTTTACTAAGCGAAGTAGACTTGAGTTGGGGGGGTTTTCTTTCTTCCGAGAAGCCAGTACGAATGCGATCTGGATCGAGTATTTGCTAGGGGCTTTCATCATGAGATGTGTCTTGAAATCTAGCACCGTTCTGTTTACTGGGCTTTCTGCTGTTGACTCCGACTACGTTATCATAAGATAGGTTCTTAGTTCCAAGCTGCTTTCAAGTACCAAAAGGGGTAAACCAAGTCTTCGAGAACCCACTACATACGTAGAACAAAGAAGGGGGATCTACGTCGTGTTTTGGTGGTTTGCAGCTGTGCTCGTCGAAATGCGGCCAAAAGCTCAAACTCCTCCTACGTCTCGGAGTACAACGTATACATCGTCAGCGTACTATGTCATACTCTTGTAGAGTTTTCAACCTCAATTGACTCGAGGGACAGAGCCTAACGGAGGCGCCGCGCTCGACATCTGTAAGATGTGGATCTGTGCGCGCTAACACACCCGCGGAGTTCCACAGATGTGTGAGTCTCCATGGCGCTGGGATCGAGCCCTACCACATCGGAGTAAAGCTCTGAGGGGCGCGGAGCACTTGCGTGCTTCGGTGCAGAAGTTAGTAAGCAGGGGATCAAACTTTAAACTTCAAAGTCCAGCGCGTGGAACGTGGAATGTGGCACGGGCAGGAATCGGCCGGGAGAGCGGCGAAAATCATATCGATGATCATGCGCTACACTAGTAGATCGTCTCTGAAATGTGGCGTATGGGCGCCAATGGCTGAAGCGAATTTAACGTAGCGGGAACTGACGCAACAGTTGATTTGCAGAAATGTGAGGTGCTTCAGATGGAGTCCTGATTTGTGCGTCGAGAGAGTATCGACACCTTGGGAAAAGTGCGATGATGAAAGGGCGATAACAGTAGTAGCAAATACTCCAACGCCACGAGAGGATCTGGACTGGGGCGCAACATTGGGTGATCATCTGGAGCGAATTGTGTCGAAATCGAGACATCCTGGGACTGTGGGGTTTCTCGTCATTCTCTCAGGGATGTCCATGTCTCCAATATTTCAGACCGAGGTATTCACGATAGCTCACTAGATTCGGCAAATTCTAGAGTAAGGGATGGTCTACTGGAGCATATACATAGTATTAAGTCCCCTGCTCGTTTTCGATCTTGCTCGCTTCATCTCTACACCCTCTCAATCCGACGAGACAATGTGGTCAGAAACGGTCGACCCCAACGCGAGAGCCATCAAGCCCGAGGGCTTCGCGCTGACCGTGCTGATACTTTCATTCGTTTTTCTCGGGATTTCACTATTGGCAGTGGGATTAAGAAGCTGGATCCGGTTATCGAAACGCATTTTTGGCATAGACGATGCGTTCCTGGCCACTGGAACTGTGAGTAGGCCCGAGGCGAATGGGGCCACAACATCACTAACATACATGCGCAGGTTCTATACGTGGTTGTCGTCGGACTGTCTTCTTATGGCCACTTTGTTGGTCTAGGTTGGAAAGAGGAACACCTGAACGAGTGGCAATGGGAGAACGGGATGAAGTACTACATCATCTGGATTCTGGTGTACGTCGTGGCACTAGGGTTCGTGAAGTCATCCGTCTGCCTTACAATTCTGCGCATCGCAACGACAAAGAAGCCGTTGCGCCGTACAGTGTGGCTGCTTCTTGGTGTCACGTGGTGCTCTTTCTTGATCACTTTCATCGGCACTTTGTTTTATTGCCAGCCTGTGAGGGCAGTCTGGTCACCGAAGTTGGTCTTGAATGGAGGAGGCCACTGCGCTCCAACCGAAACGTTTATTGTCATCGCGCATACGGCAACAGTCTCTACCATTCTGACGGATTTGGCGTTGGTGGTAGTTCCTGGGGTACTCTTGTGGGAAACACAAATGAAACGTCAAGCAAAGCTCCAGGCTTGGGCATTATTGTCATTCGCTTCCGTGTAAGTACTTGTTCTTCCACCGCAATTTATGAGAGGGAAAAAATTGACTGACACATGACTCACAGAGCATCCATCATCACCATACTCAGAATCCCGTATATCAACAAATTCCGACAGCAACAGGACTTGCAATGTCAGTACCATATTGATACCCATTCAACACACCGCAACGCTGACTGAACATATAGTCTGGGTCTCCCACATCGTTCTCTGCTCCAACATCGAAACCGGTATCGGATGCATCGCCTCCTCTCTCCCTTCCTTGCGCCATTTCACCGAACGCGACACAAGCAACACCACTCATGGGTACAGCAACATGCGTCGCGGACGCATGGGCTTCTTCTCTGTTGGAAACAGGCAAGGCACTACCGGCAAAAGCCGAAACCCGGTCGGAACGGGTATTTCTTTGAGCACGATACAGGCTCAATCGAGCGACCATTGGGACCGTATACGAGGGGATGGCGACTCTGATCGGAGTACCAAGGCCATAAACGATCATGAGATATTCACACACAAGACGTATACCATCGAGTATCACAACAAGTCACAAACGCAGCCTCAGGAGTTTTAGAACATGCAGTGCGTGCAGGCAACTGGCCTCAGTGGTGTAGGAATTGTAGAGATGTATCGGTAGTAATAGGGATCACAAAATGATATGATGGGTTTGAGTATGTAATATATGGTTGGCGTCATGTAATGGAGGGAGAACGGAGGCCTATAATGAAGAAAACGTCGTCGGTCACAAATCAATCGCGCATACGGGAATTGAGGTAAGAGTTACGAGACTGTCTGCAATCACAACCATGTGCTGTAGATTAACTCATGTTCTTTAAAATAATGTCAAGCTGCAATTTTGGTCTACATGATAACGTTTCGTCGTAAGATTCCAAAACAACCCTAAATTGAAAGAATGCCTCTTTTGATGCAATGCACAGAATGACCCGCTTGGACATAGCTGTACATAAACACAGCTGTACGAACAAGATATGCCCTGTGACTTCCGAAGACATTAAGCCACTCATTATTCTTTACTTGGGGGGTGACTTGGCAGATAGAGCCTTTTTTTGTACACGGCCTAACTTCCAAGCCATCCCAAGTAGGAGACCGGTAAGCGGTATGGCAGTTGCAAAGTACTAACCAAACGTTTTTCTTATGTCTGCTATATCATTTTGCATGCTGAAAAGGCCAGTAATATAACTCAGAGGGAGAAACGTTGTCGCCAGCCACGCTAACCTGGCCAAGTTGTGGTTTTCTTGCATTTGCCGACGTGAGTCCTCGATGGTAATCTCAGCCATCACTACCGCCGTGGAACGATCGACGCGTGAAAGTAGCTCGTCTAGTGCATTAAGAACTCGTTGAAAGTCTCTCCTTACATCGTCTAGACCTGGCTCGGTGGATAGTTCGGGGCTTGACGTTAGCCTGCCGGCAGCTGGCAGAGATTGTTCTAGTGTCTCTGTAACCATCTCCCGGTAAACGGGCAACACCCGTCTCCAGGTATGCAATCGCGACAAAGAGTTGTCAATACTGTCCCCCTTCGAACGAAACCTGTGCGGCATCTCAAGATCCCACTCAATCCAACCGAGGCGCGCTTTTACGTAGTCGCAGGCTATGAGCCAATCCGCGCAAATAGCATACAGCATCGGCTTCACGAGAACGAGGCGATCCAGTTGTGGCGCTCGCGTGGGCTGCTCGAACCATGGTTATGTTTTGGTCGCTTGTGTCACAGTCTTGAAAAATGTGTCGGCTAGTAAAGACGGAACCGTCTCCGTCGAGTTTGAGCTGGGAGTCGGCAGCCAGTTTGTGTGTCCATGCCATAAGGTATGCCCCTCACTCACTGTGGGGTCCAATAGAACCACAGCAACAGTGCCCGTTCCGTTGGGCTTGTCTTTACCTATCCAGACAGCTGATCGCGTTCTTTTCAATGAGACGATGGATTCTGGAGCGTTGAGATAACGCTAATGGTTTCCATCGTTGTCGAGCCGCTGCAGAACATTAAACCTGCTGGATTCTGCTTGCGCACGCTCAAAGCTACCAGCTGAAGTAAAATACTGCATTCTTACGTTCCAAATGCGAAACCACTGCCAGCTCTTTATACTTGCTGTAAGGCTTGGAGCCAATGTCCAGGGGTCGCGCGTATTAAACCATGTGTAATCTTCAATTTGTTCGCGGAAGAACAGCGGGTCTATGTCGAACGTAGAGCCAAGATGTTCAATCACTTGTTGCAACAAATCTTCAACCAAGAATAATCGTGTCGTAATGTGTTCCTCTGCGCCGTTAGATAAGCTAGATAAGACCTTCTTTAGAGCAGATGTAGATTTTAGCTCTGTTAATCTAATTTATTGCTAATCTTAATATTTTACAAGTATTATGTTAACTTAGTATGTTTATTCTTTGCGTTCAAAGCGATTTCTATTGGCTCTAGTCCATCGACTTTCCCCAAGAACATGGTGATGAAACAGATGAGAATGCTGAAGCAGAGCACAGGGTCTGCAGCCTCTGCTGTGATCTGCGAGACCAAAGCCCGCATGCTTACTAGTGCTTGGTCGTAGTGATCTCGTGCTGCTCGACGCGCTCGGTCATCTGAATGAGATCCTGGGGTTGAATGATGCATATTGTATGCTGCCGCAAAACTGAGTATGGCGTGCATCAAGTAGGGATGATCAAGGCTCAACCGAGGTACATCTTCTTGCCAAATAGTCCGAAACAATGCCACGTCTCGACGAGGCACGGTGGCCGACGAGCGAATGGTGAAGGAATGGAGCAGGCCTAGATAGCATCTCTCACTGAGCCTGCATAACATACCAGCAAACATGATATATGTCATTGGCCGCCATTTCCTCAATTATGCGATCAAATTACATGCAATTGCCAAATAGCTTGAATTACTTTGTTGGAGAGTCAGTTGCTAGGTAAAAGTGATGCAGCAGCGTCATATGTACATAAAGCTGCCGCTCGACGCTCGTTTGACCTGGGTAGCGGCATGGGATGCTACAATCTGGGTGAAGGTCATCTTTCTTTTCTCTTATGACTCTCTTTCCTCACTGTACCCGACCTCTGTTTCTTTTGCTTCGTATGGGTATGAGGGACACGGAAAGTTAGCATGACGGCAAACCATTTGAATGAATCCCGCCATGACAGACTGCACTAGTGGTGGTTAGTGAGATGCTAGTGAGAAGACATACCAGTGGGTACCAAACGGTTCACTAGGATGTCTGGTGTATTTTTATAGTCTATTTCTATTGATATCGTGGAGGGGTGCAGTGATGGTGGTGGAGACGATGGGGTGTGCTAAAGGGGGCTCAATGGTGGGGGGTCCGGGTGGCCCAAGCTCCCTGCAAAATGCGCTAAGGCAGTCGCGCGCCTCCCCTTCCGAAGTACAACTCATCAAGGTTGAGAGATGGAGAAAGAGGTGGAATCAAGGAACAATGACGCCGAGATACCTTGTTTTTTTATTCCTTCCGTTGTCGATATCATCAATCAATCAATGGCACCGTGCCCGTCTCACCAATGCATCTCTGCCTTGATGTTCTGAGACGAAGGTGGTTGGCAGCTCCCAACCTCCTCCCCCATCCCAGCCTTCCCTACCAGCACATGCTTTCAACACGTCGTCCCATGGTTACCGTCTTTCTATCCTCCTACAAAACCCATTCAAGTCCGACGGCGCACGCTACCTAACAGATCATGCCCACATCACCAGTCCACATCTCGTTACCTTTACATTCTCCATTCTAGACCTCTTTTCCGGGTCTCTTAGATCATGACCTCGGAGCCCGACTTCCAACTCAAGCATACTAGCGTTAGCCAGCCACGACTTTCCCATTCCCACTCACAACAGAGCCTCGCCGCCTCGCAAGCCGCCAGTGAAGGCTACTACTCGCTCACCGGTTCCGACTTCACTTCCTCTACGTCCAGCGGCGACGACCCAAACCGCCGACGCCTTCGCTACCAGACCCCGCCTTCACACGCCCGCACCCCCGCCGCAAGTCATGAGCAGCTGCATTTGCAGCAACACCACCCCGATCACCAACAGCCCTTGACATCGTCCCTCAGAGGAGTTGGCGTACCTCGTCAAACACCTGCGAGCGACCGTCCTGTTTCTACCATAGTAGAGGAGAGGGAGAGACCCGCCGCCATGGACTCTGCTTCTTCCGTGGCCACCACACCGGGCCAGGACACAACACCATACATTCGCTTTGCCATTGACCAGCTCACCCGCGATGAGGAGGTCCGCGGGAGTCGCGCATACCCTCTAGACGACCAAGCCCAGCAGCCCACCCAGTACAGTCCTCAAGAAGATGAAGAGGAATACCCCGTCGAGCGGATTGTGTCCGATGACAGCCTGGGTTACATGAAGAAGCAGCAACAAACACAACAGAGACTCTCGCAGTTCCAACCTCAAAAGTCACTCCCAAAACACACTCCGAACCCTAGCCGGGACTCGATTGCTCATTCAAGACACAACCATCCCATGCCTGTTCAAAAACAATCACAACAGGATGTCTTCATCGCTCATTCGGCACCTCGCGGCCAGCTCAATTTTCTGCCCACCGTGCTACGGCCGCTCTGGCTCGCCATTTTCACCTTCTTGTGCATACTCATGCTCGCCGCCCTTGTCGTCTGCGGTGTCTTCTCCATAACTGGGGACAGCAATGGGCTGTTAGCTTATCTTCGTTTCGGCGATAGTCGCTACTTTGTCTTCCGATATCTGCCCACAATAATAGGAGCTCTTCTCTATCTGTGGCTAATTCAAGTTCAGGTGGCTCTGCAGAGAATGGTGCCGTTCATCTCCATGTCATCCAACCAACACCGCAAGCGATCCGAAGCCTTGTTCCTCCCTCTGCACTCGATGCAGTTCCTAGCCCCCAGGCTCGAACACTTTAAAGCTGGCCAGCCCTTGATCGGAGTCTGCTTCGTCATCTTCTGGCTGTTCTCCTGGACAGTCCCACTTCTCGCAGCCTGCTTCAATGTACGATACGACATTGAAGGGAGCTCGTGGCGATGGACTGCCGTGCAGGGCGTCGTCTGGGCGACGGTCGTGCTGTATGCTCTTTTGGTGATAGCACTACTTTCGCTCTTCTTCGTCATGCGCAGCGAAACCGGGTTGAAGTGGGATCCTCGATCGCTGGCGGACATCATCGTGCTGCTGGAGCGTTCGAATGTCGTCAATGACTTTGCTGGGGCCGAGACATTCGAAAAGAAAGACTGGCAGTACTTGAAGGGCCGACCAGGTAGAATCGGGCACTGGTCCACGACCCGCCGACCCAAGGATGTCTTTCACGGACTCGGCGAAGAGGGTGAACCTGCTCGCAGATACTCCGTTGAAGATGGCTGGATCAGGGAGAAAGGCTCCAATCCCGAGCCCATCAAGTCGGAAAAGAACAGTGCTCGTCCCAACGACTTCTCCATTCGTATGGACATCCGCAGCCCTGCAGTCCGCTTGCGATATCTTCCTTGGTACTTGCGGAATGTTCCAGTTTTCATCTGGATCATGACGGCTTTGGTCCTCTTGGTGGCTTTCCTTGTCGTCAGTTTCCTCAATGATGCCGTGCGTATCGGCTTCCTTCCCCAAGTCTTTGCGCGCACCAATGCAGGTGGCTTCTCTGCCTCGAACTTCTTGTACAGCTTTGTGCCCGCATTGATCGGACACCTTCTCTTCCTCATCGTTCTATCATTCGACTATAGTCTCCGCGTCTTGCGGCCTTATATGTCGCTCTCATCGAAAGGAGGGGCCACCGCCGAAGCCTCGCTCCTGGTGGACTACGCCAGCCGCTTCCCACTGTCGGCCACCTTCGCCGCCCTAGAGAACCAGCACTACCAGAACGCGATCCTCTCACTCATCTCGCTATGCTCCATCGCACTCCCTATCCTCGCTGGGGGCTGCTTCTGGTCTCAATGGTACTCGGAGGCGGATATTGTACGCGTAACAGCAGACCTACCCGGATACTACGCACTTTGCTTCTTCCTCGCTCTTTACGCACTGAGTCTGACCGCTCTATGGCCGAGCCGCCACCGCGCTGCCCTTCCTCACGCAAGCAACACCCTCGCTGAAATCATCAGCTGGCTCTATCAAAGCCCTGTTCTCGCCGACCGCTCCTTCAACCGGCCGAAAACCAAACCCGAGCTCGTCGCCCGCCTCATGGGGTCTGCTTACCTTGAGCGCACGTGGGCGCAGTCGCTGTCGTCTCTCGTTCGGCCCAGTCGCGATAACCTCCGTGCTGTGTCGACAGAGAAGAAGCATACTAGCGCTGATACACATGACTCGGCTGTAGAGCCCGGGAAGCTCAAGTATGGGTTCGGCATACATGTCGGGCGCGATGGCCAGGAGCATCTTGGAATTGATCGCGTGCATCGCGGTGGTGGAAGGAGTGGGCGTGAGCTTGTTATCTGGGAAGAACAGAATCGTAAAAGTTGGGTTGGGTCCGCTGCGTGAATGATGAAATGACAGCGCGTGGAACTACGACGACTGCTTTTCTCTTTTTCTCCACCGACAAATCATTCATGCTCGGTTGGTATTTGTTCAAAACGCATCATTTCTTGTTTCTTCCTTGTTCTTCTTAGCGAGCGAGCAAGCGCGCAATTGTGCCGGTTGCTGTGTTCTTATCACAGCATCCGCTGGTATATATGTTCGAGGGGGTTTCCTCTCTCAGACTAACGGGTTTCACGGTCTTAACGGGTTTTCAACGGCATCACGGTTTCATAGATTTTCACGACTTCATTGACGAGCAGTATAAAAGCGAAAGGAGCATGAAGGGAAAGAGAGAAATATAATGATAGTGGCAGGAGGGCGAACTCTGCTCTGTATGATAGTAGCTTGGTTTGGAGATGACACTACGAAATACGAAGAATGAAGAATCGATCAAGCTTGCCTATGATTTTCTCATTCTATCCTACCAATCCCATGATTTATTATTATATTCTTTCTTTTCTACTACTTCGTGACTACCTTGGTATATACATCTCTTTTGAAAGGATGTCAAGTACCAATGCCGCGTTTACTCTATTCAACCATTTCAGTGTTTTTTTCGTTCAAGGTATTCAAAGAAAGCACGCACATGTCCGCACGTGCCCCACACGCACCGCCGCCGCCGACGGCCAACTACGTACCCTCCCAGGTAGCTAAATCTAAGCTCATCCTTGCAACCCCCACGTTTCTTTCCCCTGATCCTTTTCCCCCGACCGACCACCTCCTTTCCACCACCCTGCTTCATCACCATGCGAAGGAAAAAGCAAATACATCATCAATAACGCGTGCGCCACACACACACGTGTTGATCGGTGTAGACAGATACCCGAGCGAATACAGGCGTTACCGTAACGGGTAGTCTTGGTTTCCTAGTTGGGCTGTCGCACTGCCTTGTTTGGGTTTAGTCTTGTTGATTTTGGGGTAGGGTTTGTGTGGAAGGGGTGGGAGGGTGTTTGCATGCTTGTATCTTGGATGGATGGATAAATGGATGGGTAATGAGGGGAGGTTGGGGGATGCATGAAGCCAGGTACACGGTAAGTGTGTTCAAATGTTGAGTTGCGAAAGGTCACGTGCGCGGCAGAAAGCTTCAAATGTTCATCTGAACATTTGAATGTTGAGAGAGGGCAATTACTCAGGTCGGCGTTGTATCGAGTTTAAAATCAATATGGAGAGTGTGCTAGGTTGGGCTTGTGGATTTGTAAGGGAGTGAGTTTGTGGGAAGTATCCATGTGCTTTGATCGTCTCAGAAGCTTTTCTTGATTCTTCTCTTCGAGTTGGATGCTAGGTGCTCGCAATGCAAAAGACACTTTTGTTCGCCCCATAGCCCAATTCTATCTCTCTAATTCATCTTTTCTCTTCAAACCAAGATACAGTGATTATATCGAAGGAGAGGAAGACTAATGAGAAGCTTCCCAAACACATCTCTCGCAAACACAAACCCCGCCAAGCGCACCAACAGCCCACTCCCTCCTCTCCTTTACACTCAAAGAGATATCGCAGTAATGACTAAACACTTCTTCGCCTTTCTTCAATCCCGCTTCCTTCCCTTTCCCCTCCCCATCCCTCGGTGGACTCCACTCCACCCTCTCCCCCCTCACCCAGAACCTCATCTCCCCTTCCTCCCAAACCCAGCTCACATTCGGATCACAGCTATGATTCGCAAGACACCACAGCGGATGCACAGCGCTTAGCTCGGGGCGTCCATCCAACTCGGATTGCCGCGCTGACGCTGTACCGCGGAACTTCGCGTACAAGGTGTTGAAGATCCATGTATCGTAGCGCTCAGGGGAAGACGTGAAGATGTTGACGTCCATTTGGGAGAGGATGTGCAGGGGGCGGAGCACATTCGCGTTCCATGAGAAGGGAAGAGTGCGCGGAATCTCACCCTTTGTAGTGGAAGACGGATAAACGGAAGATGGAGGAATGCTATGGTAGTCCCCCCATATATATCTCACTTCTTTTAGTTCGAGCGGGTGGAGATCTTGCTGCTCCGCGAGCGCAATGGCGCGGATTAGAAGAAGAGTGTAAAGTTCATCTGCGGCGTCTTTTGCGGAGACTTTTTGGGAGAGGGGAATGCTACAGACGGAGGGGTGGTAGGATTCCTCGGCGAGGGTTTGGCAGCTTGGGCTGCAGTAGAAGACTTCGAAGCAGTCTTCGCAGGTTAGTTGGGAGGTTTCTTGGTCGGAGGTGGTTGGGTGCGGGAGAGCGCTGGAGCGGGTGGTAATTAGCGTTGGATCGAGAGAGGGATAAGAGGGAGACTGACGCGCTGCAAGCGTCGCAGTAGGTATCGTGAAGACGTGAGATTGCTGTTAAGAGGGATTTCTCGCGGAGGATGACTTCGTTGGGTGGGATGTCTTGTCTTGCGAAGACACCGAGTTGTTTTACGGTACGGGGGTTTGTGTCTGTGGAGGACGAGGTACTGGTGGATCATAAGCGATTTGACTGCCATAAGAAAGTCATCAGAGCCCAGGAGGAGTGTAGAGGGCCAGAATGCGTACCTCAAGAATGGCAGCTCCGAGACCTTGACTTCAAGCTTGGGCGCTACCTTTTCCAGCTCGCTGTTGAGGAACTCGAGCACGTCGGGCGCATATCGATCTGGTTCGTATTCATTCCATGGATATAATTCTCGACGAACGGAACCTTTGTCAGGGTACTCTTCAATGTCCGTCCCTTCCAAAGTCTCGCCCTGACCTTTGAAGTGTTTCTCGAGGCGTGCAGAAAGGGTCGATTGATAGGAAGTAAAAGAAGAACCTCCGGGAAACGCCTTGAGAGCCCGTGCATTGTAGTCGAATGCACTCCGCAAACATCCAACATCAATCAGACAAGGGACCAAGATATCATATCTGGTGAAGTCTTAGCATTGGCTATTGTTATTACAAGTACTCAAAACACATACGCTGCTCTCAACCAACACGTCGTGGCACAACCATACACGCTCTGTTCATTATCGGCGTCTTTGGCCGCAGATTCACAGGTACATCCATCATGATGAATCCATGCAGACTTGGTGCAAGTCTCCAGATCAGCCAAAGCCGCTTCCAAGGCCTTTTCGTGGAACTCGGCCTCCTCGCTCACTTCATCGACAAGAAGAAGCGCCTTGTACGCGTCACTGGCAGCCAATTCCGGATATCCCAGACCGAGATAGCTCTTTGCGAGATTCAGCCGGTGTATTATGCTATATGGCCGATCAGACGTCGTCTTCTGGAGCCCAAGGAGCTCGTCTAATTTTTCTTGGTAGCTGGATCCTTTTGGGCGGATTGCCAGAGAAGTAGTCTCCATGTTGGGACGGATAATTCCGGGTACGACCAAGCAGCCCGGTATGCTGTATTCAGGGGCAGTTCTTCCAAGCTTTGAGGGAATCCCAATTGCGCGGACCTGGAAAAAGTGTAGATGGTGGCGTAGTGGCGTCTGATTCGTCTAGCGCCGTGTGATTTTCCCTGCGTCAGTCTTATCGATAAGACTTGGGTGTCTGGCACCTCCCGCTTCACTTTTTGCGTGGCCACCAACCACAACCCAGGCTCCAGGTCAACTTCACTTACCCAAGGCTAATTCGTAATTGTTGAGATCTTCCATGTGTCATCATGTTGCCTTCAGCAGCGGAACTGGTTGCGCGCTTCCTCAAATCTGGAGGCTACATCGAGGTATGTGCGCTACGTCATCGACTCATGTTGGTGATACTTATATGCGTACAGACATTGAACTCCTTCATCCTCGAGGCAGGCCTTGAGCCGGATGCGGGCAGTTCTGTTGGAGTCACGATAGATCAGATCCTCCAAGAAAAGAAGACATTCGACCTAAGCCTCAACTTCGAGAAGTTGGGAGTTGATGACCCGAAACAGGAATGGGTCACTCCCGCCCCCAGCGAGCCCATGATAGTTGAAACCATGCCAACAAAGTCCAACATCCTCACTACTGGCTTGCTCAAGTGTCAGCTTCCATCTGCCGAGCCAAAGCAATACGTTGCGGCGACTACGGCTGATCGCCGACTGCATCTGTTTGACCCTGAATCTCCCTCGCTCTCCGTTGTCTGTTCCTATTCCAGTTTCTTAGATTCGCCTATTCTTGATCTCCTCGTATTCGAGGACAGGTACCTGCTTACAGGGTCCATGTCTGGAAAGTTACTTCTTTACGATACGAAGGCCGACCAAGTCCTGGACGAGCGCAAGGACCATTCCAAGTATGTTGTCAAGTTGGCCATGCATTCCAGGGAAGGTTCGGCTATCATCGCCACTGCCGGATGGGACTCGAAAATCTTTCTCTATCAACTTGACCCTTCACGCCCAACATTAGGCAATCCCGTGGCTTCTCTCACCTTGTCAAGCGTGCCTGAGACGCTCTTGTTCGTACAATCTCCCGAATCCCAGCGCCCGATCTTGCTTCTGGGTCGAAGGGATTCCACGTTCCTGTACTATTACTCTGTGCCTATACTTTCATCGGATCCTCCAGAACTCCACCTATTGGGCCGACAAAATCTTGCGCCTCATTCAAATGCCTGGATTGCATTTTCGCCTTCAGACATTCAGCTCTCACCCAGGGATCCATTGCTTGTTGCTGTAGCCACATCTTCAACTCCGCATATGAAGCTTCTCCTCGTGCGGCTGCTTATTCCGCCTGAGGTAGTCTCTGAGCCTAATGATATATCCAGCCCAGATCGTGGCCCGGTTACACAGGCTTCACAGGCTCGTAACGAGCTCCTGGTTCAAGATAGAGAGGAAGCCGCCATTGTTGTGAATATCAGCACACTAGCCCCACAAACGGCATACTCGACTCCACGATTGACTTGGCGATTGAATGGCTCCGGTGCGTTAGGCCGCCCAAAAGTAGATTGCTCTACATTTACATGGCGTTGTGGACTGTGGACAATTCAGCTGACTTTTCACCCGAATTCTAGGTGTATATGTGACTTCAGATGACGGGATAGTACGAGGATTCGAGACGAATACAGGCAAGCACATTGCAACACTTGCTTCTCATGAGCCCGGGTCAAAAGTCCGCTGTCTTTGGGCTGGAGAATTAGAGAATACCTCTATCGGTGCCCAACCAACAACTGAAGTTCTACTTACGGGTGGTTTTGACCAGCGACTCATTTGCTGGAGCGCTTCTTAGTCACAGAATCCTTCCAGATACGCGTGTGCCTCGCATGACTACTCGACAGTGATTGCACAGTTTACAATTATTGTCCAGGTAAATTCCGGAACGGTATGCGGGACATGAGCACTGCAAGATACGAGATCCTGCAAATGCTTAGGCGGCAACGGTTCCCATTGGCGTAACCTGATCGCCCGCATCGTATACTGAAACAGGATTTCCAGTCAAGGAAGATCCCTTGGCAGCACGTTCCAGTTAGTCTGGTTTTGCAAGCCGCGGTAAATGGCTGCGCTAGAGCGCCACAGATCTTCACGATAGCCGAGAACGCAAAGTGTATGTCGGACGCGGCTAACGCCAACTTAACGAACAACTTCGCCGGTGGTCTGGCGTTGGGTAACAGTGGGTTTCATTATGCTTGCCAGTTATATTTTGCTTTTATACACCTTTCCCAAATTGGCATTTGCTCGAACCACACCCTGACCCTCTATCTCGAATTTGACACATGGAAAGAAGGCACGCTCTGTGCTCAGACTATGATGACTATGGGGAACGCAGGGGCGATTTCGATATTCTTTTTTTCTTTTCTGTATCCAACGATCCCTGCTTGTCATTACAGCCAGACTGGTCATATCGCACGCAAGGCAGAGAGTCATGCAAGTCATGTATAAAGACCTGGCTGCAGTTCTGTTGTTGAGGGCATACTGTTCGTCAACTACTACTACGCCATTATCGAACCTTTGCGCATCTTACCGATCGGCTCTCCCTACTATCAGACTTGCATACACTTCATCATGGCTGCACTACCTGCTGTCAAAAGCGGAGACTATCTACTTGTCGCCTCGGGACTGGCGCATGAAGCTCCATATCTGGTCGGGTGGCAGGAATTCAAAGACCATATTCGAAAAACTGTGAAAGAGCAGCCCGGCTGGACCCACGTCACGCCAGCACAGGGACAGCGCACAGGAGAGATGCAAGGATGGTGCAGACTCAAAGACAAAGAGGATGCAGATGCAGTCTACAGTATGTTTGATCTCGAGAGGATTTCTCAGTCATGTAGTTGACCGGATATCTAGATACCTTTGCACGATCAAGGGGCATCTTGGTCCACGTCTTTTCCACTAGCCTGCGGGGCGGCCAGTTCGAGATGATGCGATGCAACTGCATAAACCAATTCCCAGATGTCGGAGACCGAGGACATTCGTCGCGGCGGTCGGGCATCGATGTAAACAGCGTCAACCAGACCTTCGGAAGTCGCTGTGCCGTGAGCAAAGCCCAGTACGCTCCCGCCGTCATCCCAACTTCGTATTCATATGGCCACTATTATCAATCCCCGCAATACGCGCCGGTCGCTGCCATGTACCCGGCATATCCAACTTACCAAGTCCAACCCACGGCCCCACCGTTGCCAGCCTATTCTCAGAGCACATCAGGCCTCCCGGTCAACCTCAGCCGTGGGGCAGCCATCACAGAAGCCCGAGGAATCTATATTCAGGGCCTTAACTACAGCGCCAGAAGCAGTGATCTCTGGGCCCTCTTCGCAGAGACTGGACTAAGGCCCATCGAAGCCAAAGTAATCAAGGATTCTCGAGGTGCTTCCAAGGGTGCGGCAACGGCACAGTTTAGCAGTAAAAACGAGGCTCTCGAAGGTATCCAGCGTCTCCACAGAACACCTCACATGGGCAAGACGCTGAATGTGCGCCTCGACGTCGAGTCTACGGTCGTGGGTCGCATCGATCCCCTGGTCGTTGACGGCACGAATAAACTGGCCAGCCTCTCCCTCTAATGAAGAAGGAAGCATAATATCATGCGATTTTGGCATGCTCCTGATTACGTCGGTAATTTACCGCCAGGACCCTAGGATTCAGGGATCTATGTGGGGACGTATGTCGGATATAGATCGGTAGCCGATATGTGCTGGTGGTGGAAGTGAAGCAGAAAAAGAAAGGAAAGGAAAGGGAAGGTGTCTAGGTAATTAAAGGGATTCCATTCGCCCGGGGTGGTTAGGAAGATGGATGGTCCCTCTCGCTTGTCGGAATCGTACATGACATGATGGCTCCACGCGAACGATCCGCCGCGTCGGTCCGCTCACAGCTGCAAGGGTGCTGCTGCTTCCCGCTTTGGCATTTTTTGATTGGGCGCTTGGAGTGCTGTTATTCGGCGACGTTGGCTATGTCGTTTTGTATACATGTCTTTGATTGGAAGGGCTTTTACCCAATGTTGATACACCAGTTGCCCTTGTTTAGTTTTCCCTGTTTTCAATCATTCTTTGCTACAGATCTCCTACTCCGCATATTCATAGCACAACAACACAAGGCTAAGTGATTACATTTGTCGTCGAATTATTCGCTTCATTCGACTTGCCACATTCTTCGACTTAATAACCCATGATTACTGAGGCGAAAACACAGTATGCACATGCATCATCCACATAGCAGCTGCAACACGATCCAAATTCAAAATGCCACTACTTCCCCGCTCCCACTTTCACTCGAGTCCTTCCCACCCTATCAAACACATGCCACTAAAAACAGTAGCACACACCTCTGTTCCTCTTCACCCAGGCAAGGCCCGCATCCGGGGAAGCGGGAAAGCAAGAATGGCAGCGCCGAACTGCTGATACCGTCCTCCCCGCCGCTAGAGCAGAAGAAAGAGGGTGTGTGGCTACGGTGCATCGTACATCGTAGCCTTGACCGCTTTTGGGTGATAGTGAGATATTGAAAATGTTTATTTGTATGTGTGTACGTATCAATTGATGTTATGATAGGCTACCGCGGAGTGGATTGCAAGGTGTTGAGGACGAGTAATGAGAGATGCAGATACACATGTGACTCCGCCAAGATATCACTTTATTGAGAGCCGGCGACTCCATGTTTTATTACTCTGTTGGGTTGGTAGTCGGTGGACCCTTTAGCATCTGACCATTTGCATTGCATAGATTGGCGGTAGTGGCGCTTTTAGAGCACCTGCTGTTTGTCGTTTATTCGGGGGGTTGATTCTTCAATTGCCTTGTGGTCGGGACAAGCATGTCATGTGGGCTGCAATTCCGATATCGTTTTACGTACTCACGTGTGTGTAGATGTTGTTACATATAATTTCATACACATGTATGCACGTATGGGTGGGTGGTCGATCCCATCACGTGATACTCTCATGACGAGTTCAATGTCGATATATGAACATTTGAACGCATCAGCATGCAAGGTCCCATACTTGCTGTGAACCATAAGCTGCTGTGGCGTTGGTGAGGAGTCGCTCGGGGCTTTACGTCGCGCTCTGCTGAGTGGTCTCGCGTGTCTCCACGGGTTCTGCTCGATACGAGAGGGGTGGGGGTACTTGAACGGAGATCTTCGGTAGGGCATTTTGGTACCTTCGGTAGGGGAATTTTGTCACGTCTTGGCGATCTGAAGCCATGTTTTGAACAAAAATTGGCTGGCCTGCGTAACGACACTATTGTGGAGCTGGCTGTTTTGCTCTATTTTGGTGTGTAGGATCATGCTCCCTGCGCGTAATGAAATTAAGGGTGAGGGTCCCGGCGCTGGTATACACATGAACCACCACCTCGCTTTTCTCGTTTTCTCTCCGTCGAAAGATTTGGCTAAGAGACTGACGGATTTCTTCCTCCGATTGTCTGCTGGAACACCCAAACCACGATATTATGACTATATCTAAGCGCCTGATATCGACCATCTCAGTCATACACCCAGAAAGGACGTCGATAGCTCTACACTCGTAACCACCGCCTTGCTCACATCAACACTAAGGACCAGGGCATGCGCGCAGGTGGATGCCATCAACAATACTCGAGGGGGTAAAATGGCGTCCGATCCCAGTCGAATCCCAGGCTGAGGTCCTGGCCCCCAAATTAGTGTTGCATGATTTTCATCACAGGTTACACAACGGCACCGATCCGAACTCGAGCCTGTGGACCGACGCCACAATACATGTTAGACTTGGAACGCCTTGAGATCGCGGGGACTCGTGGAACGGCGGGCAGATCGTGAAGCGGATGGACAACTCTTCACGGCGGATTTTTTTCGCCGATCAAACGTGTTTCTAATTTAATTTTGTTCTCTCTGTCTCCGATTGTCTGCCACGCGTGAGGACGTTACGCAGTGCTACGAGCTTCCGGTTCCCCGAAAAAGCAAAAGAGAAGGATGATGGCTTGGTTTTACTAGACTGTGGATCAGCCATTACGCAAACCCATGTCACTAGGCCGCGGTATGATTCTGTTCACACTGCGAGATCGGATGACTGCATAAACGTTACACAAGTGACTACGATCGATAGACAGGGTCCAAATCTTTAGATCGGACACTCCGACCACTCTTCACCTATCCACTCTATGTAATGATCTTGATGGCGCCGTTGGTCGTTTCCCTTAAAATAGAACGAGGTTCGAGGAGAGCCGGCCAGTTTCTCGATCGTAGGCTCACTTTGAATTATGGTCGATCGTAAAGAGAGAAAAAGACAAAAGATAATTATCTTATCCACTTTTCGTGAACCTAGTCTGTCATGCAACTGTGTGTCTCCAAAAACGTATTTCCAATGACTGAAAGACATCCCACGTGCGCTGGGACCCAGAGAACCGAGTCATTGAGTCATCGAACGCCAAATTCAGTAGCTTAACGGCTCAGTGTCTGAAGTGACCTGGCCACCACATTCTCCACACCCGCGAGGTGGCCACGCCGTTAAACAATCCAGTGCTCTGCCACAGAAGGCCCGAATACCCCCATACAATCCCATACAATGGGATCTTCTCACACCCTACTCCAATAGCTCATCTTCCAAGAATTTTTTTGTAAAGCTTAACTTGACATCAGATGTTCGTGCTGGACCCTAAGAGCGCATCGGAAAACGTGCGCAAGTGTGGATGATGGAGAACTTCGATCTATTACGCAACGATGTGACTTTTTGGAATAGATATATGCATGTTATGCCAGGGTCAAAAGCCAGAAGACAGTGTCATCAGCGATTGCTCAACTAGGAAGGACCGGGTCGCCGAGTGGAATGAACGAGGCGTTTGTCATGTGTATCAGGGAGACACCAAAATAAGGCGCAGGCTTGCGGTAGTATATGGACTGATTGGCGAAGCTAGTATTGTCAGTCAGACATGATAAAGTTGCATAACAGAGCTCAGTGTCCTCTTATACAGAAAGATATCATGAAGCAGAAGACGATTTAGCTGTACATGTATCTCCTAGTTTCGTCTTGACGCCAAGCACTAGATCTTTTCTTTTGTTACATCAGCAACCCTAAGATACTCCAGATGATCTTATGGTTGCTGTGCTTGGACCCTACATGATTATTCGTTCGTGAGTACCCATTCGTGCTTACTTGTGCATGAAACCAGCGGATTTTGATGGGTTGCTGAGTTTCCAGCTACTCCGAAAAGGGCTCGTACTCGGATTGGTGCATTATCAAATTCAAACATTAGAATAAAATTCCCATCTAGGCTAGATATAAAAATCCGCATTAGATCGAGAGGTTTCTGACATAACATGTAAGGGGCCATGGTCTGAACATTGAAGATTTCCTCACATACTCAATTTTGGCTGTACGATGGCGAAATTGGGGATGAACTCATCCTGGGGGCAGGCGTTCAGATTGCGTATCGGGGGAGTGGATCGGGATCGCGTATATTCTCGGTAACGATTCTAATCAACTTAGTAATTTCACTTAGGTTTCCGGGTAATCTAATAGACTCACTTATCAGTTGTTGTGTTACGATATGAATCAACAATGGCTGCCATTGCTGGAAACTTTGCGCGGAAAACGCCTTCAACCGTCCAATTGCTTAGCTTCGTGATGTGCTCCTCGTATATTGGATTTATTATGATATTCTCAGTATCTTTTGTAACGGTAATGATGACCAGATCGGGATCGTAGGGCCATTCTATGTTGAAAGAGGAAGAGTAGGCAGCCGCAAACTCATCAAATTTGATATCTCCGTGCTCAATCAGATAAATACGTAATCTAGGCCACGGACTAGACAAGGTCAGCCAGATATTGAACGGCGGGGAGTCTTGACGCGGTTTCATGATGCTACGTTGCGCACACTGTTTTACATACACTCGGTCAATCCAGGCGGCATGCCGTTGTTGCAATTGTATAGGCTCTGGTCGCAACCATTCCGGAACGGCTTCGAAAGCAGATTTAGTCCGCAAAACTTGCCATTTCATAAGATTGCTGGTTTGCAAGATACAAGATCAGCAATGATCAAGTCAGTATGAGCAAACAAGTACTCAAACTAGATTCGGTTGGATCAGGGAGAATGTTCAACAACTAATCATCTGCCCAAGCTACCGCATGTAGCGTTTCAACGCATGTACGAAGTATACTTACTACATTATGAAATGAACGCCGATTTTCTTGGGTAATGTGTCTATTTCAGTGTAGCTCTTGACAATGTCACCGACTATGGAGCTTGTTTCGTCTACCACTCGATTCGGTCTGGAATCGAACAATGCTGTAAGATCTGGCTTTTCCGGATAGCTCGGAATATGGCTTGCGGTCTGCATTGTATGGGCTTCCCATCGACTCTCGACAAAAGTCTGCAGAATCTGATCTGAGAGGCAAGTTGGCGATATGTTAAGAGGGATGCTCTCATAAGGAGGCAGTGTCATGGACGAAGATGAACAAGTTTTCAGTGCTTTCCCGTTTTCCAGTAGCCGGAGTTGAAGTGCGGCTTTTTGAATTCTCAAGTGATCATTTTCTTCGGACACCGCCAGGAAGCGATTATATAGCTCGTTCTTTTCCCGATTTTGTCCAGCCAGAGCTTCGGTGAGCTGTGCGACTTGCTGGCTGAGGTGAGTTAGGCTCCGCTTCGTCCTTTCGCGCATCGCTTTCTGTGACTTTCTGTCTCTGGCTCTTTTGCGCTCCAACTCTTGCGTGGACGCGCTTTTTGGAGAGGTAGCTACATCGCACCGTGATGTTGAGGATGCCATGTCAAGAACCTATCAAAGGATGGCCAACCGGCATGAAGGTGTGAACTGTGCCGTACCTATCGATCGCGGTGTTCTTACATCAATAAGTAGGTGAAGAAAGAGCGAATTCTGTAGCATCAGGTTGAGCGTAGGATGAGCTTGAGGTCTGGCAATCTAAGGCTTAGACACGCACTAACCAGAAACGGGTAGGTGTCGTCGCAATCCGGGGCCTTGCACGTGTAATTAAGATGCCTCCAGCTGAATGTCATGTAAACCACTGAGGACATCTCCTTAACATTCACTGGTGTAAACATTTTGGGATCAATAAGCAAGGAACTGCATTTTCTATCTTAATGAGCAATCTAAAAGCGATCTTACGCGTAATGTACACAGCAATTCAATTGTACAGGATTATGCGAGCGTCGTCGATGGTGACTTCCACCTGTCAATCAATGCGCTATGCAATCGACTTGGCGGTATAGATGAGTCTTCTGAGGACGCATCCGCGAAAACACCATATGGCCTCTCTCCGCCTGAGCACCTCAGCTGCAGCTGCAGATTTTCTTTGGAGCCTGTTCACTGAGTTCCCTCTCAATGTCAAGGGGATGTTGCATAACGGCATCAGAAAGCCGCGCTGTTGTCGGATAGGCCGCCACGAATTGAAGTCCCATCGCGTCGTCCAAGCTCAACGACTTCTCTGTGGCAGCACGGTTGACGATTCTGGACTTCTCGCTATTCTCCACCTCGCGCATCAGCGCTGCGAGTTGACCGTGTTGATCCTGAGATAGGGAAGCCTTCGGTCACGTATCATTCCTCCGGGTACATGTCTTCGTCTTGAGAAAGAATCATGGCTTTCTCTTGGGTAGAGAGGTCCTTGGGGCAAGCTTTAAATTCCTTGGGCCACAAAGTTTGCTTGGAGGCCCGGCGACGGACATCGAAGCCACCCGTCATACCAGCGTCGGCCATTGTTGTGTCTTCCGCGACAGGGATGGGGTTTTCGGGAATGGAGTCGATATCCATATGGTTTGAAGAAGCCATAGAAGATGAGAGTGATAGCCTGCCGAAGCAGCCTGCTAAAGAGGGGGGGGGGAAGAGTGACAGCCTGCTAAAAAGGAGGGGGGGAGGGGGATGGGAGTGACAGCCCGCCGAAGCAGCCTGCGTAACCTTTGAGGATGTTAGTTTGACCCGAAGGTGGAGGTCCGGTGATGAGGGGGCGAGCGTCTTTTATACCGTCCTGCTCATAACGCGCTAACGAGAGAGGAAGGCACGCGCCCCTCGGTCACCTGACCCCGCGTGCCCGGCTCCTTCCTCATTCTCAAGTTCCCAGTATTCCAGGACAGCTAGCGCCGTCGCAACGACCAATGCCTTGGGTCGTACCGTTGACTTCACTGCGGTTGTTGAAGGACCCAAGCTGCGCATCGGTGAAGAAGCCAGGACTTATATTACTTTATTGCTCAATTTCCACTGTAGCCGTCACCTTGACCAAAAGCTTACTTGATAAAGTAATATTGCTTGAAATTCATATTCACCTGCTCTACAGAGTCCACTCCGGGTAAGTAATAGAGCCTGTTCGACGCTATATAGGCCACCACTCCCCAGCTCTCCACCCACCACCCTTGCCTACTGCAACCACGACGACAACAACTTCCTACTATTCTTTTGTTTCTCCACTTCGACCTTTGGCTTCTGCAAGCCCATCATCCTCTCTCAACTCCAACTCGACCTTTTGCGACTTGCTCCGGCGAGATCGTCTGTCTCTCTCAATCCTAATCCTACTTTTGCGACTTGCTCCGGCGAGATCGTCAGTCTCCTCTTCCTCATCTTCTACCAGGCTGCTTCGGCGGTTTGTCACTCTCCCTACTCTTTTTAAGCAGGCTGCTTCGGCGGGCTGTCACTCCCATAAATATGCCTGATATGCAGGATCTCGTGCCTTTCGGAGAAAACGCAGGATATCGACATCGCCGCTTCAACAAGACAACGGCCAAGCAGCTCAAGAAGCAGGACGAAGGACATCCCGACACGTTGGAAGAAATTCCCGGCGAAACAGTCAAATTTCTAGATGAGACATCTGCCTGGGAATACTACAACCGCGGTGTAAACGTCAAGCCCGCTGAATCCCATAAGCAGGAAGAGTACGTCAAGGTCATCTCCGCAGCGAACTACCTCCTGAAGCACGATGTTTCTGACGCTGTGATCGGCCAACTCTGGAAAGAACTCAAGTGGCCTGGTAAGATATTCGATCTCGAGCAGCGCAAGATCAAGGCACAGACATCCCGCTGGCAAAGCCACATTCTTGCTGAGCAGGTTTATTCCATTGCGCAACGCCTGGTGAGCAAATGCAACTCCGAGGAGCCGCCTAGGAATATTTTTACGATGGAGGCACGGGAGCGAAAGGATGTCATCCTGAACGTGTGGGATGCGCAAGTCTGCCAGAATATGTATCGTCCGCTTAGGAAATACATCGACTTCGCGAATATATTCGCGCGAAAGCGAGAGGATAGGGTGAAGGCGCTATACATGTGGCTCAAGTTCGGCTTCTATAAGGCTGTCGAGGACTGTCTTATGATCCGCATATTGAAGTCCAAAGATGGTTTCAAGAACCAGACGCGGTACGCAGGAGAGAGCTACGATCAGTGGAAGCGCATGTGGTACCGCGAAGGCATGCCCCCTCGTCCAAGAATCCAAGATATCCCCGTTAGAATTATGGCAACCGCAAATGACATTCGAACTAAAATGCCGCCCCCGTCCGCCGATTTGGTTCCATGGGATCCCGACTCTGACAACGAGATGGCCCACCGACGAGGGAATAAGGTCAAGCGCGACGCCCAAGAGAACAACAACGACAACGACGATGACGCCGACTCCAACGCAGTGGTAATAGCTAGACAGGCTCGAAAACAAGCCAAGAAGGAATTGAAGTGGCTGAAAGCCGGATTCAAAAGGGGCATGGCAAGCGAGGAGGAGCTTGAACGCCGTCGCATTGCGTACAAAAATGCCAAAAAAGAGGCAAGGAGATTGAAGAAGGCGGCTCATCGACAGAGTGGAGCATGAGGCGGTGGATGTCAAGGAACGACGGGTTATGAGCTATTGAGACAATAGGCTCAACAAATTTGGAAATGATTCTCTTCTTTGAAATTCAACTTACAATGTATATATATATTATATCCAAAGCTCCAAGGCATATCCAAAACTGCAGATCCTATCCAAAACTCCAGAGAATATCCCAAAATCTAGGAGATATCCCAAAATCTAGGAGATATCCCAAGATCCAGGTGATATCTGAAAATCCAGAGGATATCCAGAGGATATCCAGACAGTCTATTTCATTAGGTACCTGCACGAGCCACTAGCGCCATTTATTGTCAATACATGGCATCAATTCAGATGTTCGTACATGACATGGGCGGGCACACCCTGAGACCAGCTATTAGCCCTTATTTAAGGCTTTATGTTATGTCTAGGTCCTATTAGCAGCCCTTCAAAACTATTTTAAAATTCAATTTTACGGGGTATTAAGTTAAAAAGAGCAGTCAGCATCCTATCCTCGCGTGGGCCCTCACTGTCGTGGCCAGTGCACGTGACGCTATTTGTCTTGGCACTAGTTGACAGCAAACAACAAGTCGCCGCTTACAGAAACTTCTCCTCCTCATTTTATTTTGCGACTTGCTCCGGCGAGATCTTCAGTCTCTCTTCTTGAGTGTTGAAGTGCAGCTTCGGCTGAGCTTTGAATCAACCTATTTTTTTGCAGAATGCTCGGGTGAGACCGTCAGTCTCCTCACTCTCTTCTTTTGCGACTTGCTCCGGCGAGACCGTCTGTCTCATTTTATCCATGGCTTCCCCAAACAGCATGGATGTTGATATCGTCGAGCAGGCCCTTCAGGCCCAGCAAGACAACGCGGCCGCCACCGCCGCCCACACCGCCGACACGGAGATGGAAGATGCCGGCTTAACGACAGGGTTTGGTCGTCGCCGTGCTCCCCGGGAGACTCAGCTGCCAAAGGTGTTCAAGAAATGCCCGCAAAATCTCTCTGCCGACGAAAAAGCCATGATTCTTTCGAAGGACAAGGATCTTTATCCAGATCATTGGCCTCTGGGCGACTCCGGCTACAGCATAGAAGTTGCTGACTTGTTCGTTCTTCGTGGAGGAGCTGATGGTCCCCCGAAAGACATGGTCCCAGGTGGGTGGCGCACCGACAAGGAATACGCGACAATCATTCGCGTTGAATCCGGCGAAGAGGGAAAGTTGGTCCACTCATGGATGGGGTTCCACATGGATATGACCGCCGATCAGGTTAGGGCTCGTGTACAGGGAGTAGAACTCGAAGTCGAATCACCCCCCGAGGATGAGGTTATCACAGTCCAATACCACCTCGAGACACAGATTCCCAACTTGCAGTTCTCCATGTTCGACAAGAAATCCGGCCGCAAAATTTCATGCAGGGTATATGGCCAGCACTTGGCATGGAAAGATGAGGGTGAGTTGTCACCAGCTCTCCTCGACGCCGAAGACATGACGCGGCACATCAAGGAGCACGGCGACAGCGCATACACCGCCAAACTCGCCGAATTCAACCTCATCGAGGACGCCAAGCACGGTCTTCTCCGTCTCACTGTCGAACTCGCACAGGAAAACTCCGAGGTTTTCGGCGAGAACGTGTTCCTCTGGGAAGGCTGCACTGACGAGCACGTGGAGGAACTTGCGCGAGCGGATGCTACAACTGACCCTGTGGCTTCGTTCTACCAGTCCATGAAGTATGCCCGCAAACTTCAGGCGTACATGGCCGTTCCAAAGTCACAATTCGCCAAGTGGATGCAGGCCGGCTATTACATACAACGCTTGATCACCATCACCACGTATAAGGGCAGCTTTTAGTCCTACTGCCGTCAATGCGCGCTCGAAGGCAGTGACAATGAGCGGGTCAACAACATTTAGTACACGGGATGGGCGGCCCATGAACTCAGAGGTAAAAACACGCGTTATGCTGGTTGGCTTAACTGACAGGCAGGTAGCTGATGATGTGTGTACGCACGTACAGTGGCGTAGGTAGCTTAAACAAACTTAACACCAGTGGCAAACGTAGATAATATCAGTGATCCAAGTACTACAAGTAGTTTTCATATTGCGTAAAGTTGGGATATGATGGGACTTTAGATACAAGGCTGTATGTAATTTTGTCTTTGCCTCTGAATTATATACATAGGTATCAAAGCTACGCTAATTTATTTACAATATCACTTTCAAACTTGAAGCCCTGGTGTTGGTCCCCGAGTGAGCCAACACTTTAGGGTATTTCGCCTCAGCCTTGGAGGCGCCTTCCATATTGGACACATACCTACCTACCTAGGTAGGTATGTAGCACCACAACTAAAACCACGTGGAGTCTATTGGTGATCGCGATGCTCAAACGCCCAATCAACAAAAACCTTCTTCATACATAACAAAACCCAAACACTATTACTGAACATCGTCCCCATCTATTTAGTTTCACTTACCAAGAGGAAATACTATCAAAGCAAACGTGTCGGTAGTTTAGCGGTAGAATGCTTGGGCCTTTCAGTTATTCTGAATAACACTTTTGCGGCCTGCTCCGGCGGGACCGTCCCCTTCCGGCTCAAGAGACTCGTGTTCAAATCACGACCGACACCAAATTTGAGTTTCATTTTTGTCATCTAAATCTCTTTTAGATTCAATATATTTGGTCAAATTTGAGTGAGAAGAGCAAGAAGAAGAGAAAAAAAAAAGATATGTTTTGTATACGCGATTCAGCATGTGTCTCACCAGGAGCAGGGAACAGAAAAGGGGAGGGGGAAGAAAGTAAGTTGAACGAGGAACGGCAGATACTCGCATAAAGAATAAAAAGCTTGAAAATTATCAAGCCTTGGTATACGAAAGCAAAGTATAAGGCTGCACACGATATTCAATTCAAGCAAGCCTACATACAGGGTGGGTGTACGACAGTGCCCGGAAGCAGTGGTAGACCACAAGGAGACAAAACCTTGGTACAGAACAATAAAAGTCTATGCATCATCAATAATACCCCTGATTTATTGGTTCGAGTACTCTTTTGGCTTCCTTGCACGCCATCAAAATCCTTCTTCGATCTTATCACAATGCTGTGTCTCGTAATCGAAAATTATTCGGCAGTTCTCAGGTTTTAAGATTTCAGTTGTCGTGGGAGCGAGTTATAGTTTTCCTGAAGTCTTCGAGGTTCCCCTGATCCACGCGTTGATTAGAATATGCGAGACCGTCAGTCAACGTATGACCTGTAGTTTTTTCAGTTCTCACCTAACCCTCAGAAGTCTCAAGTTCATCTGCCCTGACACTCAAAAGCCAATCTGGCCCCTTATCATGTCCTCCAACATCCGGACGTAGCAAAAGCAAGGTAGCATGTGTGTGATTAAAAATAAAAGTAGTCGAACTAGCAAAAGTGTCGGCAATCGGCCAGTGGAGGAGGGGAAAGCTGGGCGCCGACACAGAAACAAGTAAGCATGAGGGAAAGAGCCATCTCCCACCTGCAGTTTCATTACCGCAGAGAAACAACCACATTCGCGCTCGCTGCTCAGGTCGAGGCAGATAAACACGAGCTAGTATCATGACCTGATCGTCGGGGCCATCATTGGGACTGGCGTCCCCCAGATCTTCATCAAGCACATGTATGAGCCTTGAAGTGGCTGGTCTGATGGTGAGGAAAGTCGTTCATTCATTGCGGTACTGCGCATGAGAAAAACAGGAAAAATTTATATATAGCTCTAGGGTTTTTCCCGCCCATAATCAGAAATAAGAAAAGAAGAAGAGAAGAACGATTCACCATTCGGTTGGAACGTGAACGTAGAACGCTAAGACACGCAGAGTCCAAAAAATCGCAGAAACGAGCGCAGAAGACGCCCAGGAAGAACGGGGTGGGGATCAATTCCTCATGAACATCTTGAAGCTTTCGTTGCCAGTAACTTCCTTCCAAGGATAGCCAATGGTTTTCAGGAACTCGGTCAGCTTCGCCTCGTCTCCAACCGGACACTGGATCCCGGCTAGAATCTTCGCGACGTCGCCCCCGTGATTTCGGTAGTGGAATAACGAGATGTTCATGCCTGGCTGCAGGGTGTGTAGGAACTTATACAACGCACCGCCTCGCTCAGGGAACTCAAACATGTACATGTGCTCGTCAGCGGCATCGCTACGCCCTCCGACCAAGTAGCGGATATGTGATTTGGTGAGCTCATCGTCAGAGAGATCCGTAGCTATCATGCCTTCGGTGGCGAGACGGGCAATGAGATCGGGAAGATCGGTAGAGCGGGTCGCGGCTTTGAGTTCCACACCGACGAGGATGTTTGCGGCGCTTGCGCTACTGTAGCGATAGCTGAATTCAGTCACACCCATGGGGTGAATGGTCGATACGAGCTTCGCAAAGGCGCCAGGTCTCTCGGGAATGGTGACCGACAAAAGGGCTTCCTTGTTCTCTCCCAGAGCAGCGCGCTCCGCGACAAAACGAAGGCGGTCGAAATTCATGTTTGCACCACTAGCGATGGCAACGAGACCGCGGTTGGCGTTTGGAGATGGGTTACGTTGCACCCATTTTTTGAGACCAGCGAGAGCCAGAGCGCCTGCGGGCTCGACGATAGAGCGCGTGTCCTCGAACATGTCTTTGATAGCAGCGCAGGTTTCATCGGTTGTCACTTGGACAACTTCGTCGACGACTTCCTGGCAGATGCGGAAGGTTTCCTCACCGACCGTTTTGACGGCTGCTCCATCGGCGAAGAGGCCCACGTCCTTGAGGAGGACGCGCTTGCCCTGCTTGAGCGATTCCACCATAGCGTTTGCATCGTAGGTTTCTACACCGATGATGCGGACGTGCGGAGCAATACGCTTGATATACACACCAGTACCGGCAATGAGACCTCCACCACCCACGCAGCAGAAGACAGCCTCGAGGTCTTGCAGGTTAGTCTGTCGAAGCAGCTCCATACCAATTGTCCCCTGGCCAGCAATGACATAGGGGTCGTCGAAGGGAGGGATCGAGATGAGACCGTGGAGCGCTTCGAGACGTGCGGCTTCAGCTTTGGCGGCGTCGAAGTCGGCCCCATGAAGAGTGACTGCTCCGCCCAGGCGGGAAACATTTTTGTGTTTGATATCGGGGGTGCCCGAGGGCATGACGATGGTAGCGGGAATGCGGAGATGGCGAGCTGAATAGGCTACACCTTGGGCATGATTTCCTGTCGTGAAATGGATTATTAGTATCGGTTGGTGTTTTGGAAGAGGGGGAGAAGAGGGGTGGTTGTACCAGCGCTGCACGCAATGACGCCCTTCCAACGGTCCTTCTTGTCAAGGTGAGCCATTTTGTTGTAGGCCCCACGCAGCTTGAAGCTGAAGACAGGCTGGAGATCTTCGCGTTTGAGGAGAACATTGCATTCCAGCCTGTTGCTGAGGTTGATGGCGTGTGTGAGGGGGGTTTCTTTCAAGATTTCGTAGACTTTGGAGGTAAGGATGAGGCGTAAGTACTATTGAATCGGTTAGTCATGCTTTCTTGCTTTCTTCTGTCTTCTTTTTCTTTCCCAAGCGAGCGATGTAGTGTGGGCTTACGTCTGGATATCCATTGGGAAGAAGAAAGGCAGACGGGATAGCTTGAACAGCTCTGGAGGAGGTTTCGGATGGAGGGCTGGGGTTGGCGGTGTATTCAGTCAAGGCGAGGCCGGTTTGTTTGGGGGTTCTGGGTGATGTGATGCCATTGGTGTTGTTCTCTGGGGTTGTAGGACGGGAGAAGTCTGGAGTCATTGCCATTGCGAATGGCGATGTTCTGTTATGGGTGGAAGTGGTAGAAGCAGAGGAAGACTCACCACAATGAATGAACTATCATTTCTCAATTCGTTCATTTCGATATCGGAGACTCGGAAAAGTGAGGTAAGGGTGGCACGGACTCTCGTTTAGCGGGGTAGCTAGCGCCATCTTGCACCACCACTCAGAGAGTCGAGAATATAAATGATTACACACTGTATAATTCACACCTTTGTATGTATCGCCAGAGTGCGATTGGTTGATGCTGTACAGAACGCAGCCTTCACTACACCCCTTTCGCATCATGTCGCCCGTGCGCGTGTAACCATCGCGTCATCTGGCCTTGACGCGCATCTCCATTTCCATCTCCATCTCCATCTTCATCGACTTCCATTCGCCCATTTTTCCGTTCTTCGCAAACTTCCCCCCTAAACGCCGGCGCTGAATGGAATCATTAGCCCCCCTAAGCGCATCATGGTGCGATTGCGATTGACACCTTCGCGACTCCTGCTGGCCTTCCTCATCTGCCTCCTGTTCTTCCTGTCCCCCAAGCTCCTCCATCGCCGCCGTCGATTCGATAACATCGACGCCAGCATTGCCTCGGTCCAGCCAGCAGCATCCTACGGCACCGAGTGCTCTCCTTTCAGCAGTGATGGCCTCAATGATGTCGCCATCGTGCTCAAGATGACCACCGCCCAAGTCACTGCCCAGCTTCCCTCGTACCTGAGTCGCATCGGCCGCTGTCTAACCAGCGAACACCTCCTGCTCTTCTCCGACCGCACCCAAGAGTACAATGACCTCCCCATTCACGATGCCCTCAAATACCTCCGCCCCGAGTACAAGTACCAAAACCCCGACTTTGATCTCTATGACCAGATTCAGCGCGGCGAAACTGTCGACGCAACTCCTCTCGATAAATACAAGCAGATTTTGATCATGGAGCAGACATGGAAACATCGTCCGCAGAAAGACTGGTTCGTCTTTCTTGAGCTTGACACCTATGTCAATTGGGACAATCTACACCGTTTTCTCTCCCGCTTCGATCCGAGCGTTCCGTACTATTTCGGCTCGCCGGTATTGCCGCGCAAGAAACCTTTTGCCGCTCAGGCCACCTCAGGCATCATCCTGTCCCGGGCAGCGCTGAATAAGCTCATGTCCAAGGGGCGTATGTTTGCTGAAAATCATCACGCAGTAGGTACCCATCTGTTCGGGCTGGATTTGACACAGGAAACTCGTGGCGACCTCGTCCTTGCCAAGGTTCTCAAGCAAAGTGGTGTCTCCCTTCGTGGCTATGATCCCGCCTTCACCAACGATTCCCCATCTACAATCCGCTTCGGCTCCTCACAATGGTGCGAAGTGGTCATAACCCTACATTCCAACGACTCAGAACTCGCCCGCTGGGAAACTACCCGCCAAACTCCCGCCACCCCCCTCACTTTCGCCGAACTCTTCACGCACATTGAGCCATCCCTCCAACCGCGCATCGATGATTGGACAAACCTTTCCGAGAAGGTCATCGGTCCTGCGACGACCGTCGATGCATGTCGCGCGGCGTGCGCTAGAGATAAAAAATGTATACAGTTCGAATATGTGGGAGAGTCGTGTCGGATATCGCACGGCGTGCGCCTGGGTTACGCACATCCGCCAACGCCAGAGGACGATCGGAAGACGACAGCTGGGTGGATGGTGGAGCGAATCCCTGCGTTTAAGCAACTACAATCCCGCCGGTGCAAAGGCGCGCATCTTGTTCGTGCGGATCCTTGATTCTCTTCCGTGGCTTTTATCTTACTCACGAATACATTGCGGGCATGGGATGAGAATAAGCGTGGGTGCATCCTTGCGAGACCCATCTGTGGAGAGGGGACTTGTCTTTCGAATCACATTGCGTTATACCCTCGAGGCGCAGTTTTCATGTTTGTGGTAGCTTATATCTGGTTGCATTGGGCGGCGTTTTGGGTTTCTCAACTCTATGCTTGGACAGGAGGTCTTAGACCTCACTGGGTATGCTCAATGAGTCATCTCCAGTATCTGAGCCGCATGAGTAGGATCACGGCTTCTATTATCTTCATTTGAATGAGATATGTCTTACCATGACGGACTTCGCACTTCCCAGCAGTGACAAGATGTTATGAATGTAAACATATATTAAGTGGCTTATGTCGGTATGCTATGTAGTTCAAAAAAAGACTAGCTTTTTCTTCTCTCATTTGATGTCCAGCTCATATACAAACACATACCTAGCATGTGCATCTCCGAATTTACAGTTCCACTGATAGCTCAAGGCAGGGGGGCAGCGAGCCCCAATGTCCACCTTTCTTTCCTTCTTTCCTTTGTATATATAAACGTATCAAATCCTCATAACACATCATCATCTTTCTCGTAGTTTCGTCAACAAAACAAAGGGTATAAGGGAATAATGACGAGAAACAAAAAGCAGAAACGACCGCTAGGAACGCAGCAATGTTTTGAAAATGACAGAAGAACCTCCAGCGCAGCAGGAAAGGGATCCAAAAAAGAAAAATGAAGAAGAAAAGAGAGATTAAAACGGTAGGCAAGCGCTGGTGGTGGCTAGCTAGGGAGAAAAGAAAAGGAGGAAGGGGTGGAGGAAGGAGGCATCAAGCACATCCATCCTCACTGAAAACAAGAGAAAGGGAAGAGAAAAAGGGAATCAAACACTGACGGTCCTTCTCACACCGCACTCGGGCTTCGTCGCAAACCCAATCAGCAGCCTGAAACTTGTGCCTCTCTTCTCGCACTCGCGCACAAGCGCTTCATCGTTCCAGAGACTGGTTTCTAGCATCTGTCCGCTGTTCTCGGTGGCGGAGGACGATCCGGCTTCGGGGAGCACGACGGACTCGTAGCATCGGCTGTACCACCACCGACCGACGCGCGCGACCATGTCTGCGATGGATGTCGAGGTAGATGCTGAGGAGGAGGGGGTGGGAGAGGACGTCAGGTTTAGGAGTTCGGTGAAGGAGAGTTCTTGTTTAGGTGTCGCTGTCCTTGTCGAGGACTGCTTCTTACCCGCTGCAGCGGCAGCACCGGAAGCTGAAGAGCTCGCCACGCTTCCCTTCCTGCTTGTCGATTTGGTCGATGCATCGTCCGAAGGGCAAGGAAGTCCTCCAGCAACAGGCACCCCCACAAAACAACGGTTACACTCCACAAACCCCTTCCGTCCCAATACCCCCATGATCTCGTCGCTCATGTTCCTCAGCGACGTATTCTCATCCGCAACCTGCATCTTCACTTTCAAACCCCGGACGGCACGACGCGCGCGGTTTCCCATGTTGACAAGATCGAGGTCCAGAACGCTGAGCTCGAGATGCCCGCCTGGACGGAGCACACGTTTGCATTCTGAGATAACGAAGCGGTGGGTGGAGGAAGGAAGGGCGGAGGGGAATCGCAGCACGACGCAAGCGAAGAAGCCTTTTGGGAAGGGGAAAGCGGTTTTGGGGGAAGGATGCGAGATGTGGCGGTGGTTTGCGAGTGTTGACCAGGGCTCATTGGCAGCAGTGGCATTGCCACTACCTGATTGAGGGGAGACTGAAGCGCCTGGGCCGAGGTTGTATACAGTGGCTTCGGGGTACGTGAGAGCGCAGTAGTACGACCAGTCTTTTCCAAGACCGTCGATGACGAGGACGCGGTCTTCGGGGTTCTTGAGCTCGAAGTGTGCGGGGCTGAAAAGGACACGGCCGAAACTGAGCCATTTGCTTGTCATGAGGGCGCCGAATCGAAGGTTCGCCATGGAGACTAGGCCGGTTCCGTCTGCTTCGGTGAGTTCTTTGAGTTTGGTGTCGCGGTCTTTTTCGGATGAGGATGCGAGAGTTGCTTTAGATGGGCGAGCGCTAAGGGTTAGGGAAGCAGGAAGACTGGAGCGCGTGGAACTGGCTCGATTGTTGCGGGGAGCGGAGCCAGAGGACATGCGGGCGGACGGGAAGCTTAGACGTCCAGTGACGGGATCGACTACGCTGATGGTCTTTTCGCCGTAGCCCTGGAGGAACTCGGACAGAGATACCGGCGACGTTGGTGACTGCGCATGCAGAACAGAGAGCAAGCGGGATCGACGGAGATGGTACGATGGATGTGTGGCATCCGTCTTGATGTTGAGAGGAAGTGGTTCGAGTGAAGAGCGTGGCTTCAACTTTGCGTCAGCCTCCGAAGGCGAGAGCACCTCGTCAATGAGATCATCATATTCGTTCCAGACCTCATCTTCAGACTGAGGAGCACCAGTTGGCGGTACAATAGCAGTGCCGGCTGTTGGTAGAAAACTCCAGGTACCAGAGCTGCTCGAATACGACACCTCGGAATCTTTGCGCTGAGGGAACTTGAAGAACTCGCTCTGGCGGTGGGATTCTTCCGCGGTGGGACTCAGTGTTGCAATAGCCGATGCATGTGAGAGCGCATTAAGCCCCTGGAGCACGGGGTATGGCTCAGCGTAGTAGGAAGTCGCATCAATGGAGGTTCGAGTAGGCAGAGAGGGGTGGGGTTGATTGGCAGCAAATGGACGTGAGAAAGACTGCGCAGGCCGATGCGGTTGGTTGCGTCTTGATACTACTTGTGGGATCCGACCAACCTGAGCTAAGCGGCTGGGTTTGGGTGGTGGGCTCGAAGGTGGTGGGCCGAGGGGAGGAGAGTATATTTGGGGTAGTTCCGGAGGTGATGCCATTTTCGGTGCAAACACAGGCAAAGGACCAAGAGTGGTGGTCTTTGGCGAGACGACTGATTCCACTGGAGAAGAGGGTCTGGACGGAGATGAGCAAGGAGAGAGGTCGGTCACAGGCGTAAGGTCCCCGAGGTCGTGAGATTCGGAAATCTCGTGGGCAATAGAATTATTGACGCCGACGTCTAGGCGTTGTGTATCAGAATCTGACTCCCCTCGCAGAGAAACCTTTGGCGATGCTGGGCGAGCCTGCATAGCGAACTCAGCAGGAAGAACAGGTTTTGGTGGGAGAAGCATGGAATGCAAGCGCTCTTTGACCTCCGGAGTCTCTTCATGTGTCTCGACGGGGATAGATTCACTTTCCGGTGAGCTGTCTTCCTCCATCAATTGTTCTATATCCTCGAGATCGATACCTGCTTCCGAAGCCAGTGCATAGTGAGCCACCGAGCGAGACGCAGGCACAGCTGTAGCTACTTCCACAGCAGGCGTTGCTGCACGAGGACCTGCGTGAGCGCGCTGGAAGAAATTCCATTTCCTGGGCTTCGAAACCTCCTTCTCCTTCTTGGAAGCTTTCAGCCAGTTGCCTTCTTTACCATCTGAAGCATAGTCATCAACAGAACCCTTTCTACCTTTCCCGAGCGCACTGCCACTTCGAGGAGCCCGAGGAGTAGGTTTCGGTTCGATGACCTTGGACATGCGTGATGTGCGTTTAGAGGTTAGAGACGGTATAAAAGATCTTTTCGTGTCATCATCGCTCTCTGATGGTCGTCGAGATCCAATCACAGGCTTCTTCGTTGGCGAGAGGCTGCGGACTGGGCCAGACATTGCAGATGGCAACAGCGATGGTCGCTTAGCCTCAACTTCAGCCTTCTTCTGGTGCTCCACAGGTGGACTGGAAACATTCAGACTGCTGGTACTTTCCATTGGCTCAGGGCTTCGTGTCAAACCGTCGCTGCTTCCATTCCCACGAATGACTCTCGGTGCAAGTCTGTTCAGAAGGAAGTCATCCATGTCGGTGCTCGAGGTGCTCGTCACACTGCTCTTGCGAGTGGATGGGGTCCTGGTAAGGCTCTCAGATGTCGTAGCCGCACTAGCTGAATGGCCAATGCTTGGTGTGACACTCCCAGTACTTCCACTCCGGCCTCGAAAGGCATAACGACCATAACCTTCATGACCAGTCCCAGCAGCAGGCCCTCTGCGGTGTTTCTTTTCGGGTTTTGCGGTTGAGGGTTCGGTCTTTGTGCGACGTGTGAAGAAGCCAAATCTCGACGACTTAGTAGGCAGTGTCTGAGACCGCTCCTTCTCAACGTCGGGGGTGGTCCCACGGATAGGAGCATGAGATGCTGATGCGAGGCTGGGGTTGGGAGAAGGATTCCGCGAAGAAGACTTGGAAGGAAGACCAAATCTGGCTCTACTGTTTGGCACACTGGCTGACTCGGTAGATGGAGTGCGTCTGTGTGCAGAGGGAAAACTAGACATGTTGCTTTGGATAACTGGCGAGGGACCGCGGAGTCCGACAATTTCCGAAGTGCCTTCTCTACTTGGCCTGGATGGTCTTCTCGAAGTGGCGGGCGAGTCGGCCAGATGCGCTAGCTCAGGAGGTGCTTGCACACGAGGCTTTTCTGTAGCACTTCCTGACGGACGACGGACAGCGGGCAATCGTTCAGTGCCTTGCTTTGCTTTCTGGCGCTCAACCTGCATGCCAGAAGTGGACGGAGTTGGTCCACGGCTCGACGATGGTTCGGGTGTGGCAAATTTGGCGCCCGGCGGCTTTCCTGATAACGGACTTGCCTGTCGCATGCGAGTAGCGGGTTTACTTGGTAGTGTTACGCCCGGAGAGTAAGAAGACAGGGAATTCGGGGTGGAGGAGACGCTGAAGAGACTTGGTGATGCTGAGTAGCCCGTGGATGGGGTTGTAGAGGGCGCATACTGTGGAAATGACGGCGGTGCCATATCCGTAGGACCAGGTTCATAGCTGTAGGCGTATTCCGTGTCGACTTGAAGAGGAACCGGGGTATTTGAGGTCTGCGGAATGGATATCCCCAAAACTGTTTCTGAGAAAGGATCTTTGAATGAAGAAAATGGTTCCTTGATCATTTGTCTTCCCTCGTACGACGGCAACGAATCATCCCTGCGAGGTCTAGCTGCAAGACTCGACTGTTTCTTGCGGAGCACACTTGATCGAGGACTGTCCGATGTAGATACAGATGATCCGGATACCAAAGACGGTGTAGGTGTGATGACCGCTCGAGGCACTTCAAGCTTGGGTAAGCGAGAGGAAGAATGCTGGAGCGGAGTCTTGGATAAGGACGGTCTTGAGCTGGGCTGGGGCGTGGGAATGGTCCTATCTTGACGCGATCGTACTGTTGAAGGTGCCCGGGAGCTAGAGCGCGGTTGCTCGTCTCGGTTGGGGTTTCGTTTTTGAAGTTTAGAATGACCCGATTGCAACGTTGGGGTTACCGACCGTTGTGGTAACCGGGTTGTTGGTACTTGGGTGTATGGCGTTTGGTCCTCCCTTCTTGGAGGGTTGACGCGTGACTTATACGAAGCCATGTTGAACTCCTCTGTGTAACCGGACCAGGTAGATTCCCAAAGGTTGTGTGCACCGGGCAACTCATGAAGTCATGGGACGATTCGTGATGTAGGTTTCGAGTAGTTTAAAAAAAAGATGGGGGTGGTGTTGATTAGTGTAAGCAACGGTCAGCTCGGGACAATTCGTTAGGGTGGTGCGGGAAGAAGCGGGGAGGTGGCGAGATCTGACTACGCAACAGGTACAAGAGAAGAGGGTCTTGAGATATAAAGCAAACAACAAAACTGCAAAGAATTCGCAAGTAGCCGTGCATAAACTCGGTGAGGATGAGTATGCAGTGTTTTGCGTGCGCCACTTCGGTAGGCCCGGTGTGGCAATCGGTTAGGACCGAAGCAAAGTGGCAGTGCTCTCAGAGAGCAACAGGGGTTGTTGGACAGATCAACCACAATCAGAAACTGGGTTACGCCGGACAAAACGACAGGTATATCCTCGTTGTCAAGGAAAATCAGGGAATTGAAGGTCCCGATTCTGGACGGGGCCCAATGTGGAGAAGAAGCAGGAACAAAGCTGCTGGTGGGGAATGGGGACTAAAAGTATAGATGAATGGTTGCGAAAAGGGTGGTATTCGGGACCAGAGGGATCGTTGGATGAGGGCAATCCTTCTCTTGCTGACGACTCTGGCGTGAGACGGGCGGGGTGCAGGTTTGATAAGTATGTAGGAGGGCAAGGCCAGCAGCATAACGACGACATTGCACCGTGAGACGGGGGCATCCTGACGGACGAGGGCCTGCCATTTGCTAGCGGCGCTTGCGCTTGTAGACGGGTAGCCAGGTTGGGCAAAGGGGGATGGACAAAGTCGATGGCCAGTCGGGGGACAAAGATGGGATGAGGGAGTTGGGATTCGCAACATAGACCCTGCCCTGGTCCCGCCAATGGACGGCGCAGGCGCTACACTGTCTCTGCCGGGAGGCATGAGTACGCGAGACGGTGCTAGTGAGACTGCCGGCGATGGTGGTAGACGCGTGCGTGATGGATAGCTGGACTGTTCAAATGTTGTTGAGTGTTGAGTGTGGAGAGTCGACATGGCCGTCAACTCAGGCATGGCGCGAGTCAGGAAATGTAATAGTATCTACCTACGTAGGAAAATGTATACACGCACAACTACCACCGCCGTACGTACGACAACCTACCAACACAACACAAGCCAGCTTCAGCAGAGCATACCCTGAGATTGTGACTAAAATAACATTGTAAAGCCTTAGCATGCACGAGTCCAGAACAGGAATTGGTAGCGAGTTGATGTTGGGGGATTGATTCACTCGAGGCATTGGATGGGCAGAAGGCCTTCAATCAGGACGCCATATGAATCGAGGCGGGCGGATCCCCCTGCTGGACACGAGGAGTCATACTGCCGTGATGCGCGATTTCCGCTGTCTACATTCAGTGCTTTGATAACCTCGTACGCTGGCTACATGTCACGGTACCAAGTTTACATACATACATGTAAGTACATACAACAGCAACAACCCCCAAGCAATCCCGTCCGCGGCCTGGTGACTCTGTACACATGTGCTCGTGATCAAGTTCCCACCACTCCCAACCACCAAAAGGATTGGCGGACAGTGCTCGATTCCGCTGCCATACGTCTATATTCCTGTCTGCTATACACACGGTGGATTGTCTGTGGGTACATGGAATCCGAAACGACAGCCGGAGAGCCCGTAGGTACCGGTACCTGTCCCAGCTGAAGTGTGGCGAGGTACGTCGCTAGTCGACCTCGGTAGACCAACGTCTGTATGGAACATGAGGCTGAGCACTTGCCACAATGCCAACGCACCGCATGGAATCAGGGCGAGCATCTCCTCCCATCGTCGACGATAATACTCATTCTGTCTGTCTGAATCAGACATGTTGGATGAGTCCCAAATATCCTGCATCCATGTGGGTGTGGAGGGCTCAACAAAGTCTCGCACTCATCAACCCCAGCGGCTAACGACTTCGCGCAACAGGACCTCTTCTGCAATCTGATTGGCCGGCTGCCACTGTGATCAATCTTAGCCCGGCCGCATACCAGAATCGTCATGTGACCTCTCTATACCAGGAAAAGAGCCCATGTCCCTCACCTGTACACCAATCAGTGGCCTCAACGCGCCATCGGAAAGTCGTCACGTCGCCCTCATCCATGCCCACGTCTTTTTCTCGCACTTGTGCCGCTTCATGTACGACATTGGCGCCGGATGCAGGAATGGTAACGGTTAATCCGCCATTCTAGTACCTACCTAGCGAGCTCTGCGTGTGCAGCCATGCTACTGTGATGGGGTGCAGAATCACTTCATCGCTTCATGTTGGATCGTGTCCACACTCCACAAGGAAATTCAGGCTCAACTTCCGAGCGCACTACTCACCTTGATAGCGGCGCGCGACTAACACGGGGCCCACGGGGGAGCGAGGAGCGGGACGACAATTAGTGACGATGCTAAACAAGTACTCCGAACCCTCCTGCAAATCACCATCCATAACCGCATCAAGAGGCCAAAAGCCACCCTTGAGTCCAGATTTCCAGGGTCGACCAGTCGTGGGGATGCCGTCCACCAGATGGTGTGATGATTACTACTTTGAAGCTGAGATGCAACACAACGAGGTTGCGTGGTCTGCATGAGAAGTCACAGGCAGCCATACATCGATATGAAAACTCTGGGGGTCAGTTGGACCGATGACGGCATGGCTGTCTTCTGGAAGGGGAATCACTTGCATGCGGTTTCTTTTGGCCTTGAATGCCTATACTGGGCAGTGAAATCAAGACTAGAACTCATCTTTGTCTCAAGGGCATCTGTCACGCAGCACCATCTCAACACTCTCAGAAAGCAGCTCCGATTCAAGATGAAATATTCAATCTTGCGCCCAGAGAGCCGGGAACACTCCGGTAAAAGACTTTCTGGTAGATGATTGAGTGTTCTAGTAGTCCTACCAACGATGATGCATTGCGCACAAACTGCAACGATCCCATTGGTCCAAGCCACGTAAACAAATGATTTTGTCACAATTCAGCCTACAACTAGCGGAACGCTCTGCGTAAACGACCGTAATCAGGCCTCGATAAAAGTAAATATTCACCAAAATCGAATACTCACGCTTCAATTTATCTCATATAAACAGTTGAAGGTATTCCTCGACGTGGAGTCTAAGGTGAAGAGCAGAGACTACTGAGTGTGTAGTCGGTCCAACCAAAAATAGACTAGCGTCGTCGTACGTCTTGGCAATCGCGCGCAACTGCCCCGACCTTTGTATTCGACCTCCCTTCGACCTCATCTCCATTCTCTTCCCGTTCATTACCTTGTACCCGATCTACAACTTCTCTCTGTCGCGCAATCCTTCGTTTCTCAGCGACACGTTCAGAACCCCCCCGAACCAGCAACCCGGCGAAACGCGCGTCTCCGCCGCTTCAGTCGCGCCTCACATAACACGTCTCCCCCTTACCTTCCTCCACAATCGCCTTATCATGGCCAACTACGACACCCAGAAGGTGCCCGATCTCAAGGCGCTGCTCACCGAGCGCGGACTGCCGACAACGGGTAAGAAGTCGGATCTGATCGAGCGCCTCACCAAAGACGACGAGAAGAAGACAGAAACAACAGCAGCTGCGCCTGCCAAGATCCACCCCGAGGATGAAATTGACTGGGATGACGAGGAGGAAGCATCTGCAGAAGCTGCAAAGACGACTGCTGCGCCAGCAGAGGAGCCTAAGGCCACTCCTGCAGAAGTCGTCAACAAAGCCGGTGGCGTCGGTCAGCCCCCAAACCCGCAAGCTGTCCCTAACCAGCAAGCCGACATTGATCCTTCCACCACCGATGATCTTGCTGTGAAGCCACCGACTGATGAGAAGGACGTTGCTGTAGCGGAGGCTAAGAAGGAAGAGCCTGCAGAGGATTTCACCAAGGGCGTCGCAGCGAGCAACCTCGAACAAGAGATCGAGAAGCGCAAGAAGCGCGCCGAGCGATTTGGTTTGAAAGTCGAAGAGGAGGATTCCAATGTCAAGCTCCTGGAACGCGCTAAGAAGTTCGGAGGCGCCGGACCTCCCAAGGGCTTGGATGAAGCTCTCCCAGAGCGCGAACGTCGCAAGCGAGGCCGCGAAGACAACGAGGATGGCGGAAGGCACAAGCGCCGTGGTGGTGGTGGTGGTGGTGGTGGCCGCTCAGGTGGTCGGCAAGGCCGCGGAAACCAAGACGGTGGAAGGCGATCGGACAATCGCCGAGATGGCGGACGATCAAACGGCGGAGGAGCTTCCTGGATGAGTGAGGCCGATCGACAGAGGGCCCAATCTCGCCGGGATCGCTTCGCTCCCAAATCCACTTCGTGAGCATTGGGTGAGTCTAATTCGAGTGCCTGCCTCACTTGATTTCGACTAACTTCAAGCTATAGGTCGGTTTGAGTTTTACAACATCCTTCACTACTAGTGGATGCCGCGTAAACTCGGCGTCCATGTACAACACTTCTACCAATCGATTTGGGTCCAGATTGCCATGGGATTGTTGGGACATCCTTTCTTTCCATACGAGCGCCGAGATATAAAACAATTGAATCAATGGGGTCTTTTTTTTCTTCTCCGATCCTTCGCCGTTCATGATTCCATCTTCACGCGCGCCTTCCCCGCCTCCCAAGGTTTCTACCCAAACTTTACCACTCAGATTTCACAGGCAGGATATTTCCGTCATCTGGAATTATGCATTGCATTGTGCGCGACGCGGAAAATGGTTCTAATAGGGGGTTCCGTGACCGCCCTGTACTACTTGGTCGACAGCTTAGAAGTTATTCTTGGATACTGGGGAAGATAACTGAACCAATCCGGGGGCCAGTCCTCCGTCAGGTCTGCGTTGTCTTTTATGACGAAGGGACCTTTCAATCAACAACTATTCAGATTTATCATCTCCCACAGCTCCGTGACCATGCCTGAAGTCTCAATCCAAACTACTCATTACCTTGCTTATTCTTACCAATCCGCCAAGCACAAAATCAGATTCCTGCGCTAGATCAAGATAAATGCCTGTTCGGGTTAATATGCGATTTTCCCCGCATCAACAACATGGGTACCTCGGAAATCGCAATCGCTTCGAATTTTTGCCGCCCGGGAATAGCTGTCTTGGCCTGACTTGATATGATATGTATGGTATGGCATTCTGAGCAGTCACCAAATTTGTTTTGTAACACACCATGTTCCCTTCGTCTATTTCAATGTACGCGGATACCGGTTAATCAGAGCTTTTTATCGATCCTATTGCGTGCTCGATGCCTAACGATACAAGTACGAACGAAGTAAACATTCGGATAAGTAGATCTATGACTCGTTTGTTCCCCAGTTCTCGTTATATCCGCTCTTCTCCAACGGTTCCCCATTCAATTCTCATCTCTTCTCCACCCACCACAAAAAATGACGGCCCCAACATTGGAATATGGAGAGAAGAAGGTATTTGGGGAACCTTCCCAAGAGGGCGAACATGCAGTCTACGAGCAAGAGCCAGATCAAAATACATCTCCAGCACCCACTGATGAGGAGCATTTGGACGCCCGTTCTATTGCTGAATCACAATTACCTCCAGCTCCAGATGGTGGCCTCCATGCCTGGTTGAAAGTGGTTGGGGGGTTTCTGATCTACATCAATATTTGGTTCGTTTGCTGGACGTAACTCACCGACACTTACTGTACTGACCGTACAGGGGTTTTACATTATCTTTCGGGGCTTTCCAAGCTTACTACTCGGGCAACATTCTCTCCAACATGACAGCTTCTTCAATTTCCTGGATAGGTATGATAGGCAATCAAGTTCGTAGCACAACAAACAGACTTACGATTTTCAAGGTACGATCCAAGCCTGGCTGTTGATTGTCGTAGGCGTACTCTCTGGCCCCCTATTCGATCGTGGATACTTCAGATCTATGCTTTGTATAGGCAACTTCCTAGTTGTCTTCGGCATCATGATGCTCAGCCTGAGCACAAAATATTGGCAAATCTTCTTAAGCCAGGGTATATGCATGGGAATCGGCGCCGGATTGCTCTACATTCCATCTCTCGCACTCGTAGGGATCTGGTTTGATAAGAAACGCTCAATTGCCATGGGACTAGTAATGTCTGGCATAGCCATTGGCAAGTCTCTTTCTTCCGTACTCCAGATACAGTTGTCACTGACATACCGCAGGCGGAATAATGTACATTTTAATGTTGAACAGACTAGTCCCCATGCTCGGATTCCCCTGGGCAATCCGTTGCATAGGTTTTATCGCCCTCGGCGCCGCCTTGCTCTCCTTTCCTGCTCTCCTCTCCGGCTCAAAGGTCCTCACTCGCCCCCGAAAAGCCCGCAAACTCTTCGATAAAACCGCTCTTAAAGATCCTCTTACCCTCCTCTTCACACTATCCTCCTTCCTCAACTTTATCGGCTACAACATCCCCTACTTCTACATTCCAACGTATGCGAGGGAAGCTCTCGGAACGAGCCAAAGCCTGGCACTGTATACGCTTGTTATGGCTGTTGCGGCCAGCTTTTTTGGACGGATCACGTGTGGATTCGTTGCACAGTATATCGGGAATATCGTTGGGTGGTGTCTTTGTTCTGTTATCAGTGCGGTGCTTGCTTTTAGTTGGATTAGCATTACGACTGTACCGACCTTCATTGCATTTGCTATTCTTTGGGGTAAGCATGTCCTCCTCTCCTTCTTCGACTCATTATTACCTTATTGCTCACTATTGTTCTCCATTAGGTTTCCTTTCTGCGTCGTTGGTGACTTTACCCGCGTCTGCTTTCGCGACTATTTGCCCCGATCTCTCGCGCCTGGGAACACGTATGGGAATGAGCTGGAGTGTTTCATCTATTGCTACGCTCATAGGTCCTCCAATTGCTGGTCAATTGATTCGCACAAAAGAGGATGGGAAAGTCGACTTTCTGGGCTTGCAGTTGTGGAGTGGAATTTTTTTGTTGGTGACGAGCTGTACATTGTCGATTTTGTGGTATGTCAGTATGAAAAAGTTAGGGAAGGGCTGGCGCATTTAAGAACTATATTGGTAGGACTGATGGGTGGCGATGGATGGATGGGGCTATATCGCGCAAAAAGCACCCCTACGGTATGTCTGTAACAAGCGATCAGGATGAATCACATCTCACGCAATCTCGGACGTCTTTTCTCCAGTTCAACAATAACATTCTAACGCTCATCCAGACATGTACATCTTACAAAAATAAGAATACATGAAGCAAACCCTTAAACATAATATAGAATTCAGACGGACAGCCCCGATCACAGCCTCTCCAACTCTAAACAGAAAATCTTATCACACCTCCGGAAAGGGCTGATAATCAGTATCACAAATAGTATTATGTGGGGGCAACTTTCCCGTCTCGAGATACTGCTGCAGATTCGTCTCCGTACAATTCGATCGCGCGACCAAGAGTCCATGACCATTCGCCTTCTGTAGCATAACGACTGACCCTTCAAACAATGGCGACATCTTGTGGTAGCTGGAACTCAACCCGTCTATTGTGTTATCAGTGAAGAGGATTGGGGTGTTTGTTTTGACTTTGCTGATTTCTGGCAGGGTAAGTTATTGGAAGACTAGAAAATGCTGGATTGCTGGCTTACTGTCGATTCTCTGGGATACAGGAGGAGTGAATCTGATGTTGCGGCATTCAAGAAGCTGGACTGTGTGTCAGTATTGTGCTTCCCCTTGTTGATTGTCCGACTTACATTCTCGTTAGCCCAGGACTCTCCAAAGTACGTGCTCAACTGCTTGTTATACACGAACAGATCTTCCATCGCTTCCAACGTCCCTGGGAATCTTTTCTGGTTATCTAAGCATCTCGTGAAGATCCCACCGTATATATCCGTCGCGAAAGATGACTCCGAGTCTCCTCCCTCACCAATGTTAATCGGAGTGCCAAAGGACGATGCGTTTCCGCGCTCCAGCTCAGCGATCTGCTGAGCCAAGGGAGCAAAATAGGCTGATGGGTTGTACACCGCATTCCTCATAGCTGAGCGAAGCGGTTTGTCGTCGACAGTAATGGGTAGCAATACTTCTTTTGGATTGGTCGCAGAAATGGGAGCATCGACGAGCCTGAGGAGAAGATCATCGACTCTTTTCTTGATGCTTTCAGCTGTGGACCCGTTCTGGTATAATGCGCATCGAGGCCCGGCTGCTGCGCAAGATGTGAACAGATCGTTCACGGCTTCATCACCTTGTAGGAGATTCTGACTCCAGTTACCGAAGTAATGGTCCTCTATGTCGACTACGGCGTCTAGGATAAAGTGGCCAACACGGTCAGGATATAGCTGTGCGAACGTCATGCCCAGCGTGGTCCCATACGAATTTCCGTAGAGATTTACTTTAGTGTCGTTGCATGGCTTGCCTTGGGACTTTGCCAGTAATTCGGAGTAGTGCAGCATATCCGCCGCTACCGCTGGTGTATTTACATAGTTTGCAGTTTCGCTGAGTACGTTCGAGCACCACGACCCGAATGCGCCCGTTGTTTCAAAGGTTTTTGCTCTTTGCGGGTGATCGGTCCATCCCGCTGGACCACGGGATGTGAGGTATGTAAGCCCGAGCTCATCTGATTCTCCGAAGCAGTGGACGCTTGGTCCGCTGTATTGGATACCTCTATTGAACAGTTAGTAATGCGGAGGGTTCGCAATTGAATACCAGACGCGACAACTCGCTCACCTTGGTTCTAGAGCGACAATGTTGTATCTCTCGCCCAGAAGTCTACTCAGAGGTCCTGTCAATCCCAAAAGCTCGTCAACTGCCGAATATCCGGGCCCACCTGGATTAAAAATTAAATCGCCGAGTGCGGGCTGCTTTGGAGCGGGCCATTTGAGCAATGCGACATGGGTATTGCCGACTTTGGGGTCCTTATAGTCGAGTGGAACTTCCATCCTAGCACAGGTGAAATTTTGGAAGCAAGGGACATAGTGGAGATCCTTGGAGATGGGGATTTGGTCGAAGGTGAGGGAAGTGTTGTCTGCTTGGCTGAGGGCGAGCGCAGCCAGCGCAAAAAGAACTACGGATGAACGGGCTATCATGGCTCAATTGATTTAATGGATCTGTTGATGTTGTGTGGTTATTCTGGATGGTATCAGGCGGAGATGTTGTTTTTATATCCATGTTCAACAAACCATACAAAATTGTTTTTACGCCACCGACGTTGTCCAAGACTACTCAAGGCAGTGCGTTCGGATCGATCTATAATAGATTCTGTGGGAATGAACGACCATATGCGATTGCGTTGACTATTAGAGATGTCTTGGCCTGGGTAATATCTAAAAAGGTAAGCGGACTATGGGGCCATTGTATTAGGCTTCCCGCTGCTTAGAAGAACTGATTACTTTTGACCTCGTATTAAACTCAAAATGCGGTATTCTGAAACTTCAGTAGCACTGAATTGGCTTGAATTGCTTTCGGATGATTTTCTCATCCTGATTTTGAGGTGCTTGATGACGGTTGGGGTGGTGTTGGGATTTTAGCGCTCCATATGACTCCATTGGGATTAGCTCATCCATATGCTTGATGGCTCTGAAGACATATAATTGTGAAGAACAACGCGGTCATTCGTAAGACGTGAGCAGGCCACTGTGTACCTTTATACATGTGTACCTACCTACGTACCTGCATATAGGTACCTACCTATTTCCACTGTTCAACTGTGGGCTGCTTCCATCATGCAGAGTGGTAAATCAGTGCAAACATAATAACTATGCACTTAAATATAATATATTTATGTATTGTAATATTAATACAAGGAATTATAGGTATATTTACTCTCTCTTTTCTTCTTCTTCCCATGCTCCTGGAATACAAACGCTGACCTAGGGGTTAGGTGGAATGGGCCAAGTCTTAGGTGTCATGTCAAAGAATTTCAAGAAGACGATTAAGAAACATCCAAACATTCAGAATTGCCATCTTGGATAGTTAAATCCCAGGAGATAGATGATTCTATATCACCACACATACTTTTCTTACATCGCCACGGTAACGACTTCTGCAGGTGGCCCTTTGTATGATTTCCTGCCACTAAACACGTAAAACCCAACGGCTAGAGTGAGTAGCCCAACCAACACAACAGACGCATAATTCATCGAGATTTCATCGACAGGAATGGTCTGTGGCATACTGAAAAGGACGAGTTTGAACGTGATCCAAACCACAGCCACAGAGTTTGCGCCGAAACCCAAGACCTTTCCAACCGTCCATTTGGCTTGAGAAACCATCTTCCTCTTTCCAAACAGACTTATGGCAATAGGGATAAGATAGGCAAGCGATAAAGCGATGACGCCAACAGACACAAAAGCGGTAAAAGCACTAGAGCTCCCAAGTACGATAATACCAAGCAGCATCTCCACGACGGTGACCAACACAAGACTGTATAGCGGCTGTTGGAATGGAGTCTTTTCCCAAAACCTCGAGAAAGGCAATGCCTTATCACGAGAGAAAGCCCACGTGCAACGCGAAGCCGCGGTTGTGATAGAGACGGAGCAGAAGAGAGTGACAATCAAAACCATGATCATGATAATCAGGGATCCGACTTGGGTCCCCATAACTCTGTGAAGGATGAATGGTAAGGCTTGTCCATAGGGAGCCTCGAGGATATCTTCGAGAGGCGGGAGTGTGAAGCACAAGGGTAACACGAAGGCCAATGCAGCAATGCCTCCGAATGGTATCGTGAGGGAGAGAGCCCGGGGCATCTCCAGCGTAGGATCAAAACACTCCTCAGTCATGGAAGTGATCAGTCCGATGGCAGAAAACGAGTATGATGGTGGAAGCAGGCCGATGAAAAAGGTGAAGCCTTTTTCCCATCCGGATAGACTATATTCGTAGTTTCCTAAAGCAACACCTGCCGAATGCCGCCCTTCTTTGGCAGTCGCAGCCAAGGCGATGATGATGGCTATAATTGTGATGACGTTCCACACCGCCGCGAACATGTCAACAAAAGGGAGCAGGCTGTCTCCGAAACTGCAGATAAGGAAGACAGTTATGCAAAGAGCGAAGAATACAAGAAGCAATTGCCAGTCTTCAGCTTCCCACTCGGGATGGTAGATGGCAATGGTACCGGCAATGAGGGAAGCGAATCCAAAGTTTACGGAAAGCGCAATCGTCCAGTTGCCTGAGTATGGTCAGCGAGGTTCGAAGAAGATCTGAAGGGCCATCGAAATTTCAGCGTGTCATGTAATATGATTAGTTACTGAGTACCCATGGTAACGCACCTATAAACCAGCACCATCCCGTTGTAAAGGAGAGAAAGTTCTTCCACGTGTCCGATTCGACCAACTGATGCGTCCAGTAATACAATCCTGATGAGGATGGGAACCGGGAGGAAAGTTCTGCGAGCGAAATCGCGACGCAGCCGTCAAGGATTAGAACCACGATGAGACCTAGAAAAAGGGAAAGCTGGCCACCCCCGTAGATTGCACTCATCAATGGTCCGCCCATTCCATAAGGACTGAAACCTCTGTGTCAGCTTTTTTCGGTGTTTGATGGATTGAAATACTCACATTGCAGCGATGGCCAAAGCCATACCAACCACAGCCAGCAAAGACCTGTTGGGTCGTAACTGTGCATCGTACCCTATTTGTACCTCTGCTGCAACACCCTCTTGATATGTTGGTACGGTCATGAGTGGATTCCCCAGCTCTTTCTTGGTAGATGAAGGAGCCTCAGACATGTTCAGTGGCTTTTGTATGGAACAAGGAGTGGGATACTGTTAAATAGAAGAGATGGTAGCCTTGAATGTAATGTGATAGCGGAAGTATTGGGGTATGAGAGTAGAAGGACTTTGTACATCTATTATCTTGGGTGTATTCACATACCCAACGACCTCTATCACTCCTTAGCGTAATGGTTACGCCTCATGTCTATCAATTTGGATAAGACCAACTTAGCCCCAGATTAGCCCTATGGTGGAAAGGATGTACTCCAGATTGCTGCTCTTGATTGTGGCGCCTGAGCCTTGCCAGACTTAGGAAGTAGATAGGCAGATGGCATGTCAATTGAGAGTCAGACGCGGGGTTGCCACGTGCGTACCTTGGTGCCCATGAAGCAGCCTCTTTGAGCTCAAGCATTGAGTTTCAGGTGTGTCTTGGGCGAGCTAATCTCGATATGGTAGGTTTTTGGGCCAAAGGTATCCCGGGGCAGGGGAGCCTTTTAGCAACAGTAGCGGACAAGATAACAAGACTTTACGCGAAAGTATGACCTCTGAAGCGAACGTTAGCTTGCCCGGTCCCCGTCTGGACCGCTTGCGTGGGTGAGCCCAAGAAGCTTTCCGCGGAGCCTCAGGTGCAGCGCAAGACGGTGCGCTATATCCGGCCATAGCGAAGGGATGAAAGTACGGGGAAGACGATAACCCTCGCTATCTATGCCTTAGCAGAGCTTTGATCACGAACTAACTAAACCTACTGGCACCGTGTTCCAGAAAATCGAAGGCCCTGGTGGTGATTATCGTTTCTACGCCAATCGATAGTTGATGTTGAAGAAAGGATGATGAAGCGCCATGCGCCAAAGAGAGTGGCTGATCCCGTCGATCTATTGCGAAAAGCTCTGATCCTGCAGGACACGATGATTGGGCCAGGAGACAATTGGTGATGGTTCGCATCGGATCGGAGAGGAAGGGCATCCTCTGAAGAAATGAGCGGGGTGCAACCGACGGTGCTAGATGCTAGTGAAATGGTTAGTTATCTCGTAGCTGGTTACGCTAGCTAGGGTCAAGTATCCTTGAGAACTCCCCACCCCCAGTTGCAGTCATGCCATTTCTTATATCCTAACACCCATTCTGGCATCAAAACAACCAAAGTGAGACCCCATAATAAGAAACCCAATTCGCCATCATCGGCGACAGGAGCGTTTGGCAGTCATTACCAACTACTAGTCTCCATCAGGCCGACCCATGCCTGGTCTTCTTACCCACTACCACTCCCACTTTCTCTCTGATCACTGAAAACGCACGTGTCATATCGGATATGAATGGCAAAAAACGTACGCGCACGGTCGACGGCACATGCTGGCCTTGTCGCAAGCGCCGAATCAAGTGCGATCTGGGGAAACCTCAGTGTCGGAGATGCATTCTGAACGGCACAGCATCTGCCTGCCATTACAACGCCCTCGATCTTCGCTGGAAGATTGCCGCCACCTCCAAGTCTGATCACGTACCCACCACTCCGCCCGTCAGCTCCATATCCGATGGAACTTCTTTGGCCATCAATGAGAAGAGGGCAATAGACTACTTCGTGGCTCGGCTCTGGCCTTTGCTGTCCACCTCGGGCCAGCCATGCAAACCACCAGTCTCTCTCGGTCTTCGCTTCAAACCCGTCCTCCAAACAATATGCGTCTTCTCCGACTCGCACCGCGCACAGGACATGAATACATCAGAACAGACTCTGACTTACCAGCGCCTGGCCTGTTTGGGGTCCATCCGAGAATACTTGGATAGGAAGGACGTCGAGAGAAGCCATCTTTCTTCACTCCTCACCGCCGTCATCCTTCTCTACTTTCTGGATGGCTTTGTGGACTGCGCACAACGACACGCATCCACACAATTCCATCATGCTGGCGCCATCGCTATCCTGACTGAACTGGGTGGCTTTCAAAAGGCGCGTGCCACCTCTTCCAAAGCAACAAGTATGTTGCTGAGTGAATTCGCGACCACAGATCTAACTGCTGCTCTTCTCCAATCAAGAACACCATATCTGCCGGCCAACATCTGGAGAGAGATGGAGCTGCAACAGCCCGTGTGGTGGGAAGTGTCTGATATACCAAAGTCTCTCGCATCGGTCTTCGAAACAATGGCGGAAATGAGTTTCTATCGTCATTCCATAGGAGAAGAACAGGCGGTCTGCTTCGAGAAGGTAGCGAACTTCGAAAAGACGCTTCAGCCTAGCTATTTGGTGATTGGCGACGCAGTCAGCATGGATGCCGGCGACAGGTATGAGATGTCTCTCACAATGGCCACATACTCGTTTTGTCGAGCTTTCCAACACGCCGCCCTCATCTATCTATACAGAGCAATCTGCAAAATGCCAACCAGCCATGCTTTGGTTCAACAACACGTCCATGGATGTTTGGAGTGCATCCGCGGAGTCGATTTCCTGCCAGAGGTCCAGAAGTGCTCTTTGTTCCCATTATATGTCGCTGGTGCTCATGCCTTGACTGAAGTCCATCGGACCTACGTGATCGAGAAGTTGGATAGCATCTATGTCAATCTCCGCTTCGAATCGGTGGTCAGCATCCGGGCAAATCTAATCCAGTTATGGGAGAAACCATTGGATATATCCGACAGCACGTGGAGTGATACATTCAAGGAGTTCACGGGAAAGACAACATTGGTTCTGTGAAGCATCCAGCTAACACTTTAACATTCATTTTTTGAATCGATCCTATTGAGATATCCTCCGCAACAAGTCTACGCCTGGGCCTCCACCTCAATCTCAACCTGCATCCCCTCGATACCCAACTTGGAGATTTCAACACACGTCCAGATAGGCCTGTGGTCTGGCATGTAGTTGTTGAAGAGCTCAATCACATACTCGGCCGATTCGTCGATATTTGTGTGGTATGATCGGACAGCGTAAACATCTTTCCACGAAGCGCCCTTCTTCGCTGCATCCAATGCTTTTACGACGTTCTCGAAAGCAAACTCGACCTGCTTCTTGGGATCGGAGGTAATGACGCCTTCCGCATCCCAGCCTCCTTGTCCAGATGTTTTGATGATGCCGTTGACGATGGTCGATTGGGAGTAGTGAAATTCCTCGGATTTCTTCTCCATTGTGGCGTAGTTGTGGAAAGTTGGGGCGGACATGGTTCTGGTGATTTTTGCGGGCCAATTCTAAATTGATAGAAAGTTGAGTGAAGGAGTTTGTCAAATCTTGAGGATTTTGGGGGGAAAGAGAAGAAGATAGATGAGCAAAGCTTGCGGAGAGGGTAGAGCAGTGCACAACCGAATTTATATTATCCTTACTCTACTTCAGCGCGGTAACCCTGAATGCAGGCGAACCAAGACGAGTAAAAACGCCTACTTCCTACATAGATGGCCAACGACAGGTGATGCAAACCTCAGTGCTTCGAAGGGGATGGATTGGCAAATGACTATCAAGTTTCCACATTGGGGTTAGCTGAGAGCCAGACCAAATCCGGTAGCTCCATGGCATGTTATGCGGTAGCGTTGACGGTGGGGAATCAAAGCTTTAGTGTGCCACTCCTCGTATGTTAGATTTCTAGAGATATTAAATGTTGATCATGTTTCTCTATGTTCTCTACATGGTCTTTTTGATATCGCGAAAAAAATATATTCGCCATGTTGATACTCAATTTCTCGATGGATAGTGCAATTATCCTGGCTTTGGGTGCTGGCGGTATCTTGTGGGCCATGACACTTCTGACGCAGAAAAGAAAACAAAGTCATAAAGGTGGGCAAGCTGGTTGATATCTCAAACCATGACTAACAAACTCCCGCAAGAAACTCTGTCCGATGCCGAAAAGCCTTTTGAAACACCTCTACCCCCGCCAGTAAAAGACTTCAAAGTCGACGAGACAGACCCGCATCTGTACCGACCATTTCGCCATGGAAAAAACCACATCACCATGGGAATCCGCAAGCTGGATTTCACCAACTGGATCGAGCTCGATTCGAACTATATGCGCTATCATGACATGAAAGTCAAACAGTTGAGCGGTCATCTAACTGAGCACGTCAAATACGTGGACAATGCGGTGACTCGCGATGCCTGTTTTGAAGTTCTCGAGGAACTTGCGCGTTATCTCACGCATCGCTACCCGGACATATTCCAACTCGACGGGGACTGTCTATCGAATTCTGCTACCGGCGAAAAGTTTTGTTATCCAGCAGGTGAGTCGACTTTTCTTCTCTGCTCAACAATGACTAATTCATTCGTCCCCGTGCAGCGAATCCGACCGAAGCGCTTGCTACTGCGGCCAAGTTGGTTCAAGATGATCTCGTCCTCATGGTCAAGAACGATGGCAAGTGCAGGAACCCGCAGATGATGCGTTATAGTCGACTAACTGATGGGAAGATGATGGGCAGTATCATCTAGACGCTGGGGCAGTCTGTCTCCCTGGATTCTGGCGCCTCAAGGAAAAGCTCAGGATGTCTCTGGATACTTTGCACATTGAAGCCGGGGTACCGCATTACCAAGCCAAGTTACAAAAGTCGATGAACCGCTTCTTCAACGTCATGACACCGGATAAGCCCGTGACGAGGAACAATGTAAGCTTCGGCACATGAATGCTTTGCTTGGAGAGTATGAAGAAGGACACTGACCGGACAATCCCGCAGTTCTTTATCCAATTAGACGACGGCCTCAACTGGTCGCACCGAATGGGGGAAGAGTACGGCGACAAGGAAGCGTCGTGGGCTAGCGCAAACGACGAAGGTCTCACAGTGGAAGACATTTACTTCAGGTCCGAGAGGCAGACGCTACGGCGACTTCCTCGTTCGGCAGCCTTGATGTTCACGATTCGCACGTATTTTGAGCCCATGACGGTGATTGCCAAAGAGCCACATGTTCCTGGACGGCTTGCAGAGGCGATCAGGGCAATGGATGAGACGGTTTCGGCTTATAAAGGAAGACGGCACTGGGATCACTTGCTTCTGCCCTTTTTGGATGAGCAGCATCAAAAGCAGGTGGAGAGTGGAATTTTGGAGAAGCAGGCCGAGGGGGAGTTCCCTTACTAAGGATCTGGATGGCAGAAGTGGGTGGGGAATAGCTGATGGAAATGCACATGGAAAGTCTTTTTGGGGTGCTCATAAAGTCGGGCTGGATGCGCATGTTCAATAGATGATACGACTGCCAAATACGATGTGTGAATATTTGAGAGACAGCATGTAAACGTTGCGAATTGATTTCTTCTGAAAGTAAAGTACGGGATGGTGTCGAGCACGAAAGGGGTGTGGAGAGGAGACAGGCACGTGACAGGGAAAGTGGGATGTCTGCCCCGCAGTGCAATCATCATCATCATCATCATCATCAAACGTAATCGCCCTCGGACAATTTGAACAGCACTGCCATCAGCCAACCCGAATGGAGTAACTGGGAGGGCAAATCGCCAAGAAGAACGGGACGAGATGCAGCTCAAGTGACCCGTTCCACCCCCGGATTTCTGGTCCCTTGAAGCCGTCTGATAAACATGCTTTGCTCTCCGGTGGGGTGGATGCCCTAAGCTGTGAATGGAAACAAGATAGGCCTGTGGTGCATAGCTATCCATCTATCTATCCATCTATCGGGCACACATGTAAGCCTGCATACATATATCAATGCCATACTTACTTCTTCTCCAAGCTCCCCAACCAGTCTTGCACCTTTACACCCTCTCCTCGACTTCCTTCATCGCAACTCACAATGGCTTCTCCTATCCAACTCATAGCGCCCAATGGCACCAAGTACACACAACCCACCGGTAACATGTCGTCGCTTCGCATACACTTTTCGCCCATGTCACTGACCCAGCACCCACAGGCCTCTTCATCAACAACGAATTTGTCCCCAGCGAGTCCGGCAACACGCTAGAGACACTAAACCCTTATGATGAAGCTCCCATCGCCAAAGTCGCCTCGGGGAACGAGAAGGACGTCGACAACGCCGTCGCTGCTGCCCGCGCCGCTTTCAAATCAAAGTTATGGCGGGGTCTCACTCCCTCGGAACGAGGCGCTTTGCTCTGGAAGCTTGGCGATTTGTGCGAGAGGGATAGCCACATCTTAGCCACCATTGATGCTTGGGATAATGGGAAGCCATACCAGCAAGCTTTGGATGAAGACATCGCCGAGACCATTTCTGTCTTCAGATATTATGCTGGTTGGGCCGATAAGATTTACGGTCAGACCATTGACGTCGGATCTGCCAAATTGGCATACACACGTCACGAACCGCTTGGTAAAAACGGAATCTTAACCCAACTTCACACAACATTTGGCTGACAGTTATCGTCAAAGGTGTCTGCGGTCAAATCATCCCTTGGAACTTCCCCATCATGGTATTTTCCAGTCCCCATCAGACAAGCATCTATATATGAGAAACCTTACTCACACATCTCTCCTTAGATGGCCGCCTGGAAACTCGGTCCCGCCCTCGCATGCGGGAACACAATCGTCCTCAAACCCGCAGAGCAAACCCCCCTTTCAGCACTCTACCTCGCATCTCTCATCAAAGAAGCTGGGTTCCCGCCGGGTGTTGTCAATATCGTCAACGGCCTCGGAAACCCAGTCGGTGTAGCGCTCTCAGGGCACAGCGGAGTCGACAAGGTCGCTTTCACAGGCAGCACAGTGACTGGCAAGAACATCATGAAAGCCGCCGCATCCAACATGAAGAATGTCACCCTCGAGACCGGAGGTAAAAGTCCGCTCCTCATCTTCGACGATGCGGATCTTGACCAGGCGGTGAAGTGGTCCCACATGGGAATTATGGGTATATTTACTCTCTCCTTTCTTCTTCTTCCCATGCTCCTGGAATACAAACGCTGACCTAGGGGTTAGGTGGAATGGGCCAAGTCTGCACAGCGACATCACGCATCTACGTCCAAGATACAATCTACGACAAGTATCTGTCCCTCCTCAAAGACTACACCCTAAACAACACAACCATCGGTTCCCAATTCGACGAGTCCGTAAACCACGGCGCGCAAATCTCAAAAGCCCAGCAGGACAAGATTCTCGGCTACGTGCAATCCGGCAAAGACGAAGGCGCGAGACTGGTCACGGGCGGCAACGCAAAAGAAGGAAAGGGGTATTTTGTTGAGCCCACTATTTTCGCGGATACCACGCAGGATATGAAGATTGTTCGAGAAGAAGTCTTTGGGCCATTTGCGGTCATTCAGTCGTTCAAGTCCGAGGAGGATGCGATTGAGAAGGCAAACGATAGTGATTATGGGCTTGGTGCGGCTGTTTTCACAAAGGATATTGTCAAGGGACATAGCGTGGCGCATTCTATCGAGGCTGGAATGGTTTGGGTAGGTCAACATGTGCTGGGCCCGAGCAAATGGCTTACAGATTTTTGCAGATCAACAGCTCACAAGATTCCCATCCAGGAATTCCGTTTGGTGGCTGCAAAGAGAGTGGCATTGGGATGGAATTGGGGGCTTATGCTCTCCAGGCCTACACTCAAGTCAAAGCAGTCCATGGTCAGTTTCTTGCACTGTTATACAAAACAAGAATCATATCGCTAACCTTTCCCAGTCAACCTTGGTACATGGCTATAGTTCCCTGCTGTCCCAAGTCTTAGTTTGGGTCAGGTTAAGGTGGATGAGTTTATGAGATGATGTTATTTCGTGTATATATCAATCAATGACATCGAGCATTCATACCAGTATCAACATAACAATACCTCTCAGCAGCCTGGCCAGATTCAAATACATATCAGTGAAAGGCTTCACAGTCGTGGTTTCTCATATAATTATCCTTTTCATGAGCCATCGCAATATCCAAACAAGGAGAGTTCAAGCGTATGAAGCAGATCCATTATCGTTGAAAAACAGACAAACACGTCAGTCTATGGCAAACACATAAAGAGTTGTACCAAACACAAAACTATTGCCGCCGCACACGCAATCTTACGCAAAAACACTGACCCTCTTCCCCTTCAACAACCTCCCAAAAGCCCCCTGGTTTCTTCTTAGCTGCTCAAACTTGCCCTGGTCAACAACACGGCCTTTATCCAGCATGACAATATGCTCTGCAATCGCCATCATCTCCTTCGCGTGCGTGATGATGATAACCGTCATCTGCTTCTTTCCCAACCCGCTACCACTCACACCTTGTCCCATAGTACCTCCGAAATGGACGTCGAAAAATTCTTCACCTGCGACTTTGCTGTCGCGCACGAGCCGCTGGATGGTATCGCGGATGGTGTTTGCGGACTCGACATCCAAAGCGGACGTGGCCTCATCGAGAATCAGGATATCGGGCTCACGCACGAGCGCACGCGCAATGGCTATTCGCTGTGCCTGGCCGCCAGAGAGACCGGTTCCGCCTTCACCGATGATTGTGCGGTAGCTTTGTGGCAAGCTTTCTATGAATTCTGCGGCACCAGCTGCAGAAGCAGCTGCGCGGATGTGCTCGGCTGATGTGAGGCGGCTCGATGGGCTGAGTCCGTAGACAATGTTCTCTGCGATGCTGCCTGGGAAGATCACGGGGGTTTGCGAAACGACTGCGATTCGGGATCGGAGAGTCAGCGTGTGGAGTTTGTTAATGTCCTGACCGGAGATTGAGAGTTCGGGGCGATTCCGTGCACCAGCCGATGGTGTGGGGTAGAGTTTAAGGAGGAGTGCGGCGATGGTGGATTTGCCTGATCCTGAGGTGCCAACGATAGCAGTACAGCTCCCGCGGGGAATATCGAAAGTCACGTCATGAAGAACTTGATGATCGGGTCGAGTGGGATAGGTGAAGTTCACTTTGTCGAGAGAGATGTCGCCGACACTAAACAATTGATCTGTGCCGCCGAGTTCGTGAGAATCTTGTGGAAGACGAGTAAGCCGTATCAGTCGAGACCCTGCATCGCGAGCGACGTTGATCTGGGGAATGTAGTTGCCAATAATTGCCACATGAGAAACGCTCAACATCAGGATGTTGAAAGCTTCTATGAATTGTATGGGTGTCATGTAGCCTTTTGAGACGTTGTATGCGCCCCAATAGAACAAAAGGGTTGTTGCGAGCGGAGAACTCGCGTAGCTCAGCCCAAATATAGACCCAGTATATATGGAACGCTTGAAACCGACTTGAAGCGATTTTGAGGTGGAGGCTTTATACCTCGCACGGAAAACCTCCTCGAGAGCTAGACAGCGCACGGTTCTGATGTTGACAAAAGTCTCGTGCAGGTTCTTCCCTATAATATCGTTTGCTGCGTTGGACAAACTCTCCCAGTGATTGCTGATCGTATTGTATGCCTTCATTATACAGAACATGCCTCCAAGGCAGGCCAAAGACATCAGTGTGAGTCTCCAAGATATGGCGATGCTCCAGATAAAAGCAATCGTCATAGTAAATAACATGACGAGTAGAATGCCGCAAAAGCGACCCGGTAGATTGCGAGCTTCTTCTGCAAACTGGTCTAAACACTCCGCCAGATGAGACACATCATTTTCCTCTTTGTCAAAGAATTCTCTAGGCTGCATCAAGATGCGCTTCATCGCCTCCTGCTTGAGTGCATTAGCCCATGTTTGCGCTGCGATGTCGAACAATGCATTCCAGGCGTAAGTCGTCAGTCCGTCAATGACTGATATGCCAAGTATAGATAGGGCCCAAGTCATTGCTTTCTTCTTCTGGTCTTCCTTGTTATAAAACGTTTCGAGGAGTTTCGAGAACGCGTAACCGAATGTAGGAGTTGCGGCTGAGTGAATCAGGGCGCAGAACACAGCGACTATGATCGAGAGGCGCGAAGACCAACCTACTCGAGGCCAGACGGATTTAACAATCTCCATGATATGCAAAGGAGGAGTCGTAGAACGAAACTCTCTGTTGAAGTTCCTGCGTGCCTTGCGCCATTCCCTCTTCGCACGAAAGGTCCTACGAAAGGAGGGGGCATCCCCAGGGCCCTCACGAACAGTTGGAAGAGGGGGTAATGGGCGTTCATTAGAGACGACGTGTCTCTGAGAGATAATTTCACTTTGGCTGTTTGCTCTGGGCTTTGAAACAGAAACTAGCCTTGGTTTCCCTATAGCGACAACTTCCCCTTGATGGTTTGGTTTTGCGGCGGGCAATGCCTTCATCGCATATTGGTCAGGCCACTCAGACTCGTACTCGTGTGCGTTTACCCTAGACATAAAGAAAGTTGGGAAATCGTCCTGAGTATTGTTACCGAACGGAGAGAATATCATCGACTGTCTGAAGAGCGGGACAAACGAGCGACGATTCGACTGGACTTGGCCGTCCCATGAGCCCGCATATAGCGACATTATCTCTTCTGTATCATCCATTGGCGCTTCGTCTTCTTTGGGCTCGGGCTCCAGCTCCTCATCTTCTGCTCCCAAGAACTTTGCAAATGGGGAATCGAGTGCTCGTTCCATATCCTTTCGGGTTCCTTGCTGAACTAGCTGAGCATTCTCCATGACAAAAACTCGATCATTCTGCTGTATCTGCGAGATATCATGCGTGATAATGATGGTCGTCTTTCCCTGTCTCCATTCGCGGATTGCACTGATAATTGCAGACCTCGTGGTGTAATCGAGCGCACTCGTGGACTCGTCCAGAACGAGAACTGGCGTGTCTCGTAAGCGGGCTCTGGCTAACGCCATTCTTTGTTTTTGGCCACCGCTCAAACCCGTGTTTTGGGGGCCTAGAATAGTCTCATATCCTTTGGGAAAATCCTGGATCATTTTCTCAAGCCTAGCAAACCTTGCGGCCCCCTCAATTTCGGACTGGTCAGGCTTCCGACCTTTGCATCCCAGGGCAATGTTGTGACGGATTGTGTCTTCAAAAAGCATACTGTGTTGCTCAACCAAAGTGATTTGGTCACGAAGCCATCCAATGTCGAAGTAATCCAGCGGTGACCCGTCAAACTGGACTGTTCCTGACCGTGGGTGATAGAATCGAACTAGAAGCTGGCCTAATGTGCTCTTACCGGACCCGCTCTTGCCGATCACGAACGTTGTCTGCCCAGCTGCGAAAAGCAAAGATACTTCGTGCAGAGCAAGCTGATCAGGCCGTGTTGGGTAGGAGAATGATACCCGCCTGAATTCTATGTTTCCTAGGGTATGCTGAGGCCTAATATCTCCCGTAGTTTCAGTTCCGAAATCGTCCTTGGACATTCGCGCCACCATGGCTTTCAGCCTCGCCCCAGCCACTTTTCCTTTCTGAAGCACAATGAACTGCGGTAGAAAAGCGGTGACGGAGTGTACCGTCATCAAAGCGGCCCAAAATGTTGTAAGCACCTGACCAGGGTTCTTGTTTCCCTTCATGACCAGAGAGCTACCATACCAGAAGCCCTGAACGAAGATGCTCAATACGAAGAACTGAGTAAATCCCAGCTGCATAGAGCGGAGATTTGCCAGTTTCTTGTACGCTCGACCGGATCGACTTATGGCATTTACATATTTCTGAAGCTGGGAATGTTCGCCGTTGAAGTACTTCACCGCTTCTATATGGGATATAGTGTCTGTGACGATGCCTAGTGCATGACGAAGCATTTCGCCTTGCTCGTGGGCGCGCTTTCCTAAGGCAATGGATAGAAAGCTCAGGATTATGTAGACGATCGGGACGGAGCATATAACGACTAATGTCAGGTTCCACGAGGAGTACAGGGCGACGGCTAGGGACGCAATGGTTCCAAACACACATTGCGAAACCTCGCCCAAGGGCTGAGAAACAGACAATTGCAGATCGCGTATCTGGCTAGGACAGTCAATAATAATCAATAGAGGATCGGGGTTGATAAAACACTTACGCTTGTATCGATGGAAGCAATGCTGTAACACCTGTATCCCTGGTATCATACCAAGACATGTCTTTCCGAAGTAGAGTAGCGAAGATCACTTCTCGTGCGTTATGAGCCTGGAGCTCACCAAAAGACAGGAACAAGGTGAAGTAGATGCTGTTACCAACCCAACAAGCGCAACCAAATGCCGTCAGATATATGCAATACTTGGAAACCTGGTGAAGAAACTCGGATGCTGTTATGCTACCTCCGCCGAACTCCGTGAACTGGTGAAAAATGGAGCCAAGCACAATGGCAATGGCGGGATTGGCAAGAGCAGCAATGAGTGCGGCGAAAAATGCGGCAGAGAGGAGAGGTACATGCTTTCTGGTAGTGAAAGTAAACAAGGCTTTCCAGCCCATCCGGCGAGTATAGTTGTATTCTTCGTCATCCGGCGGTGTCTGCTTATCCGGATCGCCGTTTGGGGTCGATACAGAAGATGTTGCCATGGTGCCGGCCCAAACGTGTTGATGTGCTAGCTTTAATGACTGACGACAGTTACTGTATAAGTATTGTGAAAAACAAAAGGTTGGGAAGATATAGAATAGAAACAAGGTGGACGGCTGCCGAATGCGGACTAGCGTGGCATCGCAGCAGGACGACTTTGTTTGCCCTTGTTATTGTTCTCAACCCGCCACCGTTATTGTCGGCAAACAAATGTTCTTCGTTGAGCAGGTGAATGTAATATTTTGGGATTGGAGTCGTCCGGGAATACGTGTACTAGCTATGCCTACATGATCGAAGCTGCATCGTGACTGTAAATTTTGCAATACGTGCAAGCATGCGAGAGTTCACATGTCCCACTGGTAACTATCTTGTGGTATACTTGCAACGAACACTAGATGTTCCCATGTCTATTCCGATAAATGGCAAGCAAGCCTCGGGACAGCTTCTTGGTTCGAGTACGAGAGTAAGACAGCAACGAGACAAAGAACAGACGCTGAAAAGCACGGAACTTCGGATTGGCCGCCTATCTTTACGCGACCCAGCAGATGATTCCTTGTGGCGTGTCGGACAAATTCATACAACACGGACCGTTTGGGCCGACGTTTGGCGCGGTGATCATTTGCCCTCTGGGTGAGCCTTCTCGTAAACCCAGTCGTTGAGGCCTTGTCGGTTCCTAATTTTGTCAACAAAGCGGCGCCTACAGGTGTCTCCATAACATTTTGACCTACCTGGCAATCTCAACAGCATAGAACTGCATCCGTACTGCGAAAATGGTGCCTTCTTGGTCGTACTCTGTCTTGGGGTTCGCCCTTAGCATGGTACCGAAATTGTAGTCATCGACCTTCTTCTCGTAGGCATTGATGAAGTTGCGCCACCGCTCTTTGCCCTCCTTGCTCTTCATCTCGTCCTCGTTTATCGTGGCGGTAGCATCGAAGTCAGGGAACTCCTTCTGGAAGTGCTCGTAGATTTCGTCGTCCATCTTGGTGAGGCGGAGCTTGGAGCCGGGCACCTTCTCGAGGATGTTCCAGTACGTCTCGACATGCTGGACGACTGTTGAACAAAACTGTCAGCGCACATTTTCGCCAGGCGAAAGGGAGTTTTCTAACCCTTGACAGCAAATTGCTTCTCGATCTGGATTTTTGTTAGAAGGATGTCGTTCCAGCACGGTGCAACGGAGGAGATAGACGCACGTCTTCAAAGTTATCGGCCTCTTCGGCGTTGACGTTGGCGGCTGAAGGTCCGAGAGACATTTTGACTTTTTTTTTCGAATTCGTTCCTTGTGGCGAGTTCAGAAAGGAAGCGCTTCCAGGCGGGTCGGTGGTGTCGCGCGTGGAATTATTTGATTTCGCGATATATAAAATTTCGAATGGAGGTTGAAGACGTCACCCGGTTGCCCCGCGCGCGCGCGCTGACTCAACACGGAAATCTCCCCCCTCCACTCACTTCTCTCTGAATGCTCTCCAGCCTAATTCCTCAATGTCCGTGGAGCTTCATGTTCGTCCCCCATTCCTTATATGGTGCTCCTCTGGGTCCAATTAATAACAGCAATGTAGCACGAATGCACTCGTGTTCCCGTCACCGCCTCAGCCTCTTGCGGCCCTCTTTTTCTCGCTGCAGAGGGTCCATTTGTGCGCTTCTATAATGCGAACACCCTGACTTGCTTGACTTCCAAATCCATCTTCCGAGCCCAGGCCGTACATGGGATCTCTGTGCTCTCCATTTCCAGTAGCCATGCCGTCCTCATGGTATGGGGAGGGTGGCTTGTGCGTGTGTGTGAATTTGACCTGCAAGGCGACGACAAGGATGTGATGATCACGCCCAATTCCTGGATCTTCTCCAACACCGCTGAAGCTCCGGACTGGATACTCCATCTCAGTCCTGAACCACGGTTGGTTCAAGACGGAAATACAGCGATCTTGCCTCTGTGTGCGGCCGTCACAGCACACAATGCACTTCTGGAGCTGAAGACCACATATACCAACAAAAGCCCAACAATTTCCGTTGCAGAACTCACATTCAGTTCACGCTCCATTCTCTATTCTGCCCACCTCACTTGGGCATCTCATGGCCGAATTCTGATCGCTGCAGGAACTGCGTTTGGAGAAATCATATTTTGGACTTGGACTAAAGGTTTCCAAACAGGAAGTGGGTCGCAGACACAGCGCGTATTCCTGGGCCATGAAGGATCAATCTTTGGTGTGCGAATCTCAAAGCTCTACCGCAAGAGCCCGGATCAAAGCCCCCAGCGGTTCGTTGCAAGCTGCAGCGACGATAGAACCATCCGCATATGGGATGTTTCCGACATCTCTTCACAAGAGGGGGTTAGTACAGGCGGTCAAAACCTTGACTATGAACGCACGCATCATACAGGCTTCACGAACCCTTCTTTCGACTCCGTTTCTAGTTCCGAATGTCTAGCTATTGGTTGGGGTCATATCTCTCGTGTGTGGGATGTACAATTCCTTGAATATATTGATGAGACACTAGGCATATTCTTATTGTCTTCGGGAGAAGATGCTACGACGCGAACATGGAGCTTTACTCGAACCCTTGATTCAGCTGGTCAAGGAGCATTTCCTTTTCAGCTCTCCCAGCTGGATATAGCCGCGTATCATAACGGTAAAAATATATGGGCGTCAACCATCCACTCACCTCTCCCGGAGTCACCGCAAATCTTTGCAGGTGGGGCAGATAGCAAGATCACTGTTTGTTCTGTAGGCGCTTCCGTCCCTTTACTCGGCCACTCTGGGTGTATCTCCTCTGAATACACCATTGATGACATAACATCTATAGGGCCACAGTCCGTGGGTCCAAACTCGACTAAAAAAAAGTCATCTAAAGCTGAAGCAGGGTTTTTCCGCAGTTACACCTTTATCGATGATACTTCATATTTGTTGACAACAAACATCGGGAAAGTCTACCTGGGAGTAACAGCACCAGCAAAATCACACAGCAAGACAGATACCCAATCACCCTGCAGGATGATAGGCCATTCTTCGGAATTAAGTGGATATTCAGTGTCTGCAGGAGTAGCCTCACTCGGGGTCGCCTTCGTAGCCGGATCTACTGGGAGTGTATACATGTACTATAAGCAGACTGGGGTGTTCTCTCTGCTCTATACGGCCACTGGGAAAGTCGGGTGTTTATTTGCCGCTGCTTATGATCATGACGCGATCAAAGGTGTCATCTTGTTCCTGACGATAGCCGGGCAGAATTCCGCTCAACTACTCCATGTAGCATGGCCAGAATCCGGGCTTCCCGTTGTAGCGAGGCATGACAATGTACCACTCGCAGCAGCCGGAGCTGGACTGACTGTTACGAGCATCTCATACATTCCAACCAACTCCAATGATGATTATTTGATCCTGGGTTTTCGACAAGGGTCTCTCGCGATATACCGCACGAATGTTGCTACCGCCGGGGTAGAGGCTACCGCACATTCGACTTCATGGATCCGAACCAGTGATAAAGTTCATGGAAAGGAAGCAGTCTCGTGCCTGTCTTGGTCAGCATCTGATATTCATTCCGGTTACCTTATCTCCACAGGTCGGGACGGTCACTTGGTCATGCACTTGCTTGATCTGAAGACAGGTTCACTCAATCTCGTGCACGACCTCAGTCTTCCTGTTGGACCTAATGTGGAGGGTATCTCTCTCATTGGAGATCGCATTCTTGTCTATGGGTTTTCCAGCAAGCACTTCATTCTCTACGACGTAAATGCAGAAGAAGAGCTAATCAGCGTCGACACTGGGGGTGCCCATCGAAGCTGGGCTTTTCAACCGCACAGGAAGAATTATGGATGTGGGGCCTTGGTCTGGACTAGAGGTTCAAGCATGAATACTTGCCAGCAATTGCATCCTAGCCATGACGTCGTACGTCAAGGAGGTCATGGAAGGGAGATCAAGGCCGTGGCTGCGACTAAGAATTCTGACAGCCAGCTCATAGCGACTGGCGCGGAAGACACCGATATTAAGGTTCTCCAATACAGACTGGGGAGCTTCATCGGAAGCAGAACATTACGGAAACACAAGACCGGAATCCAGCACCTACAATGGTCAGATGATGGCAGATATCTCTTCAGTAGCGGCGGGTGTGAGGAATTCTATATATGGAGGGTTCGCACACTTCCTTCGAAACTTGGCCCTGTTGGTGCGGTTTGTGAGTCGGTCTGCAAACCAGAGAGTGAACATGCCGATCTTAGACTCATGTCTTTTGATGTGCGCAATCATAACGGGGGTTTCATTATCTCCATGGTTTTTTCCGATTCGAACATCAAGGTACGCACTTTGTAGATTGCACCGAGGATTGGAAACTAATGTATGCCAGGTGTATCATTACAATGCTACTGCAGCCGAGCCATGGCATTCTATTGCCACTGGAACGTACTTCACGTCGTGTTTGACGCAGTGTGTCTTCCTTTCACCCAGTCTTGTTTTTACGGCTGGCACCGATGGACATGCAGTCTTGTGGCCGCTGAAGACTACCGAGTTTGATGCGACATGCAAGCTAACTTCGATCGAAACATTAAAATGGCGGCAGCCTATTCGAATCCACCAGAGTTCTTCTAAAACTCTAGCAGCCGAATCCCTGGACAGTCGTACAATGCTCCTTGCATCCGGGGGTGATGATGGCAGCATCTCCTTCCTTGTCATATCAGTACCTTTACGTGCAGGTCAACCTAACGTTTCGGACATGGAAGGCATCTGTAACATGAGCCGACCAGTAACAGTTGTCCGTACCCATGCCTCCGCTGTCACAGCTTGCGCTATCATCGCTCAGGGATCCCGGGTTTTCGTTGTCACTTCTGGAAACGACCAATGGCTGCGACTTTGGGAATTGTGTTTGTCTACGATGACACACGACGGATCGCGCGGGACGGACCAATATAGCACGAAAAATATAGCTGATGTCAAACGTCTTGGAAAGGTGAAGAGCAGTGTTGCAGATGTATCCAGCATGGCAGTTCTTGAACAATGCCAAGATCAAAGGATAGTCAGGTTGTTGGTTTGTGGAGTGGGAATGGAAGTTATTCGGGTAGAGATGTAGAGACTTCCTTGAAACTAATGCAAGCCATTCACACTGCGCATTCTTCTCCAGACCTCGCCGTCATCACGATACTGCTCGCCGCGGAAGCGCCCGCTGACTAAGCTTTAGCGACCTCCTCTCGCAGCCTAATAGTTCCGAGGATGCGGCTCGCTGGGCCACGCCATCTCACACAGATAACAGCACAGACACTTGCTCCTCTACAAGCCACCACCACCTCGTCACCACCGTCAGTCCATATATCGGACCCTCACGTACTGTTTCGCTATCATAATGCACTGAACTCCTCCCTCGTGGGCCCAACATGCCCAGAACACCAGAGCCCCGCTTCACATGCACCATCCCGTCTATCCACGATGACATTCCTCTCAACGTTCGCCTGTATCACCCCGATTGCCTCTCTCGGCCAGAATCCAAGGATTCGAAACATGAGGAGGAAGCGGAGGCGAAATGGCAGAAGAAAGGAATTGTAATGGCACATCCGTACGCTCCCATGGGCGGAAGCTATGACGACCATGTCGTAAATATCGTCATAGACGAGTTTCTAAGGAAGGGGTGGATAGTTGGTACATTCAATTTCAGGTGTGTGTGTGTGCTGTTTGATCAACACTTGACCTCGACCATATGTTTCTGCGGGCTGGTATTGACAGGCTATGAATAGAGGAGCTCATGGCAGCAAAGGGCGAACCAGCTGGAGCGGCAGGCCCGAATCAGACGATTACATCTCTTTTGCGGCTTTCTTCATGCACTACCTCTCGTATCTCCGCCCGAACCCTCTACCTACCGCCGTCTTCACCCCTGAGCCACCACTTGCTCCGACGAAAAAATCGAGAGATGATGCGCCCGTCATGGTCCTGGGCGGCTATTCCTATGGCTCCATGATTCTCCGTCACTTGCCCCCAGTTCCTTCTATATTGCAACCGTTCGCTTCGCCCCTCGAAGGCTCTGCAGCAGACGAGATACTGCTTCGTGCACACAAGCTAGCCGACCAGATCAATCTAAAGTGGATTAATGAAGCACGGGCATCAGCTGAGCGCGGGCGACGGAGACACGAGACAAAACTCTCGGTAACCATGGGTGGTGAAGAGACGAGCCCTAAGAAACGGAGGAGCAGTAGGGATATCCGACGAAGTATGGAAGGAAGCAATGGACGCAGAAGCCTCAACATCAGCGAGGGCCTGAGAAGTATCAGTCACAGACGGTCCCCTCACCCTCAAGTAACGCCAGAACCCACAGCCCCAAGGCCAGCAATCATGATGCCCGATGTTTGTTACCTGCTTGTTTCTCCACTTACAGCGCCCATCTCGACACTTGCCGCTCCATCTTTGGCACACAAGTTCTGGAGCAAATCGGCGAATAGTACTACTAGTGACGTGATCGCCAAGCATCGCTCGTTGGTTGTCTACGGAGATCGAGATCAATTCAGCTCAGTGCACAAGGTGCGAGAATGGGTGCGTCGAATGCAGAATCAAGGCTCCTCCCAGTGTTCAGCGGATGAGATTGAAGGTGCAGGGCATTTTTGGAATGAACACAGTGTGGAGAGCAGGTTGAGGAGTGCGATTGAGCAGTGGGAGAGAAAAGCGAGGGAGCGACCAGCGTAAAGCATATTGACATGCTCGAGAATTGAGCTTTCCCGTGCTCAATGATTTTTTTTTCCAACAGCAATACAGGGCAAATTGCTGTTGCTATTGAACTCGGCATAATTTTCTGATTGCGCAACACTAGCGACCACGACAAAGTTGGGGCCGCCACGCATTATATGCGGGGGAATTGCGGGGTTGATGTTGGGGTCCAGGAGTGGTGAGCAAGCAAACAAGCCAAAAAAACCGAATCCAACGCCAGCTTCCGACCAAGTTAACTCCACCATTGGTGATGTTTCAATATCTTTCTCCGGAAGCACGCGAGTAAAAATCATGTCCCTTGGGTCAAGCTGGAGCATGTGCCAGGGGGTTCAACGCGAACAAAACATTTGCAGCCCCCGTCATGCATGTGCAGTTGGCCTTCGCCACGAGGCTTTCTTTCTTTCGTCAAATGCAGGTCACGGCCAAGTTTTGGTTTGCGATTAGGCAACGTCACTTGATTGTCTTCTTTGCGCAAAGATGCCATATCCATCCAATGCCGTGACAGTGTTCGCCGCGGAAGTGAAGACCGGATGTCTGCTTTAGGCAATGCCGTATCGTCTACATGCTCCCCTCATCATGAACGGGCGTTTCATGGGGAATACTGTACCTAAACCCCCACAACACCAAGCTCTCGTCTTCCCCTGTCGGTAAGTACATAGGTAGCTAGATAGGCTCTGGCGAACGGGTCTAGATTAACGTCTGGCCCGAATAACGGTCATATGATATAATGCTCCAGCTAGGGTTCTGGCTTTATACATGTACTTAGCCGCCGGACGTTTTTCTTCCTACTCTTGTTCTACATCGTGTTTCTCCTGCATCTTTCTTCTGTGTCTTGTTATTTGGCCTTGGGAGTCTCCCGGCTTCTCGATTGATACCCATAAACGTTTTCTCCCGCTAGAGTACCAAACGCTTACTACACATTCAGATACTCTGATTTTAGACATTGTTTTCTCTTTATCAACTACCCGGAGTTTTGAAGAGATGGCTCCGGCAGGACTTCCGGAATTCAGTCTGAGTGGGAAGGTCGTGCTGGTGTCTGGAGCCGCCCGCGGTCTCGGTCTTACTCAAGCCGAAGCAGTGCTAGAAGCTGGAGCGACAGGTGAGTATGCATTTCACACACACACACACAAACATATATTCCTCTCTACATTCTCACTACAATCACGCACTCAAATCAATTCGCAATATCAACTGCGAGGAAAACTAGCTAACCACTTTCCCTCAATCGACCAGTCTACGCTCTAGACCGACTCGACGAGCCTTCCCCCGATTTCCACAGAGTCGCCGAGCGCGCGGAGAAGGAACTCAACACGTCACTGCACTACCGCCGAATCGATGTACGAGATGCTGCTGATCTGAACAAGATCGTCGAGGAGATTGGTACCAAGCATGGCAGGATGGATGGGTTGATTGCAGCGGCGGGGATCCAGCAGGAGACGCCGGCGCTTGAGTACACAGCCGAAGACGCAAATCGCATGTTTGAAGTCAACATCACGGGCGTATTCATGACGGCGCAAGCTGTTGCGAAGCAGATGATTCGATTTGGGAATGGCGGGAGCATGGTGCTCATTGCGAGTATGTCAGGGTCGGTGGCCAATAGGGTATGTCGTCTTGTTCCTGTTCTTCCGATAACCCATCACGACCAATGGTTCTAGCAGTAGAGCTCACATTCCTATCGCAGGGCCTGATCTGCTCCGCATACAATGCCTCCAAAGCGGGCGTCATCCAGCTAGCTCGCAACCTCGCAGCAGAATGGGGCGAGCACAATATCCGCGTCAACACAATCTCGCCCGGTTACATCGTCACAGCCATGGTGGAAGCGCTTTTTGAGCAATATCCCGATCGTAAAGAGAGCTGGCCAAAACAGAACATGCTCGGTAGGCTGTCTAAGCCGCAGGAGTATCGGGGCGCTGCGGTTTTCTTGCTCAGTGAAGCGAGTAGTTTTATGGTGAGCAGTGATCCTTGGTTCTAGTTTTGACGAGATGGTAGATACCATGCTAACCGGAATCTTCGTTAGACTGGGGCAGATTTGAAGATGGATGGAGGACATTCTGCGTGGTAATGATCAGGGGTAGCTTGGGAAAGAGGCATGGGAGGATTGATGGTTCGAATGTAGAAGTATAGGATCGACGATTGCGAATGTACAGATGCTGCCATGTTAAGCAACGACACCATGCCAAATGCTTGCTTGGAAAATAAATAAAAAAGACTGGAAATTGATGTGTTTCAAGAATGGACAAGTTCGAACGGTGGCCGGAGCAGGCTGAGTAAGCAGCGCGCTCACCCTGGGAGCCCACGGATGATGTCTGGCAAACGGCCGACTCCCGCATCGCGCTCTCACGGTCCAGTGTCTTTCTTTGCGCAAAGACAAAACTGCATCGGCACTGGAAAATGCCTGTCAAGTAGGGGCTTTGATCGGGAGCTTTGCGCTCTCCTCCAGATTATCCATCTCTTCCTTCATTCAAAAGCTGTTTGCCCCTCCCGGGCCATTCGATCCTGCCTTTGTACAATTTGGCCAGGCGCAAACAATATTACTTACCTACCGTCTGTACAAGTGTACATACTTGCAGAGGTAGAAACAAGGCAACATTTATACCACCCATTTGAACAGCGTTATCGTCACGACGCACTCGCATACTCTCACATCTCCCCTCCACTCTCGTCCACCTCCTCTCGGCCATGGCGGGCTCCACGCCCTCTTCCATCACACGATACCGGCCTGCCATCCTCGTCACCACCGGCGCTGCGGCCGCATACATCGTATGGCTCCTGCTCAACAACCTCACACAGCCCGCTGCTGGCAGCCAGACAGCCGACAGTCTACACCGAAGCAACGCAGTGCGGCGTACACCCCGACGTTCTCGAAATCCTTCTCGTGCGTCCGACACGGCGCGTGTGGTGCAACTTCTGCAACAGGATACCATTCCTCTGGGCCACTTCGACTTTTTTGGACACGACGTGGAGCTCGATGGTCGCACTATCGTTTCCCCCGAACAGCTGCGCGAGGTGGCCGCCACGTTGCAGCCCACCGCCAGCCAGGAGATAGTTGATGGCCACATCGACCAGCTCTTTCATACATTGTATGATCGTCTGCTTGGGCATGTCTACCCCAGTCATCCACTCTCAGATACCGACACCGAAGCCTTGACCAGCTTGATGGGAGGCCAATTACCACATCCCGAGGCGCTTCGGCTCGCCATGCACAGACATCGCTCAAGGTTTGAGCTTGCGACCCTCCCCACAATGGACGCTCACGAGACCATTGCTCCTCCTCCTGACTCCTTTTCCAGCTACGAGGAAACCGAAGCTGGCCTAGATTTTGAGGAGCAGAATCTCCAGCGCACCCTGTACCACATTGCCGAAGACCGCGCCAGGCACGAAGGAGTCATTCATCGAGGCATCGCTTGCAATGGGTGTGATGCAAAACCTATTCGAGGCATTAGATGGCGATGCGCAAACTGCCCCGATTACGATCTCTGCTCCGACTGCGAAGCCACCGGCTCACACTTCAAAACCCACATTTTCTACAAAATCCGCGTGCCAGCACCTTATATGACGTTGCCAAGCCAGGAATCTGTTTATCCTGGCCGTCCTCATCTAATGAATCACTCGGTCGATTCACAGGTCAAAAGGCGCCTCATAGACCAGACGAGGATGGAGGTGGAGGAAATCGAAGCTTTGTGGGACCAGTTCACCTGCCTTGCTGCCACTCTATGGGATTCTGATCCCAACAACATTGGATGTGCCATGGATCGCCGTGCTTTCGACCATGCTTTCATTCCGCGCTATTCCTGCTTTGTCTCCGCCCCTAATCTTGTCTATGACCGCATATTTGCTTACTTCGATACTGACCGTAATGGCCTGATCGGCTTCGAGGAGTTCATCAAGGGCCTAGATGGCTTACACTCATCAGACTCACGTATCAAATTACGTATAGCTTTCAACGGCTACGATATCAACGGAGATGGCTATATATCCAGAAAAGACGTGCTGCGGGTCTTTAGGGCACTTTACGCGATAGAGAGGGAATCTGCTCGCAACTTCGTGACTGAGGCTGCAGAAGACTTGGTGGTTCACGGTGCCTCTGAAACCATACGGTCTTCTCAGCCGTTAGGATCGGCCTTCACACGAGGCACATGGCCGGACGAACCCCGACCGAATAGGAATCTGGCCAGAAAAGATCCCAATGCAGCCTATTTGGACCCAATCACAGATGATATCCCAGACACGATAGCTCGCGAGGACGTTATCGGAGATGCACTAACATATCGATGGCCGCGAAGACAGTTCTACATCGATGAGGAAGAGGGCCTCACCCCACCGGCAGAGTCTCCCTCCAACCAGATGGAGGACAATACAAACGGAGTAGATCAATCAGCAACAGATTCCGGAAGACGGAGAGAGTCACGCTCTTCTTCACGGGTGCGCTTCCAGGATGATGTAGACTTCGAAACTCGCTCCAATGCATCAACATCATCCCGTCCAATCGGAGAGCGGTGGGGCGGCTATGAGATTCCTGAGCCCGAGAAGGATTTGGGCAAAGACGTGCTCTACTCCACCACTCAGCAAGCTCTCAATGAACTTTTAGACCCTTTGTTCCGTACAAAAGAAGACGACGCCACAGAGGCAGTTTCAACACGCGCAGAACGTAGACTGCATGTTGCCGAAATTGAAGACTTATGCCAAAGGTTTGAGACCGAGCGTCCAAACAACATTCTTCTCCTGCGCATGGGAGCCTTCACGTACGCGCAGCTGGTCATGCAGTGTCTTTGCATGGAAACCAAGGTATCGGATCTTCTCGAAAGCAGCAGTGCCATTACCCACGATAGTGTCAGAGACCAGATCAAAGAAGCTTGCCGGAGAGCTGAACAACATGTTTTGGAAAACGGGCACATGTCCGAGGGAACTGTCAATGATCCCACGCACCACGATCTGTGGTATGCAAAGCTCTGTCGAGCACAGCTGCTACACGAAGCGACCACTGCGCTCATGACAGTCTTGTCCGACCGCATACCTGCCGCCCCAGTGCCTGATCCCACCATGCCCCAATTTCGACCTCAATCCTCGCAGAATGTGGGGAAAAGCAACGCCGCAATCAGCTCCAATTCAAGCCAACGAAGCAAGCTGCATGAGCCAAATTGGGTAGTTTCTACTCCAACTTTTGTCGTGGTCCACGACAAGCCAGGATCGTCTCCGCAAGACTCTCAACAATCCTACGCCTTCAATGTTGACGGGACCTCTAGTTCCCCGACCCCCTTGGCTTCTTCGTCATCTTCATCACAGCCGACCACACCCCCACCGGAACCTCTGCCATCCACTCCTGGCGTTGTTGACATTCGCGACCCAATCTCCGCCGTTTCTCTCCGCGAAATCTCCACGTCCAACACCACCATCGATACAAAACTGCAATGTGTTATCCGTCACCATATTCTCCCAAATGCTGGCACGTTCTTACTCGAGCGCATGAGGATCGATGCTACGCTCAATCCTGCAAATCCCATGCACATGGCTCGCCTTGCGAGCCTAGAAATGATGGACCGGGAAATGGCGGATCGAAACGGGGGTGGGTTGTTGGATTTCGAGGAATTCATGAAGGGTGTGTCAACAGAAAGGCTGAGAGTACTGGAAGGATGGATGGATCTAGTCAGCTTCTAGAGGGGGGTGATTGAGGGCACGTTCTCCCGTAAGCTGATAGCTCGGTGAAATGATGGGCTGGGCCGTTGTTGAATAAAAAGTGTCATTCGATAGATTGGGAAAATCCGGGGGCAAAATGAAGGGGAAACATTGCCAGTGTATTAGCATGTTAGTGTACGATAGGCTCATGTTTAGAATACAAAAAACGGCCTGATGGCTTGGTCTGGGGTTATGGACCGCCATGACACAACTCCATACGATTCACACATTACAGGTTGGTTTGGTTGCTTTGTGAGGCCGCATTATCTCCAGCATACCTGCTTTGGGAGTGATGCCTCTGCCCATGTTCTGAATTCGATCATAAATGTATCTGATACTTCACCTGAAATCCACGTGATACAAGACGATTGAGTCCTGGTCTAAACCGCGGGGCACAGCAATTCATGGAAAGAAGCATAGTGTTAAGATTCATAAATTTTTGTCATTGTCGTGAATGACGTACGCGGGTCGTAAGATTTGATTCTACTACCTCACGCCATGGATTGATGATTGAACCCTGAGAATGCCAGAAAAAGAACTCCCACTGCCGCAGATACCCTACTAGCTAGCTAACTAAAACCCTAGTAACGCTTGCCCTCGCGCAAGACATCGCTGTACTCCTCCAACGGCGACTTGGAGAGCTTCGTCTCCTTCCACAGGTTGGGGGTGAGGAAACCGTATGTGTTTGCGACGGCGACGAAGGTAGCCTTGAGGGTGTTCTCGAGGGTCTTGGTGGAACCGGACGAGGCGGTGTAGATGTCGGCGACACCAGCGAGTTGCAAGAGACGCTTGACAGCGGGGGAGGCGACAAGGCCGGTACCGCGGGGAGCGGGGATAAGACGCACAGTGACGGAACCGCACTTGCCAGACTCCTTGGTGGGGAGCGAGTGAGGCTCACCGAGGTTGGTACCCCAGTATCCACGGCGGATGGGCACAACGCTGAGCTTGGCGATGATGATGGCAGCGCGGATGGCGGTCGCGACTTCCTTGGAGGTCTTGATTCCAAGACCAATGTGGCCCTCGGAGTCACCGATGACGACAATGGCCTTGAATCGGGTACGCTGACCAGCGCGGGTCTGCTTCTGCACGGGCTTGATCTTCATGACCTCGTCCTTGAGCTTGGGGAGGAAGAAGTCGACGATCTGGTACTCCTTGATGGGGAGAGAGTGGAGGTAGCTGGTGAACTTGTTAGTTTCAGGATTCCAGCGCATTTTTGCCTCGATTGGTTTGCGAGTAATCTCTGTTCTTCTGGGGCATCAACGTACATCTCCTCCATGCTCTTGATCTTGCCAGCCTTTACGAGACGGCCGAGCTTGGTGACGGGTTGCCATTCCTTCTCCTGTGCCCATTTGTTAACCTCGCGGCTTCAACCATTGAATATCTCGACTCGAATCGTACCTCAGTCTTGCCGCGGCGGCCACGGCCACGTCCGCGTCCACGTCCACGCTCACCACCGCGATCACCGCGGGAACCGAATCCTCCTCCACGTGGGGCGTCAGCCATGTTGTAAGTCGGGAGGGTATTGGAGGCTACTGCAGCGAGGAACAATTAGCAAAAAAGGGCGTCTGAGTCGGGCTGGAGTGGGAGGTAACGTACAAAAGTTTGGGTGGGTTAGTATGTCGCGGAGCTCAACCTCTGGTGTTCGTGGGTAATGTTCAATTTTCGGTGGCCGTGGGCGGAAACTCTTGGCTAGCGCTTAGTCATTAAGCGAGCTCATGACAGCTTAGCTTCAATGCATCTATCTTCCTCCACCACATCGCGTCGCATCGCAACATCAGAACCCATCTCTTTTCTTGCTCTTCAACATTGAGTATTTTCCCGTGTGAAACACAAGAACAAGAAATTCAATCTTGTCTCGCTTTTTTCATATCAGTATCAGGAATTCATCCTGCCATCTCCCCGTCCCCACCAAACCTTCTTCATCCAGTCTCGAATGCTCCCTGTCTTCAGATACCCTAAATGCTGTACCACCTTCTCAGGCGATATCCGCAGTCAGCCCGCTAGCCACGCTCTCTGCTTTCTCGGTATCTGATTATTCCCATCAATGCTCATTGCTTCCTTCTCACGCAGACTCGAGATGCAAGTCATGCGCGGTAGTGTCTCACCCTAGACTGACATCACCTGAACCCGTTCTTGGGCTGACTAAGAAACCCCCGAAGGCCTCTGATTCGTTCATGCTCCTGTGACTACCTATCAAAGCTCTACGACTCATCTTATCATTCAACTCTTCTCTCCCAGTGTGCTTTCTACCTCTCTAGTATCCTAGTATTTTTAGAATGTCGCTTTTCAACTCTGTACTGGGCAGCATTTCCCCTCGCCTGCGCGATTCGTTCGAAGATCCTCATGCGCGCGATCACGAACTATTGTCCTATCACTCTTCATCCGTGCCCCGGGTGCCTCCACCCGTAGCCTCGACTATCCTATGGAACGCCCCTCAAACGCGACTGTCTCCGCCTCCTCAAGTTCCTGATCACCTGCTGGCTATCCAGAGAAAAGCGCGTCACCTCGAACAACAGCTGCAAGAACTGCTCGATTCTCAAGCCGATGGTCTGATCAGTGGTCTTGCCGGGAATGAAGCTATACCAGATGATTTGGTGAGCAATGGAAGCACCACTCCGACAGTGAGTAGCATGCGCGGTGGGACAGACCGAGGCTCGGAGAGTGGGGAATTTTTACAACCTGCGAAGAAAACACACGTGGGACTGAACACGGCGAGGAAGCGAATAGCGCGTCGCATTCAGCAGCTGGCTAGTGTCAAAGCCGAAGAGTTGGACGTTCTCGAGGATAATCTACGCGACTTGGACAGTATCGTCAAGAAGACGTCCTCGTGGACAGAAAAGCGCACACGTCTGACCAACAAGATTGATTCGTTGGCCACGGACACGACCGTCTCGAAAACCCAAAGCCTTCAAACACAGGCATTTGAATTGGAGCAGGAAATCCGCCAAAAGGAGGAAGAGCTGCTAATCTTGAAGACCCGCCATCGTCGTGTCCTGAACGAACTCGCAGATACCGAAAATTCCCTCGAGGCTAGATCGTCATCCTACAAAGCGTCGTTGTCCTATTTAGACAAGGAGATCAATACATTTTTAGCAAGATCCCCAAATACTAATCACGTTCCTCTTTCTACTTCACCATTCTTAACACTACCACCCAGTCGCCGTACCCTTGAAATGGCACACGATTACTGGCAAGAAGAGCAGACACGCCTCTCCGAGCGATGCGAGGAAGTTGACATTGACCGGGCCGCACTCGACGAAGGCGCCGTTCTATGGACCGAAGTTGTGCAACGCATCATGGACTTTGAAGTTGCCTTGCAAAATCAGATGACGCGTCCTTATACTGTGAAGGGAACACCGTCTTCAGCGTCGTCAGACTCCACAAAGCTCATCGAACGCATGAGTGCAACGGTATTGTACCTAGAAGATACCCTCGAGCTTGCCTCGCAGCGCGGATGGAATCTTCTTGTCTGCGCTATTGGTGCTGAACTTGAAGCATTCAAGCAGGGGCAGTCTCTCCTCGAGCAAACGCTGGGTGTGTCTAAGACCAGACCTACGAGCAACGGCAAAACCAAACAGCGTGAGGTCGAGAGACTGGTCGATGGCTCAAGTTCATCGAGTACTCCACTCAGCGAAACCACCGATGAGGAGGATCACCGTCACGAGGATCTTAAATTATTTAACGACGGAGAGGGAGAAGAGGAAATTTCCAGGTCGACCATTAGGATTGGACCACCAACATCAATCTCTCAATCTCCTCCCCCTTCCGTCACCCTAACGATGCGAAGTCCCAAATTATCTTCTTCTTCTCCGCCTAAAAAGCAGCAAAAACAGTCACTGTTCGATACAGACGATGACGAGAACGATGACCCGGATCCCGAGCTCTTGATCAGTCACGAGTGAAGGGTCTACCAACGATGATGGAAATAAATGGCAAGGTGAACTGGGAGTACCAGCGTAAATGCACGCGTAGCGTGGTATCATGGTGCGGTTGGACATGGTATTGAACCTTGAAGTAAATAGGCTTCCGTATGCGCTTACACATAATCAATGCAAGCAATGAAGAATGTGTAACAATCGGTTCATGCATTATTAGCACAGTATATTGCCTTCTACGAGTCATAGCCGCGCATTTGTGATATTTTCATTCTGCCCTCACGAGATGAGACCACCCTTGGAGCAAATAATCATGCCTCGTAGTGTCCAAATTTGATGTCGCTGGTAGCGAGAACAATCTTGATAACAAAGTTCCTATAAATCAAGAATAGTGGTTGTATCGGTGCGAATGCGAAAAAGCAACAGTTACTAAAATCTACCTTCGTGGCCTTTTACAAACATGCTAGGGGGGTTATACTGTCTTTATTATACATCTTGAATTATTACACACCTGCGTCTTACTCAATTCACAATTATGACAAGGGAAAAAGGTGAGTTTTTACTCCCACCTCCTGCTGAATGGCCCTGTGCTATTCGGAAGAAGGCAAATGTTCTCCAAGAACATTTACCGGAGACCGATTGTACAATTTTTGGTGTGTGACTGAAACGTCTAGCACTATTCACTGCTTGAGTTAGGGACAACCCCCCTCCCCATGTATTACTCGAGCATTTTTCAAGTCATTCTTGTTCCGGTTGAGAGCCATGGTTCGGGACATTTAATTTGGCATACGGTGTGAACTTGGTGCGACTTCGAAAATGAACGATCGGGCATTCAATTTATCGCTAAAGTGTCGGACGAAAAAATAGTTTCGAAATATCATGACGAATATAGCTTCCCGATAGACCCAGAAAGCCAGACCAACTGATTCACAGCCCCAGAGCACTCCACCTCATTCGTCATGACACGGGTCTACTCTGCCCATAGATAGACCCGACTCCGCATTGTGAGCCGAAACTCGCATCTAGCTCCAACATTCCAGCCCGCTGCGTAATACAAGCTTCTGGAGGACTTAGCCAAGGCGTTGACAGTGCGGGGAAACGCTGTAGATCAGTCAGGGCAAGATCCCAAAGACGTTCATGCGTGAAAACCTCGAAGGCGTGTACTTTGAGCTGCACGACCTAGAAGGATCACCACCCGCCGATCGACATCAATACATATCTTCATCACATTCTACAAAGCTTCGGCCGTGAAAGCGAAGATCGCATTACACCATGTTGAACTGGACAGTATATCATTTCATGTCGCAGTGCTTATGGAAACATCAGCCTCATCAGCCTGATACATTCGTTCGAAAACTTAGCAATGCACTTCTCCAAGTTCCGGACTATGGCAGCACTCGCACACCTTTTCGGTGGTAGTGGTGCTCTTGCCACCAAGTCTACAGGCGTCGACCTCACGACTCGGGACATCCCGCCCGAATATCTCGAGTATGCCCACTTTGTTGGATCTGTTCCCCAAAGACGTCTTCCCTCGGACCCTCGTCTCTCCTTCGCGTTATACATCCCACCAACTCTTTACAACCCGGACCCCGCAAACTCATCTTACACGCTCCCTAAGCTTCCACTGTTAATTAGTGTCCATGGTACATCACGCGACATCGCTGCGACCGAAAGAGACCTTCCCCAATTTGCCGAGGAAATGCATTGCGCAGTTCTCATGCCACTTTTCCCCGCGGGCCTGATGTCGTCATTTGACCTCGACTCGTACAAACTTTCGTCGAACGACACCCGTACTCAACTGCGGTCCGATCTGGCACTGATTGATATGCTCGATGAGATCCAGCATCGATGGCCTGGCCTAGAAACGGACAAGGTGTATATGATGGGGTTCTCGGGTGGGGGGCAATTCACTCACCGATTTTTATATCTCTATCCTGAGCGTATCATTGCGGCCAGTGTTGGTGCTCCCGGTCATATCACCATTATCGATGACACCAAGGCGTGGCCCAAAGGTACTGCGGATATCAAGGATGTTTTCGGTATTTCGCTCAATGTGTCGGCGATGACCCAAGTGCCCGTTCAAATGATCGTCGGCGGTGATGATAACAAAGAAGATACTCCTGGTGGTTTCTGGGACTGGGTATATGAGGCAGTTGGCGACGATGAAGATTTGACGCCGCGAGTGGGAGGAAGGCTGGATGGTTTGCGAGAGTTGAAAAGTAACTGGGAGGAGCATGGAATAGAGACGTCATTTGAGGTTGTTGACGGTGTGGAGCACGATTCAAATGGTGTTCGGAAAAATGTGTTGGCTTGGTTGGGAAATGTAATGAAAAGAAGTCACGAAAAGCATTGAAAGGCCTGGTGAGGTGTGGGAGTCTGTTTAGCCAATGGAACTTGGCCCAATCAATTCACCTTGCGAAGTTGAAACAGCCGGCAACCCTACTCCTTCGAATTTCAAGCAGCTCGCTTTCTGTAATCAATGCTAAACTAAGAATTTATACTCTTGTACTCTAAGAATTAAGTAGAAAAGATTTAATAGGAAAGCGCGGGTGCATATTCTAGGCAACCGTCTTGAGCTCTAGGAGAATGAGAAAAAAAAAAAAAAAGAAAAAGAGTACTCTAACACAGCCACGTAGGCCGCTATGTTTCAGCGTGCATATTAACTAATCACAAACCGATTATTGTTTCCCTGTAATTCAAGTAAGACTTGTGAGAAAACTCTCGGGGCCGACTGAACACAGCTACGCAACGACGCGGGTACAAGTGTAGCGGTCAAGGAAGATTGTTTTTCTATTTTCAGGATTCGCTGTTGACTTCTCCTCTTCTAGCAGCGTGTGTACATATGCACTCAACTGGAGATGCTATCCAAGCTAATGACTATGTTATGTGTGTTTTACTCTCCGGCGCAAAACTGGTGTCCAGAACATTAACGGCAATATTTTGCGTTTTCTAAGAACTATATAAGTATAACATGATAGTGTGACGTTCCGATCAAGACGACCATAGCACACTGCTTGGATTCGCATGGCATTTGCCCCGACATATTGATCCCTTATTTGTAGTCCTCACTCCAGAAACCTGTCTTGGGAGATGGTTGAGCTGGATTCAGCGCATCATCAATCACAATTCCCCATAACGATCCATTTGGAAGACTCCAATGTTGCAGAGCGATGTGAGCTACATTTAACTTGGCGATGCATGCAATTTTACTGTAAGAAGTCTCCCCCTGTTTTAGCAACTATCTCGTCGTAATAACCCTGGAAAGCAAGCCATCCTTTCTCTGGAGTACCGACTTGCTTGTAAGACTCGGCTGCTTCATGATCAGAGATGATTTTCTTCTCATGCCCACTCGCTGCAGCCGCGGCGTCTACCAATAGCTGGGCGTGGCATGTCTTATCGAGAGAAATGAACCAGAATGCAGCCTCATCGACTGAATGGCCGCATGTAAGAATGCCATGGTTCTGCAATATGCATGCTTTGCCTTTACCTGACCCCCGTCTGCGCATTAGTATGGACTTCAAATGGTGGCACGTAATCATGTGACCTGGCGAGACCTACCCAGAGCCTCAGCTATTCGCTCGCCCTCGTCGCTAGCCAGTACCACGCCGCCGAACTGCTTGTATACCCCGTGGCTCTTATAGAACCTCAGACTGTCCTGCGTAATCATGTCAAGCTCCCTACCAAACGCGGAGAATGCTTTGCCGTAGGTTGAATGTGCATGACAAGCAGCGTGTACATCTGGCCTTGCGCGGTGTATAGCAGAGTGGATAGCAAAGGCAGCAGCGTTGATTGGTTCACTACCGTGTACAACTTCCCCTGCTTCATTCACAAGGATGAGGTCGGAGACTTTAATCAGAGAAAAGTGAGTGGACAATGGATTCAGCCCTAGGAATGGTCAGTCTTGATTGCTATGCTCAAAGCAGGAGTGCCACTCTTCCACGGTAGCAATTCACAATGAAGCATTCGCAGTGATGGATTCGAGCTCATCCACACTCACAGAAATGATCAGTCAAGATGGGGTCACGCACACTGATGTGCCCGGCGACCCCTTCATCATATCCTCTCGCCGCAAAAGCTCGATAAGCCGCAGCGAGGTGCTGCTTTCTGTATAGTCTCTCATCCTCCAGATTCTCAAACTTGGGGTACCGTCGAATCGCAAGCGCCTTGCCTGATTTGGTGCGGCCCATTGCTGCCACTGCCTGGTTTTGGGCGTTTTCAGCACGATGCACCCGCGGTGTTGCCGTGGTTGCTAGCAAACGTCTACATGTTGAGGTGGACAACGAACGCGATGGCGACTGTTGAAGGCATGCGACGAAGGCAGTCCGTGGCAGAGTGCGCAAACGAGAGCGCATGACTGTATTCATTGCCGGCATGTATTGCTATTAGAATTGGCCAGGGCAATCAAGGGCGAGTTGATCTGGTATATCGTCGTGTCGATGATGTGAGTGCCCCGCAACCACCAGCAGGGCGGCCAAATTGGCCTGCGGACGGCGCTTTTCGCCCCCATTGCCGTCATCTTGAATCCAGGCCGAACCACGTCTGGTGGTATTGCGTGCCAAATTGGCCGTACCAACGGCCAAAATGGTTCCTGTTCCGAGGACAAGATTGTCTATAAAACGTTATCCTGAAGGCTCAACAACCGGATTTATACTCACCACCACAACACCACACCACTGCCTACCATCATTCGTCACTATATTCAACCATCCCCAACATTTGCATCAACTGAGAATGTCCACCATTACACTCGTTACCGGAGCCAATCAAGGAATAGGCCTTTCGACGGCTATAATTCTCGCAAAGCAACACAACCATCACGTCATCATCGCATCTCGCAACGCAGATGCCGGAGAAAAGGTTGCAGCCTCAATAAGGAACGATGGAGCGTCCGCTTCCAGTCTTCAGCTCGACCTGACTTCTGATGGCTCCATCGAAGCAGCAGCAAAAACCATCGAGCAAAACCATGGTCGTCTTGACGTCCTCATCAACAACGCTGGAGTCCTTCTGGATGGGAAGAATCCAAACCAGAGTACCCGCGACCTCTTCACCGAAACAATCAACACAAACGTCATTGGCACCGCCGTGTTGACCGATGCCCTTCTTCCACTGCTTCGCAAGTCTTCACAACCACGCGTCGTCTTCCTGTCATCCCGCATGGGCTCACTTCATCAAGCTACTGTGACAGACACTCCTTTCTACGCCGTCGACTACAAAGCATACGATGCTAGCAAGGCTGCCGTGAACATGCTCGCACTGAACTATGCCCGAATCTTGGACGATGTGGGTGCCAAGGTGAATGCTGTATGTCCGCAGCTGGTAAAAACCAACTTGACCGGGTACGTCGAGTATGGAATCACAACAGACCAAGGGGCGGAAAGGGTTGTTGAACTGGCTACGTTGGATCAGGATGGACCAACCCGTACCTTCTCAGACCGCGATGGATCCATTGCGTGGTAGATCGTCATCGAGTACGGAACGAGAAGCAGCAGTCTAGCAGATGAGTTTACTCTTGTATGTGCTGTACTGGAATAAATCTAGTTGGATACATAATTGAAAATAAAAATAAAAAATACATGCAAAATCACCGACGTTCATTCTCTAGGCTATTGCAGTGGCAATGTTCAATAGCGAACCCAAGCTGTCTGCCCTCGCATTCCAAGCTCCCAACATATGTGCATTCGACCGCTCGTTACTCTCTTTTTTCGCTTTCATCAAAGCCCCAAAAGTCGAAAGAGCAGGTGTTCCAGCTTCCATCTCACTCAACCACGATCCACGAGTCCGAGCCTCCCATTGCGTCTTTGGGGCAGGCAACGGCAAGACCTCGGGTGTTTCCGTGGTAGCACAATTGACTGTATTGACAACAATCGTGCTTGTAATAAGAAACCAGACCATCGCTGTTCTCCTCCGTGACTCGGCGTAAATCCACTCTTCCCACGTCGCACTGGGATGATCTTGTTCCGAGGTGAAGAATTGTCGACCGTTGTTTTCGTAGAAGCGCATGCACATGGTTGTCTGTATGGTCATCATCTCGCGCGTCCAATCCGGGTCTGAGAAGATGCCATCTACCAGTCGCATGATTAGGTACACCATGCCTACTTGCATTTCAGCGAGTAGATCCTGATCATTCAGAGTCTCCAGCCGTTGTACCGCACGTCTTTGTTCCGCCAGTATGGTGCGCCAGAGGAATGCTCGCATCTCATTGGTTTGTAGTGCATACATCTGTGAAATGTGCATGCATACCGCGAGAGGCTCGGGCAGAGAAGGCTGATGCCAATGCGGGTGAATGAACGGCGGGAACGTTTCCCTCCTTCGCATTTGCTCCACGACAGCATACAAGGCATCCAAAATCAGATCTGCGCTTCTTCGGGCAAATGCATGAGGGTTGTCGACTCTTGTCAAATACGTGTTTTCATCTTTGCTGCTAACCTCGACTGTTTCGAGCTGATTGAAGGAAAAGTCGAATGGAATATCCCAGGAAGAAGGAGGAAAGAGGACTCCGTCAAGCAAAGATGAAGGGTTGGTGTCGCCGAGGCCTGGGATGAGTGCAAAGTCATCAGCCGAAACGTCTCGGGGAAATGGATCGAAAGGTTCCAGAGGCGCGGGGATGCTGTCGTCTTGGAGCAGAAAAGAGGGCTCAGTATTAGTCAGATGCACGGGTGAAACCGAAGAAGATGTATTCAGCGATGCTCTTGAATCATGTTCGTAGATGCATTGCAAGTTCTTAGTTAAACAACGGGCGCAGCGCGGCTGGAAGCTGCACTTGGCCTTGGAAGCTTTGCAATTACGGCATGACCTCCGCCGCATTCGTGGCCGCAGCTGCGCACGGCGACAATATGCTACGTGGCGAGTGTACGAGGTTGCTATCATCACAATGATCAACGGAAGGATGAGTGTCTATTGGGGCAGTACCTCCATACCTGCTGTGAAAGGCTTATTGCAAAATGAACAAAAGCGCACCGCGCCTGCATCATCGCTTCCTGTAGATGTGCCTGAAGTTACAATGGAGTCTTTAGCGATATGCATTGTGGTTTAGGATGGACGGGCAGGAGCAGCGCGAGCAGCTACAATACTGTGATTAATAATCAGCACTAACCCCTGACGGCTAATTCGGCTGTCATCAGTGTGCCGACAGCGCCCTGTTTAAAGGCGCCGTGTAAGAGGACCATTATCGAGACAAGTTTTCCATGGCTTTGATTTAAGCTTGTTTTTGATTTCTTCACTTGAAGTCGTGATATATCTCTACGCTAATTTCAAACCCGCCGCCCCAATGCAAATAATAACTCCATCATACACATAAAGTACATGGCGACTGACTTACCCAGAAGTCCATCATCGACGATCATCGGGATTCAGAAACTCATCCGGTACAACGACCCATTGTTTGCTGTCTTCGCTCCATCTCCCAACCGGCGTCTTGGGTCTCATCTGGCGAGCCAGCTCCTCCATCTCTTCAAAATCCTCGGGCATGGCGGGCTCATTGGTGACTTGTGTTGTGGTGACCAATTTGATGTCCATCTTGCCCATGCCCACACTACACAAATCCTCGATGCTTTCGTTTCGAGTGGGCAGTGACACAATGGAGCGGCCCGGCCGATGCTTCGAGGTGGGTGCATCAGCCTCGATCTTGCAGGAGCCGCCGAAGCGGCTGGGGCCCATGGACCAGAAAGGAGAAAATGTTTCAAATCCGTCATCGTCTGGTGGAGGTTCGTCGGAGAAGACCATGATACGGCGAGTCAGAGTATATAGAAGAACGTCTAGCCATCCGTTCGACGTTATCATCAAGCCAGCAAGACAAAGTCGAGCATGTGAAGGTGGGTTTCCACCCATTGCTGCCATACGAGCCGAGGCCAGCGGTAGGGTGCAGACCACGTAGATGACCGGATAGGAGATCATTAGGTTGGCAATCGATCGTACGCGCTGGGCCTCGGTATCGGTGTAGTACCCACTGCGAATGCGGTTGAGCAGGATGTAGTACATGAGGGCGTATATGATGACGTTGCCAAACTCAAAGGTGAAGATCCAGATGTAGTGGGTCCACAGACGAAGGTCTTTGAGGTCGTGATGGACCCAGCACCAAACGCCAGATCGCACGTAAATGTCGCGCGGATACATGATGACTTGGATTGCGGATATGCTGTAGACAAACACCCAAAGCGCCAAGATGGTCAAGTAGAAGTTCCTCTGCTTCAATCGATAGTTGCAGATGACTGATGCAAAAGTGTGAAAGCCGATAGCGGTACAAAACACGCCCGAGCTGAGATCACCGGTGGAGATCAACCAGCCCTGGGTGAAGCAGATGGGACTCCCCACGACGACGGAATCCAGCCTGAGCCATTCCACGTTGAGCAGAAAGGCCAGTGACTGTTGGATATCGGCCCACAGGAGGTTAAAGATGAGGAAGACGAATTGGGAGGTGCGTTTTGCTTTGAGCTGCCATCGTATCAGGCGGTATGTGAGCAAAAAGATCAGAGTGATGGATGTAAAGAATGACAAGAAGCCAAGCACGACCACAGCGTGTAGCCACTTGTGGATGTGAGGCTCAAGGGCTGGAAGGGTACTCGACTCATGATCAAGCGACTCGAATTGGACCATTGCTCGCTCAACGGCCTAGTGTCGGTCGATGGGTGGAACAGAGGGATGCAGTGCGAGATCACGCACTGTGGAGGAAACGAACGGTGGAGCGACGATGCACTGGCATGTCGAGAGGATATGACGGCGGCGGTGTGTGAGGAGAGAAAGCAAGCCACTGACTGACAGATGATTGACGGTGTCGGGAGGCGCCGTGATAAAGTAGCGATCAGAAACAATGGGAAGAGGGGGGGAAGGGTTCGCTATAGGTGATACGGACCCTAGTGGCGCCCAGGAAAGCACGGTAAGCATGTTTACGAGACGTCGAAAGCGGGACAGCCTTATCCCTTCCCAGGTTCGTACCTAGGTGGTGTGTATGGATCATCATGGATGGCGTGGGTTCCCTCGTGGCATTCATTAGCCCCGGATTCCATGTCAGGCCAGCACGCGCCGAGCACGTGTAATGCAATGCTTGTCAGCGCGGATGCTGCTGTTGTCGGAAAAGAGTTTACAGCAACCAAGCGATGAATGATGGCAGTGTTCGATTCATTCATTGGGCTGGCAATTGCAGCAGACAAGACAGACAGCTAATGATGACTGGAAGATTCGTGGATCAGAGGGTGTGTACATAGATGGATAGTATGTACGTACATACCTAGGTAGATAGGTGGAGCGTCAGCTTGGGGTCGGGCCGTGCCCATTATTTTTGGATGCCGTGATGCTTCAAAGGGCAACAGGCAAGCTGGCCAAGTGGTGGCGTCTCTGGTCGCTCGCGCGAAGGGTTAGCAGCTCGCCGAGCAGTTTCAAGAACAGCCGAGCAATTGCCGCAGCAAGCATTCATTCTAGAATTATTCGACGACCATCGCCGTTGGAAAAGGCTGTTTTGCCGTGTGCTCCTGGCCGCGCATCATGTGGGAATTGAGGTCCAGGCAGGTATGTAGACCATCTATGTACCTGATACCAGATGGAACAGCTTGACGATACACGTGACATGCACGCAATCGGGCATCCATCCTCCTTCCACCGGCCCCCCCCCCATCACCACTTCACCTTTGAACCCTCCTCGACCCTCTCACACAGCCAGCGACACCAACCCAAGTCGACCTCATTCTTGCGTTGGAAACCTTCTTGGCGACTGACAGCCGTCGAGTGCATCATTGGTCGTCGAGCCCGGCCTTCAGCTCAGCCAAGGTGTAGTACGGTTTGCGGCCCCCATGTTAGCGTCATGTCCTTTGCCAAACACAGGCATCGTTGGCGAGTGACTGAGAAGTGCTTCGGTCCGCCTACTGTCAACAGCCAATGGCTAAACTCTGCCATTTATCTGAAGCCTAGCTAAGCGTTGCTCGTCACTTGCAGCCGGGAAAAGCCAAGTCAGGTACCCGTTCATCCAGACTCGTCCAATTCATCTTCGACATCTTCTATTCTCCCTTAGCATCATTGATGGCCATGGTTGGCCAAGGCACTGATCGAACAAACCGACGCACGCGCCCACGAGTGGGAAAATCTTTCCGGAGCTGGATCCACCTTTGGCCCTGCTAACTACCGCGTCGTTTGGTCTTGTATGTACCCCTGCCTTTCGGGCATTTAATTGTCCCTGTGCTTGACAGGAGCACGTTCCAGGCCCAGAAGCTATTGAGTAACGAAGCCCGATATACGAGGCGTGCATCAAGGTGACATCCGGAGAGCACGTCACAGAGGAACCGTGAGGAAGAAAGACACAAAGAACCCAACCACGAGGTAAAAGGATGCGGATCATGTCAGGCCGGCTATGTTTGGCTCAAGAGAAGTCATGTAGGTAAGAAGCGGGTGGAGCCGCGTAATACCTATCCCGCTCGCTGGGTCGTAAATGTAAGCTAACTGTACGCATCTTGTACATGTTGCCATATTACATCACACACTATTTGCAAGCAAGCAAGCAAGCAAGCAGAATCTTGTCGCCATCATTACACATCCTTACCTTCCGTAATCGGCCATCGCTCACAATCTCACGACTCATTTGAAACAACTTCCTCGTCGACCTAGACCTTGCTTCCATCTTCTTCCCTACTTTCCCCCCCAGATCCTGGCCCCTTATGCTACCAACAAGTTCCAGGCCTTCGGGATTCCAGCTCACAGGGCAGGGCTCCCACCATCAAAGCCACGGATGCAGGATTCGATCCGAGCACCATCCTTCCACTCCAACTCAGCTCCGCTGAATGCCATCTCATCTAAGCTCAACCCCAACATCCCAGTACAAATGCTCACTATGGTTAACATGCAAGCATCCTTGCCGCAAACTAGACCAACTAGTCTAACAATAATTGTCCATCATCATTGCCGATAGCGATACCGAGCATCCTAAACTCCTACCTTGAACGCCCCACTGTTGCCTCTCCATCTATCCCCGATCTTGACCTGGGCGGGTCCCCGATTGTAATTCAAGATTGGAGCATCATCATCATCATCATCATCATCATCATCATCATCATCATCATCATCATCATCACCATCATCACCATTATCGGGGGCAACGAGTATACCTTCAGTGTTCCAATTTCTCTTGTCATTTTTGTCTGAACACTCGCGTAGTATGTATGCATGTTATATGGGGGGCATGGCTACACAAAAACCTCCCGTGCAATGTGCGATGAAGAAAGATGCCAAACGCCCCATTTCCTCCACGGAGCTGAATGCAAATAAAAAAGGACAGCAAGGACATCGTACCAGTTCAATTCCTCAGAATCCCACCATGTGCGCGCGAGATGTCCAAGTGCGAGCTCCACAAACCAGCTAGCCCACCTCTTTTCGGCGCACCAAAAAGAAAAGAAGAAGAAAACAGAAGCAGATCAAGGTCACTATGACAAACGGCAGAAGATAACAAAACAAAGGAACATCGCCCATATACCGAGCCTGACCAAAATCCCCTTTCCCATCACGGGTACATGACCACAAGTCGCATCCTCCAGTGCCATTTTCCATGCTTCATACGCATTTGAGCCCGGTTCATGAGAACTGCGAAGCTTCCACCGAGCCTCGATACTCACTCTGCGGCTGCCGCCCCGACCCACCCCCATACTGCGTAGCAATCTGGCTGTCATACTGCGAGGGCGGCGGCGGCGGCTGGGTACCAGGGAAATGGGCCTGCTGCGAACCCTCGTCCCAAGCATGCGCGCTGTACGGTGCGCGCTGCTTTCCCGCGAAAGGCGGCATTTGTCGCGTGCTTTCGTCTCGAGCGTATCGAGGACGCACATTTTCTGCCGTCACCTCATCGTCGTATATCTGGTTCTGGTTCTTGGGCTGGGTGGGATGAAGAATTGTTTGCATTTCGTCAATATCGAGAATGATGTCGTTGAAGGCGGCAGTGGCGTTGTGGAGCACGACATTGCGGTTCCATTCGGCTCGGTGCTTCCAAATAGCGTCCATGAGAGTGGCGTTGACTTGCTCAAGCTGTTCAACGGAGCATCCGGAGGACTTGCGAACAATCATGGTATGGAAGTCGCTCAGCACATTCTCGTCGAGGACCAGCTGCGGCGAAGGCTCGGTTGTATCATTGAGTAGATCGTTGATATTGGCGGTGTGGCGTGGTGGAGGAGGCGCGCGCATGGCATTCTGCTGTGATGATTGGGACGGCTCCGAATTAGAGAACTGGCTGCTCTGATAATGTGGAGGATCTGGGTAGAAGGTTAGAAAGTACTTCCTGGTAGAAGGGGATACTGAAGGCGTGAACCAACCTAGTGTCTGCGTATCAGGGATCGGCTGGGAGCCACTGGGTAGCAGCTCTGCTAGATCAGGAACGCCAGCCGGAGCGACACCAGCGGTGCTGCTCTGTGTATTGAATTGATTACCAGAAGATCTACTGGACGTTTTTTGTGCGGATGTGTTCGTCGTCGAGGCACTGTTCTGATAGTCACGAGGGTTTGAATTGGGCGCCATAAAGGTGCGCGCAGACATCTGAGATCTTTGGGTTTGGGTCCCTGGGCGATTGGGTGTTTGGAATGCAAGCTGCGTATCCGCAGGGACATCTTGACTTTCCGCCATGTGCACATCTTCACCAGTTCGCGAGTGACCTGGGGATACATTCTCATGCGATGCATGGTCGGCTTCGTTGGTACTCGTGCCATTTGTCAGTGAGCCCTGGGGATCGGTGGGTTGGCCATCGGGCTTGATTGGTTCATCAGGAACCACCTCGCCGAGAGTTATGGGCCCAGACGTCAATGCAGTTCCGCCAGATTCTCCCGGATGTGCCTTGGCGACGTCTTTTCCTTGCTTTTCCTTTGCTTTGCGTGCGCGCTCGAGCTCGCGCTGATACACAGCTTCGCATTGTTCTTTCAAGCCAGGATTCTGCGAGTAAATAGTCTCTATGTCAACCTCGACATTTGCTTGCATTTCATTCGCTCTCAGAGTTCTCTCTGCATCGTTGTAAGTCTTGGCGTCTTTGGCCAATGTCTTGATGTCGAATAGATAATCTTTGGGTCTTTTGTAGTATCCATTTGATAGCCGTTTCTCAATAGTAGTGAGGTCGAGATTGTAGTAGATATTGCCGCTCGCGATATGCAGAAGAACACCGACGCCCCGAGCGTCCGTGGCACGCGCCCAAGGCCGCTCATCGGCATGTGCAAGCAGTTCATCGTGAGTCAAGTCCGTCGATATGTGGTTCGGATCATCTTCTGCAAGGAGGTAGGCATACCAAGCTTCTTCGATGATGGGTTTGTAGAATTTGCGGTAAGTTTTCTTCAGTTGATCCATAACAGGCTGAATAACCATTTTGAGTTTGTTTAGTGTCAATCGATCTTGCTTCTTTTGCATCTTCTCGCGAGCCGCGATCTCCTTCGGATCAATGACTGGTTCCACGACCGGGGCAGGAGGCAACTCGGGGAGAACCCGCTTTTTTCGGTTGTCTGGATCCGGAAAATCTGCTGGAGACATACGGATGTACTGGACGACGTTCTTGAAGAATTCATTACGGCCGAGCTCCGTCGGTCGCTGCAGCTCATACTGATTGTTCCTCGAGAACGAGAAAAGGTCTGCCATCATCTGTGGATCCGGTCCTTCCTCGTCGTGCATCCGTTCCATCACACCCAAAAGCAAGATGGGCTCATTTGCACCGATGCTACGCATCAAGAGCTTGAAAGTCTTGATGGCGGGCCCTGGAAGAGTTTCATACCAAACATCGACGTGCGGTATGTAGATGACACTGGGCTTATGGCGCCTGACTTCTGTGAAGAGTTGGGTTACAGCAGCTTCCGGTGTTCGGGTGGGATCTTCCAGAATGGTCGGCAGGTCGAAGGATTGGACATGAAGACCTTCAAGTTTATTGAGCAAGGCAGCACCTAGATACTGCTGGCCCATACCCTGTAAACCACTAATCAGTAAGCGTGGACGGAAGATCCGACTGCTCTCGAAATTTCTCATAGTGGCCTCACGTTCAAAGCCCTTCGCGTCGTCGCGATCATCGTACTCGGCTTCTTCAAGAGCCGTGAGCTTTTTGCGGCGAGGTATCAGATCATCGATACGAGCAACGATCTCGTGAAGTGCAACGCGTAGAAGAGGCTCGATGTTCTTGGCCAGCGGTGCCGCTTTGGACGTAACGGTTCGCTGAGATGAAGGCGTCATTTTGTTGACGGATATCATGAAATCCTTGGCGAGCACCTTGATTTCTTCTGGCTTGATCAGGAGCTTTTTCTCGGATGTGTAGATTTGAGGAAAGGTCCCTTGCACAGCATTCAATGCGGCCTCTGTACACAAAGCTCGAAGATCGGCGCCTCCATAGCCCTTGGTGATCTCGGCTAGTTGGTCTTTCATGGTGTCTTCCAAGGGAGGCTCCCAATTCTTCGTGTGTATGTCAAGAATAGCTTTTCGGCCAGCGACGTTGGGTAAAGGGAAGTAGAATTCCCGATCGAAACGACCTGGTCGTCGAAGTGCCGGATCAACGGAGTCCGGCCGGTTGGTAGCGCCAATGACAATGACCTGTCCTCGTCCGTCCATACCGTCCATGAGAGCCAACAACGTGGCAACGATGGAAGCATGAATTTGCTCTTGTTTACTAGATCGCACGGGCGCGAGACCGTCAATCTCGTCGAAAAAGATGATGCTAGGCTGCGTCTTCCGCGCTTCTTCGAACAGCATTCGAAGCTGCTTTTCAGCCTCACCCACCCATTTACTCAGAGCGTCGGCGCCTTTGCGCATGTAAAAAGTGACCTTTTGACCGTGATTGCTCACGCTGGACGCAAGAGCACGAGCAAGAAGGGTTTTACCGGTACCTGGTGGACCGTGGAAGAGCACACCTCGCGGTGGTGTGATTTTGAATCGCTGGAAAACTTCAGGGTAGAGGAGTGGTAGCATGACCATTTCTTTCAGCTTGTTGATATGATCATCTAACCCACCAACACCTTCGAATGTGACATTGGTGTCAACACCCAACGGATCAGCGTCTGCAAGGGCTTTCTTGTCTTTCACCTTGCCTAGATTGGCGGGTCCTCCGCCAGCGCCAGCCGTTTGCTGTGGGTCGGCGTTGTGAGTTTGTGGCATGGGAAAGCCTGGTGCTGTGGCAGTGGTTGGCGTCATGCCGGCTACGCCGCCGAAAGGCTTTGGCATCTTTTGCACCTCTTCATCACTGCTGTCGGAGTCTAGAGCAGCATTAGAGTTCAAACCAGCCTCGAGACCACCACCAAATGGCCCCTGGTTGCTGAAAAGGCTGCGATAGGTGGATCGTCCGCCTCTGGGTCTAGATTGTTCTGCTACGGTAACAGCATTCTCGTCCTCGTCGAAGAGTTTGTTTTGCTCCGGGCGCACAAGTCGGTAGTCCACATTGGTAACTCGTTTACGTCGGCTGGCGGGCGCATCGTAGACCAAATCGGCATCGAGGGTGCGCCTCGTCTGCCTGCGACGCTTGTTTGATTGCAGCTCATGCGCTTCTTCTGCCAGCTCGTCGGCATCTAACAAAGAAGCTCGGTCGGATGACTCTGATCGTCGTCGACTTCGCGTTGTCCGTCTGCGATTGCGTATAGATCGTCGACCCGAGCCAGAGGCACTTTCATCCGAGGTAGCAGATTGCTTCTTGCCCTTTTCAGGCTCAGAGACCTCTTCATCCTCTTCCTTGTCTTCATCGCCGGCAGGTTCGAAGTCGCTACTCTCTTCGACGCCGCGTTTGCGCTTGGCTGACTTGGCACGAGTAGTCTATACGAATTAGCTGGGCATCGCCAAGGGTGGTGGAAGTTCACTTACCCTGATGTTTCGGCCGCCCCGGGTGACTGGGCCTTCTTCTTCTTCCGAGTCGTCTTCCGCGACATCGTGCTGAGATTCTTGGATCACACCAGTCATTTCGTCGTCGCCTTCGCCATCATCTTCTGCGTCCCGATCTTCGTGATCCAACGAAGGATCCTCACTAGCCTTGACCTGAGGTGAGTTGGCAGCGTCGGCAAGCAAAGCTTCGATGGGGCCATCACTGTCGTCACGGGGGCCAGATTCTTCCTGTGAGGCTTCCATGATAGCGCTGTGCTCAGGAGCCTGGACTAGTCCCTTGTTGCCCCTCGTGGCGCGGGTGGACACGGTGGGTTCTGGGCTACGCGTACCCTGGCGGACGATGTTGACATGCTTGCCAGAGTCGGACAATGCGATTATGGGATCCTCAATATCATGGGAAAGACGGTTGCTGCGGCGGGTACCTTGGACTTCGGGCGTCTTCCCGCGAGCGATGGATTTGCTGCCTTGGCGAGTGCGCAAAGCCCTGCCGGTTGGGGCCATTTTGAGCTTGACGATTAAGGATGGGCGTTCGATGCTCTGTTGAGCTTTGTTGCGGCGGGGGATGGGAGAGGCGAGTTCGTCCCGTTCAGATTCAGAGTCCTGAATCTCGTCCTCGTCGTCTTCTTCGCTCTCCTCGTAGGTAATCTGCTTCTTGGTGGCGCGGCGTACGCTTCTGCCGGTGGCGGGATTGACTTCGGGCTCTTCGGACGATGTGCGGTCGGTGAAGGAGTCGTCGTCGAGAATCTCGTCGTCCTCATCGACGTCGGAACCGGAGTAGCCGCGGCGCTGGCGCTTTGCGCCCTTTCGTCTGCCGGCCGAAGTAGGTCGTTTGCGACGTTTCTGGGGCGAAGCGCGTTGGGGGGCGGCGTCCCAATCCAGATCCTCGGGATCGGAGGCGTTTGGGTCGAAGTTCTCAAGCTTCCTCTTGGTTCGATTAGACATGAGGAGCTGTCAGCGGGTTACTGGACGGCGCGGGAGAAGTGTCAGCGAGGGAGATGCAAGCAAGCAAGCAAACAAACAAACAAACAAGTAGAAGCGCGAGCAAGGAAGCATGCATGCACAGAGGGCCGCACGAACCAGAATACACTGCGACAATGCAGTCAGAAGAGCAATGACATCTGCAGCAGCGTAGGCGCGGTGTTGTTGTCTGTGTTGCTGGTGGTGGTATTGGCGATGTTGATGCGATGGTGGCCAGGTCTGAGCATGTATAAGACGCAAGACGCAAAGCACCGACGGAAGGCAGGAAGTGGGTGAGTCAATGAAGGAACGAATGAAGGATGGATGGATGAATGGATGGTGGATGGTGGATGATGTGGAGAGGCGCGGGTGGAAAGCTACCCAGGCCAGGCCAGGCAGGGCAGGTACGGCAGCAGGTACGGTGGTGAAGTGAGCGACCCACTACTACTAGCTGGCGAGCAGCAAGTCAGCAGACAAGTAAAAAGAAAGCGGGCCAGTCTATGAATGAATGAATCAAAGACTGTGAAAGGTATGTATTGGTGGTGAAGGAGGAAGAAGAAGAAGTGGTGGTGGTGGTGGTGCTGGACACGGGCGTCTGGCTGGGGAGGAAGCGAGCGAAGCGGTCGGCAGAGTGGCAGGCGCAGGCTGGTAGGCAGGCAGATGGGCGGTCATCACAAAATAATAATTCGGCGCTAGCCCCGATCGGGCCACGATCCAACCCATTCGATAGCATCTGGCGCCCTCAGCGACCCAAGATGCCCTCAACTGCACTTTGCGCCGCGTCCAGTTTCGCATCCCCATTCCGCCATTTTCGCGCTTCTGAGGCCGGAAAGCCCCTCGCCCAAGTCAGCGCATCCGAATCGGCCCAGTTTCGGGAGTCTTGCGGCCCTCCGGAGGGGGTCTCTTGGGGGTGCCAATTGACGTCGTTTCTCTGCATGCTCGCCGTCCATGGGAGCAGATGCAGGTACAGCGCGTGGGCAATGGCGATGCGGCTCTCAAAAGCTTGTCGTCCCTCCCCGCCTCCGTCCCTCCTTTGTTCGTAGGGCTGTCTGCTGTGGGGAACCACCCAGCGCACGTCCCCCATTCTCCCTCACTCACTCTCTCTGTCAAGTCCTTCTTCTCTCTTGCTGCCTGTTGTCTTGTCACATCTTTTCTTTTCTTTTTTCTTTTTTTTTTACTGAATGGACTCCATCCCTGATCTCATCTGGTCACCTTGTGTCTGCATCTTGGGTCTGTGTTCATGCCCTCTACATTTGCCCTACTCACTCGGCATCATACACACTCTATCATCGTTCCCGGCTTTGCGCTCTTCGGCATCTGCCGCATGGTGCTGTGCAGTTCACCGCATACGCGTACCGTGAGTGAGACGTTGGTGTTTGGCCGATACCACCTGCTATTCATCTTATTATGGAGCCAAGCAATCCGCGTCATGAGTCGAGGTCAACGGCATCCTGACTAAGCAGTCTGGGGCATCTGCCCCGTCTCCTCTCAGCAACATTCGACTTGATGTACTCCAGTGAACCATGTCATCCAAGAGAGTCATAGCCTCTACTACTATACAATTCCATTTCCTATTGTACATAAATTTACCGGATTTACAATCACAATACACTCAATACATCACTCTTCACTCTTCACTGATGATTCGATCCAAGGCTGCCACACTGTTAGCACCCATGCATGGGGAGTTACCGCCGACAAACTGTGCATCCACACTTACCTTTACCATCTTCCAGCAGATAGCCATTGCAGTCCAGCTTCCACTTGACCCCGTCAATGTCAATCTTGGCCTGACCGAACTGCAGCACCGCGAACTTGAAACGCAGAAAGAACGACGTCCACTTCTGATCCAAGAAACGAGCGCCCAACTCCCAAACTAAGCTCAGATACCCCATGCCGCCGAGGCCATCCAAGAGTTTCTGACGTCGGGCGCGGTTCGCTTCCGTAATCTCCTTTACCATGGGGTACGTTTTCTCCGTAATAGTGGGCTCCCATATATCCGTCAGTAGTTCAGTCTCCTTGGCGAAGGGGTGCTTCCTGCCCCTTATGCGCATTTGTAAACGTCCGCCCATAGCAGGAGGCAGGACTTCAAGTGTGGTTATGCGGCGGACTGGCCGCTGGAAGATGTGAACGCCAATGATGACAAAGGCAAATCCGATGAAGAGGTAGGTGGGCACCACGAAAAACGGTTGCTCCTTGGGGACGGTTTTGCCAAAGTAAAAGCTGTAGAGTCCAATGCTCGTCGCCAGAGCGGCGAAGCCATAAACCTGGAAGAGATATTTCCGCGGGTTTGGCTCCCTGTATAAGAGCACCGGCGAGCGGTCAGAGATCACTCGGCGCAACACGGGATCGCCCGTCACATAAGAAGGCGCAGCAGGTCGAGCTTGCCGAATGGGCGCCGCGAAGCGTTGTCGCATGGCAGACGAGAAGAACCGGCTCACGTTGCATGGCGAAGATACATGCTGCGGTCGCGCATTGGTGAATACGGCGGTGCGGAGGGACGAGGAGAATCGGAAGCAATGTTGCTGTTGCTGCTGCTGCTGTAGGCGGAGGGCGCCGGCGAGGCCCCTGGAAAACGCGGCCATGCCTGATTCAATACCCAGCGGATGGGCAAATAAATGAAAGAGGGCAATTGTATATGAGTGTAGTTGTGGCCTGTGTTACAGGCGGTGTTGCTAAAGCACTGGAGCTGTCTGGCCGACAATTATTATTTGCTGGGTACATGTAACTACTAAGTAAGCACTGACCTGACTTATCACACTGCAGGGAAATGTCGGGAGAGGGGCGCTTGGACCACAGCTTCTCGGGCAGATCCAATCTCAACAGTTGGGGCTTCTTCAACACATCACAGCCACCACTCCAACCCGCCCTGCCGCTGACCCTTCCTCCCCTCCACAAGGCCATCTTGTTCCGCCAATTGCTCCCCCATGGCTTCCATCGCTGCGGCATGTAGATTGTCAGCACGCGCTGCCACGCAGCAGCTCCGCAACCATGGGCCCCGTAGAGGTGAGAGCTATGCAACACTCCGAGGGGGCGTCCTTTTTTTTTTCTAACCGTTGTTGTAGCATTCCATGCCGGACAGACCTCTTTGGGCGCACAAAACTTCAACATGCCAGCACTCTCTCCAACCATGACAGAGGGCAACATCGCGAACTGGAGGGTCAAGGAAGGTACGCCGCAACCCGCTCTTCTACCACGGTGCTGCTGGTTTCGCTGACATATGCAATAGGCGATTCTTTTGTTGCAGGGGACGTTCTTCTGGAGATAGAGACAGACAAGGCTCAGATGGACGTAGAGGCACAAGACGATGGCATTCTTGCAAAAATTATAGTGCGTCGAGACCTGCACCAATATACTGTCATACCTGGTTTGTGTCAATGCTGACATGGATCATAGCAAGGTGACGGCTCCAAGGCTGTCCAAGTTGGCTCGCGGATAGCAGTAACTGCCGAACCTGGCGACGACCTGAGCTCCCTCGAGATTCCAGCCGAGAACAAGTCGGCGCCTTCCCAAGACCAAGCACCCAAAGAGCAACCCAAGCAAGAGTCCGCACCCACCCCTAAAAAAGAGACCAAGCCCGCGTCATCTTCTGGAGGGTCCAAGGCCAGCGTTGGCAAGGCTCGGAAGCAAACGTACCCGCTTTACCCTTCCGTGCAACATTTGTTGAAAGAGGCCGGCCTACCAAAAGAAGAGGCAGACAAGATCCCTGCGACTGGGCCCAACGGAAGACTGCTGAAGGGTGATGTGTTGGCATATGTTGGGAAGATTGAGGAATCGTACGCATCTGAGCTGGCAAATCGGTTGAAGAAGCTTTCTCATCTAGATCTCTCCAACATCAAAGCTGCGGCCCCGAAAGAAAAGGTGCCCGAGAAGCCTGCCGTTGAAGCCAAGAAGACAGCTATCCCGGAACCTCCGGTCGAGCTTGCTCTGCCTATCTCGCTTCAGGCTGTTTACGACTGCCAAAAGCGCGTGCAAGAGTCAATCGGCGTGTTCCTCCCCGTTTCGACCTTCATTGCTCGTGCTGCTGAGCTCGCCAACGACGACCTTCCTCGCTCACAGATATCCAAGCCTTCGGCCGATGAACTTTTCAACGCAGTGTTGGGCTTGGACAAGATCAGTGGGAAGAGCAGCCGTGGGAGCTTCGTGCCACAGGTGACCGCCCTGCCCCCCGCCTCCCTCAGGCCCGCTCCCACCGTCAAAAAGTCGGACATCTTGGATCTTCTTGCGGGAAAGAAAGCCGCTGCGACTAAAGCCCATGTTTCGAGTGGAGCTACCAAGGTGGTTGGTCCTTTGAATGTATTCAGTGTCAGTGTGCCCAGGGGCGATGAGCGGAGAGGTCGTGTTTTCTTGGAGCGCGTCAAGAGCGTTCTGGAAGCGGAACCAGGAAGGCTTGTTGTGTGATGATGGCATGGTCGTGAATCGTGTTATGTACGATAATAGTGCACTTGTATTAGACGCGGCGCCGACAGCGGGCCAATTCTCCATTGAGCATTTTGATATGGAACGTGTATAGAGTCTTGCCGTGGTACCCTCTTGTATGCAGCGACTGTGTCTCCCGACTCAGAGGATTGTGTCCAGACATTTCCTCTCGAGTCGATCGAGGGATGTGGCAGGCAGCCGCAGAGCCTCAGGGCACAGACGCATGGCGATTCACAGTAAACCATGGTTGTGAGGGACACGACCCCGGATTCCGGCAGCCATCCGCCCATCCGCCCTCGGGGCGCCCCCCCCATGCACCATGCTCTCGATTGGCGATGGCAAGGGAGATGATCGTGATGATGGCATGCAGACTTGGTTGCTGAGTGCAGACCATGTGCAGTATGCAGTGGCAAGCAGCAAGTTGTAAACATCGATTGATTGAAACAAACAAGAGCGACATGGGGTGGTGGGTGCTCTACTGCTTCCCCCGATTAACGCCGACGCGGCTGGATGCCAATCGATAGGTTCGCTTTGAGTCAAAATTCGCGTCCGAGCTCCTCCCAGCCTGCCAGCCAGCCGTACCTACACTCTCTCTCTCTCTCCGCTTTTCGCAAGCTTACCTTGGTTACCTTGCAAGCTCCTCATCCTCCTGTGTGGCTTTTGCTTGTGGCCTCACACCACTCTCTCTTCCTCCTGCTCTTCCTAATCTTCCTCCTCTCCCTCCTTCTTCAACCTCAAGGTAATCATCGTCCCCCCGACCTTCGTTATTCTGCTCCCTTGCCATCCCCCGCGCCCAATTGCTACTTTTTGTTCCATCCGCCCCTTTGCCCTTGCGCCATGGCCACCGTCAAGGAACAGGTGGGCGAGGTGCTCCTGGGCACCTCCGAAGAGCCTCAATTGTCACAGGTCATGCGCCAAACCTTCCTGAGGCACGCGCAAAGACCGGACAACGGCGAGCCCTATCTCGAGGAAAACGAGTTCATTGAAGCTGTCGCGCCAGAGAGCGAAGATTATGTGAGTTGATCGCGCTGGATCGTAACGTGTCGAGACTCAGCACACTGACAACGCGCCCGCTTTTCCCGTCTATCTACAGCACAAGATCAAGCGCTACCAATACGGCATTCTCTTTGCCGTCGCCGACCGCGACAACAAAGGCCGTGTCAGCCTGCAGGACTGGGCCGTCTTCCAGAACCTCCTCGCAAAACCAGACGCCGAGTACGAAGTCATCTTTCGCTTCTTCGACCGAAATCGCACCGGCTATATTGACTTCGACAACTTCTTCGAGGTATGGAAGGCTCACAAGGGTGAGGACAGCCTGCCCTTCAACTGGCTGTCCGAGTGGGCTACACTCTACATTGGAGCCAAGGACAAGCGTCATGTCATGACATACCCGCAGTTCGCCCAGATGCTCCGGGGTCTCCAAGGAGAGCGTGTTCGCCAGGCCTTTATACATTTCGATAAGAACAAGGACGGCTTCATCGAGCCCGAGGAATTCCAACGCATCATCCGCGAGACCGCCAGTCACAAGCTATCCGACTATCTCCTCGAAAACTTGCCCACCCTTTGCAACATCTCCGCTGGGAGCAAAATCTCCTATGCTAACGTGCGAGCGTTCCAAAACATGATTCAGCAGATGGACATGGTCGAGCTCATCATCCGCAATGCAGCCAACAAGAGCTCGGATGGCAAAATCACACGCACAGACTTCCTCAATGAAGCATCGCGAATCAGTCGTTTCAATCTGTATACCCCCATGGAGGCTGACATTCTCTTTCATTTCGCTGGGCTCGACGAACCGTCTGGCAGACTGGGTCTAAGGGACTTTGCTCGTGTCCTTGACCCCTCGTGGCATACCGCGTATTCCATAGGGACCGGTGCTATCGCTGATGCCGGTCAGAAGGCCTTTGCGGGGACCAAGACATTTTTCCACGACGTGCTCGAGTCGGTGCACCACTTTGCACTGGGTTCGATTGCAGGAGCGTTTGGAGCGTTCATGGTGTACCCCATCGATCTGGTGAAGACGCGCATGCAAAACCAGAGGAGTTCAGCGGTCGGCCAGGTCCTCTACAAGAACTCACTCGATTGCGCCAAAAAGGTGATCAAGAATGAAGGTTTCACCGGCTTGTACTCTGGTGTGCTGCCTCAGCTTGTTGGTGTGGCACCCGAAAAGGCTATCAAGCTGACAGTGAACGATCTGGTGCGAGGCAAATTCACAGACAAGGCTACAGGAAACATCTGGTGGCCATGGGAGATTTTCGCGGGCGGTATGGCAGGTGGATGTCAAGTGGTACGTCTGCCCCCAAACGAAGAGGGTCTTGAATCAGGAGCATTGGCTAATCCAGGTGCGCGTGCAGGTGTTTACCAACCCCCTGGAGATAGTCAAGATTAGATTGCAAGTGCAGGGCGAGGTTGCAAAGACGGTGGAAGGTACCCCGAAACGGTCGGCCATGTGGATCGTCAAGAACCTGGGCCTCGTTGGGCTCTACAAGGGTGCCAGCGCGTGTCTGCTGCGCGACGGTGAGCTTTGCTCCTGGGCCAGATGAGGAAGCGTTCAAGGACGATTCAGCTGACACAGATGTAGTGCCCTTCTCGGCGATTTATTTCCCCACATACAGCCATCTCAAGAGGGATTACTTTGGAGAGAGCCCGCAGAAATCGCTAGGTGTGTTGCAAATGCTGACGGCGGGTGCGATTGCGGGTATGCCCGCGGCTTATCTCACGACACCGTGCGATGTCATCAAGACACGGCTGCAGGTGGAGGCTCGCAAGGGCGAGGCAAGCTATACGGGGCTGCGACATGCGGCGCAAACGATATACCAGCAGGAGGGATTCAAGGCTTTCTTCAAGGGCGGGCCTGCACGAATCATGCGATCGTCACCGCAATTCGGATTCACACTGGCGGGCTACGAGGTGCTTCAACGGTGAGTTTGCTTGAAGGAGGAATTGATGAATGTGGTTGGCCGAGTGCTAATGAATTAATCAGGACATTCCCGATGCCCGGGCATGCGTCTGACGAGGGGACACATGGACATGTCGAACCCGGGGTGGGACTGGCCGAAGCCAAAGCGCCCCTTCCCTACTTGCGCAGCCGCAACGCGCTCAAGGTGATTCTGGACCTGGACGAGAACTTTGGGCGACCGAGATTACCAGAAGGAAAGAAATGGACGGGGATCCCAGGGTTCGGCGGCAAACCGCAAGCATGATGAAGCTGGGACGGGTTGATTGATATTCTCTACGGCATGGGGTGGCTACCATGATTGTGGACACGGGCACATGCAGACGTACATATGTGGAGAGAAGGAGGAGAGAGAGAGAGAGAGAGAGAGAGAGAGAGAGAGAGAGAGAAAGACAGAGGACGTTGTTCAAAAGCGGGTGGGGCAGGTTTCGGCGTCCTGCTTGACCATTATCATTTTTATTTTCCCCCTCGAGGTCTTTGCTCCATTCTGTCCGAATGGCTCGCTTCCAGCCCTACCGTAGGTGTACCTGTGTGTGTGTGTGTGTGTGTATGCAGATATATATATATATATATATATACATAGATGAATCAATAGAGATGTACAATAGCTGGCCAGGAGGCGAGGACGATGGGGATGACGGGGATGACGGATGATGGATGATGGCGGGCGGCGCGTGTGATTTGCCGAGGCCGAATTATATAAGAAAAAGAAAAGAAATGGGAGCGGCTTGGGCCAATGGGGGATGGCGCGGCAGCTTCTCCGCCTCGTGGAGTGCAGTTTCCCGCTTTTTAGTGGCAGAGCAGGCTAAAGTGAAGCAACCCAATGGTCTGGTCTGGCCCATGCGGGGAGAGTCTGGTCTGGGGGAGCGCGCTAACTCGCCCGTCGACCTCTCTCTCTCTCTCTCTCTCCACCTCCTGTCAGCCTCGCATTCTTTTTGGCGCCTGCGTGAATCAGTCGCAGCACCCGCCATGTACCCAGGTACATATGTATGTATCCATGTATGCATGTATACACAGGTACCTACCTATGTAGGTATGCATGTACATGTGTACACGGTCATGGCGCCGCCGTGGAGAGGCAGCACATGTCAGTCCAGCACGCGCTGACTGACTGAGGGAGAGCTGGGCTGGGCCGGGTTGAGCTGAAGGATGGATCGATCAATGGTGGCATGGTTGGATGATGGATTGAACGGATGCGTGGACAACAAGAAGCCTGCCGCAACCGCGCCTCTCTGCTCTGCCTGCTCTGCCTGCCAGCCGCTCACTTGTTCTTTGCGGTGCATCCTCTTCCTCTTCCTCTGCTTCTTCACCCATCCCCACTACATACACACACTATCCACCCCCTTCAAAAGACCATACCCACCCGGCGCACTACTCCCGGGGCTTCTTCCACCGAGCACCCAACCCATCCCCACAGCCTCGGCCTCGACGCCGTGCCCACCATCAGCACCAGCACTACCTCACTTTCTTTTCCATCCACTACCCGCCCACTCGCCCACCTGCCTGCCTGTCTGCCTGCCTACCGGATTGCCAGCAGATAGATTGTGGATAGATTGCTGCTGCCATTGTTCGCAGCATTCGTCTCACTCATCACATCAACTCTTCAAGCCAGGCTCGCGACCCTCGTTCGGGATCGTCTTCCCCCATGCGTTCGTCGAGCCAGCGCCTTGGTTGACATACATTGATCCATCCGCCTGCCTGCCTGCCTGCCCGTCTGTCTGTGTGAGATCGGCATCGGCAAATCCGTCCCTTCTCCACCGCCATCCGGCTTGAGGCTGAAAAAGCGTGCTCCCTCGGGTATGTTTCCCCTACCTCGCAGAGCCTCATCCCTCGTCCCATATCCATCCATCCATCTATCCATCCAATCTGCTTTCTGTCCAGTTCCTGCTTGCTTTGCCTGCTTCTTTGCTTGCTTGCCTCTTCTCTTCCATGATAACCATCCTCCATCTTTCCATCCACCTACCCTGTTCACTCCGTCTGCCTGTCTGCCAGTCTTGTCTTGTTTTTCTCCTCTCCCCGTCAGCTCCATGTCGCTAGAGCACCCGCCCCCTCCCCCCATGGCAGCTTCCTAATCTTGTCTACTGCTCCTGCCACTTCCTGCTCGTTTCGGCTCCCAAGCCAGCAGCTACACCCCTGCCTGCCTGCCACTTCAACTGCTATCGTAGCCTGCCTGTCTGCCTGCCCTATTGTTACCCCTCTCAGCTTATTCCTTCCCTTGCCCTTCCGTTTCCTCTTGCTCTTTCTGTTCCTCTTCTCTCTTGTCTCGCCTACTTACATACCTATCCACTCACCACTCGTCTCGTTGCCTCGCATCTTTCCCCATGGGCCCCCAACCCCACTCCCTCCCCAATGCCCTACCCCGTTATCCGTCATCGCCTCGCATCTTCCCGCCTCTCACCATCTGAGATGACTTCTTTCCCATGCTGACTGTCTGCAAACCTCAGCCTCGTTGACAACTGGCCAACCCCGCCCATCTCCCTCTCCGTCTCTCCCTCTCCCTCCTTCTCTCTCCCTCTTCTCCCCTCCCTCGGCCGCCAACCAATTGCCTCGTGCCGGCCACTGACTTTCTTTACCCGAGGCACCGAGTCTAGCTATCCAATGGTCTAGCTTACCCTGCCTCCTTCCTGCCTGACCGCCATCTGGATTGAGGCTACAGCGTTTAGCCTCACCGTCCGACGGAGCGACTTATGTCACTCTACTACCATCCCGACGACGCTCTTCCACAATCTCCAGGCCTCACCCCTTTCAAACCCAAAGTCACCCCCAGTCCGTCCCCCCCGCCGGCAGTCACCCATCCTATCCTACTGTCTCCAGTCACCACGCGCCGTCTCACTTCCTCATTCTCTCGGGGCCGCAAGAAATCAAATCGACCAAAAACCAACCCAAGTCCTGGAGATTTTGTCCTCATCAACGTCATGGATCCCAATCGTCCTGATATCGCACGGGACGCGGGCGCTCGCGCCCTCAATTCCGATTCAGGCTCCGACGATGACGATTTCGATAGCCCGTCTCCTACCGCGGAACCAATGCCTCTCCCGACTCCCCATCATCCGTCCAGGCTTGCCGCGATCCCGGGGATATCTTCTTTGAACCTATCAGATATCGCTCAAGAGGCGCTAAACGCAAATCCTGCATCACAGAAAGATGTCTTCAAAACCCCATTCCGCCCTGGGCATCGGGATTCGGTCGTTGAATTGGACACCCAGGATCACAATGCAGTGAGTACCGAGACATCGACATCAGATCCTTCCTTCGTGGCCCCCGTCGATAATGGGGTTCCCTCTAGGGCGGCCGAGACCAGATCTCCTACTCTCAGCGCCGAACGCCACGGATCCTTTTCCAACGGGCAACCTCATATACAGGCACCCCTTATTTCATCCAACCTTCACGAGCTCGTCATACCAGCCCGGAGAGGATCGGACATACCGACACGACTACCGGCCTTGCAAACACCGCAATCACCGCCCTCCGAGGCATCTGCCACGTCTCCTGGCCAGAAACAACAGCTCCCCTCATTTAGACACCTCAGTGATTTGGCCGAAACTGCCGAGCAAGAGATGAACAGAACACAACTGCCTCATCGGCAATCTATATCGTCCATCGGTCAATCTCCTACCTCCGTGAGTCGGCAACTCTCCATCACCTCGCTCTCTCCCGCGAGCGGATACCCGTTGAGCGCTTCGTCCCCTGGCGGTAACAGTGACATACAAACACGAGACCCTTTCCTAAGGACAGGCCAGCAGCTCTCCTTCCTGAGCACCCGGAGGCCCTCGCAAGCGTCAGATGTCGGGCCTTTCTCAGCTACACTACACTCGACAACTACCAACGACAGTTACCAGAGCTCGGAAGGGTTGAGCCCGGGTTCGCAAGGTCCGCGGTTGAGTATTGACAGCGCCATGACTTCAAGAACTCTCCCTCCACCTGTCGGTCCAAATATACAGCACGTCCCATCTCACGGCTCTGGTGGATTCAAATGCGACTACCCGGGCTGCAATGCCACTCCCTTTCAGACCCAATACCTCCTCAAGTAAGTCACGAAAAAAAAAGGACTCTTTCCTCAAGCTGCATGCGTCTCGCACCCATTTGCTGATCCGGTCTCTTAGCTCGCATGCCAATGTTCATTCCCAGACCAGAACCCATTTCTGTCCTGTTCGGGACTGTCCACGAAGTGAAGGAGGGAAGGGCTTCAAGCGCAAGAATGAGATGATACGACATGGTTTGGTGCATGCCTCTCCTGGCTATGTTTGTCCTTTCTGTCCCGATCGAGAACACAAATACCCTCGGCCGGATAATTTGCAAAGGTAAGAAACTCTAGGTATGGGTATTGGTGGTCGTTATGCTGACACATGCTCGCAGACATGTACGCGTTCATCATCCTGAAAAAGACAAGGACGACGCCCAACTACGAGAAGTTCTTGCGCAGCGGCCAGAAGGTGGAAGCCGAGGACGGCGAAGACGAGTGAGCTGATAACACTCATACTTATCTGTGCACATTGCTCTCTTGTAGCCTTTCTGTAGAGAGTGTAGTACTGCTACTGCGAGACGTTTCTTCGTTTGCTTCTATTCTTTACTCTGATTTACTTTAGCGACCAGTTTAGCGGTTCTTGCTTTAACTCAAGTCTCACCTTATTGATATTTAGCGCTTTGGGGCCTGTCTTTTTTATATGATATCCTGTCTACAACTTAAAAAGGTATGCTAGTTATTATTATTCTCAATCTGCCTTTCTTGCTGCATTTAGCTCTATATTCTTCTTATATACATGTTTAGCTCTTAAATATAATAAGTATACTCTTTACTATAGAGTACTCTTTAATCTTTATTTTTATAGTAAAAGCTTATTTTTATGTTTTAAGTTAGAGTTTAGGTAATTCTATATATAGCAATAAGTAATAATAATAAATAAACTAAAATAATAAGTAATTACTAAACAAATAAATAATTTTTACTTTTACTTTTATTTTTATTTTTATTTATTTTTTAAGTTAAAGTTTAAGTAATTCTATACACAGCAATAGGTTTATAATAATAAATATACTAAAATAACAAGTAATAACTAAAAAAAACTAAAGTAATTTTATACATAGCAATAAGTTTTATAGTAATAAAATAAACTAAAATAATAAGTAATAACTTAAAAAAAAAGTAATTTTTAGCACTAATTTAAATTAAAATAGCTTAAAGCTTTTTTTAATTGGGTACTAGCGCTAAAAACTAGATTTTTTTACTATAAAAGCTTTTTTTAATACTATTAGGCTGTGCTATAGATTTTTTCTAACTTATAAGCTATTAATAAGTTTAATTACTTACTTACCTTAAATATTCTTTAAGAACTATCTCTTAATAAGTTTATAATAATAAGTAAGCTAAGTAAGCTAATAACTTTTATTACTATACTACGCAGATAAAAAGTAAAAACTATAACTAGTATTATAATAAATTTTAAATATAAAATAGTTTTTTATACTATATATATTTAACATTTTTTTATGCTAAGTGCTTTTTTTTTTAATATACTATATAAAAAGCAGCTATTTTAAGTTGCTATATACTCTAGCTGCTTTAGCTTATTAAGCTAAAACTAATAAAAGCTTTTCTATTATTTTAATACTTAGCTTTTTCTTTATATATAAAAAAAGTAATAGTAATAGCTAAGTAAGTGCCTATTAGTATATATAACTATTAATTAGTACGCTTAGATAATTAGTTTATCTAATAGCAACTAAGTGCTTATAAAGTAATAAAAACAAAAATTTTATAATAAGTATTTTACTACAGCATATATCTCTTTTTTTTAAAAAAAAATTTATTTTTTAAATTTAAGTATTATAGCATTTTTTTGGTTGCGTAGTTACTTAGCTAAGTATTTAGCTAGTATACTTAAGTAGTATTATTTTTTTAAAGCTTTTTTAGCTTTATAGTATAACTATAAAGTAGTGCATTAACAGCACTTTATAAAAAAATATTTTAGTTATACTTATACTAGTTACTTTTTTTATTAAATATTTTTTTAGTTATAAAGTAGCTACGCTTAAAAAAAAAATTTTATTATTACTACTATAAGCTTTTATTTCTTATAACTTAGCAGCTTTTTAAGATTTATAAATATAGCTTTTTGTTAAGGTCTTAGAGATCTCTAGTTAAGTTTTATAGATAACTAGCAGGTAACACTAAAGTAATAAAGGTAAAAGTATAAAGTAACAACTAGATTATATTTTTAAAAAGTAAGTTATAACTTAAAGTAAATATAAGAAGCTATAAGAGCTTCTTACTTACTAATTGTATATATATAGTTGTTTTATATTATTTTAAGTGTCTTATATTGTTCTATGCGTAGAACTTTATAAAATATTATAATATTCTATAAGACACACGTAACTTATTTTATATTATTTTTCTACTAAAACTATAAGATTACGTAACGTGCAGAGTAGCGTAGCCTATTAGCTTTTATAAAGTATCCTGTTTGCTAACTATAATTGTTCTTATAATTACCTTCTTTATAAACTGTGCCTGCTTTATTTTTAGGTTTGTAACAAGTGCACTTAGAAAAATATATTAAGTAAATTATATAAAGTAAATAATTAAATTATATTAAAAAGTAATAAAGCTAATATATAAAGTAGTATTATTATAGTAAAAGTTTAATTGTGCAGAGCACTTATATAAGTAAAATATTTAAGTATAAAGTAAAAAGTGCTAAGCTTAAAGGCTAGAGTAGTATTATTTTAGCTAATATTTAAATGCGCGACTTTAGGCCTATAATACTAGTAATACTATTTATATTATTCTTTATAAAACTTTTATTTTTATACTTTTTATAATAACATGCTGTACTTATATAAAAGATAATTATTTGATTTTTTTCTTTAAAGTTTATTACTTTAAATTATTAAAAACTAAAACTATAGTACTTAACTTTATTAGTAAAATAAAATATAATAAAATAAGTATTAATTTAACTTTAACTTTAAGTAGAAATACGCTTCTATAGGTCTACGTGTAGAGTTAAAAGTAAGTAAGTAATATATACTTATAAACTTTTAAGAAAAAAACACGCATTTGAAGCTTTTTTTTTATTTAAGTTTTTTAGCTTAAGCTTTCTAGTAAAACTTAATAGTAAAAAAGCTAAATTAAGCTAAGTTTATTTTAAAAGTAGCATATAAAAATAGGAAATTTTCTTTAATAATAGTAAAAAATATAAATAAAGCAACTTAAGTAAAATAAAATAAATAGCAATAAGCAATTAGTAATAGTAATATAAAAAAAAAGTATTAAAAAGCTAAGTAAGACTTAAGAGTAAGTAAAGTAAAGAAATATTAAAAAACTAAAAAAGCTAAAAAAGTAAATTAGGCAATATTAAAAGGCAAAAGTAAAAAGAAAAATAGCTATAGCAAGTAATAAAAGGTAATAAATTAAAGAATAAAGAAAAATTAATATTATAAACTATATAAATTATAAACTATTACTTTATTTTTATAAAAGTATTTATAAAAGCTTAGTATTATTAGTAATTAATATTTGATTTATTTATGCTTGCTTTTTAAGTAATTCTTAGTACTTAGCAATAATTATAACAATTTAAAATATAAAATTTAGAATTTTATTCTTTTAACAACAAAGCTAAGCAATTTTTAAAATAAGTAAATTTTAATAAGAGCTAGATTTAAACTAACAGCTTTTTTAAAAAAATTAAAAAATTATTTTTAAAGGCATCTAGGTGTTTGCCTATTACACTATCTTGCTAGTAATTAATATAGTTTTACAATTACTTACTAAGTAAAAAATGCTTAGTATATATATATTTATTAGCAAAAAAATAATAAAGAAGCAACACGTAAATAAAGTATTAAAAAAAGTAAAAGGTACTTAAATAAGTTAAAGCTTTTAAAAATTATAAGCTAAAAAAAATAAAATACTACTTGCTATAAATAATATAAACTATTAACTAAATAGCTTATATATTTATAATTAATATTTACTTTAGTAATTTAGCAGCTTTACTTTTTATGCTCTATAATAGCAGTAGTAGTAATTACTTAGCTTTTTTTTTAAAGTTAACTTATTAAAATAAATTAATAATATAAGTAAGTATAAATAAGCTTATTACTTTAAAAAAAATAAAGTTTTATATATATATCTATTTTATTTTGTTATTTTTTATTTTTTAAAATAAAGTTAAGATAATCTTACACATAGTAAAGAATTATAATAATAAATAAACTAAAAAAGATAAGTAATAACTTGAAAAACTTGCAATTTATATATATGTATATATATATATATATATATATAGATAAAAATAAGTAAAAAAGTATTATGTATACTTATATAGGCGCATGAAGCACGCGCGTATATAAAGCTTTTATTATATTATTATTTTACTCTAAGTATAGTAGTTAATTAAAAATTTAAAGTTAACTTTAAATAAAAAAGTAGAGTTAGAAAACTAGTCTTTTAGCGCTAGTGCCTAATTAAGTCTAGTACTAAAAATTACTTTTAACTTTTTCTTTAAGTAAAAGTAAAAATTTTAAGTTTTTTTAGTTATTACTTATTCTTTTAGTTTATTTATTATTATAACTTCTTACTATATGTAAGATTACTTTAACTTTATTTTTTAAGTTAAAGTTTAGGTAATTTTATACACAGCAATAGTTTATAACAAAAAATTTACTAAAATAATAAGCATGTACTAAAAACATAAAATAAGCTTTTTTAAAAGGTACTTTTAAGTAAAGCTAACTTTATTAATATAATTAAAATAAATAAAAGCAGTAGTATTTATTACTTGAATAAATAAAAGGTATTAACTAATAAATAACGCAATAAATACAGTAGAACTAAACTAAGTAATATAAAAGTAGATATTAAAAAACTAGGTAAAATTAACTAAAATAAATAATATAATATTAATAAACTAAGTAAAACTAAAAGGTAAGTAAAAACTGTGTAAAATATTAATAAACTAAAAAAAACTAAAAGTTAAGCAAAAAAAATACTAGAGTGTTAAAAATAAAAAAGTAATAAATTAAAAATAAAAGCTAATTATAAACTGCGTAAAGTAAAAACTATTACTTTACTTTTATTTTTATTTTTTATTTTTTTAAAATAGAGTTAAGGTAATCCTACACACAGCAAAAAGTAATAATAATAAATAAACTAAAATAATAAGCAATAACTAAAAAGACTTGCAATTTTTGCCTTTACTTAAAAGAGAAATGAAAAAATTTACTTTTACAAATAGCTTTTATAAAAGCTAGTATTATTAGTAATCAACAGAATTTAAAATTACTTACTAAGTAAAAAAGCTAGTATAGATTTTTATAAAAGTAAAAAAGAAAAAATAATAAAATAACGCGTAAATAAAGTATTAAAAAAAAGTAAAAGGCATTTCAATAAGTTAAAACTATTATAAACTATACAGTTATAAACTAATTATACTAAGCTTATATAGCTTATACTTAGCATAA